CAAAGGACGAAACACATTTTTATTTTGATAGATACGTCACAAATGGTGGTGAGTATTAGTCTGTCAATGGTGTGTGATGTACGGGTGTGGAGTGCAGAGCTGACCTTTATTCTACCGAAAGCTACACAGTGTGGTTGCCTAGGGTATCCATTACATTTCCTGAGAACTAAATAGCAAGAACAACAACAACCAATTGTCAGTTTCCAGGAAGAAGGAAAACAGAGAAGGAGAGACAAACAAAATATTAGTATTGAGAAAACAAATAATCCGAACAATTACCGGTCATGTGTGATAGTAGGAATGGTATGATTGATATCCGTAAGCTATATCAGGTCTAAGGTAAAATCGGTTATATATACTGCTTCTTAGACAGAGTGGGATCTCGCTGTTTATTTCGAGTCTGGGAACGAACTGCTAGTATTGGAGTTTGACACATCCTCATCTGATTCTAATTGCATCTTGATACTGGCCAATGTGTTTACAAGATCGTCATGGACTTGAGAACCAAAATTGTGGTGACCCCCTGCGTCCACAGCAACAACAAGCATTGTGTTATTTGTTCCTTCCATGGCTTCGAGGGTAGATCTGATATTTATTTGAGCGTTTTGACTTCTATACTGAGCCACTTTGTTCCCTTCGAGGATCTCGTCACCTAGCTCTTGCCTTCGACTGCTACGAAGACGACAAGGGGGACATGCCAATTTCTCTCACCACAGATGTGGTTTCGCACATGGTTCCACATATCAGATGCTCTTCTCCCGAAATTCCCAATAGCGTCCAGTGAGGATGTGATGTGCGGTTTTTTTCTCTCCCGGGGTGGTTCTTTTTTTCTTTTTGGAAAATTGAGCCGACGTGCAAGATCTATTTATTTTCCCTTAGATCCCCGGCAATTACAGATAGTATTCTGCAGGCGTTTCGTCTCTTGGATTATGAGAAGGCTCCAACAAGGAGAACGGATAAATATAGACTCGCATCACTGTTGATATCTTCCTCTGTAATGTCTTTGAGGGGGACAAGGAGGGCTGCTGGGCCACGGTGGGTTCCATCGCATTTGTGGTCCAACACTGGAAGATACTTCTCGGCGAATTGGAGGGCAAGTTTCTTGTCAGGAGTCCTTACCATCATATTTGGATTGGACTTCTGCCGGAGACTATTTTGTAAATTAAGAAAATGCACCTAGGCTACATGATACTCCGTATGCGCTTCCGTTGGCTTGTTGGCTTGTTATGAGACAAAAGGTTGCGCATTCAGATGGGCATATTAGCATTGATCACCTATTTCTTCGTGTTTCCGGGTTCTGTCATCGGCCCCGTGACTATTTCCATGGTGTAGCAGACGTTTTTGGTCTCATGATGCATGTATTTGATGGCTTCAAACTCAGCTTAGCTACGGTCGAGCTTATCGTTCGCACTCTCGCGCCTCACCACAAGTTGTAGGGACGCTCTTCGTATATCGCTGATGATCTGTACAGCTCATAGTATTCGTTTGTCGACTGTGCCAGAGAATCCAGGAGAAACAAGCACCAGGGCATACACAAGCAAAGCTGTATGTTGTTTTTGTACGGTTTCATGGTAATTAGTTGCTGGAATTTATGAGAATCTAACAGATATGCGTCTGATGAGGCTGCAGGCCTCGCAGATCATTCAAATTACCTCGCTGGATATGGATTTGTGATTTCATTCCCCTCATGACAGCACATCTCGTCAGTATGTGCAGTGACCTGATATTGTCTTTCACATCCCATGTTGAACTGATTTTCAGAAGGTAGGGGTTCCAAGCCAGGCTTGTACCGTTTTTGCAATGCTCTCTGTCGCAAGTGCAGTCAACAAGGAGCTATACGAAGCAGAAAAGATATATGGGCATGCAAATGACAAAGAAAGAGATTTAAGAACTACGGAGTAATATCTGAGAGCCAGATGGTTTTGTCAAGGCTGGTCCAGTTCCAATGCTGTTTGGAACTTACAATTACCTGCCAAATTTACGTTTACCGGGCGTAGCATTACTGTAGTTCATTCGAGAGTGACTTACATGGCCCTTTGGCTCACTTAATAGGTTCGACTACAGATCACGCCTCACAACACTGGTAATTGATATTTTAATGTTTCATTACATATGAGACATTATGAATGTTTCAGATACGCGATGAGAATCAACAGAATCGACCATTGGTCCTCGTTTCGCCAGAATCTGGGACTCAGCTAGATTACCAGCAGGAAATCAGAAATCCAGCTCCGCCCCCTGATTTGGCAGCGGAACATTGTCCATTTTCCAGCTCTACAGCGTCAGATCCGCTAGCTCGGCCCACAGTAGTATACCTCAGCTTATGGTCTGCTCGATCACGGTCCGATCCCTTTTATTTGCAGCCATGTATCCCAAACAGCTTCTTTCCGCGCAGACAGGGGTTATTTAATAAGCTATGATTAAGCCATGGCGAGAGCTGGGCACCTGGGCCCGACATATGGACATGCCCTCGCCAGCAATGGCTCATTTCTCTTGCGTGATGTGAGTATTGATGCACCCTGTTTCACATGAAAGTCCTCCATCGTAAGAAGCCTTTCTTCGCGTGTTATTTCCCTTGATGTACGCATTGCGTGACAGTACGCTTCGTCCATTGCTGCGATGAGGTCTATAACACCGCCATTGAAGATCGCGCAACCTGGGGCGCTGCTGGCCGACTCGCCACTAATCACATCATATCTCGTTACAACAGTGCTTGTCAGAGTCGACAACCTCATCCCTGATTATTTCTTGAAGAGGCCATATGCCAATGCCGTCGTGATCGGGGACCATGTCTCCACGTTGACGGCGGTGAACTGATCGAGCTGGAGAATGGAGTTCACAATGGGAATTACTCATTACATGCCGGCAATTGGCGCATTTTCTAAGATGTGTAACTAACCTTGTCAAGTTAAAACGACGCTCCCGCTTCCCCTGAACGAAGCATGGACGAAATTGTTCAGTGACGCTGAAGCCTATTGCGAAGCTGGCAACGGCTCCCGGAATAATAAGACCTGTGGGCCGGCCCGTTATTGTCCTAGTTGTCCTCGTACACCTGGGACTGGCAGACACCCTGATTCGAGCCGCCGGCGGAGAACGGGATCCGGGAGTCCACAGTAGACGGGTTCCGGCAGGGGGTTCGCGGGCGCAGTCTCGGTCTCCAACGCCCGTGGCCTTCACGAGCTCGATCTGAACCGTGGCGTCCACCTACACGACGGACGGCGGTGTGAGGGACGCCGTCGGGAGGGAGGGGGCAGGGGCACGGCGAACCGGTACGTCGACACGAGCATCGTAGGGGAGTGACGGCATCACCTTACAAGGCGTGGATACGTTCGACACAGGGAGCTCTGCGGGTCTAGGCGCTAGCGGGGTCGAGCAATTTTCGGACTCAGGCAGCGTACGGAGAGCCTGGACATCGTCAAGACGTAGGTATTCGTAGGGCGGTGCTGGGTTCAGTGAGCTGGGCACAGTGATGATCTGAAGCCGCTTTTTTTTCTTTCTCCTTTTCTTCCGTGAGCGGGACGAACTCGTCCAGCACCAACAACGAAAATGGATATGGAACGTCGACGTCTGGACCCTCCAGCTCGGGAGTAGTACCGGTGGCGACGCGTCTGCTTCTGAGCCATCGACCCGTGTTTGAGTCATTAGGCGGGAGTCTGGTCGATCTCGCCATCATGTCACTCGTTGCACAGCTGGCTTATCATGCGGCGGCAAAAAGAAAGAGAAAAAACCCTAAAAAAAACCTTGCCGAAGCCGCGCAGAGCCCGCAAGAGTGCTACCCGACCGATGAGAACAAGCCGTCGCTCTCTGGCAACACCGCTCCGAAATGTCAGCGGAGCGGACACCAGTGAAGATAGAGGGCCAACACAAATATGCGGGACGCGAGGTGTGAGTAGACCGACCAGTCTGCATGTGGTCATCTGAGTAGTAGGGCCGCAGCATACGGACAGGATCGCCGGCCAGACGTACAGCCCAGCACAGACACATAGCAGTGGTGGTGTGACGGGCACGAGTCTTGCGATGACGGGAGTAGCCGAGTCGTTGTCCAGCACCCATAATGCAGGGCAATCGCAACACGAGAGATACCGTGCTGAAAAAGACCTGCATGACGATAGAAGATAGTAGCATGAGAGCTACCTAGACTCTCCAACAAGCATGATAATGAAACACCAGTAATATTGTTATGCTCGAGCCTCGCAACACTGCTTGTCGCGCTTGTCAATATGACAAATGCAACGAGCCCGAAGTATCCTACCTTGATGGACTGGCGAGAAACAAAGATTGAAGACGGTATGTGCAAATAATCACGGCCCTCGCAAGGGGAGTTGCAAAGACAGACGAAGAAACCAAGCAGAATGCAGCCTCTATGCGTGGCGTTTTAATATCCCTATCCTCGAAACTCCGGCAAAGATGACTGCTGTTTCTGTTTCCCAAGGGACCAGCATGAGAAGGGGAAGAAACATTTACATACAATCCATTTCACTGGGAAGGTCGTATTCTCAGCCTGCTCGAATGAGTTCTGCGATCCTCCACAAGCCTCCAAAGAAACCACCATTTGTTATGCCCCTGAACATCCCACCCCCCTTGAACAATGAATGACCCCATGCGTACCATTCGGGACAGTTGCAAATATGTCGACTGACGGTTCGTCAAGTGTCAAAGGTTTGCCAAACCTAAAGTATTGAAACCTCCGGTTTGTTCCAGATCTGGAAACTTTGCACTGTTCGGAAAATGCGAGAGTGTTCGCTTCGAGGCCGATCGACATGGCCCAACACAACTGCGGGCGGGGTGCAAAACCAAGCTGGTATCATGAATCCGAACGCCTGTACACTTATCGAAAGGACGCACGCAGGAGGCGTGCGAAGTTAAAAGACTCTCTGAGTTTGTAGATGAGATCATGCTGTTGGCGGCGTTGGTGATTCCACATGAGTAGCTTCCGCCTCGTTGGTATATTGCCTTTCCACCATCGAAATATCGTCATTCTCGTTCAAGTCCTGTGCAAGGAATCCATGGTTAACATCGAGGAGCCCGAAAGCGCTAACCAGACGGGGTTTGTGTCGAAGGCGAAGCAAAAAGCAATACATTGCAAAGGGGGAGAGGCCGTACGAAGGGAAGCGAGCCGTTTGTTGTGAAGATCGTAGAACAATGGTCATAAGCAGGTCATAATCGCTTAAAAAGAAGTCTATCATGAATGAGGAGCGCAGAAAAGATTTGCGAAAGAAAATGACCAAAAACACCAAATCACCGGCTTCTGGAGGAGCCTACCGAGTTTTGTCGCTCATGAGCGGGACGACGATCTCTCCTGTCGCCATCCAGTTTCAGCGAGTCGAGCCGCTTCTGGTTGTCTTCACTTTGCTCCTCGGTGGCACCGTTGGTTGGCTTCCACTTTCCAGCTTGGTCTTTGATGGCCTGCCACTTTCTTTCCCTTAGTGCCTCTCTTGCTGGGGCATTGTTCTGTTGTTCCGTGTACTCGTGAGAGCAGTCATCGAAAAGCTGAGGATTGATTTCCATGAAAAGCTTCATAGCATTATAAACCATGCCATGGATCGTCCTGAAAAGATTAGCTTATTTCATCTAGCACTGACTGCACTCGTTCCCATACCTGTTCCAATGTCCTTTCGAATTCTCATAGAGCGGCGCAAACATGATGGGCAATATGATCTCAACATTGTCGCTGACAAGGTTGCAGAAGTACTCGTTGTTCCAGAAGTACAGGGCTCGCTCAGCGACCTGGAAGTGAGGACTGGCGACGGACTTGGCCAGCTGGTGAAAGAGCGGCTCTTGGACCTTCGCGAATTCGGCAGGGTCCATGACCTCGAATATATCCTCGACCTCATTAAGAAACATGACTTCCTTGGTACTGTTGACCTTTGGCCAATATCGCAATAGGCCGAGGACAACCTCCTCGGTAAGGGAAGCATCCTTTTCCAGGAATTGCACTATGCAGTAAGCCAACTGAGGGTGATACATGCTGAGGCTCTTGACTTTGTGCAGGGGCAACAGCACCCTGGTGAGGAAAAGCTTGTGCTCCTCCTTGAGGGGCAATGCAAAACCGTTGATGATGGAGCCCAAAATCTCGAGCAGCTCGGCAATACCATTGAACCTCTCTGTCTCGTAGATGAACTGGAAGAAGACGTTGTTGATTGAGCGACGGATGAAGGACCGGAGATTCAGGAACTTTCCATAGATCCTGTGCAAGGTCGTCTTGAGGAAATCTCTCTCGCGGGGGTCTTCCGAGTCGAAGAGCTCTAGAAGCTGGAGCACGAAGCTGTGGTCGATGTAAGCCTTGGCAATGTTGGTGTTGAAGTCTTGGCTCTCGATGAATCGCAAAAAGAACTCGTAGACAACTTGGATATGCGGCCAGGCGACCTCCAAGACAGGCTCATCCTCCTCGGGGTCAAACGCTTCCCCTTGCGGGTTCATGGGAGGAGGAATTGGTCTGAAGAGATTCTTGGCGAACATCTCAACAACACGCGGGTACATGGGTTCCGTGATTACCTGGCGGTTGTTGGCGACGTAGTCGAGAAGCTCGTGCAGAGCAAGGCGCTTGATCTCCTTGGACTTCATGTCGCCACTTGCATCATTAAAGTCAAAGATGACATTACATTGGTCGATTTTCTGCATAAAGAGCTCCTGGCGCCGATTGGGTGGTACCTCGTGAAAGCCGGGCAGTTTCTCCAGCTCGCGCTGGGGTGAAATGTCGAATCTCGACGAGTGCTGTCTCTTGGGCGTCCGCAGGCCTTCGGGGACGTCTTTGGGAGTCTGGTGGAGACGGTCGAACATCAATGACTTCTGGCCTGCCTTCGGGGGAGCGAGATCGTGAGGCATCGTCTCGGCGGCACCTGGAGGAGGGATGTGCTATGGTTCGGCCGTCAGTACTTGCATGAGCGGCTGCCATGTCATGAGTCTCCACGAGTCTCTGTGACGCGACTTACCGGTGCACTAGGGCTGATAATGACCGTGGGTGGCAGGGGGCCATTTCTGCTCGGTGTGCCAGCGCCGTTGGGAGATTGGGTCGTTCCAGTATTGAACTGGTCGACGTTGCCTTGGCCTGCAGGAGAGGTCAACTGGCCGGCATTGCCATGATCGCCGCGGCCACCCGTCACGTTTGGTGGAAGGGGCTTGTTGCGGATGTCGTTCAAAGTCGACGTCGAAGATGAGGGCGTCAGTACGGGGGACTGGGTTTCGCGGTTGCTACCGGAGGGGGAAGCAGTGCCATCTTTGGAGTCCTTATTCTTCTTTGACGACTTGCTGTCACCCTTGCCTCGGGAGAGCTAAGCAGTGGGAGGTAGGGTCAGCCGAGGTGGTCACACAAGGAGTCAACAGTAAAGGGAGCGTTGAGCAGTGGGAGGAGAACAACTGACCACTCTCTGACTGAATCGCTTCATGGTGGTACTCATATGGCCCCAATGACCAGGACTGCAATCGCAGGCAAAGTTGAAACGTGTACCGTTCGGTTTCTTTGAGGGGTTGTTCAGGCCAGATTCGTCTGTCGACAATCGTAGCCTTGATGCTTTGAGCTGGGATTCAAACTCTCGTCGCCGATAAGAAGCTCCTGCGTGCGGTCAAGTTCATGGAACTGTACGGGAGGTGCTCTGCAAACGGTGAGTCTACAGGGGGTGCAATCGTGGTTCAACGCAATCGAAGAAGTAAAACCCAGGATGTCCCCACGGTCAAGGTCAAGGTTGAGGTTGAAGTTCAAGTTGAGGTTGAGGTTCAGGTTGAGGTTCAGGTTCAGGTTCAGGTGCAAGGAGGCGGGCAAAGGACGGCAGTGGGGGTCTTCCGTCGCGAAAGCCAGATCGGGAACCAGAACCAGCAAGCTCAGCTTAGCTTTCGGGGGGTCGAGCCGATTGTCAGGCGACGGGGGAGATGTGTGGGCGGTCGATGATGGTAGTTGAATTGTGACGAGGGAGCACTTGACGGGGGCGCGACGTTGAATTGGGCAATGTTTTCAGTCTTGGTCGTGATGGTAGGTGGTGTCGTCGAGGAGGTGGAGAAGTGGATATTCACCCAAGGTTAGCCGGGAGCAAGAGCAGCGTCGTTGGGGATGCTTGTGCCGCCTCTCTTTCTCTGCTGTCAGCTGCTGTCTGCTTCTGCTTCTACTTGCGCTTGCGCTTGGGGACGGCGTACTCACCCTAGGTCACCTAACTGCATGTAACGTACGGAGTTATGAACTGGACGGTGACGGCCCGCAGATCATCCAGGGGATTGGGAGTTGGACCCTGCGCCGCAGACAGGGAATAGCTCACGAGCTTGGGGGATTGTTCTTCGCTGCTTGCTTGCTTGCTTGCTCCAGATTCCTTGAAGAAGACAAAAGTCAAGTCTCTGCGTAATTTACTAGAAGAAACAAACAACATGTATACATGCATACATGCGTACAACTATTGGAGGTTTCCGGTCTGGTTGACATCCAGTGTTCAAGGCACAGAACATCTCAGCACCGCAAATACCTTAGTTAGCTAATCTAGCAGAGCTTTAGTGCTGGTTGTGCTGCGCTGCGCTGTGCTGTGCTGTAGGTCAGCTCTCAAGGTTTGTCAAGCGCCGCCAGCCCTCGAAATTGCAGTGTTATGCGGGGCCCTGTCTTGGGGATCTTGTTAGCAGATGACTACGTGAAGCCTTGAAACTAGCACTACAGTGAATGAAATAAGGTCAGCTTTGAGTCCGTTGCGGGACCCCAAACGTCACGCACCACTAAAAATACCGGCGGACCAGTCCCTGTACTGTACAGCTTGTACGGTAGAACGGAGCGATTCTGAACTGCTTGCTGTAGCAGTCATAGATTCTTGCAATTGCGGCAAGTAATGTCGACACTGGTAACCTAGGTTAGGATATTATGCTCCGAGCCGCGCTAAAAATCCTCACATGAGCCCTTTTGGTGCCTGGTGCTTGGTGCTTGGTGCTTGGTGAACGTAAAAGTGCTTAAAAGCAGGTAGGTTGCCAACAGTTGCCCAGGTATCCCTCCCTATTCATGCACCTGCCATAATGAACAAACGCCCCGAAGCACAACAATCGATTGTTTTAAATCGAGTCTAAAAATTTCAAGGCTGTACACATTACCTAGGAGTCAGTTTCGGCAGGCGAGTTAAGGTATTCACGTATGTAAGAGAAAGCAAGGCGGTCACCAGCAGCTGCCAGTGTCGCATGCATCATGCATCATTGACTGCACACTGTCACAATCGCCCAGAGATGGTTCTGTAGCATAACAACAAAATGGCGTCTTTTCAGGATTTACATACATCGTAACATACTGCAGATCAAACTAGGAAAAAGGTATGCAAAGTTGCTCTGCTGTAATACGGAAGAAGTGTTTGTTTGGTTTGACAGGTCAAGTTTGAACACAGCTCTTGGCCAATGCTGCCAGGTGTCCGCCACTTGTGTCACTTCTACTAACCTTAGGTTACGTCTATCAGACATGATTGATTGGCTCTTCGCTAATGTGTATGTAATGCCACTCTGATCTCAATCAGATCTACTCCACAGTGGAAGACGCTCTCTTCAAGGCTCTACATTGCAAAAGATTGTATGCCTGAACACTGGATCTAATTTGGATAGGAAGAGGCGCCAGGAACTACCATGATAGGAGCAAGTGGTGTAGTTGACCTTGCGGCCTGATTTTCTTTCGCCCACACGTGCGTCTAAGCACCGCTTGAGTCCCGACCAGCGACAACTTGGAACAAGTATTTGGCACCTCACGGGCTGCCACGCTATTACTTGCCAAGGTATGTGCCCAAACCGCATCATACACCACGATTGCTGAACTTGACAAAGGTATTATGCTCAACATGCCCAAGTAAGCCACTAGCACTTGGCGACTGAGCAACTTGATCACCTGATTGCCTCAACTTGACCTCAACTGCATATATCAAGACCACCCCTGACCAAACATTGCATTTGAAGTTCATCAAAACCGTCACAATGCTCGGACTCAAGGACCTTTTCCCCAAACAGGGTCCGAAGCAGAACCCAAACGCTGCTCCGTACTTTGAGGCGCCACCCTACAACATCATCGCGGTCGAGCATCCGTGTATCGTCAAGGATGTCGACAACGCCATGAAGACGTTCGGGAGAGAACCCAACTTTCAACGAGTAAGTTGTGGCACGTTCTGTTACCCGCTCGAACTGTGATATTGACCGTTCGCAGCTTCTGGGCGAGGACACTGGAAGGCTTGCTCTCCCCTTATGGTTCAGGCCTGATGTACCTACCACCAAGCCGATCATGTCGCACAACGCCGCGTCCAACAATGTAGTACTCAAGATCACGGTGCCCAGGCGGACCGGGCGAAAAAGAAAGCGCGGCAGCAACGAGCCCTTTGCCGGCGACATCATCCCGCCTACTGACGATGAGCCCACAGAACGCGTCTCCTCGACCGGCCGTGAGGACCATCCTAAGCTCATCCTTCGCAAGCTGCAAGACACCGCCGGGAGGTACCAAGCCGAGGCCGTCGGTCTCGTGCGCGATACTCACCGCTACCACAGTCTAGCCGACTTCCAGTTCTCCTCGAGCGAGATGCCCTACCTCACCAAAGTGAAGGAGCACTTCCTATCCATGAAGGTGGACAAGCTGCGGGAGCTCAGGTTCGACCCCAACCTGTACCCGGCCAAGGGCCAGGAGATCATCCCGCCGCCGTTCTACACCGACCGGGTGGTGCCATTCAACTACTTCTACGAGCAGAACCCGTACGTGCGCATGGATGGCGTGGACGAGCACGGCAAGGCCATCATGGTCAACGTGCAGGGCCGGCTCGCCAAGACCTACGGCCACTACATCGAGTACAACACGTACCCGGTGCCGGACCGGCCGGCCAAGAACCTGGCCAACTCGAAGCAGGTGCCCCAGGACCTGCTGGACCGCATGCGCGCGGCGCTGGAGGAGCGGCCAATCTGGACGCGGCGGGCGCTCATAGCGCGGGTCTCGCCGTACTACTCGGAGAACTCGCTCAAGATCGCCGTGCAGCTCGTCGGGTACCAGTTCAAGGGTGGGCCCTGGCGCGACGCCGTGATCAAGTACGGGGTGGACCCGCGGCCGGACCCGTCGCTGCGCGTCTACCAGACGCTCGCCTTCAAGCTCGAGCAGCTGCCCAAGGACAGCACGGTCAAGAACGGCGTCGTCCGCAAGATCACCACCGAGGAGTCCAAGTCCTCCTACCTCTGGGACGGCACCCAGTACTGCACCAACGGCAAGTTCTGGCAGATCTGCGACATCACGGACCCGACGCTCATCAAGATGATCGCCGAGGCGCCCCTGCGCGACGAGTGCGACATCGCCACCGACGGCTGGTGGCACGGCGGCACCTGGGCCAAGATCAAGGCCTTCATGAAGGCCAAGATGATCGCGATCCGGGCCGGCCGGCTGGGCGACGACGGCGACCTGGTGCCCAAGAAGAGGGGCTTTCTCTACGACTCGGACATACTGCAGAAGCTGGGCCGGTACGCCGACATCCAGCCGCAGAACACGCGGGGTCTCGTCAACACCGTCAGCCTGCTCTACGGCATGGAGGACGTCTCCGGGCTCGAGGGCCTCCGGTACCGGCACCGGCCGCTCAAGCAGTTCAACGACCCCCTGGCCGCCATGGGCTTCCGCGGCCAGAGGGGCCGCAAGAGGAGGGAGATGCCGCTCGACCCTGATGCGCCGCCGCAGCCTGATGGGGACGACGACGACAGCCGGCCGGCTGCTGGCAAGAGTCAGGGGGGAGAGGAGGAAGAAGAAGAAGAAGAAGAAGAGGGAGAAGAAGGGGAAGACGTGGAAGGAGACGATATCGCGGCAGCTGGACAAAATGCCCCAAGAGGGCCGGGCCAGTTCCCCGACGATGCATGGGCGCATATACTGGATAGCGACCTGGAGGATGGGGCCGGAGGCGACAGCGACGGCGACGGCGGCGAGGACGATGATATGGACGAGAGCATGCTGATGCCGGACGAGGACGAAGGAGGAGAAGAGGGCGATGCCGATGCTGATCCTGACGGTGGAGGTGGGCTCGACTAGTGATTCAGGCACTCCTACCATCAAGTGCGGCTGCTGACAAAGTTGTGTGATATATTGGGTTGTAGTTTTACTTCAGGCTTCTCAAGGCCAGACGCGACTGTGGGAGTTGCGTTTGTGAATGCGGTATTTGAAATATAAACCGATACCTTTGGTACGGGGCTGGTCTTACAAGCACTGTGCTGTCTGGTGGTAGTATGCGTACAAGTCAATTTTTAACAAGTCTCGTCACAAGATTGTACCAGTTCATCCCGGTTGGAAGTCACCTCGAGATGTCACTGACTTTATCCACAGCCTCCTGCAGTGACGCATACGGCTGATTTGGGTATCGAGTAAAATTTCGTATATTTCGATGTAGGCAGGCTTCTTCTCCATTTTACACGACTGAGATCCTCCAGCGATTGATCGCGAAACCTACATAGACGTAACATTTCTTGGAGTATACAATACCAACATATCACCACCCGCCGCGGCTCCCCCTGTATCCACCTCGGCCACCACGATGATCTCCCCGCCCGCCGTAAGGACCGTGCGGTCGCTGTCCACCCTGATTGAAGCCTTGATGGCCATTAAATGGCGTTACCGGTGGCGCCCGAGAGAGTGGTGCGCCCCAGCCCGTCGCAACCGGAGGCATAGGTAGTCCCTGGCCGGGTATCCAGTTTAATCCCGCCGTCGGTGGAAGAGGGGGCGGGGGCGGCCAAGGACCTTGCCAATTAGGCGGCGGCGGTGGTGGAGTAACGCCGAATGGGAACGTCGTGCCCGGCGGCATGTTTGGTAACGGAGGCGGAGGAGCGGGAGCTGAATAGTTTTGATGACGATGGCCGTTGTCTGGCTGAGTGTAAGTATGGGACGGGGGCGGCTGAGGCGGCGGAGGGCTGTAGTCGCGCGAGCGAGAACGAGAACCAGAGCGTGAAGGTGGATAGCGCCCATCCCTACGCGGAGATGTTGACCGCGATCTAGTGTATGAGCGTCGGCGGCTTCGGTCCCTGCTGTAGCTCCGCCGGCGGCTTCTGCTCTTGCTCCGGCTTGTACTCGGGCTCCGTGAGTCCGACATGCGCCTTCTCTTGAACGCTGGGGGGGAAGGGCTGCGGCTCAAACTTGGCGACTGTGAGCGTGATGTACTTCGACCACGTCCATCAACTTGATGCCCATTTCCCTTCTTGCGGCGCTGTTTCATCTTGTCGCAAAAGCTTCGCGACCATCCATAGTATGTCTCGCCACCAGTCACGTCTCCTGTGCTCTCGTTGACAGTGACTCGTTGCCCGAGCATGTCCAGATCTTCCCCTGAATTCTCACCAAGACAGTAATCTTTTGCATAGATGCGGTCGACATCTGCAAGCAAGCTCTGGACAGCTTCAACCAAGCTCTTGTCGGCAGGTCCCGGCATGAACTGCAGAGGCTTGATCATGGAGGGATTCATGGGCCTGGACGAGTTGGGCTCGATGACAGGTAGCCAGTTGGCAGCAGGGAGATCATACCAAGGGGCATTGGCATCTCCGTGCATAGACGGCATGATGTAGGGGGCATCTTTGGACAGTTTCGCACCCGCAGCAGCACCTTCAGTAGTCCCATCGGCAGCGGAGACGGAATCAGACGTGGGCGCATCTCGGATTGTATCTTGTAGCTTGGTAATGACCGCGCTCGAGAAGCATTTGTGCTCGTCCCAGATGTTGACAAGGTCTGATATCTTCTTTGCATGCTTGGGGGCATTCGCGAATGCTGCAGCGCTTTGAAGCAAGGCTGGCAGAGATGACTCTAGCTGGGAAGCAAAGCTGTCCTCCCCGCGTCGAACGCAAGTGTGGTAGAGCACGTCGTTCAGGACATGCAGGATGTGCAGGCGTTTTCGTTTGGCAGAAGGCTCACGCGCCTGCCTGCTAGCTGCGATGTCGGTGTTGAAGGAGTTTGCCAGAGCTGTCAGGTACTTTGCCAGGGCTGCAGTCCGGGGCGAGGAGTGCACTATGCGGTTCAGGATCCATTGCTTGCTTTTCTATTGCGAATGATGGATTTTAGTTTGTCGCCCAGAAGCACCGAAAACAAAAATGGTCAAGATTGTTTCTCAAACCTGAACGTTGGCTGGAGAGCACCGCAGAAGGGTCGCGTCAAGCTGGGCGAGGAACTCATCGATCTCGATGCGCGGGCACGAGACGGGGTCGGGGCGGAGGAGGACTGCTGAGAAGGAGACCTTGGCTATCGCAAGTTGCGGCGATGCCATGTTGGGTGGAATTATGAGAGCATGCGCAAGAAAAAGTCTGATGGAGTTGGGGGGGTTGTGGAGGTCCTGAGGGTGAGGATTCAACTGCGAGTGAATTCCGAAATCTAAACAGAGTACATTGAGGTCGGTTTACTTCGGGACGGGAAGCGAATAGTCGAGGCTCCGTTGAAGTGTGTCCATCACCTACAACAACTAAGCGTCTAAGCGGTTAAGCATCTAAGCGTCTAACCTTGCTGTAAGCTTTTCGTGGCTGGTAAGTTACCACTGTGGGGTAAAATAAAAACAGGCCTTATGTGTTGCTACTGCATGTATTGTAGGTACAGTATGTAGGTACATGTATGAATTTACACAGTTGCTTCTTCCGGAAATCTGCAAGATCGGCCTCCGGGCAGGCCTCGCCGCCGGTACTGTAACCCACCACACCCCTCCCCCTAAGTTCAGAGGGCAATTCGGGGGACAAGCTGAACCCCCTGTCATGCCAATGGTCCCCCCCTTGCTCCGAGTCCAAAGGTCCAAATCCAAATTGCCAGCGAGACCCTTCAATTAGTTACTTAACCTTAGGTTAGTCTAGGCCAATTGCGCGCGTCGTGTCCGGGCCAGATTTCATTAATCAATCTCCAACTCGAGCAGGAGACAAGACAATTTTTGGCAACTTGTCCACTGGCAAACTGTCCCCTTCTGCTTGTTCACTTTCTTCCCTACGGTAATAATCCTCGAAGACCTGCGAAGACGCTGGAAATATTTTGTGAGGAGCCATATAAACTCGACTACGCCGGAAGCCGCAGAATCATTTACACACATTCCGAAAGCTCTTCCCCGTTCCATCTCCCCTTAAAGCCGAAACCTCCATCTTCGACTTATATATACATACATGATACATACGGATTCTATATCACCGCATCCCATACACACAAACATTCACAATGGTACGGCCCAGTTCGTTACTTTTTCCCCCTTGCTGCCACCCGCTGTGGAATTGGTTACTGACATCCTCCCGCTTCCCAGGCCCAAACACCTCAGCAACGCCGCGCCAACGAGAAGTTCGCCAAGGACCAGAACGCCCGCCGCGGCAAGTCCGAGGCTGAGAGGCAGGTGCGAACAAAGCAGGTCCAGAAGGCCCCTATTTCCCCCCTCTGGCTCGGTAAGTTCAATCGCCTTCTCCTTTGCTTCCCCCGTCTCCCCCTTTCGCCATGTCCTTCTCCTCGTCCGGGGGGCGCTTCGGCTGATAGGAACCATCTCGCAGTCCTCCTTGGTTTTGTTGTATTCGGCGGCGTTTTCTTCGAGGTCCTGCAGCGCGTTTTCTGGCGATAGACCGGCGACCGGGAGAACGAGGAAGAGAGGGAAGAGAGAAAGACACTATATACAATATGTTGGGCGTGCAGCCACCAAAAAAAAGGAACCCCCCAGACAACCACGGCCTGGTAGAAGGGGAGCAGCAGAAGAAGGCAAATGTGCGCCCAGCAGCCCTGCGGAAAGGGGCTCGGTAGTGCAACGTCGAGCCACGGCTAGCTGCACCGCAGCATGATACCTCCTAGCTCGACAGCATTTTTCTTGTTTGTACAGTACCAGATCGAGCACGAATAGGTTATGCTCTATATGGGGGCGCTCTGCCGCTTATCAAAAAGAATTTCAATAAAAAAAGAACAGAGGCATGGGCAGATCTAAGCAGCCTCAAATCACGGATAATCAAACAAAGTATTTACAGATCAGCGTGAGGAGACAAAGTACGGCGGTCAAGGCATTGACAGGTTTGGGATCAAAACATGTAAAAGCAAGTCAATTTCATGGTATCGCAGCTTTTTCCCGGTTTGCCGTCCTTGAAAACGCCAATGGCTCCCTAAATAATGCAGTCTGTACAGCAGCTATGTACGCCGCCCCGGATCAAGCACCGAGACCTCGCTTGCCGCCGAGCTCCTTTTTCTTCATGCCCTGCTGGAATTGGCGTTCCAGATCATCTTGCATGCTGTAGATGTCTTGTCGCGATGTGCTGTGAGAAGTGCCTGAAGCAGCGGCACTGGCGTTGCCGGCCTTCTTGGCACCCAGAAGTCTCATAAACTTGTCCTGTCGCGCAGAACCGCCACCTAGAGCCGAGGCGTTCCAGTTCTCCGCAGCGTCGGTCTTCTCTTCCTCGACGTTGCTGGCCTCCTGGGCAAGAGGTTCCTCGCCATCAGTCGACTTCTTGGACTTCTTGTTCTTCTTCTTCTGTTTCCTCTCCTTGGATACGTCGTCTACGTCTTCCGGTGCGGGAGCTTCAGCCTCTCGCTTGCGCTTCTTGTCAGCCTTGGTCTTCTTGTCGGTGTCTACCTCTGCCGCATCTTCGTCGTCTTCGTTGTCGTCAGATTTCGATTTCTTGGACTTCTTGCTCTTCTTCTTCTTCTTGTCGTCAACCTCCTCGATGATTGCCTCCTCTGCGTTCTCGGTAGTCTCAAGGGTTTTGTCGCTAGCCGGCTCGTCTGGCTTTGACTTTTTCGACTTCTTTGCCTTCTTTTTCTTCTCCTTGGTCTCCTCGACCTCGGCGATCTCAATCACGGGCTCATCTTGCGTAGCCTCGATGGTAACTGTCTCGGTGACCTCGACCACGGGCTCATCGGCAGGCCGAATGGGGGCTCCATCGTCAGACGAATCGGAGCTGGAGTCGGGGTCGGAGTCGGAATCGGAAGATGAGGACGAAGACGAGGACGAGTCGCTGTCTGATGCTTCGCGATCGACATTGGTCATGGCGACATCTTTAACGGCGCCCTGAGCGGGCTGCGCCGAGGTGGCAGCCGAGTTGCTCCCCTCGAGGGCAATGTAATTGTCGTTCTCGGGAGTGTCAGCCATGAGCTCATCGAGCTGCTGCTGGCTGTCGGCTGCAGCCTTCTGCAAGCGAATTGTCAGTAATCGTACCACGGATTGGGCAGGCCTTTGCCGTGGGCTGCTCACCTCTCTCTGTGTCTTCAAGACGTTGTAGCGAGCTCTGGCCAGTTGAGCCTCCTTCATCATCTTGCGGGCCTGGGTCTCGAGTCTCTCTGCGCGATCGAGCATCTTCCTGAAACGCCTCTCCTCCTTGTGCGGCTTGGTGATCTGCTTCTTGAGCTTCTCGTCTGCCTTGCGTTCCTCGGTCCACTTGGTGGCGCGCTTGGTGTTCTGCTTGCGCTCTCGCTTTGCAGCGGCCTTAAGCGACCGCTTCTCCTTGCGTTCCTCGGCTCGCTTGGCGCGGTGCTCGAGCATGCGCAGGCGCTTGGCCTCTGCAATGATGGGTTTTGCGTCAGCATGCGGCTCGTCACATTTGCGCTTCGGGGACAATTGCTAGGCAAAAGCGCAACTCACCTTTTCGCTGGGCATCTTCTGCCAGCTTGACAGGATCAATCTTGATCCAGGTGTCCTGCTTGTCACCATCCATTGCGTCGAATTTACACAAGATCGTCCGTGGTGCTTTGTCTGTGGACAGGTCAAGTTCCGAATCGATGTGGGGTTGGGGAATCATTTATTTTTCTGCGACTGGGACTGGGACTGGGACTTCCGAGCTCCCTCCCCCCAGGCGGCAGAATTCTGGGAAATTTTGGCGGTGAACGAAAAAGTAGCCCCAATGCGCGTTCGCGTTCAGGGGTCCTCTTTTCTTCCGTTAACGCCTTGGGTATAGTGACTGCTATCCATATGATCCGTAATACCTGGTACAATGTTGTCTGTGTCACGGTCATGAGCGTTGTGTCGCAAATCCGGATTTGTTCCTCTCATCCTTGGCTTACCGTAAGACATGTCCGCGCAGGTCAGAAACTCTTGTGAGGTGCGTTGTAATTGTGTAATCAGGTCAAGACAAACGACATCTATGCTACATATATACAAGTACTCGCAGCGGCCACTCAAAGCTTGAGTTCATTTCCAATTCCGATCCCCTCGAGGATCCGGAGACCCTCCTTTCCCTTCCGCGCGGCAATATCACGGCTGCTTTGCCGCCTGGGTTATAGATATCCATCCATGGCCTGCTAGTCCGAGCCGGGCCATGATAATAGTATCCCTTATCAGAGGCTGCCAATGTAACATCTCTAACGATTGATTCAAGCTCCTGAAGCGAGCAAGACTCTCAGCGCCCGGGAATCAGGTAGCATATGGCTAGACTAACTAGACTAGTTTAGTAACTAACTTGCTACACACAAACCGAGGCCCAACGGAATTTCTCAAGAGTATGCATTCATTGAATGCCACCTAAAATAGAGACATGCTTTGATACTTGGTTTCTATCGTAAAGTCCTTCGAAATTTGGACAATGTCGCGAGCCTTATATCCGCACTTCTCTCCTACAAGCATATCTACTCGTTGAGAGGCACCCGATTATTCGATATGAGATTTCACGTCGACAAATCACTAAGGTTACTCCTATATTGTCGAATGCGATAGCCGTAGAGGCATCACGCTTGTTGGCTTCACTCATAGCGCCCCCCATCCAAAACTTACCGCTCACTACAACCAGCTGACACAGCTTGAAAGTCGACCGCAGATCATCCCCTGTTCGCTCGTACTCAATATGGTAGACCATGATTCCCAGTTTCTAAGGCTAGTCGTTCTCGCAATTGTAGCTTCTACAGAGGTCGCTGCTCATGATGTTGATTTCGGGGAGTTCTCAGTCGACTCGGGCATGGACACAATGCGTGGCTACTCATGATTTATTTTATGCCGTGCAAGTAGTCACAGTTTAACAGTGCTGACGCTGTCTCGGCGGATCGACTTCATATATCAAGTTGTGAACGGGAAGTCATACGATGAAAGAGGGCGCTCTTGGATATCCAGTCGTAGATTTGATCAAGCCTTGTCCAAATCCACTTCTCTCTCGTATTCAGGGTTGCCAGTCAGTTCAGCGACATGATGCCCTAATGAGACTGCCAAAAGGATATTTTTGATCCGTAGTATATATGATGCATACACTGGTCGAGCTCTCAGGGGACTATAATAAAAAAGGTCAGAAAACCCACTAGGTTAGCAACACAACTGGCCCCACAAAAAGCAGCTGTGGACACCTTCGTCAGTGAGCTGCGGCCTCTAAGACTACCGCTGTAAAACTCATTTCAACAAAGGCAAATGTCCTACGAATTACGGATTGCGGATCAGGGAGTACGGAGTGCTAGGAACCCTTACCTTACCCGCAGATCCGGCTATGACGAGGATCTCTCGGTTCCTACCGGGGATTACCGTCAAGGAAATCGCTTACTCGCCAATCCCAACCTCCCTTCAGTCCCGTAGCTCTGGTTTTCCTTCTCCAGTTTTTTCCTCCCGTCTCACAACCGCAAGCGCTATAATCATAATCTGCTTAACCTCTCATCTCGAACCCCCACCAACACTCCCCTAAGAGTAGTACGCACAGTAGTACTGAGGAAAGAGTCATATTGATCTGCAAGTCCCGCGCATCACACTTCCTGCAGCTATCAGCCCTGCATCCATACATCTAAAGGGGCAGGGACAAGAATGCAGGTAAGCCACATAGAACCCGTGTTCACGGTTTTTCCCACCTAGTCTAGATTATGACGCATTCTTCTTCTTCGGCATGGCGCCCCTCATGGCCCACGTCGACGCCACCTTGCAACTACAGTATGCACATGCGAATGGCAGCCTGCTCCCCCCTTCCTGAGACGCGCATTGGCCTTGGATTTGTAGGCAACAACAGCACAACCGTTCCTGTTGTTTTCGCTTGTCCCAGACAAACAAAAGTCAACGGTGGAGCCGAAGCAAAAAGATGTCTACCGTGCTAAGGGACACGTACCCCCCTTTGTTTCGTAATCTGATCGTTTACTGGGGCTCTTGCTTCCCCAGCTTAGGGCTTAGTCTAGCATGTAATCAACGGTCCTGGCTCGTCAAGGGCACCCTTGGCCGAGTCTGGTTGTAATTCAAAGTCACTAGGCATACTTCCTCGGCCAATGCAAGCCCCTTGCATTGGTCACATATCACGGACAAGCTTCAAAAGATACGTGGCATAAGAGTGGTCGTATTCTAAGTCTATCTCAGCCGTCTGCCTAACTGGCGGGCACCGCTGGTTCTATCCCAAGCCCCTCGAAAGTGTACGCGCGTATGTCGAGGTGTAGACATGGCGAAGGCAGAGAGCTTCGCAGTAGGTGGTTGAACAACAAGAAAGAAAGACACAAAAATACTCCAGGCAACAATTCCTCCACGAAACCAGAAGAGATGGGGGTATCCTAGCGCTATAACCATAGAGCCTCCTATTTTAAGAACTCCCAAGTAGAACCAACCCAAAGAAGTAATACTACAATCTTGAAAACCCAATCGCAACGTGTAAGCCCATCATACCCGTTTGCCGTAAATTCCATCCGTACGCCAGCCAAAAGCGGGAGAAGGGAGATTGGTCTTAAGAAGCCCAAGAAAAATCTAGAAATAACACAGAATAGAAAGAATGAAGAAAGGGCTTGTGAGATGAACAACCCGTCTATCCCAAAAATAGAAAAGTCGTACCATGAACATTCATAAACCATAAAGCAAACAGATGTGCACCCAAGACTTCGCACATCATGTGTTAAAGATCAGGCCAGCTCAGAGCGAGCCGTCGTAATCCGTGTTGTAGTAATACGCGCCGTCATCGAAAAAGTCGGCGCCGGCACCGCTGCTATTATCATGACTGCCGTAGCTGTGCTGGTAGGAGGGCGAGCCGATCGCCATGGTCTGCTGCGCGACGTACGCACCCGCAGTCGTGTAGTTGCCCCCTGCGTACACGTCGTCATTGTTGTTGCTGTCGTCGTTGTCGCCGCCGGCATTGAGCATGTTGTTGTAATCCTGGCCGTGCCGTCTGCCGCTGCCGCTGCCCCCGCCGCCCCGAGACACTACGTGCCGCATGCTGATGGAGCCCCAGGGCAGACCCGAGCACTCGTCATCGCCCTGGGGTAGCTCGTCCCACGCCACGGGCACCGTGTAGCTGCTGCCGGCAAGCTCCTGGTTGCGGGCGTCGCGCTCGGCCTGCTCTCTGGACTCCTTGGCCTTCTCGCCTGTTTTCCCAAGCCGGGTTAGTCTGCACTGCGCTGGGAGTAGAAATGTGGAGAGGGAAGCAGGAAATGCATACGGAATTTCCGTTGAGCGAGACGATTCTGGATACGTCTTCTCTCCTCTGGCTCGGTGACGTCTGTCCAGTTATCTGATTTTGATGACCTGGACTTGGACGACGAAGATGATGGGTGCTTCTTGGAGCTTGAGCTGTGGCTCTTGGATGGCGATGTCATGTCGACGTCCTCTTCAGGATCCGACTCGACAGTGACCCGATGCCGCTTAGAATGTTTTGATGAATGGGAAGACGAAGCGTTCGGTGTGGTAGAGGAGAGGTTTTTAGAACTTGAGGACTTGTGTCGTCGCTCTGGTATTGCTTCAATGTCTACACTGGCTCTATGGACTGTCTCTCGAGATGACGGTTTCTCTGACACGTTTCTCCGAGACGAACTCATGAGTCTTATAGACAATGTTACAAAGTCCTAGATAAACCCTAGCTCATATATGGATGCAAGAGCTGAAACAGACGGATACACTGTCCGTCGAGTGAAGTTTCCTCTGAGGTTTGGGGTCCAAATCTCAACAAAACAGACTGGGGGTGTGACTAGGAGGTGTGTATAGTTGACGATACAAGGTGTTATACAGGTACCAAGCAGACTGGGATCGAGGAGAAGGCTTTTTTTTGTCAATACGTGTTGAGGGTGGTGGCGAAGTGATGATAGTCCTAGCCTAGGAAGTACTCCTCAGCATTTATATGATTTCAAAACACTACTCAATATCCAAAAGGACCTCCTCGATGCGTTGCGGCATATCTGTAATGCATCCAAGAAGCAGAATGGGTCATAAAACGGGTCCCATGACTGGAAATAAGAGATATGATGAAAGACCCCAGAGATGGAATACTGCTTTCATGGCTGGCAATACAGTCTGGTATAGTTTTGTCGCCGCTCACCTTAGGTAAGAACCCGCAAGGCATCCTCCAATAAACATGGCTGCCTTAGCTCAACTTGGTAGTATGCCACGAAAACGGTCGGGATGTCTTGGCGGAACTTTCGAAGGATCCCTAACGTTAGCTTGCAGATGACGCCCCGGCAAGCGAACACCAAAGATTCCCAAATACCTGATTGCTTCGGAAAACCCCTGCCGCTCACGTTCATCCTACTGCAAATGATCGGTGACCTAAGTTCAGGTTCCACACCGGGTGGGAGGAACCGGCTCGTGGTATTAGACTGGGGTGTGGCAGTACTCCCGCAAAGCCACTTGGCTGAATACTATCGAATCCGAGATAAACGAGAGACAAGACCTAGGCTACAATGGGAAAATCCAATGACCAATAGGAAAAGGAAAGACAAAAATAAGAACGTCCTCTCCTTCGATCGTGTCCACAATTGTATTTCCGTAGAATGATTGATCAATTCAATGCCCTCAATTGGCAAAAGAATACTGCACTGCCATGCACTGCAGGGTGTTGAGGGATGGCGGAAGCTGTGCCGTCTGGTTCAGATGACCAAGTGTTGAAATTGGCTGTCGTAAAGACGGCAATGATTCGGGTGGCCAGCCCAGAGTCCCCTGACCGTTCAGGCAGTTGAGCACTTAAACTGCTAGCGGGATTTGTTATTCCATGCAGTGGTTCGCTACAGGGCGACTCATTTCCCTCACATGACCTCGAATGAATCACAGTCTGAACGTAATTCAGGGTTACGCGCTCCTGAATCTACCGACTCAGGCTTTTCAGATGAAACGCTTTGGCTATGGGGTTACTGTGAGCGATAAAGTTGCGCCGCATTGACTTCGCTTTTGTTTGTTTGTTGATGACCATGATGACTTGGTTACGATACCTGACCTGCAGCAGTGGGGCTTCTGTGTGTAATTTCGGGTACACTGCTGACCGGCAGGGTCACTGTCGTTCAGCTCACTGCTTTGCCTGTTCACGACTTCGACGATGACGGGTGGGATTCGTGGACACGCCCCGCAGGATTCCGAGGTTTTCCCATAATTCGAGTTGCACGTCTGTCTCGAGTTGCAACATGGGACAAATGGACGTCGGTGGTCTTTCCAAGACATATTTCGACATCGGACTTCATGTTGTGTAACGCACAAACACACATGTATTCCCAGAATAGCGGTTCAGGCTAGAGTTTAAGCTCATCCTATAAATGGAACCCCGCTAGGGAAGCATGTTGGAGCTATGGAGGGGTAGCTTTTATGGAGTCCAAAGAGAACCTCCCGCCGGTGCAGTCTTGTATGACTGTTGGCCTTTTCGCCGAGCGGATGGGAGATGATGTGACGGCAGTCGCTTTGTCCACATTGTAACGTCACCTTGACCTGGGCTGGTGTCATCTATTCTCTTAGGTACTCGATAAGCAGCTGAACTTGTCAGACATGGGCACACCATTAGCTTGTTCGAAGCCCAGAGTCTGAGGGAAGAAGTCGTTCATATGCGATGCCCTTACTGGCTCGTAACACCCCATGCTACTTAGTCGTTGCTTTTAGAGTCACTCTGACAGGTCATCGGTAAGTGGGCGATGTTCTCGAAGCCTTGGTGATCCTTGTTTCTGGGGTTACGGTCTGGCTAATATGACTTCTAGTACCTGATGAGCGCATCACACATGAAGTCTTTTTTTTTCCCCTGCGTAGAAGCAGGACTATGGCCTAAATTGGTAACTTTTTGTTGCTCATATATCGCAAGAAATAAATTCGTGGTGAAAGCTCATGTCCTGTGTATTCACGATGCTACACCACCATGATGACAGGCAACGGCTGCCGAGGCACAAAACGTGTACTGCAGGCGTATACTGTTATGTGCAGCTTTGTCCAGATTGCGGCAATACTGGTACCACGAAAAGGTTGAAGACCGCAAGTAATTCTCGAAGGATTTCTGCGATTTCGAACTCATGGCATATTGTGTGTCATCAGCCCTATGCCACAGGACATGGTCACACTTGATGCAGTGCTGCCAGATCCTTCCTGGATGTGAGGCTGAGTCTGCCTTTATTGAAAAGAGGCTCGCTACAATTGGCTGTTTGACGTTTACTTGTCTGTTGAGTCCCCCAGTCTACAGAGCCGTTTCAGGGTTGTTCATTTAGATTGTTCACCTCCGCGGCAGCATCCATGACGGTTGACATCAATGTCTCTCCTTGACGTTCAGCTTTCCCATTGAAGAATGGTGGCTTACTTTTAAGACTTGGCAATTGGGAACAGCAGATGATATTCTGCTAAGAGAGCAACAGTAACCGGGTAACAAACATCAATAAATTAGCACCTACGTACTGCACTTGTGAGTGTCGTGTTAATGCTTCTTACAATTGGAGAAATGATTTAACCAAGTTTGTCATGGAAACGCTAAGGGTACTGTAGAAAATTGAAGCAGCTACAGGATAATGCAGTGGTTCTAAGATGACTCCAAGGGTCCGATGATTTCATAAGCAAAATCAGCAGCGCCTAGTCGTCGATATGCGAGTTACGACTTCACAATACGGAAGTTCCGGTGGTCTGGATGAACCAGGGGTGTCCCGGTTACTGGGAACTTTTGACCCTGGATCTACTGGGTACAGTAACCGAATATCGCGTGCCTACATGTCTCTCCTGGGCGCCCGGTAGAGCAGCCACGCGACGACAGAACTGGTCGAGATTCCTATGTACAGAAATGCCATGGGACCTAATCTTGCCCCGCGAAGGCAGTAAAAGCGCTCCGCGCTTGTTGATGATCTCCATTGTGAAGCACAGGTGGTCAAGAATACAGTTACGATTTTTGGCAAAGGCCTTGAAGAGGCAATATGTGCAGTGAGTTGCGATACTATTGTTCTCAGGTACCTGCTTTGCTGCTTAAGCTATAAGTGGCTCGGTTCAGTACTCCATTTAGGTTGGCGTGGTACTACTTGCTGTTGAAGCTGGATCACTGCCTGATCTTGAAGTCGTCCCCGAGGAAGCTATGGTCATCGTTGTATCCGCTGGATATTCTGCACCGTAATCAACACTTTGCATGCGCAATGATCTGATTGATCCAATCTCGTTCGCTCTGACCAGGTCCAGTCCACCACTGTGGGCACCAAGAGGAAACGATCGAGATTGTTTCGCTTTTAGCACTCCAGAAAGAACCTGCTAAGCTGCTGTAAGAAGAGTAATTAGCGAGAACATCAGATCTTACAGCGATAGCGAAACCGCAATAAGCCTTCGACTCGGTGACAGAGCAGAGTAGCTCGTTCGATTCCTGTGGCTGTGGCCAGACAAGGTCCGAGTAGCATTTCTCTGCAAGGCACAAAGGCAGTCCGGAGACCACTAGTGGGCGTGAAAGCATAAAAATATCTGTGTCATGTTCTCCGTGACGCATTGCCACGGATCTGGTGAGGTTGCGCTGCTTAAACTCGGCTGGATCTCTGGACATATGCGTCACTCGCGGCATGTGCATTACATGCATCGTCGCTGCGTTACCGGTGATCATGAGGATTACGAGCCAGCCGATTATTTCCTTTGTATTCGTACTGGTAATGTGGAGAGATTTTGTTGGATGTCAGCAACTGAAGAAAGAGATGGCACAGGACACCCTGTAACCGAATGATGAGCATCGCGAAATGCTAAACAATCTCATTTGTGGTTTTGTTGGGCAGCACGACAAGTCAGAAAAAGATATTTCAAAGCAACGGTTCATACTGTGACAAATGCAATAATTGTTCTACCCAATCCTCGTATAAGTATATGCAACCTGTGGAACTAATACAAGGGCGTGCTTAACAATCTCAACCATCGTGGATTAGTAGACGGGTCACTTGATACCATAGATCTGCGTAATGTACCAAGAGATCGAATAAAGTTCTAGACACAAACCTAAAAGGCACGTGAAATCTGAAATTCTCCGTACGTAGGGATTTGACATTTCGCCAAGTCGTATGCCTTCCAAACCAGATTGTATGTCCTTGCATAGAGCGAGTCTTCGATTTGATTGGCCTAGAAAACGCTGATGGTCATGGCGCCGCAACAGCCAAGACCTTATAATCAATCCACTTGGCCTGCTGCTTTCAAACGTTCAGTCTGCCTCTGTCTTCTTTTCTGTCCATCTTCGTGTGTTTCTATTTACATTGCAGTCGGCCATTTCTTGCCTTTCTGCCACAACCCCATAACCAAATGCCCGAACTTGACCAGATTACTTAGTTGCGCGGCGCCTGCCCTATTGCACTTCGAGACTCTAATGAATTCCTCACCCAGCTGGATTTCAATCCAATCCTCGACGCTGGTCATTCATGGGGGTATCCGTCAATCAAAATCAAAATCCCAACATCAGGTCTTAGACTTCCTACCCGCACTATTTTGCCGCTCCTGTAATTGGGAAAATAGTGGCAATTGTAATAGTTCCGCTGGAACGCTATCATAAGCTGCCCGGGCGAACTCTGCAAACTCCCACGGGTACAGCTTGAACACAAAAACATCGCCGTGTGCCGATAAGGGTTGGGTAAGCTCCGGCGGAAAGGTTTCATTTCGCGGCAGGTAGTCGCACGCGAACGAAAAGATAACCAGATATAGGCCATTGCACCACGGCTGGAACGGGTCCCCAAGCTCTACCCTCCGAACTTCACGGTCCCTCCATGCCTCTGGGGCTTTCCAAAACGCACGCAGGTCGGGCACGTGATTCAGGTCTATGCCAGGCCCAGAACTGACGGGCATCGTCGCGACCTTCACAAGATGAGGGGCAGAACCGTCGGCCGGAAATCTGGCGCCGATGACTGTGACAGAAAATGGTTCTGAATACTCATGATGCAGTCTGGAGCTGATGGAAGTCGAGGAGTTGTTTGCGCCCATGGCGAAGGCGTCACAGCTAATTCGGGGAATATGTTGCCGTTCTAATTTTGAGATAATCCTGTGGAATAAATAGATGTACAACAGGATCAACCACGGATGTATACCGGCCAAGGCTTTTGTTTTGAGCCAATGTTCATCCTTGGTGGCAGGCAACAGCACAGTATGTGAGTCAGCTTCTGCAGGATTGTTATTGGACAGCATTTAACAGCGCTGTTTGGACACCTGCGGGGGATGCCGTATTGCAGCAAGAATGACATTTTGGTCAATGCAGAGGCTCAAGTTGCGACTGAGTAGTTGTTTCCTTTGCTAGACCTGTTAATGGTCAAAGTCTTGCGAGTGATTTGCTATACGCAGGAATGCCTGGCTAGCAGAGTCCTATGATGGCGCTTCTCGCTTGCAACCAATAGACCCACCCTGGATGATGTCGGACTGCAAACAAAATTTCCAACCTGCCGTATGGGCAACCCGATACGTTCTCTATAATCACCTGTCTCATAAAGGTTGATGCGACATGAGTCAATTCGATAAGTTTCCACTTAAGGACAAATATGTGCAAATCCCTCTTATATCTCACACGGCCATGTCCACATGATTATCTACAGCTGTATATTGTTCTTAATCCGCACGAAATTTTCACTCTAGAATTCAAGTTTTGGACTTGGCTTGATTCAGGTCTTATATTGAATTATTTATTGTGATGCTAAGTTTTTGATGGTCTAGTTCACTTTCCGGGTCGAGTCTTTCAAAAGAGCCTCGACACTGATTAACACGCATGAGTTTCTGACTTGAGGTCTCCACTATTGTCTAGAAATCATGTCCAGATGTAGATCGTCGGTGGTATGCCACGGTCCCTTTGCTACTTTCGAAGAGGTTACCGTACCGAACTTTCTTGTAGACTGGCACAAGTGTTGGGAGACAGGCGCCGATGATTACAACATAGATTTCAACCATGGTCGCAATTCAAGAGGAAACATATACTCCTGTTTTAGCCATTGTCTTATGCTTTCGTGTCGTGGGTATATGTTAAGAGGGTCAGAGAAAGTAAAATAATTTGCTTACTTGTAACGTTGGTGGCGCACGACTTGCAAAGCATGAGCAAGGAAATAAAGCGAACGAAGCTAGCCACAACTACTCTGTGGAACATTGTCAGTGTGCCATTCAGGTGAGCTAGTAGTGACACTGCATCACCTTATACGCCGCATTGTGCAAACACTGCGCAGATGTCACACTTTTTTCTTCTTAAAATTTTTTTTCCGCGTTGTGATATGAGCTTCAGTACTTCTCGAATAGGAAGAACCACGGTCAAAGCGTCGATTGGGCAATTTGCGATCGAGTTAGTTTATAAAAGCCTTCATCGTTTAAGGAGGATGGCCAAAAATGATATACACCAAATTGGAATATCACATCTGAGCACATATTTGCAGGTCTTCATCGGAAGAATGGATCTGTTCAACAATACCACTGGTATTAATAAATTTAAGCAGCCTAGAATCATTCAGTTGCCAGGCTCAAGCGGAGAACTATCCAGACAACGCTGGAAACGAAGCGTCCTTTCGGAGCTATGCAGGTTTCCTGATCTGATGTCTGCAATGCCCCATATCAAAAACTCGCGATTGGTTCAGGAACAGGTCACTTCACAACGACTCAGAACTAACCGCTGATATTGATTTTTATCCTGAAGCGATCTGCTTTAGATTTCCATAGTTCCCACTAACTCGCAGTCATCTTCTCTCCCTTCACAGTAGTTTGATGGTCTTGAAGATCCTTGCGGCGAAAGTGGCACCTGTCCCACTAATGTGATATGATAATGGCGGTGGGGCTTTGACCATATTAAGAGATACTTACGCCCCCAACCATGGCAAAAACGATCAGGTGGCTTGTACTGAGGAACTGGTAGTACGCAAGTACTAACGCGTAAATACTTATTACCTAGTTCAACTCCGGCCGGGATCAAATCCCCGGAGGAAATCAATCACTGAACGGCCGTTGTCTGTCACGACACAAGCCTAATGTATCCTGAGGTATAGTTGTGGCAGTGTATTTGGATCGCGCTCACACTCGTCTCCGCCTGCGTGCCGAATCATACTCCACTTCGCAGGAATAATCTACTTCGCTTTAGGGACTTGTTGCAAGTACAGTATTAGTATTTAGCGAGGCATTTATAACCCTGCAGTATGGGGTTGAAGATATGAACCTGATCTGGTGGAGCCCTGGGACGAGAAGAGAACAATCCATTTCTCGTAGACTCTCACATCACAGGCATAAATCCTCCATACTATATTCCTATATGCTATTGCCGACGTCTTGCACTCGATTCACTGTAGCACAATTGGTGGGGGGTATGAGTAGCGTTCAACATTATTCGAGATGATACCAGTGAATGCCCACTGGCTTCAAAATCTGCAAATTTCCATCCCCACCACTTGCTTCAGTTTTGGTGGATCAATATGCCGGTTAGCATATCCGCCTCCATATACAGTGGACTTATCGCCAGGTTACTGGACCTAAATGCCTCTTCTGCTGTGGGTGTTCAACTATCTTATCATCAAGCATAATATGTCTCGGCAATGTAGTGACATTCGCGTGCGCTCTCTCAGGGAGTTTGTCGCATACAACGTCCTTTGTACGGACCAACGTATAAGTAATATACGGATACATAGCTCTTCAGGCATCTGAACCAAATGTCGCAGACTAGGCCTGTGCAGCTTCTTTCATCTACTTCTACGGCCGGTATCTTCTAAGATGTCACGGCCTGCTGAATATCCTTGGTTGTCCTACCAACCTATAAGACTTTTCTATACCTTGTCACGGTTTGGTCTCATCATTGCCCACCTACCCTACTGGACTTTAGTTTCTCTCATCCCAGCCTGTCGGCCGATTAGATCATGGACATTCCGCCAGGCCTATATGAACTCCTTGGGCGAAGCCTTGACGTACGTCTTGTCTCGGGTTAGGATCCTTGAGGATCTCTCTTTCGAGGCGGGCAGCAAGGGCGACCGCTGGCAAGTACTCGAACCATTCGAGGAACACTTTTATACTGGCCCTCTGAATTCACCTAATATTCAACCGGCTAAAGTAGGCGGGACGTGGTACCCGAGCAAACCCGCGACCGAGGATTTGAAAGGTTGCCTGCAAAGCATCATCGTCCACATCCACGGTGGTGCTTTTGTCATGGGCAACGGGCGTACGGCTCATAGCGGCTTCTTGGCAAGGACTCTTGTCGAGCACGCCCAGGCCGACGCCGTGTTCTGCCTCCAATATCGTCTTCTGCATACAACGACACGAACCCTTTCCCCGCCGCTCTGCAGGACACATTAACGAGCTATCTCTACATGGTCCGTGACCTGGGTATCTCGCCAAATCGTATCGTCTTAAGCGGCGACAGCGCCGGTGCCAACCTCGCAATCGCATTGTTGCGCTATATCGAGGAGTTCGGATCCGAGCTTGGGCTTTCAGAAGCTCGACCCAGCTGCGCTGTTTCGATATCGCCATGGGTTGATCCTCTCGCCGCCCTCGACCAGACTCCGTCTACATGCAGTCGCCCCATTGGAAGACCGACTACTTGCCGGTATTATTTCTTCGACGGGGGGCTACGACATATGGTGGAAAGAGACTGAAAGAAGATCCTCATGCTACAGCCATAGGCAACCCCTACAAAACGTCTGTCCCCATATTCGTTGGGATGGGCCAGGGAGGGGTCCTTCAAGATGAAGGAGCACGATGGGCTCGAGAGATGCAGGCAATCGACGGAAATCATACACAAGTGGAGTACGAAGAGAACGCCACGCATGACACGTTGCTAATGGGGGCAATGCTTGCTTGGGAAGAAAGCGCCCAAAAAGTGGCTACGAATATCGGACAGTTTATCGGGAAGCATCAGAGCGGCCTAAATATTTGAACTTACAATCCGGTCTTTTGGAGATTGGCGAAACTTGTCAGTATCTACACGGTTCAACTTTACTCCCCGGTCGTTGTTGGAGATATGTATAGATTTCCATGTCCATAATAGACAAGATATTGGTCGAATAATCATGATTAGGCATACTGTAACTTGCTAAAAGAACAAGAGAAAAAGAATAAAAACAGGTAAAAAATTATTATTAGACCTTCCAAAGAGCTTTTGATCAGCCGAATGGCCACATACGAAATTGGAGAAGACAGAGTTTAGCGATGGCACCACCCACTACACCATGACCTAGTCTATCCAGAGCACACCTCATGCGCAAGTGGGATGTTATTAAAGCCGTGAAAATTTAGTTTTTCCTAGTTGGTCGAACATTGGAGATCGTACACGTGTTTTATCAGTATTGTACGAATACTATAACAGGAGTTGTCGGCTACACTTTCCCGACTTCCGGAGTGACCTTACTCTCACCTCATATGGCAGTGGCAACTTGGAAGCTAAGTTAAGTGTCCGAGGCCACTGGTCCTGTGCGTTCGCATCGTACGGCATCTGTGATTCCAAATGGCCAGGTTTCTTCAATCTATTATGACCAGATAGGAACTAAAAGAGACACTGCTTATTCATCACGGAGAACTCGGTTCTTCGCTCGCGGTCCAAACAGACGCGATAATAAAGTTATTGGTGAGCAAAATCTGGGGTAAGTGCCTAGTGATGGAGCCAGTGACATCAATATGAGTTAGCTAATTCGTCAAACTAACTGCAGCCCCGACCATGTCTCGTCGAAATGACTGCATATGTAAACATGTGCAACCTCTTGGCACTTTGGAATCATTGAAAAGCGAGCGCTACAAGACACAGTTCATCCGTGATAGGGTAGCTAACCTCACAGGGTTATACGGCTTTAACATGGCCTATTTGTAATCCTCCCACTGATTGGAAGGCTCTCCGATGCAAGCCGTTCACAGTTAAATACAGTTGCAACAATCTAACTTACACTATACCTTCAGCCCGGCTTATAAGAACTGCTGTGAAACCGTCGCAGAGCTTCGATTTGATGTCCATGCAATGAGACAAATGAATCTAACAAGAGGCGCTCTACGACTTTTGCAGAGCCCATTGTTTGTGACAAATACCACCAGCAGAACCCTGAGCACCATGGCGACTCCATATGCCATCAAGATCGCACCAGACAACACCGGACTCTGGCATTTTAGTCAGAGCGAAGATGTAGCCAACAAAGCCACCGAGTTGCTGCAGAAGGATATTGAGAAGCACCATGTCTTCTTCAACCGAGATGGTTTTCACAATCAGTAAGCCACGGCAGGAGCAAAGCCGAATCTTGAATCTTCTACACTGTGCTCGCCCGTTAACACCCACATCAGCATAAGCCATCAAATCCTAGCCCTCTACGGCACGGGCGCCTCAGCCGAGGACCTGGCCAGGGGCTACAAGGAGAACGAGTCGTACCAGCGGCCGGCGCTGAAGGCGCACTCGCAGGCGCTGATCGAGGAGCTGCGCGATTGGGACAGGGCCAAGCAGAAGCTGGGCAAGGAGCAGTACTACACGGACTGGCTGCACTTCTTCCAGCACGAGACGGAGCACCTAGGGTCCTGGCAGAAGGTGCTAGCCGAGTACATGTTCAAGCCCGGCGGCGACCCGCGCAGCGAGGACATGCTGGTCCGCATGTTCGCCGGGTTCATGCACCCTCTCATCCAGCTCATGTACGGCGTGGAGTGGGACCAGCCGGCCATGGTAGCCATGGCGCTCGCCCAGGCCTGCGTGCACTCAGACCAGTTCCGGGACTTCATGCTCGAGGCCGAGGCGCGCAGCGGCGACGAGTCGTCGACGGCAGATAAGACTCCCATGCCGCGCATCAAAGATCTCCTCGACGCCGCGGCCGGCGACTCGGCCCTGCGCGGCTCGCCCCGCCTGGACGACGGCAACAAGATCCGAGACGGCGTGATCGCGCGTGCCAGGGACCAGGCACTCAAGTACACGTCGCAGGTCCGGGTCTCAGCCGCGGAGCTCGAGGAGCGCACAGCCGAGATGTACAACACGGCCATCTACATGGCGTCGGGGGCGGCGGTGCACTCTGACCCAGCAACGGGGGTCGCCAAGGACCCCAAGTACGACTTCTTCCTCATGCACCACGTCAACGTGTGCCCCATCTTCGTGACGCTCAACCGGCAGGACTGGATCCCGGCCGAGCTCAAGACGCGGCTCCTGGAGTGGAAGATCCGCCTGGACCTGCTGCAGTACGCCGCGCGCGGGTCGCCCGACCTCGACCTGGCGAAGATCGCCAACTACAAACCCAAGGCCCCGAACCCGGGTCCGCCGGCCGAACTGCTGCCGCGCATGCACGCCTTCGTGGACGACGGGCACGCCATCAAGCTGTTCCGGGCCGTGGGCGTGGGAAAGGAGGTCAGCCGGCCGTACGAGGGGCGGGACTGGATGCCGATCCGGGGGGATTCGTGGAACCAGGTTGCGCACATGGTCGTGGACTCGGTGGAGGCGCCGGGGCCGACGTGGGTGAGGAACGCCGGGTTCGACGAGGCTTGGAAGGTGAGTTCTCCCCCCTCTGGTGAGGAGATCCGTGGAACCCTATCACAGTGGGTGCGAAATGATGAGAAACTAACCTTTTTGCGACCATAGGAGGTTCATAACCGCAAGGATGGAAACAATGAATCGGAACGCCAGGGGCCTCTGTACGAGTAAGTGCTTTTTGGGTTGTGAAGAAAATGGTGTGTGTGGCGCTGAGAAAAGCAGGACGAAACTTTAAATAAAGTGTACGAACATGTGTGCAATAGTGCCTGTAGGCCAGGATTACAAATATACATACCTTGTGCTTTTATTGTTATAACATTTGCTTCCGATTTTTATATAGTTGTTATCATGCCTTTCCTACAAGCTTTAAGTTTATGGAAAGTTTGGAGTTCTTTCATTTCTTCATATTCATCATTCGATCCATATGATCCTATCAATAATACATGCTTTCGGCCCAGGACATCTCCTCAATCCTGTCTTTGCAAAAATAGGAACCATTCCTCTTGGCAGAGACTTGTCTCTTCTGGCCCTTCCTGAAGATACGCTAAATAAAACTAAGGCTATTATCTCAGGAGATTTACAAACGAGAATACACGCCTGATTTAAATTGCAATGAGAGGATTTTCCGGGTTGTGTGGTCTCGGAGCTTCTGGATCATCTCTGGCTGGTTCCGCCTGGCCTGCTGCATCGGCACCAGCGCCTTCGCCGCTCTGAGCGTTCTCTGCAGCAACTCTAGCAGCCTCCGCAGCTGCGGCCTCAGCCTCTTCCCGACGCTGGCGTTCGGCTCTGGCCTCAGCTTCGAGCTGAGCAATGTGTCTCTCCGCAACGCCTGGTGCGATGCTAGCGAGGAAGAGAATACCCGCTCGCTCTAGCCTACGTGCCTGTGTCATAAGCCAATTGCCATTTGCGACTCTTCTCTCCCGTACCAGACGGGCAGCTGTCTCAACAGGGTCTGGTGCTCTCCGTTCACCCGGGGCTCCAGCATGATCGTAACCAGCTCCAGCATTTTCAGCTGGCGCAGGTCGGTCACGGCCATGGTTGTCAGCCGCCGGCATTATATTATCCAAGTGTCTGCGCAGAGGGGTCCAGAACTGCTCGGCGATTGGCGTGAGCAGTCCGGTATTGACCAGGAATAGCGTCAAAGCGATGGCCATCACTGTGAACCATCGCTGCCAACTAGCAGTGGGTGAAGTAAACCACCATACAAAAAGAACAAGACGGATAACCATCCAGATATGAGGCCATATTTGAGCTACAGCAATCGCACGAACCTGAACATTGCCTGGCCGGGCAACTGCATGTCCCATCTGCGGCTGGGCATGGGGAAGCGCAGGTAAGCCTTGCACTAGGGGAGCTGGAGCTTGAGGTTGAGCTTGTGGTTGCTGATGTTGGTGCTGATGCTGCTGAAGTTGCTGTACGGCTTGATCCCCAGTAGGTGGTGACCATGAGCCAATTGTTCTTGTTGGAACTCTTTGTTGTTGCTGTTGATGTTGATCGTGTGGTGGTGCCAACCCTGGAAGAAAACCAAACGCGCCCATGTTTTGCTGATATAAAAGTTGACGCCTCCTCATCCGTTCCGCCGATGCTTGCGCTTCTAGTGCTTGTTGGCTCAGGGGAGTGAAGTAGGCGCTCGAGCTGCCATTCACCAACAACGCACGTGGTCCCTCAGGGGAAGATAGGATATAAACTTCTGGAACAGTTGGAGCGGAGGCTTGTGCTTGCTGTTGACTGGTGGGCTGGCTGTGGTTCTGAGCCGCCCTGATAGGATCGGGTGTTCCCATGGCGCTCCCTGTTCTAGATGGGACCGTGACTCCTGGTGCTATCGGTTGATTTGCCTGGCTATTTCCGAGACTTACCAGTGATGAGTTGCTCGTATTACGTCGCATCGCGTCAGCCATCACCCGGGTTGCCGCTTGTCCTGCATCGGCGGTCCGTAATATATTGTGAACATCGACTCCAGAGAGCTGTCCTCCGTGCAGGGCTCCGTGCGGTCCGGCCAAGGGCACGGAGCGCGGAGGTTGAGGTGCACCAGCGGGTGGTCGAAACATGTTCGAAATGTCTGCAGGCGGAAATGGCGATCCCGTCCTTGGGTTGCGTTGAGGTGTCTGGGTTGTAGTGACAGTCTCGTTGACTGTGATGCGCCACGACTGCCCTCCAGGCCCAACTCCTTCGCGCACAACAGTCCTCGTGCCATCGGGCTGATACGGCGAGGCGTTCCTATCGGTGGGTTGACCAGTCGCCGCCCCTGTCGATGCTACGTGGGCATCCTGTGCTCCATTCAGTCCCAATGCCGCCCTTTCTCTCTGAGTCTGATTTATGATCTCTTGAAGTCTTTGCGGATCGGCCATGTTCGTCATCCACTGTCTCTGATGTTGGGCGATCTGCTGAGGTGTACCAAAACCAAATGGAAGGTGAGCTGGGTGTGCTTGCGAGGGAATTCCAACGGCAGGGGGCTGCGGGAAACCGGGTTGTTGGAAACCAAAGGGTAGGTTTTGCAACGGAGCACCAGCATGTACGTGTGATAGCTGCGGTAGATGCGGAAAAGGCGCATGAGGGTTTGGGTTACGCGGGAGCGGTTGCTGTTGTTGGGGTTGCTGCGGCGGTGGTGGAGGAGCTGCCGGTGCTGACTGCTGGTTGTGCGTACTTGGGGCGGACTGGTTATGACTTGAGTGTGGTGGCAATGGTATACTGGCAGGGCGTATGTCGGAGGTCTCGCGCAAGACGAGATGCAGAGTCTGAGGTGCGCCGGAACGGATCTTGAAGCATAAGAGCATGTTAGCGTACTTGTTCGTCGAAATTGGTGCCACGACACCATCCGAGATGATGGGGTTAGAAATCGCACCTCGTCCTCTCCAAATATCTTAAGCATAGTATCCTCATCGGTTGCCAGCAGACGTCCCCGGTGGATCAGTCGCTGCGCCTGAGCGGCCGGCTTGGTATCTATTCTGTTCTGAAGCTGCTCTTTCAGCTGGCGTACGGTAATGGTCTCAGGCACATTGTTGAAGTTGAGCGGTTGTGGGACGCCGATGGACGGGGATAAGATCTGGAGTGTGAAAGCCTGCGCCTCGTCGCCGGAGGATGATCCCGCGTCAGAATCAGAGGAAGCCATGGTCAACTATCGATCGTCGTCGGTTTGGTGCGATGTTTCGGACTGGACTCTACTCGTACGCTGCGATATGCGTTGGGTGCTTGGTGTTGGGCGTTGGTCGTTGTGCTGAATGCTCGGGTTGGTCTGAGGAAGAGGAAGAAGAAGCAGCTTCAATTATGCTTCCACCCAGAGCGCGAAATACATGCCAGGCAGGAAATGAGCAATATTGCTTGATGACCAGGACGGTCGTACGGAGTCGTAACTGTAGAAGAAATTAAGTCAAGGAAGGCAAGGCACGCAAGAAATGTGACCTGGGGGCGAGATATGAGATGTCAAAGAAGCAAGTTCAATGAATGATTGTGACGCAACAGAAAAATCACGATCGTGCAATACGCTGATCTGTCATGTCATGGTCGTGGGGGGAGCTCTGTTGGTTTCCCAGTACCATGTACTACACATTTGTCTGTAAGAAGTATCCGTAAACGTAAACGAGCCAAGGCCGAATTGGTAATATCCACGTTGGCCTGAACGGCGACCCCTGATATGACACGAAATAGTTTACGGAGTACGCATCCTTAGATCAGTTGTGCACACCCCGTTGCGTTGCGCCCTCCTGAACAAAGTGCCGAGTACAACTCGCAGATGTGATTGTGTTACTTCTATTCAGTTGCTGCAGCGCTTGCCTCTTCTCTAAGCCGTGGAATAAAACCAGATGATTGAGCTGACGTACAGTGGGCAAAAGGACACCATCTTTGTTCAGTTTTCGGGATTTTGTCAAGCTTCCGAGGTACGCTTTGAGTAGGTACCCTGTACTTCGCACAGTTGGATTTTCACAACTTGTTATGACCGTGGAATAGCAAGCAGGTGGGCTTTATGCATATGAGCTGACGTCTCGTACCGGACCGCGTGCTGCACGGATCACCGGGTACCGACAGCTCGGAATCTGCCAAACGCCACCGCTCTCCGAGCTCAGGTTAGCGTCCACGGACAGCTGCGTCATTGGGCAATCTGAAGAGAAGAGCTGAGCTGCATTAGACTATGCTGCTCGACTGTCATTGGAAAGCTGAAATCTGGGGAAGAAAGCCGTCTAGCGCTATCCTGCTGTACATGTGAATTTGGGTACCATGATCGGGATCTCGCCTTCATCATTCCTGTGTTAAACAGCGCAATTGTGCATCAACAGCTGACACAGCGCCGCCCGCCTCTCTGTTTAGCCGTAGCCTACATCCTTTCCCTCTCCCTTCCAGCCAAGCCTTGCTCTACACGTTGTGATAGTGCTTCAAGTCCACCATGGCCAGCCGGCAGATAACCTCTGCCATGGCAAAGTCCAGGGGACCTTCCGGCCTCCGTCAGTCACACCTGTCAAGATCTCGAACATGCGCCCGCCAGTTCACGACCACACCCCGACCCCTATTCCAGCAATCACCCCAGCGACTCCAACAGAAGGAGAAATTCAGATCCAGGCTGGGCTCGGCTCTGAAGAATACTAAGATACAATGGGCACCCATACCGATTGGACTCGGCATTGGTTTTCTAGGGCTTGTACAGTTCTACAAAACTCAAGCCCGTGAGAAGGAAAGACTTGAACAGGAGGCTGCGGATTCGGAACCTGGAACAAGACCCCAGAAGAGGCCCAGGATCAGGCCAGATGGTCCATGGTAAGACTCCTCTCCGTCGCGTTGCACAAGCTCGGCCTTGCTAAATCGCCATCTCAAGGACTGTGCGGGTCATGTCTACCTTGCCTCTGAAGGCCATGTCGCGGATATGGGGTCAGTTCAACGAGTTGGTCATCCCATACTACCTGCGTGTTCCTGGTTTCAAGCTATATTCATGGATCTTTGGTGTCAATCTTGATGAAGTATCCGAGCCTGATCTTCACATGTACCCGAATCTGGCTTCCTTCTTTTACAGAACACTAAAGCCTGGTGTCCGACCTTTGGACCCGAATCCGAACGCTTTACTGTCCCCCGCTGACGGTCGCATCCTGTCGTATGGCCAGATTGAGGGTGGAGACATTGAGCAAATCAAGGGCATGACGTACAGCATAGACGCCCTTCTAGGCAAGACTACTCCGACACCCAGCATTGCCGGATACAGTACAGACTCATTGGACAAGTCAGTCCGCGATGGCCGAGCTCAACACGAACTCCATGGCGATGAAGAAATCATCAAACAAGACGAGGACTTTGCCCGTGTTAATGGCATCACATATACCCTGCCTCATCTCCTCTCAGGCCCAAAGAAGGGCGGCAAGAAGGAGGAGGATCTCGAGGACCAATCTATGCGGCCCTCAACTCCTAGTACCGTTTCCGAAGTCCGCGCCGATTTGGCTTTGGGAGAGAAGCCCTGGTACGATCTGTTGTCCACCGAAAAGAAGAGTGCTCTCTACTATGCGGTTGTCTACTTGGCACCAGGTGACTACCATCGCTTTCACTCGCCCACAAACTGGGTAGTGGAGAGTCGACGACACTTTGCAGGGGAACTCTACTCCGTTTCGCCCTATCTGCAGAGGACTCTACCTGGACTCTTCACCTTGAATGAGAGAATTGTGCTTCTGGGCAGATGGCGGTGGGGATTCTTCAGCTATGTTCCCGTAGGCGCTACGAATGTTGGCTCTATTAAGATCAACTTCGACAAGGAACTGAGGACGAACTCGCTCACAACTGACACTGCAGCCGACAGAGCTGCAGAGGAGGCTCAGCGCAGAGGAGAACCCTACTCTGGGTACTCAGAAGCGACGTACGAGGCAGCAAGTGCAGTCTTGGGAGGCCATGCCATTAAGCGAGGCGAGGAAATGGGAGGTTTTCAGCTAGGCAGTACTATTGTCTTGGTATTTGAAGCACCGGCGAGCAACGAAGGTTCAGACTCGAAGAGAGGCTTCAATTGGGCTGTGGAGAAGGGCCAGAAGCTGAAAATGGGTCAGGCTTTAGGATACGTGATTGAGGAATAAGGCACAAAAGGCATGTCTCAATCCGGGGATGTGAGGGATTGATCCTCAAAGCTAGAACGGAATAGGCGTACTATCTCGCACTCACCCATGCAAGCGATAAACCCGACAGAAAGCTGCACCCACCACTCAGATCAATTTGCAATCGCATTTAGCACATCATCGTCATCAGCCTTGGAAATCTCACCTTTCATGTGATTTAGCATCAGGAAGGTTCAGAAGTGGGCCCCCGTTCCTGTCAGTCCTGCTAAAAACTATGTAGAGAATTTTTCTTTTAACGTAATTCGGGGGTAATTAGAACCTTTTGGGACACTCCGATAGGGCGTCTGGCCAAGCACCACCACCCATCGAGGCTCGAATAAGAACCAATACAAGGTCTGATACGTCGTATTTCACTATAAACACGATTCCTATATTCTCTTTAAGGCAACTTCATAAAGGCGCAACACCGAGATCGCTCACCTAAGATTCCCCTTCATCTTTGAACAATCTGCTTAAATCCGCCGCTCAATCACTTAGCTTGCGACCGCCGACACCAATTAATCACCTGTTAGGATACCAGGTGTAGCAGCCCAAAAAAACAAAACCCAAAAAAAAAAAGCACAAACCCACTCGAATACGTTTCAAGCAGTTCTATCATCGTCAATCTTTAAGATGGGGTTCACTGCCGTTGTTAATGGCAATGGCCAGGAGTCTTACCCTGAGTCCAGGGTCCTTATCATTATTACAGGCGGAACGATATGCAGTACGTCCTCACCATGCCCACTTGCGGAATTGAAGCATTGGCTTACACGTACTGTGCAGTGCAACCTTCAGCGGACGGTTCAGGACTGGTTCCAGTGGTCGGTTTCCTTGAGAGTGCCATGGCTCCGAGACCGTCTTTCAATGATAGGTCTGAACGAGGTATGTAAGCTCAGTGAATCAACCTTTGGTCCGAGGGCTATGCGACAGTGATCAAGTCCAGCTTATTCACTTTCGCATCGCAAACCCGCCGGGTGATTGGGAGATGGGGATCATTCATGGAAACCAACCCTCGTGCGAATTGGACTAACGCAATTCACAGTGAAATTGACCGCCATCAAGGATGGGGAGAAGGTCGAACTTGATAGTCTGCGCACACCACCTAGCTCATACTCGCGGCACATTCGATATGGAGCCCTCGAGTTCTCGCCATTACTAGACTCATCCAGCATCAGCTCGGAGGGTTGGTCACAAATTGCGACCACCGTCAAGGAAAATTACCACCTTTTCGACGGCTTCGTGGTTCTCCATGGAACAGACTCCCTAGCTTACAGCGCATCTGCGCTCTCCTTCATGATGGAAGATCTCGGAAAGCCAGTTATTCTTACCGGCTCGCAAGCATCCATCTTCGCTCTACAGTCTGACGCAGTGGACAACCTCCTGGGCTCGCTGATCGTTGCAGGGACCTTCGTGATCCCCGAGGTCTGCCTCTTCTTTCACCACACCCTGTTCCGAGGCAATCGAACGACCAAGGTCTCGGCGTCTCAATTCCAAGCCTTTGACAGCCCCAACTGCGAGCCCCTGGCTAAGGTGACCAGCATCGGTATTGATGTGAACTGGTCACTGGTCCAGAGACCGACAAAGATCGCTCAGTTCAAGGTAACGCCATACCTAGACACGGCGCACGTGGCTTGCGTGCGAATCTTCCCTGGCATCAAGCCCGAGATGATCAATTTCATCTCCAATATTCCAGACCTCAAGGGCCTGATCCTCGAGACCTTCGGCATGGGCAACGCGCCCTCTGGCGTCGACGGCTCGCTCACAAAGGCGATCCGGTCCGCGGTCGAGCGTGGCATCACCGTCGTCAACGTGTCGCAGTGCACCAACGGCTTCGTGTCGCCGCTTTACGCGCCGGGCTTCGCGCTCGGCAAGGCCGGCGTCGTCTTCGGGCACGACCTGACCTCCGAGGCCGCCCTGACCAAGCTGGGCTACCTCCTGACGCTCAAGATCGAGCCTGCCGAGGTCGCCTCCCTCATGTCGCAGTCCCTTCGCGGCGAGCTAACCGAGCTCGCCGTCCCGGCCTTCTCCCATCCCGTCAGGGAGGAGAGCAACCCCCTGCTGTCGGGCGCCGAGGCCGCTTTCACCCTCCTGGGCTACGCCATCGCCAACGGCGACCTGAAGGCCGTCAGGGACCTCCTCGAGGGCGATGAGCTCAACCACCGCCTTCTGGTCCGCGCTGACTACGCCGGGAACACCCCCATGCACCTCGCCGCCGTCGGCCCCAGCAAGGACGTCCTCAAGGAGCTGCTGTTGAGGGGCACCAGCGTCCACGAGCGCAACCGCGCCAACAACACCCCCCTGTTCCTAGCCATCAAGAGCGAGAGGCAGGAGTTTGCCGAGCTGCTAAGGGCCGCAGGCGCCGCGCTGTGGTGGGAGGAAGGCGGTGCGTCGAGGACCGGGTCGCCGAAGGCGAAATAGGGGCCCGGACTTGATGGTATGGTCTAAAAGGGGTTTCTTTGCGTTTTCGTCTGCTCTTTGTCGTCGTTGTTGTTGTTGTTGTTGCGAATGAATTGGTAGCGATATATAGACTTGAACTATAAAGATGATTTACAAACGGTTATTACTCTCGGCTTTAATCTTTCCATGGTGTTGGGAGGAGTAGGGTGAAGATGAATGCCGACTTTACCTGGCGTTGTGTGGGAAGATGCAAGTCTATCTATGTATGGATGATGATGAATATCAAAGAAGCAAGCAGCTTTAGGGCAAGTTTACGGAGAGGACTGAGTAGTAATGCACATGCAGCTATAGGGTAACTTTTGTTAGTAATTCACGGGTGGGATCGCCAGGAGTAAGAAGACATAGAGCAGGTATTGTGAACACAGAGAAATAAACGAATGTGACAAGGGAATGGAGAAGTAGAAATGGAAGTTCAACATAAAAACTTGCATAAATGTATAGAAGAAATGTTATCTACCTTGAAGTCACATACAACAAACATCATTCATTTCACGCCACCAAGGGACGGACGGATGGACGAGTGGCAGTGAGGGAACAACTAGAGAAAAGAAAAAGAAACTGACTGATGAGAAAGACAGAATAGACTCTTACTGTGGCTGGAGAAGAAATAAAACCTTCGCTCTCTTCAACGGAGTGCCCTATTCAAACTCCACAAGGCAGGATATGGGGCCCAGGGCGCCGGCTACTGATTTGTGGAGTTTGAGCACTGTTCTGAAGTGTCTTACCACTAGACCCACCCGGCCGTTTGTACTTCTGATTGTTGAGGTATCGCCGAGCAGTCTGACAATATGAAGGAGGGTTGTTGAACTTTGAGCAAAGGCCAGAGTTATGGTGTCTAAGATGTGTATATAGCCGGGGAATCACCACGCTTCGCCCGGGAGGCAGATAGGTAGGCAGGCAGGCTGTGAATTTGAGAATCTTGGGGGGTGGGGGGTATAATGAGTACGTAGCGACCTAGCAAGTGTTTAGAGCTGGAGGGCTAACAAGACATAGAGCACAGGCTCCAGAGCACATGAGGCGTCAATTGAGTATTTCAATTTGACCTGACTACGATGTACACGGATCCCAGGTCAATATTGAGTCTCTAATGTGGAGTAGCTCGCATTCCTTTACCTGCACAGAAGCCTTGATAATATTCACAATCCCTCAAGGAGAGCAGTCTCTGAGCATGTACCACAAAGTTTCAAAATAGGACATCACATATGCATGAGCACGCTGAATATCCTATTGTTTGACTGATAGTCACCGTGAATACCGGGTAGATATGCCATTCAGACAAATATTAAAACTCCTGTCACCACGGCATGTTTTACTTTTCAACAGCTTTCGACAGGACCTGTGTCATGTTCATGTTGGATTTTAGAAACTATTTGGTGAATCATGCTTTCTATCAATGCCGCATAACTAGCATATTCACTGCAGATACCATGAGGACAGTCACGCCTGCTACCAAGTACTTTCATATGCGCCTGATCATCGATCTCATCCTCAAAACCTCATTTCTGAATTATACTTGTTGATAGAAGACTAAGTAGCTCCAAATGCGACTACTATTCACGTTATTTTGTTCTATGATAAGTTTAGCCAACGAGGCATTGTTGATTCTGTTCAACGGTTGTCTCTGCCCCTGTCTATGCTTTGACCATTATGGTGCACGCTGAGCTAAGACATATCTCATTGACTCACAGGTAGGTACTGGTTCCTTAAGTTTCTTTCCAAGCATCTGTCTGGTCTTTGTACCAAGGGAGTGCATTTGTATTCCTTAGTCAACTTTCGTTCAAATCAGGTAAGGAATACCTAGAAATAGTATATAAGAAAGGTGAATAACAAATCGTGGTAGAAGGCAGCCATGACCTGGAACAATATTCTCCACTGGACCCGTGGTATATGGGCGGTATTCTAGGTAGCCTGGGTTTGATACCATAGTAATCAACAAAAGCCAGGCCAGTCGTCTTCAAGTTTCCAGCAGTGTTATGCATTGCACTGGACAATGAACAGCGTATAAGAGCTGTATGGCAGGATTCGTGGTTAAGAGTCAATGACTGTTCTCCCCTGAGGACAAAGGTGACATCTCCGACCGAAGGCATTTTTTTTTTGGTCTGTAATGGCTTGGAATCAATGGACACCTACAATCCCGTATCTAGGACACAAGAGAAATAAGGAGTATTCTCGAAATCGTAACTTTCTGAGTTAAGTATTTGACGAAGCCTGTGATTGCGAGTATTAGCTACCGGAAAACTACTTAGGGGACTCATTCATTATAGCCTAATGCTTTGGGAAGACTAGTATAAATCTTCCAATCATTACTTACCGTAATCGGTCACCAACGTGCATTCTCTTTTTACGTTTTCTTTTTTGCAAAGGATATGCCATAACCCTATTCGACGCTACCTGTAATTCCTCCATCCCACAGGTTGTCACGTGCAATTTATACCTTTATTACTCGCTCTCCCGCAAGCCCAATTGTTATAATCTGCTCTACAATCAGTTTTACAATCGCTAATATCCCGCTGTCCTCCGAGCTCATTACGTAAGAAAACGTCCCAGTAAGGTCACTATCACTGACATTCAGGCATCGCGAGAATGTGCTGTCTCGAGACTATAGGCAAAATGTATCGAACGCGAAAGCGAAAAGAAGTCGTCGAATTTGGCATACCTGATTGTGACAGGGAAAAAACCTAAGAGAGTCAAATTTGTTATGCGTGATTTGGACGGCGGAAGGCTAGGTTTACTTTCGAAAAGGCGTTTGAGATGGTCTTATACAAAATGACCGAGGAATTCGATAGAATACGTAGTTGAAGAAAGGAATCAAAAAGAGCGAAGAAACTGATCTCGTTGGCTTCGTTCGCTTCGTTTGCTTCGACGAATGGCCAGAGGTCAAGAGCAGGTCGCCGAGTGGAGATAGTCATTGTGGCAGGAACAGTAGTTGTACCACAAGTATAGGCTCAGGCCTAATTGGGCTCCGAGACCACTACAAGGTTAACCGATTCTCGAGGGAAAATTAGGATGTGAGGAAAATCAATGATTGCGAATATCTCAGCTTTGTTAGAGACAAAGATGACGACATGGACTCCGTTGATGTGTGATCTGATTCGGAGATGTTCTGACAACGTTTGACTTGAGCACAGAACGGAAATGAGGAGACTACAGTAGCTTAGAATAATGTCCGATGCAGACATTTATCCTGACAGAATTTTACTCACGTTGAACGCTATTTGAGGTAGTCGTATGCCTTTAAGCCCACTCAACTTATGAGCAAAAGCAACGCTCGCCAAGAAACATACCCAATTTTCGTCGGTCGAAAGATTTACTACATAGTATTTATCAACTATCATTTCCTAACTGATACCACGAACAGTAGAGCTTGCCGTGGAAGGGATGGTCAAAACATTATGTGCTCCGAAGATCCAATATCCGTTCGGGGCGTCACCCCATCTCTGACTACATCAGTCTTGTTGACATATCTCGTGGAGCCCGGCCTTTTCGGCCGGGTTTAAGAGAAAGGTAAACCAACTGAGTAATCCGACAGTAGACAGCCAATACAAATGCGCTGGCATGGGTTAGGATCGGGAAAAGATTCCTTCTGAGTGCTACATCAGATAGCGCAAGTAAGTGACAGTATCCATAGCATTCGATACACGCCCTACTACCCAAGTGTAGATCGAGCACAAGTCAATGCATGGTTTCCTATTCGGAATTTTTAAACCTGTTCCGACCGCGAGAACGTCATCCGTTTCCAACCGTAATGAAGCTGGAGTTACACGGGAATCAATCAGGTCCGAAGTAATCCAGCACTTTTGGCCGATATACCTTGCTTCTTGACAAGCATGTGACATAGAAAAGACAACCTCAAATAAAATTGACATCCTTGACTGGAAGCCTTGCCTTGATTATAAAGTCAAGGTATAAGAAGCGCCTGCCGAGCACTCACAGGGCACCCTAATGCCTTTCCCCAGAGTAGCCCCACTATGACAGCACGTAGCGCAGGCCTGCTAGCAGTCTGTGCTTGAGCTCAAGGTAGCTGCTGGGGAGGGATCCTGATCTGCATGTAGCCGAGAAAAAAAAAGTTTTGATAAACTGGCTTGGAAAATTTGACAAAGCATTGTAAAATACAACATTGCATATGCACTTTCTATTATTATACCTCCCCATGAAGTTATTTTCGATAATTTGACCCCAAGCCAATTGACCATTCTCGTCTAGGATCTGCGCGATCACCAACCAATATGGCAACCGAAGAGAGCAACGTCACTTATGAGCAATTGGCGGACATCGAGCGCGAGTTCGAAGATGTCGAACTCGAGATCAGTACGATATATAGTCGTTGCAGTAAGAGATAGCACTAACATTCCCGCCAGCTCGCCAGCAGGCAGTCATGACCAAATCTCTGTATGAGAAGAGACAGAAGACAGTGGCCGATATTGCGAATTTCTGGCCGCTGGTATTCGAGAATCCGCCTCAAGAGGTAGATCAATACATCCAGGTCACCGACTCGGAAGTCATTGCTTCTTCCTTAAAGTCCTTCTGGGTTTCGCGATTTGAGGTCGAGGACGGTAGCAAGGGTGACCCTCGCAGCATCTCGATCAAATTTGAGTTTAAGGAGAACGAGTATTTTGAGGACACAATTCTTGAAAAGAAGTTCTGGTACCGTCAATCCAAAGATGACAACTTTGCCGGCCTTGTCAGCGAGCCTGTCCCCATCAAGTGGAAGCCCAAGAAGGACTTGACGGATGGTCTTCTCGATATGGCCGTAACTGTTTATGAGCAAGAGAAGAAGAGTGGTAAGACCGGTATCCCCAAAACCAAAGACTTCACGCCAGAGCAGAAGGCGCTGCAGAAAAAGATTCAGAGTACCGGCATGGGTGGAATTAGCTTCTTCGCCTTCTTTGGGTACCGCGGCTACCCTGTCTCCGCCGAGGAAGATAAGGAGGCCCGTCAAAAGGAACAGGAGCAGCGACGCCTGAGGACTGAAGGAAAGGCCACAGATGAGGATGAGGATGAAATTCCTGATCTAGTGGAAGCGGACGAGGACGAGGGCGATGAGGAGATCCTCGAGATCTTTACTGACGGCGAAGAGCTTGCCATTGCCATTGCAGAGGATTTGTGGCCAAGCGCTATTAAGTACTTTAGTAAGTCTTATTGAAAGAATGGAGCTAAGGTCGCATTCTAACGTCGCTCCAGCAAATGCTCAGGAGCAAGATGGCCTTAGTGAGCTTGACTTCGAGGAGCTGGAAGGTGAGCTTGAAGATGAAGAAGAGGAAGATGAGGAAGAGCCACCCGCGAAGAAGCGCAAGGCTTAGGTGCATCACGCAACCTTGTTCTTCTCTACCTATTCGTGATGGGAACATGTTACCCTTTGGTTGTAGTGTCATTAACGCAAAGCTACGACTCTCACTTTATCTTACAAATATCTAGGAAATCAATCCGTACACCGTGCGAGATCTATCGTGTGCATATCATTGATTGGCAGGCTTGTCTTCAGTTTAAGTAAATGGAACATCTGGAGACATCCTGATAACGACTACATGTCCGGTTGGGCAGCCAATTGTAATGGATGAACCATCTCTTGAAACGTCTGATGGGCCAGGTCTGAAATCAAGTGGAAGCCATATTGTTCTACGGCCGCACCGTGTAATCCAGGAACCGTCGCCATTCAGACCCCACTCTGGCTTTGTCCTGCCAGATGCTGATCCTTGATCCGAACGTTGCTGGTCACTAGACATGATTGTCTGCGAAATTTCACCGCTAATATCATTACCAATACCGTGGTTATTGTTAAAGTCTGCGAGGATATTGCCGGCGTTAGTTTGAAGTAACAGCCCAAAGTCACTCGATATCTTTAACCGTAACCAGAGAACGGCACTGCTCATTAGTATAGTACGCAACTCCGTACCCGACTTGGCATCCCAGATCCGGACGGTCTCATCGGACGAGCCCGATACGACACGGCTACCATCATGCGAAAACGCTACCGAGGTGACCCAATTACTATGGCCCTCAAGCTTGCGTACTTCTTTGCCCGACTTGGTATCCCAGATCCGGACGGTCTTGTCGAACGAGCCCGATACGACACGGCTGCCATCTTGCGAAAACGCCACCGATTTGACCCAATTACTATGGCCCTCAAGCTTGCGTGCCTCTTTGCCCGACTTGGCATCCCAGATCCGGACGGTCTCATCGGATGAGCCCGATGCGATATAGCTGTCATCCTGCGAAAATGCTACCGAGTTGACCCAATTACTATGGCCCTCAAGCTTGCGTACTTGTTTGCCCGACTTGGCATCCCAGATCCGGACGGTCTCATCGGACGAGCCCGATACGATATAGCTGCCATCATGCGAAAACGCTACCGATTTGACCAAATTACTATGGCCCTCAAGCTTGTGTACTTCTTTGCCCGAGTTGGTATCCCAGATCCGGACGGTCTGGTCAGACGAGCCCGATACGATACGGCTACCATCTTGCGAAAACGCTACCGAGTTGACCCAATTACTATGGCCCTCAAGCTTGCGTGCCTCTTTGTCCGACCTGGAGTCCCAGATCCGGACAGTCTCATCGAACGAGCCCGATACGATACGGCTACCATCTTGCGAAAACGCTACCGAGTTGACCCAATTACTATGGCCCTCAAGCTTGCGTGCTTGTTTGCCCGACCTGGAGTCCCAGATCCGGACGGTCTTGTCGAACGAGCCCGATACGATACGGCTGCCATCTTGCGAAAACGCTACCGAGTTGACCGAACTGCTATGGCCCTCAAGCTTGCGTGCCTCTTTGCCCGACTTGGCATCCCAGATCCGGACGGTCTTGTCGGACGAGCCCGATACGATATAGCTGCCATCATGCGAAAACGCTACCGAGTTGACCCAATCACTATGGCCCTCAAGCTTGCGTACTTCTTTGCCCGACTTGGCATCCCAGATCCGGACGGTCTTGTCGAACGAGCCCGATACGATACGGCTGCCATCTTGCGAAAACGCTACCGAGTTGACCGAACTGCTATGGCCCTCAAGCTTGCGTGCCTCTTTGCCCGACCTGGAGTCCCAGATCCGGACGGTCTTGTCGAACGAGCCCGATACGATACGGCTACCATCTTGCGAAAACGCTACCGAGTTGACCCAATTACTATGGCCCTCAAGCTTGCGTGCTTGTTTGCCCGACTTGGCATCCCAGATCCGGACGGTCTCATCGGACGAGCCCGATACGATACGGCTGCCATCATGCGAAAACGCTACCGAGGTGACCGCATTACTATGGCCCTCAAGCTTGTGTACTTCTTTGCCCGAGTTGGTATCCCAGATCCGGATGGTCTTGTCGAACGAGCCCGATACGATACGGCTGCCATCTTGCGAAAACGCTACCGATTTGACCGCACTACTATGGCCCTCGCATACATAGAGATATTGACTCCAATGTTGCTTGATTAAAGGTTTTATTATGACCCAACTAGGTTCTTCTACTGTGAATAAGCCGCGAGTAATGCTATTAACTGGAGTAAATAGCAATGCTGACACATATGTTTGTAATGGAGCTTGTTCTATGATCGATCGATTATATAGAATAAATCGATACAAGTCTTCAACTAAGTTAACAAATTTGTTATCTCTTTTGATCTGTTCAATGCTTAAGTAAGCGCAGCTAACTCTATTAATGGTATTATGATTGGAAATACTCACTAGGATGTTCCTAAGCCGGGTTAGAGAGAAGACTCCGTTCGTGACAACACCGAGCAGACTCAACGCTTCAAGCCAGTGTAGGAAGTGGACACGGAAGAACTCGGCGATTGAATTGTGTGTATCGTGTCCCTTTCTTGAAGGCGCCAGATCCTGAAGCGTTTTCAATAGCTGGGAACGACGATTTCTCTGATAGTCGCTCTTATCTGCGTCACAGACGTGGTCGATCCAGTATGCACAGGAGTATCCCACGCCAAGCAGAGGATCCTTCACAGGAGGCACTGCGACTTCGTGGGTCAGTGTCCCAGGATGCGCAAGGTTATAGATATCTCGCTTTAGTATGCTCTTCATCTTCGCCACGGACCTGTCGGCGATAGTACGATGTACAGTATGCCTACCGGACGGGAATATCTTACCAAGGGCAACCTCGCTGACTAGGTATTCCTTGGCTGACTGATGGATGGGGTAGATGTGGTTGTCTAGCAGAGTGAGAAAAGAGCCGCACAAATCGACAAGCTTCTCTAGGTCGCTTGTCCCATATGGTTCAAGATCGGCAAGCATACGGAGCTCGAGAAGGTGGAGCGGGCGGTACGTAAGCGTTACGATGGAAAGAATGGTACGACATGAAGCCTGATAAGCGCTTATAGACATTCCGATATTTCGCATCATCGTGTCGTAAAGTGGCGGAAGGCCCTTTGGCATCTCATCGATAAGCCGAATAATATCATCGCCCAAAGCATCGTGAATAGACCGCAATACCAGATCAATCCATAAAAATGTACCGTCAGCCTTGTCGAGAAGTTTTCGCTGGACATTCGCTCGCTGGGTCGGGTTAGATTTGAGCGACGGCACTTGGGAGACCTTGTACTTGATATAGACTTCAATGGCGCTCAACACGGCTTCTGAGTTCACCTCTAGACTTAAAGCCAGACTCTCATCGACGTTGACATGATTGCGGCTTGTAACGATCCACTTGAGGCGGTTTTCTTGGAGGCAAGTTTCTCTAATAAGGTCAAGAAGCTCTGGCAGGCCGACTTCGCATTCATCGAGAGCGTCAACGGCTAGATAGATGGTTCCTAGACCAGGGTACCCGATCATTTGTCTAAAGACGTTGGAGAGTGCATCGAAGGCATTGACGTTGTTGGCGGCGTCGAAGACCTCTTTGCCCATGCGGTCATAATGGTCCTTAAGGCACGAGATGAGGCTACTGTCCTGCACCAACAATTGATATATAAGTCCCTTAAGGATGGCAACTGCGTTATTCAAGCGGTCATCGGTATTTTGGCAGAAGAAAAATGATAGGAACGAGTCGGCACCGGGCCTAGCAAGTTTGGTATAGGGCCGAAGCTCCTTGGTAACAGCAACCAGCAGCATCGTCTTTCCTTTGCCGGCACCGCCCTTGATCCAGAGTAGCTTAGTTTCTTCATGTCGCCACTGGCGGTAGCTAGAGTGAGCAAGAATCCAGCGAGACGATTGTTCATATACACCACCTTTCGTTCTTTCGATGCGGTCTTTATCAAGGGTGGGGTCGGTCCACTTCAGGCTCTTGAGTAAGGTGTTGCGCTCGGCATCGCTATTAACGGACGCCTCACGCCCTATCATGTGTCAGGAAGAACTATTTTTTTTTTTTTAGGTGTTAGGTAAGATACCTGGCAACGATGGTGGAATAGCTGATACTCTTTCTATAGCCTCCTGTATCCGGTCTGCAATCTCAGATTCTGTGGGCAGCTTTGTCACGCGATTGCCGGTCAAAAGCTGGACATCAATAAGTACACCCTTCATCAGCGATTCCACTGTATCTCCTTTGAGTAAGGTGCGGGTGACACGCCAGTACCGCTCTGTTTTCGAATTATTGGCCTGTGGGACCACTTTCTCAAAGATCACGGCCAATCGTTTCGCCTTGTCTGCACAATCCTCCAAGATGGGCTTCATTGCGTTGCAAAACGCCTCGTCAGGGTTTGCGACGTCCAAGTATCCCCAGGCGGTTTGGAGAGTCTCTCGGACGAGAGGGAGTCGCTTCGCAACATCGCGGAAGGCTTCGGGGAGGCCCGAGGCATCGGTAGCGGCGGCATAGACTTTCACAGTTGCATCGACAATGGCAATGATACCAGAGATGATACCGATGATTTCGGCACCAGACATGTCGCCTGTTAGAAGGCGAAAGAAAGCCCGTCCGAGCGGTCGCGAGGTGATCTCAGTCTACTGGCATCGTTTGGGGTCAACGCCTGGATGTCTAGTAGGGAACGAGGCTTTGGCAGTCTCATTTCTTGTTGGAGAGTACCCCGCCGCTGAGGCTGCCAAATGCCAGAAATGCGGCGCAGCCTTGTCAATGCAGACGATCATCGACACTGCGGCCTGAGCTTCTGCTGCGAAGCTGTGGATTCGGGCCACAGCAAAATGCTCTTCGATCCCAAGACGAAAATACCTATAGGAGTATTAAGTATGGACAAAGCGCGATACGCACTAATTATGCTTAGAGCGTCTGTGCGCCTAAATCAACCAGCTTAGCTGATCAAAGCCTGTAGTCCTTAACTCTATAAATGGTCAAACTGGCAACCCTTTTTTGTATGTTTCTATTTAGAGTGAGAGAGACGTACTAAACCTTCTACTACATCGCGAACGTATAATGTGTGAACTAGAACATCCTTACTGTACATTCGAGCTTTTAGAGTTATAGAGTGACCTTGTGGATCTTTCCCGCTGCACAGTACTATATTGTTAGCTTACAAATTACATCTACAGACGGGGCCTAAAAAAGTACATACAATCGAACCGTCCGTGCTCAAAGAAGAGAGCATAACGACGAGAGGCGGAAGCTGATTTCGAATCAGTGTGTACGCGCCAGCATCACATGATGCTGCATATTCGGTAAGTCAGCCTGCTTAGTTGGAAGAGAAGGGACTTGTTTATCATCCGTCCTCTCACCTCCTTCAGTATAACTCAGCTCTCTTGCCTTCACTGATTAAGCATCATACTAATTCTACATAGGAGATGCTAGCATCACACGTTCACCACCAGAATGTGCATGCCCGGGGTAAACCCTCAAAATCTTTGGATTTCGCAGACTTTCGCCTAAGAAGAGGAGTACAAATGCGTTTAGATGCCCTCCATATGCTACCATCATTGCTCAGCTCCATAGGTTATCGTCAGGGGACGGCGGCAGCGCAAGAATAGCCAGTCGATTCAAGATTCAGCCAATTATTCGTTTCAACTCCACGACTCCGCATGTGTGAACCTGCTCGCTCTGGGGACAAAAATCAAGTCATTTCAGCCTAGCCAGTATAAGTATAGCCCCTAACCGGCGAGGTTCTAGCCGGCAGATGCAGGGCTTAATTAGTGGACACCTCTGCCAAGGGGGCTCTGGGCCCAGCAATCTTCAACTCAAACCACCTCTCAGAAATTGTTCTCATACAATATCATTCAGCGATGCCACTCAAATGACACCCGTTTCATGCTTGGCCAGTATTCTCGCAATTGATTTTAGAGTTGTTCAATTATCGTCACTTTTGATTGTCCTGCTTATGATTATTATTTATGCTCCCCCAACACGGTGGGGGAGTTCGCGATTGAGACGAAACGTCGCCAAGAGCGAGACTCGAATCGTTTCATACCCCCCTGGGTGCTTACACAGCCTCACGGTTCACCTGGGTGCGCAGTGCTCCCCTACAAACAATGCTGCAGAAATGCTCCCGAATTAGGTCACACATGGCCGTGGGATGCTACGTCTGTAATGATTGACATGATCTGAAGCACATGGGACGGCCCAACGGCTGAGCTGATCTTCGCTCGACGATCCAGAGTTTGGGTCATCGATCCCATCTCTTCTTGTGGTTGGTGTTTCTATACTCTCTCTCTCTTCTTCTATTTCGACATCGCTTTCTAGATCGAAAGCACCTTTCTTTTTCGGCTGGCCAAGCGACAGACACTGTCGCTATCCGTTCATTTGTTCAATTCTTGCTCCTGGTTGAGTTTCGTTTATTTCTTTGGATCTGAATCAATTCGTCCCGGCGACTTTTCTTTTGTGGCAGCTGCTCGTGTGACGAGTACGAGCTTGGCCGTCAACTAATACGATTTGTTGCTGCGCCAACTTCGGTGATACCTTCATTGCGCAAGACAGGAACTCCGACGCGCCTAAGTCCTTTAGGAGGGAGAAATTTCTGTGCTTATTCTTCTTAATTCTCGGACAGTCTCGTCTTGGGCTGGCCCACCCATCTTTTATAAATCACATTTCAAAATGAGGTCAATTTTCCGCACAGCAGGCGTCTTTGGCCTACTAGCAGGTGCAACACAAGCGATCCAAGTCGACTTCTCCAGCGATGACTCTATCAAATCAGCAGCGAGCACAATCGCTTTTGGCTTATTAAAATACTACACAGGAAACAACACGGGGGATGTGCCAGGAAACTTGCCGGATCCGTACTTTTGGTGGGAGGCCGGAGCTATGTTCGGAACGATGGTGGATTATTGGTTCTACACGGGAGACGACACATACAACGACGTAACAATGCAAGCATTACTGCACCAAGTCGGAGATGACCAAGACTTCATGCCGCAGAACCAGACGAGGACAGAAGGAAACGATGATCAGGGTTTCTGGGCAATGGCGGCAATGACAGCAGCGGAGAACAACTTTCCCGATCCACCCTCAGGTCAACCGCAATGGCTAGCACTAGCACAGGCAGTGTTTAACGAGTATGTGGACCGTTGGGATACAGAAACATGTGGTGGCGGGTTGAGGTGGCAGATATTCACGTTTAACAATGGCTTCAACTACAAGAACTCGATCTCAAATGGCTGCTTCTTCAATGTTGCTTCCCGCCTGGCCAGGTTCACAGGAAACCAGACATACGCAGATTGGGCCGAGAAAGTATACGACTGGATGTCAGATACCGGCCTCATCACCGAAGACTTCAAAGTCTTTGACGGTGCGCAGGTAGACTCTAACTGCACAGAGCTCGACCAAGCCCAATGGACCTACAACGCCGGCATCTTCCTGCACGGCTCGGCCGTAATGTACAACTTCACAGGCGGCTCCGACATATGGAAGACTCGCGTGCAGGGCCTCCTGAACCAGACCGCCGGGTTTCACTTCGACAACGGCATCATGGTCGAGAAGCCGTGCGAGGGGGGCGGCTTCTGCGACACCGACCAGCAGAGCTTCAAAGCCTACCTGACGCGCTGGATGGCGGGGACGACGCAGATGGCGCCCTTCACCTTCGACACGATCATGCCGCTCCTAAAGTCGACGGCGACAGCCGCGGCCGCCATGTGCAACGGGTCCCCCTCTTCGCCGGCGGCGTACAAAGGCCCCGCAGGCACGGCGTGCGGGTTCCAGTGGACCCAGAGCCCGACGTTCGACAACATGGCCGGCGTCGGCGAGCAGCAGAGCGCCCTCGCCGCCGTCATGTACAACCTAGTCAAGAAGACATCGCCAGCGCCCGTCACGGCCGACACGGGCGGCACCAGCCAGGGCAACGTCAACGCCGGCGCCTCCACCCAGGACAAGATGCCCGTCCTCGAGCCCGTCACCATGACGGAGAAGGTCGCCGCGGGCTTCATCACATCGGCGCTCGCGCTGAGTGTGCTGGGTGCGTGTGTTTTTGTTATTAAATAAATTAGAGCATATTTATCATTTGTTCTTTTTGGGAAAGATAGTATGGCATATACTAGGATTCTTTGATCGGGGGCAGATTTTGAGTTTATGATGATGAAATCAAATCTTCTTTATTTATTGGGAAACAAGACTGGTCATTTTAGCATGGTTCCGTGACAGATGTGCATTCATTGGCACCGAGGGCGTTCTCGGAAAGAAATATACAACTCTGAGAGTTTGAAATTCCAGATGGAGAACGTACTAGGTAGAGTATTAATACCAACTCATGACTTGGACGCCGCCAGAGATGACTTTCTGAAATACCCTGCTCCGATAAGTGTCTACAATACATGATATTATACAATGCCATGGTTGACCTTTTGTCGATAACTCATATCGTACATTCCTTACTTGGCGTACTGCGCATACAGCAGCTTCTCAAGCCATACTGCCTCCCTGAGTTTTCACAATGTAATGAGCACACGATGAACTTTGCCAAGGGCTGGCATTTCTTGCCATTCTTGTAATTTCGGTTCATCCGACCTTCGCTCGGCCGTCCCTTCGTCCCCCGAACTGGGCGATCAGTACCGTAGCGGCAGGCGTTCGCGAACGGACTCACGATCCTGTCTTGGAAGATCCCTCTGGCCGCTCCCCCACCAGGACCCTCGGCACGCTTACGCACCACTGCTCTTGCCCTCGAAGACCAGGTTCACGACGCCGGGGAACTTGCCCTCCATCTTGACCTCCTTGGCGCCCTCCTGCTCGGCGGCCTCCCTCAGGGCGGCGAGCAGGGCCTCCCCCTCGTCGGGGGTGGCCTTCCGGCCCTGGCGCTTCTTGGCGAGCAGCAGCTCGACGCGCTTGCCCTCGGCCAGGAACCGGCAGAACTGCTTAAGGCGGTGCTGCAGGTCGTTGGGGGCGATGGCCCAGTTGAGCTCGAGCTCCTTGCGGTTGAGCTCCTTGCGGCGCGCCGCCTTCTCCTTCTCGTCGGCCGCCTTGGCGTGCGCGTGCTTGTCGATGATCCGGCACACGGGGGAGTTCTTCTTCTCCTTCTCGGCCAGGGTCTCTAGCGTCTCTTCCTCTTCCTCTTCCTCCTCTTCTTCCTCCTCCTCCTCTTCCACCTCCTCCTCTTCCTCGCCTTCTTTTTGTTCACCCCTTCTGACCTCTTTCTTCTTGATTCGCAACGACGGCAGCGCCACCATGACGAGCGTGTACTTCTGCCGGTCCAGCCCCTTCAGTATGTCGGCGGTGCGCTGGGGGGCCGACAAGTCGGAGTTCGAGTCCGGGTTCTCGGGCTCCAGGCCGTGGTCCTGGCAGCCCGCGATGCGGACCCATTTGTAGGGTATGGCGTTGTCCGAGGGCAGGCGCGAGACGGGGGCCTTGGTGGCGGCCGTGGAGGGTTTGAACCGCCGGCGTACGAGGAGCTGTGGGCTGGAGCTGCTGAAGAGCCGGGGCGAGAGCAGGTAGATGGGCAGGCGGGTGGTCGCGGTGATCGTGGTAGCGGGACTCGTCCCTGATGGGAGCGGTCGCATGAAGACGGAGCGCAGGGCTCGCGAGGGCGAGAAGAGGCAGCGTTGGGGCGGCATCGTCTGTGTAGGGTTTGCGTACTAGAGAGAGCAGGCGTTGCGTGGATTGAGGCCGAGTCTTCGTTGTCGTGAACGCTGGAGGGTATATGAAAAACGTGACCAATCGAATTGCAGCTCTCAATCGGGAGAGATTCGGAAGGTTGACGTCGTAGCTCTGGGTGAGCGTTCCCAGGTGAGCGGCCAATCAGAAGTGGATATAGATGGAGCTTCTTTTCGGTGAGAGCTTTCGCTTCAGCTGCAACATACAGTGCATGACCGTCTTATCTTATCAGCATCTCACAAGGCCATCTCATGTACTGTCAACAGGGCTCAATACGAGGTACATTGCGCCGGCATCCATTACAGCAACAGCAACAACTCTCGTATTTCCCCGGTCATGGTCACTCTTTCGGAGTGGTAAAGCGCCTCAAACGAAGATGCCCCTCCTAGGCCACCCCTTCCGCCTCTTCCTCGCAACCGGGCAGACCCTGGCCTTCGCGCATGTGTTCTGGCAATATGTGTATTCAGTGGCGCCCGGGTCAGGACCGTCCATGCTGCCGACATTCCTGGTGTGGAACGAGTGGTTCGTGGCAGACCGTTCATATCGGAGAGGTCGTCACGTGCGCGTGGGCGACTGCGTGACGTACACAATCCCCGTGGAGCCTCACGAGGATGGGGTCAAGCGTGTTATCGGCATGCCGGGAGACTATGTATTGGTGAACAGCCCAGGTGCGAAGAACGACGACATGATGCAGGTAAGCCCTCACGCGTCCTGATGTTTCTGTGAGGACAACTGCGTGCTGGAAACAAGGGACATACTTGAAGAAAGACGAGGGACACGACATGCTGACAACAAGAGAATAGGTACCACAAGGACATTGCTACATTGTTGGGGATAACCTGCCCTGGTCGCGCGATAGTCGCGACTATGGACCGCTACCGCTAGCTCTCATCCGTGGTAAGGTGGTCGCCAAAGTCGAGTTCAGTGGTTGGAACCCTTTGAACTGGTTCACGAGAGTGAAGGATGGGTTGACACCTGCAGAATCTTCAACATGATGGGAACTGAGCAAAAGCCAGATTTCCTCGTCGACTTGTGTAATATATATCGTTTGCAGAGCATTTACATGGATGTCGGCGTATTAGAAGGGTATGTATTGCTGTGCTGGATATCTTTCTGAAGGCAATCTAATTACAAGACTTAGGTCTTTGGAACAATGAACTTTATGGCCACATTGATCTCGACTTGCAGCGCAAGGTCGCTCTGGCACGAAACAATGGCAAATACAAATCGCTTCGTCCCCATGCTCCACCGTGTATCGTAGCAGCAATCATACAAACGAAACTTCTCCTCCGTCTCCCCGGTGTGGAAATCAATCAACGATACGCCATCCCTGGGAGATGCCGGTCATCAGGGGGTATGCATAGATTCCAGAACAAAAGCGCATACCTAATCGAGACCGTCCGCCTTCAAGTCTTACAAATGCTTGCCTATATAAGATACGCCTCAAAACGCCGAGCCGTGCCAATGAATGCCAGAAAGAGAAATATCAGTATCAAGTTGTGTGTAGCATCCGTTTCGGTCGAGGCGGATCAGCCCTCGATATGCGCCTTGGACATGCTCTGCCCTAACAGTTCCAAACAGCGCTGTGCGAGATTGACGACCTCGCCTTCATCATCGTCGTCGGCGAATTCGTTGTCGGGTTCAATTTGGCGGTCTGCAATCTGCTTGATCATCTCGACGATGTCGTCCGATTTGCCGATCTGCCCAATCAAGGTCTTGTCCTCCGACTCGAGCAGTTGTAACAGGGTCCAGATGGCGATATGTTGGAACGTAGCGTCGCCACTAGCAAGGAACCTGCTCAGATATCCGTGAATGCCACCGTTTGGCTCCTTCCAGTCCTGAATAAAGATGGAGTAATCACCAACTGCTCACGTTAGCATCCGATTTTGATCAATGACTTGTGCTGCTTGGACTTACCCTTAGATGACAGATTACCCAGAGCCGCAGCACTGTTGCCCTGAACTTCAATGCTTGGCGAGTGAGTCAAGGGAATGAGTACGTCGAAGACTCCTAGGTTCAACAGGTGAGTCTTCAAGTCGTCCGAGAGTGCTAGAACCGCAATGGCAGCTGTCATCTCGGACTGGACAGTAACCGGGACATCGAGAACTAGTTGCTTGCACTTCTGGACTGCACCGGCCTCGAGAACAAGTGCCTTGTTCCTGTCTGAGCTTGCGGCCAGGTTGCGAAGCGTCGAGATGGCATGACACTGAATTTCTTCGTTGTCCGTTGACCCAAGCAGATCCACCAAAGGCTTCAAGAACCCTGCTTCGATGATAGGAGACTCGTTCATGGGGTGTATCGAAATATTCCGTATACAGGCGACTGCGGAAAGAATAAGAGGTAGGTAGGACGACTGGAGAAGCCGAAGTAATGGGTTCAGGCCTTGAGCTCTGACAATGTCAAGTTGGTATTTCTCGTCCGATGCCAGATTACGGAGTGCCAGGGCGGCCTGGCATTGGACTTTGGGCGAGGAGGAATCCATGAGGTTCACCAAGGATTGGACGAGCTTTGTTTCGCTCGATGCAAGTTTCCGTCGATTGTTGGAGTCTACGGCGATATTGCTCAGAGCGGTGGTACAATAGTACTGGACGTCGACGTCGGGAGATGAGAGGAGTTGAACCAATACAGGGATGGCGCCTGCGTTCACAAGCTGTTGGCGGTTCTCGTCTAGTATGGTGGTTAGTACTCCGTACTTCAAGCGACAATGTGCTGTTGTCCAAAAAGATCTAAAATAAATAAAAATGATGGAGGGTTCTGACCAGAGTGTGTCATGTTCAACAGAGCACCGGTTGCATTCCGTTGAACTCTCATGTCCCTCGATTTCGCCAGGCGTGTTAATGGGCCAAGCGCGCCAGATCGTGCGATCTTTGCTTTGTTATCCTCATGTGTAGCGAGGTTCGTGATGCATCCAACGGCGTTGCACTGGACTTCGACGTTAGGAGATAGCATTTGGCGTATGAGTGGTGTCAAGCCTCCAAGCTGCACGATGAGGACTTTGTTCTCAGCTGAGGGATCTGGTCAGTGGACGGAGGGCAGGCGCGTATACCAACTCGAACTGGACCTACTGTTGACGGCAAGATTTCCCAAGGCTGCACTGGCAGCCCGTTGGACCTCAATATCCGGGCTTTGTAAGAGGAAGAGGATCGGCTCCAGAGTATCTCGGTCAACTTCTCGGACATCTTTCATGGACAAGTTAGCTTTCCATGAGTGGCACGGCTCCGAAGGCGTAGCGTACCTCGCTCCGTAATTTCGGCAAAAGTCAAGCTCGCACTCCTCTGGAGATCTATGTTGTCGGAGAAGACGAGGGTGCTCAAGGCGCGAAGAGGCTCGCCTGAGAAGAAGTCGGTCTCTCCGCGCTGCAGGGCCAAAGCATTAGATTTAGGTGTTCAGCGGTATTTGGGGGAAGAGAGGAAAGAGAAGGTAGGAAACCCACATGCTCAAGATATTGCAGAAGATCGGATACTGCCTCTCGCTCGGATTCTTGTAGTAGGGGTTCGTAGAGTCCATCGCGAGATTTCCCTGTGATACTGATAAGCGCGCGGCCAAGGCAGTGGGCCATGTCATGATCATAGCCATGATATGGGAGGGGAGGGGAGGGGGGGCATTTCCATACCGCCGCAGCACGACTGGCAAACACCCATCGCTGCAATGAGCGAAACGCAAGGAAACAAACTCGACTGAAATTCAAAGGTAATGTCGTAGTGACCGTGTGCTGCTCTGGGGTTGACGTGGAGGATGCAGTAGTCCGCTGTCAAGCTCTATTGTGATGGAGGTGGCTTTGCTTTATTAGATTACGATGGCTTTAGCCCTGAAGTCGGAGCTTCCCAAGGTTCGATCGGCGGGCTTGTTTTTGATGACTACCATGCGGAACTGACGTCGAGGTTTCTTTCGTGTCGTTGACTGGAGATGAAGGGCCCCAGGTTAGGTAGAACACAGACACAAGTACAAGTAACACACCCAGTAAACGCAGTTGTGTACGGGTCGTCCTTTCATTAAAACAACAACAATAACAAAAGAAGAATCAGAAGAGCCGCTGGTCTGGGATACGATGCACCGATGCAGGGAAGGGACCAAAAGCAGACGATGGATGGTTTTTTGGCGACGGCGGCTCTTTGTCTTGTTTATTGCGAATGGGAAGTTGCGGGCCCAACGTGACGCCCATGCCCATGCCCATGCTCATGCTCATGCTCATACTAGTACTCATGCTCGTGCCTACGCCTAGCGAGCCAGCCTGCAGATTGACTCTAGAGAACGTGCAGGTGAGCCACTGGAGGCTGCCGCACAAACTCCATTGATCCCTGTAGCAGCAGAGCTAGCAGGAGATCTAGCACTGCCGCTTGCTGCAGCCCACTAGCCTTTTAGAGGCTGTTCTTTGAACGCCTGCTACAGTTAGTAGGAGGAGAAGGCTGGCTGGCTGGCTGGCGGGCTTCAGTACAACGTCAAAGTCAAGTCAAGTACGCACGACTACATTACCCCCCGTATGCCCAATGAGAATCACTGCTTCCTCATCAATCATCAATCTTCAACCTTGAACTTGAGCAATAGTTGCTTTCCCAGTAACTAGGCCGTTTCAAAACAACTCTAACGCAAGTACTTTTGCTGCTCGATCCATATGTAGGTAGGAATCACCCTTCCATCGCTGCTCATGAAAGCTGTAGTCTGACCTAGCCATCAAATACGGGGAGGGATCTCATCCGACTCATTGATTCACTGATTCACTTTTTAGCGTCTTCAACCTCCGTTGGATGTGCGGGTGCCGCCCCCCTTTGCAAACCTGTCATTGCATTATTTGCTTGAAATTACACTCAAGTTCCAACGCTGACGGGTGAGCCCTGTATATGTGTACACATGTAACTTAAGTAGCATTTATGTCATGATGGTAGCAGGATCGACCTGTAAACCAAGTAAAACCTCCAACCAGCTACCCCTCCGTGTACGTTTGCAACACCAGATGCACCCTGCAGAAAAAGAAGAAAAAAGTGAGATCGGCGGGTCAAGGATTTTTATAATGTTTTATAATAGTAGATAAACCAAAGCAACATCTGTGTCTAGTATGCCGTGTTCTTCTTTGAATCGAATACCATGGCAGGCATCTAGAATAAACTTGCCCTAACCTCGGACGAGTGCTGCCAACGCGCTGCTGTCAATGATTTAAGAGCTCACCACTCGCAAAAAGACAGAGTTATAGATCGAGCCGGAAGGAAGCCTTTGCTTTACACGATACGATATTCTTCGTATGTATGAATGCTTTCGACTTTTTCACCTTGGGTCGCAAGATCTGCGACTGCTGCATCGACGAGCCTGGGTTTTCGCCTCCGAGGCAGTCTTGTGCCCACCACACCCACATCTATCAGATGACGGAAGACTCATCCGTGTCCGCCAGCCCATACATAGTACTAGTGTGGCATGGCTCGTCCAATACTTTCGCCGGTAAGTATCAAGACACCACAGCTTATGCGGACCGGTCTTCTATATGGCTTTGGCCGTTGAAAAGTCTTTGTTGAGTTGTGCTTCGCCTATACGATAGATTGACCGCATACACCATTTGTAATTGTGGGAGAAGCAAACAAGCTATCACAATACTATTGTAGCACATACCCCCAGCCCATCTCGTTGTGTGCTATTCTAGGGGCAAATGGGTGTGACGGCAAGCATTCGGCGCGTTTTCTCGCTCTTGTACAATACACGCCTTGAATTAGGGTAGACTACAAGGAGAGGCCACAATAATTAGTTGTGAGGCATCACATTCAGTATCGGATACTAGAAATCCCCGTGTAGTGTAATCCGGCAGCTTGAGCGCCATGATGATCTTCTGCAGGTGTGTACGACACTCACACCCACCAAGTGTGTGGATTGAGAGCATCAAGAGCATCCATCTCGTATTCAGACACAAGTTACACATTGGCAAATTGAGGTTCTCCAGCGATGGAAGCAATTGTTTTGTGCAACGCCGAGCCGAGTCCTATGAGTCCTTTTTAAACCCCGAAGTTCTTGACCGCATCGTTTACCTCGACCTCGAAAACAAGTTCGGCCCTGTTCTGGATTTTCACACCATGATCGGTGGAGGCAAACATGTGTGGGGGGGGTCTGCGCAGCTGAAGTACGCAACGGGATGGATGGTGCATCATGTTTGACGCCAAGATGTGCAAATGCTGTCCGCCGCACCATTCATGAAGGTTGGTTGAGAAAGCAACTGCTGGTGAGTGCGAGAGAGCTCCGAAGGATGGGATACAGACGTTCCCAGCAGAAGGGGAAAGGGACGGCCCTCACCTTAGGCTCAGGCTCAGGCTCAGGCTCACCGGCTCAGGCTGTTTGCCAACTGCGGGAAAATCACAAATGGGGCGGGGCATCATCGAACCCACTCCAATGCTACCCCCGGGCCCCCCAGTCAACCGCGAGCTCCTTATCGCACATCTACCCCTCCAAAGGACAGAGGCAGCAAGAGGCCCTACTAACCCCCCTACCCCCTGCCCCAGATTGAGCCGCCCATCGGGGGACGAACGAGCGAGCGAACGAACGAACGTTCTCTGACGATCGTCAAATATTGGACATCAAATCTGGGGGAATCCTTTTCCTTTGCTTCTGGAGTTTTGAGGCTCAATCAGTACCATTAGGGCAACCACATCTTGGGCCCCTTGCTCCTTGCCGAAGGCCCGTGAGCTCAATACATACCACATCCGAACTACGTCTCTCAACGAAAGCCCAACCGCAACCGGTCAGCACTGGCGTGTCTTCAGCTACCTGACTTGCTAAAAGCCAGAGCCAGAGCCGGAGCCAGAGCCGGAGCCAGAATCCAAGCCAAAGTCGAAGCTACCAAAGCCATGGACGAGGTCGAACCTAATGACGGAGCGCCAGCACCCTCCAGGCTCCCCGCCGCAGCCGCAGCCGCAATCGCGAATATACGCCCAAGCTCAGGTCATGCGCTCCCATTTGTAGCTCCCAGCTCCTACCTCAGACCGAAAACTAGACCTCAAACCATATCCATGTCTGAGCCTACTCCAATGAGTCCAGTTGACGAGGATCAAATCCAAGGGCTGGTGAGTGCTATCTCGTATCCATCTTGCAGTCCGCCCACCGCAAGCTCTCCTTGTGCCCACTGCGATAGCTTCCCCAGGAGCGTTGCTTTTACAATCTCCAATCTGGGCTTGTTCGCTCTGCATCATTTGTGACACCCAGTCTCTGGTCTTTCTCAGGTCTTTCTCAGACACCAGTTGGAGCTGACTTCCCTGCAGAAAGGCCTCCGCGAATTCCTCCGGAAGCGCACAAGCTACGATGTCCTTCCACTGTCATTCCGCTTGATCGTTCTCGACAATGATCTGTTGATCAAGAAGAGTCTGAACATCCTGATTCAGAATGGTATGTGGCCCATCCCCCTTCAAAGCTCTGCACCATGCTCATTGCCCCGACTCTACACAGGAATCGTTTCCGCACCGCTATGGGACTCGCACACCTCGAGATTCGCCGGTCTTCTCACGAGCACCGACTACATTAATGTCATCCAATACTATTGCCAGTTCCCGAACGAGCTCGATAACGTCGAGAAGTTCCGCTTGAGCAACCTTCGAGGTACGACCGATGTCGGAAGCCCCGAGGGGACGTATAGTATGGCTGACACTAGAACATAGAAATCGAGAAAGCGATTGGCGTGCAGGCCCTCGAAACAGTCTCTGTGCATCCCTCCAGGCCATTGTACGAAGCGTGTAGTCGCATGCTTAAGAGCCGTGCCCGACGCATCCCTTTGGTGGACATTGACGACGAGACGGGCAGGGAGACTGTGGTCAGTGTCATCACGCAATATCGCATTCTCAAGTTCATTGCCGTCAACACGGAACAGCACACGTCACTCATGAAGAAGTCGGTTCGCGAAATCGGACTGGGCACATATAAAAACCTCGCCACGTGCTATATGTCCGACTCGGTCCTTGACGTGATCAACCTGATGGTCATTCACAACATCTCGGCAGTACCTGTGATTGATAAGAACAACATGGTATTGAACCTATTCGAGGCCGTCGACGTCATTCCGTGCATCAAGGGCGGCGCATATGAGGAATTGAGGGCCCCTGTTGGCGAAGCGCTCACCAAAAGACCAGAGGACTTTCAAGGAATCTATCACTGCACCGAAGATGACAGGCTTGATTCCATATTTCAAACCATTCGCCAATCGCGTGTGCACAGACTTGTCGTGGTCGATGACAGGCAGCAGTTGAGAGGCATCATCTCTCTCTCAGACATCCTCAAATACGTTCTGTTTTATGGTGATGAAGCAGAATACTTCCCACCCTCGTGAAATTCCAGTATACGTCACATATCGTTCATGGGAAAAGGGGGTCAAGGGCATTTGCAAGGCGTACGGCGTAAACATGGGTGGCAAAGAGAGTCGAAGGCTTTTGACACGCGAGGATTTTTTGCGCTGGCTCATAGAGTTTCTCTTTTAGCGATGGTTCTTGTGGACGTTTTCCAATCGGAGTGGCACAGGACTTCCAGAGGTTCCAGAAAGTATCGGCCAGTATAGAGGCCTCGCGCTGCGTATATAATGCTATGAGCTGGAGAGCTTAATCCAAGGTCGTGGTAGCATATCAACCCGAGCGTTCGCATCGCTGATGCTTCGCGGGCAGAAACAATACGACTTGTTTACGATATGTCATCCCGATTTGGTAGTGACGAAATCAAGCGAATGAGGGTGTCCCACTGCGGTTGCTCCTGCGTTCCTCAGCTACCGCTGTGGTGCGTACGGCTGTATTTACGTGAGTGATGTTGCTTCGAAGTGAGACGGTCAACGATATGGCCGAGGGTCTGCAAGTCGTAATGCACAGAAGGTGCAGTCGGGGTGGGGGTTCCAGGAAGCACAAGAGCGACTGCTCGTCACTAAACTCAGAATGCAATGGAAGTCATAACTGGTGGCCCTACGATTGAAAAGTCTCGCTGAACTTCGAGACAGCTTCTAGTTGACAATCAAAACAGCGATACGGACGTTCCTTGTCCGCCAAATGCTAGTGTTTCCGATCTCCCATATTCCCTCCGCAATGAATGCTCTTTGTTAGATCAATCCAATGCAGCCTTTTAAGTATGATACGGCGCCGGCGAAGGGCAAGGAGCGGGCAGTCCCTGATGGCGCCTCGTCTTCGCAACCATTGTCGATGCACCGGAGGAGCACCATGAACAGACCCCGAATTTCGAATACTACCTTCGATCGCCCACTAAGAGTTCTGCCGGAATCAAGGACAGCAGGCGATATAACGAACCTCGATTCACGTGGCCGAAGGCCTCATCGCGAGAGCGATACATGGTCATCGTCTAACGCCGACATCAACCTCCTTTCTAAGGAAGAGGAGGTTGATAACCCGATATGGTTTGTTGCTGAGTACAATCGACTTGCCAAGAAGGTCTGTTTACTCTCAGAATCGTCACTACTCACAAATTGATCGATTCTCGATAGCATGGCATACGAGTACTTATCCCGGGAGATTTTCCCGCGATCGCCGTAAGTATGCCTGGTCTCCTTTTCGGTGTCATACTAATTTTGTTTGATTAAAGACTACCCAGTCTCTGCCCACTCGCAAGGCTAGTTGGGTTTCGAAAATGTTCCATCAAGGCTCGACTCGATCCCGACGCTCCAAAGAAGGAAAAACCAAAGAGGTGTTGCGACAACGGAGGAGCATTAGCGACATTGCCTTGCACTTCGTGCATAATCAGGGGAAAGAGGAATTCAAAAACGAGGATGTCCGTGGCTTGGTCCGGCTTTGCGGCAAAAGTATGTTCTACCTGCCTGCAGAGTATGCCACTGGCTCCCTGGTCTTGCCTACATGTCTCCGTGCGACAGCGCAATATCTCGTTCAACATGGTCAGTAAGTTGATACGCCTCACAGAAGACTATAAATAACGTTATACAAGCAAGCACGAGTGGCATATTCCGGGTGCCCGGCTCTGTGCGCACGATAAACGCCCTCTACGACTATTATTGCGCAGATAGCACAGGCGAGGACATAGCAACGACCACTCGATGTCCAAATCTCCCCTCTCATCTCAACTGTGGCGTCCACGACATTGCATCCACGTTCAAACGGCTTCTGGCTGGCTTACCTGGGGGCATACTAGGATCGCTCTCCTTGTTCGATGCTTTGGTCGCGATAAATAGTCAACTTCACGGCTACGCTGAGACCAGCAGAACAAAAGAGAGTAGGCTGAAAGCAAGGCTTATTGCTTTGGCTATTTCAACCGTCAGGTCCCAATACCAGCGCGAGTTGATTTGCTCAGTGTTTGGCTTGTTATGTCTAGTAGGTCGAGCTGCGGAAACGGCGCCAAGGGAAGACTTTTTAGGAAGACCTGTACCAACTGCTGATCTGATGGGATACAATGCCCTATCCATTGTGTTCGGTCCATTGCTCATCGGAGACTTGCTGAAGTCCTACAGTATGAAGTTAGCAGATCCCGCTCTAGGTCTCATCATACTACCAATTACACCACGTAAAGCTAGAAAGCACCGAAAAGCGAGCCGAACGAAGAAACAAAAACCAAACCTTTTGACGGTTGACAGGATATATGTTGCGAATGAGATTACCGAGATGATCTTGATACATTGGAGAGGCATAGTACGGCATTTGAAGGACCTAAATGCCATCAAAGAGCAGAAAGGATATGGCTCGACGCCTCGTGTTTCAGGCCATTCTAGAGACGAGACACAAGAGCATGAATTACGGAAATCTATGTCAGATACTTTCGACCTGAAAGGCGCTCCGGATTGGGAAGCACATGATGAATCCTTTCCGTCTCAGAGATTCAATTCGCCCCTTGCAGCAACCCCAACTCCGCAACCGAGTGAGTGTCCATGCATGTATACGTTTACCACACAAGCACTAACAACCATGGCCCAGGGACCTCAGAAGCTCGCAGTGCCGGCAATAGTACTAATAACTTGCTCGCAATTAAGCGCCGACGACCTCGGCCAATCACCTCAGCATCCTTGTATCGGCTGTCACGAGGCCACTCAATGGGCACTTTGTCACCAACAGTTGAGGAAAGTCCAGCAGATGGTAACGTTCAAGAACGTAGGAATGCATCAGGGAAATCATCGGTGACACCCGGTTCCCAGGGGCAGAATATTGAAGCACGACCTCAGATCACTTCTCCGGCCACGGAGACATTTTTAGTTCCAATCGAGAAGCTTTCACAACAACACTCCAAGTCGGGAGTACATGACAAATCCAACAGAATTCTAGAGCAAACAGAAAATTCCGTTGGTCCTGTTAGAAGCTCTGAAATGTACATCCAATCTCAACCAAAAGCTGTAGCTACCGCCAGCGGTACCCGACAAGAAAGTTCTTCATCTCAGAATACGACAAGGAAGTACCCGCCAAGTACATGTGACTCCGACACGGATCAATATGAAGACCAGAACAAGTTATTCATCGATACTTCAACTGTAGGGCATACACCACTTCGACACGATGTCAGATCCTGGCCGCAGTCCCTGCCCCTCACACATTACTCGGTAATACGTAGTGAGAATGATTCTGAATCGTCCAATTTGCTACCTAGCGCCGAAGCATCTACACACACTATCCATATGGGCATGTATCACCCCGTATATATGAATAAAAATGTCATGCTGCCGCATGATACGACACCTGCTTGTCTCGTTGTATCTGAAGACGCAATATCGCCGCCTTTTGCCCTGGCGAGATCTCCTAGCTATCATCCTTCGGCCCTCGATCCACTCAGGACTCCACCGGATTACGCAACAGAGTATCTGCCAGTATGCCAAATTCTGAATCCATCACAAGAAACTAGTGTTGTTTATCAAATACCTCCTACCGAGACGTCCAGCGTATGGTCGCTTAGAAATGTGACGGCCAGAAAGTCGCCTCGCTCGCCATTAGAAGGAATAAATACACGACCACAAGGAGTCGAAGACCATTTCAGCATGGACTCAAACATACCATCAGCAACTGCGAAATGGAGACAGTTTGTGCAAAACAGTCCGTCATCCTCTCCTAAAGATGTCAAGAAGAAGCGCATGGCCCGCAGCCTAATAAATGCCACTGTAAATCAGGCCAAGGGGTCAGCATCTGCTTCAACTGCAAGACCGTCAACTCCTGAATGGAAAAGGCAGATTTTAAAAATGCAGATTGACGAGCAAAAACGACCCTCGGTGCGGTCACCAAGAAGAAGCAGAGGATCAAAGCCCATTCTGAAAGACAAAATTCAAGGATCTCCAAACTCGTTCAGAGGAAAAGATATGTCCATCATGGAACCACTGTCGACGATGCAAAGTGGTTCATTCTCTCAGAGATCAGTATCTAAGCCTGTTATTGGAACAGTGAGGTCGCTAGCTGCACGTTTTGACAGTGTCTCCCAGGAACATACGCCAATCCAGGGGCCGATATTCCGTGGGAGATCCCAAATGAATCTCCGAGGTTCCCGAAGTGATCTATCTCAAGAGGCAAAAGACTCGTCGCCAACTAAGACTGGCCACACAGCAGTGAGTACACATGCAACTGAGGCGTTTAAGTCAAACACCAACGAAAACATGACCCAAAGGCACCTAAATTCAGTAGCCGCATTTTCAACGAAGGACACATCCCAGGCAAGTGTGTCAGCTATATCGAGTCTAACTCCTGGAAAAGTCTCAAGTACACATGGCCGCTTTCGCGCTTCAATAAGTCGCATCAGCCACAGTCTAAAATCGAGTCCGGCGCGAACAAAAGAATATAGCATGCCACTAAGGCTGCCTGGTATTCCATCACGTTTAGGTTTCGCAGCTCCACGGAAGGAACCTCAGCCCATGCCATCGAAGTTGCTGCCACGCCCCTTCAAGCCGGATCATCCTCGCTCACTAGGCACCATGACTCCACCTCAAGACCACGATCAAGGAGCACAACATTTGAACTCAGCTCATCTAACTCGCGATTCTCGTCATGTCTGTTGCACTCCCAGAAGAGACAACTGTGATGTAGGGAACAGTCCAAGGATAGACAGTGGTGGAAGTGGCACGCTGCACCGTCAGATCCGTACATTACAGCACCAGCTTGAGCACCGCACCGAGGAGATTCTGAGTGCACGCAGACAATTAGATGCGTTATATAGCACTGATGCAGGAACTTTGAATGAGCAGCTGCGGCAGGCCAAACGAGAGAGTAAGATGTGGAGGGAACGTGCTGAAGCTGCCGAAAAGCGAGTCGCAGTACTCGAAAAGTTTACAGCCAAGTTCAATGGTTTAAAAGAGGGCATCGGTAGCGTTTCGAACTTTGACGGATGGGATACAAATTCCAACATTTCATCTAGAAAAGGGAAGCAAAAAGCTGCCCTCGATGAGTTGTCGAGCTGTTCAAATCAAACAGAAAGTCGGGAAATGTTTAAGGGCCGGATTCGCCGCTCCATTCTCAAGAAGAGTGCTAGAAGTATCGGCGGCGATGGCGTCAATAGCCCTGAAACACATGAAGGACAAACAGGCGAATATCTTCAGAAGAATAAAAAGGGCAAGACGTCAATGCGGCGTATATCAAAGGCCACGGCACAGTTATGGATCGCAGCCGAGCAGCTCCTGAATGATAAAAAAGTTATTGATGATGCACGATGAGAGGTGGATAGGTCTGATCGGGCAACCAATAGTAGTATGCATGAATAGGAATAGTAAAAGGATACAAAAAAATGCATGTGTATTAGTTTACATAGATGCTTAAGGTCAACCGTTGTCTTCTTACCTAAAAGGTTCGATTTTATGGTCATCGTATAGGTATTCGGGTGGAGGTCTTGGCACTTGTAACAATTCCTCATACATGGTCCCGCCTTCGAACCACGAAGCTTGTTCAGCCTCCAATAACGATGATAATCATTAATAAAAGGTGGAGATAAATTGAATCGCCAGGTATCGCCAATCCATCCATACGGATGCGGCAGTCTTTGATCGGCGTATACTGTAATTTGATTTTCGGGTAGCGTTCCGAACCATGCGGGGTTCTTTGTTTGTGGTTCGTGGAGAAATGAAAGAGCTGCATCGTATATTAAAGCCTGAATTTGACCCTTTTCGTCAAATCGTATTGCCTCCCGAGACCGAAACCGCTTGTGACATATTGCTCGTGGTCAGAGGGGATGCTCGCTTAAGGAAAAGAGTAGATTCAAAAGTCGCCTATAAAAGTCAAGTAGTACATGGTTGAAATTTAAGCTTAAAGTATGTGGGAACCAATGGAACATGTCGTATTACTTCCGGACCTTGAATGATGAGATGTATCTGACTCTTGCTTCGTTAGTTTTCTGTCTCGTCTTGGCCATGCCGGCAAATGCTCACCATGGCAGTGGCAACACGAGCTACGCAAACCCCATCCTCCCAGGCTGGAACTCGGATCCGAGCTGTGTCTTCGTCCCGGAGCTTGACAACACGTTCTTCTGTACTGTGTCATCGTTCTTGTCGTTCCCAGGCATTCCTGTCTATGCCAGCAAGGACCTCGTAAACTGGAAACTGGCCAGCCACGCATTGAACAGGGCTGAGCAGCTGCCTGAACTGTCACACTCGGGCACACCCTCTGAAGGGACTTGGGCATCTACGATTCGCTATCACAAGGGGACTTTGTACCTCATCACCGCCTATATCAGCTGGTATGACGGCTGGCACCCAGACATCCGCCTCTTCTCCACGACGAACCCCTACGACGACGCCGGCTGGGGCGACCCCGTAATCGTGCAGAACCCCGGCAATGATATCGACCCGGACCTGTTCTTCGACGACGACTCCGGCAAGGTGTACATGTCGGTCGCGGCGGGGATCTGGATCAGCGAGCTCGACGTCGGGACGGGCGCGGCGCTCACGGAGCCCTTCCGGGTCTGGAACGGCACGGGTGACAGGAACCCCGAGGGCCCGCACCTCTACAGGAAGGACGGCTACTACTACCTGCTCATCGGCGAGGGCGGCACGGAGACGAACCACTCCGTGACCCTGGCGCGCGCCACCGATATCCGCGGCCCCTACGAGGCCTACCCCGGCAACCCGCTCCTCACGGCCAAGAACACGGACGATTACTTCCAGACGGTCGGCCATGCTGACCTGTTCCAGGACGCCGCCGGGAACTGGTGGGGCATCTGTCTGGCGACGAGGTCGGGTCCCACGTGGGAGATCTACCCCATGGGGAGGGAAACGGTGCTGTTCCCCGTCACGTGGGAGGAGGGCGAGTGGCCGGTCGTCGATCCGATCAGGGGAAAGATGTCGGGCCCCCTACCGCCGCTCGATAAGAAACTTCCCAAGGCCGGACCGTTCGTAGGCGAGCCGGAAGCCATGGATTTTGCGCCCGGGTCGAATCTTCCGGGCAGCTTCTTGTTCTGGCGCCCGCCGGCCGAGGAGCTCTTCGCGGTCTCGCCGCCGGAGCAGCCGAACTCGCTGAAGATCACTCCGTCGAGGGTCAACCTGACCACAGATGTCGGCTACGACCCCAGGGTCGAGGGTCTGGGGTTCGTGGCCAGGAAGCAGACGGCGACCCTGTTCGATTTCTCGGTCGACCTGCTCTTCGCCCCTACGACGGCAGACACCGAGGCCGGCATAACGATATTTCTGACCGAGTACCAGCACGTCGACCTCGGCGTGGTTCTGCTCCCGGATCCCTACAACGGGGCTCTGGTACCCAGCTTCAGATTCCGCGCCGAGACCTCTGGGAAGCCAAACATAACCGCGCCCCCGGAGACAGTGGTTCCCATCCCTCACTCGTGGCTCAAGACGCCAGTCCGTCTCTCGGTCTCCGCGAAGGACGACATTTCGTATACCTTTGCGGCGTCCCTGGCGTCGAGGGGTGGAGACGCCAAGGATATTGGAGTCGCTAGTGCCGAGATTGTGTCTGGGGGAAGTGGTCCTTTTACCGGTGAGTGCTGAGATGCCTTCAACTTCTGTCAAATCATTTTCTTTTGGTTGTCAACGTCAATATGGACTGGAACCTCATTAACTCCGTCACAGGCACAGTTGTCGGCGTATATGCGACGAGAAATAACGGCACAGGGACGACGCCGGCGTACTTTAGTAAGTGGAGGTATACGCCGGTGGCTCAGGAGATTGATGCGGGTGTGTTCGTTCATGCACCTCATCGGTAGATACGGGGTACATATCTCAGTGTGGTTTCAGTTAGTCTAGACCACAGTCGGACTTAAGACGGTCGTTGGCCACGTCGTGCCTCGGCATCTCTCCCCACACCAAGCTCAAGATGGACCGAAATCCGGGGCAGCCCCCACTTGGCCGGCCACTTGCGCTCCGTCATATAATTACCTACAGACAGCTATGCACTCCTAAACCGAGAAGGCCATGGACACTTTCCCAATCTTAAGACCTCCTTGACGATTTCATACTTCTATTGCCACTGTACTCATAGACCCTTAGATCACCCATCGACACACCCATTCGCGTTTGAAAAGTGAACAGACACGAAAATGGCCGATGAAACTGCCCTCCATGACTTCCCGTCCCTCTTCTCCCTCAAGGGCAAAGTGGTCGTCGTGACAGGCGGCTCACGAGGCTTGGGATTAAACGCAGCTTCGGCGTAAGCACCTGTACCCTCGCTGCCCCTTTCGCGGTCGCACCAAAGCTAACCTGAATCTTCCCTCGCCCAGTTTCCTCCAAGCGGGCGCCTCCCGCGTCTTCATCACGTCGCGCAAGGCCAAGGCCTGCGAGAGCGCCGTCGCACAGCTCAACGCGCTGCCCAACCTCGCTCCTGGAGCGCGGGCCATCTCGGCGCCCGCCGACTCGGCGACCATGTCGGGGATCGAGTCGCTGGTGTCGCAGGTGCGGCAGCACACGGACCACGTGGACATACTGTTCGCCAACGCGGGCGCGACCTGGGGCGAGGCCTTCGACACGCACCCGGACGCCGCCTTTGCCAAGGTCATGGACCTCAACGTCAAGGCCGTGTTCAACACGATCCGCGAGTTCGCGCCGCTGCTGCAGAAGCGCGCCAGCGTCGAGGACCCCAGCCGCGTCCTCATCACCGCCTCGGTCGCTGGGCTCGGCGTCGGCACCCTGGGCCGCCAGGCCACCTTTGGCTACAGCGCGAGCAAGGCCGCCGTGCTGCACCTCGGCCGCAACCTCGCCGTCGAGCTGGGGCCCCGCCACATCACCGTCAACTCCATCTGCCCCGGCTTCTTCCCCACCAAGATGAGCTCGGGCCTGCTGGACCTGACGGGCGGGCTGGACAAGCACGCCAAGGGGAACCCGATGAGGAGGCTGGGCCGCCCGGAGGACATCGCCGGCGTCGTGGTGTATCTGAGCTCGAGGGCGGGCAGCCATGTGAACGGCGCCGAGATCGAGATCGATGGCGGTAGCTTGTGGGCTCGTGGCGGTTTGCTGGATGCTGCGGAGGAGCCGGAGAAGGCCAAGTTGTGAGCTGGGGGCGAAGAAGAAGAAAAAAAAGAAAAGAAACCCCCCCCAATGATATGAACAGGAGGCTTTCGAGCTGTCTTCACAAAACCGTTCATCTACGCATCGGTGCTGAGGTCTGCGCATGCTTTGCCTACGAAAGGAAATTGCACGGGATTTGGCTCTGTGTTCTCTATCTAGTACTGCTTCGGATCGCTTGGATAAGTCATGGTGTCGTATTCCCTAATCATTACTTCCCGTTCTTATATCGGGATTTGGTGCACAGCAGACCCGGTCAACAGAAGCAAAACACTCAGAATACGGATGCATCGAGACGGGGGCTACTAGACTTTTAGCGTGTTAGATTCTAGTCCAACCTTTTTACACCCTGTCTGTTGTACGTGAGAACCAACATTGTCTTCGACTTTGGCCGGTCCCCGAGCCGGAATCTATGTCCCGGGAGCACTCGGAAGAGCACACTCGCCCCCTCCAGGAAGCTCGAGCTCGTCTTCCCCGTGCAGTTCCGATTTCATCATTTTATAACTCGGCAGACATCACTGAACGATGCTATGCTTCAAGACGCGGCAGTCACGGAGCAGGCGCTCGCATCCAGACTGACAACCGAGTGAAATTAGATTGGTCCAGAACTAAAGCAGACATGACACCAAGTGCGTATATGCCTGTCTTTGGTATGAGTAATATGTTTTCCTCATGTCGTGTTGAAGGTGCGCAATAAAATTTTGAATCATATGTGGGGACTTAAGGCCCCGACTCTGCATCTTCAACTATGTTTCGTATTGATCATGAATTCGTCTCACATGATGCTACATTCCAGGCCATACATGGCTCTTTCGACATCCCGCTTGATTTGGTACCAATCGGCTCTGCGCTGAGCATATTCGTAAACCTCCTCGGCCCTGAAAATACCACCGAATTTATCACCGTCCGCGATGACAGTTGCCATTTCTTTCGCATGCTTGCTGTCGATGAGGTAGATCTGGCTGAGTTCTCTAAGCGCCTTGAAGTATGCCAGTAGATCTTGATTCCTGAGGGTGCGGATATATTCAAAGTATAGGTTCATGTCTGCGATTAACTTGATCGCTCCTTCAGTGCTGATACGCTGCCTCTTGAGGTGTTTACAGATTGCGGTGAACAGACGCAAGCCAACCTCGCCGTTGAATACGTCAAGCATGGTCTTCTCGGTACTACCGACAAGCATGTTCGTATGCGACGAGACGAGTTCCACGATACGCTTCGCGGTTTGGGTTGGTCCGATGTCGAAATCTCGAACTATCCCACCCTTCTCTTCCGACGGTGGAGCTGGATTATAGTCTGTTGGTAGTTGTGTTGTGGCACAGAGATACTCTACCTCATCCATGAGCACATCGATACCTTTATTTAGGCCTGCTGCGACGCTTTCGTCCAACATCTGTTCAAACTTCTTCTTTGCGAGGCCAGCGGGGTCGAGGAAGTCGTTGCGATCTGCGATTTTTGGTTGAGCAAGCTGCTGCTCGTAGAAGACCTCAATCATTTGAGATATGAGATCGCCCAGATTGACAAGCTCGATGAAAGTGACTAATGGCGCCACACCAGCTTGGCCGTGGTCGCTGACCTCCCTGGGGTTGTAGAGGGACAAGTGCTCCACAGCCTTGATGAAGCCATACTTGACGTGTGTTTGACCCAAAGTCTTGAGTAAAGAAACAAAGATAGCCTCGCATTGCTCTTTGGCTTCTCCGCCGGCCTGCCCGCCCAGGGTCACAAACATTGCTGCTCGTCCCAGGCTGACTTTGGCGGCATGCACAAGATCAAGTGCAACTTCGATACTACATAGCGTCTTGATGCCTTCCAGTCGGCTTGCCATCAAGGCGGCCTTCGCTTTGAGTTCATCAGTTGGTGCTTCCGGGGGTAAGGGGCTCGATTTTCGTTCTAACGGGTTACTCAGGCCTGGTGTCTCTGGACGAGATCCAGGGACTGACAAGGCCCCAGGCGGGACACTACTTCTATTATTGGGTGCCGAAGCCGGTTTCGTAGAACCACCAAACGGCAAAACTGTGACGGGCATCATGACGACCTTCCTGAACGAGCTGAGAAAGTCGTTCTTATCGGCCCTCCTGTTGAAATTGCTCATATAGAAAGACTCAGCCGTGAGATCCTGCTCCGACAGACGCTGGTCCCAATTGTTTACTTCTCGCTCCGCGTGTTGCGTAAAGAAATCAAGTTCATCCTGGAGATATAGGTCGAAGTGTTGTTCAAAAACATGGAGCGTGATTTCTTTTGCGTGCTGTTCGAGCTCTTCCGCCGATCCCGAAGGAGGGCGTAATGATCGGGCAAATGCTAAGCATTGCTCGAACAACCCCGAGACAGCCTTTAAGTAGGACGCTTTGTTCCTTCTGTGCAGCTCATCGAGCAGAGAGTTGCAGTACTCGGTGACGACATCTTCACGAAGCTTGTCCATCAAGAGCCAGAACACTTCAGTTGGATTTGGAAAAATCTGTTTGACAACGGCTGTTTGCTCGTTGGCTTTCCTGGCCAATGCCTCAAAAAACTGCCGTGAAGGTTCAAGTGTGATTTCCTCCACAGACGCATGACCGATGCAGTCAAGAGAATTGGCCAGGAGCTCTCGATCGTTCAACAGCGGGTGTTTTGAGACGAAAAGTTCCATGGCAGCGTGACCGCCGTTTAGAAAGTGGAGGACGTGAGCGTATCTCTTCATTCGCCCTTCAACGTCCCAGAACTCATACCCTTGTTCGAACTCCCGCAAGACGGCGCTCTCGAAGACACTGGCCATACCGGACAATTTCTCCTCACGCTCATGCCATCCTTGTGCCCAGTCGCTCTTGGCAAAGGTGGACAGGCTGTTCAGCATTTGGGCCTGGCGCTCTGGGTCCCGAAACACTTGAAAGACGATGGGCTCTGTATGACTTCTCGCATTGACGAGGTCAAAATAGAATGGACCCAACGCGCCATATACCCTGCCATATTCATGCCGGGCATGACCTCGTATACTCTTAACAGATTTCAATACTCCTAGCAGCGCCTCTGGGTCTTCATATGGTGACTTTGACTGTGCGCCGTTCAGGGAGAGCGTCTCGAAGCCGTCGACTCGTGGGGAAGTGGTCACGGGAGTCCTCGCCGCTTCCTCCGCTGCCTTCTCCCGTCGCTCGACCTCTACCGCTGCGTCGAAGATGGTGGTATTCGCTTCGTTCTGTGCTGCTGTTGCATTGGGGCCTGCGCCGCCGTTTATCGTTTCCCGTCTCCGCTTCATGGCGTCTTCGAATCTCTGCCTCGCTTCGGCCTCGTTCCACAATCCCATGCTCTTCAATCGTGGAACCCATCTTGTGTCGTCATATACCATTTCCCGCATGCGCCTGGAGGTTCGTGCAAAGCGGATAAGATCCGCCACTGGCAGGTAGTCCAATATGGTGGCCAGTATCTCGGCGGGCAGCACCGGCTTCGAGTCCAACATGGTCGTCGCCTGCAGGGCGCTCAAGATGCTGCCCTGAGGAGCTCGCCTGAAATTCGACATGACGGGCAACTGCGGGGGGGTCTTCCCGGGATGGGTCGGTTTGGGCTTGCGAAAAGCAACTCTTGGAGAGTGCTCGAGATCAAATCAACGGCAAGGCAGACGAATTGCCGCCATCGGCCAATGGAAGTGGTTAAGCTTATTATTGTTTGACTCCGCAGAGCCGCACTCGTCACATCCACGGGAAGTTCCCCAGACAAATGGCCCGCTAAAGCGCCTGGGCGGGGATGAGCTGCCGGAGCTTGAATGTGGCAGCTGGCCGGCAACTGGACGGCCCGAGGGAGAGAGGCAAGCAAGTGCAGGACCCTGTCCGGATCCGTACCTGGTGGGCAGCAACTCTATCTTCAACTAGACTGACCTGAAGTTCATCTTCATCTTTCTGTAGGTGACTCCTGGCTCGCTTGAGCGTTACTCAGCCAGTGCCGATGCTCACCACAATCGAGCTGAACTTTCCCTGACTGCCCGTCACTATTGTCCTGTTCTTCGTCGTACCAGTAAAGCTCATTCCTGGAAGACCAATAACTTACCGTGCCCTCGACAACCACATGATGGATGAACCACTGCGCAGTCGTGCTCGTATTTCTCTTCCGATCTTCATTCATATTCAAATGTCTCAAGCCAGCGCAGTCAAGTATCACAGAGTTTCACAGGGACATGTTCGGACTTGGTATTATTTCATATGTCCCTGACGCAAATCTCCTTGCTCAGAATCCTCGCGTCACACGACAACATGCGTGGGCAAACCACCTAGCCGGCTACAGCCATTGCATTTGAAGCCATTGTCCAGCTGAGTAATGATCGTGTTTGATGTTCCCTCTGGATCCCAAGGTCGAGGTCTCACTATACGACAACCCACTCCCTTCCTTGGCTTTTCAATAGCGTCGCACTGGCATGTAACTGCAATACGAGCGTCTTGCTGATTTCATGTCCACTTTCCCCGGCAAGTACGGCCAGGTCCTACCTTGAACCATTCCACTTCAACCTACATTGTTCTTCATACCTCAATCACATCTGTGTGTCGTGCATCCTCACGGAGTTTCCATGTTACTTCCTATGATTGACCTCTAATAACAAAAATTCCACTGCCACGATGCCACAGCCATTGCTCCCGCCGCCCTCTGTAGCGGAGAAGGAGAGAAGAGCGGGCCTTTCTCTTCCACCAGCAGCCTACGTTAGGTAAATCACGACAATTGGACTGAACGAGCTTCTTTGCTGACGAATGGGCAATTCAGCCTTTGGATATTCTTCTCCAACATCACCATCCTTTTCAACAAATGGCTGATTGATGATGCTGGTTTTCGTGAGTTCCAATTGCTGAACCTATTTTATAGTCTCTAATATTCTCCGGTAGGATATCGTACGTGCGATCAAATCACATTTATGGCAATTCACATTCTAACTTGCTCCAGCCATCCTTCTCACGGTCTGGCATATGGTGTTTGCCAGTCTAGCAACCCAAATTCTTGCTAGGACCACAAGTTGGCTTGATGGCCGACACCAGGTCCAGATGACACGGCGCTTTTACTTGCGAGCAGTCGTTCCGATAGCCCTTCTCTACAGCGGCAGCATGGTCTGCAGTAATCTGGTCTACTTGTACCTCAATGTGGTCTTCATCCAGATGCTCAAGGTGGGATATCCGCACCTACTATACCACAATGATGACTAACTTGTGTGTAGGCCGCAGCACCATTCTTCACACTTGCAGTAGCGTGGCTATGGGGACAAGAGGACCCGACCCGCGAAAAGGTCTTCAAAGTACTGGTCATCGTCTCCGGCGTGCTACTAGCAAGCGCTGGGGAAATACATTTCTCTACCATCGGCCTCTTCTTCCAACTTGGGGGTCTGGTATTCGAGTCACTCCGCGTGGTCATGGTCAAGGAACTTATGACGGATGCCGGCGCAAATATGGATCCTCTCGTCAGTTTATACTACTATGCTCCAATGTGTGCAGTCACAAACATCTTCGTCGCCTTTGGAGCCGAATGGCCGACGTTCAAGTGGTCTGATGTCGAAAACGCAGGCCTTGCCATGCTGGTTCTGAACGCTTTCGTGGCATTTTGTTTGAATGTCTCAGGCGTCTTGCTGGTACGTCTTTTATCATGGCGCCCCCAAGTGGAAATACTACAGAATTCTATAGTGAAATTACACAAGAAAGAAAGAAAGAAAAAGAAAAAGAGTATTGCACTAACTACTGACAGATCGGCAAGACGTCTGCACTGATACAGCAAGTTTGCGGCGTTCTCAAGAACATCCTCCTCGTAATCGTGTCGGTGATCATTTGGGGGACCGTGATCACACCACTTCAAACACTGGGCTATACCTTAGCCCTGATCGGCATGGTGTTCTATCGAGCGACTTGGCAAGATATCAAGAAAGGAGCGGTCGGACTTGCTGCAACATACAGAAACGCACCCAAATCACGAGGTTACAACAGCAAGCAGTCATCCGCTCTGATTAGGAGAGTGACTGTCGCAATAGTCATACTGCTTTTGGTCGTGATAATGTTCTTTGCCTGTGTTCGGAGCGACAGGGTACAACTTCAACCATGGTCATTGTCAGGGACGTCTACATCTGAGAAACCAGAACATCCCTCTTTAAGCTGGTTGTCAAGGCTTGGTTATGGAAGGTGACCGCAAGAAAGGAAGTTTGTTCACACTGCGGACGTCCCATTTCTGTCTCAGGCGAGGCGGCTGTTGACCATGTTGCGGAACCTATTAGGCGTCTTAGCCGCTGGTAGTCCTCCTAGGGACTGTTCGCTATCTGTGGGATGCTTTTTGTTTAAGGCCATTTGATAGTCCTGATGATTTCGCAGAGTAGGACAGTCAGTGAATGAGAATATCATGGGTACTGCTCTGCTTCGAAAAGTTTGGGAAAAGCATGTCTGGATATAACAAGAAGCCAGAGAAGAAATGACGAAAAGAAAAAGTTAAAAAGAAAAGAAAACTTACAACTAGGCACTGATAGTCGAAGTCGTCTACCTCATCGATACGCATGACACTGGAATCAGTATCGCGGATGGAGCTGCCGAGGGTTCTGAGCCGGAAACGAGAGCTCATCGCGTGGCAATATGGTCGGAAGTAAACCGTTTTCTCGAGCAAAATCAGCCTGTATGGCAGCGAGAATGAAGATGGGGAGGAACTTCATCGTAATCTATGGACGCAAGAACATTGTTGGGTGCTAGCAATCTGGCCAATATAGGGCTGGATTTTGGCAGGTGTAGTAATATCTGCTACGGTACTTCATCATTGTATCAAGCTATCCTTTACACGATTCGACCCTAGATTTGTTTTTACCTTTGGCATGAGCGTTTAGATGTCACGAATCATTCAACCCTTTGCCGGCATAGGTCTTTGTCTGCATTGAAAGAGCAGCAGCGTCAATCCTTCCGAGGCGTGTTGATAGTGTAGCCTTCCAATGTCCGGGCCGACCTAACGGAAATAATTGCCGGCCCGTGGTAGGATACTGTGAAGCTTTTGCTTGGTCCATACAGAGTGTATTTGGCCAGTTGAATAACGCTGCTATGCTGGTAGTACATACTGCGGTGGCAGTCACCAGGCCAAGCTAAGTTCATTGACCATACGCGTTATATTCGGCTCCTGGGCGCTATGTAATGCGCATTGGCTGCCTTTGAAAATTATCAAAGGCCGTGGACAGAGTAGAACGGAGAACTTGTATGCATTGGGTTACCAGATGCCTTCCGCCTTGTATGGACTTGGAGAAATAGATTCAAGTGGTCCATGGAATACAGGCAACCACAAGAGGAACTTTATAGACGACAGGAAAAGCAGATTATGTTACTTTATTGCCAGCGTCATTCCCTCTCATATCGTGACCTGCTATCGTACTCGCGGCCAAGAAACCACCTGGAGTAGCCAGTGTGGCGTTTAATCAGAGACGACTTATCCCGTCAGCTTCTAACTTGGTGGTGGGCCACCGAGCACTCCGCTACCATGATGCTCCAAAGTTAACCGATAAGTACCACAGTTGCTGACCATATTGACACAGTCTCCCGCCATGCCATCGAGCCCCACCTTGACGCAATCGTTGAGGATGACCCCCTGAAGCTCGTTGACGACCGAATCCGAAGTCATGTTCAAGCCCTTCTGGGCAGCCGCCTTGGCGCACAGCCGCGACATGCAGCTGCCCTGCCACCAGGTCAGACAGAGCCCGTTCGGCACGACGAGCGGCTGGTGTGTGGCGTTGATGCGGTCGATGATCGCTTGGCAGTCGATGACATCGACGGAGTTTGTCTATCGTCAACGCGTCAGTCGTCTGAGGGTCGCCTGCCCGTGTGGTGGGCACATCAAGGAGATGGGCAATACCTGTCGGTTGTAGCAGGTGTAGTAGCCACGCTTGTCTACCCCGTGAGGCGCCATATCCGTATCAAGCTCATTTTCGTCGATGAAAGCCGTATACATGGGCTGGTGCTGACAATTGGGGCAGTGGCCAAAGTCTTCGACGTCCTCGAGCGCTTCCATGACTTTGGAATGAGGTATGTGGGCGGTGAAGGCTACGGCCCCAAGTGCCGCGAGCGTGGAAACAACGGAGAACTTCATGCTGACCAGATGACGTTGCTAAACAGAAACACTGGTTACAATACTGTAGAAGTCAGTAGTAATCATGATACCCGGACGCAATCATTATTCTTGGGATCTCTGAGACATCTACTTCATATGTAAGATAATTCCCGCCTTATAACACCAAGTTTCGCCAACGACGTTACTCATGGCCGTATACAAGTTTGCTCTGTGTAAATGATGATACCAATAGTTATGAGCTCTTTACAGATTCACCTGTGAGAAAGTACCAGAGATGGATAGCTTCCGAACGCGAAATCTTACCATGTAACATTAGGGATTGTCACATCTCCTGACTGGTTCATCCATAATCCAACCAGTTTTGGCAAGGACTTCGCAAATTTGTTATTGCAGTCTTCACCTTGGGAGCGCGATGCTACTACATGAAGATTCACAAGGCCATATCCGGTGGAAAGACAAGAATTTGTTAGTTCATAATAGCATGCTTCGTGGAGGACCTTAAGAGTGGCCGTTAGACATGGGCTGAGATGTTTAGATCCGTCCAGCCTAGCCATGAAACTTTACCGGCTTTGACTAGCACGCGACAAACTAATGTGATGTCTGGATAAGACTTGTCCGCCCCAAGCGGCTTGTATAGCTAAGCATTGACTAAAGAAACAACCAAATCGCGAAAAGCGTTGTCATGATGGCGCACAAGCTCGCCTCCGCGGTTCATTGCAGCGTGTGATCCGCAGGTGCACCGCACAAACAATAAGACGCACCGCAATCGGCAGTTACTGTTGTGTTTCAAGCATGCAGCCGGACGCGCATTATGCCATACTGCCCAACTTGCCAACCTTGCCAGCAATATGGCCCTGCGGATCGACTATCGTGACCGCGGGCCATAGTCAATGAAGCTTTAAGCTATCGGGGAGCACGGCGGTAGCGCTGCATTCGGTTAGGTGTGCACCTAGGATTAAGACCGTCTCTCAAAGATTGGGAGAAGCATGCGATGAACAGGGATCATGAGCGAATGATTAAAGATAGACCATTTGAGGGAGCTCAATCCGCATCTGCATCTGTGCGCAGGACGGGAACGAGGTCGAACGACTCATGGACGTTCGCAAACCGATCGATTGTGAAACCATCAACGTCATGATTAGTAGTGCAAGAGTTTTGATGAAAATCGGCAGTTTGCAACATTGCAATCAGCAGACGCTGCGATCGTCTTGTTTGATGTGCAGCCAGCCGAGCATTGCTTGTCAACTGTTGGGTTATCTAATCGTGCATATTCACAATCTGGGGACGAACAGCGCTTTCCGGCGGCTTGTGCCTTCAGGCTATACCTTACCCCAGCTGCCCCTGAGTCGCGTGGTACTACTATGCACGAAGCCAGCTGCAAATACTTGGTACATGGCACTGCGGTTGTGCGGCATGGACATCTAGACTTCAGCCATCTTGTCGTCGTCTCCGTTTGCCTCCCCTCCAGTTCTAACGAGCTGACCTAACCTGACCAAGCCACTGGAAGCTTTAGATGGCTTGCATCGCTAGTCTTCGCCGTAGCTATGATATTTGCGACCATGGTCAAAGATTAATGTCGTGCATCTCGGAAAGGTTGCATCTAGATCCAGGAGTTGCAGCCTGACTATGGATGGCGACAGCCGAGGGCAGCGCACTATTGTGGCCTCCTGCTAGCATTAAGCGACACAGCCTGGTGTTTTGCTCTTCATTAAGGTTAGTAGGATGGACCTTGAGTGTGTGAGGGGTCGCATGCCCGGTTGAATGTAGTAAAATAGATGGGATGTTCTGCTTGGTCGGTCATGATGCCAGCAAAACTCTCCTTGTCAATTACGCAAGCTTGAGTGGGTGAGTGAGTGAGTGAGTGAGTGAAGACGTGTTATGTTCAGTGCAGTCGCTCGCAAGCGACTCGATCATAGACGAGTGCTGCCGCCGACAGTATTGCAATAATGGCGTCCGATAAATGGCCACTGCCAAGGAGGCTCTTGAGGCCCAGCTTGGCCCAGACGGGACCGACAGACCGGATCGTTATGCACAGATGCATAGTCCCAAGCACAAGCATTCTCGCCTTGCTCGCATTGGCTGGAAGGACCCGCATACCGTAAAAGCACCCTCTGCATAGGGTTTATGAGCAATTATCAAATTTAAACCCCAAGCTTTTGCGTCCTTTGCTTGGTACTTGGTAGCACGCTTCTCTGCCGTGCCTTTGTTGAATTCCTCCAATAGAGGGGTATCATGAAGAGTTTCAAATATCTCACCAAGATAAGGCAGACAGGTAGATAGATACGCAGCCGCGATGGGGTCTGTCCCCATCCATTGTCCTCCCGCGTCTGTTCCATGCCTCTCGATACCCTGATGTCTCTCTTAGATAATCCATACACGAGAAGCAATTGGCTGTAAAAGACCGTAGGACTCCATGCAAGACGAGACATGGGTGCCTCGCAGCAAACCTCGCGGTGGCGCTACAGAGTAGTTTTGTGTTGAAATGGACCAATGTGATCAAGTGACCGCTACCGTTCCTGTCCGCTTTATTCTGATAGTGTTTTCTCGAATCGAACGATTTTAATGCAGAACGGGGATCATATGCTATTATTGTACGGGAATTTCATCATGTTCCCGTATTGCTGTGGATGTTTGCGCACTGGAACGCGCAGCAGATCCCCCCTTTCCACGCATGCTCTCGTTTTCGCATATCGGATTTTTCGCATTGGTAGTGGAATGCAACATCTGCTGGACCAGGGGGGGCCCTCCCAAACTCTCATCAATTGAACATGCCCCCCGTATGAAGCTGCCGGAGCCAACCCCAGGTCCCTACCACCCCGTCTAGCGTCCCCTTCGTGGTGGGCATTTCCTATCACGGCCCCCCTAGCCGCCATTGGAACCACCTGATTCGCGCAGCTAGCGTTTGGTACCAAGAGTTGAGAGAGATGGCAAGGCAGCTATCTACCGTAGTTACTTTGTACTTGGCACTAAATGCAGAAAACCTCGAAGTGGCATTAACAAACTCGGGCAAGTCCTCAGAGATAACCCCATCTCATCCCGTCTCATACGCACCAATTTGTCTTTCTCGTCGAAGCGTCGTAATAGATCGGATGTAATAGTCTTCCAGGCTAGTTATCTCATTGTAAGTTGATGGGTACAAGGTGTTGCATCAGTGGGAAAGGACCGAGAATCCACTGTTCCCTCTGCGAACGTTCGAACTCTGCTTGTCTGCTACTACATAGTACTGGGATGAGCTAAGGATGAGCAGGGGGGCTTAGCTACAGTCTATGGAGCTATCCGCCCATTCGTCAGCTGGGCGGCCAGGATGATCAACAGGGACTTTGACCAGCAGCTGGCCTGGGTCTTTTGGGGCCTTGCATTAAGCTAATCCCCCAGCGCCCCGTACCATCGCTTCTTTCATTGTGCTCAATCTATCTATTACTCTAGGTATTCTACGTTGCTTTGCTTTGCTACATGTATGAACCGACCCCGTTTCACTCTCTCTAGCATTTCTCAATCAACCGATCACCCTTCCCGTTCTTTTCGTCTGAAGTGATCGCCCTCTCCCGTCGTTCAATTCAACAGCTGTGATCTTGTCATTGACTGCCAACGAGTCAAGCCTCCCTTCATTGTTCACTGCTATTGTTCGTGCCGCCTCGGACAGTTTGACATTGTTTCGCATTGTGTGCCAGATGTTTTGAAGAGACAAGCAAACAAGGCCAATTGTCGAGATATTTACTGGTTCGCCCAAGGCTACGTGGGGTGGTTTGGTTCATCGTGACAACCAAGGCGGGATCGAAGCATCACGACATCAACAAGCGCCAAGTTGCTCATTGCATTGGCCTCCGGCGTGCGTGTGGTACCTTCCATTTGTCGAGTAGATAGTCTCACTGGTAAGTGCTTTTTGCCCTCCCTGTCCTTGCTTGCCACATGAAAGCACACATGTTCCACTGCACTCGCTTGTCTCACGTATCTGATGCACTGACGCGTTCCCCAGCCCAGCTCTGAGTGATACTCTCGACTTCTTGGGACACCATATATCACCAAGCAATATTCGACTTACACCCCAATATTCACACGCCTATTTCAATCTCCCCTGCCCCTCGTCAAGATGGCTTCTAAGATCGATACCGAAAAGACTGCACAGCCCAGTCATTTGACCGTGCACACAATGGAGCTCTCCTCTCAAGATGGGGCTGCTCTTTCGCCCAGCACCACCTGTAACAGCACCGACAAGACTCTGAAAGATATAAGCGTAGAGCTCACCAGGCCGACGGATATCTCGACGCCTAGCTCGCTCCACAGATTGAATCCGTTCGATACAGATATTGAGACAGGTCAATCATCAGAAAGCCTAAACCGCAAGTCTACGCAATTCACCGGGAGAACACTCAACAACCCCAATTGCTCGGTCTGGCCAGGACAGGATCACTGGAAGCAGAAGGCGAAATTAGCCAAGAGGAAGAACCGATCCTGTCAGTGTATGGCCAAGTTGAGCAAGCGGAACAGACTCATTGCTAAGATTCTGATTGCTTTCCTCGTCATTGGCATTGCCGTTGGAGTTGGTGTCGGGATTAGCAAACCCCTTGGAGCCGGTATATGGAAGGCCCATGAGTCGTAGAAAGGCCGAGGAACACCACATTCGACCTTGAGTATCGAAGCATTTGCGGGACGAGATTTGCCGCAGTCCTTATCACACTTGATGATGGTTAAACAAGCCAGGAAGAAAGCCGGGAAGCAATACGTTTTCTGTATGGAAGTCTAACGTTTCCAAGTGAAGAATACCACGAAAACTTACTTTTTCGAAACTACGCGTCGATACCCATTTGGACTTCGATTCGATTCATTGTATATATTTGTCGTCATGACGGACTACAAAGGCAGAACGGTACTTGTCCGGACGGAAGATTTGGACTCCTGCTGCCGCGGCTACCCCGGCCGTCGTGAGGACCGCCGCCAGCAACAGAGATAAAACGGCGTTGGGAATTGCTTTTTTTTGGGACATCATTGGGGCGGAATTCTAAGCACATTTGTGAGGCGGCAATACTCTTCTGCTTAAGACCTCGAGACATACCCTGCGTAATGTCTGGTAGAGCTGAATGCTCGAACGCTTCTACTTGGAGGCATATATTTACCATGTTAGAGCATGATCGCGTCAATGAAAAATCACTCTGGTGACAGGAGTGCACTGCGAATCAAGAACTGTGTCCTATAATATGGTGACTTTATTTGAACGTTGTGATTTGAGCCGGTAGATGCGATGTATCCAATTGCTTAGTCGTGGGAAAGACCGGTTAATGAGGTTGACGGAGTCGACGATATTAGGTAAGGTTCTGAACATGAAACAAGTTGCAACTAACGCATGAATCTGGCAGCGATCACGACATGCACATTGAGACTGCTTACCCGCAGGGGACCACTATAGCACCTTGTTTCAACAATCCATATCGGATGACAGGATGACATAACGAGCCAGAAGAGATTGAAACATGGTTAGTGCTTACTTTCCAGCATTGTATAGTCAGCCGTATCACGTGTCGCGAGAGAATGCATTGATTATGTATTGCATCGTGTCCATACTGCTTAGCTAATGACGACGACCGAGGAACATGAAGGCTAACTAAGCGCTTTGCAGATATAGGCGCCACGGTCATGGTTTTCTTTTTCCCCTTTCCGTGCATAACCTCCGTCTCTCGTCCTCGTGATTTGCGTCGCAAGTAACTGGCAATGTCGAACCACTGCCTCGTGCCGTCCGCATGCCGTCACGGTGAAAAATACTCGAGGCTCAATTATTGGAACGAATGCTATGGCTTCAGTAGCAACTCCATAGTCACTGATGGGTAATAGCAAGTGTTTCATGCGCGTCTTGCTCTTCTTGTGACTGGCACATGAGTTGCAACGACACGGCCTTGCTCGAAATAAGTTGATGCTGTCGCACTCCTACCAGCCCCTGTCACTGTTTTGGTGTGTACTACAGCATTTCAGTGTATCGAATCTGCGTCGAAGCTAGTCGATCTGATTGTTTGGAGGTATCCTTTTCGCGATACCATCTTCGCCGCTGATGGATTTCGCGCATGTGCTCCGCTCCGGAGTCCCTGAGGGATTGTACCCAGTATGACATACCGGTACCCAGGTCTTTGGTTTGACTGGGATGTTAAGACTGGTGCAGCACTCGGTCTGCCAAGTCCTTTCCCCGACGTCAGCCAAAGCTCTCCTGATGCCGCGGTTGGCTTCGTTCCAACAGTGGCTCGGGCTGAGCCCGTACGGGTAGGGTTGCTCGCGGAAGAACTTGATGCCGTTGCATTCCCATTGACCCCAGTCATCGTCCTTGTGTGCGTCCCAGCACTCGAGGATGTCGAATCTGCGTTGGAGGTATGCAATTTCCCCCCTTTGACTCTTGGAGACGACTCCAATGCCGAGGCTGGCCTCGCTGGCCGGGATTCGTGCTGAGGAGTTCTGTTCTGACTCCCGTGTGTCTTCTCCATCGCGTAAGAGTTCATTGGGAAGCCCGATCGTGGCACTGCCAAACATGAAGATCGACAAAAGGGCCGTATACTTCATTGTGACGTCTCGGTTAAATGTGTAAGATGAAACAAAGACTCACAAGTGGCTCTGCAGTTGTGTGTAGGTGTCACAACGGATATGGAGTAATATTGTGCGGAAATAAAATGGAATGTCACTTGGGGCTATCCTTCTCAAACACATATCGTGCTCAGGAAGTGTTAAAGTCGCCGGGAACTTGCGCAATCCACAGGCTGCATGTTGATTATCCGGCTCTAAGTTATCATTTCAGGGGGAGCACACAAGTTATGGGACATGAGCTATAGAGTGGATCCATTCAAGCCTCATATAATCCAAGGGGAAATGTGCGCTTACTCATAACACAAATGTGGCTCTGTTCGACGAAGCCTTTCTATTTCAGTTCGGCCGTTGCTTTTCACATAGAGTCTTTCTTGAACATCATGCTCATATCGTGGCCCGGGGCATGTCAGTCCGAAAGTCAGCACCATGGCAAAACTCATGGATCAGCGTCGACGTCATGCTTTGCATACGTGGGTTTTGCTTTCTACATCATGGCTTCCAAGGTTCCCATCCCACGTCATCTGTGAATGTACTTTTTTTTATTCTTTTCGGTGGTTGAACCACTATTGGCGAGGTTTGGTTCTGACAATGTGCGCATTGCAGGTGGTTTGTGGTTTACCTCGGATCACACTCAAAACCATTCATTCTGAAGCCACTTAAGCAAGTCGGAAGACTGGGCAAATATTGGCAGGTGGTATTGTACCAAGCAAATTGAACTTCATGAAGGGTTGCCACTTAGTTGTATGGTTTCTACAACCACCAGTATATCAATGATGCCTGTCGATGTATCTCCTGAGCAACCAAGGCTTATACGGCTCCCCTATCAGCTATTTTATCACTTCCAATCAAACACTATAGTCGTAAAGGTCCAGAGTCATCTCCTCCCACGTGCCAGGAAGATCATGCGCAATATCTCCAGCTGCTACCTTCAGACCAGCAATTTCGCCTCCGTCAAAAGGTGGTACGTCCCAGGCTGTGGGTGCACCAGAGCCTGTAGCATCCTGTAAGAGTTATTCTATCTATTTTCACATGCCTGTGAAACGTCCGGCAGTTCATGTTCCCGGTATGAACGATGGTGGGTGGGGGGCGGACAACACTGATGAAGACTTCGACCTCCCGTGACATACAATTACGCCGACCGTGATGTTTTCGTCAAGAGCCGATTGGATCAATGCGTGATTACTTGATCGATCTAAATCACGCTTACCAAGATCTGAGGGAGTGTTTCCAGTCACGGTGAATACCGATGTAACCCCATTGTAGTGACTAGCGTGATTTGGTATAGTTCCCACGCGGCACGGGGCGAAGGATCCCTGAAAGCTGAAATGGTAACCTAATCCGATTTGACGCCTTCTACGTTGATTGCCACCGTTCTGTTGACGACAGCGTGATTCACCGTCGATCGGATTGGTCGATAGAGATGCGGTTATCTGCAAGGCAGACGACGGCTATGCAAAGCCCTGGCTTCAACGTGACACATGCTCTCTACCGTGCGCATGACGCATACCTGTACGCCACTGGCAACATATACCACGTGTAGTGAGTGAGGCACGCAAAGTTATCTTTGCCGATGAAGCCGATTGCTCAGCTATGATACGCTGATCTATCAGATGTTACGCTGGTACCACCTGATCAGCGTAACTGAATGAGAGACAAGCGTGTCTTGGAGAAAGACTGTATCTTCTCCCGCTTTAGCCCTATCAGCCCTGCCAACCTTGACGGTCGCGCCTCCTTTATGGTTGTACCCAGCAACGCCACGCTAGGTAAAACCTTGGACGAAGCTTGAGACTCCATTACGGGCAGATCGTATCTCATCGTCGCCTGACCAATAGTAAATCCGTGGAGATGGCGCCAACTAACAAGCCACGAAGTGTCTAGGGTACGCCTCCTCGAACGCGACGTGGATCTTTATCCCTGTTTAGAGGACGCAATATATAAATCAATTCGTACTCCCTAGACGGTTGCAGACATTCTGTCATTCAACGTTATCTAATACACACGAGAGCATAACGATCAAAAGTCATTCAGACTACCTAATGCATCATGGCGAAAGGTCAAATTGATCATGGCCTACGTGCTACGCTCCAGAAGTATGCTCATTTAGTGAATTCGGCTGCTCGCCCTTTACCAACCCAGACCGGGGATGGTACCTACATGGAAGAGGACACACACAGCAGCATTGTTCAGGATCTCTCATCCCTTAGGGTCTCTGACATTAACACCGTGATCCAGCTACTAGAGAGGTCCATTTCGGGCAACAAACTAACAAATGACCGGACACTGTTCAGTAAGTTGTTTTCGTTTCTTTGGTCTGTGCGTTTTCTCGTTCTTTGGAAGCGTATGCTCATTCGAGAAATGCGTCACCTAAGCCAGGCGCCCATTGGCGTTTTCTCGAGAAGAAATCCAATCGCTGCTAAACATTTCACTGACCCAAAGTGGCACAGTGGAGCATCTTGTTGGTCTGGCATCAAAACTCCCAGACTCATCCACCAACAGAGCCAAACTTACCAACGCTTTCACCAAAGACATATGGACCACCTTGGATCATCCACCACCTTGTGCACTCGGCGACTTGTACAACTATCGTCAAGCTGATGGCTCGTATGTATATCTAGACATATTGAGCTAGCTTGATATACTAATACTGATAGATACAATAATATAAACCTACCAAATCTTGGAAAAGCAGGAACACCCTACGCTCGATCCGTCAAACCTCGAGCTCCGAGCCCGCCTTCGCGCCCGGATCCGGGCCTCCTATTTGATACAATCATGAGTCGTGATAATGGAGGTTTTAAACCACATCCAGGCAATATTTCGAGCATGTTGTTTTACCTGGCAACACTCATCATCCATGATTGTTTCCGAACTTCAAGAGAGAATCCCAATATCTCCACTACATCCTCGTATCTTGATCTTTCACCACTTTACGGTGCTGATCAAGCTGAGCAAAATCAGATGCGTACATTCGAAAACGGAAGATTGAAGCCCGATTCTTTTGCAGAGAAACGCATCCTTGGGTTTCCACCTGGAGTAAGCTGTCTCGTGATTATGTTCAATCGATTTCACAACTACGTGGTCACGCAACTCGCAGCTATTAACGAGAATGGGCGGTTTGACGAGCCATCGAGCTCACTCAGTGACGAACATAAACGTGCTGCGAACGAGAAGAGAGACAATGACCTGTTTCAGACGGGTCGCTTAATCACTTGCGGCCTCTATGCCCATATCATCTTGCGTGACTACGTACGGACGATACTGAATATAAACAGGACAAATTCAACGTGGTGGATTGATCCCCGGGCTGATATTGGAGATGGAGATCGCTCAATGGGGACAGGTAATCAAGTAAGCTTCGAATTCAATCTGGTATATCGCTGGCATTCTTGCGTAAGTCAGCGGGACGAAGAATGGACACAACGTCTCTACGAGAATATTGTTGGAAAAGATTATCGCGAAACAACGACCCGCGAACTCCTAACGGCGCTGGCCACATGGGAAGCCGAGATTCCCGATGATCCTCTGCAGCGATCTTTCGAAAATCTTACGAGACAAGATGATGGCACGTTCAACGATGACGATCTCGTCCGAATTCTTACCGACAGCGTTGAAGACTTGGCTGGCGCATTTGGAGCCAACAATATCCCCCCTATTCTCCGAGCTATCGAGGTTCTCGGGATATTGCAGGCTCGAAGCTGGCATGCAGCATCATTGAATGAGTTCAGATCATTTTTCGGCCTTGAGCCGCACAAGACTTTTGAGGATATTAACTCGGACCCAGTTGTCGCTGCTCACCTGAAAAGCTTGTACGAGCATCCAGACTATGTGGAGATGTACCCAGGTGTAGTAATTGAAGAAAACAAGCCAACGGTAGTGCCAGGTTCTGGCCTTGCGACAGGCTACTCAATCAGCCGGGCAATCTTGTCAGATGCCATTACCTTAACGCGTGGGGATCGTCATCTCACCCAAAACTATCATCCAGGAAATTTGACCAATTGGGGCATGAAGGAAGTGGAAGCAGACCCGGCGGTTGAGGAGGGTTGTGTAATCTACAAGCTCTTTATTCGTGCTTTCCCTCACCATTTCGAATTCAACAGCGTGTACGCGCACTATCCCTTTGTCATTCCTTCAGAGAATAAAAAGATCCTCAAGTCCCTGGGTCGGGTCGATTCATACTCGTTCCGTCGCCCAACTCGGAGGCCGCTACCGATTCCCGTCATGTCGATCGGTGGCGTTGATGCCGCATTGATGTCCAAAACTCTGCGTGTCGACCCATGGAAGCAAGGATTTCAATTCCTTGGAGGGCAAGATGGTGCAAGATGTTGCCTTGCTGGTGACGGACAGTTCTATGCAGGTCAGCGGGCAACATTGCAAAAGTCGATGTATCCCGATTCCTGGAAAGCAACAGTCAAGCGTTTCTACGAGACAACCTCGGCTGCCCTGCTGAAAAACTGGTCTTCACCAATCGGTGTAGATATTTCAGACGGTAAGATCAAGCAAACGAACGGCCACTCCGCCAAGTCTGCTGGAACTAGACAGCCAAACGGCCATTTTGTCAAGCGGAAGACTTACCAGGTAGACATTGTCAGAGATGTGGGTAACCTAGCCGGAGTCCATTTCGCGGCTCAGTTCTGGGCAATGCCACTAAAGACGGCTGAACGGCCCCATGGTATCTTCACAGAACACGAACTCAAGGACATTCTCACACTGATGTTCACTGTCGTCTTCTACGGCACTGTAGACCCTGCCAAGACGACCAGTCTCTACACTGCGGCTAAACCTATCAACGAAGCTATGGGTGCCATCATGATCGCTGAGGTTGAAGCAGCGGGCAAGAGCAGACTACTCGGGAATCTTGTCGGCAGACTTGTCGGCGAGAAGCCTGAAATGAAGGAATTTGGTATCCACGCGATTCGCAGACTGCTCGAAAACAGCAAGGATGCTCACGAGGTAGTCTACGCCCATATACTCCCAGCAGCGGCGCCCATGGTCACGTTGAACGGCGCAATCTTTGCGCAGATTGTGGACTTCTATCTTGGGGCCGGGAAAGAGCACTGGCCAAAAATCCAGGAACTGGCCTTACAGGACACTCCTGAAGCCGATGAGCTCTTGATGCACTACGCCATGGAAGGTGTGAGACTGAACGGTTCAAACTCGGTGCTCCGCTGCGTGCACGAGGACACCACACTGCTGGAGAACGGCCAGCCTCTGCACCTTAGAGCAGGAGACACTGTCTACGTCAGCTTCAATCAGTTGACAATGGACCCGGAACTCTATCCAGAGCCGGAGAAAGTACGCCTGGACCGGGATATCGACTCTTACAGATTCTATGGCCACGGGCCCCACCTCTGCCTGGGCAGCTGGATCAGCCATGTCTCTCAGGCCGCCATGCTGAAAGTAGTCGGCCGGCTCAGGAACCTTCGTAGAGCTCCTGGGCCACAGGGACAACTGAAGACAATCACGGGTGATTTGGGCGTCAAGATGTACATGGATGCGCTACAGAGTACCTTGTCGCCGTTTCCGACAACAATGAAAGTGCTGTACGATGACACTGCTTGAACTTTTATCAAGTTGTTCCGATTTGACCACCTTCCTAGTCCACTGGCTGGAATTCGAGAACTGCGCGTTACGTAGATTTTCGAATTTATACCAATAGATAGTCCATCTGTTTCCTAATTTCTCTACTATAGCAGACCACAAACAAACTGAGTATCCCGTGAACGATCGGTATGACCACGAGGCGAGGCGAGGCGAGGCTAGCCAGCATTGTCTCTCAAAGTGCGAGATGTGAGTAAATGACATATCTGCTCATGTGCCACGCGCTTATTACTAGTTAACCGTGGCTCTTGCGAAAAACTTCGACTTGAGCAATTTGTTGTGGTGAAAGACACTGGGAACAGTGTCACATGTTGGAGTGACATTCTGCCTCAGAAGCGAATCCGACAGAACCAACACTAGGACAATTCAGTGAGGTGACTCGATCCCCTGTGCACCAAGTAAATCCTTGATAGTGGGACACATCACATCTGTTCTCTATTAAAATAAGTTCGCATGCATGGTGCATATTGTAGTTCAAAAGTTATATAATTTTTGTTGTTGAATATAGTTAATGTATTAAGATTTTCGAGTTTTTTTCTTTCTTTTTCATTGGTCATGTGATGTTATGGTAACCTGCGAGTGATTAGATCGGCATATCCTTGAGATCGGCACGGGCTGTTCTTACCCATGGTCCATGTCCTTCCCCTTTAGGTGAGTTCAGGCCGCTCATGTCTGAGGAGTAGTATGAGGCCGCCGAATCTCGCCCGGTCCACGCCGGCGCCATTGGCACGGTCCTTGGTGATACCTCCTCCACCATTGGCCGTTGCGGATATTGTGGCGGCGGTGGTGCGGCGGCAGGGAAACCGCCGGCCATACGAGGTCCGACCCTGTTGACGTGTTGCATGGGGACGTGTATGGCTTGGGAATACTGTGTGGGACGAGTTGATGGCGGTGGTGCGTCGTCCTTGTATCCCGACCAGTATTTTGCGTATGTAGATTTTACGGCTTCAATGTCGTACTTGCGGCTTGTCCGTCGGTCCCGCCAGACAGAGAATGCCGCAATGCAAACGAATATAATTGGGATCAGAATGATGACTACATAACAGAGTAACCAGTTAGAGTCCTGCTTCCAGGGGTCGGGTTGCGTTTCTGTTGGCATTATATATGTGTGCTGTGTTGAATCCGAATAGATCGGACGAAAGATTGACAAAGTTGGGTTAGTCGAAGTATGTTCTCTTTGTATAAAATATGTTCAGGTGAAGTGAAAAGGTATGATGAAGAGCTTGGTTATCTCGGTGACGACAGTTCGCAAGGTCAACTTGCAATGCCTGACACCAGGGAAGGAAAGGACAAGCAGCACCAAAGAGAAAGATGAATGCTACAAAAACGTATGGTGAAGGGCTCGAGGCCACCCGCGCAGGGGGTGCACAAGTTTTAGTAGACGATACGAGAAACAAAGCAGGTGGATCTGGAACATGCCGAGAGACAAGCTTCGATGCTTTTGAATGGCTTTGTGTGGTTTCTCCTTAGTTCTTGGCATTCCAGAACTTCGCCTCAACCGACTCGCCTGAAATGGCCTGTCGGGCGGTGGACGCTACATGCATGATCATGCCGTCGTTTAACGATGGGGGCTCGAGTTTAGTCAGGGGTTTCCTCGAAAAAGATCTGGAGAATAGTGGAGAGTAACGGAGACAAAGCGCGCTTATACATGAAGATCAATGGAAGCGAGGATTTAGGTTCGTCTGAACCGGGACTCAAGGACCAATCATTGGCCGGGTGCTTCTGTAGCGGGAGACGTGGGCGTCGCACCTACTCAAGCCACTAGTGGAGTATAGTGACGTGATTCGACTGATCTGCCGGAGATCTGTATCACGAGACAAAGATTACTCATTTCGCTGTGCTTATATACATAGTCAGTGTCTCCCCCGTGCACAATGACTGACTGCAAATCAACATTTCACGTGAAGATCCCATGTCCCACAATTTAACATAATTGCAAGTCCTAAATCTTAAAGATTCCAGAGTGACAGGCCCACGTCGTACTGCATGCGGAGCCTACCAGTACCAATGCGTAGCATACTCCGCCAAATTCACCGTTCAGGCCATGCTTTTCTCAGGGATCAAGGTAGCAATATTAAAAGGTAATAAGCATCCAAGCTCCTGAAACTCCCAAGCTGGCAGCCATGCCTGCTTTGTGATTGGCTCCTACATCAGGTCTTCACTTATAACTATCGGCTATCGCATCTAAACCGGATGTGTCTTGATGTTGATGGAGACACATACAACCTTTTTCGTCATACGATTCTCGTGGGATACTCAGAAACTGACGCGCGTTCGTCTTGATCTTGTTGACTCGCAAGTTTGACGATTTCTCCATTGACTAGATTCACATGCCAGACAAGTGACAGCCACAATACTCCGTGCAGCATGACCGAATCTGCGACATGACGATTTCCTCTATCAGATCATACGCGAAAAGTCAAAACGCGTAGTATGATTGTCATATTATAATACACCAACAACTCAAGAAGCGGTGATGATCCAATGAGACTGCAGACCAACATTGATATGCGCACTCGGAAATCTGATTTTTTTTCTTTTTTTCGATTGCTATGCACTCACATCGCCGCACAAGCTTCCAGTCATGGACAAATCCCCATCATCAGCGTCTCGATAACTCATCAAAGCGCCCATACATCGGCGTGCTCACAAATCCATCACCAGGCCGGCGACTAGCTCGTGCTGCCATTTCTCGTGCAGTCCAGGCTGCTGAGCGCCGCCGCATGAGCAGGGTGAGGATCATGAGTATAGCTACGGCGACGCCAATACCGATGTTGACCGCGCTAGCAGTTGCCGCGAACCCTATGCTGAGGAATGGCATTTTGCGTTTTTGTCTGATATCAGGATCTGGTATCTTTCGGCCCAGTCCTCTGAGCGTGAATACTCCCATAACCACATGACCGACGATCGAACAGGCGTCAGGATTCATATGATTGGAGTTAATGAGGAGGCCGTAAGTCTAGCCTACAAAGGAGCTATCATGAGTTGCAATCTGACATGAGGCCTACGTGTCCATGGGAAATACTCAGGTACGTAGACTCTTCGTTCCTAATTAATTGTGATTCACCTTGACCTGAAGCAATCATCTGGAACAAGACCTGGGGACGGGGTTGAGGTTTTCAATCGTTGTCGATGAGGCATGAAAAACGGTAGGTCACGGTCAACTTCGTGATGTTATCGAGTATTATTATTATTTTGGCTTTCCAGAGTGGAATGTTTGCTATTTAACTTAGCTACGCACGCATCTGTCTATGTCTCTTACATAGAGATGAGATTTTCCACCAACGCCCGTGCAATACAAATGCCGCAATCAACTAAAATACACGCTCGACGTATTGGGGTATCACAATTTAAGCACTCTCTTTTGTTGTACGAACAGGCACCGGCTGTGCGGCAAAGGCAGTCTCCCTTTGCACACCGTCCACGGCCACATCAGCGGTCTTAGCGCCGGACATGGCTCCATCATCCTGATCATCTTTTTCGCTGCTCGCGGTACCTGCTTCGGCATCCGCAATTTTCTTGGGCTTATTCTGCTTCACACTCCTAAACTCCATAAACACTGCTCCAATAATGGTAATGCAGGACAAGACGAGGCCGATCTGGAAGCACTTACGCAGTGCCTCGTTGTAGTCATACAGTACTGTGTCAAGCAGGCTTGCAGGGACAGAGTCGGCCAAAGTTGTAGCGCCGTTGTTGATGACAAGGCCAACGTTGAAGTTGGGCAAACTGCTCAAGCGCTCGACAAGCTGAGTATTGAGCACGTTTTCGCCAACCGAAATGAAGATAGCTCCTCCTAGTAGTTGAGTGAAGAACATGAGGGAGGTTCCGATGGGCACATCCCTGGTGGGAAGGACGGTTTGAGCTGCCAAGTTTGGGGCTTGGAACGACATTCCCATACCAAAACCGTAGAGAATCTGATACCCGATCCATTTCCCCGTTTCCGTGTCAACTTGGAGTGTGTTAAGAAGTCCAGCACCGATTGACATGATACAAGTACCGACAATCATGAAAGGCGTGTAGTAACCAGTCTTCGAAGTGAGGATGCCGGTTGACATGGACGCAACAACCATCGCCAATGTCAATGGCAATAGGCGAATGCCAGAGTCGACGGCCGAAACCCCTTTAATAGCTTGGAACCAGATAGGCAAGAAATACACGAATATCATCATCTGCGAACCGATGCATAGAGTCACCCACGCACCAGCCAAGATACTGCGTTGCTTGAATATTCGCGGTGGAAGTGTTGCAGTCTTCGGCATGTAAACCTGCACGATACAAAAACCTATCAACAGGGCAATCCCAAGCGTCAAAAGCGCTATGATGCGGCCATTGCTCCAGGCGTAGTTCAACCCACCCCATTGGAGAGCCAACAAAAGGCAGACGACTCCCGGGATAAGTAAGATCGTTCCAACTGCATCGAGTTGCGCTAGCTTTTCCTTCAAAGGCAGGTTGGTTGTATCTCTGTCTGGGACCTGGAGCGTAAAAAAGATAACAGCGAGGGCGACACCACCGAAGGGCAGGTTGATATAAAAACACCATCTCCATGTTACATTAGACGTGAAAGCTCCGCCCACGAGAGGTCCGATAACTGATGCCAGGCCAAAGATGGCGCCGAAAAGGCCTTGGTATAGTGGTCGCTTGTGAAGGGGGACAGCGTAGACAATAATGATGATCTGACGCATCTGATTAGTAACAGGTCTGAAACTGGAGGAGTTCAACTTACGACACCAGAGAAGATACCAGCGGCTCCCACGCCGGCGATTGCACGTCCAACAATAAACACAGTCGAGCTCGGGGCAGCTCCACAGATAGCAGATCCAACCTCGAAGAGCAGCACTGCGCCCATGAAGAAAGTCTTTATGGAAAAGAACGTGTATAACTTTCCGAACATCAACTGGAAAGAAGCTGTCGTGAGCAAGTACGCCGAACCATACCAACCCACATCTTGCAGAGATTTGAAGTCGTCCGTGATTTGAGGAATTGCCTACATGACTGGTGTCAGTGAAAAGCACTATAGTGGACACACCCCAGTTCCAACGCCTCCACAACAGCTCCATACGGGCCTGGAACAAGGATACCTATAGTAGACACGGGAATTCATACCGTCGAAATGATCAATCTATCAAGTGCAACCAAGAACATGCTGATGAAAATGGAAAGCATCAGCGCGGCAAGCTTGAGGCCCTTCGGGTATTCGTGCATTGTCGACGCTTTCGATACGGTCTTGGCGATTGTATCATGGTTTGCTTGTGGCGCGGATGAAGCACCAACAGCCGAGCTGTTTGATGCTTGATCTGCCTGTATTGTGGCATCTGTGTCTTCGGTCGCCGTATTAACGCCAACAGGCTTCTTCTTGCCGAAGCCGAATGGCATGGTGTTTGATCAATCCTTGCCAAGCCTCGAGCTGTAGTTTGTTTGGATGCTTTGGTCGATCTGGAAAGCTTATTTAGTTGGTTAGGGGCGCAGAGCGAGAGCGAGACCGAATATGTGTGGTTGTTGGCGTCGTTGTGGGGCTGCAAGATAGGTGCGACCCTGATGTCTTAGATGAGCAAATGTCTGAACACGTCGATATGTGTCTCATATGAGCAAATGTCTGAACACGTCGATTGTTTGTGGCGAGAACGAGCTTGAAGGTAAAAGTTTATTTCAAAATGGCATGCTAAACGTCTAGTTTATGTTCATTTTAGAATACCGCTTGCAATAGTTGCCGACTCGCCGATTCACTAGGCCTGGACCGGTCTTCGGACATTTCATGGCCGTCCCGTAAGTTCGGATCATAGAAATGTAAGACGTGCTGATTTTCATCCGTATCACCCATGCGTCACCACCTGCTTGTAGCGTTAGTGACATGTAGCGATGACTCAATTTTACTTCATTTTGCACATTCCTAGCCAATTGAGCATACTATTAGGCTCCTTGATCTTGCGATCTTGACTGCCGCGCAAGATCGAAGCTGCTCGTCTGAAGTCCCCCGTTTCCAGTAGGATGGATTCGGGACCGAACCGCGTTACTCATCGCCGACAGAGCCAATTACAGCAGGCTTAGCAGATGGTCAAGCTATAGACAGGACCTGTAAAACTAAGCCGTAAATTAGTTTAGTGGCAGCCGCCCAATCTATTGGCACCAAGTGGATGTCTAACAATCTGCACCTCAAAAGGCTTTTAACGGATTTAAAAAAAAATTGTAACCAGTCACTAACTCCAGATAAGCCTCGGGAGGATCTTGGTCGTATCCAGGGGCATAGAAAAGCCCGAGCAATCTCGGCCCCGAATCCGAGCATTTACAAATAACCGGCTTTCGAGATCAATTGCAGCCACAGCATTGGCACCTAGACTAGCATAATCCTACACATTACGTGATCAAGTGCTACTGCACTTCGGTGTTATCAATAGTGTGTCCAGATAAATTTTGCATGATCCAAACCAAGATAACGTGACCCGGCATGCATCACGGGTCCCTATATGATTCATTACGATGACGGCTTGAATTTCAGTAACTTAGGTACAGGGACAACGATGTGACCTTACAATACTAGCTCTGCTTGATGGTTCAACTGGTCCGTAGACCACCGTGTTTCATGGTTCATGTTATTCGTGACTGTGATTGGTAATGGAGAGTTTCTTCTGAGTGACTGCGACTAAAATGACATCTATAGAAACGCCTGCCGATATCCGTACAATCAAACTTTACATCCAACCATTCATGGTCTGATAAGGCCCCATATTAGGGGCGTATGTGCCGTAATTAACCGGCGCGGGCTGACCAGGGTTTCCAAACACGTCCCAAGATATACTCGACGAATCAACAAACCCAAGCATCTGATCCCACGGCAGTTCGAGATTGTTTGGCATGACAGGTGTATTGATGGATCGTGACGAAGGTGACATTGTTGTCGTATCGCTTGGGGTTGTCTGAGAGTCGGAGCTTGAACCTAAGAGTTCTCGTAGTCGATTGATGTACCAGGGCGCCTCTGGCGCCGTGCCTGTGGCAAGCCGCACTGCCTCTTCGCGCTTTTTCCATGCCTTGATTGTGACAACACCAAGAGAAGCATTAGATCTGACCGAAGCCTTGAACAATTCTTCATGATATCGGTAGACTTCTTCCACTACTGTCCAAGCTCTGTCCACGAGTGATCCACTCGTGCGGGAACAGAGTTGGCCAACCATGAACTGAAATACCTCCATCTGGAAGTGTATTTTGACTGTAGATGGTTTAGTTATAGCGACTCACGTTTTGGGCATGCAACTTACCGAACCACATAAAAGTTCCGCGCTTCTCACATAACTTATAAGTCTCTAGTGAGTGCTCGCCAGAGGTTACAGCTATCTTGAATAGATTGTCTTTAGGCGTGAAGACCTCTGTGCCCCATTCAGGTTGATCTCGTGGAGGTCGAACGAGCTCCTGAAGCTTTGCCATGATCATCTGTCCCTGCCACGCTGCCAATTCATGGATCGGGCCCATTGATGGGTCGCCGTATTTTCTTAATATCTCAGCAATGTCGGCACCGAGCTCTTCGATTCGCGCTTGAGCTGCCTCTACTTCAGCGGAGGCCGGGCTGATAGCGCTCGCTCGCTCATTCTGAAGTATGACGTTTTCGAGGCCAGGATTTTCAGAAAGCAAGGCGGCAATCTTGTTGCTGATGAGACAGAGAACCATGTCTGTAGGGCCGTCTTTGGATTCCACTTTGGTCATCGTTGGGAAGAGGTCAGCATCGTTCACATTACTCGGCTCTTTGGTATCCCAGTGCCGCGGTAGCATGGACTGCCCAAACCCTGACATCATGGCATATATCGCGTCCGTCAATATGATCTGCCACCATATCCGCCGACGTATTTCTGTGTCAAATGGCGATAACCCCAAAAGCTCTCCGTCGCGATGAAGTCCCATCTTCTGAGCAATGCGGATGATGACTCCATTCAAGACCCATGCAGCGTGGCGATCATAACGACCCATGAGGGAAGTCTGATATTTATGTTAGGATCTGCCCTAAGTAGAAAACTTGTGGATAAGTGCCCTTACCAAGTATAATACTAGCGCCTGTAAGACAACGAGATCGTATTTATGCAGAATTCCCGTACGCATGAAAGACACACGTGCACCTTTTGAAAAGCGGGCGTATGCGTCGTCTTTGGAGAGCCCAAGCACAGTGATACATTCTGATTCCGTCATGGCAACAACCCCGAGGGTGTATATCGAGAATAACAAAGCCTCTACATTCTTGGGCAAATTGGCTTGGTTAGTAGCAGCTTCAACAACTAATGGTTGTACTGTAGGCACGTGTATGACCTTCGTAATCGGATTGACTCTTTCAAGAAATGTATGCCAAAGACGGAATACATGTGCTGGGTTGGGATGCAGCTCATCCAGATTGGCGTCAGAGTCGTTTGAAAACAGGAGACCTGCGTGATGATCCGGAGTCAGGCCATCAGCTGGAGTCGTGGCAGAGTTGTCCTCCTCCTTCTCATCCTGGTCGATTATTTCACGCATAGCTCGAACCTGCTGTGCATTAGCGAACCGACTTACTCCCAAAACCGTGGATAGGCATCTGGTTCATGTCCACTGCGCACACATGATGCCCTTGCGGAAGAACAACGGGGACGTACCTCATCATGGACTGTCGCCCAGAGAAAACTGTCCATGAATCGCACTCCCGAATCATCAACGACAAGCTTGCCCATGGTCTTCCATGACTCCTCTGGCTTTCCAGATTCGGGGCTTGTGCTAGAAGGCTTTGCCGTTGCATACTCCTGCAACAGCTCCTCGCACCGTGCAAGGCGCTGCTGCAAGTCCTGGTTCGGCCTCCGTCGCTTCCGGGCGGGAGCAGGAGTGCTCGGTGTACAAGTGACACCAGCCTATGCATACAAAGATGTTAGCTTTCCCAATGTCCTCCGGCAGAGGTAAGCTGTGTCGCATACCTTCAAGCAGTTTGAGCATGGTGTATTTCTATCACATTTGATTTTTCTGTGCTGACATAAAACACATGCGCTTACTCCCAGTTAGTCGACCTGAATGCACGGTACGAGCAAGTCTAGACTTACAGAATTCGATGGGATTTTCCTGTCCCCGCAGAGGTCGTTGACATGTTCAACGTACCTCATTCGAGGATGGGATGAACGATTTGAAAAGTTTTATGTGTCTTCGGATGGTGCTCAGCTCCTTCGGGTTCCGTTAAGACCGCGCCGCCGGTGATGACCTCTGCCTTGTCGGCTTATTGCGCACGCGTTGGTCGAAGTATGTCACAGCAATGACACAGCAATGACACGGCAGTCCAGTGGCAAAACGACGGAACTACAGAGTTATAGACAACTCAGTCGCATGCGTATCGCAAGTGTCCGTCGGAGTCGGTAGTTGTAAGACCCCTGGGCGAGTATCCTTATCCAGTACCAGCACGCTTGGAGGGGCAGTGCCTGTGGATAAAGATGGTGCGCCGGCAGGAGAACCAATTGAACACGATGCGCAAAACTTCAGGCCCGCCAAGGTTTAGCAGGCAGAAATGATCCGTGAATTGGGTTACGCGTCAGTGTCGAAGCGAAACAAGCAGGTTCTGATTTTGATAGTTGATGACAAGTCGGCACGACACGAGAGTAATATTAGGCATGTGCACATGGAACAGTTGGGTGTTGAACTGATATGTCATCATAAACTTTGACCATGACCAGGGCTAAGCACCCAGCGCATCCCGCACTCGTTTAGAAGCCCGTCGACTCTAGCCGATCCATTTGAGTCACAGCGGCGGCTTTGGATTGGAGTTTCCGTTGCGATTTGACAGCTGCCTGCTGCCGTGAACGCAGGGATACAGCTGTGAGGCCTCCTTATTTAGTGCTATGTAATGTTGACTTATCCATCATTCTCGACTTTCTATTGCACCGGCTCGGGGACTTTCCGAGTCAGTCCGACATAAACAAAGCTTCAACAGGTTATTGCATATTCGGGGGTTTTCGTAATCGTGATCGGATCTTTCGCAACATGCTTGAACGTAAGCAAGCAAATCAGGTGTGACTGCCGCCAGAAAAGGCTGAGGGTTCTTGAGAAAATTGCCTGGAGAGACTCCGGTTATCTCGCATCTAGCAATGATTGGGCGGTGATGCAAGGATGAAAAGTCCAAAAGTGATAAGTTACTGTAGACGGCCCGGGAACGAAGGCAGACATTTGGCCTGCTAGCTGGCTGGGCTTAACTCACCGAAGGGTACTGTCAAGACGGTATTGCTTGCTCTACTGCTTGTGCGCGTACACCGTGCATGGTCGCCGCATGCATAATATACCCTGATTGATTCATTCCTGACCTGTGCTGTTCATCAACGGCCCCAAGCTCATCAAATCAGCTGGCTTTGCCTGCCCACACGACCAATCATGCTCGTCCTGAACTCAATTACACAGGCACTTGCGGCGGAACGACGATACCGGAGCTAGGCCCGCCCCACGGAGATAGTCAGATAGTCCAGAGCCAAGGATTCTCCAGACATTTTTCAGTCGCAAGACATTGACATTCTCCCAAGTAGTTGCTCACGTCGCCTGGTGGATCAACCCTGCGGTGTACTCTTATCTTTTGTCTTGCCTTCCGTCTTGTCATGGTCTCGGCGCCTCTTTAGTACACCATGCGCCGTTTCGTTGTATGTAATGTGTGCCGGTTCGCCTGACCAGACGCGAAATCTACAACCATCTTGGGAGAGCTACTAACAGGATTCACAGGGTAGGAGTTTGGCCGTCAGAGCCTCAATCAGCAACTATGCGCTCCCACACCGGTCGATAGCCCGCCCTATAGCTCGAACGTATACCGCGACTTCGCAGCGCCGGCAAAATGCCTTCCACTCCCAGCTCGACGATCCCTCATCGTCAGCCATCCTTTCGTCATTCAAAACTACGCCCTCGACGACAGCACAGACCTTGACTGAAAAGATCGTACAGAGGTATTCAGTGGGACTTGCACCTGGAAAGGTGGTCAAGTCGGGAGACTATGTCACTCTTTCTCCTCATCACTGTAAGGAACAGACTGTCCAGCCCATTCGAGCATACTGCGGAGCGCACGTCGGTAGAACCAGCACCTTGTGCTCTTGGAATGACTCCTTCTGCCCCCGCAAGACTCGATAGACAATGTCGAAGAAGCAAATGCTGAGAATGTTATAGGCATGACACACGATAACTCATGGCCAGTGGCCTTGAAGTTCATGTCTATCGGTGCCACCAAGATCCACAACAGCAAGCAGATTGTTATGACCTTGGACCACGACGTCCAGAACAAGAGCGAGTCGAACCTCAAGAAATACCAACAAATCGAGAAGTTTGCCAAGCAACATGGTGTAGATTTCTACCCCGCAGGTTAGATTTGTTCTTCCAGACCTCGTGGTCTGACGTAATGCTGATGGCTCAAAATGCAGGACGAGGTATCGGTCACCAGATTATGGTTGAAGAGGGATATGCATGGCCCGGTACTGTCACTGTCGCATCTGATAGTCACAGTAACATGTATGGTGGCATTGGCTGTCTTGGCACTCCCATGGTACGGACGGACGCAGCTAGTATATGGGCTACGGGTCGAACTTGGTAGGTTTCCAGGACTCACGCTCTCAGCAGGTTATTTGTGCCCCATAAGCTAACATCCATCAGGTGGCAAGTTCCCCCAACCGCGAAGGTAAGGGCGCCATATCCAGACTTCTGACCACGGGTCTTCTCTTTGTAGTGCGTGAATTACTTACATGGCTTAGGTCACACTTACTGGCATTCTGCCCCCTGGCGTAACAGGAAAGGATGTAATTGTGGCCTTGTGTGGATTATTCAACAAGGATGACGTACTCAACCATGCAATTGAGTTTACAGGTACTGAACAGACAGGTAATGACTGTATTACAATCGCTAACATGAGGCAGGTACTGAGCAAACCATGAGCAGTATTCCAGTGGATGACCGTCTTACCATCGCCAACATGACTACTGAATGGGGTGCTCTCTCTGGCCTGTTCCCGATTGACTCCACACTGCAAACATGGTTACGTGCCAAGGCAACGGTTTCATCTGTTCTTGGTGATGGTGTCGCAATAAACCAGTTCTCCCACCAGAGAATTGACGATCTCATCCAAAACCAGTTAACGGCCGATTCCGATGCCACCTACGCCAAGTCGCTGTACCTTAACCTCTCGACGCTGGCTCCTTATGTTGCCGGACCCAACTCCGTCAAGGTTGCCACACCTTTGAAGACTTTGGAGGAGCAGAGCATCAAGTTGGACAAAGCCTACCTCGTAGTAAGTAGATTTCGAGTTTGTTTTCTGTCATTACTAGCGTCCAGCTGGAGCGCAGATTGCCTATTGGAGGCGATTAGGCTCTCTGTGAACAGTTTCACAATTTTGCCGAGCCCCATAGCCATCTGGAAGTGACATCTGCTGACTTTCTTTCAGTCCTGCACAAACAGCAGAGCTTCGGATATTGCTGCTGCCGCACGAGTATTCCGGGAAGCTGCAGCAAATGGCAAGGAGGCTAAACTTGCGCCTGGCGTTAAGTTCTACCTGGCTGCCGCATCCACTGTTGAACAACAAACCGCAGAGGAGACTGGTGACTGGCAAGTGCTAGTAGATGCCGGCGCTCAGACCTTGCCGGCTGGATGTGGTCCTTGTATTGGTCTTGGTACAGGTCTACTTGAGCCTGGCGAGGTTGGAATTTCAGCATCAAACAGGAATTTCAAGGGTCGCATGGGTAAGCAATCGAAACTACTCAAGAGGTGTAAATGCTGACTCCATGTGATACAGGGTCCACAGATGCTAAGGCTTACCTAGCCAGCCCTGAGATTGTGGCAGCAAGTGCTTTGCAGGGCAAGATTGCTGGCCCAGGCTGGTACCAGAAGCCTGATGGTGTCAACAAAGTCATCATTGGTGAGGGTCTTGGCGACTTCGAGCAAGACAAGGCTATCAGTATTGAGGAGGCCTTGGAGAAAATCATTGCTCAAGCTGAAAGCCTCATTGGGAACGTGGAAGGCGACTCTAGTGCAACGGAAGCCCCCGAGGGGGAGGAAACTCTGACCGACATCCTTCCTGGATTCCCCGAGAAGGTTGAAGGTGAAATTGTTTTCTGCGATGCAGATAACATCAACACTGATGTAAGCAAACTCTGGAGCCATTTTCTGTCTTTCTTTTCTTTTTGGTTGGGGAGGTTCTCTTTGTCTCAAGCATGTACTCGGCGCGCATATTCGTCGAACTCATCTTTTGTGCTTCTTGTCACAATTCATGTTGCTCCTGGAGTTTTGTCAAATCACCTGATGAATTAATTACTGACTACGGGGCTGCAGGGCATCTACCCTGGAAAATACACATACCAAGATAATGTGTCCGTCGAAAAGATGGCCGAGGTATGCATGGAGAACTACGACAAGTCCTTCGGGGAGGTCGCCAAGCAGGGCGATATTTTGGTATCCGGCTTCAATTTTGGCTGTGGCAGTTCGCGAGAGCAGGCTGCTACTGCCATTCTTGCCAAGAAGATCCCACTCGTCGTTTCGGGAAGCTTCGGTAACATCTTCAGCCGGAATAGTATCAACAATGCCTGTGAGTAATCTTCGGGATCATTTTCTACCCTTTCTGTCGGGGCCGTTTTACACAACTCGGAAGACCACTCAAGCGGGAACGGAACAATTACTGACTCCAAAGCTACAGTGATGGGCGTTGAAGTTCCCAAATTAGTGCAGAGACTGCGAGAGACTTTCAAGGCCGAGACTGAGGAGAGCAAAGTCCTCACCAGACGAACAGGCTGGAAATTCCTGTGGGACGTAAGAAGAAGCAAGGTCACCGTGACCGAGGGTGAGGGCGGTCAGACGTGGAGCCAGAAGGTCGGCGAGCTGCCGCCCAATGTACAAGAAATCATCGCACGTGGCGGTCTGGAGAAGTGGGTTAAGCATGAGATTTCCGCCTAAGTGTGTACATATAGAGAGTTTTGCAAATACCCCGTTTGAGATATACACCAAAGGGAAAGGTTGCGTGGAGTTCTAAAAATGGCTAGTCAAAACGTACAACGACAAGCGCTTGGATCTGGACATCGCATTATTGCATACTTCGTATATCTCGAAGAAGCATCACTTTGCATAACTTTATCAGAGCCTAATCTCGGCTCTGACGATTGACCGCTGTGCTAAAACGCCAAGACTGACCTCTCTCTTTCACAAGCACAAAGCACGGGACACGGAAACACCGAACATGGGTCATATACTCGGCCGAACGCACCCAGCACATGGCAAGGAACTACTTTAAACTCCAGCGGGCATTGTTGGAAGCGACACATACCGCATTAATGGGCCATTCGGTAATGATGCATAAAAAACCCTCCCCGAGGAAGAAAAAAATAATTTAGAAAGTGAACAAATTACCGGGGTTGCTTACTATCCATGCAAAGCGTTAGCTAAGCGGAGCTTTTCCTTCTGCTGGCGCAAGCTCCAAACTCAAAAACCTCCGGTTTCGAACCCGAGGCCCGAAGCCCGCCTGGCCAGTCGTCGAGTGCCGAGATGGGTTGATTGAGTGGCGCTTTACCGAAAGCGAATAATAAATACAAAACTGCCTGCCTGGGCTGTTCTGAAAGAGAACGTGTCGGGTGCGCAAGTGAACAAAGGGGGTTTGGTGACCACCCCCCGAGCGTTGTCCGTCGGTGTCATAAAACAAAGATGGCAATCCATCGTCCGAGCTGATGCACTTGTTTCTGGCCATGAGGCAGGCGGCCTTGGCCTCGGATGGTCGGAGGGTCGATATCAAGGGCAGGCCCGACCGCAGGCTGTCTTGGATAACGACTTTGAAGAAAATATAAATTTCCTGATTGTGACCCTAGTTACCCGTAATTTAATTCCATAATTAAATAACCCTTACATATGTGTCCATAGCGACTCAAGTTTATGATTGCCAATGAAGCTGAGATGCTATATCTGTGTATTAAGTGTATGCGTCCTCGTTCGGAGGATTGTTGTATCTGTTGTTCCGCGTGCGACCGATAAAGGTCCATGTGGTCGAGGCCCAGAAATGCCACCCGTTTTTATTTTCGCCTCAGAGAAACCATACACGCCATGCCATGACCCTTTTTCTATGCCTCTAAATGCCGAAACCCTTCACGCAAGTCCATAACACCACCGGTACGACTACGTTGTCATTACCACCTGTCAACACCGCTTCCGTAAGACTAGCTGTGCTTGCACATATTGTAGTCTTGCTGATCGTCACCGGCAACGAATCCAGAGGGGTAGCAGTAGGCCACCCGCCGACTTTGAGCCAGATATGAGCTGCCATGAGCCCGAGAAATACCGCGGCCGCAAAGGCGACGCTGCCCTCAAGGCTTTTACCGCCGCCCCATAGCCACTTGCGGTGTCCGTAACGGCGGCCGATTAGAGAGGCAGCTGCATCACCCAAACCAACGCAGATGACACCGGCCACCATGCTCACTTCACGAGTTGGCACTTCCCAACCTTCCATATAACCTGTTCCCGTACGTGGAAGAGACCCTAGCGATAGCCAGAGAGGAATGGCACACCCGATTAGAAGAAAAATGTGCGAGATGACGACAGGGCCTCTCAAATCTCTTCCGTCCACATACGGGGCAAGGAATGATGCGAGCGGCTTCGAAAGAGGCGGAAGTTGGCTTGCGCGAAGTAGATCGAGAATTAAGAAGAGGGAAAGAACGATCGACAATGCCAGTGCCACAAATGCTGGATCGATGTAGATCGACGGGGCGAGCATGGCTACCATCATGAAGTGGAACACCTTTCTTCGCGTGTCCACTTCGTACTTGGGCGACAGCTTGAAGACGATAAGAAGTCCGATTATCAAAACGATGACGTAGTAACCACTCAGGAGTAGGCGAGTGTTGGCTTCCCCGAAAACTGCATGTCGAAGGTATTGCACCCAGCCCAGGCCTTGATCGTCACCGAGAGCGACGCGCGGAGGGAGACATATCCATCTTTCAAGGAGATGGCTTACGACCTGCCACCTAAAACAGTTCAGGTCTCCAAATAGATAGCCTAGAGCCCAGCCTATTGGCTCATAGCCTTTTAGTGCATGCTCTTGCACAAAGTCCTTCACACCAACTATTGGGCTTGGAAAGAACACCGTGGCAGCAATGCAGACGTAGACGTATAGAGCATAAAGCCACTTTCTAGTTGTGGCTTGTTCCTGGGTCAGTGCGAAGAACGCTCTTACTGATGACGAGGATGATCTCTTCCTCCGTCCTGATGGTGTATGTGTATATGACTTCTTTAGTACTTTGTCGATAAAGGGTAATGTATGCCTCCTTCGGTGAACTGTCTGTTTGGCTTCAGTGGGTTCGAAACGGACTGCAGACTTTTTATGCTCTGAACCTGAAAATGGACCATCAAGGCCGGTTGAGTCCGCACCACCAAGCGTTGCTGTCTTGACCCGGGATAACCCTTTTGACGCATGGCCACCTGCGCCATCGCTGTCTTCGGCATCATCAACGTTTTCGCATGAGCTGCATGAAGAGCCGTCCATAGGCGCACGAAACAAGTCATGGCGAACTCTCTTCCATGACATAAGGGCTGAGAGAAATGAAGTGTGTCGTTTCGCCGAATTCTCAGTGCGTCTGAAGCGCCACTTGGGTACGCGAGCTAGGGCGATACCCCATAGAATAATGCGTGTACATGATACTAGAATGTCAAGGCCGCCCACCCATAGCATCGCTTTGATAATTGTGATCTGTGGCGAGGACGACAACAACAGCACATTGATGAGCGCCACAGACAGGAGTTGGAGCTCCGCAGTCAACAGACTAGTTGTGGTAAGGGATTGCAGAGTAATGCACAAGTATTGATGTAGAGGATACAACAGTACGAGACTTTCAAGTTGAACTGATGCATGTTGGTGGCTCGTGTCTGGGGATGACGCCGGTTCATGACCTCTTGTTTGTGAGACGACGATGGGTGCACAAGAAATCAGCCAGTGCAATGGGCTGCAAAGATCTGCACTGAGTAACTTTGGTATGAGGACAGGCGGTATGACGCATAGCGATAAGATGATGTTTGGAAGCAGAACCTTGTCATTGTCGATCGATATGAGCGACGAAACAAGCAGTGTGATGGCTATAGGGTACAAAAGTGGTGCAGGGTCGAAGTTGGTGGTGACGGTGAGAGGTATCCGCCTGGATGGATTCCGGTGCCGATAGGCCCAGCACACTACCCTCAACGGATACAAAGCTGCTAGGAGACTCGCAATACCTAAACTCACAAAGAGCTCTGGGGAAACATGAGCAAAAGCATTCAGCAGCTTGCCGGCGGGAAAACCTACCTTTGCGCCATGCGTAAAGTACCGGGCGGGCCTGGTCATTTGAGTAAACCAATGTGCCAAGTGATCCTAGCAAAATCAGCTCAGTGAGCCGCCGCACGATGACTCTGTTGCGTTTTGAGAAGTCTAGCTGTGGATGCTGTTCTTTCCCATATTTCTGTTCCTTCCTCAATGCAGAAGTGATGTATGAACTCCGTCTATATTCGTCTTCCGGTAGTGCCGGGGATGGCAGTGGTGAGGACGTTCCGGATAGCAGCTCATTGTGCCCCCGCAGGCCCTTGTGCAGTTTTGTTCGCGGAGCCGGCAGCCCCTTGAGGAAATGCTCATCATCAGCCTCGGTGCCGCTGTCACTGGCTGTCGGCGTGGTCTCGCGGGATACGGCCGGAAACGAAGTCCGACTCCGGGGTTGGTTGCCGTTGACGCTCGACCGGTAACCTGGAGGCGCCGTAGTCGAGCTCGAGAATCTATCTGAGGGCTCGAGAAGTTCTGATTTCTGCCGATGATAAGGATGCGGCGACCTGGAGAGTAGTCTCAGGGCCTCATTCTCGTCTTGCAATTGGGCTATCGCATTCGGTCGCGGAGCTGTCGAAGAGCTCAGGTGCTCAGGCATATCGTATTCCAGGACCGCACCCGGGAGGCTGGACGTCTGTTCATGTGGTATTGTGTGCTGGTGTCTGCTGTCGCATTTGGGGGCTCGGCGACTTGTGGATCGCGAACAATGGCTCTGGTGCGCCCAAAGATGCGTTCAGGACATTTGTTGAGGGCTCTCGGCGAATTGGTAAAGCTGCTATCGTTCACATGCTTTTGAACCACATGCTTTTGGACCACATCACGCTGCAGTAGTCAGCCTTAACGTGGGAGGTACCCGCTCGCTCACTGGTTGACCTTCGATTGGACACCTTGCACTGGCTGCTGATCCCCAGCAACACCGTTGCAACTCCGGAGACCGTCTCTGTGTTGCTCACCTGGTATGCAAAGTGCTCATGAGGGCATGGGACAGCTTGACCTGGACATTCTGGTCCAGTCTCTCAACTGTCGCCCACAGATTTGCAGACCCTCGACTTATGACGACGGCTCCTGGTTGTCGCCCTGGTGGAATTTGGTCGGCAACCGGCACAGGGGGGGGGGATTGCAGTGAAGATCCCACGGTAGCGGAACATATCCGCTAAGGTTAGACCAGACTACTCTGTAACCTACAGTAGTGTAGTGCGTGTATATCTATTGGCTGCCGGAGTTAAGGAGCTGAGCTGCCGTATGCACGCACTGCACCGAGGGGTAGCTTCTGCCCCACTATGGAGTGGCAGCAGTTGCTTCTACTCTTGACGACATCATAGTTGAGTAATCGCACAATGAGATTTTGTGCGCAGCCTTCCTGAGTTTCTCATGTACTTCTGAGACAACCTCGCCCGTGCGTATCGACGTAGCAGGTTGCTGTATGCTGAGTCGACGACGATATGACGAAATTCGCAGAGAACGGCCTCGTGGCAAAGGGCCATGCAGAGGGTAAGCACGCTCATTTCGACCAAGACCAATTGCCGGTGCAGCATGACGATCGGGATCGCGCATCAAGCGCCAGCGATGAGGATTCGAGACCACTTGAAGTGTGCTACCAGTTCTCCAAACAAACGAAAAGCCAAGAGCGCATTGCTGAACCGTGATTCTCAAGGTCTCGTTCGATCCGACAAACCCGTACCGGAGGAAGAGTTCCCTGGTCCCCAGCGACGCCATCATGCCTCAGATAGATAAACAGTCCAAAAAGACGCAGTGCTTGGTCCACCACTACCTTGAGAACCACAGGCAACCAAGCTCTCATGATAACATCACTGTCGAGAGGGGTTTCGACCGCATAGTTGAACCCAAAGGCGCCACTCGAGAACAAAGGAGGTTATCTAAAACAGAGCCGGACAGTTCCGAAAGTACAGATGCTGGCCAAATCGACGAGAAGTCGTGGAAGACCTCAATCAACAAGTCGCAATCAGAACTCGACCTTCGCAGTGAAGAACATGGCGAGTTGCACAGCAGGCTGCTTACAAAAAAGCAATTGAGTGACATGGCGTGGGGCGTTCGCGAGCTGAGTAGGAGATTGGGTAGTGTTCGTCTCAGATTCAAAGCGAAATCGATTTTCATTCTTACCAAGGTCTACGACGCCGATCTCATCCCGAAGACTCGAGAGGTGACCAAGTGGCTTTTGAGTCCTGAGCGGGACGTTAGATACACTGTCTATCTTGAGGACAGCATCAAAGAAAATAAGAAATTCAACATGCCCGGCCTGCTGGAAGAACTGAGAAAGGAGTACATTGACGCCGAGGAAATGGAACCAGATGCCCCCAAGAACGCACTGGATAAGCGGTTACGGTACTGGAATGTGCAGATGTGCAGGTCGAGACCTCACACGTTTGACTTCGTCGTTAGTCTGGGTGGCGATGGCACTGTTCTGTATGCCAGTTGGCTTTTCCAGCGAATCGTACCACCGGTCCTCAGTTTTGCACTCGGAAGTCTGGGCTTCATGACGAAATTCGACTTTGGTCAGCACCAGGATATCTTGACCAAGGCCTTCCGGGATGGAGTTACGGTGAGCCTACGTTTGCGCTTCGAGTGTACTGTCATGAGAAGCCAGAAGCGCAAGAAGACTATCAAGAACGATGCCGGACAGGCAGAGAACGAGGACGAAGATGAAGATGAAGCCCATAGCAGGCGAGATCTGGTCGAAGAACTCATCGGAGAGGAGAAAGACGACGATCACACTCACCGGCCTGATGGAACCTACGAGATCCTCAACGAGCTTGTTGTAGATCGTGGACCGAACCCCACCATGTCTTTTACGGAGATTTTTGGAGATGACGAGCATTTCACCTCGGTCATGGCTGATGGTCTATGTGTTTCCACGCCGACAGGCTCAACAGCGTACAACTTGGCAGCAGGTGGATCTTTGTGTCATCCGGAGAACCCAGTCATGCTGGTTACTTCAATATGCGCACACACTCTTTCATTCCGTCCCATTATCCTACCTGATACAATTGTTTTGCGAGTTGGTGTGCCATACAGTGTTCGGAACAGCTCATGGGCAAGTTTCGATGGACGCGAGCGTGTCGAGCTGTACCCTGGAGATTATGTTACAGTCAGTGCCAGCAGATTTCCGTTCGCGTCTGTGATGCCAGAAGGGCGTCGCAGTGAGGACTGGATTAACAGCATCAGCGGCAAGCTAGGGTGGAATACTCGTCAAAAACAGAAGAACGAGAACTATAAGCCGTGGAATTAGTCCAAACGATAGAGCATATTCCTGGATTGGCTCGGAGAGGAGCGTATCTGGTGCCGCAGTGTTGGGTCCTCGAGATATTGTCCCGCGAGGTTGGCATCTTTAGTTCGCGCATTTATTTCCAATCAAGTATGAGAACTCTGTACTCCAAGCACCAATGCGACTATACGTGCCGAGCTATCGGAAAACGTGACATTTGACTCCCAATTCAGCAGACGTTGCCACCACGGCTCCGAGTTAATGTAATAGGGCCGCCTGTGAGCGTTCGCAGCGTAGTAAGGCTGCAGAGCGTTCCATTCGCCATAAAATGACTACTGATGAAATACAAAACCCCGATGACAACGACGACGATGGCCCAGAAAGGGACGTGGTAGCTGCCGATGGAGTGGTAGTACCGACCGAGGTCGAGGTGAAGGTTTTCCCGGCCCCTGCTGACAGAGAAGACGTAGGTACAGAAGGCTCCCCGGTATTGTTCCTGCAGCTTTAACGCGGCGTACTTAGTCCTTCTCGACTTTTTCTGTAGGCAGACACTCTTCAACCTTTTTATTTTATCAGGTTTTTTTTTCTTTCAGTCATCGGTCCTAAAAGGCTGCGCTTTAGGTAAATGTTGAGCGATAATCGATTGATCTCTATAATTCTGCAATGAAACAGGTGCAGCCGGTTTCCCGTGTATCGTGTCTGCGCTGTCCTGGAAATCTTTGATAGCTTTTAAGAAGGTCGTCATGGGTGTTGTGAGGCCAGATTTAACGACGGAGAGGGAAGGTATATTTTAAGACCGGTTGCCACGTTGGTGGAGAGTCACTGCCGGGAATTTCATCAACGCCTTTTATGAATTCGCGAATCACCTTGTCAGACTCTCGATCCTGCTCTGTATAAGGTGTAGAGACTCTCTTCGGCTCGTCGTTCGAGTGAAGTTCTATTAGTTTCCATCCATCGAGATCTGGACGGTGCACACATAGAATTCCCGGACCAACCACATCGAGGAGATCTGAGTGCTTTTTGCGTTTCATTTCCGACCATATATTTTCAATTCTAGCGCTGTAGGCGGAGAGCCGGGCCCTAAAGTAATCGTATGCATCAGTTACATCACTTGCCAACTGCTTTACATTAGCAGGATTGACTTCGGTAGGAAAGATCGCGTCAGGAAGTACCATGATGAGTTTCTTGCTTATATCTTTATGATCAATAATTGGAAGTAGATCCGCTAAGCCATACATTTTGATTCGATAGGCAGACTGTCTGATAACATGAGTTCGGGATTATAAGATGGAGTCAAACAGAAACACCAGTTGCTCAAGAACTGCAAGACCAGTGGAAATGGCAAAAACACTTATCCCTCGGTAATCGCAAATGGCTGTTTACGGAAACAATGAGGAGACCCAAGTGCGGGCTGCTTTGTACTTCACCACAACCAAGACCAGTAGCTTGATATTCATATGGCAAGTGGTGGGTATGCACGGAGTAGATAGAGTCATAAATCGTACGACATAACTGCTAGTATGCTATCGATTGGTTGTCAACCGTAAAACCGTAATGCTTACACGTTTCCTGGAAAAAGGATTAGATCCTAGATCGGCGTAGCCAGAACTGTGTATAGCTAGTATTAACATCAAAGAGGGCACATCCTTTTTGAGATAGTAAGGTGACAGTGACGCTTGTTGTACATAATTTCAACTATCGAGTTGTTCCAACCATGAAGAGTGGTTGCTAGACTGGGAGAAATATCACAACCAGTCGACCGAAGTTGCGCTCAGCCAGACACGTTCCTTGTGTGCCCATTGTCCCCCATCGCCTTTTGTTATGTAACTAATAAGTAACTGATGCCGGCCAGCTCATCTCCCAAGCTGCCGAACAAGCATTCGTCTGGTCTTCAATCGAGATTCGCGGCCGGAGCGTATTGGGCACAACCACGTTTTGCGACAGGCCAAGGAATACATTTGGGTTTGAGAAGCCTTGCGGGGCTAATGTAGTTGCTACAGTATGAAACATCGTTGACGGAGAGGACTTTCTGGACTGCTTAGGCTCCTACTTATCGAGTTCCGTCTTGGCCCAGTTTGGAGCGAGGTACAGATAAATAAATCCTTGGAGAAAGAGAAAGGAATGTAAAATAACGCAAAGACTAAAACATACAACACCAGGGACTACCCAGTGGTCACCCACTTGAGTACTAATACGGTGCTTCAAGGACATACCTACCTGGCGAGAAGGGATCACTTGCCCCGCAGCTTGTGACATGGAAACGTGTAATCCATGAACCGCCCGGCCAAGTAGGCCTGGGGAGCATTTTTGAACGGTACAATGTTTCATCGATTACGACAACCCCACCGTTTGATTCCCGTTCCGATTTAAAAAGTCTTAGTCTGCAGGTTACATCCATTTGCAAGCCTTTGTATTAAAACGATAGAGCCGATTTGAACCATATCTTCTGTCAAGATGCTAACAGCTAGGTTCAAGGCCGTGTACCAACTTCTTCACCTCGAAAGTGAGAACAAACTCATGGGTAAATGACCCGAGCCCGTGAAGGACGGATGCAGCCCAATTTCCTGCAGATGAATGTACTGGGTATACTGTAGACATAGCTTTGGTTTCTTACAAACAATGCATTACTTGAAGCTGACTGGTGGTTCAGCGGTATTCTCTATTTCTGAAACTCTCAGATCTTGCCCTAAGAAATTGGAAGGACCTATTGGAGCCAGTTGGGCTAGTAAACCATCCTCTCAGTCTATATTTGCCCATTTTGTGAACCTCTATTTAATGTACCATTTACACATGTGCGTGTTTACTCTCCTTTTGAGATCGCCAAAATGTATTGCCTAAAAGGATCGTCTATAATTACTGGCATATCGACTTGCAATGCGGTCGAATGTAGGAGTTCAATTTAAGCCCTGTATTCCAGCAGCCTGGTTGGTAGTGTTACCTTGGATTTGCGAGGCTATGCGTACATTGGCATCAAAGCCATCAACTGCGCGTACTTCAACTCGTGTTCTGCTCAAAGTTCGTTGAGCATCCATTCTATCTTGAAATATATCTTAAGGAAATTACCAGATATGTTTATTAAAGTTATAAATTCGAGGCTACCTAGGAGATATTCATTATTTTTCCTCTTCGTTATAATAATTCTAATCTTCCTGATTATCCTCCTCCTCTTCTTCATCCTCATACTGTTCCTCCTCCTCCTCTGATACCTCTTGATCCTCCTCCTCTTCCTCCTCCTCCTCTTCCGATACCTCCTGATCCGATGCCTCTTCCTCCTCCTCCTCCTCCGATACCTCCTGATCCGATGCCTCTTCCTCCTCCTCCTCCTCCGATACCTCCTGATCCGATGCCTCTTCCTCCTCCTCCTCGACCTCCTGATCCGATGCCTCTTCCTCCTCCTCCTCGACCTCCTGATCCGATACCTCTTCCTCAGTCTCCTCGACCTCCTGATCCGATGCCTCTTCCTCCTCCTCCTCGACCTCCTGATCCGATACCTCTTCCTCAGTCTCCTCGACCTCCTGATCCGATGCCTCTTCCTCCTCCTCCTCGACCTCCTGATCCGATACCTCTTCCTCAGTCTCCTCGACCTCCGGATCCGATACCTCTTCCTCAGTCTCCTCGACCTCCTGATCCGATACCTCTTCCTCAGTCTCCTCGACCTCCTGATCCGATGCCTCTTCCTCCTCCTCCTCTAGTATCTCCTCTTCTTCTTCATTGTACTCCCCCTCCGCTTCTCCATCTTCCGAACTGAATTGATGCTCATTGTCACTTCCTTCACCATCATACCCGTCATATGAGCCATCAATACTACCTTCAGCTTCGTCGTTAGAGTCCTCCTGAACTTCATGCCCATGCTCAGAGGGATTCTCATCGTCGTTTCCAGAGTAGCTACGTTCAGAATACGCATGCTCTCTGTCGCTAGAATCCTGGAGTTCGCCTGGCTGTCCCGCATCTGAGCTTGGTGATGAAAGAGACCGTGCTGGTGAAGGTGACCTTGAATTAAATGATTGACTGCCTTGTGAACCAGCCGGAGTTATACCGCCAGAGCTAGTGGCACCTTTGTAAGAAGCGCCAACGTCTTCAATATTTTCCTTGCTGATATCAATATGAAGACCGGGTCGTTGAAAGTCTTTGTTCAGACCAACAGCTAACCCTCCGACCACGCCTCCAACAGCAATTCCGGTCGTTAAACCGGCTGCGAGGCTCGCCGAAGAGCTTTTTTGTGTATCAGCCCCCATGCTAGTATCCGTATTCATACTAGTGACCGGCTTCTGAGGTAGCGGGCTCTTAACAGATGAGCTGTTGTTGAGCGGGAAAGCAGGTTTTCCAGTGTCTGAGTTAGCCGCCGGACTTTTGACAACATTTTTTTGATCCGGGGTTGACCTTGTACTATCGGCCATGGCGCCATTGCTGTCAGGCTGAGACTGTCCAGGAAGCAAATCTGCCGGTTGCTCTGGCTCTGGCTCGTTAGCTCGATTGCCCGGCTTGACATCATCTACAAGATTAAAGCCTGTTGGTGGTTCAGCAGTGGGTAAGTCTTGTAAGGGTCTTTGGTTTTGGCGTTCCGGAGGTTCTATTGGCAAGCCTTCCTTGGGAAGAGGTTCGGTAACTTTGGTGTCCAATACTGCATGTCCAGGGTTTGTGCTCGTCGTGTAGGAATTCTTGGGGTCAATGTTCTCTTGAGGGCTGCTCTGTGACTTGATATTATCCGAGCTAGTATTCTCACGACCGCTGTTCTCAGGTTTTGTGTTCTCAGGTATTATGTTCTCCGGCTTGATACTCTCACGAAGGATGTTTTCAGGGACCATATTCTCAGGATGAATATTCCGAGGCTTGGTGTTCTCCACAGTCCCAGACCTAGCTATGTACTCGGGCTTGGAAGTATCAAGATTGCTATCCTCAAAGCTGGCATTTTTGTAGTCTGTATCCTTGGAGCTACTGTTCTCAGACTTGCTGTCGTCAGGTTTGTTGTCGTCAGGTTTGTTGTCGTCAGGTTTGTTGTCGTCAGGTTTGTTGTCGTCAGGTTTGTTGTCGTCAGGTTTGTTGTCGTCAAGCTTGTTATCGTCAAGCTTGTTATCGTCAAGCTTGTTATCATCAAGCTTGTTATCGTCAAGCTTGTTATCATCAAGCTTGTTATCGTCAAGCTTGTTATCGTCAAGCTTGTTATCATCAAGCTTGTGATCATCAAGCTTGTCCTCAGGTATGTGATCGCCAGATGTTTTGTCATGAATTTTTGCGTCCTCGCGCTTGTCCACAAGCTTCTCATCGGTCGGCTTTTCATCCTTAGGCTTATCCTCAGGCTTATCCTCAGATTTCTTGTCGTTAGATTTCTTGTCGCCATGCTTGCTATTTTTAGGCTTTTCGTCCTTATTGTCGCGTTTGGGCTCTCTTTTACCAGACCGTTTCCCCTCAGATCTCGTAGATCCAGCTTTGCCTTTCGGTTGAGGTGAGCTACCGGATGTCTCAGTCATTTCATCTATCTTCCGGGCTATACCAGATTTCAGTGCTCCCAAGATAGATGGGCCGGTGTTATGGGACGTCTTGGGCTTGGGATGCTTGTCAGTCTTCTGATCCATCTTCTTAGATATTTCAGACTTTATTTCTCCCAGAATATCAGATGCAATATCTTGAGTGTTCGGCTTGCGCCCAGGAATTTCGCTTGTAGATGACTTGATCTCGGTGGATCTGCTTTTGGAGGTTCCATTTTGGAGTGGCTTGCTTTTGCTTGGCTTTTTTTGAAGCCCTTCATGTTTGGAAGGCCCAGTCTCCATGAGCTCGCCTCTAGGCTTTTCAGTCTTTGGCGGCTTGTCGTCAACAAGTTCCATTTTGGGCAGCTGAGTTTTTACAACCTCAATTTTAGGCAAATGCTTAGTGGGGTCGTCCTTCCTTGCGGCGGTAGGAGCTGATACTATCGGCTGTTTTCTCAAGATCGAACCGATGAGCTCTGAGGATGCAATGTTCCTTGGCCTGTCCGCTTGGCCGGGCGATCTTAGTTTCGTCAATAGCGTGTTTGATGGTGCTGCTGGCGAATTCGAACCTAACAAGGGTGCCTTTCTCTTGATCATATTGTCCTTCCCAATAATGTCTTCCAGCGGCATATATCCTGACGAGTCATGAGTTACGTGTGTTGCCTCGGCGAGACGCTCGTAGTCCGATAATTTCCATGGCTTTATGGGGCTATCAAACGGCATTGGATCATGCCTAGACCAGTTTTTTGAATAGATCAATCTGACTTTCCCATCCGAAGGCGTCGTCTTAGGGATACTACGGGATTTTATCTCGGGTTTCAAGCTGGCACTATCAGCACTAACACTCAGGATGTGTAAAGACGGTTCCCCTGAGAGCTATTTTGCCCATAATGTTAGTCCAATGACCATATGACAATATTTTAGATTTACTCACAGCCTGGTGTGAGACGTGGTCACTTCTTTGAATTCCTGCTAAGCCAAGCTTGTCACCTGTCCCTCTATGCTTCTTCAAAGTAGGGGTAGATGGCGCTCGTGATACTTTGCCAGACTTGGGTGCTTTTGCTTCCTCAGTGGCTTTGTCTACTGGCCGTTTAATTTTCTCAGCCTCCAAATGAGTCTGATGAGTGGACTTCTCTGGGAGGCTCGATCTAGACACTTGGTGCGTCTCGAAAGAAGCGGATTTAGTAACCGCTGATAGGTTTGCTGTTCTTCCAGGCGATGGGGTGGCTACGACAGGTTGCGTCGGGGTTATCAGAAGGGAGATCTTCTGGGAAGATTGCAGGTTCATAGAGCCAGAGTTATTTGTGCTGTTGACTGTCTCTGGCGGCTGTTTGTTCGTTGCAGAGAGTGCTTTCCGCTTCACCTGTACTTTTTTATTAACGGAAGGTTCATCGGTACCATCCAGCTTTTTTTCTGATGATTCTGCTTTCTTAGACCTAGAAGTATGGGTATCTGCCTTCCTCAGTGCTGGAGAGAATGCCGTCCCCACCCGAACAGCTATGGCGGAGTCGATTTCTGCAGACTTCTCGGCAAACGGCGTCCATCCTTTCGTGAGGTGTAGCTGATCGATGTAAAATGGCTTGCGCTCGCTTTGCAACCATTTCCATGCTTCTTGGGACTTATCAACAAGCGGAATAGAAAGAGTGACTGGCAATGCCGTAACTTGACTAGCTGTGTTACTAAATCGGATGGTTGCATCAGAGAATCCTTCCGTCCCTGCTTGGAACAGCTGTGGGTAGCTGACTGCTGATGGTATGATATCTAACCATCGTGCCGTAGGCGATGAAACCACCGAGTGTTCGAGATGACTCTGCTCTGTGTCTTTGCTGTCTCCATCTTTGATCTTTGGAGGGCTTCGAGAACGCGGGCATACAGACCAGTAGTTGAAGCCGTTCGGTACAACTAGATCGAGACAGTTGTTACAGAGTTTTCCGGTGTCGAGAAAGCTGATTCCCGGTTCTGGACCCAGGGTATGGAAAAATCCGAGGCGGCTTGGGTACGGACAAAGAAACTTGGCGTTGTAGGTACGATACTTGGGGAAATGCAAGCAGCTGAGCCCGCGTCCCTTCAAGTATGTAGCCGTCCATTCAGCGGAGCCTGGAATTAGATCTTGAGGCTGGTTAATTGCCATGTTAGGTGTCAATCTTGGTCAGTTACAAGTTGAAAGTATGGCACGATCCGTTGTCCCAGAAGAGTGCACGCATTCTCGAATTAAGCTATCAATTTTTGAGGCGTATGGCATAGTAACGTATGAACAATTTCACATGCCATTATTTATTTCTAAGAATAGTGTTGACTGGGTTTGATTTACTTCGCCAAAAGTAAATTTTTATGGCTGTAGGAGATAAGGCTCTGCGGCTGAGTTCGGTGAACTTGCATCTGCATGCATGCCTGCAGCCATTATCCTATGCGGTCCGTCGGAGCTACTTGGCAACAAAGTACCCTCCGGTTTCGACTAAAAATAGGGGAGGCCGTGGCGCAATGTGCAACCCAGTCCTGTGCACCTTCTACTATACAATTCTTACGTGATAATTGGTTAAGTTCGGTTCTTGATAATCCAATTCTCCGAGCAATAGTCCATAGAGCCTCTTCAGCCGCGGTAGACTAGCTTGGGTAGTTCATGACTGCCCCTTACTTTTTCCAATCCCGAACAGTTAAGTTCTCCTCGATTCGGTTGAAATATATTGTCTCTTAGCAAAATCACTTAATTCGAAGTTGTTGAGAGCTGTTGAACCTTCTACGATAGCTGACCCATCCCCAACATATCTCTTACTATTGGCCTTCGGTTCTTCGTATAACTACTGTAACCAATTTGTCAGATAACGCCGTAAATTAAAGAGTTTTCCATCCTTGGAGGCGTCATATCCGTCATTAATCATGATTATTCCTTCACCAAATACCGGCACCATGGTTTCCTCAGCTACCTCTTCTGCCACTTATTTGCAACCGTCCATGATAAGTCCTTCACTTATTTCGCCGTCTATTTTCAGTTCCACGCATTCTGAAGCAAGCTTCACGAATGATTACGAGGCAGTGAGGGTCACAGAAGACGACTTCAACAGGGCTGAGGTTCTTATGGGAGAGCACTGCATCACCGCAAACAAATCGCGAAGGCCCGGACAAAAAGAAGCTACCGCGGTACTTGCGAGCGTTATCCATGGAAAAGTTCCTTGCGCAAGCTCAGGCTTGGTTGAGGCATTACTGGAATACGGAGCCGAAGTTTGTTTCGAGCGACGCAAGAGTACCAATATCCTCAAGATGGTCATGAGCAAGGACCAAGAGGACATCCGTAGCGACATATTTGCGGAAGCGACACGGTCCTGCCACGAAAATATCCTACTTCTCCTCGCCCAGCATGCCGATGATACAGCTTTGGCCAGTGCATTACCTATTGCCATCGCTCAAAACAACTTGAACAAAGTTACAATTTTGATGGCCCGGGGTGCTGATGCATCCCCTCTGTGCAGCGAGTTCCTTGACGCCATCCGTCGGGATTCAAAGGTCGTTAGTGCTTTGTTACAGCGAGAGAGAGGCGTATGCCAGGATTCCAGAGACAAAGGCCTCGTTCTAGCTGCATCGCTAGGATATGCCAGAACAGTCCAAATACTGTTAGATGGGGGTGCAAATGTGACACATGGCCAACCATCCGCGCTCATCACTGCTATACGTAATGGTAAAGAAGATGTTGTTGCAGTTATTGCGTCTCACAGAGAAATGAGACAACATGTGGACCTGCTAGACTTCGCCGTAGGCGAGGCGTACTCTCACAAACAACTCAGATGCTTAGAAGCATGTCTGCAAGCAGGAGCGAAAGGCTCAATCACGGACAAGACTCTGCTCTACGCAATTAGCCACCAGCAATATGAATTAGTAGATTCCCTAGTCAGCCACCACTCTTCTGTCGATCACCACGGCGGAGCCGCTGTTGTGTCAGCATTCAAAAGCGGACAGCCGAACCTGTTACAGACTGTACTTTTGGGTAAACCATCAAATTTGAGTATGATGGCTGCGATTGCTCAAACGGCGAGTCTACGCGATATCTGTCTAGCGCATCGGATGGTTGAGCTTCTGTTCTCCACTGGGCTGCAGGGGGACCTCAGTGAGATACTGATACACGTTCTTGATGATAAAATGATGGTTGGCGACGAACAAGCTCGGTATGCCCTGACCCGAATCTTGTTGCAAGGCGGCAAGGTGGATGTCAATTTGCAGGAAGGTCGTTGCCTCACCCTGGCTGTTGATCAGGGGTGGATCACTATTTTCAATCTGCTTCTTCAATACCAGCCATCTTTTAAATCGCTGGTAGTGGTTCTCGATCATGCGATGAGAATGCCACACCCAGAATTGAGGAAACAAATCGTTTCTAGGATAGTGGAGGCCACATCGACGGATCCAGCAATCGCCGAGGACTTGAAAGCCGCTGGTGTTATATCTGCTGCAAAGTCTATCTGTCTCGATATCCTCAAGTATCTAGCTCAATTTCAGCTTTCAACGGCAGTTATCTCTCGAGGATTTGCTGAAATGCTTGCAGCAGGGGAGCAGTGGCTTACACCCTCAGGTCTTGAAATGGTCCAATTTTTTCTTGATCAAGACATACCTAGCTCTTCAATTACGGACGCTTTCTGCCAAGCTGCTCGGCTGTTCAACCGTGATGCGTGCGAGCTATTATCCAATTCTACCAACGTTGCAGCCCCAAACAAGGCAATGGAGAGTGTGACAAACCACTCACAGGAGTGGCACACCCTGGACGACCGCAATGGTTGGATTGTGTCAATGCTGCTAGAAATGGGTGCCAGTGGTGAGCCAGTGAACCTGGCGTTTCTCAAAGTAACCAGTGCTTTCGCACAAGGGTTAGCATCTGAAACCCTCCTTGACGAATTCTTGTATGCCGCTTCAACGGATGTCAACTTCAAGCTTGGAGAAACACTGAAGATAGCTGTCAGAGCTGGTAACACCTCACTCCTCAAGAAATTGGTCAAATCTCGTGTTAGCAAGGAGACTATGACGCAAGCCTTTGCCGAGGTCATTAGCACCCCGTTAGCAGAGGACGTGGCACTCGCTCTCATTAAAGTCCTTAATGCAGATTGCATCCCGGAAAACTGTCGGCCTGATTACAGGACTACTATTTATGGCCGATATCCACCGATCGTCGACTGTCTCGCAACGTATCCCGAATCTCCTAAGCTGGTCAAGCGTTTAGTGGAGCTAGGGTGCGCTTTGGACACTAGATTTGAGGCGACGCTATATGAGAATACATCTGAGCTAGCCACTGCGTTGACGTGGGCTATGGTGCCATCAGAAGGCAAGCAGCCGGTGTCAGACGCTGTTATACAGGTTCTAATCGACGCAAATAAAGGTAAGAGGAGTCCAACTTATCATAAATTGACTTCAGTGCGATATGGCTAACATGTAACTGTCAAGAGAATGTGAATATCACGACTTCCCTTTCAAAGGCATCCCCTTTGATCATGGCTGCGAAACATCATCGTAGCTTGGTCGTAAGTAAGCTCATCAAGGCGGGTGCTGATACATATATACGAGACGTTCACGACAGATCCGCGCTTTTCTACGCTTCTCGGGAAGGCGATCTCACTGCTGTAAAGTCTCTGCTGAAAGTAAAATTCAAGCTGAATGACGGAAGCCTCCACGAAGCAGCCAGGAACCTGCATCAGGATACTGTTGCTGCCCTTGTCAAAGCAAAGCACGACGTAAATTTTCCCAGTAGCAGACGAGAACATGACGGTCGGACGCCTCTTCAAGAACTAGCATACATGTGTGATGGAAACCGAAGTCTCGCAGACATAGAGCAGACTATTTCGGCTCTTGAGGTGGGAAAGACTGACCCTCTCGCAAAGTGGCAGGGCAAGAACCCTCTGTTTCTTGCTCTTGACCATCCTCAGCCGTATAATGTCACCCACGCTCTCCTGGATACGGTCATGTGGCGGGTTATTAATGATAATAACAATCTCTTCGAGCACTACTCGGAGCAAGGAACAAAGCTTTCTATGTCGCCTACCATCTACCTAAGTATATGCTGTCGAAACAGTAATTCATCTAGAAGTGTATCCCTTCAACACCTCCTACGAACAAAGCATTGCGTTGATCGCTATTTCGCGGATTCTGGAACCCAACAGCCACCTGGCGCTGTTGGGCTTCCAGATAATATCGCTAAAGAAGAGAAGAAGCGACGAGAGGAGAGCGATAAATGGCAAAGCCGCGAATTCGAGCACAAGGAGAAGATGCGACGCGAGTGGGAAGACGCACAGCTCAAAACGACTATTGACCGGTCCAAGCACAATGAGTGGCAACAGCATGAGCACGAGAAGACGGCACAAAAAGTAAACCAGTCACAGTTTATACATCAAACCCAGATCCACCAGAAGACACAAGTGACCATACAACAACAAGAAGCTATAGCACAGAAAAGTGCCGCGGCCGAACAGTCTCAGTGGCGCGAGCGGCAGCAGAAGCTTCATGCCCAACAGCAGGATATTACAATGCAGAGGAATAAGCAACTAATGACGGAGGAGGCTACTCGGCAGCGTTTGCTCTTGGAGAAAAGGTCGCACGCGCAGAAGCTAGCATATCAGAGGTCGATGCAGCGAATAAAGGGACAGTAGAACCATACACACTGCTCTCTGTGGTTTCTGGTGTTTTCAATTTATTGTCAAAACGCGTTTGTAGAGCTTCATACAATCTTTTCGTTAAAACCTTGGGATTTGATCCATAAGCTACTCATGCGGTCTTTGCGATACGCATGCCTTGTCAGTTGTTCAAATTAGGCCCAGAAGATGTTTGTTCAGTTTCATCTCAAACTTACTTACAGTGGGCTGGAAATGCAGCGTGAGTACGCCGCCCCTATCTTCCAAACGCCATCTCCAGTCTCAATCCAGTCTACAGACAATCCTCATTCAATTGCCCCTGGCCCCCCCTTTTTTTCCTTTTCTTTATTTTTGTTTTATTTTTAGTAAAATACCTGCTAGAAAGACCAGCAGACGCCGTCAGCAATTGTGAAGCCTTATTGCAAAGGTTGCCTTCGGTCAATTGTATTAAGCCTCATATCCTCTTTATTGGTACCCGCCATGCACCCATGGGCTGCGCATGCATGCAGCCAAAAGCATGTGGTGGGTGGTATCTTCCATGCAAGCGACGCCCGGGTCTTTGGCTCCGGGTCTGAGCATGTGAAAACCAGCGCAGCCTTGCTTACCGGATCCTTGTTGAGTAGTATAGATATGAGGCTCAGCGCATACCGAAGCCCCCACGACCCAGCTAATATTGGTTTCAGCTTTCATGCAAGCTTCGTATTTTGATGAAAAATGTACACATTTGCTATCATTCATGAATTAGTCTCGGATATGGGACACCGTCTATATTTGGTAGACGCCGGGGATTTATCGACGTCGGATTGCTAAAATGTCGAAAGTGGCAAATTAGAGGCAGAACACTTGCATGGTATCACGATGGTAGCCGCAGAAGACCCTCAGACCCCTGTCATCGAAGTCTCATCATCAATGTCTTGTCAACAATGAACAAGCCATATATTATATGATCGACCTTCTGAGATTAAAGCTGACTTGTGTAGAGAGCATAGATCCCTTGGAGATTTTACTACACTCGATTCAACCACGTATCATAATTTGTACCAGGGTATTGAGTTTTGACTATGGCCAAACCACGCCAAGTAAAGCAGTCTCGGACAAAGCGCGCAAAGCGCTCTTCAGGTAGGTCCTCGTGAATGCGGACTTCAACAGCCTAAGAGCCAGAGTACTCATTGTCAATAGGCAGTCGGCGTTGTAACGTCTTCCTTGCCTGCGTCCCATTATTCATGTTCATTGGCGCTTGTGTTGTTGGAGGTGAGTTTTACTGCTCCGTCACCTTGCTTATTTACCTGGCCTGACAGAAAAAGTGTTCGTCCTTGTGGGATGCGTATCTACCAACTCGTCGATAAAGGATGTCTACCTAGCCGAGCTTAGCGTCAACAAGACATATGATATCGATCTCCGTTTGGGATATTTCGGTGAGCATAAAAAATAGAGTCTTTTATAGGGCCTGGCAGTTGAAGACTAATGTGGTACTAATAGGTGGTTGTGTCTCGATGTCTGAGACACTTGGCTCTCGTGGTGATAGAACCACATCGAACAATGCTCAGTCTCATTGCGTCGCGAACATGAGAACACCAGATATCGACGACCTCAGTGAGGAGTTTTTGGAGAACCTCAATCTCACAAACAATGCAAAAGCTCAACTCCAAAATGCACTTAATATGACTCTTCCCATCGCAAAGCACCTACAGAGCGATGTGTTCAATTGGGAGCCGCCAGTTCTTGCTTTTGTCTTGTTTGTCTTGGGGAGTTGCATCTTGTGTGGTGCCGTCGGCGGCTCTTCGCGTAGACGGGGCTATAAGATCATATTGCTGGTGGCCCTAGTCCTGAGCACATTTAGCCTAGCCTTGGCCATGCTGGCGGACATCGGTTCACTACAGGCATTGAACGCGATACTCGACGGAAACCGATCCATTAATTCAAGTCTGCTCAGCAGTGACGTTGCTATCCAGCGTGGCAATCGGCAACAAGGACTTCAACACGGATTTTTGGCTCTCATTATACTTTTCTACCTAACCATGGGGATCACTTTTGTTCAGCGGACTCCAGAGGGGGTATTCAACTATGGACATATTGGTTAAGGAAGGATTTCCCTCCTGAATTACGAGTGATGATACGTTATGGTCAAATTGCATTGCTTGATAAGCTAATAAATTATAGTGGTGGACTCACAGGAGAGGATCTAATGGTTTTTCGAAAGTCTTTTTCATGTTGTTTTCAAATTTAATGCTACGTCATTTCCTTACCATAATTTCGAAATATATGTGTCTCTCGAACCGACCTATGATAAGACATTACTTTCTGCTTGAATTAGCGCGCATGTGTAATTCCACTCGCAAGTAAGACGTTATTCATGAGTTGAACACCATCCTTAGAACGCTCAGAATGTGCGAACTAGTATGATGACCAATGGGTAAAGGCAGAGTCATATCAAAAAGGGACAAGCACGCCGGATCAACTAGCCAACAACTGATCCAACACAAGTTGAAAACCAGGCGTTCGCAGAGCAACATATCATCATCAAAGCTGGAAAGCACCAATTTGGTAATAATTCTACCAACTGAGGATCATAAACTCATGTGTATCTCGTGTTTACAGCTAGCTTCGACGCCATATTCGCCACAACACAGCATTAAGCCTCCTGCTGTGTGGTACAACACATTCGTGATGATTTATCTATTCCTTTTTCGTACCTTTGCAACTTTCCAACTTTCCAACTTTCCTTGTAGACTCCCGGTCAAGCAGACATATAGTGACATAGTCTTGTAAGCGCAAAAGATGAGGCGCTCGCAAATGAGACTGTGAGGCTACACCGGAGTGAAGTGGAGACCATCAGGTGGAACACGACTAGATGTCCTGCAAATCTTTCTTTAAAGCTCTTGGGTATGAAATAGCAGGTAAGGTTCATACAAGCTAGGTTCAGCTATGCAAGGCTAGCCTTAGGGCCCAACATAGAGCTTCATCTCCGACGCTTCTGAAATGCAAAACGCCGACAGATGTGGCTCAATCATCTCCGAAACACCACCATACTGTCTATGCATTTGTAATTTTTAGAACATTTCGGGCTCAATATGCCACATGATGAGAGTGGAAGACTGTATGCCTGGTTCTAGCCCCGCAGAAGCATCGTAGGGTCACATGGCGGACGACCGGTCAACTGGCCCTGCCAAAAATTCAAAAACCGCAGCCTTATTACCAACTAAAATGTTGAGGCTGTGTTTCAGGTTCAGTTGAGCCCTAACAATAGCTTTATTTATTCCTAGATAAGGAAGTATTACGCAGCCTTCTCACAGCCTTACATATTAGCGCTGTGTCAGCATGTCGGTAGAAATTTTAGAGTCCAGACGGAGACAGACGTGGATACTGGTTGATAGTCCTAAAGCTAAAGGACCGTAGGATCGATAGGGAAGGAAAAAGAAAAGTTGGTTCCCGTGGTAGAGATATGCATACCCGATACCGAATAGGGTGTACCGACCCCCAACCTGACAGCTAAAATGCTTAGTCGCTACTCCTGCAGCTAATATTGCAGCCATCCCACTCCTAATCCTTGTTCTCATGCATTCTATCTTCCCCATCACAGCCTGCCTGCCTCAGAATTGGGTATGTGGCAAGGCTGTTGCCAGAAAAAGTGCCGCACCCCTGCACACAACACTAACTACTATCACTATAGGGGTGCGGCACTTTTTTTGTCAACCCGTTGGGTGGTGCAGCTTCTGCCGACCGCAGCATACGTTGGACGGCTATTGCAAGTGTATGTCCGGTCGTCGAAATGCACAGCATCGCCGCTTTCGGCATCCCCCGACATGGAGGGGCAGTGGATAACGTACACATGGTCAGCATTGCACACTGTTTAGGATGGCTTAGATGACCGCTTGTGCTATAGCTCCCAAAATTAGGTTATTTAGGTCAATGAACCGTGATCTTTATGTATACTTTGAGATGATGTACCTCAAAACTACGACCACTTTCCCGTGTTTAAAATATACCTCAGCTTGGGATGGCCCCCAAATCTCGTAGCCAATCGCTACAATATTACAAGACTGTTCAGTATGTATTCAAAGATATCGTTACGTCTCGCCGCAAACCTATAACCAGGGGTAAAATAGTTAAAACCACAGCTTTGCATCGTCACGGATTATGAGATACACCACACAGATAGGAATGTCGAAGCCTGATTTACATACAATAGCCATGACTAGCAAAGAGCCTCTAGAGGTGCAGGTAGCGGTGCCCGCTGGTGCCGCCAAGATTGTTGCCAAGCCCAAGGACAGAAAGATCTTGCCACGTGACTTGGGCCTCAAAGTCATGTTCCAACCGCAAGAAGCAGAGGAAATTGAAATTGAGTAAGTTCTCAAATTGGAACGATGATTATCGGTTGGCTGATTTTGTTTGCTCATAGTGTAGTTGCTGTCCATGGTATGGGTGCAAATCCAGGGTACACATGGACCGCCGGGCTCAAAGAGCAGAAGCCAGTGAATTGGCTGAGTGACAAAACGATGCTCCCAAAAGACCTTTCTAAAGCCCGTATCATGACGTACGGTTATCAGTCATGCTGGTTTGGAGAACAAGCCGTCAGACAGTCACTCGAGAACGTTGCCACAAAGCTACTCAAATCTCTTTGCGAAGAACGGAGTAAGTGCCTATACCGCCCAGTGATCTTCATCGGTCACTGCTTCGGAGGGCTTGTTATCCAATACGTAAGTGTCTCGGTCTCAAGTCATATTCAACCTTGATTTTGATTCCCTATACTGTAGGCATACACCACGTCAGCGCTACATAAGACGCAATTTCCGGGGATTTCCGACTCTGTAGTAGGAATGGTATTTCTTGGAACTCCTCATTTCGGTCTCAAGGAGAACTCCCAGTTACAGACTCAGGGCTCGGTCTACAACGCAATCGTTGAAGCTACACAGTCGGTACAGGCCAACCTGCTTCACACCATGGCACAGGACAATGATTTGCTTGTGAATACCGTCAGCGACTTCACGAGAAAGGTTAATGAACCGAATGGACCAACTCTCTATTGCTTTTACGAGCAGGGAGCATCTAATCTTGGGCGTATTGCTGGCATTGATGGGCTCAAAAGGGTAGGAATTTCCTAACTGACTTATCACGTATACTTTTCTATTCTAACTCGTCACTCAGGAGCTATTTGTGAACCAATCTTCCGGCACACTCCCTGGGCATCAATCTGAAGGTCTAGCCCTGGACCACTTCGCCATGAATAAATTCGAAGACAGCGAGGATGATAATTACAAATCGGTACGCAGACAGATCAAGAATATGGTCAGCAAATCAAAGGCACTCATGGAAAGTCGCGGACTAGGTAAGACAACTCCCAAAGCAGAATATGAAAGCTACATTGACCGCATATCGCAATGGCCCCGAAGAGCTATCGCCGGCCAGCCACCTGCGAACCGCGACATGTTCATTGCAAATTCTGCAAGGGACAGGCATGTCAGATTATGGTGATAGAAATTTGGTATTGGAGCAAGGACATGCCACCATTTATCGCGAAACCGTCACACACATTTTCATATTTCGAGATTGAGTATATAAATAGACCTTATTCTGACTATGAGTGCTTATAGAAAAAGAACCGGTTCCTCAATTTCTCACCAAGACAGTAAATCATATACCATCATTTCTTGCTCCGATTAATCGGGAAAGCAACTTTGTGCCCCGAGACAATATCTTAAGTCTGATCGAAGAGAGTTTTGATCGGACGATGAACGTGGTTTTATGTGGGGGCTCAGGAAATGGGTAAGGACTTCTTTCAGGCCTAGAATGGCGTTAGACAATGGTGGAAGACTGACTGGCATGGTCTGCAGAAAAACACATGTCGCCGTAGAATATGCACACAGATTCTACGAAGAGAGCGGGTGCTCTAACGTCCTTTGGGTCAACGCAGCCACCGCAGCAGAGTTTGAGCTCTCATACATACGTATTGCTGAGAGTCTTGGTCTCACCAAGAATAGAAAAAATGGTAGTGTGTTGAAGGCCGTATACGACAGACTGAATCAAGAAGGGCGTTGGCTCATGATTCTCGATGGCCTGGAGGACATGACAAACTTGAAGGCGAGTGAATGCCTGCATGCGGGAAAGTCTCTCCTGACGTTCATCCCCAAGGCGCACTTTGCCAGGATTCTGATCACCACGCGAGACAAAGCTCTAGCGATGCGAATGGTCAACCAAGATGCCCAGTATGTCATTAACGTATCTACCCTGAAAGACGACGATGCTTCATGCCTCCTTCTCGGTAAGGTCACATCGGACTCCCACAGGAGAGAAAGCTCTTTGAAGGTCGCGAAAGATCTTGGTACCTCAGCCGGTACCATTGTATTGGCGCACATATATCGTAAGATGGTAGACATTAGTTGCACAAAGTATAGAGAGCTACTCTCCTCTCGTCAAACACCGGGTACAACAACATCCGGCCTATTGCGTGCTTCGCGCTTATTATATGAGGCGCTCCGAAAGGACCACCCTAGCGCAGCTCACCTACTGTTCGTCATTGGTTCAATTGATGTTCAAAGCATTCCAGAAATCTTCTTTGAGCGACAGCAGTTATCCCGCGGCTCATTGGTAGAATTGGTGAGGTTTGGCATGGTCGAGCCGTCCAAGGACAAGCGTGTTTACTGCATGACATCTGTTGTCCGAAGATGTGTGGAGACATGGCTCGTTGAGGAAAACGAGAAGGAGTTGACTGAGACGAAGGTATTGTTCACTATGTGCCAAAGGTTCAAGGCAAACAAGGACGACCTCGCCAACTGTCAGGTTCTTTTACCTTGTGCTTTGGCAGCGCTAAAGTTTCAACCATCATCATCAGAGGCTAAACAGCATCTCACAACGCTACTGTACGAGGTTTCAAGATACTATCAACGGTTCAAGCAGTACTCTTCAGCTCTTGAATGTCTTGAGCGATGTCTCGCCTTGCAACAACAGGACCTCCAGAGCGAGAAGGATCTGGTTAAAAAGACAATACAGTCGATAGAGGATGTGAAGAAAGCTCTTCTCAAGAACAAGACATCAACAAGGGCTGCCCTGAAACCAGATACACCTGAAACCCGTATTGCGAATTCAAGGAAAGAAGCAGAAGAGCTCAAGGGGAGTGTGGGTCAGGACCACCCGGACACAATTCGGAAAATCAGCGAGATGGCCACCTTTCAAATCATCCACGGAGACAAGAAAGACGCTTCGGAGGCTCTGAATCACTACAAGCAAGTGCTAAAGTGGTGCAAAGCCAAATACGGAGACGAAAGTATGGATGCAGCCCGGCGTCAGTACAACCTTGCTATTGCGCACGAGGCTCACGGCCAGTACGACGAAGCCACAAAACTCTATATCAAAGCATCAAAAATTACCGAACGTCATCTCGGGCCTGGGCATCCAGAACTTTTGAGGATCCTCGGGAACGTGGCCACGCTATACGCCCAACAGGGCCACATGGAGCAGGCTCGGCAGGCCTTTGATGACGTGCTACGAGGCCAACAGGAGAAACTGGGGTTAGATCATCCCGATACGCTAGTCACTAGACAGAACGTTGCGATGGTATTAGAAGAGATGGGCGATTTTGAAACGGCTGCCGAAGAGCTTCGGAAAGTCTTCACTGTCCAGGCTCGTCTGCTTGGCCGTGACAACCGTGCAACACTGCGGACGGCTTGCAGTCTAGCAGCAAACCACGGTCTCCGAGGTTCTTTGGAAGACTCTGAGAAGCTCTTCAAGGACACATTGGCTATCCAAAGAATAATACTAGGAGAGAAAGATCGCGATACTTTCCAGACGGAGCAAATGATGGCTGAATTCGGGTTAAAGGCTGTGAAGCAGAAATAATTATCTTCGTAGTCGTACTTTTAATTCCTTTACCATAGTCTATTCTTCTGCAGCATATCAGATACATGAAATTTCTGCAATCCTCCTGCTTGGGAAAGTGAATTTCGCACCGAGGACCCGAAGTTCCTCTAGCCCATTCGCATGATAGGGCAAACCTTGAACCAACTGTCTGATTGTTCCAGGTCGATTAAATGCTGCAAAAGCTTGTCGGGCAGCTGCAGTTGTTGCGTTATCAATGTTGAAAAAATAGCAACTTTCACCAGCCACAAACATCCTGGGTGTTGTCTGGTGGTGGCATACTGGCAAAAATTCAATAACGTTTGTCTAGCACCGGGGTTCAAACCCCTGTAATGATTATCTTTTGATTTTTCCTGCCTTTCCTTCGTAATTCTCTGGCGCCTTCTCACTTTTTCGTCTCCTCAGGAACATGTAAACGCACCAATCACGTTGTCCCTAACGGAAGGTTTACTGAGAGCGCTACGTCGCCTCAATTGAGTGCCAGCAGGTAGGTAGCATCATCTATTGCCTTACGATCGCGTATAGCATAATTGAAGAAATACTGACAACATGCTCTAAACAGTAGCTCAACACGGCCTGTCCTAATCCTGGCCTCCTTCCCATGCTGGGGACGGATAGCGCACGTTAGCATTTCTTTGGTGGGGAAAGGCGATCGCAGGCAGAGAGCTGAAATGCTGACTCAATTATCCGAGCATCATTATTAGCCAATGATCCACGACACAGGGCGGACAGCAAGGGGGTTGATCCGCTGACATGCGTGTTCAGCGTACATGATTCGTCCTTAATTCTTGCTGCTGCAGCCTCTTGTCTGCCATGTTACCTGCAGTGCAGAAAGCCCATCCAGGAGACTCCCCCCTCATCGATCATCTTCGTTTGATATCTACAAGTAGAATGATTTGCCCGTCGTCTCTTCTCTTTAGTCGGCTGAAGCTCGCCCACCTCCTGAGATCTCGCCGTTACCTAAAAATGAATTTACCTCAACAGTCTACCAGCATCCAATGAACTTGTTTATCGATTGGGTTCATCTTGAAATATTGTATTTTCTTGAAATGGATAGTACACTGAATGTTGCATCTGCCATTGCTGGCATACTAAGCATGTCTATACAGATAGCACAACTGACACAAGCACAAACCTCCAGAGCAGCCCGTCTACCCAGAAGTATTAAACTGTACCTGTCTGAACTAGTGTCTCTAAAAAGACTGTTTAGCGACATTCAAGACGCACTGCTTCTTCAATGCGTCTCACCAGGAGTGGACGCAATCAATTGCCAGGACTTACCTATGGAAATTTCTCATATCCAGGCGAACCTAGAGCAGATCCGCGAAAAGCTTCAACGTGCGCAGGACGCCGCCGCGTTCCCTACTACTATGAAGAATCTGGTCTGGCCATTCCGCGAGGACGAGACTGTCGAGTGGGCTAATGACCTAAGTGAATGCAGAGATCGTATCCAAGCAACGACCCTTGCAAGTGGTTTGTAGGTCCGAGATACTCTTCGTTTCCAAGGTCGTTACTGACTGTGTCGCCAAGGCGATTACAGATATTGACACTGGGGGAAATCAAGGATTTGCGAAGCAAGATGGAGTCAGCTGAAACAGGTACAAATGAACTTACCTGCTTGATCTAGCCGTGTTGGGATTATCTAACAAGCGCCTCGATGCTTAGAACGTTGTAGAAATTTTATTTTGGACTGGATCTCTGATGACGGATGGAAAAAGAAACAAAAAGAGCTTGTCTCGGTTCATCATCCAGACACGGGGGAATGGATTTTCGAGACCGTTGAACTTCAAAAATGGATCAACCATTCTATAAACACATTGTGGTGTTGTGGTAGCCGTCAGTATTGCTTGTCCGTACTAAGTTCGCGTCATCCATCTGCTAATACACGATCGATGTACAGCGGGTGTGGGCAAAACGCAACTCATGTACCACCAAATACGCTTCTTGCTTGCACAATTCATGCTAATATGGTCCTAGGTCGTTGGTGGTCGACCGAATCTCGAAGACGTGTAGAGTTGCGTATTTCTATTGTGACTATCATACATCTAGGAAGCCAGGCATCGTGACTGAAATCGCATCAGCCATCTTGCGACAGCTGATTGACGACGGACGGGAAATTTCCATATCAATACAGCGACTCTACCAGGCACTAGATAGAGGCGGTAAAAGGATGAAGTTGGATGATATCACATCTCTCATCCAATTGGTTTGCTCTCAGGGTCGCAACCCCCACTTCATTGTCGATGCAGTTGACGAATGTGGAAGCCAAAGAAAATCGGTCCTCTTATTTCTGAGAAACCTCGTTGATTCAACGTCGGGAAGCTTGATGATCACCGCACGACCTCATGTCAGTGAGTTTGGTCATGTTTTCCGCAACTTTTCCACGCTTGAAATCAAAGGAAACATTATGGATATACGGTCGTACACGAATCGTATGATGAGCACAAATCATGAACTGCTCGATTTGATACCCGGAGACTACCTATCAGACGTCGTGGAGCGAGTAGCGGAGCAATCTTCTGGAATGTGCGACATCCAATAACTCTCTATAAAGAGCTGTAAAGCATTGGCTGACAAGCAAGATAGGTTCCTTATAACCACTCTGCAATGCAATCATCTAACCCATCTTTCTCGACTCTCTGAGATTAGAAAGGCTCTCGAGGAGCCTCCGCACGGACTTCATGATGTTTACCAGGGTTCCATGGAGCGGATTGCGCTTCATTCCAAGGAGAAGAGAACGATCGCGATGAAGGCCTTATCGTGGATATACTACGCTAAGCGTCCATTAACGAGCATAGAGTTGGTTCATGCGCTTGCGATAGATCCCTACGAGACTACTCCGGTCTATGAGGATGTCGTGTCGCGGAAAGTAGTCCTAGACGTCTGTGAGGGTTTGGTTGTTGTTGACTCAGAAAATGACACTTTCCGCCTCGTCCATTACTCCCTACATGAGTACCTAGAGGCCACATACCACGACTGGTTCCCCGACGACGGCCTTAACATCACAAGATCATGCCTGGCGTACCTACAACTCGTTACTTCAGAATCAGGCACGCAATGCATATCTAAATACCCATTTCTGAGATATGCAGCCCAGAACTGGGGTGCCCATGCACGCGATGAGTACCACCAGAGTATCGACCATATGACTTTGGCCGTAATCGAAAATAACTCGAGAGTTGAGATCATCTCCACCATCGTGGACACTGACGAGCCAACTCGAGATGTCATGCTGATGACCCCATGTCCCAACCTTGCAGTTCAACTCACTGCACGCTTTGGTGTGTTGCCTATTCTGCGGCTGCTCCTGGAACGAGGGCATAGCCTGACTGGCGCTGATGCTTTTGGAAGAACGGCTCTCCACTGGGCCGCCCGTGGAGGTTACGAAGACGTAGTTCAATACATTCTGCGAGAAGGGAAATCTGCAGATGCAGAAACAGCAGACGGCATGACACCACTCCATTGGGCTGCGAAGCATGGCCACGCTGAGGTCGTGGCGGAGCTTTTGGTCGGTGCCGACCCCTCTGCATCAACTGCGGATGGCAGAACAGCGCTGCACTGGGCAGCAAGCCGCGGACACACCTACATAGTCGAGATGCTCCTAGCTGATAGGCGCGTTCACGCAGATACTCAATCTAGAAACGGCTGGACAGCGCTGCACTGGGCTGCATGCAGTGGCAACAGGGCCATAGTCAGGTACGGATTGAATTCAAGGATTGAACTTGCATCTTTATCGACGAAAACACCTACCCAGCCCCTGTTATTGAGCGGCGGCGATGCCAAGGGTCATGAAGATGTCATTGAATTGCTTCTTGGGGCAGGATTCGATCCCAATACACGAACCATCGACGGACAGACGCCTTTGCACTGGGCGGCAACATCAGGCAATCTAACCATAGTGGAAGCCCTTTTACAGCATGGGGCGGACGTGGAGATTTGTGACAATGAAGGCCTCACACCCTGGGACTACGCTAACAATAACGGCGCTCAAAATACAGTTCTCAGTGCGCTGACTACGTAAACTCAATCAATTCGATTTCAACCAAAATCAAATGATTGCTGCGTGTTACGACTGGAACGCGACTAAAGACTGCATGTATCGAAGCGGGACACAAAAATATGGGCTAGTTTGGAAGTGGGAGCCCCCGACCCACGTTTTGTTTAGTTTAGATTCGATGAGAGCCTAACTTACACCACTTCTTCCGTGCTTGATCATATTAGCTACCTACTCCTTTGTATGAACTTTTGCCTTTTGCCTTTTGCCTTTTGCCTTTTGCCTTGTGCCTTTTGCCTTGTGCCTTTTGATCTGGATCCCAAATGTGACAAGATGGGTTACTCTTAATTGCGCCTGCCCACGTGCCAGAATGGGTCGTGCCTCTCTCTATCGTGTTCCTGGGTTTGGCGCGGTCTTCTGGGATCTGACATATATCCTCACGACGCGTTGCAGCCTGCAAACACGCTCATATGCCATGCCGATCCTAGGTCTCATGATCAATGTCAGTTGGGAATTAGTCTATGGGTTCTACGTCGCTGAGACGGCGCTTGAGAGATCCGGCTTTGTTCTCTGGCTGATCCTTGATCTCGGCCTGGTGTACACGGCCATCCGCTTCCCGCCCGAAGGCTAGTCGTCCAAGGGTCCGTGTTTGTGAAGACACCTGGCATGGATACTCGGTGTTCTACTTTTGGTAGGATGCTGGGGTCACTTCGCTTTTGCCTCATGGTGGCTATCTGTGCCTGGCATCGCCTTTGTTGACAAGGCGGGGAAGTGGTGGCGGGGGATGGAAGGGTACGATCAAACCGAGCTGGCGTATTGGTCGGCTGGGTTGGCGCACATGGTGGCAAGTGCTCGAGTGTAGCTATGCTGTTGGTTCGACAACATTCGGGAGGGACTAATTATAGAATCATAGAATTTGGGAAGTGATGGGATTTTCTCGGTTGATTCGAGTCCGGAAAGGGGATGCTTTGCTTGGGAGTCACCCACTGAGGCACAAAGGACGACTTCCAATGCTTCGGTAGGTCGTCCGCAACGATGCCTGGGACTTCAACTTTGACTATCGAAGACATCCGTCGGCCCGAGTCGTGCTTGGCAATCCTAGATGACAGCAATACCGTCCGCTTATGTCTTCTATCTGTAACAACACCGATGCCAACCATCACTGATCAATGGACAATACTCTGAAGACCCTTACTAACTCAATTGCCTAACAGGTTCTGCAGGCTTTTTGGATCGCTTTATGGCATTGCCTTTACAATGTGGTACTCTAGTGGTACTGGCATGAGCTTAGCTTGAAAAAAGCTAAAGCTTACTTTTTAATAAATCTTATAAAAGTTATTACCGGCGCATAACGTTGGCGTTAACGGGGAGGGTCGGGTGAGTCAGCAAAAGCTGTTACACGGGGCGGCTAATAGGAATGATAGCGCTTCCCAGTTTATCTAGGGCAGGGCAGACGGGATGCCGAGTTTTCTAGGAGCTGTAGTCGTATGTGCTGGATAACCCAATAGATGAGCATTATATCGTTTTGTCGGTAGTGCAGCAGATTTCCTCAGTGTCGCTCTTGGTATCCTGGTAGGCCTCGCTCACCACAGTACTGCTAAGTGACAATGGTGTCAGCTTGCTGGATGTGTCCATGGTGGTGACCAGGTATGCGGGCTGCGTGATGATTCGAATAGCGATTCGAGCATTGGGCCACATCCACCTACCTCCGGCTCACCCTGTCAATTCGTGAAAGACTGCCAAGCGACGTTGTGAAGTTTAGTGAGTGTCCGAGGAACTAAAGGTACACCCAGCGCGATTAGTAAAAATGTAGCGCGTCACAAGGAAGCGAGCAAATAAAGCATAGATGTGTCCAGAACCGTGCAAATGGCCGGTCGTATTCAATTGTTCATACTATAAAGTCGCTCTAGCTTAGTGGCCATCTCCTCAGCTCGTATCCTGTTTTGGATCTATTAACGCCCGTAAAATTGAATCAAGTCGCTCTAATGAGAAGCCGTATAGCCATGTGTATTTCCTGCCTTTCGTGCAGGATGTTTCCCGTCACGACTCTTCCCCAGAACTGATGGTATCATCGCTGCCACTGTACAGTAATCGTAAGGATAGGAAAGGAATTCGGAGGATGCGGCGAGGTATTAAGGTTGTTATTACTAAAATCGAGTTGCGCATGCACTTCATTCTTCGTCGTCATCATCAGAGGTCTCGACAAAGGTCATGGTGATACCTTGAGGGTCGTCGACATTCAAGTTGATGGCGTCGAGGGCCGATGTGCTCTCTCGCTTCTCCTCGGCAGTCACTTCCCGCTTCTCCGTGTTAAGAGACTCTGCAGCTGGAACTACGAATGACTTGATGTCACGGGTCTCGAGATCAGATGACTGCATGGCTTCGGAGATTTGAGTTAGTAAGTTGCAAATCGATTGATCGGGTCAGTGTGGGAGAAGACATACCAGTTGGAACACCACGGCGAACATACATAGTGGTGATCTTTGTTCGGCGGCGAGGTTGCGAGGCAGAAGTCTCATCGCGCTTGCCGGCAGCAGCAGGCCGAGCAGCACCCGCAGTACCAGCGGCGGCAGCAGTAGTGGGTCTGTTGTCGACAATGATGCCGACGCCAGCACCACCCTCACCAGTTCCGAGTTGAATAACGGGTCCCTTGGTCAAGGCATTCTCGGCGTACTGTAGAGCGCGGTCGAATCCTTGGAGGTCACGCTTGGCGACGGGGGATTCACCCTCTCGGGGAGCAATCTCCTTACCCATTCCTTGGAGGGTAGAGATAGAAGCGGCTACTCAAAGATTAGTCATGTCAAGGTACAGTGGTGTTAATCATAGAGCCTTACCCTGCTCGGAAAGTGTCGAGTCAGACGCAGGGTTTGCGGCCACAGCCGTGGCATCCTTGGTACTCTCCTCGGCGACGACAGCGGCAGCGGGAGCAGTAGTGATGCTCGCAGCAGCAACAGGAGCGGCGGCCGGAACCGCAGTCGCCGGAGCGGCTACAGCAGGAGCGGCAGCTTGGGCAGCGCCAGTGTTGGATTTACCGGTAGCAGCGTTCACGGCAGCTCCCTCAAGTGTATTGAATAGTTGTGATACATCCTGGCCTCCTCCGAAAGATATCTCACCATCACCTACTACCCTGTATATGAATTAGAATCTTGATGGAGCCGAAACAATGCCGAATGGGGATACTCACAAAGCAGGAGAGTAGGCACCGAGGTTGATGTTCAAAGGAAGGGCGTAGACCGAGGCTACAAGGCCGGCAGTAGCGACAATGCGATAGCTAACCATATTGACTGATTATTGGGAGAACTTGTTGATGAACTTGATGTAGATCTTGGAAAGATTGACTAATAGTATAAACAAACGACCAGCGGCGACCAGCGGAAGAATAGAATTATAGAAACGGAATGTAAGGGTCTGATTCTGGACTCGAGCACAGCTGAGGAACGGAAATTTCAAGGTTGAGATGCAATCATGACCTTCATATATACCAGCGGGTCCAACGAGATGCAAGACTTCTGGGCATCCCGTGTGGAGTTCGCAATGCCAAGATGCTGAGCGAACACATGGGAGACTCACGTCCCTGCTGTGCCAAGGCGTTTCTAGACTTGGATGTCGACGGTAAAAATAAGTGCAACCATGGTATATAGTTGAACATGGGCATTGACGCTTCTACCAGACCTGGACACGCAAGTGGAGCCCGGCAGGACAAACAATACTAGAGTCGCGTGAAACACGCGGAATAGGCTAGAACGGTGGCAAGCTAAGACGCTGTGACTGGTAGCCAGCAAGCTGAATGGCCGTTGCGTTGAGGCTCTTGGCTGAGGCTGCCAAGCCAGATGAAGCGTCAATGCGGCATGATATTCTAACACTGGTAAAAGACGATGTGAGAGCTGAGTGGGTCAGTCATTCATGAGACCTGCCAAGCATAATGCCAAGCGCCAAAGTACACTGTCTCTATGCCCAGTGCACTGAGATCGAAGAAGCTTTCGCAATCTCGAGTGACAGGCCCTCAGGTGTCTTGTGCTGAGCTTGATAGTTCTTGGGCAATTGGGGACGGTAGGTCTGGCCAGAAGCGCCTCCACATCGCACTCGTCTTGGTATCTGGGGTTGCAAAGTGGGTATACCCAAGCGCCAAAGCGGGAATTTCGTGATTCGCACCTCAGCGTTTCAAGTACCGGCGTATTGAGTGCTGAATCGCCGCGGTGTAGAAACAATCTTCCTGGTTCCTCACATTTCCTAGGAGCAAATGCCGGATATTGGGGTTGCCTGCACCCTGGTGATCGGGAAACATGCGCGACTTCAGGGTATCTGCATACTTCTCTAACCACCAAGACATTCGCGACGTGACTAGACGATCAGTCAAGCTGCAGAGACTGGGGATTAACGCCAAGCTTCCTATATGCCATGAGAGTTGCCGATCGTCGTCATCTCGGAACGGGTTCAGTGGGTGATCAGACGGTAAGGGCCAACTCAATCAGGGATAGCAATATTTGGCCAATATTTGGGTATTGGAGTGGAAGACGTAGAATAATGTTCGGAACTACAAAAGAGCTTGTGTTTACAATCTAATTTCTGACAGATGAGACAAGCATTGCTTGAAGACGGCGTCTTCTGCACCCCAATCTTGGTTTTCTTGTCCCTGAAGCTAGTCAAGCTCTGGTGACGTTAGGGAAGATGGGACGGGCGAGCAGAAGCGAGTAGAGTGTCAGTAAGCCTCAACGACCCAAGCTTTCTTGTGCATCAGGACAAGACCGGTAATTGGAAAGCCTAATTTTAATACTGATAGGGGATACCAAGACGGATCTTTGTGATCAAGGTCTTGGCACTCCGTAAAATGCAACAGTCTGGTTTACCAAGCCTTTTGGTGTAAGACGTTGAAGCACAGCCAAGAGATTGATCAATGTAGGACGAATTCTACATCCCAGTGGCAGCTATATGTAGCCAATAAACGGGCGGTAGATCGACAAGCACTCTCATGGTGAGAAACCAGACGCAAATTACGAGGATCACAATAGTTACGAGGCGTGGGAGCGCGTCTTTTGTTGCATTGAAAAAAAAAAAATGCAGTTGATTCGGAAAGAAACACGAACGTGCTAACCTAAGATAATAGAAGGAGCGCACGGAGGTAGTGCTCTTCAGCGCCTGGATTAGCGCGAAACGGAAACTCCACCAAATGGACTTGGCAATGGCAAGTGACACTGGAGCATTCTACAATTCTGGATAGAACCAGTAAGCTAACACATGCCTCCATGTAGACCAGCGATTGCAACATCCTAGAGTCTTTATTGGTTGAGCTCCAATAACTTCTCGCGACTAGCCACTTCAATTTTTTCCCTGGTTTATTCCGTCCGATATTGGGAGCATTGCTGATAGCCCCCGCTGCTATCCACGGGCGCAGTGGTTGTTGTGATGCTTTCTTATCGAATTGACTACCTCCATCGGTCTCACGCATGGCAGCTGCTTTGCTAGTATATCAGCGACTGCCAGGTAACCAAAATTTGTTCTGCTGGGTCAAGTACAATGTAACTATGAGATTAAGGCTCCTTGGACATCATAAATAGATGATGCTGGATTCGGAGTATTAGCCCCTCCTAGCTCAAAATCAAATCGCCATTATCATTCCAGTAGAGAAGGAGTGCAGAATTTGAGTGCATTTCAAATTTGTACTGCAATTGTATATGAGAGCTGTGCCCTCGACGATTATGGAGAAAGGCAGGCTGTTGGAGACGTTGGCTTGCCTAGCGATATTATGGGCTGAGCTGTCACTGACTCTGGACAGGCTCTTCGTGGTGTTCAACATACCCGCATGATAATACGATCAGCACAAGTCGAATAGTAAATGAAACTGAGCAATAGGAATCGAAGACGAATTCCTACGAACCTCTTGTGCATTGTTCCATTGACTCCTTTGAAGCTGCCGAGAAGGCCAAGGGCTGGGCAGAGTATCAAAGCCCACCCGCCATCCCAACTGTGTCGGATGAATCCATACGGATCTCAAAGACACGAACTAAATCTTGGGGGGAGCTTATTCGATGGGGAATTTCTGAGCCAAGAAGGCCTCCTGACGAAGCCGGGCGGGTCACACATAGGGGTGCCGGCAGTGTATTGAATGCTTTTTCTTGTGGTGGGTTGCAAACACGATCGACCATATACAAGATTCTTGGCAGAATCAGAATTAGATTGATCGGGGTAGTTACCCATTATTTTATCGTTCATTCCTACTAGGATCGGTACGCTTGCGTTTTAACGGCGCTGATGCTCTTGCCACTGTCTTTGCCTCCTCGGCGACAGGCATGTCCTCTGTATAGCTAGTTGACTATCGATACAACAACATAGGCTTTATTCTAAGCCCATCAAATAATTTTTATCTTTAGAGAAGTCACGGGTACCCGAGACACCACGGTGTCGGACCTTCTTGAACCCAACGGTCTCCCCACTGTTCTCCTGAGCCGTTCTAGTAGCAACGATTTTGTATCCGCGTACGTGAGGCAACAGTAGAGCCCAGAATAAACAGTAGAGCACACCCGAGGCTATAATACCAATCTCAAGCACTGGCGCTATGTAGTAGGGCATACCAATTAGCTGCTTGGATCGAGGAGGTGGGACAAGAGGAATGTTTTTTATGAAAATGTGATAGAGGATGACGAAGGCAACCACCACGAGAGGTGCTTTCAATGATGATGTTCACTGCTCCTTCGGGTTGAGGTGGAGGTATAAAAGATCACAGCCCGCGAATGCCCCGACCAGTGCGCAGGGATAGACGGTTCTGTCGTGTCATGTTAGTAAAGTTCTTCAACGTCCAAAGACAGGTATGTCGATAGCTCTGATGATGTTGGTAGGCACTTACGCATCGATGAAAAAGTTGTAGATAGGCACCGGAAGCGGTGTAACTAATAACGCGACTGTGGATACCTAACATAATAATAGCTGTGTATAGTATCAGCTTTACTAGATACCTAGGATGTGGTTACGGCGTATAAGGACGGAACACTTACGGCAGCAGTCGGAGCTCCATTCGGCTTGTCGGAAGCTCAGAAATGACCGGACGATAAGACTCTCTCTTTAGCCAGCTCCTGATTCATCCGACTTGTGCCAAAACTAATTACGAGAATGGTTCCCAAGTTGCTGACCGCAACGAGAGCGGACAACACTCGCGGAGCAGCAACTGAAAGAGCCTTTCGTGGATTTTTGAATTCGCTCAAGATAGTTGAGACACTGCCGGAACCACCATAAGCATTACCCAGGCGAAATTTTTTTTATTGCATATCCTTGAAGATCACCAAAACCGTTGCGTATGTGACACCCCATAAAGCATCTTCGAAATTGTGAGGGTCTAGTACACGAAACTTGACGGATATATATAGGCTGTATGCTGCAATGAAGGCATCTATAGACGAATTAGTCGACACCCTATCTAGCTGTCAGACATTCATTCGAACTACCAGCCACCCACAGCAACAATGTTACACCTACGTAGCAGTTGATCGCAAATACCCCCTGAGGATATTGAAAAGACTGAGATGTGTCAGTCATTTAGCTCAAATGGGCTGGCAGGACTGAACTGACTACACGTCCCTGTGGAGTCGTCCAAGATATACCAAAAGACGTCTAAAGTGCTTGCATTCTGTGAGTTGGAGTTTGCTATCTTCACCCCAGAACCTGTCTGGACTTGGGAAACATTCTCCACAAATTCGACTGATTATGTCTTGGTCAACATCTTCGATATGGAGTTTGTCAATCAAATGTATCAATGTACATACGAACTGTATTGAGCTGATTGTTTTTTTCTTTTTTGTTCTTTTTGAGAAAGCACGGATTCATCGCGAACGGCACAATGAAGCGCGGGTGGCAAACATGGCGGACTGCTAGCGATATACGTAGACAATGGTGTATTACTAGCAATGTAGCGAAAATAATCATTACCGGTTCATACAAAGTGACCTTCCAAGTAGCTCTAATAAGATCGCGGTTGAGTTGGTTGTAGCTTTGCATAACCAGAATTACATGAACCCTACCGAGTGGCAAGGAGGAGATGACTATGGTGGGGAATAGCCTTGTTAAATACTTTTCATCTTATTGTTTATTATATGCTTTTATTTTACTTAGATTGTAGCGTTGATGCGGTGCTTTGAAGTAACACGTTATCACAAAAGACTATTTGGAATCACTATTGGAGCCACTATCGAAGCCCAAGGCTTTACTCCCTTAGTTTCTGTATAAGTGGCATCTTCGATTGAAGGAGAGAGGAAGTCTCGAGGGAGTTGATATATCCTGATCAGGGTGCATCCAAAACCGACAACTCACATCAAGAATGCAGCACCCAGGCCCAACACAGCCAAGTTCAGGCCGCTGAGAGAGAGTTGGGAAACTGCGCCGTTCTGGCTTACAGCTGTAGTTGAGGCAGTTATAGATGACGAAGTTCCCACAGAGCTGCCAGTCGAAGACGTGCCGTTCGAAGCTGATGCTGTAGGCGTAGCCGTGGCAGAGGTACCTGACACTGTTGCTCCGGAGGCGACCGAAGTTGAAGTAGAAGAAGCGCCGGCAACGGACGATGACTAATAACGGTTTGAGCGCAGTTCAAATTGTAAAATCGGATAGACAGGATATTATGTTACCTTGGAGCTGGATGAGTCGTCAGTAGAGTTGTCAACGGCAAGGCTCAGACCGGTATTAATGATGGTGAAGAACTTTGTTCCGCCACAAGCTTCTGCGCTATAGCCTGGACAGGGCTCATCACACTGACTGTCATCAACGAGCGTACTGGCTGCCGGGTATTTCTGGCCGCAGTAGCACTTGCTTCCTTGGGTAGCGGCCACGTTGGCATCCGCGTCTCTGCACAGTGAAGCGCACAAGCCTCGCGCGTTGAACTCGTTTGTCTTATTAAGCTTCAATTCGCCAACCGATGAGTAGCAGCCATGAACTGTGTCCGTACCGATGACTGGGTCCTCAGCCGACGTCTCCAATGAGCCTCTTGCGAGCACGGTTGCTGCGATGGGCAAGAGGATGAGGAAGGACTTCATTTTATGTGTATTGACTTTGAAATTCCGCGAAGAGATTCCGACTTGGGATGAACGATAACCTGATGATAAGTAGACCAAGGAGCGAGTGACTTAAGCGAACGAACGAACGACAGCCAAATTGACGAGGCGACTTTAAAGGTTGGTGCAAACTTGCGGTTCGAAGGTGGGCATCGTGCACGTTTTGTTCTTTACCTTAAAGCTATGCTTATGTACAATTGAGTAGACGGTGACTGCAGCGGGTAAATTGGTAGTGCATCGAAGGATGCGAGAATACGACAAAACGCCCCGTATAATTTAACTAGCGAAGGGTCATTTCTAGACGGCGAGCTAATGAGATGCGCGGTGTGCCTGTTTAAAATGGGGTTGCGGGACAGACCAACATCACTGTGCCGTAAACTAACGTTCAGCTAGTTGGGCATGGACATAACTCTCCGGCATCATGATCCGGGCCGAGGTTTGAACCTTGTACCATATGTAGGCAACTATCTGACTTTCCGTTACTGCTATTACTTATTGAACTGCTTTACAAGATCATATATGTGACCATGGTTGAGTGTTTGTGTTGCTCTTGAGAGCTGTTTTCCCAACAAGCTCGTATGTACTTCCCTTAGCAACCACAGCTCAAGAGCTTGGATCATCAACACTGAAACAGAAAAAGGACTTGCGGCAGGCAGCAACAACGCATCACTCCGTCATTTCCCCTTTACGTTGAACATAAGGTCACGTATGTCAATGGTGGGATATGAGATGGTGGCAATCCATATTTGGAACTCTGAAGGCTGCTTCCCGTACAACAGCTTACCGGTGGCGGCATCATTTCAACCATACTTCAAGCATGTGTGCGATGCTCGAGATTTTCGTGTTGGCTTAGCAACCGCGTAATCTCTAGTCTTCGAAGTTCCCACTCGACAATGGAGGAGTATACGATGTTACGGGGCCCGCAGCCTTTCCATCTAGTGATTGGCGCAACTGCCCATATAGGCCCGATAAGCCGCGATATCCCTCAGGGCGGGTGTCCAGCTCGAGATAGAGTTCTGCTTTGCCAGGTTGCCAGGCTGCGAGGCCTATCGAGCGATCAAGAGGCAGCATCAACTATCCGGGTGTCAACTACCCCATGCCAATCTTTAAGTTGTCGTACAAACCTGCTTGGTATGAGATGTTTCTAAGCTTAAGCGGATCTAATCACCCGTATTCTGTACGAATCGTAAGAACCCTGCCCCTAACCACGAAAGAGACAACTGGGCCACTTGAATCGGACCTTCGGGAACCTCCTTGGCCAACGAGGGACGACACTTGGCGGCTCAACCATACTAAGCTCTCAATGAGAGAGCTGCTGCTGCCTTATATTCCATGCACCACCCGATCTTTCCGGGCCAGCCTGTTCTCTTGTAACGACTATTCCAGAGTATAAACATAGGGGCAATAATATTGGTGTCCTCAAGACAATTCACGGGAACTGAAAAGCATTTCCAGGAAGCTTCGACTTGTGGGTGTATGGTAATGTTCGCCCGGGGATCACTGACCACTCGCCATGTTCGACTACATAAGTCGGCCGTTTACTTTCACTTCAAATGCATTACTGTATGTAGGACGAACTGGAGAAAAAGAGGGGGAGCCATGTGATACATCAAAATCAATATATTCTGGCGGTCTGTCTGTCTGTCTGTCTGTCTGTCTGTCTGTACAGTACAATTTGCAAAGACCTGATTGGTCGCGTCCTCAATTGGCGAAAGTGGAACTCTTTCTGCGTCGCGCTAACGAAAATTTGAGAAATCGGTCCATGCTTCGCATCAATGATTTTATTACGGATAATTGGAGCTCTTTTGCTACCTCTGGACTGACGATTGACGATACTCTTGTCATCAATCCGTACCTTCTTCCTGATCCCATCTCCGCTCTTTTTTCTTTCAGTGTGTTTTAATTGAGTACATTCCCATCTTCGGGTCTTCACATCAAAATGGCTTCGGCTTTGAGAACGCTGGCGCCTTTCCTGCGCGCCTCGCGCCAAACCCTCAGAACTGGCAGCGCTGCCAACCCTCTGCAGTACTCCTTGAAATCGCAAAATGTCTCGGCAGCTCTCAACATCTACCGATCATATGCAGTATACGAGCGATCAAAGCCTCACGTAAACATCGGCACCATTGGCCACGTCGATCACGGAAAGGTCAGTCACAGAAGATGCGTTTGCTCCTCAGAAGTGCCGCTCCCCCTCGGCCTACATCTGAACACAGGAGCTCTACCTCCCGAGTTCTTTCGTACAATTGCCATGTATGGCCATGTGTAGCATAGACTCGCTGACATCCCCCGCCAGACCACTCTGTCGGCAGCCATCACCAAGCGTCAGGCCGAGAAGGGCCTGGCCAACTTCCTCGAGTATGGAGCCATTGACAAGGCCCCGGAAGAGCGAAAGCGTGGTATCACCATTTCTACTGCCCACATCGAGTACGCTACCGAGAACCGCCACTACTCCCACGTCGACTGTCCCGGTCACGCCGATTACATCAAGAACATGATCACTGGTGCTGCCAACATGGACGGTGCCATCATCGTCGTTGCCGCTTCCGATGGCCAGATGCCCCAGACCCGTGAACACTTGCTGCTCGCCCGCCAGGTCGGTATCCAGAAGTGTGTCGTTTTCGTCAACAAGGTCGATGCCATCGACGACCCCGAGATGTTGGAGCTCGTCGAGATGGAGATGCGCGAGCTCCTCACCCACTACGGTTTCGAGGGTGACGACACCCCCGTCATTATGGGTTCCGCTCTTATGGCCATGGAAGGCAAGCGACCCGAGATTGGTCAGGAGAAGATTGACGAGCTCATGGCCGCCGTCGACTCCTGGATCCCTACCCCTGAGCGTGACCTCGACAAGCCCTTCTTGATGTCCGTCGAGGATGTCTTCTCCATTGCTGGCCGAGGCACCGTCGCCTCCGGCCGTGTCGAGCGTGGTGTCCTCAGGAAGGATTCCGAGGTCGAGCTGGTCGGAAAGGGTGGCGAGATCATCAAGACCAAGGTCACCGACATCGAGACCTTCAAGAAGTCCTGTGACGAGTCCCGCGCTGGTGACAACTCCGGTCTCCTCCTCCGCGGTATCCGCCGTGAGGATGTCAGACGTGGAATGGTCATTGTCAAGCCCGGCACTGTCAAGGCACACACCAAGTTCATGATCTCCCTCTACGTCCTCACCAAGGATGAGGGTGGTCGCCACACTGGTTTCCACGAGAACTACCGCCCTCAGATGTTCTTGCGTACTGCCGACGAGTCCTGCGCCCTCTTCTTCCCCGAGGATGTCGAGGATAAGAGCCGCATGATCATGCCCGGTGACAACGTCGAGATGGTTGCCCACCTGCACCACCCCATCGCTATCGAGGCTGGTCAGCGTGTCAACGTTCGTGAGGGTGGCCGCACCGTCGCCACTGGTATCATTACCCGTATCATCACATAAAAGGCTCACAAAGAGAAAGCCAACAACTAATGTGTACGAGGGATAGAGAGACACGTCATCATGGAAAAGGAGTTATTGAGAGATCTGTAAATGGTTGATATGATGTACAATACTTGTTTTTCGGAGCCATGTACGTTCGGATTTTACAGGCCCGTTTGCCTTCTTCGGTTTCGAAGGCTCCTCCTCCCTCCATCTCCCCTCTAATCACTTCCATCTTGTCTTAACTCATGTAATATAGATTTGTATGAGGCAAGGTAGCAAAAATGAAGAAACCAAGATCAAACACTCATATCCCTGGGCAAGAGTCTGTTTTTCTTACACGTATGTGATGTAGCTGCATGACATGAACTTCTTCCTACTAAGTCGGTTCCTTTTCCAGCGTCCACTGTCCTCATTCGCCTACCACAAAGTCGCGTCTTGCAAGCTCACTTCAACCTTACCGTTCCATTACACAATTCATCATTCGCCGAAAGACTTGAGTATTGACTCCAGCTGCGCGTAGCTTTCGGGATTGTCAATATTGAATAATAAGGCTGCTTGCAGCATGGTACCACGTCGTGTCCCATAAGATTTGCGCCAGAACCTTGAGATTTGGCTCGGCAGTGTCAAACATGTGACACGGTGGACGTTGCTCAACAAATTGTGTCTCCCGCTACTGCGAGGTTGCATACCGTCCGTATTGACGGACAGTGTGCAACTGGGACGATGTCCAGCTGAGTTGGCTGCACCACCAAGAGCGAAACTCGTGTGCTCTGACGACAAGACGGAGATGGGAATCCAAGCTTCAATAAGTAATGAATTGACGCCTATGTTCTCCTTCTTTTTTTTCTTTGCGGCTTAAAACTCTACGTTCCCCTCCTCGCGAGAAAAAGAAAAGTCTACGCACGGGAATCGAAAGAAACTTAAACCCCCTCGATTGGGCTGCACCTTTTTACGTATATAGTACAGCCTCTCTACTTTTTAAGTTGTGATAATCCTGAGACATTGAACTCAGCGTTTCCCGCTCCAGGCACCGCCTTTCCCCCTGATTCAAAAACCTGCAGGAAGGACCCCTTATCTTTTCTTTTGTATCTGCATCATTGCCCAAACCCCTGGGTCAATTGCTACGAAGAGAGTACATACATATATATATACTATAATATCAATCGTCATAGTCCATAATGGCACCGGCCCCCTTATTCATGGGTCCTCTCCGCTCGTACACCGGCCGGCTCCTAGCCTGCGAGGAGTAAGTTTTCTTCCTCTTTTCTCTTCTTCCTCTTTGCTGTACATACATGGGTTTGGTTCTTGGCGTCGAGTATCAGCGCAAATACTAATGTGAACTCCTCGCTTCCAACAGATTCGCACTCCGCGGCGAGGACTTCTGCAAATGGTCCTTGAAACCCAACGTCGGAGCCGACGCGCGGCGCGCCGTGGCCCTGGAGGACCAGTTTCTGGGGAGTATCGGCACCGAACACGAGTGGCAAGCTTGGCATTGGATCTTGATATTTCTCGTTGCCGTCTGTCTGGTGTGGCTCCTGAACGAGGAGACCAGGATATGGTCGGATGGAGTGAGGTGCTTGAGGACGAGGCTCAGGAATACGCGGCAGGTCTGGGCCAAATGCTTATGACAATTATCGAGACTCGAGAGGGGGCTCTTGTCGGCCGCTCTGGCGGTATGGGAGCTCGTCACGGGCGAGGCGACTTGGAATAGCAGCGCTTGAGTGGACTTCGGGTGTGTCCACATACCACAGAATTCACTATCCCGGCAGGCACGAAGGTCACCTAGATGACGTGGCGTGTGGCATAAATAGATGGAGTGCTGATCCTGTATGGTTTACAAACTGAAATACTATGTTAAACATCAGTCAGGAACACAGATCAAGTGCAATCTGAGCAGAGCTCTTTTTCTCATATTTATATATATTATTAATCAAGAGCCTATGTACCTTTTCCTGTTTCGCATTTCTATGCACATTTTTGACTTGCTGTGCATGATATTCCTCTTTTCTTCTGTGTGCACAAGCAAATTAGCTACGCAGTATTCACTCTTGTGAAAGGCTGATCACATATCATTTGCAAATATACCACGTCCAAAAATTCTGGTCATAATACATGTGAAGAATACAGCTATGGGACATAAATGATAAGGGATTAGTTGCCATCAAACGAACATCCAACCTTTCAATGTGGCCATTAGAATCTGTCTTCCCTGTAAGGGATATATCCGTGATGACTGACACTGGTTCTTTTATAGACCACCGGTCCAGATGAATATTATTGAAATGTCAACGGGATAGTATCTGTAGTGTCTAGGACTGACGGACGTAATGACATTGTTGGTTAGTCATGTGTCCAGTCTGTATTGTCGTCGAGAGCACAGCTACTGCTAGTTGAGCTCATGTATCGTGACAATGACCTAACTTGCCTGCCACATAAAATGGTCCGGCAGTGTGACAGTTAGCTTGACAGACCGCAACTTGAATAATATTCCAGCTCCTCCATAGCTTCTATCGAATTTACAGGTTGCAAGATCAATTCATGTATCAGGGCGTTCTACCTTGGTGCTATTGGAACCCAGCAATTAGTTGAAAAGCCTCTGAGGATATCCACCTCTTAGAGACGCATAGCTGCTAAGACATAACCTTTCTTCTCGTTTTCTTATCTTCTCTTTTTTGTGATTATATCAAGCACGGTCTGTTGCAGTGATTGCCCTGCCATTTAAAATAGACAACTCTGTGTCCAGCCGTTGCTCCCCGGACACACCATCCCACAAAGGAGTCTTGGAGCAACAGTATCTGCGAAGACACCTAGAAAATAATGGGACATAGTTTTCTTATCACTTCTGGCCTTCTTTATTCTTATGTGAAGTGTCATGAACAAAGAAAAAGAATAAGGGTGTGAGCCCTGGCTTGACGGCTACCCTAGTACTCATATATTCCGTGATAGCAGACTAGCTCAACTGTCCTAAAGTTTCAAACACTTTTGTCTGAGCTTCACATGATAATCTACCTTAAGCTTTTTATCAGCTATCTGACTCCACGGACAACCCTCCAACTAGAAACTGCTCGATCATCCCCCAACAAAGAACCGACCGGCAGCGTTAGCATATTATCGCAATCCCACGATTGTTTATATCTACGCTTCCATAAATACAAGCAACTATGGGTTTGATGAATAAATAAACTTGGTGGCCGCCGACTTCATCCTCCCTTCTGAGCTTGATGGGGATGTTGGCCATGAAGATTAGCGATTAAGCTCTGCAAAAAAGAAAAGGGAAAAAAAAGGGGGAGAGAGAAAAGAAAACCACAGTCTAAGAGAGCTGGAGGACCGACGAGAGTAAATACAAGTTCAACTCCAAGATTTTCAGTTGGCCAAAAGTTGGAGACGATCAACATCATGGCCATACAGTGCAAGCATGCAATGAGCAAAAATCTTGGAAATATCCCAGTACCGCCATTTACTCGTAGGAATCACTTAAATCATTCGACCCTCCGAGGTCAAAGACACTTAGTAGAAAAAGAGTTTTTTTTTCTTTCCCCCTCTGCTTCAAAACTGACGCCCAAGAGCTCATGGACAGCCCTCCCCCCAAATTCTGCTGGAGATCATTGGTCTACTTCCACCCAGAGAAGGGGGAGAGAGCAAAAAAGGGAAAGTAAAAAGACAAACTTGCACCATGCACTGCGGTATATGAGGAATGGATGGGCTGGTGTCAAGACATTTAACTTCCGCCTTCAGGTTTTATCGAAATCCTGCTTGGAAACAGACTCTTACAATATTCGAAGACATCAGCGATGTCTTTGCCTGTGCCTCCCGTCGCCTTCATGGACTTGAGAATGCTGGGAAGACCTATGCTTGACTTTGGAACTGTTCGTAGGATGCAGATAAGACGGCTAACAAAGGCTTCATAGTTTACTATGTAAGACTCTGGTGATGGAGAATGATAGGGTGCCATTCACAGAGAACCAGATTGACAGTGCCGAACAGCAAATCGCCTTATTCATCCAACGGTTGACTACTCGACGACGAGAACTATCGTCGTGGGAATAATGCAGTGTGAGATAATAGACATGACAAATGTTCAGCCCAAGGTTGCACTAGTCCAAGGTTAGTAGACTACATAGTAGTAATCCTTTTGATGTCCTCTGAGCGCAGGCCAGGGTAGTTACATATTGGGTGGCCCAAGCTCCTGTCGCAGATTCTCCACGGTGAATAGCCCAATCCACAATTGGCCAGTACTTCCCGTGACTTTATTATGACATGACGAAGAAGCAACAAGGGGGCAGGGGAGGGGGCAGGCAGATGTGACAAAACTTTATGGTCCTATTGACTAATGTTGGGTATAATTGGAATCTCCAAGTACTGACTGTTTGAGCCTGTGACGACTGCCATTCGAGTAGATGCCGCGCCTGGGTGATGGAGACTCTCAGTAACAGGTGCTTGTACTGTGTATCGACGCTTATCGATAAACAACCCGCCACTTCCATGTTTCAAATGGGGGATTGACACTGGCGGTGACATGACAGCTTGCTATTGTAGGTAAGCTTAGACCCCATGGAGGAGTGGATGGCATTATTAACCCAAACTCGAGGACAGCTTGTCTTTGTTCCGTAGCCTCCACACAAATTATTAATTGGCTTGTACTTCTTCTTGGCCATCCACGCACTCGAACCGACCATAGTTGTCTTTTCATTGCCATTCACAAGGAAACCCTGCACACCTAATCCACGATGCTTCTGAAGAGCTTCGTGCTCACCGGCCTTGCTGCCGCTGTGGCAGCCAAGTCTGCTGTTCTGGATCTGATCCCAGCCAACTTCGACGACGTCGTCCTCAAGTCCGGCAAGCCCACCCTCGTCGAGTTCTTTGCCCCCTGGTGCGGTCACTGCAAGACGCTCGCCCCCGTCTACGAAGAGCTCGCCGCCGGCTTCGCTTCGAACAAGAACGTCCAGATTGCCAAGGTCGACGCCGACGCCGAGAGAGATCTCGGCAAGAGGTTCGGCGTTCAGGGCTTCCCTACCCTGAAGTGGTTCGACGGCAAGAGCGACAAGCCTACCGATTACAATGGCGGCCGTGACCTAGAGAGCCTCACCAAGTTTATCGTGGAGAAGACCGGCGAGAAGGCCAAGCGCAAGCTTGAGCTGCCCAGTCAGGTCGAATACCTGAACGACAAGACTTTCAAGGAGACCATTGGCAGCGACAAGAATGCCTTCGTTGCTTTCACTGCTCCCTGGTGCGGACGTAAGTTAGACTGCTGCCGGAATCAAGCCAGAAGCAGACCCCAGCTAACGTGTAACAGACTGCAAGACCTTGGCTCCCACCTGGGAAAAGCTGGCTGAGGACTTCATTCTCGAGAACCACGTCGTCATCGGAAAGGTCGATGCAGAGGCCGAGAACGCAAAGGCTACCGCCAAGGAGCAGGGCGTGTCCAGCTATCCCACCATCAAGTTCTTCCCTGCCGGCTCCACCGAGGGCGAGCTCTACAGCGGCGGCCGAACGGAGGCTGACCTCATTGCTTTCATCAACGAGAAGGTCGGTACTCAGCGTACCCCTGGCGGTGGTCTCACTGCCAAGGCTGGCACCATCGACATCCTGAGCCATATCGCCTTGAAGTTCGCCGCCGGTGGCGAGACTCTGTCTGCCCTGGCTGCCGAGGCCAAGAAGGCCGTCGAGGGCCTTGGTCAGGATGCCCAGTACAAGTACGCCGAGTACTACATCCGTGTCTTTGACAAGCTGTCCAAGAGCGACACGTACGTCGCCAAGGAGCTCGCTCGTCTGGATGGCATCATCAAGAAGGGTGGCCTGGCTCCTACCAAGCTTGATGAGCTTACAACCAAGACCAACATTCTCAGACAGTTCATTGACAGCGTCACCGAGAAGGTCACTGGCAGCAAGGACGAGTTGTAGGGGCAGCTCTAGGCGCTGGCGGTTGAGAATGATAATGAACACGGCAGGCAGGTGGACTCTTGGTTTTATGACTAGTCTAGACCAAAAGCATGTATATTCCCTTGAACCTAATTGATTATCCTCCAACGACCATGACCCTAGTCGTTTGAACGTCTCTTCAGTATACATGTATTGCCAACCGGCATCGTTTCCGCAACGAATTGCCTGGTCAGACTTGAGAACGGTTGCACTGGTTCAGTTCTAACCATTCCTTGCATGACATAACGTAGTGTAGGGTACTCGTCGCAAACCGCAACTCCTGTAATTCTAGTTTTGCTCCCCAAACGCCAAAGTTGCCGCTCTTTCTACTCGTAATTCATTTCTGGTTTCGTACAGCTTTCCAATTACTTGGTCGAGGTGGAGGAATTGGGAGTGTCCTGCTGCGCCTTCAAAGCCGTTTCGAGGTTGTCTAGGCGCCGGGACATCTCGTCCATCTTGGCGAAGATCTCGGTGGAAACGCCGGCGAACTTGTTGGATAGCGAGTTCAGCAGGTCTTCGACAACCGCCGTGAGCTCGTCCGAGGACTAGAAAGAGGTCAGGTCAGCGGCTGATCTCGACCCGACAAATGTTTATGCGACGGTTGTGCGTACATTGGCGGGTGCCTTGTCGGGTGTTTCGCTTTTCTTGGAGGACATTGTGGGACTGTCGTCGGGTGGTTTGAGTGCAGTGCAGTTTTCTCGCTGGGAAATCGGTGATAAAGACGGACGGATTCTTCAGGTGACCGCGTACTGCTCTTGTTCGTTCTGTCGCTTGCTGCCTCGTGAAGAATGCGCAGACAACTTTCTCGGAGGGAGTACTCCTCCCCGCAAGAGCTACCAAGCCAGGCGTTTGCGGCCTGGAACCCGAGGGATGCTAGCGCTGAAGACCCCTGAGGTGTGCCGAAAAGCGGCTGGCTGCCGCCGTCGGTGGGACAGGCACAAGCAGCACAAAGCTCCTCTACAGGGAGCTAATGTAGGCAGTTAACAGCTGCAGTGAGTGACCTCTAGCTCTCCAACCCTGAAGCTTACGCTCCCTTCAGGTTCATATATCCCGATCACGACACCAACCTTCTCTCCTGTGCTACTTGGCACTGCAATGGACCCCCCGATCGAGCCGATGACACAGATGCAAAGCAAACAAAACGAAACCAGCCAGGGGGCGCAACCAGGGCATCATGCCGCCACCTAATGAGAACCAGCGCATCATATTCATCCTCATCCTGATGCTGCTATGGGCCACTAACAACGACAACGGCGCGGGATTCGTGCAGGCGCCCTCCCTCACCCACGCCCGCCTCACCCGACAGCGCCACGCGCACGGCGTCCTCAACACCACGGGGTGGGGCGACTTCTCGCCTCGGCTGGCCTACGAAAACCCCCTGTTCCCCGGCACCCTCGAGCCGCGCTACCTGAACCTCACCGGCTTCCGCGAGGAGGATGGCTTTGCCTGGGAGGATCTTGGACGCTTCAGGAACCGCTGCGAGGAGTGGAGTCATAGTGCGGTGGGCGAGCCGAGCACTGCCGCCCCCGTCTGGCAGAATCTGTCGGGCGTCGTGAGAGGGCCCTGGGTCCGGAGAGAGCTGTCCGTGTCGAGGACCCATTCGAGTTACAATCTGAGCGAGATGACTCCCGATGTCGAGTGGCTTGGGTGGGCCGCCGAGTGGAGTAGGAACATTACTGGCCGGGAGGGCAAGATGCTCGTGAGGGTCCATGACGACGAGGTTGCCGGCACGGAGCCGAAGGAGGAAGACCTCCACAAAAAGGGGCAGCTACTGCCTGTAGAAGTCAAGGCAAGGGCAGTCTCGGCGACAGTGACCATCGATGATGAGGAGGGGTCTGGGTCGAGTGCAGAGATGCGACTTCATGGTGTACACTGGCCGCGACAGGGAGCCTTGCTCTTGACGACAACGAGCGAGAAGTACGCTGGTATCTTTGGTCTGCCTCATCTTACGTCGCGTCAAGAATACTTCGAGTCGAGTCAGGCCCTCTTGAACCGCACACTTGACGAGATGCTGGCCAAGAAGGAGCAGCGATATTTCACGGATCACGGCAACCCGTGGGATGCGTCTGGCGACAATTCAGGGGAGCCACTGGGGCCATCGCCTCATTGTGAATATGTATTTTACATGCAGGCGCATCCGCTGGACAAGGGTGTTCTCAATGTCGAGCCATCCCTCACCGGGCCAGAGAATGTGGCCAAAGCTATCGAGGAGCTTGAGCATGAGCTTCGATTCCCCCGAGGCGCTCCACAAGACGGCCTACCAAGGCTACAGATGTCTGCGGTTATGTATTCCCCCGACTGTGCATTCATGCTCGAAACCAAGGGACCCCCCGACTTCCCGATCGCAGAAGGTCAACATCTTTCAGGCTGGAAGCAGGAACAGTGGTTGCACGATGTCGGGTACTGGATGTTAGGGTTTGGTGCCATCATCTTTTGCCAGGTCCAGCTTTTGAAATTACAAATGAAGGAAGCTTCCACGCCATCAACCCTTGGCCGTATCAGCTTCTATACAGCAAGCATGACTCTTTTGGCTGACGGAATCGTTTTTTCCGGTTCTGCAGCATGGGCGTTGACGGCGTCCAACACGCTATTGCCTGCTTTGGTCATTATGGGAGCATCTTGTTTGGCTACTACAGTTGGCATATGCTTTCTTAGTGAGATCTATGTGGTACAAGAGCCGGAATGGCGGAGACGAGACCGAGAGCGCCAAACAACCTCCACGACTAACACACCTCTACCGCCAGCTACTCCAGCTCCAGCTCCAGCTCCTGCACTGGCAACCACTGTAGACCCCGAGGCGAACACCTTATTATCTACGGCTGCAAGGCGAGCAACCCCGAGACCGCCATCGCCACCTATCATTATACCTTCGGATCAAGATATAGATGCGGAAATCCTAGAGAACATGACCGGTGCCCAACTGGGCCTGCCACTGCCGGCCACTGCTGCGAACACAACAACCGCGCAGAGCAACCGATCCACACCGATCGGTACCATATTCGGGCAACTCATCATGTTAGGCATCGCAATACTCTTCCTTTCACTTGCTGCTGCAACCTGGCGACCAGTCTTGCGCTCTATATACTTCAACGCCCTTGCATTTATCTACCTCTCATTGTGGACCCCTCAGATCTACCGCAATATATATCGAAACTGTCGCCGCGCCCTCTCGTGGCGGTTTGTGATCGGACAGTCTGTCTTGCGCATCCTCCCTATCGCGTACTTTTACCTCCTTAAAGACAACTTTGCATTTGCGACACCTGACTGGAGGGCCTTTGCCGTGCTCGCCGGTTGGGTCTGGGTCCAGATCTGGATATTAGCCGCACAGAACGTGCTGGGTCCACGATTCGGCATACCAAAGGGCTGGATGCCCGAAGCGTGGGAATATCATCCTATACTCCGTGAGGATGGAGTCGAGAGCGGCAGCCTTCCTATCGGCTTGGCCATGGGTTCCGATACAGCTCCCAGTTCGCCAACCCTTGAACGCACCAAGAGTGGCGGAGACGCGAACAGGGCTACAAATATACACAGTATCGACTGCGCCATCTGTCGCGAGATCCTCGAGGTGCCTGTTGTCAAGGCGGGAGAAAGCGATCCCAATGGTGGAGTGACGGGTGTCTTTGCCAGGAGGGTGTATATGGTCACGCCATGTAGACATATCTTCCATAGTGCCTGCTTGGAAGGCTGGATGAGGTTTAGACTGCAGTGCCCTATTTGTAGGGAGGAGCTGCCACCTCTATGAGACGAGAATATTGTATGGAAACGATAACGGGACACGCATTAATCAAAGATCATTATTACATGCTCCAACGTTCCACTTCAAGCTCGAAATCCGCAATCATCCCAGGGATACCGAGGCCCTCCAATTGCTTCCAAGACCTGTTAGACATTGTCATTCATTCCAAGAACACTGTACATCAACGTTGTTCTGGTATATGTATCATCCCAGTCAATGTGTTCACTTCCTATACGCCTTCTCAAACTCCTTGATCTCCTTGACCATCCGTTCTATGGCGGCGCGAACAGTGTCTGCGGCACCAGACGGAGCATCTCCAGAGACATCTCGAAACCGCATGTACATGGAGCTATCGTCTAGTGCCGGCTGACGTCGATAGATCTCCATCAACAAAGTAGCACCTGCCGTGCTGAACTTGTGCCGGGCTGGGCCCTCACACTCCTGAGCAGATAGACCTGAATCGGACCTGACGGCTCCCGTGGACGACCTGGAAATATATCAGGTTAGTCTACTTCCACCGACCATTTTTAGCCTTGCGGAGAAGCTACCTACATGTTTATCGTGGTGCCTGAAATGATATACCGTTGGGATATGGGCGGCACTTGAAGACAGGAGTATGATGAGCTTGGGTATGGGTAGGTGGAAGAAGCCTGGGTTCGCACGATATGGTGGGGTGTCAAAGGGTTATATGTCAGAGGGCGTACGTTCACAGGATGTGCGGCCTCGAACGGGCAATTCCCCTACCCTCGACCGCATTCGATCAGCCTGCTGTCAGATACAGCGTTGTAAGATACGGCATTAGCGTGTGCGCGCAGGCACATGGACGCGTTCGACAATGTTACTTCTCTGGGTCACTCACCTAAACCGGTCGGGATTTTGCGAGCAAATGCTGAACAAGCCTTCTTCAGCGGCGAGGCTTACGATATGAGCGGTTACAGGGGCGACGACCTCTTTACTATGGTTAAACATGGGCTGCGATACATGATACTTCCATATGGGACCTTGTAGTACATCGCTGATTCCCACCGGTAGAACATCCGTCCCATCAATGTAGTCCTTTCAGTAAGTTATGATGAAGTCGATTCCTGCATAGGCTTGGTTCTGGTTCGATTTCCATTTGGAACCCTGCTTAATTGGATATTCTTGCTACGTTCCAGTGTATGCTGTATAATTTCTATAGGCGGGCTAATTCAAAGGGATGTGCGATTTCGCATCACCCCTATTTGACATAAAACACACATGCTTCAGTGACTCCTACTCGGACTTACTCTGATCGGACCACTCGCTACACTTGGTTCAATTACAAGCATGCATCTCAAGGCCAGTTCATAGCCTGCTCGGCTGATGGTACTTTTAGATTTCGTATCGGAACCCGCAAAGCGTGGGAATCATTCATCATCCGCTTGTTCGGCGCAACAGATCACACCCACAGTGTCACACTATCATATTCCCAGCATAAACTCCAAGGGGAACACAGGTGTCATCAAGGCTAGAACAACGGGGCAGTTCAGATCTACCAGACGGGACGGTGGTGCCAGTGGCTGCTTTTCCCCCTTCCAAATCGGAATGACACTAGACTTGCCGGCCACTAGGACCGTCGAAACAATGGGAATTGGCCACTCTGGGAGCCCGAATGTCAGCTCTTGGAAGCCAAGCTCCCCGTAATGTTACCCCGAAACACGGAAGGGTGAGCTTAGAACGCAGTCCTACAGCGAGCCCAATCATAATTCAAACCGAATGGGAATCGGCACGGAACCATCGAGTTGTGATGTAAGGCAAATATGCCTGTTGGCCGTAACAGAGTGCCAGCGCTGTTAGCCTCATTTATTGATGCCTTGCCCGTCAATTACGTAAAGACGGCCATCTTCTCGCGGCAGTCCGACTCGATACCTATCTAGCAACGGTATCTTGAATTCTAGGACGCTTGTAATATTGACATTTGCTACAAGGCTCCTTGGCATGAAGTACCGTCACATTGGCTTTCCTTTCACGATTCAGCCCATCGTGCGACTATTCGGAAGCGCAAAGCACTGGGGTCGGAGGTGACAAAACATTGCCAATGTTTCGACTCAGAGAGGGGCTCGACGAGTATGTTCATAGCGAGTGCCTCTCCAGCTTAGCTTTCGTGCTAACATGGTAACAAGTGGCTACCTCTTTACTGGCGACACTCTCGACGGACATATATGGATCGATGACTCACGCCCGCGCCAGTGCCCGTCGACTTGTGCCTGTCACGATCTGATGGCTCTCCCTGACGAGGACTCCTTTACATTCACTGTGATCAAGACTGCTAACTCGATGCAAGTTCGTTTTCATTCCACCGAGCTCCAATGTGCCGTAGTTTCGACTCTCATCAACTCCATGGTGCAAGTACTTGAGGGTCTACAGGGAATCTTTTCCACCAGGTAGGGTCTAGCGGAATTGCCGCTTTTTACTCACGCCCGGCTCAAGCGATTGACAGTCATGCGCCCTGAGTAGCCTGAGCCGCCCGAGATTATGAATATTTTGCATAGCCATGCAAAGAAATGGTATCTCAACAGAAACGGTATTGAATGGATCGAAAGAATGATAATAGTTAGAATCAACAACAGAATCCCCGGTATTTTCAGGAGGACTGAGAATTACCTGCCTAACTTGACGTGGCATCGGTTGTTTCCTAGGCAGCGATATTTTTAAACAGTCAATCTAGCTGGTGTCGACCGATACTAGTTGTTACCAAGCAACGTAGGTACCGATGCTGTCCCCGTTATGCTTGGAAATTCCCGCCGGAGTACTTGGGCCCTGGGCATAGGAGTTGGACCGAAGCTAGCACACGAACTGCTGACGTAGCAGGATATTCCACCTTGTCCTCCTGGGGCGACGCTACACAATGTTTCCGTTGCCGATGATAAACAAGTTGAGCTGGTAGGCTTCTCGGTAGGTTTTGGGGGCTCGGAGGTTGGAACACATGAGCTGGTGACATAGCAGGATATTACGCCTTGTCCACCCTGGGCGACGCTGCATAATGTTTCCGTCTTGGATGAACAAACAAGTGGGGATTGGACCAGTACTAACACAAGAGCTGGTGATCTGGCAATCTATTTGACCTTGCCCGCCTTGGGGGGGGGGGGGGGGGGGGGGGGGGGCAGTACAACTTTCCTTTGTCGTAAAAGATAGACAAGTTGATCCAGGAGGAATGTCGGTAGGTTTTGGGGGTTCGGGGGTGGGAACACATCCGGTCGTGATCTGACACCACACCTCGCCCTGTCCGCCCGGGGCAACACTACATGTTGTCCCCGTCGTGGTTGATGTACAAGGGCGCGGAGTAACTGGGCCCAATGCTGGCACATGACGTGGTAGTTTGGCAAGATGCTCCGCGCGGGCCACCATTACAGATGGTCCCCGTCGTGCTTGATAGATAGGTTGAACTGGGAGGGATATCGCTATTCGTTATTGTGGGCGTTGGAGTGGCGCTGGTAAAATCGGGAGGTGTGCTGGTTGGTTGAGATATATATAATAAAAGCTGGAGTACTGTAAAATTCCCGAGTTAGTCGCTCTATCTGAAAAAGAAAATTTGATGTGAGACGCCATTCATAAGAAGCGTAGATGCACATTGGGTTGTTCCCAGGGTTGCCGCTTCCGGAATTGTATGGACATGAGCCTCCTTCCCCAAAATCGTCATCAAAATCGTCGCCGGAATCGTCATTGACAGTACTCTGCTGTTGGGAGAGGCGTTTTTCACCACTTGGCACATTTCCAAGACAATTGGTGACGCCTCTTTGGCCGTCCCAGATGAGATTCGGTTGATTGCCGCCATTTTTGAAGGAAAGCGGTCTTTCTAGGTCATAAATAATTTGCCTCACGTCTGTTGGCAACTTTGATCCTCCATACTGAGGGCGGGCACGGAGATATGCAGCGAGACCGGCCACCATTGGAGTAGCTATTCATGCTGGGTATCAATAATCATCGTGACGATTCGAGAGGTCTTGACAAAAAAACAAAATAAAGTACCTACCAAATGGTGTCCCTCTTGCAGACTCCACTAAACCTCCACCAGGCTGAGGAAAATCGACGCCTGGGGCATAAGTGTCCACTTGATATCCCTTCGAATTATCTTCGTAGTCAAAACCTTCGAGACCTATAGCCCCGACAACCATCATACCCGGTATATCGTTCCAAAGGAGCTGCGGGTAAGATCTGATGGTCCCGCCGGTATTTCCAGCAGCGGTGATAGGGTTGATCGGTAGAAAGATGATACCCATATGAGTCGGATTATGTTAGTAATCTTATTGTGCATGTAGATTACTCCTATGGTCCGTGACTTGCGTCGGGTGATGGTTCATATATTACCTATGCTAACATTTCAGAACGAACGCCAATGGCAAAGAGAGTATAGACCAGATAATGCAACGGCAATATCTGCTGCCTGGCCGAAGATCAAGAGCTGAAGCCAATATATAGAAGGATACGAGGGTTGCACGGGTGTTTGGAGGAGTCGGTATACAGAATGCACTGAAGTTCGATTGTTGATTTTATTTTGGTCAAGAACTGAAATCAAAGTCAGCCCTAAAATATTTTCCGTTGGTTCTCGCCCAAATATTGAATAGAGACTGATGGTTTTGCCAAGATAGAAGGAACACAAGCGAAATCCTTTTACTCATGCTGACACAAGCTCTTACTTTTATTGGTGACATCCCGAGCGGAACTCTGCCTATACGCTTTATACATCGACTTCATTCATTCTCGCTTAACTTTATTCAATGACATTGACTAGTGTGACCGGTTTTGGTAATCTGTTAATTTGGATACTACCCTACGTGTGGTCATATCAAAGAGAGCTTGGGATACAAAACTTTGTACAAATTAAACTACAACGCCGACACATTGCGATATATATATCGGGTGTATATCGTACATTGCTTGTCATCTTTGAATTTTTCACTTCAGACTTTCCGATTCGCTTCATAATGTTACGGCGACTACTATCCTTGACCTTTATTCCTGCTTTGAGGCTTGCCCTCTGCGCCGTGACCGGAAACGGGCTTCACTCACGGGGTGAAGTGCCGGGATTTCAATTTGACGCAAACACGAGCAAGTATTGTGACTACTGGCTCGACACTACAGACAGCAATCTTCAGTGCACTCAAGTACCAGCTCAATGGGGCATCTCGATGGCCGATTTACTTCGCTGGGTAGGTCGCACTCTTTCGGTGAATTTTCTAATTTCGGGCTTGTCGAAGATACCTGCCCCTTCCTCGTGCTTACCACAATCTTAAACATTAAACCCATCACTTGCACCAAGTTGTAACAATTTTTTCACAAATCGATCGTATTGCGTTGAGACTCTGAATGAGCCAAAGCCGTCAGTGTCAAGCTCATCAGAGACGACCACGCCTACACCAACGGTGCCTGACAACGGAATTACAACACCGCAGCCTATACAGCCAGGAATGGTCAACAACTGCGATGCTTTCTACTTCAGGATGCTGCCGATACAAACTACATCACTTTAGCTCACGGTGGGAGCCAACTGCGGAGGACTGTGGGCGGAAGTATATGTGTGCGTATCTGTTATCGATTTCGAAGCGCCCACTACTTCAGCTACACCTACACCCTCGCCTGCTAAGCCTAGCAACGGCATCGTGACTGCAAAACCCATCCAGCCAGGCATGGTTGATAACTGCGACGCTTTTTACTTTGTTCCAAAGGACACAGGCTGCCAGGCCGTTGCCGATGCAAATCACATTACGTTGGCGCAGTTCCTGACTTGGAATCCTTCAGTTGGAAGTACTTGCGGAGTGCTATGGGCAGAAGCATATGTATGCGTGTCTATTATCGGCTTTGAAGCGCCGTCCGCAACACCTACCCCTAAGCCTACCACTACGAAGCCAAGCAACCGGGTCGCGACTCCGACTACTACCCAGGCTGGTATGGTAGGGAACTGTGTAAAGTTCCACTTTGTCGCGGATCAGCAGACCTGTGCAGTCATTGCGGCTCTGTACAAGATCTCGGTCTCTGATATGATCAAATAGAATCCGGCTGTGGGCACAAACTGCGCTGGCCTATGGGCCAAGACATGCCTGCGTGGGTCGTATTTGAGCAGCTATAAAGTCTTCATCGTTATTAGATGATGTGATCGAGAATTTGCGTACTCTAAGGGAGTGCTTCATACTGTAGGACTAAAAGTTTAACCTCCATAGTTAATCAACACCTAAACTACAGTTCTTAAAAAATGATCTCGACGAATATATGTAACATTAATAAAAGGGTTTTTTTTTTTTTTTTTTTTTTTTTTTTTTTTGAAAATTAGAATTGAATGATTTTGTTTCGAAAAAGAACCTTTTTTTTTTTAATAAACTTTTACTTGCCCTAGTCCAGAGCTCTATTCGTGAAATATGAAATCAGCGACGTAATATTTCGAAATATTTCGAATCAGTGACAGATCGCCGACTGGGCTTCGCAGTTGCAGCTTTCGCCCCGCCCCTGCTAGCTGTTGATGCATTCCCGTAAGCCACCTGCAAGCCACCTGCAAGCCATGTCACAATTACCCGTAACCTTATAGATTCATTATAACCTTTTCATAGACTGCGTCAGTAGTGTCTATTTTTTAACAAGGGCAACACTGGCCATACTCATAAACGACAATCAAGGAGCACAAACGTACCCTAAGGCAACCCACACATAAGGTCAGGTTAACGTACACAGCACGGCTCAGGTCCCGATGTGGCACCTAGAAGGCTATGAACCCTTTACTTAGTTGGCAGTTGAATTAGAGATGCCTATTACATGGAACATGAAAAGCGTTTTGTTCTCTTGTTGCGAAAAAAATTTAATTTGTTTTTTGTCTGTTAAAGCTTCTTCGTAGACCTTTTGGGTGGCGCAATAAAACGGTAAGTTAATCATCCCTGCCACTCGAATCTCAGGGTCAGCTGTCACCTTTCAACCTTGGCTAGCATATTAATTATATCATGCGCCAATTTTCGAAGTGGCAGCAGGCAGTGTCCGTGCATTATTGTACGCTTTAGGTGTCGGATATGTCGTTTTGAAATGGGCAAGAGTGATGGAATAGGACAAATCAGGCCGAATCATCAATTGTAGCCGGATTCCACAGGATTCTCAATTGCGAGCCCTCATTGAATGAGGCTGTGCTCCATGACTGCAGCTTTATAGGCTGCACGCTAGGCCAATGAGAGCGAGACTCATGCACATTCGAAAGCCAATCAGGTAGACAGAATTATTATTTAGTGGTAGTGTAGTCATTAGGCTCCTCCTAGGGCAAAATCGATGGGCTACTTTACGATCTGGTTTGATGGTGACGAGACTGAGCATATTCAGATATTCAAACGATCAATTCGCACTTGATTTTGCTCATCTTCGTATTCATACCATAGCACTTGTATCACGCGATACCTGCCCACCAGCGAACATGTCGTTCGGTTACTCCGTAGGCAATTTCATTGCGGGATATAATCTCACTTATGATCTTATCAAGATCCTATCAGATTCACGTAGAGCATCCATGGAGTATCAAGAAGCGGTGGTTGAGCTCAGTGATATGGAACAGGCATTTCTCAAAGCCGGTCATCTCGTAAGCAGCAAGGCATTATCCAAATACATTAACTACGGAATCGCTTGTATTGTTCTCTCGTCTGTAGATATTATAGAGAATTTTCACGAGCGTAGCAGAAAATACCAGCGGGAACTCAGTCAGGGCAAAGGTGGCATTGTGAGGACTTGGCGCCATTTTGGTTGGACACCGGTCAAGAAGGAAGAGTTGCGAACGTTGAAGAACCAGCTGCAGGAACGTTTGATATCAGTCAACACACTGATGACAATCGCTTCGTAGTAAGTATCGTAATCACATCGCATTGTTCGGACGCTAACTGAGTGCATAGCCGTTTCAACATGCCGGCATCTGTAGCACAGTACGAGGATAACTCTAGCGACATAGGCAGTGATGATATTACGCAAAATAGCCTTCCTCACGCGCGCTCTATGAAGTCCCGCAATGATTCATCCACATCGTCTGAGACCACCATCGTGGACACCACAGATTTTGGACTGAAGTCGCGCTCGAAGTCTCCAAGGTTTTTCGAGCAGTCGGATATGATTATCACATCAGAGTTTGCGTTGCAAAACTCGGAATCGATGCATCAGATTAAGAGTGCTGTGGCCAGCACCGGACGTCCACCCGCGCAGCAGCTGCCCGCGTCGTCGGTTTATTTGCCTGCGGATCTTGAAACAGAACACCAGAAATTATACATCAGTGATGTCGAATTGAATGCAATTTCTGCCACTTCAAACGGGATGGGTGATATCGATACCGTTTACCCTGTTGTGGCCAGCGAAAGAAAACTACCACTACCATTGACCACAAGGCAAGAAGACCCGAGGGGGCTTATCGAAGAGATGTTGTTGAAGACAGAGCAAGGTTTACGCGCCAAGATTCCAGTAGAGACTGCAGCGGTAGCTGCTGCGGAAGAGAAAGCAGCATAAGACGCAAAACTTAGCAGCACGTTGTAAGCTATTGAGAAGATGATGACTGAGTTGAATGAAAAGGAAGCCGAAAAGTTAGCCGCTGCAGCCGAGGCAAGTGAAACCAAGTCACCAATCCGTTTCAAAGATGCGGTTGGTCGCAAGTTCAGCTTTCCCTTCCACTTGTGTCAGACATGGAACGTAATCCCCGTTTACTACTGTTCAAACTGAAGAGTGCAATTGACTAATCTCTGGTGGTCCAGGGGATGGAAGAGCTTATTAAGCAAGCATTCTTGCACGTAGATGTGATTGGACCGCATGTTGAACAGGGACATTACGATCTTCTAGGACAGGATGGTGAGATTATACTGCCGCAAGTTTGGGACAAGGTCATTGAGCCCGACTCATCCATTAATATGGTAATGTGGCCAACGGACAGACCACAGCCTCCGCGCCCACCACCAATTCGACCTCCCCCACAATCTGAAAGAAGACCAGAAAGGCTTTTCAAGCACTTCCCATTAGCTGGTGTCTTCGATCGTGGAAAAGAGCCACCATTGGATAAGCGCAGATCTCGAGAAGATCCAGAGTCCGTTTCGAGGGACGCTTTGAAACCGACAGACAGGGTTTTCCAACTTCGCGAGGCTCAACGCTTTTGACTCGAACTGGCGGAAAAATTACAAATCTTTGATCAGCGAGAGTCATTTATCTGATAATTTCATCGAAGAAAACCAAGACGCTATCGTTGGGTATATAAAAGATGAGGAGCACAGGTCACGGCTTCTGAAGACGAACACATTCAAGGATACCCCTGCTTTGGTGAAAAGTGAAGAATCAATTCTCAGCACTTATGACACTGTTGTGCGTGCAAAAAACCTTCGGAAATCACGGCGTGGCAACAGACGACTAATGAAACCGTGCAGAGACCATTCAATCCGCCACCAGGATTGGGAGTCTGATGACGAAATTGACGGACCAGAACTTCTTCATTAAGTTGTTCTGAACCAAGGTGGATGGCCATCAGCAAGCGGTGGCGCAGCCAATATCGGAATGACAGTCTAAGCTTGGCCATGCGAGTCAGTGCGTTGTTGAAACCGTATCAGATGTTATTTTACAAGACTCTAACCGTGAGTTGAGTCAAATCACATCATATATGGAATATGAATCTGCATCTAGATAACAGCACAACTGCATAATTGATGAAGTAGAAGGCTATGCTTAGGAATCTTATACGTAGTAACCAAGTGACGTACAAAAGAGATTCAATTATACCAAGATTAGTAGCATATATGCTTGCATTGCCAAAATGCTAAGAGAACTTAGCGTACAATATTTAAGAATAAAAATATTTCAAAAATCAGTAATGTGTCATCAATACGAGGTATTAATGTCACGTATAAGTGATATCAATCTTTCTAATATTCTCTTTCTCGAACTCAGGGTCTGTCCGCGGTCCCGAATTAGGCGGCTTGCCTTATTCCAGTATTGGATCTCATCGCAACCCATATCTGAGCCCAAATCCGGAGATGAGATAACTTGAGAAACCGTTTGCATCATTTAGTTTAAAAGCTCACGTAGTCATAGATTTCTTCAAGAGCAAACCTTGATTTAGCTGTACGTATGTGTATCCAATGGCGAATCCTCCGCGAATGCTGATTTCCCTTGTACTAATCCATCATTTCACAAAATCTCCGAGGCAAAAGCAGTCCACTCTTTATCTTCACGCAAGCGCCGTAAAGTTTCCTCTTCTAGGAAAATTTCCATTTCCACTGCACCTTCCTCGTTCGAAGGTAGCACGAGTACCAGACCTTCGAACACTGGAATATGAGGGAGTCTCAAGCATGAAGGGCTGCCTAGATCTACTCCCCACTCATCATTTAACATGTCATTGAAAGACCCGTTATTTGTGATCAATATGTCTGGGCCTTGGAAATAGTCTGCTGCCATTTCTCTGATTGCAAAAGATTAGCTGGCGGTACTCATAGCGGCTTGCTGACACTTACACACTGTCCACGCAGGGGGTGGCGTCAATGGCAGCAATGTAGCCCCGGACTCTCTCTGAGGTCCACCAATTAATCGAATCGCTGATCTGGCTCGCGAGCTCGTGAAGAGGCATCTCTGCTTCCACATCAGCAGTCCGTGCCACCGCCTTTGCATTAGCTACGGCATTGCCGGCATAGTCAGGCGAGAGCGCCGGCTCCAGTCTAGGCCTGACGTTCACAGCTGTCACGATAGCAGTAGACTTTATCCCCTTAGATGACAGCTGTCGAGCTCTTGTGAAATGGCGCCAGATCAAGGCGCTGAGAAGGGAGTTCTCCGTCGGAAACGGAGCGCCCACAGTCGTTGGTGACATCGCTTGTTTCATTGACTGCATAGATTCCGGTGAAACATGCCAATAAGTAGTGTGCAGCCTCTTGGTGATCTGAAAAATTGACATGGAAGTGTTACCGGCTAATGTAGCTTCTAGAAGCTTTCGTTCGAAATCACCACGTCGTCCAGTCTTTAGAAGCCGACAATTCGTGAGCTCGGAGAGCTCTTTACAGAAGCGACTATCTGCAAAGATCTTTGACCTGTCCAAGCAATCGGAATCCAGGAATTCCTGAACATGCAGACCTTCAGATACGGCTCTGACATGTTTGGCCCACACCCTCCCAAATATACCTACGCCGTTGCCGTCCATAATTGAATGATGGAAATGAAGAACCTGTACAATGATGATGATTTAGTAGGACAACAATTGAGAAAACGTAGTCGAGCCCTACCAACAAAAGCCCACCTGTGATGAATGTAGCTTGGATAGTAAGAACCGGAGTCCGAACGTAACTGTGCAACCTCGGCTCTGGCACAAGTTCATTGAATGGAAGGGAGATAGGCAAAAATTTCCGCTGTTCTAGGACTTCAAAGTTGAGTGTTGGGAGCTCTCGGATGTGGAACCAGACTCCAGCACCATCTTTGATCTCCAGCTGAATTGTCCCCCGCTTCACATCATCTGGGACAACATCCGCGGCGAGGAATGGCATCTCCTCGATTGCCTTTGCAAGCCCATCTTGCAAGTCCTGAATGATAGATTCTCGAGCGTCAGCTGTACCCACTCGAAAAATCAGAATGGGTGAAGCGAGGGTTGGAGGTGCAATTTGATCTAGGGGTGGGAGCTTCGTCAAGCCTGGTATCAAAGGCACAAGGGGTTTGACATAATCAGAAATCATGATGGCGTTACGAGATTGTTGGAAGAAGAAAGATATTGCTATTTTCTAAGATGCAACAAAAGATGAGTTCCTAGTTGGGTTGTTTGGAGGGAACGATATACAAATCCAACATCGGGGGGCAATGCCATTTATAATTGGCGACACAGCCATATCACTACAAAGAGAATGAGATGGAAAACACTGCGGATAATTGCGCTCAAGAACGGTTCGACCAATGGCCTTCAAAGACACAAGGGTAGAGATCGCTCCAACATACAGTATAATAGTACTCGGCAATGAAACCGTTCCTAGACATGAGGTTAGTCAAATTCATGTACACCTACTGCACATCAGATGCGGTCCCAAATCTGGTTTATGTCTCAGATTGCGGTATCAAAAGAGTTTTGATGAGATGATAAGATCTTCACATGTTAGGCACTAGTATCAACTCAAAAAGACCCTGAAATCAAGGTGAGCGTTGAAAATGATCAAAATAAGATTTGTGCCGTTGATGTGAGATCAATTCTGCTTGATTTTGTTAAACACGCTTGAAACATTTGAAACTTTCAGTCTCCTATATTGTTTCATAGCTGTCTTGGGTGTCGTGATAGTCATAGCCAACACAACCTACGCGACTATATGATCAACACACCCCAATTTTGCATCATGTGACCTGTCCTGATACTACTGTAGCAATCATCGCCATAATCGCAATCGTTGCCGTCATTACCATCATTGCCATCATTGCTACCATCAGCAGTAACTAATGCTAGATAGTTTTTACCAGATATTGGCAGATATGTGATAAGAGCCCAGCTTGGGGAGTTACGTTTTTAGCTTCAAAAGTCGGTGAAGATATTCCAAGTCCGTAGCCAATTAGGGTCAATCACCAGCCCGGGTCAGCTCCCGCGCTAGCGGCAACTCCCGCGGGAGCGGTAACTTTCACGCCACCCGTCCCACTTGCGGCAAGTGGCATACATTTCCGCGTCTTGATAATCGCGCGACTATAATGGTTTAAGTCTTGAGCATTGGATAACAGGAAACGTAGGTCACAAGGACGTAACATTGTAAATGGCTTAAAGATGATTCAAAATTCGATAATAGTCTAACGGGACAGTAAGACATGGTTCATAAAATGGGACCGATCACGATGTATTCGACAAATCATGCAGCAATGATCTGCAATCTCTCGTATGAACTGAATGGTACCTTTCAAGACGTGTCTCACTGAATAAAATATGGCCAAGACGGGTTGCGTTGAGCTACATGATCGTATTGTATATGTCTTTATATATGTAGAGGTATATGTGTACACAAAATATTACATAAGATATCTATATATATATATATACATACACATATATATATGTCATACAAGTTTGCCAATCTGCTGTTAAGCTACTTATATTGCAACATCGACCAGTTGAGAAGAACAATACTATTTACTTGCCATGCCATCAGTTGGAAATACGTCAACTATGTCCTCTCCAATAGACCGTGGTGATCCAAACGCTATTGCCATTGTGGGCATGTCCTGCCGGTTTTCCGGGATAGCGAGCTCTCCAGAAGGCTTGTGGCAGATGTTGACAAATGGACTTACAGGATGGACTAACACTGCAGACAATCGCTTCAACCTAAACGCGTTTTGGCACCCACAAGCTAGCCTTAGCGGTTCGGTGAGCAAAGAATATTCGCTGTCACATAGCAGCAACTAACTCGGAACAGTTTAATGCTCGTGGACTCCATTTGATCAAGCAGGACCCAGCGCTTTTCGACAATGGCTTCTTCGGCATCTCAAACATCGAAGCGAAAGCCATGGATCCACAGCATCGAATGATGCTAGAAGTTGCGTATGAAGCTTTTGAGGATGCTGGAATTGCCATGACGGCTTTGAAAGATTCAGATACGGCCGTATATTGCGCTGTTTCCCATCATGACTACGAAAAGATCCTCGGTAGAGATGCAGAGGTCTCGCCAGGGTAAGATTCCAACCTTTCCAACTCGATATAAATGTTAACCAGGATAGATATCGCTTTACGGGAACGGTAAAGATTTTGAATATACAAGTTAGTACATAACTAACGTTCTCACAGGGCCCATCTATGCTTGCAAATCGCATTTCTTATTTCTTCAATTTGCATGGACCGAGCATTACACTCGACACAGCCTGCTCTAGTGGACTAGTCGCTCTGCACGAAGCCTGCAAATCTATTCGCGGGGGTGAAGTAACACAAGCTCTCGTTGGCGGCGCAAACCTCATTATTGATCCCGATCAAGTCGATCTCATATCATCATTGTCGTAAGTATTCTGCAACCCATTTGAAAGCTGTGTTCTTACCATTGCAGATTCCTTTCGCCTCACGGCCGCTGCTACTCTTTCGATTCTCGTGCTGAAGGTTTCGGGAGAGGCGAAGGAATTGCTGCTGTGATGCTCAAATCGTTGGACAAGGCACTGCGTGATGGCGATACCATTAGAGCTGTCATACGTGGCAGTAGCGTTGTGCAGGACGGTCGTACTTCATCAATCACGGTACCGTCAGGTGAGATTCAGGCAAGGATGATGCAGAGGCTATATGAACAAGTAGGCCTTGATCCAAGCGATACAGCCTATGTTGAAGCACACGGTATGCTATATTGATGAAGTAAGTATCTAGAGATCGTCTCGCTCATCAATCTTTTAGGAACGGGAACAACATTGGGCGACAAGATTGAAGCCAGCGCCCTGCGAGATACATTTTGCAAAAACAGGGACAAGAGTAACCTTATCGTCGGAAGCATTAAATCGAATATTGGCCACACAGAGAGCGTCGCTGGACTAGCAGGTTTAATTAAAACCGTCCTGATACTCGAGAAAGGATACATACCCCCAAACCCGACTTTTGTTCAGCCGAGCGAGAAATTGCCGATTAAAGACTGGAATATCGAGGTGAGTCGGCAGCCACCGGTCTTCTGTCAGAATTCTAACTGAGTAAAGGTGCCAAAATGCATGATTCCATGGCCGGAGAACGAAATTCGTCGAGTGTCTATAAATAGTTTCGGGTACGGCGGTACAAACGGCCATGCCATCTTAGAAGCTGCTGCAGACTATCTTGGTCAGAGCCCAGCTAGAGTACAAGATAACTTAGACTCATCATCGCGCCCACGGCTTTTTGTCCTGTCTCATGAGCTTGAGTCAGGGATACGAGAAACTGCAGCCAACCTCAAAAGGTTTGTCACCAGCCTCGATGAAACTTCCCAATCCTTAGACAGCCTGGCTTTCAGTCTCAATCGACGCTCTGTCCTGAATTACCGATCTTTTGTTACGGCTTCAACAAAAAAGGAGCTTCTTGACAGCCTTGCAAGTCAAGCAACTGGGGAAGACCGAGCGACAAGCCGTCCTAAACCTCCCAAGATATGCTTTGCATTCACTGGCCAAGGAGCACAGTGGGCAGGAATGGGGCGGGATTTGTTGGACACGAACCCGTTCTTTGCAGAGTCAATGAAACGATCTCAGCAGATTCTGAACGTTATTGGTGCAGATTGGCATCTGATCGAGGAGATTAGCAAGGACGAGCACTCCCGCATCAACGAGGCAGCTTTTTCTCAACCAATTTGTACCGCCATTCAGATCGCACTGGTAGATTTGCTCGCATCGTGGAACATTCATCCGGTTGGTGTCATTGGGCATAGCTCGGGGGAGATAGCCGCTGCATATGCTGCTGGCATGCTTTCGGCAGAAGACGCCTTGAAAATTGCTTATCACCGAGGCAGATGTGTCGAAGTGTTGAAAGAGCGTTATCCCGATCTCCGCGGTGCCATGCTTGCAGCAGGTATCTCGGCCGCAAATGCTCAGACGTACCTCTTGGACCAGCCCATCAACGAAAAAGCCGTTGTTGCTTGTGAAAACTCTCCAAGCAGCGTCACAATTTCAGGTGACGAAAAGGCTGTACTGGCCGTACAAGAAAGGTTAAATGAAAAGAAACTGTTTCATCGAAGACTCATCGTTGAAACAGCCTACCATTCCCACCACATGGACCTGATCCGTGATGACTACATGGACTCCATTAAGGATATCAACTGTACTGCACGCCGGTCAAGTGTCCAGATGGTATCATCCGTCAACGGTGAGGAAGTTCAGGATGGCGTCCTAGGAGTCGATTATTGGTGCAATAACCTCACATCACCGGTCCGCTTCGTTGATGCGGTGGCTGGAATTCTCGAAGTAATTCGTAGCGAGAATAAGGAACCAGTGGCTATGGTCGAACTAGGCCCTCACGCAGCGCTATCTGGCCCAATAAAACAGACAATCAAGGCCAAAAGCATACAGGGGGTCGACTATCTGTCTGTGCTCCATCGCTTCCAAGATGGTAGCAAAACCGCGTTAACTGCAGCTGGTCAACTCTTCCAAAGCGGATACCTTGGGCTTGATTTGAATGTGATCAACAACCCCTATGGCACCACAGATAATCGCCACCTGTCAGATATGCCAAGATACAGTTGGAATCACAAAACGACGCACTGGAGTGAGTCACGTAGGAGTGCAAATTATAGGTCCCGTAAATTTCCCAGGCATGATCTCCTGGGAAGCTTTGGTCTTGACAGCATCTCTGATGAGCCAATCTGGAGGAACCACCTGAATCTTCAAAGGCAGCCATGGCTCGCAGGGCACGCTATTGGAGGGCTTATTATCTTCCCCGCTGCTGGCTACTTGGCTATGGTTGCGGAGGCTCTGAAGCAAGTCGCTCTGAGTGATGGAAACCCCTGGAAGAATCTGCGGCTCAAATTTCGGAACGTCAATTTTGGAAGTGCTCTCATTATATCAGACACTTCGACGGTGGAAACCATACTTGCCCTGCGATCACGCACCCATGGGAGCTCTTGGAGAGAGTTCCACATATTTTCTGTCCTGAACAACGGCCAGTCAACAGAACACTGTCGAGGGATGGTAACGACGACATCACAGGGCCGCCAACGAGACTTAACAGATGAAACCTCCACGGCATTGGTTGATCAAGTCAAAAGGGAAAACATGATCCAAATTGACCCTCGTAATTTGTACCAAGAACTGAGAACAATTGGTTTGCAGTACACTGGTGTCTTTGCAGGCCAACAACAAATAAGGGCATCAAAACATGGATCAGTATGTCGCATACCTGTACCAGATGTTCAGTCCATTATGCCCGCGAAGTATCAGCAGCCACATTGCATCCATCCGTCAACATTGGATCTCTGCTTCCAGTCAGTCTTTCCAATCATGAAAACAGCCGGTCTCCTTGGCAGCTCCACGTCGGTAAGCTTCATTAACAGCTTAGATATTCATACCGATATCCCTTCCAAACCGGGACAGGAGCTGGAAGTCATCACAAACTTACGTCAATATGGAAACTCAAAGGTGATTGCCGATACAGTTGTTACTCATTCTCGAGGGGGGAAGTCCTCCATGTTTATGAGAGTCAACGGATTAGTACTTGCAAGTTCAGGAGGGTTTCTACACAGTGGACCATCACAGCGCCCCGAAGGCGAATCATTGACGCACCAACTCAAGTGGTCTATTGATCCAGATTTGGCCCAGTCCGGCGCTGTTGTTGCCCATTGTCAACTGGGCCAAACAGAGTTGATGGCACAGGGGAACAACCATGTTTGTAGCGAATATGCGAAACACCTCATCCAGAAAACTCTGGGCTCGCTTAGTCCTCACGATGAGATAAAAATAGAGGGCCACTTGCTCAAGTTTTTCCAATGGTTGAAAAGTCGCAACACTACCCAAAACTTTGAGTCTTTGAGCTCGAGTACGACCGATATTGAAGAACAAGTCAAGAGAGCCGGGCCCATTGGGGAGATGCTAGCACACATCGGTCCTCATCTTGCCGAGATTCTTCGGGGTGAGGTAGATGCCCTTTCATTGCTTCAAGAAGACAATCACCTCGAAAAGCTGTATAGCCATGGAAGCTATGATAGATGCAACCGCCAACTCGCCAAGTATGTTCAACTGTTGCAATTCAAAAACCCAAACATGCGCATTCTCGAAATAGACCCCGGAACTGCGAACACAACAACGCCAATCATTGAAGCACTATCCACACAGGTAGACTGTTTGGGAAGACCAAAGTTTGACAAATACACTTTCGCGGACATCTCGACCGGCTCTCTTGAAGTGGCGGAACAAAGGCGCGAGAAATTTGGCGGCTTCATTGAATTCAAGAAACTTGACCTTGATAAACAACCCATAGAACAAGGCTTTGACTTGGGTTCATATGACCTTGTAATAGCCACGAATGCTGCTCACGCCACTCGGGACATCGAGCGTTCATTGAACAATGTCCGAGCATTGCTGAAAGAGAACGGTCATCTCGTTCTTATTGAGCATACTGTTCCTACTCTGCATACTGGGTTAATATTTGGTATGCTTCCAGGCTGGTGGCTAGCGGCGGACGGTCGGCAAGAAGGGCCGCTCCACGGCATATCTAAATGGGATGAGTGCCTCCGAGCCTGTGGATTTTCTGGCACCGACATCAACCTTCCAGATTATGGAAACGCCGAGCATGAAATGAACGTTTTGATAACGTCAGCATGCCAAGAGCCAACTCCATTGTGCCTTGGTACAAAAGATTTATCTCAGAGTCTAACTAATTCTCCAAGCTATGTTAAATCCCCAAGTACACAATCAGTCACATCCGATATTGCTTCTCCACGTTCGGCTACAGATTCAGGTCCATCTACGGAGGATATTTATGACGATCAAATAGTCCAGATTGTACATGGCGCAGCGGAAGAAAGCTTGGCTCAACACCTATCGGAAATCTTTAGAGCAGAGGGTATTCCTGCGGCGACGGTCGAATTGAAAGATCTGTTGCCAAGCGATAGGCTTGTAGTGGTACTCCTGGAGTCGATGGAGCCATTCCTGGCCACATGCGCCGATGAAGACTGGCAAAAAGTCCGGCAGATATGCAGTTATGCTGCAGGAGTTCTCTGGATCACTACCGGAGCGGCAATTGAGACCCCTAAGCCAATGGGAGCTCTCATTACGGGACTCTCACGCACTTTACGATCCGAGAATCGTTCAGCGAAATTTGTGACCGCGGATCTCGAAGAGAACTCGAGTGCTGAAAACAGATATGAATGGGATTGCCGCGCCGCTGTTAATATTTTCAATATTTTCCGGCGCTCTCTATATGACTATAACCCAGAGTCGATGATAGAGTGGGAGTATGCCGTCCGTGATGGCCAGATCCTGATTCCACGAGTCGTCGAGGAACTCCAAATGAACGACTATGTTCGGGATAGTGTGTCCAAATTCCACCCACGACTCCAAAGCTCACTCGAATCCGGGCGCGCCTTGGGTCTGAAGATTCGAGTACCTGGACTTCTGGATACCCTCTACTGGGCAGATTCCGAGAAGCACTCGCGCCCAGTCGGACCAGAAGAAGTCCGTGTCGAGCTTGAATTCATTTCTCTCAACTTCAAGGACATCATGATTGCCATGGGCCAGCTTGACGGACATTCCGAGTTGCTTCTAGAAGGAAGCGGAAAAGTCGTGCAAGTTGGCGATAGTTTGTCTAGCCAATTTGTTATCGGTGATTCGGTCTACGTATGCGATTTTGATGGTCTTGCAACTACGTCCAATGTCCATAAATCGAGGGTCCTTCGTGTGCCGCAGAACATGGGTTTGGATATCCCCGCCGCTACTGGTATCGCATATGCCACGGCTTTCTACGCCCTAGTCGATCGAGCTAACCTGCAAGCTGGAGAAACTGTCCTGATTCACTCCGGAGCTGGCGCAGTTGGACAAGCCGCGATTACGTTGGCTCAAAACGTCTGCAAAGCTGGCAAGATCTTTGTTACCGTGGGCAGTGCCGAGAAGCGCGAGTTCATCAAGAATACCTTTGGAATACCAGACGAACATATATTTTCTAGTCGTGGACTTGACTTTTATGAAGGAGCTCTTCGCCAGACCAAGGGCGAAGGTGTCGATGTACTGCTCAACTCGCTCAGCGGCGAAGCACTACAAAAGGGTGTTGATCTTCTCGCCCCTCTGGGACGGTTCGTCGAAATCGGAAAGAAGGACTTACTTTCTTTCGAATCAAGACTGGAAATGAGGTCTCTCGAGAAAAACACCCAATTCTCCACGGTGGATCTGACAATGCTTGGGAGGAAACGACCAGACCAGCTGCATGGAATTCTTGACACCGTTTTCAGCTTACTTGCCCAAAGTCAAATCACCACTTTCGGTCCCATAGAGGCTAGACCACTCTCAAAACTGGAGGAAGTTTTCAGATTGATGCAATCTGGACAACATATGGGCAAACTTCTCCTGAAGACTAATCCCGTTGAACCCATTTTAGTAAGTCGGCCATCCTCCAACCCCTAAAAACTGGTTTTCTGTGGGAAAATATGTGGAAACATCCGGGACAATAGCTGTCTGGTTTGATAGGAGCGGCAGCAGATTTTCTCGCACAGAAAGCTAATTGATACATCTAGGTCCAACCACCGAAACCAGCGGCTGTAAAGCTGAAATCGAACTTTTCCTACCTCGTCATTGGTGGAACTGGTGGCCTTGGAAAGCAAACTCTCCGTCTTCTGGCCAACCTTGGTGCTAAGAAGCTCATAACAATATCGCGCTCCGGCCTGGATGGTCAAACGACGAAAGACATGGTTGAAGAATTGTCTGGGCGGGGAGTAGAAGTGACGGTACATAAGGGGAGTGTCTTGGATAAGACATTCCTTGAAAGTTTGAAGGATCGTTGCAGGGACCATCCGATCAAAGGCGTTATCCAAGGTGCCATGGTTCTAGAAGATTCCCGAGTGGAAGGGATGGGGTACACGCAATGGCGAGCTGCAATGGAACCCAAAGTTTTTGGAACTTGGAACATACATGAGGTTTTCGGGGATTCACTTGATTTCTTCGTGCTCCTTTCAAGTATCGGCGGTGTGATCGGGTCTTTGGGCCAGGGGAATTATGGTGCCGGTAACACGTTCCAGGATGCCGTTGCTCGCTATCGAGCAGTATTAAGACTGCCAGGTAATGCAAACCCCACTAATACCATGATCTTGCTAACAGGAGTTCAGGTCGGTCCATAAATGTCGGATTAGTTGAGGATGCGGGATATACGGCAGAAAACGAGGCTGCGGCAGAGTTCATGAAACGCCAAGGCCTGACTACGTACAGGCTCGGGGAATTCCTGGCAACAATTGAGGAAGCAATAAAGAACCCCGTCGCAGCTACACCGAATGAGGCGCAGTTGCTCTGTGGCCTGAGCAGAGCCGACCCGAGCTCCCAGGATGAAGCAGGGATACTCCAAAGACCAGATCCGAAGTTTTCCTACATCTGGAGGAAGTCTCGAGGGCAAGAGCGGCGAGACCCAAGTTCCACTCAAGTTGATGTCCAAGCGGTCTTGAGATGTTGCGGAAGCGCCGAGGAGGCTGTCGAGACCACCTTAACTGCAATTAAAACAAAGCTGGCCCGCCTTCTAGCAGTCCTCGTCGATGACATTCGAGTTGATCGAACACTTGCAAGCCATGGTGTCGACTCCCTTATTGCAATCGAACTTCGAAACTGGATCTCGACCTTTTTGGAAGCTCATGTCGACAGTCTTGAGCTAATGAGCTCAATACCATTCGCGGACCTGGTTGCGTTGATCGCCAAAAGGTCTTGTTTGGTTCCGCCGGGAATCTTTGCTAAATGACCGGACAAGGCGGTGTCGCGTGGAAATAGGCGAGTGGGGAGGTTGAGGCAATGAAGAGCGGCGCCGAAACATTAGGAGGGGTAGTTACTGTACTTCGTATGCTGAAAGAATAGTAGTAAAACTAGAGTTGTGAAACTCATTAATAAACTTTCTTATTCTGAGCACTAAACTAAGCCACCCAGGGGAAATAGTATAGAGATGGAATCTCTGGACTGGCACTGATTGCCTGGCATTGAATGCATAGAACTTCCCACCACAGAGGCCCCTCCCGAGAAATACCAAGCTAGGTTCGGCACAGCGATCGCTACCTTATTTGGCCAAAAAAGAAAAAAGAAAAGGCTTGACACGAAGCAGGCAGAGCAGCTGTGCCTTTCTCAGATTTCACCTTTACTGCCATAGGCACTAACTAGGTTGCAACTCCAAGGTTGTTGTCGGGGTTCAAATAAGGCCGCCAAGCCCCAAGGCCTCTGGTCGCCATGCTAAAAGAGTCGCTCTCGACATCGGCACTATATGGCAGTTGGGCATGTGAATCTGCAATGCGCAATAATGGGCCCAGAGTGACATGATTTTACACCTGAACTGCACGGTACAGCGTGCACAGCAATCTACGGCCTTCCAAGCATGGAACGACAATAATTACTTGCACGAGAGAATAACCTGGACGGGCAACAAGGCTGCGCCTCACCAACACGTCCGCCGAGGCCCTGACCCCAACCTTCCCATGCATTACCAGGTTTCATCTTGTTCAGCTTACAGGATATTCGGGATCCATGCTTCAAAGTTTGGTTCCTAGAAGAGGCTTGTTACCAGACTGCATCGGCTGTGCATGTATCGAGTCGCAAGTAACCCACTGGCGCTTAACGTCAATTTCTCGGTACGAAGAGATAAGTAGAAGGATTTGCTTTGCTTTTCGAGAACCAATTTCCCACAGTATTAGTTTCTCTCTATCCATACTTCACTCACAGAATACTGGCCAGCCCCACTCATCATGGGCGACTCATTCACAAGCTCTCATACCCGCAACTCCATGGAGACGTCAGCGTTCATAACACCTCCGAGGCAAGGACATCGCTTTAAACCCCACCGACCACTAGCGCGAGCCGCTGGGGAACAACACAGCCGGCGCTCTCCTTCGAACCCGCCAGCTGAGCTGTCACCAAAACGACGCTGTGTATCTGCAGGTACGGCGTCGACATCTCAGAGCTTCTACCCTAGCCCAGAACCGGACAGGACAACTCCAGTACGAAAAGGACGATCTCCGAACACCACCAAGCCAAAGCCCGCAGAAGTCATCAGTCTCATCTCAGACGATGAATCTCCTGCACTAAAGCGGCCTTCCACTCAACCCAATAAGTCCGCTGTCTCGCGCTCGGCACCTGAAGTGCCCTTGCCTCAAAAAGCCGAGATCAAAGTGACAACACCAGATCGCCGAAATCAAGAACCCAAGGAACTCATCAGTCTCAACCAAGATGATGAATCTCCTAGGCTAAAAAGGCCGTTCACTCAACCACACAAGTCCACTGCCTCTCAGTCGGCACCTGAAGTACCCTTGGCCCACAAAGCCAGAATCAATGTGACAACCCCAAAACGCCCTATTCCACCTCGTCAGGCTCAGAGTGAGCCAGCCCGGGGACCAAGCACAAGCATTTCTAAAGCAGACAAAAAGATACAAGACTGTTTGAGAAAGCCTCTGCCTGCAGGTCAAAAAAAGGACGAAGTAGGCAACAATTACATATTTGATATCATCACTGCAGACGGCTCCGGGGTTAGGCTCGTGAAAATCGGCTCCACTAGCGGCTCCGAACGACTTCGTTTGCAGAGGATCGCCAAAGCTTGCCGGCATTTAAAGATCGAAGAACAGGATGACCCTGAGCATGTACCTATTCGACTTTACAAAAGAGCCGAATTCCTCATGCATGCAGAGCTGGAGGGCTTCAAGCATTCCTTCAATTGCCAATGCAAAGTGCATGACCATAGAGAGTATTTTCATGTCGACAAATCGTTTGCTCTTGAGGTTGTCCAGCGTTGGAGGAGATTCTGTGAAGGAGAACCGTACGACAACGAGGGCAAGCTAAGGCCATTCTGGGAGCATAGACTTAGGAAGCTTAGAGTTTGGAAACCAGATACGAAAGTCGACCGAGAACAACAGGGAGGCCGCTGGGAATGGTTCATCAACCCGAAGCGGTACGAACCTTTGCTTTTCGATCTCCAACATGAATCCTTAAAGCTGTGGAAGTGGAGGTGGCTTACTTTGGCACTGCTTCAATCCTTCGTGAACCTACTCAACTCCTTACTGCAAGCCACTTCTTTGAAAGTTCCTGCCTTTTTCCTAGTGGCGCTGTTACTCGGAGCTTGGGCAGAGACATGCGGCAAAAGTTTGCCAGCATTCTTAAGTGTTTCTAGCCGGGCAACGGGCGGCAATCGAAAGTCGATTCAGCGCAGGACTTCAACAATTGGTTCAGCCAATAATGAAGGCAATGCAAAAGCTATTGCAGGAGAACAGGAGCATCCTACATCAAGAGATCTAGGACGAGAGGCATACCAAGAGCAAAAAGACGTTAATAGCGATGGTTCATCTGAGATCAAATCTCCTCAGATCGAAATGGAGGACAACATCGATTCTATATCAACAGACGATGGTGGGAGCGTCGTTGGTGATCAAACCGATTTGTCCGTGTTTGATTCATATTGTGAATATGGTCATGGCAGCGGCCAGTCCAGTGGAGGCGGATATCTCGCAAAAATTGGTGATGGATCCAACCTCGCATGAATAATGATGGAGGCGATATCGAAGCTTTTTAGGTGTGAGAAGTTGAGCGATAGTGATCAAGGATCGATACTAATGACGCAATAAGCGGTAGGCCAAGATTTGTTCTTTCTACTCCATAATATTTATTGTTTTGGTAATAACGCTTAGCACTTACTTACTGTGAGAATAGACGAACCCTGTCTTTGTGTGGCGCTCGCTGTCAAAATTACGTCTCGTTGGATTGATTGTGGTCAAGTTGATAGAAAAATTGTAGGTTCAAGTGCACTGCGCCAAAACGCAGAAGCCATGGCCGTGGCGATGGATTGGATATGTCTGTCGATTCATCAGTCAGTATGTCAAAAGTTGGAGCCATTTAATTAGACCTGCAAAGCAAGAACAGATTCCGCAACGTGGTGAAGCCATTCATTGACGAAATCGACGGCATTGGTGCGCTCTGTGGTGTTAATAACCATCACATCATCGATGAATTGTTCCAGTGCTATGAGCAAATTTTTACTGTCTTATATACCACCGGAAATATGAATCTTTGTAACTCGGTTGGCTCGTTCCACTCTGACAGGAAGGTTGCGTCGTTCATGGTCCCTCTAAGAATCCAGAACAGAAGCTCGATCCAACATCGTTGGGTGTCTGGAAAGTAGGTACATTGGCATCAACCTTCAGGGAGCGGAAAATATTGTCTAACCTATGCCCTCATCAAGGCAAGCCTCCTGCCGTCTGTACGCGGAAGACTTTGGCAAACTATCAGACTCAGCGTACCGCACAATACCTCGAATATCGTCAAACGTGTCATTGACGGCGCTTCAAGCACTGTCGCACGATGCTAGTATCCGGTAGTTACCACAGGCTTGGCCACCATCGACCGTGACGATGATATCGTAACGTTGACCAACACCACCGCTTAAAACATTAGCTGTAATGAGTTCTATGAAAACCAAGTTGTTTACAATATCCGTCATCTTGTCTCTACCTATGGGAAACTCGAGCATAGTGTTTATAGTACCGTTTATAAGCCGAATGCGGTAGCCCTTTCCCGGTGTGAACGCAGTAGAGAAACGTTGCTTGGCCCGTAACGACTTTGGTGGCTGGGTCTTTAAAGACATAAGTGCTGCTGAAGAGACCGTTGTGGAGGGGATAAAGTCCATGCTTCTGAAAAATCGGCCATAATTGGTCTGTGATTCGACGGAACCAGCCGTTGAGAAAGAGGCTCGCCTTATCCTCTTCGTAGACGGGTCGACGTAGGGCCATGTATGACACTGCCACCGATTACGCTATTCCAGACTGCCAGGAACTATACCTACGATACCAAGTGCGACGGTATTTCGTTTTATGCTACTTGTAGGTGGTCGTATTGTTGTAGGCCCCGCTAGAAGGCATTTATAAATCAGGTTGTCGCCCACGATGTCCATCCTTGGATATTCAACATCGCTCAGAGAAAACGTGCGGAAATATTCATAGTCGTTAGTCTGATTGTCATATGCATATCACGGAAGGTCAGATATATTTTCGGTACATCTATCCAGTGGAGCACGCAGGGCATGGTTTAGGAGATGCGGAAATGAACACAACGGTTGCGAACATCGGGACACGAGGCAAACAGGCTCATTGGTCATCAAGTCACCCGATCACACTGGACAGCACAGGAAGCTTGTAGTCAGGCCTTTCTTGTCGAGGGGGAAATCCGGCATGCGATGAGATATGATTAGTCTAGAACTATGTAGTAGGACTTTACAAAGGGACTCCATTGTATACTAGCACCCCCACGCAAGTACAAGTAAATCAACTATCTAATACGCAAATAATCTGTGTCGGGATCGGGTCGTGCTCGTAGATGCGATCACTCGTTCAAAAGCCGAGGCAGCATTTGAGACGATACTATTAAGTCGGCAGATAAGCTTATGCCAAACTTACCTGTCACTCCTGATGCTAGACCGTATTCAAACGGTTAGTATCCTACGCTACGTTAGGTTAGATGGTCACAACAGGGGATGGTATTCAAAGGTCACTTATATGAGGTTGGAAGGCAAGTCAAATGAATTAGATGATGGTCGGTATTCTTTGAACATAGTAAAGCAAGATTTCAGCATTGAAGAAAACGTTACATTGTTGCAACAGAACATGCTCCACTTTCATGCGTATGGAGTAAACCTTGAATCTACTGGAGATTTCCGCACTACAAGTCATTCAAGCTCTGCATAACATACTCTTCTAGGCTACTTAGTCTACGACTGAGATGGTTGAAATCGTTTGTGTGGTAGGGAACGTCGAAGATTTGGAAAAGTTTCTATAGTAGGCTGAAGACAGTGAGACGAGAAATTGAAGTGACTTTTTCCTAATCCAACGATATTGTGTTTGTAGCATTGTTCTGGTTGTAATATGATAATTATGGAGATAAACAGTGAGTAAGGTGGGCAGGCTAGCAACCGCATAAGCCCAACAGCTTCTGTCGTTCAAAAAGCAAATTCCCTACTACTTCTCCTCCACGTAAAGCAACATTGAATAACACGAACCCCACAGGCCTCAGCTTTTCTCCAGTCTCATTGGGAGGAGACTTAAGAATCATCAGCAGAAGAATGACTGTCAGGCAGCGTCTCAAGCGCGCAAGCCCGGGACCGAAATAGCTCGGCTCCTCGTAGATTCCAAGCGGCGTTTCTGGGGAGTAGCGTAGAACCACACTAGTCTTGATCAATGTCTCCATCCTCTTGCATATAACGGCACCGGATAGCTGGACGCGTGAATACGACTGGGTAGCTTGCATAGGGCTCAGTCAGATTCCCGATGGCGTGCATGAGACCGTTGAATGCTAACCGTTAGACGTCGTCTTTTAAGGTTTTATAGAGCATGCAGTCAGACGCGCGTTTATAGCCCCTCAAGAGCCTCGGGGGAACAGCTTTGTGGTTCGACCAGTCGCAGCGCGTCAACGTAATTTATTTTGGAATGCATGGTGACTGTTCGCTATGCTTATGAGTCGAGAAAAAGTGTTGTAATCTGTGGTTTTCAAAGTCCTGGTAGTTACGTCCATAGCTTGCGCATGTAGATTAGTGTGTTTCAAGGAAGAAGAGAGAGTGGTAAACACTTATCAAATAATGGTTCACCGAGAATTGAAGCCATTTGTGACTTTATGATTGATATAACAAAGTTCGACTAATTTCTCAGCAAAAAAAGGGTTTTCAGCATTATGCATGCAGTAAATCCAAGGATTGGATACACATGGATACACGCGAGGTCTTCCAATATACCAAGTAGTTCTGCTTGGGTCAGATATAGGCGGAAAATTTGATGGAGTCTGATAGGATGGGAATCATACTCGCGTTTACATCCGCTATTGACCTATTTAAAGGCTTTAATTCATGTCATCCGTGGGGAAGTGCCGGGTTTCTTTTGAGACAGTTGAATGTCCGCAGATGTGCTTTCGACCTCGATGGTTTTCGGACAACGAAATTGATGACCGGCTTGAACATTCTAGACAATTGCTTGCCATGATTGGTGGTAGAAACGTCTGCATCCTGTAAATGCATGCACAGTTGAAGTGCTGATGGCTGATTCGGCACATAAGCTTACATTTAGCATGCTGACCCGACTCATGTGCACACCAAGTAGTAATATATAATGTCTGACATGATACTCCCGTTCTGGTAACCCCGCCGGATCAAGATCGCTGTATCAGTTCCGGGGTCATGTGTTGTTTGTTGGGTGGTGCATAGAATGGGGTCGTACTCAACAATCGCGATCGCTCTCTAGTAAATCTGTCACCTTCATGCTGGATTCCCGGCATTTTACGATGTGTAATGGGTATTTGTGCGTTCGCAGGAGATCAGTCTGTTCATGCATGACATATAGCAAGGTAGGGGAAGCTACGATTGGGTTTTCCTACCTTCTCACAAGGCCTAACAGGACGTCGCAGGCATCCGCTCCACACCCTTAGGTGTTTATGGACTTGCCTCAGGTGAATGTTGTGTGACTCTAGTCATCCTTCAGCTGTCAGCCTCGAACGGATAAGCCAATCATGCTTGGCAACCACCCGGTGGTCAAAGCCTTGAGGGTGTCCATGATATGCATGACAGTAACATGAACTAAAAAGTCATTAAACCGATCTTGATTCATAACGAACGCTTGGAAATCAGTATATCTTGTAATGTCAGCATGCTACGTGATCCTCAAATTACTACCAGGTTTGGATCTGGTCAATCGCATGATGCTCATGTAGTGGCCGAATCTTGCCCAGGGGGTTCTTCTCGTGGGGGATGGCGGCCCTTGCAAGCTCAAGTTGTTGGATCACAAATAGCAACATAGATGGAACAAGCGACCAACGGATAGGCTACATTGGCGGCGACCTTGTCAGTGGATATGATGGACAAAGATCTACATCTCAGCTTTTGGAAATCCGCAATTATGCTGATCGAGATGGTTTTGAAGCTATGGAGTTGATATAGATCTCGCATCAGACCCCACATTTCGAGAAGCACATCTATTTCTGCAATAATGGGGCACCGTATGATCCTTCAAAATGCGCTTCCACTTACACAACCCCTGCAATTCCTCGGCAATTCCAAGGCCCTCATGCAATCAAATTGGCTCCATAGTGAGAGATCAGCTACGTTCGGTTTACAGTACTCTGAAGCCAGTGGCAGCTCTAGAACAGCCCGTTGCCTCAAATTGACCACTCAGCGGTACTACAAAGAGAACAGAAATATGTTACCGCCTTCGCACTCAGCCTCAGAATCCTGTGGGTTGTCTGTTACCAATTTAGAAAAGACCAACCGGAAGTCATCGCTTCCGCAGCTGGCGAGGCTGAATGTTGGCTCAACTGCATATAGCCGTGTTACACGTCCAGTCTCGACCTGGACGAAGAACGGGCCTGAAAAACATGGTATCTAATCGTACGGAAATGCACAAGCAAAAATGAACAAAGTCATGCAGTTCGGCGCTTCGACGTCGCTAAGTGAGATTAGACGGGTGTTGCGGACCATCTGCCGCTACCACAGAAGTAACTATTGATAGACAACCCTCATGTGGCGCTCAAGTTGGTCAGCACATGATTGCCTAGTGATTTTCGGACGCTCTGAATGCTGTTTGTCGTTGCACCTGCAAAGGAATCGTGCATCATATCTTACAATCCAGGCTGTAGAAATAATTGCCGCCGAGAGTGGCTCACCAGTCTACATTTGTTAATTGGGATTAAACCTGGGTTACATGACGCGCCAAAGGGCAATCCTTCGTCAAAATGGTATTTGAAATCAATAGCGACACGAGTCATCTTCGATATTGGCAGCGGATCGCCTGAACAATGATGATATGGGGCGTATTCAGAACGCTTTTTTAAGACATCGTCGCCATGAGGATTGCAGAGGTGGAGCAGACTCTACATACCGTAACTAGGACCCTGAATCCTCAGACGATCTCGCAAATCAATTGTGCATGCCGCTAGTGATATGCCGCTAGTTGCTCGTCGCCGAGACGAATTTTTCTTTCGATATTGAATCTCGAGGGCCATAATGTGAGAGGATATGAATGCGACAATGAGGAAGCAGCTTACTGGGGTTCAAACTAATTGATATTTCCACGACTCATGTTCCAGAAGAATGGAATAGAGAAAGAGAGACTTAGTCTTAAACTAGCTGTCCAGTTGGGTGGCATGAGCTTAATTTAGTTCTGGTTAAGCCGTATCGAGTATAGTGTCGTGATGAAGACTGATTATGCTCGATTGGTTAGTTTCAGAAGCAAGGAACGAGATCTGCACCAGGTCGCGTTCAGTAACGCTCGAGTGACGCCATCTACCACCGGTCGAAAAGCCAGTGTCATTGCTGTAAACAGGGCGATCCAAACCCAAAGGCAACCTCGTTTGGTGATGATGCGCATTTGCATGCAACTGACTATGACAAACGCTACTTGTCCCCAGATGACGCTATCAGCTTCCTCCCTCGTCAGTGCGAAGATCGCAGGAAGCTCTAACATTCCTCAGGAATCCTGGCCAGGTAAATCATTGAACAGAGACAGTTGTGGCGACGACTATCCGGCGACAAAATGTGTGCAATATGCAATGGGGGAAATGTGAAGCATTTCGGACAACAGATTTGTTTTGTGTATTTTGGTTGGGCGGTTGCTTATCCAGCTTTCTGGCATCTGGTGCAGCTGAATCGCAGATCAGACGAACGGGGATGGCCTGAGTGATGTTTCATTGCTGCCCCGCTTGAGGTAAACTCGTCGAAAACCCGGATGCCATCATGAGACAGGGCCGTCGGATGAAAAGACTTGGTTGGGCGTCTAAGAGCAGCTTGAGAACAGCCGGCTGGCAAGAACTACCATTCGCCAAACATGTTGCAGGTAAAGGGCTAAATATCGGTCTGTGGAGGGACGGAATGCATCTAGATGTGATTCGTAGAGTCGATTTCACAGCGGCAGAATCAGGTGTGCTGAATCGGACAATGAGGTGTCGCGATGCCAGTGCCGCAGGATGATGTGGTAGCATAGTCAAGCATAGGTCTCTTTCCTGGATGTGACAGCCACATCAGAACCTCTCCACGTAACATGATTGGCTGCTGAGGAATCGACCCTTCCTTGCTTCTCGCAGGGCGGGACTGTAGTTTCGGCCTTATCCTGTCATCATCATGCACATAACCGGCTCAACTTTTGCGAGTCCTATCAGGAATGTCTTGCTTGAATCGACTGAAGCTGCTTTTTATCAGAGAGAAACTTTGGGCCATTAGTGACTCATCCCTGAGCACTTGCTCGACTAGTTGAGCTTGGAACCTATATTTGTAAGATAGGAGGTCTGATCTGGTGAAACTATAATTACTACCATCACTAGACGACCAGCTTGGACAGCCACCAAGTTAGAGCTTCTTAACGCCAACTGTTAGCGGCGATGTTAGATCAATGCTAGACAGCCGCATTCCCGGGATCATCACGAAAGGTCTGCATGCGGTTCGCAACTTCGAATACGCCGCGACTTTTAAGACTTGATCAAAGTTATCATTCTCATGGGTGCTGCAAGCGAGTCGCGTGTGAGACATTCCCAGTGCGTGAATCCAAATGGGATCAACCGGGTGAAATTGTGCATTGCATGGCAATTGAATTGTTGCGCAGCGCCATCTTCCGTATGCCTCTCTTGGTGCCACCGCGCCGGCGAAGTTTAGGGGGGGCAACTGCCAATGCATCTTCTCCGTCACTTACGCAACAAAGAAATCCTATCACTTGCGACGAGAGATTCATCTGCAACGTAAATTCCATCTTACCGCCATTCTGATTTTACAGGATCCGTAAAATCACGATCGTCTGATATGCCAGCCTCCATATCCACACGCTCAGATAATGTTAGGTTTTTCTCGGGTGGGGAATAGCCCCAGCACAACGGTCGGCACCACATAAAGTAAAATTGTCGTCAACCACATGGATATGTATGCAACTCAATATGTGTTTGCGCTTTGCGGACTTCGGACGCGCAACAGGAAGCGAGAGAGCGCCATGGCGTTCATCACCCCATTCATTTCACTTCACCATGTGACCACTATCGCGTTCTTATGAGCAATCGTTTAGCGCCCTGCTGGTGTTTCTAGAAAACTAGAAACTTTGGAAACACTTTGGCGCGAAATCTATCTCGTTCGCACTAACTGGAGACCCTATCGAAATCGTGAAGCGAATCCAACCAAGCCCCCTAGTTCATAGCCCCACGACCCAACCCCTTGTCGCCGTTTCTTCCCTCAACCCTGCCTCCTCCTCGGCCTCCACGATGAGCTCAAAGTTGGGTGTCCGATCTCTCTCTGGAGATGGACCCTGTCTTCGGTTCCTTGATGAAGACCCTCCAAGTTACACTGGCAAGGCGCTCTGAGGTAATAGCGGCCACGGTAGAAACAGGGCACCAGCTCCTATGTATCTTGGAAATAGGCTTTGACAGACTACTTTAGCTGATCGCCTCCCCAGCGGCCAGCCTCTCAATTGATCATGTTCGCACTACTTCAAACGTTTCTTCAACCCCTCCAGTTCTTCAAAGAACCCAAATATGAATATCGAGTCTTATTACTCCGTACTTACTTACTTACATATTGCTCTTGTCCAGGCTTACCTGCACTGAGGGCCTGTGCCAACCTAACCCAATCGTCTTCGCAATCCCCCATCTCTACATGAAACAGACCTCTAGTCGACCAATTGAAGCCCGAGCTGTTGCCTCTAACCGGTTGCGTCCAGCGGACCTTGTGCACAACTTCGCCAAGTCTGCATAGAGGTCTCATCCACGCCCATTTCAGTAAGCAGAAACGTTTCCGTGATCACTCCGTGGCCCAAGGGGCCACTTGGTTGGGGCCGGGACCAGGGGTCGATAATCTTCGTGGACCCCCCGTCCAAGACACTCAAGTCTGCACTTACAAGAACTACTTACACCCCTCGCTCCCTCCTTCATTAACCAGCTAGTATGCTCTGATGCTACTTCACTTATTGCCTCTTCCTTACACCTGAAGTCGTCTACCGATCTGAGGCTTACAATATATTAATTAGTGTGGATTGACCAAAGATAACGGAAGAACTCCACACCCATTCCTATACGAGCAGGAACTGGTGGGTGGGAATCACTTATTACCATCGATGCAGCCCGCCATGGCCCAAGGGGACGTTCATTCTTCTATAACGGAGGCCAGGAAGTTTGACACTTCGGAGAAAGCAAGTACTCAACCATTGCGTGCTCGATCGCACGACAGCTACACAGCCCGTTCTACCTACAACGCCGACCTGCTCAACGAATTCGCTGGAATGGACGAAGATTGCTTACTAGGCGAAGCCACCAACGTGAAGGAGTCCAGAAAAGAGGATACGGTTGTGGAGCCGCCAGCTCTTCCGCAAAAGTCGAGTCTACGCGCCTCACGCATACTCGATAGCCTCAAGTTGAGTTCAATCGAGTCGGCTACACAATCTCTGACGACACCACATGACGCATACATGTCTTCAGAGGAAGACGCTTCGTCCTCAGCGGACGAATTCTCCGACTACGACTTTGACTCTTGCAGTGAGGCTTCACAAGGTGCATCAGTACGGAGGAAGAGCTATGAAGATACTGCGCGAGTCGTCTCGGTCATCTACTCCGGCAAACCTTCGCTGGTGGACCTTCCCTCGCCTCGGCGATCGACAACATCATCTGCCTCGGATACAGAGAGCGATATCTCAATTGAGACACCAATAGACCACCCAGCTGCAGATGGTCACCCACCGAGGACAAGCAGTCTGATCCCAACCACACCACCTTCATTCTTGAAAGAAGATCCCTTTGCAGAGACACGATACGTTCCCGATGCTGCAAGAGATGGTCAGCTAGATGGTCCTCTGCGAGTATCCAAGGCACCTGCTGTACTCAACCGCGTGCAACGAACTTTCAGCCTGGTCAGGAAGCGAAGCAGACCCTTCCTTCGCACCGCCAGTAGTACAATGTCCAGAGATGACCTCATATTACCTCCCCTACCTGTATCAACGATCAACCTACCATCACTAATAACATCAACTGCGGAGCAAGCTGCGGAGGCAAAAGGCGCGGCAGAAGTCGTGGAGTCGCCCCGTTCACCAGTAAAATACAACGATATCATCAAGGCAGCAAGAAAGAATAAGCATGCTGCATCGAAAAGCATATCTGCTGCGTCACTCCCTCTCACACCTATAACTCCTATAACACCGACTTGTCCCGTCGCCTCAAAGAGGGGCATTCTCAGTGGCTTGAAAGCCAATAGGCGAAGCATGAAGCCATAACTCATTTTTTATTTTTTATTTATAGCATTGGGCAAAATTGATTTGGCATGGCGTTATCTGGACTCACTTGAATGGCATACAAAGGGCGTCAGGCAGATCATGTTGGGCATGGACACATGACATTACAAGCATGTGGATAATTGGGATTTGGTTTCCGGGCATATAATGATACCTAACAGGAGGCCGCGACAGAATGTCCAGGAATGCGACATAGGAGAACAAACTGAATGATACCATGATGATTATTTTTGCCAGACCTTAACGAGCTCATTGCCACGATCATGTCTTAACTCGGAATCGTCCGGAAATGTTTACCGTCCAATGAGGGGATTCATTTGTCGTTGATTATACAATGCCCCAATGTAATTAAGCGCACCAGCCGACACTAGTGGTTTGTATTACTGGTAATAGTACGATTTCCATAGCAAAATTCTCGCTGCAGGGCACAAGGTCTCCAACTTCTAAAGGGGCTATCCGCTATGGCCCGGTAAAGGACGCGCCTGCAAGGAACAGGTGGTGATCCCCTGGCCTGCCCAACTGAGCTGCCCCGCCGCGCCATGGAGATGCCGACCTATATAGCACATCCCTAAATGGGCTGCAGCACTTACGTTGATGATGGATCACACCTCTAAATTTTGTGAGACAACTGAACAAACCGACCGTGAAAGACATGTCATCGAGCGGGGCTATACAAATACAGAGTAGTTGATGCGGAGGATCCGTCCTCCAGATACAAAAAAAGAAAAAATGAGAAGGAAAAAGAATAATCAAATAAATGCAAAAATGCAAAAGCGACCCCGCATAGTCTTGGCTTATTGAGGCGCATACACTATAGCGAATCCCACCAATCCATCTAATATTATATATCGGCGTTCTCATGGGGTGTGAGCTAGAACCCCGTGGTGGTGTTGTGTTCGCTACCTGGAAAAGTCGTCACCGGCAATGTGTGGTTCCGCTTCCTCAATCCGTTAACGCCGACGAGGTTGCGCATCATAACCCACCACCAGATAGAATGCGAGGTTGGCTAGGGCACGGCAAACTGTGTCTTGCAGCCAACCTCAGCGGGATAACCCATGCCACGATTCTGGAATTAATATTTAGGGTTTGGGACACGGTCGTATCAAAGATCTGCACCAGCCAAAGAGAAAGCAACAGGACCAACAACGACTGACCACACCAACGCGCAATTCGCCAACGGAGATGTGGAGAGGCCACACGTACCACACATGCAACACGTGTTCTGGGCGTTTTTCGAAGCATCCGTCATCTCATCGTTACTGATCGTTTGAACAGCGTGCGCAGTCGAGTTTGCTTAAACTGTAGACTACGCTCCAGCCGTGACGCAAGCCCACCGGCCACCAACCGTTCTTGGTTGCGTCGTCGACAAATCATGCATGAATATATTGTGTAGGCCCACCTCCAACAACCAGGTCGTTAGCCCAATAAGGTGAGATTCTGCTGCGCGCATCTGCCTTGGGCCTGTCACGTTCCAGTATGGCTATCTGAAAGTCTCATCGCGGACGGAAATGCCGCGGCCAACGCCGTCGTTCTTCCAGATCATAGCCATAATTGACCGCTCCAGAAACACAGGCGAAACCATCCCGATTTCCAGTGGCGCATTGCAGTGTCTATCATTTTCAATAAGCTGGGTAGCTGCGCTGCCGCCCACGGAGTAAATCGAAACAGCCTCCGAAACGAAATGCCCCTCATCACTAAAGCGTCACGCGTATCTCTCAGGATATTCTGGCGTTTTATGAAACCGTATCCCCCCTAACGCAGTCCCAGTAAAACAATAGGCACAGACGTCTCGCTTACGATTTATTCCCAGGATTGACAGGATTCGCAGACATTCTGCACTGCGCGACACAGACTTTTGCCGTCCCGCCTATGCAGGCCTTTCTGGGGAGGCAAGTCAGTGCCCGGAACTTCATGCACGTGTCGGGCATAGGACTGCTTCTGCCGCGCACGGCCGCGTCCCGCGTAGCCGGTGTCGCGACCATCAGAACGTTCTTAATTTATGGACACGGTCGGCAGAAGTCTTGGAGGTGGAGCCACTGTGCGCATGCACCTGAATAAGGAATGTGTTATACTTTATGGACTTCGTCCGTGATGCGGCTGGAAGCGGATATACTGCCTCAAGGGTATGAGTGGTGAGCCGGACGTAGTCCTCACGGAACATTGGCATCGTGCCAACCCCCATCGTGGTAGGTATATGACTCTCTGCTAGAATTTTCCATATCATGCGAGCAAGTTTCGTGCTCACGCTCGCCTATAGTGGGCTCCCGGTCTCAAAGCCTGCTTCCAGCAAGACACCGGGCTGTCCTAGAGGTGCTGCACTTTGGTAGTTTATGCACAGACTAAGTGACATTCTGTCTCTGGAAATAAACGACGCCTTCCGGACACTGCGAAATGGTAGAATGATATTTTCTGGACTTGGCGTTCTTACTTAACAGACCGAGGTTCTCAAAACGGCATTTGGAGGCATATCGGCATTTCGGTTGCTCGACTATGATCCTGTGATGACACGGCGGCATGAGCTGACTCTGACTCATTGCCTGCCTCTGGCTAATCTATACTGCGCTACTCACTTAAGTAGCAAACATACTTGAGACTGTGATAGCCACAATAGCTGAGCCACAAATTTCAAGACCAAAGTACATACTATACGCATGGCTCAGATAGACTCTCAAGGAGCAGTCTGGACGATCCATCGTCGTTAACTATCATCGGCCGTTCAATATCTTCTTGGGTGCTAGAAGGTCAGCGAACTTCGATCATCCAGCACGGAATGACTGCTGGTATGAACAGTCCGTTGCGCCTACTTCCAGCGACAGAGTCATACATGGTAACCAGATTTTAGTCTTGTTGTCCTTGTGCCAGGTCTGCAGAAATAGTTGAATCGTTGGGCTCATGAGACCTGCTGTGGCAGCATGCTAGTTGAAGGCGATATTATGCCACGCTGGCATGTCCGAACCCACTCAACTCCAGCTGCTTCGTCGCAGAATTCCGCCCCCGCCTTATGGCAAACATTGTTAATCTATTTCACCTTAATTGCCTTCCTTACTTTCACTTTTGATAGAAGTGTGATATCAAGTTGAGTGTATTTTCGGCCACACAACCAGTATAGTTCACCTGAAGTCCCTCTTATCGAGATGAGTTGTTAGTTTAGAACCCAAATAAGTTTGTATTGACCACCGTAGCAGCCTGACATGGCTAGGCATAATACTCGACCGAGCATTGCCTCAACATGAGAGCCATAAATACCCGATTAGTGTCCGAAGCCATGCATCGGCTGGCTCGATGATCCGCTGAACTGGTGTCAACACGAGCAACACGCCTACTACTCTTCCATAACCTTAACCCCTTGGTTCCATTTTTCGTTTGGTCTCATAACATTAGAGCACCACATTTTCTGCTAAGCACCCTTGATGTAATCTTTTCCTCAGACACACTCATGACTCAAGCAGCCGAACGGGTTAGTCTCCCGAATGATAGTTCTGCCGATGGGAAACAATACGCCACCGTAGTCCAAGCTGGAATCTACTCATGGCTGGAGATTACAGATTAGTTCAATTGTTCTTAGCTTTCATGCCATGGTGGTATCTGTGATGTTTCCTGTGCACGCGAGTGGCCGACCTCTCTATGAGCGGCATTTTCTTTTCTTTCTTCAAGCCCAGTTATCTCGGCCCAAGCGGCTACATCTCACACACCTCTTGCATCTGCCGTTGGATATTATCTAGCGTAGGCTAAGTGGAACTGCTTTAAAAATGCTCCAGTTAACCTTCTGGCTCTTGAAAAGTTTGAAGATTCAAGCAGGGGGCCCTTCGCGTTTCGCGCTTCTAACCTGGCTCGACGTTCAGATGGACAAAACGGATGGACCGGGCTCTAGCTATCATCAGAACTAGCAGCTTTCTTAGTTTTGCTGAATGCAGGGCGATCTTCGACGCTTCTATGCCAATACTACTGTTGCTAAATAGTAGTTGTGTAACTATGCACGACTACTATATATAGCTTAATAAAGGTGTATCCAGAGCATTATTCAATGGCTTCTACAACATGACTCAAAACATTCAGCTTACTACATCATTCGCATGTCCAAGGGGAAAATATATATGGACAATATCTACGCCTCTGGCAATTTGCGGCGCATGCAGCGATGTTATAAGTCACTGGACTCGAAATTCATCTGTTGGTGGCGAACTTCTCGGAGCACTCGAACCAGAGAGTGTGAGTTCATACCAAGCTGGCTTCACGACCTACGCATTACCGTATGTCAGCTTAACCAATGTATACTATTCCAGTAGTCCCGGTGCAGATTTTATGGCAGGAGCAGTAGTAGAAACCCGGGTAATACGATCTCATTCCAGTATATGGATACTATCAGGAGTGGGTCACACATATGTACGTCCGACTGCAACACCTTACACTCCCTGCCTTTGCTCGTATAAACACACAAATTTTTTAAAATTCTTTTTTCAAAGCAAATGAGACTGGAGGGTTAGAAGAGTGATGTCTTTTCTACTTTGTACATTCTGTAGACGCGGAGATCAAAGCGGAATGGAGGCTCGCCGAGTTAAAATGCGAAAATCGAAACTGGCAAGGATGAGAGTTATGGAATTGGCGAATACTAAACGTGGGCCAGAGTTGAAATCAAAACAAGGATGATTATACTGTAAAAATTGAAGACTTGGGTTTGGGCGCTAAGGTATATAATCTAAGCCATTTTAAGCCAGGGCGGTCCTTGGGTTTCGCTCTACTAGTAGGTGGCAAGGTAATATATGTCGAGTAGCAAGGGCTAGACAATGCTTGGCATTAACATGACAATCGGCAAAGCTCTGCTTAGACGAGACAAATAGTCGAAGTGCGATTGTCCGTATGTGTCAAAGATGACTATTTGGAAATTCTTGTGTATTCGAGTCCCTCAAAACTTGTCGGTTGTCGGAAGTGGTGACGTTTGTGATAGGGCACCGCACTATGGTCAAAGTGTGTGCGCTCTGACGTCAATGACATGCGGACCAGTCGTACGTAACTGTGATGCGCAAAAAACGGCCCTACTATTGGACCCAGTGATAACACTGCGATAATGAATGGATTATTTATATATTGAAAACCTTGGCGGTATTCTATATTTTCTCAAAAATACCTCTTCGCTTCTCACCTACATACCACCAAATTGATCGACGAATTAACTACAATCTAGAACTAGTCGTACCACCCTAATTATCCCTTATCACAGCACAACCAGCGTGAAATACATCATGGCGGACATCAAGAAGGTGATATCACCAACCCTCGACCATTCTTGACGCATGCTAAGATGATATAGATTGGCATGCTCGGCGTGGGAAGCATGGGAGCCATGATGTCGCTCCTATTTGCCGAACATGGCTACGAAGTTCATTTCTTTGATCCGAGTAGGTGGTGCATGAAACTGGAAGATGAAATAATTTCTGACCCGTGGGCAGGCGAAAAGAACATGGACCAACTGGACCAACAAAAACATGATATCCGGCTAGACGAGAAGGTGCGCAGGGAAAAGAGTTACGAGGATGTGTGCAAAGCAATTCAGGATAAAGACCAGCCAAAGCTCTTTGTATTCAGCACGCCGCACGGCAAACCCGCAGACCAGTGCGTCGAGGGAATCCTGCCCTATCTCAACAAAGGCGATCTGATCGTCGATTGTGGAAATGAGCACTGGACAAACACGGAGCGTCGGCAGAAGATGCTCGATCCCAAGGGCATCCATTACGTGGGATGCGGAGTCTCCGGTGGTTACCAGAGCGCTCGTCACGGCCCCTCCATGTCCCCTGGAGGTAGCCCTGAGGCGCTTAAACAGGCCATGCCGTTCCTGAAGAAGGTGGCTGCCAAGGATGCAAAGGGTGTGTCGTGTACGAATCCTGTCGGCCCCGGAGGAGCTGGCCATTACGTCAAAATGGTGCACAATGGTATCGAGCAAGGAATGATGTCTGCGATTGCGGAAGTCTGGCTCATGCTCACGAAGAGCTTGGGATTCAAGGATGATGAGGTCGCAGATCTTTTCAAATCGTGGAACGAATCCGGCCCCCTGCAAAATTGCTTCTTGGTGGCGATTGGAGTTGATATCGAGAAAGCAAAGGAGAACGGAAAGCATGTGCTCTCAGAAGTTCGCGACAAAGTCACACAGGATGTCACCGAGGAGGAAGGAACAGGTACCTGGACTTGCGAGCAGGCGGTTGAGCTGCACGTTCCTGCTGCTTCAATCTTGAGTGCTCACCTCTTCCGATGTGCATCCGCAGACCTGGCCAAGCGAATTAAGAACAAGAAGTCCGCATCAGGGGGCTTTGAAGCTCAGCCATGGTCCGGTGTAGACAAGAAGGAGTTCGCGGAACTCCTGCACCAGACGACATACTTCTGTTTCCTGGCCTGTTTCAACCAGGGAATGGATGTCATTAGGAAGAAGGACAAGAAGGAGGGATGGAACTTGGACTACCGAAAGATCATGCAGCTGTGGCGCGGTGGTTGTATTATTCAGGCAGATCACATCACCAATCTCCTTGACGGCATGTACGCGCGCGAAGATCACGATCCTGATGACATTTTTGGAAACCCCGAGATTGGTCATGAGCTTAGCACGCTGTACCCTGCCGTTAAGAAGATTGTGCTGAAGGCCATCGAGACCGACACGTTTGTGCCGTCTATCAGTCAGGCGCTGGAGTACTTCAAGTACCAGACATCGACAGAACTGCCAACACAGTTCATGGAGGCACAGCTGGATTACTTTGGCCAACACATGTACGACAAGAAGAGCGATCCTGTCGGCGGGCCAGAAAAGGGCAAGCATCACTATGAGTGGAACCCGGCGAAGGGTATTAGCGGCAAATAGATTACGTAACCAATATAATATTAATCAATCTCCATGATAACCCGCGCTATCAGATGACAGAGATGACATGCATTGAGACGGCCGCCACCTTCAGATGATGTAGTCTCAGTTGAACTGGAACTCCAGAGATGAGGCTCTATTTAGAGTCTTCCTTCATGCCAGACTGGATCCACGAAGCGTTCTTCTGTGCCGCTGCCGCAATATCTGCCTCACTCTGGTTTTCCTGCTCAAGTGCCTTGTGCGGCGATGGTACCTGGCGACCCTTCTCGAGACCAGGTCGGCTGAGTAGCAGATCCCTCCATCTCTTCAGTGCCGGAAACTCATTGATGTCGACACCGGAGCCAGCTCGAATACCGTCAGCGGACTTGAACTTCATCGTTGTAACGGGTGGTGCTCAAAACTTACCGGCATGCGCTACCCACCCCCAGCTGGCGAAATCAGCAATGGTGGCTTTGTCGCCCACAAGATACCCGGACTCTGACTCCTTCAAGGCCGTGTCCAGCGTGCGGAACAACCGGCGCGTCTCGTTCATATATCTGTTGATGGCGTAGGGGATCTTCTCCGGGGCGTATCCTAATCGATGTCAGCTGGGCGACATTCCAAGGTTGCGTTTACACTTTTAGCATACGGTTGAAATGATTCAATTGACCTTGCATGGGTCCGAGGCCGCCCATCTGCCACATGACCTGTTCCACCGTTAATTGGTAGTTCCCATTTGTTCCTACAAGGAGGGGGAAGACGGGTTTCGCATACCCAGTTGTTGACCTCCCAATATTCCCTCGAGCCGTAGGGATACGAGATCTTGTGGTCCTTGTCGTAGCGCTCCACGAGGTACTGCATGATGGAGGCGCTCTCAAACAACCTGATGGTCTTGCCGTCCTCGAAGGTGTCCGTCAGGGCCGGGATGCGACCGTTGGGGTTGATCTGTAGAAACCATGGCTCCTGTGGTGTTTCCGTGAGTACCACTCGCAAGTAATTGGATCATGGTAAAATCGTGAAATCGTGATTACAACCTACCTTTTGAGTGTTCTTGCTGAATTCAATCGATGTGGTCTGGTTGGCATGTGAGCATCACTTCGACAGGTCAGTCGACGATAGTGTTGCTTACTTCATACTTCAAACCCAGCTCTTCTAGGACAATGGACGCCTTGATGCCATTGGGCGTCTGGGCCGTGTAGAGGTGGATATTAGACTTCTGCGCCATTTTGGAGCTGGCTTGTTTCGCGATCTGTGCAATTCTTGTTGTCATTTGATGGATTGTAGTGATTTCACGGACCAGTCGAGCTTGTGGTGTATCGTGCTTAAATATCTCGAGATACATGGAACTGTTGGCTTAGAAATCGTTGCGTCACACAATTGCGGAGAAAACTAACTGGCGCTATATTTGCCCGGTGATTACGGATCATAGTTGCGTTGCTGTGTAATGTTCAGGAAATCGCTTTCAATTGCACTTCTGATTGCATACACAACAGTCTTCCATTTTGATTTGCACTGGTTTCATCGGCCTGAACTTGCTTTCGAATGATGCGTTGATGGGATCAACAACAAATATGGCTCGACATTGAAGTGCACAACCGAAACCAAGCTAACTAGCTGTGATATGCTTGCCAGTGATTGGCTGTAACAGTATAAATCGATGGCAACATAAATCGTGACATCATGCATGACTTGTACCACATGTGGAAAGAAAATGGATCACACACCCTGCATACGAAACAAGCTTTGAGTATCTCTGCTCACTAACTATACACATAACGTCGGTCCAAGTCCCAGCGGGTAGAGAGAGTATTATATTCCAATTTCAACAGTATGCCATAGGGCTGTCGCTGCTGAATAAAGGGCGCACATGCTGGTACTGTCTTGGTAGCCAGAATTGTTTATCAGTTTGCGAAGAGTTAAATAGGGATTGAAGTAAGCACAGCCAGCAGTTCAAATGAACCACGAGCGCTCAAATTTAAGGCATTGGCTTTCTGATTGTGTTGCACAAGTTCGCTGAGCAGCAGGGAATGTGTGTTGTAATGAGCAAATGACCTGAAATTAGACGTTCAGCACTTTATCCCGCGTGATACATTTCTGGTCGTTCGATTGCAAAGACAGTAGCACCGGAGGGGTATGAAGAAGCAATGCGTGGGTAACTAAACAATTCCATCAAAAATTCGACAACAGCTTTCAATTAGGCGCATGTGTAATTATTAGTGGCATGATGGAAGGATCTTGCTCAGGGCTGGATTCAATCCATTGACACTGACCTGGAGTTTTGTTGTTTGTAGCCACTTTGAATATATACAGCATCGGTAAGAGGTTGCGGAACAAGTAACTTATTTCAATCGTGACAATTTACCAGAGCCAAGCATGAACTTTAGGGTTCCAAAGACTTCTGATCAGCTTCTTTAGTCATTCGTGTGCTTGAGGAAGTTCGTCCAGTGTTCCATTAGCAAAACGGAGCTTCCAGAAACCGCCCAGCAACCACTTGACCACAACGAAGCTCAAGCTCCCTCCAGTCACAACCTACCAAAACTTGCAACAACCGTTCCAGAACTTGACCATCTTTGCAGGCACTTCCATTGGGCTTGCACCCGGCCAAAATTTGCCATCCTTGCCTGATATCTTGGCCTGTTGATTTTTATTTCTACTTCATCTGATTACCGCGCTTCCTATCCACCATGGCGACATCCACCGCCTCGTCATCCGAGTTTGGGTCATCGCCTCCAAAGCTTTGCAGCATGAGAGAAGACCATCCAGACCCGCTGCGCATGAATCCTGTACCCAAAGATTTCAAGCCGCCCGTCGCCAAGAACTTTTCGTTCTCGGTTTCCGGCCTCTGGAAGTCGAATGGCAATCTTCTGCGCTGGATCACCGAGGTCCCGAGTGTCTACCAAGACATACACTATGAGCCCGCAGTGTGCCACAACGAAAAGCATTCTCTAGTAGGTGCCGCTACAGTTTCCGAGCTGTCAAGGGCGTTAGCTAACTATGAGAAAAGGAGCCAGTTGACATGCTCCGTGGCCACGATGGTGGAGAGCATCGCGACAAGAAGCCGCGACTGCACGCGGCCACCGGCACGCAAGGTACGGCTACCATGCGAAGAGGAACCAGGCTGGTGCAGTCAACTTACGATGCCGCCCGACGACTTTCCAGCAGTTTCCAAAGCGTTTTCAGCACCTCTGGTAGCCATGCCGAACTGGACGCGCTCACCTTGAAGAGCACGCCGTCACCTCTTGGCACACCACCGGCCAGCACACCTCGCGAAAAGTTGAGATTTGCAGTTGTTGGCGACTATCGCTGCGGAAAGACTTGCATGCTTCTGTACGTCAGAATTTACCTCTCCTACACCTTGTGATGCTGCTAACTTGGTGACCCAGCCGCTTCTACTTCGATACTTTTACGCGCAACCACATCCCAACACAGTATGAGCTCTTCAACAAGACCATCAATGTTGATGGCAAGAACGCCGATCTCGAGCTCTGGGACACGTCAGGCCGAATAGAGCTGAAGCAGCTGTCCCTTCTCTCCTACCTAGCCTGGGATGGCATATTTCTCTGCTTCAGCGTCGACAGCGACAATAAGTTCACCAACGCTCAGACCAAATGGATCAACCAAATCCACATGCATTGCCACGGTGCCCCGATCTTCTTCGTCGGCTTGAAGAAGGACACCCGCGTTGGTTCCGGCATTTGGGCCCCCCTGTTTCCCAGCTTCGAGACTCGTGTCGGCGCGTCCGAAGGTGCAATGGCAGCCAGAAACCTCGGCGCCGTCAGATATATGGAGTGTTCGGCAAAGACAGGCGAAGGCGTCAACCTGGTCTTCGAGGAGGGTGTTCGAACGATCCGAGCCATTCAATCCGGCAGAGATTCAATGGCTCGAGAAAAGTCTCGTGGAACCAGCCTAGGGCACATGTTGTGTTTCTAGGCAACCTACCGTGAGCCAGGGGGGTTTACCAGCCGGGTTTTGTATGTGGGAGGCTTGTAGGGATAACTATGCGGGTTGAGGTCTGCGCTATAACAGTCATGCGTATCAGTGCAGCATGGTGCCAGGATCTAGTGGTGGTCCAGCCACTTTGCCGGTGATGTTTACCGTTGGACTTGAAATGTAATAGCGTCGACCAATCAAATCGGCGAACACATAATCTCAGAATAGGACACAGTGATGGCTATGGCTATGAAGTGGTTAAAAATAGGCGAGGCATGAATCCGATAGTCATAACACTGACTGGATGATATGAATTTCAACATGACTGGCTTGTGAATGACTCATTGCCCGCACATTCCTTTTTAAAAATTTTCTCCCCGTGCAGGCCAGGTCGTTTCTCAGACGACGTGCCCGAAATCGGCTTGTTGCCGAAGTTATAATGAGGACTACAAAAAGCAGCTTCTGGAGATGGGGGTTGAGGTGGGAACCGGCTGAACTTATCCGCCCACAGCTGCAAAGTTTGTGCGTATTCGATTGAAATTGGGCAGTTGTAGTGGGATAGCGTGTTTTGAGATGCAGTTGCGCGAATCTAGGAACTGGTGCGGATCACTTCGGGTACCAATAGAATAATAATTATAGCAACACAAAACTCGGCAGCAGGGATCTGGTGAGATGGATCGCACATGTTGGCAGTCCGCCAACTCAGCGTCATACGGGCCCGGGATTGGAGCCCCTCTCAGGAAGCCAGCAGGCCAGAGATGGGGCTTGCCAGGAGAGTTTGTAGTGACAGATAGGTTCTGTTGCAGGAGGTCGGAAATATAAGGTTGGAATGTCTCACAGCAGAAGAGGCAAAGAATGCGATATGAAAGATGCCACGGACATTTGAAACAGGGATTCGTCTCTGTAGGTGTCTACTAGTCTAGCCTAGACTAGTTCAGCAGTTATAGAATGACGGCTTCGTTGCCATGCGCAGATCCCACGAGAGGTCTGGGTTAGAGCTACAGAGGTTAGAGCGCACCCTGGAGCTACTGTATTGTATGGGCAGCAATGATTAACTAACCTAATTGTATGTCGGTCACGATCACGGAGCCGCAATTCGAACTTGTGTACCTACATACGAAAGAAAAAGCGTGTCCCATTGAAGAGATGCCAGCAAGGATGACCTCGCCGATGGAGGGGCAGCTCTGGGCCCCAGTTGTGACGCTGATTTGCCAGGAAGTCCCGGATTGGCATCAAGTGCGAGTTAGTGCCGGGCCCTAGGCTCTTCAGCGCATGGCTCGCATCTTAAATGAATTTACAGTACCGTACTACTTGTACGTGGTAGTGATCACAGGTGGCCCCGCCCCCCACTCCGCCCAGCCCACCCCCCTGGGCACAGTTCCCAGTTCCCAGTCCGAGTCCCGTTTGTTTACACCATGAGCTCAAGAAAGGCCGCCATTGGTCGCCGAAAGGTGTGGTGTGCAACAAGCTGGATTGCAGTCTGCGAAGCAAAGAGTCGACCAAGTCAACTCAACTCGTATCCGTCCATCCATTCATTCATTCCTTCATCCACCCACCACCATCTTGTATTTGTATCGACGTGCTGCAATCCACCCATCACTCGCCCTGGCCTGCACCTTCTGCAAACCCAATTGACCCAAGCGCGACGGCAGGGGCTGGTCTTCCTCAACTCTAAACACCTTGCCCGCCTTGTCCGAATTTTGACAGTCCAAGGTTGCGGTTACTGGTCGGCTGGATAGACGAACCTAACCTACAGTAACCTGACATCGCATACAGTACTTCTCGCCCTGTGCTGTACAGCTCGCATGCGAAGAATAAGCTCAAACTCTGCCTCCAGACCATAATCCTCCAGCCTCCAGCCATCAGCTTGCAACGTTATCGCAACGCTCGAGATTACCGACAGCATGTCGTACAGGTAGACAGGTGAGCTGGTCCACTTCCACTCTACACCCTCCCAAACATACCTGGGTCGGGGGTCAGATAGCTCGTCGAAAGCCTAGACTTTTCAGATGTGCATGTCTAATCGCCTCTTGCTCTTCCTGCGATGTGATAATAGCAGCCAAAGGAGTGAAATGAAGCTTATTGTGACAACGACAGATCATGACCGCCGAAGACGACAAGCCGGCGGAACCGCAAACTCCCCATCGTGTCTCTGCTGCCGCCAAACCAAAAACCCCCAATGCGACTCACAACAGAAAGGCCTCGGCACCCGGCGGCGGTGTCACTCCCAGGAGTGCCCCAGCCGCTGGAGCCAAAGGCCAGGCTGCGCGCCAGCGTGCTGCCACAATGAAACAGCAGCCTACTCTGCTTGGCGACTTCCTACTGGGTCGTCCGTCCGCTGCTCGGGTCGCCGCTGATAAAGAAAAGCGAAAGCAGCAAATGATGACGCTGGAACAGGTCAAGCAGGAGATGCGCGAGGCTGCCGTGCGCAGGGTGCAACAACCAGGAGGTGTTCACGACCGGGTCAAGAAGTGGCAACAGAAGAATGCGACAGCAATCGCCGGCTCAGATCCATTCGCAACTCCCAGCGAACCTAGTGAGGTCCACATACAAGTCGAGGAAGAAAGCGTGACGGAAGAGGACCGCGTGAGGATTAAGAAGGGTCTCAAGAAGAAAGCGCCAACCCCCGTCATCGTCGTGGAGCAGACTAAAGCCGCCGTCCAGTCCAAACCCAGTGCCGATATAGAAAAGGAAAACACAGAAGATGGCGAGCAGGCCATTCCGCCCAAGAAGCGGGTAGTCAGCGACACCAACTGGATGAAGAATAAGAGCAGAAGCCCACCAAGAAGCAAATCGCCAAAGTCCAAGGCCGCCGGCGGGTCGCCTTTGCCGAAGAATTTCTCCCCAAGGACAGCACCTAATCCTACCGTCAAGAACAAGATCAAGGACTGGGCGGCACGTGTGGAGATTCCGGACGAGCCAGAAATCAAGCGCTACAGCGTCCCAAGGTCAGTGGGAAGTGGCGACGGAATTCGAGTCAAAGCCATGCGAAGCGAAGGGGATGTTTCCATGGCAAGATCTAGTGCGAGATCAACGGCCAAATCCGAGAATATGGAGATTGTTGTGGAAACGAGCAAACCACGCAAGTCCACGCGGGTCGATGATGACGGCATTCGTATCAGGCCGTGCAAAAGAATCATAGACGACGATGGTATCAGAGTCACGCCTTCAAGATCAAGTTTACCAGACGACGGTATCAGAGTCACGCCTTCAAGATCAAGTTTACCAGACGACGGTATCAGAGTCACGCCTTCAAGATCAAGTTTACCAGACGACGGTATCAGAGTTACCCCTCTGAAGTCAAATTTGCCGGATGACGGTATTAGAGTGTACGCTGGAGATCGCAAATCTAGCGCCAGCACCATTCGAGCAACATCGCGGCATGGCTCGGCGAAGGCGAAGAGTGCGCGCAAGGAACCCTCGCCTTCAGAAAGGATTGAGGTATTCGAAGAGTCTGAATCCGACATGCCAAACACGCCTACGAGGCGAAGCAGCGGGAAGAAGTCCTCTAGACTATCCTCAAAATTGACACATACTACTGCGGACCGGAGCCACGCCGATACAGGAACCACAATGACAGGGGACACCGGCATTTACATGACAGAGAATGCGTCCGACAGCGAGTCTTGGACAAGCGGATCCGATGACGACTCGGCTGTTCCATCCAGCCTGCCCTCCAGGTTGGCTGAGATTCCTGTCGGATATTCAGCCTTCAGTGAGCTCAATCTTCCAACAAGGAAGAGCTCGAAACGGCCAAAGACGAAGAGAAACCCCAGCTTCAAAGGTGCTACTAACGTCTTGAAGAAGGCATTCGTTGAAAGCAAGAAGATACTCTCCGAGAGAGCTGAGCCGGCTTCTAAACCAGTTGTAAACCAACCACGAAGCATTGAGTCTTGGCTAAACAAGACAGTCGATCCGTTTGTAGAAGAGGCCACAGCCAGTGCGCCAACAACTGAGCCAGCGAAGAAGGCTATTGAAAAGGAATGGGCTCATGAAACCAAAACAAGACGGTCGGCGTCCATGTCCAAACCAAAACCTGCAGAAGTTCAGTCAGAAATCACCTCCAGCGAACTTACCGCGACGGATCTGACCGCGACGGAACTGACCGAAACTGAGTTAACCGGCACAGAATTAACCGGTACCGAATTGACTGGAACTGAATGGACTGGTACCGAACTGACCGGCACTGAATGGACCGATACCGAATTGGCCGGCACTGAAATGACCGGGACTGATCTGACCTCCTCATCAAGAGACACAGAAAGCACTCTTCTCAAGGATGACAACGTCAAGAAGCCTGCCACGCCCAAGAGTCATGACAAGGTGGAAGAAGTGGAGTCTAGCCCAGGTTTGGGTGGACTGAGGAGAAGTCGAGCTATTAGGACTGCCTCATCTCCTGTGAAGCCAGCTGCGAAGAAAGGGTTCAAGGAAAGGCTCAAAGACGCATTTCGTGGAGAGTCGAGCATGTTCTACACAGACTTTGCAAATGATGTGAAAAATGACGATCGCCAGTTCGAAGAAGATCCTCGGGATCGGCGGCGCTCAGCCGAGTCTATGGACTCAGCTTCCCTCTATAGTCAGGATGATGAATCCTCTTTGGCGCCTGAGCAGCCAAAGCAATCGCCTGGTTCTACATACCCCAGGCGTCGACCTCCTCCGACCAAGGGCCACCACGAGTTGTCAACGATTCTCTCTTTGGAATCGCTCGGTACCACGGACTCGGACGTCTCCTCTGTGTTATCCGATACAACCATAACCCAGACCACTGCTTTTACTGGAAGCACTGGTTCTGGATTATCTCGCCACAGGAGTAATAAGCCCGGCAAGCCCGGTTTGAAAAGGCGACTTACAAAACACTCCGATCTGGTCTCGGTCCTATCTCTACCAGATGACACCAACAACGTTGGCAGAAGCCGAAGCCTCAGATCGGCTCGCAGTGTTCGCAGGACATCAAACCATTTGAACTCTGCGACAGTAGACGCGCTCTTACAAGAGTTTGCGCAAGACGAAGATCTTTACCGAAGAGAATTAAAGACACTCGTTGATGGTGTCATCCCGGTTCTTCTTAATCAGTTTCTGCATGGGAGTGGCTCCGTGGTTTCGGAAGACCTCTACTCATCGCCAACGGCGAAAGGCAAAGAGGACAGCATGTCTCGATCTGTGGTGCAGATGGGTATTGCATTGGAGAAAATAAAAAATGCCCACAAGAAGTGCCCCTTATCCGATGCACATAGATTACCCCAGTGGCTGGAGTCCACACATACGATTTATGACAACTACCTCGATGTTTGGCGGTTGGGCTTCAACGATCTGATTGTCAATCTGGCTCCACTGGCCCTTGATGACAACGATTCTCTCATCAATGCTCTTCCCCGCAACGAGGAGGGTGATGTCGTCAACGAGGATGGAGAGCGTGTGGACGTTGCTCACTTGCTGAAAAGACCTCTTGTCCGAGTCAAGTGGATCACGAGGTTTATTAGAGTATGTTGAGCAGACTCGTCGCGGTGTACCAAGCTAATGTTCGTCCAGGGTTATCGCACTGTGACCGGTACAGACCAGTACCAAGATCTGGCAGCCACTTGGGAGAAGCTGCAAGATAAAGCGCGACGAAGGCACAAGGAAGAAGGCGCAAGAGTTATCGACGACGATGCGATCAACACTGATACCAGCCGTGTTCGAGACCTCAGGACCTTTGAGACGCTTGACAACGTCAAAATCGATCGGTTCCGACAAGTATACGCAAAAGATTTATTCTCCCTGGATCTTCGACATACCAATGGACAGCGGCTCGACTGTCAAGTTGAGCTAATATCACGAGACAACCAACTCTTCAAGTCGGATCCTGGCGATCTCTTGGTTCGTGAAACCGGCACTGCTGGGCGATCATGGTTGCTCTTCGCACCCATTATTGGCGGCCAATATTCCGCACGAAAAGGTGACCACAAAGGCGAATTGGTGGTTATGGTACGAGGCAAATATGACGAATGGTTCCAACTCCTCACACTAAATAGCGATAACGACGAGCAAGTGGAAGAATGGATTGACATACTCGGTATCAGTCCGGTTCCACCGGCCGTCTCCAAGGTAGAGCCTCGAGAGACCTCTTCATTGCCGGTTGTGCCCAAACCCACGATTGACGAAGCACCGTTGGGTGAACGAAAACGAAGACAAGATGCACCCGGTGTCCATTCACCTCAGAGGGTAGACTCAAATCCAGAAATCCACACAAGGACTCCACCAGCTCGATATCACCAACGAACCACGAGCGGGCCGACAACACCCGTGTCGCCCGTTTCAGCCCCTGCACGAGAGAAGACACCGACGCAGGATACATACACTCAACCTAGGTCGAGATACGCATCGGAAAGGCGCCCGCCAAGCCAAGACGAAGGGCGATCGCGTCCGTTGAAGGAGCATATGCGACCTGAACCGTTGATTTTCCTCGAGGAGGCCCCAACTACTTCGGCAGAACCAGAGGACCGCGATACACCTCCACCACCCCCCGCACATCGCAGCTTGCCTTCCAAGAAGTCGCCAACTCTCTCACCTCCCGTCGACTTGAAACAGGCAAGGATCAAGCGACGAGGCTCCTCTCCTCTGAAGCATGAATACCAACCATCTGAAGGTTCCAGTTCATCCTCCGAGTCCGACATCGATGATGATTCGACATCTGATTCCTCCGAGGACGAGTTGGAGGCTGCTGATATCCCCGATCCCATGCCCGCAATCAGTATCAAAAGATCGCACGAGGAAGCGCCCATGGGTTCTGCGATATCGGACAGCAGCATGAGCCTTACTCCATCAGCCTCAGCTTCGCAGGCCGGCATGCCAGATACTGCTGACCAGCGGCCAGCGTATGCCTTTAGATCGATCGCTTCCATCTCATACTGGGATAATAAGCGAGGCTGCTGGAAGGATCTGTGGGCCGATGTCTGTTCCATCGTCACCACACCTGGTCTGATCGAGGCATACCCTGCCACGAGTGCTAATGATGAAGACCGCCCGTTGATCGCGCTGGATCTTACGCCTTTGGTCATGCTTCGAAACAGTACCGTGCTGGACCTCGAAATAAGATCTCCTGTCCTCAGCTATGCGCGACTGTACTCCAAGGTTTCCAAGATGGAGACATGCGTCTTCCGCTTTCGCACGGCCAACATTGCCGAATGTGAGCAGCTGTACATGGCTGTTCACCGGGCGCGCATGGACAACGCCAAGTTCAAGGCTCTGGAGGAAGAAGCACGAATTCGCAATTTCGGCCAGCACCAGGCTCCGGAACAGGACGGCGACACGTCTTCACGTCGTCGTAGCTGGTTCGGTCGCAAGAACAGCTATCGTGCTTCCACTCGCGCCCCCTCGCAATCTGCCGGCAGCACCTCTCATGCCTCCAGTGTCTCGGCCTCGTCCTTATTGAGGCGGCTGATGGGAGGTGGTCAACAATTCGACATTGGTATGTCTTCTATCGACAGGCAATCACGGCCAGGCACCCGCGAGGGCTCCTTATACACCAGCTCGTCGTCGTCGGGTTACGGCACACCACGGTCACCCTCTGTGAGCGCAGCACAGTCGGGAAGCGCAGCTCAAATGAGCCTCACAACAAATAACCTCAAAATTCGACTCCATCTAATGGTCAGCGCAAGCAAGTGGTATGACCACGGCAACTGTCTTCTCGAAATCACGCGACCACCGGCCGGCACAAGACAGAACTTGCGAAAATATCAGGGCATGGAGAAGCGCATCATTGTGACGCGTATACCTAAGAAGTCGGCGGACAAGGATAAGACACCGATTGTGGTGCTAGATGTAGTCCTAGGATCGCGTTGCTTCTCGAGGTTGGGAAGCAGGGGAGTGTTGCTAAATGTGTGGGAGGAGACACTGGAAGAAAACGGAATGGTGTCGATAGGAGGTGTCAACGCAGGAAACGTGAGCAAGTGGTGTTTCGCGTGTGGAAGTGTGTCCGAGGCGAGCTGGATTTACGGCTTGGTCACGCAGGAAGTTGTAATTGGATGATGCGACGTGGAGACGGATGGGTGAGACGAAGGAAAAGGTTATTCGAATTCGACGTGGTGGTGGTGAGCTGCACATGCTTTGTGCGTGAGTTTGAGTTGAGCTGAGATACCCCCTTGTTGCGGAGTTTGGCGACGACGTCCCGACGCATACATTTATTTTCGTTCTTTCTTTATTTTTACCTTTTTTTTTTCTGGCACTTCCATTTTGTTTCATTTTCTTTTGTTCATAATGAGGCATGGGAAGCTGGTTACCAACGGCTATGAGGTCGGGGAAAGACAGCATATTTTGCATTTGGTCGGAGAGCTTGGCGTATGAGTGCTGGCATTTTCAGCGAGGGTATTCAGTTTTGGGCGCAGTACATTAAAGGACTGGCGAATAGTGGCTTTCTGTTTCGGGGGTTTATTTTTTTGACTGATGTCAATCGATATCCAGTTGTCAGGATAATACAGCCTACATAATATTTTGTGCATTTTGCCCGGGATGCCCAGGATACCCAGCTATAAATCTATGGTATCGCATCTATCATCTGTCTGCCACCGAGGGTGCACAGTCGTAGATTCACATTGCACTGAAGGGCTGAATCCGTCATTGAGGATATGCGTCTGGTCGTTTGCGGCCAAGTTACAGTAATGACAGAGAGATAGAGAGAGAGAGAGAGAGACTGCGCCGTTCTTTGTATGGCCCGTGCACGGCTCTCTCTGCTGGGGGGATTGGATTGGATTCAACTGAAAACGTTCGCAAAATGTTGTCGCGCCGACCGCGTTCCCTACCGTTTGCTTCTTTTCGCATTTTCGTCATTTTTTTGGAGCAGAGTTAGTTCCACAACTAGAGCTAACCGTAGCTCACATTAAGCTTGATCTCATCCCATCCCATCCCATCCCATCGCATCTCCATCTCCCCAGTCCCGTCTTCATCTGTGCGATCATTCCTTCATTTCCCAACTCAATCAACCCCAAAACCTTCCGCCCGCTTTCATTCTCATTTCTCAGCCCAGTGCAACATCCGCCCTAGACACCCACAACAAGCCAGACGACTCGTTCCATCATCCCGCATTCGCAATCGCATTCGCGTCAATCGTCGCGCGCAATCCCACCATGTCGACCGACTACTCCTCCCTCAAGGTCCCAGAGCTCAAGAAGCTGCTCCAGGAAAAGTCGCTTCCAGTCGCTGGTAACAAGGCAGACTTGATCGCCCGCCTGCAGGAGCATGACAATGCTCAAGCACCTGCCGCTGCCGAGCCAGGTTAGTTCAGATGACCTTTACTCCTCTGGCCTCACCCTTCTGTCATTATCCGTGCCCTTCCAGTCACCAAACACAGCTGCGAAAGCCAAAAGCTGACAACAAGAAGCTGCCAAGACAACCGCCGACGACGAGATCGATTGGGATGATGACGATCCAGCTACCACAACTGCACCAGCAGCCAAGCCCGCCGAGCCAGCCGCGCCTGCAGAGTCTGCTCCGGCACCAGCTGCAGAGGAGCCGAAGCCCTCCGCCCCGGCCGCAGCGGCCACAGGGCCCGCCGAGGATGCCCCTGCAGCAGAAGTGACGGCCGCGACGGAAGCTCAAGAGGCACAAGAACCAGCAGCCCCCAAGCCCGACTTCTCTGCTCACCTCGCCGAGTCTAACGCAGAGGTGGAGGCCCGCAAGCGCGCCGAGCGTGCCAAGCGCTTCGGCATCGTGGTGGACGAGAACGAAGAGGAGAAGAAGAAGACAGAGCGCGCCAAGAAGTTCGGCATCGAAAACGACGGCGCCCCTGCTGTCGTCAAGGGTCTCGACTCGGCTCTGCCCGAGCGCAGGGAGAGGAAGCGCGGCAGACAGGGCGGCGATGCAGGCGGCGAACAACAGCGTGATGCGAAGAGGCAGAGCACAAATGGTAGAAATGCAGGTGGCAGACCCGGTGGACGTGGTGGCCGAGATGGACGCGATGGACGCGATGGACGCGATGGACGTGATGGACGCGACGGCCGGGATAACCGTCGCCAAGGCGGCAGGAACGGTGGTGGTGCTGGTGGTAGAGGCGAGGGCAGACAAAATGGTGGTGGTGCGCAGAAGGCAAACATCTTGCAAGATCCGTCCGAGAAGGCCAAGGCAGAAGCTCGAGCAAAGCGATTCGGCGCTTAGGTGGCGGACAGAATCTACTAAGCTCCAAGTCGAGAAGCAACGAGCAGGAGACTGAGCACGAGTTTTGCTTGAATTGTATTAATATGGCGTCACTCTGGGTCAGGGCGGTATCATGATGACATTTTGGGGGAAAGGGTTTCCGCTAGCAATATGGACATGAATAAACCGGCTGAGATTGGATATATACTTCGGAGAAGTGAAGAATTGGTTGCGGCAGCACATCATACCAACGCTGCGCCGTGCAGTCGTCATCAGACCAGTCCTTGCCCGAAGGTGGTTCTACAACCTCGATTTCATAATACGTTCCTGATGACAACCAAAATATAATACAGCATAGGTGCTTAGGCTTTGGCGTTGCAACCGACGAAACATGTGGCGTGGCACATCCCAAGTATAGCTAGGTTGGTGGCGATATTTACTCCATCATACATTTGGACTGTTCTTTTTACTCTCTTTCCTAATGTTTTTCTGCAAGTGACACCAATATCTGTCGACCCAGGCCTTTCTCAAGCTGGCTAGACCGCAGCTTGTATTCCGAGCACAAATACCGGATCCCCTACCCCCTAAATCCAATAGTCAAGGAGCGATGTAGGAATGCCTGGAGTGCACTTATTCGCATGGGTGGCTTTAGAGAACTGTGCTAGGTACACCACTGGCTCGGGATTGGTTAGAGAACGCACAAAGATGATAGAGAAAAGAAGGAAAGGGCAACATTATAAAAGAAAGGGTGGGAAAATAAAAATGGAAGAATGGAGAAGACGGTATAAATCAGCCGGGATTCACATGTGCTTGGTACTGTGCCAGGTTTCAGACTTTCTACGACAGGCAAAAATCGTTACCACTACTAGCTCATGCACAAAAGGGACCTGTCGGGAAGTATCTTCTAACCCTTTAGAGCCAGATATATGTTGTTGATTTTGAGGTCTCCGTTCTACCCCAACGCCGTGTTCTTGTCCTGGCCATATATCTACACAACCGTGTCCTTCCTCCCCCTAGACTCTCTTCGCCCGATCCACTGTCCGACGGCTGCAAACCATTGTATTGAGGAGAGCATCGGCAACGGGACGGACTTTGTCGCATTGCAGCCGAAGGGCAATCCCCATGTGCAACAGACGATATAAAACGTACCGTCCACGCGGTGGACCATGACAACTAGACACGCACATCTCCCAGACCGTTGTGGTTAATCGGCTACGTGCTATCATGATACCTCGTACAAAGAAACTATGAATACCGCCCCAAAAGCCAGTAATGTGGTTTCAAAAAAGGGAAAAAAGGGAAAAAAGAAAAGAAAACGTCGGCAGAGATCTGACCAGGCCGTGAGTGGCAACCGGGCAAAACCCAGACCTATGCCCAGCCCACGACGGAGATGGCGATTACCTGCGTTCTAGCTACTCGGCTGACCGGCATCTCTACCACCGCATCCCCCGCCCGGCCGCCGCCTGTCTCCCGCGTTGTTTCCGCACCCGCGCCTGATGCCGCGTCTCTCCCTCCTGCCGGACCCTCCCGTGGCCCTCGTCGAAGAGGCGCAAGAGCCGGGTCTCCAGGCGCGAGATGAGCCGGGTGGTGGACAGTCTGATCCGACGCATCGCCCTGCGGGCCCGGCGGCGGTAGCGCGCCGATGCCGTGATGGCCTTTTGTCTGGCGGGCGAGGACTTCTCCCCAAGTCTGCGGAGGAGTCTCGCGCCTAGGGGGGTTTTCCGCGCTGCGACGAGCCGGTGGGGTGGGCAGGTTGATCGGATCATTACCGTGGGAAGGGGGGTTGCGGGAGCGTGTGAGGCACTGGGAGTATGATATGGTCGTCCTGGTGAGTTGCTTGGCTGCAGAGTCGCAGGGCGTGTGGGTTATAGATGGCTAGAGGACACAAGAACACATCCGTCTGGAAGGCTTGCCCAGAGATGTTGTCGTAGCAGAAGCACCCGGTGACCCAATGCACAAAAACAGGGCGAGCGAGTTTGGTGACCATTTTGATCAGATACTTATGGTTTTCGGTTTGAGTGATTCCTGGAGATCAAGACGGACAAAGACATGCAGTTGGTGGCTTGTTTCAAGACCTGCAATGAGATTCCGGCCACGAAGAATCGGCAGTCATTCTTATGAGCGAGCCGTGTGTTGATAGGCGCCACTGAGCCTTACCTTACCTTGTTCACTGACTTGTGCCATGGTGGGCTAAGTGGGAAGCTGGCATGGAAGTTTATAGAGGAGATCAGTTGCGAGTACGAAGAGCACGAGGGCTAGGATGGACTCCATCTACCAGACTTTGACTCAGGCTTGATTTTGATCACTGATAGAATCCTCTATTGAAGTTATCACTTCGACTATTGCGGAAACGAGCAATCGAGCAACACTGGATTTTCGACTGACTTGGTCAAGAGTACATTGATCTCTGAGGTTTTAGTTCAGCTGTGACGGAGATGTCCAGCTTGGGTTGACCAGATAGTGGTTTTCACGGGCAATACATCATGTCCTAGTTCCTGGCTGCGTTGAACATAAGCAAGGGACATCGACAAATGAAGGTAAACCATCTGAGCCAGAGATGGACTACAACACAACGAAAGCCTCATAAGCGCTCGTAAGCTGAATAGAAGCTAGACGACAACGCCTTTCTGATGTCATTGCGTCCTTTCACTTTTCCGTTCTGGGCTGCATTCAGCCTACAGCATGTGACTGGGGACAAACATCTACGAGAGAGTGCGGCATCGTAAAGGGGGGTTACCCGCTCTCCCGCCCCCCTTTCCCAGTGTTCTGGTAACACAAGAAACCAGCAGCATGGATGAGGGCAGTCGCTTTTAGAGCCGTCTGTCACTCCGCAACTATTCTCCCACGGCTCGTGGCAGTCGGGTCATCCGCGCAAGGTAGATCCCGGCCTTCCGGTGTGGACAGATTCCGAGTCCAGGTCAATCCTTGTCTCTACGGAGCACAGCTGTCATCGTTTCCCACGATTGATGGGCATCTGAACTAGCAGCAATCTTGTTTGAACGGTTCAGCTTGTATGGCCTTCGAGCGCGCAGATGATCAAGAACAATCAGGACATTACCATGGGACAGAATACCTGCGAATCAATCTCGACGCTCATTAATCGTTACGACTTGCCTTGCAAGTCGCATCAGTGACGCATGCTAGCTGTGCCATAGCTGTTAAGAGGCGAGCGACGGAAGGCTGTTCCGAGCAACTATTGGGGCTTCGGCAGCATCAGAAGTTGAAGTTATCGGAATTGAGTTCATTTTCCGGGTTAGTTGGGCAATGGCGCCTTCAGAAACAATCCGTTTACGTAGGCGCAAAAGGGGTGAGATCTCAGAAAGGCTTGCCATTTGCTGAATATAGAAGAGCTGGACGCTGGGCCCCGGGCTCCACTACGAGTCTTTGTTGGTGGACTTTTTCGCAGCTTGTGTGGAGCAGACATTTTGAGTGTACCTACATAGATGAAGCCCGGGTCCTGGGAATCACTAACCTAACCGTAGGTAATTAGAGCGTGGCGCCGCTCTCGGGGTCTAAAAGCGTAACTTACTAACTAACCTAGGGCTGCCTGCACGGCTCTTGCGCTTACATGGAAAATAAAGACCGTAGTTAGTAATACTGCAGAGACGTCATCAGTAGATCTAAAGATTCGAGACCAACAAGAAAAGATTCTTTTCGTAAGAGGTGCGAAAGTATTTTATGACAACACGTCGTTATGGACCTAGAGACGACCTTGCCCAGCTGGACACTAGTCTAGCTGAGGCCCAGGGCGGGCGCTGCCAGGGCGATCTGTAATGTAATGTATGTCTAAGACATGCATGCAGGAATCTGATTTTGGGCGAACATGAGTGGATTAGACGCGAGATCGCCTGCTGGTATCCGCCAACTACGAAACTTGACGGTTTTCTTGGGGGCCAAGCAAACGATTAGCCGCCCGGTAACATTCTCAAATTGTATTATTCCTGATTGATATTATGTCCGAGAGACTAGCAAGCGCGATTTTCTCGCATTCGCTGTGCTCGTATCTAGGTAGGCAGGTAGGCACCAGATGATATTCAGCATTGGCAAGTAAGGAGGGCAGGACAGCCATGGCAATCCTTCGTGCCGTCCTTGGGAAGGAAGACTGTGAAGGTAACGCGACGGTTGGTTGTTGCGTAGAACAAATAGGGTATTAGCATTTATGAGCCCGAAAGTACCCTTCACACCATCTCTTGATCACGTTACTTTGACACCATGAGGAAAAGAGGGTAACCATGATTTTTGTCGAAAGCGAGGTATCCAATCGTGTTGTCAAAACCCTTGCTCACCTGAATGTGGATCTTGCTCGCGGCGGAACATGGGGTTACGATTGGAGATCTATTGGGGACGACGGGTCAGAACCTTGTCTGGAATCAGGGTCTTGTCTTGGCGGATCTGGACGCTGATTGTCTCCATAGAATTCAAGGTGTCAACCTGACGACAACTCTTCCAAGTTGTGATAGTCCTCAGTCTTAGCAGTCATCTGGAGTACATCGTTGCATTTTCGCCTCTAGATTCCTTGTTCTGAATAGTCGATCGTGAGGCTTCCATCGTAACAACTCGCATGAGAGCCTGCCACGTCAGTAACAGGTCCTTGAAGGCTACGCCACAGACCCGCCTCGCTTGTCGGTGAGCGCGCTCAACAATTCCGCTCGGTCTGCAACGATCTCGCTGCATGGCAATGTGGCAGTGCAGGTTTATCGGGCACGGCTTCTTTCAGAACGGCGTTGCCACATCAGAAAGTCGAGGAAATGCGTCACAATGTGGACACCTTTTGAGGCCAACTGCTGCAGATGGTCCCGATAATCTGGCAAGCTATGCAGTAAGACCGTTGGCGACCCGCGCCCGAGGCTTGCCATGGCTCCATGCACTGTTCAGCTTCTTCTGCCTGCATGTGCCTCGATCGACGCTGCAGGAGCAGTTTTTCAAGTACATAGTGTCTTGACGTGTCGTAGAACAGTATGGACTAGGCATGATAGACACTGCGACAAGCACCAGGACTATTCGCAGCCACACGAATGAGTCTGGTGACCGGACTCCCAAAACGTGCCATGTTTCTGAGTGGGCATTTCGGGCTACCCAATCGGGCAATCGGGCCAGTTATGCACTTCAAATACCGTGCCGTTTCTAAAGAATTGGGTTGGACTTGTATTTTGAAGCAAATGGTCCCATCACGCGGTCTCCCTTAGCTGATGGGCCTTTCCGGCAGATACTCTTCTAGCGTGTGATTATCAGAAACAGTCTGGAAATCAAATCAATGCATGCTAGCTAACTACATGGTACAATGTATTCCCCGCCACGAATGATAACAAACATATGGGTGTCTAGGTGTTGTTTGTTATCTACGCTCGTCGTCACATCTTGCAGGAATAGTCATTCAACTGAGTAGCATTGAGAGGTTTGTGAACCAAGTGACCCGACCAACCCAACTCAGCAGTCAGCTTTCGTATGTTAGGGCGCTAGTATGAAAACAAATGCTCAGAATTGTCGCAAAAGATAGATATGTGCCTGTGCAAATGCAAATTTATGAGAAGTATTAAAAACAAATTGGTAATAATCACAGCAAAAGTATTGGCTCATATCTGATCTGGTGCTAGACGGGGATAATCAAACTCCAACTCTGCTGTTGTTTCGTCACCAAAATCGGTTTAGAGGAGGATCAATCTTGGGTCCCGATTGGCTATTAAATCATTCGCACTACCCAATCAGAAAATTGATGGAGCCCTTGTGAACTTGTCACCCCTGGAAATCATATTGTTGGGCCACTTGGGGAATAAGAGGTCACGGAGCGGAAACCTTTCATAACCTCGATCCTGCATGGGACCAATTGCCAACCGTGAATGTTGGTTGGGCCTGGTACGACAGAATGAACTCTTCCATCAGTGTTCTTTAAGCCTTCTGTGCTTTGACTTCACCGAAATGCGAATGGATCGTGACTCGCCACCACCCGAAGAGGTTTTGGAAGTACACACATTTGAAGTTTTAGTACTCTTACCCACGCAGGCCACGTACGTAGTTTGCTTGTCGAAGTAAGATAGCAGTTTGGGTGCTGAGTGATAAGCTTCTGATGAGCCCAAGGATTCGGTCTTACTTGAACGAAATAGAATAGTCCCCGCAGGAACTAAACACCACTATAAGAGCGAGCTTCATGGAGTGCTATCATGTGTAATAACAGCGACAAACTCTACGCAGGCTTCCAAGCGCTTACAATAACATTCGACTGGGTATACAAGATATGGTTCGCACTGCAGATCGACAGGGCGCAATAGCCAATTCTGGTAAATCAGGGCCGGACTAAAACTTGGCTAATCGGCAACGTGCGAGTGAGACATGCATTAGGCTGGTATACTGACATGATGGGCTCTTGGAGGCTAACTTACTACCGGCAGTTTACTGGTAGAGCGCGGATGTGGTTGCAGCTGTGAAGCGGAGACGCAACGAACAGTAGCTATTAATTTGGATATTACCATTTCTTAAAGCACTTGCATGTATACATGTAACGGATATCCTGATGTAACGATTTAAAGCAACTGCCACTCGGTGTTTTTGTAATTTGTGGAAGAGCAAGACAGGCCATTCATTATTTTGTTCTTTGTAGCTGTTTGGCTTTCCCACTTGACTGCTTACAGTAAGTTACAGTGCAGTACTTTCTCATGACAGCGAGGGCCAGGCCGCCCAAGCACCCCGCCGACCCGTTCGCTCCCGTATTGCGCTTCCCTGTCATTCTCCAAGTCTGCCATCGTACTGGTCAGTCGTGCTGTGCTTTACAGGCTGCCTCCTGGTTTAACGCCCTCTTACTTTTGCCTCCGGCCACACTCCTCCACCTTTTACGGCCTCTTTGGCAAACACCCGCCTTCAAACAAGCACAAGATGGCGACGCAGAATTGGAACAATTAAGCGGCGAGGAAAATTTTTCAGAACGTTTCCACAACTATTGACTCAAAATGCCTGCTTCTTAATAGTTGAACTATATCACCGGAAATCCTGATCGATCAACCAGGGTTTTCATGTTGTGTTGCCCACCACATGCTTCACAAAGATTTTCAGAGCATGAGTACGAGTGGTTTGTGGGAATCTCCATCCCTCCTCAGTGTTCTGAATAGAGAAAAGGCGACAGATCTTACAGGGGTTTATCGACGAATGGCATTACGGAACCGGCATCGCTGAGCTCTAATAGGGCGTCGGAATATGCAGCATCTCAGACATGTTTACGCGCATGGCAGTGCACTTACGTTGCAGCGTACATGACCAGGCAGCCCGATTGCCTACCTTGCATGTATCAATGGAGCAGTAGATCCAGTGGTTTGTCCTTCGTTGCTCGTTCCTGCTTCTCTGCTTCTCAGTGACTCCACTGGCAAAAGCTGCATGGTGGTGTTCCATGAATAGATAGATGGTGCTTTGCAACGGCTTGCACAGGCAACTTGGTACACACGACTTCCGATGCCTCTCCCCACTTTCGCGTGCTTCGGCTGGTGGTGCTGCAATTTAGCTCCAGTGACTCAGCGTTCCAAGTGGGTGCGACTTTGCTGATCTCCCAGAGGATCCCCGCAGAGCCCATCTTGCCTGTACAGGCCGCCACCAACCAGACCGCGTTTTCGGCGATTCCAGTCTCGAACCGGGACAGGTGACTTGTCGACATGATCCGACATGTCGCTTGTTGGCCATGAACATGGGTTTAGACGCCACAACGATTGAGAAGTATACCTGCAGTTCAAGTACCGCAGTCCTCGTACCCTGCTCATTCGCCGTCGGTACATTAAATACTGGCAAATATGCTGGGCAGTCTCACAAAACGCAATGTATCTCTTATATACTTTGCTGCCGGGCCTTTTCCAAGGTCATCCTACGACTTTCATTTTCCTATTGTTCCTTTGCTCTGTATGTCAAGTATTCTCTTTCGATTTCTTCTTGGATATTCCTTCCAGACTAGCCCCAACATCCTGTCAAGTCAATTCAGCTTAGGACATCCTCCCAGTCCTCTATCCATAAGAGCCCAAGGCTCGGTGGCGCTCCTGAAAGGTAGACGCTGTGCTAGAGGAGGGGGTTGATGACCACCACGCCAACGCTTGTTTAAACGCCCGTTTTCCACCATCAACATACCATCCACACCTTTGAATGCTAGCTGGATTCACGCTCATCACATACGACGTGAACTCCAAAGCTCCACTCCATCACAGTTGTATTAGTCTCCGCGGAACATTCCCCAAAAACCCTCTACCTACGATACCCTTGTCAGATCCCGTTGTCCAGAGCTTCTTCAACTTTTGCTTTAGCGAGATCTCTACGTTACATCTCCCTATATCAACCTTCCGGGCCGTTCGGGATTTCCAAATCTTCTTGAGCCTTAACCGACACATACAACACAGGGGGCCGGGTATCCCCAGATATCATTATTTACGTATATTTTTCCTCATGCAGATACTGGATACCCTACCAAATCAGCTGGTCTGTCAACGTCTTCAGAAAGTCAATCCACGGAGTGACCAAATTAATTTAATTTAACAGGAGGGATTTAATGATTTAATATTATGACTGGAACACGAGTTGGCCAACCTAGCAGTAAATATATATCATGTCGTCATTACGATCCCGGTCTCAGTCGAGAACCAGGAATGGGGATGGTTTTGCGACAAGAAGAATGGGTGGAGTTATGGAAACATCTCGGGAGGAGTTTCCACCAAGCCTAACAAATATTTCACGAAGAGAGGTAGACAACAATAGGCCTGTACCTCCCCAGAGCAGGGTACAGAGTCGAATTCCTCAGAACTATTCACTCAAGAAACCATTGACGTCTGCGTCGCGGCCACCTCTCACACACGAAACCAAGTCCTGGAGCTCGACAATTGCGATCCCTGGACGCCCGTTACCTATGGGAACTACAAAGGATCAGGAAAGAAGTGCCGGAGCACCAAAACCACGACCTGTTCTCCGACGCAAGAAATCTCTTGCCACACCGGAGGCAACTGGTATCCAGGAAAATTACAGGATTAGCTCAGGTAGGACGGGTTCGTCATCGTCTATACCACGGTCCCAAACCTCCCGGGATGCCTCAATCTCAGAGATGGATCGCAGCTTCACGGATAGTCCCATGGAAATCCAAGTCACACAAAAGTTTGAACTACCCAAGGCCATCACAAAAAGTACAACTATTTATCCTGAGCTGGATAGATACCGCAATATCCAAATACCTCGAGATGAGCCTTCGAGCGACTTGCTTTTCCGGCTGGCAACGCATGATCTACCACCGCCTACTCCCCTGTTCTCTGGTGCAAGCAGTCATAGCCAGCTGAGTACGTTTAGCGGCAGTCCATCGACCAGGTTTTCGGAGTCTCCCGGAGGAGGAGCTTACAGCCGCGACACTACACCAACATCAATGTCATCGGTGTCACCCGGTCTGATCATACCATTACGCAACTCAACAGCTCGAGCAAAACAAGTAACTCCTATTGAGACAAGACCACCAGTAACTCGACGGAGAACCGGGAGTATCTCGAAAGAAGGCGGCAATTTTATCGCCGAGCTTCAGGGTCTTTCTGCCGTTACGGAAGCGTTGACATCATCATCGTCCAGCTCAACAGTTCGTGAAGCAGCGAAGAAGGACAAGAAGAAAGCAGTTCTTCCACCCAATCCACCTCCAAGAAAATCCTCCCAAAAGCTCAAGAAGAATATCAAGGATGATGTTTCACCTTCCAAGTCTTCCAGAAAGCCGGCGCGGCCCATAATGACATCACCCTCTCCAGTGAGGTCTCCTCCAATGAAGTCCTCTGGTACGCAGAAACTTGTCACTTCACCTCAAGCTCGGCCGACGCCGCCTCCGTCTAGACCGAGCAGAGAGGGTACTCCAGATTTATACTCGCAATTTGGTGGTCCATTGCCTGTAATTCAGAGCAACCTGGTGTCAACGAATCTGTCTGAAAGACGGGGTAGTAACCAATTTGCACCTACTTCCTTGCCTAGATCTACAACTCCTTCATCGGTTCAGGATCGGCAAATTCAATCAAGACTTCCTGTTACTCGCGAACCTACACCTACACCAAAACCTACTTCCACGTCCCTCCCGCAAGTCAACAAAACAGAAAATGGTAGATCGACCCGGACGCCTAGTCCAAGCATTTCGACTTTTAAGTCAAGGTTTGGCATTTTCAGCAGGCGCAAAACCGACTCGGATGCAGTTGTGGAAAAGAAAGATCGATCAACGAGAAAAGGTCCAGCGGCCGGGACAGGTCATGAAGGCTACGGGAAAATCGGCGCAGTGCGACGGCGAAGCAGTAGCACAGCCAACGTTACTCGTGGCGTGCCAATGCCGAGCTCTTCATCGGATAGTCTGGCGAGCACTCAGTCAACAGACCCTTTCTTCCTCGCACGCCTCAATCCTGTGGTGATCGCGGGGGGTGAAGTCATCGAGAACCGAAATACTAGCACTGAAATAAGCCGCACGGAGAGCAACCAAAGTCTTCTACGTACTCGTCCCAGCATCGATTCGCGCAATGGCTCCTCAGTTTCGCTTGCCTCCCGGGAGGAGGCCAGGAACACCCTGTGGCCCTCGGCAATCCCGCGTGACTCCTTGCGATCTCGCCGGCCATCTGATAATAGCGATTCTGAGGCCGTCATCATGAAATCAACCCTTGCTTATAGACGATCTGTTCAGCGGTTACGGACCTCACCGGATCAGAAGCCCTTGAGCATACCACAGCCAATCAATACCAGAAGCACCTCCTCGCCATCTCTTGCAAGCGTTGATACGATCTTCACAGATGATTCTGTTGCGGTATCAGATTTTCAACCACCTCAAGTAGAAGTTGCCACAGCACCAAAGAAGTTGACAAAACGCGCCAAGTCGCCTCGCAAGTGGAATATCTTTGGTAGAACTCAACCTAAAGTAGCGAAGAGAGAGGCAGAAGTACCAGTGGCCGCTCCAGTTAAGATAGCGACGAGCAAGCCTGTTGCATTCTATACGATGATGGATGCGTCGGATCCCGATGATTCTGAAGAAAAGGAATTGGGTGAGATCCTGCGAGACGCAGAAGTTTTGGTCCCCCCAGGTCTACTACCGCCGCCTATTGTTCGATTGGATCATCAGCGGCAGCCATCAATTGGCAGTCAGCGCAGTGTAGATCAGACTACTCTTGAGATCAAAGCTACGCCGACGCAGACTCAAACGCCTTCAGTAATGACTGAGCCGCCAATTGCACCGCATATTGAACAATTGAAGCCAGAGAAGGAGCATGTCCCGGTAAGCACGGCCATTGGCAAGCCAAGTCGACTGCCACAAGTTGGACGAATCCCGAAGGTGATCAACACCCGTCCCGAGGGAACATCCCCCAAAAGTTTTTCTAGGCCGTTCAACAGGATTAGTTTGCAACTTCCTGCTTTACCTATTCCGGCTCCGGTGGGTTGCTATTCTGTTGCTCACGGGCCAAGTCCACCTGCGACTTCCACTCCAGAGCTTTCGCAAGATGCTTCGACTGTAACAACAGGTGCCAACAGCCCTCCTAGAGCAATTAAACACCGACAGAGCCGCTCGCTTGACCTGGGACGACCAGGTAAAGAGTTCCTGGCGTTTTCTCCCCGCAAAGGCTCCGAGTGCACTACCAGTTCAGGCTCAAGCAGTTCAGGTATTACAAGCTATGCCCATCATACAGCAGTTGTTCCACCTCCTACAGCACCACTTGCCGAGGATGAGGTATGGGACGAATACAATGACCTGCTTGGTGATGTGCCTCCTTCAGCTACTTCTTCAAAGGGTATACCTTTTCATCTCGAGACCTATGGATCGAGACTTACCAGGAAGGTTGTCGCGCCTCTGGAGTCTCCCACAGTTCGTACACACCCAGTCAAGGAACAGATAAACAACGTTCGAGATTCAATCAATACAGGGAAGTCTACGTCAAGTCACTTTAGCGCTGATATGACCGCGAGGATTAATGCTGCCTTCCGATTTGACTCTGATCCCCCCACCACACCTTTTTCGGTCTCAGAATTTGTGTCGGGTTACGGCGACCGGAATAACAGCGTCGAGCCCGTTATGGTTCCAGTCTCGTCCCAACGAAACAGTACTGGCTCGGCAAAGAGTCGACAGACTAGAGCATCCAATAGCAGTAGTGCAAGTGAGGAGACTCCTCTGTCACAAGTAAACATTCGGGTTGGTTCCATGACGGTCAGCAAATGGCTTACATTTGGCCATGTTCTGTTCAGCCCCGCCCGCGATGAGCTCATTCCAGTTGTCGGGTCACTTAAGCGACACTCGATCTTGGTCATTGACGGGCTCGGCAATGATGACTGGTCATTTTATGCTGCGGAGACCTACCCAGCGGCAACCTTCTTCAATATGTCTCCACGCGCCCCCTTGTCTCCGGAATATCGAACATCTACGCAGTTCCCACTATCACCCCCAAACCACCATCAGATACAATACACTTCTCATATGGACAAATTCCCGTTCGGAGCCGAAAGCTTTACTACGGTTGTTTTCAGGTTCCCTGCAGCAGCCCCGGAGGCTCATTTTCGGAATATTATCGCTGAGGCTAGACGTGTACTAAAACCTGGTGGCTATATGGAGCTCGCGATCCTCGATGTCGACCTGAATAACATGGGTAGCCGTGCAAGACGGGGCGTACGACGACTGAAGGAACGTGTTAGCATGCAGCAACCTGAAATCAATCTTAGCAGTACAGCTGATCTCATGTTGCGCCTCCTCGGCAATCAAGGCTTCACGGACGTCAAGTCTTGCCGCGTCGGTGTACCCGTGGCAAGTGCAATTACCAATTCATCCTCTGAGGAAGGTCACAATATAAAGAGAATGAAAGACGAACGCAGCTTGGCAGAGATGATGAGCGACGAGACAGAGAAGGGTGATGAGAATATCACCAAGATGGTCGCTAAAGTCGGTCGTTGGTGGTACAACCGGCTCTACGAGGCGCCTACCGACAGCAAAACTTCCATGTGGAATGATCGTGCTCTTTTAGCCGAGTGCGAGGAGTGGAAGACCAGTCTGAAGCTGATGGTCTGCCATGCCAAGGTTCCGGAGACAAGGAGTCGCCTTGCTAGTATTTAGTCTTGAATTCTTCAAGACTCTGGCAATACTTGAAAGCGACTGAACTGGTTTCAAAACTTTACAAGGCTGTGAAGACGCTCTGTAGAGAGACTACACGAGGGATCCTGGCTTTCATAAAATTTCCAATTCACCAGCATGGCATAGCGGCATATTTCACTTACGGTATCCAGCATATAACATCAAGACACAAGACGGCGCAAGCCACCGACAAGATATTGGCTTCAAAAGTGGCACTTTGCTTCGTCTGTGACGAGGCTAGTGCTGTTAATTCTTCGCAAGATAATTCAGGACCTCGCGGTCGATTGCACATATTCTCAGGATGCTGGGAAATACATTACGGCTCTTGCTACCTGCTCTACCGGTGGCCCTTGAGTGGCCTCCAGAGCAGAGTATGGACTTTTCTTTTCACATGCCATACAAAATTTTACACTAGCGCTTGACGCTCACTTATTAATATGATTATTGGATTACGCTCCGGGTTGCGCCTCCACGGTTGACGATCTCCAGAAGGGAAGGTCAACCATAGGAAAATAGGATTTGGGAGGTCGGGGGCTCAACCGTGGATGTAACGGGCACTCGGCAATGACAGGTTCTTGCACATTCACCTCACTCGCTCTGGTAGTGTTCTGGAAATGGTTTGATACGCGAGTGAAATAGGTGCGGTGGGTCAAGATTGGAAGAAATGGGACGATCATGCCTTCATGACTCTATAATGACGGCACGATCGATATGGCTCTCGCGTACTAACAGCCGTAAGGGTTCTCATACATGGAATTGTTCATTTGGATAGCGAGCGCCTCGACGCTTTAAGATACCCCTGTCTTTTCTGCAAACTCAATACAAATACTTGAATCACATTCTCTGACAGCCACGATTGCCACTTGACTGACATGTGACCATTTTGCAGGGGCGTATTTCAAATTATGTATTTGTCCAAGGATCCAGAGCGGCATGTCTGGGGGAAGATCAAGTTGATGGCACAGGCCAGCAAAGACGCTGATGCCCTGGCCATCGACATGGGAATCACTATATCACTATAAACGAATAGGCTGTCAGGTCTTAATGCTGTAAAAGAGCTGGAGTGCGCCGTTGAGGCCGGTATGAGCAACCTGGGAGTAATCAGGGCTACTACTACCAATGAGCCACTTAGCGTGGAATCCAAGGCTGTCAAAAATGTGACAATTGAAAGCTAGTTGGAGACGGATGTTATCGGGCTACAAATGAATCGTATCGATGATATCAAAGTGGCACAGCACCTCTGAAATGTAAAGTGGGCATGGACAGCAGGCAAGGCTTTCAGGGATCGGGGATGGCCCATGGGGAGAATAACCCTTGGGTACCGGATTTGACCATAGAGTGTATAACTAAAAGAGTGTTTCTGGACAATGTCGAAATGTGGATGATGGAGTGATACACGTTCCAGGATCCCAAGTCACTGGCTCATGCGTAAAATGACAACCAGTGCGTGAATTATGCCCCACGGGACACATTAGGGAAGGAATCACAAACAGCTCTCGTCAAGTTCCAATGTGCCATGGTATGATGGCGCGCATGATTCTCTTTATTATCAATGAAGAGCACATCTGGTTTTCGAGGTCCCATAAATCATGGTTTAGTGCAACGCCGTACACAACAGAGCATAAATTGCAGTTCAATTATAAAGAATAGTGTACAGTGTGAGATAATTTCAGCACATCTTCATTTTACTGCAACACTTCGAGCCGAGATAGGATTTCAATGTGGTTTTATTCTTTTCGGTGCTTATGTCGTTCATTTATACTGACCATGGTGTGATCTGCCGACCATGGTAATGCAACGTAGTCGGCTCATATGTACAATCTCGACTGGGAATATCCAGCAGTTGCCAGTCTATTTGCCAAAGATTTGGCGGGTATTATCGCGGGTATGCGTTGTCTAAATTATTTACTGTTCATTCCGGTCCGTGGGCATTCCGAAATCGTTTCTCAACGCCAACGTTATGCCGTGCTCGGATTGTTGTGCTATCCAATGTAATAAGTGCTGATATATCTGTGACGTGTAATTTACGAAACATGCATTTTGTAGAGAAAGGTGAATCTATGCCACCGTTCGTCGTTTAAATAGGATCTCAGCTTTTGAGTTGGCAATCTTACTCATCATGAACATCGTTGGCTCTGGCCGTCCCTTGCCGTCTTCGAGCTTGATATCGTAGTTGAGCACGAGATGCGATAGAATGACCTTGATCTCGTTGCCAGCGAAGAAGCGACCGGGACAAGCGTGTTTCCCGAGACCAAAATTAATATTGTGGTTGTCAATGCTGGTGAATTGCCACCTGTTTGCAGCTTCATCGGACTGCTGTCGCATTTTCCAGAAACGCAGACCATCGAAGACGTCGGGTGCAGGGAAGTATCGTTCATCATGGCTAAAGCCAATTTGAGGAGCCAGCAGGTTGGTTCCTGAGGGCAGGTGAGTGCCGTCTGATAAATCTATGGGCTTGACGACTTTGCGGATGAAAGAGGCTGATCGATCGTTAGTTCATCAGTCTCGGTGAGTAGCTTGTCATGTCTACTTACTGACGTTTCCGGCAAGGCGTTGCGACTCCTTGATAAAACTGTCCATTTTCTTTAGCTTCGCCATGCTCTCCTTTCGCGTCCAGCCATCACCATCTTCGAGAATGTCGTGTGCCTCTTTTCGCAATACTTCTTGGTGTTCTGGATATGTTGCCAGGTCGTAGATACAGTCCGTCGCCAGGTTACTTGTTGTGTGGATTGCCGCAGCGCATAAGATTAGGTGTAGTTTTGCCTGCATGCAATAATCCCTCTTTTGCTCCTCCGGCAGGGCATCCAATAACCACTGTACAAAGTCGTCTGGTCTTTCGCCACTCGGATCCAACTCCTCATCTTGTAGTCTCTCATCAATTATCGGCTTTAACAGCTCTGTTGCTTTGGCGACATCCCGGTCGATCTGTTTTAGCTCCGATACCAAGTACTTCGCTATAGGTCGGATCCAAGTCGGGAAAAATTGTAGTTTGATCACAACCATGAATGCTCTTACAGCGTAGTTGATGCTGAGATCCATCCACTCCTCGGTGCGTCCAAGCTCTGCTCCAACAAAGACACTACCACTTAACCTCGATACAGCTCGGAGGATGAACGGTTGAATAGTCATGGGCGTCCAGTCTTTGCATTCCTCAAACTCAGTTCTTTCGATATATTCGAGTTCTGATTTGAGTCTTGGTACCAATCGCCCCAGTTGTTGCGTCAACTTGCCCTTCAAAAGCAAGTGCATCGTGTCTGCGTGGTTGCCGAAGGTGAACTTGGTATACTCGACTAACATAGCCTCGCTAATCGCTACCGAGGCACTGAGTACTTCTTCAGGTAAGCCTTTCAGCTCGCCTACCAGATTTGCCGGTATCAGAGTCCTGACGCCCTCAGTTGCTTTTATCTGATATACTTGATCCCTAAACTTGTTGTAGCTGTCGCGAACGAGAGAGTCGGCACTAAACATCCACTTCATCCTCGAGGCCTTGTAGAACGGTGCCGAAACGCCATTGGATTTGTCGGGTTGGAAAAACCAAACCAAGAATAATGTTGTCGCAATTATGAGATAGTAACTGAGGTTGTTGCCAATTGCTACACTCGGCGTTTGTACTCCGACATTTGATGTCATGTTGGATGCTAATTGTAGCGACTCCATTGTTGCCGGCCCCCAATGAAGGGAAGGGAATATCCAGAAGGGAGGTCAGAGAGAAGGGTATCGTGTCCACTACCAAGCTCAACTTGCGGTTTATCATGAAAGAGACCAGGTGAGGGTAATCGTAGTGTTTTGTGGGTGCTAGGCTGCTCAAGTCCGCACAGAATAGGCGGTAGGTCGATGGTGGGCACAGTCGGCATGTATGGTCATAGACAGGCTGACGGTGAAATCAATAGTACCAGCCTTAAGCAAATTGGCCAGCCAAGGACAAGAAGCTTGATGAGTGGAGATGGGATCAGCTCTAGGAAGTCGAACGGCCAACCAACACCATATCCAAATGTGGCCCGCACGGAAGACTAGGCTTCCGAATCTGGGAATGTCAAAAATATAGTAGCCAGCTAGATTGACCGATACAAACGATCAAGGCGGGAAAGGAGAGGAGGTAAAGGAGAAAGATCTCGGAATCAAGTGGGAAAACATGCTGCAGATGAATATGTGCATTTTGCGTCAAACACTGATTTGCATCGCAGAGCGCAGATGGATACTCCGTCGCGTCGGATACGCTGAAGGGATTCTGCTACTGATTTGCAAAGCTCTTTTCGCTTTTCTGACAGTTGCGAAGGTCTGAAACATGGCCGGTGGGTGAGGCCGTGCTAAGGAGTCAGGAGTCGGGAGCTGTCACCTCCGGACCCTCGTCTCGCGGCTCTCAGCGCGTCACATTCTCCCCATCCCCCAAACGGCCAAACCGCTTGGGTTTTAGTGGCTTTCTAGCGACGGCAATCTGAATTCCCTTAGATAGTCGTTCTTTTAGTAGCCAACCATGCCTTGCGTAATCCCATATTGGGAAATTTGGGCGCCTCTCTTTGGGCGGAAGTGGCTATTGCCGATGTCAAAAAACGGAAGAGACCGCTAACTCAACCTTAGTCTACACTAGACTACACTAGACTAACCTACAAAGTGTGCGCGAATCGCCCGAGAACGTTGTTGATCTTATCCATAGATGCTCCATTTCGTAAGCGTTGGCGTCCAGCTGTCAATATCGAATCCTGTCGCTACAGATTACCGCTTTTTGTCTTACCCTTGTTTCGTTTGATTTCTGAGGGTCACAAGCGAAAGGTTCCGAAAGTTGTCCTGAATCTCTTGGCCTTGTCTCTGATCATGGGGGCCCAAGTGCCGATCCTCCAGGACGATCCACTATTCACTCCGTCCGGAAGCTTGATCTACATGATGTGCCTTGCATTTGTATGCATCAGATTCGTCCGTACAATTACAACCTCTGGGACAGATCCATATCTCCGTTGAGCACGTTTCGGTCGCTCACAACTGACCTGGATAAGCATTGCGCCAAGCCTTATATATAGTTAAGCGAGTCGCATGGGGCTGGCCGGGAAGGACTTGGCGAGGCTATTCTTGCCATTTGCAACAAGACCTCCGAGGCTTTTACTTGACTTTCTGTATACACGTTCTAGCGCGTCGCCACCGGGGTTTCTGTGAAACTGGTATTTGCTTCAATTTCATCTCGACTTTTCGTTTCGTTGGTAACAGAACACAGTATTCGCAACCCGTCATTCAAGATTGTCTTTGACAAAGAAGCGATCCCAGACTCTATGTCCTAGTGACTGCCATTCTATATGCCCTCTTCTTTTTTTGTTGCTCAGCTTTGGTATCGAGTAGCGTATCAGATCATGTAGATGGCCTCACGTTGTGATTACATTTGCTCAAGCCGACCCAAAACGATGGTTCTTGCTTGCGATCTTCATAGCTCGAACAGAAACATGCTCGACAATATGTATGAGATGCCCGTGAAGATTTGAGGGTTAAAGATAACTTTGCACACCGAGGCTAGGTCGTCTCAACTCTAATGCTATCTATCACCTCGGGCAACTGCAAAGTTGTATCAGCCTGGTATATGGTATCAGCCTAGGATAGGCTAGCCTACTACTACTGGGCAGTACTATAGAAAGCTAAATGATGTCAAGGAGGGCTGGGAGCTCCTTGAGTCCCACAACTTCTGCTATCAAGGGACCAATCACCTACGGGAGCACCCATTAGTGTTGACCAAAGAGATCTGTTCACGAATCAAAGAGACCATAGAATAGAGCTCTAGGATGCCACGATTCCGTACAGACTGCGGCACAATACGGCCAATGGACTCGACCAGGATCGTGACTCAGCCTCTCCAGCGCGACGATCTGCAGCTTGTCGAGCTTGTCGGCGAATTCTATGCGGCAAACGATTTAAACAAACACTTCTGTCGCAGGCATCTGAAACTGAGCAAAGGTTACGATAATCCAGGATGCCAGGTTGTAAGTTGACCTTAGATCACTGATTGCACTTGCAGAATCACGCCAAGCGAGTCCGTGAAACACTACCTTAGTTGTCACGGCATCTTCATCTTAGGCACTGCATAGAGCTCCTAGGCTATCTTTCACTATCTCATGAACAAATATTTCTTGAGACTAAGACCTTGGTCCAGATATTTTATCATGACCCCAGTGGGCATTTTCGGAGTTTACTGCATCGAAATAGGTGAAGCACAAAAATGTTCCTCCAGTGAAAATACTTCATCGTGATGTCAACAGTGACCTTTGCGAGCGTGGCGCAGATAAGAGTAGCGTACTTGTCCAATCTCGTGCTTGGAACCAAGCTAACCAAGTGCCATCGACCTTAGTCTATGCGCGCACATCTGGTGGGCACACCGTTTCAACATGATCGAAATATTATTGATGTCTGCCGATCGTCGCGTCTTCGAATTCAGAAAGATATGGCAACAGACGATTTCTACAACCATGTAGATGTGAAGCAAATCTGCCTCGGCTGGACGGGGTGGCACAAATCGATACAGCGAAAGGCAAAGGTGAGCATTACCAGCGTCCTCTGTTCATTACGTCTCTTTTCATGGCTGATGTCAGGAGCAACTCCTGAAGCAATTCAAAAGAGACCATCGTCCGTACACACGCTGGCAGTCACCAAGGCGTTTACGGGAGAATACTGTTCAACTGAGCAATGCCAGCTTGAGCTCAAGTTATGTCTCATCCTCGCATTGCGATGTCAGGCTGCCCTTCGGGCGATTTTGCTTCTATTAGAGCAAGGTCGTATATGAATATGAGTGCCTGGTCCTTCGCAAAGTCTCAACTCTTAAGCACTCTCTTATCCAATAGTACTCTCCCAGCGAAACTAAAGGCCCCTTATAAGATACAAGACACGAGAGACTTCAGCCAATGTAGAGAATCATACCCCGTACGGTTTTTCATTCAACGGACCACGCTAGTACTACACGGTACAGCCGATACAAGCGCTATAGTGCGACGAGTACTTCTGTTACCAAGTAACGGATTCGCAAGAAACCCGAAAGGAAGAAGTATATCATGTATCTATCTAACATCATTGTTCTGGCTAAGCGCAACGAAACGTGACATATTTCCGGTACAGCTATTTCATGAACAATCTGGTAGAAAGCCTGTGGTGCCACGGCAGGGCTACTCCAGACGACCTCAAATGAGTAGGACATATTATAAGCTAAAGGACAAAATGCGACAGACTACGAATCCGCGTTGTCAAACCATAAATAAAACTACAAAATCGTTGCTCTCGTCAACCTGGCTCGATGCAGCTTCTTACGAGGGAAGGGGCCTCACCATCTTTACACCACAGTCCATGACTAGATCGCCGGGGTGAAAGGAAACAGGGATTGGAGTACTGTCAATGAAGGAGCTTTGACTTCGCCCTCGGAGAACGACAATCATCGATGTCAGAGCTTTCGTGGCGAATTCGAAGTGACCATCGGTGATGCATCTTCTGCCTCTAGACCAGGACAGCATCTAGTTGTATTGGTGCCCTAGAAAATGTCTGAAGGATCGACAAGTTGAGTGGTAGATGGACGCGACGCTGAATCACATGGTGTCTTGCCAAGTGGCATGGCTTTGGGGACAAGTATAACTCATGGGAAAGACAGAAAGATGTGAGGGAGGGCTTTGTGTTAGAGTTTGAGGTAAAATATGAAGGGAACGACTTCACAATTGAGTGACTGCTTAGTATCCGGATTCACCTGGCAAGATCCAGTATCTCGAGGAGTGGAAGGGATTAAGCGATGACAATAAGTGGATACATGAGGCTGACACCAGCCAACGACAGATCGCGGAGTCGGAGACAAGCCGTCCTAACCTCATCTACATCAGTCCTTCTTAATCTGAACAATGATCTTTGAAATTTTCATAAGGAGCCTCTATGTTTTGCGCGTTCAGGTTGATCTCGCAGAGACCAAGATGGGTTTTGCATGCTACATTGACCAGGTTCCACTCGATATCGGCAGCGAGGACATCAAGTACTGTTCAACAAACATGCTATCCAACATTTTGCTGATAGTCAAGGTTGTATCAAGAGGTAGTGGTTTTTGCTCTTCAACAAGCACAGACTTAATTCATTTTGCCCTGAAGTCTAACTGTCAGTAGCTATAAAGAACTCATGCTATCACAGTCGCCGACGAACGTTTATCAAGTCTGCTCTATACCACGTAGCAGTAGATGATGGCCTCCAGGATCTGGAAATTGTGATGTTTCAATACCTACTTCAGAGCTTTCCGCAGCCTCCTTGTGATAGCTATTCAATCACCGACGACATTTCCATGCTGTGCACTGGGCAGTTGTCACGGATTGATTCTGGTAGACAGAACTATTGGTGGCAGATCGCTTACGGTGAGCCAGAGATGATTTGTGTAAGGACGCGGCGTAATGTGTTCGACCGAACACTGGTCAGCCATGTGCTTGAGAAAGTATTGCAGCCTCTGCAACGGAGCAAATACTGCAGAACAACCATATATAAAGGCGCAAGGGTCATCTTGTGGCCAAGACACCAGCAAACCGGGAACAAACTTCGGAGAACTTCATAACGCTTCCGATAGCATGAGTATCTGGACACGTTAATCTAGGTTGATTCCTACTGAGCCGTCGTTAATTGTTTGGGTTGACCGATACACCGTGTGGTGAACAGCTTAATCCAGATGTTCCCAGCTGTTCGCAGGGAATGACGCAGACCATACTCTATCCTTTGACGACGAGTAGCTTCAAATAGTTGATGATCTTGCGTTCCTTTTCCAGTATGAAGAGGGCCTGGAGACGGTATCTGCTGTCACAATCTTTGAAGACGAGGGTGATTTAATCATCTCGATTGTTAGCAATCATACACCTTCTCAAACCATCCCCGAAAGGGTTCGCAACATCCTGTCATCAAACAGTCAATTTTCTCTCAATATTACGACAAACCTTTCCTACAAAATTCTAATAGCCTGAGCTCAAGGGTTGGTTGTGTTTTAAGCCCGAGTGAGATCCGGTGGAGAGATACTGATAACTTCATACTTCACAACAGAAGCGATTCACTGCCATTTTATATGTTATTGAGTTAATCCGAACAATGTACTTTACATGGCCATTGGAATACCCTGCTACCTCGTAGCCCTCCTTCATAAGGTCTCTGGCTTGTCAACGCCGACCGAAAACAAAACATGAACTTGTCCTTGCTGACAGCTAATAGCAGCGCTAGACGCAGGTGTTCAATCATTCAATTGAGAACTAAGTAAACTCTTCATGTTGATATAGTCGCGTCTCCATCACTTGCAGCCGAAGCGAGGTCAATTGGCAGATCAGAGCAACTCACGTCGGCTTATTGCGCTTTTCCTGGCTGACTTTGGCGGCTGCCCGCATCATAGCATAATGATTGTCCTTTTTCTGCTCTTCCTTCTCCTTCTTCTGTCTCTACTTCTCTTTTTTGCGCTTGTCCTGACTATTCTTACCAGTGCGATCCGTGATGTCTTCGTAATCGAGCTCCCGCTCGAGACTGTCCTCTCTGCGGCTGGAAGACATGCTAGTGTAGTTTTTGTGCCTGATTTAAAATTAGCGAAATAGAAGCCCTCTTATGTTGGAAACGTACGTATTTCTATAAAAAGCTTGAAGGGGTAATTTAGGGGTCACTTTCTAAATGGCGGATACTAGCAAGCTATGGCGTGTAATGAATCGATTTGGAGCTGCAAGGTCTGGGTCTAGAGTTGTGGGCTATAGTCGATGGTCTATTGAATTTTCAGTATCACTACTCGCGAGCATTCATTGACTTTATACTTTCATGTTATGGCTCGTTGGGACGAATCTGTTGGCCGGTTGAGCGCACCGCCAACCTGTCTCGAGGCTGTGGCCTCTGAGCGCCAGCCCATCTTTGTTGGTAACAGAAAGGAATTCATATCCTTGTAAATCGCGATAGTTATGCCCTCCAACGGCATGATCGTTTTTAAACGTCTTAAAGGCGCCAAACAAAGCCACCCCTTGCCGACAGATCTGGTCGTTCGCTTCGTGACGACCGGCCTAGTTGTTCGTTGTTCGTCACAATCTGTGACCTAACCTCGGTGGTAGCCTCAGGCGGATTTGGGAGCAATGCGGATTCGTACAGGCCTTGTTGTTGAAACCCCCTAAGCATTGTATTTACAATTAGGCCCCTCAAAAGCAAAAAAAAAAAAAAAAAAAAGCCTAATTGCAATAGCACGAAGCCGGCAATTGGCGACAAGGTATGGACTAGTCTAGCGCTTTATGACTGGCGAAATGTATAATTAACCATTAGCAACTAGTGCTTCCCGATAATTCATAATTGACAATTAGCAATAAATGTATATTGAGAGTTGGCCATCACTCACAATGATAGTATGTGATCAAGGATAGTTTGCAGCTGGCGATGGAGTGCAGTTGGCGATGGAGTGCAGTTGGCGATCGAGTGCGGTTGGGTGCGATGAGGATAACCTAATATGATTAGTCCCTTTTACTTGTTCCAATCGAAATCCAGCACTTTAAGATGCCCTAGTGTATGCCTAGAAAAACTACTACAGTATTTCTTAAAATGGGGGTTTCAACATCAATGCTTAGAAGCTAACGCCAGTACTGTAGTAGTAAACTTGTGGCCCCGCTTAATTAGCCAACACGTTTCGACTCCGCCGTGGAGCAGTCTAACCTTACCCCATTTCTCTCATCCGGAGGCTCGATGCCTCTATTCTATTTAAAATCAAGCACATCTCGCCTGACGACCCAATCTCGAGTATAAGGCTATCACTAAATATCATTCTGCCAACCGTTTCTTTCCCGTTGAACCAAATCTTTACACTCGACCACTGTACATCATCCCCTCGAATGATCCGCTCTAATCATCTCTTTACTTTCCTCTTGACATCACCACATCCAAGATGGCAGCTCGCCAGGACTCTGACAACCTTGCCTGGGACCGAAGTGATGAGCTCTGGGAGGAGAAGCGGAACCAAATCCGTTTAAAATCTACGACTCACAAAATTGTAGCTTTGGCTGAGAGAATGTTCGGAGGGCCTGTGGTCTTTGTTCCACCAATACTAGTTGGCGGTTTTAATGTGCTATACCCTATTCATGTCAAGGACTCTTCAGTTGCGTTCCCCGTCCTTGCTCGGCTGCCTTATCGCACCGAGGCACTCTTTCACGAAGAGAAAACACTCGCAGAAGTTGCGACAGTAGCATATATTAGTCGACATACTCAACTCCCGGTTCCAGATACGCTTTACCACGGTATTGATCCCGACGTCGGACCCTTCATGATTATCCAGGACCTTGGGACCCGACGGGATATGTGTGACTCTCTTCAAATGCCGGGTCAAGATCCTGACGAATCCCCTATCTTGGATCCCAACATTTCCGACAATAATCTCAGGAGCATGTACAATCAAATGGCACGTTGTCTATTACAGCTCGCACAGCCGACTTTTCCTTGCATCGGATCCCTTATCAAAACAAGCGCAGGATTCGATGTAATAGGACGACCAATTACCCTCAATATGAGTAATATGGTTCAACTTTCCAATATACCCCAGACAATTTTCCCATCAAAGACCACCACGTATAAGACTGCTAATGACTGGTATGTGGCGTTAACCGAGATGCAAATGGCAACACTGCTTTTCCAGCATAATGATATTGTCTCATCAGAGAACGACTGTAGGACAAAGTACGTTGCCCGTCAACTATTTCGCAGGCTAGCTAAACAAGGTCGGCTGTCAACATTTGGATTTGCTGGCTCCAAGACTGCTAGTGCGACGTTCCCAGTGCCTGATGGTTCGAATTCATTCCGACTCTGGCCTGATGACTTTAGACCTGCCAATGTTCTCGTCAACAATGAGCAGATTGCCGGGATTATCGACTGGGAGTTTACTTATGTGGGACCCACACAGTTCGTTTTGGACCCCCCTTGGTGGCTCCTTATTGAAGTGCCCGAGATGTGGGAGAAGGGTATTGATGATTGGGCAAGCGTTTACGAAAGACGGCTAGAAACCTGGCTTTCGGAAATGGAAAAAGCTGAAAGGGATATGAGTCCGGGTTCTCTATTGCTCTCTGCCCATATGCGGGAGAGCTGGAAAACAGGCCGCTTTTGGCTTAACTATGCTGCTAGGAAGAGCTGGGCGTTTGATGCTATCTACTGGAAATACTTGGACGAAAGATTCTTCGGCAAGCGGGATTATCATGGCCCTACAGAAGAACTATGGAAGTCAAGGGTACATCTTCTGAGTGAACAGGAACAGATGGCGATGGAGTCGTTAGTACAAATAAAGATGGAGGAATCGAAGGAACGGATCTTAGTTGACTGGGAAGCTGCAGAGGCAAGGCAGCTCTTGTCATCATTTCTGTTCGATTAAGAAGGCAATCAAAATTTACTGTCTTCCTAAACTGGATAACGTCGAGGATAAATCTGACCTGTCCACTAACATCCAAAAAAGAAATACCCTGAGACACTATCTGGTACTCGTACTATCAGTACCAATACAGGAGTCAACTGCATACTGCTTTATGGTTCTCTCCAATGTATACACTGCTTCGCTTGTTTGTCGACGTGCAGCTAGGACGATGCGGCAGAGAACTGAAAACTTTGCCGGGAAGGCAATGTAATGTCCTCTATAATCGAACCTCGGCTACTAGAGAAGCATGAGGTCAGCGCGTAGTCATTATTGGATAGCTTTGACTGGGTGCTACACGATGAGATGACCTGCGTTCGGATCGGAATTCATAGGTTGTGCGCGACAATTCTATTTTATGTTAGGCACGAGTCCGTCCCTATGTTGAGATAAGTTCTTGGTTATAATTTTCAAAGGCAGTCCATGACCATGGCAGAAAGGGGATCTGCTTCCCCCTCTCAAAGCCTTTCCGAAATAGATAACATATCACGATTGGTCTTTTTGGTTCGTAATGGACTTGCCGTCCAGCCATGCCTTCGCCCAGGAATAAGCATCAATCCTGGAGCTATTGAGCTCAATCTTGATGCCGCACCATCTTCGACAAACACTTACAGCAAATCTTCTTTAATTGAGGCCCGGTTTGGCCTAGGTACTGCGATAAGTCGTGTTATATAATATCCATGAAAGATATATAATAGAGATGGGGTACCTTTATGCCGGCTGTGTAACTAGTATCGATATACTCGAGCGAATGGAAGGCCATAGCCAATATGGAGTGCTCCCAGCGGAGGAAAGCTCTTGAAAATTGAGATGCGAACCCAATCATCTATTAGGCGCGAGTCAATTGTATCACTGAGAATTTGCCCCATGCTTGGCAAACAATGTTTTACTAATGTACACCTTTAGCGACCAACATGTCCTCCGCAGTTGCACTTCCTTAAGTCTCGCCACAAAGCAGGGAGGGTCTTCTTCCTTAAATCAGAAGCGGGCCCTTGTAAAGACTAACCGTAAGAAATTCGGAATCGGGCGTCATTTTGTGTTTCTACTATCGATCTCGGCGAAATAGTCTTACTTTGTTTCGGTTGTTAACTTCTCGCCTGGTCTAAACCGCCCCTTCTAATATGCTTAAAACAGTTTAGGCTTGCTGACCCACCAATTAGCAAAGGTCTTGGTGTCGGCACCGGCCCTCATGTTAACCCCCGATATGAATATGCTAGACATCATTCATTCATGGCTCATTCAAATAGAAACATATTCATTCCCATCCGGAAGAAAATTTATTTATCTCTCCAGAGAATCATTTTGCTCATGCCTCTTGTTCTCAATATACCAATTGGCACTTAGGAAATATCCCACGATGGAGGCCAACACAAATGATGAGAAGCTGGATTCTCAGGGACAAGAAAATCTCGTACCGACAGTACAATACGCTCATGGGCTTCCTCTTGCACTAATATGCCTTGGACTTGTCCTTTCTGTGTTCTGCCTCGGACTTGTAAGCAGCAAACCCATCGATTTAGGCCTTGGGCATCACGCACTGACTCCAAAACCATTTAGGACCGATCGATCCTTGCAACCGCGATTCCAAATATTACGAGCGAATTCGATTCCCTGAATGATGTTGCATGGTATGGTTCTGCCTATTTACTGACGACATGTTGTTTCCAACTCATGTTCGGCAAACTCTACGTAGAGTTTAAAGAGAACTGGGTTTTCTTGATTGCACTGGGGCTTTTCGAAATCGGCTCACTTATTTGTGGTTGCGCCCCGAATTCCTTGGCGCTCATCATAGGTCGAGCTATACAAGGAATTGGTTGCGCTGGCGTTATGACTGGTGCACTTACTATACTGGCGCAAAGTGTACCACTGAGTAAAAGACCTATGTTTACGGGCGCTATTGGTGGCATGTCTAGTATTGCACAAATCATTGCTCCAACTTTAGGAGGTATGAGTAGCCCAAGGCTTTTGTATGCGATGCCGGAATCCTCAGCTAATTTATAGCATTTTGCAGGCGTTTTTACAGACCGTGCCACGTGGCGCTGGTGTTTTTGGATCAATTTACCGCTAGGGGCTATCACAGCTGTCGTCGTCGCTCTCTTCGTCAAGCTACCACCAAAGCACGCATCAGCCAAGAAGATCAATTTCAGCGAGCTTGCTCGAAAGCTTGACCTGCAAGGAACGGTCGTCTTGATGCCCTGCATTGTGTGTCTTCTCCTTACTCTTGAGTGGGGCGGCCTGACATACCCTTGGGGCAACTGGCGCATCATCGTCTGTCTCTGCCTGTTTGTCGTACTGTTTCTGGTCTGGCTCTACATCCAATACGTCAAAGGCGATGATGGCACACTTCCTCTACGAATTGTTAAGCAGCGCTCAGTTGTGACTGGCATGGTTTTCATGTTTGGCATCGCAGGTTCGTTGTTTATCGTCGTGTATTATGTGCCGATTTGGTTCCAGGCTGTGAAGAACACAACCGCAGAACAGTCCGGTATCAATTTTTTGGCCACATCAGGCGCCATGTCCATCAGTGCTGTCTTGGCAGGTATTCTGGTAAGCATCATCCTGTCTTTGTTGATCCTCCTCGAGTGGACCATATTGACAACCTCTGTCTCAGACAAGTAAATCTGGGTACTATGTGCCGCAGATGTTTTGCAGCTCTGTCCTTGTGTCGGTGGCTGCAGGACTGATGTACCGTTATAGCCCCGATACTTCAACCGGTTACTGGTAAGCACTAATCTTTGGTGAAATAGATGGATGGCCTGGTTTACTAACACATATCTTCATAGGGCTGGCACGTTGGTCATGTTCGGTCTTGGGTGTGGCATGGGCATCCAGATGCCCCTCACAGCTGTACAGACTGTATTAAAAGGCAGTGATATGCCAATCGGCACATCAGTTATTATACTGGCTCAGACAATTAGCGGTACAATCTTTCTTGCCGTTGGCCAAAATCTTTTCCAGTCCGAGCTTGTAAGAGCCTTGATTACCGATGCTCCGGATATTAGTCCTGCTCTGGTGCTGCAGCACGGCGTATCTGGAATCAGGACATTTGTAGAGGAGACCTACGGTGCAGGACTAGCGAGAGGAGTGATAGAAGCATACAACTCGGCCTTGAAGCAAACATTTATTGTTTGCATAGTTCTCTCTTGCTTGACAATAATTGGCGCTATTTTGATGGAATGGAGGAATGTAAAGATTGAGAGCGATAAGGAATATTTGGTGGGCTCTGAGGGATTGGCAAAGGATCCATCCGTGGTCTGAAACCATGATTTCAGATATGCATACTGTTGGTATGTATTGTACCATTAAGAGTCAGTTCTGATATATAATATTGTGGATTGGGGAGAGTAACTGAGATAGCTTAATGTTATTCTACTTTCAAGAAGTTATCGCCATTCGTCTCCTTGTCACGATTGTGCTATAGAAAACGAAGTTCGTGACACTCCTGTCAGCCTCTACTCGAAGCATATACTGCTGCATAACATTGTGTATTGCCTTTGATTTAAGGCAAGAGATCACAGCGATTTGTCGAGTCCTACCAGTTATCCCATTCGGGGGCTATACACAATCGGGCTGTAGTCTACGTCCTTGCCACTAATTATCCTTCTTGAATACACGTAGTATCGTGATGATGGCTCGAGAGTGTAGTATAGTAGACAGATTTCGAATTCTATCACTCCAATAGAATCTCCCGAAAGCTGTTCATTTATCAGACCAAAAGCAGTCTTCCTACGATGTATTCAAGTCACGAATACAACTAAATGACAGGACTGGCCGAACGAGCCGAACACACTCAAGTAAACACCTAGCCATTGCGGGACTCACCTCGATTGCAAATGATCGGTACATTTATTCTACTGCTGGTCTTGTCCTTGGGCCTTATCTGCAATATTAGAATGCAGCAATCTTCACACTTCGGCCTGGGCACCCCACCACCTCAACCTTCTGAAATTGCCCACCGGAACAGTCTCTTGATTCGATTCGTTCGTAACGTTGCATCATCCGCGATAATACAAATCCCATCTCTACAAGAGCAAATTGCTGTCCGATACAGATCCGAGGTCCGCCATTGAACGGAACGAACTGCCAGGGTTTCGGTTGCCAGTGCTCCCATCTATCTGGAGAGAATTGGTCGACAGGAGCGAATGTCGAAGATGGCGGTGGATAGAGATCAGGACGTCTTTGCATCAGAAATGTAGAATAAAAGATGGTGTCTCCAGCGACGACGGTAATATCTGGATGCGAAGGATTTGGTCCAGCTAGCGAAGAGTCTGTTTTGGCAGAGCGAACATTGATCTAGTGCAGATGGTTAATTCATAAGAGATTGTATATTCTAGCAGGTTTAACACTCACCGGTACTGCTGGATACAGCCGCAATGTCTCGTTCAACGTATGGTTGAGGTACCTCATATTTTTCAGCTCCTCATAATTTGGCGCCCTAGAAGTCCCGCAACTAGCGATCACCTCTTCTCGAATCTTGGTATAAACTTTAGGGTTGCGTGCCAATTCATACAAGCACCAGGACATGGTCGCCGCGGTGGTATCCCTGCCAGCAAGCAGCACAGACATGATCTGATCCCTGATTACAGTCGGATTGCGGGTGTGGCTTATGAGGGCATGCAGGAACGTGAAATTGTTGTCAGATTTCGACATATTCTCAAGCTCATCATCCCGCAGCAATAAGGCCTTTTCAACGAATGGGGCAATGAAATTTTCCATGACCTTGATACCACGTTTGTACCTGCCGCGAGGGATAAATTTTTCGACCGGCCTATAATTTTTAGTTACCAGGTCGTGAGTGAGAAAAAGTTATGGGCGGACATACATTAGAAGCTGAAACGTCATTTGATCTCGCTGGACCTCGGAAAAGGCTGCGGCGAATTCGTTTCGTGGATTTTCGAGGCTCCCGACACTCTCTCCTAATAGAAAAGCCGTAATTGTGTCGATTGTCATTCTGTAGAATAGATCCTGGATATCGAAGGTAGTGCCAGGCGGTGGAAACTGACTCAGCATAACCTCCGTGCATTTTTCAAATATGGCCACATCATTCAGACGAGTTTTAACGAACATTGGCCGAATCAGGCTACGACTCTCTTGCCACTGCTGTTCATCTGTAGTAAATATGGAATCGCCTAGAAATGGTTTCTACAGGTAAGGGTCAATCGTGGTGCACACTATACTGGGAATGTCATGATGAGCGCATACCCACACCCTGTGGAAATCCTCGCCCTTCCCGAATGCTCCAAACTTTCCGGTAAGTATTGTCTTGATGTGTGATGGCTCTTGTGTGAAGATGTAACGTCGGGTCCCACTAAGATTAATCTCCACAGCGTTAGGAATCTGGGATGTTGTGTAATTTTGGAACATATCCCGGAATGCTTCATGAATTCTGTTCTGAACTTGGGCGCGTCCAATTCTCAGCATCCAGCTGAGGGCAGTGAAGGGATCTCTTGCCAGGCTGGGTGCATGCATGCCCCCAGCCCTCCTCACTTTCGCGGCATAACGTAGTCGAAGGAAGAGATGTACCACGACAATAGCTATGACAGCGATCAAACCTGCATGGCTTGGTGTCAAGTCTGGTGCAAGAACTGTAATCATGATAGTAGATGTCTGCGAAGTTGGTTTTCTGGTCTGTTTTGGATATTACTAAAGAATAGATATGCATAGACTGGTGGTCGCTTGAAAGTTTGAATTATCGCTGGGGTACAGTTATATAAATATGAAAACACACAAGTTATCAACGTCGCGGACGCAGGCAAAGCAGTCTTCCGTAGGCATGGTTCAGGGATCTAAAAGTGATCAAGTTTCACATAGAAACATTTGATATCTATCATCCTGCAGTAATGACATGTAAACAGGTTATTGATGATGATCATGATGATACCGGTCGACGTCGACCATACAGCGTCAACGGCCATCGTCCGATCAGGCGAGGCCGGTTCTCTGGGCTTGGGAGTCAATTCCAGGAATTGGTTCATTAAGCTATTATAATGAACAACTTAGCTAACTCGTGTCAATCGATTAAAATTGATTGGGTACATGTGGTGAAGTTGAATCTGGCTGTTTAAGTTAGGGTCTACGTTTCGTAATGCACCCCAGAACTAGCCAGGCGCCATGCGTTCGATCTATGTCACCCGTCCAGGAAGATTTGTCATTAAAGAAGCATTCGAATGGACTAGGTTCGGTTAGATGCAGGGAGTGACTGTGGTGGACCTGGTCGACGTCGACCATTTTCTCCGGTCTCCACTTATCATGAGACGGGGGAGAGCCCATGGTCGTTCCCCGAAACATTTCTCTTTTAGTTGACCCGCTCCGTAAAATCAGCCCATGCCGTCAGTACACGCCACCTTCTTCATTGTGTTCCGGCTAGGTAGCAAGTCAAGATGAGTACAACCAACAAACGTATGCGCACGCAGGATCAATTAGAACGCAAGCGCGCTGCCGACATACTCAACCACAAGGTTCGCAGAGCAAAAGATAAGAATCGGTTGGATCAGCTTGAGGCTGAGGTGAAGCGTCTCAGGTCAGAAGTGGACGACCTCACTGCGAAATTACAGATATCACAAGAAGAGGTAGCAAGATGTGCGAAATGTTCAAAAGCCGAGCAGGACAGATTAAGCCATTCCTCCGCTACCAACCACGGCCAGGTTCCTGATCAGCCCGATGTGTCGTCTCTCTTGGCACACTATTCTGACAGCCGGTGTGGTAACAATATTCCTACAGCCTGGATGGTGTCTTCTGAAGCTCCTATAGAGGTTGATTTCCGCAGTATGGGAACTGCTAGCAGCATATCTGCCGTTGTGGATGATCGTATACGTGTGAGTCCAACAGTTGTAGACTCGAGGCAGATGCCCGTGCTTTGCATATGTGGGGTCCGCCATGGGAAATCAACTGATTGCCTAGAGTATACGAGTTATGACATGCTCCTAAGGGCACACCTCAGCCTTTTGCGTGGTGTGTCAGCATTCGTGCACATTCCCCAATCCCCAAGCCTATTAAGCTTGCAGCTCGAAGTGTCGGATGACGACAACCCAATCACGAAAGTCCTCGGACATATTTTTCGACACTTCGAAGTAAGCGATATGCCGACTCGTTTTGCTGTCTATATATTGATATACCGTTTGTTACGAGTAAGCTATTCAAATAGCCCTGTTTGCTCCAAGCACCGTAAATAATTGTTATAGCTAATGGCATAATAGTGGCGATTATATCCAAATCCCCAGGCTTACGAGGACGTGCCTGCCTGGTATCGGCCTTCGCGTGCCCAAGAGACTATACCGCATAATATTTCTATTGACTATCTTCCTTGGCCTGAACTGCGTGACTTTATGGTCATCCATGAGAATGTTCTTTACAAGGAGGGACATAGTGTACAGATGTACATGGAAGGTGTTCGCTTCGTATGGCCCAAGAGTAAAGAACTCATAGTCAACTGTGGCAGGTACGGGATGAGCTTGAATCCGGACTTTCAGAGTTCTATAAATCAACTTTGGAATTGGCAGATGAGCCAGTCCTGGGCGGATAACCATTCCACATTAAGTTGCATGGTTAACGTACATAATGGCTCCTAGTTCCTGCGTAAAAGAGGGATAATATACACGATTAAAGAAGATAGCGAGAAGAAAGCTCACGTAAATTAGTAGTTCAAGGGACCAAGATGATTGAGGATTAATCTCTCTATGAACCATGCAGTGTAATGCTTGTAAACGATGAAGTGTCTATAGCTCTACCACTATCTTGGTCGCGCTTACCCCAGCTTTATTGCTCTGAAGTGCCTCTTGGATATACTCTAGACCCTTGCCAACCACGAGTGTACGAGGGGCACATTTGAGTTGCCCGGACTGTAAGGCCGGTGTGACAAATTCCTCCCACATCTGCTGCGAAATATCATTAATTGAGAATATCATTCCCGCCTTGACATTTTCTGGCAGGCCTTCTGTCGGAGGCGGGTGGGAGCAAACCAGGTATCCGCCATTACCAATTTGGGACAAAAGTTGTAAATCCTGCTCGTATGTGCTAGGGGTCGAGACAGCGTCAACAATACCAGCAAACGTTTTCTTATCGGCAATAACGTCAACGACCTTTTGCAAAACTAATGGATCTTTGTAGTCGAAGGCTTCAGTGGCACCGAGAGATCGGCACAGTTCGAGATTTTGTGAGCCTGCAAGGGCGATCACGGTGACTCCGCTTGCGACAGCCAGTTGAATAGTCATCGTTCCGACTGAGGATGACCCTCCGTGGACGATAATTGTCTTTCCACAAGGGATTGGAGAAAGCCTCGGGTAAGGAAGTCCCATGGTCGGGGTCGGGACTCCTGGCAAAGCCTCCCCTGGGGTCTGAAGTGCTAGGCCGCATATCGCTGTTTCAAGGGCCAAAGGCAAGACCGAACCATCTGCGTACGATATGGGTGCGGGCAGGATGGCTGCTTTTGCAGCGGGGGCAACAGAATAGAGTGCGAAGGCAGCATCCTGAGGCTTCGCTGTTACAGCACCGATGGTATGCCTATGATATAATTAGTTTGAGTGTCTGAAATCACTAAGCACATGACTTACGCAATTACACGGTCACCTTTTGTAAATCTGGTTACATCGGAACCGACCTCGAACACCTCTCCGGCCACGTCGCAACCTAGGATTGTTGGCCATTGTTGCACGAATATTCCGATATCCTGCATATGCCAATCTAGTGGGTTGATCGCAACAGCCCTGTTCTGGATCACGATTTCACTTGGTCCTGGTTTGGGCATAGGTGCGTCGCGTACTTGCAAAGATGCACCCTGAGCGTCAAGCCATGCTGCTTTGTTTGATGCCATGATTTGCCTGATATCGACGGAATTGTTACACGAGATAGAAGATTGATAGTAGTTCTGTGTGGAAATACTAACCACCTCATCGCATGGCGGGAAATGGGATACTTTATATTCAAACGCGCCTAGAAACTAACACGTGCCTACACTGATGAAACACGACTACTCCTATAGAAGTCATGATCTGTATTAACTCTCTGTATGAAGATTCTGAAAAACGCATTAGCAAGGCTTACAAATCTGAAAATCCTCTATTTTATACCATAGCTGATGGCTGACAAATTTACATAAGACTTTGTATTGGCTTCTAAGAGCTAGGAATGAAAACATGGCGCATTGGCCGAAAACTAAATCAAGACTTCGCCCGGCACGTAGCTGGCGCTACCAAAGCATGCATGTGCCCAGGCGGCTTTGGAATGCTTTTCTCCAAAGAGATATTTCAAGCTGGCCCACCGCTTTAGCTGGCGCTCATTATACCCACTTTCGCACAATTGAGGAGCACCGAAGTCCGATGTAAAGAATGAAGATGCCGCCAAAGGACAATAGAGGATGGGGGTGAAATTGTCACAAACGAGCATTTTGGGATTACTAAGCGGGCATTTATATATACCGATTTATTATCATTATATGGCTATTTAAGCGCACTGAGGCTTGTATCTTGTAGACTACCAAGGTGATGCAGCTCACGGTCTTGCTGTGGTTTCACTTATATCTATCTATTCTGTACAGGGAGGTGGATTTGTGCAGTCTCACGGATCTGGTACCACAGAGTATGGAGGTCAGCCTGCATCGTTTGGTAGAAAATTTCTGGATGAAATCAAGCGAGGCACGACGAGGTGAAACCTCTGCACTGTTGGCACTTTCGGCACTTCTGTGACGGACAGACCAGCGCAGAGACATGCTTACACAATCCAGATAAACACCACCATGGAATGAGCATGCATATATAGCTTAGCAAGTAAATTTGAGTATATAGACGAACTTCAGTATTGTCCGTTACGGTTTAGAATCCCATATGTTCGATTAGACATCTTGTTTCTCAGGAACCTTCTTTCCCGTTACTGGAGCGAAAGCTTAATTCTAGGTTCTCAATCCCATTCACCGGGAGGCGAAATCGCTCGTCTCATATTTTTCATTACAGCTAGTTGTTACGGTCACTTTTTCCGAGTTTCTGAAAGGCGTGAAAAGAGTAATACGATTGTTATAATAACTAACTTGTGAACTTACCTTGAATCGGAGACTAAACGGTAACCGATCCGATGCCGACTAATCCACGGAATCTACTTGATCGGCGTGTTAGCACGGAGCTAAGCTTAACCAAGCATAGCCGTTGATGAAGAGACCAGACTAGGTGATCAAATTGATATCCGATCCGAATTTAAGACGTTTCCATTCGGTGTTGCCAATAGCAGCATCGCCTTTCGTTTTCTAATTTCACGTCCGACCCCGAAGTTCTTACAGTTAGATTAACACAATCTACTACACTGCCTCGGGAAATATGGATATTTCTACCCATCCTACTTCGCATCGTAGCGATCGCCAATTGACTACAGCTCGACGCAAAGCTTGTGAAAGATGCGCACGTTCTAAGATCAAATGTATCTGGGAGAGTAACGAATCCTGTCATGGGTATGCACATAATATTCTGATGGGTTATCAAGACTCTGATGTCTTTGTCTTATTACAGGTGTGCCAAATCGAATTCGGAATGCATTGCGACACAATTGCACCCGAGAAAACCACGCGGGAAGTCTATGTTGGTATTTCTTCTATTATCCTCTGTTGCACCTGTCGGGTCCATCTAACAGGCTTTACGTCTCTAGGCGCGTCAAAAACCTTGAGCAGAAGCTTGATGCCATTGTGTCGTTGTTGGGAAACCCTCAAACTCACACTACAGACTATGCCTATGCTCTACAACCGATCGGTGAACCATTGGCACGATTTACGCCGTCAACCTCAACAATACCCGATATAGCAGACCCGATTCAGCCCCAATTTCCGCCGCTTGCGGGTGTCGATGGTATTTCAGAGACTGAAATCAAGACTGTCTCTGGTTTACGAATACCCCTTGTCAAGGCTGATACAATACTCGATAGCTATAGAAGTGAAATGCTCCTCAGCTTTCCATTTGTCCCTATTCCGCCATATAGAGCAAATCAGGCGAACCGAGAGAGTCCAGCACTATTAAGCGCTATTCTGTATACTTGCCGCTTTGAATTATCATCGGTCACTGGCGATTCAGACAAATCGTTCCGTGAGTATTTTGCACGGCAATCAGTAGTTAACGACGAGAAGAGTCTCGATCTTTTGCAAGCAATACTGTTGTTTCTTGCTTGGTAAGTATGATCTGAACTTTCATTAATCCATTTAGTAGCAAGTTATTAGATGTGGATTTAACCCTAAACAAATGTGTAGGGACGACTGGCAATCAGTAGCAACTGCACGTGATACTAGTCTCATGCATTTATCCCTAGGACTTGTTGGAGATCTTGGATTGAATAGGCCTCCGCTCTCTCAAACGGTGCCGGTAGGGTCTTGTTCTATCGCGAACCAATCCAATGTCAAGATTAAGGGATTCAATGTCAGAAAGGAACACAGTAATGCTGAGAAAAGAGCGTTGCTAGGAGTGTTTTATATCACGTCGGTGTAAGTCAAGTATCAGAATTGTTATGGATTTTCCGGCCTAGACTAATAGCCTCCTGCCCACTTCTAGTGTATGGACCCTTTTCCGTCGAACTGAGCCACCAGAGTATACCAACTATATGGAACAATGCTGCAACGACTTGACTGAAGCTCGGGAGTATGTTACAGATTCGATTGTAGTTGCACTTGTACGGATGCAGAGCTTAATTGTTCAGATCGCAAAAGCGTTTCCACACCCAAGTCTACGAAGCCACGTCTTTCCTACAGTACCTCTTTCTTTATACTTTTCAACGATACAATTTCAGCTTAAGGATATATTGCGGCAGGTACCTGAAGCTCAAAGGCTCAACTGTAGGTGTGGTGGGCATTCGTCAAAATTACCAATGCTGATTAGTTTGTAGATCTTATTCTAAGCCACGAACATACTGTTTTGCTTCGACTTTACGAACCAGTAATCCATATGGACTCATTACAGTCTATTGATCACTCAATTTCCAAGACAGATGTTTTATGGAGTTGTTGCCAAGAAGCAAAAACATTCTTCGAGATGTGGCTTCGGTTGCCAGCGGGTGTGTATTCAGCAACGCCGTGCGCTTTGTTCGCACACATCGCATTTGCAAACCTCACGTTGACACAACTGCTCTTTGCGGACGATCGGCACTGGAACTCACAAATAGCCCGAGAACATGTTGATTATCCGGTAATAGTGCGAAGACTCATCGATCATATAGAAATCTATAGAAAGCAAAGTGGTCAGGACTTCGGAGGCGTAGAGGGCAATTTTAGTCATCCACAATGTTACGTGGAAAAGTGGAGATATGCTATCAACTGGTATTATGCCAAATTGAACTCCAAGTACCCAGCATCTGCCACGATACCGGCGTCGGAAACATTACTACCACTGGTTGGCGATGATGATGAGCTATGGCAGACAATGTTCGCTTTCGAAAACGAAATGATGTATTAGGCTCAAAATTACAGGAGGTTCATACTTGTGCAAGAATATCAGCTTTAACTGATATTGAAATATCAGTGTCAGAGCTGCTGTACCTATTAATCACTATACCAAAAGTCAATCTATTATGATCATTTTAATCAAGTCAGACGATTCGATCAACGTAAGCGTTGTTCAAAAGGCTCACAAATGTATTTTTGTAATTTCCAATTCGAGGATTATGAGCACCAGAATGCAGAATATACGACAAGAATAGGCCCTATCACAGGCCTCAATCCCTACTGAAACAAAGCCTTAACGTCATGAGTGAAGTAAGGAAATGTCTGGTGAAGGACGGATATGCCAAGGCGACTCCAAGGTCAAACTGATTATACCCAAATAACAAATACGCTGGAACAACCACGAGTAACATGCGGATCGTGGCCGAATTTGAATTGTTAAACCGAAGATATTCATTGAAGCTTGGCCGCGAAGGTTGTATGAGAACTTGCCTCCTAGTAAAAAGGTATGCCAGTTGAATTGAAGCGAATAGTGTGGAAGAATTTTGACGTCTGAAGCTGCCAGAATTTACAGGTGCAAGGTTCCGAATGAATTCCTCGTATAATAGTGCTTGCGCAGCTACGTTACTAAGCACCCCGGGCTTTTAACGCGCCAAGATGGGCCCGCAACTGTTACCATCCCGTTCGCACCACTACAGCTAGAGTGTATTAATAAGAAACCTGGTTCTGCCTTCCAAAGAGGTCCACAAGCTAATTATACACAAATTTCCACCACTTAAGAGCACGAGATCGTCATTCAATATTAGCAATAATCCTTGTTTCTGTTGTCTGTAAGCAAAGCCTGGGGAAATCTCCAAGTTATCCTTCGTTTAGGAAACACGTACATGCTATTCTCACCTTACCTATTGGTATATAAATAACCAACTCTTCCCCTCTCAATGATCAGCTTCCCTCAAGCGATTTCTGTGATAGTCATACACTGTGCACTTACCTGTCGGCTTTTGTCACTGATATATCATATCTTGCCGTGCCTCTATCGCTGCTTCTCTCCCACCGCTCGTCAACAAAATGACCCCATTCACCCTCACAGCCAGCTTGGTCTTTGCCACAGTCCATGGAGCTGCCACTATACCTCCTCATTCAGTGTCTTCTGTTCGAATTGGCCTTATCAACGAAGTACGTGCTGTCCAAGGCGCCGGCGATGCCGACATCTCTCAGGACTACCCAATCGAGCACTTTTCGTTCTTTGGGAATGAGTCCTGGGCTATCACAGGCCGCCCGGAAGGCGCCGTGTGGGTTCACGAGTCCCGTTTCCACACTACTGTTAATGCGACCAAGCGTGCCTTGGCTGCGGAGTCGGACTCAAGGTTGTCTGAGAAAAGCTTCCTAGAAGGAATCAAGATTAACGTGGCGCCTGGCGCATTCACCTGTCCTGATAATACCTGGTTTGCTGCACCTCAACAATGCACCAATTATGGCAGTATAATAGGACACACGTATGTGACACTCATACCGAGCATTCTGCACCTGTCCCAATATTAACTTGTGTTTTTACCAACTCTCAGAACAGTATTTATTCAGCCAATAGTGGTCGCTTCAACTAGTTATCTAGCGAAGACAAATTTATACTCCGACGGCGGTTGCAATTCGTATGTTACTTCAGTTGTTGGAGATAATACGGTCTGTCTTTTCTTAGACAATATTTATTACCTGTCGCTTCTACCCTTTAGCCAAATAGTTTAAGGCGTTTAGTTAGAGGCAAGGCTCCAAACAACTCAATCAAATCAACCTAACTCTTACGATAAGACGTTGAAACGACAAAATTTCAACTGTATTGCTACCCCATGCACTACGTATAAGATATAAGACAAAAGGCGAAGGAGAAAAGGGGCGACTGTTCATAACGCCGGGATGACCTGAGCATTGTCATAATTGAGGTTATAATTCCACCTGCTTCCAGTCAATTCTATGGTATTTTCTCCCCTAATGTTTGTGTATGTCATAACATGCGTTAAGAAAAAGGCACATCGAAAATTAGTGTATAGCGGCCAACCAAAGTATGCTGGAACCTTACAAGTTTATGACGTAGCGCATACAACTTGGCGGCGCGGAGGCATCGCCTCGCTATTACAACTAGACATAAAGGAGCGTTCGATACAGTTAATCATACCAGGTTAATCGCGATCCTAGCCCAGAAGGGATTTCCGGAATGGGTCCGGGCATGGGTTACGAGCTACGTAGAGGATAGGACGGCTAGGCTACGCTTCGACGGCGAAGAGTCCACGCCCTTCTTACTAAACGCGGGCGTCCCCCAAGGCTCCCCACTATCACCTATATTATTCCTACTCTATATCTCTACCTTGTACGAAGAGCTAGCAGCAAATCACCCATCGCTAATTATAGTAGGGTTCGCCGACGACACGAACCTACTTAGCGTCGGCCACGATGCAAAGACAACCTGTACACACTTAGAAGCAGCGTGGACGACGTGTAAGGCATGGGCAACTAGGCACGGCATGGACTTCGCGCCAGAAAAGTGCGAGCTTATACACTTTACAAGAGCCAGAGACCCGTCAACGTTAGGAGTTCGCCTCGGAAACGCAGCTATAACGCCGGTTGTGTCAGCACGGTTCCTTGGCGTCTGGTTCGATAGGAAACTGAATTGGCACGCCCATATAGAGAGAGTAAAATCGAAGTTCGCTACACAAAAGCTAGCCCTTACGAAGCTCGTACGAATGGCGTGGGGAATAGACTTCCTACGAGCAAGGCTACTATATACAGTAGTGATACGAACAGCCCTTGCATACGGAGCGGCTACGTGGCACACTATTAGCGAGAGACCCGTAGGCCCGGTCAAAGCATTAGCGAGCTCCCAAAACGAGTGCCTACGCGCTATTTGCGGCGCATATAAGGCTACACCAACGCGGATACTTGAAGCTGAATCAGCGATCCCGCCGCTAGACATTTATTTAAGCGCTCAGGCAACGAAGTTCGAACTACGGATTCGTAAGAAAAAGACTGACAAGCTATTACGCACCGCTTGCGCAAAGGCGACGCATATATTACGAGAAGCAAGGCCGGTCAGGCGAAGAAAGCCGTTACCGCTCCCCTTACGCCCAGCAGCATACCCGATCGAGAAGTACGAACGAGCACTAAGATGGGCCGAAGGACCAGATATACGACAAGCTCTCTCTAGACACTGGCAAAAGCGTAGACAAAGCGATAACGCTTCGCAAGATGATCGCCAACGCAGAGCATTAGCCGACGAAGCCCCTGGAACCGGTCTAAAACAGTACGAGAAGTTTAAGAGGAAAGAAGCCACGATAATCTTCCAAATCCGGTCTGAACGGATTGGACTCGCAGCCTTCTTATTTAGAATAGACGCGTTCGGAGCGTATACACCCCTCTGCCGCTGCGGCGAAGCCCCTGAAACAGTCGTACACGTATTCCTTTATTGCGGATTATTAGAAGAGACTCAAGCACGCCTAAGGAGCTTTATAGCTCCGGTAAGATTGGATACACGCCGCGACCTCGCCGCGGCTACGTTGATTCCGAAAGTGTCAAAGGTTCTAGTTCAGTGGCTATTACAAACGGGGAGACTATCTAATATCGGGGATAGCCAGTCTTTTCAGGGGTAGTTACGTTGGTTAGGTGAAAACCAACGTCGCATTATAGACACTATAACGTAAACGCTATTAGAGCGTAGAGCACACGAAGCGTACGGGTTTTGTCCAGCCCTTAAGGCAAGGTTTACCGTACGGTTTAACTCGGAGAGGTACCGAGGGACTTAGAGTCCTACGGCGTATTTAATAATAATACAAGTTTATAGTGGGTTCTTAGCATACCATACTATAGTTGCGTCACGTGACATCCAGATTCATCACTTGCTGCAGATTGTATGCTAAAAGTTGCATAGTAAGTTATAGTGTAGTTGGCCCGCATTATCTCGCTCTCTCATAGAATTCCTCTAAGCTTGGGTTTGCAATTAGGAGGCTATCAACGTAGATACATAGACTATGGCAATGACAAATCAATAGTGGGGCATCCTCTACTTTTTTGACACGCTGACACACTGCAGGAATGCGTGTACATCTATTCCCTTGCTTGCTATGTAACGATCAAAGTGGACGCTGACTTTGTGCTTCACTACGGCCATTCCTTTCCTCCTTTTCATCCGCAGTAAGACCTGGCGTCGCAGGTCCAATCTCTACTGTCATGAACACCAATGTTGATGCAATCGCAAGTCTGATGGCAAGCCAGAAGTCGATTTTGTACTGTTCTATGGACTAACACTGCCTGGCCTGCCTCGAAGTTCAATTATCGTCGAAATCGGCAGTTCGGCCATACCGAGCCATAAAGTGATGTCTAAATATAGAAGACTTGTAATCAGAACACCGGCAGCAGCCTGCAGGTGAATTGTCATAGAAGTGGTAATGAAGGCATTAGTCAAATTCAACATGATTTCCACTCCTAGAGTTGCGCATACCATTCCCTGAAATATGTGGACCCAATATAGAAATGACTGAGAAGGATTACCTGAAGTCGACTGCTACAGTATCAGAGCTAACAGTAATGCTGGTGGCAGAAATGCGATCCCACCAATTACCAGCAAGGTTCTACCAGGGACTAGATGGAGGATGAACCATCCTACAATCGCGAGTACCATAGCACCTGCTACTAAAGGCGGAAAGCACAGTACAGTCTGAATTGGGGTTGTGTGATGGACTATTCCCGAACCAGTGGGTTTATTTAGCTTACGATGTGTTCAGCTAAGTTGCGAGTAAGAGACGCTACTTACTAGAATGTGCCATAGAAGAGGAGCAACCCAAAGACTCCCTAGTCGCAAAGCAGTGCAAAAGTGCTTCGCCGCATATGTTTTGTTCGGAAGATGTCAGCAGGAAACAGTGGTTGCTCAGAGACCCAACCCTCCACATAAACAGCTGCGTACAGCAACAATCTGCCGACAACTAAGAACAGTCGCCTCGTAAATGGCTTCGATCCAAAAGAACTAATTCCAACTAACTAGCTGGGCACAGACGCCTGCCGTCAAGATGCCAGAGTAAAAGCTCGTACAGCTTATGGCGCCATACAATGCAATTACCATATTTTTGCGAGGCCCTGGTCGATAAGTGTTAGACAGGAGAGTAATGAGATTAGTCATAAAAGCACCGCCGCCGATGCCCTGCATTTCGCGGCAGACAATTAGTATAGCAGAATTTTAACTAAACCCGCAGACTATCGGCTTTGTAGTAGGAAGCTAATGCAATCAGCTTTGTTCAAGTTGCATTTACGTTACAATCCTTACCAAACGTCTTGGGCGTTGTACGGCGCCCTTATATACGAAATCGGCTAACCCGGCCATCTTGGATTTGCTGGTGCTTACTTTGGTGCGGATGAGACTCGGATAGCAGAAATTCAATTCACAAGATGGCAATCCACTCTGTTGTCTCCATAACTGAGCCACATAAGAAGAAATGGTGAGTGCTATAAGCAAGGTGGTATGCGGCCATTCTCGAGCACTAAATAGATTCGGCGCACGTTGATAGATACGAGTCAAGTATGCATTTCGGCCATCGGGTGAAAACCTACTGAGAGTAACCTGGACCTGGACTTTGAAACTGATTGTATTACTAGGTAAGTGCATTAAGCATACCACTCTCTTTCTCCTCTTCCCATTTGTATGCCCTGGTCCTAATTAATGAGCCTGTGGACAATATTGACATCACTAAGTTTGAAAATCCGGCGTCCTTGTCAGACACTGGCGTAGTATGGGTGTTAAGGTATATACATGAAGTACTTGATAGGGTCCATGCTACAAAAATGAACATTCTCGTGACGTCTTAGTGGCATTTTAGCCGGTCACAGATTTTGCGCTTTAACTCCAACCAATAGCAAATCTCATCTTCGACGTTCATAACTAATACTTCGTTAGAAAGGATACCACATCTTAAACCTTGTCATATATTGGTTTAGACGCAGCAGTATCTGTTGATCCCTAAAGGCGATTCCCATTATTCGTGGGGAAATGGTCTATCTAAGTACAAAGTAATAACACCATGGCTAGTCGAGCGTCAAATCTGGAATATGGCTTGTATGCCTTCGGAAATTGACCTAAGGAAGTACAATTACTATTGAACGGCTAAATTTAATAATCAGGACTCTGTATCCGTAGAAGGGGGTACAGGTAGATTATTGGGGTTTCGAAAGCTTCATCGATGCTAGAGCTTGTAAGTAGATTAAGATTTGTTAGGAATTCAGTTAACACCGAAGCTTTGCACACATAAGACTGGCTTTAAAATAGCGAAGAGGAGTTGGAAGCTCAATTAATATAAGAGGGAATTTGTTTAACACTGGCTACTACTCACTCAAAGTAGCATGTATTTCTTTCATTTCTTTTGACAAGTAAACTTTACAGAACATTCAGAATTCTATTACGTGAAATGGGCTTACGCTCGATATAGAAATAACGCTTCCCGTGGTGCAAATCTTAATTGTATTCAAGGTATAGTTGATCGCTGCAGTATGTATGCTATAGTATTGAATGTGCTAGTATCTGCACAGTTATAGGCGGTGAGCATGTCCATGAAGCCTTGATATCGGGCTACGTCGGCTGTTCGGCAAAATGCCGAATCCCTTCAGGTATAGCTGTAGACAGTATTGCTTTGGATGTCCAACAGTGAATGACCTTTTCCGTGTCCTTGAGCCGCTCCCAATCAAACCCGACAATACATGGGGCCGGCACAGCTACCCAGGGTTGCCGGGGCGCTGAGGCCGGTGGTTTGATGGCCACGGTCACGGCGCACTCGCCGCAGAAAACGCGCTCAACACGATGCCCGCTCCCGGTCGTCCGAACATACCGTCGCAAATGCGCACCATTACCTAGACCGTTAAGGTACGCATCGTAGGTTTGACTGGTCTCTGCGTCGAAAAACACGTTGATCCTGCACGCTCCGCCCGAACTCATCTTGTCAGCATCGCAGTAGCATATCCAGATGTCTACCGGTTCAGCTTGCGGCGTGGTGAACCTTGTACGGCCGCATTCACAAGTTACCTCCATTGTTTTGCAATGTCCAATATGTAATTGAGGCAATTAAGATGGCAGAGTGGGGAAGCGATGGAGGCGATAGAGGCAGGTGCATGGAGATGTTCTTAAATTAGGGCAGCGGCTGAGTTACTCTTAATGAGATAAATCGATGCAATCGCGGTTGTTTGAGTGACGCACCCCACGTGACTAGCGGTATGCCTCCAGGCAACAGCAACATACTTTTTTAGTATTAGTCAGCAACTTCTGTTTTCACTTTTAGTGAGCGAGCGACCAGAGGAAAACCTCGCTCGCCGACAGAGAGCCACAACTAAGCACGTCAGCTTGGCTGATTAAGTGTTATTATTCTCACGGTTACAATAAGGAATGAAGACTTGGCTTGCTGTATACATCGTGTATTATGAACATAGGAAAGCTAAAGAACAAATAGACTTGAACCGTAAGCCACGTAATAACACATAGTAGCGGCGCTTAGCTTTACGTAACAGGCTTAACTGTGAGCCGTCATAAGCCTTAGCTTTAGAGCTCTGATGGACGTCACTACTCTATAGGATCGTGATACTGATCAAATGTGTGTATATTGATCCTCAGTAGAGTGTTGTTCAGTAGCGGGGTTCCTCAGCTATTCTAAAGGCTATCTATTGATGGTGGACCGTGCACTCCATGCGTTTGCCTAACTGGTGGCACTAAGCAGCCATCAAGCTTGGCCTAACCTTAGCCCTTGCTGTCACAATAATCCGCTAGGTCATACAAGTTATAACCAATAGTCAATGTATGAGAATTTAGGGCACAAATAGTGTAACTGTGACCACTAAGTGGAGACCCATCGACTGCAAAGTTCTTGCTTAGAGGCACTCACTGAGATTCTTGTTCTGCAAAACAACTGTATCTACACTCGGTCGAATGTCGTAACTAACTTTGCCATATAAGATTAGACTCGATGGTGTTCAAAATTGTGTATTGCCTCAAAGGTCGTCTCAGAGTAGCAAACAACCTAAGGTGTACGTTGGCTAAGAGCCCGAATGGGTCTAGGATCGACGTCGCAATCAAAAGTCGCCGTACATCATCGCGGGTGAATGTGAAGAACAGGGCATAATGAGTAAGTAGATATGAATGGAAGACGGCTTGACGCCTATATGAGACTTTCACAAGTAGAGTGCTCAGATTGATAAGCCAATTTGGCTGTGGGATAAGAAGAAAAGTACCGATTTTGAAAGAACAGGTTATACCAATAGCGTTCAACTGCCCTTCGTATTGTTCCGACGGGTACCGAGGCTAAATGGAGTGCAAAACGCAAATATTTTTACTCTTCGAAGAAATTACGCATCTAAACTCGTTGACTAAGAAGTTTTGATAGCGAAATACCGGTTCGCTCTGTCGTATCAGCATGGAGCATTGAGGAGTGACCTGAATGGTGCATGCCAAAGTTGGCGTCCTCTGTCTTATATCTTTCATTGAATAATGTCCCAAAATTCAAACATGTGTGCTTCCCCAATACACCCTTGTCTTTAACTCGTGACTATATGCGGCCAAGTAAGTTACAGGTCAGTCAACAGTATTATGTCCCGATCAATTCCGAGACGAAGGATAATAGTCATTTTCCAAGAACCTCAGAGATAAGAGGGCTTCCGTGATAATGAAGACATCTGATAAGGCACTTTGATCCAAACCAAGAATTCCCAATGGGTCCAATCCCTCAGATCCTAAAAGTGGCTGTCAGATTCATACATGTAATAGCCGTAAGGCCTGTTTATGAGCCACACTTATAATAGCCTTCAACTTTACGTATATTCTGATAGGCCGTCCACATGTTGTTACCGTTAATATCATAATCATCATCAGAACCTTGGATCATGAAACCATAGCCACGAGTTCCGTCACCTCAGCAATTACCACTCAATCTGCTCACACTAGACAAAAACTGTTAGACTTCAAGAGTAGCATCATATGTTTACAAGAATATGTAACTCACTCAGTTCCGTAGGTAAGGGCATCATTCCGCTGTAAGTTGTTGATAGCATGATCGCACCATTTCACCAGATTTGGTGTAGTGCCCAAGCTTGAGCCCTTGCAGTCGGTTGTTGGCAAGAACACTCTCTTGAGAGACACATAGCCCTGGGTTTCGACGATTGACTTGCTGAGGTCGGTGATTAAAGTGCCAAGAGGAAGCGCATACGTATACGCATGACCATCCATCTCAACGGTAATGTCGCCCATCAATTCCCACGACCAAAAACGTTCCCGAGGCCTCCTGTGTTCGTCTCAGTGTACTTATATTGTGACTCGACCTTCACCATGTATTTTTTGCAGACGTCGTCGTCGCCTGAAGTTTGCTGGTCATCCCAGGGAGGTACCCCAGCCGCATTGGACGCTGCCACAGATGTAGAGACGAACAAATGCGTGTGGGATCATGATCTTAGCCTAATAAGTGGTACAAAATCTCGATGGTGAGGGCCAAGCTACATTCGAAAGATTGAACTTGTAGCCCGGCTGGTGCCAAAGCATGCGGTCCGGAACTAGAGAACTCTGTGGGATCCTCATTGCTTGGGATGCCGCCCTTGATGGCGTCCACTTGATCTTACATGTAGAAATCGTTAGTCAGATTATCGTGCGGTTTAGGCATGGCGACTCTAGTGATCTTGATCTTGCCGGCACCACGCTCTTTAGCCATCACCGCTATGATGCTGCTGTCAGCTTCTAGTACGTTTTAAATGATGTGCTAAATCTTCCGCGGCTCCTTCGCAACTCTGTCATTCCCAACGTATGTGGTGTACGCCTCAATTCTCATCTCAAACGTCAACAAACATGTCCGTGGTATCCTCGTAGCAGTGCACCGCGTGCCATTCAGGCTTGAAGACCGTGAACGCGCCAGGGTGCTTTGTCTTGAAAATGTCGTCAATGTACTTGTACAGTCCGCGTACATGTTGTCGGTTTTAGTAGTAAAAATACGATTGCACCTTTGTACAGACCAATACTTCGAAGGATTGATTGTGGCACTGTTGTACTAAGGTAATTATTTCTTACTATGAGGGTGTATTGTTATGGTAGTGATCAATCCAGCGACATCTTCCACGTGACGACCTTATTGGCTCACGGGGATCCATGATTGCAGCCCAAAGCACGGGGAAGTTGGGGTGAGATTTTGACTCAAGTCATGATTGTTTGTGCAACGAACTGAAATCCTCAAATTTTGGCACAACCACTACCACGGTGTTACCTTATACGAAGCATAATCTGATGTCCTGTCACTCAATCCATCCGACGTCACAATAGAACCGTTGTTTTTATCACAAATATGGCCATTGACAGGTTTTTGAGTGCGCTCAGTGCTGCACGAGTACTCGATATCAACTATCGTTTGGTCTTGTGCGAGAAATGTGTTTAGGTCATTCGAATGACGGAGCTTCTTCTTGTGCTTTCGATCCGACAACTGGATGTGATCGGGGCGGCCTTCGCTGGATCTTTCATACCCGTCGGTCGTTCCTAAATGACGCCTCCAAAAGCTTTTGGAACAGCGGGAGCATGTCTGGTGCATTGACGACGACGCAGGCCACCAGCGTTTCTCGACAGGCTCAATAGGCAGGTGCTGCGGCATCGTTGTACTGAGAGAAAACCGGCGTTAGATGCATTCAAAGTCTTCAAAACAGAGATTTTTGTTGTTACGAGAATCATGACGCACCAGAAGAGAGTAAACCACACGTAGTACCACAGCCAGAATGGTGAAGAAACCCACACGTAACAGTACTGAAATGCCAAACTTTCGTATTGGACACATCCGATCTTGTAGAAAGACCTATGTTTCTCTCTCTTTTAGTTCTAGAATTAACTATGGGAGTTCAATATGATTATGATTGGTCTTACCGGAATAGGTAGCACAATGATACACAAGTCTGTCAGCAAGTTCATCGGTAATACCGTGATGTATAGCGCGGTCGTTTAGGATAGCCTCCATCTGGGATTCGAGTTAACGACTCTTAAGATTAGAACTCATCGGCCATCAGGTCTAACTCACATCCGGGATCTGGATACATCTGCCCGTAGTGATGAAAAGGTTGACAGTAAGTACAGGCCATGATCGCGCTAACAATATAACACATGACTACAAATACTATTATCGGCTTGATGACTTTGCTGATCCAGAGTCCTCGACTGAGACGTTTTAGAAGAAAAAGCGTGCACAATTTCAACGTCCACACGAAACCTGGTACGGAACCCCAACAAACCAAGAACCATTTGGGGCCTCTTGAATATGTCGCTGTAATTTCTGGTTGATTGGTGACTAAGTCATATCTGTCCTGGTGAGTTATGTTGGGCACTTTATTGTGCCCATTCCAAGCTACTCCGCAGCGCAGCATTTTCCATGGCTGTCAGTATGGCCTTATAATTGCTTACAAAGGCTACTATAGTCAGATAATAATCTCTATCTAAGCCCTTGGTACCTCTCACTCTGATGCGGACGATCATTCGCGTCAAGAGAATCAATGCACAAAATCCATACTCAACCCAGGTCTCAATGATGTTACTGAGCATTACTGGATCTATTGTGAAAGCTGGACCTATAGTTTCCGTATAGGTGACGACGTTTAACGCTATGAACGATATGGCACAAGAAACGATGATATGATCAATTAAGAAACCCGCGTATAAAGGTGGCTCTTTACTCAAATAAAGGGTGTGCTTTCGATGGAAAATGTTGAAGTAAGCATATTAAGTGTTTGCTTGCGAGGCGCTCGACTGTCTATGGGAGTAAGGGGGGCGTGATCCGTGTCAATGAACCGTTGTCGACTCTTGTAATCCTTGTAACAACCGTTGTGCTTGCCCATGTACCATGCACATGGAAATGAGGACAAGATGATAGAGCATATAACTCATGTTTCATAAATTGCCGGAAGTCCTCACCAGGTGTTGTACAATATACCTCCCCCTTCTAATATTTCTATCTTGGGTCTACCGTTCCACCCTGATTGGTTCCTTATCATATTCCCGTAGTCATGGCTGTACTGAACGGGGCGGCCTTCATTACTAGTCAGTTCGTGATCGGAATTCTATGATAGCCCAGGGGCGGTGCTACGCCGTTTCTCAATCATTACCAGTTCTATTTTACCCTCCAAACAAGGGCTGTATTCCAATCGAACCTTTGCATAAGTCGAGTCAATATCTCGGTTGAGACTCTTCAGGCGGTGGACTTCAACAGGGGTTGAAATATGATGCTCACATTCGTTTTATTTTTCTATTAATTACAGGCACTATGCATTCACAATGTGTCTCCATGGCCACCCCTAATGGTGACCCCGTCGGCCGTTGTACCCAGTTTGGCACCTGGTGAGCACCAGATTTCACGGCTACAACGGTATATAAATGAACTTTACTGATGTAACACATAATAACTTTACAAGTCAAGTCATAAGACTCTAATTACGAGCGCACAGCCACTACTAGTTGCTATGGGGAGCGGGGGTAGGGGTAATGGGTAGCCACTGACACAGCGGCAAATTTTTGTGCTACATAAATTGCGTGAACTTCGATGCACCGCTTGCCTCGCGTTAAAAGTACTACCTATCTACGTGCGTTGCTGTTCTGGGATTTGGTTGATGCACCCCTATCCACGCCATGAAGCTTATCGCTGTTACTATGATTAATGTGAAAGGCTGCTTGCTAATATGGCACCCTCTAAGGCGACTTCGGTATGTGACCATTCACAAAGCGAATGGCACCTCTAGAGTGGTAGCCAGGCTCGGTAACGTTCAATCATTGGTAGACCATGATCATCATTGGTTGATTGAACGAGCTGCTTGCGCACTTGCATATTTGTGAGCTGACAGCTCCGACCTACCAAACTCCAGTATGTTCTCTCGATGATATAACCAATGATTGAGTGCTGCCAAGCAAGTATGTAGCACTGTGCTGTACCAGAAGTGTAACACCATGCATGCTGCTCCTTTGTCAGCTATGACTAACCGGGCGAGTTCTTTACAGTGTTTCTAGCAGCACTGTCTTGGGTAGTTACGGAACAAACGTGTAGTGCTATATATGAGATGAGGCTGTCAATATACCTAGCTCAGCGTTGTATAATATTGTCATTTTTTCCAACGATCAATTAAGCACAATACTTTGACAGCTTTGCTGCATATGTAACATCATGGCGTATTCTTCTATTTATGATGATAACCATCGCGAAACCCAACCGGTGATCACATATGCTTCCCTTGAAGATGGGTATAATCGTCATCAACCTACTCAGCACAGCCATGTAGATCCCCCGGAGACCCTGCCCCAAACCAGCTGGGATGGGCAGAGAGGCTCCACTACGACTGTATACCATCAAGTCAACCCTCACTGGAACAGTGCGATACCGATGACGTCGTTGCATCAAGGAGGATGGAGTGGCAGCACAGCAACAGCCGATACAGCCCAGGAGCAGCCGCCTCAAAGTCCAGGAAATAAATCATTTAACCAGGTGTCGCGTTCGTCAAGTAAAGGTTCATAGACCCCCGAGGTCACCACTATCGTCCTCGCCTTCGCGGCTGTCGGGGGAATTATGGGAGTGCTCGCGCACTTCAACAACCGCTCGTTGTCAGACTGGCCGTACTACGTCACGCTGAACGCACTGATCGCCTTGCTGGCAGCTGTGGCGATAGCAACCATGAGCATCTCCTTACAAAATGGGATATCTCAATTGGAATGAATTCACTTCAAGGAATCGAGAGCACCGTTAGCTGATATGGAGGCATTCGATGAAGCTAGTCGGGGGACGTGGGGTGCCCTCAAGCTTCTGGCCACCGCTCGCGGAGGGCACGTCCATTGCGTTGCTTCCTACCCGAGTAGATATTAACACGTAGACGTCTAGTTTCCTTGGTTCATTCGCGGCCGTCATTATCATCTTCACCCTTGCTCTCGGGCCTTTTGCTCAGCAGATTGTCACATATCGAACCAGATCAGTCATGATTGAGAGCTTTGGAAGCGCGACAGTTGCCCGCGCAGTGAATTACACTGCTGCGCTGCCGGGAAAAACCACACCTAGTACGTTCTTGTGTGCAGCCAAGGATAGGATGCCGCTGAAACCTTGATAGCTGGCTATGTTCCCATTCTGTCTCTCGAATCAGCTGTGTACAACGGCTTGTTCGCGGAGTACGGCGGACCAAAAGCAGCGTTGAAATTTGAGTACCAGACGGGCAATTACAGATGGCCATCCTTCGAAACTGTGGGTGTCTGCCATGAGTATGTTGACCCTGTACATCAGTAGATACTGCGCCAATGAATACGCGGACGAAGGGTGTGGGTGGGAAATTCCTCAAGGGGCGAAACTGAACGATAGGTCGACGTATTCAGCATGACACCCCTGATACCTTCGGCAAACGGCGAAATGCCTCATTCGACCATCATAAAACTGATCTTCATGGGAACGGAGGCAAAGAACGGGCGTGTGGGAGAACTAAAGCCCCGGGCTCAGCTGTGTGCGCTTTCGGCTTATCTACAGACTATAGACGCAACAGTCGTCAATGGCGTGTTGAGCGAAAATGTGACGACTCGCGTTGTTAACCAGACCGTTGTCAATATGACCAAGCAAGAGGAGGACGCGGACCTTGCCGCATATATCACAGGCGCGGACAACACAACCTACCCGGTCGGGAAAGAAGCCATATTTGGTATGCGCGGATGGTTCTCCTCTATTTCCGCTCCTGGATCTGCCGTCCGAACAGCGACTAATTTCAGCCGTACGATCACTGACAACTCTGTGGTCGTGAACCTCACAGTGGGCATCTCGAGCAGCGTCACGTTCTTCGACTCGGACATCGTCACCGCCTTCTATTAGAACTACCATCAGTATCAAAACGATGACGGCATAGATATGTTGATGACTGATATGGCCACTTCGATGACTGTGGCGTTCCGATCTTTCATGGGTGCGGTGCCGGTCTCGGGACAAGCCATCTCGACGGAGTCGTTTGTCCACGTCCGCTGGGGCTTTGCTGTCCTCCCTATCGTCGTTGTGGCGGCGGCGGCGCTGTTTCTGATGGCAGCGATTTACCGCACCCGTCAATCTGATACCAAGCTTCTAAAGAGCAGTGCTCTCGCCATGTTGCTCAATGGCTTGGACGAGGATGTCAGGTCGCAATTTAGAACAGTCGCTAGTCTCGAGAACAAGAAGAGACAGGCAAGGGCTGTTATGGTCCAGCTGGATGAAAGTAATGGTGAGAGTCTACTGAGGGGTTAAACATGCAAAGATGTAACATTAGATTGAAAGAAACGGGACCAAGCTCAAGGAACTATATAAATTCAATCCTGTCTCTCGGATTGCAGATTGAAATAACCAAATGTACCCGCGAATGTAACAGCGATGCTTCTTGAGAAAAGAATATTTTATCATGATGAACCAGTCTCTCGCCTGACAACTCTCGCGTCGTTGTACTAGGCATGAATTCTGGCCTGTTTATCTTCTTCAATGCATCAGGCCACACCCTCTATAATCCCGGCTGTGTATCTTCAGAGGACTCCCAAGTAAGTTTGTGTTATGTCCCATCTTCACTGACGCGGTAAAAGAACCCCCCCCCCTTTTCATTCCGTCTTGTCATATTAGGATTCGGACATTCGCCAGTTCTCTATTGTCCTGATATCCTTCTTCTGTTCCGCATGCCAACAGCAACCGGTCATGCATCGTCCGCTGGATTCCGTAAAAGTATTTCCGTGGGGTTTCGGTAGTTGAGATGTGGAGGGTATGTAGACCGCCAAGGCTGGGAAGTGCTCAGCCGACAGTCTCCGGGGCTGCGAGAGAAGAAATGATCCTTGCCTTTTCAACCAATGAAAATTGGTTTGCAATTAATATGATCGAACCTTCCTCGGATTGATCCAATCATATTGTGTGGAGGCGAGGGGATACCCAGGGGGCCCCATATTGATCAACAACCTTCTCTAGGAGGTCGTTCAGGCTAAAGTACGCTCTATCCAGGATTATAGCAAACAGAAGCCCTTTGCATGTTATTTATAAATCAGGCAGGTGACCTACACCTTACCAGCCTGGTGACCACCATGCATTATACCTTCAACTTTTGATCACATACAATGCTCTCGTTCATATTTGCAACTTTATTTCTCTTTTCAGGAGTGCTATCGGCTCCAGGAGACTTCCTTCCCGAGGGTGCTCTCAGCTCCGATGCAGTGCAGGCTAATTACTATTGGTCTTTCTGGCAGGAGGGAAGCGGCAGCCATAACTGCAATAATGGAGCTGGAGGCTCGTACACTGCGAAATGGTCGGGTGGCGGTGGTTTCGTATGTGGAAAGGGATGGAGCCCGGGTGGATCAAGGTCAGTCCTTACCACGTCAACTTTGCTCTACTTCAGCTCTGGCGTGCTTCCAATTTGTATGTCAAAGACAGTCTATGACTGACAACTCATGGAACCCCTTTGCAGGACCGTTACATACAGCGGGACCTACGTCCCCACAGGGCCAGGCTACCTCTCTATCTACGGCTGGACGCGCAACCCGCTGATAGAGTACTACATCGTCGATGCGCACGGCGACCTGTCGCCCGGCGAGCCCTGGACGTCCAAGGGCAACTTCACGTTCGAGGAGGGAACGTACCAGCTATACACCAGCACGCGCGTCAACAAGCCCAGCATCATCGGCACCGCCACGTTCCAGCAGTTCTGGAGTGTACGTACCGAGCAGAGGGTCGGCGGCACGATCACCACTGGCAAGCACTTTGATGCCTGGGCCAAGGCTGGTATGAGGCTGGGAGGACATGACTACATGATTCTGGCGACGGAGGGATATACGGCGACCGGGGGAAGCGGGAGTAGTGGTAATGCTAGCATCACTTTGGGGTAAAGCAGGTAAGCGGTTAAGGTGTCGACTTTATAGGCGGTGTGCTACTGAAAAACCTCGGCCGTTATTTGTAACAGATTTTGAGCTTGCATCTCAGCAAATTCTTTCATGTGAGGTCTTAATGCAGATCGATCCACCATCGGCTCATATGTAGATATTATCTTGGTATAAGGTCCAGAACCCTGGGATTGGACGCATGTACTGGAGTTCTTGTTCAGAATAAAGCTTGGGTTTTACATGGTTGTAAGATGATGTGGAAAAAAGGAGCAAGGCCGAACTTGAATGATTCACCCCACGGAGGAGATGTCTTGCCCGCAACAACTCCAACTGCGGCACGACAGGACATTGGCTAATCCAGCAGTTGCGCGTCTTGGCATATGTGCAGTACGTTGAGGTTAAAACCAGGCGCGTAAACTCTCTTTGAACAAACTTATTCATGGTCCCTCTGGAAGAGAGAGAGGGAGAGAGAGAGAGAGATTTGTAGGTATATGAAAGAAAGAAAAAAACGAAAGAAAAAAACACAAATTTGTTTATAACCTAGATATTATATACAACTAGAACTAATATATGTTGCACAACATGTAAACATATAAATATATACAACAGGCTTATCCCTATCAAGTAAGGCTGATGTAACCGATAAGGCTAAGGGTCAATGAGGCAAAATGCCAATCTTGGCAGGGATGCGCTGTCTGTCTCCTTACCCCAGATCAGCAGGCGACGGGACTGCTACCGCTAATAGGAAGAGGAGCTGGCAACCTTGCTAACCTACCAAGTTACCCTGGAGGTAGCATCTGAGAACAGAAGCGCCCGTCCTTCAACTCTCTCTTTACCTTTCTATCAATTCATGTCTGCTTGACAGAACCCACTACACAACAGCTACCTGACAATCTCTGCAGAGAAGGCTGGCTGCATTTTATACATGGGCAAAAATGCCACATTGCGCGTCGAATCGGGAATCACCTCCGACATCTGCCAATTGCCTGGTCCAGAAGCCCAGCTCTCAAGTCTGTAGCTATTCCGGGGATTTGTCTACCCTGCCCTCCCCGGCAATCTGATCGCTGTATAGCTTCACCATGACGCGACGCATCGTAAGCCTCCTTCCCCTCCATGCGCCGCTGCTTCCACCTCGAGGTACTCATGCGCCGTCCCATGGCTACAGGTCCGGACCATCACCCAGCTCAGCGCTGCTGCGTTCTTCACGTTCCTCATCGTCTTTCTCCTCGATCGCAACTTTCGGTTTATACCCAATGCGATTCACGAATACATGCCCCAGCACCATGCCGGGCTCGTCATCACAGACTTGACCATCACGAAATGTTCCACCGTCAACCTGTTCTCCTCCTGCAAGCTCGATTCGGACAAGTGGCAGCGCGTCGAGAAGGACTTGTATCTCGGGAAGGGATGGGTATCGAGCGCGTATCTTCATGTGCGAAGGCTGAAGGAGGAGGACCTCACGTCTGACGACAAGGTGGTCATGGACGTCACCGTCGGCCGACTCGACCCTACAAAATCAAGCAAGCCTCCCACGGATCAGAAATGGGAGTCACGGGGTTTCGGTTTGTGGGTTTTGCGCTCTTCAAAGATCCACGCCAGCGATTCCAAGGAAGCAGTCACTGCCGTGGACGTGCTGTTCGGCGACGATGCAGTGGAAGCCCGGCACGCATGGCAGGTCAGGGGTACACCTCTGTTGCTGGACACCAACAGGGCAATACCTGCAGCTCACATCACCGTCCGAAGGGGCCCTCACGTTGAGCCGCACAAGCCGCAGCCCCGCGTCAACGAGAACGGCAGATTCAAGATCATGCAGCTGGCGGATCTCCACTTGAGTACCGGTGTGGGCCACTGCCGCGACGCTGTACCAGATGAATACAACGGCGGGCAGTGCGTGGCCGATCCGCGGACTTTGGATTTCGTCACAAAGCTGATCGAAGAGGAAAAGCCAGACCTGGTAGTACTGAGTGGTGACCAGGTCAATGGGGACACTGCACCTGACGCGCAATCCGTAAGCTCCCAGAAATTGACAAGGTAAAGCACTTGCACTGACTCTCTAGGCCATTTACAAATACGCCCAAATACTCATCCAGCACAAAATTCCGTACGTGTCCATATTTGGCAATCACGACGACGAGGGAGCTCTGTCAAGAGCCTCTCAGATGGCCCTCATCGAGCAGCTACCCTATTCACTGTCCAGGGCCGGGCCTGATGATATTGACGGCGTGGGCAACTACTACGTTGAGGTGCTTGCGCGAGGCAGTTCAACACATTCTGCGCTCACGATTTACCTGCTGGATTCTCATTCATATTCACCCGACGAGAGGCAATGGCAAGGTTACGACTGGATCAAGAACAACCAGATTGAATGGTTCAGGCAGACCTCGGCAGGCCTCAAGAAGAGCCATAAACAGTACACCCATGTCCACATGGATATTGCTTTTATCCACATCCCGCTACCGGAATACCGCATCCCTGAAAATTTCAAGGTGGGAGAATGGCGAGAGGGTGTGACAGCACCAACATACAACTCCGGCTTCCGTGACGCCTTGGTTGAGCAAGGTGTCGTGATGGTAAGCTGCGGACAGTAAGTTTCGTGATATGGTGAATCCAGCGCAAGGAACCGTTACTGATTGGTATTTTAGCGATCATGCAAACGAATACTGCATGCTGTCCGCGGACGAGGTCGAGGGGGAGCAAAAGCCTAAACTCTGGATGTGCTACGGCGGCGGAGCTGGATTTGGAGGCTACGGCGGCTACCATGACTTTATCCGCCGTGTGCGCTTCTTCGATTTGGATATGAATGTCGGCCGTATCACGACATACAAACGTATGGAGTACAATCAGACGGACATCCGTATTGATGAACAGATCATTGTCGACAACGGCCACGCGCTGGCGCCGCCAGTCATTGAAGAATCCGCGTCTTGACAGCATTACGAGATAGGAAGATATAGTGCAAACCACCGAGTTGGATATCGTGTCAAAAGAGAAAGCAAGGTGGCCTTTCCCCGATACGTCAACCTTAGTGGACGTTTGTTTTTGGATGATTTACAAACAACATGGGCCTTGGCGTCAAATGGGGAGGATCTAACGAGCGTGCATTGCATAAAAGGCCAGGAACGAATATTAGCATTCTGGATCTGTAAGATAGGCGCACTGGAAACTGCACATAAAAGCAATTGCATTGAAGTCCTCCAATCATGGCCCTGTTTGTGTCGACCACTTCCGCCTTGGGGTTTCCATCGAAAAACACCCCAAGCTTAACACCCAGCAGCTCCCGTATATGTCAGCGGCTACTGCAATGTCGGCCGCATCAAGATGCAGGTGTTGGCTGCACAAAAGCTGGCTGGGGGTGCCATGTGCTTGGAAGGGCAACATCCAAATCATACATAATCAGCAACGATCTGTTGCGAGTCGTGCGTCATTCATTCAAACTGTTCCGCTTGGCGTAGTCTTGATTTAGTTTCTTCTTGTATCATATTATGTACGATTTCATTTAACCGACGATCTATGTCTGAGCGCAGAGCGCAGAACAACTCTGGTCTTTCTAAGTCTACTTTCGCATGGTATTTTGTATCACAAAAAGCGCTGAACTCCAGTTCCCATGCCGTTCTCTTCGGTCTTTTTTTTTTTCCTTCTTTTTTTTTCTTATGTTTCTCTTCCTCTAAGCGCCGAAGACCTTGACGCGCTCCTCGACGGGGATGAAGCTCTTCTCGCCGGCGGGGGCGGTCTTGCCGCCGAAGACGAGCTGGGCGTTGAGCTTCCAGCTGCTGGGGACGTCCCACTGGGCCGCGACCTTCTGGTCGATGACGGGGCTGTAGTGCTGCAGGTTGGCGCCGAGGCCCTCGGCCTCGAGCGCAACCCAGAGCGTGTGCTGGAGCATGCCGTCGGACTGGGCCGCCCAGCCAGGGAATTTGTCGGCGTACGCTGGGTAGTCGGACTGCTGCTTCTTGACGGTCTCGGATTCTTCAAAGAAGAGGATCTGTCCGGGGGAAGTTAAGTGTTAGCTTTCTGATGGTTATCGTCACCCGGCGGCATCTTGGATACCAAAGAGGAATGAGAGACGTACAGAGCCGGCGGAGGCCTTGAACATGTTCAGCTTGTCGCCGGTGGGCTTCCAGTTCGCCTCGGGGACAATGCCCTTGAGGACCTCGGCGGTGATGTCCCAGAGCCTCTCGTGGTCGTCGCCGAACAGGACGACGACGCGGGTGGACTGGGCGTTGAAGGAGCTGGGGACGTGGAGAGTGGCCTGCTTGACGATGTCGACGATGCGCTCCTTGGAGATGGTCAAGTCCTTGGACAGGGGGTAGTGGGAGCGGCGGTTCTTGATCAGCTCGATGAGCGAGTCGGCCGAGACGGGAGTGGAGGAAGACATGGCTGCTACGGGTGTGTATGGGATAGCTGGAGATCGAGAGAATGCTTTGGGAACGATTGTAGTTCGTGGAGAGGTATGCCTGAGAGATTGTCTGATCACAGAGGAAAAGGTTCTTATGGTGGATGGGCGCAACATCGTGGACTTTATATATAACAGGCTGGGCGTATGGAGTGGTATACTACTTGTCGCACGGGTATGCTGGTGGGCCTACGCAGCTTCAGAAGGAGGGGTCACGAATCGCAATAGAGGGGCGATTCAGGCAATTCTGGCGCTGCATATACGGATCCGTAGAAGTTGGCGAGTTGTTATGGAAAAGTATCGAAATATTCGAGCGTACGAACCCACATTGCGCCGGCATGGTGCCATTAAAACAAGGTCCCGCGTCTGCGAAGACCCCACAACGTGTTTGATCTGGCTTACTGAGATCTTATGAAAGCAACTCGTCGCGGGACGGATTGTGATGGAGCGCTTGTGCCTGGCTCGCAGGCTGGCGCTGTCATGATTGTTGATTGCTGAGATAATCCTCGCTAATCAACATTTAGAGCACGCAATGCTGCGCTCGGGAAGCCTCGCGCTAGCCCTATAGAGAGAAGCTCTTTCTGATGCGGGTCGAAATGTGGGACGTGGAGGATTGGGGCAGTGAGGGTCGGCACTCTGTGTTGTAGCGGTATGATTTCACGTCTTCTTCAACCACGGAGATGGCTCTCGCTCACGAGGTGAGTTTCTCTTGACCTTGTGCGGCAGTCTCGAGCATGCCAGAGTCCATTCTTCTTCGCTTCACATAGTATATCATGCAGGCTCGGTCTGCAGTCCCGTCATTTAGCAGGGCCCATGTAAGTGGTATAGTTGTCACAACCTTATTTCTTGCTCTATCCTTGGCACCCCGGCACGAGCATCAGTATTCCGACGTAGTTGCGTTGCGACTGTCCGGCGTTCTGACTTCATCAGTGGCGAGAAACGGAGCCCCGCATCTCTGCTCGGGCGTGGCCCGGAACCTTCCATGAAATAGGAAGTCGCTGTCCGGGAGGCGGATGATCATAAACTCGACTTAGTGTTACCAAGTGGAAGATGCTAGAATATACTCGGAATATAAGAAATCAATTTTGTGAGCGCGCTTCCCAGAAGCATTGTAACATGTTAGAGTGTCTCGGTGATTATGATCGACTGGTTTCTACAAGTGACTAAGTCTGCAAGCCTCGCGCAAGGCACACTTCTCCGCCATCAATTTTAGGGATCAGTAACGGAGATAATAGCAGCTCACAACATCTTTAAGTTCAGATCCGACATCCGTTGTTTTATTAGTAGCCTTTTTGACCGTCACCATAGAGGAAATTCGGGCTTCAACTCACCATCGAAAAGTGCAGACCATACCTTGTGGTGGGGAGAAGGGGATACCGTTAGATGGCTTCGCCAACAACCAATCAAGCTGAGTGTGTCTCTATCAGCTCAGGGAAGAAGCGAAACAGCACTGAGAAGCAGACGGCAGTGGACTATAATAGATCCGGATTCACGAACAAAGCAACATCCAGCGACATTGAGGGGTCTGGCTGCCGCAGATATGACTCGTCAGCTGATACAGTAGAAGCATCAGGTTGTGGGGCTAAAGCAGAACGATATCGAGCAAGCATGCCTGATTGCATCGATACAATCGCTTTCAAAAGAAAAGAAAAACATATATGGAGGTTGTAAAGCAGTAGGCGATCAGCACGCAGTTTCACGGGTCCAGGGGAGAATCCCGCCGCGCCTCGCCTCTGAAGCATATGATCTGTACCGTGCGGTACAGCTCTATTCATCGCCTCTCTCGCTTGAGCAATCTTCATATAGACGGGTTGGACACCTACAACGGAGGTGCTTGATTCGAGTCCTAGCTTGCTCTCGCGAGCCGTGAGGGACGATTCGACAATTGATCCTACGCCTGTGCTCGTATCATTGATAACCGCATTAGATAAATCGGGCATGGGGCCCAGATCTCAGGCCACACCTCCTCCCAAAACGCGTAACTGGAGAACCACATATTTAACTCTAGCAGAAAGGGCAGCTTGAGCGGTACTGAGTGGCGAGAGCATAGGATACCTGGATCAAGGTATCTCGATTTCCTGACCAGAGCGTGTATGTCTGGTCTAGACTATCCTATCGCCCATCGTCGCGCAGTCCAGCGCAATCACTTCTTGTGAGCTCAGAGACCCGAATGAGCTTCCCGAAAAGATGAGACACCCTGTCATGAGCGGGGATGTGACTTCAGGATATCATCAGTTGGATACACAATCGTATGTAGATGCCAAACAGTAATTTTGAGCGTTGGCACCAAATAGTCTGGCAGACTCAACACGTCTGGGAAAGCGGAGTTAGGACAGATTAGAGGGAGAATAAATACTACCCAGGACACGAGAAGACCAAAAAGGTTGTTGTTTGTCAGTCGTATTGATCTACAGTTCTTGTGCCCGCTTCTGTGTCTGTCGGCCTTGGCCAGTAGCCAGCCAACCGTCGTGAGTGCTCAGTTGCACGAGTCATGCGACCACAAGACATCCCAGCCCATCAGACCATACACTCCTGCACTCTGCCACATCCATGCAAAAGACGGCGCGCGATGTTACACGTGGACAAATAAGTCGGGATGTTAACACATCATCAAACCCCCCACCATATGGCAAAGTACAGCATTACTGGCACTTTTCACGGGCGAGTAGAAGGGTGACTCCACCACAACCCCGAGCCCGAGATGGTTTATGTCCGAGGCGGAGGTGTTTCACAGATTGGGACCGGGTGGGACGCCCGTGCCATACATATTACTTCTGAACCCCCACCGCACTCTGAAAAGACTGTCACCTCAGATGTTGTTGTCCATTTATGTACCCTATGGAAGATATATACAATCTCCAAAACGCCGCGGCAGTGTTGCCGATCCCTCGAAAATGCCACCATATGCCAGGACTTTTTTTTTTTTTCTTTTTGACGAGTCCCCGATGATGCATCTAATACGGCGAAAACTGACCTAAAAGAACCCCGAAAAGAACCCGGTCTCCAGCTTGCGCGAAACGCCAATCTAGTGCCACTCTCGTCTGCAACTAAAAAAGAAAAATCAAGGAAACAACGAACTGTCGTGAGCGAAATAACCCAACGGCCCCGAGGCACCAATGAGATGTATTGTCTTCCCGGCGCGAAGTGATCAACCACCACCTAAGCCAGGCAGCACAGAGCCTACCATGTCTCAGCGATGTACTGACCTACCTCCTTCTTGAGGTCCCAGAACCTTCGTGCCTCGTCTTGCTCGAGGTTGCCCTTCGCCATTGCGACTTTGACGAGCGCATCCTCGACGCCTTCGCCCATTCCCTTGGAGCTGCCACAGACGAAGACACGACCGTCGACGGAGTTGATGACGTACCAGACAAGGTCAGCCTGGTTGGAAACTTCTTCTTGCACATATCGGCCCTCACCGCTTCGGCTCTCGACGATGCGCTTCACGTCGCTCTCGTGCACACCCCATTCACCTTGGTATATCTCATCGACGAGGGAATCGCGAATGCCCTGGAGCACCCACACTTTGTTGGCACAGTTGGCGTTCTTTAATCTGCGTTGGACAAAGCCACGGAACGGAGCGATACCGACACCAGCCCCAATAAGAAGCATCGGGCCATCGGACACGAACTGCTTTGCTAACGGATTTGCCATCAGACCCTTGAACATGGGGATGTACATCTGAGGTGCGGGGTTGCCAGCACGCTGCAAAGCAGTGTACTTGCGGGACTGGCGCTCAAAGAAGCCGGAGCCAATGCCAGTTCTCTGGCCCTTTTGCCAATCGTTGGTTTCGTGGACTGTAACGGCAATCTCGATCAGACGGTGCTGCTTTCCATCCCGAACCTCAAAGTTCTCATGAGGGTCATTTGACAGAGAGTAGAAACGCGGCATAAGAGGCTGCAGAACAGAAAGAAGAAGATCCAGAGGGGGCTTGGCCGATGGGAAAGCGTGAAGCAGTTGGGCGAGCGACACATGAGGGCCGGTACGGAAGTCACAAAAGACGCCCTGGCCCTCACCTGCACACAGGAACATGAGAATCTTCTTCTCGTTCGCGTCATTGGCGTACTCGGCCAGTACTCTTAACAAGTGCTTAGTCGGCGGGTACGACTGAATGTCTGAGCACCAGGTAAGCAAGTCTCTGCGGGTAGTGACAAGCTCTCGTGCCTGTTCATCTCCCCAGACTGTGGGCCAACGTCCACTGGTGGTTTGAAGAAGGACTGGCTTGTCCCGGAGATATCTAGGAACTCCCAAAAGGTCGAGGACTTCGACCACCATTTCAGTATCGTTGGGAGCAGAGACACCAATGGCTCCACCGACCTTGAAGTCCAGGCCGTCTTCTTCCGGGTAATCGGTGATATCAAGATCAAAGTGATAAGTCCGCTTCTCCGCGCCGACCCTAGTCAACTCTCGGGTATTGTGGATCCTGGCTGGGAAGACGTTGTAGGGTGGGTGCGGCTGGACAAAGGAGGGCGGCTGAATCGAAGTGTCAAGGTCCTCCAGACCAAGTTTGGCGACGGTGTGATCGAGGTTGTTTGAGGCGTTTGCACTCTCACGCCCACTACTCACGGAAATAGCGGAATCGGTAGGTGAAGGTAGACGGTCTGATGTACGACGGACCGGCTTCAAGAAAGCAGTCTGCTGTGGCATTTCGGCGACATTGTTGAGAACCGTAGGAATCTCTCCGATCTTAAGACAGAGGCTCCGGAAGGCGTCGTTGTCGGGGTGAGGGACGTTCTCATATTCAAGGCCCTCCTTCTTCTGGCCCAACTTCATACAACAGCCGCCGCCACAGCACCTCTTGATGACTTCTGTTGTAGATTCGCCGGTAATTCGCTGAATATCGGCCACACTCTGAGAGATGAGCCTCGTCGAAGCTCGGCGCCGTCGGTGCGGCTCTTGTGGTTGTGGCAATTCATCTTGGTCTTCTGAGTCTTCCGAATATGTGAGAGAAGGTGCAACCGAGGGTGTGCCCGGTGTGCAAGGTGTGCAGTCGCGGACCGAGTCGGCGAGGATTTGTTCCATGCGTGTAGACATTTTTGTGGCGAATTTCCGTATGCGAAGAAAGTAAATGCAAATATGGAACCGTCGAATCCAAATAGAGAATTTACTAGTCTAGGTAGTGAGAAAGATGGGAAATGTGCTTGTCGTTACTGGGCGAATGTCATGACCGAACCACCTGGATGGGGGGCGCGTGTGTATGCAATGAGTTATGAGTGATGTGATATCAGCCCACGAGCCGAGGCCGATCCTTGGAAATTTGGGCAGTTTTTACAACAATGGCGAGTGGTAAATTGTCGGCAAGCACGTCGAATGACGTTGTCTCAAGAAACAAAGAGACTTCTCGAGCTGATTGGTGATGTGTGAGTAAGATGATTGAGTGGAGTGAACCTCAAGGTTGCTTCTTTGTGCTTCTTAACTCAAGAATTTCCAGATTGGAATTGCTGAGCAACACTGGCAACGCTGAATTGGTGGGCGGATTTGATCAGATAAGTCAAACGGCCTGTTCGGTCAGCGATGATGAATGTGGTTAAATAAATGGCCCCCCCTAATCAGATGGCACGGCATGGATGCTTGGTACGGTATGTAATATGTAGTAAGAGCCGGCTACAGCAAGGGTAGGTGCCGATGCGTCTTCGATTACCTCACTGCAGTGTGATTAGCGACTGATTACAGTGTATCTGTACTGCGGCTGTACGCCCCCCGATGGCAGGTCCCTGGAAGACTTTGGCTTTTCCGAGTGGAAAATCCCTGCAAGGTTAGCGTTGGCTCCATTTTGCCATGCGAGGCCTTCTGGGGTCCGGTCTCGCCGAGCCACAAACAATTGCGTGCCTGCCCTGGGACCCTCTTCCAGAGAAGCCAGACTCGAAATCTCGTTGCTCTCGGATCAACTATGAATATTGCGACTCTCACTTGTGGGCAAGGGAACATACGATCCGTGCCCTTATGCTGTACAAAGGCTATCTTATGCGCATTTGCTGAACCCCCTAATATACATGCTATTTGATGAGCAAGGGAAATGCAGCGGAAGGGGTTTGTTGGAGCAAACTTGAGGTCATTGAATGACACCAGCCTGCAGCGCAGATCGTCTTCAGCAGCATGAGGTACACGGAATAGCATCGCGCAATCATCTCAGAATCTCAATTACCTACTCTCTCAAATCTTCCAGGAGCCCAATGGATGGGCACAAGTACAGTAACACAACAATTTACCCGAAACATGCATTTCGGCAGAGTCCTCGGTTCAGTACGTACAACGCTTCCGTGAAGCAAACCAAGTAACTACGCGGTCAATTTGTTGAATACAGCGTTTGCGGCTAGGGTATACGTAGTGCCTGCGTGTCTGGGGTAACATTCCTCCCCTGACATGGGAAGAGCCAACGATGCCAACGCTGCCAACCAACTGTAGCATTGCTGAGAATTACTTGTACGACCCCAAGAGCAACCCTATATCGACGGATGTAAATAAACGCTACATCCACTGATTGGGTTGTGGCAATGGTCTCAACTGCAGGCCCCCATTCCTGAACACCTTGCATTGATTGTCGGTTGGCTGATGATCCACAAAATCAGCACATCATGATGCTATTCCCCATTTTCAAAAGTCGTCGGTAATGCCTCCCGGCCGCTACCGGAATACGCAAATTCCTCGGAGCTCCTCCTGCACCACTTCGCCAGCATTAGTGACCGGCTATCTTCCGAGAGTCCACGATACAAGCTTTGTAGAGTCTAATCCGAGTTGGCTGGTTCGCTCCCAACGTCTCAATGACTCCTCAGTAACATCCCAATAGTTACCACGTGCAGCTCTGTTCATGAGGGGTTGCTCCATCACGATGCGTCTGCACTAGCAAAACATGCAGCTCTGGCAGATGGCCCAGAAGGTTATCGACTCTGTGCTTATCCATTGGAATTGCAGTCGTTATCAATGCCTTGTTGCTTTTTTCCGATTGTGCGACCACGCTCATCGTTCTATTGACCGCCATTACCGCCAAGATGGACCTCATTTCGACATCACCCAATAGCCTCCTGGTTTTCAGGCGTGGCACTGATCATCAATGAATCTTATCAATTCCATCAGTGGGCACTGTGTTTCACAAATTTTATCAATCTCATCTAATCTTATGGACTCCGACACCGGACGGGGCTTTAAAAAGGCAAATTTCATGTAAGAATGTCACAAGCAAGAAGTCATCATTCTCAACGTATCCACATGGCGTAGCTCTCAGTCAGACAAGTTCGATCTGATAACTTTGATGCATCCCAACAGCTTGGTATGGCCTGCATCATTGGCCGACACCAACCAGCCGACAAACATCGCGTCGCATCGTGGGCCCCGTCTTCCTTGCGCATTAATCTCCCGCACACGTGATCGGCGACATAAAAGAAGTGGCTGTTATGGATAGGAATAGGTAATAACCTGACAATGCTAGGATGCCCCAGGACGCGTCCAACCTGCCTCCTGAAAATTGGGCACGTCTCTGTTACGCGACACTGATGATCAGATAAGATTGAACTGAGGCTAGAAAGGAAATCCCCTGTCCGTGCCAAGTCGCGTATATTCCGGACGTGTCAGTGAAACCCAACCCAACTTTCCCGCTATTGGTATGTAGTTACGAATTACATTCTGACAAGTGCCGCTTGCTCGAATTGCCTACTACCTTGATGGCCATTCTACAAGCCCTCGTTAAACTGGCTGAGGATGCGATGGACTTTTTAGACTTTGTAGTTCTATAGCATAACAGTATGTGTATTTAAAGTGAATGCAGTGGAATCTTCAGCCGTTCTGCTCCTCAATGTCCAAGCCTTTGCGGAAAACTTCATTGGTTGACGGGACCAAGTCCAGCATTCATTCAGCTTATTGAGTAAACAAGCCTCATATACCACTAACTTTCTTCGAAACACCTTGCCAGCCCCATTCATCTCACTTCATTGACCAATTGCTACTTTGTGGCCCAACAATAGTAGCTTCTGTCCTTATCGAGAAGAGTTGCTATCCTTGTCTTATTCTAGAAACCTGTAAGAGTTTCACACAGTGCGGCTGGCTCGCGAAGTCAAGAGCTACGTACCAGTAACTTATCCATATTCTGTTACCGCGATCGCAATTTCTTGCTGCTTCTACCTCTCCTGAGAACCGGAACTCTCGGGGGAAATCACTTCCTTGGCTGCTTGGCCGCGCCGAGACATCTGCTCCAAACAGCATAGGGGCCATATAGACGCTTGACACGAGCTTTTAATCCGCGGTCTTCACAGCTAAAAGGTTAAGTCGATGTGGGGCAATGTCCCATGACCGGAATGTCCTGCGGACATGGTTGTATCGTCGCCAGATGCCTGCAATGTAATTTCAGGCATCCCATGTCAGTGTGCTTGTCTCTACCAGAAATGATCTTCTCTTTCCAAGTAATCTACCGAGCCGGCGATACTTGAGTCTTCGGCGTTGCTTGGACCTTGGTCATAATCTCGTCGGGATTCCAAGAGAATTTCGATTCATCATCTATCATGCCACAAAGCATGCGATCGCAAACCCAAGTCATGCTAAGTCGTTCCGTCCTTCCTCGTCTTCTTCCATGGGGTGTTGACTAAGGGGAAAAGTTCATCATGATCTCGGCATTTGCGCAATCTTTGTTTCGTTTATGAATTATATCAGCCAAGCTGCAACGCTATCGCATCTCTATCATCATTACTTTTTTGGCCTTGCTTTTGGTTGTTAGTCCAAAATGTCCGTTTGTGGTGGACATAAAATTTGTATCGTATACCACTCTACTTTCCATCCGTTTGCATATGTCTAGGACGAAAACACGTCGGACCTCTGATTGCGTCTGCCAATGGGAGACCGAAGACTCCATGAAGGCTATCGGGGACATTTCGGGACGCGAGCGGTACTCAGTCATCCATAAACAGTCTCCAAAGAAACAAAATGAAGATATGTATCTGTCATCTTCAGGCTTCCCCCCAGATAAGCGGAAAACGGTGCCAAATATGGCGTCATATTTTAGTCCTTTGTTGAATCCTCATGACAATTCCTTTTTTCTTTTTTTTCCCTTTTATAACTTCGGTTCTTTTCGTAAAGTCGTCAAACAAATCGCTTCCGTAATGTTTAAGTGTCTCGATGATGGTTTCATGATGTCGTGAACGTACACTTCATTCGTGATAGGACATGCACTCACAAATTCGCCTATAAAATGACCATCTACATACGGCCATGGCGATGATGACTTCGGTGATGTCAGCACTGTCATGTTGAGAAAGTAGATCATTAATCTCGGCGATTAGATACAGTCATTGGTTGTATTCATGCATGCACGTTTAATACACTAAAAGTGCTGCCTTGAAATCTTTCCAAGTGCAACTATGTATTCCACCGACAACTGCGCCATGTGAGCCGGCGATTACGCGTTCTTGCAGAATCCATGCTCTTCGAAGTAGGATGCCTAGTAAAAGTATTGCATAGCAGCTAGTGGAGATTTTATTTTGCAAAGCTGTGTCGGGCTTTGTTAGCCATTCACTTTCTAGTCGAGACTGAACGTCTATAAAGTGGAAGGGGGATGTTCTTTTTCTTTTTCAACGCCCTCTAGACAGCATGAAAATGCTAATAAATGCAGCCGCCACGGATTTATTTTCTTTGTCAGCCTACAAAAGGACATTACGCGCCATTCCAAAGACCTCTATTATTATTGCAACTTGGTCGTTAAGTTCCTGCTAATCTTTCTGGTTGATACAGACAGCATCAATCCATAGCGTCCGTCTTCGTCTCTAGACGGAGGCTCTCTCGAGCAGTTTTTCAATTTGGAGTTATAAGAATTCTGTTTGGGCCAAATTGGCTTGGAATCGCTCCAACCTTTTTCTTCCATTCGTATGATGAAATCCGTTCTTTCTGAGAGCTCTAAATCACCGATTTCGACTTGAAATAACATCACCACGTAGGCCTGGGTGTAGTTCCAGGACGCGGATATGGCTTTGTTTACATTATGGAAAATATCGACATACCACTCTCTCGGTTGAATTATCCTAGTCTGTCTTCCTCGGGCGCTTTTATTGTTCGACCAAGTTGTAATTGCGTAACAGAGTAATGCCATAGCTGACTCGTGAATAGACGCTTGCGTGTTGATTTCGAGGCCGCCTTTACACTGCCACTCCTATAAGGCTGACATGACGTCTGGGAAGCCTTGCGGGCAAGATCGCCAAATAAAATGACTATTAAAATACGGGCTTTTGGCGTTTAGCCAACTGATTGTAATGCCGATTTGCCTGTAAATTACATTTCAGTAAGCAATTTCATCGCGCATTTTGGTTTATACACTTCTCTGTGATTTAGAAAGTGGATAGATTTTCTTACCAGAAGCATCATGTTCTCAATGCCATCCAACAACACAGCCACCCACGTCCCAGGGCAAGGAGTAGGCCCAGAGGTGGTCACTGTGCCAACCTCCCAGCCTGATTCACCGCCAGTGGCAAAGAAGTCCAAGCTCGGTTCGCTGAAGAAACTGTTGAAGTCGCCCGCAGTCGGTGTCTTCGAGAAGAACGTCTCTAAGGACAAGCAAGACTGGGGTACAGGCAATAAATTTGGAGACGGGCCGTACCGGCTGCTCGCGATGACCCCGGGTGCTGCTGACTACTACATCGCGAAAGGTGCGACAGGCGAACGACCTAGCTAGGACGACTACGGTCGAACAGAATTTCCATCGGCTGTCATGGTGTCTTGGTGCCAATTTGTTGCACAAAGTGTTTGGCGAGTGCGGTTATAAATGTTGCTGATGCACTCTGATAAGGGGGTCAACCTACAGCTGCCCGGGGCTGCCCAAGGTAGTTTAATGTCTCTCGACTCAGACTCGGCTCAGTCAATTCTTAGTCACGTGTCCTAAACAGCCCTGAGCTGCCATAAGCCAGATTTCATGAATAATTATGCACATTGTCGTTGTTTTCGGCCTCGTCTGCTGCCACGGTCAGGACACTTTTGTGCAGCCACGCTCCGCCTCCGACGGTTTGCAGCTGTAACTGTTGCATTTTCGATTGAGGCTTAGTGGTTACTACAACTACGGGTAGTATACCTGCCAAAATTTCGCTACCACCCCGTAATAGTTTTCTGTTTTCTGACTCCTCTAACCTAAGTTATTAACCCCCTTTTATTGTTATAGTTTAGTTTTAGTGGTCATGGTATCGTCCTTCGTTACCTAAGATTGGCAATGCCTCTTATTATTAATAGTTACGAGTTGGCTATAACTTGTGTTAATCAATTATAATCGTTGTAAAGTGCTTACAAATCTTGTCGATTATAAGGTAGGTGTTAGTGGTATTTGGGCTGTTAGGTCTGGTGCGATACGTCCATACTCTCGAAATGTATCACGAAAAAAAGATTCAGGGTACGGAGACATCCGTCAAAAGTCATGAGTCGCCCTACTTATATCTTGGCATTGGCGGTAGGTGTAGAGCTCCCAAGCTAGCTAAAGCTGGACCGGATAGAACTAGTTATACCTGATATTACGGATTAAGGCTCTCTTAGTTGTAGGTAGCAAAGGCAGCTATCTTGTACCAAGATATAAATGGGGCGACTTATGACTTTTGATAGCTGCCTCCGTATATGGTGGTGAATCGGCCAGGTAGTTCATTTCGATATAACTAACGATTAATACGGTTCTATGAATTGGGTTGGTGAGAAGTTAGAGGAGTTAGAAAAACGAAAATTATTACTAGGTCGCGGTGAAATTTTGCAGGTGGGTAGGGTAGGTCTAACAAGGGACTAAACCCGAAAAGCGAAAATGCAACAGATATAGTTGTGAACCGTCGTACCGCTGCGTGAGTTTGGTAAGCTAATTACACGGAAACAAATTTACAGCGCAATCCAATGGATGGTAACAGCAGCTGGAGTGCGCCTTGGTCCAGCAAAAATATTGCCGTCAACTCGCAAGGCTCGTCACCCCTATTCGGCTTGCCTAGAGAGATTTACGATGCCATTTACTATGAGTTATGGCAATCGGTTGGTGTAAGACATCATATCTTCTGGCACGAAAACCTCATAGAGCCACACCAAAGCCAGTACTGTTTGTGGTCTGGCATTACAGGCTTCAGTGTGGAGGACAGCCTGCAACTACAGCTTGAGCAAGTATGGGACGAACACGGATGCCCAAATACCCTGAATTGCGACAAGGTCTGTTGAGAATGTCTACGATCTCCTTGGCACGAACACTGGCCTTGTGAGGCACATCTGCTGGAAGCCTGCAAGATCACGGCCATAGAGAGTATCAAACCCGAAGGAGCGAAGTTTGACTGTCCATGCTTGGTTCGATCCACTCGGGTACAATACACGTACTTGACGATGATGCTATCTTGCAAACTGGTGTAAGTGCGAGACGGGTAGACGTCGTGGTCTGAAAGCTAAGTAGTTTCAGCTACGAGGAGTGTATCATTTCGATGTTTGAATCGACGTCTTTCGTCTTAATAGGCACAAAACCATTGAAATGCTCCTTGGCAAACGGGCAACAGGAGTGTTTCACAGACATATCAGACATCTAGAGTTGTCCGTGGTAAATGAGTTTACCTCTCGTATGCTATGCTGCACCAAACAAAACGATGAGCCGCACACGCCTTATGACTTCCTTTGGCTGAATTTAGCGGAGATGATAAACTGCCGCCAAATAGATATCTGGATTGTAGCGCGTCGGCACGCTGGCGCTCCCAACACATTGGGCAAGCATGTCTGCTTTACCAGCCTCAGCGCAAGTGAGCTTGAGAATATTTTCCTTAAGTTAGCAGATGCTATTCCACATTGCGAGGTCACAGTGACTTCGCCATTGGGAAAGGACATCAGTCCTGAGCAGGGCTTTGTGGACAATTTACAACTAGGTCAAGGCATTCATTTATGGAAGAGATACACGGGCGATAAGTTTCGATCGGCACCCGGCTTTCGTATTTTTCAAAAGCTTGATAGGTATATGGGAACATAGAACATATCAATCTTCAACAAATAATTCTTCAGAGATGGTCTAACATGGTCTTAATAAATCTACGGCTCCTGTTCCTACCAGAAGAGGTGGTACGATGCTTCGCTTCTCTTCATAAAGTCAGGACAGGATACTTTAAATGGAATAACACTGCACGAATCATCAAATTACCTGGCTTGAGAGGTATTGATGTAGCCCCTTAATGGACTATGGTCTGTAGTCCTGTTCGGCGACTATGATTTGTCACTAGTGAAGGACATTGTACTGGAGAGCAGGCCTTAAGGAGACCATTTAGGTCTATTTCTGTTTTGCTGCGTAAGCCTAGAACCTGGAGTTTGCCTTACCACCGGCATAGACATCTAGCCCTATTGATCGCTGTTAAAATTTATGCGGATTATTTTTCAAACTTCATGCAATGCTGAGCCAGTATGATCCAGTGAATTCACTCTTGAGGTCAAAAGATTCATTGAAGTGCATTATATAAAACTTGTTTTAACTTTGCCCTGTAGTAGCCAACTTAACCTTGCTTAGGTTCTAGTTGCTAGGACTGTAAGGAGTTCAATCTGGCGGCCATAGTAAGGCATCTTGTGCTCGTTTAACCACGAATGCGCTGATTTCTGCTGTGGCGAGGCTTAAGAGTATTTATACAGGCAATAATTTTCAGTGCCAAATATAGCTTACTTACTGTTCCGTCGTTTTCTCTTTTAAGCGGTGCGTAACGCTCTATAGATTCTCCACACTGCGTGAATGACTTCCTAGGTAGTCATTGTCATGATGGCTCGTGCACGGCCTCGTACACTCGTGCCCTAAACAGTATTAAAGGTAGGCGAAATGCTAACAGAGCCTTTCACACAACCTAGATAGCAAGCTGGCAAAGTGGCCAAATCGAATAGCTATATATGATAACTACTTTTGGACATTGGACACTTTTCCTTACCACGATATGGCCCTACACTAACCGGGTAAAAGTCTGTACACCCCCTACTAGCTAATTTCCCCATTATAACACAGATACGCGACGCGTCTTTTTGATATTATTACTTATCCCAACTGCAATTCATCATGGATATACGTGAATTTGGTCGCGTTATAAGCGGAAATCGCAGGTCTAACAGGTAATTTACTACAGAAGGCCGTATGGACATTTTGGGGTTGCGTGTAGCCGGTATTCCAAGGTCGAAAGTCATAGAGCTTGTGAAAGCAAAGAGCTGCGATATTGTAACCAAAATCTGCAACAACACCTTACAACGCAGCACTAGGAAATCAGCGTTTAGAAAGGGTACTTCTAGAAAGCTTAGCTGACAATCTAAACACCGGCTTGTTATTTTGGCCTGTAGGAATCCTCGATTAATGTATGCTGAGCTGAAGAAATAGCTGCACACCTGTGTGAGTGAGAAGGCACTCAAGAGAGCATTGGCGCGGAACCACCGAACGAAATGGTGTGCTGCGAAGAGAATCCAGCTCACTGAAGAATCGGCAAAGCAGAGGCTCGAGTCATGCTATAGATATAACACACCGGCCAAGATACGGGAGCTCTTACGAACACTGTTTTCGGACGAGTGTACAGCCTAGAATGATCCCGATAAGCTAGGCGCTTGGGTCTTCCGCCACTCGAATGAGAGGTATCGGGAGGATCTCGTAAATCTACAGGTTTGTATAAAGCCCAGGATTTCGATTGTGGTATGGGGGATGATTTGGTTGTGAGGAGATGAAGCTGGGGTAGCACCCTTACAGTTCTGTGAAGGAGATCCAGATGCACCACGTGGAGGAGTAACTGCAAAATCGCATCGATTAGTCCTCGAAGATGGCCTGCTTCCGCTCTACGAAGCTAGTAATCCATTTATGCAGGATATGGCGAAGATCCATACTTAAGGAGGGACATCAGAATGGCTGGAGAATCACGGAATATGGAATATAGTATAGCTAGCTAGCTTACAGCCTCGATCTTAACCCAATCGAGCACGTATAGAGGGCTTTTAAAGCCAAGATCCTTAAAGACGAGCCTCACTTTGCCGAAATGAAAGAGAACGTAGCCGACGAATCATGGGCTAGAGAGGTATTAAAGATGGCGTAGTTTAAAATAGGTTCAGGGTACGTGGCGGCACTTATTAAGTCTGTAGAGAAGCGGGTAAAAGTTGTGCGCAAAGCACGTGGCTGGCATACACACTATTAAATTTACTATATAATGCACTTATCCCCGTGTTAACTGAGTGTGGTTTGCCTTAGAAATTACATTTTAATGTGTTGTCACTATACGTGGCTGTGGGAATTTTATAGGGGAGGGGGGTGCACAGACTTTTGTCAGGTTAGTGTACTATGTTTTATCTTATATACCGTCCGATTCCGCCCGGGCCGATATTGGTCGCAAGTTATATTAGTAAGACTCGTTATTACTACACGTCGTTACTAGACTAGTATAAAAAGCTATTAATACGCATCGCTATTAGTAGAGCTCATTATAAAACTCATTTTAAAGCACGACTATTATAAATTATTAATTGCATTATAGTCTTTTAAGTCCGGTCAACTTTGAGTATTGCTAACATCGCACCTCTTCCCGCGCGTAGTGCGTTACTAAAAGGGTAGCGACGGCGAAAACCTGGGCTACTAACTTGGAAAGGCTAAATCTAGATGGTGTACCATTTATTAGTGAACGGATGCCGGAAGTAGTACAGAGCCAAAAAAAAAATTTTTTTTATGTTAATCGAGCTCCTTTGTAAATAACTTTGATGTTACCTAGTATATTATATAGAATTAAACTGTGCCGGCTCTGTCCGTAAATAACCCAGCTAGTTATGTATATTTATTCTTCGGGCAATACCCAGGTTAAGCTTGGACCAAGTTCAGGTTTAACCCTGTCAAGCTCAGGCTTAAAGCGGCGCAGCTCAGGTCTGGATTTGGCACCAAGGTCGCCATGGACAATCTACTTACGGAGCCATCCGTACGAGCTCTCTAATAAACCGCCTTACCGCAACACTTCTAAATACTAATTGTGGAAGGTAGTTGTACATATTACCGCAAGGACTTTAGTAAATTGTTGATAGGCAAAACCTAAACCTCTCATTAAGCTTCCAAGTAACTCACTCCTTCGCGGCGTTTGGACAAACGTTAAATCAACACGACACAATACGACGCGGTACGACATGATAATGGTGTTTGAAATCATGGCTGATCAGAGAAATCAAGAACCGACAAGTACGGCCTTGAATGTTCAAAGCATGCATTTCTCTAACTCGACCTTCGCTATGGATGAACGCTGTCTACTTTTGCTATTCAAATCCGCGTTTCCCCATACCGGCAATCGTCGTCCACCCCAAAAAGAGGGTATTTTTGCACCAACGCCCACATGATAGCTCTTCCCTCATCGTCGTTGATCATCTTCATAACTTGTTGGAGAAATTTCTCTTTTCTCTTTGCTGCTGCCGCCGTTGCCACCTTCTGAGATTTCCGTCAAGTCCTCCAAGTGACCGCCTGGGCCGCGGCGCGGTTCTTCTGGATCTTTTGCAATGAGGTCTTTCTCAGGTGCGAACGCGCCCTGCTGGCAACCCCGGTGATTTCCTCCTCCTCTGGTGTCGGCTGGGATTCTGTTGTGCCGTTTGCGACAGCAGCCCCCTAGGCCGCAACTCGACTCGGACTTCGCGACAACTTCCTACTGGCCTTGTCGCGAATGATCTGCGTACTTGTTGCTGCATCGTATCCAATTATATGCATGAGATAGAGTAGCCTGTTTGTAATAGATTAATAAAGATGCACCAAAGCGATAAGCCAGAAATTGACTCACTTTTCTTCGTTCGCCTCCTTCTCCTTCAGATCTTCGAAGCGCGCCTGGCAGTCCGCCCAAGTCATGGCTCGTTTCTTGGGGGAGACGGTCTTGATCGTAAACTTGAAGCGGCCGGATACAGGCCTGTGATCAGACACCCGTACCTCGTGTCGCCTATAGTCAAGTTGTTGAATCCTGCCATCGCCGCGGTGAAGGAGGCGATCACACCAAGCGGGAGAGCGTTTCTTCTCGCTGGAGTCGTAGTTATCAGTCCCTACATCATACTTGTAGGTGGGTGCGAATTGGATAGGCATCTCTTCGAAAGCCCTCAGTTTGAACGCAGGGTTTCGCCGCTTGGCAACAAGCAGTTGATCTCTGTCGAGCAGCTTGGCTAGATTGTTGGACTTTACGGCGGCGACTACTGTATCTCGAGACATTGTGTCTATTCGATAGTTTAGATCGCCATTGAGCAGGCAGATTTCGTGGTCCATAATCATGGTGCCATCACCCCCACCAATGTAGCTGTCTACGCGAACATTAGGATCTGGTTCGACCGGCAGTATACTGCCCTCCATGATTGCTGCAATATCGTTGTGACGGCTGTTTGCATGTTGTTGGCCGGCTGCCAAGTGGCAGTTGATGAAGCACATCGATGTATCGTCCAGCATAAACTTGACGACGATTGCGCCTTTGTTTCCATGTAAACCGCCCATACCACGCTTGACGTCTGCGCTGCTCAAGTTCCGAATTCGATCCCGAATTGTTGATTTGACAAATATACACGTGAACAAGCCAACCAGAGTGGAAGTATGGAGGAGGTGGTACAGGCAGTCAGCCGGCATGAAATCGTCTAGGCTTCTTGCCAAGAAATCGCGCCAGTCTCGGTATTGGTGACTCATTCGTTCTTGATCCGTTACGGCATCCTTCTTTTTCGACTTGAACAACCTTTTTGCCGTTGCTGTCTTGTCCTCCAGATCAACCAACTCCTGGAAACCGAAGATAAGAATTTCCGGCGAATCGCTCGACCGCAGTAGATTCTGGATGAAGACAGAGTCCTGGTCGGAATATCTGAGACTGTTGGGCGTAGAAGCACCTGCGTTCCATGTCATGACCATTGCCTTTATATCCTCAAAGTCGCAATAGTGGTTGTCCAGTCGTTTCATCTCGCTTTCAAGGTAGTCTTCCTGTAGCATACCATCCCATGACCTCACCAGGTTGTCGGCGCCCAATGAGACGACTTGTAGACGATCCAGCCTGTAACAGCTTGCTTGATCGGTATGAATCTTGACCACGGGGTTGTTATGAGCCTGCCAGTCCTTCTTTACGATCCATGGCGATTGGTCGATATCGTACACACAGATTTTACCGGTGTTATAGCCTGCCCACAACTGCCGTCCTACCCCTGCGAGGCAGCTGATCTTGTATGTGCTGATACTCAGCACACTGATACAGGAGAAATCATGCTGAGACCATATGCTGACTTTACCATCAGCATGACCGAAATACACCTTATCCTTCTGCGACTTAACCAGGGCGCCCGACGTGACTTCCGATGCGCCTTCTGCGATCATGGGACGCATGAGTACTTGAACTTGCGTCCTACCATCAAGGGTGGGCGCAAAAACCCGAATCTCCTTTCCTGTCGCATGCCAGATTTCATCCCCCACCAACATAGAAAAGGAGTGTCCTCTTGGCAGACGGAAGGTTTGGTGTGGAGGGTTGTTCAGGTTTGGTAAACCGTCACTATCTGGTCCCCACACATGTAGTGTGCCAGACTCGTCTAATGTCCACATTTCGTTGTAATGCCTATAAATTTTGACGATTTCGCTCCGTCCATGGGCTATCGATTTATTGCCGACAATGCTTTGTGTTCCGATATCAGCTTCCATCACCTCTCCAAGATTATTACCAATCCAAATACGCGCCCCTTCCTCATCTACGTGGAGGCCACATTTGAAGGCAACGGCAGTCGCCTTGACGCCTTCACCGTGGGCAAAACTCGTGAGCAACTCGCCGTCAAGCAAACTCCAGACTCGTGTAAGCGGCCCACTAGTGCATACGTATTGCCCGCAAACGTCGAATATTCGCGTGTCATACTTTGTAGAAATTTCGTGTATGCCTTTCTTGGTGAAAGGTGGCCGTCTGTTGATTCGGGAAGCATCGGGAAACTGCGTTGTTCCTTGAGCTGTGGTGGTGGTAGGTACGGAGGCCAGTATTTCAGTAGTCCGTGTACCAGTTTCTGCCACCGGACCTACCCTTTTTGGCGGGACCCGGAACTCCTGAGGCGTTCGATCTGATGTTCTATCGACCGTCATCGATCTTCCGTGAGTTCGAGTTGGAGGAGGGGCGAACTGTGGTGTTGTTTGTGTGGTAGGCGTCGACACTACCCGCTTAGGCTCTGATGGCGAAGGACGATGTTCCGGGATGGTGGCAACTGATGTTACCACGCCTAGTCGCGGTGGACGTGGAGGAGGCGGCATTGACCCCGAGAGTATCTTTGCGGGCTGCGTAATCATCACAGACTGTGGCCGAGACGGCAGAGCTGGAGCTGCCGGCTCTGCTGCGGCTGGAATGGTGACTCCCCTTCCATAACCATTAAGCTCCCTCTTACCAATGCCAGCAACGGTGTTATTTCTGGTTACACCAGAAGGTATCCTTGGTGGTGGAGGTTTCGACAAGGGCCGTTCTGAGGGGCGGTCTGGGAGCGCGGGCGGCGGCGGCGGCGGTGGTTCCTCACGGCCAGGACTGCTGGGCGGGCTGCTAAAGGGCGAGACCTCAGGAACAGCCGCGCGAGGCGGTTCAAAGCGATGCGCGTCTAGACTGAGCAACTGTGACAACCGATTACCAGGCTTCTCTGCGCGATTGATAGGTGGAGGCACCGGTGGCGGTCCCCTTGCGTCCCGGTCCCTCTTCAATTCTCCAGAACGCCTCGGCGGAGGCGGCGATGGGGGACCTGAAGTCGCGGAAAGCCTCGGCGACCGGCGCGGCTCAAACACCGGTGTGTGAGGCCGACTGGGGATCTTGAACGAGCGCGGAGACGAGGTCGTGGGGGTACCAGGAGCTTTTGTCGGATCCACGTTGAGCTGCCGCGCTTCCAGGATAGGGGCAGCGTTCGTAGCTCTGCCCTTCGGGGGCGACTGAGGAGGGTCAATGAAGACTGCCGGTGGCGGCGGGCCCCTCAATGGTCGCGGGCTGAGCGGAGGAGGATTCGTCCTTTGAAGCGCAGAACTTGCACCTGTCTCCGACCGAGGTATTTGCAGTCCCATAGGCTTGATGCCTGCTCTTACGCCTGGCTTCCCTTCTCTCTCCGGGGTGACTGCTCGTACAGGCCTCGTGTCGGGCACTGGGGGCGGCTTCGGCCCTGGGGAGACATTCCGCGGCGGCACTGGAGATGGTGTAGATGTCGAGCTCGAATCTTCGCTCGTCTTGCCCATGTTCTCCCATCGAGCCCTCAGCGACGACACGGGCTTGAGTGAGGTGCTGTCGGGCCTGTCGTCGCCTTGGCCGTCCATGATTGGTGGTATTCTGATGGTATATGTGTTGATGGTGGGGTTGGAGGCTCTATTCCCATTGTACCCCTCGTGGTGAGAATGAGCGGACGGTTCATCGAACCAAGTAGGACAAAAGCAAAGTTGCCATGCAGTGCAAGCGAGTGTCGGGCTTCGGGCGCAAGGTATTTTGCGGTGCTGATTTAGTTCGTGTACGGGAGAGGGAGTCGTCAGCGACTAGGAGGCTGAGCCACGAGGCTCCTCTAATGAGCGATCGTACTCTAACTTTGGTCAACAAGGGCGGGGCAGGAAAGGATGCTTGCAGAGCGGGTGCTCAGGGTGGTGCACAAAGGGGAAGGGGGGATTCTATAGCTGCTGCAAGAGGTGGATTGGATTTCTGCGGAATCATGAATAACAGCGGTAGACTCTGTTGGAACTGTGTTGTCTGGCACAAGACAAAAAGAGCTGGATGAGCTAAGTAACCTAGACAGTCTACATACCCAGGGCACAAAATAAGGGACAGACGAGCCCTGGGAGGTTCAACTCGAGTTTAGGGGTACGTTCCGGTCTACGGTTAGGTCGTTACTCGAGTTAGTCTTGTTTAGTTTTGATGCGTAAGAGTTGTACAGTCCCTGAAGCAACGAGCGCAAGGCCAATCTCAAGTCTAATCGCGCTTTAAATTGCTTGGCGTCCTTAAAACAGCTTTACCGCATGGAAGTCCAACAGTCAAACGCAGATCTCGGCCAGGGGGTCGAATAGCGCATTGTCAATCAGGTTTGTTTTGAGCCGCTGCCTGTCCGGGAGTCCTATGTAACTACATGCACAATGTAAAATTAGGTTTACCCATCAGACGAGACGCCATGGCATGATTCGGGCTTTCTCTCCTTCCTGAATGACATCCAAACCCCACGACGGAGGGGGCCTCGCAGCTACATGGTAAACAAGATGCTCTTGTATCGGCAATCGACATTAGGCTGTCAGTGTCGGGCACAAGCGTGACGTAGTTCCCAATCTTTCAATGGACCCCCAGTGTCAAATGTGACCATGACCGTGGCCCTCGCCCGTGGTGTGGGGCCGGCAAGTCAGCTCAAGGGCGGCCCTAGCGCCTCCTCAGTTGCAGTCGCACTCCCAGAGTCCCAGTCCCGACAGCGGGCATTTTTCGTGCCAGATGTTGCCGTTGCCGTTACGCTAAACGCGAAAGGGCTGCTAAGCTATCGAAAGATCATACGAGATGTCCAAGTAGCGCAGCTTGCAACAGTGGCTATCGGCGGGAGAGAGAAAAAAAAAAGAGAGAGACAAAAGTTTCCAATAACGGATCGCAACTCTCATCACATTTGCCATAAGTAAACCTTCAATTGAATCATCACCGCAGACATTGAGATTCCTTCCTTTACGAACGCCAAAACTTTATCGAACACCCCAAACAAAATGAACACTGTAAGTAGCCGCAGCGAGCGCCGGCCTCTCTCAGCTGCAATCAACCAGCTAGCTAACTCGCAATCAGGTTCGATCATTCTGGTACGTTAACCATCGACATCCCCTCCGCTCGAGCGTTGACTAACTCGGAAACTTACAAAGGCTAGGATGGGGCTCCCTCTGCGTTGGTAAGGCGACACCCAGTCCGGACTGTTTGTTGCGGACAAAGACTGACATGACCGTAGCCGGCGGAGGTGCCTACTATTTCGCCAAGAAGCAGATCAACGCCGACCGAGCCCAGCGTCTTGAGGAGTCGCGGAGGAAGAGACACATGATCGACTCTCTCGAGTACTCGGACAACGTTCCCAGCAAGCCCGGTTCCTCGTCGACCATGGGCTCTGCACCCGCCGGCACATCGCCGCGGACTGACCCATCCGGATCGCCCAGCCAGGAGGCCAGCAACGACCCGGCCCCGACGAGGCACGCGCCTTCGACGGAGGGAGAAAGGGTGTTCGAAAAGAGCAAATATGAGAGCAGCACGCCGTTCAAGAGTCAGAAGGGGGACCGGTTCTCGTAGATCCTCCTCCCCCCTATCTGGCGCATGTACAATAACGATGAGGAGTGATTTATGTAGACTCTGGACCGACGACGGCTAGAGTATCTACTGTACATATTTGGTTCATGAACTCGAGACGCAAGCTTTTATCAGACGCTGAAGATTGGTATTGATCTCTTAGTATAGTTGCTACTACACTTTGCGCCGCCACTAGTCCTTCGTGTTCCTCTCTCGTGCGCCTGCAGAACCTCTTGCTCATCTGAAGCCCGTGATTGAGCGTAGATACAATACTTCCAAGCTATTGCCTATGCACCTTGATAATAAACCCCCCTTTTCATTGCCTTGCTCGCTTCCGCGGCCCCATATATGACTTGGACGTCATTGACGCATTCCCCGAAGCTGTCTCGAGCTAGAGTGGGGCAAAGGTGCACTAACCTTAGCTCTCTCCTACGTTTGCTTCGCCGTCCAGCGCGCGTCAAACGTCCCCTGTGAATTGAATTCTACTGCACATGCACACTCCCAAGCGAGACGCCTGACCAAACAGCACTCCCCCGGTTCCCGAGAGCGTATCCAACAAACAGCCATCACCATATATCACCCGAGAACGATGAACCGCCTGACGCCCTTTTTGCGCCCCGCGGTCCTGCGCCGCAGCAGCCCCCGGGCCCGCCGCCGCTACGCGGTAGACACCAAGCTGCCCTCGCAGCAGCAGCCGAGCTTCTACAAGACCTTTAGCCGGCCCATCTTCAAGGTGGCGCTGATGGCCATCTTCACGTACCAGCTGGCGTACTACGGCTGGACCAGGCTGGAGTCGGACGAGATCAGGGCGGATGCTGCTGGTATGTCATTCTCCCGGAAAGATGGAAAAGGGGGGGTTGCGACAAAAGGGGAGAGAGAGAGAGACAGAGAGAGTGAGAACAAAGAGAGTAGGTGGGGCTAATGAAGCGTGAGTGCGTATAGCTACGATTTCGGACCTGGAAAAGCGGATCGAAGGGCTCGAGCAGGCAAAGGGGAAGAAATGAAAACACAACCAAAGCTTTCATTTTTCAGAGCTGGGTTGATGTGAAGCTCTACAAACAGCGCAGAAAAATCTCGGGGCGAGAGCCACAAAAGGGGGGCTCCTGCGTCGTACACTGCAATAGGCTTCGCACAACGTGAAAGAAGCTCGGCCGGATATGCGTCGATACTGAAGACCAGTAGGTTTTACGCTTCAAAGACCGAAATGCTACGGGTCTCGCACGAACAACATTGAAAAAGAAGGCATTTTAGACGACATGGCACCCGAGGCATGCCACAGTCCGATTTTACAGCAGGGTAGATGGCTCATAACGGTTACAGTGGCATCTACGACCAGAAGGGGCAGCCGCGATACGAGACAGGAAGACCAAGGTCGCAGCCGAGCGTTGTGTGGATGGATATGTGTTGGCAAGAATTTGTACTCCTGTTACAAAACAGGAAAGATCTATTACCCAGCAGGCTGCCCGAAGACCGCTGAGTCGAGGCCAAAGAACAACCCCAGTGGCCATCTTGCCCAGCACTCATCCATGAATTATATATAACCTCAGATGGTGGTCCTTATCGAAATGAATTCCAAAAGTTCAACGCCAACATGACCCCTGTTCCTCGCAGCAGTGCAAATTATAAAAAGGATGTAGTTGTTCCCACCATGTAAACCACGGGCGCTCTAATCCCAGCAGCTCGTGAGCAACTTGACATTCTGACCCGCCTCAGCAAGCAGAAACAATGAAATGTCCTCATGATAGCAGCAACCCAGCAAGGATGCAGACGAACACGGCAGTCGAAGAAAGTGCCGCCGACGCCGACGCTGCGGATTTGTAATGCGCCGATCCAGGGTAGTTGCATGTAACGTTCGACGTGCTATTACTCTCCCTCTGCCTCGTGCCATAGCTGGTGTCGAACGCGGTCATGCCGGGCAGCGGACACGCGAAGCCCAGAGCGGCGGGACAGCTCTGCACGAGGGAATAGCAGAGGTCGTCACAGGGCAGGACCTCCTTGTAGGGGCCAGGCTGCACCTTCTCGTCGATATTCGGCACCCGCGAGGAATTAAAAGCGACCATGTTGCCGTACTGCTCTATGATGGACGGCTCCACGGAGGTCCCGTCGGGGAACTTGGCCATGATGTTGCGCATCTGGAGGAAGTCGTCCGGGTTGGAGAAGTCCTCGCAGCGCGGGATGGCCACGGAGCACACCCAGTTCTTGTAGGCGCTCTTGCAGTCGTCACACGTCTTGGCCAGGGAGTACTTTGAAGTGTTTGCGACGTCGCACTGGATCTGCATCATGGCTTTGCTGAAGTTGTCGTACATTTCTTTGGCATAGTTGTCGTAGAAATCCTTGAGGTCTTGGATCTTTTCGCCGCCGTATTTCTGCTCGTTGCCAGGAACGGAATAGGCTGTTTGGTCGCAGAACGTGAGGTTGGAGATTACCATGCATGTGTCGGCTAAGAAAGATTATTATTAGCACTTACTGCTGGTAGGTGATATAGAAGAGAAGAAAAAGGAGAAGAAAAAGGAGAAGAAGGAGGAGAAGAAGAAGGAGAAGAAGATGGAGAAGAAGAAGGAGAAGAAGAAGGAGAAGAAGAAGAATAGAAAGAAGGAAGAAAAACTTACTGGACTTGGTATCAAATTCAGTTTGTCGAAAGACGACACCGCCACCTCCTGCAACATTGTCCCTCGTGCTCAAGGAGCCAGTGTCGGGTTCTTGCACTAAGATGGCCTCATAAATCGAACTCTTGTTCAGCCCGGTGATGAAGAACTCCTGCTTGGTGACATTTCCCTCTCCTCTTCTCGTCAACCCTGTCGACAACATATTTGTGGGCAGGGTCGATTTGCTGCCTCCAATCGCCGCGTACTCCTTCAGGCCGCAATACGAGTTGCGCACACCATTGACGGTCACGTCGCCTTGCGGGAACGCAAACATGGTGTAGGGCGCTCTCGACAGTATCACGGCAGAGCTGTTGGTCAAGTTTCCCGTCATCAACAATGCCGCGCCTGCATCGCTGTCCACCCAGACCAGATCCGGATCGCTGGTCTCATCGTAGGTATGATACGACTGATCAACAGACGCAGCAACGTCTACGTTGTAAAGATACGACGTAAACCATTCGGAAACATTAGGCGCCGTGACGGTAAAGTAGACGTCGTCTGTGAAGGTAGTGTTGTACATGACAGCTCCTTCCTTGAAGACAACCGTCTTCTGCTCATCAGGCGGCGCCCCTGGACCGGGTGAATCGTTCTTTGTCGAGGTCGAGACGTACAGCGTGAGCTGCGGCGGATCCATGGCCGTCGAGTTCGCCTCTGGCCTGTCTGGCTGCAAGCATGTATTTGCTGATATCCACAAGGTCTTCGTCGCCCTTGGTCTCAACTCAGCGACCTCCTCTCCATTCTCGTCGTCCTCCAGTGCATCCGGACCCTGTGTTCCGTCCGTCCTCTTGCGTAACTCCGAGACTCCTGAGTGGTCGGCTTCTCTGCCGGAGATGGAAGCGACCTCAAATACAAACGCAACCGACGTGCCCTCGTTCAGGTTCAGGTTGCGCTTCTCGTTATTCGTCAAACTCGTGACGCCCGCAAGCGCTTTTCCTATAATACTCCTGTCGAACAGCCCAAAATCGGGCTCGTATGTGGGACTCCTCAACTCGAGTGTCTCGTCTTCCTCCTCCCTCCCCTCCTTCCCCTCCTCCTTCTCCTCCTCTCTCTCTTCATCCATGAAAGCCCATGCATCTACAACATCGCTACCGCGGTCGAAGGCTATCTCCGCTGCCAGTGCGAATTGTGGTGGAAATAGGAATACGTAGATGACGAATATGACGAACGAGGCAGCTATCGAGGCGACTAGTCGCGACTGCAAAGGACTGAGCTGCATCTCTTCTGTGATAGGCGCGACCGCCCCGAGGGGCAGTCAGACTCAAGACGGGACTTGGAGGGAAGATCGAGGGGCAGCGGTTTGCGCTTGGTTGGAATCAAGAGTTGTTGAGATTCGATCTCCGTATTCCGGCCTGGTTGTTGCGCTTGATTCCCCAGCTCTTTTTCTCTGTGGTTAATTCGCAAGGTCCCTTTCAGTTTTGGCAAAGGCGAGGTTCAATGTCGCATGTCATTAGTTATCGAGTCATCAGAACGTTTCAAGTTATTCGTTGGGTTTCACCAGCCTGGATGGATCACTTTGGCGGCGCTGATCTCCCGGCAAACGCGCCCTGACACGCGGTAGCACCGCCACGCTAGCACTAATGTCAGGGACCAAGTTTGCCTCTGGACACTACCGTGCCTGCCATGGTACGCCGTATACCTAACAACACTTCACTAACCTTAGGTAAAATGACACTTTAACACTTCACTAGGTTAGCACGGAATATACCCCCGTTTGAAATGACCCATCATGAAAATTGAACCAAGTCAAAAGCGTCCTTAGTTGAAATTCTAAGAAGGATATATGTGGACGAAATACTGAGAAGCGGACACATGAACCTTCCGAGCGTGCCCCGGACCTGCGCTCACCACCTCATATTGACTAACCTAGCTCGCTGACTGGCTTAGGGAGTGAATTGTCCACGTGATGATTTGTATCAGATATGTGAACATGCATATCACAGTGGTATAACGATCCCCTGGGGCAACTTTTGCATGACTTTCATTTTCAATAGGAAACTGGTAACCAGTGGAAAATAAGTGTACACAAAAGAATCTCTATTAATCCTGCCGAAAACCTTGATCCCTATAGTCGCGTGTGAATTCACACACCCAACACCATGAGAGAAGCGGCATAACATTCGTTCTATCGATAGCATTCCTGCCAACTTAGACATTCATGATTTTTGATCGTAAACCATCAAACCATCTAGTCGGTGAAACGGACGGCGAGTTGCGCAAGCACAATCTCTTGTACTTATGATGCTTGCACAACCGAGTAGCAGTACTCACCAGAGAACCGCTTACTGGTTCTTGCCAAAAGAATCGGCCTTGGCGCGGAGGTTGGCAGCGGTGGTGCCGGACTCGGAGAAGTAGCGGCCGAAGGCTGGCTGGAAGAAGGATCGGAAGACGAGCTGGGCACCACTAGTCGAGGGTGTCAGAGTGTCGGCAAGAGCGAAACAGTGCAATGTGAGTACTTACCTGAAAGTGGGGAGTCCGAGCCACAGGAGGAAGACAAACTTGAAAGTGTAGTAGAAGGGGAACCAGTACACGACACTGATCAAGCTCTCAACGACGCTGCGAAGAAGGGTTAGGACATGCTATTATGTATGATTGTATGGTCTGGCCGAAGCAGGGCCTCTTTTTAACGTACGTGAGGAATGCGAAAACGACCCAGTACTACGTATTATCATTAGCACCACAAGATCATATGCTCTGATGATGGTTGTTGATAACATACTGTGAGCCATTGTGTGTCATCAGTCTTGCTGGCAGTGAACAAAGCCTGCAGGGAGAAGTAGCCGGGGATGACGAAGCCGGCGAAGTTGGTCAAGAGCTGACCGCCCAAGTTGAAGACGATGAAAAAGAAGTAGAGTGTAGCCAGGCCAATGACGGCGTAGACCTTGGGCACCGAAGTCTGTTTCTCAAGGTTGTTGAGGGTCGGGTACTTGGAAAGCTACAATCATGTCGGATTAGTCCCGAGGGTCTTTGGTAAAGGGCACGCGGCGGCGACAGCGACAGCGACGGCGACAGCACCCGAGATTAGGGGCTTATGGCAAACGCACCTCCTTGTCGAGCGACGTGACGTAGTGCTGAACACGATCTTGGGCAGACATTTTGGCGACGTATCAATATAGGGATGACGATAATAAACGTTTGTCTTGGGTATAATCAGACAGTAAGTATTGGTTTCGGGTGGGGGAAATCGTTCTCGACGGTGATGTCAAGCTGAGCTGGGAAACTTAGGGTTAGCTCATGTTTGGGCCACCTATGCTATTATAGACTAAGTCACCCAAGCAGCACGGCAGGGAAGGGAAGTGCCGTCCGTGACGCTCGAGTTAGGTTGGAGCTTAACATTAACATACTTGACTTTTTGTGCAGCAGAAATTTCACGTTGTGAGCACGCGATAGTGTTGAGTTAGGGAACTTTGGCGACGTTCTGACAGATGCCAATTCTTGGGTTGTGGGAGGTGAAGAGGGTCGGCGGGTCGGGGGGGTTGAGCTGGAGCAATGATGACACAGCTGCAGTCGCAAGCACTGGCAGTGACAGGCCTTCCGGCAAGTGATGGAGCAATTGACGGGAATGGAGATGAGGGATGAGGGTGCGGACTGGTGGGGGGGGAGGGTGTCCACACGTCATCCGATGCTGCTGCTACATACGTATGTATGTACGGAGTGCTGCAGTACGTAGCGGGCAAAACAGTCAGACAGATTCCAGTTCACGCACGGTCAGGCCAACTTCAACTTCACTTCCGACGAGATGATACAAAATACGTGTTCTTTCGCTGCTGTCATTTCGAGGAGCCTTCTCGGAGCACTTTCTCTCTCGTCACCCGTCTTGCGGCACGGCAGATTCTTTACGACTGCGCCGTGCTAGCATGTGCATTATCTGCATTCCTCTCGTAGTAAAGCTTGGCAAAGATATCCATGTGCCCACTTAGACTCGCATGTTCTTGCTCATGCTGATATTGTTGGAGTTGTTGGTGCTGGTGCTAATGGATGTGCTGAAGTGCAAATGTTGCAAAATGGAGTGTTTTGTACCAGACGCACGAGGATGCAGAAGAGGGTGTCAGCTTAAGAGAATGCGTCATGTGCACAACTTGTTTTGTTATGAAAACAACCACAAGAAATTCACCCCGCTTCTGCTAAATAAATACTGTACATAATAAGCATTACATAGTGGGCACGAACTTGTGTAAGCCAAAAGTCAGGTGCAGATGCAAGCTGGCCCGTGCACAGGTATATGAAGAACAGCGGGATAACAGTTCTTGGGTCGGACCAATGGACTGCATCCGAGTAACAGATGAGCGTTTCGTCTATACTCGAAGCCGATCACAACATTGATCTTGATGAACGTCTGCGTGTCCGCAAAACATGCAGTTTTCCATCTTATCGATGCAGAAGCCTTGGTCGCGCAGTTTATTCCAGTACTTGAGGCGGGCCTTGGCAGCAATAAGATTGTCCCGCATTTGTGTCCTGAGACAACCAATCAGCGAGAGGAGCAACCCCCCAGCCGCGAACCTTCAAAGTCCACGCCTCCAGCACGCATCCAAAACATTCAGCAGCACCCCAGCCCAGATTTTGGTGTCGGGGCAACCAAAGCTTTCGTTTACTTCGGGCCCCATTTGTGTTTTCTCCATTCTCTGCAAAACCATAACGACACCAATTGCGCCAGTTTTGGGGTTGGCACTGACCACAACATCGCGACCGCAACCCAAGCACGCTCCATTGCACATGTCCTCCTGCTTCTCCGTCGCATACGTCGTACATGCTGTATTCCTTTCCCTTCCTTTCCACCACTCTTTTCCCCGTTGCTTATTCGCCTTTCCCGACGCGGCCGGGGCCGAGGCCACTGTTTACAGTTTGAGTAGCGTCCGACTGCATCTTTCCCTCAGGCCTTCCATATTGGTAAACACGGCACACCACCAATAAGCTATGGACTCAGGTGCGACTCCTTTCTGTGCACCATCACCATCGCCATCCACCGCACTGCTTCCTTGCAAAACACCTTTCGTCTCTCTCGTCGTGCTTGGCAGCTGATCTTTTCGTGTTAGTAGAGTCCCAACCTCTTGAGGCCGGCGCAATGCCCGCGCACAACCACCAGATTCACCCTCGAAACAGAGCACCCTCGAGGGCTTCGACCGCTTCCATGCATAGCACCGCCACACAGCAGAATCTCGACCAAAGCTTTGCTGTTTCCCATCACAATTCCTTTCCCGAACAATGGCCTACGAATCCCCACCCTCACGGCCATGGCCATGTTCAACAACACAGAGACATGGCCATGTCCGCACACCAGATGCCGGCTGACGATATCATGCTACGGTCTGGCTCGCAGATGCATCCCGCTCAGTCATTTGCCATGGACTCCAGCATGCAGTCGGCCGTCGGGCATCCTATGGCATACCCCCAACATGCTGTTCTGCAGCACCACGGACTGCCTGCAGACTCTTTCGGCGCGAGTGCCAGTTTCACCGAGGATAGCCAGATGATGGAGCGTGGAGACGACGAGGACGGAGATTCGCTCGCTGGTGCCTTGGCAAATCCCAAGCCCTCCAACAAGACCAGTGCCAACAATGAGCATGAGATGCGTCAACTGTTTAGAGCGAACAAGCATCGGTCCTTGCAGGAGGTGGCCACTGAATTGCACGGAAACGAAAGAGGCCCCAACTCGGAACGTACGCGACAGGTCTTTGCTATGCTTTGGATCAACCAAGTTTGCTCAACTGGGAAGGGCTCCGTCCCGAGAGGACGCGTCTATGCCAACTATGCCTCGAGATGCGCCACGGAAAGAACCACTGTTCTGAATCCCGCCAGTTTTGGAAAGCTGGTTCGAGTGCTCTTTCCAGGTTTGAGGACGCGTCGGCTTGGTGTTCGTGGAGAGTCAAAGTATCATTACGTCAATTTTACGTTGGCTGATGAAGGTCCGGAAAACCCTGAGTCTGTTCCCACCGCTCTTGCCTTCCCAGATGCCGCAAGCTTTTCGCAGAGCGCACAGTAAGTTGTTCTCAAAACCCAACCTGCTGATGAAATGCAAGTCGCTGACTATGTATAGTTTTTCCAAATCCCAGTCCCCTGCTATGAATGCGCCCAAGGCAGTCTTGCCATCACCAGAGCTCCCATTGCAGCCTGACGCTACTCCAGCATCGCGCTCAGGAGACAACAGAGCTCATAGTTTCTACAACTTGCCGGATGTAGCAAGTATCGATCAGGTGCAGTCCACAGCTGCGAAGACGATTCTACGCATGTCCTTCACACCCCCAAGCGAGGATGCACTATCTGATGCGCTCATCCTACCCAAGATTGAGCCTTACCTGCCTGACAACACCGACCCAGATGCCGCAATGTCATTGACGGCACTTTACCGTAGCCACTGCACATCACTTGTCGAATGCATTCGGTACTGCCGAGAGAAGACTTTCTTCCATCTGTACACATCATTCCAAGGTACTCTCACGATGCCGGTGCAAAAGCTTTTCTCCAATCTCAATGTTGCACTCTGGATAGAGCAATGTGACTTCGTCTTGTATCAAAGAATGATGCACATCATCTCGAACCTCACTTTGCAGGTTGTCCCCAAGCCGGTTCTGGATACCCTGCGCAATATCTCGGAAAGGCTTGTGCTTCACATCCGCGAATCATTCCAAGGTCAACCTCGACATGTCATTCAGGCCAAGGAGGCACCTGCTTCGATCTTTGCAGCACTCATCGATCGAGCCCTTCGCGTAAACCTGACTGCACATGCGGCAGCTAACATGCTCGCCAACCCAGCAAACCGAGACCAGATGTATATCGATTGGATCACCATGGTTCGCATACGCAAGGTCGCCGAAGTGGTACCTACACGGGGTATGGACGACCTTGTACTCCTGTTGTTGGGCGAGATTCGTGATCTACTAGATCCTAAAAATGTTCCCTGGGACATCGAATGCCAGACGCTATATGGCGATGTGGCTACACGAAGCGGCAGGGTATCTCAGACTGATGATTTGGGCGTCGATAGTGGAGCAAACACGCTCGATCGCTGGGTAGGCTTCCTGCAAGGATTGCACACCCGGTTCCCCTATGCCACGGCGGAAGATGTTGTTTCTTGTGTTCAGCGGGTAGGAACCGCAGTGATGCGGGATCTAACCATAGCCCAAGGCAAGAGCTTCGGTTCGTGGTGGGTTACGAAATGCTGGGTGGATGAGATGATTGCTTTTCTTGCAGAACAGGGTGGCTTCATGAAGCTCACGTCGTCGTCTCCGCGCACAGTGAGCCCTCAGAGTGCCTCAATCCCGGCGCAAATTCCGAGTCGACAGAATTCTCAGGCCATCCATCGCAGTCCAGAATACGGCTCCCTACCGAAACCACATGCGCCCCAGGCAAACCGCGCGCCTTTCCCCATACAAGTGGATACTCATACCCGCGACTCGCTTGGTCTTCCGATCAACCCCGACGACAGCGGTATTGGCATGCGCACTCCTGAGGAAGATTTGCCCATGGATAAGTTCGAGTTGCCTCAGAATCATGGACACGACATGCAGAGCTTCAACCTGGAACCGGATTATGTCCAATAGGATGGACAAGCTGAGACTTCTATAGGTCCTTCTTAGTGCCTTTTTTCTTCACTTCTTCGTCTATTGTATATAGGCAAGCGATCCCGTGCGGGAAGACGTTGGGACTTGTCCCTGCACGGGATCCACGACACGTCGGAGTTGACACAAGAGCCTGGAGCGACGTGACACGACGAAACGAACGGATGACAGCATGAATTACACAATAATACAGGGAATACGACGGATGATATAACAGCATGGTGGCTGAGTTGGTCATTGGCTTCTCTCTAGACCGAAGCATTTTGTTTTTTTTTCCACCTTCTTCCCTTCGGCGGTTGTATAAATGGTATGTAATTTATAGGGGTACGTCCGAAGGGGCCCCAGGGGGTTGCGGTGTTATGGCAATCGTTTTTGTTTTTTGTTTTGTTTTGTTTTACAGGGAAAAGAGAGAACCGAAGGTGTAGTTGCAAGTCAACCCAGCTATACCCACATTGCGCTGGTGGTACGATACACCTAGGCGGTAAAGGAAAAGGGAAGCCGAAGAATTGGCGACTTCGGGCTATGTGATTTGGACACATTACGGGCCAGGATATAACGGCTATTTCGTCGTCATGGTTCTTCATTGATACCTTGGTAGTACTTGTTTTTAGCGATTTCTGGCCATCTTTGTTGTAGGAGAGGAGAAGTGGCAGATGCCAGAGAACAGGGCCTCTCTGGAGATGGACTACTATGTCCTGATGATGATTTGGGTAGATGACGAATCTACTGATGACTTTTCCGAACCTGCCTGGGCTTCGTCCAATTGCTCGATTTCTGAAGTGACCCGTATGAATCTGTCATCACCAATAATAAAGTCAGGTCATATGTTTCGAGTTTCACCAATTCGCATAGATTCCCATATCTACCGTGTGGCTTTGACAGTGAGAGCCATTCCACGTTTTCAATGGCCAAACACAACAATATCAAGCAGTCGCCAGTTCATATGTTGGCCGTTCATAAACTGAGTGGGTCACCGTTCCCCAACTCATCAATATTTGTCCTATAAAATATGGGAGGTTTCTAAGGTGAGTTTGTGTGTCAAGCCGTGACTGCTAGTCCGCAAATCATACTCTCCTTGGGTTCAGTTTCGGTTGGGAAACTGCGTCAGGTATTGCGGAAGACCAAAACCCATATTTTCCACGAAGCTGTTCAGCCTCATGTGCCCATGACCAAAAGTCAGGATTAGCCTGAGCACCGCTATATTTTACTACGGACTGGCCCGTCTTTTCATCACAAGCATTAACCAAGTCACGAAACTCATCCCGTTCCGACAGAGGTCTTATGTGCCTGTCAAAGATTTCGAACGAACTCTTCGAGTCGTTCTCGGCCCACCATGCATGCACCGTGGCTACGACATACCAAAGTAGCGGTGACAAGCTCTGTTTTCCCTGTTCAATCGGGTCCCAGCCGTTGCAAATAGCGGCAATCAAGTCATCGTGGAATTGTTTCCTGCCTTTATTACGCTCTTTTTCAGCCCGGCGCCGATGCAAGGCAAGATCCCACTTTGTTTTATATTCGTTCTGCATCTGCGGAAAGTCGATGGGGATATGAGTCCCGAAGATGACGTTACTCCTGATATCTTCCCATTGCCACGTCGAGACGATAGCCCGTGATGGGATGCGTTTCCAGATAAGGAACTCGGATTTGTATCTAGTGAAATCGCCTCCCGGGCTAATGTATTCATGAAGGGCCTTCAGGTTGCAGCAGCTCCCGCTTTCAAGAGACCGGGGGTCGATGATCAGTATCCGCACGTTCGGACGATCCTCGGGGTCATCGTGAAAAGAGCACAAGCTCATAACCCATGACAGTGAAGGCGTCACGGAGATGAATGGCGTGGGTACTTTTGAGTCCCTGTTCTCGTGTTGCTTCAAGTATTCTCTAAGCCTCTCATCGCTTGGGAATGACCCCTTCGTTAGGCGGGCGGTGACGTCGCCGTCCAAGGCCATTCTTGGGGTGCCACGGTATACAACGCGGTAGAGAGGCCTTCGTTTATAAATATGGTCGATGGCCCTCCAGACACCACCGTCGTCCACGTGGAGCTTCCCCACTGACGTGGCGAGGGTGCCAACTATGTCTTCGGTAGACATATTCATTGGCCCTCAGTTGTGTATTGCTGCGACTGTATTTTTAATTCTTCTGTCGGTGGCTAAAAGAAATTTGATTTATAAAACCTAGATCAATCTCGTTGTCTATTTTCTGGAAATGATCATTTCGTCAAAGGTTATCTGTCGTATTCCGGTAGTTACTGGAAAGGCCCGTGAGACTATAAGGCAGCCATTGTGTAACATTGGGCTTCGACAAACCCCACCAATCTTCTAGGTATATGCAACTCATGTTGAACTCTTCGGTGAGAGGTCTGGAGCTGGTTTAGTCATATTCACTTATCATGCGCGACCTCTTATATCAGGATGCCTAGTCCAGATGAAGGCGATATTAGACGTAGCAGGTACGACCGACGGCCAACCAGCGCTTGCTCCCGCATCAATTATATCTAGACCTGATCCCCTGGCCGTCTTTCCGCTCGAATGTGATAGCGGCAATTTCTCAGGAGCCACCCCTGATCGACGAGGAAGGTTTCTGCCTGGACCTCTCGAGCGACGGCATACGATGTTGGGGGTACTACGAGGGCATCCCTGCACAGGCGCGGGGAGGACGGTCCGTAGGACTCCCTGAGCTAAGAGGCAAGTCAATGGTTCTCGGAGAAATAAAAGTACCTAGCCGGTAGTGAAGATGGCGAAATCGCAAGAACTAGTGCTTGGTGGAGATCCATTCGAGCATATCTTAGGTAACTTGTCCTGGAAACAACTCGGTCGAATCACAACTTTCACTGAGGGAGTAGAACTACTGCCGGTTGCAGGTGGGTCTATAACAACTCATCAAGATGGCTGGGACCTTGTAATACGGCTTAAGACGACTTTGAGAGTAACTTTTGTACAATAACTCAAACACGTACGACCATAGTTCTTAGAAAACTCGACATCCCGTCTGCTCTGCCCTAGATAAACTAAGAAGCGCTCGACTTCTTTGGGTAACCTAATGCATGCTGCGATGCGAACACTAACCTGATCGAATCAAAATTCACTGAGTGAAGGGAAGCGGGCTGAGACTAGTCTAGGCCAAAATATGATGATTTGCCTATTGGCCAGCTCATTGAAGCTTGGAACACGTCGTATCACCTTATCGGACGTATTTGTCTGCTACCATAAGGTCAGAACCGACCCCTGCTCGTACCTTTCCAGCAGACGGATTTGAGAAGCTGCCGGCTTTAGGAGCGACTGAGGAGGAAACCATCCCAAATTACAGGGCAGGCCGATTTTATCCCGTGCAGTTGGGTGAGATATTCAAGTCTCGATATCAAGTCGTTGCGAAACTCGGTTTTGGTACAGCATCAACTATCTAGCTCTGCCGGCATCTTCAGTACGGGTCCAAGAATTTGTTTCTTTAGCTTTTTCTATACTAATCGCATCACTTTTAGAAATGGCGAGTTTTTAACCCTGAAGATCTGCACAAGAGAAGATGAGGCAGCGACCGTAAATAATGAAGTCGCCATATCTCGGCATACTGCATCTATTAATGCTGAGCACCTGGAAAGCAGCTCTTGCGTCTAGTGTTGGGCCATTTTCAGATAGATGGTCCACATGGAACGCATCAATGCTTGCTCTTCAACCCACTAGGTGTCAGCTCTACCAAATTTCGAAATTCGTTTCCGGAAAAAGCCTTAGCAAGAAGTTACTACAGCAGACCTTACAACTCGTTCTTCTCGGCCTGGATTTGCTACACCAGGCAGGCGTTATACACAGGGGTATTTCTTCTTTCCCCCTCTGTTAATGTATCAACTGACATTGTTCCAGATATATCACCTAATAACATACTACTACGGGTTCAAGACACATCAGTATTCTCGGAAGTTGAGCAAAACGATATTAAGCGCCCAATTGCACGCAAAATTCTCTCGGATCGTGTTATTTACCTTTCTCATCTATTACCTATCACTTACGGGCCGCCGGTGATTTGTGACTTTGGTGCTGCTAAGATAGGGAGTAGGTTTCACGGAAATGTCATGCCTGGCGTTTACCGCGCTCCAGAAATTATTATGGGCATGGAGTGGGATTCCAAAATAGACATAGGGTCTGTTGGAGTCATTGTTTGTAGCAATATGCCTAATACTACAGACCGAGCTAATATTCCTGTATAGATCTGGGATTTGTTCGAAGGGGGGAGGTTGTTTCGCACGGTGAAAGACGGAAATCTAAATAATGAACAGCACCTAGCCGAAATAGTTTCCCTCATAGGAAACCCACCAAGAAAATTCTTGGAACAAAGCGAGAACTGTCGCCAGTACTGGGACGCTGACGGTAAGTTACGACACGATTCACCACCAACCGCCTGCCACTGATGAAGAATTTGTGGCGTTCACAGGTCACTGGATTGGCACAACGCCGATTCCTAATCAATCGTTTGAGACGCGAAAGACGGCTGAGAGACAAAGATCAAGAGTTGCTCCTTTGTTTCGTGCGCAAGATCCTACGTTGGCTACCAGAAGATAGGCCCTCAGCAAAAGATATATTCGAGGATGATTTTCTGGTACAGCGGTGAGGCACCTCAGGACTCATGTTTTATTATCCTATGGTCCCGCTGTCTTTTCTTGCGCAATTTTTTACCTCCCTTTGGGGATATTTTGGTACATCATTATATACTATAATTTCATCAAAGCATATCAAGGACAGTCATAAATTTTCAAACGACGATAATGTACTGTCCCAGAGAGGGAAATCGGTAGTGCACTCAAGGCATGGCAAATGATTAGGATACAAAAGAGATGGTCGAAACATCAACAATAATTGCGCTCATACGTAAGCAAATGGCACGACATACTCCAGTTTGACATTCCAGCCACTGTGCACCGCAATTCTTCCGTGGACACGTCTCGTACTCTTTTCTCGCGGTTCTTTTTCCGATGGGTTTGAGCTGAGTATACTCAGCGGCCCTCGAGTGATAATACGCGCCCTTTCAAAGTCTAAAATCATGACCTTCCTCGTGTATTCGTTGTAGAGAATGTTGCGCTTCTCTCGTCGCAATGTAGAACCCCTGGAATATGCAATGCTTAGAAGCTCGGATAATATTACCCATGACCACTCTGTTATCGTTCATAAATAAATTGAATGCGTTCAGCGATGTGCTTATGGACTTCACTTGACTCAACGATCTCAATATTTGGAAAACATACACATGATTTCGAAGAACACGAATCAGTAATTTCTATCACGCGTTTGATGGCTATTGACCTGATATGTATGATCTCAGATTCACTGTGAGGTCAGAGAAGACCATGGATGGACAGCGCAAAAAGACGCCGATGAGTGATGAAGGCTTTGCGCTCACTACCAGCGCATTTTTATATGCACTGTTTATGTTGCCCTCGACTTTGTCGAGATGATCAGCCATACCACAAAGTTTGAGGCATTCAAGAACATCTCTAATTAGTCTTGATCATAGACAGCGAGATCTTGAACAACCTTCCCTCCATGCCAATAACAGCTACTAAAGCACATAGATATAGACCTTGGGCTGAGAGTGGTTGAGCATAGAAGTAACCTGCGGATTTGATACTGTCACCTGGTATCGTATCAGGAGTGATCGCGCATGCTCCGACCTTCCGGCATATGGGCACGAACGTCGGGTTCATGAGGAGGAGGCCCTGCGATGCTGCGGCCGGCTGCGCCATCCTTGACTACCTAATTTGGCAACAGGTTGCCAGTCTTTACATGATTGACTAGCCATGGTCTTATAGTATCATTCATGTGGGAAATATTCCAACGGTTACGTACGAGGAGATACACAACACCAGCAAGAACATGCACACAGCTCGCCTCGAACGCACTAGCTAGCACGTCAAGAACGAAGCCCATAACCGAGGCAAAAGACCAGTCCTGCAAGATTTCGAGGAAAAGAAGCCAACCTTTTGGAGGAGAAAAAAACAAGTAAAAGTTCATCGCAATGCAGTAGGTTAGTCGGTAAGCGATACCAAAAGGTTCCGCGCGGGTAACTTGCAAGGATGATGATACTCAAAAACAAACCTCTGACGTGCTCGCCATTACAAATACTCCCAAGATCATGCCACATGATGACCAATCCCCAACGGGAGACCAATGGAGGCTCTCCGTGCCGCTGCCGGACATGTACGCTATCGCGACCACTGGTCTGCCTTGCGGTGACAAAAAAAAGCAATTCCCTTGTTGGTGTCTTATAGGCGCTGCGAATACCAATTTTTATCAGGCTCGCCTTCGTTCACGAAAGTGGCATTGCGCTCAATTGGCTTTTGTGGATTAATTGCATTACTTTAATATGGATAAAGTCTTTGTAGAGACGCCTGTATGACTATGCAGATAAGCAGCCAGCGCCAGAGCGCTTCCTTCCAAATACTGGAGGTATGTATTCCCCAGATTCCCATAAGCAATGCGGCCCGCTCTAAAAGACTTCAGATTTTCCACGGCCTATTTCCACTTTGAATATCTTCGCTCCACGGATGCGATCCAGAGCAAAAACGCCGATTCATCTCACAACTTTTCTTTCCCTTGCACATCACTGGACTCAGCCTCGCCCTCGTCGCTGCTACCGGTGGTAATACCGCTACTCAGCGCATCCCTGGCACCCACGATGTCCTCGATGCGGATTCCACTCCGGTCACACATACTCCTGAAGATACCGCCCTGCCTCCATAGCTCGGCGGGACTGTCGAGCTCGGCAATACGTCCTGCATCCATAACGCAAATGCGGTCGTATCCAACGATGGTGCGAAGTCGATGCGCAATGCACAGCAGCGTCTTGCCACGGAATCCTGTGGCAATGGTGTTTTGAATCTTGTCGTCTGTCTCCATGTCGACACTCGACGTAGCCTCGTCGCACACAATGATCTGGCTACCACGAACTAAAGCACGGGCAAGCGCCATCAACTGGCGTTGACCCAGAGAGAAGTTCAGGCCATCTTCCTCAACGGTGGTGTCGAGGTTGACGCGTGATGGATCCTTGTCGTCGATGGATGCATCGTGGGGTACCAAGTCGGCTTGACGCAGGGCAGACCACAGATCCAGATCGGCGTGTTCGGAGAAGGGGTCGAGGTTTGAGCGTATGGTTCCCCTGAAAAGTGTCGGGTCTTGCGGGATGATGGCCAAGCGGGAACGAAGGTCGTGCAGGCCGATGGTCGAGATATCAAGACCGTCGATCATGATATGTCCGCCCGAGAGCTCGACAAGCCGGAAGAGTGTCGACATGATAGACGATTTGCCGGCGCCCGTTCGTCCGACGATACCGATACGCTCACCTCCGCGAACGTGCATGGTCATGCCCTTGAGTACCAAGGGCAAGTTGGCTCGGTACCTCATTTCGACGTTGTCAAAGATAATCTCTCCCCTCTCCGGCCACGATGGCCGGACCTCGATCGTATGCTCCGGAGCCTCCTCCTCCAGCTTCGTGCCATAATGAATCAGACGCTCTACGGCGTTCATGCCATTTTCCACCTCGGCCAACTGCCGGACCGTGAACTGCAGCATTTGGACAATACCCAGAATATACGAAAGCACGAGACCGCCAATGGAAGGATTGACTGAGAACCGGGATGTGACGACTAGAACACCAGTTGTGAAAACGAGTAGGTTACCGATGAGATCAAGGCGCATGGACAACCACCTCTGATTCGAGTATGTCAAGAAGTATGCCGAGTTCATCTCATCAATCGCATTCCGTAAGTCATTTGTGAAGCGCTGCTTCAGCCCGTATGCACGGATCGTGGCCACACCACTGAGACCCTCGCCGAACTTGGCGAAGACGGTAGAGCGCAGAACGGATTCAAAACGCTTTACCTCACGAGCAGAAGAGCGGTAATATGCGGTAGCCAAGATGAACAAAACGATTAGCGGAACGAGCGCAATGACAAAGTAATAGAAGAAGGCGATGATCAAGGCGAAGACGGAGATGATCATTGCCATCGTGAGGAAGTACATCCTCATGGCATCAGTCAGGTTGTTGTCCATAACATCCACATCTCTCGAGAATCGATTCGTAATACGACCCAAAGGGGTGGTATCGAAGAAAGACATGGGCGCTCTAAGAGTCCTGGTAACTGCTTGTCGGAGCAACGTCTTACTGGCAGTGGTACCAAAGATGGTCAGCAAGATCGAGAAGGCGAACATTAGAAGGGCCTGGACAGTTCCGAGACCTGCGTAAACTCCAATATACACGCCCATAGAGTAACCGAACTTGTTGGAAGTCCACCACGAAAGCCACAGACTGGTCGAGATATTGGCTCCTTGAGAAAGGACAAGAGCCAGGAAGACGAGGGGGGCGCTGAGGACGGTTCCTGTAGCTTTGATGTATTGACCATAGACCGACCATGGTACACTGGACACGGCACGTTCTTCGGCCTGCATCAATCCGGGAGACTTTTTCTTCTTTTTATCCTTCTTGAGCGCCGCAGTCTTATCTTCAGTCACAGCCTCTTCGTCTCCATCCTCTTTCTTCTCCTCCACAGCGGTCGTCTCCATCAGGTGCTGGAAGCCGGCGTGGTCGGCCATGAGGTTCTGGAATGTGTCGATGGCCTGGATCTTGCCACCTTCCATCCAAATGATGCGGTCACAACGGTTCAGTACCCAAAGCTGGTGCGTCGCCAAAATACGGCACTTATCCTTCAGAAGACCTAAGATGGCATTATCAAAGATATGTCGACCAACGTGAGCGTCAACAGCGCTGAGAGGATCATCCATAATCACGATATCGGAATCGAAGTAAATAGCCCGGGCAATATTGAGTCGCTGCTTCTGTCCTCCAGAAATCGTGATACCCCTTTCTCCGATTTCCGTCGCATCGCCATCGGGCAGCATGTTAAGATCAGGCTGTAAGGCGCAACTATCGAGCTGTCAGTATCTACAACAATGGCATTAAACAAAAAGGACTTACGCATTAATGACTTCGTTGTACCAGTCACGATCCAGGTCTTTGCCAAAGGTAATGTTGTCCCTGAGGGTAGCATTCTGAATCCATGCGTACTGCGGACAGAAAGCTCTTGACGCACCAAGAACGACCTCACCAGAAGTTCTTCGCATATCACCAGCGAGTGCAGCCAGGAGGGAAGTTTTACCACTTCCAACGGAACCAATCACGGCCACAAGCTCATTTCTCCCGATTTCAAAATTCAAGTCTTGGATCTTGAAAGGTTCACGTTCCTCCACCAGGGTGCTCGTATCGTCGGAGCCTGGGGTTTCCTGCTTCACTGCTCCTTTCTTGTCGCCCTCTTTGCCGGTAACTGTCTTGTCAGGATCTTGCGTTGGTGTTCGTTCCCAAGTGAAGCTGGCATTAACCACCTCAACAGCATTTACGGCATCGGCCTTGTGTACCGCCTCGTCTTCCTGTTCCTCGGACATCAAGAACTCTTGGGTTCGTCTCAGCGACTCCCACGCATCTACCACCTGGCCAATAACCAGCGGTAGAAGGTTGAGCGGCATTCGAAGACCGTTGAACAAAGCAAGCGAGGAAAAGACCTCGGCTGGTGCGAGGCCGTGGTTCGACAAGGAGTAGGTGATGAACGACAACATGGAGGCGTAAATGGGCAACGACATACTGACGGCGTTGATAGCGTTACGGATGGCGAGGAGAATCTGAATGGCGTGGATTTCCCGTTGACGGATATCCTTTAGTCTTCCCAGAAATGCACTCTCCCAACCAAAGTACTTGACAAAGCGGACCGAGGACAAGATTTCCTGTGTCAAACTGACACGTTGATCAGTAATCTTGTTGATGCCGGAACGCCGCTTGAACAAACTCCTGATAGCCCGAGTGAGCAGGGGAATACCAATAACCAACAGCGCGAAACCAGCCAGCGCACTATACGTCAGGTTGATCAAAAGAAGGACGAGCGTAATCAGACAAATGATTGGGGCGTTCCAGATCAAGTGGAACAACCCCGAGGCTTGGTCGATACGGTAGGTGTCCACGCTCATTAAGTTGACAATTTTTCCGTTACTCCACCCAGTGCCATCACTCTGCGGCTGTCCCTTACCTTTCTTGTCTTTCTTAGGCTTGGATTTGGGCTTTCCACTCTTATCTTTCTCGTCCACATTGTCTTCATTGGCGTTGTCTTTCGGTTTGTCGGTTCCAGCTCTCGCGCGCCCGGAGATGACCATGGACTTTTCGAAGACGACGCTAATGAGAACAGCTCGGACTTGGCCACCAATCATCATACCCCGGTAGATGAAGTGGTTCATTCCCAAACTTTGGCAAACTTGCATTATAGTCACGCCGATAACTAGTCCCATTCCGGCACCAATGTGCGGTGTAGGCTCTCCCCGTTGCTGTGCATTCCATGCGTCTGTGGCGAACTGGATCAGATAACGCAAGGTGAATGGTGACAATACCTGCATGATGGATGCACCGAACTGGCACATGCCGCCGATCCAGAATTCCCAGAAGAAGGTCTCATGAAGCGCCCACAGCAGTGGGTACTTCCCTCCTTCTTTCACCTTCCTGTCGAAAGACTGTCTGAGTCTGTTGGTAAGCACATCCGCAGACCTGTTTGGGTTTATTTTCCATATATCTTTCATATCTAGCTGACGTTTGTAGCCCACCTACGTCTCTGTCAGCAAATTGAGTTCTCGGAAATCGTGTTGGTAGGGCAACACTTACGTCCATAAGCGGCGCCATCCATTGGAAAGTCAGTCTGCTCCAGAACCCGGCATTGTGCTCTCTGGACTCCCCACGCTCCTTTGGTATCGGTGGAATCTTACCCCATCTTAGCGGATTGGGTTGCTTGTACCATGGCTTTGATTTTGGGGGCGCTGAAGTTCCGGTAGTTGTCCGCGATAGCACGCTCGCATCTGTGGCGTGGCTCTGTGTACGCTTGATCTCCTCCCGTTCTGCGCGCTTCTGCGGATGCTCCGCCTGCCGTCTGATCTCATCTTCTGCGTCCTCCGAATCTTCTCCCACCAGTGAGATAGGGCTAGCAGGCTCTGAACTTTTGGGCTCGTTGACTTCAGCCAAGGGGTCGGCTGGCTTGACCTTTTCGTCTTCAATGGCCTCAGCACGGTTTGGGTCTGCCATAGTCTTGACCGACGACGCTCAAGCGCCCTTTGCGCAATGCGCAAGGCTCGCAAAATTCAAGTGCGTGAGTTGTTGTCGTATGTTGATCCTATCTCCCAAGAGATCCAGATGCCACTCGGGCTAGAATGCGAGAAATGCGAGGAATACGAGTAGTGTTCGGGCTTGGCACGCGCGCGCACTCACTCAAGTCCCCTACTAGTGATTGAAATACCTACTCCGGACGGCGAGTCGTCTAACGGCTAATTCTCCGGGAGGGCACAGCAGATTAAAATCTTAACAAGGCCGACTGTCGAGAAGCGAGCAAAAAAGTAGTAAGAGAGAAACAGCAGTCGCCTAGCCTGGCCACGAGAGGAAGACGAAACGTGGGAATAATAGTTTTATGATGCTTTGACTCAATTGCCCCGCAACTCCACAAAAGATGCCATGGATGCTTGTTCTCTATCATCCAACATATATGAGTCAAAAACAAAAAAAACCGACGGCCAACTCGATTAGGAAAGCGACAAGGGGGGGCTGCATGGAGATAGTGACCAATGGATCTTACCTCCAGGGCCTGTCGGTGAGGTCGGCAGGTCGGTGCATGGCTCAAACGCCGCCCGTCAGTGCAGGCGCGTTTGGTGGGAGATGGGCGCTGCTATCCTAGCGCAAACGGCTAATTAGTTGCAGGTTAGGACTGAAGGTTTCGTCCGGGCTTCTGCAGCGTAGTATTCGTTGGGGTTCAATGTTCAAAGATTTGTCTACTGAGCAGGTATTGATTGTTGTTTCCATGCTTAAACGGACGGCTTCTGTCACTTTAGCAATGGTGCCGTTGTTGCCGACTGTCTTGCTCGATACACATAATCGTATTTTGATGACGATGCCATTTCTTCGCCATAATTACAGCTTACGTCTACTGTAGTTGAGGTTCGAAGAAACTAACCTAATAGCCACTAGTCTGTCGCCGCGTAGTTAGTTACCGGAAGAAGTGTCCGGGACCAAGAAACTCTACCAGGCTTGCTGTAATCCGCATTACCAAGCAATTTACAACGAAAAGTGTACAACTTCGGTCGGGTTCGGTCCAACCGCCACTCAACAACACCCGCTGCCCGTAGTGGTGGAGTTTCGATGTTGTAATGTGCCTGGAAGATTCGTAATACTAGACTCTCATGAACAGGCAGCTAAGCCTTGTCAGCAAGTCATACCAGGGTTTGCAGTCTATGCCTACAGTAGCTTGCGTTTGTCAGGCCATTAGAAATGTCCGAGGTTTTCGACACGGATTCCGTAAAATGCGGCTTTGGTACTTTGTATCAGCTAGGCGACTAAAAGCTACCCGGATCGGATGTGGGCACGCCGCTTACATGAAGCAGCAGCTTGCGGTGTGATAGAAGTTCGCTAAGCTGCATGTTTGACTCGAATTATGCAGCAGTCATGATGATGTGTGAGTGTAAGCCATGTAACGGAGCAGCTCTAAAGCACCATGGCATTCGTTGAAAACCCGCAGTCCTGGGTTGGCGGAAAATGATTGCTTAGGTTAAGTTAGTGGACAACCACGGGCTTTGCGGGGGTAATGTATGCACCAATGTCCGGCGTTGCTTGTCTTGCTTTAGGGTCAACCATCTCTATCGAGTGTGTAGTGTCACATACCAGTGTGACACTGCAGGCCTGATCTGTTGCAAAGAGCTGAAATATTCAAATACTTGGTACAATTTCTGGTATTTACAGTAACATCTCCAGTATTGTATCATACACAGCGTGCATCCTACCATGTTACCTTCGCAGCAGCATACGCCTGACATCTGTTCAGGCAGCAGACAATCACTAATGACGGATTAGAGATGAAATACTTCATCTATTCTTCGGAGATTCGACTACTGAAGAAATTCCCCAGTGTCGTAGGCGACGATTGTGTTCTAGATCGAGCCGAATGAGTGGTGTGGGAATTCCGAAATGACCGGCGACACTAGCCGAGCTCCGACTGGCAGCGGGTCTTTCGCACCTTTCGCACATTTGCCAGTTGCCTTGCTCCTGCAAAGCTATATCTCGGCCCGGTAAACACCACCAATGAATCGTTCACAAAGAGATCTCGGTTCTCTACGAACCACTGAATCGGCTTTCTCATGTATAACATAATACAGTCTTAGGCTACCCAAGAGCTCTTGGCTTTTATTTCAAATGTCGTGCCATACTCGTATGTATATCGAAGAATCTGGATTGTCCGGATATGTGCGCAAATTCCGAGCCGAAACGCCGCTACCGCCTACTCGGAGCCGGCAACGCCTATCTTGCTGGGCACTTTGGGTGGAGTATGGGGAAGCCCCCCTGCTCCAACAGGAAAAGGGAGTCATCGTTGAGAAAAAAGAAAAAAGAGAAGCTGATCTCCTTTCCGCCTGGGTTCAGCTTGCATACGACCTTCTCGTTTTGACAAGGCCAAGTGGCTAGTGTCTCAACTAATCCTCAGAATTCACACTAAGAGGAGCCTGTCAATAGATAAAATGCTAGCATGAGAAAGTGCGACACGATGCCTGGAACGTAGTTGGACAAGAAGTGTATCTCGAAGTCTTGGTAGGGTGGTTAAAGAGACCATGACATATGCAGCGTCATGTTCAATTACATCATGAGTATCCCCTCTCTATCTAGAAGCTTTACTTTGTACATGAGCCAAGCGTCGCCCCGTTTCTGGTCGAAAGTTGATTGGATGAGAATATCGAGTATCGTGCAACGCTGTACACTTGGACTGCATAAACACTACATCCGTACCAATTGGCCGTTACACCATATAATCAGTTGGTCAATGTCTTTCCACATAATCAACTCGTTGGTAGAGATGTCACTCATGCAGTGCAGAGACCCGGGGGGGGGGGGGGGGGGGGGCACGAACAAGAAAACATGGTTAGATGCCCAGATCATCTCGCACAGCTCTATAGGAAGATCAGCTTACTCTTGATTCGGCTGATTCGTCAACGTGACACAACGACATTTAATGATACTGCTCATAAACTTATATGCATTCCAAGTAAACTCCACTAATCCATCATCGTGTCGCCAGGTATATGAATCAGTAGGGATTTGTAAAGTGGCACAACCCGAAAATCATGTTGGATTTCAACCTTCAAGCGTCTCCATGCCATCGTTTTCGTCTTCTGTATCTTCTTGCTGCCCTGCGTTCAAGGCTGCTTGTTGCTCTTTTTCATCCAGAAACCTTTCCTGCGCCTCACGGCGTTCCTCGGCAGCTTGTCCAGCCAGGAAGCCTTTGACAGCACGGTCCTCGAATCTTGGATCGGACGATAGTTCAATCTGCTCAGCATCACTCTGCGCAACGACATGGCCAAAGAGGCATTCCCAGAGATCACCCTTGTCGACAACTTCACCAAGTCTGGCATCTTTATTCATGAGCTTGAGCAGATTCGCTTGTTGTAATTCCATCGAGTTGGCAACTTCCAGGTTGTCCTCGGATATCAAAGGGGTAAATGACTCTTTGTCTTTGCCCTTCGTAGTTGTTGTCATATGCTCTATTCTGCGCTTCGTGGAGAGATTGTAGATCGACTCTTCTACTGTCCCTTCCACAAGATATAACCACACGTTGGTCTCATATTTTTGACCGATTCGGTCCACACGGGCAATAGCCTGCAACTCCAGCGCTGTATTAAGCACAGGCTCGCAAAGAAAAACATGGTTGGCGTTAACAAGATTCAGACCGCTGGCATGTGATCTTGCATCCATGAGGAAGCACTCGATCGCTGGGTCCTCTTTAAAGCGGGTGATACCATTCTTAGTAGCAAAAGAAGAGAACCCAATGTTGTAGCGGTCAAAGGCTCGTTTCAGGATTTCCAGGAATGCACCAAATTGCGAAAAGATTACTGATTTTGCACCGGCGTCGGTCCTACGCAGCCAAAGAAGATGGCAGACAATCGCGTTGACTTTGGTTGGGAGCGTAGGGCCATCCAATGGGACGTCGTTAATTTCTTTCAACTTGTCCTCACTGAAATCTGTGTAAATACCTCTTGCGTGAGTTTTATGAGGTGACTCTGGCGATTGCGGGTCGTTAGTCGGCGCCGACTGTTGTTTGTCTTGACGAAGCTTGAGTTTCGACTCTTTGATGACAATCTCGTGGCAACTAGCCATGGTGATTGGCTTCTTGCAAAGTGGGCATTTATGATGGGCAGCAACCCAGGTCTTGATGCAATCTTTGCAGAACTCATGCGTACAGGGGGTGAGTACACCGATAGTATAGCTATCCGTGCAAATGGGACATGTCTTTTTGCCAGCCACATCCCCTTGGGCTTTTAGATGGACTTGATACCGCTGTGTCGCAATTGCAGCTTCCATCTTTTGCTTGCATCTGACCTGCTCATCCATGAGACCTCTCATGAGCGCATCGTCGTCCTCGTCCTCTTCGCGGTCCCATATAGCTACTGTGTCGGAGACGGCTTGAAGCTGTCGGTAGTATTCCACTCGAGCGTTCATAGCAGAAGTGAAAAGGTGAAGTTCCTTTTCCAACTCTGTATTGGTCTTTGTTTGCTTAAGAGTATCGTCGTGGATTAGCGATTGTAATCCACGGACAATTTGTAGTTCAGCGTCAGCCCGATCTCTGTTATTGGCCTGCAATTTGGTTGCCAGTTCCCTGAGATTCACCGTGACTGCTCGTAGTGAACTAGGCAGGTCACTGGGTTTCACTTGCTCACGAGGTTTCACCTGCTCACGGACTTCCAAAAGCTCCAAGAACTTCTCTGGAAACGCACCTTCGCCAATTTTAGCTTGTTGCTTGTAGGAATTCATTTCATGCTTGGTGCGTTCGTTCACAAGTCCGCTAAGGGCATCTTGTCGATCAGAAATGGCAGCTCGAAGTATAGTTGTGTAAACCATCAGTTCGTCCTGAATTTTCGTGGAACTTTCGTATTCTTCACCAGTAATCTCATCTTCTTCCTGGTCAACCAGCGGCTTGAGTAGTAGTTGTACAACCTGCTCTCGCCACTCATCAATCATGTTGGCCTGTTCATTCAGTATGCCACTTAGTTGTTCATATTCTTCGAGGTGACGACTGGTTTCGATCCCAGCTCTGAGTTGACATTGAAATTCGGGAATTTCACTAAAGTCCTGATTGTCGGCTCGTTTTGACAATTCTGCCATATAGAAGGATGCTTTACTGTGCACCTCCTGAAGGATCTCCTTTCTGATCTGATTGGCTTCTTCGTAGCCCTCAATTTCGAGCTGCTCTAGGCGCTTGAACTCGTCGGACTCCGGCTCGGTCATATCATCATTACACTTGATTTGGAAATAAGCACTGGCAATGAAAAACACAGCTCGGTGTTTCAAATCAAGTGCGCTACGAAGCCTTCGGCGCGCTTCACCCAGCCGAGGGGGCACAACCTCCTCATCTACACCATCTTCAAAACCACCCTCATCATGGAATACTGGCTGGTCATCAACACCAGTGCGTGTAGCATTCTCAGTCTCAACGCGGAGTTGCTCTCGGCATTCTGTTTCAAGAATCTCAATATCTTGAAGCACTTCTTGCCAGATCGCGAGGGCCTCGCGAACCCTGGGAGAGTTCTCCAGCAACTGACCTCTTCTCAGCTTGACAATTAGGAAAGCACGTTGACTGGTTACGAGAAGAATTGTCAGCCTCAAGATCATGTCTCTTGGTAAAGATATTTTACAAGACGAAAGCTGTAACCATTATTCATGACTCAAAGAAACTTACTGTGTTTTGATAATAGTGTCGGTCTGCTCAATCATAGCATCAAGGACTTCATCGATGGTTTTGAGAGCTTTGTTGATGTGACCTAATGCACGAACTCGCTCAGGCCCCAGCTGTGGATGAAGTACAGTCTGCCTCAGAGAGGCCAAAGCGCGCCTCATGGAGTCTATGGTGGAAGGTGTATTTGAATCCCACTCTGCAGAGATGAGTGGCAGGCCACTAGTATCCAATCCCAGAGCCTCTACCTCTTGTTTGAACCTGCTGCGATAGTTTTGTTCTTCAACGGCTGTGAATGGCATCGTGATTACGTAGCGCTTCTGCGGGGGAAGAGCAAGTTCGTGTCGAACCGCATGCTTTGTGTGCCGCAACGCCAGCTTGTTAAACAACTCTCGGAAAAGATGTTGGTGCGTTGATGCAAGTTTATCCCAGATCAGGGGATAAGAAGCAAACGGCTCGTAACGCAGGAAGAGTAAAAGGCCCCAAAGATCCTTGATTTTCTCTTTGACCGGTGTACCAGTGATACCCCAAGCATTGACCCTCGGAATTAGTCTTGCAACTTCAGCAGCAGCGCTGACGCCGCTGTCGATTTGTTGTGCCTCATCGAGGCACACTCTCCACCACGATAACTTCACTAGTGGCGAAGAAGCCCGAGAATGAGACCTTTCATATCTCCTTGAACGATCCGGCTCAGGCCTTGCGAAGTGGACTTCGGTCCGCAGAACATTGTAGGTTGTTACTACAACGTCGTTGTCCTGCATTTGTCGTATGAGTTCCTCCTCGGTTTCTTTGTACTTCGTCCGTCCCTCATAAACCATGATACGCAGGGCTGGTGCGTGTTTTGTGACTTCGCTCACCCATTGCCTTCTCAGAGTTTCCGGTGTTACGATGAGTGTCGCGCCTGTCGTTGTGACTGGTTGGTTTGTGTAAGGATTGATGGTGCCCTGCGACCGAGGTGGCCGTTGATGAAGCAAGATGAGTGAGATGGTCTCGACAGTTTTGCCCAGACCCATCTCCTCTGCCAAAATTCCGCCTTTGAGTGACGAGTCTAGATCATGCCAAGGACTGATGTCTCTGGTAACCACATGATACAGGTCGCTGTGGTAGAACGTGCCGCCGCCCGCATCATCCAATTTGCGAAAAGACAAAGGAAGGTCTCTGGGGTATGTTTCCGGGATATCCTCAACTTCAACGGATCCATGGCCGGTCGAGACGCATCGCACGCCTTCTCTTGCCAGCAACCATTGCAAAGCCCTTCGTTGAAAAGGATAAAGATTGGAAGTGAGACGGGGCACGTTTACTGATTCGAGATCAGTATAAGTTTCATCCGTCATGGAGGTTGCTCCGTAAAATGCCTGTGGCGACAAGACGCCGGAAGTCAGAGGCCGTGTTGGATCTGATAAAAATTGTCTTTGAATCTCGCTGGAGATCTTGCGCTGTTTGGAATTGCGCAGGCCATTGTAAATATTATTCGCCTGATTCCACATCAAATCAAGATGCAACAACAGGCGGTCTTCTCCATGTATTCGGTCAAAATGGGCGCTGAATGAGACATACAGTGCACCATCATTAGAAAGGCTATCTCGACTTTGGCTGAGCACATCAAAGATAGTGGCCAAGTGCGGTGAAGGTGAACCAAAATCACCCGTGATCAAAAACTTGTACTGGCCATACTCCGATCGCGACAACGTGGAAATTGTCAATGCTTGCGCCTTTCCCGGGTCTGAGAGTTCAGCATGCAGCTTTAGAAACCGCTCGATTCTGAATCGCTTAAATGAACCTGGATCTGCACGAATACGAGTACGTCGCTTGATCACTAAACTACTCTTCGCTATAGTGATGGCGCTTTGCTGAGCATCTAAACGTGGCCGTTTGGTAGGAGGCTCATCGCCGCCATTCATGCCATCACGTGGTAAAGACTCTATAAGTCTGACAAGATCATCAGGAAAAGGTTCTGGGAATTGTTAGTATGAAGTAAACGTGGGGAGGCAGCAAAAAAGAACAAAATCAAAAACATAGGATGCCAGATGTGAGTCGAGATGATGTGCGATAAAAAGCTGGACACTGCGGATCACGATGCCTATTTGTGGTATGAAATAGATGAAATAGGTAAAATGAAGTAAAGCCCGAACTCTCAACCGAATATGAAAGTAAATGGCTTACGCGTGGGTCCTAGCTGGGCAAAATGCACGCTATCATTCTTGTTTGGCATCGCCGCCCTCGCTGTTGATGACCGGCGGCCCATGGTAGATCGCCCTGGCTATCTCATGATGGAATGAGAAGAGAAAAAAAAATGAACGGTAAGAAAGGAAGATGGGCGGGCGGGATGGAGGAGGTAGATGTATGATGGACGGCGGGGCAAGGCTATAAGTCAATTGCCCTGTGCCTGGCAGCCTCGCACGCCACTGGGCCCGTTGTAAATCTGGACTAAGTTGAATCAAGACTAGCCAGTTCATCCTATGGGGGGTCGCTCTTTGCCTGCAAGTTCCCTGGTCCCCACATCGGAGCTGAGGAAATTCTTTGGCCGACCCAATCAATCATTCAACCCGTCAATCAATCGGCAGGGGGGAGCTTCGGCTTGGGAAGTTTTTCCAATTTGGCAGCGACGACCAAGCGACTATCACGGGGCAGCGGGCAGCAGACAGCCACGACAAGACAACCCGTACGCCCAGCAGGACATGCGCAAATCCCGTTTCTGAACATCTGGAAAAGGAGAAGAAGAAAAAAACTCTGCACACCGCCATCATGGGCGCGCTCAAAGTACGCAAAGCCACCAGAAACACCATGTCCTTTGCATCCAGACCAGCTAACAGAGCCTCTTCCCCCTTTGCCAGCCTATATTCCGCCCGCAGCTACTGCGCCAAGCCCTCATACCACAGCACATCGCCCGCCCGGCCGTCTTCGCCTCTTCGTCCCCTTCCACACGGGCCTCGTCGTCGGCAGCCTCGCGCCCCGCGCCCACCATCCCGGAGCCGACGCCCTTCTGCCCCGATGTGCCGACCTTCCTGAAGCTGATCGGCCGGGGCCTCGGCTCGCACGCCTCCAAGTTCCCCTCGTGGGAGTCGCTCTTCTCCCTGACCTCGAGCCAGCTGGCCGAGCTCGGCGTGGAGCCGCCCCGGACGCGCCGGTACCTGATCCAGTGGCGGCAGCGGTTCTGCCGGGGCCAGTTCGGCATCGGAGGTGACCTGAAGCACGTGTCGCCCGAGGGCACCGCGGAGCTGCGCGTGCTCGAGCACGAGGGCGCGGATCCGCTCAAGCCCGCAAAGTATGTCGTCAACGTGCCGGAAGGACAGATCCCCGCGGAGACGGCGCCGGGAGCGTTGAGCCGGGTCTCTGGTTTCTCCGTCAAAGGTGCAAAGACCATCGTTGGACCCTACGCATTGCCGGCAAAGGACGGTGCTGTCAGAATCACAGCGACAGAGGGCATGTGGGAAGACAAGCGCGGCAGGAAGATCGATGGTGGTGAGAGAAGAAGGACCCAGGTTCGGTACAAGAAGAGGATCCAGGAGCGTCGTGAGATGCGCGAGAAGGGTGAGAAGTACTAGACGGGCAAAACGTCACATTTGCAAACAGACATGGGCAAAGTAGAATCCAGCCCTATTGCAGGACGGCATCGCTCCATGCGGTCAACTGGGGATCATGTATAGTATCACAAATATGTGTAAAAATTTGTACAAAATCTGAATGCCACATGGCAAAATTCTCATGATGCAATTTAGCTCTTCGAATGTTTTCGAGTGCCCCTGATATGACAGGCCTGAACTCCAGAACGCCAAACCGATATGCGATCCTGAAGCTATGATATGAGCAGTGCCAAGTTACTTGGCAGCCCCAAAGTCTAGTTTCCGTGCCACTTTTTTGCCTCTGTCATCGTCTACAGCACCAGGAGCCTGTCCGAGATCTGCTCCCAACTTTGCGCCTCCATCTGACTTGCGAGGTAAATCCTTCTTACGTGTCGGTTTCGGTTCCCTACGCCACCACTCATGGTCCAGCATTCCGCGCGCTGTGATTCGCTTCCTCGGATCCAGAATCAAGGTCTTCATGAGCAAGTCGATACCATCAGGTCCCAGAGACCCGAACCATTGCTGGTAGTGCGATTTAGGTTGTACAGGGGTGACTTTGTCGCCAGCGGTATACTCCCTCAACGACGTTACGCCGGGCCAGTTTTCCTCCGTCGGCGTACCAATGAAATCAGAGATGAGTTTGATTTGTTCGAGTTCCGTGTTGCCTGCCATATATGGTACTCGCAGGACGAGTTCCGCTATCACACAGCCAACCGACCATATATCGACAGCTCCCGAGTAATGCTTTGCTCCAAAAAGCAGCTCGGGAGGCCTGTACCAGCGTGTGATGACATTCGAGGTCATGGGCATGTAAGGGTCTGAGAAACTCCTCGCCAGGCCGAAATCGGCAAGCTTGACCTCTCCGTCGGCGGCAATCAACAAGTTGTTGGGCTTGATATCTCGATGCAGAACAAAGTTCTCGTGGCAGAACCAGACTCCGCGTGTGAGCATACCAGCCCACGCCTTTATGTCGGCCTGGCCGTATTGTATACCATCGTTATCCTTGATAAGCATTTCCAGGTCACCGAAGGGAAGGTACTCAAGGACCAGGTTGAGATTCTGATCTTTCGATGAGAAGACGGAGTGTAGCGTGATGATGTTCGGATGCGAGAGTTCCTGCAGATGCTTGATTTCTCGCACGGCATCTGGTGCCATACCCTCCGTATATTCCTTCTGAATCTTGATCTTCTTGATGGCGACGAGTTCGGACGGGTCGTTGCGCAGATGTCCGAGGTAGACATTGGCATATGTACCTTCACCAAGCTTCTTGCCTGTCGCAAGTTGGGATTGGTTAGCGGGTGACACAAGGGAGGCTCGATTCATTGGCGCATACCTTTGACATATTTGCGCTTCTCGTCCTCGTTGAGCTGTTCCGCTAGATCCAGAGATGCCGACTGCACAGCGGCAGTGGCATTTGGAGCTACAGATGTAGCGGGTGTCCCGTTGGAGGAAGCGGCGGTAGAATTGACAATCTTGAACGGCGAGGTTGCTGGTCTTGAGCCACCGTTCTGAAGGGCATCTCCAGGATGCAAGACCATTGGGGAGAGGGCCATGGCCGGATCAGCCGTTCGGTTTCGCGTCAGAACAGCGTGTCGATGGAAGGAAGCTGGGAGCTGCACCTCGACGTCGAGGTGGGTTGAAAAGGTCAGCCTCGCAGCCTCGGAAGGGATGGTGCTTAGCGAACGATAACGATTGGCGGGTACGTGCCGTTGGATGCTTGGCAAGGCTCCCGAGGTCGTCTCCCCAGGCGGGAAATTTTACCATGTTCTATGGGGCGCGTTCATATGTGTGCCAAGTAATTACATGCTATGTTAGGTGAAGCCCCAGATCAAGTTTAAGTTTAGCGCCGGATGAAACCCAGCCCAAAAGCCGGGATCATCTGCAGGGGTCAAGTGGGTTCCGGCTGTTCCTTGTTTGACGTCATGCACAACAAAAAAACATGTCTCCCTAGCAATCAATTACTGACAGTTCCCCCAATGCCTGACATCAAAAGAGCTACAATGTACGAGTAATGCCCCTAAAAAAACAGGGGCCCGCACAGAGCCTAGCGATAGCTAAGACTGCTAGCCTGCTAGCTCACTCCAAGCCGCACTCCTTTGCGCAAATTCTGACGCGCCAAGGTGGCGTTCCATCTCTCATAGCATCGTTGCATCGGCGTTAGGAAATCAGGATGGACCCGGCGTGCGTATGTCGGGACGAGCCACCGCAGCCCAAAGTCAAAGTCCACTTTATATGACGACACTGTCTCCCAGTCGTGCCAGAGCCTAGTCCTAGGCCGGGTGTTGCAAATCATCAATCATAATAATCCACGGCATTCGCTTTTCCCTTGCGCATATTTGCTCGTCTCCTTTGCAAACCCCCCGTTCATAGACGTCTGTAGAGAGTATAGTTAGAAGCCGCGGTTATGTTCAAAATCTTCTCGTATTGGGTAAGTCCAGACACACCAACGGCTGTGGAATACACAATCCATGTAGACTAACAACAAACACGCAGTGGTTTCCCGTTATTTCGGGTGCCATGTGGCTCACGACCCTTCTGGGTCTCCTGCTACACTGGATCATCGACACGCATAGGACACATTACGATTCCATGGGCCCCGATCAGAGGATCGCATATATTTCCGATGTTGGAGCCGCCGAACTCAAGCCCCTGTTTGTGGCCGGCTGTATCATCACCACCATCTTTTTGGATCTCTCCTTCGGCGCCGACAGATGGCTGCGACACAAGGGTCGCCTGGTCCCAAACACCACCGTTACCGAGAAGGTTCTTGCTGGGCTGACAATCGTCTTTGCCATTGCCGGGACCGTCGGCCTAACATGCCTGTCTGGATTCGACACGGCCCACTACCCGCGCCTACATGATATCTTTCTGGCAGTTTTCATTGGTGGATACCTGATCTCGGCTATATTCATCTGTTGGGAGTATCAGCGCATGGGCATAAGTAGGTCCACGCCTTCCTAATCTTCTTGGTTCTAATGCTAACACACAACAAGAAAACCGTGAACACCGCATTCTTCGCATTTCCTTTTGGATCAAGCTCATGTTCATCTTCATCGAGCTGGGCCTCGCTATTGCCTTTGGCGTCATGAACCGCAGGAAAATGTACGACATTGCGGCCATCCTCGAATGGGTCGTTTCCTTCGTCTTTTCCTTCTACATCTTCTCCTTCTACGTCGACTTGTACCCGGCAGTCAAGACAAGTAGGGGCGGTGTTGGCTTCAAGCCAGCGGGGATGAACATGTCCGAGCGCGAACTGGAGGAGAACTACCACGCCCAGAATGACATTGCCGTCAACCCGCGATACACCCAGGACAGCTCGCGGCCGATCAATGGGAATCAGAACGGTCACCATGGGCGTCACACGAACTTCTAGAAAGAGTCCCGCGGTGACGACGTCACGGCTGAAGGTGCTTCGGCTGTAATAGCGGGCACGGCACCCACTTGATACCCACAGGCGTAAATATAATGTGATGGATGGGATGAGACGGGAAGTAAACGAGAGTATGACATCAGAGCATGGGTTGAACTTGCATTGGCATGGCGTTTAGAGGTCACATTATACTGTACAGATTATGCTATATACATTTTGGCATTGGCTGTAGAAGCAGTTGACTTACAACTGCAAAGCGTACAGAGGACGTTTTAATTATTATGTTTATCCGCTATCCATGGTACATTTTGATTACTTTTTTCAAACAGGAAAGCGAGAAGGGGGAATGGCCTCAGTGTTATATAAACTCTCCACGTCTCGGTGTGCAGTATGCTACGTCAATAAATAAATACGAAAAACGCCTGCGAGATATGTGGATAGCCAGCCGTCGTAATTAAGCCCATGTCTCTGTGCCAAACTCATTGAGATTATCGAATGTGTATAAGTTTATTGATCTGCATGCTCTAAACCGATGGCATCGTAAATTTGGGTTGAGTAAATTCAGTTCTAAGACCTAGTCCAGGGCCTTACTCTGGACGATGCCTAGTGTCTCAGGGTGCTTAAGGAGAGCCGGCATCTTCTTGGTGTCTTTATTACATATTTACGAATTACGCAACTATCGACATGTAGACTATAGTACCTCAGAGTCATCTACTGGTTTCGGAGAAAACTCCGTCGCTTTCGAATGTTGCTGAGGCGGACAAGGATACGGCGGAAACCTTAGATGGCTTGCTTCAGCATAACCATCGTCGCGTTCTGATTCGGGCCGGAATCCTGAGGCCATTCCTCCAGCACCGTCTCATCACCGGAGAGGGTAAAGTTCCACGTCGCCTGGGTGGGTACATCGACCAGGAGGCTGTACGACCCGGGATACAGCACCAAGTTTCCAGCCTCATCGTGCCTGCCGAGACTTCCCAACGTCAGGTTCAGGCTCGCCGTGGCGGCCGACCCGGGGGCGACGCCGAAGAGCCTCTCATACGCCACGAGCTGCTTGATGGGATACGGCACAGGCCCGTGCTCGCCGGCGACGAAGCCCAGTGTCACAAAATCAGAAGCCACACCCCCCGTGTTCTCGACGCGGACGGCGACGCTCCGGAAGGGGCACAGATCCTTGTAGTTCTCGGCGCAGCCGTCAAGCAGATCGCTGATGGCCCAGCTCGGAGCCTCGCCGTCGTCTTCCTCGTGGAGAGAAACCTCAAAGTCCGTGTAGTGCAGCCCGGAGCCAAACGGCACCGTGGCGCCGTCGTACCACTGGTACGTCCTGCCCGGGTTGCCGCTGGTCTCGTTCGGCCGGAGTCCCATATCCGTCATGGGGACCAGGCGGACGTACTCCTCGGGATACTGAGTGACCGGCAGACGACCCGCAGGGGCTGTCTTGCCCGTGACGATGTTCATGATGGCATCGCCGCCCGCCTGGCCGGGGAACCCGGCCCAGAGGATAGCGGAGACGTTTTCCTGGTTGAGGAATGGCGCGTCGTCAAGCTGATCGCCCATCTGCAGCAACACGAACGGCTTCCCTAGGCCAGCTACCAGGGTCATGATGTCGCGGCGCTCACCCGACCACCGGATCAGGTTGCGGTCCGCGGACTCACCGCTGTTCGACCCATCGACGTAGAAGACGACGTCTGCGGCGCTGGCCGCAGCTAGGACGGCCGGGTAACCTCCGGTGGTCGGGTCGCCAGGGCTGCCTCCGAAGAGGACCTGCACGTTAGGCAGTTGCGAAGCGGCGTAGAGTGGGTTGTGGACGAACGGTGCGATGCCGGCGTAGTTTCCTTGCATCTGGGCTGCCGTTGCGTTGGACCAAGAGCCGACGAAGGCTATCTTCAGTGTACCGTTGCTTGGGATATCTAGGGGCAAAGTGCCATCGTTCTTGATGAGCACGATGCCCTCTTCCGCTGCTTTGAGCGCCAAGTCTTGGGCTTCGGGAGTGTTCACATCAGAGAAGGTGAGAGACCGGTACGCTGTTGACGAGGCGGGATCAAACACGCCTAGCCTGATCTGTGCCGAGTATAGACGAACAAGTGCCTGGTCGATTACAGCATCGTCAACGAGGCCTCGACCATAGGCCGCAGGAAGGTGTGTCTGGTAATAAGTACCGCAGTCGAGGTCCGTACCCGCGTTGAGCGAGTCGGCCGCTGCGCCTTCGCGTGTGGGTGAATAGTCATGTGGCATATAAACGTTTTGTATGGCGTCGCAGTCAGAGACGACGTAGAAGCCGTCGTCTGTCCAGTTCCAATGGTCTCTTAGGACATCCTGCAGTATGTAAGAGCTGGCACAGGTCGGGACCCCGTTCAACGCGTTGTAGGAACACATGATGGAGGCAACCTTGGCGTCTCTCGCGCACGCCTTGAAGGGCTGCATGTAATACTCGCTTAGTTCCTGGGGGTTGATGATGGCGTCAAACTCATAACGTTCATTGCCGTTCCAATTCTCAATGTCATAGCCTGCAAAATGCTTGCAAGTGGCAACAACCTTGAAGTAGTCTGGGTCGTCTCCCTGGAGTCCTTTGATGAGGGACTTGACGTACGACTTGATGTGAAATGGATCTTCTCCAGGGGTTTCCTGGCCCCGGCCCCATCGCGGATCACGGTAAGGATTGATATTCGGCGTCCAGTAGTCCAGACCTGATCTATTTGCATTGTTAAATGCTCGAGCTTCTGTGCTTACCACTGTGGCCACTGCTTCGATCAGTTTGTCGTCGAAAGCTGCGCCCATCAAGATGGGCTGAGGAAAAGACGTAGCATAGGAGTAATTCCCAGAGGATGCGAATTGGACACCTGGTGAGCTGGCGACGCCATGCAAGGCCTCCTCTGTCTTTGGAGTCAGTACATGTCATTCTTGAAGTGATATCTAAGTGGTCGAACTTACGCCACCATTCATAGCTCGGAAGTCCTAGACGCGGCACTCCTGGAGAAGTGCTCACCACTAATTGGAACTTCTCCTGCGTATCCAAGGCAGCGACAAGACCTTTGGCACGATTCGATACAGAAGCGGTGGTGTCACAGACAGTATTATTGGCCAGTGGACCACTTTCGCAGTCTGGGAATAAGTGCCCTGCCGCTGCGGCACCCGAGGCCAAGAGACTGAATACTGTGCCGAGAAGGAAAGTCATGTCGTCAATCTCTTGGGTTCAGCCAACGAAGATTCAATTAGAATCGCCAGACTCCTTGCTCTTATATAGAGCTGTTGCTGACTGCAGCCACGCGGACAATGGTGGCGCTTGTCATTCACCGGCTATAGGAAACATCGCCTTGTTGAGTGTTGGGCCCAACCAATTGTGTTCAATCAGCTGCTGCGGCGAAAGTAACGACCTTCATGCTGAGCCCCGACATTCCATTGCCAACGGCCCGCGGTGTATTCCCCGGCAGATAGGGAAAGTTGCGGGGTTGCACTGGAGCTCCAAATGCTTCACGCACCAATTAGCGGTATGCAGTCTCCATCACCATGCGGCTCTTGCATACCTTAATTCAGGACCATTTGCAGATCTATGACGAATTCCCCAGCTCATATTTAGCCTATATATGTGTTGCATGCGGAGAATGTGGGGAAGGGAAGCAATGACCGGAGATGTGAATCAAACTGTGCGGAGAAGCCGGTAGTATAAGTGGCGCTATAGTCGAAGTTCACCGTGACGCTTATATGTGTCGTAGCCTGTCTCGGAAAGTTTGAATATCAAGATCTGGTTTCTGTTGTTTCAGAATTGTGTAGCTTATAATTTCAAGCACTTGTGTAGATGAAGACGAGAGGCAACATCTTAAAGGGTTGACTGCTCATGCTTTTCATTTCGGATGATGCTGTCTATGATATAATGCGTTACAACCAAGCACGCGCAATGGCTTCTTAGCTATTTGGCTGTTCGTTCCTAATCTTGAATTTCGGCTGCCCTTGCCTTCTTCTTTTTCTTCTTCGGTTTTGCGATTTCTGTCGTTTGCTCGGCAGCTTCCTCGACAGGGGCTTCAGTGGTTTCACTCTGCCCGCTCTCCATGACAGGGACCTTCTTTTTCTTCTTCTTGGGTTTGGTGAGCTCCTCTCCGCCTTCTACTGCGGGGACTGTAGTTTTCTTCTTCTTTTTCTTGACGACCGTTCCCTCTACATCTACACCCTGAGCTACTTGAATTCGCTCGTTTGCGCGTTGCATTTCAAGCCGCAAGCGTTCAACCTCTTTCACAGCTTGTGCCATCTCAGCATCTTCGCGTTGCTTCGCTTCGTAGTCAAAGCCCTGGCCCTGAGGATCATCTTCGAGATTGAGAGATCCCAAGTTAGCTGAGCTTATACCTAGAAAGAGCGAATTTTTGGAATTCTTCGCACGTGATTTGGTGAAGCTGTCCGAGTTGTTCTCAGAATCATAGTTGCGAGGCGTAGAGCCACCACTACCGGCCAGTGTCTCGTCGGCTGCCACAATAATCTTCTGTCGCGGCTTTGGCTTCGGTTTCGGTTTAATGGGCATATGATTCTGCGTGGGTAGACTACTGCTCACTCCTGCGTTGAGATGATCCAGGTCTAATTCCATAACGGGAATTGAATCTACATCAAAATCCGGGCCATTCGAATTTTGAAGTATGTTGTGTATTGGAGTTGAGGTTCCCGGAAGACCACTGCCTCCTCCAATGTAGAAAGGATCATCACGATTTCGTTCAAGGCGTTCAGCTTTCCGCCTGGCGAGAATGTCTGCATCAAGGTATGAATCCTCGCTTGGCTGCTGGTAAGAGTTGACCACTTCCTCCTTGGTGTCTGTAAGACGCTTGAGTGCTGGCTCTGAAGCGATACTGGTTGGGGGAGGTCTCTTGTTGTAGTATATCTCAAACTCATCAGCTTCATCTGCTGGTACAGTGATCGAATCGGCGGATGCTAGTAGAGAATTAAGATTCGGGTTGATAGCTTCATCAAGGTCAAGATCGTCGGGCAACGGCACACTCTTTTGAGCCCCGGTTGCCACTGAATTGAGCTCCCAACTTGCGAAAAGAGCCGGAATAGCCTGAGTAAGAAGTAGAGGCGCATCTTGCTGCATCTCGGCCGATGAAGCGTCTTGACTAGAGACCGCCTCAGCCGTCAACTTCAACAACTCCATGAATTCAACAGCTCGTTCTTGGACTTCGAGGTTCGGGTGCATAGCTAAAGGTTCGAAAGTGTGAATTATGCGTGCCATCAAGAGTGAAATCTTGGATTTCCTCTCTGGTGTCCAGACAGCGAGACTGTCACCAGCCACCAGCGCAAAGACTTTGGTGGCAGCTTGCACGCATGCTGCCAAGGCTTCCGCAGAAGAGGTACGTGGAATTGTCTGTAACAGTAGATTCAGACTGTCCTCCGATGCACGAGTCTCGGCAGCAAACTCCCCTATTATCCACGCCACGGGTTTCAAGGCCCCAGATACAATAAAAGACCCTCTCAGTGCGTCTTTACTGAATTGGCCCATGATGATTTCAGCGGCCTCTGCGCATGCCGATCGGATCGCTGGAACCTTTACTGTCACATTTCTGAGTTCATCTCCAATTCTTTCTGACACGTCGCCCGCGTTGGGCCTCCCTGTTGCGGCAAGTGATTCCACATCATCAACGGGCCGTGGCAGAGGCGCTGTCCGGACAAGTTGTATGAGAACGTCGATATACCAATCGAAATCGCTCAGATTGCTGTAGTTCTGCTGAGAGCACATGCTCAATATCCTACTGATGACATCGATTCTGTAGTCGTCAGGCAGGGGAGGAGCTCGTTCCTTGGTCTTTTGCGCAGGGTTGATTGTACGCTCCAGCGCTTCCTCGTCCGATTCCAAATCAGCGGGATCTGTAGAAGCACCATTGCGATCCTCTGCAGAAGCATGCTTTAGTTGGCGCATCAAACGGCTGACAATTGATACCAAGTTGTCGCTGTTTACCATGCCCTGAACTAGGTCCAAAGCCTTTATACGGATAGAAATGTCAGTGCTGTCAATGCATTCTAGAATGACATCCTCCTGCTGGGCGACCAGCCAAGGATGTGTCACTACGATTTTATTGAATGCTAGTAACGCGACATATTTGACTTGGCAAAACAATTAGCAAGCGGCCGGCCAGTTTTTAACTTGGTGGAATACTTACGGTTCGGGTCACCATCGATCATGATCATAGAGCGCAGTTTGCTGACGCAAAGCGAAGCGATCTCTTCGCTGCCGCTGTCGTCGTCTCCACTTCCTAGAATGCCACCTTGTATTATGCCATTGATGCATTCATACAACAGAGACATAGCAGGTGTTGTCCGTATGATTTCAGTCAAAGGTGGGAGAAGCTTCCGTACGAGCCTAGGTTCGAGCGGAGTGAGGGTAGCAAACTATATCATATCAACGAGCAGGTCAGAACAACACCATGACTATGGAACATACCAGTTTTATCAATTTAATTGCCATCCAGTTGTTACCACTATCCACCAACAATTCGAAGAGCCGGGGCGCTAGAGGGAGAAAGTCGTTAGGCCGCCGCCAGCCCAGTTCACAGACAACATTTACGATGGCTGCCGTAACGCTAGAGTCCTCGTTTGGATCCATCAGCTTTTCCTTGATTTTTGGCCAAGCAGCCCTCAGGGTTTCTGGGTATACCAGCGCCATCCTGTAGAGGGTGACGATGGTCTTTTTGCGTATCGAGGGATTCGAGTGGCCCAGCCGCGGCAGGAGATCGGAGAGGACTGAGAGGGCCAGCGAGGGCGTTATAAGGTGAGGCAGAGCGACGATAGGCAATGCGATGGTGGTGGTGGAAGCGCCTGTCACATCTTTCTTAAGAAGATTTGTTGCCAACATCAGAACCTCCGTGTCAGGGCGAAAACTCTGTATGGCACCCAGGTATCCGACACGCTTCTGGTGGTACTTTGGCGAAGCCATGACCTCGAGGACATTGAAGGAGGCCCAGGACATGTCATGTCCAAACATCTCGAGATAGACGAGCTTCAGGAGGGCGGTGGCCTTCAGATCGAGGTCCTGGCTTCGGACTTCGGCACGACATTCTTTGAGACAGTTCTGGATGTACTCTCGTTCGTTGCCCTTGTGATTCCGCATGCCTCGAATGAGGTCGTACAGTGATTTCTCGAACATGGCTGCACAAATTGCGCCTCCCAAGGCGCTGGGAGTTCGTAAGGGGGGCTCGGTAGCGGTAACGGGAAGGGATGAGCTATCAGAGGGTGTAAATGTGCGCAGGCCGGATGATGCAGGTAGAAAGCATCTTGGGTCAGGACGTGTGGGTATCTATTTCAAAGACTGGGAAAATATCTGGTTCGCGACCAAGGACCGTCGCGAAGGCCAGTGGTCTGAGTTGGAAACCACGGAGGTAGATGGTCTCAATATGAGTGATCTTGTGCCCGTGCATGTGCCCCGCGATGACCGCGACCGATTAGATTGGATGCGAAAGACGTAACGCACTGCAATGTAGACTAAGGTTAGGTTAGTCTAGGTTAAAGCAATCCAATGCGCGCAGAGCTGTGCGGGCTGCTCAATAAGCTCATGATTACATCCCTAATGTCACAGGCAACGGGGGGCCGGGGGGGCGCTCTGTAGGCGAGCCACAGCGGATTAAACAGCGGCCGGCGCACCGGGGAGCTCCTCCAGACCTCGGGGGCGTCCCAGCGCTATGCTATCAATTGGCTTTAGCTACCCATCCAAGCTTCACCTTATTAAGACAGTAACACCAGATAATCCTCACGTTGAATCCTCTTCCTCGAGATTCATATCTGTGGGCAAAGACAGTAAACACATCGACTCTTTCGCCTTACTGCAGCAAACCGACTCCGAAATCACTATGTCTTCATCGCTCTTGCGACCTCCGATTCACCTCCCGCCCGCTACTGCGTTGCAGCTATCACAGCAAGCACCAAAGATCATCAAGGAAGCGCCTGGCGCAGTGTCGGCATCAGTACTGCAATCGTTGTTCTCTGCAGCAGAGACGCCCGAGCTCTGGACCATTTACGAGAACCTGTTATTATCATGCCTGCGCACCGGTGATGAGGAGTCAGCACACCAATGCTTGGGGAGGCTTATTAACCGCTTTGGTGACGACAATGAGCGAATCATGGCCTTCGTCGGTCTTTTGAAAGAGGCAGATGCCGAGGACAATGCGACATTGGAGGTGGTACTCAAGGAGTATCAGGCCATTCTGGAGAAGAACCCAACCAACATTGTAAGATGCCTACGCTTACTGACTACGGACAGAGGATGCTAATACTGCATCCAGCCTATTGCTAAACGCCGCGTGGCTCTCTTGCGATCTCTAGGCAGGACTTCTGACGCCGTCGCTGCTCTGATTGCCCTTCTTGACTTCTCGCCAATCGACAGCGAGGCATGGTCCGAGCTCTCGGACATGTACTTCTCTCAGGGGCTGTACTTGCAAGCTATCTTTGCTTTGGAGGAGGTTCTTGTCTTGCAGCCGAACGCGTGGAATGTAAGACGGCGATCTGTGCGACCCTTTTTATGACATCACTGACCTCAAACTCAAAGATTCATGCGCGATTAGGCGAGTTGCTGTTGATGGCAGCCAAGTCGACACAGCAGAACGACACGCCGAAGCAGCTCAGTGAGGCGCTCAAGAGATTCTCTCGGAGCGTGGAGCTCTGTGATGACTATTTGCGGGGATACTATGGCTTAAAATTGGTGAGATTCCGTGTACTCAAAACCCTTCGGCCGCTTACTTATCTTGTACAAGACAACAAAGCAGCTGCTGAGTGAGCCTCAGAAGACGACAAAACAACCGGATGACGACACTTTGCCGTTGCCGCCTCAGGCAACGTTGCGCTCACTTGATGAACTTGCAACTGCCAAGTTAGCAGAAATTACTCGTCGATATTCGGCCGGAGAACGGGGCTGGCAAGGATACGACGAGGCCGAGATCGCTGCAGCCAAGGGGCTTCTAGAGAAGGACTCTGGCGCGACAATTAGATGAACGTGCCGCCAGGAACTCGTGCGATTCGCGACACGTGCTCAAGTGACACACTTATCATGCTGCTCCTGCCTGGCTCATAGTTTGCTATGCCGGCACACCAAACGTCTCGTGGGGATATCCAGGGGCAGCTACGAACCAGTGCCGTTCTTCATACAGCTAAGAGTACAAATAGCCCATTCGAGGTTGGCTAGTGGGCAAGATGGCGAGCACGATCTAATCTCGGCCTTGACGGGTGCCTCATGCGAAAATTGGCAGGAGAGTGGATCTTCGCAGTATTTGTATGGTCCGCCGGCGTGTTCCACTTCTTTAGGGCATCAACGTGGTCCCAGTGGTGGGCTTGAAGGGGGGGTTTTAGGCTGATGGAAATGCAATCCAGTATGACAGGAATGTAGTCAATCGGGACCAGGGCGGCCCTCAAAGGCGCGGCCAGTTTGTACCCCTGTGTATTGTGCATGCGGCTATCAATGATTTTGGGCACCAAGGCGGCGCACTTGGGCCATTCTCACGAGTTTTGACAGCGATTTGGTTCCACATACGGCCCTAACCGCCTTCAACCCATCAAATAGACACACTCTGGACCGCCCTCTCCGGCAAAATGGGCAGCTAAGAGATGCACAACACACCGTGGAGATGAGGCTTTGATTGCAATACACCAAGGTTATAGTCTGCACTGCTCATGTAGCCGACATTGACACCGGAAGGACCTTTGGGCACACTGCCCAAAGCTAAACCTGAGCAAGGTAAAGAGTTGCGGTGAAGTCGGCAAGAGAGCCCAATCATCGTTATTAGTATCTCATTCCCGTGCCCAAACATGTCACGGGCGATTGAAAGCAGTTCAACTACTCTTCGTCCATTAGTACTTGCAACAAAACATAACCGCTCAGCCATCTTGGGTTGTCAGACGAAGACCAAAGCTCCAGCTCCAGCTCCAAAATTTGGTGCATTTGCGCCCAATCAGGAACGGCTTTTCGAGCCTCCCATCTACTGCTTTGGCTTAAGACATTCTCGTTCATTCTGGAACCAAAGACGATGTTACCTTTGCAGAAACACCTATTCGCGCAAAACTCTAGAACGCCTTTATTCGAAAAGGGCGACCGTTTCATCACTCACAAAATTCCGTGAAGCAAGGACTCTGTAATACCGAAAAAGCAACACTCCCAAACTCAGGACAGAACTATTGCAACCTTATAGTTGCTAGTGGAACCATCCCGGCTTTTGACAGCATCATATTCCCGGAAGACGATCCAGTGAGTAATAACAGCCCACAACTTAAGCTTTACCCAAAGGACTTCAAGGATATCTATCCCAACGGCCTCGTTTGTGTCCACCACAAAGCAACCCGCTAGTGCTGGGTTTCTGGGCTTGAGTGGAACAATCCAAGACCCAGCGGCAGCAAGAGGCATCGGAGTGGACCCGATTCCTTCTTCTGCGTAAGTACATCTTTGCCCGGCTACGCCCGCCTAAAACGATTGATGGCAGTCGACTTCCTTGCAAGTGCCCCTCGCAGCCATTCCGGAGGCCAACTGCGGCGGTGAAGTCCACGTCCAGCTTCCTACGGATTAGTCTAGGCGCTTCAGATACTCCCCTGGTCCACGCTACGTCAACCGGCTGGGGTCGGTCAGTGAGGGGCTGTTGCAATCTACTTCCAATTTAGCTGGACCCGAGAATAGCGTCAAGCCTGTCTGCCACGGATTGCAGACTGCCAGAAGCTGGCGCAGAGGATCATTACCGGCTGTTCACTCGAGTTGCTAATCAGTCGTTTCGTTTTGTAGCTCTCTGTCAGTTAACAACTGTTGATTAAGTGGTGCTCGTAATTGCTCGCAACCTTCCGAAGAGCACCACTATTCCCTCCCTCCCCAATCAGATCGCAGGATTTGTTACATTGTTCAACGCCTAGCGTCCCGTCACCTACGAGCCAGTGTTGAGTGTCTGCTAGTCGATCTGCCATTGTACTTCCAGGTCGCCTCATATTGTGCTGCGTCTTATCTAGTAACCAGGTATGTATTCGCGTTTCATTTGTTGAATTGATTCGCATTCCTTGGCGGTCATGTTATACCTCCTCCATGTCAGGGTGTACTCGATCTGTGCTATGCGAGCTGCGTAGCTTGTTGACACTGGGAAATGCAGTTGATAGTCTGGTGTGCCGTGCGTGGTCACAAGCCAATGTCAACACCATGAGGGGTTAGCCCTCCGCTCCCAGGAAAACCCAGGAGACGACACCGGTCTTGGTTGATGGGTTGTGCGACCCTACACTCCATCATTCCCGCCTACGCATGCACCAGAGAATGAGAATGCGGGAACTGCCACACTCAGCTGCGTTGAAACACTACCTACATAGACTTCCTTGAGCTTATGCTGACGATGCTCTTTGGCATTAGACTAGTGCCGTGGTGAATTCAGCCCCCAATACATATCAGCGCTGCTATTCTGTGTCCCTGCCGCTTACACTTGGGCTAGTAACAGAGGGGAAAGGCTGTCGATTTGAGTGATCTTCATAAACAGCCCGGCCCCCGACAATTGTCTCTCTTTCCACCAACTCGTACACACTCTCAGTTTCGGCTGGTGGAGGAGAGGCTCAATAGGGCTGCTGCACATTGCCGACTCCAACGTGAGGCGACAAGCAGCAGAACAGAGTTGGCCTCACTGCTCATCGATCGCCCTTCTACTATACGAATTGAGTATTCGCTCTGCTTAATTACATATTCATCTCCACTTTGCTATCGTCCATTTGCTCACCGCGGAACGCCCTGGTCTACCGTGGTCTACCCAATCCAACCTTTTTTTACGCCCAACTGAAAGCGGGTTTTGCGCGAAACCAGGATCTTCCCTACTCTGCGGCCTTCTATCACAAGAAAGCAACCCCTCGCCTCGCGATCATTCTAACAAACCCGTCCAAAGCCCTAAGAATTGGCTTCAATTGTCCTCTGATCATTTTGGGCTCAGTCGGACTTGCATACACACGCCAACCCGAGAGTCTCCTCACACCCTTCGAAGTCAACCACAACGACTAATTTCGCCATTTCGCGCAAAACAGACGGGACAGACTCATCCAGCGCAACACCACATACTCAATCCACCCCGCGCATAGTCAAAACTTAAGGTTCATAGCCTCTAGTGCGCAACTGCCCAACACCACATCATAGTGGTCACCAAGGGCCGAGTTCTGTTTCAATTCGAACACGCAAGGGCTGCGCTAGCAAACAATAGGTTGCCGCCTCTTTTTTGGATTTCCCTTTCCTGAGGCCACCTTTGCTCCGACGTTCGCGACCAGACTGTCGCGGGTAAGGGTACCCTACAACGAGACCATTCCTCATGTCGACTTCGTAAGTACACGTCTGTATTGACGCTTTTGCTTGTCGCATACTAACACTGCGACCTCTAGACGTATACGTATTACACATTCGCACTCGCGCTCGCATTCGCGCTCGCAATCTCGGCCACGTGCTGAGGTCTCGGGCGATTCTAGCGGGTTTTCTGACGAGCCAGGATTCAGTGAATCACAGGGAGAGGAAGAGGACGAGTGGACAGACGAAGGCGAACTTGACCCATCAGATTCGGCATCGAGCCCCGGGGATGGGTTTGCTCACCCAAGAGGCTCTACAAGACAACCGATCCGACATCACCAAATAGCGCCTACAAGAGGTCCGCCGCCATCAGGGTACGGCTACAGGCCAGCTCCGCCGCAGCAACAGGCGCCTGCCAGTTTAGACCCCTCGGAGGAATACGCCTACGGCTACGGCCAATATCCGCCGATGGACGGCCACTACGGCCCTCCACGCGACCCTCGGGCCCGTGGATATGGGCATCACGGTGGAGGATACCCTCAAAACCATGGAGGTTATGCGCCGCCTTACGGCAATCAACAGGTGGTACCTAACAATTACCATGCTCCGAACCCATTTGCACCAGCCGGTGGTGCTCGCCCTAACTATTTGGAATATGGAGGATGGACTGGTGAAATGAACCAGATGATGGCATATGGCGGCGGTGCCAATTACTTCAACGGGCCCCATGGCGGTGGACACTTTCCCCCCATGCCTCCGCTTCCCATGGCGTTGCAGCAATATGCTCAATGGCCAGTTCCACCCCCTCCGCCCACTGACGTTGGGCGACCGAGAACTCCGGCAAAAACGCCTCCCGCCCCTGCCCCTGCCCCTGCCCCTGCTCCGGAGCCTCCAAAGGAAGACCCCGAGAAGGAGCTTATGAAGAAGCGACTAGCTGAGATTGAAGCTGCCCAAGCAAAAGCAAAGGAAGAAGCCGAGCGAGACGCGCGAGAGGCAAAAATTCGAGCAGAGGCAGAAGCTGCATATCAACGGAAAATGGAAGATCGGGAGAGAGAGGAAAGGGCTCGAGCCGAGGAGAGAGCAAAAGCAGAGAAGGCTCAAGCCGAGGCGAAAGCGAAAGCAGAGAAGGCCCAAGCCGAGGAAATAGCTGCCGCGCTGGCCAAGGCTAAGTTAGACATCGAGGCCGCCGCGAAAGCAGCCGAACTGGCGACTCGAGAAGCTGTCGCAGCGGAGAAGAAAGCTGCAGAAGAGCGTGCAAAAGCAGAAGCGGATGTCATTGCTAGAGCCGAACGAGCAGCGATAGATAAGATTGAAGCGGCCAGAAGAGCAGACGAAGAACGTGCGAAAAAGGAAGCAGAGATGGCTGCAGCTGCAGAATTGGCTGCTCGGTTGAAGTTGGAGGCTGCTATGAAGGCAAAAGAGGAGGCTGAAGCAGCCGCGGCGAAGAAAGCCAAAGAGGAGGCAGAATGGCGCAAGACTCTGGAAGAGGAAGCAAAACTAAAGGCCGAGCTCGAAGCGAGGGCCAAGATTGAGGCGGAGCGGAAAGCTGCTGAAGCCGCCGCCGCTGCCGACGCCGAGAAAAAGAAAGAAGAGGAGGCATTCAAGACGAGGGCATTGGAGGAGGCCAGGATCAAGGCGGAAGAAGCAACTAGGAAGGACTTGGGCAAGGACAAGGACCCGATCAAATTTAAGGACGCTGTGGGCAGGAAGTTCAGCTTCCCATTTCGTCTGTGTCAAACATGGAACGTAAGTCTTATTCTCTCTTCATGACACCCAATCCGAGGCTGAGATTTTCTAGGGCATGGAAGAGCTCATAAAGCAAGCGTTCTTGCATGTTGATGTAATCGGCCCACATGTGCAGCAAGGCCACTATGATCTCCTCGACGGCGATGGCGAGATCATCCTCCCGCAAGTTTGGGACAGGGTTATCGAACCGAACCAAGCCATCACTATGGTCATGTGGCCTATGGACAGACAACAACCAGCAGGTATGCCGATGCGGCCCGGCCCGCAACCACAACACATGCCAATGCCAGGTCATCCTCATCACGTACGACCACCGGGCATGATGCCTGGGGGTCGTCCCCAAGCAGGCCCTGGACGACCCATGCACGGCGGTCCGCCGGTGCCCCCCATGCATCACCGCCCTGGCCCAATGCCTGGACCCGGAATGCACATGGGTGGTCAGCGACCACCAATGGTTCTCGAGACTAAAAAGAAGAAATCGTCGGGTAAGGGGCCCAGCCTGACAGCAGCGTTCTTTGGCGTGGGTGGAAAAGCGAAGAAGTAAGTAAACCATCCGCTCTGCCGTATCAAGTGATATCAAGTGATGGCTAACAGCACATAGGAGTAGCAGCAAGAAAAGGGGGTAACCCTCCCCGAGGCTTATCACCACAATGGCATGATGTTTCTCTCACAATCGCTAATTATGCCGCTTGAGCCTATACACCACTTTGTTATGTTCCTTCCATTCCATTTCTTGATTTGGAGAATGGCGCTCGTCAGTCGGGTTCAGTTTTCCCAACTTCTGGTTTTCATTCTTTCTTCTTTTTGGCATTATACCCCGCTTGGAGGCACGTTATTATCATAGCGGCATATTACACCATTTCTGTATTTGAGTTGGTATATATCGATCGCTGGTGACTTTTTGGACCATTTCTTGCATGGGCTGCCTATATCATGGCAATGCAGCGCTGCTCTTCTGGCAGCCTTTACATTTGGGGGGGTGAGAGACGGGTTGGGGAGGAAGGATTTGCATGACGACATGATGAGAGAAGGACCAGACGAGATTATGGGAGTTGGAACGCTAGGAGAATGTCGGACGAGACAATTGATTCAACGAGCGGCGCCACCATGCTTCAAAACACAGCGGTTCGTAGGCGAATATGGGGTTTAGATGGGATTGATATTACGCTACTCATATACAATTGTTGATAATGGTACACGGAGCAAGAGCCGGATTGTTCTCTGAAAGGGTTGCCCGGAACTCCGTCGCTCATGCAAATTCTAATCAGATCCTTGCGGACGCTCTGGGGTGTTCTACATTTCCGTGCAAAGACCGGCTTGATGTGACTCATGCGTATGGAAGATGACTGTTTGTGGTATCGCCACTGATATCGGTGTTTTCAAGCCTTGGACCAGGGTTGATATTCCTACTTCGGCCCCAGAACTCTTCGGGCCTCTTTCTCGAAGGCGTCGACCATGATAGGCGCAACCTTGTCTGCAACAGCCGAGCTCACAGCGGCGAACAATGGGTTCACGAACTGGAAGCGTATGCTCAGATCAACCTGACTCCACTCTTGTCCGTCTGCCCTCTTCTGCTCGAGCGGGCGTACCGTCCACCGGGTGACCAGGCTCTTGAACGTACCCTCCTGCGCACCGCCCGCGCCGCTCGACGTCCCCGGGCCCGGATCCCTCAGGCCATACTTGTGCAGTTCCGAGGCTGGAATCGAGGCCACGGCATCCCCCGAGATGGCCTCCACGATGCCCAGGCTCGGGACGCAGAAGACGCGACTCGAGTAGGTCTCCTGCAGCCCACTCCAGCCGGCCGTCAGGGTGCCGGCGCTCGGGTACCGGCGCTCTTTCTGTGGCGGGTAAGGCTCGGACCACGAGGTCACCCGCGAGACGGCGCAGTACGGCAGGAAGCGCGAGTAGGAGTCGATGTCAGCGATGATCTCGTAGAGGGCCGGGGCGGCGTAGGGGAGGGTGCGGTGGGCGGTCAGGGTCTGGGGTTCGGTGGAGGGGAGGCTGAAGAATGTACGTCTCGGCTGTTGCGGGTGGGCGAAGGGCGATGTCCGCGCAATGGCTCGGGGCGCAAGACGGGCTGCTGACTTGGTCGCCATTTTCAGGGTTGGAGGGAGGGAGGGACGGGGCGTGTGTAGACGCAATGTCCGAGGTCAGTCTAACTTAGCGATCAGATGTGCTGGTATAACGAGTGGATATTCACGGCCGGTTGCTTGGTGGATGGCCAACTAATTGTCATTACTATTGTTGTTATTGTAACTACGGAAAGCACGGGGATATTCGGCTACTACAAAATAAAGGCTACAATGAATGATGCTCTCCTACACCATGGCGGCGAGCCGTTCATGGTGGCTCTAGAACGCTTTCGTTTTCATGGAAGTCACAGCTCAAAGTTGAATGTGACAAGACCCGCACATTCAACTGGCAAATGGCAGCTGCCACCCACTCGGGTCCTACCCCAACCCACTCTGCAGCGAAAGCCAATGCACTTTTCGTGCCCCACCTCAGTACCTGCCCCCCAAGTCTCAAGCTATTAAACAAATTTCTTCTCGCTCAAGTTTTGTGCCTTTCTTCCTCACACCACAACAGCAAAGCTACAAGTTTTCTGCAAGCTTTCTTCGAGCCTGCTCAAACACCATGAGCAGAAGTTTTAGGTGACCCAAACGTATTTCTTAGTGTTCCGGCGACACTTTGGATCCCCCCCATCACCACCATGACGGACACACCCACCGTCCAGGATCCCCCAGCTCATGCCATTGAGCAAGAGCTCTTGGACAAGACTGCGGACTTGACCCTCCAGGAACACAAGGCGCCGCCTGGAGATGCAGATGCCGAGCTGCCTCCCCACCGGAGTCATGATCCTGATCACAACCAAAAGCGCACAGATCCCTTCCAGTTTGGATCTCGCTATCTGCAGCAAGAAGACGATGTCTTCGAGTTCAATGCCTGGGACCATGTAGAGACTGACGACGTATACAAAGAGTACGCTGAGCAGCAGTATGAGATGCAACGACAGTCGCCAGTCTCTGATTTTGACAAAAGTAAGTTCCCATCCAGCCTCTACCAACCACTCTTTTGCAAGCCCATTGCAAACCAACCCGGCTTTTATGATGATATCACAAATTACGCATAGTTCATCTGACTCTATGTGATGACAACTGCCTGTTTCAGTCTTTCGCTCCCATCTGACTAGCCACACAAAAACAAAATGTTTATTTTATTTTACGCAATTGTGGGAAGCAAAAATGCTAACTTTTCGCGAAAGACAGGTTCAACTCAGACCCCGCTAAATGGTGGAATCTCTTCTACAAGAACAACACTGCCAACTTCTTCAAGAACCGCAAGTGGCTGCAGCAGGAGTTCCCAATACTCGGTAAGGTCACTGAGGAAGATGCTGGACCTGTGACAATCCTTGAAGTGGGTGCTGGTGCCGGCAACACTGCCTTTCCTATCCTGGCAAACAACAAGAACCCTAAGCTGAAGGTCCATGCTTGTGACTTCTCCAAGAAGGCCGTCGAAGTGATGCGTACACATGAAGCATACAACACAGATTACATGCAAGCCGACGTATGGGATGCTGCCGGTGAAGAGCTGCCTCCTGGGCTCGAAGAGGGTGCCGTTGATGTCGTTATCATGATTTTCATCTTCTCTGCATTGAACCCGCGTCAGTGGAAACAAGCAGTCCACAATGCATATCGTCTCCTAAAGCCCGGTGGCGAGGTCTGCTTCCGCGACTATGGAAGAGGTGATCTCGCTCAGGTCCGTTTTAAGAAAGGCCGCTACCTAGAAGATAACTTTTACATTCGTGGAGATGGTACACGCGTCTACTTCTTTGAACAGGACGAGCTTGCCGCCATATGGTCTGGTGACGCTTTTACCAAGGAAGAAGAGGCTAATGGAGATACTCCATCAGCTGAAGAAAACAATGCAACAAAAATAGCATACTTTGAAATAGAGGATCTTGGTGTAGACAGAAGACTCCTTGTCAACAGACAAAAGAAGCTGAAAATGTACCGTTGCTGGATGCAAGGTCGATTTAGAAAGAAATAGATTTTACATTTGACAAGTACACAAACGTTATGACTTGCTTTCTTTGCTCTCTTGTGATGTGACTTGTCTGTTACTGATGGTTTATCAGATTTCACGTTCATATTCCAGCTCATCATGCTCTCAAGACATCAATGAACTTCCTCCTCTCCGCCTCCCCGAACCCAATCCCGTCCAAATACTTCTCAACACCGCCATATCTCTCGTTCAGGTGCTCCGCAATTTTCCTCACGAATTCTGGCGGACAATCTCCCCACTCGGGCGTCAACCCGATCTCAGCGATCTCAGCCAGTCTCGCCTCCATCTCCTGTGGCGGCGCTTCCCGTGTCAGCGCCGTCTGCGTGAGCAAGTAGTCGTGCGTGATGGCGTCCAACGGCACATGCATGATCAGAAGACATAACGCGACAGTCAGACCGGTGCGGTCTTTGCCCTGTGTGCAGTGCACCAGTAGTGGGAGGGACTGGGGCTGGAGGAATGCTCGGAGGGCCTAATCCGGTTTGAATTTAATGGTTAGGAGTTCAAGTTCAGATAGAAAGAAACGAAGGAGGAAAGAAAAGAAAGGAGTAGAAAAAAAAAACAAGAGGAAAGAGACATGAAAACATACCTCCGCGATCTCGCTCCCGGACTGGTCCAGCGTGTCCTCTCCCATGCCCACCAGTCCCCGCGGAAGCATCACTTCCTGCGAAATGATCCGGATGGCTTCGATGCGGTACCCGGTCAGATAAAGCGATACTAGTTTCCTGGACGATAAATTAGCACACGGCATTAACAGATCCATTTATTCCGCCATTCGACCATTCACCTCGTAAGGGGGTTTGCATTCTCCTCAGTTGACAAACACGCCCCAAATGCACTTTTACATAGGGGAAGCAAATACGATAGTAGAAAATAGAGAAGGAAAAGAAAGGGCAGGAGAGGAAAACCCACATGTAACTCCTCCAGCCCAACTGCTTCAACATGTGGTTCTCGAACTTCTTGCCCGTGACCTTGATCTCCAGGTACCGTAGCCCGGGGATCTGCACGGGCTCCGCGAGCGCCGCGTTGGACTGCAGCAGCGCCGGCACCTTGAGGTCCGCCGCCCGCTTCTGCGACTGCTTCAGGTGCTCCGTCTTGGTCCGCAGGTCCATCACCGTCCGGATCCTGTAGTGCTCCTTGAGCTTGGCGCGGTCTGAGAGCGTTGCATCGTCTATGTGTGATGAGGTCAGCCTTTTATTCTACATATATATTTTTTTGGGTAAATTTTCTTCGAAGGGTCTGGGGAGGACTGTGTTGATAGTGAACAGCGTGCGAATTGGTTCGCTCAGTTGGATTTTTTTTACCTGGTCGTGCTGAGCGGTATAGTAGACCTTCCTTGAGTACTCTGTTTTGCTGGTGTCAGTAGGTGGTTTTCAGTTGCTCACGGCGCGGTGTTGGTGGTGGCGGTGGTGACGACGATGATGTGTATACGCACTTTTTGCCAAGAAAGTCGTTTGTTGTCTTGCCTACGTCACGGAAGTTGAGGATGTTGTCAAACTTGTCAGACATGGTGAGGCTTGCTGGATATGATGTGGTGAATACAATTTTCTGAAGAAAATCAATGTTCACGTCCTCACCAGAGAAACCTATTCTTGCTGAGATGTCAGAGGGGATGTTCTCAATCTTTATTATCTTGGCATGGGATTGTTGATAGTTGGCAGCCAACTGGCTTTCAGATAGGCTGGCTGTTATGCGCCATCCTGAACTGGGGCAGGGGCAGCATGTGGCCTGCCCAATAAGCTGGGTTATGAAATCTGCCAAAAAGCATATTGATAGGTAAACTATACCAACAATAAAAAATATTGAAGTCTTCAGTGTCTATTTTGAGATGCTCTCGTGATTTCCAGCATTAATATCGCAGCCTTATAATCACTTCTTCGCAATGGCTCGGGGAGCGATATGGCCACTGTCCAGGTTTACATAAGCGTTTCGCTCTCCTTCGTGAAAGTCGAGATTGCAGTGCAATTGCCTTAGCACTGTGTAACTCTCGATACTAGTGAACGCATGACCCTAGTTAGGGATGATTATAAGCTGATTTGTTGCGCCCAAGCAGAAGGCGGTCAATGTAAAACGCCCAACTAGATGGGTGAAGATCCTGCATGGATCGTGCCACCAAACGTGAAAGATCACTGTTTAAGCTTTCGGTCAATGCATTAGGTTTCTGCTGAATATTCAGCCCAGAGTGTCTACTACCTGAGTTTGTTCGCGGCTACACTCGAGTATCATGGGCCGTTGAACGGAAAACAAAACAAAAAATTTCTTAACCAAATTTGCCGACCGCGTCAACAAGAGAAAAAGGAAGAGGCTGACGATCATGGTCATGCTGCATGCAATTTTGGTGACGCAGTTTCAGGCAATAGATCGGTCTTCTCAGCTGTGTTTTATTAGTGCCGGGAAATTAACTTAGTCCCAAGCTTGACAAGGTCTGCTGTATGTACATATGTATGTAGGTTGAATAGTCGAGACCGACAGGAACACCATTGATCTTCATTGAAAGAGCCGGGATTCGTGACGACTCCTCAGATGGAATTTCCTTTCTTGGCTGCTTGGGGATTTGATTGAACTGAGCTATCCTCCTTTGTGTTGATGATCTTCATGTCATTGCTCAAAATGTGACCCATGACGAACTCCAAGGTTCCTTGTTAGTGCATGTCAGACCCTGCGGGATACATGCCCGCACCTGTCACATTGGTGAAGGATACACAACTCATCTTCGTGTTGGTTACCCTTGATGAGTGGTATCCAGATCCAATTTTGAGCGATTGATGACCAAAAGTCGATTGAACCAAGGACTTTGAAGTTTGAACTCATGCTTTCTTTCAAAAAAAGACTTTGGATAGCGGGAATGTATCTTTACTTTAGAATTGGATGTCTCAGTGCTGTGATCCCTGTCCCTATTCCGTAGGACAAGACGGCCACACGGCCTACCCGCAACAAGTGCCACATGACGTCACTCTTTGGCAGCGCTCAGCGACAAGTCAGAAGTGTGAAAGGCATTGGATTGGATTGACGAGCCAAACATTGTCTGAACTATGTTAGTTGTGTTTAGACAATGGCACTATGATGAGCGGCCTCTTGAATGCCCCGCCAGAGCGGTCGCTAACATGCCTTACCCTCCCCAAGCGATTGAACTGATGTTTGGGCGGTTTCCCTGTGACGCTATGATGGAATGGCTTTTGGCCGTTCCTTTATGACGGGACTATCTTCCTCAATCTTTGTCGCATCACATTTCACAGACCCAGCTCTTTCATCATACCTAGTTCTGCATTGTTCGAAGCCCTCGTATCGGTTTGAAATACCCACCCCCAGATTAATATACACATTGAGGATTTGTGGATCAGTAGCAACTCGCCAGGGATGTCGACAGGGAAAGTACTCCAATCCAGCGCCCATCCGCAGCCTTCTGGGTCTGCCAATGGGGCGCAGATACAGAATCCCCATGACGACACATCAAACTCGCCTGCAGGTCCGAAAAAGCCCTTTCTTTGTTCTTGTGGTTCCTCTCCATAATTGTTGACATGTCCATTAGTACACTCGGGTCGACTCATATATGCGAAACCTCAAGACCTCCCCAGCTTTCCATCCGTGGGATTAGGACCGAACGGATCAGCTGCCAGCGCAGCTGCAACACTAGGTTGGAGTATGAAGAACTCACCAGAAATCTGGAAGCCCGACAGCTCGTCCTCGGCTTCAAAAGCTGCCCTGTTGGCACACGGTCACAAGGCCCCTGATGTTTGGACGCCTTCACTCAGTAGTCATGGCGCCCAGGCCGCCCTCCTTGCACACAAGTCCGCTAAGACCAGCGAGAGCTGGAAGCCAACAGCTACGGACCATGGGCACTCAGCAGCAACCCAAGCTTTCAAGGCTGGCCAAGTTGCAAATCTCTCGACCCAGGATGGAGCCAATTTATTGAACCGCCAGAGATCGCTTATGGCGGCAAAAGGTGCCATGGCCGTAAGGCCGAGATCGAACACTGCACCGTCTGCAAAAGACCCGACATATCCGGACGAAGCGAACGCTGCTGCTAATGCTCTCAAAGCTGCGACGGCAGTACATAAGGCGCCGCGGCAATTGAACCCAGCGCATCCCAAAGGTGGTGCGGTCCCCTTTACAACGATGAATAGACAGATGTTCACGTCACACCCACCTGTCAAGCTCGAGGTAGAAGAGCAGACCAGGGAGGAACAGCTACGGGCAGAGGCTGTCGCCATGGCAAAGAAGATGTTCACTACTCAACAGAAGATGATCGACCAGACGAAAAAGTCGCAAACTGCTAGATCAGGTTCAGTGAGACACACCAGGAGCACCGATAGTTTGAGTAGCGACGAGGATGAGGTACACCCTATGCAATTCAGCACGTTGCAAGACGCTGCTTACAAACTTGCGCAACAACGTCTTGCAAAGCTTCATGAAGACAACCTACAGAACAGGGAGTACCAGGAGTACTACGGGCAATCCAAGCCTCAGCGCAGATCTACCCTTAGGGGCAAACTTACTAGGAGAAGATCGTCCAGTGACGGTGATTTGATTGAAGACCAGAAGAGGTCTCAACAGATTAGAACGCAGATGTCTATCTTCAACTCCAAGCTTTCTCAAGTTGATGTGCAGAAAAGACAGCAAGATCGAGATGCCCTGATGGCTGCGGCACAAAGGAACGTCCAAGCACGTCTCAAGGGTATGGATGATGAGGTTTCAGCAAAGACGGGCATGGCCCCTATATCATCCTCCTCTAATTGGGAAGCAAAGGCACATGCAGCAGCCCAGTCGCGCAGCGAAAACCGAATGACTCACCATGGCAAGATTGATATCGGTGCTGGCAAATACATGACTCAAGAGGAGATTGACGCTATTGCGGCACAAAAGGTTCAGCCGACCTTGGATGAGATTAATGATAAGGCCGAGAAGGAACGCGCAAGGCAAACTGAGCTGAAACTCGAAGCCGAGCGTAAGAAGGAGGCACATGAGAGAGAGAAGGCTCGCGAAAGAGAAATCGCCGCTATTGATAAGAAACTGAAAGGTATGTATCACGCTTCTGACGTTTTGACTGATCAAACCTAATATACCACAGATCAACAAAAGCAGGAGGAGAAAGACAGGAAGGCCGAAGAGAAAATCGCCAAGGGAGAGAAGCACAAGTCTTTGACTAAGGGATTGTCACTACATCGCCACAGACACGAACAGCCACGGGGTGAGGCAATCGAAGATTCTACTGCACCAGTACCGGAGCCCATCTATGATGAGGATGAGCGTGTTGCGCTAAATGACGTCGGACAACCTGTGAGAGTTCCAGCCCCGGTTGTGCCGGTTACAACCGAGAACAATTCAAAGGCTACGCGGGTCGAGATCCCGCAACCAGAGCAGGTGCCCAGGTCGCAAGGCTCTTCGCCTACTGATAAAGTATCACCGACCGGCAAGGTTAAGACCTGGTTCAAGTCTCATTTCTCACGTGGCTCCAAGTCAGATGATGAAAAGCCCCAGGATAGCAGCCAAAAGGGCTTCGTTGGTGGACATGCCTTGACTGGCATCGAAAGCAACAACGCCAGCACAACTAGCCTGGATGGTCGCAGTGCGAGTATGCGTGCCATCGCCATGGCTGGCCGACGCCGAACCGATCTGGCGGACGACACTTCTGCCCCTACTACCCCAATTGGCAACGCTGCGGATGTCTCTCCCATGAGCAGCGACAGTGACGACGAGTTCTTTGATGAGGCTCGTGATGAACTTGGTACTGAGCTCAGCCCACCGCGTCACATATCAGATCCCGCGGTGAAGAAGAGCCACAGCCCAGTTAGGGACTCGAGGTTCCACGAAAACATTTAATTTGAAGGTCGGTTTTCCTTTCGATAGACGTGCGCTACGTATGTACGATGTACATGGTTTTATGACTGGACGACTTTGTGATTGGGCAAGAGGCGGGTCGGCGAGGATACATGGCCGCAAGGAGTATAGCTACAAGATACAACCAGGGACGCAGAGGTACTTCAATTCGTGAAATTCATTAATATGGTTTCATTTCGGCAAAGCAAATTGTTCGAGTTGAGTAGCCACGAGACTTCTCGCATCCTATGATCCACACTTTGCTATTGCATTTGGTTCCAAATGATCAACTCTGATCCTTCAAACTGTGTGGTATAAGTCCACGGTCATGCAATATGAGCGAGCGAGCAAGCAATGAAATTTCCGGGTGCCTTTACCTGTCTCATCGAAGAACTTACAGCGCTATTGAAGTGTGCCCTATTCGCTTTACTCTGTTTTTCATGTACGAAATTTCTGCTTCATCAAGGGAATTATACCTTCTTTTCATAGACGTACGGCTGATTTTGGTCGAAGGGAGCCATCTTTGCTTCGGATTATATTTGCCAAGGCAGATCTAGCATTGCCTGGGGTTGAGATCACGGAGGGCAACATAAAATCCATATTTTTGCCGATCGAACTTCTTTGACAAAGGTCTTCTGTGCTGCTTTCCCGACGAATCGAAGTCCAGCCGGTTCCACCTGTTGGTGAACGATATTCTAGAGCTCTTCATGAATCGTAGATATCAAATCATCAAGCTAGATGCTAGCTTCCTCCACGTGTCTGTCAAGGAAGTCATCGAGAATGCCAATGATCTTATTTGAGAAGCGGTGAGTATTGTTGTTGCGAAACAGGCTTCTGGGGAAGTGCCCAAATGGCAACTGCGAGTCCGCGAAAGATCGACAACTGTGACCAGTGGTGACCCGAAAACACCCTCGAAGAAGGAAGCGTTTTCCCGCAATTTGGACGAAACCTATCTATCCATGCCGGCGTCGGGTAACTCTGCCCGAAAAACGACGTCGGCAGTCAGGTTGAAAAAGGCGCTGTCATTCGAGCCAGAAATCATATTGTACATATCTCCGACCGTATCAAGATGTGGCAACGCGCTACGAGGTTACAAAACGTACCTAGTAATTATTTGCATCGCAAGCTGTGGTCGAGCAAGACGTACACGGAATTGGTTCGCCTCTTAGCTAGCAAGATGCCGACTGTCCATTTTAACCCGCTCCCATGAAATATCTCCTGATCTAGGTCTCCGTAAATCTCCAGTGATAACTTCTCCTTTAACGATTACATGAGTGTGAGAAGATGGTCAGTTCACTCTTCTCCACCACTAAATTCCTAATAGCCGCAATATATGTGCCGCTCATGATCTCAAACACGGCTACATGAGCCCGGAAGTCCTTCGCGATCCAATTGCGTAGCTCGATTACCATAAGCGAGTCAACGCCGTAATCTGACTGCTACTTGAAGGGCTCTACGTCGTCAACAGAACTTGACATGGCACGCGCCAATTTCGCAGCCAGCCATTGCACCACGACTTCGGTGCGCTCCTCAGATCCAGTCGCATGACGGAATAGGGCTGCAGGATTCGTCACGCCGCCAGCAAAATTCGTCCCCAGCCTTTTTGCCTGATGTCTGTGAAAATGTGGAAAACAGAGGTTGCAGTGCTGAGGTCGGGGGTGATGCTCCCCTCGATAGACAATTGGCTGGTGTGACGGCGCCGACTAGCAATTGACTGTTTGCCACAGACAAGACTGGTAGACCAGGGTCGCCATAGATGTTCAACGATACCAGCAACTCTGTGTCTTCAATTGCCATGATATCAGCAGCGATTCGACGATTTCGTTGATAGCTGGCCGTTTCAGCCACGATGCCGATATTTTCAATCCAGCCAAGGTCGAGAGAAACAGTTTTGAGGCCCATCGAGGTACGATAACGTGCCAGAGCATCCTGGAATGTGCAGCCAGCTGAGTAATTGGACTGTGCAATACTACCATATATACCAGAGAGCGAAGATAATAATACGTAAAAGTCAAGGGACCGTGGTAGAAGCTGATGGAGGTTTCATGATGACTGTACTTTTGATCTCATGATCAGCTCTCACTGCTCATGCGTCGTATGCTCAAACATGGTGTCGTTTAGCACCATGGCGGAATTGATGCATTCTTTGATTGCCGGCATAGTGCAGGAACATTCTTGCAGCATGGCTAGCAGGGATTCTTCGCGCGATACATCATACTTCGGGGCCATGACCTTAATATCTCGTCGTTGCAAATCAATTACGACTTTGGCAGCAGGGTTTCCCGGAAGTTACAGTCAGACAATAAACATGGAACTCGGTTATCTTGCTGTTGTTATAAATATCTACGCAGGTCTATAAGGTATGTCTGTGGGATTGGAGCACGTTGCCAACCTTGCAAGGCCTCAGCTGAGTTGAATATAAGCTTGTTCGGGCCATGACGCATTACAGGACCTAACTTCATGGTCAATATTGCATTGCAGCTGGAAAGGCTGGCTCACCATATTTCTTCTGATCTATAAATGTGGCTAGATGGAGACGCATAGATAAAGCATTGAAACCAGCATACGCGTCGGATAGCTTCGCTGCCGTAGGACCTGCATAATGACTCAGGGGATGAAAAAGGTAGTCAGTAGCTTAGCAGTAGGATCATCTTTGATGCACATCAGTTCAATGATACGTATGGTGAGATCACAAAGACGCACTAAGGGATCAGTATCAAGGCAGCATATTTCACGCCGGCCACTACAGCATTGGCAAACGCCATCCCGGTGATGATTTAGGAGATTTAGCCTTGATGAAGACGTAGATGCTCTAGGTCTTGGGATGATAGGAGTCGAACAGTATGACTCTGGATGTCTGAGTGACGCGCTTAACATGAGGAGGATGAACCCTGCTTGGCGATGTAGTAAGTCGAATTTTGATTAATGATCATGGTTTGGCCTTGCTAAAAAAAAAAAAAGCTGGACGAAAGTTCGGACAAGTCAGATCGCCCTTCACAGCGTCATGCCAACTGATTTTTGATGCCGGAAGGCTGATTCTCGGTTATTTTACCAGATGGTCCCTGCCTCCTCCCTCGGCAATGCTTGTTTAGATATGTTGTCGACTTTTCCCCGATTGCTAAGTCTAGGCCGCTGAGGCACGCTGACCCATGAGTTTTGCCTGTAAGAGTCAAAAACAAAAGGTGAATGTGGGTTTTGCGAGCTCGTGCGTGTAAGCGACATGGCTGGAGCTTGCGCTAATCACCTGGAATGATAAGTGAGAAGAGAACAACGATATCCTTGGTCCTCTTGGCAATTGTGTTTGTAACGCTCATGTCGAATCGAAACAGTGAACCTAACGGACTAGAACTCGTCGCAATGATTCAATTGTTCAAAAATAGATCTGGAGCGCATTTACAGCTACGCTACTATTGGGGATATTCCTCCTATTACTACTTGTAGATTTATCTGAGGCCATACAGTAGCAACATGAGTTGATATTGACCGAAACATGCCCAATACGCTCTGATCTGCCCGAGCTAGTAGATATATATCGGTATTACATTCAAGATTATCGTCGCTCAACCCATGGATGTCGCCGACTATGCTCGTCTTCGGCAAGGTCAAATTCGTCGTTGTTGTTCAAGATAGCATAGCTAATGTTCAGTGCAGCTGAATTGGGACAAGCTGGCCATATTGATCGACCCGAGTACAGCCAACCGCTTTGTACCGCTCTCCAGATTGCATTGACGGAACTGCTGAGAAGCTTCGGAATTATACCCAGTGCTGTTGTAGGCCATTCATCCGGCGAGATAGCTACAGCTTATGTAGCTGGTGCACTATCTTTGTCATCAGCCTGCAAAGCTGCTTATCATCGTGGACAGTTAGCAGAGAAACGGAAGACGACTACTGAGGTCCCCGGTGCGATGTTGTCTGTTAATCTGTCTGAAGAACAAATACCTAACTACCTCGATTCAATCAACGTGGTGGAACCGGTCAGAGGGGTGCAAATCGCTTGCGTCAACAGCCACCGGCACTCAAGACTTTCCGGCCCAGAAGAACCAATTGACCTAATTAAAGCACAACTAGATATAGATGTATGACGGTTTCTACAGTTGGTATAGAACACTGTTTTGTTGGAGGATAGGTCTGATGCACTGAGAGGAAGAGCCTGGATCTACTCGAGCATAGGATAGCAAATACGGTGCTCGCATGAGTGTGGGATTGCAAGTGTAACGCTTTAAGCGTGAAATGATAGTATAGGTACTGTCAAGTAGTGTATAGAAGTCTAAGTCCACAAAAGAGAATATCGGTGTACAGAAAGTGGGCATATGCCCACTGGCTAAGTTACGTGATCACCACTCCTAAGTAAGGTGATTCGAGAGCTCGTTGCCTTAGTGTACGGAGTGCTATCCGTTAACTATGGCCATCTATAGTCATCCATATTGCCGCAGACCCCGCCTACCCTATTCACTGAGGACAGCGTGAACCGCTGCTTGGAAGTTGGTTGGTGAGGTTTGATTGTACTTGGTAGGCTCTGCTACCCTGATGTACCTTACGCTGAAGCGCCAACCTGAAATATGCAGTGCTGCTGTGTAACTCAATATTCTCCACATAGTGCGGATCCGTAGGTTAATTACGCCACGCTACTAAGGAAAGCTTGATTTCTATTAGTGGCGAGCTACGATCTGATAGGGCTGAGCAACATGCGGCCCCAGAGGTAGCTTTCCCAGAAGGTGGGTAACGAAAGGATGGTCACTGTTGCAGCGGCCACTTCCTCACCTGCCAACGCAAAGCCCCAAATCTTTACCAACAGAAGGTAATGTCGCGTCCATACGTCTTTCAGGATACAACTTCACCGTTGTAAAGACCTCTGGCATCCCTTGAGGGAGCGCGATTAATCCTTGGAGGACTTTTGGTCTCGTAGTTAGTATCGGCGGCTAGTGTAACTATCCCTGACACTTTCCGACCGTTTTCATCACAGTCTTCATTCCTTGCTCCTGTGGACGCCGGCAAGGAGATCGATTATGAAGTTAAGCGCACCGTGTACGGGCGTGCGTACGCGACACGGGTCGTACATGCCAGTCAGGGACAAACCCAGGTTTACGTTGCAGTGATATCATTCCAGAATACCTTCCGACCTACTGGTAAAACCCTATAGTATGGGACATCTAAGCCGGGCTTGGACGGTGCTCATCCAGATGACATCGATCCGGTTGCTTTGCAAATAATGCAAACCTCGCTTCTCGACAAATCTGTCAACATAAACAAACTAAAACCTGAGGAGCACCCCCTGGATTGCCGGCCGTTGAAGATGGATATGTCGGATGATCCATCACGGTTCCGTCTCTGGGGATTCATGCGCTCGCTACCTCTGTCTAGCGGCAGCCATTTGCTTCACCTGGCGGCACTTGCATATGCGTCGAATGAGTTTGCGTTTGGAGCAGCCTTGGCCGCCAATCCTTTAGCTGTAGGTAAAGGGATGCGAACATCAAGCTAGACTAGGCGCTAGCCTGACTCACAATGTTTCGTTCCATGACCCACAAGCTCGCATGAACAAGTGGATTGTCCTCGGGCGTGATACAGCATGGGGTGCGGACGGGGGGGTTCTAGTTTCACAGAGAATGTGGGATATGAAGAGTGGCCGGTTGATGTTATCTGATTCTCAAGAAGCTTTAATTTGACTACAAGACGAAGCTAGTCAAAAGATAAGACTTTCATAAATTGAATATTACTTCATATAACATTTAATAATAAAAACGTCGTGATAGTTTAAGTATATATATAATATAATAATAAATCGTAATTCGAAATTAAATAACTTGTATAATATGAATTAACGTTAATTATTCGTTAGAGGTCTTTCTTTTAGTCTTTCAGTTATGATATATATAAATTACATAAATTTTATCCTATTAATATATTGGTGGAAGGACACCGGACCACGTATCCCGATAAAATACCTCCTGGTTTCAATCTAAGAGCCAAGATGTTCAGACACAACAAGTCTGTGAGGGTATGTGTGCGAGGAATAGATATTGTTAGAAATGCCACATACGGTGTAAGACAAAGAGCCTACAACGTCACGAACTGTAACGTTGATAGGCTTGTGGTATGTCTCGTTTAAGAAACTTGATTTAGAGAGAGATTTTCAAAGCTCTCTATATACGTGTCATAGCCAACGGAGTTTGTGGGTACTGTAACAAAGGCGATTCGAGCTGCAAAGTATAAAACTAGCCAAGGCATCTGGATCCATACCAACATCCTGGCCCAGTGTGTATGTTTCTCGCTTGCTATAGCCTGTTGTTTAGCTATATCTTTCGCTTTCTCCCGTGACACCGCTCTATTTGTATCTGGATTTCCATCTGCATCTGCATCTTCTAGATACTCAGTTACGGCACAATCACAGCCCGATTCGTTTGAGCACTTCCTCCAATATTTCAAATACCATTTACTGAAAATTTCTTCTTTGTAGTCCCTCCCTAAAGTTTGAACGCATTCTTTCATTTCTCTTCCGATTTCATCACGTTGTTCTTAAAATTGTTGAAATCTAACACTTGAGATTAGCAGAGTAGCCAGCAAGATGAAAATAAGGACGGTTATCGGTAAGGTCACGGCATGCTAGATCCATAATTCTGCCAACGTAGGAAATTCAAATTTCAAGCCGTAAAATGAATTGGCCCGAATAGTAGCGACGATAACAATAGCAAAGAAGCAAAAAAACTCTATATCATGGGAATAGCCTTCGAAGTTATCGTCTCTAATGCCTTCGCATTTCGGTTTCATGGTTACCAACGAACCAACTATCATTTTAGGTATAAGCTGTGCAGTAGATGTGGAGTGAAAATCCTGAATTGATTCTCCGACGATAAATATTATAGCTGAGTTGACATTATTCGGTTTATAACACTGAACGCAGAAGCTGAAGATAGAGGATTAAGAAAAAAAAAAAAAAAAAAGAATGAAGTGGTGGACTTCATGGTGTATTGCAGACGGTTGATTGTACAAGCTGTGAGAGGAGCCTGGTGACAGGGTTTTAGTCTTCAGACGGTGCCTTGTGCTGGTTGAATAAATCTAGAAGAGCAGCAGATAGGGCATTTCCTATAATTGATGATCATTCACTTACTGGGATGTTCTCTCGCTTTTTATTGCTCTAATTCTCTGGAATTCTTGGCTTCGATGTTAGCTACGCCAAACTGGTCCAACAGATTCGAAGCGATCATTGGGCTTGCCCTTCCACCACATGTATATTTCGGCACGTGCAACACGAGTCTCATGTGAAGTGTCATGATTAAAGAGACATGATGCAATTGTCCCCTTGTCCTAGGTCGCAACGTTGTTGCAGATTCTGTTTCTCAGGCGGCTTGCCTTTTACCTTTGATTCTACAATACTGAATTGCAATGATTCCGAGGACCAAACCAGATAAGGGCAACCATATCGTGGATATATGGTGACGAGGGCGTCTCGGCGATCCAGGAGGTATCCTAAGTCCCCGCACAATGAAATCCTCCTAGCATAGCAGACTCGCTTATGACGGAATGCTTAGGTCACTATCTTCCATAAGCAAATGAGCCCACACATATCTTGATTATTGTGAAACGGCGAGTGTTCACTGAAGTACCATACATCCGCATTAAGAATTAGACTAGTATAGATTCCTTAAGACTCTGCGACTATACGCCAAAATGAACGAACGGCGCCCAAAACAGCGGCGATTTCATATTTTTCTCCCGGGTCTCCATAACGGCGTCCCGGAGCAATAAGGCAACTTCCCAATTGCTTGAGGAAACGCCGTCCTCCTGTAATAACAACCGATAGAACGATTCTGCCATTTCTGAACAAGCTCTGTCATTTGCTGGCCAAAGACAGCCAATGACATGTGGAAATCCGGCTGTTTGGAATCCGCTCACTACGTGGATCACCTCGTCAGTCAACCGTGGCGCATGGTTCACAGCTGTCGAACAAGCTGATAGGTATGCTAATTTTGCATTCCTGAGGTGTAACTCCGAGACTGCCTGTACCGTCAACCGCTCTGATTGGTGTCCATTCTGCAAATCCAGTCCGCTCCTAGAAGGATCTGAAACGTTTGTCGACCCGTGGCAGGCGAAGTGCGCAATACAGCAATCCGGCAGATTATCAATTACATCCTGGGCAGTCGGTAAGTTGAGGTGCTTTATTGGCAGACGGCCGTCAACCGTCTTTATCAACTGGTGCAGTTCTTTCTCTACGCCTCGAAGAGGGGAATTGCCTGGCGTGGTTGGCATAGTAACGACTAAAAGCGGCCCTTGTGCCTTCTTTGCCAGCTCGATTTTACGCTTTGCAAAGCTAAGTGATTTGATGGAAGGGATATAGGATGAGATGGCTCTACTAAGCGTATTGTCCGTTGAACCCACGGCATGATTCCCGGCAGCATGAAATGGTACGGAGCTGGCGAAGCCAGTGCCTATCCACCATATACGTGGTAGACTATTTGTCGAGGCCGATATCCCTATTTCGTCAAGAATAGGCTGGACAGACGCATCCCATAGCCAAGACAGATATCGGAGAAACCATTGATTTATCTTCGGGAGGACATCCCTCGATTTCCCCCATTTATTGCTCAGCCAGCGCTGTAGTTCCGAGAGCTGAAAACGTGGGAGATGGAGCGCCTTAATAGTCGTTGGAGAGACTATTATTGCATCGCTTCGGATCCTTGACATATTGACAATAACGATGTTCCCCCCCGTTGCACACTTTTGCATCTCAGTGATTTCTTGGCCCAGCAGGAATCTTTCGTGGCCCCGGATACGTCTGATATTTTGAATGCATGTTTCAAGCTCAGCAATAGCTTCGACGCGACGGGTCTGCATCCGTTTCTGTAGCAAAGAATCCTCAACTATTCGGACAGGTGTGTTGACTTCATCCCGAAGCTTCCGGTACGCGTAAGCAACATCGCGCTGCTGTAGCCCTTGCAGGTCACTCTGGTCGTCTATTAATCGACCAATGATCACGGCACGACCTTTTTCGAGATATTGGAGCGCGTCAGGTACTTGGCCGGATTGAAGGAGAAGGGAACAAAGAGTAGCAGCGACTCCAGCGAATGCCGATATCACGTATTGCTGGTCGTTGCGGTCACGCAATTTCGTGTGCACCACAGGGAGAAAATCGATGATTTCTTTCCCCAGTTCGACGGCTGTATCAAAGTCCTTTTCATCAATCAATTGTAGGGCATGCACGCCAGCGTCAATACGGACGAGAGGGACGGCAGTTTTCAAGCGCCAAGCCTCTCGAAAGCTCGATCTAGCCCGATCTAGATCCGCCATAACACCAATGTGTCTATATCGGCGCGCGAGCTTGTTCCCAAGGCTTATTAAGCGTCCTGACCGGCTGGGATGATCAGTCGGCGTCAAGTCAACCGCCTGCTGCGCGCTTTCGATAGCTTTTTGTATATCGGTCATCTGGCCAGTACGTTTGTATCGGCTATGGAGCTGGTCCCCAAGGCAGCTCAGCCATTCTGCCTTTTCTGAATGGTTCGTCGACGTCAAATCGACGGCTTGCTGCCCCTTCTCGATGGCTTCTTGCAAACTTGCCACTTCGCCTTTACGATGGTACCGACTCATCAGTTTATTTCCAAGACGGCCTAGTATTTGTGCCCGTTGAGGGTGATCGGTAGGTATTAACTCGAGTGCTTGTTGTGTCGTATTGATGGCTTCCTCTAAATCCTCCTCTTTGTTTGTCCGATTATACCTGTCGTTAAGCATAACTCCAAGGTCACTCAACCATAATACCATGTTGAAATGGCCGGTCGTTTTCGCGTGGACTGCTTTTTGTACTAGTTTGATAGCTTCTTGTAAGTCCGCCATTTCTCCTGTATAGCGGTACCGCTGGTGGAGCATATTTCCAAGGTTGTTCAGGATTATTAACCGCTGAGGATGGTCGATCGGCATAATAGGGATTGCTAGCCGTAGCATATCTATAGCCTCATATAGATCCGTTATTTCACCCGTACGCTCGTACCGGGTTGTAAATGTGTCTGCAAGATTGTTCAGCCGCCTTGCTCGGTCGGGGTGGGTTATCGGCGTCAAGTCGACAACCTGCTGCATTATCTGAATAGCTTCTTGTAAATCCTCAGTCTCGCCCGTACTTTTGTAATTGATTTGTAATAGATATACAAAGTTGTTTAGCCGTTGTGCCTTTTCAGGATGGTCGTTAGGTGTCAAGTCTATTGCTTGCCGCGCCATTTGAATAGCTTCTTGTAGGTCTGCCATCTTGCCTGTACGTTTACACCGTACTCCAAGCATTATTGCAGCATTGTTTAACCAATTTGCTCGTTCAGGATGGTCAATCGGTGCCAAGTCGATTGCTTGTTGCGCCATGTGAATGGCTTTTTGTAAATCTGCAATCTCGCCTATACGATCGAACCGGTCTAGAAGCTTGTTTCCAAGATTGTTAAGATGCCCTGTTCGTTCGGTGTAGACAATCGGCGTAATATCGACTGCTTGTTGTGCTAGCTGAATAGCTTCTTGTAGATCTGCCATCTCGCCTGTCTGTTCGTACCGTTCTTGAAGCATATTTCCCAGGTTGCCCGACCGCCTTGCTCGGTCTAGATGGCCGTCCGGTAGTAAGTTGACTGCTTGCCGCGCCATCTGAATGGCTTCTTGAAGGTCTGCCATCTCGCCCGTACGTTTGTGACGGCTGTAAAGCCTATTTCCAAGATTGCCCAACCGCCAAGCCCGGGCGGGATGGTCATTCGGCGTCAATCCAAGTGCCTGCCGCGCTATCTGAATGGCTTCTTGTAAATCCTCCGTCTTGCCCGTACGTTTATACTGGCTGGAAAGCGTCCTTTCCAGGTTGTCCAGCTGCCCTGCTCGGGCAGGATGGTCTACCGGCGTTAAATCAAGTGCTTGCCGTGCTATCTGAAGAGCTTCTTGTAGATCCTCCGTCTCGCCCGTACGCTTGTACCGGCTGTGAAGCTTACTTCCAAGCCCGCCTAACTGCCATGCTCGGTTGGCATGGTCGATAGGTGTTAGGTCGACTGCTTGACGTGCCATCTCGATAGCGTTTTGTAAGTCACTTGTATCACCTATCCTCTCAAACCTACTTTTGAGATCTTTTCCAAGGTTACCTAGCAGAAATGCTCGGTCGGGATGGTCGACTGCTGTTAAATGGACTGCTTTCTCCCTTGCCTCGATGGCTTCTTGTAAATTCGCCATTTCACCAGTACGCTTATACTGACTTGCGAGCATGCCTCCAAGATTATTAAAAATCCATGACAGTTTAGGATGGCCAATCGGTGCTAGGTCGCGTGCTTGCCGCATCGCTTGAATAGCCTCTTGGAGATGCGTTATTTCGCCCGTCTGGTTATACTGGCTTTTAAGTACGTTTCCAAGGCTTATAAGCACATTCGTGTGGTTCGCGTGGTTTAGGTGCTTAGTCGTTACCAGGCTAACTGCCTGCCTAACGAGCTCGATAGCCATTTCTAAATCCGCCATGTTACCTGTCCATTTAAATTGGGCTTCGAGCAAAATCCCAACATTCTTTAGTCCTATTGGTCGGTTAGGACTATCAATCGGTGTTAAGCTAAGTGCTTGTTGCGCCATCTTGATAGCTTCTTGAAGATCTGCTCTATCACCTGTCCGTTTGTATCGGCTTTGGAGCATATTAGAAAAGTTGCCTAGCCGTTTTGCCCTCTCTGGATGGTTGATCGGAGTCAAGTCGACTGCTTGCAGGGCATTTTCGATGGCTTCTCGCAGATATGCTACTTCGCCTGTCCGCTGGTACTGGCTATGGAGCTCATTCCCAAGGTTGCTTAGCTGCTCTGCTCGATCTGGATGGCCGGTCTGTAGTAGTGTGACTGCCTGCCGCGCCGTTGCGGTGCTTTGTTGTAGCTCTGCCATTTGGGCTCTTGGACAGCATCCTCTTTAGAAAAGGTAAGGCCTATCGAGCTTGACGACGTTTATCAGGAGAGCAATAGACCTAGGTATATCGAAATGACACCGCAACTATTGGACACGTATCCCAGCGTTCCCATGTGCGACAACGTCAAGCGAACCAACCAGGATCCCCATCCTCCAGCGAATCCTTAGTGAATCGGGTTTTCATTGGTGAAATAATAAGACTTGGCATCAGCCACACACTCTTCTCGTACCGGTTTCGCCGTGATTTGCAATCCCATGCTTATAAGTTTTCAGCTTGTCGACAACTCTCCGCGACGGGGCTGTGCTGATGCTGTTTAAGTAAGCCCGCAAGCTATAAGCAGGCTCCAATCCCGACGTTGGCTGCCTCAATTTTACGACCATTTGATACGTTCGCCACTTGGTACACGTGATATCTTGCCATCTTTACACAGCTTCCCATCCTTTTACTCGCCGCTACTATGTCGCCAAACATCATGCTGCCACGTTTCTTTCCGCAAGATTCAATAAAACTTGGCCGCTTTCTTACAGATATCGATAACCCGCACCACAACTATCATGATCCATTATGGAACTCACCAACCAGGGCTATAAATTCGCCTATCAGCTCTTATACTGCTGTGCATAATACATCTGCAAGCTCGGGGTTCAAATCGACTCTCACATCTTTGATTTCTGCCGGGCTCTCGAAGCACTCAAAGACAGAGTTGTCTATCACCACTGACAGTGCTTCGACTTTGACCCTTGACAATACCCAAGGCTGGTTCAAGGAAGCAATGCATTTGCCGTCAACTCGAAGCTGGATCGAGCAACGGATTGACGAAGGAGATAATATTTATATGATTGTTGGTTTTACTTGTATCAACAATGCATATATCTCCTATGAGGCCTGTCGTGAGACCGCTACCGAAGGTCAAGGTCAACTTCCTATAGCCGCAGCGCTTGCCGCTACCGGGGCTGTTGTGCCGCTAGTAGGGGATATACTAGATCCAAGTATTGGTGCAAGCCTTCAAGCCCTGGACGGAGCGCAATCCAAGTTCCTGGTCCCTGGCGAGCAGGTCTGTGCCCTGCAGATTTGCAAAATTAGCCACTCGTGGTTCTCAAGCAAGCGTGTCGACACGTCCCGCCTGTCGAAACCGTGGTGGTCTTCTGTTGAGAGGTGGAGAGACGAGGATGATGGCGAAGATGATATCATCGAGGTCGAGCTATCCCAGGTAGAGGATCTAGATGAGAAATGGGCGAAGGTAGTTAGCGGAGATGAGGTCTTCTTTCGTCCCTTGTTCGAAGAGCCCTAGTTGAAAATTCAACAACTTTACACGTATAACTTTGCAAGTATCGGTCGCAGCGTATACAAAACTCCTTTTTAACGGCAGTGCAAAATAGAGATATCTTCGGCCACTTCTCATACTTTATTCATGACTGATAATTTGTTCTAAAATTTAACACAAGAAATCATTATACCGTTCTCTTACCGTACCTCTTACGAAAATATTATACTGTTTATGCAGTGTTAAAAAAATGAAGGAGATACTATTCAGGTACCCCATCCTATCGTAATCACCCGCCATTCCAGTAGGCAGTCCATGCTACACCACCATGATATTTATCCCACTTTCTACGATGCTCTGTTGAGTAGCTTGCTGGCAATAGCGGATACGCAAGGACTCTGGTGGTGAGGCAATTATTAAACCGCCTCTTACGGCAAAGCTCTCTATATGCACTTAGTACGGCCACTACATGCGGCATATATCCCATCCACACATCTCAGTTCTCATGCCGCGGATATGAGCAGATAACGGACAGATAATGAATCACATTTCTGATACGTGTATCCCACTCATTTGCAAGCCAATTTAGCGTGGCTAGCTGTACAAGCTGATGGATATTGTATGATCCAGCGTAGTTTTGTTTAAAAATAATACGTATCCAGCCAGAAACTCAATCAAATCGACTTCTTCCAGCTTGTATTTTTTTTTTTAAGGAAAGATAAATAATTGGAATATCCATCCTTCTTTGCTAGGAACAATATAAACTTGAGGTATTATGTTGCGAATGGATGTCTCTACACTATGAATTTGAAGAGAAATAAGCTGGGTCGTAGTAGTCGCGTTAGTCGTTCCAGAGTATCGGTCACGGTCCGCAAAATTCTCACTAAGAAGCTTGAGTTGAGTTCTATTTGAGGATGTGTAACACCGTAAGTATTTCGTTGTCAATACACCAGTACTATACATATACATAGATGCTTGTTTTGTTGCAAACGGCAGACAGGCGGGAAACTTGGCCACTTTCTCCGTATCCCTCGAGTCATGTATTTGATCTTTCCGAAGATTCTTTGCAAGCATTCTACGGCCTCCGCTTGGCTCATTCCGGATACGGGCACTTTTTACTAAAGTTTTGACGTCCGCCTTATCGTCTTCAATCCCTGGAACGCAAAGATATCGACCAACATCGTGGTACGCGTTCTCAAACGTCATCATGCTGACTGCCGGAGTCCAGAATATAAACAACCGGGATATTGTTCGTGGAAGCGGTAAGCGACCTCGAGTGCAATCTGCGTCTTTCCCACACCCCGAGCCCTTCTATCGCCGTCCACTGACAGTCGTGTCTTCTTGTCCTCGGAGGTATCAACTCGGACAGCCGCTGCAGTATAGACATTCGCCCAACAGAATACCCATTCTATCCAAATGGGACCATCAAGTGAACTTTTTTTTTTTTTTTTTTTTTTGGCACCAGATGCAACTATCTAATAGAGAATATTAATCAGCCTTTCAGACTATGGAGTTGGTGAGAAATAAAGTGCTGAATAGACCGGGGGAGTCCCACAAGTGATGTCGCGAGTTCCCGTCGCATCTTCTGGCTCAAATTTGGGTTGTTCGTCTCTTTATCCGTAAGATCCAAATTTACTATATCAAAATTGATCATTCTGGTAGCGATCGCGCCACAAACTCTTGCCATAACGCGCCGCTCGCGGGTGGGATGGCAGGCAACCGTGAATTTCGTGATCATGTCCAAGGCGGGTAGGCTATTCTCTGCGCCCCTATCGAGCGCCAGGTATGAGTGTTCCCAGCGTATCTTTCAAAGCCTTCGTCTACCGAACCCAAGGATATCCTCGTGGTTGCTAGGCGAGAAGGCATGTTAGCAGCGATCACAGAAGAAACACAAGCAGAGCGTGAGTAGATTATCAAAGTAGAAATGTAGCCAAGCTAAACGCGAAGTTTTACGAAGGCAAAACTGTCTAGCACATCCCACCATGGTAGGAATCGCGTTGCATCGCGCCCTTCAAGACCGCGGTAACTACCAAATTACCTTATGAGCTGCGTCGCAGGAATTGTTTGTACATTTACTGTCTGTAAGCGAACCTGGATGTATATTGTGCGCTGCAGAGCATGATGTGTTCTGATTCGTCCAAATCTACGGCAGTGGCCGGGGCTACAGTCAGTCAGGCTGAGGCTATCTTCCCCTCAACTCTCACCTGAGCAAACAAGGTCTTCGGCAAGGCTCGCCGTCAAAGTCGCAATCAGTGCTACCCAAGAAACTTCGACATAATGCGCCTCCTCAATACTGCCACTTTTGAGGTGGAGGAGTTTGTCGACGGTGGCATTCCCGATTATGCCATTCTTTCTCATACCTGGGGTCGAGAGGAGGTCAGCTTACAGGACATGCAGGATCTGGCGAGGGCTCGCCAGAAGCATGGCTTCAAGAAAGTCGAGCAGAGTGCTGGAGTAGCCGTCAACAACGGTTATGAGTATATCTGGGTAGACACATGCTGCATCGACAAGACCAGCAGCGCTGAGTTGTCCGAAGCTATCAACTCAATGTACCGCTGGTACAAGGAGTCCGAGATATGCTATGCCTATCTTGAAGACTGCAATTGCACTAGGAGCCAAGACGGGTCCCAAGCCTCCAACTTCGAGGAAGCGTTTCGCCGCAGTCGCTGGTTTAAGAGAGGCTGGACATTGCAAGAATTGATCGCACCCACGTACGTCGAATTCTACTCCCAAAATTGGGAATTCATAGGCACCAAGACAGAACTTGTAGACTTGATAAGTGACACGACTGAGATAGACCGCTACGTCCTGGAGGGTGGCGATCCACTGGCAGTATCCGTCGCGAGGAAGATGTCATGGGCTGCAAATCGAACAACCACACGCATTGAAGATACGGCATACTGTTTACTTGGACTGTTTGGTGTTAACATGTCACTTATATATGGGGAACAAAGGAGAGCGTTTGCGCGACTTCAAGAGGAGATTTTGAAGAACACCGGCGATCAGACCATATTCCTTTGGGCAAGCAGAGCGCGCAGACAGTTTGACCCTAGAACACCATTCCTTGCACCATCTCCAAGAGAATTCGGCCTAACTGGTAAGAATGTCCCGGCCTTCACGAAAGGCTATACAAGAGACCAAAGTGTTTTGAAGACGCATGAGGGCATCCAGTTATCACTTCTCATAATTCCACTTGAGAGTAAGCGCAGTCTACACCTGGGTGTATTCAATTGCCGATGGGGCCCTATTTTGGGCGAGAGACCGGCCATGCTCCTCTACCCTAACAGGAATGAACAAGTCTTCTCACACATTGGGGAAACCTCGCCACTCAGTGGGACTGTTACCATAACAAATCCCGATGCGGAAGGTATATGGTGCTTCGATCTGGCAAATGCAAACTCTACTCAAAACGCTAAAGTTGATCGTAAGCTGTCTGTCCCTCAAGGCAAGGAACCACTCCGCTAAGTTCTACTAGTATCGGGAATGGGAATGGGTCCGCTTGAGGCGCAGCCCTGGCAGAGGTGGGCGTTTCGAGAAGTGACCATTACCCGTTCGGATTTCGAAAAGATTGACGACAAATATCACGTTGTAGTCAGCGACGAGGTTAAGATCTTGAACGTCAGCCCAAGGACTACGTGGGACAAGTCGACGATGACGTTCATGAGCGACTTTTACCAGGACAAAGACGGCTTGTCGCTCGATGGTTCCATATTCATAGGACATAAAGCTGCGCTCGACTCGTCGGAAGAGAACTGGACAGGCGCTTACGTGGTGAACTTCGGGGTCTGCCAGATGGATTATAAGAAAGGACGACATCCTGCATGGTGGTACAGTTGCCATCGAGCTGTCGATGAGTCTGACAACCATTGGGAAGAATTGCTATTTGCACAAGGCTCTCATGTTTTTGAAATCGACGGGAGCCCGTGGATAATCAAATGCCTCCAAGGGATGCCAGCAGACTCCCCATTCCGTGTCAGTATGACTTACGGCAACTTCAGCGGTGGTATGGAGCCAATTATTGATATTAAGTATCACGCCGGTACGGACGAGAGCAAGAAGAGGAAGAGGACGGCGGAGTACCCCAATGGAAATTCGACCAATGCGAATGCATATAATGCTCAGGACCACAACGTAAGTACATAGGGCTCATGCACGGACCTACCCGTAATGCTCTTAACGTAAGCCGCCTAGGTTAAGTAATAAGGGTGTGTTCATTGGAGGGAATAGTGGTTGCAGAATACTTGGTATAAACACACATACTACTTGGGCCGGGTTGTCTTGTACTACACCACCTACATGTATAAGCGGGACTGGGACAAGGGTAATCTGCCTTGGACCCCACTAATGATGCAGAGCGTGCCCCGCCATAGCGAGGCCGCTCGACAGTGACGAATTGTCATAATTTTTTGGGCCTGTTTGGCTCCGATTCGGGAGACGCAGCCACTGACTCGGATGTTCCTGCAGGTCTACCTAACCTTGACACAATTGTTTTGTTTCTTGCAACCTTTGGTTTGAGGCTGTACTTTTCTCTCTCTCCCTCGTTCTCCCCATATCGATATTTCTTTTCCTTAATATAACACTGCTGTTTATACTTTTGGACACGGCCGGACGTACTTAGTCCGTCTCGAGGAAAGATAGAGAGAGAGAGAGAGAGAGAGCCACCGGAGGACCCCGCCATTTTTTGTTCGTTGCCTCTTCCCGCTGCCGGCATCGCGGGCTCAGGCGCATCGAAGAAAGCGAGCTTCTTGCGGCGCCGAGGTCGAGGGCGTGGCGTGTCAGCATGACTGCTTCAATCACACACGGGAACACGTCCAGCAATGGATGGGTCATCCAAAAGTTCGGAGGCACAAGCGTAGGGAAGTTCCCCGACAAGGTATGTCCATCTTTTATGTCGCACCGACTGTGCGAGTCCTCCCCGTCTGTAATATAGCTCATGCTGACTCATGCGCCCACTTCCCAGATCGCTGAGGATATTGTGCGGTACGAATACCAATTGGCTTCCACGTTGCACTTGGTCACTGATTACATGTTGTAGAGCGAGCCTGGATTGCAACAAGGTCGTCGTCGTCTGCTCAGCGCGGAGTACGGGCAAGAAGGTTACGGGTACCACAAGTCGGTAAGTCGTGCGCACACTTTCACGGCTGGTCCCAACAGTGGCGGCTAACCGTCATGCTTTGCACTGCGACAGACTCCTTGAGGTGTATAACAGTTTACGAGGCATCGCCGTGGCCACCACCAACGAAGCGACGCAGAACGAGCTTCTCGAGCAGGCCAAGAACCTGGTCCAGGACATCTGCAACGACCATGTTTTCGCCATACAGTCCTTCGTGAAGAACCCGTGTCTGCAGAAGGAGGTCTCCGCAGACATCGAGAATGACTGCCAAGAGCTCGTCGACTACATCATTGCGGCTAAGCGCTTCAATCTCGAGGTCAACGCCCGATCCAAGGACAGGGTTGTCAGTTTCGGCGAGAAGCTGAGCTGCAGGTTTATGACGTATCTGCTGAAAGACAGGGTTGGTGGCTTGTTGCGATTGTGGGCTTGAGAGCTGGGCTGCTTACTGACAATTTAATAGCATGTCGACGCCGAGTACGTCGATCTTTCGGATATCATGCACTATGATAGCTCGGACCGCCTGTCCCTGGCTTTCTACCGCGACGCCGCTGCAATATTTCAAAAGAGGATACAAGCCTGCGGTGAGAGGGTACCTGTGGTCACAGGCTTCTTTGGCAACATCCCCGGGAGCCTCATTGATGGCGACATCGGCCGAGGATACACAGATCTTTGCGCGGCACTTCTGGCCGTCGGCCTGAAGGCGGATGAGTTGCAAGTATGGAAAGAGGTAGATGGTATCTTCACCGCAGATCCCACCAAGGTACCCACAGCACGACTACTGGGGTCCATCACACCTTCAGAAGCCGCCGAGTTGACCTTTTACGGATCTGAGGTTATACATCACTTGACCATGGACCAGGTGATCAAGGCCGAGCCACCGATACCCATCCGCATCAAGAATGTCAAGAACCCAAAGGGCAATGGTACCATCGTGGTGCCGGATCCTGTGCAGTCGCCAACGCAGCAGATCAAGCGCTCCAGACGCTCAGATCCCGCCCTCAGAAAGACGCCAAGGAGACCTACAGCTGTCACCATCAAGGACAACATCGCCGTCATCAACGTGCACTCGAACAAGCGGTCGATATCGCATGGCTTCTTTGCAAGTGTTTTCGCCATCCTCAACGGCCACTGTATCAGCGTCGATCTGATCTCCACCTCCGAGGTACACGTGTCCATGGCCATCCACTCGGCCAACTCCAGCCCGTCAAATTTCGAAAGTGCCATCTCGGCGCTGGAGGAGTGTGGAGACGTGTCGACGTTGCACGACATGGCAATCCTGAGTTTGGTTGGTGCCGAGATGAAGAACATGATCGGTATTGCTGGGCGAATGTTCTCTACGCTGGGAGAACACAACGTAAATATTGAGATGATCTCGCAAGGTGAGTCACCAGCAATCTGGAGATCAGCAACTAAATTGAGCGAGTGGCTAACATTGAGAAATAGGCGCAAGTGAGATCAACATTAGCTGTGTGATTGATGCTAGAGAGGCCACGAGAGCCATGAACATATTGCATACAAACCTGTTTACATTTTTGGAATAGACAATAGATCAAATTGAAAACTCAAACCTGTTATTTCCGTGGATTTTCCTTTTCTCTCTAAGCGAAATGATGCAACATACACAAGTGGCACTCGAGGACAGCGACACTCGATAAGTCTGGTCGATTGCAGCGACTCAGACCAAAAATGATCAACAGATTTCAAACACTACAACTCGATCCGCGCGTTGAGCATTATCGGTAAGCACATGCTCCTCCGACTTACATGCGTCCCCGCCTCACCAGACAGGTTACTCACAGTCCGGACACAAGCGAACGCTGGGACTCTTGAGCGGCTGCCGAGCCCGTGTTGTCCACCCACAGGCCCCAAACCTCGTTTTCGCCCTTGTAGCTGGGAGGCACGCCTCTCGGAAATCTTCGTGGGCCTCGCCGAAGAAGTGAGACCTGAATTCGCACCAGGCTTGTGTGTAGTGTTGGGTGCACACATCTTCTTTTCTTGCTCTTCCTTTCCTTTCTCCTTTTTCTTCTTCTTCCTCATCTTCTTTTTTTCTCATCTTCTTGTTTGTTCTTCTACTTTCCTATACTATTTGTGTTTCTGTGGGGTCGGTCTATTTTCTGTGTCGATCTGAAGAGTTTATGACTACAGAAAGAGATGTGGTGACCGGGCCTTTTTATGGAAGGAAGAGTAGTGGTGGTGATGCAGTGTTTAGCCAAGGGGGGAGGGAGGGGTTTCATTCAAAAAATAATAATTTTTTTTACCGCTTGTTGCTCTTGGGTTACCGTTAGTGATTGACGCCAGGTGGTCATGCACGAATTACATCCTTTTCATGAGACAGACATGTCGACATTGCATTGACGGTGTGATGCTGACGAGGCTGCCGAGTATATAGATCGATTTGCTCACCAACTGCCCGAATTCATGATGGCACGGCACGAGTTATTCTTATATTTACAAGGTATAGGTATAATATTTCAAGTGAAGCCCTTAGGCTTGGCGATGCTGTCCAATTGATGAACCTACGACATGAATGAGACTATTTACAAACTCACAATGATGAGTGGGAGAAAGGGACACAAAAAGCCCGTGGCTCTGCAGACACCCACTATCCTGAAACTCCTTCAATGCCGGTACCCGTAAATGATTTTTTAAAAAAGATTGACCCATGGGAAGAGGCAGATATAGAAACCTGTGCCACTTTTTTCACCAGTCTCTGAAAGAGGCGTGCCTCTGAAAGCTGCCTCCAACGACAAGTGTAACCACAATGCTCGGCCATGACTATTAGACGCTATATTTCTATGCAAAGCAACAAAAAAGGGGGTATGAGAAGCTAGAAGCGATTCCTCGATTGGTCGTGACCGTGGTGGCCATCCTGGGGAGGAAACTGTTGTGGGTTGTCATCCAGCAGATCTTGTAGATATGTGCTAGGAGCTCGTCCAGTTGGCGCCTGGTTCAGATTGAGTGTGCTCGAGCTCATCTGAGCGTGGCGGCGGATGGGGTCATTACGTGGCGACACGCCCGGTGATCCATGCGATTCGGGCCTCAGATCGGTCATGCTGATAGAATGGCCATGACTTTGTTGCGGAGCGCCTTGACCAGCAGCATAAAAACCAGAGGGCAGGAAAGTCGAGGAACGATTGCCAGCATCAAAGAAGGCTGATGCTCGGTTGGCAGCAGTATTTCCAGCAGTTCCAGCGGTTCCAGCATTGCCAGCGGTTGGCGAGAAGAAGAGATTCGTCTGACTCGGCGTGGACGACGGGACGGGGCCGCGCGTGGTTCGCCTTACACCACGACCTGCGGCAGCCGTGGCGAGGCCCAAAGAGCCCTGAGATTCCTGATCCTTGTATTTATAGAAAGGCGCAGAAGGGGCACCAGGAACAGCGATCTTGTCATTTGCTAGATGCTGAGCCAAGGCAGCGCGCTTGACCGACCTGTGAAGAAGGCAGGCGATGACGGCTCTCCAGACCAAGATGGCCACACCAGCTGCGCCGAGGATAGCGCCCACAGCAATGAATACTGTCCCCTCAGGTAGATTTGACGTTTGCATGTACGGCGCATTGCTGGTGGGCGGCACGCTCGCGGACGGGTAACTAGTAACACCCGTAGTAGCACTAGAGAGCGTGGGGACGGTCTGGTTTTCCGTGGAGGCGGTTGTGCCGGCGCTGGTCGTGGTGCTTGTCAAGTCGGGTACCGTTGTCGTTCCTGAGGCGGCCGTTGTCGTGTCTGAATCATCGGCGGTTGTCGTGGCGGCAGATGTCTGCGCTGTCGTTTGCGCAGTAGTCGTAGTGGCCGCAGCTGTGGTAGTGTCATCGCCTGTTGCTGCCGCGGCGGTTGTTGTCTGCGCAATAGCCGAAGTAGCGAGGAGCGCCAACGTTGACAGAAGCAAGTAACGCTTCACTAAAGAGGTTTGCCGAGCCATGATAGCCGAAAGTATGCTTCCGCACTTGAAGACCGGTCTTGAGGTTATTTTGGGAACCTGTGCGATGGTGGAACCGAGACGGCACAGGAATTGGTACACAACAAAAGTCTTATGGTTTGCCCTGTACAGCTTGTCTCCCTACAAGTTCCAACGAGAGAGGGCCTCGTTTGTCTCTGAATACAGGAATTGCCCGAATAATGCGCCTGGCAAGTGCGCAAAGCGGAAAATGAGGGACGATTTCGAGGGATTGCGCGGGTGGGCTGGCTGAAGACAAAGCGAAGCAGCGAGCGAAAGGGAGCCGTCACCAAACAGCGCAAGAAACAGAATGAAGAACGAGGAAAAGATGGCGATGAACACTGGTTAGAATCGCATCGTCGTATATGCGACCTCCTCAGCAGATCATTGACTGTGACGACAAGCCCGATGCGATGTGGTAAGGTATAGTATGATTTGGTTTGGTTTGGCTTGGGTTGGTTTACTTGCTACGGTACAGATGAGGATGGACGGATGGTGCAGATGGAGTACGACAGTGGGCGAAAAGGGGAGTGGGTTTGGGTGGGCTCTCATGTGGACATTAAGAGCCTGTCAATGGAATGAAAAGGGAAACTATCAGTCTAGACTAGTATTAATTACAATACGACTGGATTCACACTGGACCCCGACCCGACCCCGACCTTTTGGAGGCTCGTGTCTGCCCGGTACCAGCCTTAGCTGCATCCTAACTTTAGCACAGCCCAGTGCCTGCATGCACAAGTAACAAATAGCAGTCATGATTTGGACAGTACGAAACCCGTCGAGCAGCAGTCGAGCTACGAGTATGTCTGTCTTGCCTGACGCGGTCTTGCGAAATGATAGTATATCCAAGGAGGGATATAACGGGCTGCAATGTGGTTTGCCGGAGAGCTCCAAGGACCGATTATTACAAACTATAACAACCTGTCACCCGCAGATTTTACTCTCGGGTCGCAGGGTTAGGTCGAACAAGATGGCCAACATCATGTTTCTAGCCGCTGTCAAACCTATGCCATGCCATGCCATGCCATGCACAACCTATCTGTCCCAAATCTAAAACTGGGCAGGCAGGATGAGCACGTTACCGCAGATCCGCTTCACAGCATGCCCACACGTACATGCACAGTTACAGTACAGGAAGTTAACCAAACCCAACTCAACTCAATCGCATTGAGCTTGAACACACTGATCACCGGCATGTCTCAGCACAAAACTCAGACCCACTCGAGATCACAGAGTACCACAGTACCTACTCGATCATCAAATGCTTTTTTCTCTTGTGGCGCTCAGGGCGGTTTCGCGGCAACCAAATCGCCAGCAACAAATACACTTCAGAGACGCGCATTAGACTCGTCATCTTAGGTCGGAAGGTCAGCACAACGATGCAGGAGGAAAGCCACGGTTGCCATGCCGTTTCCCCTGCATCCTCTGCTTGGTGCTGACGTACTGGGTGGAGGTACGATGCCACCTACTAGTAAGTTAAATCCGGGACCCTGGAGATCTACTGAGTGCGCTATCAAGCTAGCGTGGCGGGGGTAATCATGTCCGATAAGCTCCGGCTTCTCTGTTCTTCCGACAGCTCCACTTAAAAGTTCACAGAGGCGAACTCATCCCGCATCGAGCATTGAGCGGGCTCAACACCGACAAGTGCCATAGTGTGAGAGAGACAGAGACAGAGAGAGAGAGGGAGCAGATCGCATTGCACCACAACCCTGAGCCTTACCATCCGCCCCCCGTCACCAGAAGTCCATTGTAGCTTCCCTAGGTCCTCTCTTACGATTGCCGCGACAAGTACTGCCAACTTAAAACACAAGGAAACTACCATCTTAATCTCTCCTGCGACCACCACAACACCATCGTTAGCCCACCATGGGTCAAGCAAAACGTACAAGAAAGTTTGCCGAAGTCAAGCGCGTCCTCGTAAGCAATATTTGGTCTCACCTTCCACCTCTCTACCGTATCGAGAGCACGTTGCGCCATCGGAGGCGATAGTCCTTACCATGATCGCTTCACGATGCTCTCTCTCTCTCTTGAAAGAAGCAACTGCTAATTCTGGATGGTGCAGTCAAAAAAGGATGCCCGAAGGTAACCAAAGAGAACCCGGAAGATCCTTTCCCGACGAATTCGGAGTTGTTGACATTGAGACACGCAGGAAGGAGAACGCCGGCAAGGCCGACGAGAACAACGAGCAGAAGCCCAAGAGCAGCGCGCCGCCCGGCAGCGACCTGATACGCGAGATTCCCCAGCAGCCGAGCTCCATGTTCTTCCAGCACAACGAGGCCCTGGTGCCGCCGTACAGCGTCCTCGTCGACACCAACTTCCTCTCCCACACCATCAGCCGCAAGATCCCCCTGCTCGAGGGCCTCATGGACCTGCTCTACGCAAAGGCCAACCCCATCATCACCGACTGCGTCATGGCCGAGCTCGAGAAGCTGGGGCCCCGGTACCGCCTCGCCCTGCGCATTGCCCGCGACACCCGCTGGGAGAGGCTCAAGTGCGACCACAAGGGCGTTTACGCCGATGACTGCATCGTGGACCGCATCATCAAGCACCGTGTCTACCTGGTTGCGACCAAGTAAGCTAGCTCATGTTCCTTTTCCTTTTTCTTCCTCTTCCTGGAGGGCGAGTGTCAGTCGTGTTTTGCTAACACCAGTTACCCCCCCTGCAGCGATAAAGCTCTCAAGAATAGGATACGAAAGATTCCCGGTGTGCCCATCGTCTCGTGCGCCAAGGGCAAATACGTAGTCGAGAAGCTGCCAGATGCGCCGATATAGAAGGGAAGGCGAGGACAATAGGTACGCATCGACATACGTGTTTGGGAGCGGTGCATCAGAAGAGCATTATTCCGTTCGGGGCTGGGAGTCGGGGCGTTTGATTGATAAAATAAAAGAAAGAAGGCAGGTCATGTCATGGCATATCATTTTGTGTTGAACAAAGCATGGTACAGGGCGTTCAGGTCGGCAAAAAAAAGAAAACATAATATTGAATCTGTCCATGTATAAAGATGGATTAGGACGACAGGAACTCACGTCCGGCAGATCTCAGGCTCTAGATTTATGAGAGAAGGGGTTCATCCTCGTCGTATTACTGTTTCTATCTTCGAATCTGATGAGCATTGACAACAAGACGGTACGTAGGAAGGCGGAAGGCGAGGGCTCGCGTCGTTTGGCAACGAAGGACGGGCAAATCGCGCTTTTCGACAGCCGATGACATGAAAACAAATGGGTGCAACGGCATCACGAATTTCCTCCAGGCTTCAAAATTTACTTCTTATCAATATCGAGATTAATATCCTAGGCCAATGCTATTCTTGTTGCAGCAACTTGCCCCAGAAACATATCCATATTGTACAGTTACCAGGCAAGGCGTAGCCTCCTATATCTCTCTCTCCCCGCCTCCCCCCCTTCTCCCTTGCCCAGTTGCTGCCAACCTCATCTTCTTTACATCATCGCTTACTTGTCTCGTTCTTCCCGTGCGCATGCAATCCATAATGACATGCCGAGCTGATCTTCTTTTTCGGGGAGTTGAATCATCCATTCAAGTTTTTTTGCCCCTTGTGGTGAGATTTTTCGAGGCTTTCCACCCCGTTGGCGCAGTGATGAGATCAAGTTTTATCCCTTTATCTAGCAACTCCTCTCCCGGGTCCCGTGGGAGTAAGGAAGTGAAGCACAAAATTCAACGCAAGAAACTTGCAAAAAGATTTTGATGGTACAAAAAAAGATTTTGAACCGCCTTTTCCGCTCCATCCCAGGTTCTTGGGGTGAATACGGTTACTGCCGAACCCCTTGTTATGCATATATTTATCGAAAATGCACCAAATCCGTGGAAGTGACATGGTATAAAGAAAGGTACCGAACGTGTACCCGTTGCATATAACTCCAGAGCGCATTTAAAAAAAGAAAACCAGGATGCGCCGTGACAGAGCAAACTGCAATCTGGTACAGGAAGGAGAAAGGTGAAAGAAGGCGAAAAGGTGGATATTAGTTGAGGAAACCCTTGCAAGCAGCTGTACCGCACAAACAGGGAATACGGTCCAGACTACCAATTTCACGCTCGAACTTGTAGTCATAGGTCAACTCCTCACCTGTGGTTATGTTAGCCGTCTGTCTGCAGTATGATGCATAGCGAACCACAAATGACTTACTCTCAGCAATGTCACGCAAGGCATAGATGACAATGCGCTTAGTCCCTTCCACCCTGATAATCTTGGCTGTGCAGTTTGGCATACAACTATGGTTGATGAAACGGGCAATACCTCCTTTCTTGGTAGCATCGATGACGGTATTATCGTCAATCCTGAATAGATAACTGCTGCCGATACCGCTCTTGAGATAACGGTGCTCTCGAAGTTCGGCGATCTGCTGCCGGATTTCTTCACCAACATATTCGATAATCATGTCGTCCTTGTTGATGTTCTCCATGGCATAAAGCCCCCAGTTATGAATGGCCGAACGAGCAAATTTGACAGGCTTTTTGCGCTTTTTAAGCTGGTTGAAACGAAGAACATCGGAATCTTGACCAAGCGTCCGCTTCTGGTCGTTAAGATCAGCCACGAAACGTCGATTGTTGACACGGTTGGCTCGTGAGTTGCCCTTGGCGAGAAGTTTTTCGGCAGCCAATTTTGCCGCTTCCGCAGCAGCAGCAACAGTGTCCTTGCCATCTTTCCTCGCAGCCCTGGCCTGTCTTTCTTCCCTAGCTCTTTGCACCTTGAGATGATGGGGTAAGTATTTTGATTTTTCGGAATTGAGAATCTTCTTGACACCCTCTGTTCGAGCAGAGCCTGTGAAGTTCGGCACCCAGTAGCCTTCAATGACCAACGGCTCTGATGGCTCAGCGTTGGGTGCATTGAGTTCGCGTACCCGTTCATGCCGCCATGTCCATAATCGAGCCTCCCCAATGTCCGCGGCTTTAAACCTCTTCTTGAGTTTCGCAATATCCGCTTGGTCATTCTCTTCGAGGCTGAGCTTTTGCATGGATTGGATGCCGAACTTGAAGTCGTCTGATAGATCCATAGCAGGGACCACAGCATCAGAGAACCGATCGTCCCGGACCAAAGGCTTCTCAGCTTCGGCAACATCTGGTAACGAGAGCTTCTTGGCCTCTTCTTCGAGCTCGCCAGCTTCCTCACTTTCAGTTTGTTCCAAAACTTCTTCGACATAAGCTTCTTGTTGAGCCTTTTTGAGGGCCTCTCTCTCCTCGAAAATCTGCTTCTTGGATTTCTTTTTCGCTTTGGCGATGGAGATCTTCTTCCTGCTCTTAGCTGCATCAACTGAAAGCAGATTGGGATCCGGTGATTTCCCATCATCCGCATCTGCATCAGGAATGAAAATATCTTCAACCTCATTCGAGCGAGGGAAATCCGTTTCCAGGGTATCAATGGTAACACCAAAGAGCTCCTCGTCTGTCTTCTTTTGACGCTTGATGGCGGCCTCTACTTGAAGATCCAACTTCCGTTTCTTCATGCGTGTCGGAACATCGCTAACGGCGAAGCTGGCTTCCGTCATAGAGTCGTCATCTTCCTTGAAAGCATCCTCGTCGGTGCTCATACGGCTGCGCGGGCGTGAATCAGGCTCTTCAGTGTCTCTTGCAATCGAGTCACGGTTCTCTGTTTCGTCCTCAGATGCATCGTCGTCGCTGTCTGGTGCAAGACGATGGTGCAAGCCTCTGAACGCGTTGCGTGCCACCAAAGTACGCTTACGAGCGAAGGGATCCTGAAAGCCAAGATTCCGCTGTGCAGCAAGAGATCCTTTGGTAGCTTTCCGTATCCTTGGCAGCGCAGTTACATCGAGTTTAGCTGTTCTTCGTTCTATGGGATCTGCGCTTGAGTTGGGTGTGCCCACGGGCGTAGCACTGCCATCATCGACTGTACGAGGGGAGCCGAAAGACCGACTGGTGGGGACATCCAAATCCAGCTTTCGTCGTTTAGAGGCATGATTGTTGGGATCCAAAAAGTTGTGTAAAGTAGGAGCTGCGACCTTGGTCCGGATATGCCTGATCAAGTGTTCCCTCATCTCGCGACGTACCAATATGACCGCTTCCACCACAGGGTCAAAGTCCTTAGCACGCTGTTCCTTCTCCTCTTTCAGCACAGCCTCCTCATCCCGGCGACGTTGGTCCCGCTCGCTCCTGTGACGTACTTCTGGAACGAGTTTCCTTTCGGGCTCTGCTCGTTTGGCAGGTTCTGAGGTCGAGTTTTTCAAAGATCGTGATGATGGTGCAAGCGCAGTCCCATTCCTGAGCTGCATACGCATAGTATAGGTAAAGAAGGCACTACCATCTGCGGACCTGTAACATCTATACGCCTCTTCCCGGCCAGCAGTGTTGTTTGTGAATATGACATAGTAGCCAGTCCGATCGGCGCGCACATCGTCAACGGCGAATGACTTGAGTCGCTTTTTCATGTGGGCGACAGTTGTCGGCATGACGGGCACACTGCTGTCAGGCACAAAGATGTAGGGCTCTCCCTGGAGGACCGTTGAAACGATTACTGGTTCTATTAGGGGACGAGGTCTTCCAGGTACAGCAAAAGTCGGATTTGGATCTGTAGGAAGGGGGGTTGGTCGGTGGGCGGCAGGTCCCCTCGGCGCGGTAGGAGGCGGTCGTACAAATCCGTCACCAGGCTTTGGTTTTGGCCCAGTTGGTGCTGTTGTTGCCGCAGCTGTTCTTGCTACCTGAGCATCGCGCGCTCGTTGAGATTCCTCTTCGGCGCGCTTCAGGACATTTTCGAGCATCAGACGACTCTTCTTACCATCCCGATCGAAATCCACCTTGACCATGTTGGCATCGATTTTGCGCCCTGTCATATTTCTGACAGCCCTTTTGGCAGCATCGACAGCAGGAACGGCCATACCACGTCTACTAATATGCGGCTTTGCGTCTCTATATCGGAAGGTGGCGAAGCCAAGGAACGCGCCAGTGTCGGGATGCATTTTGTTACTGCTTTCGGCGATCTCACCGAAAGTGTTAAAGATGCTTGTCACTTTTGAGAAAGGCGTCAACGGGTCGAAGCCGCTGACCACAATCTGGGTAGGCGGCCCAGGGCCTATCGACGTTGCAGGATCATACACATATGCTTTCAAGTTGTACGGGGTCTGGCGCAATCTAGCTTTAGGCAGGTGAAAGTCGACATTGATATAATCAAGTCGACTTCCTCTTGCCAGTCGGGGGTCCGTGGGGGGGACGTCATCTGCCTATTTCAACACATTGGAATTAGCCATGTTTCTTATTACGCATATCACACCAGGACAGATGACATCCCCCCTCCAGACTCATGTATATATTATAGTATAGGTTACGTACCGCACCGAAGGGCTTGTATGTAGGCTTCGCTGTTTTCCTCTCGGTCGAAGAGATTTTCTTGTCAAGTAATGGATCGTAGGTACGTTTCATTCCTTGTGTTGGACGCTTGGGGTCTCGTGCCGGCGTACGGACATTGGCACCTGTCCGACGCGATGTTGAGGTACGTTCCGTGGCGGCAGCGCGAATCGAATCATTAGGTATTCTGGCATCTTGGGGGCGACTGGTATGTTGTGGTTTCAGGGTAGAAGTGGATGGGTTGGAAGGAGAGCCAGAGTTGGTGAGAGGCGTGAGGCTGCTGTTAGCATGTGATGATATGTTATTATTCTTGGCAGAGCCATGGCTGAAAACGGAAGAAGCTGTGCTGGCGTGAGAGCTCGCGGAGCCGACGCCGTTCAGGATATCTCCTTGTAATGACTCGTTGTCATCAGTCGGTAGATGCACGGCATCAGATGATGAGAGTTCGTGGTTGACGCCATTGCGTTGAGCCGAGTCCGACGTTGATGTTGATATGGATGTAGAAGCGGCAGTAGATGTTTTCGCATCGCGGTCGGTGCTGCACTCTGAAAGTCGTGACTTTGCTCGCTCCCTTTCCCTGGCTTTATCTCGAGCAGCCTTTGGGGCAGATGGGAAAAAACTGGTGAACGTCGCACCAGCGCTAGGAGCCATGGTTCGCGGGTATGATGTTTTATCTTCTTCTCCTATCCACCGACCATCATTTCCGAAACGAAAATAAACGACTAACAATGGTCATTCATTGGAATCGTGCACGCGTGTCGATGATTTGAGATGTCGGACGTCGCGAGTAACAACGCGAAAGAGAAGGGGGAAGAAGAAAAAAAAAAAAAAAGAGCGTGCCTGCTGGTAGCCCACGCGACAAGAAATCTGGGGATGTGACGTGTGGACCTTGCTGCAGAAGGAAGTGGGTTGAATGAGCTATACAAGGTGGCTGGCGATTGGCCGATGATAAAATGAGGGCGGTTTTGGATTCAGCGCAGTCGCGAGTTGATGCGGAAACCGATGAACCGTCTGTGGAAGCAATTCGAGGTGGAAAACAATCCAGCGAGGAGGTTGAGAGATTGCGTCGCGAAGGTTTGAGGTCAGAAAAGAAGCGGCCAGGCGTGGTAATGGATGCAAAAGGGATGGGCAGGATAATTCTGAGCCACTAACTAACTTTTGATAACTTGGCATCAAGTGAAGCAGCCGCTTAAGTGCAAAGTACCTCCACTGCAATTCTTCTGCGTTGAGATACCAGGCAGAACGCTTTGGCCAATTATTTGTTTCTCAACCTGGCTGGGCCGTCAACGGATTGTACAAAGTAGTCAAGGCCTGTGAGGCCCCTGCGCGTTGACCTCTTCTCTTGACAAAAGACTGTCTGCCACCAGTTCCCGGCTGCAAGTAATTTTAAGGAGCTAAAAGCGGACTCATAGGGGCCAAGAATGACCGGCAACGTCACTTGTCCGCCCGTCCCTACCTCAATCATACAAGCATGACTGGCTCGGAAAAAGAAAAAGAAAAAACAGAGCCTCTCTTTGACCATTCACGCCGCACGATTGGTTTCTGACAATGTCAATGGTCAAAACAGCAGCTCACATGAGATCATGATTCCGAGAGTAATTCACACCCTTCTACCTTTGTACATGCAAGTCTGCAGGGGCTGAAACTTGAACCAACCCAGCCTGACCCAAGAATGCGTCTTTGTCTCAAAAAGCCGCTTTCGGTTCTGGGGGGAAGTGTGCCATACTGCTCAATTTGGAGGAGCATTCTCAAGCGTTGATGCGTGTATGATGATACCTACAGAGTTCGACAATTGGCAAGACTCAAGCAAGAGGGACCCCGCCAGTGATGAGATGTCATTTTATGACCACTATCAAGGATGAATTCGTTATAAGCATGTAGGCTTTGATAGCTAAACGAGGAGCGGCAAAATAAGAACATCGGCTCCGCGTGTTCATGAATTCGTGTGTTGGTCGAGTTGAAAAGTAGTCGTCGCTCACTCTTCCCTTGTAAGGTCTGGCATATAATTGCAAGTGCAAAAGATGTCGGCTTGCTGTAACGAGGAGGATACAATAAGGTAAATAACGTTGAGTCTTGTGAAAAACTAGACAGACTCAGCGGACTCGTAATTTATCTAGTTTAGTGTCAGTCCTGTCCAATCATGCATAATGTTGGGGCTATGATTCACAGGAAAGAGATCACAATAAATACAGAGAGCCCCAAAGAGGTGAAGTACAGAGAGACAGAGCCGCAGGGCTGAGTAGCGATTAGGAGTTGAATAGGCAGTGAGACTCCGGTCAACTCCTGGCAATACCGAACTTCTCCGTAGAAGAATCTCAACATTGAGTTACAGAGCAGCAAAACTCCGGAAAGAGGATTCGCATGACAGATGCACGGAGCGTTCGTTAGATGCGTTGGTTGCAACCTACACAGGCGCCCACCCTCGAGCCTACCTTTTCAGAGTAAGCTAGAAACGATCCCTCAGATAATTATTAGCTCAGCTTGAGAGTGACAATATTCGCTACACAATAGAGAACTTTTCATGATATAGCGTCCAGGCAAAAAGACAGAGGACCTCGAGAGGCTGACAGAGCATCAGCGCCGGCTTGTACAAAGCCTTTATTTCACACTCACACTTTGTCAGGTGCTACCGTGCTAGATCCTCGAAGACAAGATTGGGCTTCACACTACCACTTGGGGCTGTATGACATGTGCTGGTCGTAGCCTCAAGCAAGACATTTACATTATGCATTACGTTGTGTTGTGACTTGACGCGGACCATGAGAGCCAGAAGTTCGACCGTGCGCACCAAATCCGAGAGGAGGTAGTTAGTTCACGTTGTGCATCGTGGTGATAAGAGCAAATATGTCTGATTTCACTAAAATTTTCACCGCCACCAAGAGGACAGATGAGGGCGAAGATAAGGCTGTGCAGCAGATGCAGAGCACAATTAGATAACCGTAGCTGGTATTATTCGCATGTGCATAGGCGAAAGAACATTATTCATACATAATTTAAAAATGCCGTTGGCAACTGGCTGCTTTGCTGCCCAAACTCTTCAACAGGTGAGGCACGCGGAGAGCCCTGTTTTGATGAGTGCCCGGTCCTGTCCGAGTCTTATGGCCTCGTGTAGCAGTCCAATAAGGTCAAGCCAACGCCATTTTCCGACCAAAAACAACCCAAAACGCCTGATCATACGTCGTAATTCAACAGTAAAATACATTTACTCAGGCAGTTGCATCTGGAAGTCGTCATCTTCCAGTTCTGGTAGAGGACCACCGGCAAAGTCGCAGTCATCATCATCATCCTCTGGGTGAAAGATAGATAAGAAAGGGACGCGTTCCTTCCAAAGCTCATCGTCAACGGAGGCTGGTATAAGCGTCTTTGCAAAGCGACTTGGCGTAATAGTCATGTCTGAGTCTGTTGATGCTGTCGTTGCCGAGCGGGGAAGTCCAGCAGCCTTAGGTTTAAAAGGGCTTGGAGCCCGCTTTGCACCTGGCCTGGTTGTTCCAGACAACAGTGCTGATGCAGCAGCGCGACCTTTGTTGTAGCCAAGAGTCGTCCTTGAGTTGGCTTCAATATTCGCCATTGGTGTCCGTCGGACTGCTGGAGGCTGCGGCACTGCTGACTTGTTACCCGTAAGTCGTGGGATGGTGAATGAGGCGGCCTTCTTTCTGGCAACCGGGGCCAATACAGGCTTCAAAGTCCTGCGCTGCAATGATTTAGTAGCGTCGTCCATGGTGAGCGCAGATGCAGCGGTCCTGGAGGTTAACGAGCTCAATGGTCTACGGGTTGCTGTTGCTAGTCGCACTTCCTTGGCCTTGGATTGTGCGGTTGTCAATGTAGTTGGCTTGGACTTCAAAGGCTTCACGTTGTTAGCCTCATCAATCTCATCCTGGACAGAAGGCCATTCGAAATTGTCAAAATCCTCCTTGATCTTTCTATCGGCTTCCTCTAATGCCTTTCGCGTTGCCTCGCGCTCTTCTCTTTCAGACTTGGAGACACCATCCTCTCCGATCGGGTCAAAGTAGTACTGGTAGAAGCCTTTCATGCGGTTCTCTGGCTTCAGCATGTCGAATGTCAGAACCCCATCGGGAAAGACGTCAGATTCGTATGGGAGATCTTTTGGCCTAGGTGGGCAATATTCTGGCTCTTCTTCACTCAATGGATCCTCTACTTGGGCATGGATCAGAAGCTTTTGGGTCTCGACCTGGGGCTGTTTCTGTTTAGGCTTGACGGTGGTAGGAGCCTTTCCCTTGGACATTTGTATCTCCTTGATGGCGCTCTTCACATTGACGGTCTGAAGTGCTTGGGCCTTGGCGTTTGTCGTCTTGTCTCCCAGGACTGCACGGTTACGTGGTTCTGTCTGACGATTAGTATTCGTCTACGTTTTAGATTTACTGTGCATAAACTACTTACGCATAGGGGTCACGAAGTTTGACTTGTCCTGGCCCTTGAAGCCCTTAGAGGCCATGGCATTCTCATTGCCCTTTGTCCGGTTGCCAAGGACGCTCTTAGCGCCCTTGAGGTGGCCGGCATTCTCATCGTTCAAGGGAATCTTGATGGGCGTCTTTGGGTATCGGGTTCCAAGCTGGCCATTCTGCTGTTGCTTCAGAGCCGTACCGCTGTGGTGGCGGGCCACCAGGTTCTCCTGATCGCGAGCAGCAAGCATTGTGGTCGCTGGTGTGGCTGACGGATGCTATGTGGTTCAATTGGTGTAAACAAGTGGTTGACGTCCTCACACTTGTGGGTGCACTGGAGCTCAATCGATGGTTATCATGAGTTGCGTGATAGATAAGCCGGAGGTGTCGGTGTGGCCATGCAGTAATTGCTGTGTTTATCCAATGGAAGCAAAGACACGGATGCGTAGGACGAACTCATGAGGTTCCCAAGAGAATGGAGAATGAATGGATGGTTTACTTTACTTTGGATGTTGGCGGAGCAACGCGTCGTCAATGCCGAGCTGAGCTGCTCGAACACCCTGGCTGCCTGGCAAGCCTGAGCGCTGCCCCACCAACTGAAGCTCAAGAGCGGTGATGATCAAACTGTTAAGAATTTACCGCTAATTATGCCGTAATTTCCTAACAGACCCGAGCTCCCGTCTGATTCTAGGTGCATCTTTGGAAAACAAGGGGGGGTAGCAACGAGGGGCAGTTATTTAGTTCTGCTGGGCTTTGGGCGCGGGCTTGCCTTTGATTGCTGTCCGCCAAAAGGAGAGGCAGATTCCACTTGATGCCAGGCGCTTGTGACCGTTCATCAGACCGTCTCTTTCATTCATTCAACAGCACCTTGCATAACCTCCTTTCACATTCTCGACACAACTTCAACACCTCCCTTTTTTCTCAAGTCTTGCATCTGGACCCCTACTTTCCCATTCCAACTTCTCAACCTACAGTCAACACACAACCCGCAACCATGGATCGCATCAAGGAGGTCAGTACAGCCAACATAATCTCCAACGTTCCCCCCAGTTCTTTACCCCACCATCAGGCCAACGCCCGAGTATCAGCACTTGGTGTATTCATCGAGATTTTTGGTCCAACTCACCCAGGCTATATCCCATGGCTGCGAGCCAAGCTTCGAAAAAGGAAAAAAAGACAAGAAAGAAGAAACTGCAAATGACCATGGCAGAGCTGACACGATTTTGGACTACAGAAAATGAACCAGCTCCGTCTGGAGGCTGACGACAACGCCAGCAAGGTCGAGGAGCTTCAACAAAAGCTCAAGGCTCTCGAGCAGGAGAACCTGGCCAAGGAGCAGGAGATCACATCGCTCTCGCACAAGAATGGTCTGCTCGAGTCCGAGGTCGACAAGCTCGACACTTCGGTCAAGGACCTGAAGAAGACCTCCGAGGAGGGCCAGCAACATGGTACGCAGAATGAGACCCTACAACGCAGACTCCAGCTCCTCGAGGAGGAAGCCGAGGAAGCAGATAAGACTCTTCGTGAGGCCAATGAGAAGTAAGCCGTCCCCTTTCTGCTGTCCCAGATCGTCATGTACTAATCGGAGCACTCAAACAGGCTCCGCCAAACTGACGTGAAAGCCGGTCATTTCGAACGCAAGGTCCAGGCCCTCGAGCAGGAGCGCGACCAGTGGGAGGGCAAGTACGAGGAGATGTCCAAGAAGTACACGGCCTTGCAAAAGGAGTTGGAGGACCTCCAGAACGAGATCGGCAACATCTAAACCAGTATTGCCTGTTGTCGTGTGGAGAACAGAGCGCGGAAATACCCAGGAGCGAATCGAGTTCGCGCCATGGTCGTGATGGAGTGAGGGTGTGTGCCGCTTGGGGATGATTCGAGGCCTGCTTCTGCCGAAACTAATATGCACTTGCGGTTTCTTTCACATCCGTCGTTTGCCGTCTTATTCTAGAGTTCTTGCAATGTCACGTTTCCCGGTCCGAAGCATGTTACTCGGCTTGTATGTATGTATGTGATGATTTGCCACACATTGATTAAAGCTCCTGCCCCGTGTGAAGGGCCTCCTTACTCCCTTGCCCCCCGGGCTTTAAGCTTTTTAATCTTCTGCTTCTTGTTGGCGATTGACCGGTCCAACTTGGACTCATAACGGAACTTGGGCTTCTTCTGCTTCTTGGGCCGCACGTCCTTTTCTTTCTCAGCTTTTGCCAGGGCTTCTCTTCGTTCTTTCTCCTCCTCGTCCTCCGTGTCGGGCTCCTCTTCGGGCTTGTGCAGGCCATCCCTAGAGACGCTGACAGACTCTACGGTCACAGATGTATATTTGTCTTCGTCAATGTATTCCTCCTCGTGATCGATCGACTCTTCAGTTGGTCCATCCGGTAACCCTTGCCATTCGTCCTTCTCTTCGTCGGAGTCTTCCTCACCGCCCACGTTACCGGCCCTTGCTGCTTCCCTCAGTAACTTGTTGACATGGTCTACATGTTCCTCCACCTCCTGTTTCCTCTGTTCACGAGCCTATTCCCCCGGTCTGTTAGTTCCAAGCCCTCTTGTGTAGTTTTGGGGTCTCCGGCCAGGGGAAAACTCACGTGCTTCCTGCTCTCCAGCTTTTCCTCCTTCTCTCTCTTGGCAGCCTCTTCTTGCGCTCTCTTCACGCGCTGCAACTTGCGCTTGTGAAAGCCCGTCAGATATTCTTCACGCGCGTCGATGTCGAAATTGATCTCCTCGACCTTGTGATCAAACTTGCGCTTCTTCACCGGGGCCGGCAAGATGCTCTTCTTGGGTCTGGGGTGTGTGATGAACATTGTATCTGGTGAGGGGGGAAAATCCCAATGACGTGGAAAGTGGACGTAATTATGGCAGGCCGTGTGTTCGTTGTGATGTGCAGAGCTTGCTGCCGCTGTATGGGAATTTTTCCTGGCTGAATGGAGGTTTGAATCTTATCGGGAATTTTTTGGCGATACCGATATGGAAACCTTCTGTACTTAACCTGTAGCCTCCCCTCCACTAACCTAGAGTGTTAGAGGACTGCAGCCGCTGAAAGCCACTAAACCCAGCTTTCTGCTCGGCGGTACTCACATGGCTAGGGGACCCTGCAGCACTGGCCCCCAACGTGGTTTCTGGCCTGTCGCAGCAGCCTCGACGGAGTTTGCCGGGGGGTGGTTTTTTGTCCTCTCTCTCTCGCTTGCTGAGCTGGGCAGGCTGGCAGGCTGGACGTCGGTAATTCGCTGTAGTCTAGGTTAGGTTAGTCCACGGTTAGCTTTGTACTTGGGAGGTAATGAGCTGGTACATGCAATCCACACATGGATGTCGTCAAGCTCTCGCTTCATTTCCAACGTCCATTCAAAGATAGAGGCGTAACATCCTGAAAGCAACTCCACGATGCGTCTTTCCACAGCGGCGACCGTCGCTGCTTGCTGCGCCACGGCGCATGCATTCACGAACACCTCGCCTTTTGTTCTTTTTTCAACCGAGAGGTACGTGTCTTCGTCTCCATACATGGAATCATCACCATGATCATCATCACCATTGCCAGAACCTATCGCGAACTGGAATTGCTAACGTTATGGTCCTATCCAACAGGCTGGACAGCCCTCTATCAGATGAGCTGCACGCCAACAGCTCCGTACTCAAGGCCGCCGGCGACTTCCTGTCGTCCTGTCCGACGCAGCGCTACCTGCTCGTGTCGCAGCCAAACCTCAACATCCAACACCTGGGCTCGAGCAGTGCGGCCCCCAAGCTGCAGGCCGCGCTCTCATCGAGAAAGGTCCAGGGCCGCATGACCATCTCGGAGATGAGCGGCGTTGCCGATATCCAGAAGCTCGAGTCCGCCATCAGGGAGAGCTGTCAGGCTGCCGGCAAGACACCATCGGTCGATACCCTGAACCTGGAGCCGATCCCCGCGGGCGGCCGATTCCAGGATATCGTTGAGAGTCTGAGGGAAAGTGATGAGGATCTCGGGTTGGTTCTGCAACAGTACGATGCCGCGGGAGACTTTACCGTCATCTACACGGCTGGCGCTCACACGGAGAAGGCGCACGAGGAGTATGAGGCCGAGTTCAAGGATACGACGCACCAGGAACTGAAGAGACGGAACGGAAACGTGCAAAGGCAGAAACAAGAGAGAGACACGAGGCCGTTGTTTGAGAAGTACCAGTTCTTCACACCTGGTAGGTTCATTCTGCGATATACACGTGAAGGATAACACGACTAACTCTGATCAGGTATCTTCATGGTTCTTGTAGCTTTGCTGCTTCTGTTCTCAATCCTGGGAGTAGGAATTGCTGCTCTTGGCAGTCTCCAAGTCCCGTATGGTGCCTTTGACAAGGAGATGGGCCCGGCTGCTCAGAAGAAGCAACAATAAGCGCTTTACAAGACGGCTACTGGCACTTAACAAATCAACCGAAACTAGGAGCAGGCTGTACTGTCTACTCGCTCGAGAGCGTCGTGTGTCTTTGATAAGTCCATGTGTATCGATTTATCTAGTAGAAGCCCTGGAATTGTATGGAATAGAACGTGATCGAGCTTTCCTTGCGGGCACTGGCACCTGGCAGAGGGGGTGTATAAACACATGATTTTCATAGCTGGCGTTTCAATACATATGATCAAAGGAGCCAGCACTTGTCGGTCGTGGATACGACATGAAACATGTGACTGTAACCTGGTTTTTTTTCTCTGCTGTGGCCCCAAAGGACTCTGTCTATGAGGCGAACGCCATGAACGCCTCCAAGAAATTCATATTGCGCCCCCTCTCGATCTCCTCCATCCTATCTCATTTTCTGCCCTCCGAATGCATCCAGAAATTGCTTCCATGCTGTTTCTTTTTCCCGTCCCGAGATCCACATCCACAAAAATCTCACAAATCTCACAAACCTCGTCCATCCCTCCCCCTCTCAGACATCTCCCTCTCTCGACAACTCCTGCATACACCGGGAAGTTGCCGAAATAACCCATCCCACGGGTTCTTAGCTTAGCCTAGGCAGGCCTTCAGACCAGATGGCTAGGCAGCAGGAAGTTGGCGATGCCCTCCCGCACGGCGTACTCGTGCCCGCAGTGCCCGCACACGAGCATACCCTCCATGATCTGCGTCTCCATGAGCAGGTGGTGCAGGTCCTTGAGCTTCTGCCCGTCGGCGGCCAGGTCCTCGGCCGTGGGGGGCTGCGAGGGCAGGGCAGGGAAGCCGAGCTGTTTCGGGTTGGTCAGCAAGAAAAGATTCATTCATTTACTTCCTTCTTGAAGTAAGAAAGATCAAATGCGAGGGACATGAGATCATGATGGGTCAGGCTTCGTTTTCGCGGGTGTGGAAGAAGGGGAAATTTCATGCCAGTGCTGAATGGAAAGGGCTGGGATGTGTGAACGAGTAAAAGTGCTAGACAGATTCATGCAAATTGCAACAACTCAATAATACAGATACATGAAGCTGTATTTGTCGAGTATGCATGTCACTTCGAGATATAATCAGAGAACAAAGTTACTCACCTCTGTGGCGGTTGTGGTGAGCGCTGTCCAATCGATGCGGGGCAGTAGGTTGATGAGAAGTTCAGCGTTGACCTCGATGTCGTCCTGCACTAACTCCGCATCCTTGGGGTGCAGAGGATAGGAATCAGAAGAGGACTTGCAGGCCTTGACCGCGCAGGTCAGGAAGTTTAAGCTCAGGATCTTCATCTTGCTTATTGTGGTGGTTACTTGGGTGTTGTGATGTGTGTAAGTCTAGCGGATGAGATTTCTGCCCATCCAAAAAGAATTATGGGTCCGTTGCAGGCCTATATAGTTAAAAGAAACATTTCACATACTACCGAAGCAATCACTTTCGGCATTTCGCTACGTGTTGCATAGACAGCTTATGCGCACTCCATTTTATTTACGTTTTGCTTCCTGTTTGTATTTACGCCATGGTTTTCTCGTATCCTATGTCATCCCTTTCGGTCTTTGACTTGCTCAAACGCAGGTAAATGGCAATAGCAGCCAGCACGACTGCGAAGAAAGCAGCCTTTTGAAGGACAGAGAAACCCTGAGCGGCAGCTGCAATCTCACTCTCAGTAAATGGGTTGGCAGCCTCCTCGCTAGCGAATCCTGCTGCCCATTCGGCACTACCATAAATAGCATCTAGGGAGACAGGTCGAATCAGCTATGTTGACATGGTAGCATCACGAGAAGAAAACCCGGGATGGAACCTTCTCAGAGACGTGTAGGATATTTAGAGCTCCACGTGAATACCTTCGGCAGGAACCTCCAACTCGCCGCTCTTGGCGATCTTGACCTCCTTGGCAGGCTTGTCACCGGGCTTGGTGGGGGCCTGCTCAATCTTCTCAACGATCTCATAGCCCTCAAGAACCTCGCCGAAGACGACGTGGCGGCCATCGAGCCAACTAAGAAGATGATTAGTATGCCTTGTCTTGTCGTCTGTTTTTGAGCATATTACTTACGAGGTGACAACGGTGGTGATGAAGAACTGGGAGCCGTTGGTGTCCTTGCCAGCGTTTGCCATGGAGAGGAGGCCCTTCTTGGTGTGCTTGAGCTTGAAGTTCTCGTCGGGGAAGCGGTCACCGTAGACTGAGGGCAGAGTGGGTTAGCAAGTGCAAACTGGTACGGGGATATAGGATCAAAACATACTGGACTTGCCACCGGTGCCATCACCCTTAGTGAAGTCACCACCCTGAATCATGAACTGCTTGATGACTCTGTGGAAAGAGGAGCCCTCGTAACCGAAACCCTTCTCGCCGGTAGCCAGAGCACGGAAGTTCTCAGTGGTCTGGGGGACGGTCTTGCCGTAGAGACCCATGACGATACGGCCAGCGGGCTCGTCGCCAATGGTGATGTCGAAGTAGACCTTGTGGGTGATCTTGGGGCCCTTGGCGGCTTCGGCGGTTGAGGCGAAGAACACCATGCTGACTCCGAGGAGCAGCAGGGCGCCAGCGAAGACGCGGCGCAGCGACAACATGGTCGATGATGTTATCAAGATCGAATCAATTGATCTCAATGAGGATTGTTTGTAAAATGTCGACGCAAAGTCACTCGCCGAGAATTGTGAGATGGAAGATGAAGCAATCAAGAAGAGGCGAGAGCTTTCCTATCCTTTCTTCTTAAAGCTACGTTTCACCTCGGAGCTGCTTGATGCAGGTCCCTAGCAACGGGAGTTCCAGACATGCATGAGAGGGGTCTTATCGTGAACGATAAGAGTGATGTGCTCACGCCATTGGAGTGCTCTCAGACGCTAGCGGCTAATTAGTGCACATTGGTCCGTGCGGTTTCGCGACTTCCAAATTCACTTTCGAGACCTGGAAGCTCTGGTCAAGCGCTACCTCGGAAACGAACATACACGACATATCCAGCCGCCGGCGTGTCAATTCTGTCAAGATGGTGAGCAGCTCGCTTGCGGAGCCTTCTTCTAGCGGCACTAATTGCTCTCCAGGTTTTCATAATGGGTGTAAACTTCCACCCGCGGAAGCTGGTCAAGAAGACCCTCGAATCTTTCTACGGCCTGGGACCGCAAACTTCAGCACGCATCATGGCCAAATACTGCATTCATCCTCTTTCCAGACTGGAGACTCTTCCCGCCAAGACGCAAACCTCTCTGACAGCCGAACTGTCCACCATGACCATCGACAATGACGCGCGGCGATTAGTACAAGAAAACATCCGCAGATTGCGAGACATGGGTACATACAGAGGACGAAGACATGCCATGGGTCTTCCTGTACGGGGTCAAAACACAAGGACGCAAATCACCACGGCCAGGAAGCTCAATGTGCTCGAGAGAGGTGGGGCAGATCGGGCGGCTGGAGGAGCACGAAGCTAAGGGGCCTGAGTGTTTGGGGGCATTGTGTAGAAAATTATGGACGTATGGGCTTTTGGCAGCCCAGGAGATCCTGCATCATTGGGAATCGGCGTTTTACAGAGGTTAGTGGCCTGTTTCTGAGAACCTCATCCCATGGCCGTTCCAGCCGCTCAGGAGGAGCCAAGCCGTTTGTACAATAACATTATGGTATAGAACCATTGTACAATCCTATCAAAAAAAATACTTCAAAACTGGATGGGCTCGAACATATCACTGCATGCAAGCCGAGCAAATATATACCCTCCAACCATTTCGACGGTGTAGTACTTGCGTGCTATAGGCTAATTTGAGATACTGTTACTTTGATATGATATGACAGTTAGAACCTGGTGGTCCCTAGAGCAAAAGGTATTTTGGTCACTAAATAACTCTTTCGTTGACATCTGTTGTCCATTTTGTGGCGCACAAAAAGAAAAGGATCACAACCTGGGGACGCCAGCTCTAGAGACGGCCACTTGAGTTAAAAACACGATTGAAGCTTCTTTGCATGGAAGGTTTTGACAACATAGAATTTAAAGAGACAAAAAGAAATTCGGCATTTACTTAGAGATGTGAAATTCAACGCGCAGCCCATGTCTCATGAAAAGCCCTTCAAATCAAAGCTTGGCTGCACCTACTGATTTGCTTGAACGAGTGCATGATGAAGCCCGTGATAATCAGATTGTGACACTTGTTGTGTATGACTTTTGATTATAGATTTCTCTCAACCATAAGAAAAGGATTCGCGGGTTGGGAGCAACAGCCTTCTTCCTTGGCGCTGCGTAAATAGCTCGCCTGACTTACCCTACATTTGTTTTTCCAAGTTAGAGACTTCGGTACATTTCCAGACTGTACAGGCCCCTAATTTGCACCAAAGTATCATGGAACAAATGAAACGATCCGAAGAAGCACGCGGCAGCTTCACACGGACAGGTAATAAGTCTCAGGAAGTACTGTCTCTATAAATTTGAGACCACAATATAGTCTCACATAGCATGATAGCGCACCAGTCAGGACAGCAACAGTGACAGGATGAACCCCTAGATCCCAGACTTGCTGGGTGGCAATATTGGCCCTCTAGAAAGCAACGAGCTTCTCATGTCGCTGATCGACTTGGTGGAGAAACATCAAGGCCTTAATCAGTGTAGCAACATCGGATCAGGAATCCCACAGGTGAAAATCGAGAAGACTGCCGGATTCTGATACGCGCTATCTCAAAGTTGACTTTCTCGATGACATCGAGAACTTCAACAGATCAGACATTCAGAAAGCCGATCTTGTGCTTCATCGGAGGATATGGCTCTAGCACCCGTCGGGCCAGTATCGGAGAAATGGTCAACGAAACCACAAAAAAGCACAAGATGGAGGCGCGGACGGGGACGGAAAATTCGAGAAAAGAAAATGAGGTAGAGAAGTGATATTGTGAGGACTGCAAGGCTCCCTTCCACAGAGGAAAATGAGGATCTAAGATTGTGCAAAGCGAGTACCCAACAGAACTCGGGAGTTTGTCTTGAGCAAGTTAACGCGAAAGACGTTCGTATGTAGTGTCTCAGGATTCTTGCCTGACGGGACAAAGATATCGAACCTATATAGCTTGGGCGCAGAGACAGGTATCCAGCGCCCTAGGACAAGGGGCTTGGGTTTGAAAGTTTCAGCGACAGGCTCGAACTTCGGTAAGATAAACGTTCAGTGCCGTTTGCGTGATGCACGATAATTCCCAGCTAATAGCGACCGTTGATTGTTACCCAATCAATATTTAGTTCGAGGCTATAGTACACGAAATATGTCTACGTAGATATTGTCTTCGCCTGCGGCTAATTATCCTTCAATAGGCGGTTTCAATGGTAGCTAGAGGATGTACTAGTCCACGGAACAACATACGGCACGCCTGTATGATAGGCTGATATAGTTGACATCATACTCTTTTCGGGACATCACCATTGTTCACAATATACTAAGCCCCGTACCTTCCCTCCCCCGGCTGTTCAGCGCCGTACACAGAGGAAGGTCATTCAGAGTCGCGTTCATCTATTCCAGGCCCAGCAGTTTAAAGTTCTCCTGGAACCTCAAGCTTGGCAAGTCGTCCTCGAGCACTGGGAACCCATCTGCCTGAAGCTTGGCCGAAACTTCCTCGACATCTTTCCAGACCCTGAGAATGTTGCCACCAGCGACCTTGGCTGCGTCTTCATCAGAAACGCCTCGCCTCAGTAGCTCGGCAAAGAGGTCAGGATACTTTGACACATCTTCCAAGCCCTTCGGGACTGATGGAATGCCGTCGAAATCACTGCCGACACCGACGTGATCATACCCGATCAAGTTGCCGATATAGGTGATATGATCAGCGACTTGCGCAAGCGTGGCGTTCTCGGGCACAAGAACAGGAACGCCATTGTCGTTGCCGACATCTTTGCACGAGATGAAGTCGGGTGCGAAGTTAACTACGATCTATGTTAACAGATACTTTGGCGCAACGAAGCCGTGGCTACTTACCCATAACAACAGAGTTCGTCTTTTTGACTAGTTGCAATACATCGTCCGGCACGTTTCTTGGGTGCGGGCAAATCGCGAAGGCCGAAGAATGGCTGAACATGATCGGGGCCTTACTGCCCTCGAACTCGGTTCCACCGAGTACGTCACGCATGGTGTCGGCACTGACGTGAGCCAAATCGACAATCAGACCAATGCGGTTGAACTCGTGAATGAGCTCCTTGCCCTTGGGTGAAAGACCACCCCAGTACGGCTCGGCCTTGCGGAACGGTGACTCGACAAGCGCTGAGTCGGCAAAGATGTTACCACAATTGTGTGTGAGAGTAGCATATCGAACTCCGAGGGCGTGGAAAGAACGCAAGTTTGCGACTGAATTGCCGATCTGGTGCAGGCCTTCGACGCCAAGAGGCGAGATGAGCTTCCCCTGTTTGAAGGCTGCCAGAGCGGAGTCGGCAGTGATGCCAGCTACGTGAGAGAAGTCATTAGAGTAGGCAGCACTTAAACGAGTCATAAGGTCAATCTGCTGGTTGGTGAACAGGACGACTGGAATGGAATTAGCACGACGCTGCCAGCTAAGTCATAGCAAAGGACGCACTGTCTTTATAGTTATCATCGGACCAGTCCGAACCATTCTTCGGACAAGGCGCATACACGCTCCAGAAGGCTCCTCCGTTCTGACCTTCTCGGAGTCGTGGCAGGTCGACATGAGAGGGGAGACCGGTCTTCTCAAAAGCCTCGGTAAAGTTTCCGTAGATGTGGTTGTTGTAAAGGTAACGCACAAGAAGCGGGAAATCATCATGACCATCTGCAAGTTGTTAGTGCAAGTGAAATTGACACTTCAAGACAGAAATAGGTACCGATCAGTGGAGTCCGGGCCAAGACGTTATGAACTCGTTCCTCGACCGTAAGGGGGCGCAAGCGCGAATAGGCGTGGCAAGCTGGATGGTAAGACCGTGATACCGGATGGAACAGGGTTCCAAAGAACAGCAATGAAAATATCACAGCGATAGCACTTCGTTTGCATGAATGGTGCGGACGCTTCTCCTCCAGAGGCGCATTGCCAAATGGAATTACTTTATCAGCCATGGTTTTGTAGCTGCTACTGTGTCGATATGTCAGCAGGGCCCATGCGACAGATATGGGACTACGTTGGGGCTTACTTTGGGGTCTACTTTGGCCAACGCGGTATTCTTGAGTCCTAGGTGACTTCTGTTAGACAGAAAATCTAGAAGAACCGCACACGACAATTCCCAGGAGTCGTGACGAGTTGAGTCGTAAACAAATAAATCGGAGTGCGTGAGGCGAGATGTTGGACGCCAGCTCCCTAATCAGGATGGCCCCGCAAGCTCGTCATTCCGGCCGGTATCACCGATGATTATCAAAGTGCACCTCCGGTACTGCACCCCTTCCCATCGGCACGTTTGGCAAGCGGTCACAACGTAGAGGACATGTAGACAAACTACAAGACCATCTACGGTTACATGGTTAAGCTTAGCTCCCTGCCATGCCCGAATTGCTTATTTGTCTAATAATTTGTCGGAATGGCCCAACCTTAAAAGCAACGTCTTCTCACGAGCACTGTACCTTGCAGTAGCTCCCGAGCACCTTGTGTCATGGCTATAGCCCTCCAGCTGCACGCACAGAGTAGGCTGTAAGAGACCCAACGGGTTGAATGTCGAATAATCCATTTCAAATGAGCTAGGTTAATTGGGTCAAAAAGGGTGAAATGCATCAGAGATTGTAGCTGTTTTTGCAATTATCTGTTCAGAGTTCGAGCGTACGCAGCTTTCCGCCCAACACGGGCTCGCCCCGTTTTAATCCAGGCCATCGGTCCCTGGACTTGAGCACTTTGAATTTGAGGCTCACATGTATATGCATCAACCCTACCTACGTCATATTACTGCAGATTAAATGGATGACATAACAATTGGAGAGAGTCTCTGGTTGTTCACAGACGACTTGCGCACATACACAATGTTGTTGCAAACAAACCCGGTTCCTCACGGTAACATGTTGCCAGAGGAGAAGATGGGATGAGATGAGATGAGATGAGATGAGACGAAACAGAGCTTTCCTGGGGTAGGAGGGCGCCAGCGGGCTGGGCTAACTACTGTTAAAACGTCTCGTCGGAAGCGGCCTGTCAGCGGGCGGGCCATGTTTGAGCCTTTAGTCTAGGCTAAGGGGAAAGTGATGCAGGGGCTAATTGAGTGCGTTCAGTGGCAGGAGTGGCTTGGGGGAAGCATCTACGGATCCGTGGCATGCGGACAAGGATGCAACAGGTTTGTCAATCCCCTTGCCCAGCCAATTGGAAGGGGCTCTCTCATCGACAGCTTTGTCTTCAGCTGCTTAGGCCCTTGAAGGGGGCTCCAGACTTCAAATGAGAGAAGAAGTTAGAACACGGCAAAAAGCGATTTGGCTGTCGCTGGGAATCAAAACATTTGATTGGGCTCTTTTTTTTTGTCCCTTCGTATTCAATTCATTTCTGCGGACGCCATCCAACGCTTCAACAGCATCCTCACGGCCACAAGCTTTGCTTTGTCTTTTTTGTCGTACTCGACAGCTTTGTGTGTACTGCCCACTGCGCGACCCTCGCATAATCTGATTGATTGCATTGCCCTTCGTCACATCCCGTTAAGCACTGTACTGTTCATGGCATAGTACGACTGCCGACCTTTGTACTACGTGGAACCAAAGCCAAAACCAGAGCCAAAACCAGAGCCAAAAGCCAGAGCCAAACCTGAACTTGGTACCCGAGCGGAGCGAACTCCAAAGACCAGCAGCCTTGATTCCGTCAGCCAGCTTTGAGCCCCGAAAGTTGACATCAGACCCTGGCGCATTGTCTTGCACTGCTGCTGTATTTGTTGATTCCACTTTGTTTGCCTATCGGATTACGACCATAAACAAATACGACTGGTGATGAATCACGACCCATAGCAGATTTTCGCAATATCTCAAAGAATCCATTTCCTTTGCCCTTTCTTTTCCACCTTGCACCTAATTTGGTCGGTCTTGAGGACCCCCCTGATCCTGCTACCATGCCTGGTTTCGCAGACTCCTTCTGGTCGGCAGACTATGCCGCAGGTACATACGACCTCACTGGAAGAAGCAATGGCTTTCTAGACACTGACACGACTGAACAGGACTCGGCGTTTTGTTCGGCAAGCTTCAACAAGGAGTCCAAGAGGACCGACAAATCCTGACCATTGCACGGATGCGCGCCGAAGCCGAGGAGCTGTACGGTCAAAAGTTGGGAGACATCGCGCCGTCGGCTGACAAGATCCCCGGTGGCTTCTCTCGCGACGATGGCGCCAGCACTAAGAAAGCATACGATGGAGTGCGAACCGAGATGGAAGACGCTGCCAAGAGCCACCTGAAGATCGCCCAAAGCATTCGCGACCTGGTTGTGAATCCCTTTACAAGGTGGTGCGATGCCCACGAATCCCGCGTCCAGGAGTCTCAGGATGATTTGCAAACTCGCATCAAGGCGCATGATCGCCAGGCCGAGAATGTCAAGAAGCTTCGCAGCAACTACTTCAACAAGTGCCGCTTGGTGGAAGACATCGAAGAGGAGAACAAGATGGCTTTCCAAACGGCAGAGACGAGCCCGAAGCCAGTCAACCCAAATGTGCCCGAAATCAAGATCTCGGAGAACAAGGAAAAGGAAAAGGAAGAGGATGACGACGAGATATATGAGATTGGAGATGAAACATACCACACTGAACAGGTCAAGAAGATCCTCTCCCATATGCTCAACACCATCAAGACTGGCGAGACCAAGGTTCCTATTCTCGGCACATACCTCAATACGTCGGCCGGTTCTGATATCGTCGAATACCTGCAAAAATACATGAACACCACCACCATCAGCTACGCTGAGAGAATTGGACAAGATCTCATCTCAAGCGGCTTCCTGCGACTCGTTGGCAACGTGGGCAACAGCTTCGCCAACAGCTCCAAGCTTTTCTACCAGTGGAAGCCCAAGGCTTTCCAATTAGCAGGTGTCCCAGAGAAGAAGCCCACCCCGGTGTCCAGGACGTTCTCCATGCCTAACTCCGAAAGCGGAACCGACTCGCCGGTGATTGGCACTGTCAGTGAGTATCTTCAAGGATGGGGCCTCAACAACCAGTACCCGAACGAGACTCCGGCAGACCGTCTTCGTCGGGAAGCAAGGGAGACAGACGACAAGTACAAGGCCGGCGTCCGAAAACTTGACGAAATGCGATGCGAGCTGGAGGAGGCCATTCTGGTCCATCTCAAGTTCCTTGAGCGATGCGAGCTGGACAGACTGAAGGCCATCAAGACCGTCATCCTCGACTTTTCTGGCACCATTGGCAATGTCATTCCAAGTCTCCAGTCTACTGTCGACCGAATGGTCTTGTACCAAGAGACCGTCCAACCGGGGGGCGATCTGCGGTACTTCCTCGAGAACTACCGCACCGGCAGTTTTGCTCCCAAGGTTGTCACGTACGAGAACTACTACAACAAGGTTGACGAGCAAACGTTCGGCGTGGATCTTGAGGCTCGTGCGAGAGCCGATAGAAAACGTGTGCCGCTCATCATCACGACTATTTTGACATACCTGGACAGCCATTATCCAGATTTGGAAGGAGATGTGGCTAGACGGGATGTCTGGTTAGTGGAGGTGCCTCTCGCTCAGGTTCACAAGCTGCGCGCAAAGATCAACAATGGCAAGGTTTTCACGCATGAGACTCTAGGAGAGTTTGATGTTCCGACCGTTGCCAGTGTGCTCAAGCTATACTTACTCGAGTTGCCAGGTATGTCACCCATCTCTGTCCCTAAATGCTGTGTACTAATCCTGATGCCCTAGACTCTCTTGTTTCTTCTCACGTCTACGAAATTATCCGCACCATCTACAATACACCAGGAACAGATAACTCTGAAGCTGCGCGTATTAGCGTACTTCAGCAAACATTATCACAATTACGTCTCACGAATATCGCCACTCTTGACGCTTGTATGAACCACTTCACCCGTCTCATTGACTTGACGTCAGCGGATGAGCAATATGTTTCCACTCTCGCTACATCTCTCGCCCCTTGCATTCTACGACCCCGCAATGAGACTTCTCTGACCATGGAGGAGAAGCATTCTTACCGCCTGATCCGTGATCTGTTTGCAAACAAGGACGCGATCTTCTCAGAGCTTAAGCGTATGTCGACTTTGTCGCATTCAAGCTCTGTGACCTCCAACAACAACAACAACCGCCCACGTGCGATAAGCACTGATGAGAGCAACAGACGTGCTCATATGGAAGAGCGCCAGCGGGCACTGCTAGAGAAGGCTGGCGGTAGTAGCAGAACCAGGGCCATCAGTCCCGCACCGAGCCCGCGTCACCGCCGTGACCGCAGCGTAGGCGGCCCGGAGACTCGATTCCCCATTCAGACATCGCCAACTTCTGCCACCGACCGTAGTCGCACGAGCATTGCCAGCTTAGCCGGAGGTGTAAAGCGTTCAAGTCTCGAGGTCCCTGATGCCGATGGTGCTGCCCCTGCTGCCCCTGTCACTCCCGCCCCTGCTTCTGCAGTAGCCGCCGAAGTTAATGGCACCAACGGTGAGGTAAAATCCGATGCCGAGTCGCCTACAGCTGAGAGAGTCGAGAAGAGGGATAGCCTGAAGAGAAGCAGTGTCCGTTTTGAACGCGGAAGAAGGATTACATTGACATCTGCCGCTGACAAAGCAACTCCATCCGAACCCATAGGCGAGGAAAGCTCCACTGAGTCGGCACCAGCTACTCACGGAGTAACGCTTGTTGACAAGCCTATGGATGACTAGTGGCCAGTCCATCGAGCCGCCTGCTTCACATCATTCGAAGATATATACGATCGGGATGGGCTGACAAAAAAGCGGGAAGACAAAGGGGTAAACATTACATCTTCTGAGTATTTCTAATCGAGCAGTAATCCGGATTTTCTCTGGCTAGAGAGCTCATCTAGGGAGGCGTTAGACGATAGGGAAGTTGTACATGGCTTGAACGCTTCCCTTTTCTTTTGTATGTACAAGATTGTACGCTTTATGAGGACACGGTATTATACCATATTGAAATCGAATTGCGTTCTTGTGAATTGATCTCTTACTCCATTTTGCGCCAGTGGCTTAGCCTGATAGTTGTAGCTTCTCCCATCTTACTTCATCATGCAATGCAGGTCGTTCGACCTAAAACCCATTGAGGGTTTCCAGCCTAACTCAATGTGTTCTATATGATGCGCTGTATTGTAATTCCCTGTGATACCTCGAATGGCAAGGTATAGTCACCAACCGTCGACTTTGAACTTTATGCTCACTTGATATATAATTGTCTCTTCGATCTAAGGAAACCTCTCTTGACGACCTTGCACCGTTTCCAGAGAATGAGCGATATCTTTGTGTCCATAATCGAAACACACTGGTATCACTCGAACTGTGTTTTATATGTAATATCCCATTGAGATGTCATAACAGAGTGTTTCCAGTCTTTAGACAAATCCCCGTGGCTGTTATCATCGCATGCAGGTACCGAATTCATAATACTAGAAATGTTCTACTACGGTTTGTGTGATTATAACAGATAAATTTGTGCTGTGGTATGGGATATACCAATGTTTTTTTGCGTTGAAATGATGGTCACTGGTTTATTTATATCAGTAACAATGTTATTGGTTTTGATAATCATCGACTTTAAATGGTTAGAGCGTTATATGTCACATTGCTATAAGGATGATAATCAGAGAGATACCAACGATCACCACCTGCTCAAATTCTTTGAAATGATAGTTGTCGACAGTTTATAGCTTTCATAATTCCATACTTCGTTGGTTCACGACGCGGTCGGAGCAGCCAATTCTCGGAGCTTTATAGAAACTGAGTGTTCCAATGACAAGCATGTCGTCGTCTACTCTGTCAATCTCCCTGAAGTCTTCCTGGTTGTGGGCATGACGGCGACCAACAAATATCGGTCTTCATTCCGGGGGTTGTCTGACCGAAAAACGTAGTCATACTTACAGCCCTTAGAAAATGACTATAGATTCTCATACGTTGTCGTAGCGTCCAAAAGTGGATAGGAATCAAGGTTCAGTCCTCGGAACCAATTGAAAGACACGGTTGCGGGTTCGGGAAGCGCTGAGAGACCTGTACCAAGATATAGAGAACGGTGGTATACAATCTCCATACAGCCCCCATCATCTAAACATAGTGATGTAGAGTCTTGTAGCTGTATATATCTATTAAAATTCGAATATTTCTGCATGTGGGATTTCCCTTTTCTGTTATGACAGCCCAGCCACCTGTTTTGACGCATGTCTTTCAATGTTTTGGGATGCGGTACAAGTATCAAAACACTGAATACTGCTTGCGAGGCGCCTCATCCCACTGATTATATCGTACGGTCAACTGGTCTACCAATTGACTTCGTTTTGTTCCTAAAAAGGCAGACAAGCGCATCAATCTAGATCCACGCAAGATGGCTCAGAGGTATAATCGACACCCTCCTCACCACGGTCTCCCGGCACGAGATACTCGACTACACCTTGACGGAGTCCACCACAAGCGTTCAAAACTTGTCTACTGTGGTCGGGTTGGTGTCGTTTTTGAGCAGGGTGAAGCGAGAAGGATAACGAACGGTCACAGACTTTGTATCTCTAATAGCCATCGTACTCAAGCACCATGGCGGGAAAGCAGGGCAATATTTCCCCATCGAATACTCGGTCATTTTTGCATTGTTCGATGGGATTGAAGAATGAGTACGATCTGCACAAGTCACACTTTGAACGATGTGCTCATGAAACTCGCCTTGAGCTCCTTACGACAACAGTCCTCAACACTACTTCGTGTGCGCAAATGCGAACGAACCCGTCATGGTCGATGTAGATTCGACGTTGAGGTAGTGTCAAGCGTCGAGCTAGAGAGAGCAGGGTGGTCGTTCTGACAAGCTGAACGATGCAAGTCAGGTTACAGGCGCCAACCTTCGGGAGAAAATGCTCTGAAAGTCTAGCGGGACAAATACTGGACTATCATGGAAACGGTAGTTATTAATGATCATAATGATACAAGAGCATTTATCAAACGTCTAACATGGATTCGTATCCAAACAAACTATAGTATATGCCATCTGTTATAGTATCGATGATCAAGCGGTAGTCTGTGCTGCCAAGGGCTATTCTGCGTAATACTGAGACTTATTCTACTCGGTGATAGCTTTATATCCTCGGCTCAATGTGTATTTGAGAACTTCGCTGCGCGGTCGATTAATCATACCAATTATTAGCATTATTTCAGGAACTGCGCGATGATGCTTCTTTCCTGTCCCAGATTGGAGAAAATCTCATCTATCCAGGCTATTTCGCGGACGTAGTCACCAGGCCAATTTATCCAATGTCCCTTTACCACAGCTAGTACCGGCATGATTGAGATGGGACCGAACCCACGTGTACTATGCTGTAGGCAGTATTCAATTGACTGGCATATGTCGTAAGCTATAGTTCGAGGCCAGTTCATCTTGTCGCGAAGATGTAGGAAGGGATCCATCGTGAAATGGCGTAAACAATCAGAAACACCGCATGTACACGGCAAGTCTGCTCTTATCAAATCCAGTGTTTCCGTGAGGTGCGACAGCGTCTTGTACATCCAACCCACATGAGAATGTACGCTTAGCAGGGCTGTCCAGTAGAACAGAACATTCTGGGCGACGCTAAACGCTGGGAACTGATAAGCAACCGGAAACAATTTCCCCAATTGGCCGTTGTCGACGGTGTATTCTCCGTGGGACAATTCGGGATAGTATAACGGCCCAGCGATTGTTGACTTGAAATTTCGATACCACTCGTCGAGGCGCGATTCTAATTTCAAGCCTTCATACATAGCTTCAAGGGCGTTTATGAGCTGTTCTTGTGGACTTCTCATGTTGAAAATGCGATTGTGTTGTGGATATAAACCAGGTATATCCAGCAAGATGTCCAAGAGTTGATCAAAGTATTCTTTTTCGCCAGCAAAGGGGACGTTGCACCATTCAGGGTTGCTCAGAACAGTTTGGGATCGTTCCACGAATGAATTAAACATCTACCACATATAGTGAGCTTAAAACTATAGGCTCAGATCTGAGCTGTTTAGTGCTTACATTGTGGACGCGTAACGACTGGAAAACACTATGCGCAAGCCCAGTCTTGTGGGCTTCTGGGCCTCTCAGCTCAATGAGCTTCATTGTGCCGTTGTAATGAGCTGAGTACGCATCAGGAGTTCCTCCAGGGCATTCTGATATTTCGTACAGCATCATGACCATACACGCAGCTAGAGTTTGTTCGTCCTGGCGCCGGGATGCACTGCCAATCTCTTTCGAAAACTCGTGCAAACTGTTAGTATATAAGAATAGACTCTGACGGATGAGTACCGGCTTCATGTCTTGCTTCCCCAGCCGAGCGGAACATACGGCAAGTGTAGCATTTTCGAGAGCCGGTGATAGCGATGGCAGACGTAAGACATCCAACATCCAATTACTCGCCGCCACGGCACTACGTGATCTACAGACAGTCGGAAAGCTATGCGCAAGAAAGAGAGAAAAGAACTGCTCTCTGAATGCATATCGTTGGCTTATTTGACCCGTTATGCCTGAAGGATCTGTGCGTTGAGTGTGTAAGTGTAGACTGGCTCGTCCAATAGGTGAAATGCTGTCCTTTTTCCGGTCTGCTCTCCACCGGGAGACGTGAACGTCACCAGAAGCAGATTGCTCGGAGAAGAGTACTAGGTCCTTTGATAAGCCGCCAGTATAGCCCACCATGTCTTTGGACAGTATGAAGGCATGATTGCGTTGGTACCCCGTGCATAATCGATTTGACTTGGCACAATTTTGGCACCTCGGGCGTTCTCCATCGCACTAAGGTTTGGAGACTCTAGAATCAGCGTCGCACACACTACAAGGAATTCGATTATCATGCCTTGATTCTCCTCTGTCGGCAGATGTGGCAAGCCTTGGACCTTCCGGGTACCCCGACCATGGCTACTGGAACAGTCCTCTGTAGTGGATAGAATTACAGGCACACAATGTATCTGTTGTCTTTCTCGTCTAACTACCTGGAAAAGTGATGAAGCAAGGTGAGGCAGAATCAAGCAACGCAATACTACCTACTATGCAGCTGAGCGGCACGGCTCACTGTGTGCGAAGCCGGGCGGATCCGCAAAGCACATGGGCCCAAAATTCGATAGTGACTAACCTTAAAGAAGAATGATTGGATCCTTCACCATGTATGTATACATTGCGCTAGACTATTGTGGGTGAATCCGACAAGCTGAGCCTACCTGCCTACCCTCCTCTGCCTAATTTTTAGTTGTGGTTGGATACACCTCAACTGAGCCATGGTGGTACAAAGTATGTGCTGCGCCTCAACTGAGCTGTGCTATGAGGGGGCGGTCATGATGGTTTTGATTGGCTGCAGCCGTTGCCTTAAGCCACTTGATATTTTCGCGATGCGCTTGTATTGGGATAGAGTTATCTTTCGGCGCAAGTAAAGAGAGAACGTAATGATGTATTGAGAATCGATTTCGAATTTATTCTATGGCTATATCCAGGTGGCTTGGGACAACGGCTGTAGCCAATCAATAGCTAAAAGCAATGGCTATAAACCGATGCTAACTGAGTTGGAACTAGACTTCCTGGGTAAAAAGCCATGAGAATAATATTGTCGCGCCTAAGGACGACATATTGAGAATTAAATGATCGTTTGCCATTGATTTGAGCCCGTTTTGTTTTGTTTGAAACAGCCTGACTGACAGGGTTGTCTTTCGTTTGATTCTCACTTCATCAGCGATGGAAGTTCCACATGTCTCAACCAATCGTGAGCAGTCGCGAAAGTTTGAGGCGCGGATCGATGTAAAGTTAAACAGTGCCCAGTGTTCGATATTACCAGATATTCATATGCTGCCTGTGGAAATAGGTCTTGGCCTGTTTTGTTGAGAATTTGCGCACAATCGCTAGGACTTCCAGCACAAAATAATGAATCTCGGTCTCCATTCAGAACGAGGACATTCCGTGTATATGTGGTTGCCACTGGTCGAAGTCCGGGGGAGAGAAACTCTCCCACAGTTACGCTATCCTCCCTCGAGTAGTCGTATTGAGCCAAGGATTCGTCGAAGAGGCCGCCATAGAACGACGCAGTCCGTGCCTTCTCCGTTGACACAGTGAGGTAACCCAGTGGCAGACTCTTGAAACGGTCATCAACCGTTGCAGCACTTTCATAATAGGCAATATCGTTAGATGAAATGGTGACGTTGGAGGAAAATCCAGTCAAGATGTACGCGTCCACATCTTCTGGATACCTTTCTGCCAAATTATTGCCTAGCGAAGAACCATATGAATGGCCGACGTAGACAAGCCCATCTACCTGACCAACCCTCGAGTTGCCGCCTTTGAGAAGCTCGATCAGACTATGCAATAATTCCACCTGTAATGGGCCTTGCACTATCTCAAAAGGATCCGGATAGTTCGCATTGATACCGTGGCCAAGTCTGTCGACTGCAAGAGTTGGGTAGCCCTGTCTACTCGCAAAAAGTTGCCAATCGTATGTTGATGAATAGCCGAAGCCAGACCACATAGAACTGTCATACGTGACGCCATGCACAAGTAGTTGTAAGATGTGCTGGTGACGATTGACAACTAATGGACGGCAATAAGTGCCATTGACGGCGAAAACACCGTCAACCTGTTTTGTTTCCTGGCTCGTGTACCCATTGGCAAGGGAGGAATAGAGAAACTCCGCAATAACACTTGCGTTGCTGGTGCCAAGAAAAGATGGAAACAGGATGTTGTTAGCGCTAGCACTAACCAAGAACGACACAGGACTACATTGTGAAGAAGAAATGCAGGTCGCATTGGAAAGCCCGATGATGAGGAAGGCAATGAGCGAATGTTGGAACATGACTTGGAACATCACTTTGGGCAATGACTATATGGATGATTAGGTTGAGCATAATCATCAGATAGTGGAAGAACAAGAAGTTAATAAACCCGCGTCCTCTCACATATATTCATGGTGCACTCGGGTTCATCGGATAGAATCCTTGATTGTGAATTCGCTGCTGTCAGGGTAGCAAAATAGCAGGGCTTTTAGATTTGTAATGGCGAAATAAGCTAAGTGAAATCTAGTTATACTTGTAAAGTTTAAAAAAGAAAAAAGAAATTGCGTACTTTAAGCAAACACGTTGCAGAACCAGGCAATCTGTCGTCTCGTTGCCGGCACGTACCCAATCTCGGCGATAAGTAGATCTTGAAGTTAAGAATTGCCAAGCTGATCCTGCATTAGTGAATGCACTTGTCTAGACTAGTACAATCAAATTAGGTTCATAGGATTTGTCAGCCATAATATTTCGAAAATTTCATGGGATTTCGATTGAATTTAGTCGTTTGCGGACCTGCCAATAATTCTTCGAAAGCAGCTCCAAGTTATACAAAGAAGGACTGGTGGACGCCATCAAACGCTGCGGTCAATAGTGGTCATCTTGATGTTGTCAAGTTCTTGTCTGAAAAAGGTGCAAACATTAAAATTGCAAATAAAGCCGGGTGGACTGTACTCAATACTGTTTGCCGCGAGGGGCATGTCGAGATAGTCAAGCTATTACTCGAGAAGGATGTTGACTAACCAGTCGCGAGCAAAAAATGGATGTACTCCATTGACTATTATATTAAGTAAGGAATATGTAGACATTGTCGCGGCCTTTCTCATTATAGCGAAATGTGATATCAATCCACGCGATATCAACGGTCTTATCACTTTAGCATAAGTTGTTTAAAAGGGCTACTTGAGACATCGTTAACCTATTTAAAAAAAAAAAAAAAAAAAAAAAAAAGAGTATCATAGTATCATAGATGTAGGTTATCTGTATACACTATTTCAACCGCCGAGGATAAGACTCTAAATACTTGGAGAAGTCAACTTCAAGCTGATCTGCAATGCACTACAGCAGACTGTGTTAGAACGTTGATGGCCCCATTGAGTGTCGCCATGATAGTGTACTGTTGATTTCGATTGTCTCTGCAGATCGAATGGCGCCATGATCAGATATGCTATACTTGAGGTTGCGTCTGGGTGTTTATGCTTCAGCGTTCCTCAACGGAATACATGATTTCTAGGATCATTGTCCGTGCGCTGCCATTGCCCTGAAATGATCAAATAATAACGGCAGTTTCTGGTTCAAGTCCTGTGTGCAACCGAAGCAGCTCAACAACCGCTATATGACCACTCACAGCTGCACACCATAACGGCGTCTGACCCCATACATCCTTCGAATCGATGCGTCTGGGATCTGGTCAATACTGTGGTAGAGATACATCTCGTCGCGACTAGGCTCTTGATCTCATTCTAGATAACGTGGATAGGAGTCCCTCCTGACGTCACGATTAGTTAACATTAGACTTTATGTTCATTACAAATCAACTAATTCTTGGTTTGACTAGTTGGCCTGTAAATGGGAAAAGTAGAAGTGCTAGGCGTTGGGCCGTTGTTGGAGCTGCTGTGGTGGGACTGGCTTGGGGTAGTTTCGGGGAGGATTTTGGGGCTGTTGGGGGGGGGGGGGGGGGGGGGCATGCTAGTTTGGCTATATGACCATCAATATGCAGATAGATCCCAGTATTTAGTGGAGTCTAGATCATATTCACTAACCTACAAAGGCAGTGCAGACAGCCTTCAAAGCGTCTACAGACCCTGCACTCATTACCATTTCTGATACTCTACGGCCCATCCCTGGACCAACCCTTCCGCAATGACAAGTCCGAGAATATTTATGTGAGTGTCCCTTACTTTCTTGAATCAGAAGCTAAAACTTCTAGAACTGGCGGTGCCGGACTTATAGGGGGCGATTATCTCCACATTCTAACTGATAAGTATCCATCGTGGAGTATCGTTGCTTTGGTCAGGCAATCGGAAAAAGCAGCTCTGATGGCCCGATATTATCCTCAAGTCGAGATTATACTTGGGACACTCGATGATGTTGGCATACTTGAACGGGAAAGCACTAAGGCAGATGTGGTTCTTAGTAAGTTGCTTCAAATTCGTTCGATGGGGTAAAGCCATTTGCTCATCTGAATTAGATTTCGCGGACTGTGACCACAAGCCGGCTGCCGAAGCTATCATCAGGGGTCTCGCTCAACGTGAAAATATTGGAACAGTAATCCATACCTCTGGGGCGAAAATCATTGCTTGGGAAACAGAATCGCAGCCATCCATGTGGGGCAAAGATATCCCACGCCGTTACAATGATTGGGCGGGTGTTGAAAAACTGACTACTATCTCACCAGTCGAGAGCCCCAAGCATTCAGGTTCTGAGGATGTCCTCCCAAGCTGGGCTGCTCATCGCGATGTTGATGAAGTAATCCTTCAGGGATTTCGTAACCATCCTAGAAATGTCAGGACAGCAATTGTCTGTCCTCCAACTGTATATGGCCCGTCGCGGTTTCCTGGTTTCACGAGGTCTATTCAGCTTCCACGTTTGCTGAATGTTGTCCTACGGCGGCGTAGAGCATTCACCATCAACGGAAATGAAAATCGATGGAACATGGTACATACACAGGACATTTCCCAGTTGTATCTTCTATTGACGGAAGCAGCTGTGGACAGGCGGTTGGGCGATTTATGGAATGAAAAAGGCTACTATTTTGCTGAGCATGGGGAATTCAGATGGGGCGACGTTATTCGGGAGATAGCTCGCATTGGTTATGAGAAAGGTTTGTTGAATTCTGCTTACCCGGAAGAATTGTCCAATGAAGCAGTTTCCCAGTTCTGGTATGGTGGCCAAATGAACGTCAGCTCAACAAGTTTGGGCCACTCTCGAAGAGCATGGAACCTTCTTGGATGGAAACCCACCAAGCATCATCTGCTGCAAGACATTGGCCGAACGATGGATGTTGAGGCCTTCCTGTTGAAGTCTCAAAAGTAAATATTAATGTTACAGAAGTGGTAATATCTGAGATGAACGTGGTAGTGGTTCAGTGTGTGAGCAAGCAATATTAGCAATCATTCTGCTCCTTTTGGAAGAGACACTCAGAGAAGTTCGAAAGACTTTCTACATGTCACGCCTGAAGTAATTTTCTTATAATCTGTAGAAACTTACTTGCTTCATTGAATTTGCTTTATTATGAATATTACAAACAAGTAGCAAGACTTAGAAGCGCTCAAAGAAAGTAAGTGTCATACCTTGATACGAACTTTCTTCAGCATTTGCCGTACTTCCTGGGAATCACCGTGACGTATGCGTACATGCCAGTAAATGGTATGATTTAGAGTTTCGACCACCAAGTAGAAGTTGGACGAGAAAACTGTGGCACAGGAGGCGAATAAGGTGGTGGTGGGATCATCCTGGGGTCCAGTAACAGTGTCATTGGATACGACACGGACCAAAGGCCACGTCAAAAGCTATATGAGAGACGTGCTGCGTTTAAGAGACCTTTCTGTGGTGCATCCAGGCGGTACGACCCCAAATTTGGGTTGGGCGAAGGATATCAAAAGTAGTGGTTAGTTGCTGTGCCCAATGCTGTTTACCACTTTTCTTATCTGCCACCCTCCTTCTTACATACTTAAGCTTGCACACAATTCCCACTCCACACCATGTATATATCTAACAAGGGGCTTGCATGATGTTCCTTGACCTTTCTGAAAAAGAAATCTTGGTGAGCAGGTGGTGAGCGTCTTGGGTAGCTTGTCCAGGATCTTGACCTCGCAAGGACCAAGAATATGGACATGCCATCAATCTTCCTTGCCCAACGTAGTAGTTCTTTACCAGATAATCGATAGTCATATATGATTTTGTCTCATCAAAATTTATTGAGCGTAATGTACACTTTTGGCTGCCCACACCAGTGTTCATCTTGCAAGGCTTCCATGACTACTACAGCTACCATGGCTACTTCGAGAATTCCAAGGGCGCGCGGCGAGAATGCATTCTGTTGCATCGCATGAGGCATTCTCGTCGCTTGTTTAACCAACGAATTAGAACTGGAAGTTTTATCTCTTTCTCGCTCACCAATATTTTGAAATTCAAATAGTAGGTGCATATGTTCTACTCTGAAGTGATGCTCTTGTTTAGAGATGAATGCATAGAGCAGTGTCTAATTTACAGTAATACAGACCTTGCCAATATGCTGGCCAGAAACTAGGTACTCATATGCATTTCGAACACCTTCGTAGGTGAATGGGAACTCTTTCTCGACTGGGAGTTTTAACTGCCGGTGAGAGACGAACCTGACCGCTTCTTCAAGGAGCTGTTTAGACCCGACCATAATACCACGAACAACAGCACCTTTAGAAAGAGCAAGACTGGCAACATCGGGCATCTCCTCCTGCGACGCTTGAGACAGAAAACCAATTACGTTGATAACACCACCGTAAGTGATTGCTTTGATACTTTGGGCGATCGTACCAGAGCCGCCGTTCTCCAGAATGTAGTCGACGCCCTTTCCTCCAGTCAACTCCAGAGCTTCAGCTGCCCAATCCGGTGTCTTCTTGTAGTTGATTCCGTAATCGGCTCCGAATTTGGATTTAGCGAGCGCCAACTTCTCGTCACTGGAAGATGTAATGATCACGATAGCTCCCGCTGCCTTCGCTAGGATGGTAGCAGTAATCGAAACACCACCAGTTCCTAGGACAAATTAGCACATAGTTGGCAAAATGCCGGAAGAGGATCAGTACCTTGACACAACACGACTTGCCCTGGGCGCAGAGGTAGATTTCCATAGAGAGCATTCCACACCGTGACACCCGTACAGACCAGAGATGCCCATTGAGAATAGGTTTGAGGAGAATCAGAAGGAACCTTGACGAGAGCTGAGGCTGGCAATACAACATATTGACGAAGTACACCATCAATGGGGCCGCCTTGCCCATTGTCCCAGTCACGTTGCGGACCGTAGAGGTTGGTGATGTCGAATGATGCGACGACTTGATCTCCAACACTTAGCCCTTTCACGCTATCACCAATCTCCGTCACGTCTCCAGCCATGTCGGAACATGGCACTACGTTGTCTGCAACCGGAAATGGATATTTCGAGGTGGCAATGGCGATATCGCGAAAGTTCAATGAAACACTGCGGACCTTAACGAGAACCTCGTGCTTCGTGATCTTCGGAACGTCTTCTTCTTGGTGATAAAGGCCATCGAATCCGTTACGATGTTTCAGACGAAAAACGGTGTGTTGAGCTGCCATTATGAGAAGTGATTTGTAATGAGAATTATTTGGTAGTTCTCTAAGTCTTCGTTGAATTGCTGAGGGTGCTGAGATGGACCGGCAGAGTACAACGCAACTTATATATGTATAATGCCCTTAATATAATGTTGCATGATCTTGATTGGCTATTATGCTTCACTCACGCAGCTCCACCGGGAGAGTGCAATAGCTTGGAGGATAGTAAAATGCATACACGTCATACTTGCTCGTCAACCTATAAGGTCTATGGCGCTAGAACATGAGGCGCACTGTCCGCTCGAGTCAGCATGTTTGCTAATTCAGTTCCGGGCTCTTCGGGAATATTATCGGGGTGTATGGGGCTTTTGGGGCTCTCTTGGGGTCTTGTTGGGGTCAATCGGGCTATTCATGCTGTTGATATTCGTGCGCTGTTGGAGCTACTTGAGAGCCGTTGGAGCTGTTCGCAGTTTTCCCTCCTCATTCACTGTTTCCACACAATGCCTAGAGTACACACATGCCCGCATTGCTCGCGCTCCTTCAAGCGCCCAGAACATTTGAGAAGACATTGTCGCACTCGTATGACAGCACCACTTATGTAATCTTCAAGACTTGGACTGATTTCAGCAGACACTGGAGAAAAGCCATACGTGTGCCACTGTGGAGCCTGCTTCTCTCGGAATGACCTCCTTCGTCGCCATGAGAACCTGGCACATTCGAACGACTCAGAACACAATACCATTTTGAGTCGGAAGACGGGGTTTGTTGACTTGCCGGCCATTGTCGAGTGTGACGACCAAGCATGTACCGACATTGGCCAACAAACAGTTGAGGGTCTAAGCGCAAGCGTTTCCCTGCAGACGTCATCGGAGAATTGCATGCAAGATCGCGTGTATGCCGACCAATTGGGCGGACATGTCGTAGAAGATTTAGACTTTGCCAGTTCACGTATCGATTTCGAGAAACTCACCCGAAGCGTGGGACTGCACATCGATTGGTTTGAATCGAGTCTATTCGAACCTGTGGATCTGGATGTACAGCAAGAGCACATGATCTTGGGACGCGAAGATCTACAGGTCGACATGGCTTCCGCTGCGGAGAGGAAATCAGATGGCCCAATCCCTTTTGCGCCACGTCTCGTCGGCTATTCTAAAGACACAGGTATCAACCAAGGTGAGTTAACGTCTTTTACTAGGTTTTATTCCGTTTTCTCCCGGCGATACAAAAAAGAACTCTGACCTCTAATTGATATTGTTCAGTTCAATCTGTCCGTCAAGATTCGAACACATCTCCGCTTACAATGACAGAAGAGTGTCTTTCAAACCTAAGAAGTGGCCTCCAGCAGTTGAAAGGTGGTCTAGCCGACATGAGTCTGCCCTCATGCCACACTTTCACAAAATGCTTGTCCGCGTGGGAGGAGACATTGGCAAGTCACCTACCATACATTCACATACCTACCTTGTGTCTGAATAATTGTATCCCGGAATTAGTTCTGGCTCTTGCCGCTCTGGGCGCCCAGCAAAGATACGAAACAAAGACATCCATGTTGCTCTACAACGCTGGTAAGACCGTCGCTCTCCAGCGAATACACCTCACCCGCTTGAGAAAGAGTGAAGGAATATCAGCATCCGGGTTTCACCCGCCAGGATCAATCATTCAGTCTGCTAGCGCTCTCCTCACGCTGATGATATTCGCCACTTGGTCGGCTAATGCTAAACTCGTTGAGGAAGCATTCGAATTTCATAGCTCTCTTATGTACTGCTTGCGAGGAGACGGTCTTACCGACGAAGATGAGACCTCTTATCAGGATTGGTATTCATGGGCACTGTCAGAAACACGCATTAGAGTTAAGCTCATGGCCTTCTGCTTTTTGAATTTGCACACAATCGCATATGACCATCCGCCTGTTCTTTTCTGGCACGATGTTGACCTAAAGCTTCCCTGTACAGTGAGAGAATGGTATGCAACGGAGGACATTTATTGGGTTCTCGCTCGGCAAGAGGTATTAAACGAGCAGAGACGTTTTCCGGAATCACTGAAAGCGCTTTTGAGCTCAGATGGGCAAGCATCGCAAATCCAGCCAGCGCCATCGCCTTTTGGAAATTATGTGCTTCTCCAGGGGTTGCTTCAACGCATTTACCTAGTCCGACAGCTTGCAATTACACCTAACCTGCCAGAAGAAGACATCGTCAAATTACAGTAAGCAATTATCCAGCAATGACCAAAATTTTCACCCAGAATGAGCCTACATCCTAAATCATCAATAGTAAAGCGCTGTTGAATTGGGCTACCATCTGGGATCGAACGTCCGAGTCCAGCCTCAACCCACGAGACGAGAACGGCCCCATCGCTTTTACATCCGTTGCCCTTCTCGGTCTCGCTCATGTCCGAGTACATCTAAACATTGGGCCTTATCGAGATCTTGCATCCAGGCTACCGGCGCAGGTTGCGGCAGCTTTAGCAAATGTCCCCTCTCCACATCTACAGCAGACCAACAGCGCAGTTTCCGCGCTTCTTTATTCGATCCATGCGCTCAGTATACCAGTTGCAATTGGCATAGAGTACGTGGTACATAGCCAGGCGATATTTTGGTGTTGCCAGCATTCACTTGCTAGTCTTGAGTCTGCGGTTTTTCTTAGTAAATGGCTATATGCAATCTCTGCAACGAAGTTGTTGCCAAGCATGACTCGTAAGTGGAATCAATCACTAATTGTTTACTTCAGCAAGAACTAGCTAAATGTATACCTCTCGAGCTGATCTGACCGAGTTCTCATCTTTAGGATCTGAAAAATACATACTACACTGCCTACGACAAGTGTTAACAGAAGCCGTGGCCTCGGCCGATTGGGGAGATACAAATACGAGTATGTGGCTGGAAGATGCATTCCACATGGGCCTTGCTGTTCTGCGAATCTGGTCGAGAGTGTTCAGCAATGGTTCAGCATGGCCGATTACTGTTACGATAGGAAAGAGTCTAGCGATCTATGCAGATGCCTACGAGAAGCACGCGTTGAATGTCTGAGAAATAAGTTGATAATGCGGGCCTATTTTGTCTGTTCCTTCGGTCATTGCAGACCTCCGACCAACACAATTTGAATCAATATGATCAATTCATGTGCCCAGTGTAAACGGCGCAGTCAATGTACGTTCCGATTTACTATCCTATTGACGCGCATCTGAAGCTTGAAAAAGAAAAGAAAAGCAGTCTTTCATCCATATGATGGTAGCAATCAGTAGTCACATTCACTATTTTGTAAGTCCGTCGACACCTTGTTGCTTGGGGAAAGTGCACGCTGGTAGTCGCGCCGATAATTGAGTGGGCATTGGCCGTCGCTCATTGAAGGGTTTGGTTGACAACAACTGACACTCAATTATCAGAGGATTTTCTTTGTAAATCCCGGCAGCTAGATCACGAATAGGAACAGTGTAGTAACCGCTTTGCATCGTTCTATTTATTGTGTGGGCACGTAGCCATATGTTGGGTGAGATCCTATTTGAAATGCCGTTAATGCAGAGTGGCTAATGCGTACAGCTGAGTTGGAACCAACCATATCCGCCAGCAAACTATCACGTCATCAAACTCTTAAGCTCATCACTCGGGGAAACTTTTAGGTTTGCTCTTTAAGCAAACCGAGTTAAGGTGAATCTCCATCTAATGACGTGTCCTAGTCAATGACATTGACTAGAAGTGAAGACCTCTGGAGCTGTTGGAACTGTTGGGGCTGTTGGGGCTGTTGGAGCTGTTGGAGCTGTTGGAGATGTTGGTCATCAAAGCCGAACACGACAAATCCGCCGCTGAATACATCCTACAACAAACAACGTTGGATCTAAACTTTGGAGCTTCCGATTGAGAGCAGCTGGGGGAATTGTCAGCTACGGAGAAACCTTGACCGGGACAAGCACTAGTTTTGTGAGTCGGTGATGTACATGGTTAAAATCAATGGTACAACCTATATAAATGCCATAATTATTTCAATCATGAATCACAATGCAAGAATTGTTCTATTTCTCTTAGTCGAACAGTGCCCCAGATGTCTCATAATATTTTGCTGACTGGTGCCTCAGGCTACCTCGGCGGCACAATACTTGCACGCTTATCCAGTGCCAATTTGCCTCCATATGGAAAGCTTTTCGCCTTGGTACGATCGGATGAGCAAGCCGAGGGTGTAAAGCGTTACGGTGCAGAGCCTCTGAAATTCAACGCCAACGATGCCACGGAGGTTCAAGACGTCGTGGTCAACAATGAGATCTCAATTATATACTACCTCATTGATTTTCAGCATTCCCACCAGCAGGTAAACTTCATACATGCCCTAGCTGAGGTCAAGAAGGCTACAGGAAAACAGGTTCATATAATACATGTGAGTCAAGTCAATGCGGAATGAAGTAAAGAGACCTGACCATCAAATAGACTTCGGGAGCAAAGATGTTCTCGAACCAAGCGGGGACTCTCACCAACCGGCCGCTTAGAGATAATGAGCTTGACATATATCAGATTCAAAAAAACCAAAAGGCACCTTATACCATGTTGCAGAATGTAAGCAACACCAGTATTGCATGGTTCATATTAGAATGCTAAAACGTGCTCCAGGGTACCGATACAAACAACACTGTTATAGATACAGCGGAGTCACTTGGCGTTAGAAGCTACATTTTTGCGCCTTCCATCGTGTGTAAGTCTAATACTAACCTAGCAGAACGTATATACTTCCTGAATCCTGACTAATTCAGTAACAGATGGCAAGGGAGAAGGTTTTGGCAACCAAATCTCAATCCAAACAACTGCCATTGTGAAAGCAGCGTTATGTGTTAAGAGGGTATACAGCACCGATTCGGGACGTCCGGTATGGAAGAATCTGCCATAATCTATCCCCTTCCAAGCCAGAGACTAAATACTTGACAGTCTTGGCCTGTAAGTCACGTTATCGACAATACCACCCTATATTTGCAGATACTCCGCGTCATTCTCGAAGGTGGCCAGCTGGATTACGGGAAGAATGGGTATTACCTTGCCGCGACCGGAAGCGTTGTCTGGGAAGATTTGTATTCGGCGATGGCACAGGCTCTGAAAAAGCGGGGTGTCTTGACCGACGACTCTGTAACTATTGCTGATGATGCTACTCTTGAAAGAATGGGTGAAGGTCTTGGATGTCCGAAGGACATGGTCCCATTGTTACTTGGAGGAAGGTACGTGTCGATTCCACTTGGAATATTTTCAATACATCTTTTACTGACTCGATGTGTAATATAGATGTACATTCACTGCGGAACACGGTAAAGAAATTGGTTGGCAGCCAGAGTTCAGGCCGGAGCATATCCTTGAGGATGCTGATGCGGAGGTGGAATTGGTCTTGCAGAGTTTAACTTAGAGAGTGCCCCCGCTGCTGGCCTGCCATCAGGCCATTGAAAGCGCACTTGTCACGGATGTTGGGAGTCGAGTTTAGGCTGTGATGATTATAATTATAATTGCATTATATGTCGCATTGACTTAATTTTGTTCCTAATCTATAACGCTTAGATCGATAACGACCATTATAACCACATGTGATATTCTCTGTGCTTTGACCATGTCAGTACGAACATGAACATCAAACCTGTTAAAGGGTACTGCAAACCGTCTCTGAAAGAATTGACTTGAAAACATGGCTTGAGGTCAGCCCAACTTAAGCACGAGTGTCCCTCTTTCACACCGAGAATAATTGTAGGATTTATGGGATGTCACTTGTGGAGTAGTATGACATGGAGCGGGCCAACGCATCTCCAAGCTCACGTTTATATAGTCGGCTCGTCAGCCAGTCTCCCATGTAGATCGACAGAGAAAAACAAATGGCCCCAAAGACAACCTATCTCGTACAACGCAGCTGAATTGCGACATGAGATCCCTCAGCAGAATCTTTGTCGGCGTGACCAACTGCCCACCTAGCCCTGATTTAGCCATTCTTTTCAAACCGCACGTACCAAATATCGCCATCAAAACCAAAGTGCTAGACTAATCGTGAAATAGTATAGGGAGCACCACTTAAGGGGATACGTGGACACGACCGGCCTTCCTTTAATTACAAGTTAAAGCATTGGTCTGCATTGAGAATGGAGTTTTAATTGAGTACTTCTGTGGACATCAACTGCCGATTTAACGCGCATTTCCCTGTTATTAACCAGAAGAATGGAACTGTTAAGGTGCCGTTAAATGTGAGGTTATGCTAGATCTCCCGCCTTCCGCGTGCATATCATTTGGCCTTGGCCATGGAACCGCGATAGAATAGAGCCGTAAAGAATCAATGGGCAAGCGTAAGGATTATAATATAATCAGAGTGTTTGTAATAATTGTGATGTTTATATTGATGATCAGCTAAAAGCTGGCCCGTAGTTGCTTCATAGCGGGGACGAACAGTTATTTATACTGCTCAACTCTCCCCGCAGTCCGGAGCTTGATTAACTAGTCTAGCTTCTGACAGCAAGCTCTTCTATAGCATCTTGCAAACCTGCGTCTCGTAGTACAACTGATCATAGCAAAGGCATTGATGAAATGTTATCGAAGGGGATTACGCTTTCCAAGGTGATGTCAATCCGGTTATATCCACTATCTAACGGTCTTTTTTTATTTTTTACTTTTATTCTCCACCAAGCATTACGACGTCTTTCCAAGTCCTGCAGCCTCGTAAGAATAACTAATACGTATGGCAAAGTCGTAAAACCAATTAGTGCACGAAAACCCTCTCGGTTTGCCGGCGACCATGTTGGGTTTAGATGGCGAACCAGTGCCAAGATTTATGACAAAGTCCGGCGTAGTGTTCGGCGTAAGCTCTGAGGACTTTGCAAGAGCCACGATAATAGGGTTGTTCATTATAACGCTACTGTCATGGTGTTTAGTAACTTCTAGTATGTGATAAAGCTAGAAATACCTGGATCGTTGCTAGCTATAAGACTAGCATATCTGCGAACACATACATTAGAGCAATGGATATACTTCGGGCGCTGCGTCGCTATTAGCACAATTGTAATCCTGTCCTGGATGCGTAATGAACTCACAATTTCGATGTCCTGATATTGTCGCAGCCTCTGGGTGCGATATAGCCAGTCCTTATACTACCGGTTTTCTTATAGTTAGTGAAGAGGTGGGTATCGGCAGCTCGATGCTTACGGTTAAAATTCCGATATTTGTCCTGACAGCCTTTACATACGATGGACAAACATCTTCTTATCCCAAATACCCCCGTAAGTACATTATATATTCCAACTCTTAAGTAAGTATAACCGAACAGAACCCATTTTAGCATGAAAAATAAGATGAAAAGTAAGTATACAAGCTTGTAAAACGCTTCTACTACTGATGTCTACAGCTTTAAGGTGCATGTCACCGCCGGCTAATCATTCTCATAATGCCCAATATAACTGATCCACCTATAGGGTGTTGAACACGATCTCTTTAGATCAAAACGCTGTGTCTATCCGACGCCATAATATATCTTCCCCTTGTTTCTGCCGGGCGCAAAGACGTCCGGTGTGCTCGTATCAAGTCTTTTGACTGAAGAAGGTCTTTCTTATACATCTATAGATCAGAGCTCTAAGGTACGGTGGACGCTCGTGAGGGTTTCACTGGATCTTAACTTTGTCGTATGTTTGCAGCTAAACCGTTAAGAGTCACGGCATTGAAACACCTAGATTGCCATGACGCAAGGATCCACATGCTCCGAGCTCCCCAAAGCCTCCGAAACGATACGTGATGGCTGGTCTGTCTCGGGCAGGCGATCGCCAAGGCTGCTGAAATAGACGGGACTGTGTGCTATCTAAAATACTCTAAATTACAACAAAGGTGCCAAGTTCTCCTAGTCTTCTAGTGAACCGGCCAAGGAAGTTGCCCATGTTCTACAAACCTGATATCGATGATCACAGACTCTTGCACGACCCAATCCATGTGAGCTTGCCAATATCCGTATCTGTCTACCGAGCTGCTAAGTTCAACTCAGGCTTGTGTTGTTCCAAGAGCTATCGGGTGGATCTCAACTGTTTCGATAGAAGGCAAACCCAATCTGTACCTTATAGCTAGTTCACAAACTTGACGTTTGACCATCTACATATTGTCTTTTCTTCCAACCAGACACAAGACGGGCAACGGAAAGACACCGCCATCAATGCCGAGGAATATGGACATTTCGTATGGAATCTCGTCACATGGCATCTGCGTGAGGAGACGAACAGCAATGCGGAGCAAGTTCCCTACGGAGTTTATGAATTTGAGAGAGCCAGCCTTGAAAAGTACATGGCGAGACTATCCGGCGCGCCTATGATCAAGCGAAGCGTCGTCAAATCCTGAGTGTAAATATCATACTACACTCTGCCCACTCGGCAACTCTCCCACCAGAACTGTCGATGTCATTATCAGCAAATTCGCGGCAGTCCACATTGCAGACGAAGTACTTGCGAATGGTATCCTCGACATCCGCAAGACGATGCTAGTCGCAAGGTGCGGCTACTATCAGTATGCTGTGGTCAAAGATACAGCTGAAATGAAGACTCCAAGGAATTCGGAAGCAATTCTGAACGGCTTAGAAAGAACCCTAAGAAAGTTGCAGCTTATGAAGCAGCTAAGAAGAAGGAGAACTTGAAGAGGTAGAGAAAAGAAGCGATAATTGTATACTTGCAACACTAAGCCATAATGGCATTGATTTCCACCTTAGCAACCTGTCGTCTAGCTTACCATCCCCGCTGCTCTTACAGCATAGGTTATCTTATTAAGCAAAGACGACGTCTTTTACGAGGTTCGAAATGAATTTGACACTCTGGCCGTGTGCTTTGTATCATTACAAGGATGATGCGCACGTCATTAATAACGAGGAGCTAGGCTACATCGGGTCTTATTGCGCGGATGAGGTGTCCGAATTATTTGGACCCCTGAGGATGCTAGATTAGTCAGGACCAAACTATGAACTCCAATTTTTCTATCGTAAGATTCGGGCTTATGTACTTGCTATTGTTCAGCCCAAAACCTGAGCCAGATCAAGGCTAGATAGCCCCATCGATCGGCTTACAATTTCTACGATGATCTTCCAATGGATTTTGTTATGGAGACACAGCCTACCTCAGACAAACCACTATGCTGCTTCTGGTGGTATTGCGCGGGTACTGCCTAGTTGGCAGGGCATATAATGTGGCGTACCCATTCTGTTCTCGAACACAATGTTGAGATACGCAGATATATAGCATACTAGCAAAGCTGAACCCTGATGAGTTCATAGGACCTTGTTTCTTGTCTGAATATCCCAAATCACTCATCGAATCGTCGGACACACTACCAAAGTCATGGTGTCATCTCACACATCCGCTGCGATAGCGCAGACAGTCTTCTATACGCCGGCGGTCCCTGTCACATTGTACATCCTCGTTCGCAACTGGAATCATGGCCCAAAAATGGCATGGTATCCTCTATTTGCTTTCGCCTTGAGTAGGAATACTTTCTCATTTGATACGCAAGCTGGACTCGACTGACTGTCATTAGTCCGATTAGTGGGCGGGATCATTGTCATTGTTCTTGGCTCTGACCCTAGGAGCTATGACCTCAGTGTCGTCGCTGTGGTTCTGCTCAACGTTGGTCTCATCCCGTTGATAGTCTCCACACTGTTCCTAGTGCGCCTGGTGTAAGCCGCTCAAATAGACCATGACTATACATAAGTATACTAAGCAAAGAGCAGCTTTAACTCCAGTCTGCCTTTCAAGAAATGGGCGCATACCATTCTGAAAATTCTTCGAATCGATATTCTCATTGCTATTGCACTCTTGATTACTGGTGGCAGTATCCTTGGAAATCCAGACAACGCTGCGGCTTCACGAGCATGTGGTATTGCGGGCTATTTCAACCTTTTTGGCATCATCATCGTTCTCGTTGGGTTGCTCGTATACCTTAGGGTGCACAAGCGAGAGATTTCATCTACCGACCATGTGGTAAGTTCTTGAAGTGTGGTTCTCCCCCCTCCCTCAGGTGGTTAACAAGCTTTGTGCCACTTGTCGTTGATTTCACCTGCTCTAAGCATCACTCTTATCACACGTCATCCCAGCCAGTCTTCCGTGGTGTTGCGATCCCATCACTCCCAATCCACATCTTCTCCCCTCCCTTGACAAATTTCACCCTATCCTATATATCGTCACGTGTTCTTTACGCATACATCGTCATACCGACCCCAAGCCCCTGTATATAAGCCACCGCTCGCCTCAGCCACTAACGGATCTTGCTTCTTAGTATGCGTACTGGGTATTCTTCTCCATGCCGCCGCTGCTCCTGCGCGCCGTCTACGGCATCCTCTACAGCGTCACCGCAAGCAGCGCGGACACGCTCACGACGATCTGGAACCCCCTCTTCGGCTCGGCCACCGCGTTCGCCCTCATGGCGCTGATGCCGGAGTACCTGGTGCTGTGCGTGTACATGTACCTCGGCTTCCACCGCAGACGCACGGCGGCTGGACCAGACGAGGCCCGCGCCGACAGGGCTTCAGACGAGCCTCTCACATTTCCAACGCCGGAGGGGGAATGAGGGCAAGGTGGTAGCTGCTGCTCGGGGGGCTCCCAGGCATCTTTGCCCATCACGGTCTTGAGGACAGCTGCTTGGGCTGACTAAGGAAACACCTGGTCAACATTGCTGGTGGAAATAGATGTGGTAGGAGGATTAGCTGAGGGTCGCAATCCTCTTGCGACTTCTTGCTGTAACTCATCCTTTTAGTACAACATGACCAGTGTTTTTGCATGCGTAGTGGTTTCAGACTGCCGTGACTTGCATTGATAAAGCAATATGGACTCTGCCTAGTCACGACCACGTTTTGCTGAAGAACATTCAACTCTAGAAGAGATTGTAGGGTTTTCGTTTATAGATTACGGAAATACTTCCACGCCTATAGTGTCCAATCACAGGGATATGCAGTAAAGTCGTACCTAAAAAGAAAAGAAAAAAGGGCACAATGTAGAGAGACAGAAGCCCGCGTAGATCCTCGTCTTTGCGAGCTACGACCCGAAGACCGACAGCCGAGCAGGATAAATGGCGCATGCCTTGTGCATTGGTCCCGAGAGACCGGAAGGCCATAAGTCTACAGAGCAAGACAAGGTCATGGAGGTTTGAGCCTTCCTTCAGCATTTACCCGTCCCCACCATAAGAGTCACACGCGTGCGTGCATTATGCTGCGAAGACAAACGGCCGAGTGGTTTAAGGCGCTACCTTCAGGTGCACTTCGGTTAAATATTTCACAGCAATTTTAGTCCCGACGGAAGGGGGTGCTCCAGGTGCCAAGGTCCTCAGCTGGCCAATGAGGTCATGATATGATGCAACCAAGAATATTATTCAAACGTTGCAGTACACTCTAGCTGGCTTCCATTATGATCATATATAACCACCTTGGAAGTGACTTGATTCAGTGCGTCATTTTGACAAAAAGCCAAGAGTATAATATAAGACGGGTTATCGCAATGAAAGCAGTTATTGCTCGAATTCATGCGACTTCGTGAATTCTTGTGTCGATGGTGCAACCAAGCTTGTGTAGGTAAAATCATCGTACCAGTGGTCTGTGAATTCAAACAAGTATGAGTATCTAGCTCGCGGATCCCCAATTTTGGTTGTCCATTTATTACACAAACGCCAGACGCCTTCGCAATTTCTCCTTGTCCACCATAGTAGTCAATTGATCCTTACCATAATGCCACAACCGGTCCTCCATAAACAGATGAAATTTTTGTGCCGTGGTTATTATTCCTCGCTCTCCGAGTCATCTATGCCCAAGAGTGTCTTATCAACATCGTCGAGCTCGTCGTCCTCATCCTTACCGTCACCCTCTTCGTCATCCCCAGCAAGACCAAGGAGCTCCTTGTCCACATCATCGAGATCATCAGCATCTTGCATATCGACATCGCCATTAGCGTTGCCATTCATGCCAGAATTGCCGGCGTCGCTCCTGAAACTCTCCGAAGCAGCCTTCGAGCCTCGGCCATTGGCCAGTGCAGACGAGTGGCTGTATTGTGCGGCGAGTAGACGAGCGTTCTTCACCGGGCGTACGACGCCTGAGACCTGACCCTTGCTCCATCGTATCAATCGTCTATCTGCTCGGTTTAGGGAGGCGGAGTAGGTGGCTAATTCTTCACCAAAGTCATCGACCTCCGCTTGAAGTGGGACAAGTCCACCTATGCCTTTACCACGGAACAGTTCGAGGGATTTCTTGTCATTGTGATGATAGCCCTCCTCGTCACTGTCATCCAAGGGATTGGGCATATGGTCCAGCCGGCGCTTGGTACGGATAATGACGCCCTCTTGCCGACGCAACTTACGGGCCTTGTGATGCTCTTTTCGCAAGTCCCGGTTCAGGATGTACTCGACACGCTGGTTCCGGTTCCGCTCCACGGCGAGTTGGTGAGCAGTCGGCGGGCGAGGCTTCCTAGGCATGACACCATCGAAACTCGCGCCAGCCGGCCCAGCTGGTGAGGAAGCATCGAATATCTGGTACTTCAGAGCATTGCTACGGCGAGCACCTGTGGTGTTAGCGGCCAAGCGGCTGAGGGCCCTCGGAGGCGGCGTTGATCTGGTACTGTCCATGTCAGAATCGTGCTTAGAGGGTCGGATGCGCGGCAGGATGGTGGCAGAAGGGCTATCCTCGTTGACCACTCGTCCCTTGGGAGGGCGGTTCTTGCTCTGATGCTCCTGTAGGTAGGCTTGATCGGCAGCAATAATCTTCGCTCGGTGTGCTTGCTTCTCACGCCCGAAGTCGATCTCTGCTGCTGCATCAATGTTCTCTGAGGCCTCCTCGTCGGCAGTCATGAGCTTCAATCTTGGTACCCCCTGGTTGGCGAGGTTGTTGCCGTAATCGACACCGGATCCAAATGGGTTCTCCTCGCAGCCTTCTTCGGTAAAGTCAGACTCGAGGTACTGCCACATTACCCACAAGAAAGCATTGGCACGCGAAGCGCTCGTAAACTCTGTTCTCATGATGAGGTCGTGGAATTCACCACCCTTGGCGAAATGTAGTTCGGCGATCTGGGCAGCTTGTGAACAAATGAGAAATATGAGATTCACTGGGTTGGTTCTCGGCACGTCAAGCTTCTTGAAGCCGTTCAAATCGTGCGGTTCCTCTCTGTCCTCGGCTGCGCCCTTCAGTATGGACTTCAGCCTCGGAGCATCCTGCAGCTGCTTGTAAGCCGAGGCGTCTTGATAGGCTTGTAGCGACGGGATAGCATGGTAAGTTCGTAGCTGAGCTCGCATCTCAGGGAAGACTGATGACTACTGGGTTAGCTTGCGAGGGAGAAGAAGGAGAAGAACAAGTAGAAGAAAAACGCCAAATGACGAATAGGGAGATGACGGGAGATGGTTGGGGATGGGAGAGGGTGCACGCACAGTTGAGAGTAGTGTTCATTCGACCAACATTGACCAGCAAGCAGACCATGGCCATGCTCTTGGCGGCTTCTCGATCACTAAGCAATTTGTCGCGGAGAACTTTGGAGGTCTTGCTGCTCCTGGCCATGGTGTCGATGTAGAGGTCAGCGAAGGTCTGCTTCTCGTCCAGGTAAGAGTCGTAGCTGTTGGTGAAGACCTTCTTTGGGTTGTCGAAGACGGACCTCAGAAAGTCGTACTGTATGTCCTTGCGCCAAAGAGGCTCGCCATCTTCCTTCTTCAGATGCCTAATCTTGCCGACAGTGTTGAATGCGCCGCCAGCACCAGCAGCGGCGGCGGCGGCCTGAGACCTGCGAGAGCTCTTGGGCTTTGATGACGATCGCATGCTGTCGTTGTTGTCCAGCAGGCTGGGTCCGTCGCCGCCGTCGTCGCTGTCGTAGTTGCGGGACACGGATCTGTGGACACCTGGGCTGGGGGCGCGTGAGGAGTTTTGGTCGCCATTGTCCTCGCCGGGGTCCATCTTGTTAGATGCGGATGCGGCTGCAGCCGTGGGAGGACTGGGAATTCGGGCTTGGACTTGGGCTTGGGCTTAGACTTGGCTGAGGTGTCGATGAACGGAGCAGCAAACAAAAAGAGGTCTGATTCAAGGATGGTACGATGGATTGGGGGGGCCGAGGCGATTCGACAGTAACTTCCGATGCGTCACGTCAGGAGGGCATTGAGTAACCACACCAAAGAAATCAGCTATGTAGATGCAGAAAGTGTTGGTGATGATGTGGGTGGGATGGTTGTGCGGAACATGATGATTGTTTGACAAATGATAAGAAGAAGAAAAGCTTGCTCACGCCGCAGGTGATGCAATTCAGAACCAGACCCAGAGCCGGAATCACAATCAGAATTAGAATCAGAAACACCTGCAGAGATTGGATTCCCACCCAACCATCGCAGCTTAGCCTCAATTCTGCGGAATTCTTGCTCAGCTCAGCTCCGGCAAGTCGCGTCTGACAGACTCCAACAGTGCTGTCGATTAGTACTAGTCTAGGTCAGAAAGCACAAGCCTGAACGAGGGATTGCAGCAGACTGGAGACCGTGGAGCCCCCCCCCCCCCCCCCCCCCCCCCCAAGCTTGCAGGCCGCGACCGACGTAAATAAGGATAACAAGCCAAGGAACGAATGACCGGTGTCCTCCTGTCCTTGCGTCCTGGCTCATAAGTTACAGCTGACAGTGGTCTAACCTAGTCTATGTATGTAGGTTACAGTAGCCAGAGCTCCTATCTCATGCAGGATCCACCAGCGCTAGCCCGGGTATCCCCACTCAAGCCACTGTCTTGGCCAACATTGAACTTTCAATCCCATCAAGTCTCACATCCGGCCTGTGAAGGACCTATGGTACATGGTGAAAAACAATTCCTCCGTGAGCTGCCGTGCTCCATCACTCGTCGACATTTTCAAAGTCTGGGCTGTGTTGAAATTGAACTTCTGTGTCCCGGAGAACGTGCACCGTTTTTTCGTCTGTCCTTAGCTGTCATATTTTACGCCTCCCGGGAACCATGCGATGTTGTAATGCATGTACAAGAGTGCCCCTTCCTTGATCCATGGGGTTTAAGAAGGGTTGTAGTAGCCGAAGAGTCATTGCATTGCGAGCAAATCTATCAAACAAAGTGACTTGCCCAGGTGATGGATACCTACCACGGTGGAGTCCCGGGGAGTCGAAGAACCTATGGATCTGTACACAAGGAAACGGGAAGTGACGGAACTCGCCTGGGCGGGAGCGTTTGGTATACTTGTAGGGCTGAGGCCGACATGGGTGCTTAGCAGTGCCTGATAAGTCGGGAAATACAGCAGCCTCTTCCGAACTGTATCTGCCTACAAAACGGGCATGACTGAGCAGCCGCAAACCGAAAGAGTCAAATCTTGTAGAAAAAGAAGATCTCGAAAGAATATATCATATTCACGGAAAAAGTGACTAAATAAGTACTAAGAGGGGATCAAGCCTATCTCATAAGAGCTGAGAGAGCCTCCGTGTGAAAATGTGTGATATCTCGGTAACGACCAGCCGCTTGGACGATCTAACGCATCCAAGTCGAGCCCCTGAACTCCTTGTAAACCCATCGTGACGTGTTTTTATCATAAAAGCAGTGTTTCTATTTCTCCGCCTCGCTGCCCTTAGAACAGACCCCACCCACCCTTATGCTTCTCGCTGGTGGACTTCTTATGCGGCTTGCCCCTCTCTCTTTCCCTCTCACGGCCCTCCAGTTGGCTCAGGCTCTGCATCTTCTCGAGCACGAGCTCTAGCAACTCCTTGCGGCGGATCACCTCCAGATGCTTCTTGATTTTGGGATCCTCCTTCGCAAACTGCTCAATCTCATCCTGTGTCAGATGGCGACCAAGCTTTTGATCTAGCTCTCGCGGGAAGTTGTAGTAAAACTCGGAAAGTAGCTCTACGTTGAGGAAGAGCACTGCTGTAGAGGCAAGCTTGCTGGACACGGCGTCGAGGAAAACCTCAGGGCAGTAGTACTTGTTCTTCATGTTGGCACATTGCTTCGACTTGACAGCATACATGCGCATTTTTATGATCTCAGCACGATCACGAAGGAAGACTGCTTCCCGGCCTGGGACTTGTTAGTGACCCGATACTTGTGATGGGTGGGTAAAGCAAAATCTTACCTTTTGTCAGTAATGCAGCGCTGAAGCCGCCTGCGCCAGTTGAGCTTTCGCCTTCGACAATAACATCACCTTTCCGTGCCTTGTCCACGAAAGTCATCACTTCCTTCAGCTTCCTCCTGCCCCCGACAGTATTCTCAAGGCCTTTCATTGCCCCTTCGCATGCCTCGAGTTCGTTCTTCAGAACACCTTGAACGTGCTCTCGTCCGTTGGACCATTCCCGGTCCTCCATATCAATCTCGAATTTGAAGGGCTTAATACAGTTCTCAACTTGATCGCTGGTGCTATAGAACCTATCGTTGAGAATGCTAGATGCAGCCTCCGTGATAGCTTGCCGCGCAAAAGGGTGGTTCACAAAGGTGGACTGGCTAATGAGCTTATCGACGTGTGACTGAATGGCCGAAGCCACAACGTTGGTAGCTAGACGACCGACACCAAGTTTGGTCAAAGACGACGTGGAAGCGTCCAGGCGGCGATGCCAGTAAGGATTATCTGGATCCGCCTTAGGTAGATCCGCCAGGAGATCTGGCTCTGGAACGGGTACTGAGAGATCATGGATTGGTTTGTTCCAGTATCGGGCCGCCAGTAAGTCCAATACTCGCTGGTCTAGCTCGTTCTTCAATAGTTCGTGCATTTGTGGACGGCCAAACTCCCCTGCAAATTGCTTAAATGAATGCTTAAAAGCATCAAGGCTTTCGGCCAAGTACGACTCTGCAGAAAGCGGACGGTCGTTGTATTGGACCTTGAACTCGTAAGTTGCTTCCTCGAGTTCCTGTTGAATTGCATCGCTCGTGGCTTGTAGGCTGGCAGACATAGTCTGCTCAAGCACGTGCATGAGCTTCTTGCGCAACGTCGAGGTTCCCACGCTAACTTCAGCGTCGGATCCAAACTCCAGGGGATGGGCCGAGAAGTAAGCGTTCTCATTCTTGGTGATGGCAGTTGTCAGGTTTCCGCCGCCCTTCCTGAACAAGCCGCCAGAGGCCGCTGGGACACGTGATACCACACCAACATATCCCAGTCGCAATGGGTATTGCTTATCGGTGAGGATAGACATACCCCTAACCGGGTCCACCAAGTCCATTTTTGTGACGACACCGATTGTACGCTCACCTCGCGGATCCACACGGCGACTTGCGCGTAAGGCGGTCGAGTTCGCCAGATCTACATCAGCCGCGGAGATGGCGAGAATGACATTGGGTGCCTGGATGTACTTGTCGCAAAGCTCCGAGATCTTCTGCTTCAACTCTAGAGGCTGGTTCTGGCCGACGACTTGGATATATCCAGGTAGATCAATGAGCGACAAATCAGGAACATGGGGCGATGAAATCGACAGCCGGATTGGGTCGTCCGATACGCATTCTGCATCCGAAACGGCCTGGTTGAGCTCCGTCAAGGTTCGCTGGATAGACGAGAAATCCGAAACCTTGCCTAATCCCAGGTCGGGAAATTCGCCATACTCGGCTTTCGATCCAGGCGTGTTGATCAGGGTAAGTTCGATCGGTCGCCGTGTGACCATGTTCAAGCCTTTCGGTAAGAATTCATGGCCGACGATAGATTCCAAGACGGAGCTCTTTCCTGAGGACTGCGATCCAATGACTACAATCGATGGTAGGTTTAGTGTGCTGGCCTGGCCAACCTTGGATAGAATGTTGCGAATCTCGATCATCTTCTTGGTCAAGACCATCATCTGGTCATCTTTGGCAATCTCCTCGTCGCTTCTCGGATCGTCCTCGGATGATTGTTCGTAGCCGTATGCCGCGGCACTGGCACCAGCAGCTACGGCAGCTCCGGTTCGGCTTTCTTTTGGTGGTTCGCCGCCGGGTCCGCCGTCGCCGCCGTTCTTTCCCGTTCCAATCTCCTCCTGAAGCCTCAATACCTTTTGCATCCATTCTGGGAGCTCGGCCTGCTCTTTCGTGCTCTCCCATCCTCGCATTGTTTGATCTGCAATTCCCTTGAAGCCGTCAAAGATGCCCGTTGCCGCACCCGATACTGTGTCTTTTGTCGTGTTGAAGACGTCCCAAGCATAGTTTCCGGCCTGCGTAGCTTGATACTGTATCCATGCCAGCCCAGCGACGGTGACACCACCCGCCATAGCCGGTATCCTGAAGAGCTTCGCCGCCAGCTTGGGCAGGAACCGCGCGAAGGATGCGTTTCGTACTACGACGGCGTTATGGAAAGCGTTGCCCCCCCTCCACATCCGTTGTCTGGTAGCTCGAACGGCAGCATCGGCTCGAAGAAGACCGCCGGATGGTACATGGTGATACTGGCGGGCAGCTTGGGTGGCGGCCGAACGCGTCAAGGGGAGACGCCCGGCCGCTGCTATAAGCCGTCCGCTCATGCCGGCGATGAGGAGCGGAGGCAGTCTTGTGAGTTCGATCGGGAGACCATCAAAGGTCGATGTCGAGTACGCTCTAGGAGGCTTTGTCGGAAAGAGTTCAGTCAGGAACAACTCTTGGATTGAGTCTGGAGCTTTGTGAAATTGGCTGTTGCATGTAATTCGTGTGTCACGGTCGAGGCTTCCGTTTTCGATTGGTTTAAATCGCCCCACATGGCCCGCCCGCCACTCCAGTCAGGACCCTGCTTCATGGGCCGAACTTTTTGTTCCTTGACACAAGACCCTAAGGTTCGTTAGTTAAGGTACCGGTATAGCTCAACAGTGAGGTCGACGGTTCATGATAAATACTTCGTTTTGTTTTACTGCTTTCGCTCGCATGGACGCATCTTCTTACTTTTCATTTCCCTCTAATTCGTACTCTAGCTGATAACAAAAATACCGCACCCAGTTTAGGTAGCCTCTACAGTACGCGGCCGTTAGTCGATCCTATTCGATGGTAAAGGAAGCTCGAGACGGCAACCTCGTTTTATATTTTCCCTTATTACGACGGGCTTTCAAGGAAACCTTTAGCCTTCGTAACCGATTAAAAGTATACAGCCGTCAACGAGACCATCGAATATACAAGTCAAGACATACTCAGGCCACCGAACCATAGTTTTAATGTAGTATATTCCTTTTGTGACTCAGACGCCTCCGCAGACGAGCTGCCAATGGTGCCTCCACTCAAACATTCTCGAGCACACTGCTCTGCTTCTAGCCACAAGTCTGAGAAGTGCGTTACTTCTGCAGACTCTCCATCTAGCCGACCCTCTATTGGGAGATGAGATCCATGTTGGTTTCATCCAGGTCACCGGGTTTATTCAATCGTATGGAAGGTCTAGGGCTTGAGCAAATCTTTTCATTGTACTTGTTGCGTGTTTTTTTCAATCTCGACCATTGACCGACGGCTAACTTGTACCTGGCAACCCGGATCTGTACTATGGCACCCGCCCCGAACAGCTCGATCGGCGTATACATGCAGAACCCCATGGTCACGTTGTCCCTTCTAACCAGCATGATCCATTGCACCGAACTTGTTCCTCGCAGCAACATGCCCAGACGGATCTCTTACTCTTAGCTACTGAACTATCTACTCTGGAGCGAACTTGCGTGCCATTCCGGTGCTGGCAACATCTTGGGACAGCTAAGACGTTGTTCCCTGTGTATTCCGTCGGATCAACCTTAAACGCTAAGTATTTATTTGCATATACCCCTTCATCGTCATCCATCTCGATAATATTAATTTGTAACACCTCTGGATCTGAATCATCGGGGGGTGGGGGGACAAGATGGTCAAATATAATGCCGTAATAGTCGATCTCTCTAATAATAGACGGAAGTTATTATGAACAAAATACTTAACAGTATGAACGAATGGCATTCAAACAGTTATCTCTACGGTGGTGTCTCCCAGCCCCACGATCAGAAATTCAGAATGATGCAACGTACCTCCGAGACCCTTAGGACGTGCGGCCGGAAAGGCTGACCAAGTGCCTAGTGATAGCCCTGCTTTGAGACCAAAGAAACATCAACGTTGTTTGGCGAGTACACGAAGCGAGTCTCGATTCCGCTCAAGGCGAGGTCTATCCTAATATTGACCAAAGATGTGCGGACAACATGCTGTAGAGGGGTCTTCAAGGCGCATCGATAAGCCATAGTTCGGCTTCATGCCATTCCTCGCCTCTTTCTATGCAGAGTTCGGCTGTAGGGGCTTGCAGATGGCTGGCTTTAAGCGATATTTCTGCGTATGAACACATTACGTAGATTGGATCCGTAATACACATCGTTCTATTCACAGATCGAGATGTAGTGGAGTTTGGTGATCTAAAAACTGTAATAATGTCAGAAGCTCCCCCGATAATGTGTCTACTTATACTTAACTATGAATTTACCGCAACCACACTAAAACGCTGTCTCTGTCATTGATTTCCCTTGCCGCCAGCACATCACAAGCTTTCTTATTCCCATTAAATCCTACAACGGGGCTTGCAGGGTGCATCGGCTCTTTCCCGCGTCCGGATCCGACTTGGCAGGAATATTGACAACGGTGCTCAGCGTCTGCCACTATCACTGCTTAATCGTATCAGATATCGCCGAATGTATATTCTACTTGATTAGTATAGGCTTCGTTACATGCCTTCCAATGAAAACTTTTTTACTCGGCATCAATATCCGACTATTTCATATCATGAAGTCCAGACACGGTAGGTACTATACAATACCTGCGTCTCGTGACCCTCGCATAGTGGCGTACCAAGAAACCCGCCGTATCACCCTCCTTCCATTTAACAGACCCCACACAAAGTTGCTGAGATGAGCAGCAAACTCATCCTGGTAAGAGTAATTCCAGGTTCGCACTTTGGCTTGCCAAGTTTCAGAGGCGTTGGAAGTGAAGGTATCCATCGAAGAGTACTGCAGAAGAGTGTAACAGGACACGCCCGGCTCTACCAGCTCCCATTTTAGCTCAAGATCAGCTCCGGGTTGTACATTAATGATATGCCTAATTGCATTCATTTCACCACTCGCTCTTTAGATGGTCGTAATGCAGCCCAGAAGCCTGAGCTGCCCGTGCCAGGTTGTGCTTACCCAGCTACGGTCCGATTTCACCTCGGCTTACCGCATTATTTTCAACGAGAGGAACTTCCATGTCTATTGGATTTGCTAAAAGTGTTGGACACTGCTTTTTTTTCTTCACATGCTGCTACCTCGGAGAACAGAAATGCAGCAGCATTGAAGTTGCCCTGACGAACTTTTGCCGTGAGTGGGCATGCCGTGGATCATGGCAAGACCAATTCCGCTGCTGATTACTACTGCAATGAGGAGATGTGCAACCTGGAGGATGGAACGCCACACGTTTCCTCCTGCTGCCATCGCTTACTGCTGTGCTATGACAATACAGTCCCTTCTTTCTGTTTTTCAGAGTCCTAGCTGAGTCCTAGCATATAGGAAAGAAGACCTAGATTACCGACAAGTATAATAAGCATCTGATCTCCCTCTTTCGTTGTTGTCTCTCTTCCTCCTCCTCCTCCAACAACAACAACAACAACCACCACCACCACCACCACCAATGTGAGTCGTTTACTTCACTGGTGTCTTCCATGTTCCAAATTCCTTTCCCTCTGAGCTGCCGATGTTTCCCCCTAGCAAGATGGTTATTCAGGAAACATCCATGTAGGCTATACAGCCTGGCTGACCATTCCTATCTACTGGCTCGAGTGAGCATAGTGGAGGCATCACTGCCAGAGTCCTGGAGTGACCCAGATCGACAAGTCGGGCGCCTTTCCGCGGTGTTCTGGATAAGTAAGCCGGTTCGAAAGAATCAGCTGAAACCAAGACCCGACTAATGATTCTTAGACTCATTGAATGATGCACCAAGGGTAGCCAGGAAGATGGTCAATTCATGTCAGTCGTACTATCAAACCGCTACATATATTGTAGCATAGCAAATCAGTGAAATTGAAGATTCCCATCCCAACAATTCGGGCCAGACGATTGATCCACCCTTTGTGATATTGCCATTTGGATCCACGAAATTCGCTGGTGCTCGTAGCAAAGGAAATGTCCCAGGCCAAGCTATTCCGCATATTTCTAGACTAGTAGCAGAGACTGAGCTATTGGCTTTGCACTTCTTCACGGATTATGTGCTCCATGTGAATCTGCCGCAACGAGACAGGGAGAATGACCGGCCTTGACAATTTCAAATGGCGTATGGCATCACCATGAGACTTGACATAAGCACCATCATCTAGCAACTCCTTCATAATAACATGTCCTTGGCCACGATGCCTCAGTGCTACGGTGTCCCAAGCCTGGATCACGGGAGGTCGCAGGGTCAATTCCCATGTTCCTCTCCAGGTTATCACAGCAGCTCGCCCTCGCTCAGCTCGCTGGTACCTGAAGAGCATCGCCAATCCCTTTGCTCCATTCCATATTTCCATTGTTCTGAGATTTGGCATTTTCATGGCCGCCGCTGCTGCTGCCCGGAGCATGTCATCCAACTCCATCGGGCTCCCCTCTGGCACGAGCAGTCGTGAAGTCAGCGCAAGCCAAGTCAAGTTAGGCCACTTCCAGGAAAGTTCTCGAGCAGCAAAAAAATCGCTAGCGTCCACTATGAACGACGCCGAAAGGTGTTCGAGCGTAAGACTGGCATTAGCAACCGCCCGGCCCACATAAGAGGATGATATTCGCATAGGGTCGCAGCCCAAATCCATGTAACTAGCTGGGTACGTTTGGTTAAAATTCTCGAAGAGTACGAGTCTCCTTAGTCGATCGGAAGCGAGCGATTCAAAAAGAAATCGCAAAGCTACAAAGAACAAGAGTATTATCAGGTTATGAGCAGCCAGTAGTATAACTAGAACACAGAAGTGGCCGAGAACGATAAACTGACGCAGTAGCACTCACATTGGTCCGTCCACTGCTGCTGAATATCAAGCCATTCCCTCCAAGGCTCGTAATGAATTTCCTGGAGTCCAGGAAGACAGGCAAACATATGTGCCAACGCGGCCGGCTTCCATCGTCGGCGGTTCTGTTGACGGAGGAGCACACCTGTTACTGCCGGGACTAATGGCAGTTGCTGCCACCGCTGGCGTTCTTGTTCTTCGTCCTCAAACGGTCCCTCGCCCATGATTTCGTCAAAGACTTTATCGATAGCAGTAGAGGTAGGAATGGAATATCGACTGCTAGCAATCAATCCGTGGTAGTGGTCGTTAGCTTTGACCAAAATTGACTGCTCTGTGTGTTGACCCCGGCTGCACACATCGGAAGTAACATCAGGCTCAAAGGTCAGATATTTAAACCAATGCTCTGAGTCGCTGGGGGAGTAGACGCTGACATCTAACAGCAAGTTACCGTCTGGTTCCCATACGCTAAGGGTTGAGAAGAGATCTAGGAATGCTGTGGTAATCAGGGTATTGTCTGCATTGCTTAGGCCCTCCGACTCCGGATCTTGAGGTTCACATTCGGTGCAATTATATTCTTGGAGTTCCAAGCACAGCCAAATGTAGCGCACGAGACTCCTGTTACGACGAACCATCAAACCAAAATTGGCGAGGCGTGATGACGTTAGCTTGATCCGGGAGAAGTTATGCCGCTCGATGATCGTCTGCCACTCTCGCGACACTATGGCGAAGTCAGCCAAGCTACAGCCGTCCTGCAGTAAGATTTCCAAGACCACAAGACGGATCTCTGCGGGAAGGCAGTACCAAGATATCATGTTGGCTGTCATCAGAGACATTGGTGTCATTATCGTGAACAATGACAGGGAAAAGGTCGATAGATGAACTGCGTGCGGTAGAATCTGAGTGCTGGGACCGAAGCGACGTGTCCTATTTATGCGATTTTGCGGCAGTTCAATGCCATGGATCGGCAGGACTGGTGATTTAGATGCTCAAACGACCATGGGTAGATTACTCTTGATTTGTCAAGTTTGTGGGCGAGCAGATGAAGGTTTACGTTAAGTTCGGGATTCCTGCTCAAAATGGTTACCACAAGAGAGTAGACACGACTGAAGTACCACCAAAACGCACCATGTTTACTTAGGTTATTAACCACTACACAGTGGTCTAGGATGCATCAAGAAGTCAAGCCTAGCTCAGCATATTTTCTCCAGCTTTTAGAATAATTTATTTCCTATTTTTCGTCAAGTTATTCCGTCTCGTAGCAAGTGCTGCAAGTACCAGCTAAACCCCCACTAATTCTGATTCGAGGGTGTCTACTCTCTTGTGGTAACCATTATGCCGCTGATTGTGGGTAAGGTTAGGCCAACCTTCAGCCTTTTACAGTACCTTAGGTAAGGTACCTTGTAAAGGCGGATCCCAAACTTTGCCTCACGGTGGCAAGGTATTCTACCTTGTGACGCTTTATGCCACTTAAGAGGATATGTAAATGCTGGGTAACGTAAACGTTATATGAGCGTACTATACTAGTAGAGTGTACCTCAAATAATACATAGGATCTGCCTAAAATGTACTTGTCGGGGGTGTTTTGGGGTCATGCCAAGTGGCGATGTCCTACATCTCCATCATGAGACCAATCACCGCCCTTTTGAAGGGCAGCATTGCATTGAACTCATGAATGTGTGGAGTGCACTATCACCCTACATATCTACATTCTATCTCTCCAACAAGATATTGATTCGTGTAAAGCACATTATGTTTGTCGGTTTGTACTTGAAGCTCCACGTCGAAACGGCAGTAACCCAGCCTGAATGCTTTGTTCAATCTATCTGAGTTTTGTGAATCTCGACACAATTATCTCGGTCCTCCCGAATCTCATGTAGAGCACTGCCGGCACATCAGAAGAGTTCAAACAGGAGAACTTTTCCTATCTCGACTTTTTCTGGGAAATTATGGATTTGGTACACCACCAGCTCTCACTCAAGCGACTTGATCATAATCACGCACTATCTGTCGTGCCCAAGCCAACAAAAACCACGAGCACAGCAGCGTAAGCAGCGGTACTGGACATTACCTCCTTAGGCTTGTCCAGAGTCGAGGCCATTAGAAGTCCAAATGCAACGACAAAGACTGTCGTTGTTATGAGAGATGTGGTTTGGTCGTTGAGCTTGACCATCAGCCACATGGGCCCTACGAGAAAGAAGCCGCCGAGTGTCGCCATGAGAAGTCTTTCCTGGAAACCTTTCACCAGTACCTGAGCGGCATGCTGAGATCGTATTTCCCCGATAGGGAGACTATCCTTTGACGTATTCCATGGAGCAGGGACGACTATGGGTGCCTGCAATTTTCCAAGATGCACGCCATTAAGAGCTCTGCGAATCACCCAATCATCGACATATCGCTCGCCACTTGCCAGAAAAGGATCCCTTGTGGCTGAGCTGCCGCTCATCATGAATTCATAGTCTTGTATCGCTTTGACTGAGAAAAGAATTTCAGCGTTCTGATCCTACAACTAACCAACTAATAAATATGTACTCACTATATTCTTTGAGGTCGTTCTCCCATTCATTCGGCTCCTCGTTATGAAATTGAACGGCTATAGCGTGTTGCACCAGTTTGTCTTGCAATTTTCGCAACCTCATTCTCTGCATTTCGGCAAAGCTTACCCTGAAACTCTGGCCATTTTCCCTCTTCCAATCGTCATGCGTCGTCAGCGTGAGCGGAGCTGGGCCAAGGTCTCCTTTTTTCAACACACGATCCTGGATATCATGTAAAAGCTTAGAAAAAGTATTCACATACTTCTTCTCGATGGGAACGACCAGACCTTTTTGATGATGCTGCAGGGCAAAAATGAGGTCATTGTTATTTTCGGTGAACACGCTCCCAGGTGCATTTCCTGCCAAGAGACTTGCCGAGCGAGCATAGTCGTACGTGTCAGCGCCGATTATAGTGCCTGCTACGGACGCTGCATCCCCCTTGTTCGCTATAGTTCCCCGTCCCACGGAGTGCCCCGGAGAGCTTGGAGTCGGGCTGGCGGGACAACTCCGAGGCCCTAGCCCATCGGTCGAATTCCTAGGCAATCCCACTTGTGATGTGTTTGAAGGGTCTACGATATTGCGTCAGCCGGGCAGCCGGGTGGTCTTTGTGTAACAACAAGATAAGAGACTGACGCTCCGAGGCATTGTCCTTAGCCTCGTACTCGGATATTCTACTCAGCTGATCAACACTGCCACCACCCTTCTCAAGGTCGACTCTATTATCCCCGGAGGCAGCCATAGACCTGGGAAATAATCCTCTCGGCAGGTAGCTTACTCGGCGCCAAATCGCAGTTTGAATACAGAGCCTGAAAGTTGAGGTGCTTTTGATTAATACGGAAAACGGCAATGCACTCGAAATGAATACCTGAAGTCGGTCAACAAGGCTGTGCACGAACTTTTGCTTCCACTAGCCTAGGTGTGCAAGCAAGGATGCTAATAAGCATGATATGTACTGGGGGTTTCAAACCCCCGCAGAACAACCTTGGAGAAAACGCAGCATATTCGCCCACTGATTTGGGGTATGGACTGCTATCAGGAGGTCACAAATATTGGGTCGCACAGCATTAGGTCAATGGGGCTGAGTCCCAAGTAGGATCTGGCTCCGTAATGCAGCTTTCAAAATCATCATGGCTGCATGCTGTTGGTAAGATAAGAGACTGCCTCCGCTATTGTCCGCCTCTGCTCGTTGCACTACTGCTTCGTTTGCGCTGATTCATTTGTTAAACCACTATTGACCAAACATGACCTCTCTCATTCGAGTAGAAATCAAAATCGAGTCCCGGAAACTCATACTAGGCTTCCGTACCAGTAGTGAGGCCGAGTCCTACTGCAGGAGAATCCAGCCGAGGACGATACACCAGGAGCTGTCGCTCGAGAGCCGACAGTCTTCGGAAGATCCCACCGAGGTGCAGTTGCGCCTGCCCTCGGCCATCACGGAGATCGTGGCCAGCACTTCGCTCCCCAGCTTTGCCGGGTTCTACTTCCGCTTCAGAGATTCGGACACAGCGAGTCGCTGGAGAAAAAGCCTCGTGATCTTCGAGTCACCGAGAGGTCGGACTCGGGATCTTTATATCGTCCGCGACATGGGCACGGATAAAATCCTGCTGGCCGATGCGGCGAAAGCGCCGGCTCCGGCTATCAGGAGCAAGCCGCCCAGATACTGAGAGACATGCCGCTTGGGCTGAAGCTCGCTGAAGCCAATCGTCACTAGCCAAATTAGAAAGCTCGCTGACGCCCAAAACACGGTGCGCAATGTTGCAGGCTCGATGATCAACTAATATGGGATTCTCTTGGAACTTAGTTCTTGACGAGATTGCAGGCCACCATTTTACAGCCGTTGCGGGAGCTGTCACACTGATACTCGATGGGGCGTTCTTGGATGGTCATCGGGCAGGTTTTACTACTCTTCAGGGGTTGCGATGTTTCCTCGGTTTGGGGCTCGACTGAAGCGATACGCGCTTCCGTCAGTATGGTGAGACTGTATTGTCTGGGATTTCTTAACCGGTCATCAATAATGAAATGTGAATTAGAAGTCCGTTTCCGAGATTCTAAACCACTACGTAGAAGTTATCTATTATATATTGCGACAACAAGTCTTGAAGTCATTCACAGTCCAGAGATCGTCACTCCGACGCTGCAGCCAATCCTCCAACTGATCCCAGAACCCCTGATCCTGCTCCAGCCTCTGCGCGGCACCGGGCGTATGGCCCCAGTGCCAGCCGCTGGACGGTATCAACAACTGTCGGGCAATGGGCGATTCCACGACGAGATCCGAGAGTCCGACGTGGATCCTGTTGTCGTGATCGTGAAGCGCCCGACAGACATAAGCCCACTGGAAATACCGGCCGGACTGCATGCCAGCCTTCTCGAGCATCATGTCTGTGAGACTGGACAGCGAGGTGATCCAGTTGCCCAGTACGAGGCCGTCGAACTCGAAGCCGCGTATCGTCAGCCGTTCCAATCTGGGCATGACGGGAGGCGGCGTCATCTCGGTCTGCCAGTCCGATTGGTAACGCACGTGTCGCGACGTGTCTCGGATGCGGAGCGAAGTGAGATGGTCGGCTGTAGACGACAGCAGACTGTAGACAGACCCAAAGTCGTCTGTGGCGATGTCTAGCTGGGCCAGCCTGGACAGATCCAGCTGTCTCGCAAGGAGTCCTCCGATCAAGCCGGGCTGCGCAACCCAGGAGGAGCTGACATCGGACTGAAAGTAACCCAGCCCTAATGATCGAGGACTTATGCCCGCGAATGCGATCGCCTTCAACGCCGTCGTGAGGAGCTGCGCCCATACGGCCGGGGTGATATGGACCATTGAATTCGAGGTTCCCCAAATATATTTCCCCCGGTGTAGCTTGAAGAGCTGGCCACTGTGCGCCATGGGGAAACTGTCGACTCTTTTGAGCTGCTTGAGCACCTCTCCCCAAGCACGTGTAAACACGCCCGATACATAGAGCTGCTCGGTATCCTTGGACTCCTGCTGGTAGGATAATAATGTCCCCTTCTTATCGGGCGGATATAGGCCATTTCGAGCACCCGCCTCCCGAGCACTAAACTGAGCAGCCTGTTTGGGGATCGTCCAGTCAAAGTCCGTAGGGATGAACGTCACCTCCCGAACAGCATTCTCGAGCCGTGAGAAATCGTGGTCTTGCAGCTCCTCGAGATGAAGCGGCGAGGCTACAAAGCAGATGTGGCGGCACACATAACCAGTCACGTGGTCGTCGTTCGCGAACCGGCGGCTCGTGAGCCTGAGCGCCTTCAGCGATTCGCGATGAACAGAGCTGCGCTCTTTTGCATAAGCGATGTGGTTCGAGCTGGTGTAAATGAGACATGCTCACACTAACCTTTTCTTCGTAGCCCACAGCCAATCGACGATGAGGTACACGATTTCGTTGGGTAGATCGAGGAGGCGGAAAGGCGCGGTAGTACCATGTGTCATTTGCATGGATGCAAGGTCGCTGGCGAGTTCTTTGCTGATGTCGCTGCTTGTTTCCATACTCGGTACTATAACATAAAATACAAAAATGCGCACGATTTTCGAACAGCCAAGGTAGATATTCAATCAGCAAGACGTTTCTTTGCTTTTGATTAATGAGGTTTCTTGGGGAAAATGAGATTAGTAAAGTTTGAGCTGCAGCTAGAAAGTATGGGCTGCGTAGAGCTCTCTCCAAGCTCGGCAGCTAAGGATTTAAGAAAGCTAAAGATTTTGCGTTTGAGGATTTTTGATGTTTGACTGGTCACCAGACTTCAATTGAGTCGTATTGTAGAAATCGTGTGGATTGATGGAGAACGAAGCATAGACCTGGATGCTTGGTCGAGTACATACGGTCCAGTTGTTCCCGATTGGTGGATAGGTACCCAAGGCAGCAACAACATAAGCGAGAGTTGCGGGAGTCACCCTAAATAGCCTATCCAGTCTTGGGAATGAGTGATCATCCTGATTATGGTTTGTTGCAAGAGATCACATGAACATTCCACGAGTAACGTAAACTTGAGCTGCTCAATAAGTCAGAAATTTTATATTTAAGCTCGGTCTAAGGGGTATTAACAGCTGACGCTGTTCTGTTTAATACCAAGAAGCCCCTCGTCTATGGGCCATGCTTGCACCTCTCTCCAAGCCGACCAAATCATCGTGAAGATCAAAGTAATGTGATCTCAACCTGGCCCCTCCTATCAGAATGTACTTACACAAGAATCTGTTGATTCGACGTCTCATATCGTTGGACTGAGAATAATGCACAAAAGAAATTAAATCACGCATCCCTTGCTTTCCTGTTATAACGCCAATTCTTCCATGCAAATGACCTTTTTCGTAAATCCAGTACAGACGACTAGACGTGAACGCCCGCTCAGACAGTAGCGACGCTTCTCTAATGCCCCAAAGTCCAAAAGAAAACTCTCTAGATCTTTAGAGTAGGACACCTCCGAAGCCAAGGAGATGCTCTAGCGGGTCAGTACAAAATGTTTCAATTAGGACGACTTGGCACCTCCACCGAAGAGGGCGGGGACCTTCTTCCAGGCCTGCTCATCAAGAACCTTGACACGGCCGAAGTTCTCATCCAGGTCAAGGATGATCTTCAGAGCGTTACGGCTGCGGGCGTGTGGGGAAGCGACATCCTTCTCTATGACTGATGACACGACATCAGCAACACCAGTGTGAACTTGCTCGGCTTTCTTGCTTCCAGGGAGTGGCAGCAGACTTTGCAGGACTTCGTAGCCTGCAAGTGTGAAACCGAACTGAGGAGAGGAACGGAAGATACGAGCAGGGCCACCCTTGAAGAAAGCTCGGAAGCCCTCCTCCTTCCAGATACTCTGAGCGGCGTGCCGCAGGCCGGTGTAATTGGTGTCACCCTTGCGGGCCTCGACCTGCAAACGGGTCTTGATGACATCACAAGGAGTTGTCAGGTAGGCAGCAGGCATACCAGCGATGGCACCGGCTGTGAGCAGTTGGAGGACACCAAGCTTCTTGGTCTGCGACTCACCGAAGAGATCCCTCTTCAAGTGGCTGTAGGTCGGGAAGTAGATTGCCGAGAAGGGGACATCTCTGAGCAAGCAGGCACTAGCACCTTTATAGAGACCTGCCAGTCCGAGGTTCTTAACAATCCACATGGCGGAGCGGCGTTCAGCACCTGCAGCCTTGGCAACCTCTCCCTGAACCTGCAGGCGAATTTTGACAATCTCGAGAGGGTTTGTGAAGACCTATACAACATATTAGTATTGCATACGATAGGAAAGAGTCGCCAGACACAAATACTTACGACTTGGCAAGCACCAGCCGTGCCACCAGCCAAGATTTCGTGTCCGGTCCAGATGGAGCCAGTCTTCTTGTCGGTGAATGCGCTGCGGACCAAATCGTTCACGGTAAGTTTGATGGCCTTCTCGGGTGCAACACCAACCAGCTGAGGCAAGACTCCAGAGTAAAGGCCCTTGAAACCCTCATTGGCAATGACCTTCCTAAAGCAGTCGATGGAGTTGTTGTAGAGGCGCTGACCGGGATTGGCACCTCGCTGGTTCTGCATGCGAGTCTTGACAAGATCGATGGGATAGACCATGAAGGCACCAAAGGCACCAGCAACGGAACCCAAGAGGAAGTGATAACCGGACTCAGCAGCCTGTCTGAGGGCGGCTCCTGTTGCAGTCTGGCCAACGGAGCTGGCGGCAGTCTCGACTCCATAACCACGGTTTCTCCAGGTAGGGTCCAGGACTTTGGCGAAATCCAGCAGGCTGAGACGGCCCGAAGGCTCATCAAGACTGGCGAAATGGAAAAGAATATCGGCCTCCATCGGTGTGAACAGAGAGAAACGGGTGATCTTGGCAGCCTCGTTGAGGAATTCAGTCTTGGTGATCTTGCCATCGAAGCTCTTTTGGCAGGCCTTGCGAATGATGAGCTCTACCAGATCCATCTCCTTAATCATGTTCTGGAAGGCTCGGACGTTCGCATAGGACACTCTGCTGCCGAGGGAGATGTTGCACAGGGTAGACAAGTTCTCGACGACGTGGTCGGAAAGCTTGTGCTTGGAAGTCTCACGAATGATTCGCTCAAAGTCCTCGGGCTCAATGTAGCCATCACCGTCCTTGTCGAATAGCAGGAAAGCCTGGCGAATTCTCTCACCTTGCAGACCACGAAGCATCTGCGAAAACTCGTGGTAGGTAAGATTGTGGCGGCGGGTCTTGTCGCCAATGTACAGCTTTGCCCACTGGCAGTCCCAGTCAAAGGGAATGCTGTCTGGGCCCTTGTTTGCCTCATAGAGCTTGCGGAAGTTGTCGTACGTGACGGTACCTGTGCGTTCGGTGTCGAAGAGACGGAAAGCGATCTCGTACTCGGCGTCGGCCTTGAAAAGGAGGTTGTTGAACGTGGCCCAGTCGGCGAGGCTCACGCGGCCAGAGCCCTTGCGATCGGCGACGTGAAACAGGAGACCATATTGCTCACGCTTGATCTTGGCCTGTATAGCGACTTGTGTTAGCCAACTATAGTCATGGTCAAGGGGTAGAATCGCCGACTTTGACCATCACATACATAATCTTCGTCGGCGGGAGCAACTGCATGGATGAACTGCTGTTCAGTCATGTACAGCTCGCCAGTCTCGGCATCCTTGGTGGCTACGCCGAGAAAGGTTGCCTTGTTCTTGGCTGAGAGAGCCGTGGTCTCCTCGGTGCCAAGGAGACTGTCCTTGACAGCCTCCTTGACGGTGACTGGCACAGGCATCTTTGCGACTTGACTTTGGGATGGAGGTAGCGGCTTTTTCAAGGAGCAAGAATCCGTTGCCCAAGGTAGGAATTGATCGTCAGCGACAAGTTGAAAGTACTTGTAGGTTCAAGAAAACTTTTGCAACTGGACGATTGCTGGATTGGCCCTTTGCGACTGACTGAGTTCGTGGGGGCTGGTGATGATTCGAGCTCGAAATGACCTGACTAGCAGAAATTGGGATGGGACGAGGCGGTTTTCGGCCGGATTTTCAGGCCCTGGGTGTCGCGAAAGAGGTCAAGGCCAATGTCAATGGTGGGGAAGTGGAACGAGAGGACGTGCTAGCATCTGGGGTTGATACTGGTGCAGAGTCGAGGCTGTCAAGAACGACAAATTTGCCCATATAGAAGTCTTCGTGGAGGGAATCAATGAGACGAAATTTGGCCAACTGCTGCACGCATGCGAAAGTGTAAAAAAATTGGCTATGGCGAGGTTCCTGGCGGATAAGCTTCCGTCCTGCTGGTAACCATCGAGTGGTAACGCTTAATATGACAGGTGCGCTTAATTTTGCAAGGCCAAAGTCACCTGCACTGCGGTGTCGGTGGTGTCGGTGGTGTCAGTGTCGGTGTCGGTGTCGGGCCAGCGGGCTGGCAGGCTGGCTCATCGGTTATACGTTGTTCCATCATGCGCTAACGATGCCCACGATGCTAGCCGTCAACAACAAGCCGCTAGCGCATCAGCGCGGGGTAGTCGCTTGTACCTGAAGATCTGGGCATAGTCTAGTCTTGTCCGACTTTACTTAGCCCAGATATATCGTGTGAATGCCTTCGCTAACGGCCCAGTGCCTGACTTGAAGCCACATAGAGAACGGGTTAACTCGGTAATATCCATCGAGTCCCATTGTCGAAGTCGCCCTTGTTCAGAGTCCCTACATTTGTTATTACTTGTCGCTCGTCTGGCAACCTGATTTCGCAAGGCATATATATTCCTCTTGAGAGGTGTCTCATAATGCCACAGTAACGCAGTTACTGCTTATACCAGACATAACTCCTGCAGGCGACATCCAGTTCAAGACGATGGTCTCTGTTCTGTGAATGTATATCAGTAATACAAGTCCACCTTGTCATGACACCATCCTCAGTCTTCTCTGACAGAGCAGGGTTCTTTGACATATGCTTGTAGCGCAACTTAAGCTGCATTGCTGTGCAATGTCCTTGCGTTGACCGTCGTCATGACGCTGACAAAACGAAGGCAACACCATGCCATAACCCGACCCAGACACCGGTGGCGCTCTGAACCATTGCTTAATGGCGAACAAAAGCCCCTATTCGGGCCCTCCATGGAGAAGAATTGGAACCGCATCTTGCCCTTCCCCTGAGCCTTTGTGCACAGCGATTCACAGGTAACCGTGTTTGTACCCATGTGGACTTCCACCACGGATCGTCGATGTCTGTGTACTGTATACCGCGGGGCAGCACAAGGGACCACAGGTCATCATCTTGAGATGGAAGGGTGATACTCTGAACACTCTCTTGTTGAAAAAGTGAAAGCGCCGTGTCCTAGATCTGCAACGCCCAGCATCTGAATCAACAGGATATACCGAAAGAAGCCCAACGGAGCCCTGATCAAAGGCTGGAACAAAAAAGCCTGCTTATCAAACAAAACCTACTGCAAAGACACAAGCAAACACGAATTGCCTTACAAGATTAGATGCAATTCATCGACGTCGCCTTTCAGACATGCCATTAAAGCTGTTTGCACTGGGGTTAGTCGCACGTTTATATAAGACCGGCACGAGCACTGCATAGCCCCCCGCATGGTATGGTCGGGCAAGTGTGCCGAGCGTTTCCGTGTTTCGCAGCCGAACATCCCTGAAAAGCTCAAGGTTTCGCGGAAATGCAAAGCGACATCCCGTACTGTAGTGTCTCGCGTATGCATTGCTGTAGTATTGAACAACATTGAAGACCAGAATGGCATGATTGTCATAAGTTGTCGTGATCGGGCAGTACTATCACCTTCGCAGTGTGCCCACCATGGCGATTTGACAGAGAAGCAACATCAGGACTAATACAACGACTATGCATATGTAGTTTTGGGCAAGTTGGGAACGAACTCAAGTCAATGAATAAATGCATTCCTATGGAAGATTATGTATGCACGAACGCCATGACTCCCTGCGCAATGCGATCGTCCTTGATCAAATGTCCGAAAGAAATGATGCTCGGATGCCTTTGGCCCTTTCTTTCCTGATTCATCTGAAATGATTATACTCTAACAAAAAGTGCAAGTAAGAAATAGGCCAGTTTGGTCGGTGTGGCTTCTTCCGAGAAAGAAGACATTGTCCTTTTTGCTAGCTAAATGATTATGGCTGACGAGTCCTGGCGCAAGAGGCATGTGGTTTCGCAAAGTCGACGCGGAAAGGGAAAAAGAGGAGAATCTGTGAAGGGTGCAAAGCGCTAATTGCGAAGGAATCTGACACAGACATCCAAAGGCATCTATCGCTGCTGCCATGTTGTTTTTGTTTTGTTTGTTTCCTTTGTGTCGGCAGAGGTGCACTCTTTGCCTGCCTGATGATGCCTATTGCCAGAAGTCTATGTTGTGGGGAATTGCCAGTAAACGCCGGGAGCTTTGAGTGCTCGGGAAAATCAAAAGCCATTGCCGTGGGTATAGACATGTCTCATAGCTTCGTGGAGTGTCGTAAGTGACCAATGAGATGGTCATATTAGTGGGGGGTGCAAAAGTGCAAAAGCTCATGTTTGTCGTGTGCCGAGAATAGTAAGCCCCCCTTGCAACTAGCCCTGCAACTCGCCGACAGACGACAGCGCCGCAATATGTACAAATGACCATGAGGCCTAATAAGGGGTGCGGGGACATGCCGTAGTCTCTGTGGAGTAGCACTTGGGGGTAACCCCATGCCATGCCTTTGTTCAACCCTGCATAGGAATCGGCATTCTCATGTACGATGAGGGCTCGTACGCTGACGTCGTGGAGCCCAAGGTGTAAGGGAAGTTCTCGTAGCGCGCGTTCGCCGCGGAAACCGCAGCTTTGACAGGCTCCAGGAAGAAGCCGGACTTGATCTGGCCGTGAACATAGATGGCGCACTTCTTGAAGCGCTTGTCAGAATACTTTTCGAACACGGCTTGATGATGCTTGTCCGCAATGGCGCAGCATTCGAGAACACTGTTTACCAGGGGCTGCAGCTGGGCGAATGTATAACCGGAGTAGTGGACATGGTCTAGAGTCTGTTTCAAACGGTCAGTTGCCATTTTGTTGGTTCTTCTGTCAAGACACTTACCCAACCACCTTTCTCCAGGATTAGACGTGATAGACAATGAGCTCCGGCTGCAAGGAAGCTTGGCGGAGAGGCGACAAAGCGCTCGTCCATAACAGTGACTTCAAGGAAGTACTTGGCAAGGGTTCGCGTCTCAAGATCATAGTCGTCGGCCTTGCTAATACGTCTCAGAAAACTCATGGGTCCTGGGAAACCGAGGTTGAAGTCAAGCATGCTCAGCATGTATCGTTCCGCCTTGAGGATTTCATCCACCGAATAGCCGCCGTCGACCATGTAGACGATTTCCTGCACAGAGGGGCAATTGATCTCCTCGTACTTTGCCGCCAAGAAAATAGCTGTGGCACCGACAAGCTGGAGCTTACCCAAGGACACGACCTTGACGGTGAGGAACCGATCTATGAAGTTGACTGCGAGGAAGAGAGTCTCGGGAAGAAGATTGAAACGGCCATGGACTTGAATCACCCAGTCCATCAGCACACCACGCATCGACCATTGGATCTCGGTTTGTATGTCCATGTAGTGAGGATTGGGGAGAAGCGCGATCTAGGAAGAGATTGGTTGTCAGTAAAAAAGAGTTGCCGAATCTTGTCGGCTGGCATGTACTCACCTCCATCTCCTTCATGTACTGGAAGATCTCATCGCCGTACTCAGCCACCATGCTGATGTCCCACAGCTCATCTTCGACCTCTTCAGAACTGCGGTTCCTCTCTACATGCTCACGGGCTTCCTCGATCTCTTCCAGCATCTGGCTGGAGAACCTTGGGGCGTCCATGACTGTGACCGTGATGCTGGGCTCAGGCTCGCCTTCGGGGAGCTCAGCGGTGTCAGTGAGGGGTGCGTCGCCACCAGGGTACAGGTTGGCTGTCGTGTATCCTTGGTCGACCTCGTAGAAGTCTTCGTCTTCGTGATCAGAGTGGTCCGGGTCCGTAGCAGGAGCAACGCACTCCTCCTGGTAGTTGGTCTTGAGAGCACGAGGCTCGGATCGCAACTCAGAGTCTGGGCCAGGCACAGAAAGCGTAGCTTCTGCCCGAACAGACTGGAGTACGGGGAATTTCTCAGGTGACAGTTCCTCCACGGCGTCCAGGTAAGGGGTTTGAGCGACGTCTTCTTCGTGGGTGTTCTTCTCGGCAGTAAGGGGTTCCCAGTTGACCAGATTCTTAATGTCGGCGTCAAGCAGGGAGACGATGTGCTGTTCTTTTTGCTGCGTAGACTTGAGAGCGGGCTGGCTCTGGTGATGACGAGGTTTGCGTGTGAATGGTGCAGCAGCGGCGGTGGAGCCTTCATCAGTGGCCTCGATCTTCTGGCTGTTGATGGTGGCGGAACCTGATGTTGCAGGACGACTGTTGTCGTTGTAGACGATGGTGGTTGCACGCTTGAGTGGTTTGGTCGCCCCCTGAGAAGGTGCTTGCGAATCACCGGCCGCGTTCAGTGGTTGAAGGTAACCGCCGCTTGCTGCCGAGGGAAGGAGCGAGGCACCCTTGGGTCGTTGTGCGGGGCGTAAGAACGCGTCTTTCTGCGCGCCATGGCTGGGGTTTGAGTTTTCCTTGGCCCTGGCGACCTGGAACTTTGCATGGGGCATCTTCGAGTCGTCTTGTGACATGTTGGTTCTGACCGTGTTGCTCTTGTCGGCAAAAACAGCACGCCTTGTGGTGGCTTGCGGTAGGCCGGTTGTGCTTGTGGCAAGTGCAGGCTGGCCTCGAAGGCTGCCGGTTGATTTAAATCGCTGGTGAATGTTCTGTTTCGCCTGAGCTAAGTTCTCGTTGTTGGCGGCGGGCAACGCGCGCGTGGGACGGAAAGGCTGATGGTCACAACAAGTTAGTTGGTCATGCTCAACAGATGGGAGATGATGGCTAGGATGGAGATTAAGACGGTGAGCATTCAGGTCGTCGTGCGAGTTGGTAGCGGTCAAAAGTGGCATCAGACTGGCAAGGGGCTCTTGCTTATCAGATGCGTCGTTCTCCGAGGCCATACTGCGGCTGTGCTGTTGGACTCTGACGGGCATGCTAGACTTGGGACGAAAAGGATCCGAACATGTGAGGAAAGCGTTCGCGATGTCTCAGGGAGTAGAGCAGTGTGACGATTGCGTGATGTGAGTCGGGCTATGGAGGCATGCGCAGCTCTCGTAGTTAAGTGATTTGTCCAAAATGTGTTGGTACTTGCACCGACACACATCAAGTTGCGATAGCGAGAAGTGAAGAAAATGTTTCCAGCGCGTGGTTGCTTACCTTTGCATCCATGGTTGCGATCGCACTTAGGATCTCTCCAATACTAGATCAATGAATTGGTCTGTAGATATGCTCGTCGTAGACAGTACTCGTGACGCTCCTCGCCAAGTCTCGGGGGGATATCTCGTACTCTCTCGAGAGGCGCAAGGCGTTGTAGTGTACAAAAACTTGGGATGAAGTGTTGATGGATATGATGTTGTTGCGCGTACTTTTCAAATCTGTCGTGTGGTCGCGTCCAAAAATTGGTATTCCGAAATGGCTCGTGTTCAGTGTAATCTTACATTAGATGAGATACAGGCAGGCTAGCTTGTACCACGGTTATTGCGCGTCCCCTGAAATCGTTGTCGAGTACAGATTGAACAGTGACTGAAGCAGGTGCAGCGTGCAAAACGCAGAACGCAAGATGCAGTCAGACAATACAAGAAGCTGCAAGGACGGGGCCAATGTTGAGGCCTGCCGCTCAAAGATTTTTAAAATGCTGTCTGTTTATTGTGACTCCAATGCTTCCATACCACGCAGTTTATCAAAACAAGCTTGCACCAATAAGATCAAGGTGGGGAGACCCTGGCAACGACTAGTACTTTATGCACGACCAAAGCCAATGCAGCCTCAGGGAACATGCAGCATCAACACCACCATTTCACCTTGCCCTTTCTTTCTTCCAACTCGTACTATGTATATATTTTCAGGCACAGCGAGGCCTCGAAGGGTAGTCATCTTTCGGACTCGAATCCGGCAGGTTCAATACTCATCGTACGGCCGAATGCGATTCCCGGCAGCTTCAATGGTTCCCTCAGCTTCTAATCTACAGTGCATAATGCGGGTAAGCTAACATCTTGGCAATACCGGCTTCTGTGATTGGATGCTATTTGGCTGGATCCGCGATTACATAATATTGACAGTTTCCCGTGAGGACTTTCTTTTACGTCATAAACTCCAGCGCGTCTCAAAAATTAGCTGTCAAAAGTGTTATTTACAGTTGTTCACCGCAACGACCAAGCTGAGTTCTCATTCTCAGCTCCTGCATGTAAGGAACACGACTAGTAACGGTTACAGTCTCATTTATGACCCCACTGGGTTGTGCATGTGGCAGAATTGACATTATTTCTGCCCGCGAAATTCCAACCGCGTTCTCTTCTTGGCAACAGCAAAGTTGACGGGACTTTACCACGACGGCACGTGACCGAAGCTTGGTTAGTGCTTCGTTTTACTCAACAGAATACCTTCTCTCGCCGGCCTTTGAGGGGAGCAGCAACGATGCATACGAGATCTCGGAGCTTCAACGGGCTCTCGAATTGTTCATCTAGTCGACGCGACTCCCTTTTAAGCATGCGCGACCTATGCGACAGTCCCGACGTAACGCGCTGTCGTGGTCGAGCCACTGGGTCTGGAGGCCGCAATAACCGGCCTTGCACAAACAAAGACTTACTTCCTGCACCAATGGCCTCGGCATGATGCAGACTCTGTGACTTGACTTGGCCCACGTCCTCCTTTGATCACTGTCATCAAAAAGGTCTCTTGCCTCAGTAAACATAACAATAGGCGAAGCGCACCGAAGCCAACAGCAGCTTCAACGGTAGTCAGGTGTTGTGGGCAACCAGTGTTGCAGCGCATACTTGGCTACGGCATATGGCACACTGTCAGGCATCAAAGTCTTTCAAGTATGGAAACGAATCAAATACTACATAGTCCAGTCGCAATGAACGGTTGCGATAACGACTGCGCATGGGTTTAGTCTAGAGCCGATCGTCATTGGGCTTAGTGAGCCTCCATATGCAGCTTGAAAAGTCAGAACAAATGCTGCGGAATGGCAAGCTACGAATACTAGTCCAGTCGCAGTCATCATTGGCGACAGTTGTGTCAACCCATCCGACGCCAATCCTACGTATTCCTTCGGCGCTCATGGCGCAATTAATTACGGCAAAAGTAGTACCTAACGATCTGCAGTGTATGTAGGGTGGCAGGTAAAATAGATGAGATGCGATGCGGTGTAGATTTGGGACGACTGTGGCAACACAACAAATACTCGCATGGCCATGTTCTTATTGGATCCATACCCTGCAGTTCAGAGGGTCTAGATAATGGCGACCTGATATGCGGACGCTGAAGATAACTTGATCTGCCAGCGATCAACTGCAGCGGGAGCTTGCAACTTGAAACACAGATGACCGGACAGACAGAATGGGCCATCCTGCGCACTACCCGAGTCTCCGTTTCGCGAAACCGCTCGATCAGCAATACTGGGACAGGGGTTATGTTCACTATGTAAAATGGGGTTTTGATTCGATACAGTTCTTGCAGCGCACAAGGAGGACACAATTCTTTGCAAATGCAGCGTCAAATTCATGCGCCAATGCAGTTCAACTTCATCGCTAGTAATAAGGGTGCGTGAGGTGTGTGTGCTTGTGGGTGTGTGTGTGGGTTTCGACGTTGGCTATGCGCCTGACATCTTTTGTCGTATCTTTTGGTCTAGCCCGCGCGATCCAGACAAGTCTCCGGCCAATTCTAACGACCTTATGTTACTCGCCTCGAATCAGGCACGCTTCCAGTCATCTATTTCTGATTCGCAGGCCGAAACCGTGAAACGCAGACACACCAAGGCCAAGCTTTGTTGTGGTGCGAGGCATGTATGCCGAAAGAGGGGGATTGCTTCCTCAAGGTGGCTCACTGACGCGCGCTCTAGAAGCCAATTGCACACTGGTGGCTATCTACGATGAACAAACCCTGTCCAAACACAAACTGGTGCATCTGGAGGAACTCGCTATTGGCCGGGGCTTTGAAGCACTTCAGATTCCAGCGTGGTTGACCTGCCTTTGTCGAAAGTTGTCCACTGGCCATCACCGAAGTACATAGTCAAAGACGTCCTGGTTATAGGCTATACAGACTTAAAACTCGACGGCAGGAAGTGCACCTGGGCAGGATAAGCCGGGTTCGCCGTCCTGCAGGCGCTTTGGTGCTGGCGCAGAGAGTGCCCCACCATGCAATACCGAAACCTTGAGGTCGTCTTCTAGATCACTGTCGCAAGTGCGCAAGCTCAACAGATTTTGTGTGCAGTATTCCGTACCAAGGGGATAGAATGAGCACAGTCTTGATCCATGGGAACACTGCAACCACATCGTAAACGAGGTTCCATTCGGTTTGCGCGAAGTGAGAATGTATACACGCTGCGCCAGTAGTATGACTTGCGCCCGTAGAAACCGGCGCAGTCGCCGACTTCGACACGACTACTCAACGACATGAGAACACCATCTCATTCTACATTATGCTAGGCTAACTTAGTTGGTTTCCAAGTTCCTTATCATCCTATTGCAGACTATCTAGTAGAACAACACCGCGAGGTAAACAGGGGACTGTGCACAGGCCGAGTCACATAGCACTTGTTTACTCACTGACCAGCTATATGCTTGAGGACTGTCATGGTTGACGGTAGGAAGAAGCTGGAGAAAACAAGAAACAAGACAGAGCATTATATGGTGAGAAGATCGGGCACCTGACAATGAGGTGAGGACATCAAGGTTCATGTTGCCAAAGTTTGTGTATATGGTGTAGTGCCGGTGATTCGGCCTTTGCAAAGCAAAAGCGGATAAGCCCTCGCAGCGCGCGCAGGAAATCAAGCATTGAAGCATTTGCGCTCAGCAAGAGATAAAGAGAAGGGGATAACTCGAAGCCGGTGGTATAGAATGCAGAGGAGCTCTTTGGACTCGGTGGGTTTATTTACAGCTTCTATCCTACGAGATATTCCATGACAGCTGCGCATAAGATTTGAGGTGTTGCTGTTTTTGGAGCATCGTAAGTGCTAAACTAGCCGAGCGTGCCCACCCGACGCTTTCTTGGACGAGTGATGCACATCTCCATTCTCAAATCCAACGTTAGTCTTCTCTTCTCCTCATCGAGCCATCCAAACACTCCCAAACCGTCCAGAGAGATATCTGACTTCATCTGCATACACGTATCAAGCCATTGTTTCCGTTCCTTTGCGATTACCACTTGTAAATCGAGCCTCGACTTGTGTCCCTTGGTTTCGTCTTGCCTTGCCTTGACATCGGACTGCGACCCGGTCCCAGACGCCCAATGCATCCGTAGGCCAACTTCAGCCATCAATCCTGTCTTCTGGTAAGTCATTTCCCTTCTCTGAGGTGTTGCGATCCTGCATCCACTGCAAGATGTACACGCCTTGACCCTCTTCCCTCGCCCTTGGCCATGCCCGCCTGTTGTGGTTTCTCGAGGTTTTTCCCTCCCCCCGACCCGGCTCTTTCACCTTTCACAGCCACCTCGCCAACAACCATGCATCTATGAGACGATATTCTGCTTTTGTACGATACCCGCTGACACTGGATCGCCATCCACAGCTCAATCGAAGCAATTCTCGAGCGTTGTATTGCTAACCTACCTGCCCCGACCTTTGCGATCCCCCGATCGGAATACGTCAGTTGGGTCAGTTGGACACCGCTTTCTTTCCCACGGCTCCACCTGCGCAAAGCACCCAAATTTCGACGAGTCAATCACCATTGAATACAACTTCTGCTGGGCTCAGAATATCGCTGGAATGGAACGACCAAGCATCATGGCTTCCGGTTCGCCCATTGAATTTCCTTCTACCCACTCCGCCCGCTCCAGCTTGGGCAGTGCGTCTCCCGTCAAGGCGGCACCTCCCAAGCACGTTTCATTCGAACTCCTCTTCCCGGAATCCCCCCAATACAAGGCGCGTCTGCCCCTACGAGTACAAATATACCCGCATGACAGCACAGAGTCCATTGTGACGACGGTCAAGAACTTCTACGGTCTCTACTCCGGTCCCACCGGAAGCAAGGGCATCAGTTTTGAGGATGACCGGGGCAACACCCTGATCGCAGGATATGAGAACTTTAGCCATAACATGGTGGTCTATGTCAGAGTCATTGAGGACTCTGCGCAGCCCGCCGTGCCTTTCCTTCCTGCCGCTTATCCCTCTGCCACAATTGGCGCTCATAGCTACGGTCACAGTGACTACTCTGGCCATTCCGCACAACATGTTGGCCAGCATCTGTCTAGGCCAACCTCGAGGATGTCTAGGAAGCGCAGCGTTTCTCCCGACGATGACCGCGGCCGGCGTAGCAACTCGATCGCCGCCAGCAAGAAGGGAAGGTCTCGCTCTTCCAAGACCCGGGGGCCCAACTACGAGAACCATAGCGACAGTTTCAATGGCTACAGCAGTGATGGCGAGAACGGAGCGCCTTCCGTCTCGAGCAAGGCCAAAGAGCCCATTGGCAACACAGACATAAGCCTAGAGAATATAGTCGAAGGTGGCCGCCGAAAACGTGCCAAGTTCGAGAGCTCCGTGAGTCTACAGATCCTGTCCCACTAATCCGAGGCTTCATCTCGACTCCATGAAGCAATCTCTGACCATACTCCCATCTATAGGAGCTTCCTCTATTTGCGCCTCCTCAGATGCCCGCCGCTACCTCTAATCCGTCCGTCTCTCCCGCGCGGCGCGCCGATCCTCATCGCGCTGCTATCCCTTTCGCCCATCCCGGTCAAAATCCTTTTACCAATCCTCGACCGCTCCAATCACCCCAAAATTATGGCTATGGATATGGTCACTTTGGCATGTTCGCTACCCCCACAACCGACCAGAGACGCCATCGCAATAGCATTGGCTACCCTCCCAACATCCTGCCTACTCCAGATCCTACTATTGGTAGCAACATGTCTGAAGAAGATAAGGATGTCGCACTCCAGCTCATGAGGTTGGGCGACATGTCAAATATCTCCCATGGAAGAACATCTGCTTCTACACTCGATGACACATTTAGCGGAAACGCTGATGCTTGCTCTTCGACCGGCGCTACTAGCGATGGTGAGAGCGACAATGGAGTGGAGCTCCCGCCTGCCCGCCGGCAAAAGCTCGAGATGCCTATGAGCACCGGAAGGTTATACCAGACAACTGAGACTCACTTCATTGCCCCTCGAGAACACGCCGAAGCTAGCGGTGACGACGCTGACTACGAGGATGGTGGCGAAGATGGGCCAAGGCTCAACGATGTGAAGCCCAAGTCCCAAAAGCCACGTCTGCCCAGCTTGAAGACAGGTGTCGCAAAGCCCAAGTCCAAGATCCCTAAGCCCCTGACCAACAAGGTCAAGAAGTCGAATAGTATTTCCGCTCCTGGGCCCATGTCGCCTACGTCGCTTCCTACACAGTCGCGCAAACCGTCTATTGCCGGCCCAGGGTTTCTGCCCGGCCAGCCGGGTGAGGATGACCAACCTGACCTCTCTACTAAGCCACGCTGCCAGCGATGCCGAAAGAGTAAGAAGGGATGTGATCGTCAACGACCTTGTGGGCGCTGCAGAGATGCAGGTCTTACCGCAGACCAGTGTGTCAGCGAAGATGAAGGCAATGGCCGAAAGGGTCGCTATGGCCGACATATGGGTGTTCCTGTCAAAAATTCTGCCGAAACTATGCTGCAGCCTACTTTGCTCCCCGCAGCTCCCATCACTGCCCCCATGGCTCCTCCAATGATCGGAGCGAAGGACAAGAAGCGGAAGCGGTAGACATGCTGCTCTTTTGAGTGCATTTCAAAGGAACTATAAACATAAAACACTCTTACTGATGGTGTCTGTCAGCACTGCTACACCACAAACCTGAACAGACGGCCTTGTTATCCACCTCTCCGCAAACACATATGCATATAGCTCCACCGGCCATGGTCGGCGAAGCTTATGCTAAAACCATAACGTCGGCACCACCTTCTCTCAACACAGCATGGTCCTTTATCCTACAGGAGTCACAATGGCGGCAGGCGCAAAGGCGATTGGATCCAACTCACGGCACGCAAATGCATTCCACTCTCTCAATCTAGGTCTCAATCCCTGGGGCGCTTGGCTCTTTTCTTTGTCTTTTGAACAGTTTTATACTGTCTGCCTCGCTACACAATCGACCCGGCAATGAACAGCAGAGAATGTTGGAAATCGGCCCCGCTGAAAAAAAAAATTTCTTAAGAAGATAGCGAAAGCGTACTCAAAGGGTGTCAGATGAAAACTGGAGTTGATGAGATATGGATGGGTTCTGGCTCATTTTTTTCAAGATGAACGGAACGGATGGAGGATGGTCCATCGAGCAGTATCAAGAAAGGCGGCAAGGAGCCAGCCTCGAGAGGAAGGTATCATCCTCTTTTTCTCCTATATGTTTGGACGGTAAATACTTGTGATTTTATCATTATTATTGTTTGGGCCCGTTGGTTGCTATTCTAGTCACATTTTCCTTTCTCCGCTCGATTTGGCACAAATTGATCATCACCAGGATGTAAGGAGTTGAATCACTCTACCTTGCTACATAGGTACATGAGAGGTAGTGCAAATATACGAGCGTTGAACAATTCCACGGCGTTGAGAAAGTCACCTGACCTGGACTTTCGGAACAATAATCACCTGTGCCGAAAACGGGCACATCCATCTGCACTCGTGAGCACCAGCTTTGTCAGATCCCTCCAAGGGATTCACACCACACGAATGCCTCACGGGTAAATCACACACTGGACCAGGGATCCACTTGCCACGTCAATCACACCGGCGTCGCATCATAGCATCGTAACACCAGAGCACTGTAGCACCGTCTCGAAACCCTAATCTGGAGCTACTTATGTATAAAGCGGCGCGGGCCCTGCGACTGAACGATCCACTCATAAAAACGGTTTGCGCGACTCAGCCCATCATTCGTCTGCCGCCTTCCGCGCCTCAGCTGCATTCCCTCTCCTCTCTTCGCAAATGCCCCCGGCTAGAAAACCCAGTCCCAGACAAGCTTCAAACAACGCACAACCTTGCAATCGAGGGCGCTCGTTGTCGCATACCATTTTTGTAACGGAAATACACTTCAAAGTGCCCTTGCACAGCTTCGCGCATACTCAGCAGTCTAATTACTTCAAAGTTGCCAGTTTGTGGAAGTTTGCGACAATCTCGAATGACGCTGAATTCATGTGGGCTGGCAAGCTCCTTTTTTGAGCTTAGTGCTCTTTGGTGGGAGGGCCAGAAGGAAAAATAAAAAAAAGCTAATATTGTTGGTTGTATATCTCTCAAAGCGGTTGTATCCGGAACTTGGCACTTGTCAGAACGGAGTGGATTCCTACTGTTATGTGGGGTTAACTGAGGTCCATTCAGTTCAAAACGAAGCAATATAGTGGGTCGAGTATAACTGAGCCAGATGGCCCAATCAGAGACTTGCTTCCAGGGAGGGGTAGATCAACTCGGCGAAAATTACTTTTTTCGGTTTGCCGACGGAGAGACTAACTAACCAGTCGTAATTCCCGTGTTTGAATGCCGACTAATTAACAAGTATATAATCAAACGATCTCGATATAGTCTCAGTGTATTGCGACTATATTTCACAAATGGTGCACCTTTACGTTTATTCTTCCAGATCATGTGACGTTAGTACGTACGACACAACCAAAACATGATCGCTAACCTAGCAAGTAAGTAAGTAAAGTGCGCTTCGAAAATTCAAACGAGCACGCAGAATACGACACCGACAAAAAATTGGGCCCGACCCCGGGATTGAACCGGGGACCTCGTCCATTTATTGTATCCATACACATATGGATGGGAATTTTGTATCCCGAAGGACGAATCATACCACTAGACCAGTCGGGCTGAGTTTGGGTTGTTGAACAAAATTTCGCTTATTGAGCAAATTATTACTTGATTATGCAGGTCCGAGCCGGTCATCCTCGCCGGTGGGTCATCGGTGGCTGGTAATGACTCACCGGCTGGTAACCGCTTACTACCACCACCGACTTGGGAGGGCGACTGCATATCAAAAAAAGGTGTTGGGATATGCCATGCCACAATGGATTATGTGGCGGTGTGGTGGTAGGTGTGATGTGTTCCACGGTTCTGCAGACGTGTCTTTTGGTAGTCGTCCTGTTGTCGGTGCAACTTTGCCTAATTTCGGGAAGTGGTCTCGAAGACAATAGCGGTACCTCGCGCGTTTTGGCATCTGCATCATGGGTACTGCGATGAACGTTCCTGTCAAATCCAACATATTCCAAGGCGCCGGCGTCTTCCAAGCTAACATATGTAAGTAGAGCATCTAATCAAGACGCCGCTTGGCGGACAACCCTCAGTCGCTGGGAGCCGGGATTAGAAAAGTACATGGGGCTTCTTGACTTGGACTGGCTGCATAGTCATAAGAGCGAACGGCAAAATCCCAAGGGCACGAGGGCCTCCGACCACGACGGTCCGTATCAGTCTGATATTGAAACCAAGTACAAGCTTCCAATAACTTTTTTTTGCCCAGGGGTAGTAGAAAGTTCGTGTAAAGTAAATGAAGAACTGCACGATGGATGGTGACTCTCCTTACATCATTCGATACATATGTGCAAGCACGGAAATTCAGGCTCAAGCTGATTGCTCAGTCAGAACATCTTGTAGTCTACAGAGTTTAAGACCATGTATAAACTCTTTCATTCAGATAGACATCTTCCGGTACTACCAGGGAACCTGCAATTCCGCGAACCCTGTAACTTTCGGCAAATGGCAGTAATTTGTATAGTAGCTTGGACTATTGAAATAGACTACTATCTGATTTGGCCAAAAAGCCACTATCATAACTACAACATCGTCGCAATCACTGATGCCGCATTGGTAGGAGACGTCAATATGTTTGTTTGCATTCATTTTCAATTCGCCAAAAACTAAAGATGAACAAAGCCATGACAAACTTACATACTTGACCCCCATGTTTCCTATTATTGCCAAGTGGCAGACATACCTTGTGTGTAAATACTTGAATGTTGCCCCATTGCAACCCCTGAGTACCTGAGTGAATGTGAAGTCGACTCTTGATCCCATAGTACGCTACAGCCTGGGAACTCTTTATCTCTATATTCCGTGCATAGCACGCAGTCCTTTGTTGTCTCCTACCTACATCATACTCATCCTGTTGGGTATCTCGAAAATCACGGCCGCGATCTAAATGTTCAGAAACCAGTCAACCATCAAGTCGGACCCTGTTGATTCGCCCCGTGCCGCCATGGTATCATTCAAGCATGTATGGGCGGTGATCAGTGTTAGGTGTGTCACTTGTATAGATTACCCTGCAGCCCCAGAATCGAGGCCAATCGGGATTGAGCAGTAATGTTCTACCTGCATGACCCTTAGACTTTTTCAATCTGATATTCAATAGGTATAGCATGCTTGCGGTTTTTGTTGTAACGTCTTGTTCCCTACAAATGGCTGGTTTTCGTCGCTAATCTAAACTGGGCCTCGCCGTGTTCTCTTCGCATTGATGATAGTCGGATAGAATGTGCAATGAGTAGCACGGCTTGTTTTATTTATACGTCAGTCACGATGGTCCAAATATCTTGCGTCGCCTTGTCCGCATACAACGTCATCAGGAGCGCCAGCATGGTTTGAATACTGTTCTAATTTGGACTGTAAGCTCCGCTAACATGAATCAGCAATTTTCGGTGCGAAAATCCTTTGATTGGCTGCATAGTCTACTAGCGCCGGCTTCCATTGACACAGCCCCTGATAGCTTCTTCGCTTTGATTGACCATCAGACCCACAATACGCTGTTGATGGTCTTATAAGGTGAGGTTTTCTTCCCATTTGAGTCCTGAGCTAATTCCCGATTGAAGTTGTTTTGATTGAAGTTTTTAGGTCGCAATTTTTGGCAAAAAAAATAATTTTGGTTTCAAACTCCTTCACAGCAAGGCGGACGACTGGGCCGCAAAACGAGGTCTCCTTCCAAATAACATCAAAACAGACTTTTAGTCAGGCATCCCTTGCATACGGCAAAACCGCAGTCATGGGCCTCGTTCAGTTCGAAGACGGCGTGGTTGTGTACTATCCGTACGTACCCGCCAAGGCACCCGGTGCCGCCTTTCTGGCTCTATTCACATTTGCGACCGCCACACATATCGGCTTTATGATGAAATATCGGTCCTGGTTCTTCGTTCCCCTGATCTTGGGTGGGATCTGTAAGTCTTTCCTCCCCTGTGCCTCTGATCATAGTGTCTCTGAAGGCTAACATTACCATCAAGGCGAATTATTCGGCTACTACGGCCGGTACTGGGCGCACGATGCACCCAACAGTCCTAAGCCGTTCATGCTGCAACTGATGCTGATCCTCGTATCACCGGTCTTTATAGCAGCTACTATATACGTCACCCTTGGCAAATACAAGCAGGCGCTGCTAGGCCAGCCGAAACGGAAGTGCAGTCCCACGTCCGTCTTTGTCCTTACAGACATCATCGCCTTCTGTACGCAGATTGGCGGTTCATTGGTACAGGTGACGGGAAATGTCAAGATCATGGAGATCGGCGACCGCGTTGTGCTGGGTGGTCTCTGCTTTCAGTTAGTTGTCATGCTCGTCTACTTGGCCCTCGTCGTCAAGTTCTACCGCACGGCGCAGCACGAGGTGACAGCGAGCGGTCCCAAGCATTGGCAGCAATATTTATGGGTGATGGGCGCCTCGGTTGTTGTTATTTGGATCCGGAACTTAGTCCGAGTGATTGAGTTTGTGGAAGGATTCCATGGTTTCGTTACGCAGCACGAGGCCATGCTTTACGTCTTCGATGCCGCTCTGATGCTGTCTATCATGGTGCTATATGCCGTTTGGCATCCTGCGAGGCTAGTTCGTAAGGCTAGTACTGGTCAGCATCATAAACTCGAGAGTATCTGAAGTAATGTCAATAGGAAGGTAGAAACCAACATCCAGATGATCGGTTTTCTTTTCTTCGTATCTTCTTATATATTTCCTTTTTCTTTTTGCAAGAGACATCATACTATTAGCTCTCTTCCTTACCGTTACATCACACTCCATATTAGTAGACTAGTATTGATCATCATTAGTGACGTGTTTATCACGGTGAGTTGAATGCTTCAGTTGGGAGCAGGTATAATAGCCTAATTGTGGAATGGCTTCTCCATTCAATTCTTTCCGTACAGTTTGGGCGACAAATAGATCTATTCAGCGCTATCGTACGAAGGAGAAGGGATTCTTCCCCTCGTACGTGGTCTATAGATAGGGGTTTGGGGTTCACCCGCACGGCTGCTGGCTGCCGACAGCCACATCGTGGCTGTGGTGGCTTACTGCCAGCACGCCGGTGACTACCTATACTACGTAGTCAACCGTCGTACGAGACCGCGAATAGTATATTCCAACACTAATTCTTCATAAGAAGTCCAAAGATGGTTTATAAGGATAAAAGATTCCATGTTAGTTTTACTATTACTTGGCCGTTCTACGACACACTAGACACTTTATCTGGTGAAGCACACTCAGAATGTGCCACTCGTAGTGAACTTCAAGTCCTTTGACATCCTCGTACAAGGACGGGTTATACTATTTGAACTCTTAGCATAGCATAGGCGTAGACCTGATATATCCTTTGCTTTCTGGGTATAACTTTTGCCAATCGTGATCTACGTATACGAGGCCGGGGCCACAGCCAGCTATATTTCCGAGTTTTACGACATTTCTGGTACTACTTCCTCGTAGATACTCCTCATCATGATTGACATTGTTTGGTATGCGCAATGAGAGCGTGAAAAATGTAGAAAGTTGATCAACGTTAAAGAATGGACGATAACCGTGGAAAAGGATAAGTTTCAAATTAAAGTGGGAAGTTTGTCTAACCTGGAGTCTTCCACAGCTCTGCGAATAGAAGTTGCTGACCAGGTGAAGCCTCCTTTTTCTCACCTGCACGAAACACAAGACCGTCAATCAAAGATCGTTGGGTGATATCCTTGCCGGAAGCATGCTCTGAATAGGCCATATTTCTTACAATCTGTGCTACAATGATACATATCTGCGAGAACAATAATTGAATAGCAACAAATATTGGATACAATAGGCGCAGTGTCAAGATAAGCCTACATAATGTGCTGTGAGCTCTGGCTCTTTCGAGGATATTTCGTGCTAGATTGGTATTGAGAATAGGTGTTCCACGAGGCTGGTAGAATTGAAGAGGTGCTGGCGGACATTGTTCCGGGTAGTCACGTACATTCGCAGCTATAGACGACAGGTTACTCATGCTGTGGCAACGAATATATACCCTGAGATTACTATCGTTCTATAGACGGTGGGCCCACTGTTTTTGAATGTCACACATACCGATTTTCGGTGTGGAGCTACTCGCTTAGATTTATACTTTCAGACTCCGTGACCTGATAGTCTCTATGGTAGTGGCTACACTCGTGTTAACTCTGTATGATAGGTACGATGGCACGGCGTCAAAGCTCATACAGAGCTCCTCTTTTCAGAATAACGGCACTTTGATCATGACCTTCCATAGAGCGCAAGCTGCTGGCCGATTCTTTCACTCATCTCCAAAAATAAAGCCTCAACATCCCGCATGGAGTCGACCAGTACAACGTCTTTTTCTTCTTCCAGAGGCTCTTCAATGTCCGCTATCTTTACCTCCATGATTCTCTCCGCCAATTCGGGCTCTTCCGCTCCTAGAGTCCGCCCAGATAAAGTTTCTTTCGTGATTTGCATAATAACAAAAATGATTTTGACGCCGTGGGCCATCATGACATCCCGAATTGCATCTCGACATATCTTACGCATCGCAAAGCAAGTAATGAGTGCCGTACAATCCATTCCCAGCTTCCTAGGGGCCTTTGCCTGTATCTCTTTGGTTGGCTCGGTCCCTTCCGACAAGAAACCAATTCGCAGCAACTTTGAGAACCAGATCCGCCCAAACACTTCTTTGTAATCGAAGCCTTTCCTTGCTTGAGAGCGAGCTCCGAAGTTGGCAGAGGAATGGCACCATTCTGCTTTTAACCATGGGCAATTTAAAGATTTTGCTAAAGATACGGCAAGGGTCTCTTTGCCCGTGACATGAGTCCCGGACAAAAGCACAACGTAGGAGAACTGTGAGGCTCCTTGGCATTGTTGTGGCGCCACCATCTTCACACCAGAAGATGAATGAAATAGTGGCAAAGGATACGTAAAGGCAATAATTCAATACATATCTTATGTTGTGTTCATGCTATAAAGCTACGGTTGCGTGTAAATGGAATAAGGCGCGAAAATAGTTGCGCTGTGATCGCAGAAGGCGGGGGGTTTTGAGATGGGATGAAGCAGAAGGGAGTTTGAAAACTCGCGTGTGTTGAGGCCGTCGCGCATTCCCAACGGCTGCCGTCTGGTGCCGCCTTCGGTAATGCAAATGACAAGGTGGGTTGGCCAATCTGCAACCCACGTAAGCCATCTCGCTTATCCCGCCCCCTCTTCCACGGTGAGATTCCTCTTCTACATTCTACATTCCTGGCCGCTTTTCGCAACAAGGATATAGTTAATTACAATGAGGTTGGTTTGAACCCTAAAACCAATCTTCGTCGTCCAGCGGCTTCGGTATTCTCTGGAAGAAGAGACATTCTGTGCGATGGAAAGGAAACGTCTCATTCGCATCCGGCATTGATCACGACTGGCCTGGGAGGGTATGTCCAAGCCTATGAACTTTCTATAGCGCATGCTGATTAATCTATGCGTTTTAGAACTCAGTTTGTGTTTTCCTTATTTTTTGGCCAGGCAGTGGTAAGTAGTCTTTTGATCGTTCCGTCTATCTCTACACCGAACTGACCTAATCTTTTTGTAGAGCCATCTGAAGTCCTTTGGACTCAACCCGTTAGAGATAGCAGTCACCTTGTTATCGGGTCCCATATGCGGTGCAGTCTTTCAACCGTATTTTGGGGGTTGGAGTGACCAATGTCGGTCCTCTTGGGGAAGGCGGAAGCCATTTATCCTTATTGGAACTGTGGCCCTTGTTTTCTCGATGTTGTGTCTAGCCTGGGCAGACTCGATCGTGAATTTGTCAACCCAAGCATTTCTACCTCGCAACACATCAAATGGGGTCATTGAGGCTACTCTGGCCATTATTTCCATGTTATTGACCTTCATAATATTTGTGGCCATCCAGGCCATCCAGGTTGGGCTCCGAGCGCTGATTACCGATAACTGCACGCCAATCCAACAAGCGGAGGCAAATACCTGGGCTGGCCGGCATATCAACTTTGCGGGAGTATTGGCGTACCTTGCAGCATACTTGGATTTACCTCGACACATAAACGGCATTGGCAAAACAGTTTTTGCCCACACAAGCATATTGACAATAGTATATCTCACCATGACAATTACCATTACTTGCTGGTACAGTACTGAGAAACAGTATGCGGCTCCCACATCAAACAGGATACGTCATTCGGCGAGTTTCCGAATGCTACGGAGTTTGTCGCTCGGCCCATACACTCAAGTCAGGACTATCTGTGTTGTGCAATTCTTTTCTTGGCTTGGCTGGTTTCCTCTCTTATTCTATACGGTGACGTACGCTTCTTGGACCCATCTCCTTACAATAGTGATGATCGGCTAACCCATTGCCACTAGTTATGTCACAAGCTTGCGTACGTACAGCTCTTAGTAAATGTTCACCCCTAGCTGACCAATATCTATTTCAGAAGGCTCTCACACGGCAGAATACGGCGATATGGGCGCGTTGGCTCCACTTGTCCATTCGATCATCTCATTAATTGTGGCAGGTCTGTTGCCAAACCGACTATCCACCGGCGTCTCAAGTTCCGAAATAAATAGTGCGGTCTGGCTCAACTCTCGCAACATATGGATCGCATCCAACTGTATTTTCGCGATATCAATGCTTAGTACATTCTTCGTCACATCTGCCTTCGGGACGGTACTTCTCTTTAGCATTGTCGGTGTTAGCTGGGCTGTTACTTCCCGAGTACCATATACCCTCCTGGCCGAAGAGTTGTCCCGACCGTCTACACATTGGAACAAGGAAGATTTATCAGATAGCAAAGGTTTGATATACGGCATTCATAACCTCGCTATTTGCCTACCCCAGATTTTAGTCATGTGTACGATGGGAATGGTCTGGGCGGTCACAGAAACGCAGGATGGGTCTCTGGGCATCGTCTGGTTTCTCCGCCTTGGCGGTGTGTCTACCATGCTGGCTGCTTATTTTGCCACGAAGCTGGTTGAGACGGTGTAGGTCAAGAGCGTACAAGCTAAACAGTGGCGACACGAGCATATCATTTATTATTAGACTTCTAAAATGCAAACCAAGATTTCAGTCACCGCATATGGTCGGCTTTCTTACGGCTCATAAACCAGGGGCGGGCTTTCTGAATACTAGCTGGCAATGTAGATTGGTATGCTATCTTAAGGGCTCGACATAGAGTCTGACTAATCGGCTTAGCAAAGACTTTTGTGGTCATGATGTCGAGCGCGTGAACATCGAAGTAGAATATGTGGGTTAAGCTTGTCTTTCTTAATGGGACAACAAACCGCTCCGATTTATAGAGAAGTTTCTGAATAACGCCTTATGACTATTAAATATTCTAGTGGGGGTGACTATTTCAACTGATTCGGGGAATTAGTCTTGCTGCAGTAGACCAGATTAAAAAAGAGATCCTATTGAATCAATATCTATTAACAGATGATGGAATTTGCCTGGAATAGTGACATTCACTATTTGCTCATTGTTAGCTCCTATTTGAAGACGCTTTTGTGATATGAACAGGCCATGCGCAAGGCGACAAGATGAGAAATCGAAGGTCGTAGTCTCGAACTATGGTAGTCTCATTGCTATACGGCTACTCACAGATACCGAAGCCATAACCAAGGCCTTAACATCAGTAGATATTTGGAGACCTCCTATCATGACTTATAACGAGGTGCAGTATTTCGGTGGAACTTTTCAATCGCTACTCATTGCCGCCTCTGCTGGTGACTTTAGGTACATATATCATTCATGGGTGAGCAGACTCTTAAGCAAAGGTTGGTAGAGAACCAAATACTTGGTGTTAATAGTATCTACATCTTTAGCGCCTTGTGTATCAGACATTCCCAGAAAGGACTGTATTTCAGTCGCCTGGTGTCCACTACCGCTGGCCCAGCAAGTACTGTGGCTGCTCGAAACAACATTCATCGATTTATTAGGATGCGTATGGATAATAAGATTCCCTCCCTGCGGATGCCACTTAACGGAAGAGCTATGCTATGCATCTGGTTACAAATTATACAACAAAATAGACGTCAAAGCGATCATGACGCTCACCTTACATAGAGAAGGTAAACGCAGCCCAACAGGCAGTTTAGTAAAGCAATAGCTCTTCTAAATACCAGTCATAGTACCTCGGCGTCGAAAAATAAAGCTCAGATAGCCACAAGGGTAGATCAAGAAGAAGAAGAAGAAAAAAAAAGGCCAGTCATATATATGAGCTGCACATCTCGAACTCGCAGCTTGCAAAAGTGCAAAAAAAGAAGAATGGCTGAGGGAGGGCGGCTCAGCCAGAGAGATAAGGATATTAATCCTAGGTCTGCGCGAAAAACCACTACACCACTGTGACCTGTGGCTTCATGGGTTGTTAATTCAGGTCATTGAAATTAGCATTATATATTCTTGGTTCGAGGACTGGACTCTTCCGATGTGCACTGAATCATTCATGATAAAGTTTGACCTCTGTGGGCACTATCGTGGCGGTGCTGAGCAAGTTTACCGGGAAACGCCTCCTGACAATCATCAGGTAGCTTTACAGTTTTTAAGAACGTGAATCTCTTGCCAATGCGATGTAAAGTTGGGACTAGCAGTAACGGCGGTCTCCAGTTTACAAAATGAAGGGAAGATTTCTCCTACCGGCCGAGGGAGGAGTTTTCATAGGACTTCAAGATCGAATCTCCCTCTATTGATCAGGGCCGTGATGCGGCCATGCCCCCAAAAGTCCTGACATAGTTTCTAGAACCTTCCCGAACTTTTTACCAGTGCCTACCTTTTTAAGGACACTTTGAACTTACTGGGGGATGCAAGCTTATGTAGGTAATGCTGATGACACTGTCGAAAAAAATAACATACTTAGAACGAATAAAGTAACAAAGATTTGTTTCAAACTCGGGGGCATTGGATAAGACCGAGCATTAGGCTTGAGTCAGGGCAGCACGAATATTTCTGATTTTATCATCGGCGTTGTTGCCAATTTATTCGTAAAGATCGTCCAATACAACAGGAAGGAACAATTCGTAATGACACTAAAGGTGGGATGAGGGGAATGGTTTCATCATGTCTTTGATCTTAAGTGTTCGTACTTACTGAGGCTCGAATGTCACCTATCTTCTATCTAGTCGCTCTCCCTAGTGCCCATTGCAGAGCCGCGATGACTTCCCACCGTCTCTCCAACCATTATCATCACACCACGCAGCCTCTTTTGCTTACAGCTCAACAAGTTCGAAAAAAACACTATTGATTACATCCAACCGTTAAGCGCCAGTCATATACTAAGCTTGCCGGGATATCTTCATTATGACAGTACGAAAGTATGCGGCGGGGCGCGCTCAAGCCGGTATCTCAAGTGCAATGTCGACACGAATGGCACACCCGTGAACTTTGCGAAGAATACATCGACTCGGCAAGAAGTCCCCCAGCTCTCCTTATAACTGCATGAAAAAGCTACTTCCTTGCCATCATGGATTTTTGCATACAGTCACTGTAAGGCAGGGAGGGTGCAGCATATAAGCCGCGACGAAGACTTCGTTTGCAAGTTCTGGTGGCCACCCTATCTTCGCCGATATTAACAGAGTATGAAACACCAATGCAGATGTCGCCAACATTACAACTACATGCAACCTGAGAAAAGGAAGAAGCAGGTCAGACTACAAATAATGGGTTTTACCAAGAACACTTCAAGAGCGAGACCAAGGATCTCTAGAGACGAGAAACACTTTTCTGGCATTGCACGTTTGGTCAAGCCACAGGTTTACAAGGAACTCAAGCAGGAGTTGCTCAGGGCATAGGAGGCGAAAGGAACACTGGAACAGGAATAGCACCCATTAGAATGATCAGCAGCCGCTTTCCATCTCGCACTACGTTCGAGTGTGGTTGCAGTTAATGCGGAATTGCCAACTCTCTCTCACATCCTCGAATTCCGTGTAGAAGTCCCATATGATCAAGTGCATATCAACAAGCATCATCCAACATCCTCCTGTGTGCAGGCCTTGATGGCCCTAAATCCTTTTTCGAACCAGGGTCCAGCTTCTGATCGGCTTTGATGAGATTGACATATGCCTCAGGGAAGCCTGTGGAAATCAGGTAGAGCTTCCTCATCGGCCTTGATAAAGTATGAGTATCACGATAGGTTACGAACCCTGATGATTAGGGGGCTCTCGGCCCAAGGTCGAGAGTGCGCGCGCAGTTTCGCCGTGGACGCACCCTCCGGAACATCTCTGTGCTCGGTGGACGTCTACTCGAAGAAAGTTCTTGGCCAATCTCCATTCAGTACAAACCTCTGCGGCGAATGCTTGAATACCGCATGGTGTATAAGTAAGCATCTGCCCAGTTGGTTAAACTCAGATGTGAAAATGAGATTGAGGCTTGAATTAGTCGGGCAAACTTTGAACAGCTGCGATGCGTCGAAACACTCGGTGACAGTAAGTAAGTGACAGGCGCAGGTCGTGACAGCCCCCACTAAAAAGTTTCTTGAGGCGACTAATACTGTAACCCCACCATCAGCGGTCGAGTCTCGTCACAGCCAGTCTGAGCTCTGTTTCGAGGATTTCGTTGTCTGGAGATTAAAAATTTCTTCTTCTTCTTCAATTCAATTCAAGTCCAGCAAATGAACAACCGTAATGTCTTCTCGGGGTAGCACTAGGGGAGGCAGGGGCGCACGATCCGGACGCGGCGGTCGCGGCGCCTCCGCGACGGCAGCAGTCCCTTCCACTCGTCCTTCCATCGAGGGTGCAGACGGCGATGCACCAGCGCCAGCCCCAACACCAGTACCAGCACCGGTACCAAATGCGCCCACGACAGCGGCAGCACGGGCGATCACCATAGAATCGAGTCAATCCGCCGCAAACTCGCCGGCATCAACACCCGCCCCGTCATCTTCGTTGCGCGGCGGCAGGTTCAAGCCCAAGGCTGTGCGCAGAGATGCTGCAGAACGACAGAAGCTCGAGGACCAGCGAAACCGAGACTTGGCCGCCAAAATCAAGGTCGAGGAGAAAGAACAGAGAGATGCCGACCGCAGAGCGAGGAGGGGCGGCCAGCGGGGACGCGGAAGAGGCGACGCTGGCTTTATCCGCAGGACCGTCACGGGCAGTGGTGCCTTCTCCGGCGTCGGCCAAGGTATGTCTGGCGTTGTGCCTCAATATGTGCGTTTTACTGATCAGCTGGTAGATGTGCTCAGGAAAGGTGGAGCATGGGGCAAGCATGGCGATTCGGGACTCAAGTCGGAAGGATTCAACAGATACCACGACCGGCGAGTGAACGATGTGCGAGTCAACGTCGATACTCTACGAGACAGTGTCACACCCGAGGTTGGGCTTGGCAATAACGGGACCAGGTCAGGTGTCCTTCCCATGGGTATCATTAGAGTCGAGCACAAGGAAGAAGAAGCCAAGGTCGCGACCAGTGCAGAGCTGGAAGCCGAGGAGCAGGAAGACGATGACGACGACGAGCTGTTTGTCGCCGAGCAAGCTAAGGTCATACAACGCGATATCCACATGGAAGACGACAACGAAGTCTGGAACGCAGGCCCCAGCAAAGAAGAGGACGACAAGGTGGCAGTTAAGCCCGAGCCTGGTACCGAGGAAGATGTCATGGATATCGATCACATTCCGGCCAAAGCACCAGAATCCCCAGAGCTAAAGAAGAAGCCGCTTGCTCAAGACCTGGACAAGGACGCAAAAGCTATTGCCAAGGAGAAGAAGCGGGAGAAGCTGTTACAAGACCCAGAGCTGCAGTCCGCAGCCATCGACACCGCTACATTGCTGGAGGCACTGACTCTGAACGAGGGCGATGCACAGGACAAGGACAATCAATTATTCCTGTTCCAGTTTCCACCAATACTACCACCTCTACTGCACCTCAATGAAGATGGCAGTGAGGTTGTGGATCCCGAAGACGGTGCTGGAGCAAACGGTGTCAGGATCAAGTCAGAACCAGGTATCTCGGGGCCTATTTCTACCCATTCCGCGCTTCCACAGCAAGGCGGCTATGTTGGCAGGCTCAATGTGAGGAAGTCGGGCAAGGTCGAGTTGGATTGGGGTGGTAGGATCCTTGACCTGGGTATCGCCACGGAGACAGACTATCTAACGACTGCAATCATCATAGATGAGCAGGAGGGGGAGGCTAGTGGCAAGGCCACAGGTATGGGACCCGTCTACGGAAAATTTGTAGCGACTCCTGTCTTCCAGGAGGAAGAGGACTGGAATCCAGACCTGGACTCTTTGGGGCTCTGGGTGTGAGCGAGCACAAGTACCACGACAACGGCGCGTGTTGCCTGTCCGTGAGCTATACAATGCCGGCAAAGCTGCAGGGGCCAGCTATCATTCAGCAGGCAATTGACACTCTCGAGACGACTCTACTTGTTCCATGCTTGGCAGCATTACACATGTAACATTGCGCGACAATCCCGGTCCCGTGGGACATCCGTCGTGGAGACGACGTGAATGGCCAGCTGCAAGGAAGTTGTATGTACGTATAATGATAGATATGATAAGGAGGAACATGCCCAGCCTGATAGCTCTTGCGGAGACCACATCCACCGCCGTTACATTTCCCTTCAAGGCTACCACGTCGTGGTACATAAGATAGCGTCCTTCGCAGATTCTTCAGCAAGCGCCGATCATGTACCAAGATGGCATACCTTGGCCAGATCCACGAATTGATGCATCATGTTGATGGCTCGATATGCGGATCCAGATCCACTAGTCCAGGGCGAACACCCGTCTAGGCCGCTCTTAAACAACGCCAATAATACATAAACAAAGGTTCTTCAGATTGAACAAGATCTCGTGCGGGACCCCACGTGTCCATGAACTTGTCAGTGTCATGTACCGACTGTAAACCTCCACAAAAGTCAAACATGGTAGCCCGGTAATTTCACCGCCCAAAATTTCCCATAACCCGTGACTTATCCCTAATGAAGAATTACTAGTGTAATGAGACCCGCTTGCTCGCCCGGTCCGAGCTCGGTATCTCCCTCATACGGACCTGGCAAGCCCACAAAATGTGTCAGGGGTCTCGGTACGGTATCCGCAGGAGTCGATGGGCATGTTTGACATTTATGCAAGCTTGTGGGCATGTGTGAGCTGGCTCATTATACACGGAAATGGAATATCGTCTTTTATTTAACATATCTGGTCTGGAAAAATCCAGACATGTGACGACCCGTCAATGGACAGCCTCGGAGTGGCAAGGCTAGATAGATACTCGTGTCTCCGGGATTCACGGGGTGAAGATGGCGTCTATTGAGATCTCCTTAGAGGCGTACTTTCGCGTGCATGTCCATGCCTTCTAACCTTGGAATGTGGATGACCCTGGTAGAAACTGCAGCATGATCATCCATTGAGTGAATGGCGGGCGGCCTGAACAGTGCCTAACTGCTCAACGCTCCCAAGGTCCGCAGTATCACCTCCGCAAAAGGCCTGCCATCCTGCCACATGCCATCATGCGTGCCCTTGAGATCCTTGAACACCACCGTCCTGACCTTGTCCTCATCAAGACGCCTCGCCATGCCCTCGATCTCGGGCCCGTCGATCAGCTCGTCATCCGGCCCCCATCCCAGCACCACAAGCTCTCCCCCCTCCCACCCAGACCTGAAGCTCTTCGCAAACCTCACGGGCGAGACAGCAGCCCAGTGCGACGCATCGCCGAACGCACCGATGAAGAGCTCTGCGTAGGCCGGCCCCAGCCGGTCCACGAGCCCCTGCAGGTCGTAGATGCCCTCGAGCCCGACAACGGCCCTCGGCAGCTCGACCCCGGAGGATGGGGGCGGCGCCGCGCCGGCCGCGGACCCCATGAGCAGCTGCAGCGCCAGCGTCGCGCCCGCGGAGTGGCCCACCAGCACGTAGTCGCCGCCGAAGCCGTAGGTCCGCTGCAGGAGGGCCAGCGCCGACCAGACGTCGTCGAGGTGGTCCGGGTGTGACGCGTTGCGGTACGCCGCCGCCGGCGTCGTGGCTGGGTCCTGCGGGAAGCTGGGGTGCGGGCTTAGGCGGTAGTCGATGGAGGCAAAACCCGCGATAGGTGGCGACGACGATGGTGGTGGTGATGAAGACGAAGATTTGGTGCCTGAGGACGACGACAGGATGGCGTCGATGGTGGGCTTAAAGGTCGTGTGGTCTATGCGGAAGTCGCGCCAGGCGCCTCCATGAATGTATCTGCGGCGGCGCCGTTAGAAAATTCCCGAGGCACGAGTCAGAGCTGAGGGAGAGCCTTTTTACATGACCCAAGGGCTTGTAGTCCCTTGCGTTGCATCTGGCGTCTTCCAGACGCCGACCCTTTGAAGTTCATGGTCCTTGGCGTAGTGATGGACCTCGTAGGACAAGTTTGAGGCCATTTTCTGCACGACAAGGTGCTGTAATGGCGTGTGCTGGGCAGGGCGTCTAATCGGCGTCACAAATAGAATTAAGACCAAGACTATGATTCCCAGAGCGAAGAAACCAGAGTCGATCATCGCGAGCCGTTCTGCAAGTCCTTATGACATTAAGCGATTTTCAAAATGTTCATTCTGAGTCCCGCGCCGGAGCAGTGCGGGGGTCAAAGTCGGCCGTGGTGGATCCGATACCACCAAAATCTGCGGAAGCACGGATTTTCGGAAGCGGATGCAGCAATTGGACAAGATTAACTACGTAGTGCATTATAGTCGGCCGTAGTTTGTTGCCAGTCAACAGTGCCGGCTTGGCCAACATTCCATTCCATTACTCTGGACGATGGTGTTGCAGGCCGCGCGTGACCTGCGACAGAAATAGCATTAAGTCGAAAAGTTCGGGACATGGGCGAAATGTAGAATCATGCGAATGATAGCGGAGGGTGTTTCAGACTTGCATGCTGCGAGTTTTGAGCGAACTAACAAGACCAGACATTGGTTACAGGGGATCTGGCAGAAGATTGGTTTGAACCAGCAGAGGTCACAAAAGATCAAGGGCGGAAAGTTCCTCTGGTGACATCACAGAGGGTATGTAGGAACCGGATGCGTTTGTTTCGCCGAGCTGTGTCTTGGCTGCGGAATACACCGCATGTACTGATCACAGCGCGCGTTCCCATTCAAGAGCTGATATGCTAGCTCATCCTCAAAAGCGGCTGAGAAAGCGAGAGCCTCGGCATTTGAGTTGTTATCAATATCAATACTCCGTACTATCAACTTAGATACATCTCTAGTACCGGATCTAGTGGACGCTAAAGTCTGTAGCGCAGAGTTCAAGTTCTGTTTGAGGGCAGAAGAAGCTTTCAGACGTTTTATGCCACCCTGGCCCGTTCCAGAATCCCAGGTGATTGTTGGGAATTTCCATCATTACCTGTCCGCTGGCCGGGGTTCGTAGGATGAAACAGGGCGGGGGTGAATGGGGAGTGCTGAAGCTGCAGGCTCCGAACAATGATGCTTGGCTAAACATATCATCCTTTTTTACTGACTTGTGCAGACTGAAGTGCTCCATCGGGAACTGCATCTAAAGAATGGAACCCCTCTTAATCTTGATATATCGTCTCTGGCGATCTGACCATCTAGGATGGCCGTGATATCCTGAAATTTTGAGTAGAGTACCATCTCTCTCGATACATGGGAGTTCGCTAGGCAAAGAAGGATTCAGTGTGGAATTGCCCGGATTAGTGTGCCAGGGCTTGATAACAGAAATAACCTGGTGGCAGTTGGAGAGCGAACAACAAGCGAGTGGACCTGCATCACATATGTTTATAGTGCTTGGCAGGGTTTGATTGATACCAGCACACATCCATTAATTCGCCGATACACTGGTTTAATTGCGCAATGTTCACCCAATTCTAGAACGACTTGACATTGGCTGAACCCCGACATACTAGACTCGGCTGCTTGAACGGCCGGCTATTCTGACAATTCATGATTATGGTGGCCCGGTCTATTGCGACCGTTCGTGTCTCGCAGATGGACACTTATGTGCGTATTATGCGCACACATCTAGAGCTGTTTTCTGAGAAACGTACCAAGCCCTGCTCAGAAATTTGTCAATTAGCAGTATTCTGATTTCAGCATTACAACCTGTTTCAGTGCTGCAAGCAAAAAGAGAGGTTTGTCTCAAGGTTGTCATGCAAGTTCGTCCAGATGTTGATAAGTATGGACCCATAGATGTGGAACGAAGGGCATTAGTGTCCAGACTTGCACTAAAGGCGGAGCTCATACACTGACAATATGTATTTACTTTGTGGCGTGGATTTTGGAGATTAGCGTTAAACGATACGGACAGACTAACCCCTCTCTTTATAGTTTTTTTTCACAACTTCCTCTTGGGACCCAACTATCTTGAACCATTGAAGTGGTGGCTTCGGATTATGCGGCCTACACAAACAGCCACATACCATAAGCTTTGCTGGTTGAGACAACGTGTAAACAACGGCGCGTGAACGTTGACGACGAATCGGCCCATGTGCGCCTAGGGGGATTCCAGAATTCCGGGGTTTGAGACTTGATGAGTTAGCTTGCCCGACGAACTATTAACCGAGCCGCAGTGTGGCTTCAACCTCCAGATTAACTTCCAAGGCCAACTTATACATACCTCATCACTCCCACTCCGCGAACGGCCCACCAGTAACCCACAATCCGTAGATTAGACTTGACGTTTGCATGTGATCCGCATTTAACTCTAACATTTGGGCAAAACTCTCCAGAGAACCCGTGTTGACAATCGCCGAGAGTTCTGTCGAAGACGAAAAAGGCTTTCCACTATGGCGTTCACCCGCATAGAACCATTGAAATGGGAAATGCCCTGAGCACGCCTGACACTGCTTGCCCCTATCAGGCACTCGTGAGACTGCGGGAGAAAAACAAGTCCATGCAAGGGCGCTGCATGGCGTCGACAGGGATCCTTCGCCTGATCTCTACAAGGAAGCTCAATCATTTCTCGAAATCGCGCCGCATCCCAGTGGGTGGTTCCCGAGCAGCCGACTGTGGACCGAGGAGCTGGCCTCGCACCAGTCATATCGCATCCCAACCGCAATCCAGATGTGACCATGGCCATGGGTGTTTAGCGCACAGCTGATATTGACCCTGCAAGCATATAGGCAAAATGCCCTCTAACGCCAGACGCCATGCATTTCCGGTCAAGCCCGGCCTGTATGCAACTTGGCAGGGCCTTGACAGGGCATGGCATGTCACAACGGAAGCAGGGTGCATCGAGGCCATCCTAGGACGGACCGCGCAGAATCGCTTGCGTGCGCGGGCATAATATGAAAGCCTAGCTCTTCTTTCCCCCCCAATGCTACCCCGAAAGAAAGTGGTTTTGTCTGGGCTTGGTCTTTCATCATGATTATCGGCGTGCATACTGTCCCAAGTCTTCCGTAGACACCCTATCGTGACTCGGTCTTTTCTTTTTCTTCTTAATTCCTGGTCGGAGATCTGTCTGTGTCGCGTGCGCCGCCGACCTCTGGAAGGTTTACGGTCTTTGCTTTCGATGGCAGCTCAGGATCCTAATGCCTCGACAGAGAGCAATGGCGGCGCCCTCGTGGCCACGGCCGCGGCCTTCCTGGCACTCAGCTGGCTCTCGGTCATATTGCGAACATATGTGCGGGCAATAATGTTGAAGGGTTTTCAGGCAGACGATTGGTGGATGCTGATAGCACAGGTGAGATGCAAAGCTTCCCCACAACCATATCTTTGTGCCCACGGATTTGTTACTGATCGATCGTCAAAGGCGAATTATACAATCAGCTGCGTGTTCATATTCGCAGGCGTCAACTATGGCATGGGGAGACACAACAAATCTCTTGACCAAGTCCACGAAATTGAGGCGCTCAAATTTCAGTCCCTGGCGACAATCACTTACATTGCGAATATGATGTTTATTAAACTCTCTATCGGTATATTCCTGCTGCGGCTTGCGACTCAAAGGCGTTACAAATACACCATCTACGGAAGCATAGGCGTCGTGGCCGTGTGGAGCATAGTCCTCTTCTTCTGGAATCTGTTTCAGTGCCGTCCGGTTCAGGCGCAATGGGATTACACGATCCTTAGGAATGACAAGACCGCTTCCTGCGTAGACGTGGCGCAAGTCGTCAATGCCGCTTACTCGCTGAGCGCCTTGACCGTATTGTCGGACTGGTTCTATGCCCTGATCCCGATCCCTATGGTCTGGAGCGTCAAGATGACAAAGCAGGCAAAGGCGACAGTTATGGTCATTCTGGGGCTGGGTGTCTTTGCCAGTATCGCGACGCTCATCCGGCTGAAATTCCTGGCTGATCTAACAGATCTCGATGACCTTTTATGTGAGTCATGAGAAATTGGGCGTTGCTTGCCAAAACCATACCTAACCTTATCACTTAGTTGCCACGACAGACGCCATGGTCTGGACTCTCATAGAGCCAGGAGTGGCCATTGTCGCCTCCAGCCTCGTTACCATCCGGCCGCTGCTCCGGGCCTGGAAGATCAGGGGCTTCTCGTCAACCGGGAACACCAGCAGCAAGAAGACTGGGACGGGGCCGCTGTCCTACGGGCAACGATCAAACATTATGCCAGGTTTTGGCTCGAAAAATTTGGCTTCGACAGACGTCGAGTCAGGTCATGGAACAAACCGCTTTTCCTCGGTAGCAAGCATAGACCAGAACAAAAGAGCGCGCCTCTCCCAGATCAGCCCAATCGTAGAGCGCATCACCGAGACCCCCGAGGACGCCCCGGAGGGGCGAGAGACCGGGGATGACTTTTTGAAGCCGGCCGGTCTCCGCCGCCAATCGGAGGTGCCCAGCGAAGTATACGTAATAGAGGGTGCGCCATCGCCGCGACTGCCGGGCCGCGCCTTTTATAGCCAGCGCGACTGGCCGTCGTCGTACTCTGCCACCTCCTCCGAGGTCGAGCTCGCGGCCATGCAGCCCGTGCACACACAGTCCGATGGGAGAGTGGGCCTGGGATCGCCGCGGCGGAGTACGGAATAAATACCGGCTTCATAGACGTTTTATATATATATATATCAATGCTTGTTTTTTTTTTTTATCCCGGCTTGAATTGTTGGGATGGTATGGGATGCTTCAAGATGGGGGAACCGGGCCCGCGGCGCAATGAAAGAGGACAATGATACCCTTGGGATCAGGACGGGAAAACTCGGCATTAAACTTTAATGGGTAGCGAATGACAATTATACAATTGTGTTGACATACTGTCTTCGGGGGGCTACCTTTTACGATTGTTGCGTTTCTCTCAATGACATATCTACATGGTGAGCTCCGATGTATGTGTTGTCAACGTGGGCTATCCGGGAGCGATCCAAGCGTTCATATGCCGGACGCGGTGAATATGTATAACCACCGTGTTTTACGTTATGGGGATGGAGCACAGTATCGTCTCTGCAACCTCTGATCTAGGCCACATAATCGAGACTGATTTCATCCATTGAGTGACGACCATGGCCGTTTCATGTGTTCGCGATCATGGCAGAAGTAATAGCCAGAGTTCTCAAGGGCATGTCTGAAATCTATACTCCAAAGCCCATATAGAAGCTTTAGAGTTGTGAATCATTCAAGTCAAGGTCAAAGACTGGTCATGTCGAATCCTGAGAGGGGACCAAAGCTCAACAACGCAAATTCGAGCGATTGAGAGGTCTGACTACAGACGTGCTGTTTACAGGAGTACTGAATGGGTATTCATACCATATCTAACAAAAAGATTTTGTACGCGTGCATATGATCTCAGTTGCTTTTTTGGAAATTCCGTTGTGTTGAAAAACGTGTCAAATATATTTGCTGCTAGAGAGGCAGTTAAGACCCAGAAATTTCTAGGTTCCTTGTAGCAAGACCGCTACATCACTACCTCAGCAACCAACTGATGTCCACCATTATGCAATGTATCTGAAATCAGGGTGCCTGTATCCCAAGTCGGCCTTCTCTTGCTCAGTCAAACCTTCCAACCTATGATCCCGGCCTCCCCTAGCTCTTATCCGGTTCTCCCACTTGCAGTACGCGATACCGAAGAGCGCCAGAATCAAGACAACGAACTGAGCAGTGAGATTGATGGAGTGGCCGATGGGGAAATTCGGGCCATCCGTGGAGAGATATGCCCAAACAGCCAGGATACCGCCAGCAGTGCCTAGGGTGACGATCCATCCACTCGAGACCGCCCGTACAGCCGGACCAGCTGAGTTGTTGATGCCCCATGACAGGAATCCCGGCCCTCCGGGAAATGCACCGATAGCGACAAAGTAGACGCCCATATACTTCAAGTTGGAGTTGTCGCTCCACCGTAGCACCGAGAAGCCAGTGATACCCAAAAGTGTGAAACCGGCGAGGTAGATGCCGCGCATCCTCGTCTTGTCACTAATGAAGGCAATGGCGATCGCCACCAGCGAGGCGAGGACATAAGGCGGCACACTGTAGAGTTGGGCCTTGGTCGAGGTCCAACCTAGTTCTGCTAACAGAGTGGGCATGAAAACAGACAAACCCTGGACAGTGACGTTGATCAGGAAGAAGCCACCAGCGCAGATGTAGTTGTTAATGTTAAGCATAGCGCGCTTCACATGTCTTGGCTTGACGACCTCGTTGGAATCGCCCTTGTGCTCGAGTCGGAGACGTTCCTCGGCGATCCATTTTTCACGATCATTTAGTCGCTTCGAAGTTGAGGGGCTCTGGGGTAAGATGATGGGAGCCAGGGCTCCAATGATCATGGTGAGAAGCCCTTCAAAAAAGAAAATATTGCGCCAAGAATGGATGGGCGTTGAAGCTGTTCCCCAGGCTGGAATTCGTGACAACCCAGCAGCAAGAAGACCTATTCGTCGTCAGCGAACCAAAGCTACGACACGAGAACTCGGCCAAGAGCTTACCTCCAAAAGCACCAGCCATTGATGCTGCTGAAACATAAATGCCAACCCTAAAGTACAGCTCCTTTCGCTTGTAGAAGGAGCTGAGGAAGAATGCGATACCGGGCATGGCACCGCCTTCGAAAACACCAAGCAAGGCTCGCATGCCGCAAAGCTGCTCAAAGGTTTTGACGAAAGCCGTACACATGGAGACGAAACCAAACCCGACTACCAGTCCAGGGATGAAGTAGCGAGGTCCAATTTTCTTCAACAGGATGTTGCTTGGCACTTCAAAGCACATGTAGACGATGTAGAAGATCGATAGGGCCCAGTTGAAACGATTGTCGCGGTTGAGATCAAGCTCCACAGCCATTCCTTGAATTCGGGCATTACCGATATTAGCACTATGGGGAGTCATTAATATGCTTTCTCCCAACAACCTGTGGAAGCGGTACTGACCGGTCTAGAAAGCAAAGCAGGTACAGAACGGTCACCATCGGTACGATCTGCCAGTCGAGCTTATGCCTAATGGCAGTCTCTTCAGCTTCAGTCCATAGTGGCGTTTGGATGGAGCCGTCGCTCTTCTCGTGAGCCTCCAGCTCTACTGGCGATGGTGTCTTGTCAATTGACATGATGCTGGTTTTTGCCACAGAGCCCACGACTTGAAGGTTGATTTCCGTGATTAAGGGGCAGAGTATAAGAGAAACAAAAGGAGTTCGACCTGGGGGAGGATCGGCCGTAATATGTGAGCAACGGTACATATGCCAAGACACAAGGAAAAAACGCGTCCAGCAAGGGTGGTCCAGTATGTGTCATTAAAAGCCTGGGCGCACCCAGTCCTCTTCGTCTAGCTTATCACTACCCCAGAGTCCCCCATACGAGGATTGCCGACCGGCAGATACCTCAGGTAACATTCCACGGCTATTTCCACCATACTGTTCCATAGGCCAGCACATCGTGGGTTCTGCCGAGACGGAGAATGCGACCCTCGTTGGCAAAGATCCTTGAAATCTTTAGTCCTCATTGGTTCGACTATGATTCTCAGCAGGGTACCCCGCGGCTAAGACACGATTAGCCACCCGATTTTAGCAGGCTTCCCCACGAACCCCAATGTCATTATTCGTGGAGGTCGAAGCTATTGCTTTATGGCAGCTTACAGGCAAAAGCTGGTCAATATGGGTTTTAATTGCTTGGGCATCTGAAGCGGCCTGTAAGTCCTATCGACGTGCCACACCCTAGTACTTTGCGAAGTGGTCGGACAGAAACGCATGTTTGCTGGTGTCTTGGATATGTCTCGGTAGCTGAGGATTCGACATATTGCTGTCGTTTGAATCTGTATCTGGGATCTCACATGTTGCACATGATCTGCATCCGGCAAACTGGTTGGAGGTGCCGGTACGACATGGCCATGTGCTGGCTGCAGTAGCCAGGTTCTCCAAATCTTATATAGCCGCGGGTTCGGATCTTGACACGGCAAGTGCATGGTATGCGGTTCATTGCTCTGGCCAGACTCCAAAAAGCCCCAAAACGGACAGAAACCACCCAGCCGTGCCAATACCTGTTCCGTGAGTGGTTGAGCCCATGACCCCTAGTGCAGGCGAAGTCTTGGTACACGAATGCACGTGCGACGACAACGTAATACAGCTGAAACCATAGAGGCCGTCAGCGTGATGATGACTAAAGATCACCGATGACCTCTGTTTCTCATGAGTTCATCAGGTACACCACCCTCACCATATTTGCAGGGGTAAAGCTCCATATCCCCAAACAGTGGTCACTCCCCGCACCGAGCCAAATACTGATACATACTCTGCACAAACAAAACAAAGCACTCATCTGGTGAGTGAAGCGAAATTATAGCTGGGAGCATCTGTGTCATGTCGGGATTGTGTATTTTGTTGCGCTTGCTGATAAACTGCCCAGTCTAGCTGACGCATCGGTTCTCTAACTATAGAGCCTGTGTTTGGTCGTCCCAGGGTTGGGTCGTTTGGGAGGGAAGACGAGATAGGCATCGCCATCGGAGTGCAATCTATTTCAATTGATGGAGCGCAGTCAGTTACCTGGCCCAAGTTGTGTTGCGAAGGACCATGTTGAATAACACTGGAAGCAGCTTCATAGATACTTGTTTGATGCAAACATTAATTATACATTAAATATCCGGAGTTTCTTTCATCTATCAGACGTACATTTTCACTCCACTCAATCCAACCTCCTGTCCTCCTCACCCCTTTCAAGCAATGCCTCCCGCTCGCCCTTGGATCCATCGTTGCCTCTATACAAGATAAAGTGCTGGGTCATGAAGCAGAGATCATACAGCATGGATATGTTGCCGAGGGCGAACTTCACAGGGTTACCTGTAATACCACTCCAATCTCCTTGGAGGTACGAGTCGATGCCCAGCTGGGCAATACTCAGAATGCCGCCGGCAAAGTCCAGCAGGATCTGCCAAATGCTCCAGCCTTTTGTGCTCTTGTTTTTCGCATTGTACCACAACTGTGGGGCGTACTTGATCAGGGTGACGAACAACTTGACGTAGGAGATCATATATACAGCATCGAGCCATGCCCAAGCGTGTGCCGCATCTGCAGAGGGATCTCGGCCTGCGACGATGAAGATGACGATAGCGATGGCGACGAGGGAGCCGGTCATTACGCCGAGGATCAGGCGTGAGGGCTTGGTGCCGGGCGCATGTGTGAAGCCCCAGTGGGAGGGTAGCAGATATTGTGACGTCGTAATGGCACAGACGATTACGGCGTGTAGGGCGAAGACGATGTCGTTGAATGCAACGGTCGGCGCATGGCCCTCGCCGTTGCGAAGCGCATATTGATGGCGGATCAAGGGTGACCAGTAGAAAGCAGCGTTGGAAGTGAAATATGCGCAGAAGCCTGAGACGTAATGTGATGTCAGTGCATGCTTCTAGACGACACGTGTATGGCTGGTCCCTCGTAGAACAAGTGTTGCGCAAAGGAAGGATAAAGTGTTAAAGAGGGAGGGCTTTCATACCGAAGGTGTTGATCAGCGGAAAGTCCACAGTTGTTCCCGATGTCGACTTCCTGCGCCAGCTAAGAAGCGGCTGGCTGTAGAAGGACGCAGACCAACATATGGTATAGATCCAGCCAAAGACGCCGGAGAGAAAAACGAGGAACTGCATGGCGCAGTGGATCTCCGATGGGTCGCGGTATACTCGTTTAGGAAACTGTCGCGTCCGGGCTTGGGCGGGTTTATTGAGGAACACCAATGCTTCCTTTCGTCCATTCAAGTGAGGCAGGCGAAGGTGAGGATCACAGACGTTACAGCCTACAGCAAGACGGTCATGGGAGTTTGCTCGTTCGGGCCAGCAGTCGTCACCGGTGTGCAGTGTGAACTTGGTCAGCTGAAGTTCAAGTTTAAGCTTTGTCGGGGCCCACGGCGTCGGATCCGCGCGCCAAGAATTTGGCACGCCATTGATCACGCCAGCGATAAGAGCCGATAAGATGGAGGGAGTCCTCCAAGGTTGCAGTAGTCATGCCTGTTATGTACGTAGGTACATACATAGCATCATCTCGCCCGGACCGGTGTAGTTGTACAAGTAGAGTGATGGGAAGGTAAAGTTGTGATGAAACATGCAAGACAGGTCACAGTTCTGAGTCCGGAGGCGCAGCAGGCCTGTCCAACCCGTCTGACGGCTCGATAATTCTACGGATGTTTCTCCTGAATGATGGGGCCATCGGCATTTACATGGTGGGTCGTATCGCTGGTCCACTTCGTGTTTGCTTTCAAGGCTGCTGAATAGAGATGCAAGTTTGTTTACTATTCAACAGGATGGACATTTGAAGTTTCTTTCCAACGAATAACCACGCGGCTGTGCTTGGACTTTTGTCTAATATCGCCAATAAGCCGAGAGGTCGTCACTAAGACTAGCTGGCATTAAATACTGTACGGATTAGTTGTTAGACTCTCAGCTCAGGACAATGCGTCGGCGCTAAGTTAGACGGCAATCATCAGGTTCCAATCGTTTGGCACTCCGGATATGACTCGCTGAGTTCCGTTCTAGCATCGGGATCGGCGGCAGTCTGACTGCGCTCAGATATAGGACATACGATTAGTTCGGAAATTTTTCGTCTTTCGTCTTTTTTCTATCCTCCATCTTGTTCCCGTTGCAGGAATGGCTTGCGGGTTGCCGGTGTTGCAGATCTAGACCGGGTGTCCCTGACTCTCGAGCCTCACAATTTCCACTTCTTATCAATCCACCATATTCTTGTCACGCCATTCCGTGCAGGACCTTTATCAAAACACACCACCATCGTGTTATGGTCCCACTTGAACGGGAACAATAAATTTTGAAATCTACTACGACTGCCTGGACAAATCTGAACTTGTTAAAAACTTAATATACAACATTGGTACACTTTAACAACATCTTCAAGTCGATTAGGAGTGACCGCCATCATGGATAGTAACGACGCCATCATTTCGTACACATTTGAGGACGGCTGTCATGCCGACGCCCCGCCGACGTTTCTGACACTGCCGGTTGAGCTGAGATTGGAGATATACGCCTATCTTCTGCGCCTGGTCGAGCCTTGCAAAGGTTTCACCCCTTCTGAGAAACCTCGAGTACACCCACAGATTCTCTCCGCCTGCCGGCAAACGCACTTCGAGGCACATCCCATGCTCTATCGCCTCAACGCATTCTTGGCACACCCGTCTCTCTTGACTTCCTTCCCTAGGCTACGCCAGAAGTATTCGCCTGTCGCATCGTCCACAATGGCATCCCTCATCCGGTCCTTCAAGCTGAGAGTCAGACTGGATGCCGGGCCTGGATTCACGCGCGAGGCTGCAACTGAGGCGTTCAGCGGGCTGGATGAAGTTGAGATTGAGGTGTGGCAGGCGGCGTATCGCGGAGCTGGTAGGGACGTGCTTGAGCTGTTCGAGGATATCAGAGGAGTAAGGAAAGCAAGGATCACTGGCAGCACGAGTGGCTTCGAAGAATATGCTGCGTGGCTAGAGAAGTCAATGATGAGTCCATCAGGACAGCAGCTTGGCAGAAAATATACTGGCGAGACGGGTGATGTGAGCATGGTGAGTTTGTTCTGGAAGGGGACGGTGTAAGGTAGCTCGACGCTCTGGGAAGTGGCTAACGATTGTAGGCTTGGAGAACATGCTTGTTCTTGGATTACTGCAAGTGATCTCTTTTCATGATCAGTGATTTTATGATATGGAGTTCCGGATGGCTTTAGCGGGTGTGTTTGGCAGGTTGGAAATAAAAGATCAGGGACAGCACAATGTTGTTTTGTGCTAAAGCACCGCGCCCCAGCTGTTAGGTGGGCTTTGGGCATATGAGTGCACCGGCTTAGTTGGTCATAACACTCAGCCCTTTAATTAATTCATTATCCATACAAATGCCTTTATATGAACCAGGCGTATTCATACCACCTGTGGTGTTTCTGTCGGCCACACTGCTGTGAATAGCTAACCTGGGACTAGCAGTGCTGCGCTGTCTACCCTGATAAGCGAGAAAAGCAAAAGCAGCAATACATAGCTAATCCAAGCCCAGTCTCCAGAATTGACTTTGAGAAGGCCCACGTAATGCCTGTGCAACTTACAGCAAGGGGGACGTTAGGCCATGAAATATGAAAGGGCCTGGTGTAACAGCGAGCAAAAGCATATCTAGCCTCGGACAGACCCGGAACACTTGGGCTGTGTCGTGGATGGCGGTTATCCAACCAGCTTGAACCATGTGCAATAAGCAATCAAAAGTGGTCACTACAGACATTTGCCGTCGCCCACGTTTTGTTGTACGCGCATTTTGCAAGGCTATCCATGATCATGTTTCAAATCAATGCTGCTGAACGTCAGACGAGATCGGCAGCAATCGCGCCCACGTGTCGCGATTGCTAACGGCGCCATGGGATGTAGTATGGTGGCGACACTAGAAGTAGTGAGCAAGGTCTTTGGGAATGAATCAGATTTGCTTGTGCTCTGGAAAGGGCGAAAGAAAGAATGAATGAATACCACCTACCTACAATGTATATTACCGTTGATCCCTGCTCTTAATAGTCTGGGCTCTGGAGGTCGTAGCAGACGCCAACCCCACTATTAAGTAAGTGCATACTTACAAGTAAGCTAGCTGACAGCATTTGAAGCCCCATTTCAGCCTTTGGAGGTCCAGAAACGGAGTGCTGGTCCATGGTCCATGCGCTGCATTCCAGGGGTTTACTGTTAGTCAGGCGAGGGTCTTTTAGTCTTCTTAGACAAGGACCAGGACCAGGACAAGGACAAAGGACAAATCCATGGCCAATCTCGCGTCATCAGCTCAACCTTTAGGGTCCTCGCCGAAAACTGACCGATAGTCTTGAGTACAGCTCACTCCAAGAAGAAGAAAAACAACCAACACAATCTGGATTGGAGTGCGCAAAATACCAGCACTCTCTCCTCACACATGGCAACATAAAGAGGGCCTCTGAAAATCTTAGCATGACAACGAGTCTCCCGTGAACAGAGGAAATAAAGGCCAAGCTGAAATACACGTCTCGCCGCCATCGCCATGTGTCGATTTCTGGTGAGTACCCAACCTAGTCACGCGATCTCCCCCCTCCAACGCTGCCCACTTGCTCATTGCCATTGCTTTTGCAGCTGTACCGAGGCAGCGACGAGATTCTGCTCTCGAAGCTCATTTTAGATCCCACACATTCGATCCTCAAACAATCATTCGACTCGCGGTTACGACTTGTAAGCGGCCCCGGCCCCGTACCCAAACCCAAGTTGCACCAGATGCTGACACATGGTTGCTGATGCAGGACACAACCCGAGGTAAAAACAATGCCGATGGCTTTGGCATCGGCTGGTATACAGACCCGAAACTAGGCGCTGCTCCCTGTCTTTTCACCTCCGTCATTCCCGCATGGAACTGCACCAACCTCACCCGCATCGCCTCCAAGACAGCATCACGATTGGTATTTGCCCACGTCCGAGCCACCACCGAAGGCTCTGTCACTGAGGACAACTGCCATCCCTTCTACCATGGCAGCCTAATGTTTATGCACAATGGTGGGCTGGGAGGATGGAAGTACATCAAGAGAAGACTTGGCGAGAAACTGCACGACAAGTGGTACCTCTCCGTTCAAGGAGGCACCGACAGCGAATGGTCGTTTGCCTTGTTTCTCGACAGGCTGGAAAGATTGGGCCTTGATCCCAGCTCGCAACCTGAAGAAGGATTCAGCCCCTCTATATTGAGAAAGGCTCTTTTGCAGACCATCGAGATCATCAACGAGCTTACTATGAGCATATCCGAAAGCGTCGTCCAAAGCGAAAATGTCGATACACGCAGTTTGCTCAACTTTGCTGTCACCGACGGTCACAGCGTCGTCTGCACCAGATATGTGAGCAGTAAGACAGACGAAGCTGCAAGCTTGTACTATTCATCCGGAACGCAATGGGAGAGCAAGCCATCCCCCAATGATGTCTCGCAAGGCCGTGACTATCAGATGGAGCGACGCGACAAGGGCTCCGATGTCGTACTCGTCGCCAGTGAGCCCCTGACGTTTGAGCGAGGTAAGCAGCACTGAAACAATGCGCCATCTGACTTTCACTGATCAAGCCACAGAGAATTGGGTGAATGTACCTACAAACTCCATCTTGACTATTCATCGCCAGTCAGTCATGGTTCACCCCATTGAAGATGGCTTTTCCGAGAAGGACCCCTATCATAAGCGTTCCTCGGCTTTCGCAACCAAGAAAGGTCTCACCACTAACGAGAAACCCGCGCCTACTATCCCCGACAACGGCCTCGCGACGCCGGCGGCGGAACAGGAGCCACAGAAACGATCATTTGGTCCTCTGATTCCCACCAACAGCCGCACAAAGCCTACGGAGCCTAACAGCCTCCCAGTTCAAGTGGTCGCCCGCGTCAAGTCGCCGCTGGCTGCAACTCAGAACACCCACAGTATCTCTCAGAATGTTCCGGAGGCACGGACAACCCGACCTGAAATCACTGCCAAGCAGGCAAGCCAGGGAAACATCAAGAAGAAGCGACGCTCACTAATGGCTGGCGAATGGGCTCACCCCACGGAGTATTTGGACTCGGAAGGCCAGCAATTGTCTATACCAGATAGTCCGCCCACTAGGGCTAGTGAATACGGCAACAACGAAAAAGCAGCGCGCATTCTAGGATTGGCCCTGTAGGGCGGGAGTCAGGACTATAGACCGCCTCTGCGAAGTTATTGCGGGTAGTTCACGGATCCGGCCTTTGGATTTGGATTTCTTCATTTTCCCTCCTTATTTCTTTTTTTCTTCACAATTTTTTTTTTCCTTTTAAAATTAAATCTGAGTCGCGGCATTCATTTTAGACTGTATTACGACGAAGTCAGGCATGGTGTTCGGGAGCAAAGGCTGGTTCACATAACACGCATTCAAAGGTATGCCAGCGATGCATATTCATCACATAAGTTCTACCAGCCTCCGGTTTCTAGCAGGTTTGTAGACAAATTGAAGATTTAAGACAGAAATTATGACGAAATATCCTTCAAGTCTTGATACGGCGTCATGCAGTGTACTTTTGTCGCTGTTGATTTAGCTCTATGCTGCTCGTATATATCCAGCTAGTATTGCCGTTCGGGTGCCGCGCTGTTGCGGGGAGCGTTGCGTAGCATTGTCATGTATATCTCCCCCATCTACGAGACTCCATCAACTTCTTTTTAGCAGACGGTATGTTAAGTCTTGATATTGCAGAACAGAGAGCTTCCATTTGAGGTTGCTTCTGTATTTCCAACCAACACCGACGCGTCGAAGACAACGTCCAATTTGCATGCTCACTTACATCATTACGCGGGGTTGGAACATGAAGCAGAACTGCGCTGGTCAAGCTCACTTACAACAACCATGGTGGTGACGAAGCTGAAAGGGAGCGAGATATATCGAGTCTACAAGCTCGAAGGTATAAGCCCTCCTCTTGTTCATCGTACACACATCAGCGCATCGTCGCCGAAGTTCGAAGAGATACTGCCCTCCTGAATAAGCATTGAGCCGATCCAGCTCCGGCCAGCTTCAACAGTGGAAGCTCCGAACTTGACCACCACGCAGCCCCTGACATTTGCCGCAGACCACAGAACTCGGTCTGTAGCCTCCTGCCGGATTCTGGCTGCGCGCCACTTTTCTAACCGCGACCGTGCCGCCTCTTCCTCCTTTTCCTTTGCGGTGCGAAAGTCCCTTCCTCCTAACCTCGGGAGCGCAGCGAATTCGGACAGGAAGAAGTCGCTCAAGGACTTTACCAGGGGGCCGCGCAGCAGTAGCGTACCGAAGACGGCATTCTGATGCATCGTATCTCGAAGTGGCATCGACCGCGCCGCTTTCGGGGTACCATCAAGGATGACGGTATCTCTCACCAACAGCCTGTTTTTAAGATTCTTGGCTGGACTCGGTACCCACACCTCATTGCGCCCCGTATATCTGTCCAGATCCCAGTTCTCACCGCGTGCCGAGCGCCCATGGGTGACCCAATCAAGCATGCACAAGGACGCCGTGCCCTGGAGAGTAAAGACTTGAGTTTGCTCGTAGTTGCTGCCCTCAAATGGTTGCACTGGGTCGGGCAAAAGACACAGACCGGCACCGTCGAGGATCTCCACCGTCATCTTCTGTCCCGTGACAATGCCAGGGGACGTCGGTTTGAAGATCTTGGTATGGCCTTGCGTAGCTAGGGACAGTCTTGTGTCCGGCTGCAGGTCAACCGCGAGGTTGACCTGGTCGCCTCCGACCAGTCCACCACCGTAGGAGAGCAGGAAGACCAGAACACTCTTCTGGTCGGCTTTGAATGAAGGCGAGATGAGTTTGAGCGGGTATTGATATGTTATACTCTCTAGCGTGGGGACCTTGGTTGGCGAAGGCCCGACCACGATGCGCCCTTCTCCGGCAACGGACGAAGATTTGGGAAAAGGAGAGTTCATGGTCTAGATCGTCGCACAATGACACATTTTATATCAGTGGTTCCTGCTGTAACATCTTAAAATGAGAACAATCGACATGAATAACAATATTGATATCAACTCGAAACGCAGATTAGAGAGAGAATACAGCGTGCAATTCTTGTGCCATGGTCGAGGCGTCCGCTTCGACTCCTCTAATCATCCCCACCAGGCCCGCCCGTCGCTCCAATCAGACCCCTACCGTTGGGACAAACCCGATTCCTTGGCGCCAAACTACAGGTGAGGCTATATTACTAGATAAAAAGGCTGATTATTTATAATAAGAACCTCTATTTATTTATTTATAATTAAACCTCTTGTTGATGTTATACCTTTTATTTATTTCCTTTCTCCAGGCTATATCGTAAAAACTGAGGATTTGGACTAACCGAATGATTCACAAATTCAACTGCGGGGTGATCACAGTGAGTCACGATACATAGGCGTAGAAAAGCCATTACGAAATTGAGCATATAGGCAGCGATGGAAATACTATAAATACCCATATGTCACGCGAGTGATAATCTTGTTCAAAGTTCTAGTTGTAGCTCGGCTTCGGTAACACTTAGTTGTGACAAGGCAATATTTGTATCAGAACTTGACCTCGATCTTCGGCGATCTACCGTACGTCTAAGTGATCTTGCCAGGTCACTGCTCTAACAGGGCGTAAAACGCCCGGGATTTCTGCAAAGAATGGAGCCAGGAAGAACAGTTGAAATAAGAGGTGTTCGGATTGTAGTTGCGGGCTGTGTAAGTGCTCGAGGACAATGCCCGTCGATCTGCGCCTTTCATTCTGACGCAAAGTTAGGGTCACGGCTTGCTAAGCTTGATATACACAGCGGCCCAGCAGGCCGCCGAAGCGAAGGGGTGGGATAAGATCGACCTCTTGATTATCGGGGGCGACTTCCAAGCGGCGCGCAATGCAGCCGACTTGACGGTCATGTCAGTCCCGGCCAGGTACCGACGCTTGGGTGACTTCCCTGCGTACTATAGCGGGGAGGCGAAGGCCCCGATCCGGACCATCTTCGTTGGCGGTAATCACGAAGCGAGCTCCTATCTTTGGGAGCTCTATTACGGCGGCTGGGTTGCCCCGAATATTTACTATCTCGGTGCTGCTAATGTGTTGCGTTATGGCCCTATCCGCATCGCGGGCATAAGCGGTATATGGAAGGATGTTGATTTTTATAAGCCGCATTTCGAACGCCTGCCATTCAACCTTGGTGACATCAAGGGTTTCTATCATGTGCGGGAGATTGACGTACGCAAGTTGATGCTTATCAGAGATCAAGTCGATATAGGTATAAGTCATGACTGGCCTAATCTCATTGAACGTTTCGGGGACTTGGAAGATCTGCTTAGAAGAAAGCCGCAATTCAGACGTGATAGCACGACAGGCACCTTGGGGAATCCCGCAGCCGCTGATTTGATGGACCGGTTGAGACCGCCTTACTGGTTCTCGGCACACATGCACTGCAAATTCACTGCAGTCAAGTCGTATCCCCCACCGGGCACTGAAACGACTACTGATGTGGACGATACTGCTGCGGTATCTACGAGTATCGACCACTTAGACGATGGTGGGACCCAATCGAACGCTGCCGGGCCAGTTGTGTTTGACCTCCTGCCAGCCCGTGCGGAGAACGTCGACGGCCCGAGGCCCGCAGACACGAACGCGATTGTGACCGCCCCAGATAATTCCAATACTGCACAAGTCAGCACGAAATCCGGAAAACAACGAGCCCAACTTCGCGCATTTTTCGCACCTTCTCAGAAGCCCGCAGTCCTTCCAGTGCCCGCGACGATCACCAACACGGTAACACGCTTCATGGCTCTGGACAAGCCCCTCCCGGGGCGTGAATTCCTAGAGGCTATTGACATTCTACCCACATTGGCCCCTACCCAGCAACGCAGCACCGATCTTCGGTTACAGTACGACCCCGAGTGGCTAGCCATAACCCGCGCGCTTCATACGTCCCTCAAGATCGGGAAGCGGGGTGAGCCCACGCCGCCCGATCTGGGTGAGGCCGTATATCGGCCCATGGTCGACAAGGAGCGAAGGTGGGTCGAGGAGAACATCGTGCGGAAGGACAGGCTGGAGATCCCCGAGAACTTCTCCGTCACCGCGCCCCCTCACATGCCGGGGGACCCTGAGAGCGTGGACCGGCAGCCGGACGAGTACACGAATCCACAGACGCGCGAGTTTTGCCGGCTGCTTGATGTGGAGAATCTGTGGGATGCGACTGACGAAGAGCGAGCGGTGCGCAAAGCTGGCAGGCCGCCTCTCGATGAGTCAAGCGAGATCCGCGGCACCGACTCCAGAGCCGACAGAAGCAGCAAAAGAGGTGGGCGCGATGGGCGCTCTGGAGGTAGAGCAGGCAAGGCGAGTGGACTCGGAGATCGCAGTCCAGCGCCTTAGGATTTATATGTGCATATTTATTTGAAAGCTAGCCGTGCAGTTCGCAACGAATGTATCTAGTAACCTTGGACTAGACTAGTTACTCGGCCGAGTTTGGTATGTATCGCTTTGCTCGGGCATCAGAAATCACAATTCTGCCTGGAACATCATGATGTGGACTACCGTACGTCGGTTACGGACCCGCACACAGGTTGAAGACATAAGAAAGTCTCTCTTGTCGGGTGGTACATGATTATGGCCTGAGAAACAAGGCATGAAAATGAAAAGGAATACCGTGCAGCACTAGCGCGCCAACAATGCTGGTCGCAACCCACGAACTCCAAACTTCCAAGGATCAACAGGTTACCTTGTCGTGCCTTTTGGTGCTAAGCTGTTGACCCACCAGTGACATCCCGACCCCGAAACCTGAACGCGCTCAACCACCCACACCAGGTCATTACTGTTGCCGGCCTATCGTCGCCAAAGATATGGTCGCATTTCTCTGAACATTCATGTAGATGTCGACAGAAAGAGCGCCCCTCATGGAGAGTGAAGATAACAACGCGACTCCAACGCCCTCTGCCGGTGAGGCGCGCCGTCGCTCCGGACGCGTCGTGCGAGCTCCTAAGAAGTTCACCGAGGAGATCCAGAACGACGCCACCGCCTCGTCCAGACGCAAGCGCGCACGCGACGACAACGACGAAGATGCTGAGAACCAAGAGCCAGAAGATTCCCTGGAAGACGCCAGCGACGACGAGCCCGCTGAGGAAAGCGAGGCGGACTTGGCCCCAAAGCCCAAGGCCAAGTCCAGGTCCAGGTCCAAGAAGCCAGCCGCGAAGAAGCCCAAGATCAATGGCACTGCACCGGCCGAAGCTGAACCTTCAGCGCCGGCAACCCAGGCCCCAGCCATCAGATTACAACACCGACCCAAGAAGACTGTGCGCGTCGCAATCGCGAGGAAGGACGGCGATGGTCTGTATGGTGAGTTGTTCAACGTAAAGGGCAGAGCAGGCCCTGACGCTGGAGGGGAGAAAACATGCACTGACAAGGTTTCACTCTCTACAGCTGATATCTTCACTTCTGGCGACTCCTCCGACGACGTTGCTGCACATTGGTTCCAGCGATACCTCGAAAACGATGCTGCTGCACTCACAGACCTGATTAACTGCATCTTGCTTGCGACAGGTTGTGACCAGTCTCTGACAGAGGACGACATTCGTGACCCGGAGAACTCGGCAAACAAACTGTCTGAGCTGGAAGAGGCTTACGAACAGGTATACAGATCCATGACTCAAACACAAGGACTCCAGGATCGCTAACTTAGACTTCCAGACAAGCATATCCGACTACCCGTTGATTTCTAGAGCCAAGAGTAGCAAGGACTTCCGTCAACAGCTGATTGCCTTTTTTGACTCCCTCATCAGTTTGCTGCACCAGACAGACACTCTCTATCAGGACAATGAAGAGCTTCTGGACAACATCCAACGTTGGGTGGGCATCATGTCCTCCTCCTCCCTCCGACCCTTCCGGCATACAGCCACAACCATCGGTCTTGCGTTACTCGGCTCCATGATCACCGTCACCAGGCAGCTGGATGACCGAATCACAAAATCCAACCAAGCGCTCGAGGCCGAGTCCAACCGGAGAGGCAAGAACAAGGGCTTGCTCGCAACCACTCAGAAAGCGCTTGACACCGCGAATCAGAACCGTCAGTTGATCGACGAGAAGGTCAAGGAGTTTTTTGATATTATCTTTGTCCACCGTTACCGTGATATTGACGCCAAAATCCGCGCCGAGTGCATTGAGGCTCTGGGAAACTGGATCTGCACATTGCCTACAGTGTACATGTCGCCAGAATACTTGAGATACTTGGGATGGCTTCTGTCCGATGTAGCCCCAACTACACGCCTGGAGGTGCTGAAGCAGCTCGGTCGCGTGCTCAAACGTGATGCCGAGAAACTAGCTCACTTCATCGACAGGTTCCGGCCCCGACTGGTGGAGATGGCAACCAAGGACCACGATCTTTCGGTGCGGGTCGCAGCCATCAGTGTCGTTGATGTTCTACGCGCATCTGGTATGCTTGAGCCTGAGGAGGTGGATAGTATCTGCAAGCTCCTCTTCGAAGCGGAGCCTAGAATCCGCAAAGCCGTTGTTCCTTTCTTTGTAGACCTAATACAGGAAGTGATCGTCAATAAGATTGATGAAATAGGCGGCAGTGATGCTATTGACGAGGTATTTGGAGACGACGACGATGCAGATCACGACTCTCTGCACAAAGGCTGGATCAACATCAAGGCTTTGGCAGAGAATTTGGCAGTCTACAATGCGCAACTAGACCAGGAGCAAGACGAAATACGACATGGTATTGATGTGGCCGCGGATGTTGTCAACGCCAACATTCCAGAATCACGGATTGCGCTGGCAACTCAAGCGCTTTTTGAGAAGATGCCGGAGATCAGCAATTGGCAGAGCTTGGCTGGTTATCTCTTATTCGATCACACCACCAGCTCAAAATCCAGGTCCAGGTCAAAGACGAACTCAATAGAAGCAGCAACTCGTAAAGCGGTTGCTCCTTCTTCGGAGGAGGAGGCAATCCTTATCGAGGTGCTCGCCAGTGCTGTAAAGGAGAGCCTTACTCAAGGCGGCCAACACGATGGTACAAGAAGACGACCTGGTCGGCTGGATAATGACGGGCATGAAGACATCGGTATTCAGCTGGCGGAGGCTATACCAAAACTCTTGAACAAGTACGGATCAGATCCTCATGTTGCCAGCATTGTACTTCGGTTAGAACACTACCTCGACCTAGATGTGTTCCAACAATTACGGCAAAATTCTGCGGTATACGACAAGCTACTTGATGCAGTCACTGCACAGTTCAACCGCCACGTGGATCAAGCTGTTTTGAACGAGGCAGCGGCGGCACTGCTGCACGCAAGGCGCTATGACGAGCTAGAAGAACTTGCTGACAGCAAACTTACAAGTCTCTGGGACAACAGCCTCAATTCGTTAAGGAACTTTGAGAAGACATGCGAGTTGTCCGTGCGCGGGAATCTCGATCGAGCTGCATTAGCAGAGCTCGCCAATGTGCTGAAAAAGGTCAGCAAATTGACAGCTATTTCCGATTGTGTTGAGATTCTTGAAGCACCAGGTACTGCCGAAGACTTCAACGACCCGATCATCAAGATTCTAGTCGGCATCGTGCATCGGGGTTTGCTCACAGAACCTGACGATGCCCTGGACGATCCAGAAGATGAAGTCGTGGCGTTTGCCATCAAGTCTTGCCTGGTCTACTTTATGTGGAAGGTCGCATCGTTAAAGACTGCACTGCAGAATGAGGAGGATATCCCAAATGACGAGGCTGATCGACTTGTACTTCTGCGCAAGGAATTTGTGAAGAATCTGATCCACACATTTTCCTCTCGAGGTTTCAACGACGACCTCCGACTCTCCGCCACCGGAACGGCCTGCGACATTGGTGGGCTATTCGTCTTCCTTCGACCATATCTGCAAGGGCCACAAGCGGCCAAGTATGCCAAGCTGAAGCCCTTGTTGGACGAGCTTCCTTCCGGTCTCATCCCTGCCGAAGTCATCCCCATTTTCGATGCTGCGGAGCGTGCATACGCTCAACGGTCTCACAAGCACCTAAACCCAGTGGCAGATGACGAGGATCCAGTCGACGATGAGGCCCCACCAGAGGATGACGAGGACGAAGAACTTACCGAGCAAGAACGCCAAGCTGCAGAGCTCAAAGCTGAGAAGATCCTTTGCGATCTGACTGGCAAGCTTGTCCTCGGCATACTGGCCAAGGTCCTCGATGCAACAGGTCCCCACGCCGGAAAGCTGCGAAAGCGAATTCTGCGTAACAAGACCAAGCTGGGTCATAGTTTCAAGGAGGTAGCTGCCTTTCTAGATGAGGATCATCTCAAGGAAGTGAGGGGAGAGAACAAGAAAAAGGTTGCCTCCAGGAAGAAGGAGGCGCTGAAACCTATGAAGAGCGCAGAACTCGTTGTAGAGGATGATGATGTGGAAGACCCTTTCGCTGATGAGCCTGAAGAAGGGACAGAACAGGATCTACGAAACAGGGAATTGCTTGATGACCCCATAGAGGACGATGAGGATGATGAGAGGCCGCCAGAGCCCATGGATGAAGATAGTGTGATTGGCGACTAGGGATTTATTGCTTTGGAAGTTCTGTCAAATAATTATTGCTGTCACGAACGGAGTATAGGATTGTAAAGAAGCGGATTGCTGATAGGCCTGGTGCGGGCCGTATCATAGTGTTGGTCTAACATGACAGCCCGAGCTTCGCAATTTTTCTCGCTCAATTTTTTCATGTATGAATAACTACTTGCGTTCTTGAAGACCGAAACACCTAGGTCCTCAAGCCTTGACATTTTGTGTCCGGGACGAGATTTGGGCCCGGTGACTGCGAAAGCAGCAACCACTTTCACCGCGGGACGTAATGATGACAATATCACGCAGGTCCGCCATGCTTTTTGAAACTTATCCCGATTGTCGATGCCCCTGACAAAGGAACGATTGACACCATCAAACACTTTGGCTCTCCTCTCTCCGTCGATGCTTCGGGGGCTGTCACCCGATCACGCGGTACCACATTGGCACGTCGCTACACAATTGGGAAAGTCTGGCCCGTTTGTAACCACAACCAACACAAACTTCTGTCTACAGGCGAGCCCTTATATGGTTGCCTAACGTGCTTGCGGGGTCGCGTGATGTTCAGAGAGCCTCCTCTTGTATGATGCGAGGGCGGCGCAGTTTCCCTTGCGCATAACTGCACGCACCGTATATTGTGCAATGCAGCCGCACGAATCGTATGGGCGGAGAACGGCTACAATTGGCTTGGCCGGCTGGAGCTGGGCAAGCTAGGGCAGCTGAGCTTGGGAAACACCAAGTCCTCAGGAGACAGTCGCTGGCCTTGGCCGTGCGTTGTGCACTATATATACGGACACGGTGCAAATCCCTGGTGTTGTTCATACAGAGCAACAGAATCACGGACAGCAGTTTGTGATCGTTCTTAAAATAGATCCTTTACGAGATGTGTGATGGAGTCGAGTGGAATGGGGACCCCTAATGGCTAACCGTTGTTATTTGGGATTCTGACCAATTGCATTGATGTGCCTTGTTTCAATTGATTGTTGTTAGTGCGACCATGCGTTAAAAGTGGACTTCTTGGCCTGTTGTCCACTCTAGCCTCACTTAGCGCAAGCAACCAGGGGGAAGAAAACAGTCCACGGAGCACCAAGTGTCAGACAACTAGGTAGTGGCAAGTACATATTCGGTGATGTATTCATGTGTATCTTCTGTAGCTGATTCTTGGCACTCCAAAGAGATACTTGCAGAAACTTCTATGGAACGTCACGTGACTGCTAATTGCTAGTACGGCCCGCTCCACCGTTCAACACCAAGCCCTTCCAAAGCAGAACTTTACTTTAGGGGGGCATTGCGATGCTCCTTGACGCATGACGATTCAGCCATGGTGGGACGTTGGGGATGGGCACCCTTTTCCCGACCGAGCGAGTGGACCACGAGTACGGATCGCCGTCTGGGGAGGACCAAGCTCGACCATGGCAATGCCTCTTCCCTTGATCCATTCTTTGGGCCCTGATCGTCGCTGTCAATGCTATGTAATCGTGTGGAGGAAATCCTGTTGCCTGACGAAGCAAGTGGGATAATTCGCGCTGTTACTGTTACTCCTTCTTTTTGTTTAATTGGGTTTTATTTTCCTCTCTCTTTGGCCTAATTGTATAGACTCGCCTGTTCCCAGATAATGGACGCGCGGCCGATTGGTTATTGATACCAGCTCCCCAGACGACGCTGTTCACGACACAGCGTAGAAATCGGCCACAAACAGGAATATTGACGCCTATATGTTGACTATGATTTAATATGATCACGTCACTTGTCCGTCGTGGGCCCTGCGTCCTACTCCCTTTTAACAAGAAGAGCTTACTGCTCACCATCATACTGCTGCCGTCGGTGTTGATGTGGCTGTACCACCTCGTCCCAGCCATCCGCAGCGGACTCTTCCAGCCCATCACCAGCGCCTTGTCCCCCCCGTCGGATCCCACCATAGCCGCGGAGCATCGAGTCCCACCGATCGACCTGGCAGCCTACCCCTACAGCCAGCAGAGCAACCTCAGCGTCAACTTGGTGATCGCGACCATCGCATCGGAAGACATATCGTGGACCTCACGGCTGCAGATCCCGAACCTGAACATCGTCCGCTACGTCTCGGACGAGCCCACGGCGCAGTACCACCCGCCGGTGCCCAAGGGCCGCGAGGCGCTCATGTACCACACGTACCTGCACGACTTCTACGACGCGCTGCCGGACGTGTCCATCTTCGTGCACGCCGACGAGCAGCCGTGGCACACGGACGCGGAGCTGTGGGACTCGATGCTCTTCACCCTGTCCAACCTGGACCTGGCGGCCGTGGCGGAGCGCGGCTACGCCAACCTGCGCGTCAACTGGTACCAGGCGTGCCCGGACTGGATCAACACGACCAAGTCGGTCGAGGAGTCGGTGAAGCAGGAGGAGCCGTGGATGGCGGCGGCGTTCCGGGCCAACTTCGGCGACGAGGCTGAGGTGCCCGAGATCCTGGCGGGGCCCTGCTGCAGCCAGTTCGCGGTGACGCGCGAGGCGATCCGGTCGCGGCCCCGGGAGGCGTACGCGCAGACGCAGCGCTGGCTCGTCGAGACGGACTGGAGCGACTACATCGTGGGCCGCATCTGGGAGCGGCTGTGGAGCTACCTGTTCCTCGAGGGCCGGCCGACCGACTGCCCCGTCGAGTGGAAGGCCTTCTGCCGCATGTACGGGGTCTGCTTCCCGGGGCCCGGGGCCGCCGGGCTCGACGACTTTCGGGCGCTGTGGGCGGAGCGCAAGGGCCTGGTCGGCCGCAGGGGCTTCTGGCGCGAGCTGTGGGATCCGCAGCGCGCCGGCCACGAGAGGGCGCGCATCGGGGTGCTGGACCGCGAGCTCGACGCCAGGCTCAGGGATGCCATGGAGAGGGGCCGGTCGGAGAAGGCGGCGGGCGGCGCATTGCAAGGAGGGAAGCAGCAGCAGCAGACGCTGGGTGATTTGTTTGTCGACGATACCCCGTGAAAATTTATGTTTTCTCACTCAGATGAGCGGGTATTATAAAGTTTGGATGATACATAGCATCCGATGTTACAATAATCTAAAAGAAAAACACAAGATAAAAAAAAAATCTAAAGAATATGAGAACCCAATAGTCTCACGGTTGTGAAGAGAAATGACCGTTCATCTTGAAGAAAGTGGGTGGGAGTGTCGACATTTCTGGCTAACAAGCTTTCGCGGTGTTGCAGGGCGGAGGGGCTCCGGGATTGGTCACGACCAGCTAACCGAGATGTCTCGGATCATTCGTCAGATCATCCACCAGATCATCCAACACGTGCAGTGAGGGACTGCGCAACTACCATCTACACGCACAGCGGGACGTAAAAGGATAAGCGCCAATCGCGACCAGCGCGCGACGTAATATACGTTGATCCCGAACAAATCGAGACTTGAATATAATAGAGGGTATCATTAATACAAGTTTCTTTGTCGCCGAACCATGATCAAACATATTTCTTGCAGCACCAGACTCCGAACTGACCATGCGAATAAGACGTAATACATCTCGCCTCAAACCTCGCAACATAAACAGGGAAACGCGCGATCAACTAATCTTTGTCCCGAAAAGGCCGAACATGCGCTGGTAACGCTTTCCCTTCGTTGCATCACACTTCTTTGGGTCGCTTTCCGGAACTTCGATACCATATTGTCTAAGACAACAAGTAAACGGCTTGTTTGACAGCACCCCGGCGGCCGGTTTTGGGTCACCGTCTTGGCGGCCGTCTATGTTCTCGTCATCCGAACTGTCAGGTGGTGCCTGATTTGCCGCCAGTCGTCTACGCGACTGGATTTGTGTCTTCGACTCATGCTCTTTATGTTCTTCGAGGTTGCCCCAGAGCTTGAAGAGCTGCTCTGTCAGAGTAGACAGCTCGTCTGGATTTGCGCGGAGGTCGCAAGCGTCCATATTTAGCAGGCATTGTGCATCCTTATTGTTCACCATTGCCCAGAGTCGCCCTGCTGGTCCGTTTTTGCCTGCCTTGGATCCAGCTTCCTCCAGCTGAAGTGCGAAATGCCATTCCCAAACCTTCTCTCCAGTGAATCCATCCAGTGTTCCTTGATCATCGTCAGATTCTGAAGCTGAACTACCACCAAAATCTGATAGCATGTCGTACTCGGTGACCTTTCTCCATGTGGCAAAATTCTCGAGCTTTCGTGGCCGATAATCAACCACACGGACGTGGGTACGGTATTTCGCATTTGTGAAAGGTAGTGAAATGGAAGTTGGTACTTCGTCTAAGGTTGTATTGTAAACAACGGGCTCCAGAATGGTGGACAGCGGGGATACAGGCTCGTCTAGACTTTCGCATTTGATAACTTCATTCAGCCCTAAGAGCGCTTCCCGTTTGTTCTCTGCCTGAACAAGCTGCTTGTTCTTGACCATACGCTGTGCATTTCGTCGTTCTTTGGCGGTCTGCTTCGTATCACCGAGGTTGTCGTCGGCTTTTCGCTTTCCGCTACCTTCCTTTGTCGTGAAAGATTTCTTCTGCTCCTTGGCCGTTTTTTCGTAATCGCGCCTTCGTCGGATTGCCTCCTTCAGTCGGTCGTCGATTAGGTCCTTACCCGAGGTTTCCAACACCTCAACTGCTTTCCTGGATCCGAAGCTCCCTCTGTCCTCTCTGAGATAGCCTTCCAAGTTCTTTCCATTGTTACCGAACTTGATCTGGATGTTTTGCAACTTGACCCAGTCACCTGCCTTAACCTCTTCCCTCACTCGGGTAGCATGCGGCTCGAAGCAGGTAACTTGCATGGAGCGCTTTCCGAATGGCCCGGGCCAACTACGAGACAGCGCATTGGCATTAACATTGACATAGCCAAAGGGATCACCGTCTTGGCCTTGAGGGATGCCACTCCCATCCCATGTATACCTGAAGAAGTTATCATTCTCTGTGTAGTCAGTGACCCACAGGGTCACTTTGTCCATCATATCGTACGGATCCTTGACCACTCGGACAACAAGATTACAAAACTGGTGCTCACGAGCATCTTTGAGGATGGCAAACTTGTCCTTGACGTTGCAAGACCGATCGACGTTGACCTGGTACTCTTCCGCTGTGGGTAGCTTGTACTTGTCGCTTGCGTGATACATCCAAGAGACGTACTTACACTCTTGATCTGTAGGAGCCCGTTGTCTGGACTTTGTCGGTTTTGCGGCATCAACGGCTGACCTTGGTGGTCTTGGGATCTCAGAGGCAGGGAAAATAGTGATCTCGGTAGCCCTGTTGGCAATGATACAGGGATGATGTGCCCATTCATAGACCTTTGTGGAGTAGACGAGAATCACATCACCAACGGTTGGATTTGGCATGTCCTCCTGTGGCCAGAAAATGTTGAAGATGAGTCCTCTATCATCATCCTCGGTGGACTTGTCCATCAGGGTCAGAGTGCATTTCCAGTCTGGTGGCCATGTCAGCTATGGTTCGTGAAGATGCAACGAACGCCTATTGATTACCTGTGCCATTGGTAGGCATGGGCGCCCTCATATCCTTGACAAGGCCAATGACACTGACGAAGCGGCCTTTTTGGATCTCGTCATTAAGAATATCTTGAATTTTGACTACGCCCTTGGGAAGTTCTTTTTCTGCTAATCGGCGCCTTGGGCGAGCGGAGGAGCCCACGGGCCCATAGGGAGGCATGGTCCAACCTTGACAATACGAAGGAAGATTTTGGGTAGCATGCAGAGTCGTTGAGGGGATGATAGAGATGGAGCAGTGGTCTTGTGACACGTTGAACGCGATTCAATTAAAGTACGCGAGTGCTTGGCGAACGCGCTGTCACGTTTTCCTGATTGGAGGGGTAAAAGTTTCGTTAATAGCATGTGGCCTGTGCTCCGCTCTACCATGAGCAAGGTGGGGTTAGACTTAGTTGGTTCTCCCACATGTCAGTGCAGTTACAGTTACAGTTACCATGATTGAGACTGGCGGGCGCTTCCGGGGGGATGGAGGATCGGACACTGAAGGTGAAAGCCAAAGCCGAAGCGAAGGCCAAAGCAAAAGCCAAAGCTCTAGCTGCGTGAGGACTGATGAGCCCAAGTCGCAGGACATGAGAGATCTGATACATGGACTCAAATGGCATCGATAAGGACCTTTGTGGCATCTAGACTACAAAGGATTATGCGTGTCTGCAGGAGAAATATGTGAGACAATTCTGCGATGACATCCCCCTCCGACTCGCACTAACCTGTAGACGACTGTCCGATTTTGTGTGCCTCTTGTTGGTTGCCACCGCGTTTCTTTCCTTTCCATGGATTACGCTCGCTTTATTAGGGAGTCCCCACCCCCAAATTCCTTGCTCAGCTCCCGTTGCCGTTGCCGAAGCCAACAGAAGGCGTGGGAGTGCACTGAATGGCCTGTTAAATGATCTGAACCTGAACCTGAACCTGAACCTACATACTTGGGCGCCCTGGCACTTGCAGCATCATACGGATCCGTACATAGCTCAAAAGGTTCCTTCCCCTCACATATTCGTATTCTCTTCCCTGAGACGGCGGTAACTTACTCTAACCTAGAGTTTTTTTCTACTCCATCACACTGAACACACCAACTCGTGCCTCTGCATTTCCAACAGCAGTAACCACTTGGAACTATTCACAAGCAGACTTGATTGTCTCCACTTGTGAAGAATTCTTCATTGATCATTTCTCTAGACTCTTTCCGTCATTAATCAAAACAAACCACCCCGCCTTTTTCTAGGGATTCCCTCAGGGAACCAAAACAAAATCCCCTGCTTTTTCACAGCAACCGCCACTGCCAGTTTCTGCCACTACAGCACTCGGTTGTTCAGCATCACTTTTTTTTTTTGCGATATTAGCATCCCACATCGCAACCATGGCTGACCGGTACATTCCCGAGCATCGCAGAACTCAGTTCAAGGCGAAGAACACCTTCAAGCCTGACGAGCTCCGACGTCGCCGCGAGGAGCAGCAAGTCGAGATTCGCAAGGCCAAGAGAGAGGAGAACCTGGCCAAGCGCCGTGGTATCGGTACAGGTGACCAGCGACCTGGTGCATCTTTGGGCGCTGCTCCCGACAGCGACGATGACACTGCGCCTACCGAGAGTCAGGTATGTTCAGCTCTCTAATTCTCCAGCCCTTCTTCATTCCCCAGACCTTCCATTAGCGTCTTGCTGGAAGACCATGCATGCGCCTCGCCAGGACACTCAGTCGGGGACATGTTCCTTCTGAGGTTCTCGGCTACGTCGTCTGTATTTTTACTTTCTCCATGGACACGTACACGGAATCGCAGACTCCAAGCTCGTCGGCGCTAACCAAAAAACCGTGCTGCAGCTCAACGAGGACCTCCCTCAAATGGTCCAAGGTGTCTTCTCAGAACAGATCGATCTCCAAATCCAGGCCACAACCAAGTTCAGGAAGCTTCTCTCGAAAGAACGTAACCCCCCTATCGAGGAGGTCATCAAGACTGGTGTCGTCTCTCGATTTGTAGAGTTCCTGCGATCCCCGCACACTCTAGTCCAGTTCGAGGCCGCTTGGGCCTTGACCAACATTGCCTCTGGATCTGCCACCCAGACCCAGGTCGTCATTGAAGCCGGTGCTGTCCCCATCTTTGTCGAGCTCCTCGCCAGCCCCGAGCCCGATGTGCGAGAGCAGGCTGTTTGGGCCCTTGGCAACATCGCTGGTGACAGCCCCTCCTGCCGAGATTACGTCCTCAGTTGTGGCGCTCTCAAGCCTCTTCTGGCTCTTCTTGGTGACAGCCGTAAGCTGAGCATGCTCCGGAATGCGACGTGGACTTTGAGCAACTTTTGCAGAGGCAAGACCCCTCAACCCGACTGGAACACCGTAAGTCACCCTTCTACACTTCACTGCTCACGTTGAAGGACCGTTGCTAAAACATCGTAAAAGATTGCGCCCGCCCTTCCCGTGCTTGCCAAGCTGGTGTACTCCTTGGACGACGAGGTTCTCATCGATGCCTGCTGGGCTATTTCGTACCTCAGCGATGGCTCCAACGACAAGATCCAGGCCGTTATCGAGGCTGGAATCCCCCGTCGTCTGGTAGAGCTTCTCATGCACGCATCCACTTCCGTCCAGACTCCTGCGCTGCGCTCCGTCGGTAACATTGTCACGGGAGACGACGTGCAGACCCAGGTCATCATCAACTGCGGAGCCCTCCCATGCCTCCTGTCGCTCTTGAGCTCAAACAAGGATGGAATTCGAAAGGAAGCCTGCTGGACCATCTCGAACATCACTGCGGGTAACAGCCAGCAGATTCAGTCCGTCATCGACGCAAACATCATCCCACCTCTCATCCACTTGCTCTCGAACGGCGATCTCAAGACCAGAAAAGAGGCTTGTTGGGCCATTAGCAATGCCACAAGCGGCGGCTTACAGAAGCCTGAGCAAATTCGATACCTGGTCTCTCAGAACTGCATCCGCCCCCTGTGCGACCTTCTGAGCTGCCCCGATAACAAGATCATCCAGGTCGCTCTCGACGGCCTCGAGAACATCCTCAAGGTCGGTGATTTGGACAAGCAGGCTGCTGGTGATGGTCCCGACTCTATCAACCGCTACGCCCTTTTCATCGAGGAGTGCGGAGGCATGGAGAAGATCCACGACTGCCAGACCAACGCCAACGAGGAGATCTACATGAAGTCGTACAACATCATCGAGAAGTACTTCTCTGACGAGGACGAGAACGCCGAAGAGGGCATGGCTCCTCAAACACAGGGCGCCAACGGCACGTTCGGTTTCGGCACCAACGGTGCTCAAGGCGGCTTCAACTTTGCCAACGGAGGCGACTCTATGGATATGTAGAATCTGTCTGCTTTTGCAACGCCTTGTTTTGGAAATCCGTCCAGAGGAATTATGCACGGACGACAGGATTCCGATCTTTAACGTCGTCGAACTTCCCACTGTATCATTACATACTCTGATGGGCCGACGACTGTAATCCAACAAATCCTTACGGATCACGAGATGCGCCACATATTACATTCCCAAGCGACACCCAGCACAGCTTTGCATCACGGATCGCAATATGCGCCACAACACTCCAGATTTCCCAGTGACATCCAGCATCGACGCAATCATCCCCCGTACCCCTATACCATACGACGTTTTTTTACCGCGGCACGAGAAGAGGAAAGACATGACTTTTGGCATGAGTGGAGGACAGGTCCTTTGGTAGCTTGAAAGCTCCAGCCTGGTGAGACAGCAAATGGGGCTGTATGAAGAGGTGAACAGTTTTGTACGAATGAGGGTCATCGAATGGTAGCTTGAAAGCTCCAACCCTCTGAGTCTATGTGTCATGAGATCACGATGCGTCGCTTTTCTCAATGAACATGTCGGTGGATATTAGTTGCGTCGACAACTCGAATATTTACCGGTCGTGATAAAGACATTGGGCTCCTGGTGGTCGAACGCTGTTACTCCGAGTGGCTGAACAGCCGCTTCGACCCCTTTTTTGAAGACAAGGTGGATCTGTTCAACCAAGTGGTTGGCTCTAGAAACGTTACCTAGCTTCAGATATATGAGTAGTAGTTGACAAAATGTGAACAAGCTGCCTCCCCCAGTGTACAGTCTTGGCTCCGATGACTGTCGTGCTCTTACTTCCTCACCCGTTTCCGTGTGATATTGATCCAGAAACCAAAACAACTTTTGTGTGTATCTTCGCACAGCCCACCAACCCCCGGCTCAGTAGTTGTTACATAAGGTGCTAATTTTCCACCACAAGAACGCCATACTGTGAAATGGTACATCGCTATCAGAAGAATCTTGGGCAACACAAGACTCTACAGCACTAGAAAACTATCACAAGACTACAATTACTGAACAAATAGAGCCAGCGGGTTTCTACATGAATCCAAACTCTACGATCAAGCAAGCATCGACAAGCTCGTCGCTTTGCATGGTCCAATCTATGTCGGAATGAAAAGGGCCAGTACGAATAGACAGAATCTAGGTTGGCCACCATGATTAATCTTTCGACAATGAAACGCAAGGCATATTACTCGGCCATAGGGGGTTTTCTGTTTTATGGAGCCACACTTTGGTATCTTTGTGGTTGCAATTCCGGTTAAGCAGTATCTGCGAAGAAATTGAGCTCGGCCGGGCTAACCTTAAAGTGGTATTCGGACCCCGGCAGGAGAGGGGGGAGGAGGGGTCCCTCTGTTTATTGTCTTTGACAACATCTGCAAGCTGCTGATCATGGCTCGTGGTCTGGGGATACCACATGACTGCATGAGAAAAATGGCGAATGCCTTCTCAAAGACCTCCATGTTGACGCTTCGGGGGAGAAACTGCAAGCACTTTGTACATCTGATGTTTATTCTTGGCACGATTCATTAGTATGCATCAATCCGCGACGAAAATCAAAATGAACCTCTTGCAAAGTGCCCAGAGGGCTATGTTCAATCTCACAGAAAGAGTTTTAGGGAATGATGCGAAGAGTTAATTGGTTGAAGAACTCAAATGTGGTTAGGAGACCAATCGATATCAATATCAATACCAGCGTAGAAGCATAAACTATTGCTTTTCTTATCAAAGACTGCTCCTCAGTGCCATTTCGGGGCAGTCATTCCTCGCTAGCCAGCCTACCAAGAAAGGAATATAGCAGGTATGCCCAGGCAACATTTGATTCAATTTTGACAAGTATCAAGTCCCAAGAATGTTTGGCACGATATCCAAAGAACCTGTTGAAGACAGCCTAGGTTTATTATACGGGCATAGTGACGTTGATATTCTTTTGTGTTGGAAAAGATCTACTCAAGCCTTGTGATTTACAAACATTATTTATCCTCGTGACAAACCCCAAAAATAATATCCGGAAATCACGGCTTTCATCTCAAAGAGATTCTTATTCGGAATGGTTGACATATCCCTTCTCTTCATCGTCCACGTTGGTATTAGCCCGCTCCGCGGCGCTCCTTCTATGCAGGGCACCCTGCACATCAGCAGGGCGAATGGAGCTATTCCGCCGGACCTGCTCCTTCTCCTGGTCGACGTACCGCTGTGGGCGCTTGGACGACTTGGCGTCCGGGTCTCTGAATATTAGGATGTCCTGGTTGTGCTGGAAGAAGCGGTCGACGTCCTCGAGGGAGCGGTCGGCCGTCTCCGGGTAGAACAGGTAGACGATGGGGATGAAGGAAAAGTTGAAGACGGTCCAGATGATGTAGAACCGCCAGCCGATGGACGCGATTCCAATGGGTGTGATCTCCACCACCATGAAGTTGATGATCCAGTTCGTCGCCGTCCCCAGCGCCGCGCCCTTGGTACGCATGCTGAGACTGTTGATTTCGGTCGGGTAGAGCCATGGGACTCCTGGAGGGTGGGAGATGTTGTAAGCAGGATGCATTTTAAGAACGATGGATTTCGTGTATCACATACCTTGCCAGCCGATTCCGAAGAACACATAGTAGAGAAAGAAGAACGCGATGGACGCCTTGGCCCATTGGACATTGGCCGTGCTTCCGATCCCTGGATCCTCGCTGTAGCGGATGCAGATGGTGATGATCATGTAACAGAAAAATTGTCCCGCCGCCGCATCTGGTCGTTTTAGCGTTGGTCCATGAAGAAAGGTTATTGCAGGACTTACACATCATCATCTTTCTTCTGCCCCATCTCTCCACGTTCGGTATACCGATCGTGCTAAACAGGAGATATGATACGGAATTGCACGCTGCGAGCAAGCGTGCTAATTTCTCATCCAAACCAACAGATTGTATGAGTACAAGCGGAAGGTAATATGATGTGACATTGATGCCGGAGAATTCTGATTAAAAGAATTAGAGTCAGCCTGCCTTTTGTATCGCTTGGAAGAGTAGAAAACCAGTGGCGCAGTGTTCGTAAGTAGGTGGTACTATATCTTCTCGGATTTTCAAGGAGGAATACGAAGCAGATCGGGATTGATGACTTACGCTGCATAGCTTGGGCGCCCATGCCGAGTATCAATCGTCGTATTGTACTAGTACCGCCATGCGGACCAGTCTTGCCTCGAAGCAATTTTGACCAGGGAATAGTGTTTTCTTTCTCATAATTCACTGCCCATTGTATATCTTTAGACTGTGTGACGATGTATGGTTCATCAGCCTCCAAGGCCTCGAGATCCGCTAAGATGACTTCGGCTTCCTCAATCCGTCCTTTCGCGATAAGCCATCTAGACTAGATTAGCGGACGCGTTGCAGCCAAAGAGTTGAGACATACCTGGGGCTTTCTGGGAGCCAAGGAACGGTGCCGTACAAGATAAAGATAAAGATGAACTGGATCGCCAACGGTAAGCGCCAGGCAATAGAGCCTGAAGCAAACGATAGCCCAAATGTAACCCAATTGCCTATTTCAGAGTTAGCACTATTTTCCTTTTCTTTTTCTTTTTGCGCCAGGCGAGGTTCTGTCACAAGTGCTTACTTAGCATAAACCCGAAAATGTTCATAATCATCTCAATCACGATGAGTTTTCCGCGCCAACTTGCTTTGGATGTTTCGCCCTGCCAGACCGGTGCGGTCGAAGTGTTCATGCCGTTGCCGATGCCCGCGACGATGCGCCCGACGATCATCTGCGGCACGCCAAAGGCAGCCACCTGCAAGATGGCCCCGATGCTCATGATGGTGGTGCCAACCAAGATGGTCTTCTTGCGTCCGAGTCTCTCGCCAACCCAGATGGTCGAAATGGCGCCGAGGAAACAGCCGATATCGTAAATGGCAGTGACAGTACTTTGCATCGTCGCATTGTCCGCGATGCCCAGTAGGTCGAGGAAGTCAGGCGTAACTATAACGCCTCCAAAAACACCCTGATCGTATCTTGAGGGATGGTATTAGCTCTACTGTGTGTTGGCTCTAGTGTATAATTCCTGGGAGGCCGTACCCAAAAAGCGTCATGTCGGTCGCACATGCAACCGTGACCCAGAAGGTGAGCCATGCTCCCTTCAATCCAAAGTATGGTTTTCTCGCCATCGTGCTTTCACAGTTCGTTTACTCAGAAAAATTCCCCCTAAGGTTGACATAGCCTGCAGCAGAGACCTCTTTTAACTATAGACGAACAGACTACGAAACGTCATGGCACAGACGAGGACCGGGATATTGAATACAACCATGATCTCTGCTTTGGGGTGCTCTCAATTTCAAACAGTCTACGATCTTCACAGAATGAAGGCCCATCGCAGCAAGTGCCGCTCTAACAACATCATCATGCATACCAAGCGTTGTATTCGATCGTGAGACTCCAGGGGATATGCACCCCATAGTCTAGCGACTGCCGGCTCAGTGCCGCTAGCGTACGTGAGGCGTACATGGCCGGGGGGCTGAGTCGTAGCCCATTGCAATGACGTTAATGATGATTACCTGACAGCGGCGACCCACGCGAGCAAACGCCAGAGACAAGAGGCTTGTCAGGCATATTTCTAAGACTATGGCATTTCCTTAGTGGTGGTTGTATTGTGTAACGGCCGGATAGCTTCCACCCATGTGGGTACATAGGTCTCAGTCGTTCATAGCACAATAAGGTCGACGAGAACTCAACAACGTGAGGGCAGCTTTCATGAATAGTCGGGTCATGTCTCGATACACCGTTGATGCTGATCTCCCAGTTGTGATGATCTTGGTGAACCGCACAGCTCTGTCGTCATAGGTTTGGGATAGCTGGGAGTATTCCGCTCACTTACTTGGCTTGGCTTCAATATAAGGTTTCTGGCGACAGGGGGTCCTTTGCCGGGGGCTAATTGTCAAGGACCTCTCGGCACCTTTTATGGAATCTGGTCAAAGGTCATAAAGCACTCCCCATGTTCGCGCCCTTCTCCATTTAGATCAATTTAATTAAACATTGCAAGTTATGTTGTGTTATGTCGTTTCACATGATCGATCGTACCTACGTTCCAGACGTATTCCATCCCGTAATCTCATAGTCATGAGCCTTGTCGGCGTATCGCATCAGCGATTCCCTTGTCACAAGTTGAAGCTCTTTCACGTTAAGAGACTTCCGTCACTTCCCACAATCCCTAGCCCCGGCCTCATGGGCGTGTGTAAATGTTGATCCTAGAAGTGCCCCCACACCACTCTGTATTATTTCCCCTGCAAGTAGTTACGCAGTCCGCCTCATCCGCCTTGACCGCGCCGTTGATTAGACCATCATTATTGCAGTAGCACTCTTGCCCGTACTCGACACCCATGTACTTGTACCCCTTCCCTGCGCAGAACGACGCGCAGGTCTCTACGCTCATCTGCGGGCTCGATGTGCTCGCCCCCTTATCGAGAGCTCGTCCCGACGTGCCCTCCTTGTAGCAAGCCACGTAGTTGTATGCAACATTGCCATTCACGGTGACATTCGCTACATTGCGCGTAGGCGCGTAAAGTGTGTTGTTATAAACAGACACGCGGCCGCTTCCACCACAGACCTGCGCAACGCTACCCTTGCAGGGCATATTACATGTCGAGTCAGCCGCAGCCTGGCTCGTGGGCGGCGCTGTGTTACCGCAGTAGCACTCGCCGCCGTACTCGACCCCTATGTATGCATAGTTGCCGGCCTGGCAGTACGCCGCGCACTGATCGACCGAGACGGTCGCATTGGCATACGAGTCCTTGTTCAGGAGCCGTCCACTGACCTCGGAGTAGCAGCCGTTGTAGACCACGGTTCCCTTGGCGGGACTTGTGGTCGGCTGCGTCGCAGAGATGGAGGTGTCCTTCCAGATGGTCAACAGTGAAGGGCCTCCGCACCATTGTGTGGCATTGCCCGCACATATCATCTTGCTCGTCGATGCGCAGGTGTCGCTGTTCGTGAACGAAGTGCCAGTGGAAAGTGCAGATGCGCAGTAGCACTCCCGGGAGTACTCTAGACCTGCAATGGGGTAGCCCTTAGTCTTGCAAGTTGCGGTGCAGTAATCGATGGTCATGTTGTTGGCCGAGAAGCTGTAGCCGGTCAACGTTCTCTGACTGCTGCCCTCGGCCGCGCAGCCAGCATATGCCCAAGGCGAAGATGCCGATAGCTTGTCCCCCACGGCCGGGCTGGTCGTGGTTTGGCCTGAGCTTTGAGGTCTAGGATTCATCGCAGGCTGTGTCGCACACACGCCAGGTGGTGCACGAGCTGGTCCGCTCGTGATGTTGTTACAACCAGGCAACTTGGCAATAAGGCCGTGGACCGGCTCATTGATGAGAGCTGGTCTCTCTGGGCAGTTTGTACTTGCGTACGGCGTTTGAGATCGAGCCAAAGGAGGACATAGTGATATTTGGCCATTTATGTTGTCATTATTGACACACTGAGTAACAGCACTGGCAAGGGTTGCCGTGTTCCATCCGTTCATGAAATCTCCGTGGAACCCAAAGCCAGTCGTGTCGCCGTTCGCGAACACAAACTTCCCGCCGGGTGTCTTCTGAATATCATTGACACCATACAGGACTTCATAAAATAAATGTGGGAGAAGTCGAGGGTGGGTCGGCGGGCAGACGCCGTTGTCAATCTGCGACATGTAGGCCACGTGGCTGTTGTCTGTCTGATAATCACGCCCATCCCAGCATGACTGGAAATGAATCTGTGCTCGCAATCCCTGATTACAGTCGGTGCGGAACATATAGTTCTGCTCTGGCATGCCCCCCGAGCTATCTAGACAAGCAAAGCTGACACGATCAGATCGAAGCCGACCCCTGACTGAATTGGTGTTGTAGGTCATAGTCGTGGTGTCATTTGACCGGGCCGTCGTGTCACCGGATAGCATCTTGAATCCAGGCGGAAATGGCTCGATACTGCTCCTGTTATCACCTCGGCCGAGGTAATAAATAACGTGCCCACCGTTTGGCACTTCTTGGAAGGTGCCGTTGCCATGTTGATAGTAGAGTTGTGGTGTCCAGTAGATAGACTTGTCTTCTTGAATCTCGCACGAGGTGCAACTGGACGCTGACAAATCGCTGAAGGTGTCGTTGAAATAGAAATTACTTGCGCCGGAAATTTTGTGCACATGGCCCGCGACGGCTCCAGGGCTCACTATCGGATCGACACGGCCAGTCTGAATAACGCCGCAAGTCATGCGCCAGAATCCGTGGGCAGGGGAAACTGAAGCGGCTGCCAGTAATGCCAGCAAAGTTCGGTTCTTGGTCGTCATGTTGAGTGGTTACTGCTAGGATCTCAAAGACACGAATGTCGATCTGCCTCAATTACAGACATTAGAAAGGGATCCTCGACATAATATAGCAAGGCCGCAGCTCGAGAAACGTCACGAGGTAGCCGTAAGGATGTTCTAACCGGAGTGACTCCCACACACATCCACAGCTAGGCTTGCCAAAACATCGCTCCATTGAGCAGGATCCATTTCTAGCCATTATCAAGAATCGGCCGTAAATCGATATCTTTGGGCGTTTGTGTCGGCTGAGACAATGTATGCCAATGGCAACTCCCCATTGTGCTTGATTAGAAAGGGAGGTCCAGCGTAAAGAATTCAATAATCAGCCCACCGGAGGAGGCCCATGGGAAGGAAAAGAAAAAAGACATCGGAAATTCATTGCAGGCTCTTACTACGAAAGTATACAGCCACTTGCGGAGTGCTGGCGGCGTGAGCCTCTGGTCTAAAGAGGAATAGCGCAAATTAGGAAAGATATTAGACTCGGTGGAATTTAAACCCTATTCTTGGACGTCAGAGATCATAGTGCAGCTTGACAAGGCATAAATGGCTTAACAAACTATATTGGGGGTCAGGAAAGACATGTTAAGTCCGTTTTGGAGTCATCTCTCACCAATCACCGTAAGACTATCAGTGTCGTGCATGAAAGACCTGCTGTTGCTTGGGAACATACGAACCGATTACATCAATTTATCTGTCCTGCTCTCCATGCTTCAAGTACCTGTATAGGGATCTGTGTGTTTATACATGACCACTGGTAATCTTTTGGAGGGCGGCAGGACAGTCTTAAAGTCAGGAGCTTGATAAATTATCTTCAGTGCCCGTCAAGGGAATATATTTTGGATCGTTCAGTCGGGTGACTGAGAATTGAAGGAGCCACCCCCATGGCAGCGCAGTCAGAAAGAGTCCTTCATTAATTTGATATCGCAGGTAAAACTATGCAACTTATTCGTGCACAATCTGAATTTCGGCTTTGAAGTTAACGTTGAAGCCATTCCGCATATGTGACACCTGCTAAAGACAATTGTAGGAATTTCCTCCGTTCACTACCACGGGATTTAACTTGAGTTGCCTTATTAATATCCTTCTGAACGGTTAATTGCTAATTCCAGAAATGTTGAGTCTCAAGGTATTCTGGAATGATGTTTCCCTTCAAATGGTCTATCCGACTGGGCAGTGGTGCAAATGAATCAAACTTCTTGCCATAAAGCGAACCGTGGGTATATGGAGACTCTTCACCGCCTACTTTTCCAAGCTTCGATCATGATTTAGTTGTTGTGAAGGTGAAGCTCCACGTTTCGTATAAAATTGCATTTTACGACGCGCAACGCACGGCTTATAATATATCTTATTGCATTAGGGAAGCAGTCAAAAACGAAACAATTATCATTGTTGTTTATCCAATACAAAATGATTGGTGTCCGGATCAGCTGTCGAGATGAGGGAAAAATTGCCCGGGGTATGCTGCAAAGCCTGGGCCTCGGCGACCCGAGCAGACAAGGATAAAGTAAGTGGCAGCCCTTATACCAGGACTCGCCCTTCTCAGACCTGATATGTGGTTTTCCAGGCAAACTGCAGGGTTCTGTAGATCTCCACATCCGTAGAAGAGAGTTAGCCACAAGCTGATACGGCGTTCAACACGAAGAAGGGGATTTCAATGAAAAGGGAAACCATGAAATCCTGGGAAAGACACAGCTGAAACATTCTTGTGCAGCACAAGAGGTGAGCACGAGTACCATGGGGCAATGATTTTCATACAGCGAACGGCCACTGATGCTGCCGTGAAACGATAGGTGCCGACTATTTCTTGGTTCTTCACAAGCGTATTGGTACCTTGACCCCAGAAAACCTCAAATGTCTTCTGTACTTGTTTTAACATAAGCTCTTGACTGAAGCACACTAAGTCCACCTCCGATGGGATCGACCACGGAGGAAATTGATATAGATATGCTAGGTCACCTAGTTTGTTGCGAAGGTCGAATGAAATGGTTCAACTGCCAATACTTGACAAGGAACTGCCATCCTTTGCTTCGATGGTCATGTGAGCGATGAGACCAGCCGCTTCACGAAAATTACGAAGAAAAGGTGGACACGTTGGATGCTCGACGGCCACAAAGATTATAATGCTCGGTTTTGAATTTAGACATTGGCATCGAGTTTTCTGCATCTTCGTCCCCAGACTTTTCGACCATACCACATTGGCTAGAATGCAAGTGCTACTGCAAACAGCTGAAACCAGTCGCGCGAGAGCGCATCTCCACACCATACGTAGAATTGAAGTCCGGCGTGTTCACCTTCAGTGCGGCACCGCGTAATCTTTTGCGACCCTGCTGCAAATGTACTCTAGGGACAGATCAAATTGCCACCTCATTAGCCACGGCAACAAACTTCCCTGATATGAAGTTGTTGATGTATCTTCTGGGCATCGTGACAGTGAGCGTAGACGGTATCACAACGTTCCCGTCGAAGATCGTGAAACCGAAAAAGAAACCTTAGTTTTGCTTACAGTGTAAATTGTGGTGTTATGTTCAGCGAGAAAACTAGACAAGAAAGGTAAGAGACAAATGGAGGGTAGAACGGATAAAATTTATTCGCTTACCATTTGATAAGCGCGACGTTTCGCAGATCGAACATATATTGAGGATATGGGCTGGTTTTGATAACTGCATGGAATCGGTTCTGGCCTCATCGAGCGCGTCGCCCTCAAAAATACCAAAGTTTATACTCGGCAAGCCGATTGTGGACCAGTCATTCCAGCATATGGGAACTGATTTGTCTACGCGGTATAGTGGCTTGAGGCGGCATTGAATTTTCGCTTCTAATGGATCTCGGCGTTAGTACTTTCGCGGCTTGTGTTTTTCTCTCAGCTTTGTGAGCTTTGCATCTGTCGTATTTGCGTTCTGTTTAAGGAGAAACTTGCTCTGAATTCCAAACTTCAAACCACATATCTATTTCTCCGCATATTCTCTAGGCACGTGAACAACTATACCAAGAGATGACCGGCCGTAAGCGGCATGCAGCTAGTCAATATGTGTTTGTGAAACGTGAAGTACTGCGGGGAAGTGATGATGTCCATGTGTCATACCCATTGAGCATTTATATGAGTAGGTCATCCCACATTGCGTTCCACCTCATCATACCGGGTTATGATTCTTCTCGTTAGACCACGCTATAGTTTCAAAAATTCCTTTACTTTTAATTTTGGTGAACGGCCCCCTTTGGTTAGTGATTAGTGCCCGTGACCTGGCTCCGTCACAGTGAATTAATATCCAAGAAAAAATGCCACAACGTACCTTCGATATTGAAGTAAGCATAAAATGCGCTTATTATTCCAAAGAAGTACTGATTTCCCATAGTCCTACCCAGGAAACATCGTGAACAACGAATTCCTAAAGACCGCATCTACCAGACATGGAACCGACCCCGCCACCGGCGAGCCTTTGTACGAGGTGCCAGTTGCGACCAAAGACGACTTGGACACCGCAGTAAAGCACTCGCGCGCCGCTTTCAAGACATGGTCCAACACACCCTTCGCAGAGCGCGCTGGCCTCTTGCTCAAATTTGCCGACGCCATTGAGAATAACCGTGCGGAGATCGAGAAGCTGCTGACGATGGAGTCTGGCAAGCCGATCAGCCTATCGCGGACTGAACTCGATCTGACCCTCACTTGGCTGCGCGCATTCACGAAGATGGAGCTAAAGGATGAGGTTCTAGAGGACAACGACGAGAAGACGATTTACTCGACACGCGTCCCGCTCGGTGTTTGCGCGGCCATAGTCCCATGGAACTGGCCGCTTCTCCTGGCTGCGGGTAAGATTGGCCCGGCGCTGATCACCGGCAACACCGTCATCGTCAAGCCCTCGCCGTTTACCCCTTATTGTGATCTGAAACTTGGCGAGCTCGGCGTGTCGATCTTCCCACCTGGCGTCGTTCAGGTCCTCAGCGGCAGTGATGATCTGGGGCCTTGGATCACAGAGCACCCTGATATCAACATGGTTTCCTTTACCGGGTCCATTGCCACGGGCAAGCGCGTTGCGGCTAGTTGTGCAAAGACGCTCAAGCGATACGTCCTGGAGTTGGGTGGCAATGACGCGGCAATTATTTGCGACGATGTGGAGATCGAGAAATGTCTGCCCAAGATTACAACGTTGGCATTCCTGAACTCCGGTCAGATTTGCATGGACATCAAACGTCTCTACATTCACGAGAATATCTATGATCAGTTCCGTGATGCAATGGTAGAGTTCGCCAAGAACAATATCAAAACTGGCGGGGGCTTTGAGGATGGCGTCTTGGTAGGACCCCTTCAGAATGCGATGCAGTAAGTGGGTCCTGGTGATTGAAGTACATGATGACTTTCGCTGATGTCCTTCCCAGATTTGCATCGGCCAAAGATATATACTCCGACGTCAAGAAGGAGGGGTGGAAAATTGCGCTGGATGGCAATATCCGCGAATCATCCAAGGGCTTCTTTGCTGAGCCGGTCATCATCGACAATCCACCCGAGGACTCCCGCATAGTGGTCGAGGAGCCCTTCGCGCCAATCGTACCGCTTCTGAAGTGGTCCGACGAGGATGATGTCCTCGAGCGAGCCAACAACCTCGAGACGGGACTTGGTGCCTCGGTCTGGAGTAAGGACTTAAAGCGAGCCGAGCGGATGGCGAGAAAGCTCAGTGCGGGCAGTGTCTGGGTGAACTCGCACTTTGACGTGGCGCCAAACGTGCCATTCGGTGGCCACAAGGAAAGTGGTATCGGTATGGAGTGGGGCATCGAAGGATTGAAGAACTATACAAACTCTAGGAGCTTGTGGGTGTGGAAGAATGTATTTCAATAGGATAAAGCATCCCGGGGCTTCGTAAGCAGCTCAAGATCACTTATAGTGACATATTTCAGTGAGGTGATATGTTAATGATTCAGGTGGATCTGGAGCAGGAAGACTGACAGTGCTGGGAATTTGATTACTGTAACTCAGTACTCTACATATATTTTCATCTCTTGGTATTGAAAGTGACGTGTCCACTATACTCACTCGCAATTAATCTCATATCTTAAACTTCCACAGGACATCAAATACTGACACCACTCAAAAATACAATCATATAATGTTCATTTACAGCACAGACACGGAGTGATCGGTCCCATGCACGTGATTTCCGTTTAAAAGATTTTGTGTTTTAATAGTTCGAAGGCATCGGGGAGTTGAAAATTATACTCGCCCATCTGGCCCGGTCCAAACTGAAGTGCCTGCACTATAGCATTTATTCTGGATGTGGTGCCATGTTTAACATATTCTAATTGTACCGCGGAAATGAATCTAGGACGATATAGCGTAGCGGCACTATATCAATGACATTAACTAGCTGGGTACTCTAACTCTCACGATGGAGTGGACAAAACCAGGGACAGGCCCCACCGATTTTGGCACAGCAACTTGCATGCAAACACAAACCTTAAGACCGTTTCGTATAGGACTAAAGGAGTGGATACCAAAAGGTACTTAGACTATAAGATCTGTGCTATCGTTGGTATTCACGGAAGTGGACAGTATAATTCAAATTGACTGATTGTTGATTGTCACAGCATAAGAATGCATTCCATGATTAACTGAATTTTCGCAACAACCCTATAAGTTTGGAACGGCAAAAATATAAAATGAAGGTGGATTTAAGCTTGTCATTATAACGATTTGTTTCCATAATTCCATGCGCATGGCTATTCACGTATATGCTGTACGACTGACAAAAGCGAGCGATGCTCACCCTTCTTCCAGCCGTCGATTTGCTGGTCAGAAACCGCTGCCCAGGCACTCAGGGGATCAGCCCAGATATCCCACCTCCCTATCCTGCCATCCTCGTCCCAGCCACTGAGGACGTACGAGAACTTCTCGTCCCAGCTCCTCCCCGTTGCAACGCTCTCAAACCTGCCCCTGCCTACCACGGCGACCCTGTTAGCCTCCGCATCCACCACGAAGCCGTCCTCGCCGGGGAAGCTGTCCCTGTCCAGCTGCATCCTCAAGGACTGCGACAGGAGCTTGAAATACTCATTTGAGGCGTCGGAGCCGACGAAGTCGCGTCCGAGGAAAGGAAGATTTACGGTTGCCCACGATGGCCCGTGTTCTCTGATCGTGGGGTTCTTCCCGACGGCTTCTGGAATGAAGAATTCCTTGAGAAGCTCAGGGGGTGGAGGTGGTGTGACTAAGGCTTGGCAGAAGGCGTAGGCGCGGCTGCGCAGGACCGAAGGGCGGTCCTTTGTCTTTTCAGCGTGGTCCTTCTGTACTGTGTGCGAGGTCATCATTCAAAGTTTTTGTGTCCTTTCAGATTGATGCTGGAGATAGGTCGGTTTGAAAGAAAGTTGCATTGCTTGCTGTTGATATTCTGGGCATGGGGCTATTAGCGTTGTGGCCCAGTTAACCTCTGGATCCATCGGCATTGGTATTTGACGCAAGGACTTCGTTAGTATGACATCATTGCATACAGTAAACGTGGAGAAAACATGCGATTGCTCATTCCAAAAGATTGTTGTGACCACTTGGCAAATGCGGTCTCGTAAGCGAGTCAAAGGCTCATTGAATTAGCTTTGGATGGCGGCATAGACATGGCAAGCTGCGCAACTGCCGAGCTCTCAGATTTGGGGTGTTATGGCCACCAATGATGTTCCACTGAGCTTCGTATATCACCTTGCTCTTATCCTTCCATGTGTTCAGCCCTCATTAATCGTCATGTATATGAAAATTGTATGAGCAATCCGAATCAAGTTATTCTCGAGTTTGTACGTCGCCGAGTGGAATTGCAAAGTAGAAGACTTGCCCCCGAGGTCTTTGAAAACTGATGGCATTAGTGAGCCATTGATACCCATCCGAGGCATTATTCGCTAGGACCTTGCAGACATCAGGCACACTGATTTACAGGTCGCTGGACCCTGGATCATATTGTTGCGGCTTGAAGATGGTCGAGCTGATATTAAGATTTTGGAACTTCTGCTGGTTGGGCCTAGCTTTACCAGCTGGGGTAGGAGAATCTGGAAGGCGGTGGGACCTCGAATTGCCCCACGCTCTAGATTCTGCCACTGTCCTTCCATGTCCCGCCTTTCAGTCGCTTTGCTGCCCATAAGTCCGAGGTATTGTGAACGAGGGAAACTAATCCGAAAAGCAACTTTGCAAGGCCTTCGATCCTAGATATCATCGACTTGTTTCCTTTGTAAACTCAGTTCGTTCTCACCCAGCGCCTGTGGCGTGGAAACCGCCAAGATGGTGAACATTACGGAAAAAATCAAGGAGTGAGAATTGCCCCACCATCATGACTTGTTGGCCATAGCGCTCACATGTATCCAGGATTGAGGATGAGATGAGGAGGACACAGAGTATGCACGCCGGACCGATTGAAAACCATGATACTGCATTACTGACAGCCCTTTCCAACCAGAGAACAAAGCGACAGGTAAGTAGATCCATTTCATGGTCATTAAACTTCATGCTAATATCCGCTGTAGAATATCATCTTGGTCTATTGAAAGGGTATGGCTGATATCAATCCTTTCCACAATGGTTTTCCAGCGCTGAGTCCGAAACAGTAAACTTGCGCGGCTTCGAGCACAACTGCTCGAGCCCGGCCCAGGATCCGGTGGTGGCCCTGGTGCCGGTTTCGATGTGAGCAAGAGCGGCGATGCCAGAATAGCACTGGTCGGTTTCCCGTCGGTCGGTAAATCGACCTTCTTGTCGAAAGTCACAAAGACGAGGTCGGAAGTCGCGTCGTACTCCTTCACGACCCTCACGGCTATCCCGGGTGTGCTGGAGTACGGAGGAGCAGAGATCCAGCTGCTCGATTTACCTGGTATCATCGAGGGTGCCGCCGAGGGCAAGGGTAGAGGACGGCAGGTCATCTCGGCGGCCAAGACGAGCGATCTGATTCTCATGGTGCTGGACGCGACAAAGAAGGCCGAGCAGAGGGCGCTGCTCGAGGCGGAACTGGAGGCCGTGGGCATCCGGCTGAATCGGGACCCGCCGAATATCTATCTCAAGCCCAAGAAGGCCGGCGGTATGAAGATCAACTTCCAGAACCCTCCGAAGTATCTGGACGACAAGATGGTGTACAACATCCTTCGCGACTACAAGATGCTCAACTGCGAGGTTCTGGTGCGCGATGACGAGGCGACGGTGGACGACCTCATTGACGTGATCATGAAGGATCATCGCAAATACATCAAGTGTCTTTACGTGTACAACAAGATCGACAGCGTGTCGCTCGACTTCCTCGACAGACTGGCGCGGGAACCTCACACTGTTGTCATGAGCTGTGAGCTGGACCTGGGCGTCCAGGATGTCATTGACCGGTGCTGGAAGGAGCTGCAGCTGGTCCGCATCTACACCAAGCGGAAAGGTATCGACCCTGATTTCAGCGAGGCCTTGATTGTCAAGAGGGATGCCACTATCGAGGATGTGTGCGATCGCATCCACAGAACCCTGAAGGACACATATAAATATGCTCTAGTATGGGGAGCGTCGGCAAGACATATACCTCAACGTGTTGGTTTGGGGCATTTAGTGGCAGATGAGGATGTTGTTTACATCGTCAGCTCCTTCAAGGCGTAGAAGCGTCACCAAAATGAAGAGTTAACAAAATCAAGCTACGGTATGAAATGACGTCGAAAACGGTGAATGCCAGTATTTATTCGTCGTAAAGTATCTTATGATGAAGACCTCTGTATCCTGCAAGCGCGGTGCTGTATCCTGCCTATATTACAGAGCACACCCTTCGCGAAGAACGCCTCCCTGAACTCCCCATGTCATGTTACAAAAGAAAAGGAAAGAAACAAGAGTTCCCTATAGGCCCGTGGTCCAATGGGCAAAATCAGAATGCATATGTGTAGTTGGGTTTCGTAAAGCGGTCGTAAACAGAAAGAGTACAAGAGAAGTTGTCTTCCGGTGGTGGATAATGCGCACTCAAAGCCCAGAAGGCCGCGGCGATGCGCTCTTAGCGCCTAGGACGTTATCGCCGTCCAGCTTCTTGGCCGAAGCTTGTGCGAAGAGCGACTTTGGCTTGGCCCTGTGGGTGGTTGCTGCGTTAGCCATCTGATCTGGATGCGACGGGTTGGGCAGAGAAATGGACGTGTGCGCTAGACTTACTTGCCGACCTGCTTGTTACGGAACGCGCTGAGCTTTGCTGTGCATGGGCTCATGATGCCATCTGACGGGGAGACGTAGTTGTTCTCGTTCCTGCGAGGCGGCGCAAACCATGTTAGTGAACTGCCGTCTGAAAGGGTGGAGTTGGCGGGTTGGGAGTGCGCACTTGTCTTGCTCCATCTTGTTCTGCAGGACCTGGCGGTGGTAGTCCATGCTCTTAACGTCGGGCTTGCCGTTGGCTGCCATGGGGTCCATCTGCTGCACGGCGTGGGTGTTGATGTTCTTCTCTGAGAGGACGTTGCCGGACATTGTGAATGAAGGGTGCAACTATTAGGTTTGCTGTTTGGCCTGTCTTGAGTATGAGCGGGGTCGGCGATGGAGAGCTCTTTTGCGTGAACGCACGAAGATTGTGGTCTGTGATGGTAGCAGCGCGATTGATGGAGAATGAAGAGTGCAGCCTCGTGTTGAAGTCGACGCGGCTCGTTCTTTTATCAATGGGCATTTGTGCACAGGCTTTTGCATGAGGTCAGACCAGTGGAGCCGCCGGCAGTTTCTTCAGCTTAAGTGCAGAAAAAAATGTTCTTTCCGTCGCTAAAGTGGGATGCTAGTCAATAGAGGGCCGGTTGACATGGCAACCGCAACTACCCCTAAACCGCTGACCAGTGCTCAAAGCCCGCAGACGCGCTAAAATACCATCGACAGCAATGTCGTCCTACCAACGGTGGTGCATTTCAGTAGCACAAAAACCGGATCGCTTCTGTGCAATGCCTGCAATGACTCATGTGTTCGTCTCATATGTTTTGGCACCTAGAACAAACACGTAGTGCATGGGGTCAAACGCTAAGTTCAAGGCAACAGCGTAGTGGCTCTGATCAATCTGTTGGATCCGGGGAAGAATAAATCCCCGTCTCGGAGTATACACTAAACATGATCGCCTCTTTCTCATACGCTAAATCAAGTGCTATATCCTACAAACGAGACTTGATGTGCGAGCCGGGCTCGTACCTCTGCACACCGTATTGCTTTAATAGTTGGTCCGTCTTCTGCTTCTGAGCATGGATCTTCTCCGTAACAGCTTTGCCTCTCTTGTTTTCATTGCGGCCCATTTGGTTGAGGTGTACCTCATCTGGCCCATCTGCAAGTCGGAGAGTCCTGATCTGTGCCCACATGTTTGCCAAGGGGGTGTCCTGACTGACACCAGCTCCACCAAATGCTTGCACCGCCCGGTCAATGACCGTCAAAACCGTCTGTGGGACCAAGACCTTGGCTTCCGCAATCTCCTTTAGAGTTGCCTTCGGGCCGAGGTCATCCATCTTCACGGCTGCGTTGAGCACAATCAGACGGGCGGCATCAATCTCAATTCGAGACTTGGCGACCCATTCAAGGATTACGCCATGCTCCCTCAACTGCTTCTTGAACGGGGTCTTGCTGGGGTCGTTGATTCTCATCAGCATCCATTCCAAAGCACGCTCGGCAGCTCCGATACTTCGCATGGCGTGGTGAATACGTCCAGGTCCCAGACGGCCCTGAATAATCTCAAAACCACGACCTTCGCCCAAAACCATGCTACTAGCTGGGACCCGAACGTCTTTAAAGCTGATGTGACCGTGGCCATGGGGCGCATCGTCGTAGCCATACACCGACAGCATGCGGTGGATCGTGATGCCCTTAGTGTTGGCTGGCACCAGCACAACTGATTGTTGCTTGTAGACGTCCTTGTTGTTGGCGTCTGTCTTGCCCATAACAATGTAAATCTGGCATCGAGGATCGCCGGCACCGCTCGACCACCATTTCTGATGATAGTTAGTGTCCTTGCACATCGAACATGGGGACTCTGATCAGCTTACGGAGCCATTCAGCACATATTCGTTGCCTTCTTTCCTGATATCGAGCTGAATATTCGTGGCATCCGATGATGCCACTTCAGGCTCTGTCATGAGGAATGCAGAGCGGATCTCTCCGTCCATCAATGGCTTTAACCACCGGGCCTTTTGTTCTTCGTTTCCGTATTTCGCCAGAACCTCCATATTTCCCGTGTCAGGGGCTGCGCAATTGCAGGCCTCCGAGGCTACTCTGGACTTGCCGAGCCATTCTGCCATGAGACCATATTCCAGGTTCGTGTATCCTGGAGACTCCTTGTAGTGCCCCTTGGGGAAGAACATGTTCCACAACCCGAGCTTCTTAGCCTTGGCCTTCAGGTCGTCGACGATAGGTGGGTGGTGGTCCCATCGTTGCGATCCTTCGCCAATCTGTGCCTCGAGGACTGGGTCGGCGGGTATGCACTCTTCTTCGACAAACTTGGCGACAATGTCTAACGTCTTCTTCGCCTTGTCACTGACGCGACTTGCGACCTGCCATACGTGTAAGCTTGCTGCACCCTAGGGGCGTGCGCGGCGGTGGTTGCAACTCACAAGGGCTGGGATCTGCGCAGACATGGTACCGGAAAAGCACTGACTACTATGGCATACGTATAAGACAAGACGGGCAGGCTACTGACGACGCTGATTGAATTGAACTAGGAGTGATGAACAATACTTGGATGAGAGCTTACAGCGGTGCCTTTTGAACGGCGGCGAGACCGGTAATAGCTTGGAGTTGGCCGAGGTACGATCCGCATTCAGCGGGGTAGGGGCGCCAGTGCAGCAAGACTAGCAGGGCTAGCAGGGCTAAAAGCTGGGGTAGACGAGCTATCAACCCCCTTGGGCACCGAGGAAGCGAGGTCTGGGGGAGGAGATCAGCAGACGTCGTACGAGCTACGAGCGACGGATGCGTTTCCACGCTACTGTACTTATTGAATATGTCTATCCGGCATCTAAAAGCTCGGAGTGCTATTATACAATAAGTCTATGTCCACTAGACTACGGTTAGATGGGATACCCCGACGAGGGGCTTGAATTGAGTGTCTGATTATTCAATGCCACTGCGCGCATGGGATTCCTACAACTGTCTGTTTGTTAGAGATAGGCTGTGCCATACCGGTGGGACAGATTGGAGTATTGCAGAAACCATCCAGCATATGTAGTCCTGAGGTGTTGGTTGATGCCGTACAGGAGCTATACAAAATAGACAAGATAAGAAAGTGTTTCAAACAGTGCGTATTACCTACATACACAGTCCATTTATCACTGTATTTACAGTGGCTCCATCATGCAACCTGGGTACCTATCGGTAGCGTTATCGAGGCCAACTTGCGGAAAGTGGGGCCCAAGCCAAAAGAGCCTCAGCCTGCCTCCCAAGGCTATCACTTTTTGAATGACAATCGACCTACGACAACATCAAATTATCGCAGTCCGACTGCGTCAACACCACCAAAATGGCAGACGAAAACAACGACCAAGCTCTGGTCGCGCAATCCACAGAAGTAGCAGTGCCGGCCCCAAAGAAACTCAAGAAGATCATCCGCAAGAAAAGGCCTGCGCGACCTCAAGTTGTGAGTCCCACCCTCTTTGGCCGTGTCTTGGGAAGACCACAACCACTGACCTTCAATATTACAGGACTCGGATTTTATCAAGGACGAACCCCCGCCCCAGACAGGTACCATCTTCAACATCGTAAGCAATCTTCGGCCCTGCTTCCCGTCTCCTCGCCCCCGAACACCTTCCAGATCGCCCAAACGAAACAGATACTGATTGCGAAGTAGTGGTACAATAAATGGAGTGGTGGCGATCGTGAGGACAAATATCTATCCAAGACCGCCGCCAAGGGCCGTTGCAACATAGCCAAAGATGCCGGATATACGAAAGCCGACAAGATCCCGGGATCCTACTTCTGTCTCTGGTTTGCCCGTGGTTTATGCCCCAAGGGCCAGGATTGCCAATACCTTCACCGGTTGCCGGGCATTCACGACATGTTTAACCCCAAAGTCGATTGTTTTGGAAGGTAATGCTTTCATTTTATTTTCCCCCTGTCCCTCGAAAAACAAGGACCCCGAGGAAGACTCTTTGTCGTCATGCAAGACTGAGCTAACTGTGACATCCCTACGACTAGAGACAAACATTCCGATTACCGCGATGACATGGGTGGAACAGGTTCATTCATGAGGCAAAACCGCACGATTTATGGTACGTACAAAAAAGAAAACAAACAATTTGCGTCTAGGCTTTCGAGAAACGACAGTGGTCGTCTCGAACAACACATAACCCTGGTGGATATCCTCATCTTTATGGAGACACTGACTAACTGGACTTCCATGACGCAGTCGGACGAATACACGTTACAGACGAGTGAGTTTCATCGCCGGTTCCATCACTACTTTGGAGGAATCAATGCTTACACTATAATTAGCATCGAGGAGATTGTGGCCAGACATTTTGCTGAATTTGGATCGGTTGAACGTATTCGAGTACTCAACACCAGGGGTGTAGCGTTCATCACGTACAGCAACGAAGGTATGTCGCTCCGTCACTCTTCTCAGCTATTTCGTTTGATTGTCTCAGAGGCAACTCGAAACCGCCTTCGCCTCTATACAAATAGCGTAATGCTGACCTTGATTGTGTAGCAAATGCTCAATTCGCAAAGGAGGCTATGGCGCATCAGGCTCTCGATCACAGTGAAGTCCTCAATGTGAGGTGGGCGACAGCAGACCCGAACCCGATGGCGCAAGCACGAGAAGCCAGACGCATAGAAGAGCAGGCTGCGGAAGCTATACGGAGAGCGTTGCCGGAATCCTTTATTGCCGAGATTGAGGGCAAGGATCCAGAGTCGAGGAAACGAAGGAAAATCGAAAGTAGCTACGGATTAGAGGGCTACGAGGCGCCTGATGATGTTTACTTCGCACGGGGCACGCAGGCTGTAAATCCGGCCGGACGGGACGGCTATGAGCTGGAGCATGAACAGCGACTAATGATTGAAAATGGCGAGGTGGACGGAGGCTCCCACATGGCAGCACTGCCTGCTCCCGAGGAAAAGGTAGAAGAGAAAGCAGGCATTTTCTCTAGCAACACCCTGGCTGCGCTCAGAGGAGCACACATCGCAACCGCACCAAAAGCGGCAGCAAAACAATCCTCGGGACCTTTAGTAGCGTACGGTAGCGACGATGAGGACGATGATTGAAAGGGCCGCAAAAATGATATCCATGCCTGACGTAGGCACAAACTGCACATAACCGATTATATCCTTGAGGACCTTCCCATTACTTACAGTCATGATCTGAAAATGTATTGTTAGAAATGTTGTCCCATAAGCTGTTTTCCAACCCCGAAGCCCTAAGCCGTCTGAGCTCACTCAGCTATTGAAAATCCTTGAATACAGCATCTCATGCCTCCCGATCCACAGATCCATGACCGGCACACTCTGCCCCGCCTCCTCAACCCTCGTCTCCCACTCCCGATCGATCATGGCCGCGATCATATCCTGCACCTCGCGACTCGCCAGGATCCGCTGCGCGACGTACGGCCCCATCATGGCCGCCCGCACCCCGGCCGACACCAAGGCCTTGACGTGCGACAGCATGAACACGTACGCCGCCTGCCGGCAGCTCAGACCCAGCAGGTCGCAGATGGCCCCGAACAGCGGCGCGAGGTGCGCGCTGTACGGCGGGAGATCCGATGCCGCCGCCGCCGGGGAAGAAGACGAAGTAGAAGTAGAAGTAGGGGCAGGTTTGGTAGTGGTGAGAGATTTGAGACCCGATATCACCCGGTGCGACTCCGCGGGCACGGCGCCCATGAAGCTCTTGTCCCACACCCCCAGCAGGGCCCGGCCCTGCGCCACCGACGCCCGCCGGCCCACCGTGCAGATCACGGCCGCGTCGTACAGGTCGTCGAGCGAGGCGACCGACGCCGTGGACGAGTGGCGGTGCGCCGCCAGCACGAACGGCAGCGTGGTGGAGGCGTAGGAGGACAGGGAGAGGGGCAGGAAGGCATGGAAGGAGGATGAGGATCCTCCGGTGTTGCTATGGGTGTGGGTCTTGTAGGATTCCAGGCCCGAGGAGAAGGCGAAGGAGCCCAGGGGGAGGGCCGAGTCCGAGAGCAGGAGGAGGTAGTGGTGTGCTGAGTTTGAAATAGCGTCTATGGCGGGAGGGATAGAGGAGGTGGGTGTGCCATTGCGCTGGTTGTGGGCGGGCGCTGGTTCTGGGCGAGCGGGATTTGATGGCCTGGAGGCATGTAGGCGCTGCTTCGCCCGTGAAAGGCGAGCCTCTAGCTCGGCGATCTCGTTTTCAATGGCTTCGCGAGGCTCGTCATCATTCGCGAAGCTCATGTTGCGACAGTCGACACGTTTGGATGGTCATAAATGTGAAGTTGGAGACGAGATAATGGAGATGCTTGGCGGCGATACACCGCTTAATTTCATAATTGCCTACCAAACTCCACCACCGCATTCATGACATACTAGTCCAAATTCATGGATATCCGGATTCAAGTCATACAATCTACCCAAGGGGCTATTCCGTCACCTTTATCGCGCTCCAGTCATACCGTACGTCAAGGCCGCATGTTTTCTTTGCCGCCTAATCTCTGCCTACTTCGCCGCTTCTGTTCCAATCTTGCTCTCGCTGCAGCTTGACGGTCCGCGGGAAGTGTACATCGAGACGCATTCGCAGTAAGAATGGTATCGTCGCGATTAGGCCCACCGAGTTTGGCGAAGCGGTTTTGGAGAAGATCGAAGCCGGGCAGCTCGAAATTGGGCGAGTGTGCGCGAGCTGTGCGAGAGTTCGCCGTATAACGAGAGTTCGTGAGATTGTCCAAGGCATCTCGCATGATCGCCCTTTCGCCAGTACTGATAATTTGACGAGAAATAGAGGGCTTTCCGCTGGCCTGGTATTTGTCTGGTGCAGCCTCGTTGACTTTGTCAGACATAACTCTGCGGGAACCAGCCACGGGTTTCAATATCTTGTTTGTGCTGATATTTGCCACCGTACCCAAAGGCGGCACGTCCAGTTCACCTGTAGCCAAATCATGATCACGCCTCCTGCTCTCCATGCGATCTCGTCTCTCCTTTCTAAGTTGCTCCTCGATATCCCGCAAGCTATCCGTCAAATCTGAGGGGAAGCGCTGGGTACCTAATCTTTGACTCGGACTATCAGCAAGAGATTGCAAGGTAAAGTCGAGCGTGAGGTCTTCAGCAGACATCGAGCGCTGTGGGCGTGTGAGTTTAGCCTTTTCATGGATCGAAGGCTTATTTATAGACGCCATATCTGCCTTGAGATCCTGTGTGATCTTGTTGTGCCGGGCCAAGGCAGCATCCAGGCTCTTCGGGCGACTCGAAGAGGCATTGCTCTGCTTGAGTAGTTTGACTTCCTGCTCGAGTTCGGCAATTCTATCGTTCTTCTCCTTTAGAACTTGCAGCGCTTGACTCCGTGATGACTTCGCGTTCTCCTTAAGAGTGTCGAACTCCCTTTGGAGTTTCTTGAGCTCGTCATCTTTGCGCTCTGCCTCTTCCTTTGCGTCGCGCAGTTGCTTCTCAAGCTTCTTGACTGACGGGGGTCGCGAAGAGTCTGCCACGATTCGCTTGTTCTCGTCTCCGATTTTCGTGGCTCTTTGTTCTGCAAGGATCAAGTCGGACTTGAGGCGTTCGTTATCTTCGCGCATTCTTTTCATCTCTTTGAGCTCATTTCTTGCCCGACGCAGTTCTCGATTGGTCTCCAGCAACGTCTTCTCAGTACGCGGCGATGCATCCATGCGGGGATGCTGCAACTTGCCGTCGTCCTGATCCCTTATCGATGACTCTAACTCCTTGATCCTGTCCCTGTATCGGATGGCCAAAGCAGTCTTCTCTGCAAGTTTCTCCATCAACGTGGTGTCATCAGTGTCGGAAGCCTTTCTTCGTTTGCTGGTCGTCTGCAAGCCTGACTCCCTTAACTGCTCCTCCATTTGCTTCACTTTCTCCTGCTCCTCTTTGAGCCGTTGATTCAACTCTATAGCTTCAGCATCCTTTTTCTGAGCATAGATCTTAGCTAAGTGCTTGTATTTGACAAGCCTCTCCATTTCTGCCCTGGCATCGTCGCTATATTTATTGAACTCGGATTTCCAATACTTGCCAGACCTGGAGTGAGGCTCATTAAGATCCACTGTCACGTCATGGTTGCAAGCATCGTCTTCCCATTCCTCATCCGATACATCCTGAGCTGGCTCTGTTTCTCGGGTGGCGGCGGCGGTTTCCTTGGTGCTATCGCTTTTGGTCTCGGCCCCAAGTTTCTTAGACTTGTTCGATCTGGCCTCCTCAAGTCTCTGCTGGAGAGTCTTCTTTCGTGCGCTTGCGCTGGTGGATTTCGCGGCCAATGAGTTCGGGTCACCATTAGTGCCAGCTTTCGTATCGTGGTCGAATGAAACGCGCTTTCGGCGAGCTGTTGCCGTGCCCGGCGTGAGGAGAATGCCAGTAGGTTTTGCGGGCGATCTCGTATCCCTCAACAAGGCGTCATCGTCCCTGCTGTTTACCAGATCGCGCTGCGCAGGCGCATTTGTTTCTTTTCGGGGTGCAGGCGTGCCGAAGATGGCACGTTGGATGGCGCGAGCAGCAAAGACGGGCGCCGGGGTGTCAGGAGCCTCAATCTGGGTAGTATCGCCTATGAGGTGTCAGCGACAACAATGGAGTGTTTTGGAGTTATGACGCGACTTTACCATCCTCCGGCGGCGCGTCTCTTGCGCCGGTGGCACCTTGAATGCCTTTCTTCAGAGCCCAGCCCAACATGCTGGCCAAAATTCAAAAACCGAAGCTCAGGGTGGTGTTCTTCAAAGCATAGCACAGCGTGTGGTTGCGATGTATTATCAAAACATGCGAACTACCAATGGCGGCCGGCGATGCATGCGATGTGGAACGAAGCGCGAGTTGCTATTTACTCACTGCCTGTTTAGGATTGGGGCTTGTCCCGCTGTCAAAAGCTCAGAGCCAGCTTACGGATCCGCAGAGTTAGCTGGATCGCAGTGCCTGGGGTGCTGAAGAACGTGCTGAACGTGCTGAACTGCCAGCGCAGAAGCAGTGGACCGGTTCTCGGCGCCACATTTTGCCGGGGCTACGTTACCGCCACTTCGCAGTTGAAGCTTGGCATAGCATAGCGCCCCACTACTGCCCAAAGTACTTGATTCAGCTGAAGGTTCAGGTTGACGATCATCTTTCTTCCATGTAACCACCATTTCACCTTGCAACCAGTCCTGATATAATATTGCAGTATGGCTTCATCTCGGTAAAGACTCACAGCTTCGGCTGTGATCTTACTCATTCGTCCATCCAAACTTCGGACGACAATAACAAGCTACCATGCCTACCGCCTGGAAAACCACAGGGCAAAGAAAGCCCCCCCTGCAAACCGCCAAAAGCAACGATGACTCAACCTATCCTGGGCTCAAACCCATGAGCCCAGAACCAGTTGCCATGGCCAAAACCCAGTACACAGAGACTCAACAAGAAGAGATGATGGTTCTGCAGGCCATCTATGGTGATGACTTCATTGAGCACAAGGCTGCAAACACCGCTTGGCAGCGCTCAGAGCCTGCCTTCGATATCCGTATCAAAGCTTTTTCTGATGAAGAAGTTGCTGTCACACTTGGCATTGTGCTCACTGCCACTTACCCCAAGTCAGTTCCGCTACTCAGCTTAAAGGATGACAGCAGCCTCAGTGACTCCACAAAATTCAAGGTTCAGAAGTTCATCGCATCTAAGCCACGAATTTTGGCCGAGGCTGGCCAGAATGAGCCCATGATACATGAAATTGCTTCCGGTCTCCAAGAAATTCTTGAAGATGCTGCACAGGCCAAAGCACAAGGCTCGGAACTCCCATCCCTGGAGGAAGAGCGAGCTGCTCATGAAGCCGAGGTGGCTCGACTGGCTCAGGAACAGCAATCCGAGGAAGAGCGCAAGAGCAAAGAGAAAAGTGCAGAAGAGGAACGTGTGATGCATAACATGATACTGGAAGAGATCAGGCGACAACGTGCCAAGGAAAAGGAGTCCAAGAAAAGGGGTAAACCACCATCCCTGGCCATGATGCACTCCGAAGACTCGCAAGTGCATGAAGCTGATAATGTTAGCTTCGATGAGCCTTGCAGGATCACAGGTTTGTCAGGCAATGATGCTTACTTCACAACCGTGACAGGAAGATCAGAGTATCGCCAAGGTTTGATTGCATCAACTTACACTGTCCGCGCGGTATTGGTGGATAACCGAAATTTCCCTTCACTTGCTCTCAAGGAGGTTGAGTTGAAGCCAAACCCCAAGGATCCGTCTTCGTTCAAGAAGCACCTTCTGAGCTTAGAGAGTAAGCTCAAGTCAGTCAAGCAGTTGGCACATCCGAACCTACTCAATGTGATTGATTTCCGCATTGACCGTGACACTCGAGAAAATGAGGCGTCGCAAACTCGCATGGTGCGAGTGCTTACTCCACTGGCCGATAAAGGTTCGCTTGACGAGCTTCTGGAACTCACAGGTCAAGTAGCAATCAGCAAAGTCAGATCCTGGACTACAGACCTGCTTTCTGCATTAGGATTTCTTCACAGTCAAGGTTTGGTACATGAAGACATCCATCCTGCGAATATTCTTCTTTTCAGAGAGAGTTCCGGTCACGTGGTGCCTAGGCTTGCTGATGCTTCCTATCAACGCGAACTGCACACAGTTTGTCGCAAGTCCCGCGCTGTCTCTATACTCAATTCGGCAAGATCGACCTATTGGCATCCACCAGAACTAGATAGCGGATTAGGGCCCCTCAACCAGAAGACAGACATCTGGGACTTTGGTGTGGTCTTCCTGCAAATGGTATTTGGTCTGGACATTTTTGAGAAGTATGAGAAACCTTCAATTCTTATGTCTAGACTTGCACCGTCTCTGCACGAACTTGTGTCCAAATTTTTTAAACATGATCCGGGGCGGCGCCCTCGCGCTGCAGACTTGCGCTCAAGTGAATTCTTGGCAACAGACGCGCCTATCTATGCCGATGATGGCCACAATCCCCTGTCACCGTCACAATCGTTCACATCGCTTCCGAAAACAGATGAGTTCAGGCGTAGACTTGACTCATCAGCATTAGCGCCGTCGTTCTCGAGATTCAAGAGCGAATTCCACGAAGAAGGCCGTCTCGGAAAGGGTGGCTTTGGTGAGGTCATCAAGGTTCGCAAGAAGATTGATGGTCAAACTTATGCCATCAAAAAGGTGGTGACCAAGGCCACAAAGAGTCTGACTTCCCTGCTGAAAGAAGTCTCCACGCTGTCTGCCCTCAGTCATCCCTCAATCGTGCGATATTATGACGCCTGGACAGAGCAACTTGCTGAGCCTGCAGACACGGAAGGAGAGACATCCACAGAGGGATTTAGCACTCAGCAGTCTCTTGGTACCACATCGAACGAAATGGATATACAGTTTGCCACGAGTACGGGTGGGTTAGACTTTATGTCGTCGGCCAACATAAACGATGGATATTACCATGATGACGATGATGATTCGGATGACGATGATGATGACGAAGATACGGCGGATGACGACGAAGAAGAAGACGAAGAAGAAGAAGAGAACGACGACAACGTTGGCATTGTATTTGAAGTGTCCACTGCCAACGATGATTCGTCAGTCAAAAATCAATTACCTATCATACCCAGGCGAACCAGAAGTCACACTCATTCTGGCTACAAAGTGCTCTACATCCTGATGGAATACTGTGAGAAGAAGGTAGGCTATTATCATCTCGATGCATCATTAATTCGTTGCTAATCCTACCACTCATAGACTCTACGCGATCTCATAACGCAAAACCTCTATGAGAATGACGAAGAAGTATGGCGTTTGTTCCGTGAGATCTTAGATGGTCTCAATTACATGCATACTTTCCACAATATCGTGCATCGTGATCTGAAACCAGAGAACATCTTTATCAGCAGAGGTACAGACGGTGTTGCGCATGTCAAGATCGGAGACTTTGGCCTAGCCACAGGCGGACAGGTCGTTGCAGAGAACCGAGCTGCTGGGCTGGCGGATTCTAGTGGAATGAGTAATGTCGGCACCGCTTTATACTCGGCTCCTGAGCTGGACCGCAGCAATGGACCAGATGACGGGCCCTTTAAGATCGACGACTCCCGGAAACTTGATGTGAGTCCCAGCCCGTGCTGTATTGGCATTCCAAGCTAATTTCCGCAGATGTATGCGCTCGGCATCATTTTCTTTGAAATGCTGTATAAGCCTATGGGTGGTCATGAACGCATCACAGTTTTGAATAATCTTAGAGCAAAACAGCCGACCTTCCCCACTGATTTCAAGCCGTCTGACAAGGTGCAAACTGAAATTGTCCTGTCCCTTGTTACGCATAGCGCAAATCAACGACCTTCCAGTTCGGAACTACTTCGTGGTGGCAAAGTACCAATGCCCATGGAAAGCGAGACTCTACAAAGAGCTCTTGCCGAGATCTCCGATCCGTTGTCTACACATCACCAAAAACTGGTTACAGCAATGTTCTCAAAGCCCGTTGACAAGACGAAAGATTATACCTGGGACATGTCGATATCTAAGGCGTCATCGACGGAGTTGCTCTTCCAAGGTATTGTCAAAGATGAGCTCATTTCGATTTTTCGTCGTCATGGAGCCGTCGAGGCCAATACAAATCCGATTTATCCACGGTCTGCACATTACACCCAGAACGTATTCGAGCTGCTAGATCGAGGAGGTAGTGTATTGCAACTGCCTTATGATCTAATGCTGGGCAATGCCAGAGCTCTTGCTAAACACACCGATTCTTCTATTGTCCCAAAGACCTTCACCTTTGGGAATATCTACCGCGACCGGTACAGCGGAGGCCAGCCTGATGTCTTTGGGGAAGTTGGGTTTGACATGATGTCAACAGATACCCTAGATCTTGCCTTGAAGGAGGCTGAGGTTTTGAAAGTACTAGATGAGGTTGTTGATGCCTTCCCATCACTCAGTCAGATGTGCTTCCATGTGGGACATTCCGATCTCTTGCAGCTGATATTCGATTTCTGCGACGTAGATCGCAGTGTTAGGAAGGCTGCAGCGGAAATATTGAGCAAACTCAATATTCATACCTTCACATGGCAGAAAATCCGGGCTGAGCTTCGCTTGTCGGGCTTGACAGTGACGAGTATTGATGAGCTACAACGCTTTGATTTTCGAGGTAAGCACCTTTCAAGAAACTGTGCCATGGAAGCTTCGAATATAACATTGTGATGCAGATACGCCAACAAAAGCCTTCTCGAAATTGAAGAATGTGCTGGAAGGAAGCAAGATGTATGATAGGGCCCAGCCGACAATAAGTCATCTCCGAGAAGTTATCAGCTTCGCAAAACGGCTTGGCGTTCACAGTAAGATTTACATCACTCCACTGAGCAGCTTCAGAGAGGACTTCTTCAAGGAAGGCATGCTCTTCCAGTGCGTGTACGACAAAAAGTTCAAGGACGTGTTCGCAGTAGGTGGAAGATATGATAGCTTGATCAAGGAACATCGACCTCGAGTGGGCAACCAAAGCCAACAACCACATGCTGTAGGGTTCAGTCTCGCATGGGAGAAACTGGCGAGAATACCAAGAGCTGCAGGCAAGGCTTTCTTGAAGAAGACTGAGGTCGAACATCAGGGCATGTTCAATACCAAGAGGGTTGGTGTTATTTCTCTCTCCGTTGAATGAGGCGATTACTAATTGTGACAGTGTGATGCTCTCGTTGCAAGTTTTGATTCCGGCATACTACGCACAGATGCCGTCGAAATCCTACAAACACTCTGGGCACATGATATTAGTGCTGAATTAGCAAAAGATGCGCGATCACCAGAAGACTTGTTGGCAAAATACCGTGATGAGAGCTACTCCTGGATCATTTTTGTCAAGCAAGATGCTGTCCTTAAGGTCAAGACGATGGGCCGCAAGGACGTCCCCGACGCTGAAGTTCCCACACCTCAGCTTCTGAGCTGGTTAAGAGCTGAGCTAAGAGAACGTGATCGACATCTTGCTTCTCGAGCATCCGATTTCACAAGTGGCTCCACCTCGCTCGACAAGACAAGCAATTTTGCAAACCCGGAGCAGAAAGTACACGTTTTAGTCGCTGGGACGAAATCGAAGAAGTTTAATCGTCGCATGGTCGTGGAGCACGCGCAAGCGAATGCGGCAAGCCTGTTAGAGAACTTCCTCGATGGACCTATTGCTGCCGTTGAGGCTTCTGATGTGGTGCTGGATCTTATTGAGGATACCGTCCTGTCTGATGGTGATAGCTGGCGCAAAGCCGAGCAGTCGGTCGAGGTGAAGGAGCGCAATTACATGCGCGAGATCCACGGCATGCTGCTGACATGGCGCAACAGCTACCAAATGAAGAATGGGAGTAAGCATGCATTCGTCTACAACTTCAGGACGAAAAAATGCATATATTACGATTTGAGTGCATAGAGTGCATGATTGTGGGATTGCGGGTTGATCACGGATGGGATACAGAATTCTGACTAGTTTCGATGGGATGATACACGAGGTCATGAGAAAGGAGATATGAATCAATGTTTATGCGCTGTTGAAAAATGAAACACAGGTTTGCTTTCATGGCGATACCCAAATAGAGTCGATATTTTCTTCTTTTCAGTTCTTTTTTTCTTTTTTCTTTCTTCATATATATGTGCGCCCCATGTTGGCGCAAGGAAATTCCAAATCTGTACTGAAGTACAAAACCACTTATCGACCGATATGGCCATAAAAATCCATTTTGCTTCGTTGTAAAAGAGTGTATTAGTTACCTGGATTGCTGTCAAAATCGTAGAACATTCCAGTCGATTTTGGTAACTATACTGATTTACAATCTAAGAAGTTGCGGGTTATAAAGCTGTAGTTCTATGTTTTTATATGCCTAGCTTTCCACGTCAACCTTCATTTCGCTATAACCAACCTTTCTTCTCCTTGGCCGAAAGTAGACCAATACAATCGTAGGGAAACTATGCAGGTTCGGTAGACTCATTGGAATGGTCAGCAATCACTTATCATTATGAAAATTGCTTTATACTTTTAGGATCAGATCTGTTAGTTGTCTCTTGTATCTAACCTCTAGGGGCTCAAGGATCAAATGTTCATTTCGCCGTACAACTCGGAGCTAATCTTTTTGAACGATTTCACGAAGCAAATCTTATACGGAACCATTAAGACCACTTTACTCATTATGTAATGGATAGATGATGATAATAAGGCATAGTTGGGGGCTGTTATGGATAAGTGCAGCGTTAGAGACTACGCCACGACGGGCGTGCCAACTTTGTTGGCATGTTAGTTCGAAACTAGCAACGAGATTATACACAAGAATATTTGTCCTTATTTATACAACGTAAAACCAGTCAATCTAAATGTATGCTTCTATCACATTATAGCATTCGTCTAAACGGACTTCACTATATTACTCAAGACACATAACGAACGATATCAAGGATTTCCTGGCGGTGGTAATAAAACACACTAAAACCAGTGCAAAATAATCGCAGCTCGCCTCCTTGTAATACCACTCGATCAGATTATCGGTGATCAGGAATAGGAATCTTCTCATTAAATTGCTATTCTCGACAATTAACGCCGCCATTTAATGAGAAATCAGTCCTATACGATCCACGTGACTGGACCTGCTGAACGCGGTGCTACGTAGTTTTTCTCTCAAAGAAATCTCACAAACCTATTTCCCTCTAACGTAAATCATTTCATGTTTGATCTACATACCTAGGTTCACATTCGTTATCATTAATTGAATCCACCACTTTGCAAACTGAACATCAATACTTGGCACGGTATAAGACATTGCATATTACTCTTTAAACTTTGATTCACACTAGTTAGCCTTTCAGTATTCCTACCACGAAAATTATAATAATGTGTCTACCAAACCGGCAGCCCACGTTGGAAATTAAAATTCCGACTTGCGACACGACAAGTTGGAGCACTTCTGCCGTAGCCCAACTGTGGGAAAGGGCGAGTTCAGCGTTTCACATGGCTTGACGGCTCGGAGATTGCTCGACTATAGTTTGAAAACAGATGTACTTGGACTTTTCAGACCTATTTTGTGTGTGGATATATCGCAGACTAATAAAATGACTAGTCGTCAGATATGAAACCCGGTCAAGAGTATCGATTCGAATTATGATAATCAAAACTGCCCCCTTCGACGACGGACTTGATGGTGCTGAAGACAAGAAGTTCTATCATAGAATCTTTGTAAATAAGAAAGGTTGAGGCGGAAGAAAGGACAATGACTCCAAGGAAGTTGAAAGCTCTACAATGAAGGCTGTCTTTATAGCTATACACTGCGTAACTTGAGGTTCACGGTTAGCGAAGACTAGCAAATTGTTACTAAATTTAGTGAATAGCTAAATAGAATAGGCCGAGTCGTTAAGTCGATTGTCGACTCCACGGGATCGATTCCAAATTCCCAGTCTGGAAAGGTATATTAAGAAGAAGCTAGCCACATGTGCTTCATATATGTTCCGAAAGGCTTGTGTGAAATATGTAAAACTTGGTATTAAAGCTTAAGACCATTACAATTCAATTAACGTTCATCGTAGGGCTCCACTACTTGGATCAGGCAACGCTTATAACATAAACTCTTAATCGTGGAACATGTTTGGCTACTTTCGACGAAGAGGGAGCAAACGTAAAGGTAGTGCTTGTACCCAAGCTCATAAAATGCTTCGACGCAATAAGAGTGGCTAACCAGCAGATTCCCGCAATTTCACGTCATAAAATGATTCTGCCCATGAAGTCAATGCAATATCTGAAAGACGAGTTTTGCTTCGCTTACCCATCTACGGAAGGTGCCTAGAGTAATAAGGTTATATAGAAGAGACTAGAACAAGCCTGCATAGTGTCCAAGTCAAACCACCAACTACAACAGGTGGTAGTATTAAGTTCGTAGACTAACGACGGGCTAAAACCGTTACGTTATACATAACCGACACTTATCCAGTGACCCCTGTTCCCTCTTTAGCCAGACTGCCGTGACCGATTCTGATTATTAGTTAGTTTCCGTCCTAGAGAAAAGGGCAAATGTTCCTTTACGTCCAGCGGCGATGAACGAGAACCGGCCATAATACAAAATTGTATTCGTTACGTGAGTAGAGAGCGAATGCTTGTTCTGAATCCACGCATATGCCCCTACCGTAGATTGAGTGAATGCACAGGTAAAGATACGCGGGTAACAGTGGCTATGTCTTGACATTATACACAACTATTGGCGTACTATAAAGTCTTGCATGTGGTTCGATGCATTAATCGGCGGCACTATGTAGAGCCTCAATCTAAAATAAAGTCTAGTATAATAGGGGAGATAGGCATAACCACATGAGTGTGTTAGATCATACTGGAAGCCACTGTTTGTTTATAGTGAGATCGGTTAGATCTGTCCCAAACCACTAACTGTTTGTGGCTGGTTAACCATCAAGAGGCTTAATATTTACGTTTGGTAAACGGGCACGCTACCCTTCGTCAGTTTAATCCAGGTTAATATTATATCGATGAAACACGTCTTCCATAGTACACTAAGCAGGACATAACCGCCCGTTCTGGGTCGGGTAGTACTCGATCTGACCCGTTATATACCAGTCCTCAGAACCCACAGCTTGAGTAGCGTATAAAAGACCCCAGGGGTCATACTTCTTTTTCAGCATGTACAAATAAGCATAGTTGTCACCGTAAAGTGCGTGCTGGAAGTCGGGCTCATTGATGTCACATTCGTTCAGGTAGGTGCCAGAGCCCGGACTCACATCACGCCACGGCTGCAGAGCCTTGACTGCTGCCCTGTTGGCCTCGGCAATCTGCTCGCCAGTGTAGTTTGCGCCGTAGACGACGTTGGACATGGCAAATGCGAGACCTGTGCGCCATGCCGGAAGAACAGCGTTGCTCTGGTTCAGGGCTGAGTTGATTGGGGGCTTGACGTAGTAAATTGTGACCATGCCGCCAGCCTCGGCGGTGCCGCGCAGCACGGCACTCTGGGCGGCGAGCTTCTCGGCGTTCTTCCAGTTACTTTCGGGGAAGATGCGGGAGGTGGTATGGAAGAACCAGTATCCGGCGGTGTTGGAATCGGTTGTCCAGGTATCTTCGTAAGCGGCAAGATACCCGTCAAATGTGGTGTAGTTGAGGTTCTCAACAACCACTCCAATGGAACTGAGGTTGTTGAAGAGGGGGGCGTTAATGGCTTTGAGTTCCTCCATGCTCAAACCAGGGGCAATTTGGGGAGCCATTGATAGAGTACAGTCGATTGTGTCAGTGCAGGCAACAGACCAGTAAGTGAAAATTCCGGCCTCCGTCCATGCGGGTGCCAGAGCGTGGAAAGAATCCATGCCCTCCCAGAACTCATCGGCTGTGACGTTTCCTCTCGAGAAGGTGTACGTAAGTCGGGTGATTGGGGTCTTGGGCCATGCGCGGTACACGACGGACGTGACGATACCGTAGGTAGAAGGTCCGGCACCACGCAATGCGAAGAACAGGTCTGGATGAGACTTCTCGTCAACAGAGACGAATCTTCCATCTGGAAGGACAACTTCCATGCTGAGGATTTGGTCAGCACCCATGCCGTATTTTGGCATCAAGGGCGAATTGCCACCGCCAAGGAAGAAACCACCGGCAATACCAACAGTCTGGCTCATATCGTTAGCTTATGCTTCTGGTAGGGCTTTTTCTGGCCATATGGTGCGATGGGGAAAGATTTGTGAACGTACCCGGGCAAGGGGCCCGACGACTTGCAACCCATGGGCTTCAGCCGCCTTGAAGAGTTGCTCGGTGCTGACTCCGGAGCCAATCTTGAAAGCAGGACCGCCATACTTGTTAGCTTCGCCGAGGAATTCAATATCTGTCAGAAAGTGTGTCCAAATAGACAGGGCTCCGCCACCGGTGGACTTCGCATTGAAGTCATGTCCGCTGTTTTTGACATTGAGACGCAAGTTGAGATTGCGGGCAAAGTTCACTGCGAGTTGGATCTGGGCAACTAGAATATAATGGTCAGCAAATACAAGAGGCAGCTTATTGTTGGTTCAACTTGGGAATGGCAACACGGGAGAAAAGGGATGAGATATCAACTTACCATTGGTAACGTTGACGACGTATGCAGGCATACCGCCGTCGGTGCAGGTTGCGTTGGGCCTAGCGAAGGACGGTGGTATGCACGTAACACCCTCGTTGATGGGCCAGTCAATTGCAGTGGGATCAGCAGCCCTTTGTTTGAGTTACCAAAGATAGCACTTGTGATGTATCAAAAGGGCACATACAGATATGCAGGATCATTCCAGTTCGCGGTCACTGCTTCACATTGGCCCTCATCATACTGATCCCAATCTGGGTAGCAAACGGCTGAGAGCGGGACGGCTTCAATAAGCCTACCACCCAGCACATTGTTAAGTAGCGTCCAGATGATTCTGGACGGCCACAGTCGATCGCTGGGATGAAGCTTGCATGAGGTAGAACCGCGTTTTTGTAAAGCGACATCATCTGAGTTACCAAAGCTGAAGAGATCTGCATCCGTGATGTTTTGAACAGAATTTGACAAGTTCGAAATGACAATGTCGGTGAGCTGGGTTGCTTCGAAGCCAAAGTAGTCAATGCCCGATGCCGACGAGTCCGTCGCGACCTGTTCTTCCGCAGGTCCTATGGCTGATGACCACTGGCAGTATCAGCATACTACGATTACCACGTGTGAATAGGAGCATTCATGCGCATGCTACGTTTCTTACCGGCAACTGTTGCATTCGTCACACCCTCCGCATACGCAAGAGAAGTGGCTGCGGCCACAAGCGACAGAGCCGTACAGAGCCCCTGACAATGCATCCCGGTGAACGAAGGAATCTTGAGAAGAACAAATGAGTAGGATAGTGACCGGATATGCCACCAATGAGCGAAGAGACAGATACCTATGCTTATATGAGCCTTTGCTCTTCGATTCCGTTCCCAGTCGACTCCAAGGGCTCCTTGGAACCATGCGGTTCTCGTTTACTCGCATCCACTACGTATGCTTGCTGGCTCGCGCGGTGGAGTCACAAATTTATTGCGGGCAAGCTGGGGCTGTCTCAGAAATACTATGTATTGGTATTCCACTATTACCCATGTCTAGCTTACAGGAGAAGTGATAAGGCCGGGGCATACGGCTAATGCCGAGTCACTAGTTAAGCAAGACTAGAAACAGATTGCAAAGGGCCACAAGAACAAGTAAGTTGAATCACCCTCTGGACTGTGGAAATGGCAGGATGATTGGGTCGGTAATCGATGGATGCTTCCGTGAATCGTCGCTACCGTCGCTGGGCTGTCTTTATCACGCGCAAGCCGATGCGTACTAATCAATAATCATTTACAAAGCGTCCTTGAATATAGATCAGCCCCGGCTTCATGATGTTAAATACCAGAACATGCACTAATTATGTCTTTGTTCATTTAACCAGTCAGCTACGGTCGACCCGCAAATGGCGATCACCCATTTGTGCTTGAAGAAATAGTTAGAAGTGTCGAAGCTGGTCTGACGGAATTGTAAGTGGTAGAACACCTTTGCCGACGGTAGCCAATCCTCAAGCCTCCCTTCTCACTTGCTAATTGGTACTGCGCTGCGATAAATAATGGAATTGGCTGAAATGCCTTGATTGAACGCAGGGACGGGGAAATTTATCCGCCGTCTCCATTACTGACCTTGTCGTGCCAACTAAAGGCGACGGTTGAACGCATGCTCCAATAGCAGCGAGTGCAGGATTTCTTGTTACCGGCTCAATTCCCGAGGTTGTTGACAAGCCATATTTCACTTGGCGGCCGGAGCAGTTTACTCAATAAGGCTTGGACGATGTGTAATGCTGGGTCGGCCCCTGGCCACAATGCTATCGTGCGGCTTGAGGCTCTGGTAAGCTATACGAAATGGGCCCAGAACAGATAATAACAATCAGTCGATGAATCATGTGGTACCGCATTGCTGCAGTATACCTTGATCTATCACAGTGGGTAATTGGTTTCGATTGCGCTCCATATACCCATGTCGTTGAAAATGGGAATACTAGCCCTCGTCTGGTGTCTGGGAAACTATATCTACTTGAAGCGACCGTTCACTTAATGCTATAAAGCTATGAAGACCACGCCCGAAGAACGGGAAATGTTAGATCGGACTGTTAGACGGTCTGTCAATTGTCCCGACATATACAATCTGAATGCCATAATTTCATGCCAGTGTGCCAACCACTAAACGTTATGGGAATAAGTAGGCGCAGTGAATTACTATTATTGGCGATTTTTTATATAGAAGATGAGGATCCATATCGCCTCGTCTTATTTTCGAAGTTCCCATCACACGGTTTCTGACATAGAGTAATTATTTTCATATGGGAGAACAGCGACTACTACATTAACGTCAAATGGTGCGGAAAGGCGTTTTCATACGCAAAAATGCAAGGCTGTCTTATATTTTTGACGGCGAAAAATACCAGTTTCTAGACCCTTGCTTCTTCGCGCAGATAAAGCCAATGGAAAACTACTATGCCTCACCGGGCTGCCACTCACTATAGCACGAGGGGATCATAGGGCGAGTCAGCAAAAAGCCACCGCACCGGGCGGGTAAGTGAGATATTAGCTTTATCTAGGGCAAAGAGGATGGGATGCCGAGGTTTCTAAGAGCTATGGCCATATGTGCTTGATATGCCGCGCAGGATATGTTATTAGTGATACAAATTGCCGTATGGCTCAAGATGCCCGATCCGGAAAGCGTTCGATGACATGGAAGACCCTGCAAAAGAACTATTGGAGAGCGCGTTGGATTGTTCTGGCAAGAATAGCAGGGGTTGGCGACCATCTCAATGCGGTTTGCTACATGAGTAGAAGAGACCACACCTCGTATAACCACCAAGTCAACCTGATCTTGGTGACCGAGTGATACTGCCTATTACCCACAGCCACTCTCGGGTTAAGACAACCATTTTTACGGGTAACTCGCCTTGCAGATGGTCGGAAGTTACGATGGTGACAAATTTAGTACGAGTTCCCATGCAGAGCGGCACCGCCGGACAAGTCACGCGTCGGAAAATTTGTGTTGCTCAGCCCTTCCCACCCTTACGAATTCGTCCTGGTGTGTCTATATAGGATTAGATCGTCACTTTATGTGTATAATTACACCTACAGCGTGCAAAACTAGCGGGGGAGGAGGGGAATCGAGATCCTATAAAATTATCTCCCTGGCGCCAGATTAGGGAATGGAACTAATGAGCCCTTGCGCGACAGCTATCCGATATCCGCTTACACTGTATGTAAACGCTTTGAACTGGATATTTGGTAATATGCGAGAGGCTATTGAGGATTTCTAAGCTTTCGCATGTGCTGATTAGGTGTAACCAGTCATATTTGAAAGCAGGGAGGATGTCCTTGACCGATAGCGAATCAGCTCGATTGTTTTCAGGACCGAAATCATATTATACCCAATCAATGCATTAAATAAAGTAAAAAAAAAACTAGTTTGTTGGATTTGGCGTCAGGATAAACGCTGAGAAAAATCAAGAATATATTAGCTTGATTAGATTGATGGTGCACGTCTACTTTCATGGGTGTGGGTGAAGCTGCTCGAGACTGAAGGCTATGCCTCAATAATATTATCCAGCTTCTACTTGACAAGATTACAATCTTGATAGATGGTTGGGAAGGTTGCAGGAAACGTATTGATTCGGTTGAGGTATGATGCCTTCTTAAGTGATGGTTTCCGGCTAAGCAGGACTTTCGAGGTGCATTGGAAAGTTGGTTGGACCTCACCAAAAACTTTGGCTGAGGAACTCGATTGAGATATTCCACTTCAAGCACCTACTCAAGTGCAAGAATATCACCGTGAGCCCATCAACCATCTTTAGATGGTGCGCACAGAAAAGCTGGTGTCTGGAGATTCTTGGAAATGAACCTGAGACTGGAGATGAGGTTCCGGCCTATAAAGGCTTGGCGCCGGTGCTAGGTTAGGTTAGTGTGTATTCCTTACACACTCAGTGAACTGCTGTGATTTACGTGTCCAAATACTCTGTCGAAAATGCTTGGCACACATCTGCGCCGTGCCTGAATATTATCGCCAAAAAGGATGAAATAAGCATACACTGGGTCAAGCCGTTGTTATACAATCATATTGCAGAAGAAAGGCAATGAAATAGTTACGAAAACACAAGTCATCTCGTCTGATGCTTTATTATTCCATCGTTGAACAATGGATAATGCAATCACAGATACATAGCTCTCACCGACGTGGTGGGGGGAGGTAAACTTCAGTGTGGTAGTGGGACAAACTCGACAACCAACTTTGCTTGGTTGGAAAAGTCTGAGGGAAGCAACCCTCTTTGGACCCACTCTTTTACGTACCTCCCCCAGGCATCGCACATTTTTTTTCCATCCCGAAAGTTTTACTACTTTGGACTTGATTCTCAACCAACCCGTCGCAGTCTCTTGGAGAATTACTAACCCAACAGCAAAGGTAAGGCTCTACCATTTCCTTGTTGCCAGAAAGCTCAATTGTCACTCGAATCGACGTTTCTGCAATTTCCCGGGGTTGAAGTCGCTCGAGTTGGGCCCCTCGAATTTTCGAATTTTCGCTTCAAACACACGAATTGAGATCTCACCCAAGACAGAGGGCTAACAACACCACCTGCAGACTCGACTTCGCAATGGCACCACCATCGGTCACTGTACAGGGAGGCGAGAGCCTTGCCCTTCCCACCGTTTTCTCGGCCCCCATCAGACCTGTCAGTACAACAACAAATATCGCAGAGTCTACGAACACCGAAGCTCACATATCTTTCTAAAACAGGACGTTGTCAACTTCTGCCACACCGCTCAGGCCAAGAACAAGAGACAACCTTGTCAGTACTCCCGACTGTGTTGAATCTTTCACTGCTAACTTGTAACAGACTCCGTTTCGTAAGTGACCGATAGATTCGAGACGATTTATTTCAACGCCCGCAGAGCAAGCACGACTAACAAGTGAGCAAACAGCGAGAAGGCAGGTCACCAGACCAGTGCTGAGTCATGGGGTACCGGTCAGTACAACCTATCTCTTCCCGATGGCTCCCATACGGACTCGACACGTGATGGGACAAGTTTCTGATGATTTCTTGCAGGTCGTGCTGTTGCCCGTATTCCTCGTGTCTCCGGTGGCGGTACCCACCGTGCCGGTCAGGCTGCTTTCGGTAACATGTGCCGATCCGGTCGCATGTTCGCTCCCACCAAGATCTGGCGCAAGTGGCACGTCAAGATCAACCAGGGCCAGAAGCGATTCGCTGTTGCCTCTGCTGTTGCCGCCTCGGCTGTTGCTCCTCTCCTGCTCGCCCGTGGTCACGCCATCTCCAAGGTCCCCGAGGTCCCCTTGGTCATCGACTCCTCCAAGGTTGAGGGTGCCGCTGTTGCCAAGACCGCCGCCGCTCTCAAGCTCTTGAACGAGGTCGGTGCCGCCGAGGATATCGAGAAGGCCAAGAAGTCCAAGAAGGTCCGTGCCGGTAAGGGCAAGCTCCGTGGCCGCCGCCACCGCCAGCGCCGTGGTCCTCTCGTCATCTACGACCCCAAGACCGATGGCACTGAGCTCATCAAGGGTTTCCGCAACCTGCCCGGCTGTGAGACCTGCGACGTCTACGCCTTGAACCTCCTCCAGCTCGCCCCTGGTGGTCACCTTGGTCGTTTCATCGTCTGGACCTCCAACGCCTTCAAGGCTCTCAACACCATCTACGGTTCCACCACCGAGCCTTCTCAGCTCAAGAAGGACTTCCTCCTGCCTTCCAACGTTGTCTCCAACGCCGACCTCACCCGTCTGATCAACAGCAGCGAAATCCAGAGCGTCCTCAACGCCCCCAAGGGCACTGCTCTTACCAAGCGTGCTTCCGTCCAGAAGAAGAACCCTCTCAAGAACAAGCAGGTTCGCCTTCGCCTCAACCCTTACCACGCCACCTTCGTCAAGGAGAAGCTTGGTGAGCAGAAGGCTGAGGCCGGCAAGCCCAAGGCTACTCCCGTCGAGTTCCTTGAGAACGCTCTTGAGCTTTAAGTTCGAGGACATTCTTCGGTGTGAGGATTGTGTGGCAATTGCTTGGTGAGACAGCATTGTCAAGGAAGCGAGAGAGCTTTGCGTTATATTTGTTATGAAAGGGACTAATCGAGAGGCGTACAGGCTGTACAGACTCGGGTTAGGTCGAGTTAATTCATGACTTCCCGCAGTTTCACGAATTGATACCATGTGATATGATACTTGTAATATTGCCGCTCCTCGCTACCTGTCCATGCTCGTGTCCCTTTCGCCACGTGCCTTGCGTGTCTCGACTGCAGGCAACTCTTCTGCACTGCCAGCGTACACCGTTGAACGACCAGTGTGTGACCCGTTTACGCTCACTTCTCTTCCATGCTAGCCTCTGATACCACGTCACTTGCAGCCTTATATTTTAGAAACCATGTCGGGCTAACGATGTTGACTGCTGCACTACGCACACAAGCTAGCCAGGGTATATCAGCAGCACGTCCATGCCCGTGTACTCCATGACCATTGCAACCTAGCAGCAAACCCAAGGCCTGGTCGAGAACCCTTGCATGGTACTTCATCCCTAGATCTGCGCAACGCCATTCGTGACCTAGTGCTAGCTGGCAATTTTCTGTAATGTAGATCGATGTATCCTCAACCCACCAGCTAGTCTATCACAAATCCAGAAAAGAAAAAGCACATGCAGTCACTCGTACAACTCGTTATCCCACGACCGACATGTTCACGTGGGGGCTGGCACACCACCTCCCAGGGCATCGCCGGCGAACGCGGCGCCCTGGTCCCACGAGTGCCTCGCCTCGGCCATCTGGCCCTGGACCTCATAGCTCTGCGCCAGCAACCCCTCCGCGACGCTCATCCAGAGCCTGTTGCCCGCCTTGCGGGCCTGCGCCGCGCCAGCCTTGGCACTCTTCAGGGCCTGGTCGCCCACGATGTTCTGGAACAGCTTGGCGCGCATCAGGTTGAGGGCGATGGAGAGCGTGTGCACATCACCTAGAGTCCTGGCGCCGTTGAGGGCGATGGAGAGATGAGTTTTGGCGGCGCCGATGCCCAGGGGCGGGCTGGTCTGGGTGGCGGCTAGGATCAGGTTGAAGGCGATGCGGATCTCGAGGTTCGGGTGCTCGGTGCAGAGGGGGCGGAGGAGGTCGATGAGCTCGGCTGTCAGGCGGTCGTCGCGGTGGTCCGGGTGCTGCATGATCCAGAGACGGTTGAAGGCCGAGAGCACGCGGACTTCGAACTCGGCGTGGCCCTGTCTTGTGGAGGCCAAGCCGATGATGTTCCCATTGGCGTCGAGGTTGCTCTCGAGGCTCAGGAGGGGCCCTTCGTAGATGGACTTGGCAGCAGTGAGATCACCTGTGCCTTGGTGATAGACGCCAGAGAGATAGCACGAGTACAGACCGACGACGCCTTCTATGGGCGGTTGGACGAGGCTCTCTAGTTCTTCGACACATTTCCAGACATCTTGCCACCGGCTAATTGTCGCTAGGTGCAGGCCCCTCACTATTTGCAGATAGCATTTCAGCTCTCTTCGCCAATCTGCGCTTTTCATGGCTTCTTGAAGGGACGCTGGGTTCGTACGCATCTTATGCGCGTCTGCAAACACAGTCAGTGTAAGTCATCGCATCGATTTGGGGCAGCTGAGCATACTCCTTGTTAGCGAGCCCAGGGCCTCGTCCCAGATCTCAAATATCCTCTTATCGTTCCGAGGACTCGAGTAGAGGAGACCAAGGCCACTGTAAGTATATCTACCGGGAATTAGTCTTCTGGCTCGAAAGGACAGCTGAGATTGACCTACGTCATAATGAAAGCCTCTATCTTGGTCCAAAACGACATAACAAGATAATCGCAGCTCTCGTTTTCGCCACCCAATCGGATGATGGCGCGGGTATCTTCACTAAAGACCTGATTGTTGCCTGTCTGCTTCTTGATGGGAAGCAAGACTTCAGTTTCATTAAGGCTCCAGCTATGGTCTTGAAGGGTATTATCCATCCGCGACTGGAGAAGCTTCAACTTCTGCATAATCATCTGGGGAGACTTTTGATGTAAGCTGCAGGCAAAGTCCAACATGAGTGCTAGTATGTCCACCTGTGGGACATGTGTCGAGGGATCCAACTGGTATTTTTGCGACTGCGCAAGGCAGTTTTGTATTTTTACCACAGCATCGTCTTTCATATTTTTCAAAAGACTGAGACCTTCCAACAAGGATGCGACCACAAAGATGATGATGTCGCCCCTCAGTATGGACAACGTGGTGATGCATCTGAGATTCTCAAGAGCGTGTATGTCCGAAGGATTTGGAGATTGCAGGTATAACGATGCCTTGAAGAAGCGAAGAGCATAGACCCAGTGCGTGTGTTTCAACCTGATTCATCTGATGTTAGCGACGTCCGGAATGTGTAAACAGACTTCGGGTTGCGTACAGCTCTGCATCGTTAATCTTCTGGTCGACAGCGATCATGGCCGCCTTTCCTTTCCTCTGTGACAGCATTCTCAGCTGCAGGAATTGCATCAGATACCCCAGATCAGCAAATCGGTACTGTTGTCTTGTTGTCAGTTTACCCTGTGGTGCGACTGCAACGTCGTGACATGGACAGATCCTACCTTCTCGCATAGCGTGATACCCTTTGTCAACGCCGTCTCGGCCTCCATGATATTGTTCGTCTCCTCACACAGGATACTGGCATATCGAAGTTGCAATTTGGCTTCCAACCTTGGCGCAAGCTTATTGCTGCCCAGCACTGTCTCTAAGCAGCCCAGGCCCGTTGCAACCATCTTCTGATATTCCTGCACACCTTGGGGGTCGAGATTGTCCGCAAGTCGCAGCACTTCTTTCCGCGCCTTGGCGAACATCTCCTCGGCCACGCAGACCAACAACGAATTGGTGTCTTGATGATGCGGTATCAAGCCCGGCGCCGGGGCAGGAGATCTCACGGAGCTCACACTAGGACTCCTGGTAAGACCTTGTGTCATGAGACGGGGGCTTGCAGAGACCCGGCCGGCATGCTCTATCTTGACGCTGGCTAAGCTAGTGCTCCTACTCTTGGCCTGGACGTTCTGATGAGGTAGCTGAGGTGACTGTGCCAAGATCGGAGAATTCGTGTGCGGGGAGTTGATGCGTGGGGAGTTGGCATGACTCGACAGGGGCTTTTGTCGGTGCTGCTGTTGGATTTGCTGCTGGGGCGTTTGCTTCTGTTGAGGTATCGTGGGCTGGGGGGCAGGCTGGTACTGCGGCACCGGCGACTGAGTCGGGGGCGGCATTTGCTGCCAATCCATCACATGCTGGGCTTGTTGGGGTGTTTGGTGGTTCTGAGGGATCTGTTGGTGTTGATGGACCTGCCGGGCTTGATGCGGACTGTAGGAATGCGCATGTGTTTGCGGTTGGTGGTATTGCTGCTGCTGCTGCTGCTGCTGTTGTTGTTGTTGGTGGTGGTGGTGTTGGTGTTGCTGCCGGTGGTGTTGTTGCTGTTGATGTTGCTGTTGTGGTTGTGGTCGTTGTTGTGGTCGTTGTTGTGGCTGCTGCTGCTGCTGCTGAACCTGCGGCATGTATTGGTTACTCGGTTGCTGCACCGGTTGTTGGGCTGGCGGTTGAGCCACGCTGTGCATCTGCCCCATCTGCGCTCCATATGCCCCGTTGTACTGTGATGACTGTTGCGGCCTCTGATCAAAACTCGGATCGTAACTCTGATATGGGGGTGCGTGGACACCAGGGTAGTTGGTGTTCTGCGCCGTCTGCTGCTGCGGGTAGCCAACCGGAGAGGAGAAGACGGCATTTTGATATTGGTTGAACTGATTATTCGAGTACTGGGGATACTGCGGGTGCGGGTTTCCGTAGGCATCAAAGCCGTTCTGCATATTTTGTTGCTGAGGCCATTGTTGGCCAGGATTTTGGCCGTACCCTGACCCGGGCAAGGAACCTCGATATGTCATCTCAGGTTCATAGTCTGAGGGCAACAACCATGTCTTGTGTTTTTCTATCTCGTCCCTACTCTTTTGCGCACCACTTTCTCAAGACCAACACATCGCGATCGGATCGATTCGGCAGTCGAGATCACGCAGGCAATACCTCGATATGCAGGTTTGGTGAAATGCGAATGGATTATGATGCTGCGTGGAATCGCAAAACTAACATCGCGTGCGCCGCGCCCAAGTTTACACTCCAGCGTCTTACATGACTAACGTTGGGGGATCGGCATCGATCACCTGACAACAGGTCCAAGCGCGGGCTGCTAACTTAGACGCTACCTCCGTCTAATCCATCTCACTGCATGTGTAATTACAGGGGGCAAGCAAGCAGATCAAGTCAAATCATGTTGCGAATTTTATTCTCTTCATGGCCATAAATATGAAATTTATGTGCAAAAAGAAAATGAAAGAAAGGAATACCCGAAAACTTTACCATCAATTCAAAAGAAGAGTGCAAGTCTCAGGTCTGCCACAGAAAGTCCATTCATCTCTGAGACCCCTGTAAGTTACTTCCTTGTAGCTTTCATCGCACCCTCACAACCCTTACCCACGCTAGCTGCCGGTATATCGTGAAGTCTGAACACCATCCGGATCACAATGAAGAAAGACCTCCACATTCGACCACTGAGAAGTTTCCCGCTCCTGATATCCAAGGCCTACGGCTATGTTATGTAAAAGAACTGTAATCGAACCAGAATCGCTGTGATCCCCGATGCCCATTTGTGATAAGTTAGTTTAACGACATTTTACCGTTGCATTCACCAGCGGCCCACCTCTCTCGAATTCCCAGGCCTCTACTAGTTGGGGTGGAAATTTTTACAGTCTCAGTACTGTAGTTGGCGGTTGTAAAAGTTCCGAAAACCATCCGTCGCTAGTGTCCAATGTCTGGTACAGGAGCTGTATAGTGGTTTCCGTCAGCTTTGTCATGGTGGAGTAGCACATGTTGATGACACTCTTGAACTTTCTCGCGCCAGAAACGTCAGCAGGATACTTGTTTGGTCCTAGATTGAATTTCCGTGCTATGACGCTCAGATGGTCACATGGTAAGTCGAGTATGAGATGCTGTTCTTCCTTTTGGTCCGCTCTGTGACCCGCTTCTTAAAGTTCTGTGTGTGCAATCGCTTGTAGCTGCGTTTGATACCTCTGATATCTGCTAGAATAAAATGTCAGTCAGTGTACTCGTTTACTGATATACAAAACACCTTACTCTTACTATTCGGGGGGTTTTTTTTTTTCCTCCACCTCAATTGGAAGTAAGAAGAAGCTCTGGCATTGCTTGATAGCTGCGTCGAGTAAGTTTTGAGAGACGCTGTGGTTGACGATATGGAAGAAGCCATGACTTTAATAAGCGTCTCGGAGTTGATGAATCAGGTTTCACTCTGATACATTGTCGGAGCCAAACGCCGCTATATGAGAGGTAAGCCTTCTGCCTTAAATTCCTTAACGAAATGTTTGGCCCTTTTCTTTTTACGCGACAGTGTAGATTCGCCTGGATGGTCAATAGCTAGAATTTTCATAATGTGGTTGATTAACTGGTTCGAAGAGGATTGGTGCCGAAACAAAATGGCGCCAAGCATTAAGCAAATAAGCAAAGAAGGAAAGAAGGAAAGAAGGAAAGAAGGAAAGAAGGAAAGAAGGAAAGAAGGAAAGAAGGAAAGAAGGAAAGAAGGAAAGAAGGAAAGAAGGAAAGAAGGAAAGAAGGAAAGAAGGAAAGAAGGAAAGAAGGAAAGAAGGAAAGAAAAGTTATTTCGACACGTGTGATTTGTTGGTCCAATCTCTCTGCAAATTCGGTATCCCAGCTTATTATCACCTGAGGTTAGAGACATTGTTGGTATTTTCCAGAGACTTAGTCGTGAACCAAGGCCAAGGATCCTCTTCAGGTTAAAAGCAATTCTTCTCGTTCGAGTCTCCATCGCGACAGTTATATGAATTTGTGCGAAGGCAGGAGACGAACACGCGGTGTTTCAACGACCGGCCCAGGTATCGAGGTCGACAAGAGCATGGTTATGGCTCTCAGCTTTCAGTTCAACCACAAATGCTTGCGATAGTGGCGCAGGGAGAGTTTTATATGACCGGGACATCTAGTGCCCCGTCGAGTCTGCGTCCAAAATGGACCGAGTCCGGCCGCCGTTATCTGGGGGTTTTTCTTTTTTGGGCGGATGCCCCTGAATTCTCTCCCAGATCTCTAACAAAGGGTCCGCCAACGCCGCACCGTTTGACAACGATGAAATTAGGACCGCTCATTTGACTCGCCATTGAGTCTTGGGGCCGTGGTGCCTTGGTACCTGGTCGGCACTGCCACGCAATTTCTGATATCTATGAACGCTTCCGGCTACATCATGTGTCACATAGTCAGCATCATGGACTACTGGCTGGTCTCTGGTCGGCGTTTCACCCTTTACTACGCTACATGACCCGCGTACAGCGTATCGTTACATAGCATGTATGGCCTTCGCTTGAATTTATTTTGTCTTTCATTAACAAATTCGGAACAATCTCGGATCAATAGGCAGACCGCATTCGTATAGTTCGATTTTATGGCGACATTCCTTCAAGGCATTGCCCATTAGATACAACCATCTTTATAACGTACCTTCGGATCGATCACGCTCTATCAGAGGCTGAGCACTTTGTTTCCCCATGCATGGAGCCCCAGGCAAACTAAGTAATTCTATTGTTTTAATATTAAGAAACAAACATTACAAGCTACCTTCGTACACAGGTTATTCCCTGCCATATTCTAATTCCCTCTAGAACACAGAAACCAAATGTCTCACGACTGATTTAACCCAGCTCATGTATTCTTGTAGTCGATAAGCGGTAGTACCTTGTGTAGTTCTAAGTCCACGAAGATAGGTTAAGCCGACGTAGATGTGCCAAATTGCGCAATGGCCTAGCAATAATACTCCTAGCCACTCATACGGAAGGGGGTCAACGGGACTACAAGTTCCACACGTTGGATCAATTCAACCGAAAAGAACGTAAAGAATGAGACACAGCTAACCTAAGCGTACACCTTGACTAGACTCTGCGATTACCCAAGCACGACGTCGTGAATTAGTCGATACTGTTCTAACGCTTTTCTCTATAATTGTAAGATTCACGGACGGTTTAGAGTGACAGTGGTAATGTAATGTTTGAGTGGATCGGTCAATTCACTAAAGCCTGCCTCCTTCAAAATCCAAGGGGTTTCTGCTGGTCTTAAAATGCATTACGGGTTATCGATGGGGTATTCGGAGTTATATCAATAGCTTTCCAAGATATTTCATAACCCTATCGGTGATCCGTAACCTCATAACCTTAAGTTATGGCAATAACCTATTGTCGTCTTCTGTTCTTGCTCATGCGGTACCCGGCAGTTTTCAGTGGTTATAAAACAGTAGAGCTTCATTGTTTGTGCGAGTCACTATTAAATAGAACTTTGGTTCCTTATTCTTCTTCTTCTTCTTCTTTGAAGAGATTATGTGGCAGCAGGCTGAGAGACCGGTAGAAGCGGTTTTTTTATTATTATTAATCTTTCATGACCTCGTCTGCCAAGTCTGAGATTCTTCTTCATTATGTCTATTGCTCATACATTTGTAGGTGACAATGTTGAGAGCACAACGAATGGGACCGTTGGGTCACTTGATTCGTGGTCTCCCAAAAGCACTGTCACCTGTCAGCAACTGGCCCCACAAAATGCACCAGTAACATCACCAGGTCTGCCAAAAGCCCGACGGCGATTTGCGCATGGTCGGCGGTCGGCTTGTGAACAATTCTTTGAATTTATAGATATAGATTTCGTTTGCAATTTCAAGGAGCTGGTCATTTTAAATATATACAAGATTCTTACCTCGGAGTCCGTTACGAACCAAGAAAAGATTTTCACCATGGACTGGCTCGGCCGCGCCTCCCTAGACTTCCATGCCTCCTCGTCTCCCATCTCCTTCGAGACGCAGGAGGACGGGCCCAAGACCCTGCTGGACGTGGTGAAGGAGTCGACGCCCGCGTGCCAGCTGAACCCGCTGCTCTTCAATGGGCACCTGCAGACGTGCTGGACGGCGGTGAACAAGGAGGCGCCGCCCGTGCACTACCGGCGGCGGGTCTTCGAGGCGGAGCACAGCTCGTACACGGGGTCCTTCGTGGTGGACTTCTACGTGCCGCCCGGGGAGGCCGCGCCCGAGGAGGAGGCCGACGGGTCCCTGCCCCCGCGCACCGCGTACTTCAGCGCGGAGGAGCTGGCGCGCCTCGAGGCCCGGGGCAGCGACGACGACAGGCCTATGCTCGTCGTGCTGCACGGGCTCTCGGGCGGCTCCCACGAGGTCTACCTCCGGCACGCCATCGCGCCGCTCCTCGAGAGCGGCAAGTGGGAGGCCTGCGTTGTCAACTCGCGCGGGTGCGCCAAGAGCAAGATCACCACGGGCATCCTGTACAACGCGCGCGCGACCTGGGATACGAGACAGACGGTCAAGTGGCTCCGGATGACGTTCCCGAACCGGCCGCTTTTCGGCATCGGGTTCTCGTTGGGTGCTTGTATTCTGACTAATGTATGTAGCGGGATCTTTTTTTCTTCTTCTTTTTCTCATAGTTTTTCTTTGCTCTTTTCTCATTATTTTCTTTTTATCCTTTTTAGGGCTGTGTGTCTAGGAGCAATGCTGACCGATCGATATAGTACCTCGGTGAGGAAGGCTCAAACTGTCAGCTGAAAGCCGCGGTGGCTTGCGCGAACCCCTGGAACCTCGAGGTGTCGAACAATGCGCTCAAGCGGACGTTCATGGGCCACAACCTATACTCCAAAGTCCTCGGCAGTGAGTTTTTACTCTCTTCAGATCCCCTCCCGCTGCTCAATACCAGCTTGAATCATGTTGAGGAACGCACTAACCTGGGGGCCAGCCGCAATGAGGAAACTCGCCGAGACCCACGCAGAGGAGATCAGGAAATACACAGACTTCGATCTGGAGAAGATCGCCGGGCTCACACATCTGTACGAGTTCGACAGGGAGGTGCAGTGCAAGGCCTGGGGGTACCCGACCGAGAACGCGTACTACAGGGACGCGTCATCCGTGGACGCCGTCATGGCAATCAGGATTCCCTACCTGGCGATCAACGCGACGGACGATCCGGTAAGTCTTCATCACGCTCCACCCCACGTCATTTCGCCGCGAGTTTTGTACTCATGGCCCGAAAACAACAGATCTCGGCAGAGGAAGCACTCCCGTACGGAGAGATCAGATCAAACCCCTATGCGGTGTTGTGCACGACATCGATGGGCGGACATCTGGGATGGTTCGAGCCAGGTGGTGGACGCTGGCACAGCCGCCCGGTGGCCAGGTTCATGAACTACATGGCGTTCGAGGCCAAGCTGGACGACATCAAGACCAACGCGACCGATAATGGTAAAATCTACCATGCAGGTGCGGAGTTTGACCCTATGCGCCGGAAGATGGACGTACCCCGGGAGTAGGGAGGGCGGGATATGCAAAGGAGTCGTTGGACCGCTGCCCAAGCACTGGCAATGTATAACATGATATAAATAGAGTTAGACCGTTCGCTTGAGGGGATAATTGTACATAGAACAGCTACACTGGGTATCTAGAGCTAGAACAAAAGGTGATCTTATGGTTTGGGATAGAGTGAGGTAAATCAATTCTGTATGGCACTGATCCAATGACACGCTAAACCATTTACGCATCGTCGTTACTGCTGCTTTTCAGACTGAGCTTGATGCGCCAGTTGATGAACTCATCCGTCAAAATTCTACCGTGGCCAGCCTCCTCCACTCTGAACACATCAATTGTGCCTGACTTGGGTTGTCTCCGGATCCTCCAGACACCCTCATCATTGATTGTTCGTCTCAACCCTAACAAGTGGTCAGCTCTCAGGCATAAATGCTAATCGGGATATCACCTTACATTCCAAGAAGCCAGCACCGAAGTTAATACACATGTTCGCGTTCCATGTTTTCACGCCTCTCTGAGCAGCAGTGACAGGAATGCTCTCCGTCTTTATTTCCTCGATCTTCTCGAGAATACCGCCCTGTGACCGGAACCCTACGATGATCTTAGGAACGCCGAGCAGAAAGGACTGTATCCAGAACTTCATGAGCTTGCGCTCGAAGTTGTTCATGTCACGGTCGTCGCGGATGGAGGCACTAGTCTTGAGCTCGACCCAATTCGTAGGTGCGCCGGGCACCATAGGTTTCGTGTCCCATACTGTGATCATGTGAGCGAACCGAATTGATGTGCAAACATTAAAAGTAATTCAACCTCCCCATGTGATAGGAAACATACCAGCGTCGACTTCACCTCCAATGCAAAGGACGGTTTTGCCAAGTCCTGTGCGCACTACTGAGCAGTACTGAGCCTTGTTGCTCACAACCTCCTTGTCGCGGTTCTCGATGTATTCTCTGCTGGTTTCGGCCCAGGTTGCAGGTATGGTGGACAGAGTCTCGAACTTGTAGCCTAGCCGTCCAGTTAGTAAAACTAGACGCGATACATGGCTGGACGTGTGCACTTGCCCCAGTAGGTCATGACATCGGGCGAAAATTGCGGAGGTGGCGGTTGATTATCCCGTCCTCTGTTGTTCCAGCGCTTAGGCTTGCTGTTCTGGTGCCGTTGTTTCTGTTGTGAAGCCTGCTTATACGCATGGTTCTCCTCGATGAAGCTGTGGTAGATGTCAGTTGAGGATATGGGTTGATCTATGGGCATTATCGCCTACACGCAGTCCTTTTCCCCTGTCAGTCCAGATATCCTCAACTAGGGGTAACAGCATGGCGTACTTGATATAGAGTTGCATTCATCTCGAAGCTGCCAAATGTAAGAATCAGCGCTTGCCCGGAAGATGCAATAGGTTCATCGATCCATACCCATCTCTGTCATCAAACAGAGTTGACATGATCTATGGCATTGTGAGCATAATTTAGACATGGAGTGCTATGAGGGCTAACCTTTGTCATCATGCCGCGCCACGTGACGACTTGGGCGTCAATCTTCTTTCCGTCTTTCTGCTCATGGGCGATGATCGTCCTCAACAGACTGTCCAAGTGCTCATCAGCAGAATCATCGTGCTTGTCGAAGCTCTCGAAGCCGCCTGACAAATCTGTGCCTAGCTCAGGCGGGTAGTACCATCTCAAGGAAGAGTCACCCAGATGGAATTCATGGTTGTCATCGTATGAGAAACAAGCGATTTCCTGGAAAAGACGATCAGCAAGTTATAGCATGCGAATCGATATGGGTGGTGATTCGATGGCGTCCATGATACAACGCATGATGGTATAGTAAAAAGGTTGAGAAGACCTACTTTGGGGCGTTTGACAGCTTGGCTATCACCGCTGAAGCGGCCGATGGGTTGAATGTCGAATGTCCCTGACATGATACCTCGCTGTCATGTTCGGGTGATCTTTAGACAATTGGTAAAAGTGAATCTGCGCATCCCCCTCTCTGAACCAAGGTGCACTGCAGAGGTTGGACGGAGTAAGGTGAAACTCAATTTCTTTATGAGATTTATTTACGACGTGAGAGCTCCAAAGCCGCTAATAAAATGGCTACGGGTCCTACAAAAAAAAAAGCAAAGCTGCAGAGCAAAGCTGCAAGCCAAAGCAAAGCAAAGCAGAGCAGAGCAGAGCAGAGCAACATTTCCAAGCTGGCCGCAGGGGTTCCGCTGCACCTCCCCTGTCACTCGCCTGGCGATCTGCACCCCGCCATTAGCTCGTCGGCGCTTTGCCATTTGAATCAGCAGTTGCCCTTTGCTGTGAGCAGCAAGTAAACAATGACTCCCATTTTGACCTCCCCAACAACGTAGACTAGATTAACCTTAGATACCTATGAGCAACCCAGCCACAGCCCAGCAAGCTCTCCATTCTCTCGGCTAGAGCTACAGTGCGCCTTGTATTGTACGATTACTGCATGCAGACCTCCAGTTTCTCGAGATATCGCACCACCGACCCAAACACAATGTCGAGCAACCCCCCACCCCTTCAGCGACCCGCCGCTGCCCGCCCCGTCCGCAGCGCAGGACCGACGATAGCGAGCACTTCTTCCTCCACCGGCAACGGCAGCGGCAACGGCAACGGCAACGTACGACGCAACCTCTTCCAGTCGCAGCTGACACGCCGACCGACGCCGACGTCCTCGAATTCCGGCGAGACGCTGAGGCTCGATGTCGACGTCCTGGACTCGGAGGCCTCAGAGATTGTGATTCGGGACAAGAACGGCGAGTTCGAAGTCGGCGACCCACCCACGCCGCCGATGGATGAGGGTTCGGAAGCGGGCGCAGTTGACGAGGATGGAGAACATGAGCGTGCGTCGACTTTGCCCTGCACTGGGTCACGGTGGAGGTAGTGGCTAACGAGTCTGCAGGAGAGCGACGTAAGCTTGCCGAGATCGTAAGGCATCACCAGAAGAGCCCTGCGCAGCCCGAAGGTAGGAACATGAGATCCGAAGCTGTGTTGCTCGAAGATTGACTCTAAAAACAACAGAAATTCTTGAAGCCTTGAGGGCCAGCATGCGAGCACAGGTCACAGCCCTTGCTGACGACAATTGGATGTACGAGCCAGAAGACCAGCCGCGGCCGCAATGAACAAAATACAGGACATGCATGGTATCCTCTATTGTTCACGCCTATTTACTCATATTCAGGGTATAGTACTTGCTTGCTATCAGAGACTCCGCAAAGGACAGAGCCCAAGTTAGTCCAGACCTTCTGCGGTAGGCAGGGGAGTGGGCGCCTTGACAGCCGGTCTTCTCGAACCAGCCGCAGCAGCACCGCCGCCACCTCCACCCAGCAGTCCGCTCATCATGTCCATGAGCGGGTTGCTCTGTCTCGGTCTCTGGATGCCGAAATACATCTCTGCGATCATTTCCAGCGGCTCATGCCATATCTCAACCTCCTTGATGTGCGAAGCATACTTGGTAGTCAACTGCTTGTATAAGTCGGCGCTGCCCCGTTGTACCGCAAGCAGGAGAAGGCCGAGGAAATTGAGAAGGGGAATGCTGGGGAAGATTCTGATGTCGGCGCTGTTGCTGCTGACGTCCTGCACGCCGATAGCACTGCCCTTGTCCTGGTTGAGAGAGCTCGTGAAGTACCGGTAGGCTGTGTTGGCCGCTCGGACGTTGGCGGTCAATAGATAGGGTAGAATAGCTCGGCTGGCATAGAGAGCTGCAGTGTGCGCATCGTCCTCCTTGAACCACTCATATTCCATTTTTGCCAATACTTCGGCCGAGTCTTTTGTGCCTAGTACCAGGTGTCGCTCTGCGTCGGACGTCTCGTGCTCTTCGGCGTAGAGCGAGCCAGCCACATGATGAAGCTCGGGGTCGCCCGCAGGAAATTCGCCAAACTTGGAAGACCAACTGTATAGCCAAGGGTCAGCAAACGCATCCCCCCAATGTCTTCCCGTAAAAGGGCCCGCGTAACAGAATCAGCCGAGTAGGGACTTACCCAATCATCTCGCCGACAAACTTCTTCCTCGTCGGCTCCCCGGCCTCAAACAACCGGAGGCACGTCAGCAGCTTGCCCTTGTTGCTCGCGTCGGGCTTGAGCTCCGCCTGCTTGTACGTGTCGACCAGCAGGACGCAGAGGTCGCCTCCGCTGCCCCCCTGGCCGGCCTTGAGCAGCGACTGGGCGACGTTGTACAGGATGTCGATGGCGGCGTCCCAGTTGGCGGCCTTGGTGTACCGGGCGGCGACGACCCGGCACTGCTGCTGGGCCTCGTAGTAGGACCCCTCCCCGATGCGCGACTGCAGGCGGGTGATGATCTTTTCGATCTTGTCGGATTTCGAGGTCGCCATGGTGGAGGCTCTTGTGGCTGGCGTGCAGAGGAGAATATGGAGGTGGTTTGAGAAAAGGAGGGAGAGGGGAGAAGACGGGGAAGAGAGCTGGTTGTGATGTGGTGACGAGATGGAGGGTAGGCGTAGCAGATGAGGCTAAGTAATGGCGGGGAGAATCAAGCCTGTCAAGGTCAAGCTTGGTTGTTGTGCTTGTTTTCTGCAGGCGAGGTGGGATGCGGAGCCATTTTGGTGACGACAGACGCTCGCTTGTATTTGTAGGCGTTAACGCCGTAAGCAAGTCAGTCGCACAGGCCTGCCAGCCACTGTAAATGGAAATGGAACTGGAAATTGTACCTGTGTCTGCAAGCTGCGCACTTTCGCTTGGAACACACGCACGGCATAGGCCGAATGTTTAGCCTAGTATTCAGTGCTACCTTTGATGCTGCCTAGCATCCCAATACCGCTTCATTACTGATTCGTGGGGTTGTTCGAAGTAGGTGTTCACGAACTGGCTGCACTAGACACTCCAGGTCGAGTCTATAAATCGATCTGCTTGCACTGCTGATTGGCCCTAAGAATGGACTCTTGCATCTGTTCGCTGGTAGTGTACAGATGTCAGCATCGCTTCTGTTTGAAATATAAAGATATAAAAATATAATTAAAAAAGCGGAACTGTTCTATATAGCAGGTGTGCATTCATATCTTTAATACCGAGTGCACCACTTGCTGCATTGCATTTGTTTGTTCAGCACAGCTATCATTCGTCGCCCTGACTCAAACAAAAATTTTAGTCTTTTAAAACATGAATTTTCGGGCACTGACAGATTTTTTTTCCCTTGTCACCAACTTAACCTTTTTCTTCTCAACTATACAGATATCCTGTGATCCTTGTGTATCTTATACTACTATACACATTCTGGCTATGCTCACACCTTGTCGACATTATTCGGTTTCGAACTCTTTGCATAACTTTACAAATCTGTCCGCCTGCTTACACCCCCCGCATCATGCAGCTACGCCACATAAGAGCCGGTAAGCTGCTTTCTCCTCAACAGCTTAAAATCGTCCATCGGCATTGATGGTGTAGCGGTAACATTAAAGCTTCCCACTTGGTCTTCATGATCTTGCTTTAGCTCCGGGTTCGACTCCCGGTCAATGCATACAATTCAGTGGCCCTGGCTCAGTCAGGGAACGAACTTTTTGTTTCGTATCGTGATTGTTATACATGATCGATCATGTCTCTATTTCTGCGTTGTTTCACTTTGTTTTGCTTACCACTTTCCCGTTTTAACCCTATCAATGCAACAGTTCTTCATACTTCAGCGACATTAGCATCATCAGCAAAAAGCATCCTTGTGCAAGACCCGCATTGTCAACCAGGTCACAGATGGCAGAATGAATATCGAAGATCTGTTTGATACAGTCGCACATCTTGAAGCAGTCATACTCTCCTTGAAAAGTCATTGAACAACCCCTAGACTAGTAGAATGAAACTTCGACGGAGGCCGAAATGCAAATCGGGGTTGATACATTGATTGCGGAATCGTACACTGGGGCGCTCTCGCGATATATTGATGATTTAACCACGCTGCGAGGAGCCAGGTCGCCAGCCGAAACCGATCCAAAACCTAGGGCTATGGGGGGACAGGTTCAAATGATAGGGACTAGACTCTCGAGCAGAATCATTGACCAGAAGCTAAGCCAACAGAGTTAGGCGACTGCAAAATCCTATATCCACATGCCTATTATGTCAACAGAGAATTCAGAAAACTGTAGAACAAGCGGTGCTGTGATGGTGTACGTAGAATGCACAATGCTGAGTCATTGCTCAGCGTCTATGATTAGGCCCAGCCAGACGTTCTGAGTTTTTTCTTCTTATTTTTCTTTTCTTTTTTCTTATTTTTCTTGGCAGTTATTTGTCTTTATATAAACGGCTTCTGGCGATATGGTCTATCGCTAGCATTGTAGGTACAAGCGCTGGCATGGTACGTATCAGAGCCATCATCAAGAGCAGAGATTATATACTCCCAAAAAGGCCAGACTGAAGGTACAAAGACATACGTGGGTGCTTGACATTACCCATAGCCCTGGTTTCTACACCGACACTCATAGATGCAAGACGCCCCTGGCATTCTGACCTTCTCAAAAAAATTTTCGCTGACTTACTCCCAGTTCCAAGCGACAACTTTGGCTGGTTGCCAAGTCCTGATGGATGCTTCGTCGTCAAATCGATAAAGATCACAGCTGGTAGCAATTGATAACTTCGGTCAAGTGGGCTTTTATAATTTTCTATGTGAAAGATGGACTGGGTATAAGCTGGGCGCACCAACGACGAATTGCGGTATTGTTGAAATATCGCTCGAGTCCTGTTGCCAATACGTTGAGTATAGTACAACAAATGGACGTCAATCCGTCTCAGCAGAAGTGGATGGACCAGTCAATATCAAACTTGAGGTAGAGCATCTTTCTACGCGCATAACAACAACAAAAAACGAACAAATGAAACTTTCCCTACCTCCTCTCACTGAATGACCTTCAAGAAGCAATGCATCCATATCCAACATAGAAATGACCGCCGTCGCCGTCGATCCTCAATGGCTACACACTTAACCGTGCCAGTGAGAAACCGACGGAAGCAACGGGTTTACCCAACCTTCTCGACCGAAAACGAACAGTGTTGTCATGGAAGCCTCAAACTTATCAGTGCTTCACCTCCTTTTCTTCCTACCTCTCTGTTTCACGCATTGTGCCAAGTGAATTAAATGGGTCCCCTTGTCTGGTGTTCCGTGTCTGCAGCTCGAGCAAACGAAATTCCCATGTCCATGGTATTTGCAGGAGCGGACGTGGCGCCTGTGTAGATCTTTGCGGTGATCTCGTTTGTTGCAACTGCAGACATAGCTTGGTGGGCGGGTTTCAGACGATGCATCTTCGGAGTGCTCTTGTGTGTTGTAGTGACGATCAAGGTCCCGTTGGCTCTCGAAGGCACGGTGCGAACAGCCCTTCTCGCACCTGTACCTGTGCCTCGAAACAAGATGACGCCTATTGAATATGAGATTCACTTCTACTTGTTGTGATAGAAGAGCTTGTACGAACCTAAGTCCTGGGCCGCTGAAGTTCCCAGAGCAAAAGGGGCATCGTTGACTTGCTGTTTCGAGAGGTTGAGAGACCCCGATAGTTTCCTTTATCAACCGCGCTGCCACGGAACCGCCCGCTAGAGATGCCGGGCTATATCCTGGCTGTTTGGATGCTACTGAAGACGCGAGTTGGGCTGAAGTATCGGTTGATTGTGTCCAGCTATCCTTGCTCGGAGTATTAGAATTACCGAGCACCTGCCGAGCGGAATTCCCACTTGCTGTAGAACCAGAAACACCTTGTTCAGGTTCTGAGTTTGGAATGGTATCTGAGATGTTGAGGAAATCAAGACTGAAGGGTACAAACCCAGGAATTGCCTCGTAGCGACGGAGAAGAGAGTCGAAATCAAGGTCGTAAAATGTGTTTTCGGATCTTGAGAAGGCAAAAGTCTCACTACTATTGCCAGAATAAGGATGACCAGTGTTTACTTGCTGATCACTTTGGCCGCACCTCCGAATTTACCCCGGCCCGGGCTTCAACCCGGGTGATTGTTAGGGTGGTTTGTATGCACAGCAGCACAGACTCAATACTGCCGCATTAGGCAATAAACAATCAAACGTCACGTTTGGTTGTGGCGAGTAGTTGTGGGGACCTCGGCATATAGAGCAATCGTTGACACGATATCTGATGCACTCAGTACCAGTACACATACTGCGACCTGATGATCTGTCATGATAGTCAGTAGAGATTGTACCAATGGGAGTTCTTTTTGTGACGCACGAAATGCCGTCCCCCATATCAGACTGATCTATACCGAGAACAGCACCAACGTCTGTTCAACAGAACATACCTCACCAAGGACGAAGTGAACTGGTTATCTATATACTGCTGGCAACGGCAATTTTCTTAGTCATCTACGAAATTGGCCGCAGTAAGGCATGGACGCCTTGGAAAGCCGCGCACCAACGGTGACTTCTGCCTCGGGCGAATTAGTGCCAGCCGGAATGCATTCTCCATTGGATCCTCGAGAACATTGCAGCGTCCAACCAAGTGTTAAGTGTGAGAACCCGTAGTGTCCGAACTGCCTGGTCAATAGACATGCAGCACATAATTAGCAAGAATTTCCCCGCCTTTTTGCATCAAAATACCTTGAGTTACTGTTCTACTACATTCGCTTGATCAGAAACTTTTTATTTACTCTACTCGTTTAAGTCTGTTGCTGTTTTCTTGATTTGCTATTCATTTTCTGTGATTTGTGAATTTCCTATACCACATTAGAGCTGTACTCGATAGTTTAGGACACCAGGATCAGGAACGCCACCCTCTGTCCAGGATTGCCTGTTAGCACGGGTTGAAAATTGGCCTCAATACCACTAATGCAGGAGTGATGCTCCAATGAAAGCATTGCATTTACGCCAGTGAGATTGATGATGCGATAGTTCTCACAGGTACAAAGGTTGCGGCCAAAATCCATGCCCAATCTTCTGTTTGTTTTGGTTGGGCTCGGGGCCAAGGCTGAATCTTTTTGTCAGGCGAGTGAATAAATAGATTGATTCTTTCGATGTACATAAGATTGAGGCCGCACAACCGTGAACATGTTGACAGGCGAGACTGCGTAAGACTCTCCATAGTTATATTATTACAAAGACAAATTACCACGCAAGGCCGAAAGGAGCCTGCCGTTTGTCAGTTTCGACGATCGAAAGTATGGGTTCGTACGAATAATTTACCGGAGGAAACCCAACGGCAGTCTGCCTGCGCCTACCTCCCCCGCGCCGACTTCGACCACCGCCATATGCACCACCTCCACTGAAGCCCAAGCCCGGCCAGTCATTCCAGTCGTCTTCGCTATCTTCCTCAGAGTCGGATTGATCTTCGTGGCGACGACTTCGCCCTTTGTATTTGCCTCTTGTCGCAGCTTCCTCGATGCAGTCTCTGGCTTCGCACGTGTGGTCCTTGCAATATTCACCATGATCCACGACATCATCAGCGCAGTAGTCCTTTCCCCGTGAGCCGTTGGAACAACCTTTATATTGACAAGTGTGTGAGGCGCAGAATCTGCTGTCTTTGTATGGTCTATCGTTGCAGTCACTTTGAGCGCACGTATGCTTGGCACAATACGGGCTATAGCACAAAGCCAACTGAGCCGCAGTGCTTGTTGGGTCCATGGCAAATAATGTTCCCAGTGGGATGGCAGACTCGATCATACGCCTCTGGCTGGGATAGTCTACTGCGTTGCACTTGTGCGCGTTGCAAAGCGTCGATATCGGAAACATACGATAGCCCGGGCAGTCAGGAGTTGCCGTGCAAATTTGCTTCGCGCAGCGTTGCCCCCCTTCTAACCTGGCATAGTTGCACCCGTGTGCTCCACAAGGACGCATATCTGTGAAGTTTCAGTAAGAGCAACCACGAGTTCCTTTGGCGTTTTGTTCCTACGTTCTGAGCATTTTGTTTCACGATTGCCCTCGCCGTTCACAAACCGCAGCTTGGCGCACCCATTCTCAGCACACCTTTCGTGCTTCTCACAATAGCCTCCTCTCTGCGCAGTTCCTTCCTCCGTGCAAGCGATGGTCGTGAAGCACTCCTTGCAAGCATGTGCTGCACAGTAAGCCGAACGCGCATGACCAAACCTGTCTCGGGTACAACCGGCACTCTTGCACTCATGGGGAGGGTCGGCATCGTCTCCGTCGCAGCAAAAAAGGGCATTTTTTTGCTGGATATCTTTTTGTTGCAAGATATCGATTTACAAGTGTGCGCCTCGCATGCGTTCCCTGGCTGCTCGCGCTTATTGTCGCATTCGTGTCCCCATTCGCAGTAATGCTCCTTACAGTGCTTCAGAGACTTGTCGGTATCTTCAGTGACCTTGACGTATCTCTCACAGCCATCGACGTCGCATTTCTTGTGCTTTTTGCAGTTCTTATCGCCAAAGTCGGGAGTGACCTTGGGAGTCAAGCCTTCGGTACAAGTAGGATATGCACATGTGTGTGTGGCGCATCGACCGGCGTCTGCAAATCCCAGACATTCCTTTTCTTTACACGTATGATTCAAGCAATACATGGAATTGAAGTTGCTAGCTTTGATCTTCTTCTCTTCTGTACAATCTGTGCGTTGACAGCCATCTATACGTACATCAGCCGACTTCGGCAAAAAGAAAAAAGAAAAAAAAGAAAAAGTAAACAGGACATGTTAGTGAGCACAACATACGCTCTGAACACCACTTAGACTTCTTCTTTCCTGCGGTCTTCGGGCACTTGTGGCAGGATAGAGACCCGCACTGCAAGTCTGGATTTGGGAGTCGTAAACAACTAGGCCTTGGCGCAAAGGCGATTGGCCTTGTGAACTTACGATCATCGCACGCAGCCGCATCTCTCTTCTTGAAGTTTACGCAAGGTCGTCCATGGACGGACGCTTGACATTGATGTTCGGAACAGTAGCTTGATAAGTAGAAAGGATGATTCGGACCTCTTTGGCCGATCTTGTTCTTGCTTCTTTGCCGGAGGCATATAGTGTCTTTCTTACTCTTTTCCCTGTCGGTTTCGGGGAACAGTACGTGCCGGCGATGATTCGACTGCCGAAGAGCACTGCCAAACTGACTGAAGAGACCGTTATGACGTACCATCCTGGATATTTCCAGCAGATGCGGGCGGGATGGGACCACGTCACACTCAGTTTCACCAGTACGGCCAAGACAGTGTGTGAACTAAGGGTACATGAAAAGAAGAGAGTGGAAAAAGAATTGAGATGTTGTCAGAGCTCCCACTCGACTGACGGAAATAACCAGATTGGGCAACGTGACAAAAAGAAGAAAGATAGCTTGTCAAACATGACGTGTGATTTAAAAGAATGAGGCTAGCGAGACAAGGTCACTGGCTTTGTGTCAAGCAAACAACTAACAACGACTAAGATACTTTTTCGAAAGGCTGAGCAATACATGCCGGCCTCAGATGTACCAACTTGAGTCAAATATTGCACCTCGAAGTTCGTCAAACGACCAAGGTCTCTGGCCACAGCGGTATAAATGTTGGCCCAATTTGGCGGTCCAGCTACTAGAGTCGTACAGCGAGGCACGTTCGGCTGAACATACAACACAAGTCACGATATGTGCTTGCCGTTATATGCGCTGACTTATTGAGACCACAAACAGGAAACAGATATAAGTGACACTAAAATGTTGGGAGGGCAAATCAGAACAGATGAGACTTCGTTTTGTTTCATATGACCGATATAATTTGATTTACTCCTGGGTCAAGCACACCACGCACGTACGTCATGGCACTAGGGTATCATTTACATTACACATCATCATAAGTGACTCCAAAGGGAAACAATCCAACCATTGACACCCTGCGCGGTCACCTCGGGAGAACTTTGTCTATCATCGCGCGCGTCAGGCCGCAGGCTGAGAAGCAACAGCAGCAGCAGCAGCAGATGCGGCAGCCAGGGCAGCTTCAATGCTTTGATCTTGTTCAACGCTATTTTCTTGGCTCATAAAGCGTTTCAACTCCATAAGCCCGGCTTCCTCATCATTGAGAGGCTCATGTTTGACTGCAGAGTCTTCGGCCTTGGTTGGAACGGGTGTGTGAGGAGCGTTGACCTGAGGTGGAGCTTGTGTATGTGTCTGTGCCTGAGATTGTATTTGCATTGAGGCATGTTGTGGTTGGGCATGAGATTGTTGTTGAGGCTGTGGGTGCAGTGGCTTTTGTTGCTGGTGCTGTTGCAGATGGGGTGGAAGCTGCTGGGATATACCTTGCCGCTGATGATTCTGCAAATTTTGCTGCTGTGAAACATGCAGCTGCAAGGAAGGTTGTTGTTGCAGTGAAGCATGTTGCTGATGAGGCTTCAATGGGACCTGGTTTTGCGGCTGTGTAGTTGGACGAGGGGCCACTTGTTGCATTTGCTGAGCATGCTGCTGAGCATGCTGCTGAGGCTGCTGAGGCTGCAGAGGTACCTGTGACTTCTGACTGGCTTGAGCGAGATGCACATGTTGCCCATTGGGTAGGGTAGATTGTACTGATGCTGGTGCACCGCCATGACCAGAAGCTGTCCGCTGGAGATGGGCGCCATGCGGCGATCCAGGATGCGACTGACCGTGGGCGGCTACTTGCCCCGGGATTGTGTTCTTTGACGGGGAAGGTTTTGGCTGAGGCCTCTGCCCATTTCCGTTGTGCATGTTCCCGAGTGCCATCGTGGCGCTTACGTGAGCTTTCTCATCTTCGGAGGTAAGTCTCGCACGCTCCTCAGCCTCTTTCCTGGCTGCTTGAGTGGGTGCCCTTGTCTTGAGCTCACCGGTGACACACTGGAGATAATATGGCATTTCCGAATTGGTTTTCAGAAAGAACAACTTCAAATTTCGTGCCTTGTCCTTGAGCTGTACTTGTGTCCGATCTGCGAGAATATTACTCATCCTTCCCTGTTGCCCGAAGAGACTCAAGATTTGTGACCAATGAGGCCCTTTGACCATGTCAAGCCCCATCATCAAAGCCTTTTCCTCTTCAGGGCTCCATGGACGCCTAGTAGAATGAGAGCCCTCCCTCCTGGCATGTGTACTTGACCGAGCTGCGGCCGCTTGTCTTGCTCTTTCGTACAGGATCTCCGAAGAAGCATGCTGACCTGGTGGTAATTCTACTCTGTCAGAACTTTGCGCCTGTTGCGAAGGAGTATTAGGTTGCTGAGGATAAGCATAATACTGTTGTTGTTGCGTTGGCTGTTGTGGTGGTTGTTGTGGTTGGTGCGTTTGATGATGGCCGTTGGGTGACGGGTTATTTGCTTGTTGGACTGTGGTTGGGTGATACTGGTTTCGTTGCATTGTCTGTAGTGCCAAGTTCGTAGCCCGCATGGCGCTCTCGCTCGTGGATAGGACGGTCGACGGCAATTCACTAGGCACAGATTGGCCCTGCGCTTGTTCCGAAGCAAATGAAATGAGTGCTGCGAGATCATCTGCGACATGGCTTGTTGTTCCATTATCTGCGGAAGCCTCCTGAGCTGCTTTCGCTGCTTCTGCGATAGCAGCGTCGATGTCAAAGTTGTCAAGGCCACTAATACCATCAAACAGACCCGAGCTTTCTGCATCTGTCGACACGCTAGTCGGGCTTGAACCTAGCTTTTCAATATTTGTCATGTGTCTGGAAAGATAACCGCTCAACTCCTCAAGAAATGACTCATAGGTATACTGCGTGCTTAGAGCCTCTATACACGCGTCAGGATTTTTACACTGAATGGGAAAGGATTCACTTACGAATGCTAGCGGAATCATGTGACTCGTTCAGGAGCATGATTTTCCTTGCTTCGGCGTCAGCCAGAAACCTGGTTTCTGAAAGAGCAAGAGGCAAGCCGGGATGATGTTTCTTGAGAGCCTCCTCTTGACCGGATACAAACAATTCGTCAAGTATATGAGCTCTCGGCTTAGACTGTTCGGACTCCAGCAAGGTCAAGAACATCTGTGTCTTGAGCCCTAGGTATAGTTCGGCCTCATCAGACGGCATTTGCTGCCCATCGGCCACGAACGTGCTCAGGAAGCTTGCATTCAAGTCCGGCCAGCCAAGTTCATTAGCACCGAACATGCTAGCGCAAGACGTAGCCAGGTTGGCTATTCTGATAATTTCCCGATCCTCAGAGCTGCTGATATCCAGCTGGTCGGGATACAACAATGGGAAGTCTTCTGATAGTTGCTTCCTCAGGGCGTCGAAAAACGATCTCAGCACTGCGTATTCCTTGCCGACACTATGGCCATTGTCGGCATCAGTGAGACAAGTAATCGTTTCTTCCAACTCTTGATCACATAAAGCTATGAGTATATCAACGGCCACCTTCCCTAAGGTCGGTAATATGTAGGTCTGTCGCGTATACTGTGCCCGATGGCTCCATATAGATGCCCTTTTTGGTGTCGCTTGCGCAGGCGCAGTCAAGTCCGGCATTGTAAGAACATCAGCGTGGATATCGTGACTGGAATGCCCATGACCATCGCCATTTCCACCGGTCTCAAGACTACTTGCGATGCTTGCCATGATACTGTTGATATCGATATCAGGTCCATGATCGCCGCTGAGCCCGTTGAGCCCGTTGAGTCCGTTGAGTTCGTTGAGCCCGTTGACTTCCACATGGAAATCGGGCATAGGGTGATCTTCTGACACACCATCCGTTCCTAACGCAGCTTCTTGTGCGGCTTGAATCATTTTGGTGATTTCGTCTAGATCAGCCAAACCTTCTGGCATTTCAATCATTGGGTTGGACTCCTGCAACTGCTCCTGTGCCTGCTCCTGAGCCTGCCCCTGTGCCTGCTCCTGAGCCTGCTCCTGAGCCTGCTCCTGAGCCTGCCCCTGTGCCTGCTCCTGTGCCTTCCCCTGTGCTTGCTCCTGGGCTTGCTCTTGGGCTTGCTCATGTGCCTGTACCTGCTCGTGTTCCTGCTCATATTCTTCTTCATGTGCCTGCTCATGTGCCTGCGCCTGTTCAGACTGAGTCTGCGGCTGAGAAACATTCGCATTAGCTTCTGATTCGATAAATGGCACCGTTTTTGCTTTCGGTTCGTCTCGCGGTACCATATCTGCTTCCACCTCAGGCTGGGGCGCTGTTTCTGCTTCAGGCTCAGGTTGAACCACCATTGTTGCTTCAAGCTCAGGCTCAGGCTCGGACTGGGGCGTTTGGATCTCATTCGATGGGCTTTCTACTCCATCCAGCTTCAGTCGCTTCTCGTCATTCGGACCAGTATCGTCGAGTGGCGATCGAGCACGCTTCAACGGTGACGGAGGAGTAAATTCAGGCGAAGGCGCCTCATGTTTAATCTCCAGCTTGACCTCTGGGCCTGACATTGGTAACGAGTTAGCCCGAGTCCAATAGGTCTGACGATACAAGACATATAGAGAATCAAAAGCAAACCATTGCCAGGCAAGGCCATGGGCACCTGCGCTTATAACAGTGCTTGTGAAAGTCGCTCTCTGTCGTACTTACTTTTTGGCGGGGACTGCGATGATGCTGCCGCTGCCGCGGCAGCCGCCTCAATGGCAGCACTGAGTTCATCCATGTCGCAGGTATATCAATAACTAAATAGGTCATAGAGAAGCCATTTAGACACTCTCACGAACAATGCGACGCTGCCGCTGCCTCGCTACACGTATGGACGATTGAGGTTGAACAGCAACCAAAAATTTGGCCGTAGCGCCGATCGCGATGCCCTGAAAACTTGCCCCGCGATAAGATAAGATACGATACACAAGTCACAACCTCTACTTAATCGCTTCGGCCGCAAATCTATCTAACTATGCAGCGTTTTAAATGTGAGAAAATCAAGCCATATCCCAGTTATGTGTAGTTGATCTGCTCAATTGAAATGAATCAGAACATGCCAGGGAGCAGTTGTGCCATTTTTTTCTTTCTTTCTCCTTTTTGCTTTCCCCGAAGCATTTATATTCATACAAGTCCATGTCCATATTCGATACTCGTATCAACAAGTGAACCATAAGCCTGGGAAGTCTTACTTGTGATTTCCGTGCCGGGTACAGCCAGGGTCGTTGCATACCTAAGTAGTTTCCACTCATTATATCCTTTTGCAGGATGAGGTTATGTATATTATGAAAATGGGCTCAAGTATAAACATTCCGCTTTCTAGCGGGAATAAATTTTGGCTTAGACTGGTCTAGTACCAACGGTGATAAGAAGAAGAGAAATTATATAAGAAATCCATCCCTATTGATAGCCCAATGCTCGATAGGTGATACGTCGATGGGTGACCAATGAAGACTCAAGCAATATTTTGCCCTTTTCCCCATTGCATCGGATTCGGAGCTGCGGATCCCTCAACCCGAAAAACAGCCCATCATCATAAGTTTTACTGCATAGCGCACGCAAACGAGGTTATGATAATCCTCCCTATGTATAGAATGGCAGCCGGTTTAGATTAGAGCGTTAGATCGCCAACCTGCCGTTTCTTCGCAGGGCTGACGGGAAGGACTTGAGTCAGCGCTGTGCATCCGTTTGGCCGGAGCCCCATGTGGCAAGATTGCATGACAGACTAACTCGTTGTCTATTCCGTACGGCCTAAGGATCTACATATCGTACGATACAGCTTTGGAATCAACCACGAGTGCTGAAATTCAAAGATTGAAAGCAAACGGTTACTGTGATTCAAAATTGGCGATTGGGTTGCTACTGACATCAGCTTTTTTCGAGGAGCAATTTTGACCCGGAACTGCCACCAATGAACTCGCTCAGAGATATCCCGAGCATGACGTATCCGAGATCCAGGCTAGAGGAATGGTTCTGATAGCCTATGTTCGTGACTGTGTCATTACTTGCGAGGATCAGATTTGAGTCCATTGAAGAAAGTTGATCGTGAAGCGTCTCATATAAATCCGGCCTTCAATATCTGCTTTTGGACCTCGAAAGAACTCGCAGATCTTGCCAACATTGCTTGACGCCGTTCTGCCGGTCCTGGAAAGGTCAATGATGGGGCGTACCGCTGATGCGGGCTAGTCCCGCACTACAGAGTACCAACTGGTACTTCGGCTCTCAAAGTTGGAGTAGCACTTGCGGGGTCATCTTATCACCTACGCTTATCTCCTAAAGATTTCTACAATCTTGGGATTATGGACAAACAATGACCGATCACTCGGCTCATCTCCAGAGAATAAAATTATGGACCGACTATCTAGGAGCAATGAAGACGGCGCAAAAAGAGTGAAATTTGGTGAAGCTTTTTGTTGGGTATGTTGCGGTGCAGTATCCTCAGGCTGGAGTACCCCAGATTCCAGACTCCAATACGGTGGGAAGCGGGGATCAACACCCTAGAATTGAAAGACCTCCTATGATCTCTTTTCAGTGTACCTTCAGAACCCCTTGAACAGAACCGAACGAGCATACTGGAATCTTAAAATGCGTTTTCAAGTACCTATCCCGTTTCTGCCCGTGAAACTAAAGGGTGAACGGATCTTTAGCATGCATTTGTCATGTCAGGGGAGATCCTGATAGGCAAACTTTGTAGTAGTAGCCCATTGCCCGGCCATTCCCACAAATGCGGGGAAATCAGCATTGAAGGGCTAAGGGAGTTTCGCATCGAGACACCAGCAATAGTGGCATCTAAAATTACAGGCTGTGTCAAGAAATAGTCATAGTACGCAAGGAGGTTTAATAAGTTGGAGATGATTAGGGCGGGAAAGAAGGGTTTTGTTGCATCTGTGAGATGCTTCAGCTCTTCTAACAAGCCTCTCTGGTTCGCTGTCTTCAAGACATTCCTCAATTCCGAGCGGAACGTCCTGCGTTGGGGAATGGCCAGGTCAACTATCCTGCTTGGCCCCCCACCAATCTGATGGAGCTATAGCAGATCAGACCAATGGCGGTGTGCCTCTAGTTGGCCTTTATGTTGTGCACCGTTTCGAGTATTAGCAGTGAAACGGAAAGAGTAAAGATTAGAGCTTGAGAGTGTGCTCGGCATATTGTTGTCTCCCGCAAGACCCCGCAGGACCCCACGAGACCCCGTACTAAGAGACGGTCTCTCCACACCACTACAGATTCGGGATACAGTTCCAACCTGACTAACACGCACCCTTCCACTCTACCCCGCCCCTCGGGACGTTTATTAACCTTGATGTCCTCTCCCTGATCTCATTCTGTGCTACACTCTTCCCATATCATTGCTCCTTGTCCCTATTATATCCTACGTTCTGAACTATTAAATTGAGTTCGGACTGTCGACCCCGTGTTAAATAATTGATACTATATCCTCCGGAACGACTATAGCCATCCGCATCATGTCTTTGACTGTCGAGCTCAAGACGCCGGTCACTGGCCCCTATCAACAACCTACTGGACTGTATGTGGCGATCTGCCTATTTCTACTGTTTGCATATTTTTGAAATGTCGTTGGAACTGCGGCTAATTTTATTTATACTAGCTTCATCAACAATGAGTGGGTCGAAGGTGTAGACAAGAAGACGTTTGAAGTTATTAACCCAACAACCGAGGAGGTTATCTGCTCTGTCGCCGAGGCCACCGAGAAAGATGTTGACATTGCCGTCTCGGCCGCCCGAAAGGCTTTCGACGGTGTATGGAGAGAGACTACACCTCAAAGGCGTAGCGAGCTTCTTCTGAAGCTGGCTGATTTGGCCGAGAAAAATCTAGACCTTTTGGCTGCCGTGGAGTCTCTCGACAACGGCAAGTCCATCACCATGGCTAAGGGAGATGTTGGTGCTGTTGTATCATGCATCAGATACTATGGTGGCTGGGCCGACAAGATCACTGGCAAGACCATCGACGTCAACCCTGATACTTTCACATACACAAGACAGGAGCCCGTAAGTGATTACCTTCACCTGACAATGGAAATGTTAAATAACACGAATCAGATCGGTGTTTGTGCACAAATTATTCCTTGGAACTTCCCTCTGCTCATGTTTGCCTGGAAGATCGGTCCCGCTTTGGCAACTGGCAACACCGTCATCATGAAGTCTGCTGAGCAAACGCCACTCAGCGCTCTTGTCTTCGCAAACTTGATTAAGGAAGCCGGATTTCCTCCCGGTGTCCTCAATGTTATCTCTGGGTTCGGTAAGACTGCCGGTGCTGCTCTATCCTCGCATATGGACGTCGATAAGATTGCGTTCACTGGCTCGACGGTTGTTGGCCGCACCATCATGAAGGCTGCAGCCTCGTCCAACCTGAAAAAAGTAACCCTCGAGTTGGGTGGAAAATCCCCCAACATCGTCTTCAACGATGCAGATATCGAGCAAACGATTTCCTGGGTCAACTTCGGTATTTACTATAACCACGGACAATGTTGTTGTGCTGGTTCGCGTATCTACGTCCAAGAAGGTATTTACGACAAGTTCATAGAGGCATTCAAGGAGCGAGCTCAGCAAAATGCCGTTGGTGACCCCTTCGATGAGAACACCTTCCAGGGCCCTCAAGTCAGTCAACTGCAATACGACCGCATTATGGGCTACATTGAGGAGGGTAAGAAGGAGGGTGCCAAGCTTGAGACCGGTGGTGCCCGCCACGGTGACAAGGGCTATTTCATTCAGCCGACTATCTTCTCTGGTGTTAGCCCCGACATGAAGATTATGCAAGAGGAGATCTTCGGACCCGTATGCACTATTGCCAAGTTCAAGGATGAGGATGAGGTCATTAGCCATGCCCACGACACCACATACGGTTTGGCTGCTGCCGTCCACACCACGGACCTCAACACCGCCATCCGAGTCAGCAATGCGCTTCGCGCTGGAACCGTTTGGGTCAACTCATACAACCGTAAGCAAATCTCTAAATTATCTACGATCCTTAATCATGTCTTCCCCTTTTCAGCATGTCTGTGGGTCCACGTTGCCGGTTATGGATAACCTGCCTTTTGATCCCTGTTTTACCATGCCCGTAAACGACACCAAACCTTCCATAATACTTGACAAACAACAACAAGCTGCTACAACAACATGGTTTCTTTTGTTTTAAATCATTTCCTATCCTGTATTCACTTCCTACCCTTCTCAGCATATTTGTGCGATCCACATTGCCTGCCATGGGCAAAATTCGCCTGTTGTCCCTGAAACTCCACCAAAACTTCACAAATACCACAAATTATCATGGAACTTACAACGCTGACCACGCTTCTGGTGCTTTAGTATTGTCTCACCAAGTGCCTTTTGGTGGGTTCAAAGAGAGTGGTATTGGTCGTGAACTTGGTGAGGCTGCTCTGGCAAACTATACTCAGAACAAGTCAGTATCCATCCGTCTAGCTGGGGCTATTTTTTAGTCACGTCTCTCTTTTTGATGGCAAAGGAAGTGAAAGAAGTACTTGAAACTTGTGGATAGCACTTGAGGGAAGTGTACTATCATGGGCTTGTAATGACGGAATGAAATGGCGAAGGTATAACATCACCATGTATCCTACCAAGATACTAGTCTTATTTGAGACCAGACAGAAATGAACAAAACACATCAAAAGGTATATATGGTTCTGTGGACTGTGATCAATATACTCTGCGAAGAGCTTATTATGGTTTGCGGGACAATTGCGATGGAATTGATACACCACATCTACATATAGAGAAATAGTATCTAATCAGGCTGACCAGGCGGTTGATACCAAAATTCACCAAGCTATACGAACTCGACCATGTATCAGTCAAGTTGCGATGAATACACTACCTGAATGGCTTCAGACTTGAATCATGTAACGAATTTCGAATTTCGTGGTGATCTATATCACTCTGATCGAACAAAAAGCTTCCGTACGTCAGATTAGTGCCTATACGCAGGGAATGCGGGAAGGAGGCTTTGTTTCGAAAGTTTGCCACAAAGCTTCCGGTAAGTGGGATAATACTAAATAATACTAGAAACAACAAACTTACTAATACAATATATAAAAATCAAGACCAAATATTTCTACCATTTCTACCTAATTTGTGGTAACGTTATAAAAGTGATAAGTTTTGGTGGGGAAAGCACCAACGTGCGGAGACTTTTGCCCAAGGACCCACTGCATGTCATTGGATGACTACTAGAAACCATTTATACCCTCCGTACACTTTTGTGTATACGCCACTTGGCCGACATAGGAGTTAAACTAAACTTGCTATTCTGCAACAATGGGAATCTTTTGTTTCTGTAGTTCTAAAATGGTGCCAAGTGGCAATCAGGTTCTGGAGGTTCTGGAGGTCATCCAAAGTGCCTCACACCGTTGCCGAAGACGCTGTTACACACGAGTAAAAGGCAGTTGCGGCGGAAGGGAACTTACAAACTGAGGATGGTTGAAGATTATGAGGCGTATGGTTCATTACATTTGCAATGGAGGGTACCAGACAGCTGAAGAAGGATCGGATGCCTGGACGTATCTATGCTTCTAGGTTTGGGGGCCGCATGAAGAATAGTGGAAGCACACGTTCTTGTGACTGTGAACTAAATAGGCCTTCTAAAAGATCAGCCTTGCCTCATTTCACAGGGCTGAATTAGACCCCTGGGATGGGGAGGTGAGTAATGGTGGGTGCTACGTCCAAGAGCAGGTGAGCAGCCAACCGTCACGAGACGGATCAGGTGTTGATGAATTAGGCCATGGGTAATTTTGGGACATGCCCTCGGACTTTGGAGCATGCCCAGGTGGGGTCGTGATGGAAGTCGGCGGAAGCGAGTGATAAGAGCTGGTGGAGCATCTGATAAGCTTCACCAAGGAGCTGATAGGGCTGTGCCTTTCTCTACATGAGCTCCCTCAATCCTTTCAAGAAAAGCTGTGCATCTCAAGCCCGATTTTCTAACATTCGTTGTCACTGAATTTGCATGGTACAGACGAATGTTCAACCCCAATTCGTTCACATTTGATGAGTGGCGCCGGCAATCGTGGCAACCGTGGCCAGTCCTGTGCGGTATACTGTGTGTTGATGTATTGGCGCTAAAAGTACACATTTTTTGGACGTATCTCAAATGATCATGACTCTAAGACAAAAGTCGACATTGTTATGTGCCAACGGCTAACGTGGTCTATACCGAATGACACGCGTAATGACTGACCCTTACTATTAGTTACCTCCATACGGAGTGTGAAACTGATTTTCCACTGCGTCGGTTTTTGAGGTCTTTCCTTAATGTTGCTCACGCGCCATACTCTATCCGGCGGCAATGGTTGAGGCTCAGCCAACGGCCCTCTCTCAGAGTGCGCCTGGAGTACGTCAAGTGGACGTTCCCACGAGCTCGGACTCAGGGCCCTCGTGCCAGTCGTTTCTCTACTTCGTCCTAGCCACCTGCCGATCCTATGGGGAGGCCTATTGGAAAGCAGATGCCTACCTTGTCTATGCTTAAAGTAGCAAAACTCTCCCGCAGTCTCGATCGGATCTTCGTTTGATACTCCTCCTTCTATTCGTGCTTTTGCTTAGTTCCCGTATTACGTGCAGATACAAGTGCCTATTTGCTCGTGCATCAGTCCACTTACATCTCGACAATTTTAAGTTATCAAATTATCATTGCTTGGCTGCACGAAAGCCCGTACTACTAAATCACCGCGAATAAACACGAATCGTTTTCCTGGGCCCTATACGGGCTTTGGATAGTGTACGCCTTTTCGATGCCAACTGAGTATATCAGAGTTCGTTCCGGCCATGTTCCTGAGATCGTCCGGTCCAACTCATTCTCATATCGACACCACCACCATCACCGACGCTCTAGATGCCACGATGATTGTTGTGGAGTCTCTTGGACAGACTACAATAATTTACTGGAGCAAAACCGCAAGTTCAGCCAACAAAACGAAGAACTTTCACAAGAGAAGGATACCTTGAAGGCGGACCTGAATAGGGCTACTCAAGCCAATAAAGCATGGTCCGAGGATGCCGTACGTTGGAATGAAGTCAACGGACGACTTTCCGGAGAAGTTGAACGATTATCAGGAGAAATACACATTCTTCAAGACGAGCTTGCCCGATGCAGGCGCTCATGGTCTCCAGCTGACGACCACCAGATCCACGGATTCAAGAGGCGGATCAAAGCACTTGAACACGAACTCAGAGATCAGGAGAAAACCTTCAGCGCAGAAATTCGCGGTCTTAAGGAGGATGTCAAGAAGTCCAATGATGTTGCTAGCCAGTGGAAACGCAAATACGACGAGTTGAAACGTCTCTACGATAGCATCAGAGACAGCACTCGGCGACAGATCTTTGAACGTGATGCACAGCTTGAAAGAAGGGGTGAGATTATCCAAGAGCAATCGCATACAATTCGTCGCTTAAAGGATTTGTTGGAGAGGTACCGAGGCTGGTAAACGAAGTTTTGCCATTCGAGCTTTACTGGTGTTCATGGAATCATTTCATGTTTGGGGCGGGTCATGAATTTCCAGAAGGGCATTGAAGTACTTCGTGAGATTCCTTACGGTAAGTCTTTACCTTGTCAGCCAAGAAAGATAAATTCTAATCTGATGTAGACCAAACTTTTGCGGTCTTATTTCACGATCATGATTATGGGGGGCAGCATGAGGAACTGTGATGAGGTCAGCTGAATGCTCGACCCATCATCACATCGATATATTTACGACATGAACGTACAACTCCATAGTATGGTCATCCCAAGGGACCCAAAGCAATCCTTTATTTTATGAATTATCTGGGACGGAGGAAGTTATCGCACGACACTATTTACATATCGTGTGGGCAGATTGCAAACATTGGCATCATCTCGGGAACTGATCGTCAAGTATAGAGTGTTAATGGCCTAGGATTTCAGCCTCATTTCTTGGAGTCAATGATTCCTCCTTTATTACGTGAGAATGGTCACGGCTCGATGCACCGCCGCATGCGAAACTTTCGGTCATGTGAAATGTTCATGGACGCACCCCGTTTCCACGATTGAAGGTGTTGGAAATAATTCCCATGATGCCGCGCGGATGAGTTCATCAATCACGAGTACACATATCGGATCCCAAGCGCGTCGCGTAGGGATCATGTTGGCGCCTAAAAATATATGCATGTTTCACACCCCTTATCGACCTCTTGAGGGTTTTTGCCACCTAGTCTAGGCTGAACCGCTTGGCGTATTTGCCGCGCACAAAGTCAGCCTTACTTGTCAGGCGCTCAACGTAGGATGTACACTACAAAACATAGATCAAATACTATCATCTAATTTTGGATGAGTTCTTAGTAATGAAACCCGAAGTCAAGTTACGGCTCATCTGCATGGCAGCGGCACGTTTGTTAGTGCTGACGTGGCAAGTTATCGATATAGAAAGTTGCGAAGTTGATTAACTCGTGGATTCACTGGCCACCCTGCAACTACCTATCGTATCCGATATCGTCCTCCTCGCTTTCCATGACAAGAGCGGTTTGACTTTAGTGGCACTCGGGGTTAGTCTGCATTATTATAGTGGCAGCCGGCTGAAAACCAACTGAATTTTTGTGTCCGTCTACTTGAGCGGAGAGGTGATATCTGATCGTCGTCGAGAACACTTGTCCGCTCAGACTCGGCCCATGCATATGCCCGATGGGCAGACAGGGCGAATATGCAGTCAGATGTCAATTCCATTGCCGGCTGTTTGCACTTTTGTTCAAGGCACAACTACACTTACTAATCAAAATGCTGCTTGGCAATAAGGCCGACAGGCGATAAGCATCTCAATTCACGAGAACATTTATGAATCCAGTGCTTTCTTCGGCGTCAAATCCAATTGACGATTCTGCCATAGGTTCCCTCTAAGGAATCCTAGGTGATATTGGCTAGCGGTCGCGTCCTGTTCTCAGCACCTAATCCTCTCATCATCGTAATGTTTGAAGGAGTCTCAAGTCAAACATTGCACTCAGGAACGTCGGAACTCTTGAGGCCTATTGTTTCTAGAAGTTGCGAGAGATTTCTTCAACGGCGGCGCCGAATGTTATGCACGTCTTATGTTGTGTCGTAACGACCACCGCAGTGCCAACTATTTGATCGTGGTTGCACGAACACGTTGCGCAAATGCGATGAGGCCTAGGGTAGGATACATCGGGTCATACATGCTCTTGACCACCATCTTCTAAATCTGCGTCAATGTCATATTCTGGTCGCATGCAAGAGAAATAACAAACCTAAACAAATGTCTTGCGGCACTTTGCATATATGAATGGCTTAGTTCATTTCTTGTTATGACGACTTTTGAATCCATAATGAACTACGGTCTTGGGGACTAATATTATATGCCGTTAATAAAACATTGCAACCAATTCGCTTGAGCTTCCACTGCACAAGTGGCAGCCGCAACATTGCATAGCCCGCCTACTATCAGCCTAAAGTTAGTGCAAGCCTACCAGGGTTTGTGACGATGCACCCCTGTCAACTGGCGTGCCGGGTGTTTTTCCACTTCCAATGCAATCATGAATTTCTCTCGGTTTTCGCATGCCTCTTCAGCCTCGCTGGGTAACAGAAACTTTTGAATCTGGCAATTTTTCTGGACGTGATGCACGAAACGATCGACGCCTCTGAGGCCATTTGCATGGAACGCATGAACTTGCATGCGGCTAGCATGTCCATCTTCGTGAGTCATCAAGCCACAAAACGTCCATTTCATTGTGAAGGATACACAGCATTGCTTTTCCTGACGGCATCTGGGCCTCGTTTGTTGTCGGTGAATTTGAGTGGTCGAAGTCGTAGAATGAAGTCACTGCACGCAATTCTGCCCGTTTGTCGTGAGTCTCGCCAATGCGAAATCAAATGAATGCGCGACTCACCTACGCGACAGCTGCGCGAGACTTTGTGACGGAGCTCCACTGGTTCATGCGACCACTAAAAGCCGGCGTGTTGCACCCGAAGGACAAACCCGTCGCCAATGCGATCAATTGCGAACCATTTGGGGGCCGAAACCCCCAAGATTCGAGGCGGACAAGGCAACCCTATCTAGGTGGTTTTCGGTGAAGGGAATGGTATCGTCAGTTCCTTGATCCGAGTTGGTGGGCAGAATCAAGTGTCGCTCTGCTTCTACTCCCGCCTTTTCCAGATGCCTTGCCATTCATGCTGTCACGCTCGCTGTTGTGCAAGCAACCGCGGCGTCATTTTCAGATGGTTCTGGAGACCATTTTCCTGCACCGCTCTCGGGGATAGTGGGGCTTGTACACTTACACCTAGATTCCGTGAATATGTCTGGGTAGGTATTGAGGCTCATTCCCGCGGAAGGATGCGCTATCTTACAGACAAAGCTTCTCAGCCATACTTCCCAGGTGGGTAAGAGGCAGCCAACCAGCATTAATCGATGTCGGTACAGAGTACTGATACCTGGATTATCTACATTACTTTCCTTTGGGAATATGCTGTCACATCACAGTGCGGACTGTGGACTAACCTACCCATAGTAACCAGAGTGTGAAGGCAGCAGTTCTCCTTCCTCCACTGATTGATCAAATAAGAATACATGCCTGGCTCGCATATGAGCATGACTTTCTAGTTTCTTCTCATTTCTCATTTCTCGCATTTGTCTTTCGTGACCAATCCCAATTATCGTTATGCTCCGTTGCGCATTTTTGGAGTGTCATTTGTCTCTAATATTTATACTCTCCACAGCCCACACCAAGCCTGGCCCCCGGTGATCTCATCCCACATCTGCCTATAGCCTTACCACATTTCCACCTTCGATTCGTTTACATCACATCCGCCCTGCTCCCAATCATCTCATAGTTATTGGGCGCCGCTACAGCTATCTCGGTGTGACCATCAAACCAGCTTACATATTAACACAATGTCTACGCCCGGCAGAAACCTCCGGTTCGGGGCTTCACCTCGAAGTCAAGATTCAGGACTTGGTTCGTCGACCGAACAGGCTCATGTAGGGGGAAGATCTGATCGGTTGTTCACAGCTCAAGACTTCGACCATCAACGGTTCAGTGTCCACGCCTTGCAAGAAGCTTTGGGTGCTTCCAATGAGACCGTCGACAAGTACAAAAAGAAATCTGCAGAGTTGGACAAAGATTTGTCCACAGCCAGGAGAACTGTTCGTGAACAGGAGGCAACAATACGAGGCCTCGTGACAGAGAATAGCACTTTGAAGGACGACAAAGTCTTGTTGCAACATCAACTCACAGAGCTGAGGAATGATTACGATGATCTGTCGCAAGAAAACTTCGATCTGCGTCAACAGTCATTGGGACCGGCCGATTCTGACTACATGATGACAAGCGGATCAGGAGAGTCTCTAAATAACCTGGAGAGATCTAGGAGCAAGAGGCACCACAGCAAGCACGGGAACAAAAACATGACAGATCGTTTGAAGGAGCGAATCAACAAAGGCAACCCTGAATCCGAAGCATCTTCTTCGAAGTCCCGCAAGGATCCTGAGAAGAAGAAAGAACATCGTCGCAGTGAAAGCAAGACTCGCAGGTCCTACGAGGAGCCACCTGCAGACCGTCAGCTGAGAGACAAGACGAGGCCACCAGTAACCACAAGGGCTTATGAAGGCAATTACACCACAACCTCTGGAATTGGGTCTCCTATATCGTCGCGACTGAGTTCATCGATCATGGCACCCAGATCAAGCCAAGCAACTACTTCTATTTATAAGCCCACTCAAACTACAGGTGACTACTTCCCTCAGCCTTTGTCGCCAGAAAAGCACCACAGCGAGCGTGGCAGACGTCACCACTAAATCGACGTCAGCCCTGTGTGCGCTCCACTTATTGGGACTATATCATCATAGCGAACACAAGCGTCCTTCCCAACTCGTTTCGTCCGATCGATACAAGCACTCATCACACCGCGGCGTCTGAACATTTAACATGTACTGCAATACACTGAATAACACGTTTTCTTATACACCATCAACACGGCTCGCGCCTGCCCTGCAGTATACCCCCACAACAAACTCCCTTTCTGATTTCTTCTCTGATAAGTGGTTTCTGTTAAAATATTTCAACGGCGCATCAAGGTCAACGGCGCATGAGAACGGAACTGGCTTTGCAAGGTCATGTGATAAGGAATGATTTTGGGCGTCGGACATCAGGCTCCATTGTTTTCGAGCAGTATTGCTTACTAAGGATTAGAAAACACGTTTTTCTGTCCAAGTTAGCTTTACCTTCTTTGCTCATTTTGGATAGACTCTACCAAAAATGAATAAATTGTATACAATTCCCTTAGTCTCCACGATATCTTGTCGGGCTGCACACTGATCTATGCAAGGGAATTTCCCCGCCAGATTGATAATTAAGTAACCTAGTCTAGTCTTTTTCCTGGTTTGGGCTAGACTGAGCTCAGCTTACAGTAGTACACGGGCGCAAGAACAAGCTGAGCACCGTTGCGCGGTAAGCCGTCGATACAAAAATTCACGAAGTCGCACAAGTTCAAGTATTCACTAGCCTCACTGCCAGAATCCTTCTTATTATATATTATGCTGATGACTACTTCCTGACAGGACGTGCTAAATCTGGTAAGTTTAGGATTATTCTATGTCGTATCGGTGGAAGATTGTCAAATGATTTCTTGCACACCCTTCGCGAACTTTTGTTTGCGCCACTTGCGCGGGTACTGTACCACTGTCACGAGTGCTTCAGAATTGCACACTAGCTAAGCCACGATCTCTTCCTAAGACTTGCTCATAGAAAAAGTTTGGGATTTGTGCAGGCCAGCAAGTCATATTGTTTCTTCTTGAAGTGTCGGCTTGAACATGCTGTGGGATACCATTCTCTATTATGGACTATTCTTACGAGCCTCTGCCGCCCATCAATGAGGTTGGCCAGACTCCTTCATTCACACGCCTTATGTTACTCGCTCCCGGTATCGGTGATCATCCACTGGAATGCAGCTTGATCGTGATTGATCCGGCGAATAGCCCTCTGCAATATGAGGCATTGTCTTATGTTGTAAGAGTTTTGGTTTCATTTCGTTATATCTCCTAGTGTAGGCTGCCTATATACCGCATGACAGCTTGACTATCAGAGTGGTTCAATGGCAGACGACTTCGCCAACAAGCGAATCTGTGTTGAGGTTTGCCAACGAACAGCGTTGCCCTTCTCGAATAGCCACCTGGTATCTAATGTTCATGGTTGTAGTGGGGGACTGAAAGAGCGCCGACGCCAATTAGATGTGGCAATGGAATCATTGGAATTACACTAAACTTGGAGCGAGCTCTGAAGGATCTGCGAGTGCCGCATCAGACACGGCCACTATGGGTAGACGCTCTTTGCACCAACCAGAAGGATCTGGATGAACGTGCACGACAAGTCGCGTACATGAGACAAGTCTATAAACATGCTCGCAGGGTCGTTGTGTGGTTGGGACCATTGGATGGCATTCGTAGCCGAGCGATCATGCGGGCTCAGGAATTATGTGCTTTCCGTGCGATGCTGATGGAGACCACATTTCCGGATTCGAATCATGTTGGCGAGTCCCCCTCGGTAACGCCCGAGATTGAAGTTATTTTGCTGGATGCCTTGAACGCCGAATCAGAACATGCGTCGGCGGAAGCACTAATGCAGCTTTTCGAGAGCGATTACTTCAAACGCGTGTGGTGCATCCAGGAGGTCGTGGCATCGCGTTCCGCCATTGCGAAAAGCGGTGATATGGAAATGGATTTTTATGAGCTCTTATCCATCATCAAACTCATCCTCACGAAGCAGATCGTTGATCGTCGTGGACCGGCCTTCCCACCCAACACTTTGCAGTTCTGGGTTACGGTGCTTATCCAACGAGACCGTTCGTATTACCCAAACGCTCTGAAGGTCGAAAACTCCTTGGGCAAGATGCTCAATGTCCTCATGGGTATACGAGATTTTCAGTCCACAGATCCTAGGGATCGGTTGTTTGCTATCTTAGGTATCACAGACGAGGGTCTCCAGCCAGTCCTTGCCAACATGGAAGTTATGGGTCGGCCCAATGCGAAAAGGTTGGGCATGATGCACAAAGCTGTCGCTTGGGTTGCTGACAAAGCGAACTCAAGCAGACCGGGTATAGATTTCGGTCGGAACCCAGCTTTGAAGCCCTGTTATACCAAACCGGCGATGGAAATATACCGAAACTTCACTCGATATATGGTCCGTAAGCAACCACGTTTACTGGACATTCTGTCACATGTTCAACACACAAAAGACCCCAATGGAGAGCCGTATCCATCCTGGGTGCCAAAGTTTGACACTCCCAGATCTGTTAGCTATTTCCCGCAACAGCTCTACCTGGCTGGGGTGCCTTATACGGGCCATTATCGCTATTTCGCGGAGTTACATGACTGCCCATTGAGGGGCGAAGCGGTGGAGCCGAATGTATTGCAACTGGATGGATTCATATTCGACCAAGTGGTTGCAGTAACAGCGCCGACCAACTATACACTCCATGATGATACACCAGTGGAGAATATGTGGAGCCAACTTTTTGGGGTGCCGCTGTTTCCTCGGTCCGGGTTGCGATACGCGGATGGGAAAGAGCAAGCTGATGCCGCCTTCTTTGCCACCCTATCGGCTGGAGCATTCGGACCCGCGCTCAATTTGAGCGACCAAATCCGCAAAGCCGGATTGGAACATGAGAGGCTTGAAAGCATCGAATATTTGACTCAGCTCGGCAGAAACAACATTGTGCGCTGGCTGTTTCAATCGCGTGGATATCCGGTCAGCACATACCAAGACCTACTACCTTCAGGCGTATCGAATTTTGAGCAAGCCATGGGCGATGCCGACAGCTACCACCGTGGTTCCTGGAGTATGCTCCTCAACAGAAGGCTGTACCGTACCCGCGCGGGCTGGCTCGGACTTGGACCGAACGCTATGAGAGATGGGGATATCCTGGTCGTGCTATATGGGGGCAGCCTGCCGTTCGTACTCAGACCTACCGGCGACGACTGGCTGTATATAGGAGACACGTATGTGCACAACTCGGATCTGATGAACGGTCATCTTGTGGACAGGGTGCGAAGAGGTCAAAGAAGCCATCATCCAATGACGTTCAGGCTTGTATGAGACTTGTCGTCGTGACTCGTCATCATATCTTCTGCGATATAAATCGCACAATCCACTTCATACTTGTGTATGAGAGACGCATCGGCTGTTGATAGTTTGATGGACCGGAGTAAACAGAGGGATGAAAACTGTGGGTCTGTCAACAGTTCATCGCAATAACTGGCGTCTACGTTCATTCAATCAATCGAATAGTCGAATCTGCCCAAGCCATCGATACAGAAATTCGAAGTCGCATTAACTTAGACATGAACTGACGCAACTCTATTACCCCATGTTATCCACTATTGGTCTATTGGCTGTTCTATTAAGACTCAACTGGCCGACTTCAGTGGTTTCGAGGTTATTCCATCTCATACTAGCGGAGGCCTATCCGGAATCAATTGTAGCGAACGTGGAGCGTTTAGGAGCGCCACTTGCTTCCATTGTTATATTGCTTTATGCAGGATTAAGTCCGCTATATGTTTCACACAAATTCATCTACTGACTGTTATCTACAGAATCACTCGTCTGTCTTGTTTGGGTCCATTTAAATGACGTTGATTGATAGCCGACCTGGTCACATCATCATCCCGCCTCGGTTTAGTGGGTTGGGGGCCATGACGGAGTTCGGGATTGCGACAAGGAGTTTTGCGACAGGCACCCGCGCGTTTAGAATGCTGACAAGCTCAAGTAGTAACCAAGGTTGCTGCTACGCGATTTTTAACTGTATTCTTTTAGGGCTCTGCATTGTTACTTTCTAGAATCTGTGCTATAATGGGCCAACATACTGCGAAAGGGCGCGACGATGCTATTGAGGGCCGGCCTCTACTTTCGTCATCTGACGAAGTGCGGCCGAGCAGCCCAACGGACGCGTCCCCAACCCGTCATGTCTCGCGCTGCAGTTGGCCATGGATATATGTCATCTCCTTGTGCATAGGTGTCGCTGTGATATCTGATATAGGGGAGTCGCTCTTTGCTGCGCCCAGAGTCCGCCTCTTCGAGTCTGTCGCGTGCACCGATTATTACTCAACGGTGGACCCGTCGTTGATTGGCAGAGATGGCCAAGTTCCTGAACGTCTATGCAAGGTCGATCCGGTGCAAGATAAGGTCGCTTCAATACTCGGATGGCAGTTTTTCTTTGACAGTCTGCCGGCAATCCTACTTCCTGTGCCCTTTGGCTATCTCGCCGACCAATATGGCCGGAAATGGATCATGACCCTAGCAATGATGGGCTATTTACTTTCTTGTGCATGGCCACTGTTCGCCGTATGTTTCAACAATCCTGTCTGAAAACTCCTCCTATGATTTGATCAACTGACATCATGCTTATCAGTTGGGCGTGCTCCACTTGTCTTTGCGTTCTGTGTGGGCATCCTCACTCTTCTTCCTCATCTGTGGTGGACCGACTATAGCAACGACTATGCTCACTACCATTGTGGCGGATGTCGTGCCATCGGATTTCAGGTATATAGCCTCTTATTCCCCCGATCATAGTTTTGTGCTTGCAACCCGTGCCAGAACAGTGCATACTAACGTTAGTTACGTAGGAGTACTGCGTTCTTCTATCGATTTTGCGCAGACTTAGTAGCGGAACTCGTTGCGCCTCCTGTAGCCTCTGCATTGATGGCCAAGAGTTTATGGTCTCCACTCTTGCTAGCCTTGGCTTTTCAAGCCGTCGCCGTCTTGATGATGGCAGTCGCTGTACCAGAGACGTTGCCAGTCCCTTATGCACAAGACCACAGCTCGGAGACTGCGGACTCCCAATCTGCTACCAGTGTTCGGCAAATAGCTGGTGTAGGAACTCTATATGAGAAATGGCAGGAGCAAGTGCGCAAGGCAAGCGATTCATTTGTTTTCCTCACACGGGATGCTACTGTGGCTGCCTTAGTTTTTACATTTATGATATCTAAAGTTGGACGGCAGGCCAGCAATATCCTCTTCCAGTATGTGTCTAAAAGATACGGGTGGAGTTTATCCCAGGTAAGGATGTCACAACCGCTCGCGCGTAGTCTATTCTGACCATATCTTTGAAACAGGCGGGCATGCTCTTATCTTTGCGCGCGGCAGTAAACATTGTGCTGTTCACTGTCATACTTCCATCAATTGCAACTTTAGCTCTTTCCAGATGGGGTGCTGCACGGAAAGATCTTCTTGTCGCTCGAGGGAGTATCATTTTCATGGTTTTAGGTGCTTTCTCTCTATTTCTCGCACCTACGCCGGCTCTAATGATCTGTGGTATGTACATGTCTCCCTAATTGGTTTTTTCTACCCGGTAACTGATTACTTGTTACAGGTCTAATCCTTTTTACTCTTGGCACGGGTTTCCCACCAATACTTCGCAGCCTGGTAACTTCCTTGGTTGAGTCTCATCACGAGAGCAAGACCAGTGATATTGCTCGGTTGTATGCAGTGATTTCCGTCGTGGAAGGTATCGGGAGCCTTGTGGCGGCACCAGGTATGGCACTTGCTTTCCGCATTGGCATAAAATTGGGCCAAGAATGGCTAGGATTGCCCTTTGGTTTTGCTGGAGTACTTTTTGGCTTGGTTGCGATTATCGTGTTCAGCGTCAAAGTCAAAAATTGAACCCAGCAGGTTTACAATGATGGGAGTGCCGTAATTCATAGAACGTATAGATGTAGAGGTTCTACTTGTTCCTTTTTTGTTAATGCCATCATGCGGTCGGCGAATAAACCATGGCGTTCCGGTGTTCACCTTTTCCGATCGCTTCGTGTATAAGTGTATCGGCTCTACTGATTGTTGAGTCATCTGGTATGCTCCAGCCTACTGAGTGTATCTTATGCTTCATCTGGTTGAGAAGCATCTTGTCCTGGGTTCGCCTCTTCGTAGTGAGCCAATTTGACAAAACGGTAGTAGGCGGCAGCCAAAGCACCCCCCATGGCTGGACCTAAGCAATAAATCCAAAAATATCCAGGGAAACTTCTACCAGCTACTGCACATCCGAAACTACGGGCCGGGTTCAACGAACCTCCAGTATAGTAAACACCTAGGTGTGGTCAGCATTTAATTCCGCTGGCAAGAAGAAAGCAACACGTCAAGGTCCACATACCAGGCACTTCAGCTACAAAAAGAGCCAAGCCAATTCCCACGGGAGCAATGAAAGTATCTCGCGACTTTTCGATGGCTAGCATGAGAATCACAAAGACGAGATAAGACGTGAAGAACATTTCGGCGAAAAGTCCCTTTGCGATGCTCATGCCCGGGATGAGAGTAGTGTTGACAGAGCTAATGGACCCGGTGAACATGGCCTCTACGAGCCCTCCGGCACACATAGATGCGACGATCTGCGTTGGGACAAGGAAAGCAGCTCTAGCCCAAGGAAGTGCGCCCGCTATGCATAATCCGAGCGTTACCTTTGCAGAGAATTAGTCATCGATTGCTACATCTTGGCATGTCAAAACTTACAGCTGGGTTGAATAGGCCTCCACTGATTCGATAAAAAGCCCACACTGTGACCAACAACGAGAACCCATATGCATAGGCTACACATACTGTCTGTATGACTCCTGGTGTCTCGACTTGGGAGGTGTTGGACTGATTAACGACCATAAGGTGGCCAGCATAACCAAAGAAGAGAAAGAAGAAAGTGCCCACGAACTCGCCGGAAGCTGCCACGAGATGTGTCTGTAGAGTGGTAAGATGCCACTGCTTTTGATGTCGAATACGACTTTTGCGATCCTCCCAACGAGCCCTTCGCTTCATCTCATGACCGTCCATGATGATTATTGCAAGGCTATATTTGCTGCTTTTAGTATAATCCAAAGATTACGGTTTTCAAACACAAGTAGGCGTGCTATATGACGAGCCTTTTCCTATGTTTCTATAGGAAGATGTCAAAATCTGGAGTCGATGGTACACCATTTGTATTGCTTTCTATAAGATAGACCCGTATTGGTGCCCCCCCAATAAACGTATCCATGACGAACGGCTGCTTGCTACTGATCTTGATGATGTAGCCGGTTGGTAGTGCATGGAGAACATTTCTGCTAGTGGGTGGTCCAGTCCTCCGGTTTCAAGCTTTGCCCATTCACAGAGCACAACAGGGGGACTTAAGCTTCGGCGACCCGAGTTTAGTGTTGGATGCGGCGCTGGGAGTTGCATGGTTTTCTTTCCGCCCCTACATCATGCACGCTAATCGAGCGATCGGGGAGTTCCTCCGGATAACAGCAGCTCTGGCAGGCAATTGAATTTTGCATGTTGATAAATACATCTAGCGTATTTCTAGTGTCCCCAGGAGGCCGGTGATACGAATCACGGATACAATTCGGCAATCCCATGAGTATGAGATATGTTTTAAAGAAATGTGGACTGAACCCCGTCAATTTGTTCATCAATTGCTCGTCGTTTTGCGTCAGTGATTTAAGGGAATATACTACCGACACATACAATGACGGATTGGTATATCATGATGTAGATTTAGTAGTAGTCACACTTCTCCTGCCGGATAACTTTTAAAGTGTCATTTTTTAAATAGTGTACGAACAAGAATTGGGCAAGTAGCCATAAATTTCATTACTTAGGAAGTAAACCTTCACTGTGTTGCCGTGACAAAGGAGCAGCTTTTTTGTTTGTGTCATTGTCGGCACATAAAGCCGCAATCGATGGTAAAGAAACCTACCCAAGCAGCTAGCTATACAAATAGCTATCTGAATATGCTGTTTGAATTCAACTCTGGATTTTGATCATCTCATTTCAATCCTAACCTACCATCAATCTCAGGAACGTTATATCGTCATGGTATCCTTGACGGTTGAGGGTATACAAGGGCCAGCACTTGAATGGCGACGGTATGCGGAGAACCCCCGGATGCTTAATCGTATGGTCAGGGACGAAACACGACTGATTAAGCGTGACACCCGTCGAAACGGTAGCCTGGACTCGAAAAGAGTCGAGAAACTGTTGATCACAACCCGTTACTTAGCGTCGCGCCAACATATTAATCAAAATGGTTGGGATTCGATCGAATCGCTAATCGATTGGCTTAAGCTCCGCTGTCGGGAACTATGGATAATGGTTGACAGCTCAGATTCCGGAGATGAAGATGTTTCCCATATCAAACTCAAGGGCGAGTATAGTGAGGTCTCTATGATGCTGCTTCAGGCCAGATGGGAGCAGCAGGCGCCCAGTAGCGTTGAATTGTAGATCAGCCACTGCGTAAGGAATTCATGGCTACAGTACTACATAGGCTAATATAACGAAATGTTCGGAATTATAGACTGATACTGCGGGTTTCGAGCTGCATTAGTCGTGTGTCGCTCGATTCATGGACGCCAATGCTTAGCACTGCACGATGATGTGATAAGACACGGACTGATGAATCCCCATGGGATCGATCGTTGTGAGGCCCTGCATTGTTTGAATGATCTCCTGGGGAACACTGAAAACACCGTATCGAGCATTTATCGGATGACTAGGCATCATGAAATGTTCTAGCCAGAAGACCGAAGAGTAGATAATCAGGCGGATCGAAGGCAGTGGGCGCCATTGAGGCATCTTTGGGAACAAAGAAGTGAAGTCTGCCATGAATGTCAATTCGTTCATTTCGAATATACCTGCTGGACTTTTTAGGATCCAGTCGTGTCATATGTGACTTCGCAGCAGCCCCAATAGGCAGAACCAAACCATCTGCCAAGTTCTACAGATGTCATACACAAGCTTCATAGCAGATAGAAATTGGCTTATTTTCTTCATCTTTTTCCTTTTCAGTTTTCCCCACTCCATTTGTCTATACAACCAGAGGGCTGTATTGAATGGCCATCCCGCGAGTTACAATATTGAACATCTCTTTGACAGCCTTCCGATTTTTTTTCAGGAGTGATATCACTTCAAGGGTCTAGTTATGACGCCTGAAGGTCAAACGCCGAAAGCCCATTTTCGGCCACCAGCGTATGGCGCGTCTGCACTCATGAATTCCTGGCATAGCATTGCACTTAAAAACAACCACAAACATTATTGCTCGACTCTAAAGTGCGAATATATCCTCTTGCGATTATGACAACGCTGAAGATCGACAGCCGCAAGCCCTGTTGACATAAGCTACAGCGACAAAATCTGGCCCTCTCGTGCCGCCTGGACTCTCACACACAGTGCCATTGTCTTGAGATATCTTAGATACGCCTCATCCCCAATGACGAAAGGGTTCGCCTCATCGCAATTAGAGGGCCCGCATGGACGATGTCTCAAGAGATCAAAGTTGTATAGCGACTTGTCTTGAGTTTGGTGGTTTGCAATCAACGTGTCCGCTCCCCTTAGAATAGCATGATTCGAGAACTTTTCATAGGACCCGATCTGCTCTTCTTTCGCCGACGCATTGCTTGGAACCCCGCCGCCGCCGTAAATCGCGGCTACATGAGGTGATCCGTGATCATATACATTGAAGAAGAAGCTTACAGTCCCCGGCGTGTGGCCGGGCGTGGCGATAAAGCTAAAAGTAGTGTTGCCAATGGTCAGATCCTGTCCATCCTCAATGGTTATGTTTCTCTCTGGAGGTACGAGTCCTTGGGGCGCAATAGGATCATCAGCCATGGTGTCCCAAGCTACCGACGAAGCATAAATAGGCATGCCGAAGGTATCTTGAAGAAAACGTGCACCGCCATAGTGATCAGCGTGTTCATGTGTGATGATCACGGCAGCAATTTCAGAGCCATTGTAACCAAAATATTCCAGGCCCGATAAAACAACCCGTGCGGCCTCTTGCGGATTATCTTGGGTGTCAATCAGTACTAGTCCGGCGCCTGTGTCGATAGCCCAAGAGGACACATAAGAGGAACCGACGAAGAAGACCGAATCGAACGGCTGGGTTGGTTGTACGAAACCATCCGCTTGCGCTAGATCGCCTAACTTGTCGTAGATCTGCGAGCGAATGCAGCGATGCTCGAAAAACGGGTAGAGATCTTTGCCCGCCGTCTTCAATGCCTCATAAACGTACCGCGAAACATTCGCGGCCTGTTCATTAGGAAAGTCTGTCACGTTGTACCATTCCGTGAAGTTAGTCGTCGCGGCGTAAGTTGCAATAGCAGTATCTACCAGTGACAATACTGTCGTGTAAATCGCTAGTCGAATCACGCTGCTTACGAGTAGTCTCATCTTGGCTGAGCAGTTCAAAAATACAAGCATACATGATCTGTAATTAGCGTACTCGAACCGCTATATCCAGGGAAATGACATGATCTTATGTATGGAATATAAAATTGTGGGGACCCGGAGGACATTTCCGAGTCCGGACCGCAGCTGCTTGGTTCCCTTGGTTATATTAATTCTCAGTGGGTGAGGGAATCGGTAATCGAAGGGAGCCAATTGGCTGAAAATATCTTGATGATTCAACCCCTCAAGCTTCTATATTTCCGGAGCAATAGATCGACAGTGGTTTCACGCCCAAGAATAACGGAAAAGCATATGATTTGTGGCACCCTTGCCTTCCCCGGATATTGACTCCGCATCTCGGGGATGGGCCTCGGCGAAGTCGGGGAAGCCGTCTGGTGACTTGGGTGACTTGTAAAAACTATGCGGGGTGCAACTTGTCAGTGGCCATGGAAGTCGTCATTGACAAATACTTTCACTATGAGTAATATGGGAGGTTTCCAAAGGTCAAGAAATGGAAATGTTTCTGGCACGTTCATGTAAAGCACATCAACTCAAGTTTATGTGGCTAGCCATCGCTAACAGGGCACGCATCTCAATTATTTACCCATGCAGCAACTTCCACCATCAAAATAGCAAATCAACCTGAATTCTTTCAAATGCAAGTCAACCATTTCTTCGTTCTCAAATTACCATCATCTTTACTTGGTTAGTAAATACCCCACACATCCACATCCCCCATTATGCCATATCATAATATCAACAATCCAACTAGAAGAGCCCAAATGTTCCGACATTCAAGTGTAGATCTCGTCTGGCTCGCCTTCCTCCTCAATGTTTTCATTTCATGGACAGACGCAAATGTTAGGTGAATTCCTCCAGCCGCTGCGATGTGCTGTTCAAGTTCCGAAGGTAAATGCTAGCTCATTGCACCTGACACGAAGCAAGTGGAAGGGTTATGGCATGGTTCACCACCTCACATCTGGAGTTCACAGAGTAAAACAACATCAGGCCATATCATGCAGCCATGATGACGAACCATAACAGCAACAATGCAAGTTCAGTCGGATCCACCAACTTGACATGGGATCATTCCAACTTTCAGAATTTATCCAGCTCGACCGCTCAGGGTACCAACCATACAACTCCTACTCAAACACATCTATAGGTGGTTTTATTCTTTATTGATAGACACTAAGTCGCGCTTCCTAGTTAACGGTGGTTCCCATGGGCATAATGCACTGTGTATTGCTCTGGTGTTGTGTCGCTGTAATTTGAGAAACCAGGAACGCAGTCGGGCTGAGTGAAGATAGATTAAGTCAAAGATCGCACATTATGTCTGAATTTGACTCGAAAGACATAAAGTTGGGTGAAGAAAGCCATTGAGGGAGACACACATAGAAGAAATAATGGTATAAGCACAGAGGATAGCGGTAAAAATTCTGCACAACGAGTGATATGTAACGTATACAGAGATTCACGGAGGTTGCACTTGATTTCTGGTTGGATTTCCTCCAAGATAACGAGGAATGGTCTCGAAAGCTATCAAACTTGGTCGGTGCTTCTGTTGAGGACCAGCAGTATAACATAGGATTACATTGAATATTACACTAAGATAAGTGATATTTCGGTTGATACGACCTCGGGCATACACCACATCGAGTCGTTTCGAGCCAAACGGTTACAGAGCAATCCTGAACCGCCCAGCTTAGGGAGGAGACACTGTCTATTCGATGACAGGGCCCACTACAGACTCAGTCCACATCGGCAGAAAATATTCTAACCTAGAGTTTTAACGAGACCTGCATGCGAAGGAGAAAGAGCATTTCCTTCTGGCGGGGGCTCAGCATCGTCTGGCGCTATATTGCTTCGAAGCATTCCCATTCTCTCACCTCTATCATTATGAAGTGTAGTTAAGTGAGGCAGTTGAGGATTAGAATTTCTCCAAACGCGACCCTGATGGATCCAAATTAGGTATTAAAACAAAATTTGTTTAAGCTTTGCGAGCCTAAACGATCTATTCTTGGCCAATGTTGGCTAGTTGCCTTCGGTGTTCGGCGTAGTGCTCATGAAGACATGCTTCAATCATTGGTCAGGCGATGCATATAGTTTGCATGAAGGTTATTGGTTAGGCCAGCCGCCAAAGGTAATCTCCAGGAATTCCTTTATGGCTCTTACATTTAGAGCCGCCAACGAGCGTATTTCGAATACGATATAATTCTGATAAAACAACTGTTGTCGATACGGACTCACACAGTTTAGTTTGTCATTATCTGTGTAGATGAAAAATAAAAATCTGTTACCGTCACTGACCGTTTTGATTTTGGCGTTGGTATCGCTTACCCAGTCGTAACTGCATTTCAGAGCCTTCGAGCTACAGACGACATTTGCGCGACCAATTAGGGACAATCGCCTGTTCTATTAGCTAGATTCGGCGTTTCTGACTAGCTACACAACCAGTCGAGTAAAGCTGCTCGCAGGAACTCGGCTGACACGTTATGGGATCACAACGATATCATGTGATTAAGGGGTAGAAGATTGTCGCTTCTTATCGTGATCAAAATTCGTGGCTTGCTTGGCTATTCTTAGTTTTATTTTGGTACATGCTCTACCTCGAACCTTACTTGCAACACTGGCACGGTCTTGGTGTACTGCTTACACGACTATGAACGAAAATCCACTCCGCCACCGGCATCAAGGTGGTCTTCAAGCTCTTTCCAGGCCAGAGCCTCAATTTCCGACGCGTTTGGGGGACAACCACAGTGCTTTTGTCACTTGAATTAATTGCTCGATTTCTCAATGAAGTCAATCTGAAAAGTTCAAAGTGCCGAATTACACTACCAAACGCTGCTCTTAGCTGTTTATTTCCTCCCTAAAGCGCGTTCGACCTCGGCTAAAGCAGCAATAACCTTCTCATCGTGATATCTCCGGCCAACTATTTGCAGACTGATTGGTGCATCTAGATATTTTTCAGGACTATAAAGCTCGTAGCAGAACCTGTCTTGTTCATTCTTCGGCTTATATCCATCGTCCTTTTTGTCCTTTTCGGGGTCCACCGTGGAAACGGGGAAAACGACAGCTGGGTAATCCAGGAGATTCCACTGCGAAGTGTAACCCCAGTACCGCGATTGATCATGGGGGGTTGCGGCCCCAAATGAAGGAGGGCACAAGATAACATCAACCTCCCTTCCATTTTTACCGCCTAGATTATTCCAGTGGCTCGCATATCGCGCTCGATATTCTTCCCGCCTGGCGCAGAGCTGTCAATTGAACCATGATATTAGCGTCACCCTCCGCATCGGTTGAATTAAAGATGATACTCACCTGGAAAAGCCCAGCCATATCTAATTTGGCAACACTCTTCTGCTCTTGGATGATGAATTTCGTCAAAGGCAATATTGGCTCCCCACTCTCCTCTAAGAGGCGAAGTACCTCTTCGCCTCCATCTGGCCAGTACAGGGCTGCTGTGAGCTCCCAAGCCAACTGATGGTCCAATTCTTCACAGTCCCAGTCAACAACTTCCATGCCTGCGGAAATACACGCGTCCGCAACTTCACGAAGCGCTCTCGTCATTGGAGGATGGGGCTTGACCACACCGTCCCACCACTGCACCGCGATCTTCAGCGGGCGGTCAAAGCTGTGTGGGCTCCATTCTTTGACAAAGAGTGACGGGTCTAGCCGCCATGGTTTCATCCCAATCACTGTGCGCATGAACAATTCTAGTGAATCGCGATCAGTTGCCATAGGTCCCAAGGTGGGCAGGATGGCCTCCGTTCCGATCATGTGTATTGCGTCGACGCCAGCGCATGGCAAGCGGTGCGTTGATGGTCTGGTAGATGTTAGAGCACGACCGCTATACGTCGATTACCAGCACTGACTTGAACCCATATATGCCACAATGTGCAGCTGGACAACGGATGCTGCCACCGATGTCTCCTCCTATACCCTTTCCCGTTCAGTTGAATTGTCCAGTCGGAGCTCCAGAGTACATACCAAGAGACTACCACGCATGCCAATCAATGCAGCTTCACCTCCACTGCTGCCGCCACTGGTAAGATTCCGGTTGTACGGGTTGATTGTGCGACCAAAAATGTTATTGTTCGTCTCCAAATGCATGACTGTCTGTGGCTGCGTGGTGCGGGCGTAAAAAACGCAGCCAGAGTCCCAGAGAATGTCGTAGAGCACATTTGAGCCCTGTGGTTTGCCGATCCAAGCTACATACGAAGCGTTAGCCGTGCCGTTGGCGGATTTTGAACCATGGTGCTCTTTCGTGGAGATCGGCAGCCCGTGTAACGGTCCACACGGCTCCGGCAGGGAGTCGAGATAACGCGCTCTCTCGATCGCCTCATCCCAGAGTAAGTCGGTGAGACAATTAGTCTGAGACTGGTCAGCAACGCGTGAACGATATAACCCAGTAATATGAATACGTACAGCAGATTGGGCGAGAGCTGCTCGGCGCAGGAAAGCGCGTGTCACTTCCTCGGAGGAAACCTCCCGGGATCGCAGCCTCTCCAGAAGCTCAACAGCGGTATACTTCTCTGTGAGTTCTAGCTCCCTTGGTGTTAGGACTGCAACGGGCAAACTTGTAGAGTTTTGTGGTAAAACATCCGGTAGTCCTGACAGGGCTGGTTGAACTAGGCCGAGGCCTTGATGGCGAAATTCTTGGGCTTCCAGTACTCGATCCTGCCAGGTCTTTTGCGTAGACATGTTCACGTTCTGGTTCGGTTCCTGAAGTGCCAAAGGTTTAGACATAAGATCGTTGCAGTGCAGGGTGATTTCTACGGCGTAATCAATGTCCAAATTGAGTACAGTCTACAACCACAGAAATAACGAAAGCGATCGATCCGAAAGATAACAAGACCAATGGCTGCTCCGTAAAAGATTGAGGTACATGCAGCGAATCAATACCACAGATTGTTATCAATGCTTCCCCGCCGCGAGAGGGGTTCATGCAAGGCATTTGGCCTAAATGAGAAGTAACACAACAGCAGAATAACATGGATGGTGGGTACGTGACGCAAAAAAAGCCGTTGGCCGATGTTTGTAGATCTTGCGGATGGTCTTTTTATCGACGCTCGACTAATTGCGGTTCCGGTGAGCAGAGAACAATACATACACTCAAGCTGCTGATATAAGAATCACGAAGGCACAATAATTTGAGCGTTTATTAGTCTAGTGGAGACAAACCATCTTTTCCATATTTAACCTTTAACTACATATTGGAAACTAGTACCGATTTTAATGATGTTCGAGTATATTCCACATTATACCAGTGCAAAACCACCAAGGTCAATGGTATTCTTCGTGGACTTTTATATGCGCCACTTGGCACTCCACCTTGTGTGGTTGATCGCCCCACCGGGTGGCCCCGCCCCGTAGAGAGAGTATCAAGTATACTTCATTCAGCTCGAAGGTGTGATAGGACAAGTCCACCAGAACTAGATATCTTTGCGCAGCCTATAAGTCGCTCAAACGATTATAAAATACATATCCAAGAACATCGCACTATTATTGAATATCTAATCTATTTCAATAATAACTTTGGGTTTTTGCCTAGTTTGTTGAGCTGTCAAGGTTTTTTAGTACACAAGTGCACTTCGTGGGGATGGGGGCAACTTCCCAAACGGGCGACCTGGTAGCAAGATAATTTGAAGATTCACCAAGCCGTCAAAATATCCAAGTCCAACTTTAAGTAACATTACTTACCCGAAAAGCAAGGGTTCGATCCACCTTGTCTCCATGAAGTTCCGAGAGAATCGCTAAAATTGGGTCAGATATTCGTCCAGATCAAGGCTAACCTAATTCACCCAACTAGAGACACAGCGCTTTCGCCATCGGCACGTAGCAATTTCCAAGTCCAGATGTCCTAGCTTCGGGAAATGGTGGTGCAGGTAATAACAACCACCTCATGGTCGCTTTTGTCTAGTGGATGAGATGGTCTTACGTGAAAATGTAGGCGCTGTCGAGGATATAGGCGAAGGGTGTCACGGAGTGGAAATGTGGCGGTGGATTTTTCGCAAAATTCATCCAATACCACATCACCGGTCGGCTCACTCGAGCGATGTGCCTCTTGCAGCTCGGCGGCGAGTCTCAAGATCTCTGTGATTCTCCTGATCATAATCAATCTTCTATGAAGAGCGGCCATCAAGCATTACATTGAGCCAGATTATCTAATGATTGCATAGCTGGATAAGTCCCTTCTCTTGTATATTACGTCAGAACTGCAAACGCCGTCGCAAAGATCGTGATGCCAATCAATGTCTTATCTACACCCATTCTCCCGCCCGAGTTCGTGCCATTGCCCGATCCGTCTTCTGTAGCATTAGGAACCCGGCTTCCCTGCGTGAAGTCCGTTGCGCTCACACAGGCCAAGCTCGTCGCAGGTGCAGTATCGTTGAACTGAGTGCTCGTGTTGGTGTAACCCCACGTTAGGAGGACCGGCCAGACGGCCTTGACCTGCTCGTCGTAGTCCAAGTCGACTGCGGTCCGGTTGTTCGAGCTGACGGGTGGGTCCGACCCATATGTAAATGCAGTCCAGTCCTGCTGATAGAAGGGAGCCGGAAGACCTGTTGTAATATTTTAGATTCTCAAAAGAGATTGCAGAAAAGAAAAGCCTAGAACCTGGACGTGCAAAGGCGACGTAGTCAGAGCAAAGAACTTACCAAATGCGGGTCCCGAATAGCCACGGTAGACGGTCGTATTCCCACAGGACACCGGAGGCTCGTCGATAAACGCACACGTTCCGTTCTCCTTGAAGTTCGCGGCCGCGAGATCTCGCACCTGGGAGATGCATTCCTCGCTCAGGTAGCTCCCACATGTCCCCCGGTCGTCAGCGGCCAGCCGAGTATAGTTGACCGTCGCGTTCGGCACGATCCGCATCAAGTTGACACAGACCTGGAACCCATCTGTGCCGTTGTTCGATCCGGAGCCTGGCAAGCTGGGTGGCTGCTGAATCGAGAGCGCAGTGCCGGTGAGCTCGCGGTTGTCTTCACCGGGCTTGACGACACCGGACGTGACGTTAAGAATTAGAGACCAGTCACTGGCGTCGTTGCCGGGGTAAGCGGCCGAGACGTTACGGCCTACGAAAGATACTGCGCCAGTCGCGTTCGGTCGTTGCAATGCCGTGTCAAAGTCTGAGTCGTCGATATAGTTGACTGTCCCACTGCGATATGCACCACCGCGGTTCTCCTCCAGCGCTTGCGGTACACTTTGAGCCGATGCTGTGGACAGGAAGCTTCCAGCAGCTAGCATTAAGGCGCTCGAGCAATGCATGGTAATTTTTCTTTGCCCTGTATAGTTGTGTCGGTAATTCGACGATGGATCAGTTTAGAAATATGGGGAAGTTTCCTATCCCTGATCTCGAGAATCATTTCTGCAACATCCCTTCTTTATAAGAGATAATTTCCATTGTAAACTGCCAAACTTCCAATGACGAAGGATTTCTATCTGGGACAACGTTCCATCGCCGGGTGCTTCAGCTGCCATCGCCGATCAGGCATCCTGATGAACCCAAGCATACGAACTTGGCAGCAGAAAAGGGGAGTGTGCTCGCGCCATGTCCTGACCGGGCTCTTGGCGTCTCAACACAATCCAGAGTATCGTGCCAAGTGAAGTAAGGTCGAGCCTTGGATTGGTCAAGCCTTGCGGCACAGCTGAGCGAAGGATTTGTCTCTGCTGATCAAATAGTGACTTAAAAGGCATCTGACGTCAGGCTTGGCGATGCTGGAGCCCGGTGAACCGTAGAAAGTTGCACTTAGCTCGACAACCAATTGGGCGTTTGGTGTGGAGCTGGTCCGACGCGCATAGTTAAGCATGAACCAGAGTATGTATATGATATCTGTTGAGTGAAACAGACAAGCTAGCGAAATTGTCACGTCACTAACACCAGAACCTAGTACGAATGATAAAATCTGCAATCAAGTCTGGTCGTGAAGTCCTTTATATTAACGATGTCCATTCTGGGCAGCTCTCCTTCCCGAAGCCTATAATCTGGTGACTTACGTCTCAAGCTGTATCGATAGTTGCGCCCTTCGAAGTCCCAGTTGCCGTAGAGATCTGTGGTTGTAAAGAGTCTACCTAATGTAGTGTCTACACGTGATGCCTCTTTGAGGCGGCGCATGCACAGTAGCCTCGGCAGCATGAGAACCCAGCTAAAGATGCTTCTTGCATAACACCTGAGTTGGTGTAAGACATGCTGAGATGCTAATATAGCTATTATTCTGATATCTGGCGGATGAGGTAGAGAAACCCGCACTTAGAAAGGCATCGAGGGATATCGCAAGAAACCTCAAGAACTGGCAATGTTGATGAGCTCTATATTCGGAAGCTTCATCGATTGCTCTTCTCGGGGTTTAAGTTTGTGAGCGTTTGCTATACTGGGATGGCATCTGCCCATTCATTCAGATAGACTCGGAGGCGCGGTAGGTACTATCCTGCCGCGGGGGCTGTTGGCGTCGTTGTATCTTGGACGGCCGTAGTATCGGTGCTGGTAGCGGTGTTGGCATTAGCACCTCCGCCTCGTCGGCCACGACCACGATTTCCTCTCTTAGGTCGATCGGTGGCAGCAGAAGCTGCAGCAAGAACTTGAGTTTCTGCAGCTGGCTTTTCTGCTGGAGCCGGTTGAGCCGGGGCCGAACTGGCCGGCTTTTTGTCTTTCCTCTCGAGTACCTGCACAGTGCCCTGGGCGATGGACACGGGACTGGCAGCAATAGCCTTGCGGAGAGCTTCAGCATCGCCAAAGTCGACATATGCAAACCCTTTCCTCTTGTCAATTTCCACAAATGTGACGGGGCCGAATGTCTCCATTGTTTGCTTAAGTAAAGGCTCTGTGACCCCCTGAGAAGGATTTGCGTGCTTCACAAATGCACGGATAGCGCCAGGGGCAGGTTGTGAACCACCCTTCTTCTGTTGAGTTGATGTATTGGACTTTGTGCCACCAGCTTTGCCTGCGGTCGCCTTTGGGCCTGTAGGTGGTGCTTGGTTAGCTGGTGGCGTGGGAGCTGCCTGTGCATTTGAAGCTGTGGACGGCACCCGGGAAGAAGCTGCTGCAGAAGATTCTTCCTTCTTAGTATTATCCTTCTTGAGCAGAATAATTGGTCCAGTCGTAGGCTTAGCGGGGGCGTCAGTTGCCTTGCCCTTGGTCGTCTCGCTTACGACTGCAGCAGCAGCTGCTGCCTTCGCTTTCCCACGTGATCTCCGTGAGCCTTCGGCACCCTGAGCTTTAGGTCCTGTAGGGACTGTCTTGGATGTTTCTGCCTCCTTGGCAGTATCAGCTGTATCCTTGTCATTGGTGGTGCTAGGTGAAGGCTCTGTGGGAGCGGCAGCTTCTGCCTTTGCCGCATTTTGTCGAGCGCGTCTGTGAGCACTCCCTGGAGAGAGCCCCAGGTCACGCTGAAGAATTTTGGCAGCTTGTGCAATATTAGCACGTCTGCTCTTGGGGGCGGCCTCCTCGGAAGCTTTAGTTGCGGAAATCTGGCCAGCGGCTTGCTTGGCTGCTTCAGCGGCAGCTTCTTGAGCAGCCGCTTTTTTGGTAAGGAGCTTGGGAGCGGGCTCTTTGGCCTTGTCCTTGTCCTTGTCCTTGTCGGATTTATCGGCTTTGCTGTCCTTGCCCTTCCTCTTGGAGTCGTCACCACCTTTGGCCTTACCACCTTGCGAATCTTGACGGTTGTGCTTTGCGCTCTTAGCGGCAGCTGTTTCCTTTGCTTTGGCGGCTTTCTTCTCCTGTATGAACTTGACGAGATGGGAGACCTGTTTTTCTCGGCTTGACTCGTCATTGGCAGATGCAAGTTGCTCGGCAGTCTCGGTTTCCTTGGACTGGGCCTCCTTGGGCTGGGTCAGGCCGTGCAGGTATGCTTGAAACTCGGGGTCCTGATCGATTGTTCCCTGTCTCGGATCGACTCGATGCTTGGTCGGAGGGACGCGGGTAGCAACATCCTGGGCATGTGCCTGGAAGGTCAACATCGTGTATGTGTTCTTTGCGTCTTGCCATGTTGCCTTCAAGACGAAATCCTTGAAGACGGGAACGTCCTCGACCTTGGTGATGTGCAATGAGTAGAACGAGGGCCTAGGTTCCTTGAAAGCGCTGCAAGACATAGCAAGTCAGTATCTATTTGCCACCATGCACTTGCAAGTCTTGCGCAAGGTCGGGAGGACGAGAAGCATACCTCTTGGAGATCTTTCCCGGTTGAAAGTGAGCCCAATCGACCTTGCCGTTACCAGTCTTCCACTCCTCGCCGAGTACAGCTTGGACTTCCTCCTCAGTGATCAGTGGGGGCAGATGTCGAACTAGGAGCTTCTGCCCAGTCGGCTGAGCCTTTGTCTTCTTGCCTCCTTCGGCACTGGACTGTGCAGTGGGCGCGACTCCATTTTGGTTGCGAGCTGTGCTCGTTGCAGAGACCATTATCGCTTCTGGCACTGATGGGAAAGCGGGCGTTGGTGCGATGTCGGTTGCAGCATGCAAGCTAACCTAGGAATATCCGATCCAAGACGCGCTAAATGGTATACACCTTAACTTGGTTGACGAGGCGAAATGGCAGCGATGAGCAATCTGGCGATGAAGTCCAACTCTGGGGGTTGTGAGCTTGACGGGCTTGTGGCGGCGAAGGGTCAAGCTGTTCATCTGGTCTAAAGTCAAGGTTAGGGAAGGAAGTCGCATTCACGGACTTTTCGCCGAATGGTGCAGGAAGGAAGCTCGTCGTCGAGTTGACAACAGGTCGTCAATGAAAATGACAAGAGCGCACTCTCTACTGTCACTCACCAAGATGCGCACTCGGGATTCTACTGTGCACAAGGCGCCATGCAGTAATTCTTTCCCAGGGTGAGGAATGCGACCTCGACGCTGGTGGTTGCTTAGTGGGGTTCAAGTTGGCATCACCACCAACCTTACTACGGCACCAACCTTGCGGTTCGGTCCCAGCCAGCCCGATCTGAAGGCGAAGACTTGCTGATTAAACACTCTGATCTGATCTGATCTGCTATTTCTTATGACAGCAGTTTGTGCACTCAGTTGTACCGCTCTCCACGTAGCCAGAACTTTTCATGGAGGGTTGTGACAGAAGTGTCATGTAGAACAATACTTGTTAACTCTTTATCAGAGTTCTACTTGGATCTAACCTTGGTCTAGTAGAGAAAGACAAATGAAAGACAATATGAAAGGCAATATGGTACACAGGCGTGATTGTCAAATGAAAGCTATGACCTACAAACCCCTCTACATGTGATTGTTGCATGTGGGTGGTTGTTGTGCACAGATGCTCCAACCGGGGGGTTTCCAGCGGACACGGCCCACCTGGACACCACATCGTTTATTGCAACACCTCGTGGTCCCGGTACGCTAACGATCCCTCCCCATCCCCACCCCAACAAAACACGTCTGAGCGTCTCATCTAGCGCCACCGATACAGTGATAACGATAAGGAGAACACCAAATACGTCTAAGCGTCTTAGCTAGCGTCTCGGCTACAGCGATAACGATAGCGCTAGCGTTGAGACCACAAACATGGAGGGCCAGCAGCACCAGGGCCAGCCGACCGACCAGCAGACCAACCAGCGTAAGCACCACAGAAGACGCAGTAACGCCTTCTCCCTCCCCGTCTACGAGCCCGAGCCTGAGCTTGTAGTTCGACCTCCCGGACGCACCTGGATCTGGGACTGGCTCCACCACCAGCGGTTCGGTCACTACACCACCAGTGCTTGTCAACAGCACCAGCAGCAGCAGCAGCATCAGCAACAACAACAACAACAACAACAACAACCCCAGCTACAACAGCACCAACAGTGGCAGTGGCAGTGGCAGTGGCAGCTTAACTCGCAAGACACGCTTCAGGAATTGCAGACACAGCAGCAGCCGCAGCAGCCCCAAGAGCCCCAAGTTCCCTTGCGACGCCGCCATAGCTTCCACGATCTCGCATCCGCCGTGCCTTGGGACGAATCCCCCCCTCCGCCCCCGCCTCAGCACCCTGCTCAGTATACGCCTGGCCATCTGAGAGGCTTTGCTTATCACTCTCTATAACTCTTCCCCGCTACCACGGGGACCGTTCGAGATGACCAAATCATCTGTCCCCAAGCCTGGGCCCGCCAAGTTGGGCCCCAACTCTGGCCTGGATGAGTGGCTGCAAGAGGCCAAGCAGTGTCACTATCTGCCCGAACCCGTTATGAAACAGCTTTGCGAGATTGTCAAGGAAGTCTTGATGGAGGGTACGTAGTCTCACTGTGGCAGACCATGCGAGCAGCATCCTAACGCTTGTGAAACCCCAGAGAGCAACATCCAACCCGTCGTCACTCCTGTCACAATCTGCGGAGATATTCATGGCCAATTTTATGATTTACTTGAGCTTTTCCGCGTTGCCGGTGGCATGCCTGGCGAAACCGCCGTCGAGGCACCCAAGAGCGCCAAACCTGTCATTAGCGCCGACATGATCGAACCCCCCACTGAAATTACAAACCCAAGACTGCGCAGGAAGATCAAGACTCGTCGAAACAGCAAGGGCGAGAACGAAGAGACCGAGGTTGACGACGACGACGATACTCTTCCCGATGCTGCTGCTGCTGCTCAAAATTCGTCCCGACCTGCCAGTCAGGACCTGACACCGACCGTCAACAACCCAAACATGCGATTTGTTTTCCTCGGGGACTTCGTTGACAGAGGCTATTTCAGTTTGGAGACCTTCACTTTGCTTATGTGCTTGAAAGCCAAGTAAGTCTTGGGATCACTAAAACATAGAAACGGGTTGATGACTAATCCCATGCACAGATACCCTGACCGCATCATTCTTGTCCGTGGCAATCACGAGTCTCGCCAGATTACTCAAGTCTACGGCTTCTACGAGGAGTGTCAACAAAAGTATGGCAACGCCAGCGTTTGGAAGGCCTGCTGTCAGGTCTTTGACTTCCTAGTTTTGGCTGCCATTGTCGATGGCGAAGTTCTTTGTGTACACGGCGGTCTGTCCCCCGAAATCCGTACCATCGACCAGATCCGCGTTGTCGCTCGTGCTCAGGAAATTCCTCACGAGGGTGCTTTCTGTGATTTGGTTTGGAGTGATCCCGAAGATATTGACACTTGGGCTATCAGCCCTCGTGGCGCTGGATGGCTCTTTGGAGACAAGGTCGCCACCGAGTTCAACCATGTCAACGGTCTTAAGCTCATCGCTCGAGCTCATCAACTGGTGAACGAAGGTTACAAGTTCCATTTCCCCCAAAACTCGGTCGTTACGGTATGGTCCGCACCGAACTACTGCTACCGCTGTGGTAATGTAGCGTCGATCATGACGGTGGACAAGAACCTGGATCCCAAGTTCAGTATCTTTTCCGCTGTTCCTGACGACATGCGCCATGTTCCTGCTGGTAGGCGTGGGCCCTCCGACTATTTCCTATAGACCTTGTTTTTATGGTTCTTGTACATTGGCATTGATATGATACCAACATCGGCGTTCTGGGGCTGAGCTTTGCCGAAGGATGGAATGCAGACATGGGGCACGGTATAATGTTCTCATGAATCGGTTATATAAGCCGTGTGTATACTACAGGACATGATAATAGATTTATGAATCTATGAAAGGAACACGCTGCACGTTGAGCTTGCTGCCACTCTTACACTGTTTGTCAACCGACTAGTTCACATTTACGCTTAGACATTGGTCGACACCGCATTGGTCATATAACGTGGGAGCTTCCTCGTGGACCAGACACGTTTTGTCGTTGCAACGTGTGCTGTAAAGGAATCGTTGCTTGATGGTTATCCTTCTCTCATTCAGGGGCTATTTTGGATTTTGTACGGGTCCTCCGTAGTGCATATCATGAACGTGCCGTGTTGGTGATTGTAAAAGACACTGCGATCAACCGCGCATCGAGCTTTGGTCGCTCCGACATGTCTTCCCCATGCCCATATGACAGCGGACGAACCTACACCGCTTTGGAGGCATGCACAATTTAATCGGCGAGATGGTGGTCGATATAGGCTGGCTTCCTCTTTGCTGAACCGACTAGCTTGGAGTCGAGCTCCTTGATAGTACGCTTCTAAAAGCAAATAGCTCACAGGGATTCTACCTAAACTAACTAATATGTATAGGTAATGCTTGAAGTTTGTTATGGTATTTGGATGATATATATACGCACATCACGCGCGATTTTGAGGACGGTTCGTCGCGTCTTGCCACCTTCACGACAGCAGTCACCATAACAGCTTTTGCCGTTATTAGCCCCGGTTCTGACAGCATTATAGCATGATAATACACAAGAGCGTGACAGGCAACCTCAGATCTCACGTGGGTAAGCATGCTTGTTCAAGTACGGTCTTTAAACTGAATTTCTGATATTTATTACAATTATTATGGCTCTCTCCTTTCGTAAATCTTGGCTATGTATTACACCCCGGATGACCTGACCTGTATTTGTGTTTTAACTGTGATACCATGATCATTCTCGGAGCTGTTCCTGCTCATCGTATCTGCCTGGCTCCCGTTCCCTCGCATGTGGCGTTTCTTCCCCGTCAGCTCGATCTCATCGTCCTCGATCCGAAAGTGCGACTGCCCATGCATAAAACTTGCGGCCTGGCTTTGATTGCCCCGCCGTGATGTCCCATTACCGCTCATGTAGCCATTACTGCCTGTCCCCTTGCCGCTGTTGGTAGATTTGTCGCGTATGCTTCGGAACAGCGGCGCGTAGGTCGGGAGGCAGGCTGCGATGATGCCCACGGACGGTTCGAGGCTGGACCAGCCAAAAGCTGGGCCGAGAATCCAGGTGACGTCGGCTTCTATTGTTAGCCTCTTCAGGTAGTAGATGCGGACGATACTGGCAACGCAAACACTGAGTTTCAGTCACGGTTAGCTATGGGAGCTCCTGTAGCGGCGGGGCCAAACTACTCACAAGCTACCGAGCAACATAATGCCAGCGACAGAGACCTTCTTGCGTTTGTTCATGTGCAGTCGCACGATACGCGGGATGGGAACCACCAAAATGACGACGTCGTTCACCATGTTGATGATGCCGAATACCAGAAAGAACAATAACACGTCGATACATTTACCATCAGTAGCTCCTGCGTACTGTCTCCAGTAGAAGCTCATGGGACGGCAAGCGCACGCCATCGTAATCCACATGATTATCGGGTAGGAGCAGGTAAAGAAAGCGGCCGTCCAGAATGTTATAACGAAAGGCCGACTGTTTTCTGCGATCTTGGTGTCTCCCACGTAGAATAGTCGCCGATATAAAAGTAGGATGCTGATCTTTGTCGACGTTACGGCTGCTGCATATACCCAAGGCTCCGCGAACACTACCTGTAGACATCTCTTGTCAATATGTCAATACTTTCATGGGTAGCGAATACACCTACCTTCAGCAATGTCATTAAACGTGGTACGGTGGTTGACCATACGTGTTTGCCAGATCCATATTCTCCAGCTATTTGTTAATAAAGTCAGCATCGCCTCTGGAATTGTTCTACTACTCTTATCGCCTGGTGGTTGTACTCACCAATAACTGTCGTTGCTACGAGGGCACCGGTACTAAGCTGTTACATATCGGCCTGTCAGAATTATGTTCTTCCTTGCTTTTGTGGGATAGGAGTTATAGACAGTATTAGTGACAACGAACACTTCACTCACCAAACCAACAAGGACTGTATAGTCGTCGATACCGAGATTACTCGCCCTGCCCATCGTGCGAACATAGAAGCGCAGAGCAACAGCTGCTGCTGCGACTCCCAGAACTACACATGAAACCACATCATATCCCATAGCAATCGAGTCCTCCAGTGAGATTCCCGACGGGAGAGGACCGAATACGGCCTCAATAATAGGATCGACGTCAGCCATACTGGGCGAATGCAATTTTCGAAGTGTGTCGCGGTGCACTTCCTACGTGATCGTGTTGTCCAACATTGACGATTTTGCACTGAGAAGGTCTCATATGGCCTCCTCTATGATCGATTGATCAATAGTAAGTTGAGGAGCAGCACTTTTGCTGAGGCGCTGATCGTCGGTGCTAACGACTCGAGTTCCAATCTTGATGCCCTTTCTCCATCTCCCGTAGCCCGCAGAAAGCCGGACCACTGTCAGACCATGTAGCGCGAAGGAAGGGGAAATCCCCAGGCACGAAGACCAATGGCGGATCATCCATCAACCCACAACGCCGCCAACGGTTGACTAGTCAATTGCTAGACATTCGCTCACGGACAATTTCCTCGACGCCTGGGACAGTGGAGCATACCAGGCTCAGATTACGAGGCACGTAGCTAGGAGCCTGGGAGGGAAACCGGATGCTCATTTATGCGTAATACTCTCTTGTGTTTTACGTGACAACATAATATAATAAATGTTTTCTGTTCATTTGGAAGCAGAGATATGTTTGCCTTCTAAATGCGATGGTGAGCCTCTACGTCTATAACCTTCTGGCACGGTCATGCGTGATTTGATATAAGTTGAAGGAGAAGCCTTTTTGTGAAAATTGTGTGAGGTGCGTCAAATTTTCCCTCCCAGCTGCAAAGTACCATGCGCATAGTCTGATTCAGGCACCGCCCTGACAAACCCCCAATTCTACCGAGCTGCGCATTCTCATTGGCTGATGACAGTATTGTATGTAAATACTTACCACCTTGGTATTACGAGCCTCGCTTGGCATGCGAAGATACATACAAGGTACCTTTGCATGGGACTTCGACACTTACAATCGACTGGGATATAATCAGACCGGGTTTAAGAGGTCGCAAATAAATTGGCAGGGATTCTGAGTCTTAAGCGGAGTCCTCCGCTGGATCCGAGAGCTCGACCTGCCGAACACAGAAATCGTACAAGGAAAAGAAAGAAAAAGAAAGGGAGAAAAGTACGCCTATTTGATTTGGAGCCACTGAGCAGATGTCCGCAAACTATGAGACTATCGGTCGAGTCGCCCTATATGAAAGCAGGGGGTTCCCCTTTTTAAACATGATCGGCAGACCAGTGATGTTCATTGCTCACATACGCCAAGGTACATGACTCGACCTAGAAGTTGTCAGGCTGTGAGCATGCTGATCAGGCCTTCAAGCGGAGCTATACAGATGCCGTGAAATTCTTTCACAAATTTGGTCTTCATCGCTCCGTGGATCACGCCCACCTCGATTGAGCGAATTCAGGGTCTGCCTGGCGGCGGAACTCTACGGTAAGCCTGTCCGGCTTTGCGACCCGTTCCGCCAACGGTTTCTCACTTGGGGCTTTCACTACTGCTTCTTAGGGCCGGGAATAGGATCACCTTTTGGTCATGGCGCAGAATTGCAATATCATATTATGGTGTGAAGGATCGATTGCATGGGTGGTTTCCCACGATGTTGAGCTCTGAACCAATTGCACCTTCCCTGCCAAAGAAATCGCCTCACTGCGCTTTTCAAGGCCTGATACCATAGTAGACTCCCTATCCGGACATGGAGATTGTCATGTGGAGCGACGGTGCTCATAAGTGGGTAGATGTTTAATGGTGTTGCATGCGACATTAAACGTTACTAGTTCGATAACATTATCCAATTAATCTACACTGTATTATCGGTAGTTGAAAAGTGACATGCATTTAATCCTCGTCACGCCCATCCATGGTAGGTCGGTGCGTAATAGCAGATGTTCAGGTACCCTTTCACACTTATTAATTATTCACAATGGCTGTAACCGACAAGGCACCGACTCTTTTGGCGTCCGAGCACGTAGGTCCCAAGGGATGGATCCGAGATATGGCATGTCTCGAATTGGCTGAGGACTACGATGCTGAACACATATCGTCCATACTCAAGACCGCTTGGGCGAGCTTTAAGTCGCGGACGCCTCTTGTGGGCGTTGAAGCGGTGCCACTGGGTCTTGATGTGAAGCCGGCTGGTATGCTCAAGCTTCAGGCTTACAGTGATGGCGAGATAGAGGACTTCTTGGTCAAAGACCACCGCAGTGACGATACTATCCCATCCTTTGCGCAGCTACAGGCACAAGGTTTCCCCAATGCTGCGATGGATAACGAGAAGCTCTGCTTGCGCGGGCGCGGCGGGGAGTGGCCCAACTTTGCCGTCGACAGACTTGCGACCAATTTGATGCAGGCCAACCTGATCAAGGGCGGGTTACTACTTAACCATCTTTGCTTCCACGCTTTTGGCGATGCTACCTCTATGTGGAAGCTACTCGAGCTCTTCGCGGAAGATGTGCGAAAAGCACAGGGCCTGTCAATCGAGCGACCAGCCGAAATACCTACTGCTGACAGAGCCAAACTGTCGCAGAGCACTGGCAAGAACGTTTGTTCCAACTTTGCCGACCAACACAAGGAGTTCATTCATATCCCCTTCACACCAGAGGGACTACCCGAGGGTCTGATAAATGCCCGGCACCATGCTCATGTGTTCCGCTTTACGCCCGAATCGATCCAGGCACTCAAGGCCGAGTGCGCGCCGAGTAATGTGCGTGTTCTGAAGGACCAGATCCCCCAAGACCAGCTGCCCGCGTTCATTTCTACCAACGATGCCCTGACGGCACTGCTCTGGAAGTCTGTCCAACGTGCCGAAAACCCGGACTACGTTGACCCAGACAGCAACTTGGCACCTTCCGTCGTCATGGTCGCACTGGATACACGTCGTCGAGCTCATGTGCCCATACACCCTCATACGCTGGGCAATATCATCGGTTACTCGCCTGCGGTCTTGCCACTCTCGCAGGTTGTTTCTAAGGAACAGGCATCACTGGCTGATCTGGCATGTCTGATCCGCATGGGCGTTGCCAAGTGTGGTAGCACGTACTTCGACGAGGTAGCGCACTACATCGAAAATATGGACGACGTAAACCGTCTTGCTGGCACGGCCTTCCTCGACATGCCCGGCAAGAACGTATTGCAAAGCAACTGGAACGAGTATGACTACTATGGAATTGAATGGGGCTCGGCTTTTGGGGATCACATTAAGGCTCTACGTTTCCCGGCTGGAGGTGTTTGCGCTGGTTTCCAAATCATCATGCCCAATCCCCCAAACACGCCTCGTGGGACGACTGAAGTGCTCGTGGATGTATCAGATGAAGCCTGGCCACGGCTATTGCGCGACGAGACTTGGAACCGCTTTGCTCATAATCCCACCACCGTCGCATATGAGTAAGACCAAGATACAAACAGCCACCTTTGCTCCAATGATATATAGATACTATTCGTGAGATTTGGCCTTGTTGAGTATGCCAGATGAGTATGCACATAGCCTGACTTAGAGTAACTGGATAGCTTTAGAACTAGCGATAGATTGATACCTCGATTGGTCAACGTTTTCCTCAATTTGATGTGGCCGAAGCTTTTGTCGGACTCTGCGTGGATGTAGTGTCAGCTCATGCACAAAAAAGGGTGTAAGTGGAGGCGTAATACGCCCCATAATGATTTGCAAACGGATACGAACTTGTCCACCACGTGGATACCGCGTGATAATGGTGCATCCACGTGTCAATGGATACTAGGTTATTGCACAATATTACACTTAGATCAGCCCATTCTAGCCCATGCTTCCTAGCAGTCATCTTATCGCGAATTCTAGGCCCTTTTGTGCGATTAATGCTTGCTACAATTGACGAGGGTCTCCAACATGCAGGTCTCCAACATGCAGGTCTGCATACTACATTCCCGTCCTACTGAATCAGGGCTTTCACAGATCGTTCCCTAGCAATTTTCGACCAGACTTGTCAAATTCAAGGAAGCAATGGCGGCGGAATCTAAGCAACCTTTCAAGGTCATTATTGCAGGGGGTTCGGTGGCCGGCCTCACACTCGCCAATGCGCTTGAGCGGGCTAACATCGACTTCGAGCTTCTCGAAAAGCGCGATGTTGCACCACAACTCGGCCAGTCGATCCTCGTACTTCCTTGCACCAACCTGATCCATGAACAGCTTGGTATCGACAAGCAGACCCGCGAGGTTGGCATTCCCATAGGAGTACGGGAACACTGGGATGATCGGGGCAATTTGTTCTGTTCCTCGGACGAGCTGATCCAGCTAGAGCGTGTGTAAGTATTAAAATCACGGCCACGTTAATGGAGTATGCTTGCAGGAATTTAGCTCATAATTCCAAGTCAGAAGCGGCCTGTGTATTTCTTAGACCGCAAAATCTACCTACAGAACCTGTACGATGGCCTGAGCAAAGTATCCAAGTCAAAGATACGTGCTCATGAGGGCGTTGAGTCCATTACCGAGCACGATCATGGCATGACGGTCAGGACCGACAAGGGCAATATTGTCGAGGGTAGCATCCTGGTTGGTGCGGATGGTGTCCACAGCTGGGTGCGCCAACAGATGGCTCAGACAGTTAGAGACACCAATCCGAAACAAGCAGAGGTCCTGGCCAAGGGTTTCAAGACCAGATATCGTATTCTCACATGCACGTCGAATAATTACTTTGCCAGTGATCCGACACGGCCTTTCCTTAGGGATGGTGTTATCAACAACACATATTATCCCGAACATGGCGTTGGTGGTCTCAGTGTTGCCGGCGTCAAGGGAAGGATTTTCTGGGCAATTTATATTGCTAATGAGAACGAGGCGATTTACCCCAGCCCCAAGTATGGACAGGTACGTCGGAAGTCACAAATGGCAAATGGAATTTGTCCCGGCAGGGCACTAACCTGGATTCTCAATATAGGCAGATATCGACGAAGCTATTAAGAAATGGGGACATCTCCAAGTTACGCCTGATTATACCTTCAATGATCTCTGGCAAAGCCTGTTAGGCGCCAGCATGATCTCCATGGAAGAGGGCGTGCTCCCTACGAAATGGAACTCAGGCCGCCGGACTGTCCTGGTAGGAGACGCTGTTCACAAGGCAACAGCAAATCTCGGCATGGGCGGAAACCTGTGCGTAGATGATGTATGCCGCCTCGTCAACGGTTTATATGAGGTGCTCGAACATACAGAGCACCCCTCCACAGCGGAACTCGTCAAAGTCTTCGATAACTACGAACGCTCACAGCGACCCCGTGCCAAATTTGTGTGCAATGCCTCAGGTGTCTTTGCGGGCTTTGAGACGATGAGTAAGTGGTACTCGCGCCTTGTCAAGCTCATATTCCCATGGATTCCCTCTGCAATCAAGATGCGCATCTTTTCCACCTTCGATAGCGGCGCACCCGTCCTGGACTTTTTGCCCATGCCTAGCACAAGGTGAGCGCAACATTCAGCAAAGAACTAGCAAGGACCTGTTCGATGTCATAGCCCGGGAGTTGAGGGGTGAAGCTATGAGGGTACTCAGCGTAGTGTCTTTCTTATATCATGTGATCTGTAGATCAACTCCATCTAGGACGAGATATTTTGGACTATTGACGTATAATTTCTGTCGACAACTCGTCACTATTCCGTATCACAAATGTTCGTTGATAGCATCTACCAGATGAAGCAAACCCTAGAGCAGTCACTGGGAACTAAAAATTGGAATATCCAATGGTTGGAGCAACTTGTGCTCAATGTGTTCCAAAACGCCGTATCTTAGCCATCCAACATACAGTAAAGGCAGGTTAGGGATAGAAATAATCTCGACTGTGCTGATCACGTCTTCCACTCCCAATATTTGCACCCTTCGCTCCTTCGACTGCATATGAAATATTGCCTGAACGCATTCTTGGGATTGTCTGGGTGACAGATGTAACGTTGGCGATGACCCTGAGGTCCGCGATGCTTCCTGCAATCTGGGCATGAACCCCATAGATACTCCTGCTCTTTTTCTTTGCTCCAGTGAAGTACTTGGCCGCAGTTAGTACACTTAGATGTCGGCGTCCTGCTCCTTGAGGTAGACGGAGTAGTGAGGAGACTTCCTTGCTTGCAGTACATGCATTTTTTTGTGCTTGACGACAATGGGGTAATGGGAGCCCTGTCATAACTCGGACCCGCAGCCGGAGTCGAGGCACGCTGCAGTTGTTTTGGCCCTACTTTCGATGGAGGACGCCCCTGTTCCCTGAAATTGTAGTACTCCGGAATATATGCTGGAGGTAGTGGTCAGAACTGTATCAGCATCGGGTGCCACTTTGGGTACTTGCATTGTCGTAATGCTTTCGTGGATCCTCTGACTACATGGTGTTAATCGTTTTCCCGATCTGAGGCCATGATTTTGACGATCCTACCATTGAAGTATTCATGGAGATTGGCTGTAAAGCATGATCAGGTTATCATTTCTGTATACCATTCGTTGACAACAAAGCTTACCTTGCCTCAACTCTCTGGCCTTACTCGCTGTCATACTGCTGGGTTTTGAATATCCTCCACCTAATTAAGTAACAGTCGATGGTAGCTACTTGGGCCCAGTTGATGAAATCAAGCTTCAGAAGGAGGTGAATTTGGAGATAAAGACTTCGGGGAGTGCTCAGTTCTTATACTCAAGTGCGGCTTTGCATGCTTGGCTTCTTGCAGCTTCCTGCAGCTTCCCCAGCTTCCCCAGTGAGCCGACATATGACCAAGTCCAGGTTCCATGGCTCCTACTCAAGACCTCGAAGTATCTGGTGCTCAAGCTACTTTGCTGTGACACCAGGCTTGCATTCTATTGATCGAGTTTTGGCAGTCCTCGGCTCCGATATACAGCAGCGGTACATTTCGTTGGCAGGATGAGGTCAACGTCTGCCGCCAATGGCGGAGGCAGTCCATCACCAGGTATGCCTCATGGTCCCCCCAAAGAAAAGAAGAGAGGGGGGTCTGGGGGGAGAGGGATGTTCTTATACTTCTGTCGCTGCATTGCGATATCCCACATTGCCAAGGTTTGGTGCAGGATGCCAGCTCATGCAAGCACTTTACCAAATTGCCAATCATATCTCGCCATGTTTTTCCACATCTGCATGCACTTCCGTTCGTTTGCTGTTCGAGGAGCCGATCCCTGCCATTCATGTAACGCGCTTAGGAAGTGCTTTCAGAACGCAGCCTTGGACTTTTGCGAGTCCATTCGAGGCTTCTGGTGTCGACCTGAACCTGTAAAGGGAGCATTTCTTGCGGCGTTTGAGGGCAGAAGTACAATATGTCAATAACGTCACCAAAGTACAACAAGAAACGATTCTATCTCTTTCGGATTTGCGCCGTCGGTTTCAATGAGACCGCATCGAAATAATTCAAATAGCAGCATCGAATCATGGTGCTGAGGGTGCATAGTCACATGCAAGTGTGGTTTAGACAAACGGCACATTGCAGCTTGCTTTTCGATAGCGCCAGCAGCTTCCTGTTGCTACCCCATTCAGTGCTGGGCAAAGTCCCCCACCCCCACTATTCTTACGGCTGAAGAACTTGCAGCGACGAACCCAACTCTCACCGAATATAGTGGCATGCATGTCAGTCCTTCAAATTTTAAGGGATACTTTCATTAACAAGCATGGGCCATATCGCGGAATGGTTGTCCGAGCCAATGACGGAGGATGTGTTGCAAAAGATATTCATGTCAGACCAAGACATGTACCCTGCTCCATTGACATATGCACGCTTGAAGAGCTGGGTTGACGGGTGCCCCGACCTGTCCCGTTGTTTTTCCATTCCGCCAGACACGGGGAAAGACACTGAGCGAAACGAAGTTGCAGGCGCCATTATTGTGCTGCCACTGATAGAAACTGCATGGCGAGATTTACTGGACGGAACGCTTCGAGAGACGGATATAGACCCCTCAGTTATGTTTCCACCAGACGATTCATCGTCCGCAGTCGGCTTACACGTGTTCCATGTGGAGCGTTTCAGCGAAAGGCTGAAAGGCTTTGCGACTGGGTCGTTGAAATACGCCCATGACGCAGCTAGAACAAAACAATGGGATGTGTTGGGATGTTCTGGTAAGTCAACAGCGCTCATTCATCCCCGAAAGATGCAGCTGTATATTCATTCGCTGACCTAAATCCAATCGGGAAGCCTTGACAGCAACCGAAGAAGGCACCCGAAGCTTTCAAAGGTTGGGTTTTGTAGCCACGGGTTACGAAGAGTTTTGGGTAGAAATCAATTGTCAAATCACCTTGGTCCCAGTCTATCCCGGTCAGGGTGCTGACCTGGTTACAAAGTCCGAGAAGGCCTGTATCAAGGGAAAAGCCCACATGGTCGCGAGGTTCTCGAACGACAAAGACCAGGCGTCTCATTAAAAATACTACTTCACCGTAAATTATGTTGCCTTATCTTCGTTCAAAGAGTGACCAACAGGTCTAATGAACTCTGTCCAACTTCCCACAAAGCGATCCCAGCGCCAAGTTCAATGTGTTCATTTTGGTCAAGGACACCAAGAACGTTTGACATGCTTTCCGGTGTCGGCAAGAACACCCTCCAGAGGCCATCTTCTGCGGAATAATCGAAGTAAAATTCTCCGTCATCCATTTCTTCTAATTTCGGGCTGTATTCCGCAATCAATTCCTCTATTTGGTGCATAACAACCGGCTCACCTGCACCTCTCAGAATAGAGAACCCGTTGACACTTTCTGTGCTTTGAAGAATTATACCCTTCTTGTCGTCTGCCAAGAACACGGGATACTTGTAGCCGTACAATGGAAGACCCATTAGGAACTTGGCAGAGACTTCGTCCTTGAAAACGAACTGCTGTTCATTCGTGTAGCCATCTTGGCTCTTTGCAGCGTCGGTGAAGGCTATAAGATTGGCGCCGACCCACTCAACATTGGTATTCGGCCCAGGTTCGCGAACTTTGTGTTGCTGCTGCGCAGCATGCAGTTGGCTACTCCTGGGGAACTGACGCAAACTTTCATGTCCGCCTGGCCCTGTCATGTCGTATGTCATTATGCTGAAGTAGTCAGCTACGCCGGCGAGTGACGAGATGGATTGGAGCATCATTGCATTGTGAGAGTTCAAAGCAGCTGCATCGCCCATGCCCAAAGTCGTTCGGATCGGCGGCATCACTAACACCAAGGTCTTGCCGTTTTCTTTCAGATGGTCGGACAGCACTCCAAGCGGGCCAGATAAGGCATGCGTGGCACCAGATTCGAATACTATGCCGTTATATGCCATATCTTCGACAACCTGTGTGATTTCGGTCGCAAGTCGATGCCATCGTGTCTCATTGAACATCAACTGTCTATAGTCATCCTGACTCCACCCATCCAGTATGAAGCGCGGAGTCACTTGAATTGCTTTTGGCTTTGTATCTGATGGCGTTTGGAGGCGTTTGTACCAGTCTCTGTCCTCGTCCGCTGGGGGACCACCTCTGACCTCGTACACTTCAACATCATTGCTGCTAGGATGGACCGTGTACCACACTGGACACACGATATCAAACTTCTGTCGATGCTCCTCGACCAGGTCTTTTCCGCGTGGGTTCCATGGCGTGACGTAGCCTAACACGGGAAGCTCAGGATGACGCCTCGCATTATCGTCGTTGAGCTGGAATGGAATATGGTCATCTACGTCAAGTTGGTCCCTGCAATGCGCCACAGCAATAAAATGAGAGACTAGTAGTATCAGCCGGACTGTCCTTCGTGTCAATTCCATGGCGTACAAAGTTACTCCTGATCAGGCAAGAAGCTACGTGGAGCATAAGTGTGAGCTGTCTAACCAAAACATCAGTCACGTGACTGTCCGCATCCCTTCCATGAACGCGTAGACGCCCTGGCTGCATCAACAAATTTCACTCCATTGATTCTTATCAACAAGATAAGTCAAGGTAAGAGTGAGATGGACAGGATAACGCACAAGTCAAATAAACGGATCTAGCTCCATTTTGAGGGTCAAAATAGAATGTTTTGGCATTGTATATTTAAGCTCGTTTTGGCCCTCGCCAATGGCTCTTCGGTAAGTACTGTTCCATTCGGCTCTATTCGCCATCTTTCAGAAGCTCACGATCCCGTACAGTGACTTCCGGTTCTGCGCACACTAAATCTGCTCCCCACTTAGAAGGGCGAGATGCAGATCAGCAAGTCCATTGATCTCAGCTGCAGTATGCAGCTGTGCACCGCCTTTAGGCATCATGTTCGGCACCGAACAGGCTATCCCGTGCGCAAGTGACAGAACATCATAACTCAAGGCAAGTGGTAGACACAACAATTGGCGCGGCGGCCACTATATCTGAACTACCTGCCAGTGCACTAATTCTTGTGTATAAACCTGCGAGGCAATATGGCATGCTACCGCACTTTCCCCAGCTGTGTTGGTAGGTACATGACCGTTTGCTCCCGTTCTTCGCCGTTCTGATTAGTTCAGTCTAGTCCACCTGGAGCGGTTCAGATGGCTACATAAATCACCGATATTCCAACCACGGTACGCTACCGTCCAAGGTCACTCCGAAGAACTACAAAAAGTTGATTTAGACTCTAAACCGCAATTAGGCCAAAGCTATCTGTAATGATCTCTTCTAGACACCTTTGTGAATGACTAGACGATGACTACCTAGCCTTGATGGTTCTGGACACCCTCGAGAATAATTATGATGATGACGATAATGCTGATGACGGCGATGAGGGTTAAGCGACCCCTAACGACTCCGGACGGCATCAAAGGGCACTGGATGGACATGAATGGCAATGAAAGATGCCGGCCTAACTTCTACGGTTTCGTACAAGAACGCTTTTAGTCACACTCAATTTTGGTACACAGCGATCAATAAGCCAGCCGGGGTCTCCGAACGACACCGGGGGCGTGGCGTGCAAGACCCTCAGGAGATATGCTGAACAATTATTAGACTATATAAGATTTTATACCACAAAGATACTTGGCGGTCTTATAAACCATGAAAGACATTCGTGGCCGATAGTACCTTTAAATGCTGCGCCGAAACCGAGCACCTCTGGTCAAAACTTTTATACATATTATAGCCAAGATGGATGGTCATGCATAGTATATACTACATTAATCCTGCGAAGTCTAAAGCCACACTGAACATACATGAAATGCCATTAATCCACCTTGTCAATTTGGATAGCGGTTGAATCCTTGCGGATCCATGAGAGTATCAGACGGTGTACAGGCGCTCAGGCAGATACTTACCGGTAGATCAATGAATAACAAGAGTAAGGTAGAGACTACTGTTATTTGTTCGAGTGGTCATGTAGACCTCATAAAATCTCCTCACTTGCTATCTGGGAGTTGCTTTTGGTGGTCGTTAGAGATCATACCCCCGGATTTGAACAGGATGCGCGTCTCAGATTATTCGGAACATGGTCAAATTTTTCACATGGATTACTTGTGCAGATTCCTTAGGCACCTATTTGGGCGGTCGCTCAAAAAGGTGTTTAAAAGTTTTAGGGAAGTCATATTTATGTTTCGCAACGATTCACTCAAGGCTAAATGATCCAGATCCAGAAGAGATTTTTCAGATGCTCATTCCGACAATCTGCGATAACCAAGTAGGCTGCTGACGCTGAAAAACATGTCTTGTTCCTGTCCACAGATCGAGCAAGACCGAGAGTGATCATTCCTCGATTTCGCACTCTAGTTGTTGTTACTTACTATCAGCCAGGCTTTTCCAAACGGGACTCTTCTCCGACGTACGCGTGGTATGCGGAGAGAAGTCATGGAACGTCCATCGTTGTGTTCCTGCCACTCGTTGCAATTGGTTCAAGAAAGCACTTTGCAGCAATTTTGCAGTGAGCATCGCCATACGATTCAGCAACTCCCCCTCCCAGCTAACCCGTACCAGGAGGCAGCGACAGGAGTAGTCACGATCACCGCTTTCAACGAAACACAGGTTGGCTGGCTATTGGAATGGATCTACACAAATTGTAAGAAAATTCAAATCACGCTTTCTAGAGCACACACACACACACACACACACGAGGCTGACTGCAACATCCGCACCTCTCGACATCGAAAAGCTCAACCCGGAGATCCCGCTGTATGAGAAGTGTATGGACGTTTTTGATTTGGGCGACTTCTTCTCTAACGATAGTCTACGATTTTTAGGCGACAAGACTTTTGATCGATTTATCGAAAACGAGACAACTGGCATCCAGCCAGATGGAGACCACTCCACAAGCGCAGTTGGACAGACTACAATCAGCGCCCTTCGAGCCGTGTATACTCGGAACACTCGTGCAGGTGATCTGTTTCGTCAAAGAGCAATCGCCGCGGTATACAGGGTGCGAAACTTAGTCATGGATGAGCCTGATTTTGACACACTACTGGATGACTTTCCCCAGATTGGCGTTGGGCTTTTGCAGGATGTCATTCGTCGAGGTAAATACTAGATGGTGAAGCTAGTTTGCCCAGCATCATCATAGTAATAGAAGTGATTTTGCTTATGTTTCAATGGAGTCATCAGCATGACAAGGGCGTAATCATTTTCATTGAGAGGCTGTCACCGTGATATATTCAGTGGTGCCTGGGAAACTATATACGTCCATTATCCACGCCTGGAAGGTTAAAGTCCAAGATGCCAGCCTGATGATTTGCGGACTGTGGGCTTACATTGCAAAGTACGAATCCCTATCGTCGGCAACCAGAACACGCATATTATCCGATGGGGATCAATGTATCACGACTGATGAAACTTGGCAAGTAGTGGGTAAAACGACCAACTACACCGCTCATAAATATTCGGTTGCGACACAGACAACAAGATTGAAGTCGTATTAAGTCTGCGTATAAGCAGGACCTGGGATATCATTCGATATTCTATACTCGATCTAATTTATGTACACTAAGAGAAATAAAGCATCGCTCGACCCAACAACCGCCACATGACCTCGTGCTTTTACAAGTCCTTCTGGGCGAAACCAAGTTGGGGCGCCGAGCCGTCATCCTTGAAGACGACGAAAGCAGCCTTGAGAGCGACATCACCGAAGATGGAGAAACCAATGTCAGTGTTAGGCTGAATTCCACCGTAGCACTGAGTACCGGCGGTGTTAACAGGAGAGTAGTTGAGGTAGTCCGAGGGAATGGTGACGGTGACATCGCCAACAGTGTAGCTGAACTCGGGAAGGTCGGCATCACAAGAGAAGACGTAGCCTCCGATGCTGTTGGAGTAAGAAGCACCGGAGACAGAGGCGTAGTATTCCTCGCAGACAGACTCGGGGAAGAGGGCGAGGGTTGTGCCGGTGTCAGCAATGCCGCTCAGAGTAGTCGAGGCAGAGGAAGATGAAGAGCCGGATGCTTTGCTGGAAGACGAAGACGAAGAGCTGGAGTGCTTCTTGGGGTTGCGGCCGAAGATCCCAGCGAAAGCATCACTGGCAGCACCAAAGCCACCAGGACCTCCGGAGGCAGAGTTAGAGTCAGGGCCAGAGCCGTGGCCACCGCCATGTCCAGAGCCAGGGCCGGAAGAGCTGCTAGGGGAGGGCGCAGCGGACGTGGCTGAGCCAGATGAGCCGGTATTGGTAGAACCAGAACCAGTGGTAGAACCAGAGCCAGTGGTAGAGTTGCTGGTGCTGGAGCCGACGGCCCAGCTGTCTGCTGTGAACATCCAGAAACCATCACTGGTGTCGACATCGGTGTATGCAATATCGCCAGTGTAGAGAGACTCATCGATCCAACCGAAGTTATAGGTACCCGGCTCGCCAGCCTTCAGGTCACAAGTCCACAGGCTCTGGTCGAGAGTGTCCTTGATGTTATCGAAGAAAGTCTTCTGGGCAGTAGGAGTGACTGTGTTCAGGGTGCTGAAGGCGAGACCTAGGAGACCATCGTTGTTGGCGTCAGAGGTGAAGGAGCTGGATACAGTCTCGGCGGTCTCAACTGCCTGGCTGTCGAAGGAAACGCCACCAACCGTGACAAGATCGGTGTAAACAGTGCCTGAGGAGGTGGAGCCATCACCGTAAGAGATGTCCCATGACTGGCCGCTGAGCTCCTTCGATGTGCTGGAGTCGGAAGGCGTGTAGATACTCTGACCAGAAACATCACTGCTAGCAGTCTCGGACGAGAAGACCCACAGATCAGACGAACCGGAATCGAAGTCCAAGTTGAGGGTTTGAGCCGGTGTACCAATCGATACGGGAGTGAGATATTCAGTATCGTACTGTTCAGGGGTGGTAACAGCAGAGCCGTTGGTCCTCTTCATCAGTGATATGCGCGCTGCCTTCCAGGCCTTGATGGTGGCCTGAAGCTCATCGGGAACAGTCTTGCCAAACTTGAGCAAAGTCTTGGCCATCTGGGTTGGGCCATGGCGAGCAAAGTTATTGGAACGGACTTGAGCCACGGAGAATCCCGCCTTGCGATGTCCAGGCATAGAAGAGGCCGGAGCGGCAACGGCTCCAGCAGCCAAGGCGGCTGTCAGAAGAACGGATGAAACCATTTTGGTGGAAGGTGGATCGGTAAGTTGGTGGGTAGTGAATGTGGGTGTGCCAGCACTCCCTGACAACGAAGATAGTGGTTATGAAGGAAAGGAAAAAAGAGAAGAAAAAGGTCTCAATGAAGGAATGAAGACCTGTTGTGAAAGTGTAGAAAAAAGATCGTGACACTAGAGTATAGAACTGAGGAAGAGAGAAAGACCTACATCTAGAATGGAAGCGAACAGCGACTTATTCATAAGGATGCGCAAACCCATGCGGCAGAGAGGCCATTGTCCGCATGATGGGCCGGGCGATCCCCATTAGAGGGATGGATCATTTGTCCGTGACAAAAAAAAGAACTATGGCTCCATACCAGGGTGTATCTAGTTCGGTTCGATGGCAATGAGCCAACATGGAAACCAGCGATTACGTCGCCTTGCGTTGCAGTGTCGAAGAACAATCAAAATGAGCCTCATGGCCCTAGCATTCGCCGCAAATAAACGGGCGTCGTCAATTGATTGCCGCACCCCTGCTTAGCGGGCGTTAGTGGTGTTTCAAAATGTGGGCAGTCAAGACTCTTCAACCACTCATATACATGGCCGACTCAGTGAAACAAACAGAATCTGCCCTGTCCACGTCTGTCACTTGCGCAGCAGGGAGTGACTCGCATGAGCCACTACAAAGACAAAGTCTTGCCCCGGGGCGCAAAAGAAATGGGGTCCGAATGGGGAAAGCTGCGCAATTAAGGGGGTTCCTGGATTAGGCCCGAAGCCAATGAATAGGACGCGTTCAGTTAGCACATACGGATCCGTAGTATAGAGAGCGCTGCCGAAGATGAATACGCGGGATAGACAGAGAGACAAGCTTCCACACCTCGTGTCTGGCCATTCCTGTGCCATGACGCCCCACCCAATACAAGCATGCCAAGACATCAAAAGCAGACATCCGAGGCGCGGGAGCAAGTGCCGTCACATATCGCAAGCCTTCCAAGAGAGTAGATCAATGCTTGGAGGCGTAGCCGCCAAGATCCGGAGAATTTTGGTCTGTGATGTACAAGTGCACAAGTCAGCAGACCAAGCCATTGATTTACATTGAGTCAACCAAGTCAAGCAACCGCATCCATCAGTCATTGGTGGTCTCCTGCAGAACAGGATTCGCCGCTTTTTCGCGCATCTCCATGGCCCGTCCCATAGTATGTGTAAAACTCTGATTTGCGCCATGCTTGGCGTGTTGATCAACGCAAATCTTATCGAGTGACAGATCTTTATTTTCAGCGCATGCCGTCTGGACCTGCGTGGGTGCCCACATGGGCTGAACTCAAAAGCCGAGCCCGACTGGAGAGGCAGCACAGGCCAAAAAAAACATCGCCGAGAACGCCTGCGTCAACGCTGCCCCGCATAATTCATGCGTTCTCCCCAAGCGGACTGCCCCGCCACACCCAAAGGCACCAACATCACGTCACCCGCGTCTCCAACATATTCGCTGTCCACTCTACTCGGGGCATTTCTCTCGCGGCCGCGCAGAGCCTCAAGTGCCTAATATACCCCAGACGGTTCGAGGTGGCGTATCCGAGTTGCCGGTAGACTGCGATGGCGTCGAACCAGCGACCAATGTCCGCCATGGGCGGTGGCTTCGGGGCGGTTGACGCGGGAGGTAGAGAGAAGAGCTATTTCGAGTTGCAAAGGGAGGCATTGATTGGTGAGATCGCTATGGTATGAACCACACGATGGAGTCTCGAAAGTCCCAGCTGCAGCATGGGAGCTCCGACGAGGGTTTGATCATTGGGGAGCTGATATTATTTGCCATGTAGAACTTCGAGCACGTCCTCGCCAACATCAACAAACTGAACCGGAACCTCGAGGCTGTAATTGCTGTATGTGCATCTTTCTGTCGTGATGGCCTGTCCTTTATCACTGTCACGACCACTTCCGTGAACCGCACACGGCAGATGCCTCCGGTATGGCTACAATAAGACACGAACAGCCAAGCTAACTCGAGATGCGTCAGGTCGGCAACGAATTCTCCTCGGTCGAAGCACTCTGGTCTCAATTCGAAAACGTCATGGCTAAAGATTCGGAAGAGGAAGGGAACAAGACGGAGGCTGGCGACGAAGGTGATGAAGAGAAGACACCCAAGAAGGAAGAATAAACAAATGAAAAGGTTACTGCAGCATGCCCACGGGCAAAACCCAGTTGGAGCATGTTATGACCTGCTGAGGCCAAGCCGCGAACCCGGCTATTATTTATGGCTATGATACGCCTCCTCCTAGAAAGTGGCACCCCACGGAAGGCAAAGTGCTAGCAGCGGACATCATATCATGTGGCAGTCGTATGTAAGCACATGACAGACCTCGGATTGTTCATCTCTGGTACCTTACGCAAAAGCCACACGAGGAAGAGCAACTCGACGGGCGATGATAGAGGCAGCCTGCCGAAACGGCACAAATATCATTTGGACTGGTTCAAGCGGTCTATCATTGTCACGGGGCCACGAATATACGAGAACAAGATTTGATGTAGACCAGGGAGGCGATGATGACGAATGTGTTTTATTTCTTATCCCGGACCAGTATGCTGTGCGTTGAAAAGGAGACCCAACACCCTATGATCAAATACAAAAAAGGAAACCAACCCTCTTGAACATGCTGTTTCCAGTAATACAGGCTCCTCGATCCACGAAAGGCTACTCATTACCCTTCCTATACTCCTCCATGCAACTACAATGCTGTCTCGTACAACATGAAATATGGTATCAATAAACCCGTTGAAGTCCTCGTAAGTAAGAACCCCCTAAATGTGAGAAGCACGAGAAACGCCACTGTTTGAAGGTCCATGTTGCGAGACAAGATCCTGTCCAATCTCGCCATCATGGTCTTCAGGACGATACGAAATGCTTCATAGAAATGCCGTTCGAGTTCGTACAAGTCGTGGCACAATATCATGCAGAATACTCATTCAAAACCAGGCATCCATCCGCATGACACTCAGGAACACCGGCACATCACCACCGACCTCTGTGCTCTAGAGGTGGATACAGTTCCTCTTCTTCTTCTTCTTAGGAACGACTGGAGTAAATGCTGAGCCCGCTTGCTTTGTCGCTGGACGGCCTGACGATGAGTTGGGAGCTGCGGCCATGGCGGCTTCGAGATTGCGACGGTCGTTACCGACGACAGTTAGGATAGCCTGGTCGAAGATCTCGTCGACACCCTTCATCTCTTTACTGCTGCACTCCATGTAGTGAGCGCCCATTTTCCTTGCGACGGTCATGCCCTGTTCGGTAGAGACTGGCGTAAGACCTTGCGTCTTGAGCATCTCAATACATGTCTTCTTGTGGCGTAGGTCGGACTTCAACCCTACAAGGATCAATGGGGTGTACGGGCAGAAGTGGAGGACCTCTGGGTACCACTAAGATAAGATGGAGTGAGTTTTGTGTTTTTACGTAAGGTGTCGCGCGGGTGGAGAGCTCATATTGGGCTGTGCACGTACCTTGTCCATGACATTCTCGAGTGAGTTTGGGCAATCGATGGCGAAACACACGAAGATCAAGTCCGTCTCTGGATATGACAGCGGTCGCAATCTGTCGTATTCTTCTTGACCGGCGGTGTCCCACAGCGCCAGCTCCACGGTCTTGCCACTTGGTGGATGTGTTGGATATGTGATGTAGTTCTCAAAGACTGTCGGGACATATTTCTAAGCGCATGGTCAGCTGTGGCAGTTCGACGAATGCGCGATTTGAGGACAGGGACATACCTCTGGGAAGTATCCTTGGCTGTAGCTGATCAACAAACAAGTCTTGCCACAACCACCGTCTCCGACGACGACGATCTTTTTGGAGTAGGCCGGTGCTTCTGTGACGTGTGTTCCCGACGACTCTCTACCTGTCGAGTTGCTCATGACTGTGCTGACGGTGCCTTCGCTAGACCGCGTGTTGCGCTCACGACTGCTGCGGTCGCTGGTCGGCCTGCGCTGGATACCAACATCGTGCTTCTCATTGCCGCCGAAGTAAGAGGTGCGATTTTGATTGTGGTTCTGGTTCTGGTAGTACGCCATGGTGGACGGCAAACAGTGATGCTCAAATGACAAACAAAAGACTGGCTTGTAGCCTATGCGTAGGTCTGCTGATCCAACAGAGCAGTTCGTAGGGGGAGTGTGGCTGATTGCTGAGATATGGCAGAATTAATTAGACTGATGTGTTCGGACGGGTGACTGAATTGAATTCCTTCCTGGACAAGTCGACCGGGCATTAAGTTAATTAATGGGAGGGAACAAGTCGATAGAGACGGGAAGCCCCAAGATGAATGGCGCAATGTTGTTTAAAGGCTGTCTCCAGGTCGCAACTGTGGACTTTGCTTGCTTTCCTGCATGAATGCTGTGTTCTGGTTGGCGGTGAACAATCATGCGCCTGCTTCAACGCGGTTGGCGGGGCAACACGATCGCAATCGGCAGCTTTTGCGGGACGTGGGCGTTGCCATGATCTCAGGCAAGCTAATAACCAGGCGCTATAAGGGCGCCCCCGCGCTGATTGGATGCCTTGGCCAGTGCCCTGGCAGCTCCCGCCAACCCCACCGATACATGGCTTTTCAGCTTCCAAGGTTTCAAGGTTCCAAACAGCGCTTTAGCACACCTGCCACTTCTTTTCTTGGCTCTAGACTAGCCCATCGAGACCACTGGAAGATCCTGACCAAGCCTGACCAGACCTGACCCCATTCAGCGAACCTTGATTTTGAGCCCCCCCAAACCTGAACCCAGCTGAACCGTGCTGTTCGGTGCTGTCATTCTCACCCTGCGGCCCTGCGGAACCCATTGGACGCATTACGCACAGCGGACCCTCCCCCAGCTGGCAGACTGGAGCTCAAGCTCAACGAAAAATCTGTGCCCGTCAAAAAGCGCGACCCGCGTCTTTGTCCAACCTTCACCACCTGACCTTCAACACCAACGTGCCACATCAACATGGCAGATTTCGCTCCTTCCAAGTACATCACTCTCGTCTCGGCCGACGAGTTCGAGTTTGTTGTGCTACGAGAGGCAGCTACCATCAGCCCCATGATCAAGAGCATGTTGGAGATACGGGGTAAGGACTGATCCCGTGCCTTACCCTCAATTCGATGCTGAGTGTATGTCTCCAGGTACTGGCAGTCTTGTGGAAGCCCAGACTGGACGTTGTGCCTTTCCCGAGATCAGGTGAGTTGACCATCTCTACTTCCATTACCACTCAGTCGCCCGACGATGAAATAGCTTTATTTCGCTCTGTTCTTACAGACAGACCCCAACCGTGGGTCTGAGTGACAGCCAACTACACTTGATCTGAGAACCCGCTGGTCGCCATACTTCTACTCGTCTAGTCGTTTTGTTCCTATGAACTAACCGCTGAACAGTGGCCAAGTGCTGGAGAAGGTAGTCGAGTACTTCCACTACTGGTACAAGAACCGGGACAGGGAAGACGTTCCCGATATGGATATCCCTGTCGAGCTCTGCCTGGAGCTCTTGATGGCGGCAGACTACCTGCAGCTTGACAGTAAGAACGACGCTCCATCCAAACAACACAAGATGTTGCATTGAAACTCCGCTCACACCTACTCAAGAGCCGACATGATCTAACGGATGTACGACTTCGATGTCCTGGCGTTTGAGGATTTGCTTTAGAAATATACACGGGGCCATACCAAGGGAAGGGATGTGATGCCATCGGACCAGGTCGAGCTGTTTCATCTGTTCGTCCAAGGCATTTCAATATCGTCCAAATAGACATGCATCTGTCTACTGTAAGTATTGCCACCTGATGCCACGTGATTTGTGCGTTGTCGCCTATATCTTCGGACTGCCTTGCACCATTCTAGCATATGCGCTCATCTCCTTGCTCTCCCATGGGATGTCCGTCTATATTGAATGGGAGAATACCATTTTATCCCCGACACTCTGCGTGGTCTGCTTTCTCTGTGGAGACCATGCTTTTATTCAAGGGAGACATACTTTTCGATGCTCACTGAACTCTGCAAGATGACTTCCTCCCCAACCCTCTTTCACGTAGTGTATAGCAATATCTATGAGATGAATGCGAAATCATGCGAGCACAGCGTGCTCCTCGGGTTCAGGTTATCTTTGGCGTGCTCAAATGTGGCTCCTTTGTCCCTCGTCATTAAGCAAATGGACCGGCGCACGTGTCATATCATAGTCGTAAGACCGATTTAATTACCAGACAGAATTTGTTAAAAGTGATCACACGAGCATGGTTGCGCTGTTACGTCCGGGCTACCTTCTTCAGTCCACACATCACACCCCTCGAAACAAAGACACTCAAGTCAGGCCATTCCCATATTCATGCTTCTGCTGGCGCATCGTCCTTGGACAAATCCCAGCTGTGTTCTTTCGGTGATTGGTAGACATTGTGGCGGCTTGGACTAACTGAAAACGAACACAAACTTTTACCGCTTCAGGCTAGTTCTCTTGCTTATCAACATCTGTTCGGACACGCATCGAAACTCATCCTCGGATCCACATTCATCAACTCATCGCGGGACCCTAGGATGTCGCGCGATTCGATTACAGGTGGAGCTGCCGACCCGCAAGCCGGGTCTTCTTCTCAAGTTCAATCGGCAGCAGTTAGTAAACGGCTTGCCGTGTTGCCGGAGGAGTTGCTTCTTCAGATCTTCCAGGCCGTAGGCCAAAGCTCGCGCCGTGATCTTTGTGCCGTCTCTCTCGTCAACAAGAGCTGGCACGAGCTCGCCGACGCCACCCTCTACAAGAGCATCCGCTTCGACAACCCGGAGCAGCACTTAGTCTTCAGTACATCCCTGAGCCGTCGCATGCGACGTGGCTCTGCTATCCAGGATATTAGTCTTGAATACCCCACGCATGAGCTCTCGCACCTGAGACTTGACGGCCACATCCATGGCTCTCACTATGCGCCAGATCGCTTCGAGGCGTTGTCGAGAACGATCAGCACCATGAGCAACCTCGAGACCTTGGAGGTGTCGGTGCCGGTCACTATGCTCCATGGCATCGGCGCGCTGTTCAACGGACCGTTTGACCTGGCCTGCTTGAAGACCTGCACCCTGTTCTACCAGTGCCCGGACGACGCGTATTGGGATCTGCGGGAGAACATCCACATCTTTGCCCACCCTACGCTGGAGACCCTCACCATCAGACGCGCGAAGCTGGACTATCGCGGCTTTGACTTTATCGAACGCCCGCACGAGACAACGCTGCAGAAGCTGCACCTCATCGAGTGTGACATCAGCGATGACGCCTTGTCGGATGTCCTGGAGTTCCCGGAAGGGCTGCGGGAGTTCGTCATGACGCAAGCCGCGGAGCCTGCCCCCGAGCTGGAGGAGAGCTCAGACAACTTCAGCGATTACATCATGGCGCTGAAATCCCAGGCTCACTCCATGGAGTCCATCACCATCGACCACCCGACCCTCACTGGTCGAAAGCCCTTGCGCATGAGGAACTACGAGGTGCTGAGTTCGCTCCGCATGAATTGGGATTACCAGCTATTCGGCAAGTCGTCCAAGAAGCCGCGCCTGCACACGGTGGGCCTGCCGCCCCAGCTGGAGGTGCTGGAGTTCTTCAACGAGCTTGGCACGGACGGGGAGGTCACCGAGTTGTTGGAGTACACCCTGCAGGTTGCCAACGTCACGAACAGCAAGCTAAAGACCATGGTCGTTGTTCCGGGCGACAATGGTGTGCCGAAGGAGGTTGCTGCTGCTTGCAAGATGGGAGGCGTTCGGTTGGATATCATTGGCGCTTTTCCGGACTCGGAAGATGAGGGCGATCTGGATAGCGCGGGAGATTCATCCTGAAAGGAGGGTGTGGAGTAAAGTATGCATATATATATATAAGAAGTAGAAAACAGCACTGCCTCGTTCATTGTGGCCATGGCGCTATGGATTAGAGGCGGCGATGATTGGATTCCCGGAGATGATAGAGAGATGATTATTACCCAAGACCGAGAAGATACAGAGAAACCTAGATGGTAGATTTTTGTTTAAGTTTTTAAATGCTAGAGGTTCGTCAAACTATTGCAGACACATCCACGCTGTAACCTGAATGCTGACCATCACTGGTAATATTGAGGTAATTTATCGACCACGTCATGCTGTCGTGTACTAATAGGCACCCCATGCATTCAATCCCCTGCGTCTTTGCCATTTCACATGATGTTTGTAGAGGTTCAATGACAGTCTCGCGTAATAAAATATTCGTAGTCTTCGCTTACCCGACAATGATGTATTTGCTCGAAAGGTTTCCCAGAGACTGTTGAGGTACGTAACGAATCAATGGCTAGCGGTGAGTCTGAAGTTTGCGATAAGCAAGTCGTGGCATTACTGACTACCTTTGTACAGAGTTGATAATCCACCTCTCGCCGAACTGTACCCCTATATATCTAGTCGCAAACCTCACCTTATTAGCCTCTTCCACGCCCTCTTCCTCTTCCCCGTCCCCGTCCGAAGCCACCGCCACGACCTCCGCCTCTACCGCCACCCCGAAATCCTCCACTACGATTGTTGGCTCTGGGCTCTTCCGGGGGTGGGCCTTGTGCTTTGCGCGCGGCTCTGTCCTCAGGCGTCGCGTCCCATATGTTCTTCAGTCCTAGGAGCTCGCAGAAGGCAGCAGTCTGTGGGCTGGTGTATTCCTCTGGCTGCTCGTTTGCTGACTCAGGATCGCCGGGGTTATGGGGCGGGGCTGTTGTCTCAAAATTCAGCGGTACTGCGAGTTTATCCTTGGCGACAACATTTTCCTCGACCCAGACGCGCTCCTTGTCAATCATTTCGACATAGGCAGCCTCGCCCTCATTGGTCGGTGTCTTCGCATTGCGATCCCCTACACTGAGAAAGTTGTGGAAGACGCGAGTTATTGCTAACCATTCGGGATCATACTGTAGAGAGTGATCTGGTGCCGTTACAGGGTCAACTGATGTAACAGGCTTGATGTACGAGAGCTGGATGAATTTACGTCCAGGCAAGCACTTGTCGAGCGCCAGAAATCGTGTTTCCGTATTGAAGATGGTAGGGGGTACTGGCTGACCCGGTATTCCACGAGGTTTCTCTGCTGGTTTTGCGAAAGAAGCAGGAAGCTGAGCACGCAACTCGTCGGAGATGGCATTTGAATTGCTCACAGATTCTGAATCAGGAAGTGCAGCAGGTGTCTCGTCGTCATCCGCATCGAGATCGATCTCATCCGGATTATCGGCCTTTTTTGATTGTGTTGAGGGAGCAAACTCTTGTGGGGCAAGCTTTGATGCATCATCCGCAATTGTAGATGCAGGAGCCGTTGCTTCGTACTTCTTGATTACCGAGAACTTGCAGTGTAGATGCGCAGAGAACCAATATGCTGGGCGTAATCGGTCCATGACATAGGCCGCTGCTGGGTTACCAAGGGTTCCGTCTTTGCTTTCCTGTCGAAAATCGGGTTTCATCCTCCATAAGGCCTTTTCATCCCCAGACTTTTCAACGGCTCTGGGCCAGTCGTGGCTAAGGCCCACGTCGACCTGCTCACGGAGGAGCAGCAATTTCCGCACATCAAACTCGCGAATATGATAGAAACCCTTAATGTCATCTTGATTGAAAGGTAACCGCTCGATGTGTGGTTTGTTATAGTCAAAGCCCTTCCAAATGCCACTCATGCCAGCTATGCGGATGGGCCCAAAGCGAAGAACATTGGCGAATCCTAGATAATAGATGTTTGGTGCGACCCAGCCACCATAGTAAAGCTCCCATAGATGTGAGCTGGCCTCATGATTGCCTCCAATAAATATTGTAAGGATTGGCGCTGTAACGCGTCCACTGTAGTATTCTGGAAAGTCGCCAAGTTCACGATATTTAGCAGGCACTGACATGACAGTGAGGTCTGCTGCGTTGCGGACTGCTTGGAAGTCACCTCCAATGATCAGGAGGTCAACACCACTCCAGCCTCTGATGCGAGCAGCATTTTGCACTGTCGCATAGATTGAATGCAGAGTTCCATGGCCCTGAGAATAGTCAGTTCAGGTTGTCTTAACATGTTCATTGTTTGATGCGGGCGACAGTGGACAAGGCAGATTTTGCTGGGTGCCGGGGTGGCTTTCTGTTTCAGCAAGTTGAAGAGCGCTAACTTGTGCTATCATAGCACTGTGAGCGCCTAATCTGCCCGTTAAGCTACCATCTGATTGGGGTGCGGATGAAATAACTTACACAGCCTTCGATGGCGACTCTCACACCACCTGTCTCAATAAGGGAGGGATCTTGACTCTGCATGTTGCTGTGCAGAAAGACGGATTAAGCTGACACCTGCTTTCGAGTTCAGCACTACTATTGGTTTATGGGGAATATGTTGTAGTGAAGAGGGAGTCAGACCGGGCTGTCCTCAAAATGATCTGTGCACGCGCTTCTCCAGCTGGTGCAAAGCTTGTTGCCAACTCACAGCTGCCCCTGGAAACTGTCAACGCTTTTGAGGTTTGCTGCTTTCATTTCTTCCTCTTTTTCTCTCTTTCTTTTTCCAACAGTCGGTAGGCCAAACAGTAAAACTGTACAATGCAATTATCATCAGACGCTGAAAACCATATATAATTTCTGTACATTGAGAGATTTTCACATTACTCTACGTGCAGAAGTTCTCCTCTCCGTTGACCCTTTTGCAAGGACAGCAAAAACACACACTTGCATACATATCATTTAGTCCTTGACAGGCGCCTGCGACCCTGATAACTTTGATAAAAAAAAAATTTTCAGGTTCCCTGCGATACCGAATCATGCAACTTCTCCACCTACAGCGATTGGATTGTCGGCAAAGTTCTTTAGGTTGTTCTGTTTGTATCGTTGAGCTGCACCAGCGGCGCTTCATATAGAACTTCCTTGGGGTATACGCCTTTCCCGGGTTCATTCTGGAAAAAAGATCCTGGAAGCTCGAAAGCAGGATCAAGACGCTTGAGATGATTCAAGGTGTCCCTAATCACATCATATCCAAAGTTGTAGTCGAAGAACTCTTCGGGCGTTTCTGTAGGCTTAAAGTTAGCCTCTCATTGGAAGCACTGGCATTTGTGAATATACTGACTAGGGACTTCTTCCAGTGGTATGTATTTTGATGCTTCCATCTGGATCAGCTCCGGCTCGTCCTGTCCAGCGTTGCTAAATACTTGCGCCAAGCTCGCACGGTTGCGTCTGATTTGCTCATATAGCCGAAGTCTTGTCTGGACGTGTTGCTTCTCTGCGCCACAGAAAGCGAGACCAAGAACTACGCTGTCCTCGATACCTTGTGCGCCACCCTGCCCTTGGTCTGCTATTGTTAGATATCTGCGAAGCTTGGTCTGAATGGTTCTACTTACGGGGCAACATCGGGTGGCAAGCATCACCAGCTAGTCCTAGTCTACCTTTCGTCCATGTTGGAAGAGGTTCCCTATAAAGAAGAGCCCATTGCTTGACGTCGGTGGCCTTGTCGATAACGGCTTTGAGCTTCGGGTGTAGATCAGAAAACCTCTCCATCAACGTGGATTTATCAACCGAAGCCTGCCAGTCTAGTATTTTGGTAAGCAATTAGGAAATCAACGACCTTAGAATTAGAACATCAATACCTTCTTCCTTCATCATGCTCAAATCGTCCTGGTGGAATAGACCGATGAAGTTGTGAATCTCGTTACTAACTGTATTAGACTTTCCTCCCAATAATAGCGTCGAACACTTACTTTCGACATGGATACGACACAAGTCGTTTCATATCGCTCACGAAGAACTTCATCTGCCCGTCATCATTCAGATTCCAGAATCGGGTCTCTGGATCTTTCTCGATATCTGCGGCGGATATGAGAAAACGGTAGCAGAAGTTGTACAGGTCTTTCGAAGGCACAGGCTCATTGACCCTGCCCAAAATGGCTTCAACTGCTGTGCTGTGAATACCATCTGCGCCTATCACGACGTCGGATCTAACAATAGACCCGTCGCTCAAGGTGATGGATGGCCCCTCAGTATCCTGTGATGCACTGTCAATCCCTACTCACCCAGTGATGAATTTATAAGTTGAGATGCATACATATCCAACCACCTTGGACTTCAAATGGATAGTCGCTGGTAAGCCCACCCCATCGCTTCCCATGGCCAACCTCTTCAGTTCATCATGGAAATCGACCCTGTGCACAAAGAACCACGGAGCCCCGTAAGCATGTGGGATCGACGACTCCGTAGTTCCGACGTGGAACTTCTCGAGCGTGCTCGCTTTGGCACGGAAACTCGCCTTTACCTTGACCATCTTCGCTCGAGTAGGATCCAGCCCCCATGCCAGCAGGGCACGAGTTGCGTTGGGCGGGATGTGCATCGCAGCACCGACCTCGTTGTTCAATGCCGACCGCTCGTATATATGGACGACGTGGCCGGCCCGGCGGAGGGCAAGTGCGGTCGCGAGGCCCGCTATGCCCCCGCCCACAATCGTTACACGCAACGGGTCTTGGACCGGCATGGCGAGTATACGTTTGCTTGATGTGTCACGGAACTATTGTTCTCCTCGAGCAGCCGTCTACAAAACGCGCGGGGATGTTCATGTACTGTGACGACTTAGGCACGATTGGGTTATTTGGGCGATAGGCAACATGAACAAGTGGGAGTGGCACGATGCGGTGGAAGTAGCAGGTCAGTCCGAGCCAAGATCGGTCTTTTTCGGCGCGCAATCCGGCAACCTCACGAGAATGGACACGTACACAAAACACAATTACCCCTGCTGCGGATGCGGTAATGCGAGGAGTTTCACTCATAGATAGAGTCGGAATGGAGAGCGGAACGTTGGATGTGGATACGGTAAGTAACCCCGAGTGACCCCAACGGACGACCGTCGCCCAGATCTTCAGGGGCCATGGTGGTAAGTCGCAGATCATCACGTAAAACTTCAACGTATAGCGTTAGCGTCAGGCATAACTACAACTTCAACGTGTATAGACATGTAGCATAGCAGCGCCTATATTTCGGTCTGTTGCCCTTTTTCATCGGGGTATGTAACATCGCAGACTCAAACCAGAATTCCATGGTAACGCGTCGGCCCGCTAGTGGTTGATGGTAGACGATCGAGTGGTTGTTCGGCGCCATTAATTATATGTCGAGATGAATAATGCTTGTGATGTCGATAGTGTTTGTAAGAGGCAAATAAGACTATTTATTCAGACACATCATTTCGAGAGGTGCTTTTACGCCTTAGCTGGTTTCTCCAGCCGAGTTTCTGGAATTAGCACAAACGTTGAACATCCAAACGCCATTGATTAATCACCCAAATCTACCCAGGTATCTATGCTCTGAAACTCATGCTCATACTTCTTCGTCGTGCCACCCGGTAAACGTGGTAATCATGAAGTGCCGTTGGCAATGGCGTCCTGGTGATCCTGCTCATATCCCTCAGTCTTCATGTCTTTCAGGCCAAGGTCCTCTTCCTCCTCATCAGTTCTCTGGTAGTCCTCAGTAGTCATTTGAGGATCTTCCTGGTCGGGATCCACCAATTTCTGTACGTAACTCGATGCAAGAGGATCTGTCAGCACGATAGTGAATTTCCTGTCGCCTGCAATGGCAGCGTCCAACCCCTCAAAGAACTCGGTCCACCTTGTCTTCTCGGGCGAAGCCAAAGAATCACCACCATCTCCTGTCTGGAAGATTTGATTGTGTAAGTCGTTTCGAACTTGGGTGAGAAGACCTTCGACAGTGGTAAAGCGGCCACCGAGAGTACCAGGGTTCACCTGCAGACTGAGCTCCGGGCATTCAAGGGCGCAGCTCTCGCTCTTGAGAATATCACGTGCCAAGTCAATGTTTGATTCAACCTTCAAGGTGATCTTCTTTCCCAAGGCAGGGATCTCTCCTCCGGTCTTGACGTCGTTGGATCGGTAGCCGCACTCGTCGCACACAGTCGACATGAGAACGACGGACTTGAAGTGAGGAATATCGACCATCTTCATGTTTGTCGTGCAAGGGTGCATGCAGCCAGGACATGTGGCAGGGAAGGCGTATACCTGGTCGGGGATGATGTCCTCTTCAGGGGTTGTCTGGGTAGCATCAATGACGGATTCGACGTGCCCAAGACCGAGAGCTTCGTTTTGGTCAGGTGTCCGGATGTAGTCTCGCTTAGCCCACTTTCCAACGCCGTCTTTCATATCAGGAGAGATCCATGAGTTGCCGGCGGGATCATCCATGGAGACTCTGAAAGGAAACGATTCTCCCAGAAGCATCGATCGCCCCTTAGCAATAATCTCTGCCACCTTGGGATAGATTTCGGGCAGCTGCTCCTTACGCGCCTCTTGTCCGAGGTCGAGGTCGTCAATGATGGTCCTGAGAAGGCCCTCTACGTTTGTAAGCTGGCCGCGACCGGCGGGCACCTCGACGTCGAGCTCGATGAACTTGACGACCGCCGAATCGGACTTGACAACCGTACGTTGGAAGTCGTCGTTACTGGTGAGGCGGAGTTCGTATCGCGCACCCTTGGGTTGGATGATACCGGCTGATTGGATCTCGGAGTTAGAGAAACCGCACTTGTCGCAAGAGAAAGACATGACGATGACTTCGCGGAAGTAGGGAATCATAGTGAGCATCATTCTGGTGGTGCCCTGTGAGTTGAAGCGGAATATCAGTACTGCCTTCTGTTCACACCGCAACCGTCCTGGGTTCTGAGGGAGGAAGACATACATTCTCGTGGCAGTTCATGCACAACGACTCGATTTGTTCGACGGCCTTGGGCTCATCATCCTGGCCGCCATCATCGTTTGCGTTGCCGAGCAGGTTAGCCTTTTTGCCGATGGATTCGAAAAACTCAGGGGCAGATGCGCCCTCTATGGAAACGTTGTTCTCGGGAGCGGACATGTCTGTGAAAGTTCTCTTCATTGAGGTTGTCGCAGAAGAAAGCGGCGTGTTTGGTGGTTATTATAAATCTTATCACCTTTTGCTTGAACCTGACCTATGCTAAAAAATTTGGAGGGGCAAATGGAGGGGTCAAATTTGGGCCAGTCAGCCAGCTGGGCTGAACGCATTAACCGCAGCGGGGTTGTCACTTATTGGCTTATGACATCGTCGCTGCAGTCTCAGTCTGGTCCTGGCGCTGGCGCTGGCACGATCGGGTGGGCGGTTAGAATAGTTTGTTCCAGAATATTCTCGCGACTAGTCTAATCAAAACTTGAGCTTGGGCGCTGATTTATCATATGGATCGTGTTATTGATGCCGCGGGAACCGGACGTCCATGTGGCCATTTTTTGGACTATAGCCGTTGGATTTGCATCATGTTCTCTTCTTCTGAGCGCAGTCGGTCTGAGTCATTCCCGATAGCCTACTTCTTCATGAAATCCGTTAGGCTCAAACCGAGGCCTGACTTGGTCGTCGAGGCTTGGGATTGCTGGAGTAGCGCCTGAAGCCCTTGCTTTCGATTCTTGGCTCTCTTCTTGCTGTTTGCATTCACCGATGCCTTGGCCGGCTCTGGCGCAGAAATCAGGGGTGGAGGGCGAACAGCTGGTGACGGTGGTCCGGCCTGGTTCCGACTTCTCAGGCGACGAGCATTCTGTTTAAGTTTGTTACGACTGCGACTGACACTAGGCGGTGACAGGAAGCTAATATTGGTATATTGCCCACAGTTTCCACATGTCAAGACTTTGTGCTTCGTGGTTTCCGATGGCCGGGGCTGCTTTTTGGCACCCTTTCGGTTGTTGTGCTTGCGAGATGCCTTCTCGCCTTCTAGTTTGATGAGGCTGCCTCGGCCAGGAATCATAATGTGCCCACATGAGCCACATACATGCTGTCGCTGAGTCTCTGACTGCTCTAGGTTGTTGTGGAACATCAAGGCATTGCGCTGGGACATAAGGTGTGCCGATGTCTCTGGAGCTACTTGCGCAAGTAGATGAGCAGCATCAGTCATAAAGCTGAGACTCGCTGTGAGAGTCTCATTAGCAGCCATTTTGAATGTGCATAGAAGACAGTTGCCAGCACTACATTCATGCGAGCTGAACGACACGTGCAGGTCAAGACAAATATAATACCACAATTAGCAGCACTAATCAACAAAGTGAATGAACTCTCGGGGTTCTAAGTAATTTTCGCATTACTGGTCCGTGCTCATATCCACAAAGTTAACCTAAAAGAATCAACGATCTTAACCATTGAACCCTTTCGAGGGACAATTTGATGAGTCGCCAGGATTTTCCCCATCATCTGGAAAATAGGGGACTAGTTAGTTCAGAGCCTTTCTTCAGGACCAAGAAAATCATGAGCTGGGAAACAAAGTATGTCCTTGACTGCGACAAACGTTTTGTGTCAATGTACAGAGTACGACAAGCCAAGACTTCAACATAACTCTGCTTGAGCGACCATGCGACCTTGGCAGTTCTACAACTGCCATGATCCCAACTTTCCAGCGTAGAAGAACCCTGCGGTGACGTTACGACTGCTAGCAGTAAAGCGCTATCCTGCATGGAGACATGAGGCTGAATGCCAAGTCTTGCGAGCATTCCAGCTCACCTGCTACTCCTACATTTCCCGTAATCTTTGGAGTAAGCTTGGTAAAACTTTGAAGGTCAGAAGACTTACCATGAAAAATCTTAATGAAGCATGAGGAGCTGCGCATAGTGCCATATCAATTATCATGGGTATATATCATCCATAACCTCTCCATTTCGACCGATGACAGTCGCTACTACGTATGTGGCTCCATACGACACGGCAGCTATTCATCTATTTTATTTTTATTTTTATAGCTATCATCTGCCTCCGTGCGAGCCACTAACCTTGAGTATGGGTGTCAGCTTATGTCTCAGCTACCAGTGGCTTCACTGGACGCGACCCAGTGGTCCACCTTCCGGTTTACCTGATGGCATTGAGCGAACTTTTGTGTCAACGCCTGGTGGACGGATTGAGTTGCTCTCCGCGAAGCCCTTGAAACCTACATTGACAACTCCCGTATTTTTTGCCCATGGTGGCATGGGTTCTGCATGGGTTTGGATTCCATATATGAGTTATCTCAAAGAGCATGGCGTCACCTCATACGCTGTGTCGACACGCGGTCATGGCGAAAGCTGGCATCCGACTTTCTTTCGCATGTTATACGCCACGACCAAGCGCATGCTTAGCGACGATCTGGTGGCGGGAATTAAAGCAGTGGAGGAGAAAGAGGGTAGCGAAGTGGTTCTCGTTGGACATTCCAGTGGCGGTGGTTTGAGTCAATTCATCGTCAACCAAGGCGATGTCAAGGTCAAGGCTCTTGGTCTACTCGACGCGTAAGCGAGTTTCGGATTTACTTTCTACTATTCCCAGCATGTCCGTGAAGCGTATACTGCCTCCTAAAGGTATTGAGTTCTCTATGAATGCTTCACAATACTCCCGAAGACCCCTCTCCCAAAGAAAAACCCCCCATCATGAAGAAGCTATCACTGACTCCAAGTGCTGTAGTGTGCCAGGTACAGGATCGTAAGTATTATCTAGACCTCATCTGCTCGACGGTATATTGACCAGACCCAGGTATCGCGTCTACTACAACTGGGCATGCTTTGATCCGTGGTTCACCATCCGCTTGATATTTCATGGCTGGCATCCCAATTCCCCCCTTTCGCATCCTTCCCTCACAAGGCAGGCCTTTTTTAGCGATGAGTTGCCAGTGACAGAGCTCGTCGAATTCCAACGTCACTGCAATCGCTATGAGAGCTTTCTTTGGCCTCTCGGCATGTTGTACCCGTTCATCGATGCCAAGAGGGTTCTCATTAATATTATAAACTGGAGAAACGGTGGTGACAGAATCTTTATTATGGCCGGCGCAGCTGATAAGTTGATGACGGGCGAAGTGCAAAGGAAAGCGGCTCAAACATACCGCGAAGCTTTTACGAACATGGTGAACGAAAAGAAGATTGATGTCACAGTAAAGGAAATTAAGAAGCTGGAAGGTGAAGGAGAAATGGATGATTCTGGCCACGGTGTAACCCTTGCTTTCGTACCAGGCGCAGGGCACCACGTGCAGAACGATGTTCAATGGAGAGTCGGGGCCAAGAAGATGCTAACTTTCTTGCAGCAGCTCTAGTATTCGACGGAGACAGAAAACAAGCAGTCTTGACTCATCCTCAACTGATCCTCAACTTATCCTCAACTCATCCTCAACCCAAGAATCACAGATTGCAAACTCCAATTCAGACCTTAGGCGTACAATAATCTAATTATAAACAGCACAACTCAATCAAGTCCCCTCAAGAACCATTACAGTCTTTACCAGTAAGAAGGCGCGCAAAGCGCTTGTTGAGGACATTTCTGAATATCCAAACTATTAGCAGCACTAGTGCTCACTATGTATTCATGCCTCGGTTATCAACTTGGCGTTACCGCTTACCTAGATAAGGTACCACTAATATTCAGCGCCTACCGATATTTCTCTCAAATACTCGACAAAGATCGGTTTGCCATGTTCTATATTCAAGCTTCTTATTGGATTGCGGGATTCTACCAACAAGGTGTGCACCGTGGCATTGGTATAACCAAGATCCTGCTTAAATATCCACAGTTGGGTATAGTGTACAGTTTTCAATTGCCTATTTTCATGACGACAGTGTTTCGTTGATGTCACTTTTTGTTAGGTTATATTTATGCTCTCAAGATGTGCGAAACTCTAGCTGCTCTTGACCACGAAGGCGCTCCGCCCCTGCTAAAAATCCGTCTTCCACTTCCTCACCGACTGGACTGCTTCCTAAAACTTTGGATATTCAAATTTCTTGTATTCATCGTTTTCGCAGTCGATAGATTGCTACATCCAGCACCGCCGTCCCTACGTCCTACTCTCATAAAGCGCTATCCATGTCGTCCAGCTCTCCACACTCGGGTTTTCTACCCACCAGTCTATAAATCAGGGGCCTTGTTGCCGTTGTACCTAAATATCCATGGCGGCGGGTTTGCACTCTGCGACCCCCAGCACGATGACGAGTTCTGCGTCATGTGGGCAAAGCGTACCGGTATGCTGGTCGTTTCCCTCGACTACTCCAAAGCGCCGCTACATCCCTTTCCCGTCGCAGTCTTCGACGTAGGTGCTCTTGCTGGCGCTGTTATTGCCGATGCCAGTCTACCCATCGATAAGACTAGAGTCTCAATGGGAGGATTCAGCGCAGGCGGCAATCTTGCCCTCTGTGCGAGCCAACTGGCGGGACTGAAGGGCACTATCAAGGCCGCGTTGACATTCTACCCAATCGTGGATTGGAGCCATACTCAACAAGAGAAACTAGACGGACGACCTTATACGGACGGGCCGAAAGACTCGCTGGAGGCTTCCAGCTACTGGTTTGACTGGGCATATGTCTCGTCTGGCCAGAATCGTCGCGACCCTTTGCTTAGTCCGTGCTATGCGAGGGGAGAGGATCTTCCACCTTGGATTTACGTCATCGGAGCGGAGTGGGACATGTTGAGGCTGGAGAGTCAGGAGATGATTCACAATCTTGCGGGGCTCGGTACAAAGAATAACGACGAAGATTTTGAACAAGGTCGGTACAAATGGACACTAGCTAGGGGGTGCTCTCATGGGTTCACTCATCACTTTGGGCAGAAGCCGGAGAATAAAAGGAAGAGGATGGAGAAGTGCGAGCCCATCTACGAACAGGCCAGTGCGTGGTTGGCGAAAGCGTTAGAATCGAGAACACCATCAGCATGTCGATGAGAAGACAAGAATTACTTGCTAGTTCTTGTACAATTAATTGCACTGCGTAGTGTCACTTCCATGTGCGTCATAAGCTTGCGTTATGGAGTGAAACGGACGGTCCTGAATTGCGCAGTATGTACTTCACGATGTATAGTGCGTAAGTTTGGATCAAGAAGCAGCTTATCTCCTACTGCAAGTCTTGAACGTCAATTAACACATGGCTCAGAAGAAGCTAAACGAAAAAGGGGCGGGGGAATACCACCGTTTTTGTTGTTGGGGAGGATGTGTAAAATGCTCATATACCCTCTAACCAAGTCCGAAACCCACAACCATGTGACGGAGATGGAGATTGACGGATGATAAGAACCTCCACAGGGGTTCTAAAAGCCATCATATTGTCCTTCATAAGATTTTGTGGTATGCCTTTAGACTTTCTCGACGATCTTCCGATTCAAGCAAAACCAAGCGCCATGTCGGTAAACAACAGTTCACAGAACCAGCCCATCAGTTCTAAGTACCAAGAGTGGCTGACAACGGAATATGAATTTTGGCACGACCACAAAGTGAAAGAGCCTGTACCTGAAAATGGCGGACCACGGCATTTCCCTCTTTCCGATTATAAGCAGGAGGAGATGGACTTAATGGAGTATGATTTCGCTTCGCCCAGCGATATTCCTCAGGCTACCTGTGGTATTTGCCGGGACTTTCGGCCTAAATCCACATTCACCTGCCTCCCATGCGGACATAGATTCTACTACAAATGTCTGAAAAAGTGGCTCAATGACCCCCATTTCAATAAACTCTGCCCAATGTGTCGGAGAATAGGGCCTGAATATGCCTGCGGCCATGATATTCATGGTCAAATAAGAGCTGGCAACATGATCACGGCCGATTCGGTGAAGGGTAAATGTTACGAGGCGTGCCCGGGTAAATTCAATATCAATGATATTAACAGATGGATCAACCAAGAACGGCAGCCGCCAATACAAATTGTGTTGTGGCTCGCCGGGGAAGCAAGGCATCCACCAGAAGTGCTTGAGTGGGCTCGACAATCGACGAATGGTATAAACAACATCAGGCTGCTGAAGGATAACGAGGAGCCTAACGAGGAAAAGTTCATCGTGTGGTTCGTGGAGGAAATCATGGAAGTGGCTATTAAGCCTATCTGGCCTGTTTGGCTGGTTGAAGCAGGCAATTTACGGTCCTTGGGGTTCGTCCGAAGGAACCACCGTGCTACCCAGGGGCTCGTTAGGCATTTCGAACATATATACCCAGCACGTGCGGGGGCATATCCTGGACTGAAGGGACGGGAATGGATCCGACGGGATATCGACAAGGGGAACCACATAGCAAGAGGGGAGATTCTAGTAGGGCCTCTCATGAATCCCTCCATGTGGGCTGTGCGACGGTTGCACATCGTAGACCTAAGACGCGAAATGGTCGCATACGGAGAAGCGACGAACCACAAAGCAGCAGATTGCGCGGCAGAGAAGCTCATCAAAAGAGCGCAGCAACTGGGATCAGTTGTTATGGATCAAGAATCAAACTACCTGCGGCGCCTAGCTGAGAACGAGAGCATGGCACCACGAATATTGGATGACGAAAAAACCACTGGCTCCAATGATACCGCCGCTTTACTGCCAATGTTACAATCGGATATCGAACAAGCCGAGAAGGACAGAGAAGCGTGTTGGAAGGAGTATAGTTCTGCTTTTAAAAAGATGTTGTGTCTTGAAAAAGAATTGGACCAGCATAGGGGCAAGTACCATCCCTCGCGGCTCATGGCACCCAGAAATGCGTACCTAGACCCTATCATGACCGAAAGGGCCTTGGTGTTTCGTGAGACTGCAGATGACACCCTAGACAAGATTATCAAAGAGATTGACTGCTGGCTCGACGCTATAGAAGAACACTATCCAAAGCTGTTATCAATGATTCGGACAAACTAGGATGATGCGATTTGACGGCCCAGCTTCAAGATGTTTCGCATATGACCGGGCGTCGGTTGATAAGGAATTATTCACGTTGATGAAGAGCAGTGAGTCTTTAACAAGCCATGTCAATCTGGACGATTAGAACGTTTGTAATAGTTTGCATGAGCATCTGAGGTTTATCCGAAAGGGTTCAGGTACATGTACCAATGTCTTGGAATTACCAGCGTACAAATATGTCCTTCGGTCACAATATAGAAATATGAACCTAGCCAGAATTTATATCATGTAACGTTTTACACTGGAGTACCGAAGTCCGATGGTAAATTTTCCTCCTCCTCATTATCGTACTTAGGCATCAAGTTTCTGGTACTCCGGCCACCTGAAATTGTCGTGTTGGCTTTCGACATCAGGGAACTTGTTAGCCAACCACCTAAATCCTGCAGCTTTAGACAGTGCCCATCCTATGCTTTGGTATAACCATCGCGTCCATGCCGCCTCAGGATGCGCGATGCCCGGAACAAAAAATGGAATTTTCTGCGAATCTGCAACAAACGGACGAAGTTTGGTTTCGTAAGTCTGGAGTGCCTTCGCGGGAGATTCACCTTCTCCGAGACTGCTCAGTTCGCCTGCAAGCACATAGGCCCCGATCATAGCTAATGACGTTCCCATCCCGGTGAGCGGCGACGGTGCATATGCTGTATCTCCCAGGCAGACGACACGTCCGTTCGACCATCTGGACATCTGTATTTGTTCGATGACATGGAAGTAGAAGTCGGGTGCCTGATCTATAGCGTCTAGGAGTCTCTGCGCTTGCCATCCGGCGTCAGCAAATTCCCCTTTCAAGAGCTCTATCTGGGAGAGTCTGCCGCTCTTGGATGCGGCCAGCCAAACATTCTCCTGGGCATCATTACGGGGCATACGGGTAAACATTGCTCTGATGCTGCCATGGGGGTCAGGCCGAAGGCTAATCGTCCTGGATTCAAGCCCCAAAAAGATGTTCCACCAGTCATTGTCACTGGGTATGCGTGGGATCGTATAGTAGGCGCTGTACATGCCCAAATGGACAATGTGAACATCCGCCGAATGGAAGCACTGCTTCCGCAGCTTAGACCATTGACCGTCCGCAGCGACTATGAGATCAAACTCGCGGACCTCTCCGTTGCTCAATTCGACCTTAGCAGCGGCCTCGTCGTTCGAAAGGACTTCCCTGACGGTGGTACCGAACAAGTAGTTTGCATTCGGATGGCCTTTTGTAGCTTCGTAGAGTAGCATGGCCAAGTCTCCACGAAGTATCTCGAACTCTGATGTGAAACTATTCAAGTAACCCTCCTTGACAGGAAAGCGTGCAAACGGCTGCCCCTTCGAATCAACAAACTGGGTACCCTCTTCTGTCGTATTGAACTGTCGAAGTTGCTCCATAAGCCCCATTTTTCTTATAATGGTGATGGCGTCGCCTTTCAGATCAACATTCTGCCCATGAGGAAGTAAAGACTGGCTCTTCTCGACAATTGTGACGTAAGAACCGGTGTTGGCTAGGAACCAGGCCAGTGTAGACCCAGCAATCCCGGCTCCACTGATTAAGACGCGCATAGTAAAAGATGTTGTAAGATTCAAGCTGGTTGTGAGCATGGAGTAAATATCAGGCTCCAAAGCGATGGATAATTTGATTGTCCTGAACGGTTGTCCATTGTGAATGAGAAACGAGTACGACAGTTGTTAAATAGCACCCAGCTAGCTTGTGATAAGGAAAAGAGACCTCGGGTTCGGATTACAAATTATGGCAGGCAACAACTGTCTTGATTGACCGGACCTGATAGAGAAGTCTGGTAATAAGGATTGGTGTTGATGAAGTCCGAGGTAGACGAGACACGTCCTTCGCAAGCAGGTTGTTGTTAGTGGATCAAGCCACTAGGTTAGGTGAGCTACCTACGGTTTGTACCCTGAGTTCGGGATCTTGCAGCTCGGGCGTCGTCGGCCCCGAGCAAAGCCATGAATCAGAACGCACCATTCATCTCAATGAAGAACGACTAAAAGTTACGAGAATGCAATCATGCTTTCCTCCCTCCGTACCATCTTGTAGGCCTGTCTACCTCGACGTATCATTCTGTGCAACATTGCAAAACGGCGCTATTTATTCATAAGTACACCATGGCGACCGTAACCACCGCTCCCAGCATCCCCAACAGGCCTACCTATTCATGCATACGCTGTGCTGATCGTAAAGTCAAGTACGTGGAGTACTAGTTATTTCATACCCGGCTGATAATGTCACATGAGTCAAAATAGTTCCAGCGTCAGCATGTATTAATTCATATCAACCTAATCTCAGCCCTATTTCTCAAAAACGAAACTAGAAGAATCCTTCATGTGGTTACTAATAATTTATTCAAAGATGTGATCGCAACATTCCTTGTGGTGCAGTAAGCAATTTCCAGAATCATTTCCTACCATTTGTAGCATGGTTTCAGAGCCGACAATGCCTATTATGGCACTTGATCTCTCTTTGACTGTTTCACATTACTACCAAAGCCCCTACGTATTCTAGAAGAACAGTTGCTGATCCCGAATGCTTCAGTGTGTTAGGCACAACGTTGATTGCATTTATAAGTCCTCAAAACCACCGCGAAATAGACACAAACGTGTCAAAGACCAAGCCCTGACGGATCGGCTTAAAGTTTATGAAGCCCTACTCCGAGAGAAAGGCATTGATCCGTGCAAACTGCCAGACACTCCCGACACTATACAACTTCAGAGATCCATACATGTCAACGTTACTGGTTTAGATGAGACCCGATTGGCCACTTGTTCCTCCGAAGAGGCAGAATTGAACCGAAATGTTCATGATGGGCGCGTAAACCAGGATCATGGGCAAGCCAAGATCATTGATAAGTGTGTAGAGCTCATTGGTATCTACGTGTTGTCACACTAAATTCGTCTCAGTATATTGTGGGAAAGGATGGTAGAAGAGGTGATTTCCTACGTTTCTTATCCGAGCAAATGTTGCAGCATGCATACTAACAACCCCGACAGCTTCCCGATCGCCAACATGCATGGGAGAACTTTTCGAATGATGTGAGCGATGCAGAAGAGTCCGAAAATGATTTCGGATTCGTTCTTGGCGGCAGACTCAAAGAATCTCATAGATCTCGCCATCCTTTGCCACAAGGCATACTTCAGTTATGGCAAATCTTCATCGAAAATGTCGATCCCCTAACCAAAGTCCTACACGTTCTCACACTACAGCCGACGATAGAGAAAGCTGCTAGCAATACAGAAGTTATACCGCGGAGCTTCGAAGCACTTTTGTTTGCCATCTACAGTGCGGCCATTATGTCACTGAATGATGATGAGTGCAACCAGAGACTACATGAGCGACGCAAGATCCTGTTATCGCGATATGTAACCGCCACCAAAAGGGCATTATCGCGAGCCAACTTTATGGGAAGTACAAATCTTGTCGTTCTTCAGGCTTTGGTTCTTCATCTCATTTCGACGAGAGAAATATATGAGCCTCGTGCTTTCTGGTCTCTGATGGGCGTGGCTGTTCGGGTAGCACAAGGCATGGGACTTGATCGAGACGGTACAACTCTGGGCTTGCCTCCCTTTGAAACCGAAATACGGCGAAGGATTTGGTGGCTACTTCAGACTCACGACTTTCGTGCTGCTGAGCTTTGTGGCATCGCCAAATTTCAAAGCCTTCAGTTTAGTGCCGAAAAAGCAAAATGGCCGACCAATATCAACGATGACCAGCTCCATCCTGGCATGCCCTCACTCGTTTCCGATACAAATACCATCACAGATGCTTTATTTGTGTGCTTGAAATGCGAGTTTGTTGATTTCATTGGAAGACGCATTGATAACTTTAGTCGGCAAGGAAAGCCTTCTAGTCAATGGGAACTCCATGCCCCCGAGAGCGACACAGCAGAGATGGATACTTCTTTTGGAGAGATAGAACAACTTCTCGAAACTAAGTACTTGCGCTACTGTGACCCTTCGCAGCCATTACATCTCATGGCCATGCTAATGGTCCGATGTTCTATAAACACTATGCGCTTCCTTTCACGCCACCCACGAAAATGGTCTAGCCTAGAGCAGACACCACAGTCTGAACGTCAATGGGTCTGGGAGATCTGTGTTAGGATACTCGAGCAGCACAACATGCTTCAGTGCAACCCCCAACTCAAACGATTCGCGTGGTATGGAGCGTACTTCCAACAATGGCATGCCATCATTCATGTGCTGGAATCCCTCCGAACAAGTCCACTCATGGTTGATGCCGAAAAAGCATGGAGACTTATCGGCAGTATGTACGATAACGCGGCTGAGATGACCTTTGACATGCGCAAACCAATTCATGCTGCTGTAGGCAATCTCTGCTTAAAAGCATACGCCGCCCGTGAAACCGCAATGCGGAATAGTAACATAGGTCCTCCCGCGTTACCACCTTTCATCGTGCAGCTGCGCCAACAACGCGAAAAGGCTCAGGATAGGAGACAAGCGCGCTCTACCAAGAGCAGTCAGCTCCCGAACCTTGTTGATGATGGCCAGGCAAGAGTTTCTCGAACTCGCCCGGCAACTGATATTGACGACGTTTTTGTGGACGAAACCTCGAAGTCTGCGACCACTCCACGCAATACCGCGTCCGAAACTTTGGGCTTTGACCAAACTAACGGTACGTCTGTACTTTCTGAGACCGAACTGTTTTGGTTTAACCAAGGGTTTGATGATTCCCACTTTGATCATACGAATGATGCGGTAGGCATGGACTTTGATTTCATGCTTGATCAAGATCATGATGCAAAAGGCAGTACTACGCATGGTATTTCTTGGGATCAATGGGACTCCTGGCTTGCCGACTCTAATTTGATACGTTCTCTTTCCCCAGATGGAAGGTTCTAGAGATGGTATATTGATACAGGCTTGGCGTTGCTTCTGTATGTTGATGGTATGCACTGGCCACAGAATTCCGTTTCAGACTGTCAAAAGCAATATGACATAATATTTGAGTGGGAATTGTGCTTAGTGAATCAACTAAACCAAACACATCTCTTCGGCTTGTGAAAGACATTTGTCCAGTTATTGCACAATTGATTGACTCAAAGACAAGACTGCCACCTCATGGCCCGGTTCAGTACTTGACTGGAAGACTTCCTAATGGAGCACACAATGTGATTGGACTTTTGATCCAGTATCAAGCGACATGCATTTTCGAGTGATAACTGGTGCTGGTTTATGCCATGGAAATTGGTCTCCGTTGCAGTGTTCCACACACTTGAATTCGCCACGTCCTCAATTCAAAGTTCTACTGAAATAGCAGCAAAGAGTCTTCTTATTCGTCAATATAATACATTGCAGATCAAACCTACGCATGTCTGGTAGCGCGTTATCTGCCGAGTCTAGTGCCCCTTGTCCTCATCTTGATGCTTTATCTGACTAACACAACATTGCTTTTAGCTTGGCTGTATTCAGAATAGATGATGCCCAAAGCAAAAAGTACGCTTTTTTCCACCAACGAAGAGCGAGACAAGTAGAAACCCCACGATCACGCCAAGAAGGCCTCATTTAGTCCGCCGATGACTTTTAAACGGGCGACTAGATTGCCTGCCGTTGTTCCCCTGTTACCCCAGACAATACCCCAGATTTAAATCTCCGAAAGCCCAAATGGATCTGCATCCTCCGAAAACAAGATCTGCATCTTGGCAACGATGGCGACGCCAAGAAGAATGGGAAGTATAAATACACGCTGCTGCATTCCATGATCAACTTGTAAAGCGTGTGATTAACATCTGCAGAGCGTATACAATCAAAATGAAAGCCTTTCTCAACATCATCACTTATGCCACCGTGGCACTGGCTGCAAGCCGCACCAGTCCACCTTCAGGCTGCTTGCATGTCGCCAAGTCAGGTGGCACTTATACGACGTTCCAAGCGGCAGTCAATGCTTTATCAACTACATCGACTTCAGACCAATGCATCTTCATCAACCAGGGCACATATACTGAACAGGTGTACATACCAGCTCGTGCAGCAAAACTGACCGTCTACGGCTACACCACAGACACCACTTCATACACGGGCAACCAAGCTATCATCACCTACAATAACAATGCCGCCAGTGCTGGAAATAATGACGCCAGCGCCACCGTGCGTGTCTGGTCGGACAACTTCAAGATGTACAATTTGAACATCATCAACTCATGTAAGTCAGGATTAGTCTTGAGGTCAATAGTGTTTCCCTACTTCCATCATAGAATTTGCGCATGGAAATATGGTATTAACCACCAATGCATTCAGACGGAAAGGGCTCTCAGGCTCTTGCCTTGAGTGCCCAGAGCTCGGGCGGTTATTACGGCGTTTCCTTGTACGGCTTCCAAGACACACTGCTAGCCAATGAAGACCAGCAATACTACAAGAACAGCCAAATCACCGGTGCAACAGACTTCATCTTCGGTCAACGAGCACAAGCCTGGTTCGAGAAATGTGACATCAGAGTCCGCAACGGGGGCTACTACATTACTGGTATGATCAACCCAAGGCTAATGAACTGCAACGACACTGATATTCGCATCACAGCAAATGGCCGTGACTCCTCCAGCAACCCGTCTTATTATCTTTTCAACAATTGCAACATTGCTGCTGCATCAGGAGAGTCTGTCTCTAGCAGTACCTACTATCTTGGCCGTCCTTGGCGCACTTATGCTCGGGTCGTTTTCCAGAACACAGCCATGAGCTCTGTTATCCGCAGCGAAGGCTGGGTGGTCTGGAACTCGGATACCGATACCTCCACGGTCTATTATGCAGAGTACAACAACTCAGGTGACGGCGCCACTGGAACAAGAGTCAGCTGGGCTAAGAAACTTTCCTCAGCTGTATCCATGTCTACTGTACTTGGCAGCTCCTACGCCAGCCAGGCGTGGTATGATTCGTCGTATTAGTTTTCGGGGAACTTATCAATCCTGTAGCTTCACTCATTAGTCGACTTGACGGCAAATGTCTCCCTTCATGTACATAGCTTGCTCGCACCACTCTATTTTCAACAAGATACACAACTACCCACTTCTTAAAATTGAACCGTTTCCTGATCGAACTATGATGTACTTCGGCCGGCAGGATTGCTATAACGTCTTATTTGGGTTGGAGCAATTTAACTAGCCCGATTTATGCCCATAGCCTTTTCTCATATTTATCTTACACAACATTTCTTTTTAAAACTTGGCAACACTATACTTAAATGCCCTAAATAGCAGATCGTAAGAAGTTTTGGTGCGCGGGTAAGCACATCTAATGCCACGACCTTTTTTTTTTTTTTTTTTTTTAAAGAAACGACTTGCTTCGGCTATTTCAATATGAATTCAATGTATACTATAGCATATATAATCACAGGTTTTATGGTCAGGTCAGTCCGAAAATGTCGCCTGTGTATACCAGCAAGCAGCTGAAGCCAACAACATCCACGCGTAGAGCCAATCGCAACAGTCAGAAGCGATATTGAACAGGGCATCTTCACCGAGAGCGGTAGCAAAGGTATCATTTTCGATCTAAGAGAGGCACAGACATGCAATGTTATTACAAAGAGACTCTTGATGCCCGGCGCTCTGGTACTAGTCATACCAACTGATAGGTTGCGGATCCGGCGCTAGAAGTTGTCCGTATTAACATACCACGTTTACTTTGCACCAGCATTTCGTAACTATCCTGTATACCTGTCAGAAGGTAAACACACCAAGACCAGTGAGTTTGGCGCTCGGTTTAATCGCTGGCCAGTTGTTTGCGTTACTGATAAGCTGCATTCGAAACGGAGTGGGAATATAGTGGACTCATGATAAGTATATGAAATAAAACAGGCAATGCCATTTTTATAGTTGAGCCATGAAACTTCTCTCTGCAACTGGTCTCATTCATGAGGCAATTGACTGCCTCCATGTCATTCTAGGAGTACATGATAATTCAGTTTAACTTCTTTCTTGGACCGCTTTTTTTCTCAGGAAAGAACCGTGGTATGATGTAGCACCTGGCTTGCTAAGGAGATCCCTCTCTGATACCAATCCGTGCCCTCATAAGTGAGAAACTTGTTCACAGATGACGGCTCACAATTTGTAATATACAGAAATAAGCCGTCAGTTTTGAGTGCCCAGTAAACCTTACTATTGCTAGCTTAGGAAATTTTCATCGACGTATGATTAGGTCAAATCAAGTCTACATATAATGGTGAATGATAAAACAAGTTGAAGAAGGAAAAATATTATTTCTAATAAAAGCATAAGGCAAATGTTAAAAATTCTCATTAAAGTAATACAGTAATACGAAATTAAAAAAGTATATCACATTTGAAGACCTGTGGTGTTATATAGTATAAAATGCCAATTTTGAGAAATCGGTAATGCTGACGACCTAAGCAGAGCATAATTCCTGGCTACATCCGAGCTGTTACAAAACTCATTCAAGGTAACTGTAATTTGCTGTTGTAAAGGGGGAGAGACCGGGAGGCGAGTGACAAAGATATGATGTCTTACAGCCGATGTCAGCAAGACCCCTCAAAGTTCTGCTCCCGCCTGTAAATAGTCAACTTCAAAATTGACAATGTCAGAACAATAAAATGAGATCCCTTGATCCATCAAAATGGCCGGCTGTCCGGTCCGCTCCTCTGATACGACGCAGCGATTCCAGTGGCGGCCTGCGGGTACGAATTTCTTACCCATTCAACAGACAGCGAAGCGATTCGAGGGACATTCCTCCAAAAGACCAAGGCAGTCAACCAGTCGGTGTATAATGTGACCAGGGGAGTTCTGGGATGAGCTGTAGCTGTCATTACCAGGAAAAAAGAAAAATTAGCACCGTAGAGATTTTAAGGGGGTCACAGGTCATTATTCTCTGGTCGTTGTTCTTTGAAAGCCCACAGAATACATATATGCCTTAGGCGAGCTACCCAATCTCGATGGCTTCGACAATGAAGAAACAGAGCACCTAAATGATGATGAAGAAAATACAGCAAACCTTCAGGAACTAGATAAGCAGGAAGAGGAATTTGCTAACTTCAACCCCGTAGATCGTGGCTGCGGTGGTCTGTCCACGTGAGTATCTTATCTCTAAACCACTCACTTCGCCGCTGTCGCTATAGAAGCCCTACCACCATTCTCTGATTTTACGAAACTTTGCAACCCATAATCCACAAGCCTGTGAATTTGACTTGCTCAATCACATGGCCCTGATTACCATATTACACGAGCCGACTAGACAAACTATGAGCACGACCATTCGAGTATCACCGCACTCTGTGGATCTGAAGATGTGCTTCATAAAATGCTGGCCACCCGCGACATACATCCATTTTGTTTTAGATTAAACAGTCTGTGGGATGCAACATGGCAAGTGTTTGGATTGAGAGATACGGCCAAGGTCAAAATTATTTCTCAACAAGAGAACTGGCTACATAATGTGGAAGCTTTGTTTCTTCAACAAAGAATTTTGATGACTTGGCGGTCAAACTCAACCCCAAAAGGATACTTATTTCAGGGCTTATTTAATCTCGTCGAGGCGTTCTTTAACTGCTTTGACGGGAGAACGGACAAGATGAGGAGTTTGGCCAACAGATATGGTCATATGTGCTTGGGTTTTTCAGTAACAGCGTATAAGTTGAAATTTGCTGCTACGTGAATGAATATGGGAACATCTCACTCACGTACCCACCAAAGTGGCTTGGTGTGTTAAACCATACGTGTGGAGTTCATTGGCACACTACTGGGCAGGGAGTTGGCGATAAGTAAATCGTGGTTGATGTGGTATATCATTGAGCTTTTCTTCTTTAATTATCATGTCGATATGGCAATACCTGTGATATCTCCCAGCTCTGGGAACAGCACCTTCTTGACTCTGGTCTTCAAGTCGATCGCGTATACTCCTCCCGACAGATCGGTAACATATGCCCTATGACTCCTGTGATCAAGTGCAAGACCAATAGTCTCGTGTAGCCTTGTGGCAAGAATTTCGCGCTGGAGATCCTTTAACTGCACATCTGATCCTATAAATGCCCGGTTGAGGGAGTTGCCCTTGGGCGGGTCACCCCTGTCCGTCCAGTACAGCGTTTGGGAGGTTTCCTCAAATTCTAGGTCGATGGGTTCAGGCAAACCCTCAAGCACAACTTCAATATCTCTCGGCTCGTCGATCTTAGCTCTGAAGATTCTGCCCTTGTTTCCCTTGGAAGGCCCCTTTTGTGTCCAGTAGAAATAGCCACTCGTCTCGTCCACCGTGATACCAACGCACCACCTGGACATCTCCAGGCGATCGTCTGCTGTCAAACCTGTCGAGACCAGAACCTCAACATTAGAACCGTCGAGGTTGCATCTCATGACCTTCATACCCTCACGATCACACCAGTATAGCTTGCGGCTTCTGGATGCAATCGTGATCTGCTTGGGTGTGAAGACTCCAACGGTTCCCGAAGGGACTATCGTCTTCCTTTCTGTTCCATCCAGATTTGCGCGCTCGATGGAGCCATCATTGGACTTGAAAGTAGGACCCATGTTCGTCCAGTATATGTGACCATTCTCATTATCGACGATAACGCCGTCAGGCATCGTCTTCATGTTTCCAACCACTGTTTTGAGGTCACTGCCATCGGTATAGCATGACAGTATGCGACCATTGTCTTGGTGAGGAAACTGTGATAGATCTGTGTCTAGTACATAAAGACGGGGTTGAGCTAGTGAACCCATCTTTGAAGTATTATGTTGAGGGGGTCAATGGTGACGATAGAGGTTAAAGATATGCTTTGAAGGTTTCTAGAAGTCTTGGCGGTTGAAGAGAGTCTTGGCAATTGAGATTAATAGAAAATTACCCAATTGACGATACTCAACGACGCCTTTTAAGGACCCTAGAAACTCAGTCAACTCAACGATCTTTCTAAGCGGCGGCGGCTCCGACACGAACAAAGCCAAGGACAGTGGCTGAACATTTCAAAGGTGATCATTGTTCGCGCGAGATTCGCCCGAGCCATCCGATCACTAGTTTTTGTTGCCATGCTGCCATGATGGCGACGACTAAATTTGTGGTTGTCGCATCATCGTAAAATGTGGTTCTCAGCGATGGGGTGTGGAGTAGGTAGCTAAGCTAGGTATTGAGGTTTGGTCCACAGCGGAATTGTTTGCCTCCGGAAGCTCCCGCAACAAATGGTGTGCAGGGATATTGAACTTTCTATTCTAGGCTCACTGAACTCTGGACGCATGTCTTCAGGTCCTTGCAACAATAAGAACTGATTATCGATCGTTGTACAGTATGTCATTCCCTGCTGGTAACTCTTGCCTCCGTACAGACCACACAAGATTAAAAAACTGCACCGACCACTTGTGACGCAAACGAGACCTATTCAGATAAAGCCATAGAAAATTATTCTGATCAAAATCATAACCGATATGGTTATCATTGGGTTGTTCGATGCAACAGACCATATCTACAGCGTCACCCTATTATATCTCATTAACAGGATATAATACTCTCAGTCATGCCCATTGATGGTGTGACTGTCATTTGAATTGTCATCGATCAACAAGAAGACATGACACGTAGGAATCCAGCACACTGTCACAGGAGTATAGTTTACAAGTAACCGCTTGGATGACGAGTTGTATGTTGATTTCAATTACGAGCTTGCATCGTTCTTGGCCTCTTGCGCGTACGAGTCCCATTCCCTCCGTATATTCAGAAGCCTCACGAGTTCTTCATCCCTTTGCTTTGCCAAATCCTTGTATTCTCGACCTGCGAGAGCTTCCCAAGTTCCGTCGATATATTTCTTCTTGAGCTCTTCGTCGACGACAGGGTCCTTAGGTGCCCACCAAGTTTGTAGAGGCCCTAGGAGGTGATCTGCGAAGTGCTCAATGCCGCCTTCGCCTCCTCCAAGATGCATCAGCAGACTAGGGCCCATAATGCCCCATCTAAGACCAGGTCCGTATGATACCGCGTCGTCGATATCGCTAACATCACAGATCCCCTCCTGAAGCACGTACATCACTTCTCTGATTAGAGCGGCTTGGAGCCTGTTTGCGACGTGACCGGGCGCTTCCTTCTTGACATGGATGGCCTTCTTGCCCATGTTTTTGTAGAATGCCAATGTCTTCTCAATGGTGTCCGGATCTGTCTGGCTGCCACCAACCACTTCCACCAACGGCATCAAATGCGGAGGGTTGAAAGGGTGGCCAATCACGAGGCGTTGTGGTCTCGCATCGTCTTTCATACCTTCTTGCATCGATGAGCAGGTGAGTCCGCTTGAACTCGATGCAATGATGGTATCTGGTCTGATGTGCAAAGCCATGTCGTTAAGCAGCTTGCGCTTAAAGTCCAGGCGCTCTGGGCCGTTCTCTTGCACGAAGTCGGCGTCTTGCAGGGCGTCTACCATGTCTGTGGTAAATGTAATATCCTCGGCTTTGGCATCTTGTTTCTTAACAAGGCCGATTGATGCTAGGACTGGAAGCGCATTCTGGACCAGTCTACGCATAGATTCCTCCGATGCTGGATTGACGTCAAATACCTTGACCGTCAGCCCTTGGGCAACATATAAAGCTGCCCAAGAAGCGCCAATAGCGCCACAACCAATAATAGCAACGTTCTGAATGGATGACATTACTACTGGCTATCGTTTGACACAATATTGGACTCTCGTGGACTGAACAAATGTGAAGAAAGTATCCAAGGGATTAAGAATGGGTATGTTTTGCGTGCAAGGTAAACTTTTTCGTGCGCTGGACGAGCTCTACACTTATAGCGTATCTGAGTGGTACGAATAGCTAGGAGCTGCGACACACAGCTTCAGTGCGCGGGAGGATATTTGACGACCATTCAATATGAGGTAATGAGCTTGACCGGAGGTTCACATCGGCGGCGCCGGATTGTCCGGGACAGTCCGGGCATTGTTCGATGGCGACAATAAGTCAATGCTCGACAACGCATGACCTTCAGCCTGCAATGGGACACCTCATGCGCCGATACATACATCGATCGGCTTTGGTCATTCATGCTGGGCGGACCCGTATCTGATTTCAAGAAACAGGCGCAACCAAAATGTTATTTCAAAAAGTCCGGCGCCATTTCCGCTGCTAGAATCGACGCTAATCAGGGGTCGCGACTCAGTTTGCTATGGCTCAAATTGTGAAAACTGGACATTCCAGGAACTATTCCATGCAGAATGACGCCAAATGCCGGTGGCAGGCAGCCTTGTTTTTCTAAGGTTAGAAGAGCTCTTCAGCCTTAAGCATCTGCTACGCACTTGCTAGCATTTCCGTCTGGGCCTGGAGGCACACTTGGAGGTCCGAGATCACCGTTAGAGCGGAAAGAAACCGCTTTAGTGGAATCCACGGCTCCAGAGCGCCACTCCCGCCTGGAAAATGTTCTTAGTGGTCTAAAGTACTATGTAGTATCAACGTTGTTGGCAGCACTTACCATGTTGTCGTTTCTCGTCATGGACAGCAAGGTTTCCACCTATCATTGCGAGCCGCTTCAGGACCTGATCAATAGCCTCTAAATGCCACAAATAGCGCTCAATACTCGGTTTTACCGCCTACTATGTTTAACACGTTCTACAATTCCGCGATTTTATGTGGATATCGACGAGGCCCCGGCACAGAAGAGCATGTTTCATTCACCACGTTTTAACTTCAACGACACCGCCAGTATCTCGCTTTTCGGCACACGAAGCCCTCGCGAATGCCGGCCTGGTCATTGTATCAGTTCGCAGTGGTGCGTAGTCACGGTTTGAAAGGCTACCGATATTGATCTGGTTGGTTTATCGCCACGAAGCCGCACAACCGGCCGAGATATGTCCCATCGGAGGAGTCTCCAGATATTGCAGATCACTAGTCTCCATATGTTCCATAGTTGGAGTAGTAGAAATATCTTCTGATGCCCAGATATAGCTTGACCTATGTTCCCCAACCTGCTTCATTGACAGATTCATTTTCTTTCTAAACCCATAACTCTACATACCCACCCTTCCTTCTCTTTCAATATGTCCCAAGAACCCAGAATCCCTGACGTCTACGGTCCTGGGACCTACACCGATCGGACTTTCGTTCCAGTACAGCAGGATACGGAGCGTATATTCAGACTGATTGCATCGCAAACGCCAGGCTTCACTCAAGATGAAAGGCTTCTCTCAAAAGTCAAGTTCGTCGGAGAGGACTTCCCTGTCATTCCGGGCCCTCTCAAGGCGACGTCTGTAGCGGCAGCTTTACATGCTATGGCCGGTGTCGTCGCTGACGAGATCCTCACAATTCGCGGAGCTGAGAACAAGGACCGCCAAATCACGATCAACACAACCCAAGCGGCTTTCTGGTTCGGTTGCATCGCTACAGCCTACCTTGATGGCAAAGATGTTGTTACTCTTACTAAGAACGGAGAGCTTAAGAAGCTTGTCCCTGATTGGGAGCAAGGCTGGACGAGCACGCCACTGAAATACCGTACGACGGGCCTTTATCCTACTTCAGATCCCGAGACTTGGTACTCGCTACATGGCTCCATGAATGCCGATCCTGTCCTCAAGTCAATCGGCATTGATCCCTCGACACCTGTTACTTCAAATCAGGAGGCAGCTGAACTGATTGCCAAACACACTAGCCAACTCACTCCCGAGAAATTGGAGTTCACCAATCTTCTGAACGGCTTCTGTGGTAGTGTATGCTTCAGCCCTAAGCAGTGGAACGAGAGTGAGATGGGCAAGTCGCTTGCTGCTCACCCTTTTGTTAACGTCAAGCCCCAACCCCAGGCTATTCCTACCCCACCAGTGGCATTCCCTCCTGTGGACGCCAGCGACAAACGCCCTTTGGCAGGTGTCAAGGTTGTGGAGATGACCCGTGTCATTGCTGGTCCACAGATTGGTACTATGCTGGCCAGCTTCGGCGCGGATGTTATTCGTGTCAACCCACCGCATCTGCCCGATATCAATATCATGCAGCTTACACTCAATGCGGGTAAGCGTACTATTGCCATCGATCTGAGGAAACCAGACGAAGCCGCAATTCTACAGTCTCTTATTGCAGACGCAGACGTCTTCATTCAAGGATTTAGACTTAACAAGTTGCCCAAGTACGGTCTTGGTCTGAACGATATTCTCAAGCTTGCGGGTGAACGTGGTCGTGGCATCGTATATGTGTCCGAGAACTGCTATGGCCCTGACGGCTACTACGCCGAACGTCCTGGCTGGCAGCAAATCGCAGACGCGGCTTCTGGTGCTGCCTACGTCACTGGGCGTTCGTTGAACCTACCAAACAATGAAGCCGTGCTGCCATCCTTGCCCATCAGCGACATGACTACAGGTGTCCTCGGCGCTCTTGGTACATTGATCGCCTTGCGAGACCGTGCCACTAAAGGCGGAAGCTATGCGGTGCACTCTTCTCTCACTGCTGTCAACACATTTGCCCTCAAGCCGGAGGTTGGTCTCTACTCTCCCGAGACTGTTGCAAAGTGCGCAGAGCGTTTCCAATGGACTGAGATGCGCGGATCACACCACGTCCTAGATCTGTTGATGACCGTGTGGGGCGGCTGGAAACGTGTTCTTGGCGACCATCTCGAGGAGTCCAGTGGATGGTTCCAGAGCTTCGAAGGGAGTGCATACGAGGGCAAGAAACTGAGCATTCTGAAACCAATTGTGAGCCTGAGCGACGCTGAGAGCACGCCAAGATGGTCCACTCCTAGTGTGCCATATGCTTTCGAGAAATCCGAGGGAATTTCTTTCAGATAATCGATGAGCTGGAGTTCTGCGACGAAAATGGTAGTTCTAGTTTCAAATTAAGCGATGTCGATTTTATTTGACTTGTTAGTATCATAATTGTATTGGGATATGAAATTCTGTAAATCCTTTAAAACTGTAATGCCGGGACATGGAATTCAACTAATATACTCCACACAAGGCAGGCTAATCTCTAGGATCTACGAAACCGGTAATATTTGCATTAGGAATGTATTTAGCAATCCACAGCTTGTGGTTTAAAGTTGCTATTTTGGCATCGTCGCTATTGAACTAACTAATTTATAACTGAAGCATTGAACAGCCAAAGCAATCTGGTCCCAGTAAGCTTCAAAGGGATGTTATGGCGGGACATACCAGTCAAGCGATTTCAAGATCTCGGTTGTTACCATTGCCAACAGACAGGGTCGAGATAATTATAGTATATTTTACAAAATTACTTACTTATTTATTATATAAGGTAAGATTGACAAATGAGCCGTGAATAGTGCTATAGGCATCGCTCATGTTCCCGGCACTAAAACCTGTATCAGCGTCAAGAATCGAACACTTCTCCATGTCACTCATTGTAACGTCAAGAATCTCGTCTCAATATGGTTGTGCCTCTTGTGACCGCAGTAGTCTGAGGCGGATCCATGGACTCATATATGCAGATGATGCCTGAGGAAAAAAGCCCCGACGTTGTGGGTGATTTTACCCTAGACGATGAGGCCATATAATACTCCATAGAGCCAGTCTATCCTCGGTTCAGAAGCCGACAAACAAATTTATCCTGAAGTGTCTATGTGAGCTTGTGCCAAGATTCACCCAGCCTAGATTGCGCACTGAGAAACCCCCTTGCTCAATGAGTTCTAAACGTAGAGTTGTTTGCGGGCTCAACAGCCGTTTGCGTGGCAATTGCGTTGGCACTTGCGGCCGACTTTCATCAATCTATCACTAGAATCGGAATAGTTCGACCAATGAGGGTGGGCGGTACCAATCAGTTCAGTCTGATGGATTTAGAGCCAGCAAAGGTCTGTCAGACAAAGTACCCGAGAAATGTCTCCGAGATTGGTGGCTAGGGGCCCAAAATGTTGGTTAAGAAGTCCAGGCAAGTTACTCGGGTTTGTGGTATTCTTGAAATCAACATGTTCAATATAGGCTTCTGTCGAGCTCAAAGGACAATTTGCGGACGCCAAAATGGCACCTGATCTTCATGCTTCGACAGGTGACCATGTGTGTGTGGTCGGCACTGGGGTTCTCGGCTTGGTGGCTATCAAGAACCTCAAGGAACAAGGTCTTCAGGTCACTGCATTTGAACGGAATGAGCATATTGGAGGTCTCTGGCACGTCTCGGACAACCAAGATCAGGTCACTGCAACGTCTATGACAACGGCGAACACATCAAAGCATACTGTAAGCGGAGCACCTAGTCTTATGGTTCAACATGTTATGATTCAAGATGATCTGACTTCAGACCAGAGCTGTTTCACAGATTTTCCTTATACAGATGGTAGGATTATCTCCCATAGCTCTACTGGTTCTTGGCTGACAAGTGATATAGATGTCTCGATGCACCCGCCAGCTAAAAGTATTCATGAGTATCTTGAATCCTACGCCAAGCATTTTGGTCTTTTACAGCACATCAGATACTCGTCTCAGGTAACGAGAGTTGAGCGAGATGATGAGTCAAGAAAGTGGATTGTTTACACTGTGAATGCATCTCAAAATGGAAACACAGACTCATCGCGTCATGTATTTGACCGATTGGTCGTTGCTACTGGCATCCTCAGTGCACGAAACGTGGTCAAGATCCCAGGCGTAAATCAATTTGATGGTGAAGTACTTCACTCTCAAGAATTCAAGGATGCTTACCGGTTTTCCGGGAAGAACGTCCTCGTGGTAGGAATTGGAGCTACAGGTGCCGACACCACATCCTTCTTGAAAAAAGCTGGGGCAGCCAATATCTACATCAGCCATCGCGGCCAGACTTACCTAGTACGCCTATACAAGTTTCCCACATGTTTTTCGTATAGTGCTAATTATTCATCAGCTGCCTCGAGTTATGGACGGCAAAGCCTTCGATCATTCAATGTCCTACAGAGTGGGATGCATCACGAGGCAGCTAGCTAGCTGGTCGCCATGGGCATGGGCGACTATGTTGACAAAGGCATTGCGAACTGCCCAGTTCAAGGCATTTCCTTGGCTGAAAAGCCACAACTCTTTCTCCTCGCCGCGTGTGCCACCCACAGCTCCAATGCTGCATCGCGTCCCGATCTTCTCGGACGACCTAGCACAGAACTTGAGAGATGGGTCTGTGAAGTCGGTTGTCGGCGTCCACGAAATCAACGGACCTCGTACAGTCATGCTAACCGATGGCTCTGTTCTTTCCGACATTGATGCCATTGTCATTTGTTCAGGATACCACTACGACTTTTCTGTGGTCTCGGGGGCTGGTAATCCTATTGATGCCACCAAAGCGCCCGACAACTACCGGCGGATTCAGGCAGCGCCGTATTACGAGCCAGAAAGCCCATTTCCGCGACTCTACCAGGGCTACATATCCGAGCAATATCCTGAATCATTGGCTTTCCTCGGTCATATGTTGGTCTTGGGGCCACCGTTCGTGATTTACGATCTTGCCACGATGGCATTGGCATCTATTTGGAGTGGCAACGCACCTATGCCGACAGACACTGCGATGAGCCGGGATATTAATGCCCACTACGACTTCATCGTGAAAGCATTGCATAATGACCGTGTTCCGCACCCAGGAGTGCGCATCAACGGCAAGGCAACATACAATTGGATGAATGAAGCAGCAGGTACAGGAGTGACCGACCTTCTCGGCAACTTTAGTATAGCAGCCTGTAAACTATGGTGGACCGATAGACATTTCTATAATTTGCTCATGGATGGTGCCAGTGTCCCGGCAGTGTATCGCTTGTTTGACATGGGCAGAGGCAGAAAGCCATGGAACGGGGCTCGAAAACATATCGAGAAGATCAATAAGGAAATTGAAGACCTGGGAATGGCATGGAAACGAGAGAAAGCGAAGCTGAATTAGTGTACTGAAGCATAGCAAATTGTTATGAAAGAAGACGATTTATATCTCCCTGGCCGCTTATGCATTGTTGTGTTGAAGTTATGAATAAGTCTTTCTATATATGGCTAGCAGCGACAATGATGATAACCCATTCCGTTCAATAAAGAGCCTCATACCCCAGTTGCCTTTTTTTTTCTCCTCTTTCTTTTTCCTTTTTTTTTTCTTTCCCGGTTAATATTGTCGCCTGTCTGAAGTAGCCGTGGAGGATTATGGAAGATTGGATATCAGCTTGCTTGCCACCATGCGGCCACCGAACTGACGGGAGCCTAATATGCAAGCACGCGAGACACGCATCGTAGCCAACTCGGCAATCTGCAGGCAGCATGCGGAATTTTGCATAGCCGATCGAGATCACGCTTCTCGTAACTGTTAAGATTTTGTGGCATTTTGTTGAGATGAATTTGTGCGACCTTTTGGTCGACTGCCTTCTGATTGGACTGCCTTCTGATTGGGCTGCCTTCTGATTGGACTGCCTTATAATTGTCTGAAATGCTTGAATTTTAGAATCTTTCCACAGGTGCAGAAGGACTCAGGTCAAGTTTAGACGTGTCGTATATGTGCACAGGCATCATGGCAAATTAGCATTGACGGCTTGAGACATGCCCCCGTGATCGAACCTATCGTGGCGGCCGTAGCTGTAAGAATCCGAGACGTGGCGGTACTTTGGAACTCAATCAGAAGCAGTGTCGTAGACGGAAGACATAGAACAATTATAATACTTATAAAAACGCCCTTGAGAAACTTTGAGTAAATGACTTCACCTCAAGAGATGCAATGTTGAGCCGCCGGGTAGAATGAGACATGGCCAGGATACTTTGTACATGTGTGCTATTGTGCATTCGAAGGTGGACAGGACATCACAAACAATTGCAACTTATCGATCGATTCAGTGCAATAAGCTTTCATTTCCTCTGACATGCGTTGCGCTCGAGTCATGACTATAGTGGCGCTTCCTTCAACTCGCGAAGGTCTCATGTCGATTTCCAATACAAAAAATAATGCAAGAGGCTCAAGTAGCCCGTATCGCAACAAGCTTTGATGCCATTTTTGTCCTTTCACATCATTACGTACCTGGAGATTGCAGAGACGATCTTTGTACATCACCGCTTTGCTTCACCAGGCTCTACGAGAAAGGAGCCATTCCGTACATCCCGAAGTGCTGAGCGGCAACGCAATCAAACCACAGAACACTGTAGCCCACCATGATCATCACCGACGTCGAGTGGAAATCGGATGAGACTCGTTTCTCAATTAAAACTTCGCCCCCTTTGAGGACACGGCGGTGGCTGTGGTGCGAAATGCCTGTGAGCCTCAGTCATCACGTAGCAAGACATCCAATGGACGAATATCGGCTATCAAGGGGAACAAGTAGTCTCAATTCCGGGCGACCCCATCCAGTCCCAAGTGGACCATTTTGAAATGAGACATCGATTTTATTGAGATGGCCCAGATTGTCCCTGGACTGCCACGGTTCAATAGATTGACGTCGTATCACAGATATGTTCTGGAAGACGAACTAGAAGTTATCTAGGTGATGCACGAGCCGCTACTGCCACGTCCGCCACGAGCCCCGGTGACCATTGCTAATGACGTTAGTGTAGCACAGTGATTAGGAACTCAGGGTTCTTTCGTGATATATGTCTCTGTAATCCGTACTCCCAGGCATACTGATGACATACAGAATTATTGATACAATCTGGCCGAGCTGGGCAGCAATATGTTAGCACACGTATGGCAAAACCGATCAAGAAAATGTCAACCTTGTACAAATGCGTTGCAGGAATTTTTCGTTTGCACAAATTCGACATAAATGTTCTTCAGTACAGAACGGGTGATGACGAAGTTGGTCAAAATAGGGGTTCAAAATCCTAGACTTGGAGAGGGGCTAGTCAGAGACCGCTAGAGTGTAGGATTTCAGGGGTTGAGGTTCTAGTGAGGGGTCGTGGACGGAGATGACGATCATGGTACAGAGTAGCGAGTTGATTGGGACCAAACCAACCATGTTTGTTATGGAGAATATTGTGAGCAGATTTTTATCCTTCAATAATGACGTTACAGAGCTGCTGCAAGTCGGGTTTTGCACTTGTGCGAGGTTCTGAATCATGGTATGATCGATTTCGTCTCATTCCACAGGTCCAACCGCTAATGCGCTAACCTAGGAATGTGGGTCAGTTGTCTGCAATGATTTTGAGCATTGATACCTATCTGATCGATGGTTATGTGAGTAAGCTTGGGGTGCAGGCACAACCTCCAAAATGGTATAAAAGATTGGGAGGACACTATTTCTCAGTCTCCGTGGCCAATGCGCTTGTCTGTTACTTGAGGTGACCGGCAGCCTGCCATGACAAGCGGTTGTAACTCGGTGACATGCCGCGGTGTCAGAGTCATGGGGTCTGGCGATTGGTCACTTCGTGAACGTAGTGTCCCGAGCCGTCACAGTACCGCGTTCCCTCGGGGTTGGCAGGAGGAAGGATATCAGCATCGTAAGTTCTCATTGCGCGAGGGAACGGGATTTCGGTATTGCTTTCGCGATGAGCCTGTTCACCAAAAAAAAATAAAAAAATTTACCAGGGTTCAATACGCGGAGCAGCCGATCGCGGAAACTCGAAGGAGCGGTCAAGCATTGCTTTCTCAAAACAACGCGGCGGGCAACCAACATGTTTCATCACCTTGGAATTTCGCGAAGACTGGTTCCAACATAACTGCAGCTCTTGTTTATTATGAACCAAGGACCGTGATGCACGAATGCTGGTGTTGCATGAGGATCTCGAGAAGATCTGATTACAAGGCTGGAAATGTGTGAACCAGCCAGGTAACCCCTGCAAACGAGGCTGACAAGTATTTCGGGGTTGGGGCCTCTCTTAGCATGGATTAATTCATTGAAATATAGGAGGGGTCTTGTGAAGGCAACCCGATTTCTCCAACTAAGTGGCATGGCTCGTGAATCGATCTTCTCCTTTCGAATGATTCCAAAAGTACATACAATATAAGAACCTCGTATCCTTGGAATTACATATGTATCCCGTCACAAAGACAGGTTGCATCATTGTATCCATTAAACCCAGAAAGCTGGAAACACAGGGCAAAGCAAGCTTGTTACCAAACCGGCTGAACGGCGTGGCCAACAGGGTTTAGCTCCGGCTCCCGCGTGTCGTTGCCCTGTGCGCCGTAGGACATTTTTTGGGTTCGAGACTATTAAACGTGCAGCAAAATGGCCTTGTCAAAAAGGCACTGTGTTCGTAGCTAGACGTTGTGCATAACAGTAGGCTCGGAAATGCTCATTATCGCTTTCCTTTTCAAGGGCCTTTGGCATGATGAGATAACTGCGTACTGTAGTAGCTTGTCTCCCTCTGGATAGGCCTCAAGTCACGGTGGTTTTCTACAACCCACGATGCACACCTTGTAAATCTCAAGCAACTCAAGCCCCTAGAAGCACAGTGCCACGTGGGCCGTTCCGCACGACACTTAGCGTTGTGCTCTAATTCTGACAAGTAGTAACATTGTTGTGCAAAAAAGTATCTTTTAAGACACCACTACTGTACACACAACAGAAGTTACAGTATGTCTGTCTGTCGACTACCATTGCTTGTTCGATTAAGAGGTCAATCTTAAGTTGGACAGATGCGCGTCAATCAGACTTTCTTCCCCCCTCTGCCACCAGTGTCAGACTGTGGCTGCATTTTTGATCATCAGCCAGAAACAGTCTTGTCAAATTCAAAAGAAAAGAAAAGAAAACAAGTCTTCATAATATGTCCACGATTCGCTGGTTGATAATGGTTACAGTACAGTGAACTGTGCAAACCTACCCAGGATCTCTCCTCCCGCCCAGCCGGATTGACAGCGGCCTTCTAGAATCGGTCCAACCCTGTCTGATGAGTACCATGTATTTATGTCTTTGCCTGCCGTCCAATAGCATAGGAAGGATGTTGGTCTCATGCTCGACACTCGTGCCAGACCGGCCTTTTAGACTGTGGTGAGAATAGGTTCACCGTAGGAACGAGCCGTAGTGTTGGACTATCCGCTGGATTTCCTATTTCGAGCTTTCCACCAACTAACTGCATTGCTTCCCCCTCCCATCAGAACTGCAAGCTGGAGCTTGAGCTAGACTACTGACAAAGTGACGGGCTATGTGTGGCTAGTAGGCACGCTAGGCTGCGTTGCCGAGTACGCTGTTAGCTTCCAAGACTCTTTATTTGTTGTTGGCCCAATGCCCTCAATTTACCGTAGCCTTGCTCTGCAATCCACACATAACACTGCTGAACCCACAATCAATGGTCGACAGTCAACCACACCGGCGCCCGCCCCAGCCAGCAAGCCCTTTCCATTGCCACCCCCCCTAAATCCTCAATTTGCGCTGAGGTTAGAGCCATCGATTGGACCTAAGAGCATGTACACTGTAGCAGTCTGAGTCTTCACACCCCTTTTAAACATTAAAACCGTCGCCTCATGACACCATGCGATCGAGCACAAGGGAGTCATGCAGCCATGAACATTGTCACTGACTTGACATGCTAAACATGAGCTGCACGTCAATCTGCACGGGACTGAAGCTGTTCCTTTCATGGCCCGCGAACCACTTCCGAGCAGACCAGACACAGCCAAGTAAAGCCGGCAAGGGAGGAAGGAAAAAAATCAATCAGAGGGGTGCCCCCCTCAGTGTCATGTCAGTACCAGTGCCAGTGCCAGTGCCAGGCCCATTCGCAATACTCTCCGTACAGTAGCTACAGCACATGGTCGTGCAGCAGCAGTTCCAATCGCAATCCCAATCGCAATCCCAATTCCAGTCCTAATCCTGGTCTCCAACACCCAGCCCGGGAGTCCACTCGCCAGTGACCCCATCCCAGTACAGGGTTCAACTCAATCTTTCCTTCTCCGCCCAAACCTCTTTGGTCGCCAACCAAATTTTCTTCTACTTGACTTAAACCCTTCCGCTCACCTGTGTTGGGAATCCTCTTCACACCTTACTGGCGAGATCCCTATTCCGAGGTGATCTTCGTAACTACTCTATTGCTTGGACCAAGGTCTTCGTGATCCTTCTGCCTCTTCCCTCTCCAACCCTTTCCTCAGCTCTGCTGCGTTCCCACACATCCTTTCAACACCCGGAGGCTTTGACCTATCTGGCCTGGGCCCTCCGTGACGAAGTACGACGTGACTCTCGGCTCCCTGCATCATTTCCCAGCCCACTTACCAGCCAGCTGCTCCTGCGGCATAGCCATTTTCAACGACCTGCCCAGTGCACGCTCTCTGGGCGATCCTTTCCCTCCATCTACTGCAACTGCGCTGCATCGCATAACGCCTTGTTATTTCATGATAAGGGACAGTCGAGCAGAGACCTCTCCTTGCATTTGTTTGCGTCAAACCCAGTCGCGCAACCGCATTCCAAAACTCCCTGCAATATCTTGCGATCCTGCACGTCTTGCATTCACTTGCCAGACAGTTGTGGCATTTGCCGGCTGAAACCTGTTTAAAAGCAAAAGGGGATCTGCAGCTTGCTGGTACGTTCTAGCAGCTGCACGCGTCCAGGGTCCCTGTCCCTCGAGGTCCTCACGACTGCGAAAGAATTAGCGGATTGCAATCATGAACCAGCAGCACGAGATGTTTTACGATTACCCGCCAGCGAACCGGTCGCCGAGCACGACGAGACAAGGCTATGCGACGGTCGGTCTTGGGGGTTTGGGAGCCTCGCGTGGCCAGAGGCCCGGCCTGGATGCGATAGCCCAGAACGCATCCCTTTACAATGACGATCGCTTTGGAGGCGCAGCCGGCGGCTATGATAACGTGTCCAGGCTGGATCGTTTGGCGCCTAACTCAAACTACATGCTAGAGAACACTCAAACGTGGGGCTATAATGGAGGTGTAGCCACCATGAACGGCCCTCTCAACGGCAACAGTAGAATCGGCTCACGAGGTGGAGCTCGAAGACCTGGTCTTCCCCAAGTGTGTACCCCTGAACGAAGTAGGCCCTTATTCTCACAGTGATCCCTGGCTAATGATGACGACTGGTAGAACTGGACTGGCCAGCCTGAGCTCGGTGTGCCCTCAATGAACCAGTATCATGATCCCATGAACGGTAGTGAATACGATCTTGCGAGCATGGACGGGCGTAGCCTCAACACGCCCGGTTCAAATGATGACCAGCTCATTCCTACGGCAATCGTGATCAAGAATATTCAGTTTCAATGCAGGAAGGAGATCCTACAGGGCCTCATGGCGTCCATGAACTTGCCGCAGCCTTACGCCTTCAACTACCATTTTGACAAGGGCGTCTTTAGAGGGCTCGCTTTTGCGAACTTCTCCACGGCTGAGGATACGCACATTGTCATCCAGAAAATGAATGGCCTGGAAGTCATGGGCCGCAAGCTGCGCGTCGAGTACAAGAAAATGTTGCCACAAGAAGAGCGCGACCGGATCGACCGCGAAAAGCGTGAGAAGCGTGGACAGTTGGAGGAGCAGCACCGCTCTCCTTTGCCTAGTCACCAGCAGAATGCCCTCCATGCTCTAGGAGTTAGTGTCAACAAGCAACCAAGTGGCTCCCCAATCCGTGAGTTACACCGCTATGGCACATGAACACGTGTGAGAATGCCGGCTTACATACGTCAGGAGATATCGACTTGAATAACCCCAAGACCCTAGAGTTCTACACAGAACTCACCATGTTCCAGCGCGACACCACCCGCGAAACCTACATCTTCCCCGCCGACATCTCTCCAGAGGATCGGCGCCAGATTCACATCCTTGCTCACAACATGGGTCTAGAGCATCATTCAATTGGAGAGAATGACCGGCGTCAGCTGCAGATTTCCAAGAAGCCTCAGCAATCTCCCCCGGCTCATGTGCCTCACCAACTGCCTCCTAATGTTTCCTGGGAGGACCACCGAAGGGGTCTCAGCCGTGCTGCTACTTTTGACTTTGCCGAGTCCAGGATTGGGGCGGGGAATGCTTACCACACCATCGGAAGACAAGGTCCGACTCTAGAGTTGCCTGGCCACCTCGAGAGTGGTATTCCGAACAATCTCCGTGCCGCCAAGAGCTTTGCAGATCTGCGAACGCATAGTCCTAGTCCCGCGCCCTCTGGGTCAAGCTACGTTGGGCTTGGTAACGGCCTTGGTTCTCGATACGGCGACTATGGCTCCCTGGCGACGCCCCCCAACCTGACGCCTACCTCTGCTCAGGCTGCTGCTTCTAGCACCGATGCTTTGTTGTCTGGTGGAATCGGCTCATTGAGCCTGAGTGGTTTCGATCCGACTGCAGCCCACCTTCAATCTCGCAATGCTCCAGGCGCTATTGGCAGCCAGAGACCTGGTGCAAGCAACACATCCGCACCTGGTCGTAATGCTCCTGACAGACAGCCTCGTGGGCCTGAATGGGGCGAGGCTTTCAACAACCGTAGCCGCGGTCATGTACAAAGGAACAGTGGTAAGGAGCTAATCATGACACATACAATGGCGATTATTTGACTGACCGTGCTGCAGATTCCTCGGATGCTGGCAGAAGCTCTGCCGCTTCTCGATTCCATTGAGGCGATTTACACACCACTTAAGCCGTCAATATGTACCACCGAAATCTCACGAAATCTGATCAATGAGAGACGAATTACGACATAGACAATTGATGTTTTCATTACCCGAAAACTCAAGATTTGGCGCCAACTATCTCAAGCCAAATACAGAACCACTACCCGGCGAAAATCGATCTTGCTCATCGTCATGGCGCTAGAACCAATCTAATAATCCCCTGTAATATCACATCATGCTATTTGTGTTTCTGGAATTCAGTTTTGATATTGCCAAATTTTTTTTTTCCGTTGGGGAAATCTTGAAGTCGAGGAAAACAAATATCTTTCAGAGACAGTTTTGTGACAAGAACAGTTGTGGAGCATTTGGACGAGAACGACGCTCGCGATCCGTTTTATATACCCCTCAACAATGACTGACGCTAACATTGAACGCCAATCTGCTCTGGATACACCATACACGCGTCTTATGGGCAACCATTTATGGTATCACGATTCCCCTTCTTATACCCTTCTGGGATTTCTCTTCGACCTCGAGCACCACTCTGATGGGCGATTCACTTGGAGGATCCCTTTTACGATGGTTACGCTGTTATGACGCATATGCACATCAATAGATGGCAGGCGCGATGCTGGCTGGCTAGACTGGCGATGGACTGGCGATGGGAGGATGGGTTAATGGAAGTCTACTGCGTTGTTGTATCGACAACAACGTGGACTGGTATGCCGGTGCTGGGTCAGGAGCCAGCAATCCCGCTGATGGGACATGAAGAACAACATGACAAAGATGAAACGGTGGAAGTTGAACTTTGCAGCGACGAACTGCGTCTTGAAAATTTGCGGAGACATTGTTGGGTCGCACGAACATGCTGATGGAACTCGTTGGATTTTGTATAACATGGCATTGTTTTGTCTCTTGATTTTACAGTGTGCCGCTTCCCCAATCCTTACACCACCCTTCTGCTACATGCGATTCACGAACAGTCCTGCTTCCAAACCCTTTCTCTCGCCTTTCCCAGCAAATTATGAATCGACTGTTCTAGGCAATCGTGGCAAGGATCAACGGCGTATAGAAACTTGGGTGCTGTGGGTCAAAGGGGATAATCGAACTGGCACGGTGATTCACGTTCAAAAGGACAACGCTCATTTAGAAACACGGCGCAATTGACGAAAAGTTTTATCATATTTATGTCACATGCGCGCTTGCTCCAATGTGAACATTAACTCACGTGTATGATCATCTTCAATTGTGCGTGACTCCAAATGATACGTTCGCTTGTATATTCGAGATGAGTGAAAGCAAACTTTGCAGACAACACAGTTGATAAATCTCCAGATACTTAGCCATTTTTGAAGCCGGCTGAGTAGGGGCTTATGTAGCTGAACAAAATGCCACCAACCTCCCACCTCAAATAGCGGGCGCCGCGCATCGTAGACCTGTACGTCAGCACCTTTTTCAAGACCAGGATGTTTCTCAGATGTCGAGGATTCGCTAGCATATTGGAGCGTCCAATCATGGTAACCTATGAAGAACCTGGATTTTCAAATAAGGACTTTTCCATTAAAGCATGCTTCATTCATGCCAAAAGATCTTCCGTTCGTCGGTACGAACGGGCATCATCTTCGGCCAGATGAATCTGGTGATTACCAAGAGCAAGTCCCCTTACCGGATATCGAATTTTCACAGGGAAACATAACTACAAACCTCGTCGGCCTTCATATTGACCGTTTTTGACCATTATTCTGCTTGCCCTGGTCACTTTGGTGGGACTGATGTCTTGCGACTTTCATATACCCTTAGTTGAGGATTTGGATACCTCAACTGTGTTCTCCGAACGATAATATACTTTGTAGTGACAAGCTAACTACATGCTAAAACATATACTGGTACATGCGTGCATTTCACAATCTACGTCTTCGAATTTCTGGTAACAGTGTTAATGGCTCGGTGAGTTCTACATGAAACGCGGCCAATATCATGTATACTTATGGAATAATCAATCAGTGCATCACTGATAATACGTACTAACTACCTGTAGTAATTTCGATACCAACTTCTATAATTCTGATCAATGACCTTGGCACTCCCACGACGACCAAAGTCGTGATCGTTCTTATGACTCTCGTTGTCAGCACACTCACAAATGCTCTAGGTGCTGTACATCAACATGTATTCTACATCAGCTCTGCCGAGTATGTCGTTGGGTTTCGCGTTCCCACCGTATTGGCAATACCACTCCGCATCCTTGATCTTAATGCCAAAACTTTTCGTCCGTGGCACAAACTTACCAGAGCTGGCAGGATGACAGATTCCCCGTTCCCCTGCTTCCCAACTGGAGGATGGAGTGCCACAAACAATTTTATGCGCTCTATATTTGATGGACTCCCCGCTGTCTTTTCACAATTTCTCTGTTGTTCTGCTGTTCTATCTTCGCCCCGATTCCAGCCGAGACTATTCCCTTAACATTTCGAATAATCTGTACGACAGAATCTGCAATTGTTGGACCTATCAACTGGGAGTTTTCGCTCTTCTAGCCAAGGGAAGTATCTACCTAGTGTGTTTCATGACCATGGCAATGATACTGTTTCTTTGTTCGTTTTTAGAAGTCTAACAGTGGTGTAAGTACAAACCCTTGGAGAATTTGTGGCATGGCAGCAATGTGTCAGGACCAGGAAGTGAAGAGGATGTTAACATCAACCTTGTTGAATGATACGGATAATGGCAAGACGGCAGAAATAATGACGAATTTTGTCCTTGGTAAAAGACGATTCCACTCAGATTGGTTCGAAAATGGAAAGGATCTGATTGGATACAGCGTTGTGATGAAAGAGCAGTATCACCAAAGCTGCCCATCCTGTCCAAGGCACAGTAATGAGTGGGAAACCACTGGCTGGAATGCACGAGAAGACTGTCACCACTTTCTGTTCTCCATTTTAAGCTATCTTGTAAGACTGATGTGCTTATCCATCCTGGTTAGGTTAATGGCATTAATCTTGTATTATTAAAAAGAAATACTTGTGTTAATTCAGCATTTGCAAGATTCATGGACAGTCAGTCTTTTGGAGTAAAATTCCTCTTTAATAGCGGCGGAGTTGTCATCACATTGTTCTGGTCATCATTCTTTTGTAAAGAGTAAACACTCACTTGTTTCGTGAGTTGCGTGATGCTGCTGAACTGCTTCAGGCACTGTAATTGTGTCCCTCTATCAGCTTCTCTCAAATCGATACCAGTTGACTGGGAACTCAATATTGCTGTCGCCTGCTACGAACGCTTCTACTGGCATCGCATCAGCATTTTGCCGACATCATGATTTCCTCCTTCTTGTTAGCCTAACAGCAATACTATCCAGAATTCTCATGAGTCTTTTGTATAATATCGCATTTCGTCACTGCACATATGTATGGGTTGGGGTGCAACTGCAGTCATTGCCATCATGGTCTCGGTGGCCCTTGGAAGTATTATCATCAAATGACCACACATGCTCATGAACCCAAGTATTATTTCTGGTGTAATGTATCATGTCTGTTAGTTGGATCTTGTGTGACAAAATAATGGGAAAGACTAGTACACGACAAGGAAAGAGCGTGGTTTTATGGAGACTGTCATCGATTCTTTTGAAAGAAACAATAATTTCTAATCCGATGTAGTGATGAGTTTAAAACATTTCATCTTTTCTTTCTAGGTTGTTCTTGCTGTGGCCGTTGAAAATCGTCTCAAATTGAGATGTGAAGAGGCAAGACTTTTACTCGGTGGTTGTTCTATTCACTCACTGGTAATTAGTGATTGTCATAAAACCGAATATTCTTCCCAAATGCTCATTCAGGAGACTATATTTCACTCACCCTTGATCCTACTTTCGGGTATTGTTGCCAACTGGGCAGACCACAAAAAACAATCTCATCCAACCCCAACTTTGCACACCATTTTTATTTTCTTTAGAATACACCACACAACATGATGTTCACCATTAATCACAAGCCTTTCGTCACTTTTTGCATCACAATTGCAGCCGCACTGCCCGCTCCGGAACTCTTCGGCCCCAATGGCGATTTCGCTTCCACCTGTACGTGGGCCGTCGACGCCAATTACACCATTTCGGCCTCCTCAAGCTACTCTGGAAGACCCGGACAAAGACCGACCACCTTAGACTTAAACCAGTGCCTTGGATACGCAGGCAACAATCAGTTGGTTTGGAAGGAGTAGTTAGTGGCCCAATCATGGCTAGGGTCCTGCTTAGCAGGCGCTTTTCTAACATACCACATCTATAGTGGCGAATTCTGGTATGACATCAAGGGCGATCCGAACTCGAAGGGCGGCAATCGCTGTGGTTGCCGCAGGAGCTGGAACCCGCACCATGAGCAGGATCTGGTATGTTGGATCGGCGACGCCCTTGCCAACACCTTCACTATCAACTTGAGTAGGTAGCAGTTCCGTTTATTCAGAGTTTGGCTGTCGCTCAGATCACTGAATGATACTAGATGACCATATCGCCAATTTCACCGGTACTATCTGGTGCTTCGCTCAACAGGGTACAATTGCCTAGAGTTTCGCCGCCTGCGGAATTGGTCGGTGGAGACCTCTAATCTCTGCGTCGAATGATAAAATGTAGCACATCATTTGGCTGATGACTGCGCCGTGGTTTTTATAGACTCTTTTGCGTTATTCTATTTTTCGGAATGCCATATCTTTTGGTGGCGGGTGCAATAATTACAAGATCTGCGATAATTTTGTCTGATATGCTTGCCGCAGCACCACCAAGAAAATTATAATGGTCAAAGAACTTGACCAGAATGGAATCGTGTATGGCGATATTAAAGACGATAGCTTCCTTCACGGTAGGATTGTAGATCTAAGTACGGTGCTGACGGTCCCACATTCCCTACTGAATAATTCTTTAGTATATCGGAAAGCCTTCTACGAATATTACTCCATTGAATCTAGTTTTGCTAGTAGCAAACCTATCCACCGGTTGATTGGCTGGGAAGGGATTTTTTGTCCCTTGATGTAATCAGTTTTTTGGGGATCGTGGGTTTCTTGAATTAGGCCGTCTTCGTAAATACTGGTCTTCTCTTGCTCCTCCACGTATGTGTTCTTGTCGATTTCGAAGTAGCTATGTTACTTCAAGGCCGCCTTTATAACTGCCTTTTTCTTACTAGTTTCTAGTAGCCGTTCGTATACACAATATTTGGTATTGAAAGGAAGTACTTTCCGGGTACTGATGTCCAGTTAAGGCCGCGCTTAATTAAATCCTCTCCCTGGTGGGGATGTGCTGTTTCCTATTAAATTTCCTTACGGATTGGACGTTCTGAACCACTCGAAATTAGAATAGAGCTGAGATGTAGGCCTATTGAACCTACCATTTTTAGAGCGTCTATCTTATTCTCGATCTTAGTTATCTAGGCTTCCGCACGTCTATCAACTATAAGCTGATGAAGACCCTGAATTCTAATGTTGACTTCAAAAAATGGACCTGGCTTCGGATCAGCGATTTGGGAAATATTCGTTGATTTACGGCCGGTCTCATATGTGTTGATCCATACCATAAGTTTTCACCCAAAAAGCGTGATATATTGAGTGAATTCGCTGTGCAGTATTCTGTGAGTATTTGAAGAACAAAGAAACAAGACCGAATGCGGTGCTTCCTAGCAACGTGGGTGATAATCAAATGTCAAGGTTTTCCGTCATTGTATAGCTACATATTCGAGCGCGGTTGTTGCCCAAGATATATACCCATACGTCAAAAGCTTATAATATCCTGAGCCACAACAGCTATTACTCTTCAGCATCGTCCATATGCTGCCTAGCCCAGGGGCTTTTGCGGCGGAGAGTTGGCCCAAAGCGCGCTAAAACAAATGGAATAGGAATCAAAGCAATGCTCAGAAAAGCCAACAGGCTAGCACCCCATTGATAGCCTAACGTCTGGAAGAGGTTTCTACCAAACAGTGGAAAAGCTGCGCCAGCAATGTTGCGAACCAACCCAATTCCGGCCAGGGCAGACGCAGAGAAGACCTTGTCATGTTAGCATATTTGGTATATATGTCAAGTATTGAAGCTTACCCTGTATGCATCTTCGGTGTATTGGAAAGTCATGAGTATTAATGTGTAGAAGGACCAACCCCAAAAAGCTGACGCAATGATAGGCATAATAGGCGGAATGCTGGCGCCTGTAGTCCAAGCAAAGCAGAATAAAGAGATTGGAAAAACTGACGTTCGGGTCAATATATCTGACACCCTTAAAGGTGAAAGCACTTACCGACTGCAGCCACCATGGCCAATTGTAACCTTGCTTCCGGCGCTGCTCCAGAACCGCTTGAGGTCAAGCGTCGTTGATAGTACCTCTCCTGCCATAGATTGGTAAATGGGCCGACAGATATACCAATAGCTATACCTAAGAAGGCGCAGCCAACCTCAAACGTGTTGAAACCGTGCCCTTCACCAAATACCATCCTAAAGGCTCCATTGAATAGAAAACTTAAGCCATATAGATAGCCATTGTAAAGTGCTGCGAAAATGATGATGGCTTCTGTGAACAGAAAGCGGAAGGGCCTAGTTAGAGCCACTCTGAAGAGTTCGTTTGCAGACCTGCGCTGAAGTGTCCCTGGCTTGTAAGCATGATTAAGAGAGCTGTTTGCTTTTTTGAGAGCTTTGACTCGTCTCCGAAGAATAGTTGTGTGCCTTGTTTCACGTAGAGTGAGCGCCATAATGAGCCAAAATGCTCCGCACACCCCGAGCAGGGCCCAGAATACCTCCCTCCACCCTCTGTGTTCAGCTACGATTGACATTGCGAAGAAGCCTGATGGACTACCACATGTTGCGGCCCAAAGGTAGATCGACATAGCGATACCTGTCTCATGATGAGTCCACATGTCTGCAATGGATCCGCCGAAGTTCGCTAGCTCAGAGTTAGTCGACACGCATCATCCTATAAGTCATAATGGCCAGTATAGGAAAGGCAGGCATCAGAACATACCAATGGTGACTGCAGCGAATAGCCCGCTGAAAAATCGTAGGACCATGAATCCACCAACGGTTTGCACCAGAGCAGTCGCAGCTAAAAGTAGAAGAAAAACTGCGTATGATCCTATATAAATCACGCTTCGACCAAAAAATTCACTGAGAGGCGCAAGAGACATAGGGCCAAGTGCAAGTCCCAGAATGTAGAGGCTCAACCCAAGTGTTGCCACAGTCTCTGAGAGCCCGAACTCGGCTCGAAAGCTTGCGGTAGCTGGCGAGAACCCCGATGCTCCCCATGACACAGAAAGATCAATAGGCGTGATGACGGCGACGATAAGCCATTTCCTCCATACGGGCCAGTTACGAGGGTTTTCGGGATCGCCACGTGCGAAATGATCAACCGGAACCTCTGAGGCGGATGCTAGAAGAGGCGTTGAGGCAGAAGGGTGAGCTTGATCAACACTTCCGCTGGGATTATCTTGATAAGTCGACATGATAATTATTCACCTGTGCATGGTAACCAGCTTCTCTGATGGTACTGAGAAACACTGAACACTACCGTCGTTGGTATTGAAATGTTTGTCCCAGCTGTTATATTGCAGTTGTCCACTTAAGGTACAGTAGTGAGGGGTTAGCGGGGGGCTGTTACCTAGTATAATAGAGTAGCAGGCTATGCTAGAAAAGGAGAATAACTATTGTTAAATAAGGTATAGAGACTTGAAGCAGTGAAATATTTGATTTTGAAATTAAACAAATGAGTTGAACAATGCTTCATGTGATGAGGAAACACGAGAGAAATGCTTTCATGGCTACTGTGATCATGTGCGTCGGCTGCTCCCGACAAAAATGACGTTGGTATGCTGGGAAACCCCACCAAATGCACCAACCCCCAGCCGCCTGGTCGTGAATTTGCGGTCTACCAGTGTTGGATACTTGTGTGTCTATCTGTACAAGTATGTATATGATGGGAGCATGCATGGAATGAATACAAAAGAACATGACTTCCAATTATGACACCAATTTCATGATTCTGGTTTCGAAGGTACGCCTTCTGAAGGAATCCCCATTGACCGTAGCGTTTGTTGTCGTAGACATTCTACTATGCTAACATGGTAAACTCAATTATTTCCAAGATATCTTGACTATGCGGCACTGAACGGAATTTGGGTTAAGTCTTATGAGTTCTTTCATCTAGACTAGCTATTTAACTGCACGACTTCTTTGGACAAGTTCTCAGGAATTATAGCATGGTGCCTGTGGGTGATTGTCTTAGCCGCTGGCATGTAGCCCAAGGTCTTTCATCGTGTTTCTCAAACTGTGTAAGTCCCTTAAGTGAAGTGAGTGGAGCTCTCCATCGCGGAACATCCACGGTTTCTTTTGGCGCCTTTATCAATACTTTGACTGATCTGACATAGTCCGGTAGTAAGACATGTATCTTTGAGAAAGCTGCCGCGGCTATCATGTGCCATTGCGGAAAACTATAGTTGGTCATGGCCAATTTCCTACTTCTTTGTGAAGTAATCATGCTAGTCTTTGTATATATGTCCTGAGTCGCTGCAAACAACTGTCTGTTGACAAAGGATGAGTTGAATACCATAATTCAAGCTTGGTCAGCTTCACAAAGTTCAAGCTTGGTGCCTTATTCGCACTAGATGTCCAAGAATGGCGTCGATTAGATGGTTGTTTGGTCTTCACACCAGGATAGGTGATGCGGAGCGGTTCCGAAGGTCAGCAGCACCATCGCCCGAGCCTTTTCATAGACCTGTAGTACCACCTATAGGTGCCGACACAAACAAGGTCATAGAAAAGTCGTCTGATTCGGTCAGTGCGCTATCAAGAACCCAGTTTCCGACAGCTGAACTGTCGCACTATGGCATCGCGCTGTGTCAAAACGATAAAAGGATGGTAGCCGAAGAACAGAAGAGGCCTAGTCTGCGATTGTTCTGTCCGAAATGTATTAGAGGAAACCATAACGTTAAGGTATAGATCAGGTGAACCATCAACAACACAACCGCAGGGATGCGATGATAATGCTTACATTGAGCTGCTTGGAGTTTGGATGTATATGGCTAGAGACATGCAAGAAACGGTACAATCATCGAAGCCTAAGGGATATTATATCATATTTATGGCCTATTTATACACACCAAGCGCCAGGCAACTAAAATCATATGCTTCGCTAAAAGGATAATACATCAGGTGAAACTGATATCATAAGTCGTAGATCATAACTGCCATCTTTCACACCAAATTAGACAAGAAGGTCGTTTACAGATCGTGACCTGGAAAATGTTAGCAGATGAAGATGAGAAGTTATTTGTCAGCGATACGTACGACCAAGTTGCTTGCCACGCTTCGAGACCTCGCGAGCATGGTACTGCTTGATCTTGGCACGCTTGGCCTCCTCAGCGGCCTCAAGCTCAAGTCTCTTAACCTCTTCCCTAGCTTCCCTTACACGGAGTCGAGCAGCCTCCATTGCGCGGTCAGCCTCGCGCTCCGCAGTCTCGGCGCTCAACACCCGCTCTCGGGCCTGCACGATCGACGGGTCCATCTCAACGTTGTTGCCGTGTCCGAACGATCGGGACAACAGGGATCTCCGGCCTGAGCTCGCGTCAGTCGATCTGCGGAAGACGCCGCCGCCGCCACCATGGGTGCTTGGCGAGGTATGGTATGAGGTACCAGATTGGTGCGAATGGGATGTTGTGGAGGTCCGGACTGTGGACGAGGGCGACGGCGAGCGCTCTCGTCTGCTGCCGAAAAGGCCATGAGAGCGTTTTGGCTCCTCATGGTAGACCGGGGTAGGCTCGACGACCTCCTCTTCGGGCTTGCGACTGGAGAAAAATGGCATTTTGAGGTTTGGTTATTGGTTGTTGTGAGGTCTTGGCGGTTGTGGAGTATAAGTTTACTAGGTCTTAAAGGCTTGGAATTGCAGAGTATGGCAAAAAGTTCACCGTTGTTGGAAAAATAACTCCGGATATTCGGCTTCTCTCAATGGGCGAACTGCTCTATTTGACCTGATGACCCTGCCATGCTCCCTTGCAGCTGCGATGAGACAGTCCATCTCGCAAACCGGTTTTGGTGATGGTGTTGGGGAAGCTGGTTTGTAGATCATTGCGAATGACGTAGCCCCACAACCAATGAGGGTTCGCAGCTGAGACACAAAAACCAATCAGCGACGACCTATGACGAAAGCCGGGGCAAAGACCCCTATCGTAAACCGCATATGCAGGGACTTTGACATTGTAAATTCCATCATGCATGCCAATTTTTACTTTGAGAGGCTGAAAGAGGCATGCCGTCCACCATTACGGAATAAAAGGGCTCGACGGTGTGGCTTCGCTTATCTCTTGGACCGCTTCGGGCAAGCCAAGCCATTGCGCATCTTACATCATGATGCATACCTTATCATCGTGAAACTACGGGCTTTATTGCGTAGGTTGAGAGGTCAAAAGAAGGTTGAATAAACCTGACAATGTAGAAAAAGATCAGATCTTGGAATACACCAAACCTAAATTAGGAGCAAGCTCGAGCAACCAATATTCGTTTAAAACGTTCTAGAGAAGCAAAAAGACTTATTAAAGCATTTGTTGGTAATTGAAGCTCTGATGCGCAGTGTCCACATTCGGATATACCGCATTTTGGTTGCTCAGACCTGCGGTCAAAAATATGCTTCGAATCCGATTCCATAAGCCTCACCTAGAATAATGCATAGAAATCAGCAATGCAAACGAACAAAGCGTGGTTCAGGAGAGCTCGTATTCGTTGGAGCAGCAGCAACATCGAAGCGACTTCATCCAATAAGAAACATTGCAGTACAGTATTAGCATTCCGGCTAGGACTATCTGCGGTACTATAATATGTCCCTCGGTAAGGAAGCAAAGATCGGACCTCCTGCGAGCTGTTGTGTTAATAGTACGGATCCGTACATTGGCGACGATACTCTGTAGTTCGAGGTATCCACCTTGTCCCCACGATTTAATCTAGGTTCCGACTTAATACAAGAGGATGGTATGCTAGTTAACGGAAGGATTAGATACTAGCATTATATAGGAGGTCATGCACAAACCGTGGGCTTGCTTGCTTTCTCATCACGAACCTACATTTTCAACCTTGAGGTAGCATCCCTGAGTTGCTAAGACCAATATGGTAATTATACTCAATACGCGCTTCAATACGCGTTTGTGGCAGTTCAGTAATAGGCTGAAGAAGCCCGTCACCTACCATGACTACACACATAGTAGCGAAAGCTAAAGCAACCGCGGCTTTTAAACCGATTGAATGACGACATCCTCATACTTGCATGTGTCTACAATGATGGTTTGAATAAGAGCGGCATTGAGCAAAACACAGAGTCTATTAGGGGGCTGTACTTTGGTGGAATGAAAATAAATGCTGGATAAGATACATGGCTGTTGCTTCGCAAGCTTCACTAACTTAGTGCTTCTGTAATTATCGTAAGGTTATAGACTATACTGTACATAACTAGCCGTCAGGACTGTCCAATCCTGAGCCAGAGAACAGTCAGATACTCCCTAAACAAGGAGGACATTCTACAGGTCCACCCGTGTCGGATGAAATCAAAATGCTATATCTTGCTCTAGACTAGTCTAGGAGAAGCTCGAAAGTTGAATCCACTTACAGTTAAGTCGGCGCCACTTACAAATGTAGCCGGCGGACGAAAGTCTCTCAGTGCGATGTAATGTTCTGCGACCGACCCCCCCCCCCCCCCCCCCCCCCCCCAACCAAAAAGAAGCCCCAATGTCCCAAACGTCCCCAAAGACATGCAGGCACTGCATCCTCATGGCGGCGAGCCATACCCGAAGCAGATCTGTTTCGGCCGATAGCTTGACCTTCGTCGTTGAATACTTCTTCCAGTCAAGCATCATTAGCAAACAAGGCTCGGAAGTATTTTTCAACAGTCGATGCTCCGTTCAAGATAAATTACAAGTACGGAAAATGTATTCATGTTTGTCATTACAACAATTTTGTCCGAGACCGCAGTTGTCGGCGAGTGCGAATTCTCGGAATCAACCATAATCTAACAGTCCGAATTAGTATGGCGCGGTCAGAAGTTGCGCCGATTGCCAACGCATAGTCAGGCCGTTTGTACCACAACGGTCTGACCCATAAGCCGCTGCCCGTAGTAGTAGTTGTATATGGCTTCAAAAATTTCGCGCGGGCTCTTGCATCATTGAACACTGCAACATTGCAGAATTGCAGAATTGCAGAATTGCAGAAGCGATAGTGTCACCAGTTGGTGCCGAGTCCCTCCATCAGCCATGAATCCGGCGGATAATATTGCGCCTGGATCTCTGTGGCATAAGCAAACAGTCAGAGGACAACTCCCGCCATTAGTGCCTGCACTTCCTTTAGAAGAGAATACGGATTGGGATACGAACTTTTTCGCTGGACATTATGCGTTGGGATCCGGTCATCTGGGGGCTGAGCGGAGACATAGCGGGTGGGCCGCCGTTGAGAAGCAGTGGGCAGCAAGTCAACCGCAATCGACAGCCGAAAAAGAGACGACGCAAGTGTAAAATTATACAGAAAAGGTGAAATAACTAATACAGACTCGCAGGCCTATGTCCAGAGAGTCTGCAGATATTTTGAGCACGTTACACCCTGGTTTATCATTACCACCACCGCAGTTGGAGGAGGGGTTTCGCCTAAGAGTTGTGATGAACCCTAATGTGGCAACAATGGCAGTAGGGGCTGGCTCTAAAAATTGGACAACATTTACCGAAGGAGCGTGGTCGGGCAGTCTCGGTACGGGAAGTGTTGTTGTAAGTAATGAGGAAAGATAATTTGGACATGAATGTTGAGCTAAAGTTTCAGTCAGGGTGGTGGACAAGATAGTATCGACATGGAGTTTGGTAAATCGCAGGGCACACAGATTGAATCTACCTTCAAGCTGAGAACCATTGATGAACCGCCGGCTATGTGAGTATTTCACAAAATATCCATTATCTATTGGCTGACTTTGATTCAGGATCGAATGTAAAACACGTGGATTTCGGACTGGGCCCGATGACATTATGACAGCCCTCAAAGACACAGCACAATCTCTAGCAATCGATCCGAGACAATATAGACACAGAGTTGTTATTACAATGAAGACGAATGATCCACGTTATGCCGAGAAGGTGAATTTCGAACTTTGGGTTGGGACTTGTCTTTGGCGCGGCTCCGAGGTCATCTATGAGTGAGTTGCTATAGATATACTAAGCTTTATCACTAACAACTTTGTAGCGCATATAAGATTCGCTGAGTGAATCTCGCATGATGGACGATAGCCGATCATTTAAAGTAGTAACACAACCTCGTCTAAGGGCAATGTGTCACCGAAGCCAAACTATTTGATATGCCTGCCAGTGATGGTGGCCTTCGGCATAGGTTCAACAAATGATCGGATAGTTATGACTGCCCCAGAGATACTCCAACGTATGGGATGGCGGACACTGTTTAACACTAGTGCAATATCAAAGGTGAAATCCAGTTGATCTTATGAAATCCACAGCAGGGGTTCTGTGCATTGGGACGAATTGCTCATCGCGTAATATTATGCAGCTGGTAATAAAGGAATCATCGGTAAAGAATGACGGCAATGGAGTAAAGAAATCCTAAACATATTTCCACATATCAGTGGAACGTGAACGATGAATTGAAAGCTCTTTTACACTACATGGTCGTGCAATGCTTCAAATCTGGGACCTTGTATGGTTTGAACTTGAGTGATAACATACCATTCGAAATTTGATACTTTTCTCGCGAATTGAATAGACTTGATACGACTCTTGTTGCAGTGCGTGGTACATTAGTAGACCCTAGTCAGTAAAGTAGTATTAGCCCAAACGTACCCCGTTCTCATTTCTCACGTCGTGACCACGAGAAAAAAGCAAAGAAGAGGAAAAAGAGTGCTAGCATCTACAAGTTTGGGATCTTGTGACCACCAGGACGCATTGGTTTATCACATTTGAGTAACTATCCTATGAGTCTGGCGTTATTCCATTTATCTAAGATGCTTAATTTGTTGTTGGAAACAGTTGAGGTTGTTTGATATTTAGAATCTGACTGAGAATGTTGAATCAATTTGTGAGTCAACCTGTGAGGCACTGGAAGGTGCAGTAACAAACGCCGAACGAGAAATTAGAACACATTAAGATCCAACCCGCTTAATGTATTCGGCGGCACGACTATTGCAGAGCAGGATTTGATCATGGGCAAAAAACTAGATCATTGACCTTGAGTGTCTAACCTCAAAATCGATCCGATTGCCCCGTGTAAACCCGTCAAAATCCATAATAGATGGAGTTACATCTCGTTGCTAGCTTATCAATAAGTAGGTACTGCTTCAGAACTCAACTAAAATGAGATGCTGTCTTTGACTGGCACTCCAATGGGGGTGTTCACGACATTCTAACGGCGTATACATGTGTTGGTAGCCATGAGTAAGAAGAACGTGACTCCATTACGGCAGTGCGAGTCCGGTGTATCACAGTAGTTGAGCCATTCTCACACGATGTATGGTATCTCAAATTGCAAATTAAACGCTATTATGTCTAACTCAGACGTCTGAGACGGGCACATGGCCTTTTTCCACAGGGTGGTGTGCATTTTGATATAATAGCGTCCAGTCATTACTATTTATGCTCAAGCTCCAAAGGCCAGTTTGCTCTGGGATTGGACAGACTTTTGGACTCTGGTAACGTGTATGGTGTGCGAGTGCGAGAGGCCGCGGAGATATAACTGTCTCATGATTTTGTGAGTTGGCATTGACTCTGGAAGACTTATGTTGATCTCCGAGATTTAGTACTCTCCGGCTAGGACATGAGGAGTCTCATACAATCATCTCATTACGATAATCACTCTTAAAATTCTATCATGTGTGCGACGGACAGACCGCTCGGTAATTATAAACCGGTAATATAGGTCTCTTCCAGATGGATTTTGATCTATCCCAGTAGGCAAAGCTTACCTATGTTCTATTTAGATCACTAATCGGACCATATCTAGGCGCAGGGCCCCAAGTAGGCGCAGCTGTATCAACATCAGCGGATATCGGGGTCAAGCACAGCGACGATAGACAAAGTCGCACACTATCAGGGATCTCAAGTGGAACATCTTGCGGCCAGCAGTCATCTTTCGCCACAAGCCACAAAGTTAACAACAAAGCCGGAGCGCTCGTACTTAGAAGCTACGAGAGGCCACTGCAGAGTTCTTTAGAACGAGACAATACGAGTTTTGTGCCAGACTTCACCGACCACGATCCCGAAATATCTGTAACGAAGGAGTCACTTGACGTAGCACTTGTTGATAGTCACACCCACTGGAATCTGAAATTTATTTTTTTGGAGAGTTGTCGTCTTCAGGTACAGGTCCAGGAACTTCAATTAGGCCTCCAGGGATTTACTCAGAGACAGACGTTGGGAACATGCGCATGATTTTAGCAGACTTCGAACGAAGCGAGATTTCTACGCGCGAGCAGGTACTGGAACATTACAGGCCATCCATCGTCTGAAATCGGAGATGAGTAAACTCGATACCATGGCTAGGAGCATTATTGTACGGTTTCCAGGACATCAAGAAAGGTAAGAGGCTGTCGGAAAATACGATGTGCCAGCCTTCAGTTGCTGACAGGAAATGTTGTAGACAAGCAAACAAGCTAACTAAGGTTAGTTAGGGGAAACAGGCACACTCGCCGCTAGCGGAATCTGTGGAGAGAGCTGGGATCGAATGGTGAACGGTTTCCGCGTCGTAGATGGGCTGGATCTTCTTGATGATGGCGGACCAGCCGCAGCGGGCAATTGAATGAGAGACATTCGCAACGAATCAAAGAGCGCAGACGGAGCAAATGTCGGATCTCTTAAGCTCGGCGATAAAGCGGTGATAGGATGTGCCTGGAAGATTATTGTACCACGAACGGAGGACATGTCCAAACAAAACTCCACAGCCAAAAAGAAGCACATCCCAATTGCGTGGGTCATCAGTATTCCCCCCTATCCCGCGTGGCGCCAAGCCTTCTGCAGTTCCCCGCCTGCTGCATTGACGCCGCGCTGCGTCGTACGCTTTCCATTGTTCTTTACGGAGTACTGCAACTGGAAGGCTGGGGAGTGGGCAAGCAGTGGATTAGCATCCGCGAAGTTTTCTCGGCTTTCTTTGGCCCCTCCCATCTTCATTCACTCGTTTTGATTTATCTTGTATTGTTTTATTTTCGTGTCGAGGCTGGTGCTATCTTGGGCAATGAGTCATTGATGAAAAAGTTGTACGCATGGCGCGAGACTGAGATCGAGTAGTCCAGGCATTGAATCGCGTGTACGGATACCCCGTCACCAGTAAATAGGTCTATGGTTAGTGACCAGACTTTATCGCTCAAAGTACCTGTGACGTACCCCCCGCGTCCAAATATCGACCGTCCCCGGCTCTCCACATCTGGTCAACCTCAGCATCGTCATTTGACGATACGGTCTCAGCACGTTACGGCAGCACTTTCATGCCCAGAGCGACGACTCGGAGCTTGCAGAGCTCTCCATGGTGCACACGGGACAATTGGCTGCTGCAGTGAAGGGACAGGCTGATACAGCAGACATGGACACTCGAAGGTCAGCTCGACCGCCGGCGCGCATGCCCTACACGTCTCGTGGCTCGTTCCGCGCTGGCTCACCGTTGCCGACTCTGAGGTCTTCTCGCGGTCGAACCGGTGCCCTGCGAAGACAATCGACGAACCAGCACTACCAAACCTTTCCGACACCACCACCGAGAACAGCGGGCTACCGCGGCCGTAGCTCCGGCTCCGGCTCTTCTTCTGGGGAGTCTGTTGCGAGCAACGAGCATCACTCGGCCACACCGTTGCCAGCGGCACAATTAGCGCTGCTCGCGTTGCTTTCGTTGGCGGAGCAGACTGCCTTGAATTCGATATCGCCCTATCTACCAGAGATGGTTGCCTCGTTTCCGGGAGTAGACAGTGAAAAAGTGGGCGTATACGTTGGTCTGCTTGCATCTTCATTCGCATTGGCGCAGCTCACGACGAATCTCATGTGGGGATACCTCTCTGACATCATCGGCCGGAAACCCGTCATGCTTCTGGGCACATCGCTGCTTTGCTTGTGCTTCGCCCTCTTCGGTTTCTGCACACAGTACTGGCATATTGTGCTTGTGCACGTGGCCATGGGCTTGCTCAACGGCAATGCAGCAGTTGTGCCAACCTGCCTTGGGGAGTTGACGGATCGGAGCAACCAGAGCAAGGCTTTCACGTGGCTGCCAGTGGTTTACAGCCTGGGCAGTATCACCGGACCGGCCCTTGGTGGCTTGTTGGTGGGCAAGGTAGCCGGCGACAGATACCCCTTCCTCGCCCCCAACATTCTGGGCTCATCTCTACTTGCAGCGAGTGTCATTGTCTTGTTGATCTGGTTTGACGAAACGCTGGAGGAGAAGGGCAAGCCATTCGATTTTCGCGAAAAGCTTGGCTCTCTATGCTCTTGCCTAAAGAGGACCAAGAACAAACTGAAGCGCCGGCGGGACCGCTCAACAGTGTATGGTACCACAGACACGTTGGAAGAAGAAGACGAGGAAAACGAGGAACGTGGACTTCTTGGGTCAGACGACGACGAAGACGGCGCCAAAAGTCCGTCCGACGCTGCGACATGGCGGCAGCTTCTCAACCGCACCACTTTGCTACTGTTGACCACGTATCTCGTATTTCAAGTATCAAACATCTCATTCAGCAGCTTATACCCGCTCTTTGCGTCCGGGCCAAAGCCGACAGGCCGGGGTTTACCCGCAGATGTCATCGGCATTTCGCTATCAATCGCGGGCATATTCACAATCTTGTTCCAACTTTTCGCATTCAGGCCGATCAAGGCCAAACTGGGGAATCTGGGTACCTACCGAGGATCGCTGCTTGGGCTTGCCATCAGCATGGCGCTAATGCCATGGGTCGGGTACAAGGACTCTGCGCCTCCATTTGGTGTTGGAAGCAGCAAAATCTGGCTATATGCAGAGCTGGGCATCATTTTGGTCATCAAGAACATATGCGCTGTTGGAGGGTTATCCAGTGTCATGTTACTGGTAAGCTTGTTGGCTGTGTCATGATTCCTACTTGCTAATACTCGCTCAGATTACGAACTCTGCGCCATCCCATGCTAGTCTAGGAACATTGCAAGGTGTTGCTCAAACATTGTCTGCAGCAGGCCGAAGCTTTGGTCCCTTCGTATCCGGAAGTCTCTTCTCTCTATCAGTACACGTCCAGCCCAAAGGAGAAGCATTGGCATGGGGCCTGTTTGCAGGTATCTCACTTGCTGGGTGGCTAGGAAGCTATGCTATCCACGCAGAAGGGTTGGAGAGCACTGATGATGGCTATGAAGAAGACGAAGAGGATATGTCTGATGACGAAGAAGCAGCTCCCAGGTATTGAGTGACTGACCCCGGCGCTTTGTTACTAATACAAACCCTGGAACATGTCATGGAAGACCATCAAAGCAGGGAAGTGCGCACCTATGAGGAACGCCACCGTAGCCATAGTATGCCGAAGGATCCCAAGAGCATGGCGGCGCCTATGCCATGCAAGAATCTCCCAATTGAGCATTGAGTGATGACGTGGAGTCGCCAATGATGAGTTGAAGATGACTTCAGCATTGAATGCTTGGATCAGATCAGATCGGGAATGCAAAAAAAAAAATTAGAATCATGTCTATTCCATGAAACCAGGATCCGGACCACCGCCCGAATGAGCATTATAACTTACTGGATTGGAGGCCCCAGTATAGCGTCAATACTTGTCACAGGGCTGCATATCCTGATGGGCGTTATACTCTCAAACCCTATTCGTTGGGCCCAGGGTGGTGCTCGAATCGGAATAAGGTTGATAGTGGGAAGCTGAAGTCAAATGCCCACATACCCAATACAGTCATCCTGTAATAGTAGACAGCACAATAGCCTCCTGGACCAGGTTTTTGGACAACGGATCAAGTATGAAAAGTGGCAGGGAACAAGCTGTCACAGACGACGTGCGGTATTGGCTTATTGAACGAACTTGTCACCATTGACCAATGTAATTAACAGCCAAGGTCTTGGCTTGGTGACCTTCCAGCCAGCTATTTTTTCGGCGTAGTTCAGTTACCATCAGCACTAAGACCACTGGAAGAGAAACATCCGGCAACAATGCCACAAGTCTAACTCAGCAAACTTCGTTCCAGAGTCATTTCACAGCGACCTCGTGAGCTTCCACGAGCGTGTTTATTACTGATGACCCTCCAGAATGATTGTTTTTTAAAGAGGCCTCCCAATCCACCGTGATCGCACCATGGAGTGTCCGGACCCCGGCAGGTCAACAGGCATATTCTATAGATCTTGACTGTCGCTGTGGATTGCGCCCGAGTGTCCGTCTATTGTCAAGGTACAATCCAAAAGTGGATGTTCGGCTTGCTAATGACTATATAATCCAGCATGTTCCAGATTTGCAGTATGCTGCACAACGTCAGTTTTGCAGGAGCTCTCTGTCGGCGAAGCTGGGTGGCACGCAGTAGTGTCCGTAGTAGATCTAACTGCGGGGGCATCTACATTGTCCTTCCAGACGCAGTCACTGCATAAGCGTCCTCGGAAGTGTGGGTTCACTAGGTGAGAGGCGTCCCGAAAACCACCAGATGCAGGCACAGCCCTATACGCCTAAGATCTCACGGATAGTGGGTCTTTCAGGAGTTACCTACGGCCTGCCCGACTTTGGTTGCATATGAACAGCTATCCCGCGCGCGGATCATTTGGTTCATACATGTTAAGCTTCGATTACCAAATGCTTTAGATGCCACCTCTGCTCCATGCGTCGACCCCTGCCTGCTTTGCCCAAAATACTGCACGTCAGCACCATATTTCTGTTAGAAGAAAATGCCACCAATGATAGATAGACCATGCCGGGCTACCATTGCTGCACAATCAGAATTACTCCATTGTCCCTCCCAGCTGCATGCATCTCAACGGCACACCAAGCTTCCGGGACAGCATAGCTTTCAGCCTCAACTCCATGACTCCATTGCCAATGCTCATCAGCAGGAGCTGGTCAGTGTCAAGATGGAGCCTCCGCTGCATAGTCAGCATGTGCTATCGAACAAGAGACATCATAGTAGGTGCAGCTCAGTTCTGTTTGCTCATCAGGATATATTTAAAAATGTATGTCAGCGTTCAGCTGTGTCACAATACAATCTCAATATTGTTGTTTCGTAGTGTTCTTATTGATGCTCACTCGTTCTAAATTTCGTATGGTCAGATTTAACAACATTCTGGTGCTATTCACTGCTGGCTTTGATCCGGAAGTATATATGTCAACACTGGATGTCGATCAGCCAGTTATTAGTTTCGACAATATAATTCTATATTTCAGTCCCTGAACAGCGAGCTTGAGGCCCTGATGGTATGCTCACGTATTCCAGATAAATTCTTGTGGATAGATAGGTCGATTGCTAAATCCTATCTAGTCATCAGCCAAAACTTAGCCAGACAGAATCGTAACTCCAATCTCTGCTCAAGTCCTCAGAGCATATCCTTGATACCAACTCACACAACCCTATTGGGTTGAGAACTCGAAAATTCCAAAGGGAAGCTCAGGCATACTATAAGTATCGTATGCGCTCGAAGGCCGACATAGTCAGGGTCGAACCATTCAGACTCCAAACGGACGATCTTGTGAACCTCGTTTTGTTTTCACAGTCACCATCACGGTCCTGCCACTTCCAACCGGCCATGTCGTCTCGTTCAAATCGCTCAGATGAGTCCAGTCGTAACTCAAAGAGCAGTAAAAAGAACCGAGTAAGCCAATTGCATACTGGGTTTTATTTCGTAATCCTGCCCCTGTCCTCAGCGCTACCCTACCATTTCTCCTTTCCAGTCACATAATGCTGCTTGTCAACCCCCATTTTATGATATGTGAAGAATGTACACTGACCTTGAGGTGCCGGGTTAGTGTTCTAATCAGCAACTCATCGAGTCATTGCGTACGCACCGCGTAAACACATTGACGGAACTATGTCGCATCGAAAAAGTTGCGGCAAAGTGCGAAAGCGAAGAGGAAGCGCTGGCGTTCCAAGAACCGATGACTTCGGCTTGGTCGTACTATGTCAACAACCAATTCTTGGCCGAACTGCGCGGACTGACGCCGAACTACCCCCTGAGCGCCGAGGTTGTGAACGAGGCGGTCCGCCGGGTGCGCAACGATCCGGAATCCAACAGGAGCTGGAATCTGGCCTGGCTGTGCCTGACCAAGATACGAGACGAGTAAGTGTTATTTATTCCTGAAGTACAGAAAGCCAGGTCGGCTCACGTTCACATGCAGTGGACTCGTGCCTCGTTATGCGAACAACGAGGCATGGAAGAAGGAGATGTGGGGAGGCCGAGACCCATCTCAAGAGGAGGCTGACCAACTCGGTCAGTGTTTCGAGTGGGAGTGGCGCCAAGCCATCGAGAGTATGCTTCGGCACTGGCGAGACACACCTCCCACGTGGTACTAGATGTTCTTCCTTCATCTGCGCTGCGCAGTGGTCTCAATGGGGGTTGTTTGCACGAAGTGAGGCGTTGTGGGTATTCGGCTTCTAGCATTTGCATAGCGAAAGGCGGCGTTGTTGTGGATTATGGGGTCTAGGTTCTACGCCCTGGAGGCGAGACATATCTCTTCTTGATACTTCCAAATGTGCCTTGTGCCTTTGTTGCTCGTAAACCACAGTTCAACCTATTTTGTAAGGTTCAAGCTCTATACGCTTTCCATTTGATTGACAGACGCGAATCCAGTCCTATCTCTGCTGATTGTATTCATTGTTGGATCAGTTGTACCACAGTGGCCCTGAGGCTTGACACCTTGGACGTTCACAGCGGCTGAAGGGTGCAACCAACATGGCTGCTCTGCCATAGATGTTCACGGAACTTTAGGTGAGGTAGGTGACAACTGAGTCTGTTATGTAGCATCCTTAGACTCAATTAACTGTATGCTGTCTGTCAACTTGCACCGTTGCACAAATTCCGAAACCGAGCGCCTCTGTTTCCTTGCACCACTTCTAGAGTAATGAGCATAGCTTAACTTTAAGATCCTGCAAAAATGCATGTCTAGACTACCAGTCACAACTTATCTTTGTTGGCCTCAGAAATGGTGATAGTTCTCACGTGATGTAATGCGCCACCTCCTGAGCAAGCTGGTATGCTTCCATCGACAGGACGAGACGTCATTGGGAATTTATTGAATTGTTTGCAATCTTCAGGGAACACAGATGAATGACCGCCAACCCTTTTTATCCATAGCTTTTGGGATGTGATGATTTCGTGTTGCTTCTGCGAGAATCTACCGGTTGATCGCGTGAGCTGTCTTTGCCGTAGCGCTTGAAGGTTAGGTTGTTGCGATGTGTGAGCTTTTGCTGTTCGATAGTCTTGCACTTGACCTGGCTTGAATGCAGGTAGAAGCGGATAGTAGAGTTCCCGTTAAATGAAATAAATTGGTTATCAAAATCAATCGTGCAAGTAAAATTAACTCTGATCTACAGCGATAGCCGATTCGCGAATCGACCACGGAGCGAGGCTGTGCACTTCTTAGCGCAACGGCACATTTGGCCGGAATATTCCTCATTGGGATAATGAGATTGTCATTACCGAAGATGACCGTAGGGCCTCCCCTGTTACGGGTAACTACTTGGCGTGTCACAGACGGCTGTAGTTGCATCCCCTGAGCGTACACTGAATATCGACAGTTTGTAGGAAGAGACAGCATCCTGCCTTGGTCAAATCGAGTTCGCAGTATCGTAGGTTGAAATTGAGTGCTGGGTATGATCTATATTGGGGATTCGAATATTGCTGATTGGCTCGGGCTCCCCGTAAGGAAGGAGAACCTTGCTGTTACATATATGTCGGCAACATGTTAAAAGCCTCATTTAGAGAAATCCATGGGCTGGAAGGATTGCAAAGTGCAGTGTAAATACTACAGCACTGAAACAACATATGAACCAACATGGCAACTGCCCTGAAAGTTGTCATAAATCGACCCTTGGAGCATGTGAGACCGCACCTCGCTAACTTAGCTTCGGGGTGGTTATACCGTCCGCTAGTGGGGACCATCCACTATTCGTTGGCTTTTCTTACCGAGCTGATGTGCCCCAGTTCATGGAAACGGATCAATAAACACGTCGGTAGCCCGGAGTCCAGGGAAGCGTGAGTCGTGACATGGGGGAGCGCCCGATCCTTGCATTCCCGTTGAATCTGACAAATGCCACTCGTGAGTTCAGCATGCATAAAAATCGAGGCGGTGCCTCTACCATGACGAGGAGGTCATAATCAGCCAATAGGGTACCCTGGAAACAATTGGGGGGATCTGTAGGCGCTTCTATTTTCAGCACCTTCAAATATCCCGAGCCGCCTTCTCCATATGTGTGGAGAGACACGCGATCTTGAACCGTTTGCACGCCGAACTATTGTTACGGGCCATGTTCGACTGATCAAGATGGGTTCGCCAACAACAGTGGGAGTCACGGGCTTCCAGTTCATAACGTCGGTAAACACAATCAAGCGTGATGACGAAACACGGAAAAGAGTACGGTCTCATGCACGGAGGCAGAAGCTACCAAATGAGCCAGCGATAAAACAACCGGCGCAGAAGAGGGCTTCGCAGAAAGAGCGGGTGTCAAAATTCCGATTAAATACAACAAAATCTCAGGCACCGGTCAATAGACAAACACATACGCCGCCGAAGTCTGCTTCACCGAACAGTATTTCGTCGCAGAATGATTCATCGCCAACGACCTTCGATGGACCCATTGAAGACATCAAAATCGAGAGAACTCAGGATGATTTGCGAAGTGACATGATTACCAATGAACTCGCGTTCGTGGTCGCTGCTGAACTGCCCTCGTTTTCTGTCTTGCCAATTCGGACTACGCCGTTGACGGAGAAGCTGTTCAAATGGATGATATGTGTCTGTCTCTCACCACAGGAGAAATTCGTGCAGAAGTGGTTTGATAGCAACGGTGCGCCATCATACTTCAGCACTTACCACTCCAGTTTCATTGCCTTGTCATTTGCCATGAACCCTCAAGGAGACTGGTTCGATTATGTGAGTAACATTGCAAGCTCTGGTATGTGATATTTTGGGTCCTGGCTAATGCTCATGCAGATCACAGTCGATCCGGCCATGACTCACGGATTCATGGGCCTTGTTGCCGCAATGCACTGCGCTCTGGCCGAATGGAATGACATGACAACAATAGACTTCCATCGCTATGAAGCGCTCAAGCATATTAACGAAAGATTAAACCTAGAAGGCAGAGACAACGCTACGGTATCAGACGGGGTAATCGTCTCTGTATCTCTCCTTGTTCACGTTGAAGCATTCATAGGTTCGCTCCCTGCAGCTAGAGCACACCTGATGGGTTTGAAGAAAATGATTGAGATGCGCGGTGGATTACTCGATGGTTTCCGACACAGCACCCTGCTCCAGCGTGCTCTGGCATGGGCAGACTTTGCTTATGCTACGGCTTCACAGAGTGCATTGTCGTTCCCATTTATCCCGACGCTGGCCTCCGCTCTCGACATACAGGACCGGTTCTTGTCGCGCTCCATGATGCTCAACACTTCTTCGTTGGGCCGGTGTCATAACCGGCTGACCATTCGAGACCGCGAAACGATCGAGCTCTTTGAAATCATCTATTCAACGACGCAGGCTGTAAATACCTTCGAGTTCGAGAAGTTGGAGAGTCTCCGAGCTGAGCGGGGCCAAATGAGCGACAGCGTTTATTTTGTCGAGTATAGGCTATGTCACCTCGAGGAAATGATCAGATCGCGCAGCGGTAACTCGTTGGCATTCCACGCCGCAGACGTTTTCAACAATCAAGCCATGACGAGCTATCGCAGCCCAACAGACCTGTCAGATGCGTTGGTCTATGCCAGCCACCTATATCTGCATATGGCGTTGAGGGGACAACCACCTCAGGCCAGAGGCCACAGGCTGCTCGTAGAAGCCTTGATGGGAAGCCTCTGCGGTGTAGTCATTACCTTGAATTTACTGTCAGATGCGTGGCCGACGGCTTCTTTCAATGCCACGGGACAATACAACAACGGCGCCATGATCGGCAGGCCGCCAACGGAAGGTTGGCTCGCCCCAGGGACAGAGTATCCTGAGTCCTCGTATGGTACGCCAGATTCTTTGAAGGAAGATTCCAATGACGAGCTTCACGAAGACATACTTTTATGGATACTGTTCATTGGGTCTTGTGCTCGGGTCCCACCTTCTCACGCGTGGGATAGTTTTGAAAGCTCGACCGATTGCCGTAGTTTCTTTCTCAGTTCCCTGAGAAAGTACTGCTTAAACCGAGGCATTTTGAACAGGGACGTCTTGACCATGAAGTTGAAGGCAATAACATGGTTAGACAGTTGGTGTGAGAAGCAACTTGAAATGATTTGGGCACGGATTGGGAACGAACTTGGCATTTAGATGAGGTATTGTACTATAACCGGAAGCGGCATTAAGAGAGGGACACATAGAGAGGGGGAGGGGCAGGGCAGGTATCTGCGGGCACTGGCGTTGAGGACCGGGACGAATCTGGTGCGCACAACGGGTTCAATAGGGGAGGAATGAAATGACGGCAGTAAGCGGGCACGGCAAAGGAAGCGGGGGCGTGCTGTGATTGCAACTTGGACAGAGTCATGAGACGACTGACTTGGGGAGCGTACTGTACCATAACGACACTACTGTAACACGATATTGCGTACGGTGGCAAAGCCTTCGCGGGTGGAAATATACTCTCGTACCAGCTTTCAGGGAATTAGCACATGTCTCCTCCGTCAATGTTGTTGGGTTAAAAAGGTTCTTTTTTTAATAGTGGGTAACTCTGGCAAAGGCCACCTATTGCAGCAGGCGCTTATTCAGAACTAGCGCAGATGCAGGCTTTTTGGGCATGGGGGGGATGGGATTGATGGAGAAAGGCGCGGAAAGGCTTGAAAGGGATTTCGGGGGGGGGGGGGTATTTTTTTTCTCTTCCCCCAAACCAAAACAGATAAGGAAAAAAAAATCTCTGAGGGGCAGGCTCTCCCACTTGTCAGATAAGCGTCGTCCGCCACATTACCTAGGATTTCTGACAATCCGCGCAGTGAGATCTCGCCCTTTCTGCTACAACTCACTTTTTCCACGCCTGAACAAAGGGCAGTTTTTGGGCGCTTGCTGATCGTATCTTTGGTACACAGCGTGAGTCTTCCCGTCAGACTCAGGTGCTTCTGTTCTGTTCTGTTTGTCTCGTCGCTTTTCTTGTCATTCTCTTCATTTCACCATGCCTCACCCCGTATCGCCGCCGATAATGGTCTCCAAATCGGGCTCTGCCCCTCCCCCGCCATTCTTCGAACTCCTTGAGAGCATCTTCAATGCAAAGACGTCTGACGAATCCGTTCAACGCGCCTACGCTCTCTGCGACGAGCTGCTTTCCACCGTCGGATACCAGGGTCTCTACGACTACGGTGTCCTGAACAGAGTCCGAAGCGCAGCAGCCAACAAGAAGAGCGGCCTTGAGCGAGAGTCGGCCCAAAACCTGCTGGGGGCCCTCTTCGAGAGGATCGCCCCAAAGCAGCGCTTGAGCGAGGTTGCTTTCCTGCTTCGCCAGGATGGCATGATCGGCGTCGCCTTTGATGCCCTGTCTGACAAGGGCGCCGTCGTGCGCGATGCTGCTCAATATGGCCTGGATGCGCTCTTCAGGGGTCTGAGCGCTGAGGCGCTCGTCGTCGGTCTGCTTCCCGCTCTCGTCACGTACCTGTCCAAGAAGACAGGCAAGTGGCAGGGACGAGTCGGCGCTCTCAAGCTGATGCAGAAGACGGCAGAGAAGGCCAAGATGGAGATTGGATGCACCAAGGAGGAGGCCCATGAGAAGGATCTGCTTCGAGAGGCCATGGGCGCCAAGCTCGCCACCCTTTTCCCCATCGTCGAGGGAGACATGCACGACTTGAAGGCAGAGGTTGAGAAACAAGCCCTCGCAACCATGACGTCGCTCACTACGCTCCTCTCCAACGACGATGTTGCTCCCAGAATCCCTCTGCTCATTGAGACTTTGCATCATCCCTCGACCCAAACCCTCCAGAAGGCCATCCACGCCCTTTCGCAGACTACCTTTGTCGCCATCGTGACATCTCCTGTACTTGCACTTCTTACCCCCTTCTTGGAGCGCACCCTCAACAACCCTTCCACCAGTCAAGAAGTTCTGCGACAGAGTGTGGTCATCACCGAGAACTTGACCAAGTTGGTCCACGACCCCATTGAAGCCCGTACCTTTTTGCCCAAACTGCAACCTGGTATCAAGGGCGTCTTGGGACGCGCCTCACTCCCTGAGGTTCGCGACCTGGCACAGCGCGCTCTCGATGTCATGGACAAGGCCATGGGCAACGAGGAGGCCGTCATCGAGAAGGTGAGCGCCGCCGATGTTTGGATGGTTCTCGAAGCCGAGCTGAGAAAGACCACTGGCGGTCTTGATATTCTTGCTGAAGACGAGCATCTCTACCTCTCTTCTATGGTAGCTGAGGATGTCAACCATCGCTTTGTTCACCGCATTGAGGACAGACTCACACCATACTTGAAGGATGTCATGAAGAACGAGGCTAGCGAACCTGTTGGGGCTGCAGTACAGCAGCACTTCATTCAGGAAGACCAGCGCAAGTACGGCGTGCCAGAGAAGGAAGATGATGGCGAGACCGAGATTGTCAACGCCGACTTCTCTCTTGCCTATGGTGGAATGCTTCTTCTTTCGCACACAAACTTGCGCCTCCTCAAGGGTCACCGATACGGTCTCTGCGGTCGCAACGGTGCCGGCAAATCTACGCTCATGAAGAGTATTGCTGGCGGCAAGCTGGAAGGTTTCCCTCCCCAGGATGTTCTGCGAACTTGTTACGTCGAGCACAACCAGGGTGAAGACGCTGATATCACCATCCTGGACTTCATGTGCAAGGACGCTACAATCGCTACTGAGGGTCGTGATCGTATCTCTGAGGTCCTGGCTGAGTTTGGATTCACTGCTGGTCCTGAGGGCCGACAGTCTGAGAAGGTTGGATCTCTATCCGGAGGATGGAAGATGAAGCTTGCCCTGGCCAGAGCCATGCTTCAGAAGGCCGATGTCCTCTTGTTGGACGAACCTACTAATCACTTGGATGTCGCCAATATCGCATGGTTAGAGAATTATCTCAAGACTCACACGGACATTACCAGTCTTATCGTTTCCCACGACTCGGGCTTCTTGGACAATGTTTGCACGGATGTTTACCACTATGAGCCCGGCAAGAAGCTTGGTCACTTCAAGGGTAACCTTGCAGACTTCGTCAAGGTACGACCAGAGGCCAAGGCCTATTACGAGCTCGCCGCAACCACCGTGCAGTTCAAGTTCCCGCCACCAGGTATTCTGAGTGGTGTCAAGTCCCAAAGCGCAGCCATCATTCGCATGAGCAACTGTTCCTACCAGTACCCGGGTGCCAACAAGCCCCAGCTCACCGACTGCTCATGCAGGCTTACGCTGTCGTCTAGAATTGCTGTCATTGGTCCTAACGGTGCTGGCAAGTCGACCCTTGTTAAGATGCTGACGGGCGAGACCATTCCTACTACTGGCAGAGTAGAGAAACATCCCAATCTGCGTATTGGTTACATCAAGCAACACGCTTTGGAGCACGTTGAAATGCATCTAGAGAAAACACCCAACCAGTATCTTCAGTGGCGGTACGCCAATGGTGATGACCGAGAAGTTTTCATGAAGCAGACTCGTATTCTTTCAGACAAGGACAAGGCACAGATGGAGAAGCCTATCGAACTGGGCGATGGAAGCCCACCACGACAGGTTGAGGCTCTGGTTGGTAGACAAAAGTGGAAGAAGTCCTTCCAATATGAAGTGTAAGCAAGCCCTATCGCCAACACCAATTGGTATCATGTCGCTAATCTCTTACAGCAAATGGAAGTTGATGCTCCCGAAGTACAACTCGCAGGTTTCTCGTGAGACATTGTTGGAGTGGGGATTCGATAAGCTTGTCCAAGAATTCGATGACCACGAGGCGTCTCGTGAGGGTTTGGGATACCGTGACCTGCAGCCAAAGGTTATTTCTCAGCACTTCGAGGATCTCGGCCTAGACCCGGAAATCGCTAACCACAATGAGATCGGCTCTCTGTCAGGAGGTCAAAAAGTCAAGGTCGTCATTGCAGGTGCCATGTGGAACAACCCGCATTTGCTCGTGCTTGACGAACCTACCAATTTCTTGGACAGAGATTCTATGGGTGGTCTTGCTATGGCTATCCGTACTTTCAAGGGTGGTGTTGTCATGATTTCCCACAACGAAGAGTTCGTTGGCGCTCTTTCAAACGAGCAATGGCTCGTCAATGACGGCAAGATGACTGTCAGAGGTGCTACCATGCTTTCCCTTGAAGAGTCCCGCCCCGGATCTGGTATTTCCAGTGCTGTCGCAAGCACTGCGGCTAGCAGCAACGTCAGCAGTGCAGTCAACAGTGGCGCGGAAGATAATATACCTCTGAAGTTCCGTGCCAAGAAGAAGAAGAAGAAGACCAAGAAGGATTTGAAGGAGCAGGAGGTCAGAAGACGCCTGAGACACATTGAATGGCTCAACAGTCCCAAGGGTACTCCTCACCCCAAGGATACGGATGATGAGGAGGATTGAAGGATGGCAAAACGGATTGCTTAAAAGGATGCGAGCTCAAAGACCGGTAGTAGGGTCTGGACTTGACATGATATTTCTTGTGAAAACTCTGGTTTTAAAAGCGATTGCTTTGGGCTTAGATGAAGCCGCATCCATGTTAGAACGATATCGCTTCCAGATAGAAGCATGGGTATAGAGGCGTTATGACCACAACCATAGACGGAAGGCGCAATGCGATTTATTGATGATCACACTAAACATCCCGTCCCTTCAAGCCGCTCGGTAGAATATTCCACTTGGTGTCAGTGGTTGTGGCTTTCTATAATTGACAACAATCAGCCCCAAGCACAAAGCACAACTGCACAGAATAATACTCTATTGCTTTCGAGAAAACCCAACGAGATGACGTATAACTGAGCAGTTTTCACAAGGACCGGCAGTTGATTAGTGTGGCCTTTGCTGCATTGCCTGCAGCGGCACAGCGTTTGAGCAGCATGCAAAGTTTACTAGGTTAGTCATATTTATCATCATTATGGTGCGCGGTGATTATTTCCTAACATGCCACCACTGAAGATCTCGAGGTATTCCCTCGGGTTCAATTCCAGAAGTCATGATACTAAATCATATTTTCTGTGCCTGTTTCGCCGAGTACATACCGTGTCCAAACCCATTGTGTCTCACCGCTGGGCACTGATGTCAGGTCTCCACTAAAAGGATTCAGCTCGCCCGCTGTGTTTGCCTTAGGATAACATTTGCACGGTAAGAGTCATCATCGTCTGCTGAAATATCACTTACTTTTAAGCCAGTTATCTTAGCAGGTAACACAACTTCTCACATCCAGTCTACTCGGTGCGCAATGGGGTATAATTGAGATTCAGCATTGGGTATGTATTCTCAATTAAACAACAAGGTCATTCGTGACAGCTCTCCACCCGAGCTGGCACGGTACTTCCAAACGCAGCTCAGGAGTGCCAACTGGCGAACCATTTCGAATCAACTTATCTCTTCAGTTGAAACCGGTGCTATCCCCCCGGATGTATTTCAAGTCTGGCTAGCAGTCTGCAAAGATGCAGATGCTATTGTAGCTGCTATTCGCCAAACGGTTTCGATTCTGGCACGTCATGTCGCTATCAGACGGTTTGGGAAATGGTTACGTACGGATGCCGGCTTTTCCGCCATCTGGAAAGCAATAGGCGATGTTCGAGGCGTTGTTGAGTTGATGTCAACATTCAGCGTTCATCATATCAGCACTCTATGCGAGACTATTTCCCTGTCCTGCAAAGCCACTGGAGCCTTATCACCTCGGCAGAGTGCTATTTCTAAGCTGTACAATACGCTGTGCGGGAATGGTGAAATATCCAACCCAGACACACGACCATTAGAGCATCTCTATCGACAACTCATCCCCGCTTGCAATGTCGAAACCGCGCTGGCATACACAAAGGACCGCGGCCCAGGACGAAGAGTCGCGGATGCGCATTCAGCGGCTTACGAGATGAAAGCTATGCAACAGCTCTTCCCCAGTAAAGGCGAGGCAAAGAAAATCTCCGATTGCACTTGTCTTTTGAACCGCGACCGCCGATTTGCACTCAGCGTGTTGACACGCATTACGACAGATTCGAAAGCTCTACAATTTAATGGTGACGTGCTCGTCAAAGACCTCATCATTCCTTTGTTGAGACGTCTACACAATGTTCATAACCATGATGACACGAATCGTGTCCTAATTTTGACTTTACAGTGTGCACAGAAGGAGGCAAATGTCGCCAAAGCTATAGTGGTTGATGCTAGATTTGCTCCCGAGCATAAAACCGTGATTTTTTATGCAACCCGACATTGGAAGCGTTCCCCCGGCCGGCAAGATGCTGAGAAGCTACTGAGTGGTCTCATCGCCGTTGTGCCTGAGAGACAACTGGCTTCTCTCAATAGTGTCGCCAGTTTAGCACAGACAGTCGAGCCTGTCCTGAGATATCCTCTTCTACGTCTGTTTTTGCTGAATGCGAGATGGTGGGGTATAGATATCAGCGCCGAAACTAAAAGCGTTGAGACGAAACTCTCGGAAGAAACGGACGAGCGCTGGCCAGTCGAGTTCTTCCTGGATCTTCACGCACCTGCGGCCTTGCGCCTATTCAAGATAATTGCCAACGCTCGCCCAGACGGCAATTTCATTTCGACAACTTCACCACTCCTTGAAAGAAGAGTTATTACAGCCTTATCAATCGGAGGTAACTCAGTAGATCCTGATATCATGGCAGCGTATCTGGAATCTCGGGTTGCGACGACTGTGGACGAGGAATCAAATTGGTTCAGCCGAGCAAAGAAGGGACTCTCCGAGAGGAAGAATAAAGCATCGAACTCACGAGAATGGGAAGAACGTGCTGATTGGGCGACGTCCGCCCTGAAGCTCGCCATAGCCACGAGTTCGCTGGGGCTCTACGCCGATACCCTCCTTTGGGCTCGGCGATTCAATCGTGACGCCCAGACCGTTGGGCGGCTGTACGTATCACAACACATCAGCACCGAAGAAGGGCTAGATCTGTTGAGTGGAATTCCAACGAACAAGCTCAAACATAAACTACCGTCCCTGGAAGTGGCCAGAACGGCAGTTTCTAAGAGTAATGATATCATGTTCGAGCTTTTGGGTAAGTAGAAGAAATATTCCACATGAAGTTACATGGCACTACGCCGCAAAATCCCCTGTCTTTCTATGGGGAGCATCATTCTGCTGAGAAAATCTGACTTCGACGCTGACATTTATGGTGCTTTAGAAACAGCGGGCATGTCAATCAAGGAACCGTCATTCGTTGAAAGGAACTGGGCTGCGGTCAAAACTTTCCCAGCGGATGTTTTGTATAGACGCCTAGAACGGACTCAATTGATGCAGGAAAAGTATGGCTGGTCAGACGATAGTGTGATAAGCGCAATCTGGGAGCCTACCATAGAATTTTTGGTCAAGATGGAACAGTTCGGACTGTCACCAGAGAATGAACGACTGCATCTCAATTCGGTTTCTGGTCCGCTTGAAGGTTGGGCAGCCGTCAAGCCAACAAAATCTACATGCTTCTTCTTAGACAGGTTGGCAGAAAGACGAAACGAGATCTGGACGAAGGTCCGCCGTACTGCTTACCCGACCACCACGACCCTCCGACAGCCTTGGCCTACTGGCTTGCCCATACAAATATTGTGCCCCAGGGTGGACTTGGCAACATTTGGTCTTCACAAAATGCCATATCTCCAACCCCGTTGTGAAGCTGTCGTTTTTTCCGACTCATCACTCCTCAGCCCTCCGCCTGACGATGAGGCTACTCGAGAAGCGATTGGGGTTTTCGTCGACAGCTATACATACGCTCTTCGAATCTATCTATTGAGCGCCGAGGATAAGCAAGAGCGGGACCTTCGCCTGAACAAGGCTTGGGCGCACGCCACTACAACGCTTACTGGAACTCGAATGAGTGCTGAAGAAGCCGTGGCTTTCTGGGTAGAGAATGCGTTCTGTTCAATCCAGTGCTGCCTAGGCCTCAAAGATGGCCTTGAGCGTTTGGGGCTTGTGCCGGAACGAAAGCCTATCATGCCAGAACTGCCCGAACCAGATGACGCTTCGCCTGTCGAGTGGAATCCCTGGCCGAACTGGATCATGTCCGAAAACAAATCCCGAGATTTGCCCAAGACAACTATTGATTGTTTGCTTGTCCCCGGGCGGACGTACTTGCTTAATTCGAAAAGAATTTCTACGCCATTGCGCCATCGTGAAGTCAAAACACCTGGAAGACGTCACCCCCGTATCTGGCAAATTCCTGGGAGTTACGAAACACCCCTTCCAGGGGCAACACGAGACGCATTGATCACTGCCTGCATTTCCTATATCAACACCAAATATGGCTCAGACTCTTCATTGTTACTCAAACCATTTCCCTCTGAGACGGATATACGGATCCCTGCTTTGTATCTGGATACCGAGTTCCTCGAAGCACACGGGACTCCTAACGCTAACTGGCAAATGGAGATCTTGTCTCGCTTTTCGTCGCGAATTCCTCTACCCACAATTTCTCAACTTGCCAAATCACTTCTGGGACGTCTGAACGGGAGCGACAAAGAAGACCCGATTGTGCGCGAGGCGGCCATGGCGATTATCAAACAACTTGTGCGTAGTGATCGACCGGAAATTGCGCGCCACTTGGTACAGTATGTTGTACTTGACCGGCAAGACGACAGCTCGTGGCATCGTCATCTGGTCAATATCAGATTTCTGAAGAGTTTATCAGTTGAGCACGCGAAGGAGTTTATTGCAGATATCTGTGCAGAAATCCAACAGCGACAAGCCCAATTTGCGGCAGACCAGGTTAAACGGAAGGCGGAAAGACATGAGCGACGAAGCGATCCATCGGATTCTGAACCACCTCCGAAGCAGGCAGAGGGTGAATCGCAATCCGCTACACTTATGATCAAGGTGAGCACGATTAAGATGATCGCCCAGTTGCTTCGCGGTGCCGACTTTATCGATCAGAAATTCGCTTGTGACATTCTTGAGAAATTGCTAAATAGTTCCTCGCATCCTGACGTTCAATTTGCGATAGTGGACGGTTTGGTATCCTCACTGGTGCACTCAAAGAAGTCTTCTGTGCGCGAGCATGTTTACGAAATTCTGGAGAAAACGGTCATTCCCATCGTGTCATCAATCAATGAGCGTCGCCCGCCAAAGGAGAAAGAGTGGCTCTCAGCCGAGACTGGGGTTGGCGACATCCCTGAGATCTATGAAGGTAATACCATGGACACTTTGCCACCAATCATGTCGCTCCTGTGGATGACTAGAGCACAATGGAAGGATGATACTCCAGAGTATCAAGAGTGGTTGACACGTGTTTTGATCCCCATCATTGAGAGATCTGCGGCGGAGAACGTACGATGGGTTGCTCTATTCGCCAAACGCCATGAGTTCGAAATGCCTGAGCATTATCTCCCCGCCCTGCCCGCCAAGCGGAAACTCCTCCTTGATTACTGGAGCTCAGTCCCACAGGCACTTACCAAAGCTAATTTCGAAACTCTCAAATGTTACTTCATGGTCAACTTTAAACCGCATCACAAGCTTCGTGCCGCTAACGACGCTGTGAAAAAGGACGGGGACTTTCTCAGATCAAATGCAGGCAAACATTGGCTTTATCTTTGGGACAACCCGGATTATGCAGCGTTCAATGATTGCGGAATCACCCCTATTGTCAACTGCCTGCTCAGAATGGACAACACCAGCCAGAATGACCTTACGGTTACAGAAGTGCAAGACTTTATTTCCTACATTGTGGCCGACCTCACCGCCAAGGCCGATGTTCGCTTTTTCAATCGTCTCATGACCTGCTTCGCCAATACCACTCGCGACAACAAGGCAAGATGGACCACAAACTGCCTGCCGCTCCTCGGACGTGTCATTAGGGACATCGACAGGTTGAGGACAGAAGCCTGGCAGCGCGATCCACACCGGGCTCCAGCGAGACTACCCGAGACGTTCTCGATCAAGCTGAAAATCCTAGGCGACAAGCATCGGGACCCAGGTGTTGGTGATGTGCCCGCACAGACGGAGATCAGTGAATTCGTGACAGATCTATATGCGATGGTACAAGATCTCGTAGCAGGTGAAGAGCCTTATCACATGGAATGGCGTCGCGTTCTCAGCAAGGTTGAAACCATGTTTGACCGCGATAATTATCCTCGGGCTGCTGTAACAATCGCAGAAGCTGCTGACGCACAAGTTCCCAAGTTGGCAGACTACCTGATGATGGAGCTTGCTGAGAATCTGTTCGAACAACAAGCCACCACACAGGAAAAAGAAGTAGTGGAAAGGACAAAGGTGCTGTTGGAAGGATGGATCAAAAGCCCGGTGGAGCACGTTCGACTCGCGGGTGAAGATACTTTGGAATATTTGATAGACCAGGGGAAAGTGCATAACGGGTGGTTCGGACATAATTCATGAGTTTGGCAGCATGCGAAATATAGTAGAGACGCAACGTATCTCAACGCTGGAGCAATGACTAGCGCGCAGGGCAACTCGGTGGCTTCTTATGGGCAAGATACATTTCAAAATTACCGTAACTACGATCATAATTTGATCCTGCGAGCCTCTTATCTCGAACAAATGGCTTTTTGGTTATTTTGAAGATAGGATAATCAAGTGAGAGAGAAAAAGATCTGAGTGTACATTATTTTATATGTTCACCCAACCTTGTTTAGACAGGCAATCATACCAGGATACGTCTTAACTTCACAACCGTATTCGCATGTCTCTCATAATTCTAGATCGAACGAACTTGATTTCTCAACAAAACGTTCCGTATATTTAATGTTCAAAAGAACAATTTTAGAAGAGAGTCGAGGTTCTCGACCACGACAAGAAAATATCTTGTAGTGTACCTCTGCATTGATGATAAATACAGAGCCTGCATGGCCCGTGTTGGACTTGCTGGTCTTGAGACTTAAGCAGCATAGGATGAGGGAGAAGCGTGACGGCATGCGGGGACGATTCATGAAGCATCAACCAGACGGTTTGGACTTCAGGGTGTCACTTCACTTCCGGCTATGTTTATGGCTGTAACAGAAATATGGGCGCTAGCTGCCAATCTGATCTACGTTCGATAATGCAACTTGGTAATGAGGGAAATCCCTACACCCCTTTACATCAAACGTTCTGAGCCTTCTGCATGTCAACCTCGGTGACCCTCAAGAAGTCCAACAATCCGACGTCTCTTTGAGCATCCAGCAACATCCTCGCGTCTTCAGCGCCCGTGTGACTCTTGAACACCCTGTCCATGTCTTCGAGTGTGGCATTCTTCGTCTCGGGCAGCACGAACCAGACCCAAAAGAAGCCACAGAACAAGAATACCGCGAAGAAAATGTAAGTACCCCAGGCCCACGCCTCAAACATGGGAGGGACCATAAAGGCAATGGCAAAGTTGTTGACCCAGTTGGAGCTCGCGCCAATCGACGCGCCACGGGCGCGGATGGAGAGGGGGAAGATCTCAGAGACCAGGACCCATGAAGCTGGACCCCATCCAAAACCAAAAGCCCCAATGTAGATCCAGATGAGAACCACGGCGGCCCAACCCGCATCAGTGTGGTGAGGCCAGTCGTGTCGGAATTTAGCAACGATGATGCCGACTGTGACCATGCAGAGGAACATGACGATAGATCCGGATTTCAGCATAAACTTGCGACCGAGCTTATCAATCAAGAACATGGCAGGAAGTGTGCTAACTAGAAATACACTGCCAGTCACGCCAGTTGCCAGCATGGCAATGGTGCCATCCGAGAAACCGTAACTTTGGAAGACATTGGAGGCATAGTAGATAACTATACTCCTGTTAATACACAGCACCTGGCAAGACACATGAAAGTATATGGACAGGAAAAAAACTTACTGGCGTCAATGCCAGACCATTGTTGCCACATCACTACATCATTTGGAGTCAGTCTTACTTCTTGATGAGGGTCGTAGAAGGGGAGGTGGGTCTTCGGGAGCGTTGTGGAATCGTGGCATAGAACCAGATGCCTCTAATGGGCAATCTACGCTCCGTGGGCATGCTGAAAAGGGTTGAAAACAGTCCAGAGATTTTCTTACTAATCATCCAAGCAGTTGAAACACGCTTGAAGTTATCCCAAGTCCTAAATAGATGGACATAGCCTGATATTTCGCGCATGAAGGTGCTTTGCTTCTCCTAGCATAGCGGTGTCAGTGATATTACAAGGTTAGGTGGAGTAGATGCTGCTAACCTTGGCTGCGAGCTTCGGAAAGCTCTTGGAAAAAACGCGATCCTCGAAAAGAGCCTCGGCCCTGATCTCTAAATACTCGGCATGAATGAGGGGATCCTCAACGTCGCGTTTCCTCAACCAGGCCAAAGTCTTTTTCGCTTCGTCATACCGCCCGACCTTCACAAGCCAGCGCGGCGAGAAGGGCATCCACCATATGCCTATCGCCAGCAGGACGGAAGGGATGCCCTGGATGATGGAGGGCAGCCGCCAAGCAAGATCCGTCTGCGTCTCTCCGGTGCCGCCAATGTAATTGCACCCATACCCGATCCAAAAACTGAGGAAGATGCCGAGGATTGTAGCGAGCTGGTAGAACGAAACAATGAAGCCTCGAGTCTCCGGCGCAGAGATCTCGGCGTTGTATAGCGGGCCGACGCCCGAGAACGTGCCGACACCGAGACCGGTAAAGAACCTGCCCGCATACAACAACGAAGGGTTACCAGCCGATGCGCCAACATAGAGGTACGATCCGAGTATGACCCAGCAGCAGGCGGAAAACATTGTGTACTTGCGCGAGAACATCTCCCCGAGGAGGCCAGAGGTCAAGGAACCCACGATGCCGCCGAGTTGGAGAACCGATGTGAGCCAGCCTTGTGCAGTTGAGGATTCGACGACCGAGGGAAAGTTCTCTGTAAATCGTGTCATGACCAATGACTGGGAGAGAATACCCTGCTGATAGCCATATTCGAAACCGCCGAACCTGTTGACGTCACGATTTAGCATCCGCCCAACGACCGTGCCCCAGCCAGTATGGAAATGAGACTTACGAAGCAAACAGAGCTATGAAAAGAATCTTCGGGTTGGCCTTGATAGAGTGCCATCTGTCCTTGACGGCTGCTTGGACTCTCCAGTCCGCCGTGACTGCCTCATCGGCGTGGACAGCGCCCGGAGCCACTTCATGGCCGACGGTAGAGGGCTCGTGCTCTGCTTTCTCCGCCATATTGCCAAAGGTCCGAGACCGAAAAAGATCAACGATAACTCAAGCCATCTTGTTGAAGACTGCGCTTGGATCATGTTATATAGAGCGCCTGAGTCAGTCGGCTTTCTGCAGGCGAAGCGGCATGACCAACCGCGTCATTTTCATGTTTAAAAGAAGCGCTACACATGCAATGGCATGTTGCATACAGCATATCTTACGGAACCGTCTCTCATAATAGGTCTAAGTCGTGCTATAAGGTGGTTACAACTTCCTAAAAGAGGGTTTGCGGGGAAGGCAGATTTAGAATCAAGGAGTAGTTTGGAGTATGCGGGGGAAAAGCGGGTGCTTAGAGTTGTCCTGTTTTCCGGGATTGTGTAAAATTCTTGGTGGTCACAACAGTGCCGAGCAGGGATTGTTTGCCGCACTACCGTCACCACCGCTGATCTCCGGTCCAGTCTTCACCGATTTACCGGCTTCTGCCGCTTTGGAGTATTGTCGTGAAGTGCTTCGTGAACTGCTTTCGTACTACGGTGTCTCGTCTCACTGTTTTGACCACTTAAAATTATGTAATATATTAGTCAGATAACACATCGTTCGTTTAGAGACGTCCTTCTCGTGACCATATCTTGACAACAGTATTGCTGGTTCTACGCCATACGGTCATGAAAACCTCGCCGTACGGGAGCGAGAATGGAGTGGCATATGCAACTTGATACTTGTTCAAGCTGGGGCCGTTCAGAGAACCATGTTCCATCGTATCGCCTTGCTCCTCATCATGGTCAAAAGTCCAAGAGTCAGGAACTTCTCGTCCACCAACCTCAATCCACCATACCTATCCAGGAGCTCATCGCGGAACATTTGCAGCGCCCACTTTATTTCTCCAGCTTTCGCTTTGGCATTACCTTCTTGGGCGATTGTGCGGCCACCGCTAGATGTTAGGTTCAGATCACTCAGTGTCATAGCAACATCCTCATGAAGAGTGGGCTCCCTCGACCTGGGCGTGTCGACAAGCTTTAGGTAGGTTCCGAAAAGAGCACTGCTAGTCGTTTCACGCCATCTCGAATGTTCTTCGTAGGAGTAGAACGTATCCAGATCTTCGCGGCTCAGATGTGCTCGCGTCGCTTCCTTCGCTTGTTCGTACTTGTCCGTTAAAGAGTAGAGTTCACGAAGTCGTCGCAGGCGATCCTCGACCGTGGTTATCTCTCTAAATTCCTCTTCAAGCCGATGGTATACGTCCTGATCTTCTTTGGACCATTCTCGAATGATGTCTTGGGGAGTCTTGTAGGTTTTGGAGAGATCCTCACGAAGTGTCAGCATGGGGATGAATGGATTTCGTACGCCAAGTCCTCCAAGTTGTTCGGGTAAGAAGATGAATGAGTTAGAGACGTCAGATACTCCGAAACGCTCTTGTATCTTCACCTTCAGATATTGCACCACATTGCCAGGCTCCCCGGGCTCTGGTTCGCTGTATCCCTTGGCCACAGAACCAACCGGATTGCCGAACAGGACGGATTGCATACGTTCGTACGTCTCCAATATACTATCGAGGTGCTTGGTTCCCAAGCAAAATGCCGGTTCTCCAAAAGTGTGACTGAAGAATCGGCCGATGCAACTATTCCAAGTCTGGACCCAACTCAGAATGCTGTCGCATGCAGCAAGCTGCTTTCCGAGCTGAAGAATGTGGGTATTGACTTGTTCCTGGTCAATGGTCCAGTCACCGCTCGCGGGATCAAGCAACAGATGACCAATCTCGACTGTGCCTTTTGGCAATGTAGACTCGATCAGAGGATCTCGGAGTTTGTCGTCGCTTACGAGGTAGACAGAGCCAGTTTTGTGTTTGTTGAAGTCAAGTCCCATAACTTTAGCAAATTCCTGCATTGCCTTCCATGCGCGGGCACAGCTATGGGGCCGGCCACAAAGAAATAGATCGTCATGGAGCCGATACAACAGCAGTCCTGTTTCTCTGTTGACCACGAGGTCCATCACAAAAAGAACAAGTTCTCCAATGAATTTCTCCGTCGCATGAGCCATCGGAACGCCGCGCCTACGGATCTTTGGCCCTTTAGGTTCTTCTCCCTCAGTTGCTGGGGTCATGTTCAATGGTGCTTCAAGAACCTTTTTGTAAAACTCAATTAGCTTGAGAGGAAAGCCGAAGAATCGCATCACAGCGAAAATGGTTGTGTGCGAGAGCCCGGTTGCATACCATTGCAGATCCGACTGTAGAACTGCGGCTTCGCCGTTGAGAGTACGATTAAAGAGAGTTTCCGTAGCAATAGTTCTAAGGAGCGACTGCTTGATGTTTTGAACAGCCCTCATTTCACCTCCATCCTCGTCGTCATTTGCTGCGCCGTCATTGACATAGGTCCCAGCTCCAAGTGCATCTACCGTTCCCGGTAATTGCGACAGAAAGAACTGATTAATAAAACGCTTTTTCCGCTCTATGTCGACACTGTTATGAGTGGGGATGCTCTCAGCGGTGTAGTATTGGCGCCGCAGCCGGTCAAGAGGACTTATTTTGGCGCCGGAAGTCCACTCCCAGCTCGGAGAAGACTCAACAAATGCCTTTAACAGGGACTTCGTCATTATGCAGCATTGAATGCCGACATACTCGATGAATATCGCCTGAAGAACATCCTCGTCCATCCAGATACGGTATTTGCCATTCAACTGCTGGCGTGGAAGGATCGGGATTCCATCTGCACCAGCTTGCCATTGCCAAGAGTCAAAGTCGGCGTATCTCATGTTTAAAACATCACCAATCTCTTTCAGGGCCACCTCGTTGTCGAGGAAATCTCGAAGTATGACCTGCTTTTCGTCACTGAGGAGGTCCTCTGCAAGGAGGCCACGCAGACACCACTTCAGGGTATCTGTATCAAATGGATTCTTCTGGCGCATTAGCGACTCTCCAGAGTCTTTGACTTGCTCTCGAAGGCCTTCGAGACTCTGCCATTCCTTGTCACCCTCGAACAAGTCCTTCATGAATAGGTCAATTTCAACCTCGTCAGTCTCAAGTGGTACGAAGACAACTTTCTCAAACTTATCGCACAACTCTTGTAACCTCTCCTTCTGCCGATCTACAACCTCGAAGGAGGCATCGTCAGCAACCGGTACTTCTCCGATGGGACTGGTGGGATTCATCCACTCCGTTACCAGCTGTGAGTACAAGTGCGCCAGCCCGAGCTTGCGGCTCTGAACTTCGAGCTTTGAGCGGAGTACATCCTCCCAGGACTCAATCATGTTAGCTGGTACCGATGCATCGTAGCGAGCTTGTTGGAGCCAGTACTTGATGTTCTTGACTTTGCGGTCTTGCAACGCTTCAGGATAGAGGTCAGCCAGTCCCTGCGAGAGCGTGGTTATCCTCTTGTGAGGCTCGTTGGGATATCTGTCTGCCTGCTTGAGGACTTCATTCTTCCTCTCCTCATATCTGGCACGTTGCTTCTCAATCTCATGAATCTTGGTTACGGATATAGACTGCAGAGTGCGTGAGAGGACGGAAGCTGGCGGGGCCATGGCCGCTAAGGTGAAGGAACGGTGTGGAGAGATGACAGGGGTTCGGCGACAGGTCAGGCGGGAGCAGTCTGTGCAGTATAGAGGATGAGACACACCTAACTAGACATAGAACTGCGATGCCACTAATCAAAAAGAGATTCAGAGAGAATTAATTTGGGAACTCTACGCTTTATTATAGTCTTTTCGGCGCCATTCGTGGTCTCATCGGCCGCATAGTAACAGGGGCATGGGGCTGAGGTGCCTAATGCTGCCTTAGGCTACACGACGATCCCAGCATTCACCAATCCTCAAAGTTTACATCTGCAGCAGAAGAGCCAATGGATGACCAAGATCCTTCGAATTGTGCTAAAACATGCAGCCGGGTAGCAGGGCACATACGAGTTATTCAAACGCATAGTGTATAATGCAACTATCGCTCCGGATTAAGAATGGCATAAAAAGTACTTACTGGTATAGGCAGAAATCGATCGACACAAGGTAGAGAGAATGGAATCAATAATATCGTTATGATATACGTCACAACCCCGAATATTCCATACGCCAAGAGCTTAGGCTATCTCGTTCTGTAACCGCTCGACAGTGTTTTCGATGAGGCAGTCTATGTGAATCCATCGTGCCACCAACAATTCTCTTTGACATTGTTCGCCTTCGTGTAGCTCTCTGATATTGACCAGTGTCTCTGAGATTGAGGATCTGTATTTTCCCAGCACCTCAATCAATCGCTGATCGACATCCCTCTGACTGCGGTCACCATCATCCATCCCGTCTACAAATCTTGCCCATTCTCTTGTGTTGCAGCATAGCGTCCTCATGGCAACCTGTGTCCGGTAGCACACCTGGTTTCGGTCCAGCACGTAGCTACCTAGGAAGCCACGGTCATCTAGCATCTCCCTCTGCTTGTCGTTGAGCAGTGGCATGACCACTTCGTCCAGCCCGACCTCATCCCACTGGTTCGGGTTCATGACAAAACCGTACTCGACCATCAAAAAATCACCTCCATGCCGTCCGTAGCAAATCCTGATCTCCTCGCCCATTTCATACGACTTGTGCGCGCGGACTATAAAAGACTGGGCATCAAAATTAACGTTGCAACCCTCATCAGCGTGATTGAACAAGTCCGCAACAGGCTGGAGCACCATGCGGTCTTCCTTCCTCCTTCTCTTCAGGCTCGGGTTCAGATAATAGAACGTTCGCGTGTTTGCCAGAAGCCAGCCGTACGTAAATCTGTCCCGATTCAGGTCAGGGAAAGCAGCATTAACAGCTACCCACTCCTTGGCCAACTTTACTTGCTGCTTGGAGAGAAGCTTCTTTGCCGGGCCTGGGAGCAAGGATTGCAAAGGAACAGGCCAGAGCAGAGGCATGGACGTGAAATCTTCTGGACGAGGGCAAACCGCGTTCCAGATGCTGTACTTGTCTGAAGTATCTAGCGCTAGATCTGCAGCCAGCAGACCGTGCACTGATATGTCCTTTGGAAGCTTAGAACGAACAGCTGTGGGAACAGTGTCGATACTTCGGAGGCAGGACGTAGGAACCTCGAGGATTACCTCATCAGGCTGAGACTATGTTGGTAAAGCCGGGAACGCATATGGGGAAAAGAACGTACAAACCTTGATTGGACGGGTTGCGATGACACCAACACCGCGCCCAGGAAGGCGTTTCGGAATTAAGCCATTGAACTCAATACCCTTGCTCCTGGCCCAGTCGAGAAGCTCTTCCACGGCGTCCATCTTGGGATATAAGTAAAAGGCCAAATTTTTCAGCAGGGTCAAGGTGGGTGGAGGCGCGATGTGATCAGGAGGGTTCTGTCAAAGCTCAATTCCATGCTTTAAAGCACGGAGTGGTCCTAATCAAATGAGCGTGCTCGCTTCCATCCTTCTCCGAATGTCAATGATCGCAAACATTGCGCTATTGTGAGTTGCCCGATTTGTTAATCCCGAGACTGCGATTGGTGGTGGAGTTTTTTATGGAGTCGTTGGCAAAATTCCGCGCCTGTTAAATCAACGCCCGCCGTGTAGACAAAGCACGATCCTGAAGCTTCGAACCGGGCATTGCGACGGCAAGAGGAAACATCAATATCGTAACTGGAGAGTGAGAGTAATAACGTGGTCCTCTGATATTTCATCCTTGCCTGGAACAAAAAGTGACAGAAGCAACACCCAGGACTGAATTGGTATTTGGTCGAAAAAACAGCTGCACCAGAACGCCATATCTCCCTATGCATACATATGATTTTCCCCAGTTTACACAGAAGTCAATCTTACATTCAGAGAATTTTCCACGGATCCAGTCTATCTTGAAAGCCCCGATTCCCTCCTCATTGCTTCCTTCAAAGCCCTAGCTTCTTCGGCCCTCTTCGCGTCGTCCGCTAATCTCTCTTGCTTATATGCCCTTGCGGCTTCCTCTTGCACTGTCCATACTGCGGCTCTATCAGTATCTCTGGGATTAGGTCGGGGGCGAAGCATGTATCGACATACTGGGTCTGTCGTCCTTGGAGAAGTCCTTGAGCTGGTTGACAAAGTCGTCGAACTCCTGCTGCCTCTCAAAGCGTCTCTCCAAGCTCTTCTTCTGTAGGTCGGGATTGTAACGCTTGAAGAGTTCCTCGTCGGTCGGCTGGACCCAGAAAACGAACGCCGGACCGCCTACGCAGACTACTGCGCCGCTGCAATCGAATGGCATTGTTAGTACATGTTTGCGACAGGAGGCGGGATGAAATTGGTCATGGGGAGGGGACTCACACGCCCAACATTTTGACCCAGGTTCCGATCTTTGACTTTGCCGCCATCTTGAGTTTGCTGTATTCTTAAAATTGGAAGAGGGAGTAGTGTTACATAACTTCTCCTACTCTCTACCAGTCATGGATCTTCGGGTCGCGCCAAAAGATTCAATGACGATTATCCAGGGTCCTTAGCTAGCGCATGGTGGAGTGCCTGTGGCGGTGCAAATGTGGCACTTATTCACTACCTATTCCCCTCCATCATTGCGATTTTACATTTGTGCAACAAAACGAGGTAGGTAAGATGGCGTTGACGCGAATACTGTGAGGTGCCCACTCAAAGGCAGTCAACGGCAAGAGACTTCATGAGATGGCCTGCAATCGCTTTCGCCACGTTGTATGCCGACTACTTATGCGGCCTGTGGACGATGTTTTCGGAAGTGGAGGGGCCATGAGGGCATGTTCTTCTACCTTGTTGTTGATCCATCACTTACAAGCCATCCTGGCAAACAGAAAGGTGCCGTCGAGTATGATGTTGATCATATTCGTGAAATCTTCGAAACGGTAGTCTTCCGCTGGTCCACCACCAGTGATGTCGGCGTTTTGTGACGAGAATACCAACTGTGTTAAATTCCTTAATTCTCTTTTCCCAGGTCCTCTTCGTTGGATGTGTCGCATAACTAGTCATGTAATTTGGGCTCAGCAAGTCCATTGTCATTTGCCTCCTTACTCGGTGCCCTTTACGGATCCATCAGCGCCCTCTTTGCTCGAGATCAACGACGGCTCTATGGTATGGTGAATACAGCATGGATCTGCTGACCGAGACGTTGAGAATCTTTTGAACGATTATTGTCAGCCGGTTCTCATGCCTTAAGCATAGAGCGGGTCGAATGCCAGCTTACCCGGTCACTACGTACGGTGGCATTTCGGCAGTACTGTCGAGTACGATAAAGTAGAAATATTGAGATAGACTTGCGTATAGTCACCTCAAAATAGATACGATGACTTGATTTGAGGTAAAAACAGTACCTTTACGCATTTTGTGAGATTTGATCTTCTTAGTGATAACCACGGCACACTGGCTTTATCATTGAGGCGATATGGAATTGCATATAGCAAGCTACGAACGCCTGGAGTTCATCCATAAACCTACACTATCTGACATAGAATATGCGACACTCGAAAGTAGCAAGCGCAAACTAAGAGAACGGGGCAGTAAATGTTGGGTCAGCGAAATTGACGACTATGCGACAGATTGAATACGAAGTTGAACACGAAACCGGCCCAGGTACTAGTAATCGCATAGGTCGTACCTATCGTCAAGGACCTTGTCATAAGAGTCCCATCCCATCGTAGCCCGTCTACAAATCACTGCAGTTTTAGAAGCGTAATCAATCAGTCTGGGCGTCATGACAAAGCTGGTAGAAGAGCAGCGCGCCATTTCCCCGCAAATGCACCACTCGGTCCCATGAGCAAATGCCCCTACAGCTACACATTACCAGGCATGCATAGAGACAAAGTCGGGTTGGTGCCAATTATAGTGAGACAGGCTTTCTGAGCCGGTCTTAGTCCTCAAACTTGTCTAGCCATTTGCACGTTTCCTGGTGCATATACTAGCTTGACGATGACAAGTACACTTTGTGGTGCCCTCCAATGTAGAAATGTCAGAGAGTTGTAACGACACCATACATACAGCTTTCTTTGAGTACGTAGCTGCAACAAACTCGCACAGTAACCCTACAAGATGGAGACTATTGTAAGTGCCGAAGGCCGAAAAACGTGCAATAACACCACTTGGAAACTAACTATAGTCAGATGTTTGCCGTCGCTTGGCTGGAGCATATCACGAGTATACTTCGGCTCCTTCGCACCGATAAAACACATACGGCGAATCTCAGATGGCCAAAACACTGGATGCTTATTTGTCGAGGGCTCACGTATAGTATGCGGCAACTGGGTCTTGTGTATATGACTTGCTTGGGATCGGCTTCAAGACATCCTTGTTTTAGCGCGTGATATGATGCTTGTATTATGTAAAGGGTTTGCAGCCTCCGTGCTTGGAGCTGAAGCATGAGTACTGGTAAGGCCGTTCCCGGTCTCGAACTTGCCGCTTTCACCTTCAGCCCCCATGACTTGGTTTGCACAGCCGATACTGCTCAATCATTGGCCTCGCGTAAGTAACATGATCTCTAGAGTTGTAGATAATACCTGGCAGCCTGGTTGGCCTTGACTACGAATCATCTTAAATCCTACCTATGGGAGGCTAAGCAAGCATTGTTTGTCAAAGTTTCAGCCCAAGCCCAGCGCCAGAATCGCCGTAACAAACAAATAGTACTATGTACCCGCAGAGCTCAGACAGCATTGAGTGCTTCGCCCTAATTAGATTTCAATGCCCCCACCTATAAGGCATGACACATTGCATACCATACTTTGCTCTTAGTTCTCGGTCTACCCACAGGACAGCCGTTCGGCTTTCCTCCTTTTGCAAGTCGTGAGGATCAACTACCAAGGCAAAATTGAGGCGAAAAAAGACACGCGATCCTAAGTACTCAAGCAACCCTCGCACAGAGCGGCAAAAGAGATTGGGCTTACTGCACCAGCCCGGGTCTTCGGAATGTTCGCAGCAAGTGCTGGAAGAATGCCAAGATATTCAAGAATGTCAGGCATCCAATCAGTGGTTCAATCCCGCCGACCCCTGATTGATTTGACACAACGCTTTGGTACGACGATAACGTGGCCAAATGCCGTTGAGGGTCAATTTCATGCGACGATCCTAGGGGATCTAGGGCGCCTCCTGTGATGGTGCATTCCGAGAAGTTCAGACGTTTCTAGCTGAACCGCCAGCCCGCCCTTTACCAGGCTCGCCAGGCTCGCTCGCTGGCTATGATGTTAAGCGACTGAGGTGGTGTAGTTTCTTTTTCGCGTCTTACCCGAGAAAAGACAAGACAGGGGTTGTCGACGAGCAAGCTGTAGGTAGACCAATACCTTCAACATAATTGTAGATTGGTAGATATATATTGTTGGGCTGGGAGAAGAAGAGCTACATTCAAGAGCCTTACTATGAACCACAGATACTGGGATGCCGGGACATGCGCTGTACAGCCTTCGCTGTGACCACTCAGCCGCCTGACCGTACTGTACTGTTTCTCATGTGGTATTCGAGCTGGTGTCAGCTGGTGAATCTCAAGTCCAAGGTTGTCTTAAACAGTTTGGCCGTAGTCTGCTTGCAGTGCAACTAAAAGACCATCTGTTTTAGCATCTGGCGCAGGCGCGATTACTGAGTTATTGACTTGTCTCATTGTCTCTTGTGCTTGCTCGTAGCCGGCTGTACAGGCATTTCCAGCGGCTTACGATTCCTCGGTTGCATTTAAGGTACGCCGCACGCCGTGGCGCCGCTAGACCCGCGAACCAGGGCCCCAAGTTGGTAGTGCAGCGGGGTTTGTTTCCACTGTCTGGTCATGCGCTAAGCAAGCTAAGCAAGTGAGCCAGGCCGGACAACGTTCTGCTCACGTCAACCTAATTAGTTATCAGTTGCCCTTGATGCAAACTTACGGTGATAAAGTACCTGCGACGTTCCCTGCGACGTTCCCTACAGTACGTGGAGTCGGAGGCGTGGACCAAACTTGGGGGTGCCGAAACTGGCGATCAGCACCGAGCCGAAACAGTCCCCTCCAATTTTAGAACAACATCACACTTGCGCCTTCTCTCCTACCACTGCAACAGTGTTGTAACAGCAGAGCTGACAGCACTCCGGGGCTTGCACTTGGGACGACCGGAGTTTGGGTCATCTTGCACGAGTCCTACAGCACTCACTTCCTGGAAAGTCGTTCAGTTCCATTCCTCCCGTTGACTTACAGCCAAGCCAAACACAACCAGCCCCCCCCACCTTTTGGCCAATGGCTTGTCTATGATCCCCCCCACGAATACAACGAATCACTTGCAGAGACAAAGGCAGAAAGCGTAAGAAAAGAAGTTGATGCTCTGCTGCTGCAGCGAGAGGCTACGCGCTTGCCCTTATCACGACATCACGACCGGCGATTGCCGCCGAGAAACCCACGCGCGACATGGCGTACAACGGAGGAGGGTTCCCCGAGCAGCAGCGTCCCTATGCTGGACCGGCGGCGCGAAGACCAGCTCCTGGAAGCAACATGCCTCCCGCGCCGCAACAGTATGATCAGTACCAAGACGACTATGCTTATGGCTTCGACGGATATGACAATGACGGCTACGATCAAGGCTATGCGCCCCCTCCACAGGATATGGGTTATGGAAGAGGCAGGCCCCCGCCGCCGCCGGGTGGCAGCTACCCGCCCCAAGACGGATATGGACCCGGACCTGGACCTGGTAGAGGTGGTCGCCCGCCTCCCCAGAACGCAAGAGGAGGACCCATGATGCGAGGGCGCGGGGGCCCAGCGCCCGGCCCAGGGCGAGGTGGATATGGCCCAGGCCCCGGAGGTCGACCTGGTCCTCTCGATCGCGCTGGTAGCTCAGGTCCCTTAGGTAAACACATTTACAGCTTTGCTGCGCCATGATCGCTCAGGGTTGTGAAGCTAATTGGGACAGGAAACCGTGCGCCGCCGAACATGATAAGTCCACAAGAACAGGGCTTCGGTAACCCATTCCCATCGTTCCCCGGACAGAACAGAAGATCAGATCTCGATGAGGAGCAGCGTATACTAGATGGAATGGAATCCATGAGCATGGATGGTGGAGGCAGGCGCCCACCGCCACGGAGGCCCACCAATGGTAGTGTTGGTTCGCAGCAAGGCCCCCCACAAAGACGCCCAACAATGGATGACACATATGGCGGGAGGCCATCCATGGACAGTCAAAGAGGCGGACAGCGAGGCCCACCGCCGCAAGGATTACCCGATAGACGTGGTCCGCCACCAGGACCGGGACCGGGACCTGCTTATGGTGGCTACGACGACGGATACGGAGGCGACATGCCGCCAAGAGACAACTTTGGACCGCCAGGACGAAGTATGACGATGCCGAACAACCCAGAACCACCGATGAACATGGGCATGCGGCAACCTCCCCGAGCAGATAGCGCGGCTCCTGGCTACGGTCCACCAGTACGGGGTATGCCTCTAAGGCCATCAACGGCGTCGGGCAACCGCCCTCCGCCACAAAGGATGTACCCGCCTCAAGGACCACCCGGGCCGCCTGGACCTGCAGGACCTGAGGAGTGGGATAACTACGAACCACCCAAGCAAGCACCGTGGTCTCAGCAACCAGTTAGAGCCTCGTTTGGCGACTTCTACGATGCTTACTACCACCCTAGGAATAGTGATAACCAGTATCCTGCTGGAAGACGGTCAAACGATATACCCGAATATGATGAGCCGCCAAATCAAGGACCCAGAGGTTCCTTTGACCAGCATATACGGCCAGGCCCAAACCCCGGGATGCCGCAACAGGGCCCAGCGCGCGTCGCGGAGCTGAGCAGGACAAAATCGCAGCCAAATCTACGCGAGCCACAAGCAGCAGTTTTTGAAATGGCTGCAGATATGCCTCCAGTTCCAGCTGGAGGTTTCCAGGCGTACAATCCCGCACAGCCAGGCCCCCCACCTGGCGTGCTACCCAATCTTCCTGCAACAAACGTACATCAACCTGGACCGGCGACCAGACACCCCGTACCAGTACGTCCAGGTCTCTTACCAAATTCCATGGTAGACATGCAAGACAAGCCTACACCTCTGCGACAGTACAGTGGCCCACCTCCGGGGGCGAAACTTGCCCAAGGCAGACCACAGCCGTCAGCACAGCCCAATGGTCGACCTAGTTCCATCGAGCATGTCCCAGTAACTGTAGAAGAACTGGAGCAATTGCGTGCTGTTATTAAAAATGAGCCCAACGATCAACAATCCGCCCTTACGCTTGCAAAGAAGCTAGTCGAAGCAGCTGATGTTTTGGTCCCCCGGCTACCTGACCCGAAAGCTCGCGCTCGATCACGGGAGCGCTATGTAATGGATGCTCACAAGATTCTCAAGAAGCTCGTTAGCGCACAGAATTCCGATGCGATGTTCTTCTTGGCAGACTGCATGGGACGTGGTGCCCTAGGCTTCGAGCCGGACAACAAAGAGGCATTCACCCTTTACCAATCCGCCGCAAAGCTCGGTCATGCAGCGGCAGCTTATCGAACAGCTGTGTGTTGCGAACTAGGCAATGATGACGGTGGTGGGACGCGCAAAGATCCCTTAAAAGCGATCCAGTGGTATAAGAGAGCTGCGACGCTGGGGGACACACCCGCGATGTATAAGGTTGGAATGATCTTGCTCAAAGGACTGCTTGGTCAGCCTAAGAATCCTCGCGAAGCTGTTGGATGGCTGAAGAGGGCAGCCGAGCGTGCCGACGCCGAGAACCCTCATGCGTTACATGAGCTTGGTCTACTATACGAGTCCGCGCAACCGAATGACGTCATCCTCCGAGACGAACCCTATGCCCTGCAATTGTTCGAACAAGCCGCCAATCTAGGCTACAAGTTCAGTCAATTTAGAATGGGATGTGCGTATGAGTATGGTCTTATGGGTTGTCCGATCGATCCGCGAGCCTCCATTATGTGGTATTCAAGGGCAGCGACCCAGGAAGAGCACCAGTCTGAGTTGGCATTGAGTGGCTGGTACCTGACTGGTACCGAAGGAGTCCTACAGCAGAGTGATACTGAGGCATACCTTTGGGCAAGAAAGGCAGCTCAAGCTGGGCTGGCAAAGGCGGAGTATGCCATGGGCTACTTTACGGAGGTTGGCATTGGTATTGCTGCCAACCTGGAAGATGCGAAGCGTTGGTACTGGCGCGCAGCTGGTGAGTGTCACGCCTCCAACTTCAACTGCTAATAACAATTCGCTAACTTTCAACAGCTCAAAACTTCCCAAAAGCTCGGGAACGCCTTGAGGATCTCAAGCGCTCCGGTAAGAACGGAGGCCCACGTCAACGCGAACGCATCTCGCGAAGCAAGATCGGCAAGCAACAGGAGGGAGAGTGCTCTGTGATGTAGAGCGCCCAGATACTCAGAACTCCTCAGCAACAAAACCTGGAGAGTGTGGAATTCCCACCGAGAAAATCGTCGCTGCGGAATATGTGGTTATTCCGCAGCCGACCCGACTTTTCTCGGCAGAACTCCATGCCTTCTATGGGCGCTCATCTTTCTGTCAAAGATGAAAATGTCCCTACTGGACAGCGAGATGACCCGTTTGCAGACATCTGATATTTGATTTTCTGCTTTACGTATCGTCAGGCAGAAAACAGTGTTGAGCGTTTTCTTTTTTTTATTACTCTTTGCTTTTGTTTTATCACAACAACCGGAGTAATGCTTGCTGTGTGGTCACATGTATTGTATAGTATACTCATGGATTTTGTACCATTATCTCCTAGTGCATCACCACGGCGTACTGAGTCTGAAACATGATGAACGAGACAAAAAAAGAAGAAGAAGGGAGAAGATTGGACCTGGAGTCTAGCTCATGATACCACGGGATTGCCTTGAAGCTACGTTAGTTCGGTGCTCTAAGTCGATCAAGTTCGCCTGAATTTAGGAAAGGGGCAGGAAAATGAATTCACATTTGAAACACACGTATTCTGGGCACGCGGTACCACGTTGAATGCGTTTATTGTCATGAACAATTATCAATGCTGCATCGACTCTCGATTTTCATCATCAGGATCTTGCAAATATCACGCCAGTATAAGATACAGGTGCAGAAAGACTGACAAAAGTTCGCCTTGAAGCACTGTTCAAGCTCAGAGACGTCGTGTGGATACTATCCCGAGATCTGGAACCCGATATAACGCAGACAAAGAGAAAGGCCGAGTGCGATGTAGTTTGGCGAGACAAAGTAGCGGCTCTCGATCAAGTGTGGTAAACAGTGCAATTGCAAGATCTTACCCCCATGACAGACCCAGCTGGCGCTTCATGCATAGCCGGAATGGGGATCGGTCAGGAGTGTAGTGTTTTTTTTCGAGCCTACACGGCGGGGCTTCAGTCAGCAAAGGTCAAGAAACCTTCGGGAGAGGCTGGAAACCAGATGGCCTGTTCCGAAGGAACGAACGAATGGTGATGGGAAATATGATCGTTATAGTTCATTCTGGATCTACCAACCATATTTCTCCGCGACTGATTTAGCGGCAGCTGCCTTTTGTGTGGGTTAAAACTGCAGTGAAAAAGAACGGGTGGCAGCATTAGCTTCCGCACCCTGTAATATGCATGTGGGTTCGGGGAGTTTTCAGTATACTCCTTGGGATGGTTAAAATTGCAGTGAAGTCTGCAAGACAGAGCATGTAACATAGGGCTACGATCTTATATAATATCGGCCAATGATAAACATACACTAGTGGTGCCCCCCCTTTTTGTCTGAAATTATCGTGATCTCCATTGGTGCGTTCCGTGGCGAACCCATAGCACGCTCAGGCCTTGATGGACTTGAACTTCTCAAGAGCGTCCACCAGAGCTTCCTCGATACTCGGCTCGTGAGCACTGTGGCCGGCGTCACCGACGATCGTATACTCTACATTCTTGTTCTCCTTTCCTCCAAGGGCCTTGTACAGGTCCCAACTTGTCTTTGCCGGGCACACCACATCGTATCGACCCTGGATGATGACAATGGGTAGGTGCTTGATCTTGTGGACGTCGTCAACGAGCTGACCGTCCTTCATCCAACCTCCGTTGACGAAGTAATGAGACTCAATTCGTGCGAATGCCAGAGCCCTAAGAAAGAACATCAGTGACAATGTCTCGAGAGACGATATGTTTTTCTTACCACTTGGGATCATTCGCCTTGGCAATATATTCCTGGTTGATGATCAGTCTGCTTGTGGACACCTCCCAGCGACTCCAGTTATCGGCACTGTCCGAGCGGGTTAGCCCCAATACCAATAAGATGCTGCTGCAACTGAAGAAGCACCGTACCACTTAAGTTTTTCCTCCTCATTGTCTCCTGTGAGTCTCTTGTAGTAAGCCTGCATCATATCGCCCCTCTCCTCCTCGGGGATGCAGGCCTCGTAGGGCTCAAAGTACTCCGGGAACAGGAAGTTTGCTCCCTGCTGGTAGTACCACAACAGCTCCTCCCGCCTCAGCGTGAAGATGCCCCTGATGATCAAGCCGAGACATTGATCGGGGTGCTTCTCCGAGTAGGCGAGCGCGAGCGTAGAGCCCCATGACCCGCCAAAGACGATCCACTTCTCGATGCCGAGATGCTTGCGGAGCTTCTCGATGTCCTCCACGAGGTGCCAGGTGGTATTGTCCTCTAGCGACGCGTGGGGGGTGCTCTTGCCGCTGCCGCGCTGGTCGAAGAGGATGCTCCGGTAGTGTGACGGATCGAAGTACTGCCTGTCCGAGTCTTCTATGCCACCGCCCGGTCCACCGTGGAGATAGATGATCGGGACACCCGAGGGGGCACCGCAGTCTTCCCAGTAGATGGAGTGGACCGAGGAGACCTGGAGATAGCCTGACTTGGTGACATCGAACTTGGGGTAGATTGGCGCCATGGTTATCTTGTGGGGTGGCACAGCTAGCAGAAGTGGTGTTTTTGGCAATGCAAGCTAGCTTCGTTATAGGTCGGTGTTGCTCTGGAATTTGGTGTTGGATATGACGGTCAAACGCCAATTATAACCCCGCCTCAACGCCCGGCGAAAGACCCCACACTCAAAGCCGTGACCAGCCGGCATTCCTACGCAAGTCTGCCCCCCAATTATCCTTTCTACTTTTTCTTTTATATATATATATTTATATGCCAGATTATGCTCAGCGTTAGACCAAAGAATCAACTGAAATTTGAAGTCAAAATCTTCCAGTCATCAGCTCTAACGATACTGAGATCACCTACCAAGTTGTGAACACAAGGCTATAAGCAGCCGACGGCACCTGTACCACGAAAACCAGCCGCAAATGATATACCATCCTCCACGATGCCGCGTAGTAATTCTTAGCTCATTTTGTAATGATGTTTTCGCGGTAATCTGAAATATGTCTGGCTACTCAATTTTCGTACTGTAGCATAGATTGTGTGAGCTTCGTGTTAGCCAATTAGCTACAACCTCATGCAAGAGCGCTTCCCGGACAAAGATAGGAAAGCTTGATGACATTGTAGTTTACTTAGTACAAATATCCCACTGGTTCTAGCATTATTCAAAACTAGCTATCACGCACTTCAATTGGCTTCTCCCTATTGAGGTATGTTAAGATTTCCTCGAGAGGTCGCTCCCTTTACGGACAGAATTACCAAAATATATAAGATGACCAAACTCTGTTATATAACTGGCCATAGCTTGGCACAAGGTACGAACATAACCTCTGGTGATGATATATGTAACCAACCCCTTTGCCCAGATCCACGAAGCTATGACAGAGCCCTACACATTTAACCACTGCCCACGTCCTCCAGTTTTGTTCCTCCCTATGCCCCATTGACACAGTCTGCTAGATTATGCCGCTGCTCTAACCCAATGTAACTTGAGGCTCTCACCCATGAGCTATTACTGTCTAAGCTATATATCACAGGCGGCATAGTTCAGAGGGGGGAAGGTTACAGTTGTCCCCTGTGGAAGCAAGAATTATGTGGTCACTGCATATCATCATCCCCGTGGGATCAGAGCAGAACATGTCTTTTGACCCTCAATTGATTGATTGCACTGCATAAATCAGAATGTCACAAGCAAATTCAGAGTTTTCTTTTATTGATTTTTTGTTGAATTCCATTTCGCACTTTCGGATGTTTGCCGTGAACGAGAGGACCCGATTGAGTCATACATAGCTAGTAATTGAGAGGGTTGAGACCCTAGAACGGCTGGAATAGGGGACATACTGGTACAACGATTGAACATGATACTTCCCAGTCGCCAGCGACAAGCGGAGAATAGCTTGACGGCACAAGCCGGTGTTGAGATCTTGCCATCATCAAAATACGGCAAGGACGAATACAGCCCAAATGTGCTATGATAAGCATGGCGTAGATCATCTTGCTGGGGATAATCTAGTATCAGCCTCGCCCTGGCGGCGGGACGTTTGGCCACTGTTGGCCTCTGTTAAGGCCGGCCGAACCATGAGCTGCTGGCGCCTGTAGTTGCGGTTGCGGCGGAAGGTCATGACAACCAGTGGTGTTAAACACCGGCGGGCGAGAATCCTATTCTCCCCGCGGACGCTTAGCACCATGAGGGTTCTGCTGCCAGTCGTTGCCGCCTTGGTTACCACCAAAGAAGTTGGGATTGAAGTTGGACTGCATACCGCTGCCCATCATGCCCATTCCCATGTTGCCGGGCATACCTCCCATGGGCATACCGGTAAATCCTGCTGAAAAATACAGTTAGAATCATCATGAATTATGCAGTGTATGTTATGAGGGCGACCGTTGATTGCTGACGGGGATTATGCAAGAGGACAGAATCTCAGCCAGGAGCTGACTAGTCACAGAAAACGAATGTGAACTACTTGGTTCTTGTTGTTCCAGTCCGTGGTGATTGCTTGCAGGCTAGAGGGCCCAGCGGCAGGTTTGCGACGCCACGTTGTAAAAAGAAAACGTAAGGACTCACCTGACATACCCATGTTGCCCATATTGCCCATCATGTTGTTCATGCCACCACGGCCTCTGAAGCCGCCGGGGCCACCACGCATCATGCCTCCCCCGCGGTTGTTATAGCCGCCGTTGAAGCCACCACCACCACCCATAGACGGGTTGAACCCCCCACCCATGTTGTTGTTGAACCCCATGTTTCCGCCAGAGAAGTTGTTGTTGAAACCACCCCGTGGGCCACCGCCAAAGCTGCCGCGACCTCGGTAGTTGTTGTTGAAGTTACCACCACGATTATTGAAGCCACCAGGGTTGGCACCTCCTCGAGTAACCTGGTCTTGTTTGCCTCGGGCAGGTGCGTCCTTGGGCAGAGTCTTGAAGGGATTACTGTGGGGTGTTGAATAGACTGCACTTGGCTTCTTGCTGGCAGGAGGAGCATCACCAGTGTCAATGTGGTGTTTTGTTGCAGTGGCAGCTTGTTGAGACGTGAAGTCAACATAAGCTTGGCTATTGAAATGCATTAGCAAGATGTATGACTTGCAAGTAACCTCATCTTGAAGAGTGTAGGCTAGACCGTTCCCACAACACATGTGTATCTTCGATAATTGTCGCGCGTCGAAAAATATTGCCGCTGGATTTGAGAGACCAGAGTCATCGGGTACACAAGAAAGAAGACCGCAAAACTTACCCTTTGCTTTTACCGTTCACCTTATGCTCACTGAAAGTAATGTCTTTCAGCTCATCTTCGCAACCAGCTTGGACGATATATTTGCGAATATCGTCGTCGGTGTTCCACCAGCTCAGATCCGAGATCATCAAGCAGCTGGTAGCACCTGGATCAATGGGACGATCGTCGGAACCCTCCTTGCGCTTGACGCCTTGATGCGGCTGCTGCGAAACCGATCGTGATCTGTCCTCTTCGTGATGACCTGTGCCGGCACCGTGGCCGTTTTGATCTTCAGTGCCATAATCATCGTGGCGAACAGAATGAGGATGGGTTGAGTTATTCGAGCCATTGGCAACCGTGATCGAGGTGTTGTTGTCATAAGCCTGAGCATTGTTTTCTTGGTTCGAGCTATTATGCGCCTCGTTGTCGGCCGAGCCGTAAATGTCGATCTCAAACTCCTCGTCAGCCATCTTGCTGCTTTCCACGGAGACGAACAAGCGTAAGTGTGTCGACGACTTTGGTGATATTTTTTAGTGTGCCTTTGTTACGGCTGATCAGTTCGTGAAAATGCCGTATTGCAGAGCGACGAGAATGTGGAGATGTGACTTCCTGGGATCGACTGAACAGAAGCTAGGTATCGGGTAAAGACAATGTGAGGCAGTTCCTGCTTGCGACGTTCGTATGGAAGGACAGCCCGCTCGTCAACAAAGCGAATGCTTTCACGTAGATTACCGTTAATCGACGCAGGGGCTCCGTCGCCTGGGGGGGTTTTGTATTGTATTAGTGTCGTAGATTCTTCGTTGTGCCTCCCAGTCTAAGATACTGAAGTCACAGAGCAGATATAAGCTCAAGGATTGGCATATATCTGACAGTGTCAAAAATGGCGTGTATTCTTTGGATAAATACACGTTCCCTATTCTCGTCCAAGCCATGATATCAGTCAAACGGAACGTATGTACATGGAAAGGCGCAAGGATAGCAAAGAAAAAAGACAAACAAGCAAGCGCAGTCGAATCGAGTTCGAATCAAACCAGAGACAAAAGACAGAAGCAAGCCTCACGAGCTTGCGAAAGCTATACGTACAGTCCTGATATCCTCCTCGAGATGGTTTCTTGAGATATGTGATTGACGAACAGACTCGTCTTACAGTATCAACGTTTGATCTCGACGAACAGATGTTCCAGATGCCACAAATAAGGAACCCTTCCTTGAATGCGTAGCAGCAGACGAAGCTCTGTGCTTGTAGTCTTGCTGGGTGCGTAGAGTATGATTGGTACAGGCAAAAGAAAGGTGCTCTCCAAATGACGACGACGACAACAACGATTAACTCTGCCTCTTATTTCAAATGTCAACAAAGGGATTGGCTCGTCGATTGTTCGGTCGGTGGTCTGCGACTCTCGAGGTCAAACGCAGACAACAAGGTGAGATGTGACAAGCTGTAATGGGACGAGGGAGGTAGGGAAACGGGGAGGCAGGCTTGCAAGATGCGGAAGAGTGCTGTACTTGTACCTGGTTAGAGCAAGGCAAAGTAAACCGATGTGTTTTTGAGCCTGTAGAGTGAAGCTACAGTCAAGGCAGGCAATAGAGAAGCGGCCCAACGCGTTTACGAGCAGATGCAAAGACGCCCGGCAATGGTTTCGAAGTTAAAAGCCCCGGAGCTCGGCCTCGTAGTGTCTCAAGCGTTTGGAAGCTCTCAGGCACGCTCTGGGGGGTTTAACATGGGGATCCACCTGGAGGGCACCTGAAAGAGAGCACCTGTCTGTGCTGAGTCTCCCCCCCCCCCTGGCAGGAGTGGCACGGGCTGTCGGGGCTAATTAATCCTATCCCTGGCTCAGCTCCAACACCCCTGACCGGTGACTAAGTGAGAGACTGGAGACTGCAACCCCGGGAATTCTGGCAGCTGAGAGCTTCAGCACAGCTACGCGTCAAGGGACGGAATGCCACTTGTCAAGAGAAGCCTCCAGACCCCGAGGATCCCTGCCTTGAACTCTACTGAGCAATCTGGCCGCATCTAATAATCCAGCACGCCTCCCCTAAAGTTGCAGCCACCCCAGAGGCGCCTCCCGATTCAATTCAACGGCCATCATTCCTTTCCGTTCCTCTCTGCTCAGTCAACCCAATCGCTCCCACGACCCAGTTCCTCTTTCGCCATCCCACGAGAGAACTCCTGCGACACCGCGCGACCTCGTTTCTCTTACAAGATAATAATACCCCACCCACCGCACACACAACCCACCGTCAACATGAGCGACCAAGTATCAGAGATCCTCGACCTCCCCAAGGACTTCGTCCGGGAGGGTTCGCTATTCATCAACAGGTGCACAAAGCCTGACCGCCAGGAATTTGTACGGGACTCCCTTGCTTAGACACGCGCCTTCAATTTGACACTCCTTGCTAACATGGGCCTCCCCACCACAGGTCAAGATCTGCCAGGCTGTCGGTGTTGGCTTCTTGATCATGGGCGCCGTCGGCTACATCGTCAAGCTCATCCACATCCCCGTCAACAACATCCTCGTCGGTGGCGCATAGACTCGCGAGGGACAAGAAGATACCGCGCCGGAGGGGCAAGGGGCGAGGGGCGATTTGAGCAATGCATTTGAAGGCTTGGGGTATACCAAAAGGAGTAAATGGTTCTCAGCATGGAAATGGGGAGGTAGAACGCACGATGCCGAAAACGGCAACAAAAGGACACCATACCCGACACAATAATTCTCAAACGGACGGGTCGTGAAGCACTACTCTATCACCAAGTCGGGAACTGCGAAATGGGCACGGAATGGCGGTTGTAACCGCCAATTGTCCATTGCTTTTAGTATGAGACCTATGTACAAAAATATGTTCCGGTATGCTGGACAGCAAATGAATCTACCGGCCCTATCAAGCGCCTATGTTTATCCGAAAGTTGTATATTCACTATGGTGGGAGTTGGGCTTCCAGCAGCCTCAAACCCAATGATAAGAGTTCAGCGTCGATACAGTGCAACCGCAGTATGAGACATTTGAACCAGCCCGCTTCTCGTTTGTTTATTGCAATCTTCTCTATCTCAAGATTGCTCACAGGGCCATGCAGTATCGGTGTTGGATTGTTAGAGAATAAGTCGTCATTTCTCAAATACCGAGCCCGCCATCCTCATCATCATCATCTTCATCCTCCTCCTCCTCTTCTTCTTCCTCCTCATCCTCGTCTTCCCATTGCCCCGAAGATTCAGAGCCGTGATCTGCATTGACCGGCTTGAGCTTGTCGGTATATCCTGATCCCATTCGCGGTTCCCCTTCATCATTATTGTTCTCGTTGAATGAGTGTACAGTGACAGTGCCCACGTGATGGTCCCAGCCGTTTAAAGAGGATGCTGAAGTGGTTGGGTTAGCTATCAAGATGCTTGAAGGCAGGTAGGGAAGCGAGCACACTTACCAGCAATGAACGGCGCATTAGGATGCCAACTGGCGTCTCGAACGACAGTTGACCAGCCGCGGAAGCCCCTACTCTGGTGATGTGCCCTCCATCTGGGAGGTAAAGCGTGGGCATTCATGCTTGCTTTGCGCACATCAATCTTGGCCGCCACAGTCGCGTCCATGTTGTAGACCCATACTTTCCCGTCATGGCTGCCAGAATAGACGTATCTGCTATCCGTGCTGCCAGGCGGCGAGAAATGGCAGCGGATGAGCGTTCTCAGCACTTTGTGTCCACGGAACGTCACCACGGAGTTATCGTCCGGATGTGGGAACCAGTCGTTGTCGTCGTACGGCCCCCAGCGATAGTCGAAGTTCGAGTAACCCGTGTGCTGGGTCGGGTTCTTCTCGCGGAACTCCGCTGTGGTGTACATCATCTTCAGATCCCAGAGCTTCATACTCTGATCCTTTCCGTTACTCAGAATGTATCGCCCGTCGCCTTTGCTGTCAATGTACGTGAGGCCCTCGACGTGGCCCACAAATGCGCCTGCTTCGCGGCCGTCGCCCATTGACCGTCTGTCCCAGACCTTGATGGTCGCATCGTCGGAACCGGAGTACAAGATGTGCGGGGACAACTTGTCGGCAAAGCAGACTGCGTTGACATGATCGCCATGTCCTTCGATCGAATGCAGCACCTGCCGCGTCTCGATGTCGTATACGACTATCGAGTTTGCATTGGTACCGGCGACAAGCTCCTTCCCGTCCCCTGAGAATCGGATTGACCAGATACCAAAACCGCCACCCCGCCAGCCATATGTGGAACGAGTTCTCCCATCCCCAGCGAGATTAAGCATGTAAGGGTCACCCGTGTCATTCGGGTCTGTCGGTGCTAGACATACCCTGCTCTCGATAGACGTATATGCCAACCACTTGTTGTCAGGACTTAACGAAGCATCCGTCAGAGTCCAGGAGCCGCCGGGAAACGCCACAGTCTTGTAATGCCTCCAATTGTAGGGATTTGATGTGTCGTACATCCGTACCTTGAAGTCTTTGACACAAGAGTAGAAGAAGTTTCCGTCATCCGAGAACTGCCCTGAGTAGACAGGTTCGTCGTAGTTGATCTGCATCTCTGCGTCCGTGGTCGGTAACAAGGACTGCGCCACTAGCCCCTGATTGATCTTCCTGGCTGTTGAGTTTCCGAGTCCCATCTCCCGGTCTAGTATCCTCCTGGCAATGCGCTTCTTGGCCTTTAGAGAACCGCCGTAACCAGTCGCCCCGAATGTTCCGGAGTTCATAAGTTCCATACCTTTGTCGCTGGGCACCTTTGGAAATCGGTTGGGATCGCGTGACCGGCGCCGCTGTCGCCTTTGGCCCCAGATACCTTCTTCTTCGTCATCGTTGTCGAACAGCAGGTGTCCCATATGTGTGCCTCGTAGAAACGCCAGGAGTTGTCTTTGAGTAAGTGCAATTCGCGGGTTGCCTATCAGCCGAATCGTCCGCTGTGGGGCGTCATCATCTTCGGCGTTGTCGCCTCCAGCTGCATCGGCATCAGCAGCAGCATCTTCCACTTCGACTACGAATTCGACGTTGCCTTCTTCCGTATCTATCACAGGTCAGGTGGTCTGTTCGAGGTTGTGACATATGGGGGGTTCCCTATGTACCATGAAACTCGTCGCCGTCCTCGAATATGTCGGCCATCAACCCATCGTCTTCTGCATCTTCGTCGTCGTCATCGGGCTCAAAGTCGGCATCATCTTCGTCCAAGCCAGTCTCAGCGTCCATGAACAGATCTTGGTACACCTGCTCATTGTCTTCTGAGCCGGATCGTGAGGCACTCATCGCGGTCGGTAAGTACGGGGTTCGTTATCTTTGTAAGCCGGAAGCTATGCCGATAAGCTACGATGGCAATGACGTCGAGGTCATTGACTGTATCCTACAAAGGCATCAAATACAACCGGCGCAGGGAAGTAACTAGGTTCTACCCGAGCATTTAGGCATTTGATGTAAGCGAACAAAGCAGTGATATTTAACGTTGGTTTGTTTCATGACGACACCATCGGATCCAATGATCCCTTATGCGTTTGGCGGGGTGGACAATAGCTTTATCGTCCCAGCTGTGAGGCGGCGTTATGCGGACTTAAGCCATGGACCCCGGTGTTACACAGTAGGTAGATCACGGATAACAGTATCCGCTGCATTGTGCTAAGGTTTATAGTTGGCATTGTCACAGAAGGCTCGGTTTGTATATGACATGAGTGGGTATCAAGAACTATTGTCAAGTCGGAGACATGACAAAGTCAGCCAACTTTGTGTTGTTGGTTCCTGATTCAGTCCATCCAACCAGGGGCAATCTTTGGTCTGCAAGGGCTTATCCAGGACCTGCCCCAGTTTGATAGATCATGATAGCATTGTATTCTCGTATATGATCAAGGTGAAAAATGGCTGGCTGGCAATAAACTAAACTACATAAGTTAACAATTTGCAATCCTCAAAGACATTTGGCTCCGTTTAGGTAAATCATATCCCAGAAACAGACCAGTTCTGTTGCCTGCTCGGACTGGACCCATATGGCATGCTCGACCCCAGGCTTAGCTCTTTGCGCTTGTGCGGCACAGTTAAATCCTTCGCAATTTTGAGGCTGACGCGCCCTATGATATGTTGGGTTTCAAGCCGCCGGCGTCGATCCCTAGTCTGAGCCATGGATTACACGTCGTAAATAAGTTTTAGGTTGAGTCTCCTGTTTAGGAGGCATTCCCACCTTAAATATGGAAGACTCTTGTCGCCATCATTGGCAATTGATTGCCTTTGTCACTTGTGTCACAGCACAGATGAACCCGAGTTGAGCGATAGCAGAAAATGGACACGACCACACCGCTAGACCTTGCAGCCACTTGCGCTGAGCTCGTCGGCGCAACCGGATCATCGGCCGTCAAGCTGAACCAGTTGTTAAGGGTTTATCGCGACATGCCCGCAGAACTTCGAGAACTCCAACGGCAGATTGCAACAAGCAAACAGACTTTAGATCGGTTGCTGCCATGGTTGGATCGTGATGAGCCGGCATTTCAGCACGCCAACGACATCGAGGCTCTTGATCTACACTTCAATGCCATCGCTTTTCTGGTCCGGGATGTGCAGGATCACGTTGCAGCTTTGGAGGAGGCGAGATCAAGTCCATTTCCAAACTGGACTTCATTTCAGCACATATGGACAAACGAGGACATTGGAGAAAGTGGGGCAAGATTAGACAGGCAACTGGGTGGTTTAGAGGTCTATCTCAAGGTTACAAGGCCAGAGTCCGAGGCTCAGAGGCTTATCGAGATCACAAATATGGAAGACAAGGCTTGTCTGATTGCTGCATGGGACGATGCGGCAATGTATATGGCCCCACCAACATATGCGTCACCCACGATCGACACGGCTCGACCATCAAATCCCATGGTCAGCGTCGATAGGCCGATCAGTCCTATGAACAGTGTTGTTGAGAATGACGGTCCAGCCACTCCAACTAGCCGCTCCTCACAAAGCACCCCATCCGTGGCTTACAGCTCAGCAACCGATCAAACAGAGTCGTCAGATTCCCAAGCGGCGAATTACACCGCGCTATCACACTCAGTAATGCTCCCAGCATCTATGAGCCAGTTGACCGTGGGAGCGGGCCGAAGGAACAACTACTGGCTCGATGCTCTCAAGAATAAAAGTAGCATCAACATACCATCTGCCAGGAAAATCAAATCCGTGGCCATGTTGCAAAAAGCGCCTATAGAAGCAGCAGCGACGCAAGGCGTCAAGGTACAGGGTGACGAAGCCTATCCTGCAGAATTCAAGAAAAGGGTCTCGGATTATGCCCGTGGAATCTCGCCAATCTGGGAACCTACGACAGTACCATCTAAAAAGAAAGGAACAAAGCAAATCTATCGCAATCGATTCACAAGAGAACATTCCGACGACCTTTCCCCGGAAAAGTTGCAGTCCCAATTCAAAGTCACAGAGAGGAAGTTATGGGACGCAATCGTGAATAGGGAAGTCGAGAAAGTCCGCAGAACTATGGAACACCGCTGGACAGACAATCTTGTTGTGGAGAAGCGAGACCGCACTACAGCACTACTTCTCGCAGCCTCTTTGGGTCTTTGTAGTATCGTTCAGATTCTGGTTTCACTGGGAGCAAGCGCAAATCACCCAGACAAGTACGGCGCAACAGCGATGCACTACGCCGCTGATTTTGGGTGTGCCGGCTGTCTACGCATTCTCGCCCTTGCCAATGGACGGTCGGATCTCGACTCACCAAAAACACATGTCAAGACAGCTCTCTTTTATGCAGCGAAGAGAGGCAACCTAGAAGCAGTGCAGGCCTTGCTTAGTTTTGGAGCTCACGTATATACACATAGCAGCACGCCACAGGAGACAGTGCTCTATGCCGCTGTCGGGTCCGGAAATATCGAAGTGGTCGAAGCCGTTCTGCAAAGAGGTGGTAACCCAGGAGAGAGTTTCGATACTCTTGCTCTTGCCTCTTTGAAATCGCGGGAAATACTGGCGCTACTCGTGCAAGCGGGTGCCAACATCGATATGCGCGACTCCGCCCAAGAAACCTTACTCTATAAGTATATCAAAAAGTGCGATGTGGATATGGTATCTTTCCTATTCTCGCTGAACGCAAAGCCTGCGCCAGCCGCAAACGCACTGGGCATTATGACAGCACACTTGGCTTTGGAGAAGGGCGGCTACCCGCATTCTGCCGCTCTCATCAAAGTTCTGCTTGATGTAGGAGGTCGGGTGGACTTGCAAAATGCGATCGGGCAGACAACACTTCACCTGGCTGTTTTATGGGGCCGTGCCGATGTAGCCGAAGTTTTGTGTCAGAGGGGGGCAAATATCAATATCAAAGACAAGAAAGGCACCACCCCATTCCAAGAAACACAGGAGCTAGGCTATCAGAGGAGGGTTGGTAACACGACGCTCGCTGATTATCCCGGGACCAAGGCAGTCCTCGAGCGATGGCAGCAGGGCTCGGTTTCAAGGGTAGCGGAAGTGCATGGCTACTCAAAGGCAGTGCCAGAGATAGATGGCCGCCTGGCCTCCAAACCTCGAGTCGAGGCCGATAACAAGCTCAAGCCCACGTGTGAGCTGGGTGACGTGAAGAGCCGGTTCGAGCTTGCAAGTTCGTCGCTGTTGGTGCATGAGCTGGATACCCGGCGGCATTCAATCTCAAGGAAACCTGTATTGGCCGAGTTACCTGCGTCCTAGGTTCTCAGAGTCACTCGAGTAGAACTCAGTGTAAACATTACAGAGTACAGGATGTGCACTATGAAGTGGGTGCCGGAAAGGTGATTTTTCCTATGATACCAGTATTTCTTTACCGAATGTTACAGCGTAGTAGATATCCATGTCTGAATGTGAACATCCTTTCCTCTAGAAACGAGCTCTCTATGACCTTACAGCTCAGACTTCTTCTCCTCGCCTTGAAGCGGTAGTTGACGCACCAAGAATGACTCTACCTCGTTTATCTCTTCCAAGCAGGCACTGTGGCCCATACCATCGTACTCCTTCCATGTGACGTCGAAGCCTGTCTTCTTGAGAAGGTCATAGCTGCCCTTACCAACCACATATGGAACAACCTGATCCATATTGCCATGGCACATAAGGATGGGCGTCTTCTGGTTGAAGTTGGCTTCGTTCAAGAACTCTGGAAGCTTGGTGTCCAGTGGCAGGTAGGAGGACATGCCAACAATGCCAGCAAGCTTGAACTTTGTGGTGAGACCCGTGAATAGAGACATCGCGCCACCTTGCGAGAAGCCACCGAGCACAATTCTCTCCGATGGGACCCCGTTGTCGATCTCGGCCTGGATCAAGCCACTGAGATAGGCACGGCTGATGAGCATGCCCGCCTCGTCTTGTTGACGACGAAGATCGTCGGGAGAACCTGACAGCGCGACCTGATGATTTAGTCAGTCATGTGCGCCCTTGGCAGGAAAATAGCTGCTTACAATGTCATACCAACCTGGCATTTCCATGCCCATATTCTTGAATGCTGTTAGTCTTGTCGGCACCGACGAGGATCAGCAAGTGTCTACTTACGCAAGTAATAGGAATTCTAGGAGCATGAGGCAAGATGAACTTGACTTCATTGAGCTTTGATCTCCGTCTCCAATTCTGAACTGCATCTGCCCATCCGTGGCCAGTGTCGCCAAGACCGTGAACGAAGATCACAGTAGCTGTATGCCGACCAGCAGGTGGGAACAGCAGAGGCGCCAGACGTTGAAGAGCGCCGCTCATGGTGGGCGGGTCTGACTTGAGCGCTTGAACAAAAGTAAGAGGACACAGGAATAATGCAAGCACAACGCAATATAGGAGTGCAAGGGGTAGAATAGAGTTAGCCGGAAATAGCGTCCTCGTCATTCATTCGCTGGTTCTTGCCCAAGATGACAGTAACTAACTTAACCGTAGAACGAAGATAATCAGTCGGCGGGACTTCGCAATGGCCCCTCAGTCGCGTTCCCGCGCGCGCTGACACCTGGCGGTCACTGCCACGGTTCGGCCCCGAGCGCGGAAAGTGGACTATTGGGCAAGTACCACGAGCCAATTGAAATCAATTACAAATCCTTGGTAATCACCCATGAGCCGCTGAAAAACGCCAGAATTAGTGATGGGTTGCAGTACACTTACAAAAGCCGAAGCGCTATTACACCACCTACATATTCCCCAAGCTTTCCGACTACAGCGACCCCTAGAACTTGATGGCACCCCTTCCGTCTTTCAGATCTATAATCATAACTTCTGTCGCCATTCTTGGTTTGGCATTTCTCTTGTCTACGCAGAATACTACTGAATTGATGTCGACTTGGCCTTTCAAACCAGCAGTATCGAAGTTTTTTGCAGCGTTATACTCGACCAAACAGACATCGACAAATACAATGCCGGCTAAAGCTCCTGTATACTTCTTCAGCCACGGCGGCGTAAGTGGCATGTAACATTAATAGTAGTGAGCACCTTCTGACCTCATGTAGCCAACTGTCCAATATGAGACAAAGCATCCGGCATACTCGGTGCTGCAGAACATCGGCCAAGAAATCACTAAGAAGGTAAAGCCATCGGCTGTTGTGGTCTTTTCCGGTCATTGGGAAGGATCGCGCGACACCATTGAGGTCAACACTGCGGAGCATACCGACCTCATATATGAGTATGCCTAGTTCTTCTTTTGCTGCGAGTTCCCCTACTAATAAAAGTTCTCAGCTTCTATGGTTTTCCTTCATACATGTATGAGGCCAAATACCCCAGCAGAGGCAGCCCAGAATTAGCCAACAGAATCCTCGGTCTTCTAGGCGACGCCGGCATCAAGGCTAAAGGCGTGACGCGAGGCCTTGACCATGGAGTCTGGTCTGGGTTCAACGTCGGTGAGTTTTAAGACCCAGATGTCATGGCTATTGGGGCACTGTTCCTTACCAATACGCAGCATTCGACCCGGAGAAGAACCCCCTAGGTGTACCGCTTGTGCAGGTCAGCTTGTATCATAGCGAGGACCCTGACATGCACTATCGTCTTGGCCAAGCAGTCGCATCACTGAGAGACGACAATATTGTGATCATTGGCGCTGGCATGTCGGTGCATAACATAAGAGACATGTTTGCGACTCGTGGTGACCCGCGGCCGCTGCCGTACACGGTGTCGTTTGACGAGGCATTGAAGGATGCTACCGAAGCCGCGCCGGCGGAGCGACAGGCTCGGATGGCGGAAGTTACTCGACGACCTGATGCGAAGCAGGCGCATCCAGTAAGTCCCTAAATAGGCGCTACCAGTGAACTTACTAATGCATTTCCCAGTGGATGGACCACTTGATGCCCGTCTATGTCGCAGCTGGTGCTGCCGGCGAGGATCAAGGCAAGAGAACATGGACGTTACACGAAGTTAGTATGGGATGGAGTCAATACAGGTTCGGGAACGTGAGTGCTTGAAAGGAATGTCATCATATAGCTCAGTGGTTTTAGTGCTTGATGTGGTCAAACGATACATTCAGCTAGATAGACCAGTTGAAATCTCGGATCAGACAAGCCATGCCGATAGGAACCTACGCAGCCACATTAATCGATTATCTACTAAGATAAACATGATAACATATTCTGTCCTATGTATACTGCTAGCTCTCCACTCAGTAACTTTTAAAGTCAAATGGCTATTGTGTCATTTCATATCATACCAGTAAGGTCCAGTAGAAGCAGGTATAATGGTTCTAAACTCTTGTGCCGGCCACTTAGTAGGCTCCAATCTGCTCTCCAGGTGACTAATATTACGCGAGAATCTGCCTACTCGTCCAAGTTGACGGTAGACTGTTGTGGAATTTTGTATTTGAAGTATACAGACAGCACTGGGCTTTGAAGGCCGCCATTCTGTTTTGGCCCGCGAAGAGAGTCAATAATGTAGCTTCTAGGAGGATGAGTGTTTCATGACAGCAACCCCCTCTAAAGTAATGACTTATACCAATATTGATTTTCCAGCTCCGGCTATCAATCCTTCAGCAGTAGTTTAATTATGCAACTCTGCTCACTTACCCATCCCATAACACAGAAGATGTCTCTGTCTGTTCTCTAGTCATTGTTGAAACGGCACTTTGTCAAGTATCCATTGACTAGTTCGTCCCTGTCGCCCGGCAGCAGCATCAATCTGTCGAAGCCAATGAGTTGAGCGGGAACAGCCCATTTCACAATCTCGGCATTGTTTCTTTTCTGTAGAAATGGCGTCCCAAGCCTCATCTAGCGCGGCCAGTGGTCTTAGCGCCCCTAGTCTAGTGGATAGTGGACCCCACCTATCGCAACTTATCCCACGGTCGACTGGAATGCACATCAGTCTGGAAGTCACTCGAGACCCTCAACATCGTGATCACGAATTGTTCTTCTTTTCAATACAAGAGACCCACAAACCTGCAAGCTCTTATGTCGGAGACTTGTTCCGATTCTTCAAGACCCTTCACTCCAGCTTGACCTTGTTTTCATCTCCATAAGACTGCGGCATCGTCAAAAAGCAACATCATCTCACAATGGCGTCGATCAGCGCGTCGCCCTTCTCATTACGGCCATGGCCAACGGGCGACAAGAAACCTAAGAGCCTTGGTGAATTCATAACACGCGTAAATGCTGAGAGGGGCGGGTTTCGTAATGTGACTGAAGCAGAGCTGCGCGAAGAAGTGCAGGCCAAGGATGAAGGTCGCATGGATGGCAGCAATAGCAGTCCGGACGGTGAAGCAGATTCCGACGACGACGCTGCAGATGGAGAGAAGCCGAAGACCATCATCGAGGCGCGTGAAGAATTCTTGAGGAACATCGAATTCGCTCACCAGTCTGCAATGCTAAGCCTAGATTTCATATCACTTCTGCTCTCCAAGGAGATGCCTAACCAGGCCAACATGACTTTATCGCCTGCACTGCGCGACCTCGTTGGCTTCGGTGTCTTGGGAGCTTCAAGGCTTCACGAGTCGAATCTCACTCCAGCACGCATCCAAGATGATCTGACTGTTGCGACGGGGTGGAGGCTCATGGGAACGAACAAGATGGTCGATTCTGTCCTTGAAGCTGCTGAACGGCTCGAGAAAGAGATCAGCTTGGAGACCAAGTACTGGGCCGATGTGCTTGCTGTTAGCGACAACGGCTGGACTGTCGCATCTCTGCCTTACGAACCTCATAGTCTGGGCGTCCGATATGGGTTCGCCGAGTCGGCCCCCGAGTACAGAAACAGTAGCATTGCGCCTCTACGTAGAAACGACGATGGAACTGTACGGATCGAGCGTGGTCTTGCTAATGGAGGGTCGAAGAGAGTACGTGCTGTTGTAGAGCGAGACGGACTGATAATCGGCAAATCCCATTTGCCAGGCCGAGTGCCTGATGATGCTCCCCTCCAGGACCGTGTTCTCGAGGCGCGCAACACCATCTTGTCGCAGGAACTGTGGTTTGAGATCAACAGAGAAGCACGCACTCTCCTGTCCTTGAATATTCAGCCTATTGATGACCGTATCATCTACCATGTAGACGCCGACACAAAAGTTGTTCTCACAGTAGAGGATTTGGACAAGGCTGATGCAGGCGGTGAGAGCCATGACGACCAGATGGCAAACACCATTGTTCTTGGTCTACATTTCTTGTTACTGTTCAGCCACCGCCTAAACTACTTCAAGCGTACCCAGTCAACACAGACAAACACTAGCCGCAACAACGCGCCACTGAGCATTCTTCGACCGCTTATCTCACGTCTCACCTTTGACAACGCTTGCAGCAAGCTGACGTACTTCCTGACGGGGTTGAAAACTATTCTTCAGAACGCGGGTTTGCCTAGTGTAGACTTCGCTCAATCTACAATACCTCCTGTTCCACAGCTGGCACCTGCACAGATCAGCCAGCTGGCGCTGCAGCAGATTTGGCGTGCGTCACCGTCCGAAGCACTCATGATCAACATGGCGCAACTTCTAGAGCTCACTGTCGAGCTCACAATCACGCCTCAAGCCCGCATAGCACTGCGTGGTAGAAGTTTCGTCACGCCGTTGGCTACAACACAGTTCATGGTTAAGCTCTTGGAGCCATTGAATACCAACCCGGCAACCCAGGGACAAAGTCAAGCCCAAGAACAATCACAACAAGTTCCCAACCCTCTAGAAGACGCGTACCCCCCATTCATGACAGATTCCTACCCCAATGTCGACGAGGCCCTCTACTATATCCGCCAGGCATCGATCAGGGCTGTCACGGACTGGACCACAGACTTTGTTGCAGACAAACTCGACCGGGACGACATTAACTGGTCAGAGACACCAACTGGCCCTCTAATTACGGCTCGTGGTGGTAAAGATTTGAAGATTGAGATCACAGACTCACCTGTTCTTGCATTAACCTTGCATATGCAGTGGGTCGAGGGCAAGTCTTTGAAGGTACGAAAATTGGCTTGGACGGCGGGAGAAGAAGTCCCCGAGAAACTTGAGGAGGTTGTGCTGGAGTTCTTTCGATAGTGGACAGGAATGGATGGCCTGGAGACCGGATCAGGTCTAACCATCATTGATACAAGCTATGTAAAGCACAACTATATCTAACAGTTGGATGGTCTTTTTTTTCTTTTCTTTTTTTCACTAGAAATCTTGCGGGTGCCATGGTGAGGGGAATCCAGATATCGTCTCATGTGGATAGATTTCCTGTCCACTTGTTCTTCGTAGTTGTTAACAAAAACAGTGTCTTACGAACGTCAGTGAAGTAAATACCCAAACTACTGGAGAAGGTGGTGCGCGCCTCATGGCTGTACATGAAACATCTGGAGATGGAAGGCCACTGAGTGCCGAAGCGGCAATGAGAAAACCAAAAGAGCAGCAATGATCGAAATCTAGTACATATTGTCAAAGACGAGAGAGTTCATGGAGAGAGCATTCCACACTGGACTTGAGGATATCTGCTCACAAAGACTACCCACCCACAACAGACTAGCCCGATTCTAGGTCAAAATCTATTTCCGTAAGTCACACCTTCCCGCAACTTTCTTCACATGGCAGTAATAAGTTTTCATCATCTAAATCGCATGCGGCTCCAGAAGAGCCACGGTCATCATCAATCCTAATTGCAATCCTAATTGCGCAGTTGCTATAACATCCATTAACTAAGTACTCAGAAGTCATCATCACCTCGCCACGGACACATCAACCGCTGTAATGATAAATTCAAGGAATCATTTTCTTCACCATGGCTACCAGGAAGCATCAAACAAAGCGTAAACCAAAGCTTAGACCAGTCAGCCTCACCCGTCAACCCTCGCCCTGCCTCCGACACTACCTCGACTCAACGTGCTCGCCGCCCGATCACGACCTCTCCAAGCCCCGGGAGCAGGCCCTCCGTCTCATCGACGTCGATGACGAGAACCTTCTCAAGGCTGCTGGGAAGCTGGCATCAATACAGCATGGCGAGTCTTTCATCCTCACGCAAATAGACACGCGGTCACCCTCCGACAGGCCATCAGGCCATGAGTACCCCGCGATGCTGGGGTCCATCGCCTGCTTCGAGTTCCTCGGGTTCTCCCGAGAGATGGCGACCGCCCTGTCCTACATTTTCCTTTCAGAATTCCAGTCCCAACAACGAGCGCGGTGGGATTTCCGCCAGGTCGCCTGGGGTGTGCTCACCCACTGCCCGCAACCAGACGTCGCGGAGCCGGGGCGCTCCGAGGAGGCAGAGGCGCTCTTTGAGGTGCTCGGGCTGAGCGAGGAGACGAAAGACCTGTTCCGTGATTCCGGCGAGGAGCTCTTCGACGACGACACGACCGTCATGGCCTGGGTGATTGATGTTGTTCAAGGACGGTGGGCCGAGCTCAGGCAGGTCGCCGCGCAGTCGATTCAGAGGGGGCAGGAGATCCGGCAAGACGGAGGGGCACAACGCGTGCTATAGAAATGCGCTATTGAGCCTGGAACTACACCCCGACCCAGACTGCCCATGTGCTGGCGTATATCACGCTGGGAATCTATGTCAAGGGCGAGTCGGAGCTTTGCGACAATTTGTCCATGTTGCACATGCTAGAGAGAACGAACAAGGAGAGGAGGAATCATCACTGCAAGTGAAGCTGTTCGGTTGAACACAAATCTACGAGCATGGGATGTGCCACAGGCACCCACACTCTGTGGATGTTTACCTGAAGAGTAACCACAAGATCCCCTGAAAGGGCAGTTTATTGAATATGCAAGCAGGAAAAATAATGTTTTCTGATTGCATGAGGATTTACTAATAGAAGCTCAAGTTTACTAAGATGGTGAAGATAGAGCTTTCTCGAGAAAGGAAAAGAAAAAGAAAAAGAAAAATCGTTTACCTCCATGTGTTATGCCATTGTTGTTGAAAATGGCGCTTGTATTTGACAAATCCCTGAGGTGATTAGTCAATACCGAGCACTATGAGCTGCTTCTGGTATAGCCCTGGTTGCAATCAGGATCCTGGATCAGGCTGCTTATAGATGTTTGATGACAGACTACTCCTCCCACTTGGAATGAGTTACAAGTTATATCAAATACTTAGGATTGGTCGATTCAGGTGCATTAAATGCTACATCTCTATCTAACTCAAATTGCTCTCTTTTTGGTTTTTTTTTCTTCTTCTCCTTTTTAGCCATATAGAGGTTCCATGGAGCTATTGACTGCTCATCTCACCAAAACCATCCCATCAAGCCACGCTTAACTCATTCCAAGAAAAATTATGCCGAAAGTTTCAGCCAAAATAGCTTACTCCTTGCATGATGCAAAACACTTTGTGTCCATGATCTCGCAGGTCGTGAAAATCAATGTGATGTATCGTACCCACATTTGTGAAAAGCAGTGCAAAAGGCATCATCGATCGCCATTGAAGTCATCGCCAAACACACTCAATCTTTGCTCAGTATCTCAACATTCGCCGAGAATATTCGCCGAGTATTCTCAATACTTGCCAAAATTCTTTGCTGATATTTCCGGCCATTGCCAATATCTCTCAATCACCCAACCGTTCTCAGTTATGGTCAACCATTAACGACCTTACGAAAGGATATGCACAAGGAATCCAATGAGCTAACAACAGAGTTGAGTGCACTCCTCTGTATAGAGAAATGGTAGTGAAGCACAACCATCCCTTATCTGTTGCCAATACCGAAGAGGAAAGCCAGATCATTGACACTGAGACGACCAACCTCGCGGGCAGCGTTCTCATCTAGAGCAGCATTCACTACCTCGCGCTTCTCCTCCTGTAGAGCAATGATACGGTCCTCGACAGTGTCTTTGATCAGAATTCGGTGTACTTTGACCTCCTTTGTCTGACCGATACGGTGAGCTCGATCGACTGCTTGAGTCTCAATGAAAGGGTTCCAGAAAGGGTCCATGATAACGACATGTGATGCCACTGTCAAGTTGAGACCTGCATTGCCGGCTTTCAAAGAGACAAGCATGAGCTTAACGTCGTCATCGTTGGTGAAATCCGTGACTGCTGAATCACGTTGCTTCGAGTTCATGGCGCCATCATAGCGACGATATCCAATCTTTAACTTGCTGGTGACTTGGACCTCAATAAGGTCAAGGAGCATAGTCCACTGCGAGAAGATGAGTATTTTCTCGCCTGAAGCTTGAATGTCTGCAATGAGCTCTGTACACATGGTGATTTTCGCTGAATCTAGCCAAATGCGTTCGAGGTAGTTAAAGTAGCGTCTGCGGGCCACTACATTTCTGCCAGCAACCTTACGGAGTTTTGCTAGCTCATGAGGCTGGACTGGTTCGTCTTTCTTCTTGCTCTCTCCCTTGGACCTCTTGTGCTTCGCCTTTTTCGTCACAATGGAGAAGTCATCATCATCGTCGTCGTCGTTGACGATGAAATCAATGAGATTACCTCGGTTGTCCACATCACCGCCATCATCTGATGATGTCTCTTCATCATCTGATACCCCGCTCTCTGTCCCATCTTCATCAACAAGTGCCTCAGCTTTGGTGTTGGACGCCTGCTCAGTGTCCCATTGCTCCTTCATGTGCACTCGCTTGAAAACGTCGCAAGTCACGTAAGCACTGAAGTCAATTTCTTCACGACACTCTGGGCAGGTTGACTTGGCACCGAGAGCTTCGTTTCCAGCCTGAATATTCGCAGCCTCGGCAGTCTGTCTTAGCTGAGTCAGACAATCGGTGCAGGTATTGTGACCACAGAGGAGGATGCTCGGGTTTTCAGTTGGTTCATAGCATATTGGGCACTCGAACAGCTCCTTGTCAGTGATGCGAGTAACTATACGCTGCACGGCATCAGCTTTGAGATTTCCAGCATACGCCAGCATGTCTTGGATGGGAGTGTCGTTGTTAACGAACTCCAAATCAGTGATGTGGAGGAATGGGTGGCAGCAGGCTTGACGCAGACGCAAAAGTAAAACCAAGGCAACCTGGTAATGCTTTCCGACCGATCCTTCCCGGAGAAACTTGGACATTTTGACCTGGGCATCTTTTTCCAGAGAGCGGTAATAATCCTCTTCATCTTGACCAAATACAACATGCTTGGTCAACTCTTTCTTCGGCTTCAACTGGATAATTGGTTTGCCGTCGATCTTTGATTTTTTGGTGCGACGAAGCATGATAGCCTTAAGGAGAGCTTGCATCTTTTTCATGGCGACATCTCCCCTGCCACCTCGTCCTGATGCCCTAGGATTAAGGATGCCGAATGTATGCTCGAAATGTGAGAGGTCATTGTACGGCTTGATTCGTAGGAATGAAATCAGCGAAGCGAGCTCACCGACACTATTCATCATGGGCGTGCCGGTGAGAACCCATCGGTATGTAGCTTGGAGCCTGCGAACAGCTTTGAATCTCAGCGATTTGGAACTCTTGATTGCTTGGGCTTCATCAAGGACAATGCGATGAAACATGCTCCTTGTACCCATGAACGAGAAGTGCTTCAGGATAAAGTCATCGTCCACGGGTTCATTCTTGCCTGCCTGCTTCTTGACGTACTCGTCAAACGCCTTTGCCTCTCGACTAAGCTTGTCATATGTAGTTAAGACGATGTCAAACTTCTTGAAGTCCGTATAAGTCATGTTCTTGTTGGAAGAATCGTGAGCATTGAGCACGGCAAGTGAGTGGCGCCCCTCTTTGATCTTGGTCATTGCCTCACGTTCCCACTGTTTGATGAGCGAGACCGGCGCGACAATAAGGGTAGGCTGGAACTGTCAGAAATATTTCAGTCGTCGAGGAGAATGGTGTCACTCACATTTGGATAACGACATCCTAGAGGGAGAGGTGCTGGGCGTGTAAGAATCAGTGCCAGTGTCGATATGGTTTTGCCAAGGCCCATGTCGTCCGCGAGAATGCCACCCTTCTTGTTCTCATCGGCCTCCATTGTTTGCATCCACTTCAAAGCAATTTTCTGATGCGGGTAGAGAGGATATAAAAAGCCCTCCGGTGTACCAGCTTGATTGTCTGCGCCAGTAGTGGCTGGAATATTGGCAAGGAGATTCTTGAGTTCTGTCTTTGCAGTGGACCCAACCCCATGAGACGACTCCATAGAGTCCAACCCTTGTAAGAAATTAGTAGTAGCAGCCGGTAAAGGATTACCCAGATGATCACGGCCAGTCGCTAAATTGTACTTGCTCGTTCGATTGATAATATCACGGAGCGAGTTACCCGAGCGAGAGGCGTCATTGCCAAATACAGCGGAGGGCGAAGTAGTGTTGGCATCACTTCCAAACCCGAAGAGCTCCATATTTTCCAACAACTCTTTGGCAGTGGGTTCGGGCCCGAACGTCTCAGTGTCCCAAGCACCCTTTTTGAGGGACAAACCTTCAAAGCCAGGTGGCGGGCTTATCCAACCGGGTGGCTGACTAGTCAAAGACAGGCCAGTACCAGCAGTGAAGGACAAAGGTACGGCTTTGATGTGGGATGGGATTCCGGTACTAAATGAACCAGTATCAACAGAGCTTGGGAAGGCACCTGCAATGTTGGAAAACCCCGTAAAGGGTTGTCCTTCACTCGCTGGGGAAGTTTGAGATGTCAGATTCCGAACGCGATCAAAAGCGCTGAATCCAGGATGTGCAGGCTGTTGATCAGGGAAACCACGCTCGTCCTCCACTGTTTGGAGCTGTCGAGCCCAGTACGCATCATCTTCTTCTTGCTCCTTACGACGGCGCAGCCTCTCCTCCTCTTCTCTGTACTGGATTTTCCAGGTTGCCTCACCACTCTCATCCCCACTAAGGTCGATAGTTGAGCTTGAGTCGCTATATCCAGACAATCCATCGATGGCAGTATTTGAAAAGCTTCCATGTGGATTCGGGGTCGTTCTTCTAGACTTGTTGTCAGGCAGAGACAGATCCTTGACACCAAGATGCGAAGCGAATGAACGCTTGCGATCTCTGATTCTGCCTTCAGAATTGCCGTTCGTGGAGTCCGTTGCTCCTCTAGACTGATCACCAAGCTGAGGGTAGACACGAGAAGCAAGCGTATTCGAGCCAGTCTCATCTGAAAACAAATTAGCTCAACCAAAATGAGTCATAGGTTTAGAAAGAAAGTTTTTGGGCTGGTCTCAGGAATTAATAGCGTACCAATAGTATTTCTGGCTGTGGGGGTCATTTGTAAGGCGCCTAATTCCACCGTTAATAATTATAAGATCAACACACCTCTTGGTGCTGGGATCAAATGAACTTACCCACAATACCCGGACGCTTCAAACCCGACATGGCTGATGAGGGCTGGTCTGAAGTAGAATTGAGATTAGCGAATTTGTACGGATAGATGAATTGGTTGAGCGTGCGAGAGACTGGATGATGTTTGAGATGGTAATTCTCCTAAGGTGATAGACGGAGGCTAATGTGTGTTCCTTTGTTGTCGAACACGTCGACACCAGTCGCATCTGCTTTGCTGGTAGGCACATTTTCCAAGACGCGTAAGAGAAAATGACAGAACTGGAGCTAGGGAAAAACAGTAGATTTTGTGAAGGAGCGAGGGTTCGTAGAGCTTTGCAAATGGCCAAGTCTGAAAGAACGGATCGTACAAATTTTGCCAGCCAAAAGTTCCAGCTATGAAACAAGGATTACTTACTTCTGCTGCTTCTGTTGTGGTTGTTAATGTTGTTGCTGCTGCTTTTGTTCTCGTTCGATCTTGAGGAAGACGACTGGCCAAAGCCTGAAGAAAAGTTAGTCAGGGAGGTACGAAGACATAGGGTGAGTGCAGGAGAACATGGATGGAGTGTGCAGTTTGTTTGATGCTGTGATATGATGTTGCTGGGGTGGGGAAAGCAGCTACCTGGGCTGTCATCCATACTCGCAAGCGTCTGCCGCTCAGGATCTGTAACGGGATGAATGTGTTGAAGGATGGGAGTTCAAAGGTAAATAAACATTCGAACACGTGAAATGTATGGATGTGGTCACAAGTGGCTCTAACCTAGTTCAACGATTCCTGTGTTGGGAGGATTGAGCAATGTGATGTGATTGTAGTGAGGAGAGTGAATTGTGTGATAAACAATGTTCCATTGAAATAAGAATCGGATTGAAGGCCCATGAGGAATCGAAATTCGATGCCTTACCACGTTGTTTGTGGAGCTTTTTAAGCTCCCCTTTGATTGATTTAATGGCCGTTAAGAACTCGGCCCTCTGCTCTGGCGTGTCTTCTGGTGTATCGAGCAACGATTCCAGGAAAATTTCTTGTAGTTGCAATTCTTCCATGAGGTCTCCCCATTTCTGACGTATCTCAGCCTCATGCGAGGTAGAGGGTCGCACAAAGACTTCCTCAGGCTGCGAAGCCATGTCGGGCAACAGTTTCCCTGCAGACCTGACAAACAAATTAATGAGCTAGTCTACGGCAATGTAAATCTCCGTTTGTATATCTGTTGTTATTCTGAAGTATATAGCTGAGATGTGGTCGGTGTGGTACGTCTATGAGTTGGCGGGTATATCTTAAATCATATAAGCCAGGAGTCTGTTGGCATGGTTCTCGAAGCCGCCTGCAATTTCTGGAATGATTCGCTCAACAGCGACGGACAACTGACGAGCTTGACAACGAAGACAAAGAACCTTGGAAACAAAAGTTTTGCTACCGATCCGAAGTGTAAGGCTGAGCTTGGTCGTCCGGTCTTATTTGAACAAATTGTCTGAAAGGCACAAGGGCGGGGACGCACAGGACTTTTCTGCCTAAAAATAAATCCTGATGGTCTGGTAGATTGCAGCTCAGCATTAAACTTTGGCAGTGGCATTGATGCACAAACTGAACCACATGAGTGAAAGCTGTAAACTCCATCCAGCTTTCGCGTGTCTGACTTTATTTCATTCATATGCTGCCATCAAGGGATTTTGCGCCTCATATACAACGTGCCAACAAACTGATTCGTGGTGTTGGACATTGAACGAGGAGGCATTGAGAATGTCTGATTATGGCAACTGTAGCAACCACGTCGTGTCAATGCGCGTCATTGCCATTGCCGCATGGGGCTTTGATGCAAGCACTTTGTTTTCCCGCTAGCTACCTACGGGTTCTGCGGTTCTTCTAGGGATTCCTTTTCACGGGTGACTAAACAAGCTAAAAATTAAAAATTAAAACCGCTTTGGTACTAGACTAAGGTTAGTCTAGCTGTACACGTGCTTCTACTAGCGCGGGAGGTACGCTGAAGTTGAAGAAGACAGAAGCATTAGATAATAATGGCTACACCATATGTAATCTGGTGGTATCATAGTTTTCCGGTCGCGTTGTTAATAACTACTGTGTATCTTAGATTTAGACATTATTTGTTCTTTTTAGCAACCTCACACAGTTCCAGAAGCCATGCCAAGACGCTTTTGTTAGGGTGTTGCATGCTGTCACCCGTCGTCCAAACAATCGGTAAAGGTTACTTGTATTCTACCCACTGAACTACAATACTTCAAATCAGTCTTGGGTCGAAAGGAACTCGGCAGGTGGCGGACCTATTCGCTAATGAGGCAACCGATTTCATGTGCATATTCAAGCTCCGCTGAAGACCTCGATGGAAAACTGGGTTGATGTTCTTGCACCCAATCCACAAATTCTTTTGTCTACAATTTGTCTGGCCGAAGAATCCTCACTAAATCCTTTCGAGAATGAAGCGAGCTGCAAAACCTTTTTTCAGATCCTTTAGAACTCTCCCGGCTAAGCTGCCAGCTCTTGAGCTTCATTGAGCATTCTACATGCACTTTCGAGCCCTCAGGAGGTCATCATCGATCTCGTTGACTAGAATCTCGTCAACTAACGACTTCGGCTCGAGGCTATAAGATGCATCCAACGGCTGCTTCCGCTTCCACAGGACTCTGATGTCCAATAGTGGTGATCTCTCACAAGCTGTGTTGAACACCGTTTGAAGAAACTTGACCGTTTCGACTGCCAAATGTTCATTATTCAGGCAATATGTGCCCAAATTGTTGTATACTGTTGGGCCAGCAGCCAGCTATGTGAATACTTTGGTGGTCAGCGTTTGGGACTGAAGGAGAAGATCGGGCAACTAGTCCACATCTCACTATATCAGGTACCATGATCACAGGGGAATCAAGCTCGGGGAGAGTATCTATCAATATTATCAGATCATCTGGTGGAGAACTCGGGAGGCCGGATGCTAACAACTGGTCTTTGTCAGCCTCAGTCTTCATCAGCTGTCTAATCTTGTTGATATAGTCATCGGTCGCCATGATGGTTGCTTCGAGAATCCCCTAAATGTGTTCAATGGTCGCCGATACCACGGAACCGGGAACTCCCGAGTAATCTAAACCTTAAAATTGTCAGCTGGACTTTTGCTGTTTAATGACGCACGAATAGCACCGTTTGGTGGGATATCTCATTCTGGTTTGGGCTCTCACCTGAGATACTTCCACAATCTACCTGGGTTTGGTTGATGAAATTCTGTGAGGCTTTTCAGAGAGTTCGTGCTCAAGCCCAGCCGATTCCGCACAATATTCTGGCATGCCGGGAGACATGGATAGAAGATGCTGTTCATCGTAACTATGGTTGGAACTACTTGCTCGATTACACCAACCCCGCCTCTTTGAATCTCGAGGAATTACGCTACGTTTCAAGCGGTAACAGCCTGGGATATTCCTTTTAACCTGTTTACAAACTCCCAAGACTTAGAATTGTTTGAAGCTATTTTCGCGAGGGGAAAAAAGTCGATGTCTTTGGTCAAAATGCAGTCTGCATAAGTCTCCCCCGTGAAACTGAAGTGGCTTGACTCCTGAGACTGTCCTGACAACGAAATCTTATACCTAATTTACGAAGCTGCTCAATCGTGTAAATCTAGCAACGTGCAACTCTGTGGCTGAATCCTGCCGTGCAAGAGCATAAGCCGCTGCCAAGTGGACGTTGGCTTAGCCATGTTCAGAATTGGTGAAAATAAGGATCCGCTTGGTTGGTGATATAATCAAAAGCTCTCTCGTCAATCCATGGGCCCAGCTATATAAAATTATAGCACGTTTTAGTCTTTACGAAGCAGTGTGGAGCCTTTTACTACCGTTTTTGCAAGAAAGATAGAATCTCTATTCTCCCAAAGTGCTTACTTTGGGACATTGATTGCCTAGTTTAGGTCTTACAGGTCGAACCAGATTGAATCAGATCATGCTCTGGTCGTGCTAAACATACCATCAGTCAACGAAGTCGGGAAACGCAATTCGTTTTCCCACGAAGTACGAAGTGAAACAAGTAGGCTTAGCGGCCGCACATCAAGTATACTTGCTTTATTAAAGCATATCCAACATGGCACAGCGCCATGTAAGTAATCATTGGCGCGGCCGAAAAGCAAACAGGGCACCTGTTTTTACAGGATATTTCCACGACATATGTGCAGCTTTTCTTTCAGAAAGCATGTAGCGTCGTTCAACCGAAGACACGAGTTCCCGAATTTAGTTACTACCAAAGATTATTGTTGTCGACAGCACTTGAAAGGCTCCAGCGTTCAATGGATTCTGCGTATCGCAACAGGAGACCGGGAGTACGTGGAAGCGAATCATCTTTGGTTAGTCTCATTGGTCTCCGCCCTAAGACCATCCGGCCCTGAGAAGTATGTGATCGACAATGATCTAGGTTAAACCTTAACAACCGGCCGATTACGCCGTACGGTCATTGGGACACCCAGGAATTGCTGTCTCGAGAAATGATACGAAACCGCGATACATGAATAAGCATATTTTCCAGCCCTTGTACCACCGCATTATTAGAAATGTAAGCAAGTCCAGCCAGTCTCTACGCCGCAGCTCCTTGGCTGAGATTATGTGCTCCTGTTTCCCTATTGTCAGCCATACAGTTAGGCGTGAGTCTTCATTGCGATCTTGAGTAACATTCTGACTCAGATGGACAACTGGGTTTAACAAAAGGGCCATATGTTTTCCGGTCACTATTTCCGCACCACAGAAAAATTGTACTTATATGTACATATATTTGCTTTGTGACCCTTTGCCGTGCCTGTAAACTACTGTAACCATCATGATAAGAGACGACAGGTTCACAAGAATTCTATTCATAAGTTTAGGTGATGTGAGAACCTACAAACGGAGTCAAAACAATCACAACTTAAACTTCTTAGCGACTTCGATTCCCTCCGCCAGCGTGCCAACCCGGGCGTCTATGGCGTAACCCTGCTCTTCCAGCTTTTTGCACTCCGCATACAGGTTCGTAAGCTTGACCGTAAAGACCTCGATAAACTCACTATCCTCAAGTTCAGGTTTGAGGTTCTGGTTCTCGGGCAGACTCATATCAATGCTCACATGAACCATGCGCAGATTCGTGTTGCAGAACCCGGGGTCTAAGGAGGCAGGGCATCCAATCAGCAAGAGTCCACAGAGGGAGAAGATGATGGGATTTTCTCACCATTGAACATGACCGGGGTCGTCATCGTCGCCTTGCCCACATATCCCGTCTCCTCCCTCAGCTCGCGCACCGCAGCCTCCTCGGCCGTCTCGCCCTCGTCTACCAGGCCGGCGGGCACTTCAATGGTGACCTTGTCGATGGGCGGGCGGAACTGCTTCTGCAGGATGATCTCCGGTCCTGCCCAGAGAGAGGAATTAGCCATCAGCCTGGGGGGAAAAAGAAGTTCAAAAAGGGGCAAAAGTTTCGAATCAACCACTTACCAGTCTCCTTCTCCAAGACGGCAAAGATGCCGACTCCGTCAATATCACCGCCTTTGGGCCTCGTGAGTCGCTCAGCACTCTCCCATGTTCGATTCGTGCCAGCAGGGTCCTGGTAATTAATCTTGAGGAGCTTGATCCACCTTGATTCATTATTTGACTACACAAGGCATTTATAAATCAGTTTTGGCCATTCCAGTGCAGCAAACGAAAAATGCGGAAACGGGCAACTGACCAGCGGTGCCGTGGAGAGCACCTTCGCATCTTCGCCTGACATGTCTGAATATTACAGTTCAGATTTTTTAGATCTATGGTCAAGATGGGCTCTAGAGGCTCTAGTTAAGGTGTGAAATTGGGAATGCTTTGTGGTGTTTGGACCAATTTATGTAATGTTGAATTGGCTAACAACTGGTGTGGGGCGATGTTAACATGTGTCGGTGGGGTTTATTGCAACAGTGTTGCTGACGTATTTGATCCAAGCATGAACCGATTTTATGTCAAAAGGTAAGAACACTTTTCTAATTAATGAATAGGATACTATGCGTGTTCCTAGTTAAAAGCCCTCATAGGCTGTTACGTATGCCGAAAATTTCCATCAAAATACCGGAGCACAATAAACAGTTCATTAATGAAGTACAGAAGATAGACGATAGTTCATAAATCATAAATTCTGGTTGCATCTCTCACTGTCTAGTTACAAACGTTCCCGTCAGTTGCCAATCGCCTAGCTATGCCACAAAGGATGGGCACGAGAGATGAGCAAGGAAATAGTAGCAAAAATTTTCCTCCCACGATATGATTCTAGTCCATGCTGAAACTCGGCGGAAAACGAGACCAGCCACCAACAAGCTTTGATAATCCTAATTCGTGGTATCTTAAATCACATACAAATCGTTATCATTGATAAAGGCATCATCTAACGTTGATGGCGCGTGCTTTTGTGCCGGGGATCGAGGACAGATGATACAGAGGATGGGCGCTTAGTGGAGGTATTGGCGCGAGCCCTTGCGGTCACGCTCGTAGATGACCTCATGCTCGACAATTCTTTCGTCGTCAAAGTGATCTCTGTGTCTGGGATGTCTATGTCGTCGCTCCCATCGCTCTCTGGCCTCGCGCTCCCATTCGATCTCCCGGGCTCTCTCCTTGCGTGCCTTTCGGATCGAATCAGACATATTAACCAGCTGCAATACATCTTCCTATACGGTAATACCAGTTAGTGATCGGCTTGGGTTTAAAAAAAAAACGCCGTTGCGTTTTTGGAAAACTTACATAACGGAGATATTCCATCACGTAAAAGAAGAACTCGGTTTCTTCATACTCATATCCCATCCGCTCGACTGCCTCACGAACAACCAGGTCCTTGGTGATCTCTGTCCACATTTCCTGTTGTTTCTTCACAGGCCGTCGTTCGCGATCTCGGTCGCGAATCGAGATGCGAGTGTCGTGCACGTCTTCAACAACTGTCCTATCCCGAGACGAGTCGCGATGTTTGTCGTAGATTTGGACGCTTAGTCGATCCCGGTCAGAGACTGACTCTCGGGCTGGTTCTGGAGCAAGGCTTGTGCTACTTGAAGAGACGACGGTCCCATCTCGCTCGGGAAGAAATTTGGCTCTGCGCACACCGTTGTATCGCTGCCAGGTAACTTCAGCCCCACCACCTCCAACACCATCCATCTTCACACGTTCGGTTCCCGGAGGAACATCGACGATTGTCCAGTCTTTGGTGGCTCCATGCCATGCCTCACCCATTTGACCTCGTGAATCGATCTTGCTGGTGATATATTCCGCCTCGTCGGAGTAGTCCGGCCGTGACGGTGCCGGCGGTGCTACTGAGCGGGAGCGTCTGTGATCATGCTCTATATCGATCTTTAGACGGTCTCGGTCGCTTCGTACGATAACCTCATCATCATAGTAGGAGGGACCCCTCGGCGGAGGTACTGGTCGTGCTCTAGGTCGCGACCTAGAGCGAGTACGTTGATGAATGTCAACCTCTGTTTCGCCTCGTGAATCATAAATGCCGATATCGATCTCACGCTCACGTTCTCTTGGGCGCTCCCGGCGCGGAGGTGGTGGCGGAGAAGGAGGGCGTGGTGCCCGTTCAACGCCTGAGCTTTTTGTTAGCAAATAAACATTGCAGACATTACAATGGGGTTTTTGGAGACGTACCATGATCTATATCGCGATAATGGGTAATCACCTCTCTCTCTATCGTTGGGCCACGAATAACTTGCGGTTGGGGAGTCGGGGGTGCAGGAGGCGGAGAGGGGCTTGGAGAAGGCACTCTGCGTCTCTCACGGTCTATGATGCGAATTTCTCGCTCCCTCTCTGGTGGGGGAGTAGGTGATCGCTCTCTCCTCCTTTCAATGATACGTGTGTCCACACGTACTTCTGGGCCTGGAGAGGGCGAGCGCTCAATAAACCTGGGCCTCCTGATCTCAGGCATGGGTGCGGGCAATGGATCCCTCTCCCTCTCCCTACGAGGAGGAGGAGATATACTCCGTCGGCGGATCATGATGCGTTCTTCTGCACGCACAGGGCTGGGGCTGCGAGGGCGACGACGATCAATCGTTTCTATCTCGCGCGAACGAAGGACAAGTGGCCCTGCCTCGCCTCGTCTTGGTTCTTCGCGAAGGAATGCTGGAGTGCGGCTCTCTCGCTCTCTAATAGAGATGTCGGTCTCCTCGTATTCGCGCACAGGGGCTCGTCTCGGTGGACTTCGGCGCTCCTCACGTCTCTCGTAAACCTCGGTGACATCGTCATATTCACGACGAGGGGGCCCGCGGCGGGGTTCGTCGCGATAGTAGCTGCGGTCGTCGACGTCGCTGGCACGGCCACCACCAACGCGGTAAGACATGATGCTTGATATTTACTGTCAAATCAAAGTCAAAAAAGTCTAAAGGTCCAAGACTGGTCCCTGAACTTTGGCAAGCGCCTAAGCTCAAGCGGCGGTCAGATGGGTGAAGTCTTCACGAGCGCTTGACAGCTGTCGTGGTGTAGCGGGGTAGTTTTAGGCTGGCGGGAGGGATCGACGGTTGAAATAGCGTCATGCGACAGCGACGACTTGAGAATCACAAGCCAAACAGACAACTCGGAAAGGCCGAAAGGAAAAGGGAGGGCCCTTCTCTTCTAAGCCAGTGAGTCGAAGAAGGCTGAATGCAAGATGTGTTCGAACGTCCGACAAACAAGAAAAAACCAAACAGGCTTGAAATGGGATATCCTTGGAGGATTACGGATAGAGAGGTCAGATTCTGGTACGGGATTTAATCCAGATTGGACTGGGCTGGGCAGCGAGCGACATACATGAGAAACAGACGTCGTCATCCCACAGCGGCTTGCAGTGAGGAGCCCGGCTATGGTTGGGGCTCTAACAAGATAGCGTGCTATAGGGCAGCGACAAATAACAGAGGGGCTGGCCTTCATGTAACCAGGGAACAGGCCCTGTCTTTGGGTAGAAACACCGATTGGATAGACGAGGTACTGTCAAGAGAAGACGGGGTGCGTTAACGAGAGGGGCGTTAGTTGCATAGTGATTGACTGTGGAATGGTTTTGTCTTCCCATAACATTTTTGCGCGTTGACAGCCGAGCGGAATGAGGATCTTGTGGTCAAATTGAACTCGTGTCGAGCCCGTGTGAGCCATGACGAACACAGATGGCCCGAAGGCGGTGGTGGTTCCATGTGTGATCCACGCCTCTCATGACTTCTCCCAATGCAGACTTCTGCAGCAGGCTGAGTTCGGTGTGTGCCGCCTCAAGAGACTGGAGACTGACTCTAAGATTGACACTTTGTAGGTGATTGGGCACAGAGGACGAAAGGAGGGAGCCAGATCCATAGCCTGCCATCCAGAGAGGTAGGCTGCTACGACACTGAGCTGCAGACAACACATTTGTTGCTTTAATCATATTGACAAAACTAAAGTAGTTACAAACGCGAGAGAGAAAAGAAGAAAATTAAACATTTGAATGGCACATGCAATCCTTCTTCTGTTTCTGTGCAATAAGTCCAAAAGCATAATTTTGCACAAACCTCGTGCTTATACTCGGTCAACTGATGGATGGCCTAACTTTAGCACTAAGCAGGTAATAAGCACAATATCGATTCGCCTGAGCAACGCTTAGTACAGAGTACATACCGAGTTAGCGGATAAGCAACAAGAACCTAACATCAGCAGTATTCCCGGAAGGCTTACATTTAGGATCAGGACGTTGCTAAGGTTGATATTGTTCCGTGCGATGCAACTACACTAAGGTTACTTGGATATACCAATAATGTAGCAACCAAAGCAGGCATTGCGGCACTTCGAATACCGCAGTAGTCTCAACTGTGAAGCCTGGGTAGTTGGCAGCGGCCCACGGGGGCTGTGACAGGCAGGACTGCCTCCAAGGTCTAGCAACCATTACGTCATAGGGACATTGGCTGCAGAGTCGCCCTGCTTTACCTACATGAGCAATTCGCCTACACGAAGCCCCGCTATAAGTTCATGCCCGGCGGCGGTCTGAAGCAATCATACCCCGCTAAGTTAAGTTACTACGGATTACTTCCAAGAGAGGCTGGTTCGATGCCGGTTTTCATCAATTCCAGATGTCCTGGATTCGTGGGAATTTGTGGAACAAGAAGATACATGTACCTACAACGTTGTCAATGTATCAATTTGCAATTCTATCTATTGTTCATATCAATGGAATATTTGATCAATTAAACCAGGCAATTGCCTGTGTCAAGTAATCTGCTCGACGAGGTGCATCCAACTCCGCTCGTCCAGGTGAAACCCTCGCATTACTACAGGTCACGGGATGGATGGCGCCAGTCGAAGTATAGCTAGGTACTGAGCATATGTGTGCCAAGGCTATCGCAGTCGTTATTATAGTGTACCCGTTCATATCCCATCATCTTACCATGAATCGCAAGCCAGCTCCGCACTTACTCGAATGACAGTGGGATATGACAGCGTGACGAAGGCGGCTTGCAAGGTGGTGTCTTATAAAACAGTTGTCAGAGACTCTCAAAAAAAAAAACCCCCCCTTATTTTCTGGGACCGCCCTGCCGGGGATAAATGTAAAAACATCTGTAATTTCGTTTAGTGTAGTGAGCTGTAGGTGAAAGGAAATATGCCTCTTTGAACGAAGAAGACACCGTTTTTAGGCAGTAGTACAGCGAATGCCATCCGTATATGTAGGCTAGAAACTTCTCAGTAGCATCCATCTCAGATTCATCCATAATATCAAACCTCTGCTTACACAGAAGACAGCCCAATTCCGAACATTAGCCTTTTCCCTTACGCCTCAACACGAGGAAGACAGAGATAAACCGAATCGTTCTAGGTTCATAGGAAGGCAATCCATCAGGTGGTGGGCTACCCGCAACGAAAGAGTGGTACAAAAGATACAAAAGAGCTCGGCAGAGGTGTCTTCCTACGTAGAGGATACCTTGCTGGTTTATAATAAAAATAAAAATAAAAATAATCCCATTACATCCATCCGACTCCTTGATGAACTTGCCAGTCGCGAACAACTCGCATCAAACGGAACAAGGAAATCATGTTATTCCATGGAGGTTACCCCAAACCCATCAACGACAATAACGCACTACTTCGATGTGTAATCAATAAATCGTGTTAGAAGGCGATGCCTGGCTTAAGTTGGCCATAGGTAGGAAGGCAGCTCCAGTACAGCCTTTTCTTTCTTCCTCTTTTTACAGTTTTAGACATGAACATATTCGATGGCACCATGGCAAGACTTGAGCACTTAACGATCATGTTTTCGCTGTGTACATTGTCAACATCATATCTACGGGGCCTCGCGATAGTGCCCTTCTCCCATCATTTCGTGATGATATCGGCCTTCCGGCATCTCGTGTACAACCGGTATGCCACTATCCAATTCGCCGGGATTAGGTTTCTCAATCGGTTTGTAGCCACTCCAGCCTTGCTGCACTTGTTGTTCATATCCTTGATGTTCGTATCCTCCACCGTATTGTTGATAACCAGCGTTGTGTGCCCCATATTCCGAGTATCCACCAACCGTGGAATATCCCGTCGCGGGCGTTTGAACGACACTGGAACCTCCTATAATCGTGCTACCCCCAACTGTCGATGCGCCTCCTGCAGTCGCCGCATCGCGACGTCGCTGCCGCCGGCGCAGCAGAAACAGGGCTCCCAACATGCCACCGAGCGCAACAACACCCAAGCTTACACCGACGCCGACGCCAACTTTCGCCCCAGTGGATAACCCATCACTCGCATCTGTGGAGGAACTGGCGCTTGCACTCGAATTTGCGCTACTGCTGGGTGTCGAGGTGCTCATTGCAGTTGAGTTGTCGTTTGGCAGAACGGCGGCTGCTGTCCACTCGTTGTTGTCACCGTTCAACTCCATCACCTGACCGCCGCTTTCATAGTATACGCGCAACTGGCTGGTTTCGAACTTGGAGGCCACAGCCAACTGGCCTTTAGCATTGTCGGCTGTGGGCCAAAGGGTCGAGTTTGGGCGGGCGTATTCACGCCAATTGTAGCCCACGTTGGCGATTTGATAGAGCTCCGAGTCCGTTCCGATGTAGAAAACGGACCGCGTATAGGCCTTGTCGCAAGTTACACCAAGCGAAGAGGGGTTGCCGTCCCAGGCAGGGAGGGTGAAATTCAGGGTGCTGGTCTCGTTGAGGGAGATGGAGGTTGCATTGGTTGAGTCTGTAGTCAAGTTACCGGCAAGCGGGCGCGGGAAGGTCGCTGGAATTGAATATGTCAGCACCATCACACTCAATGCCCAAGATGCGGGCTGTCTCCAGGCGATAAATTGGTGATTGTTGACTTACAGACATGCCACGAATCATCCGACATCCAGCGGCTAATCTCGATGTTCTCGTTGTCCTTGGCTGTGGCAACAGTGATATTGTTGGTTTTCTGGACCCAAATGGCTCCAATGGCATTGCCCAGTCCTTCGTCTTGAGAAACAGGACCCTTGTCGGCCCAGTTTGTATCTGATGTATATCCAAGCTGCCGTATTGTCATATTTGCGTCGTGATAATAAACGCGATAGCCGCCAGTGGCCCCGAGGAGCACAGCTGCGAGGCCTGTGCTCGATGAGACGGACGGGGCATCACCTGAAATGATCCAGTCACCCTGGTTCAACCAATAGCCAGTATTGGGGTCGCATTTCAGATAGGAGTTAATCAAGTTGTCACTCTCATCTTGATAAAAGACGGATGCCTGTCTGGTGTTAGCCATATCATCATTGAGACGAGGGTTAAACACGGGCGCCTTGTCGGTAGACCTACCCAGGTGATCTTAGTGTCCCACCAACCAGTTCCTGCTATAGCAGTCCCGTTCTTGGGTTTGAACTTATAGAGCGGCGCCGTGATGGTTTTATCCTCTGGTAAGATGGGCGTATCTTGGCTTGTACATAGACTATATCGAATTCCTCCACTTTCGTCGTCCTGGACCAACAGACTTGGTCCCAAATCCGTCCACCATGCGGCCATCGAGGCTGCCGACACCTGAGTCGCGAGCATGCATAGTGCTGTTGGTATTATACTCCGTATGAAGGCCATTGTGGTTGCGGCGCTCTACAGCGCGGTTGTCTCTCCGCAGAAGGATTGAGAAAAGCAATTAGACGCTACGCAGCGCTCCCGTGCGTCTCAAGCCGAGCGCTCGTGTAAACAAGCTAGGAGAGACACAGGAGGGGCCGGATCACGATAAATCAGCCCTATGATTGCAAACAAGAAGAGAAGAACATCGAAAAGAAAACGAAGAAATTTCCGACGAAGAATAAGCTGATCACAGGTTGAAGAAGAAAAAAGCGAAGTGTCTTGTCACGACGCTTAATCATCCCCCTCAATCCTTGTCCCGCCGTAGTCCAATCGAGCAATGCATACGGAATATGCAGGCTGCAGCCAGCATTTGTTTCGCAAGATTAGGGTCTCTGTGCTGCTTATTACAGAAAATAGCCCCCAACCAGGGTCCAGATCCAGGATATTGGAGACAAGTCCGAGGAAGAAGACCCCAGGCTGAGCCAATGCCACCTCGCTGGCAATCTTCATTCAGGGAAGTTTGCAGGGGGACGCCTTGGCTTTGCACGGCTTCATTGCGGCTGCTCCACGGTGCGTGTGGGGATGATTGATCCTTTACACGTTCAGTCGATGAATCCTTCGTCTACTTTTGTCCCCTCGGCGACCTCGAGGAATACTCGTTGAACGTTTCGCCAATTCGGCGCCTAGACCTGCAAGGTAGGAAGAAACATGAGATCCTATCGGTTTTGTGACTGCCGCCATTGCGATTCAAGTTGGAACGTCTCCTACCGTACATGGTACTAACCTAGTTCGAGACCGGTGCATCGTTAGATTCATTTCGCAGTGCGGCAGAGTAGTTCCCGGGGCTACCCATGATCCTGTTGCTTTGACCTGACAATAGCGCTGTAGATCTCGCCGTTGTCCAAAAGTTCCTTCTGGAAGATGCAATTTTGATATGAAAATGACTGGTTGGTATTTGATGCACCAAGCGATGCAACCAGATCACACCTTAATGGTGGAGTCTCCCTCAGCCTGAGCTTTTCCAGAAATTGGCCCGGGGGTCCTCTTGAAAATTAAGCTTGATATAGCAATGCCACCCTACTATTGGCTACTCATACGACAAGACGGGTAATCCCGATCAATCGTATCTACATAATGAAGCACAAATAATCCATTGGGAAAAGGAGAAAGAAAAGTTTCTGGTTTGTTTTAAAATCATGCAAATAAAGAACACTAGCAACCAGCAATGTACTCAAGTATAATGTAGCACTCAAGTTCAGCCCGTCGACTCCAAACACTGCGGCTGTGGACAGGGTTGTCTATCGGTCCCGATAGATACGAATTTATGTAGCCATGGGAAAGGTCGCCTATCGGTCCCGATGGAAACGGGTTTAGAACGACATGCATTTCGAATTGTCTCAAAACCAACGCAGCATAATCAGCGTGTTCTCAAGCGACAACATCCAAACATGCCAGTTTGAAGCATTTGTCATGGCCCGACTTTACTCGGGTTTTTTGTTCTTTCTTGAGTTCACCATATCGCCGTGGAGTGTTATCCTAGAACAAGACCGTCAGCACGTCTCAATCAGCGTTCCACCTGGCCCATGCCGCCTCTCCACACACATGGCAGCATGGGTAATCAAGCTTGAGATCGAGCCCGCTGATTCGATGCAAAATGGTGGCACAGTAAGATGCTGGGCTCAGCAACATCGCAGCCATGCCCGTCTCGTACGGTTGAGGGTATCCCTGGGTCGCTAAGCTAGCGAGAAAAGTAAATAGGCGAATATAGTATCAAGTAACCTTTTTTTTTTTTTTTTCCCCGGCGGGTTAGGGGGGTTTCCTTCGCAAAGCATGAAGGCTTTTACAAATTTTCTCCAACCTAGGAATGAATCTCCGTTCAAGAGTAGTAACCGAATGCTGTCGTACGAAAGGAGGTTTCATGATTGATGGTCAAGGGCAGGCGGGTTGGGGCTGGCCAAGCATGGTTTCGAACTGCTAATAACTATATAGATGATCGCTTGTGTTCCTGACAGCATTTAGTGCCACGTACCGTAATTGCAAAACTACATGCGTCACATGTGAAAGTGAGCGAAGTAGGTGGCAGGCAGCCTCTGCAAACAAACTGCTAGTCTTTCGATCATGTTGCCAATGCACTTCTGATGCGTGCTGTATCACTCGAAATGAAGGTCACCAACGCTCAGGATTTCTTGATTTGCTCGGTACCGAGGGCGAGCGCTAAAGCCGGTATCTATGTTTCGCCATTGCCAGGTATCATCCTCCCGGGTTAATTGACGGTATGGCCATGTTGTTGATAGCTTGATGATGCGGTTTGAGGATCAAATGCATTGCGGATCATGCACCGTTGCCTGCCACTTCCCATCGTGACATGGTGGAGGGTGTTACGCACTCCACGTCCAGTGGCTGTCCTCGAAGGGTCTTCCACGGTACCTGCCACGTCTTCCGGTGAAGATTACCTCATCTTCATCGCTTGCATTCTTTTTTGCACCCTCTGCATCCTCATCACGGCCCTGCGGTACGTCTTCTTTGATTCCACTCTGCTGACTTGTCGTGCCCGCGGTTTCGAAGAGTGCGATTTGAGATTGTGGGCGCTGGATTCCCGTGGAAGCACTGACATCCTCCTCCTTGATGATCTCGTTGCTTGGATCACCTCGTACTTGATATACCTGGCGAAGGTCCGAGCCGGCTGAGCTTGGGCCTGGGAGCCGTTTTCCTAGTAGTGTCGGCGGGATCAATTGGATGAACGGGAGTGCCGGCTGAATGGACCCAGGGGGTCCACTGATGATGATGTTCGGTTGTGGGTTCTTCTGAACTTTGTCGTTGAAGTCTCTCATCATGATGAAAGATTTGATCCTGGTATGCCAACTGGTAAATATACAGCAGCCCATTAGAGATAAAAGAAAGAAAGAAAAGACACAGTGTCTCCAAATTGGCGGAGTTCTTTCCCCACGAACATGGTAATACGGCTTGGGTTTGCACTTACTCGATGTCTTGCTCGTTGAGGCCCTTTCCATGCCCAACAATGTGCAGCTTTCGGAGAGCAGTCTTCCAGTTGTACATACCAAAGACGTCCTTTGGGGTACTGATCATGGCCAGTAAGAGATCACGTTCGAATTCTGGGGTCCATAATGGTATCACTTGGGTTGCCATCTTGATGTTGTTGCAGTGCGGTTCTAATACTTGCACGAAGTCGTCAAAAACGCGCACTATAAATGTGATGACCGGTCTGCCGTTGACAAACTTGACAGCTCCCAGTCTACATGCTATTGTTTCAGTGATAGCAAAGGAAGTCGTATGATAACCAATGTAGGGGGAAATGGGGGTTATCCACCGGAAGATATCAGGGTTGGCATAATACATGGCTGGATCAAATTTAGTTACTGTTTTTGTATACTCGACAGATCACGAAGGATTATGATGGATGCTTTCTTCTGTTTGACCAAGATTTCCAACAGATCATATCGTTCAAAGAGTTCTTGGTCTAATATTGAAACAAACATTCATGATTAACATAGAGGCGCGAAAGGCGTAACGGAACGACATCACCATTTTGGTTTACGTTAGGTCTTAGGGATTAATACACGAGTCCATACAACATGCGAGAGTAAACTTAAGAAGAGTCATCATTCGGCGTTATAGCCCCGTAATCGCTAAAAACCATTTTAATACCTTTAAATCATTCAGTCCAGACCCCTCGTTACGCCCATGAATCCCTAGACACCTTCAAAGCATGCTCTAGTTCTCCGGGATCAGCCCACGCTTCACATCTTTGGCAGTGGCACCATGGAGGGCTTCTTGTGGCTTTTCATATTTCGGCCGCCCGCCGAGTATATCAGAAATCTCCTTCATATCACGCCAGTGGGCACTGAGGGGGCGGCGGTTCTTCCAATCAGTGTCCTTCTGTTCTAGGGTCACAACCGGAGTAAACACGACTGCCGCACCCTGAATACCGATGACAGATGCATTTTGAGCGTCGTTCATCAGGGTACTTGAAGATCTGGGACCAAATTTCTCAAGATGTTGCATGCATCTGATTGCAAGTCTCACAGCTCTATGCCTGTCCAAGGGCGAGGGCACACCACCTTGCTGGACGTGACCGGGAATGCTGTCACGAGCCTCAAAACGATCTTCAGATTCATGACGAATTAGATCCGCGATCAGTTTGGCTGACAATAATTTGTCAGCCTTCTCGTTGACCAGGATCAAACGGCCGGCACGGGATTGTCCCTTGTCATGTTTGAAGACTTCTTTCAAGTGGTTGATGTCACCAACGACCATGCTCAAGCTGATACCTTCTTCGGGAATATAAACAGCACTGGCACCCACACCCAAGCTTGCTAAGACGGCAATGTAACCAGATCGGCCACCTTGAGTTTCAATGACGAATACGCGTCTTCTGGTGGCGGATGCAGATTGTTTAATCTTATCGCAAAACTCAACCAGTTCGTTCAGGCAGGTGTCTGTTCCGAGCGAATACTCTGATCCAGGAACGTTGTTGGAAATAGTTGCTGGCAAGAGTACGAGCGGAATGCGAAGCTCAGGATATTGACTCCTGGCTTTGCGTAATTGGGACAGTGCGTGGTATGCTTCAAAACCACCGATGAGGAAGAGCGCGTCGAACTTGTCCTTCTTGATGTAGCCGGCGACTTCCTTCATGCCAGACTCTTCGGGAAGTTCACGATTTGTTCCTATCTCCGAACCTCCCTTGCGGCCCCAGTCGTCTACGTCCACCCAATCGAACGGTCGGACTGCGCCAACTTCATCATCATGGTGTCGCACGTAGCCTGCAAAACCATTATAGATAGCGAGGGGTTCATGTCCGCGGTTCAGGCAGTACGCAACGCCAGCTCGGATTGCAGCGTTCATACCACCAGCAGGAGCTCCGACGTTTATGAAGCCAATTCTCATACGCTGCAAAGAGTCAAAACAAAATCCTGGTCAAAAGTGGCATCAGAACGTACCTTGTCCTGGGGTAGTTTGGAACTTTCATCCTGCCCAACAGTTGTTGTGAGATTGTAGCAGTTATACATCTCCGCGAACTCTGTATCTCGTAAAGACATAGCCTTGGCGAAGTCTTGAGCCTCGATGGCTTTGGCTACCTCCTGTGTCGCTTTCACAGCTTCCATCAGAGGCTCTCGAACAATTTTGTTCTCCTTGATTGCGATAAAGCAGGTTTCCGACTCTGGTGTAGCTTCGAGCAAGGTCTTGACAGCCTCGACACCTTGCAATGTTGCTAGAATACGGTCCTGTGCGACTGCAGGGCCACCACGCTGAACATGGCCAAGGATAGTGGCACGAGTATCCAGCTTAAGACCGTTGGGGTCCTTAAGAAGATTCACAACCATCTCGGATGAGATCTTCGCGCCATGCCTGTCTTTGGCACCTTCGGCAATAATAACGATCGTCTTTCGCTTTCCGAGCTCTCGGTGCTGGATATTGTCAGTGCGAAATTCTTCATCACAGTGTTAACTTGTATAGTGTCATACCTTTTTAACAATCTTGACCATATCCTCTTGCCAGTTGTCCTCTCGGGGCTTTTCGGGAATGAAGATGAAATCCGCACCTGTAGCTACACCAGCCATCAAAGCTAGGTAACCACAGTGGCGGCCCATGACCTCGATAACAAACGCACGTTGGTGAGAACTTGCAGTCGCCTCGATGTAGTCTACCATCTCGCAGATGCGAGATAGAGCTGAAGCGGCACCAATTGTGTTGTCGGTACCAGAAAGGTCATTGTCAATGGATCCAACAAGACCGACAATGTTCAAGTGTCTGTAAGGAGCAACTTGCTCCTCCTTGAGCTCGCCTTTGGAGACGAGCTCATCGACCAAGGAAGGCCACTCCGACCGGAACTTGTCTGCACCTGTTAGGGAGCCATCACCACCGCAGATGGCCAGAGCATCGATGCCCTTCAGGATCATGTGCTTGGCGGCAAGGAGTCGGCCGGGTCGCTCGTAAAACTCCATACATCTGGCAGTTCCGATAAGTGTGCCACCCTCCGAGAGATAGCCTCGCACATCGTTCCATTCGGTCTGGCGGATGTCACCGGTGACAAGTCCCTGGTAACCTTCGTAGACGCAATAGGCGTCGCACCCCAGGTGGATGGCCATACGGACCACGGCGCGGACCACTGCGTTCATGCCTGGGGAGTCACCACCAGAGGTCATGACAGCGATCTTCTTCTTCGGCGTCATGTTGACCGACGCCATAGTGTCGATTGGGTGACTGGGATGCGTAACGTGGGTTATCGACCAGTCCAAGGTGTCATGAAAAGAAGATGTGCTCGAGAATCAGAAGAGGCGGCGGTCTTGAGTTGGGGGAGACCGAAGCAAAAGTCTGATATTTGGAGGGGTCTTTGGTGTAAGTAAGCAGCCGAGTGTTACAAGACCCCGCGAAGGTCGGTCTACAGGCAGGTGTACTACGAATATCTTTCAAGGGACAAATGGTGTAAGATAACGTACGTTCAACTGGTGAGTTTTAGGTCAAAGAGGAGATGGAGAGAGCGGGATTTGGTTAACTACTTTACACTCTCAGTCCAAAGCACGCAGCTCGCCTGGTTGGAGCTGACCGTCTGCGAAAGGTCCGATTGCAGTTGAGTTTGGCGTACAAGTGTGACGCAGTTGTCCCCGTTTTTACCTTTTTTTAGCGGTCTTGCAGTGATTTTACCGCATTGTCCCTCCTTATCGCTATCAATTGCGGGGAGCTTGCCTGCAAAAATGCAAGTCGCAGCCCAGCTCCAAGACTCTTGTGCCCCTCATTGACGTTGCACTGCTCGAGTCGTGAAATGTGCCAGGGGTTGGAAAATAGATTGCCTCCAGTTCCCAGGCAAACATGTCTGTGACTGTACGACTACAAGCTCAAATCGTGTTACTTCACCCCGGCTGTGTCTGCAGGATAGTCAAGAATAATTAAACAACAGTGAAGCTCAACGGAACTCTCAACTGTCTCTACCGCGTTTGCAGGGAGGTCTTGAAACCGACTGCAATAGGACCAAATACAGGACCCCCACATGGGCATCCGCTGTCTCCGTTGTTGATGAGCCCTAACAATATCAGCATTTGGCAACCAATGACGAGATTGAAATTATGACGATAATTCGCGCAGGGTCCAACTGTACTGTGGTGAAATGTTGCCCTACATCTCTGAAACCAATAAGCGCATGCTTTGATAAACTTTGGTAAACGAGCACCTGGTGGGGACTGAGGCTGCCTGGCTATGCGCAATCCTTGAAATCTGTTTGGCTGGTGGTGCCATGTTCCGAAAAGTCCATGAATCTGATGGTTATGGCTCGGCGATCTTCTCAAAGTTGTGGGGTGCCGGGCCAATGCCTCCTTGATTCTCCAGCTTCTTGTCCAACCGAGGCATGCTTTTTATTGGCATTCACTCACAGCTCACCCTTCACAATAAGACTTACAGGATTGTCGCCCCTTGGTGTCCTCACACAGCTTGGTCAATGGCGGCCATACCATCTTCGGTATACGAAATCCCTGGAATAACAATCGCAAGACCGGTGTTCAGCTGACAGTGCACAACTGGTTTTGTACTCCCAGGGAAACTACTATTCACATGACCTCTCTTTTGAGGCGAATCATTCAATTGCTTCAGTTCATCAATGAGCCTCTCAACGCCGATGCTGTAGCTACCTCAAGTCCATACCCCTAAGAACGCCTTGCCATGCCTTGCCGAAAGATGAATTCGAATGATCAGATTACTGATATGCTAGTTGTGCCTTGCTGCTGCTTGAGCAAACTGTTCAGCCTGCAATCGCTCCAGTTCCTCCAAAGACATGCCGCTATCTTCAAACTTGTTTGTTCGCTAAGACTTGATATTAGCATGTGCCCACCATGAGGGGATTGGAGTACCCACAATGTTCTTGATAACCTTTTGTGTCTCCTTGTGCTGAGCTGCCGCTTCCATGACTGCCGGAACGTATTCACCAAATCCAAGCGTGTCCAGAGCCTTGGTGATATGGTCGCATGCAATCGTCTTCTTGGCTTCCTTCTCAGAGATCTCATTTGCTTCCGACGAGATCAACGTGATGAACTCCACACAGCACTCTATCAGAAGATCTCTAGCCTCCTTGGAAAAGCTCAGCCCTGTCGAGGACGGAAGGATTTCTGTAACAATCTTCTGGACGGTGGCTGTATGTGGTCAGCAAAGCACACGCCAGGTTCATACATTTTGAGAGGTCATACCTTTGGGGAGAGACAGATCGTCATTTCCTGCACCAAAAATCAGCATTTTGTGTCAGAGCTAATATGCCAACAACAAGTTTCAAAAATCAAGCGTAAAATAGTTACCATCAAAGCCGGAATCAATCTGCGCCCAGTAGCGATTCTGAGCGCTGTGTGGCATATTAGGCTAGGGGCCTCAAAGAAAAGTTGGGGGCCAATATGATTCATAGGACAAAGGCAGTGATAACGGGTGCAGTAATCGTTGTTTTGCCAGAAGATATAAGTGGCTTCTATGTCTGTTGAAAAACATAGAAGCCATCAAATACAACTCTGGGACCAAGTATGGAGAGGTGGCCATTATGCGAATACTTGCTCGCCCAAGCAGTGCCTGGCAACTGATTTCTTTCCAGGCAGTCACAATTCACTTGCAAATGTGCTGCAGTTGGTACGTACTACTTCATCAGGGTGCAAATATTTCCGGTCATGTTTCTGGATTAGAACAAAGGGATGTTTGCTAACTCACCTCCATATTCGTGATCGGACATTTTTGGACAAAGGGATGAGACGCGTCTCAGCAAAGAGAATTGACGAGAAACGAATGGGTGAAAGTCCTGCGAAACAAGGCCTAGTACCGTGTGATGAATTGAGTTACGTCGTGAGTGGGTGATGAAGCAACAAAGTTGAAATGCGTGGTGTTGGCAAGTAATATTAAATTGTCATCTCAATATCAAAAGTGAAGTCTAAATTGAGAGTGAACCTGTACCCAAGCGCGCAGCTACCAGTGGATCAACTGGCGTTTATGTACCTGGAGGTTCCTCCAACTGCGGAGCACCCCTGCAGCATTTGAGGCTACCAATTGTGGCTAATTTTCCTCACCTGCAGTGACTTTCTGCCTTTTGTGGCGCAGCAGTTTCGAGCTTCAAAAGTTCAACTCCACTGAAATTTGTATTCTCGAAATCTCTGCTTCTCTCTCACACAACAAAAAAACTATTCAACTCCAGAATTTGTTCATGCCAACCCACGAAGCTGCCAACAGCATCCTCATGGGAGCCGCAACAGCCAGCAACATGTTTGCTATTTGGCGTTGACCCGGACACTGCGTCTGGCTGGACATTATCTATGATTTATGCAATGGTAAGTCACATATTCGCACCAAAAACCTCCTTACATGATGAACATGTTGTCGCCCCAGTCTTACATACCTCCGACAAGGGTATAATGGTGATCGACAGTCATAGCCAATTGACATGATCTGATACAATAACAACACGCACAAACATGCATTCTGAGTGCTGGAACGCATTGCTAATTGGTGTTTCCTAGTTCATGGCCTTGTCATCTTACACGCGGCAACCCCCTCCAGACCGATTCTCCAGCCCAACATACTTGTACGACGGTCATTCTCAAACACTATCAAGTTGGGGGTATTCGACTTCGGGAATAATTTTTCGAAAATCCGATGCTATGATTGCCCAACACTGCTCGATTGTCACGAGACACAATGAACAGTTCAGTTGAAATTCTGATATGATGTGTTGTTCCATGTTCGTATGAGGTAGGCAACCAATTTTTTCTTATTATTCCTATCACTGCTTATGATGACGAACTCATATTCCATGCTAAAGCCGAATTTTCCATGTGGATACGATATAGAGCCTTTTCATCTTTCGACTGAAGCTTATCAAATTCTTATATTTTTATGTTTATGTTCTAAGAATCTATGCTAATAAGAATTCAAGGATGATCTAGTACCTCACAACACTACTTTCCCTGGAAGCTACTCAGCTCCTTCGCATTCCATCTAGTTACTTGTTAGTACTGGTAAGTGCTCATGATTATGCTTGACATACCTTAAATGCTTGCCACTTAGTTCCTTGGTGGCACCTACCACAAGGTTAGCGATCACAGATCCAGGTTGCTCCGGCTTCAGTAATTTGCCGCTCGCAAATTCCTCGATGAAACTCGCGTGGTCCTTCTCAGTCATTGACTTTCCACCTAGTTCCCTGATGACCCCTTGCATGTCTGTGTCGACCTTGCCTGGCGAGATAGCCACACTAGTAATATCGGGTTCCTCAACTGCGAGATGTGCACAAATGTGATTCATGGCTGCCTTGGCTGTGCCGTAAGCCCCCCAGGCAGTGTAAGCACCAACAGATGCTCCAGACGAAACAAAAATGATGCGTCCTTGAGATTTTCTCAGCTCAGGAATAGCTGCCTTGACCTGTGGGGATGGCGTGATAATAAGTACATTGTGTTGAACGAGGCGAGACGTGAGATAAAACGTACCAAAGCAACTGCGCTCGTTACGTTAACATCGTAAGAATGTCTCCATTCCTCGATATCAACATCAGCAATCTTAGATAATGGCGTCAATACACCGTGATTGATTATGATCCCATCCACCTTTCCGAATGCCTTGACCGCCGCTTCGACTATCTTTGGTGCTGTCTGTAATGTTTATGTGAGCTTCAGCATTTCACACAACTCTCTTGTAATTCGTGTAGACATACACTGAAGTCGGTCACATCGGCAGGTAGATACTCGACGTTCGAGGGGTTCTCGGCTTTGATCTTCTGCAGTCCAGCTTCTGACCTGGCTACAAGAAACACCTTGTGCGAAGCCCGTAACAGCAAGTGAGCAATTGCTAGACCAAGTCCACGGCTGGCGCCGGTCACGATGAAGGCTTTGGACGACATTTTGTCTTCCAGTGGAAGGCAGTTGAGTTTGCGTGTCAAAAAGTTTCGTGTGAGCAATTGTGAATTCCCTCTGCTTGGGGGGCAGAATGTAATAAGATTGTACACGGCATCTGGAAACTTCGGTACGTTAAGTGGGCAGCAAAACTTATCCATGGATCGCTACAACTCTAAGTATAGTGGGGCTATGAGGGGCAAAGTTGCATTACCTATGGCGTAATGAGTTTTGACAGACGACCACCTTTGACATAACTGTGTCAAACATCAATTCTATCGCAGTTATATCATAATTATATCAAGGTCATATGATGGAGTTATATGTCGATATACTGAGCTGTATTGCTAGTGTGCAGCATTGTTTCTTCGTCGATTAATAATTAGGTTGTAATAAGAACGACCTAGGTTAAAAGCCAAGGATATCAACGACACTCACCTGGCTCTGGTCAAAGCATCCTGAGCAACTCTCGATATTGGTTGCAGTTATAACATGTCCGCGACGGTCGTCCTCGGCTCCGGTATTATTGGTGTCTCGACAGCGTATTATCTCTCAAAACACCAGCCTCCCTCATCCATCCACCTCGTAGAGCCCTCGCCAGAACTCTTCGCGTCCGCCTCAGGGTACGCCGGCGGGTTCCTGGCAAAAGACTGGTTTCAGGCGGCTTCGGCCTCGCTCGGCGCCCTGAGCTTTGATGAGCACCGCAAACTCGCGGAGAAAGGGGATGGCGCCAGTAGGTGGGGTTATACGAAGAGCACTTCGATCAGTCTAAGTCCAGGGCCAAAAGATGGCAATAGGGTTGACGCCTGGTCTCGGGAGGGCACGAGTAGGACCGAGGCGGCTGGTGGTGACAGGAAGGAATGTGTGGCTCCTCCCTGGTTGCGAAGGGGCGAGGGTGATACTGTAGACATGATTGGTGAGGAGGGTACGGTCGCACAGGTGTAAGTCAGAGTGGTGTGAGAGTTGTGGGGAAATATTTGTCCTAATGTCCTTGGGTAGGGATCCATTGCGATTGTCACAGTCTCTCTTAAGTAAGTGCGTAGGAATCGGTGTACATCTGCATCACCCGGCAAGGGCAACGTCCGTTCAGACAGATATGCGAAACGAGGTCTCGAGCATTCGCATAGAAGACGCGACGTCAGGCACGGAAACAGATGTGCCTTGCACCACTATCATAATAACGGCCGGTGCTTGGTCACCACAGGTTTTCAAGACGCTGTTCCCGACGTCTAATTTGAACATCCCATTATCGAGTTTAGCTGGATACTCGTTGGTGGTCAAATCACCACACTGGGTCAAAGAGCACGACGAGCATGGCTGCCATGCTATTTTCATGGCAAGCCAGTCAGGGTATTCTCCGGAGGTCTTCTCGAGGATAGGTGGGCATATATACATTGCAGGCTTGAACTCTGCTACTGAGCCTCTACCACCATTGGCAACCGATTCGAAGGGCAAGATCTCCAAGTCGGCGATCGAGCAGCTACTAGCAACAGCGAGAGAAGTGATAGGCCAGGGAGAAGAAGAGCATGACCTTGAGATCGTGAAAGAAGGGCTTTGTTTCAGACCTGTAACGACTAGCGGATTGCCCATCATCGGTAGGATACCAGATAATGCACTGGGTGCGGGAATGGCCACAAGACCCGGCGCAGATGGAGGCGTGTATTTGGCGGCTGGTCACGGGCCGTGGGGTATATCTTTGTGCCTAGGCACTGGAAAGGTGTTAGCTGAGATGGTTCAAGGGAGGTCACTGAGTGCAGATGTCTCAAGACTAGGATTGAATGGATATTAATGGAGTAGTTGTGCACATTATACAGGTTGCAGAGTTACCCGAGAGGTGATTACATGACCTAATTTTTACGCTGCTAAGTCGGAAATCTCGTGCATTCAACCTGTAAACGTTGGAGCGTATGATTGATGGGTTCGTGAGAGTCAGCTACAATACTGCTGGTATAGTTCATATAGATGTCGTCTACGTGGAATATCCAAGCATCCCCAATTCTTTGTCTTGGACGTTATCCTATTATTTCTACATATATTGCCTCTTTCTTGTGACTAAGAGAGATATTAATCCCCCTGCAATCATGCAGTCTATATACAGTTCATTAGCCCATGGTGTGTATGCGGGCTTGCAATCCTTACGATGTACCATATCCTGGACATATTCTCGGGAACATAGCCATGTACTGGAAGTTGGGCGTGAATCATGTTAGTGTCGCTCCAGCTGGCTACACGACCATGCACACAAACATTCGTTTGTGACTTATTGTGGTACAGTACGCTGGGAACAGCGTCACGCTGAGGAGGGGTTCTTAGCATCGTTTAGACCTCAACGGCTAGAGGGCGTGGCGTGCGGCGCTCAGCTACAGCTGCCATGATCGTCGATTGCTGCGAGGTATTTTGATAGCAACTAAAGATAGTCAAGTCTTGGTGTTGAGGGGGTCAGGCAGTGTGGCGTGCAGCCGAGGTGTGCTATGTACAAGGTGCATAGGTGTCAGACTTGGGTACCGGGATCGTTGCAGCTCAGGAACACCTCAATAGTCCGTATCCTAGCCAGTCCCATGACCGTGGAAACCTCAATAGTGGACAGTCTGTGCAGAATTGGCGAGCATGAAATAAACATCGCGGGGGTTGCTATTTCCACCACAGTATTCTGGACGCTCCGTTGAATGGCCTCATCTAGACCTCTGGATTACATGCGTGAAATACCCCTCTACGGACGTAAGGCATAAAGACGGTGCTGCATTTCAAGTACTAGATTCAAAGTTTAATGTCTCAACACCAAACACGATTCCGCTATTTTTGTTGCCGGTTTGGACCCGAGACGCTCTCCACGAGGCTTTCGATTCGGCAATCCGGCGATAGTTTTAAGGTTTAAGTGCTCGCAGCCCACTCGCAGGCTGAGAAAAGTGACTGCATTAGCAGCAAACCTTGCATGTGCCGGCAGCGTCCGGGTGCTATGAATTTCGAGGTGAGGGAACCGCTGTTCCCAGCATCAGCAACAGCTCCAGCACCCCGGACAGGCCGCCCCTGTCCAGCAGCTTGAATTTTCCCGTGTCTTCCCCTGAAATATTGCCAGTGTTTTAGACAGTGTCATTACAAGTCCCTGGAAATAGTAGGAGTTTGTCATCGTAAGTAAACAAATCTTTATGTCACCTGCCATACAGTACAGGGGCAAGGCGGACGGCAGTTTCAATGGCATGCTGTTGAAATGGAGTTGATGTCTGCGGCTGAACGTGTAATATTGCGATGCCCACAGAAACCAGGGTCTCCAAAAGGGCGGGCCTGATTTACGCATGGATGTCGCCTACATAAGTAGCTACCAGAGGATTACATCACTATGCCGATTCTGTGTCCAGCCCTGCCAGGATTGACCAGCCCGCTGGGGGGTTCGTTGGAGATACTAATTGGGTCCGTCTGATGTGTGCCGGCGAAATTGGACATCTTGTAAATGACGAGATGCACACAAACGAGTTTTTACGATTGAAGCGGAAGGTATAGTAAAGAATTTTGGTTAATTGAATTGAATGCAAATCAAATTGGTATCTTTCCCCACACGTACGCCCCCGGCTAAACCGGGTCCCAAGTGTATAATTACATGAAATAGTTGTAGGTATTACCAATAGTGTGTCTTTGCAGACATAGTGTATATCTCGAATTCCCCTCCACAGAACGTAAAAATCGTGATCGTGATAAGAGATGAAAGAGCTTTATCCAACAAGCTCGAAAGGGTTGACCTCGAAGTGCCGTGTTTGCTCGTCTTCGGCGTCGGAGTCAAGACCAAAGACGATGCCGCGACGTTTCCATTCGCCGCGCTTGACAAATGATTCAAGTGGAGTTTCGAAATCCCTTTGTGGCCTTCTCTGACTTGAGTTGGATGATGATGTGTTGGTGCGTGGCAATGTGTGCCTCTTAAGGTCCTGCTCCTTAGGATCGGCTGGGTTGGGTAGTACCGTTTGCCAGTCCTTGAGCGGCCATTGGGATTGCTGGTCGTAAATGTATGTCCTCCTACGACTATCCTGGTTGAAATAGTAGTCTAGTGCCGAATCTGGGTCATCATAGTCGCTGCCAGATTGTTGTTGTTCTTGGTGTAGTTCATCCTCATTTTCTTCGAGAACCGGTGCCGTATTGAACGATAGTGGTGGATGACATGAGAGGGGGTTGAATGAGTGTGGTTCTGGGTGTGATACTGTCGATGACGACGATGAAATTGTGCTTGTCGTACTCATGCTTCTAGAGTGCTTCACTTGAGGAAGCGGTGCTGATATTTTTGCCTTCAAGCTGGTTTTCGACTTCCTATGAGAGAGTAATGGCCCCATCGTGGCTTATTAAATCAGGCTGTTTCCCGAATTGAGAATAAAGACTGTCGTGAAAAATTGTTGTTGTGAAGTTTGATAAGTAATATATGAGGCTTGCACGGCAAGGGTGGATACCACTAGTCAAGGTATTTCTGGATCAAGAGAGACTTGGGACGAAAAAAACTTCAAACAGGAATTTCTGGAAGATTGAACGGAGCAGGGCACTGGCCGCATTATTAATATCGACGAGGCTTGCGTCGTCCCTGAAGATCAGAGATCCTCAATAAGCAAGATATAGTACATTGGACCCGGTGCCTTGCAGATTCGGTTCGCACTTTGCCTAAGGCAAAAGCTTAATGCACCGACGGAGAGCATGTACTCAATTCACGGCATAGTACCCGGTCACCCCACGAACGCATGCGTCATACTTGCAGTGACTTGCGCCCAGTCCAGGAAATGGATAACGTTGTGCGCAGTAGTAGTCGTGCAACAGTCTGTCACCGGCCTGTCATTGAATAAGACCTAGCGTCTCAGCACCAAGGCCGGAACGTTGCTGATGGTGTGCAGAGTGGAATGTGAGAGTGGGTTTTCTTTTCGCGCGAAAGTGAAAAATCTCACAGGAGCGCCCGATAGAATGCCAGGCACCAAGCTTTACCTAGGTCCCTGCACGCCGTGATTGGGTCATAAGATTTCCTCTAAGTACCTCGGAGAGGGGCGGAGTAGGGATTCGCCGTTCGTGATGCAACACGGTGAACGAGCTAAGGACGGAGTAAGTCGTAGCTCGACAGCATGAGGGTGCCAAACCTCCGGAGGCCTTGACACAAATCTGATGAAGAAATTGATCAAGTCTGACAGTGTTGGGCAGGCAGAACAAGGCAGGATTGCCGCTCCGAGGGGGTGATGAGCAAACACCTATGATTCCATCGGCTTGGTTGATCTGTAGATCAGGAATCGCATGGCGGGGTGGCGATCAAGTCTATTCAGGGCAGTTGCTTCAAGCCACAATCCGTACAAGGCAAGCCAATGGCTGATGAAACAAGAATCCTTCGTAAATGAGCTAAGCAGGAAAGATCGGAGGTTACTGTTGCGTCACTTCAATTAACAGAAGTCATATCATAAACTTTACCGTCATAAAATCTTCCCAGATTTCGGACGACAAATGCTTGTGCAGAAATTTGTGAGCGGTTGATGAGGATGCAATGCAAAGCGCGGACGCGTGGTAAGCGAACCTGCATTCCGCCCAGATCTCCGGATGACAGGGATTTATTCTTGGTTGCTTTGTTCTGTGCAATCATGTGTCCTGGGTACGAAGTCATGGGGTATGGAATCGTTTGCTTTTTTTTCTTCCATGCTTCCCGGTTTACCCTTGTCTTTTCTTAACGCAAGCCTGATTTGCTGACAACCTGAGCCTGCACAAGTACCGGCGTGACTCTAAGCCGAAATCTCCAGCTACCTGGAGCCGGATTCTTACTACATAGGTATAGTAACAGAACATACCCACATGGTTTCGTATACTAATTGTAGAGGGTAGAATTCCAACGCTTTGACTGGCTGTTTTGTTGCTGAATAATTACGACGAACTAGGCATTGCTCGTAATCTAGTAGGCATGTCACGTTTGCTAAGTCGATACGAAGAATCAGAGTTTGGCCTTCTGCCCTGCTGCCCAAGATGCCAGGCTTGGACTCGACACTCACGGCATCTCTGTGGCTAAAAGATTCCAGCGTCCCGCGCCGGAGAACCGAGTAGTTGCGGCGTGGCACATAACTTCCAATGGATCAAAGAGCTGAAAACGCCCCTAGCAAAGACAAAAAGTAAAAGAAAAGCCCAAAGTCAATCTTAATTGAGCCATACAAGATATGGTCTAGCGCTGCGGCAGCTAGTTTGACACCTAGTCTAGACCAATGCTCCCCACGGTGTTTGCATTCTTGCGAACGATAAATCGTGCATTGCGTTAACAGTTACTGCACGTACCAAGTACAGACTGCATGGCATAACTGTAGGGCATGTCAAACCGAGATCTTACTCATCATGACCTCGTAGATACGACTTGACTCGTACGATGGTGCGAAGACGGAAAAACGTGTCGATTAGCTGCGCAGTCCTTGGGAGTCTAGAGCCTGGAGATGTGTAGGATAGCGAACCGTCAACACTACGATTAAAGTGATATCTAGATCTATTACGATTTCCGTCCGTTTGGTTTCATTTTGAGACATGGTTTTTAACAGTAAACTATGGAACAACTTGCACAAAACAGGAGGCACGGAAGTCAAGCCGCGATCAGGCGACTGGCCACGAACCTTCTCGGGGAAGCACGTGGTTCTGAGTTCAACCCAGGAAATGTGAAGTTGTTGCGAAACATGCGTGGCGTGGCATGTTATAGGGTTTCTGTTGACATTGTAATGGATTATTTGTCGACATTACAACCTATAGTCGTCAAAAATCCCCACGCGCGGTAATGTTTCAGAAAAACATGAAACTATCGAATAACTTACTCCCATGAAGACATCTTCGTAATGAACTTAACACCGCACATTCGCCAGATTTCATCCCCAAAACTGATTACAAACCTCTCCAATCCACTCAACGGTCTAGCCTGGCTCCATACGCTCACTGTAGTTCCAAACTCTGACATCTTCATTTTCCCGACAAAATCGGCAGGCACAGGATGCGCAGGAGTGAGTGTAGGAGCAAGTGCAGCCGGTGGTGGTTGGTTGCGTGTCGATCGGCCTGGCGTCAAATCTCTAATCAGCCCTATTTCTTCAACATAGTATGTGGATCGGCCCCGAAGGCTGAGATCGAGTTCGACACTGATTGGTCTCCCTACGACTTGCCTGCCTGCGTCGTGCACGGAATTGTTCGGATGAGAACAAGGTTGATGCTGCTGCGAGCCATACGCTTGGCGGCTCTAAGTTGTCATATCGGCGGCATCCGCAGCGGAACATGATTCATGACCAACGTAGCTATTGTAGTGTTGAGCTGTCGTACTGTAAGATTCGTTCATGATGTATTCTAGTGCTGTTTGATCTGTAAACCCAAAGGACTCAGAGGAGACCGTCGTTTTCTCCGGGGAGTCGCTTGACACGCTTCTGTTCCCACTCGTCTAAATCCTTTGCAGCCAGCCTCTGTAAGTGGAAAAGAAAATCCAAAATTAGTTGACGAGCAAGCACATTGGACATGTTGCGCCGCGAACTCACATAATATTCATCCTTCATATTGACCTTGCGACCTCCTTTCCCTACGCCAAGCTCCTCGTCCCGAGTCATCTGCCGGACCCTGCGGTCGTGTTTCTCGTAGCGAACAGCGGCGGCGGGGGTAAGGACAAAGGAACCGGCGACAATGACAGACATGAACGGTAGGCCGAAGAGGAGAAAAGGGCGCTTCGCCATTGCAGCACGGTATTTGGCTGCGAATGTGCCGGCGTCCGATGCGCCGCGGAATTTCTTGTTCTGAAAAACAGTCATTGCGATGGAACGAGATTTACGTATGTGTAGATTGCGGTTGCGTGGCACCAGATCTCTAGGCCCTTGAGAGACGATGCCGTAGTCGTAGTAACAGTAGTGCTTTACAGAGTGATTGATGGCGCTTGGAGACGTGCTTGTGCTTTGTAGGATGTCGAGGTTTTGGTCGCGCTCCTTTGGTGACATCAGCTTGGAGCTCGTACCATTATGGACAGAGACGATTAGGTAGCTTTCTTTCGCAAGGGAGAAGCTGAGGTCTCTCCGGATCCAGCGAGTCCGGCCGACGGCTCTTGTATGAGGCCGGATGCCGCGAGCGCGCTAAGAGAGCGAGCTAGCTAAGAGTGAACCGCCCCGCCATTAAACTTTACCTAATCCGTACTCCGTACAAAGTAGGCACTGGAAGACGAAAAGTAGAAACACCACGTGACTTCGCGAGGCAAGAATATGTGCCAAAGGCGCGTAATGCAAATCACACGCGCCCAAGCAAGCACATTGATCTCTACACGATAGAATATCCTTGCCTCTCGCATCTTACCTTGTGGGTGATGACCCTTAAAGACGAAGATGGCTCCTACTTCACATGGACGAAGTCTTCTCCATGATCGAGACAATGCTGTCAATGGCTCCTTCTTAAATGGCCCCCCGCCATCGACACTTGCTGCACAACTGGTGGAGAACATCTCAGCATCCACAAGATCCTCACGGCCTGATGAAACAGCCGAGCTAAAGAAGTTGTTCGCTACGATTGAGAAAGTCAAAGATCAACCTGAGCTGTTGGCTACTGCTGCTGAACGCATCGAGCATAATCACATGTTGATATATGTCTATGCTCGTGTGGTTCTTGAAAGCCTCCGATGGGATGACCCCTTTGCTGACACATCCCTCTTGAACACGGAAGCTTTGAGGGCCGTTAACTTCCTACGAGTAACGATTAAGGAAACACCTACAGTGCTCTTGTATTGTTCATCCGAACAAGTATTTATTTTCCGCGGCCAGGAGCCACTATGGTTATGGATTCTGCCAAAAGTGCTGAAGATGCTCGGCCGCGAGCGGTGTTTAGCACTTACTGGAGTTATTGAAGGGCTGCTACAGGACATATGCATTGTCATCTCTCAGACTACATCACTATGGCCACTTTTCTCAGACTTGCTGCGATATATTCGGCACATCATCAGAGGTAAGTGGCATTGGCCTAAGCAGGGTCTGTGTAACTAACCAACTTGGTAACTAGCCATCTCGGACCATCTGCTTGTCCTTCGGTCTTCCTCGCCTAAAAGAGATGGTATCATCCACCTGCCTATTCCGCGGGACTCATTCCTGGAGACCTTGATAAAAAAACAACCACAAAATCTTCACCAACAGTGTATTTTTGAGTTATACACAGCTTCAGATGCCATCCGGCATGCGTCGAGTCTCCTCACTATTGTGGCCAATATCGCTTGCTCTCAACACTCTGTACAGAATATGATCTCACCTACGGAACATATTCCATGGCTTTTAGACTCGTATTTAGCTTTATATGAGAACCGGATCAAATGGGAAGCTGTCTGCCTTAGCATCTTGCCTTCTACTCTCCAAACTACCTTGCGCCTGACTGCAGTCCTTCGCTGTTACCCAGATTTCGATGCGAGCCTCAGGCGGAAAGGACTATCACTGCTTGTTTCCCTAGCGATCGAAGCGACAGAGCGTTTCGGCCGCTTGCTTCTAGTAGTTCAGGATCCTGAGGTGGCCAGCGAACTGCTCTGCTCCGTCCTGCTTACCCTGGCCGCCTTGTCTCTTGAACATAGGCCCACTGCAAACTTAGTTGCACTGCGGTTGATTCCTACCTTAGAGAAACTAGCAGCGCAAGGCGAGCTTGTAGTGCCGGAAACTGATCTATGGGTATAGTGTGATTCTTGAAGCAGATCGCTGGGCATTATGCTAACTAAGCTACAGAAATGCTTCAACTATTTACGGCGTGGCTCGCACGGAATTTCGCCGGATGAAGCTGATCCCAACCCTTCAAATTCCTTTCAGAACGAAAACTTATGTAGCCTCTTTGGGGAACTTGGAATTTCCTCTTCTGTACCGCCGACTGTCGACCAGTCGGCCAAGCGTCGGAAAGTCCAACCAATCCAGCAACCTCTGAAACACATATTAAGCACTCTATGGCGACTTCTCGGAGAAGAGCATAGTGAAAATTATGAAAAACTGGGAACTGCTATTAAGTGTGTTAATCGAGCTCGTTGTATTGCCTAGTGCTAACAGGGACCAGTAATAAGTTCTCTCAGTTAAGCGAAGTGGAACAGTGCTCCGTGGTCGACCTTGTAGGATATGCTTCTTGTGCTATAGACGGGACGTTATCATTAGATCGCTCGCCAGGGACAGTAGACGCCTCTAGGCTCGATTGTGTGTTTTGTACAACCGGAGTTCTGTGGCAACAAAAGCCAATATGTCTCGATCACGCAGTCAAATCAGCACAGCTTGATATTTTCAAGATCCTGGTGGAAACCCCGAACTTCAACGGGCTGCGACGTCCACGCATCATAGCTATGCATGCATTAAGACGGATTGCAGCGCATTCGCACGATCCGGTCTTGCTGGACATGGAGACATCGAGCGTGGGTCTTTGGTGTATGAAATCTCTTTCAAGCTCGAATCGCGATCTCAGAATAGCAGCAAGGTTTGTCGAACCATCTTTGCAAATACATGCGGAAGACTCTACTAAATGTTATATAGCCGGACGTTACCATCATTTCTTCGAAGCTCCACAGGGGACGACTCTCTTGCCAGCATTATCCACAGAAACCGAGCATTTGTACTCCAAGCTCTCAGCTCTGTCTCGGATCAGAACTTGCCTCATCTTGCTGAAACATGTATCATGGCATGGTCTCATGTAGGACGGTAAGCATGGGCCCTCTGCCTTAACAATATTAGCTAACAGAGAATAGTGTGGTCCCTGATGATCAACTCAATCTCGTCCTCGTCAAACTGGTTGACTACTTAAGCCACGGCAGTGCAATGATTCCAGCAGCAACCTTCGATGAGGTAGGTTATGTGAAAATATGTATGTGCGTATACTTACACTATGGCATAGATCTCCAATCTCTCCCGTGCCCGAAACGTATCTCCAAGGGAGTTGTTTGAACCTTTTTGGAAAAGTATAGCTTTCTCAGCCACGAAAGACCTCCCCACGAAACCGAGATCTACACGTTTGCTTGCCGATTTACTCGAGCTGTCTATTCCCGAATTTCTAAGGTCAATCCAAAGAGAAGCACTTCCGTGGCTCGTGCTCCGAGAGAAGCAGGATGCCATACACGAAATCGCCCTAGCGCGAATGGAGCAAGCTTCCTGGCAACCATGCTTGGACAGGAACAATATCGGACCTATCATGGCTCTACTGCTTATCCAGGAAGTACCAGATGTCGAAGCAAATGCTATTGCACTTCTCCGAAAAATATCTCAACACTTCGAGGGATTCAGTCTTGGTGAGCTGATCTTGTTGGAACCTGTTCTAATAGGTCTGGAACTCCTGAAAGCTGCTGGCGAGGCAGAGGAAATCCATAAGACTCATGTAAGGAATCTTGAATATGTAAAAAAACACTTCGATTAACTCAATGCTCAGATACGAAACGCTTTTGATCTGATGGTCAAGCTATACTACCACGCAACGGGCGAAGCCAAACAGAAAAAGAATCAACTTACCAGTATATTTCTTACAGACCAGGTTCTCGGCTTGGTCTCTTCTCTCACTGAGATTTTCAACCAGTCTCCTGACGGTCGTTCCGTTCTTGAGGAACAAAAGCGTGCCATCAAAGCAATGGAAGAGCTGATCCGAATGGGAAGGAAGAACATACGAATGGTCAGGCCCCAGGTGAGTTTATTTCTTCTTTTCTTTTGCTAAATGGTTTGTGGGTTGACATTGCCATAGATATCTGCCTGTATCTTGTCGTGTATGTCGCACGATGAACTACGTACAGCGGCCTTCTCTTGCTGGGCGGCGATGGTGTTCTATCTTGATGAGGATGATGTTGAAGCTTTAATTGAGACGACGTTCTTCATTATCAGCCACTACTGGAGTGCCTTCGATGACACAACACACCTGCGCTGCCGGAAGTTAATCGAGTTTTTAGTGGAGAAGTACAAAGTACTTTTGGCAGATATGATCAGCAAACTACCTTCTCTTGGTCACATAAATGCTTTGTCCGATGTGGAGAAGAAGCTCAACGAGCTTCGGAAACCCGTCGATAGCAGAACAGCTTTTCATCTTCTTGCTGAGAGAGTGGGCCATGAAAACTCCGGCGTTGTACTCCAAGCTTTACGAGAGCTTGCTGCTTATCTACAGAGACAACAAGCGTATCTTCAAGCTTCAGCCATTAGTGAGCAGCCGGACTCGGTAGTATCAACACTGGCCCGCGCTCTGCTCGATTGCTCCTCCAAGTACGCTACAGATGGAGGCGAGATCAGTCGTCTTTGTACACAGAGCTTAGGGCTTCTCGGCTGTCTCGACCCAAACCGCGTAGAGACGGTCAGGACCGAGAGACAAATCCTAGTTGAACACAACTTTTGCCAGGCTCACGAGGTTAGTGATTTTGTCATGGTCCTTTTGGAGGATGTCATGGTGAATGCGTTCCTTTCCGCAACCGAAAGTAGCTTCCAAGGCCTTCTGTCCTATGCAATGCAGGAGTTGTTAGATAGGATCGACATACCTGCGGCGATCAAAATGAATCAACACCCAGTCAGAGGCGATCCCAAACAGACAGATGCCGATCGTATTTACCGTCGCTACACCCAAATTTCAGAGGGCGCGCGAGAGGTTCTATACCCTTTTTTGACCTCTAGGTATAAGCTGCAATCTATGCCGCGGCAGTACGCAGAATATCCAATTTTCCGATCAGGGAGGCCCTATGGAGTCTGGATGCGCAACTTCACACTTGACATGCTTCAGAGACCGCAGAGTGGATTTACACATTATGTGTTCGATCCGCTTTGTCGTGTCATTAAGTTGAAGGACCTCTCCATAGCCGAGTTCTTGTTTCCATTTCTTGTTCTCCATGTGATTATGGGAGACGAAAGCACGGAAGACGTAAAGGCGAACATCCTTGGTGAATTATTTAAGGTCTTGCAATACGAACCTCCTAAAGAAGCTTCATACGGCGAAAGAGAAGATACGAAGTTGTACTACGAGGTAAGAAGCCGACCCATCACAAGAAAGAGTTAACTAACTAGGCCCAGGCCGTTTTTCGCGTTCTTGACTATGCCACACGGTGGCTTCAGATTAAGCGAAGTAGACAAAGTCAAACACCCCAAGATGTCGCCTGGATCGATCGAGTGCAGATTCTTCTCAACTCGATTCCAGCAGAGCTTATCTCACAGCGGGCAGTTGATTGTAAATCATACTCGAGAGCTTTGTTCCATCTTGAGCAGCATATTCGCGAGGTTGATCAAGTGAAGGGAAATAGCAACGAAAGGGAGCGCCTACTACTTCGACTTCAGGATATTTATGCGCAGATTGATGAACCGGATGGGCTAGAAGGCATCTCGGCCCATCTACGCGTAGTTGACATAAATCAACAGATTTTGAGTCATCGCAAGGCCGGTAGATGGACTGCAGCACAGACATGGTACGAAGTTAGACTGGCCGAAGATCCTGAGAATGTCGATGTGCAGATCGAGCTTTTAACATGTCTCAAGGAATCAGGACAACATGGTCAGTAGTATCCACCCTCTCTTGGCAACTCAAAATTAGTCTAACTTTGTGCAGATGTTCTGTTGAACTACGTTGAGGGCATCGAAAAGCACACTGCTGTAACCACAATTAACCGGATAGTACCGTATGCTGTAGAAGCATCGTGGGCTACTGGTAGATGGCAGACCATGAGGAAATTTATCGCTAGATATCAAGGCGACCCTACCGAAAATTTCAATGTGGCTGTGGCTCGAGCACTGAGCCACCTGGACAAGGGCTCAACCAAGGCATTTATTGAAGAGTTGCTCATCATGCGCGATCGTATCAGCTCAACTATGACCTTTACTGCAACATCATCATTACATGCCTGCCATGAAGCACTGCTCAGATGTCATGTACTCACCGATCTTGAGCTTATAGCGGGTCTCAATAACGAGGGAAGCCAGCATCCACAAGAAGTGTTGAAGTCGCTGGAAAGACGACTCGAGATGCTCGGATCCTATGTCAATGATAAACAATATGTCCTCAGTATCAGGCGGGCAGCTATGGAATTATGCAGGTAAGTCATCAAAGAACAGTGAAGTTCTCAGCTTTTCCGCTTACAGTCTACAGGTCACGATTCAGTGATTTAGACATATCTTCTTTGTGGTTAACCAGCGCACGACTTGCCAGAAAATCGAACTCGCTACACCAGTCTTTTAACGCAGTGATTCATGCATCTCAGCTTGGAGACAGTAATGCTACAATTGAGAACGCACGAATACTATGGAAACAGGGCCATAATCGAAAAGCCATTCAAACACTCCGGAGTGCCATATCTTCCAGCACTCTATCCGGTCGAAGTTTCGGCAACGACGGGGATTCATCTGAAAGGAATGCCGAGTCGCAACAGAACATGACTATAGCCAGAGCGCAATTGTTACTAGCAAAATGGCTCGACAATGCTGGGCAAACCCATGCTGGCGCTCTGAGACAACAGTATCAGAATGTTCCCAAGAATTTTGGCCAGTGGGAAAAGGGGCACTATTACCTTGGACGGCACTACAAGAAGGTATTGGAGTCAGAAAAGGCATTGGACCCAGACAACCAAAGCGACGAGTACCTGTCAGGTGAAACAGTGAAGCTAGTGATCGAGAACTACATCCGATCGCTCAACTACGGCACCAAATATCTTTATCAAACCCTGCCGAGAATTTTGACACTCTGGCTGGAATTCGGCGCTCAACTTGATAAAGCACCCGAAGGCAAAGTTTCCTTGTCGCGCGAGCTCTATCATCGAAGAAAGACACAACTCAATTCGCTGCACACATACCTGTACAAGTATTTGCAACGCCTGCCGGCCTACATATTTTACACGGCACTCCCGCAAATCGTCGCTCGTATTGCTCATCCGAATGAGAGTGTTTTCCAACTCTTAGAACAAATCATCATCAAGGTGGTTGAGGCTCATCCTCGGCAAGCTCTGTGGAGCCTGTTCGCTATTTTGACGTCCAAACAGACAACAACTGAACGCAAAGTTCGCGGACAACAGATCTTACAGAAGCTTAAAGGCCAATCGAAGCAAGTGGAAGGCGGGTTGGGAGATCTCAAGTCACTGCTGCGGAAGGGTGAGAAGCTTGCACATCAATTACTTCTGGCCTGCAACAACGGTGACTTTCAAAGCAACAGAACGACACATGCCAGCATTACGCGAGATCTGAATTTCAACCACAATTGCTGTCCGTGTCCGCTGGTCGTGCCCGTAGAGGCTTGTCTTACAGCCACATTGCCCACGCTTACGGACAATGTCAAGAAGCACAAAGCTTTCTCGCGAGATGTCGTCACCATTGATAGTTTCTTGGATGAAGTCCTGGTCTTGGGGTCACTGGCCAAACCCCGGCGACTTACGGCTCGGGGTTCGGATGGCAAAAATTACATGTTGTTAATCAAGCCAAAAGATGACCTGAGAACAGACCAACGTCTAATGGAATTCAATGGCATGATCAATCGCTCTCTCAAGCGAGACGCCGAGTCCAGTAGACGGCAGTTATACATCAAGACTTATGCAGTAACACCGCTTAATGAAGAGTGCGGTATTATTGAGTGGATCGATGGTCTAAAAACCCTTCGGGATATCCTCCTGAACATCTACCGGTCACGCGGGATTGTTCCTAATTACAACTCTCTTGCCCAGATGATGAAGGATGCGGCCATGAACGAGAAGAACACCAAAATTTTCACTGACTCAGTGCTTGGGATGTTCCCTCCTGTTCTCCCTTACTGGTTCATCTCACAATTTCCCAATTCCTCGGCTTGGTTCGCTGCTAGGCTGAGGTACACCCGTTCCTGCGCTGTCATGTCAATGGTCGGCACAATCTTGGGATTGGGAGACCGGCATGGTGAGAACGTGCTTCTAGAAGAGGGCAACGGTGGTGTATTCCATGTGGATTTCAATTGTCTTTTCGACAAAGGCCTGACTTTTGCCCAACCGGAACGAGTTCCATTCCGTCTTACACACAACATGGTAGCCGCTATGGGTGTTCACGGTTACGAGGGGCCTTTCAGGAAGTGCTCCGAGCTGACTTTGAGCATTCTCAGACAACAAGAAGAGACTTTGATGACCATCTTGGAGGCTTTCATATATGACCCGACACTGGACTTGCAGAAGGATAAAAAGCGGAAGCATGAGATCGTCAAGATGAGCCCGCCCGCTGTGGTAGAAAATATCAAGCGGAAGGTGAAGGGCTTGCTGCCAAATGAAAGCATCCCCCTCAGCGTGGAAGGTCAGGTTGAGGAGCTCGTGAAGCAAGCAGTCAACCCGAGGAATTTGGCTGCTATGTACATCGGATGGTGTCCTTTCTTGTAGTTTTAGGGAAGACTCAGAAGTCCCCAAAAATCGGTTGACGAGGATAACTTTTATTCAACAAATTTCTGTTTGCTGATCATTCTCGCTCTCTGCTGCTGTCTACCATCTTGCATGGGTGTTCTATGAGCATGAGACGTAACTCGTGATGATCTGCAAATGTTCTCCCAATCCGTCGGCTGTCTTGGATTCAGGTTTAGATTACTGGCCCACCGTATTAGATTTGCTTCTCTCCCTCTCCGCATATTGATCCTTTTGAGGCCGCCTTCTGCGCAGACTGGTGTCTGTGAAAGGACAACGGTAAAAAATGATCGTATCGCTGAGTTGCCCTCTTCCCACTGATACACGACACCCTCTCGTCACCTGGATCTTTCCCAGGAGCTACAGAAGAGTTTAGCTATCGCCTTCTTCACTCTCGAGGCAAACTTTACTATGAATCAATAATCTTATAGTATAAAAAATGTTCAGCTTAGCTCTTGGGGGCCTTACAAGCCATGTCCCAGGTGTCGTTCGAAAGCCTTAACCAGCTTATTAATAAACATCAGCCTTTCCTAGTATTTTACGACTGTTTTGAGTCACGCGATAAGGTGCAAGACTTGTTCTTTTCTATGTTCCTCGATATAGAGTGGAGAGTTTCCCCCTTCGTTATGCTATAAAGAAGACTATTGTATAACCTTATATTCTACTCCGATTCGTAAAATATAGCTTATGTATATTTATTAACAATATGAATCTAACATCGATTTGGTGCTTGATTATGTATACTTGATCGGGATCGTGTGTCAATATTATATCTGCAGATTGTTGTGATTCAGTACACATACGACCATAGCTCTTAGAAAACTCGGCATCCCGTCCGCTCTGCCCTAGATAAACTGAGAAGCGCTGCATTGGTACTCAGGTGGCTGATGGGTGATCACTGGAAATCCCCGGTGTTGTACATATGTTCTTTTTGCCGATCACTGCTTGGTCAGTTGAGGAAAGTAACTCCGGCGGAAGAGTGATGAATTTCTATCAAGAGGGGAGGGGCCTCCCCATCCCGTTAGAGACTAAAGACTACCCTAGTTCCAACATACACTCCTCCCTGCCGGGTTACCTAGTAGCAGATGATTGTCGGACCGTTGGGGTATGAGAAGGGTGTAGAGATTTAACGTGGATATAGGTACTACTCAAGCTAGCTAGTTTCGGCATGGTCTGGCACTTGGTCCTCATTACTACGACCATGATCTTTTATATCTGAGGAGCAGAGAAGTAGAGATAAGCCTAATCGAGAGACGTCCCGTAACAGCCAAAATCAAAATAATCGTACCAGCCGGTATTCACTTGGCAACAATCGAGGAACCCAAGGAAACAGGATCGAGTTTTTTCCTCTACACCAAGACGATGGTTTCTGATTTCAATACTCCAGATTTCCACTGCGCAATTATCTCTCCGTTCATTACTCCATGCACAAAGCTTTCTCCGATCAATCTCCAAGCATGTTGGAAGTTCTTAGTTGACTCTTCTCTCATCACAAAAGGAACTTGTGACCCTGGTAAAGCTATTATTCGGTCTCCGGGCTTTGTGTTTTTTGGGCCAAGGCCAAAATATCCTTTCGGGGTGATGAAAAATTTCCGTCCAAGAGCGAACTGCTCGATGCATGGATCCAGTGTTCCTTGAGGCACAATGCTTAGTTTACTTCTCCAACATCTTTCTGCTTCTACGACAGCGAACTTGAATTTTTGACCTTCTTCGGATGACGAGCCCGGACCCACAATGTACGGGAGAGGGCTCTCGCGCATCAAACGCATTGCCAGATCGTCTGCCTGGTTCCGAGCCTCCCAGTAGGGATCAGGAACGACATGTGGCAAATGAAACGGTTTATGATAGAGATCATAAGGCTGCTGTTACCACAAGGAGGCTAAGTAGCTGGTATCTGCTTCCAACTGTTTCCTGTCCCTTTCTGTCCAGTCTTCCGGTATAAAGCCCTTGAAGCCTGGTTGAGACGTAGCTGCATAATTACTCGTCGTCCCTGAAAACTTGATTGCCAGTACTTCACAAACTTTACGAAGGATTTGCATTCCTTCAACCACAAGAAGGTGACCGGTATTACTGATAGTTGTACGTGGCGGAGCAGGCGTCCATCCGAATGGTATTTCCGGTAACCATTCTGCGTACCGAAGTCGTCTTCCGTCCTCTTTGGTGTCTGACGAACTTCCGAAATGAGTAGTTTGTCCGGCAAAAAGCGTGAGCTAAAAACTCTCGAGAAGCCTTTCTATGGAAGGATGCCGCTTTTGCGCTGGTTTGCTGTTGACGGCCAATCTCTTGCAGCACCCAACTGCCACCATAAATCTTGTTGCGTTCAACCAGTCTTCTGCAACATCACCAACGAATTCATCATGAGTAATTTCAATGGTGTCCCACAAAACACCATCAAGGCTCAACGTCTTCTCATCTCTATTAAATGAAAGTTTTCTTTGATTGGGTTGTGGTGGAGTAATTGTTGTATTGCAGCTCAGATGATTGAGCTCCCTGAGAAGCCATTTTTTTGTTCGACGTTCTGTTATGATCTCCCCCTGCCTCACAGGGTGCGCTGGCTTAGCGACATTTCCAGCAAGCAATTTCGATTTCGCGCAACGCTCATCTTCGACGAATAGAAGTATCTGGTTATTCTGCAATAGGTCTCCGAGACTTGATTTAACTTCGTCACTAAATCGGTGAAATGTGAAACCAGATGGAATTTCCTCGAGAGAAGTGACTTGTCCAGATCCTCTGGCTCCTATTGCTAATCGATTCAGTCGGTTCCTACGCTCTTTGTTGGCAATTGACGGATCCAAAGAATAGACTGGCGAGGTAAACGTAACTTGGGAAAGGCACGGTTCTTCCCATTGATTATTTTCTCCATCAGATATTGACCTTTTTGGTTCAGCCCACCACGGCACATCGAAATATCGGGGAATTCTTCTGATCGGTAGTGGTTCACATGTGAGTGGTATCGACCAATCCGGTACCCATGACGGCATAGCCGGGCCACTCTCCCCACAATGTCGTAGAATCTCCAGTCCAATCTCAGAGGAGATAGTAGCTATGGCAAAGTCGAGATAGACATCATAGACCTCTGCCTCGTAACGCGGCCGAAGGCTCTCGGCCGGACTAGTTGAGAACATATTGTATATCGCGTAGATCTTATCCCTGGGGTTAGTCGCCAAGAAGTTTCGAAACCGACAAAGTAAGTCGAACGAAGCGACTAGAGCATCTGGACGATGGAGATAGTGACGAGCGCTTTCCCTCAGGCTATCCAGTTCGAGGATAGTCGAAATGACAGGCAAGACTTCTCGCTGGTCATCCTCATGCGCTTTCAATCGAGCCGCGGCAATGACAAGATTCGGCCATGACAAGACCTCAGGACCGCAAAAAACCATTATTTTATCAAATTCGCAAAATGCGCCTCCGAGAACTAATTCTTGTACTATCCATATCCTCGTCCACCAAGGGCGTTTCAAAAGGCGCTGTATTTGCTGCACTTGAGTTTCTCCTAATCGTAGCATCTTATCATACGGAGAACCAGATCCAAGGAGGCGGAGCTGGTCAATTGCCAAGTGGCTATCCTCGGAAGCTGATCCAAGCCAGATTGTTAATCTTGCCGCACCAGCATATATCATACTCATCATTGGGATTTGCTGGTTTTTCTCTTGAAAATCAGTCTGGTTGATGCAGACGGCGTCAATCCATAGAGTAACCGTGCTATTTGGCTCACGTCGTTGTCGCAAGAACGCTCCAAGATTGGAGGTAACTGTGAAGCCTTGATTGTTAACAAAGATATCTTCTACGGCCGATGGGTCGCCCCACGTATATGATAATGCTTCGAATGCCTGAAATGTGGTAGGGTTTATCAAATCCAAAAGACTGTATCTTTCTAGTTGACAATAAATGTTCGAGGACGGTTCTGGACTGGGGAAAAAATGCAACAATCTGATTTCAGCACTACCTAGAGCTTCGTAAAGCCCTGGATAGCCGATATGAAGTTCGGTGCTAGACATCTTGAAGTGCAAACAGATCCAAAGAATGATTACTGCGAGGGCATAAAGTTATGACTGCCAAGAAACGATGCGGAAAGCTGTGGGAGACTTGCAATGTTTGTAAAGTAATGAGGAGAATGTATCATCGCACGGTTTGGCTGGCTTTCGTCATAATCGGCTGTTCGGTCACTGTTCTCCTTTTATCTGCCTTTAGCTGTAAGGATTCACGTTCGTAGCCAATCGTTGCGACTTACGACGTAAGCACCGCGTGATAAGAAAACCAACCCACCACTCTTATACCATCACTTCTACTTCAAAATAGTAGAACGGATATAGCTTAAAATAGCATATGCAACCTTGGATGGCATGGATCATTAGCGCTTCCGCTTTAGCAGTATCGTATACTTCGTGCAATTTAACAACTAGACAGCTTTGATTTCGTTCCACCTTGGCCGATGGGGGCAACAGAATAAGGCGCAAAAGCCCGTAGCAGATTCTATGATGTCACCCTTCTTAGAGCCCAAATCATTTTAGGTTTATAGGCCTCTAAGTACTGTTATGCCCAGGCACCGAACTTAAAAGATACAGAGAGTGCCAGGTTGTAGATTCTAATTTGCTGAATGTAGTGCCTCGTTGAATTAGCTTCTGGATCCAAGAAACCAACGCCTTACGATATATATCCGTATTTGCTCTTGGTTATGAAGCGTATGAAACGGAGGGCGGGATCCACACTCTAGCGTGATAAGCAGACTACGATCCGTACACGTTACCATGTCACAGGCCGTAAGGAAAGTGGTCCACTCTCACCGGGTAGGTATACCCTTTGAAGCGCTGGATTAGTACTCAGGCGAACGACCACTGGGAATCCCCGGGGCTGCATATTTTTACATTTTTGTTTGATTTTGTCTAATATAGTAGCTTTACATAACTCTGTCCCGTATCCCTGGCGCTAGTATTGAGGTTTGACGAAGAACTTGGCTGCTGGATGGCTGAAAGCTGATGAATCTATATCGACGCAATCTGACAAGCCGCCCTCACCGATCATCTCACCTGGCGACTACAAAAAACGCACCGAAATACGAACGGCTCCGGTCATCCTGGTTCAGGGTATCGATGTTTCGTCGTGTCTCGCCCTTGTGATTTTCTTGTCACCACCCACACCATGATCTAAAAGTCAAAGTATCTGCGGCTATATACATGTAGTTGACGATTCTATGCGATGACTCCGAACGTGTGGGCACCATTTCTGACATGGAGCTCTTCCACCAGCGGTAGATCACACCCGAAAATCAACCTACAGTATGTGCTTTATTTACTTATTTCTACTCCCCCCTCCATATCTTAGCATCTGCCAGCTAAGAAGAAGAATAATGTAATAAGCATATTGCAGGATGCCCTTGTCTTTTTTCTCTATCTCTCTTTACTGTTTATTTTATTTTATTTTATTTTAAATTTCTCTTTTACCCGTAGCATGAACACAGGTTACCTGACTTTACTTTCAATACTTGGCCGACCACTCTGGGTAGACGGTCTTAGAGGCTTTCGCTGATCAATTGAGAGATAAGCTATATGTTAGCAGTTTTATCATCCGCTTGTTGCGAATCTCGTAGTTGTGGCTTCCTTCAACCTGCTCACGTTAACGGCACTTGTGGTCCGTGAAGGTGTCGAAAGCAAGATAATATGTCCATCAAACGGTGGACAAGTCGTTTCTTGTTATATTTATGAAAGAGATGGTGTAGGTCAGCGGTATGCAAAGCTTTTCTCAAAGCATAATTTCTAGACCTGGATACTCTCATTAAGGTCATTGACGTGTCGCATTTTGTGGCGTCAGCAGATGACGTTCTGTCGTAAGTAATCTAACGTTAGAATACGTCGTCACTTGCCAAACGTTGCTGACGTAACCCAGGCTCCACAAGGAAACTATGGCTGGAGATTTGGATATGGAATTGATAGTGTTCTGGCTGGAAAGGGAACATAGGAGAAGGCGTAGCGCCTGCATGCCGCAGGATATATTCAAATGCACCCAATGAGAGGACATTACAGGCTCTATGAAACTGGTGTGGGGAGACAATCCAGACCCCTAGGAGGCGCTGAAATAGGCTAACCTTGGATCGTTTCGTCAGAGAGACAAAAGTAAGGGTTTCTATCATATGAAAAGAAATCAAAAATAAAAGGCACGATATGAGAATTACCATTGAAGAAAACTGTCCACAACAAAGAGTTCAAACGCTATCGGCCAGTGGACAGTATAGGATAACAGCTGTTTCGCTGAATTGATCTGGCTCGCTGCACTATCCATGGCCAAAGCGCCTGGGCTGGTGCCTGACATGCCTAATCTCCCCCAATTTTATGACGCGACTTGCTGCCAGCAGGAACAACTGGTCGCGTTCACAGCACCAAGAAAGCCAAACATCAAACTTTCTTTAGACTAGGTTAGGAGCTTTGCACCCCGACCGTCATACACCACCCACCACCTGAGATCTCATCGGGGGTTTTTTTTTGCACAGCAAAACTTCAGCAAGAACAACTATTGACGAGACGGGACACCATGTCTTATCGCATAGGTATGCCCTTTTGAGTCTGCCGTTCTCTGTGACAGCTCCCATCTCAAGCCCCTCACGTCACCAACCCCACGCGCGCAGCATCGTCTGATTGTGTTACTAACCATTGCATTCAGAGATATCCCCAAACAACCGTGCCGGTTGCAAGGATTCCGTGTGCAAGAAGGAAGGCGTGAAGATCACCAAGGGCGAGATTCGCTTTGGTACATGGGTCACCATTATGGAACATGCCAGCTGGCAATGGCGCCATTGGTACGTCTCTTCGTTCACCGATGCCAGGTTCTTCCTCGACTTGTTCTTATTCTCCTGATACTGATATCTTATTTCAGGGGTTGCGTGTCTGGTGAACAGATCAAGAACCTCAAGGAAAACGTTGAGCGTAATGGCAGCCACGATTATGACATGATTGATGGCTGGGAGGACCTGGAGTAAGCTGTCTCACTTGGAGTTGAACCAAAAGCTACTAATGCCAACTTCAAAAGGGATCACCCGGAGATCCGAGAGAAGATCCAACGCGTCCTTAAGCAGGGACACATTGATCCCGAGGACTTCAATGGTGTGAGTCGTTTGAATACTAAACCAAGCACCTGCACTAACGTTGTCACAGGACCCAGAGATGAACAAGCCTGGTCAGAAGGGTATCCACAGTCGAGCCAAGAAGGCCAAACCTGAGAATGAGAATGGAGAGCCCTCAAGCTCAGCTCCCAAGTCCAACAAGCGTGGCCGCAAGAAGGCGGATGCCGACGAAGATGAAGAGAAGGTCAACCCAAAGAAGAAGGCCAAGATGGCCATTGTCAAGGATGAAGAAGAGGAGCCTGAGAAGCCAGCTGCAAAGGGAAGAGGCAAGAAGGCCGCTGCCAAGGACGATGATGACGACGAGAAGCCAGCCGTCAAAGCCAGACCCAAAAGGGGTGCTAAGAAGGCTGTTGCCAAGGAGGAATCTGAAGAGGAAGCGGAGGCCGAAGAGGAACCTACTCCTGTCAAGAAGACACGAGGTCGAAAGCCTGCTGTGAAGAAGGAGCCCACCCCCGAGGAGGAAGAGACTGAAGGAGAGGAGGCAGAGGAGGAGCCTGCCCCAAAACCCAAAGGCAAAGGGGGTCGCAAGTCCAAAGCCGTCACAGACGCAGACGCCGCTCCTGCTAGGCCCAAGCGAGGTCGTGGGAGAAAGTCGTAAGTCATCCCACCGCTCATAACCAAAGTATAGCGTTAACGCACGAAACAGCGCTGCTGCAGGCGAGGACTAATTCCTACCTCTGCCCCAGTCTGTTCATGTCTCGCCCGGGATCCTGAGACGAGAGAAACTGTACTATATCTGATCAGTGTTTATTGTTTTGCTGAAGCGACATGGACGACCCTGTTGTAAAAGTTTGTTGTGCTTTTTGATAAGTGGAAGTCAGTTAGCGGTAGTCATTTGCACAACGATACCTAGATGTTCTATCAAGAACACAGCAGTGTTAGTTCAAGCTTTTCTGTACGCCGTCTTTGCTATTGAGCTTCAAAATCATTCTTAAGGCTGTTACATCATTATTTTTCTGAATTTACCGTAGTTTCTACAACACGTACATTTATGCAAGCTTTTCTTTTAGAGTCTTTAATTCTACGCCATGCTGTGTCCTACCAACCACAATATTACACGAAATAGCATGACTTCTCTTCTGTTTGGTGTGTTGGGGGCTGGCTCATGCATTGACATATCTTTCTGTGACTCGTACCCACATATATTTCTGGAACCAAATGTTGACATTTACCGAATGTACTGGGTGATTTGCATCGACCAGCTGAAAGTCGAAGTGTCGCAATAGCTGAACAACTTAATCAATACGACATTTCCAAATAGTGGGGGCTCAGCGAATACGCTCACCTCAATATAGACCTTGTTCAATTCCATAAAAGCAACGGGTTTACCAGCACATCCCCAACGTCCATACCCGAACACGAGCTCGACTGTCTGCACCATTTCTCGCTTTTTGTTAGGCTCGATATTCAACCAACGCTCAGGGCGGAACAGTTCTGCGTCTTCTCCGAATAATTCTTTCGATCTCTCAATGGCTGTAATACTCCAAGCAATCCGCGTACCCCCGGGGACAAAGTGGCCGTGGATCGTGTCTCCTTCGGGGGGCACCTCTTTCATGGCAAGACCCGTAAATGGGATGTTAATACGTAAACCCTCGTATATGACCGCCTAGGCTCTCGTTAATGTTCATGATATCTGAAGGACCATATTACTAGAGGCTAAATACCTGCAGATATTCGAGCTGCCTCCCCTCGTCTGCCCTCGCGGGATTCGAGAGCAGACCTTGGGCAATCGCTGCATCGATCTCCTTCTGCAGGGCTTGGTATGCATGCGGCGTAGTCATCAGGTTCAGCATTGTACCACGGATTGTCGTGGCCGTTGTGTCAGAACCTGCGATGATCTGGAATGGTACTTCACCCTCTAGAAGCTCCTGCGGCACCCCATGTCTGATGAATGAGCCCTAATAACAATAATCGTCAATACTTCTATTCCCGAAAAAGAACGTTGCTAGTAAGAGAACTCACCAGCATATCTTGTTGGTCTTCGGCGTTATTTTCGAACCGCTTGTTGACGACCTCTTTGGCAATACTTGGGAGGTTAGCATTTCCAAATCACAAACCGGGCTGGGCTGTTTACCCGATCAATCTTCCTATACCCTCTTTGTCTGTCGCCTTTGGTCCATACAATTTAAGTGCAGAAGGAGAGAAAAATATGCGGGAAAAGAAAGGGAGTTCTGCAAAGAAAACTATGATCGGCAGAAAACTCTCAGAAGTCTTGATATACGAGTGGACGTCCGAATCCGTCTCAAGATACCCAAACTCCTTCCCGTACGCGATTCTGGTCAGCGAGTCGAGCGTAAAATACTGAACCGCGGTGGCCAGGTCGATGGGCCTGTACACCTTCTCGGACGAGATGTACTTGCGCCGGATGAGCCCCAGCAGATTCGCGAGCTGCTCGTCGATCTCGTCCTCGAGGGTCGGGTTCTCTTTGCCGCCGTACCCGTGCGACATCTGCGCCTTGAGCCGGTCGTGCGTCGCCGTGTCCGTCAGGCTGAACAGGCTGTGCTGGAGCGGGTTCAGGCGCATGGCATCGTACCAGCTGGAGCGCTTGTAGGCGGACCGGGCAGCGCTCATCCGGCGGATGATGTCCGGGTCGTCGGTGATCAGATCGTTGGGCCCGATACGGGTAAGATGCCCGTACTTTTCGCTGACGGCCTGGTACCGAGCGCCTTGGTGACCGGTTTGGCTTTGCACCGAGATCCAGAGATACGACCACCTCGCCAGCACGGGACCGGGAATGTGTCTGAGACGGTTCCAGGAGTATATGTATGACCCTATGATGAAGAGGGTCGACACAAAGGCGAGGATCACGCCGGAAGAGACGTCGGGGAGCATGCTGTGTAATTGATCAAGAGCCGGCATCTTCGCGAGTGGCAACAATTCAGCACGTCGAACGCCAGGATTTGTCAGGAGAGGGACGCCGGGAAGGTTACCTGGATTTCATATTCTCTTTAAATCGCCAGATCTAAGCGAAGGTAAGCATGTCGGCCGAGAGTACCAAGGTTGTTGGCATCTGTTCTGCAGTTAGGTGTGTATGGTCGTCCCAGGCGGCCCAATGAAAGGCTGGTCAACCATCTGAGCCACCAAAGTTGGCAGAGCTGTATCACCAATCAATTATCCTATAGCTCCGGTGTGGTGTGCAATCAATCATCCTGCTGCTCCGGCGTGGCGTTCTGGGCCGTGATGGCTGACGCCACTATTCATGGATTGTACCAAGTCAGGCTAAGGGCAGTAGCGTTTGGGATATACACCTTGTAGGGGTATGAACCGTTAGTGTGAGAATTATATGCAGCCACAACCCTGATCGATTTGAACCAAGCATAGGCATTAACAGACTACTTTGGCAGACTTTCTCGTTAGTTCCAAGAGAAAGACAACTATTTAATCCCTCCTTAATAGTTAATTTTCCTTAGGAAAACCCGAATTATATAATGTCTAAAGAAGCAAGTAATCTAAAAGATAATTCGCTATATTTCTTGTTCAGTGTTTTTAAATATGGGCTTATTATAAGCTCATCCCTTTTTACTCCTATAACCCTCGAGGCCCTGATTGAGCCTAACAATGTATATAGGACGTTCTATTGCATACACGTACAAATACCAGCATCACGCTAAAGATTCATACCCCTACAAGGTGTACGAATTGTATGTTTAATCAGGATCAGTACAGTGCTCAACCTCAGTCGATGTCACTCCTTAGTCCGGCGATGACATTTTAGCTGTTGCACAGAATCGCAAACTACTGTACAAACACAGTTGCTTTCTGCTGTCTTACCTTATGCAAGCTTCACAGGAAGCCAATAGCCTGCTCTGGAAAGATAATGGACCAGTGGAAGTTGTACACGTACACCATGTGCCAATGTCCATTCCCTTTTACCACTGGTTCTTTGTCCTCGGTCGTGGTTGGTGCGTTAGTAAGCAACCATATGAACCATCTGCTTTACATTTGCAACAGCACATTTGAGACGGTACAGGGTTGTCATCGGAGATGCGTCGCATCATGCAATTTGTACCGTCATAGGAGATATAAACTGTCGTAGACATATAATCACCATATCAGGCATTTCTGTCATGCCACGCCATGTTGTCAGAAGCGCGATCCAAAACCACCGTTTGCCCGCCTCTCGGCGTTTTCAGTGTTGCATGTGGGATGCTTTAGCTTCCGTCTCTCTAAGAAAGGTGGTGTGTGGGAGATGCGATTGATTACCAGGTTTTGTGATAAATGTTGCGAAACAATCACGACATGATCACGCTCTGTTCCACGACGCCCAAGACGTTTTTTGACGAATCACAATTTGTTTCGCTCCCCACACTTTCCCATAACCTCACTAATACTATTGCTTCATAACACGCGTTTTCTCTTTTCTACGCCTTCGGCCAATTCTTGTTGAACGGTACGCAACTGCCGTTTGCCGTCGCTGCGATGGACCTATCGGCGAGGAAGATACAGTACTTGGCAACGTCCTTCAACTGGACTGCGGACTCGGGTTTGAACGGGGAATCCGCCGCCGTCTTCCCGTATCCTGCCTGGTTAAAGCCGCCCAGCCCGCCAACGCTCTCGGCAATGTTGGTGTCGATCATACCTCCCAGCATGAGCCCAATGGCGTAGATGCCCTCGTCCCCATAGAACCCAGCGGTGCTCTTGACCAGCGCCGCCACGCCGTGCTTGCTGACGGTGTATGCCGTGCCCGCGCAGAAGCCCATGTACGAGGCGTTGCTGCCGATCTGGATGATAGTACCGCCCCTGGGTTCCTGCTTCTGGAACGTGTTGACCGCTGCCTTCATGCAGAGGAAGCTCCCCGTCAGGTTGACGTTTAGGAGCTTGTCCCATGTCTCCTTCTTCAGCTCGCCAACGGGGTCGAACACGTCCATGAGGCCGGCGTTGTTGACCAGGATGTCCAGACGGCCGAACTTGGAGACGACGTCTGAGACAAGCGACGTTACAGCGGCCTCGTCTGTGATGTCCGTCTTGAAGGCGGCGAACCGGCCGGTGGGCTCAAACTCCTCCTTGGTGGCAGATAGACGGGCTTCATTGATGTCGCAGATTGCGACATTGGCGCCTGCTTCGAGGTACGTGGCGGCGATGACTTTGCCCAGGCCGCCAGCTGCACCGGTCACGAGGACAGTGGTACCTTGCAAAGAAGTCATAATTGAAAATGTGAGAAATTAAATGAACGACGAAGTCAATTAATCTGCCGAGAAATACTTGTCAATATGAGTGGCCGTTATTAGTAGCTGCGGAAAGATGGGTTTATAAAGTGTGAAGTCTGGAGATGAAAATGAATGGGTAGTCGTATTCGGTCAGAGACCCGTACAATTAAACACTGTTGCGAATGTAAACAGTCGTAGCGTGCTGCTAGAACTGGAAATACTAGCTTGCTCAGGATGCATATCGCCGTGGACTCAACAGGATCGTTATCGTATTCGTAAACGCGATGCCGTGGTTAGCGATGTCTACTGCGGGGGATGCGGAGTTGCCTGGGCGCCTAGTGGCACATCCGCCCATCTCCATTCCTTGTGAGCCTGAGAACCGTGTCACCCGATGAAACAACACATTGATTCGAAGTGCGCTGAGTTTTGCGATATGAGCTTTGTCTGAGCGTTTATTTTCCCCATGTCTGCCCTCATTGATCAATTGTACAAGAACCTCTCCCTCGCCATGAACCAACTCCGTTTGATGCAGTGTAAGATACAGCCCGCCAATCATAATGGCTCGTGGTTTAATCAAGGAAGTTCTGGACGTTCCCTCCGACATTCTTTAAATCTAATAGGAATGTGTCATGACCAAACATACTTTGTTCCTCGCTGAGTTCAACATGGGATACATTCCTGTTTCCTCCCAGACGAATGGCTTCTGCGACTTCGCGTTGTTGCCAAGCAGGGAACAGAATGTCGCTGGCGACACCCATGACCAAAGTTGGGATATCTCTCAGTGGAGAGAGTCCAGATATGAGATCATCCGGTGGCCTCGAGGTCACCTTCACTGCCGATACCGAGCCCTCTAAATCGACATCTGCTTGCTCAGAATATGGTGCATCTGGCAGCGTAAGGCTACAGGATGGATCATTTGCCCTTACTTCCGAGCCTGAATCCATGGCCTGTTGTCTTTCTGCGCGTCGGGCAGCAGCAGCTACTTGAGTGTCTCTGCCAAGATCAAACAAGTCCATGCCCTTGCTCACGTAAAGCAAGCTGTTAGGATCGTAGGTGAGGCAGAATTTCTCCCCAGCGTGATCGAGGTATGTCTCGATAAGGAAATCGGGACACAGCGCCGGTGGCTTTTCGGGATCAGCCCTGCGACGGCCAAATCGTTGCTCCCACTCCGGACCAGATCGATAGGTGACAGTCGCGATTTCTCTGGCTAGCTTCATGCCGGCGTGGGGAGGTACTTTATCATAGTAATAGCCACGGTTCCAGTTTGGGTCCATCATCAAGACTTGGCGCTGGGTGTGTCGCATAGCAATACTGTAGGGGTGACTTCGTGCAGCACCACTGATGGAGACTATGCGCCCAACTCGTGAGGGAAACAAGGCTCCCGATGCCAACGACAGCATGCCACCCATACTAGAGCCCACACTGGCATATAGTTTGTCCACGCCCAACCCATCGAGGAGGCGAAACTGAGCCCGAACCATGTCCTCAATCGTGACAACCGGGAAGCGTGTGGCATAGCGCTGGCCATCAGCTGGGTCAATGCTGCTGGGCCCGGTGGAACCGAAACAACCTCCAATGACATTTGTACATATTATAAAGTATTTATCCGTATCCAGGCAACCGCCTGGGCCAATAAACTTTTCCCACCAGCCTGGCTGGGGGTTGCTGGGGGTTGAATGCGCATGGGAAGAAGCAGAGAGGCCGGTATACAGCAGTATAACGTTGGATTTGTCCTCGTTCAGCTTTCCCCATGTTTCGTATGCAATGTCGAACTCAGGCAGCACACCACCCCAATCAAGTAGTAAGGGGTCTTTGCAGTGATATAATTCAGTCGCGCCGGCAGTGTAGGTCGGCTCGGGGCCGGAAGCGTGAGATTTCGCCCTGAGGGTAGCGGATCGGCTCTCGAGGGCGTCTAGACACGGGAAGGCCATGGCAGGGTTTGAAGCCTCGCCCAAACTGGTATCATTTCGTCGCGCGGGTTGCGAATGCAGAAATCGGCTGCCCCGTCTACCAAGTGTCCCTACGGAAGCTGAGGCTCTCGTACTCCAGGCCGGCACCAGGTCAAAGTTGGCCGGCCGCACCGAAGCGGGAAGCCGTTGCAGCGCCGCAGCGCTGAGCCTTTGCGTTCGCATCGTGGTGGCAGAAGCTTGTGGGAGCCGTTGGTCTGTTGCGCAGTCCAAAATATCAGAGACGACGCTGGCCAGCCCACAATGGACTGCGACTGATCATATACATGACTTCGTCTTTGTCCGGGTTTGTCAGCCAGCGGCCCTACTCTGGAGTGTCGAGGACAAAGTGGAACCTCCGATCGGAGCGTGTCGGGGCAAATGAGGCTATCCCACGTGATGATAAAGCTGTTATCTATCCCTTCGCCAGATAGGGATCCGGACGGAGCACAAAATACGGGGGATTTGCTGCCCATTTAGCCAAGCGGGGGTCGAACGCATCGCTCAGACCCCACTTACGTCACCAGTTCGAGCTCCAGCTTTCTTCCAGCCCCTGCAGATTACCAGCGGATCGTCAACGCCAACCAATATCCGTCGAGCTCCAGCTAATGTTTCTGGCAGGCAATATCTAATATACAGTAGTAGGAGTACCGTTGCACGACTGGCTTGCACCGCAGTACGATTACGGTTGTCTTTGCTCTCCCCCGTCATTGGTCTTTTTGTTGCCCCGCCTGCACCTGCGAAGCCACCATCCCTCCTGACGTACATGAACAAGTGCCTTACTCGAAACGAGCGCGTTGACTTGCTGCATATGATTCAAACTTATCCTGGAATTCAGAGACACATACTGCAATCTCTGACGCGTGATTCGCCAGAGTAGAACTAGCCACACCCACCTTCCACCTTGGCTACGAATTGGCCATCGTTCAACGTCATTAACGCTAAACCCCGTATATTCTTCTTCCTTACATCAAGAAAATTTAGCCAACATGTTGGACATGCCACTATCGTTTTACTTTATCATTGCTATATTTGTGATACACTTTGTTAGCAGACATATAGCCCGCCAAATCTCACCTACGCCAAGCACATCAAACATACCTGTCATGATCAACCGCAGAGGCGGCCGTGTCATTCCCGGCCTGCGTGGTGGACCTGGAGGGCTATTGGGTAGGCCGAGGGTACCAATACCTCCACAGGACGACAAGTCGGTTGAAGGCGAACAATCATCATCAAGCACCACTACGGACTCGGAGGAGTTCGACCCAGATCTTGACGATGTCCTCGCAGTGAAAGACCTACTCAAGCGTGCCGGCAGTCTTCCAGATGAGATAGCATTGATGATCCTGGATAGTGCCGAGTATTGGGCTTGTTCTTCGACAACTATTGATTATACGAACTTGCCACAAAAGCACTTGGTTATCCGAGGAGGCAGGCCAAATGAGAACCAATTCCTGGTACGCAGTGAGCCATTGGGCATGACGTCCTGGGCGCCTGATCAACAGGAGGCTTGGCGACTGCAGGCCATTCCACAGCCTCTTCAGCATGAACTGCCTCGCGAGATCCTTGAACAATACGTTGACAAGCGTCTCGATGCTGTCCTTGGAAGCCCGTGTCGCAAGATTGTCTTCAAAATCCAATCCACTGACCAAGGCTGGGGAGGTAATCATGAAGATCGTGGGACTTATAGAGGATCATGGACCTGGTTCGATGCTGGCCTCGAACGTTTCGAATCCACCACAGAGTCAACAAGTGACTCTAAACACTCACTCAGCATTCCGGTCAATGCATTACGACCAATCTGGCCAACCATAACCGAGGACAGCCCCGGCTCAACTACATATGACCATGGTCTTCATGCCCAACCAGACCACAAAATACAGTGCAACAAGACTGCGACACGCGGCACCCAAGATCATGTGGTTGAATGGCGTTATACAGACGATATTGACCCTGAGTTCTCAGCGGCCGATGAGTTAGAAGCGGCTGGTCGTGGACGTGCTACTGGCAACGGAGAGTTTGTCAGAAACTTGAAGCTGGGTGACGTTGTTACAGTATGGGGCAGGGCCAGGTTTGGAGCATGGCATAATCAGATCAAGAGAGTTGAACTGAAGGTTTACTGGAAAGCTGTATAATTTATCACATGCAGATTTGATGAGGGACGCTGGTGCTACTCGTACTGTTGCAGTCTCTCAATGGGACTTGGGAGCTTTCCTGTTACAGTAGGCACTATCAGAGGTCTCTACAGGATAACACGCAATTGTGAGCCTATCTGTTATTAACCCCAATCTACGAGACATTCCAGTGCATTGTTGTTACCCGGAGCTAGCTATCATCCCGTCTTGAGTCTTGCATGTGGGCTGTGTATGGCAAATAACGCCATGACTTGGTTACTTAAAACTATTCTTATTCAAATTGAAGGCAATTTTGGAATTCTCAAATTGTACTGTTCTTATTATCATCACAAAGTCCGTGTCCAGATATCTATCAGTATATTTGCATTTTGCACAGTGGTAAAATATTTTTACAAAGGTCTTTGAGGGCCCAAACCGCAGTTGAAGTAAGAAGCTGCGGTACGCATCCATGCCATTCTACAGCATTTTCCTTAGGAGCACACGGTAGCTCCTAGAGAGACCTTTGTGTTGCTCGGAATCCTTCACTCCACCGGGAATCTGGACTATACGACATAGCCTACAAGCTCGAAGATGACCTGGAAAGCATATTGATCTCCAGACTTTCAACAATCACATTGACATCTCAACAGCATCATCTAAATGGTTACTCCCACAGCCCAACTATCGAGGCATGCAACGCAGTGACATTGACGAGGTCTGCACACAGATCCTGAGAGAGCTTCGTCCCGGTCAACCTGTCCCAATAGATCAGTGGGGTCAATATACAATGGTTACTGCTGGCTCCATGGCAGGAATTCAAAAAATCGGTCGACTACCCCGAGAGCCCATATGCTGGAAAGATATACGGTTATTCAATGTGTGGAAATTCTTCAACACAATCAATCATCAAAGCCTCTGAAGAGAAGACGTCAGTGTAATCCTGCTTAGTGGCACAACAATAGGAGTACATCACTGGTGGTGTTTAGTTTAGAACCTCATATGTCAGTTTACGCAGTTTCCTCAACACTGATGATTGGTCTCTCGGTATGCCAGTGTCTTCAGTATCAGAGTGCATGGGATATAGTAGTATTCATCATGGACTCAGTATAATTGTATAGCTATCCGAACACCTTTCTCTTCCCCAGACAAGGGTGGTGTCTGTTTTCGGCCATTTAGATTGGATTGTGCCGTTGAAAAGGACCGAAAAGGACCTGGTATGGTAATCAAAGCCCGCACTTACCTGCGGCAACGACTTGGTGTACATTCTGGACTTGCTGTGCCTATGCTTGGGAGCCAAGTTGCTACGCATTACCGGCATACCCCTTTGAGAATCCGGGCGTCGAAGAAGCAAAGTATGACGAGGTTATGGAGCGTATAAGCGGTTATGATTCCATTCAGGAATCCCGCTTATTATGGACCAGGGAGCGCCAAGGCATACGAGAGCAAAAAGATGGCATTGCACCGAGAGCATTACAACGATAGCAGAGGTGCTGTCACTCAACGCCGTAACGGCTGCAGCTGCGCCGCCTTACTGCCACACTCTTAAATAATGAAAGCCCGAGTTCTCTAAATGGCCACCAACAACACGGGTAGCGCAGGCTTGGATTTCAGATTGTTGAATCAAATGATGGGTTCCTTGATGAAGGCTCTGAGGCGAGTTCATTTTCTTTGGCACGTCAACCGTGTCTAACCGTCTCTTTCATTGGTGTCTTCGTCTGGTAGCGTTGCTTCTTGCGCTCCTAATCGTTCACCTCGGTCTGTTTCGAGATGTAATATAGAAAACTGACCCTATCATCGTGACGCTAGGGCCTACGTGATCAGCGTTTAGACAATTAAGTGTACGTGGTAACGATAATAGTCTAGCTATTACTAAGTTTATAAACTAGTATATAAAGGTTTGTGATAATATCGAGGCCTTTAGTGGTGATCCAAAGAGAAATAGGAATTCCGCCTAAGGTCATCATTGCTGTCTTTCCAAAGTCATTGATTAATGTTTATAATAATCATTACGACCGGTCAAAGTGTAGGAGCCAGCGACATTAGTTTGCAAATGATGGCATGTGGGGGCGAGTTTGGCGCTTCGTCTTATTAAGCAATGTGAATTTTCGTAATGAGGTGACCGAAGGTCTTGAGTTGATTTCGCCTTACTAGTTTGACGTCCGGTGCTCCTGATTTAAGGTTGAATATAAAATTAGAAGTTGTAGCCAACCACACCGCAGCCGCTTCTCAAGAGGCAGGTTGTATTGAGGACGATTATAGTGAGAGTGTGGAGACTTTGAAGTGTCTACATACAGGAAGCGCCATTTGAGCTACCCACTAACTTATCAACCACTACTACTGCTTTCGACTGTACAAATTGCTATGCCCCTCGTTTCGCGTAGCCCTTTGAACAAATTGGAGGAAAAATTTGCCCGCATTGAAGATTAAATCAATTATTAACTCGTGTCTAGGCAGGACGGCCACCCTCTAGTCTAGACTTCAGTAGTATGAAAGAGTTCACGGCTGGGCTGCGCCAACAGATTAGCGATCGCCTCATGACTACGGGGTCCTTCGTTGTTTCGGCTGTACACTCGGAAGGTCGCCTTCACTGTGACCGTTGTGGTGGTTGTGGGATTGAATGAGCAGCAAAGGCGACAGGTTCAGACGGAGAGTTGTGTGATCACGATGGACTAGACCACATTGCCAACCCAGGCATGACCACCCTTGCTACCGTGGTCAATATCAAGCAGAGGGTTTTGGGATTAGATGTACAAATATTTGTCTGAATCTCGTTAGGCAGTTATTTAGTCAACTCATACAGAAATTAGGGTTTTCTTCTTCGTTTCTTCTTTCTTTATCTTCTTTTCCTCGCGAGTCAAGAGCAAGCCGATGGCAACAGAAGAGAAAAGCGGCAGCATCCAGATTGAAGTTGTGAGTAAGTGGATATATCTACCTGGCTATAGGCCTGTGCACGTACAAGTGACTGAGGCTACTTGGCAAGACCATTGGCATGAGCCCCAATTGGAGTTATTCAAATGAAGGCAATTTCGAAAACAAAACTCTACCGTAGCGCAGGCTTCGCTGAGCGATACGCGTAATTGCCAAGTGTAAGAATACGACCAACGGCAGAGTCGAGAAGGGCTGGTTTCTCCAAACCCATGGGTACAACAGGTGTCGCTGAAAGGTGCGACGCAGGAGTTATCCGGGGGATGTCGCACGGATGTTTGAAACAACGAGCACCCGTCCTAGGTCAATAGGCTCGGCGTTTACTGGGGGAGACTCCAGAAGGCTGATGGGGTCGGTCCCAAATGATTTGGAAGTGAATCTGTCATCTGAACTCTATCTTCGGTAACGACCGGATCAGCGCTGCACTGACCACTGTTGACAGTTCGGACCATTCAATCACTCCCTTTCATATTTGATTACTGAAGCTTGTTGCGGTGGTGTGAGTGTTATGAATAGCACATTGGGGGGTTTTTTCTTCTTCGCTGGCTACACATGCCGGCCAAGCCTCGAATATTTCCTGGGGTCAGCGCCTGACTTGGGATCTCACAATCCTTCATTTGCAATGGAATCACCAAAGGCCAGTCCGGACCTCGGTGCAGCCAAGCTCTCCCAAAAGAAATTGCGCTGATCTGAGACCCAAAAACAACTCCTGACATGCCGCCGAGCCTTTCACAGTCGCAAAGAAGCTCGCCAAGATCTCTCAGGAGGCTCCAGCGCATTGCTTAGCGGGCTTAGCATGCTGTAACGGTCGCTAGGGGCCTTTTTTACTTGGCACTTGTCGCTTGTGCCAGCGGGGAACAGCTTATTGGGGATGTAGTGTCTTGGCTGGTCATATTTTCAGCGTCTTTCCAGTCAGTCTTTGCTGGGAAACTGGCAGCTTACTTTGCTGACCATGGACCCAGTACTCCCTCTGCCGATACTAACTCTCGAATTTCTTGTCTTGAGGTGATGGCAGCAGACCAAATTGACGCTGATGCGACCGTTAGAGATTGTCAAGCCCATTGCTTTGTTCAGTCCCCGACACCCCCCCATCCTACCAGAAGATCTATTCCAAGTCTGCCAACTAGTTATGAATTATGGATGCAAATTACAGTCGTCCCTTGCGGTGTCAGGGGGCTCATATGGCTGCCGAGCCAAAGCCAAGCAAACGGCTGCTGAGGGGGAACCCAATCCAGTGGGTGCCTTACTCCGTCCAAGAACCGCGATGTATCAATGTCGTACGATTTTTGACTGCCTCCTCTACAGGGCATGGTGACGTGTGCTTAAGGAATCACGTATGCTTATGTTCAGCCGCCACGACGGCCATGGGATTGTTTGACTTGGTATAATCCTCAATGGTGACCACGGCTACGGATCTAGCCTCAGGCGCGAGTCCATCCTGATAGACGCCTGTCGAAGTCCTGATTTGCCACAGGAGGTTCTCACAAGCCCTGCAGAATATTGAGAACCCCCGGACAAATTTTAAGTTAGATGAATGGCTCGTTACGTAGAGGTTTGAGTCGGTAGCCTCAACTTAACCCCTACCGTCAACAGTGACGCCAAGCTCACCCTCATCCTGGTATAACCACAATGACCATATTCCCCCTGGCAGTTATACGACCGCTTACTCTTATAAAGAGCCTGCGCCGCAGTAAGGTAAGAGGCACGCCCTGTTTGGAGCACTAAAACACTGCCATACCTTTCTCCATTCGACTGTCCATATATTTTATCTCGCTCTGTGAGCTTGAGTTCAATCGTTATCGTCTATTTCATTATCATTCATTCAGCCTACGTGTAGTACTTGAGCATCTTCATCTTTTCTTTATTCGTGTCCTCTCCCTACTGAGTCTTGTCGAAAAGAGGACTTTGAAAAACGGTCTGTATTGTGGTTTGGCAGACATCTTCGAGCGAAGTGAATTTACTCATACTGTTCCGTGCCGAGCAGCCTCTCGCAATCATTACTTAAAAAAGAGTTTCCCGCAAATAAGCAAAGGACATAGAACAATGGACTCGACAATGTCGAAGCTCCTTGTGCTGGCAGCCATTGCTATGCCAGTGCTTGGGTCTTGTGGATCGCGTACGCATCTTTCCACTCGAGCGGAAGATGGTGAAGTCAAAATCAACACCTTTGGTTATGCCGGTGCAATTGTGAGCCCGAGTGGATTCTGATATGATTAAGGGCCGGTAACTAATACCTGCGCTAGGGGCCTGAGAACTGGTTCGCTCTAGACACGGCGAAGAATGGCTTATGTGCCACGGGCACTCGTCAGTCTCCAATCGATATGGTCGAAGGCCAGTTCCATGTGCTCGACGCGGCCGATATTGTTCTCGAAATTCCTGATCAGCCGGAGGGAACCGAATTTGAGAACCTGGGAACGACGGTTGAGGTTGTAATGGAAGGCAAGGGAGGGATATTGGAGTTGGGAGGTATCGAATATGAACTCAAGCAGTTCCATGTCCACAACCCCTCGGAACACCTGGACAATGGCAATTTTGCTGAGAGTAAGCTTCTACATGATCACCACTGCATTGTAGTGTCTGGATGCTGACCCAAGCCCTGCAGTGGAAATCCACAACGTCTTCGAGAGTGCTGCTGGCGAGCTGGCGGTCGTTGGTGTATATGTCGAAGCCGACGTGGGAACGGCGTTGACGGTTGCGGCGAGACGCCGGCGCAACGTACTTGCTGAGGCAATCGCGGGAACCAACTTTACCATCATGCCGTCCTCGGCCTTGCCTCAGACCAACGCCGTGTCATCGCCCATGCTCGAAACAGTCTTCGAATCCGTCGAAGAGATCGCCACGCCGGGCACCAAGGCGACTACCAAGCCACTGGTGTTTTCTGAATACGTTGCCGCTCTCAAGGCTGGCACCTTCCAGACGTAAGTGGTGCTCTTCAGATACGCGGATGCTTTGATCGTACTAACTTCTCATGATAGGTACTCGGGTTCGTTGACGACGCCTCCATGTAGCGAAGGTGTGAACTGGATGGTGGCTACTCAGAGGCTCAAGGTGTCGCCAGCTACTCTGCACCGTGTAAGCAACGTGGTCAAGTTCAACCGCAGAATCACACAAAATGCGCTCGGAGAGCCGAATGTCTTGTCATTCGCTGCTGGCACATTTTCCAAGAATGCTACTGTCGTGTAACGGCCATGTTGCGTACACGGGTGGATCTGCAGATGCTGGGCCCGGAGTTGCGAATCAGCCCTGTGCTACTATGTACATCCTTTCATAATCATGTTGAATAAGGCGATGTGTTGGCTGGATAATTATCGTAAGCATGCTTGCGAGCGAGCAAGAATAATTTAGAAGTGTAATTTAGAGATGGCCCAAGACCAAATACATAAGAGACATACCGCTTTCACAAATCTTGTAAGCAGTGAAAGCGGATCGGAGGTTAGACTAACTTAGAGTAGTGTGTTGAATACTTTTATTTCTGGTAACTACTTGCGTACTCCTCATGTACACGTTGTGTTGTGCAGTACCCAACAGTTCGAGATAGTGCAGCGCTGATCGCGTACTTATACATAGCTGAATGACGCCACTGTTGCATAGTGGGGCCTTGGGGGGCCTTTGGGCATCCGGAGCCATGCGGTCCAGCGCTCTAAAATCTTTTTATTTTTATTCCGAGCTTGAATCGTAACATCTAGTTCGACGGCTGGTGCATGTTTAGAATCGTGACAAATCCGCCATGTCCCAGATATAGGTACTTTGTTTTCCTACAGGACTCTGGCTGCAAGGTGCTTTATTTCCAATAAATAACTCGAAAGAGAGAACAAGCACTTTCCTCCAAGCTCGCGACTATGTCGTCGTTCCTCTCGCGAGCGGCATCGGACACCAAGATCCAGTTTGCGACAACCGCCATTGTGTCCGGAGCAGTGGTCGCAGGCACAATCCTCGGCCTCCAGCGGCTGCAGCGAGAGTCGCGCATCCATCGCCTCAAAGACTCCATTCCCGAGCTTGAGAACGACGATGCCATCCGCGAAGTACGTTGGGCCCTACCGAGTCCCCGCCAGCGAGCGATTTCGCAAAGCTTGCTCGCTAGCTCGCTCCCTCGCTGACTTGCAAGACTAGATAAATAGCTTTGGCGGCGCCTCGACGAACCTGGCCGACGACGAAGACCGACGGAACGAAGAACTAGCCCGGAGGGCGCAGGCCGGCGACTTCGACGACGAGCTGATCCTCGAGCAGCTGGCACGAAACAAGGTCTTCCTGGGGCCTGAGGGCCTGGACAGGTTACGGGACGCCTTTGTGATAGTCGTCGGTTGCGGCGGTGTCGGCTCCCACGCCACGGCCGCCCTGGCTCGATCCGGCGTGTCCAAGATCCGCCTGGTGGACTTCGACCAGGTGACGCTCAGCTCTCTCAACCGGCATGCGGTCGCCACGCTAGCGGATGTGGGAACTGCGAAAGTACAGTGTCTGAGCAGAAGGCTCAATGCCATCACACCGTGGACCAGGTTCGACCTGAGATTGGAAAAGTACTGGGACCAGTCTGCCGATAGACTGTTACAGCCGTGGGAAGAGAACGGACAAAAGCCCGATTTTGTCATCGATGCCATCGACAACATTGACACCAAAGTATCACTATTGGAATACTGCTACAAGCGTGACATCCCCGTCATAGCATCTATGGGCGCTGGCTGCAAGAGTGACCCCACCAGGATCATGGTCGGTGACATTGGAACTAGCACCGACGATAGGTTGTCTAGGGCTACGAGGAGACGGTTAAAGATCAAGGGCATCACCAAGGGAATTCCCACCGTGTTTTCTACAGAGAAGTCTGGCGAGGGTAAAGCCGAATTGCTGCCTCTGCCTGACGATGAGTTCCAAAAGGGCTCAGTTGGCGATCTTGGAGTCATGCCAGACTTCAGAGTTCGCATTCTGCCGGTATTGGGAACTATGCCTGCGGTCTTCGGATACACAGTCGCGAACCATGTCATACTTTCAGTTACAGGTAAGTCTCGTGCTTTTCACTATTGCAATTACCAAGCTTATTTCGTATAGGATACCCAATAGACTATGCTCCAGCCAAGGGCAGAGACAAGATGCATGACGGTATCCTGGCCGCCCTGCAAGGTAGTGAAGAAAAACTCCTTCGGCACATGACTCCAGGTCATGATTTCAGTGTCGCGCTTGGTCTGAAGGTTCCTATCACCATTGGTGATATCTCGTTTTTGACAGAAGAGATCTACAGGGGAAGAAGTGTTGTAACGGGACTTTCGACAAGACTGCAACTTCTCAGGTGGCGTAAGCCCACAAGTCCCACCCTCATCAATATTGAGGGTCAGAAATCCAGCAATGTCAAACTCAGTGACCTGGTTTGCATGACCAAGGACGAATCCGCACGACACGAGAAGGAGATCCTGAAGGGCGACAAAGCACTAGCAGATATATACGACCAAGAGACGATAGACAAGGTAGAAGGGCTACTCAAAGAAGCGGCCAAGTATGAGAAATATAGATGATGGGTGTTAGCATTCTTGGCCAGCCTGCATTCTGGCCTTTTTTTCTCTTCCCTTCCTTTTTTTTTTTTTGTCTTTTGTGGAGCATTGAGTTGGCATTTAGACAATCACATACGTCAATGAATACCTTACAAGACGCCATACGAGATGCCCATTGGTTTTCGTCGACAGAATTGATTCTTAATCAACCTGTTCGTGGCATAACCTTATTTTCTATGGCGCTTGGACACAATTATCTGGAGATGAGAACTGCTAACCCAGAGATTCAATGCCGCGTAGTCACCAAGACTTTCACATCCGAAAAAGGGGTAACTAGGCCATCACTTGATTGGTGGTTGTCCACAAGCAACAATGCTACCTTCCTGGTTCATCATAGCATTCCGCGGGGTGCAGTGGCTTACATAAAGCGTATTGTAAATTGCCAAACGACCCAGGAGACTACCATGCGGTTAGAGGTCTAGGCAGGAGCATCGGGATACAAGAGCACCATCCTAATTGAGCCAATGACGAACTATCGGCAGCCTATTCCTCAAGATCATTCATTGGGCCAATATGGCAAACAAGCGATGGAGTGCAACCAAGCTCTGGCAAATTTGACGCCTGAGCTTATCTACTAAGTGAGGTGGTACTAATGTAAGAAAGTCTAAGTTTCCCTGCGAAAAGGTTTTGGGTTTGCTGGGGCGTCTTCTATACTTATAGTAGAAGCCCTCTGATGGGAGACATAAGAGCCGGCCGAGCTCTTCGCTAGCAGGACAGCTCGTCAATCTCACTTCGGTGGTCGTAGCCTGCCCTGGTCAATGCCGCTTCAATATTATACCACCTGATGTCCTCTGCTCAAATTGACTGCACCTTGTCTACAGTCATCTTCTACGAGTACAAGCAGTTCGAACAGCTGTGCTGTCAACCCCGTGCATAGGTGTTCACCCTGAATATTCGTTGTCACGCAAGCCGGAATCATGAAGTACTCACGGACTTTGGGCCTCCTGAGCCTGGCCTCGCTCTCCCAAGCTTGCCTCACGGAGGATGAGCGAGCTGGTGTTGTCAGACGTAGTGGGCGTATTGACCGTCGTGCAAATACAGGACTGGCAATCGGCACAGGCGATCGGTTCTCGGCAGGGTCCAAATTTCCTCGGGGTTTGGGCACACAGGCAGCCTCTACGGACCCAGGTTTGATCTTAAACGTTCAAGAGATTGAGAGCGCCCTCTCCGGATTGGCCAAAGAGTACGGTCTTGAAACTTTCACGACTCCCTATCAGACATTCGAGAAAAGAAGCATTCACGGTGGGAAGACTGGAAATGACACGGATGCGATTAGTGTCTACATCAACGCCGGTATCCACGCACGAGAGCGTGGTGGTCCAGATAATCTGCTTTACTTCATCTCCGACCTGCTGTACGCGAACAAGAACAACGTCGCGTTGACATATGGTAGCAAGAGCTACACAGCCGCCCAGGTCAAGACCGCTCTGGCAACCGGAATTGTCTTTGTCCCATTGAGTAACCCTGATGGAGTTGCCTACGACCAATCCTCAAACAGCTGCTGGAGAAAGAATCGCAATACTGCATCTGCTACATCCGGACAGGCCGCCACCATTGGTGTTGATCTGAATAGAAACTTTGATTTCCTGTGGGACTTTCCAAGTCTTTTCGCAACTTCTGTCGCCTCGGGTACTGCCTCAAAGAGGCCGGCCGCAGAGGACTACCATGGCAAGGCTGCCTTCTCGGAGCCAGAGACGCAGGGAATCAAGTGGATTTTGGACGAGCACCCAAACCTTGGTTGGTTTCTCGACCTTCACTCCGACGCAGGCACTGTTCTCTACAGCTGGGGTAGTGATGATAATCAGAGCACAGACCCCAAGATGAACTTCCTGAACTCGACATATAACAAGGCTCGCGGTGTCTCTCCAGACCGTAGTGGCTACGTCTACTCAGAATACACACCAGCGGCTGACTGGGCCTTGAACCTCGAGACTGCACAGTCCATAGGCCAGTCTATGATCGCCACTACCGGCCGCAAGTACTCGGTGGAACAAGCATCAGAACTTTACCCGACTTCAGGTGCAAGCGATGACTACTCCTACTCACGGCATTTTGTCGACCCCAGCCTGAGCCCGGTTCATGCCTTTACTGTTGAGTTTGGTTTCAGTAACAGCCAGGCTTCTTGTGGATTCTATCCCACTGCTGCACAATACAAGCAGAGTATTCTGGAGACGGGAGCTGGTTTCATGGAACTGCTGCTCGCCGCTGCAGCAAATCCTGCATGAGAGGTAGCAAGATGACAGAGACCAGCAAGCGGAATGGTCGGAATAATCCGTGGTTAGCGGCCCTGCATAATAACAGCGTACAATAAAGCTTTGATCCGTATGATTTCGGCTTCTTTGAATCCCTTTCAGGTCATGGTGATTTGATTTAAGCGATTGTATTGTAAATACGGGGTTTGAAGAAAGTAAGCCGGATGAAGTGTCCAGTGTGATTTTATAATCTAGCTCAACTCAATATGTGGTTAAACTACCCACGTCTGTAACTATCAACGGCATTTGGCTAACCCCGGCGTTCTGACCATGCCCATACGCCCCGGGTGCGTAGTGCTAACTCCATAGCCCGAAGTATACTGGATAATTGCGTCACAATTTGCAATCTCCATGATTTCCGTGTGGTACGAAGGAGGCACTGTTCAAGACGCTCGCCGACAAGTTCCCGACAGGTTCGATCGCGCTCGCCGAAGACGTTGCCGAGGCTCACCTGTATACTATGAAGGACCGTGACTGCACGGGCGAGGTGATCAAGACGAGGAGCGGGGCGCATTTGATCTAAGTGGTTGCTTGCTAAGATAGCAAACGCCTCCGAGGCAGCAGTTGTACGAGCTTGGATACTTCTAAATGTCGTCACTCCCTATCTGAACTCTGCGAATAAATTATCGTGCCCTGATGGGGGATACATGGAACTATAGAACTCAAAATCAAGAGACCGTTGCAGTCATGGTAATAGCATTATCGATACAATATTCTTCTCATGTCCCTATAATTCTGACCGCACCTAAGACGCTTTAATACCCTTACAATAAACTTGAAGAAATTTTTGGGATGCAAGATACAATCTCTTATCCAACAATTCATCGAAAGGTCTAGACGCCAGCGGGTTTCTATGAGCCCTGCCAGCTGTGAGGTACGCCCAGAACAGTGGTTATGTAGCTGATAATTAGACTATACAAACTTATATGTCCGGCATTCACCAATGGTGCAATTAAGTCTAGTAGTCCCATTCATGCGTGCCAGGTAATCTAGTACACGCTATTCTCACTAATGGCATAATAACCGCCATAGACGAAAAGCAACAGCTGATTTCTCCTGACAGGACTTCCACGGCGGACGAAATTGGTTTAAAATTGTAGAGAAGGGACGATACCGTTCTGAATAGGCTATCCGAACGATTTTGAAACGTGGTGTGACGCGTTCTGATCATATAGTTCAACTCATCCAAAATTAATAAGTGCCTCATAGGTCCCGTCCCTGGTATATTCCCATGTCGATCCACGATCCACGATCCACTTTTCTACCACTATTCCAACCTTAGATTTCCTATAAATGAACCCGCCGCCAATGTGCTGAAACGCCTCGCTCTGGTAGTTGTCATCATCGCAACTCCGGTCGTAGGCCATACTTCCACCGCACGGTTCAACGATCTCAACACCTCTCTCGATAGATATAAATATAAAGTTGACGTCTATGACGGATTGGATTTCACAGATTTCTGTACTAGAAACAAGGATTATTCATTGGAAAGACTAAAATAACCAACGGTTGCGTAACTAGATTACAGAACCCCCAATGAGTTCACCGAGGTACTGTTCGGCCTCAACCCAACATCTGGCCACATCATTGCCCTTTACGACACGTCGCACATCTCCGGTACGCCCGTCTCCGCAATAAACACCTGCGGGTCCAGCATCGCAAATTTCGACCTAAGCACCTCGAAACTCGGGTCCGCTTCGGCGCGCGACGGCATCGCCTACGCTCGCTGTACTTCGGGTGCAGGAGCAACGCTAGGATAGCTTTTTAGTCGATTCCGTACCTGCGTATTTACCGCCAGACACCGGGGGATATGATATCGGCTGTCTTGTCTACATATAGACTCTCAGGGTGTCGAGAAATTCTGATTCGTTACGGCCTTGGTGTTCCCTTTCTGTGGCCCCCTGCCCAGACTGGTTTCTTCAGAGGATCGACGTGGTTCAATGACCGGCGGTTTACTGTCTATCCGAAACCGAATTTCCATAAACAAGAAATACAATCGAGGTGGATGCACTGAAACGAGGTTTTCTAGGATGATTCGCGCTGCAGCAGGACTGGATCAGCGGTCCTGAAGATGCGTTTCTGGACCTGGGATGGTACCGAGTCCTGTGATACGCTTCCCACCGTAGATTGGGGACGAGAAATGTTGGGCATCATAAGTCAATATTACCCTGGCTATCATCAACAATTGTTATTAATACTGTTAGGTATGTATGACTTTAGAGAGTGACCCTCCGTTGGGACATGGAGTCGGATTCATTGTCACTGTCGGGAACAACCTTGTGAGGTTCTGACCGTTCGAGCCACAAGAGCGAATCTGGTTTATATATTCAATAATGGAGCGAGTCGACTTGTATGACACCTCATACAATCATTGATTTTATACCGCGACTTCCCAGTGGTTAGGATAAAAGCGAACATTGATCTCTTGAGCGTACTCCACATCGAGGCCATACGCTAAATGTGGCACTCCGAAGTCATCAATTCCCAGCCATCGGTCTTGAATATACTCTGTTCAGGGCTAGTTCGACTATGATATGCTTCGAGATAAGTATTGAGCTAACTCATTCCATTTCTCCATTTCCGTGTATATGAAAAACTCTCAGGAAGGAAACACTCGTGCAGTAAAACGCCACAGTATTTCGTTCCTAGGTTAGGCGTTTTCTAGCGTAGTGGAGTGAGACTGTGGATTGCCAAGCATCCGCCTTTGAATTAGGTAATATAGTCTGTTGCAAACACCAGATTTTCATCGAGCAACAACCAACTCATCCGAATTGGTGTAACGGTCAACATTTCGCGTTTTCATGATACTTCTTCAAGATCATATACCGCGGAGCTCGGGGTTCGATTCCCCGATTCGGAGTTGAAGCGCCTCTGGCAGCGCAATCTTTTGCTCTCTAATCTCCCCGGGTTTCACGCTTTTTCTTTTTTAACCTCCATCTTGGCTTTGTAAGTGGTAATTGCGGCACATCGTCATGCTACATCACCTGCCATAGAAGGTCAAGAAAGCGTGTTGGGATACAATTGTAAACACGCAATTCCTAATAGCATTACCACATCGTATGTAATATACTCTATTCTGATGCGGCCTATGCGTTTTAGCAACCGGGGCAGCTGCTTTCTCGTTCAACGGCTCCCTCGTAACTGTATGCTCTGCTCTTCGCTGAAGTTCTAGGTTGGCAAGGCAGAATTAGCACAGGGTTGAGATTGCGCCAATGTCCATACCTTTACCTCGTACCTACTTGGTTGTGAGCCGGGACCACTATACTGGGACAACTGGTATGAGATCTGAGATAAACGGTTAGGCGCACCTAGTCCCAGTGACTGGGCGAACATGCGCACGCATGTAAGACAATTGGATGACTTCATGGGCAGACTGCCCAGGCTGAAAGAGATGAACAAGTCACGATTCTGCCTTCGGTTCTTGAGGTTCTCTCAAACCAGTGTTATAAAACGCACCTGCCCTCCTCCTTCAAGTCTCTACCCGCGCGTGCTTCCCCCCATAGAGGTCAGAACTCTGAACTTTACAACGCGCAACATGACGACAATAAAACTACCATCCTCAGGTACTCCGGTGACCCTGCCGGACGGCCTCTCGCAGCAAACGCTGCAAGACTTCTCGCCTTTCAACGTGAGGCCATCCCTCCACGAACAACAAAGTTTCACTGACGTCATTATCTGCTAACAGGAAAACGCAGCGTTGGCTCGATAAACTGACAAGTTCCCTAAAGCTACAACACACAAACCAATCGCACCCCTTTCATGAGGAGCCATATGCGCTGCGCGGCATAACGATCCAGTCGTACGACCTGTTCGGCGGCGAGCGCCTGGGGTTCCTGAAGCTCAAGGCGGACGTGTCGAACGACCAGGGCGAGACGCTGCCGGGGGCCATCTTCCTGCGCGGCCCGAGCGTCGCGATGCTGGTGATGCTGGTGCCCGACGACGTCGCGCCGGGGAGTCGGGAGGAGGAGGACGAGAGGCACGTGGTCCTGACCGTGCAGCCCCGCGTGCCCGCCGGGAGCCTGGAGTTCGTCGAGCTGCCCGCCGGCATGGTGGATGGCGGCACGTTCTCCGGCGCGGCGGCCAAGGAGATCCACGAGGAGCTGGACCTGGTCATCCAGGAGTCGGAGCTCAGGTCCCTGAGCGACCTGGCGGGAGGAGGGGAACGGCAGGAGCCAGCGGGCGGTGAGGGCCTTCCCGATGCTATGTATCCGTCTGCAGGTGGCTGCGACGAGTTCATCCCGATTTTCATGCACGAGCGCCGCGTGGACAGGAAGAGTCTGGACGAATGGACCGGTAAGCTCACCGGGCTGAGAGATCATGGGGAGAAGATCACGTTGAAGCTGGTGAAGATGAAGGACCTTTGGAAGGAGGGAAGGCGTGATGCGAAATGCTTGGCGGCCGTTGCTCTGTGGGAGGGCCTCAGACGAGAGGGAAAGCTGTAACTCCTTGCCAGACAAAACAAGCTTTGGGCATAAGCCTGAAAAAGGACATAATATGCCCTAAGGACGTTGATCCCAAACCATAAGCTCTTATATTGTACAGCAATGAGATCATTACGTTGGCGGTTCTGAAGGTCATGTAATTTGGGGACATACGGAATAGCATGGATTGAGATGGCTTAACATCCAGTGTCATGGAGATGGCAACTTGTAAAAAAAAAATTTTTAACAAAAACCCCTTTACAGAAGCCAGAGGCAATACTCTCATACTGAAAATCCAACTGCAATTGGATAGATAGCGGTCCATTGAGAAACTTGCCGCAGGAGAAATTGTTCGCCAGCAGTTTGTTCTAGTTAGTCTAAAGGCTAGGAACACCTCTCATAAGCAGAGAAACGGATGCAGGTTTACGAGTGAGCGCACCGGTATGCTCCATTCAACTGGGTATGTGATGTGAACAGATTGGGATTTGATGAGATTCATTTTGCACTAGCATGTCCAAACTGTGCGATTACCACATTCATGCGAAATCTTCTTTTGGGAGCACTATATTAAGCCTCTTGCAATAAGCACGAGAAAATACAAATAGAGTGAGCTGAAAGAGGAGAATCCAGGTAGTTCCTGTGAAGAAATCTAACCTTCGGAAGGGTATAGACATAAAAAAAAAACATAAAAAAACAAAGGAGGATTCAATGTGGAATAAATTAGCTATGCCAGTACAATCGGGGAAGCGCCTCAAACGCCGGTATATTCCACCCGCAGCTGGGGCGGTCCTAAACCACAAAATTCACTTCTGCTTATGCGTCTCTAACTCTATATCACAGCTTCTTCTACTCTTTCAGTGTTATCTGCTGCGACGCGCTCCTTCATCCTCGCTTCCAGGCCGCTGCCTTCTTCGAAACTACCTCTACGTCCCCAGTTTCTGGGTTGCCTCTTCAAAAATGCGCCCACGGACCCCAAGTAGCCCTCATGCCTGAGGAAGTATGCTTGCTTTTCTCCTTTACTCCAGAATTTGATGGCGTAGCTGAGCGTGTTCATAGTCTGTGGATGGCCTCTGATAAACGAGCCTCCAAAATATATGTTGGACAGGTTGTGTATCTGGGACTGCAGGTATGCGATCTGGCCAATATTGTTGGACACGGCGTAGAGGAGTGACCTCGACACGTCAGCTGCTGAGAAGCGCGACTCGACTGCATGCGTGGCTGACGACGGACGGTTAGCATGTCGGGAGGAGTGGTGATGGTGGTCATCTCCATTTGCCAAGCCACCGCTGTCTTCAGCTTCGGATTCGGCCTCACGTTTCATCTTGAAAACCTTTCCGAAGGAAGAAGCAATTGCCGTGCTCTTGAGGCCAATTTTGCCGTAGTCTGTTCCGTATATGTCTCCCACGAGCATGTCGACCTTGGAGTTGTCGCCCTGGGCGGCCATCTCAAGCATGTCATCGAACGACTCGGCAGGCGTAAGCAGGGATAGGAGACCCCAGAGTGTGCCCCCTCCAAGCGATGTACCGCCGACGCGCTCGTACGTTCTTGGGCCGGAAACCTTGAGCATGCTTACACCGGAGCCGATGTTGACTAGCATGTACGGGTAGATGTTCTCTTTGGGCTCTTTGAAGTGCATCGGGTCGGTCTCGGAGTAGGTAAAAACTTCGCGGGGGATCTCGGTAATGAAGAAGTCAAGACCTGGAGGAGCATGCGTGAGCTTCGCTTTCCTGTCTCGCAACGGGCCATGGTTTGATTGTCGAGACAGACTTACCTATTATCAAACACCCCATTTCATCCTCCCTCACGACATCCACACCTAGCCTTTCTCGGATCTTGTCGTAGAACTTGTACGCGCCCCCTCCTGTGGCCATGACAAGCAGGTCGCCAGATCTAGACTCATTGAGGGCCAATTGCTTGTCTTGGAGGTGCTTCATGAACTCGATACAATCATCGATGCGATCAGTCTCGAAGTTAAGGAAGTTGAGCCGACCGCCGGGTTCTTTGGAATGGGCCTCGCGCGAGAAGTAGACGAGCTTGGCCAGGGAGCCTCCAATCTACATGGTGTACCAAGTCGAAGTCAGCAGCTAATCCCAACCCGAGAGCTGAGCAGCCCTATAGAGGCGAGGCACGCGACCCAACGGGTTGAATGCGGTACTTACATCGACAGCTATGTGACTAACAACAGCTGTATGATTTGGCAGCCTGATGTCTTTGGTCTCATACGACCTGGTAGCTTCGAGAGGTGCGCCATTTCCAGTTGGGGAGCCCTCAGGCGTGTCTACTATGAATGCGCCCTTGACGTTGATGCGCACTGAACCGGGGCGCACGATGGTGCTGTCTATCTCTGCGGTGTTGGTTTCGGTGCGCGGCCTGCGACGAAAGACTGGCTCTTCTGTGCTGCTCGTGTCTGCATGTGCCTCTGCTCGTGCCTCTTTGTCTTTCTGCTCGTCTGTCGCTGCCGGGGTCGCGCCTACAATGGCAGCCTCGGCGCGATCGGCCTGATTGGTTTCGTTCGGCATCGCGGGGTCGGAGGTCCTGACACCTATTTTTTTGGGGGGGTTTTTGGAGGGGTATTTCTCAGGTGCAGGGAGGTCGCCAAGTACAGATTAGGGGGCTTTGTTAAAAAGTGTTCGGCTGTGACAGCCAGTAAATCCCTCGTTTATGAATGCATCAGAAGTCGAGGTTTTCGAGTGAGTGAGCAAGTGAGTGAACGAGTAAGAGGGAGAGGGAGAGGGAGGTAGAGAGAAAGCACAGTTGATCGGAACCTCAGATCTTGGGGCAATGTTCATGAAATTGTGTCTCGGTCGCAACTGGCAAACACAAGCACAAGCGCAAGCACATGATGATTTCCGCGCAGTGGATTACAGTACGGGGTAAGCAGGTCCATTGAACGTTGTGGAGTTCGGGGTCTTGTCTCACGGGTTACGGCATACGGCATACGGCATGCGACACGCGACATGCGGCATTGAGTTTGGGGGGGAGGTTGGCATTGCCGACTGTCATAACAGCTGCATGCTGTGGTATTTAATGAACATGTCGTTTATTTCTCCCCTTTTGCAGCAGAGCGCATCTGCAGCGTCGCACTGGTGTACATCATGGCCGGCAAATCCCCGTCTACCCCCAACTTAGCAGCTTCTATCGATAACGCTCAGCGCTCTGCCCTGCCCTGCCCGAACCCCAAGTTTATTTGCAGTAGTGAGCATTCAACATTAGTCTAAGCTTAGGCTAGCGAACCTAGTGCTAAAGCTGTTCCTTTTCTGTTTCGTAAAAAGATGTAACTTAGCTACTGCACATTCCTCCCCGCCTCCCCATGACACACCTGAAGCCAGTTTCCCTTGCAGCAGCGTCTGCATGTGGTAGTCTCATAAGAATAATATTTATATATATATATAATTATGACTCTGTCCAAAATGCTACGATAGATATGTCATGCTAACTGCGACCATCAATCGCTCATCCCTGTTCACTGCACAGCCTCAAGCGTGCATTCGTGCCAATCGTCTTTTTATTTCTGTTTGGTTGTAAAGTTCAATCAAGACCACAAGTTTTAGACCAGTAACTTCACTTAAAACAAGCAGTTCAGCAGAACGAAAATCCTGAGGCACAATATACTAGACATTCCTTTTGTAGAGAGATGTTTTCCCCTCAAGGAACCCACGCTCCTCCTATGCCCGAGAGCAAAAGCAAGACCTCATGTAATATCACTACTCGCAAAATCCGCAATCTCTACACCATTCAGATTAGCTAGGTTGAGCCAAAGGAGAAATCCCATGTTATCGTCTAGACCACAATCATTGCACTCTATAACACCCTTCACACACACTCTCTGTATCCACAGATTTGACAATACACTCTAGCATAGCGGCTTTTGCCCTCCTCCGAGCACGGCCATTTTCGACAAAGATGGAAGAGGACCATAGGCAGAAGAAGCAGAAGAAGAAGAAGAAGAAGAAGAAGAAGAAAGATTCATCCTGAAGGGAACTTACTCAGTTTGTCTTCTGGCTTCCGTCACTTCGCCACTGCTGATGGGACTTGACATGACAAGAGTGGCCAGAAAGGCCAAGGAGACGAGATATGTGGGAATCTTCATGCTGGAAAGATGATTCCAGAGTTGAAAGTTCTGGAATCGTGGATGAGAATGTTTTATGCGAGTGTTGCGGTTGAGATTGTGTGGCAGTCGACGCTTCTTATATGCCTCTTTCTTGTTCTTTTTTCTTTGTTCATTGTGCAGAATAGCAGGCGTATCACCAAGGCACTTGGAACGGTCCGTCCCGAGGTCTCAGGTATATTCACAATAACCATAGCAGATCATGTGATGGCGAGCACGGCTCCAGCTTTTAAGTGCATCGAAGGCACAGTAGTCTAATGACACAAGTCCGTCCACCAATGGCAAGCATAGGATATATGATCCCATAACTCATGAAGACGACGCGGCGTCCTAAATAATAGATGTATCCAATCATGAGACCGGTCATAATGTAACATCCCTCTCGTTGAACCACTGATTACGTGGGATGGTCCATGTTATCCTGCTGATGCTGTTTAGGAGTCCTAAAAGTCTTGTCATTTCACACGACTACGAAGAGCATCATCGCTGCGGGCCTAGGGTTAGAAACATTCCCTGTGGTTTACGCCAAACGATTCGAAGTTCCTTATCTTCACCCTAGCCATTGTACCTAGCAGCAGACTGCCTATCCTTTCAGTTGGAGTCAACGGTTACACATAATCTAACTGAGGAGTTACTATCGAGCAGTTAATTTTAAGTACTAAATCATGAGGAATATGTATTGCTGTGGTTCCTTGGGTTTGCTCCCATGCGCGGGATTTCGTCCGGATCGGTATACGTACTGCGGCCTATGCTCCTCGTTTTGAAATAGGAAATCAAACATAGCACATAAGTAAAGGGGGGTAATCAGATCACAGTATCACTTGCATGTTGCGCAAAGGTAAGACTTCTGTCGTTACAAGCAAGCATGATATACGTCTAGCTATATATATGAGAGTGTTACAAGCCAGCTGTGCGTAATCGCTCCTGGATTATGTGCTGATGAGTTCAGTTGTGATCGATCTGCATTCTATGGGAATATCTCAAACACGGGGAGGGATGACTGAACCTGCCTCCACTTTTATCCCATTTCTACCCTTGATGGTCTCTGATCATATCACAACGAGAGTGCACAGTTGAAATATTTTATGTATAGCATTACAAATATTGTAGATTCCCCCCAACGTCTATCAACGTAAATAATATCCGTGAATGATAAGGTCGAGATACCGAAGTTTCCCTCAAAAGTGGTATCAAATATAAGTAGTCATTTGTCCAAGTCCCACAAACACCAAACCCAAAGCGCAAGACTCCTATTCAAACCTACCCTTCGTAACACGTAAAAGACCCAAATGACTGTGAAGTAAGACTCCACCAAGCGCTAGTATAAATAAACAACAATGAGAACAGGGGGCATACACTACCGCTGAAAACGAACGTCACATCCTAGAAGAAGCCGCCGGCAGGGACCGCGACAAAAACAGCGGACAACACGGCGCTCGCAACGAGACCGATCATGACGCTCTGTACGAAGATGGTGTCCTGGATCTGCCGAAGCGCGGGCTCTTGGATCCAGACCTGGCGGTCAAAGACCTTGCGCACCAGGCTCCGCTTCTCGTACTTGACAATCCAGGGCTGCTCCTCATAGCTGTTGACGGTACCGAGCGACTCGAAGCTGTGCTTGCCGAGGTCCTCGCCCTCCTCGTCGACGAACAGCTCCCAGGGCCGGATATGCCTGTGGTGGAGACCGTGCAGCACAATACACATGCCCTTGTAGGACGCGACGAGGGTCGCGACGCCAATGACCCAGCCGATGGCAAAGAGCGCGCGGTAGCCTCGACCGACATGGCTCAAGGTCAGAATAATGGCGCCGATCGTGGCCAGGACAATGGTAAGGTAGCCGAGAACACGGGCGAAGCAGACACGAGCCGGGTTGCTATTACAAATCGACCACCGAACGAAGTTGGGGTGCGCTTGCTTGCGGAGAATGTTCTCCGTGGTCTTGACGATCAGCCGGAATGCCGACGGGTGTGTGGTGTATGCGAGCGCCTGCATGGTGGCCTGAAGCTCGCGGCCCGAAAGGTTGAGTTGCCGCGCGGCATTGGCTGCAAGATATGTGGCGATGACGCGATCGATCTCAGCCCTAAAAGGTTGAATGGTGACTGGTGAAAGGTTAAAAACGCTGTCCAGATGTTTGTTCCTGTATGTCTCAGACTTACATGGCTGCTTAGCTCCCGCGGCCGAGAAAGTTTCCTCCACTTGCGAGCGGTACGTCCCGTGAGAGGAGAATACAGTTGATGCATCGTCGTTGCTGCCACCAGGGGTCCGTGGCGGCGTTGTGAAGGGATCTCTGCTTTCAGAAATCTGTTCGCCCGCATTTTTCTCGAAATCAGTACCTCGAAAGATTATCGCCGCAGGTGGCTCTTTTCTGATCTTGTCGGCAGCATCCTTCATGATTTTTGCCAGTGTCCCGTCCTCCATTGTCTGGGTCCACTCCGGTGCCAAGAACTTATCCCTTGTCTGGGCCTCATGGAAGCGTTTCTCATAATCGCGGTGCCAGAGGAAGAACTGTAGGTTTTCCGCCGAGTGTTCAATATAAACTAGATAGTTCATGAAATCTCGAATGGTCATGGGCTACAAATGTTGTTAAAATGAGTACGATTATAATCGAAATTAGAACTTACTGGACAAGTGCCCCCACTGATGATCTTGTCAAATGTTAAAGCATCCGGAACTCCAGATGAATGACCAGATTGGCCTGATTTAAGTGACCCATCTTCTTTCTCCGAGAGTCCATCATTGCTAATGTATCGTCGGAATGAATCCCTGTCCACCAACTGGGGACGTCGATAAGTGAGTGAGAGGATTCCCATCTTGAACAATGATATCGATACTGGCAAAGTGAGACACTCTCCCGTTCGCAAGTCGATGCGGGGATCTCGAGTATATGTGTTGAGTCGAACGTTACGATTTAGTACGAACCGTAGGGTTGGAAGATGGTTGAACTCTGATCAGCTGGGATCGGCGGGTAGGACCTAACACATGTTCAGGCACGACAGGGCGTGAGTGGGCAACCACGAGATATAAAGTTTAGTGCTTGGACTTGCGGCACTAAAAGGGGAATCCCTTCGCGTCTAGTCGGACGACTCGAGGTGGATGGGCTTGTCTTAAGATGGGAACACCAAGTATGAATGGGTTCGAGAGGATACCTAGGATTCCGAAGGCCTCCCAACGTAAGAACTTGGTCCTCTAGCGATAAGATTACATATTAATTAATATGCCTAATATTTTACGCGTGAGGACGTTGTGGCTGTATTACGAAACCTGGAGACTGTCAGTGAGTAGATTTTAATCCGCTTGCCTAGAGCCACAGTAGAACCAAGACGGCTCGAACTAGCACGCTTGCGAGAGTCATCACGTTACAGTACATCTCACATGGGATAATGAACCGAGAAGACGATGTACCCTGGGCCCGTATTGGCTCACAAGAATTTTCAGAGGAGGAAGTGCTGAGTCCCGCCATGGTCCGGCACTACGTCTACTAGCAAAATGGTCAGAGCTGAAGACAGCAAGGTCTACCAAAGGAAAAGCCCGCCACATATATATCCACCTTCAATGGTGTAGGTCCCGATTGGATGATTGGTTGCACAGGCACCGATGATGGTAGCATCACCAAGGCCCGAGACTTACATAAATTTCGTCAAGGTTTGAATTTGTTATCATGGTATCCAACGGCGTGGATTTCATTTATTTATGTATATTTTTTGTTCTTTCATAACACCGTCGACCTTCCGATGTCAACGTTGAAAGCACTCATGGTCCACTAAATATATGCAGAAGAATCACGGCAATGATTTTATGTTTATGGAATTTGATATTGAGAGCAGCTGCAATCATGTCAAACGCAGGAACGATTCAGGCAGCCACAATTGCAGGAATAGAGAAAAAGTCATGACGTTTATAAGCGGCTGGAATGTACAGCGCGGGCAGGCTGTTCCATCTTTCCCGATTCAACCCACAACCATTTAGCTGGAAAATTAACGAAATGCAAGCTTATGCTTGGGCCCGTCTCGACTTGCCGCTTCATAGCCTTTGCAGATTGCCGATCGTCGATCGACGTGCATACCTATGCAGGTTGGTGGGTTCTTCATTCCCAAACCCTGCTATGGTTGTGAAGATGATAAATGAAGACTGAAACACGAGCTCAGATTCCGGCCCCTTCACTCTTTCTCAAGAAACTTACCTATTATTTCCATCATAATTTAACGAATAATTCTCATTTTGCTAGAGGACCCAAAAAAAGCAAGATCTCATAGCGTGGTTTAGCCTGCAAGACTAGTACGACGCCACGGAGCGCCTCCGCACACTACAAGCTTGCCGGGATCGTGGGCAGATGCCAGCGCCAGGCAAAAAAACCAAAAAAACCAAAAAAACCAAAAATTCCTATTTGAAGCCACGCTACAATATTTTCTTGCGCTTTACACTGGGTTGATGCTAGCTGATCAATCTCACGAGAAGTGCCGGACGACGTTTTGCTCTCCCCACGGACTGTGCGAGTTACTAAGCTTCTCGCCAATCGATGCTATCGTTTTCCTGGCACCGTTCTAAACATCTGTCATCCAAAGTCTCGGGATTATCGAGCTTCGAGTGCGGCGGCAACGGGTTGCGGGTCGTCCAAAGTCTAGATGCTCCCCGAACGGCGACCCCTACACTCAGTGAGCAGAGCCTACCTGGCTTACGTTTCATTGTTACGGTGCTACGGTGAGAGAAGATATCGATAGTGCATTTTTGTTCTGTGTGGGCCATGGCTGTCACGGCCGTTACACACCGTAAGACATTGCTACCCCTAATAAGCTATGCATGCCCCCCAATCCATTGGGAATACCCTCTTCAAATCCGAAAGAAGAGATTCCATCCAAAGCACAGCAGATCCCCCCAATTTCGGACTGACTGCATACGTCAAAGTTGTCACATGCACTATCAGGAGTCTGGGAGTCTCATGGCGTAGTCCGTGGTCAAGCACAACGATGACTCGCGGGCAACAAGAATACCAATGCGCAACCCGATTAGTATCGATCTACCGGCCAACATGCCGGATCGACAAGCTCACAGTGGGATCCGGGGTCCAAGTACTTCTCACGTGCCAGTACAGTACAACTTTGAAATGTCAACCTCGTACGATATTGTAGTCGAAGTGGCTGTTTCTACGTCTGTTCGCACGAATCAGTTGAGAAGAGCATCCGAATATCAACGGAACGGGTTAGTTGGAACGAGTCGTGAACTGAACGTGCGCCGTATACTAGTATATCCTGCCGTAGGTACACGTGTCTACCTAGTCGTCGCTTGTACCCATCAACTTGAGAGGTTGACGCAAATGCCAAAAACATTATCCAACCCAGTGAACTCTACATTTACCAGTGTTTTTCCTCAATGTTGACCGTGTTCACATCAATACCGCCCGTGAACCACCTCTCCTCGTCGCTGATTTTGACATCATTGCCGCTCATTTGCCGCTTCCTCATCAAGCCATTATCCGCGAACGTCCAATCTTCCAAGCCATATGTCCTCCACCACTGACCCTTCTTATCGTGCCACTCGTACCAAAACTGGACAGCACTATCGCATATGATTCAACATGACTGTATTTGAGGAGTCTGGGTTTTGTACTGACATTTTATTTCCTTCAAAAGCAAAGAGTTCCTTGCGTAATATGTAGCCATCCTCCTTTTCCCACTTCTTAGTTAGGAATTCAGCGATGGCATCGCGGCCGGTGAGGAACTGATCACGGTTTCGCCAGATACTGTCCTCCGTGTAGGCAAGCTTGACCTTATGCGGCTCTCTGTAAATCTGGTCTTAGCGATCTCCTCCCTTTGTGGTTACATCAATGCCATTCGAGCCCGGGCATCAGGGACTCACTTTGTGTTCCATGCATCCTGTGCTGCTTTCACTTTTATTTTGGCCGTCTCTGCCGTGAACGGAGGGTACGGGGGTCTTCCTTGCTCTGAGGACATGGTGACAATAATTTAGTGACCTGAAAACTTCTGTGGGAAATGTCTTCCGGGACTTCAAATGGGTATCTCGGGCATGCGAATAGGTCAGTGTGATCAAACACCTCGATGTTTGTTTGCTTCTTCACATTCATTAAGAGGCATTGAAAGCAGCGTCATCTTCGGTCTGTCTCAGTCTCGGTAGTGCCCGGGGCTCCACATTTGCATATGACTGTCCAAAGCAAACCCCGATACGCAGCGGGGCTTGTTCGGGATGTTCAATAGGCTAGGCATGGCATCATTTTCAAGGTACTCCGTAGCTGTGCAGAAGGCTGTGCTACAGGAATCCAATGGAGAATGGTTGATGCCCTTGAGCTCCATGTCGATACCATCTTGTTGCAATGTATCTGTTTCACGATCGCGTTGACGAGGCGCTCCATTTCGTCGGGGATAAATTTCAGATTTTAAAGACGACGCGTTAGCCAGCCCTCCTCGCTAAACCCTCGAGCGAATGCTGCTGTGAGTGAGATAATAGAAGACTTAGAGTTTCTTAAGCTCTTCTCACTACTCCGACGCCAGCCAGATACGCTGGCTTATATAATTGATGGATCACTAACCATCACCTAGTGGTGCTGCATGGCCGCCTCTACAATTGCCTTCATGATCCGCACCTGCGATGCCCTCGATGTAAACCTCGGCCTACAATACAGCGAGGTCATCTCGAGCACACCTACGAAGACAAAGAACAGCTCATCGACGAAGTCAAGGCCAAGAATCTGCCTATACCCAATTGCTGCGTTCGATAATAGGAAAGAAGTTGAAGTATCAATCATTCAGAGAGCCGACAATCCAGTTTGTACACATTTATGATCGCAACGACGTACTCAGATATCCACGGCACACATGATCGAAAGCGTGTCAATTTCAAATCTATACAATATTACAATATCTAATCTAACATACTCATTATGCCGCCCTCGTACTTTTACTCTGCTTCATAGTGAGGAACTTGGCACACGGGCTTAGTCTCCTCGGCCCGTTCGTTGAGAGTCGCATGATTCCGTTTGTGAAAGTCTCCGTGAACATGCCGAACCTTCTTTGCAGCGGCAGTGCTGGTGGTGCTTGAGGCGCTGGCTTCGCTCTCTATGCTCCTCGCACTCACACTAACACCCACTGTAGCCCCAATCCCATAGTATGCGCAATTGAAGTTCCAAGTCGAGGTGCCAGAGCTGAAAGATTCAAAGACGATAGCATACAGAGCGCTCAGCTTGATTGCGCTGTTCTGCGAGGTATACGCCGACAGCGGGATAGTAAGGAGTACGGAGCTGCCTGTCATGGAACCGTAGGTTGTACTCTCAACGGAGGCTGATTGGATTTGGCTCGCGTCTGCGCAGTCATTACTGCTACTTTGTAGCCTCACCTTGAACGAGGCGCCGGCGGTGGCGGTGACGTTGATGTAGAGGGTGTCGTACGAGGAGACATCCATGCAATTCATGAGTGAGTACCAGTAAGAATCGCTTGCCGCTGGCTGCAAAACTAGCGCGCTATTCCCAATGGTAGGGGTAGTCCTCATAGTGCCGTCGTCACTCTGTACGCCGCCTTGGGCATTTCTGCTCGCGGAGCCAGAGGCGCAGTAGTTGAGCCATGCGCTATTAGGGCAGCTGTTACAGGCAGCCGAGTCGTCGACTGTGGGAGTGAAAGCAGCAAGACTAACACAACCAATACGAATAGCAACGCCTGAGGGGGTGAAGCCAGAGACGGCGATGCTGTTCAGTCTGGCGATGTCGACGCCCGAGAATGCAGTGAAAGGGATCTGAGCGAGCTGGTATTGAGAGTTTGTAGCGTTGCCAGTGAAGGAGACGTAGGTTGTGATGGGGACCGTGGACGCAGAGGAGACGGTCGTGCACGCAGCGTTGGTCATCCAGCGGAGGGCTACTAGGAAAGTGGTGTTTGCAGGAGCTGCGACGGAGAGCTGGATACCTGTTGCGTTGGTGGCGTTATAGCAGCCAGCGTTACCGAATATGGAGTACCAGTAGGAATCCGAGTTGGTTCCAAGGGAAAGTCCACCGTCGCTAGCGACAGAGTAAGAGGTGAGGGATCCCTCGTCGGTGACTTCACCGGATAGCAGGTTAGTCCGCGGGACGGTTGAAATGAACGTGCAGGTATCGACGATTGTATCCGAGCAAAGCGCGCAGCCCGGGACACTATCTGCTCCAATGAAGACCAGGGAGTGAATGCGATAGGCGGAGCCGGGAGTGTTGAAGTTGGTCATGATGAAGGACTGGAGATACTGTGAATTGAACGGAGTCGGGAAGCGGGAGAAGGGGATAACGAGCTGTGTCGGCGCAGTGTTGAAGGAAATGGAGATGAAGTCACTTCGTGCGTTCAACTTGCATCCGGTACCGCCGTGTTTGAATCCAATGTCGGCAGTGGCACCCTGTGGCCCAGACACAGTGAGAATAATTCCGGTATTGGTGGAATCGATAGTCGCGCAGGCAGTCGTGTTGAATAGCGAGTAAAAGTACGACGTGGAGTCTTTGGGGACAATATTGATATATCCATTGGTAGTCTGGTTGTAGTACTGCATGGTGTTGTCATCTGAGAAAGGAGCGCCCAGGGCATTGGTCTGCGTTTTGAACTCCATGGGATTACAGAAATCTAGCACAACGTAGCCGGTGGCAGACTGGCAACGATTCCCTACGCCAACCACGTTGGGCCCGCCCAGGAGGGAGATCCATCTCACGGTGAATGTGTTCGTGGCAGCAGAGCCACCGTTGGGCGTAAAGTTGCGCAGCGTGATGAGACTGACGGAATCGGAATCGAGTCCAGAGAACGCCGACAAGGGAATTGTGACGTTCACATACTCGGAGGAGCTGAAAGTGGCGACGGTACCTGTATTGACAGTGGAGTTGCTATTTCCAGAGCCAGAGGTCACAACTACGTCAAACGAGCCACCAGAGGGGCCGCGCACACTGAGAGAGACTGAGTCGTAAGCCGTAGCGTTTAGGTTGCCTCCATTCACGACAGTACTCGAGTAGAAATACGAGTTCGCGCTTGATGGGACCAGCTGCATCTTACCCAGCTCCGAGAGCTTGGCGGAAGCCATGGAGTTGTCGTGGTCGGTTTTGCCAAAAATGTTGTTGATGCCGGTGATCCATCGATCCACGTTCTGGAAAGATTCGATAGCAAGCCCGTCCGTGAAGTCATCTCCTGGCGCGGTGGTGCATCGCTTCTGGAGCTTGATATTGTCGATATAGATTGGGGTGCTAGCTGGTGAAATGTTCACGATTTTCATGCCTCGAACATTGTGGAAATCCTGTCCGACGAAATCACTCAACTGGATCTGTACCGTGTGATTCGTCCCATCGAAGTTGGCGTAACTACTGACGTCCAAGTAAGTTGCACTTTCCTGCTCTGTGTTACATCCGGAGTCATACGAGACCAGCTGGACGAAGAAGCTGCTTCCAACTGGAGCGACCATATCGAAGAACATATGTGTGTAGATCGAGGCATCAAAGCAGAAGCGTGAGATTTCGGTATAGTAGCTGTTGACTCCAGAATTGGTATTCGCACTGAGCTGGAGCGTGCCGCTCACGATATTAGACGTCAGATCGGTTGCAATATTCTCCAAGAGAAGGAGATTAACGCCTTTGGCGTAGAAGTAAGGCTCCAGGAAGTCATCAATTGCGGCATCCCACGCTACGCATTCAGTAGCCGGCTGTACAGTGAAGTCTGGACAGGTGGACGCTGTGGATTGGTCCGTACTGATGGAGAAAGTAAGGGTGTACGTTCCCTGCGCTGTGTTGCGCAGGACGACGGCGTTGGTGAATGTATCGTAGGAGGGCTGCTGGCAGACGGAGAGAGACCCTGTCGTGGATTGAAAGACGTAGCTTTTTGGTACGTTCAAGGTCAGGCCTTCTGATGGGCCGTCAAGACGCACTGTCATGCTGACTGACGAGTCACTAGTCGCAGTGATGTCCACGAATGCTCTGTCTCGGTTGGTCCACCAGTTCGCAATTCCGGTTTGGTTGAAGAAGACTGCAAACGGGCGCACAGCGTCGTGAAGGGCGCGCTGGATTTGAATTTTGTCAAATATCGCATCCGAGGGATGGAGCAAAATGTTGTAGTGACCACCATAACGTGCCATCTTCTTGATACCAATCACTTGCTTCGAGAAGTCCGAGCCAGGAAAGTCTGCGCTGCTCATATTTCCATCGCCGTCAGACCATTGAAGCGGAAATTCGTAGTAGGGCAGTTCTTGGTATGCCTCGCGGTTGTGCCCGACTTGAAATGGGAGATGAGTAAGATGATCGTTGCCCGCGCATGAAGATCCACCAATGATTCCGTTGGCGACGCACAGAGAGGACTGGTACTTGTTCCAAGCAAGGTTACCAGGGCGATAGGTGGTAAGGTTGTAGTTCGTCTTGAACGCGTCGTTCAGAAGATAACGGATCAGAAACGCGCTCACACGAACTTCACCAGAGGCAGACGCGGCAGAGGTCCAGAATGAGAGCCCACTGGTTCCTCCTTGCGTACAGGTCTCCCCGTTATCGGGTGCCGAGTCCGAATTGCCTGTCCCGCACTGGTGAATCACGGGCGCATAGCCTGAGGTTGATCCCATAACAAACTGCTCGGAAAGGGTTCCATAGGGAAATTGAACGGCATTAGGTGAGTGGCTGACGGTGTGGCTGCCGAAATCTATGTACGGGTAGCCGTCGGGCGCCGTTCGGAAGCCAGAGATCTGATAGATATAAGGGACGCCGTACTGGAAATACGCGTTCTCGTAGGTATCTGAGATGTATTTGACATGGAGGTTGAGATTTCCCGCAGCGCCTCTATCCTGAGCTGCAGCCGCAATACCTTGTCCGTGCGGATACGAAACGTAGGTATCAATATCCCACGTCGTGGTGAACGCGAGACCCATATTGTTAGGGACGCTCCACAAGCTCACGAAGTGGTCGCTGGAAGATAAAATGTTCTTTACGATCCGAGTTCCGATATCGTAGCCGGGGTAATATTGCCCATCATAGTACTGCGCATAGTTACCCCCTTCGTTTTGGACCGAGATATAGAGGTATCCAAGGTCCACTCCGAAACTGTACACATGCCCGCTCGCACCCGAAGGCTGATACTTGACAAGAGCAGCGCTCGTAGCAGACGTGTCTTCGGTATCAACCCAGGCGTTGTTCACGCTGCTTCGAGTGAGATATTTCGCCAAAGTCTGCGCACCCGTTACCGGCGTATAGCCGACATTTTTGAGGCCTGTCTGTGTATAGTTCTCATAAAAGGGCATACTGATGTCGTAATAGTCTGTAAAGTTGAAACCTTTCAGAGCCTGTACGGTGGTCTCCGTGTTGGCCAAGTGCATGACGGACCTCGTGCCTGCTGTGTTCACCGTTGCCGCAGATACACCAGCAAGTGCCCACAGAGCCGTAGGGATCTGACTCATAAAGATGAGTTTGCCGCCGTTGCTTACAAAGGACGTGAGAGTGGCGACATCTGCCGTGCTCGGCGAGTAGGTCACATCATGAGAGGTGTAGACTAGCAAAGTTCTGCACTGGGAGGAGAAATTGAGGCTCTGGGTAACCTTGACTGGTATACCAACCGTCTTGAGGGAGTTGACCAACGGGAGCCTGTGGAATAGTCAATCAATACAATTACGTTTGTTTTGCACGAGTGGATCTTACCAGTTAGGGTCTTGGGTATAATCAGGTAGGAAGATGTTCAAGCCGGAGGCTGGTCCGCTGGCATGTCTGTAGAAACGTAAGCCGACATGAAAACCATGCAAATCGTGCAAGGGTACGCAGTCTCTCAAACATGATGCTTCTCCATTGAAAGTATCACGCATGCAAGCTATACAGATAGTGATAGGTATAGTTTGGGGATGGATGGAGGAATTTATTCCTAAGTATTTTCTTACCTCGATGCACTTGGGACGGTGGCAGGCTGGCTATCCACTCCTGGATCCGGACTGGATCCCGCGGGCTGTGTAACGGAGTATATATCAGGCGATGTGAAAGCCTGACATGTTTGCAGGAAGGCGAAGGCCAGCAAAAAGAAACGCATGTTTGCTGCCCGTTTCAATTGCATCGAAACAGCTAAAAGGAATGACAAGCAGGACAAATTATCAGAAGTCGGGCGGGCAGAACCTTTCAAGAAGTAATCCAACAGCGCCAAGGCCTCTCGGATCACTTTTTAGATCCCAATACGAGATGTAGTACAAACCAATTTTCAAAAACCAAAATAGGGGGTTTTAGTCACCAAATCAGGCCTAGACACTGTGTTCTGGCTAAAAAAAAACTACTGGTTTCTAGCCTGGGTGGGTCTCGCGCGCTACGGTCTTGGTTAATTTAATCGAGGCCCCGACTTGTTACTTAGATGGATAACAGGCGACTTAGCGGGTAACTTAGCATTGTCGGGTCCGCACTTACTTACCCCGCTTACCGCTATATAAGATGTTGGAAGCGAAAGGCTTTCAGCTCAGTTGTGTAGTGCCACTCTCGGGCAGAAGCTTTGAGTGTTTGTGGCGTCTTGCTCAATATTTTCGGATCTACAAGGAACAAGTGTATACATTAGCTAAATGTGTTCTATGCACAAAGGATCCATATCTTTAGCACTCCGGCTCATGACAGATATGTAGATCAGAGTTGGAGAATCTCTCAGCATGGCGGTGGCCGGCCAATTTGGAATGACAATATTGTAAGCTATAAAATTACTGCATGCCCACCTTACGTCAAACCCAATTCGATTGAGCAACAAACGCATGAGATATGAAAGCTATACGGCGATGTGGTACTTTGCCACCCAACTCTGACGACGAAGACCTATGTGGCTTGTTCGTCACTTTGAGCCAAGACTACTACGCCTGGAAAGGCACTTTACGTGCGGTGAAGGGCAACTACACCATCAACGTCGCGCGTGGCAAGACGAAAATGCATCGTTCGATTGTCATAATAACTGAAGGCGTGCTCAGTTCAGGCATGAGATCGTCGTCCGCACATGAGAAAACCGAAACCCTTCCTGATGATCTTTGTTAGAAGAACTGATTTCGTCTTCAGGGAGGTGGCCCATCTAGGGATTACTGATAGTAAAATATCAGAGCCATCGTTCCCAGCAACTGAGTAGATCTCTGGCAAGAGCTCCAGTAAAATAGCTTGAGACTCCAAAGAATATTCATCGGTATGGGCCTTCCGTTATGGGCGACTCTGTTGGCGAGGTTGATTGTCCTCAAAGCGCGGCACTAGGACCAAGGCAAAAGATCGATAATAGATTGTATCGGCATTTGACGTCAACGTGGTCAATAAACACTGGCAAGATGCTCATCCTCCGCCGCTTGTATTTGTTCATTCTTCGAAGGGAGATTCTACTGCATCTTCGGGGAACAAATCCAGTATGTTTCTGAGCCAAACAGTGGCCTACTGTGGTTCAATGTACAATACGGCTAGAGAATCGACCTTTTTGAGAAATTATTTTGATCAACGCTACGGGCCATTCAAGGTCACGACAGATTAGGTTTTGTGTAAAACAACATCTTCGGATGAGTCCTCAAACAGACTCAGAATCGTTTACATGACTGATCAATCAGACAATCTTCTTTTCATCGTATCGTCAACCGGAGACCCAATGCTACCGTACTGATCATCTGACAAGACTGCGGGACGTCAACTTCTTTCGCACATCTGTGGCATTTTTACGAATATCGATATGGTGTACTATTCGTTTGGTAATGCATAATTTTGCTACGAGACCTGCCACAACACAGGGCGAACGACATGATACCTTACCTCGGCATTCTGTAGGTAACTCGTGTGCTAACACTGAAAACCTGCAACAAGAAGGCGAGCGTCTTCACCTCATGGTATGCATAGAGTGGGGAGAAAAGCAATCAAACCTGTTTCAGCAGTGCTTGAGTAACACATCTGATGGTAAGCAACTCTTCATGTGTCCCGAAGCATCATATGCAAAGTGCAGCTCTACCGTCGTGGTTCATACTGCGGTGGATTCGCAGCATCACCCTAGCGCCAGCATGTTCATCATATCCAAATACCGATTCTTGCCCCTTGGACTAACTTTCCTCTCAAAGTTTGGTTGGATGCCGACAACTTCAGAGTACTTGCTTTGGACAATGCGACTTGCACATCACGATAGATATGCCTGCCGCCCCTCAAAGTGATTGCTATCAGCGAATACCAATGTTCACCAGCGCCCAAAGAAACCATCCCATGCCATCATCTATTACCTCAAAAGAATTAATACATGGTCAAGAGCAAAGACTGCTTGTGATTGCGTCGGACCAGGGGAACTAGAAATTGAAAGTCATCATTGGCGGTGCACTGGCGAGGAGTTCGACACAACAATCCCAATGCTCACGAAACGACCTCCATTGCGTCACCGCTTCAACGACTACAGGGCTATTTTCTTGATCAATGCCAAGTATGCTTCGGAATCGAAACATGTGGGCAAATTATCGAGAAAGAATAGAAGGAAATGCAAATCTATTGCAACATCTTACCCTAAAGCACTCGTCTATTGAGTGACTTGATCAGCCTTCGTGGCAAATTTCAATCCTTAAGAGAAAGATGGTTATTGACTGCGGGAGGGTCGCAGTTCTTTTTTACAAGTAATATAAACTATCGATTGCCCTTCAGAAGGCGCAAACCTATAACATAATCTTCAACCCAGAAACGCTTTCGCCTCATAATATGAACATATGCATGCGGTGTCATGGTCACTAGAGCAGGAAGACTTGGCTTGCTGTGTACCCTATGTATTGTGGGAATAAGAAAGCTAAAGACAGGAAGAGGCTTTATCGCGCGTAGCTCCGCCCCACTTACGTGATCGCGTAACTCTTCCACGCCCACTTACAGCTCTTCAGCCCTAGCCGTCACATGCGGGCTCAATATTCAACTTCAGGCATCTCCGCCTAAGTCCAGCTTTTCATAGGCAGGCTTGTCATCCTTCGTGACGTTCACAGCCTTGCCTTGCTCTACATAAACCTCAACCCAGCCCAGGCTTGCCCCGATAGGATCGCGCTCCGCATCTATCCAGGGAGCTTCTTCAGACTGCAGTTTCTGGAAGTCGGGGTCGTTGATGATGCCCTCCACGGCCTCTATATCTCGAACATAAAACTCGACGACGACGTCGTGGTTGTCGACAACCCATTTTCCTCCCAGGCGTTCATTGAGTTTCTGGACCTGATCCCGCGCGGGCTTCAGGCTGAACAGCTGCAAATATGCAAGTCAGCCGGATCCATCAATGAATCCACCACAGCTGAAATTGCGGTCAAAGCAACGTTTTCTAGCATCATGCGCTCCACCACATTCTCATCTGCACCTTCTCGCACGCAAGACGCATGGTATCTGGCGCAAGCAGTGTCCTCGGTATGCACTTACCATGTCGAAGGTTTGGACGCCATGTTTAGCATGTATCGCGGCTGCCCGAACACAGTGTTCTTCGGTGGCCCAGCGGTGAAAATCTTCATCGGTGACATTAGGCTTTTTGAAATGTGCGATCGACAGCCGTAGAAGCCGTTCGGGAGCGGGTGCCATGGCGCAAGGAGAATAAGCGATGAATGTAAGATTATGGCGTGATGGTCAGCTCACTAGGGTCTGATCCTTCAAAGTGTGGGGATCTGCAGCGGAATATATACGCGTGCTGGGCATTGATTAATCGTAATTTAAGTTCGTATTTCGCTCACTAATACTTCTACGGAGCTATACGGGATGCATTATTGATGCACCGTCATTCGGCCGCCGATGCCGAGAACATCGCCGAATCTTTCGCCGTTGCTCCTTCGGCGCTCTTTGAGTCTCTGTTGAGAAGGATATGCATTGCATCATGACCGATGATTTAGAGCAATCACGGCGAAGCAAAGGCCAATTGAGTTGAGAGTGATGAAATAGTATGGCTGGACCGATGACCTCGCACTTGATCAGGGACGACATCTACGTGGACAATCTCCGCTTTACTTCCAACGCCACTGTTCTACTCGCCATCAGTCGGTGGCCCAGTCTGAAGATTGTACGAGTATGTTGGATGGCTACGCTTAAGGATACTTAGTTTTCCAACCTGAGGTGTACTTACTCGTTGAACATGAAGTATTATCAACAGGCTAAATGTGGGAGTGAACACATGCATATGATGGAATAAGACGGGAAGAATCATTTAACTATCTACTCACACAGATACTGCTGCGAAACCATAGTGGCCACTGGCCCAGCTCCTGCAACCTCCATGGTAACTGCATTACCCGGCCAAGATAATAAATGACGTGGCGCGCTGAGCTGTTCAAAGGATCTCTTGACAATATACTTGAAAATTGCTACCTTGATAGAGAGCATATACATACTATCACATCTTCTCACGAATATACTTACACTGGAAGAGATATCCCTTACTATTCCCCAGTTGCTGCCCGCTAGCTATGTATTTGTCTTCGTTATTTCAAAGAGGATTGCTTTGCCTTTTTGTTTTAAGAAGAAGAAGAAGAAAGAGCGTAACACGGATTCATCAAAATGATGTGATTATAGCATACCCTCAATTGCCGATTATAACCACTATGAACGCATAGCCTCGAGAAGTATTATACGTATTTCAGGCTTTCTTCAACACGGAGACGATATCAGGATTACCATAGGGGCTGAAAACCTGGTCCTTACTAGATGCTGCGCCCAAAGGTCCAAGAGGCTCCCTGTGAATTTTCCAGATCTTGTCAAGCCATGAAAAAGTACGTTGCATTGAGTATCCAAATGCTCCGATCTTAGCTTGTAACCCACCAAAAGCCACGTCCGTAGCGATCCACTCCTCCTTATCCTCTTCCTTCAGATGCACAAGCTTGTCGGTGATCCTGCGTGTCGTGGTGCTTGGGTCAAAATAGAAGGACGAGCCAGCGCCGGTGACGAGCACAGGACATTTCACATCGTGTAGCACCTCAGACCCGTCCGGACGACGCAGAGAGAAGTCAAGCATGCGGCGTATCACGTCATGCTCGTTATCGCGACCCAGCGCCCACTTCATGTGATTGAACTCCCAGCGCGGTTGGAAGTTGAGGGCCGATGTGACTCCGACTACGGTATTGAACAATGCCTTTGAAATGTAGCCGCCCCGGAAAGCCCGCCACAGCCACGCAGGCACCCGGCCTTCAGCGAAGCTCTCCATTGAGTAGAAGCCGTCGACGCTAATACATGCCGTAATGCGAGGATCGACGGCCCCACGCAATGCATAGTACCCGCCCATTGATGCTCCCGTGATGGCTACGTGGTCCAAATCCAGATTGGCCTCTGGATGCTGCGCAGCAAAGTCCCAAAGATGGTCAAGTACCTTACCCAAAACGACCTCCCAATCGGGACGCATAGGTAACTTGTCACGCCGTAATACAATCCCTTGTCCCGGGCCGTCGAAGGTAAGAACTGCGTACCCTAGACTTGGACCCACAGACGCGTTGATAAAGTAGATCTCCTCCTGTGTAGAGTCGCCGCCGCCAGAATTTACAAGGATAGGCGTCTTGCCATTAGGGAGGCGTTTGTTTGTGGGGGGCAAATATAGATAGCCTGGCAGTTTTACGCCTCCCTCGTACTCTATCTCGAGGAAGTAAACTGGCCCGTCAAGAAGTTGAACACCCTTACGGAAGTCACCAATTGCACGCTCGATAGTAGGCAATACGCGCTTGTCGTAACCGATAGGGCCCTCATTGAGCATGAATTGTGCGGCGCGTAGGTAGTTGGATGCTCGAAGGTACCCACGACGGGCAGCCACCTGGTCACCCGAAGCTTCTCCCTCTTGGGCAATTCTCTCAGCCTTGGTACCGGCGTCACTCCAGGCCTCGTACCAGCTCTCGGGATCCAGGTCGGTGATCTTCCCCACTGCCTCGAGAATTTCTGCGATCTCGCCGCCCTCGAAAGGGGCCATCGCGAGAAGTCGCAGAAACTCGAAGTTGAAGAAGGGTGACTTGAAGAACGTATGCATCTCGGCTATGAGCAAAGAACAAAATAAAAGTGAATTTAGGGGACTGGGATGAAAAAGAGGCGAAGCCGCTGACCAAGATATTGCAGGTAGTGAACTTCCCAGTGGTAAATTCAGAACGTCTTGTGCCTCTCCACTTGCAAAAAATGATAACAGACTCACAGGAAGCTTATATGTAATATGCATCAACCGATTTTGGTTGTATATCGCTTTGCTTAAGCCATTGTTGGGCGGAGTTGCATCCTCTGGCCTTCTAGGACACCGATTCCTGCCTACCCCCGAACCCGATTGTTGCCCCGAACCCGACAAAATGATCGGAAATCAACAACCAGTATCTCAGATAAGAAGCTATTACCGAAAATTACCAATGAATTGGCATCGCTTGGAATGCCATTGATGAATGCTGTTTCATGCAAAAGCAGGTCTATCTGGGACAGAAACTCGCATCGTATCCTATACGGTAGTTAGAGGGGTTTAGTTACTGGGGACGGATAAGAGTCGTCTGATTCGTTGGGCCATATCATTTAATACTAATGCTCGAGAGATTCTGCAATTTTAGGCCAGAGTTACATTGTTGGTTGCCGTAAGAAATAAATTGCCATGATGCCATTTATTAATGTCAGCCAGTGCACTGAAGAACTTAGGCAGGGTGCGTTTCGTTCGGTTTTAGTGTTGGCTGATGATGAAGAACACCTATCTAGCCTTTTGCCGTCTCAAATTTCAAAGCACATAACTTTCGGTTGTGTTGCCATGTTTTTTTTTAAATTTTTTATATCTTTTCTTATTTTTTAAAAGCGACAGACTGCTGGGTAAGTAGCAGAGCCTGGTATATTACGTGCGGTTTAACTTAGTGGGCCGAAGAAAACGATCTATGCTTTCGGTTGTCCATCCTTCCTCCCTCCCTTCCTTTTCCATTTAATCGAAATACCACCATTGTCCCAAATTCCGTCTTGTAGAATTTGTGTTCTCTAAGTATTATACATTGTTTGACCCAGTATGCCGAAAACAACGATCTATACGTGCGTTTCTCCACCCTCCTTCTTCTTCTTCTGTTCTTCCTCTAGTCGAGATTGCTCCATCGTATCGAGTCCCGTCTTGTGAATCTTGTGCTCTTTAGAGAGCATCTGCTTACTGATTAAAAGGCTCAAGAGCAGTGCTACAGCGGTAAGTGCAGTGTAGAATATCCACTCGGTGCGTAAGCTCTGAGTATACACCTCAACCACGACCTGCCTCTGGGCTTCTGGCAAGGTTGGGATGATGTCTAGCGCGCCTGATGACTCGCCCATGAGGATCTTTTGGGCCGTATCGGATGGAAGGGCCGCAGTGATCTCGCCAGACTGCTGGGCCATGCGGTTCTGGAAGATGACGCCTCCGAAGACAATTGACATGGCTGTTGCGATGTCACGAATGAATAGTAGTGTCGTCGTTGCGCTTGCAATATCCGCGGGTTTTGTGAGAGTGAATATGGCCATTATAGGAGCTTGGAAGACCGGGCCAAGTCCTAGCCCAGCTATGATCTGGTAAATAATGATCCGTGGCCAGGATGGGTAAGCCTGAAGGTCGATGTAGAGACCGTGTCCCAGAAGCATTATGGTCAGGCCGATGTAGATAGGTGGTCGATATCTGCCCGTCAAGGTAATGTAGTATCCACTCAGGCTCGACAAAACGCACAAGGTGACTGCTACCGGGAGTAGATAGACACCCGAGAGGAGCGGACTGGCACCGAGGACGCTCTGGAAGTATAGAGGAAGATAATAAAGATTGGCGATGAACACAGCGCCGTGTATGTATGCGATACCGAAGACGCTGATGTTAGAGATCGACTGGAAAAGTCTCAGTGGAACGATGGGATATTTAGCCACCTTCCACTCCACCAAAGCAAATACGCCTAACGTGACCACACCAAAGACGATGAGGCAGACAACGATGGGCGAACCCCACGGATGCGTAACGCCACCGTAGCCCAGCCCTAGCAAGAACATAACAGTTGCGCAAACCAGTAAAAGCGTGCCGAGCCAATCCATGGCGAGAAGCCCCTGGATGATAGGTGTTTTAGGTGTGTGAACCTTGAGGAAGAAGAAGACGAATACAGCAGCAAGACCAGCAATCGGCACTGTAAAAAATGAGCTAATGTGTTTTAGAAGAGTTCGAAAGGAGTGACGCACAATTGATCCAGAAACACCATCTCCAACTGACATACTGAGCGAAGGCGCCGCCAACTATGGGACCAAGTCCACAGGCCAGGCCCCATGTCACACCAATTATACCGTAATACTTACTTCGATCGCTATTTCGCTGTTAGAAAAGCCCCTCATGCTAACGCGGAGTTTATGGCCTACCGGGGACTGAACACATCACCAATGACTGTCGCTGACAAGCCTAAGATTCCACCACCACCGGTACCCTGAATCACTCTTCCGGCAAGGATAGCATCCATGTTAGGGGCAAGTGCTCCGATAAGGGAGCCGATGAAGAAAATGGCAATGGCTGCGAGCAGTGTTGGTTTGCGGCCAAAGATGTCGCTAAGCGCACCCCACGGGGGAGCCGAAGCTTATGTCTGAAGTCAGCGCAGTTCGCAGAAGAAGCCAGAGAGGAGCCTACCAGCCGCAGGAAGTAAGTAGGCCGTTCCGATCCAGGCATAGTCGACCGAGGAAGCATGGAAGGATTTGGCTATGGTTGGGACGGCAGTAGAGACGATTGTCTACAAGAAAGGTTAGAACTGGACATGTCCGTTCGCAATCTATAGCCAGGAAGACGAACCTGTTCAATGGCCGCAATAAATGTGGAAATCTGTGGAAGGGATCGATGAGCTCTAAAATACGACCTCGTACGTTGTCTTCGAACTCACGCATAGAGAAAGGACAAGCAAAAATGCTTCTGTGCTGCTCAGCTTCTCATTTTCCTCACTCTCTTCTTTTGGGGTTGATGACTGAATGTCTGGAGCAAGCTCCAATGCCTCTTCTTTGCTGCTCATGGTTGATTTGATGCGAGTATGCAGGTGGTGCGTGTTCACGGCAAATCGATACGTTTGCTATGTCCAAGTGATAGTAAGAAAGTAAAGACGGTCTTCCACACGAAGCACAGGTCCTCCCAAATTCTCAAAGGCGTCATGCAGAGCTGGTACACGGTTTTGTATTCTCATATGCTCATGAGACCCCTTGGGATATTACAAATCCTTGCCTGTAATTTCGACCACCGAAAATGCAACTGCTGAAGGCAGTCAACCTACTTCCGAACCAAGTCGGCAGTGACTAATGAAACAGCCCCACTTACTACCGAATACCATATTCGGACCAATTTGTTAGTGCACCGACCTACAGGTTACATTGTGAATTGAACTATGGTACATTGAAGAACGCGAACAATGTGGACAGGCTCATATATGTTCCAAATACCACTCGACATGCATGTGACGTATAGCTTGGTGGCTAGCTCTAACCCACTGAGCCTTGTCTAGCTTGACCGTCTCGTCACATTTGCTGTCAATACCAGAGCTATGGCCACCAAAGAGCGCCTTTTGCGCCTGACCCTGGCGCATTACAGAAAGGACGGCTGCTCAGAACGAGACTGTCACTTCTTTGGAACCATTGCTCACGCCAAGGAAGTTGCGACGCTGCATGTCAGTAAAGGTCTTGTCTTGTATTATCAGGTGAGACGCTGACCGGTAGCCTACTGCCTCGACGAGTATAGGCTCACACTGGATTATAGGTCTACTCGACAACTGATACACGAAATGCTCTCGAGCGCTTCAAGCGCGAGCTAGGTGCTCAATGGACAATCGATGAACACGATTTGACTGTCGAGCTCTACGCTCGTGACCTTGCCACCCTGCGTGCCATCGCAAATGATCCGGTTCGCGCAACCTTCCCCGACAAAGAGGCGCCGTACCTCAGCTATCGCCACGTAGTTGCGAGCCTCGCCTGGGTCGAAGTGTTTGTTCAGGATGGCCGTGTTGTTGGCTTGGGCGAGGACGGAGCGTCAGCTTACAAACCATCCTTCGAGGAATTTGTTGCCGAGGGCGGTCCGCTGAGCAAGATTTTGACATGAGAGTTATTATGTAGGAGCTTTGGAGAACACTTGCATGTATGGTAGCCACGAATCCATATGAAACTTGTCATAATGAGAAACGAATGGAATGAGACAAGACATTCCCCTGAAAGATGCGTATTCAATTTGAGAGATCGGAAGTACTGACAAAGTAAAATACGTCAAGATAAAAGAGCTGCTCCTATGGGGTACGAGAAATAGCATTTTGACTAGACTAGATTGAATGGCGAAGCTGGCAATCCGTAGTGCTCATCAATGCTCCTAAGAAATCTGAAAGGAATTGTTCGTGACGGTATCGAGTGTCTCACGTCGGAGCATTTTAGCGGAGTCATCCGATCGCTTAGGTGACGTGACCACTGCGCGCCTGCGACTCTGTCTCCAGCTCACCTCTTCTTCCTATCTCCATTCCTCCTGGCATTTATGCGTTGCGCAGAAACCTGCAGTCGTCGAACCAAAACGTCAAGGCCCATTTCCACATTTTCCCGTGCTGTTGACGGTCGCACTTGTGTGTTGTTTCGCATCGCCACCATGCCCAACCCCGTCCAACGGTCCGCGTGTGATAGGTGCCACGGCCAGAAGCTGCGCTGCACGAGGTCTGGACATGGAGGCGCTTGTGTCCGCTGTACCAAGGTAAAAGCCGTCTGTATCTGGACCCCTTCAACGCGCCGTCAGAGCGAACATTTGCGATCCACAGCTCTCAACCGCCAAGACCCGTCTATCGTGACTCCGGACAGCAGCCCGCCACAAGAAGACGACAATGGTATGGAGACCACGACGCCACTGAACACATCATTCCCAGTCGTCCAGGCCGATTTTGATTTCGGTGGGTTCGGCACATGTCTATTGCAGGGCAGTTCAACGACAGCGACCTGGTCAGGCCCGACTTTTGCCGACGCTACCTCAGGATCCTCCTCAACCTGCGCGCTGTCTGCTGCTTCTCCTGCGTCTACTTCCTACCTGCAATCAGGTGATACCATGAACTCATGGCAGTCTCAATTCAATCAGGAGTGGGCTATGTTGTCTGCAGAACAGCCAATACTTCCAGACGACGGAAATGTGCGTACACGACAGGAGACTCCTACGGCCAAGCCGCATGAAATACAAAATCTGCCACTTGCTACCATCCGCGGACTCTCGGATCTCAATGTTGAATTATTTACACTTTCTTCCACGATACCTAAGCCACCGACCTCTTTATCACAGCCGTTCAGCTGGAGAGACAAAGACTTTGCGATCGATAAGACGTTTCAGCTATCCCAGCGCCTGATTGAGGTCCTCGACAAGCTGTACCCACGCCATTCAGAAGCGCTGTGCAAGAATCATGTCATGTCACCTCTTCAGGAAGATGCATTGCCAGGGTTGATTTTGAATGAGTCCCCGTCGTTCGATCAATCGTCGTTCCTGCTTGTGCTTTCGTGTTACCAACGTCTTATCGAAACCTACGATGATATTTTCCGAAATATGCAAGCGTGCTTAGACCGCTCCTCGATTACGGCGCGCGAAGATTACGTTCAGATGCCCGACATGAAAGTCGGGTCCTTCTCTTTGCCCGATTCATCTACTCTCCAGATCACGTTGATCCTACAGCTGACTAGGCACCTTTTACGTCGAATGAGCGCTATCATCAAGTCTCTAAACACAAATTATGGTGGTGGCACGAATGATCTGATGTCCCTCACGTTCAAGGCCGTGAATACCAGGGAGGAGGATTTGATCAAGAGAATCAATAAACTCCGAAATAGCCTTCTATTATTAGACATACTATAGTGTGTTCACACCACTTTCCAGCCCCCTTTGCGTACCCCTCCCCCAATGGCCATCACACTACAGCCGCCGTCAAGACGCTTGAGCATCTGGTATTCAGAAGAATTCGGTGCCTGGCATTGGCAATTAGCGCGCCTCAAGGCAAGAGGTACGGAAGAAAGAGTGTCATCGAGCGTTACATAATTATAGAGACTCCAAAAAAAAAAAAAAAAAGGGAAACCCGAAATGAGACGGGCAACGCAAGGTAAATTCACGTACAGTATCTGAGTTAATGGGATTTTCACCTTAAGTCTTCACGTCAAAAGATCCTACTCCTTGAGTCTAACAGCTGATAACAAGGCTGCCAGAAAAAAGAGGAAGGCGGGGATATTATTGGTATGAATCCTCCACCAGTTGAGCCTCAGCCATGGCGAAAGCGCCCGGAGGTTTTTTGCCCCCGGGAGACGGTCGTTCCAGATGGTGCTGATGATGCGCATGGCTGCTTTGCCGTAGACAAGATGGCCGGCAGCGAATAGGCCGCCGATGAAATAGAGGTAGCGTGCTTGCGAATTGAGAGTATCGCTGGCGGGGCCAAAGCTGTTCAAAACGCCGAGCAGTCCTCCGAGTGGGTGAATGATGCCCACCGCCCAGGTTAGCTGGTAAAAGAGGACGGGGAACCAGTACGGCAAGGTGGCGCCTGCTGGCTCCTGAGGAACTGTCTTGTCGATGAATGAGTAGACGGCGAAATGCTGGCCCCAGGCACACATAATACCCGCGGTGGACGAGACGAGCGGCGCGATCCGCAGAAGCTGTAGCGCAACCTGATCTATTGACATTGTGTCCAATTCTTGTTAGGATCTAGATATGATGGAGAAATTGAGTGGTAATCAAGTGATTCTCTGGGTATTTCAAGTAGCGACCACCTCGGTCTTTAGAACGAGGTTTTTTTTTTAATCTTCGGAGGAAGACAGGGGTCTGCAGAGACTTCCACACTTTCGGCGTTGCGAGCTCGCAGGCTTACATTCCGCCTTGGTATCCGGCCGGCGAGAAATCGGGTGATCAGCTCAGATTATTCGGCGGTATTCTAGTTATTCGTACATCTGGTCTGCTCGCGTTCAACTGGCTGATGTCCACAAACAGAAAATATGATCTTGGCATGAAGCCGATAGATCACCATCCTAGGTCACCCCCGACTCTAAAGGGACCAGTCCCGTGCTGTGGTTGCCGGGAATCTAACCGGTTCGGAACGGATTCCTTTGAGGCTGCCGGTCAGTCTATAGGGTCCTCCGACTATGACTCCCCGGTTCCATTCCAGAAGTACACATCCCGGGTACGGCCTACCTGGCTAACGAAGTCATAAGCCGCCCGGTATTTCCTATATTTGCTTGAGGCACCATCGTGGTCTCTCAAGCCCGTCTTACCAAGCCCTTTTCAAGGAAGAGCTCATCATGTCTTACTCAACACCACTGAACGAGCCAATTGCCATCGTTGGCAGTAGCTGTCGTTTCCCTGGTAATGCGAGCTCGCCATCTAAGCTGTGGGACCTCCTCCTGTCCCCCAAAGATATTTCTAGAAGACCGCCAGCGGATCGCTTTAATCTAGATGGCTTTTACCATGCCGATACAGAGCACCATGGAACCACAAATATCGAAGGTTCTTACTTTCTGAATGAAGACATTCGACTTTTCGACGCCGCCTTCTTCAACATTACCCCCAAAGAGGCTGAAGCTATCGATCCTCAGCAGAGGCTGTTACTAGAGTCTGTTTACGAGGCCATGGAATCTGCGGGTTTCACGATCCAAGACCTCCAAGGAAGCTCTACTTCTGTCTATGCCGGTTTGATGATCAGAGATTATATGGATGTGCAGGCTCGAGATCCGGACTACTTCTCCAAATACATGGTCACGGGCACATCATCAGCACTCACCTCGAACAGGATTTCGTACTTCTTTGACTGGACCGGTCCTTCGATGACGGTTGATACCGCCTGCTCTTCTAGTCTTGTTGCCTTGCATCAGGCCGTTCTCGGCTTACGTTCTGGAGAGAGTCGCGTCTCCTGTGTCTGTGGATCCAACCTTTTACTTGGCCCAGAACTATTCATCTCTGCCGCAAACCTACACATGCTTTCGTCAAGGTCACGTATGTGGGATAAGAACGCTGAAGGATACGCTCGGGGAGATGGGTTCGCGACAGTTCTGTTGAAAAGGCTGTCACATGCAATTCAGGATGGCGACAACATCGAGGCGATTATTCGGGAGACAGGGGTCAACTCCGATGGGCGCACAAAGGGCATTACCATGCCTAGCTCAGATGCCCAGGCAACGCTGATACGTGAGACATATCAAAAGTCAGGTTTAGATCCTGCGAGGGATGCTGACCGGTGTCAGTACTTTGAAGCGCACGGCACAGGGTAGGTTGCCCGAGTCAATCCAGTTTAGCTTTTCACTGCTGACCCTCCACTTCAGCACCCAAGCGGGGGATCCTCAAGAAGCAGGTGCGATACATAAGGCCTTCTTCGAGGGTTCTGTCGTTCGATCAAATGCCCAAAAGATGGTGGTTGGTAGTATAAAGGTGAATGGATTTAGTCTCAACCACGTTTTCTTCTCTGATAACAGTTGCTGACGTTGCAAAACTATCAAGACCGTCGTGGGTCACACCGAGGGCTGTGCTGGACTGGCTGGTGTGTTGAAGGCCTCACTCGCTTTACGTCATGGGTTGATTCCCCCCAACCTACACTACTATTCTCCCAACCCGAATGTCGTGCCATTCCTAGACGCACTTGATGTCCCGGTCTCAATTCTGCCGTGGCCGGCTCCCGCTGCCGGCTCCCCTCGGCGTGCTAGCGTGAACAGGTAAGATTTGCGTACGACAACCGCGTATTTCAGTTTAAACAAGATTCCGAATCTAACAAGAGGGTTCTACAGTTTTGGCTTCGGTGGCACAAATGCCCACGTAATTCTCGAAAGCTATGAACCAGCAATACACAATGTCAAGCCTTGGGTTCAAGATTCTCCGAATGATCAAGTTAGCTTTGGCCACAACTCCACCCCGTTCCCTTTCGTATTTTCAGCTAATAGCGAACGTGCTCTCATCGCGATGATTGAACAGTACGTTCAATTTCTCGATACTAATGAGTCAGTTGACCTGAGGGATCTCTCGTGGACTCTCCTCACCAAACGTACCATATTGCCGGTGAGAGCATCCTTCGTGGCCCTCACTGCCCCGGAACTATCAGAAAAGATGAAGAGCGAGTTGAGCCGGAAAGAATCATCAGGAGCAGATCTCGGTGTCCGTGCTAGCGGTGAGACGAATTCAGATCCTGTCATCTTGGGCGTCTTCACCGGGCAAGGTGCGCAATGGGCGACCATGGGGCGGGACCTTATCATAGGATCTGCACAGTTCTCAGCTACAATTGAGAGGCTGGAAAAATCTCTGGGATCTCTCCCTGACCCCCCAGCTTGGTCTTTGAAGGCCGAACTCATGGCGCCGCCCTCCCAGTCGCGTCTTTCAGAGGCGGCGCTCTCACAGCCTCTCTGCACGGCCATTCAAATTGCTTTGGTTGATGTCTTGCGCAGCGCCGGCATAACATTCCGTGCAACTGTGGGTCATTCATCCGGAGAGATAGGGGCCGCCTATTCCGCTGGCGTGGTCACGGCTGAGGAAGGTGTACGAATTGCTTATTACAGGGGCGTTCACGCCCATTTAGCCAGAGCATCCTCAGGAGCCAGGGGATCGATGCTCGCTGTCGGAATGGGTCTGGAAGATGCTCAAACGCTAACAGATCTTCCTCAATTTGAGGGACGAATCTCTGTGGCGGCTAGCAACTCACCCGCAAGCGTGACCTTATCAGGTGACGAAAGTGCCATTGAGGAAGCGAGGGAAATGTTGGTTGCCCAGAAGAAATTTGCCAGGGCGCTGCAGGTTGACACTGCTTATCATTCCCACCATATGATTCCGTGTGCCGAACCTTACATAAGCTCTTTGAAGGCATGCAATATCTCCCCGAAAGCAGAAGATCCGTCTTGTAGCTGGATTTCCAGTGTCTATGGGTCTAAAGGTACGCCCACGCAGCAAGAGCTCACAGCTCAGTACTGGAGCAACAACATGACGCAGAAAGTACTCTTCTCGCAGGCTTTGGAGCGGGCTGTGATCGAAGCTGGGCCATTCGATGCCGTCATGGAAATTGGCCCCCACCCAGCACTCAAAGGACCCGCGACGCAAACGCTAAAAGAGTCGGGGGAGAACGCTCCGTATACTGGCGTGCTTGACCGTAAATCCAACGACCTTGTCGCCTTGAATAGCGCGCTTGCCTTCTTGTGGTGTCGCCTTGGTGCCTTCATTGATTTCAGGGGATACGAAGAAGCACACGCTGGTACGAACCTGCCAAGACCCATCCTACTTAAGGATCTACCGACCTATCCTTGGGAGCATAGTCAACCATATTGGTCAGAATCTCGTTTATCCAGAGAATACCGCACGAGAAGTTCTCGGCCGCACGAATTGCTTGGTCACATGAGCCCTGGCAGTCCCGAGCACGAATTGAAATGGCGCAACATTTTGCGGCGCGAAGAGGTCCCTTGGCTCACGGATCACAAGATCCAGGGGCAAGTTCTACTACCCGCTGGCGCATTTTGTGCCATGATGCTTGATGCGGGCCTAACTATGGTAGCCGATAGAACAGTCTCTCTCCTCGAGCTTTTGGATGTGCAGCTTCATTCCCCTATTTCTATTCCGGAAGCCTCGCGAGGTGTAGAACTTGTGACTTCAATCAAGCAGCTCGATCCTCATCATGGAGAAAGCGCCGAAAGTCGATCTGTTCTTGAGGCTACGTTCTCATTAAGTACAGGGGCTCCCGACGGCAGTACACCATTGAAGCTCGCCGTGACCAGTCGTGTGCGCATCACATTCGGCGCTGCAACTGCAGATGCCCTGCCCCGAAAGCCGCACAATGATGACGTGGTTCACCTCAAGTCTGTGGACATCAATCATTTCTACTCTGCCATGAGGGATATAGGGTTATCGTACGACCATGCATTTTCCGCATTGCACAAAGCGGAGCGCGGCTGGGACTATGCTTCTGCCATCATGCCGACGCCTTCCACAGATGACAGAAGCGTGCTTTCGGTTAAACCGTCGTGGATAGACTCTTGTCTTCAAGTCGGGTATCTAGCATTCGCGTATCCAGGAGACGGGTGAGAAATTCCCGAGAAACACACCGTCATGCAAATGGACTAATTGAATATAAACAGGAATCTGTGGACAACATTTCTTCCGCAGAGTATTGGGAGGCTCGCCTTCACTCCAGCTTTCCAGAAGAGCGAAGAATACAGTCGAGATACGGTACTAGAAATCACATCGCGCATCATGGCGACCAAATACGCGACAGGCAAGCAGTTGCCCTCTTTTACCGCGGATATTGAAGTTTGCGATCCAGGCACTGGATACACGTGGATGCAAGTTGAAAATGTCGTCTTCTCTTCGCTGAACCACGCCGTGGAAAAGGACGACCGTGAGCTCTTTTTTTCCACCGTCTGGGGGAGCGATGCTTTCGACAACCACTCAGCAGAAAAGTTTCACGAGAGCCCCAGCGCAGCCCGCGTCCACCAGCTATTGGACAGGACGGCGCTATTCTATCTTCGAGATCTCAAGGCTAGAGGAATCCTCAAGGCAGTTCCTGGTCCTTATCAGCCGTTGGCTAATTTTGTTGGGCGTCTCTGCAATTCACAAACCGCTGTAAGCTTGGATACTAAGGCCAGCCACCGCGAGATCGCGGAAAACATGGGTCAGTCGCCGCGAGTAGTTGATCTTCGTTTTATGAAAGTCTTGGGTGAATCACTCCAAGCCAGAATTCTACCTGCGGGAGATCTCAAAGACACGGCACTATCCCCTAGCACTCTTTTGGAAACAGTCCCCGCACTTAAGGCTGTAAACAAGCATCTGGGCTCGATCACGCAGAAACTCAGACATCGCTTCGCTCAAATGCAAGTACTTGAGATAGGATCCAGCTACCTTGGGCCATCTGGAGGTGTGTTAGCAGCGCTGGGTGACTCCTCTAGTACCTACGTGTTCGGAAACATCGGCCCTGCATTTAGTGCTGAGGAGGGCACGGATCATAGGGTCCAAGACGTGTTGCTTCATTCTCTCCAACAGGATCAACTCGATAAGCTGAAAGAGTCCAGCCAAGAGGGGTTTGATCTTGTAGTCGTCTCTTTCCTCCTCCATGGTCGGGAGAATATGGATTCTGTTATTTCTAATCTCCGCCAACTCATTAAGCCCGGTGGATCCGTCCTGTTTGTTGAGCCCACGAAAGAACTTACATGGCTGAGGTATTTGCTGTATGGACAGCTGAACCCGACTTTAACGGCCCATGACGGGCAGGACCTAGGGTCACCAGTACCTCTGATCGAGCTAGACAAGGTTCTACGCAGATCAATGTTCAGCGGCGTTGATCACGTTTCAGACTACTCAGGAGTATCTGTGATTATTAGCAAGGCGTTGGACGACAGGATTTCCGCCTTGCTTCACCCGCTGCAACCAGACCACCTGGCAAAGCTGACAGGTAAATTACTCTTAGTCGGGGACGGCAATCTTTCGACATACCGCACCATACAGGACACAGTTCGCTTGCTCCACGGGTGGCAGGGCAGCATAGTTGTCGAGCAGTCATTGGACACGTTGGGTGAACTCGAGCCAAAATACGCTCGCAATTTCAGCGCGGCAGTGATACTGAACGATCTCAACATCCATCCCTCTTCAGGGTCTCAGAGTCGTGACAAGCGCCAACAAAAGATTCGAGATGTATTCAATTGGACGAACAATATCCTCTGGGTGACCCTAGAGGGCGACTTCAATGATCCTATCCAAGCTGCTACCGTGGCATTGAGCCGGTCAATCGCGAGCCAAATACCAGGTGTCAGGTTTCAATCACTTCTTGTAGACAATACCTGGAATGTGGAATACAAAATAGCAGCCAACCTGGTTCGCTTGGTCTATTCGCAGCTTTGGAAACTTTCTAGGGCCACCCACATGTGGACCGATGAGGATGAAATAAAGATCAATGGTCGTCAGACATTAATCCCTCGTGTTCTACCTGCCCGCGAGCTTAACGACCGCCTCAATGCCAGTCGACGAGTCATTACCGAAGGAACGTCAAGTCCGAACAAAGATGTCACAATAGATATCCTTGGTTCGATTGACTCACTCGTCTGTTATGCACGAGCAAATTCGCATGCTCTCAATATAGACGATCACTCCAACACGAAGGTGACGGTACGCGCGAGTTACTCCAGTCTTCTAGCTTTGAGGGTAGCACCACATGATTATCTCCACATTTGCATTGGGCGAGTTCCTGGTCAGGAAGGGACCGTTCTGGCATTTTCGGAAACCCTATCCAACTCTGTCATGGTTGACAGATTGTGGCAATTGCCTTGTGGAGTTGACGAAGCAGACGAACACAGAGTGGTCGAGCTAGCGACGCAGTACGTTGCAGCGACTTTGATCAATAGCATGTTTGAGGCTGGGATTGCCGTACTATACGAACCAAGCAATTTACTCGCCTCTATTCTCTCGAAACTGGTTCATGGAACTGATAAGCAACTTGTTTTTCTCACGAGCAATAACGATCAGATATCTGGCACTGGCGTAGATTGGACCTTCATCCATCCGCATAGTTCTCGATCGACTATACAATCTTTGGTACCCCGAGATACAAATCTCTTTGTCAATTTGGGACCAGCCGAAAGTTATACCGCGCAACGAGTCATTAGCATCGTGCCACCTGGTCGCTCTGTGGAAAAAGATGCCTTGTTCCGAATCAAGTCCCGGGTAGCTTCCGATCAACAGGCAAGCTCCTTTGTTGAGAAACTCAGACTCACGCGCGATTTCGCATTGGAATCAAAAACACAACTTTCCTGGGAAACTAGTAGTATAATCGATGCCTCGAAGCTCATTGGTAGACTGCCAGAAGTTACAGAGCCGTTCACTGTGGTGGACTGGGCCGGTACTGACAAAATATCATTGCAGGCAAGACCCCTTGAGGGCGACACGTTATTATCTCACGACAAAATATATCTTTTGGCAAATGTCGGTATCGTTTTCGCTGAGCCCTTGGCTCGTTGGCTGGCCTCCGGTGGTGCACGACACGTTGTCATAGCAGAAAGGTAAGTCTAATTATAACTTCATCCTCACTCACGAGACTAACTTCCCCTAGTGCGAGGAGTCATGCCTTGGAAATTTCGCCACCAGCTTGGGTTGCCGTCCTGCGCAAATCCGGTGTGCGAATTGACTTCGAGGAAGTGAACTTTAGAAGTCAAGTCGAAGTGAGTAGGCTGAGGCAGAAATTCCTCGGCATAGTGGGGCTGGTGTATGGTGGCAACCTGGGAGTAGAAGAAACAAGTTTGGACTTTTCGCAAACCATATTCGAGGGCGCCGCCAACCTCGATGTATCTTTCGGTTCGCAGCATCTAGACTTCTTCGTTATGCTGACACCATCCTATGCAAAGCCAGAAGAGGCTGGAGAGTATGAAATAACAGCGGTATGTATTCCTATGATGATGAAGTTCGACATGTCAGCTGAGTTTATCTCTTATCCTAGTTCATGGAGGCTTTGGCTGCTCAACGCAGAAACCGTGGGCTTAACGGATCGTCTGTTTCCGTACCAGAAATCTGGGGTAATGCCTCGCTAGCGAACGCCCCAGCGCAGGAAATTTTCTTTTCAATTGCCGAATCAGATATCTGTGGCCTCCTCAACGAAGCCATTGTATGGGGTGGTGATAGCGCCCAACACTCCCCGCATCTGGTGACGGCGCTCAAGCGTTTAGCACCATCATCTTCGAGCGAAGTGCCAACCTGGCGCTTAAACCCGAAATTTTCCCACCTTGTCAGTCGATCTAACCATTCTACGACGTCAACTTCTCGAGAACTAGGTCAAAGTCTGAAGCAGGAATTAGAACTATCAAAGTCCCTTGAAGAAGCTTCGAAGACTTTGCAACATTATTTTGTGGACCACCTAAAGGCAATGTTGAGTCTAGGACCTGACTCAGTAAGAGACGATACGGACTTGGTAGGGATTGGTATCGACTCGCTGATGGCCTCCGATCTGCGGTCTTGGTTTCTCAACGAGCTTGAGGTTGATGTCCCAGTCCTTAAGATCCTCGGGGGTTCAACCGTGAAAGAGTGTAAGTTCGACAAGCTCCAAAGGTCTTCGTCTATGTTCTAACCAACCAGTATGTGAGGAATTGGCAGCTGGCTTTCAGCTAAACTCATTATCCGATGAGACCCCTGTTCCTGTGGAGGACGACGTGCGGCAAGCGGAATCGTCCTCAGCTGTGATCCCAACGCCAGCGTCATCTCCCTCTAGTTCTGGGAGTTGGATACCATTGTCAGAAGGAGAGGCCGAGGCTCTCGAGGATCCCGATATCGAAGGTTCCCTCGAGTTTGTCCAGATCGGTGTAGACCAACCTCGAACGCAGCCACCTTCTTTGCTCTCCCGGAAAGATACGATGTCATATAGCCAAACTCGCTTATGGTTTCCAACGACCTATCTAGAACAAGAGACACCATTCAACTGTACGACATCGTACCGGATTACTGGACCGCTCAATCTCCTCAGGCTTGAGAAGGCTCTGAAGCAAGTCACACAGAGACACGAGATCTTTCGCACAGCGTTTCACAACGACACCACCAGCGGAGAACCTATCCAATCCGTATTCCCCGATTCACACTTCGAACTCCAAACTCTATCGGGAAATGAAACGGAAGAAGTTGCACGGGAGTTTAGGCGGATAGCGAATCACGTTTTCGATCTTGAAACCGGCGACTCCTTCATTGCTTCAATCATCTCTCACACGCCACAAGAACATACCATTGTCTTTGGGTACCATCACATCATCATGGATGGAGTGAGTTGGCAACTAACATTGAACGAAATGGCTAGTCTTTACAAGGACCTCGGTGCTCGATTACCATCCCCTACTCAGTATCTAGAATTCACAGCCAGGCAGCGTCGTCTGGTCGAGACGGGGGCTCATGACAGCAAGTTGGCATTCTGGAAGAAGGAGTTTCCGGATCCTGTGGAACCGATACCATTATTTCCCTTCGCCAAGGTCGGGACGCGGAAGACCTTGACACGATACACCACTCTTGACATTGTCGAACACATTGACGCAAAACTAGTCTCAGATATCCATAAGGCTAGCCTCGGTGCCAAGACTACCAGCTTCCACTTTTATTTATCAGCTTTGCAAGTAATGCTCAGCAAGTTTCTCGACATAGATGATCTTTGTATAGGCGTTATCGACGCAAACAGGTCTGAACAAGCATTCCTCAACACCATCGGATTCCTGTTGGATTTACTCCCATTGCGTCTACCACTCAACAGGAAAGAACGCTTCACGACTACCTTGAGCAACACACGTAAAAGGGCCCACGCAGCGTTATCCCACTCCGGTGTACCACTTGAGTCTATCATACGGGAGCTGAATGTGTCAACGTCTCCAACGCACACCCCTTTGTTTCAAGTCCTGATTAACTACAGGATGGGCGCACTGCGATCACCACAGCTCGGAGATAGTTCCATGACATTCTTAGACTACGAGGATGCCAGGGCACCCTTCGACCTTACACTCTCGATCGACGAAAAGGACGACGGAACCGGGATGCTGACCTTCTCAATGCAAGATTATATGTATGACAGAGAAGGCGCAGATTTGATTGTCAAGACCTACCTGCACTTCTTGCGCGTCCTCTCACAAGATATATCGCTCCGCATAAGCGAAATTCAGCCATTCGACCGGTCCTTGGTCGAGCAGGGAATCGACGTTGGAACGGGCAGTGTCATCGACTTCAAATGGCCCGCCACGCAGACAGTAGTTCACCAGATTGACCAGTGGACAAGGACCCAGCCTGAAGCTGTCGCGGTGAAGGACTTATATGGCGAAATGCTGACCTACCGGCAAATGCAGAAGCGAATTAATATACTTGCCCATGCTATTACTCATGCTGGTGCGAAAGCAGGATCGTCAGTCGCTGTTTTCTCCGAGCCCACAGTTGATTCGATCTGCTGCATACTGGCCATCTTGAGGGTTGGAGCTGCGTACACACCGCTTGATGTCCGAAACTCATCAGAAAGGCTTGCAGCAGTAATCGAAGAATGCAAACCACGGGTGATACTCTTCCATTCTTCGGCCGAGAGTCGTCTGAAAGAATTCAATACCCAGGCCTCAAGGCTTCTCAACATCCAATTGCAGGCTCAAGCTTCTGAAGATATATTCCCCAATCTTTCGACTCCAACCGCACCTGCTCTCGTACTTTACACAAGCGGATCAACCGGAAGACCTAAGGGTATTACGGTGACCAACTACAACCTCTCCATCCAGTGCACATCCGTTGGCGAGCGCTTAGGTCTCAAACGCGACGTTATTTTACAGCAAAGCGCTCTCGGATTCGATGCGTCTGTGGCCCAGATATTCTACGCGCTCGTTTTCGGGGGTACAATTATTATGGGGGACAATCGGGGAGATCCCATGGAGCTGGCCTCCCTTATAGAGAGGGAGAAGGTGACAGTGACCTTGATTATGGTATCGGAGATGTCGTCACTACTCGACCATGCCAGCTCGATTCTCTCCCGATGCCACGGATGGCGGATTGCCATGTGCGGAGGCGAAGCTTTCACCTCTAGTTTGGTTCGCCAATTCCAAAAGCTAAACTTGTCAAGCTTGGCTGTATTCAACGCATACGGCCCCACGGAGGGGACCATAATCTCGTCGATAAGCGATGTGCCGTATCGAACGGTCGAATTGTCCGAGAACTATACCATTCCCGTGGGACCTCCAGTTCCCAACTACGGAGTATACGTGCTCGATGAGAAGTCACAGCCCGTGCCTCTTGGTTGGCCCGGTGAGCTCTGCATCGCAGGGCCGGGTGTCACGCCGGGATATGTTGGACAGCCGGAGCTCACCGCTGCTAAGTTTGTGCAAGATACCGTGTCCAGGCCTCGGGGGCTCTACCAGGGCTGGGACAGGATATACAGAACCGGGGACAGAGCTCGACTTCTGCACGACGGCTCCTTCTTGTTTCTAGGACGTATAGACGGGGACTCTCAGGTTAAACTACGAGGCATTCGCATCGAACTCGACGAAGTTGCCAACAGTGTCCTGCGTACGTCAGACGGCGTGCTCTCCAGCGCCGTCGTGCGAGTGCATGGTGACACTAACCAGATCCTGGTTGCCTACGTCATATTCTCAGAACAAAAGGGGGCGGCCTACATCTCCAAACCGCAGGCTTATCTGCGTCAGTTGCTACAGTCATTGCCATTGCCGGTCTACATGCGCCCAGCTGTTGCCGTTCCCGTTGATGCGATGCCGGTCACCGAAAGAGGAAAGCTAGATACAAAGGCGCTGGCCGCCATACCACTTTCGCAGTTCCACGAAGAGGCGGCCAGTGAACAGCCCATCCTCAACGCGAATGAACTCAAGATGAAACTTGTTTGGGAGGATATCCTTTCTGAGCTAGGAGCAGGTCTTCATATCAACAAGGACTCGGATTTCTTCTCTGTTGGGGGGAACTCGCTGCTGCTGATGCGACTCAAAGCCAAAATTCAAGAGGTTTTCAGCGTATCAATCCCGCTGGTAGAACTCTTTCAAGCTACAACGCTGGGGGCTCTGGCCTCGAGGATTGGTAACGAGAGCCCCACTAAGGTCAATGGGTCTATAGAAGCTCAGTCAGGTATAGATTGGGATGCCGAAACTGCTTTGCCAACCACCCTAACGTCGCAGGAAGTCCTCTCTCGATGGCTCAATCCTAAAAAACAGGTTGGGCGGCCATTCTCAGTTGTTTTCACAGGATCAACAGGCTTCCTTGGTCGAGAAATCCTCTCTCGGCTCGTGGCCCATCCATCTGTTGCCTACATACACTGCATCGCAGTACGACCAGGGCGCACTCACAAGATCGTATCTTCAAAGATCATCTCGTACGAAGGAGACCTGTACAAACCACAGTTCGGCCTTGATAATGCCACAGCGCGCGCTATCTTTTCCACCGCCACCGCTATAATCCACAACGGCGCTGAGGTTTCCCATATGAAATCATACCACTCACTCCGTACACCAAATGTCCTGTCCACAAAAGAGTTGGTACGTCTGTCCGTTGAATATGGCATTGGTACGATACCGCGCTTTCACTACGTGTCGAGTGCCGGTGTAGGACACCTCGTGCCTGCGCCGTCCCCTCAGAGAGGGGTAGAGGCGGTGGACGCGTTCCCGCCCATCTCGCTCGCAACCCACCCACCACCGCGCGACGGCTCCGATGGATACATAGCTGCCAAATGGGCTAGTGAACGTAGCCTAGAGCGCGCCGCAGCCGCAATTCCGGGATTTGCAGCCGTAGTCCACCGACCGTCCAACATCACGGGTGCTGGCGTCGGCGAGAACGATATTGTCCATTCGCTGCTGCGCTTCTCGGCCGCGCTAAAGGCGGTGCCGCAGATGACGGCCGCAACGGGCGCGTTCGACTTCATCAGTCTTGAGACTTGCGCGGCAGACATCGTACGAGGAGTCTTGGGTGACTCGCCGGCAGCGGGTACAGTGCGGTATGAGCACCGTACCGGAGAGACGGTCGTGCCGGTAGGCCAGCTTGGTAGTTTCCTGGCTGCCAAGTGCAATGTTCGAGAGCTACAGGTCCTGTCCTGGCCAGAGTGGGTGGATAGAGCCCTGGCGATAGGCTTGGACCAGCTCGTCGGGGAGTTTTTGAGGGAACTGGATGGTAGGATGAGGATGCCGCTGCTGACTCATACTCCTTGAGAAGAGATGGACTGAAGTTATGTTTCATTATGAAAGTTAGACCTCATTGTTAGATTTCATGATAATTTCTGCAATTGATTAATTTTTCATTATAACTAATAATTGATCATGATTCTTGGTGATGCACGATGAACGTTATATTGACTGGTATAAACAACAGCCATGAAACGGGCGCTTTGGAAGAATGTCAAAGAGAGAAGGGTTAATGTGATAAGCAATAGTTGATATAGGGGCAGGGCGCCAACAAGATTGGCAATATCACATTGTCACATGCGTGTGTGCATTTACAGGGGTATAGTGTGTAGAATTGGCGGGGTTGTTGCTCTTAACATTTCTCTCATGGAGGTGTCCGGCCACAACGGTGGCGTTCCTAGCCAATCAGACACCGAGTTTCACTTCTAACTTTTGCTTGAAACCTCTCTTAATATTATAATCCTTAGACTAGTCTAGTCTAGTCTAGTTTATTAGAAGTATGCTTAAAAGAAACACCGCGCCCATTAAAGTGCTTTACTTTTATACATTATTGAACAAGTCAAAGAAAATCTATCTAGTTACAAACATTGGGCGAATTTTTTTGAAAAGGAAATTTAAATTGTAACTCTTTCATAAACCAAGGGCAGTGAAGCCGTAAATGAAAAGCCCTTCGGTCGGGCAATGTAAGAGCTTCGAGAAAAGCACATGCGTAGCGGGCACACTCGTCAGCTTGTAGAAGCATTTACACCTATTCTTTTTGGCGATGGAACGTATCGGGCGCCTGGGTGGTAGATGCACGATCTGCGAGCTATTGACCTCATAATCCTTGTCAAACTAAGATCCGACGCATTGCTGTAAACGGCCTGGAAGTCACGTGCTAATATCGGACAACTAGCGGATCCTAAGGTGTGAAAATGAAGTCAAAGAATACAGCATGGATGGAACGAATTCGGGTTCCGATAGGTTAGCGAGCTCGGCAGCGCGTGGCGTTATGGTTGGTTCCGATAGACGGTATTCGGGGTCGGGGAATCCTCTGTCATGGTCCGGCATCGGCAGATATACTCGGATCGCCGAAAGTGTATTAACAACAAAAGTGCATACAGCAGCGCAGGGAATAGATATGGTACGAGAGTAATCGGACACAGAAGACATTGGACTGGACTCTCTATCGACCCCGAATTACTCAACTCCCGAGCTGAATTGTCGTACCATTGTTCTTGTTCATCGTACCATTGGTCTGCATAGAATATATCTTATTGAGCATATAATAACCAATTAGAATGAGTCGAGGAAACAGGAAATTCTTACGGTACAACGCATAGATTTGATCACATTTCTTCTAGCCTATAAAGCATTCGAGACACTTGCAAATTCAAAACAGGAAGAAAAAACAAGCAAACATCATGGTCCTAACACCTTCCCAGCAAAGCACAGGTCTCGCCCTGCTTCGCATCTCACCTGTTTTCCTCGCTGCTGTTAGCGGCACTTTCTCTTACATCTCGCACGAATATGTGGCAGCCTTCAAGCACAAGGCCGTGTCCTACGAGGCGCGCAGCGCCGTCATTCCCGGGTGGTGGGACCACATCCGTCCCGTCAGCTTGCCAGTCATCTGGTTGAGTTTCATCCCAAACTTCTTTCTCGGCCTGGCCAACGCCAACAGCTCGACGCTTTGGGGCTGGCTCGGCGACGGCAGCAAAGGCGCCGTCGGGACCCTGGCGTCTCGCCTCTACTTCATCGGGGGTATTGTCAGCATCGCTTACTTCCCCCACACCCTTTCCCGCGGGTTTGTTCCGCTGCAGACCAAGGCCATGATGGTCCCCAAGGTCCCTGCGGAGAAGCGCGAGTGGGCCCTCAACGAGTTTCTTCGCATGGATTTCCAGCGTGGCTGGACCGCTGGCTTCCCCGTCTGCGTCCTCTTCCTAGCTGCCACTACTGTCTGGGTTGCCGACCAGCTCTAGATGGTTCGGCAATTTGGGTTTCTGGTTCCACTTCGGTTTACCAGAGGCAGAATCTGGAGTTCATGAGACGACATGAAGGTGGTGATGGCGTTGAAGATGGGTTGATCGCGAGGGAGGTAGCCAGAAGGGTTGAGCGATGGACTAGAATTGCAAATCGGTATGGAGTGTGGCGGTGTGGCTAGACGTGATGGATTCCAATTTCCTGCAGTTATCTGCTGTCTTTCCTTTGAGGTCTCCAGGGGAAGTAAAGTTTTACAGTCTATTATGGCGATAAAAGTGGTTTTTTTTTCCCTAGGGTTTGATTAGCACTTTGGCTCTCTGCCTTCAGCGTTACCAGTAATTACCTTAAGGCAATATGATGATGAGCTACAATGTGTATAATTTCAAGTTTTGTAAAATGAGAATTCGTTGATGATAACTAACGAAAAGTTTCAATTGTGTCGTTTCATGAGTACTTACATTGCCTTTTCTTCAATGGTTAGTCCGCGTCAGGGATTGGGAAGATAGTGTCACGTGTAGCAGGTTGGCTATACGGACCAACCCCCTAGGGAAGATTTTGTATCTCAGTGGATCTATCCATGGTATTTTGGCGAAAATGGAGAATGCGGGTATTGTCAGAGTAGGCGCCGTCGCAGCGTCTTCCTTCAATAGTAAGGGTGTTACCGGCTCTGTCGATATTCTTGAAGTATGCTTGTTATTTTACCCGACCGAGTTATCTGGGAAATTCTAGACGATATATTCGTCCGAGAGAAAGGCCAGTGTCAGCCTCTATAGCTCGCTCTGTCTAGAGTATTTTTATGTGAATCTGTGACATTCAAAAACAGTGGGCCCACTGTCAATAGAACGATAGTAATCTCAGGGTATATATTTGTTGCCACAGAATCCATAACGATTAGTACCGTCTTCTTCTGTAGGAATGATACTTTTGCCCTCAACTAGTTGCTAATGTTATGGCATTGAATAATATACTTAGAGGTCTTTGAAGTAACGTGGAATTGGGCCAATTTCATCTTATCTGCGCACGAATTATCCGGGTATTTCCTGGCTGGCATTGATGACGTTCGTCTCTGACTGTTTCTTGCTATTCTTTTTCCAGCTTCTGATTCGCAGCGCCTGTTTTTGCCCTATCACTGGTGCGCTTGATTGTTTTGTTAACAGTACTTTGCATCTTTACGACGATAGTCAGAGATAACCTACCTGGTTACGCCTTCATCTGCTTGACCAACCCCTCAAGCGCGAGTATCGCAATCAAAATCGCCGTTCACTCTACGGTTGATGGCCACTTCGGTCCCAGAATTGTGGCCAATGAGCCACGGTCTAGCAGAGTTACGTGTAAGTGAAGTTAAGAGAGTGATTTCGCACTTTGTCACGGATCTGACGTGGTGTATGCGATGGACAAATAAAATTTTGGTGAGCGTATGTATTATGTACATTTACTTCTCGCCCTCTAGTCTATCCTCACTTGAAGTTATCGGCATACATACATGCATCACAGATGTCGCCATGACACTCGTCAAGATTCAAATTGTCTCGGACTTCGTCTGCGCGGCAATTTCCACTCAAATGACCCCCACTTCCCACGCTCGTTCTTCGGTGTGTGCTGACCAAGAAAAGTGGTGCTACATCCCCAAAGTGCAACCTGGAAACAGCCTTATCTCTCTACCAGAAGATATTCCCGAACGACAACTCAGATTTCTTGACAACAATTGGACGGTGTACTATCTAAACAATGATCCTTGCGCACACAACGTTGATAAGCCAGAGTTTGCCAACGTCTGATTGGCAAACCATACAACTGACTAGCCCGCCGCTCTAATGGCACGCATGGACTGATTCGGCGCTGCCGGCATCCATTTCAACTGGGGGGCCCCAGATATCGAGGATTTCATGGGGGCATTCCCTGAGACTAGAAAAGCGCATTGATAATGTGCAGCTACAGCTTCTCAGCCCGGGCTTAGAGATTTACTTTTGGCTGTCTTCACATCCGCGTGTCTAAGTTCGTTCTTTCATTCAAGGTCTACATTCCTTTTTCACCGGCACTAAAACTGCTGACATGATGGTACTATTTTAATTTGCTTTACTCTATAATTAGCTGCGATCAACAAGAAGTTGTTTGATACTATCTACCCTCCTCCGAACCAGCGCTTGACGACCTAGAAGGGCGGGAGTCCATTCTTTCACAAGCAGGTCGTGTCCCTGATCTGACGACAGGGGCTGCAATTGCTCGGGCATGGCAGAACTGATTCCCAGGGTGGCATCGATCTTCTGCAGCATTTGGCAACTGACGTGGATAAGTATCTCGATCTGGAGATCTGGATGTCTGTCTAGCCCGAACCCGCCAAACTGAAGGTCGGGGAGGACGAGCGGCGTCGGCGGTGGCAGTGCTTGGCCCTGGCTTTTCCTTTGGAGTATGAGAGAGTCTTGGATGGCGCCGAAGACCATTTCATAGCCCTGGAGAAGCCAGGTGTAGCAGGTAAGGATAGTTAAGGTGGTGGGCATGCCGACAGACGCATGCTGACGGGACGGGTCCTCTTGGGGCTCAGATGGTTGTTGGACTGTGGTGATGGGATCAACATCATTTTCCAACAGTAGTGCTCCATTTTGAGATGTTCGTTGAGTCCCTGTATATTCAATGCTCCTGAGAAATTCGCTGTCGTCCCACTGTTCTGAATACGAACATTCGGAGTTGGCAGACGAGAAAGACGATTTGAATTCGGATGAGAGCGCCGACTTCAGGCGTTCAAGAACTTCGAGGAACACTTGGGAGCTCTCGAACAGTGTTCCGACCATGTTCTTGGAAGAAATCCTCCTTTCAGGTCTGTCGGTACCGTCCACCTCCGCAGGAGTAACTTTCAGTATATCTGGCAGCCCTGTAGAGACCCCTGTCTTGCTAAAGTATTTTAGGAGTCTTGAGCTTAGCTCGGATAGCTGATACAAGCATTCGTCCTTATTACCTGGCATCTGAGATGTTGTGGCCCAGCTCGGCGATGTGGAGTTCGTCAAGCCGACCCGGTCGCCCGTTGCATCATCAAGCAGGTGATTTAAACTGACCTGACTGTCTGTACCGTGGCTCAGATCTGAATTAAAGCTTAATACCCCCGGGTGAAAGCCACCTAACTCGAAGGAGATTGTATGGGCGGAGCTCGGGGTCCTCTCTCTGAGAATCGGTGCAGGGAATGTAGCAGACGATGCAGCAGCACTCGTCGCCGTATGGAAGGCCTGTTGGTGTTGGAATGTGTCTTGGAAGTCAAACTCTTCCTCCGAGGTAGGCTTCGAGTTGACCTGGCTTTGAGATGAACCCCCGTTTTGGATCTGAGAGATGCTTCGTCGCTGTGGTACATTGGGGACAAAATGAGGTGTTTGAGAGCTCTGGTGTCGGAATACTTGATCACTCGCCGTGGATGAGTGATGATCATTGGTGGGCCGCCGACGATGGACAACAGTAGGTGAATCTGAGCCGCCAGAGCTGGGACGCTTCCCGTGGCCATCTGATTCCAAGAAGAGCCGGCGAGAGCGTACGGTATGAACGCAGTCGGCGCCGGCTTTGATACACCGCTCGCAAGCTTGTAAACTTTCCAGGCTGCCTTCGCTTGGGCGCTGGCTTTGAGGGGGCCTCACACAGCGAAGCTTCTGGCCTCGACAGCGGTCACAGGCGCTTCTTCGGGGGTAATCAGAGTTCATAGGAGGCAGCTTAGCAAGCCGGACGGTTGGAGGCGGAAGCTTAGGTTACTGGCAAGGGGCTGGAGTAAGTTGAAGTCAACTGGTGATTGCAAGCCTGTTATCATACGACTAGCAAGTTGTAGGAAATAGGCGGAATACAAGGCTTTTCGAAAACTTCGACCAGACATTGCCCAGGTTGATGACATGATCAAAGGTGCAATCATTTGCCTTGCCGGTGATGACATGCATGCATTGATTGCTTCATTGCAACATGCTTGGTCAGAGGTCGATCTCGACCTTATTATGGGATGGAGCTTATTAAGAGGCTGACCCTACCAAGAGTTTGATCTTACTAAGAGATTGACCATATCCTAAAGTCAAACTTAATAATAGTTTGACTTTATAAAAAGGTCGACTTTTTTTAAAAGCCTAACTATATAAAAAAACAAGTAAAATTAATAAATTCAAATTCAAAGAAAATAAGAATAAAAATTTAAGCTTTAAGTATTAAAGTAAATAAAGCTTGTATAAATAAATATATTTATTATTAATTTTAATAAAATTAATTTTTTGATATAAATTAGTAAAATTAGTCTAAGTATTAAAAACATATTAAAATAGTTTAAATAACCTTTACTTTTAACTTACAAGTATTTTATAAAGTAGTATATAACCCGTTGTTTGGTTTATAAGCTTGCATGGAGCTAGCTAAGTCGAAGTGCCCCACTTAAGCAGTGAATTTCAGCTATATGTAGGTATGTCATGTCAACTCATTCCTTCTCATGCAGTCAGCTTGAGGGATTTATAGAACGTACGAGTGTTAGCACGTAAACTAGGGGTGAACATTGCAACATAGGATATTTTGTCACATTTTCACCCTCAGCTATTACGAGATGAAAGATTCGATAGCACTTGATAATTATGACCAGCGTTGCATTTTTAATACATCTGATATTCCCAGCGGCGGTCCAGCCGTCTGGCTGGAGAACCTCGGCCTACACAATTTGATAGGCGACGTTGACCATTCTGTAGCAGCCCTACCCATCAGCAAGCCACCCCGAACCCAACCCCTACCCCGCATTTTTGCGCTTCGGCCCGTCTGACATTTTAACCTCTCAGGTCAGCTGATGCCGACCTCCTAGCAAGCTTTTCAGGGTCTGACCATAGAGCATCGAGCAGCCCTCAAGCCGCAACAGTTTTTGACGTATTCCCATGCTCCTGGCCGCCTCGGGGATGACCTCCACGCTACGTCCGAGTTCCTGCAGGGCCTCGTGCAGCTAGATTAGTGTTGCGCCACGTTGGCCAAAGTATATTAGAAACACCATATCCCTGCCGCCGCGGCACAGGCCCGAGTGGCTACATGTAGCTGATATGTCGCTAAACTAGCCGCAGAAAACTCGTATTGCCACGCGCGTCTTCAGCGACCATCTTGATACCATCGAAAGCATACTGGGGCTTCTAGGGTTGTCGCTTCGTTAATCCTTTCAACAAACACATCTCCAACTTGGATGGCGATTACAACATTGGCTTGGCCTGCTGTGCAGGTGGAGCGCTCGTGATCTTGGCAGCGTGGCTATAGCGAACATGGACGTTACGGAATGAAGGCTGGAGCTTAAGCGCCGCTCAAACATGTTCAATGAGTAGTGTGGTGATTCAGCGTCTTTTAAATACATAAGTAGTTTTCAAAGAGCAAACGGTAATGAAAGGAGCAGGACGTGTAACAGTATGTAAGGAAGCCCAAGTAATGTGGAATCAACTTTCCATTATTCAATAATCTGTTTTTTCACAGCAGGCCGACGGGGGCACCCAAAACGCCAGCCTCGACCATGACATATGATTTACAGTGTTTCGTATCGTCGTCTAATCAATAACACTCTCTTCTATATGACTATCGCTCTGATTGTTGCAAGTTTGGATATCGCGGGTGTCGACTTGTTTGGGGAACGATTTGGTTCGTTATATTAGTCGTATATCGACTCCTGTAGTAAGCTATGGTCTCAGAGACGACCAAGGAGGAGTTAGAACTCGACTTGGTGTGTTCTCCAACACTTCAGACCGAGCACTAGTTGATGCATGGCCGGCAGGATTGCGCATGGACTCGTTCAGGGGGACCTTGTCAGATATGATCTGACTTGTAGCCCACAATCAAGCGATAATTATGTTCAATGTTGCTTTGCATGAATTTCTCTGCGTCTCGGAAACAAAAGTTTCCTGCACTTTCATGCATCTCTCTGTCTTTAGCATGCCGGTAATTGTTAATACTCATTCCTCGTCCTTCTGTTGTTTGAAGAACCTGGAGAATCGCGTACAGCAATATGTTGTAATGTATTGCTATTCGTACTTTAGATATGAGCTGTCCGCATAGCGTCTGAGCGGCTACGGCTTTTACTGCTATCCTCAAGTCCAATTCTTTTTCTTCTATTTTGGTAGGAAGGGGGGAGGGGGGTAAATATTAGTGGAAGGTGGAGGATAACTGTGCCTCTTCTTTGAATGTTTGCCCAACCAGAACATCTAGTTCCGCAATACTCTGGTAGCTCAATATGTCTCCGTGATGGAAACATGGCCATATTCTCGGGGTTTGACTTGAGGCAGGGATATAGAGTAGCGAGTCCGTTGGCTTCCAGAAGGATGGAGCACATAGACTTATATATTACCTCATCCACACTGGTTTACAATCTTTGAAAACAAGAAATCCAGCTCCAATACAATAGCTATCGCTTCCGAACCCGTCTCCAATAACTAGGATACATTTTTCAGTTCAATCAGACTTCACGATGATGGTTAGTTAGTCTGTTTAGTGGAACGTCGGTCTCGGTGAAGCCGTTTGTTATACGTCACTGATGCAGTGATTGAGATATCGGTTGTCTAATGAGAAGCGCTGGATTAGTACCTAGGTGATTGACCACTAGGGAATCACCATGTCGTATGGTTTTATACATTTCTTCCGTATTCTTGTGCGATTCCATTTGCACCAGTTACACATATAGAATTTGACTCGTTGCGGTTTAATCAGCTCTACTAAAAATGTTCTACGGAAAGTCGTGGTTCGGGGCTCCTTCAATGGAATGACTTTGGATCTCAGTGATCCTGCTCGGAGCAGAACACGAGTGCAATGCTATAACCGTGCTGTGCTAACTGGCCCCGCGATTAGTGGCGGCCGGAAATATTGGTTAAGGTTGAAGGAACTAGGTGCACAGGACTACCTACCGCGTGACAGCTCGGTTGACCATCAATCTTGGATGCCAAAACTGTGCCGGCCTGTCCAGAAGGGTTCGCTGAAAGTTCATAAGGAGGTTGCCCATTTAGATGACACTGTCCAGCATGCTGCCTTCCGTTGACTCAAATTCTCTCATTTGTGTGACGCAAATATAGCATGTAAGAACAAGTGTGAGCAGGACTGGAGAGTAGTATAAACTAAGAAGGTTAACCTTATGATCATGATATTAAGGGATAGGCCGCGTCGCTAGCACCCATTTTAAGACATAAGACGGCACCGATCGAAACACAAAATAGAAACCCCCTCAATTCATCCTTCGGCAAAAATAAACTGAGAAATATCGAGCAGGAGGGCTTACCCTCAGCAGATCGTGACAAGGCTATTCTACTGCTTACGAGACCCGTTCGCACAGCCAGGTCGTCTGCAAAGAATTTAATACCACGTTTGTTTATTACAGCACCATAAGTTCGAACTAACACTTCAAGCCAGGAGAGGTAACAGCTTGCTAAGCTGCGATGTTGGAGTCTATTCGTATCTAAGTAGAACGTTTGAGAAGTATACCGCGGGCTGGTATGGATTCTGACTGATAGGCATTCAGCCATTATCCAGCAGATAGTAGCGTCGCGGCAACGGGGAGATATATGTATCATCCAAGTACTGATATATCGTTGAGTACCCTACTGTGCCCCAGTATCTCCCACCACTCCACTCGCTTTGAGTTATATAACAAAGAGCCAACTTGACGTGGAATTATGAGGACGGAAACTGCACATATGCACACGTAATCCCATACGACAGCATGTCAACTTTAGAGGAGCCGGCATTGTGACGCTGACAGTCCTTTCTTTACCCTCTGGCCGTCCGGCGTACACTTAACAACCGACTTGAAACTGGTACGGACAAGGGGAATTTGACTTACCACAACTCGCAGTTTCCATGCGACAACTCAACGTATAAATCCAACATTGGTAGGAATAAGCGTACCCGTCGCAGAACTGCAGAGAAGAGAGGATTGAAAATATTGTAAACTTGAGAACTATAGCAATGTTGACAATTGAGAATCAACTGTGATGTTCGCGCCTGGCTGCGTCTAGTCCTCGGTGAACTACATACTTGGATATCTCTTCCATGGGGCAGAAAGGCTAGTATTTGTCTGCACCGTCAAATTTGTTGCTAGGCTATCTTGACCTTCACAGTGCTCTGCTTTCTCCCTAGGGTGGTTCGCCGATGCTAGAGATGATCTTCTATGACGAGCTTCGATCAACTGAAGACTAAAAGGACGTGGGTTATAACTAGCACAGCGCATATGAACGTTTGTGTGAGGCCGCTTCCGTGATGCAATCAATAGGCATCTTTGGGTATGCAATTAGGTTCACGCATATAAGTTCTCCCAAGGAATTGCTAAACCGAAATACAGAGAAGATGAAGCTCTTCATTCTAGTCGGATTTCTAGTCTAGCCTGAACAAACCTATTCTGTCCAATCCGTCTTTGACCGCAGCGCTGGTGTTTGGGACCGCCATTACTCCATAAAAGCCGGGATGAAGATGGGGGCCGCTGTCTATAGCTTAGCCAAGATGGCGTCAACACCTGAGACGTCCACGCCCCTCTGAGACTCTTTCTCGGCGTACGTAACGATGCCTTTGTCCACAATCAGAGCATAGCGGGCAGTGCGGCCGGTGCCCTCCATGGTCCAGCCAACGCTCGAGCTGAAGGCGATGTTGTCATCTGACATGAAGAGCTATCGATGAAGAGTCAGCCAGCATGTCATATAAGTGGTCGATCCACCGATATTCAAGGCCTCATGCGAATGAAATGAGTGGTTCACAGTGCCGGCTGGTATCAGTGCTATCCGATCTCACCTGAAAGATACATTACCACACTCCAGATCGTCCCGCAATACCCCCAATTGGCGGCATGGCGAGCTGCTTTTCATGTTGACAGTGAATTCTGCTATACACCAAGGTCGACAGCCCATATCATAAGACCCAAAACCCCGGCTTCATCGAAGACTTCCACACCAAGGAGAAAGAAGAAAAACATCGCAGGGGCCAGCTTACAATCTTATCATCGACGATACCATTCGCCTTGCCCCAGGCAGACATGACGAAGGGGTCATTGTAGGCGATGAAGATGACGAGGTCGGCACCAGCGCCCTTGAGCTGGTCGAACTTCTTGATGAAGCCCGAGAGGTGGTCGGCCTGGCAGGTCGGGGTGAAGGCGCCCGGGACGGCGACGATGATGGCCTTCTTGTCCTTGAGCTCCTTGCTGGCGTCGAACTTGACGGGGATGCCGCACGCCGTCACCTCGGACTTGTCCGGCGACGGCGGCACGTACGTGAAGGTGACACCCTCAGGGAAGGGCTTGCCGACGAGGGATGACATTCTTTCTTTTTGGTGGAAGCCGTGAGGTGTTCTTAGTATGCGTGTATGGAGATGGAGAGAGTGACGTAACAGCAGAAGAAGAAAAGGGTTGCGTTTCTGGTGATAGAGAAGAGTTGCGTATAACAATATAATTAATCACAAGCTTACGATCTGAGCCCCTCAGAGTCCTCAGGCTTTCTAAGGGAGAGAATGCGGGGTGGTGGGTAGTGGGGTTTCGGGGAGACGTCCGCGGCAATATCGTCACTGCCCCTGCCGAGAGAGGACTGCCTGTGTCGTCGCGGCCGCACTCGCTTTGCAGCGGACGTGGTTTAACTTTTCACAAACACACCTTGTACGTTTGTCATCACGTAGTGAAACATGCCTCTACGCTGGCTTCATGTCGAATCAGTTGCTGAAACGGGCTTCATAGGCAGTTGGCTTTCTGGAATCTAGACTAGTCTAAATGATTCCAAAGCGGATGCATATGTACGTGTTGGTGCGTGGCGTATCCCAGCTTCGGCACTATTCCGTGGAATGAGACTGAGATAAAAGACCTTTGTAAGCGTTTCGTGCATTCAAACCTGAGACCAAATTGGTACAACGGCAACATCGAAGAGCATGTGATAGCGTATCGGGTCAGGACTTTCAAGTTTCATCTCAGAGGACCTAATTTGTGGTTAGGTAGAATAAGGATGTTGTGCGATTACCTTTCTGCATACCAATCTTTACATGACACATGTGTTGGGATGGGCAATGCAAACATGTAACCAACTCCCAAGGAAAAGTACTCATGTGCGAGACTGCACTACTACAGTTATTAGTTACCATATTCACATGGCTCAGGCGATGACGGTGCGAATGCCATGTTGCCAGGACCTTCTTAGCCTCTTACTGGAACGACGCTCTCAACTTGATGTCTCTAACTCGGCATCGTCAAGTTCGCAATCAACAACCAAAGACGCCGCTCGGGTTCTCACAAGGTTAATCCGACAAACGACGACGATTATCGTAGGCAAAGGTAATGGCATTACGAGCTGCTACCTATGCGAAATCTCATGACCCATGAGTGAAATCCATGCATGCAATCCGCAACCCTGAGAGATGTAGTGGTTCTGTCGGAAAGACAGTCGTGATCCCCTCGACCATATGACGCCGCCATGTACATGTCTTTCGTTTTGTAGCCTTTTCCTCATCCGTGAAGAAACGCAACTCCCGCATTACCCAGTCAGTCAGAGCATCCCCTCGCTTAGCGGGTGGTGGCCTTGACCTTCTGTTGTGCGCCCTTGGCACCCTGCTTGCCGACAATGCGCTGAGTCTGTCCCTTGGATGCGCCGGTGGCACGCTTGGCCTTCTCCTCCTTCTTGGCGGCATCGGCGGCAGCCTTCTTCTCCTTGGCGTCCTTGAGGGCTTGCGAGCGTTGAGCAGAGCGAGCCTCGGGTCTCATGGTACGGCGCTCCTTGATAACATCGAGAGAAGCACCAACGATGGCACGCTGGGCCTTGACGGTACGGCGAGTTCGCTTCTTGGCAGCTTCCTATAGTGTGTGTCAGCGTCATGTCATGTTCCTCCATATTTCTCGGAGTTTGAGTTCCAAAAGCCAACATCTGTTTTGATATGATGTGATGTGATATCATATCGCAAGAGTTGATCTTCTGTTTTCGGACGCGTACCTCAGTAATACCCTTGCGGTGCTGTCTTCGGAAAAGAACAGTCCATGCAATGCGACGGGGGTTCTTGCGCTGGAGGAAGAGCGACTCCGACTTTCCATTCTGGAAACGGAAGATCTTGCTGTCGCCACGGACGTAAATCTTACCCTACAAACACACATGATCCATTAGCTCCAGCACTTCAGGTGTAACACAATGTTGTGCAGCAGTCAATCATGCAATCACGAGCCGGGTCATCTTTTCAGTACATGCGTCCTCCAAAACCACATGATGTAAGAATCCTGTATTCCTCCTCTTTCCCATGACCCGGCTCCTCGAAAGCGCAATTGACGTCGGAACTTCGCAGGAGGAACAAGTGAAGCCGTACCTTGCCAGGGTAGATTCTCTGGCCCGAGAATGTGTCGTCGTAGGTTCTCATTTTGGCGGTTGGTGATGAGAACTGCTGTCGGGGTTAGTTGGGTCGGGGGTCGTCTGCTTGGGTGAGGTTGTCGTTCGAAGTTCCCTTAACCGGACCAAATCTTGAATTGCACGAAAGATTGTGGGTGCAAAATTCGGAAAGGGCAAAACGTGATGACTAAGTTTGGGTACTGGTCTGTGCGCTCTAGGTTAGCTTGTTTTTGCTGTGCCAGGGCTGCTCCACATGGGAAGCTCGCCCAACGTCAGTATCAGCATCAACATCAAGAAAAAGGCTTAAGAGGCTCTCATTCGTCTAGACTAGTAAACAAAATGTGACGTATGGCCATCATGATTGTTGATTTCGTTTCAGATATGACTGTACAACAAAAACGAAGATCGCTTCAAGCCTGCTGGGACCTGGTCAAGAAACTGCACTCCATTATAGTGCCACCTCGTCGCAAAATGCATCTCCGACGCCCTACATTGTAGTTGAATTAACTAATGGCTTGATTCTAACTACTGCACATCGTGCTCGTGATAGTTGCAACATACATAATAAAGTGCTTCCAACGGCCACAGCATGCCTCAATGACCGTAACACCAGACATCATCGCCTCATTGGTGCTGCACCAGTTCGACCAGCTGCCCACCAAGAGGAAGCCGCTGGTTCGTGATAATGGCGTACACGAATGGGTGCCCCTGAGTGGCATAGTCGCTCAAGGTACGCTTTCTACAAGTCAAGCAGTCATGCAGATGAAGCGCCAGAGCTAATCGAGAAAGTAACAGACAAAGACAACAAGCTCACATGCCTCTCCCTGGCCACGGGCATGAAATGTCTCCCTCGCTCCAAGCTCCCCAAGGCGCAGGGCAACGTGCTGCACGACTGGCACGCAGAGGTGCTCGCTATCCGGGCCTTCAACCGCTTCGTGCTCGACGAGGTCGAGTCCCTATCCAAGGGGACGGCGACATCGTCGCCCTACCTGCGCAGGAGGGACGAGGCCGAGGTTCTTCTTCCCGCCGGCGGCGACGGTGGCAGCAGCCGCCAACAGCAACCTCCTACCTGGCACGCGCAGCCCTTCGCCTGGCGCGAGGACGTCAGGCTGCACATGTACTGCTCGGAGGCGCCCTGCGGCGACGCGAGCATGGAGCTCACCATGGCGGCGCAGGACGATGCGTCGCCGTGGGAGGTGTCTCCTGCCGCCCTCGGCCCCTCGTCCTCGGGCCCCGTGCCTGGCCGGTCCTACTTCTCGCACTTGGGCGCCGTGCGCCTAAAGCCCGCCCGCGCGGATGCCCCGTCGACCATGTCCAAGTCTTGCTCTGACAAGATGGCCTCGGCTGAGTGTACGTCGTTGTTGAGCTCGTTAGCTTCAATGTTCGTGTGCCCGTCGAACGCGTATTTGAGCTCTGTTATTTTGCCTACTTCCCAATACTCCTCTAGTGGGTGTTCACGCGCCTTTTCCTCCGACGGTCGGATGGGCGGCGTCGAAGAATCCCAGAGGTCGTGGGGAGGCGGGTATAGGTTTCAAGAGTTTGCGGTCAACACCACCGACCTAGAATTCAAATGGTCCAAGAGAAGTGTCGAGGCCAGAGTCCAAGGTGAGAAAGGGAAACTCGGTGCGAGTAATCTCGCTGTTGCTTGGACTGGACGTGGGCTCGAAGAGACCACCCTCGGCGGGACGTTGCAGGGCAGGAAAGCATTCGATCCTAAAGGAGCCAGTGTCGTGTCGAGACGGAGAATGTGGGCACTAAGCCTGGAGATCGCCGGTGTGCTCGGGATCAGCATGGTATTAGCACAGAAGGCTCTGGCATCTCAGAGTTACAAGGATGTCAAGGGGTCGAAGCTTTTCGAGGCCAGAAGACAAGTCAAGCAGGATGTCAGATCTCATGCCTTGAAAGGCTGGGCTAGGAATGAAGGAGATGACAACTTTAGTCTAGAGCTATAGAAGCAAGATCCCGAAGTATCACGATCAAGCTGTGTTGGGACATGTGTTCACATAAATTTCATTTTGTTACAAGCAGCGGCATCGAAGATCTTGCCACGCCTGTAAACCAGGAGAGCCTGAATCCAGTCGCGGACCACGACAAAATCGGACAGGCAAAGACCGGATCCATGCTCCCTCTTGCTAGATGCCTCACGAAAGACACCCAGTCATTGTCCGCTGTAATGAGACCAAGACCAAGTCCAAGTACCAAACGTGTATAAACTCCATAGGCCGTTTAGCATCACAAGACGAAAGTGATATTCGCCTCACAATGCAAAATAAGCACCCATACACGCTCACCCTACCCATCCTCAGATCATGTCCATGCCGTACCAATCATGCGTATTTTTAGAACTCCTTCCAATGTTCCAGATCGTGGGTGATTTTTGGGGGAGGGGGGGGTTTGTCGGTGTTATGGAGACGCTTATTCGACCTTGCTCTCGAAGTTCTCGCCGGCAACCAAGTCGGGGATGTCATCGTCGTCCTCACCACCCTCCTTGTTCTCCTTGGTCATGTTCTGGTAGCTCTCGGCGAGCTTGCGGAGGGATGCCAGGGAGTCGGGTCCGAGCTGGTTCAGGATACCGGGGACGAGCTCGGTGAGCTCCTTGTCCTCACCAGCTCCGTAGATAGCGAAGGTGTTTGCGGGAACAGCGGCGTGAACTGGGAGAAAGGGATGCCTTGTCAGCTTTGCAGGTCGTGGGTGAACGAGGCACCCCTCAATCGGGGGGGTGAAATGAGAACCTACCCTTGGGAGCGGAGAAGTGGATGACGTTTCCGTCGCTCTTGAACATGTTAACCTCCTCAATTGCCTGGATGGGCTGGACGTTCAGCTTCTTGAGGGTAGCCTGGAGCTTCTTGTCGTCGTTGGCGCTTCTGGCGACGGGGCGTCTCTGGGTCTTTCTGGGAGTGCCCTTGCCGCCTACAGATACAGAACGAATCAATTTCGGATCGCACCACAGAATGTCATGTCTGCGTCTCGCGCAATGCCAACATACCAGTACGGGTGGGGGCAGCGCCACCGAACTTCTTCTTGAGGATCTCCTGGATATCAGCCATGTTTGCTGCTTGGAATCGAGCTGTATTTTTCGGCGAAGAGAGGATGTGGGGAGGGGTTCGTCGGGGGTTCGGAGGAGAGCTCGAAAAAAAAAAGAGTATCTGCAGGCCAGGAAAAGAGATTTGCTTGTTAGCTTGGACGAGTCTGAGATGATTGACCCTAGCCCAGAATGCGAAATACACGCGATGGGCTCGAGTTATGTCACTTACCCGTGAATTATTCAGTTATGTCGTCGTCGGATCGCTACTCTCTGTCTCGGCGTGAGCCTTCCAAAGTTCATTGCCAGGGTCGAAAATGTGTGTGCCAAGACTTTTTCGCTTGTGGATTTACCCTCTTCCGCCAACTCTGCAATCTCATTGGCCAGTGCTCCTCAGTTGCTCCCAGTGCTTCCAGCACTTCCAGAGCTTCTCCAATCTCACACCACCCGCCCACTAGATCCGTGCACTTCCGTCACCTACACTGCTCTGTCAGTTGAACTACCCTCGGTATACGCGCCATCACTGTCGAGTAACGGGACAAAGCAATGGACACTCAAAGGGGTTAATAGTCTCACATGACTACACGTGCAATATGTCCTGGCCATAATGCCTGGCTACCCGGCGTCCACTGAACTTGTGCGGCACCGTGGTCTCCATGGATGCGGTCTATTGCCCACTTGAGTCAGTGAGCCTCTGTAGAATCTCTCCTATGGTACAAACTGGCTTCGCCGCCAAAATGCCCCTTGCTCCTTGATCTAATCTTCATCTGAGCCCGTGGTGAGTTTTTGTAGAGCTGCCCTCCGTGCTGAGACATTGGCATCCTCAAATTCTTCTTCAATCTCCTCAACCTCCTCGATTTCTTCCTCTCCATTTTCCTCGTCCTCAAGAACCGCTGCCAACTTCTCCTTGGCCGGCATGATGGCGCTAGGCGTAGGGAAAGGCGGAACCGGCGTATCGGCTTTCGTAGGTTGAAGGGCAGGCATGAGTTGGTACATGGCAGCCTCCACATCACTCTCGTCGGGTGTTGAACCTTGACCACTGCTGCTGGAATTATCCTCGTTATCTCCCTCGACATCTTGGTGAATCAAGAAGACCTCATCACCACGGTGGAAAAGCCGGCCATCTTGCAACGTCGCTGCTACAGCATCCACTGCTTCATGAATGGTCCCGGCTGTCACCAGTTTTGGTGCCCGTGGTAGTTCGTTCAGTTCCATGCTGGCAGCCGTGCCACTGGTGGCAATGCGACCTAGATCCGCCTCAAAGAGCCAAGGGAAGCTGATGAGCGGCATTTGGTTCTTGCTTCTCTTTGGGACCAGGTGGCCGGCTATCATGCGAGTATCCTGCCATTCTTGGATAGCAATTTGGACCTCCTCCCAAGTGACCCTGTACATCGCTGCAACGAATCGGCAGAGCATGTCTCTGTCAACGTCCAGTACCTCCCTAGCTTCGGCTGAAGCTGGTATCGTATCGGGCATGCTAGTCGGTGTCATATGTTGAGCTAGCAAGTGCTCATCTGCTTGGGACTCTGTGCCTTTGCCTCGGTCAGCCTTTCTGTCTCGATCCGACCGTCCTGCTTGTCCAATACAAGCTTGTACAAACCGATCTCTGAGACCAGCCATGATCAGGCCCATGTCTTCTTGCACCTTATAATCAGTGCCAATTCGAGGCTTGGTCATCACGAAAGTCGACCAGACCTCAAACTCTGTCCCAATCTCGCTCTGGTTCATAATCCGTCTCATTGCAATATCGTATTGGGTCTTGAGACCGCGTGCCAGCTTGAGCAAATTATCGCTCAGCTTATACCGACGCAAGATGCGACTGTCGAATGGACCTTCAAAATCGGGCGTGAAATCTACCTTGGCAACCAGATCGTAGAGCTGACCCAGAATCGTTCCTGATTTGTACGACTTTTGAGGGTCCCTCTCCATGAAGTGAGGCCAAGACCTAGGACGAAGCGCCCTTCCCATATGGGCTGGCTGACCAGTTTTGACATAATCAACTGCGTTTGAATGCAGCTTGGCAAGCTCAAGACATTCCGGGCTCTTTACGGATGCTTTGTCAGCCCAGGCGACATGGGCCAGAGCGATCGAACTGAGAGAGTCATTTTTCAAGTATTCGACGAAGAATCTAGAAATGTCTCTGATCGTGACGCTCTTCTCAGCTTTCTTTGGCTGCACAGCATCGTGCATCATAGGTGGGTGATTCCACTCCTGTGGAAGAAGCTTCGGATCCCAGAAAATAAAGTAGTCATCGCCGTCTAAATCACCTCCAGAGCACATGGACGCTACATCGCGATCCCCATCGGCAGGGAAAACGAGGACGTTTCGCAGTGTCTTGAGCTGGGCATTGTCGACATCAACTGCCTCGACTACCCGTAGGTCACCAGGATGCAAAGATGGATTCCGCCCCACCACGCAGACGCCCTTGATTGCACGGTATTCTCCGGCGTTTTCAGGAACGGAGACCTGTAAGAAAACTTGTGGCAGCTTGCTGCGGTCTCTTGACAAGTTGGACTCCATCGTATTCTCTTGGCCACGGAGGGTGCGTGTCTCATCTATGCAGCCAAAGACAAACGCGCCATTTTCGACAACGATGCGGGCTTTCTCACGAAGCAATTTCATTGACCATGCCCTCCAGAGTTGCAGGAGCGCTTTCGTGAACGGTTCTTGAGAATCCATGAATCCATCCATGATCAACTGCGCGATAGTCGTTGTCATCCCGTTCTCGTCGATAAATTGTCGCAACAGCCTTAGTGCCACTTCGGGATTGGTCATTGCTGTCGAGTAATCAGACAATTGATTCTTAGTCAGACCAACAAACGCCTCGTCGGGTACGCCTAAGCAGCTGAGGATTGCGATGGTCTGTCGGTTGAGTGTAGCAACAGAGAAGCGGGAACACCTAACGATCTCCAAGTTTCTTGCCCGAGCAGAGAATTTCTGCTGAGATGGACGGAGGCAGATCTCGTTGAACTTGACGTCTGGCCAAGTGACGAGGATTCCTTTGCTACCTCCATGGCGGAATTGAAATGCTGATGGAATCTTGCCATGCTCGTCATACATTTTGAGCTTCTTTGTAACCTCGCTGCTTACCCACGGGGATATCTTGCCAACCCCATCGCTGAAACACCAATCGTTCTTCTCAATATCTGGAATTGTCGAGACTTGAATTCCAAGGCTGATGCCTCGTGGGTCTCTCGTTGTCGAAAAGCATTGGCCAAGGCGGGATGCATATTTAGCAACCACATCGATGTGGCTAAAGTCACCCATCCAGTCACGAATATCATTGCAGGATACGGTGGCAGTCGGGCAGAAGAAGTAAGCACCGTGTTCACGAAACTGGGAGTTACCGAAAGCGAGGAACTGATAATGTCTGTCACCGATGCGTATACCATTGCGAAGAGTGCGATAAACTCTGTTGTACAGAGCATCGCTCACATCGCTATCAGCCTGTGCGTGGATCTTGCCTTCATTACGCTCGTCTGTAAACTGTACACGGAGGAACCGATCGCCTTGCTTGGCATAATGTCGAAGCACTCGATTTGTAGTTTCTGGTGATGGCGAACTAAAGTATACTTTTGAGGGGGTTACAATGACTTTTCTCACCCAAGTGCAATGGTCCGGCAATGTAATGAATGTATGGTGCGTCAGAGCCAATCTGTTCTCGAGAACGGTCATTGGGTTGTATACAGGCTTGTCAGCCTCTGTTACGTATTCAAGGACATTCTTAGCTTTGTTGATCAGGCTGGCCCTTTGTGTGTTTCTGGGAACCGGAAATCCATTGATGGTGTACTGGACATGAACACTATTCTGGCTGCCAGTCCCTCTTGCGCTGTCCATGTTCGATAGTCGACAAAGGAACTCAGGAGTAATGCTTTGCTCATTAAATACGCCTTGCGATATGGCTGCTTCTAGCTGATACCTGACTTCAAAGGAGAGATCGATCTTGTCTGTGCGGTGTAATAGAGCCAGGTGGTCGTTTGTCTCTACAACTATTGGATCATCGACAATCTCGCGGAAGTTCGATGGAGATCCTCGTTTCCAAGTAAATGTGCTTATATCAGTTGTGACGATCTGAATATTAAAGTCACTCAGGGCAGCCCTTATGTTATTCCACATTGGTGTGTCGGACTTGAGGAACAGAAGCCGGTAGGTAGTCCATTTTCCAATGTCAATGAATTGAAACGGCTCTTGCATTGTGACAGGATACTGCTTAGCCCAATCTGCGTAGCTGATTTCAGTGGTTCTCAGCCAAGTGTCTAAATCTCCCCACTTTCTCTTGTCGCCTTTATGGGAAAGTTCCATATTATTGCGGCGTTTCCAGAAGCGAGGAGGGTGCTTTTGGGAGATAACCAAGCACCAATAGTCTTGATCAATGTCAACATATAAAACCTTTTGTAAGTGACGAAGCTGAAGCTCAGCCTTAAACTCCGGGGAGTATGAGGCCTTCTCCCGCGTCCCGACAGCTTCGCTGTCAAAGTGGAGCTTTGGGTCGTGCCTCCTCGGATCATCGATGGAGCAAGTGAACTTTAAATAAAGTTTCCTGTACTTCAAACTGACAGTCAGTGTAGGATAAAAGAGAACATTCTTGATTGTCTTCATGACAGTCATAGTTCTGTCGTCTGAGAGAAACCCTAAATCCAGGCTGGAAAGCCGAAGGGTCATGACTTCCAAATACATCACGTCGGGACGCAGTGGGCTGCTGATCATTTGTGGACGCCTTGGGTTTTGGAGAAATACTCGGATCCTGCGGAGCCCTCCATTGATCGTGAGACCTATGCTACCTGACATCCAAAAGGCAGTAATTGGTGCGGGTGAGAAGGTGATGTACGCATGACCAAACGCGTCCCTCTGAGTAGGTTGCGGTATGCGAATAGATTCAATGCGACCGTATGCTTGTAATGTCTGAAATATCTCTAAAGCTGTCGTGTCAAGAGGGATACCTTCCAGTTTCACGGAGACTTCTAGCCATTTCGTCCAATCTTGCCGTGTGTCAAGGTTCGATCTTTGCCCCTGAGGATGATGGGGATGGCCGTGTGGATTCTGTCTTTCCCACAGATTTGTTCTGGCAATCATTTTGCCTCGACTAAGTGTGCTATTACGTGCCACCGATGCTGTTGTGGTCAGGTCTGAGCTGGGTATGGTGCTTCTGTGCACACTCCGATCTTGATGCTCAGTATTCAGACGACCAGGAGACTGTGTATTTCCAAGATTTCTACCAGGTGTGGAGCCAAGTTGAGTTGAGGCATTGTTCACTGCCGATCTGATGTTACTATGCTCTAAGCTGGACCTTTGGGAAGAGTGGGAAGAGTTCAACAAGGAATTTGGGCCTGACCCACCACTATGTCGGTTTGTAATGTCCATAGTTGATATTCACCGTTATATAACGTTGAGTCACGATGGACTGCACATTGAGTAATAAGGCGAATGAGTGCACGTGAAGCACAGGTGTCCCAGTGATACTAATGCGATAACATAAATTAGCTCAAATCTGTGATGAAAACAATGACCTGTAGTAGTATTCGTGGATACTAAGTGGAAGATCGGGGTGAATTGGTTTTGTTTGTTTTGTCCATTTGTTCGTTTGATCAGGTGGGATTGTAGAAGGTTGCCGAAAATGCTCATATCCATGAGGGGGGAGTTAATCGAGGGAAGCGACACCTATTAGAACCGAGCAGTAATAGGAATACTTACATACTTTATGTCAGAAGTGATTGCAAGCTGTTTGTTGAGAGCTGTCACAGTGGTGCATTCCGATATTTAAGTAATGGCTGGATGATGGAGTTGTGATATGCAGGCACCCGTCTGCAGAAATCGGAGGCAACATTGAGCGGTGTGGGTTTGGTGTTGCCTTTCTGTACCTTCATCAAGATTGATTTGCAATTTCAAATGGGAAGCTGATGACTGGAACGAACCTCAAAAGGAATAATGACTGAATGAATGGAATAATAGGATCCAGGTGCTGAGGCCACTAAAAGAGGCAGGAGCTGCAGGCTACTCACTTATCTTTTATAGTACAAACGTTCTCAGTTATATGGACATTTTTTCTAATGCAAGTAGTACTTAGCTCATTACAAAAGACACCTGATATTTAGTCTCTTGGGAATTCAATCTTTGTCAATCTGCATATTCAGATATTCCCGGCACTCAGCAGGCACAGAGGACCAGTCGATGACAACAACCGCTTGCACAAAGAGCGTACTTTTCAACGAATAAACCCTTCAGATAACTCACTCTCACACGCGATTTAGTACATATTTACGATCAGACCCCTCCCCTCCATCACCTTGCTGACAACGCCTACAGATTATGAGCGAGCAGAAGCTTAATGTTTCACAGACAAGCTGTCTATTGGGAAGCTGCGATGAGCCAAAATGACGTATGCAGATGCCAATGCTAACCATAAGATGCTGATGTATGATGTGTTAACCTGATTGCCCCGATCTATTTTCCTGAACCATTATCGATGCTCGATTGCGATGCTTAGAAACCCAACTACCATTTTTTTTTTCTTTTTTCTTTTCTTTGTGCCGACATATTCATCAAAAATCAATGGTGTACCGAACGTAGAATCGCGTCAGAGACCGCCTCCGGGAAGATCCATAATCTTTCCAGGATTCATGATCCATCTCGGGTCCAACGCCTGCTTGATCTGTCGCATTACCCCCAAGGTGTCGGGACCAACCTCCCAGAGCAGGGATTCCTTCTTGCCCCAGCCGATAGAGTGCTCTCCGGTGCAGGTGCCGTCCATCTCCAGAGCCCGCTTGACCATGTTTTTGACACACAACTCGACCTTTTCACGTTCCTCCTGATTATGGCGGTTGTACATGATACTCTCGTGGAAGTTACCATCACCGATGTGTCCGAGGATGCTGGCGAATAGTCCCATGTCGTCCATCTCCTTCTTACTGACTTCAATGAGGTCAGCGAGTCTGCTGAACGGAACAGCAACATCCGTACTCCCTACTAATATTAGCTAGCAGATTCCAGAAAGAACACGTTACGAACACCACTTACAAACTTCCTCTCCATCTTTCCTTAGTGCCAGCATGGACCACAGCGACTCTTTCCTGGCAGACCACAGTAGTTCCTGCTCACGTTGATCCTTGGCAAATTCAAAGTTGCTGCCCTTGTTCCTCTTGGTGATTTTCTGGACCAGGCCAATATGCTCCTTTACTGTCGCCTTGGTGCCCGAGAACTTGAAAAAGAGTGTCGGCATTTCCTTCCAGACCTTCGGAGCAGTCGCTCCACCGAGATTGACAACCTTCATCTGCACTTCGTCCATGATTTCCATCGCTGCCACTTGGATGCCAGTCTGCATGACCTCGGCAGCTGCGGACGCTGCATCGCGTATAGTTGGAAATGTGACTACCGCAACCGAGAGATCTTCGGGGACGACAGCAAGCTTAACGGTCGCTATGTGTGCAGGTAAGTTGGTGTTGCATCAACGTGGGAAAAGGCTCGAGTTACCTTCAGTCACCAAACCAAGTGTGCCTTCTGACCCCACAAAAAGACTGTTAAGGTTGTAACCCGCAGACGATTTTCTTGGCCTTCTTCGCGTCTTGATAACCGTTCCGTCGGAAAGCACAACTGTGAGGTTTATGACCCAATCTTTCATGGTACCGTATCTCACTGCATTCGTTCCAGAGCAGTTTGTTCCAATCATGCCACCGATCTTAGCACTTGGGCCTGAGCCATCTTTGTCAGCATTCAGGCCATCGTACGAGTTTCTGGACAAAACAAGGAGTATCAACAAAAATTGACGTCGCTTCTTGTGTACTCACCTGGGTCGATAGGGAAAAATAATCCACTCTCCAATCTTGCCAACTGCTCATTCAAGTCTTGCCAACCTATGCTGGGCTGAACGACAACATCCATGTCGTCCTTGTTAAACTTGATGATCTGGTCCATGTAGGCAAAATCAACACTGATGCCGCCATAAGGGGCAGAGAAATTGCCCTCTAAACTTGAACCTCCCGAGTAAGGGATGATAGGAATGCGATATTTGTGGCAGATCCGTGCAATAGTTGAGACCTGGTCTGTCGACCTAGGATAGGCCACAGCAACCGGAAGGCCTTCAGGGTTGGTGCTCGACCATTCAGAATAACCATGGGCATGCAAATCATCGGGATCCGTTGATATTATATCTTCACTGCCAGCACCAATCTCACTACGAATCTCATCCAAGGCCTTAACAAGCAGTCAGTCGAGAGTGTTCGAAGTAGAGAGGATATAATTCATACCATCTCCATTTCACGTATCGACGCATAACGTGGGGCGGCAACCTTGCTGTCGAGTAATAAAACGTTACCCCTCGGCGACAGCTCCAACCCGGATGCGGCAAGTCCAAACCCGAAAACACCGGCCGAAGCCGTAAGTGCAAAGACGGAGCGACTCGACCACCTCGGAAGCTGTTGGGAAGCTGTAGAGCTAGACCGGCTAGCCCCTCCGCTACCGGCAATCCTCTTCTGGGGAGTTGATGAAATGGCCCGTTTCCAGGCGCCGCCCAAGCGGCTGCTAAGATCCTTTGACAGCATTGGGTGAGGCAGCTGTAAACAAATGGAGGAATTCCAGTAGAAACCAGGCCAGACACAAGCTCAAGCGTATGACTAGTTGTTATGTATATACCACTTTCGAAGTACAGGCACGTCCGACTTTGGCAATCTCGAACATCCAATGTTTTCTTCAGATAAGAGTTGCTGGCTTCCCTTTTCACTTCTCGAGTCCGTAGTCTGATCTCGTCATCAGCCCAACGAGGTGCAGACCAATGAGCGTCAGACGCCAACAAATAATGACTATGACTGAAATCCACTGTACTGTACAGGAGTGGTTCTTTGAATGGCGTGGATAGCAGAGTGGAGACTTGGTGACGCTGGAGTGAACGGGGTGTCGAGAAATTATTTCTTTCCGGATCCGACGATGGGTCGCGTATAGTTAACGGACAGAAAGAGTGGCAATGGGAGGGGGATATGAGCCAGCTCGACTTGACCTTGCAAGTACTTCTCGTGATCTTTCTCTCGTGTAATACTAGCACTTCGGGTAATGGACCTCGTGACTCTTATCCAATGAGCTAATGTCGACTGCACCTGGTGTGTCAATGCCGGAAAATAACGATGATTATGGCCGACTTGTGTCACAAAGTCGCAGTAATTCACCTTAGCCCAGTAAAGCACAGCTTATGCTCACCTTATTGGGACAATTCAAAACAAGGTTACAGAAGGAGACGACGAGCTTTAATAAGAAACAGTCCCCGGAGCCAATAGACAAGCTCCAGCTAGTATATCAGTAGAGAGACTAAGGAACAACGGACTGACTTAACTTGCTGAGTGACACCGGACAGAAAAGCATACACCGATGAACGTGGAGTGTTGTTGTTCCCCTTGGCGAAAAGTCCGCTTCGGGTTGCTCTAAGGAAACAATTTGAGAGGAGTCGCATAGACCGACGAACCACTTGGCTCGAGAAGGAATAGAGCGTGGGATGAGCAAGGAACAATCAGTTTCCATGCCTAAACCTGAGGGCCTAGCGCTTGGAATGGAAGTTGCGCGGACAGAAAGGAATGCAGAGATCCGTGGGATGTCGAGGCATATTGATGAAGGCTGACTTTGCCTGCCTGCATCAGTAATCTTCTCCGCAAGGTACGTCCTTGGATTCTGTAGCTTGAAGATGAATACACCTCAATCAGTTTTGGTGCATATTTGCCGTGGCTCGCTTTGGCCGAAAGAATCTGCGAAGCAATATATCGCTCACGCTGGTCATTGTTTTGTACCTCAGTCTTCCAAAATGGCAAAGTCAAGATGTGAAGCTGTGAGAATCGAGCTGGAAAGCCAGTCATTATTGCTCCTGACATTTGCCGAAATGTCCTTCATGAAGCAGAAACTTCTCCAACTGTCGAGGATCTCGTGGCCACGAAGTTGTGGGCCGCTCTTTGGAGAAGAGGGGTGTTGACAGGGGGACACAGCCCGTTGGCTGAGGGGTAACATCGGCTCTATCCCGTGCAGAGGTGCAGAGGTGCGATCTTAAAAAATTCTCAACGGCTGAGCAGCTTCAGAGTACTTTGAGGCGTCAACTCCAGGGATCAAATGCAGGTGATTGACGCTCAAGATCCGGGACTTCCAGAAGGCTCCCCGGTTGGGTTCCATGCTCCCACGTACTTCCGAATCAGGTATGCATACTCGGTCAGGACCACCGTGGAGTGTGGTGTGTCCTCACCATGACCACTCCATACATATGGCGTCCGCTTGGCTGGCTCAATGACAATGACGTGTGTTTGAAGACGACCTGACTTCGGGGCTGACTAATTGTCTTCCGGTTGTTGTTGAGAAGCGAGCGAGAGCGATGTGTTCGTGCGCCCAGATTTAAACAACATACAACGGAAGACTTTGGGGGTCAACTTATCCCACGTCGTTTCCAGGTTATCCTCGGGGTGTGGTCATCCAGAATTGTAGGCCACCGGATTTTGTGCGGCAAGCTCATATGGTCGTTTGATAGTTTTAATTACATGTATCAAGCACAGTTCTTACATGGGGATGGGGGCCAGAGTGGTCTATAGTCGCGGAGACTTCCTGCTTGCCCTTTTTTTTCTGTGATGAACACTCATTTCGATTGTCGGTGTAAGGATATCTGGTTGGGAAAATCTTACACATGGGTGGCACCTGGTATGCGTTGTTGAATGGCAAATACCAACTCTCACAGATGCGGAATCCGGAAATATCACGTAAGAGTATGCCATGTGATGCTATATTAGACATGTAAGAAGGCGCGTGAGGTTATCTAAGAAAGCCGTGCAACAATAAGCAACAATAATCAGACTTCGTGCACCAGTGAAAACGTGGGGTAGTGTATAGTACCCCAGAATATCCCGGCAACCCACATTGATTAATCATAGTGATAGCAGCACACTGATAGTAGCGCAATATAACCTCACTCGTACGTCCTTGGCATCTTAGCGAAAAGTACAAGTCACTATGCAACAGGTTGTTTGTATTATTGAAGCAGCGGTCAAGGCTAGCTCAGCTGTGGCCTGTGCGCCAAGCAACACGGAAGAGTAGTAACAGTTTGCGATAAACATTTGGTGTTTTGCTGATGCAATTGGCTGCACAAAGTTGCATGTGCCTAATTCACGTGAAGAAAAGAAAAATAAAGGAATCCTTCTCAAATAAAAATGTGTTGAGTACAAGAGGCGAGGCTGCAAAAGACGCAAGTGCAGTGTGGCATTTTTCAGCAAAACGTTTGAATCACTGTATGCACCATCTCATGCATAGGGTAGTATTTGGGTGTTAGTATGCCACATATTTTTCTCAACATGAATTCGAGTTGTCAAAGTCGATCAATACTTCAGTTAATATCTCTGATCACACAATTGCTATTGGTTCGATGCAGGAGCTAACACTGGGAAATCAAGATGGAAGTGTAAGTCAAGGCAATCGATTTCGGCTCATCGCCCTTGTTTCCCATGGGCAATAAGGCCAAGGAGAGATATAGAGAGAGAAAGAGAGAGAGTCACGATCGACCGAGTACCAGCTTTACTCTGCAGAACGGCTAAAACCCAAATAATTCTGGGCTGAAAAGGTATCTCATTTGTCAAATTGCTTTCTTTCTCATTTGAGCTTCATTTACCTAAAGAAGCTGCCTTCATGATGGCTAGCGCAAACCATTATCCGTAGACTCCAGCCCATGCGTAACAAAGTCAACCAAGTACCTAACAAGTCCCGTTTTCAATCCCGTGGCTTTGACCCTACATTTAGTGGCCAGCCAGAGCGTGAGCTCGGCGACGGTCACGCTCCTCAGCAATGGTGAGCTTGACACCCTTGCCCTTGGGCAGGGAGATCCAGGGCTTCTCGGAACCAATGACGAAAACGTTGCTCTCACGGGTGGCGAAGGTGTTGTCTATGGCGTCCTTGATGTGGACGATGTTGAAACCACCATCGTGTCTCTCACGGTGGGTGACGACACCAACACGACCCATGTTGCGACCACCAGTAACCATGGCGACGACACCGGTGTCGAACTTGACGTAGTCCTCAATCTTGCCAGTGGACAAGTTGATCTTGACGGTGTCGTTGACCTTGATCAAAGGATCAGGGTAACGGATACTGTGGGAGCCATATTAGCATACAATCGTGGAAGGGAGAACATACAGCCATCGTCTCAAAGCTCTTTCCATATCAACCAAACCAGACAACAGGGTGGTTCGACCAAAGCTTGATCCAACGGCTGAATGATGTCTGACAGAACTTACGTTCGTGCATCGTGCGTGACCAAGAATGGGATGCCGCCCTTGCCAAGTTGCACTCTCTTGACCTTGCCGAGCTTGTACTCGGCCTCCTCGGCCTGAATGCGGTGGACAGTGAAGCGACCCTTGGTATCGTAGATGAGGCGGAAGTGCTCGCCAGTCTTCTCGATGGTGATGACATCCATGAAACCGGCGGGGTAGGTGGTGTCGGTTCGGACCTTGCCGTCGACCTTGATGAGACGCTGCATCAAGATGCTCTTGGTCTCACGGTAGTTGAGGGCGTACTTGAGACGGTTGCGGAGGAAGATGATGAGGGGCAAGCATTCTCGCTGCTTGTGAGGACCGGGCGAGGGCTTGGGAGCGTAGACACCCGAGAGTTTGTCGAGAAGCCAGTGCGACGGGGCGCTGAGGCGCTTCTGGTGCTTCTTACTGTCAAGGGAGAAGCATTAGCATACATGGCAGAAGATTGAAATTTTCGTGACACGATAGTCGACAATTGGATCAGGCCTGGAAATCTCTTGGATAGCCATTGAGGCCAGAAGAACAATCCGTGGCCATCTCGCACATTGCGACAACCTTGTGACAGAGCTGCAACTTACGGTCCTTTACCCATTTTAGCGGTTTGATGGCTGGTTGGGTTGCTTGTCGTGGGAGGTTCGGGTGTGCTTTTGAGATACTGGAAAATAAAAGTTCGCTTTGCTGAAAAGTGGAAAGCAAGCGTTTGGGTTTGTGGTGCCCTAGCTCAGCCCCACGTGATTTTCTGTCTGTGGTGGAAGTTCTGGCTAATGGGTCTGAGCTTCTGGTTCAATTCCGACCCACCATTTTGAGCCTGGAGCTCTGAGCAAGTGCTCAACAAGCGCGAGGCCACCTCGACCAGCTGCAGCAGGCCCGGCAAAAATGAGCGCGTGGTTTTACTTTCATCAGCATTCAACGTCGGTCTCAACCAAGGCTTGGCAGGGAACCCCCCACCCCCATGAATCAGCAAAGAATGAAAGCAATTCACCACAGCCAGCCGCACAGAGCCAGTCTTGCCTGTATTGTGTCTTGTTCACTGTTGCATATGGTCCTGCGATTCTTGGAATTTTCGACCTCATGTGTGCTTTGATATTCAGTTCACGAGGCACCCTGGCACCAAATTACACTTACTGCCACGCGACGTTGATTAGGCACGTTGCATATGTCGTTGACTTCTAAAATTCAGGATCGAGTCCCGTTTATTACTCGATGGTTTCTGCAGCCTTGAATGTACTCGAATCCATTCCAGGATCCTTCGGCATATGTCTACGTGGGCTGGTATATATAGTCCATCTGAAAAATTGATGGTAGCCTCGAATTACGAGACGCAGGCACGCTCTCAACCTTATTGCTGGAAGACAAACCCATGGCGCTTAAACGTCAAGCCAATAATGACAGGGCCACACCCGAAAATCTGTGACTTTGATCGAGTTGCCTTCAACGGAGAATATGAGTGTGACAGTGGATTGTGCATGATAACTCTCGGGCATTAAAAGTTACCGCACCGGTAGAAAACACAAATGCCACAAGGCTGTCGTGTGTGCGCAAGCGGCTTTACAAACTTCCACCCTCTTTGGCAGATGTCTGAGTGCTCGGTTTGGTCATGTCAGGAATAATAAGACTTTCGAGTCATCGACTCATCCAAGACCTCGTCTGTCGGATGCAGATTCGTGTTGTAGATGAGTATCGTCGAGTAGTAGTCGCGAAATGTCCATCTCGCCCATACCGGCAGGGGGAAATGCACTTCCAGCTGCTTCATTCCAGAAGAGGCTTTGTGTCACTTGCGAAGATTCTGGTGCGTCCATCAAGCTGGCAGACATTGGCCATTTCGGCATATCCTCTCTTGAGCTACTGTGTAAAAGCTGTGGCTCCAGAAGCGCCGATTTAGACTTGTCTAAAGAATGACCAATATTCATGTCGATCGACGGTTCTAACAACCCATTTCCTTTGACTTGCAATTGCGTCTTCTCTGCGCCCGCGAACTTTTCCGGGTATTTGTTCCTCAGCCTATCTCTCAAGTCCGTTGGCTGACGACTCGATAGGTTAAATCTGGGATCCCTCTGGATTCTCGTCCATTGGGGCCCATACGACTCAAACCCTTGTAATATTTCGCTGTCATCCTGTTCTGTGAAAGGGCGACGACCGCGTCGTTGTGACTTCTTGAAAGGGCCTTTGATACCCAGTTCAGCAAGATCCTCCAACTTTTTTCGATGGGCGCGGCTCTTGCGCTGCTTGTTCGCGGTGTCAGAATCGTTATGGACAGATAGGGCTCTTTCCGACTCTGCGAGCTCTTCTGGCTCATTCAAGATATTCTCAGACATGAGTCCTTTTTTGGGCTTGGTGCTAGCCGACAAGCCTGACTTCGCTTGTTGTGTATCAGTCCTTACTCTATTGCTTGCTCTCAACTCATCTGGACAGCATGTGCGGAAGCGGTCTTTCAGATCACCGGCGGTTCGCTCGTTGAAGCTGAATTCATTGTCGTCCAGGATGTCAGTCCATCTTCCTACCCCATGCTTGCTCACGCCAAGCAGTAGATGGTTTGTCTCCTCCTCGGTCCATTTTCGACGTGGCTTAGCTGCTCTCCTTTTGAGCCTGCCGGTTGGGGTTCGCTCGGCGTCCGGTGGCGGGCTGGGTACGGCCTGATCCTCAAGGCCAGCTTGGAGCTCTGGTGGCTTGCCGATGCTTAGAACTTTCGGTGGCTCGGAACGTGGGCGACTGTCAAAGGATGTCGAGGCCATAGATGGGAATAAAGCAGCGTCCGGTGGCGGTTGGTTCAAACCCACAATCATGGGAGGGAATCTCATTTCAGCCGAAGCTTTCTGTTTCTTGAGCGGTTGTGGTAACTGCACAAAATCGTCTTTGGGGTGCCTCTTTTTCACCGAACTGTCTTCTTGAATCTCCGGCGTGTCATCAAGGATCTTTCGCAAATCTTGGGACGAAATATGGTGTGACAGATGCTTCTCTACGCCATAGCTTGGGTCCTTCCATGTGCCAGTATTTCCAAGCCCATCCTCTGTCAACGTGAGGAGTGGTGGCATGGATTGCGGAGGCAACTGACCCGCTGACCCAGCATCTTGACCATCGCTCCATTGGCTGCTACCATATTCAGTAGGATGTGGATGTTGGGCGTTCGTAGGTTTCGGAAGATCGAGACCCTTGATCGGTGGTAGGTCAGCGTGGTGCGGCTTCGGCGTAGTAGTCGATTCGTTAAGCAAGTGAATTAGCCGTGGCTCGATGGTAGCCATCGTGAATGGAAAATCCCGGGTCAAAGAAGAGCATTGGAACAGAACCGCAAGCGTACGACAAATACAAAGATAATCCACGACGAATCGAGGGTTCAAGGTCTAGACTTTCATAGCAGCAGCGATGAGCAAACTAAGGTAAGGCTTTCTCAAGTAGTACACGACTGCCTCTCTGCGCTTGCACATATGCAGCCGGGCGCCGTGAGCAGGACGCTCGCTTTCGAAGAGTAAGATGATTGCCCTCGTGGGTTGCGTATGGAATTGTTACGTATCAAGTCAAACGATAGGGACCAGGCCCTTGACCTCCACGCTGCAGCGGTAGCCGTGGAGATAGCTTGGAGTCCAAGAAGCGGAGATGGGAATGTGTCGACTGGGATGGCAAATTCAACAAGACCGGACAGAGTTCCAGCAACTACGGGCCACAACCAACACTGCTAACTTTCAAGCCGGCTAAGCCCGAGAACTCAACCCATTCTCCGGATGTAAGTACGCGAAAATGCGAGGTGTTGGTTGACGTCGCAGAAGCTCGAGTATGAGGTGTAACCGGACAAGCAGCAGGCAGATGAAGTGTGTCGTTCAAGGTCGTTCCAGACCCAAGTCAAGCGTCTCGCCTGTGGCCCCTTATCGCTGTCCCTGGAGGAAATTCTTTGTCATTGGTAAGCCTTCGCTTTGGTTGGGATTGGGTGAAAGAGAAGCCAATCCTGGATTTGCCCCCCAAGAAATGCAGGCCGAGATGGAACGACGTTCTAGGCTCACCTCATTTGGTTCCAAGTCCAATGTAGTATATGATCTACATGGCAGGAGGGCCTGGGAGACGCAATTGGATCTGAAGGGAACCGAGTGCCACGATCTTGCCGCGTCCAGTTATCTCCGTAGTTTCCGGCGGCAGTTTGGAGCTTTGACCTACTTGTCCCCAAGCTCAGACAGGTGCGGCCAGTTGGCACCAGATCACCCAGCGCGTCTGAGCATTAACTGACGACAACTTGGTGTGAGTGCGATGATTGAATGTCTTTGAGTGTACCTAGTACTCCTAAACAGCCTGACAATAGCTTCAATAGTGTACGTGATTGTACCACATAATACCCCGCCATAATTACCTCGGTCTGTCCTTCAGACATTTGGAGGTGAATCACTACGAGCGTCGATTTCAATCTGACCAAGTTCAATATATGGTATATGTTGTGTTGGGCTTAGAGAAACAAGTCGGGTCTCCAATATGGCATCACAGTTACCTACTTTTCCTAGATTCGTGTTCACCATCATTGAGCCGATTTCATTGTAAGCTAGGCTTCTGCCCCTATGTACATTTCTCTCTGTTGACCCCGATACAGGATTGCTGGCGCTGTTGCACCTTTCATATCGCCGGACTGGTTTATTGAGGAGCAGATATCGATTACAAAACCTATTGCCCATACAGATAATTCTCGCCTCGTAGCACTGCAGCTGGGAAACGCCTATGGGTTGCTGTTTTTGCTTGGGGTTGCCGTCCTTTACACGAGCTCAGAGTTGAAAGTCGTTCGGAATTACTTATGGGCTCTGTGGGTTGCGGATCTGGGGCATGTTGGTCTCACGGCTTACTTGCTGGGCTATGATAGATCCTTGGCTGTAGCTGATTGGAACGCCATGACATGGGGAAACATTGGAGCTACAGTAAGTCAAATATTACATTGATCCTTGCTCACGGAGGTGCTGATGCGATGCTAGGTATTTCTTTGCCTGACTAGAACAGCATATTTGCTTGGGTTCTTCGATAACAATACACATACTTCCCTGGGCAGGAAAAAGACTAATTGATGTTGGCTAAGTTCCTTGAGTAGCAGTCTGGGGAGGTATCCTCGCCCCGCATTCATGCAGTCAACCTCATGATCCTGTTGCAATTTCTCGTGTCATCAGATCAAACCATTAACCACGTCGATATTAGTATAGCAAGGAGTCAATTCAGCTTTAAATTTCTAGCAACATTTGATTGTCAGGCTACGATACACTTAATGTTGTCGTATTTCCAACCAATCATTGTGCCCAGTGTTTGTACGTAGCTGATGTGTTAGTCATGCATTAAACAGGAAACCAATATCTATTCTGTTGCGGGGCGTCACGTTCAACAGTGATAAGGGACGGAACTTACGAGAAGGTGATACTTTGGGGCAAAAACAATATCAAATCTGGTAAACCACTTCATATATAAGAAAGCATTCCGACACGAAAATGTTTCTGTAAAGTTACGACCCGCTAGCCTCCCGATGCATGTTCCTTTTTAATACGTTCTTTCAGTTCCAGACGTCTGAGTCGCTCAGAGGTGCTGGACTAAATCGCATCGCATTTAAACGCACACGGGGTATCCATGGCATGGCTGGACTATCTGGTACTGGTATGTCTAAAATTGAGATATCTATAGCCACATCGTCATCTTCGAAAAAGTTTGGTGTACTGAGATCTCGACCCGGTGAAAGTGGCATCTGGGTCAAGTCATATCCTACGGGGAAATCTGTGGGTGGCGTAGGGTTATTCATGTCAAATTCGTGTTCCATGGCATGAACCAAGGAGCTTGATTCGTCTTCGAATGAGTGTCTCCGGGCGTCGCATTCCACGTCAGGGGAAGAATATAGAGCCCGACCGATGGCCGTGTTTGTACCGTTACCCAACCATCGCCGGGTCGAATGGACCGTGTCGGGAATAAAGACGCCATTGGAGCCTGTCGTTGGGGGACAGTGTGAGTGTGATGCTTTGTTCACGACACAATCATCGGGGAATGCGTCCGCAAATACACAATGTTGCGGGTGTCCAGCGCCCAAAGGGCATTCTTCATTCTTTTTGTGCCAGTGCCTGGGTTTGCCTCGATTCCGGTATGTTGGTCTCTGGTCCGCATATTTGCAGCAGAAGAACGACTACGAAACAAAGTCAGTCAAAACTGAGAGGCAAGCATATAGACAATTGCATTGTACTATAACATACGCAATCATTCGATGCTTCAGATTCTCCCTGAACACCAGACACCAGATGATCCTCATCGGTAGAGGACATGACATCTGAGTTTACGATGCTACCGTCCTCGTTACTCCAGTCAGACCAGATGTCTTCATCAACCTGTGCGCTATTGCCTGTGTCATCGTTTGTGGCGTGACTGTTTGACAACGATATTAAGCGTTGCCAATTATCATGCACAAGAGCGGGTAGCTCTTCCGATGTTGCAGGTGCTTCGACAAGGTCAGACTTAGAGTGTTCTATGCCGAAGCTTTGAAGCGCTGCTAGCTGGGCATTAAAAAGAGCTAGTTTTACTGGAGTTGGAAGTGTGTTGGCTCGAGTAAGCTCTGCTGCTTCTTTCCAAACAAGTTGTGTTTGCGATGGCAATCCTGGAATTTGAACAATGACGACTGTTCCTCGAAGAAGACGAGGCATGCCGTTAAGGATAGTGATCAAGTGTCCGTTGGCTGATTGCAAGTGTGGCACCCAGCATACAAAGGTCGATTTGATCTTTGAGCGTCGGCAATAGTTGAACTCAACGATGTCAATCCAGAAGGGTTCCTGCAAATTAACCTTGCCAGGCTGCAAGTAAGCCCAGATAGGACAGACTCCAGGCAGGTCTCCAGGTAGATCTCCAGCCTTTACTACCACGCCATGAGCCTCTGCATTGTATGGTCCTTTCTTGATGTTGTCTCGCACGGCCGAGAGATTGTCAATTAGTGTTATTTTACCAGGGCCATCCTTTTCCAAGAAGCGTGCGACAAGCGGCAATTGGATGCTGTCGAGGTTTGCATAAGGTACTTGGATTTTTGCTATTTGCACCTTGCCATGAATGTGGTTTTTTTGATGGTATGTGTAATCGCGGACTTGTGTATGAAAAACAGCCATTGCAGAGCTTTGGGTTCAGGATTTAAAAGCATTCCGACGCTACCTTTGAGGGACCGAAAACACTGCCGAATCAGCCAGAATGGTATTATAATGTTTCATGGACAAGAGCCAAGCACACAACTCGATATGAACAGCACAAGCATTTCCGTGGAAACGAGATCACAAAAATAAAAAGCAAGTTTATGGAGTTGAGCCAAGGCTCACCTACCTACCCCTAATTCCTGTGGACAAAACGGTCATTCTCTTGAAATACTTTCGAGTCTTGATTGAAGTTGTTCGATTTGCTTTTTCCGACTGGGTGGCCTTGCTTGTTAAGACAACATGATAATAACTGGACCTGTCCTGGCTACTAGTGTACATCTTCTAAGAAGTTCCTGCAGAGACGTAGAGAGGCAGCTTGGAAAATTTTGTTCGTTATGTAGGCTCGCTTAAGTAACGCGCATGAAAGGCGTCTCAATACAGTGTGCACTTTGCCACCAGGAGCAATGCGCTGCTCGGAGTTGTACTATACACTTCGCGCCTATGAGCTGTCGTAAGCTAGTTGGCGCTAAAAATAATTAAAAATAATTAATTTAATAATTTAATAAAAAAAAACCTCCAAGTAAGGCTTCCGTTTGAAGTTACTCACAACGCTGCAACAGCCAGTTAGTGGCAACTTAGTTTTGTAGCAATACAAGCGACCCTCACCGAGTTTTGTTTCGCTTGGCAGGTGGGTGAAGATGTACCACAGGCCACTTGAAGAAAGACCAAGATGAGATTGCCCTCTTCGTTGTTTCAGCTGTCTTTAGAAGCGTCAGATCCAGGTTCTGGCTGCTGATCCACCTTCGTTTCTGGCTGTTTCAACAACTTGCTGAATGCCTCGGTCAAGGACGGTTTGCCTTCTTTCTGGTCCTTCCCCTCCAAGAGATCGGAAAAGTACTTGGCGATCTCTTGCTCGGCAGCCTCATCCGCCTCGCCAAGATTTGCCCTTGTGTGTTTCTGCGCTGCTGCCCGTAACTCGCCCACACTCGAGATATCGAAGGCCCAGGAGACCCCGCCTGTCGCCATAATACCAAAGGACATTGTGTTGAGTGTGGCCAGCCCGAGCGCCTCCACCGCTACGAAGCCACCATCACCTGTGATTTTACTGACTGGGTTGTTGCTCTGTTCGTAGAATAACGGTATACCAGAGATGTGTTTTCTTGCTATGGCACGTCGAGTGATGGCGGTTGAGAGAGCCAAGAAGCCTGCACCAGCGAAAAATATCCCCAGCTGACTCAAAGATCGCTGCGAGAGTATGGGGGACCGTGTATCTGGTCGTGTGCTGGCTGGGGGTGTGAGGTCAGCCGGCGCAACGACTTGCTGAGCTGCTGCGGCAGGGGGTGTGGCGGAAATTGTAGAACGCTGTCGCTCCTGATCGTCATTCGCGATAGTCATCGTCGTGCCGAAGGACCACATCGTGGTAGGTGTCGTGGCGGCGTCCAGGTAATCAAACTTGATCAGCCCGGAAGAGAGAAGGAAGGATTGGACGCGTCGACTCGAGCTCGTGCTACCGATCGCTACAGTAGACGTACCTAGTTTTGAAAGAAAGTTCAAATACTGGAGTTGTCTCAATTGAAGGGTCTCTTATTTTTTAGTGGAGTGGTTCCGCTGAAAATCTGGGGTAGCGCTAAAACTACCTTACCTCTCGACACGCTGGTTTTATCATGTACACCTTGCCATCTGATAAGAGGCATACCTTCGCCTTAGACTGAGCCTTTGAATCAATCACACTGCAATTGTCATGCCTCCGCTCGATGAGGTGATTCCTGCCACTATTGCCTGCATTTTCTACACTAGAAGGAAAACAATATTGGCATTTGCAAATCAATAATCACCCGATCCGCTGCTTCCATCACCGGTTCCCGGAATCCGTAACGAAATTGCCCCACCCATGTCTCTGAGTCTAGAACAGGGCATAGATGTCTTGCTTATTACCTGTTCTGTTTCAAAAGAGAACATGGTATACCAATCTTTTCTAAGAAACGCCTGCTTCGACTCAGCCCAGCATTCGGTATAGTCTGGAAGCACATGCATTAAAACTCGTACCAACAGAACGAGACAGTGTTTTGTGTAGTCCAGCTTCATATGCAACCATATAGCTTCCGCGGATGGCTTGCTCGGATCCTGGAGCAGCCTTGGAGGCAGCTCTCTAGAGGTAATAGGTGTTTCATCATCGTAGATTTTGATCGAACCTAGCACCTCTAGAGCCGTTTGAAGATGCACCAGCGGTTCACGCAAGTCCGCGGCCGTTGCTTGTGGTTTCAGCTGACTAGCCACATCATAAGCTCGGTGAATACGATCGCTGAACTCCCGCACAAATCGATGCCGACGTCCTGCAAGACTTCCCTGCTTAAAGGAATGGCGCCAATATCGATGGGTTGCCGCAAGCGCCCGATAGTCAGAGACGCTGGCCAAAGGAGATATAACGCTGCCCCCCTGACGGGCTTGAGAGGCCGGCTCCTCAGCTATCTGCGCATCCACTACCGCAACTAGATCCAGGTAATCAGCAATTAATACGCTTTTTTATATGGCCAATGCTAAGCTAACGAGAAAGACTCCCGGAATCCAGTATCTCTCATTTAATACCAACCTCTAAAGGTGATATCGTGAATGAATATATGACTGTCAAGCAATGATGCTGGGCAACAACTTACTAGCCCTGTGCCCAGCGGCAATCCATGATGCTAGTTTGCTCATTTCCGTACGTGCGTTCGTGTTGATCTACTATCGGTGAAAGGACAGCCACTGTATGGCCTGCTAGGTTAGTCAATCTACCAGCCTTTGTTCCCTGCCTATATATCAACTTGTGTATGTCATGATACACATGGACTGACTGGCGAATAGCCGGTTTTTTCTTTAACTGGAATAGTGTGGTCCATCGTTCTTTTCAGATACAGATGAAAAGAAAGCGCAAGTCACCTTGATGCTGCTGACCTGCTCGGCTTGAGCGGGATGCCATGGGTACAGCAAGGGCTGGCCTTCCAAACTTGACATATGATCGTTTGGAAAAGGCGGTTTGTAATAGACCACCCGGGTATTCACCTGGGAGCGAAGTTGAGCTGGAGGTACCATTGCATCAATAGATTCCCCATCAAAATGCTTGGAAAAAAAAAAAAAGGAATTCTACCACCTGCACAGCAAGATTGCCCACAGTTGCTAATCTCAATGAGTGGTGTAGCAAATGAGTGGTGCTAATGATGTAGGCGAGATGACAAATCGCATTTGTTCAGCATCACAACAAGCTGTCCATTGGTCACGACCGATCCTAGAATTCAATCAGGCGCAATAGGCCAAAATTGGGACGGGATGTTACTGTACGATCCTTGCGCCGCCTGTAGGTAACTACTAACAAGCGGTACCAGGTAGAATGAGCAATGTATCCAGAAGTTATCGGTCTGGTGGTATGGATGGAGTCTGACGATGGTTGCCACTGAAATCAGGAGCAAACTGAGAATCATACCTACCCGATCCGACTCCTCGACTGCACCAAGGCACGATGGACCCACTCGGCGATGTGGATTAGACTAAACTAGACTAACCTTAGTGGGTAAGCCATCCAACCTAATGCAGTTGTTGCCAACCTCATCCTTCCACTCATTTTGACTTAACCTTGTCCCAAGAATCACGGAAATTTATGTAGATAACCTGGAACAGCGTCTCATTGCACAGTATGGCAAGGAACAAGCCAACCAAATCGAAATCGTCCGTGCAAACGCCCTCATCATCCGGAAAACAAACCGTTGCAGCACGACCCAACTGGCCATTGTTCAAGCCTTTGCTGCCTGTTGCACCTCTCAGCCTTGAACCACCGGTGCCGGCACTCGAAGACAAGATCCTTGTCGCTCGCAATTTCTTCCCCAGATCACTATGCCGAGATTATGTTACCTTTCTTCAAAGTCTACCTCTAGTGACCACACCTGGTCGACCTAAGCGTGGAGAAGCAGTCCGGGTGAACGACAGGTTCCAAATCGACGACTTTCAGTTCGCCCAACGATTATGGCTAGAAACTGGTTTAAAGGATCTTTTGAACCAAGAGTCGGTCAGACATCTATGGTAAGATTTACACAATTTCAGATCGTCGAATGTATCATGAAGCATTGCTTATTTCTTTCACAAATTAGGGAAGGTGAAGTTGCAGGCTGTAAGTTACACACAAGTCATGCCATATTTTGCTTTCTTGCTGAAGAAGGCATCAAATTATGCGGCTCGTCACCACAAGTCCCTGCATCTTTCACATATGCTTTTCAGGAAGACACTCGACCTCAATAACCTGCGCCACCAACTAACTCGTTGCGAAGTGAATCCGAATATACGCGTGTACAGATACTCGAAAGGACGTAAGTGATCCCAAGTGTTTGGAACCTTAGCTTCCCGATGGGTTTGTTACGATCTTGGGATATCCCAGTCCGCATCTTCAAAGGATTCTAGTAGCCATGAACAAAAGAAAAGGCTAACATGCTTTTTTGCAAACAGAATTTTTCGATGCACACTGTAAGTTCCTAAGTATTTGGGTTTCACTGCAGATACGCCCGATTCGGTACTACCCCTGCTATACATCACAATGGCGCTATGGTTGGAGGTTAGGGGCAGGGATGACGTTCCGTGCGGTATCCGAATCTTCGGGCTACCATTTCGGCTACTGCTCTCCTTGGCTTCTTATTACCCGGTTCGATCTACTAATCTCCAAAAAAAAAAAATTTCCTTTTTCCTTTTCTTTCTTGCTTTTGCACTAGTGTACCTAACGGTGTGGCCGAGGCGTGCAAACAGCTGATATGAATAACAGATGATGATTTTAACGACGTGGTTCTCCCTACCGCTGAGACGACTGGAAGCATTAGCACGAGAACAACATGGACATTGTTGCTCTACCTGACTTCAGCTGCAGATGGCTGTCTTGGGGGTGAGACTTGCTTTTATCCTCACGATAGGAAAGTCAAGAATGAAGAGGTCGTTATAGCACCTGAGACAGGGATGCTGCTTTTACACAAACATGGGGATGATTGTCTCCTCGTATGTTCCTCTCTTCTAATTTCGTTCTCGGCATAACCGTATTGACTGCATTCACAGCACGAAGGGCGCGAAGTTCTAGATGGCCACAAATGGATCCTGCGAAGTGATATATGTGTGAGGAGATAGACAGTGATATCGTGTAATCTCGTCTCTCAACTTGTGTCTCAATGTAACGATACGAGTATGTCTTCACATATGCGCCCCGCACATTTGCCTTGGCGGGAAATGCACCGTTTTGGTAGTTGCCAGCCGCATTTTCGTAGATCTGGGAGAGGTGAGGGTGGCATTTGGGAAGCCTATACCATAGGTTGCATGAATGCAGCAAGATTTCCCTAATACTGGTTTTCTTCTGAGGACTGCAAGAGGAGTCGTCATCATCCCTTAACGGCTTGAAAGAGGACCTGTTGTCGTCCGACCGGTACAATTGCCTTGTAACGGGAAGAGAAGACAGGTCTCGAGAACATAATCTAATACAAACAGCTCCCTAGGTTAAATAACAAGTTACGGAGTACTAACATTTATCTCCGCCATCGATGTATAAAACGTGGCTCAGATGTGTTGGCTCTAGACGGTCTCCATTAAGCATAGTGCTTGCTTTAGAGCCATGTATGTCACAGCCATTTTTCCTAGAAACGACAAAATAGGAGTGCAAACTACGTTCTGTCCCGGGAAACAGCGAGACATGCCAATAGGGTGTAGTTTGTTCCTTGCTCCACACCAGAACAAAACAGGCAGGGTTGTACCAAACTATGTATCGTGTGGGACATCACTTCAATAAATCTGCAAGACAGAACATTCAAGCCCCCACCAGACAATCACTGCCCGCATATGGCTTAATGCGGCTTTTTCTTTTTCTTTTCACTGAATCGTACACATGTAGTGAGAAGTTACATTAGCTAGCGACCAGGCATATGACCCTGGGTCTGTTGGGTCTTCTAAATAAGTCACTCCTGATGGTACATTCATCCAGAGAACACTAACCACAGTGTTGATGGTGTCTTGAAGCATTGCAGAAGGTACAGACGACCGGTACTAGAGGAGCGGTCAATCTGACATTGCTCTTGTTCCATGCAACCCCCCCTTAAACGAATGCAGCGTGTCCTATCCAAGGAAGATCTTTCCTGAATGGGATGAGTATTTTTCTACTACAACGGTCCAAATGGTATGGGTAGAATATGTTAAATTATTAACGATGGAATGTATAACATTTGTGAGAATCCTGGCACTTTTGAGATACTAAATCTATCATCCCGTTCTGTGATAAATGACCTTTGTTTGCACAGGCTTGCTTCAGAATCCATATTCTTATATTTATAGGAATGCAGTTTGCAAAGTAAAGCGAAAGTTCCCAGTCACGCAATTTCTAGTACTACACAGATGACATAAAGTTGGTAAGCTCTAACCGACAATATCCAATACACTAACTTATATTATTAAGAAACGCAGCTTCCCAGCAGCATAGATGTCTTATAGGCACACGTGTGACGAAAACAGTGACCCCAATGGCATGCAAATGTACGAGATCGGTGAACTATGACCTGCTATTCTCAGAAATACACAACGAAAAGCGGCAACGTTGCAGAAGGATAATACAGGAATAACGTTGGCATATCGATCGAAGCTAACAAGAAAAAGGGGCATAAGCATAAATCTGTTACCAAGTCCAGCAATGCCAGTGTCCGTGCCAGTGCCAGTACCAGCGGAACTGACGCTGGTGTCCTGAAATACTTTGCCGGAACATCAAGTATGACAGCTCGAGTAATGACCACAAAGAAACTTCCTCCAGTGAGCGAAAAAGCTCAAGAAGCAAGAAAAAGTAGACGTGACCTGCCAAGAGCCCGGTCAGAGATAGATCTGTACAGATAATTGGCTGAGTGGGGTGGAGGATTGGTCAAGCATGACGTCTGTACTTTGTAGTTACCGCAAATTAAAAACCCAATTACATGTACAAGGTGTGAAAAAGAAAACAAGCGACTGTCGATCACGTTACCCGATTTGATATGCAACGACTAATGGCCGTCCTACCATCCCCGCATGATCTGTAGCACAAGAATCCAGAAAAGGACCCTCGCCCCAGCCCCGGTCCCCCAAAGTACCTCGCATGATTTGCAGTGGTCCATGAGATCGAACAGGATGAATCTTTATGGCATTGTATTTTTGTGATATTTGAGTTTCTTTTGTTATGTCTACGGCACGAAGCTAACTTAGACTACTCTGGGCATGACTGCGAAGTAGTGTTGGAGCAAGCTACAGTATAGACACCAAGAGACATGAAGTCGCATTAAACTCAAAGATCTACTGGTCTATGTGTAATAATCCTGTCTTCTACTGTGCTATGCTGCTGCCTCTCCATTGGAAAACTTTACCAAATCCAGTAAATTCCGAGCTTATTCAAAGGCTTTTCGTGACAGTGCACTGAGAACCAACGTGACCTCTCTGTGAAGTTCTGTATACACCACTTGCTGGAGTTATGGATGGGCGACCCACTGAACCCACTATAGGGCATGACGGGTCGCGCACGTTGCACGTGTATACTTCGACATTACGTGCAATTTCTTGTTTGGCCTTGGCATATCAATCACATCCTGAGAACACGGTCGTCACCTCAAAGTGATCGAAGTCACAAGAGAAATCTTAACCAGGCAGGTGAAACAGCATTGAATCACACGAATAAGCGTCCAACGGAGAGGCCGGTTATCTAGTAGTCAGTGCTCCAGAATGCGACTGAAAGCGCTTGAGTCTGCTGACAATTGCTTGGGTTTAGGTAGCAGTTCTTTTAATATGTAATATTCTTCGTGGCCAAGAGGCTGCATACCATGCTCTTGCTCAATTATTGCTATTTTCACACCAGCCACTTCTGCATGCCTACAAGCAAGATGGAGTTGATGGGGCTCATGTTACAGACCTGCGAAACACAAAAGATATTTGGGAGGATCGAGTGGCCGAGTGGAGTAAATGTACACGAATTTCTAAAGCTCCAGAACTAGGCAGATCATTTTACGCCGTGTACTCAGCGGTATCACAAGACTCCTAAGTTTTTGGACAAATTGGGAGTGGTTATCAAAGCCTTCAAAACCGTCATTTCCCGGTTCACACTATTAAGCAAAGTTGCAATAGACTGTAATATTTTCAAGTGGTAACATATAAAAAGAGTCTGGGAGTAAAACTCGAGGGACTTCATTTCCTCGCCCTCTGAAATCCTATGTGGTGACTTCATCCTTGTATCTTGGCACTTACCACTACATTAAGTACCGGCAATGCCAACTCTCTATACGAGCCACAAAATTTCGGGCTCGGTGCGCAGTGCTTCTTGGTGCGTCAAAGACTCTGGTAAGTCTAACAAAGGTATCCTCTAGAAATTCACCAGCACTAACTTGCTTAGGAGAGGAACCGAGTACAATGCAGGGAGCCAGAGCAAAGTGTGACAGTGGAAAGAGAGTCTGTCAGCCTTGACAGACTTGTAGGCCAATACACGAAAACTGACATATCCTCCGATCAGTAAAGGGAGGATATAGCCCGCAGTAAAGGCGCCATTGCCCCAGTAAGCAGGGCACGCTACAGACCAAAACATTATGAACAGAGCTGTGATCCAACGAGTGGGTGCATCACCAAATGCTAGAGGCATTGTGGCCCTGCCACGGATGCGATCTCCTTCCACGTCTCTCAGGTCTTGAATCTGGACTGTGCTGAACGTGCAGAGACCGAGAAGCAGGCACCATTCATAGCCAACTCTGGTCATTGTGGTGGCGGTCATTGACTCAGCCGCCACACGAGTGCCACCCAGCTGACCCGTGGAGTAGAACAAGGCATTGATCAGGTTCTTAGCCCACCAGGAGCTGGCACCACTCGCATAATCGTAGATATAAGTCTCGGCCATGAAGGCAAGAGCCTCTGGGAAGCCACCCAGCCAAAGGCCACTGGCTAACACCAAGAGGGCGGTAGCGACCTTGTACCATTGTTCAGCACTTTTGATGCTCAATCTGCCCGAAGGGATAGCTCTCCAGGGCTTGTTGATTCTATCTTCCTCAATTGAATCGGGATCCTTTTGATTACTGAGATCAAAATGGAACACGTAGAGCCAGATATACAGAGAGACCCGAGGGAAAGCCCAAGCTATTTCCTCTAACCCAGGGTGAGGATTTGATGTCACGCCCCCGGAGCCAACACTGCACATAGCAAACAGTATTACCGGCAGCACATACGCTTTGATGTTGCTCTCGGTGATCAAGTGAGCGAGGGAGATAATCTCTCTTAGCTGTGTAATGGGCTGCGACTCGTTAGCTCGGTATTCGGACAGCAGGCATGGTGAAAACTCACATTTGATGACCTGGCCTCGTCGGCCTCAGTCACCTGATTTGTATTCTCAGCGTTCTTGGTGACATCTCCACCCAGCTTCTCGTCAAGAAGGGTGGTGGACTCCAAAGTTTCTGACTTCATGTTGGATGCATACACAACGAAACAAGCCAAGGAGCTTCTTGAGCTAAGTGAAAGAATTGGAGGGCGACAGAGCTGAGCTCTGCGGGATTATGTTGCAATGACAAGAGAATATATACCACTGCACGAGTTTGAAAACCATTCCACTTATCAAATTACTATGTACCTCACTGCCTAGGATATGATATCGTTTCGCCACAGTCAAACTGCAAGGGAATGGGGTATAATCCACGCCATCTGCAAGTTATCCACACGAAGTCTTCCAGGGATCCAGTTTCACCACCATGGCCAGGCCAACCAGGAAAGTCGTTTCGAGGTGCTGCTTGGGTTAGGACTTGCCATAGTCTTTATTACGGCGGTTTGTCCCTACTGGGTCTTAAATATGGAGACACTATACACGCAATGATGGGCCACATCATCCCGTGATCTAGCCAGGATCAGTGATCTTTGGGCTGTTCTCCACGCCATTGGCTCTCGGAGTTATATCGCTGCAGATATACTTTTCTGCGTCAATCCGGTAAAAACCATGCATAGGTCTCTGACAGCTCGCTAAGGCTAGACAACATGATTGCGAACTGTCAATATTGCATCGCAGGTAGCCGGTTTGGTGAGATCCTGGCAATCTGGCCAAGAATCTACGCCCCCGTCGAGACACGAAGGAACATCTTTAGCAATGGTTCAAGGTTTGGCGCTTGATGAACTCCTCAAATTGTGCTAAATAAGGACAATGAGCTTAGCGTATAAACAAGGACTTGAGCATGGTAGAAAGCGAGTATACAATAAACCTACCATGTAAGGTTTCGAATAGTTGAAACTCCCTCGAAGCAAGGCCAACGTGCGGACTGGCGCCGACAACTTGCCGCTCAAAATCGAAGCGTATTTGAGATGACTTCGGGAGAACACAACAGATAACGTGGGGTATCGTATTCTGGTGGAAAGAGCGCAAGAAAGAGCCACAACGAAGGATGGATCAGGATGGACATTGCATCCACTCTTAACAAGGGTTATGGCGGGTAACCCACGGAGCGATGATTTGAAAACGCTCTCGAGTAAAGGATGGTCCAGAAACTCTGCAACCAAATAAGAGTCATGTTTCCGGCAGTTATTTGCACATGCAAACATACATCGGTTCATGAACAGAACACCTCTTCTACGCCTTCCTGTTCAAGATCACATCAGTTGTGCCAGCATGTCTTGGCTGTTTGGTAGCAGTGTTTGCCAGCAACGTTTTATGGCTTGTTCGCCAGTCCTCAACGACACGCCGGCGAAATACCAGACGGATCCCAATTCGCAAAATATAAGGCCAGTCTGAATGGCAGTTTGTGGTACCTACATATTTACGCTCCTAGCATCTCTTGACAACATTCAAGACTACCTACCTATATACATACTGCAGGGCGCTGCAGCATGCCGATCAACCAGCTTTATATTTGTCCCACTGAGATGAGAAACAGCGGTGAATGCTGTGGTGGTCACCAATCGAAGTAATACTCAGTTCTCCTAACCGATTGAGACCCTTCTTGTATTGTTTCGTGTGGTAGGCGTGTGGTGAAGTTTTTCTTATCATTTGTTATCTACCATGACTGATTAGGTGCAGAGCAAAGGTACGTACGAAATTTCTAATCTCGGTTGATCGAAACAGCCCGTAATTAGTTATGGGAATAATTGGTGTCCCGGGTGAATTGAGTACTTGCGCGACTTTACCTCTCTGCCTCTTCCACGGATCCGTACTGTATGTGCAAATGTCGTTCTCCAAAGTTTGCAAACCCCGGCCGAGGGTTGCTGAAAGTGGGAAAACACTACCACAAAAATGATCTGATCCGAGTGGCACCTCTGACATTCCCTTGACCTTGCTCCGAGGTAGGGGTTCGTGCCGGCCCTTCAAATGGACCGACCCGCTTAACAGTGGGCAGCGTTGACCCCACTGAACGAATTGCACCCTCGCGGAAGAGAGTCGTGAGACTTCCGTCGCCGAAGAATCTTTGCAAACCTCACCAAGACACCCCTGTCTGAAAGAAAACGGCCCCTAGCTTAGTACAAAACAATGACTAGCAACTGCAAAGCACGTTTTAATGGGAGCGGATCCAGTGGATGCGCTAATTGAGGGGGGGTTTTCGAGTATCAATATGAAGTTCTGAGATCGAGATGGCGATGGCAAAGGCAGTGCTATCGGCCTCAAAAGGAGGTCGAAATGCAAGTACTCGTACGTAAATTACGTAAATTGCAAATAGATCATCGAATTCTGCATCCAGATCACTTGAAATATTGTGGAAAGCGCCGCCTGGGGAAGTTTCAATTTTCTCTCAGAGCTACAATCTGAGAATCAAGAAAAGTAGTAGTACAGATGGAACCCTGACTAAGGCTAGTGAAATGCTAGGCTGTCAAGGGCCTACGCAGGGAGACAGGCATTCTAGCCCTTGATTGCCATTCGAAATTATGGACCACGACGGATGTCGTGCCAAACTTTGGTTAGCTTGTCGATCTCGTACGTTGCGCGGGAACGACAACGGCTATAGGAGGACTCAGAATAGACACATGGATGGTAGTATGCGTCTTGGCACTGGCACTGTTCACGTGAGAAGCATGGTGACAAGTTGATGCCTTGGCTGCATGTTGAAGCACGTACAAGATGGGTCAACATGAACTGGCCAGCCATTTCTGGCTGCAAGAGGTTGCTTAAAACCCTTGCCAAGCACTCACCTAGATTGTACTTTGCTACTCGAGCTTAACACAGCTATCATACTGCTTCGAAACAATGTCTTGGGATCTAAAGGGAAAGTTTGCCATTGTCACCGGCGCTGGCAGTGGTATGTCATGTCCTAAAAACCCCCGATCTGCCGATGTACGATAAGGAGATTCCTAACTAGTTGGGCTACTAATAGGTATCAATCATGCCTTTGCCGAGGAGTTACTCAACGCCGGCACTTCAGTCATCTTCGCAGATGTTGCTCTCCGCCCGGAAGCAGAGGCGACACTGGCCAAGTTCCCCCATCCATCAAAAGATGGAGGAGCATCTGCTATCTACCATAAGATGGATCAGTCGGACTGGTCTCAGATATCTGAGACATGGGAATTCGCCTTGAAGACGTTTGGCAAAGTAGACCTGCTATGCCCTGGAGCTGGTATTTGGTGAGTTTAATCACTGCCGCACCACGCTAATACAAATGCCTCGACTAAACACTTCATCTTCTCAGGGAACCGCCATCGTCATCTTTCTGGCATGCTCCCGGTATCTCACCTCTTGCCAAGGACGATCCCAAAGGCAGCGGATACAAGATTTTCGCTGTCAACGTTGAGGGTCCGATCCGTTTTGCCCAAATCGCGATTGACTACTGGCTCGAAAACAAGATTGCTGGAAACCTCATCTTCGTCTCGTCCCAGAGCGCATATTTGCCAACCATTGGAACACCTCTCTACAATGCTGGCAAAGGCGCCTTGACAACCTTCACTCAGAGTCTAGCCCAGCTGAAGGCACGTCTCAATATTCGAGTTACCGCTATGTGTCCGTCCGTGACATTCACGCCGGCCACTCAACAAGACTACTGCAAGGCGAAGATCCGCGATTTTGACATGAACATGACATCAACAGAGTGTGCGAAAGTAATGATCCGTATGGTCAGCGAGGAGGAGTTTGGTAACGGAGATGTTGTTGAGGCTATGCAGTTTGGCAAGGAGAAGTCTGATGTCAGGGTGCGCAAAATCCCATTCCATACTCTGCTCCCAGAAATCGACTTCGACGGTGAATTCAGCGGCAAGAACATCATGGCGGAAGAGGAGAAAATCTATGAACAGCTCAAGACGAAGGGAATGCGTCCTTGATTTCTGCCTCATGTAGACACTTATAAATGCTGAATACTAAGTACAAGCAAATACTGGACAATGATGAGCAAAAATAGTCAAACCTGGGATGGGATAGCATAAACACCATTTGAGGTATCACGATATTTCAATATCACTGCCTGAAACAAAGTCCGCAGAACAAATACATGTCACAATTTCCAAAATTTTACAGCCCATTGTTCACACTTTGTGAGCATTTCATGAAGCGATACGCATAACATGTTTGCAACTCATTTCATGACTCCAGCAAAGTCGCATAATGCCTCGATGGTACCAATCAGGGGAACACCTCGATTCTGTCAGCCGATTATGGCATGGTGGTGGTGGGCGTTGGGATCTGTCGAACGACAACGCATAGCTCAATTCCGAGAGCCGGCACGTCGTTCGAATGAGACAAGACGGGTTCCGGTTCCGAAAATGAAGTTGATTTCGTAGGAGCAGTAACCTGCCCATTGATCCCACGCACATCCAATCAAATTGAGTTTGGTTGCAAGGGATACGAATTCAGCATTGCCTACCCACAGTTGTCTGTCATTTTACTAGCCCAAATCATTGTGACTACTCTAGTCCTTGCAATGTCTGTGCCGCAGCAGTTCCACTCAGTCCCAAAAAATTCCCATGTGAACAATGGTCGATGCAACCACACAAGTCAATCTTCACCAAGTCGGTATATTGCTGTGAATGAGAAACATTTGCGCCGTAGAAGTACATTTGCCCAGTCTCGCCTAATTGCTTGATCTCAGGACATACGATGAACCCGGGTTTCTATGTAATAACACGACTCGTGTTGCTCGGCAGTTGTTTTTATTCAATCAGTCAGCTCAACTATTCGTCGATAAGCACGTGAATCAGGTGAGCAGAAGTACAGAGTATACTGGGCCGGAAACTTACTTGAGAGTCGCATTATGCAATGAGTATGGTGCATACAAATTGAGTCATGCGAATGGCATCTTTGATCCTTGGTCTTGGACAACATCGGTCCAACTCCGGCTTTCAACGAGTGGTTTACTTGAAGAGCAAGGCCGAATGTCTTCAAGCTTGCCAGAGAAACTGGAGCCGGGTTCTTTCGCACTCAAATTAGGCTTTGCGTCTACCTGGAGCTGTTCATAAAAGCGGCCCCTTATACAGGGCTTTGGAACACGGTTCAGACATCCGGCCTCCATAGGTGTCTACCGTTTCCACCAGTGATGATCCTAGAGATTTCATCTGGAAAAGGGAGATCTGCGTGTAGTATTACTGAATACTAACTGTGTCAGGAACAAAAACGACGCGTAGATCGAGTCCTTTATTTTCTGGAGCAGGCTCGAAGGCTCGAATTGTTGGGTTATTTCCCATTTCGGTCATCAGTGGGCACAGCAGGGGATGCTATTCGCTTGGGACCAATTAGCTTCTTCTCCCATTTCAGGTTCAATCCTGCAGTCATGGTCACCAGTGGGACCGTTAGGTGTAGCCATGGATGACACGGAACCGTGACACAGCTGAGAATGGAAAGCAGGTCAGATCTTCGTGTGCAAACCCCAGAGTACTGTCATCCCGGGATTTCGGTTCTTGGCGATTCATCCCTGAAAGTGTCAGCATTGCCATATTGCTTTGCAATAAGAGTAAATTGCTTTCCACCTGCAAAGCGAGGAGGAGTATCGTACTATCTTTCCTTTGGTACGAACTCTATTCTGATGGTATCCTTGGCCAAGAATTATACTCGTCTTCTCAGATACTAGCAGCGTATATTTTGACGATGGCACCAGCTGGCTGGTATCCGATTCAGCCGACGGGTGTCGCTGCAGCGATTCTCGGTGTTGCTATCACGTTTTCCATTCTCAGTACGATCGTTATAGCCTTGAGAGTATGGACACGCTTCAAGATGAGGATGTTCTCGGTGGAGGACTGGCTCATGTGTATTGGTTATGTGAGTACTTTGAAGAGCAGTGCTTGGTAAAAACTGATTCTGATACAATAACAAGGTCATCAATATGGTACACAACTCCGTCATCGCGTACGGCACATTCACTGGCTTGGGTACACCAGACTCGGATATTCCCAGCCCATTGATTCTCATGGAGGGCTACAAGGTACAATATCCCCCCCGAATCAACTTCTATTCAACAACCTGACTTGAGCTGCAGACCGTATTCCTGTGGCAAACTTTCTTCCTCAGCGGCTTCGTTTTCATTAAATGCAGCATCTGCTTGACCCTCCTTCGTATCGCCGTTATCAGTTGGCACAAAACCACACTCTGGGTTCTGATCGCAGTCACATCCGTCTCCAGCGTTTTCGTCACCTTCTACGTCCTCTTGCAATGTCGACCGATCCCAGCAGCCTGGGGCGAGGTTGAAGGCACATGCGCTGACAACACCATCACTGTCGCCATCACCTTCATTATCTCGGCCCTTAACCTTATCACAGATGTGACCACGGCTGTTCTGCCGTTTCTCATGCTCAGACATGTTCAGATGTCGCGCCAGAAGAAGAATGCAGTCGTGGCCATCCTCTCGCTTGGTGTCCTTGCATCGATTGCAACGATCGCCCGCTTGCCGTTCGCCACCGCGTATTTTGCGAAGACCGACTACCTAGGTATGTCTGAACGTGTCCCTACAAGTAACCAGGACGCTAACATTCTCCTCAGTCGGTATTGGCCATATCATCCTCTGGACCGTCATCGAATGCGACCTTGCGCTGATAGCCGGATCCTTGCCAATGCTGCGGACCCTCTTCAAGGGCCTGAAGGACCGATCGTCCAACAAGGACCGATACGTACAGTCTTCCGAGCTCATGACGATCGGGCGCAGCGGCAACGGAAGAAGCGCGCGGGGCTACGTCAGGCACGATGATGAGGCAAGCAGCGAAGGGAAGAGCGAGAGCATGCGGGATATTGTTGTTAAACACGAGCAGGTCATTGTCCGCGAAGACCGAGATCCAAACGAGGAACAGTTGGAACCTTCGTACAATGCCAGGACATATGTATGACAGTGGTGAGCAAGCCGTCAATGTCAATGTTCAAGCCCAACTGTGCTTGGCCGTATATTACTAGGTTCGCAAGGCGTTCGGTGCGAAAAATGGAATTGGGTGTCGTGGCGAATATGTACCACGTTCGATGGTTCGTCGATAAAATTAATTCAAAACAACAGAACTATGTATGATGAGGATTCAAATACATTTTGTATTGAGCATATGCCAGCTTACATTGGGCAAGTCTAATGGTATCGTACTTTTCTTTTGTGTGCCAGACGCCTCAATCCACACGCCGAACTCCAGTAAATGCAGAATACGACCTCTTGACTCCATGAGACTAGTAGAAAAGCAACTGCAATGGCTTATTTTCTGCAGTGTACCTTTCCTTGAACTCACTTCTCGTGAGCCATTTCATCAGAGGCATAGTAATCTCCTTCATGTCAAGGATGCCCCTTTTCTTTTGATCGATGTGGGAAGCATCGATCACGAGCCTCTCCAGATTCTCCAATGACAAAGAGCCATTCTCGACAAGATCATTCAATCTTTGTGGAGTTCCTACAGCCAAACCAGTCTTGTGAGACTTGAGAAATTGCGTCGACTCATCAATTTTGATGTGTTTGGCAAACTACATGTCATAGGTTAGTCGTGTTATCTTTCATCCGACATCAAAAGCACGTGACATACCAATTTAGCGACGCTGTTCTCCTTGGACTGGTACTTTCTCAGTGATCTCACGACATCGGCAGCTCTGAGACCAGCGCCAGCCACAATGATCGTGTGGGGGGCACCCTTCTGCTTAGGTGCCTTGACAAGGTCCTTTGGATCCTTTACCTGCTTCTCCAAGAATTCGGGCAATTTCGCTAGTGTCCTAGGTTCCTGCCATGACGTTGTATCTTGTATAGAGCCAGCTATAATAGAATAGTTAGCAATCCTGCAGTGCACGAAAGATGAAAACAGGGGCTCTTACGTGAAATATAGAGATCTGCCAGCTCAACGGAACTTAAATCCGTACCGAATCTAGTTGTCCTCTGTGCGAGGTGGTCGGCCAAAAGCTGAGAGTCCATAAGAGCAATGCCGGTATTCACACCAAGCTCAGTATCCAAGAGACTATCATCCTGCTCATAGCCGTTCCTCTTCTTCTTCTTCTTCCGGCTACCACCGTCATCATCTCTGGGGCGCTTTTTGGATTTGGCTTTGGCTGCCAAAGCTTCCGACTTCGGAATTTCTTCTTCTTGAGACATGACTGTGTTGGTTGGCAAAGAGTGAGGTTGGAAGTTGACTGGGACACTTGATTCGCTGAAGCAAAAACTGGCATTCTAGAAAAATTCGACTAACGGGGCTTTGGGCGGCTAAGATGCAGATAGCTGTGACGTCGGCGGGCTTGCGACTATCGGTGTCTGCCCCGCCAAAAATTAATTAATTAACTTCCAAAACCTTACGGGCCCCGCGTTGTCACGCCGTGCATCGAGCTTGGAGAAGAGTCACAGTCACAGTCACAGTCTCCCCAAAACCAACCCTTCAACTAGGACAACTGGAATCGATATTCCACGACAACACTGCCCAGTGGCCGCCTGGATCCAATTGACCGAAAACCCGATCGCCTTCACCCAAACGATCGAACATGTCCGAGAAACCGACAGAAGACCCCACCCAAGCCGAGGCTTCTGTCCCGGCTGCAGAGGGCGCCGAAGACGCTGGGCCCTCCAAGAAAGCCCAGAAGAAAGCCGAGGCGAAAGCCAAGAAAGAGGCAGAGAAGGCGAAACGTGCCGCTGAAGTAAAGGCCCGCGAAGCCGCCCAGAAGGCAGCAGCCGGAGGAGGAGAAGACCTTGCCAAACAGAACTACGGAGATATCACACACTTGATCAAGGTCGATGCCGAGAAGGTCAAGCTGAAGGACTTGGGAGAGGAACACCTGGACAAGACGATCGTAAGCCGACGCTGATATTGAAATGACTACCGATAGCGTAGAGGCTGACATTGTTGTAAAGAAACTACGAGCATGGATTCAGAACTCTCGTATGCAAGGAGCCAAGATGGCGTTCGTTGAGCTTCGCGAAGAGAGAAACTGGTCCGTACAAGGAGTCATGGCCACCTCCGAGGCAGGAGAACCTGTCTCTAAGCAGATGGTACAGTGGACTGGCCGTATTCGACTCGAGAGCAAGTGACCCAGTTCCCTGCTTTTGAAGCTTCGCACACAGAAGTACTGACTAGGAAAAACAGGCTTCGTTCTTGTTGAGGCTATCGTTAAGAAGCCTCTCGAGCCTGTTAAGAGCTGCAAAGTCAGCCAGTACGAGTTACATATTGTACGTACCCCTCAAGTTTCCCTTGTCGTTCAAGGAAACACTCGTCCTTTTCAGCCTCCAAACCTTCCGGCAAGTGGGGCTTGTCGTCTTGATCAATCCGAACACTGAGGAATATTTCATGGTGCCGTGGAAAAACCAACTAACTGGGTTTTTTTTTCATATACCAGACAAAGTGCTACCTCATAGCTTCTGGGCCGCAAGAATTGGGAATGTAAGTCGATCACTGCCTACGAGTCGGCCAACGATACAGAATGTTAATTCGCAAAATAGGACTTTGGGCGCTGCCAGCAAAGCCGTCACCAATGTCGAAGAAGAAGAGCCCGAGGCAGCTGTTACTGAAGGCATTAAGGACCTCAACATCGCCGAAGCAGCTGCTCCTGGTGCAAGCCTGAACACCCACTTGAACAACCCGTAAGCAACATGTTTCTGGCTGCCTGTAATGCATTTCTGCTTTGTACTAGTGTTTTACTGTTTCTAAAGACCTCCAAGACCCTCTTGAAGTAACCATCACTGACCCCTAACTGTGTAGTGTTATGCACAAAAGAGCACCTGTTCAACAGGCCATTGCCGACGTCCGCATGACCGTACGAAAACTCTTTGCTGATTATCTGGAATCCAAGGACTTTGTTCAATTCGAGCCCCCGTGCTTGATTGGGGCCGCCTCAGAAGGCGGAGCTAACGTCTTTGGTATGAAGTACTTTGAGAAACAGGCTTTCCTTGCGCAGTCGCCTCAATTCTACAAACAATTTGAAATTGCTGGTGGCAGGAAGCGAGTCTTCTGCATTGGTCCAGTCTTCCGTGCTGAGAACAGTAACACCCCTCGTCATATGACTGAGGTATGTACCACAACCAACAAGCAATCGCAATTATAGTGCTAACAACGCATAGTTCACTGGTCTCGATATGGAGGTGAGATACTATGGTCCCATCACTATTCTTAACTCAATTCTGTTGTTGTTTTGGGAGACAACCTGAACATGCCTTTATTCTACGAATATTATTATTCAAAGAGAGACTGACGTCTAGTATAGATGGAGATCGAGGACAGCTATCTCGAAGTACGAGAAATGATCGAGGGCCTTATGCTCTATATCTTCAGGGGCCTGGAAGAGAAGCGAGCCGAGGAGATTGAGCTCATCCGCTCGGTCTATCCATCGGAAAAGTTTTGTAAGCAATCTCCGGGTTCACATCTCTACACCTTTCAGCATGTCCATGCAGCGCATACGGCCTGTCAGAAGCAGTTGGGCTTTTTGTGACTGTTTCATGATATTCTCGAAGACCCATCCACCCGGAAGTGATGATTGCTGACTCTGACTGCTGTAGTACTTCCTGAGGCTGGAAAGGAGGTGCGACTTACTTTCGCTGAAGGCCAAAAGCTTCTGCGTGAAGAAGGGTAGGTTTCATATGCCGCCAGCCGTCAAGAGATCTATCGCTTATACATGTGTCGTAGCCCCGAGGAGTACCGCAACGTTAGTGACTTCGAGGATATGTCAACGCCTCAGGAGAAGGCTCTCGGCGCGCTAGTCCGCCAGAAGTACAACACCGACTTCTACGTCCTCGACAAATTCCCTGAGGAGGCGAGACCCTTCTACGCTATGGAGGATCCTGCTGACCCCAAGGTCACAAATGCTTATGATTTCTTTATGCGAGGCCAGGGTACGTCGTTTAGAGCTCATCTCCCCCGTTATTGGTTTGCCTTTGCGGCAGTGATTACCAATTTGAATTTTTCTGCCGCCTTTACTCCAGAGACATGCTCATATTCCCGATTTCCCTTCACTAATTTTGCTAACTCTGATTCTTCGGCAGAAATCCTTTCTGGCGGACAGCGAATCCATATCCCTGAGCTTTTGGAAAAGAGACTCGTGAAAAAGGGGGTCGACCCGAATCAGCCTGGTATCAAGGAGTACGTCGATGTATTCAGGAGTGCTGGTGTGCCACCACACGGTGGTGGTGGTATCGGTTTGGACCGTGTGGTTTCGTGGTATCTTAACCTGTAAGAGCTTCCAGATCCCCTTTTTCTTCTCTCTCTTTCCAATCATGTGCGGGAGCGCATATTGGCTGAAATCACCTTTCATGCTCCTGGAACAAAACATGCAAAAGAAGTATTTGCTGACTCCGGATGATATAGGCCAAGCGTGCACCTCTCATGTTACTACGTAAGTTTCGCTATCCCACATTAACACCGAAATTTACAGTTTACTAACAGCCCTCAAGCCTAGAACTCCCAAGCGCCTTTTGCCTTAAGCGGTCGACAATCTTATACTTTGCTCCTTTTCGGAGCATATGCCATAGACAAAATAAAGCAAAATGTTACCATATCACAACCCATCGACCAATGTCAGTCAATAATATTGATGCATTGACACACTTTTTCTTTTCTCTTCTTCTTTTCCCGTGTATCCATCGTGTTGTAGGGAAACTGCAATGGTCGAGACCAAAAGTTCTTGAAAGTGCAGTAAATGACTGTTCTTAAGAAGCTGCGTGTGCCAGGAGACTGATAGTATTCACAGCGTAAGGAAGTCGCACCCGTTTCATCTTACATCACAGATTCTTTGAAGTATGGTAGGATATACCTCGCCTATATGAAAGCCTTTTCCTCACTCAACCCCATCAACTACAACCTCATCAACCACAACCACTCCTCCTAAACCACGAAACATCCACACTCGCTTTTTTGGACGATCTTTTTGGTGATCATTCCTTCGCTTTGTACGATTTATCGGATCAGTGAAAGCACATAAAAGCAACGGAAAAAAGAAAAAAGAAAAAAAAAACACACCCACTCACACACACAATCTTTCTTTCACTCACATATCCTCAACCATGCGGAGTGCTATAGTCGTCTCCATGGTCTTGACTACGGGCCGTGTTGCTGGTTTGGAAGGCTTGAGCATCGCACCACCAGGCTGTGCCAACCGTTGCATGATCGACAGCATGTACATCACCCAATGTCAGGATATTGATTGTCTCTGCCATGAGGACCACTTTCAAAAGGTATGATGGACCAACCCAGTCCATTATTTCATGCTAATGACGTGAGCAGTCTCTTTTTCAATGCCTGTACTCGCAATGTGATTCGCCCGACTACGGTTCCGCACTGCTGCACAGCATGAAAACCTGCATGGCGACTGGGGCCGAAATCCAGATGATGGGTCTCCCGACTGTCACGGAGCAGCTCAACAGCCGTGAGGATGACTATCTCGCCGGCCGAGAGCTGCAGGACATTCCGGGTCTCCAGTTACGTCAAGACAGCGCCGGCCCCAATGTAGCTACCGTGTGGCAGACAACAACGGTCTTTGCGACGACAACAATGACCGCTCCCTTGCCAGTCTCTATCGTGACGCCCTTTCCTGGCGCCAGCGGCCGGGGACCAGCGGTTCAGCAAGGGCCCGGGCCTATGACGAGCTTTTTCGATACCAACAACACGCAGGCTCAACCCACAAGACCCTGGATGGTCACAGTAAGCGAGACGGGGAGGCACCGACCTTCGTACCTTGCACTTCTTCTTTGGACAGCGGGCTTGTTGGTGCTGGATTATGCTCATGGTAATCAATGATACTAGACGGATAGGAATGTTTGTAGCCTGGTGGCTGAACTGTATATGTTTATTATACTCGTAATTAAGGGGAGAAGTCGAGTTGGAATGAATCGGTCCACCCTGTACTTATTGGTCACTCAGATAGATGGACGATCTTTATTGATACGGCTTGGAACCTTGTACGCTCAAACATGGTAGTGACATCTATTTGACGGCCAGTAAAGTGTGATGGATTACGAGTGCCGATTTGCTCCACAACGAACGTGGTCCTTGTATACCAATATCATCCCAATTGTTAGTTGCGATGGTGAAAGTGATTGCTAAACGCCGGACGATTATAGCGATGACAGGGGCATGTTCGCTTATTACATCGCCCCACAATGCAGCAGCCGGCTCATGCATGCAAAGCTTCCGGCCGAGCTCGAGAATTTCCCCAAAACGTCATGCGACTCTGGCAGCATTTGGACTCATTCGTGTAACATCTTGGGGCTTCACGCACTTGGACAAAACACCATGAATTCCTCAAGCTGGGCACTGCGGCAATCGCTTGCCCGCAAAGTCGAATCAGCCCTGCAGCAGCAATTCCACAGCGCAGCGACCGGCTCATCAGCATCGTCATCCACAGCCACAGCAACAAGGAGGCCGGCCAGCTCCATACTACGGACATGTAGAGCCAACCCCTCCCCGTTCACGCCACGGGCCCCCCCTTCCTCCAGGCCGTTCTCGCGGACGCCGCGTAGGCACAACAACCAGCAGCAGCCGGCCGAAGACCCGAACTTCACGTCGATCCTGGACAACCCGCCGCAGCTGGTGCGGACAGGCAGCCGGCACAACAAGGCCGGGCTGGCGTTCCTGGCCATCATCCCCGTGACGGCGTTCCTGCTGGGCACGTGGCAGGTGCAGCGGCTGGGCTGGAAGACGGAGCTGATCGCGCGGTTCGAGGACCGCATCGTCCGCAGCCCCCTGCCGCTGCCCCCGCGCGTCGACGCCGACGCCATCCACGACTTCGACTTCCGGCGCGTCGTCGCCCGCGGCCGCTACCGGCACGACCGCGAGATGCTGATCGGCCCGCGCATGCGCGACGGCGAGGACGGCTACATGGTGGTGACGCCGCTGGAGCGCGAGGGCGGCGAGGGCGCGACGGTCCTCGTGAACCGCGGCTGGATCAGCAAGAAGCACAGGGCGCAGAACAGCAGGGGGCCCGGGGCTCTGCCGCAGGGCGAGGTCGTCGTCGAGGGCCTGCTCAGGGAGCCGTGGAAGAAGAACATGTTCACGCCGGACAACCGGCCGGATATAGGCGAGTTCTACTTCCCGGACGTCAAGCAGATGGCCGAGTTGACGGGAAGTCAGCCTGTTTGGGTCGAGGCGACGATGGGTGAGTGACCTGACTTGTCTTTATTTCACACCGAGGGAACCCTGTTCGGGTCTTCCAGTGGTGTGGGCCTATCTTTCTATGGACATCTATGCTAATACACCGTCAGAGCCGGATTGGTCCCAGACTCTTGAGATGGAGACAAGGGGTATCCCTATTGGCAGAGCTGCCGAAGTCAACCTGAGGAACAACCACGCTCAGTACATCTTCACATGGTAAGCCTAAATCCTATTCTGCTGCCTTGGCGCAAGTCCGAATCCCCCCACCTTAATCAATGACTGATTCCCTTTTCAGGTATGGACTCGCAGTGGCAACGTCGATCATGTTCTACATGGTAGTGAAGAAGCCACCAACGGACATTTCTCGACGTGTACGGATGAACAAGAGCTGGTAATAACCTTAGTTCTCGTATGCCAGATATCTGGGAATCTACAGCATGTAGGTTTGCTGTATATCATAGTCCATATCTCGACGAACTCTGATGTCTCATACAGGCCAGGAACATGAAGTATCGACAACGTAGTAAGATCTGTTTTCATCCAGTTGGATGCCATTCAGGTCACATCCTCATCTTCCTCGGCGTCGATGTTGCTTGATTTCTTCCTTGGGGCCTTTGTAGGCGGAGGGACAGGCATTCTCAACTCCTGCAATAATTCTCGGGGTAGATAGCGCTGAGCGAGAGAGAAAGGGGTGACAGAGGCACCAATCTGTCGCTGTCTGTAAATCAAAGTCAACGACTGGCTGTACAATAAAAGGTGGGACGTCTTGTACAACATGCAAGGATAGAAAAAGAATGTACCATACCTTCGCATGAGCGTAATCATATCACTCTCATCGATTGTCTTTCTGCCCGCGTGTTTGGCGTAGGCTGAGAGATCATCGCCTAATTGTTCAAAAAACCAATCTGTAGCTTGCGTGATAGCATTCATCGTATCTGCCGAGATCTTGGCTTTGCCAATCCCCGATGTCTTGGCAAAAGTGGTCGCCAATCGTTTGACAACTCCTTGTGGCAATGAAGGATACTCAATCCCATGTTTGGATATCTTCTTACCAGCCTTTGTCCTTCTCCCTCTCTTGCTTGAGAGCTCGGCAGTCTTGGAGACAATGTTCTCATCTTGTGCTTCAATGTCTGCATTGCCATCGGGTACATCTTCGTCGATGTCTGATTCGGGCCAATCCATTGGTTCATTCACGTGGTCATCATCATCGTCATCTATCATATCAGGGGCCTCGCTGGCGGGTATTTCTTCCGTGACCGTGGGGTCTCTAACAGGAGAGTCGACAGGAGCCATAACAAATGTGGTTTCATCTACGCCTTCGGGTATCTCGATCGGTCCAAACAGGCTCTCTCGTCCCAATGTTTGGCGCCGCAAATCTTCAGCATCAAACCTATAAGAAAAAGAAAAAGTTAGCACTGTTTACACCGAACAAGACGAGTGAGTCGCAGCATACCGCTCCAGTACATCTCCTTCGTCCAGCATGACATTCCCACTGTCATCGTCAAGTGCTGGCGGCGGGAAGAAGCCCGAGTCTATGCCAATATCATCGCTAAACCTCACACTTCCCAAGCTCTCTCTTCCAAGCCTGCTGGGGCCGTCGCTCCAGGCTCTTTCTCTTCGAGGGAGCTCGATCGACATAGCAGTGTAGTTTTCATCCTCCAGCCCACTAAGCCTGGGGGCTTTCAGGTCACTGTCGTCATCATCGTCATCTTCCTGGAGGGGAAGCGAGAAGCGTGGGCGCTCGATTGGAAAGTCGTCATCGTCCTCGGGGACGGGGGTGAGGGTGGCATTGCTGGCATCTGCGCCGGGCGACGAGGACCTCGAGGAGGACGAACGGAGCTGCTGGGAGGCGGGCGCGAGCACACGACTCAGGTTCCGGAGGATGTCCCTGGGCGTCTCCCGCTGGTCGCGCAAGCTGCGCCTCCGGGCGCGGCCGGGTGTGAAGATGGTCCGCCGCCTCTGGTCGATAGCCCGGGAGATGGCGCGGGCATGGGGTGTTGCACCTGGGCGGCGCGCAGAGGCGGACTGGCGTCCAGAAGCAGGTTCTGCGCTTATCGCGCGCCGGTTTGGTGTTGCTACGGCGCCTGGTGTGCCTGGTGGTGCGAGAGAGCGATGCCGGTTCGATGCGGAGGGCTCATTGGAAGCCATGACGAGAGGCCGGATGTGGACAGGGGAACTCTAGGACCAGGAAGCCGGCTAACTAGCCATGGAGTCGTGGTCTCGATGGACTCTCAAGCTGCAATTCACGCCCGGGTGATTCAGTAATATCCAGCAGGACTCGGGGCAATTGTTGCGTTTCCAGGCATGCCCATGAAGCTCCAGGTCCTTAAGTCAGACGCGTCACCAAAGATACAGTGCGCTTCAGTGAGACGCGTCGAGGTTTAGCGGGACCGAGGCGCCGTAGCACGTGGCTCACAGTGGGCAGATTTGATAGCGATAAGGTTTCGGCAACGCCTCCGCCAGCCTCTAACCATAGAGAATGACCGCGCAAAGGTGGGGTCGAAACATCGAAACTGTTCGCAGCCCTTGACACAGCTCAAGGGTAGGTCATGCTCACATTTACACTGCCAAGGGTACAATGTCGAGCATTCTACGCCGTTACAGCCGGGCGGTACATACACATACCGCCTTGTGGTACATACAGTCGTGCCTGGTAATACTCGTGCATTGACACGAAACCTCCCTCACCCAATCGTCCTTAACTACTAACTCATCTGCGTGGGGACAAGCCACATTCAACATTTCATAGCAAACGCGTCCCTGGTGTTGTTGTTCTTACCCATCAAATATGCCAAGAATTACCGGTGGTAGATATCTGGGAGGCAATGCAAGACAGAGATTGATGACGTCGATCATTATTGCGCGGAGAAGATATCTAAGACAAGAGCTCTCAAGTTAGTGCGTCGATCCCCTGTCTTGGATCCAAAATGTTACAAAACTGAAGCGCCATCTCGTTGAAGTGATCTTTTCACGGTGCTATAATCTCACCATGAAGAGCCTCCTTGCGGCAGCCAAGCCCACCGATTGGGTAAGCAGAGACTTTGACAGACGCAAGCATGTGCCCCATATTGGCGACGATTGGCCAAACAAGGCTTTTACAAAGACGGTTGAGGATATGCCTCTCTTTTTTTTAACGCGCTCCTGGAAACGGGTAGCGGTGACGTTGTCCTATCATTCGTTGCTCGAGCTTGAACTGGGACGAATCATGCCGCCATGACGGGGGACTAACCCTTTCTCCACCCAAAGATCCGGAACCCCTGCGGCAACGAGGGTCCAAGGACGTTCCATAGAACTTGGGTTGTTACAAGTATTGCGTCAAAATACCCGCCTGGGCATTCTTGCGGATTGCATGGCGTGCAATCATCAAGCCGCCTAGAGTTATGACTGGCTCGGTCAGCGAGTGCGGCGTGAGCAAAAAGACAAGACGAGACGGAAAACTTACCGGGCCAGTCCAGCTTATATTCAAACAGATGGTTCTCCGGAGCCATCCTCTTGTAACATGAAGAGGTCCAAGTATGTGCCATGGCGAGAACTCCGTACCCATCCAGAACTTTTTGCAAGTAGTCTAAAAGACGTTTGCCGGGCCATTGGTTTTGGTCTTACGACTATCCGTAGAATGCGCATCCAACACATATAGCCGGACCGTAGCTCGAAGCTGCGGGCTGTTTCAAGCTATATGACTACATTTCGAGTTCTCAAAACTTCCGAGCCCATCTGCAAAAGCCCTGGCCGGCGCTGGAGACAGCAAGGTTACCACTGGCTCAAGTACTGGATAGTTCATACTAGCGACCACTAATATAATGGCGCTGTCATGGCTCGCAGCCCACGTTACTTCACCTCCAGCTGTGATGAGACAAATTCATTCAGCAACAGCTTACAATAGGGTTTGGAGATGGCTGAAAAGAGATACTATGTAGCAGTCAAATTTACTTTCAGCGAGACCAAGGAGATTGATCAATAGATAGTGGACTGCATGGTCCAAGTTTATGCTTTGGTTTTCTCTTCTTCGAGGGTGAAAGCTGAGGATGCAACGTTAGGGGAAAAAGCGCAAGCATTAGAAGGTTAGCAGTACCACTGTAGGCTTGCTTGGCTTTTCTTTCATGGATCTGTTCATGTCTCCAACCCTCTCCACTTACCGACTTTTCCCTTTGTTGATCTAAGCTCGCTCCAAGCTTCGGTCAAAGCTGGCTGGGTCTTCTACTGGTTTCCTGGATACAACAAGCAATACTGCCGCGGGGGGCAGAGACTCAGCTCGGGTTGCATAGACGTTAAATTCACGGTCAAACCTTGAAAACGTGAAGCAATTGTAGGTACATGCGTAACGATTACTTAGTTCTTGTAAAGTTGGAGCACTTTTAAATCCACTGCTGGCCGCGCACGTCCCAGGTCCCAGCCAACAGTGCTATGGGTGTCCACTGTGAGATCTACAGCCAATCTGTAGTACATGCGTTAGTATGAGTGTGTGTACGTACATGCTGCCCAGTTTAGCAACATGCCTACATACAGTACTTTGTATGCAGCACTTTGCAGGCAAGACTTTCCAGTGGGCGCTGGACGCTGGCCTGGCTGGGCGCCGGCGCCTTCCCCCCCCCCCTGGCGGATCATTGGTGAGTGTCTCGAGCTGGGAATCCCTGGTCCTCTTTGACAGGTACTCCAGCCATCTGCTTCCTGCTTCTCGCTTCTCTCACAATCCCAATCCAATCCAAGGTCTTGAGTCTTGAGTCTTGACCTCCTTGTCACGCCCCAGACCTAGTCGCAGTCGGAACTCCCACCCTCATCTGCAACCTCCTTGCGACTTACGGCACCACACCCTTCCGGACGTGTCAAAACACTTTTGATCTTTATGCAGCAACACCGGAAGTAGTAAACTCTTGTTCGACCTCCTGCAAACTGTACCTCCAGGAGTCACGTATTCTACCTAGTCTACTGCTTTTTTCTTCTTCTCTTTCAATCCCGACCTTCATCAACAATCTCGCAATCCAATCGCCGCTTCTTTCGAGACCAAAGACCATCCTCAATTGGGAATTCGAATCATTGCCACAGTGACCGATCAACCACATACCTGCGCTACCTGTCGACAAGAACAGCTCCTGGGTTTCTTTCTTGTCTCCGTCAGGCATTTTCTGCTATCCAGCATCTCTCCCTCTCTACTCTTTGATACCCCGTGATTTTATCACACCCCAGTCGCAATAATGGCTGCTTCAGCCGTCCAGTCGCTCAAGGTATGACTGCATTGCAAATCTCAAGCCATCGGGTTTCCCCCCCCATCCCCGGATCAGATCGGCCGCCCCTATAGAACGAGGGCATAGGCATGGGCTTCAAGTATAATCAAGACGTAGCTGCTGACATCTTGTCCTATAATAGTGCGTAGTTACCGGTGACGGTGCTGTCGGCAAGGTGTGTTACCAACAGCCATGACACGCGACGAATCCATTTCTGACAAACCATTGTAGACATGTCTTCTCATCTCATACACAACGAACGCTTTCCCTGGCGAATACATCCCTACAGTGTTAGTACACCTCACACCTGCCTCCTGTTGGGTCGTGCCAGCACTGTTACCAGTATCAGGGGGAAACACAGACTAATGTGCGGCTTGGATTTACAGCTTCGACAACTACTCGGCTAGTGTCATGGTAGATGGAAAGCCTATCAGCTTGGGACTGTGGGATACTGCCGGTCAGGAAGATTACGATCGTCTGCGGCCACTCTCGTACCCTCAGACTGATGTCTTTCTCATCTGTTTCTCCATTGTCAGCCCGCCCTCGTTTGACAACGTCAAGGCCAAGGTTCGCAATCCCCCTCGTAATTTGGAATTGGGCCAGCTGTAGCTAAATCAACCACAGTGGTACCCAGAAATCGACCATCACGCACCCAACGTGCCTATTATCCTGGTCGGTACCAAGCTGGATTTGCGAGAGGATCCCGCCACACTTGAGAGTCTTCGCTCCAAGAGGATGGAGCCAGTATCATATGACCAGGCTCTCGTCTGCGCCAAGGAGATTCGCGCGGTCAAGTACCTCGAGTGTTCTGCTCTGACGCAAAGGAACCTGAAGAGTGTCTTCGATGAGGCCATCCGGTATGTTCACCTCATGTCACCTCAAACGCTACCAAGCCGTTCCCAGATGCGCAAGGAAGCCAAGCTAACCCTCGTCAAGTGCTGTATTGAACCCCAGACCTCAACAGACGAAACAAAAGAAGTCCAAGTGCACCATCCTATAGACGGGCCAAGAACGGAATCTAGGTGAACGATTGATATGACGCCAGCTTTTTGCAGGAAATAATACCTTGGTCCGATCGCTCGGAGCAATCTCCTAAACAGCTACTTCTGTCGAATGCAATGGCGTTTTTTTGGTGGACATGAACGAAAAGACGAATCTTTTCTCCAGATTACGAGGGAATGAAACGACGTGCTTCTTCTTGTCTTATCCACGTCCCCTCATTTCTCACGACCTTATAACCCTACATACCCCTACGACCTTGGATTCTTTCGGACGGTGTTTGATACCAGGAGCACCAATCCGGACTGGCGTTGAAGCTGTTGTGGGGAAACCTAAACAGCACTCCTACCATCACGTCTGGGATATTTGGAGTCGTCTCCGCGATGGTAGATTCTTCTGCCAAAGTCTTTTTTTCGAGTCTTTTGAATGTGGCATCTTGGTTCCAGCAAGGTCTGCTGCTATCCTGAGAGTTGAGATGGACCTCGGAGTTCAACAAATACTGCAATACGAACGGTGTTATTGGTTTGCATGACGTCTTTTTCGAAGATCATCGGAGGTCAATCGTCTTTTTTACGCAGAGTTCTGTAGATAGCACATGAAAGTAAGAGAGCATGTGGAATTAATAGACAAGATTGATCTGTATGAACAACCCGTGCCATTGATGTCTAAGTTGTGTCCGCTAGTGACTTGCCGCTGTCATTTCTCTCATTTTGCATGGCCCAACCATGGAGAAGTTGTCACCGTTGAATACGTGCAGTGACACGAAACAAAGTAGCACAAACGGACAGATCTAATTCGATCAAGTGGTCGAGACAATGAATGATGATTCGCCCACAAGGCATACGGTTGATATTGGTGGCTTGTGGTATCAACAAAAACTAGCCTGACAGCGCCTCCCCCCGGAACGCCAGTGTATACAATCTCCCAGGTGCCAGCTGGGCCAATTTGGCGGGTATCATTTTACTTGAAGCGATTTCCGGGAACACGAGCTCTCCTGCTGGGATGGATACCATCAGCGCCGGCCTTCTGCTCGCCGGCCTTGGCCAGCCGCTCCTGCTCCTTCTTGACCTTCTGCTTCTCCTCCTCGATCCTTCGCCTCTCGCGCTGCTCGTTCAGCTTCTCGTTCTTGGCGCGGATCTTCTCCTTGCGCCCGTCCGTGTTGCCGCCGCCGCCCGCCGTGAGCTCAACGTTGATCTGTCGGTCCTCCATCTTGGGCCGGCCCCGGTAGTCCCGCCCCTCGCACGTCATGGTGCTGTGGTGCATGGTCTTGAGGCACGTCTTCATGTGGTCGTAGCCCCGGAACTCGAGGAACGCGATGCCCCGCGACTTGGTCGGGTTCGCCTTCTCGTGCAGCAACCGGATCGACGTCGGCTGCACCGCCGAGAAGTGCTTCTCGATGTCCGCCACCTTTGCGCTGTACGGCAGGTTGCCCACGAACACTATGAATCGGCTCTTCTTGGGCTTGCCCGACGAGGCCGCTTCTGCCGCCTCCCCGTCCACCTCCTCTCCCTCCTGGCCCTCTTGCTCGGCTTTTTCTTCCTCGTCGCCGGCGGCCGCTTCCTCCTTCGCCGCTGCCTTCTTGTTCTTCTTGCGCTTCTTCTTCTTGTCGGTCTTCTCACCGGCGGCAGCGGCTTCGGGCGCCGCGGCGGGCTCGGTAGCGTCTCCCTCTTCTTCCTTCTTGGCCGCCTCGGGCTTGATGTTGTCGATCTCGGTCATAGCCACATCCACAATGTCCTCTTCCGGGACGAGTTCTGTCTTCACTTTCTTTCCGTACTTCTTCTCCTTCCTCTCCTTCTTGGCCTTCTTCGCAGCGGCTGGGTTCTCCTCCTCGCTCACCCGCTGCCGCTTCTTGGAGTCGCCATTGGCGCTGGGCGTGGTGGGGTTGTCTTCTGGCTTGCGCTTGCCCATTGTGTCGGTCTGGTTCGACTGGTTTGTGTTGGTAGAACGGGTAGTAGTAGTAGTAGTAGTAGTAGTAGTAGTGTCTGTCCCGGATGGGGAGTGAGGCCTGACGTGCAAGAAACAGCGAGACGAGTGCTGTGGGAAAATTATGGCAGGTGAGTAGTGATGTTGCCGAAGATGGGAGGATCAAAAGGTTGTCGCTTGCAAGGTGCAGATCTTTGTGATGCTTAAAGAAAATTTTAGTGGGGTCGGTTCTGGTGTTTAGGCGCATATCAGCGGCTCGGCTTAGTTGCATCTCCCTTTCGTCGACAAACTTACGGGAACAACATACCGTCACAAACAGAATAATACAAATAGTGCAAGGACCCTCGGTGTATGGCATTACCACCTTAAGAACCATGTTTCCAGAAGTGAGCCAACGTCCTTTCGATCCATACATGGTTCCTTCATTGCAGACCCTCATAAAATAGTGCCTAACAGTGAGAAAGTTTTACAAAAGGTAGAGACGGATGCGCAAAAATTGTGTCCATGCGACAAGATTTGTACACTGTCGAAATGTTCCTAACGAGAGACTTGATTTTATGGTTCTTGCGTAAACCCATCATCTTATGCAGAATGGCCTGAAGATAACAGCGAGCGCATGCTCATATACGAGACAGAGTGTGGAAAGTACATATAACTGCTTCAATCGTACCGAGTGTTTTGCCCATTTCAAATCCAACTTTGTATATAACTTCGGTTTATCTATCTTTGAATGATGTATTCATGTTAATCTCGATAATATACTGGCCGGAGACAAGTGGAAGAAGACTTTCGAAATGCCAACTAGCGTACCAAAACCCCAGCATCCAGCATATCGATCATAAAATGAGATAGTCCCTTTTCGCAGGCCGTTTGCTTTGACTCCTCAAGGTCAAATTCAATACGACATATCCCGCTCTTGCGACCGGTGGGCGACCGCCTCCACTAGTCACGTGAAGTCTGGAAATACATGTCTAGAATGCTTAAGTGGAGTTATCATATGGCGGCTTATTACGAGTGGGAGATCATCTCAACGCCATGGGGTTCCCACTTCTATTGCAGAGATTAGGAAGTACCGCTATACTGAAATGGCTCAGAGGTGCGCATGATCAAGCGAGTTGTGTATCCTTCCCTTTATGCCAACTTCCGTCCCGAGATTGTTCCACTGGGCCAAAATTTGGTTGTGTAGCGGCATACTTTTAAGAAAAGGTAGAGCAATGGCCAATTATCTACTCAAGTCACGAGCGTAGTAGTATTAGTGCCAGAATTTCTGCTGGTCGAATAAGGGTTAATTGGCTTGGAAAAACCTCTTGTGTCTGTGACTCACGAACGACGAACCTGCACCAGACTGGAAACTGCGTAGAAAGAAGATGTTTGAACGTGCCAACAGGATCTAGTCTGGGAATATATGCCTTAAGATACAAAACTGCTGGGCTGGTATTAACGGAGCCATTATGCGAAGCTTTGATGAGAAAGCTATCTCCATGAATAGCCACATCCCGCTATTGGCGAAGAGCGAAGATTCATGGCACTGGTGCCACAGACTCACTACCCTCAGCCATGGGTGGACCAATATAATAACACACAGCATACGACTCAGATAGAGACAATACATTCTGGATGACATGTAGCATAGTTTAGTTGTTCTGACTCTTGACTTGCTTAGTCAATTTTCCCAACTGACGAACAGATAGTCTCGTTGCTGTATGCCTTCGACATCCCAGCCCTCGCTCCGTCCCGTTCCTCTAGCCTCTTAGCCAGCCAATTATACCTCTATCTCTTACCAAAGATGGGACGAAAGACAAATCACACCGCAGTTTTAACCTCAATGGACAGTGTCTAGGCTCACGTGTCCAAGTCTCAAAATCAAGAGTATCCGCCAATCATTGCCGCATCTTCTCCTAGGGATGGGATGAAGGAAAACTTCACTGCAATTTTAACCTCAACGGACAGTCTCTTGGCTCACATGTTTAAGCCCTCAAGAGCATCAGCCACTTGTCCATCCTGTCACTCACACAATAATCCCATTGGATTTTATCAGGGTTACACAATTATATGTATCGCATATCAAAGGGACAAGACCAGATGATTCTCAGTATGGCTATCTGTAGAGTTGAATGATTGACACCTAATCATATCTTTTGTCTCATGACCATGTGCTTCTGCAAGTGCCGCCACTTGTTTGGCCGTTGGCGATAGTGGGCTGGCAAATATAAAAAAGAAAAAGAAAGTAATTCAGCGAGCTCAAGATGAAATAAATGAGTTGCTGATCAGAGCATCCTGAGGGACGGTGATGGCACTGACAAAGGAGTGCGACGAGATGAAACAGGGGAATATGAATTATCGAATCAGAGCTCGCTGACGGATTGGGCACAGCCAATGAATGATGGAGACTTTTCGTACTCAAGCTGCCCGCTTCCCTTTTCCTCGTCGTATCAAAATTCTGAACAAGCACATCACATCAACAAAATGGCTGTGAGTCTTCAGCAAGCCCCCCAAGACGATGAGAACTGGCGGCAAGGTCGCCTTTGGAATCGGCCAGTCGACCTGCCCGAAGAAGATGCGAGTTTCCACCTCTGCGCAAGGCATCGAGCTATGAAATTGATGAGGTCGGACTTCTTCGACTGGCCAAAGGACAAAGAACTACCACCCGATACACATTTTGGACTGCTTGCTGAGGTCATGGAGCGAAGCAAATGGTGTGTCTTCTGCAGGCTTATTGCACAATCTGTATCGCACACGAGTTATGCCGACAAGGCAGAAGTTCTGGGTTGCTGGATAGCCGATGGGGTTCGAGAGGGACATGATACTGTTTCCCTGAGACTAAGGATTCTGCCAGAATTGGTAAGGCTTGAAGATGCATTTGCCCCATTCGACGTGATCCCTTTGGGTAGAGCTGGATCGAAAGCCGAGTTGTTTTCAGGACGCAAAATGCAGGCTGGCCAGATCAACCTGAGTCTACTTCCTTCATGGTACTGGACATGTCAAATTGAGCATTCATTTGACTGTGCTGCCAACACGAATGTAGTGAGACCCGCTGGGACGGACTGGTGCTTCTCCCCGTATATACGGCTTCTCGATCTGAAAGAGCGCTGCTTGGTTGAGTTGGTAGTGCCGAGATCATATGTGGCACTCAGCTATGTTTGGGGAGCCCAATGCGTGTTTAAAACTCTTACTACTAACATCCTCAAACTTAAACGCCCAGGAGAGCTGTTGCGTCATCATCACCTCTTCCCAAAATCCATACAAGACGCATTGCTACTAACAAATATATTAAAGCACCGTTACATTTGGATCGATTCACTTTGTATCATCCAGGACAGTGAAACCGACAAAGCGAAACAACTTGCTGCTATGGACCAGATATACTCGAGGGCAGCGCTGACAATTGTAGCAGCCGGTGGCGACAGCGCCAATGCGGGTCTTCCAGGACTTCACCCAGGCTCTCGACATATAACTCAGAACATAGCGGAGTATTCGCCCGAGCTGATACTGATGTCTTTGCAGCCCGACTGCCAGGTGGCACTGGAGACCACGACGTGGAACTCCAGGGGGTGGACCTACCAGGAGCGTCTACTCTCACGGCGTTACTTGTTCTTCGTAAACGATACGGTGTACTTTCAATGTTCTAGGGCGACATGGGGCGAAGACTACTTTGCTGAAAAGGGTGACGTGGTGCGTTCCGCACCGATGATGGATGTCATACTCAGTCGAAGCTGGCAGCCACCTAAGATGATCAGGCGCATCAGATATAGTCTGTCCATTGGTGCAGGATTTGGCATGACGGCGCTCGAATACCTGAAAAAAGCGCTTTTTCCTATCTACTGCAGAGTGATCACAGAGTACACAGCGCGGGACATGTCGTATGTGACGGATAGGCTGAACGGTATTCTTGGTGTTATGAATGTCTTGATTCATCATGGCCACATCGATTTTTTTCATGGGCTACCACGGCCATTATTGGAAGCTGCTATGTTATGGAGGCCACAGCAAAACCTCACGCGTGTACCAGACGATAATCGAACTGGTAGACCATATTGGCCAAGCTGGTCCTGGGCTGGCTGGACTGGTGGCATAGGGTACGACCTCAAAGATGATTATAATGGCCATGAACCCCTAACGAACGGCCCTGATCGCACGCGAACGACTACAAGATTAAGTCTTTGCTACCGTGATCGATTAAATCCAGATCCCATATCTGATACAACTAGCCTGAGCAATGCTGGTGCCTCGGCTTCAGTTGATGGTCTGCACATAAGAACCAAGGTCGCCAAGTTCAGGCTGACGCTCTTTGGCCGGAGTGGACAGAGCGATGATCCGCCTGATCTGTGCCACTTTAGAATATCTTGTGCAGCGTCTGGCCCATCCAGACCGGTGACGCCTGGTTCAACCGGCGGAGACGATGAGCCCTGGCTGGGGTCGATACGGTTGCCGATAAGTTCTCGTTGCACGTTAAACGCAGAGTACGAGTTCATCATCCTGTCGGAGGCCTACAACTTCTCGAGCGATGAAATCGGACGCCAGGCTTCGTGTTGTATAGAGCCCTGGTCGATTGTGAACGTCATGCTCATAACGCGAATGACGAGAACTGCAGATGAGGCAGAGCGGTGGAGAGTTATTGATGATTCCTGTAAAATACCTCCTGTCGCTTGTGAAGTCGAAAGAATAGGGGTGGGGCGGATGTTGAAAGATGCCTGGTCAACAGTAGAGTCATTCAAGGACTTTATCTTGGTCTGAGAAAGATATCATGATGCTGTTAAATCCAGAGCTTGTTAGACGTTGCCGGAGCTGCGGCTTTCTGCGAGTCCCAACTTCTATCAGGTATTGCTCTGGAGAGGAGAATCACGGCGCAATATGTGGTGTGGATCAACCATGAGAACAAAATAATGAAGTTTCAGCATGAATGTTACCATTATTCGGCGACAAGGTGAAGTTTAAAGACTATAGCCGGCTTTGTAAAGATGGCCGTTGCTCTCATAAACCAAGTATCTATTCAGTGCCTGAAAGAATTGAGTGCTGCATGGACACTGTGTACACAAACTAACTTCATTTCTTTTGAAGAGATAACAAATTTGTTTCCATCATCCTCAGTGGTGAAACAATGAGCCGGTAGTATTTCTCCCGGAACTCCTCCTTGTCAATATTGACTTCTCCCACTGGGGAGGCGAGCTCCGCGCATTGACGAACTACCGTTATGTAATCACCCAGTATCTGGGCATCATTTCGCATGATCTCTTGGATGATGTAACCCCGATACTGGTCATCGTTCCAGGACTCTGGCGGCGGCTCTATAGGCTTGAAAAGACCGATCTGAAGAAGAATGAAGGCTAGGTTCAGGAGCGTCCTTCTCTGCCTCCCACCGGACGCTGGTTGCTCAGGTATCGCGTTCGTCCCGTGTACCTGGCTTTCTATTTCGACCTTCAGGAATGGCCCGAGGATGTGGCTAGAGGGCTGCAGGGTATAGAATATGACGTCGTCCCTGCCCCACTGGCATCTAGTCTCCGGCCAGTCGAACCGCAGGGCCGCCTCGGCGATCAGTCTGGCAACCTGCACCTTCCACAGTGTCCCGGTCTGGGCATTCCTGTGGGCGATCTGTGGATCAGGGCGTTCGAGAAGCATTTTGTATAGACTGACTGGTTCGCAGTTCTCCGGCGGCCGCTCGTCGGCCGGGAGAAAGTAGATTCTGTGGAACGCGCTGGATGCGTCAACCATCTGCATTGCCAGGAGTTCAGGCTCCTCGTGCTGTGCGAGATATTCCGGACAGACTTGGATCGGGTTTTGTGTCAATGTGCCGATGACGACGTTATCACCGTATTCTGATACATGAACAGGACCAGTGTCGGTCTTGCGCATCTTCGTAGGCAGTATCGCCGCATCCGAGGACCGTCTCCGTTTATGTCCCTTCATTTCTGGTGTCCGTCCCCTCTCGGCGGCCGTGCCCGCGCTGGTGGTATCCGGCGCTACCGAGACTACTCTCAACCAGACCGGATCTTTCTCCTTCTTTGCACTGGATAGTATGGCCATACGCATCTCAGGACCGCCGCTACTGCCAGAAGCAAGACTGAGGTATGCCGTGTGTCTCCGATGCTGCTTTACAGGACAGGCCCTGCAGAAACATTGAAACAACGTGGCGGCGGCGAGGCTCTCAAACGAGAGTCGCCGGAGCTCCTCTGGCGAGAACTTGGGTATAGACTCGCTTTGGCCCATCGGGAAGCTGCCAATGAGCGGCTGCGCTAGCTCGTTAAGCTCATCTAAATGTCTGTCGACGTTAATAAGGACATCCTTCACCTCGACGTCGGGGTGTGCCGCCCGCTTTCGCGCTTGCTCGTCAAGACTGGAATTGTCCTTATCCTGACACAGTTTAGTGTCGTGGCTGTGGGATAGAAGAGAGTTCGTGAATATGAGCCTTACCTTGAAGTCGTTAAAAATCCTCTCCAAATGCGCCGGGGCGTCTTTCAACACAAGGGAGATGTATTCCATCTTGTCTAATACTTTCACATAAAGTAGGGTACTGCGCTCTGCTTCTTCGAGGTGAGCACTTCGTACGGACTTAAGGAGCGAGGCACTGGTGACCTCAAACCGAAGCTTCTGCTCTTCTATGTCTTCCTCGATTGTTTCGAGACACTTGGGTATACGCTCAGAATCCATGATCATATCATCGCAATTTTTCAAAAGGTCGTAGTAGGTCTTTGAGATATCATTTCTCTTTTTAATCATTCCCCCCAGCTTTTCTTGCCTAGCACGCTCAATTGTTTCATAGTCTCCATGTGTAAAGGCCGGAGCCGATGAAGCCTCCTCAACGGAGTGCAGCTCAGATGAAGAGGATTCAGGCGCGATTGCACCCGAAGAATTGACTCCACGAGCATTTGCAAGTAATTGGGCTATAATGTCTCGTATTTGTGAATTATTGTTGTCTTCTGGGAGAAAGACCAGACCGGAAATGTTCGTATTATATGTGTACCGGCTCGCATGAGCTAGGGTGCCATTGAAGTGATTCATAGTAGCCAGAAGAGCGGTATCACTAGCACGAACATGGTCGAGCTTCGCAAGCTTGGACGGCTCTCTATCAGCCATCTGAAATAGGCTGAGAGGCAGTTCAGTCGAAACTTCCTCATTCTGCATCTTGTCAAAGTGTGGGTCTCAGCTTAATGACGTTAATGAAGACTTGAGTAGGTGTAGGGTTCGTCGAGATATACAGATTTCAAGGGGCAAAAAATAATGCAAAAGTAGATCGACCTTTTATTTAAGGATAACATTTGCATGGGTCGAATCTGGCTGGATATGAAGCAAGGCTGCAGAGTATGGCGGGTGAGGGTTTTTGGGATGAATTACGCCAAGGCAAATAAAAAGAAGAGGGTATGAGTCAATAGTACAGTAGTGGTACTGAGCCTCCTATCTTTACATGTACATAGAGCAATGCTCATAATTTCCCCGATCTAACCTATATCTCAGTCAGCTTCGCTCGTGGGGGTTGTGCCGTGGCGTCACATCTACCGGTTTCTTTACACAGCCTCGTGCGCGTGCGTCAATGAAACCATGCGGCATATGCATGTCCATTTCAGCTCTGATGCATTCCCAACCTTTCCGCTCATCGCGCATCCGTCGCCATCCATCTGCCTTCGCAGTTCACTGCCTTCCTCTCTGCACTTCACCGTTGATACTGCCATGTGTGACCTCAGAGCCTCGTGAGGGGCTCACACCGGTTTGATCATTGTGACCCGGCACCAGTGTACAGTTGACGGTCCAGCGGTGTCTCACCCCCTCCTAAAGTAGCCATCAAGGACAGAACATCCAACTCCAGGATATTTTGCATGAACTTTTGTAATCATATTTGTTGATTATTATCAGTACAAATTCACCTTCAACCTGTCCTGACGACGCCCAAAAGACCTCATCACATCACCCTAAGTCAGATTTGTGATTCCTACACATTACGATGGCAGTGAGACTTCCTTCCATAATATGAACCATCTTCGAATGTTAATAATACTAATATCTGGCAACAGGAAGTCCTTGGAGGTGTCAGCGCTGCGGCGTCCTTGGCTCAGCAGTCTTTCTTATTGCTAGATCGTGTTCAGAAAACCCTAGACCACCGGAAGAATTACTCCATGCATCTCAGTACCGTGATGCGTGATGTCGAGAGCGCCAAGGCCATAGTTGAACGAATCCAGAAAAGTCCTTTTCTGCAGACAGACGATCTGGCGGCTTATATAGATGAGCTCATGCGCATCTCCAAAGACATCGACAGTCTCGTCGCCACCCAAGAGGAGCTGACCCAAAGGGGCCGTGGGTTCCGGCTGTTCGTTCATGACTTTATGAAGGGGCCTACTGAGCAGCAGCAGCTCGAGACTTTCAGGGACAGCCTGGTTGCATCGAAGAACACCTTGACACTTGCCATTGTAGTCGGTCTCGCCCCTGCCGGCACGACCCTATCTATCACGAATACCAAGCTCTCGGGTATGGCATACATGCAGAACAGTCGCATCATAAGGGATAAATCTGACAAGGATTGGGATAACATCATTGTCAAGGATGTTGTACAAGAGGGAAGTTCGCTTATGATGAACTCCTCGCTGACTCCCAATCAGCTTGACAAGCTTACCAGCGATCACGACAAGCGGATGAAACTGGAAGTGTTAGCCAGCCTTCTTAGAGACCCAAATGTTCCAGCAGAGATAAAGCAGGGCATCTCTACTGCGATAACAAGCTTTTGATGGGCGGGATATGAAGAAACTGGGAGGTAGGAAATGTGCTGCCAGATTGGTCTTTCAATACGAGGAATCTCACAAGTTCATGCATTTAATGTTACTTCCTATATTTTTCATTGTCAATTAGCTATATTCTTGCATCTATCATGTTTTTAAGTCGCCGTTGTGGGCTTAGGCATAAGATAATACAATCCAAGTCGGGTACAGCACTAATTCGCACATTGCCGGATATTCATCCAGACTTTCTGGTCATTGAAGTTTCGTTTTATGAATTACTCATGGTTTATAAAATGATTGAGCTCAAGGTTATACAACCATGCAAATTTAACGGGTCATAGCACGAAATCAGACTGCCATAGGGATGGTCACAACATGAAAGTACTTAATAAAGAAGAGACAAGCTGGTATGTATATACATTAAATGGCTGCAGGTCTTATGTCCTTCGAAGTATTTCCACATACAATTCAACCCACATCCCAGATTACATTGTAACAAGTATATCCATAAGAAGTGTGAAGACAAGCCGGGGAATGAACGCAAAATTCAAATGGCCTTCAGCTCTCCATTTAGGGGCTCATTGGGCTCAACGGAGTCCTGGGACTAAGAACGCTTTTCTATTTACCATTCATAAATTAGTATCGGGTTCCGCAGAGATGTTATCGTAATTGGAAGTCAGGGGAACTTTAGAAAACGAACTTCATCTTTGATCTCAGAAAGGGCAAGCTTGATCTGGAAGCTGAGTCTCGAAAGCCTGGAAGTCTCGTCTCGCAGCTGGTAGAGCACATTAGGTCTCTCATCCGGGTCTATAACACCGGACATCACAGTAGGGATGTCGATATCGGAGCCGTTATCATTTTCACTGTAGTGAAGGTTCAGAGTCTTCCATGCTTCCTGCATCGCCTGATTCAATCTCCGAGCACTCTCGGGCATTTTCGAGGTGTCTATGCCAGGTATAGGTATGTCTTAGTTACATCAGTTTTTGATAGCGTTGATGAGATAGAATGAAGGGTTGACACTATACATACCGATAACAGCACAGAGGGAGCCAGCGATTCCAAGCAATGCTTTCAAGACCGAAATACCCAGAGCGTCGTAGAGTTCCGAGGTAGTGTTGAGCAGTTCATCTAGTTCCTGGTCGGTGAAGCTAGACTTCCATAAGTAGAGCCGATCGCGTTCGTCGCCAAGTTGACATCGAGCCACATCCCAACATTTCTGTTGATACTCAGGCATTGTGGGGTCCAGTTCCCCTGGAGCTGGATCGCCATACGGCTTGGAACATGCAATGGCCACGGGGCTAAAGCTCAGAGACCAAGACTCCTGGCTCAGAACCAAAGACCAGACCTCAATGAGGGAATGGAAAAGCTTCGAAATAGACCCAGAGGAGGTTTTGTAGCAAATGAGATCCTCTAGTGAGGCTATGGAGTTGGTCCTACTCAAATGTCTACTTTTCGTACGGTATAAGCTTCGCGGCCTTTTCCAGATCATTGAGCCGGAACGCCGAGAGGCTATTAGTGCGCTATCCCTTGACCGACCGACCTCTCGACGGAGATCCGACGATAGCGATAGCAGGTTGGTAGCCGAGTTATAACCTCCCATGCCGGTGTCAGATGAGGCTGGCAAACCCATGCTAGGGGAGAGAGTGCCTCCTGGTAGGGGATCTTCCATTGTGTAGTTCGACTAGATTTTACCTGGGTTTGACTCCTATTGTTCGAGGCGAGTAAATTATGAAGGAAATCCGTGTTGATAATATTCAGACATTGAGCTTCATCGTGAAGTTGTGTAAGACAAATGTTGCGGGATGCCACAACGGAATTGCAGTGATAAGGTCCGCGTCTGCGTTATGGCTCACACGCAGAGTCAACACTAACCCCCCTCTTCTTCTTTAACACACCTAGACATAGACGTTAGCACTTTGTCGTGTGCGATTCTGTTAAACCGGTGTGTAGTAATGGTGTGGGCTGTATGTCTGATGTGCTGACAGGTGTGTCAGACATTGATCAGATGTAGGGCCGGCTATGAGCCAAGGACGCAAGTTCCTTGGGCGTATCAAACCCCTCAGAAGCCGTATTTCTGGTTTCGGATGATCTGAGCTATTTTCAGAAAGGCCTCTTGTCAGCGAAGCACCCTTCCCTTGTGTCGGAGCACATGTCAGTCAGAAATGCCGAATTCTCTAAGAATTTCCTATGAGTTTGCCGAGCCTCGCCAGAGAGCTGAACCTCAAACCACCGAAATCACTTGGAGAGACACTCAGAAGATGGTGGGTGACGCCTCGTGGCGTCTGCAAGTAATCATTATTCATGTTCACCGGGAACGCCGAGTCCTACCAGATCGGGCATTAGCTTGCATATCCGATGTACATGGAAGAGAGTCTAATACCTATCTCACGATAAGCCGTCGAGGCTGTAACTGAACTGACTTCTAAGGACCAACGCCTGGGAATAGCTTTGTCTAGGTTGTCACTGCCCGCTCCATATGAATCCTGGGCCTCATGTAGCCGCTCAAGCAGGTCTGTAGAAGTCACGGGCCCCTATTGGCCATCTTGCTCAAAGAATTCGTATTGCTGAAGAAAGGGTTGTACTTTCTCTGAGATTGTTCAAACATTCACCAACCCCCACGTCACATCGCTCAAGGTGCCTGCTACAAACTTGGCACGACATGTCAAGTTCAAGGCTAGGGAAGTAGTATTTCATAAACTCTTTGACGGCCTACCTTCACGACTTACATGATACTGTATATACGAATTTAGTTTGCAACTTTAGATTTTGTGACGGAAAAGTTAAGCTAATGTCTCAAGTACTCTCCCCTATTTAGACTTCATGCCGGTCAAGACCAATTTCTGACGGTTACCGAGCCAGTAAGCCGAATCTGTCCTGCACGGACTGAGCTCAATGCTGCCCGCATGCTCTACCTACTTCTGAGTATGCGATGGAATAAGATAGTGACGAATGGCCGCTACACGCATGGATAGTCGTCTCAAACAACATCAAATTTGATGACCATGGGACTGTGATAAAGGGGGTGGTATGATAGAATTTAGACGTCGAGTAATTTACGTTCTGTACTCGACCCAGTGCAGCATATTGTAAGGTATACAGAAAGCAGTAGCACTTGATAAGCGAGGAAGTGGCTCGACTGTGAACGCCTTTTTCTTCTTCTCGTCTTTTCTTCTTTCTTCTTTCTTGTAATAACTTGGCCGGAAATGCTTCCAGCGCTACACATGTGCAGATAGTCTTGGCATGAACGAATCTTTCTCTGTCAGTTTATTACGCTAGCACAATGTATCTTACCACCCACATAAATTCGTTCTCATCATACAGCATCCACAGATCAGCATGTGCGCTGAGATCCTATGCGCATGGGCAAACAACGAAAACCGTTACACGAATAATGGCATCACACCTGTGACCACATAAGGACTCTGGTATGACCACACATGGGGCATGATTTGCCTTCTGAGGAAGAATATTCTTAAGCTGACAACAAAAACTGTTCTCACGCACGAGGCGTTCGTGGATTTTCGCAGATGTTTGACATGTTATTGCTTGAATGTCATAATGATGGTTCTTCCTCGTGAACACGAAGCGCAACATGATCTGCTGGGAATTGTTATCTCTCCAGGCACCGAAAACTAATATATTCACAGCCTGCTGTCATGCACGCCGTACATTGAACTTGATTGCCTGAATGCTTGCTTGGAAAGGGCGGCCGAACCAGAGCGATGGAAGGCAAAAATAGAAAGAAAAAGAAGAAAAAAAGGGGGGAGGGGGAGAAGAGAAGAGGAAAGGGTAATCGGGGGACCGAGGCACTAGGTATCCCTTGAGAAGAGTTGTTGTTGGGATGGATCTGGCAGAACTGATATCTTAAGCTTTTGGTCGAGTGACAAAGTGGGCCCTGAAGGGAAGCCTCTGATTGGAGGAGTTGGAGGCCACCTGTGGCGAATGGAGGACTCGGAAAACGACATACTAACCTAGATACTCGACCTCGACACAGGAATCCCGACATATGTCACTAAAACACGAAGTACTATCTTCGATGCGCTGAGTTATGGTAGTTTCGGGCAGTTGATATGAGCCTTCAAACCTACTAGTTTTCAGTTCCATTTATTTCTGCTCTGCTTGCTCTTTGTATGTGAATGCCAAGCTCTTTTTTAGCTCAACTGCAGCAAAAGATCCCGTGCTTACATATTCAACTAGAGCCAGATACTCCCTCTCCGTACACCAACTGCACAATCTCCAACCGGGTCAACATGTTCTTCAAGGGGACTTTGCAGGAAGGCATTTCGACTGCACTACAGCAGTCGAAACAAGTCATTTGTTTTGTCACAGGTACGTTTGACCAGGTATCTCCTACCCAAGCACTACCAGTAACTAACACGTGTGCAGATGGTAGCGATGAAAGCGAGCAATGGGAGACCGAATTTCTGGCGGAGGATAGAGTCAAGGGACCCCTTGAGGCGCAAGCAGTAACGCTCCGTTTGCAGGCAGGTTCAGAAGAAGCTGGGTACTTGGAAGCGCTTTTCCCCGTGCCCCGGAAGCCAACCGTAGTCGTCATCCAGTATGTGAAGACAGTCCCTTTCCCTCCCCCGACACCGTCTGGACCTAGTTCCTAATCATTTCTTCAGAGCTGGACAGCTTAAGGAGTACATTGCGGCAGGGACTTCCAAGGACGAGTTTCTACGGAGACTGAGCCTCGCCCTCGAAGGTCCCTCTCATCAGGCGCCAGCAAGTGCGTCGTCTGCCACACCAGCACATACATCTCAGGAGAGCGCCCCTGCGCCGGCACAATTGCCCCAGAGCGCCGATGAGGATGTCTACGGGAACAGTGCACCCTCAACTTTGTCAGCTCCCCCAACCGAGGAACCACCGCAAGCCTCACCGCACATCCAGGCGCTCCTAGCGGAGCGGGCGGCCCGCCTCGAGGCCAACAAAACGGCGAAAGAGGCGGCCGCGAAGGCAGAAGCCAAGAAGCGGGCAGAGGAGCAGGCAGCCGCAGGCACGAGCAGCAGTGAGGGCCAGCAGCAGAGGAGCGTCGACGCGGCGGAGAAGAAGCACGCGGACCTCCTACGCAAGCGGAGGCAGGACGAGAAGGCGGAGCGCCAGCGCATCCTGAGGCGCATCGAGGATGACCGGCGCGAGAGGCGGGAGCGCGAGGCCCAGGAGCGGCAGGCGCGGCTGCTGCTCACGGCGGCCACCACGGGAGACGAGGTGGTGGGAGCGGGCAGAGCGGGCAGTAGCTCGGCGCCGCCGCAACGGAGCGACGCCGTTCAGCTTCCCAGCCGCGGCGGCGGTGCGCACTGTAACCTGCAGGTGCGCCTGCTCGACGGGTCGACCATCCGGAGCCGCTTCCCCAGCGACGCGAAGCTGGGCGGGGAGGTCAGGGGGTGGATCGACGAGAACCGCACCGACGGGGACGAGCCGTACACGTTCCGCGTCGTGCTGACGCCGCTGCCGAACAAGACGGTCGAGGCGTCCGAGGAGGCGGACAGCCTGCTCGACCTCGGCCTCGCGCCCTCGGCGACGCTGGTGCTGGTCCCCAGGGTCAGGGTGGCCAACGCGTTCGAGCAGACCGGTGGTGCGCTGTACCGTGCCCTCGCGGGGGTCTGGGCGTTGCTCGCCATGGTGCTGAACTTCCCCTTTACTCTGGTCGGTGGTGGCGGTGCCAGGTCTTCCCGGGCCGGACGGGCCGGCGAAGAGATCCCCATGGAGAACTTGGACGGCGAGGGCTCCGCGAGACGTGAAGGTCAGGACCAGAGGGTCAGGGGATTCCAGAATCCCGACGATCGGAGGCGGGACCAACAACTGTATAACGGCAACTCGGTAAGTGACATGCCTGAACCAAAAAAAAACAAAACAATTGTTTTTCTTATTTTAGTGGTTGATGCGGTCTGCTACGAACACTAACACGCTGCAGCTGAATTTCGAACCTAGGAACGACGATGATGACCAGCACGACACGCAGTAGATAGCATGTCATTTTTTTCAACATTCAGAGCTCGCGGTCTAATAAACAACTCATCTAGTTGAGACGCGGTACGCTACAGTGGTACACATCTGCATGTAGTATGCTACACGGTAGAATCTGGGACAGATGAAGAGGACAGATACAAGGTAGATGGCTGTTCACGGGATGTTTTATTGTATTATACAAGAGGAGAGATATGTAAATCTAGCTTCCTCGCTTCAATGACTTGATATTATAGTGGTGAAGCCCCCCTGGACCAGGTAATGCAATATGCTGCTCATGCTTCAACCTCACACCATCTCTCTTCCCCATTTTTCACGCCCCATCTGAACTAGGCCGTTTCGCTTTTCACATGTCGTTGTCTACGAGGTGTACTGGGTGGCAGCAGACTGGCAGGCCTTGAGCTGCTCGAGGTACCAGCCGCAGATCTGCATGTTGCCGGAGTGGTCGTCCATGCACTTTGTGAAGTTCTGGGTGGCGACACCGCAGTTGTTGCCCCACTCGTTGTTGGTCTGGCTGGACTGGACGGCAGGAGAAGCAGCGGCCTGCTCGGCGGGCGCGGAGGAGCCGCCGCCGAAGAAGCCACCGATGGCGTGGCCGATGGAGGATCCGACTGCTACACCGCTGTGAGGAGACATGTCAGTACATCGCGTGTGGATGTGTACACATGTATATACGGCCACGGGCGCAGGCAGTGATCTGCCGGGGGTGCAGTTACCGAGGCACTTGATGGCTAACTAAAGTCCGCCAGAGGAGCAGGGGAAGAGCGAGAGGGGAGGGGAAAGAGGAAGGCTTACGCAGCAGTGCTGGCCATCTGGCCGAACAGACCGGGACCTTGCGACGCAGGGGCAGCCTGTGCCGGGGCAGCAGCGTGAGGAGCCTGAGCCTGGGCGGGTGCGTATGTGGTGGCGGGCCGGGTCTGTTGCGCCTGGGGAGCAGGAGCAGATCGGGGAGCCACGGTAGGGCGGGCAGGGGCAGGGCGGCCGGCGGATCGTTGACGAGGCATGGTGGGCTGGATTGTGAGTTGTTTTGGCTGTGTGTTTCGGCTGTTGGGAAGAGGGAAAAGAAGTTGTGGTTGGTGTTTGTTCGGCTTTATTGATGGGTTGAATGGCAAAATATTGGCTGCGACGGAGTTTCCCATTGCCCATTTGGATTGGAAGGGAAGGGAAGGGAATCTAGACTGAGCTAAGCCCAGAGAGATCTAGCGTGTCTGAGCAGTCCCCACCTGTGGCCAATGAGAAGGCAATGTCAAGGTCAGCTCGGGACTCCACCGTCACGATCGCCGGCGCGTTTCTTTTCCTTTGTTGCGGATCCGTGCGTACCATGCGCATGTACGGATTATGTATGGAGTATTATGCTTAGATGGGTAAGGGTCTGTCTCTACGGTTTAGTCGACTATCGTTATCGTAACTTTGGAGAGCTCGCCGATGATGCTCCCATGCTCCCATGCTCCCATGCTCTCGTATGATTGAGCTTTGATAAGACTGTCTCCGGCCAAGTTCAAGAGTGAAGTCGGGCACTGGCATTGCTCGAGTTGTTTTGCTCTTAAACATGATGAGGGCCCCCATGCAAGGTCTCCGGACAGTTCTCCGCCATCCCAGCCCACCGTCCATACCCTCAGCTGCGACATCTTTATCCCACTTACACGAGTCTCACCATGTCCCGCGCCCGCAACAGACAGCCTCTTTCTCGGTCCTCAACCGCCCACCGCCCAAATACGAAGGCCACGTCCCACTCACCGGCGTCGAACGCTTCGCCCTGGCCCTCGGCTCCGGCATCGGCTCTCTGATCAACCCGTACCGGGCGGACCTGATCGCGGCCTGCGGCGAAGCCACCGCGACGCCGTACTTCATCTACCGGCTGCGGCGGGCCATGCTGTCGAGCCCGACGGGGCGGCGCATCCTCCGCGACCGGCCGCGCATCACCTCCCAGTCGCTGGACCTCCCGCACCTGCGCACGCTGGGCCCCAACACCGTGGGCGGCAACTACGTCGCCTGGCTCGACCGCGAGGGCGTGAGCCCCGACACCCGCGCCAGCGTCAAATACATTGACGACGAGGAGTGCGCCTACGTCATGCAGCGCTACCGGGAGTCGCACGACTTCTACCACGCCCTGACCGGCCTGCCCATCGTGCGCGAGGGCGAGGTGGCCATCAAGGCTTTCGAGTTCGCCAACACCCTGCTGCCTATGACGGGCTTCGCGTGCCTGGCTGTCGCCACCATGAAGCCGAGCGAGCGGAAGAGGTTCTGGGAGGTCTACGGGCCCTGGGCGCTGCGGAATGGACTGAGGAGCGAGGAGGTCATCAACGTGTATTGGGAGGAGGAGATGGCAACGGATTGTGGAGAGCTGAGGAAACGCTTGGGCATCGAGAGACCGCCGGACATGCGAGAGACGAGAAAGAAGGAGAGAGAAGAGAGGAAAAAGAGAAAAGATGCAGCAAAAGCTATGGAGGATGTTGCCGCTGCCCCATAACGTGACATCAGGGTTTTTTTTTTTTCTGAAAATACTGTAAAATATGCACTGGGCTGTAAGATGGCTATGTACCACCATGTAGCATTAGGAACGACAACCGGTAGACCCATGGAAGAAAAGAAGAAAAAACAACAACGCCATGCCATGCCAACTGTCTCTGGTGATACACCATTTACTTCACTTTTTCATCTTCTTTTCCTTTTTCTTTTTATTAAAAAAAAAATCGAAATCACCACTCTTATGACGTATGCCCAACCGCCTCAAGACGGGGAGGCGACACCAACCTTTTCGACGAGCACCTAGTCAAAGAAATCGTCATCGTCGTCCTCGTCGTCCCACTCCTTCCGTCTCGCCACCACGATCTTCTCCTTCTCCCTCGAGGTCTCGGCGACGGCCTCCAGCAGCTCCTTGAGCTGCTCCTCGGTCACCTTCTGCTTGAGCTGGCCGCTGCGCGCGAGCATGATCAGCCTGTTCTCGACGTCGTTCGCGCGGTCCTCCTTGACGAGCCTGATGCGGCCCAGGCGGTCGGCGGCCTCGGGGTGGAGGATCTGGTTCAGGATGTGGGCTCTGGCCTCGGATTCGGCCCTGGCGGCGCGAGGTGGGCTGTCAGCAAGTAACCCCCCAAGGTCTTCCGCGGTTTTCTTTGCCATGCAGCGCGCGCCGTTCCGCCGACGCGACGGGCGTCTGGGCGCGCTCAATGCAGAACAGATGGAACGTACTGCTTCTGTCCTTCGGGGTTCTGTCCCTGGCCGCCTGCACCACCGGCGGCGCCTGCCCCGCCCTGCGACTTGAGCTGCTCGAGACGAGCCTTGCGGATCTGTGGTGATGAGTGTTAGCGACACGATTTCCTCGGGCTCTGGAGCAAGAGCTATCCCTACAGCGTCTAGTTCTGCGTCTGCCATGGCTTTTGGTATAACGGACGTTGATGTAGAATGGATTCGTGGGGTAAAAGTTGCCTGTCGCGCGACATGGGACCTTCTGGACCTTGGACCTGGAGAAAATTATGGCGGGGTTCATCCCAGATTCCCAGCAGTCCAAGCTAACTCACTTAAATCCTCTATAATTAGAGCTCAAGTTTGGGTAGCTCCCAATCCTTCACATCGGATTCAGGAATCAAAGACTCAATACACAATCACATGCTGCTGGCAGACATTCAACATTACGAGAGCGTGGAATCAATATAAAATGTATCCTGTTCGTTCTTTCATCTAATGTCTCTATTGGTGAAAATGATACAGTTAGTAGTTCTCATATCTGTACAGCGGATATCTTCCGCGAACTCTATTTGTTTGTATATACAATGTGTACATGCGGCCGTTCCTTCTCGTCGTGGTTCCGGGCGTAGTCGTTATCCAACATATACGGCGAGTGATAAAGAGGAATGTCGGATTTCAGCTCCTCATTTCGAGCTTTTATCTTGGCCTTGACCAAGTTTATCATGGTTTTGTGATGCACAGAGCTGAGCCCAAGCTCTTCGGCCATGCCTACAAACCAGCCATTGAGACTTTGCATTGGCAGGGTTCGCCCGTGTCTCACCATGGACACCCACGGACTTGTGTCCCTTTGTGCGAGTAGAAATCGTTCCACCTCGGTCTTGAAATTGTGACCCTGGAAGTAGGCCAAGACCGCAGCGTCACGTTGCACCTCGGGAAGAGCTGAGACGATTGCAATCGTCTCTGCCCACAGGTTTCCCCAGAGCCGACGAGCGTATCGGTCGGTAGCAAGACGGTTGTAGTGGAAGCCAAGTCCGACCGATGTCGCGTCTGCCAGAGCGGAGAATATCATCGACGGCAGCTTATACCGTAGAAACTTTGATGCTGGAAGGGCGGTTACGTTCAAACCAGGCGACGAGGCGAGCAGCTTGACGAGGTGCTGCGCGCGAGCCTGGCGTACAACACGATCCCACGTGTTGATCTCCATGTCGTCGCTTGGCGCCTGTGCAGAAACCTTTGACAGGAACAGTCTGCCCCTGTTCCGGATCTCTATGGCATATCCATCGTCGTGCTGCATGGGATCCCTTGACAGGGCATAGCCCGAGTGGCCGAGAATAAAAGTCGGCCGTGTGGAAGGATCTTGAAATATGACATTGTTCAGGTGCCTCACGATGCCGAGCCCCTCCGTGACCAAACATATCGTGGTATCTTGGTTGATGCTATCACGTATGCTGAGAAGGGTTGGCAAGATGGCATTCTCGTTGGTGCATAGCACCAGGTTGTCGATGTGCTTGAGCCTCGGCCGCTCCGCCCTGCTCGGTCCTGCCTTGAGCGCCTTGCCGACATATTGAGGCATGAGTATTTCGTGCTTCTTTTGAAGTCCTTCTTTGTTTCTCACGGACAGCTTGCGGTTGCTGGCACCCCATTGATTCACCTCGTCGTGGTGGTGTACCAGGATCTGAGGAGGAGGAAGATCGGGGGTACCAGCGAGGCAATGTGTTATGTACTTGGCGTCGCCTGTGAAGCCCATGACGTGGATTTTCTCGGACAGTTTGAGGGAACGCAAGACTTCCTCGTATTCTTCTCTCCCCTCGTGTGGTCTGGTCAAGCTCTCCTGGGTTTTGGACGGCGCGGGCTCAGGCTGGACGTCGGGGGGCAAAAAGGTCGGCATAGGGGGTGGTGGCCTGTAGAAAGGCACCTGCAGCCTGTGTCTGAGGGCGTCCGACTGCTGCTGTAGGGTCGGAGGAAAATAGAGAGGAGGATCGAAATGGAAGACTTCCGATGAAGAAGAGGCGACTGCTGAGAGAGGCTGCTTGGTGGCCCCCCGGCCCACCGAGATGTTATCGCGACGCCATGCCGGGTGTCTGTGAGGTATTCGCGCAGAAGCCCGCGAAAGTGGCTGTCGAACTATGTGTGAAGACAGATTGAGGGATTGTGGGGTATCAACGGGAAAATCTCATAGCTCGAGCATGAGGGAGAGCGCGTTGTGTTGCGTTGCGGTGCGTTTGATGCGCGACCGTCGGTCAAGGGTAGTTTGTTCTCTCAGAAACAGAGGCTCGGTACAATCGCAACCATGCAAGAGGCAACCATACGCCGGGCCAAACGTAGGAAACGAAACGACGGGAATCGAGAAGCGAAACAAATACAGCTGCGAGGTGGCGGAGTTTCGAGACTCGACCGATGGTTGAAAGGTCCTGAATGTCATGGACTACTGGACTTCCTCATGACGGCGACATTTTTTTTCACCTGCTAACGAGACGACCCGGAACGACTCAAGTCGGGTCAGGGATCTTTTGCTTGCAGTTTCGGTTCGGGCCCAGGGAATGGGTACCCACCCTGTTGCGTTGAAATCGAGAAATCCGCCGCCGCTTATTGGCCGCGCTGGCAAGAGGGTGCCAGGTGCCAAGTTGCATAAGTCTAACCTACAGTAGACTGAGGTTAGTCTACTCTGCCAGTCACTCGACATATGCACATATGTACATACTATAGCACCGAGTAGGTTAACTTATGTAATTACATAAGTTATTGTTTGACTGTGTAGCGTAGCACGGAGCCCCCCGTACCTGGAATTCTGCCGCTGGGTACCGCTAAAATCTTCCGGCGCAGGCGCCAGAGGCGTGGCAACCATTGCTTGACAGGCCGCTTTCGTCGGCTGTACAACACCTGCCCACGAACGAACAGACTGCCTCTCTGCCTGAGCCCAGATTCGAAAATGGATGTGACCGACATAGAACCGCAGCTTGAGCGTCTCGATGGTGAGATCGATGACCTCGAAGACGCTCTCGAGCCTCTTCTTGCAAGTCTCCCCGAGGTAGCTTCCAAGCTGCCTTTGCTCGACAAATCCAAGCTCTATGTTCTGGTCGCATACGCGTTGGAGTCCATGATATTTTGTACGCTCAACTCGCTTTTTCACCCAAGCCGTTCGCCAACTGACCATGACGCACAGCTTCCCTGCGATTGAACGGCGTGAACGCCAAGGAGCACCCCATCTTCAAGGAGCTGACACGCGTGCGGCAATACTTTGAGAAGATCAAGAACATTGAGAACCCTCCCCCGAAACCCGACCAGTCCTTGAACAAGGAGGCCGCTATCCGTTTCATCAGGGCAGATCTTGCCGACAACAAGGAGGTCAACACGAAGCTATCTGAGATGATCGCCAAGGAGCGCGCCAAGGCCGCAATCAAAGCTGCTCAACTCGGCCAGAAGCGTAAGGCTGAGACCGACCCCGAAGAAAAAGCCACCGCACAGGAATCATCAGACAGCTCCGAGCGACAAGCCGAACCTGTACCAGAGGCAAAGCCGAAGAAAGCGAAGAATACAAAGGAGGAGAGAACGAAGAAGGGCAAGAAAGCCAAGAAGGACAAGAAGAGTTCCAAGTGAGGCGTCATGTGATTGGGATATAATCTGGCTGGTTCACATTCGCCAGGCTTGCATAAGCGGAGTTCATGGTTACGAGATGCATCCAGAAGTCTGGGAGGCTTTCTGGGGGAGTTTGGCGTTAGATCAGCATCGCCATGATGGGACGACCTGGGATGGTCTATCTCTTGTTCGGTTGCGCCATGGCGTGTTACGCAAACATGGTTTGCTGCTGAATTCTAGTATTTCGCAGCAACATTCTTATACCAAGGATTCTTTTTTTTTTTTTAACCTGTTATCATTCACTACCCGACTATCAATTCTCTTTTGAGTGATTGACACACTGGCTCGCGGAATGGCTGACTCTCATGAAACAAACACTTGAGGCTCCCGGGATATTCTGTGTTCAGTTAGTGAGCACATAGCTTCGAGATACAAAATACGCCGACACAAAAGAGGCTCGGACAGTTGAATATCATAAATTTCCCTCTCCGCGTTGACCCATCTATCACTGGTACTACGCACTCAATCCTTGGAAGCCGCTTTCTCAACGAGCCGGGAAATCACCCAGTGTTCTCTCATGGCCAACACCGTTACTTTCAGTGGTTGTTAAGTAACTGCAAGCGTAAGGCGAGTCTTGATGGCTGGTAATGGTGGCGGGGCGAGAGATTTATAGCGGGTAGACACTCTGCCATGAGGCATATTGCATCGAAGAAGAAAAGGAAGAAAAAAGCACAAGACTGTTGCAAAATAGGAGGGGAAGAGGAGTATTAAACTTCCTTCGTGCCTCACAGGAAATGATTGAATAGCGTTTGGGGTGCATGAAGTCTTGAATAATTCTCCAACCGCTACGCCAACCCGTTCGACAGCGCAAATTGTAAGTGAAGCATCACACGTCGCAAAGTAAGAAACAACACTCTGCCCAACCTCATGACTCATAAACCGAGACGGAATATCCTCTCAAGAACCACCGCCGCCGCACTATTTGCAAGTTAGCATATATGTAGTTTCCTGGTCCCAAGCGAATCGACTTACACCACCACCACCGCCGCCGCCTCCTCCGCCACAACCACCGCCTCCACCACCTCCACCACCACATCCTCCGCTGCCTCCTGATCCACCTCCGGAACACTACCGTTGTTAGCAAAGGCAAATAAACCCAATGGTGATATTCTTACTGCTCCGCCAGCACCGCAACCCCCAGAACCCCCACAAGAACCTGCACAATCCAAAGTTAGTTATTGCTCGTTCCAACTGCGATCTCCAAAGCCCAAAGCCATAGCCAGGCAAGGCACGGTGTCGAGGTGACCCCGGAAGGTGCTTACCAGCCGCAGCTCCCGCGCATGCTCCTGCTCCTGCAGCGCCTCCACAGGTCCCTGCCGCACAAGCGCCAGCGTGACCGGTCCCGGCAGCCGCCATGCCTGGATCGTAATAATAAAAACCGGGTGTCCAGTAGATCGGATAAACCCATGGTCCGTACATCGTGTAAGGGTATCCCCAGTAGTAGTAGTACTCATCGCGAGGTGGGAGTTTCCGGCCCTTCTTCTCCGCTCTCTTTTGTGCTTTCTTGTAGTTCGCCTCCATTCTAGCGAGCTGAGTATCGTGCATGGCCTTTAGTGTAATAGCTCGACTAGCATCCTCGTCGTGGTACTTGACTGCATTGTGCGCTGAGATGTGTGCCGATGCATCTGGGGGACACATGTTCGCCCTGCCGGACTCATGGAACTCGTTGACAACTGTCCTAGTCAGCATTGGTATCTCACCTTATAGATATAATGACCACCTACGCTTTTCATTCTTTGAGACCCCAAGTACTCTTCCGACGGAGCTGATATGAGAAGCACGAACACTTTCGCAATACCAGCATGTGCACTCGCTGTATACTTCACCGAAGAGCCCTTGATATGTCTTGCTAGTCCACTCGAATGCAGAAGCCAGCTTATCCTCGTTGATCTTGTCGTCATGATCGATGAATTTACCGGTCTTCGCAAAAGTAAACTCCAGATAGGAACGAGGGCTTAGTTGATGGGTGTGCCATGCAAGGTCGACGTCGAGAGTCGGAACGGCGACTTTATTACTGTTAGAGGCCATGATCTGGACGAACCGTTGGTATTTGACAACAAGTCGCTGCATCGTATCCCGGGCTGTGGGACTGTGAAGCCAGTCGATCTTGTACATCTTCTCGGTGAAGATACCCTGTCGGTGTACAGCACCACCGAGTTCAAGCGCGAAAGGTGAAAAGTTGCCCCAGTAATGTGCCATCATCTTTCTGACCGGAATTCTGGATCGGTTTGACAGCTGGTAGGGCCTCAACGAGGAAACTCCAGTCACACCGTCAGCTTTCTTGAGGAGGTTCTGGTCTTTCATGACGTCCTCTATCATGCTGCGGACAGTCTCCATCCTGATTGGCAACAAACTTGAGCCAGGTTGGATCAATTCCAGGATCTCACTCCGTAGTGCGTTCTGAAGAAGGCGGTTGGGGAAAGTCTGTTCAAGCTTCGCAGTTTCGTGCTTGCTTGGCATTAGTCTCTCTGGCAGGCCGGTGTCGTAGTAAAGAATGGTGCCTGGCATTGGTTGATTTTTCATCAGGAGTGCTTTCACGTCGTTTACGAATTTGGCGACTTCAAGGAAATCTCTGTTGATCCTCGTGCCACAACTAGCACAGGTACTTTCAAATTCGCCGTCTCCGTAGCCTGTGCCTACCAAACCAGGACTGCGATCTTTCGAGTCTTCCGCCTGGCCACAAGTCGTCCATGGAATATTGTACTGGCTCGAACATGCCGGGCACTTGAAGCTTTTTTCCAAAGAATCGCTGGCATTGTCCCACTCATGACCGGTGGCCGCTTTCCAGATAGCAGCGGTGTCTTCGGAAACGCTATAGTTGAAGCTGGTGTCAATGGCCGCATTCACAAGCTTCCACGGGAGTCCTGCGGTCCAAAGCTCTCGCCTGCCCGCGCGAAGGCAATCCTCGAGGTAGTCACGAGGATTGAGCATATGAGCATGCCAGACCATGAGAACATCTTCACTTCGTTAGCACACGCAGAGGTGGACGACACGAGTACATACCTAAAGGTGGCAACATCTCTGGAGTCCATTTTAGCGGTGTTTCTGAGTTCACAAAATCCCCGTGTTTGGGCGAGTTGGCCGTCATCTCATCGTTCGTCAAAGGATCAGAAGGCATCGTGTTCCACCATGCCTCATACCGGTCAACCGCCCTTGTAACATATATTGCCCAGCGCTTCTCTCGCAGTTTCGCCAACACTGCCCCTGGCTCGGACTTGGGATCATCATGGAGATTGGCGCGAGAATCGAAGATATTCCACAAGCCATCGGTATAGCCGACATCTTCCTTTAGATTATGAAAAGTGGCAAGTAGCTTGAGATGCGCAAGGCAAGTATTCTCATCTACCTTCTGCGCGACAGTGGGCAAGTTTAGTGCCGAGAACGCAGCATTGAGAGCATCCAGTTCTTTTTCAGAAAGTTGCTTCGGCGGACCTGTAGGAGGTGGTGCACCTGCAACAGGAGTGTACGCTGGTGGTGCGGAAGCTGCCGACGCTTTTGCGCCAGAGCCGTGAGATTCCACTCCCATTGCGTACTTGAAAGGTGGTCGACGGCCAAGATGACTGAAAACCAGCGTATATCGCTTGTTTCGTTGCGGTGAAATATGTGTTCGCAACAGGTGATGAGAACACGGAAGTCGCTTTTTGACACAATAATCAAATCCCAGGCCAGACAAGCAAGCTATTTATGTGCGGCTGAGATGGAGTGCATTGCTGTCCCCAAGTCTCAGTGTGAAGCCAACATTCCTGTATTGTGGCTCTGCAGAAGGGCATTATCTTCAAGACGGAGTGAAGAAGTGGCACAGTCAAACCATGATTAGCGGCTGACCTTCCTTGCTGCTGAAGCTGTGCAATCATCTTACAGGCGATGCGTCTACAATAAGCCAGGTACTTTGCATGCGTCAATATATGATACAGCCCGTATGTACGGATTAGTTGCTGGATACCCGAGGTCCTTGGCTCATACGAACCACTTAAACCACTGATAAGCACTGCAGTCGGGCGCATTGCGCATAGAAGAAACAAACGGTGACAGCATACAGTACCTAACCTTAGTTCAAGGGCTCACCCACAAAAAGACGTCACATGTGCCCGAAGGATACGCCAGAAGATCGATCGAAGGCAGTGAAATGCTTCCGTGCATTTGCCTTTTCAGATTTACCGCAAATCCTGTCCAATCGAAATTGATAGCAGGGTGACAAGGCACACACAAGCATTGCCCAAGCTCTACCGAGTCCATGAGCGACGACGCGGGGCAGACAACGCCTAACGAATGGCAATGGGACGCTAACGTGACGATTGTGGTGGCTATGCTGGACGGACGCGACACCTGAACTCAATCAAGCAAGTCGTAAGCTGGTAAGCTTGTTTCGACGTGTTATGGGTACATCCATTACCGGATCTGCTGACCGATGTGCGAACTCCAAACAGTCCCAGGCGCACTCGCAATTCCTAGCATCCCAAAGCAGATCCGCCTCGATGCATGCCAACATCGAAACAACATCACAACGGCACATTTGTGCTTTCGGAGATGCTGTTGTTCAAGCTTAACTTTTGGAGTGTTGCAAGTCGCATCAGATGATCTTTGTGCCACGCCCGTGGATATTCGGGAGCTATATCCCCCAAAGTGCAGTGCCAGTTCTGTTCGTTTGGACCAACCCACACTCGCTTCTTTATCCCAAGTGGTGAACTCCAACAAATTTGGTTCGCAGCTTACACGGATCAATAGCATCTCGCAGCTCGGGGAGTGGGGCATTCCAACTTGAAGTTCCAAGATTTGAACGAGTCCGAGGTTCCTAACTACGCAACCTTATCCCATACTTGGACCGTTGAGGAGGTGTCTTCCCAAAACATATCGTCTCCATATCTGCCAGCCAAGAAAGATTAAAGAAGAATCATCGAGACATACCGTATTGCGCTATAGCATGGAATAGAATATAGTCCGAACTTTTTTATATACTATATACGACTAGTAGTGCCGAACTCACAGAATCGATTAGGTTTGCATTCCAGTAATATCGAAAAGAGTTCTGGTGAAACATATAATGAAAAGGTAAATATACAACATGTTTCAAAAGCCCGGTTTCAAACTGGTAAAAGGTTAATTTCAACACTCTCCCGCCGTTTCAAATAAGAAGATGTAGGGTTATCGTTATCATCATACGCTAAGACCATGTTGGCGTTTAATTTAACATGAGGTCTGCCGTTTTCTGATCGCAAAATATTAATCTTGGATATTACAATGCTGAAAATCACTACCTGTGTGTAACATTTATCTGGCCTAATGACTATTTGATATCTAGCCGCCATCTTAACACTAACCGAGTCTTTGGGTTGAGGAACATTCTAGATTGTGTTCGAAAATGGGAAGTCTAGGCTGACATACGTGGGAGTTGTGTGATGACTCGCAATTTACATCGGATCTGGGTAAAGCAGCGTCTTAACCATTTCGAATATGATCAACCATATCAATTTGTAGCAAAGCAGATAACCTTGCTCCAATTCTATTATAAGCACCGCTCGGATACCAAGAGCCATGGACATCGGGGATCTTAAATATCAAGGGGCTGGAGGGCATATAAGTCAACTTGATTGCCGTTTTATCAAGTCATGAATCACATCCCAGACAGTAGAGTAAATCAGAAACCTTAATACGTCGTAAGGCCTGCAACAGGTTGAAAATGATGCTCCAGTTTTTGTAAGCCTTATAGCTCTATATCCTCTGAAAGCAAACGTCAAAAGGGACCAGTAGTGACTAAAAATCACGTCGAGAAAATTGAAGATCAGAATACAGGAGAGATGAATTTGAATATTAAATGATCATAAACAATAGTTCGGAACCAAACTGTGACCACGGCAGCTGCTTTGCATTTTACTGTGCGTCAAACCCTCCGTCTATACTAAGAATCGTGCCAGTCGCGTAATCGTTGTTGAGCAGAAAACTGATGCCCTTAGCAATGTCGATGGGTGCACCCATGCGCTTCATTGGAAACATTGCTGCAATGCTCTCTTCACTATAAGCTCCAGCATCAATGGCATACTGAAGGATATCGGTTTTAATGGCTCCGGGCGCAACGGCGTTGACCCGCACACCAGAAGTCCCGTAGTCAATGGCAGCACTCTTCGTGAGCCCAACAACCTAATTTTGAATAGAGTTAACGAAATTCCCGTTACTTCATCCCCATATGCTTACCGCGTGCTTGGTGGCCGCATAGGTGGCACTTGCAGGGATTCCATTTAGACCTGCCATTGAGGCAAGATTCACGATACTCCCTGACTTTTGCTTGAGCATTTGTTTTAACTAGAAGCTGCTCGTCAGCAAGCCGTATGATTTTTCAAAGCCAGGACCACCTTACCTGATATTTCATTGACCAGAAGACTCCTAGGACGTTGACCTGAAACATCTTTTCAAACTCTTCAGTCTTCAACTCATGCAGAAGGCCGGCATCATTTGCATATCCAGCGTTGTTGACCGCGCCATCTATTCTGCCGAATAACTCGATAGTCTTTTCGATGAGATGACGGACGTTTTCTTCGATGGAGATATCGCACTTGATGAATTTGGCCTCACCCCCATTCTGTTCAATTTCTTTCACGACCTATGAGCTTTGGTCAACATAACCGAAAATCTTGACTTTTGAACATGAAAGTGCACAAGTGAGCGCTACCTCAATGCCGGCGGTTTCCCTCCTGCCACAAAGGACGACTATCCAGCCCTCTGAAGCGAGTAGCTTCGCCGTTTCCTTGCCGATGCCCGATGTAGCACCGGTCACAAGTACGACGCGAGACGTTCGTGGAGAAGACATGATCTTCCGCGTAGAGCTTCCGATTTAGAGAACTATTCTATCACGATGCAATTGAGTGAGATGTGGAGTCGATAAGTTAATCTTTTGTGTTTTTATTGAGCCCATCTTCGCATCGAGATCAGACAGGAATTATATGCTCTAATATAGTCAGAGCACGGGTCGCCCACCTTTATGTCCGGACTTTTCGCCGTTAGCTGCATACGTTATGTTGTGGATCTAGACTCTGAAGTTGTTCTAGTCAGCCTGTAGTGCGGTTTTCTCTCGTGTTATTTTATATATCACACTGAAAACCAGCTTATACCAAGATGAATGCGCGGCTACAAGGTGGAGTTATGCGTGTGTCCTCTTTTGTGAGGCTTAGTGTACGTATGGATATTTCTCAAGGACTAAGAAACTTGCGGTTTAAAAATATTTGACTAGAGGCCCTCACTTCGGGTACAACTTGATTATACTTTTATGCTTCTACGATGATCGAATGGGGTATCGCTAACACATGTCTCTGTCTCTCAATCAAACGTCCAACTATGTCTAAATTTACCCTGTTATATGCTGTATATCTAGATGTAGGTTCCCTAGCGCACAACTATTACCTGAGAGATTGATTTCTCGTCTGTCACGAAAGAAGTCGTAAAAGAAACGAGAAAGCTTCAAGATGCAGAACATATTTCAGCATTGACCGCTGTTGCACCAAATATAATCTTCAGGGCCAACAAGCAGCAGTTGGTTCAGTATTATCCTCGATGGATCTCATCCACTTTACACCATTACTACTTCATAGCGACCGTAGACATTCAGAGCCGAGGGGCATAACTTTCCAATGTTGCTGCTTATACAGGTCGGCACGCCAGTGACCTGCTTGCACGGGAGATATTGGATTCCCAGCTCTGATCACGATTTTACCGATTTACGTTTTGCGCTACTGCAGGTTCACGGCTTTAGGTGGGATGTCTCCGAATGTTGCAGCACGGGTAAGCAGTTGTGGACAGTGAGAACTTGAAATAGAGCGGGGTGCAGTATCTCCCGCGTGTTCATTGCTAGACTAAGTTAATTAGCTCTTACGAGTGAGGCTTTTTATGCATTTCAATGATATACATAAGTAGGTTCCACCTGTACACTATTGTTCGGCCCAGTGCCTGCTCAGTTTCGACAGGTTCACAGGCATCCATTTCCAGTCTCTATACTTTCCATATTCAGCTCTTGGAACCCAGCGCGCCGACACTTTTACAATAGCATCTGGCACGGAATATTCACGTTTCGATATTGACGGCAACTAATTCGAGGTCGCTTTTATTACACGATATGGAAATGTTGAGGTGGATTCCCAGCCGGTGGGTTGTCCAATTCTGAATATAGACATCAGTAAGCTACCAACTCTCGCGGTCGGTCAAATGAGCAGAGTAGATGGATCTTGGGGGACTTCAATGACTCTCCGATTGCACCAGGGAGCATTTTACAGTCGCAGGAGTTGTAATGACCAAAGTCTCACTCCCCGTCTTTCCAACGTGTGGCTGACAGGCACTCATTATCAGTAAGGACACTTTACCGACAAGTTTTTCTGGCCAGTTAAAATTTGAAATCTTCAACTGTCTTTACAACATTGACGAAGTTAACAGAAACCTGCCACAGGACTAACAATATGGGCACACTTTTGAATGGTCACTTAACGACTGTCACGATATCGGGCTAAAGCAAGCTATGTAGCGATGACGCTGTTCTTATTTGTCGCTACGAAAACCATTAATTGCTAACTGAGCCTATTCAAACCGCCGTCTGTAAATATCCAAGCCCGCCAACACCTTACAATGACCAATAGTACATATATTCCAGTAAAGTAAAGACTCAATGTTGATCGTACAGTTACAGTGACTGTTTACCAGTCCACTTGTACTACATGGGTTCCTGAGAAGAAATTTCAGCCCGAATTTTCACACTCTTGTTGCGCCTTTTCGAACAGATACTGATGCGTGCGCATCCACTGTTGTCTGTAGTGGCGCTGTTGGGTAGGATAGTCTTCTGCAACATTGTCCCAATTATCGTCCAACCATTCTGGCTTGCCCATACCCTCGTCCGCATCGTAATATTGATCGTCGGCGGCTTCACTTTCAAAGCTCTCTGGGCTTGAATCTTCAAGTCGTTCCGGTAAGCAGCGCACTCTTGGTTTCACAGACCTATTCTCGAGCTGAGAGATGTAGGAGTCACCGGTGGGTAAAGGTGTATTATTGATGACCGCAGTTAGAATCTCATAAATGTCCTGTATAATATCGGCACGAAGGGCGCGCAATGCTTTCGATGTACTTGGGAAGTTTTTGACTGACGCACCATGGCCTTCGATATGTGAACTAGATGTATTGGCTTGGGTGGTCTCGCTTGCATTAAAACATTGCTCAATCGAACGGTAGACCTTCATAGACTCTTGTTCTATTTTGGCGTACTCATTTATGGATTCCTGAACAAAGCTTGTCGTATAGTTGTCGACATCTCGGAGTCCCTCTGACTTCAGATCCGAGCAAGTTTCCGTATCGCTTGTATAGTCGCTGTTTAGACTATCAGTGTCGTCAGTGGTAACTGTCAGCTGTGAGTGCTCGAAAGGCAAATCGTCGCCCTCTTCAAGTAATTTTTCTATAGATTGAATGATGCGATTCTCAACATCCATGTCATCATGGGGTTTGTAATTCGGAGTCAATCGTGGTTCCGAAATAGTGTATTCTCCAATCAGCTTAGCATTTGCTGCTATAGTGTTCCTTTCAAAAGTTTTCGAAGCTGGAGATAAGGACTTTGAGAATGACACGCATTTGACATTCGAATGGTCGTACGCTTTAGCTTTCTCCACAAGCCCCGACACAAATTCCGTCTCATCAGCAGCGGTAGTAGTCGTGCGGGGAATGATTTGCTGGACTCGCGCTTCTTCAGCGAATATGTATGCATAGAAGGGCCCCAACGCTGTGTGAGGAGGCAGTGTCCGAGGTCTAGTAATGCTCCAGGTGTTGGTATCAATAGTGGTGGTCATTTTTCGTGAAAGTGAAGCCGTGCCCTTGGTAGCCGCCATGTTCGTATGGAAGCAATGCCTGGTGGTGGGTGTAGGTGTTGACAGAGGATATATACGGTTACTGTAGCCGATAGTTCTTGAGGCTGACCAAATTGCTGTTATGAACAAGGCCGTGGGATGTGATGAGATGTTTTGCAATTTGTAGTGAGAGCTAAAGTACAATGGCTAGTGGATCAAACCGCAATTTGGAATGCTTGTGATGCGTAGCAAAGCAATTGTCCAGGGAGGACTTTAGAGTAATTGTGTATGTGATTGACTCAAGCGTGGGTGACGGGAAAGAGCAATCTCTGTCGGTCACCCTGGAGCTGCTGTATTATTTTAACGTCATGAGAAAGTCATCTCCGTTAGCAGTTGCAATTAGCTAGTCGCGATAATAAACTCTGAGCACTTTGATTTCTTCAATTGAGCCAGTATCAGAACGAGAAGGTTTTGAGCGCCAATCAAGTTATAAATTATGAGAGGAAAATATTATGAGATCTGCGCCTTTGCACTGCGAGTAGTCAGTAAACATCACTAAGCGTATTTGAATGATTTGTTCCACTTCTCGTCCATAATTGGGTGCCGTATCTGTCGATGGGCGGCTACTCTCTGCTAAATACCTGCATCGGGGCTTCACATCTGACAGAACTACATGTGAGCAAGGGTGTCCCAAAAAATGGTCGATCCCTTTCTCCGAGGCGGCGCCATATCATAGTCATTTAATTAGTCACAGTGCGTTGAGCCAAGCCAGGTTCTCATTTTCCCAGTGACAAGTAACCCAACAGAGCAAGAATTGATGATAAACCGGACAATCACTCCCAATAATGCTTGAAAATCCGGCGAAGGATGTATTTCAAGTGGTTGCATAATGGCAAAAACATCACAGTAAAGAAGCAAACCTCGATGCACTTAGCTATTCGAGCGCTTTAAACGTATCAGAAGTACATTTAGAACCAGACTAGTACGTCACTTCCTTGAGTGTCTCTGAGAACTACGCATGCTTCCAAGTCAGAGTCAAGCTTGAGTCCGCTTCCTAGCGCCGAATCCCGTACGCAATGTTTCGAAAGGTCGCGGTTCCTTCGCACTCATGTGGTTTGTTTTATCATATGTCATCTTATTGCACAACTACGCAACTCCGACGAACCATCCTAATCAGCACCACACAACTGTAGACAATATTCTTATCGCCGAAGATCTGTAGACCTTCCCGATAGCGTCACTATTCATCCCCTTCACGAAGCAGGGTTGAGACCCAGTACAACGGGTTCTCATTCCGTTTTTCCTTCTCCTCTGGGTCTTCCGCAAGAAGAGTGCTTACCCAGTAAAGGGCATTCTCGCGTTGCTCGACTGTCGGCTCACCAACAGAGCGCTTCTTAGAGTCAGCTCCTGCACGAAGCAGGGTAGAGACCCAATACAGAGCTTCCTCGCGCCTCTGCCTGTCTGTCTTGCCGGTGAGTTCTGGTGGCAAGAGAGTAGAAGCCCGGTAGACCTCAGCCCTATCCTTGAGAGAGATAGCAGTGGCAGGATCACCTAGGTTGGTCTGGGACAGAATCAGTGGTTGTGGTTACACTTGGGAATAGATGACTTTACAGCAATTGGGGCTGCTGCACCAAGGACCGAGTAGAGGCTCAAGATGAGTGTAAAAGTGGATTTGGCAAGCATGATGAAAGTTTAACTGCAACTTATAGAGAATATGAGGTAAAAAGAGTAGGTGGTAACAGAGATGTATTGGGCTTTGTTTTGGATGATGCTCTGTTAGAAGGTGAAAGAAAGTCCACGTCCTGAGATAGCCTGTATTATATATCTCTCTTGGTCACTACACCCCCTTCATTAAACATCATTCTTGAGGCTGTGAGCTCCAGTCTCGATATCTCAAGAAGTAACTTCCTCGTATCATGGCACGAAGATGGTGGCAAGACCTTCGCCATAAAAAAAAAAAAAAAAATATGATGCCTTGCGCGATTACATTGGTAGTATGTACCATGACTACACGACCTTGGAGGGCAATCTCAACTACATCGTCTTTACTTCCTGCTAAGAAAGCCTCATGGGATGTTTATGGCCGATTCGGCATCCCGTGTTAGGCGACATGCATGAAGATCAGTTGTAGTATTATATCATCTAGACCTGCTGAGGCTGTAACTGATCGCCTCTGATTGCGTTTCGTGCCATTACCATGGGGTAACTGGCCGTAGATGAACCAGACTTCATGCAAGTTAACAGAAATACCACGCAGATGTTTATAGTAAGTCTGGACCTAAGGCACGAGGGAACGTCATTGGCTGCTGGGTTTACAGCATGTCTCAGTAGCTGTGGCTCAACCATTGTGTCTGATCGTCCAGGTGACGAACAGGACTACATGGGTAACTGTTATTATTTGTCGTTCTAGAGTGTGTAGTAGATATGTGGATATCATGACCAACATATGTGCAAGCTGTGTTTTTTTGGGTGGATTTCTTTTGCATTCGTTCGATCTCTTAATCAGTTGATCTTCGAAGAACTGCCAAACGAAAACACCAGAGCTCAGAACGAACATACAAGCGGTGCAAATGCTACCCGCAAACCCAGATTTTGGATATTTGGAGTGGTTTATTACGTAAGTATAATTTCTATCGTAGTTACGGTTCTACTGGCGAATCAGCATGCATGACATCAGCGTTTCCGCGGACTCCACACACTCTATTTTGGTTGACATGTTGGGGTTTGATTGCTCCCCTATACATGTTTTGACTTGGACTCACCCGAAAGGCACGAACTAGCAAAAATACCATGCAGGGTTCCTCTCCAGCGCCTGATCACATGACTTCAACATGAAACGAGGGCGCTTTTATTGCCAATGTGTTGCTTTACCGGTGTGGGCCTCGGGATTCAGCTCCCTGAAAGCGGGCCGTACGGTCGCTTATAGTGCATGCTAGCCGCCCAAATGCTGTGTGAAACCTGGTTCGGAGAAAGGGGTGGGTCTGCGCCAAGGGCTCCATCGTAAGATGGACTATGGTATACATTAGTAACATTTAGATCGAGGCTGGCATCGTCGAGCCAAGAGACACCGTTAGTATTGTCAACAAGTCAGCCCAATTGGAATCAATGGATCAAAACACGCTCTTAAGGTCTTGAGACTTACTTATTACGACACCTTGATGTTTGGCTAACGCGGCTTGCTGCGTTTAATTACAGAGCGCTCGGGATGTCCCAATTACGGCCCGTGTGTTTTACGGTTGCCTCCATACAAGTACCCCAACTGGTGTGTCCCAGTCGACATGTGCTTATTGCAAACCCGAGGGCCTACCTTAGCGACTATTTGACCCGGTCCTGATTTGTCGCAGCCCGAACAGTGGCTGACAATACCTAGCCCACGGCCGTTGATACGAATTGTTTGCTTTTTCATGGGAAGAGGTTACCAGCCTAACCCGACAGGCCGCTTAGTCTGGATTTTGCAATATTCTACGAAAATTATATATCAGTGGAGCCACGACACAGGATGGACACAGGACGTGCAAATTCTGCACGAACAAAGCCTAACGCCACATGGTTCTAGATCCAACCACCCTCTTCACAACGTTTGTGCAACATGGCATTGCATCGGCGCATGCAAGATCTCTCACAAGTGCGCTTCTGCTAGCCGTCTGCCCATGTTGTGTCACCAAGATCTGATTGGATAGCGATTGCGGATTCGGCCACAAAGTGGCTACCACCAACAACGACCCCCATCGCCTATGTACATTATACCAAGGGTCGGCCAACAAGTCTAAACGTGGTAGCGTGCCACCTAACCTTCGTGCACTGAAGCTGCAGGAGAAGATTTAAAGCGCCCATTCTTCGAAAGGTGTTTTTGATTGTGGCATCCGAGTGGAAAACTATGGACTTTACCCAGCAGCTATCTCCCTGCACCTTACAAGATGTGGTCGTCATTGTGGCCGTCTCCGTGCAGATGATTCGGATTCTCCTTACTAAACAAGTCGTAATACTGATCCGGCGCTGGCAACTGAGTGACGCCTTTAGGCTTAGACATGACTTTCTTGTACTTATCCATGTCCAAAGACACCTGCTTTCTGAATTCTGTCAAATGGTCAAAATTGATACATTTTCGGTTGATGCTCATGTCGGGCCAGGGGTTATCCTGAGTCTCCATCCAGTGCAGGGTCATGAGATTGACGTTGCCGCTACATTGGATTGCCTGGAACAGGATATCTGCGCAGTGATTGATGTGCATCTCTCGCAGTTTCAATGTTTCCGCACGGCCTTGTGAGGCATTGTAGTAGTTGCCATATGCAATCTTGCGTAGACTGTTGAGACAGTGGAGCTGGTGATAGACATCAAAAACGGCGCCATAGGCATCGTCGCCTAAACCCCATATGTCATCTTCCAGCTTGACTGCCGTGGAGGGATCTTTGCCAAGCTTCATGATGGTTTTCCTAGTCACTGGCATCACGCGAAGTAACTCGTACTCCCACCAAAGCTCGTCAGCTTCATTGTTGGGCGCCTGCCTTGCGATTGAAGGTTCGTCAGGTGGAAACAGTGTACCATTGATCATCGTGACTCGCGGTTGAAGGTCGACCAAATCATGTAAAGGTGCTGCGCATTGAGTTAGTAATTGAAAGTACAGTGTGATACGGTATGCAACAGGCCCTCGGCAAAATCTTTGCGTTACTTGAATAAGACTTACACCAAGATGAGGTTCGTCTCAACTCAGGATTCAGAACCCAAAAGTTGTAGTAATAGCACATTGAAAGTAGGAGACATAATAAAGTGCTCATAAGAACGACGGTGTTTATGATGGAAAGAATCATATATGGCCGGGAAGGTCGATTAACAGGCTGTTTTGACTCTCTCGACAGGAGTTCCCCATCGTTGGCTTCGGATGGTCTCAAGTCGTCCGCCAGTGTGCCAACAGGCAAGTAGTTCCAACCAGATAGGTTGCCCATTGCGGATGTGATGATACAACAAAAGGTCAATAGACAAAAATGTTAGAGTTAAGGTTCCAAGTTACCGTTGGTCAGCGCCAGCGGGCAAGAAATACATTAGACTTAGTGGACATGCCCGATGTATAGGACTCGGTCCTTGGCAAGCCTTTCTGCGTCAGAATGGTGGTATCGGGTATGACGCCAGAGCTGGGGGTCCAGACCTGAATTAGAAGAAGCAACCTAGTTGAGATCCCAGATTAGGCCTGTCAGATGCTCAACATGCCGGGAAGCTATGTTGACGTGGTGTTTTGTATTTGCCACCGCTCTTTCCCGTATTAGTCTCCCTGACTTTATTCCTTACCACGTCAGCAGATTTCCTGATTAGTTACATAGACATTGGACTGCTTCATTGCGCTATGGTGCATGAAGCAATGCGGCTGAAGCGGCCATGCCAGTAGGTCACAGTCATGATTGGCAAATGACCTATCTTCCCACGATAGATCTTGAGGATCAACTCATGCGGGACGAACCACATATTAAATAACTCGTTGAGACCCTGCTACTTTAATGTTGAAGCAGACCTCAAGTTATTGTTTCATAAAACCGATGACAAAGGCCAGCATTACATATTTGAAGAGAAGAAGTTTGTGCCAAATGATGGTGTCATGCCGCAAGGTCTTAGAAATAACCTGGTGACTGAGTACCTGAGGAAGATTGTTGACGTGGTGCAATAGTTGGTTTTAGGCTAGCTGGTTTGAGCAAGTGCAACCAAAAGCAACTTTCGTGCTTCCGAAAATAAGCACACTGGACATTACCTAACTAGGAATTAAGGGATAAGAAAAGCGTAGATGACGGATACTATATTTTGCAAACGAGACGTCGCTGCCAAGTCTTTCTTTCTTTCTTTGTCTTCTCTCTCGAAAACACAGAGCATAGGAAAATGAAACATCTAGAAAGACATGATTTCAGAAATCAGATTCTACAATCACGTATGTTCTGTGCTTTTTGAAAAAAGCTTGACAGCAACATCTCGTTTGCAAACTTAGGGTACATTATTGTGGAGCTGACCCGTCGCTACATTGGCCGATTACTGAGAGCTTCGGCAACGTCGTAGCGATCATCTATTGCTCCCGAACAATCATGCTCTTTTATGCCCACTGGAGACATCAAACTTCCTAGTGGGAAGCTGAAGTACACCATTGAAGGTCCTATGCAATGCAAGGCCTTTGTGACTGCTCTGATATATTATAAGGATGAGCTCGTCGTGGACAGAACTGTTTAGTTGGAAGGGCTCTCTCAACTCCAATATATCGTACGTACGATTTCGAAACCGAGTATATTAACATGTTACTATGGGATGCTATGGAAAGATAGAACTTAGATCTCGTCCACTCAATCCTCAATAGCACAGTCTGCTTAGGCAAGAACATCAATTTGCCTTGCTATGGAAAACATTTCAAAATGACACTGTTTGGCAGCATGTCTGTGACGCGACAGCTCTGGAATCATGCTGGGGGTATCCGGTGCAACACGGAACCTATTACATCGGCGTTCTGCACCACAAAGACCCTACTTTTTCTGGCTGTCACTAACAAGAACGTAGAAAGGGCCTGCCCTACAGTTAAGTAGCAACATTGCCGCCCGACTATACTTCAAATGTACTTGGTCTAAGGAGAACTATATGACGAAATCATCCTCTTCCAGGATTGGGAACCATGGCTCTATCTGAATGCTAAATCTGCTGCCGCCAGGGTATCATTTCATAGCCACATTGCTGATAATACAAATGAAAACAGGACCTGCGCATCTGAACAGTATGCTTTTCGGGTTCGGGTTCTTTCGACCCCTGTTCACATGGCAAGAAAGGTGCCAGGGTTTCAGTGGAACGCCTCCTAAGCACCCGGTGCTGGAACAGTCACAAAAACCGTGGTCGTTGAACTTCCTGCGGCTGCGGCGTCAGTTGCGGCCGGGGCAGCAATAGGTGGAAGTGTCAAGGTGATAACACTAGCTGGATTCGCCGCCGCCGCGCTCGACGCTGCAGGGTCAACCGGAGCGACAGGGGCAGCGGGTGCAGCAGCTGGATCGGCAGGCACGGCAGGAGCGGCAGCAGCAGGTGGTGGTGTAGCTGCCTCTGCCGGGGCAGGCGTGAAAGCGGCCAGTTCCAACGGGATTTGAGCGACGGTACCGCCGACAACTGACGTACCGTCGCCACTTTTCCCTGAAGCCGCAGACAGCTTGGCATAGTCCACGATTTGTTGCGTATTGGCACTAAGTCAAAGTGTTAGTACCCGTGCCATGAACAAACAAGCGGGGAGATTTCCTTACGGGTTGATAATTAGAACTTGTCCCTCTTGACAATGTGGTCCAGTCGCGCAGTACAGGAACATCGGGTCAGTGTTGACAATCGGCATGGAGAAGGTTCCTACTGTGGCCTGCCCATCAACAAATGGGATATGGCCAGAGTGGACGGCTGTTGCAACCGTGGCTTGAAGCGGTTGGCAGGCGGCGTTCTGGTCGGATTGGGTCACCGTGTGGTTGCCGTTACTGAACTGGAATTGAACGACGTCACCCACAGCTGCTGTCACTACGTTGGGCACAAACGTATCTTGTGGGCCGCCGACGACAACGGGAATGATCTGGTTCGCTAGGGCTATTTTAATTTAGAATTTGCAAATCGCTGCTATTACTGCAACGCATACCTGTGAAGCCACTCGGCATGAACGCCGCGAGGGCTTGCGCTGCTGCCTCTTCAGGAGTCAGAATTGCCGGTGCCGCCGCCGCCGGCACTTGTGGTATCGGCTGTGGTAGAGCGCTGATGGCAGCCGCCAAGAGAATGGTCCTCATTATGTTCTGCATCGTGTGTGTATGTCGACCGCGAAGACGTCGAGGAAGGAAAGGATAGGAAGGGTGACGTTCGATCGACGGACTTGATTACAAGAAACGATTATATAACTACCGGTCTACGGCTGGCTCTCTCCTGGAGGATGAGGTCGAAAAAAGGTCGATTAGAAGCGAATGGCGGGAGAACAAAATAAGCTTGAATTAGGGTGATGGGCCGACTTGGGTATATTATATTGCTTTCTCCAGTTGGCCCCAGTATTCATCGGGTCGTACTTAAGCCCTTGGATGTCCACATCCCGAACAAGCTGCCTTATCGCAGAGCCGCTATGATATATCCCAAGCCGCATAGCCACCTTGTCGACCCCACGTCGTTGATACAACAAGGGCCAAGTAAGCACGATATCATCGTCAATGCCTGCCGAATAAGGGATTGTCGCCGGACATTTCAAAGAACCCGACGTTCCATAGATATTTCGCCTGAACACGAAGTACTTTCGAGCAAAATGTCCAAGATGTACTAATTCTTGGGACGGGCCTGAGGTTTGAAGTTATCCCCAATCTAGTGCCATGAGGCCTGCCAAGAACCCTGGCTACAGTGGGGATCAGCCCGTTTAACCGGACGATCTCTCACTATTGGATCTTCGCGGCAGCGCAGATCCACAATGCATTCGTGTACGTTGTTTCTAAACTGACAACCAAGACGTCCCAAGTAACGTCGTCTGAGAAGTTGACCAAATTTTCCATTGAAGGGTGTGTGGAGTCGAGGTGGGAGCGATGGCAGGTCATAGTCTTGTCAGATGGTTCCATTGTCTCGGATCGACTTCAGATGGCGCATCTGAAGCTGTCCAGGGCTTGGCGGCGCTCGAGTTACTCGGTCGCCGGCATATTCTATGGAACGGTCTTCGAAAATAAATGAAAATTGCAGATGGAAGTTTGGCTCTACACACTGGACATGGCGCAATATTCACATCATATAATCTATGCGTCCCATCATTTATGACTCCTGGTACATTGTAAACCTGATTCGTGGTTTATAAGAAACTAAGTAGTGTCACAAGATTGCTAGCGTATTGAACCACCCATAACTGGGCATCACAACAGAGACGCAAAATCCGTAGACCTTAGTCTCGCAGTCTTTTGGTCTTTCGGCGTTTTGGTAATGTACTAAGGTTAGTAGATCCAATCTTCAAACCTACCACGGGATTTACGCATGCGCCGGGTCAATCACTCACAGATGCCAAGGGCTATTTTTACCATTTCCCTACGAGCCTGAACAGGCGACTGTTCGGTGACGAGCTGGTCAGATTGCCACACTGCTGATACGGCAGCTTATCGCTAAAGCAAGGGTATTGCCATTTTGAGCTCGCCGAAGCTGATAGGATTATAGTGTGCACTCTAGACTAGAGCAAAAACCCCCTGGCGGTGTTTATCAAGTCCAGGTCCCAACTCGCCGGTCCAAATGCGGCATCGTGCCCTGACGATCTCGTCGAAACTTTTGCGATGCGGCCAATCAGAGTTAGCCTACATCCCGCTCGAATCACCAAGCAATTGACCATCAGTTCATATAGCCCAATCGGCGTGCATGATGATTGCATCCTTTCAGGCTGTCGATTGTAGTTTAGTATAAATGTGCATGGTGACATCAAAGAAATATCTAGTGAATCACATTGATAAAGACAAGCAATGTGATCTCGGGACTTCTGCAAAACCAGTATATATAACCTGCAGACTGCTCGCACTTTCAATCCAGGCCAAATGCGCGCCCTGGCTGTTCTGCGAGTGTTCACACACAGTACCCTCTCAGTCATCATGGCACTCGCAACCCCCATAGCCTCCACCGAGGGCCCAAACGCAGCACCTGCCCTCCCGCTCTCCAGCAACACCATCTTCCAGTTTCCATCCGCAGGGTACTGGGCCGAGAACATCGCCGTGCGCCCCAACGGCAACCTCCTCGTCACCCTGCTCGGCCCTTCTCCGCAGCTCTGGCAGATAGCCGAGCCCTACTCCAACGCGCCGGCCGCAACGCTGATCTACACCGTCCCGAACGCGACCGGTCTCCTCGGCATCACCGAGACGGCCCCCGACACCTTCGTGCTGGCGGGTCAGGATTTCACCACGGCTGGCGTGGCAGCGGCGTGGGAGATCGCATTCGGTGAAGACGACGCAGTCAAGGCCCGCAAAATCGCGGATATCCCCAGCGCCCTCGTGCTCAACGGCGCAACGACGGTGCCGGGGTGTGGGGGCGCCGCGCCGTCCACGGTGCTCATTGCGGACTCGACGGGCGGTCTCGTGTTCCGCGTCGACACTAAGACGGGGGCCGTGGAGACCGCCGTCGAGGTCCCCGAGATGGCACCCGTTGCCGATGCTAGGTCACCAGTCGGCGTCAATGGCATCAAGATCCGGGATGGTTATTTGTATTTCGACAACAGCTATGCCGCGGCCCTGTACCGCGTTAAAATCACACCTTCCGGGTTCGCCGCTGCGGGCGCCGCTGTGGAGACGGTGGCCAGGATTCCTGTGGAGAGCTTCGTGGATGACTTTACTTTCGGTGCCGATGGTGCGGTCTGGATTGCCTCGAACCACGGACGGACCGTTCACCGTGTGGACGTGCAAACAGGTGGGAGCGTGGTCGTGGCTGGGGCGGCGAACCAGACGACTTTCCTCGGTGATACGGCCGCTGTTTTCGGCAGGACGAAAAAAGACAGTAAGGTCTTGTATGTCACGACGAGTGGATTCGACGCCAGCAATAAGCCTATTGAGCCCGGAAAGATAGTCGCGATCGACACTGCTGGTTTCCGGTAGCATTTGCTGGAAGGTTGGAATTTGGGAGACAGTGAATTACTGTCCCGTGGCGATAAGACTTACTTTAGAGTGCTGTTAGACAAGGACTAGATCTTCATGTTTTAAAATATCTTAATTTTATGCGGGCTTCACATCCCACTAACAAGCGTCCATTTGCTTCCAAACAGCGTGCCAAGAGAATACTGACAACATCTCGATCGCAATCTAGTCAGCCTGCATTCAAAGCAGCATTGCGATGGGCGGTGGGGATTCAGGCATGACCGCAGGAGCTGGCGACATAATTTTCCATGTATCATTTATTATTCATTTGTTAATTCTTCGTGATGACGTTTCGTAGCACAGAACGTCCATGTTTCAGCCCTTTCCTTACTACGCTGGCTTGGACAGCACTGAAAACAGCGCTTTAGGCACCAGGAAGACTCAGGTTGCTGTTTCTAGACAAATGCCCCCCGGCTCGCATTTTCTCATTATTCCCAATTTCCGCCTTTGAACGACCGGCATAGGTCATCCTCTCACCCCAACCTCTCCGTTGCAGCTCTTATTATATGTAGATAATGTGGTCACCGCTCAAAGCACCGTTTCGATGCTAGGAACGGGATGAAAAGTCTATATGCTTATGCAAAATCGCAGTAAGGAAACACCCAATCATCAACCGCTTCATCGCCTCCCACGCTCAACAGCAGCAGCACTCTTGTTGCCAACAGCCTTCTCGGCTGCGCTTGTCATGGTAAGGCCGACTGGTGTCATGGTACCGCTCGGAGCTGGCGTGGTACTCCTAGTAGGCGGTGCCGATCGGTTATGTGCCATGTGGGCCCGGACTAGATGACCAGCCGCAAGAGCTGAGCAGAGCGACAGCTCACCAGCTAGTACAGAGGCACCGATGATACGTGCCAATCTTCTTGCGTTCTCGCCAGGGGTGGTAGGATGCGCGCCACGGACTCCGAGCATGTCCAGCATTGCGCTCTGCGGCTCTAGGATTGTGCCACCACCTAGAGTACCGACTTCAATAGAAGGCATAGACACGGAAATCTGAAGAGAACCACGGAGGCTGCAATTAATTAGTACATGGCTGTTACAAGGATGCGGACATAAATACTCACTTCTTCATGATGGTGATACAGTTGGCGCTTTCCACAACTTGAGCCGGATCTTGGCCTGTAGCGATGAAGATAGCCGCGACGATGTTAGCGGCGTGGGCGTTAAACCCACCAATAGAAGCAGCCATGGCAGAACCGATAAGGTTCTTTGAAATGTTGAGCTCAACCAAGCTGTCCACATCTGACTTGAGGACAGACTTGACGACGTCGCCGGGGATGATAGCCTCGGCTACGATTCCCTTACCACGGCCATCGATCCAGTTAAGAGCAGCAGGCTTCTTGTCAATACAGTAGTTGCCAGAGACCGACACGATTGACATGTCTTCGAAACCTCCTTCGTTTGCCATAACGTTGAGAGCATGTTCGACACCCTTGGATATCATGTTCATTCCCATGGCATCACCGGTGGTTGTCTTGAACCGGACGTAGAGGTTGGTTCCTGCGAGTGCAGTCTTCATCGTCTGTAGTCTTGCAAACCTGCTCGTGGAATTGAATGCCTTTTTCATCATGGCCTGGCCAGCGTCTGAGTCGAGCCAGTTTTTGGCGGCACCGGCACGCTCAAGAGTTTCGAAGCTCAGACAAGGACCGCGAGTCATTCCATCGCCAGTGAGAACAGTAACAGCACCGCCGCCGGCGTTAATAGCCTTGCAGCCACGGCTAGCGCTAGCGACCAGGACACCCTCAGTGGTGGCCATAGGGATAAAGTAGCTTTGACCATCGATCACGAGAGGACCAGCGACGCCAACAGGTAGCGGTAGGTAACCAATGACATTTTCGCAGCACGCACCCAAGACAAGATCCCAGTTGTAGTTTTCATAGGGAAGCTTGGATCGCTCGAGGACATTTGTGAGCTCGGTAGTAGCCTTGGTCCTCGAGATGATGGACCGACGGACCTTGACAGCTCTGGTACAGTCTTTGAGGCTCTTCTCCAAAGCGTATCCAGGAATCTTGCCCTTGAGGGATAACGCAACAATTTCTTCGTCGTTCATGTCAAAGATTCGCTTTTCTGCAAGCATCTTTTCGAGTTCTGCTGTGCTGTGAGAAATGACAGGAGTTCTTGGTGTCGGTGTGCCAGAGTGGACCGTCTTGGGCTTCATGATCAAAGCGTCGGCCTCATCGTCGGTCGAAGCAGGAGTAAGTGGTTTCACTGGAGGCACCCTGTAAGTTTGCCCAATATTGGGGGTAGAAGCCGATGCTTCGTTGAATCTTTCAGCAGCAGCTAAATCCTGGGGGTCAACCGGATGAGTAGGGATATTGGGATCCTTAATCCCGGATCGTGCCACGTTGAACAGATAGCCATTGAGTGCTACACTCATGGCTAGTGCAACGAAAATCCATTTTGAGAGGATGGGGTCTTCCAGACTCGTGAGCAGACTTCCAACCATTCTACCGCCCATGCCGTAACCGACAAGTTGAGAAAGTTCCTCTCCGTCCTCACCTTTAGGCGGTTCGGCGTAGTGGATAGAAGGAAATTCCAACTCGTACTTGATCGGAGTCAAAACAGTGACAACAGTAGTACGGCCGTGACCTCTGGCCAAAAACAAGACCTCGTCGAGTCCATTAGCAGCGACCTTGAAAGGGTCCACTGGAGGTGCGGTAACAATGCCACCGAGGCCACCGGCCCACGACGAGATAGTCGAGAGAGCTTCGGGCGTTCGGAACGGAATAGTACAGAGGTTGACAATATTGATAGCGAAGAATCCGACAATCATCCAAAATTTGAACTTGGGGACACTGCTGCTCTTGAAGTCCTGTCCGAACAAAGGTACGTTCTTCCCGTCCTTGTCATCGCTGTTGGTCGCAACATTCTCGGCAATACGTTGGCTAAGACCATCGTCTTCCAAAGCCTTTCGCAGCTCGACATGGCGCTTGATGCGGTTGATTTCAAGCTTGATGCACAGAATGGCAGTATAGAAGGTAAAGAGCAGCAGACAGTCGAAGAACAGAATCCAAGCTGCAAGGAAGCAGAACTGCTGCAACCCACCCTGAACACCAGAGGCAGCACCAGCAACAAGGATGATGATTTCCAGCACGTAATCGCGGACAATCTCGTAGCCGCAATCCCTAATAGCATTGTGAACTGCGTACTGGATCAGGCTCTCGGGTGGGCTGCGGGATCTCCTGTTGTTGGCGCCACCAGACCTGTCCTCGGGTCGACGATGGTCCAGGGCGTGTGATAGGACGGCCTTGGTCAGAACAATATTCTTCTCGAAGCCAATCGTTACAACGAGAAATGGGAGGCCCTCAGACAGCAAGACAACCGAGACGGGAACTCCCAGCCTTGTGGTCACATTCAGACCAAACAGGAAGGCGAAAGTTGAAGAGAAGAGGACGGTAGTCGCAAGCCAAACGTTGGAGCCAAGCTTTCTCATGCTCAAGAACAGAGAGACAAAAGTCAGGTGCATGGAGAGGTACCCAAGCACCATGATAATAATGTCCAGAGTCTCGGCGTTTTTGAGCAGATCCAGGAAGTCAGTCCAGGCATTGCGAGCCCAGCGAACCAGGCTGCTTCGTGCCTGACCTCCGGCGGCCTTGATGATCCACATTTTCTTCTCCTTCTTGCCGCTTTCAGTCTCGAGGGATTCCTGGCCGGGCACATCGTTGGGAATCTCCTGGGCCGCAGCAAGGAACTCGGGTGCTTGGCTGTACTCGATAGAAAAGGCCAAAGCACTGTCCTGGGCGTATGTGGTCAGAGTATTCGAGGTCGAGGGTAGGTGCGTGACGGAAAGGTTGCTCGGCAAGGGAACGACGTGCGGTGACGGCGCGGTTTGGGGAGCCTCGGGAGAAGACTCGGGGAAGACAAGTGTAATCAAGGCCAGATGATCGGCATTCTTAGGGACTGGGGCGTCGGCATCGAAGCTCTGCCATTTCCACGATGTCTCGGGGCCTGCGACCAAGCTCCGGCTCCCCTCTGCTAGAGATTCCCATTCTGCTCTCCTGACGCTTCGGGTCGCATCGACGAGGCTCTCCTTGACAACACCAACGTAGGTGGTGCTTGCCAAGATGGCTACAACGCAGATGGTATAGATGGGGTGGATGCAGGCGACTTTGGAGACGAATTGGAGAAAGGGCGTGAATTTCTTGTTGATAGTCGAGGGTGGGGATGGTTGACCATTCGGCTGCTCACCGCGAAAGCGGGAGGGAAGGAGTGAGGATGCGTTCATGTTGAAATTACAGCATATGCATTGGCTGCTGACTGGAGCTCGATCGGAGACTGGATAGTGTAAGCAACATGACAAGGCATTCCTGCAAGGGGCGGCTATATGGTTGTGGTGCAGGACATTGCCTGGCAGGCATCACTATATGAGCACTGCGCGGCGTGCTGCGCCCCCAACTCAAAGCGACCAATATAGTGATGGTATCGTAGTATACATGATGGAATGGCTCACCAATAGGGGCTTTCGTACCGCTTCAGCAGGAACGTGTCGCCGTGGTCCTTGCCGTGTTGAACTCGGCAAGCTGGCGAATGATATGGGATGGTATTTAAGATAGAGCTGTTGCTTACCCTCGAGAAAGTCGGACTCCGATCTCGAGTGGGCGTTCGGGGATGGATGGATAGCGAAGCCCTCGCGTGTGCTGCGTATGGGACGCTACGGTAGTTCGCAAGACAACCACTTTAGGCACGCAACCTCGCAATTGTTCGTGTAGACCTTCGCAATTGAGTAGCCGTGCTCGAAATAAAAGCCGCGACAGGTCAATTGGGCATTTTTCTTTTTCGCAACGAGGGAGGGAAACCACAAGACGGAAGGAAACGATAGGGGGCGGCCCAAGGTGGATTCCAAGGTGGGATTAGATCGGTGAAGAGAAATTTCCCATGTTACTGAGTTATTGCAGCGCTAGGCCGTAAATCATCGGGTTTCCACAGCGCGCCACGTTGGAGCTGCAGGGAGCAGTGAAAGCTGCACCCATCCTGTGCCCCGTCTGACTTCAAGCGGTAAGCGGTCACTGAATAGCGTGGGTTTCCCCAAATGAGCACAGGGCAATCGCATGTTGATCCAAGGTTGAACCCCACGAACACCATGAAGCCGGCCCGCGCCCTGCCTTTGCCTTGCTGAATTCCGCCGAGAGACCCCTGTTTTTTTTTAGGAATGCCCAACCGTGTTTTAGCGTCACGTCTGGAGTCCTTTTACGTCAAGACCCCGACCCAGAGCGATGACGGAGCTGAAGACTATAACGTCTCTCGCTATCATCGAAACACGTCGGCGTCACCCTTCGGAGAAACACTCGAATTCCGATTTCTTTGGTTCTTTTTTCCCCTTTTTTTCCTATTTTTTCCCCCCCCCCTCCTCAGGATGGTGAATGTACCCTGTGCATGCACTGGGTATTGGCCGTACTAAAAAACCCATAGGCCCACTGACCAACCTTGTCTTATCGCAACTGTCAAGCATGCTTTTAAACTAACGGGATCCTCCGTCCCGGACACCGTTGTTCGCTGCCAGCGAGCGCTGAATCAGCATCGTGGTCACGTATGCGCGTCCAGATGTCCTCTCACCAGGTTATCATGAAAAGTTGGCGGAGGTTTTTTTTTTTTGGTTTTGTGAGTATCATCTTTTTTTATTGTGTGCTCCTTTTGTGGCATTAAAAGATACTCCTGATATCAAGACTCAGCGTCTCATCTGTAGGGTCTACAAGGCCTAATCTCAGAAGGCTGTCATTAGTCTCTCAACCTCAGCACCGTCCACAGATACAACATTGACACCCCGTTCCTCCAGCCCCAGGCGCACTCCCGGCCAGCCATCAGGATCAACTGCCCTCGTTCCCTCTTCTACAATGAACGTCGTAAACCCCTCCTTCAGTGCATCCACTGCGCAGTTAAGAACACAATAGTCGGCTGCTAGACCCACCACGTAGACATCTGTAATTCCTTTCTCCTTCAAGATGCCCGACAGCCCACTGTCGCAGCCTCTTGGCTTTTCGAAAGGGTCGAAAAAGGGACTGTACATCTCAATCCGCTCATCCTGCCCTTTCTCTATGATCCTGTCGATCTTGCCAACGTCCAGCTCCGGCACGAGCTCGGCTCCGGGACTGCCTTGGACACAGTGGACAGGCCAGAGACGTGTCTCAAATGTCTCCTCCGGATTTGAAGGGTTGGCGATCTTCACATAGTCTGAGAAAGGCTTCTTGTCTTTATGATTCGAAGCGAACGAGATGTGCGATTGTGGGTGCCAATCCTTTGTTGCGATTTTCAGCACGAACGGCAGAGACAACAACTTGTTCACCGTCGGAGTGATGTCCCTGCCGTCTGTGACAGCGAGCGAACCATTCTAGAAGTGTGTAAGTTCCGTCCCACGAGTGCTCTCAAGGGTTGAGGGTTGCGGTCCACCTACTGGAGGGCAAAAGTCCTCCTGAAAATCAACCACGATTAGTGCAGGGCGAAATTTTGTCATGTTGTGTATTTATTCTCAATCTTCAATAGTTCTACTCGTCAACGAGATCTCGGCGAAGGAGTGTTTCAAACCAGAGTTACTGATCTTGAGATTGTTGTACTTGCTCCACTGTTAGATCTTATCAATCATGGTGGGGCATGGTAGTCAATGGGCGCGTGGGGCGGTTCACGCTCTCACATTTGTTTGCCGCTGTCACACCACCTCCATCGGCTTTAATGTTCCATGACAGTCTACAGCTAGGACGTAGCTTGTTATGCTCGTGATATCGTTCATGAACGTAACTATGTATCCTGTAGTGTAGCTCTTAGCAGTACTACTTCTTTACTTGTTCTTCCATATCTCCGACAGATGCTACACATGGCTTAACGGGCGGGATCTTTTACATCGCAGACGAAAGATGCAGGGTTTTTGTGGGCCGGTGACCGTTTTCATCGGGATGCCATCCGAAAAACTAAGACAGCTTGGAACAACACTGTCTATCCGTTGACGATCGCGAAGAGCGATGTAGCATTGCAGGTGTGCGGAGCATAGCACATAGGTATAAATATATAGTACAAGAAGCATGCAATCTTCTGCAGTACTTAGAACCTCTACTTCAATTCCACCGAGGGTAAGCCTGAAACCCTTTTACAATGACTCAATCAAGTGACGCAGAGAGGATATATCTGCTTGAGCGCCATGAGAAGGAATTGCAGCGTCTTACAGCACAGCATGATTTCATCAAATTGAACACACAAGACCATCTGCTCGCCCCTCAACTTCTCAGCGGACAGAAGAACCTGAAAGTGCTTGATTCCGGATGTGCAGACGGTACGTGAGCGTCGCTTCCCATAACGCAGGGTTTGCTCTGACACCAACGCAGGTCTCTGGTTGCGTGAATTGGCTGAGCGACTTAGCGGCCAAGAACCCCAGCTACACGGTGTTGATATATCGCCAGCGCTGTATCCGTCCAAGGAATCTCAGGTCACATCTAACATAGATTTGCGGGTCCATAACATCTCACAACCTTTTCCGTCTGACTGGCACTGGGAAAACTCGTTTGATATCATCCACCAGCGCTTGCTGATTTGGGGCATACAAGTGCCACAATGGCCGGCCGTGCTGAGGAACCACTTTCAGATCTTGAAGCCCGGCGGGTACATTCAGCTCGCTGAGGTAGAGTGGATACCACAAGGCGGTTTCCCGGATGATCGCCCACAGCTACAGCGTATGGGAAAGTTGCAGACATGGTTTTCCGAAAAGAACGGCATGGACTTTGACATTACGCGTAAGCTAGGTGGTTTGTTGAAAGACGTTGGTTTCGAGTCGGTCGACACCCTGGATTTCCCCCTCAATTATGGATCATTGGCACCGCCGGAATGGAGAACTCCTTCATCTAAGTTCTCTACAGAGGTGTTCGCAGGTCTAGCCAATAGGATGGATGGTAAGTCTATTTAGCGTGTTCGCACTCCCAAATATTGATTGACGGTTGCTCACGCGTCCTCAGGCAAAAGCATCCCTGGTGTCGCCTCAACACCGGAGGAGTTCCTTGCTTTCTTGAGCGAGCTTAAGGACGACATTTACGAGTTCGGCTATCAACCCCGAATCAGTTTCGTGTTTGGACGAAAGCCAGCTATTTGACCTATTAGAAGACCACTGTTCAGCCAAGCAACAAATAACTTCTTAGCTAGTACTATCTCATGCTAGACTGGCTAGTTCGTTTCTGGTACGGTACCCAGGTCTTCGAGCTGAAAGATTGCACAGGATATAGAGATTTCGATAGATGCTTGCGACATATAAATGCGGAACCATGTTGGCTTGAACAATATTACTATTTAACTTAGAAATCACGCATGAACCTGTTTAAATCATTGACTAATGTGCGGCGCTGCAACTCTTCACTTCAGGCTCTTTGAGCTCGACGTTAGAACTTTCCGAAACCAGAACAGTTCATATCATTGGCGGGATTGGTGATGATTTGTTGGCTTCTGTTCAAATTTATTCATATGTCAACCTGAAGTATATAGTGACTCCAGAAAAAGTTCGTCACTGTATCATATCACAAAATGACACAGGATTCGAGGACAGAAATAACGAAAGGCGGGAAAGGTACATTTTCCTGGCTCCCTCACCTCAAACGCAACTGACCTGCTACAAAAGACCGTGTGAACCAATGCTCCGAGCTCATGGCAGCGGCGTTCCTAGATGATCCAATTTACAACTGGTTTTTATATACAACGCCTGACCACAAATATCAGGCGCATCTTCTGGCCATGATACATGCTGTTGTGAAGGTCACGACAATTGCGCATGGTTACATCACAGAGGCGGGCGGTTGGGGTTCGAGCGCCGCATTTTGTCCGCCAGGATACTCACCGGACGGGGTGGTTACTATCCTTCAGGCTAGATTGATACCTACTGTGATCAAACTGGGGTTTTCGCCCTGCAAAGTAAGAGCGCTCTACTGGTCTGCCTACAAGGCGAAGTCGTGTGCTGAAAAACGTCATTAGCGCATCCTCGTTGAATTGTCCAGTGCTGTCGAGAGAACGAAAGCTAAGTGCCTGACTAGGGAGGAAAAGAAGAAAGGTTTCTGGTACGTGGCAATCATGGGTACATCACCGCAACGACGACGGCAGGGTCTTGCAGGCAAGCTCATCCAAGACATGCAATCTAGGGCGGAAGGTGATGGCTGCCCGATTTGGTTAGAATCCACTACACCAGAGTCGAAACGACTTTACTCCAAACATGGATTCAAGGCGGTAGAGGGGATCAACTTAGGCAAGGGCAATGTTGATGTAAATGGACGAGCCAAAGCGGGAGGGGAGGGTATTACTATCTGGGGGATGCTCTGGCGTCCTAGAAGACCCGAACAAATAATATAATTCATAGCGAACTTGAGGCAAACATATTAGCATTACTACAGTGGCGGCTCTTAGTGGCGAATAATTGATACTGCGATACACTATCTCCGCATGCAAGCCGATTATGATGTTGCTACTCTTTTTCATCCTTTGTATCTTTTTATCCTACGATTGATTTGGTGTGGTCGTGGTGTAGTCCTGGAAATGCTGAAAGTTTTGTCGCTCGTTTTCGTAAGTGATTTCATCTCGGTGTATGAAGAAGTCGATGTTAATTATCGCATTTACGAATTGACCGGTAACTAGTGTTTTATTTTATTTGTTAAAGTAATGTAGTACGAAATCCTTGGTCTCACTGCACTGATCGTTCGAGCGCGGATGCCATATTATACTTGGAAACGGATCCTGTGTTGGGGGTTATAGCAAGCTTTTCTCCTTTTGACTTACCATTGGTTATATTGAGTTCAGAGTGGAGGTATTCATATCTCCGAAATATCAGTATATGATCAATCCCAATTCGAAGGTTAATTAGACCTAGGTTTGATTTAGATAATCATGTCAGTTGATCTCATAGCTTTTGCTACTATTTTTGATCATTACTTTCCCCTTTGTTTTTGTACTGTTCTATCTTTTTGCTTCGCCGCTAGAACCCTTGAATTTTCAAAACATTGGAAATCTGTTAGGGTGTGACGCAACTCTCTCACTCTTCCTGATAATCAGACGGTCCTCTTTACGAGGGCATTTGATATTTTGTTCTCACGATTGGTCCGGAGAAGTGGTGAGCCTTCTTCGCAATCCTGGGCGAGCCAGGCGTAGCAATGAAAGACAGGGTCGCAACATTCGGCGGCAGTGAGAAGGCCGAAGTCACTTTGAAGCGATCGAGAGCAAGCTCAGAAGATCAATTCGGCAGATGAAAAATTGTAGCCAAAAAAGCGAATCAGTGATTCGCAACAAGTGGTTAAACTTGTTGAAACATGTTACTACATCATGATCGAAGCGAAAATCGCGAAGATGATGAGGAGGAAAAAAGAGGACAAGAGAGTTGCAGAATAAAAAGGGCTTATATAGTCGAGAGCTACAGTTTAGGCTGTAGCCAGACGTGAGTAAGCACACGTTGTTGCCTAGAACACAGACACACTACCTAGTGCCTGCCTAGCTGGAGCCTAGAGTCCTATGGGCATCTCATTCTTTGTTATCAAGGTTTTAGGAAAGACTTTTAATTGTTTGATTAATCTGGATGGCCAAATGATATTCTCGCCTATCTGCTCACAGCGACTTCTGCCTGCACGGAACTCAATGATGACTAGAGCATCGATGTGACTCGGATATTTGTGCAAAGGACCGAAAGGCTAGTTCGACAAGATAGGAAGAAGTTGAAGAATTCGTAACGAGTGAATATGATTATAACGCTAAAATTTAATTTGATAGAGTGGTTTGAGGTGGTAGATGATCCCATCCGCGGGAAGGGGGAAGCCGCAGTCTTCTGTCTCAGTGGCCCTCCTTTGCAGAAAGTCACAAGCGCACCGCATTGAATGGGTATATTCGTAACCTGTGTATAGAATTTGGGCCTCCATGTTCTAAGGTTGGGTCATTCACTTCTTCAAATGGTCGAAATATGGCGGAGCGTCCACAAGTACTTACATGATATGCAACTGCACATGGTTTAGTCAACGCTTTCTCACAAGAATGCGATTCTTTTCCTCAAGTATACCTTATTCTTGGTGGCAAGGAAATCTTCACTAATTTGACCAGATAAATATAGATTGGTTAAAACTTGAGGATCAATCTCGGCAGTCAGATGCTGATTGGTGGAGTCGTAGCATCACCATCAAAAGCAGAAGGGTTGGTCTCCACCAGGTCCTTCTGCCTTCACTAGTTCACAACCTGACCATCACTACAAGGCAACAGCAATGCCTAATTTTCAACCATTGAGTTCAAGTATTAATAGCTGACGTTCTTTCCATGACTCTGTTTTTGTCTTCTCTCCCTTTTTCCCCCCTCATCATCTAAGTGCACGGGTCGGACACATGCCAGTGAAGAGTTCTCTGAGGCTGTAGTTGCTAGTTGAAAACTACCTAACTGATCAGCTCCCAGTTCGTTTCTACAACTGGGGAATTTTTGTATAACATTCTCTACAGAGAAAATCTTATCTCCCTTCATTGTGGTCTGTCCTTTATGGATGGAGACGAGGAAGGATAAGTTCGTACTTGTTCAACAGTGGATCGGAAGTGATCACTATAAAAGACGTTGAAATAGTGAGAACTGTGAAACTGCTCCAACAGGAATGTTTGCCATACTTATGAGTGTTTCCGTACATAGATCAGGGGGCGTTGCACGCTGGTAGTATCTTAAGTGTTTACATGGTCACTTATTGTTGAGGGATGTGCAAGAGCACCGCATTAAGGGATCTCTTACGATTTTCCACAAAGGAAAAGGTTGTTTGATAGCCCGCTGAAAAGTAACGAGTATCAATGCGACAAATACCGCAAACATCTAAGACGTCTCCAGTGGCATAAATGAGTGGGCAATCTGTGATGACAAGCCACAAAGTGGATTTAATGTATTCAGCCATTTTGAGAACAAAGCACTGCGTTGGCCGGCGGCGATGCAGCACGAGAGAGTGGTGAGAAATATGAATACAAGAACGTTATTTGGCCTGAAAGTTATCTAAAATATTCAAGGAGAGGACTCAACTTGCCAAGGTCGGACTACCCATAGAGCTCCCGATCTATTTGTTAAACCTGTAGATAGCGGCTTTCATACAATTTGGACGCTAAAAGGGCTTGATTCTTATACTAAATATCAAGGTATTACCTATCTTAATAATAGCGGGAATTACTACGATGTTATTAGCCTGGAATTCTAGAGACTGTTTAGCACTTGATACCTACGTACAATATCAATGTTCTTGGGGCGATCCTTTAGCGCGATGGTACTGTTACTCAAGAAACAAAACATTTCTCTCTCCAAGTACGTTTCTGTGGCGTTTCCCTGTCGAAAGTATATCAGCATTTCATGCACATGTCGACTCTAAGAAGACATCATACCCAAGGATGACATCCCGTCTTCTCACAGCTGCCTGCTCCTTGATGACAGCCCATTTCACCTAGATGCTCGGATTATCCTGGAGTGCTTCGACATCCGCGATGCTCTCTCGGAGCCCCTTCTTAATAATGGCCATAAGCCCATCTTGCAGCTCCACGAGATCAGCTATGGTCCGACCTACTGAGAACATTAATTCGTCACTGACCGTATCATCTCGCTTGACGGTAATGAGGACATCTTCTATATTCGTGCCCTCGACGAGCACAATCTCACTCCAGCGTCTCGAAAACCCAATGTACAATATCTTGATATTTGGCATCAGCTTGAAATGCGAATTGTCTCGCGACTGGAGACTTGGGAATCTTTCTAGAATGGCCCTAAATGTCTTGTGATCCAACAACAAGTTTTGCAGCCATTCAAATTGTATAGGGTTCATACGGCTATCTTTGAGTCTCTGGAACGATTCTAACACCGTTTCAAACCTCATATAATAGATAGCGTTTTTAGGGACAGGCCGGACACCTAGAGCCCTATGTGATTCTCGCGAAAGAGTTGCGATGACCTTGTCCATGTAATAGTAATCGATACCTAGTTGGGTCAGTATCCGCGTCGGGATCGGGGTGCTGAGTCCTTCGATCTCTCCACGGATCAGCGCGTTGCCCGTGTACCAGAGGCCGCGATCTCGGGCTAGGACACCATGTGTCAATATGTGATGAGTACCATTCAACATTATCGCTGTTCTTACAGGCGGAATGATCTCCGCGTCTAAGCGATCTTGTAGAATCATGCGGCTGAGCTCCAGAGGCAGATCGTTGAAAAAGTGGAATTTGTGTACGAAATGTTTTGTGCCAGTCCAACCATCTATAGTGGATATAAAGTCTGACCAAGTCAGGGCAACATCTGAAGGGGTGCTTGGCGCCTAAGATAGGGATTACTCGATGTGTTCTGCCATATTAGTTTGGGTAATGAATGGTGTGCTATACGAAACGTCTTTGAACATCTAAAGACATGGCTGAGAAAATAGGAGGGTATGGCATTATATAGCTCTTCCCATGAATGTATTGTCATATTGAATGTTTTTGAGTTGTTTCTGATTGACTATGAATTTCACTAACTCATTTGATCCACTATGACTGGGTTGACAATGTACCTGCTGCAAGCATTCACACGCAGCATGGAAACAGGCAAGAAATAACTTCACGAACATTTCACAAAAACGAGGTTCTGTTCGATCGCTCACGAGACTGAACTTTGCCGAGGGAAGCTGATATCGCTAGATTAGACCATTTTGAACACAGACAATCATACAAACGTGTCGAGACCAGGCTTGCGAATACTAAGTAGCCAAAAATTACGGAAACTACGACGCAAAACATCATTTAAACTGGATCGAAAACATCCGTGAATCTTAATCACCGCTTGCCCTGCCCTTGAGCTTCGGGCGCTTGACCATCGATACACCGACACACATGCCCCATGTTGGCATCGATCGATGTGGCAGCTCGGCTTGTGCGACGATTCATGTCATTCCAGAACGCTTAGTGCCACGTAGAATCGAGGGCCGAACTTGAGGAGTATATTGGAACTATTCGACAACTTCAGTGTTGTCACCACGACCTTTAACGTGTGCAATCGGCATTTAATGTCAGGTTCACACAGTCGAACCCAAAGCGCTACTTAAAGTGGTTGACGAAGGTCTGATATCATCAGTCCAAGCCGCTGTTGCGGAACAGCCCGCTGATCAATTGCCGAACTCTGCCCAAATTCATGCAACGGTGCCCTGCAAGATGTAAGGAGACTCAAGTATTTCTCCACATGCACCAGGAGATGAGGTCCAATCCCCCACAAACCCCGCGATAATACCTCCCGAACTACCCCAACTTCCACTGTAGATCTTCTCGTTGTGGGGTGATATGATGGACGCGGGGGTCGCACCGGCTTTACCATAATTGTGATACTTAAAATTGCCTTGGATACTTCTCTTGCAATGTGTTCAAGACTTCTTTATTAATGTTCTATCTACTTCTGGAACCATACGTGTCGTGTTGTGTAAGACTTGCGTGTAAAAGCACAATATCGTATACTGCTACTAGGTCAAGATGGCTGGCTGGTATACTATTGGGATTGCCTTATTCGCGGCCATTGGCACGTTCTTATTCGTAAGTTGCCCATCTACATTTGCCATCGTCTACATAATAATTGACAGTTACACAGGGCTTCGATACTGGAATAGCAACGACCAGTAAGACCTTTTGTCTGAACACTAGAGCATGAGGCTAATGATTGCAGCAATCGCACATCAGAGTTGGATCGATTATATGAAAAACCCTTCCAATGGCCTCACCGGTGCCGTCGTCGCTGTTTACATCGCTGGAGAAGCAGTCGGTGCACTTACGCAGACCTTCATCGGCGACAGGCTCGGCCGTATCCGCTTTATGCAGCTGATGTGCATCATCGTGACTATTGGCACTGTCATTCAGACTGCTTCTGTAAACATTGGAATGTTCCTTGCAGGCCGCGTGCTCGCGGGCTATGCGGTGGGCGGGATGGTGGCTACGGTGCCGATCTACCTGAGCGAGATCTCTGCGCCCGAGTCGAGAGGCTTGATCGGTGGTATTTCCGGCTGTGGTATTTCTTTCGGGACCATGATGTCGAACTGGATTGGGTTCGCCTGTGGGTTCGCCCCGTACGGAGCGACACAGTGGCGGCTGCCTCTAGGAATCCAGATCCCTTGGGGCGTGATCATGTTCGTGGGACTTTCGACATTCATGCCGAATTCTCCAAGGCAGTTGATTAGAAGCGGGAAGATCGAGTATGCACGCCGTGAGTTCATCAAGATCCGACGAGACCTGCAGTCACACGAAGCCTTGGAGGAGTTTGCGTTTATGCATGCCCAGATCGAATACGAAATGTCTCGAGAAATCAAATCAATCGGTGAAGCCTTCAAGCTCTACCGCCACCGAGCGCTGGTATCTATCGCAGTTCAAACAATGACCAGTCTAACGGGCGTCAACGTGATTCAGTACTATCAGACAATTCTGTACAAGTCACTCGGCATAGAAGCGCATACCATTTTGGCTCTAGCAGCTGTCTATGGGACGATAGCCTTCAGCTCAAATGCAATCACTACCCGGTACCTCACAGACCAGTGGGGGCGCAGGAAAATGATCCTCACCGGACTCGCTGGTATCGTCGTGATTGAGATCTACGCCGCAGTCATGCAGCGTGTGTTCCAGAATACGGACAACCGAGTGGGCAAAGGATTTGCCATACTAGGGATTTACCTGTTTGTTGTTTGCTACTACGGCATGCTAAACAGCACGACCTGGCTGTACGGCGCTGAGGTCTTACCAATTGCACTCCGGAGCAAAATTATGGGTCTCGCAGCGGCCAGCCATTTTATTGTAAATGTCGCCGTGACGGAAGCTGGGCCGAGTGCCTTTGCAAATATCCGGGAGAACTACTACTACGTATTTGTAGGGTGCACATTGTTTTTCCTGGTCTTGGCATGGTTCTACTTCCCGGAAACGAGGATGAAGTCACTCGAAGAAATTGCGAGAGATTTTGGCGACAAGGTCGTTCTTGTCGACGAGGCAGATGTGCAGAGAGAGCAAGCCAAATTGACCAAGGATACTGCTGGTGATGAGGCAGGCGTTGAGCAGGTCGAAGTTGTCTCGAGTCCATCCGAACATGCCTGATTATGGCCCGAATTGCCAGAAGTCGAGATTAGCATGAATATTAGAAGTACCCATAGAACTGGCTATAAATCTGGGCACCCGGCGGGTTGTGGCGTACAAGCTAATACAAGGGACGGGTGGTTCATAGTTTTCGGACCCTTCTTATATCACGGGGTCGTAATTCCCATTCTTACCCTTCACAATGCCATCAATGTCACCTGTGACCCATCCACCGTAAAAGTCGCCTGGCTGCGGCTCGACCTTCTCGCCGTCAACAAAACAGTCCCACGGACCAGCGTAGAAAGACAAAAACCCTTTGATGGACTCAAACCCTCTGGTGGGATTATGGTAAGCCCAGATGCGGTTTGAGACGGTGTGTCCATCATCCGTGATAGAGTAGTACGTTGCTCTACCTTTCCACTCGCAGTACGAAGACCGCGGCGTTTGTGCCAGTGGGACTTTGATAGAGCCTGGAGGTAAGTAGTATGCTGAAAGCGGGGGTTAGCAGCTGTGTTCAGTATTCACCGTTTATCACAGTTCTTACTGGGCGGATGATGGGTTTCAAGCACCCAAAAAGCTTCTTTCGTATCGGCGATTAGCTGATTGTTCCATTTGATCTGCAAATGGCGGATCGTCCTTTCGAGCAGGGGCGGCCGTGGGAATGATTGAACGTTCAATCGAGTTTTGGAGGCCATAATTTCAAATACAACAATTCGTAGGATGTTATTTGCGAGCAATACGGTCAAGTATTGTCGACATAGTTTAAGGAGACCCGTTGCTGTGGTTGAGCTGTGCGGCGTCTTAGTACGTGGAATATGTGATGCGTCATTACGCGGCGGGAGCCGCATCGGCGGCAAATATACTGTAGGCGCTAAATATAGTTATTAGGTGCTTGCATTTCGCTTTCTATAAGACATGCATGATCCGTTTAACACACCTGCATGTGATAACCTGCTGTTCCTTGAACTTAGATTGAAAGAACCTGATGACACGCTATGGACTTGTGGGAAGATTTTTAAGTCCTTGAAACCTTGCCATTCATTCTGAATGACATGAAGACTTGGGGAAACATGATGTTGAATGTCATGTCTATACATGTCACTGGCATCTTCAACCGTTGTTGTTGTTGTTGTTGTTGTTGTTGTTGTTGTTGTTGTTGTTGTTGTTGATATGCCTGGCAGCTTCGTAGTATAGAACTCCCAATGTCCTTTGATGGAGAGTTTCTTGCATCAAGTTTGAAGTGGATTCAACGGTACCTACATAGGTGCGTTGACAGAAAGTTTCGCAGGGCGATATGGGAAAGCTTCAGGACAACGAACAGAAGGAAATCCACTGAAGTCCCAGTTGCACCACAGCTTCATATAGGGAGTCTACTAAGACCATTTACACAAAAGGAAGACGAGAGTGGCAATTTTAGTCGAGTAACAGAACCGTAAGGGACAATGATACAGGAAGAGGGGCAGCAAACAGATGTGATGCTGATATGCGTGTTAGAGAATAGGCATTTTTCTTATACTCGACCAAGGTGTAATCAAGGAACATCCAACGCGTTGTCGCGACGTTCTTTTAACTAGCTAGTTAGTATCTGTCCACGGGTGCTTCTAACATTAGTGGCTTGAGTACGACAGTTACAGTACAGCGGCTTTGTGCTTGAGTTGACATGCCGCCAAGGATGCGTCATTTTTGTGGCGCAGTTTCCCCGCGACCCCCACCAAGTCTTAGCCTTCCACGGTTCACTCCAGCAGGCATACGGCGGCTTCATTGTCATCTCCAGGCGCTGTAATCCGTAACCGCCTGATCCTCCTGATACTCCACGATTCTACATAGTTCGCCCCAGACCTTTGTTGAACCTCTGATAGACATCTCTGAGCCAAAACATACTAGGCACTGCCGTTACCGCTGATTTCCATATTTCTTGGAGGACTCGCATACGACCTCCATTCCAACCCGAGGCGCGACACTACCTCAGTGGACGCCATCATCACTCAGACTTGATAATCACCGCCTCTCGCCTCTCGCTTCTCGCCTCTCTCGCTGTCTTGTCTCCGAGGACATACATCGCCAAAATGTCGAACCGACAACAGGCCCGCGACATGCAAGTCGAGTTCCAAGCTCGAGTACGTCGTTCCACCTTCCGTCGTCCATTTTGTCCATCGTCGCATCGCTAACGTTGTCCCTGCTCCTAGTTCCAAGCCAAGCAGGCCCGCCGTGAAGCCCAAAAAGCCGCGAAGCAAGACCCTCTACTCCGAAAACAGATCCAGGAACTCCTGAAGAAGGGCGAAACCGCCAAGGCCTACCAGAAGGCCAAGATGCTGCTGTCGAAGCAGGCCCTCGCCGCGCAGATGGACCAGATGGCCGACATGGCCGAGCTCTCAGCCTCGCAGATCCAGGCCAACAACGCCATGAACCGCATGACGCACATGATGGGTCAGTCGAGCAAGACCATGAACATGGCCCAGCGCACCATGAACCCCGAGCGCACCCTCACCACCCTCGAGCAGTTCAGGCAACAAAACGAGGAATACGCCATGAGCAATGGCATTTACCAGGACGCCATTTCCCAGAGTACGAGTGCCCAGGTCAGCGAGGACGCCGTACATGAGTTGTTGGGCAAGCTTGCAGACGACGCCGGTGTACAGCTAAACTCGGAACTCAACTCGGCCCAGCCGAGCAAGGCTGAACCTGCTGCACCCCAAACAAATGAGCCGACCGCTGAAGAGGAGGATGCGCTACAGCAGAGACTCAGAGCTTTGAGAGCTTAAGAGGCAGACGGGAAGGCATGCATCGGCAGAGTAGAAACCAAGTCACAACAGGAAGCTGATTGAACCTGAAGGATAGGCTTAAGACGTGGGCGCAACTCTGCAAATAGGGCATAATGATGCTATTCTGCGAAGATTCCTTGCAGCCGATGCAGGATGACACGACTAAATTTCCGATAAAGGAAACGGCGTGATGGAGTTATGGCGGCGTTGGGGCTTATGCGTCTGATTACATCACTCGCTAAGAGGTTGAATGGAACGAGAGTCTCCAGCTCATTATTTTTTTTACGGACAGACAGCACTGGTTATATCATATCTTATTTTCATCAACTATATCTGCAACTATGCTGCTGCAAGCTTATGCATCGGCCAGGAACACCGTGTCATCAAGTGCCCGAGTGTTCAGCTTTTTTTTCCCCCTCGTTAACAAGCGGTTTCGTCAAGGAACACAAGTTATGGGGTTTCACTTACCAGGTTGCGGCTAACATTTCTCAGATCAGCTACCCCAGCTTGCGCTGCATCGGCTGCGATCTCAGTCTTCAGGATCTGGATGAGCTTGGTGACCCCCTCCAAGCCGTAGCAGTTGGCATACATGAACCTGCACAAAGAAAATTAGTCACGGATTGTAGAGGTGCAGGCACTGCAAAACCTCAGGGATGACTCACGAGCGACCCAGACCGACCATCTTGACACCGAGGGCCAGCAGCTTGATCACGTCGCTTCCGTACCGCACGCCGCTGTCGGCCATGACCTCGACCTGGTCGAAGACCTGCGGGGCGTTGCGGTAGATCTCGTACGCGATCTCGAGCGGGGAGGGCGAGTGGTCCAGCTGCCTACCCCCGTGGTTCGAGATGTAGATGGCCGGCGCCCCCTTCTCCACCGCGATGAGCGCGTCCTCGTACGTGCTGATTCCCTTGGGGATAACGGGCAGGGATGTCCGGTTACGGATCTGGTCGTAGAGATCCCACTGTAATTGCACATATTTTGGTTAGTCCTACCGGAGGGAAGAGTGGTACGAAAAAGAAGAAGAAACAGAAAGAAAACAAAGAAGGTCGGAGACTTCAGGTCAGAAGAGGCTTACGGTAAGGGGCGAGGTCACCGCGTTGGCGTTCGTGGTGTCATAACGAGCTGCGCGGTGGCGGGTCGAGGTCGCCGGTGCGTCGATGGTCCAGACGAGGGCTTTGGCTCCGAACTTCTCTGCTCGGGCGATGGCGTCCCAGGTGACTGATAGGTTGGCATTTGAGTAAATCTGTCATTTTATGGTCAGCTGATGAGCGTCTTGGAAACGATGTAATCATGACTGGAAAACTTACCTGCTGGAAGGTGACCTGAGGTCCGTTTAGGGTACCGTTGTGTGTTTGCTTCTGAGCACCGATCTCCTCGATGGTCTTGGATGCATACAGAGCGGCCTGTGATCACCTTGTTAGTACTAGCTCTGTGGGAGGATGTTGCTTCATATTGCTCACGGTATAAAGAATGTTCTCGTTTGCCGACGCGTCGACAAAGTTGAGCTCCGCTCTCTCGTTGCCGTACACTGCTCGCGCGGCGGGAGCAATGAAGATGGGGGCGCTGAAGTTGTAACCTAGGATCGAGGTACTATGGACAGTGAGCCGAGTGTCGTGCTACTCGGGTAGAGGCGCAACTTACGGCAGGGTCTCGCTCACTTTGGAGACATCGGTCAACATGCGAGTTCTGAACTTGACCTTGGACCAAACGTCCAGGTTGTTCCGGTAGCCTGGATTCATTTTTTTACTCATCAGCGACCGCCTTCACAAGTCAAGGTTATGTTGGTAGGTACATACTCCACTCGCCGGCTGCTGCGGTGCGGTAGAACGAGTATTGCTGGAGGCCGAGATGATGTTCAGCTGCCCAGTCAAAGTCGGGAACAGCACGGATGTCCTTCAAGAGCGGCAGGGAACCATCTGTGTAATTGGTGCTGTACAAATAATCCTCGAGTCCCGTGTCGGGCTCGTTTAGCCACGGCTCAGCTGCGAGAGCCGCCGCTACAAAGTTCAAGTAAAGGATTGGACGCATCTTGGGGAGGTTAGGTAAGGACAGTGAGCAAGGATGCAAAGCTTATAAACAAGTCCGTATAGGCTTGAGGTGCTTTTGTGTAACCAAGTTAAACTGAGTTTCGAAAACGACTATATATATATATATTTACAAGCAAGATTTCACTCTCATCTACCACGTTCCCTCGGTTCCTTGCCGACATCGCTAAAGGATTAAGAATGCCCCATGAAGTCATTTTTCCGATGCTGCCGCATCCTGCCAAGGCGCTGTATACCCGGCTCTCGATATTGGGCAGTGGACATGTCGAGATGGCCACAACCTAGACAGAGTACCGCGATTCGTGGAGGTCGAACCCGAACGTGAAATGAGAAGGCCCAGCACCTATGTGGTAACGGGTGGAGTATACCAAGGGCCGGCATTCGGTGTGAATGTTTTATTTAAGCAGGTGAGCAAGGCCTGGCTTAGCACACAGCAATGGGGGATATCACGAGTCGTGCGCGGAGCTTGGCAGAGTCCACTGAGGATCGTCTTCCTCGTGCTTTCTCATGCATCGTAAGCATTAGAAATAGAGTTGAGCGGCTCCACCGCTACCGTTTAACCATGGGATGCCAAGCAACGTTCAATGCATCGGTAGTTCCCGATAAAGGAAGACCCAGACTCTCGACCCTGGAAGTCGTGTCGTTATAGGCTGCCAGAGGGGACAAAAAGAAACATCAGAATGTCTTGCAAGGATTTTAGTGTTGAGGCGAAGATCGTTTGCAGGAGCATGCGGCTCAATTTCCCACTGCCATGGCTATCTAATCTCACGATGAAACATGGAGAAATCCCGGCCGAGTTCTGTTTAAAGTGGATGGTTTTTCTCACACGAGGAAATAAGGACTCGAGATGCCAGGAAGTAGGTTCTGTTTTGTGCTACAATGGCGTCAACTAGGTATTGTATGGTTTCAAATTTAAACTCGCTATTCCCGAGTGCAGAGACAGATTTCAAAACTCATCATATATGAATCTTCGCGAGTCGGGATTGATTCACTTGGGGATAATTATTCAACCTGATATGCGACAATAATAAAATGGACCTCACACAAGGCGTGCTCATTCCGTGGATCTTTCAACACACTGAATTGGGCAGGTCGATGGGTTGAATGCTGCGGTCAGACGAACGTGAACAGTATAATGGAGCCGCAATTTCCAGAGCACCCAGCAGAGCGGCTAGTCTGTCAATTTGACCTAGTCCCAAATATGAAAAATTCTAATTCGTCCTGATTGGAGTAGCATGCCAGATGAAGTAGAGGGACTGTTGAGAGGTAACGTTTTTGATAGAATCGTGAGTATGTCCTGACGATTAGGGGGAAGTCGGGCAAGTGGGGTATCTAAAAGTTCATGGACGCTACAACTGATGCCGAACGGGCTTCCACTAATACTGTACGGAATTGCCTGGAAACCACTGGGATCGGCAAGTGATTTACAACAAAATCCGAATAGTATCATATGAGATAATTTGGGTAATATGGTTGAACTAGTTGATGCTCAGAACTGTGCGACTTTCGTAAATTCTTGTGTCGATAGCATGGTCGGGCCTTTATATACAGTGGTTATGGTATGTATTGCTGCCTTCGGAACGCGCGGGTGCCGACCCGATAGTGGATTAAAGCATTGGCTGTTGTCTGACAGCTTTGGCATTAGCACAAATGCATGTCCGCAACCTGGTAGAAACAACAGATCTGCATTATACTATTGCAGCGCGATAAAAAGCTTCACATGATCATATTCCGACATGGATACCGAGGTTGATGGGATGGGTAGCGGTGGTGGTGGTGGTGGGAACTCTCCGGAAGGGATTCGGCGTGCGGTGAGTTAGTGTTTTATGGGATCCGGACCGGTGCAGTCGGGGCCTTCGGGGGCCGGCGTATGGTCATCTGAGAAGACGAATCCATCCAACTAACTTGATTATGCAGTGTGACCAATGCAGGTTGCGAAAGGTGCGTTCAATAACTACGGACCCTCAAGTTACGAGAGGAGTCGCATCATTCTTATCACAATGTATATACTAACTTTGAGAAGATTAGATGCGATAAAGAATCGCCTTGCTCAAATTGTAAGAGTGCTAAGAGGTCATGCAGCTCGACGGGTTTGGGTCAGAAGCCCAAGGAGCCAAAGCAGCGTGTACTGATATCAAGCCAATAGTATTTCCCCCCAAACCCCTATTCGGCATCTGTCGAGTGTTTATCCATACGAAAGTGTTACTAACACCCATGTTAGTGAGAGAAAAATAGACGATCTGCAAGAGCGTCTCGCTGGTATCGAGACCCTTCTTCAAAGACTTACCACTTCAAATGCTTCCGCAGCCACGGCCTTGGCCTCAGCTTCTTCGCTCATGACCAAAGCCTCCACGAGCAATACTCCGCGGACTGGAGCCAAACCTTCCTTGTCTCCTTCGACGTCCCAGGATGACAGTGCCACGGTCATCGACCCAGAAGATGTCGAGTCATTCGAGGGCAACTCCTCCCTCACAGCCCACGCTGCATTCGCATCTGAGCTTGTTTCACAGGCCGTGCAGACTAGTATGCTCGCCGCGACCCCCTTCTCGGCACCGAACCCAAGAATGGAAGCGGCGCTTTCTTCGCTTCGACAGATGGTCAACTTGCTCCCGAGCCGCAGCTCTTCTAACCAGGAAGGTCCATCGCAGACGGATCAAAACAGCAAAACCATACCGCGCGGTCGTCTGCGGGACCTCCCCATGCCGCCCATGGAGTTTGTGGTCGAGAAGCTACGAGAGCTCAAAGGAGCTCCCGGCCCCATGATGTTGTTGATCGTGACATGTTTCACCGACATCGACCACTTCACAGACCGCTGCAGGCGGCTGTATTTCTGCACCGACGATGCCGACCTCTCAGAGGCCCTCTTCATCATCGTGAATGCCGGCCTAATGTACCTTTTCTTCGAAGGCTCCATTACGGCTACTCCCGGCAGCGCTGAAAAGGTCAGGCTGGAGCAGTGCTGCTCAATGTGTCAGAACAATGTAGAAGCTGCTTTAGCTCATCTTCCCCTTATGATGCCTGCTACAATGGAGAATATCGAGGCGCTGCTTATGGGTGCCAGCCTCTCGATAGACTCATCCCGACCCAGTCTTGCATGGCTCCTGACTAGTCGCGCAGCACACATGTGTCGCACGTTGGGCCTACATCAAGAGGGTAGCGTACGCAACGATCCGCCCGACGTCCGAGCGGCCAAGGCGTTGCTGTTCTGGAGCACATACATGTTGGACAAGGGTCTGAGTCTGAGACTCGGTCGTGCGAGCATCCTCCAGGATTATGATATCAGCGTGCCAAGCGTGCTGCAGGCCAGCTTTGGCGAACAGCCTAGCCAGGCGATCTTGAGTTTGTGGATCAAGCATGCCGAGGTCCAGGGCAAGATCTACCAGCGGCTGTACTCGCCAGGCGCACTGCGGCAGAGCGAGCAGGGAAGAAGTCAACAAGTACAGCTCGTGACCAGGGATGTACAGTTCTTGTTGCGAGAGACCTTGAAACTGCTTGACGATGTGAGGACACAAGAGCAGACCAAGGATAACAAGATGTTCGAAATCATACTCAAGAGTGACGAAGTAAGCTACTATTCGAGCTTGGCGCTAGCACAACGTGCCTTGCCACCGAGTGGTACGGGCAGTAGCCGCACTTTTGCGGATGAATGCTTGGACTCGGCAAGAGCGGCTATGAGGACGCATGGGGAGGCCATGGCAATGATGGACGATCTGAGTCTTCAAATTGTTTACATGCACTGGTACGTTGGACAAGCTTTCCTTTTTCCTTATTTTTTCCCCCTCTCCCCCTTCAGATGGAGTTTACTGACACACAGTCTAGGACGATCCTTTACGCCCCCTTCATCCCGTTCATTGTCATATTCTGCCATGCTATCGAGACCTCGTCGGCAGGGGACTTGCCATTACTCGAAAGATTCGTCGAGTCTTTACAAGCGTCGTGCCCGATCTCCGCTGCCATCGACAAACTCTACAAACTATCGAAAGTGCTATACAATGTTGCGCTGTTATATGTTGAGGCCAAGACGCAACAGACACTCGATCAGGACATGGTTCCCGTGGGCAATGAATTCGACATGTACCTCAGCCAGCTAGGGTTCATGCCGATGGACGAAACGATGATAGGAACTGGAGATGCCGACGGAGATTTGACAAGAAACTTGATGCAGAATGCACAGCTGGGTGATTGGTTCTCGGGCGGGAACCACATTATTGGGCTCTTGGAAGAGGATTTGTCGACTTTCAACACTTCGGCGTGGTGAACGCATGTCGTCCTGCACTTGTAAAACAACCAGACCTATGCCTCAGAGTCTCCTGGCGCGTTGGTGATGGACAAATGAAATTCTTTGATGACAATTCCTTTCCTATTCGCCGCAAAAGATCGCACCTATCCTGGTGTATCTCTTAGTGTAACATATGTACAAACCCTGCACTGCTCCGCCATGCCAGACCCTTCTCTTTACAGAAGCTTAGTCGCCTCATCTTGTGCTGCGCCTGTCCGCTCTGCCTCCAGTTGTCTCTCGGCTTCTCTGTAGTACTTGGCAGTGTCGACACCGTGCTGAGGATGGTTGACGAAGTTGAACCAGGGCATTCCGTACAGGAACAAAGCCGAGTATCTGCCCTGTCGCGCAGCCACACCTTGCATGTGAGGGGTCAATCTGCTCTCGCCGTAGAGTGTCTCGCCAGCCTTGACCTTGGCAACCATCTCGTCCATGTCCAGCTTGATCTCTCTTGAGTTCTCGGTCATTCCGTAGAATCGGTCTGTCATAACGCGTTAGCTGCTATCATCTCACGACTTCGTTTCTGCCGGTTCCGCAGTTGCAGGCCATTGCGTACATGTCGATCTTGCGTAGAAGTAGAGGAAACCTCCGATAGCACCGACAGAACCTGCCAGTCTCATAGCTCTTGCGAAACCGCCACGTCCGACGTATGATGGCGCGAATCTCTCCATGGTGTAGAGAAGACCAGGCCCGAATGCGGCAGCTGCAGCGCCGTGGGCGTAATCTGAGGGCCTCGCATAGGCAACCACCCGCTTGAAATGCCTATAGTCTTATCAGCTCCCTGGCCAAGCGGCCCAACACGGTGGGCATCGAGATCGGAGACACTGGCAGGAATTCGGATACGTACGGGTCATTGTCGATGAGCTACGTCGAAAGTTAGCCAGGTGCGCTTCAATCTCAGGCAATTGGAACGCGACTCACAGGGTAGTCGGTCTTCAAGACCTTGCTGGGGATGTATGTTTGTTGCTGAGCTGGTGTCGACATTTTGGCGGACTCAATTGGGTTGTCCAACGAATGAGCTGTCGACTCGAGCTCTCGAATTCATTGCAGTCGCTTCATGAAGCTTGAAATCGCGAAGGTCCAATTGGCTGATTAGGTAAGCGGCTTAATATCGGCTAAGTCCAAGGCCAGGCCAGGTCAAAAGGCGCCTAGTCTAGGTCCCGACTTTTAGTCCTCATCACCAGTCGCAGTACTATGATGATTTGTCTCCCAACACCTCCCATCGCCACACCTAGATCATGCAATAGGATTAATATACCTATGGTTTCCAGAGACCAAGACCGTTCGTACTCAAGGTTGGCTGTGCTTAGAATCAGCTATTGCTTGACCGAGCTGAAATCAACGATTTTGATCCCAGGCTGCATATGTACAATATTTGCAACCCTGAGCCGGTGACTTGGTTGATTTCTAACGAGGCCCCGGCTCGTATACTGCGCACACATGTTGTCGATGTTTTCACGTGTGAAATGAATTTTGAGCCACAGTTTCTGCGTACAGTATGTCCTCGTGCCAATAGCTACAGACAGTTGAGCCAAAGAGGACACAGAATCGCACGAAACGAGTTAAGAAACTTGAAGGAGTGGTTCATTTGCCGCTTTATCGCGCCGAGGTTTTATTAACCCTATATTAAAAACTATCGGGATTGCTCAGGCTGTAGTAAAGACTTCTTGCTGCTACCTACTGAAAGCCGGCTCGATTACATCGAAATGGTGGAGCGCCCCGTAATCAGAGGGAGCAGGGGGGAGTACGCTACATTAACTTGATAGGCCTAGGTTAGCTAACTCAACTATATCTTCAGCAAGTTGAGTTCAAGCCTAGCTACGAAAGCTTTTATTGTGTTTTTCCGACACTTTTCCCGCCTCGCTTCGGCCGTAGTTTCGAGCGCAAAAGTCATGAACGGCCATGTCTAAGTTTGGACAATGCTAGGGAGTTCTATCCCTCCTATCACGAACTTTACTACCTGATACACGTCGTAGAGGAAATACCTATCTATTCCAGGGATTAGGAACTGTCTTTTCTTTTTAAATACCTAAGACTTGTTTGGCACGGTAAAATATACCAGACTCGTATCGGGTTGCTCTATCTCATGCCACATAGCATAAATAAACCAAGGCACAAGTAAAGACCTCCTCTTCAACTGGAGTATGAGATCGATTCCAGTCCAAGACACTTTACCAATGGATTGCTGCATCCTCGAGTGATAAAGGTTTTCGTGCCATGGCTATGAGTGTTCTGGCATGCCTAAGTTGGTCGACCATGACAAGTTCCCTCAAAGGGTATGCATAGCTATCAGCTCGGTGGCGAATAGCTTGGCTGCATCGCAGCCTCCTTGTATAATCTTTACCTCGGCAAGGGAATAGATTAAGAGTCGAAAACCTCCAAGATGCTGACGAGATAGTTGCCTCCGTTGTGTAATCTCTAGCTCGAGCATTTGCCCTGCTTGATGAAGATAAGGTGTTGTAGCCTCCAAATAGGCCGATCTCTAGTAAGCATCAGCAACTGCGGACTTCACTAGGTGTTTGGCGTCGCTCATTCCGGTGCTTCGTAGACATGCTTCGAAGCACGCTTTTGCTTCTCGAAAGTGGCCCTCGCTTAGCACCTCGTCCAAGTTTAAGCAGAGCGTCCTCATTGTACGTTCGGAGCCGTTTATATTCCCACCAAGACACGCCAAGACGCTTATTTGGCAGGTGATTCGAGCTTTGAGCTCTGAACAATAGAAGCTCTTCATCATCCTCTGCGCCGTCTCGAAAAGACGTCTGGCATTTATTCGCCCCGACCATCGTACACTAAACACAGCTGGGAGTGCCGTGGCAAGGGCGGCTTGCCTAGGCATGACAAGGGCAAGTTGTTGAGCAATGAATTTTGAGTTGCTTTCGATTGATACGGTTTGACAGAGTAGCGCAGGATCAGTGGATCAGACGTACTGTTGCTACAGACCAAGAGGGCATTCGTTCCAGAAGACCATACGTTCTGCTATCTACATACCGCTAGATATTGAATATACGTTTCGAAACTGTCTGTGGTGTAGAATTATTTCGTTGCTCAATGGATGAATAGTGTGGGTGCTCGCCAGAGTATCATCCAGTGTTGCTGTCAACAGTGGAATGGATCTGCGCTCTGCTTTTCCTCACTAAATGTTTTTGATCTTGTAGTGCTTCTCATAAATCTAACACTGAGATATAAAATGGATTATGTTATTCTTGGTATGATTGAGGTTATCATAATGAGGATAATACTAAATATGTTACTGCTATCTTGTCTATGGGTTCTTTTCCACGACACTGAACGGTTGAAAGAAAATTTAAAAAAAAAAAGAAAGTGAATTTTATACCGGTTCACCAGTTGGAAGCCAGAATACTTCAAAATTTTCTGCTTGGTTATCAACCAAGTAAACGTTGGCGTCCCGGGGTTTTCTGAATCGACCAGCCTCTCCCACAGTCTGCAAAGCCACTACCTAAGTTCGTCTCAAGCCGATCTTGCGTCACAACTCGCAGAGAATTACCAGTTGAGAAAGGCTGAGTAAGTGGCAACTCCGAATATTTTGCATTCAAAACCAGCGGTGCCTGCCAAGGAAGGTAAAGTTCAGAAAAGAATTTAGCATTGCGATAAGTTTCCGTACCACCTTTCGATGTCATGGAGACGTTCCACGAAACACGGCGACATGGCAGCTATTCTGCTCCTTAGAGCCTACTATCCGTATTGGCCTTCGAATGCACATCTATCATTATAACGTAGCCCATAAGTGAAATGGACGGGAACCAATATCAGTAGCATTCCAGATACAGACAGCTTGAAGGCTACTTCACTAGAAGGTATTCATCCAGTACCCGGTTATAAAAGCCTAATTTTCCGGCATTGAAATACCTGACGGAGGTGGCTAAAGCTTGATTTTTTATATCCTTGAGGCTTTCCGACAATCGATTATCGATGCTCTCGGCGGACCTCACCATATCCAAATACGCTTCTCGATCTTTCCAGCATTGTAGCGTGGTGGGATCCAAGGGTTCCCCCCTTTCGTCGTACTTGTCCGGCATGTTGAAGACTTGTGGGATCGTGTCGAGGAATAGTGGATACTCGACAAGCTCCCATGGCAAGGTGCAGGCATCCTGCCAGTCGATGACTCCAAGTACTTTGTTCTTTTCGTCGATAACGATATTGTTATACCCTAAATCCGGGTGGCCGAGAGGGAACGGGCCATCTTTTAGGTTCAGCTGTCCTGCTTTCGCCATGGCCGCCAATCTGACTGGGAAATCGATAGACGCTCTCAACTCTCGGGCTGATTCTTCGGAGACCGTGTCTTCGATCTGATGCAGGTATTTTAACGAGCTGGTGGGAAACTCGGCATGCGCTGCCCAAGCTTCGAAGAAGGACGCGGCTGTCTCGAATGGACCACCGATATGCGGGAACGGACCAATATCATAGTGGCCTTGCAAACTACGAGTGACAATACCGATTTTACGAAATCGCACAGATGCTACATCTACCTGTAGTAGCACTTAGCAAGGCTGGTTCGTGGCTAGGGTTATCAGCTGCGCATTACCTGAACCTGAGCTACAGACGAATGGATGTCAGGGCGAAACTCGAGAGGGATGACTCCGCCGTACGACCCCCAGCCTCCGAAAGCGTCCATAGCTACATTACCCGTGAGAAATTGCATCAGAATAAAGGGTACGCCTACAGGATTGTCGGCACTAGGTTCGCAACCGAAAACGCGAGGAATGCCAACTTTGTTCTCATAGAGGAGGTTCATGACATCCACCTCGGCTTGTACACTAGAGCCGTCTTTTGGAATACTGACGACCCATCGCATGTGTTGTGAGTCCTGAAACTCGAGAAGGTGAATCATGTGATTTACACCCGCATTTACGAGGTCAAGGGCAATACACTGCTGACCATTATGCAGGTGGGAGGCACGTGAGTAGAGCGCTGGCCAGTTGATTCTAGCGGTGTGTTCATCCACAGGAGGTGAAGGGTGCCATTCGAGGTCAGCAAGTTCCATTGTAATTAAGGTCGCCGGAGGCGGGTGTCGTAAAAGTTGGCAAAGGATTAATATGATGATTGGATGGATGAGATGATAAGATGCCTTAGTAAAAGGGAATTCGAAATTGGCCAGACTATGCTGTCACAACAACTATAGTTTGAGTGTTTGGAAACAAAATTTTGAATTGAGCTTCTAGTGACGTGCATATATAGTTTCATGCCAAGCCTCGACACGAATCACCTTGTTATCCATGACCATGATCACACGTGTACCAAGCCACATTTGGCACACTTTTCATTCTTTCTTGACTTTTCCAACACATGATACCGCGAGGCAACGTAGAATACTCGCTGTTCGATGAGAAATCGAGGAATTTGACTTCGCTCTCCAACGGAGCAATGACCCCTTATGCTGACAAAGTACTGCTGTGTTATTCCTAGAGAGTATGCAATGCGATGCTCAAGAACAGATAGAAGAGGTGGTCAGATGGGGATAGACGTTGCTTTAAGTATCCGCCATGTGTGAATGGCAAAGGAATGTCGCTCGACCAACCTATTAACCAGTATGCACGTTGTGCTTGCAAGCATCAATATCAACATGTAAATGAATTTACATGGTGAACATTCATGATACGAGTTCATCCTAGACTCCGACAAGGGGAATCAAAGTATAGTGACCTTGATGTTGTGAAGACGAAACTGCGTGCCGTATGCAAAGAGCACCACCATTTCCATTATATGCAGGACGGGTCAGGATGAACCTTTAGACCTGTTGTCATACTCTCTAATTCCTATTGCTTCTTGTTCAATTTCTGCGATGTCGCTTAATTTGAGTATCTAGCAATGCAGGATTTAGAGCTTGGCCGTATGCCAATGAGAAGGATGCTGGACGTGTTCTCGGCGTACAGTGAACTTATACGAATCTTGAACACCCCATTCAAAATGTACTTGTCAGGGCCGAGGTTGGGTGTTCTGGGCTGCCAAAAATGGTGGCTCTGGACTGCTAAAAACGGCGCCGCAAATCATGAGGTCCAATTGACTGCTAGGTAAGCGGTTTAACATCGGCTAAAGTCCAAGGTCTTCTCCTTACTAAAGTGGGTCAACGGCCGTTAATTGAGACGCGCTTCAGCAAGTGCAAGACGCGTCTTTCAACTATCAACCCAATTCACAGTTATACATCGCAGGACAAAATATGGCACCTGGAACAGTCGTCAATGACGATTTGGAAAATTATGGTGTGGATGATTTCGATGTAGATCCATTCGCAGATTCGGGCGACGAGAATGCTAATAAAGCAGACTCTCAGTCCAAGAAGAGGAAAGATGCATCTGGCTTGGGTATCGATGAAGCAGTGGCTGTAACCAAGAAGCCCAGAGTACCGAGAGTTAAGCTCGACGACAAGAAACTTCTGTCAGATAAAGGCATCCCGAAGTTACGCAAAAAGGCAGGAGACCTAAAGTTAAAAGGAAAGGGTCATGAGGTAAGTGCGCCAGCCATGTCCATTGAGTGACTCTTACTAAACTACTGCGACTGTGGCAGTTCTCAGATACAGCTAAACTGCTGTCTTTCTATCAGCTCTGGCTAGATGATTTGTATCCTAAAGCCAAGTTCTTGGATGCGTTAGGCATGGTGGAGAAAGCAGGTCATACAGGAGCCATGCGAATGGCACGGATGGATTGGATCAACGAAGGCAAGCCAAAACACCATCTAGATGAGAATGAGGACGAAGATTTGCTCGGCCGGCCCGAGGGCCGGAATGCCGCGAAATTCCCTGCCCGGGTTGCGCCAATCTTTCAAAACAGTGGCAGGCCCAAGACGCCGTCGATTCTCGATGATGATCTCTTCAGGGATGATGACTTGTATGATGCTACTCCCAGAAACTCACGCAACAATGCTGCATCAGCAGCGACAAACGGCGGAGCTGGCGATGTACCTGGTGATGAGGACGATTTAGACGCTCTTATGGCGGAAGAGGAAGCACAAAGGGTTGCAACGACATCAATATTTGGCAACGGCGAAACATCACGAAAATTGCAATCGCGTCCGGCAGAGCCTGATGACGATGATCTTGATGCACTCATGGCAGAAGCAGACGCCATCTCAGGCCCGCCAAAAGCCGTACCGAAAGACTACTCATCGAAACAACACGAGCCATCAAATGACGACGAGGAAGATGATCTCGATGCTTTGATGGCTGAGGCCGAAGCCGAGGGCACTGTTCCGGCACCAAAGCCAGGGAGAGATGTGAATCAGGCCAAGGTGGCATCTAATCAGGATAAAGAGCTTGATGCTGACGAGGAGGAAGCCATGGCAGAAATGGATGGTTTGTGGTAATTGAAACGATGTATATGTAAGATGCGGACAGATATGAGGATATGCACTTTGGTCGGCCCTGAATTGATGCCAGAAGGCCCCCATAAGAACTCGATTTCACAATTTAAATAGTGAATGACATGGAATGAAACACAACCTTTACTCCTGCAGGAAAGCCAGATTTAGATACGCTTCCTTGTCTGTTATCGTAATCATCCAAGGCATTGATGAGGAGATTTCGCATATATATCTAACATTGAAAGCCTGTATGTTCAGCTATAAACTTGAAAGACAAATAAATTGGGTTACCGAATGTTGTTCCTAACACACGTACAAGTATGTATGCATTGCTATTTGGGAACTCGGTGGATTGCCCCCCACCACTTAGTTGCTGTCCTTGTGCACCTCCACAGCGGGCGCAATCCACAAACCCCACCATTATTCTAGTCCAGCTCGAACAGAGACCAGACCCAGAACATCAATCAACGTCATGACCTCACGGCCGCAGAAGAGCTTCTCGCAACATCTACGATAGCCCGTACTGCTCAGAGACAGCCACCATGGCGTCTCCAGAACTCGCAGAAGCTATGGAGAAGCTTCACATCTCCTCCAGAGCTGACAATGTCAACATCGATGACATCCTCTTCCAACAGGGTCCACGAAAACGCCAAAAGCAAGATCCAGCCTTGCTCAAGTCCCAACTTGAGAAGGACTTCCTGAGCCCATCCAGCAAGTTCTCCACAGAATGGCTCAACCGCTTGCAGCAACGCTGGGACTGCCCGACCGACCTCACAGAGCTCTTCCGCATTGCTCCCACCCAGACGAGGACGGTAACACGCTTTACAAGACAAGGCCTTGAGGGCAGGGTCTCTGGATACAAGAACGTCACAGTTCCAGCGAACAGTGCGACGGCCAAGAACTCTACAAGCCTGACACGAAAACCCGCTAGTCGCGCCGATTTCGTCAGGGGTGCTGCCGGATTCTTTCCCTTTGCGCCAGGTGGACTGGAAGGTGTCGACTCAATTGCTGCAAGCGAAGACCAACTGCTGAGGCCCGGCGCTGTCGGTCCAAACGGTACCGGAACCAAGCTTGAGCGCGTCATAAAACTTGGTGCTGAAGGCGGCTTACTAGAAGTTGCGCCAGGTCTTGAAAGGGGCATTGACTTCACCAAGAAGGCCAGCGTTGACGAGTCCGATGCAAAGGCCGTTGAGGAAGTGCTCGACCAGGAACCCGAAGCCGCACCAGAGACGGACGAGACCAACGGTATACCCGCTCAGCCAACAGAAGAGGAGTCTGACGAGGAAGACGGTGAGGACATTGACGCCTTGCTCCCAGTTGAGTTCCCCGCCCTCGAACCTCATAGCACCCTTGCTGCGTCTAGCGCTAGAAAAGCTGGCAAGGAATGGGCGCATATGGTCGACATCAACAGAGGCATACCCAACTTCAGGGAGCTCGTGCCAGATATGGCAAGAGAATGGCCCTTTGAATTGGACAACTTTCAGAAGGAGGCTATCTATCACCTTGAGAATGGCGATTCCGTGTTTGTGGCAGCCCATACTTCGGCAGGAAAGACCGTGGTTGCCGAGTATGCTATTGCTCTGGCAGCAAGGCATATGACCAAAGCGATCTACACCTCGCCTATAAAGGCGCTCAGCAATCAGAAGTTTCGTGACTTCAGAAATGATTTTGAGGAAGTCGGTATCCTGACCGGTGATGTGCAAATCAACCCCGAGGCCAGCTGTCTTATCATGACCACCGAAATTCTGCGGAGTATGCTCTACAGAGGAGCCGATTTGATCCGAGATGTTGAGTTTGTCATATTCGACGAAGTACACTATGTCAATGATTTTGAGCGTGGCGTTGTGTGGGAAGAAGTCATCATTATGCTTCCTGAGCATGTGTCTCTAATCTTGCTGTCAGCTACCGTCCCGAACACGAAGGAGTTCGCTCAATGGGTGGGGCGCACGAAACAAAAAGACATATATGTCATTGCTACACCCAAAAGACCCGTGCCACTCGAGCACTACTTATGGGCTGGCAAGAACATACACAAGATTGTCGATGCGGAAAAGAAGTTCAACGAGAAGGGCTGGAAGGAGGCCGATCAAGCACTCAGGGGTAAAGACAAGGTACTTCCTGCTCCCGCACCGGCAGGGCGAGGTGGTGCAAACCAGCGTGGAAACCAGAGGGGCGGTGCTCAACGTGGTGGCCAGCAGCAAGGACGTGGTGGGAGGGGCGGCAATAGTCAAGGGCGCGGTCGTGGTGGTCCTCCTCGTGCAAGCCATGCTCCGGGCCACATGGGTAGAGCGGGTCGCCCTGGAGGATTCAGCTCTTTGAACCAGGACAAGAATCTCTGGGTTCATATGGTCCAGCACTTGAAAAAGTCGACCTTGCTGCCAGCCTGCATTTTCGTCTTTTCGAAGAAACGTTGCGAGGAGAATGCGGATGCTCTTAGTAACCAGGATTTTTCCACAGCTCAAGAGAAGAGTCACATTCACATGATTGTGGAGAAGTCGGTGGCACGGCTCAGGCCCGAGGACAGAAGTCTGCCACAGATTGTTCGCATACGAGAGCTCTTATCCAGGGGTATAGCTGTACACCATGGTGGCTTGTTGCCCATTGTGAAGGAGCTTGTTGAGCTCCTCTTTGCTCAGACCCTGGTGAAAGTACTCTTTGCGACTGAGACCTTCGCTATGGGCCTCAATCTGCCAACCCGTACCGTTGTGTTCTCAGGTTATCGAAAGCATGATGGACACTCATTCCGAAATCTACTACCGGGAGAGTATACCCAGATGGCTGGCCGTGCTGGCCGTCGTGGTCTTGATACTGTCGGCACAGTCATCATCGTACCACCTGGTGGAGGAGATGAGGCGCCTCCTGTCGCTGACTTACAGAACATGATCACTGGTCAGCCTAATAAGCTGAAGTCACAGTTCAGGTTGACATATAACATGATCCTGAATCTGCTACGTGTTGAGGCGCTCAAGATTGAAGAAATGATTAAGCGTAGTTTCTCTGAGCATGCCACACAACAACTCTTGCCGGAGCATGAAAGGGGAGTCAAAGTTGCCCAGGCTGATTTGGCAAAGATCAAGAGAGAGGCTTGCGAGATCTGTGACCCTACTTTGGACGAGTGCCATGACGCTGCCATGAAATACAGAGACCTGACACAAGAACTGCACAAGGGTATGATTGCAATTCCTATTGGGCGCAAAATGTTCTCGCAAGGCCGTCTTGTTATCTTCAATAAAGACGGCGTCCGGACACCTGGAATTCTCTTGTCGGATGGTGTAAGCACCAAGATAGCCGGCGGCCAGCCCATGATCCACGTCTTCGAGATTCGTACTCTGAGGGATGCTCGCGACTCTACCGATCTTTTGCCATTCTTGCCAGCTTTCCGCTCCTTTCTCACGGCGCTTCCTCAGGCTAAAAAGAATATTCATTTCAAGACGAACCACATCGCTCTTACTGATATAGAATGCTTGACAAAGACCGTGACAAGGGGCATCCTGCCTGAGGTCTTCCAGGGTGGAGATGGCTACATAAAGGCAAAAGAGCGTCTCTTGCAGCTCTGCAAGACATGGGAGTCCGACATTTGGGAAGAGATGGAGTTCAATAAGATCAAGAGCATGCAGCTACAGGAATTGGTCAATAAGCGATTCACAGAAGCCAACAAGGCCGTAGACACCGCACCGGTATATTGCAAGAACTTTCTCAAGCACGTAAGTCTTCATCCCACAATCAACTGGCATTGGCACCCATTCGCGCCGTTTCACTATCTGAACAATGCCTTCTTTTGTTCAGTTTAACTAATCTTATACAGTTCGCCATGTGTCATGACCAATGGCTCATCAAGGAGCATATCTCAACCCTCCTTGCCACCATGGCCGATCAAAACCTGCAGCTCCTACCTGACTACGAACAGCGCATTCAAGTCCTCAAGGACCTATCCTTCATTGACAACGATACGCGAATTCAATTGAAAGGCAAGGTCGCCTGTGAGATCCACAGTGCCGACGAGCTTGTACTCACTGAGCTCATCTTGGACAACGTACTCGCCGATTACGAGCCTGCCGAGATCGCCGCTCTCCTTTCTGCCTTCGTATTCCAGGAGAAGACGGACACTGTGCCGAACCTGCCCGGCAAGCTGGAGCAGGGCATCAAGACAATTGTTGATATTTCAGAGAAGGTCAACAACATACAAACACTGCATCAAGTCATTCAGTCATCCGAGGAAAGCAACGATTTCGTCGTCCGCCCGAGATTTGGTCTGGTTGAAGTTGTGTATGAATGGGCTCGGGGTATGAGCTTCAAGAACATCACAGATTTGACAGATGTTCTTGAGGGCACAATTGTCAGGACGATCACGAGATTAGACGAGACGTGTCGTGAGGTCAAGAATGCAGCCAGAATCATCGGTGACCCAGCCTTGTATCAGAAGATGCAGGAAGCCCAGGAGATGATCAAGAGGGACATCACCGCTGTGGCAAGTTTATACATGTAAACATACGAAATGAAGACATTCAGATTTCGCATTCCAGCCCATGACTTCCATATATCCGGATTAGTTCATTGCAGGTGAAAGATGTTTCAGTGATGCAAAGATGCCGGGGAAAGGGGGACAGTGGAGAGACATTGATGAAAAAACTAAGCTCGGGTTCTGCTATTGTGCTGGATAGTCTGACATGACATTAGATTCAACTATTGTCAGACCCTTCTCCTATGATATAGTCGACCTTGAAACTTCAGATACCCACCGACTTTCTGTTCCTGCATGATAGTAACGGATGCACAGATTTCTCTAAGAAATAATATCGTTTCACATAATACCATGAGGGAAAGGGAAGCATGGAGTCATAGTCCGTGCTACAGCGCGGCAATCAGCGTGGTGTATTGTATTTGATAACTGTTGGATCAGCATGTGAGAGGTTTGAACTTGTGGATTTTGAATCAGGAGAAACTGTCGTCGGGTCTTGTTGCTTGTCGCCGATCGGTCTGTGGCTGCGGCACTTTGGTCTCTTCCTTTCCATACAGCCTGCCACTCATTACATACAATAAGTTGCAAGTGCCAGTCTCCAATGAGCTCTGCAATATTTTTTTTGTCGCACCGTCATTTTCAGGATCCTCAGAGTTGGTTGCCATCGAAAGAACGACGTATGCGAGTTAGGTATTAAGTCTCGTCACGCCAGGTGCAGACGCATCTATGAGCTAAAGCATGACGATACGCTACAAAAAGAGAGCAAAAGCTTTTTAGAGAAAGCATGAACTAGCATTGGATAGATGAAGAGAAGTCAGAGTCAAGAAACCCAAAAAAAAATTTGAGGAAGAAGGGGCGTTGCAAGAGAAGGGGGAAAGAAGCAACGAGCCTGAGTGTTATCGACAAGTATAGACCGGACGAAGTCCACCACAAGACAAGCGAACTACATCAGCATCGGCACAAGCACAGTCAACACTACAAAACCAGCCTCTGCATCATTTTGTCATTCCTCTATTTGGGCATATTTTAATACACAGGCACACTGCAAGACAAGACCCACTGACACGTTTCTAACACGGAAAGCCACCTCCACGACTCTAAGACGATGTGTAGAGCAATTACTTACTTCGCGAAATGTCCAAGGGGCAAGTAAATATGGACAGACACACCAATCACGCAGGTAGAGGAGATCGTCGAAGACGATGAGGCGAAGGGCGGCACGAGGCCGTGCAATGCGGACCTGGATAGGGGCTCGCTCAACTGCCCCGAGCTGTGGACCATGAAAGATAGGAGCCCCGTCAACGAGCACTGTCCCAATTGCAAGGAGATCATCGCGTGGGATACCACCTCAGGGGAGGTCTCTGTGGCTAGAGAAGAGAGGGGTAAGCAGAGGGCCGACGAGAGGACCATAGCGCAGAAAAGTATACGAGCGGAGGGCCCGTTGTCCGGAAGGGATAGAGAGAGGCGGGCGGCCAGTCTGAGGGCGAGCCTGCTAGAAGCAATTACGACAAAAGCATTGGAAGTGCTGGACAGAGAGAATACCACCAGAAGGCCAGGAATACCATTGCCAGGACAAGCAGAGGTATCCGCAGAGCAGGCTGACAGGAGGTCGAGAACACCATTGCCAGAACTAGTATCTGCAGAGCGGGCTGACAGAAGGCCGGGAACACTATTGCCGGCACAGGCGGAGGAACTCGCACAGGACTTGGACGTAGCGGAGGAGAAAAGAGTACCGAGGGGTGAAAGATGAGCGAGAAGAAGATGCGAACATGAGATGAAAAGAAGAATCTAACTACCAGGACCCCCAAGAAGTGATTTGGGTTGGCTAAATGTCGGAAGATACGTGATACAGCCTAGCTGCGAAATGATCATTCACACGATGAGACCTATTTGCAAAGATTGGGGTCCAGAACTTGTGATGGAATGAAGTTCATGGTATGGCATTGTGTAATATGATTCATTCTCCTTTAATACCAGTTACAGCGAGGTCTTAATGTTGTCAAAAACTCAGAATTACCATATTTGCGTATCGTGGTTTGGCCAAGGCTAAAGTTTGATTACATGCCTAAACATCATCGTCATTGTTCTCCTAGTCTTCAAAATGTCCAGTCTCTGCAGCATCCTGATCATCACCATGACCCTCGGGAACCATTACACCGATACAGTCATGAGGGCACCCTTGTTTCGAAGGATCCGGGCCGCGCAGGCCAAATGCTCCCTCAAAGATCCGAATCACCGAATTAACTATAGTTCACCACAATGTTCCAAATTCGGATGTCAAAGCCAACCAAAAAATTTGGGACCTGACAGGTGGATAATTTTATCATCCGTATGACGCCAAGCCATACCCTCATGGAAATAAAGACATCTCAGTTGCTCATAACCCAGCACGTCAACATTTCAGGTGTGAAGTGCTGACGACAAGTTTTTATCGAAACTGCTTTATCACCCCCAAAAACGCAGGCGCCAAGCATTGCCCTTCCAGATGCTGGTGCGGAACCCGAACTGTGGCAAGCTCGAAACCCTCATTGGGACGTCTCATCTTGTGACACGTCTCCCAGTAATCTTTGCCAGACGCACGTTGTCACCTGATACATAGTCGATCTACTTGGCGTAGAGTAAATCCTTTGCGGCGTGCTCGTAACCAGATTTCCTCTCAGGAATGCCGCATTCTTTTTGCAGGAGCGTTATGAGAAGTAAACTGAATGTTCTCAGCGAGCCAAGTAGCCATGTTTACGTAAGCCACTCCCGTACGGAAGTGGGATAAGCGCTTCTGTGTGTCTGTGACCCCTTCCTACTCCAATGCAGAAAAACCACAGGCAATGGCGTTTTGAAGCACATACTACTTCCTGTGTCCGAGAAGACGCCCCTTGGCTGCTTGACGCTCCTTAGCTAGACGGTTGGCTGTCGAGAAAGCTCCTGTGAAGCTCCATCGCGGCGGCCATCATACTGTTAGATATGAGAGAGCCGCAGCAGCTTCCACGCCGAGTCGAGGTTTTCATGAGACAGAATCAGTATGCATCTGTTGTGGCACCGAATATATACCCTGAGATTACCATCGTTCTATAGACGGTAGACCCAGTGTTTTAGAACGTCGCATCTGTGCTATTCCAATGGAATTGCGTAGCTTGTAGGCTATCTCCTGACTTCAAGCAGTTGTCACCGGCCCCCTTCCGCCATATGAGGAATGGAATTTCTTACAGAATGAGGAAATAAGCTGATGCTTATATACGAGCAATATGGGAAGTTCATCCAGTCACTCAGACATGAACAGAGATGGAGTGCTTCGATTGATAAAGAGAACCCATGTGTAACTTTCAGGCAGAAACTCCCTTTTGATTTATGCCCCTCTTTTTGGTGTTCTGCAAGATACTGGTGCTTTTCTGTGGCTATCAGCAAAAGTATCAGACTGGTTGATAGTCCTCTAGTATCGTGTCTTGTTTCGTTCGCTAATGAGTACGATGAAACAGGGACAGCGACATGCATGACCAGTCATGGCACCTCGAAAATACGAATAAGAGCGACTAGCATGATTTGCAGAAGACCTGTAATATCGATTCGAGTGAGTGCCTGGACCATTGAATCTACAGATCGCCTCAGTTTGCGGCTATCCTGTATCTATGTTCTAACCTGACAAATTTCGATGTTAGTTTAGACTAGACTAGGTACAGGTTTTGATTCAAGACACTCAATGTCCCCAGTGGTTAAGTTACCTCTTGTTGAATCCCAATTTAGTGGGCCAATCACTGTGCCTGTACCTTCAAAGCCACTAAAACGCGACACATCATCCACTAAATCCGATATCTCCCAGGCGCCCGAACCGCCATCACCGGCCGTGACACCGCTTTGAGCTTCATCCTGACCACTTCCTTTGTCTCTTCTCACATTGCTCTCCGTGAGCCTCGATATCTTGCTTTTCGCGATGCCTATAAAGCGCAGGCGCAGTGAAGTCGAAATCGATGCCTCAAGTCCGTCAGCACCGGCGAAGAAACCCCGCCTGATCGATACGGGCGCATCCCGCGATCACTTGTCGCCACTCCCGAGCGAGCTCCTCGTGCGAATACTGACGCATCTGTCCCTGCCACAACTGCTGAACGTCGCGCCTGTATCGCGACGCTTTCAAAGAATATCCGAAGACTCACAGATATGGAAACGGCTGTACTATTCCCGTTTCGTTCTGCCGCGCGCATTGCGCATCCCTGGCTTTCGCGACGGGTCGGCGAGAGAGGGAAAGCTACACTACTCGTCCCGGCGCGCAGTGTGGGCTGATGGCAGGAGGGGAGGCTGGGTAGACATGCGCAGCGATGATCGAGACAAACCGTCACGAGACTGGAAGAAGCAGTATAAGCTCAGACATAACTGGTCCAAGGGCACCTGCGCTATGGAGGAGCTCCATGTTGAAGATGGCATGAGCGCTGTGACGGGCTCGCGCGAGCCCCAGAAGATGTTGGTGAAAGTCTGCGACGGTATTGCAGTCACGGCCGATCTGAGCAATGGGCTACGAGCTTGGGATCTCAAGACGAAGCAGATGGTGGCGCAAATCAATCTTGCAGAAGCAGATATAGATGCGCCACCTACCTGCCTTGCTCTTGATGAACAGAAGCTAACTCAGCAAGTTGTAGATATTGCAGTAGGCTTCCGTGACGGGAGTTTTGGCATTTGGAGGCTTGACATCCGGGATCGAAGGCTATTAAGTCGGTACCGCCATGGGAAGTCCACCATTGGACCACTCGCTGGCGTTGCGTTTTCGCATCCGTATCTTTTGACGGCTACCGAATCTATTTTGATCTCGCTGTACACATTTGATAGGCCGAATTCATCAAGTACGAGCCGGAATCAGCACGAGACAAGTTCCGAAACGGAGAGGGACTCTGATAGTGCGACTACTCGTGACCAGGGAAATCATATCAAAGCCGGACGTATTCGGCACCAAAAAGTGCCGACCATGACGAAGCTACCAGATGCATCAGCTGGGACAGCTAATCTACCGGCTCCATACCTCCTTACTTCCTTAAAATCACATACATCTCAAGCCCCGCTGGCTCTGTCGATACGGAAAACCAGGGTGGGAACAGTAGCGTCCATTGCGTATACATTTGCTACATTGCGAGGATGGTCACTTGGTATACAAGATTTGCATTTGAAGCCTTCCTCGTCAAATTTGAAAGATACGCCGGATATTACAACTACCCGGCTGGCATATACGTTGCCAATAACCTCGCCTTCGTCACATATTCCCTCGCCACCGAACTCACCTGCAAGACCACGAGTGAGCACAAGTGCTGGATTTGCAAATGCAATAGAGGACGGGCCTATTAGTATCTGTTATACGCACCCCTATCTCCTCGCGACTCTCCCGGACAATACTCTGATTCTATATCTCTGTACCTCCAATGCATCTTCGCTGTCCATTTCTCCAGGAATCCGCCTCTGGGGGCACACCTCGGGTATTAGCGATGCTGAGATCACCGCGCGTGGCAAAGCAGTCAGCGTCAGCTGTCGTGGTGAGGAGATCCGGGTATGGGAATTGGAGGGGCGGGCAGATGGGCGTAGTATCGAGGTTCGACCCACAGCTTCTGGCAGTACAAACGACGATGCAAATGGAACCGAAAGCCCCCAAGTCGATTCTGCTTTCGACGAACGGCGGAACTGGGTTGGCTTCGATGATGAGATGGTCATTGTGCTCAAGGAATCTAGAGGTCGGGAAAGTCTCATGGTCTATGATTTTACATGAAAATCCTACTCTCATGAAGTGAAGTTGTTGCAACGGACGAATATCAATCAACGTTGGACTTCGTCATGCGCATGTTGTTTGGTTTGCTGAACATTCCTACATGGAGCTTCGCGCTTCTTTAGCTTTGACTGCGACAGAATAGTGCCCACTATTATGCTGGACTCAAGCCAAACGCGCCACCGACCAGCTATTTGCCTGGTCAGATCCCATCGCATGTCAAGCAGTCACCTCGATACCCCTGTTTCGAGCGACATAACCGTCGTATAGCCTAGCTATGGCCTCTCAACTGCGATTATGGAGATGGCCCATTTGCGTGTTAGGGACATACTACACTCTTCAGGGGTGCCTCATACTCGCTCCTCTTCTGGGCAGGCCTTCACCAGCGTTTCTTTCAAGATTCTCCGAATGGTAGGCGGCTAAAGCCTCCACGAGCTATTTTGTTCCTAGACTCTACTTGGTTGAGTTATTCCCACAAGAGATTGCGAACTAGGAATAACGACAATATGAAGGCACTGGTGCAGCTGGCATTAGAGTATATATGACACTTGGTTGGTTGCAATACTCAGTCAACGTGCTTTGGGCGTCTCACCCCGAATTGTATTCATTTGGTCCAGTACAAGGCAGCCTAGTAATGTGGTGATGTACATAAATTGACGTCAAAATCAGACCAGAGAACAGCCCGGAGACGATATCAATTGCCCGTTAGATTCTTAAAAGGTTGTTTGTAGTTTTGGGTAATCCTTGGCATGAACTTCCAAGTCTGCATAGATGGCAGCTGAGTCATCGCCCTTCAGATCCTCCATTCTATGAGTATCCTCATCCTCTAGCTTCTCCAATTCTTCGAGCGGTTCGGTCTTGCCATCCTGCTGGTCCTCGCTCTGGGGCTCAGTAGCTTTCTCAATGCCGCCGGACTCGCCAATGAGTAAGAACTGCGTATTGACGTAATCCAGGTGCTTAGGATTTGTAGCCGCCCACCGGAGAGAGCGGAACTCCTCCTTGACCTCCTTTGGATATTCAGCACCTTGTGGGAGGGCAACGTTCCCTGGCGCATCGTAATCTGGGTTCCTAGTCGAAATGGTGAAGCTTCCTCGCTCCCGCAAGCCGACCTCACTTTGGAGCTCACCAAGATCTTTGGGCAGAGTGAGTATGTAGGCAAGGTGGTTCTCTCGACCGGTCGTCGTAATGGCATAGATGCCCTCGCCGATCGGTGTTGCAGCAGGACTATGGCGAACTCCGGCAGTCTTGGTAGCGTAATCGGATGCGGAGAGGAACTCGTCCTTGAGGGTGTTAAAAGAGATGTCGCACTTCTCCACGAAAGCAATCCATTTATCCTTGCCGCTGAGAGGAAGAACCTTCTTGGGAATCGCAATCAGACGGCTGTTTCCGGCGTCACCAATAGTGCCTTCGCCGAGCTTGGCATCCTTATCAATGGGCCGAAGAATGATATAACTTCGTGCGACGTCATTGACACTGCTGGGGTCATCAATTCCAACACGGCCACGGAAGAAGAAGTAGATGATACCCTTCTCAAGAATACTAGCGGGCACGGCGCCATCCCGAGCTTTCGGCTCCTCAGCAGATCCATTTTGGTTATCTGCTACGCCTTGACCATCATCATCTTCTTCTTGTTTCGTCTCCTTTGAATCCTCCGTAGACTCTGTATTCTCGGCATTGTTTGGCTTGTCCTCTGGCTTGTTATTGCTGAAAGTACAGTTAGTATAAAGTTACAGTTCGCACTCCAACCAACAACCCATCGACTTGAATGCTGAAATTGAGAAGCTTATGCTCAGGGTTTGTGCAACTCACGCATTTAAGGTCTCCTCGATTGTCTTTTGCTCTTTGGCATCCGTCTTCTTGACCCTCTTGGATTGAGGTGAGGACTCCTCATCAATCTGATGCTTAGTCCCTGCGGCTTGGTCTGCCGAGCTGTCGGCGGCGTTGCCGTTCTTTTCTGCCGATCTTGTGGAGGATACCATGGTGGCGGGTCAGAAACAACTTAAACAAATAATCTGGAAGTAAAGTGAAGTGTACAGTTGTGTACTCAGGTGTAAGTAATAGGAATTTAGCCAGTTGAATAACTGATGGCTGAAAGTTGTTAGTCGACGGCCTAATGCTGAACTCTAAGAAAATGTCGCAAGGAACTCAAGTAAAATGTTGCAACGAGAAATCTGAGATTCAAAATAGAAGTAACGAAGTTTTCATCAACCTCTTGTAAAAAGCAATCATCAGCACCGTAGCCTTCCCCAGATTTCGCCTTAGCATGCAGATTAGTGTTATACTGATGTCATGGAAGCCTTTAGCACCAGGAACGCGCTAAGTTAGAGTTCAAGACACGCTCAGCGCGCCAAGGCCGCTGAAGCTTGGGCCAGTTGGCGCTGATTTAAGTTAGCGGTGGGGCTTCCGGCCTCCATAGCGACCTCTACTAACAACCTGTCTGAATAGGACCTTTGCGTTTGCGGTATACTCTTGCCGATACTTCACTGTTCTGACACACTGCCAGATGATGGAATTGCTGCATCTCAATGTAACCGATATAACTCTTTGAGTCTGTTGTCAGGCTGACTGCAGCTAAATTCAAACCGGACAATGCAGCCGTACTGCCATCTTCTATTCATTCACGTGGCACGGGGTTGTTGAGAGAATCAAAGAAGCGTGTCCAAGACAAGACATAGCTCCTCACATCTGGGAGAAAGTATAGTCGCACTGGTTGCCCACCGGCCAGAAACTATTGCAGGCTGCAAACTAAGGTAAGTCCTGCCGATAGCTGAGGAGTGCAGATCGGATGTCGACGGCATTCATATCGTTAGAGAAACATTGAGGAAGTACCGGTAGAGGAAATGAAGTCTACGTATTCTCCTGTGCCCCATGTTCAGCTTCCGCGAAAATACCACCGAATATTTTATAGATCCGTATTAGAGATCATTTTGGGCCAACTCCGTTCAAGTACTTTTTAGTGAAATTCCAGTCCACAACGCCCATGTCCGTCATGAAACGGACGCAGGCGACGTGTCGATTTGTTTACTGGCTAAAATTTCCTTTTCGCTCTAGGAAATGGCCATTCAAACTGCTGTCCAAGTTCTTCTAAGTTGTCTATCGCAGTAACATGCTCCAGGTGTGTTTGCCAGAAATGGCATACTTGGGTTTACTGGAACCTTTTCGATAGGACAATTGCACGGATTTAAACTTCAGAATCGGTGGCAGGTTTGAAGAAAACGAGCTACATCAAAGACGTCTTGTCGTCTGGAAATACGGAAGATAATTTCTTCTTGGTGCCAGACTGTTCTACCATGATCCAAGCAAACCGGTGGCGATTGAACAGCCAGCCGTGCCGGCTGCATATCTTCCGTTACGAAAATGTCGGTGAATACTCAAGGTTAGTCTATCACACAAGGGGTAATGGGCATCGCACTCCGTCGGTGATATCCACCAGTGTGACGCTGCAGATGCAATCTGTTCAAATTTTTTTTTTTTATAAATTTCATCGGCGCCTGCAACATCGAGGTCATTTAAAGAGGTTTGCGTCGACTCTATGTACTAGTAATGCATTGAGTTTCCACGTTTTTGTCGCCGTCATATGGCAATGAGGTCGCTAAGATCCTTTTGAAATATGTGCACGACTTATGGAGAAACCTTTCTCGCGCAAAAAGGGGACATTAGTGGATATTGATAACCCAAATGGATAATGAAGTCGCAAATCATGACGGATGTCGAAGTCTTATAATCAAAAGCTGGGTTGGGTTGCAAGTCTCCAAAAATTCGACATACCGTCTAGAGATGGCGATGCGCACTAAGAGCCTCTAACTTCGTCACAACATACTAAGGTTATGGTTGCAGGCACAATTTCACTGCCCTTGTCGACTAGTAACAAGGGTGGCAGTCGAAGACGGTTGTAAAGTCCATCAAGAATTCACCACCTGGCTGTTCTTCGCATCCCTGCCGGTAGATCAATCCGACGCACAAAAGAAACTCTACAGTGCCTGCAAAGTCATGCTTATAAGTTCAATCAAGCTTCGTCGCTCTCTCTTTGTTGGGAAATGATGGGCTCGTCTAATAGAGTTTTGACGTCTAGGAAATCTGGGGAAGCGACAAGTCCAATGGCGCTATGGGGTCCCATCTGCCGATGCAAATGCACAGGTACATACATATGTCAGGTTGGTAATAAGGCACCATAGGGAGATTGATGCACGCCACCGGAACATTTAACAGCCACTCAAGCCATGATGGACACACATCGTCCGGAATTCATGCCTAGCTGATGATGTAGTTCGTTGACCAGAGATTTCGTATGGCTAGATACTATCAGTCTTTTCTTCAGTTTCCATCTCTCTCATTACGCGCATTGCAACGAAGCGCAATAATTTATGATCCAAAGGATTGAAGAACATTCCAGTATGCGGAGTGAAGTCCAATGTTCTGTCTACTTAGGTTAGCGCCTGGTACATACTGTTGGCCGCCACGGCAGACAGAGTCGCATTTGTATGCGTTTACTCAAGGGAAATTGCGGGGTGCAGGTGGATCTCCTGAGACATGGACTGAATGGTGGAAAATGCATAACTGAGCGCCGTTTCCGGACACAACAGGGGAGTAGAGTTGCTTCCGTGGTCATTTCACTTGTTAGGCCCGTCTTAGTTTTCCCAGTCTTGCCGACGAATCCTTCTGGTCACATTTCCATAACACGTCGTCTAGCGTGGACGTAACCTTCCTCCCTTCCTGACCCCGTGTAGGAATTTACTCGGGCGCAAGGGACCGAGAGTAATGATCGGCCATCGATATACCGAGAAATGCGTTGGATGAGAAAAGAAGCTCATTGTGGTTGTTCTCGCCGGCTTGCCGGCCGGTTGGTATTTGTTTGGTAACATCGCTGATGGTAGATTGTCCTGCCAAGATGCGTTGGCTGGAGCCAGGTGGTAGTTGGCTGGAGCCAGGGTGGTATAGACCCCGTATGGCTCCGCTTGTTGGTACTGCCCCGACTCAACATCTCTGGTCGTATCTGCGAGCGAAGACGTATGGATGATGGGTGACCCCTGAAATTTGTTTCCGCCAGTGTTGAGACACTTGGCAAACATGGGTGAATATATATATGAGAGCTGGTAGAAGATGTCATGCTCGAGATCGACACTCACGACAAGCCGAAGCTGCAGACTTCTAGTCAATCTTGCCCAGGATGGTGTTCACAATGCTTCTTTCGTTTCTCTTGGCATGGGCCACTTCCGTTGCTGCCATTACTGTCACTACAGCTACTGCATCTTATACCATTAACACCGAGAGTAGCTATGGCTTCACCACGGTGATTAGCCGTACTACCTGTGACATCACCTCTCTAAAGTATTACGGCACTGAGTACCAGTACTCGAGCACTTACAGCCATATCGCTTCTGGTCTGGGCTCCGCAACCGTATCTTACACCACAAGCGGTAAGTTTGCTCTTGTTAACTCGGTTGGTTTGGCTGTACTGATATTAATTCTCAGGCAATTATGTCATCGTCAAGTGTGTCGCCAGCAGTAGTGATTTCGACTTGACTCATTACCTCGTCTTTGCCGACGGCGAGAACAACATCTATATGGGCACTTATACTAATAGCGAACCGGCCATTGGCGAACTACGATTCATCTTCCGTCTGACTGGTCTCACGGAGACGTACCCAACTTACTCCTATGGCGATGTTTCTGACACGGCTAGTGGCACTGCCATCGAAGCCTCCGACGTCTACACAGTCAGCAGCCAGACACGTAGCAAGTTCTACTCGTCAGAAAGATTCATCGATAACTCTGCCTACTGTGCTACCGACTCTGGTGCCAGCATCCATGCCTGTTGGGTTCGACCTGATCAGAAGGCCACCGAGAAGAGTTCTGGGGGACCTTTCTTTCGCGATATCAACTTGAACTGGGGAGGCAGCTACCACTCGGTCACATATTACATGAACTCCAACCACGCCCAAACCGAGACCTACCGCCAAGGTTTCCATGGACCTTACGTATTCTCCTTTACTCGATCAGGCATCCCCAAAGCCAGTGACTATGATGTCTCCTTCTTCGACAACCTGGGCCTGACAGGTTACACGAAAGCCTCGGGCCGTGGCACCGTCAAGGGTACCGCAACAGGTGTCTCCAGCAGCTTCCCGATTGTCGTCCATTGGTATAATGCCAACTACCAGTACTGGGCGTACGCTTCATCCGCCGGGGCCTTCACATCGCCTGCCATGGTTGCCGGTACATACACTATGAGGCTCTACCAGGACGAGTTTTTAGCTGCTACCCAGTCTGTTACCGTCACTGCTGGTGGCTCAGTCACCTCCAACATTGCGGCTTCGAGCACCGTTTTGACCTCATCTCACACAACCATCTTCAAATTGGGTGACTACGATGGTCAGCCTACTGGTTTCTTGAATGCCGACAAGCAGCTGCGCATGCACCCGTCCGACAGCCGCATGTCATCCTGGACCCCCGGCACCGTCGCCAGCACCGCGGCCTCGTCTCTCCCCATGGCTCTATTCAAGGATGTCAACAGCGGAACCAAGATCAGCTTCTCCCTGTCCGCGGCTGTCAGTAAGGCGGCGACCCTGCGCATTGCAACCACACTGTCATTCGCGGGAGGTCGTCCTCAAGCTATCGTCAATGGCTACACCTGCACAGCACCGTCGGCACCCACGACCATTGATAGCCGTGGTGTCACTCGTGGCGCATACCGTGGCTGGGGTGATATTTACGACTGCAGCGTCCCGAGCGGCACCTTGGTCAGTGGCTCCAACACCGTCACCATCAACATCATTAGCGGAAGCAGTGGTGATGACTTCTTGAGCCCCAATGTGGTGAGTATCTTCCTACTGTCCCGCATCGTATGCTTTGTACTAACTCCTGCTATCAGATCCTTGACGCCATAGAGCTCTTCTACTAAACAACAGAGGAACACTCAAGTCTCATAACTTTCCTGAAATATTTCATTCAGCATGTCGCGGTTAATGCAAACGCATGGCGGCTGTATATAGCTTTACCCTTTGCCTGTCTATATTGATTCATCTGTATATACTTCTTTCTAAAATCCACAAATTTTTCATGTTACCATCCATATTGCATGTGCTATTTGCGCCAGCCAGTCTTGCCATGCTAGTTCCCATATGCTTAACGCCTGATTGTAATTATGCATGAAATAGCTCCAGAAGCGGAATTATATACAGAAAGCGATCTGCACCTCCCACGCAATACGGTAAGAGAATATCTAGTACATGACACCGACAGCAATGGCAGCAGCAAGTCCAGCGACAGCACCACCGGTGGCCATGGACCTATGTGCGCCGGCAGTGCTGGCACTCGTGCTCGAAGCCGAAGCGCCAGACGCGGTGCCTGAACCAGAAGCGGCGGATTTGACGGTCGAGGACCCAGTTGCAGTCGCTTTGGCCGTGGCCGTGGTGGCTGCCGCGCCGGTCTCGCCAAGCACACTGGTCTCGACGGCCTTGAACGACGCAATGACGGTGGCAAACTCGCTCTGCGCGCTGGTCGGCACGCCGGTCTTGTACCAATCCGCGGTTGTGTAGTCGCCGTTTAGGAAGCCCTCGCCATCAATGGACGACATGATGGCATCGGCGTCCGACCGGGTTGCAATGGCCAGGTAGATAGTGTTGGCGGCCTCGATGTAAGCTGAGTCTGTTTGAAGCCCTCCCTGATAACTGCAGCACCAATTTTGTGAGTATGAGATCTTTCGCAAACCTAAAGCAAGAGGGTCTTCGAGTATTGAAAACCAGTAAATGAAAAAGTACTAACTCGTAGATTGCCGATGCCAGGCTCGTGGCAGCAGCGCCGGTCGCAGCCGTGGGCACGGATGCTCCGTAGTATTGAGACAAGTACTCGGAAACGGGGATAGTGTCCTCTACCTCAGTCCAAGCAGGTACGGTATAGGCAGGATCATCGTAATCAGCCGTGTAGGTAGCACCGCCAGCCGTGACGGTGTAAACACTATCATCGCTGCTCTGTGCGAGCGCCAGCATGGGCGCCACAGCAGCGATAGCAACTTGAGCGGAGCGCATGTTGAACGAACGTGTGGGTATGTTTCTTCGTAAGCGAGCGTGGGTATATATTTTGTGGCACAAGACCCGCGCTGATCGGTGCGAATTAGGCTTTAAAGTTAATGATAAAGTACGTATGAAAGAATGGCTTGGCAACGTTAATGATCGTCTCCAGTTGATAGAGATTGACAAGAGAAACAACAAACCGTTGATAATTGAGACGCAAGGGAGAACACGGCGTTTTGTATTTCATCACAGGCATTAATTTCCGAAATCTTTAAGGGGCTGCGTAAATTTCATGCGCCTCCATCCTGTCAGCGGCGCAGTGCATATCAACGGCAGGCACCTGCGAATCCTTCGCGCGTTCTGGGCGCTGGACCGGCTCTTGGCCATGCAGGGATTCAATTGAGTTCCACAAGCCATTTGTTAACGTCTTTCTTTGCAATCGCGCTTATGTACAGCAAGTTTCGGCAAAGAAGATTTGATATCTTTACTCTATCATTATCAAAATAATTTGTTGCTTTTACCGAAATCCCTTGGGTGATCCTTCGTCTTGCAAGGCTTGTCACCTGTTTTGTTCTTGAAAGCCTCGATCACCCCATAGTAAGCGGGATGCTTGGTGAAGTCCTCGAACCATAACAGGGGATTGCCTTGACCAGGGAAAACAGCCGGTACCCAACTGAATGGGTCATAAAAGTCCCAGATGGTCATTCCGATGCAGGCCTCGGTTTGGACGCAAGCGCTGGCAGCCTGGGAAGAGTTAATTAGGATTTGGACTTGTAATTTCTTTTCATTTCTTGCAATATAACAGGGGACCTCACATCTCTATACGCTTCCTTCTGCCACTCTATGCCAGTGTCGTTCAGTGGTAGATAGATTCTCACGTCCAACTCTGTGTACGCAACCTCAAGTCCGCGAGCGCCATACGACTGGATGACGGAAATTTGCTGGTCAAGTGTCGGTGATCGACCAGCAACAAAGTGTGCCTGCATCCCGATACCGTTGATCTTAATGCCGTCGTCTTGCAGCAGCTTGACAATGCGCAGTGCGCCTTCGCTCTTATTACCAGGCGACTCGATGTTGTAGTCGTTGTAATAGAGCTTGACGTCCGGGTCGACCTTGGCCGCTGTGCTGAAGGCAAGCTTGAGGAAGTCCTCACCAAGTGTGTTGTAGAATACCGACTCCCGGTAAGTTCCGTCCTCGTTGAGAGCCTCATTGACAACATCCCAAGCATAGCATTTTCCCTTGTAATGTTCCATGACGTTGGTGATGTGGTTCACGACCACTTCGGTCAAGGCCTCAGCGGTCCAGTTCTGGGCCTCGACCCAAGGGGCCAGTTGGCTGTGCCAGACCAGTGCATGGCATCGTTGGATCAGATGGTTCTCCTGAGCGATTGAGGTAACAATGTCGCCCTCTGTGAAGTTGAATACACCTTGCTCCGGCTCGGTGAAGATCCACTGTGAACTATGGTTAGTTTACCTCATCACTCATTACTACTGTATCACTGACCTTCTGTCCATTGGTGGGAGTTGTCGACCCAAATTCACTGTGGTCTCTCAAAATAGCATCGTATTGAGGATATGCAGCGGTCTGGTTTGCCCTCTCACGCTGTCCGGGAGTGTCGGTCGCCGCACCGAAGTACTTGAGCCCAGCCTTCTTCGCTTGTAGATTTAGCTGAGCCGAGCACAAGGGCAATGATGCAGCCAAGAGCACGAGTAGGCGATGCATGGTGTTGACAGGTTACAGCACAAGATGCGTGACAGTGTCAAATAGCAACTGGACGATGTGAGCCCGGGGAGAGCAGCCTCATTTATGCATCCTGTCTGACTACAATGGCACCTTGAATCCGGTATGTATGCCCTTGGCTACCCCAATTCTCCAAGCGAGGCTGTTGGACCTGAATGATATCCGGACATCGATATCGTCATGGAAGCGATCCGAAAACCTGGATCTTTAAGAATCCGTACGACCGTGCTGCGATGGAACCGACCATTGGCGAATTACGACCCATCTCCTTGCTCATGTGGGTGGCAGGAAGTTCGGTTACGACGCCGAGGGCCTGGTCGCGGCTAATACCAGAGTTGGGGTCTCGATACACAACGCATTGCCAAGTAGCAATGTGCTATTTATCCGGTGCGGAGTACTATATTTGCCGTTAATCCAAGATTGCCAAACGCCACATCGTGCTGTTGTACCCCAACTCGCATGCGGAGAAAGCCTCACCACCCCTGCCAAGCCAAAAAGTTTGTCAAAGAACTGTGCACGACGCAGAATAATACGAGTAGATATAGGTTATTGATACCCACGCTTCTTACGCAACAACGCTGCTGCATTACAACGTATTGCTCCTTAGCTTGCGCCAATGTCCATAGTTGCTATTTGGTAATAAAGTGCTTTCGAAGCCCACCCAAAAATTCATCTGAAGTTATTTGTTTGCTGTAACAAACAGTCTGCGCATCAAATAGAAACGTAATTGTGTAAACAATGTTATGGCGTATGCCTAGTATCGAACGTATCATAAAAGTGTGTTGAGCAATCTGTATGGTCCCGGTTCGTGGTGTCTTATAATAACATTGCAAGACAGGCTGCTGGCAATGTCTTCAGCCTCAACATCAACTTGTAATCTTTTGACTATGACTTCTGCAACATACTGACCAGTCCGACTTGATAAGGAGAGTCGGGAGGACACAACGAAAGTTGCCAAGAGGAGATTGTTTGAAACTTTTGCTTTTTACCCCCTTGTCGGTGCTTTTGCTCCTACCTACAGGTTTGAATGCCCCCAAACCCCGCCTGCAAACGATTACTCAAACCACTTCATTGATAGAGGCATCACGTCCACGGTACTCTCTCCTGTAATTTTCAACTTTGTTTCCAGCAATTCTGTGAACACCAGTAACATTGAGAATTCCCGATAAGATGCCCGAGTGTGCCAAATGCAAGGCAGGTGTTGACCTGAAGACGTGCGCAAAATGCCAATCAGTCCTCTATTGCTCCAGAGATTGCCAAAAGGATGACTGGAAAGTTCACAAGAAGGTGTGCGCCAAGAGCACTCAAGGGGGTAGTAATACAACCTCAACTGGAAGCAGCTCTACTCGCGCTGGTACCGGTCCTAGAACCAAAGGACTGGAGAAGCACCTCAATAAACCAATGACACGCCTTCACAACCGCAGTTGGCTGCACGGTCGCCCAGAGAACGACGTCTACAAAATCCTGATTGACTCTTATCGTCTGAAGATGGCCGACGACGTCAATTTTGATGCCAAACCAGAAGCAGAGTCGATTTACACAGCAGCCGGAGCTGCCAACCCCCTAGCTGGCTTCCGGCGTTTCCTGGCCCAAGCGAAGTCAAGCGAAGGACTCTTGCCGACTTGGTGGAACGATGAGAATCAGAAGGAATGTGAGGCATTGGCAACGCCACGGGACGGTTTGTACAGCCTCAGCAAGAAGATACAGAAGGCCGATATCATCACTCATTATGATGATCCGCAATTCCCGATGCAGCTCCGTCTGCTGCGCGAACAGATCACTGGAAGAGGGCCTGCGGGACAGTCTGGAGGCCCCATGATCTATCAGATGATGCAATTTGAACGTGGCGATGGTGACGGTGAGTTCATCATGATGGACACGACGACGGGGAAGATTCAAAAAGGTCATTGAAAAGTAAAGGTTGTTGCAGCGATGCATCGTCACATGCTGTCATGAGAGACTGGCAGGTTGTAATCTGAGGCAACATAGGTGGTTTTTGGTTTGTTTGTTGTATTGCTTAAGAATGATGATGGCTGAAACTATGTGATCAGAATGGATGTGTTGGTCTTCATATTGAGAACTTTGTCCTCCGTAAGAAACTCAATTAGATTGGTTACGACCGCAGACACAGTATCCACGTCGTCAAATTTCATGTGTGCTAGAGCTCCTACAGCGCACGAAGTTAACTTTCACGAATTTCCAGGGTAGGACTGGCTTAGTTCCAGTCTCAAGAACATGGGCAGCAACAACCCCTCTGTTGATCAATGTTTTGTCACATCAACCAGGAATACGAGGGCCATGCATCGTGGCGACTATGGTGGAGGTTATTCTGGTACCATGGAGCGGGGGAGGAACACTTCATAACATCCTTCACCAGATTTCGGGATGAGGGTGAGGCGAGTCTTTAACGTCTCATCTTATTAGATATAGGGATCAAATCACATCGATTGATTTGAGGTTATTCCAACTTAATTTACTGCCGTGGGCGTAGTAATAGACCTTTCACATGTCGACTCGTGTATGCTTCTCTGCCCTGCTGGAGGGGTTTAAGTATCACCAGTAAGTCGCATAGGAAGAATTTCCCGAGACGAGCTCGACGAACTCATTGGCAATTATTTGATCAGTTCTTTCAGACGGATGGAGCTCGTCGTACCTACACCAGAGTCAATATTGGTTTTCAATATCTAGGCCTTAAATGGGCGACGTACCATAAGAACGAAGATAGAGCGTTCTCGGAAGCGATACATTTCGAGTTATCCACGCCGCAATTGTAGTAGAAGCCAGTGGTGTTGGCAGGTGCGTCGAGATACTGCTCAGGATTATTGTGAATATCAAGAATGAGCTGATGAACATTAAAGATCGTAACGGAAGAGCCCGGCCAACGCGACTTGATCTTTGTCTGGACTGGAACGCCATAATCAAACATTGTATTAACACTTGTCGTGTACTCCAACATTTTCTGCTCGTATTCCGTCATGTTGTAGGTGGTCTTATCTGTCCAATAGTGGTTGTCGCCTATGCCGCTGTTCTGTGGTGCCGCATACAGCGGCGAGAGTTCAAGGGGTGCGGTGTTGAGCAGTACAAAGTGGCGGCCGCCGGTCTTGTAGATGTTATCAAAAACTTCCCAGATGCAATCAATGAAGTTGGTTATCGTCAACCCAGGATTTTGAGAGTCTGTGAGGAAAGCATCAATGCCGAGATCATTGGTCCCGATCCAGAGTGCATAGAGGGTGTTGTCGGACTGCCTGTTTGTGTAGAAAGTGTTCGTACTTGTAGATTCGTTCACATACGCGATATCTTCCAAGAAAGAAGGTATCTCGTCTTCTAAAACTGATGGAAATGTACGGTTGATGCCAGCCAAATAACGCGAGAAGATCTCATTCGAGCAGAAAGCTCCGCTTACTAGAGCATGATTAGCTACAAACGTCCTTACACGAGCATCTGAGGGCCTCATACCGGCATAATCGTAGTATGTTGCACCCAGCTGCTGTGATGCAAAATGGCCCCAAGCATACCCGCCCGTTGAGGTGAAGTTGCTCCCGGACGTATTAGTAGCCGGCGGTGGCGTAACGCCGTGATTAGCAAAGTATGCGGATAGGCGTCCCTGGTCCGTGTAGCTGTCACCAAAAGAGATCAAATTCTCAACATTCGTTAGCTTTCCCGTGCTACAGGATGAAGCAGCGACGCTGGCTGCTAGGAGTAGTGGGAGCAAACCCATGGTAAGTTCGAAAAAAAAATTGTTTACGGAATCGTGCACCAGAATGATCGAGGTGCTAAAAGCTGAGCATCGTCATTGAATGTTGAACTTGGAACCTGCATTACTTATAGACCCAGAAGAACAATGTGCCATTGGCTTATGCCATTCACCCGGCAGCTAGACCGGGCAGTAAATTGCATACTGATGTAAACGAAATGCATATTTACTAGCGCTATTGGTCCAATTTGAGGGGTATTGATACCTGCAGAATCCCGATATACTCATTCCTTGGCCGGCATGTCGGGTCGGTTCTCCAAAGGCACGAGTCAACAAGGTTAATACCTCCACAGGGGATCCCCATGTAACACTGCAGATCTGGTTGGAGGAGCTTCTTAGGCCGTGGAAGAATTGCCGTGACCAGGTGGTGGCATATTGGGGTAACTTGGAGAAGTTGAGGATCTGAGCCAAACTATGAAAGTAACCTCGGACCGGTTGCCATGTGCTGTAAATGTTAAGTTATTTGTGTCGTCTTGTAGCATTCCCCAATTGTAGACTGATAAATTAAAGGCTTATGGCTCGGACGGTAATTGCTGGTAACTTAGCACTGTAAGAAGGTAGACAGTAGCGTTACAGTGCACTACATCTGAGCAAACATGATTATCATGTCGATGGCTCACTTAATACCCAGAAGTCAAACTAATATAGCCCATTTTCAGATGAAAGTTGAGTGCCAGGTGCGTTCATTTATTCTACGCTCAATGTCGTTTGTGACTTTGTTAGAACATAAAGTGTCTAGTGTAAATGGGCAATGGTCTGACGTTGCCGCACTGAGGATAAGTATCAGTGATTTGGTTATTGAGTATGCACGGAAGAAACTAGTGGTTAAAGACACAAACAATTAACATAAACATGCCTTTGTGTGGCATGCTTTATTTACTGTTGACACATAACTTAGTATGTATGTGCTATACTGGGGGTTAACTGCCCATGGACCAACGTGCCCCACCCATCTAGCTACAGTAGCGGGGACCCCAAACTTTCTCATCAAATACACCGCCCGGCAGAACCCTGGCCCCACCCAAGCTTCACCTACAGCTCAGTTCGCCGACCAGCTGAGCTTCGCTCCGTTCCTGTCTGATTTCTTTTCCTTATCCTAGTAAGTAATCCCAAACGCATGCTACATGTTTTGGAACAACATTAACCAATACCAGGTGCACGGGCGTTACGCATATCAGTGAGGATTCGTCCGAGATTGCGTTTTTGCTAGTTGAAAACTATAGTAAGTTATCTCGAACCTTTCTTGATCTGCTGGCAGGCTTTGATTCTAACGTGCTTTCTAGACTATGACCACTCCTACTTGGCTACGGCTGGATAGGGAATTTTTGGCACATTATCTCATCGGAGACATCTTTTTTTCTTTCATCACTCTCGGTCCCTAGAGGAGCGGAGTGAAGGAGGAGTTCACTACATTCGACAACTCAAAGGCCAGCTTGTCTGTGAGGTCGGGACGTTGTAATCATACCACTCTTATCGTGCCTAAACCAAATGCCTCTCAATAGAGTCACCAGCATACCACCAATCAACGCCTTCATGAAGTTGACGGAGATGCTACTATCACGCAATAGTATCGAATCTACCATTACGTGAACGCGTCAGGACGCGACGAAATCCAGAAACCCGAGCCCAAGGCAGAAAGTGTACAACGAGCTTTCGAAAACACAAGAAAGAACAAAAGAAACGCTGTCCCGTGTGAGGGTGCAAAATGGAAAAGATCCAAACCCCCATCCTACACCCCCCAAAAAGAAATTTGACTCGTTGGAGCACCGATAACATTATAAGAATATTGTGAGAGTGCGGCAGAAGCTGCTACAAGGACTTTCAGTATTATACATCTTCCTCCATACTATCGGGAGATGTTGAGCGCAGTGTTATGTCCAACATCACAGAACTGATGGAGCTCCGACTTTAGCACTTGATATCAAGTACGTATGCCAGCAGCAGCAAGAATCAACAAAGCTTACTTTCGTTTAAATTGTCGTTTAAGTCTGAGTTGACCTCTGCATTCATGGTGGAGGACTAATCCCGAGAAAGACAGCTCTATACGCGGTGATGCCAATTTGTACAAAGCAAATATTGGATTCTATGGATTCTGGGATTCAGGAAGGTAGGACATGTCTCACTAATTCATTTCGCCGTTTGCTCGCTCATCGTGAGTTGTGCGCCGAATGTAACTCAACGTTTCTTCGCATCCTATCATCCGGAGGAAATGGTCAAGAGATGACGTCTGGTACTCTTCACCATCCTCGACATCTTGGCACCGTCTGATGAAGTAATCCAATACCTCCGGGTCCATGTCTGTTGCGGCCCACCCACACATACGCACGCATAAGAATGCCCAGAGTACTATCCATTCTGGGTTACTGCTTCCAGCCGCTTGTCTGAACTCAATGGTTGGTTTCCCCTCAAAGATTGTATCTGAAGCTGTACTTATCACATAATTTTCAAAGTCATAGGCTCCACCCCAGGCGTGGTTCATCGACATCTGCAACGCCAGTTCACTATGGTTTTGGCATGTTGATATTCTTCTACAGCCATCAACAACGTCACACGGCGGTTCATTTACTCGTGCATGGAGTCGATTTCGCATACAGTAATCGTTGTTCTGACGATGAGCCGGGTGGACGAGAGTGATGACCGCATCCATGGTCCAGAGCAAGAACGCAATTCTTCGAAAGAATCGGAAAGGAATTGCATCCGGCCCCATACCACAATGGATGTGGAGTCCGGTAGTGTCATTGAGAATGATACGCACACATGTTCTGAGTAGATCTACTACGCGGTAGATTTCGGCATAACTAGCTGGATGATGTGTCATTGCCGGGGATACAAGTTCGAGGTTGAGGGGCATCAGCCCTTCTTCTAAAACATGATCAGCGGTCAGATAAGACGAGACTTCCCACTCCAGCGTCCAACGGTGGTATGCTGGGTTGCTACTGTTGGCCGAGTACTGCGTTGTGGTGGGCGGCCCTGGTCGTGGTCTCGAGTCGGTGTCATTGATATCATTGAAGTCATTGATATCGACAGTGTTCTGTGCAAAGAACCTTATAAGTCGCCTGAGGGCATAATTGGCACGTTTAACTTCATCTACACTGTCTGGTACTTGAATGACCCCGGGGTATCTGCGGGACAATTCGGCACGGCTTTCTGATGCGCCTCTGACAACGTAGAATGCAAAGAATTCCACCTCTACACCAAACGTCATATGTGGCCGTGCATCATCTGATATGGCTTCATCCGATGCTGTATTCTCATCTAGCGGTTTGTTGTCAGGTTCTGAAACCTCAAACGAATCACTGTTGGCTTTATCGAGTAGACCCTGGAGGTACGCACTTGACCCGTCTTTCATTTTCATGTCTCCAGGCATGGCTCCAGGCACTACGGTGAGTTACTTGCTTCCGTTTCCTATCGTCGATACTGAATCTCAATCGAAGCGAATCACCCATGTTGTATATCAATAATGGATAAGAGCAAACGGGCACGATAGTTTTGTATTTTCGTCCTTATTATAAGTGCCACAAATGGCTGCTGATGCTTTGTCCTTTGAGGAGGCCATTGTAGTCTTTCCACATGCATTGTCACTCAAGTACCATATTACAGGGTCTTTGTTACTAAGAAAACAGTCATTGATCCTGATGGTGCTGCATTAACAATATACCAGAAGGATACTGGACTTGGAGCGTATCTTATTATTGTTGTCTCATTGAGCTTGCCAAGCCCCAGCTGGACATGGGATTTTCTTTGCCAAGCAGGTCACAGCTGAGAAACCCAAGGTCATAACACAAAACAAGCAGAGACTTTGGCTGTTCCATATTGTGCAATTACCTGGCAAGAGTGCATAATATTTAGTTGAATATTTCTTTGCCTGAGACTTCCACCCTGGACTTTCAGCTTCTCCTAGCTCAAATATGCCACTAAAGGCACTGCGAATAGTAGGCATTGCCGAAAGTACACGTTGATCCGCTGGCACAAGTGGTACATCCCGTGTAGCCACTGCCTCCGCATTGACCATATTTGGCCACAGTACAGCCACTTCCTCCTCCTGAAGTCGTTGTTGGCGTCGCTGCAGTCGTGGTGGTGGTCAGGGTGGTGGTAGGCGCCGCAGTTGCTGTACTCCAAGCGTTGAGTGCAGACGTGTAAGCCGGCTTCTTGTTCAAGCTGCTGTCCCATGGCAATGGGGCTCCGCCAGAGATCCACGTATATTTGTCGGCGAGCCCCCACTGGGTTATGCCGACGCACTTGGAAACAGCCTTACAGGCGTTAACGACGCTAGCATAGTCCTTGGCTTGCTGCTCGAGGGTCGCCGATGTCTGTGGGGACGCAGTGTTGATGTCGAGCTCCGTATAGGCTACCTCGACATCCAAGGCGGCGAAAGCGTTAAGGTTTGTGACCAAGTTTGTCTGGCTAACACTGCCAACGCTCATGTGGCCCTGGAATCCCATACCGTCAATTCTTGCACCATAGGTTTTGACTGTCTTGATGAGGTTCTGCGCGCCAGTGGCCTTGGATCCAGGAACATCACAGTTGTAGTCGTTGTAGTACAACTTGGCAGACGAATCGACAGTGGCGGCATGTGCAAATGCGATTGGGATATAAGCGGGACCAATGGCTTGGTACCATGGGCTCGACGTGCGGTACGATCCGTCTTCGGCCAGAGCCTCGTTCACAACATCCCAGGCATAGCACTTGCCCTTGAAGTGAGTCATCACATTAGTAATGTGATTTTTCATGATCGAAATCATGGTTGCGTTGTCAAAACCGCCGCTCGTCACTAGAACTAGATATCAGTAACAGAATAATAAATAGAAGCGTTCAACCTACCCCATGATGGAAGTTGACTATGCCACACGAGAGTATGACATCGCATACTTTGGCCAGTACTTGTGGCCTGGGACACGATGGTATCGGCATTGGTGTACGTGAAAGTATTCCGAGATGGCTCAGTGGCATCAAACTTCATCTCATTTTCGCAGGTGAAAGACCCAAAGTCCTGACTGTTGGTAGCTATAGACTTGGCGGTAGCATCATTGAGGACTGTTGGGTTGACGGCGGTACCCCAGTATAGCTTACCGACAGCTTTGGCACGAGCTGACAGGCCATCGGCCGAGGTAAGACCAGACAAAAGCGAGAGAATGCCAAAAGTGCGTAGAGACATCATACTGTTTCTCAAAGTTGTTAAGCGGACTAAACCATTTGGCTCGACACTAACAAGACGAGACAAAGCCGTCTTTTATACCAAGCTGATAATGACTAAGACAAATGACCTAAATAATTGTGAGGTTACGGGCATAGTGGCTGGTCGCAGCAAGTCTCGTCCACCTATCGCGACACCTCTCCTGGTAATACCATTGCTTTTCGGGCACACGGATGGCAGGCTATGTTAAGCGCATGTCACGAGGACCGAAACCATCGTGGTGTTGACGCGGGTCTAGATCTCACAATCCCAGCATGACGGGCTTGTCAGAAAGAAAATAGCTCGAGAAGAAGCGCGTCGCTTCCGGTGGACAAGTCTAAGTTAGTCGCCATTGAGAGCAAACAGTCACATTCGGAACAGTACTAGCCATAAAGAGCAACGATTTTGCGACCGCTTCATTGAGCTTGCTATCGTGACTAAGCCGAACACGCGCTACGGAAGGAACTGTCCGGGCCTTGGCACCCAACTCCGGAACGGCGACGGCGTTGTGTGCTCGCGGAGCACGCCACAAATGTTACCTTACCGCAGACTGTGTTGCAAATGGTTGGGAACAGGCGTGCCGAAGTTACCGATAACCGTTCTCCCCGAAGGCTCCTCTGAATGTGGAAGCAATCAGAGTCTTGTTGCAGAGAATTCGCTTCTGCTGGCAGGTGTTGCCAACCTTGGTTTTCCCAATCAAATCTTGAGACCTCCACAACTTCTAAACATAGCCTTGTAAGAACTATCGATTTACGAAAGAAGTGCAAGGACGCGGAGGAGATATGAACGCGCGGCAATAGCGCACGGCACTTTGAAAGACGTCCGAGAACAGTGCTCTTTGACTGCCAATCCAGTTGTGCTGCAATCATTGCCCAGCCAATCAAATAGATCGATATATTTTGTGATGGTTCTATCAATAGCATCCGAGTCGATTGTCCACGGAGGGATATGACAGGCGGTCTTATAGTGGTTGCCCGATAACTGTGTCTGAGTGCGCCTCTTGCATCACTCAACAGCTCTCGGAAGATGCATAACGACGATGGTGATCATCGAGTCGCTTATCGCATCAAACTTCTGTCAGCGGTCAGTACTGAAATAAGAGCGTACCAGAGCTGAACTGAATTTAGTGATGAGGAGAGCAATCGCAGCGTTCCGCTCATTGGAGCTCTTTTTACCGGTCTTATAAGGATATGTAGCGATAAGACTAACGTGAAATGGCTACACCACTGTTTTAAAAAGCCGAACGATCCCAAGATGCTCCCTGTGAACAATGGATTACTTAAATAGTGTTTTGACTCATGGATAGACTATCAACAGCACTTGTCAAATCGTCCAATTCGTCGTCCTTGGGCTTCCGCCAATGTATTGTGGTGTCGGAGAAAATGGGATAGAATTCTTTATCATCTGGGAATGGGATCTTGTCGGAGATATCATGTAGCAGTCTCATTTTTTCCCATTGAGGATCGTCCTTGAACGCAAATCCACGACTTTGAAAGATCAGCATCAGTACTTCTGCGTTGACATAGAATGCCGAGCGAGCATGCTTCGCCATACCTTTCCCATACGTCAACTCCGCTCCCAATAAACAGGGCAGGTATGGCGCCTTTAAACGCTTTGGTGTAGATGTCGGAGTAAAGATGGATGCCAACCACTATTGCATCTTCGGAGACTTCTTCAAATCCCCTCGGCGATTCGACAACCTCGTAACCCAAGGATTCGAGGAATTCCACATCACCTCTCGTAAAGCATGGCTCCTGAAATATACAACGAAGTTTCTGATTACCAGGTGGCAATATACAGTCGACCAGGGTCACGAAAGCGGCCAGCTGGATATGACTTCTTCTCCGTATCTGCCATGAGCCATCTTCTGGATCAAACGAGCCAAGACCAAGGCAGATGGCTTTTGTGGGAAACGGCTGATAAGATTTTGACGGGATGAGCTCTTTGAGTTTGTGGTAACAATCGGATTCTGTCCATTGCTGGGAGAACTTCTTGTGATCGGATTTGATCTCCTCGACTGAGAGATGCGTGGCTGTTCTTGCCGCCGCATGGCACTTGATGCTGTCATTTACGTTTGGACCTTTTTTGCCTCGACGGTTCCGTTTGCTTGTGACATGTGTCCAAGATTCTTCGTCGATTGATGAGGCCATTTCCACTGCGGCTTACAAAAGCTGTTCCTGCGACTTCAAGTTACTGCTCTCTCACATTTGACTGGGCCAAGTGATTTCTAGAGCGACCGACAGCAGATTTGCGCAGGTTTTTTTTTTTTAAGGGCTAATCGTAATTTCAATAGGGGTAATTTGATCGGAAACGTTGATTGCAGCAATCCTGTTGAGGAATAAGAGTGGTTGCGCCTTTGATACGTCGTCTGTACCTTGTTACGCCTCTGTGAAAACGCACATTTAGCGCCGAAGATTGAAGGTGATTCTCAGCTGCCAAAACCACTTCTGGCACCTGGCACCAGCCATGGTCCCGTTGTCATCAACTACCCTCGCGGCTTGCCAAACCGCCATGCAACAAGCCAACGACTTGCCATCAAGGTAGCGACATGAACATTTACCAAGATCATATTTCGGTGTGGGGTCGTCCAATCTCATGCGCCCTGGCCCCGACAAACTAGTCGATCGGTGCCTCGATGCGCTCCGGGAGTTTACAGTACATCACAAAACTCCAACGAAGTGCAGCTTGTACAAGCCCACAGTTTGCAACTCAAGTAGCACAGGCTCGAGAGTGTCAAGGATGCATTGCGTTCAGGGCTCTGGAGCAATGCATGGCGCCCAACGCAGATGAGTCGTTACAAACAGCAACCATAACCAGGCTTGCGATTGTCCTCCACGATTCGTCACGTCACTTCCAACGGTGACTGGGAGCCAACTTATGATAGTCATTCGACAGAAAACTCGTCTATTGATTACTGCACAGCTGTATTTGGGAAAGTGCAACGCGGGAAAGGAGCACAAAGATTCTGACATGCATCGTGGAGGTCTCCCAAAATAGCCCCCACAAATGACTGGACCCCAAAAGCAGGCGTGGCCGGATCTTGAAAAGATGCCGATGATACTCTCTCGATTGGTGCCGCACTATTGCGCGCTTTCGCTATCAGATCGGATTGGTGAGAGTTGACCCAGCTCTTATTGTCAGCGCTTATGTATCTGCAGTGTGCCATGTTCTCCGCCAGTGAAAGGTCGGGAGCTAAGTGACCCTTGTCGCCTACAGTAGTCCCGGGTCCTCCCAGCCGTCGAGGCCCCCAATTGGTGGTCATGGAGCGAATCATTCGCAATACCACACACAGCTGGCGAGTCGCCCAGCCATGTAAGCGCCCGTTCATTGGCTTCACCAGATCACCGACAGGGGCAGAGCAAGGATGAGTCTGTGAGCTGCAGCGCTCTGCACATCTTCCAGCCATTCTCACTGGCTCAGAGGCCAGAAATGCCGCCCGGCTTAGTGAACCCTGGGGACTATCGTGTGAAGCGGGGATTGAACTCGTTAGCGAAAGCCAACGCAAAGTGGTAGTATGGCCAGTAGGAAAAGAAGTGCCATACTCACATGCAGGTCGGCGGTTGGCTCGTAGGTCGCATTGGTTCCTATCACTCAGATAATACCCAATGCATCGCTCGCCTGGCCTTGCGCCTAATTTCCTATCCTTTTACCAGTTTACAGTATTCTGATTTCTGTCTTGAGTTTCTGTTATTGTTGCCCAGCAAACCTCTCATCAGTAGTGAAGTCTCTTGAGCTCTGCTTGCAATATATCGACAGATTCAAGCGCGGTTTCAGTCTCTATCTCACATCAACTATTTTAGACTCGGAGAGTTCCAAGATACAAACGTTGCCATAAAATAAACCCCGAGGTCAAATATAACCTACCGCGAAAAGCAAGACTTGGAGAAGGACAAAAGCGCGAATCACACAGGTTGATTTGTGACTTTGAAATCGGTACTCTTGATCGCATTCTTGCGGGTTCCAGTTTGTAATCGACACACATACACATCGAGCACAATGCTTTCCTCAGTATTCTTGACGGTGGCCGCATCGACGCTGGCAGCGGCGCACACAATCATCACATATCCTGGATGGAGAGGTGACAATTTGATCACAAACACGACATGGCCATATGGTATGCAATGGATGTATCCATGTAAGCAGCACCCCATCTGCATAGGATTTGCTTTGCGAGAACTCTGTTCTCGCATTCATGTCTCACACAACTCTATACATACAATATACTAACGCCATTTTCAGGTGGTGGCATGACCTTGACATCAAACAGAACATACTGGCCAACAACTGGAGGTGCCGTCGCCTTCCAGCCTGGTTGGTTCCAAGGTCACCAAACCGCATTCCTCTATATGAACCTCGGGATCGGTAGCGATGGCCCCGATCATGGTCCCCTCAATATGTCTCTGCCCATGATCTCACCCTTCCAAATCCTCGGGCCGTCCAAGAACCCGTATCCAGGAACTGTCTGCCTGCCACAGGTGCCACTTCCTGCAAACCTGACCGTGAACCCCGGAGACAACGCCACGATTCAGATCGTGGAGATCGCGGTGCATGGCGCTGCCCTGTTCTCGGTATGTTCAAAATCTTATATGCTAAATCAATGTAAAAAAGAAACAGCAGGGCTAACAGTATGTCCCTAGTGTGTTGACATCACATTCGTCGAGCCCAACGACGAGCGCCTCAACAACGTCAACGAAACCAACTGCTTCAACAGCACCGACATCGGCTTTGCCGAGATCTACACCATCACGACCAAGGAGGTCGGCAGCACCGCCAACACTACGTCAACGAGCGGCGCCCTGGCCTCGTTCATGCGTTCGAGCTCGTCATGGCTCGGCTACGCGCCACTGGTTCTGGGCTCGCTGTGGTTCCTGGCATAAGAGACGAAACAAGTAAAAAAGAAAAAAAAAGAAAGAAAAAAAAAGGAAAGAAAGCGACAGGATGGTGGTGGAGGCTGAATTGTTATATACCGCGACCAAATGATTTCCTACCTTGTATATTGGCATCTATACCGGCGTTAGGAGTGGGAGGATTAGGGGATTTTATTTTCCTCCACACTGTGTCGGCTTGACAAGGCAACGACTGAAGTTGGCCCGGCTGGCCACTCAAAGCAGGCATCTTTGCGGTCTGCATCGCGATATACCAGATTTCTTACCAGGATATAGGATTCCTGTATTATGCAGTTTACTGTCTGCGCTGAATTGAAAACCAAAAGAATTAAATTTTTAAAACTACTACCGATATTCCCCCGTCGCAAAAAGCCTGTTATCCACGCGTTCGAATTTATTTTTCTTTTAAGACAAATTTCTTGTTTTCTTCTTTCATTTAGCACAATTCGCACGGTACCCTATCTTTCTCTTCACTTCCCCCTTTCGTGTACTAAAATTTTTTTTTGTGTCCTTATCTTGGGTTTGGATGACATACCCCGACCATTGACGGCGAGATGTCATACAAATCGTTAGGCATGGGAGAAAGACGTCGAGCACGTCACAAACCGGCGCCGTCAGAGGAGCCGCCACATGTGTGACCAGTCTCCCCCTCATTGCCGCCATTTCGGCACTTGAAAAGCCTCCCGATGCATCAGAGCAAGGGCCGCGAAAAGGGGTCGCGTTAGAGGTTTGGCAGATGGGTCTCGTTGGAGGGCCCGTCACTATCGAGGAGGGGTGCAGATGATGTTGAAGAATTGCAACAGACAGACGATCACGGCTATTGAGGGTCTATCAAATGTGAGACATCCCCAGTCATGTTAATATGTGTCTTCGTCTCTATCATGTATCTCGTTACAAGCTGTACGTGCCAGAGCCGACCAGCATTTTGTCTATCATTGTCCCGTCATTCCCGGGTATGCGCCCGGTATCAAAGCACTGCTTTAAGCAAGATTAAAGATCAGCAGTCTTCATATTACTCGAGATTTCTTCTTTGCAGACTTTCTCCCTGTCGTGAATGATGATTATCGTAGCAACGTCAGGCATTCGTTCGAGATATCCTTGACTCTGGGTTCGATGGCAGAGTCCTTTGCGCGCTCCACAGGTTGAATGGCAGACTTGGCTGCATCTTTGCCCAGTACCGTGGCCAGCGTGCCCGTAGCCACGAGGGATCGGAATATCACCTCACTGTCCTTCTGCGTTGATAGCAAGTGGCCAACAGCCTCCAGTAGCTTGGCAAGAACATCTTGTGGCAGACTAGTACCCTTCGAAGCCAGGACAGCGTAGTTAATAGCCACAGTGCTCAGAGCGATGAGGAGGTTACGGTTGAACTTTCCAATCGCTTGTCCGCCCCCAAGACCTAAGGTCCTACCAATGAATTCGATGGTGCGAGTTGCTTCTTCAGGCTGTGAAACGACCTTTCTACCTTCCGAAGTCGAGAAAAGATTTGCGATTGTACGCAAGGCCATCATAACGCTGTTCTCGTTGACCTGTCCCCCGGCAGGGATGCCTTCCGTGGCAGCATCGATCGCAATGTGAACAGGGTTGCCAGCACGTGAGCTGCTTGCAAGTAGAGGCGATGTCGCTGTGCATCGGAAAATATCTAGTGGTGCAAGCCTATCCGAGTAGTCCCATCCTTTGCAAATTTTGACCAAGATATCGAGCGCATCTTCGTCTTGCACGGGTTTGTTCGACTCCAAGGATTGACGCAACGAGCTTAATAGATTCTGAGCCGAAGGGTTGAGAGAGATATCCTTTCTGCCAGCGGAAACAAGGCCCGAATTTACGCTCAGGATCTTCTTGAAGATGGCTGCAGCACTGGGTTAGAATGATATTCCCAAACTTAGTGGCAGCGTCTCACTTACGTTCGTACTTGGCTGCAGTGATAGTGAGAAACTCTGTCTGGGGTAGAGCCTTGGGTCTTGATGGAGTCTCCGCTTCGCCCGGTCGGTAACGAGATTCTGTTCCCAACGGATCGGGGCCGCCTGTACTTTCCCCTCCAAGTGTTGCACCTTGAGTGTTCTTTACAATAAACTGCGCGACTTGGTCAAGATAGTTCGGGGACAGTTCATTGTCATTAATGAACTTGGTGGCTGCGTCGTAAGGGTTGTCGGAGAGATTGTATGGCAGTTTCAGCGATGGCGCACCCTCCTCAATGGCGACATCAAAAACAAAATCGTACTCCTTGCCATTGTGAGTCGCCTTGCGCCCGCTGCTTGCAGCAGAATCAACCACGGTGCCAACGTTGACCCAGGTCTGAGCAGCCATTGACCATGTATGTGCTGATATTGAACCGTTTGTTTCCCTAATCATCTGAACCTGACCCTCCTTAGTGCCTGCTTTCGAGGTCAGGAAGTCCGGGCCGGGAAGCTTTTCCTTGTTGATGTCGCCCATGGTCTGCTGCGGTATCGAGGAGGCCTTGACTGCCTCGTCGAACAACTGGATTGTCTCGGCACTAGCGACGCGATCAGCGCTTCTTGTGAAGATACGTACGACACCGTCGCTTGTGCCAGACACAATGTCTCCAGTCTGCTCGTTTACGGCTACTGTCCAAACAGATATGGCAGGATGTGTGATAGTTTGAACGCAGTCGGTTCCTTTCCAGATGCGAACAGTTCTGTCTTCGCCAGCGCTGACAATCTCGCCAGATGGCAAGGCCTTCAGGCGGTAGACGAAGCTTTCGTGGCCGTGGAGCTCTCCTACGAGTTGTCCGCTTAGCTTCCACAGACGAATGATGCCATCGTTGTGTCCACTGGCGATCTCAGCGCCTGTAGGGTGGTTGGCGGGCAGTCGGCACAAGCCTCGGACGATATCAGGTGTCTGGATGGTGGCCCGGGCCTCGACAGTACCATCTACGGCCTTGCGCAGGTCGAAGATGCGAATGCTCTTGTCGGCGCATGCGGTAGCTACGGCGTTGTCGCTCAAGGGCAATACGTCCCAGACCGCGGCGTCGTGACCGGTTAGGACTATTTCGCTTTCCCAGCTGTCGGTGCTCCATACCCTGGCAGTTTTATCCCAGCTGCCAGAGACAAAGTACTTGCCACTGGCAGCGGCGGCCAAAGCGCTTACGTTGTTGGCGTGGCCAGGCAGGACTCGATCGGCGTCATCGGTGAAAGTAGAAGTGGGCTTCCTTACATCGAGGCACGGGTCCTTGCCTCCGGAAACGACGAGACCGTCGGGAAATTCCTGATTAGGGGGGAGGTAAGTTACGGAGTTGAGATATGCGTCGATCTTATTCAAGATGGTGCCCTCGTATGCGGGGGGTGAAGTCGAAGTCCGTTTCCATAGTCTGGCCGTGTGATCTCTCGAGACAGATAGGACAGCTTCGGGAGCCGGGAAGACGAGGTCACGGACCTGGATAATGTAGATGTTAGAGGACGGTAGAATAAGCGTCTGGAGAAACCCACATCACTGTCGTGGCCGGCCAGCTGGGCCGACAGCTTGAAGTCGCCCATGATGTATGTAGCTGGCTGGTCCAATAGCTTGTGAGTGCTTGATGGAGTGGTCTCTGGCGGGGTAGTCGGGAAGCGGACGTCGTGTACTGTACGACGGGAAAGCAGACTCAAGTAATCTAAATACCAGTTTGTGAATGGCAACTCTGTGTGCAGATGCTGAATGAAGAAGTCAGGGCGCGGTGGCCAGAAAGAGAGCGCGCGAGAGAGAGAGGTTGGTTTTCAAAGACCCAACATTTACGAAGGTAACTGTAGTCTGTAGGTACTGCTGGAATAAGCAACGGAATCAGATCGAATAGCCACCCGAATAGTCGTCACCCCTTCCCGGGGGGCCACCTGCGGGTTATTGACGTTAGCTAGCTATGGTGGGGCTCGGTGCCGCCATGCCACCGCCTCCAGCCTAGCGGCGTGTGTACAGTACTGTAGGTTAGGTTAGTTACCTGGATCTGATCTGGCCGCCCGTACCCTCTTACAGTGAACGCTCGCAGTCACCGAACACTTTGACTGAAAGCTGAAGTTAAGGATACAGTATGAGCGAGTAAATAAGATAGATGTTCAAGTAAATCACTGGGCAGATATCAAAAGCCATGTGTCCAGAGACGTTGCCCTTACCAATAACGGTTCTTACAGCACTTGCCGATCTCTCAAAGATCCCCCTACACACATGAGCGGCCTTCTGACTCGTGAATGGTGACATGAGAGATGTCCATTTCCTCCAAGCCGTCTCGGTGTGTTCGGTGTATTGTATACATACCCCTTGGGCATGTAAGGCAAGCGAGCCCACAAACTCGGTGCCCCTCCTTCGCACTGAATGTGAGTGACATAACCGGCCTGCCCAAAGCTCGTTCAGGGACCCTGACCCGCCAGTGTTTCATCATTGGCAGCCAGGATAATCGAGCCGGCCTTCTCGAAGCTCTGCAGAGAAGTTTCTCTTTCACGATTCACCACTCAACCTTGCGCGCGCAAACCACAATTCCTCGGGCCTGCTTTCCTTCCTGGCACAAAACCCACTGCCCTCATCTTACGAACCTTACGATTGAACGCTTATATACATTCCTTCCAAACCACCTCGACAGGCCCGCTCACGCCTCCAGATACACACCCTCACCCTCACCCTCACCCTTCACCCTCACCCCTTAGCCCCTTCGCCATGGCTGCAGATGCCCCTCGGCAATGCGTCCCTTTGACCTGCCACGGCCACTCGCGCCCCGTCCCTCATATCGCCTTTTCCGGCCTGCAGAAGGATGGAGGTTACTACCTGATCTCCGCTTGTAAAGGCGAGTTCGCTACCACCCTCTCGTAGTCCGTTGCTTTAGCTTACCTTTTCCGCCCATCCAGACAACAACCCCATGCTTCGCGACGGCCAGACTGGAGATTGGATCGGTACCTTTATTGGACACAAGGGCGCAGTCTGGCAAGCAAGATTGAGCCACGACGCATCCTCCGCCGCGACTGCCTCGGCCGATTTCACTGCCAAGGTCTGGGATCCTCATACTGGTGAATGCCAATACACCATCGCCCACAACCACATTGTCCGAGCCGTGGCATACCCACCCGACAGCTCCGACCTCATTGCTACCGGTGGCTATGAAAAGAAGCTGCGCATCTTCGACTTGTCTGAGGCATCCGTCTCTGCCCCTCCAACAAACCCCGAAAACGGCGATGGCAAGGCCGCCGACGGTGTCGCAATCAAGGCCGAGTCTGGCTTTGAGATCGGCGCCGGAACCCATCAGGCCTCCATCAAGTTCATCGTCTGGACAAGGGACTCGAATATTCTCGTTACTGCTGCTGGCAACACTCTGCGCTGGTTCGACCTCCCCTCCCGCAGCGTGATCAAGGAGGAGATTCTAGACGGCGAGATTGGCTCCTGCGAGTTCAATTCTCCTGCTCCAGAGCTGCTCGAGAACTCGGACATCGGTGCTGGCTTGCCTGTTCTTGCTGTTGCTGCTGGCAAGACCGTCTACTTCTGGGGCGGCCCCCAGGCCATGGACGAGCTCAAGCGCGCCAAGCTGGGTTACAAGGTTGCCAGCGCTGCTGTTGATACCAAGGGCAGAAGATTCATCGTTGGTGAGGATACTCCATCTACCTGGGCTCGAGTCCATCGGTGGGACGACGACAGCGAATACGGTATGTTTTGAACTGATCCCCGTGGCTTCCATGGCTTGAGTATATTACTAACTCTCTTCAGACATCCACAAGGGCCACCACGGCCCCGTATGGTCATTGGCTTACGCACCCGACAACAAGCTCTACGCCACTGCCTCCGAAGATGGTACTATCAAACTGTGGAAAAACTGCGATGGACCATATGGTCTTTGGCGACTCGGCGACGCGCAGCCCGCTGCCTAGGATGGCGGCGTGCCTCTTCAACGAAGTTCGTCCAGAGACGTCAAGTCTTATAGTAACGAGAACGAATGTCCCTTGCAGATAGGGGTACCGGGGCCAACCATTTTTGACCCTCAAGACGATTATGTCCTCGTCGACAAGAAGGTGCCCAAGCCTAAGCGCTGCATATCATTGCGCGATACAGAGGGGCAGCCTTCATCCCCGGCCACCATGACCAGGAAAGTTGCCACCGAAGGCTAGTCAGTCTCTTACGATTGACTGGTCTTGGGAGTTCTAACGTGAAGAATCGTCTCATATATTGACGATCCCAAATACGTATTCTCAACTAGCCCTTATGATTATGCTCCGGATGTAGTCGATGTTGATGTTACCCGAGCATTATGTTATCAAATATCCACAGCGAATGCGTATTTTGGGCAGATAGGAAGCAGATTTTAGATGTATTAATCAAAGCACCTATCAAAGCTATTATGTTTCACTGCAAATGAGATTTCAAGTAGTTTTGAAAACAAAGCGTCTTTTGTTTTAGACTGGCATCTTTATCAGTCACTAGAGGATGCCTTTTTGTAGAACTCCTGTCAAAATCCTTCGAAAGGCCGTTGGTACCTCAACGGTGGTATGCCGAGGAGAAGCACCTACATCTCCATTACTATCACGTCCTTTCAGATTGTCCTCTCTCGAGAAGTAATTCCTGTGCAGTTGACTTGGTCACGTTCAGTACACGTAAACACATGCTTTCGAGCCTCCCAAATATTGTTGAGACTAACTAACCGCTCCAAGAATAGGCAATCAATCTACTTACAAAATGCTTCATGGTCTTGCTTGTATAATACGAACTCATATTTATAGCCGAAAGACAACACGATATGTGTACGTACAAGCCCCTAAAACGACACAGAGACGCAAGTGATGCAGTAGTTGCGTACTGACCAATCTGCCAACCAACCTTTTGTCCCCGTCTCAGCTGCATCGACCGTTCATCGAGTCTCTGTTTTCGTCATACAAATGTCAGCTCATGTTCTTCATGATCTCAAATAGTGCCACTGAACTAGTGCAAATAAAATAAAGCTTATATGACTTGCTCTTTCCTCGCGAGCTAAGCACTCTTTGATGGATCGAAGGAGTCTGTTCAGTCCACGAATCTCGTCTTGAGCAAGCGTGTTGACGCCAACGGCATATAGCGTATCCATCTCGCTGACTGGTCTGCTGCTCACGTCGAGGGCGGCTGTCAAGTTATGGGCCCTGCCGTGAAGTTTGTTTACTTCGTGGAGCATTGCCAAACGGGCAGCCCGAATATTTCCTTCCGAAGATCTGTGAGCCGTAGTGTTAGTTTAGCAATCTCGATTTCGTATCTTTGGTGGATGAAAGACATGTTGAGAAAGGAAGCGGGACCTGCTAGAACCTGTGGACTATTTATTTTAAGCATACAATATTGAAAGGCTGATTCACTCAACACTATCTCGGTGAAACATAATATCCACATCTATACCGAGTACATCCAACAACACACGGTTTCCTTGGGAAGATGTGATGCTGCGTCGAGTAGATTGTTTGACTGACGACTAGCATTTAGCTTTAATTAAATAGGCCACAACTGTTGATGTGGTGTTGAGGGTCAATGAGTGGCTGAGAAGAATATATCTCGTATCATTCACGAATATTGAAGCAAAAAGTAATTTTGGTTTGTGATAATAGCCACCATCAGCTCTGACAAAGCAAGCCTGAACTACGGTTAGCTTGATTACTTGTTGAGAAAAACAAATGGTATATATTCTATGAGCTAGTTTCACTCAATTCTTTTCACTCAAGTATGACCCAGTGGACTGTGCTGTTGAGTCGGTTATAGGGAGTCATTCCTCTACCGACGATTGAATGTGATGGGCCTGTGCGAAAATCCCCTTCACAATAGAAAGGCCGCCACGAGGAGTCGCAAACTCCTTGCAGGACATTGGATATCTTGTAGTTCTGCAGAAATGTATTTCAAGTCTTCAGCGATAACAACTGCTTGTCTGAAGGATCCGTAATACTAAACATGCCGAGCTGGTTCTGTCAAAGTCTTGGATGATGACCTTTGCCCTTAGATATATATTCTAGACTAACGAGCTACTAGAGTTTGGTCATTGGTCTAATCGATTGAGCCAGGCGTCAGAAACCTCGTAGAAAGTTCTAGGAAAATAACCTCAAGATATGGATGGATAACATATGGCAATGGGAAGTTGTGACAGTTGTGCTCCTGCCTTGCGTATTGACATCAAACAGAGAAGGCTTGTGTTTCCGCAGGACTTGGTCCTCATGGATTGGAATACGCAAAAGTGGCTTGAAGTCTTTGAGACATCTGAGAACAGATCAGTAGGCCAAAGTAGTTGGGACCCACATAATCCCAGGAGTAAATTGGTATAACAAACCCTTTTTGAGGAATATAAGACTGGAAAACAATTAACGGCGACAAATTAAGTCATAAACTTGCAGAGGTGAATAACAGACTATGGGTATTCACGGAGTCTCAACATTTTCCTACTCTACGAACAATCTTGATGCAAACAACCATGACATTACACGAGTTTATAACACTGGCTTGGATTCAACATCTACGTAGAACGATTTCGTACACCGATAGCTTACATACAATAATGACATGATCTAGTAAACCCATGGCAGACGAAATATTGGCTATTCAGTTGACATGACATAGAAGAGCCGTCATCTTTCTCTGTCTGCGCTAAGTAAAACCCATCAGAAGCCGCGAGGAACAATCACGCATTATGACAGGGCCTCGGTGTCAAGCATTATGATGTCGTGGCTTTACTCGCTATGTATTAAATGGCTTCATGGCCTTGAGAGTGTATTGTACATCTTTCCAAAAAAAAAAAAACCCCCCCTTAGGTTCGAGACCTGAAGCAGCAAGAATATCTCAAAATCACGACAAACTGCTTGACTCGAATAGACATTCCATGCTCTGGTTCTATCTTCCTTCTAATTTAAAAGTGCTGCCTACTCGTTGATGTGAAGCTATATTAGTCTTCATATTTTGTAGTTGCTTTAGAAAAACTTCAAGCCCTTTACATTGTTCGACTTTGGCAATTTCCTACAACTCGAGGGCTGCTTCCCGTAACACGTTCCCTTGGTAAATCAATCCCAACTGGTTGAATAGTGGTTTCATGATAACACCTGTTTCCTACATTATTCACGGTTACCTTTGGTGTATACACTCAGGTGATTTGGGAGTACTCGAGTAGCTCTCTGTGCCGTGCATTTAGGTCCAATTTGGCCTATCGATTATCTCCAGTGAAGCACTACCCATTGAACTGCCAAATTATGCCAGTCGCGACTTCTCAGTCAATCTGATTTCGCGTCATACTTGAACCAAATTTACTCGGCTGAACATCACACTTTAAACCACCACATCCAACTCGGATAGCTCTACTTTTCCTTTCGATTTCATCTGAACACCACCCGAATAATTTGGGATCATCTCACCAAACCATATCGCCTTTAAATCATCACACGCGCTCTCCGGCCTTCATCTCTTCTTGGTTGCAATGCCGTGGTCTGATCAGACCGGTCGCATCATGAAGAGGCCAGAGGATTACTCCAAGAACCCAAACACCATCCGAGCTCGAGCTCGCAAAGCCCGTCTCGATCCCTTCACCCGTGAGATCGAGCAGGCAAAAGCCTCCGACTCAAAGGCTGTTACTCGAGCCTGGAAACTTCGCATCAAGACTGATGAGTACAAGGATGCTTCCCCCAATGTCCGCAAAGCTATGCTTGAGGAGACCGAGTCAGAGGTTATGGAACGTCGGTAAGCAATCCAGCCCTCGGTCAGGAAGTTTCAAAATCGAAGCAATTCGCAAAAAAAAAGAAAGCCCCCCTCGTCCAGCTCGATACTGCTGTTGTTTATCATCCCATGTATCACCACTTTGATTACTACATAGCACCACAAGCATCTGGATTCACGAGATAACTTGGCTGACCTTTTCTTCTTCTTTTTTCCCTAGTAAGAGTAGGGGATATGACGCCGACAGCAAGATCGACCGATTCCGTCGCATCAACGGCGCTGCAGTTTCAGGTTCACCACCCATCGCCGGTGCTCCCATACTAATGCATCCTTACGGAGGCACCATGACGCCTTTTCCGGGCTACATGCAGCCTATGGCTCAGATGCAGCCGGCTCCGTTTACTGGCCAGGTAGGCACCCAGTTCGCCACCCCTGGTTCCTACTACGGTCATGTCATGCCGAGCATCGAGGATCCGCGAGCTGTGACTAAGGCTCCACACTCGCAGCAGAATCTTCGTGACGGCACACCTCTGAGCGCTCAGTCCTCGTTCGACCAATATCCTCACAGTCCTCTCGAGCAGCACGACGAGGTCGACGCCGCTTCCGATGCTGTCACCAAGGCTGGTCTCCAAGCAGAGGTCAAGAAGTTGAAGTTCCAGAACAAAATGCTTGATAAAGCCATGATCGGTTTGACGAATGACTTAGTTCTGACCAAGAATACCCTTCGTTCCCAGGATCTTCGTATGAATCAGCTGGAGGAGCGCATGCAGATATACCATGGTACCACTAGTGGTCTCGCCGGTGCTGAGGCCGACTTCACTCGACAGGGTAACGCTGTCCGACGATTCATCATGGGTGTTCAGCGCATGACCGCAGTCGCAGCTGAAGTCTGGCCTACCTCTGGTAACGACAGTCTCAACAAGCTTGGTGCCAATGGTGTCACGAATGGAATTTACCAAGATGGTGTTCGCAAAGACATGGAAGAATCAAAGCCCGTCTTAGGTCTTTTCTACAAGCCCAACAGTGCCACAGTCGTGAAAAGCACCGCACATCAAAACGGCAGCACCGGCGCCGCCAAGGATGGTGGTGAGGTGGAGGACGCCGACATGACCGACGCAGAGGGCGGCGGAGATACCAACGGAATCATGGGCAATGTTGAGAAGGCTGTTGGTGATTGTGCCACTAATGATTGATTATTCAGCGGCGCATACGGTTGAGCCTGGTCGCTTGATCTGGACTTCTCCTGGCGATATGGTTATGGAATATTTTCGACCACTACGGAGTCGCATCTCCCACCACGTCTTATACATCCCAGAATTGGAACATTGTACTGGTGGAGAGCAATTTTGCGAGGGTTTTTTGTTTCTTTTTCTTTTCTTTTTGGCAACAGATCACTACATACCCTCTGGAGTGTATGTTGCATTTTGATGATGATAGTATCGATTCGTAGCTTTGACTTATTACATTGTTCCAAGTTCAATCATGGCTTGGGCATTTCTGCAGGAACAAACCCATATTTTCTAGCTGGTACCGCATTGACTTTGTTGCCTATTTTGAATGATGTCTCAGTTCGACGGTCGATAGGGCGTCTTCCTCATTGTAGTGCATAGTGTCCGGATGATCTGCTACTCACAGAACAGAGCCGTTGGGCTTGTTAGTAACTGGCTGTGATTGCGGCTCCGTGATATTAAAATATCCAGGACTATTTAATTGATCCAGACCTCAGGATTCGACCAGCCGATAAGTCGCCTTCGATGTAACCCTGCGTAATTATATACAATGTATATCTCAGCACTGCCGCTGCGACTCTTATGAGCTAATCTTTCACATACTCGGTTCAGAATTCTAGCACAGGCTTATTATTCGGAGGTGTCAAACTAGCGGTAAAATATCATTTTCCGCATTTCATGCATGCTGGTATCTATGTACAATTCCAGTATTATTCTTTGATTGTCGTGTCTCCGTTGCATTCCATCCCAATATTAGTCTATGTAATCCTTGCGTAAGTCGTCAAACAAGTCGTCAAAAAAAAAAGAAGAAAAAAGTTACATGTGCTCATCATAACCAAAAGTTCGCATCGCCATACTGCGGACTTCTCTTAACGGCTGCCGAAGATGCTGCTTCGAAAACGAGCACCGAAACCACCTTTCTGCGATGCCCGCCCAAATGACTGCTGAGAGCTCATCCGCCGCTGCACTGGCGGCGGCTCAAAATCCTCCTCGTCATAATCATCCTCATCATCTCTCACACTCATGGGGCGTTGCATACCAGGTCGTTGCTGCTGCTGCTGCTGCTGCTGCTGCTGCTGTTGCTGCTGCTGTTGCTGTTGTTGTGGCTGCTGCTGTGGCTGCTGCGGCAATTCTCGATGGATTGGCGGCTCACCACGCATCGCGCGCTCTACGTCCTGATACTGGCGATGGTAGTCATCGTGCTTGTTCTTGGCATCGACGTAGCGCATCTCTGCCTTGGCCCTCTGGTCCTGCAAGGCGCGGATCTCCGCGTCGAGACGTGACATCTCGTCCTGCTCCTGGCGCATGAACCCGTTGTACTCGGTGACCTTCTTCTCCAGGGGCTGCAGCACACAGCTCATGACGCTGGGACTCTTGAGTCGCTGGATGGCGGCGCCGGCACTCTGGGGAGTCAGGGACCCCGAGGACGTAGGCCGGCCCTCCTGTCGCTGTGGAGAGTCCCGCTCTGTCTGGGTAGGCGAGTCCTTCAGCTGGCCTGCCGAAGTGGTAGGACGAGCGCTGCGGCGGGCTTCCCGACGTGCAGATTTGTGGGCATCGTCGCCCCTGTCGCCCTTTCTGTCAACAAGCAGCTCTTCAGACCGGCTTCCATTGTATGATGGAGGGCGCGACCTGTTGCTTGCTGACCGCTGAGGGACAAACACGTTGGTAACTGGTGGCCGGCTCTGGTCTTCCGGACCACTGTGATGACCGTCAGGCATTCTACGTGGTTGTTGCTGCTGCTGTAGGAGTAGTTGTTGTTGCTGCTGCTGCTGTAGTTGCTGTTGCTGCTGTGGTGACATTTGTGCTCCAGGATTTATCCCACCAGGTCCTCTGTTATTTTCCAGAAAACTGTAGAAATCATCATGGTTGTCGAAGCGGGCCTGTTTTGCACGGAAAGCTGCATCTTCCAAGTCGCGGGGTCCGCGAGCTCTAGTAGGAGAATTCATGGCTGCAGTAGCGGGATATTGTGCAGTTGTATCTTAAGACCCCAACGGATAACCGTAGAAAAGATCTTCGAGAATCTGGGGATCTTCAAGAATTTCCGGGAGGAGTTCTTGACAGGGCCAGAAATACTATTTGGGAAAGTTGCCCTGGATAATTGCCAATTGGGCCCCAAGATTCTTTAAGATACGAAATTGCCAGGAGGCTGGTTTACTAGACCCGCAACCCAGCCTCCAGTTTGCCAGGTTTTGGTGGGCCAAGACGCGGCCATCCGTTGCACAACGCGCATAGAAGTGTACAACCACATTATTTTTCATTTGCTCTTCGCAATTTTATTCGTTCCAGATGCCTGCCTCCTGCTAATTCCTAGTCGCATATGCAGGTAATACGATTAAATAAGGTTGTGGTGGCGTGGTTTCCTGCAGTAAAGCAATTGGCTGGGTGGGGATCTCCGCCGAGGAGCCCTGGAGGCCTTCAGCTCGTTATCCCGATGGCTGCAGGGCGTCGACGCAGACCCGAAACTCCGGGGTGAGATTGCTCTCTACGCGTAACATCTCGCATTCTTGCAGAACAATTCAAGTTATATAATTTATCGTCAACGCGTCGAGGCTGGCGATATTTAAGGCTGCGTGCGTATGCCTATGCCTGCTTTGAAGTTGCCTTCGCATTCGTGCCCTACTTTCTTCAACCTGCGGCCACAAATGGTAGACAGATCACCATGTGGTGTCAAGTGAACGCAGATGAGCATATAATAGAGTTAGGGAAAGTTTTAGCGGCTGTCATCTTGCGTTGTCTGTTGCATCACACATTGGACTCAAGCCTGCTCTCCTGGTATCATTATCAACAATATAGGGTTCTTGAACACTATTTATTCACACTCAAAAGCAAAGATCTGGTGACTAATACGGAAGCTTTCCGGGCAATGTTTATTATTTAGGTTTCAACCTGCACTCATTGAGTTGTCTCACAGTATGCCAACATGTCAAAACTTTTGCGAACGTCTTGAACTCCAGATCATGCACTCCATCCTGGAACGCGGACAAATCTGGGGTCGATGCGTATGCCGAAACTATCACACCAAAGCTGTTTTCTGAAGCAAAGCCAGGCCTGCTCTTTCTCCAGCCGCTTGTCTCTCGTCTTAACGGCATTCTCTTAACAGTTCGATGTGTTTCACGGAAGTGAGTGATATTCTATGAGTGGGAAACAGCTTGATCCTATGCAACTGACCAAGTCAATGTTATCCTTATTCCACGACCAATCGTTACATCTCTGATGTCTGACTTGAAAATGGTCCTTTTCCCAAGCGACCGACAGATATCTAAACGGGACTCTTCCGGTAGATTGAGGTGCGTATATAATATAGAGAGCATCGTATCAAACGTATCCTACTCAGGATGCTGGCTGACTAAAGTACTATGCAGAGGATATTATATTCGCCGGGTGGAGTTGAGGCGATCCACGGATGAGGCGGTAAAGATTGCGGCGGGGTAAGTATTGGCCATTTTGAGTCTTGGCGGCTCAGATTGGCGCTAGACTAGTATACACAGTATGCTTATCCAGGGGCGACTCAGCGACGTCTTCATCGAATGCTCATCCGAACGGCTGACGTCTCAAGCGATTGGCGGAAGCGAGTCCCGAATTTCACACCCTCCTTATGATTGGCAATCAAAGCGGATAGAGATCCGTGCTTGTTGGGCTGATGAGACTCGATTTCACTGGTTATTTCCTCATGGTGCGATTATAAATACGCTTGGTCAAAAATGGAACCAATTCCGTTGCAACTGACTAGGAAAGACGTCATAGAAGCCAATGATCCACCCAAATGCGAAACTCTGAGATCATTACGAAGCAATATCCTACGGTTGTGTTGAAATATATATAAAGAATAAATAGGACGCAATTATTAGGAAAATCTACATCAATTTCCCGAAAGTATACTTGAGTTTGTTTAGAAGATATCCCCATACACCGTGTACAACCCCACTAGATATAGATAAAATCTCAAGATGGTCTCAAACAGAATTGAAGGCGAGCCCACGGATGCGGCCCCTCTCGGCAAGCCGTTGAAGTTCGAGTTCAGCGGGAAGACCGCCAGCAACCGGTTTTTGAAGGCTGCAATGACTGAGAGATTATCATCATGGGACGCCAAGGACCTACCCAAGCGAGGTATTCCCTCCAAAGAACTCATCAACGTCTACAAGCGCTGGGGCGAGGGCGGATTTGGGGTGATTCTTACCGGAAATGTCATGGTTGACTATGACCAGCTCGAGGCTGCCGGCAACCCCATCGTCCCCCGGGAAGCAGAGTTCTCGGGCGAGCGCTTCGAGGCGTTCAGGGAGTTGGCTACCGAAAGCAAGAAGCAAGGCAGCCTCATCGTCGCACAGGTATCCCACCCAGGTCGCCAGGTCTCTGACAATATCAACCCTCACCCGATCAGTGCCAGCGATGTTCAGCTGGAGGGTAATGTAATGGGTATGACCTTTGCCAAGCCTCGTGCTATGGAGAAGAAGGATTTCGATGCAGTGATTGGTGGATTTGCACATGCAGCCGAGTTCCTTTACAAGGCTGGCTACGACGGTGTTGAGTTGCACGGGGCACAGTAAGTTGGAATCCATGCGCAAAATTGACATGTGTTGCTAACGACGATGAAGCGGTTATCTGCTAGCACAGTTCCTGTCGCCAACCACAAACAAACGTACCGATCAGTACGGCGGTTCCTTGCTGAACAGGGCTCGCATCATCTTTGAAATCAGTGATGCCATCCGCGAACGTGTCCCAGACAAGTCCTTCAGCATCAGCATCAAGTTGAACAGTGTCGAGTTCCAAGACGGTGGCTTTTCGACCGATGACTGCAAGGATCTCTGCGTCGAGCTTGAGAAGCACAACTTTGACTTTGTTGAGCTTTCCGGTGGTACTTACCAGTCCTTGGGTTTCCAGCACAAGCGTGAGAGCTCTAAGAAGCGCGAGGCTTTTTTCCTGGACTTCGCTGACGCCATTGTGCCACAACTCAAAAAGACAAAGGCTTATGTTACTGGTGGCTTGAGAAGCGTGGATGCAATGGTCAAGGCTTTGGGTAGCGTCCATGGCGTAGGACTGGCTCGTCCCATTAGTCATGAGTTTGACCTGCCGAACAAGATATTGGCCGGAAAGGTCAATGGTGCTCTTGACTACAAGCTCGATGAGCAGGACTTTGGTATTACCAACGTCGCTGCTGGTACACAGTAAGTCATCCTTTATCGACTCTAAATGCATTACGAGTTACTTGAATACTGACGTTCGGCAGAATCCGACTTGTTGGCAATGATAAGGAGCCCCTTGATTTGACACAAGACAAATACCTTGATGTGTTCAAGAAGTCCATGGAACAGTGGGGCAAGGAGATGGCAGAGGACAAGAACCAAGCAAAGTATGGTTATGTCGATATCCGGGGAACTGAGCTGAAGCCTTACGGCACGTCGTATGCTGCAGCATAGACCCCTCAAGATCTAGCGTAATTATCCATCTAACAAAAAGCAAATATTGCATGGGATTTATAATGATAGTCCAAGAAAATTAACAAGTCACAACCGGTTTCGCCCAAGAATCGTGGAACAAACCATTGCAAGCTTTTCGACTGTATAGTATCGCAGGCAGGCTTTAATGCTGTGCCCTGTAGCAACTAGGCAGAGCTAGGTTAGGTGGTGTAACAGGCTACATCGGTGTCAAGATCAGTGCTAGCAAGCTTGGCAACGAATACCATGACAGAAAGAAACCACCTAAATAGACACCTAGTTGGAGGATAAACTAACCTAGAAATATCGCAGCCACTGCCGAATAGATGCCTTATGTAAATGCGCACCTGGTTTCTCTTGTATGTGACTAATACTACAGTGGCCCACTCCATTTCATGGAATGCAACGAATTGAAGGGACCTTTATCCTGGTGCCTGCGCCGCGAAACTGCAGGCTGCGGTTTACCATCAACACAATTGTATCCGAGCTAGCAAAGTTGACTTTGTGCCTGCCAAGCAACCAATCATGGCTTCAGATTAAAAGGCAATCAACTTAGAGCCCCAGGCTGATGACTCAAGTGATCACTATATAACAACAAGTTGCAAGCACATTTCATACTGTCAACTTTTTTGACTGTAACAAAACTATTTAAAACCAGCCGCCATCACATTTCTATAAACTTTTCGGAGATATCAAGCCTCAGCAGGTTTACTGACTCTGAATCTGCAGCAAGTTGGGCCTAATCTAATCGACAACCACCTCTTAACGAACCCTTTCCAAAGTGCGCAAAATGACTATTGCTGGGTTCTACTATATTGACCCGTCAACTCGGCGGCAGAGGTATTTACCTCAAGCTCGGGTAGAGGCCCATGCTTCCATCCTGTCGACAATCTCAAGGACTACTCTTACGCAGACTTTCATGGGGTCTTCAGACCAGATTCCAGAGCTCAGGTACTCCTTCCCACTCTATGATGGAGTCAGTGTTGTCGGCTTTACCTGTACAATTGGCAAGCGCGTCATCAAGGGGGTTGTCAAGGAGAAGCATAAAGCGCGGCAGGTCTACAAAGAGGCTGTTGGCCATGGACTGACAGCCGGCCTTCTAGAGCAGTTGCCAGAGTCATCCGACGTCTTCACGACGACCATAGGCAACGTTCCCGGCGGCGCGGAGATCCAGGTTGAGGTCGTCTACTTAGGCGAACTCAAGCACGATGCACAGATCGACGGCATTCGCTTGACGATCCCCACGAGTATTGCACCTCGATATGGCTCCTATCCTGGAGAGTTGGCTACTCACGCTCCTACGAGCGGAAGTATGAAGGTCGTAGTCGACGCGGAAGTCCCCACTGGATCACACATCACTTCGATCCAATCGCCCTCTCATCATCTTGCTGTAACGCTGGGCCAGCTGTCAACTACCACTGGAGCCGAACCATCGTTTCAAAGAGCTTCGGCTACCTTGTCTCTCAGCACCGCCGAGCTTGACAAAGATTTCGTATTGCAAGTTAGAGCAACGAATACCGGCAATCCCAGCGCCATTCTGGAAGAACATCCGACCATCCCCAACCAGCGAGCATTAATGGCAACGTTGGTGCCAAAGTTCCAACTACCACCCGAGAAGCCCGAGATCATATTTGTGTGCGACCGAAGCGGAAGCATGGCTGGTACAAAGATGGAAAACCTCAAAACCGCCCTCCGTCTCCTTGTCAAGTCCCTACGCGTGGGGATGAAATTCAACATCTGCAGCTTTGGAAACCACCACTCATTTCTGTGGAAACGGTCGCACACCTACGATGAGTTCAGCATGAACAAGGCGATGAAGCACATTGAGACCTTCGACGCGAATTTCGGTGGAACGGAGATGTACCAGCCCATTGAAGACTCTTTTAAACGCCGGTACACGGATATGAATCTTGAGGTCTTTCTACTTACCGACGGCGAAATCTGGGATCAAGGCCGGCTCGTGGGGTTGATCAACGAACATGTCTCTACCAGCAATGGTGCGATTCGGCTTTTCAGTCTTGGGATCGGTCGTGCTGCTAGTCATGCCTTGATGGAAGGGGTCGCACAGGCTGGAAACGGCTTTTCCCAGTCCGTTACCGACAACGAAGAGATGGGCAGTAAAGTTGTCCGCATGCTTAAAGGTGCAACTTTTCCTCACATCAAGCAGTACACATTGGAAGTCAAGTATGCTAGTGAACCGCGAGATGACATAGGCGACGAGTTCGAAGTCGTTGAAGGTGTTTCTGACGGCCCGGTGACTGCGTCATCGACACCTTCGTCCACGTCAGCTCTCCCTGCAGAGCCTCCGAAGCCGATCATTTCGCTATTCCAAGCGTCCATCGACCAAGATGTTGAGATGAAGGACGCGGGCGATGAGGAACGATACTCGGGACTCCCGAACGTGTCACCTCCGAAGTTTCTACAAGCGCCCTTTGAAATACCTACTCTCTTCCCGTTCAATCGTACCAGTGTTTACTTGCTCATGTCCCCATCAAACAACTTGAGTCCCAGGTCGGTTGTTCTAAAAGGTGATTCCATACACGGAGCTCTGGAGTTGGAAATCCCCATCACGGTTCTTGAGCAAAAGGGTGAAACTATCCACCAACTCGCGGCCAAAAAGGCCGTTGGTGAATTAGAGCGAGGAAAAGGGTGGATATATCATGCCAAATCAGTTGAAGAGCCCACAAAGCTTCTCAAGGAGAAGCATGATGGACACTTCCAGGACATGGTCGAACGCGAGGCCGTCCGTTTGGGTGTTCAGTATCAGATTGGTGGGAAATGGTGCTCTTTTGTCGCCGTTGAGGCGACCGGCGAAGTGAACCAACAGAGTTCAGATAACGACCATAAATCTCAAGCTCACCCAGGTTTGATGCAACAACGTTCAGGCCAAATGGGGTCTTTGACTTCAGGGCACGTTGGTCAAAATAGTCTGCCGCAAGTGATTGCTTCAGGGAAATTTTACAGCTCCCCACGCAGACCAACCAGTAAGTTGATACATGCAAGTTGAATATTTCACGAAAAGTGGGAGTACTTGATGATAAGCTCGTAGTCGAGCCAGATGAATCAAATGACGTACTTCACTCAAACGATGATTCCAGCGATGATGAATCCGGCGGTTGGACTCGTTTCTTGCGTTGCTCAGTCTCCGATAGTGAACAGAACAATTCATCGCTAACGTCAAATATAGCACTGTCAAATATGGCCCAGCCTCATGTCGCACAGGCCGTACCTATAACACAAGCCGCAGCTCTGGCGCCGCCTACCGCACAAATCGATCACAAGCTTCTGGAGCAATACCGAAAAGAAATGGAAGAGGCCGCTGCCATGCCTTTGGTCGACGAAGATGACGACCTCCTCGACTTTTCCGATACGAATCAGCAGAAGGCACAGCCTCCTCAACCGCCACGAAAGAGCGCAATGCCAGCTTCGATTAGATCTAAAAAGTCGACATTTCGTCTTGCTAGACAAGGGAGTCCTCTGAATGCCAAGAAACCTGCCATCCCTAGCATGGGTAGCTTTACGAATGCTGCAGCTCTCAACCAAACTACTGAGGGCACTCTCGCAACAGACAAGCTCGCTGGCCTAGTCATCCTTCAAAGGTTTGACGGGTTCTGGACATGGGACCAAAAGCTTCGGGGTTTGATGGGTTGGAACGAGGCTACAATTCAGTCTGTCAATGATAAAATACACACTTCGGGGGAGTTGGGTCTGAACGCCAGCGCCACAGCATGTGTAATCGCATGGTTGCGAAAGGAGAAGATGGACGAGAAGGACGCATGGGAGTTACTGGTTGACAAGGCCGTGGCATGGTTGGAGGACGAATTCGGAGGTGCCGATGAGCTCGTTGAGCTCGCTAGGTCTACCGTCTAGGTCAACATGAGGAAACCATCGATGGTTTTCATGTTTGAGAGCCCGTCCTTGCAAGGACTTGTGGGTTTCTGGAGGTTTGCACTTAGTCTAGAATGCATCACTCCGTAAGAGTAGTGTTGTGAAGTGTTGGGGGCCAATTAACTAAGGTTAGATAGCTTAAGATGTCAGCGTAAGCAGCCACCCGACATGGTCAAAACAAAACAGATGCCTAATCAAGTAGTCTCGACGTGTGCAATCTGACATCACGCATTGCCTAGTACATAGCATCACACAAATGGCCACAGGTTCAGAGTAGGCTTGCAAAGCCCCTTGCTTCTGGTGTGCTAGTCAACTTGCGGAATTTGCCTGAGACTTGGGCTTGCCGTGAGCCGATTGCGCCGCGTAACACAACTTGAAGAACTTAGTAGTTGTAGTTTATGACATGAAGAAAAAGTGATCTGCCATGTATGGTAATGTTGTTGATGGATGATGCCGTGACCCGAGATTGAGGAAGTTAGAGGCCACGTGCAAATACTTGCTTTTGCGGCCTCAGCTTGGCGAAATCATGGTTGCTAAGCGAGGAAAGTCACCGTGTCCATTGGGCTGAGTGGCGCATTCTGCGATGCCCAGTTGTGGTGGGAGATGAGGCCAAGAAAATTATGGACAGGAATTCTTGCGGCCAAGACGGTAAATGCGTGGGCGCGCGCTGTTGGCAGTCTCGGCGTCAGAAGGAATGACTACTGGAATCTTGATAAGAAGTTCGTCTGACCCCCCTTCCCGATTTCCAATTGGCACCTCTGCTCTAAATTTTTGTTTTGCAGTGATATCGCCGCCAAGCTATTGATTCTTCGTTCGTTGAGAAAATGAGGTTTTTGAAGATTCTCTGATTTATTGCATCTCGCAAGCTTATGATATACCTTCGTTTCAATCCCGTCTAACCGAGCAAACCCCACGAGCTTACAGGGATCACCCCGTTGCAAGCCGCACCACCGAACACCACCCGTTCCAGCACGCTGGTACTGGGTTTTAGAGCCGGATGCTTCCCAACTCCCCACTAAACCGTGGGCTGGTATCTTTCTCATTGGGCTTTCTTTTGGTGTTTTCACTTCTAGTGTTCCACCTCCGCGAGACATGTTTTCGGGATCCATCCTCGATCTTCTTCCGTCCCGAACATGCCCGAGTTCTTTCATATTCAGCATTTCGCAGAACTCAGGCGCGGAAACACGCCGCCCAAGCCGGAGTGCATGAGCCAGTGAAGTGGTCCAACGCGACAGAGGGCGTACACCCGGAGCTGTGCATCGCGATTGGCTCTGTCAGCCGGCAGGGGTTTTCTTATCTGAAGGAGACGCTTGGGAGCGTTCTGGAGGGGCTCGACGACGTCGAGCGCAGCAGCGTATACGTGGTTGTCTTTCTTGCGCATACCGACCAGACAGAGCATGAGGACTTCGGACAGCCATGGCTACGAAACATGGCCGACTCTCTGCCAACATATCCCCAAGATGCAGCTATGCTAGAACTCGTAAGGAAGTTGGAGAAGGAGAACGACTACCCAGCGCACGCAAGAAAACAGAAGATCGATTATTCGGTGCTTCTGGACGAGTGTGCAAAGGTTCATCCCGAGTACACCATGACGCTTGAAGACGACGTCATCGCGCTAGACGGATGGTTTCACAGGATGCGTGCCGCCCTACAGACGGCTGCGCAACGGACCAGGGACATGGGCCGGAGCAGCTTCCTGTACATGCGCATCTTTCATGATGGGCGGTTGCTCGGGTGGAACGCGGAGGAAGCCCCAGTCTACATATTTTACAGCGTCGCCACAGTCATTCCTCAGCTTGTGGTGCTCTGGTATCTGCGGTGGCGTTTTGCTGCAGTGCAGAAGGCCGTGCCCTTGCAGTTGTTGCTGCTGGTTTATGGGATATGTATGCCAATGATGATCGGGCTCTTTTTCGCTGCCGGCAGAAGCTGCATGTTGCCAAAACCTCCTGGGGTGAGCCTGATGCAGCAGTATGGCTGCTGTGGCCAAGGCCTGGTTTTTCCACAAGATCAGGTCAACCGACACCTGCTCCCAATGTACAGCAACAGCAACGACAGCCATGCAGCGGTTGACACATTTTTGGAGGACTGGGCAGATTCACGGGATGAGCTTAGATGGGCTGTCAGCCCTGTGTTGATCCAACATGTTGGTGGAAAGAGCTCACATGGTGCGGGAGATCAGCGGTTTGGTCAGCTTACTGACGATATGCCCTTTGATTATGCTTTCGAGAGCAACGACCCGGTCGAGCTTGCGAAGGAACACCAAATATGGAGCGATGGGCTGAGGAAGGAATTGATGAAAGGCAAGATTATTGAATGAAACTGACACAGTGTTGTTCTTATGCAGTTCACGGACGCACCAAAACTTCCAAGCAAAACGCGCGTATTTATATTGTGGTCGAATGAGACATTATATACAAGAAAGTGAGAGCCGGGCGGCCCAGTTATGAACTCCGCAACATGTACAACACCGAAAGAACCCTCCCTCTAGGTCGGCAAGATATCCTTCCCCGATCGAATTAAGTAATGCTGCGAGTTCGAGCATGCCCTGCTACGCTGTGTAGGACTTAAGAGCAAGCGGCGACGCTTGGAACGTTGGAGCAGCTGGCGTATTTCTTGCCACCAGTAACAGTGACGCCAGACCAGGTCCAGCTGGAGCAGGAGGAACTGCTACCGCAAACGATGACGACATCGTAACCAGTGGAAGCAACCGCGCCGGATCCGGCGATGCTCTTGATGGTGAGGTCGGTGATGGGAATGCCTGTGGTGGCAGTACCATCGAGGTCGCCACCATCGTAGTTCTGCTCGATGAGGATACCATACTTGGAGATGGATGCCAGGGTAATGCCGGAGTAAGTAACACCCGTAATTGTGCCGGTGTCTCCACTGCTAGCCTTGATACGAATACCTGTCGAGATTGATTAGTTGAAGTTCGCTCGACGGGGAAACCATCTTTTTCCTGAAAAGTATCTTACCGTTAACAGAGTTCTTGACCTCGGAGTTCTCGAACGTGACAGTGTCAACAACATTGTCGGTGCGGCCACCCACGGAACCAATGGAAAGACCATGGCCTCCGGAGCAAACGCCACCGCTGAAAATGATATCTGTACCAGAGTTGACAGCAACACAGTCGTCCTGGTTGTAGACGTTGGCGCCAGTGATGGTGACGGAAGAACTGCTGCCAATATCAAAACCATCAGTGTTGTGGCCCAAGCTGCCAGTGTCTCCAGCGGAGTTGTCGATTGTCATGTCCGTGATCGTCAAGCCATCGCAGCCGTTGATGGAGACAGCCTGAACTGGGGTGTTCTGAATGTGCAGGTCGGTGATGGTTGAGCTCGTGAGGTCGTGAGCGTAGAAGAACTTGGGCTTGGTCTTTCCACCGTTGCTGCCCTCGCCATCCCACCAACGAGCACCGTCAGCGTTGAGTAAGTGACCACTGGCGCCCTTGACGGTAATCTTGTTGCCCTTGATCTGGAGAAGGGGGCCTGCCCATTCCTTGTAGCCCCAGGTGGTGGTACCCTCGAAGATGACCTGGTCCACTGTCAGTCATCACAAGTTGAAGTATCGTATCAAAGAGCTTACAGTAGTGCCATCGTTGAGATCAGAGAGGTCTAACGTTGTTCCAGAAGGAACGGCAACGCTGGAAAGGACGATAGTAGAGCAAGATGCTTGAGACTTGCTGGCAGAGGCGGCACCGGAGGAGCCAGAGAAAGTACAGCTCGTCGCTCTCTTCACCTCACCTGGGACAGGCGCAGGAGTGATCTCTGGACCAGCCACAGGAGAGGCAATGGCGTAGGCCGCAAAGGCGAGAGTAGCGAAGGAAGTGAAAGAAACCATTGTGTTGGGAAAAGACTGTGTTGAAGGCTTGACGAGGCTTGTTGTTCCGTTGTCTTGTTGTCTTGTTCCTGCTGATCATATCTGTCGAGGCCAAGACATGCCGCTTTTATAGAAGTCTCGTCAGTTCCCTAGGGAGTCTCCTTGGTCTACGATGTTTACCGTGAAGATTGCACAGGCTCTGTGAACCCCACCCCTGCCGGGATTCAATATCCTCCAATGAAGGGTTATCCATCCCAAGGGCCATGTGAGGGTTGGGGCGATAGGGGTGTTTCCTTCGCCCACATCAGCAGGGGAATCTTTTGACTCAAGCTGTAACCCATACTTTTATTGTTGAAACATATGTCCTCCAATGAGAGTGCAATGATGCCAAGACTATATCACAAATGGACTCTCCCCACAAACCCACTTTCAAAGACGCTAAGACTGACCCATGGATGGCAGTCAAGCAGTTACGCGGCAGTAATCAGAAGACCCGAAAACGTGGTTAGAGACAAGCCTAAAAGTTGACAAAAATTGGAGACCACACTTACAATGCATGATCGGACGAATGTGGTAATATGAGCGCCAATCTCTCGATATCACTCGTTCCTGGCCTGTGTCTTCCACTCGATCCTGTCTCATTTTGCCAATTCAAGAACGTCGAAATGGCTGACCATGGTATCGCAGTCAATTATGAGGCTCTTTTGATCTCGGCAGGTATAAGCAATAGCTAAGCTTTGCCAATGCAGCCGCAAATTAAGCGAAGAGAATATCTGGAGTATCGATTGTTTTGACTCCGAGATGCCGTTTCTGGATGTGGGTCTTGCCTGATTGGTGGTAAAAACTGCCGTTTCAGTTCCTGAGCCGGGAAATTAAATTTCTTAGGCCAGATTGCCGAGGGGATTTCATTGTCAGGGAGCGTCACGACTCACGCCTCTGCGGAATAGGTATTAAACCTTGAAAAGCACAAGTGGGGTGGGTAGTTTGACAGGGAACGCACGGTTGACTCGGAGCTCAACAGCGCGTTGGAAAACACCTCTGCTATCACCGATGCCTGCCCCGAAGTGATCCCTGATCCTCCACACTATGGTAAACTCTGAATCACTGACTTGTTGCCGACGTAGCACCGAGGAGACCCAGCTCCATGTAACGCGGTATGGTTCGCTCTGTTGGCGAAGTCTTTGGATTGAGTCGGGTAGTACTCTGCCTTTGGAAAACCCCTCCATCTTATTCTCTCCAGGCTCTTAGATGTTAAGAGAAGACTTTTTAAGCTCATAGCTGGATAATGATGTCTTAATAACAAGGATGATCTTATGCACTGGGGCCTTTTCTTGCACGGGGAAATTTTCCTGGTTTTTTCTTCTTTTTTTTCTTTAGGGGGGTTTCGATTTCCTAAGAGGATTTCTCTGGGGATCATTTCGTTCTAACAAGACTGTCCCTCACATTAGGAACGACACAAGCAATGCGTTAGTCAGGATATGTCCAGCGAATTTGAACAATGCACCAGCCTGCCCTACCCAGGACTATTCCGCATCATATTATCGCCCTCGGTGGGTACAAGAGACACAATATTCTCTCGATGGCCTTGATACGATCAATCTCAGGCAATACGCATCATACGTACACACTTAACCACCTCATCGTACGCAGTAGATCTCGTATTTTTATTAGATAAAGCTTGGCTAATTCTCCTCAAATATATCGAACAACTATACTTCTACGAGTACCGACCAGAGAATCCACACTCCGAAGGGTTCCATATTTTGAAACACCGACTCTTGCTTGATCCGACGGTGCTCGATTGCTGCGATATATCGTAGGAATACCTGCCGACATAATTTCTGCACGTTCGAGGCTGGCCAAGGGCTCAAGACATCATAAAAACTAACCTGGAAATAGCCTATGTCATTGGTGGTTCTCTGGTTGACGATATCAGTGAATGAAAAGGTTATTATGCCAATGCCTTTTATGCTGCCCATTGAAGAAGTATTCACGTGTTGGGTTTCAAGCAGAGTCAACGACCATAACAGCAGCTGCTAACCACAATGATGCTGCATTGTTGGCTAAGCCCATATTTGATAGCTTCTAAATATTGCTTCCGCTCCGTACAACAGCGCAACAGCCTACATGCATTCTTCATTTTGAGTATCATGTAGTATCCAGATTGAAGGTTTTTTAGGCTTTGTAGTACTGTTGTGTTGGGTCTGTGTGTATGAGGGAGGGAAGGGGGGCTTTCCCGGTCAATATAAACAATATCTAACTCAACACGAATTGCTACAGCCCGATCGGGCCAGGTATGAAGAACCACTTCTAAGTGGACCAGATTGTCAAGCGAGACATAGAACACCGGGCCAATTCTCGATACTGTTGCTAAGTACGCCCCTAACCACTGCAAGACTGAAATTACGAATGAATAGTGTAAAATATGGCTACAGGAAGACTACAGCATCTCGCATAGACGTTGAAGAATGATTAACCTGGGTCGGAATAAGAAACGATTAATGGTAGAGACGAATTAGAAATGCCAATATCATGAGACGCATGTCACTACAATAGTACAGTGAAAATGGATGGAACCACAGTCCCCTTTATATCTCCGAAATGCCGACAACGTAAATTAAAATAAAATAAAAAAGCTCATCTGGGCGATCTTGGCCTAATTAATATTACAAAAATGGGATGCCTTCGTGACTTGGCGCAAAAGCGACAGACGTTATGTCACCCTTCTAGCCTTTACAGTTCCGCACCAGGTATCTTGGTCGTGATAACAACGTCTGATCCGAGTATTGGCCGACCAAAAGTTTACATGTCGAGGATAAGAGTTCAGCTTCAATGAACTCTGTGTTTGATGCGGGGTTCTAGGTGACAGTCTCACCACCAACCACCATGATATCGTTGGCCACGGCGCGGACCGTTGTAGTATGTGCTCGTGTCTGAAGACGAATGAGTTTGGGTCATCATAATTATTATTGATTGGAGCCCTACCTCTGAATGTGCTTATGCCAAGTTGGTCAGCGATGTTTACATAGCCCTCCGAGCCTATGACGCCTCTATTTCGGATTTTGTTGATCATATCATCATCACCCTGCCATGGAGTTCGACACATCGGACAGGTGACCTGATCACGTGCGCCACTATCTTGTCGTTTTGTTGCCGCCCACATCTCAAAACACTCCATGTGAATATTTTGACCGCATTGTGCACGACAATAGACAGTAGAATCGGACTCCTCAAATGGCATGAAACAGATAGGACAATCACCTTCGATCTCTTTGCGATTCTTGTCCTTGTTGGGTTTCTCGGCATCATCCCCAACTTCGATAGGAGGCGCATTGTTGATGATCTCGACCAGTTCTGAAGATACTAGCGCGAGCTGATAGACAAGATCGAATCTAGCTCGGAGGACGCGTGCCATCACATATATGACATGCTTGCATTGGTTGCCCTTCTCTGCATGTGGACAAGTGCATGTCGGCTGACGGGCAATATGGACCTTGTAGATGTTACCAGTAGAGCCCGTAAGTTCTACTTCTTCCTCTGGACACTCTGCTGTTCCACAGCGAGTTCTACCAAGGACATAAAAACGCTGAGAAGTAGCGCGCTGGTATATTTCAGTAAAAGCTTGTGGAGCCTTGGACCGAAATTTGCGCAATCGCTTCTCTTCGTTCTCATCCTGTTTCTTGCGTAGCTTCTTGGGCTTCTCTTCAGGTGGTGTCTCAAAGCTCTCGTACTTCAAACACACCTGGCCATATGCCGGTGGCGAAGCTCGTGAAAAAGGAGATGGATCGCTGCTGCTAGAGTAAGTTTTTAGTAGCTTACGCTTTTTTGTAGCACTTGCAGTGTTAGGCGTTGTGCTGGTCGCAATCGCAGCGGTCGCTGCTTTTGCACCCATCGTGAGAAGCTAAACCCAGTCAAGGGAAATGTGGAATGGGTGGGTGATGATATTATCCGCTTGTAACTCTCAGATGGTCGACTATGATAATACCCATAGTCTTTGAAACATTTGCACGTCAGGCACGCGGAATCCTGCGAATGCTTGAATGTGCAAATGTCGTGCTGGGTAGAGCTTGAATTGTTGATGGTGAAACAAGCATTGAGATAGACTAGGTAAAAACATTCTTTGCGGGTATAGTGGCAAATAGACGTCACTGACGCTTACGCCAAAGTCGTGCCAGGTCATGTGATTGGGAGTCTGCAACTGCGAAAATCTTGGTGTTAATTTTGCCAGACGCGGCCGATAACAGCGGTTGAGCTATCAAGCTTTACTATCACTATCTAGTGGGCGTTGAATAGGGCGATAATCATATTTCATACGTCTGTAACCGGAAGATCAGAGGACATACTATACGTTACTTATGGTTCTAGCATCTAATATTCTTTGGCTAGCTTTTCTTGATCAGTCGATAGCGTTACGTCATATGTGAGGTTAGAGATCTGGTAACGCTTCAGGTTAGGTGGCTGCCCTGTGGGATTCATGCTGATCAAGTATCCTTTGAAGTTCCCCAGCTTTGGAGAGTAGATAGCATGCCGGTACATTAGTTCAACTGAGTCTGAGTATTATATGTTTAATGAGGGACTGAGGAGCAACATAAATTTGGTCATCTTTTCGCACTATCATTTCCGTTCTGTTGCAGGCGGGGTGATTGCAACGTTGTAGTGCAGATTTTAAAAAGCTGCAAACTGCCATTCCCCCAAGGAAGACATTGTGGCTCGCGACTCTGCAATAGGCAGGTGACTGTTTCTCGTACCCTGGGATGGCTGAGTATAACTTCATGTAAGACCTGCAATCTCAAGACCTTTACTTTGCCCAATCGTTGGATATTGATCCCTTCTACGAGGCCGTCTTAACAGTGGAGCGCAGCCCTAAAAATGGCGCTGACAATCGGAATCCGGGGTACTCCACTCACTATAACCGCTTGGCTGCTCCTGTCCGTAATGGTGGCCCCGGTCGACGGTACAGCCGACGTTCTGCAATACATAAATCCCTTGATAGGCAGCACAAATGGCGGCAATGTCTTCGCAGGTGCAACGCGACCTTATGGCCTTGCAAAGCCCGTGGCTAACGTAGATGGCGCCAACACGGGCGGCTTCGCAACAGATGGATCAAACATTACCGGCTTTAGTTCAGTGCACGACTCTGGCACGGGCGGTAATCCCAGCCTGGGAAACTTCCCCTTATTTCCGCAAATCTGCCCGAGCGACGAGGTCGACAGCTGTCAGTTCAGGATTGGAGACCGAGCCACACCTTATGCGGCCGACAGCATTATTGCGAGACCTGGATACTTCGCAATTGAGCTTGGAAATGGCATCAAGACGGAGATGACCTCGAGTAACCATGCCGCCTTGTATCGGTTCCAGTTTCCAAGCGGCCATGATGCGGATCACCCTTTAGTGCTACTCGATCTGACAGATCTGTGGCAGAGTCGGCAGAATGCATCGGTCAGTGTCGATGCCATTAGTGGAAGAATGATGGGCAATGGAACGTTTCTGCCAAGCTTCGGTGCAGGTTCTTATATGATGCACTTCTGCGTGGACTTCTTTGGCGGGGAGATCCACGATAACGGAGTATGGGTAAACAATCGAGCAGGGTCCGATCCAAAACAGCTATACGTGACTCGAGGCTTCAACTTGTTCTATGCAGAGGCTGGAGCATGGGTGCGGTTTGAGGACCTTAGCAACGACACAATTTTGGCGAGGATGGGTACCAGCTTCGTCAGTGCGGAGCAAGCATGCTCACGTGCTGAGACCGAGGCCCTTGATCCCGTCAACGACTTTGACAGCTTAGTGACGGAGACGGAAGAGGTATGGATTGAACAGTTGAGCCCGATCACTATCAACTCGGGTGGTGCTAGTGATGATTTGCAGACGAGCTTCTGGAGTGGCATTTATCGGTCCATGATTAATCCCCAAAACTACACGGGCGAAAATCCGAAATGGGACAGTGGGATTCCGTATTTCGACTCCTATTACTGTCTATGGGATGCTTTCCGAGTACAGCATCCGTTACTCACGATCATCGATCCGGTAGCACAGGCCCAGATGGTGAACAGCTTACTTGATATCTACCAACATGAGGGCTGGCTTCCTGATTGCCACATGTCTCTTTGCAATGGCTGGACGCAAGGCGGATCTAATGCCGACATCGTTCTGGTAGATGCTTACGTCAAGAATTTAACGGGCATTGACTGGAACTTGGCTTTGAATGCAATTGTACAGGATGCTGAGGTTGAGCCATTAGAATGGTCGTACCATGGACGTGGAGGGCTGCAGAGCTGGAAAGGCCTAGGTTATATTCCATACCTCGACTACGATCCTATTGGCTTCGGCACAAACTCAAGGAGTATCTCAAGAACGTTGGAGTACTCGTACAACGACTACTGCCTGGCTATCCTCGCCGAGGGCCTCGGGAGAGCAGACTTATATGAAAAGTATATCCAGCGGAGTACAAATTGGCGAAACCTATGGAAAGAAGACCAGACGTCCGTGGTTAAAGGCAATGATTCTGGCTTCACAGGATTCTTCCAACCCAAATATCTGAATGGAACTTGGGGATACCAAGATCCAATCGCGTGTTCCGCCCTTGCAGACTTTTGCTCATTAACTACGAATCCTTCGGAAACCTTCGAGGCAAGTGTTTGGCAATATCAGTTGTAAGTAATCAACAAAATCTGAAGACTATGCGGTTAATTAACCGATGGTAGCATCGTACCTCAACAAATATCTTCGCTCATCAGCCTTATGGGTGGCGACGAGGCTTTCATCTCCCGTCTTGACTTTTTTCATACCTCTGGCCTCGCCGATATCTCTAATGAGCCTGTATTCAGCACCGTATATCTTTACCACTACGCTGGCCGTCCCGCCTTATCTACAAAACGTTTGCATACCTATATCCCCTCTTATTTCAACAACACAAATGGAGGACTGCCTGGCAACGACGACAGTGGCTCGATGGGAGCTTTCGTGGTCTTCGGCATGTTAGGCCTTTTCCCTATTGCTGGACAAAATGTATACCTGATATCGGCACCATTTTTTCAGGAGGTCAATATAAAGAACGGCGTTACGGGGAACACCACAACGATCAGGACGGCCGGGTTTGATCCAAGCTATGTGAACATTTATATCCAGAATGTGACAGTAAATGGGGAGCCATGGTCGAAGAATTGGATCGGGCATGAATTGTTCTCACGAGGGTGGACGTTGGAAATCACGCTCGGCAGCGAAGAGTCAAATTGGGGCACCAAGCTCGAAGACCGGCCACCTAGTCTAAGCGACAGTAAAATTAGACTGTGAGTCTATGCGCGTACTGTGGAAGGTACCTATCGGCTTATGTGGTCTGAATTGCCGCCTCCTAGATTCCATCTTCTATTATATAAAACGTATCTGGGAAGTTTTTAAGTGGCCTTTTTCTACACATTTCACCAATAGGGAAATGCCGTATGTATAACGACTTGGTATACAGCACACTCGAAGCTTCCACCATTCAGGCTCACAGCTTGGATACCGGCAGTCGTTAAGATCGCCATTACCTGGAAACCGTGCGCTGAGGAATTAATGGGGTTGAATTCTGAGGTGTCACCAAGCCACAATATTCCGGGTGGGATACTACGAGGCAATACGTTTCTGATGAGACAATCCTGCATATGCGGAAATGAGCGGCTTTGGGATGCCAAACCCACTGGGAGGAAACCAGTTAGCATCTCGGGGATCAGGCACGTTTACCGCTAACTACGACGGCTAACGGCTTCGAACCCCACATACAGTCAAGAGCCGCATTGTTTCATTTAAACATGTAGTGGATCTCTTGGCAGAAACAATGACCCTGAATATCCGAGTCGCGCCCTGTAACCTCCCACATTCCTGAACTGAATTCGTTGGAGGAAAGCCTCACAGGCATTTGCGTGTTACAGCACCATGGCGCTGGGCTTACCAGAATGCAGAGGATGGGAGCAAATTAATTGAGGCAAAGTTAGAGATTAACCATAATAGAAAAAATGCTACTAACTCTCGAAGCGCGTGCTTGTATAAAATCGTGGTCAGGCTCCTCCTAGGGAATGTTGTTGAGATGCAGAAGCTTGGCGACACGGCAAACGAGCAAATAGGCAATCAGCTCCTGAACTATATCCGCGGGGCGGTTAACCGGCTTGGCGAAACGATCGCAGCGCCGGCGGTATTATATAAAGACTCTTGAATCCAGTGTGAAGATGCAGCTTAGTCTCTAACATTCCAAACCGTGCAGGCCCTCGACTCTCATCACATTCATTTTTGTCATTCGCTCTACATCAACATCATCGTCGGCTGGTCTGAACACTTGATCTTTCTTTAATCTATTCGAACCATTTAGAATCAACGACATACTCATCATGATTTTTTCTCCATTGTTTGCTTTGGCCGCAGCGTCCGCTGTCGCAGCCCAATCTGTCTCGGGGACCGCGTACGGATTCGCGACAGGAGTCACTGGTGGTGGATCAGCTACTGCAGCTGCCCCTTCCGACGCTGCTCAGCTTGCGGAGTGGCTCTCTGACAGTACTGCCCGCGTCATCCTCATCGACGAAGAGTACGACTTTACGGGTACAACGACCTCTAGCTCCGGTTGTTCTCGAAAGAGCTGTACCGTCGCCAATGGCGGACAGCTGTACGTTGGAACACTTTCTTGCACTGCCTCCAGTGATATTGTTTCCGTCAGCTCGATTACATACGATGCCGCTGGAACAACCGCTCTGTCTGTCGGCAGTAACAAGAGTATCATCAGTAGTAACGGCAAGGGTGTCTTGAAGGGTAAGGGCTTGTCCTTGGCTAGTGGTGCTAGCAATGTCATCATCCAGGGCATCGAATTCACCGACGTAAGTAATCAAGAAATAATCAATATCCTCATTCCATCCAGAGGTCAAGCAGACACGCTTCTATGTCTCAGTCTTGCTTTGTTCGATGGGTTCTGGCCGCGGAAAGAATAAAATAAAGCTAATGCGTGTATCAGATCAATCCCGAATACGTCTGGGGAGGTGATGCTCTCGACTTCCAAGGTAACAACGATGGCGTGTGGGTTGACCACTGCAAATTTTCGCTCGTCGGCCGCATGTTCATAGTCGCTCACTATGATGGCTCAAGAATCACAATTTCAAACAACGAATTCGACGGTATTACCACTACCTCTGCTACATGCAACGATAACCACTACTGGACGATGATGTTCATCGCCGATGGTGACCAGGTCACTCTCGACAAGAACTACTTCCACGACGTGTCCGGTCGCGCCCCCAAGCTTGGTCAAGACGGCGTTACAGGTACTTTCCACGCGACCAACAACTACTTCTCCAATATGAAGGGCCACGCCTTCGACGCTTATGAGGGCGCATCTGCCCTTCTCGAAGGAAACGTTTTCAGTGCCGTTAACACACCTGTCACTGATCAAGCGGCCACAGTCAGCACCTTCTACACCGTCCCAGACTCTTCCGCCGCTAGTGCTTGCTCATCAGTCCTTGGCCGTAGCTGCATCCTCAACTCGGTGTCCTCGGACAGCGGCACCCTTCCATCTCTAAAATCATCCAGTGCTCTAACAGCGTTTTCCAAGGTCACCAAATACCTTGTTGAGCCCATCGCCGCCAGTGAAGTCGCCAGCACCGTCGTGGCCAATGCCGGCCCTGCCAACTTGGCCTCGTCTGATAGCTCGAGCTCCAACTCCAACTCAGTAGCATCTTCCAGCTCTGCCACCAAGTCTGTTTCTTCTGCGAAGACGACTATTGCTGCGGCTGTCACGGCCACTACTACCAGCAAGGCTGTAACTACACTGGTGACAAAAACTAGCACCGCCAAGGCAGCGGCTACTGCTACTAAGGCTACTTCCAGCTCTAGCAGTTCAAGCGTTGCTCTCTATGGACAATGCGGCGGATCTTTATACACTGGCTCAACCACCTGCGCTTCTGGTATGTGATTGATAATGATTCTCCTGCCTCCACCAAGTAGTCACTAATCTTTTTAGGTACATGTACGGTCATGAACGATTACTACTCCCAGTGTATATAATGGTAGGGTAGTAGCAATACTAGGACCGGTGAAGGCAGTGTGTTTTGAACATATTCTAAAATCCCTGTAAATATTTCTAACTTAGTATATAATCCGATTTACTATTCATCGTTATAACCGCGCCAGTGCAAGGCTTGCATTCGCCTCATCCTTTCATGATCATGACATCGCCCTATCCGCAGCAGCAATAGGGCATGTTGGTGAAGCAATACCAGGTTTCATACTCTTTTCATTGTGAACGAGGCTCAATTCTGTGCATACGTACTGGATGGTGGACACCTGAGCTGTAAAGCCCTATCGCATTTGGTTGCAGTAGTCACCCTTGTTCGCACAAGTCGGGTCTCTAGACTACAAAATAAATGTTTTAATGGCGTTTCATACTATGGCGTCCCAGTTGTCTTGCGAATGTTGATGGATACTGAAGCAGGTTCTGCCTAGCCCAGCGAGACATTGAACTCGCGGAATAGGTGCCAGTTCACAGTGAGTTTTAGGACTGACATGAACACAATCGGCACCATTCCTTGTCCAGTCTCCTCCAAGGCGAAGATACCGTATACAAGTCTCTCTTGGGTTATTCATTCCACGCGTCAGCCCCACAATCCTTGCCATTTATTATTGGGATACTCGATCCAAGTAGTTTCATGATTGGCCCTTCTACACCCAGGTTGCATGTGTCTGCATGCCGTTCAAACAAAGCTTTCATAATCTTGTATGCGTTATCTCATCGCCAATGTAGAACTCGTGGTCACCTAATATACGAAAGTCCTTGCCCCTGTGGCTCTGACGTTTGACCACTGTGGTAGACCTGTGTGGCGCCTCCTATCAACGGCCAGAGTCTTCAGAAAAACTATGGCCATAGGAAACATTTCACCCCCTGCTGTATCTTCATTGTTCACAAGGTCGCACAGAAGAAGTGCACCCACCTCCGAGGTAATCTGTCCGCCAGTATACTGAGCTCATCTCCACCCACAAAGACTATGGTGCCCGTACGCGCTATGGCCATGCGCACAAGATTTATGTTTTCAATCTACTGTGCCGCTGGAAGTCGTCGTGGGTCGCGGGGATAGTCAGCCGCCAGGTCTAGCGGTCTGGTCGGTTTCGGAGAGCGATCGATTTTCAAAGCTGTTGAGTCGATATAGGATGACGCCCATAATAATCAGCTCAAAGGGCGAGAGTGGGATATTAGGGTCATGTAGCCAGCAAGCATGGATGTGAAGATGTACGCGTCGGGACCAGGTATAGCGTGGTTGTGGCATTATATTGCGTTTCATCTTTGTCATCGAGGTCCACAGAAAGCTAGATTCTACCGTTGCTCGAGCTCGATCACACCTTGTGAGGGTCATTTTGGGCTGGATGTTGTGGTTTCCTGCTTTGTGTCAGTACTGTCTCCCTTTGGCTTCCAGCTTCAAATCAAGTCTGGCAAGTCATATATACATTAAGTAGCCATTACCAACCCTGGTATTCTTCTGGCAGTACCGGAAAGGTATGGCGTGTTCGCAGCATGTGCGTGGCTTGCGCCAAGATCTGGGGTGATGCAGACCGCGATTCGGACCGCTACCGAATACTTTGATTGAGTTATGACTATCTCCGGGTTTATTATGCCAAAGGGGACTTAGTACCTGTTCAATAAAGAAAGAGCCGGGATAGAGAAAATTTTAGAAAAAGGGCAAAAGAGCTGACATATGACAGATTCACTCGAGCACAGAGGCATAAGGACCTAGGAAGGGAATGGGTAAACAAACAACACGACATTCTTCATAGACTCTATTCTAAACATATCTTTGCGGTGCCACAAACCTAACTTTTACCGTGCTTTGGAATTAACGACTACAATTCTGTCTAAGATATGCCATCCTTTAAGAGACCACCTGTACCCATGAAGGCAGGTCGCTCGTGACGAATGCCATAAGAAAACAGGCCTAGAGATCTGTTGCTGCACGACCAGCCGTTGGGGTACCTCTCAAATGTCGAGGTATCGATGGACTGTGCGAACAGCAATGTTGCCTGCATTAAGTCAGAGTACTTAGGTACTTCTAAAGACTGATTCAAATCAAGTTATAATTAGGGTACGTATCTTGGGTGCCTTGCAGGAACATGGGCACTGATCTGACAGGAAATCTGAAAGAGCCAATGAAAGACCACCGATTTTGGTTCTGCATGATTTGCAAAGCAGTTCCATCAGCGCATCAACAACGCCGAATCGAGTTAGTGCTAGGTGCGTCCCTTTTTTGCAGCTCCCTGATTGGTTTATTCAACTGATTTTCTGTTGCTGCTGATTTCTTCTCTTTTCCATTGGCTAGAATCATCATTGGTCAATTCTGATTTTCGTGCAATCAGTAACCCTGCTGAGACCCCGGGAGTCTATTCAAAGAGGTGTTTCTTCTCACAGAGGGACATCCTTACATCCTCTCCATTACATCACATTCGGGCCAGTCAGCTACTGAAACGTGAATACAATCTTCCCAAAGCTGTACCACCTCTCCCGCACAGCTTTCAAGCACATGACTTCCCACATTCCGCTCATCTTGACTTCTGCTTATCATCTACCATCAACAATCACACTGATATCGATCGACAAGGTATCACATGTCAACCCTTCCAATGGTTACTTGTTGCAGTCTACCCTCATTTACCTCAAACAACAACATGGGCTTCCCACATTCACTTACCTCATTCTTCGAGCGAAACTTCACAGTCATCAATCTGAGCAACGCAAGCTCCATACATACAAGCTCTGCAATGGGATGAGGCATTGGCGGAGGAAAAGGACAAGGGAAAAGGCGGAGGACGGATTGGATATAGATAAAACTAGGCAATGCCAAGGGGGGACTTTCGGGGCACAAACATGAAGAATTCATGTATCAACATACATAGCCATCACAGATCATACTAACGGTCACGGAGGGGGGAGTTGGCTCTAGTCACTCCTGGGCTTGGGCGGGCCTCCGACTTCAGCAATCTTCACAATCAACACAGTTTGCTCCTACTCTCGATTTTCTGTACACATGTGAATAATATTCCTGCTGTTTGCACTTATTTCCTAAATACTTACCTAACCGAAATCATGATTAGGACCCAAAATACAAAGCTCACGTTGTGTCTGTAACATATTCTCGCGGAACTACTCTCATATCGTATTGGTAAATGTATTGGTAAATGTATTGGTAAATGTATCCGGACTGCCAAGCGGTGTAAAGTCACTTGGCAATCTTAAGTAAGTATGTGTCAAATGTTGATGTGTTCACATTACGATTCGAGGATTAGGCGTCATATTCCTACGATTGGTCGCACAAATAACTTCGCACCACAGTTGAGAGTGGAAGCTCAGGAATAGACACCCTACATTGTAAACTTCACATATATGCATGTCAAGAATGAAACTTGTAGGAGTGTAATAGCATTTGACTGTCTGCCATAAACTCGTAACTCGGGTCATTATCATGAATAGTATCATTATGAATACATAGTCTCAAAACCACATTTCGCCTCCCACCATCAGTCTTCAAGGGTATCGTTCATCATTTGTTCCTCAACAGGCACGTTTAGCCGGACTGGTAAAGACCAATAGCGTAGACGTGAGGGTTAAGCTGGGTGATATTGAAGGGAGTTACATAGAGATCCTCATCAGTGATGACAAGGAAGATGGTGCCGTTGATGGCGGGATCGCCCTCAAAGGTGCTAACGTTGGGCTGGATGGTCCAACCACCGGTGCTGGTGACATCCTGCAGAGGGCTGTAGGTAACATTCAACTGCGTGACCCAGGCGGCGAAGGCAGGGGAAGCAGCAGAGGTGCTGGTAACGTAACTGTTATTGGGTCCGATGGCCTGACCGGGTGCGTCCCAGGACAGGAAAACCTTGCGGCCGGGGTAGGACAGGGGCTGGGTACGGTTACGTGTGATGGCCGGGCTGCAGTTGACACCAACCTCGGTGGCGTTGATGCAGGAGTCACCATCCTCAATGTCGGCAGTAGACAAAGTGTTAGTGTAGCCGCCGGTGGTCTCGTTCCAGACGTTGGAGCCGTTGATGCGAGCAGGGTTGGGTTGGTTCAGGATATGCAGAGCTGGGAAATTTTGCCATGCCAGGCGGGTCTGGTTGGCAGGGCAAGAAGAGATGTACGGAGCAAGCAGAGACCAAGCCCAAGATTGAGGCACTCCAACTTCGAACCAGACGGGCATGGGGAACAGGCCCTGGAACTGACGGAAGATCATCTGTTGACGAGCCTCGGTAGTGATGGACTGCAGCAGAAGCTGAGCACTCTCGCGAGAGTCGAGGTGAGGCAAAAAGCCATAGACACCAGACTCGCCAAAGCGGGTCAACTTCTGGCAGAAATCCAAGTACTCGCGCACATTGGAAACGGGGTAGTTGTAGGTACACTGAACAGGAGCCTCGGCACCCAAGATATTGGTTAACAGAGTAGCGTGGCCAACCTCTTGGTCTGCCATGAACTCGAGAAGGAAGCGGTCCTCAGCAGTCAAACCAGCGGCCTCAAACTCCTCCGTGCTGAAGGTAGCGAGACCCCAGTGGAACAAGTCGAGCTCAATCCATTCCTGGTACAGGGCGAGGGCGAGCGACTCGTAGTCGAAGTCACTCTGGGGTCGGTAGACCGGAGCCGAACCATTGGTACCCAGACCACCGGCAGGTGTGTAAGGGGCTGGCTGAGGAGCATGAAGCTTGCCATCAGCTGGGTACTGGAACTTGTACTCAGCCGGTGGTAGAGCTGGGATAGATGCTGCCAAAACGGAAGTCGACAATGCACCAGTGGTTGTGGGTGTACCCGTGTACGAGCCATGCGAAGTCACATCGGTGACAGGGACCTGTGATGCGGTGGCCGTGGGAGTCGATGTGAAGGTGGTTGTGGCCTCGGAGTAGACACGGGCCTCAAGCTCTGGCTCGACAGGTGCCGCGAATGATCGCAAGGAAAGCGCCAAAAGGCTGGTGCCGATAAAAACCTTCGAGAATGCCATTGTGATTGTGCTGCGAGATGCTTTCTTGAGTGAGTAGAAGAACAATGCTTTCTACCGGTGACACGCATCCTTATTATACCCTCGACGCAGTTGGAACCCCAGTTATATACCACCCACCTGTCATGGTGCAGTGGGTTTGTAAAGTCGCGCTGCAGTCAACATCTTTGACTGTATCTCGTCATAATTACAGAAGGCCAAATTCGGAGCATGGGAAAGACAAATAAGAATCGCCTCAGCTATGGAGAAAAACCAAACTCAATGATGTGTTGACTTTGGGCAGAGTGCTACACAAGTGTGATCCCTACGTTACCCGCATGCATGTGGCAACCGGGCCCAGGGTAGTTGAGATCTATGTACTCGTCATAATAGCACAAAGCCCGGGATCTACCCAGGCAAGCCAGGACGACGATCCGATGAACCGTTCATTGCATGATTAGTAGGCGCATACATCTGATCCGCATCTGCTCGTTAAAACTTTAATGTTGCTGTGCCTTGCGGCTTGCGGCTCTTCTTGGCAGGGCTATACAAAGGCGCATTCTGTGATAGTTGCGATACACATCGGACTGCTGCAATTTTCGGTAGTATATTTTTCCTGGTCCATCCACTTCGTCCGGGGTAATGCAATCTACCTTGGTTGCATATAACGTACATGACCAAGTTGAGTAGTTCGAGATCTGTCTCGCATTTGGAAGAGCTTGTCAAACCTGCACATGCAGACCCACTGACACTCCGGAGTCAACCTCCGGCTTGTGCGGTCCAAGTATTCTACCGGTAGAGATGGAATGTGCGCAAGGCGATCATCATGTAGGTAGACATCATCGGCCAACCAGCAGGTGATCACCGAGCCATGAAGATTGTTGCCGGACAAATGCTCCGTAATCGTCTAAGGAAAAGGTTGAGGGCCAAAATTCTTAGTTTGCCTGGACTCGGAAGCCATGTTGGGTCGGACAAGGGCCAGAGGGAATTCGGCGTGTTTAGTCTGCATGGCAAAAGTCGTGACGTTCGCGTTGCCCACTTGTTGTTGATTCCATGCCGAGCGGGGGCCCTGTCCGACCGACTATCTGTGTAACTCATGTACTATTCCCGGGCGTTGTGTTGTTTTGGAACCGAGGAACCGGACGAATTAATCAGAGCACTGGTCGGTCAGTGCTACGGGCATTTCATCGCTTCGCCCCGCTCGTAGCCAGTCTAACCTCAGTCCAGGCGGGCGACCGTTCACAGACAGCTTGCGAGTCGCTTGCTCTGGGCTTTGGCCGAATTGCAATTCAGTTCGCACAATCCAAGTCGGAATATGCGCTTGTTTGCCAGTCATGCCGTCTGAAGATATTGCTGCTTCTGGGTGACTGCTGTGCAAGAGAAATTCGGCGCAGAAACGCGTACGGGTGTGCATGTAACTTACAAGCTGCTTTACAGCGGCGATAGCCCAAGACGACCCCACTATCAGAGACAAAGTCGCGAGCTGCAGCTGCTGCAACGCGTCGACTGCGACTTGCGACGGCAAGAGGAGCTCTACGAAGGCCGAATCCCCACGTCAACGCTGCAGAACTGCCCAAGCATAACCATGGGCTATTGACGGATATCATATCAAGGTGTTTGTTTGTCTCTTCGCGTGCACATTAATTGCCATCCTCGGGCTTGCCTGTGCTGCATCAGTCGGCTCGCAAATATGGACGACTTCGACAGGGACTCCAACGCCAGTTCTGAGGAACAAGAAGACGAGTTGATGCCCGATGCGGAAGAGCCAGAACCAGAAGACAACGACCAGCAAGAAGACGAGGACGACAATGACGGCGACGACGACGACGACGGCGATAATGACGATGAAGACGAGAACGAAACCCAGGATCAGCACAACAACAGCAGTCATGATGCAAACAACGACGCATCGACATCGCAACCAATCTTGACGCGGACATCAGCGACACCTGCACCGCCTGCGACGCCGCGATGGCTGCCATCCGTACGGCCCGAGTATCTCAATGCGAACACTTACGATATCGTGCCCACCATGGCTGCGCCAATGGCCACAAGCATCAACGCGGTATCGATCACCCCCGATCTGCGCTACTGGATGACAGGCGGCTCGGACGGCTATATAAGAAAGTACCACGGCCCGGACACCATCAACGGGAAGCAGCTCCTGACCGTGGCGCAAAGACACCCTTTTGTAGAATCTGTCACCAAAGCTGGCGTTCTCTTGTCATATTGGGAAAATGCCGAGCCACACTCTCCGCCCCAGAGAACCGAGGATCTCGTCTTGAGCCCGGTGTATTCGCTCGCTGTGCATTCGCAGGCCCTGTGGCTGCTTTCCGGCCTCGAGAGTGGTGGCATCAATTTGCAGAGCGTCCGGCATGACGAGGGCAAGAGAATCACGTGCTTGCAAAAGCATACCAATGCTGTAAGCGTCCTGAATCTCTCAGCGGACGAGAAAAGCGTCTTGAGCGGAAGTTGGGACAAGAACATATTCGACTGGGATCTGAACACGGGGGACGTCAGGCGCCAATTCGATGGCAGTGGCGGCCAGATCTCCGCTTTAGAGACGAGGCCAATGAGTGGAATGCCAATTCCACCCGAGGCTGCCGAAGAAGATCTTCTTGGTGATACATTCTTCTCCAACAATGCCGCCCCTGCTGCTGGTGGGGACTTTGACTTTTCGCTCGATGGCGTAAACGGTGGCATCAACGGAGATATCGACCGAGCTGCCGACAACAACTTTGGGGACGATAACAATGCCTCGAACAGCGGCGGTGATGGTGACGGCTTGGATGCGCAAGGCAGTCCTGCTCATGATAGCCTTTTTGGTGGCAGCCCTGGAGCTGGTGACGATCTCTTTGGCGATAATTTTGGCGGAGATGACGACAACGAGTTCTCACGAGCTATGGCGCAAGACTCTGCCCAGGATCCAAACACGGAACCACCAGCCGCTGAAACCACTCTGCCAGATTTCGACATGTCAGTGCCAAATGTGGACGGGCCATCCAACGATGCCCCGAATGACTCAACTACAAATGGTGATTTCGCCACTAACGAGACAATGACTGTTGGTGATGCTCTTGTTGAGAACAGCTTTGACGCGACGCAGCCATCAGAGCAGGCCACCGAGTTCACCGAGCAAGATGCTACACAACAAGGCGCACCCCAATCTCCTTCGGTCTTTTTCGACTCGGCTCCTGCCCCTGAATCTCCGTCCGCGGTTTTTGCAGAACCACCGCCGACGCACTACGATACGTCTCAAACCTCCGATTCCACCTTTTTATCGGCGTCCATAGATGGTCCCATAAAAATATGGGATCGGCGGGTTCCCAGCCCAGTGGCACGCATTGGCAATCGCATTGGTGTACCGCCATGGTGCATGGGTGCTTGCTGGTCGCCCGATGGGAACTGGATCTATGTTGGTCGACGAAATGGCACAGTCGAGGAGTTCAGCGTGGAGAAGGCTCGTGGCGGTCACAAAGGATGGCAGCCAGAACGCACATTCAAATTTCCCAATGGTAGTGGCGCCGTCAGCTGCGTGCGACCTATGCCAAACGGCCGTCATCTTATATGTGCTTCGCATGACATTCTCCGGCTGTACGACCTGAGATCTGATGAGAAAACCTCCAAACATTCGCCACCTCCCTTCTTGATCGTTCCTGGACCCCCTAGAGCAGGTGTTATATCTAGTCTATATATCGATGCCACCAGTCGGTATATGATATCGACTGCTGGAACGCGTGGTTGGGAAGGGACGTCCACAGAGGTCATGATCGGTTACGAGATTGGCGTTCCTCAGTAAGTGTATAGTGGGTGGCATGCTCACATGTCGGAAGACCTATTCGCCTACCTGGCGTTTATGCAGTAGGCTTCACTGCAGGTTGATAATACCCAGAGAGGGGTTTCATTTAGGCGTTTTAAGGAGGTTGTCGAATCAGGGCTGGCGTATTTTGGCATAAAACCTATGTTCTATCTTGGGTATGTTGCATGAGAGCGGGTGTTCACAAGAGATGCACATTAAGCATTGAGATGTCGGGAAATTAGAAAGATTGGAAATCACTCCCACAACATTTCGTAGTAATGCGGGCCTCGTTATTTCGTAAATTTAGGTCACACCTTCAGGTCTGACCATATGGTATCGTAGGTACACTAAGGAAAGTGAGGCATGAAACTCTCGCCTGGGTATCCCTTCCTTGCCTCCCGTCGTCTCTCTATTGCCGTCTCGGCCAGACCCAAACACTTTAGTAAGTGCCGGTTCGCGTCCCGGTACCACCGGCACCGGTAGCGCCAGTCCCGTCAAAAGCATGTGCCCCCTCAACAGGCTGGGTCTGCGCAGGTGCGCCCGTGCCGTGGTGCTTGGCCTCGTGTCTGGCGATCATGCTGTCGGCGCTAGACATATCGGCCTTGCCCTTCTGCCTGATGCTCTCGTTTTTCAGCTGGCTCTGCTGCGCCGCCGGGTGCTTGGCGTCCGTGTCGAGAGCCGAATCGGCCGCCCCGTTGACGGAGCCGCGGAGTGCCTCGCCGGCGCCGTGGACGCCCTTGATTGCGGACTTGATATCTTGACCGATGCTCGACATTTTGTGTGGTATGTTAGATAGGTAGTTGGTGGGTTTGGTGTTCAGAGTAGATGTGGTTGTGTGTTTTAACTAATGGATTTTACTTGGCACGCAGAAAGGAGCACAAGCCAGTCAGGATGAGCTGGGAAACAGATTTATACCCAAGTAGAGGAGGCACGCAAAGCATGCTTGGGGCGTCGCACTCAAGTGTGACGTCTGTGACGACCATGAAGATGGAGTTCGTTGCCGGCCAACATGACGTAGGCGGTGGACCTTATATTGAATCAACCAATCAGATAAGTGGCTTACACGTCGACCTTCGCCGGTGAAAACAATCCACCATTATTACAGGAGTGGCCATCTTGTATGATGAAAAGTGCATAGCTTAACTTGCAAACATCGTCTATCCTTCAAGGTCGGTATCGTTTAAAAGCGGTCGACGTTCACTTTCTGTATACTAAGTGAAATTCATTGAGAAATGTGCCTTCATGTTAACCTGAAGTTGGGTTGTGAGAATGTCCTGTCTCAACTGAGACTTCGACGACTTCCCGTACCCAGAATCACAAAGGTATAGTAGCACCGTCAATCGCATTGAAGAAGTTGCCTGAGGTTTCTTCTCTGATCTAGGTTCATAAGATTGTTTGAGAAGCTGGCCCGCTTTAGACTGCCGTGATCCTTTTCTTTCGGAAGTTTGATGATTCTGCTGAGAGGATGTTCCCTATATCATGAACCGGAGTTCCAAGACGAAACTTATCGCATTTCTCAAAGCGGTGAAATAGATAATCTTACGAGTAGTGGAAGGGTTTAGAGCATAGTAATATGTTAGATGAAAAGCTGGGAATTAAAGAAATGGTTCTGTTTAGGCCATTTCTTAAAACCTCAATTGACAGTGGGCCTTTTTCTGGGAAAGCACAGGATTTAATAAGCATGTTGCTGTAGAACGAAGGTATAGATAGGCCAAAGATATCGACATTTGATTGTTTCTTATATTTTCTATATCCAGGCGTTCCTGTTACTCTTTGAGGCAAGGCAGGTGGCTGGCTGGAAGCCGGCCGATAACTAGAAGCCAAATGATGGTCAAATATGTCGAATGTACCATATATTGTAACAAGCAAAAAGTTCTTTACATGCTTACGAGAGCTAACATACGCATACCATGTGTGATTTAATAGCTGAATCCTCTTTTTTACGCTTAGTGGTGCGAAGCGCGTGGCTTTTAATTCGGTTCCGTCTACAAATGTGGCTGTGCTAACTGTCTCGTTTATTCTGGCTAGGTAAGGAAGTGCGTCAGAGGCGGCCTAGGTTGCAGCGTTTGTCGACTCTCTAATGGCGTAGAGGTCCATCGCCGGCAGTGCTGGCGTTGGGACTTTGCCGCCAAGCAATGCCTAATGGTCAGGGTCGACAAAGGGTGGACGGTTCATGGTAAACAGCGTGACGAGGAGACAATCGAAGATGGCGGTACGAAATGCCTTTGTAAATTACAAGCTTTGAATATATTATGCCTTGTCCTACAGAGAGAATCAAAATCGGCTTCCTCTCTTCGTTTGTAATCTCTTGTCTTTGCGCACGGACGATCCACTTTTGGCGCTGACTTATATGTGCCTATCTAAGGCCCACGCAGTACCGTCAGCTAGGGGTACTTGACTCATCCAAAATTGGCGCTTACCTAATGTATCATTTGCGCTGACGATACATAGCTAAACGTTGTCCATTATATTGACCCGGCATTCTTAGTACTATACAATACACACCCTAGCGAAATCAGTGTCCTACAGTACAATACATACAGTACCTCTAGGTACCTTAACCCGAAATTGTTAGAGGCTTAGTTTATACTTGTCGCATCTAATGAAGCAGTGTATTATAGTATTTAAGATAGCAACCGCCAAGATACTCGCTGTTCCCCACTTTCTTCATGAAAACCGTTCACTTACAGCTGTTAGCGGGATGTCCCAATCTCGCATTCTTAGTCGATTCATACATACCAGATACAGAACATCATTGGCAGACTACCTGAAGTTTAATACAGTCGAAAATGAGATTCAATGTCTTATAGCTGCAAATAAACAAGGGCGTTAAGGGTTGATAGCCGGAGTGCATAGGTGCCAAGAATGGAATCACTAGCAAACTTGCTATCAAGAAGAGACGATGGTCAGTCTTTAAGTAGAGCATTTGACGATAGTATACCCTACCAAAGTCGCAGAGAGCAGTGGGCAATAGGCGGCTTGTATCGGTCAATCAAATTAAAATAACTGATATTATTGCTTCTAAACTTTTACCATTCTTCTCATGTATTGAGACCAAATTAAAACCTGAATACGCATACTTCGGCTCGTATACTCCACTACAAACGACTGACGCAACCGGGGGGCTTTATAACTACACAGCCGTCCAAAGACGGGCAACTGGTGATATGCTAAATATGCTGGATATGCATAGTCTAGCCTATCTAGCAGTCTATGTGGGGTTGAACGAAAGGGGACACACCACAAGCACCACAAACTAGCCAGTTTGACACTTCTTACAGAGTGTGCGAATAGATGAGTGTGGGAATCACAAGGCTCGGAGAGTGTGTGAAATGCCCTTTTGAATGCATCTCGGTGTCCGGTCTTGTGAGCTTTTATTGGCGTCACCGCACCTGCTTCAGGTTAACATATCATCTCTAAATGTAGAACTTCAATGAGACCACTCACCCGGTAATCTCCTGTTTAAGTCTAGCAGAGTATATTGCAGCGATTGGGTATATCTATGCGAAGGCCCAAATAATGCTCGAGACCCAGCATAAGCGCGCTTATATTGTGTCTTGGCCTCAGCTAATTTGCCTTGATCCCGTAGTAAGGTCCCCAGACACCATAGAGTATCGATCGCTGGTCGATACCTTATAATATTCCGGGGACACATGGCCTTTTCGTACCCTCGAAGCGCCCGTAGATACATCTCCTCGGCCTCGACCAGCTTGTCTTGGGTTTTGTAGAGGTTCCCTAGGTTATTAACGGTGTTAAGTGTTGACGTGTGATCCGGTCCCCACGCCTTTTCGTGCCCTCGAAGCGCCCGTAGATACATCTCCTCGGCCTCGACTAGCTTGCCTTGGTCAGCGTAGAGGAGACCTAGGTTGTTAACGGTGTTAAGTGTTGACGTGTGATCCGGTCCCCACGCCTTCTCGTACCCTCGAAGCGCCCGTAGATACATCTCCTCGGCCTCGACTAGCTTGCCTTGGTCAGCGTAGAGGAGACCTAGGTTGTTGACCGTGTCGAGTGTTGACGTGTGATCCGGTCCCCACGCCTTCTCCTTCCCTCGAAGCGCCCGTAGATACATCTCCTCGGCCTCGACTAGCTTGCCTTGGTCAGCGTAAAGGAGACCTAGGTTGTTGACCGTGTTAAGTGTTGACGTGTGATCCGGTCCCCACGCCTTCTCGTACCCTCGAAGCGCCCGCAGATACATCTCCTCGGCCTCGACCAGCTTGCCTTGGTCAGCGTAGAGGAGACCTAGGTTGTTGACCGTGTTAAGTGTTGACGTGTGATCCGGTCCCCACGCCTTCTCGTACCCTCGAAGCGCCCGTAGATACATCTCCTCGGCCTCGACTAGCTTGCCTTGGTCAGCGTAGAGGAGACCTAGGTTATTGACCGTGTCGAGTGTTAACGTGTGATCCGGTCCCCACGCCTTCTCCTTCCCTCGAAGCGCCCGTAGATACATCTCCTCGGCCTCGACCAGCTTGTCTTGGGTTTTGTAGAGGTTCCCTAGGTTATTAACGGTGTTAAGTGTTGACGTGTGATCCGGTCCCCACGCCTTTTCGTGCCCTCGAAGCGCCCGTAAATACATCTCCTCGGCCTCGACTAGCTTGCCTTGGTCAGCGTAAAGGAGACCTAGGTTGTTGACCGTGTTAAGTGTTGACGTGTGATCCGGTCCCCACGCCTTCTCGTGCCCTCGAAGCGCCCGTAGATACATCTCCTCGGCCTCGACTAGCTTGCCTTGGTCAGCGTAAAGGAGACCTAGGTTGTTGACCGTGTCGAGTGTTGACGTGTGATCCGGTCCCCATGCCTTCGCCTTCCCTCGAAGCGCCCGCAGATACATCTCCTCGGCCTCGACCAGCTTGTCTTGGGTTTTGTAGAGGTTCCCTAAGTTGTTGACCGTGTCGAATGTTGACGTGTGATCCGGTCCCCACGCCTTCTCGTACCCTCGAAGCGCCCGTAGATACATCTCCTCGGCCTCGACCAGCTTGCCTTGGTTAGCGTAAAGGTAGCCCAGTTCATAAAATGCCCATGCTAAGTCTTGCTCGCTACCTTGAATCGTAGCGCAAGATCGGATCGCATGTGATAGAAGCCGTCTTTGAAGTAGCCAGAACTGAGCCTCGTCCTGTGACGGAACGCGTGCAGCTACGCACTCTACGGCAAGCTTAGCTAGGCGCACATCCCGGTCTTTATTGACTATGTGAATGGTCCAAGCGTGTACGCAGCTATGAATGCTGTATCCCCTTGACTCAACTAGATCTGGAGTTATGATGTGTAGCTCGACGAACCCGTAGTCATGCAGTGTGCCCATAGCGCTGTTAAATTTCAGCTCGTCGGTCAGCTCATATGTCCACGCTAGTTGCCGAGAAATTTTCACATCTCTGCGATCCTGGAGAGTTCCATGTGAGCCAGTGACCCTTCTAGGGCGGAGAGCAGCTCGAAATCGTGTTTGGATTTTTCGAAGCGCTGATGGCTTCCTTGCTAGATCGAACCGACCTTCCCTATCGTCCATACCATTAGGCTGAAGAAGTTCAAACCATATGTCTTCGTTATCAAAATATGCCCACCATCGTAGTAAATGAGCTGCGAGAGAGTTTTGCTTCTGGACTTGTTCATATGAGAGCTGCCACGTCGAGCAGAGTGTACGGTCTTGGTATGAACCAAGGCTTGGCGTGCTTACGTGAAGCCTTGCCCATGATTCTTTGTATATGCGAAGATAATCATCGAGACCGATTGCAACGCGCCTTAAATATGCGCCGGCCGTGGCAAGGGCAAGAGGAAGTCCATCAAGTTCCTTTACGAGCTTTCTGGCATCGATATCTGTAGTATTGATTAGAAGGGCTTTATTTAGGTTGTAGATTCTTACCATCTTGTAAGTTAGCTCGACCTGAAGTCGTTGAGAGGATTTCCAGGCCGTCGTTTATCGACTCAAGCTTCTTCGTTCGAATCGAAAAACCAATATTGATCTGTGATAACCGTGATGTAATAATAATCGAGCCTTGGTACGCTATAGGGAGGAAGCGCTTAATATCGATCCCACCATGGTCCGTGCGATCGGCTAATTTCGGATTGTCATAGTTATCGTATACGAGAAGCCACCTATTGTTGCCCGGTAGACTTAACCACGCCTTAACGGCTTCGACTACCTCTTCGGCGTTCTGTTGAGGGTCTAGTCCACTCAAATGGCTCGCATTAGGATGTTGTTGTAAAATTTGCCTTGCGACTCTGCTAAAGCTCTGTTGTATTGAGGCTTCGTCCTTGAAATTGAACCAGAATATGGCGGAATACTCATTTCGATACCGTTTGGTGTATGCGACGGCGAGCTGTGTTTTACCAATGCCGCCGAGGCCATGGAGGGTCACGATGCGGCGGCTTCCGTCCGAGCTTAGTGTTCTGCGCATCTCTGCTAATTCACCCTCTCTCGCGACGAAGTGTTGTATTTCGGGAACGTCGGACAGACTAAGAGTAATGGAGAAACCTTCCCTTTGATTTCCTAGATAGGCCAGGGTTTAGCACGCCGAGTCATCTGGGGTTAATACAATCCTCACCCTGAGTAGCCTTTTGGACCTCCTCTCGTAGCCGCTTTCGTGCGTTTTCTCGCCCTTCGCCATAAATAAGTGGCATGTACACGTCAAAGATCCCTAAAAGTGAATACGCCATGTCCTCTTCATATTTTGTTTGACGATTAACAGCCCATGCCTCTCGCTCCGAGACCGTAAAGTCGGATAACGAGGCACCTCGGAGAGGCTTTATAGGAACATTGGTAACATCGCAGATTTGGAGCTCCAGAGATCTTTTGTCACCTAGCCAGAACCCTTCCTTCGAGTAGAAATCGACTGTCTTCGGCGCGATGAGCTCCTGAAGTGTCCAACCACGAGTAAACCATTTGCTGTTTCGAAAGTCCGCCTCCCAAGGCGTCGTGGTTTGTTGTGGACCGGATACTACAGTCCTGGAGACATCTGCGAGATAGACGTAACATCGTTTCGCATCGCGATACCATCGGAACATGCTATTGATCGCAGTCTGTAGCTCGATGCTATCAGACTTGTCGATACAACAAGTGTCCACCCAGAAGTACTGTATGCCATGCCGTCTCGCTTGCTTAGCACAGAACTCGATTTTTTCGTAGCCGGGTTTGTGCTGCCATTCGTCTTCTGGTCTCGCTAGGTCGCCGAAGACTACCTCGTTTGCTCCCCATGTGTGGGAAAGGATCGCGTAAGGGGGTACATCCCCGGCAGGGAGGTCTGGGGTGAGGTTATATTTGCCCGTGTCGTCGCGCTGTAAAAGCCGCATCTTATATTCTAGAAGTCATGCGGAGCAGCGTTTCGCTAGCACAAGGGAGCATCTATAACCGTAAGATCTTGGTTAAGGGGATGAAAGCAGCATTATTCCGCTGTCGCAAACGACACTAATTAGTCAGTCTGGCCTAAGGCTGCGGATGCGGGGCATAGCTATAAGCTCAGCCGCAATCTTGGGTTATATACAGAACAAAGAGAGCCCGCTAGCGTAACTAGATTACTATAGGTCTTAGCGCGTGCCATGGTTCTCGCACCTGAAGGCGCATCTTGCTCTAGAATGCCTCTAATAATGTGTAGTTGTGTTTTTGATTAGCCCTGGATTTTGCGTTTACGAATTGCCTTAATTTTAAGCTTACAAGGAATCCAAGCGTTAAAATTCTCCCCACTATTTGCCGTTAGTACGCACAGCTAACCGTTACAAAGCTAAGGTTAGTTGGTTATAAATTTAAATGAACCCAAATCTGTGGCAATATGGATGACTATAGATGTCCACAGTGTACGGAGAGCACTCCGTACACTAAGGCGACGAGCTCGTGGATCACCGAACTTGGGAAGTGGTGATCACGTGACTAGGCCAGTGGGTATATGCCCATTTTCTGTACACCGATATTCTCTTTTGTACTCTTAGACTTCTATATACTACTTGACAGTACTTATACTATCATTTCACGCTTAGAGCGTTACACCTGCGATCCCATGCTCAGGCGAACACCGTATTCACTATCCTATGCTCTAGTAGATTTAGGCTCTTCCTTTCAGTGCATTACACCAGACCTTCACTACAACAGTCCTCTATATCAACTGTAGAATCTGTCATAAAATCCCACTCTGTTTCCACCTACTCTTGTCGCATTTTCTACCTCTTTGACATTCAGTTCTAAACACTATAGCCCCGAACTTGGCGACATCAAAACATCGACAAATACATGACATGGTTCTAAGTAAAAACTGACTAATAAGGAAATTGCTAGGACAATCCTTATAATACGCGTTCTATTCGCGCTATTCTTTTGAATCTACAATGTCACGGAAGCACTCGAGCACTTGTAAAGGCCGCTAGTCGGCCGCGAACTGTCTCTACGCCTATGCTACATGCACTATGCGATTATCTTGTAGTCAAGTCGAATCTATACCTCGACGAAATGGCCGTCTTTCTGTATGACGAATTCAAGACCCTAGTATCCACGCAAAACATTAGACGGGCGTTAGCCTTAGCGGGGTGGACTAAAAAAGCTGCCCGACGTGTAGCACAACAGCAAAACGCAAATTCACGGGACTATTATCAGTATAAACTTTTGGAGTTAAAATCTTACCAGCTAGGTTACATCGAGGACGTCGATATCAAATTCTCTTTGCATACACCTAAGAAGGGATCCTCTTTTAGCGAGTGCTACAAGGATCTATAGATGGTGCCATTTTTAAGGACTTTATCGAGCAGCTCCTATATCACTACGGAAGATAGCCCGAGCCGAGATCTGTGCTAATCATGGACAATACTTCGATCCATCGATCCGATAGAGTAGCGCAGATATGTGCTACAGCCAGGGTTAAACTGCTTTACCTGCCCCTATATTCGCCCGATTTTAATCTAATAGAAGAGTTCTTTGCGGAGCTAAAGGCGTTCGTTAGGCGTAATTGGCAGATATTTATTAACAGATCATTCCCCAGCTTCACAGAGTTTCTCGAATGGTGCGCCGCAGACTCAGAAGGATTAGTCGAACGCCTGATTGCCGTGCTTAGGCTGGTTTCTTCTTATCTGATTAGAGGATCGTAAATATCAGCCTGTAATCGTGTTGTTTTCGGCCTTCTTTTCTAGCTTATGTGCAGCACCCACGTGGCGCTAGAGCTTAATCACGATCTTTCAATAGCTTTCAACCAATCGCTTCACTGCCGCCATGCTGTTCTCACTAATCGGCTGCTAGAGTTCTATACTATAGTTGGTAGAACTATAACTAAAGTTGACCCACATATGTAAAGTTGTACATATAGTCTACCTACAGTATGTATATGTGCAGCTTGTTAGGCCAGTCGGGAAAGTAGTGGGGCAAACTTGACCACAGCCTCGGTGGGCGTCTCTAGGTGAAGATAGCTACAGAAGCTTGTACTGACATAGCAGTGGTTACCATGTTCCTCGATGAAGCGGGCACAGATAAGATCACATTGCAAATTAAATAGCATTTGATCATAGAACTTGAGATTTTACATCATGATCATGCCTGACACAGTTGCGCTTGTTCGCCTTGTATCTATTTCGTGCTGCCCACAGCGGCCCTTGGGTATAGAATTTCATCATGGTCTAGTGCACGGTTGATCTCTCTCAAGATATTCCACAGTTCTCTTTATAAAAGATATCCTGCCACTGGTCTGCCTTGAAATTGGCCTCGTACAGATAGGCTCCTCCGTCAAGCCTAGTAGCTACAACTTCGACCATGACAACATTGGTCAATGCGTCCTGGCGAGCAACCACATCAGCCCCAGGTGCACTGGAGCCCCACGTCTGCGCGAAGATACGATGCAGCGAAGTTCAACATGAGCACATGGGTCCACCCAAGTCCTGGGTAATTGTAGTCAGGCTTCAGCAGAATTCAGTTCCTTTTTTCTACTACAAGACAGGAACTTCTTCGAATCGTCGACGTGAGCTTCCACCCCCTCAATGCGAGAGCCAGTTTCAATGATGACGATAGTTTTGTATCCTGTTGCGTGCCTCGGGACGTAGGGTTTGCGATAGTTACTGCTCCGTGCTTAGAGAAGTAAAGTTCTAGTCCTGACGGAATAGCCATTTTGCATTTCGTGATTTCTTGTATCATCTTTGTTCATATGACAGTGACTGCGCGGTGCCCCGTACCGCAAATCGCAGTATTCCCGAAAAATTCATGTCCAAAACCCAATGGCTTCGCCTTTTCCATCATCCTTTTCCCCAAATGACCGTTGCCAAAACTCCATGCTAAACCATGCTTTAAACAAAATATCATAAAATGCGCGCCTCAGTTGGCGCGTCTTGTGTCCTGAGCGGGATGTTGGGTTTGTAGCTTCGTAGCTAGAAAAGGTCTCTCAAATACCACGGTTGGTACCCTGTCCGGTGATACTGGCTTCATTTCTTTGCAGATGACTGGGTCATTTTGTCGGATTGAGCCTGAGCGCGACGAGGCAGGTGAGGATTTAATCGACGGGTTGTCCCAGTCCAGCGATTGCCCCGGTGGGTTTGGCCATGATTTCTCGCTGTGTGGTGTCTCAAACTTATTCGGGGAGATCTTCCGCGCAACATTCCTCCAATACAAGGCCGCCAGTAAAATCAGACCTCCTATGAGTGTGACTAAGACAATGCTGACAACAATTCCGGTGATCAAGGCGCCGCTGAAGTCTCCAGCGTTTGTCGAGTTGCTGCCCAGGTCTGCCATCTCGATGTGTTGCTATGTGTTATAGTATGGCATGAATCTTTCAAACAAATCCTCAATTTGGGAGTAGTCGTAAGAGTGAAGAAATTTGCTGCATAAAAGCGTTCCGGCACGGCCATGGTTATAAAGTCGAAAAGCAGCCGCGTTCAGTTAACATGGCTATACGTAACGGTAAGATCGTTCGTCTACGTTTCGTGTCCAACGGACTCTGAAGTCGTTGAGCGGATATCTCACGATTCGGTCGGTCTATTCTCAGCCAATGCAGCCTTCCAGCCGACGCCGCGCTCTAAAGATCGACACTTGGTGCTGTTTCAGGCAATATTGATTGGGCAGCACGAACGGCTTGGCGTGAATGAGCGCGCGAATAGTGGATACCTGAGACTGTAACTCGCACCAAATCCCGGCACGGATTGTGGGGCGTCTCATGATGTTGCGGGGAGCTTCAGCGGCTATAAAACCAACATTGTCGGGAGACCTATTTTTGTTAAAGCCCAGACGCGACTTGCTTGCAAAGCTGTTGGTGGAACGGTCTCAAACATCAGATGAATTTGCCAGCGACGTTTTGTCTCGGTCGAACTCTCACGGTTCAGATAATTAAAGAACCTGCTTCGTCACTCAGTGGAGAGAGTACTTCAGAATGCGCAAATCCGAGTCTCGTAGACCGACAGATACAAATTTGGGATTAACCCAGTCTCCATTCTGTGAGAACTTTTCTAGCGACCAAGTTCCTCGAGGAATTTCGAAGCTTTCATCTTTACTACATACATATTTGTCTCATTGCGTAACCCGATTGTGACCGTGCTTCCATCGTAACGTCTGCTGTCTGTACGAAACTGCATATCTCTTTGGTATGACAAAGGACACCTACACTCGTCACCTACTTGAGTAACAGTGGTACTGAGCAGTAGTACGGCGATGACGTTAACCCGTGTGTTGCACGGTATTTGCTGTTCGAATCAAAGGTCGATCTCGAAGAATCTGAAAATTTGACCCAACACAAGCTAAAAAGTGCGAACGTTACACAATGTATCTCGACTATTGGCGCACCATTCCTCAGTCAAAACACGTTAGGCGCGCTGACACAGGGAAAGGCAACCATTGAATCCACGGAAGCAAAATTCGTAAGTGTTAAGAAGCGGCTGGCCATTCATGGCATCCTCTGAAGGTAGATACCTAGGGACGTGGAACCGAGGGATATGCAATGATCAACAGGATTTTGAACTTAGGACTCATCAGAGACCTCTAGGCATAAAAATCAAGTATTTGAAGGCTTGATGGCCAAACTCCAAGTCCTCATGACTGCTCATTGTTTTGCCATAACCTCACCTCCCGGAACTTTCAATGTAATAAGAGAAGTATATGTCGCCAACTATAGAGATCACTTTTCACATCCAGAAGTTGTAGAATATGTAAAATAAGGGCAAGTTTATATTTTTGTGCAAACAGGTTTATCTGACAATGGTGCCCACTTGCTCTAGAGTCAGAGGATTCCCAGTTCTATGGACCTCCAGCTTGCCGCCCTTCTCATACCTCCAAACAAAAATCTGGTCTTGTATTGACCACTCGCCTTCGGAAACCGTCGCTTCTATACTCAGTTTCTTAGAGCCATCAGATTCTCGGTAATGCAGCCATGGTAGATACACAACGGCGTCACCAGGCTCTTTAGATTTTATCTCCAATGTGAACGCACCAGATCTCACGTCGAAAGACATAGACAGAGGCTCACCCACGAGTGACTGTACATAAGGGCGGCACCAAGCCGCCGCACCTCTGAAGCCGAAGAGCATTGGGTGGGTTGGGAATGAGCCTGTCTCCTCGCAATATATAGACAAGTCCTCTCCATTCCAATGATCTCCCCATTCATGGCTGTTTACAGCTGAATAAGCCCAGAGCGTGTAGTTGAGTAGATGGTCATCGCAACCGCTTAGGATCGCATCCATTGCTTTGATCTGATCCGTATAGTCGCCGTCATGATAAGCCTTCGAGTCGTCGAGATTGAAAGGAATGCCGGTCTCGCCTAGGAGAGTCGGCGTCTTCGCGTCCTTCGCCAACTCTCCTATCTGGCTCGAGATGAGCCTCCTAACATTGTCCTTGCCCACGCGAAGACCAAACACCTTGGACCTATAGTGTCCTCTCAGAATCCCAACGACGTCTGCATTCCACCTTTCGTGCCAGTGTTTCTGCATGATAGTCAAACCGTCGTAGTAATGAGGGCTATACGCAGTCAAGGGCTCGTCTCTCGGTGGCGGCGGATCAAAAACGCTAGGCTGGGTAAAGACAATAGACTTCTGAGAGTAATCCCGTATCGTCTGAGTCCATTGCTGATGGAACTCCTGCCAATAAGATGATATGAAAGACAGCTGGCCATTAGATTGGTTCTCTTTTTTTGTTGCAGCGTAGGATGTCTTTGGCAACTTGGCAAAATAGTCTGATTTGTTGAGCTCCCCAGTTTCCAAGCTCCATACGCCATGAAGAGCCCAAACGCAGGTACCGAGAGGCCACTTTGAAGATCGTTCCCATTTCCACCTCTTGTCCTCCTGTTGCAGCCAACATGAATTCTCAGGCATAATAGACATCTTGCCCGTCTTGTGCGGACCAGTTGAGCCTAGTCTGAACTCATGCACCTCTTGCGGCATGCCCATTGACAGTCGCATGCCATGAATAGGTGTCGGGTTGCTTCCAAATTTTGCGGTGTCAGAGCGCTCAGATTTACTCAAATCTTGAAGCCCAATATAACCAGGCTCCGGCTCATTCATGCTATCATAAGCGAACGGTAGGTCTCCCAGTCGCTCAGCTAGTCGACCATATGCGGCGAAGTAATGCTTCTGCAAATAGTCTTGAATATTAATACCATTAATTTGGCACTTCGGGGCAAAGTCCCGTCCACCGAAGAACAGCGCGAATAATGTACATGTCGCAAGTCTGTTGTGATTCGTCGCCCACATCATCGGTGGCATAGATTTCGGATCTTTCTCGTCACTTTCCACAGGCCAGTCACAATAGCGAATGGCAGCATGGGTCAAGCCGAAGTTGTCGGGGTTTAGTCCGCATGCATGAATAGTCCATAACGGCGCCCCGCTACCACCAACGTGCCTTGACCAAAGATCCTGATGCGGATTGATGATAACCTTGAAGCCATGCTCGACACAGATCTGTAGGAGCTGTCGAATATATTCGATATATTCATCGTCGTAAATGCCGGGCCCTTCATGCTCTAGCGCCTCCCACACAACAGGCAATCTCAGGACATTGAACCCTAGCCACCGAAGCTTCTGCAAGTGCGCCGGGGCCTCTTCCAACTTGAGGGGAGCCCCAATATATGAACAATTAGCGGCATCTTCCAATGATTCGAGTCGATATGTTGGTCGGGTCGGTGGGAATTTGGCGTCGGCCAAATTGACACCGCGTAGCAGAACGGTGCGACCGGCCTCCTGGAAATGCATACCGATTCCAGTCTGTGCTTCAAGCCAAGAGTCCCTTGGAGTTCGCTGGGTAAAATAGCCTAAAATGATGGACCAACCAGTAAGTCCTACGCACCCTGCTGCAAAATGCTTATTATAGTGATACTAATGCTTGTAGAAATTTTTACAAGCGAAGCAATAATTGCATACTATAGAGAAATCAGGTTCTTCATGCTGAATTTTGGTGATCTCATGACGTCAACAAGCATGTCTTCGATCTGTGTCAGTCATTGCGCTAATCAAGCCTCCCATTTGCCATTTCAATGTCTTAGCGGGTGCCTCAGTGGAGCTCTTTTTTACTATGTATGAAAGAATTATAATAATCAAGTAAATCTATACAACCTGACGAACAACGACATAGTAAGAAGAAACCTTTAATGCAGGCAGACAGTAATAGAATTTATATATTCGATTATTTCGCAGACATGTGTAAATTTACGCTTATCGTTTAGGATCCGCGTGCAGAATGCTTACTTCTCTGCGCAGCCGTCGAAAACTTTTCGAAAATCCCTCTCATATTTTAGGGGAAACTCTTCGAAGGAACAGTGTCTATTTTGCGGCCGAACAACGAAACAAGAGGTTCACGGAGCTGAATACCGAAAACCACAATTGACTTGAACAGAAAGAAAGAAAAGGAATAGAGAGAGGGGAGATTACAGGAAAGAGTTCACTTAGTGAATCTCAACATTTTCAAGCAGTGAATACCACGAAATTTAAATTTTCCTGGTGGCCTGACAAAGCAACAGGATGTCCTCTCTGACATGTTGTACGCGTTGCTGACCCGATTGTGTCCATGCCGAACAACAGAATCTTATAGCAGCTTGTCAGGGCATCAGAGGTTCAGGATTGTATAATCAAATGGACAGAAATGTTCATATGCTGCAGAAGAATACGATGTATTTACAATTTTGAGAAAACTGTGGCTACACTGCCGCCCATCTCAACAAGTGTGCTTTTGTTCCTGACCCATGCTTCCAACCCGCGTCTTCCGTTTTCGACGCCGACACCGCTTTGTTTCCAGCCGCCAACCGCCATCTCCGCAGGCGACTCGCCCCATGTATTAACCCAAGTGATGCCGGCTTCTAGTTGGCTAATGACCCGATGGCACTCGTTGACATCCTTGCCGAAGACACCTGCAGCCAGGCCAAGCTCTGTCGCATTTGCACGTCGGACTGCCTCGTCAACGGTGTCGTATGTGAGAATGGACATGACGGGGCCGAAGATTTCCTCTTTGACAATAGACATGTCATCAGTGCAGTCCGTGAAGACTGTAGGCTTTACCCAGTATCCCTGCTTAACCGCGCTCGGCAGTCCTTCCGGATGACCAGTACCGCCGCACAACAGTTTTGCCTTATCATCTTCGACACCGCGCTTGATGTGGTTTTGGACTTTCTCGTAGTGGGATTTGCTGCTAAGGGGCCCAAAGTTTGTATCCATATCGAAAAGATCACCTGCCCGCACGAACTGTATCTTCTCCTTGATTGTCTGCTCAAACTTTTGTTTCATTGATTTCGGAACGAACACCCTCGTGCCATTTGTGCACACTTGACCTGTGCTGTAGAAGTTTGCCAACATCGCGCCATCAACGGCCTGGTCGACATCGGCATCCGGAAGCACGATGACCGGACTCTTTCCACCCAATTCCATCGTAACGTACTTCATGCCGCCTGCAGCAGAGCCAGCCACCTTCTTACCAGTGCTGACTTGTCCTGTAAAACTGACTTTGGCGATTGCAGAATGACTTGTCAACTGAGCTCCAACTTGGCCGGCGCCGTACACCACATTGAATACGCCGTCGGGCAGTCCTGCCTCTTTGTAGATGCTTGCCAAGTAGTGTGCATGCAGCGGCGTAAACTCACTTGGCTTGTATACCATACAGTTGCCGGCAGCCAAGCACGGTGCAGACTTCCATAAGGCGATTTGTATTGGGTAATTCCAAGCGCCTATGCCAGCACAGACGCCGAGGGGCTCTTTGGTTGTGTAAACCCAAGCACTTGGCCGCAGGCGGAAAGACTCGCCATTTAAACCACCGCTAGAAACAAGATTGGCAAAGTACTCGAGGACATCAGCGCCAGTTACAATGTCCACTGCTGAAGTTTCGGAGAATGGTTTGCCAGTATCTAGAGTCTCGACCTTGGCTAACTCATCGTTCCTCTCTCTTAAAAGAGCAACTGCTCGCAGCAGGACACGAGCCCGCTCAATAGGTGGGGTGGCTGACCATGAAGGGAAAGCGGATTGTGCGGATTCAATGGCTTTGTTAATTGAGGCCTCGGACGAGGTGTGAATAGTGCATACCGGCCGAGCGGTTGAAGGATCGATTGTTTCAAAGCTGCCGGCCGAGTCCGATGGTTGCTGCTTTCCCGCGTAGAAGGTATGGCGGTCCTCTTCGCGGCGCTGTCCGGCTGCCATAATGAGAGTAGTTGATAGTCGGATGGGATTGCAGATGCAGATGCAGCAGAAACGAGCTCTTGCAGTTTGTCTTGATAAGAATCGTTCGACTAATGTAATAACCCCAGATCTGATAAAAAGAATTAAGCCAATGCGACGAAAGGATTTAACAGACAAGGTAATCGCTGCACAAGCTGCAACACAAGCTGACGACGGTTCAAGATCTAAAACCCCGCCACCCCAATTGTCTATCAGAAACTATCCGGGATACCGGCCACAGCGATGATAGCTTGACTTTTTGAGGCGAAGATATCCGAGGCATGCGGGAATTCAGGCGCTAACTGATAGCGAGTGGAGCGATCGTAAGAAGCTCAAGGGTTATCTTTAGGTAAAGAAGCGCCGGTTGATCTGGAGAATCAGGGGGGTAGCTCTTTATGTTTGGATCTACGTCATTGAATAATGGCCTGACAAATTGTAATGGATTTCGTGAAATATTCTAGCCTTGGCTTGGCGGTGAGGTGAGGAGATTCTTTTGTCTGTACAATGTACATACGAATACAGTACTCCGTACAACACGGAGCAGTGCGCAAAGAATACCGATCACGAGGTTCGGCTCCCTTACAATCAGGACATGGTAGCCCGGGCTGACCGCATCGCATTCTTCTAAAGCACATGGCTCGACTGTACTGGCGTCATGGCTAGGCCAACCCCAAACCCAAAATACCTGATACTGCGCCTCACATGCATCCGGTTAACTTTTTTTGTCCTCTTTGTCGCTACCAGTCAGTGATCACACGAGTCAAGGACCCTGCCTACAAGATACAGGTCGTCTTCCCCACCCCGGTCCTGGAAACAGAGTACCTTGCATCCACTTGGCGGCGTCTTGAAATTTTCTAGTGGACCGCCGGTGCTCTAGGGCGATTGTAGGGAATTGCCGCGTCAAACGCATCCGATCCCGATTTGTTCAAATACTAGATAAGCTGGCTGCGCGGTCAAAAGAAGCAATCATTAACGTTCCGACTGTCATCAATCGGTGTTTGTTTATTTGCTGTTGATTGATATCAAGTTGCTCATTATATATCCAAGTAAACATGGCTACCACCACCCAGCTACCCGTGGCTGACACCGAAAGGTACGACTATGTCATCGTAGGTGGAGGAACTGCCGGGTGTGTCATAGCCGCTCGTCTGGCTGAATACTTGCCTCACAAAAGAATTCTCCTCATCGAGGCTGGCCCAAGTGATTATATGGATGATCGTGTCCTAGATTTGAGACAATGGTTGAGCTTACTTGGTGGAGAATTGGACTACGACTATGGCACAATCGAACAACCAGAGGGTAAGTGTCTTAGTATTGTGAGCTGCTGACAGCATCTAACGGCTTTATAGGCAACTCTTACATTCGTCACTCGCGTGCCAAGGTCCTGGGCGGCTGCTCATCACACAACACTCTCATCTCCTTCAGACCTTTTGAGTATGACATGAAGATCTGGCAGTCACTGGGCGCCAAGGGCTGGACTTTCGATGCCATGGTGAAAGCCTTGAACAAGCTGCGAAACACAGTCCAGCCCGTGCACGAGAGACACCGAAACCAACTTTGCTTGGATTGGGTGGACGCTTGCAGCAAGGCACACAACATTCCAGTTCTTCACGATTTTAACAAGCAGATTACCGAGACCGGCTCATTGAAGCAAGGTGTTGGTTTCTTCTCTGTCAGCTATAACCCCGACGATGGTCGCCGATCTAGTGCATCGGTTGCATATATTCACCCTATCTTGAGAGGCGAGGAGCAGCGCCCTAACTTGACCGTGCTGACCAACGCATGGGTATCGAAGCTTAACGTTAAAGATGGTGTCGTCAGTGGTGTTGATCTGAAACTGCAAGATGGCTCACCAAGAACTATCACGGCTAAGAAGGAGACTGTTCTATGCGCTGGTGCTGTCGACACTCCTAGATTGTTGCTGCTTTCCGGAATTGGTCCCAAGGAGCAGCTATCGTCCCTTGGCATCCCGGTTGTGCACGACCTTCCTGGTGTTGGCGAGAACCTCCAGGACCACCCTGAGAGCATCATTATGTGGGAGCTGAAGAAGCCAGTCCCCGAGAACCAGACTACAATGGACTCAGATGCCGGTATTTTTCTGCGACGAGAGGCTCCTAATGCTGGGGCTAAGAAGTCCACCGCCAACCCCGATGGCATTCCTGATGGTGACATCGCTGATGTTATGATGCACTGCTACCAAATACCTTTCACACTGAATACTCTGCGATTGGGATACCCGGAGATCAAGCACGGCTACGCTTTCTGTATGACACCCAACATTCCTCGCCCGCGATCCCGTGGCCGCCTGTACTTGACATCGGCGGACCCCAACGAGAAGCCTGCTCTTGACTTCCGTTACTTCACCGACCCTGAGGGTTATGATGCCGCGACCCTTGTCTACGGTATGAAGGCCGCCCGTAAGGTTGCCGCTGAGGCTCCTTTCAAGGACTGGATCAAGGAGGAGATCTCCCCTGGACCGAAGCTGCAGACTGACGAGGAGTTGAGCTTGTATGCCAGAAAGGCTGCTCACACCGTCTATCACCCTTGCGGTACAACCAGAATGGGTGATGTCGCCACGGATAAGTTGGCCGTCGTCGATGAGAACTTGAATGTTGCTGGTCTCAAGAAACTGAGAATTGCTGATGCTGGTGTTTTCCCCACCATCCCTACAATCAACCCCATGCTTACTGTCCTGGCTGTTGGCGAGAGGTGTGCTGAGATGATCGCTGCAGAGGCTGGAGCGAACGCCAGGTTGTAAATGTTTTATCAGAAAAGCAACGAAGGGCCATCTAACCTACCCCACAATGAAGGTACGGTCTTTGCCTAGATTCACGAAGTTCATGGCTCGTGCGACGTATTGGATTCAGCGGCATTTTCATTCATGTATGGATATCTAGGCGTTATATGTAGGCTTTGTAAAATTGGAAATATTTTATTTTTGTCAATCACTTATATCTCATGATCCTTCACAGTATACCCTCGCTGCCTCGCCTATTACTGCTCGAGCTGGCATGGTGAACATCACATCATTGACTGTGCGATGGCGTGCTACGTGATAGTGGGGTTTTATCGGTGTAAACTGTACGCCACTGGCTGCGCTCAAGCTGAAAGACTTTGAGGCGTATTGAGCAGCAATACGAAATCAGTTGTTTCCGCATAAAACCCAACCATGGCACCTACAATCCGTCTCGTGGTGCTCTCACACCTCGCTCTCTTATAACAACTTTGCTACGAGCGTATCACTATCTTCCGTAGGGACCTCTTCATGGCTGAACTGAGCGAAAAAGAGGCTGCGGCCTCTGGCACCAAGCCTATCAAGACCCCTGATGACCATATCCCGGGATTACCAAGAGCGATCGAAAACAAAGTAGGTGCCGATGCGGCACTGGAGATGCTCAGGGAAACTGGCGGCTTGACCCAGCCTTTGGATCCAGAGCGCAACAGACGTCTTCTCCGTCGCATTGACTTTCATATTATGCCGCTGATCTGCACTGTGTATTTTCTGCAGTATATCGACAAGACAGCAATATCGTATGCCAGTGTGACAGGCCTCCAACAATCCACTGGACTGGTCGGAAACCAGTTCAACTGGGTTGCGTCGATCTTCTTTTTCGGACAACTGCTGTTTGAGTTTCCCACGATCAGACTGATGCAGATGTTCCCTCTGGCTAAGTACGTATCCGTCAATGTGACTCTATGGGGTACAGTTCTGGCGTGTATGGCGGCATGCAAGAGCTATGGAGGCCTTCTGGCGTGCCGCTTCTTTCTCGGCATGCTTGAGGCTGCAATCGTGCCTGCTTGGGTTCTTTTTACATCACAGTGGTATAGCAAGGAGGAGCAGGTCTTCCGTGTAGGAATATGGTTCTCGGTATGCGGTGCAGCACAGATGTTCGGCGGCTTCTTCGCCTATGGTGTGGCTATTCATGTTGGGGCGGACCCAAATGCCGCGTTGAAGGGCTGGCAGGTGATATTCCTGTTCCTAGGACTCTTTACGGCTCTTATTGGCATTGCATTTTGGTTCATCATGCCGGACTCACCCGCAGTAGCCGGGTTTTTGGACAAGGAACAGAAAGCTCTCCATCTCGAGCGTATCAGAGGCAACGAGCAAGGTATCGGGTCGCAAACCTTCAAGTGGGCGCATGTCCGGGAAGCACTTACGGATACAATGACCTGGCTCTATGCTTTTTGGATCTTCGCTGCCAACATACCAAACTCGATTGCAACCAGTTTTGGAAACATCCTGGTCAAAGGTATGGGTTATGGCAGCGAAGAGTCTTTACTCCTTGTGACGCCCCTCGGTGCCTGGGAGATTGTGGCACTTCTGGGCTTGACATATGGTGCAATGAAAACAAGGCAACGCTTGTACTTTTGCATTGCTGGTCATATTCCAGCCATTATCGGCGCAATACTAATGGCGACGACCGACCGCATTCCCGCGCTTATCGGCTATTACACGAGCGGTAGTATTCCAATTGGCTGGACGACAATACTCGGACTACAGAGTTCTAATGTGGCGGGATCAACGAAAAAGGTCACGGTCGCAGCCATAGGGACGATTGCTTACACAGTTGGGAATATCATATCACCGCAAACCTTCCAGAGTCGCGATGCCCCGAGGTATTTGCCCGCCAAGATCTCTATATGTATCATTTACTTCTTGATCACTATTGACCTGCTCATAATGCGATGGGTCTTGGACAAAAGAAACCGGAAACGAGACCAAGCGAAAGTGGCTTCGGGCGATGCATATAAAACGGAAGAGAACCATGAGTTTTTAGACTTGACTGACCTTGAGAATAAGGAGTTCCGCTATGAGTTGTAGCATTCAGTTACAACCAAATGTATAGTGGGTTGTAAACATCACTACAGTCACGTAAATACTCATATTGCACACGACTTCCGATCAGTCATTTCGGTAATTCCAGGAATCTGGGTCTCTTAAATAAAACCAATCAGGATGGAGGACAAGAGTACACCAACTGGCTATGGTCGAAGACTGGGCTTACGTCCAATCTTGCAGTGAACCACGATCTTTCAATACACGTTGTTTCCCACTGCTCAATCCTCATAAATTTGGTTATTTGTAATGCTCGTGCGAAAGGAATTTGAATTTATTGACTGTTGCACAAGATAAACTTAGCGATGTGGCTCATAATGCGGAAACTTTGGAGCTCGAAGAACCTATCTAACATTGGCCAGTATGTGACCTTTTCGCACAGATGGATATGCTTGGTGCTTGCTGTATCAACGAAAATAGCAGCGTTTAGTTACCAAGGGTCACTAGCACTATACCCAAGGGTAGTATTTCTAGAGATTGTATTCCACAAGCGTTGATGCTGCGATTTCTCATGGGTGATTTGTAGATTTGGTTAAATGTTACGACTTTCAGGCGGATTTGCCCGACCATATTGGATTGGAACGGTGTCAAAGCTTGTCTGAATATTTCCTAAGATTGTGTTGTGTAATTATATCATCCCGTATAAAGACGAAACTCCAGCCATTTGTTATAAGAAGAAAAATTGGAAGTTGAGATAATTGATAGGGATATTCAATATAGAGTCTTGATAGGATCATTATGTGGGGCTTTGATGATTCAACTACTCACTTCAGACGAAGTTAGCTCACTTTCACTTATCTACTCTCGCACCTTATCAGACTCATGCCACAAAGTTAACCATAATCCCCTCACAGCTGGGACGTATTGGTGAGAAACACAAGCTATGTCCCTGTTCTTGACGTTAATCATAGCATGGAGGCATTTCCCATACAAATGACCAGCCAGCATTCAGTACGATCCACTGCAAAGTCTTCTGTTCAACAATGAAACGGCGGTTCTAACAAGATTCCCTATTATTAAGGAGTATGTGAATATTTTGGGAGGTATACATTGTGCCTTAAAGAACGCATTCTCCTCAGTTGAGCACTCGGTAGGAACAACTGACATATTTAAGATCTCTATTAATCTCTAGAGAAGTCTTTGGAGTTTTTCAAGCCTGCAGCACTATCGTCTGGGCCTTTGGAGTCCGTTGACATTGATGGATGCCGTCCAGATTCATTAGAATAAGTGCCCTGGCCGTTCCAACACAATGGTCCATCGTACTGAAATGAGGCAGCAGTGGCAACCAGGATGGTCTTCAAACAGGCTGGTCTTGCAGACCAGGACGCTGTGGTTTGGTGTGTATTTGCATACTACCTTGCTCGAAGGTAAGCCACCCCTTTTTGAATTACGCCAGATAGTATCGGGATGATAGACCACCGCTATGTAATCTTAGTGTCCACAGAGCTATAGAAACCCACCATTTCTCAAAAGAGGAAAAAAAAATACTACTAATAGCATTTTCATAGCTCACGAGCCTAGTCGAAATAATATGGTATTAGGACGGTGATACGCTGCTTTGGTGACGGGAGAAGCTATACTGCAAGATTATTGTGGGGGATAAGCAATTACGTATGGGTCACACGCATTTGGGCTGTAATTGAAACTGATAAGTTGCGATTCTGATTACCGCTCCATAGCTGATGTAGAAGAATACTAAAGCTGTTTCTGTTCCATCATAGGTCGCAGCGTGCCCTAGCGCTAAGACTGTCTGTCGATAGACTAACAATACGAACCACAACCGAAATCCATCGTCAAAATTGTTCATTTCCCTGATCGGTAGGAAGTCCAAGCATTAGCCATCCTCGTCGCCTGACCGGCCGTGAACGAAGTATAACATGAATCATCAGAATAGTCCACTATTTGATGTTAGCATCACCTCTTGTCTAAACTGTCGCGAAACGTACTGTAGTTGTGAATAGGATCAACTCCGGTAATAGTAGGACAGCTATCCTTGCCAGTATCGCACCCATAACTTTCTGTGCTTTCCTGTGGTGTGTCTGCAATCATGTCGCCCTGGTTGCTGGTAGCACAGCTGTAGCCGGTCTGATCATGTTTTCTCAAGTCAGTCTTCTTCGATCACGACGTTCTTCAATCAAAAGGCCAACATGTGTATGCTTATACAGACGTCATAATCGAAGAGCTGGTTCTTGCACTTACGAAAGGGTGAAGCAAGCTAAGCCAATGCCCCGTCTCATGAACGGCAGACATGCCCAGGTTGTAATTAGTCATCTCTTGCCCGGGCATAGTCCCAGTAAACAGATGACACCCATCCTTGGCGAAATCCAGCGAAGTACTCGCCGGGACAGTAGCCAGAGGGAACGTGCACTGGCCCAGGGTGTCCGCAGGCGGGTTACTGTAGAAGAAGAGGTTGAGATCCGCGTACTTGGCGGACCGGTACTGCTTCAGGTAGTTCTGGATCGAGGCGCCGGCATTCCAGTTGGGGAAAATACCGTCGCCGGTGGCCAGGGTATTGTCCTTGATGCGGTCGGAGCCGGCGAGGACGAACTGCACGCCAGAAGCCGCGTAGGCCGTGTTCATGACCTTGAGCTGGGACTGGAAGAGGGCGTCCGAGGGGTACGTGCCGGAGACGGAGGTGTTGACCAGCGCGTGGAAGTAGACCTTGACGGAGATGGTGGCGCGGGTAGAAAGGGAATCGGAGACGAATGTGCCGTTTGAGTCGGCATCGGCAAGTGCTTGGATGGCTGCGAGTTCTTCGGTCGACGGCTCTGCGTTGCAACCAATCTGGCGGCCAGTGCGCGGACGATGTAAGGCAGAGGCTTGAGATAGAGGCAAGAGTGCCAGCGAAAGAACACTGAGGTTACTGAGACGCATAGTGGACAAGGTATGACTGAAGCTTTTCTTTCTCTTTACAATGCGGCAAGGACAACACGAAGAATTCTGGGAGCACACACTCGAGACTACAGGTCAGAGAAGTTGGTGTGAGATGTGATGATTGTAGTTGTGCCTGTTCTGGTTTTCTTTGTAGCTTTATATACATGATACGAACCACCTCGAGTTTAGGGAGATGCCCGTAACCATGACTTTGTCTCATCACTCTATCAATATTCATATCTTCCACTTCCAGGATCTTAGCATCTTACAGAGCTCTTACTCGTGGAAGACACAGGCGCAGCTTACCCATGTCAGTGACATGATGTTTGCCCGTCTGATCTGCGCACGCAAGCCATCATTTTCAATAGTGTCGTCGGATGTAAGATACACTTTCGGAAGGAGAGACAATGGCAGACTCGTCTTGTCAAATCAGCCTCCGGCTGAATTTTTAGGCAGGCCAGGCATGATCTCGTGATAGAACACTTAGGGATTGTGTGACTAAATTGCAATCGCGCCCATGTGCGGCTGCCTGACCAATGATCTGATCCCTGGCGAATCCGGTAGTTTGGCCCCATGCAGTTCAGCTTCGCCTCGCAGGCGCCTCTTGGACCCCAAGAAAGCAAGGGATAAGGTCCTGCGACTGGATTCTCTGTGTGTGCGCTTGGTTGGCTAATCGGAAGGATTACCTATACGTATAGGATGCATCCACAAGCCCACACCTACAACATGATGCGCTGAGTTTATCACTCGGCCAAGGTGGCACCTGTCGATCATTTTGAAACCCTATTCGACCTAGATAGTGGCTGGGCACAAATATTGAATCCTCTTTTCGGCTTTCATGACTTGTTCCGGTATCCGGGTTGTAAATCGACCATGGAGAGTCCAAGAAGTGGCTTACGAGTGTGGTTCGGAGATCGAGACTGCTATGCTTGGGTGTCGGCCGTATTCCTTACCCGCTCACACCTACACAGTGTTACCTGGGTTTTGCATGCAAGGACCCGCCCTAAGCAAAAAAAACCACCCAAAAATAAGCGATTCTCGGTTAGCATGTAGAAAAAGCGTCCGGATGCTATGGGATCATTTTCCAGTTGTCGCTTCTTCAGCGTCGGGATCTTCGCCAGCCTCGATGGCCTCCTGTCTCTTCCTCTCGGCTCGGGCCTTTTTCTTCTCGAGAAGCCTCTTCAGCTCTTTGGCTGAGTTAAAAACGCCGTTTGTCCCCGCACCACAAGCCGCACAGCTGGGGTCCTTCCTATATCGTTGAAGAGCGCATGGCTCACAGAAATAGTGTCCACATCTTGTCTTGATTGGGCTTCGGTAGTCCCCCTTGCAAATAATGCATGCGAAGGGGATCTTCTCGAGAAGAGCTGCATCGGCCTCGTCGTTGTCCTCCGGATTCCTTGCACGGTCCGCGCTAGCGACGACTGTCCCACCCACGTTCTTCTTTCCCTTGGTTTTGATCTCCCAATCGCGATCGAGCTGCCACCCCTGCGAATAAGCCTCACGGGCGTGGAGAAACTTGCAGTTGTCACCAAAGCCGCAGAAGCCTGTCTGCTTGTAGTCCTTGCACACATCGGGGGCGTAGTCGGTAACGGTGATGGTCCGGATGTTGGTTGGCGCCTTGACTGGACCGACCGTCCGACTAGGGGCGTCGGGATTCTTCTGGATGAATGTGGTGCGATTCGCCAACCCCTTGTAAGTGCCATCAGGTTGCTGCTGCTGTACACTAGCATCTGCGTCTGCGCCAGACTTGGGCATGGGTCTCGTCTTGCCTAGAAGGTTCGAATCCTCATCATACCAGTTGCTCTGCTTTGTGGCATCATTGGTGGAGGTGATGGGGAGGTTGCGATCAGCAGAGAAGATGGTCGCCGACTCATGATGGGAGGTGGCGTTGTTCTTGGAAGAGGCCGTCACTACAGCACTACTCTTCTTCCTCCGCTTTACCGGCTGTCCTTGCTCGTTTTCCGACGACGAGTAGTCTGAATCATCGCTGTCACTGTTGGCAGGGGGCGGAGTTGCTGGTCGCTTTCGAATGTTCGCCTTTCCTTTTCGACTCTTGAACACGACCGGAGCGACAGGTGCGTTCGCTGTGGTGTCTGCCATGTTGATCCTTGAAACAGGGAAAGCCTGGACTTGGAAAGGGAAGGAAGATGCTCAGTGGAGAAGAATGACAGACCACCACTCTTTTCTGCGATGTTATCGTTTCGAAAAAAGCAACGATGGAGTCCCGGATGCGCAAATTGGTCATTCAACTCAGCCTTCTCGAAGCGTGTCGAAGGTGTTGAAGAAGAGCTAAGGTTAGATGGGTGGGCAACTAATCGGGCTTAGCCTAGCTTAGCCTTGTCTGTCTAGAGTCGACGAAAGTGACGTATCCTTCATCCAACGACAACGACGACGAGTATGGAGACAATGCAATGCTACACTTCCACATGTTTAACACATGTAGGTATATTATTTGCTACGGACAAATACTTGAATTCCACCTTGTTATCAATACTAAACTCCGTACAGGAAGAGGTCCAAGGTCCCTTGGTTTCCTGCGGAATGCGTGGAAACGTTGGGGGAACGCTCGTGAGGTGAGGGGAGGTACGCTGTGCCAAACTTGCTCCTGTGGGTCTGGAGAAACGCTCTACCAAGCCAGTCGGCTTGTGGTGTGCTTGTCTATGTAGCACATGGCGCATTTTAGCTGGGTTCGTTGCAGAAGGACATGATTAACTTACGGTGAAAGAGTTGCCGAGCCAGCGGAACGAAGAAAAAAATCATGCAGAGCTGTCCATGTTTCCCAGGTTCAAGGAAATGTGCCCAGTGTACAGATCCGTCCTGTACTGTACGGAACTACGAAGGCGAGGTGGTTTGAGTGCCCGTGGGGTAGAGGTGGATTCCTGGACTCGGGGGCCCTTGCCTGGTTGCACCTGGAGCACAGTCATGCGTGAATTACACAGTGCAAAGTGCTCCACGTTTTACATAACCTGTAGGTTAGATATTTAATTCCAATTTAACAACAAGCACCTAGCCTCGGCGACGCTAGCAGAGGGGTTCTCTTGGTGCTAAAATTGGATTTCTTTCAAAACTTTATGCACAACACCAGGGACAAATGCTTCCCAATGAATCAAGCAAGCTCTCACAATTCGCATACAATTGTATAACAACAGCCCCTGAAGACCACGACGTTCTGCGTCAAGGCCCATGGCGAGATTGCTCTGCATCTCCATGAATCGTGTGCTAATGAGACTCGGCGGTTCAATTTGAAGCACAGTTCTGGGTAAACAAACCTCACATGTAAACATTCGCCGAAATTTCATCCAGGCCGTCATGTTCCGCCCGTCTGTGTGTCTCACTTAAAGAACTATAACAAGACGTTATATAGTCAACGTTAGTAATGCTCCAACTCGCACGACCAAGAGTCCCCAAGCATCCTGGCTGTGACTCGGTTGAGCGTGATGTGATGTTCAGCTTGAACAACAGACTCCAAGCCTAAGATCCTTGCCCCATCTTATTTGTGGGTGCCAGCATGGTCCTTGCTGATGGTGCCAGCGTTTAACAAAACACCGAATGAGGAAGTCGGATGGTGGCATTTTCTTCCTCTCGTCTACACGGGCACTTTTCTTTGACATTTCTTGACTATCCCCGCCGTCTCTGCCTCACGCTCTTTTCCCCGTCATATTTCCTTTCCTTTCGGTGTCGTCACGAACCAAGTCGAGCTAGACAGTTGTCGAGAATCTAGTAGCTCGCGTACTTAACTTAAAGGCCTTGCCGTGTAAGTCAAAGGTCGGCTGCCAAAGTTGCTGATTCTCTAGGGCTGAATTCCGTCGGCCATTGTTTTGGACAAGACGCGTCTCGGACAGCGCACCCCTCTCTTTACTGGCCTATCCCACCACCAATCGACCGGCCGATACCTTCGATTCTATACAGCAGCAACTCTCATTGGATTTTTTCGATTTTTTCTTTCTTTCAATTGTAACTTCAATAACGCTCTTGGTCCTAATTTCTTGGGGGCACCCGTTTCTATAATCTGTAATCATTCTTGCGACCAGCAATCTCAACTTTCGCTTCCGCTGTCTGTCTGTTTTCTCCACGTCGCATTCGCAATCTTCGGTTTTGGGCGACTCAATAGGGGCGACCCTATACGGAATCTACCGCGACTTCTTCTTCTCTCTCTCTCTCTCCCTCCCAACTCTGGACGACAATTGTGCAACCAAGCTCCCGGGAAGGCTACCAGCCCGCGTAACGCCAGCTTCAACAGTCCAGCGGGCTACTTGGTCACGCATTCTCCTTCGTGTCACTTTTAAGTTGGACCGTCATTATAGGGGATACCATATAGGTGCAGGTCAACGAATGAGCGAAGGACAAACTGCATTTCAAAGACGGATTAGAAGATTGATACGATTCTTAGCAAAATATCCCCGACGGCCGCTATCTCGCATTTAGGCGCGTTCCTGGTCTAGGCCATCGACATCTTGCCTGTACTCGTAGTTCGACACTTCAGTACAAGCTGCAGAAGATCAAAGTCGCCCAATAATCTAGTCGTGCATTCCAGCTTATTTGCTAGTCTGAAACCTCAACCACTTAGCCACTGACGTTCTCCTACTCGAACGCGACAGAGCTCGATACTGTCCCTACTGGCAGCATTGTTCATTCCAGCTTCAGGTCAAACCGGCCTTTTTACTGGTCACAGTACCATTCGGCTCTATCACCACCACCACAGGGCCGGCTCTGCTCCTGCCGCACCTTGTTTCGTATCACCGCCTACTTGAGCATCTGGTCATCTCGGGGAATCATTTCCGGGAACCAGACAAACACCACGTTTCGGCAAAACGATCATCATTACAGGCTTTGTGTAGTGCGAGTCTAGACTGTATGTTGCACATCTAATCAAGAGGGGAAATTGCGTCCCTTTCGCAGCGGTGCCTGCCACAGTCGAAACCGTCAGCATGGCGTCTCCTAGGTGGGGAGGCGACTTCTCGCCGTCCGCCCCTCCCTTGAATGTGGATATAGATCAGAACGACCCTTTTATTGATACGGATAATTCGCCCGAAGATGACAGAGAACCACCACGTCGATATTCCCACCTTTTCGCCCTGGGTTCCAGTGCCTCGCCAGCCCAGGCAAAACGAGCACTAGAAGCACACCTGGCCGAGACAGACCGCCGGATGGAAGAGGCCGGGAAGCTGGGCACTGCTTTGGTGCAGCAGCGAATGGAGCTTGCTCAGCGGCTCGAAGAGGTGGAACAGCTGCAAGCCGAGGAAGAGGTCACTGAGGATCTGCGACAGAAGCTCGTCGAAATTGAGAAAGACTACAATGATGTGGCAAGGGAAAGTGCGAGGGCATTTCTTCCCAAACCCCGGATTCCTAGCAACGAAGCTGCAGCTGGTTCGCCGTTCGTGCCTGAAGGCAAAGGTGGTAGAGGGGTAGGTCTGAATCATGCTCCCGCCGCAATAGCCCAAGTTATACTAATATTTTCGCTTGCTATAGCGTTCCGTTAGCCCTTCCAAGTTCGAAGCCCAAGCTACGGCTTCTCCAACAAAGCTTAGTGTGCCGAATCGAAAGCTCCGCAATCAGCCCGCCAACCGCATACATGATATAGAGTTCGCTGCTGAGATTAGTCAGTCACTTATTGTTCAAGTAAGGAATCTTCAGCAGTTGTTGGCCGAAAGAGAAGAAGAGCTTCGAGATGTCAAGCTGGAAAAGTCCAAGCTGGAGTATGACGCCGAGGGCTATCAGCAGCGAGTCAAGGCTTTGGACGAGAGCCAGAACAAGTACAAGGATGAGAACTGGAGTCTGGAGACACAGGTCCACGAATTGATGGCATCTCAAAGAGAGTCTGCAGATCGCGAAAAGAAGCTGCATCAGACTGTCAGCATCCTCCAGGCCGAAAAAAATAATGCGCAGCGGGAATTGGACGAGGTTAAGCTCAATCATGCCAAGTTATCCGAAGAGCACACGGCCGCCGTTAAGCATCATGATACCGAGCTAGGTGCCGCCAAGCGAAACATTGTCGTTGCTGATTCGGAACGAGCAACCTTGCTACGCAAGATTGAGGATTTGACTGGGCAAAATCAAGAGCTAGCAAAGGCCGTTTCGTCCCAGAGAGGCAGAGCCCTCGATCGCCCAGAACCTCTAGGTACGAGTGATGAGGACTTCCTGACAGCCAACGACAACGATACCCCGGAACACTCCCCTCCGCCGTCGCCCATCAAGGGAACGCCTCGCCATGCCATGCTAGAGTCGGAAACCCTCAGGACTTCACTCCAACATGCTCAACGCACCATTCAAAGTCTCAGAACGAACGTTCACCGAGAGAAGACCGAGAAGCTCGAACTCAGACGAATGCTTCAAGATGCCCGCGACGAGCTTGAGAAGGAGCGAAGTGACCCTGCTCCGAAACCCGTCAGCAAGCGCAACAGCAAGGGTCCCTCTCGCGACTTCAAGAAACCACCCCGACTGCTTGGTGGTCTCCGGAGCGCTCGTAGCGAAGTCGTTGCTCCCGAGGATCTTGAATGGGAGGACCAGGCGAGCCAAGTTGGTTCTAGTCCTGCACAGCCTCCGCCTCGTCAGCAGGTTTCGGGCCATTTCGCTCCTGTTACCGAAAGCGTTGAGACGGCCAACTTCGACACCGCGAATGAGACGAGTGATCAAGCATTCGAAACAGCCAATGAACAGGGTACCGAGACCGACGACTTCCAGACTGGTGCCGAAGAGTTCTCCAGTGACGATGCCGAGACCGAGACAGATAGTCCTAGCAAGCGAAACACAATCAGAGGCCGACCTGCTGGACTGCCACCGGCACATTCCCGAACCATCTCCAATTACAGTACTGCATCTACCGAGGACGAGTACGAGTTTGATGACATGCGCACACCAACGTCTCAGTTGCCAGGACTACAAAATAGATTTCCTCTGCGAGTCAGCCGAGGCGGTTTCCGTCGCTCGAGACAGGCTAGTGAAGACACTATTTTCCAGAGCAGTCCTGCAGGCCTTAGTGGCAGCACTGGTGGTACTCCTCAACCGAACCAGAGCCTGGCAGCTGAGCTTGGTGACTTCGATGGTAGTGACAATGAGTCCAACATGTCAGTCACTCCTAGCAAGAGGAGCATTCACCAAGTATCGAGACCTGGTTCCATGAGGGGCACGACTGCGTCTCCGCCACCCCCTCTTCCTCGCCCACGCAGGGTCACTATGGTGAACAGCGGTATGATGACGGAACCTCTTTCCGAATCCTTGCGCACTCTACCTGTGGGCGCCGCGGGTCAAGAACGACCGGTGTCCACGGCCACGGTTATAAGTGGCATTTCTGACTACAGCGATGCTGGGACGCTCAACATGGAGGAAAATCTTGCTAAGTTCCCATCGCCTCCTACCTCGCCTCCCAAGCGCGAGTTCAATCTCTCCGATGTGCACGCTCGTGATGTCGCGCCTGTCGAAGAGCCAGATCACCACGGTGCCGAATTGGACGCACTTAAACGTGGCCATGCTAAGCAAATCGAAGACATACATGCAGAGAAGAATACCGTTCACTCAGCCGCGCTTGCTGCTTTGGAATCTCAGCATGCCGATCTGCTGAGCCGCGCGATCGCGGAGGCTCGAGCTGCACATGATCATGAACTCGAAATCCTGAAGTCTGGACACGATGACGAGAAGGCTCGAGCAGCTGTCGATGCTAGCGCAGCTCATACACGGGAGCTCGAAGCCTTGCAGGCCATCCACGCAGAAAAGATTGCTGTGATGGAATCAGATCACAAGGCAACACATGCATCCGAGATTGATGCTCTCAAGGCCAGTCACTCAAACCAACTAGCAAACTCAGAAAAGACTCGTTCAGACGCTCATGCCGTCGCACTTGCAGCACTTGAGGCTACCTATTCCGAACGTTTATCAGCTTCTGAGAAGGCACACGTTGAAGCCCACGCTGCTGAACTTGATTCTCTTAGGGCTAGCCACTCCGAACAATTTTTGGCCGCGGAAGGAGCACGCGCAGAAGCTCACAAGGCCGAGATTGAAGCACTCAAGGCCAGCCATGCTGAACAGCTCGAGGCTTTCAAGAAATTACGCGAAAAAGCTCACGCTGATGAGCTTGCTATGCTTGTTACAGCACATGCCTCGCAGATCGAGCTCGCCAGAAAGGAGCTCAACGACAGCCACGCAAGAGATCTGGATACTCTGAAAGCGGCCCACGTTGCTCAGATTGACAAGGCCAAGGAGAGCAGTGATGCTAGCCATGCAGAAGAGCTCGAACTTCTCAAGTCTACTCACCTCAGCCAAATCGACGAGACCAAGAATGCAATCGCTGCTACTCATAAACAGGAACTCGAGGCCCTCAAGGCTGCTCATGCGACGCAGGTTGAACAGTCCAAGAAGGAGAACGAGAGTTCCCGCGTAACCGAAATTGCGGCCCTTGCCGCTTTGCACACCCAGCAGCTTGACAAGTCCAAGGCTGAAAGTCAAGTTAAACTTGCCAGCGAGCTAGAGTCTTTGAAATCGGCGCACAATCAGCAGCTAGAATCGTTCAAGATACAGGCGGAGGAGCAGCTCGCCAAGCAGCTAGACAATCTAAGGACTGCGCATACGGAGAAGCTCCACGCGTCGCAAACCGAGAGTGGTGCCAAGCTGGCTGCTGAATTAGAGGCGCTCAAGCTGGCACACAACAGTACATTAGAATCGTCCAAGGCCGATGCTGAGAAGGAAATGGCCCAGCAGATTGCCACTCTTCAGGCTGAACATTTAACGCAAGTTGAGAATATCAGAGCTGCGGAAGCAGCGAACCTGACGCGTGAAATCGAATCTCTCAAATTAGCGCATGTTAAAGAACTCGAAAACGCAATAATCGAGAGGGACACTGCCCACGGTACCGAAATTGCCGCTTTGAAAGACTCTCACGCCAAGGAATTGAATGAGTCTGCTAGGAAGAGGGACGCGTCGCATGCCGCTGCACTGGCCGCTTTAGCTATTGCTCATGACAAGGAGCTCGCAGCATCAAAATCGGATGCAGAGGAGAGACTGGCTAAGGAGATTGCGTCGCTCAGGGATTCGCATGCCCAGGACCTGGACAAGCTGAGGAGTGAACACGCGGCGACGCATGCCAAAGAATTGGAGGTATTTGAAGCAGCTCTTGCTAAGCAGCTTGAATCATCCAAGTCTGAGGGAGATGCAGCCCATAACGAACAAATCGAAGCCTTGAAGGCTGCAAATGCGGAGATCGTCGATGCCCACAAACGAGACAGCCAGAAGGGTTTGGAGCAAGCGCTGACCCTGGCAAGAGCTGACCATGAGCGCGAACTCGAAGTTGTGCGTAGTGACCACGCGGCCACCCGGTCTCGGGAAAGTGAAAAGTCTGCTTCGATGCATGCCGCTGAAATGGCCGCCCTTGGGGCCGCGCTCGCAGCTGCCAAGACCGAAGAAATTGATGCACTGACTTCCCAACACGAGCAGCGCATGACTTCGCTCCAAGATGAGCATGCCGTTGCCAAGGCTGGAGAGTTGGATGAGTTGTCTGCTCGTTACGCAAAGCAGATCGAGGATCTAATGGCTGCCGCTGCCACCGCCAAAGCCATCGCTTTGGAAGAAGTAAATTCCAACCACCAACGTGCAGTTGCCGATATTCGTGCCGAAGCGTCAGCATCGAGAGAGAAGGAATTTGGAGAATTGACTTCCCGTCATCAACGTGAAATCGATAATCTAAAAGCGGACGCGTCGGCATCGCGCGCGGCTGAACTTGCGGCTCTCGCATTGCAACACCAGGAACACATCGATACACTCGACGCCGAAGCAGCTTCATCGAAGAGCAAAGAATTAGACGACTTGAGGACTGGACACGCTACTCAGCTCGATTCTCTCAAGGGTGAGCATGAAGCCGCCGTTGCTAGACTTGCAGCAGAACTCGCTGCAAGTCACGCTCTTCAGCTAGAGGCTCATCGGTCGGACCACGAAGCATCCCGAGCCAAGGATTTGGAGACTTTGGGTGCAGAACACACAAGCCAGCTTGAATCACTCCGAGAAGAGCACGAAAACTCACGGTCAAAGGATTTGGAACAGCTCAAATCGGAGCACTCAGTCTTCCTTGCTTCTGTGCGCGCAGAACATCAGTCTGTCATGGATGCCGCTCTTGAAAACCTCCGAGCAAATCACATGAGCGAAATCGATTCTCTGGGCGGCAGCCATGCCACCAGCCTTGAAACGGCCTTGTCGACCATCAAATCAGGCCACGCGGAAGAGTTGGAGGGTCTCAAAACCACGAATGATGCTGCTTTGGCCGAAGCCATCAAGAAAGCCAGCGCAGAACATGCACTAGCATTGGAGACGCAGCAATCGAACATCCAATCCAGGCATTTGGAAGAGATGGCAAGCCTTAGAGTAGCAAATGATGCCGCCTTGGCTCTGGCGCTGGAGAAAGCTAACTCCGAACATTCCATTGCGCTGGAAACTCAACGGTCAGAGATTCAATCGAAGCATACGAGAGAACTGGCGGACCTCAAAACCGCAAATGACGCTGCTTTAGCCCAAATATTGGAAAGGACTAACAATGAGCATGTACTAGCCTTGGAGACTCACAACTCGACCATTCAATCTAAACATGCGAAAGAATTGGGTGATCTCAAAACGGCAAATGATGCTGCCTTTGCTCAAGCGTTGGAGAGGACTAATAATGAGCATACACTGGCGTTGCAAGCACATCACGCTCAGAGCTCAGCGGAGCACGATAAGATGCTCGCTAGTCACGCCTCCGAGCTGGAGGCGCTCCGACAGGCACTTACGATTGCTCCTCCACTTTTGGGTTACTCATCCATGAGCACTGTTGAAACAGAGCCCATCGAGGAGCCGGAGCCTCTGCGCAGCCCCAACCGTGAAGCTTTTGTCCTTTCACACGACACAAAACACCCACAAACACCGCCAACCTCCGCACTTGGAATCTTCGGTAAGAGAAGTAAGGGCACAGTTACACCGGTCATCGCCGAAGATGATACGCGCCAATCCCCGAACGCCACGAATAGTCCTGAGACTCCCGAGTCACAAAGACCGTTCAAGGAGATGTCTACAAACACCGATGCACGCCCTGCCCGGAAACAACCTTTCCCAATGACGGATCATAGTGTCCAGACTGCGTTAACGTCTGATGGTATTGACCGTTTGATGTTGAAGAATCGTCGCCAAAACTCGCAGGATTCTTCAAAGATCGCTGCAGGGCCCAGCCTAGTCCTCACACCATTCGATGAGGCAACACCATCAACAGTGCGACATAAGCCCTCACAAGACAGCCTTGGCAACACTAAGCTTCGAGGCCATCCGGGTGACTCTGGGATTCTCGCAGCTCCTGTACCAGTCCCCATCCGGCGTCCTGGAAGTTCAGGCAGTACTCGGGGCTCGCAGCAGGCCATGCCGCCCTTGCCTGCTAATCACAAGGAAGTGATCGAGGCCGCCCGAACTGGGTCATCTCATGAGGCTAGAGGCACCATGGGACCGCCTTTGCTCCCTGCATCCGCCTACAAAACTCAACCGGAACGACCTTACTCTGCACGCGACCGTCCGCTGTCGCCTCTGTCGGGCCGCGGTACGCCAACTCCTCGAGCTGTTAGAACAGGCTCGACACTGGGACATCCTGATGTTCACTCCCCTACCAAGATGAGTGCTCGCAGTCGTCAATCCTCTATCTCGTCCTTCACGTCCGAAATCGATAACAGGTTCAACATCCGAGGCGACATGATGGGCGCTGGCAACTTTGCGGGGCCTAATACGGATCCTCGCATGATCCAGGCAATTACCCAAACCATGATTGGCGAGTACCTCTGGAAATATACTCGCAAGGCTGGCCGTGGTGAAATGTCCGGTAACCGACACAGGAGGTATTTCTGGGTTCACCCTTATACCCGTACTCTGTATTGGAGCGACCGTGACCCCTCGGCGGCCGGTCGGTCTGAGCTGAGAGCCAAGAGTATACCTATCGAGGCAGTACGTGTTGTCAGTGACGACAACCCTATGCCGCCTGGCTTGCACCGGAAGAGTTTGGTCATTGTTTCTCCAGGACGAACAGTAAAGGTCACCTGCACCACAGGCCAACGGCACGAGACCTGGTTCAACGCCCTATCTTACCTGCTGTTGCGCACCGGTGACGAAGGACACAACGAGGCAGAGGATGCTGGAGGCAACCTCACTCAGGAGGATGTTGACGAGTTCAATCCGCCTTATGGCCGGCGCTCGGTGAATAGTAACCGCCGTGCGCCGCCTTCGCTTTCGTCGTACAACTCAAGGACAACTCGCAATGAATCCCCAAACATCGACCTTTCAATTCCGACCTTGACGCCAACCCATGAGAAGACTGCTCCATCTAGGCCTGGCACACTGCGAGGCTTGCTCAACAGGACTAGCACATCAGGGAGCTTCTTCAGCATGCGTACCAGAAGTCATACACCTCATTCACAAGGGAATGCTATCTATGAGGCAAGCGAGGTCAACGATAGTGCTGAAGAGTTGCGGCATATTATTGAGCGACAAGATAGAGAATCGGACAGGCTGGAGAATGTCCGAGCATGCTGTGATGGTAAGTTCCGGTTTCTCAGTTCTAGCTACCAATATATATACTGATCAAAGACAATAGGTAAACATGACGTCGGAACGTTATCGCGAAGCTCCAATCGTCGCCCTGGCCATGCACACACTCACTCCCACTCGCATCCAGCACAGTTAACAGCACCAACGACACCCATGGACACCTTGAAGACCAAAGCATAATCCGTTTATTCTCTCAATTTTTAGAATAGACATTCTCAAACGATGCCACATCTAACGCCCAAATCAATCACAATCGACGCCAGAAATTACCACACTCGTTACAGCAAATGCCTGAATAAGCTGACCATCACAATGGCCTATAACGACTGTCGACGACTTTTCCTTTCATCAGTCTGCTTTCAACAACTGGCATTTTCGAAGCCTTTATACACTAAGTTTGCGGGTTTTCAATAATCTACACCCCGCCTCTATTTATAATCTCAAACACGCATGTGTGGCATTTCTGGAGTTCATGGTGTTTTTGTTCCTCGCCACCTTGCTGCAACCGGCGGGTTGGGCAAATGATGCAAGCAAAATGATTATCAACTTGAGAAGACCTGTGTAAATATGTAATTTTCAGATATCATGCTATCGCGACTAGCTGTGTTTGACGTCTTAGAAGTCAAGTACTGCGCTTGCTTCGTTTGATATTACTTGTACGGGCGTAAAATCAGCACTGCGATGAGCCTAGTAGCGTTGCTACTAACATAAACAAATTCTACTTTTGAGACAGGGACCAATAGTCCCAAACATAGAAGCCCATGCAAGCCGTTGATACAAAAATTCATCAAGTCTCATAAACTCAAGCATTTCTGACCTAATTGCGATAACCAATCTTAGCCAACACTATACCAATGGCTTTTTTGTTAAAGGATGTACTAAATCTGGTAAATTCGAGGCTCCTCTACATTGTATCAGTGGAAGATTCTTGACAACTGACTACGCCCCTCGTGAAGTTTTGTATACGCCCCTGATCCGTGTTCGAAAGAAATGTTACTTGAACCTTTTTTTGGGGGGGGTGTTTGGCTATATTCTTTTATATATTTTCTTATAACGTAGTTTATAAGCGAGCTGGCCACCCAAGGAAGCTGGCCACGCTGATTAGCACAATACGCAATTTAACTGAATTTCGCAACCATAACGCCGTAAATTAATTAAAGCTATTCTGAATACTCTTGCCCAGATAATTCTATTTCAATTTGACAGGTTCTTGCGTTATACCCGGGCTTCCCGCACACTCCACAGCGTCGTTGGCGCGCCGGTCCCCGACCCGAACCATTACCGTTTTCACGTATTTCTTGTTATACTTGCTATATAACGTCTTTTTGGTCCTGTAGATCTTTTACATCTTGTATATTAAGTGATCCTCTAAGCCGAATACGTGTTTTTTTAGCCTTACGTCGCTTACTAATAACCGTATTTGCCTCTCGTAGTTCAGTCACCTCGGCTTGGAGGAGGGCCATCCGGTGCATAATCCCATGCGCTCCTTTCGCGAATTGGTCGATAGCTTCGTAAATTGAGGTTGGAGAGCTATTTTGATGGTTGGCGATCCGAGATTTAATAAATTCAGATTGTGAAGTAGCCTCGATTGGGTTGTTCGGTGTCCTCGAAGCCCAAGGTCGGGTTTCTCGCGTAAGGGGCCGAGAGGACGTTAGCGTTTGTAATTTTACATCCAGCTTCGATATCACTACTTCCGGGCTTAGAGGGATAAGTCTAGCTCCCTCGAAGCCTACGCGGATATTGCTTTCGGTTATACTCTTCTCGAATGCTTCGCAAAACGCCGGGAGGAAGTCCTCTTTCGTAATATGGGAAATCCGGGCTCGGATAAGACGTTCAATTTGCGCGCCGTACGCTTTCTTAAGAGGTGCAAAACATGCCACATCTAATGGCTAAAGGATATGGGATGAATGGGCAGGCATACAGAGTGTAAGAATGTTATTCTCTTTATAATATTGTTCGAAAGCATCCGAATAGTGGCTCTCGTGGCCGTCAAGGATTAAAAGCCGGTATACACCTGATTTCCGGCTTTTTATATACGCGTCAAAGTGTTTTAGCCAATCTACAATTAGTTCATTAATAGTCTAACCATTCGGGCTAACAACGACCTTCCAATTCTTCGGCATTAAGCTGTTTTCGTACCAAGATGAGAGGTGGTATTTGCCTTTAACGATGATATACGGCGGGACCGTCTAGCCTTGCGAATTAACGCCTTAGATAACCGTAGCCCATTCCCGATTACCAGGCTGGGCTAGCTTAGGTTTGCCTTTCCTTTCGGAGCTGGTAACGACCATCGATGGGGTGATTTGTCCTATTATAAACCCGGTCTTATCGAAGTTGTAAATATCCGTATTTACAACCCCGTATTTCGCGATTATGTTACGTACGAGGTCGAACCAACCTTGGATAAGTTCTAGATCTTCGCATAAAGCCCTAGAATAGTCGTACTTGCGACTAAATACCGTTTTGAGTTGTGGTTGTCGCTTGACGAAGTTAGAGGCCCAGTTCTTCCCGACGCGTGACGCGTCGCGGTCGCGTAGTAATCGATTCGCCATATCTTCCACAACGCTTAACTGGGGAGGGAATGCTTGGGAATCTAGCTCAATTATCCTTTTAATAATCGTATCCTCTTCTAGTTTTGTAAGAATTTGATTTTTAGGTCGGGTATCGCGTCGAGGTTGAATACCGCGTATTCGCGTCATAAGCGTTGAACGAGGGACTGTATATATCGCTGCGACGCGCCGTACGCTTAATGTTGGATCTTTTTCAATAGCTTGAATGGCAAGGATTAATTGAGCTTCTTTATTAATTGAAGTCATTTGGAAGTAGTGATGAAAATGGAGGTAAAAGGTTGAATTGTATGTTGTGCTAATTAGCGTGGCCAGCTTCCTTGGGTGGCCAGCTCGCTTGTGAACTACGTTATATTAAATGAGCAGTGCGTTCCTTCACATCGAACCCGATGTACATCTTAGCGGGAACCTTAAACTAGACTAGTCACTATGCAGCATATTTCCATCCCAGAGTAGCTAAAAAAGCATTGTACCTAGTCACTGCAGCCAAGGTGGCGTTCGGTGCTGCTTTGGAGGTCCATGTCTCTCTATTTGTTGTCCGGAGCCGTTACGGCGTTCGTGATCCAACGTTAGTATCACGCGATCGAAAGCGGGGATGCTGCGTCGACACGAATCGCCCAATCACAAAGGTCCTCGACATGATGATATGCTCGACGGAGTTAGCATGTGAGCGGAGCATACGATTTCTATACCTATGAGACCAATGATGTTAGGCCTCCCACGTTGCCTTTGTCTGCAGGCTAGCAATAGCACGATCAAGCGGTACCACAAGATGGCAGCATACTCGAGCAATAATACGCTTTGCTAGGTTGTAGTGGTGGTGCGGCATGATGAAATGCACGCTGCTCTTACGCAATACGTCTTTGGATGTCGCGTCGACGACGCCCCCTTTGCTGCTGCAACATGATTATATATATGTGTGTGTATATATATGTAGATTCGCATGTACTTTGCACAGAGCGATACTCGTCATAACTGAGGCAGAAAGGAACCCTGTGCAGTATCTCTAAGATTCATTTAAATATTTTTACAATATGGCCCCGTCAGCCACTGAGCAAGTGACGCAAGTCGCTGAACATATCAAGCAGAAAGCTGGCCTCGAGAACCAAGATAGTAACGAAAGAAATAGCAAAACGGAGGCAGCGAGAGAAGCTGATGGTCTGCCGGAACTCCTGACTGGCCACAAGGAGCCCTTGAAGCTAAGCGGCGCCCTGGACAAGTTCGAGCAATTCGATGTGACTCCCGTCATTGGGCGAGAATACGCCAACGTGGATCTTGCCGAGTGGCTTCGGGCTCCCAACTCGGACGAGCTGCTGCGCGACCTGGCCATCACCAGTAAGCCAGATTCCTTTGGACTGTCCTCCCGTGCAGTGGCAGCGCTAATGTTGTATGCATAGTCTCGCAGCGGGGTGTGGTTTTCTTTCGCAAGCAGGACGGCATCACCGACGAGCTCCAAAAGGAGCTCGTGCAGCGCCTCGGCGAGCTTTCTGGCAAGCCGGCCACCTCCAAGTTGCACATCCACCCTGTCAATAACGCCAATCGCGAGCACGGTGGCAGCGACGATCAGATCAGCGTGATCTCTTCGCGACTGGCGAAGAAGATCTTCGCCGACAAGTTCTTGAACTACGGCAAGGTCCAGAGCCAGAAGAAGCAGTGGCACTCTGATATCACTTTTGAACCAATACCGAGCGACTATGCGCTGTTGCGGCTGACAGAGCTGCCCAAGACCGGTGGAGGTACGTCTTTTGGTCGAGGACGTCGGAGACGTCGAGATTCTGCCGAAATAAATCACTAATGGCTAACGTTAGATACCCTCTGGGCTTCCGGCTATGAACTCTACGACCGCATCTCGAAGCCCCTGCGCGGCTTCCTCGACAGCCTGACGGCGTACTACGCGCAGCCGGGGTTCAAGGACGCTGCCGACGCCAACGACTTCAAGCTGTACGCGTCGGAGCGCGGCGCGCCCGAGAACGTGGGCGACGTTCTCGAGGCTGTCCACCCCCTGATCCGTACGAACCCCGTCACGGGCTGGAGGTCCGTCTTCGGCGTGGGCCACCACGTGCAGAGGATCCACGGGCTGTCGGACGAGGAGTCGCGCCACTTCCTAGACTGGTTCGTGCAGCTGATCGTGGAGAATCACGATCTGCAGGTCAGGCTCAGGTGGCAGAATGCGAATGATCTGGCCATTTGGGATAACAGGAGCGTGTATCATGCTGCGACGCCGGATTACATTCACTTGGGTCTGGGTGAGAGGACGGGGAGTCGGGCCGTCAGTCTTGGGGAGAGGCCATATTTTGACCCGGAGAGTACTAGTCGCAGAGAGGCACTGGCGAGGGAGTTGGCGGCTTAATGATAAGTGCAGAAGAAAGAACTTGGTCGGGTGTTTTGCGCCATATATCCTTTTTCGATGGTTTCTTGGAAAATATGACCAAAGAAATTGCTCCAACTGTTCTGCGTTACTAAAATACTCGTATTGCTCAACCAGCAATATCCGAGAGTGCCAGGACCAGATAAATTTCCATCGAGTGTAGATCAGGGGCCTATTGTCAATGTATTCATCAAATAACACTGCTCTAACGCGAGGGTCGTTGGTCTCTCTGAGCTAGGGTGCATACTGTTCGTTGGCATAGACATCAGCACCGACGTCAGCCAGATGCCGAATAGCAACGTGCCGCTGGATTAGTACGGATTTAACGGTCATTATGAAAAGTCCAGTCGCAAGTAGATGAAACGCGTTGGCCCCGAAGAATTAGCCGGTGATCTGGTCCAATATAAATGTCCCAGACTTAGAAAACACAAAAAAATGCAGCGGCAATCAGTTTGTCCAGCTCGGGTTTCTGGCGCTACGGAAGTGGGTGCCATGCTTGCTCACTTAGGGACGCAAGGGAGATGTTAACTAGCCGTACCATGCCCCTATAGTTAGTCAAGTGTTGCGAACTCCAATAAATAGGGCCGTAGCACGGTTATTGTCTTGTTACAACCCACATGGGGTAAACCTGTGTATCGTAGGAGAGATAGGGAGACAGGCTTCTTTCTGTCTCATCCAACGTTGTGCCTTACGGATTTAAACAATTATTGAGTTACAGCTTTTGCACGACAGATAACTGCAACTTACTTACTGCACGCAACTTAGAAGATGCGGTACTCCTTACAAGCGGCAGAGAATGCGCCGTTCGACTCCAAATCTACCATGGTAGCAGGCCTAGATAAGGGCAACGGGTCGCGTCTCTTTATACGGATCCGTGAGGCGAGTAGAATTACTCCACCACCTAAAAGGGTTGTGAGGCACCTGGCACGAAACTAACACTGGTACTGGCAGTTGCCCCGTTTCGCTTCCTTACTAACATAGTAATGGCTTGGGCCTAGGTTACAATTGCAGTCGGAAATTTGAGACAAGTTTGCAAAATAGCCAATTGGACCATTCTGATTCGTGACTTATTGCCAAAGGTGGATGCTCACAAAGCCGAAAGACGCATAGCGCAATGATGTGCTTCCGGGGAAATATGGCGACTATTGATTGCGACTTCATAGACTCTGTCAGTCCCACTGCGCTGGGACGCCCCACTCGGCTCCCGCTGCAGCAGAAATGCTGAGCATCGGGTACGTATGTTCTCCGTACTGCCTTGCGACAAACTGAGTAAGAAAAATTTTGAGATGAGTCAAAGGAAAGCCGAGGCTTATTTCCGTCCTGTTATTTCTTTACTTTGTCTTCAGGTTCGGGCGCTTGTGTTTGTTGTTATTTACTAGTCTAAGTCAAGCACCCCAAGAGATCATATTGGCCTAGTTACAATTATATCGACATTGGCAATGTCTCCGTACGAGGAAATTGCGGCAGATGACGGCGTGGCAGAGAGTTCACAGACCGATATGGCCGCTCAATCTGAGACTTCAAGTCTGCTGGGAAAGGCAATCGGCGACGAGACAGAAGATCGGGGTTATGGGGCGGTTCAAAGTGACCCCGAGAGCGCACCGGCAGCTGTACCGATCGAAGGCGAGGAAAGACGATACAGCAATGCTTTCATTGCGAGGACAGTAATAGCGCTCCTGATAGGTGAGTGGCCGCACATGACTATCTAGGGGCCATTCTTTTTGGTGTTGACGTTGAAATACAGGTGCGTTTACTGCCAACGCAGATGGCTCTCTTGTGATGGCAACCCATCCAGTAATCGGTTCGGAGTTCAATGACTTGGAGAATTCGAGCTGGCTATTTATTGGCTTTATGCTTGCTGGGTCGGCAACTCAGTCACTTGTACGTATCGTATATCTTGAATTGCACACGAGATCATTGACAACAACTAGTACGGTAAACTAAGTGACATTTTCGGACGAAAATCACTCATCTTGTTATGTTACGGTTTTTTTGCTATCGGGTGGTGAGTTTCTATTGATTTAGATCCATTATGTTTTGTTTCTGACTGACCTTAACTTCAAGTGCTTTGGTGTAAGTTACTTGCACATAGCATCAGTGAATGAGCCTCGGGTTTAACATGCCTCTTATAGCGGCGTAGGCCAAACTCTATTGCAAGTGATTGTTGGCCGTGTAATATCAGGCTCGGGAGGAGCTGGAATGACAGTTCTTACCGCTCTTATCATTACAGGTACAACCCCTACTCACAAATTCAAGATGTGAAGGCTCAATTGACTGACCAGACTAGACCTTGCCCCCTTGAGGGAAGTGGCCGCTTGGCAGAGTTACCTCAACATTGTTGCTACAACTGGCAGAAGTATTGGAGGACCCGTGGGAGGCTGGTTGACAGACACAATTGGCTGGAGATGGTGAGAAAAACGTTAGCCACGTACGATAATATGATCTCTGACTCCAAGCATAGGTCATTCCTTGGTCAAGCTCCCATCTTTGCCAGCGCCGCTGTCATATGCTGGATTATCTTGCCGTCATTGAAGCAGAAACCCATATATGGGGCTGAATTAAAGCTGAGAAATCAACTCGGTCGAATAGATTTTGCAGGGGCTGCGTTACTCGGCCTCGGCATTTTTTCTCTAATGTTACCTCTTGAGATTGGAGGGTCGAAGCTAGCCTGGAGCCATCCATTGATTATCGGTCTCTTCATCACTGGAACTGTCCTTTTAGGAACCTTTTTGGTCGTGGAAGAATATTGGGCAAAAGAACCGATCTTTCCGGTGCGACTTTTGCGCAATAGGAACGTGGTTCTCGTATATCTTATATCGGGCTGTCAAATGGCAGCACAGCTGACGGTTGGTTGATTCAGGACATGTTCTTAAGACCACTTAAACCTGCTGACCCAGGAACAGATGATGTTTAGTGTGCCGCTGTACTTTCAGGTCACCCAGCGAACATCCAGCACAGTTGCAGGAGCTCATCTCTTCCCTGCAGTAGCCGGAAATGCCATTGGAGCGTTAGCTGTCGGTCAGATCATCAAGCGGTATGTTTCCAAGCGTGCAGAAATGATCCTTGTTAGCTAAGTGACGCGCATGTTGCAGTACTGGTCGCTACAAGAATCTTATAGTCTTTGCCACATTCGCCGGCATCGTCTGCTATTCCCTCCTTATCCTCAGGTGGCAGGGTCAGACTAATTGGGTCGAATCCAGTAAGCGAGTTCCGGAAAGACCCTTTTCCCCATTTCCCTTTCCCTTTCTAGCAGTCCAACGCAGTGCATGGTTGTTATCGAAAGCAACGTGACTCGTTGAGACTGTTGCACAATACTCCAGAAACCTTCCCGCAAGCCGGTTGAAGAAATCACTACTAACTCCAGATGCTGCAGTGTATATCATTCCGGGGTAAGTTCAGAGGTGAAACTCAAACGCAATTGATGCTAAATAATCGTCAGCGGTCTGGGTACTGGGATGGCTCAGAGTGCTCTTTTCGTTGCGCTTCAGGCTTCTATCGACCCCAAGGACAGGGCGCCAGCAACGTCTGCACTTTTCCTGGTTGGCCCAACGGGAGCTACTGTTGGTATGGCGATAGGAAGTGCTTTGATTGTCCGTGGTCTCCGCAACGGGCTCTTCGCAAGACTAACTGCGCTTGGTCTTAACCCGAGCCACATTCACGAGGTAAGTGTTTTTGTTGAGCTCATGAAACTATAATTGCACACACTGAACCTTGATCAGATCGTTGACGCGGCAGCATCGAACGTGGGTTTTCTCGATCGGGCCTCTAGTGATGTAGCAAAAGCTGCTGTGGAATCGTATATCGAGGGGATTGAATATAGTCATTGTAAGTTTCGAGCTTCCGGCGACATCGTTTGACAGGTTTTGGCCGGGGCTAATTCCTATGCAGACGTATCCCTTGCATGTTCAACGGTGGGCTTTGTTGCGGCTGTGTTCTTGAGGGAGCGAGCACTCCGCAAGTGAAGCTAACTTGGGTGGGGTGCAGAAGCAAATGTAAAAATGGTGGGTTGCTGCATGCGTCCGGGGGAGCTTGGCGCTGGGACCGTCATAAAAGTGCAAAAAAAGCATCTTCAGTATAAATTGACTGGAAGGTGCCTCTTCATAGTCAGAACTAGGGGGCGAAAACCTTGCATAGCGCGGAAGAACACGGATTGGAAAGCTCAAAGGCTACTCTACTCGAAAACTCCGTACGAACGTCTGCAAAATGCATTTTCATAAAATGTAACCAAGCCCTACTAAGCAAATCACGACATGGCAAACTTGCTGAGCATACAAGCAACGCTAAAGAGGCAGTACCGTAGGTTGGGTTGCCTGTGATTGACAAAGGTGGATTAGGTGGGCTGGTCCAGTTCGCCGGCACCCTAAACCACGTCATTTAGGGCTGCCAAGCCGGTAGGACAACGCGAAGGAACGCTGTTGCAAAATATCCGGCCAACAATAGAGGCGCAGCCAGAACGATGTCTCGATTATTCTACGGTTACATGAGATTTGCATAAAGCTCAGCAATCCTTCTAGCACCGGCGTGGCACAGCGCCGCAAGGTCATGGGAATGGCGACTGCCAAGGCAAATTGAATCAATATAAGTGGCAGTGCTGCGTTTACATCATAGACGTTCCAGACTGAGCATGTGTATATGAGCAGACCGACCCCCTATCGCGAGTTACGCAAATGCCATATAACCAGTCTAATCTTAACCCCAATAATCGTCTGTCAACTACAAAAGGGCTTCCCCGGCTCGAATTCCGAATTAGCCTAGGTTAGCAATGACTACAATCACAGCCCAAATCCAGGAGGCAGCGCCCCGCAATCGCGAGTTGCTCGCCATCCTGTCAGAAACCGACCATGCAGTTCCAGACCTAGAGCAACAAAAGATCTACATCGCAGACCTTGATCGTCAATTAGCTAGTATTGCCAAACGGATCAAGGAGCTCAATCGGAAGCGTGAGAAAGAATTCAAAGAACACGAGAAGTACCGTGACTCGGTTATGCGTCGTTTCGCATACAAGGTTGGCGGCAAAAAGGAGAAATTTGAGTCCAGAGCTGCCAAAGAGGAGCGCGAGTATTTCGATGCTTTGCAAGACGAACACAAGGCCAATGACCAGCAGAAGAGCCTCCAAAACCTGCGTGGGGAAGCGCTGCGTGCCAAGACGGACCTTGAGCAGCAGGTCTCGCGGCATAACCAGGCCCAGCAAGATCTTGATGGGCTGTATAACCGTATCTTCTTAGGTACTACTCCCGGTTTTCCAGAAGAGGACGAGAAGGAGCGCCTATGCACACTTGCATCGCAAGCCTACCAAGACGCAAGGAGCAAGGCCGATGCACAGCAGCAAGCGGTTTCAAGCTTGCAAGAAGCGCAAAAGCGTCTCAAGGGTGCTAGCATTGACATCGAGGATGCCCTGGACTACAGCCGGATGGATATGTTCGGCGGTGGCAGTATGACCGATATGATGGAACGGAATGCACTGCACAAAGCTGAAATGCAGGTCAGTGACGCACTCTGGCATTTTGGTCATGCCAAGCGTATGGATCCCCTGATCCACGATCTGCCACCTCTCAAGATTGCGAGAGGAAACATGATGAGCGATGTCTTCTTTGACAACATATTTACGGACATGGCGTTCCACGACAAGATCAAAGACTCCAAGACAGAACTGCATAGATGTCTTGATGTGTTGAATGCTCAGCTTCAAGGCGCTTCATCCAAGTTCAAAGACCTTGACCAGGACCAGAAGAACAAATCTTCTTCCCTTGACCAAGCGCGGTCCGACTTACAAAAGACAAGACAGCAAATCTTCGAGCGTTCAACAGGCGAGGATAGTGCCGCCCCGCCAAGTTATGCGCCGCCGAGTTACTCGCCACATGTCTAAATATGGTGGGCGCATTCTTTTTCGAATGAATAGAAGCCTCAAATACTTTGGTAGTGGTAACGCGAAGAAATTTCTACTTACAACAGATACATACGGGCTGGATTTAACAAAGGGCACACGGAAGGCGCGGCGGTTGTTTATGATACCCTCACTAGTACTTTAACCAAATAATATTACAAGATGTGTTACATCACATGATGTTTCATTCAAAATCGAAGTGTGAATTGTGATGTCACAAGCTTTCTATGTAATGAAAAGGACAATGATACGAAAAGGAATCTCTGGGTTATCATGAGAGCATCAGTCAAATTGTCGCCAGACGAGAGCGGAAGCAGTTCTTACTCATTGTGGCGAGAGTGCTTAAATGGCTTAGACAAAGCTACGGTGTGTCCTTGTGAAGCACTATTATACACGCCATAGTTAGCCTTTGCGTACAGCTGCAAATATCTATCATCTTGTACCACGGACGAACGATATTCCTCTTGGTAAAGAAATAAATTCTTTTGCGATTACCATTCCAGGTATGATGAATCTCAATTCTGCTTACCTAATACGTATTGCATTGCTCGGGCGTCGCTTTTGGACCTCGGCGTTCGATTAGTCATGCTCGGATGATTGCAAAACACCAACTTCAACGACAAGTGTGCTTGCTTACATGCACCTTTTACGTGATTCCTGCGGAGCTCCGACTAACCGCTGACATATACCTGCCGTTTGAAAATGCAGTTCTCGTATGGAAAGCAGCTATTGGGTCGTAAGTTGGGGTAGTGTTGAGATGTACCATGGGGAAACCGTGCGAAAGCTGTACCTTGTGCTACGTGAGGTAGGAATTGGTGCTTGGTGGTCTGATTGAGGAGGTGTTGCCTCCTCGCGAAAGCAATTGCAGCCTCACGATTCGCTGTCAATCGCCACCCAGGTCTTGCCCGTAACATTTTGCTTTTTCAGCTAACCCCGGCATGATCAAAATATAGCGGCCCCCAACGTACTGTGCAGAATGGCTTGCATTCACAAACGTTTTTGAAGGTAAGAGTGTGAAACATCTGGTATAAATAAGCAACCCTACGGACCTCCGACATTTGCGTTTGGGGATACAAATTCCCAGCTCATCCATTTTGTATCCCATTTTGCAGCAGCCAGGCACACAAATTATCATGACAACGAACAATACTTCAAAGCGTACGATCCCACTAGGTTCGACTATCCTTGTCACCGGTGGGAATGGACTCATCGCCTCACATGTAGTCGACCAGCTTCTAGGTGCCGGATATCGCGTTCGTGCGACGGTCAGAAACCCTTCGAAATGCGCATGGATGGAGCCACTGTATACCAAGCGCCATGGCAATGGCCGTTTTGACCTGGTCCAGGTAGCTGACCTCACCTCGCCCGACGCCTGGCACATTGCCGTGAAAGGTGTCGCTGGAATCGCCCACGTCGCCGGTCCAGTAGACTTGATGGTGCAAGACTTTGAGGCTGCCTTAAAGGAGGAGCTGCCGATATACACCAACTTGCTCAAAGCTGCAAAAAATGAAAAGTCCGTCAAGTCTTTCGTCCTCACTTCGTCCGCCTGGGCGGCGTTCACTCCAGATACAAGCAAAAAGCTCAAGCTCACGGAATGGACTTGGAACGAAGACGCCATTGAACTTGCAAAGAGCGATGCATCACCTCAAGAGAAGGGTATTTCCAACTTTATGGCATTAAAGGTCCGGCTGGAGCAGGAGGCTTGGAACTGGGTCAAGGAGGAGAAGCCGGAGTTCACCTTCAATTCCGTCCTGCCGGACACGGTTATGGGCGAGTGTCTAGACCCTATCAACCAGGGCATTCCTAGCACAGCGGGTATGGTCCACTGGGTGTGGACTGGTGAGAATCGACATATTCTAGAGGCCGTGGAGCCCCAGTGGCACATCGATGCCAATGATACAGGTCTTCTGTATGTGGCTGCGCTAACAACACCGCATGTGAATGGCGAGAGACTGTATGGGTTCGGAGACCGATTTAGCTGGTCCCAGGTCAGAGAGATTCTGTCACGGCTGTACCCGGACAAAGAGATTCCGCCGATCAAGGAGTCGGGTGTCGACCAAACTGAGGTACCCAATCAGCGAGGGGCGGAACTTTTAAGAGGATTGGGCCGAAAGGGTTGGACAAATTTAGAAGAGAGCGTCAAAGCCAATGCATTGAGCTTTCTGCAGCTGGAGGCTGCGAAGGCATAACAAAGCTGTCTCATAATGTAACTGAATGAACCACAATGCCAAAAAGAAAGTTTTGTCCCCAGACAATAAATTGAACTTTTGGATCGTACAAGAACTGAAAAGAATTGCTCCATGTAAGGATTGAATAGCAAAGATGGACCTCTTAGTAGCATCTGCTTGATATAAAAGCGATGCCAAGAGCCGAAGTCTACATACACATACTACACTGCCTCTAGATATAACAAAACTGCCCAGTTCTAGTTCAGCACTCAAGTGCGCCACTCTTCGTCCGACATCACGCAGCAGATTTGACAACATGTGCAAACAAGTGATCAGCGGACCTTACCCTTGCGGGCATGACGGAGTCGTCACCTGGGTGTATTGCACAAAAGCAAAGAGAAGAGCCGCGTTGAAGCTCACGAGGAACATGGTATCTTGCAAGTCTTTTGTAACCATCAAGACTTCAGTAGCTTTGGAGTCGCCATGCGCGTCGATCTGCCTGACCAAGCCGTTCCAATGCCATGCCTGCATGGACTCGTCGAACCAGGTGACATGGGCGTGTAAAACTTGTCGTCACGTGCGTTGCTCAGAGTGTAAGACGTGGGACGAGTGCCCGAACAATGACTGCAGTCAGCTTACGTTAAGCAGAGGTGGTGGCATTTGCGTCGATTGTCAAGTGGGTGCTGGATGCAGATAATGGTAAGTGTATACGGGCTTGGCAGCTGGGTTGTCGAGCGCACTTAGAGGATGTTGTCAATAATAGAGTCAGGATCAGCAGGCATCCAGAAGTGGGAAGAAGAAAAAAATCGGCAGAAGCAACTATCGAAGTTCAAGGTGTCAAGTTTACAGCATATCAGATGAAAACCCATTGCGAGTAAAATAGGGTAAGTGGGCAGATTGAATGATTCCTGAAACGACTGAAAGTGACACCCGAATTTCCCACATCCCGAAGTGCATAGCGATGTATGACATGGTAAAGTTAATCTTTATGGCCAATTAAAAATTAAAAAGATCATTGATAAAGCAATATAGCGTACCCACAAGTAGTCATGGCTTTTTGGTAGAATGAGGGCGGCCGTGTCCAGGGGTGTGCAAGGTCCGAGCGAGTGCTTCAGAACTCGATTTGGCCCAAGAAGCACTAACAATAGGTCTTCTCGAAGCAATTGCGGGACCAAATCGGAGATACGCGCGGCTGAATGAAACACTAGTTCAGTCCATGTAGCTGGGGCTGAGTGCTTGAGTGCTTGTTTTATTTCGGGCCTGCCGAGTGATTGTCGTGAATTCTCGGCATTTCGAGCCCGCGGTTGGCCGCGTCATCCTGGATTCGAAAAGCAAGACGTAGGAAGCTTGGTTTCGTGGCTTTGTAGCGAGCGAAACTTTCTAAAGAAAGGTATTGAAACTATAATCTGAAGCTGAAGTCTGCTCCAACATCAGTACACTATCCGAAGATCCTCATGCCGCACAATCGTGTTCCTATCACCGATTATGCTGACATCGTCCAATGTTGTCGTGATGACGAAGTAGGTATCATGATGTAACAAGGAGTCGTGAGAAACTTGCTCATATGAATTAGAATGTCAAATCCGTTCACAATAATTTGTATAAAAGGTTCATGTCTGGGGGTAGACAATCGATTTGAAGTTTTGGTATCAACACATTAACCGCTTGACATTATTGTCTGCTCTCTTACCTTCTATAATCAGTGGCCGGTCTACTTCGATTTCCTTATAATCTTTCAAAATCATTATAATATTCATCTCAAGAAGCAGAGCTCAAGATGAGATTCTCCATCATATTCACCGCCCTTGTGGCCACTGCCGTAACTGCGACCCCGGTAGCGCAGTCCGAAAACAAAATTCCTAATGAGGCAGCTATCGTTCAACCGTCAACCGGTGACCATCCGCCTTATCCCGCACCGGATAGCAAGCGCGAAGCTGTTGACTTGGGCTCTACCCTGGCTGCCCGTGAGCCCCAGAATGGTCGCCCGCCAGCTCGAGGAGGTAATGCTCGCAACGGGAACCGGCCTGCGCCTCCTCCTCGTTCAGTAGAAATTCAGGCCCGCCAGAACGGCCGTCCACCGGCGCGCGGGGGCAATACCCGCAACGGTAACCGACCGCCACCTCCACCTAGATCGGTGGATGCTTACCTGGAAGCTCGCCAGAATCGCGCCCCACCTGCCCGTCCTGCTGGAGGCAACACCCGCAATGGCAACAGGCCACCTCCGCCACCCAAAGAGCGATCGGTGGTAGTCGAGGACTTGGAAGCTCGCGAGCTCGAGGACCGTCAGAACCGCAAGCCTGCCGCCAAACCTGCTGGCGCCAACGGAAACCGTCCTCCCCCTCCTCCTCCCAAGGAACGCTCAGTTGATACCGAAGCTGAGCTCGAGGCTCGTGAGCCCCAAAACGGCAGTCCCCCGACTCGAGGAGGCAATGCTCGCAATGGAAACCGGCCGCCACCTCCTCCCCGATCGATTGATATCGAGGGCAATATTGCGGCACGTGCCCTTGAGGACCGTCAAAATAACCGTGGTCCTCCTGCTAGGCCTGCTGGTAACAAGCGCCCGCCTCCCCGATCGGTCGGCGCAACAATGGTGTGATGTGGAACTTGATCGAAGTGCTTCTTCACCGTTGCAGCGATGATTGCCCAGACTCCAGGAGGATCCCTCTCTCTTTTGCCCTGCATTGTAGCTAGATACAGGTCAATCGTCATAGCTTGCTCTCTGAGTACATCAAAAGTTTGTAGCTAATTATCAACGTTTTGCTGGATTCATTACTGCAGTTATAATGGAACTGCCTGACACTAACCATCGTGAAGATGTTTGTGCCACAAAAATAGTGGGAGTTTGAGCAGTGCTCTAGTTAGTGTTCGCAAATGTAAAGCTGATTCATCTGTTCACCGACAGCATCACGTTAATTCGCTTCGTCTGAACTCGCTTGTCCATTGAAAGACTATACTGTTATAAGCCGTTCATGATAGGAGTTGCCAACAGGGAGTCACATACTAGTGCAGACAACCAGTCCAACGAATTCTTGAGTAGAAGGGCCCACTTTGCGCTTCAGGCCCAATACTAGGTATAGTAGATAACATGGTTTAGTCTAGGGCAACCATGCAAAACCCTAGCAGCATTCTATGACCTGAAAAGGTGGGAGGGGTCACAGACTTTAGCCTGGCGCATACGAGGGGTAAGAGACTCTTCTCCTGCAGATTGATTTCATTCCACATTCATTGTTTTCGTTCTTTAACAATTTTCGCCGTTCGGTATTCTACATGAATGGTTACTCAAGAAGGCGATTCCGCCGTCACCAATATGTATTGTGCTATTTTGTTCTGCGGTATTCCACGTCCTGCCGGCTTCGTTCATTTTCCATACAATCGGACCCCAAAGGAGGGGTGAAGAGTGGTTAGTAATATGTCTCTTCATCGCAACCAACTTCCAACAATGCCGGCACGGTGGATACAATAATGCACCGATTGGCAACTATCTTGTCGCAAACCCGAAGCATACCGATTCGATACGCATTGGTCCTCTTCTCGGCCGTGCGAGGCTTGAACCGTTCTGCTCGTATTCTGCACGACTCGAAGAGCAGGGAATAGAGGTAGGTGGGCGGGTTAACTCCGGGTATTCGCTGGATATCAGCATCTTGAGAAAGCTAGCGAACCCCACTAGGTAGGTACATAGCTCTCAACGAACCACAATCCTTTGCCTTCGGGCATTTGGTCAAATTGAAACGATACAGAGAAGATTAGCATGGCCGTAAGTCTACAGTTCAACTCCCGACACTGTCACTAGCATATACTAACAGTTTCCCAGCCTGCACTAAGGATGACACGCTATATCAAAGATGAGCATACCAATTTTTTTCAAGATTTTTTGGCCTCGTTATAATTTCTTTCCCACTTGTTTGTTGTGCATATACTCAATTTACCTTAAGACCGGCTGTGTTTTTGTGAGCTTTTACATGGTTCTATCAGCGACCGACACGCTTGTTTTGTCGTAAGTTTGCACAATCACCGTAACAAGCGACGGACTCCGTACGCAACATACTAGAAAATATGGGCAATTCAATCAAGCGGGCCCGTGCATATCCGTCATATTTCGTCTATGTTTGCGACGTTGGCTCTGACTATCTAAATCACTGTGCAAATGCTCTTGCGCTATAAAGAAATTAGGCGAGTGTTCGTAATTGGACGAGACAGTTTTAATGTATGTTCAAAGAGTAGCTCCCGGGCATGTCTACATACTTTCGTCACGCAAAGCATTTTGACCAACAACGCAAAGTCGCAATTGGCGTTAACAAAGGAGTAATAACTGAACGACAAGTCCGCCAGGGAAATACCAATTAACAAAGTTTAATATGAAACGATGACATTAGTGTTAATAGTAACTAAATATTGTCTGTGAGCTTGAAGCTAAAGTCATAAGAACGCAGCTTGAAGGGCTCAGGGGAAAGTGCAACATGGCATTTTCCATAACGATAGAAAGTGCGACGCTATTACGGGGAACTTGCAGTTTTTTGGTGACCACACAACCTGCGCAAACCATCTGGCCACCTCAATTTTGTATCTGGTGGAGCAAATCCTCGTCTACTCGTCGCACTCCACTTTCCTACGGCGAGGGAGAGAGTCGTCTTTCTACCACGTAGACCCCACGATCGACGGACGCTCCTATGTAACCCACCTAATTCAGGCGATCCAGAGCGCCATCGAATAACTGCGTTTATATTGCCACGATCTCCTTTCAAAGTAGCAAGATCTCAGTCGGCAATGCCTTGTACTATGGCCCTCCGATGCCCAACCTTAATGGCCTGAGGCCCCTAGATATCTCGGAGGATCCTAACTGTATGATAATGGCCGCTGCATCCGGCCCTGATTAGCCATTGCAACCATTTAGTCCCGAGGGCGAAGCCTCTGACTGTCGTCCCTTTGGGTTCGTGTTGGCGGACAAGCCCAGGGATTGCTCTGTCAGCAGTTTTATCCGCTCGCAACAGCCCACTTACGTGCCTGTGTTATCCAATTCAATTTCCTCGTCTTCTATGTGATGGAGGAACTGTACGCTTTCCTCCCCTTCTACTAGTCCTACCTCTGACGGTATTCTCTCATTACTACACCAAGAACCCCTGTAGCAACGGCCCTTAAACGTATGACGGCATGTGCCACAGATACGGTAGAAATAAGAAAATTCGAGACTTCATACTAGCCGCTGACTTTGACACGCTCCTTGGTCGCCGAAATATTACAAGGGCGTAGTGAGGCGTGCGTGTTCAAGTAAGAGAGCTTGGCACCATTGTGGATGATCACGTCTGTCTCGCCGAATATACGCTCTACATCTAGCTTGGAAAGACCGATAATGAGGGAAAGGGTATCAAGTCGCCTCTACGAGTACCCCTTTTTTTTCATGGCCATTATGTCGTGGCGACCGGCGGAGTTGCGCATACCGAGATAGTGGATCCTCGCTACTCGTAAGTCCACCACCGATGCATCGAGTAGCACAGAACTCAGATATCCAGTCGCGCCGGTAAGGACTAAAACTTTGCTGTTCGTGACTTCAATTGGTAAAGTGCGACTTGAGTCGGCGAAAATCTCTCAAAGAATTCGGCGGCAGCTCCGTCTCGCTGTCTCAATCTACCTTATTATTGATTTCCTATATAGTAGGGCCGTTAACTATACGTGCCATTACTCTAAGGCTCTATACTTGAACAGGCATAAGAATAGGACTTCGACGTTAAACGCTCTTCGAATTCGCCTTTCCAGTTAAATATTTAAAACAGAGTTTTCCCCTACAAGAAATAAATTTGTTTTAGATGCGACATTGTTATAGCGCTCTATAAAATACTGGCTAGGGGAAAGCAACCTCCTCCCAAATACTACTAAACCTAGCTTTAGTTCTTGTCGATTTAGGAATGTTATCAGCGTAGTCCCCTTTGAGCCTGATTGACGAAGACGAAAACGCAACTACCTCAAAGTCGAGCTTTGCTGCATTAGTTTTGGGCAGTTTGTTAACTGATTCGATGACTAAAGGGCACATATACGCGGGAAATCTTTTAGCCTGCCATGTATAATGATAGAATGATGTCGAAGCTCGCTCAATTCGAGCGACTGGTTGGAGACAACATGGGTGACTAAAACTGGTTCATTTTCGTCCTGTGGCTGACAGATTGACACGACCGCTTCGGAAACGGCTTCCTCCAGCCGCGACGGCAATAGCGTGGTCGATTCGCGCAGGTCTATTCATAAACCTCTCGGCTTCATTTGACTGTTTACCGCCATGCGACCTAGACTACGAGTGTTCCAAGTTCAACCATCGGCCAGCGTCTCCACTGCGATACGTACAGGCGACCATAGCTCAGCCATGAGCAATACTGTGAAGGCGTGGCACAGGTAAATGTGACTTTGTGTTTGGTCACGAATCAGGTGACAGCGATGGAATCTCCCGGTTGGGGCCATGGAATATGACAGAGGCTCCCTCCTTAGCAAAGCGTGGTGTAGAGGTAGACCCACTAGTGTATAATATGACAGCAAAACCAGCCGCTCCAGACCTAAATACTCGAGGAGGACGGGGAGCCCACCCGAGAGTTGATACATCAATGATCGTCAGATTCGTCTTGTTGAGCTTGTCTACATTCTGCCTAGTATGCTCATCCACGAGAACCACTTTGCATTGACAATTCCGAACCATGGCAAGCCGAGATCGCGTGGTAATTATATCCCTACAGATCATCAGATACCGAGGATGGACGCTACAAATTTGGTCGTTGCTCCTTGTGACATGGCCACTGGTGGGATTTGGGGGTTGCTGGTTGCTTCAGATGGCTTGGTTTTAAACGGCAGCGTACTCCTTGGTTATAAATTTCTATCCTGGCAACGATTCGTCCTCTATCTGTGGTCGCCGAGGCATGCTTGTCGTATTTGCTGCTCAGATTTAGTAGAGTTGGTTAATATTTCTACTGTGATAGTGTCTGTGGCAGCTGAGGGCTACGCGTCATGTGCTGCTGTTGACTTGCTTTGTCATTGTTGCAACGAGACAGGTTCTCTTAAGACGTCGTAATACTTGGACTATATATATCCTCTCGATTGGTATGGATTCTGTGCTGTAATGATATCCTCTACGAATCATTAACGTATCGATATGCCAGGTAAGTTGAGTTGCATTAAACAGGAACACTGCAATACACAGTTACTTTTGGTATGCCAACACCACGTAGGACTATGGAATGGCTCAGACGATACCAGGAGTAATTAATACTTGGTGCTACCGCAACTAATAACATGACTGGTATTCCCCGTGTTTAATCATCGCAACGAACCAGGTCCATAGGTAATTATACTTTTCGTGAATACTTCCACTTCATGCATTCTCAAAACCGCCTGACATCGAAACAACGGCTGAAACAGCATGCTGTCCTTGCAGTTTAGTCGTTGAACCTGCCTGATGAAGGTGGCACTACGGAAAACAATCACCACCATATATCAATAAACCGCGCGTTAGGATATCGAAGGATTCAGCCACCCCGGCACTGCCACCTCAGCTGAGGTCCCAACCCTACCCTCAAATGCAAAGTAGAACAATCCATGAGCATGTTGATCTCTTTTACGTCCAAGCGGACCATGGCAGGCCATGGCGGTACACTAGCCCATCTGTGTCGAACTGCGGTCCCTCAGCACCTAAGATATATCCAAGTTCACAACGGTCAAAGTGAATCTTCACTTGCTGCTGCATATAGAACTCATCGAACCGCGGCGAGAGTGCATCGTCTAGGCTATTCACATTCCCAGCAGGATGCAGTGTATACCACGGGCGGATACAAGCCTCTTCCTTGCACGACTTCAAGACGAGCAAGAGAGAATCTAGGCGTGCTACGACTTTCCCGATCGGCAACCCGTCGAGAGTAGCCACTCTGTTCTTGGGAGCTAGTAGATTATGGAGTTGTCCAGGATCGGTCTGTAGGTAGTCTTAGTACTTGACCATATTCGACTGGGCTTGAATATACCTTCAAATCATAAAGCTCATGCTCGTTCGTGCACCAAACTGAGTAATAGAGATTCCATGAGTCGCTGACAATACGCAACGCCTTGTATGTGTTGTTGCCCCAATGATTTTCATATCCAGGGAATGTCTTGCCTTCTCCGAGAGCGATGCCCCAGAACTCCACATTGACGTGTTCATGACGGGTTGCGATAGCTTCTTGTATACCGTCTTTTGTGAGAGGAATGGCGGCACCGTCGAGCTTCGCAGCCTTAGGAACTTCTCCGCCAACTAAGCCGAGAATTGTCGGCGCCAAGTCGGTATGGGTTGTGACAATATCTGTAACGTGCTTCTCGGGCACCCGGGGTCCTCTAATGATCAGAGGCACGTTGATATCTTCTTCAATTCCGCATTCTTTACCGGGTGAGAGCCGATGTTGTCCGATATGAAATCCGTTGTCGCTCGTATAGACGATATAGGTGTTATCCAGAACGCCCAGTTCTTCCAATCGCGCGATGACCCGGTCGACGAGCTCATCGACGCCTTGGAGGGCTCGGAGGCGATTGCGGTAGAAGTAATCATCATAATCAACCACTTCTGGACTCCGCTTGGGGAGTCGCAACATCCAATTGGCACCTGACGATTCTTCAGGATTGAAATTCTTCGTCCTTGGAATCTTGACATCTTGGAACAGATCCTTGTGGCGTTCTGCTGGGATGGGCGCCGAGAACAAGCCTCCGGCTGCGTAAGGCCCTACCTCAGACATGGTATGTAAGATACTTGGATCCACATTGCTATGTGGTGCGACAGGTGCAAGGCCCAGAAAGAAAGGTTGACTAGATTGTGCACCTTCGTCGAGAAATCCCAAGGCTTTCTCAGTAAGCACATCTACGGAGTGTTGACCCTCGTAGCTGACTGGTGCCTCCTGGTTGCGCTGAAATGTGCTATTCAAGTACGAGTACGTGAACGGGTCTAGCAGAAAGTCCTGCAAATAGTGAGTACAGCTATTGCCAACGGCCGGGAGTCTCTCACCGAGCCGTTCCAGCCAGCAACATAAGGCGAGTCATAATTCCAAACAGTATGCGCATTAAATAGCTTGCCGGTGTAATATGTGCTGTAGCCAGCCTCCTACTCATCCCATAAACGTTAATGACTTCTTCAACCAGAGTGTCTCACGAGTATGCTGGAATATTTCTGGTGCCTTGAGGGCATAAACAATCAAATCAAGCCAACTTCAGCCTCCGAGACAGTCCAGATAGGAAATTAGCGACCGTGATACTGACCTGCAGCCAGACAGGCAGATAGTTATTATTAAACCCTTGACTCAAAAACTTGGGGTATCCGCCTGTATTTAAGTGTCAGTTGTATACGCGATAGCAGACTGAAATGAAATGTTACCATAAGGTGGGTTGACATCTGTTACATTCGTATTATGAGCTGCCCTGCCTGTCCAAAGAGACACCCGTGATGGGCAACAAATTGCTGTCGTGCAGAAATGCCTCCTGAAAAATGTGCCACGATCAAGTAGATGTTCTTTGACAAATGGCATGTACTTCAGCGATTGCATGTGTAGGTCTTGGTCGTCTGTTAGAATGAACACAATGTTAGGCTGATTCAAATCCACGGAGGAAGTATGGTTTATGCCGGCTGTCAAAGGAAGCTGATCTTCGCGATCGAAACGAGCTGCATTGTTGCTAGCACTAACGCAAGACGCCGCAAGGGCTGAAATAATTGCGCGTAACAACATTGTTCTCAATCTATCTGAACCAGATCCTGGGATTTCCAGAAGTCACTTTTCCGACATTGTTGTGTTAAGTACGCATATTCGGATCAATCAGGTCCACAGTCGCGCTCCCAGAACTGCAACGACCCCAATGGCGTGCTTCAAGCTAGACTAGGCCAGCTTAGATTAGCTCTATGCTTACATACTGTACAACCTACTCTTCTTGTGCTTTGCAGACCATTGCATAGAAGCCCAAAGCTTAGAAAAGGCGACTACTAGATCTCACGGCGGCTGTACAATATCACCTACATGCAATTTAAGTACAGTCTTCTGCATTTGTTGCGGGGGAGAGGCAGGCCAGGGGACTCTCTGCTATCGGTGCTCAGTTCATGTCCCAATATGCCCCACTGCTCCCGACTGTTCTGCGATTCAATTTTACAGTGCTTCCTCCGCATATCTGGACCATGAGGGCAGAAGTGACTATAGCCGAAGGTGATCTCGGCGCCTCCTGGAATACTTCCATCATCGGCGAAGAAGTCCTTGCGAGTCAAAAGAACTACTTACTTGTTGAGGATTCGATGGGTTACGAACTTGCTCCCTAGACGGTACAGAAAAACGATAAAGCAAACAGTAGGTCAAAATTCCAAGGAGGAGTATAGATATTGATTCAGGGCCTCTGGTATAGTATCCCTACTGATAAAGGCCTTAACTATAGGTACGTATATTTACAATTTACCCATGTTCCTTAATGTCCATCATGCCAGCCTCCTGTTCTATATCCGTCCCGCATGCCCTGAACTATTAATGACGTCCCAATAACATTGCATACATATCTTTTCGCGTCCTCGGATATGGAACCTTGAAGTCTCTGAGCTCTGCCCCCCGTTTAAACTTTTCCAGCTTTGTATCGGACTTTGCTTTGCTTCTTTTTACTTCTTCAAGTTATACATTGTCTTTTATGATTTATTTTTTTAGTGACTCAATCCGGATATTATCCTTTTCAGTTCGAGCGAATTTCGTGTTTTTTTTTTTAGCTAGAATTAATAGACCCCACTTTTTGCAATCTTCTCTACTTTCCCTTTTTTTTCTTTTTCCGTTTTTTTTTTGTTGTTTCTCTCCTTTCTCTCTGCCTCTTTTTTCTGCTCTTTCATTGTCGTCCATATATAGAGGTGGTGTAGTGTGGTAGTCCCGTTTGATTGTATGATTCTGTGGATTTGCGTTAAGTTGTGGCTAGTATTGTATTGGTTTTTAGTTTTGATCACAGCTTTCTTAGTTGTATATGAGAACATGTTTCTCTTTGGTTCATTTTATAAAGGACACTCCTGAAGCAATGCACTATATTTTCGGCATTTACGTCTTTCACTATGCTTGATTAGCCCGCGTGAATGCCAGCGTACTTCACGATGGAACAACTAGGTAATCATTGACCCCTAGTTCAATACCAACTTATGGTTTGTGGTTTAGCATGTGCCTTAGTTATTTTGGCTTGATTATAAATCGTGAGTTCCAGTACGTCTCCGGAATCGGGCAATGCCAACATTGCAAATACCACTATGGCGGTTGGGTTGTTGGATTGTTGACCGCTTTTAATTGCATCAAATCTTGTACTCGGAACTCGTTCTCGCAGAGTTTCACCGCAGGTTCACAAATCTTGTAAACCTGTAATGATGCTGAAAGTTCACTCAGCGTTAGTGTAAGATGCACCAACTCGTCAAATACTTAAGTGAATTTGGTATGCTTGTTCATAGATTCTACTCTTCCCATTCCGCTTTTCTGTATCACTAAACTCATTTTTCAAATAATCAATTCACCTCTTAACTGCGTTGTCTTGATCGCATGGTTATTGCCACAATAACACACGTTACGTAATCAGTGGAGGCAAGAGTAAGTATTCATTCATGCGCTACCTCCGTGGTGCTTGAAATAAAGACTGTTTCTTGCACATATAGTCGTAAAAGTTTCCAACGAGGACATAGGGAGTTTGTTGCAACTTACGATGTGTTTTGAGTTTAGGGATTATAGAAAACGAGCCGTTATAATGGAAGTGTGAACTTGACAAAGCTTATAATGAAGCCAAACGACTTGACATTTTAATGTGCTTGTGGGATATGTATTAGCGCCCGTTAGTAAAATTAGATACGGGAACTGGCTATGTTAGCGTAAAGGATTATATAGAATAGGCAGAAAACCATGGATATCTCCGTACTTTAAGATTGGCTCCGTGCTTTACGATAGTTTCAATTTATTCGGCAAAGTACTCAGGAAATATAAAAGGACCGTCCTTGAAGAATAAAGCACTCGAAGACGAGTATAAAAGCCGTCACCTTTAGGATTTGATGCGAAACAAACAGCTGACTTGTAATATGGTTAAAGGATGCCGTATCGTACCAATCGTCTGTCTCCTCATTATACATAAATATACCACTGGAATCTGAATATATATTTATAATCAACATTGTATTGCAATGTCTCCCGCGTTCTTCGATGACCGTTTCCATTCCAGTAATTTAGCATATCGCCCTAGTTACTGCTATTGTTCATGATACAAAGCAACTATTCGCACCTTACCTAAGATTCCATCAGGAGACACAAATTTACTAAAGCTTCTCAGATTCAAGGTCACGAATGCTCCATAGATGAACTCGAGCTGATATATTCAAATGTACTGCCAAGGTTAGTGGTCGTTACAATAAGCTGAACTTGTCAGCTCCGTAAGCCTACGATAAGAGTCAAAGACTCTTCGCAGCTATGAAATATAAAATTTGACAAACAACGGTGTGAGGTAGCGTGCTTGCAGGCACGTTTCAGTGGCTTCACATGGCTCACTACTACGCAACCATGGGGAATGGTTTCATTAAATAGGTCGTCGGTGGATGCTAGGACTTCAACACAATCACATAATGCCTAATCAAGTGACAAGCTATGGAGTATTGAGTCCATAATTACAACTGGGCATGATAAGATGATATGTTTTATTGAAATCAAGGTAGCTAGCTTGGCATTTATTTTATATCCAGCTACTAAGCGAGAATACGTGGTGGCAAGCACAAATCTTTGGCGCTGCGTGTGCGGGTCGCGCTGCAATCCAACGCTTTCATGAATACTGTTTCTGTGAAGATATCGAAGAAAAGAACACCTCCCCTCTCTTTTTCGAGACAAATTTGTCTCTTTCTAGCAAATCAGGTCTGATGCTTGCTGGTCGAAGCGCGTATCACTACTCGGCTGCGCGCCAGAAAAACCACGTCACTGCCACCAGCAACTTGAGTACTGCAGCAAACCAGAGTGTGCCAGCAGCACCAAATTCGCTACGAACCAATATACCGCCAACCACAGCGCCAAGTAACAGTAAGACTGGTGCACCCACTCTGCGATTTCTCTCTGTATTTTCCCGCGTAAACAACTCAGCATCGGAGAACAAGTCGCAGTAAATGCTCGTCAAAACCACACTTGTCAATGCGTTGTATTTGAGTGCCCTGCTAATGACAGCCTGCCCACAGCTCTGAAAAGCAACAAGAGCAATGGGCACCAAGACAACCCAGCTTAGCTCATCATCCGATTTAGGACCCCAGGTGAGGATCCCCGCCGCAGCGATGACAAGAGTCATCTGCAGAAGGAAGGACGCGCAAAGCACCCATCGTCGACTAGGTAAAAAATACCGGTGAAAGCGACTAAAAGCGAACGATCCCACGCAAAAAGAGATCAACGAAGTCCCAGACTTAATCCATCGGGTCGATTCTGAGGGCGCAGCTAACCCGAGTCCAATATAGACGGTGTTGCCTGCAAGTGTTTAGTGCGACGATATGAAAGATTGAAGATGAAAAAGATTCACCTGTTTGCATGGACACGAAAGACCCCCAGGTATTAATGGAGGCGCTGTCAAGCAGACCAGTTACGAAATAACATAATAACAAGATCAGATCAGCCCAGTCTCTGTTGACAGTAGCCGTCAGATATGAGCGCCAACTCGGTTTAGATGCCGAACGTCCCAGCAACGCTTGCTCTTCATCACCGCGAGGGTTAGTCCTGGTGCCGGTTGTTCCGTTGTTCACAGTGCCGTATCCGTTCTCAGGCGCCATCGTGGATTTATATCAATATTGTCTCACTCAATGTGTCTAGGATGAGGCTACACACGAGCTTAAATATGGAAAAACCAGAAGTCCTACTCGGCCAGTTTTGTGTTACTGCTTGTTCAAGTATGACATGAAAGATGACAAGCTTTTAAAAATGGGTCTGAGATGGATACTCTCGAGGGTACCGGCAATGCAAGAAGACTCCGAGTGGGAAAATAGGAAGAGGAAAAACGTCAGTCTGATCGCAGCTAGCCGTATCTGTTGCACGTCGTGGAGCCAAAGAAGGAACACGGCAACGAAAAACCCGGAGCTGTTAGCATATTCCCAGCGATACTGCCCCTCAATGACGCTTTTCTCCCTGTCGCGCGCTATTCGTTCACCGGGCCAGGGTGCCTAGCTCGTGGCCGGCGTCGTACAGGTCTCCATGGTAAACCCACCCTCCTAGTGGAACTTTATGTACCATCTAAGCAGGATAGTGGCCTGGATCGCTACCATCGTCGACCTTCTCACGAGGTCAAGTTCAGCTTCAGCAATCCTCAATTGAAACATCTTAGCGTTTTTAAGCGAGTATCACGAGCTCCAATCGCTACATGCTTCATGAATGCGGACAAGTTTCGGTCTTGCTCGGCATGTAGGATCGGTGATGGCTCGGCAGTGATGTTCATGCTTCATCGCTCGCTATGAGTTGGGGTAAGACAAGGGATCATGAAAGTACTATGTAAGTTGGACAGCACCTGGCCTAACAGCCAACGGTTACATCGGGATCGGGTACCCCACAAGTACAGGGGGGAATAAGCTGCAGGCTTGCTTCAATGCGTCCGGTCCTGTGTCGCAATCTTGAGCTCAAGCTGTCGAGGACGTCAACAAAAGTTCGGAGGAATGCTTGATGCGGTCACAATCGTTCGATAGGGCGTCTTAACTAGGGACAGGTAGACATAAAACCTAGCTGGCCCCCTTCACTATGTAAGGGTACCATCTCTATTGTACTTCTCTCGGTGACACAGCTTTTTGGTTACTCTCTGTAGGGCTGACTCACTGAACTGTTCCCCAATATGCAGCTGCAACACTCTCTTGTCCTTCTCGGCGCCGTACTTGGCGAATTGGGTCTTGCCATCCCGGTGGAGGATAGTCCTCGTCAGCGCCTGTTAGATGGTAAACCGTTGCCTGGAAAATATAGAAACGAGAAGAGCCCATACACGCCGGGCTTTAAGGACCCTCTCGATAGGCCCGTCGACACAGTTGGGGACGAGTTGGACCCATTGCCTTACCGTAATGGTCACGGCGCATCCGTCCTCGGGCCCTGGAATTGGGAACGCTCCCGACAGAATCCCGACCTAGTGAGGCCGCCAAGCACTGACCATGGGGACATGAAGAACCTGCGCTGGAGTTTCGCTGATTCGCATGTGCGCATTGAGGTGAGTTCCATAACCATTTGTTTTATAAGCGATTGCGTTGACTGGAGTACAGGAAGGCGGATGGACCCGACAGACGACCGTCCGAGAGCTCGGTGCTAGTGTCGAGCTGGCCAGCGTCAACATGCGCCTCGATGAGGGCGTGATTCGTGAATTGCACTGGCACAAGGAGGCTGAATGGGCTTATGTCTTAGACGGCGAAGTTCGCATCACTGCAATCGATTACGAGGGCGGCAATTTCATTGATGATCTGAAAAAGGGTGACCTGTGGTACTTCCCTAGCGGTGTGCCCCACTCACTCCAAGGCCTGAGTCCCAATGGAACCGAATTTCTGCTCGTCTTCGACGATGGCGGTTTTTCGGAGGAATCTACATTTATCCTCACGGATTGGCTTGGTAAATAACCTCAGAACAAGCGAAAATCAATAGTCACTGACGCTATAGTAGCACATACACCTAAGTCTGTCATCTCGAAGAACTTCAACTTGGCCCCCGAGGTCTTCGCACATATCCCCGACAGTGAGAAGTATATCTTCCAGGGAACTACGCCCGGTTCGATCAACGAAGAAGAGCCTACCGGCAAAAACATCAAGAAGTCCAAGTACAACTTCTCGCACCGTTTCCTTGAGCAGGAGCCAAAGAAGACCAGTGGCGGAGAGGTCCGTATTGCTGATTCAAAGAACTTCCCCATTTCCAAGACTGTGGCCGCTGCCCACGTTACAATTGAGCCCGGTGCTATTCGCGAGATGCATTGGCACCCAAATGCCGATGAATGGTCTTTCTTCATCAAGGGTCGTGCGCGTGTCACTGTCTTCGGCTCGTCAGGCACTGCCCGCACATTCAACTATCTCCCCGGCGACGTGGGCATTGTGCCTCAGAACATGGGTCATTTCGTTGAGAATATCGGCGATGAGCCCATTGAGATGCTCGAGGTTTTCAAGGCGGATGAGTTCCGTGACTTCTCTCTTTTCCAGTGGATGGGCGAGACCCCCAAGAAAATGGTTATTGATCACCTGTTCGCTGAGGATCCTAAGAATGGTGAAGTCTTCTGGGACAAGGTAAAGAGTGCCGCTAAGGATGAGGTCACGCAACCTGATTCCGATCTATTTTCACACAAGAAAATCTCGAGCGAGCTCAAGTAAAGTAGCCCATACGGGATCTAAAGCAGGGTGTAACGGGCGTGCGGGCAGTGGATTTAATCACTGAAAACAAATGATGGAATATGATCTTGGCAGCATATGGAGCGATTCAATAAGTGCCAAATCGCGTAGTTACGGGAAGAGAAAATCATCTCAATGCAGTGTTCATGAATAGTCCGCGACACAAACACAACAGTCTAGGAACAATAAAACAAAATAATTTTTCAACCCTAGATATTGAAGAACCAGCGTTCGCAAAGCTGGTGGGTCGCATGATCTAAGTTCTTATGGTCACTGGGAAATGGAGAGGGTTGTGTCCCGTAGCCTGAGGCTTGAGGGCGACATGCCGCAAGCGGGTCAACCAACGTGCTGGGAAGATCAATTGGATTGCACCTCCACTGCCGCAATCCACCAATCCGAGATTATAGAGCATCAAATGCGCATACTCCGCTCGGCTTTGACGCTAGTGGCATAATGGAATAATTTCGATGTAAAAAGCTCTCCAAGCTACTCCACAAAGCAGTCGACCCAGCAATGTGGAACTGCCAAGTAGAGCAAGCTTTCTCCAAGCTTGTGGGGAATTGCTTACATACGTGAAATAACTAATATATGTGTGTGGGCGTCGATCATAAACAATTTTATGCCAAGAAGGTGCCATCTTTTAAGTGGCGACAAGAACACCATATTCCAGCAGTTTTTAAGCCGTTTCCAACCACCTACCTGTGGATTCACGCAAACAATATGTGTTGTCCCTGCGACTCATTGTGGCATCCAATGCCATATGGAACTCGCTCCGAAACCTCTCCACAGCCTGATTTGCGGCTGCTCAGGCAATACCAAAGCTTATCCTGGACATCTGCAAAAGTTGGCACAGTCAGCGCAATCATGAACAGCTCGCAACCACTCGTTGTACACTGTATGAGTAATCGCCTGCCTTGTTGAGAGATAATGAAACCCTCTACTGCACGGCGGGACAAGCCTTGACGGCCGATTTAGGGCGTCGCAGGCCCATGTAAATGCTTGGCGGTCCACTTCCGACTGAATATCGAGTCGCATGGCGCGCTGGATTTGGAGGAATTTCACAAATAGATAGCGGCTCCTACCACTTCGGTGATCACCCGTGGGGGCCTCGCGGTCACGCCAATGGGTTTGTTTGTGATTGAAGTCACCCTCTTGCGACCTAATATAGAAGCAAGGTTCTACTGCCAGCTGCTTGTGACATTGGATCTCACCGATGTTCCCTATGCACTTTATATGTTAGGCCGTAAATAGTACCCAATAAGAAGTCCAGTTTTGACGCCGGGATCTCAGGTTGTTGACCCGAACAAGAATCCCTGGAGATCACTCGGGAAGCGGACCTAGTGCTCACCGGTTGAGGCGCGAGCAACACTGTCTATGTGGTGATACCCATGAACGGATGATTTTCGTTCTCACAGGAAGCAGTCGTTCTATTTGTCAAAAATACACGGTTCTATGAAGCCTTGTGGTAGTGGCATTTCGATGATGATAAGCTTGAGACATTTGAACACAGAGACATGTACGCATGAAACTATAGAGACAAAATCAGAAAATCATCGCACGTAGCACTAGCCTGAGTACTCTTGTCCAAACAAATCTGACATGATCAAAGCGCCTCCAAATGTCATTCCCAAATATCCTTGGTAAGAGAAAAAAAGTTTTTGACTCGTGCACATCAGAGCATAATGCACCGACTAGTCCATAGCCTTCTCCGCGATCACATGCTCCAGTACGCTACCAAGTCTTTCTCGATCAACGATGGCTCTTTCAAGAGAAGGATAGAGTATGTCAACACCTTCCTGGTGGCCATCGCCAAACACGGTAAGTGTCCAGTTGGCCCGCGCGAAGCGCTCGCGGACACTCCCGTTCATGCCGACGAAGCGAAACTGAACTTCTTTCCCGCAGTGTATACGGATATCAGCTTCCAATTCTCCGAGCGCTAGTACACCCGTGGTGTCGATCCATGATACCATGGTAAAGTCAAAGATCACCACCGACAGGGGAACATCGCGTAGCGCAATGCTGCGATCCCTGCGGATCCGCTCCACCCGACGTTCCGCGGCCACACTCCATGAGCGTTCACGCGAACGGAATACCGTGCTGTCTGGAAGCTTGTCATAGACGAGCTGGATTGCCTCTACTGTGACGCGCTTGCCCCTTGCTGCATTGGGGAAGAAAATAGAGTCGTTGAAATGAACGACGACCGTGTCGCTTGGAACATTGACGGCAGAGAGATCACCCGGTGCTGTGTTGAAACGACCCAAGGTTTGTGATTCTCCAGTAGTGTCGCCATTTGGGCTCATATTGACGTCGGGTTTTACAAAGGCAGATCTCAGCAACGACCAGACGATACTCCAGGCGACTCCGACACCAATACCGATCTCGGCTGATACGAATATTGTGATCCAGAATGACAATTGTGACGCAACGAAATCAGCCATGGAGATACGCCAGTATCGGTAAAAGAGTGAGACAGGGCCGAACAAGTTGATGACAGCCATGATCTGGGCTAGTTTCAGCGATACTTCTGGCAAACGTGGAGAACAGGATTGGCACTCACAATTATAGCGGCAAGCGTTGCCTTCGGAATCCAGTACAAAGCGGGTGAGAAAACATAGATGGTTAAGATAATCCAAGCGGCGGTAACCAATCCGTTCAAAGGGCTTCGAACACGACACTCCGAGTTGACAGCAGTTCGTGACATAGCACCGCCAACAGGCATAGCACCAAAAAAGGAATTGACTAGATTAGTGATGCCGAGATAGTTGAGTTCCTGCGTTTGGTCAATGGTATAACCATTTCTCCTCCCGAAAGCTTTGCCAACGGCAAGGTGTTCCAATGTGCAAGCAATCAGCGGTGCAAAGGCACGAGTCGCTGCTTTCGCAATGAGCCCAGTGTCATGTGCCTTGGGGGTAGCGATTCCGTGAGTGCTGACTTTAGAGATTGCCCACACCAGCTTGTCTCCACGGTCCTTATTGACAAGATAGCTGATAAGCGTGAAGATGAAAAGGACAATGATGGCTCGACTACTGGAAAAATATTTTAATACCCAGTGCCTTGTACCGTATCTTTTGCCAAGCTTCTCCAAAGCGATGAGCATCAGGATGGACCCAATGCCTATGCCACACGTCGGGCCATCCCACTTGGGCAGTCTTTTAAGCGCGTCGCCAATGATGTCGAAAACCATGGAAGGTGTGTTACTGAGTCCAATAAGGCTACCGAGTTGCCCGAAGCCGATAGTAAGGGCAGTAGCAGAAATAAAGCCTGTCAGGACAGGCACAGAGACATAATCAAGGAGGAAACCTAGTCCAAGAAGTCCAAGTATCAAGGAATATACACCGACCATGAATGCAACGGCACTGGCGATGGCTGCTGGACTATATTCATCGGAGTAACTTTCAACGATTTCCGCCGTCAACAGGCCGAGGATAGAAGTCGGACCGGAGGAGAGATCTAGAGTCGAGTCCATATTAGTGTATAAGTCTCAACATTTTGTGTAATATATACACACCTTTCGATGTACCCATGAAGACTGCGACAGCTGCTGGAACCCAAGCACTGTAGAGACCGTTCTCTATAGGGATAGTTGCGATCTTAGCATAAGCCAGACCTTGTGGAATCAGCATCACGCCTATCGTTAGGCCAGCAATGAAGTCCTGAAGAAGCCATGATGGATGGTATCGGGGAAGCCATTGAACTATAGGGACCTTGTCTAGCAAGTAATGTGTCGCAGCACCCGGAAGCTTTGGTGTTCCTTCGATCACGAATCTCTTCAGTCTATTGGTGCTGGTGTCGGATCGTACAACGTTCTTGAACGCATCGACCTTCTCGCCAACTGAGAATATGGCCATAATGAAGGGTTGAGGATGAAATCAATACAACATAAAGTATGAAAACTGCCTCCAAGGAGAGACACAGGGACTATTCTACAGAAATAGATCTAAGGAGTTCTGTGATCCGTAGAACGATGAGCAGATTCGCTGTACGGTGGCGACCGAAGGCGAAATGGCTAGCTACCGAGCACTATATAGATATTGTCCCTTTTTTCCACATCCGTAAACAACCCAGACAGTCGTAGGTCAATACTATATCGGAGCTGGTCCATATACCGCCGCATATTGTCACCCTCCTTCGGCTCATTCTCGCAATCTTCGGTATGTCAGTCTTCCTCAAATAGACATCCCGTGTTATGATGTGCAGAAACTCTGGGAGGGGTACTCGGGTGGCTGCCATCGTTGTCGTCTTACAGGTGTGTTGTTGCAATACCAGGTGCAACTAGGGTCACCACACACGAGACAGGGTGTTTAAAACCGGGCTAGATCATCTATCCTGGAAACGGTATAGACAATATCGTTTAACTTCACACCCTGCATTGGCGTTCCAATACTAATTGTTTAGAGGGAGGGGCTGGCTGCGATGTGATGGTGTGGGATCTGTTGCGAGTACAAGACGTGCCGTGCGGGGATGTAAGCGCAGGCAGTACGGATGTCATTGGCTGCTCTGCAGATTTGTGCCTTGTGACTTTGGTTCACTTCTCCTTCCCCGGTATGCATGTCGGTTAGAAGCGATTTTCAGGGAACATGGGTGATGATTTACTGTTGTGTACGTTTGCGAATACTTGTTTCGAGTGTAGGATGTGACTTGAGCATGTATTCCCACTTTGGTTGAATGGAGTCGGTTTGCGAAGCAGTAGCCCCTGCGCATTTACACATCCCCTTAATAACGTGGTCTTGTTTGGTGAATATTTCGGCATTGAGCCTTCAATGGATGTATCGAGCTCTCAGTGACGTCGACGTATATGTCATGCGGGATAGCAAACAAAAGCCAGTATAGGAGACGTAGGGCTCCCGCCTGAGGCGTCTTTGTAGTGGGCCTAGATAACACAAATACATATACTCTAGCATCACGGAAAGAGTGTCCGCCCTCCAACTCTAATGGTCGATCCATCCTAAACGAGGCGTGTTCAGCCAAGTTAGGCAACATGTCCGAACGATGCAATGTACGGGGGCAAATCTCGGTCCGTTCAGCTAGGCGAAACAACAGCCATAAGAGGCAACGAGCAAGTCGCAATAGAAAGGTCAGTAATGCTTGATTTCCATAACTTCTTCAACTAGGCCCACCTCTCCCTTGCCTATTCCTGTTTGTGAGCAAATCGTGGGGAAACCCTGTCAAATACCTGATTGGCCAACTATCCTGGACTACGCCCTTAGCTCAGTATCTCGAAACGAATTCAAGACCTATGTAAGGTCAGTCAGCTAGGTTCTTAAATCTAATGCAAAGCTACGGCGCGACTCAATTGCGATTGGGTGAGCAGTTATTGGGGAGACCAGACGTGTCTACCAATCTCGACATGAGTTTGACGGCCTGTTGCAATCTTGTTGCTCATATCAGGACTTTGGTGATGATTTCGAACGACATGATTTCTCTAATTGAAGTTGTAGCTAAGCTTTTTGGTCCAGATCAGGTGATACAAATTGCATGCAGCTGTTGGAAACGATCAGCATTTGTTGCACCGCCAAGCAATGGTTTGGCGTTTTGGCAGTTCTTGGAGAGCATTTGGAGACGGAGTTTGCAGCTTGGCACATTTGCCCAGTACTTGGCGGGCTGGGCGTAAGTGCCAAGAACGGGGAGAATGGTGATCTCCAAATACACATTTGTGACGACGACAGTGGTCATGCTCGAATATCCAGCCTGGGCGGTCTTGTTGCTAGCATGGGGAAACTTGCGTAGCAACCCGCACTGGACTGTGCTTTGCCTCATAATATCGCCAAGCTTTGAAATTAGTATTGAATTTTGGAAGACTATTCAGAGCCTCGCAAATCAGAATGTTTGACCCAAGAGTTGCATTCGAAGACGGCTTGGTTCGAATCATTCCAGGGTTGTACCCAATAGGATATACCGCCGTGTCGAGTTCCCGGTCTCGATTTAGTAGGTTAGCTAACATCGGCAGTGCTGAGAAGGCAAATTGGTTTCTCTCTGTGCTAGTTTTTGTTTAGGAAAACAAATATATCCGAGCGGATACGATGGCGCAGAGGAATGACGAGAAGAGACGAGTCGTATGAGCCTGATACCCTAGAAGGATCAGTAATAGATAGAAGTTGTACAAGGATTTATCAGCAATCTGCATGGTCCAACGACAACGCGAACATAAACGAAAAGCTCGTTAGACACTTTTGGTATAAGCCAGCAAAAAATCGATGCCGAGTCGCTGTCAGCAGGTAACCATATGATTGTCAATTGGTTTAGACGTGGTAAAAGATAACGTATCCTGCACCATAAATAATGCTCATGTATACTTTAAGGCATAAACCCCAACAATAACAACAAGGAGTCAAACCTACCTGTAAATATAATCATACAGTTGTAATGCCAGAAGTCATATTCAAGGTTGATAACCAATCAGAGTGACGGTCGAATCTTGACAGTTACCAATATGGATAGGACTGAAATGAGAGACACTAGGATTAGTATCGAACATGGAGGAAAATTTTCGTCTCGAAAGCAGCCTAGCAAGACAAACACTAGTACAGACATGTAAATATTTCTTTTTAACATATTCGGTCTGAGATTTCAGGTATCATACAGAGATTAACAACCATGCAGTATCTATAAGTCCATGCTGGATAAGCTGTGTGTCAAGGCTGTTAACAACCTAAGAAATATGTAATTATCTTAAGTAAAACTTCTATAATTAAGTTTACTTTCCAGGGCCAATCGTAATACCGACATTTACATATATCTGACGGATTAATTCGGCACCATCCACGGACAACATCCGGAGTGTTCGGATATTCGCTAAGTTATGGTTGCATCAAGCTAGGATGGTAAACAATATATTGAAACTAAAGTCATACATACTTGCACATACTCCAAACGTCAATCGTTTTGCGTTTAACATCCTAAGCTGGCTTACTGAGGGGTGTGTGATCAATCAGACAATTGGCTAGATATGAGGTGGAGTCAGCAATGCGTCGTGTTTTATTCCGAATTCTTTGTTAAACGTAGGCAGATTGCCATGTTTAAGCGTCAAGGTTAGGCTACTTTATGATTCCATGTACTTTAACATCTGATATGATTGTCTAATGATAGATCTACAAAAGCTCTCACTCTAGATCATGGTGAATATTTTAGTGCTGCTAGGCGAACCATATATTTAGAATTGTCCTTTGAGATTGAATCTTGTTTCACTTCCAAAGCTATTTACGATGTACCTAATCACGAACTCTCAACTTTCATGAGACGAGGTTGACGCAGATTACGGTAAGCATAAAAAGTACATCCCTTTTTCCGATGATGTTTTCTTGCACAACGACCGTGGTGGTCTTGATCAGTGGCGTTGTTTCCTGACGAAATATTGATACCTTAAGCGCATCCTTGAACGGTTGATCTGCCCGGCTGGCTTCTTTGCGGCGGCTCCATCGCGATTGTACCTCCCTGCTACATGATGCCGGGAGCTTTTTTAGGGTAGGAGATTTATTGGTTGATGTGCATATAATTGTGAAGCGCGCTAACCTACGTGCTTTGATGTATTCTCTAGAGGCCCTTTTCTATATTAGGATGTTCCGCTATAACTACATGGCTTTTTGTTCTCTCGTTGGACTCGGTCAATCTCGGGTTTATGGTATGCGGGAAATAGATTAACCAAGAGCTGCCAAGGTGAGGGTATCTGGACCGTGTACAGCTGAGAAACCCTGGATGGCTTAGAAAAGGGGTAACAACAATTGGACAGGTGCCCACATCACGACTACCATGCATAATTGTCCTCTACACCCTCAAGATAAGGGCCGACCAGTTCTGAACAACCAACTGACTCACCGCGCTGGTTGGAGTAGCATCAGTCTGCATATGTGCAGTCGTGTAACCAACATCAAACACAAAAGATATGTCGTTGTAAAGCAGTACGAAATTCGCCTCTAAATACTGCTGTAAATGGTGTTTGGCTCGAGAATCATGCAATCTTGTATCCGAAGATGGTGACACAACACTCTGCCAAGTCTTCAATACCAGCCGATTCTAGCTCGATGCAAGAAGTCGTGCATGAGCCAATACAGGACCGCACACGATGGTTGCCTGCTTGAGGTCTCAATAGGCATATTTCCAGGGCTTTAACCATCGTGACTATCGCGAGTGGAGCCTATTTGCCCTTGCCGAACACTGCTCCGCTACCATTTTTATCAGTAGAGACTACCAAACTACTGAGTAGTACAGACACATCGCGTAATCACTATTGCTATGCAAGTTCTATCCGTTGCGAACGAAATGCCCTGCAACTTCAGTCCAATAGCTACGAAGCTTACGTAATCCTTCGTCGTGGAGATGTCGAATCACTAGACACAGATCCACAGCAAAGCATCCCATCAATTGTCGTGTTATAATGAAGCACAATGTTTTATCCGCTCTATGAAGTGGATCTCATGTCTTGACGTTTTGCAAGTACAGATAATTTGTGATCAAAGATGTACCATTTCGTGAGGGTTGGTGGTCTTCTCATCTGCACTAGGCGCCAATGTTTGAATATATTTCAAAAAATTAACCTGATGAAGTTGAATGAATAAGAATGGATGTGGAGTCAGCACAGCGTATTATGCCTTTTCCAGTAGCATTTATACGAACCTATCTCCATTGATGCTATCCTCAAAAGGATTTTTTCCTCCCACGGTCTGTTTGCTTCTTGAGCTTGTACTTTCACCACATCTGATACTCTGAATTGGTGATTAGGGACGTGCCCGAGAATGCTATAATGTTGGCCTCGTCCAATACGATATCTGCCAACGTAGTACATCAGCCAAGATGACAAATGTCATTGTAGATTTGACCGGAGGCAACTGCTATTCAGGTTTTCACTTGTTTCCTAACAATAAGAACTCTTTTCAGTGTACTATGCTGTACGGACCCGTAAGGTAGATACGGTTTCTCAGCTTGCTTGTCCTGCTCATTGATTGGAAGCAGAAGAGGAGCCACTAAATTAAACGAGGTCAGTGCTGTTTGGGTCCCAACTGAGCCCTGCAACATCGGCCCCGCAGTGTTCAAGGACAAAACAGGGGCCACTAATTGAATCACAACACCAAAATGTCGTCACTAACGAACACGGTGCTCTTGCCTAACCTTGGCTTTTTACGATCGCAGGCTCGGCTCAGCACAAGCTTGCAGGAGCTTTACAGAAATGTGCCACAGCAGGTGCCTGTAGCAATCCAAAGTCATGGCTCATGAACCTGCCTTCATCCGGTAATAAGTTGACATGTGATAACAGTATCGTGCAAGCGACCAAGGAATTACCGCAGGCAGGCCACGCTTCATTCGCTCACACAGGTAGGTAAGACGGCGTAGATACCAAGGCATAGTAAACCCGCCAAGCAGGATAGCTGCATCTACAACCTTAAATCAGTACACCAAAGGCTTTCATCGCGGGGTTCCTGTCGTTTGTTAGCAATATCTCTCATATTCTAGGCCTACGAACATCCTAACCTTTCAATCTTGTTCAATTCCCATCGACACAATGAAGCTCGCAGTCTTCAGCACGAAGCCCTACGACAAGCTTTACCTTACCACCGAACATGCCGCTGAGCTCGACAAAGCTGCCGGCATAGAACTCATTTATCACGACTTCTCCCTTTCACTCGATACGGCCGAACTCTCACGGGGCGCTGATGCTGTCTGCATCTTCGTCAACGATGTTGCCGATGCGCCGGTCATTGAGCAACTTGTCTCACATGGCGTCAAGGCCATCCTCTTGCGATGTGCAGGTTTCAACAATGTTGACCTCGATGCTGCCGAGAAGTATGGCTTGGTCGTGGCCAACGTACCGTCATATTCGCCCGAGGCCGTAGCCGAGTTTGCTCTGGCACTTGTCCAAACACTCAACCGTCATACACATCAGGCTTACAACAGAGTGCGGGAGGGCAACTTTAACCTGAGTGGCCTTCTGGGCAAGACATTACATGGCAAGACCGTTGGGGTGGTCGGCACGGGAAGGATCGGTGTTGCATTTGCTAGAATCATGAATGGGTTTGGCTGCACGGTCATTGGCTTCGATCCTTTCCCGAGTGAGGACTTCCAGAAGCACGGCGAATACACAGACCTCGACTCGCTGCTCCAGCAGAGCGACATTATCAGCTTGCATTGCCCGCTGATGCCGAAGACCAAGCATATCATCAATGATGACACCCTCTCGAAAATGAAGGATGGTGTCATTCTTGTCAACACATCTCGTGGCGGCTTGATTAAGACCAGATCCGTCATCGCAGCTCTCAAGAGCAAGAAGCTTGGTGGTTTGGCTCTGGATGTGTACGAGGGCGAGGGAGAATTGTTTTACAATGATCACTCGGGCACCATCATCGATGATGATGAACTCATGCGCTTGACAACTTTCCACAATGTAATCATCTGTGGCCACCAGGCGTTTTTTACCGAGGAAGCCTTGCAAGAGATTGGTACGACTACGTTGAAGAACCTGGCCGACTTCGCTCTACAGCGTCCGTGCAAGAACTCATTGATAAAGACCAAGGAAGACTTGATCAAAAGGAAGCAGTCCATTCCTATTCGCATTTGAGCTTACGAGTCCAATGCAGTCTGGGTGGTGAGCATGGAGTCTGCGCGTACTCACCATGGCCTACGTTGTGCAATATGATGGGTTTCCTAGTATTCACGACTAAAATGGCTGTTGCCATGATCCTCACGCTGGTTCAACGGCGAAGCACCAAATGAGAGATGAAGAGAAAAGAAAAAGGGAAGGGGGGCAGGGGCACATGTATCACCCTTTGGCTGTTGCTAGATGTTATATGCACGGCGCGGTACAGTACCACACAATTGGAAAGACACGCGACTACTCTGGTAGACCTTTACGCCGACCCATAGTAGATAGTTACATGATCATTCCTACACAGCCACTGAGTTTGTGGTTCTTCCAAATGTCTTGGCACTAACGGTATTGCTCATTCATAACGCAACTTGGAGTCCGCAGCAATGGTCGAAGGCTGTGTACTAAAGCCGAAAATGTGCTGCTAAATTCATGCCTTGACTCTCTAGATTCTGCTATACCTGCCCGCAATAGTATAATCTTTCTTTGGCCCCCTGACACTGTACCCTAAGTTCCAGTCCTTTAGATTGACAGCCTTGAAGTTGAAGCTATAATGCACGTCATACAAATCTTCGATGCAAAGGTGGCTCGCCTTTGCCTGCCAACCTCTGGAGGAGTCTTCGCTTGCTGGAGCGATGAACTCAAGATTATGGAACAAATAATCCGCACGCATGTTGTCATCGGTTCGTGCAAACCACACGCTTAGTACATCCTTCCGATCATCATAGCGCCATACATACCGCCTTGTAGCCCTAAACTTCATTCCGTTGGCTGCAATGAAGTCACCATCTTCGATATAGAGATATTCCATGCCCAGGTCGTCGCCCTCGCGAACAGTTCGTCCATCCGACGTGCCATCTCGCAGCAGAAACTTCGCGGTCCCGACGAATCGTCCGCTTGGGTGGCTTGGGAGTCTTGAATGCAAATCACGGTCGAGTTTCCATTCTCCGAGCAACGATCGAAAAACTGCATGCGCAACAAACTTGGCTTTCGTCAGGCCGGCTAGGGCCGTCTCATGTGTTGAGACCAGGTTTTTCTCGACTTCGGCTAATTGGGCGCCCGAAGCTGTTTTGGAAGCGTACCGCGCCGGCGTGATGATGTCCATACTCTTGCCGTTCGCAAGTGGCGGCGTCTCTCGCGGAGGTGCAATCGGTATCTCCAGCGCCTTGGCGAACTCCTGCATCAGAAAAACATAGTCGCCCATGGGAAATTGAGAGCACCTCGGGTCCTCCCGCAGGGCGAGAGTCCGCTCAATGCTGTTGTCAGTCGCCAGCGCATGTTCAAGGGCCAAAGAGTGAGTGGGCGTCGTCCACAGGTGAGCAACAAACCGTGCTTGCATTTCCATTACACCCCAGTACGGAGAGCGGTAGAATCCGACAAAACCTAGATTTTTATATGCCGCGTGATGTGTGCCGTGGAAGGCCAGAGCAGCGGGAAGGGATGTTGTGCTGGGTGAGTATGAAATGGCTTCCAGGACCTTGGCTGGCAAGAATTGTAGCGACGGTGCTGGGTCAAATCCAGTTGCGAGAATAACGGCTGCGATATCAGAAATCGCTTCGTCAGCGGGCAAGATAGTGGCGGTAGTATCATCGATGGATGAAAGCCTTCCCTTGCTGATATTTATGAGTCCAGATCTGACGAAATCGGCGTAGTTGGAGCTCATGGCAAGGAAGGGCTGCTGTTCCAGAAGTTCACCACCTATCTTCATCTGCGGGGAGAATTCAATCTGATCCGTGCCAAGTACAGACTGGTATATGGAGTTGAAGGTCTTCGCAGCATCAACACTGACATGGCCCTGACCATTGACCAGTGGTTGGGGCCGAACAGCTTGGTTATAAGATGGCAAGTCGCATGGCAGAAATGGTGGAGCAGAGACGTCAGCCTATAGCACTCCTATCAGCCATGAATTAGGGACGAGTATGAAGCAGCCTTTACCTTTGCCGATGTAAAGAGTGGGAATACCCAGGCAGGTCTTTGGACCACATGTTGAATTGAATATTTCTCTGGATTCGGAATTATCTTCTCTCCTGGAGAGTTCGTCGCTGAGGACAAATGAGACGCCACAGTTCCGGCAATCTCAATTCCTGACATCTGCCCACCTACAATGAGGATCTTGCTTCCCTGAGCTTGCTCTTTCCCCAGGAGGCTGAACAGGTCACGGTATTTGCTACTATGAATGATGGGGAAAGATGCCTTTTGAGGCACGGTTTCTGGCCATATTGGTTTTCCAAAGAAGCCAGTAGTGATGAGAAGATAATCAAAGACTTTCGCCTGCGCACCTTCATCTGACTCGGTTTCGACTTCCCAGGCGCCACTGAGTTGTATCTCTGTTCTCACAACCTTATGCCCAAGCAGTATATCTGCGCCTCCATACCTGTTGAGATAGCGGTCCAAGTACTGACCGACCTGCCAAGCTCGCGGTAACTGGGGTGTATCGTTTTCCCATGCGAAATCGCTGAATTGCACAGTATGCTTGCTTTGATTCGCTACCATCAATGGATGCACCAGGCCGGTGGTATCACTTTTGCTTGAAGGCCACAGACCGCCAATGCGGGATTGAGCTTCATAGATTGTGACTTTGAAAGTCCCTGGCGCGACGTCATGAAGCAATGTCTTTGCCGCGACCAAACCGGAGGGCCCGGCGCCTGAGTGAGTATAAGCCTTGGAAGTACGGTGTGATTTTAACAGGGGTCAAATTGTACCAATTATACAGACAGTCTTTGTCATTTTAACAGTCGCGGGGCTTGTTGCTTAGCGTGAGGGACTACGTTTGCCCAAATATCAGGCTTCCAAGTGGTTAGTTGCAGTTTTGTGTGGCTTTATGACTTGGATTCGCGAGTTTGCAACAGTTATAGCCTCAGCATATTATGAGCGTGAATATTGGCCAGAGTGAGATGGCTAAGCAACACCAAATAATTGAGTGCTTCGCATCAACACTGGAGTCCGCGCCATTGGCGCTAGAATTATCGTGCTTCTACTGCCAGAAGCTTGTCAGTTGCTGACAGTTGGTGTGCGCTTATCCGATAAGATAAGAGGAGATGGGTATCGCATCCATTTGGGTTTGACCATATTGTTTTCCGTTTGATTGTCTTTGCCATCACACCATGCCTGATGCTCATCTCAGGTCCACCTCTGAAAGCCCGAGCACTAGTAGTTACAATACATCCAGCCAATATCTCTTGTATCTACTTTGTTGTTCGTATTGAGTTCGGCTTGATTCACTTGCCCCTGCGATGAGTTTTGCACGCGATCTCAAATAAAAACACAGCCACCAAGACATGTCACATATCTAAGACTCTTGAGGCAGATTCTGGAGAAACGCTGCACCAGATTCGCGACTTGGTTTCTGGAAGTCACCTCGAAGCCTCTACCCGCAAGACGCTTGTTAACGTCTTTCGATTCTGTATTCCACGCCACGTTCTCGCATGGATACAAATAATATGCAGTGTATTAATGAAGCTGAACGTAAGGGGCCATTCCGATTATCCAAGCTCAAGGAACATGACAATATTCCACGAGTTCAACGGCAGTCCGCCGTCAGCAAATTACGGCAGGTTACATCTCGCGCACTTTGCCATGAGAGTTGATTTGGAATAAACAGCTGTCCATATTGAAATTGGTTGTGAGACAGCAATAGTCGCCCATGGATCACGTATACCTGCCCCTGTTTCGCCTCACAGTAGTTTGTAGCTCGAAGACGGCAGTGTGGCCGGTAAGATCGGAGGCTCATCAAGTGGATATAGGATCATGATCCTAGCCCCCGGCATTCCTTCTCTTTCCGCTCGAATATATCGGATGGCCACTCACGCATACTGCAATACTGCTACCAACCGAACAACATGTCTTGGCACCCACGCGCATGGCCACGGGGCCAGTCCCACCAGGACCATTTTCAAATCTCAAGCACAAAGTATACTGGAACCTGCCCTGAAGAGCCAATTGTACGAAAGTATTGCTTCTGGTCTGGAAAATGAGAAAACAACATTTAACGATTGGCTGTTAACCCAAAGCCACCTGTATATCTCGCAAAATGATCCAACACACCACAAGGCGTGTTACCTGCTGAGAAAAGCAAAGCGCCGATGGCGTGGTAGCCCCCCACCAAGTAGAGATTATCAAAACGGCGGATTCCACAACTCGAATGGGTGCTATCGGCTACCTGCATATGACCTTTGCTGTGGATTCCTTGCTTAAAAGTTCTAGTCCAACATCTTGGCATGCGTTATAGAAAATACCTCATGGCAATGGGTTTTCTTTTGTACAACCGGAGATTCTCGACGAGACCATGCAGTTGGGTCGTGACTCCAATCCGCGTAAGACGTGATGCGCTGTGCTACTATGTACTTGTCCGGCCCAGGATTCTGGTACTGTCCAACCAGCAGATGGGGTTTACAACGATTCTCGAACCCTACGAAACCGAAAACAAGAACACACACCTCATAAGTGTGAGAATCTCACCAGATCGTTGTACCACAGTAAAAAGAATAGTGGGCTCTTCTTTCTCAACCGCTCCGCAGAGATCTCTTTGCTCTAAGTTATTGTACCAATGATAACCAAATAGATAATAGCATTGCCAGTAGCAGGTGCTAAACAACGCTGTCATTTTTAAGCTCCATGGTGAGCTTGAGGACAGCGCTAAAGAAGCCGTCCCGCTGACCCGCCCCCAGATGTTCGTGCGGGGACTGCGGGGTTATTAATATTTAGTGCTGAATCTCAAGCCACTAAAAGTCTTGGAGGGACCATCTTTGTCAGGCTTCTGAATGCCGCTTGGTCTCAAACCCCAAGAATGACGACGTGAAAGGACAAATGTCGTGAAACCCGATTTGATGCTTTGAATAAAGTTTCTGGTTCGAGGAATTTCATGTCATTTGGAGGTCATTCACCTGTCAGATTCGAAATACGAGCTGTGAGTGATTGGCACGTCTGCTACTCAAGCATGGCAGTAAACCGGGTCAGGCAGAGAAAGTAATGTTGTGAGTAGTCTAGTACAAGCCTCAAACGCGACAACTTGGAACACCATTGTAACAGCTAGGTTAGCACCTCCGAGATTTGAACAATAAACAGCGTCGAAATGGCCTGCTTGGAACTGCTGTCTTCGATATGAGAATGGTTCGGCCGCAAAAAGATATCTAAGATCAGAATCTGATCAACAGTGGGAGTTGTCTCAACAGCCCAGATGCAAACATTGTCAAGAAAACCATACCAGCTCAGGTTTGAAACCTTGACTTGGGGGTTTCGATCAAGCCAAGGAGTTGTAATAAATAAACAATCACAAGGTCCCTCACAGGAGTGAACTGTGACATGGATGCAGCTGGCTTCAAGTTGTCAGGATAGAAATAGCTGCCTCGCACAAGATCCAGAACGATATTTCGGTAGCTTCCACTCACAATTCTCAGTCGCCCCTTGCGTCGTACCAGTGGTCGGGGCCAAGTGGTCGACTTCTGATTCTCATGCAAAGACAAGCGTTTGTGCCGTTCTAAGATTAAAATATTGAAGGCTTGACATGTTGAACAGAATGCAAATTTGGTCCCTGGTCTAGTGTTTGATTTGGAAGAGTTCGTCTTGCCGATTCGGTTTGGTGTGCGCTGCAAGCCACTCACAAGGGTCATGGATAACCTGCATCGACATCTGGCAGTTCACCATTTTACCGCTTGATTTCGTTACAGTCCCTCTGGCCTTCTTCCGATCTATAATCCTGTAAACAATACTCATTTCAGAAAGCAAATGTATAACGCGAATATTGGCCAGCCATATGCGCCAAACAGGAAAGTCTCATCATAAGTTTATGCCATATAACATTGGAGGGGCTCCAACGAAACTATCTTGTTCATCGCAATTGAATAATTGACGATCAAGACCATTTTCTGACCTAGTGCAGTCACCGTCGCCGGACTTGGCTGGACCTGTGTGGTTGGATTATGAACCGTTGCTCCACTAACCCCCCAAATTGCAGCCCCTACCCCATTCTGCAGCATCACGCTCGGCAAGCATCTCGACTCAGCGATGATGATGATGTGGGTAACTGTGTGGTACTACCATTGGTTAGTTTAGCTTCTTAAGAAAAGTCCCATGTAATGATTTGTCAAGGCTATCAATCCTCCTGGAGGGGTTATAATCCCATCTGTGCTGGTAGCCAGGGTTGTGATTGCCTCGCCTTACTTCTAAACACTTTACCACCGAGATGTCTTAGTTCGACATTCACCTTGTTCTCTATTCGTCCGTGTCTCAAAGCGCACAAAATTATATTCCTATCTCTTTACTCGCCATCCCAGACATTATAATATTCCTGTAATTATTCTCTTGCAGCTTGAGAGCCGATCGCCGGAGTCCCCTTGTCTCCGCCTTGCCCTCTCCCATCATATATCGCTTGTCCTTGTCTCTTCTTTCAATTCATCTGCAAGTCAAACCCGGGCTCTTCCGTGGTAGATATCGAATCCTCCAAAACTTATTTATCAACTAGAGCACAGACACGGATTCGTCTCCTAGATTTATCACCTCAAAAGCTTGGTTCAAGTATTACAGACCCAACAGATCTTCCATCAGCGGCTAATTCACCCAGTTTTTGCCTGCTGCAGTATCTCAGCGACAATGAGTGACACTGAGAAAGTCTCAGTAGAGGCCGGCGCGTCGCATCACAGTGATGATGACAAAGTTCGCACCGAAGGTCACGCTTCGCAGAATCTGCCCCCGGACCCAGATGCTCATTTGAGCCCAGAAGAGCGTGCGCAAATTGTATTGCAGATTTCCCTACGTCTCTATGATTCCACGATGTTAATAAACTTCTAGGATCATAAGCTACTCCGGCGGCTTGACTGGACCCTCATTCCTTGGGTATGCTATTACTCCTTGTGTTACATCTTGGTTCAGCTGGCTAAAATTTCCTGACAGCTCTGCATTCTTTACTTACTCGCATTTCTGGACCGTACCAATATTGGGAACGCTAAGATCGCCCATCTGGATAAGGACCTCGGATTGACGACTTCGAGTTATAATGCAACTTTGACCATATTTTTCGTATCTTATGCAGTCTTTGAGCCACTGACCAATATCTTGCTCAAAAAGTTACGACCTTCGATCTTTATTCCCATTATCATGTAGGTGCTTGATGCATCGTCTAGTGATCACACCGGTAGCCGCAACTGACCACGATCTGCAGGTTTCTGTGGGGATGCTGCATGCTCGGCATGGGATTCGTGTATAACTGGTCGGGTTTGATGGCTGCTCGTTGGTTTCTAGGCCTCACCGAGGCTGGTCTGTTCCCGGGTATCAACTACTACCTCTCATGCTGGTACAAGCGTTCCGAATTCGGAGTACGAGCTGTAAGTCAATATTGTCTCACGATCGTTTATTTCCACTCTCTTATACTCTTAGGCTATCTTCTTCTCTGCTGCCGCGATATCTGGATCATTTGGTGGCCTTCTTGCCGCAGCTATCGAAAAGATGGAAGGCATTGGCGGTAAACCAGGCTGGGCGTGGATCTTCATCCTTGAAGGCCTTCTTACAATCATCTTTGGTGTAGCCTCGTTCTGGATGGTACATGACTTTCCCGATGAGGCACGATTCCTGACCGATGAAGACCGTGCACGTGTTGTGCGTCGTCTCAAGCTAGATCAGCAGGCATCGGCCGAGCATGAAGAGTTTCAGATGACCTATCTCTGGCAAGGCCTAAAAGACTGGAAAATGTGGTTGGGAATGGTCATCTATATGGGCTGCGATATGCCCTTATATGCGTTCTCCCTTTTCCTGCCCAGTATCGTATCTGAGCTAGGATGGAACAGCAGTATTATTCAGTCGCAGCTCATGAGTGTTCCTCCTTATGTAGCTGCTGCACTTCTCACAGTCGCCATTGGCTTCGTAGCAGATCGAACGCGCCAGCGAGGCCTCTGTAATATCATCGTCAGCTGTTTCGGTATCGCCGGTTTTGCTATGCTGATCGGCGCCAACTCCGCAAAAGTCAAATACGCAGGCACCTTTCTTGGAGCTCTCGGTATTTACCCGTGTATCTCTAACACTATCACATGGATGGCGAACAACACTGAGGGAGTCTACAAACGAGGAGTAGTGCTGGGTTTCGTCATTGGGTGGGGTAACCTCAATGGAGTGGTTAGCAGCAATATCTACTTCAAAGGACCACAATACTACGCAGGTCACGGTGTCGTTTTGGCCTACTTGTCCATATTCCTCCTAGGCGGCAGCATACTTATGACGACTCTGCTACGAATCGAGAACAAGAAGCGGCAGCAAGGCAAGCGTGACTACCTCATCGAGGGCAAATCACACCAAGAGATCGAGGCGCTTGGTGATCAACGTCCGGACTTCTACTACACAACTTAAGAGCGCATGTCGTGCGTGGGATAAATGATTAACTGGGGTGGCTGTGAACCTGGGCGATTTCTGAGACTGGTTTATACCTAGAAGATCACTACCTTCAAAACATTGATGGTATTTGAAGCGCTTTTCGGGACGGATGGTTTTGTCTAGATCTGACAGCTGTCCACAGCCATTTTTCTTTTCGCGGCTGGGTACATTTCTTTCTGGGCTCAACATAGGAGCTGTTTAGCGTACGCGTTCCAAAGGATATCATCTCACTTCAGTCACTTTTGGTAAACTACATCTTTGATCACCGCGATGCATATGCTAGATGCGACGTCTTTTCAAATCAGTTTCTCCAACACTTATCCTCATGGCTGTCCATCTATATTGATTAGGCGTACTGACTCAGACCACTATGATCTAGCAGTATATTACCATTCCACCTGTGGTATCAGCATTCAAATGGCTGATCTGCTGCCCTTCCAACAATTAAATACCATGACTCACAGCCTTGTCATGTGGTTTGGTGGCTGACACTCATGCTGTGATACGCAGGGCAGGACAATGCATTGCATGGGTCAAATGACCCGGATCCAAGTCTATAAAGTACGTGCCTATGTCCCACACTTGAACTGCGTGAGGAATTATATGACATGGGCAAAATACTGTCTTTCCGGTAGTGCCCACAACCTTGTGGAGCAAATACACATTTTCAACAAACAGGAAAACCTCTATGACCCCAATGTTTGCTATCTCTTTTTTTGTCCACCTAAAACTTTGAAACGCCATTTATGAGCACACTTGCTTAGTGGCTAATCAGACTGGTGTACTTCTATTAGAGTCAAAATTAAATAAATATCGAACACATGCTACTCACAAAGACTAACAATAGCTTCTTGGTACGCAGGGATAGTCCTCCCACGGCTTCAGTGTTCCCAATCGCGTAAAGCTAGGAGCCAATTGTAGTGGCGGGTGTGGTTGACTGGCCAGATTAATAAGCAAATAATTAAAGTCCAGGCTCCTTGTAGTATGTACAAAACAAGGATGACAACCAGTGGGAGTGGGGATTGTAGATGGCCTTGGACAGATAACTTCACGCTGTCAGATCAGTGCTAGAGATATGAGGAAGTTCTGCTGCAGGCGAGTAAAATTGGCTATGCATCCGAGATTCTGAGGCAACCCAGCTAGGAGCGCAATGTTAGCTAACAACCGTACCCATGAAAATGAGGTAACTAGACCCGGACCTTTAATTCTAATGGATTAATCTTCATCCGCATTCGCGGGAAAGGATATCATGGGTATTTTTACTTGCGAGGATTTGCTCTATCCGCAATGCAAGGTGCTTTCCAGGATCCGAACACCGTTACGATCGGGCTCGGGCCGGTTATGGTTGCACGCCGCGTCTGCCTCAAAATTAGAATACTACATCACGCCTCGCAAATCAAAATCTGGTTGTCAGAATTCTTTCATTTGCAGTACCAGTTGATTAATGTAGTGCATGCGAGCCACATCTCTAGGTTAGAGAAGTTCATGAGCTAAGTGGCGTCGAGATTCGCGACTGTAATTCTCTCAGTGTAAAGCACATTCCCATATGTATGAAGTACTATCCGTCGCCTAGTATAACAGCGAATAAATCAAACTCAATATTAAGCAAGGTAGACCATACATTAACTTGTGTTACAAGGGTTGAGACTTGGTGTGGCGTTGAGTGAAGACGTGACAAAGGTCGCACGTACAGTGTCATAAAGCAAAACGTATCGTTTGCAAGAATTTTAATCAGGGGTGCCTGTGTTGAGCTAAAATGGTGAACCGGGTAGCGGAAGGCACTTTCCACGCGGTCCGAATGTCGGGTCAGCCAATAAAAAGACTATTCTACAGAATTGTGCCTTGAACAGTATTGTATAGTCGCTGGAACGCCGCTGATCTTCTGAAAATCATCAATGACTTGGCCAATTTGCCCGTTGGAGACCCTTCGATCATGACTTACTGGTCGTGCTGGTTTCTGACATATCACATACGATATTGACATTTGCCGCAGCAGACTCGAGTCCTTGTCAGCAGGACTTGGTCCGCGAATTACATTGTGTGATTGTGGTGTTTGAGCTTCAAGTCCGCAATGCCAATTCTGCGACCGCAGCGATCTCGACCACTTAGCATCGGACCGGTGACTAATTTGTGACCAACAAAGTCGTTTTCAGAATGCTTCTGCTTCTCGAGTCGTTTTCGCAGCCGTTATCGAAGCATGCTGCAAATTCCCATTGCGTTGCGGTAGGCACCCAGAAAGACAACTCAGCTGATGCCGCTGAAGCATGGACGGGTTCGGGCGGCTCAAAGAATCCGGGGGGTTTTGGTTGGTCTGAGATTCGAGTCTCCGCGGTACGCTGCCGGGTACGCAGCCGTAGCGCCCATACGCAGAATATCGCTGAGAAGATTGATTGGATACTACCACCAGGGTGCAGACGTGGTGCAGCTAGCAAACGCACCTTATGGTTCTCTTGCCTTGGCAATGTCCCGTATCTCCATCCCTCACACTCTGCCATCGCAATACTCTGCTGCAGATGATCGGATCGTCCTTTCGACGCCAATATGCCCTCCATACACAATATCCTTCCTACCTTGGTAACAAGAACGGCTTGCAAAGGAACTGTTCACTTCTCGGACTCATTGCAAAAATTTGCTATCAGCTTTAAAAGACGATAAACACAGGAGAGCTGGTCAGCATTCTGATCTAACATTCTAGATCACATAATGTGACGGTAACAAGTAAAAATCAGCAAAGCGTGTAGATTCCCTTGACGAATTAACGCAAGGTGCACCCCATGCAGTACTGAGTCGATCTGTTGCCAGGTGTTCCTTTGGTCTTCTCCAGTAGAAAAGTATACGACAATACTCCCTTATTGCTAAAATAGGTCAAACATAATGAAGGGTTCAGCTTCGCCCCAAGCGGCGTTTTCCCTACGGATGAGGGTGGAAACAGTTATGCTAAAATCATCTAGAGCGAAAATCTTATGCAGCTGATGATATCATGATCCAAGCATGTTGATGGTGGCTGTGATGATTGCTGTTTTGGACGAGAGGTGGTGGAGTCGAATTGCATGATCTTTCCAAACGATTATCTCGAGTCAAGATGCGGAAGTAGCAAGAGAGCTAGAGCTTGTGGCCGTCGCTCTTGCTCTTGCTACTTGGTTACCTCTAGGTGATACCAGCCATTATCCAGATCCCTGGTCGTCATTGTCGTCCTGTGTAGCCATCAACCACGACCAATATTTACGGGAGTCATCTTTGGACCGGCCCTCAAAAAGAGTCTATAATGATTCTGGGATGTTTCTTGGCTTCTCTCTTTTTTTCCTCTCTCCTTTTTCTAAACCAATGAATCCCGTTTCTGAGCTCCCTCCTAGAAACCTGCCTCAGAAACCTCTTACGACACGTAGATCTTGAAAGTATGCTTTATACCTGACGAAAGTACAACAATGCGGCTACTTGCGTCGTAAGCTTAATTGAGCTTGCCATTCACTCGGTCTACCTCGTCATACATATCCATATACCGACCCGTTCCCTGATACCTCCCGCCCAAGCATACGCTTGACTTTGATCACTCTCTTGTTATCTAGCCAGCACCCGTGGGCACCACCATAGGAGCCGCCACCAAGTGACCCTCCCAGTCTTTTCAGAGCTCGACGAATGCATTCATTCAGCAACGATTTTCTTCTCAGAATTGAAATACCCTGTTTGCCACCTTCCCAAAATTGTCTATCGTACTGCTTGAGATTTTTCCAAGCGCGACTCGAAAGCTATCACAACAGGGAGCTTTAAACCAACACCAGCACTGGGTCAGGCTACGCCTATGCAGTCAGTAACAACATCATTTGAGCTTGGTCATTCGAGCTAGCTTGTCTTTGAATCTTTGGAATTCACTACTTCAATCACGCTAGGATTGTACACCTCTTCGGCTTCAGTGTGCGCGAACCCTTTTCCCCAAGTACCACCCTCAACGACCTTACCGCACCATTCGTCATGGCATCAAATGATACCACCGGCGATGTTTCTATGAACGAAACAGCTCATACCGGTCTCTCACGAAAGGAGATAGACTTGATCGTCGCGTTCGAACGCGCTGGCGCTGGTCTCTCTGTTTTCGGTATCCTTTGGATCTTCATTGCATTCGCAGTCTTCAAACGACTTCGCACCGTGCCGAACACGTTCATTGTCTTCGCTTCATTCGCCAACCTGTGTGCAAGTATAGCCTGCTTGATCGGGTATGATGGCGTCAGGGCCGGTAGTCGGAGCCACCTGTGTCAGGCACAAGCCTTCATGTTCGAACTGTAAGTTGTAGTGTTTGTCCCAAGCTCCCAAGCGCCCTGCTTAGTAGTAACTAATCCTGTGCCAGATTTATGCAATCAGATCCATGGTGGTCTTTTGCCATGGCGGTCAATGTGTACATGGTATTCTTCTTCGCCGTCAATCCTCAGAGCTTTCTTCGTTATTGGTGGGCGTACTTCATCGTCTGCTACGGCATCCCAGCCATTCCCTCCGTTTGCCTGCTCCTTATCAAAGAGACAGGTATAGGACCAGTCTACGGCAACGCTACCGTAAGTCGCACCATATCAGTCCTGGATTTATCAGACCAAGTGTCATGCTTACAAACTCAAGATCTGGTGCTGGATCGATACAGAATGGAGTGGTCTACGTATCTGGACATACTACCTTCCGATATGGGTATGCATCGTACTGTCATCCCTGATTTATATATCGGTTGGATTTTATGTTTTCAAACAGCGGAATCAGCTGCGCAATCTGTCGCTTAGTGATCCGCACAACAGAGATCGAGCTGGGACCCGCGACTCGGCAGAGAAGGTATAAACCCCCAATGGAAAAGTCATGATAATTTGCAAGTGAACACTGCTGACGTACGCAAGCGACTTAATATACATGCGGCTGCTATGGGCAGTATTGCACCCGAAGTTTTGCAAACGACAACGATTCATGTTGCCTGTCCCAGCCTGAATCAGAACCTAACAATGAAATCCCCTGGGGCCAAGGTCCGTTGGTTTGCGGACCCTCCCGGAGAACCATCAACGGGCTCAGGCCAGGAGCACAATCTACCATCGGCAACATGCCATATTATCACCCACATCACTGCTGAACCAGCTCAAGAAGAGTCACTGAAACTACGCCTCAAAGAGACTTACCAGCGATTGTGCGGCAAGTTCAATAGCATGGATCCAGTCAAGCTGGCATATCTAAGGACCTCATTCATCTTTGCAGTGTCGGTACTTGTTACCTGGACACCCAGTTCGATTAACAGAGTTCACGATCTCGTCACTCGAAGTTCCGCTAGTTTCGGACTTAACTTGGCAAGCAGCATTGTACTACCTCTTCAGGGACTGTGGAACTCGGTCATCTTCTTCACGACAAGTTGGAAGACCTTAAAAGAGGAACTACAAGTCGCCGGTAATCGTCTCAAGGGACTTCCACGAGGTCACATCGCTGCAGCTGCTGTCCGTCATGAGCGAGAGCGGGGCGTCGAGCTGGATAACAGATACCATCGAAAATGTAGAGATGATGCGTCGAGCGAAGTTACGGGCAGCACGATGAGAGTCATGCGCGATGGTTCACTAACCAGTCTTTGATGTTGGAAGTAATGGGGTGGTATGATGAAGTATATACATATATTGGTGTAATTAATGCTCGTCTTGGCCAATTTGACGATAACCCAGCTTGTATTTTCTGGACATCTGACAGTATATCACCGGTTTGGCGATATTAACAATATCCAAATCCTAGTATCTCTCAATACGTATACTGCATACATCGTGCTGGGCAACGCATTGCTTGATCAACCGTTATCCGTTCGGCCAGTGCGTCAATATTCTATTGTCTTCACACAATGATTAGGTCATTGATAGCATGTTCTTCGCGTGCACGCCTATTCCAGGTCGTGTTTCCGAGCTTGGTAAGCAGACCGATGTCGCACATACCCCTGTTTTAACATCAGTGTCACAACGCGGGGTTTGCATCCGTGACACAGAACACTCACTCTCGCATTCCAACCAACACATTTAACGGAATCCCACCAGGTCTCAAGAGAAATTAGTACTTCAAACGGAAATCAAGATGAGTGACGCCACAGCACAAGAGCACTCAGGTCAAGCAGCCACCCCTGTTCGGGGTAAGAAAGAACTCACGGCCGAAGACATCTTCGAGCCCCATATCTTGGTCAAGACTGACCCCGAGGTTGTTAAGATCGTGCTCAGGAGTGCGAATGCTGGTGTACCGCCCACTCATGCAATACCAGTGGAGGAACGTCGCGCACATCCAGAGAAATATAGAACGCCGTGGTCACGGAGCACCGAGGGCTGGCCAAGAGTCCAGGATGATGAGATTACATCTGAGGATGCTACCAAGTTTCCGATCAAGGTGTACCATCCGGACCCAGAAGTCTGGGGTGAGGGACCGTATGGCGTACATTTGAATTTCCACGGTATGTTGTATATTTATCGTCCGGTCACACCTTGAGCACATGGTCGCTGAGGGTTAAATAGGTGGTGGCTTCGTCCTCGGTGATTTAGAGAGTGAGTCCACTATTTGCGACAGCATGCGGGAGGGTGCGGGTGTAGTCGTCATTGATGTAAACTATCGTCATTGTCCGGGTAAGTAATTTTCATAACCATGTACCTCAAGAGCTGACACGTAGCGTAGAGGCAACATGGGGCAAAGCCATCGAGGATGGGTGGGCCGCAATTCAATGGGTAAGATTTATCAATGAAGGTGACATGAACATAGGCATACATACTCACAAGGAGCGAAACAGGCAAAACTCAACGCAGAATCACTCAAGATCAATCCGCATTCCATCTCGATCGGCGGCATATCTGCCGGTGGCCACATTTCTGTGGTGCTGCAGCACAAGGCCCGAGATGCAGGTTTGCCTCTGAAGCTCTGCTTGGCAACAGTTCCAGGAACTACAAGTGCCCTGTATTACAAGTATTACACAGACTCCCCGCATGCATCATTTCACGAATTCTTCCGCGGGCCAATCTTGCCGTGGGCCTCCATCAAGTACTTTGGCGAGTACTCCTTCCCACAAGACAAGCTTGAGGAGCGGCTGGCTTTGATCCCAGATTGGTGGGCGGATCCGCTGAACAAGGCGAAGAATTGGAGCGGGCTCTGTGATGCTTTTATCAGAACAGCCGAGACTGATCCACTCAGAGACGAGGGCGAGGCGTACGCTATGAAGCTCATCGCTGGTGGAAATCGTGTCACACTGAAGCGCTATCTTGGTGTACCGCATGTCTTCGCGTTTTGGAATGGCCTCAAACAGAAACACGAATGGGAGCAAGACTCTATTGTGGCCCTCAAACAGGCTCATGGTACGGCATGATCACTCTCATACCCAATCGATGTAGAACCAGACTAAACATTGATTTGACTGTCGATGTCCAGCCTTATATTTCATGCAGCAATAACAAGTCGAAATCAAGTATTGTGCCCGTTTGCCTCTTACGATCAACCTCAAGGAAGATGCCTTAATAAGTGGAAATTGCAATGGCAAGCTACGAGAACATTTGCTCCCATGCTCCACCAATCTCGTCGAGCCGTGTTGATATAAATCCGTGTCGGTGTGGAGTACGGGTGCTTTTAAGATCGTTATACAACAGCAAGTTCACGAAGAGGAGACAGGCCCATGCGGCTCTAGCAGTTGAAGGATACGCCCAGGTGTACAATATAGTTGACGATGCTGGCAGGTTGTCTTCGCACTGACATGTGCACAGGAGTGTCCCCCTCATTGTTGGCGATAGTTGTGAATGTGCCCTGCTGGGAGAACAGCTGGATGATGAGACGATTTTCTGCTTGTGCCATGGTCATCAGAGCCGCGTTTACTCCTAAATCGCGTTACTGAGGATAGAGTCAAGTAGCCCCCCCCCCCCCCCCCCCCCCCTTTTTTTTTTTTAAGGAGGCTACTCAATACGCGTGCCATAGCTGTCAGTACGACAGTATAACACCTAAGTAAAGGGGTATTTACCACGAGCATTGGCCCTCACAGCCAGGTAATGTAGGACATTACGACGCCAATCATCTTGATAACCAACTATAATATCACCGTCGCCTAGTTGTTTACGAATAGCAAGATATTTGTTCCTCAAAACCATGGTAGCTGGCTGACCATCTCTGGTCATGCGCAGTACCGCTAAATTTTCAGTAACAGAGAATTACATGACAGGCTGTACACGAGAAAACTGGGTGCATGAATAACAGCGAGGACTTGAAAGAAAAGTCACGGTCTGTATTTGGAGTGAATTGTTCTATAGATTTGAACATTCAAAAGCAGAATATCTCGAAATTATTGCCTTAAAAGTCGCAAGACTAAGAAATGGTCGATGTGAAAAGGGAAAGGCATGATAAATGGAAGTTAAACATAAATATTTTCAGCTAGACTTCTGATTGGACTTACTGACACTACTTAACGATGATCTGAACAGCCCAATGTACGTTACATGATCATTTCGCGATCTGAAGCTACAAGATATAACTCTTTACCAATTATAAGTATATTTAAACACTCAAAGAGTCTCAGTAACTGCAGACTCTAAGAACACACAATTGTTGCCACAATAATATCAATACATACGGTCCTCGTAGACGATACGAGGTGTGCAATAGTTGCAAAGTCATATTCGGTGAAACCCACTCATCATTGGCTATCGCTGCAAATTGATCGCTCCAGTATGGTAGCGATCCAGAATCTGCCTGCCCATGCACATTTAAGTTTGATCAGACCCTGGGCCACGGCTACTTCTTCCGGAAGATATGGAAGATAGAAGCTCCTCCGTCGAATCCTAGTTCAAGTCAATGTTGCAAACTTTGACCAATGGATTCTGAGGTTAAGTTTACGCCCAAGAGGTTGAGCTAACGAGGCAGCACACGACATGTAGATTTCTATCAACTCGAACTGTGGTGACACACCTGTGTTTATATAGAGTACTCATGGGCTACTATAGCAGCTCTAATAAGATCACTTATAAGTGGACAACTTTGTTGACCAGATAATGACTAGTAGTGCAATACAGTAAGTTTGGTTCACCCAGTACGCAGAACTCTCTAGGGTAGCATGCCGACTATGCTAACAGGTTGATATAGTGTTAAACAAACATTAGGCAAATTGCAATCATAACTTTCTGTTTGCACATAAGGTTAGATCGCGACATGACGGGCAGTTGTCTCCTTCTTTGCAAACTCAAATGCCATGTTAGTTTAAGAGTAAGCCAAAACGCCGTTTGACCTACGAAAAGGTTTGCATTTCAGAAATCTTCGATATGCCTTGATCAAGCCACTGCCTAATTGAATGCGATGGCGAATTAAGTTGAATTTACATTTTGTATTGTTTTTGGATACAGCAACAGCGGCTGCTCAGTAAGAGTCCATGCAATATACAGCGTACACGCTCCATATAATGCCGATCGCGCGATGTGATGCTTATAAGAAAAATGTGAGTGTCTATATTCGAGCTCACAGACCAATCCGCGCGGCTACATTAATATCAACCAGCATACTACACTCATTGAATCTTGTTATATGGATTGTTCGTCTGAAGTTATGCTATCTTCATTGAATCTAAATCGCTGTTTACTGTTAGTTGATCCGGGTCAAGATTGGATAGAATTAAAATATTATTTAAGCAGGTCTAATTATGTGACTTTTCTTCTCCTTCCTTTCTGTAAAAACCATTGTTCCACACATTCTGGTTTCTTGGAGATTTACTGAGAATACAAAGAAGGTCTTCAGTGTTTCACATTTCATGCGTTTGAATCTTCAGCCGGGCTGGAATACCAAAGTCAGCTAGTTGTCTGATCACTGCGGTCAACTTGCGGATTAAAAACCGTTACAATCGAGGGTGTCAATACACGCAGGGCCGACTTTATTGAGAACCCGTAAAAGTGTTGGTTTCATGATTGTACAAGGCCATATACCATAGTATAGGCATCACTCCGATACTACTCAGATGATGTCTCATGTTTATACTACATCAACAATCAGTCGCCGGGCTTCCAAACCATCGTTGTTTGACAATGGCTATACAAAGTGTCCCAAGTTACGAGATGCCGTGGTCTGACGCAACATCCTTAAAGCATGCCTAGTACATATAAATATTAAAGCAAAGCTATAGCGAATCTCAGCAAGCCTTTGCTTGGCTGTTGAGAACACTTATGAATCCGTTTCCGCCATACAACCAGGTGCCGATATTAGAGAGTACGCTTTCCACTTCTGCTACAACAATCATACCTTGCGTCGTAACAACGGTTTCAAGCCCGTCATATAATACTTGATACGAAACAACCCTTTTCATAAGCACAAGACCCACTATTGCCTGTTGGCAATTGTCTATCCAAATTCGCTTCAAAAGGTGATTGACATGCCCTTGAACAGGCATCCCCAAACACTACTTGATATGCCCTAATTTCCGGAAATCAACACAATACTTGACTTCTCATGTAACTGACCCCTGTACATAAAACACAAGTCAGCCAACTTCAGCATGGAGGACCAATTGTTTTCCTTCTCCAGTTCGCCAAGCAAGGGGAAGCCCTGGCGTTATGTGTCGATGCGATGGGCCGAGGCCTAGGACACCACACAGCGCTCAACGACAATGCTACTACACGCGGGACGTCACATGTCATGTAACAATGCTTTTCACTTCATAGCTACCTCGGATCTCATGTGCTATGAAAGCCTGACGAGATGAGTGTAGCCACGTTCCTCAGCGAGCTGCAGGCCTTCACCCACGTGAAGGGCGGCCGCGACGGGAATGCCGACACTCCCATCCGCCTGCTGGCCTAGGTCGGTGGACAGATGCTCAGCCGTGAGCACTCTCGGCGACACGGCGCTGCACTCGCGGAGCCCGAGTTCACTCCGTCGGCATGATCAACCCCACGGCCCGCTGTTGGGAGCTTTCCATCGACACCCGCAACCAGCACGGGCGGCTCAGCCTGAGTGCGTAGGCACCCCGCTCTCCTTGCACCGGCGTCAACGCATCCGCTGTCAACGACTGAGGAATGTCCCCGAGGTCGCTGGCTCAACTGCATGATTTGGGGAAGATTTCTGCATTGTTGCTCCATCATGGAGTTTATGGGTTTCTCACTCGGCGTTGCCGTTTTGGCTTGGCCGTTCTGGTCGTTGTTTTGCGCATGCATTTGCTCTGCTTTGTGGGACGGTTTGGCGTGGCATGAGGGATGATTAGCAGCCAGACTGCCGGGGAGTTCGCGGCGATGACTCCGACTTCGTATGTACATGATATACCCAGTGCGTCATAGACTGAAATGATGAATGGCACAAACATTGATGAACATTGCACGATCACGTGTCTGCTAAGTTTGTACAGAAGTATACACAAGTCTCTACATAGTCGAAGGGGACTGGCTTCCGCCATATCTTACAAGCGGACAGCGTACAAGCTAGTCCTCTCCATCTCGCCCAGCACGCCGTTGCCAGCCAAGGTCCACCTTTCGCTCACGTTCCTCTCGTCGACTCTCATTCTCAACACACCGCTAGCTGCCCAGTACTCCATGAGGGCTCTGGCCTCGGCTTTCGAGACGCCCTTGACGTCGAACACGCTCACGCCCTTCAGCGCATCGAAGACACGGTCATCGTACTTGGCGAAGAATGGGTCGCGGGGAGGGATCTGCTGACCGGCCTGCGCGGCGGAAGCCTGTTCGAGGGCCTTCTCTACTGACGGCAGCTTGGGGCAGTTGCTCTTGGTCATGGTGCCGATGATGGCAGCGCCGTTGGCAAACTTGGTCTTGCCGCCAAGAGCCTCAGTGAAGAGCTTTAGAAGCGCAAGGTCGTGGCTATGGATGAGCTTGAAGGCCGGGCTGCGGTAGTCGCTGACGCGCATGATGTGGCTAAGCCCGTCCAGGTTGAACAAGATGGGTGGGCGGCCGGGCAGAAGGAGCTCTTGCCACCAGGCAAGGAAGGTAGGCCAAGCGAAGTCGTTCTCCTTGGTCGCGGTGAGCAAGGAGGCGAGCGACATGGAGCGAGGGGCGTTGAAGGGCAGGTGGATGTGGTCGCCCTTGATGAACTGTTGTGAGAGAACCTCCCGGTTGGTCTCGGCGATGGTCTGCATGAGCTTGAGGAGGTAGACCGGCTGGGAGAACTGGTCTGACTTGGGAATCTCCTGGTACTCGGTATGGGCTGTTGTGAGATCTTGGCCTGGGACAGGTGTTAGCTGTGTTCAGTGTTTGAGCGGGGGCCGGGCCATGTCATACCCTCGGGGATGTTGATGACAACGTATTTGTTCAAGAAGCCTGCGCATAGCGCTTGCAGCGCCAGAATGCTCTTGCCGCTCGTCTTCTCGCCCGTGATGACGGTTCTCACGGTCTGCTTCTGGCTGATCTTCTCTGTGATGTCCTTGAGGAGATGCACCGTCTCCTGTCGGATCAACATGTGCGGACTCCTGAACAGGCCCCAGTTCTGGGTTGGCTTGAAGGCCTCGGTGGCTCGCAGCTGGTCGATCAGCTGGTCAGGTAGGCCGACCATGGTTCCGACGGCGCTCGGGTCGACGAGGTCCTGGGCGTTGAGCTGTTCGAGGCCGGGGACTTCCAGCGCATTGTCGTTGGAGAGCTGTATCCGCTTCCTGAAAGCCTTCCTCTCGCCGGGACCAACGGGCTTGCCCTGGTCGGGCCTCTTCTTCTTCTTGCCCAGAACAAGCCTCTTTCCGGCTTTGACGTGTCTCGTGGCAGAGTTGTCATCCTTGGCCAACTGGGCGGCGGAAGTGCTGAAGGGGGCACTGGCCGTGGGTATTGCGATGGCAGTCGGCCTCAGAAGGCGCTGAGAGGGCCGGGCGAGGCAGCGCCAGCAGTTGGGAGTTGCCATGGCTGTGTGGTGTATGTCGAGATCGCTGTCGCCGAGCTCCCAGATCCAAATGCGAATCCAGATCCAAAGGCTACAATTGCTCGCAGATGGGGCGTTCCGCTGCAACTGCCAAAATTTAGGAGCTGGGCGTCGGGTCCGGCCAAAGCTGCACTCCGATGCGCCCGGGGGGGAGGGGAGCGCTGTGCCCAGCCGAACAGCCACACCGCATTCAGGCACTGTAGCTTTGTCCTTGGTTAGCTGGTTTTAGCACGTAGGGTAGTGTACAATTTGGGCGGACCCGCCCCGTTATCGATAGTGGGGGACCCTCCAAAATTTCTGGGAGTTGGGCAAGTCGCATTCAACTTTTCTGCAACACCGAAAGCTTGCCAAACTGTACGACGAAACAGCCGCCCGACTTTCTTTCCCCCCTCAACATTCCACTTGGGCCATCTACAACCGTCCGACAAAGGCTGAGACACCTCGCACCTCCGCACCTCCGCACACCAGTTCTCACAAAGTACAAAGTAGACGACCCGGCGCGTCAGCCGCAACAGTTCCCCAAGAAATGGCACCCGCACCCAAACTCGAGGTGCAAGTCACCAAGCCCACGCCCTACACCTTCGACCTGGGCCTGCTGCTCGCCAACGACCCCAACCCCCTGCCGGCGCCCGACCCCTCGGTGGCCCAGGAGGAGCGTCTCGCCGCCGTCGCCCGGGACGGCGCCCAGTCGCTGATCAACCAGCTGCTCACCACGCTGCCGCTGCAGTCGACCAAGGACGGCGTGCTGCTGGACCTGCCCGCCCCCGCCACCGCCCTGCCCCGCGAGAAGCCCCTGCCCGCGGCCAAGGAGCCCACCAAGTGGGAGAGGTTCGCCGCCAAGAAGGGCATCAAGCCCAAGACCCGCGAGCAGCGACGCATGAAGGGCAAGGAGTTCAACGAGCGCACCGGCGAGTGGGACAAGACCTGGGGCTACAAGGGCAAGCCCAAGGACGGCCTCGTCCCCGACGACTGGGTTGTCGAGGTCGGTGCCGACGGCGAGCCCAAGGGCAAGGCCGACAAGAACAAGAAGAGGAGGATCAAGGCCTAAGAGAGCCGCCGGGCCGGGAGAAGGGCAGGGGAGGAGAGAACAAGAAGAAGCAAGAGGACGAGAGCTGGGCAGTGCAGCGCAAGCGCATGGAGCACGTGATTCCAGTACTGCAGGATCTGATGGCGTCTCCAAGCGAGACACAAGGGGGAGAAGCGAGCTTCACGCAATTATGTTGCATTGACGGCGTTTTTTTAAATGGGATCATCTGGCAGGCGTTACGGATTGATATTCATCACAAGACCCAAGGCAGGAAAACTTTCTATCATCGTCATGTCGAGAGCCACGGTTTGGCATCTGTGTCTTGTTCGCAAATCAGAGCTTTTTCATGCCTATCGTACAAGTCCATGCCGATGACTTTTCCAACTTTTCGAGCTTTTCCCATTCACCTCTTCGATCTGCTGTTTTTGCGCTCGGTAGGCATCGGCAGGCACTCAGGGGCTATCCTCGATGCCACAACCAACCCCTGGTCTTCTCGTCCGTCGCCCCATTCCAACCACTCCTCGAAAACACCCAACGTGCGGGTCCCGCGCGGATCAAGAGCAGTCGAAGATTATTCAAACCCCGCCACCAGTTCCCAAAGGTGATCCTCGCCGTCGTAGATGACCTGCCTGCCATGTCGCAGATCCAACTCGCATATGTACCGTATGTTGGAATTGTGTGTAGACAGGCTGCTGCTCCGAACTGGACGCAACCCCATGATTTATAGACCAAAGCTGAAATAAACGACGTGTCCCAAAAGTGCTGTTGTCAAGGTTGTAATCGAGAGTAGCGGCTCCAGGTGTAACAATACACGGCATTCACCGCAAAGGCGAGCTATTCTGAGATTGAGCTCTGCTCCAGTTGTGGTGTGCTCGAAACTATCGTATTCCGTCCTGTGGGTGACGCAACCAGCTTGGAATTCCTGCACAGTTCACAAGCTGCTGCTAGCCTTCCCCATAGGGCACACAACGTTTCGAAGAAAAGGAAGACCAAAACGATTAGGCAGCTTACTGCTCTAGAGCTTTGCCCCAAACTAACAGGAACCAGTCGTCCAGCTGGAGAGGCGGCGATCCTATGCAATTGAACTGGGTGGGGTCGGGGATAATAGTACTTCGACCTCGCTCTCATGTCATTGGTAATCATCGTAATAATATATCGGTCGACAAACAAAGGGAAAATGCGCAATCTATCATTAAAGGGACGTCAAATCGTAAACCAGAACCAACATATTAGGGGACAACCACTGCCGTACCAGATGTCTGATGTTTCAGACAACATATGCGAAACTCCACCATAAGGGGTATCATGCTTCGATGCCGGAAATGGACAGGAAACTAAAGGCAAGCGCGTGTCGTATGGTACCATGTGTAATAATATATGTGTAGGCGCCACTGCCCGAGACAACATAGATGACTACCGCAGCGGCTCCCAAGTGGGGTAGCACCTATTGGCGTGCTGGACGCCGAGATGTGATGGCTGGGAGCGAAGCGCTCGCAGCCATCTTGCGAGCTTGGCGCGCTTCACGTCGTTCCTTGACTCGACGGCTAATCCTTTCCTAAAAGTTTAGCGGTGAAAGTGGCTTGATGGGCGAGAGCGGGCGAAGTTCGTTGGATTTCGAGGGCGTGTCGTGCGACGCGACCGTTAGGCCCGTGGATATCGAGTTGATGCTGCCATCCGGACCTGTAGGCTTCTTTCGTGTTTTCCCATTCTGCTTTTGCTCGTGGCTCTGCATCTGCATTGCCGGATGTGAGCTGTCCGAAGATGATAGGTAACGCTCATCATGATAGTAAACCGGGTCACCTCGAGCAATACTGGCATCTGCATTGCCAGGACCGACATGGCCGCCGTTGACATGGGGGTCTTGGGCGGCTTGCTGGCCAGCGTTAAGCGTAATAGGTGGTGGCGGTTCTTGCATCATGGCATATTCCTCCTCGATGAACTTGCCCTCGTTCTTGCAGCCTTTCCAGCAGTCTCTCCAGTCGCAGACTAGGAACCTGAAGCAGAAAGCATCGATCTTCAAGCAGGGCTGGAAGCAGATGCAGAGATTCCTGAAATCCATACGGTTCTTTTCCGAGTGAGCCAGCAGTAGGCTCAGGTGGCAGGTGATGGCGAATAGCAGGTAATAGTTATAAGGCTGCAAGTTCGACAGCTCTTCAATAAGTAGCTGAGGGACCGCGTCGGCACCAGCACACTCGCGAGCGATACGTTCCTGCGCTTCTTTGGGGAAGAGTTCGTCGGGAAGCTCACGAAGCCAAGCCTTGAGCATGGAACCAATAATGTTGATATCATAGAGGTCTTCTTGCGCAAAAAGGTCGACATCGCCTTCTGCATGTTCTGTCAGTATATAGCCTACTTCTAGAAACCGGCCGCCAGCCGGGGCGCAACTTACGTTCATCGAACTTCCTCTGCCACTTTTTGATCTGTGGTCCACTTCCTGGTACACGATACAGACCTTCTACATCACTTCCCTTGTAGTTCAGGTAGTCAATGGCGCGCCAGGGGAACGCGGGCATCCAGAACTCGGTTTTGTCTCTGGCATCCTCGAGTCTCTTTGATATCCTGGTCTTACGAGCCTGTTCAACTAGGGGTAGGTTGAGCACCTTCAGCTGATAGTGCTCATCGTCCACGGCATGCTCCCTCTCAGTCGTGCTCGCACTCCGGCCTGATTTATTGCCAAAGAATCGATTGGAGAATATATCAGCTGCTCGTGATCCAGAGTTCTTCAAATTACCAAGGAAGGTAGAGCCGCTGTTGTCCTTGAACGAAGAGGGATGGCTCCTGTTCTGGTGATGTCCATGGTCTCTGTCGGGCCTCGACTCCTTGTTCGCTCTTTGGGGTACTCGATCAGCAGAGTGGTTGCGCGTGGCGGAGTTCAGCATTTGCCGGTAGGCACGATCCTGCGCAATGACTTCTTTGTCGACTGGTGCGGTCTTGAGGGGCTGTTGGCCAGCAAACGTATGGGCCCGTTCCGGTTCCTGCATCTTGAACTCGTTCGACGATTCCTTCGGGCTGGGGCTCTCTTTCTCCTTGATTGATTTGCTTCTGCTCAAAAGTGCGAACTGTTTCGGCTTGGCCTTTTTCAACGATGAGCTTTCGTTGTCCGGGCTGGCTAGAGATAAGTCTGAACGAGAGGGTTGTGATGTCATGGTCCTGCTTTGTGTCAATTGGGGTTCGACTGAGTGATCTATAAGTGGCACAACAAAGACGTTAGCAGGCCTACCAACAACGGACACAACGCTGGGACGATAACTAAGAAAGATTTCTTTGGGGGGACCCGGGTTTCTGGGGCAGTCGTACCTGAGTATTTGGACGTCTTTGTCGAGATGCGATCAGAGCTGGCTTGTTCTTGCAGTCCCCGGGACATGGCCCTGTGACTATCGCTTGTGTCGTTCGACCTTGCACCTTGTCTTGGCTGGGTTTTCGGGCGGTGGTCACGAGTTTGCTCCCGGCGATGATGTGATGTCTTGGAGGATTTGAAGTTGAAAAATCGGCTTGCGCTTCTCGAGTGCTTCTCTTCCTCCCGCGCAGCCTCTCGCGGCGGAGGCTGTTGTGCAACTGTGAACTGATAGTTCCCGGCACCTTCCCTTATCAATGTTGGAGTCGTCCGCCCAGCTTCGACACCGACACCAGGACTGGCTTGTGGCCGCGAGGGGTCAGGACACTTCGGGCCTTGTAGGTTTTGTTGCTTATGTTGAAGTTCGGATGGGTCCTCTGCACGCAGGTCTCTAGGGTAGTGGTAGTGCTCCTGATCGTATGTCTCCGCGACAGGACCCGCTTTATAATCGAATTGAGGGTATTCGGAAGACGGTTGCGCTGAGAATTTGGATTGCAGTTGTACAGGTGCTGACTGCGCATGGGAGGTGTGAACCGGCCTGGGTTCCGTCTTTTTGGATGATGCGTTGAACTTGCTAAACGGTGATCGGGGAGACCGTGGTGATTTGGAGGATGTTGGAGTCGGGCTGACTTGTAGGTTGGTTTCACTACTGACACCGAGTCCTCGCGGTTCCTGTGGTCTCAGGGAACTGGAATTCGGCGCAGACAACGTGTGGATGTTGGGAGAGACGGTAGTAGACCCGTTGCTGCTATTGGGGCCGCTGCCAGTATGAGCATAAGATTGGGGTTCAGCCAGGGCCAGCGGCTGAGGAGCCTGCTTGCGTCCCATCGTTGATGCGCAAGCGCCTTCAATGGAGGAAGCAGTACTTCCAGAGTCAGGCTCTACTGGGAGTGCGACTGCTCGAACGGTCTGATCAAAGAATGTACTGTGTCATTCCGCCTTCGCCTGAGATACTGGGCGCAACCTGTGGCCGGGACAGTGGCTAGCGTGTGTCGCTGGCATGCAAATAGCAGCCAATATGTCCGAGATCCCGGTAGGCGAGGAGGCCAAGTACTCGCACTGGGAGCAATATCGAGCCAAGTCCTGGTTGGTGCTTCGCCGTAAGGGGACAGACTCGAGAGTCGCAAGCTTGCCGATGCGGGTGTGAGTGTGAGTGTGAGCGTGTGAGTGTGTGTCAGAGTGAAAGGATTGAAATAGGCTAGATTGTGAATCTGCGACAAGCACAGCTATGATCTCCAGAGGGCGGAGCAGGAGTAAGAGCAAGCACAAGCACAAGCACGAATGGGTACAAAAGCCCGGTGAGTCCACACGGCTCAGAGCCGACCAAAAAGTGACAAGCAATATAGCCAATGCCGACACCGATGTGACGGCGACAGGACAAATACCGTGTGCAGCCCTTTCAGGGACCGCAGGAGTTTGGCTGATGGCTCAATGGACTTTGGTTATCATGGGAACCAAAACCAAGAAGAGCCGACCATCAGACAACCTGCTGGCGCAAAAACAAGAGCGGGTTTGGGGGCTCGCATGGAGAATGGCGCATGACAGCCGCTACTTGTAACTGCCCCAACGCTAGTGCATACAGTACGTACATACGCAGGAGCAGAGACATTGGAATCTTCTGCTCTCATTTATTGAATTCTCTATTCCGGCTCAGATATCACCTAACCTACTGGTCTAGAGCTCGAGCGCTTTGCCCACGTCGCATGTCACCACCTGGTCGCACAGGTATGCCTATCTAGTGATCGCTGGATGCATAATGGTCCTCTGATACTGATACTCTCTCTGAGTGGAACCCCTGCTCGAGTATCTTGTAACACGCTGGCCAGCCATGGTGTCCAGTTCGGAACATTATGTCTTGCACTCAGATGATATTCTCTTTGTCCTGGGAAGACTTGAAGGTAATAGTAAGACAGGAGTAAGGGGTCGCTCGATAAATCCCATTTTGATACCAAAAAAACTACGCATGTCTTTCCGTCAACTCTGTAAGTTCCGAGGTCATAGCGATTCGTTGTCGGCGCGTGTGAGATGTGGACGCTCAAGACATTAACGTGGTTACTTAAACCCAAGTCTGAGCCCGGGACCCAGCACACACCTTGTGTACAGGGCGCGGGATGAGGCCGATATTGTGGCACAAAAAAGTTTCCTTTCACTGTGAGGGTAGCGAGGAGATGCTTACACGCCCAGGCAGAGTTCGACACAAATGAATATCAAACCTGCGAGTACCTGCAGACAACAAGGCCATCTCATGGGAGATTGCATTCTAGCACTATTTAGAGCCCCTTGTAAAATGTAGAAGCTCATAGAAGTGGCACTTACAGCCACAGAATTCGTGGTGATCGTTTTATACATGGTCAATTGTGATGAGGCGCATATCTAAATGCTCCATAATGGAATTCATCTTCAAGACCTGCCCAATTTTTCTGATCATGGTTTCTTGGCACTCAGGAACGTGCGACAGGCCTTGAGTAATGTGCGAGGGGGCCAGACGAAACCAAATCTCTCTGAAACAACCACTCAGAGGCATACCCCTGTGGTGATTCGTTGTGCTAGACATGCCCCTGGTATTATGGGCCCAAAGCGATGGTTGCTGCATTAGGAATTGCGGGGCTAGTGGGCTTCAGGGCTCTAGCGATTAGGTACCGGAATTTAGAAAGAGACTCCTTCATGGTCGAACCCACCTCGACGTCGTGGTGAGATGATCGACATCCAGAACAAAATTCTCCTCTGCTTGTGATGACGTTTCAAACTCAGCGATCATATCCTCTTGTGATGTTCTCGAACGATTGCTCCTCAGCTCATTATATAGCCCAATACTGTAGGGTCTTGGAATAAGCTTATCGTCCCGTTATCTGACAAACACCACCAGTTCACTGACCCATATATGCTGACGATCGAACACGTAAGCGTGGTACGGGAGATCGCTTGATACGACGCTGCTTGCTTGATTTGAGGCCCACGCCGTTAAAAGGCCATCAACTACGGAGAGAAATGAGCGGGTCGTGGAAGGTCTTCAAGAGATAAATACGCGTTCGAATAGACGGATCCTGGGCAATCCGGGAGTTATGAGTATCACTATATAATGCCTATGATCAGACTCAACGCTACCAGGCTGGTTAGAGTGTCGTGAGGAAATAGTTTTGAGAACCCAAACCTGGATATGGATGCTGTGATGGCCTCTCAGTAGGTAATGGCCAGTCTATGACTTGTTTTGCGACCATCTGATGGCCGTCTCCTAGACTCGAATTCATGGCAGCTAAGATTGCCTCCGATTTGCACTGCACCAGGAAGTCGTAGGTGCTGTCACGTTCGACACACCCCGGAAGACAGGTGGGACTGAACTATTTGTTGTATCGATACGATAAATGTGACCAAACCCAGCTATGATGATGTCACAAAGAGGTATCATGACTACAGTTCTCAGACAGATCAGCTGGGATCAGAGGAATGTGCGTCAAGGGAAAGCGGCAGCCAAAGTAGAGCAAAGTGCAAACGGCCTGTTCTTGTGGGATTTGTGTGAGAAGCTGAATGAAATAAACGCGTTACTGCCACGGAATGCAAGTTTCCACGAATCTAGTGGTATCTTGCGAGGCGTGGCGGACTATGGTTCTTGTCATGCGAAGAACTGAGGATACAAACACCAGGCCCAGCGCGTCAACCGGTGCGGGCTTTGTCAAGGTCACACTTCGAATGCTCTGTTGAGTCAACTTGTTATATTAGGCCACCAAGCTACCGTAGTATCGAAGAAGGAGATCGAAGAAATACATGAGCCAGCTACTTTCTACATACCTATCCCTATGGCGCCCCATTTACGGAGACATGAAGAGCGATTCGGATAAAGACCCAGGACTGCGAATTACGGAAGCTGGGGATAGATCAGCTTGATAGACTTCGTGCTTAGTGATTCCCTGAAGACTGACACTCTTGAACCTGTATGATTCAACCATACAAGTCTAGTCTTACGAATGGGTACCGTATCCGGTTGCAGGGAGGAGAGTCGAACGATCTTGGGCCGCCTGCCTCCCATATTTTTTGCCGACATCACGAATTATTCAGTAAATATTATCTCGTCAATAACATTTTTGAACAGAGGGGGATCGCTATCAATCAAGCGCAGAAATTTGAAGTCCTCCCTAGATTGCCAAACATGAAGAATGCGGCCGGAAGTAGGCGTCACATCGACTATCAGCAGTGATAATGGACGGAGCATACTAAAGCCACAGATATCTCGCGATGATATCCGAAGACTGACGTCTCTCATTTACGGGTTCATTTATATCGCCCACATTGTAATATAATTCACGTTAAAATTACCCGTAGCCTGGTTAGAAAAGCCAACTACAAAGCCAACATCATGACTACAATTGATCTTAGCTGGTGATCTCAGGGAGTCCTCTTCACATCCTCGGACAAGCCGAAGATTGTAATGAAAACAAATTCGCGTTACATGGCGGCAGTGGAAGGCCATGAACACTTTGGTCATCACCATGGGCAAGCCCAGCGGATGACAACCCAGGAATAAAAATTAGATTAATCTTAAATGAATCCAATTTGGATTCTTTCAGAGATTAAACCTGTATGATAATTAGTACTCACGACACCAGAGCTGTGGAAGGCGAGGAGCTTACTGAAAAGAACAGATACTACACTTGATCTAAGCCCTATTGAATTGGTTAGTACGTGTCGAGAGCGTGTCAGAGGTCGTCAGAACGTACAAAAGGCAAACTGAACAAGGTTAGCATGGTCCAATATTGGGGTTGGGAGAGGTGACTGACGAAGAGCTGAGGAAGGAAAGGAACAGAAGCAATCGTGGGAGCAAAGGCCTGTATAAATATTCAACCAAAGGGTCTGTGCATCAGCGGCTGATTGTGTGGCTACACCTTGCCTAATTAAGCCAGAAATCGAGGACCACACAATCAGCGAATATTACAAACAATACTTAGGTACTTACTGATTGCGCGCAATAAAATGCTAGGCTCTAATTGGTCTGATCCGACTGGTTTCGTGCTTTCCTCATCGTGCAAAGCAGAAACTTCTAAAACAATACATTTCCTTGATCCCGTAATCGGCTATCTGGACCATCACGGCTCGGAAACGCTGAATCGGCATCTGGTAGCAAGTGCCCGGGACGACCCACCTTTAGCGGGCCGCGGCCGGGCCCAATCAAAGCTGCAGGCATCACTTTTGACACTTCAGATATTATTATCCGTTCGGTGCCGTTCATTATTGAAAATCAACTTTTGCTGCATCGCCTTTTAAACTCTACATCATGGCGGACCTCAGCGGGCTTCCTGACGAGCTTCAGCTCACGACTGCCACTCACGTCAAGTATATCCAGAGCTTGGACAGCAAGAAGGATGAATACGAGTACTGGTTGACGGAACATTTGCGCATGAATGGTCTTTACTGGGGCCTCACAGCTCTTCATCTCCTGCGCCATCCCGATGCGCTCCCCCGAGACGCAACGATCGACTTCGTACTGTCTTGCCAGCATGATAACGGCGGCTTCGGAGCTGCGCCCAGTCATGATGCACATATGCTGTCGACCGTCTCTGCCGTCCAGATTCTTGCATTAGTAGATGGTCTTGACGAGCTTGACAAGCGTGGCAAGGGCAGGGCTACCACGGGAAAATGTGCGTGGCACCGCAATGCCGATACATAGATGAGGGCTGACCAGCAGCAGTCATGGCAGATCTTCAGAATAAAGAGACGGGAACATTTGCGGGCGATGAATGGGGCGAGGAAGACACACGTTTCCTCTACGGTGCCCTGAACGCTTTATCCCTTCTGGGTCTCAAACACCTCGTAGACATCGACAAGGCTGTCAACCACATCATAGCATGTTCCAACTTCGATGGTGGTTACGGCTTGACACCCGGTGCCGAGTCGCACTCCGGTCAGATATTCACCTGCCTCGCAGCGCTGACTATCGCCGGCCGCTTAGATACAGTAGAAGTTGACAAACTCGGTAGGTGGCTAAGTGAACGGCAAAAGCCGAATGGTGGTTTGAACGGTCGCCCGGAGAAAGACGAAGATGTATGTTACAGCTGGTGGGTACTTAGCAGTCTGGCAATGATCGGGAAGACACATTGGATCGACCGGGATGCACTCATCAAGTTCATTCTGCGATGCCAGGACACCGAGCTAGGTGGTTTTTCTGACAGACCTGGTAATATGGTCGATGTATGGCACACACTTTTCGGCTTGACCGGCTTGAGCCTACTTGGATATCCAGGGCTAGATACCGTCGACCCGGTATATTGCTTACCCAAGTCGACAGTGGAGCGTGTACTTGGACCGCAGGAGTAACTGCCAATTGATTACAACTCTGAACACTATCGCACGAAAGTCAACGCTGGAGTTCGAAAAATACAGAGATGACTAAGTGTTGGCTGCTTTAGAAAATACTCGGGGTCCTTCTAATGAGTAATGACGACATTCTACTCGAGTCCTCTTGCAATCTAATAACCTATCCGCCCTTACTCAATGGTGTTTAGGATACAAGGCAAGAGAATATTGAACCGATTTGTTCGCAATAGACATTGCAATATCTTTTGTGTCAGTCACGAGGAACAAAACGAATATACATTCGCATTTGTTGTGACATTGGAATGTGGCGCTTCCCGTGGAGTGCTTTTATTCACTGCTAACTACATGGTTCAGCCAGCATCAAACATTGTGCTATCTTCGATATGGCAGTCATAGATCAGAAATCCAATCAGATTCGTCCACACTTGCCAACCTTTCAGAGCATGTCCCCACGTTCGCTTTCAATTCAGGCATCGGCCATGCCGTAAAGTTGGGGGACGTTTTGGTACGGCTCAGAGGTTCTGGTATAGCCAATACATATCGATATCAGCTCCTGACGGGGGTGAGTTATGTTTGAAATTCAACGGCGTCTAGCGTCTTGATTGTACGGTAAGTCACGTCCAGTTATGGCGCTGTGGATAATATGTGATGGTACTAGCTATTTCCTTTCCAATAACTTATATTATGATTACATCTATGATATTGTATCAGCTTACTCTTTTCTGAACTCTTTTGTGGACGGTAATCTTCCATTTGATACTCTCGTCCTGTGAGAGAAGATGAGTAGGTCACAACATACGAAATGCTTAGATGGTTCAATATCATTGAGTTTGACAGCTTTCTTAAGATAGTCGAGCTTGACAGAGATTCATCTGGTCTCTTCAAAAATCGAATAGCCGTAAAAAGCCACATAGACCTTAATTAAAGAATCGAGCCTCTGGAGACGAACAAAGAGGACGCAAAACCTTAAATTGAATGTCAAAACTTACCGGGACACAACTCTGCACACTTACTTATGATTAACAAAGCATCGTATATGACGACAATAAATAAAGCTTGAGTGACAAATGAGAGGCACAAAGATATTGTTAATATCTGTCTTTTACAAGTTTTAAGTTTACCACAGCGCTGAGTGTTACCACTTCAATTGTGCCATATCTATAAATTTCGGTCATGTATTCAATACTTTTCACAATGGAGTAACACTCTGCGACTAGATTGTTTACCGAATACCAAGTTTTAGTCACCAAGCCGTACGACTGTGACATCATGCCCATCATTACTTTCACTTTTACTCTCGACTATCGTCAGCTGCAATCTTACGTAGACGACGATACCAAGATGGAACTCGAGGCACTTATTGATGAAGTTATCGATGAATACAACAGCATGAATGATGTGGCTCGCATTGGACTGCGCGATGACTTGCTGCTTTTTCTTCTTCGAACACTCAATATTGCTGGATTACGTGCAATCAAATTTAATGCAAGCTTTGCCGATATCTCAGACACGCCCGAGGAGCTTATGGAGGCTAGGGAACAACTCATCATCTTCAGAGAATGGGCTATAACTCTATGGAATGCTCTCTCTGAGAATTCGAAATTGTTAAGTCGTCCATCAATGGAAATTTTGAGGCAGCGTCTATGCAGGCTGACTGGCGAAGCAGATTATGGGACCCTGGAACGTGTTAGGCATGTGGAAAGCCGTTAAAGGTAAGCTACTCGACCCTAAGGGACTACAAATACTAGATGAAGTATTGGGAAGCGGGAAAGCACTTCGACTCTCAAAGAGGCTTACTTAGAACATAGAGTAACACAATAACAAGAATGCGTTGGGATGAAAACATCATGACAACTAATTGAATGTATGTCTTACCTACTTCATGAGATTTTGTTGGGGAAGCTTTAGCTATAGCAACGATAACTTCACCACGGTCTCTACTTTGTGTGTTCGTGCTTTCGACAATATTCAGAAGCTGACCATGCGACATGCAATATTATTACTGGTCTGCCTCGTACAATATATAAATTACAATAGCTCTTATCCGTTCCTTCGCCCGTTGCTAATCTATTCTTCTCCTTTCTGCACGCTAATGAGACGCGTCGAGGGTCATGTCTGGAGGTATTGATGAAATATGGACAGGTAAAAGGTCAGTCTACCGACGCATAACGATGCATGTCACGGCGCTGGCAGTAGTTGACAAACTAGACTGGTGGACTCACCCTTATCGATAAGTTTGGTCCACTAATGTATCTACATCTAAAAACGCATACTCGACAAGTTTCTTCGAATACGCCACTTATTCCGCATAATTAAGAGGGCACTTTGAAGATGAGTCTCAAAGCAGTCTTATGACCGTGATAGTGCATAGACTATCACATTGCTTAAGGCCCTTACTTTCCATCATCATGCTTAGACGTGCAAAGATCAGCTGCAATGACATATGTGAACTGTGGAAGCGGAAATTTCTTAAACGGCATTTTCATTTGCGGGCTTCTTCTTGCTCCGGAGTAAGCCTGTATGGTTTGAAGTCTTGTCGGAGAACTTTATTTTCCTTGAGCCAAATGGTTTTAATGCATTGAAAACAAACCCCCCCCCCCCCCCCCCCCCCAAAATATCGTCCTCAAGTTCCCTATTTAAAAGGTATTTTCGTAATGAAGGCATCTTCCTAGTTTTGCCCCATCCTGTATAATGTTCTAATGTTAGTGTCTATCTAAATAGGACAAGTAAGGAAATAAGTGACTGCGTTTTAGTGTAATGGAAATAAGTGACTGCGTTTTAGTGTAATGGAAAAACTAGCCCAGAGAGGAATTAGACACTGTGCGGACTATTTACCTTTCAGACTATATGCTTTGTTATAAATCGTCGATAATCTTGTAACTTGTTCGTGATCTTGGATGTCAATATGAATAGTCTTTGCTTCAGCAAAAAGCCCCAAAGTACCAGAGTCACAAGCGTCAAGATACTCCAGATGAATTGACATATGAAACAGAACCACATGGCACTTTTCCCGCCAGACTGCATTCTTTACTGCCCATCTGGCTAGACTATCTCCATCGAGGAAGAGGTTCTCCTTGAGAGATTTGGTTTTGTTTGAATTGGATTCGAATCCGATCAGTTGTTTGGTTATACTAAGTACAATTTTGGGGTCATGAAGAAGCGTTTGTAAACCTGGAACATCTCTCTGTATAGTTTTTGCATCATGAATGGTAAGCACATGACCAAGAGAATAAAGCTCGTTAATATTTGTAATATTAGTCTCTCGGTCGAACTAGGTGGACGATATATACGGCGTGCTTGGATCGATCCACGCCTAAACACGAAGGCACGCGATTCTTGGCAAAACTGAGAGATCAGCAGCGGCCTGGATGTGGGTGACACCACACATTTGGATACTATTTTCCAGCTGGTGGTGAACCTGAAATGTCGTGTATTGTGTATCTCGACGATGCGACATGGCGTACAATGAGCCCAGATTTCTTGACGTGGCTCCGGCGGAAGCTGTCAGAATTTTTTACAAACGTCTGTGGTCTTTGTTCTGCGTTTTTACAAACGTCTGTGGTGTTTTTTCTGCGTGAACGAGAGCATCCATGATTCAGGTAGTTGAATAGCCCGTTTGGGAGCTCGAAATGAATGAGATGATCAAAGCGGGTTGGTCGTATACTGGTTTGCGTGAGGCCCAGTGAGTTATATAAATGAGGCAGACTGACTAAGTATTGTCAAAATGAAGCGCACTCAAGTACTAATGCGGGAATTGGGCGCATAGGTCCTCAATTACTTCCGATGTGCTGCCAAAAGGCTAAATTGGGCACTCACCTATCACCAGCCGTAAAGATCCAGACAGACCTCACCTTACAGATTGAGGGATTGATAGAAAACCAGAATATTGAGAATGCCTGGATGCCAAAAGTTAATATCTTAGAAAATAGCAAAAGTCGTTTGCTGCTTTGGAATTGAGCCCCCTAATCTTGACTGAGAGTGAGATGGTGACAATGGCACGGTTCACAGTGTCCTTTTCTTTTTCTTTTTCTATTTCTTTTTATATATATTTCTTCTCTTGAAAACCCCCCAAAAAGCAAAATGTCTATGTATCAATCTATGATCATATCTCGTTCGTGTCCATCGTGTCATTCGTTCTAATTCATGTATCGGTTGTTTGTGCCCAAATCAGTTACTGGGCTTGACCATTGTGCCGTAGTCCTTTATGCTCTGCTTACTTAACCTTCGCGTATGAGCTTGATATCGCTTTGACCTGCGTACTGGAATTTTCACCTGCACTTTCGATCCAAGCAGAGCAGATTCCTCGTCCATACCACCATCGCTAACACCCTTGCCCTTTGCGAGGCTACCAGGCTTGGAGATGCATCCATAGAGCACATATGTGACAATCATCAAAGCCAAGGTGGCCATGCCAATATATGACATTGGAAACCCTCCGAGCCCATATATACTGTCGACTGCGGATGCTACCGATGCAGCTCCAAAAATGACGCTCGAAACCCAGTATGCCACTCTCTTGCTCTCCGTACTTCGTCCTTTTTCCTCTATGACCATAGCAGCGAGGATAAATAGGACTACTTGTGACGGCGCAAAAGCGACGAACCAGGGTGCAAGATGCGACACTGCTACAATGGGCAGCTCGCCACCAACAGTAGCAAGTATGAACATGAGAATCAACTGCGCCAGACACGAGACACCTGCGACTGGCACGGCTTTCACATACCATTCCGTTTCAAGGTAGAACTTGAACCGCATGGGTAGTTTTAGTCCTGTTCGGCGTCTAGAGCTGGTGCGACTGGAGCCGGAAAGCAACTTGTCAGCCTCTTCCGATGCCCCAGTCTCACCATAATCACTCTCATCTGCCACAGATTCGCATGGCTGGTATTGGCCCCTCGAAGAATTTCGCCAAGAAGGCCAGCGAATGCGAAATCTAAAACCCTGAAATTTCCTGCAAGCCGTGTATATGTATTCTACTAATGACTTTAAAGGAGCCAGAAGCATAATAAATGCGATGAAATGCGCCAGTTCAATACTGGTTTCTGATTTACCGAAATGTTGCAGCTGTAGTAGGTCGAGAAATCGTAGAGTTACCCAGGCCAACAACGCAACGGCGCAACTAAGCTACTACTAGTTAACTTTTGGTCAAGCAGCATTGCGACACGACAAAACATACCTGTGCCAGAACGGAGTTCAATATATCAAGGTAGGCCCGAATTATCAGCCAGAGTGCAACACAAGGTCGCATTACCAGCAGGATGAAGCGCTGCTCACACCGGATGCAGAGGTTTTGATCACTTGAAAACGACTCTCGCATCTCACCCCGATAATGCTCTATCCAAGTCCTCAAGATGCCATTGCGGCGTTCCAGTGTTATTGTAACGACCGCAAGCGCAACGACGAGGCCAAGGCATCCAGCGATGGTGCTCCAACCCAGAGTGGCCTGACCAAGTTCTTCAACCAAAGGGCCCTCTTCACGACCTGGAAAGAAGCATAAGATGTTAGTAGCCAGAATATCGTGTTTGCTTCCATGCCCGTATGCGGTCATAGCACGTCTGACACCACTGATGGGAACCATGCAGAACGCCAGAACCGCAATCAGTCCAACTATCAGACACAACCTCCATGCTCGCTTGCCCGGATGATATTGCAAGAAGTCGCGTAGGCCGATCAACATGACCAGGTTGGTGGTCACAGCAAACCATGCCAAACCGACCATAAGCCACCAGTCGTATGCGGTGAAGCCTTGCAACAAGGAACTGAAGCCATATGCAAGGATAGCCAGACCGAAGCCGACATGCACGTCGGCCAGAGTCAACATGAACTGGTCGAATGCTGCTCTAAATCCATCGTCCTTATCCCGTCGGTCCAGGTAGCCGAAGCTGACACCCAAGCGTCCAAGGGTATCTCGAAACCATTGCAGGACTACAACATCGACGGGATTCACATCCCACCACGTCAACTGGTCGAGTGGCTTGTGAAGGAAGGCGTAGTGTACTAGGAGTGCTGCTATCGCTATGCAGCTGGGCACAAAGAATACTAGCAACGTCTGAAACTTGAAGTTAGAACCTGTCGCAGTAGCAATACATATCTTTTTATGCAAATACATACCCAAACATTCTCGATATCGGACTTAAACTCCCCTGTCGGTCGCACCTGGTTGCATTCCCATATAGCGTCCATCTCCAAATCCCCCACGCCCTTATACGCAAAAGAAAAGGAAAGAAAACATCACGAAGGGGCGCACTTCCTCGTACTAACAAAAAAGAAAACGAAGCAAGGCTAGGATTTATTCCAAGGGCCTTTCAATAAATTTTCAGGAATTCCAGAGGCAGGCTCGGTTGTCCCGAGGGACCGCAACGGCGGTGAGTTGGCTTGGTGGAGTTCAATGTGTGGTTCGCCCATTCGATAGTGCTGGCGCTTAGACCGCGATACGGCCAGGACTATCGGTGCCCAACCCCCGTCGTGGTGCCAATCACCTGAAGGAGGACCAATTCGCGATCATGCGAAAACGTGGCTCGCCAATCACAGGCGGGCAGCGAAGAGCAGATCGAGGCGACACGACATGGAGCCCAGCTATGCTGGCTATGCTGGCATGCTGGATCTCGCCGGATCGCCGCGTCTCAGGGTTTAACCTAGCGCCGACGGGTGGCAGATCTGATGTTTATCACAAAAGTCTACCTGGTCTTCAAGCATCAAGACAGTCTGTGCGAGAAGAGTTGGCTCAAGTGGGAGGGACTGGTCGGCTTTGCCGCATCGGCATTGCTTTAATTCACCAGAAACTAGACTAATATATTGCTTCCATCATGGACCCTCCAATTTTATGCTCTTCTCTGTCTTTCGAGCTATTCGTCTCCATCGTGGTTGCTTGGCTCAAAAAAGCGACGGGATGTGTTGTAAACAAGCAGGCAACACCTTTATCTATCTTTGCTTCATGTCGCGACCATGTTCTGTTGGTCAGACCATCCGTTGTCACCCCAGATTTGGCCACCAGGAGCAGTATAAGGATTGTCAGCTGATACGTCACGATACTCGAGAAAGATCTAGGGCCAAGTCAGCAGGGAACAAGCCCATGTGTAAACAACCAGCTCACGCTTGTGGTATCATCTGGCTGGTATGCACCGGGTAGTGCGATGCCTGTCGGCAAACTCGTCGTGCCACTACCAGTCACGGTGATCTGGTTGCAACTCGGATAGAACTGCGCCAGTGACCCGTTCGTGTTGGTGCGCTGCAGGCCAAGGATTTCGTGGCTATTGTGTTGTTAGATTCGTCCTGCGGAATGCTTATGAGGCTTAGATGGAAGACCGACCGTAATAGGTACTCTCCCGGAGTGAGCTTGGAAGGCAATGTAACAGACCAGGTGCTGTTTTGCGTGGGCAGCCGCTTCGACGCCCATGGCGGGTCGAGAGTCGCATCGTAGCCTGCTTGGTGAATCTTGACCCAAACGTTGCCGGTAGAGCCAGAGAAGGTTTCGCATGAACCGCCGCAGGATGCGAGATATGTCATGACTGCAAATGGGATAATCAGCAAAAGAATATCGACCGTACAGCTGCGAATATTAGGATCGTCTCGCTTACTCGGGCCAGGATGGTCGGATGTCCAGTCAGTCCAGTAGAACGTTAGTTTGCTCCCCGAGGCAACCTGCGCCGTTATGTTGACGGGTACATTATTTGCGGTGTCCTTTGCACCATAGTTGCAGGTGATTGCGTCGGTCTAAACACGATCTTAGCCAAACGGCTGTAAAAAAATTTAAGAGATAGGAGCAGACCAGAAAGGCATTGTCGGTGACCGGACCGTTGTCGAGAAACTTGCGGGTTATCTTCAGAACGTTTTTCTGCGGATCTTTATAAGGGTTCCAAGTATCGACTAACTTATCGCCGAATAGGATCTGCGTCACGTATCCGTGAGCTGACACTGAGGCCACGAACAGGGCCACAGTCTGGATAGATATGAAATACATCGTTATTGTTGAGATTTGGGAGAGGGATGTTGTCTTCCACGGTGGACAGATAATACGAGTGGTCTTCAGCTGATATCATTGTACGGTAAGGATGGGAACATTCTGAATATATGCTCCTCATCTCATCAAATTAAGCCCATAGGTTGTTATACCAAGTTTCTGTTGGTGGATAATCATATGTTCTCCGTAGCAGTTGCACAGCAGATGTTAACGATGTTCAGGACAGCCATTGTTGACCGTGGAGCGAAAAGACCAGGATAAGAGGTATTATGCATGGCATATAATTGTGATGTTACTGTTCCACAAAGCGTAAATTACTTTGTGAATGTAACTAGCGACGGTCAGTATAGGTGTAACAAAGATTCTTAGCTGGAAAGGAGGCAACCTCCATGCCCTTGGCAAATTTGATCGTCTGCATCCCCAGGCTTTAGGCCACATCTGGCTGCGGCAGAAGGAACCTCGAAAGCTTGCCTCCGCAGTTGTAATTCTGGTATGATTCCGATGAGTTGCAAACCCTGTCATTAAAATGTGAGTTGTATATATTGCATCAAGGTGTGCAGCCCATTTTGAGACCTTGAATTGCTCCCGTGTGGCTGTCATAATGAGAGGTAGCATCAGCCTTTGATTAGTGGCAATATTATCTCCGCAGCTTAGACTTCAAGCTCAGGTGGTATCGTGTTTTGACAGCGAAGGTCCGATAGATGCTAGTGTTTTTAGATCCTCCTTGAAGACTGTCCATTTAATTTGTGAAAAGAGTTTTTTGTATACGAATGTGACTTTCATTAATGGCAGCATTTTCACCACCATGCATATTCTAGTACAGGACTTGTATATACGACCAGTCTCCGTTTCAAGCAAGACGAACACGGATATCCATAACGCCGTAACAAATCCAAGCATTGTTACCACCCAAACCATCCTCAACTCCAGGATATCATGTTTTTGAGGTCTACTCGTCATCGTCGTTGCCGCCTGCATTGATAAACACCAATCTCGAACCGTTGCCAGCTGTTTGCCAAACCTGAAGGAATTTGTTAGTGATTTGGATTCGTAGGTTATACATGATGTGAGGAAACTTACGTCAATGCTAGCATATTCATCCAGAGCAGTCAACCATTGATCTTCTGTGAAGCCCTTGGCAAGAACTCTTTCTCTGACCTTACGCAAGCTCAATTCGACAGCAACGTCCTCATCGTCGTCATCGACATCATCAGGCCGGCAAGCGCCGCTCTCTAGGAAGCCCTTGACGAGCTCCAGGATTCTGGTGTTGGCATCTCTGCCACGCTTACGAGGACCTTCATGTGCAGCCAGACTCTCCTTGCTAGCTTCGACCAAGCGGAGAGCCTCATCGACATCATCCTGATCCACAGAGTCGGCGAATCGCAGGCGAGCCAATGCTTGCGCCAAGCGAACGACACCGAGCAGCGTACGAGGTGTTGTGTGTGCAAAGTTTTGGCCTTTTTGCTCGGCGATCTTTTGGGCCTTTCGTAGACGGACGTATGTCTTGGTGAGGTATTCAGTCACGGACTCCGGCACCGTTGGGCGGTATGTTCGTGCCTTTGCGACGTAGGCTCGGACCTCATGCGGTGTGAAGACAACGTTTGGTACCTCGCCAGAGCTGTTGGCGGCCGCTGAGGTGGGGTTGTTGGCATAAAGATCGGGATGCTTGTTGTGCATGTGAACATATGCAACGTGCTTAGCGAGCTGGGCATCGCCATCGCGTGTGGGGGTGTCTAGAAGAAGGAATAGAACATCGAAACGGGACAGAAGGGCAGCAGGGAGGTTGATGTTTTCGACTGGAGAGATTCTTGGGTTGTATCGACCGTAGATAGGGTTCGCAGCGGCAAGAATAGAAGTTCGGGCATTGAGAGTTGTTGATATGCCAGCCTTGGAAATAGAAATGGTCTGCTGTTCCATGACTTCGTGAATGGCTGTCCTGTCATTGTCGTCCATCTTGTCGAACTCATCGATACAGCAAATACCGTTGTCGGCTAGGACAAGAGCACCGCCTTCAAGCACCATTTCATCAGTGACAGGGTCGCGCATCACAGCTGCTGTGAGACCGACACCACTGGAACCTCGGCCAGAAGTGTAAACACCTCGTGGTGCGACCTTGGAGATATACTTGAGAAGCTGGGATTTGGCAACACCAGGGTCACCCATCAAGCAGATATTGATATCACCACGGATGCGCATGCCATCGCCCATCTCCTTGGTTACACCACCAACCAGTAAGAGAAGCAGAGCCTTCTTGACATCGAGGTGGCCATAGATCTCAGGAGCGATAGACTTGGCCAGCATTTCGTAGACGGCACCAGATTGGCTGAACTTCTCGATGCGGCGAAGCAGTCTGTCGTCGATAACCATCTGTTCATAGGCCTTTTTGTGCTGGGCGATGTAGTGCGCTTCGACGTAGGTGTCGGTCAACAGGCCAGCACGCATGGCCTGGAAACCCGTATACGGAGTAGGAAGGAAGATACCAGAGATGTCAACCACGTCACCAGGGTTGACCTGTCGCACTGTGCTCCCGTAACACGTGATGGTCAAGGTCCGGGGGATCTGACCGATTGGCACCTGCTCAGCCATCTCCTGTACTTTGACCTCCTGGAAAGGCAAGAATTTGGAAGCGCGGGATGATTGGAAGAGCTGTCCTTTGGACTGATTTTCCTTACACTCCTGAGACGGGCACATGGTGAGAGGAGCATACGACTTGTCGTTGACAGGCTGGAAGATCTCACAGCCGCAGCGGTCACAAGTGTATGCACCGACCTGGACAATTGGCTTGACGTCTGATACTCTGGTAGCGATGCCACGGATAGTGATCAGATGACCGAGGTGGTCACCTCGAACCTGTCGTACGGCCAGTGCCTTGACAGGGTTATCCGGGGTTGACGTCCTCGGCTTGAAGACCAATGTGTATCGTCGGGTGAGCTGAGCAGGGAAGGTGGACTCGAGCATGTCGGGGTTGTTGGTGTTTTCAGCTATTTGCTCCATCTCACGGTTCCGAGTTTGTCTCCTCTCCATGATGACATCCAGGACATCATCCTTGAACGTGACTCCTGACTGCGGCGGGGGCATTTTGTTGTCGATTGCTCTTGACAGGATTTCGCAATAATGTTTTGTGTTGGACTCGATAGATTCGACGAGCTTCAGTGCTCGCGCCTCCTCATTATCCGCTTCCCACTGCATCTCTGGGTTAGCACAGAAGTCGGCGACACGGCTTTCTCTCTCTCTCTCTCTCTCTTTTTCTGTCTAAGAGGGTGCTTACCGACACGATATCATCCAGCTCTATCAAGACCTCGTCTGCCGAACGATCTGCCAGTTTCTGCATGAGCTCGCCATATTTGTGCTTGGGGGCATCCGGTGCAGGCTTTTGTCCTCGGCGCTGTTGTCGGGCATTGCTGTCGTCGTCCATAAAGTCGTACTCTTCATCGCTCAGATCATCGTCGCCGATGCTAATCTGGCCGATCGCATGCGTGATGGTGTCTTGCGGAGAACTCTTGAACCCTGCGAGGAAGTCCTCAAAGGCAGCCTGTTGTGCCTCGTAATCAACAACGTTTCGATACTGAAGAAGCGCCATTGTGGGCCAGTTTCTTCTTCTGCTTGTCCGTAAGTGGTGCTCAGAGTGTGTCTGTGGTGTTTGTTGACTTGGGTGCAAAAGAGTGTTCGAAGTTAGGGTGGTTGCGCGGCTACGATGGCGTCCGTCTGGCTGGTCGCAAAAATGGCCCCCAAGTCAATTGTTTCAATTGGGTGGTTGGAATCAATCTCAAAAGCTGAACGCGCCAGGGGTTAGGATAAATTGATACGCGCTCATTTGCCCCTCGACGCGACAGTTTGGCGTTCTCCGCTCTCTCTCCTTTGCCTATCTCAACCAGGCTCAGACCTGACTTGAGTCACATTGTATCAGGTGTTTCGGACCCCTCAAGTCTGGAGAGCGATGAGATATGCTGGTTGGTGTCAAGTCGGTGCATAATAAAGCCTGCATAAACCACAAGCTATGTACATACATACGTGGCACCCTGCTTAGAGCTCAGCTCAGAGCACAGAAGCATTTCCCAACAGGCGCCCCCCCCCTAAACTCGAGACGAGACGCACTGTCGGTATCGGTGTCGGTGTCGGGTCAAATCACTGCCTCGGCTGCGGCACATGCTAAGCCCACTCTGGGGCTAAGCTCCTGCAGTCTGGGGAAAGCTCATGATCAGCCGGTCCAGGCGTTTGCGAAATTGGGATTGATGCCCTCATGATTGTAGATTTCCTGCGCTGTACTACCTCATCATAGCCAATGATGGCTCCTCGAAAGAATGCCCAATCCACTGCAGCCGAGATCTCTCTCGTTCACCTCAAGAACTGTTTGGTGAACCTCCCCTCTTCACTGGTCTCCTTGCTTGTCAATATCAACACGCCGGCCCAAAATGTTGTCGTCGAACTCAACTACAGAGCTGCCCCCGCCAACGGTTCGGCGCAAGCCAATGGTGCCTCATCCCAGCGTTCGATTTACGTAGGATGGACTGGCATGCCCAGCAAGCGAAAGATTGCTTCTCTTGTTGGTCGCGATGGCATCAATGGAGCACGTGGCAGCAGTGGCAGAGACCAGGAAGTCGCTTCCGTCGAGATAGACGCTACACTGGCCTCGACCATAGGACTCAGCGATGGTCAGAAGGTCATGGCTATCATTCATGTCGACCCCCCGCTTGCCCATACAGTGAACATCGAGCCTCTCACGCCTGAGGACTGGGAGATCATAGAACTCCATGCGACTTTTCTGGAACTCAACATGCTTTCGCAGATACGCGCACTGCCAAATCCAAACTACGCGCCTGGCCAAGGACTGTCGCCGTCGCCACACCCCCTGACGTTACATTTATCGCCAACTTCCACCGCCAATGTCAAAGTGCTGTCGCTCGAACCTGCACCCACTGCAGATGTCCCTTTCGTCAAAATCGCCCCCGATGCCGAGGTTATTGTTGCGCCCAAGACACGAGCGAAACCGTCAAAATCTGGTCGCGAAAGCCGTAGTGTCGGAGGCACCTCCAGAAGAAGTGGCAAGAGCTCAGCGAGTACAATGAGAAGGAAGAGTGCTCGCGAAGAAAAGAAACCGGCACTGTTCCTCAGAGGTATCGAGCGGAAACTTTGCGACGAATGGTTTGACGACGATATCAGCAACGACCAGGACCTGAGTATATGGGTTGATAGGGACTTGTTGTTGTCAAAAGACTTTAGAGGCGTCAACTATGCTGCGGTTAACATCCTCAAGCCCGCTGGTCTTCAGCCACCCGTGGATCCGCAGAAACAGCAACAAGAGGCGGCTGTTACGGTGGAATCTGTCAAAGCCAGCGAGAAAATGATCGTACATCTGCGACCATGGGATGATCCTCCTGATAGCCAAAGTGTAGCTCTGTCCTCTGCTCTGTCTGCTTCTCTCGGGTGCACGGGCATGGTGGGAGGCGTAGTCAAGGTTGAGCCTGCCCCTCAACCAACCTCGCGGAGCACTATCCAGCAACTGAAGATCTATCCGTTTCAATGTGCTAACGCGAAGATCGCAGAAGGTCTCCGATTTGGTGGAGAATCTAAAGCCGAGAAAGAAGAGGCTGCCAAGATGATTACCCGCATCTATAATGGTGCTAGCAGTAAAGGACTACTGACCGGACCTCTGACTGATGGCATGATTCTTCCCGTACACGAAGGCATTGAAGTACCACAAGGCTGGGAAGGCGGCATCATCAAGCTTGATCCACCGATAATAAATACCGGGTCAAAAGAACCGCTAAGCTGGTGCCTCGCATCAGAAAAGCAGGTACCACTCGATGTCCAGGCTCCTATAGCCAGGCCGACATGGTTGGATGAGAGCGAACAGGAAGCTGGAGAACCTGATTCTAGTTCAATATTGGTCGGCATTGATTCTCTCCTAGCCAACGTCAAGTCGCATTTGTCACATATGTCTTCTGTGCTATTGTCTGGCGCTTTAGGCTCCGGCAAATCATCCGTGGCAAAGTCCCTGGCTAAGACTTTACGGCGCGACTATCTTTTCCACACGACCTATTTCCCTTGCCGACGGCTTGTCAATGATGAGAGTAGGGTCTCTACTATCAAACAGAGCCTTAGTCGAGTCTTCATGAGAGCCAGTTGGGGCGCACGACTTGGTGGCAAAGCAATTGTTATTTTAGATGATCTCGATAAGCTCTGCCCTACAGAAACTGAACTTCAAGTGGGCAACGACAACGGCAGAAGCCGGCAGATCAGCGAGATCATCTGCTCAATAGTACGTCAATACTGCACGCGCGGTAGCAACGTTGTGCTTCTTGCAACCGCGCAAGGCAAGGATTCCCTCAACAATGTGATCATAGGGGGCCATGTCGTGCGCGAGATTGTAGACCTCAAAGCACCTGACAAAGATGCTCGGAGGCGGGTAGTGGAGGCTGTGATGGGCCAGTATACCGTATCTCCAAGTGCACCGCGCACATACGATACGGATCATAGTCGTCCAACGACGGCCGACGGAAGTGACAGCCGCGAGGATAGCGGAACATGGATGGATGGCGGCGGCAGTCAGACTAGCCGGAAGAATTCATTGACGAAGCAAAACACGGAAGGCTTTCTTCTTGACCCTGAGGTGGATTTCCTCGATATTGCAGGCGAGACTGATGGCTATATGCCTGGAGATTTAATCCTGTTAATTTCAAGAGCCCGCAACGAAGCTTTGATACGTTCTGTCAGCGAGAACCCGTCCAACAAATCATTCGACGTGGTCCAGCTCAGTCGTGTCGATATCGATAATGCTCTTAAGGGCTTTACCCCAGCCTCTCTTCGGAATGTAACCCTTCAGTCGTCAACCACGACGTTTTCCTCGATTGGTGGTCTCACGGAAACACGGCGTATCCTCCTTGAGACACTCCAATACCCTACGAAGTATGCACCTATCTTTGCGCAGTGTCCCCTGCGCCTACGTTCCGGTCTGCTCTTATACGGCTACCCTGGATGCGGAAAGACGCTTCTCGCATCGGCTGTCGCTGGCGAATGTGGTCTTAACTTCATCAGTGTCAAGGGCCCCGAAATCCTTAACAAGTACATTGGTGCGTCCGAGAAAAGTGTTCGTGATTTGTTCGAGCGAGCCAGCGCTGCCAAACCCTGTGTTCTTTTCTTCGATGAATTCGATTCGATCGCTCCGAAGCGTGGCCACGATTCTACAGGTGTCACCGATCGCGTAGTCAATCAGCTTCTGACACAGATGGACGGTGCAGAAGGACTAAGTGGTGTATACGTTCTTGCTGCTACTTCGCGCCCCGACCTTATTGATCCAGCACTTCTGAGACCTGGCCGGTTGGACAAAAGCTTGCTGTGCGATTTCCCCGACGCTGCCGAGCGCGTTGATATTCTTCAAGCACTTGCATCCAAGGTGAAGTTGTCACAAGAAGTTTTGGGCTCCCAAGACGCACTGCGCGAATTAGGTCGCAGGACCGAAGGGTTCACTGGTGCGGATTTACAAGCTCTCATTAGCAACGCACAACTCGAAGCAATTCATGATGTCCTGAGCGACATAGATCTCCAGCCCTCAAGCAAATCTAGACAGTCCGCCGCTCCAAAAACTGGTGACATAACCAGACCACGGAACTTCGTCCAATTCCGGTACGGTGCTGTAGAAGCATTGGCTGAGGAACAAGAGCGAGCAGCCAAGGGTTACAATAGATCATCTGAACTTGCTCAAAACGCTGCCATTACCACAAAGTTGCAAGAGATCAAGCTAGCGCGGAAAAGGGCGAAGCAATCGCAAAAAGGTTTTGGTGGTTTGCCGAATGGCAACTATGATGGCAAAAGAAACGAACCCAAAGAGAGCACTGGCGAGGTCGTTATAGGCTGGAAACATGTGATCAAAGCACTGGAAGAAACAAGAGCTAGTATCAGCTCCCAAGAGCGAAATAGGCTCGCAAGAATTTATCACGAATTCGTTGTAGGACGAAGTGGTGAGATGCGCGACGGTCAAGGGAGCATGGAAATCGGTGGCCGGAGCAGCTTAATGTAGTACCAAATCATAGAGACCCCATAACGTCATGCCAGGCATCTGTGGTCATCATCACAAAAACACCATGGACTTCCAGTGCTTGTCATGATCCCGTGTGATTGAAACCTAACTGTTGATTCGTGCGACTGTATCTGGCATCAGACTGTTAACTGTCACATACGTTCTCAAGGGCTATCTCAAACGTATACACTCTGTTGGACCAGACTGTACCCTGTGTGAGCCCGCAAAGCCTACATATGTCTCAACTGTCTGACAGTTGTCTGTAACAAAGATTTCTCCGAATGACCTGACAAAAGAATAATCACCTAAGTATCATTATGAACAAGTAATAAGGTAGGTTGTGCAGTATGGAAAACCTGTAAGATCCTGTTAATACTTTCATTTCACAATCTCACCGAAGTCCAATATACTCCAGTGTTTGCCAGCTGTCTTGTGTACCGCAGCTAAGTTATCTTACACAAGACAGTACAAATGTAGCCTAGACTCTCCTGGAGCCAGCATTGGGATCTGGGGCCTGTGCTTGAGTTTTATGAAATTTGATTGGCAGGCTGTGCAGGGGCTTCTCCAGTAGTTTGAGCTAAAGTGGCTAGCCTCAACAGCTAATTCCACACTTCAACCTCAAGCGTGTCGGCTCATGCGTCAAGCTGGGAATTGCTTCACTCATCATTGATGCTGGGCATCTAAACTCGGACAACGCTGGAACTTCAACATCAACGGTTTCGGAGACAATCAAAGCTCAGATCAAGGTGTGAGGGATCTGGTAGACGCATCCGATATTTTCGGAGATCATTTTCGACGCCGGGCGTGGGCAATCTGCGGCGGAATTTGCTTGATAGGGGTTTACTTGCACAGCTTGAGGGTACATTGTGTTTACGAGCTGGTCATTATTTCGACAACTCTACAACCTCAACGCAACACTATAAAACTGCGCTAGCGGTTGACAACTGCATTCGACCACCGTGGTAAGCATGGCGTTTTATTTGTTGCCGTCGCTTTTCGCGATGGCCTCGCATGGCCAATTCTCATTCCTACATTCGCTCCTGTTCCACGATATATCCTGGCAATGGCTTTTCGCTGTTTTGGCACCCATGGCCTGTCGGAAACCCGACGCAGGCAACACGAAGCCATGTTCGGCCAAGAACTAGACGATCAGACGTGGGCGTCAGGCTCGCAGCCACAGACGAGGCAAGTGCAAGTGGTATTGATGCTTCAATCCTTTTCCCCTTCGCCTACCTATCTATATACTACCCCCAAGTTGCACAAAGAGATTACAGCAGAGTCCAAGTGGATATTTCTCGTTCTACCCTACTCGATGGGTAACTCACAACTGAATCAACCATCTGCTGGCGAGCGCCATGTTCGACTAAGTTCTTTGTTACATTCATGATGGAACAATTCGAAATACACTGAATAGTACATTATTTATAATGTATAGCTTACTGGCAACATCCTCACGCCCACGACACGTCAATGGTATATCGTCAAGGAAGCCCGTATTCTTGATGGAACCCTTAGATTCTTTTATAGAACCATATACCCCGTGCAACCAATTTGATTTTTATTTTCCCCTGGGATCCTTCTTTCTATTCAGCTAGGGAAGAAGTCTTTTCTAGAACAAGTTTCTTTGGTAAGATTTTTTGCCTTTTCCATGTAGAAGCCTGTGCTTATGCGCATGTTATTCCTTATTCTTCGCTTATTTCTCGTTCCCTTTCCCCGATGACTCCACTACTCAACTCGCTAACACTACCTTCCAGCAAGAAACCAAGATGGTCGGCCTCGAAGTCCCTTGGCCCCAGGCTAGGGGCAAAGCTGAAGAAGATGCTCGGAAGATGCAGGCGATTGTGGAAAAGGAGTGCCAAGATTCCGGCAAGCCTGCCCCCGACTATGAGCTCACCGAGCTGATCGGCAAGGGCTCCTTCGGCCGCGTCTACAAGGCCACGGGCGCCAATGACGGGAAGGTGGTTGCCGTCAAGATTATTGATGTCGACGAAAGTGATACCGTCGATCCAAAGCTCGCCGACACCTATTCCGAGTTCCTGAAAGAGGTCAACGCGTTACAAGTGTTGCGCGAGGGCGGGGCACAGAACATCAACTACGTCCTGGAAGCTTTGCCCGTGGGCCGCTCGATGTGGATGGTTACCGAATATTGTGCCGGTGGAAGTGTCGCTACCCTCATGAAACCGACGGCACCCGGTGGTCTGCAAGAGAAATGGATTATCCCCATACTGCGAGAGGTGGCCGTTGCTATCTTTTGGGTTCACAAGCAGGGCATTATTCATCGAGACATCAAATGCGCCAACGTTCTGGTCACGGAGGATGGTGGCGTACAACTATGCGATTTTGGTGTGGCAGGCATGATGGAAAGCAAATTCGACAAGCGGTCTACCTTTATCGGTACCCCTCATTGGATGGCACCTGAACTCTTCGATGCCAACGCCTCTTACGGAACCGAGGTCGATATTTGGGCTTTCGGATCCATGGTGTACGAGATCGCATCTGGGCTTCCACCGAACGTAGGAGCACCGGTAGGATTGCCCCAATTTGGTGGCTTCCTCAGAGAGCACATCCCACGGTTGGAAGGCGCCCAGTACTCTGATGAGCTAAGGAGCCTCGTCGCTTTTTGCTTAGTAGAATCACCCAAGCATCGGCCAACCATTAAACAGATCCAGAGTCATCCATATATAAACGGCACAGAAGACCAATACCCGACATCGTCACTTGCGTCGCTTGTAAGAGCATACAAACTATGGGAGCAGCGTGGCAACAGCAGGAAGTCATTGTTCAACCCCCTTATCGGAGCTCAAGGTCCTAGCGATGCAGACCTCTCCTCAACCTCCATGGCAGATGAGTGGAACTTTAGTACAACTCTGGCGTTCGATCAACAAATTCATGATAACCCAAATGGAGTCACTGATTTCGACGCTGTTCGCAACGTTTATGGTTCCCAAGTGGATTTTCCCGCTGGCTTCAATGATGAGACACAAAAGCCGAAGCCTAAGGGACGTCGTCGACCACCTCCTCAAGTTCTCAATGCCATCAAAGCACCTCTCGAGAAGGTGTTTGATCCGAACACAATATCCAACTACAACGAGAACTCACAAGCCTACTATGGTCTTGTGCCTATGCCACCACCGCCGTCCACCTCCGACCTTCCCTTGAGAGATGACAACTTACACTCGACACTCAGAGAAAGCCTTATTGACCTTGATGCGTCCCTTGGAGTTGATGACTTGTCACAATTCGCATCATTGGATACCATAAGAGCAGGCCCTGTTGCTCGTCCTGGCCCCCGTGGTTCCATGAATAACAATTGGTCGTTCTCCGGCGCCACAGACCCACAATACAGCAGAGCGCCTCTTTCTGATCCAGCAGAGCTCAACAACACAAGACCAGGACCTGACTGGCAGTGGCCGACTGTAATACCACCTGCGTCCGCTAGTGCAGAGATCACCAATTTCACATTTGATAGTGAGGATAGGCGACCTCCACTGATCCACCAGCAGACGGAGCCACTTGGTCTACCGTCACAAGGCTATGAGCTTCAAATGCCGAGATCAACTAACGATCGCATGTCTGTATCTTCACTTATCGACCTAGACGAGGGTTTGGTCGATCCTGAGATACCGAAGTATTCTGAGATGCCCAAGTACGCACGCCCGACCACTCTTATCGATCTGGACGAAAGCTTGGTTGACTTTGGCATGGCCGAGTACACGCGACCATCTACAGCCAACTCCGATGTTCCCTCAATGACGGGCTCCGAGATGGGAGGCGGCGGCAACCCCTTCGAGCTGGAACGACACGCCTCGGTATATGCTCCCGCCTCCTTCACCGAACGTGAGCCTTCTATCTATGTTCCCGCAGCCTTCACCCAACGCGAGCCATCTCTCTACGCCCCCGCGACCTTTACTCAACGTGAACCGTCCATCTATGTTTCGGATGCATCTCAGTATGCCACGCTCGCCGCGCCGGACGAGCCGGAGCCGATATTCCAACAGACAATGCGACACCAGCCCAACATGTCAGATGCCTCGCAGACGTACATCCATCCAGACAACAGCGACTACACCACGTCGATGCAGCGCAACCAGGCAAGGTCGAACGGAGCAGCCACTATAATCCCGGTAGCACCCCCCGCGGCCAGTATCATGGAAGGCACTGCGTCGACGTCCGAGGTCACGGAGGAGATGCGCCGGCTCGTGTCTTCGCTATCCGAGCATCTGACCATCATTGGTCAGCAAGTAGCTGAGCTTGAGCCGAGACGATCAAGCCGCATCTCGGCGGGCCGAATCAGTGAGGAGGATATAGGAAATCCCGCCGACTGATCTGGCATGGAATATCAGCTCGGGGATGAAGAAATGGAAGTTGGCGGGTCGGGAAGTCTGCTGGCGTTCAGATTTTGTTAGAGTAATGGTTTGAAGACGAGATGGGTTCGCTCATGAGCAAGCAGCTGTTTTAGAAATGTCGAATGGATACTGGTTTTGTAACCGGTGGAACGGGCAATTGCATTTGAAGTGCCAAAGACGCACGAATGGCTATGGATTCAATCATGAACGAGGCACTTGTAATCACGGTATCAGAACCGCACGAGTAATTTTCAGCCACGATTAGTATTTGTATTGAAAAGTGCTCGGAAAAGCACGAATGCCAGGTTTTCACTCATCATGTCTCCCTTTGAAGTCTTCGTGGACTAACTAAGCTACATCTATCATATCACCCATCAACAACCTCCTGTACTTTTCCACCGCCTCCCGGAGCCTGATCAAGATACCCGCCGCCATCATCTTGACCCGATTCTCCTCTCCGTCGCCTCCCTGGTCTCCCCCTCTGGTGCGGTCAAACACGCCACTGACCCACTCCACGCTCTCCACGACCTTTCGGCCGTGTTGTTCACAGAGGCCCCGCATGTCGCCCTCGTTGACATCCAGGAGCGCCATGAGGCCGAAGAGAACAGCCTGGGTGACCCCCTGTTCGCCAACGCACTGCGCTCGAACGCCCAGCAGCAGATCCCAGAACTCGGACGTCATCTGTGGGAGCGCCAGGGTCGAAGGGCCCGCGGCGTGGAGGAGTAGCGACAGCGTCTTCAGGTATACGGTGAGCAGGTATGGCTGGAAGAGAATACCGCGCATCGCAGCCGAGGGCGAGTGCAGCGCGGCAAGGAAGCGTGAGGTCAGAGGGAAGAAGAAGTTTGTGGCGATGATCTGGGCCGTGGTGTTAGGTATGCTACGGATTCCGGTCTTCTTGATGGCAGATCCCGGTTTCACTTTGGAAGGGTCTTGCAGTCGCGAGGTAAAGGTCGAAAGCTTCAGTGCGTTTGGTCCAGTTGCTGCGTCCGCTGCTTCTGCCGCTAGTGGTGCCAAGAATGTTTGTGAGAGAGACTGAGAAATATTGTCTAGGGCATTGGCGGGAAGCGCTTTCAGGTTCGATGGTGTTGAGGTATATTTGTTAGAAGAGGGTGACATGATATAGTGTTTTTCTGCTTTGCTAGGTAGTTGTTTGGACGGAAACGAAGATACCGATGAGTAATCAGACGTCTCGTAACCAGCTATCTCTCGGCCACTCAGCCCGAGAGCAATGAGGATAGATGCGCGCTGAGAAAGGGAGTAGTCCCCATCGAAAAACGTCTTGGCAAACCACCGGCCCATTTTCTGAGGCTGCGCGACAATAATGGCCACCATCCCTTGCTGGCGTTGACTATCAAAGTCATCGAGGTCGTACTTATCGGAGAGGCCCACCAGCAGCGTCGCAAGCTCTTCAGCATGTGAGCTTACTTCAGTTCCGTAATTGGCTTTTCGCCGAATCAGAATAGGAGCTGTAGCCAAAGCTAGCTTCTGGCGATCATAGTTCTCAGTATCTCGGAAGAGTGCGATTAGATCTCGAATATAGACAGGCGCCTTGGGCTTATCCCTGCTGATAAGTGTTGGATCGTCATCAGAGTCTTCCGCATCCGAGTCTGGTTTGCCGTAAGGGACAAGGTCATCGTCCTCCTCTTCTTCATCGTCTTCGATTTCTTCGATGATGAAGCCTGACTTCGGCGCTGATTGTGGCACACGTATCGATGTTTTCTGCGTGGAGCTGATTGACTTATGAGCTTCTGTGGGCGGCTTCTCTGAGACATCTTGGACTCTCAAAGGGCTTATGGGTCCAATTTCATCAGAAATAAGGAGCAGAGATTTATACCACTTCGCATCGTCTGAGCTCATTTCATCCATCTTGAAATCTAATTTCTGATCTCCACCATGGACCATGCCGGACAAAGCTTCGCCGACTACCATGCCGAGGAACTTGGCTCTATCCTGAGACGCACCAATTCGATTGGATATGGCATTTAGATAGCTGCCAGTGCGGAGAAGTATGGTGAGCTTAATTGGCGAGATTCTGTATACATAGCCGGCACTCAATAACAGAACCTGAGCATGCGCTGCGCTGACAATCAGCAATATTCTTTTTTCTTTTTGTGCATTTCAGGTCTTACCTTCTTGTTGTAGTATAGGTGAATGCTTGACGTACAGCTGGTCTCCAAATTGGTTAAGACTCTTTTCTAGCACGGTGGTGACCCTTTCCTTATTTCCACCCAAGACAGCTACAGCAGCCCTTCTGATGCCGCAGCTTTCGCCTAGACCTGCTCCAGTGGCATCTGTAAGCCAGGCTACGAGGTGGCCTTTACGGACTTCGCTTGCTCCTACAACCGCATCCAAGACACCAGCTGCAGCCCATATCAAGGGACAGTCCTCGGTGGACTCATCGATGTCATTGTCTAGCCGAGAACTAAGGACTTTCAAGACGACACCCAAAACTTTGCGTTGATCGAGTTGAGGTATGTGGTCAAGCAATTGTGAAAAGAATTGTGGTCTTTCATCTTGTAAGATCAGTGCTTCGTACAGAGGCTCAACCAGTGTGTCTGACATTATAATCAGCAAAGGAACTCTTCCAAGCGTTGAGCGACTCACCTGCGTGTCCTAGTTTCAATGCCCGCGTGAACACGTCGGCGCAGATTCTGACGGCATTGTCTCCGTCGACTCTGATCCATGGTACCAGATTATCTCCCAGCCATTTCACGTACTTTTTATTATCGGCAAACCAGTACGGCTTTTCAAGCTTGTCGGCCGCTTGGAGTATGGCCTCGGCTTCTGCTGATAGGGACACGATCTTCCCGCTCGCAATCAGAGAAATGAATTCCTGTCGGAGTGCCCGAGCTCTGCCAAGATTCTCATCACTTGACTTGACCCCATGCCATATCTTTCGTACTTTATTGTTCCCTATGAGTAGGTGGTCAAGGAAGTCGAGTGCGATACCAAGGTTTAGATTAAAATGCGACTGCTTGACGCCTTTGGGGTCGCTTTTGATCTGTTGCAGCAGAGTTTTCAAGGAAGCCAGGGTTGCATTGATGCCAGTCACACTCAGCAGACAGTTGAGCAGGAGATCTAAGTCGTGGTTTCTCTCGTTGTCTGGAGAGTTCTCTTTGACTACGGCCCAATAATTGGGCAGTATTTCAGCCACTAGTACATGAACTATTTGTGCTCCCTGAGGACTCGGCTGAAGAACATTGAATGCATGTTTCCCTTCTAAGCCTCGTCGCAGATAGTCGAGCACAACAACAAGTTCCTCGTAGCCAGGTTGACTTCTCAACGTCTCTAGAGCCTCTTCCGGCGATGAACCCTTGAAGTCTGGTCGTGAAGGCAGCTCAGCTTTAGGTGGTGCGGAGAGGGTCCAAAGCTCAGTGTCTCGATCAGGCTTCCGATAGGTTTGGCTTAGGGGTGTGAGAAGGTCCTCCATGATGCGCGAGGTATATGGGCCAGGCCAGGGTTACGTGCAGAGGCGCCGGTGGGTAGAGGGATGGGAGCTACCGCTGTGGTTCAGCGTTTTTCATCTTTCGACGTCTTGCGTGCAGTACGTAGCATGCAAAGTCAAAATGCTTGCCAAATTACCGGTGTCAATTTTGAGCCTGCAATAGCAAACTACTCAGAGTTGGCTTGTTGACATGCAAACCTGGTAGCAGGCCAATAAACTGCCTTATCCGTCGGGAACACTTCGAGGCAGACACCAAAGTGGGTATGCGTGGGAAGGCTCAAGCAAAAAGTCGGGTGTGTGTGCCATATAACGATGGATTGCCTACGTAGTTACCGTCGCACCTGGTGCCGCAGCCGCCTGTAGAATACTTATTCAGCAGTGGGACTCTTTAGTTTTAGTGCTGTCTTGCCTTACAGTAGCTTGTCGGAGATAACGTTAAGCCCCAGCTTCTGGCGTTTGTCTGTCCCGCCTTTTGATGTAAGCTTTAGCAGCAACAGGCTTCAGGTTAGGCATGATGAGCTCCAAGCTGCCCCGGGTAGCGGCAGCTCTTAATCATCCCACCTTCGATTCCCACAAGCAAACACGCCCGCCCTCGGCACCGGACGCAATCATTCTTTCGTCTGGACCGCAAATCGGATCGCAACCATGGCTGTCGACACGACCAGTAGCGCCAATGAGGTCGCCAGGTGGAAATACTTGAACCACATCCGCAAGACGAAGGGGCCTTTCAACGAAAATGACGAGACTCCCGAGGACATGCCAGACCCCCTGGAGACCTTCAAGATCCTGGTCATCGGTGCTGGTGGCCTGGGTTGCGAAATGTTGAAGAACCTGGCCATGTCTGGCTTCAAGAACATACATGTCATAGACATGGGCAAGTCTTTTGTTCCCTTGACACAACATTGTTGCTGTCTATCGTAATACGATGTTAATTTGTAACGCGTTCGTTCAGACACCATCGATATATCGAATCTCAACCGCCAATTCCTCTTCCGGGAACACGATGTTGGCAAGTACAAGGCCACTGTCGCTGCTGAATTCGTCATGAAACGGGTCAAAGGTGTCAACATCACCCCGCACACCTGCAAGATACAAGACTTCGACACCAGCTTCTATGCTCAGTTCCAGATCGTGGTTTGTGGTCTCGACAGTATAGAAGCCAGACGATGGATCAACAGCACCTTGGTAGACATGGTTGACGAAGATGACCCGGAGTCGCTCAAGCCGTTAATCGACGGCGGCACTGAAGGCTTCAAGGGTCAGACTCGTGTGATACTCCCCACTATAACTGCATGTGTTGAGTGTCAGCTCGACCTATATGCCCCAAGAGCAGCCGTACCTCTCTGCACGCTTGCCACTATCCCGCGACAGCCCGAACACTGTATCGAGTGGGCGCACATCATTGCGTGGGAACAAGAAAAGCCATTTCCTGCTCTGGATAAGGACGATCCAGAACACATTACCTGGCTGTACGAGAAAGCGTCGATACGCGCCAACGAGTTCAACATCCCAGGTGTCACCTATTCACTGACCCAAGGCACAGTCAAGAACATCATCCCTGCCATCGCCTCCACCAATGCCATCATTGCCGGTTCATGTTGCCTGGAGGCTTTAAAGATTGCCACAGGTATAGCGCCCTCGTTAGGACTCCAGGATAACTTCATGTCGTATGATGGTACCGAGGGTATTTACACCAACACGTTTCAGTACGAGAAGAAGCATGACTGCCCTGCATGTGGACAAGGGGCGAGGCCGCTCAAAGTCGACCCGAAGTGGACATTGCAAGAGCTTGTCGACTCCCTTGCGACCAACCCTATGGCCCAGCTCAAGAAGCCTAGCATCAGAGCCGACAGGAAGTCACTATATATGCAGTCGCAAGCACACCTTGAGGAACTGACGCGGCCGAACTTGGTGATAACACTTGAAGATTTGGGCTTAACCCATGGTTCCGGGATCGTCGTGACGGATCCCGCCTTTCCATCCACGACATATGAATTTTTCCTTCAGTTTCCGTGAGAGTCTGCATGTGGTTGGCATGGAGTTTATAGAGATACCAAAGATAGATACGCGACAACGAACTTCGAGCACCATGTCTAGAGAATAGATGTACAGCTGCATGTTAATTCATACATGGATCAAAAGGCACGTCACTTGTTCTACAGATGGTCGAATGTGCGCATGGATACCTTATAGGCCAGACCTTTGAGGCCGTGGTTGAATAGGTTTAGGTGTTACCGTTTACGTCAAATGCCAAGCTTTTTGAACACTCAGCTGCAATCCGTTCCCTGTAAACAATGGAATGTAGAGCAATCTTCCGACCCTGCATTTCTCTGCATTTCTCACATCGGTGAATGATTCAAAAGCAAGATTCGTGATGCTGTGACACTGACGGCCATTAGTGCAAACCACATCGATGCAACTGTTTACACCATCTAGAACATATTTACTACTACGCTTGACTTTTTGAATGTTCAAGCTTCTTTTGTTTCACAGCAAGACAGCCTGGAAGCCCCGGGTTCCTTGTGACTCACCATGTCTCCCATGACAGAAACCAAACTTACTGTCTCGTCCTCTCAAGCCCGGGCGGTGCAGGCAGCAATCCAACAATGGAAAAACCAACACCTCGTATCATCTTCTCTGGCCTCTCAGCTTCTCGAAACCCTCAATGTCGAAGACAGCTTTGACTGGCAGCGCTTTGCAAAATACTCTTTCCGCCTAGCCATCATCTGCCTAGCCATTGCGATCTTCAGCATTCTCACCGACGATGCCTTCTTGAAACTAATCAGGCGCGTCTTCTCCATCCCAGCCTGGATCAGGAGCCTCTGCACGGCCGCTGTGGCCGCCACGGTGCATTACTGGGGCTACCTGCGGCAGCTTGAGCAGCCGCTGCAGGTCTGGACAAATGAGAGCGCCCATGCGCTCGGCGGGCTCATCGTCGCCGTGGCCGCGTGGCAGCTGTTCGAGTGGCTAGGCGCGCCCAAGAAGAGGAGACAGCTTACGTATGAGAGCGGCTTGAGCGACGAGGAGAAGGGCAGGCGGATCCAGGCCAACAAGGACCAATACGCCATGCAGCTGGAGGTCATAATCTGGATTGTTTTGCTGCTTGCTGTCGTCTACGGGACCACGGGCATGCTGACGGGAAGCAACCTGATATGGTCTACTGCTTTACTTGTCCTTGGGACGTGGCTCGGCGTCTTCACGGGTTACCAGTAAGCTTCTTAACGCGTCGCGTTCATGTATCACAGCACCAGTAAATACTGACGGTTAACAGCGACGCGCTCGCGACGTATTCCATTTACATGGAATATCCGTTGCGCTTCGTCCTATTCGGGCTCAGCCTGACAGGAGTGGGATACACAATGCGCCGGTGGGAGCGTACTGTTCCGCTCTGGTCGAGCACGCGTATCTGGGGCCTACTCTACCTCTTCATCGCACTCTGGATTCTTTCTCTCTTCGGCGACGACGAGCTCTTCTCTAGAAAGAAAAAGACACCGAAACCATCCCACGACAACAAGAACCGTAGGCTGTTTGTATGGTCTCTCATATTCGGACTGGCCGCGGGCTACTGCATCGTACATGGTATGAAACACGATGATGGCACCACGAAGGGCTTTGGGTTGGCTTTTTTGGGTATCAATCTCTACACTAGGTTTTTCGAGTTGTTCTGGCATGCTTGGTATAAGCCATTGTTTTTCGCTGTGTTGGCCGGAACTTTGGCCGTTATGGGACGATATGCCGAGAGAGTCTGGAACATGCAACTTCAGATCTAAGGCTACATAGTGACGTTGCGTTCGGTTTTTTATATTGCGGGACGTGGCGGGCTTGGATACGTTGTGTTTGTGATAGTCAGACTGGGGAAAGTTGTTATGTGCCTTTGCGTGAGACATATGGATCAAGTGGCGGGCACAAGGTTATGTGCGGGTTACAACGATTTACCAGAGAACTTCGCTGAAGCAACAAAAAGCGATACCGAAAGTCACTGGATTTTAGTAAGGATAGGTGTAAAACCAGCGGTATAGTATGGGATAAAATGGGAGTCCGCAATCGCGCCGCTATGTTCTCGAGTTATATGATGGCGCGAGGCTTTGAATTTATGGCTGGTCGATGTCTTTCAAGACTCAGCTATAGCAAATTATACATTACAGTTGTTTATCCCTTGTCTCAATAAACCCCATGGCTCATTTGACCATCAGCCGCTAGATCCCGGTGCCTGCGTTCCTGCATAGTCATATTGGAGAGAGCCCCCATATGTTACAGCCGAGTAACTCGAACTCATCGACGAGTTGCTCATCCCCGCGTTGAGGAATCCGCTGTTGTCTCTACCGGTAGTCGACTGGCCCGGCACAGTCAGCCCGGTTTGTCCAATACTACTGCGTGACTGTGCTGGATTCGACGGCAACGACGTTGACGATCTCCCGGGAGGCGTCCCGCCATCTCCAAAATAGAGATAGTCCTGCGGCGCGGGGTCCGCCGAGCTGGCTCGATGTTGTTGTCCGCTACTATGCCTTACTCGTGAGGCATTCGAGGGCTTTCGTTTCCCAGTATATTTCCTTGGCGCTGAGCTTGCCCGTTGTGATGCAGATGGGAGATTCTCCGAGGACGGATCCAGCAGGTCTGAATCACGGTCACCAGCTGCTGAATTTTCCGGTTCCTCTTCAAGCGATTGGTATGCGCCGTTGATGGGAGTCACCGCATCTGTATCTTCGCCGCGTGTGGGCGTGGATCCCCTTGATCTCCCGCGGAAAGAAGCAAATCTCTTTAAAGTCTGTCTCAAGCCCATGGTTTTTATCAGGCACAATGGCGGGCGACCCAATGTGTTCCAAGTTCCCGAGTCCCAGGCTGTTTTGTAACAATGCACTGTGTTAAACACTGAAATAGAAAAAAATAATGATGCGTAAGAATAAGTGATTGACAATACCTTTGAAAGCTCCTTTCCTGCTCAATTGCCTTGATCAAATCTCTATCGAATTGCTCGGGCTTCTGTTTGCCTCTCATCCCTGTAATGGGGACTTACAGTGGGCTGTGCTGAGGCTTTGCAATCCTGGCCCCTGAATGTCAGCTCATTTACCACGTGGGGAGACCCAGAACGACGTCTCACGTTGACAATAAAAGACACAACTAGGAATCATTCATTTCAAGTACGCACATAACAAAGTGAACTTATTTTGCGGATAGAAGTGTTCGACTGGATTTCTCAAACCAGTTTTTTTTAGTGAAATTCGCTCTTATGCCTTGGTTGTTAGTGCACGTCTCCTAATCCTACCTCAAGTCACATCCCGCTAGCGTATGACGAAGCTTTGAGTGTTGGCACCTGCTGCTATAATCTTGGCATTATGTCTATTTTGCCAATCATCCCAAACAACCACCTTGGTGAGCATTCCAGCATAGAGTAGAACCATTACATACCTGGTCAGCATGAAATGACTGACCCTGCAACCATCAGCCTGCACATCATAATACGACAGCGAGAACACAATACTTTTTCGACCGTCAATCTCACAAGACCTATTCACGCGAGCTTCCTCTCACCATCCATCTACTCCACACAACATGCGAGATCGATATATACATCCTAATACCTCGCGTGGGCGAAATCGTAGACTCCCACTAAAGCATTTCTGCCTTGGTTGCCTGGCCAGGTAGATTTCATAGCCCGACTAGTTTCCCGGGTAATTTTATCCAAGCTATTTTTCTTTTTCTTTTGAGTTGGCAGATTCTTGAAGTCGAAAGCTCCAATAGCTTTCATCAGAGATGACAAACTCCTCGCAATGTGGGACGAGAGCGACGATTCACGAATTTGTAAATTAGTAAGGATCAACGAATGGAGATGTATCGTTATTTCAGGAAGTTCAGTGACGTTAGAGAAAATGGCCATATCTGAAAGGGTCAAAACTGTCGCATCGATGCTGGACACGTGAACGGTGCCGGCGGAAGGACTGGTTTCTCACGAGTCAAGATCGAGACAAAGCCGTCTGAATTTTCTTCTTGTCGCCATGCTCGGCGGGAGGTTGCTTACCCCAGACTCTGTTCAGACGCCGTGTCAACTGCGAATTACTCTCTGTTAAAGCGGCTATAAAGTCCACAACTCACGTATTAGCCATTCCCGACTCTGCACCTTCTACGGCTTCATTCTCTTTTTCGCCGAAGATGCAGCCTCCTGGAAGTGACGCTTTGATCCAGTCAAAAGCCGATCGCGCAGGCTTGTCGGCGCACAGGACGGGGCCAATAATGTTGCCCTGCTCAATGGCGCGCTGGCCTGAGTTTCATCACTTCCACTAAGTGAGGATGTAGCTCTGCTCTCTTGGGTGTCAAGCGGGGTGGTTGATGGGCTGAGGCTCGAACCAAGCCCGCTATCATTGAACGAATCCCCAGAGTCTTCCACATCAGCGGCAGGGTCACCCTTTACTGGGTCGCCGGTGTCTTTCCAATGCCAGTGAAGGTTCCTGCTGTGGCCAAAGACGACCGCACCACGATCTTCCAGTCTTACCTGCACCTTCTTCCTCAGACCCAACATAAACTTTAGAGGAAATAGAGCTTGGACGGGGTCATGGTGAGTTGGTCTGTCAATACCGCCACATGGGCACTGGCCGAACGCAGATTGTTTCATGTGCCAGATAACATCGCGGCACAACCTCCTGGGATTGGAATGAAGATTGCCACGGGTTTCCATGATTTCAATCAAGTCGGCCGTACAGGCAGCGAGGTAATACTTCTCGCACGGCAAGCTATTCCAGTGGAGACAGTTAAGAGCAGCTTGTTTCGGTTGAATCAGCTCGCCGAAGTTGCATCCAAACAGAGTCACTGCATTTATAGACCGCTTAAAGTCAACCCAGCCTTTTCCAATGGTCTTGAGAGTTGCAACTCGTGGGAGGAATGGATCTCCGTCTGCCACCAAGTCCTTGAAATCCCACCCCTCCAGCTGTCGCCTTGGCAGTAGGTTGAACTGTAGTCCACTTCGTCGCTCCACGTCTATTTGGTGCTCGATCAGCTTTTCGAGGCAGTTATAGATATGATCTACCCGATCCTCCATACGGTAGTATGTAGTATGCCTTTTGGACACGACACTGGGGGTCGAACCTTCAATGGTTTCTTCGTCGAACACGTTGCTCTTCTCCACGTACAGCTTGAGCTCGCGATTCTTCGGGTTAATGAGAACTTCTATCGCAGACCCTGGCAGCGTAGGGTTTTCGGCGTCTAGCAGATCATGCGGACCTATCAGAAAGGCAGAACGGAATTTGCGCTTGCTATGCACGAGGGATGCTCGCAGCAGATGAAGTAACGTGCTAGCTCCATTCGCCAGCCAGCCCCTTTTCTGTTCCTCGTCCCAGAAAAGAAAATACTTGGAAGAGATCCACTGAAGCTTCGTGAAGTACCCAAACCTGGAGATATGGACGGGCTTCTCCCTGTTTCCCAAAGTGAAGCAAGCTGTTCCCGTGACAAATTGACCAGCTGATAGCTCGACTTTCTCGAGGGCACAACCAGCGTGAACATACGGGAGATTCGATTTTCCAATGGAGTAGTCAGCCGCCAAGGTCCCTGATTTGATCACAAGTCAATGATTTCTGCATACATAGCTTCTCTGAGAACTCACAGGTACTTACCCGTATTGCATACCGCATCCACGCACCAGCCCAGGACGTGGCGACACTTTTCCACATCAGTCAACTTCACGTCCGCATGCTCAATGTTACAGCTAAGATAGGAAATATGGGTATGAGGATCTTCATTGTAGAGGAGATGCCAGAGAAGTGTGTCATCGGATCGTTTTGTCGGGACTAGCATAGTCGAAAAGCCTTTGATGAATACTTTTGAGTTAAAGGTATTGATATACCTGGACCTCGTCAGTGCGGCCATCATGTTGAGCGGTAGTTCCAGCCCTGTCGACGTTTTCAGACGCCGCGGTATTGGGAATCCTCGGGCAATTACCAGCTGCTTGAACATATGATGCCAGCACTGGCCGTTCGTCATCGAGGATGTCTCGCCAATTGCCTCGAACCTGCATTTGATGTTGCAGTCAAAGATCATGGCTTTATCAAAGCGTGGGACTATACTGTCGACGTATGGGGTGCAGTATACGCCGCTTGGATCGCCGGGCGATGGCCGTAAGGCAGCGCTTAGCCATGCAAGCTGCTCACCGACCTCTGCCGCGAAGTCTGGGAGGCCTGATAACCCCACAATGACTCTTGGGACATCGATGGAAGCAGTGAGTAAAAGTTTCGAAGGGGTTTCCACTGTGAGTGTGTTAGCAAGCTATAGTGCTTCCAATCATTGTGTTAAAAGACTAAGGCTCAACTAACCCACGACCTGGCTTTCACCATCAGGGCTTCTCAGCAATTTCTGGATTAGAAGAAGTATGTAGGAACCAGTCAATGGCCACGTCTGAGACAAGTATTCGGAACAGCTGAGCGCTTGTGCGTCCACACAAGATCCAGTTAGCGTAATAGCGTTCGCAATAGCCTCAGCATTAGGCTCCTCATACTCCTGCTCCCGAAGAAATCTAAGGATATCCCAGTCGACCGCAAATATGACATTTGCGCCCTGTGGAGGTTTCCTTCGACTCACATGGTTTGCTCTAGGTATTGATCGGTTGATTGTCTCTCCAATCTCCATCATAGCGTCCGGATCTGCTCTGGAAAACAATAACTCCCTGCGCAATCGGCTTACCAACCATTCGTAACTGTGTTCCCCAAAGATAAATTGGCTGTATTGTGTCATTTCTTCGTCAATGGGTGTATCCTCGTAATCTTGAATTGAAGTGACAATGTCCTCATACTCCGCCTCGTCTGAATTGTTCAGCCACCGATCCATAATCTCGGTAGAGCTCTCATGGACTTTCGGTCGAACATCTTCTTCTGGGTCCGATACTCGAGCCATAGACCTGAAGGACTCTGCGATTGCGCTGTGGTTGTGAGCGGGGGGCATGGGCTATATCGGATATTGTGATGATATCTGAACTTACTAGCGGTTCCTATGAATGAAGACCATTGCATCACGGTGCATCTGTGCTGAAGACTCGTAACCTAGGTTTAGTGCAAATGATTTGAGCAGCCTTGGAAGAGCTGTGGTTAATGCATCGATCACCGGGCTGGGCAGAGTCTCTGCTTTGATCCGTTTAAACAGGTCTTGGGCTAGCCTGGCGCTGTAACTTTCGGTTGTCGTGTCATCAACACCACTGATGTCTGTGTATACTGTCTCCATATCGTTGAAATCAGTCTCGTTCACATCATCCACCATGGCATTTTTCTGGTTGGAATAAGCGCCGGCAATGGGCACATCCAATACGGACTTCGTAGATTGGCGCGCTATAATTTCATGATGGAAGCACCTCTCGCTGAGAAGCGAAGCTGTCCCATAGCCTGAATCGGACACGGGTCCCTGAAGCAACCCCAGCTGATTCCCGCGATAACGAACTGTGCGGAATAGAAATTGAATCAAGAAGAATGACATAACATTTCTGCGTGCCTTTACCTTCGCAACTTCTGATCTCATGTCTGCTGCTCCATCGATTTGGTCTGAATCCACCCCATCTGGCTCAAATGTCCTGTCGAAGGCACCAAATGCACTTAAGCATAGTTCGAGCAAGCTAGAAGTTTCCAATGTGCCCTGTTCCTTAGAAGCGCTGGATACGTTCACTTTATTTTCCTTTGGCATAGTCTCAAGCTCCTTCTCTTCATGTTGCGGAATTGAAGATCCTAATGGACCAGTGAAATATTGCTCTATAGGTGCCTTTTTCTTTAGTGCATCTCCGACGTCAGAAATCCATTCCACAAAAGATACCTTTTCATCAAAGTAGTCGGGGTTAAAAGCAGGGGCTATTATGGACAGAGCGCTTGGGTTCCTCAGCAATACTAGACCATGTAGCGGGTGATACTGTCGGTCATTGGATGCGTGACCTTGCTCAGAAGGGGTTTTTTTTTTTTTTTAATATTTGAAACAATTCACCGCGCACGATATCGCTCAGGCTGTCCAATGGTTCATAGTCTACTTGGTAAGCGTTGATGAATATAAATGCTCGGACATCTTAACGGTGCTTACATGGCGACGGTGTGCAACTCTGGTCCACATCAGGAAATGCAATCAGATACATATCTTTCCATTTCTGATCCTCGGACTGTCGAGGTCCCTCGCTCCTTTCTTTTATTTCACGCATCTGCGCGTTATTGAGGTAGTGTATGCCCACGCTGTCCTTCAGCTCACATGGGATACGACCACGAAGATGTTCTTTTAATTGATCTGCGTTTTGCATCGATTCATAGCATAGAAGGCAGAAGTGTTCTGGCAACCGGTGGTTTCTGAAGATGTGATCCCTACAATGAGATTAGATACTGTTGTCCGAACTATCTAAATTGTACATGGTAGCCAATACTCAAGACGATGTATGCTAGGCCACCCAGTGCTGATGCAACTCATTACGCGGCAATTTGATGGATCATGCTTGAAGAAGGGGCATGCAAATAGTCGCTGGGGGGACTCAGGTGGTAGTCGTTTGAGTCTTGCAACCTGCAAAGCAATGCCATTTGAATCGCCCTGGTTACTCGAAGACGGTAGCCCGAGGCTCGTGATCCGGCCTCCAGGACTAGGATCTTCACCACCTTCAGCATCGCCGGATTGGGACATTCTTTCCAGGGTCACTGGTGGTGCTCAGTCTTACTGGTTCAAGATTTGTCATGAAGCGCCGCGGTTGGGTCGGGAAGAAGAGGTTCTGGTTCGCAGAGTGTAAGCGGAGAGTCAGAGATTGATGTATATAGCTTTCATCCGGCGAGGCTGGGGAAGCACTGCCCATCACCGTGGCACAAGTCTATTGGCAGGCTTTCTTGCAAAGCTCCTGGAGCCTGCAGTGGCCTCAGGTCGGTTCGTCGAACGAATCAGACCGCAAGCTTGGGAAAAGCCTCCACTAAAATGCGAATGTTTCTACCATTCATTCTTTTTCAGTTTCTTCAACACCAGATCCTATCAACTCCGATATGTGACTTGGCGTGGGCGGGTGCCCAGAGCTGATTTCGCAGACAACGTAAGTGAAGGGGACAAGCAGTTCATGTCAGATTCAGAGTGATTAGCACATTAAGTTATTGGTCATGCCTTACAGGAAAACTGAATAAGTTAAAATACACCTTTTGATGCTAGAGTACAGCGCGGCAATTGCATAACGCACCGCGCGCTTTGCGGGAAACTAGTGCTTCAAAAAGAAAACATTAAAACAATGACCCCAATCCAACCAAAGGGCGGTGTAAGACCTATCCATATCTCGCTCAAATGCAGTATTTGTAAGGAGCATCACCTTGACCTACGCAGCAGGGTGGAAGCCTGAACACTTGCGGGCTGGAAAGCAAGCCCTGAGTCGCTTTGCGTGGTCCCGGGATGCGGCCATCTTTTGGCGTACTGCTAACGTTAGCCGGGTTGCAAGACTCAAAAGCACTGCAGTAAATATAAGGCTTGAACGGCAGGTTCAATCCGACGACATCAGCATCTCGTGATAGACTTGTAAGAGGCGAGCGTACGGATCCGTGCCGTAGTATAAGCAAATATTACAAAGGACATGAGTCTGATTGGTCCCCCGACAGCTCCATGGGCCCGGAAGATAATTATTGCGGGGCAGGACCCATGACGAGCACATTGGCCGCCATTGGAGGCGTTAGAACATCAATATCCCGACTGCCACAGCTAACTAAAGTACGCGCGAGAACTTCATCGGGTCCAATTGACCACCAACTTTCGCAATGGCGGTGCTATCAAGGATTGCCAGTTGCGGTGCTCGCCGCCTGCAGCTTGCGACGCCATCACTACGCTCATCGACTCGCGCCTTCACATCCACCGCTTTCCGACGAGCAGCCGAAGCGCCCCGTGTCGAACGCACGACATTGATGCCCACCGACAGCACTTTCTCCCATGCCGCCGACCCTTACGGCCTGCAGAATGCCGAGGACCAGGTTGGCGACATCGCCGCCTCGGATGGCGAGAACATTCAGGACCGCAAGGTCCGCCACTACACAGTCAACTTCGGTCCCCAGCATCCTGCCGCCCACGGTGTCTTGCGATTGATTCTCGAGCTGAACGGAGAGGAGATTGTGCGCGCCGACCCTCACGTCGGCCTGCTGCATCGAGGAACTGAGAAGCTCATCGAGTACAAGACCTATCTCCAGGCTCTTCCCTACTTCGACCGCTTGGATTACGTCTCCATGATGACCAACGAGCAGTGCTATGCGCTGGCCGTGGAGAAGCTGCTGAACATCGAAATCCCCGACCGCGCCAAGTACATCCGAACTCTCTTTGGCGAGATTACCAGAGTCCTTAACCATCTCATGTCCGTTCTGTCCCACGCTATGGATGTTGGTGCCCTGACCCCATTCTTGTGGGGCTTCGAGGAGCGTGAGAAGTTAATGGTAAGGAATCCAATATGATCAGTGTATTCTGCCCACTCTACGCCATCTTCGTTGAGCAGCACGAGTCCGGACTGAAATTATATATACATATGCTAACCCCGCCACCAGGAGTTCTACGAGCGTGTATCTGGCGCCCGTCTCCACGCCGCCTACGTCCGCCCCGGTGGTGTTCACCAAGATATCCCCATTGGTCTCCTGGACGATATTTACCAATGGGCTACCCAATTCGGCGACCGTATCGACGAGACCGAAGAGATGTTGACGGACAACCGTATCTGGATCAACAGACTGCAGGGTGTCGGTGTCGTCTCTGCCGCCGAGGCTCTCAACCTGTCTTTTAGCGGTGTCATGCTTCGTGGATCCGGTGTGCCTTGGGATATCCGAAAGAGCCAGCCTTATGACGCCTATGACAAGGTCGAATTCGATGTCCCCGTCGGTATCAACGGCGATTGTTACGACAGATATCTTTGCCGTATGGAGGAGTTCCGCCAGTCTCTGAGAATCATTCGCCAATGTCTCAACGATATGCCCGCCGGTCCCGTCAGAGTCGAGGATTACAAGGTGGCCCCTCCCCCACGTGCTGCCATGAAGGAGAACATGGAGGCCCTGATCCACCATTTCTTGCTCTACACAAAGGGTTACGCCGTACCTCCGGGTGAGACCTATTCCGTTATCGAGGCCCCGAAGGGAGAGATGGGTGTATACTTGGTTAGCGATGGTAGCGAGAGACCATACAGATGTCACATCCGTGCACCTGGTTTCGCACACTTGGGTGGTTTCGACCACGTCTCGAGGGGTCACTTGCTGGCCGATGCCGTGGCTGTGATTGGAACGATGGATTTGGTGTTCGGTAAGTCACACATTTTCAAACATGCAACGAATCACTACTGACACATTCACAGGTGAGGTCGATAGGTAAAGTGGTGATATGAAGAGACTAGAAAAGGTAAAATAAAGAAGCCCATGGCAAAGGAATTGCCAAAGATGCAAATCCGCCTGTCCCTTTTCATATGTATCATAGTAGAGGGTAACATCCCGACGGGAAACGCATCGCAACGGGGTTGGGCACGTCTGTGCCTGTATATATCATTTGTTCTGAACGATCTGCCCCGTACCTGTGAAGAAGTCAGAAGAGTACAACCTACGTGCGGTCGATGTTTCACTTGCCTCGCAGAAATGCTCTCAACGCCTTATACAACATTTCGACAATAGGATAGAAAGAAGATAGGTCGTTAGAAGACAATCAACCACAAAACAGAGACTAACTGAGAAACAACTCTACGGAGTTCTTATCCTGGAGTTCTCTAATGCTGGGCATGACTTGCATCTCTTCAATGCCGGACGTGAGAGCTGACACATGTTCCAAGCCGGCGAATGTGAGTTCTCTATGCCGCCTTCAGGCCCGGCACCAAGCGGCCAACCGACTAACGCGAGACCATGATGCTGATGGTAGATTGGCTGACCAGGCGTTGCAGCGATCGATAATTCAGTGGCCGGTGACTCATGCTGCGTCAATGACCATGCCCGCTCACGACTCGCGGTGGGCGGGTGTGCAGTGTGCATTGGCATGACCTGAGTCGGATCGTAGCCATATGCGATCATGGGATACTGGAGGTTGCCGAGATCATCGAATATGGGCATACCCGGCACACCAGGTGGCAGCTGACCGAAGTTCTCCTCCGCAAGCGCCCCGCTGGGCGTTGCCCCAGCCCTCGTGGCTTCCAGCCAGGCCTCGGCCTCGGCCACGCTCTTGAAGCCAAACTCCTCCATCTTGGTAGGCCAATCGATCTGCTTCGCGGCGGAAGCATCCTCGTTGATTCGCCAGATCATGACGTCGGTGCTCCGGGGGCTCGCCCTCTGCAGCGCCCTGATCGGCGCGTCCGGCTTCCAGTCGGGGGCGAACTCGGCGATGTCCTCCGCAGTGAGCATGTGCGGCTTGTACGTCTCGAATCGCACGGGGCAGTGGCACTTGCCGGCCGCGTGCAGCGCGGCGTGCTCTGGGATCCATTCGGCGCCGTACTGGGACGACAGGCGGACCGTAATGGTCGTCTTTGGTGGCTTGCCAGTCGAGCTTGGCTCGCTTACCTCGATCAAGGGCGAGAGAACGCAGCTGTTCCACGCCAGCGCGTGCGGCTTCTTGGCGGGGTAGCTCTTGATGCTGGAGTCTTCCTTGACATCCTTAGGCTTGGACCGAGCGTGCAGGTCTGCTTGGACATCCTTCTGGTTCTTGCGCTTGACTCTGTTGCGCTTCTGCCAGCGCCTGCCCCGGCTACCGTTCTCGCCGGAAGAGCCCGCGGGTCCGTGGAGGGTGTGCTGAGCATCGGGGCCGGTCGGTCCGCAGCGTGGTGGGTACTCTGTAGCACCTGGGGCATCATCACCATGTCCATCGCGACTGCCCTGCTGGGGAACGTGGGGATCGTCAGAGTTCGAAGAGCCGTTCTTATCGCCACTGCCTCGATCTAGCCTGACCTTCCCGACGACGCGGGGCTGCTGCAGAGCGGGGAACACAACATCGCAGCCGCAAGTGCCGCGCTCGTGCATCCACTGGTGCTCGAGGGTCACGATCTCGACCCAGCGGGTGTGCAGAATGCGAGCGCAGGTCGGGCAGTTCGCGTGGACCTGCGTAGGGCGCTCGGCGGGGTTGGGGCAGACGGGATTGGTATGGAGATGGGTGGTGAGGGGGCAGGGGCGCTGCACGTGTACGGTGCTGTGCCCGCAGGCATAGCCCAGGTACTCAATGATGCACATCTTGTTCGCCGATGGCTTAGTGATGATTGTATCAGTGGTATGTTATGTATGTATGCAGACTCAGTCCCACCTGGGAGCTGGTTGGGGAGAGTAGAAGGTAGATGCTCCAGCTTCTTTTGCTGCTATGGTCACATGTGTTTTCACACGTTGATTGTGTTTAGTTTGATTGTCAATATCTTTGAGAGTGAGATAACTCCAGATACGCTACGTAACTTGGTTTATGTGTTGCTGAGATGGAGTATGAACGGATGGAATACTTCCAACCGAGAAGAGGTAGAGTGTTGAATGAAGTGAGGTTTGCAAACTTGTGACCTTGCGTTTGACAGATGCTAGAATATGTGTTGTTTCTGACGGGAAACCAAAAGGTGATAAACATGTACCTAAGTATCTTCGTCCATATGAACGTTCTCTCTGAATGACTACGGCAGGTGCGAATTTTGGTTGGGTTTCCGGGGTAGAATTGATCTGCGTACAATATCGTGTGTAGAACCAAACAAAATGTTTGGAAATTGTCCTTTTTTGTCCAGCATAACCAACTCGGCGACCTTGAATGGGATAGCCTAGTTGAACAGGCACACCAAGTTGCACTCTGTCGACTCAGTAGGAAAATCGGGGATAGTGTCAAGAGACCAACGTTCAAAATGGTCAAAAGTCGAAGTTCAAACACCGCGAGGTTCTGGGCCAACGTTAACAGGCGTGGAAAATAATGTATTTGCAGGATGCCAGATGCTTGACACTTGAAGGAAGCGGCGAGGATAGTAGAGCTGGTGGCTAAGTATCACGAGTTACTATGTTTGATTGATCCAGCTACGTTTGTGACAATATGCAAGTTTCCCTATGGAAAGTTATAGCCAAGGGACTTTGCCGATACATGGTACTATCAGCAACAGCGACCGTTGCTTTTGAACGTAATCCACAGGTACTGCTTGAACTATCCACATTGAGTATGATTTATTACTGGAAAAAAGCCACCTGATCTATGCACAAAATTCTACTCCAACTACCCTTCCAGAGTAGCTTTTCTCTTTTGAATCGACCTAAGGCCTCTCATAAAGAACTCTTCTCACCACCGGCCTCCTCAGGCTTTGGCAATGGGAGTAGATCCTGCCCAAATACACCCTTTCCGTGCAAAACATCGAGCCTATAGATTTGAGCTGGGTATGCCAACATATCCTTCAGCAGGTCAACGCGCAGGAAATTGTGGCCTCCTGGTCCGTTGTCATGATCGCTACGGCGTTCAGAGTCAGCGAATGCCTCGAAGATGGCAAATGTCGTCTGAGAGTATCTAAGACCAAACCAGGGACCAGTACCAGGTTCCTGGTTGACGCCCGTGTTGATGTCTCGCAAGAAGCCGGCCACCAACTCCTCCTTTCCTGGCTTTGCTTCAAGATGGATGTAGTAGGCCTTCTTGCCAGGGTTCTTGTCTGTGCCGTGAACCACAAAACCGGGGTGTGCCTTGTCGTCTTTCGACCAATCTGATGCAGGTGTGATGGGCTGCAGGCCTTGAGGGTACGCACGACTAATCTGTTTTGACGAGCTCATAGTGTTCGATTGATTTTTCTCCTGAGCGCAAGCAAGCGTTTGTTTTACTCAATTAATCTTGGAGAGCTGATGCATATATTGAAGACTGAATTAAGTTGGCTATGGCGGATTGCTACGGTGGTTCTGTCAACGGGGCAGAGTTCGGTATTTATACAGCTGTTGTGGTAATAGTATGTGAAGTGACTAATCAATTATAGTATATCGGCGTTTGCTGGTTGTATATTGAACTACCTGTAGCTGTGTTGTACCAGAAACTGCCGAGGAAGGAAAGATTACTTATCGTGGTATGAGTAATCGTTAAACCTAGAATGAGCACAGCAGCGCTTGCTTGCTGGAAGACTCCAGGTCTGCCAGGCTGCTAGGGGACATAGATACCCCGCCGTTATTAAGCTTATGGGATTGTGAGCGGGAACTACTTCCGCCGCACCGCACCTCTACTGTATATCTTTCTGGGAAAGTAAGACCTTTTGAGTATAATGTGACCAATGGATGAGTTTCGCCTATGCTGCACGATGACGACGCAACATGGGTCTTTAATGAGGCACAGCATCGACGAGGATCCGTCGCAGAATTCAAAGGCGGATCAATGCAAGCACGACACATTGCAATACACCAAAGACCCCTCCTGCATCATACATACTAACTAGATAGTCAGACCATATTGACGCCGCTAATGGCCCGGAACTCTAGACCCTGCATTACACAAGGAGGATTTTCTGCTAGCACTAGCGGAATCATGCTCAAATCCAAGTTCCAGCGGCCGCGGGAAACTACAAAGCTGATTTGAAGACCTTGAAGACTGAAACAAATAAACGAGATGCTATGAGGTTCCTTTACTGTGATTTGTCGAATTCATAAGGAATGACCAGAAATGGTTCATTCAGACTACATCGTGGCTATGTGTCATGTGGATCTCTATATATAGGTATAGCACAGCTGTTGTTGGGTATCCATCACTTCCTTGATTTTCGTGCTGTTGCCGATTTGTCCAAAATCCATGACGAATTCAAGCGTGACATTCTTGTAAGGGATATCACCAAAGAAATTAAAGGGATAAGCCCATTGAGTGTCAGGGCCACCAATATCAAACCTCCTCGTGGCCCAGTCTATCGTGCTGATTAGCAACATTTTATTTAGTTGGAACATTGATCTCTCACCATTTCGCTGCCATTCGTTCCACATCTTGTCCAAGCCACCATGATGCAGCCAAAACAGCGGGTCAGATGGCGACGAATATGTGTTTGACATCTGTCGCGAACAATTCAGTAGTGCTTCAACAAGTATGGAGAAATATAAACGAGTCGCGAAACGATTGGTATCATTCACCATTACCATACCATGAGAATGTGAAATTCTGGGGGCTTACATCTCCGATACCTCCTCCAACACCCAAGTGACCTCCACCATGTAGCGACATTGCCGATATGCCTAACGATATACCTTCTGTTCTGTGTTCGAGTTCGAAGAAGTTTGTTGCAGCCAAGACGTGAGCGTAGACAGATGAGTTCAGCGACTGTACTGCTAGGGAAGGGCTGAAGTCGCGACGCACGCAATGCGGAGTATAATCTGTATGATTGCCGGGGCCCACTAGGAAATATGAGATCAGTATACAACGTAGTACTTTGTTCCTAGACATGTGGACTTACTGCTAGCGTTGTAAGTGGCAAAGGGGCCGTCTGTGATGCAACCGCCCCCAGTTCTACCAGGGATCTCGACAAGACTCAGCCAGTCCGAGGGGAACCCACTGATATCCTCGATGTACGGCCCGTTTCCTAGGCAGATTATGAGTAGCAATCAGCAGAGTGTACTTGTGATTACCCACCTCCAAAACCATGCGTCGTATCAAATAGAGGAGAGGCTACGAACGCTGCTTCGTTAATAGCGTCCTGTGTCCAGTCTTATAGCACGATATTAGCGCTACTATAGCATGACGGGATGGAAAAGGATAAGTACCCCAATATCTAAATTTATTAGTCTATCGCAATATTGTTAGAAAAATTTGAGACTCACGGTACTGTTCCGTTGTAACCACAGGTGTCCTGGAGCTCTTGTTCGAATAGCGATAAGAAATATCGGTGCCATCTATATCACTGGTGAGTACAAGCGCAAAGTATTGCCAATTAGATAGGTATGCTCACGGAAGAAAAAAGCCGACCCAATGGATATAGTCGGTCTGAGTTATGTGAAGAACGACATAGTCATCGTAGCGAGACTTCACCCCAGAGTACAGGGCAGTGGTCTCTCCGGGCGTCTCTTGTAAACACTTGACAGCGGAGATAAAGTCTAGCCTTTCAGACTCCGACAGTGTTCTCCTGCGATAAAATCGTCAAATCTAACAAAAAGAAGAAGAAAAAAAAACCACGATTGACCGGAGGTGCCTACCATTCCTTCCTTACATTAAATTTTACACAAGGTGTATGTCTACCTACTGTAATATCCGATGCGGTTGGGATTACAGAGGCTAAACCGGCCGCCGCCAAGAGTATCAGCGTAGGAATGAGCTTCTGGATCTGCATTCCGACAAAGGTACTTGTAGCCAATGAACCGGCCATTTCTGGTGGCTTGAAGTAGTATACAATCGAAGATGAATGTCCGACTAAGTTTGGAGGCTTTATAATGCTCTGGAATATATAAGAGGCCATACACCTGCAGGGGATAACATTCCCGCCAGTCGTTCATTGCATGTATCTAATTTGCGTACGTGAGATTGAAGCAAAAACATCCGACGCCTGCAGCATGCATGAATCTAAAGGCGGTGGGAGGTCGTTGGCTAAAATAAATCCTGTATTCAAGCCTATCAGACATACTGTCTACATCACTACTGCCCTCCACCTAAGGTGCATGCATTAGATTGGTCTTGGTCCTGCAAACTGGGCGCAATAATCAATAGTCTGATGCTCCTCTGGCTCGTTCAGGCTTCAGGGCAGGTTTATCCAATCATCGTAGAGCTCACATAGCGGGCTTTCACACGCGGTCCGGCGAACGGAGACCGACCCTGTCGCTGGACATGTTTATAAGTCTTAAGTCCGAGAAGCGTGGCGCAGTATAAGACGAGGTTGCATTATACAAGATTATAGGTGTAGTTCGCGACAAAAGAGAGCAACAGATCGTCTGTAGAAGATAATACCGTCGGCATTTCGCGCAATACCATAGCAAAGATTGCTTTTTTATAAAAACACAAAATTTGCAAGTATCGAGGTCACTGGATGCAGCCTAACCCACGGCACACTACCCGGGGTTTTCTACAGAGATCTCAGAGTTTCTGATCGCAGGTGAAGTGTTAATATCGGTGAGGGTCTCCAAGTCTGGGCTGGAGCCGCAGATCTTATTCCCTGAAATTGACTGCTCACCGTGTAAGGGCGTTATGATTCTGGGTTCTGTCAGAACTGACAGATTACACCCTTCATAAATCGATCTAAGATGTGGTATCGTCCCTTTCTGGGCTGGATCCCCGACTCTGGGTGTGCGTCGAGTGTCGAACAACAAGACCAACACAATTATATTATGAAGTATTGATATCTTCGCTTGCTTGTTGTTATGACCTGCACGAAACACGTGCTTTGAGATGTTTTGTCGTTTCAGTCAAGGACAGAGAACAACCCGATACCGCAAAACCTGTATTCACAGCAAGGTACTTCCAACGCAGGAATCGTCAAACAAAACAATCTGGAAAATATAGAAGCGAGTTGTTTGGCTGTGCAAGGACCCGGCATGTCTTCTTGTACTATCTGGCCATGATATTGAGCTTGCGTTCTAAACCAAAGTAGATATTATACTGAAATTAGTATAGTTACAAACTATACAAGCAGTGCTCGATTTTATTGACCACCAACCAGTTTGCCGCCTACCGGATCCATATCTGCTTTCTCGTTTGCACTTCTCTCAACTATTGGCTGTAGTACTTCATTGGCCAGGTCATCACCCTCCTTAGTGAGAGCACTTGACTTCTCGAGGGTAGCAATTGCATTTTTGCATCGTTCAAGCAGCACCTCCTCATCTTCCAAGCCAACACTGAATCTTATTTGAGTAGGGTTCAGGCCATACGAGGCGTGATACTCAGGGTTCTCTTTCCCGTAAATCATCGCATTATAAGGTATGGTAATTGTAAGGTGCGCTCCGAGGTGAGGCCCCTGGTGGAAATCCAAATTGTTGTAAAAGACAATGCAATGGTCCAGGCTGTCAAACTCGATCGAGAAAAGGCAGCCGTAGCCAATTTGAGGAAATTCGGGAGTTGGTTTGCGCAAGAATGGTAGTAGATTATTAGACCCATCGGCGTAAGGAGGGTAGCAAACCTTGGTCAAGGGCACTTTCGGATCCTCTGCCAGACTTTGGAAGTAAGCGGTCAGAGTTGCTGCATTGCGATTGAGTATAGCAGAGCGAGGTAAGTAATCCTCACTATTCTTGAGAAGTTGGTTCGCATCGCCTGAGAACAACTCATTGTGGTGAGTCTTCGTGAATGTGCGTTTGAGAATTTCATAGCTGCTTTTGTTTGGATTGAGCACGACCGAGCCAGCTAAAAGGTCCGCGTAGCCAGACATGGACTTGCTCAAGGATGTAATTATCACGTCTGCGACAGGAAGTACGTCAATATTGCAGAAAGAGCCGACAGTATCGTCGACGGCAATCCAGAACCCATATTTGTCCGCCTGTCAAAAATTAGTTCATAGGTCGATGCTAGTGGTGTCGAAATCAATCTTACGAGCTTTCGCAGCCGGAGTAAATCTACGCTGACTAGAATAGGATTGGATGGAAACTCAGTGAAGACATAGCTACATTTTCCGCCTTGTTCTAGGTAGCTCTCGAATTCGGTGATATCGTGATCGTTACACTTGCCATAGTGTTTCAAGCCGCCGGGGCTTTCTTCGAAGAGATGCCAAGAGCTGTCTGTAGTCAAATCTAGTCAGAGACTTGATCTCACAAGAGGCAAAGTATCACTTACGGAAGACAGCACCAAAAACTGCCACTGGGTATGGTCGTTCCTGAACAGCAACCTCGTGAAATCGAGTGATACCCGCCATTCCAGTTTGGTAGAGGTACACATCTTGAGATTGTATGGATTTTGGATAGTTGTGGACAGTACCTCGCATCAGAAGGCCTGCTATGCGTTTGCGCAGCAATTCATGACTCTCTACCTCAGGGAGGTAAGTTGGCTCAGGAGGGTTGGTAACGTCAGGGAATTCACCAATGTAGTCAAGGGTATCGATCTTTGATAAGAGGTACTCTCCTAGACGAGTAGAGAACCCTAGCCCACCGTGCTGCCACATAAATATCGCACTCATCATTTTTGCGGAAGGGTATTCAACCAAGTAGAGCCGGATGCCATCGATATCAATGACATGATACTTCATCTCATCCTCTTTCAATGCCCTTTCTCTTCGGAACTTAGAGACAGCATGTTCTCTGTTAGTTTGCCAAATATCTGGAGAGACGAAACCGACGAGACCGTGGCCTTTGGGGACTTGAAGCTTAGTGCTGACATGTTGCAGAAGCTGTAAACTTTTGTCAGCTGTGTTGGCGGTACGTTCTCTGACTGTTTTACCATAGCAGAAGGTCCGAAGGGGAAAAAGCGAGGATACAAAGATTTCAATTGCCTGAATAAAGTCATGTCTCCCTCACGAAATCTCAAAGCCGACTCCCACTTCGGAGCGTGCAATGTCACCGTGTGTGGGCCCTCGGGAGGGAGCGAATGCCCGAATGGCGTTTTTATAGTAGCTGTCATGCTCGGAGAGTGATCAAATTCACAGTGGAAATTCTGTGTAGAAGCTGAAGTGTGTAATTAGGAATAAGTGGCTGTGTAAGGTGACATTAGGTCATATATACTCATTGATTGAGCAAAAGTCTCCGTACGTTAGATTAGTGCCTATGTATACGGAGAATTTAGAAGTTAGTACTTTGAAAGCTTACCACAAAGCTTCTAATAGATGAGATGAGACCAAATGATACTCAGAATAGTATGCTTGTAAAGATTATAGACAAAACCAAGACCAAATACTTTTCCCATTTTTGTATGATTTATTTCAACGGTATAGAAGCGATAGAGTCTTGGTGGGGTTTGTCCGGAGACTTTTGCTCACCTGTTGTACCAAAAAGGCCCAGCGCAGTGCATTCAGCCGCCTCTAACCTTAGGCTAGCCTGAGTCTCCTCACCCCCCAAAGCTAGCGATTCTGCCAGATGATGCATCATGATATGAAGGCTGTTGCTGATTTGGCTGTGCATTGGTATGAATTTCATCCAATCCAAGGAAATATACGGCCCTTGCTAAATGTGCTTATTTCTCTAAGCGCGCCTAAGTAGCAGTCTGATCTTTGCAATGATGCGGTTGCAACCAAGCAAGAACAGAATCAACAACTTGCGAGAACGCATGCGTCCATCCATGCCTGCGTGAAACTAATTTCTCATGTGACTACCCTGAAGGTCTGCGGCCCACACGGCAATGACAGTAGAGGGGGGAGTATCTGACGTAACTCACCATATGTGTAGCACTGGTTTGTACTGGCACATTATGTGGCAGAGTGACTGAGGCTCGAAAGCGCCCCTCCCCCCTAATATTAGTGCATCCCGATCCAACTCACAGCACATTGCTCATTGAACCGAGCCGTGCCAAGAAAACGTTCAGCGTTGCTGGGCACCAATTCTACGACTACTGTAAGTTAGTGTGTATCAAGTTCGTTGTTCTCCAGTGCGTCACATGTTGTAAGGTGCATTACAATGACACTACTAAATCTCAAAGCAATTTGTTCGTTCAAATACACACATGGTTCAGTGACTTGGTTATATGGTTAGGAAGACATCCTGTAGAGTAGTTATCTGTATCGGTGGTTCAATAGCGCAGACCAATAACTAAGCATATCAGCTTTGCTTAGTGCTAGCTTAACGATTCGACGTTAACATTGACTTGCGCATGTGCAACACTTTCCCCTGCTTCTCCAATTAACATTACAATACTAAAAACTACTTCCTCGCCAATGACTGATGAAGTTTGGCTACTTGCTAGAAAGGTCAACACGAGCAATCGCACCCCTTGCATCATCTAGACTACGTGGGACGAAAGAATCGCATGCCGGGACCCCGGCAATAACCAATGCCACCCGCGCGCAAGCCCGGCAGCAGGCGGATGAGAGGCGCGTGTGTACAATGTGCACGCAGGAAACGTAAGGTAATGCAAACCACCATTGTTGGAATCACACCGCACAGTCCCACTCCACTCATTCATGATGCTGACATGCCACGTTTTGTTCAAACCTCTAGTGTGACCACAAGCGCCCTCACTGTTCTCAATGTTTGAAGCATGGTGAAACGTGCGAGCCGCAAATCTTCAAATCGTGGAATGCTACGCTTTCACCTAGTGCTACAGCCCAGCAAACAGGACGGTCTGAATGGGAGCTCCCTCCACAAAATGACATCCAAGATGTCATTCAGAATGTTGACTCGGGCCTGAGTGGAGCACTCACTCCGGCCCCAAGTTCGGAGTCACCCACAGCAACTGTGCTCGAAAGCATCGGAGACATTGCGGATACTACTGTTCATCAGGAATCTGGAACAGACTGGCAAAGCCAACTGTCGTTCACCAACGAGCTGTTTGCTACGTCCTCGAACACTTTCATTCAGCCGATCGAAAACTTGTCGACCACCGATATTTCACTGATAGATCATGTCGTGGACCCTTTTTTTGCCGCCGCAGCAAGGCCTTATTCAGATTCCCTGATGCCCTCTGCGGCTGTAGCATCGGCTCCTACCTTGGCTCCAGGTCTTTTGTATTGCCCAATACCGTGGCCAGATGACATGCTGGCTTCGCCTAAACGACAATTCCTGTGGCAGTATTTCCTCCAATCTATAGAAGCCAACGGCTTGTGTGTTGATTGGGAGGACGTCGGGCATATGCCTGGTTTCCAGGACCCCTTTGTTGTCACCATACCTCATCTAGCCATTACTAACCCCGTCCTTCGGGAGGCTGTTCTGACATTTAGCATGTTCCAGTACAATGCGCTCCAAAACCAGCTGACGTTCGACCGGCTGATGGTGAATGCTTGGCGGAGCGCTTGTCAAGGACTGCGAGCTCAGCTGACTACATTACATGAAGAGGATGGATGGGGTGTTTTGTCCATGATATCTGCTTGTTGCCTATTGCACTGGTGTGCCCCAGATAAAAGGGAAGAGTTCCTCCGGCTTGCAGCCAAATTAGCGGTCATTTTCTTGAAGCGGTCACGATCTTCCACGAGTATTCCAAGTGTCTATCGCGAGTCAATTCTAACTAGTTTCCGTTGGACAACCATCTCAGCTCTCTGCTCGTTACAGCCGCCTTCGAGGGTTCTTAGCGATGAGGTATGCGACATTGTTGAACTGGACAGCCACGAGATTGTGCAAAACTATTCTTCGCCTTTCCAAAGTTGGATCAGTCACCCCATTTACGCCTTTTCGGCACGATTGGTGAACCCTTTGCTCAGAATAGGTCACTTAGCCGAGCTCCAATTATCACGACAGAGAGACAAGGAAGATATTCCAGACGAATCCCTGGAGCTGAGGATCGTCAATCTCGAGGAAACACTCCTCAGTGCGCGCGATACCGAGCTCGATGTTATCACATCGCCCACCGGGGCTACTGACCCACTGGCTGTGGCATCGCTTAATGAGGCAATGCATGCAGCTAGCGTCATACTCTTCTACACACGCTTCCGTGGTCTGCCTTTCACGGCGCCGTTAATTCGCCGGCAAGTCCAGATTGCTGTTAGTGAAATTTGTAAAACCCGCGTTGACTCACGGGTGTCGTACGCTGTGGTGTTCCCGCTATTCATTGCCGGATGCGAAGCAGTTGATTCCCAAGTCCGGGACATCATAGCCGATAGAATTCGTACACCTAAGGGTTTGTTTTTTGATCGTGGGGATATTGCAGCCGCGTTACGTCATATCTGGGAAATCAGGGATCTCCATCCGGGCTTGACCTGGCCTCATTGGGTTAACAAAGGTATGCGCCGAATCTGTCACTGACCAAACATTCTCCTTCAGTTATGTTTGGAGCAGTTTAAATTTTGGTGTTTCTATTGGTTGCAGGCTGACTGGAAAACTAGTTGAACCACAATTCAGGATTGGCAACTTGTTCTAGATGATTTGCAGTGATTGGTCCTTGGTTGAACATATATGTTGCTACGATTCGTAGGACAGCAGCGTTCATACTTCCTTGCGCCTGAAATACAAGCCGGATACTCTTCACTCTGCTGGAAAGAAAGGAGAAGAAATTTATCGAAAATAGACTGGAGGCTAGCTACGTGATCCGAAGTGCCTCGACCCGGCGGCTTTGCCTACGGGACCTGTCTTTACAAATTTAAATGAATACACTATTCAAGTATGAGCGACAGACTACTTGCGCAAGGAAAATGAAAGACGGGACACAGTAAGCTGACCCATAAAATGATATTACAAACTAATGTGAGACTGGTATAAGAGTGGAGTAGAGTCTACCTACAGCAGTGTGCGCTCTAGGTCAACAAACGTGGGCTGTCAATTCTGTAAAGGGAAGATATCTCTTAAAGAGTGATGGCATGCTAAAAAGCCTCGACTTCTCAAGCTTAGCGAACCGAACTTGCCAAGCAATATGTACCCTTCCGCCTATGAAACTGAATAGACTTATCATACGGGGGGAGGGGGAGTCTGAATTGTGGAACATATGGATGCCTACTCTCAGTATGCTGAAGTATAGAACAATTATAACAGCTAGATTTATCACGTGTAGCTTCGTGATAGGGCGCAACTCAGACTTGATTACTAACGTAGCTATTCACTAAGTGGAACAATTCTCTACACTATGACGAATGTATAGAGCAGACATAGGAAAGTACCATTTAAGTATCATGCGCACGAACATGTTTTTGTCTACACCGAAGACAAAAATGCCGAAGACTGGTCAATGGAACATTCATGGTGATTTAGATCCAAATAACGACTGGCATCTTAATTTCAGCTTCTCGCCTAATTTGCATATCTCATGGTTCTCGTCTTGTGTCTTGAATAAGAATTTTGAGAACAGCCATGTTTCATTTGCTCCATGCGGACGTCTCCTTTCTGCTTCAGTCAGAAACGGAATGGCCAAAAGTGGTGGAAAAATGACCGTATTGGGACGTGTGGGGAACGCTTATGTCCGCATGCCAAGAAATTATGGCGGAAGGGATCATGATTGGATGGTACACGACCAGAAGTGGGGTTAAGAGCTGTCTCGTTATACCCAGGTCGTGTTTGACCACTACCTAGCCCGGTGCAGCTGCAGTTGAGTCTCATGTAGATGCATCATAACATGGCAACGAGCATCAGCAATCCAAACTGTCCTCGGCCATGTCTTCGCTACTTTCTCGCTCCAGCTCGCGTGGGCCTTTGCCTGTAGACGAGACGTCTATGGTTCTACAGAACGGACGCTTCTTTTTGCCGCAGTCTGGCAGGAAGCATGAAGGCAGATTTGCAGACTGCATCGTGATAGATCAGACTGCCGGGAAGATTCTACATGTCGGATCAGATGGCGATCCAACGGTACAAGCGGCCAGAGCCGCGGGTGCCAAGACTCACGACATGAACGGTCGCGTTGTGCTTCCGGGCTTCGTGGACAGCCACATGCACCTGCTGATGACGGGCGAGTCAATGAGCAAGCTGGACATCGGGTCTTGTACCAACCTGGAAGAGATACAAAGCACCATTCGTGACTACGCCAGGGCAAACCCAAACCTGTCTCGTTTGCTCTGTCGCAACTGGTGGCAATCCTCTACGAATGGCGAAGCATTGGCGAAAGAGCTGGACGACCTAGATTCAAGACCGATATATATCGATGCCAATGATCTGCACTCGGTTTGGTGCAACACGGTCGCACTCGAAGAGCTGAAAGTGGACGACCTAGAAGATCCTCCAAATGGCCATATTCATCGCGATGAGAACGGCAGACCCAGCGGGCTCTTGTCGGAAAGCGCCGCTGTAACTATCGTTTGGCCATTCTTAAGTAAAGTTTCTACGACCGAGCAAAAGTTTGCCTTTCTGGACACGGCTTTCGAGGCCTATATCTCAGCCGGTTATACTGGTGTTGGGGAGATGGCAATGGAAGAGAGTCTCTGGGATCTTTTGACACTTTATGAGTCCCAAAAGGGGCCTCTTCCGCTCTGGGTCACAGCGTACTGGTTCATCATACCACAAGAATCTGGAGCAGATACTTTGAAGCAGGTGGAAAGGGCCATTGAGCTGTACAAAGAGTCTAATACCGGAGGCGGTTTTGATGGCGCCTCAAAGCGCAGGGTAGGAGGCATTAAGATAATATGCGACGGTGTAGTGGACGCCTGCACCGCAGCCCTTCGGGAACCCTACTCGCACGACAACAAGAATGCTGATCCGATGTGGACAGTGGAGAGCCTCACGCCAGTCTTGAAGCACGCGGATGCCGCGGGTCTGCAGTGTGCGATACATGCAATTGGCGATCAAGCCATAAAGGTCGCACTGGACTCTTTAGAACAAGTCGGCAACCCGTCGGGCCGCCATAGAATCGAGCATCTGGAGCTGTGCTCGCCTGAAGATGCAAAACGGCTGGGGCCGCTGGGCATCGTTGCTTCCGTACAGCCAGTACACAGTGACCCCGCCGGTCTGACTGCATGGCCAAAGCTGATCGGACCGGTACGGTGCAAGCATATCTTCCCATACGCCTCGTTCGCCGATTTCGGCGCCGTTCTGGCCATCAGCACCGATAGCCCAACGGCGCCGCACGATCCGTTGGCCAATATCTTTGTCGCAACTAATAGACGCTCAGCCCGAAAGCCGGACCTTGAGGATGTGGTGACACCACAGTTCGCATTAAAGCTTGCAGAGGCGGTGGCCGCAGCCACACAAGGTGCCGCTTATGCTTGCCGTGCGGATGCAAGTGTAGGGAAGCTCGAGCCAGGGCTTACCGCTGATTTGGTTGCGGTGGATATGGAATGGGATCACACGAAACTCTTGCGCGCAAAGGTCGCGGAGACCTGGTCGCGTGGGCAAAAAGTATTCGACGCGGCGGAACTCAGATGCCGAATCTAGGGATAAACGCAGCGTGGACTGTAATCGACTCTTCTTTCACTTGTATAATCTCTATCGCGGTTCTTGCAAACCCATACATTTACCATTTTTCATATTATAGCCACCACAAGTACTCTACTGTTCTTTCTCAAGGATCCTAGACTTTCACCCCGATCCAGTCGAGTATGACACAAATTTGTCTACATAAAGCTCAAACTAGGATCTTGCAGATTTCCGCGTTGGCGTGAATACCGAGGAGCAGACTCTGACGCGATATGTAGACATACTATGCTTCAGCCCGCTCAGAAAAATAAACAATATCTTTATCGATTCCTATGACTCCGCGTGGACTTGCCTTCTCGGGGCATGACAACCTGTGACATCGTTTTTGACATCCAGCCATTACAAAGAATGCACGCGGTTCATAAAATGGCGGGTGTACGTGTTAGTTGTTATGGCCGTACTGTAGTGGGGATACCCGGAACAGATTCTCGAATTCAGGACTGTTTGATGCGAACTCGATTGGGAAGAGTTGCCGCAAACGGCTCCTCTCGGCTGTCGGCTTACTACAACAGAATCGCTTCAAGGCCAAGGAACCTTGTAAATGTATCGGCACGCGAATGTAAACCTACTGAAGGACTTATGTCCAGAGATATGCCGGCTCTTCGGGAAGACCATAGCTGTTAGAGCCAGCGGGTCAAAAGAGATACCATGGTAATACTGAATAAGCAGCGCACGTAAAAGCTTGAAACGAACCATGTTATCCGGTAAGTATTCATCTATCGTGCCGTAGATGCTGTGATGGATGCCTATATTTACCTCAGTTGATCACATTAATCTCATTCTAATCACCAAAAACATGATAGCGTTACTCCCGTGTTCGTCTTGAAACTTTAGTCATGAACACGAGGGTGAGATCATATGTTCCTATAACATAAAGTAATATATATGCCACCTGAGGCAAAAAAAATCTACTTGTCCTACGTGCAGCCACATTAGTCCTGATTCTTGCCTAAGCTGCATCAAGACGTCCTCTCTCCGGGGCCGATCAACGGATATTGCTCTGTGAAACATTTCTGATCGTAAATATGTTTACGCCCACACCGACGGAATTGAACCAGAAATGGCTCTGCAACACTGAAACCCCGACCCAATATATCCTCAAAATATTGACCACAAAGTTTGAAATGTGTGTATCAGCGACGAACGCCAGTGACTCCATCACACAGCCCGCGGTAGAACGGAGCAAGCCCAACCCGCCATTTCTTGCCCCAGACGAGGAACGGAATACAGAACAGTGACACGCCGAGCGAGATGAGGCCAGCCGTGATAAACATATTGCTAACACTCATGGCCGCGAGCCAAGGTGTGATGCAGAACGGCCCGGGAATGCTGATCGAGTTGCGGATAAAGGTGATGAGCACAAATGCCTCCGAGACGAGCTTTTCGATAGGACTTGTGATTAGCTGCACGACAGCAGAACTGGAGAGGAGAGAAAATTGCGTGAGAACTACTTAGGTGGGCACAATATGGCATACCTCGGGATATGTGTCCAGGATCATGGTGAAGCAAATATCGCCGCTCGCACCCATGCCGAAACCGAAGAAGCCGGCGCCTATGCTGGGATATATCCAGTGCCACCCCTGCCCGATCGAGAATTGTCAGCACATTCAAATGGAGCGTGGTCATGCAACGAAAGGAAGCAACATAGCTACCTTGTCTGCCGTGATCCCAAACATGATCAAGCCGCCGGCCATGACAAGAGCCTGGAAAGGGAAGAGATAAAGCCTCATCTCCGGCTCGTAGACGCCACCGTTGCGCCTGGCGAAGTAAACAGCGGCTCTGTCCAGGAGCGGGCCGCCGTAGATGCTGCCGAATATCGAACCGATGAAAGGGCCGGCGAACATGTACCCGAGCCCGGCCGAATCGAAGCTATACGGCGGCGCGGCAAAGATTATGGAGATCATGGAGGAGACCACCACGAGCCAGCACACCGCTTGTGCGAACTGTACGGCCGAGAACACGACGTGCGGCAGGCACACGGTGTACAGTGGGTAGTATGCGGTTTTGAGGAGCGGCTCGCCCGTCGGCGTGACAAATCGGAGGCGCTGCCGCCACGAATTGGGGCGCGGAAGCGCCATTCCCACCGCATGCGATGATACGCGGGCGGCTAGGAGCTCCGGGTCCGCATTTAGGGCTATCTTGATATCTTTCTCGTTCGTATTCGGTCGGGCGCTGTTTGGAGTGTACTGCGACTCTGCGGGTATCTGGACTCTGCCTCCTGTATCACTATCATTGGTGAGTGGGACGTATTTGGTCTCCTCGAACAGAGGAACGAAGGCGACCGTGAGTAGGGTAAGTATTATGGCTAGTGCGAAGTATGAGTCCCGCCAGCCAGTAATAGACGCTTGGTATCCCGCGATCATCGGCGTGAGGAAGCTGCCCATCATGACGGCGACGAAGTACACGGCATTGGCCGATGCTCTTTGATGGAGGAAAAACAAATCCGTTATCTGTCTCTCGAAGAATTAGCAAGAGTGTCAAGATGTCTTGCAGTGGTGCCTGAAGCATCACGTACACTCATCTGCACCACAGTCTCATTTGGAGCACCTGCAAGGCCAAACAGTAAGGAGGTTATGTAGAGCTCAACACGGCTCTTCATGTACGCCGCCCACCAACACGATGCTGCCAGTAAAGCTGTCGAGAAAATATATGTGGAACGGCGGCCGTACTTCCTGGTAAAGGGGATGACGAAGATGCAGCCGACAGCCAGACCGACAAGTTGCACAGCCTGCGCATTGGTCAAGTCTGCGTAGTCGACATCCATCTCCGCAAGCATCTGGGTCCAAAAAGTTGTTTGTATGGATAGTCTTTATCACATGAATTGTGGTCAGTGCCTGGCGAGCTGGGCACAAGAGAGGGAAGAGAGAAGTGACACTAACAATGTAAACTCGGCTATGCTGACGGCTGTGACGAGCCCGTAGTGAAACGATTTCCGCCATTTTGACCATCTCTGACCAAAATCTGTTAGCTCTGAATCACTATCAGAAAGCAGAAATGTACAAGGCTAATTACTCACCAGCGGATCGTTGACATCGTCAGATGGTGTAGGTAGCAGTATGATCTCTTCTTCGTTTGTGACATCTCGATGTACTTGGTGCCTGTCAGCTTTTATCGTTGGGTCTTCCTTATTCTCAAGGATGGCGACGTTTTTCCTATCACGACCCAGGGCTTACATTCAAGAAGGAGAACAGTTCCGGGGGGTGGATCTAGTTCAACTGGCATATTGAAAAGTTGCAATAGTCCAGCTCAGAGTAGTAATTTTGTTGATTTCTTTAAAGCCTTTTTAGACCGACGGTTACGGTTGATATTCAAGAAGCTATCGTCTACGTCAAAGACAAGCGATGGCATAGGTATATATCATTGGTTCAAAGCGTACCAGGCAATCAGTTTCAAGTACAGGTTATACCACAGCCGGCAGTGCAGGCACATAGTGTGGCTCTTATCTCGCCGGCGGCACATGGTCCATATCACAGCCCGGAGATATTCTGTCTTCTGATGTTCTTTGCCACGATAGATTGAACCATACAGGGGTTGGTCGACTTCACTGAAGGCCGGGGTAATTGGGAAGTTGCAACCAGTCTAGGACGGTTTTGGTCAAATTGCCGCAACTTCCATTGGGCATGTATATGACAGCCATCAACATATCCAGTCCACTTGTGTCAATGAGCAAAGTTTGAACTATTGATATCTAATAATATGTACATGAATTTTGCAATGCATGTCCAGTCGCTCTGCTACGGTAAAGCATTCTTGAGTACTCCTCTAGCAGCGCAAGCAACATTTGCTTTCAAGAAGCTCTCCACTGGTCATACTGCATGGAAAATGTTACCTAAGATGAGAGGTATACATCTGAAAATGCTAAGATTCACTCTCGACAACTGTCCTTTCGATATACACGGAGTCTGAGGAACTTCATCCTGTAGGTTGGTAGGCCGCTATAAACAATACACGCCAAGCTCATGGCAACCCAGCATTTCTGGCGTGGTACTATATACCCAATGTAGCGCGTATTAGATCACCAGAGCTGGCGGTCCCGTCCCTCGAAGCCAAAGTTCAGACCTACTGCAATGAACAATGCTACACACAGAACCGTGGGTCCCCATCGATCATAGTACTTGATCACCTTGCGCTCCCTTATAGCGCCGCTACGGTACAGATAAATACCAACGGAGTAGCATAGCGCGACAATAGCAAGCACCGTGAAAACACCCGAGACAATGAAGGACGTCATAGTAGGCTTGGTGCCAAAGTTTAGTAGAGTGACAGCAATGGCGCCAATATATATCGAGAATTCGAGCTGGTCAAAGCGGTTAGTGGCAGTGGATTGAGCATAGAGATATGACTTACCCAGCCAAGGAATGTTCTTTCCGCTGCAAAGTACACCTTGGGCTCAACTCTAATTGGGACGTATATCTTCTTCCCCTTTGGTGCCTTGTACTTCCTTGTTTGGAGTTCCTGGCCGCCAAAGAACATGATTTGACGATTGCTTGGGCCAATAGCTGACCCGCGTGGGTGGGGGGTGATGGCATGGAGGACACGTGACAGACCCTTGCCTGCTGAGTTTGCATAGCTCTCGGCAAGTTTAGAATAGTATGTCCAGCCGCCCACTCTCCTCGCCTCTTCAAGTGCGTCATCTGGGTCAGTCTCGTCATCGGAGTCATATATAGGATAGTCGTCGCTAGCCAGTATATCCGTGGCCGTTTGGTTCTCCAGGTCCGCCAGGGCAGGGGTTCGGCCCCCGTTAGCAGCAGACTGCCCTTGCGAATGGCCGTTGCGAGAACTATGAGCGTCTTCCTCCTCCACGTCCGAATCGATATCATCATCATCTTCCTCGTCATCAGAGGTTGTACCACTAGCGGACAGCCCTGGCCGCCGAATACCGAAGTCCTGGGTTCTAGGCTTGCGAATGTCTACATCCATCTGGGGGAACCAGTAAGGTAGCAAATGAATGCGATCAGGGAAGAGAGTTGCACAGCCATGAATGAATTTGGAGAATTTCGGAACCGCCTCGACCAAATGACTTCCGATGAGTTGGCGAACCCACTCAGGGGGCTCTTGTCCATGCTGCGTCTGGAGCTTGACCTCAAGGACAGCGTATGGAAAACGCTCGACATCGCCAGGAGGCAATTGGGAGAAGGGGTAGTCGACACCGATATCCATACGCCGCCAGTTGTCACCAGATCGCTTGACCCCATCCAGGTTATCTTCACGCACCATAGTCAACTCCGTGTCTAGAGAGATACGGACACGAGCGTCTGCTGGTAGCTGGAAGGCGGTACGGTTGTAAAATGATCTGCAGACGGGCTTGTAGCCCTTCTTCAAGACAGACCACTGGACCTCCTGTGCGAGCTTCTCGTCTTCAGCAATCTGCTTTTCTGACTTCTTGCCCTCCTTACGAGCCTTCTCAAAGATAGCCCTGGGGAGAAGATCACCTCGCATATAAGCGTTGACGTTCTTTTCCTTTATGCCGAAACGTGCCTTGACAGAACTTTCACCCGTCCAATCCTCACGATGCGTTTTTCTCTCCACAAAAATCTGATCAGTCTGCATGCCACCATACCATCGCAGTCGAATGGCCTCGGCTCCTTCTGTCTTCTTCAAACGACCTTCATATAGGTCCCAGGTCTCAGGGTTGTCGTAATATATGGAGGTAATGGCGGCATCTTCGGCTTCGAACTCCTTCTTGGGATTGAACACAAGCACTGGGAGATGCTTGAGGATGATGAGCTTGAGCTCGGTAATGTTTTCCTTGTGCACCCAATATTTGGTGGTCTGCCGAACGAAGCTGCCCTGACTTCCTCCAGCGGCGCTGTCACCTTTTACGGGGTTACCCCGGGTGCGAACGATGTCGTACATCCTTGACAGCTTCACAACGTCTTTATCGTAGTCTTCCTTGAAGAAGGCCTTTTGGCTCATCATGACACCCCAGATTGGTTTCAGATGCTGATCAGTAAGCTTATCGTGCTTTTTAATGATCTTGAGGAAGCCCGTGTAGTTGACCTGGACGAACTTGGCAAGATCGTGAACATCGGCAATGATGTCACTCAAAAACTCCTCTCTCGCGATGAATTCCTCCTCGCTCGGACCTGGCTCATTGGGTCCGCGCTCATTCATTCTCTTGACCAGATCGTCGACCTCTTTCTGCTCCCACATTATGCGACGCTGGATCTCCGAGGTCTTGACCTGGGTCTTGCGGTAGACCTTCTCGAGCTGCTCGTCGAGCTGCCTCACGAATTCGACCTCATCGTCGTTACTCCAGGTCGGGGAGGTGCTTGAGGACTCAGCATCGGCAGGTTGGGCAGCGGCCTTCTTCAGGGACTGCTTGAGGGCATCGTAGTCGATGTAGTACCATTGGTACTCGGAAATAATGCTCGAGCGGAGCTGCTCGCCGAACTTCATGACGACGGTGCCGGGGTGGGCGCGCCAATTGCGAGGAGGTTTTCCGCCCGGAGTCGAGATCCAAAATTTGGTGTTATTTCGTATATCTTCTACAATCAGCATATGGCGGCCATTGACGATGGGTCAATCAATGTCAGGGTACGTGGGTACATGTGCAATTGCAATTGCACAGCAATGACGCAACAAACAGAGGAACGTGGAACGCGAGACGAGACAAAAAGTCAGTCAGTCAGTTTAGGATGGACGGGCGTACATTGATTTGAGTTTGGAGACAAGCTTCGGGGACGGCAGTAGGGAAGATGTCGAGAACAACTCAGTCTGGTAGGCGACGTTTTCGGCAGCTCTGAACAATCGAATGAGGCTTGCAGATAATGATAACCGACAAATAATAACAGAGAGCCGGAGACGTTTTACGAGAATGATGTATCCATGCAGACTGCCGACTCCACGCCATGGCCAATGGCCCAATGGGCCCATGCAGACCTCGACCATGAGCATGAGCATGAGCTGAGGCTTGAGCTCCTCCCACCCCCTAGGTTAGACTCTCGCTAGCCCCACGGTAGCCCCACGAACAAACAGGCCTCCATTGGCCAATCGAAGTCGCGGCATTCTAGCACGTGGTCGCGGGTAGAGACATGGAAAGCAACGTCAACCCCCACCTAGTCACACAGTACGGATGAAGTAATACAGTGATATCTTTTTGGGGGCGTACTTCGCCGAAACATTTTGCAGCGTGCAGCGCATGTGCTTCCCGCGCTGCCCATGCATTGTCCAACGACTAACATTTCTCCCGGCTGTCACCTTAAGACTGTCCAGAGTGCTCCGGCCGTGTAATTGTGGACTCTGAACCGGCCACCATCTCCCTAGTCCCCCGACCGATGGACGGATTGGCCCCGTAAAAGAATAATTATTTTCAAGAACTACCCCGCAGCCCCTCCGTCCCCGAGTATGCAATTCTTTTTGATTAATGGGCGATGATGGTCTGGTATTACATGCAGATCCTGGGTTAATACGTGCCATTACAGCTGAAAGGTGCTCTTTTTTTTTTAATACACAGAAGAAAAGAAAAATAAAAATAAAAAAAACAATCGACCATAGCGCATCTCGTTCGAGACCCTCTACCCGCCCATCATGGCAGACTCGAAATACTCCCACGACACGCGCATCCCCTCGACCTGCCCCCCATCGATCGCGCCCATCCTGAACCATGCCTGGAACCACGACCTGGCTTCCCTGAGACCGCTCCTCGACGTCCCCGGGCGCGCCAGCGTCCAAGAACCCACGACCGGCGAGACGCCCCTGCACGCCGCCATCCGCAACTCCTGCGGCGCCCCCCTCGACAAGGTCAAGGCAGTGCTCGAGGAGCTTTTCTTCAGCGGCGCCATATGGAACGATGTCGACTCCAACAACGAGACCCCCGGCGATCTGGCCGCCCGCTTGAGCCAGCCCGAGCTGTACCAGATGTGCGTCGAGGCCGGCGTGCGGGCCGAGCTGCTGTTCGGGCTTCTCGAAGGGTATGAGGACCTGCCTTCCGAGGCCGAAGACGAAGGCCAAGACGACGAGGAGATGGACGAGTTCGTCGTTGTCGAGAACGACACTGGCGCAGTAGAAGAGGACGGCGACGAGGCACCCGAGCTTGTTTCCACCGAAGAAGCAAGAGAGCCAGAGAAGGAGGCGGAAGTAGAGGAGAAAGAAGAAGAAGAAGAGGAGGAAGAGGAAGAGACAGAGATAGTCGAAACGAATCCCGACCGAGCTTTCCAACCGCCGAAACCCGTGACCAGTGATGATCAAGTCAACTCCGAGGAGTACCTGCGCTCGAACCTCACGTACACGGACGGAAAACTGGTTGACTCCTCCTTGAACGGTGTTATGATGGCCTGGGAAACCGAGATCATGCGAGCATCCGTCGACACACTGCTTCCGGGCCTGGCGGCCGGAAAGAAGATCCTGAACATTGGCTTTGGCATGGGCATTATTGACGCCATGTTCGCCGAGACTCGTCCCTCGAAACACCACATCATTGAGGCACATCCCGAGGTCATGGAGCATATCAATGGGCCTGATTCCAAGTTTGGTGCAGACTGGGCGGCACGCGGTGCCGAGGAGGGCGCATATCGGGTTCACCAAGGGCGATGGCAAGACGTAATCCCCCAGCTCTTGGAGGCCGGAGAGACATACGATGCCATTTACTTCGACACTTTTGGTGAGGACTATTCGCAGCTGCGTATGTTCTTCACGGAATTTGTGCCAGGACTCATGGAAGAGGATGGCCGGTTTGGCTTCTTCAACGGTCTTGGCGCTGATAGACAAATCTGCTACGACGTTTACACAAAGGTCGTCGAAATGCACCTTTCTGATGCTGGTCTCGATGTAGAATGGCAAGAGATGCAGGTCGACATGAAAGGCTTGGAAAAAGAGGGGGAGGGGGGTTGGGAAGGAGTCAAGAGGAGATATTGGACGCTCAACAGTAAGTCATTGTGCATTTCTTTTTTTTGGTTTTATTTGTGGCCTGGCTAACCTGAGTCCAGTGTACCGTCTACCCACTTGCACCTTTATGGGTTGATCCGTGTCCAACGTCTATCTTGAGAACATAGCAATAGAACCATTCCCAGCAATGACTGAGGTGTATTCGGTTCCTGCCTAAAGCCGGTCTTCACGCTATGGCCTTATCTGAAGTTCTCTGGGTGAAGAATACCAGCCAGGTTGCCAGCCTCAACTCTCTTCAGAGTCAATGCAGCAATAAGCGCAGCACCCACACCGCTACCGTCCTCGGCGGCCAGGATTTCGATAGGGTCCTCCTCCCTAGCACTCTTCTTGGTGGGCCAGTCAAGAATCTCCTTGAGCGCTTGAGCACCACGGGCCTTGAAGTGGGGGTACTTGTTGAAGACGGAACCGTCCGCACCGACATGGCAAGGCTGGAAGTTCTTCTTCTTGCAAATGGCTGCAACACCGCATGCAGAGAGTCGGGCAGCACGTGTACCAATCAGCTCGGCAGTGCGGCGGATGAGCTCGAGCTCGGGACGGGTGGCTGAAACGTTGAGCTTATCAGAGAGCAGATCAGCAGTCTCTTGCAAGTTCTCGAAAGGATCACTAGATAGTGTCAGCTAATAGAAAGTGCCCAAGCTCAAGTCACAAATCACTTACTCCTCGATAGCAGAAAGGAAAGAAGCATCCAAACTGTATGGTCTTCGGAGCTTCTTGATGTCCTGACCCTCAAAGATGTGGACCTCCTTGTTGTCGTGTAGATCCACCAGGACCAGTCGGAAGATCTCGCCCAGGTAAAGTCCAGCGATCATCTTCTCAAAGGCCTGTTGACCCGGTCGCGGAGACTCTTTGTCGATAATGATGTCGTAGGGAGTTCGTGGCAGGACCTTGTGCTGGTTATCGAAAGCACCCCACTCACAGTTGATGGCCATCGGACAATCTGCTGGCAAGTTCATGTGGGCTAGTTTGGGGATTGAGCCACAGTTCTCCATGTAAGCTGCATTGCATCCAGTACCGAAGATACAGCCAATCTTCATTTTGGTATCTGTGTATGCCGAAGCAATCAGGGTTCCGGTTGTATCATTGATCAAAGCGGAAACCTTGATGGGAACTCCTCGCGCGTTGAGGGCAGCCTCAAGCATAGGAACGACATTGTGACCTTCAACACCATCGATGTCGAATCCCTTGGTCCATCGTTGCAGGATACCTTCGTCAACGTAGTTCTGTGTGGCTGGGTAAGAGAAAGTGAAACCGAGGGGAATTTTAGCCGTATCCGGGGGAAGCTCTCCGTGGTGAGTGTCGATGAACTGTTGCAGGCAGTCGGCGATGTACTCCCAGAGTTCCTCAGACTCGCCTGTCTTCAATTCCTCCGGCATTCGGTACTTTGACTGAATGATGTCGAACTCCGACTTGTTATCCGTCAGAGTGATTTCACAAACACGCAAGTTTGTACCACCCATGTCTAAAGCAAGATATGTACCAGTCTCGTAGCCATCAGGGTAAGCCATGACCCAAGTTGGATTCATGGGCTACAAATCAATTAGCAAACAGACCACAAGCGCGCTGTCACAATTCACAGAAGCTGGCAACCTACAATGTCACCGCCCTCGACGGTCAAACCTGAACATTGTTAGCTTGACTACGTCAATCTGCTTTGCAGGAACTTACCCCTCTCGAGCTCCGAAACAAATTGGTCGGTGATCTGCTTCAGCTTAGATGTGTCGATAGTAAAGTGCTGCTCAAGCTTCTTGATCTCTTGCAGCAAGTCCTTGGGGACATCTGCCATCGATCCTGTGATACTCATTGTGTTAGTGGTTGGGTTTCAAGACAGCAGCGTTGTGAACAACCATGATGATAGGTGTGTCTTCTTGTTGTGGGACCACGAGCAGATTCCCATTTCCAGAGGCTGTGTGGACTGGTATTATACGAATCGCGAAGGCGCGTCAACTGAGGCTGTTGCCGTGTTGACCGTGCCGGAGGGGGCGGGGCAGGCATAGGGAATAGTGAATAAGAATGTTTGCTCTAAAGACGAGTTGCTCATCTGATTGGCAGGTACGCAAGCGAGGTAGTCGATACAATGGTTAACGGAGGGCAGCGAACTTCAAGGTCGGGGTGATTTTGTGTGTGAATGGGGAACGTATCCCTGAGGAGTCTGGACCCTTATCATCTCGACTTTATATGCAGGTCCAGCCCAGGTCTTCCCAGCCGTATGAAACAAGATCGAATCACGATATGGCATGCTCGCGGTAGGTGCACCTGCCATACTGGCGTAAAGGAGGGTTAAACAACACCATACATGACTGACTCCAAGTATGGCATCCCCCAGGCTCTCGGAAGCAAGATGCGGCTTGCACGGTACCACCCGGAGGGAAAGCTCCTTGGACCCATTGAACGGTCTCTAACCCACGATCCCACAGTTCTTCCAAGAGGTATATAAAGCTCTGTCTGCACCATACCGAAGAACCAATATCACAGAATGGGACAAAAGGGGTAAGGTGGGTTCATTGCGGTATCTAAGCAAGACACCATTGTACTTACCCTTACGGGATGGTGGCTTGCGAGGACCTAGGCCAACCATTATGCTGATTTATTTGTGTAACAGCGGGATATGTAGAACTTGGTCAAGTCAGTCAAACGTTTAGAGGAGAATTGTGCATGACGCAAGTCTCAGGGTAGGTACCCACCAAAGGTCTAGGCTGTTGGTATAGGGAGTGTGGACAAGATGAACAATTCACAATAAGATTTCTACTTAGAAGAAGCAGAAGAGAAAGCTATCTTGATTTTTCAAGCAAAGGTTTGAGCAAAAGGGCCTCTGGTCAGCGTGTAGTTGAGTTTTCGGAGTGGGATGATGTTGGGTGAGCTGGATTTTTGGTGAGGGGTCGCTGATAGTATTAAGGTAAGGTTGGCTAAAACGCTGTGTCAGTCCAAGCTATTAGCTCCCGAGTAGACCTTTTAGGTAAGTACATCACAGATCCGTGTAGAGCACGCCCAGGAACAGCATCATAGCCTTAGCAATTGACCTTTACTAAGTCATTCCAAGGGTAAGACGGCCCTATTGGAGCCTTGTTAGTGGGGTTCCTAAACGTTCTAGGCTCCTACGGCGGTGTAAAGGGGCATTCATCCATGTTGGCTGGTTGGTTGTCCAAGGGCTTCTCCCCCGGCGACGCTGCTACGTCAGTCAGGGTACGTTACGAGACTGTCCACAAGCTGAAGATACTGAGAGTCCGGTGGAACAGCCGGATCATGTACTGTTCGCGAATGTAAACAACAAAACATTCCTTGACTTTTCTTGTTAGCCGGTTAACGCACATGCTGGTGGCAACTGTACTTTCTTTCATTGGTCTTCTTGACTGAAGTCTGAATCTGCTCAAAATCCGTGACCACAATGGACGTCTCAATCTTTCACATATGAATGCCCCGCGGCGCGGAATTCGACGCAGTTGGAACGTGTGACGACACATCCGCTGGCATCCGCCCCTACCCCCCTGCTCCGCGGCTGATGAATGTGGGGGTTTACCGTTATCGATAATTGATTCACCTTGCCAGATGGAGCTTAGTGCTAAACCCTCAAACAGCTTATCGGAACAAACTAATTCCCGCCTCTTTGCTAGTAGAAGCAACGTAAGCTCTTTGGTTTAGGACAGCTGTATCTGTAATATGGTGAATGCAGCTGTCTCGAAGCCAGTTCGCCAAGACATTGGAAAGACAACCACAAATTGTTCACAACACCATTGTCGTGAACCCAATTTCGTTTCTTTCATACCAATCGCTAGAATTCGGAGTCGCTCATGATCGAGCACTCCCTGCGGTAAGGTTTTCATCATGAAGTCGGTCGCAGCTTTCGCGGTCGCGTTTCTCTCCCTGCTTTCATCTACCACAGCCGACGCCAACGCTGCTGGCCCGTCAGTGTCGAAAGTCACTTTGCCCTCAACCTTTAAGCCTGTGCCGGCCTTTCAGAATGCGAATTTGGTTCATGTCATTTCTCTGGAGAAGAACTACGCCAAAGAGTCCATCAACGTTGTGATCGAAAATGTCTCCAAGGAGCCCCAAAGTGAATACTTCCTGCCATTCACTGGCGAGCAAATGGAGAAGATTGGCGGACTCGAAGTAAAGGACCGCAAGGATACCACAAACAGAGGCTTCAAGATTGACGCCGTAGAATTTGACCCCTTGAGGTATGACGAGCTCCCATTCACTACAGCTATCATAGCTCACAGACCCCCAGCGACATACAGTACTTCCGAATCCAATTACCCAAGGCGCTCGAGCCTAAGGCTCAGCAAACCCTCGGCATCACTTACTACGTTCTCAAGGCTTACACTCCTCTCCCGGCCACCATCGAACAAACTGAAAAGCAGTACCTCGTTTACCCCTTCTCAGCATATGCTCAGTCAGCCTATCCCACCTTGAAGCAGAAGACCGAGGTCAAATTCCCTACAACCGACATTCCCGACTATACAAAGATTGCAGGCAGTGGAGATATCAAGGAGTTCCCAGAGAAGCAAGGCTCCAAGCTGACATATGGCCCCTTTCCAGAGGTTCCAGCCGGCGCGGTCTCTCCGGTCTTGGTCCGTTTTGAATTTACAAAGCCTGTTACGCACGTCTCCCACTTGGAGCGAGACGTGGAGGTCAGCCATTGGGGTGGAAATGTTGCCTTTGAAGAGCGTTACACCCTCTACCACCGTGGAGCCAACTTATCCACGCTCTTTAACCGGGTCAAGTGGGCTCAGTCGCAGTACTTCAACCCCCAGAGTTATGCCTTGAAGGAGATCAAGTTCAGTCTGCAGGGCGGAAGCAAGGATGCCTACTTCACGGATGTTATTGGCAACGTCTCTACATCTCGATTCCGCACAAACAGACGCGAGGCCTCCCTCGAGATCAAGCCTCGATACCCCATCTTCGGTGGTTGGAAATACCCATTTACCATTGGCTGGAACTCCGACTCCAAGACCTACCTGAAGAAGAAATCTGGTGACGGCTATCTCCTCAAGGTTCCATTCCTTGAGGGCCCTAAGCAGGCAGAGGGCGTGGAATATGAGCAGATCTACCTGCGAGTTCTTCTGCCTGAAGGCGCTGAGTGAGTTGTCCCCATGCCAAATTATGACAATATACTAATCCTGACTACAGGAACGTCAAATACTATACCTCTATCCCTGAGTCATCCATTACTGAGTCTACTGTCGACCGCCAGAAGACATATCTAGATACCCTTGGCCGCACGGTCCTAACGATCAAGGCTCGCAACGTCCCCGATGATTTCAGAGAGCGTGAGTTGTATGTTTCGTACGACTACTCATTCATTGCAAGTCTCCGGAAGCCTTTTGTCATCTTCGGAAGTGTTATGGCTGTGTTTGTCGGAACGTGGTTGCTCTCTCAGATCGAGGTTAAGATCTCAAGTAAATAAAACAAACGGTGGAGATCTGTAACTGTATGTAACGGTACGAAAATGGCAATGCTTTCTTGATACCCAGCAGTAGGGTTAGAAAATAGAGGCCGAATGAAATGATGATTTAGTCCTGCTTCACTTGTATGCGCTACAAACCATGACACCTTTTCTTGATCTCTCTATAGTACATTAACCTACTAAAATCTGCATATTTGGTTGCGTCGGACATTACTGTGTCGGACTTCAAAATATCCAGCCGTGCAGACTGACGAATGGAGATAAGTGATTACATATATGACATGTAGCGACTTGTCGTGCTATCAGACCATGCGGAAAACGAGGAAGGGTCACCAAAGGCCAAGACGTAAGACCAACACCCGGGTGCAGGGTCCAAGGGTCTCACACCAGTATTGTAGCAACCCCACCTCCGCCAGATCTCATTGCCGCAGAACTTTGAATCTGCACGTTGACGTCGTCAACATCATGAAGGTCGCTTGCAGGGATCTGATTGATGCATAATCCTGAAGCTCATCTTGCGAGCAATATTTTCTGACAAGATGATAACCAGAAGCTGGCCACTGAGTTTGCAACAATTCTACTGTGCTATGGAATCAATCTATAGGTTATCAAGACAGCCTCCTAGGGAGCCAAGGTTTTGGGAATTGGTAGATCGTACTCAAGCAATAAAACTATAAATTACCTAGAAGACAATTTCTGATTACACGAGAGACCAGACAAGCCAGATCGCCATAAGTAAAGATCCCAAGGTTATATTTCCACTACCATTGTTAAGTGGGCCGTAGAATGTGGTGTACTGTTCAAGGTCCTTGCTCACACCTTTAACTACTTAGTGGCAGGGGTCACAACTTGGAACTTACCCTCGCTTGAGTCGTCGATCTGTTAGTTTTCTGCCAAGTATGAAACCTCAGGGTTTTCGTCCAAGGTTAAATCTGATGCCTCCTTCTAGGCTTATACGAGGGATGATGCAGCAATCCTGCTCAGAATGAAGCGAGGAGGCCCCGGACTGTCACAGGGTACGATATCATTTCTGAGCACAGTTCAAACTAATAAATACCCAGCAATTTCCACTTGTCTCGCTCTATGCGCTTTCAATCATTCATACTTTATTCTATTATACTGCAAGATCATCAAGCCGAGAGCCAATTGTTGTAATATCCTTGCTCTATTGACTCATCTGTAACAAGCACCAATAAAAACGGCTCGAAGATCTACAAATCCACAAATGCCTTACAAGACAACCCTAACATCACGCACTGTCGTCTCTACCACTTCCAACAACACCATGTGCTTCGGATCAGGCCAGCCTAAGAAGCAATATTACTATCAACAGGAGCTCACTCCTGTGCGAAAGCATCATCACCACCACCACCATCATTCTCCTCGTGTCAGCCACGTATCACATGTGTCGCATAGCCCACGCGTATCTACGAGTAGTTACAGACGAAGCGGCCCGGTTGTCTACCAAGAGAGCACGAGCCGGACAAGATACTACTGAGCTAGCTCATCGGGTATATGCCAACATACCGCGAACCCAGGGAGTTCTATGAAGTGCCGCTATGCCGCCTCGGAGACGCACTTGAACGGTGCGTTCGGAGCATACGGAGCGGGTCGTTGGTTATGACCCTTCCTATATAACGATGACTTCATAAAAGGAAGAGCGCCCAAACGCCTTTAGAAGATTCACTTTTCCAGGGTAATTTTCATATCCATAGCGACACCAGGGGCGTAGGTTTTGCATTCATATTATCATGTCAATGGAAAGCATTTGGCGATCACGGGATTGTATCAAGGTTTCCAGAAGTCGCAGCGTCATAGGGGACATGGCAGAGATATGGTGGGGTTCAGTTCCAGATTCCTGATCGCGGGCGCATTGGCCCGGCGGGGTGACAGCTCTGGATGGGAGAACGCCAAAAATCGATAGTTTGCGAAATATGATGTCACTACCATACTTCGGCTGAGCAGTTGGAGGGCACATGGCTCTGTTAAGAGCCTTGGATTTCATCAAGTATGATGTAGTGAGCCAAGATAGATGGCAATTCTGTCTTTGTACAATTTCATTAGGAAAGAACCTCATAATATAACATATATTCTCCTCCCGTCTAAGATCTTTGGGATATTGACCCCTGTTCAAGTATATTACATACTGCAACGTTGATCCACCGATCTTCGATATACTACGGAGAGTTATCGCAACTTCTACAGTCTGTGAGTGAGCATGATCATCCGAGTTGCCTTGTGAAGGGGCGAGGCGCTGGCGCCAGTTGTTCCTATTGCTTTAATAAGCCATCAACTGAAAGAAGGCGCAAGTCTGCTAACACTATGTTGATCAGAACCAACATCCATATTACCAAACGCTAGAATCGAGGGCTGTCGTCACCATGTAAGTATTATAACTTTCGCAATCTTGAAGTTTCTTGGATACCCAATCATGTATAAGCCCAACTCTACGCTAGGCAAACGTATCAAGTCTCTTTTCTTTCAACTAGAGACGTCAACGCTGGACGACAAGCAAGGTGGGAACGGGACCCAACAGCCAGGGGAACCATCCCAGAGCGAAGACAGCTACGACCTCCAGAAAGCAGAGTTGCTCGTTCAAGCACACTGCTTAAAGGTTCCCCTGTTCTATTCGGAAGATTCACAAACTACAGACAATTCCACCGATTTGTTGCGCCGTCCTGGACATGCAGCGTTGAATTTGAAATGTCGCAGAGGATTGTACACTTACTTACCAGACTCATGGGCACACAGGAATCGTGCATTGTCTATCCGTTCCAAGTCGTCCAATCGAAACGATGGCGGTAGTAGTCGAAAGCCTTTTTCCTTTCAATCTCTCCGTGGAAACATGCAGCCTGAGCTATCCCGCAAGCTGTACAAAGTAATCAAGTCGTCCAACAACCTGGTTACTGCCCATGACACCGCGGCAAAAGAGCGTTCCCGAATCGCCACCGAATTGTCCGAATGGGGTGAACACACGAACGACGAGGCCGTATCTGATATCAGCGACAAGGTTGGTGTCATATTGTCGGAGCTTGGAGAGCAGGAGGAAAACTATGCCCATAACCTCGAGGATTCACGCGGTGTACTCAAGGCTATTCGAAATACCGAGAAGAGTGTGCAGCCAAGTCGTGACAACAAAGCCAAGATTACCGATGAGATCCAGAAATTGAAGGTGAAGGAGCCACAAAGCACCAAGCTTGTGGTATTGGAGCAGGAACTTGTTAGAGCTGAGGCGGAAAACTTGGTCGCCGAAGCCCAGCTGTCGAACATCGTATGTTGTGGATCCTACCCGGACATCTATGGTGTTAATTGCTAATAAGACCCCTAGACACGCCAGAAGCTCAAGGAAGCATATGAGGCAGAGTTTGCAGCCGTAATCGAGCGCGCGGAACGGCAGATCATTCTTGCCAAGCACGGTCGCCGTCTACTCCATCTTCTCGATGACTCGCCCATGACCCCGGGTGATGGGCAGAGGGCATACAAGCGAGGTGGCGAGGCTCGCCAAATCCTGAACGACGCTGAGGACGACCTCCGTAAGTGGGAACCAGACTTCGGCGGCGAGTCCTACCACGACGCCCAGGACTCAGTAGAATACGCCGGCCGTACACCAGAATCATCCATCGCAACTGGCCATCGACAACAGGACGATCATGGGAAGCAAGGGTTACCTTTGAGTGAAGCGACTTTGAGAGAAGAAGGGCACGAGCCAGCACTAGCTGGATCCTCATCAGCTGGTTTGACTAACTAGAGAGGCGCATACCGATGAGATCTCAAAAACTTCAAGCATTATCTCAATGCTTCTTGTGTCTAGTCTAGATCGTAATTTGGCTCCCAGGGCTCTAGGACATGACTACAGTTTAGCGATGGGACGTTATGGATATCCAGTGTTATTCCGGGGATTAGGTCTGTTCTATACGTTGAGACATGCAATGATTAATGAGCCGTATTGTAAGATAGCTCTGAATTAAAATTAACGGTTGCAATCAACACTTCTCTACAAAGTTATCTAGGTGGTTTAGACGCCCAAGGGTTGAGAATAACAATAAGTGAATCTGTGTCAGCCGGCGAGGCTTGGCGGCAGCTGCTAGTGTAGTATCAAGTCGATCGTTCATCGTGCGACTTTCCAACAATTGTCCTCGCGACTCATCCCGCAAGAAAAAAAAACATGGAAACCGTTCTTTCGCGGAGCCAGAGGCTGCCAAGGGCATCACTAAGTCTTTGTCGAGCCTGCAGCCGCCGTTTGGGCTCTCAGGGGCGCATTTCGCGGCGCGCATACTCAAGCCAACCGCAAACTGACATCTATGATGTCGTATGCGTGGGCGGCGGACCTGCTGGGCTCAGTCTTTTGACCGCTCTACGTATGTGACACATGCTTGTTGGATAAAACTTGACGACCGTCTGACAGCATTACAACAGGCTCCAATCCGGTCACGGCCGGCCTTCGTGTAGCCCTCGTCGAAGCTCAGGACCTGTCGAAAACTCGATCCTGGAAGCTCCCGCCCGATCGGTTCTCAAACCGCTGCAGTTCCCTCACGCCCAAGTCGGCACGTTTCATCGACCAGATAGGAGCATGGGATCATCTCCAGCGCGAACGAGTACAGCCGTACCACGAGATGCAGGTCTGGGATGGTGTGACCGATGCACGGATAGAGTTCGATTGGGAAGATGGTGCGAGGGCCGCAGGCACGATTGCATATATGACCGAAAACCTCAACCTGACGTCCGGCTTGCTGAAGAGGCTGGAAGCCGTCGGCGGTGCGGACGTCTTTGATAATGCGAAGGTTGAGAATATCACATTGGGCGAAGAGACGGAAGAGCTGGATCTTAGCCAGTGGCCTGTTGTCCATCTCTCCGGAGGCAAACAAGTTGCCGCAAGACTGCTCGTCGGTGCCGATGGTGCTAATAGTCCGGTGAGAACTTTCGCTGGAATCGGCAGCCGAGGATGGGACTACCAGAGACATGGCGTGGTTGCTACGCTTGAACTTGAAGGAGGCGGCTGGGCCGGGGACAACACGAAGATTGCGTACCAGAGGTTCTTACCAACGGGGCCGGTAGCTATGTTACCCATGCCAGGGAACTATTCAACACTTGTCTGGTCCACGACACCATCGAACGCCGCTCTTTTGAAGAGCTTGCCGGCCAAAGAATTCATTGCTATGGTCAACGCGGCATTCCGACTAAGCACTGTAGATCTCGAGTTCATGCACACGATACACGAAGGCCAGGAGGCCGAGTTGACGTGGAGGCTCCAACATACTCCAGTGAAAACTCAGGCCGTACCTCAGGCCGTTGTTGGTGTTCAGGAGGGCACAGTGGCGTCTTTCCCGCTGAAGATGCGCCATGCTGATACATACATTGGCGAGCGGGTTGCCCTCGTGGGTGATGCAGCACACACAATCCATCCCTTGGCCGGGCAGGGACTGAACCAAGGCCAGGGCGACGTGGAAAGTCTTGTCAGTACCATTGAGTATTCCGTCCTACATGGCGCGGATTTGGGAACTCGCATGTCACTGGAAACATACAACCAGGAGCGATATGCTGCGAACCACGTGTTGCTTGGAGTATGTGACAAGTTGCATAAGCTGTACTCGGTTGAGCATGGCCCATTGGTACCCCTGAGATCTCTTGGTTTCAACGCAGTGAATGCGATGAAGCCGCTGAAGAACTTCTTGATGGGACAAGCAGCAGGGAAAGGCATGAAGTTGTTTTAGTAAGTCTCCGGTATGGAGTGTATTGTTGTAACATCATCCCACTGTACAAAAGAAATCCACCTGGTACAATCTACGTAGATGGAATACATAGCAGATCCTGTCTAATGCTTCAAATAATTGCATGTTTTAATGCATTGTAACCTCGAGGTGCCCAGATCTGCATGTGCTACCGGCGTGGGTGCTGCAGATCGATCTGACAGCTAGTGGGGTGAGCGCATCAAAATGGGGCGTGGTATCAACTCCAAAAAATTTGGGCGATAAGGAACTTTTTGTTTGCGATTAGACTTCACGATCACCACGAACTAACCCCACCAACATCATCACATTCATTCACTATGGCACGGCAAGTAGAACCAGAGGAGCGCAAGGTAGGATATGATAGTCACTGTGAACCTCTGGCAAGTCCCTCGCACTGACCAGCCTTAGACGGTCGGAATCAACAAGGAGACGGTGACAAACACAGTGTCCACCGACTTCCCCGACAACTACCCGGACGAGGACCAGAGTTGGGACAAAGACTGGTTTGCGCAACATCTGAGGATAGAATTCCACCAGAATGACCAGTACGAAGCACAGTTCTCTCTGATTGGCGTTGACGCCTCCATCGCAAACGCCTTCCGTCGCATCCTGATCTCCGACATCCCCACGCTCGCCATCGAAACCGTCTTCGTCAACAACAACACCGGCGTAATCCAAGACGAAGTGCTCGCCCACCGCTTGGGCCTCATTCCCTTCACTGGAGGCAAAGAGGGCATCAGGGATTTTATGACGTGGTGGCACAAGCCCGCCGAAGGAGAGGATACATACTCTACGACCTATGATCACAACACAATTCAGCTCAAGTTGCAAGTCAAGTGCGAACACAACGAGGATGCCGCCGCTGGCGAGACCGACCCCTTGAAGCTTTACCACAATGCACACATCTACGCCAAGGATATCGTCTTTGAGCCTGTTGGAAAGCAGGACAAGTACTTCTCCGGCGACGACGTAATTAGGCCCACGAACCCAGATATCCTGGTCGCAAAGCTACGACCTGGTCAGGTCATCGACATCGAAATGCATATGCACAAGGGCGTCGGCTCAGATCACTCCAAGTACTCTCCTGTCGCAACAGCCAGTTACCGCTTGATGCCAACCATCAAGATTACCCAGCCCATTTTGGGCGAGGACGCCAAGAAGTTCCAAGAGTGCTTTATGCCCGGTGCTATCAAGCTGGAAAAGGTCACCAAGAAGGTTATCAAGGCAGATGCGCAGTACGCAGGCCACGAAGGCGAGATCATGGCCGTGGTCGATAACCCCATGTACGACACTGTGAGCAGAGAAGCCCTAAGACATGAGGAGTTCGAAGGCAAGGTCAAGCTTGGCAGAAAGAGAGATCACTTCATCTACTCGATCGAGAGCACAGGTCAGTGGGACAGTGACGAGCTATTCCTGGAATCCGTACGCAGCCTGAAGAGCAAGACCAAGAAGCTGCAGACCCAAGTCGAGAACATGGTCTACACCTACTCGGGTTAGGGTATGAGAGGTGCAGGATCCTGATTTATTGCATGGAAGTGTTGCGTTCCATTTGGCTCTGGCTTCTTTGCATGTGTGATATACCATAGAGGGGCGTTCGATCGGAAAATAACGTTAATTGAGATTTACTCTTTGCAGTCCTCGCCTTTTATAGACACCAGTCTAATGATTGTCAATGTAAGTGAGTATATTAACATGCTACCGTATCTCAGCCCTGCCTGTGGTTACAGGTCTTATTCTAATCAAGGCAAGTCCCAAAGCATCGCCAGTCTGGAGTTCACAGTTCTTGTCTGGAGTTCCTGTATATTTCAAAGCATATAGCGGGTGTCGCGAAAAACGAAATAAGTGGTGAATGCTACCACCAAAAGTTTCCACATCGCCAAAGTAGCGAAGTAATCCCCCATTATCTTTCTCCTTGAAGGTTTATGGTCAGAAATTTCACTGTTATGGTCTATCTACATACGGTCCCAGATCGTGGTAGTTGGTCGCGGCCAGATCGCTCGATAATGGTCAGCTTAGCATTTCTGGACCAGCTAAAAAGTCGATTTACCCATGTACCAGTGTAGATGAGCCGCCCGAACGCCTGAGGAAACACCCTTGTTCAGGCCTTGACCAGAAAGGGCATGAGCCCAAGTAATTATTTATATTGTAGAGACTATCTGATATGCTGAATTTACCCTCCAATTGGTCTTCCTTTTCTCCGTTTTCCACGCAGTCTCGCTCTTGTTTCTTCTCTATAGATTCTGTTCTTGGCTAGTAAATCTACCGATATGGAGAATTTGACTATACAGAGTGCGAATACTCCGTCTGAAAGCTCGGCGGGGTTGACATCAGCGTATCTGAGGTCGCACTCTAGTTAGAGCTCAACGGCTTCACGATTCACGAACCAATTCGATAGCCAGAGCCTACGCCTCCAGGCTTCGCTGCTTGCAACATCGTGCAGTTATGACGATACTGGGACGTCATGGCTTGAGCTCGAATCCTTCTAACATGTACGATAGCGCTTCACGGCTGAATTGCCACGCCAAAGTCCAAACACATTAATAGCAACAAGTGGGGGCATACGACGGGTTTGAGCCAAATAGAGTAAAAAAACAGGCCCCAGTCTACCCAAGCAGGCACTTCATCCTTTCCGAGAACTCAGTACTACGTTAAGGTCAGCCGAGCAGGAACATATATATTCACATAGTACTAATCTTGAATACAACTGAACCGACCTCAATCTCTAATGATGAGTCGCTATTTATTACGATGATATAAGTTGATGGGCTGATAAGACGCATCTAACGTCGAGGTGATGGTTACGCAAACAGCCGTTATAACCTCTCGAGGGGCGTGGGACGTGATAATATTTTTGTGTTATTATGTGACATAAATGTAAGATAGAAGTTAGATCTTACAGTATTGTACACAATTACGTGGCTGTCGGCCCCGCCTGTTGGGTTCTTCGAGCGTGATGTGTTGCTGGTTGTTACTTTGCTGGTTTCGATCTAGATGGGCTAAGCCTCTTAGATCGTGGTAATTGCCTGTAATTTTTAATCTTTCTTGTTCTTTTCGTCTTTTACCTGAATTTGTGCTTTTCTTCTATTACCAGCCACCGAAACTCTAGAATCCTCAGAGTGTAAGAGATCTTTCGTCAAGGTGTAGTCGTAGGTGATTGCTTTTACCCACCCATATGCTCCCCCAGGGGCCACGATACCAGTATGACCATACCTGGGCAGGTCACAATTGGGAAAACTCCTGCATTTGACTTCAAGCCCGTGGAGGCTTGGCCCTCACACTTTCTATGTGCTGGTAAATGATTCCAATTATGTATGATGGGAAATTTAGCTAGAAATGTTCTGTTAGAATATTTGGAGAGAAGCAAACAGTAGGGGGACTTTACGGAGAGAACCAGAGTCAATTTCCAAGTAATAAGAATGATTTCTCGGTTATCTCTGACGTTAAAGACGGTTGATAATGATTTTTGAGATGGTTTCGCTGCTGAGAAGTATTTTGTTTCATAGAACAGCTCATACGGAATGAGGTAATTAATATGATGAAACCGACAAGAAAGTTTATGTTTTTATTTGTTTTCACGCAGATTGCAGAGCATATCTGTACACCGAATGCAACTTTGTACTATTTACGGTTTATGTTTGTTCAAATATAGGTACATGAGGAATAGTAGTTACTTGTTGATGAAACAGTAGAAGGACTTTTCATAGAGCGAGCATTGGAAGTGGCAAGGTTGCGGGCTTGTCAAGAACGAGAAACGCGGAGGTTCCTAGTTCGTTGTAGTGTGTATTTTCTAATCTCGTATAATCCTTTTTTAGCGTCAAGCATAACAGAGTGCATAGTATCACTTCCTGAGCCTGTTTTCCATATGTAAGATGGGCTTTTAGTCCCCAGAGCAAGGACCAGAGTCTTCTATCTATTTCACTCGGTAGCCGATGATCGCTCCCGCCGGATGACCTTTTCTAGTGGCAAAATAAGAAACCCTCCCCCCAGATTGTCTGTAACCGGAGCTATTATACACCGCTTCTACTGAACATAGTGCTACCTCACCTTCGAGGAAGAACATTACCAGGAAAGTGCACCTCGCTCAAGGCGTTGAGCCCCAGATCCCTATGTGCCGAGCAATACGGTGTGCCGAGCAACGTGGGCTCGATGGCGGTCAAGCATTCTTCCCTCGAGCCTTTGATGCCGTACCGGCACTGATGGGTTGGTTACGTGAGATATAGATTATATGTGTTGTGAGTGCTGGACATTAGACGGAATGTGGTTATAAAAGCCTGAATGTCGCGAACTACCGGAATAAATAGACTTTTAAAAACCTAATCTGTAACATGGAAAGCGATAGTGTGTCGGATGTGCAGTGATTGTACTTCGAGCCGGGATATAATTTGATGAGCAAAGTAAGTCACTGTTCGTATGCAATCGATGACAGTGCGACACTCGATATCAAGACTGACGCAGTCGCCGCAAGTATTGCTATTGTAGACACCATTAGAGCCAACCAGGCAATCCTATGGTATGCTTGTAAATCTCTTTGATAACTCAAGATGGCTAACCGGACCATAGTGGCCTGCTACTCTAGTTCCGTATCGTGACAGTGCGTATGTACCTTTGACAGCGTGCCAGCTCTTTTGCCCAAACGCACAACTAATAGATGAACAATTCCATCTCTTGCTCAAAGTGAGTCCGTTACTGTAAGTAATTGTCTGGTGCGGTTTACCGTTTAGCCACTGCATCGAGATACACCTTGGCTGCCTTGTCGAATAACTTTTTAACTTCTGCTGGGTCGATCTTCTCTCTCCGATCAAACGAGTAAAGTCCATTGACCTCCTGCTCAATTTCGGTCCTGATCTTCATGTTAGCTTATGGGCCCAATAATCATGCAGGACGCAGCTTACAGTTGAGTCCAGACAAACCCGGAAGTGAATCCTCCCTGGACGACAGCCGTGCACAAGGCGTCGATCCTCTTTAATAAGTCGGCAGGATCACTTGCGGTGGTGTAACCCCAGTCACGCTCGCCCTTTTCCGACTCAGAAGCCGGAGCAATATTGACTCCGCCAAATTCACTGCAGATGATGGGTGCTCCTTTCTGATGGTCCGTTCCTGCGTCACCATCAATGCGCTGGACGAACATGTGTCTGCCGCCGTGAAGCTCCTCCTTGAATCTCGTGTCGGCCGTGGCGCAACGCTTTGACAACTCTGGCGCATCGTTATAGTCGTGATAGGTGGACAGGTCAGTCTGCACGTGCTCCCAACCACAGTTGTCATTGATCGGCCTTGTGGGATCCAACGACTTTGTGAGCCAGTATAGCGATTTGATGTGGTTTCTCTGGTCCACGTCATCCCGCAGGTTGGGGTATGCCCAGCTCTCGTTTACGGGAGTCCAGACGATCAAGCTGGGGTGGTTTATATCTCTTTTGACGGCCTCCGTCCACTCCTGATCGAAACGTTTGACGTACTCTGCGCTGAACTCGTACGCGTTCGCGATCTCGCCCCAGACCAGGTAGCCCAGTTTGTCTGCCCAGTAAAGGAAGATGGGGTCTTCAACTTTCTGATGCTTCCGGCAGCCGTTGAAACCCATCTTCTTCGCAAGCTCGACATCCAACTTGAGACTTTCAGATGAAGGGGGAGTTAGCCCGGTCTCGGGCCAGTACCCCTGATCGAGATTTAGGATCTGGAAGAGAGGCTCGCCATTTAGTCTGAAGGTGCCATCTCCTCTCTTCCAGTCGATGTTTCGCACTCCTGTGTATGTTTCGATCTCATCCAAGACCTTTCCAGCAGAGTCATAAAGCCGAATTTTGAGGTCATAGAGTAGCGGGTAGTCCGGTGACCAAAGTGCCAAACCATCTCTCCATGCCTGAACATTGTCTGTGGATGGTAAGCCCTTCAGTTTCTCGGCAGACAGCTTGAGACTGAGTTCAAGTTTTGCATAGTCTTTGTCCTTCGCAAGATCCACTTTGGATGTGCCGATACTGACACCACCGATACTTCCCTCGATCTCGATACCGTATTTTCCACCTGCTCTGCGCCCCAGAACCGCGACATTCGCCTTCAGCACACCATTCTCGGTGTCATTAGCTGTCAAGACTGTGCCATCACTGCTACCGCCAATTCTGGCTCTTGGCACAACCTCAACCCAGACGTTCTGCCAGATGCCAGATGTTGGGGTATAGAAAATACTCTCCGGCGTGGGGGCCCAGTACTGCTTACCCCTTGGCTGTTCAAGATCACTGGGGCTGTCTCTCACGCGCAAGACTAATTTGGTTTCCTTGCCCTCCAACGCATCGGTGACGTCGACATCGAACGGCACATGCCCGCCTCGGTGCCCCCCTACATACTGCCCACCGACCCAGACTTGGGCCTCATAGTCGACCGCGCCGAAGCGAACCAGCACCCTGTGGCCGGCGTTGGTCTCCGCCTGGCTCCTCAGGTCCGGGAGCAGCGTCTCGTACCAGAGCACCTCGTGGGCGGCATTATCGCCCCACCCCGAGGCCGGGCACTGGAAGGCGAACGGGACGTTGATGGGCTTCTTGACGTTCTCCGTCGCCTCGGCCGACTCTTTCCAGTACTTCTCCTTGAGCTCCGGGAAGGCCTCTAGCCGGTGCGCGTCCTCGGCTGTGTTGTCGCTGCTCCCCTTGCCGCTGAGCGTGACCCTGTCCGGAGGTCCGTTGATGTGCCAGCCCTCGCTCAGACCGATGTCCTGGTCGTCAAAGAGCAGCGACCAGGACTTCCCGTTCAGGAGCTTCCAGTTGAGATTGGGACGAGTGAAATCAGGGCGGGGATATTGGGTTTGAGACATGGTGGTGGCAGAAGTGTGTCCAGATGAGCGGGTGACGTGGAGCAAAGAGTTGTTGTTTTGAAGATTGATAAAGGTCCTCGATCCTCGGAGAAATCACAGCGAGGCGCAAGATAGATAATAACTTTCGGCGAAACGAAATAACACTTGTTCCTGACTTCCGTCTGGGTCGAAACGATCGGCCCTACGCATATGCATGAAACGTCCTGCGGGGCAGGATTGACGTCAAACTCACCAATTATATTTATAGTGTCACATAAAACTGGATAATGACCCAGTTTCTCAATTAATAAAGTTCAACATGAAGAAAAATTCTAGAGACTTACTGTAGTTACCAGCCTGCCAACTTCCCATCTTAACAACGTAGGTTCGAAGTCGCAATGAAGAGGGGTAGTAGGCCCAGCAAAGTATACCTACCTGGTATCTCAGGGTCCTCTTCGAAGAGGGGCACTATACGCCCAGCACTAAGTCTGTTGGGGGTATGACTTATACTAAGTCAACTTTCCTTTAGTTAGTCTAGGCTTAATGCAATAGTATCGTGTTGAACGCAATCAATTATCAATTGGTATGTAGAATGCTATGACTAGTACATGTACCAAACCAGTGGCAGACTTCATATGAAAATGCTTCATCATTGCGGTAGTTTGAATCAAGTAGCATCGTCTTCATTAACATCCAACTTTCTGAACCGCCTTTGCACAAAGTCTTGCAAGTGGCACCAACGCCTCAAAAATCTACAGTGTCCCCAATATCATCAACCATAATCGCTAAGCCATGCATTACTCCTCATAAGGCCATCGATTTAGGCGACACCAGTAACTCTTCTGACAGCCCTTCTGGCGCCTTCGCCACTAACCATAATCAATCCCTCCATTTCAAGGCCGCGCATGACCTCCGCAAAGTCGGCCGGCTCGACGGGAAGACTGGCACCTTCGCCTAAGCGCCTGCTGACTTCGCTGTACCGCGCACTTTGTCCACCGCTTGTCATTTCGTCCAAGAGAGCGAGCACGGCGGTCTTCATCTCTTCCTTGCGTTTGCGGTCGGCAGAGCTTACACCCTCATTCAAGAGGCTCATATCAATTCTACCTTGGGAATCAGTTGCCGAGGTCTTCAGGGCGGACTGGATCAAGCGATTGGCCTCTTCTACATCGGCCTTGGTGACTGTCTGGGAGAGGCGCATCTTGGCATGGGCCTCAGCAAGACGGATCATGGACTCAAGTTGACGAGTTGTGGCTGTGATTCTCTTCTCAGCAGCTCTAACATCTTGACCGAGCTTGCGCATCTTGACATAATTGTCTACGAGTGCTTGAGCCGCATCCTGAGAAATACTAGGGTGGCAAGTCTCCCGCGCATAAGAGATATATGCCGTGAGGAATTCAACATCCTGTGAGCGCGTTAGCGAAAATGATTTTTTTTTCTTTCTTTCTTCCACAATTGTGTATCGTCTACTTACCAATATCTCATTATCTGTAGCGGCAGATTCAGGCTTATCTTCCAGGTACATGGAGAGCAAGTGTCTCGCCATTCTCTTATCAACATTGTCATCTTGACGATCCAGAATCAAGTATACGAGATCGAAACGGGACAATAGGGTTGGCGGAAGATCAATGTTTTGCGGAACGGGTAAATTTGGGTTGTAGCGGGAACCGATTGGGTTGGCGGAGGCGAGGATACTGGTTCTCGCGTTTAGTGTCGTGATGATACCAGCTTTAGCTACGGAGACCGTCTGCTGCTCCATGACTTCATGCAGGACGGAGCGTGTTGCGTCTGACATTTTATCGAACTCATCAATACAACAGACACCACCGTCTGACAGAACAAGAGCACCAGACTCGAGCACAAGCTGGCGTGTCTCGGGATCACGCGAGACATAGGCTGTGAGACCGGTCGCTGACGAACCCTTTCCGCTCGTGTAGACGCCTCGCGGCGCGATCTTGTGCACGTATTTGAGCAATTGCGATTTCGCTGTCGACGGATCACCACAAAGTAGTACGTTGATATCGCCACGGTATTTGGGGTTGCCTCCCTTATGGAAAGTCTTGTTGGTGCCACCAAACATTTGCAGAAGAATTCCCTTTTTGACGTCGTCCATCTCGAAGATAGATGGAGCCAGTGACCGGGACAAAAGTTCGTAAATATCCCTTCGAATTGCGGTCTGCTTGATTTTCTCCTCTTCGTCGGGTGTGATCTTACGCGCCTCCTCGATCTGATTCTCGGTATCGTTCGATTCGTCGTCGAGCGTTGACACATCTGCACCTAGGCGCTTGCTATCCACCTTTGCGACGTGTACAACATCAACAAAAGTCTTGAACACACTCTTTACAGTTCTCATACGAGGGTTGACTCTGACAGGGCTGACACGGTAAATACCAGTGATCTGAATACGGTCACCAGCTTTGCAGAAGTCGACGAGCTCGTTGTACACACAGACAGAAACTGAATGGGGCGTCTGGCCAGCGGGCACAGCATCAGGAGTCTCTTGCAGCTTGATGACTTGCTTGTCCTCAAACTCACATCGGTTGTGTATGATCTGCATGGAATTCTTGGAATCGCAAAGTGGACGAGGGCAAGCGGTGGGCTCCCTGATCTTTCCTCTGTCCAGACCGACAAGGAGCGAATGGTTGCAAACATTGCATCTGAAAAATGCTTGGCGCATATCAGGGATGACGGATGTTGTTCGGATGACAAGACCTTTGATACAGATGAGCTTGTCCATATCTGAGGGGTTGAGATCTCTCATGTTGGTGACCTCATCCAGATTGTATGGACGAGTCATGTACGTCTGATCCATGACCTTCTCCTCGAGGTTGGCGCCCTGCTGAGGTCTCGGTGTCGCGGGCTCCTCGCTTCTTTCCGAACTAGGGAACTGCATGTCGGAGCTTGGTGCACCGCTGCGCTGTGAAGCGGCTGCTCCGTTGCTTTGACTCCTTTGACGTGACATTTCGGCCTGTGCAAGCTCGATCATGACATCGTGGACTGACTGATCCATCAGAGGGACGATTTCTTGAGGATAGTGCTGAATTTGGTGCCACATCTTCCTGGTAGGCGGGTAAAGCTTGAAGTCTTGGACGTTAACGTAGAGGATCCTCGTGCCAAGTATCAGCATGTTGCCCAATTCCTCGTAGTAGGGCTTAGATTTCGCATCGGGCTCGGCATCAGCTTGCTCGGTAGTCATTCCGTCGGCCCACATACGATACTTCTTCTGGAAGTTCTTGAGGAAGTCCTTGAATGCGGCGTATGTGTCGTCGATGGAAACGGTTGTACCCCAAATGGTAGCGTTGTCCTGTCCGCCCAAAAGGTTGGCTTCGGATGTGTTGGGGTCGACATTTGAGAACGTGTGGGCGTCAGAGTGGATTTCTCGCACGACACGACCGGCATCGTTCAAGATGACACGGCTTCCACTCCGAGGACCTCCGCTCAAGATTTCCGAGTTGATGTCGCCTCTTGGCTTCCGTCGTGCTCTAGGAGTTGTTGACGAGCCGACAAAAAGATTGCTGCTGGCCTCACTTCGCAGATCCGACTGAGGGTGAAGGGAACGGCCGGGACTGGAGCTGGCCTCGTACCTGATAGGCGAGGAGTCTGGGGGGTTTCAAGAATTAGCGATGCGCAAGGGGAAGCTGCAGGCGAGGATTCGTCTTCTCACCGCCAATGAGGCCGCTGCCACTGGCTCTAGGTGTCCGGTCGCCATCAGTCTGGCTTTCAGCTCCGGTAGTCTGCGAGTTTGTCATGTGCCGCAAGGGGGAACTTGGGGCGGCGCTGCCATCAGCGCGGGCGTTTTGGCTCTGACTCTCTGTGTTCTGGCGCAAGGGGGAAGAGACATCATTGTTGCCGTTAGCAGGCGACGATGACTCGTAGAAGAGAGGGCTCGAGGCTAACTGCGAGCTTCGAGTGTTGCGGGGGGTGTTTCCATTCTGCGACGAGGCGTTGGCGTTGGCATTGGCGTTGGCGGGGCTGCTCTGCGGTGCTTGAGAAGACCGGGTGCTCCGTCTGGGAGTGCCAGCTTGCGACCGACGTTGCGACGGCGAAGACATGTTACTCAATCGCAACAAAGACGAGACAATCGAACAGCAGGATTCAGACTTCCTGTCGGCGGATGGAGTCGCGTATGTGGTGATAAGTTATGAAGAAAAAAAGAGGGTAGGCGGGCGCTATTGAAAGGGGTGGGTTCAGTGCAGTCCCGTTGGTGAGGAAACACGAAAGACCGCGTCGACATTTTACGGACGCGGGTTTCTCGCGTAAAGTGGCCAGGCTAACTCAACTCGGTCAAGTCAACTTGACTTTGGGTCCACTGTGCCAGGTGCAGCTTCAGTCTAGCGCTGATGTTTTATGCCTGTCGCTGTTTTGTGCAAGCCCGGCACCTGCGCACTTGCGCTGACACACAGGCACATGGAACTACAGCTGGTCTAACATAATTCCGCTCCAAATGCTCTGAGACTCCGTAGCGAGTAGCGCCTAAACGAGCTGACCCCCTGTGCGGAATTAGGTGTGAGCGCCCCCCAATTCAAGAACACCATAGCAACTTGAACGTCGACACGCCTCCAGTACCAGTCCCAGTTCCACGAACCCGATTTCGCAAGTCGCCTCAGCCCACCATACGATACCAACGTCAACATGGCTCCCGGAATGTCCCTCTTCTCCGTCAATGCCATCCTCATCCTCTCCGCTGATGACGGCTCTCGCATCTTCGCAAACTACTACTCACAACCCCACCAAGCTCCAGGCGGTATGTCGCATGCCACGTCGCGCACCCAACAGAAAAAAAAAGGGAAAAGGATGACCGCTAACCATGGTGCCGACAGCTTCGGAAAAGAGCCCCTACGGAGATGTCAAGTCCCAGAAGACATTCGAGAAGGGCTTACTCGACAAGACAGCAAAGCAGACCGGCGACAGTACGCCTCTCCCAACCCGTTGACATGAAAACCCCATCGCTGATGCCTGCCCTCCTAGTCATCCTGTACGACAACAGAATAGTCCTCTACAAGATGGAGTCGGACGTCATGATGTACGTTGTTGGATCCGTCAACGAGAACGAGGTCCTACTCTACAATGTCATCCTTGCCCTCAGGGACTCCTTGGTACGTGCATTCGACACTCACCTTGCGCCTCCTCGTCAGGTGATGCGAGACAGACGCTGACATCGTATAGCACCTCCTTTTCAAGCAGTCCGTTGACAAGAGGACCATTATCGAGAACTACGATCTCGTATCCCTTGCCATCGACGAAATCGTGGACTCGTAAGCCTCTGCCTTTCGCCAGAACCGTCACAGGAGCTAATCATGGACACAGCGGTATTATTCTCGAGACTGACCCCGTCGTCATCAGCCAGCGGGTTTCCAAAGCGCCCACGCAAGACGTCAACCTGAGCAGAATCGATTTGAGCGAACAGGGCGTCAACAACCTGGCACAACTAGGAAAGGCCAAGTTGACAGATTGGTTGCGCCAGGGTTTGTAACTTGGGGGTTGACACACTTTGCACGGCATATGCGGGAAGAGCATTTAGAATCTGAGGGCACGGCGTTGGTCAAAATTCGTTTGTCGATTTATCTATTTCCCAAAACATCTCCGCCCTGGGGGCAAAGCATCCCTCGGTCTACTCTAACCTTAGTCTTCTAATGACATCTCTACGACCTGGTTTCTGACGCTGCCTTGCGCAGCCTGTTCATAACTGCCGCCGCGATGTCGTCTTTATCGGGAATCCCTTCCACAAATATCAGATCTGGCTTTCTCCGATCCAGTTCTCTTAGTGCTGAGAATAGCCCCTGAGCTACGCTCTTGGCATCTCGACCTATACTCAGATCAAATACCCGTCCAATAGGTGTGCCTTGGGCACTCAAAAGTTTGCTTTCTTGTACGTCAAGGTCGCCTTCTATGTCATCTGATGACCCTTTTGAGGCGAATTGTGCGCATCGAAGACTGGCGCCAGGGGCCCAGCGTTGGGTCCTGATGATCCCGATGCTCGTCGATGTTGATTCGGCCTCTTCTGCCCCTTTCGAAAGGTTGCTAATCGTGTCGATGTCCTCTTCCGCAATTCCTTTTCGGCCATGCTCGAAGCTTGCTTCGTATAATATCACTCTTGCCTTGGGACTGTAATGCTTGTACTTCATGCCCGGGGCTCTCGGCGCCTCGCCCTTTCCACCGACCTCGGCGTGATCTTTGTATGCCTTCTGTACCTCCTCCCAGCCGACACAGCTTTTAATCTCATCAATACTCACGCCTCCGGGTCGCAATACTACGGGTGGCGAGCAGAGTCCGTCCACCACCGTAGACTCCACCCCGACCTGGCAAGAGCCGCCGTCGAGGATGAGCTCGATGCGCCCATCCATATCCTCCAGAACATCGGCAGCAGTGGTGGCCGAAGGGCGCGTTGAAGCGTTAGCAGAAGGCGCTGCCAGAGGTTTGCCGGTCAGTTTGATCAATGATAAGGCGAGAGGGGACGACGGCATTCGTGCGCCGAACGTCTTGAGCCCTGCTGTGACTTCCGGGGCTAGCTGAGACGACTCTGGATTTGGTAGCAGTATTGTAAGTGGACCTGGCCAGAACTTTGAAATGAGCGGCTTATAGATCTCCGGGATGGGGTCTGCGTGCCCGTTCGTAGTAGCGCCATCCGACGTAGGCTTGAGAAGATCCCGCAGCATCTCCAGATCCGCGACGTGTACGATCAGGGGATTATCCTGCGGCCTGCGCTTGGCTGTGTAAATCCCCTTCACCGATCCACTTCTCGTGGCATCTGCACCGAGTCCATAGACGGTCTCTGTTGGGAACCCAACAGGGGTATCTTTGGTCCTGAGGTAATCCGCGGCTTCTTCCAGAACTTTGATACTCGAGGACTGTTCCGTCGAGACTTCCCATCGTCCCACGTGCTCGCTTGGACCAAAATTTCCAAGAATCTCCTTGCCCACTTTCAGCACCCGAGTCTTGACTGGTGGTAAGTCTTGAGACATTGTACTGAACAGTGTGTACTGGAGCGCAGCTCGGACAGTATAAAAACGCTTATAAATGCGCTTTAGAGCCAACTTGAAGATGACTCAACCAAGAGCCGAGTTTGGTCAAACTTTTGTCACGATTCGCAGGACTTTTGTAAATGAAGAATCGGCCGACAAGTCTCAGTAATAGCTTTTGTTCCTTAGCAACTGGTCTTCTGATCTTCCAAAAGTGGCAAGCTATTTATGTTGGGCATGAATATTGACTCATGAGAAAACTTTCTGACTAGATGCGATAACATCACTTTTGAGCTCAGCGCACGCCCCACGAAATGTTAAGTGCACTCCACCGAAAGATCTCTAACTTTAGGGGGTCTCCCCACCATCCCGTCGCAACCAGCGGCCAGCTTTCCAATGCCACGCCAGGAGGAGACCGTTTCCAGGGGTCAAAGCCGCTAGAATCCCAGCACTCTGCACTGCAACTCTCCCGAATGCGCGGGGCGGGACACCTCAACCACAACTCAATACATAATAATGCTCGAGATCCCCCCCGGAACCTGCACACACACACGACTGGGGCCACGACCATATCCTCCCTCCGACATGCGCCGGCTGAGATCACGGTCCCAATGTCCGCCACTAACCTCCTCAATGGCGACTCCAGCGCAGTCCACAACAGTAACAAGACCGACGGCCTTACCAAGGTGAACAGCCGCAGCAGCAACCACCCCACGATTGACGACGCCAGCTCTCTCGACGATGTGCGCGCCTCGCTCGCGGCGCTGCACATGCGCGAGGCCGCCATCACCTCCCGGCTCAAGGCCCTGATCTCCTCGCAGGCGGACCTGTCGCGGGAGCTCGGCCGCCTCGACGTCCTCCGCGCGAACCTCGGCACCCAGGTGATAGCCACGCGCTCCATCTCCAACGGCATGCTGTCTGGCGCGGCGGACACGGCGGGCCGGCTGTCCAACCGGGTCAAGGAGCTCGACCTCGAGAAGGATCGCGTGCAGCAGACGCTCCGGGTCGTCGAGCAGGTGGCGGAGCTCAAGGCCTGCGTCCACGGCGTCGTGGGGTCCATGGGCGCCCCGCAAGACTGGGAGGCCGCCGCAGGGTATATAGCGCGGGCCTCCAAGGTCCCCGAGGCCATCGTTCGCGGCGGCTTTGCTGCTAGTATCGTGCCCAGCGTCGAGGTGCCCGATGCGCCGTGGGTCACGCTGGAGGACGCAAAGGAGAGCTTGTGCGGACTGTTCCTGAGGGAGTTCGAAAAGGCGGCGGGCGAGGGCGACGGGGCAAAGGTTACGCGGTTCTTCAAGCTGTTCCCTCTGATCGGTAGGGGAGACACAGGCCTTGAGGTATACGGACGATATGTCTGTCAAGGAGTGGCAGGTACCGCTAGGCAGACACTCAAGGAGGTTCCCGGTGGCCAAGGGCGGAAAGATGGCTATTTCTATGCGAACGCGCTCACGAAACTCTTTGAACACATTGCTCAGATCGTAGAAGGCCATGGTGGGTTGGTAGAACGACACTACGGCGCAGGCAAAATGGTCAAAGTGATCGAGAGGCTACAGATGGAGGCTGATGTTCAAGGTGGCATCATTCTCGACTCCTGGAGCGACGAAAGAGGCGTGGATAGGAGGCTTACAGACGTCAAGAGCTATCCTTTCTCCTTTCTTGTTCAAAGTTTTGTGCCTCCGGCTAAAGGCATGGCTGGCACTCCTAGGATGAACTCTCCCGCAGTAGGTGGTGGGACCAATGCCAGGAGTAGTGAAGACGAAGGGGTGGACATGAAAGAGGTTGATGAGCTGCTTAGGGAGATTGCCGTTATGCTGGGCCGGTGGTCATTATATTCCAGGTTCCTGGCAGGCAAATGCAGAGTAAGTTTCTTTCCAAAGTATCACTGGTACGATAGCACTGACAGCCAGCAGACTCCTGATACAGCAGCCGATGCGGCATTGTCATTACCCGAAGTACTCACCAACTCCAATCTGGGCAAGAAAGTCTCCACCAAGCTTGGCACGCCATATCAAGTCATGTCGACATTCTTTTTCAGGAGGTCTGTAGAGAAGGCATTCCAGTTAGACGAGTCACCATCAGGCCTCTCACTGAGCTTGAACAAGGCCGTCGACGGCAACCCCCCTTACATAATATCCGCAGTCGACGATGTCATGTACATGGTCAGCACAGTTATTGAGAGATGTCTATCTACCTCTCAGCGTGAGATTGTCAGCTCTGTCGTACCCACCGTGAACAGAGTATTAAGCGCTGAGTTCATTGGTGTTATTCAAAGAAGAATGCAACACGACTGTTACCCGAAACCCGCCATACAGGGTGGCTTTCCCCCGGAGGATAAGATTATCGCTTTCATCGTACTGATCAACAGTCTCGATGTGGCAATCGAGTACCTGGATCGAATAATATCGCCCCGACTCGCCCTATCGGACCAGTCCAATGGCGCACCTCCCGCCAACCCTCTCGCTGCCTCGTTTCCCTTCGAACACGACATCAACGTTGTCGTCAATTCCCTCAAAGGCCTGAATTCCAGCTTCTCACTAAAAGCCAACGAGCTTTGTACCGAAGGAGTTGCACATCTGTTTTCCAACGTCGTGGATAAGCGACTGAAACTTACCGTACAAGAGACCTTCCGTGATGCGGACTACGCTCTGACAGAGGAAGAGCTGGCTGAGATAGCGCTCCAGAACGATGAAGAGGAGGAAGACATGTTGGACCTCGTGCAGCGGCAGTTCGAGCGTGGCTGGAACGCGCTCGTGAAACCTATCGAGCGCATCATGACGCCGAAGCCTTTTGCCTCTTTGATGAACAGGATTGCCAAGGAGCTCGCCATCACTCTGGAGCGGAGGGTGTGGAGGTACGGTGGCAAGGCGAATGCCTATGGTGCCATAAGGATGGAGAGGGACTTTTCTGGCATCATCAGCATTGTGGCGAAAGGCAACTACAGCATGAGAGACCTGTTCAGCAGGGTGAGCCAGACACTCATGGTCGCGAACATGGAGGACGATGAGTGGGACGAGCTCATGGCGGAGGGTGAGGACGGCATTGAATGGGTACTGAGTGATGATGAGATGCGGAGGGCTAGAAATCTAGTCAGGGATTAGACAGATAGAATCCACGTCATATAAAGACTGAATTGGCATGTTAATTGTAATAAATGCAACTCATTGTGTCTCTGGTGCGGCGCTCGATCAAAGCTCAACAGGTCTATCAGCGACAAGAGTTCAACCACCGGCAAACATAGGATGTGATTATATATAGTATTAAAAAAGTTCAGCTTAGCTCTTGGGGCCTTGCACGCCACGTCCTCGTTCGAAAGCCCTAACCAGCTTATTATAGATAACAATTCCCCTGTTTTCTTACGCCCGTTCTAAGTCGCGCGATAAGGGGCAATATTTGTTCTTTTCTAGGTTCCTCGGTAATGGGTGGAGAGATTCCCCCTTTTGTAATACTACAAGGCCGGCGTGTAACCTTACATAGCTGTATCTCAATTCTAATTTATAAACAGGTAAAGATTTGACTTCAGTAAAATTTACTAATTTATAAAACATTACATATATGTATATATCAACTTTATAAATCATTAAAGTTTTAATTTAATATTTAATTAGATACTAATGTAATAATACATTAAATCAATGTAATATAGTTGTTTACGTATAGCTATTTAAGTGGTTTTGATACGATATTATTCCTTGGGTATCGCAATAGCTTGGCTCCCGTGGCTAACCACGTGGAGTGGCAACCGTAGTTGCCTGACACCTGATAGGCCACCATGATTGTAAGCCTGATAGGCTGTTACAACCACTGCCTAAGCTATTGATTATAAATGTGTATATATGAGCCACGGTTTATAGCTCTTGAGATAGTTACGATTCCATTCCTTTCCACATCACACAATAGTACCCCATAGCATTCGCACTAGGTTTATAGCTATGTAGTCCACTGATTTAATCTTGGTTATAACGATAAAAACTGCGTAAACTCGTCGAATCGAGAATCATCGATATTTAAACGTTTTCACGCCGTGGTCGCGTATCGATCGTGGCCACTACTGTTAAGCAAGCCAAACACGTTTTCCCACTACTTTGATCAGCACACTTGAATGCCAATGTGCTTCGCGATGGGCTTACCAGGCAGACACTAACCATCAGTTAATATATGTTTAATGCGCTAAATTAATACTCAAGCAAGTAATTACTAAGGAATTCTTAGTGTTACATGTTTTTTGACATTTCTTTTTCTGCATAACAACAATGTGCTTATAATGTTCATCGAGAACAAACAACCTGTCAAGAGGTATATGCTTTAGTTATCATTCTTACTCGGCAGGTTGACTTTCTAGTAACGGTCCGGATCCGCGTTGACCTATCACAGGAGCCGATCCAACCATAAGGAATGACCAATCTCAACCCATTTCTATGGCGGGCATTATCCGAAAGCTTATTGAATGCTCGATCGCTTGGACTAGTCAAACCTGTATGCCTCTTTCCAACCCCCAGACGGCTCAGAATTTATTGTGAAGACGCACGGTGGTCATGCTGAGCACTAGGCTTTTCACTACATGTCACATCTCTCAATCTCCATCTCGCCGCGAGCCATCATCCCGCGCGGCTCATCATTCATCAAACCCAAGACTCAAGAGGTACCCATATGTTCCCAAAGGTCCTCGCGGCACTTCCTCAGGATGATAGGTTGGGGACATTGATCGAGAATACAGATCTCATGTCCAGGTGCTGTGCCAATGGGTCCGATGCCGACGAGTCCACTACACGTCAAGAAGAGGCTACGCTTCACGAAAAGCTTCCAGGCGATTTTGACGAACCTCCTCGCTAACCACTCTAGGCTTTGGTCAGTACAAAACATCCTAGCATGCGTGTCCCACTCCTTGTTCACGTTGTCGTTCGTGCAATCTCTGAAGGCTGTCTCTAAAGAATTGAAGCGCCCATCACTGAACTCACTCGGCTCTTCGTTGTCATCAGAGCTATTGTCATAGCTGATGAGGGTTCGAAATATTTGTGCGGCGTACGAGCTCGGTTGGCTAGTTTGGGGAAGCTTTTCATTCGACTCGGGATCGTATCCTCTGAACATGACTAAGCATAGCGCGTACAGATGGAATAGATAGCAGCACTGCATTTTCCTTTGGTGCCAAGATAAGAAACTTCTGCAGAATCTTCGAAAAGCTATGAAGTCACCGAACGCATTGTTTGGAACTAGGTCAATGGGGAAACACGCAATCACCGTATCGCATCTTACGCCGTAGATTGCGAGCAAATTACGATGTCGAATAGTAGGTCGAGGGCTCTTGGTGTCAATCCATGTCTTTGATTTTGTTTTGTATACGAAGCGACTGTTATTCAATGAGAACATGCGCGGAAGCCACGACGGGAGATCGTAGAGTGCATCGTTGTCCCTGAACACTCCCGACCCACTGAAGCATAAGAAATCCGTTTCTTCGTCCTCTCTGCCGTCAGCAAACCGGTGAAAAAATGCCTTGTATCCAGTCAAGATACACGTCATTGACTTCCTTGGTACAATCGGGTTGGATTGTGTCTATTATTCCGGAGAGACCGTATATCATGTCTCGAGGGTCGGTCGCCTGGGTATACTGAGCCAATGATGTGAACCAAACCATTAGATTATATCCAGATGAGAACCGCTCATCGGATTTCAGCTCTATAACCCTATCCCATATGGAGAAATTTGCGAATTTCGGGTGAACGAATATCTGCCAATCGTTCTTTGACATGACGGTCTTCGGCCAAACCGGTCGTAACCTCTTTAGCGTCTCATGAAACCCAAGGAATAGTGTCAAGTCTGGACAGCTGAGCGTGTTGTCACCGTACACGAAGCATTGCTTGTCTGAGCTGGCCAACACTACCTCCTGAACTATCCATAAACGTCGCCAGTATACCAAGTTTGTAAGCTCATCTAACCCATAGAGCGTCCATGGCCACGATCTTGTGCGACCGCGGTATGTGTCAGGGCTCATCCAAAAGTACGAATTATTCGCCAGCCACGCTGCGCCTTTCTCAGTGTCAAAGGTAGCTGCGGCACCAGCCTCGGTCTTCTCTGGAATCCTGATCGCAGAAGCGAGATCATGGATTGCCTTGAGAGCGGTCTTGATCTCTTTGTTTCTCCTCGAATCCGGATTTTCATGCAGCCCAACCAAGACAAAACTTTCCCTGCGTTTCTGTAGATATTTCCCATGTGCGCCACTTGATGGTTGCGCTCATTGACATTGCCCTGGTCGATAGAGAGAGCATCGACCCACAGAGGGAATACTAAATGTCTGTCTTGTAGCATACTATGATTCCGGAAATGCCGTAAAGCTGAAGCAAGATTTGTAGTCACACTGACTTTGTTGCCGTTGACGATGATATCGTCCGTCATGTCCGGATCTCCCCATGCATACGATATCGCCGCATTTCTAAGATCAGGCGTGAGTTGCGCAGCGAAGAGTTGACAAGAAACAACCTCGTTATCATCTTTGGCTGGCAGTATCTCCAGTAAGCGGATATGGTGAGATGCGAGATCGAGCGGTTCGTAGATTAAGCATGGTGTGATTGTCGAGCTATTAAGAGACTCGAATAATGGATCTTCACAATGTGGCTCCGCTCCACCACTGCTTTTTCAAAGGCGGCATTCCGGTAACAGGATGTATCACCAGAAGGGACAGCTAAACCTGGTTAGAAATTACCAGATAAATGCGTCGTCCACCATTAGCTTCGAAAAAGGTCCGGATCTAGGGAGGCCGAGTTTACAATCCGGATAGCTAATTTCGAAGAGTATCTTAGTACTATATACAGATAGTACTCTGATAGGCTGAGGCCATAGTAATGGCTTCAGAGTCGTGGCTTGCCATCAGCTCGAGATTTGTGGCAATATTTCATTGGTCCAAGAGGAATAGGAAGCGGTAGGAAGCGACTCTATTCAGACGTGGCTCTATCATTGTAAATGGAACACCTCAAGCTTTAAACTGCCATCGTTAAGATGTTGTAAGGGCTCCCCGTCCGAGTAGCCATTTACATAGCATGAGCCTACTAACACAAAGTCCTGATCCATCCCCCTTAACAGACAGGGTATTGAAAATCCTTCCAGAAGGCATACTATGTCACCATCCGCAACAGCAGGCGGTGCAAGTCCTACGCGTCCATTAGTCGTGATGAACAGTGGCCAACCAATCCACTTAAACAATAGACGGATCATTTGATTAAATGCGTTGCATGCGTCATCGTATTCCGCCGGCGTGAGGACTTCATATAGAGTCGAGATTTCAGGTGCTCCAGTTCCCACGAAGGCGTCATCAAGAGCTGTTCTCACCTCCTCTAGAGTTGCATAACCAAAAGAGGCGCACTTTTCTTTGAAAGCATCGTCGTCCTCGGGTTCCCCTGTTCGCAAGAGGATCCTGAATGCATGCGCCGTCATGCATTGTAGCGACGGGGTGATTTGTAGTCGATGACTTTGAGTATCTTTCCCTCTTGTCAGGGCACTTAACAGGTTTTCGAGTGGCCGTGTTCCGTTTCTAGGATGTTCATCACCCCACACCTTGAGGAACTCTAAACAAGTCCACCAGAACTTCTTCATAAGCTCGAGTGGGTCGGGTTGCTGATCGCCGATATATCGAATCACTCTTGTGCAACGATCAAGGCGTAATCCGGAGAATTGTATTCTGCGCTCGCCTATAATCGTTGGGCCTTCCGGGTGCTTTTCGTCGAGCCAGGATTTGGCGTAGGCATTTGGTGGCAAGACGGCATAGTTCCCCTCATCTTTCAATGTATGGTATCTCGGCACCCAAGATGGAAAAACGGAGATGTTTTGGTTCTCATGAATAAGGCCAGCAAAACAAAAGAAGTTTTTGTACTTTCTGTGGCGCAACACCGCAGCTACGAAGTCCATGTAGACTTCAACCACCTCTTTGGTGTAGTCTGGAACGATCTCTCCTCCTGTGAGTCCATAGAGTCCAAACACGGCGTCCCTTGGATCCGTGGACCGACACGTCGTACTGATGTATGAGACTATGCGGTAGTCGTCCTTTAGCACGGATTTCCTCAGTCCCTGAACGAGATTGATGAACGTCAAGGAGAGCTCGCTGTCATGAATAACCCAATCCCATACACGTTGGTCAAAGAAAATAGGTTTTGCCGGCTTCTGCTGCAAGAATCTCTCAGTAAATAGGTTGAAGTCGCTTAGCTGTTCGAAAGTCATGGACTCCCTGCCACAATGGATGATGATGGCGGCTGGTCTTTGCGCCAAAACGACCTCTTGTACAATCCAGATCCGGGTCCAGTAGACATGGGCACTAAGCTTGTCCACTGCGTTCCAGGCTTCATTCCTTGCAGAGCGTTCTGTATTTTGTTCGTAAAAGCTACAGTTCTGTCCTAAAAATTCGAGCTCTGAGTCCATGAAGGCAATATTCGCCTCAGGGTATTGGCCCATCTTCTTCACGATCCCTTCAACATGACCAGCGCAAGCCTTGATAAGGCTGAAAGCTGATTCGGTGGATCCATCGAAAGGACCCAGCCAGGAGATAACCCAATCCGCCTTGGAATAGATGGGACCCATCATGGAAACCTGCTGTGCTCTTTCGACCAGGTCTTGCTGATTGATGCAGACAGCGTCTGCCCACAGAAACGAAGGCGCACCATGTTTACCTGCGTAAGACTCCCTGAACTGTCTGAGTGCTGAGGCTAGACTCTTGGTAGCCTGAAATGGTTGCCCATTAACCAATATCTCCTCTGTGATTGATGCATCACCCCACACATATGATAATGCTGCATATTGCGGCGGGGAGTTCTGCAGTTGAGCAATCGTGATCTCGCAAGAGACTTTCGCGTCATATTCGAGACATGGAACAACACCGAGTAACCTTATCTCCGCATGACGAGGATCCAGGCTCGTATACATCAGTGTTCCTACGCCGGAAATACCAAAGGAAGTCAAGGGGACGAAGGAAAAACAATGGTATCAGCTCGGGAAGCGGGCAGTAGATGTGATATGAAGTAAGAAGAGGGGTTGTTTACCTGCTTATGGTGGGACCGGGGGTGTGCTGTGGATAAAGTCCTCGTTCTTGACAGGGGTCGCCTTCAATCACAGTTTAAGACGACATGGTATGATCATATATATATTTCTGCTTTTAACCTCGAAAATTTGTGGAAATAAATTGAAAGCATGTTAAGACGGGTGTTTGAACAAATGTAAGTTAATTGACTGTTTGCGTAACTGATACTTGCTCCAAAATAAAAATAAAAATACAGAGCAAGTATACCAGATCTCCAATCTCGAAAAACAACTTTATCCTAACTAGCCCTTGTACGTGACAATCTAAGCATGCATCTCCTCCACAATAGGAGTCCAATCGAGCAGGTCGGTGGCAGTGCCCAGCCTCTTATGTGCCATTGACATAATATGCAATCATACCACGATTACCAAACAACGATCTTCATCTGCTGACTTCCACAGGCTAGACCGTCGCAAGTCTTGATATCCTCCTGCTTCACCATAGCTTCGACGGGCAAGCTTTGTTGGGCGGACGAAACCTCGTGCCTTGCTTCGTTCTCACGCGAATAATGCTCCGTGATGACGCTGCATACAGTGCTCTGGAAAATTAGAGGTGCCTTCTCGAACGTTGGGTGCAAAAGGCCTTCAACGAAGACGCCGCCATTTGTATCGAGGCGTGGTACGACTTGACAACCTTCGACATCGTTAGTGATCTCGTCTTCGGGCAAGCATTCGGATCTCTCGAGAGCGTCCAATATCACCCTTGGATATCATAGATCTTGAATGCCGCGAGATCCAGCTCTACTCTAATATCTTTGGGCTATTTGGGTTGCAGCTGCAGGCTCGTCCTCGGTGCAAGAGGTCCGGAAGTACACAAGAGATATGGTTTTCAGACGGCTACAAATGAAGAGGAGCGATGACTTATTTGAAGGCTTGTGAAGCATGGTGAGGACTGGGACTTGTCATTTGCCAAGCTTGCCTCGAATACGTTTGGCCTACTTGCTCTGAACAATCTTGCATATGCAGAAATGAGACTTATACTTGCTCGTATCATCTACGAATTGGATCTTGAACGGACAGATAACAGCAAAGATAGGATCGAGGCGACAACGGCTCAAATTTTTATTTTTTTTGGTGGTGGGAGGGATAAAACACCTTGTCATGTCCTTCTCAATCCAGTACAGAGTGTTGCGTACCGCTAGTCCCTCTCGCCTACCGTAGAATATTAGGGAGTGGCCAGGCATATAGATGCCAGACCGTAATTAAAGGAATACCGACAGAGCCACATTCGAGATTCTATTTCACTAAATGCGACAGCTTGTATATCAGCTTATGAATGCAAGAAAGCGCCCCATTCAGAGATATGCCCGTGATTGTTCTCAGTCGTAAAACGTATAGAACGGAGGGCAGGATAGTCTAGCGTGGTGAAGGCTACACGTTACCGTATTATAAGCTGCAAGGAAAGTAGCCCCCTTTCACCACCCAGGCAGGTGACCACTGCGGAACCCCCGGTGTTGAATGTTTTGGCATTTTTGTGCGGTTTTCTTTGTACTAGTCTCACTAAAGCTGAACGGCTTCACAATTCAAAGCACGCTGTGGATCGCAGACTGAAGTCCAGCGTGGTCCCAGTCAACAAACGTAGAAAATGTTCCATCGTTTTACTCGGGATCGGTTATGGACTAAGTGGTTAACGTAGATAACGTAACAATGGACACTCTAGATGAAAAACCACCAATGAATCATCGTTCTCATGATATTTTTGAATGTACCTTTGACTAGTGCTGGGCCTTGGTGGGTTGTATAGACAATATGCTGCTACTAAATAAACTGAGTGAGATTCCTTGAAACATGGTTTTAATGTGGATCTCAGCCCAAGAAGTCCATTTGGTTGGCTAAGGATCCATAAAATACCAGATCCGGCGCTTTGTACTCAAGTCTGAAAGATTTCACTGCTATTTTAATCCACTCTGAAGTGGCCGAGGTGCTACATGCAACTAAGCGAGCAATAATCGTTATAACCGCGACTACGAGCTGGCCTTGGACTAGCTGGTCGCGACTTTAGTGCTATTACAGATTAGTCCTCCGCGTATGGAGCACCTGACCCGTGACAACCTCTTCACAATTTTGGCCTAGTCTAGCCTCAACACTGTAGGAGGTGTCCATAAGCTTACGGTTTGACATTTGTTCAATTCTTCAGCTATTACTTCGTTCCAGTCGTTGATTCTCACCATGGCGCCAAATCAGTACGGGTTACTCGACGACGCGGAGGAGAATGAACTGCATCACAAGCGCCTCCTTCCGTTAGAAACCAGGCCATTCCTGCGCCTGACCAAGCGACTGCTGGCGCCGGGTAGCTTTACGAACCCCAACGTCTTCAAGCTACCCACACCACCGCCAGACGGAGCCGCCGATGGCAGGACGGAAGATCCGCGACACGACGCATCGGCGTTGTCAGCCGAGGCCAACGCGCTGAAGGAGGACATCCTCTTCGACTTCCAGGCGTTCGACGCGGTCGTCGACCGGCTGCAGTTCCTGGCGACGCAGAACGCGGCCGAGCGCGAGCGCTACGCCAGCGACCGCGGCCAGATCCTGGACACCATGGAGTCGGTCCGGCAGTCCAACGCCGCCCTGCGCGCCCAGCTGGAGGAGGCGCGCGCGACCCTTGCGCAGCGCAAGAAGTTCGACGAGCTCGCCGACAAGATCACGGGCAACCGCATGCTGCGGACGCGGGAGGAGCAGCACGTCAACATCCAGAAGCTCACCGAGGAGTGCGAGGAGCTGCAGCGCGAGAGCGAGACCTACGGCGGCACGTGGCGCGAGAGGAAGGAGCAGTTCGACAAGCTGGTCGAGGAGGGCGTGAATCTGCGGAGGATCATCAGGGACGAGCAGGAGGAGGTCGAGCGGAGAGAGGGCATGGACGAGGATGCGGGCGATGAGGACGGGGAGACGCCCGCCAAGGGCAGCCCGAGCGGTAATGCGACTCCCGCGCCTCGAAGTGAGGGAGCCGGTACGCCGCGACCGGGTAGCAGCAGTGGTCGGACGCCAGCACCAGAAGATGGTGCGCATGCTGGTGGAGATAGCTTGAAGCCCAAGCCGGATACAAGTGGTGGTTTTTCTAGGGGAGGAAGCCAGGCCCCGAGCTTGAGGTTTGAGGGTTCCGCTGTAGGCACTCCCGCAGCGGAGAGTCAAGATCTTAAGGACGAGCCCGAAGAGGGAGAAGATGTCGAGATGGGCGAGCCGGCCCAGGCTGCCGATACGCCCATGGTAGAAGGTGGTGCGGCGGATGGTCAAGCAACACCTCAGATTACGGTGGATGCTCCAGCCGGTAATGGCGATACGATGGACACCACGTAGACATGTTGCATGATGGAACGAGGACTGTAAACTACAGAATTATAGCGTGCGAAAATGATACCCAAGCTGCTAAGACAAACATGTTCATGGACCTACGTTCGCTGGCTTTGCTCTCCTTGCATCGAATCAGTGCATTCATCATATCGTGAAGTTGATCTATTTTCGATCCTCAAAGTGGTATCATAGTGTCATCCCATTCGTAATCATACAGCCCGTCTGCCCTGGTGATTCTCTTATTCCCCCATAATTAAAGTCGTCGGACCAAATCTAGGCATCATCTTTCGGCACGCTGGCAAGAACCTCCTTTGCCTTGGCCAGCTCCTCTGCGTTGGTGCCGTTGTCGTCTTCCGCCGTTGCGATCTGCTCCTCCAGCCGCTGAGCAGCTTCGATGATGCGCTGCTTCAGGGGTCCGAAGACAGCCTTGGTCTCTTCCAGGGCTTTTCCCTGTTTTATAATACCCATATTAGCCATCATGAGGCCCTAGCCGGGCGGGGAGGGGGTTCTGGAAAAGTGCTCAGTGGCCAGCTCACCTCTTGCCTTATCACGAACTCGGCATTGCCGTCCGCATCGTTGCCGGCCTTGAGGTCCGCCTCGAGCTTCTCGATTCTCGAGTTCTGCGAGGAGAGCTCCTTCTGGTAGTACTTCTCTTCGGTCGTCAGACGGGTGACCGCTTGGGTTGCGATCTTGATTGGAGATGGAGCTGGCATTTTTGAGGGTTTGGGTTTGTATGCGTGCGAACAGGCGTTTCTTGATTCAGAAAGGTATAGAGGGTGCGTGCGAGTGCTGCGATGGGTGGTGCTAAATAAATAATGCGTACCCAACGTAAGGTGAGGAGCTGAATGTCAATAGGGAACTTTTGTTTAGAGGGGTTGGCGGGGTAAAGGGGGCTTATCGATAGCTTGGATGCTGATAGCTACATACTTTATATGAAGTGTATAGTGAGGGAAGGGAGTTCCATACCAAATAAATAGGTTAGTTGACAATGCATGATCACATATAATTTAGCTACACCTCGTACGTTTCTGTGACTTCCAATTTGTGATGCCTTGTTGCAACGACTTGCATACACGTGCGCACTACTCAGTGCTTCCTGCGGCGTATCCCTCTCATAGACATGGCCGTCCACGACATTTAGCCCACGACATTTAGCATCTCGTTGATCATGTCATCTTGTCCCCGTTTGCTAGAGAGCCATGATAATTAATCGTGTCTGAGTCATTAGTAGATCGCTCATCAAATTAGAGTGATACGAGTCCATCACTACCTTGTTTCTTGTCTCGCGCCTGAAAGAAAGGCGAGCTGTACATGCTAGGTGAGAGAAGGACGGCTAACACAACTTAAGCTAAGGAAGGTTCGACATGGTTTCGCAATATGTTAATGATGTTAAAACATATATGGCCACATTTGACATTTCGCTGTCGAGAACATTCACTTTCAGCCTCGGTATCTAGAATGGTGTCGAGCTTCATCAACCGCGTGTACTCAACAATTAACATAGCCCGTAGGGTTTCTAGTGGGAGTTGTCGTCAGTAAATGTTCAAACTAAGGATGGCGGGAGCAATGGATTGAATTGACGCAAAATAAGCCCTTCTGCTTGTATGTAAACGATAACGGCGTAATTGTTTGCTACACCTGCGTTTACCATCTTTAATCATCTTAGTTACTTTATTTTTGATGCTATTTACGACTATAATGCCAGAGTCTACGCCCTTTCACTTCCCAGTACCACGTCCAGCCGTAAACCCAGAAAGATCTCCAGGCAATGGTCAGTCATGGCTTACATATTTAAGATAGCATAAGGCTACGGATGTATATGGCATGGTGCTAAGGATAAAATCCCAAACCATACAATGATGCCGCCTGCTAAATATGCTCTAGAACATAGGATATCTATTTGAATACATTATGCAGACTACACTATTTGCTACAAAAGTTATAACCCAGTTTTACCACTGATTGTGAGAATTTGGTCCCATAGGTATTTTACAACCCCACTTTTGTTGTTATTTTTAAGTGTCTGGCTCTGGCTTTGGCTCTGGCAGCGGCTCATTCCTGGAGACCTCAATCTTTAACTTCTTTCTGTTTTTAGCTTAAAAAGAGACCGCCCTGGTGTCGTTCTCCGCAGGTATCTCTTCCATCACTGGCTCTGGATCAGGCTCCACTGCGGGTGGGAAAGGTGTAAAAATACTAGGAAACCCATCTCGAATGAAAGTCTTTTTTTTCATCTAGGAATAATTTGCAAAGACTCTAACAATACGGTCATCTTCTGTCTCCACCGCTTCTTCAGCAAATACGAAGGTGGTTCTGGCTGGTGCCATGGCCTCGGATCTTGGCGGAGAATATAAGCTTAGCTGATCACAATCAGGTGAAGGTTCTCGGCTAGAAATGGATGCAGTAGGACTTTCAATATCCGAAATGGACCTTTTCTCGGACGGCTCATTGACTACAACGATCAGCTCCCAACTCTCTTGTCTACCTAACATGAGGTGCTGCTTACAAGGCACAAGTTGATGGTTCCGAATCAGACGTTTCAATTCTGTAAGTCCTTCGGATAAGACTTTCTGCTTCTCGACCAGAGAAATTCTCTCCTGGGTTGTTTCTTCGTTCTCCGATGCTATCCTTCTGATGTTATCCTGACTGAGGGAATCAACTCGGTCCGGGCTGAACATGCTGGGAAGTTTGGAGATCAAGCAAGCTTCAATGGCAAGGTCACTGAAGTCGTCGACCACTCTCTTCAAGGCTACCTAATGAGGAATTAGCAAATCAATGAGGCTAATACAAAAAACACATTTCAATTCAAGGCACGAAATTGCGTTCGTTCTATGGACACTCACCTTGTAGTATGCCTCCATTACATCAGTTGCTGTAGAGCTTGCGAACAACTCCATGTCAGCCTCCGTTTGTGTTTCGAAGAAATCAAGTATTTCCGACATCGTCATGTCCAAGGGCGTAACCCCCCCTCTTTTACCATTTTCTTGCAGTCGTTTCATCAAAGCCTTTCGTGACCGTTGCTTCTGAGCTTTTTGAACGTTCTCGGTCAAGTAATGGTTGTATGTAATAGGGTGCCTGGAAGTATGGGAAGCGAGGATCTCATCGGTCTTTGCCAAGAGACTGCGGTTCAGTAGCTCAAGTTCAGGTATTATTAGCTCTTTCCACAGCTCCGATCTTGTGTTTTCGTCAACGACGTAGCTCAGGACCAAGTCTACTGTATGATTGACAGCAGCGAGGACATGGTTGGAGCAGTTGGTAATGAGGCTCTTCCACGGAACGCACTGGTCTCGGAAGAGTTCTGTGATAATTAAAGGATTGAAAGTGCCAGGCAATTCACACCCTCTTGAGTCTCTCATGAGTTTCTTCACTTCTTGCAAATACTCGCTTCGGAGTACTTGCACTGAACCATTCTGGTCGCCTTCATCGTACTGCTCTACAATCCTTCTCGACTGGCCGTTTTGGCGCATGTGTTCCGCAAAGTCAGTTAGTATGTTCTGAATCACAGCTCGGAGCCGTTTCCGGTTTGCACCATAATCACGAATATTTCCGAAGAATACGTCGCTATACAGTCCACTGATTGCCTCTCTCATCAAGGTCGCGAATCGGTAACTGGCCTGCAACAGATAGCTTCGTTGTTTCTCCATGGTTGCTCTTGATATCCCAAGCTTTTCGAGCGCATGTGAACACTCCTGTAAGCCATGGTCGACTTTCGAAATAAGTTCTGGAAGCTGTTCCAAAATTTGGTTGGTAAGAACACCACTAAGTCGAGATCGTAAAGCAGCGACTCCTTTTTGCTTCTGGGGCAGTGCAGCCCATGCACCCTGTGCCAGGAACGCCTCTTCTTGCCGGTCTCTTTCGTCATTGGTTGCATCACGCGATGTATAGTCTCGGTTCCGCAAAATATGCCAACCAAGGCGGAAGTGCACGTCATGATTTTGTGCGAGTTCAAGGTAAGCCCGCTCGCTGTCTGAACCTGCATCAAGAGTATCCGGCTTCGTGATGAGCCCGATCGTCCTATGCCCATGGCGATCAATCTTCCGCGCAAGTTGCGTGACCTCTTGTAAGGCGAAGTCGCTCTTAGCTGAGACAACGGCAAGTATAATACTCAATGACTTCGACATATAAGTCCGCACAAGTTCTCGAACAGTGTCAGCATCCTCGGCTGACTGCTCCTTATTTCCAGCTCGAAACAGTCCAGGGAGATCGACGATGGTCAAGTTCGGCTGTGCTGGTCCGATGACCTCAATGCGTAGAATATCTGAGCTGAAGGTCTTTGACTCTTCACCTAGGCTCATATGCATCTTGGCCTTCTCGACTAGAGCGCTTATGTCAATCTCCTTGGGGGCAGCCGAGTAATTAAACTGCTCGAGCTTGATCCTCTCTTCCGCTGAACGGTCATTACCAGGTTGAATGGAAACCTTGCATTTTTCTGGGGCATCAGGAACATGTCGTAGGATAAGCTCGGTCGCGAACCTTGTACAAAGGTTGTCCTTGATCGGGAATGACATGCCTGAGATTGCCTGAAGTACTGAGCTTTTGCCGGAGGACTGGTCACCACAGACGACAATCTGTGGTAGATCCACATAACGACTAATTCCTTTGGACCTTAGTTTGTCGATGGTGTCCATAAGGACTTTATGGTCTTTGGACTGTAAGGAGTTCATCTCTGAGGTTGTCATGTTTCGTAGTTACTAAGCTCAGTTGAGGTGTAGACTCAAAGGGATTCTTGGCCAAGTGATAGTAAATGAGCAGGATTAAAAACAATAAACTAGTGGCTCACTCCTTTCCTCTTCAAATAACATCTGGCAAGTTAGGCATCTATGCAGGAGGCCCACCAGTTGACTGATATTTGTGTAGCATCAGCCTCACGTAATTGCTGCATTTCATTTGTGCCCCAACATCGGATAGCTGTGTCACGGCCCGAGCGATCGGGTACATTTACTGGTCAACATGACTGCCGCACCAATATACTTTGACAACAAAGACACGACAGAACGTTTTACAGCAATTTTTTGAGTTTGGGTAGTAGATCAATACCAGTACATCAACATTACCGCCATCGACGGAATTCATTTAGTGGTGCTCACCAGAGGTTGACTATCGCCGCATATCGATATCGAGTCAACACAGAGCCAACACCACAGATGGCAGAAAAGTTACCTAGGAGAGGGGGACTCTGATCTCTTCTTCTATTTTATTTTATATTTAAAAATAAATTCACAAAATTAACTTTCTATTTTCTTCTTGTTAAATAAGAATAAAAACAAAAGCAAAAAGAATTGAAAAATAAAAAATAAAAATAAAAGAGGAAGAAGAAGAAGAGGAGGAGGAGGAGGAGGAGGAGGAGGAGGAGGAGGAGGAGGAGGAGGAGGAGGAGGAGGAGGAGGAGGAGAGATTGAGAACACGAGCGAACAGGCGATAATTGTCAATCACATATAGGAAAGTCGCCTGCTAACGGCTGACGAACATAAATATAGGCCTACGGTTGGACAATAACGTTCTCGTATCATCTAGGTTCGCACGTCTTTAGAACAAGGACAATGTGCAGAGACAGTCTGGAAGATGCGAGGCATGGCTAAAATGCTTGTGAGCATTAGAAAAGCTGTTGTGAAAGCCAACGTCAAGGATAGGAGAAACGGTGTCTGTGGCAGGACTTGTGTTCAGAGTAACAGTAATTGAACCACACATCATTCATTCATGTGCTCCATATGCAGTCATAAATTCATTCGACAGGGAAAGCAGAATGTGAGTATTTGGGAGTGTCAAGACGCAGGCGATGACCGCCTTTACGCGAGCAATATAGGTCGCCCTCACTGCTTAATGCCAAACTCAGTCTTAGCAGATGTTAAGATAATATGGAGAGTGGTGACATGTTGTTCCATTAACAATGCTCGAAAGTTGGACAACTCAAGTTGTAAGCCATTGATACCCATGCTTCATCTCAGTGACTCGAGAAAGAGAGGGCAATTAAAGGTGTGACGTGCTGTACTTCGGCTTTAAGATTAGCGGATAACAGGGGACTTTTCAGTGGCGCCATCGGAACGCGACGGAAAGCTCAAGCATCATTTGAATTACAAATTCACCTCAAAAGGTAATTACTCACTATCAACTCTACGCCAATTCACAGAACTCACCTATTACACCCTTACTCCTCATCACAATGGCATCCCAAGCTGTATCAATGCGTAAGGTACCTCCGCTGTCGCCATTGCCGCTGTCTTGTTCGCTAATCGCAGTAGCTTCGCTGGGCTCGAAGTCCGACTCTAAGCCTGTCGCAACCCTTGAAACTTCCAAGCCTAAGGTACGGTTCTGCCAGCTTGCTTTCAGGATTTCAAGATAGCCGATTGACATCTTCGATAGCCCTGCTGTGTGTGCAAAGACGAGAAGTCGAAACGGGACGAGTGCATGCTGTTCTCCAAGGCAGCTGATCCCACCGCCGATTGCAAGCCAATAATCGACCAATACAAGAGTTGCATGGCTGGATTTGGTTTCCAGATCTGAGGGGAATCGCAATCGCCAATTAGACAGACGGCGTCGTAAAAGCGACGTACAAAACGGTGTCGATGTACAATACAATGTATGTGCCAATCCGCCTTGACCGGAGGCATCAGAGTGTGCATAGGGAAGGCGTTCAGGATCTTGGATTATAGAAAGAGAAATTCACATATTCTCCAATCACAGGTTTCGTCCTGCTTCAGCAATTGGTATACCTTTTAAGATTTTACGGCCATGACGCCATTGATATATACCTATGATCAGTAGCAGAACTGACCTGTCGACCTACAAAACCCTACATGGGTGTTCTTGTGGTGTTCGCGTAGATCATCTAAGTAAATACTGTCGAAAAGGTTGGTGCGTATCCAATTCTTACAAAGTTGCATGCGTTGAAATATCAGATTGCCAACCATTATTCTTTCATGTTGGCGGTTTTGCGACGGCTTACGTCATGTTCCACTAGTCTAATTAGGTATAAATGATTCCTCCATCAACAATCTGCGTCTGTCCGGTCACGAAATCACTATCACTACTTGCCAAAAAGCTAACATGCTTAGCCACGTCCTCAGGTACACTTACACGCCCTAAGGCGGTCAATTCCGTCACATATTTTTTGATCATCGACCCCCGTTCTGTGCCTTTCTTCTTCGCCAGTCCTTCGTCAATCAGATCCCACATTGCTGTTCCGACTATGCCGGGTGCATAAGCATTTACCGTTATGTTATGCTCCGCAAGTTCCATAGCGTATGCTTGCGTCAAGCCCCTGACTGCCCATTTGGTCGCGCTGTAATGAGATAGTAAGGGAAAGGGCTTGAAGGCCACGATCGAGGCCGCTCCGATGATCTTGCCAGGACGTTCGGAGGTGCAGTTGCCCTGAGTAATCATCTGCTTAGCAGCTTCGGCATAGCAATTCTGAACTCCAAATACATTGACTGCGAATATGCGTTCAAAGTCTTGCTCTGTCAGATCCAACAAGCTTTTGACTTGTGCGATTCCAGCATTTGCAATCCTGGCAGTGATGGTTAGTAGCATGATCAAATTGAGGTAGACGGAAAGGAAACGCTTGCATGGTGCTAAGCGGACCGAGCTGCTTGACACTGGTTTGAATCATGCCAGCAACCTCATCCCGCTTCGTTACATCCGCAATAGCGGAACATGCTTTACGACCCATGGACTCGATTTCTCTCACGACTTCATCGCAGCCTTTGGAATTGGCGCTAATGTCGTTGATACAGACGTTATACCCATCCGCCGCTAGACGTAACGCTATACTCTTTCCTATGCCTCTGCTCGACCCCGTCACAATCACGCTCTTTCCATCATTGGATTTTCGTTGCAGCCCTGCGGATGAAGTTCCGTGATTGGCAGAAGTAGAGAACCCAATTCGAAGGCCGATGCTTTGAGCTCTCTTAAGTTCGGATGCTGCACAAATCGATTTGCCAATTGTTCTTACGCTGTACTTCATGGCGACGATGATGAAACTTACTTTAGCAAAATACTATGTTAGAAAAGTGTTGGAGTGAATTCAGACAAAAAGACCGAGTATAACAGATATTATACCCAACATCTTCCCCGCGTTTGGAGGCTTGGTGCCCCTCTCCGGCCCCATTTCCCTGGATACACTAACCTTAACAACATGACTTTCCCAGCTCAGAGTGACGCTTCGATCCTTGTTAATGGCCTGATTATCAGCATAGAAGTTTTCGGGAAATTGGACGTCATGAGACACACATGTGTTTCCTGCACCTAGGTAGCCCTGGACTTTCTTGTGCTGCTAGATGCAGTCTCTTATGGCAAGCCCTTCAAACTTCAATGTTCATTGCCATGAGCCACATCTGAGCTATTTCCCATCCTACACCAGTTGCAGCAAATTCAAAATGGAGGGTCAACAAGACCGGATTAGAAATCGAGGTGCGCAGCCCTTCTGTTGGCAGGAACTGGCAACCTTGGTCGCCACAGCTATGCTAGTGCAGAAACGACAAAACCAGGTGCTCAGAGCTCCTCCAGGTACTAGTCTGGTGCGCAACGCCAGACCATACAGTGGCCGGACTTTCAAACACTCGTTCGACTTAATTGCTCAAGGTGGGACGTTTTGAATCCGGAGCTGACTAGGCCATGGAAACGTTCACCTTTGTTCCAACGAGCAAATGTTCCATCCAGAGTGGAATATGAACTTATTTCCGATCACAGTAATATCGTGATCGGCGGTTTCGAAATTTTGAAGGGTGACTCCCCGTGCGGAATTTCTCTTGAAGACACAAGCCGGCAGCCGTTGTATGATGGCGCTTCGCCAGTGTACAAGATTCACTCGAGCATGCATTTTTCAAGAATATCCAAAAGCTGGCAGCTTCTGTCCCTGCCGTCAAGTCCCAACTGATGATCTATAAAGCTTCCGTGATGGCAAAATCAAATAACCCTACCCATACAACTGCTTGCTCGGTATCTTATGTTGATGCTTGTTCCAAAACTCCAACGTCCCCTCCAGTACTCAATCACAAAAGGGCTCAGTCGCAGACATCTCTTAAAAATTGGCAATAATCACCAAAGTTTCACAGGGTTCAGGCCATTTACAAGTACAGGTACGCAAACAAACCACTAGACCTACGCTATTAACGTATAAATCAACGGCAGGGCCATAATGACCTGACATATATTGCTTCTGCTTATCACTGCCAACCTCACCTTCCAGTTATTACAATATGACGGATTCATTGATTCAAATACTGTTGCTTATAGGTTGTGATACGTGCCTTGGGATCATGACCTCATATCCCACCTGATTATGGTAGCGCTCATAAGACCTTTACATTACCATCAAGCCTAGTACTTGGAGAGAAAAAAATATGCCGGCGCATACATTAAGACATAAATTCGGTACTGCGATGCTTTGCTTTGGTAAGTCTCTAGTCCATAACATGGGTCAAAGATTGAGGGTTATCTTCGAGGGCCAACTTAAAACCATTTGCTGCTCGTCACGATTCTTGCGGAAATCTTTTCCACGTAATTACTGCCGACCAACGCTGTGTTTTCTTTGGATATAAGAGATGTCGATAGTAGTTTCTGCACTGCTCGTTCTACTCGTATTTTCATGCTCACAACGGAAGCTGCTACAACCCCATTATGCTTCAGTCACTTATCTATAGGAATAGGGGCCATATAAGCACAGACAGGACAGTCAATTTAGTACAAGATACTCAAATAATATAGAACTACCACTGCGACTGTGATGTCATAGGAAGTAACCACTCGCTCTGTGATGTGACAGCAAGGGTCCGTACAGCCAATAAAATACCATTTCAACGACAAGTACCAATAAAATGAGACGCACAACCATTGTCTCTGTGAATTCTATGCTGTACCATTATTGCCCTCAACTACAGCTAACACGTTATAATCAAAAGACTGTAAAATAAAATACAAGTCTCACGACCGGTGTACCAATCACTCAGGATTGCTACGAGCCAGGTACGCCACTCCAAAAAAAAAAAAAAAGAAAAAAAAAGAAGCCAGCTCTCATATCGCTCAAATCAACCGAAACATCCATCGTTCTTATCATTACACAGGCTCGTACATGCTGTATCCTAGGCCTGCTAATGCTTAGTCATTCCCTCTTCTTCAACAGCGAGAATAGAGAGAAAGACTTTATCTACTTCCACTACCACTGTCCTTGCTACCAAGACTTCAACACAGCATATCACAAAGTGAGTTCTATTGGAATTCCACGGATTAAGCTGGCCGACCATAGAAAGAAGTATGGCAATACGACAAACAAGTTCTTGTACAATTCATGTAACGATCACGTCAGTCACAATCGCGGTCGTAACGAGAACCAATACGGCGCAAGCCACTCAGCTCTCTCCATGAATGTTGCAAGCTTCTCTGTCATGAGGCCTGCTCGAAATTACACATTCAGTACCTTGAGTGAAGAATTGCATAATTGGGCCTTTCTTTCCATAGTGACAACACATATGGCAATTGAAACGACGACAACTCTGACTCTATGGCGTGGGGTCATTATAAGGTATCCGGCACCGTTGCAATGACTATTTCTGAGGGCGAAATTATGCCCAGTTGATATTTCTAGGCCAACGCGGGTACCTATGACTTTGTGGGCCTAGATCTTGGAGCACGCAAGTTATACATCACTCTCCTGAAGGCCAACAGGTTATGGACACGGCCCGGTGGTTCATCATAGCCATAGTATCACTGGACTATATGGATCATTAGTTGAAATCCAGGGCAGGTAGGGGGCTTGTCTTATATCGTGCGCAAAATCATCGATCCGCGCTACAAATCCTGTAGACTTTATCAACTAGCGAGTCTATGATCACAAACCCTGTCTCAGATTTACTGCTGACTAATTCCGAGCAATTGTAGAGTATTGCTCGTCATATGACACAGTTGAAAGTCCCTTGAGAACCACTTCTGCATGTGCTGGTTTGTGTTCCCCACTTGGGTGTGAAATAGACTACAGCTCTGGGTCGGTGTCGAACGTTCAACCTGAGACGGCTACACGGCGACACAAGGGGTTAGGAAAAGCAAGCCGTAAAAATTAAAGTTTCGTGCAATTGATTGGTTCCATATTTTAGGAATTATACTTTCTTGACAAGCGGCCACTGCTCATGGTTGATCATTTTGGCAGTTTGCTGGTTTCCGGAATAGGCTTCTGATCGCTGTTGCCGAAAACATTTAACGCCAAGCCAGTCGCCTCCACATATAGATCACGACACTTACATATGATCTTGTGGTAGCGACGCAATGCTTTTGTTTGGCCACACTGCCACATAAACCATTGATTCCCAACCACGCGAGGGCAGACGTCAACGATGGCAAGCGGGTCGCTGCGGATCTGTGGTGGCGTGAGGCTAAGAATTTAGCATAAATGCCCCTTTGCTTCCGGAATATGAGCCGCAGTCCTTTCATACCAAATTGGGCCCACGGCACCGACTACCGTCCAATGCCCCTGGCCAATTCTCCACAACAACCCGGTTGGCAACCATCGTAACCGAGAGCTTAATGTACCCCAGACTCCAAAGTCTCCAACTGCCAGCGGCGATACTACCTTTATGTTTCACTAGCACTTCGTACCACCAGAAACTCGATTTTTCAACATTGCCTTTATGCGCATACCCGCCTACATGACCGCACGCTCCATGAGATGCCATCGACCCGAACTTCGGAGCCATGAGCATGTCCCAATTGAGCCGCCTCCCTTTTGTCCGGTCGGGGTGACATATAAATGTGGCAGATCGTTGCAGAATCTTTGTGTATGAGAACCCCCTCTGCCAAGACATCAAGGATCAAGATATTGACTGAACACTATCAGCGTTCACCTTTGAGCACCAAGATATCATCAACATGAAGACCTCCGCTATTCTTCCCATCCTCGCCGGACTGGCCAGCGCTAGCCCTGTCGACCTTGAAGAGCGACAAAGCTGCCCGGGTGTCTACGTCTTCGGTGCGCGTGAGACTACCGCCCCTGCGGGATACGGTACATCTGCTGGCCTTGTAAATCAGGTCGTTGCCGCTTACTCTGGAGCTCAGTCCGCGGCCATCAGCTACCCAGCTTGCGGTGGCCAGTCAAGCTGCGGCGGCGTGAGCTATGACAACTCGGCGACTCAAGGCACAGCTGCCGTCGTCTCGGCTGTCAACAGCCTGAACTCGAGATGCCCCAGCACCAAAATCGTCCTCGTCGGCTACTCCCAGGGAGGACAGATCATGGACAACGCCTTGTGCGGCGGTGCTGGCGCCACTCTGACCGGCAATGCGCTGGCCGCTGTCAAAGCCGCCATCTTCATGGGTGACCCACACTACGTCTACGGCCTCTCCTACGATGTTGGAACTTGCCGAGCTGGCGGTGTAAGTTTTTTTTTCATGTCGGTGAACAAAGTCTCAACGAACTCTTACTAACGTGAACTAGTTCGCCGCCCGTCCCAGTGGTTATCAGTGCTCTCCCGGAAATGGTGCCATTATCCAGTCTTATTGCGACTCGCAGGACCCCTACTGCTGCAATGGAAACGACGCAAACCACCACCAACAGTACGTCAGCATCTATGGCTCTCAAGCTTTGACCTTCATCAAGAGCAAGCTTGGCTAGATATATATACTGCTGTCAGATCTCGCGGAGAGAAGTTGCCAGGAATTGCACAGTTTGAGCTATTTTTGTCGAGCGCGTTGCAATTTGTGCTGGGCCTGAGGGTTCACTTCAAGCAGTCGTGGTCTGAGCTGTGAGGGACGCTGTGCTCCACTATATTGTCAAACAAATTTCAATTTTGTATATATTTGAAAAGTAAAAACTTTGTATGTCAACAGTACAAATCTCCACCGTAGACTTACTACAGATGGATTGTATCGCTGTGGGCCTGATAGCTGTAGTGTAGACTGCAGATCCTGCTAATTATGGATCTCTGCATGAAGACCCGGGATAATCTCCAAGTCCTTCTTGTCGTACGCGTACTTTCCTCCAGCAGAGATCGTAGCTGCCTTGGTTGGTCGCTGTTGCTGGGTTTGCCTAAGCTTGACCCACTGCTCCGTAGTTAGATGTTGACCAAGCTCTGTCAGTGCATTAGTCTTCAAGCCGAGACGGTCTAGAACAGGGCTGTTCGCAATAGGGTCAAGCACTACGTGGTTGTTGGGTCTGAAGGAACCCGTTAGTTACGTGGCTCAGATAGTGGGTCTATGATACATACCGAGCGAAATATAGCACGCCAAGGCGGTCGACATGGGCCTGGTCTTGAGGCGGTGCATGGACGCGATGGATGCTTGACTTGATGTAGCCTCCCGTGAGCGCAGTGAGGGCGTCGCACGTGTTGATGGTAATGGTGCCGTCTTGAGGTTTCACCCACTTCCAGTTCCCTTCCGAGTTGAGAATCTGCAATGCGGCGACTGGCTGCCGGAACAGGAGCGTCAGCGTTCCGAGGTCGGTGTGTCCCGGCACATAGAGATCTGCGACCTTTTGGTTATCGTCCGGGTTACGCGCCGCGTAGTGCATATAGCGTAGATGGTCCTCGCCCTTGACGTCGTATCTGTGTTACGGAAGACGTCCCAGTCAGTTCATTTTCGCACGATAAAGAGTCTTATGCTTCGGGTTCTGGCTTGGCTAAACCCACGAATTCCATTTCCCGAGTTGGGAAGGCTGTTGACTAGGATTTCTCGAATGATGCGGAAATACTGGGCTCAGAATATTTTCTATACGTACGTGTGATCATGCACGAGCTGGTCTTCATCCGGCAGCTCTAGCAGAAGTGCGAAAAGACGCAGCAGCTTTACAACAACTTCTTCATGGCATTTCTATGGAAGATGAGTTAGTAATGCTAGCTAAATTGGAGATTGAGCGGATACCTACTCGACTGAAGGCCTCCACCTCGCGGATGTTTCCTTCGATCAATGGTGGTTGTTGTCGCTGATGGAAGCCATCGAATTTTGGAATGTTGTAAACTTGGATGTTGTCTTTAACCCCGTTGGCGATTCTATATCGCCATGTCAGCTATGTTACCAACTCTCAAATTGCGTTCCCAAACGCCGCAAGAGTGGATTTTAATACATACTTGCGATGCCCTGCCGGTCTATAACCGTTATACTCTCCACTTTCGAGATCATTTTGGTTGTGATATTTTAGCTTTTCTTCCAAAGGGAGGGCGTAAAACTCTCTGCCAAGCGCGAACTGGTGATCAACCTCTTCTTGGCTGATGTTAAAGTTCTTGACGTAGAAGAAGCCGACATGGCGAACCGCGTGTTCCAGCTGCTTGACGAGTTCTTCTTTGCCTCCAGGCTGTTCATACAATGAGAGGTCGAGGGTAATGAGCTCTGCCCAGTCCACTGAAACTGATCAGTACACACGGCGCTCGGAAACGGCATCAATAAGAAGGCATAAGTACAGGTTTCCTTGGTCACCGGGACTTGTTCGTACGTGTCGATAATCAGTCCAGGCATTTTGTTTACTAGTTTATAAGAAGTAGCGAAACAAGCGAGTCTTGGCCGGTAGATCAATATGAACTTGAGACACGATGGTGACGACGAGATTGAGATGTCAGTGGTAAATGCGTGACGCTGGCCGAATGAACGAAGCAGCAAATCCGCTTTTATATTTTACATATGGCAACGCCATCATACGGGACAATAGATGCGGGGCAAATCATCTCCATAGCTTCGTATAGACAAAGCGCAATTCTATCACGCCATCTGCGGTGCATTGAATTCCAATCGAAGTCATGTCCGGCAGGCAACGCGACCCCACTACCTTCGACGGAAATAACCATTAATCGCGGGTCATCTTCTATATTACTGGATGAGCAAGAGCCGTCTTCTCGGTTTCTTCGGTCGCTGTCGTCGGTGATTGGATGTTTCTGTACTATCCTCAGGACAATGGAACCTTGATCATCTATGGCAGCGGGTTGAAGATAAGCACGCAATGCAGGGGTCAAAGCACATCATCAACGACGGGAATTACCTCGCTCCTGCAGAACTTATCAGAGTATGGAGCCATAGACATCTTCTTGTCCAACAGTTGGTTACTGTAGCTTTGACTAACTGCTTTAAATCATAATGGAGTGGGGGCCCTATGATGTGGCGACATAGACAGGGTCCATTGCATCGTCGAGTATAACCCAAGTATAACCGGGGCCGGTAGGGGCGTTATCCCAATGGCGGCAAACATATAGGCGACGGCTGTAGCTGCTCCTTGGCTATTGTTTCGCGTAACTTTGACTCCCTTTGGTCTCATAGAGCAGCATTGACCGGTAGTCAACGTGGAAATGTCAGAAGCCAAAAATGGTTCTCAGAGGCTTACGCTTTTCAAAGTCATCAAGGAGATATTTAATTGGTACCCGTCTGAGTATCCGGCCGAGGAGAGAAAGTATGTGAGATCTCTCAAATTAGACTTCAGAGTGTTGCTGACCAGACAGGCTTCTTTTCAAACTCGACTTGTCGATCCTCGTTTTTGCATGCCTATGCTGTGAGTTCTGGATTGATTGTTGTCGTACTCATGACTGATATTTGGTTGTAGTTTTCTGCAAATACCTTGGTAAGCATATAGCACCAACCGAATGTTGTTGAGCATGAAGCTAACTCACCTATAGATCAAACGAATATTAGTAATGCGTACACTAGCGGACTGAAAGAAGAGTTTGGTCTATACGGCAATGAGTTGAATTATTTCAATGTTTGTTACTATACGGCATACGTATTCTTTCAAATTCCTTTTCTCTTACTCATTTCAAGGCCCAAATTGTAAGTTGCTTCCAAAGTGTCGGTGCGACATAACCTGATACTTCGTGAACAGAGCTCGATGGCTATTGCCCTCTCTAGAAGTAGTTTGGGGTATAGCGACCTTCGCACAGAGCCGGGCTACGAATGTGACGCAGTTGTATGTGGCGCGCTTCTTTGTGGGCGCGCTTGAGGCGCCTGTTTTCGCGGGAACCCATTTCATTCTCGGTAACATTTTGACTCTGGTTTTTGAGTAGATGATTTCATGCTGATAGTATTTTCCTAGGATCTTGGTATAGCGGTCCAGAGCTGTTCAAGAGAGCTGGCATGTGGTTCGTCTGTAATCCTCTGGGGTCCATGATCAGTGGATACCTTCAGGCGGCTGCCTACACGCACTTGTCTGGGGTGGGTGGAATGCCAGGTTGGCGGTAAGGTCAATGTTAGTCTATGAGGTGCTTGACTAAACGCTTTTTAGGTGGCTATTTATCATTGATGGTATCATCACGATCCCTGTGGCACTGTCAGGTTTTCTTCTTTTCCCTGGTATTCCGGATTCCCCAAGAGCCTTTTTCTTAACCGAGTCTGAAATCGATCTTGCAAAGAAGAGATTAGAGAGAGCAAAAGTTACGCGGGCGGGCAAACTAGACCTAGATGTCTTCAAACGGAGCTTACGAAGATGGCATATCTGGCTGTTCGTTTTCTGTTACATGTGAGTTCAGAATATTTACATACCTCTCGTGCTGCTGCAAAATTGACTGTGTTCCAAGATGTATGATCATCTCGGCATACCCGGCAAGTTACATGAATCTGTGGCTCAAGGCGGAGGGATATTCTGTCGTAAACATCAACCAGCTGCCGACTGTCATCAACGCAATTACTATCGTTACGTCATGGCTTGGCACGACTTTGGCAGCTATATACCCCTCATGGATTATCTATACGATAGCCTCATGCACGGTTGTGTTCTCGTCGATATGCATGACCATCTGGAATTTACCGACAGCGCTGAAGTAAGGATCTTAGGCAATCTCACAAGAAGCATGCTGACTAGAAGATAGGTTCGTGGCATGGTATTTATATGGATTCCAAGGGTGCCTGTCCCCTATTCTGTACTCGACTGTGAATACAATTGTGAAGAACGATTCTGAAGAACGAGCTTTGATCATGGTGAGTCTGGAGATGTTACTCTAGATCGGAAGGAGAGGTGAATAGACTGACTTATCAAAGGGCTCCATGATGACCGTTGGATATTCTTTCAACATCTGGGTGCCGCTGCTACTATACCCAACGGCGGGACCAAACGGAGCGCCGCGATGGCGCGTTGGATGGCCCGTTTCGCTTGTCTTCTACGTTCTATTGTGGGCTGGATTCATCACTGCGATAGTCCTTTACAAACGACGGTAAGTACTGCAGACCCGATGTGATGTTCACTGGATCCGTCTAATACGCATAGAACAAGTGGAGAAAATGCCGACCGTGAATCGCAGCGTGAGGGACACTCCACATCCGAGGCTGGAGATGACGAAGAACGCAATGGAAAGGTGGTGCCCAATCTGACGGTTGCCGCCGCTGAGTCAAAGATCTAATCGGTACGATGACGAGCCGCCACACTTGCAGCTCCCGCACCTCCCACCAAGCCTAACACTTCGTTCACGGGTGCCACCTCTGGACTGGAACAATTCAAGTTCGGTTGCGCGGTCGGGCTCAGTGGAGTCCCTATGGCGTCTCATGTTGCTTCGTGGCTGACTTCAGCTATTGAGGTAGTTTGAAGATCTGTTCCAGGATATCGATACAGTCGAATTCATGACGTCGTACATTCTCCTTGTTCTGGGTGTTGTGGGTGTGGTGTTTTTTTTCTATTTTGCTTTTTGGCAGACCTGATTTGACATATTACCTGTGTTGTACTCACCACTCGACTGCCTGGGACCCGACCAATGTCCAAAGGAAGCCTAAGAACCTACGCCCCGATTGGACAAGGTATCGACAAGTTTCGAAATTCGAAAGTGGGAAGGCCTTTGACACATACATTAGGGACAGTGGTCAATGTGAGGGAGACAATCAGGTAGGGTTACATCACTGTAGCATTGCAGTTCACGGTATATGGAGATGCTGAACAAGTGCTTGCCTGAAACGCTAGTATCGCGAAATGGTGAATTACGTACCCTTCGTAAACGTCGTTGCAACCCATGAGTCTATCCATTGCTTTCTTTACATGAAAATGTGTGCGCTTTCCCCAAACTATAAACAGATCCGGTTTGTGGAACGGTTTATTGACCTGCACCGCGACCGGCTCCTCCTGCACCGCCAGCACCGCCAGCACCACCCATGAAGTTTCTTGCCATTTCCGCAATGCTAGGGTCGCTCATCAAGCTACCGAGGTCAGGCATGCCGCCGCCACCGCCGCCGCCGGCGCCGCCACCACCACCAAACTGCTCAGCCATCTGTCGCAGTCTTGGGTTGCTCATGAGGTTGTTCATCATGTCGGGGTTCGACATAAGGTTTTGTGCCATGGATGCGAACATGGGGTTGCTCATGATGCTGGACAAGTCGGGCATGCCACCGCCAGCACCACCTGCTCCGCCAGCGCCACCGCCGCCTCCCATGCCACCAAGCATGCTTGCCAAGCTGGAGAAGTCTGGTGCACCACCAGCTCCTGCGCCTCCACGGGGACTGCTGGGTGCAACGTCGCCGTCCTCGGCCTCGAGCTCCTCAACACGCCTCTTGGCGGTCTCAAAGCCCTTCTTCATAGCATCGGAACCGCCATTGCCCTCGTGGTCGATGCCTTTCTGGTAAGCCTCCATACTGCCCTTGGCATCTCCCAAAGCGAATCGAGCAAGACCAAGTCTTGACCAGGCCTTGGTGTACTTGGGGTCGACGTTAACAGCGGCTTCGGCATCGGCGCGGGCGGATTCGTGATCGCGGGCGGCCGAATATGCAGCAGCGCGGTTTGACAGGAAGATGGCGTTGCCAGGGTGTAGAGCTAGGGCTTGGCTGTAGAGGTCGATGGCCTTTTGGTAGTCCTTGGCGGCCATGGCTCGGTTTCCTTCGCCCTTCAGGCCCTCGGCCTTCTTCTTCTCGTCCTCGGTAGGAGTTTTGGTGCTGGGGGTAGCACCAGAGCTACTTCCAGCGGCCGCAGGTGTGGTGGAAGAGGCCGATGGGTTCGAGGTGGCGTTCTGGAGCTTCTCATACACGCCGTATATCTTCAAGAGATCCTGAGCACCAACGGTCTGCTTGATCGCGTTCTCGTCGGTAGGGTCGACCTTGAACGACTCGGCGATACAGTTGATGGCGACATCAATGGAGTCCTTATCGTCTGCGCTGAGGGTGCCATCTTCGACAGAATTCGACAGAAATTGGCAGATCGCAAGCGCGAGGCGCTGTTTAGATGTGGTTGCCATCTTAATAGAGTGGCTTATATGTAGACAGAATGAGGGTGTGGATGAGACTAGAGGAAACAGATGTTGCTCCCAGTTTAATACCTACAGTACGCAAAGGGACACGGTAGAAATGGGATAAGTTATGTTGAAAGCTGTTCTGGAACATGCCACTGCGGCAGAACCCCGCGATTGTTTAAGCAGGCGGTGAAGAGGGCAGGGGGCAGGAGGCAGGGGGCAGGAGGCAGGAGGCAGCGGAGAAGTGACTAGCGGGGCAGACCCAAATTATACGGGATGCATGGACTAAGTTTAGGTGTGGTTTAGGAGTCCTCCACTCTACAGAAATAACGTATTGAGAAGCATACAAGAAATTCCCCTTATTTACTACCATTCACGCATGAAATTACAAGCTATTTTCCCTAATTCACTGCCATTAATCTATAAACAAGCATCTGCCAAAAAAAAAAAAAAAATTCATGAGAGTTGCCTTTTGTTGCACGACATCAGAACTCGCCATCGTCTCTACCCGGGTGCTTGAGCCGTATCAGTGAGTGCAATAAGTTGTTGCAACCCCCAAAATTGCCAGACACAATTCACTAGATATTTTGAGCATCTGTGCTCTCGAGTTGCTGCTCATGGCCTCAAGATGTCTTGAAATCATATCCACAGGCCGTCCTTGCGTAAGATGAACGCATGAACATGTGTACGTTTAACCAATATAAGACATATGCAATGGGTAAAAGAGAACATGTGCATTTTATCAATCAATTATGACCAGTGGTTCTAGCGAATATGTAGCTTACAATGTTAATGTACTAGTGTAGAGCTCAATGGAAAGAGATATGAACAGGCCTCATTTGATCCCTTGTCATGGATATCACGTAGGTAGATACCGGACCGGAGACTATCGGCCGCCGCCTCTGAGTCAACATGCAGAGGATGCATTAATCTGTCAGGGGTGCGAACAAGATCTCGGTAGCATCCATTTAATATAAGTAAGTCGTCTAGGTATTTTAACCCTGTTTGAAAGAGGCAAGAAGATTGTCAAGTCTATATGAGTTATCACCTGAGAGCCATATAAGAAAATAGCCGCTACGATGTCAACCCTCACAGTTCCACCACCTCCTACCTCCTCCTTGTCACCAGACCAGATCTCCCAGTTTCTGACATACATCAAGATTCCGCAACATCTACACCATGCACCGCCGACACTGTCCCTGCTCAAAACCCTGCACACACACATGCTGACAACATGCCCCTATGAGAACCTCTCCATACACTACAATCCATCCCATAATATCAGCCTCGACCCGCAAGCTGTCTTCCACAAGATCGTGGTCGAGGCCCGTGGTCGTGGCGGTTACTGCATGGAATTAGCCATTTTATACAACAACCTGCTCCGCGGTCTCGGCTTCGACGCCTACACAGCCGGAGTGCGGACGCGTCCGCGCATAGACGGCGTGCCCAGCCGTGATTTCCCAGGCTGGTGCCACATCGTGAGCATTGTCTCTCTCCCAACTGGCGAGCGATACCACGTCGACGTGGCGTTCGGCGGCGATGGACCGACCGCGCCCTTGCCCCTTGTGCCTGGCACCGTTCATCAGAACTTGGGCACACAGGAGGTGCGACTGATCCGCGATTGGGCCCCTACTCAGCACCACCGCACCGAGGAGTCCAAGATGTGGATCTACCAGTATCGCAACGGTGTCAACAGGGAGTGGAACTCGTACTATGGATTTACAGAGACCGAATTTATGGATGCGGACTGGGGTGTGATCAACTACTGGACAAGTACAAACCCCGATTGCCACCAGACAAGGACAGTCCTGATTGTTAGGTTCCTTGGGCGAGTCAAGGAAACAAGCAACGGTAGTGACTGGGAAATATATGGGAAACGGATGCTGGTCAACGGCGTAGTGAAAGAGAACCTTGGGGGAAAGACACAAACTCTTTTGGAGTGTCGTACCGAAGCAGAACGCGTACTGGCCCTAGATGCGCATTTCGGCATCATGCTAAGGGAAGAAGAAGCATTGAGCATCAGAGGGCGGGGGACTGATCTAGACTTGGTTACATGAGGTATTTTGTCTAGTTTCTACTTTTACATATATGAAGATCTCACCTCGGCCTTTGCAAAGAAATAAGCGAAAACTGGCAGTGAGTTATTGTAAATCTTCAAACCCGCGCATTGTCATTATCGCATCAACACTCTTGAGGGAATTGAGCACAGCTCAAATACTGGCCACGAGGTGAGCTGCACAGGAATTTTGGCTTCTGACATTTGCAACCCAAGCCAACTGTAGTCGGCCAACAACTAGAAGCAGTTGAGCACAACCGGGTCCAGTTCTATCCTTTCACGGCTGCAGGTACTGTTGCCACATTTCGAGCACTTTGAGCTACGGTAGCCAATGGTTTATCGTTGCGTTCATGAGCTCGATTCTCATGCTCCATGTTCCAATCCAACAACTGCTGGCACATTCCTTCCATAGTAGTACAGACTCCCTTGTATCCAAGCCCACCCTCGGCCACAGACTTCTTCGCAGCTGCGTCCAAGATGGGCACATGTGTGGCAGCGGAGAAAATGGACGGCTGTAGCATGGCCAAGTCTCCCTTGGGTTTTGCCCACTTGAATCCGGGAAACTGTGAAAGACTATCAAATGCTTCGACAACATAAGCCAGCAGAAGCATGACCGCTGGTGGAACACTACAGTATTTGGAGTCAGCAATTAATTCTTCATGAGGGGCTGGAGGGTCTTCGGGAGTTTTGTGAAGCAGTAGTAATGAGCTGAATGCTCTTAGTGAGCAGTTTACGCTCTATGGGCGTGCCACAAAGGTTAGAGATAATCGGGAAGTTTACTTACGGGATGACTTTGACAGGTGTAATGGCAAGTGATTGCAGAAGCCGATAGTAATCTTGGAACAACGGCGCTGCGCCTGGATCGGTGATGAGGAAAGGTCGACCTGCACATTGAGGCATTTTGGCGTTGCTGGCAAGCGCTGCCTCGAACAACAGATGACCAAGCGATACATGTCCTATGTGAACACAATTCTGGTAGATGTTGCGAGTCCAAGTGGGAACTACTTCGGCCCGCAACAGCGCTCCAACAAGCTGGTCGCCGTGGCTGTTTCCATAGATACCATTACCGGGTCGAACTACCCCAGTACGAAAGTTTGGACTGTTGGCGTTACACACCAATCTTTCTGCTACCGCCTTCGCATGCCCGTAGTTGCTGAAGAATTGCTCGTGCTTCTTTAAAGGCTTATCGAAGTCCGACTCGTCTACGGCTTGCACAAAATTCCGAGGCCAGCCTTTCCAAGGTATGCCCCAATACTGTACTGGGACAAGAGCAACAGATGACGAGGACGTCGCGATAAAGACGTCAGTGCCTACAGCCTTGGAGGCGTTCAACACATTCTCCGTACCATCTATATTGACCCGTTTCACACGTTCAAACAATGCCATCGAACGCTCATGGGGTACGATAACCGCCGCCACGTGGAAGACTGTCAAGGGAAGTTTGGCCACCGAGTCCGGCCATGCTGCAGAGAACGCTGCATTTGTGGACGACGCTGATGATATATCGGCATGGATGAAAGGTACTGCTGCGGCTGGGCCACTTTGCATGTCCCTTCTTTCGGGAGCGCGAAAATCCACATTGCGGATGCTTTCAGGGGATTGACCACGTTCGAGCAAGTGAAGGATGATCTGGCCACCAACGCCTCCGGAACCGCCAGTGACGATATAACGGCGGTTGAGCTTAGGAGGCAGTTTCTCAGCCCATGAAATGGGGTTGTTCTTGATTTTCTGATACGTCTCCTTGATCTTCTGGTCTGTCCAGCGATTTGGTGATAGTGCCAGGACGTCTGGTGGTGTCAGTCTGAGTGCCTGATTCAGCTTCCAAAGGTAAATGACAAATGCAAGCAACCCGATGACCAGAAGGGCCAGTGCATATTTCAAGCTGAAGCCTTCCATTGCAGTTCTGCTCCCTCTTGCTCTAGGGTTACCGAAGTGTAAGAAGACGCCGTGGAGGTGGAGTTTTGTGTGAAGTTACCTCGGATATCTCGCTTAGAATACGAATACGACACGGCATTTATGACTGCACGATAGCAGCGCAAGAACGCATGACGTTAGTGTAACGAGGTTCGTAGCGATTATAGATGGCTTCCGGCATGGGTGTCTTGCAGGATCCAAATACGTTCAAGTTACAAGAGCAGAATCTATGTTGACATGCAGTGAACAGGTTGTTTTCGCCTAATTATATTCCCAGCCCTGATCTTAGTATAGACAGGAACAGGGTCTATCTGTGAGTTAGATACAATTTGGTCAAATAATCGCGTTTAGACTAGTCTAGACTAGTTGAATTCGGCGCAGTGGAAGGTTCATAAAAAAAGATGAATCATGTAAGAGTTGGAGGTTGCGGGCTAATGCTGGTTAATCAAGCTGCCTTGTGTAAGCAATTAATTATCGCTAGTGGTGCATACACTTACAGTACAGTACATACCTCACCTAGCGTGAGAGCGTTGACGCTGCAATGGCGCCGCTTATGACGTCCTCAGGGCCCATTTTATAGGTTTGGTTGATCTACTGTAGCAGCCTCGGCCAAGCAGGCAAGCATCTCAGCAAACAAACAAACCAACGAACGAACGAACGAACGGTGGTTCATCGCCAGTCTGCTCTCAACCCGTTTTCTTCTTATCCCTCGACAGTTGCAACTGCGCATCACCTCGACAACCATAATAGCACGTTATAATGAAGCCTTGTTCGTTGCGATAGACACATCTTCGACATGTCGCTGCCGACCTCGCCAGTCGATGCTGGCGCATCCAGCTACCCAGACAATCCTGCGCCAACGTTACACACTCCTGATAATCGTGATGAGACGGCGATAACTTCTCTACCAAACGAAGTAACCGACGACGACGACACCCATCGATGTTTTATATGCCTGACGGACGAGCCAGATGCGAACCTACCCACAGACTGGGTAACGCCCTGCCAATGCAGTCTCGAAGGACATCACTCGTGCCTGCTCACATGGGTCGCAGACCTTGAGGCGCAGGGAAAGGCAGTCAAATGTCCACTTTGTAAATCCAAGATTGAAGTCCTCGATCGATGGGATCCGGCTGTACAGCTGAGCGATACAATAACTCGTTATCTTTCCGGGTTTTCACCCATGATCCTATTGAGCTTTGGTGTCGGCGGTGTCATCATGAGCAGCGCCCTCTACGGAATGCAGGCGCTCGAAACTTTCGCAGGGCCCGAGGCCGCCATAAGATATATATTTGTGGAACCTGAAGCCGATAGCTACCTAGACGTCGTCCTTGGAAGATTACGGAAAGCTTTGCCGGCCCTCATACCAGATAATGCGGCTGCTGCCCAAGAGATGCTAGGTAGACAGAATATTTCTGTCAATGGAGGGGCTACTGTTGATTGGGTACACTTTCTAAGCCTCACTCTTGTGGCACCAGCGCTCATAATGAACCGTATGCCACTCTCGGAGGCGATTATGGTGCCTACCTCGCTCATGGTAAGACATCCTCTACATACTTGAGTCTCCTTAAGCTTACATCGGCAAAGTACGCCATGTTTCTAAGTGATCACAAAACGGACCTCCTGGCATGGCCCCCATCGGGACAAAAGGCGCTGCTAGCGTTCCCTGTGGCTAGAGCTTTCTACTTCCGCCTGCATCGAGCTGCATCTCGAAATCTGGACCGGAGGTTAGCGGCTGCAACAGCAGCAGCATTTATTCAGGAAGGAGAGCCTGCTGCGCCAGCAGCGCCTCGAGGAGGTGATCATCCCGCTCCAGAGGAGGACGACGAAGAAGGTCACCACCTCATCGATATTAATTTTGACCTGAATCTCGGCGATGGCCACGGTGAAGATGATGTTGCGGAGCCTGCACTTGCAAACCAGGCACAAGACAACAACGCGGCACCTGTACGGCCAAATCGAGGAATTGGTGGGATCTCAGCTATTCTCAACTATCTAGCTGGTGCACTCATGTGGCCCACAGTATCATACGGGGCGGGAAGCCTACTACGTTTAGCATTGCCGGCTTCCTGGGTGACCAAACCGCGGTCTGGTCCTATCACGGGTATATTACAAGAAAGATGGGGTCGAAGTCTAGTCGGAGGGTGTCTCTTCGTTGTTTTGAAGGACGCTTTCTTTCTCTATGTCAAATGGCGGAACACTCTAAATAGGCAACACAGGCGAATAAGGAATGTTGAAAGGAGGGCGCGTCAAGAACAAGCGATATAACTACATCACCCATGGCCTATTGTAGGAGGAACAGGTGTATCTGATCAAGAAGGAAGTCAATCTAGCGAGCGAGTATTGGTCTTTCTCTTTGCATGTACTGAGATGGTGATAATGAGCACTGGGCTTCGTGAGACGGTTATGAGTACTAATGCATTTCGTGTCATCATTCAATGTCTGCCTCATGGTGTTAGTGATCGCTGACGACGATGCTGAATGCACATCACAAAGACTAAAACTCTTTGCAAAGTTATGCTTGCACGATCTTCCTTATTTCGATTCCCCCACACCGCTACGGGTAACCCATGGATGGATCTATGGATCTTGCCGTCACCCCACCATCTAGTCACCTGCAGAATCTCTCACTACCATCCCGAACGTATATAATCACTGAGAGCCCCTGGTACAACATTCCTCACATTGTACACGATTGGTTGGCGCTCTGGCGGTGCAAGGAAAATGTCGTGTAATCAAAGTTTGCATATCGGAACTCGTAATCCCAGCACGTATCACTAGGTTAGCATCACATCACTAAATCTGATACGCCGGTGAGATACAGCATACCGTTCTCGTCTCACCGCCACGTGTCGGCGTTTATATTCCTAGCATTCCAATCGAGCTTGTCGGTAGAATTTCCGCAGGCCTGTGCCAGACGGGACGGCAGCCTTGGAAGTAGTCATGTAGTGGTTTTGCGCCGCCGTGTGGACTAAAATGTGTGATATACAACGGGACAGCGCCATGCCATGACATTCTAAGTTTTGGGTTGCCGGACAACCTGCCGGGTTCCACGGTCCAGACTTCCATGATGCACCACATCGGGTCCCCCCAGGCTGGATGCGGCACAAAGTGCATGGCAATTTTCTATCACCGGCAAACTCTAACAAGCTCAGACGACATGGACGCTTCATGGCGACGTTCATGGCGACGTATGATACTTTCCGACTGGTCAATAAGCTTACCAGTCGCCGATGCGTACGTTTTGTGGCTTTCTAGTATACCCTGCCTTGCAGATTCTGCGACCACACCGACATATTCCCAAAGCCATGCTTTTGAGGCACATAGGTGACGAAATGCATGAACTGCAGAGTCACACTGTAGAAGGAGCATATTAGCTCTTTCACCGTCAGATCGAAAACAGACTGCTCAGCTACGACAATCGGACCAAGGATAGGACTGAGTTCCTTCTGCGATGACGTTTCGCACGTGGTCTTGAATGGCCCCCGGTCAATCTTGGCTTGGTAATAAGGCCAGAGTCCGCCAGATGTAAATAAGAAAATAAAAATAATGATAAAAGAAATAAAAACAAGAAATTGAGAGATAACGGTTCCTGTCAAAAGGCAAGGATGTCAGGGACCCGGGTGATCCATGAGCGAAGTTCTTGGCATGCAGTGACCAGTCAATACTAACCATAGAAACGAAGATGCCGCAGTTGAGGTGGGCTTTGCGCAGAGCTCGCGAGCCAGAACTTATCAACTTACCTTATTATTCTGGGCGAGGATCACACCGTTACCGCGTAGATTGTTTTGTGCTTCCGGCACGATGACGGGCCCATGACCATGGTCTATCCTCCTTCGCGAAGGACTAAAAACAACCTTACCCGCACTTTAGCATCCCGACGCGAGACTTGCGAAGTCCACGACCGGTCTAGTGTGCAAGGCTAAATAAAAGTGGCTACTGTACCATTGAAATTGTTCTCCTGATCATGTGCTTTCAAACCTTGTACTTGTCGAAAGACTTCTAACCTTAGCCAAGCTCATGAGCCGCACAAAACAAAACGAGGCTTCTCCCCGTGCTTGTTAGTCCAGTTGTTTGCTTCTGGCGGCCTCATTTTCCAAACTCAATTACTTACGTGCCTGCCACCATCCAGCGTGTTAACAACCAGTGGAGGGAGCCTCAGCTTACACATTTTCTCTGCGCTGCCGCGTTGATGGAAGCCTAGTGCTAAGCCGCCAATCAGCGACAGTTGCCAACTATCTTACCTTCAGCCTCGCTGTTATTACATATATACCATCACGGAATTCCCGACCTCCCGTAGGTGTCTTATGACTATGAATTGGACATTGTGAGTGATGCCTAGTCTTACCTGCCCTTGGTAAATGCGTGAATTGCTGTAATGGCTGCACCTGCCCTTGCACGGTTATGTGGTAAGGCTCAAGCTCAAACTCAAACGTCTGCTCGTGCAAGACAGCTTACCTAGCTCTATGTTTGCTATAAAGATCGAAGAAACCCGGAAGGTCCAGCCTTATGATCAGATCAAAATGGGAGCGATTTCCGTGACTCACTCACTTCACAGCCAATTCACATCATCTTCCAGTCCCACTTTCCTACCATTTCACTCTACCCTCGATGCCATACCACACCATACCACGTCACTGCACATCTTACAATCAAAGGCCCAACTTCTAGTTGTGGCCTTTCTGCCTGCTTCTCAAACTCATTGCCACGACATGACATCGCCAGCAACACATTCGCCATCTGAAGACCTGACACGCTGTCTCTACTTCTCTTCGTTCAGCACTAATAAATTCTGACTTCGAAAACACAGACGCAATCATCAATACAGGTCGCCGCGCTCATCTTGCCAAGCCTCCAGCAATCGTAACCTCACAACGTCGAGCTTCGAGGAGCTCAGATTACCACATTGTATCTAACTGTAAACCATAATCATGGAACAATCGTCTCCGGACTGGCTGCTTGTCAGTCTGCACTATGCATACCCAACAACTGTCTTTACGTACTTTGCAATTACAAGCAGCATCGCCGCCTGCACTCTACAGGCATCTTCGACAACATCCAAGGTGAAGCACAACAGGCCCAAGATCATCGTCTCTCTTCTTTTTCTCTTTGTCGTTTCATATCTAGGTCAGTTGATTCTCAAGGTCACACAAGCCTTACTTGCCTCCGAGTGGCCATCACAGGACACCGTGGTTGGCTTGCTCTCTTGTATGCTCGTGTTCGGCATCGAACAGAGTACGCTTGGCAGTGGGACAGATATTGTCTGGCATCCTTACATTGGATCGTGGCTTGTCGCCGGCGTGTTCGAGCCTGCCATTGCTGTAACATCCGTGCTGGACCAGCACAAACGACTCCAGACTGCTCAAACTCTGAGACCTGAGGTCTTTCTCTCCTTCGACATAGCAATTATCGTAATTCGCTATGTCATCGTTCTTGCGGTGATCTTGGTCTATTTTCTCGGCCGCCAGAAATATCGACCAGATGGCACTGATGAAGAGACAAGCCCGCTGTTACCCAAGACCGGCCAAAGGACCGAGAATGTAGACGAGACCGCAGATAGTGGCTACGGGACCGGCAACAACTCGGAGAATGACACAGACGCGACCAACTCGCCAACCGATCCCGAATCGCCATGGGAACGGCGACAGCGTTTGGCCCGGGAACAAATGGAGAAGCGCCTCAAGAGTGAAGGAAGCTGGATTGCATATGCCAAAGGCTTCTCCATATTCTTTCCTTACATATGGCCTGTCCATAATCGTCGCTTGCAAATTTCTGCTGGCCTGGTTGGTGTTTGCCTCATTGCTGGCAACGCTTTAAACGTTCTCATTCCGAGACAGATGGGTATCCTGCTCGATGCTCTCAATGGTGAATCGGACCGCAACCCTTGGATCGAAGTGCTTGTTTTCGCTGCTTTACGACTTGCCGCATCTGAAGCTGGCATTAACCTTATACGGTCGATACTCTGGTTGCCCGTTGAGTACTATGGAGAAGAGGCCATATCTGTCGCTGCCTACAACCATGTGATGAATCTGTCGGCAGATTTTCACGATTCCAAGAGCTCGTCAGATCTGATTGTCGCTATCTCGCATGGTACGGCCATATCGCGCATGCTTGAATCAATCTGTTTCCAAGCTGTTCCTATGATGATCGACCTTGTGGTCGCTTTCATATATCTATCCGTCAAATTTGGACCTTACGAAGGTTTCATCACGATAGCGACGGGAGTGGCCTTCGTACAAGCTGCAACGCATCTTATTGCACGGTTCAGTGAGAAGAGGAAGAAGATGGTCAAAAGGTGAGTACTCCCAAAGAAGTTCTCACTCCCACCTCTCATGGTCAATTCTGGCTATCTGCTTGTGGAAGCCGCACGACTGCAAAATTCTCTAATATTATGACATCGTTGGGAACTAATGATCATATAGCTTCTTTGAGGAGCATTACGTCAAGCAGGCTGGCATTCAAGGATGGCATACTGTTAGTGCTTTCAACCAGATTCCCCACGAGGAACAGCGATATCAGGCTGCTATTGGTACAGAGATGACTGCGGTTAAAGGATTGTATGCAGGATACCTTCTAGGTCATGCTTTCCAATACCTCATACTACTTTGTGGTTTGATTGCTGGCGCTTTCCTAGCCGTCTACCAAGTTACTCACAAACAGGCTACTTCAGGCGACTTCGTCATGCTGTTGACATATTGGGGGCAACTCACCGCACCTCTACGCTTTTTTGCCAATCTTGGCAAGAGCATTTCACAGGATCTCGTCTATGCAGAGCGACTGCTTGGTGTAATGATGGAGAAGCCAACCATCGTGGATAAGCCAGAAGCCAAGCCGCTATGCCTGGAGGGGGCGTCAGTTGAGTTTCGAAACGTCGGTTTCAGCTACGACAAGAAGAAGGACATCTTGAAGGGCGTGAACCTTACAGTGCCATCAGGCAAGACTGCAGCATTCGTCGGAGCTACAGGAGCAGGGAAGTCCACGATTCTGAGGCTGCTGGACCGCTTCTACGAGGTTACCACTGGCTCGATACTAATCGATGGCCAGGACATCCGAGAAGTCCAATTGTCCAGGTATTTATAGACTGCTACTGCTCCTTCATATCTGGAAGATATAAGCTGACCCTTTCAATTGCCTCAGTCTCCGCCAGAGTATTGGTATTGTACCTCAAGCTCCCATTCTCTTTGATGACACCGTTATGAACAACATTCGATACGCCCGTCTCACTGCCACAGATGAGGAAGTTCACGAGGCGTGCAAAGCTGCGGCCATGCATGACCACGTCATGAAGTTCAGTGATGGCTACCAAACTCGCGTTGGCGAGAGAGGAATGTAAGTGACGCCATGAAGCACACGCATGAAACTTACAGAGAGGCTCACAATCGTTCAGCAAAATATCTGGTGGCGAACTCCAACGCATTGCAATTGCTCGTGCAATCCTGAAGCGACCGGATATTGTCCTACTTGATGAGGCAACTAGTTCCGTGGACACTGAAACAGAGCAAAAGATTCAGGACGGCCTTCGTATATTATGTGAGGCGAGAACAACTTTTATTGTGGCGTGAGTAATCGAATGTAAATTTACAATTCTTTTGCGCATTGCTGACTTCAATCCAGGCATCGCTTATCCACAGTCATGAACGCGGATATTATATTTGTTGTCTCCGATGGCGAGGTGGTGGAACAGGGTAGCCATGAGGAACTCTTGGAGAAAAAAGGCAAATATGCCGAACTATGGTCGAAGCAAATTTTCGTGAAACCCAAGGAGCCCAAGGATACATGCACCATCAGCGACACCGCATCGAAGCCTGAGGAGCTTCCTGCCGGCAATGTCACTTCCAGCAGCTCTGCAGACTCCACAGCTTCGAGTTCCACCGAGTCCAACAACAAGGCGAACCAGCAGACTGCAGTACCGAAGATTATCACTACGCCTATTGCGAAAACTCCAAGTGGGCACGAGAAAGAGGTAGATCAGTCGAAAAATCCTTGATTTTTTGACTGGACTGACCTCTTTCGCAGGGTTCTAGGTTGAATCCTGGTGCGCCAGAGTTTACACCTCGCTCGACGCCTATGGCGCAAGACCACTCCCTTGCGTGGGCTGACGACGTCGAATCTCACGGTTCGCCAGCAGACGAGACTGCCTTGAATAAGGAAAACAACAATCATGCCAAAAATTCCGTTTTTAACAATCAAACGATCGATTCAAGTCCTAAAGCCGATATCATCGTGACAGCATACCGCCGTTTTGAGCCACACGATGCTAGTCGATCGGTTTCCGACCCTGTACCAACTACACCCCAAAAGAATAATCCGGCTCTGCTGGTGGAAACTCACCACCCAGAGGTCGACAAGACTAATAACGTGTTGCAGTCCAAAACAAACAAACCCGGACGCTCTGTAAACAGAGGTCGAGGTAGAGGCAGAGGCTATCGTGGGGGACGCAATCATGGCGGCACCCGAAGCGGCACCCGAAGTGTCTCAACACCTCAGAGAGGCGTAAAGTAGTGCCGGCGAACGTAGACACATCATACTATGACAAACTGACTTTTTGGAAGAGCAGTGTTACTCATAGTTTTAATTAGGTGTTCTGGCAGTCAGACAAAGTCTCCTCCTTACGACGTGGAGGTATATACACTCTGATCATTGCGGCAATCAGTGATACAACGAGATGTCATTTGTAACTGAGCCTTTAGAACTAGAATATCTATGATTCTGAAACAAAATAAAGCAAGTTTTCTTAATAACTCTATCGAAAAGTCCGATGTGTCCTAAAAAAGAATAAAATGAAAAAAGTTCTCGCAGTCCCTTAGAGAGGTCTAGTAGTTGTGAATAATGATAACAACGTTTTAGGTTCCTTGTTAATAAGTTTGAGATCATCAAATAGTGATATCAGCTCAACGTTATACACGAGTATCGTGTTTGAGGGGCATAAAATAAACATCCCTCAGGCTTTGACTATGATTTGGAGTAGGTAGCGTTATCGTAGCGTCATTTATGTACTTGTAGCAGCTCCAAGGGCAGGATGTGTCCAGGAAATCACGTGGTACTAAATAATGTTTTCTGTGTTGAATAACTCGCAAGTGATTGGACTGTCTGGTTTCTCACATCAGTTTGTTGATGATCCCCGATATTCACTGCTGTAAATATTTGGATGGCCTACCTAACGAGGCTCTCATGGTAGTGGGAGTTCTTATGTCTCGGAAAATTGTATGGCTTCGTGCGGAAGGTTTCGTGCGTCATGGACACGAGAGTGGCCTAGTAGACCAAGAACGTTGGATGGTGTACGCGGATCAACAAGATTTGAACGGCATACCTTGGTGGTGGGTATAGCTAAGGCGGCGCAGTCTTTTATCAGGTCGTGCAGCAGAGGTAGAGGTGTCGTTCGGATGCTTCTCTATGCCGAAAGTTGTGATATTAAAACCACAATAGACTCGAATGATGTATGTCACTCTTCTGTCCAACCCATGAATACCTATTGAAAGGACGTCTACCTTATACTTCCGGCTCGAACAATCTTTGAATCCCAAAGCAACTTGGGGAATGCCTGAATCGGTTCGACGAGACAACACATTAGAAACGGGCAACGAGCCGTCAGCGTATTTCAAAAGGCGTGGTCTTAAAAACCCTTCAGGTAAATATATTCAACTTGGTACGCAATATACTTGTTTCTAGTCTTGCAAGATTTTCGAGATCACCCCCACGGTACTATATAGTTTGTCGGCGATATCTAATAATAACGTATATGTATATGTATATCAACTCCAAATAAAAGGAAACGCAGCTTATTTCGTATCGGAAGGTGGTGGCAAATTCTTTGCGGGACCACATTCAACTACCCGTCCAGCATCAAGCCGGACGTACCAATCAGCATCCTTGACAGCCTCAAGCCGGTGCGCAATCGTGATCACCGTGCTCTGTTTTAACTCGTCCCTGAGCACATCTTGGATAGCTAGGGCCGTCTTTTTGTCGATGGACGCCGTCGCCTCGTCAAGCACAACTACAGAACTGCGTCTCAGCACCGCCCTCCCGATGCCGACCAGCTGCCGCTGGCCCTGGCTGAGGTTCTTGCCGCCGCCTTCGACATGCGAAGTCAAGGACCACTCGGGTCCCAGAATACGATGCAGTACTGCAATACACTCTGCATCTGAGTGCTCCTCGAGCGGATCGATGTTCTGCCGCAGTGTGCCCGGGAAAAGCACCGGGTCCTGAGCAACGAAGCTGATACGTTGGCGCCAGGTGTGTACATTGACCCGTGAGATATCCATGCTGCCCACATGAATGCTGCCCGTCTCTGGGCGTAGAGTTGCCAGCAAGGCTAAAGCAAGCGTGGACTTACCAGATCCCGTCCTTCCGAGCACGGCACAGGTCGAACCGCCAGGAATCTTGAAGCTGACGTCGGAGAGTGAAGGCTCCAGGTGTGGTGCATATTTCATTGTGACGTTGTCGAATTCGATATCGTCCCCGAAAGCGGGCCAGTGAGCCGGCGGGTCGATATCGCCGACCTGTTCCTCCTCAAGCTCCAACAATTCTATGACACGTTCGACCGAGACGAAGTCCATCTGCAGCTGCCCGTAAACTTTACATAGCATATGAGTAGCGTCGACAAATTGGGCAGCTGTTGTCAGCACGAAAGCAGTCAGACCAGGAGATAGCCCGTTGTAAAGGGCGATCATGGTCAGGACGAAGGTCGAGACTGCTGACAGCGAGTCGAAACGGTACATCAACCAAGACTGGAGCGACCAATAGAAATGGTCTTTCTGTTGGAAAGCATCGGTGACGACGATATTGCGGTTCTGGAAGTTGGGTTGCGCCTTGAATGCGCGGATTGTCGCTAGACCATCCAGTAAAATACCAAAGTTCGACATGAGAGGACTCAGGGAGACCATCTCGAGCCGACGGAGACTTTGTGATGCAGGTAAGAATTGCAAGAATATGTATACGAATCCAAGCGTCATGACAATGGCAAATATGAAGAAAATAGGAGTGACCAAAGCAATGATGACCATAGCGGTCGCCCAAGTAAGGAAGAAGAAAGCCATGTTCTGCAATGGTGATATGATACCGCCATCCAACATTCCAATGTCCGAGGTCAATCGGTTCATCAGCCGGCCCACAGGCGTGACATCGTAAAACCGGAATGTGGCGTTACTCACCCTTGTGACGACTTGAACGTATAAACTCTTCGCAGCGACGTATAAGATGAGAAGCAGAGCGAGTTGAACGATGGTGAACAATGCCGTCATCGCGAGAGCGATAACCAGATACCAAATCAACCATGGTCGCACATTCTCGTAGGGGGGAGGAAGGTTGTCGAAGAAACGATCCGCGAAAGAACCACTTCCATCCCTTCCCCTTTCCACGATAGCGAAGACAACTCTGCGGGCCAGAAAGGCGACGTCCATATCCATATCAACTTGCTTATCCGGGTAAGCTTCAGAGAAGGCTTTTAAGAACCAACCACTGAACACGCGCGCGAGGCGGAAAATGGTGAATAGGACAATAAGGACAGCCCACCACCTCAGTTTCCCTGCTCTGATATAAGTCCAATACACCGACAGAACAACACCGCCGTCTTTGCGGTGTTCTTCTTCAATGAACTTGTCACGAATGGCGGCATCCTGTTCTTCCGCGGACGGCTCAGCCTCATGAGCTTCTTCTGGATTATTTGCGGATTTCGAGGTCGCAATTTGTTCCGGGATTTCATCAATGTCCAATATGCGACCTTTTCCATCCTGTATCTCAATGACCTGGTCTGCTAGATGTGTTACCAAATCGACGCGGTGCGTGACCAGAACCACCGTCCGACCTTCAACTAGACTACCACGGAAGAGCTTCTGAACAATGGTCTCGGCGGTGTTGTGGTCTAATGGTGCCAGAGGATCGTCAAGAAGCAAAATGCGGGACTGGCTATAAACAGCACGGGCCAAAGCAACTCGGGCCTTTTGTCCCCCAGAAAGTCCTATTCCGTTCTCTCCGATGAAAGAAAGATCGCCGTGCTCGAAACTCGCGAGATCAGTCGTCAATTGACAGGCTTCGATGACCTGTTTATACCGTACAGGATCGTAGGGAGACGAGAATAGAATATTATCACGAATACTCATGTGTTGCAACCATGGAGATTGGGCACAGTAGCCAACCATCTCATGCGGAAGAATGCAGTCGCCAGCCCAACGATCAAGTTCGCCAAGGATTCCCTGCAGAAGGGCGGATTTTCCAGAACCGACTTGTCCCAGAATCACTGCAAGACCAGTAGTGAAGTGGAGGTTGAGATCATATAGGACAGGATTGTTAGTTCCAGGCCAAGCAAAGGAAGCATCACGGAACTCAATGTCAGTAGCTTCCTCGTTTGAAAACCCCTCGTCTTTGTCAGGCTCTGCCATAAAAGCATCCAGTCGGCCGATAGCAACAGAAGCATTCAAAAGCATCATGAACAAATCGGGAAGCTCCTTCAAACTAGTTTCTAGCATGTTGAACAACTGCAGAGCTGGGAATGCAATATCAACCGACAAAGGCCTGCCCGCGATGTAGGTGTAGCCAAAGAATGTGATAACAGGGAACAAGGCCCCTGCAGAGATATTTATAGTCCCCAAAAGAACGGCCCACAAACCGGTTATGATTTTGAGATGTAGTTCGCTATCTCGTGCAACCATAATCTTGTCGAGCCATTTGCCTTGCCAATCATACCATCTGAGATGGCGGATGGCCTCCACGAACTGGGAGGTGGCCTGCAGGCGTTCGTCTGTAGCAGCTCTTCGGCGTTTTTCTCGTGAAATAAGAGCCTTGACAGAAAGCCCATTGAGTAATTGGATAAATACGACCCATGCAAGACCAAGCAGGCAAGGCCAACCCAAGAACTGCCAAACCAAGAAAAGCGAAAGGCCAAACTGTAATGGCTTTGTGATAAGGGCTGGAAAATCCCAAAATCGTTGCGCCACTTCGTAACAGTCGCTCCTCATCAAATTTAGTATTTTTCCCATGGACGCTGGTGCCTTCGCCGTTTCAGCCTTCTCCGAGCGACTCTTGCGAATCTTTAGCCAAATAAGTAGACGGGCAAATCGGCCTTCTTCAACTTTTCCACCATCAAGTTCATTGCCATTGACGTGCTTTGGGTCATTTTCTGAAGGTTGGAATCCTTGGGATTTCCTGGTCAATGTCTTGGCGTACACAGTTGTAATCATTTCACCACGAGATCTTTCGTAGGCGCGACGACTGTACCAAAGGGTGAACACGGCAGACTGTGCGGCTACCAGTCGTACAGCCAATATAGTAATGGCATAGAATATCGACTCGTTCCTCGAGCCGTTCTGAATACTAGCAATCAAGCGTTGGAGCAGGACTGGGTTTGAGAGATTGGCAACCATCTCCAGTATTCCTAAAGATGTAGTGATCATGAGATCCAATCCGTTTGCCAAAATCAGTCTCCAAATAAGCGATCCTCGAAGGTCTTGGAATAGCATATGAAGGCGGCTGTGCTGGAATTCAAAAGGCAGCAACCAGACATCTTCGTCATTGAGGGTCTTCTTTGAAGCCACTCGCATCATTGGGCCCATCCACGAGACCGTCATGAACTGCCACAGAGTCAATTTATCTTCTGGACTACGAAGCTTGTTCGTCGCTTTATCATGTGGCCCAGCAATACCCTCGGCGCTTAAGCCGGGGTCCCTCATAGGCATTGATAGGATAATGATGATATAGCCGATAGCAATACACAATTCTCCAAGGTAGATGATATTTAGCTCTCGTAGAGTCTTGTAGTTTGCGTAAAGGGCGAATGCATTGCTAAGAGTAGTAGTGCACAGTATAGTCAACAATGTTTTGGGTGTCTTCGACGGTCGGGCGATGACAACGAGCAGAACGGAAGCCAACCAGGGCACTAGGCCAAGCCATGCCCAAGAGTTTTCATATATTGCTGATACTGTAGCCAAAGCAAGACCTGCAATGGAGAGCAGAAGGAGAGCAACGGCTGGAAACGACCATCTCCTTGTGCGCGGCGCGTTCTGCCAGGCATCTTCCTGGGCGAACTTGCTGCACCACTGAGGCGCTGCCGGCAGTGAAAGTCGTATCAAATAGATGAGGACCAGAGCTCCAGCAATTGATGCTTGTGTAATGAAGCTGTATCGGCTGTCCGTCACAGAGTGTGTGAATGGTGTGCTCTCTAGGATCTGCAAGTTCTTATGAGTAACAAAGTGGGAATCCTGGGAGAAGCCAGACTCCCCGGCGAGGAGATTCTGTACTTCATAGCCATGAGCATAGAATGAACGCATCACACTCAGCAAAAAGACGTAGGTATACCTCAATGGAAACTCATATATATTCTGAAAGATTCATATTTGAGGTGTGGGTTCGTCAGACAGAAGAAATGCAGTTAGCTGGGGAGTGGATCAGGATGCGTCAAGCCAAGTGGAGTAGGATCCTCGTTATCCATCGACGCGACGCGGGGAGGGCGAACTTCACCGCTGTATTAGTGCGGAGCATGATGGTAGCATCTATTGGTAGTTCACCCGGTGGAGATGTCGCATATGCAACTTGACAGGTTCATTCAATGCGTTGCAACAATCCCGTTCGTCTTTGGAATGCAGCACTACAAGGCAAGCGGGAGATGGGTAGCAGCGCTGGTCGTTGTCAGAAACTAAGACAGCCGCCGTGAGGTCATCTTATCGTTACGCAACGTTGCACAGTTGTCAACTTGTACATATGTCGTATTACCATGGTGAGATTTCGAGTATACTGGAGGGGCTATGATAGAGTATGGATCAACCTTTCATCCTTTACATCGGTAACGAACATGCGTTTGTCGTTTGCTGCGCTCTCAATCTTGCACAATTGAGAATATTCATTTCCAAAGACATTACGAGCACAAAACCTGCCGCTTGCTGTCCAAGGTTGGTTTAACAACATTCGACGCTTGCAAATGCCACGACGTCTATTAGCTAGGTATCAAGCAATCTGAACACTCAGAAACAAGATTATGTTTTCGCGATTTCTGCACTTGCACACAGCTGCTCAGCGCGAGGATTATTCAATTGTGTTGCCTGTCACCAAGCTCAACCCAACCAGCCTGCGACGAGCTCCTCATGAAACGAATTTGCAACTAGGTATCATCCACCAACGCCTTCGCCCTGAAACCGAAATGCAAGAAAACCTGTTGCTACAATTACTCGCCGATACAGGCAATCATCAACCTCTCGTAATCACCACTTGTCTCGCCCTTGATGCGCCTGGACAAGGAGGTCTTGTACCTCTGCTGATATGCACCCTTGATATTAGCCAGAGCGGGACGATCCCAATGATAATGGACCACTCGGGCAATCAATAAATGGTCCTTTGTACCAAGTCCGGCCATAGCATCCTCAAGCATGGCAGCTGCGTGCATATACTTGTCAGCAGCATGGTTCAACTGGTATAATAATGCATCTTCCATGTGACCACTGAATTCCTGTAAAATTGTCAGCACGTACGCTCTTCTAGTATGATTGAATGTATGAGCTGAACTTACTTTGCGGATGACATCAGCGAGACGCTTTCTAAACTTCTGCTCGTAAGCATGCGCGATTGCCCGAATCTGGTTGTCGTTCCTGGTGCTGAGAATAGAACAGAACATCATCTCATCAGTGCCGACCTTGCCTTCGCCACTACGATATAGGTCCATGACGTCGCGGTCAATGTCCTGTGGGATCACAGGGGCACTATCCTCGGCTCTAGCAGCACCCAAGACAATCAAGAAGTGGCGTTCGGTCTTCATGCTCAGGTCACCCTTCACATCAGATTCGAGTGATCTGCCAAAGGTCTGCCTATACTTGCCCTTGATAGCTTGTATGTCTGCATTCGAGCGACCAAGCAGTACGTCGTTCAAAATCTTCTCCTTAGTGCCTGGTCCGCTCATGGCGTTGTAAAGTGAGTGACAATCATGGAGCAACGGCCCTTGAACTATAGCGACCAAGCCTTTTTCGAACCAACCGCCGGTCTCTGAAATGATGTCCTTCTCCAAACTCCGTTTGAAAGTGCGCATGTAGGTGTCCTTGATCAGCTCAATCTGCAACGGGTCTTTATTGGCCAACACCTGGATCAAAACTTTCTCGTTTGTACCAAAACCCTTCATCGCACCCCTCAGGGCCTGAGCATCGGGGTTGGCATCCCATTGAATGATCTGCGGCGGGCCGTATCCCAAGCTTGCTGGAGTTGGAGGACCACCCCACGCAGGTGGAGGGGCACCGTAACTTTGTTGTGGAGGAGCACCGGGCGGTGCGCCATAGCCTTGCTGATGGTACGGAGGCTGCGGTGAGTGGCCGCCATAAGGTTGATTTTGCGGAGGATAGTGTCCACCTTGTGGAGGGTACGGGCTGCCATGCGACGGAGCTTGGTTGTAACCGCCATACTGCCCTGGGGGCGGCCCCGGTGGTGGCGCGCCGTAATGACCTCCATGTTGAGGAGGTGGTGCACCGTAACCTTGGGGAGGGCCTGGTGGGGGCTGCCCGTAGCCACCGTATTGACCAGGTGGTGGTCCTGACGGCGGCGCGCCGTACTGGCCGGGAGGAGGCTGTTGACCATATCCACCATACTGCTGTCCCGGCGGAGGACCGCCTGGCTGGCCGTAGTTGTATTGCTGATAAGACATGAAACTCGTTGAAATAAGGTGAGGTTGCAAGTCGTGTGGTGTGGTGCGGTGTCGTGTCGTGTCGTGTCGTGTCGTGGGTGTGATTTAAGGTCCTAGGACTTCGCAAATATGGAGGTGTCGTCAGAAGACAGTTCAGCTGCGAGAAGACAAAATGATATTTTGGTTTTAAAGGAAGAGTCAACAGCGGCGGCGGATTCAGCGCTTTTGCCTTAGAGTCTCAGACCAGAGCTTGCGAATATGAATTGCCACGTTGAGGCTATGTATGCGCCGTGCGAAAGAAATGCTCGCTGGGCGCTCTTGGGTTATTTGAATGGTTACTGTGGCCAAGACCACTGCGAGCCAACAGCCCACCTTGTGATTGCCCTTTCAGCTACCATAGCTCGGATAGCTTGCAGATTTTGGTGGCGGAGCACAATCAGATCAGGCTTCAACGTCATCTCACAATATTTGCTCCACAAATCAGCTGCGCTTGCCGGCCAGTGTAGATGTACGGGGTTTGCATCACTTCTCGCATTATGTACAGCGGCGGTCTAAAATGGGAATGATGGCATGGTGACAGGTCGACTTGTTCGGTCCTTGTGATTCTATAGTGCAGTGTGATTCAGAGCCACAACTATGATCTTTCTATCGGCGTTTCGAAAAATAAGAGTTGGTCCTTGCGATGCATGCACGCTTATCCCTGGACTGGATCGTCCGAACAACTGCTCCTCAAATGTGGACACACGATCAATAGCGCGGGGCAGTCCAAGTCTCCATGTATGCGCCACAGAGATGACGTGCAATAGGGAGCCTTCACAGCAGGCACCTGTGTAATGTATGCAGAGAATACACATGTACATACTTGCAAGTTGCATGGGCACATAATCCGTAGATCCGTTACAGTAAAGTAATAAGTAGGTAGGTGGTGGTGTAAGCTTTTCGTTCTACCAGCCAGTACCACTGTGTCGGTCACTGCTGGCTGGAGGGAGACACTGTTTCAGGGAATAAGGTGCTGTGCTTCTTTTTATTTGAACATAATATTGTCATCGGAGGTCTCGCAATATTGATCGCCTCACTTTCCTTTACCATCTACGGATCCGAACGAAGTACGAAGTCTTGCGAATTACGATAGATTCGATTCGAAAGTAAAACCGTCTATGGCATCTATATCTATCAGGGTACTGGTAGTGAAGGGAACCATGCACAGCCCCACCCAAACCCTCTCCAAACAAACTTGGAAGTTGTTCACTCAGTCCCAGGGTTGACGAACCAATGCTGCCGGGAATCCGAATTGATACGTTATGTACATAGGGAACAAAACAACTTGAAGACATCCCCCCCCCCCCCCCCCCCCAAAAAAAAGCGCAGAACCTGTCTCACCGAAGCACCGAGATATGACTGAAACTCTAAACTCGTTGCGGGCTGCAAGAAAGGCCATGCACGTTTTGGCGTTGACAACTTATGCCGTTGTCGCTGTAAACACGCCTCAAGTCTTGCCGATGCCATCCCCCGCGTGTTCTACCTCTCATGTTCATGTGCAAGTCGACGCTAGCGCAAGGTACAGTATGTCGCTTACCCTTTCCGGCCAAAAGTAGGTGGCTGGCATGCTACCGAGCCAATCACAAGGCAACACTCATCCCATGCAGTTTCCAGCCACCAGAGTTAATAACATACTCCAGGGTCCATCACAACCCTTACACATGCCAGTAACACGCCTGACAGCCAGCCATCTGAATAACACCTATTGTCAGAAAAGAAGAAAAAGTCGCCCACAATAAAAGCACCATTGCCAGCTTGGTAGGTCTAGAATGTCTCTCCTTTTCTCGTTCATCCTGCAGATCCCTCAAGTCAAGTCAAGCCAACTCTGCAAGGTTCGTTTCCAGTCTGTCTAGTATTCAGCATCCTGAACCACACTCATTGTCAAGATGCGATCCAATCTGCCTGTCTCGCTTCTGTTCGCGATATCGTTTCAATGTTTTCCTGCGTCAGCGCTGCCTTTTCTGAGGTGGGGAAGAGCTTCTCCCTCGCCGCTTCTAGCGACAAGAGCCTCGGTTTCCGTTGTTCCTATCGACGGTAGCGGAGGGGATGGAGAATCTGGGTCTGGAGGTGCAACGGCTACCACAATTTTACAAACAGTATCCAAGACTGTTGTTGAAACACTGCCGCCGGTCACAGAAACAGATACGGTGGTCGTGACGGTCAAGCCCACTACAGAGGTCATTTCCACGGTCTCTGTCATTGATGTTCGACCAACTACGGACGTAGTCACTACCACAGTGATACCACCAACAACAACAACATCGTCTACAGTGATTGCAACTAGTCAGACGACAACCTCGGTGTCAACTACACCTATCACAACCAGCCAAATCACTTCATATTTACCTACGTCGACATCCACAATTACGACCATCAGTCCAACAACTGCATCCTCAGCATCTACCACTACTACCACTCCAGTGACCTCAACATTGGACATATCATCTACACTGAGCACATCGTCCACACTGAGCACTTCTATATTGAGCACGTCGTCTACACAGCCGACTGTCACATCGGAAACCTCCACCGCCTCTGCCGCCCCTACTTCGACCACGACCTCAGTTTCGACTCTGAATTACTCTTTGACTACGCAGACAACTGCTAGTATCACTTCGACTACTTTACCCCTAACTCCGTCAGGAGTTTACCTGACAACGCCTGTTCCCGTGTCGACTACCTCGTACGATGACGGCCTTTGGCATACGAGTTACCCAGCTTGGAATGGAACCACAACACCAAGATTCGTCCGTAAGCAATAATAAGTTGCAGGCACAACAGGGAGCAACAATTTACAAGAGCATGATATTTATTGAGTATGCGCTGCTGGATAGCGCTTGCGAGAGACACCGCGGAAGATACCCCCTGAATGATTAATGTAATATCAAGATTTGACATATAGACGAGCCGAGAGAATATTATTGGGTGAGCAACGAGACTCATACTGGAACGGACCTCGCTAGACTAGTAAAATAATGGTAGAACCATCTGAACGTATCTACCTACACAATGTGTTTGGTGCTGCCTGGCTGATTTGGCCTGCTAAACCGGTGAGAGAAAGTGCGAACATGAACGTTGAAAGTGCCGCTATGCAAACATCAAATGGAAACAAAGCTGTTCGTCGAAGTAGTATTGACACAGTGTCGAGTAGTTATAAAATTTGAAACCTCCACGTAATTCGGGACTACTCTCCACTAGAGTATTGGGTATTGTCACGATAGGGCATTATGTAACTCTAATCAAGGTCCATTCGACATGCTGTGAAATCCAGACCTCCTATCAAAAAATTAGAACCTTCTCAGTATTTCGCAGAGGATGAAGCGATCAAAAGGAAAAGATCCCAAGCGATTTATTCAAGGCAATCCAATTTGCGGGGAAATACCCTTTTAATTGTGCATCGCGGCAACACCCCGAATCATTACGTGTCCGTAGAGTAGGGACTAAACAGACAAATGGAACAGTCCAACGGACCCGAGGTTTACTTTCAAGCCAACTAGTAGAACTTCTGGCAGATCTCCTCCCCAGACATAACACCAGTGCATTGGTTCATATGCGGATCACAGTCTGTACCAACGCAGCAAGTGACACCTTCTGACTGGCACTGGGGATTGCCGTTGATATTGGCGCCGTGGTCGTGGGGGAACGTATAGGCGGCGCCTTCGCATGGTTGGAAAAACTCGGTGGCACTACTCACGCTCTCATCCGGCCGGAGGGGATTCCTGCAAACGCCGTCACCTTGGTCCTCTTCCTGTTCCATTCTCGGTATGAGCAAAATAGCAAAATAGCAAAATAGCAAAATAGTGTTAGGTCCTAGCACTTACCGGGCATCTGTTCAAGGACAACAAGTCCCAGCTGCATCCGGTCAGGACTTCATCACCACATGAACATGTGAGCGGGACCGAGAAACCGTCACTGTAGACTGTTAAGTTAGGTTGTGAGGCTTACTGAGGAGTACTTACACCATGCTAACATCAAAATCCAGCTTAACCTTGGTCTCCCCATTGCCGTTCACTTGCTCAAGAAAGCTACCTTCGAGGAGGGTCTCGGATCCTCCAGTCAAATGGTAGTTTGCATCGCCCACGGACATCTTCCCGTGCCAACCGCTGGGGATGAGGAACCTAATTGTTTCGTTGACGTCGACTTTGCCAACGTCGAGGTGGATGGCACGTTTAGGGTCGCTGTCATCGCAGCTACCCCCTATGCCATCGAAGCCAGTGAGTATGATCTCGTCGTACTCTGTGTTGTTGGCGAGGATCATGATCGGGTGTGGCGACCAACCAGACAGACCACAACCTCGTGTTAACAAAGCCTTGATTGCCGAGGTGTGCTTGTTCACAACGGTGAAGACCACCTGGTCTGGACCGGTTTCCATGGGTGATATAGGGTGGTCACCTTTGTACAGCGGAATAATCGTAGAGTGGAGAAAGGCCTTAGAGATCGTATTTACAATATTGGCGAAATTCGGAATCGCGACCATGATGATGATATTGAAGATTTCCCATGCCAGTAAAATGTGGGAATTCAGTGTGTCAGCGAAGCTTCTCTGCACAAGTGGACAAGGAAGGAAAATTGGGTAAGTTTCACAATCATGGCTTGGGTCGAGAAACAAATATGAAAGAGGGTCAAGAGGAGATTGGAATACGCTGGAAGAAACTTCTTTTCATGCTGGAGTTGTTGAGAGGCTTTCAATTAGATCAACTAAGCGTACTGTATTTGGTCACAAACATGCTCAGCTCCAATGACAGAGGGCATCAATTATTCGTTCATATTTCCGGATATTTACCAACTTCGTGGATCGCCAAGGACGAAAACTTTGTGAGACCCAGTGAAAAAGAAGTAGTTGCGGTATGCTTGTATGATTGAGTTTAACGAAATGATGGTCAAGCCATGCATGATTCTCAAGCTGATCTGAACCATCAAGAAGTCGAGCAGGTATTTGACGCTAGGATTTCTTGACCACGTTCGTCGGATGCAGATTCTGACAAGCCAGTAAGTAGCAAGGCTTAGCTGGAACCTCCTTCAATGGGGCATGTGTAGGTATTCCAACATAATAATATTAATAAAGATTTACTGCAGAAACCCGGTAGACATTGTCCACACCAGACTGTGCGTTCATTTTCACGTCAAGTTTGTCCACGATCTGGTCGGCTGCAACTGGCATGGAGTAGGATGTATGGATGCAGGGATACGGTGCCAAACTGGCACTATAGCATGAGCAAGTTTTAAGAAGAATATTCTCCATTTTGATTGGAGTGCACTGAAGGAAGTTCATTTGTTCCTCAGCCCGCAAACCTCACCTTCCAAAGACTGTTAATGGTTAGTCCGGATGAAAAGTCTTTGAGTCTCAACAGACAAACTGTTGAGCTAATGGTGTAAAGTTTTAGGCTACGTAGTTGCGACTTGTTGGACTCCTCCAGATGTTAAGAATATGTCACTTGATGGAAGCGCACTTAAAGCGGCAAGGTCAGGCTTCCTTGCTATGCGGACTTGGACTATTTCTTACTTAATGTAGTTGTATTTTCAAAGCCCACATTGTTGATTAATGTTCCGCGCTTGTTCCTAGGTTTTCTGACGTGTTTTAATGATTTTCTCGGAAGACTTCTGATGGCCCTTTGAGAAGTCACAAACTAAAGGATAATCCTGTGTGTTTGCTGAGCATAGCTAAACGATTTCCAAAATACGCTAGGTTTAGTACTGCTTCTCTGGAGGCTTTCCAGAAGCCGGATCAATGGGGCGAAGCAGACAGCTTTGCTTCAGACCGCTCGGAGAGTGGCCGCAGTCTACAGTCTAGGTCATTTAATGGGGTTATTGACCGTTAACTTGGACTCCATAGATGGTTTGATATGTGTGTACACAGAGCCTCATCCTAGTCAAGGGTACCATTGAAGATTGTACATTCACTTGTTTGTCATACAGTGTTTAGGGCTCCATATAAACGAGTCTGCTGGGCTATCGTTCACCTCATGGGCACTTGACTACCATAACAGTATGCCACCTCAACTCACGGAAGGTAACATGTCTAACTGGATTCTTTAGATTATCAAGGTTCGTATGCTAAAGCGGCACATGGGATGTACCACCACTCATAAAACTGACATTGCCTCCTAGAAATGTCTTTATATTGCCTTTCAGGGCAGAATATGGCTCAGCCTCCATCTAGTAACGCTGGTGGCTACTTCATCTCCATAAAACACGAATATGCAGGTATAGAACACAAGACCACGCCAAATTTGTCTATCGACCGCTCAAAAATGCCTCAATCGCAAGATTTCAAGAAACTAAGTGAAGCGCTTCCGTGACCACGCACATATCTTTCCCACCCACGGCTTCGATGCAGATAGAATAGAATGCGAGTCATTATGCTGTAAATGCTTTCGCAAAAATGTCATGGGAACCCCTTCCCTTCCTCCCAGAACGCCATATCAACCAATATTAAAATCCCGTATTGTAAGTTTGGTGAAATAGTTGGTTCTCTCATTCATCGACCTTGGTCTCTCGGCGCCTGAAGATGCCACGGCTTCTCGACTTGCTTCGAGCCTTCTTTGACTTGATGCTAACGGCATCATCTGCGTATTTTGGCTTATGGATCCTGAATGCTCGTTAGTCATTGTTTGTTTCCACGAGGAGTAAACCTTACCAGCTGTTTCCAGGCATAGTCATTCCCTTGGCTTCAGCGGCACGGTAGAATTTCGCGCTCTTCTTTAAGTCCTTCTTACAGCCAATACCCTGGGCGTAGCAGAAGCCCGCCTCGGCTAGCGCATCGACGTCGCCCCAGTTACCGGCGATCTCGAAGCACCGCAATGCTAGAGCCTTGTCTTGCTCAATACCCCATCCGTTCATGTGGCTGACACCAAGTTCGTAGATACTAAGGGCGAATTGTGCTTTACGAGTCTTGCGCTCAGTCGGGTCCACTGACTTTCCGCCTTTGACCATATCTTCATCCTCGGCTATTTCTAAGCTTGCGCCATCGGCTGCTTTTCGTAGCCATTCTACGCCTTCTTTTTGGTTTGGGCGCATCCCCCAACCGTGCCGACAAGCCAGAGCATACATCAACATTCCTGTCGAGTTTCCACCCTTGGCTGCCAATCGGAAGTGGTAGGTGGACTCCTTCACCGACCCTTCTTCGTGACACTTGATACCCTTCATCAAATGTTCCTCTGCGCTTGTTTCAGCTGCAGTTGATGCTATCGACTTCGCTGGCTTGATAGTACTAGCTGAGTCATTGGTCGACACGGTCGTTGGCGTACTACCCCGGGCCTGGTCATGTAATGGCGAGGTCATGGGCCGCCCTCTTGGTACATCTTCCGATGGCCTTGAATCTGCGATGGATGGCCTCGGTGACGGCTCTCCGGTGACAGACATTTCGTTGGACAGCTTGCTTCGTTCCAGGGACGGTCTAGCCAAGAACGAATCCACTGGTGGTGGCGGTCCATCTAAGTTTCGTGAAGAGGAACTTGCAGGCCTCGATGGTGGCGAGGGCGGTGCCTGGCCTTTTACAAACGGCTGAGCATTAATGGTCGGTGCTAAGGATTGTTCATTTGTAAATTTGGAGATATCGTCTGGGTTGAATATCAGAGAATTTCGCTGTAGCGCTTTGCCTCTTGGCAAGTAATACTTGGAATGAATATACGATGGTGCGGCTTTGGGATCATCATCTGTAAATGCTTCACTGTGCATACTTATCGGGGTATGAGCGGTGTCATCTGCCAAAATAAAGGATGGTTGGCTGTCGGACGATGCTTGCCGTTGTGGTGTCTCGAGGCCTGGTGTTCCTGCTCTGCTCATCGGTCTAGAGAAGTTGAAAGACGGTCTTGGCAACGAAGCGACTGAGCTGATAGAAGGGGACCTTTGGTATGGGTGGAAATTGGCAATGGCTGGAGATGACAGGCCTGTCATCCCGAAACTGCTTCCGCCTGACATCTTTCGAGCTGGCTGGGAATGGAATGAGGCACTCAAGTTGTCGTTGTGGTGGTACTCTTCCGGTTGTGACATGATGCTTGAGGAGCGCTTAGGAAACAGAGTCCTCGGCGGCGCAAGGCCTGAATCGTGTGATACTTGCCTGCTCAATTTCTCTGGTGATGGTGGCAGTGAAGCTGAGACAGGAGTAGTGTCGTTGAATGATGCGTCTCTAGAATTTGCATCTTCGTCCATCGATCTTCTCTCGGTAACTCGTTCCGTCAGTCCCTCCAGATCGCTGGGTGATTGCTCTCTTCTGAAGCCATAAGGACCGTTAGAATCCGTTTCTTCCAAGCGACCAAGCTGTCTACCACGCTCGGCAAATTTCTGGGCAAATAGATGGCTCGGAAGCGGTTCGTTTTGATCCGGCGTAGGAGGAATGCGACTCATGCGGGGATGCATCGATACTGGTCGGTCGATCGGTTCTTCCACGGATGTAGTCATTCCAAAACCTTTGTCTTCTTGTGGGGATCCTTCTTGTCCTTCGGACGAGTCGTACGATAGTGAACGAAAGTATTCAGAGCGTCCTTGGACAACCAGCGGGCTCTCGGTGGTAAGAGGTGGCAACCGGCTCATCCTTCTGCCATCTTTCTGGCTGTCTTGGAGCTGCCTCGCAAGCAGCCGACTCTGTGCAGCGAAAGCATCAAGCGGTGACAGACCGGGAGGCACTTCTCCTGCAATCAACCTTGGGGATCGAAGTGGACGTGAGCCATTAGTAGCGACCGACGCCGACGAGGTCGACCTTAGGTCAATGAAATTAGGGCGCGAACCCATAATGTCGGGATACTGGTGAGGCGGCGTGCCGTCGTTGCCGTGTCAGAAATGAATCGCAGGAAATATCGTGAGTTCAAAGAGTGTTATAGCTTCCTCACTACTAGCCGCTTGAAGCGATTGAGTGTCAGCGTCTATACGCTACTTTGGTGATATATCTGTCGCATGCGGAAGTCCGTGTGACAGGGTCGTGCTGAAAGAACTGGTATGGGTTTTAGTTGCACTTGTTTTTATAATAATGGCTTCTTATTGTGAATGTTGAATAGTGGTCGGTAGTGGTGAATAACAGTGTGATGACGTGCCTACCAGCTGCCGGACAGGAAATGTACTCAAAGGATTGTGGCGGATCGCACTCTTTGCATGAACCATGAGTACAATCTTTTTGAGATGGGACGGTCCCTGAACTGCGGCAGAAGCTATGCGATAGGAATTGCACCGCAGGATCGAAGGCGGGTGCAAGGGTAGGTAGTAGTACACGTCCGGATTTGGCGTTACAGTGGCTGGTTTGGCTGCAATAGTGGCTGGTTGACTGGTTGGGTGTTGCTTTGTGTTGGTGTTGTCGTCAGAGGGCAACCTTTTGAGTTTGACCAGAACATGAACACCGACATCAAGAAAGGACTATGTTTACTCTAATTGCCGTGAATGGGATCCTGTGTCTCGGACAGGCCAAAAAGAAGCGGTAAAAACAAGGTATTCAATCAATTGAGGGGGGTCGGGCAGAATAGGAGGATTGGGTACAGCGAATGGTAAGTCTGTTTCGGTGGATTGCATAACACCATAGAGCGAGCGATTGACTGGTCACTAAGAAAAGGGCCTTGGTTTGAATGAAAGGAACAGAAATGAGCGTCGAAGGGTTTGGCTGTCGATATCAACCTCCTCGCCTTGGACAGTAGCAAGTTGGTAATGAACGAGCAAACCAAAAGAAAGCATTCATATGCGTCGTCGCTACAACCGGGGATAGGAGAAACTCAAAGGAGAGGAAGTTGGAAAGACCAGACAAAACAATACTGGCCAACCTATTGCTCCATTTCGTTGTTGGCGGTGCACATCCTCTAGTCCAGCCCAGACCAGATGAAGAGGGTCCCACAGTCGTTTTCTTGGCATTCAGGACCCAAGTCGACGATTGCTTCTCAAACCAATGCCAGCTGATGCAAGTCTCTAACCCGGCTACTATTACATACATGCAATAGACAGTACCCATCAAGGTCACCTCAGCGCTGCTGAGTTGCTCACCGGTTCGCAGCAGCTCGCTCCATTTCGTTCAATTATCCGCCTTCTATATCCCATGGGTCCTCATTCGTATTGCTGGCAGTAGAGCTAACATTGAATCATTTGGACGCTGGACAATAAAATTGGTCTTGAAGTGACAGTGGGGGCTCCTAAGTGAACGCGATGCTACATCGAGTTAGGGGACCCTGACAGTAGCAGCAGCGCTTTACAAGGGCCGGCTCCCCCTACTGTACTTAGCCAGAATTATCTTTAGCCACAGCCAACGGGTTTGGCGAGATGAGGGTTCTCATGAAAAGTAAAATAAAAAAGTATGGGGTACCGTGATCTTGCACAAGTGCTGCATCAAGCTAGGTCAGTCATCTCATATCCGACGTGATCACACGGCACCATCAGATTTCCACAGAGCTGCAGGTACCTAGAACGAGTTCATGCAGGTTCAGACTCCCCTGGAAGTACAGAATGGGCCTCGTGGCTTTTCGTATTTCAGCTGCATCAGCCCCTGAAAGGACCGCCTTCGTAGAATTTCTGGGGTATCGACGGATCCATATGCAAGGCACAACAACTTGCTTCTCCACCATGTGCTAAGGTTTTGGCGGCGCAAAAGGACGAACACGAGGCTTCTAGACTTCCGAGTCACATCCACCAGGCCATAGACGGCCTCTTACTTCAAATGATCAGAGTCGTCATCACCGATCCTAATGGTTCAATGCAAGGTGCTGATTGGGTTTGGATCCTGAGAGACAATAATGACTGCAGACTGGGGAGCGTTTTGGGGCACCAAGTACATTTACAAGCGAGCTCAAAGACGCTGACTGGGGCAATGCAGCTGAAAATGGTAAATTCTCCAAAGAATTATGACAAGCAAATCGCACAACCCATTATCAGCGATGGGACCCTTGCAATTTGCCAATGTCACACAGTGGCTTGAGCGCACTGAGATTGCAATTGTTCTTATTAGGTCACTCAAAGCGTCGTCATCCATCCTGAAAACGATTGGCGTCTCGAGAGTTTTCGATCTCTCGATGGACAAAACCGAGATCTCCCGCGAAGCCGAATCTTGTAACGTGTGCACGGTTGAATGATGTGCATTGGCATAATCAGCGATTCGATAGGACGAAGCTGGGAAGCTCAATAACTATCGGCTAACAAAAAAAAGCTGAAGCGATGACAGCATATTTTGAGTTAGGGCACGTACCTTTCGAGCTCACATCCCTGGCAGTCGGGATATGTTTCGGGATGATTCGTCATATTCGCAGCTTTCCCCGTCAACCAGCCAAGAGATTTGTGATAAGTAGAATGTCGCATATGTTCCACTGTAGATGTTTATGCAAGGGACAAGCACAATATCAACAGGCTAGTTGCTGATGGGCTTGTACTTTGCGGCGCGGCATCGCGGGAGTGCATTGCTTGGAAGGTCAGCTGAAGAATGAAGATCGTGGAGAACCCTGCTAGAGATTGTCCGCTTGCAAAAGCGGGAGATTGCTCAAACTCATCGCGCTATTGTTGACAAGCAACGGGCGCCAGTCAGCATTCCTGTGCTTTGATACCGTATGCAGCGCTTCGATCTAGCAGATATTCCTCAAAAATATCTGAACAGCTTCAATCAAAGATACATCGTGCTGCCCGTAGAGCACGGCTCACACCTACAGCGTCATGGTCCATCTAACGTTTCAAGACGTCTGAGGTGGGTTGATTGTGGGCTCCTCTGTAGGGGGTTGGCATGTGATCATCGTATACTGGATCGGCCCGTGGACGCTTCAATGTTGCACTTGAGTCCTGGTTGCGATAATTAAACAATATCCAAGTAAATATTTACATTAACACAAAGGCGGTGCTGGTCCTATTAGAAGCACCTGCTAATATTAATGTGGACCACCGCTTGTACAATGGTGGAGTCATAAACCTCGGGGTCCTCCAAGACTCATCAATCTGAAAGAAAAAGCCATGGGAGCCTAGGCACAATTTAAAAAGTTTCGAAGAAAATCTTAGAACGTTCATGAGAAGAAGGTACCATCTATGATGTCACTGAACTTGCGAGGATCACAGCGATCATAAATGCCCAAAAATATATCGACGTTGGGAGCTTCTTTGTACTCCGCTTCCACATGCGGTGAATGATAATGTAAGCATTTGCGAGAATGCCAAGATAAGCAGCCAACACACTGAGCCATTTCATTTGTGAGCTGTTGAGGGCATGTGGCCCCTCAAGCAACGTCAGGTTGATTCTAAAGCTTCAGGTTCAGGGTTTCCAGGGTACGATTCAATATCGAGCACACTCTGAACGTCAATATGATTTTGCGCGAAAGACCATGGCAATAACAAATGCGATATACTAAGACCTCATACACGCATGTAATAGACTGCTGGTGTAGACAACATCCTACTAGGGCGCCTTCGGAATTCGTATTATTCAACCGCCGATGGGATCATGGATTGTGGCGTTGGGTATTCTTAACTTATTATTAACTGAAACATGCCACAGTCATGGCCATGGAGATCTCAGGAAGTGGCTATTAGCCTTACACAAGACAATAACCCCCCCCCCCCCCCCCCCCCCCAACAATGGCAACAACAGAATGAGTATTCCTGATGACTCCGGCACATCCAAAGAGACTATTTTACAATCTAGCAACTTGAAAGATCCGACAAGGTCCGTATAAGGCTGAATGAGTGTCCCGGACACGAATCTCCTTCAGAAGTCTTTTGGGGAACTTGTTCTAATAGAGCCGGAAACCCTGTTTTGATGCTCAGGATGCCTTTTGATACTCAGGATCCAATGTCGACAAAGTCGATAACTGGGACTAACTCTTGTATGGTCTGTATCAAGCCGTTGACTGACCCTGTCGATAGCATCGAAAATTCCACTGTCGTTTTGAAAACAGATCATGACTGTCTCCGTGTCAGGCACCAAATAGACTTCAAGTGTATCCATGGCGGCGCCTTGACAGTTGTACACATGCAGGGCTTTCCCTCCGAAGGGTCCCAGAACTGGCGATTCAACTTGCGGTTTGGCGAAACAAACCCGAGTGTGGCGGACAATTGATTATAGACCCAGCCGAGACGATACTCGCTAGACAGCTCCATCAGAGTGGTTAGAAACAGACTGCCATCTGAAAGCACCACATAGGGATGATATGAGTGATAGTACTTTCCCACAAGAGGTTCTGTTCCTGAACCGATAGGTCAAGTCACACCATGATGACTTTGGAGAGGAAAACATGATACAACAGAGCTCATTACTATCCTGTTTCTGTCCCGCGTTTCCGTTACTTACTCCGAAGTTGTGATTCAATACTTTTTATTTTTATCGTGATAAAAGACTCTGATAGATAACCCGGGCTGTTGAGTAATGGAGAGGATTTGCTCAATGACTATTATCTGCTCTCACAATAGATTGTCCAATGGAACAGCAACGATTAGTGAGGCAGTGCAACAAGGTTTCAATCTTTTCAGACATCTTCACTTTATTTTGTATACCAGAAGACTGGATTTGCACTAAATGTTCTGTTGCTGTTCTATCATAAATGTTGTGATGTAGCCTTCTGTGAAACAGAAGATAACTTTCTTCCTCAGCCGCAACACCACACTCCGTCAGTAGACGTACGATTGATCACCCTACATGTTACGTGCCCATCAGGTTGTTGTTCATGTCGTCACACAGACACTCTCCCTTGACAGGCGGGTGAGCCGATCACAATTTGCATAACTAAACGATCACATGGCGGGTGATAGACGTAGCGAAATCTCGTGGTGAATAATTCGCAGGATCGGGTCGAGAAGAAATCCATTGATATTTCAAAAAGCTAGCCGGTAACGCCACTTCCTATGCATCTTTTAATGAGAGAACCATTGACACAAGCCTTCCTCATACACTACGCGATTACTGCTCGCTTCTATAGATCTTTCGTGCGCAGCTTCTTGATTCTGGTCGCTCCCTCGAAGAGACCGCGATCCACAGCTGCCGCCACTGTAAGCGTGCCACCAAGGATAGCACAGAGGCCTGTCAGGAAGCCAGTGAATGTCTTGGCACGCTCCTCGTGGTTAACAACCTTCATGGGGGAGATGTCCTATAACAAGTTAGTGACGCTGTACTGGCAATAGCAGCGACGTTGCACTTACGTATGAGAAGAAGACACCAGGGATACCACCCCGGGCATGGAGACGCTCTTTGTGACCCTCAGCGCTATCATCGCCGCCGGCCAAGCTTCGCTTGTGGCTGGTGACCGAGTATTGATGAGTCTCCAAGCTACCGTCATAAGCCTGGCCGTAGCTACCAATCCAAGAGCTCTCATCAGGTCCTTGGTTGGATCCTGCCGTCCAGCCCAATGGCAGGTACGACGTTGGGACAATCTTGACAAAGTACATGAAGTTGAAGTTTGGGTCGTCGGTGCTTTGCTTGACATCGTCGAGGGGGTTCAGGTGGTGGTTGGTCCACGGGCTCTTCTTGGAGCTCTTCTTCTGGATATCCTCAGGGAGTTGGGGACCAAAGCGCAAATGGTGGATAGTGTGCTCGAAAGAGTGCTTGACGGGACTCTCCCAGTAGTTCTTGAGGTCGTGAACGTGCATGGGGCCATTGCTGAAACTTCGGCCAGGAGCAAAGTGGAAGTTTCCAACCACCTTGTTGACTCGCAGGCCGCCCTCGATGCGGCAGCCTTCCTGCCTTTGCTCGTCCAGCTTTTCAGCATAGTGCTCCCGTTGGCACTGTTCGACATTTTCACCTCTTCCAAATGCCCACGAAGCCTGCGCGTATGCTTCTCGGACTTCGTCGCAGGTTTGGCAACAGTTGGGCTTGGTAGCACCGCTAGGCGCGGGGGCGCTGTAACAGCTCCCGCAATACTCGGGGTCGAGATGCGTTGCAGCTTCACTATCATCGTGCCTGGAGGTGGTCAATAAATGCGCTAGGCCAAGGACCTCTTGTACACTTACAGTGACAAGGCCTTGATGTCGATCACACCACCGCCGTGAGCAGTGGACTCAAGTCTGACCTTGCTTACGCCGTGCATGACGCCGTGCTGTTGTTCGCCGGAGACATCCATCACATCCAGTGTCAGAAGCTCACAGGGCAGCCGGGGAAAGGTGATGTTCATGTGGATTTCCATGCGCTCTCCTGTGTCCTTTTGCGTTAGACGAGCACAAGAAGCCAGTGCAGAGGGAAGCTTGGTGTTACATACCACGGCCTTTGTCGACGATCAGCTCAGGGTGGATGACTATCCTCCTGTAGTCGGCCCATTCTCCCCAAGCAAGCCACAGCACGACGAGCAAGGAGACAATGGTAACAACACCACCTGACGTCGTCCGTATTCTCGCATCTTCTACCGTCTTTGTGAAGGCATCGAGCCTTGTGAACCTCGACTTGGGAGGCATTTTGAGGGGCAAGTTATGAAGCGCAGAGTTTCGTCTCGGTACGGTTCAGGGTAGGACGCAGGACGCAGGTCGCAGGTCACGGCTCGCGCAAGGCTAGGCTAGGCCCTGGAATAAGAAAATACCGCGGGGGTACAGGCAGAAGCGAAGTGAGAAAGGAACGGAGGGCTCAAAGGTACAGCGGCGACTTCAATTGTCCCGTGGTCGCTGCATTGGATTCACTGGACAGCAAACAAATGGTGATTCCCAGTGTGCGCCTGTATGGTTTCGCAAATAGTAAATAAACTATGTATGGATTCGATTCCACTGCACACGGCTGCGTGTCCTTTTCTCGAGCCCAGGGACCTGACGCTAATGCCGGAGCTTAGGCTTAGTGCAGTTGTAGCGGAGCCAAACTTGTCGTCAGCTGGCGGCTGCGTGGTTTATCCGCCCCGCTATAGTTGTTATTACCTACATACCCTCCAAGTTACATACATAGTCCCCTGAAGTTACATACTTGCAGACATAGCGCCCTATGTAGTACCCGTGAATGGATCTCGACCCACGATTAGCTAGGTTACTCACATCCGCTGCTCTGTTTGAAGTGTGCCTGTCATCATTCATATGGCACGAACCGAAACCGAGTGCAGACCAAAACACACTCAAGCTCAGCTACCTCTTGTGTCATTGATCCTGACTCTTTCAGCCTCATACCTGTCCGGCTTCGGATTTGTGATTTTGCACATGTCTCCAACGATGACTTAACCATAGTGATGACTGGCTGCACGCCGTCAGCCGGATGGATACCGGGTCCCCTGCTTCCCTTCCGCAACCCCATTCTGGCTTGTGGTCTGATCGTGCCGACTCGTGTCACGAATGCTGACATAGTATACGGACACCGACTCACTTTACGCACGCGGCCGCATGTGTAATACGGTGTGATTGGTCGCAGCTTATCACCTTCCTATGTATACTTAGAAAATCTTGAGGTTGTGACTCATAGACTTGGTCTTGTATAACCTCTACGAAACGCTCGTCAGTGATTCAATATTATCGTCATCTTCAAGCATCACGACCAAGGACGGAAGCTGCCAAATCAATCCATTGACGACGCCAACAGACGCGAGTTTTCGTGACTTTCCAATCAACAACTATTGAGAATGGCTGCCGCAGCACCACCCGCGAATGCAATTGTAGTCACCGACAAGGCCTTCATACGTCCATATGAAGCGTCCGACGCCCCAGCCGCCGCCGCTGCTGCCAACCATAAAGACGTCTCCTATTTCATGACCGCCAGGTTTCCGTCCCCTTATACGTTGGACCATGCCAAGTTCTGGATCGATCTCTGCTCCAAAGAGCAGCCCACTGTCAATTTTGGTATTTTCATGTTAGACGGCACTTTTGTAGGTGGTATTGGTCTGGTTCCCGGGTACGTGACCCCCTTGTTGAGTTCGTACCTTTGGTCAGCATCGTCTCACGTTATGACCACCCAAATGTTGAGACGGCGGACTAGACAGTCTCTTGATATCACGCCCACGATCGTCGGTCGGAGTTTCCAAAGCTAACACTTTCAAGCTCGGATATCCAATACCGCACATATGAGCTCGGTTACTGGATAGGCAGGGATTATTGGGGCAAGGGCATCATGACGAGTGCTGTCAGAGGTTTCACCAGATGGGCTTTCGAAGCGTTCCCGGATATTTTACGTATCGAAGCCAATGTTTCCCAGGGAAACGATGCGAGTATGAAGATCCTACAAAGGACAGGGTTCCAGGCGGAGGGCGTCAAGAGGAAGGCCATATTCAAATTCGGCAAGGCACTTGACAAGCATGAATTCGGGTTGCTGAGGGAGGATTTTGAGGGTGTGCAGCCAGATGATTCGAGCCGTTCATGAGGGAGGCCATAATTGAGTTCCTGGGCAATGTAATTGTTTGTCAGCTTTGGTTGATGTCATATTGTTGTGTCACGGTCAATTTCGATCTAGACCTTCGGAAGTCTTTTAGGTATACAAGTGAAGACCAACAAACCAAAACCACGCGAACTGCCTTGATCGAATCAAACGAGTCCTGGAATACAACAAAATACCAGATTTTGTGAAGAACTCACCCATGATAATGCAGCGTGCCTAATATGTCGACGACAGTTGTTTCAAGCCTTGTAACCCTCTTGGAGTGGTCACATCACATAGTTTGTGATATCCAAGTCTCTATCAGGGGTAAAATGCCCAATTTTGAACTTGCACATGCCTATTAAGCTAGGGAAGAGGGATTAGGCTTTGCACACCAGGCCATTTCAGCAATGAGGATCGTGAGTTACACTATTGTATTATGGTTCTCTTTATCTTTTCCAAACAAAGACGTCTTTTCACTCGCTGTGCTGCGCGGAAGGTTTACGTACAAGTCCACAAAGTGCTACACCCTAGCAATACTCAGCGATGTGGACCAGCCCACGACGGTGCCAACAGCGCTGAAATCAAGGATGACCACTTGGAAAACGTAATGGAAGACTACTGTAGGGATTCATGTTAGTATCAGTTGTATGACACCGACCCTCTATTTTAGGTAGTGCGCTTCGCGACTGGGAGTACATGCTTAGTCGGGATGAAGGATGCCCCAGAAAACGACCCTTTTAAACTCATGAGCGCGCGCACTCGATATTGGACTATATTCAACGATGTGAGGCTATGGCTAGCCTTGAAGGCGGCAGGTCACATAAATAGCGTCGAAAGACGTCCGAAGGTGCCATATGACCCAAAAATGAGCCTGAACTGCCTGGGGCGGTTCGGGACTTGTGCTTAGGAGGTCCAAGAGATTGAAAGCTCTGGTGTATAGCATCTGGTTCGGTTTAATCGGTGGCATAGCCCCGATTGGACCCACGATCCTTCTGACATTGAGGAATGACTTGGCGACAACTCTGGTGACTGCGTCTGTCAGTACGCTGCTGTTTGCAGTACTGCCGGCTTTTCTCGCTTATATTGATCAGAACCCATCATAACTTCTGGGTTTCACAGCAGCCTGTGCAGCAGTGACGGCTGTATTTATCACTTTGTCTGCAGCGAATAACGCTTCTTGATCGCATTTGGGGCATGGATGCAGAATTTGCGGCCAAGACTTACCAATAGACACAATGTCTCGATGTGGTAGGTTAAGGCAATGGGTTATTTTCTTTAGACGACTTGACATTCTGATCGGTCATCTGGGCATGGAGTCGCAAAGCATGGGCGTTTATCGTAGTAATGTCCTGGATCGTTTCTGTAGCATTCCCCAATAAGCAACACCGTCTATGGCACATTATGGTACACAATGCTGATTCCGAGTTCTGCCCCCAAAGCCATATCGTCAAGTCGTCTATGAATCCACGTCCATCTTCTCCGAGTCCGCCGGCACCTCCTGAACACTGACGTACTTGCCGATTTCGTCCTTCTTGATGATCTTCTCGTTCAGCACGGCCGTGGTGCCCCGTTTGAACTTGTAGTTCTTCAACTTCTGGCTTCTCTCGTTGGGCTTGAGGAAGCCACGGTGGAGTGTCGTCTTGTCCTTGGTGATAACAGCCACATCGACGTTGGAACCGGAACCCAGGTCATTGAAGATACCGGCCTGAATAGCCTGGGAGCACAGTTCCATGGCCTCCTCCTTGTTGAGCTCGGCCTTCCACTGTGTTTCGAAGACCGACATGGCGGCGAGGGAACCTGAACCCATGGTGACGTAAGGGAGCTTGTCGGTGCTGCCGTGGGCATGGACTGTGAAGAGATGGGCGCCGGTCGGGTCAACGCCAGCAACTACGAGGTAAGCACCAACGTGACCCTGGTATTTGAAGAGATGTTGCTTGAGCATGGTCATGCATGTTACGACGCGGGGCTTGCGACCAGTAGATAGGGAGTGCAACTCGAGGTTGGATGAGATGATGGCGGTTGTGAACTCGGTGTCGGCGGCGGTACCAGCTCCAGCGCACCAGATCTGGGGGGAGATGTAGTGTAGCTTCTCGCAGTTCTTGTCTGCTACGATGGGACCGCTGGTTGCTCGCGTGTCGGCTGCAATCTGAGGGAAAGAGTCAATCAGAGCAAAATCAAGTTGGAGGGCGATCGCTTCTTACAACTACACCCTCGCCATCCTTCTCTGACGCAAACCTACATCCTACGATGGTGGTACCTGTGGATGTGGCTTTGGGAAGAGGGACACCTCTCGCATGCAGAGCTGCATTGCGGCTGTGGTTGGAGAAATCGAAACCCGGCATGGTCGCAGTATGTGTGTGGTGGATGGGGATGGGGATGGGAAGGGTTGATGTCCAAAGACGGAGAAAACTAGGCCAGGTATCTGGGAATGTATGGGCGTTGGCGTGAGGTGTATGAATGGATGGAGGGATGGCGATGGAGCAGGCTGCTGAGAGGTGACGGGATGCATTGCGGAGCTAGCCTTAACTACACAGCACAAGCTTGGGAGCTGCGTGGGTGTTTACGCCAGCCGCATAGCTGCCTCATAAGTTTCGGACAGCCCAATATCACCCGCCCGGGAGAGAACGACAAGGGAACGCTCAAAGTTGACCGGCCATGCTTCAAACTGTTCCGTGAGAGGAAATCATGCAACACACACGACCAAGGCCGAAATTAAAATGTACACATGTTCAATTTGTCTCACCAGCAGAGGGGGCCTTGCGACTGTATCCTGGCCACCGTTCCAGTTTAGTTGTGTAGGTCGAGTGTTGGGTTACCGATTTGCCTACGGACGACGTGACTAACCATACCTCAGGTACCTACAGAGGACGCGCTAAAAATTAAGTAGCTGGCGTGCAGCTTCGCGACGGGACAAAAGTATGCTTGCTTCGATTGCTACTGTAGGCTGGGGAAGCTCGTCGATTTCGATTCATTGCATGCCAGCGAATTTTGCTGCGTCGACGCAACCACACCATTGCGACCGAGCCACCAGAACCGTCACCTTCCTTGCCTCCACAAGTCCAGGAAAGCAAAACAGAGGACACATCGTTGGCAAGTTTGCTGCACAGCAACTACCCAGCGCCGGCGGGAACCTGTTGAGCTACAAACTTTATCTGGCTGATGCGAACATCGTGATCCCCGGGCCACCACCATGGCTTTCAGTCAAGGCCAGGATCTACAGCTGATCCAGACGGAGCGTCTGGGGTTTTTATCGCTTGCGGGAGAATCAAAAGTTCGCCTGACCTCACAATGGTCGCCTGCCCCTACCGCCAATGCCTCCCTCATAAGCATCGCATCTCGCAAAGGGCTGGTCGCCGCTGCTGGCCCCGATGCCATATCGCTAGCGACTACCGAGTCTGTCCGGAAGGGCTTCGAGGCCCCCAAAGATGGCGACAACGAAGTACGCCCATTCACCCCACAACTCAGGATTCCACTCCCGACTCGCATATCTCACCTCGCCTTTACCGCCGATGAGAGCTACCTCGTCATAGCCGCCGAGGTGGGTGGCGGACTGGCTGTTTACGATGTTCAAGCATTGCTTGGGGGCTCTACACAGCCAGCCGCCCAAATACCAACCAATGGAGAAGCGTTGAGAGCTCTAGTGCCTAACCCCCAAGCGGCAATGGGAGAGCTTGTTGCTGTTGTCACAGAGAAGGGCAACTTGCTCATGGCCAACATGAAAGAGAAGAGCTTCCTTTCCGGCCCCAATGGCTCGATACTTGCGACCCAGGCCAGCTGTGTTGCTTGGAGTACCAAAGGAAAGCAGATTGTTGCAGGCTTGGGCGATGGTTCCATCCAACAGATGACACCGGAGGGTGAAGTCAAGGCTCGAATCCCCAGACCACCAGCTGTGGACGCAAATTTCTTCGGTAAGTATCTTGCATGGACCATGGGAGCTAATCGTTAATCACCCCATAGTCTCATTCCTGCTATGGTTGGAGAACAACCTCTTTTTGGCAGTCTATGTGTCTACCGGTCTTGACCCTCCGCAGTCTATTTATCAACTGATTACACGACAAGGACAGACATTTACATGTCAGAAGCTCACTGATCCTGTCGATCCTTTTGGAAGTGAAAAGGTACCACATCATACAGCAGCGAGGCTCAAGGACTTCCCTCCAAATTTACAAGATCTTATCATCTTTTCTTCAAGCGCAAGTTCTGATGTTGGTCTCTTGTCCAGAGCCAAATCACCGCTGTCGGATGATAACGTCAGCAATGAGTTCACTACGACCGAGCTGCTTGACGACTCGAAGCGAGCTACATTGCCGATGGATGCCAATTACCAGACCCCCACTCCTATTGGCACATGCTTAGATCTGTCTGGGAAAGAGCCTGTTTACAAGCCTATACCGAGTGATGAAATGGAACAGTCTGCCGGCCCTCTTCCTGGCTATTGGGTGTTAAACGACGAAGGTGTCCTTTCGGTGTGGTGGGTCATTTACACCGAGTCTATTAGGGAGGGCACAACATATCCAGGCTTGGCTGCTGTGGAAGGGAATACTGCACAAGTTGCGCAATCGGCACAAGTTGCGCAAGCTGCACAGCCTGCACAACCACCCAATCTAAACCCGTTTGGTATACCAAGCAGTAGCTCCGCTTTTGGAACACCATCCAGTGCATCCAGCACTGCCTTCGGTGGCAGTTCCGCCCTTGGGCCAAAACCATCACTATGGGCAACTCAGTCAACTTCCGGTGGCAGCAGTGCATTTGGGTCCAGTGCTTTCGGTGGTGCCGGTGCCGCCCCAGCTGCGAAGTTCGGCCAGCCGGCTTTTGGCCAGCCTGCATTTGGCCAGACGAGCACTCCTGCATTTGGCCAATCATCTGGTATAGCAAGCAAGGCTTCGCCATGGGCCACTGCAGCTTCAAATACTTCGTCTGGTTCTCCTTTCGGCGGATCTGCGTTTGCGAGTGCTGCCAATGGACCAAGTCCATTTGGTAGTGCCTCAGGAGCCGCTTCTGGTGGAGGGTTCGCCAGTTTTGCCAATCAAGGCGGCTTCAGTTCCCTGGGTTCTAACGATGCTACTAGTAACGGCACAAGTATATTTGCTTCTAAGAAGCCGGCAGCTGACGAGACCATGGACACTGACGCTAGTACCTCATTCCCTACACCTGCTGCAAAGCCCGCAACGAGTACGGCTTCTCCATTCGGATCGACACCCTTCAAGCTGGGAACAACATTTAAGGCTGACCCTGCTGCTGCTGATGACAAAGCTAGCGCAACTGATACGAACGACGGCAAATCCCTCTTCGGTAGTGGTTTTACATCTGGATTAGGCGGAGCAGCAAAGCCGGCAGGCTCAGGTATTTTTGGCACTCAAAATTCGAGCAGTGCTTTCTCCACAACACCGACATCAACACCGGCGCCTTCTAGGTTTTCCGAAGCACCCACCCCAAGCCAAACCCCAGGAGGACCGTTCAACCTCACTGGGAGGAGCTCTAGCAGTCTCTTCGGAAGCACAACTCCTGGACCTAAGAGTTTCGGTGGTCTCTTCGGTAGCACAACTCCCGCGCCGCCTAAGATAAAGGACGAAGAACAAACTCCTAGATCATTGAAGGATATCCCGGTTGTCCCCTTGCCCCCTGATAGTACCAGTAAGGCCTCTTATCCGATTGGAGATTCCTCATCCTCATCAGCATACTCTGCAACAGGTACACCGGACGCACTTAAGACTCCCACAGACGCGCCACTGCCGCCTGACTTCGCTTCCGAGCCTAAAGCCGACCTGACACCGCCTCCGGTGCCAGACTCACCGCCCGCCGACGATGCGCCATTGCCCCCTGACCCAAGCACTAACAAGAAGTTGTACGATGTCAAGATCCCGCCGCTGCCTGAAGCTGTCTCGAAACCCAAAGCAGCACCCGTAGATGATGCACCATTACCTCCAGATCCAGCTACGAATAAGAAGGCATACGACATCAAGTTCGAGCCTGTTCCCGGTGTTGAAAAGCCAGCAGCGAAGAAGGTTGGTTCTGTATTTGACAGCATGCGACCGTCTTCGCAACAATCCGGGTCTCTCTTTAACAATTCTCCCAAGTCAGCACAGACCAACTCAATATTTGGCAATTCTACCAACAAGCCTGTGCCGTCTAGTTCGATATTTTCAAACTCTAGCTCCATCTTCTCTGTAGGCAAAGCGAACATCCCCAAGCCCATCTCTACTGGCTTTTTGTTCCCAACGGATCTGCCGCCAGTCACAAACTCTAGTGATGATGATGACGACGAAAACGATGACGAAGAGGAAGAGGAGTCCGAAGACGGTGAAGAGGAAGGAGAAGAGGACGAGGACGAGGATGAAGAAGAGGAGGGTAGCGAAGAAGGCAGCGAAGGCAGTGGAGTTGATGTGACGAAGGAGTTCAGCCCTCAGTCTGCACCTAAAGATAGGACGACACCAGCGATCACTCCTGGAAGCTCCTTCGATGGTGGCCTAGGCGGAAGTTTCTCAACAATTTCCAAGCCAGAGACAGAACGGAAGAGCTTGTTTGGCGAACTCGGTAGAAGTATACCGAATCTTCCCCAACCAAATCCCCTCAGCCCTCGATCTCCTAGTCCGGTGCGAAACTCATTCGCATCTAGGATCGCAGATTCGTCATCGCGCTCGTTTAGTGCACCAGGCATGGCGTCTAAGATCCTCGGTGCGTCTCAACGTCCGAGCAGTCGGGGACCTCCCATTGTTAGTAAAGAAGTGCCTTCAGAAGATCACCGGGTTGAGCAGCGCGCCAGAGCTAGGGCCAAGAAAGAGGCTGAAGAGACACAGTTGCTGGTCGACGAAGACGACGAAAGCCGACAGCAGCAACTTCAAGCTCCTATTCGGCCTACTCTGCAGCTGGACGAGTTCATCGCCCATCCAGGACCCTTGCCCTTGGCGGATGATAATATTCCCGCACAAGTTGAGGCTGTTTACCGAGACATCAACGCCATGATTGACACATTGGGATTGAATGCACGGTCTCTTGACAACTTTATTCGAGGCCACGCCGAAGCGTTTCGTCACGACAATCGCGACAAGCACGATTTATCCAGCCCTGACGGATGGACTATCGGCGAGCTCGAAGACCTCCGGGCGATCATTTCTGAAGACCTGGTTAACGATCTGTCAGACGCTCGTATTGTTGATCCTCAGGACAAGATCGCAGAGTGTCAAGACCTTCAGCGTGATCTGAAGCGGGATTTTAGCAAACGCAATGATATCCAGAAGATGATCAATATCAAGTTGGACCCTGACCAGGCTATGGCAAACCGTCTCCTCCCTCTTACGGCTGAGCAAGCAGCTCGACAGAACGATCTCCGCCGGGACTTTGCACGCTTCACCAAGACGCTCGCAGAGGCTGAAGAGAGCTTGACGATGCTCAAGGCTAAGATTGCCACTGCCAACGCCGCCAACGGCAAGCCTGGTTCGGTACCCTCGATTGACGCCATCGTGCGCACCATTACCAAAATGACAAGCATGGTGGAGAAACGCAGTGGCGACATTGACGTCCTTGAGAATCAGATGCGCAAGCTGCGATTCAACACCGGCTCGCCTGCTCGCGGGCTCGGCGCCAGTACGCGTAGCCGTGAGGGCACTCCCACGCCCAGCAAGAAGCTTGCGGCCTTGATGCTCTCACCTGAAAGGTCGTTCCGTGAGAGCACTCCTACCAGAAGTGGTATGCGGCATTCCATGTCGGACATTGGTGGGGGCATGTTTGCCGTCCGTACAACTCCCAGAAAAAAGCTGAGCGGGTTTGGAGAGGCAGAAAAGAAAGCCGTCAAGGAGCGCAGGGACCAGAGAGCAACAGTGCTTGGGAAGCTCAGGACGAGCGTGGAGAAGAAGGGAGCGACTGTCTGGGCTCTAGATGAAATTGAGTAAGGAATGCTTCACGAGGAATCGGAAATCAAAATTCATGGATTTGGAGCTTGGTGTATTGATAAAACGAAACGAGCGTTCGTGGAGACGCTGGGTGTTGTTCTGTATTCTGATGGCTGTACACTACATCTTAGAATAATGGAAAGGATGGCAATGCGACATGGTAACACCAAGGTCTTATCGAAGTACTAATGTTCTCTGAGAGATGATGCTGTCTACTATCGCCTTGCCTCGTAATGAGCTCGGCACGGAAGGGCAGTCTCAGATGAACACGTTCTCTTGGGCTTCTTTCTTAGTTCAAATAGTTTCACTACAGCGAATGGTCTTCTTTTCGGTGGCCGGCGTCATTATAGTGTAAGATGGAGGGTGCCAGAAGAATACCCCCATGATCAAAAGAAGCTTGAACCACGGGGAGGACACATATATATATACATATAAGCGACACAGCCAGAAGGGCTGACACTAATCTCGTATCCTAAGGGCATGGAGCAATGGAGCTTTAGACCTACACGTTATTTCTCCGTCGTATAATGTCGAGCAAAAGATCCTTCCTTGCCCGGCCGGTCCTTCTGAATCCCCTATAAAAGCGTGTAACTCGGCGAGGTCGTCACACAGCTGATGCAAGCGTCCTGTCCTGCATTAAGCCCCTCAACACACCATCCCTGCCCCCGGCCCTCCCCCCAGAAAACCACACCAAGCACTCTATTGTAGGCATATATCCACCTGTGGAAAACCCGTGCATATACAATACCTGGCCTCCCGCGCACCGTCGTGAGAATTTCTCCTTACCCTTCTAATTTTTTTCCGTCAAACGGTTAAGGGCAGAGGTTGGACACATGCAAGTGAAGATTCGTCCAATGTTGTGGCTGCCTAGTTGAAAGCTACTTGACCGGCCAGCTCTCGTCCTGCTTTACAGGAATGGGGAGTTTCTTTGTCACCTGCTCTATCATATGTGAGAACTGTTTCTCCCTTTCGTTGTGTCTTTGTCTTTTAGGGACGGGAACGAGGAAGGGGAGAGGCAGAGATGTTTTCGGTAGTCTGGGACAATGTCATGTTAGAGGGAGCAACAGGCAACAGAAGAATTAGATAATAGGTTCAGACGTGTATGTCATGTGGTGGTTGCGCGAGCATGCTTGGTTTAGCAGGTGGCATTGACATGATGTTTGTAAGCAGGAAGATCAATATACCAGAGCGGATATGTGCGGTCTGGTAAATAGACGACGTTTTGGGATCATTAAATCAAGTGACTGCTTTCTTTGTCGGCGTCCCAGATTGTGTTGAAAGACACTGGGCGGAGGTTAACCCATCACCAAGATGGGTGTCGCATCATGAGGAGCTCATCGAGTGTTCATTTTCATGTTGTTGTCGTTGTTTATAAGCCACCCAATTGTCTAGGTCGTTTCGTATGGTACACATGTACATAGAGAACCCAAGGAAATCTATTTGAGGCATTTGGCTTTTCCTTTCGAAGGCATCGCAATCGTACAATCCCTCAGCTGCGAATCCAAGCCGGTGCCTCTCGGCTTCGTGACGTAGTTGTTCCGCTGGGTATCTCGTCTTCTCTGCCCAGCCCTCCCCCTCTCCCCTCTCATCGTCCTATTAGCTCCTCCATTACGGAATCAGTATATCGGTTTACGGGTTCTGCTTCTCAAGAGCCGTGAGGTAGGACTCCAAGTCGAAGTTGGGCGCCTCGGGATCTTGGTCCACTGGGCAAGGTTGTTAGCAAAAACGACGTGCGCTCTCACCATCGTGCCAACGCACGGAGGTGTCGGGTGGACGTACGGGGGCTCTTCTCAGTGCTGGGGTTCTTCTTCTCGGCGAACTTGGCACGGGCCTGCTCTATTAATTGCTTCTGGTGGTCGTACTCCTTCTTCTCGTGGGCGGCCTTTGTCGCAGAGTTGATCGTCCTCTGGTGGCTGAAACCGTAGAAAACACCAAAGGCCAGGGCCGAGTACCGGAGAACCTGTTGTCGAGCCGTGTCAGTATGTGATGGGCAAATGCGGAGCGGGCATCATGGCGATGTCGACGGAGGGGGCACGGTGGGATCGAGAGATTTTCTGGCGAGGAAAACACGTACGTTAACGCCGGAAGCAGACATGTTGGGCAGGTTTCTATCGCGCGACTGCTGGATATACGAATGAGAGATGTACTATGCAGTGCAGTGGCAGGCGATTGATTGCCAATTGGCCCGTAATGGATCGTGGATGGCGAGATTCGACGTGGTTTGGCTGAGAGGGCTGTTTCCTGCAAGTTAATCGATCGGGAGAAATCGCAATGGACTTAGTTACACTTGACTTTTCGGGCTGGCTGAAGCTCCTTCGCGGCTGGTCCAAAACCAAAAAAGTTGCGCAAATGTGATTCGTTCATTCGTTGCAGCCTGTGGGGCCCTGGCAGACTTGCGCTCTGGGGGCTCTGGGGAGGGCAGGGAGGCCTAAGGTCACTACATACTCTCTCTCTCACCTTTGGCTACATAAGTTACAGGCCGTATCACGGCCTAACCTTAGACTAGGTTACAGCCCACGGCCTACATACTGGCCAAGCTGGCCCAGCATCCAGGGAGGTGCGGGTTGGGCGTGTGCACAGGCCATTAGCTTCCTGCATTAGCCTAGCTGTAGCTGTCGCTTTCGCGTCTCCCGCGATCCCATTGGATTGCATTGGATTGCTGTCCATCTCATGTGTGCATGGAGTTCAAATAAGGAGTTCATGTCTATACCATCTTCCAAGAGCCCTTGCGAACTCTGCGGTTGTTCGCCTATCCTGACTTCTTAACCTACCCAATCACTGCCTCTCTCTTGTTGCGTTGACAGCAAACATCAAACTACCCTCGATTTGACGTGACAGCTCGGCGCAAAGGCGAAAGGAAAAAGAAAAGAAAAACACAACAACAGATCGACCTCGGCCCCTCCAATACTTCCAATCTCTGAGGCCTGACCCGGGATGGGTCAGTGACGAGGAATCCATCATGAACGACCGCCAAAGAGAGCTTGCCGAGAAGCGAGCCAGACTCAATGAACTCAAACGACAGAGAGAATTGAGGCAGAAGGAGGGCAACCGGAATAGTGCTGGTGGTCTTAGTGATGTATGTATCTTATAGCCCGGAGGAATCGAGCCACCATCGAGAACCCATCGCTGACGGACGCCTTTTCTGCTCAGATTATATCCCCAACGCCGTCAAGCAGCAGAAGGGATATCGAGTCCTTGATCAGTTCTCTTGTTGGCGAGAGCAGACCAGTCTCCACCGGGGCATCCTCCCCCATACTACGGGGCAGTCGGCCTACAAGTGTTTTGAGTGCCGGCGATGTAAGCATAGAGAACTCTGACAATGCATCCCAAGCACCAGGCCAGACCGCTGCCCCCTCTCAACCCCAAGTCTTGACCACCGTCTCCTTGCAAACCGTCTACGAAGTGCCCCCCTCGCCCGTGAAGGAGGTCGTCACATATAGCGTCGGAGCCCAGACAACCGAGGAATGGTTGCCACCGCCGTCGAGGAGGTCGCGAGCCTTCTCAGACCTGCCCGAGGAGGATGATCTGCCTGGCGTTACATCCTCGCCCAGCAAGAGACTGAGCAGGAGAGAACGTGAGACCCACGAGGAGATCAGACAACGACTCAAGCAAGAGATTGAGGAAGACATGCAACGAGAGGCCGAGGAACTCCGTAATATCAACGGTGGCGGTTTCGGCGGCTTAGTCACCACTTCCAACTTTCCCGCCCGAGTGCTTACAGATGATGAGCTACAAGCGGCTACCGCTTCAGACGAGTTCTTGGACTTCGTGGAGAGATCAACTAAGGTTATCGAAAGGGCTTTGGACGAGGAGTATGATATTCTGACTGATTACACGCTCCGAGCGCAAGACATCGACGACGATGAGGAGCAAACCGGCAATACGGCTGGAAAGGGCCGGCGGAGGATCAAAGAGCTTTTTCAATTCTACGACGAGCGTTGGTCAAAGAAGCGTATGATCAGCAGTCTCGACTTTTCGCCGAAATTCCCAGAGATTTTGCTTGCGTCATATACCAAGAATCCCACTGCACCGCATGACCCTGACGGCATAATTCAGGTCTGGAACGGGAAGCTCCGCAGCCGTGCCGAGTATATCTTCCATGCGCAGTCAGACATTCTCACAGCCAAATTCTCTCCTTTCCACCCCAATCTCATCATCGGTGGTACATATTCTGGGCAAGTCCTGATCTGGGACAATCGGGCTAAATCGGCTCCGGTACAAAAGACGCCGCTGACAGGTACTGGCCACTCACACCCTGTCTATTCGGTTGACATTGTTGGTACACAAAATGCCAACAATGTCATTTCCGTTTCGACCGATGGCCAACTCTGTGTTTGGTCCGTCGACATGCTGGCTCAACCACAAGAACAGCTCACTCTGACCAATCCGCATCCCAGCAAGTTTGACGATGTGGCTCCTACCAATATGGCATTCCCAGCAGCTGATCCGACATATTTCCTGGTAGGCTCTGAGGAAGGTGTCATCTACCCATGCCACCGGTATGACCGTGCAGGCGCTAAGGCTGGTGTCGATACGCGTGTCGCCTATAAAGGTCACACCGCGCCTGTCATGTCAGTTGACTTTCACCCACCTCGCGGACCTGTCGATCTCGGTGATTTAGTCTTGTCGTCCTCGCTTGACTGGTCCGTCAAGCTGTGGAAGGTCCGCGCTCCGGCAGCTACTTCTACCATTGTAGAATCTTCCGGCACTTCGGTAACGCCTCTCCTGGATCTTGTCCGTGAGGACGTGGTCTATGATGCTGCATGGTCACCTACACGGCCAGGTGTTTTCTCCCTCGTTGATGGTGCTGGCTCTCTCGAAATCTGGGACCTTGGCGTTGAGACTGAGATACCTGTTGCTAAGATCAGCCCCACGCCTCGGAAGGAGGGCCGTCAACTACTTAGTAAGAGTTTGAACAAGGTGGCTTGGGAGAAGCACGAAGGCAAGCGGTTGGCAACTGGTGGTATTGATGCCGCTGTTACAGTCTTTGAAGTCGGACCCGATCTAGGAGGCAAAGATGGCGCAAAGGCAGAGGAATGGATGAACGTCAAGAAGCTTGTAGCACGACTTGAAACTGCTGGAGCAGGAGCCGCTGCATGAGCTCGAGAGTTTGGAGGATCTATGGACCTGCACTTTGCATAGAAGTGGTGCCATCCCTGGTTCGTCGACACTGTATTCTTGCTACCTTGTCAGATTAGGAGTTCGTTAAGCTTATACCCCAAGACGTTTTTCTGCTGTTCAAATAATCTGGTAATATCATCAAGTACTGGGCACAAGAGTTGGCGCAGCCCGCTGGAACCAGTGGGTAATGTAGAATTGTCGAAATCAACCTTGCTGGCATGACAACAATAACGTTACTAACTCTCTGGCTATGCCAACGATAGCAAGACGAGAGGTGAAGCGCCAATTATTGTGTATCTACTATTTCTATGCTCCTGTTCCCTCCACTCGTGCTGGTGAACTGAGCATTGGCATCATGGCCAGCACTTAAAACCAAGCCTTTATACTTGGCCATATGCAAGGGTAAACCTCACCAGTCGCACTCACCTCGACGCGTTTGTCGAGCATATACAAGCGCCACGTCATACTATTCTTTCCGCACCATGATTCGCTTCAAGATGGAGGATTCCTGAAACAATGGCCATCACCGAAAGGGTCTACGTTGTCCTTCGCAAGGACTTTGACCACTGCACAGACAAGAAAGGCTGTCTAAACCTCGTTATCGGCGCTTATTATATCGTTCCCGCCGCCAATCAGAATTATAGCCCGCGTAATTGCAATTTATTGAGCTGGCTTCATACCAGGGCAGTAGATAAAGGCCACCGTGTCACAGCTGAGGATAGGAAAAGCGACTTCGAAGTTTAGGGGTCAAGGCCACGAAGATTGGCGATGTGGCGATGCAGCGATGCCAAAAGTAAAGGCTTAGGGGACTGAGAAAAGAGTGACGGTGTCACAGAAATTTGGCGAGAGTCAGAGTGTTTTAGGAAATAGCTAAGAGGGGAAGCTGTCGTTGCGATCGACAAATCTAGACGACTGACTTTTCCATTCGCGCCAGCGTTACGGGGCTTCAGTCGACATACAAGTGAATATTGTCTCCTGGGGGTCCCCACGGGAAACTCAAACTTTCAAGTGTCTACATCTGTACAAACTTTGTGTATCCACTGGTACACGCTCCCGTGTCCCCTCAGGGACTCGTCCATTTTGCAAGCTTCCTCAATCGTGCCGTAAACGCGCACGTTGCCTTGCGATCCAAAACCATCAGTTGTTGTGCCGGGAATCAGATCAACGTTTGGGGTGCCATGGTAGCCTCCGCGGTGCGCTTGGCGTTGGAGGGGAGCGGAGTCGAGTAGGGAGGCGGAACCCAGCCGGGATCGCACATCGGACCACACTGAGTCTTGTTTCCCTCGTGACCGAAGCACCCGAGAGCGCCATCATGGTTCCAGAGGACCTGGTCTGGTTGTGTGTTAGTATCCCGTGGAGAGGACAAGAGTTTGGAGTGGTGTGTGAACTTTTCTGGATGACGAGTGATTAAGAGAATAGAACAGAGTTGGTGAGAGAGAGGAAGAGGAGGAGGAGGTAGAAAAGATGCGAGGAGACAGTGTGACACTTACTCAAATCATATACGGAACTAACCAAGTCGCCCTTGGTGTCAAAGCAGTTGCAGCCAATGTTGAAGAAATGCGAACCCATGCCCTGGATGCCACAGTCGCGGCACGAGCCGGCGTAACCGCCAGTTTCGTAGGGATAGAGCTGGCCGCCGTTGTTGATGATGCAGCGATTGAGGTCGTGCCCTAGATTTTTGCAAGGGGTCTCGTCAGCATGTTGTTGAGATCACGAAAAACTTGCCTGGCGAGAAAAGAAAAATAGAAAAGAAAAAAAACTAGACGAAACTCACAGGTCCATTTGTAGTCGAAGTGCACGTGGTCGTCATCCTGGCAGTACATGCCCAGGAAGGTGCCCGTCAGGTTTGCGCCGCGCCAGGTACAGTTGCCGAGGAAGCCCTGAGCGGCAACGAGACCCAAGAGGGCGAGGAAAAGAACGATGGCTAGCATCTTCATTGCGACTGCTTGAAGAAGACACAAAGTGAGGTTGGTGGAGTTTTGAACGCGTGTCAACAACTTCGGCAAGAGTTGCAGGTGATTGCTGGTGGTGGTGAAGGTTGGAGGTGGTTAGTGTTCACAGTATGGTGGGATGGGAGTGTAAGTTCTTTTTTGTTGGACTGGTCTGTTTGACCGCAGAGGTGTCGCCTGTCCAAATTGCATCTTTGTTACCTTGGTTTATAATTTAGTCGCGTGTGATGTTTCGCAGTTGATCACTACTGAAGCCCTGGCAAAAGATTCCTCGCATCAGGTTCAGAGACCAGATAAACCTGGCCGCTCCTTCCGAGTCAATGAGAACATGAAAATGTGTTTTGTATTTGCCAGGGGAGAGATATCCATGTATTTCATCCTACCTGGTTTACGGGTAGTCTTTAAATCCAGCACTGGGCCCGTTTCTGTCGGTCAGATATCTGAACCTCTCTCGTTGGTCTAATAGAATCTTAGGAATATCCTGGTTGTTCTCTAATTTTTCATAGTGCTCATCTTCTCTGTCCCAAATATCCTTCCCGTCTCTGACACGGCTAGCGATACGATCCCTGTCACGAAAAATCTCATGATTCATCCACTGATGCGAAAATGATGACATTTTTGTGAGAATCTCCTCGATTGTCGAGAAACAGGATGAACAATGCCAACCAGCATCCCACAGATCTGCTGTCTCCATCTTGACGAACGGTGGGAGATTTCCGTCCGAATTTCGTAAATTCACCGGCAAAATTGTCCTCCATCCTTGGTAATATGTTGCCTGCGGGTGCTTCCACTGCTCACCAGTATGTAGATACTGGAAACTGTAGTAGTAAAAATGACTGCGCAGATTGAGCCTTCGCGGGAACTGACAGGTTTTGAGCAGCACTATCGTCTCGGGTCGGATGATCTCGTCGACATCAGCCACAATAATAGCATCTCCAACCCGAGGCGCTCGAGCATCAGTAAGCTGGGGAAGGACCTGATCGTACATGGCATTCCTCTGGAGATCTTCAAACGCCCATGCGGGATTCTCCCGATCCGAATGGAAGTCTGCGGGGATCTCAAGCTCGTGATAGATGATTTTGTCGCGAAAAGCCTCGAATTTGTCCAGGTTGTCCTTGATCACGAGCGGCTTGTCGAGGTTGGTGAACGTTTTTGGTGACTCGACAATGACAAAGTAGTCAACATAGGCGTAGGTGGTATTCAGCCGGATTTCGAGCCAGTCTAGTTCAGTGTTCACCATCAGAAGATCGTAGACACGCCTTCCTGAGTCCTCAAAAGGTGTCCATCCATGTTGCTTGCATAGATCCCTTTTCGCTTCCAGTGTGCTCAAATCTGAGTTTGGGCTAAAATGAAGGACCCTGTGGACGGAATGGTCCGTCCATTTGCGATTTAACCAAACCAAAACTAGAATGCTGAAAGAGAAGACGAATGCGAGCCTCAGAGAGCCTCTTTTGCTGATGCGTATGAGCATCCTCAATTGGTAACCTCCCCAGACAGCTATATCATGGTGTGTTCAAGGACAGATATTCTGCAGGGCGAAAGGTTGTGACAAACGATACTTTGCGCCTTTCAAAATATCCTTGTCTCCTAAGAAAATAAGAAAACAAAGGGTATTAGGTGTGGTGAACCATCAATGAGACACCGGAGCAGCAATATATCAAATATGTACGAAAAACACCGAGCGTGGCCTAGCGTTTTACTCAGGGGTCGAGTCCTTGGCGGTATTGGCAGGGGTTGGCGGTTACCGGCAGATAAGCTAGTATTCAGCAAGGACTAGCACTCAATTAAGTAGTTGCGGATCCGTACATGATACGAAGAAATGTGATTTTACAGTACCTACTCTCTCGTGCTAATTCTTCCCACCACAATCGCACAGTACAGAAATCAGTTTGGCCTACTGTTCGGGTATCCAAACTTCCCAAGCCTTTCATTATGGTGTTGTGCTGAGTACCAGGTTACGCGCCACACACTCACCAGCAATGTTGCAGCTCTAGCGTTGTAATGTTGTCCTGGGACAACCGGAATGGGCTCTTAATTGCACCGGGAAATCACTACAAGGAATGCAACTGAAACATCCAGCATCGGCGCTCAAGATAAATAAAAACACCTCGCGTTCAATGTGTGCACCACTGGTGAGATATACTGACCAACGATTATTCCTGTATGAGAAGACAGCGTTTAAGGAGCTGCTGGTGTCTTTCGGGTGTGCTTCCGGCGGCGTAGGAGCTAACTGCAAATCGATGAACTTCTCTCGTCTCTAAATTAGCGTGCCGTTGACACTATCCTCAAGGACCGGCAAGCCGCGGCACAGTTCATATTGCTCTAAAGTGCACCACCTTTCCAGATCGCAACGCGCTGAAACTAAAGCTTGCATAGGCTAGTCGCAGTTCTATAACGAGCAACCAGTGCTGCTGTCGGGTACGATGGTTTCACGGATACATGCAGCCCTTTGTGCTTCCCAACTTCCCCGCCTACCTCGTAGTTCGACACTTGACAGTTTGTCCATGGCAAACAAGCTTTCGTCGGTTTGCTTGTCAACTCTTATCCTTCCTATCTACAGATTTCCACGATCGACCGTGATCAGGTACGGGACCAATTCCAAATCTGGGAGGAGGACATTTCATTCCTCGAAAGTAAAGCTATCAACGATGCCGTCTACGGCGGAGGAGACGGCCTATGAAGCAAATGGCGCAAAGCCAGCCAGCACCTGGCTCGGCCACCAGGGGGCGGCCCAGTTCGACTTGAGAAGTAAGTCAGCCTGATTCTCAGTTTTAGGTACATGCTCGAGCAAACATAGTTTACAGCATGGGAAGTGGGGAGAAATTGACTGCTTTTTGTAGGTGACACGCAAACAACACCAACGCTGGAGATGTTAAAGGCCATCGAGGTCACTACTTTGGATGATGATGTCTATGCAGAAGATCAGACCACAATCAGCCTTGAAAAGCATGTGGCCGCGCTTGCAGGAAAGGAGGCCGGCCTGTTTGTGCTTTCTGGTACGATGGGAAATCAGTTAGCTCTTCGGTCTCTGCTCACACAACCGCCACATGGTGTGCTCTGCGATCATCGAGCCCATATCATAAAATACGAAGCCGGAGGGTAAGAGATATTTTTGATTTATTTGCGGAGCAACGTGCAGGTTTTTTTTTTTCTTTTTGGCTGACTTTGAACAGCGTTGCATCGCTCTCTGGGGCCCAATGTCAGACTGTAGTGCCGAAGAATGGGATCCATCTTACCCTAGAAGATATCCAAGAACATGCTGTCACTGACGACGACGTTCACTCGCTACCTACCAGGGTCATCAGTCTGGAGAACAGCCTTGGCGGCATGATCATGCCTCTTGAAGAGATCAAGCGGATATCGACATGGGCTAGAGAGCACAACATGAAAATGCACTTGGATGGCGCACGCCTTTGGGAGGTGGTTGCATCCGGCGCCGGTTCATTGGATAGTTTCGCATCGTACTTTGACACTGTTAATCTCTGCTTCTCTAAAGGTCTTGGAGCGCCGATCGGCTCTATCATCGTCGGATCGAAGGACATCATCAAGCATTCCCGATGGATGCGGAAGGCTATCGGAGGAGGACTGCGCCAGTCGGGTGTCGTGACGGCCGCAGCTCGTGTCGCTGTCGACAGGACTTTCGGCAAGGGCCCCAACGGCGAAGGTGGCTTGTTGAAAGAGTCGCATCTGACCGCGAAACGTGTTGAGAAGATGTGGACAGTTCTGGGCGGTACACTTCAACACCCAGTTCACACAAACATGGTCTGGCTTGACTTGCAGTCCATGAACACCACCGGTGCCCGAATCACCGAGCTCGCAGCAGAGCAGGGACTGAAGATGTCTGGAAATCGGGTGGTTACCTCGTACCAGGTTGGCGAGGAAGCGATTCGAAGGTTGGCCGCCGTCTTCGAAAAGATAGCAGAGGACAAGGCAGCCGGGTTTGTTACCGACGGAAAAGCCAAGACTGGTATATATAGCAAATAATGAGAATCGACCAGTCGCTGGAGGCTCACTAGAACTCGGTTGGATGGCGGTTTGAGCTCAAGCTTCCGTGACCGAAGAGTTGAAGTGGAATATCGAGCCATATCAACAATGTCAGGTCATAAGAATTTTACATGTGTGGGTTTCAATATCTACCAGATTACTATTTCGGCCGATGCTGACTTTCAAAGAGCGTCTCTACTGGCCCGCAAGAATATGGGTATGACGAAATAGACAAAGTTCAGGTGTGATGCTTGACATGATGTATCATTCATATATCTGTCTATTACAGCCTTTTTTGAGTGTAAGATGAGCCACTATCCTGCCAATTCTCAAGATCCAATATGCTGCCGTGGAAGCCAACTTATTACTACCAAGTCCTTGAGTGATATGCGACGCAATATCAGTGATACCCAGCCGTCATCTAGTACTGCGCAGAGGTTGCCTGAAGGATGTCCAAGGCGTCCTTTGTTACGATGGTCTATCTAGGTACTTCTTTTCTTTGTTCGGTCGATCGGCAGTGCGTATCCTACTTTTGATATCAAAGTTGGTAGCGGCGACATCGCTTGCAAACGATCATGCCGCAGGTATTGCACTCAAAAATGAAATCGGACATGTCGTGGTGACAGTTCTCGCACTCGTCTGAACGGCGGCGGAACTGCCACTGATGCCTGCGCACCTCGCAACGGTGGTTTACCTGCTGGTCTTCCACCTCCGGGTCGAGCCCCAGCTGTCCCCACGCGTCCAGGATGAGCTGGTCGCCACCTTCGCGATCAAGGATGTCTTCGGCCTGGGCGGCGACGATGTTGCGCTCTTCCCAATGAGGACACTGGCAGATTCTTTGGCCATCCGCACCTCTCCACGCCCCACCGCACACGTAGCAGAATTCTTGGCCACATCGACAACTGCCATCATTAGAAGAAGCACCGACTGAATGGATTGTAGAAGTTGGACTCACGTCATGTGATTACAACCCGTGTTGAGTTCGACGAGAGTCTGACATGTTGGGCACCGCTGCCAGCCTTCAGTCAAGGCCATCCCCAAGACCTGCTGCGATGCCTCATCTCGGGGACAAACGCCACCATGGCTTGCCTGCTTGCAGAGACTGCACGTCAGGTCCCCACACTTGCGACAGGCGGCAGTATCCCTGAAAATGTCTCCCGGCGGGATGAAAGCGCTACAGGTCGGGTTGCTGCAGTAGGTCTTGTCCAAGGTCTCGCGTTCGACCCTAACCTCGTCAGACTTGGCGAGGAGCTCCGGCCCGTCGAGCTCGGCGAAATCCCCCAGTATGTCAGTTTCGATTCTGTCGAGCCTGAGAAACTCTTCGACACAAGCTCGGTCTTCGGCATCGTCAATGGGAATAGGCTGGTTGCAGCATCGCGGTGGGAAGATAATGCCTTCTTCGAAAGATAGACAGACGGCAATGCGGAGGCACGTACGACAGTAGTGATGGTCCTGCTCAAACCAGCTTGGTTAGGTATCTGACATTCTCAGTATTAAGCGGCGCATCCCGGTACCGTGTAAAACTTACGCAAGGCAGTTCGAACGCATCCTCAACAGCAAGGGCGGTGAAGCAACCGATACAGCCATGAGGCGTGGGGGGCAGGGATGGAGTTCGAGGAGGTGTGTCCCCCTCAGTCCCAGCGAATCCCCATCCGAGAAGCTGCTCCTCGATCTCGGCTCGGAAGAGATCTGCCGCCTCTTGGTTGTCTGCACCACCGTGGGTGTGGTTAGCAGTTGCGGCCGAGCTAGCCTGGAATGATTTGATCTCCCAAAGCTGTAGCTGCAGAGCCAGCTCGATGGAGGTATCCTGGGATTCTTCCATATTGAGTAGCGACTGGAGGAGAAGCTGTTCGAACTATATTAGCACGAAATAATACCGTATTTGATCGAATAAACGGAGGTCAGCTGCTAATCACCTACCTCTAGGGAATATGTGTGGCTGTTGGAGGTAGGAGGTTGAGGAAGCTTTGAAGTCTTCGGAATACAACGATTGGAAGGGATTCCTTTTTTGATAGGTCAAGACGCGACAGGCAACTATTTTCTGTACAAATGTTGGCAAATGAACTGTAAAACGGCGGTTGTGATCGCAACTTACCCTATCTGTTGTTTGGTAACCAAGGGAACCGCAGAAGCGAGTTGATGAGGATAGGCAAGTCGCTGACACAACAGCTTTCTGTGTTATTTACTTAATCATTGACGAGACAACCTAGTATGATACAATAAACCAACGAAGTAATGTGAGATAGGTTGAAATCACGTCGAAACACAGCAAAGATATACATTTGATCTATTATTTACCTGAACACTGAGCGTAGGGGTCCACATCATTCTGAAGCCTCAAGATGTGAGAATAGAGATTAAAGGAGACTTCATAATGATACATACCTGGAAGTTGTTATAGAGACAACAATGAATCATGGACAGTGTGGCACAAATTACATGTGTGAGAACTAAATTCATTCTTCAGGCTTCCTCAGACCACAAGTTTTATGAACAAGTGCTTTCGACTTTCGATGGATCACCGCTTACCGGATCATATTTTGAGAAGTGATAGAGAATGCCAGGAGATTGTAGTGTAATGTAAATACATGGTGTGGCTGGATAATGGGGTAGACCTGATGTGATCACAACTATGAGAGCATACTACGTGATGTGTTGTAAACGATTCACCTTGGTAAATTGACTCTCAGCTGGGAATTTCTTCCATTCTTTTTCTTCAACAGCTCACTTCAAGACGTAGAGAGTCGACAGCGCAGCATGTTATATTTTGTGGATAGCTTTGAATATTTGGTGATTGCATTTCTTCCCTATGTATCGTATAAGATAGTGGTATTCCCATCCACTATTACCTCAATAGTGAGTAGCCCGAAACGCCTGACACCTGATATTTGCCCTTCAATAGAAACCAATTTAAAGCATATCATGAGAGAGAAGACCCCATCCCGTTGTATACACAATCCTTTTCTATAACACAAACTCCGTATTGAGCGAGGAGTGAATAGGCGCTTTTCAGTGGCTGATTGCCACTCCCACACTCTTTTTCTAAGAGGACATTATACAACGCTACCTGCCATACCCATGAACAGAGCATGGGCCGCCAGACTGAGCGTCCAGAAGCCGACCTTCTTCATTCGCCTAGTGCGACTCTGTTGGTCCTCAACATCACGTGCGAATGCATCGTACACCTCGGCGGATACATCATTCATAAGTCCACAGTCGTATAAGGACCAAGCACCATCAAAATCAGACACACGCTTTACAATGCGGCAACCGATGGGAATGTAGGTCTTCTTGGCGTTGATATATGCGACGATAGGGCGTACCAAAGCCTGATTGACGTAGCCCATTTGTGTGTTGAAAACAGGAACAGTAGCTTTGACGTCGTTCAGATGAATGCGGAGGTCCATTACCAGATATCGAGGCGGTTCGCCCTCGGCTGGCACTGCTGATGGCGAATCGTTCTCAGGCCCTGGTGGTGCGGGCAAGGCTTCGGGTTCTTCTTCGTTGACAATCGGTATCTGTGCGGCCTCCTCAAACGTGCCGCTTCGCATGAATTCCTCACCCTCGTCTTGCAAACGGCGCTTACTCCTGTCCAGGATCTGTAAGTAGCGATTCGAAGTGACTGCTTCTTCGAGACGATCGTAGAACTCAGCCACTACTTTGGTGATACTATCGTCGTCGTCTGTCGGAAATGCGATGTCGGCCACAATGTCCACGTTGCCTTCGTATATCCATCCGAAGGGACCTTGATCACCCTTATTCAGGTGATCGATCTTGAGACCATCAATTCGGCAACGGCTGAATTTCTTCCACGCATCTGGTTCACCAAAATCGTTGGCAGCCCTTTCTTGACCCGCTGCCACTCCGTGAACTTGGCGGGGATGTATGGTGAAAAGCGAACCGTCAAAAGACCCGGACATATGGCTCGCGGACAGGAGGTCATAGAACAAATATTGCTTCCGTAGTTGTGGAAGCTCGCATGAGTAAATGCTTACTGAAAATGGGCGGAAATCCCCTGGTTGGTGAACCGTGACAAGCAGATCTTCAAGTTTGAAAGATTCGATCTCGAAGTCACCTGGATTGTGTTCATGCCGGTATGATAGGGGATCCACGTTGTCACCAGACCAGTGGACATGGGTCCTATCGATGACGCCTCGGACACCCTTGATTTCAACGTCCTCTAGTGGTCCCTTGCCATTCCACCATTTTGCGAACGACAGGGTGACGTTGACCGTGCTTAGTGTCACATCGAACTGGGTATAGTTGCCATCATCTTCCTCCGTCGACTCCTTCTTTTCCTTCTCTGCAGCTGCTACAGCAGCGGCACTTGAGGGAGAACCCTTGCTGACTGAAGATCTGGTCTGCCCAGGTCTTCGGGAGACGAAGACATTTCGGAAAGAAATAACACCATCTTTCCATCTTGGAACGATGGCAGACTCGAAAATGACGGTTAGACCAGCAGATTCAGTTAGATAGTCACCAACTTCCTTGGCAAGCCATTCTATCGCATGTTAGTAATCACATGATGATACGTCTCAAATTTGGGCATACCTTGAGCAGAAACGGTGTTGACGAAGAGGAGAAGTCCAGACACAAATGTCGTCGTACCAATAAGAATCCATGCTAGATGGCCAAAGAACAAGAAGGACAGAAAAGCTCCCCATTCATCAGTGTTCCATGGTCTCATACTCCGAATGGAAAACCACTTGAACCGAACCTTCATGCGTGACCAGAAACCATTTGCGGCGGCCAGCAGCTCTTCTTTTGTAGGCCGGTGCGGTAGATGGACATTCGGGAGGTGAAAATAGTTTGATATGTAGTTGTGATGCTCCTCCGGTCTAGCTTCTCGAGCTTTGGCGTCGGGGTTCGGTGTTGCTGAAGCTTTTGCAGAGTCTTGCCTGGCATGTGATGCGGCCGCGGACTTGGTGGATTCTGCGGAGGACTTGGTGGACTTGGGCCGCCTTGAATGTGTACCGGGTCTTCGCCTCCCTCTTCCCGTGTGCACATCTCTCGTCCACGCCTGTCGTGCTAGTCTTAATAAATCCGCCTGGTGAGTCCCGCTCCCGTGGATGGCGGAGTCGGCTGCGGCGGCACAGGAGGATACCACGGTACTCGTGGCGGAAGTGGTGGGATTGGTGCCTATGAGCAGAAGCCCGCCCGAAGCGAAGCTTCTTCGCACATTGTACCCATAGACCTTTGGGGATTTCGGCAAGGCCCAAGACGAATGAGTCGAAGTGCGGCGGAATGTGGTGCTCGAGTGATGCGGTGCCAGGTGATTCGAGGGAGCAGACCTCGAGGACACACGTGTGCTGAGAAAGTCGAGCGAGTCGTAAAGGGATCGCCAAGCGTGCCGCCCAAAAAGCGACGTTCTAGCTGTAGACATTGCCAGAGCTCATGATGATCTGCAGTGTTGAACAGGCAGGCCGATGTCGGAAATATGGTGGAATGAGAACAGAATTAACACATTACAATGGGATATAGCCAACGTCGAAACGCACAGGGGCAGTGACACGCGACGGGTGGGTTTTTGGGTATGTATAAAGCTCTAGGTCTAGGATCAGAACAGCATGATATGGTTATGGTAGGCAGATCAGGGTATGGCAGGATGGCAGCAAAATCTCGTCATTCCCACACCCACGCCCATGCCAACGCCCATGCCCATGCCCATGACGCGCTAACGTTAGCAAGCCGTCGGCTTTAATTCTGTCGCGCTATGCTCAAATCAAGAGTCGGGACGAGGAAAAATGAGAAGAGAAAAGAAAAGAAAAGGCCCCACCCCAGAAAGTCAGTCGAGGGCCCCAGCTCGCAGGTCGGTTTGCCGGTGGGCTGTTTGAAACGGTGCGCTGCGTGCATTGGCACTCGGGGGAGGTGCCCCCAAAAAAACAGCCTAACGTCCATTGAAAGCCTTTGACAGCTTCCTTATCGCTTATCAACCTCTCTTAAACGGCCCCGCATCAAAATTATTCTTATTCGTAGTCGGGCGGCGGTATGACATTAGACCCCGATCTGCAACACTTTTTTTTGGCCGACCTCATTGACGAGCAGACTTCTTTGCGAGCAGAAGTACCATACAATCCTCCGCGCCCACGACTCGACTTCCGCAAACCCCCCCCAGCAACCATGCCTGCACCAACAGCCCTCAAGGCGCCCGAGGCCGCCGTTCAAGACGCACACGCCCCTCCAGCATTCCAGGTGCCCCTCCCCACGCCCGCCCAGGACGACGACGATGTGCTCCTCGACGCCGACGCCATGAACACTCTCGACACATCCGCCATCCTCCAACCCGTGCCCGCATCAGACAACACAATGGAAATCGACGAGGAGTCGAGACCGCAGTTTGCCCCCGCCAAAGACCACGCGACTCTTGTCCGAGTGGAAGGCCGCAAAATATCTATCCCTCCACACCGCATGACCGCGTTAAAAAGTGCCTGGCCAAAGATCTACCCGTATGTCCCGTTTTGGAGCATGACAAGCCCATGCGCGCCCAGCTAACGGAACGCTACACAGCCCGCTCGTCGAGCACCTGAAGCTCCAATGCCGCATGAACGTCAAGAGCAAGGCCGTCGAGCTCAGGACTAGCAAGCACACCACCGAGGCCGGCGCGCTGCAGAAGGGCGCCGATTACGTGCGATGCTTCACTCTGGGGTTCGACGAATCAGACGCCATTGCCCTGCTCAGACTGGATGATCTTTACGTGGAGGTATGTATAAATTGCAACCTCCTATCCTTCCTTGTCCGAGGTGGCACTCGCCCGGGACAAGCGAGACTATCCGTCAGGAACAACGCCGAGTCACCTCGGGGAGATGAGTCATCGTCATGGAAAGCCCGACTAATTGCGCCCTGTGTCTCTAGACGTTCGAGATCAAAGATGTGAAGACCCTGACTGGTGATCATCTGGCGCGTGCTATTGGACGTATTGCCGGCGCGCAGGGAAAGACGAAGCACGCAATTGAGAATGTGAGTTTTTATTCTATTTATTTATTTTACTTGTTTTCTTTTGTGTTTCACGACAACACGCGGACTCGCAGCTGACATGGGGTATTTAGGCGAGCCGAACAAGAATCGTGCTGGCCGACAGCAAGATTCACATCCTCGGTGGCTTCAAGAACATCCAGATCGCAAGAGAGAGCATCGTGTCGTTGATCCTGGGCAAGCAGCCTGGCAAGGTGTATAACGGTCTCAGAGTCGTTGCATCGAGGATGAAGGAGAGGTTCTAGATGGCGTGGACGAGGAGGCATTCTATTGCATGAAATGAAAATCATGGGCAGGCGTTCAGGGGTAATGGAGTTTCAGAGCGAATTGCTCTCGGTAGACATGAAATCATATGAGACATTTCTGCGTACTTGCGCTAGAGCTAAAGAATGAAAACAACAATTCGACATAGCACTTCAAAGGGTATCATACTCGTAAAACGCCTAACCACAAAATCTTTCCGCCAAGGTGAACCACCCTCCGGCCCTCATCAGTTCGTGACATGACAATCCGCAATCTGCTCAAAAGCCAACCTGCAATGCTTGCCTTTTGACTACCTGGTGACCTTGATAACGAACGCCATTAAGCAACCTACCATCGCCGAGCATGGTGATTCCTTCACTCTTCCCCAGCACGCCTGTCACTGTGCATCTTTGACATGCACCTCCAAGACATCCATGTCTTCGAGGTCGAGATCCTTGATCTCAGTATCTGACTCCAAGATCTCGCCGTCCAAGACGACTTCGACAATCTTGTCGCCAGGCACCTTCGCGGTCTTGCGGAAAGCAGCAATGATCTTGGCGATCGGGCAGCTTTCGGGTACCGACCTTTTCTGGTCCTCGTAGGACTTGGACTTGAGGATGATCTTGACCTTCCTTTCCTGTGGGGGCTGCGGGAGCGACTCGTCGTCCTCAGGCTCGTCAACGATCTCTCCGAGGTTGCGGCGACGCTCCCTCTCGCGGTCGATCTGATATTGCTTGAACAGGTCCTCGGTCCAAGCCTCGAAATGAACCTTGTTCCAGCCCTGGAATCCCTCCTGGAGGCTCTGCGACGTGGAGTAGAGGTTGCCCTCTTTATCTGGCGTCACGCCCATTCTCTCAAGCGTGAGCAGCTCGACGATCTTGGCGCCTTTCCACGTCAGAAACATGCTGTTGAGTACATCCGCACTGATATTGGAGTCGTGTCGCACTTTGCCACGCCACGACTCGACCACAAGTGTTAATGGCTTATTGACCTGTATCCTCAATCGCAAATTAGAGATGCCCTCCAGGCGCGATTCCACAAGGATCTCGGCAATGGCATCGCCCCGACTTTCGCGCGCCTTTACCTCTTCGGCCCTCTTTCTGGCCCGCTCCTGCGCGGCTCGAATATACGCAGCTCCGACATCGTCAGCAGGAGGCGGTGGGTCGTTGCTCGATTGCATCATGTCTTCACCGTCACTGTCATGATCGACGAGGCCTGGAACCGGAACATCGAAGTCATCATCCAATATCACTGTGACTCTCTCTCGGCCCCTTGATTTGGTCGGTGTACATGTGTAGAGATCATCGTCGCTGTCCTCGAGGGAAATGACTTGGGTAGCCGCCGGCAATGAAGACTTTAATCTGGATGAACGTGAGGTGATTGGTGTGGATTCGGCCGGAACACTGTCCCTTGATCTGCTTGGGGATTTGGCGTCGACCCGCGATGCCTTCCGCGGCACAGGCGAGGTCAACATTGAGGCGTCCTCGTCGTCACTCGATATGTTCATGTGAGTCCGCTTGGAGCCGCGTCGCCCCCTCTCTGGTCGCTTGCCCTTCCTAGAACCTGTCTGGATTTCAGACGATTCACGGGAGAGTTGCTCCTCTACGTCTTGATCTTCCTTGACAAGGCGCTCTCTGCGCGCCTTGTCCTGTTTGGCAGCCTTCTCGGCGGCCTTCTTCTCTCTCTCGTCAAACCATGTCTTGTCCCTGCGCAACTGGAATAAATCCAGGGCACTTTCTTCTTTGGGCTCGGCTTGTGTTACAGTGGTCTCGGCGACGGACTTGCGCGGCACGGTGCGCTTGAATGGTAAGCCACCCATTTTTTGTTTGGTAGCTGGGCAGTCTCGGTAAGAGCTAAGATGCCAATGTTGGGCCCCGTTCTGTCGATCTGCAGTATGCTGACATGTGTCGTGTAGCTGTGCAATGCGATGCGACGAAAGAATGCGACAGGGTCCGCTACGAAGGGTGGGATGTCTGCGAAATGGGGTGTCTAATAAGAAGCGGGAGTCGCAATGGGGCGCGAGTCGAACTTGGCTTGTTGATGAGGTCGCAAAATCGCTCAGGCAACAAGGTGGCCTTGGCAGCATAAACAGAGCCTTTTGAGGTTCATGTTATGCTCCTCGAAGATTTGGGAATTTCTTGAACGCGAGGTACAAGGACAATGGGCACTCGCGTATCAAGCCCCACTGCTAAATTGGTTGTCGAGTTGGGGAAAGTGCACTGTGCAGCACCCAGGCAGGCCAGGGGTTGGGCGGAAAGAACCCGCGCCCTGCTGTTAGACTCCCTGGACTGTGTAGTTGAGGCACGGTGGGGCATCCTGACTGGAGAGATTCAGGAATATCAGGTCAGAGCAGTCCAACTCAAATCAATCAACACAGTGACATCAGCCCCAAAACACAACCAAGGCAATGGAGAACGGCACAGCGGGACAAGGTGAGGGCAGAGACCCCTCGGGCTTTTTGTCACAGCTACATGGCAACCCCGTCACCGTCAAGCTCAACTCTGGTGTGGTTTACAAGGGTGGGTTGAGCCTTCAAATCTCATATCGGGGGGCACATATCCACTGACAAAGACCTCTGTAGGAGAGCTTCAATCCGTTGATGGTTACATGAACATCGCGCTTGAGAAGACTGAGGAGTACGTCAACGGTGTGAAGCGGAGGACGTATGGCGATGCCTTCGTTCGAGGCAACAATGGTGAGCGGACACCGGCCTCATTGGACAAACATGAAAACTGACAGAGACTACTTTTAGTCATGTACATCTCCGCAGATTGATCTCAGCAGACTTCGAGCGGTGTTGCTGTCTCCGCAGAAAGTTCCCTTCACGGCACGCATCGGGATCAGACATGTCTGACGTCTACAGTGGCCTGCAAGCAGTATTTCAGGCACGAGTGCAGAATTAGACTGAGCTAGTCATGGCGGCCGATATGCCCTTTGCATTTTGTGGTGCTCCCAGGCAACCATTCTTTCGAACAGGCAGAGGGTATCTTTGCTAGAGATTTATGTGGAAAGGTATTGCCTGAAATACCACAACTAGATTCTATCCGTCCATGCAAAGTATGTCACACCATGTGCAGCGATCTCGCCCTTTTCGTTCCTTTCAACGTCGTCGCCCCCCAGGGCGGCCTTGAATGTTTTGATCGCATTCTCCCGGTCTTGATCCTTGAGTACTGCAATCTGGCTCAACGTGTTGATTCGCGACCACAGGGCATCCTCGCTCAACCAGACTGTCCATCTGACTGAGTCCTCCCCGATCGGTAGCGAGAATTTGGGGAGGCGATCTAGCAGCGTGTCTCTCACCACTTGTAGGGGATTTCCTGGCGGTTGTCGCTCAAACACTTCTTTCCATTTCTTGAGTGAACCATTAGTCGTGAATGGGGTCAAGTATGTGTGAGACCACCTACAAGATGTCTAAACCTCGGGAGGCCATCGTCCAGCGATAGAACAAAGTCCTTGAGCTTTCGCTCCCACTTTGTTGAAGCCTCCCAAGTTTGAGGTTGGTTGTAGTCATCCACATTCCAGATCATGCCGAACACTGCGCCTGGTTTCAAGACGCGGTGAATCTCATGCAGTGCGTCTGGCGTAGCAAACCTGCCCAAGTATGTCAGTACAAGCGTATATGATTTGTCTCTGTTGTACAACGCACCAGTGGAATGCCTGCGTTGCATGTTAGTGAGTGTTCAACAAGCGACCAAACCAAGTCTCGCGTTACACACCTGAGCCGCAATGCAAGCGTCGCCCCACTCGTCGTCTACTGGCATCTTTGTCGCAGAGCCATCTACGACCTCAACAGCGGGCAAATCCTTCTCGCTGAGCTTTTGTCTCATTGTCTCGTGAGGCTCGATGGCCTTGATGAGAAACTGCTCTGGTCTGCTTGCCAGCTGTTCAGTGAACTTGCCAGTTCCAGAGGCAATCTCCACGATCCTGACATCCGATTGCCCTGTGGCTTTCATACTGTTCAAGAAAGCGTCCACAGCTTCGGGCGGGTAGGAGGGACGGTGAGCATCGTACGCTGATGCATCCTTGAAGCCTTCGGTGGCCGCTGATGGGAGGTCGTTTGACGATGCCATGGTGCTTGATTACCCAATGATGATATTTGTAGTCTTGATTAGGGGTTCACAACGACTGCAACACGATCTCAGGTGTCTTGCTTCTTTACCGTGGTTCAGCAAATACCATCAGTCAGGTATAATTAACCCATTACATCATATCTTGGTTGGTCAATATTCGGTCTAAGCTCACGACAGTGGATCAAGAGCGCCGGGAAGCCAGGGGATAGGCTAGTGCTACGCTAAACATGGCCTAGACGTGACAGCTTCTGATCTGCATGCGTTGGCCAGGGGGCTCGTCGTCTTGATCTGCCAAGATGATGACCGTGCTACAGTATGAAAGCCACATTGCCAATATGAAATCCGCAGCCGAGATGCGATTACCTACAATGGTGCACAAAGGGAGATTGAGGTGGGAATCTCACCATCAGGAGATGATGCTCCCATCGACAAGTGGTCACGAGCATTGCCTGTGGGTGACAGGCGCCATTGGCGATGTCTTCTCATTCTTGCCGTCCCCCAAATTTGACCAGCTTGCGCCTGCTCTAACCGTAGCCATCTGCGCCGTACAAAGTACGTACCAGGCCGCGCCAGGTCGTACGCCAGCGGTTCGACTTCCAGAGTTCAGGGTCGTCAGCACGTCCCCACCACTGCACGCACGCTGGCTTCAGGCGTTTGAGGCGCTCCACAGGCTAAGAAGCGCCATTCAGGTGCCAATACCATCTTCAAACCTTCACAGCCTCACTACGTACCACTTTTGCTGATTCATCCCCTTAACTATTCTACTCTTCTGGATATGTGTTCATGAGCAACACACCTTGCTGTCTCTGCGTTTTCGGGGGGCCAGTGCAAGGAAAGTTTGCCCGTTTTGCTCACGATGAGATAGTGCATTCATCACCATAGCTTCATTACCATTTCTTTTTCGCTTCGTCGTCGCTCCTTTTTGACATAGATTTCATCTCCATGCTCTACAGCTACCGCCGTCTCCGGCGCTTCTATTTGCGGCCGACGCTCTATATTATCGCCATTCTTTTTTGGATCGATGCGCTATACCTCATAAATAGACGGCCGGGCACCTACAGGTCTGAATTGCAACATCCATCGCATGTGCCCGGCGTGAACAACACTTCCGTTTTCATAGTTTCAGTACACCGAAATACGGAGTTGATACAAAGATCGGCGTGGAACCAAGCAGTGTTGGAGCTAGTTGACTACCTAGGCGCTGAAAATGTGCACTTTTCGGCTGTCGAGTCCGGCTCGCAAGAAGGTACAAAAGATGCCTTGATGGACCTGAAGGCGGACTTGGACCAACGCGGCGCAACCAACGACGTCAGTCTGGGAATGACTGTTTGGGAGCAGCTCGACGAAATCGACCTGCGGCCACCGCCCGACACGAGAGAACCGGGATGGGTATGGAACAAAGCCGAAGATCAGTGGGAGTTGCGCCGCATACCCTATCTCTCAAAAGTGCGCAACCAGGCCATGGAGCCATTGAAACGGCTCCAAAGAGAAGGCAGACGTTTCGACAAGGTCTTGTGGCTCAATGATGTCGTGTTTGATGTGAGTAGTGCAGGATATAGATAAAAAGGGGATGCTGACACGGACACGTAGTCTCAAGACATCCAGACCTTGTTTGATACGCGCGAAGGCAATTACGCCGCTGCCTGTTCCATGGACTACAAAGCTTCGCCTATGTATTATGACACTTTCGCTTTACGAGACGACATGGGATTGAAAACGGCTTCTCTGCACTGGCCCTGGTTCCAGTCGCCCAAATCAAGGGCTTCAGCACTTCTCAACGAGCCAATCGAAGTGGCTTCGTGTTGGAATGGAATAGTGGTTTTTGACGCTGTCCCCTTTTACTCGGAACCTGCCCTGGACTTTCGTGGTATTGATGACAGTCTGGCAGACTTTCATCTTGAGGGCTCAGAGTGTTGCCTGATCCATGCGGACAACTACCTCTCTGCAGCAAGAGGAGTATGGTTGAACCCCAATGTTCGAGTCGGCTACAATGTCAAGGCATACAACCGAATCAAGGTCGACCGGTTTCCCACTCCATTTTGGACAGTGGTGGGCGGATGGGCGAACCGTATTATGAGCTGGAGGATAGGGTTTCAAAGCTCGCTCGAGGCACACGTCGTGCGCAAGAGGATAGAACAATGGGTTTCAGAGACCCCCGCGGGAGAGCTACCTCGCTTCGAACCTGGTGAAGCATGCTTGATAAACGAAATGCAAATCATGTGGTCCAATGGCTGGAAGCATTTATAGCACAGGCACAAGAAAAGCATTAACCTAGGGTTTAGAAACGGCGTTCAAATATACCCAAGCATTCATCGTTACCGCCACCTCCTGTTTATCAAGCACGATCTTTCTATCAACCAGTGCGACTCTGAACCCAATGATGTTTACAACAAACCACAGATATATAACATGCCTTAAAAAAAAACGCCGCTGATGATGATAACTGAGCAATGGTTGATCAATGTCCCCGTAATGGTGCAGCACCAGACCTGGCCTGCCTCATTTGTTGTGCCAAACGAAATTCCTTAAACTGTCCCAATGATCGCTATCCTTGTAAATATAGTTCATACTGCTCTTCAAGCTCGGCTGAAGATCCTCAGGGTGGTTCCTGAACAGGTGCATGACCATACCCCAGCTTAGAGATGCGAAAACGGGCCAGGCGTAGTGGCTGATGGCCGCGGACTTGCTCTCCTCGGATACAAAGGGCAGGCCGGCGCCGGGCTTGACAGCCAGGCGGGCGAGCGCGAGCACCACGCGCGCGAAGACGTAGACGACGATCTGCTGGTTCACCGACGAGATCTTGCCGGAGCGCGACCGGGTGCCGAAGACGAAGTAGCCGCCCAGCAGGCCGGCGATGAACGTGTCGTACTTACCCTCCTTGCCCGGCGTGGCCCCGTACCACTTGAGCAGGTAGCACACCGTCTTGTAGATGGTGGCGAACTTGGCCAGGTTGCGCGCGTGCGTCCGCGTCGCCCGGAACACCAGGCCCGTCTTCTGCGACAACGTCCCGGAGCGGAACAGGAACACCATCACCAGCGCGTGCGGGAACCGCACCTTGGCCCCGTAGACGGCCCCATTGCGCGCGCCCTTGACGATCGCCAGGAGGTCGCGGTTCGACGGGTCGAGGATTATGCGGTTGAGCGTCTCCTGTTTAGAGTTCGTCAGTCAAAAGGCCGTGGGGTTCGGTGGCGTGGGATGCGCGGCAGGAGAGGAAAAGTCTCGATTAACACACCTTGAAGCTCTCGAGGGCGGTCGACATTGTGCCGAGGCTAATTGGCGACAGCGGGAATGGAGAAAGGGCGGCGCTGAATGGGATCGCGCGGTAGAGATTGGACTCGTCGTTACCTCATTGGGATACAACCGATAGACGAGATCACAGTTATCAGCGGGATCTTGTGAATGTTGAATGCGTGCAAGCAGCGTCGCAGGAAGTCGTAGCAAACAGAAGTGTCATGGGATTGTCACCATCTCGGCATGGGGTTTCCTCCAAGCTCGGCTCTCACAAAAGCTGGGGGAATGAACGCTAACAACGTCCAACCCCACAGGCTATGACGCACGGTGAGCCCCCTGTAGCTTGGGCGCATTTGGTAGGGGATGGGATGCGGAACGAACGTGCTTTCGGCATGTGAAAGTGCTGGCTGTCATCCCAAGGTCTTGGGTCATAACATGAGTCGTGCATCATTTTACCCAGTTATCTGTTCGAAACAAGCTTTACTGTGCGTGCGACTCCATAGAAATCGAGATGTATATATAGTGCAAAGGCGAGTATACTGCAGTAGTACAAAATCGAATATACACCATAGTCGTCCCCTTCTCGTTTGTGCACATATAATACCTGATCTGCTTACAGGCTCTCCCTTGGTCCCTACCATTCTTTGTTCTGGGGAAACATCTTTTGGCTAGACTCGGTCGATTCATACTATTCTCTCTCTCTTCGGGATGACTCAAAATACCGTATCTTCTATGACACACTCAATGAGCTCAGCTTCATCCATCACTTGATCCGACGCCTCATTCTCGGTGAAGTGAAGAGGGAGCCAATCCAATATGTTGCAGCAGTGCCTTCCAGCCCCAGGAGATAAGGAGGAATCCATGCTAGTCCAGCTTAGAATCCCTCGATTGCAGCCCACTTACCTGGTTGCTTCTGGAGGTGGTCAGCTCAGCCTCGGCGGCTGGAACCTCCTGATGTTTATGTTCCTCTTGCAATCTTATATGTCTCTTTGGGCGTTATTCATAGTCACTTGAACAGCTAGGCTGCACCGCTCCAAGCTGTCGCATGCCTCTCTACGGGCGCAATTCCCGTGCCTTGTTTCGCTGGTTATCTCTGTTCTTTATAAGCTCTCGAATGTCTTTTCGCTTAGTGACGACTTTAAATCTTATGTTGTTATCTCTTGCTGGAATTGTAATACAACGATGATTTTCTGACGCGCAATTTCATTGTTACGGTATTTTCTGTTCAAAATGAAGCGAAGCACTTCGTTGTTGTTTCTTGCGGTCTCGGTCAAATTGACAAGCGCTCAGGACGCGACAGCAACAACACCAACTGCATGTAGCAGTACACCATCACCTTCTAGACTATCCGATATCTTTTGGCAACTTCGCGATCTCGAAGAAAACCCGCCGACGCTAGGCAAGAACGTGTATATAGGCCACCAGAACCAAACATTTTGTTGTCTTCGTGCGGTGGGCGAAGCTCTTGCGATTGTGAATGGTACCTTAGTCAAGACCAACGACTTCATCCAAGCGGCACCGGACGACTTAATTCAGAAGGCCATACACTCAAACCAATTTCCGTGTGACGCAATTTACAATGGGAACCCCAGTGGTGCTCCCCTCGTGGAGGTACCGTATGCTTGGTGGGCAGATAATTGCCCAGGTTGGCAGCTTAATGATCGCAACAATTTAGAATCATGGCTACAGCCGCTAAGCGGGTTCTTGATTCCTGCCATTCCCCTGATCTTCAGTATACCTCGACGCAGGAAACTCGAGGTCTACCGACAATTCTTTATCGCCGATCTATCTGGTGTGAAAAGTTATTTGGCGGCACCACTCGGGGCTTTAGGCGCTGCAATCATCGTCATCTTGGACACAGTAATATGGCTGTCAACATGTTTTGCTTTTGCAGCGCCAATGATACTGAGTGGGCTATACGAAGCCGTGTTGGATAACAGAATGCTCGAATTTCTTAAAGAGAAGATGCAGGTCAGTATTCTGATTGCTATTGCGTATCCGTATTGACTCTGTACAGAACAAACGACTCACACTTGATATGAGAGCACGTTGCCTAATGGTCATCTTGATCGGTAATCTGGATTTGGCCTTGGATGACGGAAACACCCAAAGTAATCAGTTACGGCACTCAGAAGCTGCACATGAAGTCATCGAGGGCCAGCCTGGAGATTTACTGCCGAGGCAAGCCGCTGTTGCGGAAACTGGAATAAAGGAAGGAGATGATGCGCCCCCGGGACAACAGTCACACCTGCCTCCCGAGATTGATATCGAAGAACCCTCTCAAACAGACGATATCGAATTATCTTCTCTCACAGAGCGAGGGAACGAGCGTCCTAGGAGAGTTTCGACGTCAAGATCGCTGGCACCTTCCCCGCTAACAGGGCTAAGAAATGCCAGTCCTACTTCAGAGAGTACAATGTTGAATCAAGAGCAATCCCAACATCCTCCTAATATACCCAGTCCAAGGCAGAGTCAGGTGTCTTTTCGTTCCAGGTTTACTCGCAAGCCCACTGTTCAGCAAGCAGCTAGTCCATGGCGCCATATGGAAAACCTTCTATACGAAATTCGTCTCTATGATGATGAGGATCGCGTTCGTGGTGAATTTCCTCGTCAATGGTCCAAACATATCTGCAACAATTCGTCGTGGTGAGTGTGGTTTAATGAAACGCTTGTTCTACGGACATTACTCCGTGCAACCAATGTTCTCTAGCGACCCTAATGACATAAATACTTCATCCCGAGTACGATAGGAAGACGCGTGCTAATTAAAAATGTGGTAGTGAAAATCTGGCTCATGTCGAGAAGCCTCGGAAGCGCGATACCGAGTTCGAAAGCTTTGTTGCAAAAACACGAACGCGTTTGCGCACAATGCTTCATTGCCAATACTCATTCGGAACTATCGTTGGCGCGCCTGTGATATTCTTTTTGGGCGGCTTTATATTCGCCCTTTTGAGCAGCCTTGAGCAGTTTGGAGATCAAGATATTGCCGAAGCTCTAGCGTTTGGGCAGTGGTACATGATTATTCCTCATATTGTAAGTTCTTCATCCTCCTACAAAATCCTGTTTTTTCAACACCAGGCATCCTGTTCGTACTGATGTTGTTGCTATAGTCTATTATATCCGGATTGTTGCTCGCAGGCAACAATCCTAATATTCTGGAAGGCGTCTTCGCGACAGAACGTGGTGAAGAAGTAGATGTCATACGATTCTTTGGCCTTCGTTTCGGACTCGCATTTCCTAGCTGCTACAAGACAGCCTGGCAATGGAGACGAGGTCATGTGAAGAAAGGGTGGATTGAAAAGATCATATCAACCTATGGCACTCGCAAAGACCACGAGTATATGGGCCAGACCGAGGAAGACAAAGACATGATGGACCTCCGCGAGAGAACGACCCTAGTGGCGTTTGATTGGGTCTTTATTCTGGCCCTCATGTCATTGCTGATCTACGTGCCATACATTCTAGCCTTCATGACGTCCTACTTCACGCCGCCCATCGGTTTGGCCTGCCGCTCGCTTACGTCTAGTGTTTATGCTTGTAGCCAAGCCGGCCAGATCTTGCTTTGGTTCTGGACCAACGTCGGAGAAGCATCGGCAGAAGGGTATACAGACCACCTGAAGGTGCTAGATTATGAGACGAGAAACACATGGCTCCACAGAAGTGGCTTTTTTAAAGCCTCATCCATCAGTTGGCTCACTAATTCCAATCCACATTGGAACCCCAGAATGCCTTGGCTCATCCTAAAGTCAAAGCGAGTGTGGACGGCCAGAATGCTATGGTGCGTCATTTACCACTTCTTTGCCGTGATCTTCGGCATAGGCGCTGTCTTCTCAGTCCTTGGTGGGACCACCATGCAACTTATGGGCGTTTACTCGGCAAATATATGCTCTGTTCAAGCAAGATACTGGCTCTCACCTCACGAAAGTCGCCCGGGCGTTGTGGCCTCGAAAAACACTGCAGCGGCAATCGAGGCAGCGCGGAGTAAGTTTACCATTATACCATGGCAGTTTTTATAACAAATTTCCTGCACATCACTAGGTCGTTCGGATTCGACTGGTCTTGAAGTTCCTTACTAACGTCACGCTTAGGGTATTGGGAGCCATGCGCCATTACTGCAATAATGTTTCTGGCTTTTGTCAGTTTCATAGGGTGGTGGTACCAGCGGAGGATGCGGGATCTTTTTGCCGAATGTGAGTGGTCAAGAGTCCATCAGACGGACAGATGTGCCGAGCATTGAGCCTGCCCCTGACTGTTCACTGCCGATCTTGTTCATCAATGCTAATATCGATATGTTTGCAGTGGTACGTAATATTGACGCGCAAAAATATGACAGAGACGATACGCGCATGGCAAGACCATTGAGGGACAGACGACCACATGAGCTCGGGGCTGTTACCGTTGACAGTGAAATTTAGCGCTTTCAAGGGTATTCGGTTTAGATTAGAGATCAATCTATCTGCTTGCTATGTCCTTGTCGTTCTACCAACACAGTTGTGGAAAATCGATTCTCGTTATACCCAATTGTTGGCTGTCTAGAATCTTTGATGAAGCAGTCCAAAAACGTCGCTTCTAATCAGGTATTACCAGTCGAAGAGAGGGTGGTGGTCAAGGTGGAAATTGTTTTCAAATCGTTGATCACCGAAAGCCGTTAACCATATATCTAATGTCGAGCATGCTGGTATGGGCGTAGTCGATTGTGCGCGGTCAGATAGCATATACAATCTTCAAATCAGTAGACAGAGACTAATAAGAGCGTTCTTGGCATAGTGGAGGTCAAAATAATTGGGTTGAATATTAGAGCTTTCGATGGTTCATGATAACTCATGATAACTCATGTTAACTCATGTTAACTCATGTTAACTTTCTGCACTGTTTGGCAAGCTGAGAGGAAGTTTGGAGAGACGGAGAAAAAATGCCGTTCGACCACATACAATCGAACAATATACACTTAGACGACGAATACAACATATGAAAGGTAGGAGTCATCTCGTCAAGTTCTAGTCATGGTCAAGTAAAGGACGAATAAATCAGTCAAGAATCAGTCAAGGGCAAAACTTGACATAAGCGGGAGCTGAACGCTATAGCCTACCAACCCAACTGAGTTTATAGAACATTTTAAGCACTTTTGCAGGCCTATAGCAACAGCCAATAAGATCAATGTCCCGCATAAAATATCTCGCATTATGTTTCAAATAGTTGCATTGGAAAAACTCACCAACTCGTTTACCGCAAGGCGATACGTAGCTGGAGCTCCTGGACCGTCGAATTGCTACATGTATAGGATGCCGATGGTAACTTGCCGTACTACGTTTTCATTCACCAAAAGGCTATCATAAGTTCTTTATAACTTTCGTACGTCTCATAAATTTCACAGATGATCTCGGGGATATAGCACCTAATATAGTAGGAAAAGTTGGTAGCTCAACTTGTGAATATAATTTGGACTTGGCGTTTAACTATATGTTAAGAAATATGTTAATTATTAGTGAATATGTCTATGGACTTAGAAAACCCAAAACCCAGTACGCTCTGCTCTAGATCAAATAAGAAGTGAACACTTGTCCATAGGAGGGGCCTGACTTACCGCCTCTTGGCGAGCGTAACGCGTAAGAGCCTCGTCCTATGATATGGTGAGTCGACGGTGACGGGGCTCGGTGGCCTCAAAGCATAGCGTTCATATGCGCCTTGACCTCGATGGCCAGCCCTGATTCGTATATCTCCATTTTTCCTTCTCCCTTTGCCGTATGTATTCCAGCAAGTTATCCTCGATAAAGTTGCGTGTAAGGATATAGATAACTTTGCTTAGCCGGCCCAGTTTCCTCGTGTTATGGGGTCTTAGCTCTTATAAATTTGCCCTTATCTTCTCAATTTAGTTCCTGGGTATTATAATCAATACCTGCCGCGTAGCTTCAGCATAGTCAGACTTCGTTTAACACACCATAATAAAACATTCACCTCTTCTATAATCCGACTATATTTACAGATTCTCTCTGAAGTAATCACCCAAACTATCGTTGTGGCTCTTAGACCATTTAATTATACTGCCACCTGAATCAGCGACTAGTACGCTTAATAGCCCATAACATGCATGATTATCCTCCACCCCCATTCTTAAGCAAAGCTCGACTGATAACCTCAACGTATCTAGGTACGCACCGCAATTGACAATCTCATATTAGCATAGCCACGTCGCAGCTCATCGACTGGAAATCCTCATTTGTTCATTTGTGCAACCCCAGAGCAGCCTCGTGCTCGCAAAGCTCCAGGCAATTCTGTGTTCGATGTTGTTCATATTGAACGATCATTTTCATAACCCCAGTACAATGCCGACTATATGAAACTCTCGGGTCAACTTGTTTGCTGTCTTCGAGAAGCTGAAGTGATGAGCAAGCTCAACTTTTAAAATATGAGGTTTCACAACATAACTGCTTGATTGCCTAACCATATATTTCATAATTTCTTAAGCCACGAAAGCTGCCCCGTCGTCGGTCTTGCGACTCAAATCATGTCCTAATACCGCGCGAGATAACGAAACGTTTACATTTTACTGGGTGCACTTCGCTTGTATCTGCAATTATCATCAATATACGACTAAACCAGCAAGACTTAATACACCTTGAAATGTCAGAGAATATACCATATGAGTATCAAAGCTTAGACAGAGCATGTGGAGAGATACGACTTCTTACCTTGCTTCCTGGTCAATTTTGGGATGGCATCTCCATACGAATTTCTCACGGGCTGCTTGAAAGTGAACCCGCTCTCAAATCCGAAGCCTTATCATATACTTAAGGGCCCATTTGCGAACATTCGGAAGACATAAAATGTCATGTAAATAGGAATCAATGGTAGCTTTGATCGGCAGCAAAACCGTACCGGACTCCTAAGTAATGTGCCTTCAGCTTCCGTATCATTTACAGAACTGGTGTTCAATTAGCAGCGGTACGATAAACATACATTCACACGATACCATTGATGTTAGAGATATTGGAGTTTGCTTGCCTGGCTTATCTAAAGACAAGGCGCTTGTGAATAATGCCTCTGGCACTATTATACTGCAGAGCGCTATGGAAAAGTATGTTTTCATTGTTTTAATGCTGTGACGCACGCCCGCCTTGGGAAATGAGAACATTGACTTCCATAACAAAACGATAGTTGCGGTAAACTCACTGTTATATTTCACGCCTGTGCCGGGCGGAACTGGCATGAAGAGCATGGAGGCGCTTGCTGCCTACAAGGTCAACAAGAGAGAGGTCAATACGCCTCGCTGGACGAAATCAGTAAGTCAACGACCACAGAAATAGATATTTGAACATATGACTCTCCTTCCGGAGATTATATATAAGCCTATCTAAGCATTCGGTCAATCGACAACATGTCTATTCCGATCGCTCAGGCTTTCTTAGGAGCTCTGCCTGAAGGATGACATGTGATGTTATCTGCTGGAGGCTCTGCCTGGATACATCTTGCTCGGGACTTGGGCGTGACGATCAAATGACAACCAAGACGACCCACAGCTCAGTGTCGAGGCTCTCAAGGCGCTTTTGATTCCGAAAGCCCGCATCATCACCTCCAACCACATCATATCAAATGTAATTGGGACGATTCAATCCATCCTTGAAGTTTCCAATGCCGTCCACTCCATTCCAAACGGCATGCTAATGAATGCCAAAGCTCTGGGAGTATACTTTATTGCCTTGGTTGAATGGCGACACAATTTGTTAGCCGCAAGAATCAGTTTACTGTAGGATCGTTTGCTGCGAATTTCTAGCGCCTCATCCGACGCAAGATGTGCTGAGGCCTGAGAGCAGTGACAGTCTCATTTGTGCTAAGTCTTGTGCACTACAATCTATGGCAAGGGTTGAGTCGTTCGGCCAGAAGTTAGACAATGACATGGCGCAGGCAACTTCAGTATCGTCGTTTGCGGTTCTGTTCATATCAATCAAAGGTACCCCGAACTTCTATGGGACAAGAAAGGCCGACTGTTATAACCTTGAACTCCTTTGCAATTCCGTTGCAATAGTGATCATCACTGTGTTTGCTTTACATCGCTCTGTATAAGGTATTTCACAAAATTTATTCGGTTGCGTCTACTCTCTGCCAAATCCCAAACATCACTTCAATTAAAAATACTATCATTATTGCGGTTTGGAAGCATTTCAGCTGATTTCGGCGGTATGTAGCTAACCCAGTTCTTGAACCGCGCCCACCATATATACCGGCCGGCGTGCCTCAATGCCGAATGAAGACCTGGAAGTCCGTCAAGACTCTCGGTGTTCCATTTACTTTAGTACTGGGGCATATCTTCTCGATCAGTCGTGTACTTAGCAAATTCGCCCAACCTCAAGCGAGTTTGGAAATACGGTTTAAGATCGTCAAGTTCAGAATCGAGTTTAGACCTAATTGAGAGACTTCAAATCCGCAAGATATTTGGACTTACCATGAGTTAGCATAGATCCTCACGCAAATAAAGAAAGGTAGATCCAGTTGAGACGAATGAATAAAGCGCGGTGGTCGAACTGACTTTGAAGATATCCAGCATAATCGTAGCCCTCGCCCCAACCAGAGACTTATTACCCATTTTCTTTTGCCAATGATCAAAGTCCGGCTCATGCCCTTCAACAACGAAGCCCGTGCAGAAGCGCCGCAGGATACGTGAGTTTTTCTCGAAAGAGCAGAATATCAATTTTTCACGAACATTCTCTCCAAGGTAGCAGATGCTCTCACATCCGGATCCTATGGAGTCAACGAACGCCGCCTGGTTGGGGCACAGAGCCGCAAAGGAGGCTTCGGGAAGGCTTTTGGGGTATAAATTAATGTGCCGACCACATAACGGCGCAGAGGCTACGAAGAACATGCTCTAACGAAGAGCCCAGTCTCGTAGCTTATCAGAGAGTGAGTCATAAAAGATGGGCAATTCTTCCAGTTTTGTCTGCATTTATCTCGGTGAAAACAACGATCCTTGGATGAAAAATGAGAGTGTTAGGAGCATGGTATTTAGTGTTGCTAGCGGTTCTGTCGCCATGTAGGATGTGCCTAGGCGCACAGATTAGCACAGGCGCCATGAGCATGCATGGTTACCAGCGAAAGATGGATGTATTTACCTCAGCCAGTCAATCAAGATCAGCCATACTCGCTTGCTGACGGAATGGCTTTATTATTATTACTTCTTGCGAATAGTAAATTCTCAGATCAGGCCAGTTTCTACCAGTCAGATAGTAGGCAATCCAGGATCGGAATATCAGCCTCCTCAAATTGCCCAGTAACGTAACCCCTGGAGAACCAGCTGGGAAGAGTGTCGTCGTGAAGCAGGTCATAGAGTAAAGTGCACCAAAGACTCAATACGGAACATGCTCAAATGTGCCAATTCCATCGGCAAATTCCTATGTATCGCCTCAGTGGTTGCTATCCTTGTGGAGAGCTCTGTAAGATCGATCAATTGAGGGATGTACATACTAGACTAACCTAGGATCTTGAACGCGGATAGACTAAGCTAGGTTAGTCTAATTCTAGATATGCGCTCCAACTACTTCGTTTGCTCTTATCTTACTGTGTCATCAGACGTGCCATTTATGCCTGATATGGAGCGAGGACTACGTACGATGTGCAGCGCTTGGTTAGGAATATTGCCAATGCTGCATCTCCCGCCACAATGTATCAATTGGACAATAGTTCCATGCAGCATTGTAACCACATTCAATACGTGACGCGTTCCTAGTGCTGACCCGAGGGCCATGGGTGACCTCCAGGAGCAGCATCCTTTGCGGCCATATTTACCTCAGCTTATTAACCTTTGAAGAGAGAATATGCAATGTTGTACTGACTCATGACACCTGGCTTGTAGGTACGATAAAAAGATGTACGGCGCTGTAATATTGATATTGTCGTTGTGGGCACTGCTTTGTTCTTGCTTTTTACGGCGACTATATGGACCAAGTCCAATTGAAGGCTTACCTTATAAACCATTCCACTTCTGGTTACCTATCGGGTCGCTCGGTAGTCTCGCTGTTCATTTTGTCAAAACCGGCAGAGTCTTTGACTGGCTTTCGCTTGAATGTCTTCATCTCAAGACGCCCATCGCCCAGCTCTTTATCCCATCATTCTCCCTCACAACGCCTGTCGTTCTCATAGCAGATCTGCATGAGATCAAGGACATTGTCACACGAAGAAATCATGAGTTCGACAGAGCGAGTCTCATGCACGACATATTTGGTCTATTGGCGCCCAATGCAACTATTGGAATGAAAACTGGTTCAGCCTTCAAGCAACAACGACGACTATGGAATTGCATTCTTGCACCTACGTTTATTGATACTGTAGTTGCCTCAAGTCTTTATGGTTCTACTCAAAGATTAATTCAAATATGGCAAACAAGGGCAAAGCGCGCTCCCGGGCTGGCCTTTGAGGTTGACCTAGACCTCCGACAAACCACGCTCGAAGGCATGTGGGAGATGATAACAGGGACGGGACTTGGACTACTTGCTGCTGTAGAAGACCATGCGCTGGAAGCAAGGATTTTGATCGTTCGTAAGCTTTCCAAGGTCGAGTTCAAGGGACGAGTTCGGTATCCACCTATATATACTGCTCTCAGCACTATGCTGACGTGTGTTGATTGGATTATCACCGGGTTCAGTTTGAGGTTTTACACCTGGGTCTTCAAAAGTTTGCCCATTCTCCCACCGGCTGAGAAGATTGTTGATCGTGCGCTTCAGCAGGTTTTAGATGGCATTCGAGGACGGCAGGACAATGGGGTCGTCTCTGTGAACCGGTCTGCGCTATATGAGGTTATTCTGAGAGACTCTGCGCTGCATGGTAAAAGTGGCATGGCTGGCTCAGATGCGGCACTCAAGAGCGAGATGGTGGAGCTCCTGATTACGGGTCATGAGACATCAGCATCGTCAGTCGGATGGGCCTTGAAGTACCTGTCCGACCACCCGCATACTCAGAATCGGCTGCGTCGAAGCCTCTTCGCGGCTTTTCCCGATGCAAGAGGTTGTGGTAATACACCGTCGAGCGCCGACATCATCGCGGCGGACTTGCCTTACCTGGATGCAGTCATTGCCGAGACTCTTCAGGTCGCTTGCATCGGGCCGGTATCTTTCAGACAAGCACAGCAGGAATGCGATGTCCTTGGGCACAGGATCCCTATGGGGACGACTGTAATCTTGCTCACAGCTGGTCCTTCTTATGAGGTTGTCGCAACGGAGCGTCCTTATGTACCACTAGATGTGCGCTCTAAAACAAGTCAGGAAACAGCACAACGAAGCGGCATACCTCAATGGAACAATTCTCATTCAGTCAGTGTGTTCGAACCCGAAAGATGGTTGGACGTAAACGGCAATTTCAGCCCAGATGCAGGTCCCTCCCTACCCTTCTCAGCGGGTCCTCGGGGTTGCTTTGGCAAGAGAATAGCGCTGCTCGAGCTGCGCTTCATGATATCGCTGATCATATGGAACTTCGAGTTGCCTCGTTTGGCAGCTGAGTTGAGTCAGTATACAGCCCGAGACTCGCTGACAAGGAAATCGACTTGTTGTTATATAGCTCCTCGACCACTCAGTGGAAACGAGAAAGAATGAGTTAAACACATTGGAGAGACCACTTCGTAATTCAAGAGAATAGGTTATTGTCATCGTCGTGAAATTAGTTGCGCCATTTGCACGTGGATCTACAACAGCGACTTGGCTAACCTTGTGACGTCATGAATTTGCGACGCACAGCAATAGATTTATGGGCAAGCACATAAGGATCCCTATGTAACCACTATCCTTTTTGGACTGTTTATTTCAGAACATTTTCGGGACCAACATCATCATGCCACTTCTCCATGACAAGATTCTCCAACATCTTGAATCTAGGGGATATCCTAAAACAATCTGTCCTAGCGAAGTAGCCAGGAGTCTGAGCGATGACGAGTTATCTTCACTAGGTTGCGATAACTGGCGAGCAGCAATGGATCCTATCAGGAGGGAAGCATGGTCCATGAGGGAACAAGGGGCCCTCGATATAACACAAAAGGGCGAAGCAATCATGGTCGACAAGCTTGAGGTGATACGTGGTCCTATCCGGTTGCGGAAGAAGCCTCCCCTTGCTTAGTCAAGGTGAAGAACTTTGAATTTTTACGTTTGTAAGTGATGCTTCACAACTTCATTTAATCCTGTTGAGCACAGTTCAATACCTTCAAGAGGAGCGCTTCGTTTTCGATCACTGACTTTCAAGAACTCACTACAACCGCTTAGCCACAACTGCCGATACGTTGCCACTGCTCGCACAATGTTTGCAAATTCATGTTTTACTTGTATATGTTATATAGGGGTTGAGTTCTCTCATTGAATTCTGTGGATGTACACTTATACCATATCGTCGCTTTTGCTATGGCTACTAGGAAGTTGACGATCACATTCCAATGGCCCTAGCTTCTCCGTTGAGCAAGAATATTCGTCACCCATACGTGACAACGTAGAAATACTGGCAAGGCTATGCAGTGTGATCTGAGGCCCGTGAGACGGCACCTTGCTTTTCGCACTCTGCTCCTTATGGCTGTTGGAGAAGCCGGCAGCTGGACGGCCCGATACATCACCCCGAGAACCTGCGCTGGTGTGTCCAAGTTTGGACAGGACTTTGCGAAACAACGGTTTCAAGGTTGGAAGACTTCCAGCTGTTATAGCAAGGCCTTGCTCTATCTGCGACCAGATCGCAATGTCCGTGGTGGACCCTACGAAAAGTCTTGGTTAGTTTGTATGCAAGTTTTTGGGCCCGTTGCTACTCACATAGGAAGTCAGGATTGCGAAAATTTTCTACGTATCCAAGCCGCACGATAACCGCACAACTCGCCCTATATCTTTGTTGGTTTCTGGCCATCGCAATTTCAACGATAGAACTTACACAGCAGCCATGCATAGGATAGGAATCAAGGCGAATTTTGTTCTTCGGTCCACTTGTAGGTCTTTAACGAGCCATATAGGTAGTATGGTAAATGCAAAGTCTGTGATGATTGCGAATACACTATAAGTGTACGTGATAATGATGATTGCGTCAACAGAGATACACGATCCTGCTCCGGGTATGCGGGTCCAGAAGAACGAGACCGGCCAGCATTGGAACAATGCAATGAAGAAGAACGCGGTACTGATGAATATTGAAACTCCGAGGGCGAGGTAGATCGTTATACGTTGGGGCTTAAGTGGTGTGAGTCTGAGAAGAAAGCAGGCAATGCTACTCTTCGAAAAGATCATCGTGGTGCAATACGATAGATAGCAATACCACCAGAACTATTTCTCTAGGTTAGCACCACGCCCAGCTCATTTGATCAAGGGCTAACATGCCATCATAGCAGCAGACATATCAGCCAGGCTGAGGCTTAAGGAGTGTCGACCAGTGCCGTGCGTGACACCCGCAAGGCATGTCGATGTGTGTAATGTGAAAGAAATCTACCGCAGTCAGTCCACTGATTATTTATCGTCATCGTTCGCTCTCCAACGTCTAAAGAGAAGACTGACCATGGCAAGAAGCATAAACCAGTCATCGATTCCGAGGGCTTTGATGACTCTGAATCGAACATAAAACCGTAGCACCACGGAGGTCAGAGCTATTGCAAAAATAGTTGATGCAACAGCCTGCACCTCAGCTCCTCTATTGTCGGTATCGCTCATTTTGCCAGATGTAATGGAGTCTGCTCAATTTGCCTGTAACGATATTGGTAAACAGAAAAAGGCAGGATGATGAAATGTAGTATGTTTTTGTTTGAGCAAAGCTGCTTTCCAACATGCTAAACTCGTCATATGAGTATTCGAACGCCTTCGACAGATCTGAGACAACATCAGTCTAATCATTTGTCATAGTCAGTGCACCGTCAGGAGGGCATGGCGTGTCGGCACCAGGGCGTTTATATGGGGTTGAAGGGTACCATGATGCCGGCTTGCACGTGGTTACCATGCTACCAGCTAGCTGGTTGTGTCTCAAGCTATTGCTTCCCATCGTTCCAGAGATTTGGGATTTTCTCTCAAATATCCTCAGCGGAATTGCGCTTTCACTCGTAGCTGTAAGTGGGATCAACTGCCCGATTCTCCACAATTGATGCACCCTGTTGATCTACAACTTAGTATATCTCAGGCCTCTCCAGGATTATGAGCCTATTGAAGTCTTTGTAGCCAAATTTTCCTAAGTCTGGTTCTCGTGCGGTTAGTTCTTGTTATGGATCAGCCTTCAGCTGGGAAACCTGCGCGTTTTGGCGCTTGCGTCCAAAAGGTTTTACCGCTGTACATGCAATTTTTCAATGATTCGTATAGCCATGGTGTGTTTTGATCGCAGTGCTGGCAAGTACAGAATAATCTATGAAGCATCCAAGGATAAAATGGTAAAGTCTAGGCAAAATATAAATTTGTCACAACACAAAATTTGTGCATGATGGACGAGATGGGCAGAGGAATCAGTAAAATTGGTAAATGGGTAAATGAATAAATTTGGACTCACCACATCCTAACGTTGAAGACTGAACGGCTGTCACGTCACGTATTGCTGTCGATCTTTCTAAGGTCAGCCGTGAAGCCAGGAACCCCTGCCCGCCATGGGTGGAATAAAGCGGGTCTCGCCGACTAACCTCAGTGGCAGCTGAGTGGAAAGCCGAAATTAAAACTAATATGGCGCTGTACGGTACTATTCGTACTATTCGATTCTAAATTCCTAGCGGAATTGGCCTCCTCGGCAAATCCATCATTTGCGCATTCGACCAGCAGTATCGGGTTGGTAATTAAGATCTGATAAGATGAGCAGCCATTTCAAAAATTGGCACACGCCAGCGAGTTTGATCTGGAAGACCCGGATTCTTCGGATCTTTTTCATTGCTTATAGGCTAGCAGTGCCGCCTCTCACGACATATGTACCGTTCGTCTCGGCCTGTATCGAGATGAATGACGGATTATCATCGGGTACTCCTTTCCCATACACAATCTGACCGGTTCCTATGGTAAAATTCAACTGGTTTCCTAATTTCGAGAGGATTATAGCATTTATCAGAAACCCATTCTCTCAAAAAGCATCAATGACGAAACCGCCTCGCCCCACAAGCCCACGAAACGACCAGATTTTGACGACGGCGGCAAAGCTGGGATAATATTGATCAGCCCATTATGACTCTGCAGCAGCGACTCTGCTATGCCTGGGCATCCACCGAAGTTTCCATCAGTCTGGAACTCAGCTGGCGGATCGCTATCAAGCAAACTGTTGTAGGTCAGGTTGCAAGAGCAGGGTTGTGAGGTCTAGCTCTATACTGGCTCCATTGTACAGTCGAGCATGAAGCGCCATAATCCATGCCCGAGGCCACCAAATGTTGCCAGACCCTTTACTATCAGAATTGTTAGAAGTGACCAGAGATGCAGAAGCTCAATGGCCTTCGAAACTCTTCGTTGCACTGATGCGGCCGAGGCATTCCATAACGTAGTGTTTTTTGCTGTGATCTGGGTTTCAGGGAACAGTCAATACAAGTGTGACATGCCGATGGCCAATCTCAGTCTATGTAAAGTCTTCAATCCATTACATGATAATCCCAGTGGTTGGCGAAACGCGTAACGGTGGGAGCTGGGATTTTGGCAATCTCACGCTCGTTACCAGCGGCGTATCCAGCAACCATAGAATATCGTTTGCTTCATAAGATTACCGAAAAGCTCCCACAGCAAGGAATTATCCATAGTTGACCCTACGGTTAGAGCTCCGCTTACGGTGCCATTCTTGTAAGAGTTCTCCGGTGACACAGTGGGGTTGATGACCTTCCAGCCCTTGTAGTCTGAACAAAAAAATAATTTTGAAGAACTGAGCGGCATCATTCATCAAGTAGTAGTATCTAATTAGAAAGTCCCGATCTCCACTGAATCTGCAGTGTTCGTAGACATGGCTCAGCAACCATGCGCCGCCAAGTGGCCAATATGCTGATGCAGCATAAACATCTTGGGTGCGGTGGCTCGCTCATGATCTCCAAAAGATCAAACAACGGCTCAGTAAGTTCCGATATAAATCTTCCGTGATGTCAGCTTGATAGGCAGAGATTCGGAGAAGTTTAATCCAGTCGAGCTTACTGGTGACTTCAGCTGGCCAGTAATCCATCTAGAGGTTGAAAACATACTAGTGATTAGCAGCGAACACATCAAAGTCGGACATCATAAATGCAAAATGTGAGTCGTGTGCTACGAAGAACGTCGCAGCTGAATTTCAACTTCGCGTGCTTGATGGTATATTTGCATCCCTGTTAAGGTAGTCAGACTGGTTGTGCGGTCAGAGCGGTCATTATGTTTACCCAAGCAAGATCTATGTCATTATCCATATTCCCTGAAGATTCGCTGGGTATGTTCCAGGTCGCGAGGAAGCAACGAGAAGATATCGACCAGATTGAAAGTGCAGGGACACTGGTTCCAGGGTCGAATGTAAGCAACAATGAAACTGATTCACAATAATGGTAATAATCTAGAAATCTCTGGTGTAAGACGAAGAACCAGGTTATGGGGACATAAGATATACCAATAGTATTTAAGGACCCAACTGGCAGCACATGTATTATCGCGAATAGATAGACCTTCTTAATGTTGACGCACTCATATCGACTACACAGTAGTTGAAAATTGGCACCTAGTCCTGTCTAAACACATGATTGCTTCGAGGCTGGCGAGTGCTTCTTGCCTAGGTATAAATAGTGTGCTAAATCCGTGGCCAACGTGCAGCCGACCAACTGAATGAAATTCGTGCCGTTCCTAATCGCTTGTCTTCGTGCGTCCGTAGCAAGTGATCCTTGTTGCTCAGTTGAAATATCTAACGACAGTGACGCACGATTATAAAAGCTTTAGTAGTCCTGCATATGTGCTTGGTGCAACTCTAGGTATGATGATGCCACCTACAACTTCGTCCTCACTTCCTCGAAGCTGGGGTTTACAATCTTCGACCGTATACAACGCCGTGTGTGGGGATTGGCACTAACTAGACCAGTCTTTCTTCATAATTAAAGTTACGCTGAACATACGCGTATTTTTAGGTGATCTACAAGCAATAGTCACAGCTGTGTGAGCTAAGTCGTGGGTCGTATCTATTCGTCACTTCGAACAGCTAACCGCAAATTGTACAATGGGGTTATTGCTCCAACCGCATTCAATGCCCGCTGCGTGCGGGCACCCCAGACACCACTTGATATCTGAGTATTATGGCAGTGCTTGACAGCCAACACGAGATGCTAAAGACAGCTCAGCTGTGTACCGTATCGTATATAGAGCTGCCTCTCACGCATACTGGAATGGCCCTTCGCTTCCAAATGCCCGACGGGATAGCATGGCCCAACGGCGTATTATCTCCGGCCATCTAAATTCAACGTGAAGAGTATTTGCATCAAACATGCTGTTTAAGAGACAACCTCCTGTTTCTGTGGTCGCTTGCTAACCCAGGGTATCATGTTTCTGTCTTCCATCCAAATAAATAAGCCAAAGACGACATGAAGACCCCTAGAAGATTATTTAAAATGTAGCTCGAGCGTATTCTCAGAGATATGACATACCCAGCGAAGGCCATTGACCCGATGATACCCAGCCTCCACGGATCGATTGATCTCGGTGCCTCAGGGCAGGTCGACGGTTCTAAAGTCGTGAGTACGCACGAAGCGGCTACCAATGCCGCTGTGGCGATGTCGAGTACGTTCAACCATCCAGGTTTTGGGGATCTCTTTGTAGCCTGTTTCGATCTTCGATGCAGTAGTGCCAGAATCTCGATGTGATTGAATAGAACTAGCCAACCTGCCTATATTTGCGTGAGTATCCAGTCTAAATAGTGTCCATTAAGGCGGTTGACTCACACTGACATATGCAGCATAAAGATGCCGTCCTAAGTTTCTACTGAGATGGATGAGAAGCGATATCGCCACTGAGCTTAGCACAAATGCCGTGACATTCAAGGCGATATGGACTTCAGCCACTGCCGTCCGTGCTGTAAGCACTGCACTCAATCGTTTGGAGAATCTGTTCGACGACATCAACGCGGCAGGTTCATTAGGGGATCGTGTAAGGGAGTCTTCCATTGGCATTGTAGCGGATGTTGTGGACGGAAAGTCTAAGACAACCCCCTTATTTATCGCTGTGGCGGATGCAAGAGCGCGCCGGCATTGCTCCAAGTTTGTACTAGATCTCGTTGAGCTACCATGTGTGACGCAAGTCCTGCGTGATTTCGGCTTTCGCAGGGGAGACCACAGACGTGTTATCGTGTTCCCCAAATGAAACCAAATTGCTACTTGCAGTGCGCGATCAAGCATTGTTTGTGTTTCACGAAATGGGAATGTTTGGACGAAGAAGAATTTGCAAGCATCGTCAGCTTGACGGCATATTTCAGCACTTTGGTTCTAAAGATTAAGCCCTTGTGTCATTACACGATCGTCAAAAGCCTTTCGTTGGGCTTCAGTCTTCTCACACAGGGAGCTATCTGGCATTCTTCACCAATCAAGTAAGCCATTGTGAAAAGCCTAGAAAGATCGTAATCCAGGTTAGAGTGGCTGGACGTCACACTGCATCAGAGGCCCAGGCAAGCAATCATGTGGGAACGTCTACACAGTAAGGGAAAGCTACTGTAAAGTACTGCGACATTAATCGTTCTGGGGGGTTGTTTTGTTCAAACCTCAAATCAGAGTATATCAAAAAGGGCCCAAGGACAATGTTATCAAAGCCCTAATCACCACTGTACATAGGACTGTCTGAGTCATATCTAGGTATTTATATGTACATGCAAGTTAAGGATTTATTGTGCATATTTTCTAATGTATACATTCAGCTCAGCTTCGTATGCCTTCTCAAGACTCATCGAGTTCACTTCTGAGAGACTAGCGTTCTGAGTACTGCTATTTGGATTCAATTGCCTGTTTATAAACGAGTGAAATTTGTCAGATATGAAGGGTGGTTTTTTCTTCTTCTTTTGTTCATTCTCGAAAATACCGTGATATCCTTGTTATAGAAGCCTTGGCTCATGACCTTCCGCGTCTGATTGTAATGTATGTAACTTACACTGAACGAACTCTCAATGCAAGGCTCCAGAGTTTTCCAAAGGTTCAATGGTCAATGAAAAGAAAAGAAAAGCCCCTTTTAGTCCATGCTCAAGTTTAGAGCATGGAAAAGTGCCTTGCACCATTTCTAAACTACGGAGTATCGGTGGATGATATCATTGCTTGGGGCAATTTTATTGCTACTCATATCAATGGCGGCGAGAACTCTGATGATTATCCTCCTAGTGATGGTGGTGGTGCGAAGATTTATGGCTCGTAGTCCGTGCACTGCCTTCGAGTTCTCTACTAGAAGTACCGTGAGTGTGGCTCAGGCTCGGTTGGCTAGACTTAGATTTACCTTTGGAGGGACTTGTTGGGGAAAAATTGCTGGAGCTAGATCTGTACCCATTTGACCTGGAGGGAGTTGTTAGAACAGATTTGCTGGAGCTAGCTCTGTGCCCATTTGACCTGGAGGGAGTTGTTGGAACAGATTTGCTAGAGCTAGCTCTGTGCCCACTCGACTTGTCGTGTTTCTTCTCTTTCTTTGCATTCGATTTGCTAGATGAGGTATCTTGAGTCGCAGAGCACCCGTCACTATGACCACCCTCTGGGCGGCGTCTTAAGGCTTCCTGAAAACCCTGTCTATAATAGTATTCCGCCCATTGCATCCCCCACTGCCGCTGAAGTTCTTCTTGTGCGGTTATATCTGGTACGAGCGCCTCCTGGTCTGAGAAATTTAAGTTGCTTCTAAATCTGTTATACTGACTCCTTATGGTATCACCCACTTCCTGACCAGGATCCACAAAATCCAACACATTAGGTCGCACTCTAGATGGTCCAGGACTAGGAGTTGTAGGCCGGCCCAGAACGCAATTTTCGCATCTACTAGGTGTTTCTCCACTCGAATACATCTCAGCGACCTTGCGAATATTGAAACCCTCCTTAAGAACGATCTTCTTCGGATGGTATTTGTGCTGGCAGCCTCCATGCCTCAATGGCTTCCTGCATTGCGGACACGTCGGATCGCCGGATGAGCTTACCCAATGTTCAATACATTCATAGCAGAAAGTGTGGCCACAGTAAAGTAAAGACCACGGCCGGTGATCACCATCCGGAGGTTGCACAATAGCCAATTTAGACGAGCAGATAATACAAGCTACGTTGCATGTAACATCGGGCGAAAGGTCGCCGTTCGCGTCGAAATATGCGACCAGGTTCTCAATGTAGTTTTCCTCCAAATTGTTTGCTGCAACAAATTCCTCTGACATATTGGATAGTGGCGTATGGTTGTGGATGGTTGTGTATAGATTTTTGGAAGGTAGATACAATATGTTGTTTTGTGGTAATAGCTCTTATATTATGAGGCAGCCATGAATTGGGATATTTATATTGACCAGAATCGTATCTCTCTTGCTTAATTAACAAGGCATTGTCACCGTCCAAGACACAAAAGGCACATGTGATCAAAGAAGAGACTAGCCATTCTTTTGGAAGAAGGCTCGGGATACGGTGTTTTTATTCTCCTTTGAATGCAAGACTGTGTCATGTTCACCTAAGGTCTATACAGACTACATTGCATCAAGGGCCTTTGAGCATATCACTCGCAGACCTGTATAGGACAATGATTCTGTTGTGACAAATAACTACAGTGAAAAAGAAATAAAAAGAAGAAGATGAAAACACTAGAGATACAACATACATGCAGACCATTTCCTAAACCTCTCAAGAGTTTCAGGTAAATTTTGTGACAGCGGCGGCTTTGCCCTTTCTCTAGTAGTCCTTTGTAAATCGAACCCAAATAACAGTGAGCTAACCAGAAACTCTATACCTATGTACAACAAAAGGCCTAAGCATCTAGCAGGCTGCCTTTAAGCGAGCAAGGACCAACCAAATTTGGATTCGATGTACGATATTTGTTTCCCGGACATAGTTGGTTGATCGATAGATTATATCTCTACTGTGATTTATTATGAACATAAATCGTGAATGTCCTTGTTCAAAAGGAAATGTGGCTCGCTCGCAAGCGTCGGGAGGTATCTCTAGCTAATATACAAACAAAATAATACATATAAGACATTAAGTAGGTGATCACATTTGGTCTTGAAACCTAGTCCAGTCGGCTCATTCGTATGTCGAGGTATGCCCCTAATACAGAGCTCTCACTTTCCGATCGGAGGTGACGGTCCGTCGGACTCGGGTTGCCGCCTCTGCCTGGCACCCTTAGTCCCTGAGGTTTGGAAGAAGGCGGACAGCTGGTCATCCTTGGGCTAGGCTTATCAGGTTCTGAAAGCGAGCCTTTCTCCTCCTCAATGATGATCTGCAGACCGCCGTCGGGTAGGCCTAAATCTTTGGCCTTTTGTGCCTTCTTGGCTTTCTTCTTCTCGTCCTCAGCGTCCATAAGCTCCCTCATCATGGTGATGCCTTCCTCGCGATCTTCGGCCTTCTCAATGCTGAGTCCCCAGGCTTTTAGGAATGTTGCTTCTCCACGGTAGTTTCGGTGAAGCCATAAGCGCTCTTGAGGAGATAGCCTAGATGTTGGCCTTTGGGGTAGAGCCTTGGCCTTGTGTGTTTGTTGTTGACTTGCAGCAGTAGCCTTTGGGGAATGCTGGTCTGTGGTGGTGGCGGCCTCTGGCGATTGCTGATTTGCCGCGACGAGTTTTGGTGAGTGTTGATCAGCTGTCGTAGTTCTTGGTGATTGCTGTTTTGCAGTTGCCAGTTTTGGCGACTTGTCACTCCCCTCTGAGTTCGTAGGACTGGTCGCTCTTATTGCCGGTAAAGGCTTGGTGGGTGGCGGGCTGGTAAGAGGCGGCAGTGGGAACCATCTAGTTACTCGTTGCGGTGGGGTCTCCTGGGCATCCTCCTTGATCATCTGGCCAACATGCGAGGCCCTGGATGACTCTTGAGTATCTGATTCCGAGTCGTCATGCGACTCGGTAGGCTTAGGTGGTAACGCCTTTGACCGTACGCGTGCACGCTTCTGGATATCTGCAGCCGATTGGGTACGGCGGAGCTGTCTTGACACGTCCGAAGACGTTGAGACTACGGATCCTGAGGAATATGGCGGTGGCGACGACAGTTTAGAAAACGATGATGTGGAAGTCGCTGATAGTAAGGGTGACGCAAGCTTGCCGGACGGGATACTGAGCGGCGCAGGGCTCAGCTGGTGATCCAAAATCTCATAGGAGGAGTGAGACCCCGATGGGGAAAGGAGCTCCTGCGGATCGGTCTTGGATCTTGCGATACCGACAGGCGGCTCCGGCGGCGGTGCGTACGGCGACGCGAACCATGTGGTACAGGGTCGATCAAAATCTTGTGCGGTGCCTGGTCTGCTTGGTGATGGCTCTGGAGTGCCTACTCGAGAGCCGCCGAGATGGATGATTTCTGAGGGGGCCGAATCCAGGCTCGCCTTGCTCGTATGCTTTTGTCCATAGTTCCACTTCACCCAGGCTTTTGTCCGCTGACTCGGCTCTCTAGATATGTGCATCTTGCGTAACCGTAGGAGAGGCTTTAATGAGGAATGTAGTTAAACTTGACTAGTTGCGCGCTAGATTGTTGTTGATCGTGGAGAGAATGAGGAATGAATACGCAGTCAGGGCCAAAAGAAAATACGTAGTCTATGAGGACGCAATCATCGTGCACCACACCAATCTAATAATATTACCTCCACTCTATGCATTCTCACGTTATCAAAATTCTTACGACTGTTTCTTGGCGGCTCATGTCGCGACGTTGTATCGCCGGCGGGCTCCCTGTCAGTCTTAATATACACCAAACTGCCCTTAGCCAGCCTAGGCGCTTTCCCGTCCCGAATTGGAATTCACCCCACTTGTTCATACCCAGATGCATGGTTCTACTAAGGGGCTTGCTTGGGATTAATGGCTCGGTTGACGACGCCGACTCTAGCGCACAAGACATCAGACGAACACGAGCCTCATGACGGTGTGGGCGCTGCGAAAAGAACATCTCTCGAAGCAGCATCGTCGCATTCAAGGCCAACCAAGGACATTACTAATAAAGTCTCTACGGATCCGTACCACGCGCGTGGGACCCTTAAGCGAGCGCACTCGGCCTACGGGGCCCACAGAAGCAAGCCAACGCTTCAGGTTGATCAGATATGCCAGCCACGACGTCCTCCACCGGAAAATTCAGAAGAAGAAGCTTCTTAAAGAGGACAAACCTCGGTCTTTTCGACCTCTTGCACGCCGACGAGCATCATCTCTACCAAGACTTGACCTCACCCTTTCCATGAAGAATAAGCACGTGGATAGCAACGCATTCGCTCTTTTGGCGGCACAGCTTGGCCTGAGGGATGCCGAGTCTAGTCTACTCTAACCCAGTCTAGTTTACCCTTGAGATCCTTCTGTTGGCAGCCCTCAACACCGCTGACCGATGTGGGTTCTGGGGGAATGTTTCAGATATCCACGCGATCGTACGGAGTATCCTTCACTTATTAAAGAGCCGCCGAGTAAAACAAGTACGCGCCAACTAAACATGATCGAAACGAAATCTCGGTGATTTTAGGCATCTGCCTGGATCAAGTCGTGCTTATACGACTGTCACCACCAGCCAACTTCGGTAGTTTACCGCTCTTTTCAATTCATTTCCGCAATCGCCTCCTGCATTACTGGGCAGCCGCTGGCAGCAACCCAAGCGGCAAGGTATCGTGATTGTGTTGTCGGCGCCGCTAACGATGGAGATATCTCCAGTAGGCATCTGCTAAATTAGCTGTCGTTAAAAATGGACCTCTCAAATGGTGGACCACGGGACATTGCTGTGCACCCAGATGCAACCCCAAGGCCATAGTGCCAGATCCATTCCAAAAAGCTTTGCCCCAAACTTTAGTATATGGATGCAACATCAGCCAAGTGACATGTCACCTAAACATATTGTCGTGCCATATAACATCAGTACCTGCATACTCAAGTTGAAATGAGAAGAGGGGCCACCGAAAAGGGGCAGCGCGCAGCATCGTACTGATGAAACAAGCAGAGGGATTGCTGAACATCTTCATAATAGTCTGCAAATTATTGTGTTTAGAATTTAGGGAACTCGTGCAGTCGGAACTCCGGCGTTATCGGCAACCCGGGTTACCCTATACGCCATATACACTAGGCACTCGTCTCAAAAGCCAACGATTATATGCATATCGGTTTCACAGCCCACTCAAGGCGCCGTCGTGGGGGTTTTTTCAGTCTCTTTTTTTATTTCTTTCTTAAAATCGTGGTCACATGGGGACCGCCATGATATGATTCAGCCGATAGGCTCGGCCGCCTTCAAGGACGAATACGCGGTCTTATTCGTCACGAGCCTGCTCAGGCACAGCCCGTGAACCTCGTAAAACAAAATACGACCTGGATAATATCGCATTTACGGACGAGCTAACCATATCTTATCAACGCTCATACTCTAAACGTCTGGTACGGTCATATCCTGGTGTGCCTGTTGTCGCGATGAGTTCCCCGAGAATATCCAAAGATGGTCAACAGACTGATAAAGATCTGCCGTATCGTGGCTTTCGCCGCGCGGTAGTCTGGCTGGACGATTAAAATAAGCCCCAACGAAAGAAGGATGAGCTGGCTGCTACCTTGAGGTGGGCTGCAGAGTTTAATAGCGATGTACATAAAGACGATGAGATCGATGAGAAAGAGAGGTCATATGCGCAAGAGGAGACGTAAGCAGAAAAGGTAATGGATGGTGCTGCTTGAGAAGCACAATACAGGGCCTATATATCGTTTTGAATTTTAATCTGAATGATGATTTCTGTGCCCCACAACCATGACATACAATGACTCTTTTTTCTTCAACAAGTGTACTGTATTCATGCAGTGGTATTCTACTCCAACAACAAACAATATACCATGGAGAATCGATTGCTTGCAACTGGCTACAATGGAAACCTCACTTTTTTGTTGTTGTTGTAGATATTGACCCACTAATAAGTCCTCCACTTCAACCTGTAGTAGACTGTTCTGGATCGTTTGCACCCCCCACGCCATGCTTTTCTCGTTCTCTTGCCTCTTCTTTCTCACGCAGAGCTACGCGCCACCTCATTCCTCTGAACATCACGACAAACAACAAAGGTGAAAACAAGATATAGAGGCATGAGATGATGGTGCATGCCAGACCAATTCCTACCGCATGAATGAGTGGTTGAATCGCCGCCGTCATAATTGCTGCAAGGCCAAACCTGCCAATGTTGTTGGCCGCGGCTGCGGATCCAGCTTGTCCGGGATGAGTGTCAGCCACCAGAGAAGTCATGGCGCTGTTGACGCCAATTAGCCCGAATGCCACGCAGAAGATCAGCATGCAGGGCACAGCGATTGATGTGCCTTTCTCCAGTGACCATCCCCAAGCAGCCACCGAAACAATGCTAATGACTAAAGCTGGAAGAGCCACTTGAATCCGTGCTCTTTCGATAGGAAAGTCGTATAAGTCATGCTGTCTGCCATGTTCCAATGCTGATATGTCGCCCTTCCTTGCGTAGCGCGCAAAATTCCAGTTCATTGCTTTCCCGATGATCAAAGTGGCAATGACACCTCCACCAACCACCGGTAGGTACAACAATCCTATGCGGAAAGTGTTAAGCTGGTATATCTCCATGAACTGGCTTGGGATTGTGGTAGAGATTGCTTGTATGCCGCCAAATATTAGTCCATTGTACAGGGTCAGCAGGCAAAGTTCCTTTCTGAAAAAGAGGATGAGAGCCTGAGACAGAGTCAACAAGATTGGAGCGGCTGCAGCACCATTTTGTCTTTCAACCCTGTCTGTATCTCTGTCGCTAGGTACGTGATTGTCGCTCGTTCTTGACACGCGATACACCTTGATCAGGTGCCGAAGAGGCTGATAAACTTTTGATACAGGCTGAGAGCCATCCCCAGCAATCCTGCGGCAGGTTTCTGGAAAGAAGAGCAGCATCAATGACAGTATCACAAGACTGCTGATGGCTAGGAACATAAAAACGCTTCGCCAACCTAGTAGGTACGCCAGAGTGCCGCCCAGAAGAGCCCCCAGACTCGGGCCTAATATGGGTGCAAGCTGGGTCAATGCCATGTACTGGCCTCGTTCGGCATTTGTTATGACATCGGCCACAACAGCTTGGCATAGGGCTTGCAATGAGGCGACACCTATGGCCTGAAAGCAGCGAATGACCAAGAGCTCCACGTATCTGTCTGAAACAGCCAGCCCAACGTTTGACAGCATAGAGATCGTCAAACAGATCATGTAGGTTGGCCGTCGTCCATATCTGTCCGTGAAGCCGCCGAGGATTGCGGGTGTAACACCTTGGAACACTAAGTATGTGGTGATGGTGAGATTGATTTTCGACTCCGTCACATTGAAGTGATCTGCTAAGACGGGCAATACAGGCAAATAGATATTAGTGGTTACTGAACTGAGAAGAGCTGCAATAGCAGCGCCCAGCACAATGAACCGTTTCTGCCATTTGCCGTAGATTGTATATGGTGTCTGCAGCGTGGACGAAGAAGAATAGTGAATTATTGGCGTGCAGGAACTTTGCGACTTGACAATGGATACTGGAGTGTCACTGGAGGTGATCATGCTCTCTTTCCTGCTGGCCTCGCTGCAATCTGTGTGATATGCAACAGACACTCGGGAAGGTGGTGTGTATTTTTCCTGATCATCGTGCATCTTGTTGCAAGATGCTGCCAATGTTGCCGACTTCTGTCAATATCTTTACAATATTTGCAAAACGAGAGATCTTCAGAAAAGCCTTTTCCCAGTACTGGGAACGAGGGCAAGTAATGTCATGAATTATAGTCCACAGAAGACCTGATAAGCGCAAGAGTATCACAAAGGGCAATTTAAGGTTCAAGTGACGATTGCGTTCGAGACTCCTAATCCCAAAAGCCCAAAGAGTAAACAAGACATACGCTTCGGTACCACTTAGTGCGGTCCGTTGGTTGGTAAGTGTGATGCAGACTTTAGCCATCTAAAGCATACAAACAAAGTGGGGGAGAGAGATTTCCTATGTGGAAGTCATCCCGGGGGTATCTGAATTGGATCTTGATAAAGAGATTCAATGTGTACTCTCTGCGCCATTCTAATGCGAATATGAGGGCTCATGGTTGACTACGTTGGTACTATAATATTAGCACGTCCCGACAGAATGCAGTGTCGCATGATGATTTGTTTGCATGCAAGCCACTTAGATTTGGGGAAGACTATAATTCGGCTCGGACGGCATTGATGCAGATAGTGATCGGAAGTTGTTAACTAGCTACCAGCAGGTCCTGGCTTGTTATTAGGATAAACTTCAAGTCGGACAAAGCTAGTGACTGCCACACATAGATGTGAATTATAAACACTCGAAATCATGCCCAACCCTACTGTAGGCTTAAAATATATCATATCGGAGTAAAATGTATGTCTGTCTCATCAAACAATAGGCCAACGCCAGCCTCAGTAAAGGTCACCATAGAGAGAAAAGCAAACCGGCAAAAAGGGAGCATTTATCAACAGTCATATCTTTAATCTTTTACTCAGGAGATTAAAGCGATTGGCTCTAGATAGGCTCCTGGGTTAAGCATGACGTGACTTACACCGAAATGTGTGGTTCATCTAAACCCACGAGCAGCTCCCAAACCACAATAAAAAGTGGTCCAATCAGCAAACTATATGCCACTTTAAAACATGGATGAATCTATTCCGAATCAAATCTTCCCTCTGTTTGTTTTAATCACTCTGATGAACCTGATTCGAAAGAAATGATGGTCCCAAAAGCCGTAACAATCTACTCGGACGGATACCGGCCTCTTACGATGGTTTACGTAGCTTGAGTTTCTTCTTCCCACGGTTCCAATCTTGCCATTTTCAGACTATCTACAACTAGAGGCACCAACTCCAAAAATCTTGCCTATGACTTGTATCGTAAGCAAGCAAAGACCATCTATATTGCTGAAGTTATGGATCTCGACTGAACCTCAGCCAGTTGTCATTCGAATGCAGATCATACTTGTTTTGTCAACCAACATAAGTGAAGACTGGGTGATTAGTCTTGATAGGCAGACCTATTTGTCACGGAGATAAACTGGCTTTATTTGGTTTATGAACAACACTAGCAAAACATCGAGGTATTTTTTTGAGTGTTCTTGCAGTTTTGTAACTGAATGGAGGACTATAAAGACAATGACATTGTAAAACAACTCGAAGGTGCCATCGAGGGATTGCTGGCGGCACGGGGCTCACAGTGGTTCTGTTTCCCCTCTACCATCAATCAGGGTTGTCTGGAGTTTTCCTCATATCTCTTATTGTTGGCTCTCTAGCTTATTCAAATTTGTGTGTAGTCATTGGCGCAGTCGATTTCGTATAATTAAGCTTTAGACTGATCGCGGTTTTGCTGTAATTAGTTTCTTCATGGCACAAAACACCCGGAATGGTGTTAAATGCGGGCTTTTGGGCCCAAGAGCCACCCGATTTGAGAAAACACTACCATCACCGACTTATTCTAATTTTGTTTCCCATCCAATAATATCTTCTTGCCGTACTACAATACTAGATATCATGGGTGAAGTGACTGCTTTTGCCAGGTGGTGACTTCTGTACTAACTTTACAAGCGCTACCATGCCCTTGTTGACCCCTGGCCACGGTAGTTAAGGTATGTCTGTAACCATAATGAAAGAGTGACAATTATCTCCACTATTCCGGCTTATGGCTGTAATGCGAATGGCTATGGAAGACGTCCAAGTGACCAGCTATATGAACTGGAGGAGTAACCTAGCTGTTCTTTAACATCTAATGTCCCAATCTGTTTATGCTTTGGTCATCCAACTCGAAACGATTCTTTTGTCTACGTTGAGAACCAATCACCATGGAGACACTGAAGATCGTTGATTCTCGTACAGAAAAGGAATACACTATTCCGATCCATGACGGCCACATACGGGCTGAGGACATCTCTCAGATTAAGGAAAAGCCAGATGATAAGACTTCTCCGGGGATCTTCATCTTGGACGAGGGTTACGAACACACGGCATGTATGAAATCAAGTGTCACTTCCATGTACGTCAATACCTCTTGGCACAACAATGCATAGGTTCCAATGATCTGTTACAGTGACGGCCAGCTTGGCACACTCAGTTATAGAGATATCCCCATCGATCGTCTGTTCTCCGAAAAGCGTTACGAGGATGTCATGCATCTCGTTCTCTGGGGGCAAATGCCAACGCAGCATGAGAAAGACGCTTTCCGAGCGTCTTTCAGCGCTGCCGCACAGCCCCCGAAGGTCGTTCTAGATGTTATTCGGTCGTTCCCGTAAGTTAGCCTATCTGGATAGATATTTTCTGTTTTGGAGAAAAAGAGAAAGTAAATTGAGGAAGAAAGAAAACCTGGTTCTGACACAACTCTAGTCGCAAAACAGAGACATTTCCCATGATAATGGCCGGACTCAGCGCTTTTATAGCTTCGGACGAACTTCTCACCAAAGCCCGTCATCAGCCCAAACCGGTGTTCCATGGGAAACTTGACGTCGCTGACGTGGCCATCACGCGATCCATCGCGTATTTTACCACAATCATTGCACTCATCCACTGCCACAAGACCGGTAGAAAATTCACACCACCAGAGCCCGGCCGATCCCTGATCGGGAATCTGCTCTTGATGATGGGCATCAGAGATCCCAAGGTCGAGGAGTGCTTTGATAAGCTGTGGATTCTGTACGCAGACCACGAAATGACCAATTCTACAGCCGCATTCCTACACGCTGCCTCGACACTGACTGATCCTATGTCTGCTACTCTGGCGGGCATGGTCTCGGGCTACGGACCTCTGCACGGCGGCGCCATTGATTTGGCATACGAAGCGTTCCGCCAGATCGGATCCCCCGAGAATGTGCCCATATACATTGAGATGTGCAAATCCAAGAGAGCCAGGTTGTTCGGTTATGGCCACCGGGTCTACAAGACGAGAGACCCGCGTCTGTCGCTGATCGAAGAGCTGATGTACACATACCGCGAGGACATCGAGGCAAACCCAATTCTTCGTGTCGCTGTGGCTATCGATAGTTATGCCAACAAAGACCCTTACTTCGTGGAGAGGGGGTTGAAGGCCAATGCTGATCTGTTCGGATGCTTCCTATATACTGCAATGTGAGTGATCCTAGATGTGTTCAGTTGGCTCTGCTAATTTGGCTGTACCTAACAGGGGCATCGATGAGGATATGATCACTGCCATAATCATACTGTCTCGCGCCGCCGGTGTTCTTGCGCACTGGCGTGAGAGTCTGAGTGAGTACCATCCTTGTGGCACGAAGGGTCGTATATACAGTCTGCTGACTCATCATCTACAGCTCAACCTGTCAAGCTATGGCGCCCTAGACAGGTTTACAAGGGGACCATGCCGAATTGATCTCATATACAGTACCAGGATCATGGGGACGTCAGGGAGCTACGTCACGAAGGGTTAGCGGGATGGAGAAAGTTGATGATTTTGCTGGTTCGCAAGGATAACTAATTTTGGGCATATTCCACTTCAATGTGTCTCTATTTGCTAGCTTAAAAGTAAGGTTTATCTAGACCTTGATTATACTGGGTGTATCAATAGTATTGCACTGTGGCGCGCCATCTTTGTCCGTCAACTTCCTCTCCGTGGTTACCAGAAACCTAAAAGTTGAGACCGGATAATGGCGGTCACGCTAAAATAACAGCCACCGTTCTGATTCTCCATCATGAAGCGCACAGCACAAGGACAGAACCGGATCGTACGAGACGAGACCTCAACCACTCCTATTCGGGAATACAGATGCTTACAAGTACAATAACAGAAGGTTGTAGGTCGCTACCATTCAGTAACAGAACTATGAGACTGAAAACCTGAATCCATATCATTGAACCGGAAGTCTATTCTCAAGGAACCTAGTCACACTTCATTCATGCCACATGGCAAAGATACAAATGTCCAATGACCATTATGCTTGGAGTTCTTTGTTAATATATGACATCGTTGCTGTGAACTGGAGCATTTCAACAATCCTTATAAAGACAAAGACGGATATTGGGCACGTTTATCTGCCCGTATTATCTTTGTTCATCCTAAACAGTGCCACAAGCCTCACCAGTGAGAACCTGCGCGTATAAATGCGAATGATCTGCCTCTGTTAAAGAGTCTGGATAGCCAGATACAACACAATCGACGCTGCGGACTGAAATAAACGCAGGCAAAACTCCTTAGGTGCTTCCCTATATAGTGCGGTTCCATCTCAGAAGAGATGCCGGCACCAAACGACCTGAGAATGGGCACTTCCAGCTCTACCAACGGCTACCTCCCTCGCCCGACCAGTGATGGCAACGACAGCGAAAAGGAACAAGGCACAGGGAGGAAGTGGTGGTGGCTCTGGTTAATACCCCTGTTCCTGATGCCATTCCTTCTTACCGGCGAGGTCGTGACGGCAATCTTTTCTACCCTTTCCCACCTTGGTATCTTTTTTCTCTCTATCTCCTTGCTTGCGGCATGGCCGTACTGCGTCTTCCAAGCTGTTTGCAGGCAAGCCCAGAATCACCCACTTTGGTCAGCAATCGTTGCCTGCAATCGTATCCAAAGAGGCGGCTCGGTCGAAGATATTATTTTAGACATCGTTAACAGTCTAGTGAATGCCTATCTGGCTGAGTTCAAGCTCAAGCTCGGCTTTAGCGTCATTGAGTTTCTCTACAGTAATGTTGTTGCGATTCTGAGTACAGTCCGGACCACGATAGCGACAGTGGGTCACGAGATTGTTCAGGCTCTCATGATCTATGCTGGCTTTCTGGAGCACATTCTGAGTGAGTATTTGTATTCTTGAAGGTGTTATAATTTCTTAATTTACATATTAGCATCAATAAACTATTGTGAAGACTTAATAAAGATGTTCCTACGTATGTGAGTTTTCCATGCGCTGGCGATATTTCTGGTACCCTTAAGTGTTCACTGCAGAACGTAATTTGATGACATGCATTACTAGTCACAATCAAGTCAAAGGCATGGTTGGCAGAATTACTTTTTCTCTATGTTTCTGTCTCAGCGCTTGACACCTTGCAATGCATTTCCTTCCGAGACACAATCAGCTCAACAACCCTTTCATAATGTCAAATATCGCCGAACTTCGTTCCTTCCACAACAGAGCTTTCCAACTGTAGCAGGGCTCAATCTATCTCGATTTTGTTGTTCGGTTAACAGTTCAAGCTGTCTCGCCAGTCAACAGCCACATGAGGATGCTGACAAACCAAAGCCTCTGTTTTTGCACAAATCGAGGCTGCAAGAGTGCAGAGATAGGGCAGTGAAAGTTGTGTTGATGCATTTAGTTAATTTCTTTTGCGTAGAATTCATGCATCGTTACCCTCATATCACGTTTGGCCTGTTTAAGCCTCGGTGGGTTCCAGTGTTACACCACTATATTCAGTCAGTACAATGCATGAATCAATGGACATGTGGTGGCCACTTACGCGTTGATGGTTGCCCATCCGATCAGACGCCAATGCTTCTCGATACGACGTGAAAGAGCGATCTTCTCACCCAAGTTGGTGCAAGCCGGAGATGTCAAGATCAGCTTGGCGGCATCGTTCTTGATAGCAGAGACCTTGGCACCAGTGGATGTTGAGCCAATGTTAACCATGAGAACCTCGTTCTTCGTCAGCTTGGCAACCTTTGCCTGCTTGCCGTCGGCAGTCCGGACACCCAAAAGTCTCTTGAGCAGGTAAAAGTTAACCTCAATCTCGCTGTAGATGGAGGGTAGACGACCCTTGAGGCCGAGTACGAATCCGACCAAACGATCGGCTCTGCACAGAGTAGGATCGATACGAGTTCCAACACCAATCAGACCACCAGGAACAGCATACTTGAGCTCATTGAGCTCAGAGTTCAAGGAGACGATTCTGCTAGAAATGGGCTTGCATTGCAGGTTACCCTTGTCATCACGAGTGACGATACCGGGTCGGATCTCAATCTCGTCGCCGAGCTTGAGCACACCGTGAAGGATACTGCCTCCAGCAACACCACCCTTGAGCTCCTCAATCTCGGCACCAGGCTTGTTGACATCGAAAGATCGAATGACCATCATGTGGGGGTCCTGGGTAAAGTCTCTGGGCGGGACAGGGATCGTGTTGACAATCGCTTCGTTAATGGCGTCAATGTTGAACTTGAGCTGGGCAGAGATAGGAATAATGGGCGACTTGGCGGCAGGTGTGCCTCTGACGAACTTCAGGATAGACTGGTAATGTTGCTGGGCAGCCTCCTCTCGCATTAAATCGACCTTGTTCTATTTGAGCCATGCGTGTTAGTAACTTGTCTAATGGGAGTATTTTGAGGGTATGCTTGTTTGGGCATGGATGATATCAAATGGTCATGAGCAACCAAATAGGTAAAGCTCCAATTCCGCAGATAATCCTGACATGGGGAAAATGGCTCGAGATACTGACCTGGAGAATGATGATCTTGTCGAGCTTCATGATCTCAATAGCAGCCAAATGCTCTGAGGTTTGAGGCTGGGGCACGGTTTCGTTGCCAGCGATCAGGAGAAGAGCGGCGTCCATGACGGCAGCACCTGACAACATAGTACTCATGAGAATATCGTGACCGGGGCAATCGACGAACGAGACATGGCGCAAAAGTCTGTAGGTGCCACTGCATCCGTCACGCTCACAGGCAGGGTCAACCTCCTTGTCGGACTTGTAGCTGCGGTAGCATGTAGGTCGCGGGCACTCGGGGTTGTCGCACTTGTAGATCTTGGCGTTGGCATAACCGAGCTTGATGGTAATGTTTCGGATGAGCTCGTTCTTGAACCGGACTGTCTGCACACCAGAGATGGCCTTGACGACGGTACTCTTTCCGTGGGCGACATGACCAATTGTGCCAATGTTAATTGTTGCTTGTCGGGCGATAATTTCGGGTGTGAGGGGCGTGAGGCTTTGCACATCGAGGTCTTTGGGGTCGGTTTGGGGCGGGAGCTCGGGTCGTGTATCGTCATGGCCAGAGATGATGGTGTTCTTCTTCAAGGAGGACTTGGCGGGCTGCTCCTGCACATCGTCGGCACCATCATCGTGGTGCTGGTCGTCGACAGACTCGCCAGAGTCCGACTCGGAGTCGGGCAGGTCGTTCCCGAACTTGTCAGCGGACATGATGTCGAATTTATATTTTGCGCTGGCGGAGGAGATCTGAGGTCGGCGATGAAAGAAGGTTCTTTTGTTCTGGCGAGAGGTGTCGTTCGTGATATGAGCTGCTTTGCAATGGGTCTGGGGTCTCAAGGCTGTTCTGAACGACTGACGCTATCCCACCTTTGCCTCCAGGTATTTTCGAATTTGTGGCATGGTGCTGTCCCAGCTTATGACTCTTCTCCCACAGCTGTCAAGGTGGGATGACGGCCCCGACCCGAGAGGTCGCCAGCTGGCCAACCTGGACCGATAAGATAAGCAGGTGCTTTGCGGGAGATAGCCCCGCCAAACTGCAATCCAATCGCCCCCAAATTTTATTCAGGAAGGATGAGTTCCAATGGAAGAGTATACCTCCCCTATCTGGACCCATCCACTATGTACAATGAAACAATAGAACCCTCGGCAGACTCGACGTGTAAACATCGACTGGAATTTGCACCATTTCAGTCAAGGGGAAATGATCCAGTCAAGTCACCAGGGCTAACCTCTATTTTGCTTAGCTACACCGAAAAGCACTCTAACATCCTTGAGTGCTGAAATATACATGAAGTGATAGAAATCATTAAACGCCTTGGAGTTGGCATTTGACAGATGCCATGCATGACAGGATTGTAGATTATTAGAGGTCTGCACTTCAACAACTGTCAGAAACATGCTTCCAATCTAGGGGAACGCTCAACCTGCCTGAGATGTCTCGAGAAAACTTCATGTAAATAGTCTCTCTTCGGCTAGTCTAGTCAATAACTAGAATGATATAATCCGTACTTATCAAGTAGCAAACAGATATATTCGCTCTCCTGACACTAACAATATTAAAGATCACAGTATTGTTAGCATAACCACGCGTCCAATCAGACAAAAGCCTGCGAGCTTTTCTAGAGCACACGTAGCGCTCGAAACATCTACGGTTGGTTTGGTAGGGAAAGCGAACCCAAAGTTCCGGTAACACTGTCTCCGGATAGGATATCCTGGGTATTCACCAAACAGTTGTGGGTTTGCGCTTACGTCCGCAGCCTTCTTTCGGTCCGCATCTGCCTACCACAGTCCTCACCAACTTTGTTTGCTCTTCTTCAGGAAGAACTCGTTCGTCGAAGCCTACTTTGATATGGAAAATAGCAGCGGTGGCAAGCTTCTGTCCGATTTCCTGGGTTCACCTTTTTCTTCGAGGCTATCACACCAAACCATTCAACGGTTAGGTGACATGGACATGTAAGAAGCAGGTATCTCGCAATGGTAAAACCGCACCTCCGGCTGTGACGATAGGTTCTGGTCTATAGTTTGGCGTGTTGTCCAAATGATGCCATCGACACACCCATATCACAAGTAGAGTCGAGCAAGATTGTAAAAATAAACATCGCCACGTACACAATGGAGGTCATTGCTCCGTGCCCATCATGAATCCGAAATGCGAGATCTGAAGCACATAATCCGTAGTGGCGCCTGGGCCTGGAACTTTTACATCTACATGGTGACACCACACCACCACACCACGGGACTGACCTGAATGTCGGGTTAAATGTGTTGCTTCAGAAAAGAGGCGTTGAATGTCATTGGCGCAATCGACAGGAAAGTCATGGTCGGTAGGTTAAAAATATCATTCAGGTTCTCCACGGTAGGTTAATTCGCAGCAGACAAGTCCGGGGCTCTCGTGGCACCGTGAGCATGACCGGCATTTGGCTCGGGCGAGCCATCAGACATAATTGGACTGATTGTGAGAGTTGGAAGCGAGATGGGGGCCAAGGTCTTGGTGATTCGTGGAGACGCAGCACCAAATGTTAAAGAACCCCCCGCTACGGGTCCCACCTCGTGCGATTGCTTCCCATTCCGAGTCTGCATGGTCTTTTGACAGACAGGCGCTTTTCCAGATTATTGCGAGCTATTAATTGCTGCCTTTGCTGACCGCAGTATGCGATGCTACGACACCACAAATTGATGCACCAAGATTTCGTGACGTACGATCGAATGTTAACAGTGTAACAGCGATACCAAAACTTCGTCTGCAAGCCCGATTGCAAATGCTCGTGGTACCACCTGCCACGGAGACCTAATAACCAACATTGTGGGCAGCATGGACCCTACAGTTCTCTATTGAAGCCCAGAACATGTTGGCCGAGCGAGAATGCATTTCGTGGAATGCTTACCGCCCAGTGCTAGGGCCCATGCGATATGATCGCTCGGCATCACCCAGTCCTGGTTTCTGATTGGACGGGTGTTCATGCACTTGAAGACGGCACGAATCTCATCTACCTATCATGCGCTGAGATCAACAACTAGGGTGGACGAAAGCGCTGAACAAGGTCCCGGCGGTTGTTCCCTTACGGCCAACCAGATGCGTTTCCCACCCTCTTTGCTCTCAAGCCAGCTGGTCCCTGGTTGCTTGTTCTTCACTTTCATGAGTAAATTTCGCATGGACTACACCCAATCGTCGCCGTGTCCTGCATTCGCCTGACTGTTGGCTGCAATGACCTGCGCGAACAGGGGCAACATACCAGCCCAGCCATGGCAATCAATACCTGCTTGCTCAGACCCACGGTACTTGTTGGTGATAGAATGGCCACCTTCGCAAATATGTATTCTCTGCACAAATGGTAACGTGGGCTACGTCTAACGTCGTACTCTACCGAGCACATGGTCTCTTTCAGGTCCGGCTACTCTCGCAGCCCCTCTTCCTTGATATACCCAGCCTCTCGCTTTGCTTTGTAGTTGACGGAAGTTATCGCCGTTCTACTCTCTCGGTTGCGAGGTCATGTTCAGCCTGACTACCAATTCTTGAAAAGAGGAGAGCCTCAATCTTGTTGAGCTGGAAGGAAACCTGCTACTCTCATCAAACCCACTTGAAGCCTGGTGCCGCCGCCGCTCCGTCAACTTGCGGGCGCCTATCTGAGTCGAAGCCACCCACTTAGAAGTTGAAGCTCTTTGCAACCGCCCTATCAGAGGATTGTCTGCCGACAACTCAGACCCTGGTCTCTGGTGAGCAACCCTATTGCCTCTTGCATATCCACCTCCACTAACGGCCCCATGCAGCGGCTGCATCTGCGCGATCGAATGAGAGTGTGGATGTTCTACCACAGCGCCTACTCAAAACCACCAACTCGCCCAGCTACCCAACGTTGAGAAGTTCTCTTTCCTCGATAGCTGGTCTCATCAATATCGTTCTTAAGATCGCTTCATTGCTGCACGGAACTATATGCATATTAGTTGTCTTGCCTGAAGCCTTATATACACCCATTTGCTATCCACCTTATAGAGCGTGCTGTTCCTTTCCACCTTGTCTCCTATACATCACATCACAATGAGTCTCTCAAACGACAGAAGGCGGCCCGCCGCCCTGAACCTGACACCTTCACGGTCGTCATCAGCCGGATCTAACACAACCACGTCTTCACTTAAGCCGCCGAGGACACCAAGATTTGCTGAGGCGACAACGGTGCACTCGCCAATTGATGGAAGAGGGCCGTTTTCCGACAGATCAGAGGTCGCCCAGGCTCAACCGGCAGATGTTGGATTTGGTTACATTAGCAATGGCTCGTCGAACAGAGAATCGGTCAATGTACCCATGACGCCGAGGTCACCGCTGAAGAGTGCTATGCGAGTTCCGGGAACACCAGCCAGGAAGTTCGAGAATCCTTTGAGCCCAACATTTAGAGAAGAAGATGTCCTCGAGAAGCGGGAAAAGGACACGGAGAAGGAGCAAGCGAAAGATTTGGTAGGTCCCAAGCTTTGAGCGAAACCATAGGATCTGACTAACACCCTCTACAGACTATCAAGACAAGGGTCAGATTGGCCAAGTTCGCCCTTCGTGGTGTAAACTTCAGCTGCAGTTTGATTGTTCTCTCGATGCTCTCATCCTCCTTCGCCATCTTCAACGCCACCAGAGCACTTCCACCACAAAACGGACTGCCCCCCTGGGCCTCAAACACAAACACCTGGCCGCAGAAGGTTGTGCTGGCCGCTTCCTGCGTATCTCTGGGTATCTGCGTCCTGGTTTTTGTCGGATACTGCCGTGGCGGTCACCACCGTGCTGAAAAGGTTGGCGTTTACTACACTCTCTTTGCCGTTGGCTGGTTCATATTCAGTATGGTCATGTGGGTTGTTGCTGCTGGTGTTTTGCAGTACAGCAAGAGCAATAGCAACAACCAAGATATGTGGGGATGGGCCTGTGTTCAGAACCATCGATCCGACCTTTTCTCTGACAAGGTCGACTACGCGCTTATCTGCAGACTCCAGGTAAGTTTGATATGTTTGAGCGGGACCGAAGGTGAATGCTAACAATGCGCTAGAATTGGTCTCTCATCTGCATCATCATTGAGATTGTGGTTGAGGTGATCAGCATCACCCTCTACAGCGTCGTCTTCTACCGCTACTACACCAAGCGCCGCCTGACCAAGTCCATGGACATGCGTGACCGCGCTCGGTCTGACTTGTATCTCGCTCAACTTCGTAGCCAGTCAGCCCCTAACACTCCTGGGTTCGGCCCCAAGTCTCCTGCTTTTTCGCAGTACGCCATGTCTCCTCGCTTCCCGCCATCGGCATACAAGTCTCTTGACGACATCTCCGAGGCGCCGACATTCACGCCTGCTACACAAATCGCCGAGCCGCAATCCACCTTTGCCAGTGCGTCGCCAAAGTCCCCAGACAAGCCTTTCAGCCTCCAAGCACCACCCAAGAAGGCTTCCAAAGCCACACCCAAGTTAGGATCGTCTCCTTTCAGGACCCCAGACACGCCAACTGCGCCGGAAGAGGCGTTCAACTTCACCATGAGTGAGCATGCTCCTGTTGCTCCCGGCGAGGTGCAATATGCTGCAGTGCCTATTCCTGGCGCATATGCGGATGCAGCTGTCAAAAGCCCACCCGCCAGCCAGGCCCACTTCAGGTAATTCGGATATGGTGACGCGATGATGATTAGATGAGCGAGGACGAAAACTGGGCCTTTTCCTTTGTTCAGCTGGTTTGGATGACGGATGGCTTGGAAATGTGTGTTCATATACTGCGACAGACACCCTTTTGATATTACGGCGTTCTAAGGACAGGAAACTGCACCCCATATACCTTTTGTGGATAGCGAAGCGGATCTTCGACACTTTCTTCTACTAACAACATATTTGCAATGTCACACTCGTTGGCTGGAAAATGCAAATCTTTATTTTTATATAACTATAATTACTTGTACAATCAAACAATATCCGAAGTTACTCAATCTCCTACGTCTGTGCTTTTTTTTTTTTATAAATTCTTTTTTATAATTATCTTTGTACAGGACTCGAAACCGGTTAGAGACTTACAATCACAGTAATAATGCCGCAAAGTGTCAAAGATGGACGAAGCATTTAGTTGAAGCGCCAACCAGAGAGCAAGACAAAGTGTTCTCCATCAAGTCTTTGCACATGAGGTCCAGATCTGACTTGAAATTCCCGCCGCACAAGACAGTCAGACCGAAAGGCACTTGTAGAGGTGTGATAGTCTCTAAACAATTTTATGTTGCAGTGATTGAGAATAATCACCAAGCCTCGTTCAAGCCTTGCGCAATTGTGTCAAATTCAAGTTGAAGTGCGGGCTTTTCGAGTGCCATTTTGATAGCAATTTCGGCGTCTCAGCGAAATGTCCACATCTCTGACTTGCCGCGCACCCCCGTCAAAGTTGTCGTTGCAGTTACTCAAGAGTCTTGAGACGTATCACACTTGTGTATTACGGCAAAAGGCATCAGGGTCGATGTACGGCGACGCACGCCATCAGCCGGAGACAGCAGCGAAACGTCGATTGCTTCGAGAAAGGCCGTCGGGGCAGACCTACGGAAGGGAAGGTCTTGCCTATGCCCTCAGCTATGACAGTTAGTTGACAGGTGTCGGGCAGCTGTGATAATCAAACTGCTAACAGCATATCCCGGACGGAGTTTGTTGTTTAACAAGTGGTAATAATCTGTACTCCAGAATAGGAGCCCGGCGATTGGATTCAATTGAATTGAATTGATCGACTCCACTGGCGTGCACGGCGCGTACTATGTAGCTCCTGAACTTGCCGTCACTTGCATCCATCTTGAAGCCCTCCAAAAACAGGGTTTCACCTGCCGTAACAAAGACAACCGTCCAATCCAGTCACTCCTTCACAGCACAATGTCCGCCTCTATGCAGCGCCTGTTCTGGCGGCAAGCCAGCAAGGCGTCATCGTCTGCTTGCCGGTTTCAAGCTCCCCGCGCATCTTTCGCTTCTTCATCGGCTGCTTTCACCAAGAGAGCTACTGCTGCCCCTGTACCGCGGATCAACACCACTACGAGCAGGGCTTATAGCACGGAACCACCAAAGAGCTCCAATAACAACATCAAGTTCTGGCCTTTCTTGGTCATCATTGCTGCTGGAACCGGTGGTTATGCTATGATAGTGAACAGAAGAGCCGGTAAGTCCTGCCATTAAGATTTGAGATTGGAATTGGAAGCAGAATTAGAAAGCAGGATTGGAAGCAAGACGGGATTGCTTCAAAGTGTTCAAGTGAGCACCTTCTCTTGGCGCGCGCCATTGAATGCTTGGGAGAAGCCACGACTTAAGAGACCCCCTCGATCATGGCCAGACGTGATAGTGTTACTTAGCCGCCTGCCAGGCTATATCACTGTCATCGTGCTACACATGTACCCAAATATCCTACCCCAGAAGCAGAAATTCATAGTACGATCCATCTATGATCAATAGCGGTTAACACCACGTCCCAACAGAAATGCCTCCTACCGAAAAGAACTCCGGGCTCCCTGCCCCCGCCAAATCCACCCCTACTTTTTCCCAAGATGATGTGACCGTCGTCTTTGTGCTCGGCGGACCGGGTGCCGGCAAGGGCACCCAATGCGCCAACCTCGTCAATGACTATGGTTTCACCCACTTGTCCGCCGGCGACCTGCTACGCGCCGAACAAGAGCGACCTGGCTCTCAGTTTGGTGAGATGATCAAGGACTACATCAAGAACGGCCTTATCGTGCCCATGGAGGTCACGGTACAGCTGCTCGAGAACGCCATGGTGGCCGATCTCGACAAGAGCGGCAAGGGCGAGATCACCGGGAAGAAGGGCAGATTCCTCATCGACGGCTTCCCCCGCAAGCTCGACCAGGCCCACAAGTTCGAGGATTCCGTATGCCCCGCCAAGCTCGTGCTGTTCTACGAATGTTCCGAGAAGGAGATGGAGAAGCGTCTGCTGAACCGCGGCAAGACCAGCGGCCGTTCTGACGACAACGAGGAGAGCATCCGCAAGCGATTCCGCACTTTCGTCGAGACCAGCATGCCCGTCGTCGACTACTACGAGACTCAGAACAAGGTTGTCAAGATCAACGCCGAACGCGACCCCGAGGACGTCCACAAGGACACCCAGAGGCAAATCGCTGGCCGCCTGGGCAAGGGCTTCTAGAAGAAAAGCCACAGACAGCGGGTACGCGATGCTCTGAGCCGGCGCAAGGAGAAGCACGAGGCCCTCAGAGAATCACGAAGACAATCCAAGGAGATCGCTTTGCAAGAGAAGCAAGCTCGCAGATTGTCGGAACCGCAGCCTGCTTCACACCCCAAGCCGTCATATCCCTCGTATAGACGCTCCTCCCACAAGCCCACTACGGCCGGCGCATCGATTGTACCTGTGACGTATGCGTCAACTTGTTCAGCACCATGCTATACTCACGCACCATGCTGAACTACACACTGCGGTACATGGTATATGCATACCTGCTGAGGAGTTCTTTGGGGGCATGGGTAGAGTATGGGAAATGGAGGCCCTGGACAAAAAAGACTGTGCTTGAAGCCAGCTTTGTATTACCACGAAACACACAACCGACATAAGTCGTTTAGACGTTCTTTGAGAAACAAACTTTCCTAGATTCTAGAATTCAGACGTATAAATTAAATCTGTACACTACACGAGACAAGGAATTTCCGTCCGCAGTGTTAGTAGTGTCTCGTATATTTCTCACCTGCGATGGTTTGCCATGTTTAAAATTCCCACTCAGTTTGGACATCTGTCGTGACAAGACAAAACAAGACCCAGTAATACCCCCAACCATGTAGGAGCTGCCGAATTGGTTAGGGAACAAGACAAAACGAAAGGCAGTCTAGGCCAAACAGCATATGTACTAACTATGGTGGCAAGCCAGGAGAAGAGATTTTGGGAGTTCGGACAATGATGCCGATCCGGCATGCCAGCCTCAGAGCTCCCGCCGCACATACTGCGGAGTCCGATGGATGAAGTAGAGCAGCCATAACAATTTGGATCTCCGATATGAATCCCCGGCCGTCACAAGGCTTGGATGACTGGGGGGACTTGGCCAGCAATACACCAGCAGCTGGGGTTGAGGGGGCTCTCGCGTGGGCATGCCCATGCTAATTGACACGAGGGGACATGTCACTGCTCATGAAGAACACATTTCTTGGGGCTTATGGTTTATGGTAGATTATGGCATGGATTTGTTTTTTCTTCTCCGTGGCGTGGTGGCCCCTTTCTAATACGAAACTCTGCTCTCTTATGTTACGAGTCCGCATCATCTTGTTTCGACATCCTGAAGCTTTCCTCTCTTCTAGCTTTGATGGCAACTTCCACTTTGAGGTAAAGTGAAGGGGAGCAAGTATAATGCCCCGGTGCTTATACCACTCGCAAGACTCAGAAAAAAAACCCGTGCTTCTCCTCCCTTCTCGGGTGGGGAAAGAAAAAGAAAAAAGATCTTATGCTCGAGACAAATACTATGCTTCATTCATGATCGCCGTTGCCATGCCATGCATTTCGTATCACATTTTCACCATCCATTACGCCTCAAAAGACCCGTAATAACAGTTCTCGTCTTGCCTTCTCCCCCCGTGGCCCTCCAAAGGCTCGGAATCGCGTAGCAGCAAGCAAGCAAGCAAGCAGCCATGTGTCGTTTAATCGTCATCGTCCGTTCTAGGCTTGGGAGGCGGCCTGTCACCACCGGCATTTCCTCTGCGTCCACCTCTTTGAGGCTTGTCGTCAAGACCGGCACCGGCAAGCTTTCGCTCCAGCTCCTCCTGCTCACGCTTCTTGGCGGACTCGACGTTGGACTGCTCGCGTCTCAGAGCCTGGGCGACCTCCTTGAGGGTTGCCGACCAGCCGTCGACGCGGGTGCTGAGCTCGCGCCACTGCTTCTCGCCGAATACACGGTACCATGCGCGGTGAACCAGGAAAACCTTCTGGCGCTGGGAAAGCTTACCCTCGACCAGACCGGCACGGATCACATCGATGGTCCACATCTCGATCTCGGCCTCGGGAATAGACAGAGCCTCGGCGATCTTGGAGTAGGGGATCTCGCGGCTCTTGGACTCGGCGGCGGCGAGCGAGGCAAAGGTGAGCAGGCGCATCTTGCGCTGCAGCTTGTCGGCGTCGAGCTTCTCCTTCTCGACGAAGTCCGGGTGCTCCTCTTGAAACTGCTTGTAGTCCTCAAGATCCTTCTCGGCGAAGACCATGAGCAGGTCGTACCAGGCGGGTTGCGACTCCTGCAGAGCTGAGACGGCGGGGATGCTGAGCAGGTCTGAGAAGTCGTAGTGTGTAGACGAGTTGAGGGCAATCTTGATTGCGCTGATGGTCAGCTTCTGGGCGTCTTCGGTCTTGTTGTCCTCGTCGTCGAATGTTCGTACGGCCTTGAGAACGTAGTCGTATGTAAGACTGTGGTAAATGCATGGTCAGTGAACCCGTTCCTCCCCTGTTTCATGTCATCCGGTATGGGTTCGGTATTGCTTACGTGTCGGCACCATGTTGCGAAGCAGCCTTTGAGATGAGCTCGTAGAGCTTTCGCTCGTCCTCCTCGTCGACGTCCCACTCCTCTACCCAGGTGTCCAGCTTGGGCAAGTACTTCTTGAGCTGGTCAAACATGCTGTTGGCGCTGGTGAACTTGACGATGGCCAAGAAGACGTGGTATCGGGTCTGGTCGTCGGGCTTCAACATGTTGAAGATGTTGGTCAGGGCACCGAGGGCGAGGCCGGGGCCGTTCTGGGGAGAAGAGGTGACGGGCTTCTGGAGGTTTTCGCAGACTTTGGACAAGAACATGTTGGGGTTCTTGGTCTGCAGGACGAGGTAGGTAAGCAGGTTGTAGGCGGCGCTGAACTCGCGCTCGGGGACCGAGTTGAGGGCGGTAGAGGCGATGATGATCTTCTTAAGGACATCATCCTGCTGGTCCTTCTCGAGGAGGGGCTTGACCTCGTCGCCGACGTTGACGTAGTCGGCCATCTCCTGGGCCAGCTCGTTAAACGAGCCGTCCACGAAGACAAGCTGGGGTTGGAAACTGGTGTCCATGGTAGCGGCGTAACTCCCTTTCTACCCTTTCGAAAGTCTGGTCGATGAAATCGGAAAATCGCAGGTAGCGGTTGTGGGGATGGGGTTCGCAGTTGGCAGCGTCCTGAAGTCGGATCTCGTAGGTGTGCTTGGCGAGAAATTCGGCTTCTTCACGTTGGCGCTGTTTCTTCTGGCGATACCAGGGCAGCCAATTCTCCAGATGCAAACGGCTCTCACTTCGTTTACTTGACTCTGCCTCTAACGTTGCTCCTCCTCCGCCCCAGGGTGGCATCTTAGGGTTTATTCGGATTTGCGAGGTTTGTGGACGCTAGCGGCACGGTTAAGTGCATGTATCTGTGCCTTTCGTCTAAGCGAGTTGTTCACGGGGCCGAAATTTGAGCCGCTCAAGATGCATGTCCCCGGTTGCCCGTTATCGCTGCCCCACCACCTGCGATAAGAAAATCACTTCCATACCCCTCCAAAGGCCTGGCCGACTGACTAACTCCATACATAAGTACATAAGTACATAATTATGTTTCCTGCACGTCTTCACACAACTTTCAGCGCCAGCATCGACAGCTCCGTTTCCCTGCTCTACTCTATTTAATTCAATTTTCGACATCTCTCTTGCTAATGCCTCGCCACCAGAACTTAATGGCTTATCACATCTGTAGTAACACGGCGAATACTTGTTATTGTAGTTTTTGGATTATGGTAATCAGGAAACAACTAGGTTAGGTGTATTCTATGTCAATGTTGCACCATAAACCATCGCAATGCATAGCTGCTCGTAAACTCTATTCCCACGTCGTCTGGCCTAATATATACAGAGTAAAGAAGAAATAATAATAATAACACGCATCTGCTCAAAAAGGCGGCACGACTGAAGCACAAATCGGAATATCCAACAATTCATCCGTATTCAACCCAGTACGAACGTGCTGACTTGTGCTTCACCATCCTTGACGCCGGCTCAGTATAGTGATTCATGAACGATAGCCGTAAAATGCTCGACTGCTTGTTAGAGGCTAGTTGCTGGCAGGCCGACTGGGCGGAACATGTGCGGGTATATCCTCATCGGAATCGGAATCCTCCGAACTCGACTCATCGAGAACAAAAGGCTCAGTCGCTGAGCCATTGCGCTTTGGAGGCTGCATCGAAGGTGTCTGTGACTCAGTTGGTGGATCAATGGCCACGTCTGATCTGACAGCCGGCGGTTCTTGCTCTTCCGGTTCTGGGGTCTGCTCCGCTGACACGGAATGTCGTGAGTTGTGTGTGCTGATTCGGTAACCACTCCGCTGCATCGATGAGAGACTGCGGCCAGGCGCTGGAGCGCGTGGTATGGTATTTTCCGAACTCGCAATAGTAAAATCCGTCGTAGCCGCTGTTGCGCTTATGTCTCTCAGTTCCGCCGAGCTCATGTCAGCCACTGGCGTTTGGTTGCTAAGCGGAACTCGAACAGCTGGGGGCGTTGTCGAGGCCGGAGGTGTCGGACTCGGAGGTTGTTGTTGAGTAACACGCCATACTGCAGGACTTCCAGCCCCCGAGTCAATCCGTTGACGCTTACCGCTGGGCGTGCTGCCCCATTGTTGAATACGGATACGCTCTGCGTCAATTTCTGCAGCGGTACGACGTTTACGTAGTCTAACGCCATATTTCTTCCGAATGATGCTCTGCTTAGTGCTGAAGCTGTTCTGTAGACCGTCCATCTTGTCTTTGCGCTCCTTGAGATCCGCGACTGCCTCGAGTGCTTTGAAGCGAGGTGCATAAGATTGTTCTGCAGCAAGAAGCTCATCGTCTAGTCTTGCACGAGTCTGAGGAGTCAAATGTGCGTACGGATCGTCAGAGAATGCGCCAGCAGACGATGGCGGAGGTGGAGGCGGAGGTGGAGCTCTCGGTGTTTGCGCCGTGGTATGATTGTACTGGTGAGCGGTCTCAGGAACTGGCAGTGTCCCCGTGGACACAGGTACAGGATTTGTCACTTGTAGAGTTCTCTGTGGTGTCTGCATTGTGGAAGAGACAAGCATCGCTGGGCTGTTTCGACCTGAAGCTACTACGGGGGTGTTCGCCGTAATAACATCGTCCTTGGGTGTTGCAGCAGCGATACCATGGTGCCCACACACTTTGTTTGCGGAATGCTACCTTTGTATCAGCATGATTTATTCTCGAGTATGTTTCAAAACTCATCACTCACATATTGTTGACCCACGTGGGTAATGAATCCGGCACCGCAGTGCTCACATGAAAAGTCAAAGCCGGCTGAAGTAGGAGGTGTCTTGGTACAAAGTTGCTTCTTGACATGCTAAAAGTCGTTAGCTGGGGTACCATCATCATCCAATCCTTACTTGCATATTCATAAGGTGCTGGTGCACTGAATTTGCGCCAGCATAGGCGACATTGCAAGTCCGGAGCGATTGGTCGGTGAAGACCTCCCCGTCTCTCTTGACTTGCATTAGACCCTGTTGATACGGGTTGAGGGGCTAGTCGTTGATATGGTGCTTGTAATCCGGGACTTGAGGCAGAAGGAAATGGCTCAGCCCTTGTTGGCGAGGGATCAGGTCTCGCCACATCCATTGCATCACTATTCTCATAGCCTAGTCGTTCAGCACGAGCCAACGCATTTATCAGAGACCGCGCATCAATAGTCCCCAATCGTTTTTCAAGGGCCTTGTCCAGAAATTCGTCACTTGCCTTATCCAAGATGATATCGGCGACATCATCTAGATCTTTGGCAGCGAAGTGCTCGATGACTTCGTGCTTTGATTCTGAAACCATTTTATGGCCAAAGTCTTTGATTGCGCGTTTGAAGATTAAACCATTCGCGTGATGGATAACGGCATTCATCTGTTCTAGCATTAACGCCCTGAGGTATTGAATTAATGCAGAAAGCGAGAGAAGAAGGACGGGAACGGTTGTGATGGAATGATAAAAACAGAAGGATTTGATAAGATTAAACCAATGATCAAAGTGAATGAAGCAGGGAATAGCGGCGCGTTGGTGATTAAGGCACCCAGTTGCGCGGACGTGTAGAGACAGCCACAGTTGCACTTCAACTTATACGGTTGGGGCAGTAGGGCATCAGTGTATATGGTTCGAGTTTTTTCAAGCTGGCAAAATTCAAAGGTACCTTCACATCTATCCACCAATAGGACTTGGACGATCTGGCAACGCAAGATTGGCAGTACAGAGTATAATACTTACCACAAAGGCTTGGTGGAATTCTGTACCCAGTAAAGTCTTCTGCCAATTGTCTCTCACTACTCTTCTAACGGCTTCCGGGACAGACTGCTGCACAGCATGTGTAAGTCTGGAGTTGTCCTCAGTAAACTTTGGAAGTACTCGATGGTGGTCACAAGTAGGCGACCCAAACGAGGCAGGCAAGCCATCGCTGCGTCCCCGCCCCGCTTGGCGTGGTGGCTCGACTATAGCCACCTTGCCATTGTAGGTCCTGGGCAAGCGAATTCCAATTCCATCTACAGAGAGAGGTGGTTGTGGAGGCGCATGAGTACTGATTTGCGTTTGCAAAGCCAAGGGTGGTAGTGTTTGCAACGGTGTGGCCGGGGATGCGGATCCTATACTCGGAACCGGAAGGGCGGGCGGCGGTGGTGGTGGCTGTTGCGATATTGGAGACGCGTTCTGCTCATGAGCACTGAGCCCACCTGAATTGCCGTTGACTACGCCGTTTATTGGTAGCGGGCTGCCCGATGTAGGTGTTGGCCATGTTGCCGAGTTTGCAGCGATAGAAGCCATCACTCCAAGAATTGCCTTTTCCCAATTCCGGAAGCGCCGTGCATATGTGACCGGCTCTTAATCCGTGCATGCAACTCTTTACAGCCAATGAGATTAATAAGCTGTGGCGACGATTTCCGGTAAGAGAATCTTGTGTAGAATGTCAAGATAGAAATGTAGACTTGTAATAGAGCATTGGAGCAGTATATGACGGATTTGAGGTACTAAGCCAACCACCGGAGCACTCAAACCATTACTGATAAACGAAGACTGCACTGATCGCGTTGCCGCGCTGAGAAATAAAGACCTAAGGTCAGGTGCGATTAACACCATAGAAAATTGGGGGTAAAGAGCATTTTTGTAGCTCCTAATTTAGGTGGTTTTTTTTTAAACAGGCAAGGAAAGGGCGTTCCGGCCACTTTATAACATGTCCACTTATTTATCGCGTTGACGGACATAATTGGCTCTACTTCTATTACAAACTCATTTAGCGTTCCACATTTGCAAATTATTATTAAAGAGCAAAAGTGAGATACCCCCCATCCCTTGCACATTTATCCATATCATGGGCCGTGCGTCCCCTTGAAGTTTGCTTCTTTGAAAACCCAACAAGAGACTTGTTCGACGGGAATGTTTGTCTGTGCCTCTTTCCACTATACACACATCGGCAATCAGCACTTTAATTACAGGCGTGATATCTTATTTATTCCACAACATATCCACTTTGCTGTAGTCACACCAAAGGGATTATCAATGCCAGCCAATCACTGGCTCGAATTGCTTTTGGGCCAAAGCGTCCATACAAGCCCAGATTGGATTGAAACACGACATCTAACCAACCAATTTACAGGTCCATGCTATAACTTCGCTGCTGTAGAGATAACCGTTCGCTTGTGATTATAATCAAATATACTTAGTACGACGAATAATGATGCACTGACAGTTGTTTATACGAAAGTGACCGGGGAATTAATCGTATCAATGACACAATTTGGCTATAAGTATCGAGGAGCTAATCAGTTTGGACGCTCAACTTCACAACAGTTCCAAGGGTGCATGCCAAGTTGACTAATTCACGAAGTTCCGTCACCAATCTTATGGTACATCTCGCCCCTGTCCAAATACACCAACCTCTCCTGCCATCCTTCCTGGCTCCCTTTTTTTTTTTTTTTTTTTTTTTTTTTTCGAATCGCTCGACGATGACAAAAACATCGAATATTCATCATAATGAATCGTAATCGTAATATCCGGGTCCACTTAGCATCATCAGCTCTAATCCCTGCGTTGCATCCAGCGTCACCATAAGCAGTGGCACTGACGGACCCGGAATGGTGGTACCACAAAGATGCACAAGCACAAGGTCAATCTTATCGTCTTCCAGCCACTTGAGAATCTCCTTTAAGTCATCGACGAGGAGCCATCTTGTGGGTAAGCATTACTTGGTTACACTGCAATCGTTATATTCACGTCATCCTGGATTCAGACGCTGTTGATGATAGTTTAGCATTGTATTGATTATATTGGGTGTATCGCTGCCAAGTGATGCTGTATAGTTGTTAGCTCATCGGTTCGTGTGTATGTGATGGCGTCCCCTTTGTGCATTCTGCTACGAAGAAGTTACGATAGCCTAATAAGATCTGCCTTCCACAAAGCCAACACACCAGGTTTTCTTGGCAGGCGAACTCAAGTCTCTCGGCCGTTTGGAGGCATGCCTTGCCCAGCACAGCTTCAGGAGGTTACACCAGATTCAAAGCAGAGATTCACCTTGGGCACGAGCAAATTTTTCATAAAGTTCGAATGGATAATCAGGCGGCATTGGGTATATATATATTGAACACATTGCGCCCTTTCCAGGAATCAAACCGGCTAACGGGAATTCCAAAGATGTATGAGCCACAAAGGGGCTATAATAGTGAGTCCGCCAACTCCATGCTTCCAAACAGGCAAATGATTTCTTTTTTTCTCTTACAGGGTATCTCATGATGGCCAGCCAAAGATCACCAATACAATCTCTCCGAATTCCAGTGCATTCTCGCAGTGAACCCAAAGCCCATCACCGTCGACTATCCAGTCCGGATAATCAAGTCCGACAGGTTTCTGAGAATTCCTCAGCACCTCTAAGCAGCGTATTGCTTGTTTGCATGCCGTAAAAGTATTATGAATCAGAGCCGGCAAGTCGCAGGCGTGTTCCGATAATTGCGGCCCAACCGAACGCTTTCCAAAGATGCCGTCATGTCTGATCTGCGGGCCGGGAGTGTTACATAGTCAACACGGTTTGCAAAGCGACGATTGGAGTCAACGTCTCTGAGTGGTATACTATCCACGTGAGATGTCTGCTCACCCAGTAACTCGTCGCACCCACAAGGTTGTGGGTTCGTACTCGGCATTGCGGTCCATACGCTTGTAAGCACGGTGGAGCTTCAGGCCCAGCTCATACTCTTCACGTCGTACCTCTGCGAGCTCAGTCTTCAGCGCCTCCACCTTTCGTTTCTCACTTTCGCGCTTACGAATCACAGCTTCAGACGCTAGAATATGGTCTGTAGGCATCAGCTGCGTCATCTGCTTGATTGCTTGGTCGATATTCATCCTGCGATTCCCCAGAGACTCAATCTGAGCATTGAGCATAGTCACTCGATCCTTGGCCGACTGTTCAGGAGGCGGTAGCGGCAGCAACTTATCAACGGATGACACTGATACTACAGAAAGCGTGCTATGATTTCCATGCGGAATAGGACTGAGGCCAGCTGGTCGGGTTTTTGGCAGTGTGTTTGTGTAGTAAGACGAGTCCATATTGATCTTGATGGGCTCGAGAGATGCCTGGCTCCGGATCGATCCTTCGTAGCCACTTACGACGGGACGCTTGCGGTCCAGAACTGAGTTGCCCAACACGGGCTTAGGTGACTCGGCAGACTGTCGTGGAGGTGTTGGCAGAGGTGGTGCGTCATCCACAGATGGTCTTGGGCTCCCAGTATACGAAGTGGCATACGTGGTAACACTGAATCGCGAAGCAGGCTGTGCCCAGTTGTCTACGGATGGCGCCGTAACTTGACCGGGGGAAGGAGGTGCTGGCTGCTGAGAATAAACAGAAGAAGAAGTTGACACTTGCGGGTTGTGGCCTGCACCGCCTGCAGGCTTTCTCCGGATAGCTTTTTCGTTCGGAGGGAATAGGGTCTTTGTCGGTTCTGAGAGAGTAGAAGGGGTTGGAACTTGCTGTTGTGGGCGAGATTGCTGCGGTGTTATGGCCAGAACGGAGTGGTCGTCTGATATTGACGGGCTAGGGTACGACAACGGCGTATCAGCTCCAGTATCAGTTCTTAGCAGTCGTTGTGACGGCAGGGCTGTTCTTGCGTCGCCAGAAGTCGGGCTTGCCGCTTGCGCTGGTGGTGGAGATACTGTTTCAGACCCCGTAGAACTGACAGGGGACAGCACACCGGAGCTACGGGCCGCCCGCTTACTACTCCTACGAGGGATGCTCAAAGGTGCCGCAGTCTTGTTGTCGGCAACCGGCTCGACTAATGCGGTCCGGCCACTGGCACCGCGCCACTCGGGTTTTGCTGCCGGCTCAGTCTGGGGATGAGTGCCGGTATTACGTGCTGCAGACTTCAGGCGTACGCCAAACGGACTAATAGGCTGTTGGCCAGTTGCCCTTGGTGCGCCGGTTGGTGCTCTTGCATTGGATAGCCCCTGGACGAATTGGTGAGGATTGACCTGTGAGGGACGACCTTTTTCGGTGGCTGTGGGTTCTCCAGTACGCGGGTCCCAACGAACATCACTACCATGAGGCCGAGGCGGCTTACTGGGGTCCTGATCGCGGGTCGCTTGGAAAGCGCCGGCGGAGTTTTTGCGGCGCTCCCTACGCATCGTCGGGATGTTGCTATAGCCTTGATCCGCCGGAAGATTAGGTCTGGGTTCATTCATGATGAAAAGGTGGTTCTCTGGTTCTTCAATGGGTGAGACGTCTCCGCCGTCAAAGGAGTGTGGCCTGGTGTGAAGACAGTTTGTTAGCTCTGCTGGTGGAAGGTGATAAGTTGTCAGTCTTCGTTTCAGCTTGTGGCTGATGGCAGCCGTAGCTGTTACGGCTTTGAGGTCAAGATGCATCTCGAAAAGCCCACACACGGTTTCTTCGGATCTCAGTTGCCACTCAGTGGTCTAAAAAAGAACAGCCAACAGCCAAGAAAGGCCACCCAAGCTCTAAAATTGCATGACCAAAGAACAATGATGGGTCCAACGAATTTCGAGGCCAACAATGCAATGTCCTCGAATTGTACCAGTACTGGGCATTAACCATTCCTTGCCACTTGCACCTCAAATCATCATGTAACAAAAAAATAACAAAAAAAAAACAAAAAAAAAACACTTACTCATTCCTCGAAGTTGGCAAGTCCGGCGAGCTTGGTGGGGAAATCTCATTCGAGTCGCCGTATACGTCCTTCCTTAACTGTTGCGCGGCAAAGGTAGCCGCAGCCGGCGACGGTTGTGAGTATACCGACGATACCGGTCGATCGCCGTATGCAGAGTTGCGATAAGAGTCGTGACCTGCTTGAGGTGGTCGCAAGGCTTGTACTGCAGGCGCTGACGTCTGACTATTTGCATGGCGTGGTGTCAGCATGGTGAAAGCAGAATGCTATCAATATCGAGCAATGAAACAGAGCAAATTGGAAATCCCGGTCGCGCAAAGTGCGAGGTAAGGCTGGTACATTCCCGGATTGTTGGTGCCTGTCTACACGTAGCGCAATGCAAGGAAATAGTCGGTCGCACTGCTCGTTTGCTCGAACGTGGCTGAGGCTCTTGAAATCGCGTCACCCGACCGCATTGCCGACCATAAATAGCCTGCCTGATTCTTGCGCATAACAACAACCAATTGGAGGGGACAAAGTATAGGCGGATTCCGACTCCTGTAACTACTCCACTGAAACAATCGAGGGCCTCTTGGACAACGTAAAGCGAGAGGTCCATTCCGCCTTTAAACTGCCGGAGGCTTGAAGGAGGCTTGAAATACAGGCGATAGGCATGTGATGCGCCATTCCATCCTTCTTAGATAGTCGGCTGGGGTCCAAAGGGCTGTTGCGTTGCATTTGTCGGTGCGTTGGTCGTGCAGCGTTTCGAGATTCCACCGACAACGGTCCTGTCCTGAAATGCAAGTATAAGGAGACGGCAATAAACTTACGAATTTCCAACTGAGCTGGTCGAATATTCCAACTCTCTTGGCGGTCGCGGGGGCGCAGGGCCGCCTTTGATGTTTACTGAATAACCAAAAGGTGAACTAGATCGCGTACCCTCCCAGTCTTGCTGTGATTTCTGCTTCAGACGGGTACCATACGGACCAGGAACATGTTCCTTATGTGTTCGCAGTCGGTCCCACATTGTGGGCATAGCGGTAACGGCAATGGAGGGGTTCTCGAGGGCTTTTCGTTATGAGTGTCCCAGTTGAGCGTTGGGATGTGTCAGATTGTCGCGGGGTTATGCTCAAGATAGTGCAAGTGAGTTTACTATTAATTGCGGCTTGCTAAAGTAAGGTTGCATGAGCGACTGGGGTCCTTATGAAATAAGCTGCAGTCTAGCCGCGTTCGTGTCTCGATGAAGCTAAGTGAACGGCAAAATACACGTTGAAGAGAGAAAGAGAGGTGAGAATAGGTCGATGAAGGAACGAAAGTGACGAATGTCGGGGTGAATATACAGAGAAGTAGGATTGATAATTGTATTTGTTCGTGTTCATCGAAAGGAACAATGTGGATTGGGTCCTCCGATATAGATTGCGCCGACAAATTGGGCCAATTCATTTGTTGCCGGTGTCCTGTAATCTTGCTACCGAGCGTCTGAATCACGCCAGTCTAAAATGGAGCTGGCGATTGGGAACGCGACATCACCTTCCACTTTAACAGGCGAATCGTGACCCTCGATTGTTGGCACAGTCAACAAAACTTGCAATTCATAATCAAGTCTGAATTTGTGTGGCGACTGGTTCGTGTATGCCACAATATTGGCGACTTGGCTTTGTTGACGGTCGCCTTTGAGCTCACCGTTTGGTTCTCGCGTTGTCCACGTCGGACAACCCTGGTCTTTATGTTGTTGTTATGGGTGCAACTCCAACAAGGACTAAAGGATGCAATTGGCAAAGATCGAAGAGCATCTAGAATCCCCAGGAATAAACGGCCAGAAGAGATCAGATATATCCATTCAGCCTCGTCACGATCCCCGTTACATTCGATCAAACCCGCTCTTCTCCCTTCCATTCATCCCGCTTCTTCCGCCAATGGTCGATGGGTGAAGCGATTGCGCCAGGGGTCCGTACCAAGGGTTGAAGGCCAACGACTTGTGATCTTCAACCAATTCCCTTGAATGGCCTAATCCTGGACTGTGTCACATCTGTTAGTTTGATGGGGCTCACGATAGCCATTGTGCTACAAGAGCCTACAAGTCGCCGGTGCCATGTCTGTCTACTAGCCCAGTGAAGCAAACCTCGCGGTGTCTAGTTTCCTTTGCAGTTCAATCATGGCCATCCAGCAGGAGAGGATGGGTTTCGGCTGAACAAGGTTTCATGCACAACGAGTCCATCAAGCACAAGATGGTTTCACAGGGCTGTTTAAAATTATGGAGCCTTGACTGCGGTTTCACCGTAAATCGACCAGGACCAGAGTTAGGGCCCTTCCAGGGGCCCAAATGCAGGAGTGGGGGCCTTCTCCGCGATTAGTGTTCCCCTGCAGGAATACTGTACATCTACGGGTCCGTACATACATAGCAATTTACGATAATGCGTCGGATATGCCTAAGGTTAGACTGCATAGGGCACCGTCTCCTTTTTTCTTTTTCTTTTTAGTGGCACTAGCACGGGTTCTCCGGATGCCATATACACAGTGCCCCATGTGAGGTGGTATGATTACACGTACGGCGGGATCCATAATTCAAAGAAGTCGAGAAATATACCGTTGTCATAAAGTCATATCTACCGGTATAGTCTGTTTGGGCGCCTGGGCGCGTCCCGCTTCATACAGAACGATCTACTCCTGAAACATTGTGTGGACCTTACTGGACCACTAAATCGAAAGCCACGGCAAGTACGCTCAGGCTTAGCTAAGCTTTCTTCTGACGACGGCCGTGACAATGTATCCACTACACATTATAACATTACATATTCTGTATTTCATCATCAAAATCAAGAATCAAACAAATATTGTGCCTGAAGAAAGCCTTTGCATACAGAAGCCCGACATAGTATGTGCGTGCACTAAGACGAAACTACGTATATAAAAGAGTTCATTAGCGTTGGCATCATATGAGCTTGCCGGACTTGATTTATTGTACGAACAATACAACCACACCCACTTCAGTTGCCAAATGAATCCCTTGATTTCAATATTACAGGTTTATATCGTGCTTATCGTACCTTTGTTTGATTTGATTTGATTTTCATTTTTCTCGCTTGTCACTACACTTGTCATCCACGCCTTACCAGCTCGGTCTTTTTGAAGATGACACGGAGAAGTATGAAACACAGTGGTATAGTGCAAATAACGTAAAGAGGGAATGTATCCTTGGATCTATAATCACCATAGTATTTCTGTCTAACTAGGTGCCCTCCCTCCTATACAGTGTTATAAGACCACTTCGTCCTCGTTTTATTGTTTTACGCCAAACTCGATCATCATATCCATCCTGGACTCTTTCGAGAACAACACAACCTTCTGTATAACGAAACTCTCCCTAGTGATACGGCGGAGCTCGTCTAAGAGGTGAACTCCGCATTTCACAAAAGGGTTCTCGACCCAAATCTGCTCCCAGGTTGGATCTGTTGGCTTTACTGTCACCTGGCCGTCCAATGATCCCATACCTTGTCTTTGGAACTCGCTGAGAAGGGAGAGCCTAGCCGCTTCATTTGTGATGTCGTTAAAACCTAAGTAGCGGAAGGCCCTCGGTTCGATGCCCGCGGCAGCGTAATTCGCCAGAATCATCTGGTGTAGACGCATCGAAGTGTGGCGATGAGTGTAGTCTTCCTCGTCAGCGAGGTAAGCAGTCTTGACCACGTACATGCGAGCACTTCTCGACACGTCATACGCATGAAGATTCTCCTCGTTCCATGATCCTTTTGTCACAATTTCGAAAGCCTTCCACTTGTAGTTTTTACTTGGGAACTGTAATATGTATTCGCTTGGGGAAGAATAGAGGAAGGGCTTCCTTTGGAGATTAAAGTCTTCGATAGTTGAATATCCAGACATACTAGTGTTGAGCTTTTTCTGAATTGATTAGAATCGAGCAGCGTGTCGACGTGGCAAAACACACCTGCAGGAATAGAGAGTTCAATGTATTAAGGTCGCATTACCGGCAGGATGAAGCGCTGTACACTAAGCATCTACATGCTGGATGGTTTCTGGCCAAACGAACGCTATTTATATTTATCTGCGACTGCTACGAGACAATTGTATGTTCGATCGAATTGTGTATCACGAGCGTTGGGGTGATTATGAACAAAAGGATCGTAGTTTTTTCCCCTCAAATTCTTTACTTTTTCATGTGACTTCGTGTCACGAGCGACGTTGTTGGCTACAGAGCAACAGGCAGTAACTGATTGATTCATTGTATTCCGTTCTCTGGCAGGCCTCTATGGTAAGTTACAGAGCACACTTGTTGATTATATTCCGCGCGGTAGTGGGTTGCCTTTCTGAATCTTCATGGTTCATCAATTCTTTCAGTGAAAATATTTCCAACCGTCCCCCAGGGGGGCCTGGGAGGTACCCAGCAATGTCCTGGTTGGCTCAGTGGTGGATGGCTCCGGCTTCAACATCTGGTTGGGTTTCGATTCCCTAAAAGGAGGTTCTGGGTCCTAGGATCGATTCAGGTAACAACTTAACCTACCTTTTCTTTTTTCTTTTTTCTCTCTATCTTATCTATCTCTCAACACGCACCTGTCATAAGAAGTCCAAATAGTTGCTTATTTTCAGTTTTCTCGCAACTATTCTCGCGATAATCCGGCGAGCGTTTCTATGGAGTCTTGAAGTTGTTTCTTCTCTCAAACACCATGCCGTAATACTCGAAGCAGCATCTCGATGCAGGGTGCACCGATAACCTCATGTGTTAACCAAGCCTCTTCAGGGGCTGTTGTGCCCCATTGCGGTATCATGCCAAACTTGTTATCCCTTGATTCAGACCAGCTTACTGAAGGTCGACAGCCTATTGATTTGCCTATTTCCAGTCATTTCTGCCACAACCATTTTCATGATCACCGTCGCTCTGGCAAATTGGGCAGCAACAAGTACGTATAACAATTCTTTCGCAACTTAACAAATTGTTATTTGATTTGGAGCAGTCTTCTTACATGTTGATTCATGTTAACGAAGCGCGTTACAATTGCAGCTATGCGACTGAATAACTCAGTGACCATGCAAACGGTAATTTCATGGATTCAAGTTGTCCACCACTGATAGCATGTCATTACCGACTATGGCAAATGACGAATGAGTCCTATCATCTACAATTGACAGCCAGTGCTAGAGAGTACCAGGATGTAATCATAAGCGAGACGAGGAGCCACAAGGCAAACAGTGAATCGGATGACACAATTGGCATAAGCTAGGACACAATTCACCTCCTGCAACAAGCGTAATCGGTACGAGAACGGCCGTAAGCGATGGCGGCAACACGCAGGCCGAAGACGGATCCAAGTCGATCCACAAACGTTTAGCAACCACGGCCTTGGACGCGGTCTCCAAAATAAGAATAGAAAGAAAATAACGTGTAACTGTGATTTTATACGTAAAACAAGTCTTTCTAAGCGCTGTGCGATGAGCTGATGAAAAGACAACCACAACAATACAGAGTAGAATGCGGATATTCAACGGTGTCGTCTTTGTGTTTTGGTTTTGTCGACGCCAACTTGACACCCTATAATTACATGCATTCACGGTAGTATAGCAAGGCTGACTGGTTTTTTTGAATGCCTTTTTTATTTTATTTTTTTATTTTAAAAAACCACAGTCACATTTGTATTAGTGATTGTCTATATCGATGTAATTGGTTTCTTCCTTTATGATAGCGTAACAACAGGATTTGTCTTTATTTATGAACTCTTGATAGCACGAGTTTACATTCATTATTGGGATACTTCAAACTTAATCTAGGCCGCTATTAGCCCAGGTTAGTTTCATACACAAAATATCTACACCGAAGTGTAATCACGGAAAGAATACATGGAACTAGGAAATTGTTCTCTAGAATTGTATGTCATGGAATTGTTGGAGAACCCGATAGAGAACGCTATGATAAATGCCACACCATCGTCTCAAGGCGACTAACTATTCACTTGCGCAAAAGTACAACATTATTTGCTTTCTAATCCCACCCAGAAGGTCTCGGCATAGGTAGGCGGAACAAAACGGTCCTAGCTTCAAATCTTGAAGACATTGTTGAGTGAGTTGACGAATCCGCACAGAAGCAGATGATAACAGGAGAAGCAACGTCATATCTATATCGATGAGAGAGGGGTGAGCTGTCCATGCAGGTAGTGAAACGCGCGACTCTATCTTCAGCTGCTTATGGTTCTCCAGACATTAAACCAATTTGAGATAAAAGATTTCATAAATATAATTTACAATTACACTTGCGCTCTACTGGAATGTTCTTTTTTTCTCTTTTGGTTCCTCTTTGCTAATTGAGAAACTACTTAGAATGTGTTCGGTATTTCTGTGGATGATGTCCGGCCTTATCAGAGGGGACGATAACAACGGAAAGAAGGACATTGTCATCGAGAAGAATATTGACATCAAGCAGGACGTCGATATCAAAGAGGGCGGCATCGACGACGATCGCCGTCAAGTCTCGAGGAGCTGGTCACGCAGTACGGGCCAGCAAACCACATGACTCCCATGATTTGAGCCTGCTCCAGCAGACCCAAACCACTCTTGTAGAGCTGCGGAAATATAGAGATGAAGCACTGCGACTCGGGTACGACGCCCCTATGGTCTTGATAAGAAGTTCAGGAAAGCTTTACCTGGAAATGCACATGGGAATCACGGTGGTCCGGTCAAAAAGAAGAAGGTTTAATATCATTGGCTGAATAGAGCGAGTGTGAGAATATCTAAGCCGAAGGTATCTAAGATAGCGAAGAACAGTTTGGACATCGGCCTTTCGGGATCTTACTACCACTAGGAAGTTTTAACGAATACTTGGGGAAAGGTAGATATGAGGTTATGTGTATAGTGACCAACTGTTATCACGTAAAGATATTTACGACCAACATGGATCGCTTCTCACCGAGGTACGTGGGGATAAGATGGGACTATGGGGTTCTGCGGCTTGAGGACACACCATTCATGATCGATTTTCACAGTCCTATGGATGTATCATGGAATACTCACCTCCTATAGAAAGCATTGACAAGCTACGTGCTTCTGTTTGGTTATTAGCGAATGAACAGGCGAATGAAGTGAGATAACCAACTTTGCGATTTGATGGCACTTGCAAGTCACTACTTTGCATGCTTGTTCCAAAAATGGCTAGGGGATTGGCCTTCGCAATTTCTGTGATGTCTAAGGTACAATTAGCTAGTTCCATCCATTCTTGACCGGCTCCTCATTGACCGTCTTCCGAGTCTTGGTAGGCTTTTGTTGCGCAGCTTCGTGCCGTCTCAACTCCTCAGGTACACGGCTGATACTGCTCTTGCTGAGCATTTGCTTGAGGTCATACATGGTATCAACATCTTCGTTTCCAAGGAATGTTATAGCCACACCACTCTTGCCTGCACGACCAGTACGACCGACTCTGTGCGTGTAGGACTCAATGGACAGCGCCATGTTGAAGTTCACAACCAGACTGACATCAGGCACGTCGATACCACGGCCAGCAAGATCTGTGGCGACCAGCACTTGTGTGTGCCCGGCACGAACGGAGTTCAATGCCTGCTCGCGCTGATCCTGGGTCTTGGAACCGTGAAGAGTGACGACGCTAAAGCCCATGCGGCTGATGTCCTTTGCAATGGCATCACAGTTTCGCTTGATATTGACGAAAACAATGATAGGAGCCTTGAATCCACCATCAACAAGGATCTCGCGTAGGCGTTTCTTTCGGCGGTCTTCTCCCGCGACAAACTCAACGCGCTGTTCAACGGTGTCGACAGCTTCACCAGCGTTACCGATGGTGACCGTTGCAGGGCGGCGCAGATATTTCTTGGCAATTCTCTCCACAATAGGAGGCATGGTAGCCGTGTACATCATTGTTTGACGGTATCGGTCCTTGCCACCAAGATGCCGCGACATGAGCTGAGCATCCTCAGCCTCCTCTGTGTCCGGCTTCTCGTTGGTGACAGGCAGAGCATCCAAAATTTTGTTCACGGGTTCCTCAAAACCCATATCAATCATTCGATCTGCTTCATCCATGATGATATAGCAACACTGCGACAAAACGAGCAAGCGTCTCTCAATGCAGTCCACAAGACGACCCGGAGTAGCGACGATGATTTCAGCACCGTTCCGCAGGGCAAACGCTTGCTCTTCGATGGCGTGACCACCAACGAGACTGACTACGGTAAATCCTAGTGGCGTGGCGAATTTTCTTGCTTCTGACTCGATCTGCTGTACCAGCTCTCGAGTAGGAGCGATAATGAGGGAATATGGACCGTCATTCTTGTTCATGTCAGTGATGGGAGGAAGTTCGGAGATGTAGACCAGTAGCGGCAGCAGGAAAGCAGCGGTTTTTCCAGAACCTGTCACAGCTACACCGATGAGGTCGCGGGCCTGGAGTGCGATCGGGATGGCCGCACGCTGGATGGGCGAAGGGTCGGTATACCCGACTTGTTCCACAATGTCAAGAATTTTTCGTGGAAGTCCCGATTCCTCCCAGCTCCGCATGGGATTTGGAATATATCCACCTTTGGTAGCAATTCCGTAATCCTCCTTGAAGATGCGCCAGTCTCGCTCCTTCATGTCGTCGAGCTTCTTCTCTGACCAGTGCTTGCCTAGGGCATTGCGGTTCGTCTTCTCCTTTGCCCGTTGCATCATTTCGAGCATCTCCTTAGCTCGTGCAGCTCCGTTTTCGGGGTCGCGTTCGATGAGAGACTGGGCATACCTCCTTGCATTCTCTTCAGTCATATCGTCGCCAAAGCCTCCTAACCGCCCTCGGCCGAAGAATGTTGGTGCGACACGCTCTGCATAGATGGGGTTGTGGTCCTGGCTGGTATCTTCGGAAGCATCCCACTCAAAGTTGAACTTCTTCTCTGTAGTGCGCTTTCGCTTCTTCAGCGCCGAGAATGTAGAGACGTTTGTTTCAGGGCCCATGTAGCGCTCTCGGAAGGAAGCTGCCTCAGCCTCTTCGGGTGCCGGTCGTTTCCTGTCGTCCTTGTCCTTATCCTTGTTGCCACCTTTCCGTCGATCGTCGCGCCTGTCGTCCGACCTGTTGTGCTCACTGCGCATGGCTCTGGGCCCGGTAGGTACCGCATTGCCGTCTCTAGGATGGCGGTCACTTCTGCCGCCTCGGTAGTCGTGTGGCCTGCTCCCGTTGGTCTGGCTTTGGCGTCCACTTTCGTTGCTCCAACCGTTACTGCGCGGGGCGGCGTCCCGGTCCTTGTCCTTCTGCTTCCGCTTCTCCTCCTCTTCTTGCTTTGCCTTCTCAGCTGCCAGTTTTTCCCGTTGGGCTTTGGGGATAAACTTGGGTTTCGAGGCAGCCTCGTCAGCAGCCTTCTTCTTGGCCAGGAGCTGTTCGATATCTATGGGAGTCTTTTTGCCATTTGCGCCGTTGGACGCGCCGTTAATCGGCGGGGCGCGCGGTGTGATGCCCATGGCTTGTTGTGTGCGAAGAACTTGCTGTGCACAACGCGTAAGGCGATGGGAAGCTGTTCCGAGAAGGATGGCGGTTTGCGACCAAGCACTACCCGAAGATGAAATGTTGCAGTTGTTCAAGTTCGTCTTTTGCAGTGCCGGGATGCAACTAACCTAGCCTAGGTTAAAGGTTAGATCTTATTGCACTTATTACAGGTATGTATCCACTGAAAGTACGGATCCGTAGAGCTCGCAAGCTGCCCAAGGGTGGCCACTGTAAGCACTGCCAATCGGGAAAGGGCCCCAGTTGTCCAGGCCTGCAAAAGATGTGGAGCCGCCCGCTGAGCCGCCAAGTCGCGCCTTGCACGCCTAAAATTTATGAGGAGTGAAGCTCCTGATTGAAGACTCAGTGCTGGACCAGGTTGGACTGAAAGAACTGGTGACAAGCCGACCTCGAATTCGCCCCATCCCATTGCCGTCAATCCATCGCCGCCTCTCCACTACGACAAGATGGCTGCGGTAGCTACCAACCGCTACATTGAGCTTGCTAAGGCGCTGCACCCTCGCCTGCAGCGATTCCTAGCCAAGTACCCGCCAACAAACATCCTCCCGGCCACGACGAGGACGAATACCGTCGCAGCCACCGACGGCGAAGTGCCCAACCCCTTCCTACCTCACAAGCACCCAGCCACCGGCAAGTGGCAAGAACCAGAGTATTCCTTGCGTCGCCAAGCAGAGCTGGTCAAGCTGGCACGGGAAGCAGGCGTTGAGGAGCTGCTGCCATTCACCAACAAGGGCACGGAGGAGCGGATACGGAAGAGAGTCGAGGAAGGTCTCAGAGTCAAGGGTACTGGTGTTGGACAGAAGGTCAAGGGTCACTTGCACGAGAGAATGCTTGCTACAAAGTATGTTGTATACCCCCTCTCCCGCCTGGCCACTTGAGATTGCAGCGCCGCCTACCAGTTGTAAGCTGTGTTGCTAACCATACTATAGGATGGAGAAGAGACGTACAGCTATCTTGGGAATGCCGAAATTGGTCAAGGAATGGCGGAAAGTAAGTCCAGTCTGCCATGTTGTGCTATCCCAACCCGGGTTACTAACATACTGCAGACAGGTACACACAAATGGTCCAAGTTCCCCAGGTAAAGGGATGTATATTTCGGGCGATTATGTTTTCGGCATATGTACAAGAGTGTATCAATATGTACAAAATCAAGAAACCATATTTTCAGGGCTTTTGGTCTTCTCCAGACACCTCCTCCTCCACGACCGGCCACTTGCTTTCACAGGAATCGTTGTGCTGCCCTAAATCACGGCTTATTAGGACTTGCTTATTGAACTGCTAATACCCACGAGCATGCGGCAAGGTGTTTATTCCTACTAGGTTCGCTCTTACGGTTTCTACGATACTGTCTCGGCATCAGGTCAAGCACGGGTCACGTGATGCATACCATGATACTCCAGGGCTCCATATCTGGTCAAGCTTTTTATGCTAATACAAGTTTATGCCAAAAAATCAAGTTTGGACCCTGAACCCCAATTACATCAACGCTGGCTTACACGCTTCCGAGACCCTCCCCCTCGGCCCAAACACCAACCCTACGTAACAACGCTACTTGTGAAGCATCTGGAGGACTTCACCATATTCCAGTCGCAAGCCGCAGCAGATTTGGTTCCAACCCCAGAATAAATTACCATGGCCCCTCCACCACTTAAAAAGGAACCCTCTCACTTCGAGGTCCTCTCCTTAACCCCCACGTCGCTCGACGGCCAGGACCCCCCCACGCAGACCAAGACGGTCAAGCAGGCGTACCGGCGGGCCCTGCTCAGGCACCACCCGGATAAGAGCCAGCAGGCCAAGGCGCAAGATGCGCCGTCGGACCCTTCTTCGTCGTCGTCGTCCTCAAAGTCAAAATCGTCAAACGGGATGCACTACACCGTAGACCAGATCACAGAGGCCTACACGGTGCTCAGCGACACGCGGCAGCGGCGCGAGTACGTGCGGTCCCTGAAGACTGAATCGCACTCGACGTCCGGGGCTTTCACCACATCATCAAATTCCTCCAGCAGCGCAAAGCAGAACTACACGTTCAACTATAGCAGCAATGGCGACAACGGCAGTAGCAGCGGCACCAAGGCCCAGTCTAACCAGCCTCAGTCCTCCACGGGCGTCGAGAGCATAGACCTGGACGACGTGGCGTGGGACGGACGCAAGCAGCTGTGGCACCACGCGTGCGGGCGGTGCGGCACGGACCGCGGGTACTGTTTCCGGGAGCTGGACCTGGACGAGGTGGGCGAGGACGGGGAGCTGATGGTGCAGTGCACGGGGTGTTCCCTGTGGCTGCGCGTGCTCTTCGACGAGGCCGAGGAGGACGGCGAGGAGGAGGAGGTTCGGGGGGACAGGGACGTCAGGTCGCAGAGGAGCGGCAGCCAGGGGGGTGGCGATCTGAGGCATACGACGAGCGGCAGCTCGGCTGGGAAGAGTGGTGGCTGGAGTTGGAAGTTCAACATCGGAATATCCCTGGGGGGCAGCGCGAGCGCGAGCGCCAGCGCCGGACGAAAGTAATGCAGACTCCTGCCTTGCCCTGGCTAGTGCATGTGACATGGTGAGTGCCGGTGGTTGCAATTATTGAAAACAGCCATCTTTTGAAATCATTGGGTATTGATGGCCAATGAGTATGTGTGTACAGTATTTTGTTACTCATGATTCAATGAGTAAGGGGCCAGGCGTTCGTCTTTGGAGGAACGGGTCTGACTCGTGCTTAAAAGGTGCGCATCGCATGACATGGTAGGCGATTCAAGCAATCATTCAGGTTCACAAACAAAGGGGAAAAGAGGGAATGCATATTGTGAAACAACGGTTTATTTTGTCCAGACAGGTTCGCATCCGAGTCTAAGAGCCGTACAGGGGTACGAAAAAGTCCTCCAACAGGTTCCCTATAGCTCATCGCTCTTCCTTCAGAAAACGAGAGAAACAAAAGTTTTCCCTCCAAAGTCTTTGTGTATTTGCCGGATGAAAAAGCATGCAGAATTCTCAACTCGAAGAGGCTCACAAGCCGCACTCCATAGACACCAGATCCCATCCATCGTTCACTCCAATGACCAATTTCTCAAGATATCATAACGTCAATACATTTACTCGGCAGCAGCCTTAGGCTCCTCTGAAGCAGCCTCGGGGGCCTTCTCAGGCTCTTGAGCAGCTGCGGCACCAGACTCAGCAGGGGCCTCAGCCTCAGAAGAAGTCCAGAGAGTCTGTCATGACAAGTTAGCATTATGATAGCTGGATATGGATTCTGAAGACCTACCAGGTTGTCACGGAGCAGCTGCATGATGAGAGTTGAGTCCTTGTAGCTCTCTTCGCTGAGAGTATCAAGTTCTGCCGTAGAGTCAGTAAGGATATCCTGAGTTGAATCCATCAAACCGTAGTACATACCGGCAATAGCGTCATCGAAAGCCTGCTTGGCAAGGTGGCAAGCCTGGTCAGGAGCGTTCAAGATCTCGTAGTAGAAGACGGAGAAGTTGAGGGCAAGACCGAGGCGGATGGGGTGAGTAGGAGGAAGCTCGGTCTGGGCAACCTCCGTGGCAGCCTTGTAGGCTTCGAGGGACAGGTCGGCGGACTCCTTGCGGCGGTCGCCAATGGCGAACTCGGCAAGGTAACGGTGGTAATCACCCTTCATCTTGTGGTAGAACACCTTGGACTCGCCAGACTTAGCGGAGGGGATCAGGTGCTTGTCCAAAACCTCGAGGATGTCATCGCAGATACGTGCGAGCTCGGCCTCGATCTTCTGGCGGTACTCCTTGATAAGGCCAACCTGAGACGAGTTGCCCTTGCTCTCCTCCTTCTGCTCGATAGAGGTGACGATTCTCCATGAGGCACGGCGGGCACCGATCACGTTCTTGTAGGCAACGGAGAGAAGGTTGCGCTCCTCAACGGTAAGGTCACGATCCTCGGAAGCGACGATCTTCATATTCTCGACCATCTCTGCACCGCAATGGTCAGTAAAGATGCTGGTCTGCCTCATACCCGAGACAGGACTCAGTTGAACATACCCTCATAGCGCTCGGCCTGCTCGGCGAGCTTGGCGAGATAGACTGCGTCCTCGTGACCCATGGCGACTGTTGTGGGTGGTAATGTTTTAGAACTGTGCGAAAGAATCTTGTGTCAGCGGGATCACTTTTGTAGAGAGGATGCTGCTGCTGCTGCGGCTGCGTGGCTGGTGTTGTGCTGTGTTGTGTGTGGTTGTTGGGCAAGTCCGATGGTGAAGTGGTGGGGCGAAAGTAAACAGTAGACTGTGGCCTAATGGTGCAATACGGTCTGCGATTCATAGATTGAAAACCAAGCTGGTCCCTCAGGCAGTCGCAAGTTGGAGAGCTGAGGCTTTGACTGAGCGCGCACCAACGATGATCGAGGCTGCGGCCAGGATGTCACGATTCATGCGATTGTAACCTCCCCGCATCGTGCCTGGTGGGGTTTGCGCCTGCCGCTAAAGCTCATGACAATATACTGCAAAGCGAAAGAGGATGAGGATGCTGTAGCACGCGCAGGCACACCCAGGCGCAACCAGTATACGGACGCGCTGATGCCGTCGAAATCCGCAAGGCCGCTCGGTGAGGGCTCACCGTTTGGGAGATGCGTGGCCCAATGGCGATGATGACGACACGGTGCTCAGGGCAGGATGTCCAGGCGGGATGCAAGCACAGGGAGGTGGATTGTTGGGATGGGGGGAAAGGTGACAGGTTATGGGGCGGGCCGTGGATGATGGTCGAACATACCTTTGTTGTGTGGTGTGTTCGGGTAGAGAGTGAACTTGTGCAGTTGGTGATGCACAAGAAGGGTGAAGCGCGTAAAGGAAGGAGTCTTGTTTTGTTTTTGGTTGTTTGGTTGTTTGAGAAAGCAAGCCAGAGATTTTGGTTTTGGGTCTGGAGTGTTTTGTGTCGAAATTGGGGGAACGTCGAGAAGCGGGCGGGCGGTGGAATCACTCAACTTGGGAATGGCGCATGGTGCATGGCGCATGGTGCATCTACCAGCTTGAGCTACCTTACACTCTCTCAAGTCCTGATGCAGGCGCGGGGCTCAAGTCACGGTCACGGTTCATGGTTCGAGTTCCCATCGCCTCAACTTAGCATTGAACTTGGCACATATCCCCCCTGGGGACCAGTGAATCAGAACCGACCACTTACTGTGATTATGTATTGACAAAGCCACCACTGGGGCGTGTGCAGCTGGAACACACAGCTAGCAACAACAACAACCATAACCACATACGAACCTAACCTAGTCTACTACAAAGACATGACGGTAAAGCCTAAGAGAGAAACAATACGCAATCAAACACGGCCACAGCCACACCTTTCAAACCCCGACGTATTGCTGCTGAACAAACACATGGTCGCACATTATCACTCCTCGATTCATTGTATATTTCCTCTCTCTCTCTCATGCTGTGCTAACTCGACTACAGCAGTCGCAGTAGTTTTAGCTCGCACGGAGTTCGGCCTGCTCGCTTTACCCCTTTGTCTCGTATATCGATCAACTTTTCCTCCAGTTGCTACATGCCACTCTGCTAATTCCATTGAGTGTTCCTTTGTCACAGCCTACTAACGCCATAATCCCTTCACTCGCTCCCCAAGGCGCCATAGCGTTATCGTATTACCCACGTTTAAAGCAACCTGCTTGCCGTAGCAAACCCAATTGAGTGTCTGCTACAATTGCCACCAATGTTCTCCATTCACTATTTATACAGAACCGCATAGTAGACATAGGATACCTTACCCAACAACGACGGGGTTATCACTTCAACTTCAACGGTCATTCAGAAATCTTGTCATATATGCATCACATGTGCAGGTATTGTCCTCTCAGGCTTAGATACCAATCATTTCTAAAATCTCGACCGTGAAACACTCGGCACTCTAGATTGGGGGCGCGAGCCATGGGCCAATTATCCAGGGACTAGGCAGTATGAACTAGCTGAAAGACACCAGGATGATCATTGCGTACTCATTGTACATAAAGCTCCACGACTCAACGATGACTCGATGCCACTGGGATGCAAATCATATGCATATGCTGGGTCTCCCCATTTTCATATGATGGCTCCAGTTTGTCGGACTCAGACCGCGGATGGGGAGGAAGTGGGCTGCATTCCAAGAAGCCCAAACGACGTCATTGTACGCTTCCGAGTGGGAGCTGGCATTGGCGGAGACCTGACAAGACCTGGATGCATAACATTAAGAGCAAGGTCGTCTGTGATTGTGACACTCCCACGGTATCATCCACATATTTGCAGCCTGTGACTATGTCTCATGCCTTAAAAAAAATTTAATTTTATAAAATGGGGGGGTTTTTTTTCTTCATATATCCGTTAGATGCACTTTCCAACATGATTTCTGGCAAGAAAGCTTCGTGGCCATTAAGAGGAGCTAACCTATCCATCGGTTTTGTGGCTATGAGTTCCCCACCCTAATAACTTTATTCACTCGTATGTACAGTAAGGGGTCTTCAGATCTCGGCAACATGTATGAAACGCGTGTCTTTGGTTTTAATGAGCCTTTCTGTGGCTATCTTGAGTCACAATGTAATACCTGATATACTTCCCAAACCATGAGATTATAAACAGCATCTTGCATCTCGCATACCTTTCGTGAGGTGGGACACGGTAACTGTCAGCTGCTCGGTCTAAGCCGGCCCGCCGCGTTACGATATGGCCTGACGTCGTTGTTATGTGGCTCCACTTTCCGCCTGGGCAAGCTCCGTCATTCGCCGAGAGCTCCCAATGCTGCACGGTGCAAACCACAAAGCTCTGGTTGCTTCTCGTCAAGTGCCTCAAACTTCACAACATCATCTCGATTGAGACTCAAATCACGTAAGTCCGCTCCCCCCCATTCGCTCTTGTCAATCCGGTGTCGGGAAAAGCCAGCACCACCTGTCAATGATAAATCGGTTCCTTTCTTCCGCGGAGGTCGTTCTTACAAGAGAAAGCACGCTGATCTGAACCACTTTGTTTATAGCTTATCGAATACCGTCATAATGTATCGTCAAACACTTGCCAAGGTCCCCGCCAGCCGCCTGGCTGCCGTCCCTTCCTATAGGGCTTTCTCCATCACCTCCCGCGCATTCGCAGCCGGCGACACTGGCTCGTTCCGCAACACCGGCACCGGACAAGGGTAAGCGAATCAACACTCTCCCCTCGCTGGTCCATGCCCTTAACCCCCCGGAACGGAACGGACGGGAATTCGGTTTCCTCTTTCTGGTTGTTTGACGTGATTGCTGACTTGAATACCTCTCTCTCAACAGTGATGCTTTCCAGAAGCGCGAGAAGGCCAACGAAGATTATGCCATCCGAGAGCGCGAGAAGGAGAAGCTCCTCGAGCTCAGGAAGAAGCTCCACGAGCAGCAAAAGCACCTCAAGACTCTGAGCGATCACATGTGAGTTTTTTCTTTCTTTCCATCGCTAGACCCCTTCAATCCCTTGCAATTTGCCGAGAAGGGGAAAACAACTGGTCAAAATGGCGGAGAAACAAATCGTTTTTGCTGATTACATACATCCTGCAGTGATGAGCTCACCAAGGAGCAAGGCGGCGAGCGCAACTAAGACGATTGCTTCGAATTCGGCAAATATCCGAGCAACTGAGCGTGTGAGATATCAGGGGCAGAGGGCAACGGCTTTCTTGTTTGGGGCTATATCCCATTGTAGTGGAAGTCAGTCAAACTGTGGCTCCGGTGTACATATATAGCTATACTTGTGCGCTTATGCAGTGAATGAGCAGCGTTTGAATCAGAAAACCCGCTATTTCTGCTTACTTATGAATATCTCGAGAAGGTTCTGATATGATGTGATTTTGTGTGTTCATATGGTCTGAGCCATTCTTTTCAACCTTGGCCAAAGACTTCGTACAGACCGAGCCACAGCAGGAGCAAGTATGACAGCCTAGCTGCACCCTTGAAGAAGAAGATTGTAATTACAACCGTTTCAGAAAGGTGCAATGGCTAGTGTTCTGAGGATTCAACAGAGTGGATCATGTTCATGTGAGAAAACACAAGGTCACTGGTGTTCCTAGTCTCATGTCTATTATCCCCTTTCCGCATCGCGGGTTATGATGCGGCCTCCTTAATGATATGTACAATCATACATATTAGAACCAGCCGGAACTCCATGATGGACTTGCCACTTTGAGTAGCCGTTGTTCATCTCATACCATCCTTGGGCCAACTGCATATTTTGGCAAATCTATCATACAGCACCTTGTGACCTTATCTCCGGCCGCCCAGATAGGAGCGATAGAAGCTCTCGGCAGCGTCTTGTTCCTGGCCACCATATTGGTTGCCGATTGTTGCACCTGCTTTTTGTGCAGCGTTAACCTTGGCTTGTAATGCCGCAGCATTCGTGTCAATCCATTGAAGTTGAGCAAGGTGGTTGTTGAGCACACGGACGATTTGGCTCAGCTAGAATAGATCAGTTAGCATGTTGACCCGGGGGTGGGAGGAAAGCGAACAAGGCGAAACTTACAGGGTCATCAGGCTTGTTGCCCTTGCTGAGTGTACCTGAGATATCATTGATCTCCTTGATCATCTTGGAGAGGTCTCTACCCATCTCATCCAAGCGATCAGTGAGCTTCTCGGCCAACTTGTACGTCTTTTCGCGTTCCTGATCCGGACCAGCCAAAGTATCCGCCCGGCCGATATCGCGCGAGAACATTTGGTCGACCTCGGCCTCGTACTTATCCAGCCAGCCCTCAAGCTCGCCTTGTGAGTCTTCTAGGTTGGAGAGAACGCGTTCAACATCACGACTCGCCCTCTCGGCCTCATACGTGTTCAGATAGAGCTCTTGAATCTTGGCCCCATTTTCGACCAGTAGGCGATCCCACGCGGCCACTTGAGCAGCTTGCTCCTTGAATTCCTTTTGGTATTTGGAAAGATCGGTGGCCCACCGGGTAATGATCTCGTCCATGGTCTTGTTCTTCAGGCGGGCCAACTGCGATGTAGGCCCGGTGGTTGAGGCCCCCAAAGCAGCGGAAGCATTTGTTGTGCCAAGAGCATTGGCAGGCTTCGCACCTCCTAGGATAGAGCTGGTCGCTGTTGTTGCGGCACCAGTTGCAACAGGTTGTGCTGAACTAGTCGCAGGCTTAACACTGCCAAATGGCGATGGCTTTTCAGCTGCAGTCGTGGAAGGTGTTGTAGCGCTGGCGCCACCGAAAAGACCTCCAGCAGCCTTGGGCGCTTCAGTCGTAGGTGTCGTGACCGCAGGCTTGTTCACACCCCCAAAAAGTCCCCCGGTCGAAGGGGCTGTAGTTGCAGGAGTCGAGGATGCGGCGCCACCAAAGAGACCGGAAGACCCGCCAGCTGTAGTGATCGGGGCACTTGAACCAACAGCAGCGGCTGGCTTGGCTTGAGCAGAATCCGCCGGCTTGCTAAATAATGACGTTGCTGATGGTGCTGCTGATGCAGTAGGTTCCGTAGCAGGGGGCTTTGCATTTGAGAATAAAGAGCCTGCAGCAGCTGTAGTTGTGGGAGTGCTGCTCGACGCAGGAGTGCCTCCAGCATTACCGAACAAGCCGGGCCCGGTCTTGGGTGCCGCTGAGCTCTGGTTGCCGAACAAACCACCGCTTGCTGGCTTCAACTCCTCTTTTCTCTGAGCACCCATCGGGGGAAGTCCTGCTGGAGTCGTAGACTTCAGCCCGAACAAAGGCTTTGCAGGAGTTGCATTCGTGGCCGAGCCAGCCGGATTCGCTGAACCAAATAGGGATGTGGACGAGGTAGACGTGGCAGAAGCAGCAGGTGCACTCGTGGCCGGAGCTGTGCTTGCCGCACCGAAGAGGGAACTCGAAGCAGTATTTGCAGCTGCTGGGGCAGCAGGCGTAGTGCTGTTGGATCCAAATAGCGACGTAGTCGTGCCGGTCTTGGATGCACCACCAAAGAGACCGCCCGGCTGGGACGCTGGTGTGCTAGATTCTGGCGCCTTGTTACTAAACAGGCCCCCTGATGGGAAAGTGCCTGCGGTCGTGGACGTAGTGTTTACAGCGCTTGAGACTGGGGTCGTTTCGGCCGGTTTGTTGTTTCCAAACATTCCACCGGACGCAGGCTGCGTGCTTCCGCCTCCAAACAAACCACCGCTGGGGGCAGATTGAGCACCACTGCCGCCGCCGAATAGTCCGCCGCCTGTTGAAGTAGGGGTGCTCGCAGCGGGTGCCGGTGTGGTCGAGGCAGCGCCAAACAAGGGCTTCTGCTCTGCAGGCTTGGACGCTGTGTTACCGAATAGACCGCCGCCGCCAGTCGACGAGGGGGTTGAGCTGGGGTTTGCGTTTGCGTTGTTAAAAGAAAAGCCAGGAGTGTTTGTCGCTTGGCCAAAGAGACTGGTGGTGGTGGTGGCAGCAGGCTTGGACGATGACCCAAACAAAGAACCCGAGGCGGGCGCAGAGGAGGTGGCAGCGTTATTCGCCTGGCCAGCAGTGCTGGAGGGCGTACCGAAGGAAAAGGCCATGATGTGTTATTTGGCTTGCAGCTCAGGAATGCGTGTGAAGTCAAGTGGCGTCAAAAATAGAAATGATCGTTGGTCAAGTCTCACAGACTTCTCATCCTTACGTCGCTAGCTTCGTAGGAGAACTAGGGTTGGGTGCGATGAAGAAGCTATCGCGTGTCGAGTTTTTGCGAATCAGAACTGAGTTGAGACCGAATTGTGCCCAGAGAAATCAAGCAGCACAATTTCAACTGCCTGGCTCACAAGGATGGCAACTTTGGACTGAATTAATCACAGTAGTGGCGGCAGTAATACATAGTATTAGACCTGATCTTTTTGCAGACGAGCAGCAATGCTAAAGCTCTGGACTCAGACGCGCCTCAGAAATTTGGAGCACAGACCACTCCAGCCTTGCGAAGCTCAACTTTAAGTTGGTGGTAGCTGAATGTCCGTTGTATGTATTGTTCTTTCACCCAATCGCGCCTAGCGTACCTGCCGCTTTTATTTGGGCTCGGCTCAGTCAACTCCCAGTCACGTGCCGTACCAGCCGGAATTAACAAAACTCTATAGCATTATATGAAGAAAACTGTAACAGCCTGCGTACTGAGCTGGCGCAGCCCAGCCGTAACACTGGCGCTCACGGTACGCAGCGCGCACGACCCATTGGCTGGGCCGCTTGTAAAACTCTGTACGGCGAACGAGAATACTGTATTCTGGCAAGTATTGATCTTGACCGCAATAGACCCCTACGTTACACCCTCGCTGCTACTTAATATCGCTGCTCTATATATATTTATGACACTTAAATTTTTAGTGCGGGAATTTCTAAAGTAAGCAAATGTTTTCACAGGGCTGTATCTCCATACTTTTAGATTATTCATAGTTTATTAAAACCTGCAAGTGCCTTGTACGGATCCATTCATCACCCCTATCACGTGACACCTTCTGGAGGTGGAAAAACTTTAAACAAGGAAACTGTTACATGCGAAGCAGTGACACATGCTCACCGTCTAATCTCCATCCCATTTCCTTGCCACATTCTCCAGAATGACCGGGCCGGAAGACTCGCCATGTCGGATCCTGGTAATGGCCTCTGGCTTCGGCTCGAACTTCCAGGCTCTCATAGATGCTATATCTACGGGGCAGCTTCGAAATAGCCGCATCATTTCTCTCGTCACGAACCGGAGAAATGCACACGCAATTGTTCGAGCGGATGAAGCAGGTAGAGCTCTCCCATGCGCGTGTATACAGCATGCAACTAATTCAGGACCAGGCATTCCTTGGGATTACTTCAATCTAATCAGTAACGGGTTTTTGCCGAAGGGAGAAACAGACGAGCAGAAAGTAGCTGAAGGCCGTCAAAGATATGATGCTGCTTTGGCCGCGAGGATTCTATCTACTGATAAGGAAAGGCCTGAGTTGATTATTCTCGCTGGTTGGATGCATGTCTTCTCAACTGCTTTCCTAGAACCTATCCAAAGGGCAGGGGTGCGGATTATCAACATCCACCCGGCACTACCCCGTAAGTTCTAAATGACCATGCTGGGTCTGGCTACTCACAATTTGCACAGGGGAATTCGATGGAGCCATGGCGATCGAGCGAGCTTTCGCAGAGTTTAAGGCTGGGCGACTAACACGCACGGGTATTATGGCCCACTACGTAATTGATGAGGTGGATAGGGGTGCTCCTATCCTGGTCAAAGAGATTGAGTGGAAGGGGGAGGAGCTGGAAGAGTTGAAGGAGAGGATGCATATCCATGAGCACGAGCTGATCGTGAAGGCAACGGCGAAGGTGGTGCAGGAGATAGTGGAGGGCAGGGGAACGTAAGCACCGAGACGCCCCAAAATCGTTGGGCCGTAGGCATATGCCATTGCAACAACCTTCGTTATGAGATTAATATGCCCCGTATAGGAGAACGTGGTCTGAGATGTTGTCTGTGAGGTGGTGGTTGTGCATGTGTAATACTGGTTTCTGGTTTTTGGGGCCCTTATCCTTGGGCAGCACCAAAGCGGCCAAAGTGTATATGTCTGGCTGAGGTGTACACAAGCTATGAGTCCTTCCCAACGCCGATCGATAGATCCGTCGGCCACGCGATGATTACGGCACAAAACATAGCTCTTTCCTCTTGTCCAACGCGTCCCTATACGCCTTCACCTACGATTCAATAACCCATTCTGGTAGACCCGCATATTCAAGTGCTAATTTCGCCACAACCCTATATCTATAGAAAATTATTTTTGCTATACTGTGAGAAATGCATTTGATGTCTACCTTATGGAGACTGAATCCAGTTCAAATGCGAACCAGATTTCGGGAGAGGTAATTTAACTGGCGCCTAGGAAGTCATCTGCATGGACCCTTGGAGAAGGTTCGCGTTGAAGCAGTGTTGATCAAGATGGCCTGTTGAATGACTCCACAGGGGGGTCTTTTGAAGGATATCCAAGGGCCAGGGTCCTTGTGGAAATGACCGCCCAGAGAGCCATCTGCAAAGGAAATCTACAGTCCAGGTGTTGTATCGCACTCTATGCCGCCTAGTTGGTTACTATGACTTCTAAAGCACAGGGCGTATCTCAGGCTGGACCCCGGTCTGGCTCAGGCTTAAAGCAGCGTTGCTCAGGGTCCGGCTTTGGCACCAAGGTGGGCACAGACATTCCACTTCGCTGGTAGCCACGGTAGCTTAGCTACGGATGCGTGTGGAATACAGCGCGTACAGTACAGCTACCGGTATATATCCAAAGTGATTATGCTTGCTTCTGACTTGTATTAAATAAGCTGGCCGTCTGGGTACCACTGCACATCCATATTCCAAGAACTGTGCAAATGCAATGCGCTGGAAGCCCACGAGAGGCGAAATCGATAATTATTTATGAACAAGACAAACTACCATGGGCCGCTTGTTTAAGCTCACGTCGAATGATCTTTTGCAGGCAAACAGCGCAGCTGAATCGGACTCTGTTTTGAACTCCCAAGCATTTGGCATTTTGGCATATGGCCCTGAGGGCCAGGGTGCGTTGCTATCCAAAGTAGTCTAAGGCTATGTTAGTGCAGCTCTGAGTACAGGTGGGTGTCAAACACAGGCTCGGCAGGTTGCACCTCACTGTATGTAATATTTGTGTGATTGACTGGATGTAGACCTAACTAGTCTAGACTTTTCGATCAACGTCCAACCAATAAGTCACCAAATGAGAAACAATTCTCACGGAGCAACCGGCTGGAGTACATTGACGATCTTTGCAGTTTTGCCAGGTTTCTTTTGCTGTACCTCATTTCCTCCAAACACCTTGCCATACTGCGAAGGCATAGACGGGTCTGGACTTCGGGACCAAGTCCCACAGCGGAGCGCTTCGAGCGGGCTAGGCTAGGCTACTCCAAGTCCCTCAAGGCAAGACACAGGAGAGCAGCACGACGTCAGGGCTATCTATGCTCTCTCCGGCCAGTGTCACAATTTCTAATCTCTAGTTCTTAACCACACCAGCTGTTCAGCCCTGCCGCGACACAATCTCAAGCTCACTGCGACTACTTTGCAACATGTCGGACGACAGAAGGAGATCAGTAAGCCTTGATGCCCCTGAGCGCCGCGGCATTCAGGACCCTGGCGCACATGAATTGAGTATGTACTGGCTCGATTCAAACTGGTGATGCATCACCACGGGCGCAGAAAAGCAAAGCTGACAGCTATCAACCCAGCCTCCGACTCAGACGATCATTTCTCCGACGCTCAATCAGCTCGTGCAGAAACCCCTGCCGCGCCAGCTTCTCCCCTCCCCAAGTTGAGAGTGGAAAAGGTAGACGACGAGCCATCGTACGGCGAGGTACCAGGCACCGAGGCTTACGAGAAACGGACTGGTGATGCCACTCCTGACGAGATCGCCATCATCCCGGATTCTAACACGGATGCGGAACCAACGTCCCCAGCCGAGCCACACACGCCAGGCGGGCAACCTATTCCCAAGACTGTCGTCGACGAGACGGTCGATGCACCTGGTTCCAAGACGCATCATTTTAATCAAGACGTCCACAAAGCGGATGCTGCTCCGGATTATGTGAGAAAACCAGACGGTACCGGCGAGGCTAACCCTGTGCCCGCCTCGTTAGAAACCACTGGACAAGCACCTGGTACGACAGCCAAGTCCTCCTGAGTCTCCTCATCGATTGACCCTGTCCCCGCAGATGCTGCGCCTCTCTCTCCTTCTCTCAAATCACCGACAAAACACCGGAGGAAATCGTCGGCTGCAAGGTCAACCGATGGTGCATTAAGTCAGGGGAGCAATGAGGTCGACGACGGGGAGGATGATTTCGGTGGCGACGACTTTGACGAATTCGAAGAAGGTGATGAGGATGCCGACTTTGACGATTTTGACGATGGATTTCAAGAGGCCGAGGCGGAGACGCCAGCACCTACCCAGGTGGCTGCTCCGCCTTCCGTTTCTACACCCTCATTTGTGAGTCTATACACCCCCATGATGACTACGCTATCAATGCTGACCATGTTCTCTTCATAGCCTATATTAGACCTGGATGGTCTCGACTCCGAAGACATATTAGCCGCTACAGAGCCTTACCTGGACGCACTGTTTCCACCTGATCTTGCGGATTTACCAATACTACCCTCACCTCCCATGGAGAACCCTATTTTCTTTAACCCGCGAAGCGCATCTCTATGGTCACAGCTCGCAGCGCCGCCACCTCTTCAACCGCCGGACTGGATTCGGTCACGCATACGCAGACTGTTCCTAGTATCTCTAGGCGTGCCTGTGGACCTCGACGAGATACTGCCAGCATCCAAACAGAAGAAACTGGTGCTACCTTCTTTACATCGCGTCACATCAAATGGATCATTACGGGCATCAAGCGAGTCTCGTTCCGTGTCGCGGTTACGCAAAGAGGGCACCAATGATTCTACCGCTTCATTAGACTCACAAGGCAAGGAAAAACCACGCTCCCCCTCGAAGCGACGGAAGGGACCTGCACCCGAACCCGCTCTTGACCTCGTAGCAGCCAAGCAGTTTTGCACTACCACGGACGAGGCTCTGGGTGGTATGACGGACGAGGAACTACGAACCCATGTCAATAAGCTAGAGGAGATGGAGAACCTAGCTAAGGACGTCCTCGAGTACTGGAAGAAGAAGACAGACGAGAAGATCGGGGACAGAGAAGCATTTGAGGGTGTAATAGAGAACTTGGTCAAGCATGCTCGCAAGACAAGAAAATAGGTTTAATTATATGAGGGTCCCCAAGGTCCTTGATGCTACCTAGCAAGGACCACGAATTCCTTTCCATTCACCACCGGTTCGTCTGACATTTCTAAATCAGTCCAAATGAGAAAACAATAGTTTGCGGGTCTTTTCGCAGGGTCCAGTTCTAGAGTTCTAAATTTCATGCATTCGGAGTTCGGACTCAAATATGCTGATGGCCGTCGGCTCGGTGTATTTACTCGGGATTGCATTTGGGTAACTACGGCAAAGTGTCACGTAACATGAAAAGAAATTAGCGTCGATCAACATGGGCCATTGCTTGCAACACGAAGCGATCTAGACTAGACTTAACTTCTTGAGCATGTATGGAAATACGGCTACTGCACGATGAACTTTGACGTGCTTCCAGGTTTGTTCCAACATGACACTTCCTTGCTGTAAGTACATCGACCTTACTCTAGATGGGCTAACGCACCGGCTGCTCAAGGTGGAAGGAGGGGTAGATAAAATATGTTGGAACCTTTACTTGGGTGTTAAAGATTTAAAAATTAATTTCACCCCGCGATGCAACGTACTCTAAATCAGCTCATGGCGGGCCAGTTATGCCAATCCAGCTCGAGGCACACCGCTTGAGGCCCAGGATGCGCAGGATACTTGGCGCCATTGAAGCGCGGCTCGGCTACCGCGCCGGCGTGTAGCAGGGGTAGATGCATGAAGGCCGTGCCCGTGATAGGGATACATTTTTTTTTCCCTTCCCGTCGGCTGGCTCCAGTCCAACTGTTTGACTCTATTGCCCAGTGACGGTTGACAACGAGCACGAATAGGCGTGTTGTAATGCAAATCTAGGTTGTTTTTGGATGCACTGGGACCCTTTGCTTTGCCTGTCAGCCCCTCCTTCCTTCTTTCGGGGCCCCTCTTGTATTATTATCGTATTTCTATTTGTATAGTGCTTCACCTTCCTCACCTGTTCCCCATGACGCTCCGTCAACTTAGCCGCCTGGAGTCTATTTCCAGAGTCTCCCTAGCAACTACAGCGCTGCAGTGTACGAAGAGATACCCGCGCACGGCAGTGATCGCTGCTTCGAAGCATTTAAGAAATTTCCAAACAGAGTCGGCCTCAATTGCACTTAGGCGAGTTCAATCCTTCAAAGCAGCACCTTCCCAGCTCGGCAGGCGGCGGGACTAACTCGAAGACCTTATTATGTAGTCGGACCCCACGTCCCCTCAGTGCCGCCACTATTACCACCACCACCACTACTACCACTGCCACTTCACTTCTTACTTCAGCTGCTTCACATCGACCTTTGCTTTCTTCCTTGGACCACACCCGGATCCACAATCGTAGAAACCCTCCCGTCAGACATTGTTCCTACCGAAGGCAAAACAGCATGTGCAGACTTGCCGGCGGCGATATCGAGCACACGGGCGGTGCAAACCCGGATCCTACCCAGGGTCGCGAACTCTTGCCCACCAATGTCATCCCGAAACACTACCACGTAACACTAGAGCCCGATTTTGAGAAGTTCACATTCAAGGGAACCGTCTCTATCGAGTTCGATGTTAAGGAAGAGAGCAAATCAGTTTCACTGCATTCGCTGGAGATCGACATCCACAGCGCCCACATCAAGGACGGTGACAAGATCGTGACGTAAGTGGAATTCGGTTTAAATTGACATAGCCGTTCTGTTGTATGCTAATGCTAGTACACAGCTCCTCATCCGCGATCACATACGATGAGTCCAAGCAGGTTTCCAAGATCGACCTAAAGGATGCGCTGCCTGCGGGCGGCAATGCCACTCTGGAGGTCAAGTTCACTGGCCAGCTTAACGACCAGATGGCCGGTTTCTACCGTTCAACATACAAGAAGCCTGACGGGACCGAGGGTATTCTGGCCACAAGTCAGATGGAGGCCAACGATTGCCGCCGTGCGTTCCCATGCTTCGACGAGCCTCTGCACAAGGCCCTTTTCACCGTCACCCTCATTGCAGACAAGCACCTCACGTGTTTGAGCAACATGGATGTTGAATCTGAGTCTGAGGTCACCTCGGAATTCACTGGCGCAACCAAGAAGGCTGTCAAATTCAACCCCACTCCGTTGATGTCTACTTACCTGGTCGCCTTCATCATCGGCGAACTGAACTACATTGAGACCAAGAAATTCCGAGTACCGATCCGAGTCTATGCCCCGCCGAGCTCAGACATTGAGCATGGTCAATTCTCCCTCGAACTTGCTGCTCGAACTCTCGAGTACTACGAGAAGATCTTCGGTGCCGAATTTCCTCTACCCAAGATGGACATGGTTGCCATTCCAGATTTTGCTGCCGGAGCCATGGAGAACTGGGGTCTTATCACCTACCGAGTTGTTGATCTCCTCTATGACGAGAAGACAAGCGGTGCAGCTATGAAGGAGCGAGTCGCCGAGGTCGTGCAACACGAGTTGGCCCACCAGTGGTTCGGAAACTTGGTCACCATGGACTGGTGGGAGGGTCTCTGGCTCAATGAGGGTTTCGCAACATTGATGAGCTGGCTGAGCTGCAACTACTTCTACCCTGAATGGAAGGTTTGGGAGAACTATGTTACAGACAACCTACAGAGCGCTCTGGGACTGGACTCGCTTCGCAGCAGTCATCCTATTGAGGTTCCCGTCAAGCGCGCTAGCGAAGTCGATCAGATTTTCGACGCCATCTCGTACTCGAAAGGGTCATGTGTCCTTCGTATGATCTCCACCTATCTTGGAGAGGAGATTTTCTTGGATGGTGTGAGACGTTACATCAAGAAGCACGCCTACGGCAATACTCGGACGGAGGACCTGTGGGCAGCTCTTGAGGAGGCCAGTGGCAAGCCTGTCAAGGACATCATGTCGATTTGGACCAAGAACGTCGGTTACCCTGTCGTACAAGTCACGGAGAACGATGACAAATCAATCCACGTCAAGCAGAACCGTTTCCTAAGGACGGGTGACGTGAAGCCAGAAGAGGATCAGGTCTTGTATCCTGTCTTCCTGGGCCTGCGGACAAAGGATGGCATCGACGAGGAGATTACGCTATCCAAGAGGGAAGACAACTTCCCAGTGAATGATCTGGACTTCTTCAAACTCAATGCCAACCACACCAGCATCTACCGAACCTCATACTCCCCCGAGCGTCTCAAGAAGCTTGGTGAGGCTGCCAAACAAGGCCTGTTGAGCGTCGAGGATCGTGCTGGTATGATCGCCGACGCCGGAGCTCTGGCTGTCTCGGGGTATCAGAAGACATCTGGAGTGTTGAACCTGCTGAAGGGATTCGACACTGAAGACTCCTTCGTGGTTTGGAGCGAGATCATTGCCCGTGTGGCTACAGTCCAGTCCGCTTGGACCTTTGAGGACAAGTCAGTGAAGGACGGTCTTGAGGCTTTCGTCAAAGACCTTGTCAGTGAGAGAGCCCACAAGCTCGGATGGAACTTTAGCGACAAGGATGGCCACGTTGAGCAACAGTTCAAGGCCATGGTCTTCGGTGCCGCTGGCATGGCTGGTGACAAACAAATCGTCACCGCTGCCAAAGATATGTTCAGCAAGTACGCGGCTGGTGATAAGTCGGCTATTCACCCAAATATCCGTGGGAGTGTCTTCGGCATGGCCTTGAAGTATGGTGGAAAAGAGGAGTACGAAGCAATTCTGGGCTTATTCAGGAACTCTACCAACAGTGACGAGCGCAACACAGCTCTGCGAAGCTTGGGTCGCGCCAAGGACCCCGAATTGATTCAGCGCACCCTTGACATCATCCTTTCAGGCGAAGTCAAGAGTCAAGACTTGTACCTTCCTGCAAGCGGTCTTCGCACCCACACCGAGGGTATCGAGGCTCTGTTCAAGTGGATGACGGACAAGTGGCCCGATCTCTCCAAGCGTCTGAATGGCAATGCCAACATTCTTGGCAGTATGGTCACTATCTGCACCAGCAGCTTCGCCAAGCAGGAGCAACTTGACAAGGTTGATGCTTTCTTCAAGGATATCGACACTAAGATGTTTGTCCAGCCCCTTGCCCAAAGCAAGGATGCGATCAGGAGTAAGATCGCGTGGGTGGGCCGTGATCGGGATGATGTCGCTGCCTGGGTCAAGGATAACGGGTACTGACTGAGCAAAGCTCAGCTGTAACGCAATGCAATAAGCAGTGTAAGCGCTATGCTCTTCACTGACGTGAACGAGAATTGGGAAATTGGCATATTGCCCGGTACGGAAACAGAGATGAAGACATCCGAACAATTGCATGTCCGTATTGAGTCTGCATATCCAGATGCAGGCCATATCCCGAGCAAATAGAGTGGGCAAGATTCAAATCATGGGGGAAATAGTAAAATTCCAGATACCATCTCTACTTCTACAGTTTTTCGGATGCTGGTGCAATGTTTGCCCTCTCAATCGTCGCCCCGCTTGGTTCGTGTGAGTAAGTTATTAGTCAAAAGGTGTGAAGCGGCTCAATTGACACTGCTTTCTCGGCTTCTACAACCATTAACACGGTTATAAATATATGCAACAAGAGCAAATATTATGAGCATCTTACAACTTACACAACAGTTATCGAGTGGAAAATCGGCCTAGTTCATATGAGCAGCTAGATCGAAGGGCTGTTGGAGTTGCGCCTGGGCAATGGACTATAATTTAATTGGCCGGGAAAGCTGGGTTTTGATTCGACCACGCCATTTTAATCACCGGGGATGATCGGGATGTGATTCTAGATAAACGCTTAAGAGTCTCGTACTTTTGTGATTCACGGATGCGGCCGACCACCTTACACGACCGGGCCACAAACTTTTCAAGGTGCACACCAGTGACACACGGTCAGGATCAACAAAAACAATTCCAGAGGGATGGGGGTTTGCCTGAAACAACAGCGTCCCTCCTCCCTCGTCCCACGGATCTTCTTCCTTTACCTGGAGCTGGTGATGATTACCGACGGCATCACAATAACCTACGCCAACCGCCTTCCTGGCCTTCACTCCCTCGGGTCCCGGTCGACGTCCCGTCCATCTTTTGCATTTGCCTCTTCAGCATGCTGCTGTCCAGCCCCGCCAAACAAGCGCCTGCTGCAGCTGCACATCGGCGCCCTGGTGCTGCCGACCTCACGCACTGGTACCTCATCGCCGTTGCCATGGCAGTTAGGCACCGTGGTGAACTAGGCGATTCAATACTCGTCAAAAGTTTCAATGTGGTCTTCCCCTGTATTCACAGGCATAGCCAGAGTTCACGCAGCTAGTCTAGGGAATTCGAGCACCTACAAGTGTGAGTTTGGTCGCCCATTATATCCCGTATTATATCCTCGCTCTATAATCATGGTAATTACTAACATCTAGTGACCTTCAAGGCCATGCAGCATTACACCACTGAGGCCCACTAGTAAGAAGTTATAGTCATTGTGGATCTTCGGGCCTACCAATTGATAACTATCGATACCTCTGCAGCAAGTGCCGGGAAAGAGGACTTGACACTCGAATACAGTATCCAACCATATTTGAGAGTTTGGGAATAATTAGCAAAAAGCTCGGAAAAATCCAGGTGTCAAAGCCAGCCGCCGAAGTCAGAAGAGCTGGGCCGTGGTTTATATTCCAAATATATCATGGTAGACAAGAGCAAATCACAACCTAACGAATTCGCAAGGACAGCTTGACAGCCGGCACTTTTATCCTATGGGCAAGCTAGATGGAACTGAAAACGAGCACATCTAGTAACTCTGATCTAGGATCTCAAAAGCATTTAATATGATATGTTTCGTTGGAAAATATGGAACATACTAGTCTCCACGATCGAGCCAATAATCTACATGTGTGACAAGGTAACACTATACTGTAGCTCCAGAAATATAGTGCTTTTAATCGCTGGTCCACAAAAAGTTGGACCTCGGAACAAGCTCCCTAGACTAGCTTACCGTGGGGTAAATAGCATGCATCGCCAGCCATTACGTCGTTTGAGCCTCACTCTTATTTGATTTGGATAATCCTCAACGCTTACTAGGACGTCTCCAGGCGCGATTACACCGACCATGGCGGCGAAGTCAAGCGCCATACTCCGGCGGGCTCTTCTATATGGTATGGTGATCTCTCCATGCCTCAATTGGCAATCGCGGCGCACGCCTCGCATGTTTCGATTGAAGCTCGCCAAAACACTGGGAGTCACGCGGGCTGACACATGACAAACAGTCCCATCGTCCTCTCCACGAATGCTCACGAAATCCCTCTCCCTCAAGTCCGACAACGTGACGTACGACCTCGAAGACTCCGTGACCCCCAACGCCAAGCCCGAAGCGCGGCGCGCCCTCCGGGAGCACCTGTCCCAGCTGTCGTCGCGGCCGCCGTCCATCTCCGAGCTCGCGATCCGCATAAACGCCATCTCGACGCCGCACGCGCTCGAGGACCTGACCTCGCTCGCACCGCTGCCGCGCCTCGACGCCATCGTGATCCCCAAGGTCAACTCGGCCTCGGACCTCACGTTCGCGACCGACGCGCTGCGGCATCTGGCGCCGGAGCGCCATGCCCCGGGCGGCGGGAGCCCCGTGAAGCTGATCGCGCTGATCGAGTCGGCGCAGGCCATCATGAACCTGCGTGAGATCTGCTCTGCCTCGCCCTACCTCTCCGGGCTCATCTTCGCTGCCGAGGACTTTGCGTTGGATCTGAGCATTACGCGGACCCCGTCGCTGTCCGAGTTCCTATATGCGCGGTCCGCGATTGCTACGGCGGCGCGCGCGGCCGAATTGCCGAGTACCATTGATCTGGTATGCACGTCCTACAAGGGCGAGGAAGGACTCAAGAGGCTAGAGGAGGAATGTCAAGGCGGAAAAGCCATGGGTTTTAACGGGAAGCAGTGCATACACCCTTCGCAAGTGGAGACAGTGCAGCGGTTGTTTGCACCGGGGGATAAAGAGGTTGAGTGGGCGGTGCGGGTCGTGATTGCGGACGAGAAGGCGGCAAATGCCGGCAGAGGCGCCTGGACGCTGGATGGTGCCATGATTGATGCGCCGGTCGTGGGTAAGGCGAGAGCGATTGTCACCAAGGCTGAGGCTTGCGAAATAGATGTTACGAGCATAAGAGAAAAATGGAAAGAACAGGAGCCCGAATAAGCCGTGTCCCTAGTTTTCATGTCCTATGTACGTATGTTCAACCGACGAACTCTGTCATGTCTTACCAGGCGTCTAGCTCGTTATGTTATATCCATCAAAATTGCATGAACTGATTCGGTCGCCAAAACGTCGACATTTCATACCTTTCCTCTTCAAGGTCATCCACATGTTGCATGTCTCTCGGTACCTGCACTCTTATGGGCGCGAAACGACTCGTTTCATCACAAATAGCCTCCAGGCCTGTGGATTCGCCACATTCTAGATCATGTTGCCACCCACTGTTACCAAAGCCCGAGTTCAGGCGAATATCCTCCTCTTCAGCAGTGTGATGACTCTCGATTGTGCTGTAGCCCTGATAAGTAATACTGGGATGTGTATCCCTCGGCTGTTCATAGCTTGGATTTTCGATACTCGTCATGGCTTCTTCCGTGTATTGGCATGCTGGTTTGTCTTGGATTTCATGTTCAATTCTGGCGATATAGTCTGCCATTGTCTCTACCTTTCCAGGTAGCGGGTATGTTGATGATATGCTTTGTTTATGGTTAGTTGATGTTGTTGCTTGTCCTGTGTATAATGGTCTGGAGCTATCCCTTGAAGCATTTATGCTTTGTAAGGTCATACTTGTAGACGGAGTCACAGGGCGAGGAAGCCATGAAGCCGGTTGAATGTCTGAAAAGGCACTCTCATTGACAGGCATACAAGTCGTACAACAGGCACAATCTGTCGTAGAAGTACAGAGAGAAGTCTTGGCTTGAGTCTTGAACTGGTCTATCATCTTGTGGACTGCTGATATTTCTGCTTCGGCAGGGATATGTCTGTTTGTTGGAGGTGTTAATTCCATATGATCAGATGGTATGATCACAGTTGGCGCAGAAAGAATCGGAGGAAGTGGAGGAGGTGGCATGATGTCCCGAGATGCTACAGACGCCTTCTCGGCTGAACTCGACGATTGTATGTCTGAACGTCGTACATTGTTTGTCATATCGCTGAGAATGCAATGGGAATCTATCTTGCTTGGTATTTCACTTGATAGCCGTCGGCCAAGGCAGTTCTCTGCAGACCCTCTCAATCGCTCAAATTTGATACTTTTGTCGCCAGGTAGCTGAGTCTCCGGGTCTTCTCTCCTTGGATCGCTCATAGCTTGGCTGGTATGATTGTGATGACGGGGCAAACCCTCAACAAGGACATTGAAGCTATTTTTTGCTTTGCTTCCTTGTTGAGAACAACTTTGCCATTTTGGTGTAAAAGTCGCCTGCCAGCGCGCCATCAGTGACCGTGACGGATCTTCTGGGATTGTCGAGGTGCAATTTGGCCCTACACAATGACCTGAATCCGCTTTGTTTCCGATGTCAGTGGTCATTACAACTTTAGAGCTAATAGATTCAGCGCTCTCGTCTTGAATAGCCACATTGGCGGACTCATCATCATATCCAGAGATCCCGGTACCCTTGAAAATGCCAGTATCAACTAGTAGTTTTCGTATCGAGTCTGGAATATTGTTCTGTCGTATGGAGCTGCAGGAAGAAGTTAGAGACACTTGTCTCTCGGACTGGAATGGTGATCGGGTCGGACTTCTAGACCAGGTAAAATAGGTTGTTGTTTTACTAGCTTTGCTAGACTCTTGGCTCACGTTAGGGGCGCTGCGTACCGAACTCCCATCGGCATGGTCATAAGACCGCGATGATATCGCACCAGCATTAAGGAAAGTGTGTGGATAAATGGAGGCCTCGAGTGTATCTTGATCAGATTGACGGCCAAAACACTGTTCGGGAATTGCTCCGGGCACCCTCCCGCCCGCTATCAGTTCTCCCGGGCCTTGTTGGAGGATATGGTTATTTGAAGATGGCTTTTCCGGTAAGAAGAACGCCGAGATTTCTTCAATTTCTTTGTTCTGTCTTTCTAGCTCCTGTAGACGACGCTTAGACAGCTGCTTTGACGCTATATCTTGCTTCTTTTCTTGCAAAAACCGCATGTTGGAGAATGACAAATCACCGACTATTACCTATTATTCAATGTCCAGTAGGATTAAGTTCTCAGGACGTACCAGGTTTTATAGTGGCGTGGCGACCGTTCTTGAAAAGGCCAGGTCTCAGGGACTGGGGCATCTGAAGTCAAGTCAGCTCTTGTCAAGAAGTCCAGTGGGGAATAGGGATGACTTGCAGTGACACGTTCCCGTAGCACAACATCAGAATTGAAGTTTTTCATGACGTTCCTACTGGAGTGCAAAACTTTCTTCTTGTCTTCGTTCCTACGCTTTTTTGACGTGTGATGTGTCATATCGGCTCCATATGTCTTATGTTTGTGGGTTTCCTTTCTCGTATCGTATTTGTCTTTTCTAGTCTTGTACCTTGGTCTCCTTTCGAAGTAAACATATTCAGGGGTTGATGGTTGCTGGTGAGATGAATTATCATCACTTGCCACAGGTTTCTTTCGCACATCCCGCTGTTGCGTTTCATCATTCACATTCTGTTGTATTGAAAGCGGATCCGAAGTAGATGCTCTGTGATGTTGAGCGACACTGAGCAATGAACTATCATCTGAGATGTAGCGTTTCTTGCGTTGGTATCCAAGGCGGCTACGAGTAGCTGTAATAGGTGCAAACAAATCCTTGTTTCCGGATACCAAATGTTGAGGTTGCCATGAAGTTCCCCTGCGATACGATGACTCCCTCCAGATTTCGTCACCATAATCCTGGCTGGATTGTTTATGATGGGCGTTTGAATGATTTGCAACACCTACGGATCTTGCTGCAGTGTCAAGTCGCGGAATATTTGTGTTGGCAAGCCAATTTTGCACGAAATCATTGCTGGAAATTCTTTCTGAAGCTCGGTTCTGCTTGGTTGCTGTTGTGGCTCTATGACCCTCTGCTCTTACGTCGCGTTTCATATAGCCTTTGTCATGGGGGTCCTCATCGCACTCCATATTATCGATACCATGGCCCCGATGATGGTGTGTAAGTCGAACAACATGGGCAGCTTTAGACGAGTCATGATGACCCATAGCTCGGGCTTGATTGAAACAGGACAGGTGTAGAACAAGGTTAAGCTTTGTGCATCAAACGTGAAGCGCTTGTCATTTCTCCTAAGCGTTACGAAGACGCCTCGTACTTGCGGGGAACGATCCGCGATAAGAGCAATCCAAGTTCGAGGATCTGCTTGATGCATGTCGGAACAGATGTCGTTGGGATTGTCTCCACATGCGGCTAACATGGTCAGGGCATAACCCAGGATCGTGGTTTCCCTTGTCCATATCACGATGTGGTGACAGGCATGCAGAATTAGCGTTCCATTCGGCAAATAACTCCGAGAGGCTCTTGCCGAACCACGATCGATCAATCCCCTGGCCTTGTGAGTGGTCCTGAGCTGGGGTAGGAGGAGATATCCGCAAGTACATACCATCATATTGAAGCCTGACTTAAAGGTCCACCTGTGATTGGTGTCAGGAATGACAGCGCTTGGCTGATGGACAAATTGTTTGAGCACTTTTCTTTTTTTATTATTCCCTTTTTCGCGTCTCTGACCTTCCTTGAGATTAGTGAATCTGTTGATTTATGTATTGAACGCTAGGTGCATATTGTATCGCTTGGTCTACATGCAACGTTGGCAAGTAAAAAAAATTAAAAATTAAAACATCTTAGAGATGTCCTCCTGAGGTCTTAAAGTTGTTATGCAAGCAAACCACGTAACGCAAGCCCCCGCTCCATGAGCAACTTTTCTAGGAGATCTACTAGTCTAGCCAAAAGTTTGAATAAGGACGAGCTGCCTGGATTGGTCCCATTCGGGAAATCTGACACAGTTGACAACCCCTGTCACTATTTATAGTTGACTGACGTTTGGCTTGTGGCCAGCAGCACTAGTCCCAAAACTTTACCATATTTGGGTGCTTGGCTGTCATGAGGCTCTCATGACACACAGACTCCTGTCGCCGTGCATCCCTTGGCAATGGGACTTCTACCGATGGTGCTGTTCTACCTACAGAGCCGCATAAGGTATGAATATTACCCAGCCACGCAGGTCATGTGGGTCCAATCACCAAAAACACCCCAAGGCTGCCTCAAGATATCGCTCACCCATAACGACCAAGCCAGTCGTTCGTGAATCTATGGCGCGAAAAGCATCATCTGAACTTTGCCAGTGTATAGACCAACCTAGCTTCAAAACTGATACGTTAGAGAGTCCTGTTGGAGAATGGCTCACAGACGATCGTGGCCCAAGCTGTGTCAAACTAGTAGCTTTACCCGAGACGCAGTCCTGACAATCCAGTTCTCATCTTGGAGTTTACTATTCTTGTGATGCCATACCCATGCCCCGTGTATTCTTGAAATTAGAACTCACCGAATCAAGATTGCAACAAGGTTCCAATAGAACCCCAACTACATAGAGTGTAACCTCAGTATTGCTGGAAATGGTAGCGATCTCTTAACAACGATGTATATTGGCTCATGTAGGGCGCAATGGGTGTGATGCCGTTTGGCACGTTTCAGCCCTCCGAGTTCAAATACCAACTTCAATAGCTTACCAGTACTTGATTGGACAAGGCGAAACGAATGTATAGGCGTAAGCTATTACTTCAGCAGTAGTCGTTGTCGTCCAGTAGCTGCTCATTTTCATCATCCGGCTTTCCACCGAGTATGGGTTACTTCACAAATGGATGCGTGCCGGAGTACCACTTCATGAGGGTCGACTGCAATTAGAGTCTCGTACACTTGCCCTGCCATACTTTAGCTTTAAAAAAGCTTCATCATTCTTGGAACACATCTTGTGTCGAATTGAGCCGAGATCTTTCAAGCTCCTCACTCGTGAACCACCTCGCAAATTCATCCGAAGTCTAGAAAGTCCACGTCCCTAAACAGGGCCTCAGCCCCAGCTCGGGCACCCACACTGCCACACTTAGCCAACCCATACTATGATGTAGAATCACGTCGCGCTAGGAATAAGCAGATTGATTGGGGATTGATTTGGTGCTGGAGTGTCATTTCTGTGGATGGTTCAATAAAAGCCTCCCAATCTAGCCTCGGTGTTAATGGTACTAGCAGACCAGCCTATATCGACTCATTTTGTCGAATAAGGCCCAGATGCCGTAGTATATTCGATACTAATCCTATCTATCGGTTGGGGCCCTTCGACAAACCCGGTGTAAGCCCGCGCATGCGGCCCCTTTTAAGAGCCACTAATTAGAGCTCGACTTGCTGTATGTATCCAACAGCGTCTCACTCACAGAATGCGATGCGCGCGGAGGACATCCCTGTCGGTTTCGCATCTTGCAAGGACACCCTGTTCATTACGAACATTTGCTCGATATGTCCCTCAAAGACCGCCGATCCTCGGGTGTCTGGTGGGGTGGTTTCTTCATGAGTTGAGAGTCGATGGTGAGGGGTTTCAATGGCTGAGCGACTTTCAAAGTCCACTTCAGGATCGATGAGCACGCGGCCCTGGGACTCTGTCATGCCCCATGCTTGCCCATGCCTGCCACGTTCCTGGGCCAGTCTGTGTCAAGCCCTGCCTGCAAACGAAGACCCCACCAGTGACGCCAAAGCAATAAGTAGCTGTACTATGTACGGCGCTAGTTCCCGTCGCCAGAACGGACTTGTTCCTGGGTAAGGGCATCTGTAAGCTGTCAATCATCAATGTCTACCAGTATCATGCCGGGGATGAGACCATGCAGTATGCGCATCTTCAGGGGAAGCCAAGAAATACACTAGTTCAAAAGACGCCTTTCGTACAGTAGCTGCATCCCATCGCTGGATGGTTCTGTCGTAAGGCCGAAACTATCCACCATACCTCATATACCAAAAGCACCTTCAACAACATCTAGTCTAGACTAAGGTTGAAGCAATGTCGATTTAGCTGCTACAGTACAAAAAGGCCCAGATCAAGGACAATGGGCTGTAGTGAGACTATCGCATTGTCTAAAGTGTTTTTGATGCGGCAGGAACAACGTCAAGATTTCGCTGTCGACCATCAAACCAAAATCGAGTTTCTCTGACGATACTTTCCCATAGTGACATATTTTCTCATGCGCTTTCATCTTTGATCTGACAAGTTGGTTCAGTAAGTACCAGAGGTGGGTAAGATGAGTGGGCTCTGCGGAGTCCTCGGGGGTGTTTGAGCCAATTGCTATGCAGGCATAGTGTTTGAAATCCCATTTATCCAAGACTCGTCAGGCTGCTGGCAGCACAAACACTCCTCGGCAATAGCTGTCCTTTTCAAGCTCCAAGTAGTGCTTCAGCATTGTGTCTTCGCTGTCCATCTACCTAGTGTTTCTTTTTTGTGGAGATATGTTCGACTCTCTGTACCCCAGCGCAATGGGGCACCGTTTACATTGTCTGTGTAATGCCTGTTTGGAGGACCTACCCCGGCTGGGACACACACGCCAGCCAAAACGCTGAGTGGTGGTCGTTGACCGACGCCCGTGTGTACAAGATACCAGCGCTTTCAGTTTGTCAAGGCATCCTGGGTGTGGTCAGGAGTCTCGAGGGAAGCATATATATCAGACGGGATCGAAGCCATGGATTGCCCTCTAATATCCGTCACGCTTCGACCGAGCTTTGCAAACCAGTTCGAAGACACTTTTAGCATCTTGATTCCGGACTACAAACAGCATACGTGCCGATCTATAAACCCCACTACCTCTACTTCCAAGGACAGCGTCATTTCGCCTCTGTCTCCGTTCAACTCTTCTACCCGTCCCCGCCGGAGTATCATTGTTCGCCTCAGTTCGTGGAATCTGACTTACGGCCGTCACGTTTGCGCATCCGTCTTTCCGCCATAAGCACTACCACATATAGTACGCATTTGTCGACGCTACCACCATTAGCTGCAACGTTTGTAAGTCATTTTGTCTTATATGGCGTGCTTATACATCCCTTGGAAGAAGCAGTGCAGTTGGTCGACAGGGCTATACGTTTGATGTTGGACTTGAAGCTTCATCGACAACTTGCCCTGAACTGGCTTGGAATATATATTTTTGAGTCTAGGTTGCTCAAGCGCCTATCTACTTGGCCACATAGTGATATTGATTTGCTTGGCCCATTGCTAATCATGTGTGGAAAGTCCACTAGTCCTACCAGTCACGACACCAACAGCAGATATGTCGAAGCTTTTTATTGGGTGGGCATGCACTCACTTCACCAAGTATCATACTGTTCTACGTGCTAATCATTTATACGCGTGCAGAGGCCTTGCGTGGCACACTGAGGATGTCACATTGAGACAGAAATTTGAGGAGTTTGGTCCTGTTGAGGAGGCGGTATGACACCCTGGCTTTCTATATCTTGCCCTTGAAGAGCCTCTTGTTGTTGTCCCCGCACATGAAGAGGGAGGTTCTACAGACACAAGGCTGACCTAGGTTCTTTAGGTCGTGGTCAAGGACCGTGACACCGGTCGTAGCAGAGGTTTTGGATTTGTTCGTTACACCCAAGAAGACCACGCGCAAAGAGCCATTGCTACGATGAACAATGTTGAGTGAGAAACGGTGTCCCTGTTTCTAAAGAAGAGTTTTCTGACGACCACTAGGTTTGACGGGAGGACTATTCGTGTTGACAGAGCTTCCGACACTGGGCCACGGGGTGGTGCTGGAGGATTCAGCGGCCGCGGATCGTACCCAGCGGCAGGGGGTTATGGAACACCTTACGGTGCTCAGCCTGTTCCTGGGTATGGCATGCCTGCTCAGCAGATGTATGCGCCTGCGTATGGTCGCGGAGCCTACCCACCGCAACAAGCTGCCTACGGACAAGCTGCCCCACAAGGTAGATGAATACGCTGGATAGTAATGTATATCATTGGAAAAGCTGACCTGTTGAAGGGTATCCGGTTCAGGCACCTTATGGCTATGCAGACCACCAGCAACAGCAACAGCAGCAGGGTCCGCCGCCTCCAGGTCAGCCACCTCATTATTGAGCTCCCTCTGCAAATTTGTTCCATTCGACTTTACCTCGTACGACCTATGCAACGGGTCTCTGACGACTTTTCAGTCATCAGTGTGTATCACGCCATGTACTGATCTGCTGATTGGGGGTTCATGAATCAGGTAACGCGAGCAAAACTTGACGTGGTTTTCAATATCTCAGCTTTCTTTTTCTACTACATATCAGCTTGATCTGGATTGGGGGACTTTCCCTCAACGAGCTGTTGGAAATAATGAAGAGTATTTCCATTTCACAGTCATTAGGCGGCTTGTTTTACCTTCTAGGATTTATCATACCCACATTTGGGCCATGGTTTTTTATAACCAAGACACGATCTTTACTTACGACGTACATGAGTGTCAAAGGAGGATGTTGTGGCACATGGAAGTACACCTCATCACGTGTGGACGTACTCGCCGGCGTAAACATGCTCTAGCCAAGTGTCTCATTGGACTGGCAAGACTGACTTGCGAGGAAGTCGATAGCATGCATAAGGGGTCGAATAAAAAGCATAACAGCAAAATCTGTGAATCGTCCACTCTGTCATCCACGTGTTTGTAGATCCCAGGTGACACCAGAGACTAGTCTATTATGCTTTCTCGGTCTCTTCCTGCTCATCTACACTGCTGACTCTGCGAAATTCATGTGAAGGCGAATTGGGCTCATCGACCTCACTCCGGCTCTTCAGTCCTGCTTCAACGTCCCGGAGTCTATTGGATAGGTCTGTGACATGTTCGTCACCGCTTTCCGGGCTCAACTCATTCAGAGCCTTCTCCAAACCCAACAAGTAATCTCGATTCAGGCCACTCGGCCCCTCACTCTTCGAAATATGCTCTGCCAGCTGCTGCGGATCCTGTGGCCCCGTGAACTGGTCATTATCTGGCGTGCCGATGTACACCAGCGTCTTGATATTAGCGGATCCATCGGCGGGGTGAAAAGGCGTATAATGGATCGTGTACCCATTGATTTCCCGGATGTCCAGGTAATCTTTTACTTCCGCTACGTGCGAAGCCTCAATCCGGTATGCGACGCCCCATACTTTGTCTGGCGCCGAGGCATGTGCGTCGACAAGTGAGGACCAGAAAGAGCGCTCAATAAGCGTCACGACACGACCAGGAGCCTCAGGTGTGCCGCGATGGTCTTGGCTGTGATCGTGAGGTTAGTCAGGCTAATCTTATGGCTGAGATCCCAGACGTAATAAAGTTTGAGTGTACCTTGCCTGATGCCAAAAGTCAGCCAGTCTGCAGCCTTTGATCAACACCAATTTCTTTTTTACTCACTTGCCAGAACCTCCTCACGTATCCCGTGACCCAACCAGGAATCCGACGGTCTGTGTTGAGAGGTATGAGTATTATGAGTTGTATTCGTGAAAAGGACAACCGCGAAATGAACTAACCGAAATGTGGCGGAGGTTTCCATATCAGACTTCTGTATAGAGATATCAGCAATGCTGGGCACTGCCGTTGGAGTGAGTACTCTCAAGAGCATAGAACAACAACGAACCCGTAACCGAACAACCAGAACTCATCGGCACTGCCGTTGACGTCGGGCATATTGTGAGCAATACTGATAGGTCTAGGAAATCTTGACAATGGTAATAAGGACCCTCGTTGTCTAAATGAATTATAAGGTTTGCCAATGGCCTTTGGATTCACAGCGCCTTCTCTAACGTCGTAGTTATCGTTGTGCTGAGACGGAGGTAGCTGCCAGGCTGTTACGTTGTCAAACCCTTAGGTTAGTGAGATAACGCTAATATTTCCGATCTGGGGCATCACGTAAATCCAGTGATGTAGCACGCCAGACTACAATTTTAGTATCAATGTTCGTTTGGTAACGGTCAAACCAATGAAACCCATAGAATTATACAAAAGTTCAAATGCAGTTACGATTTATCCCTTATTATTTAAAACAACTCCTAGATTATTCGATGTCGACGAGATTGCAAACCTTGTCGAACCTATGCCCTTGAAACTGGGACTCGTCGTTATCCACTTGTAGCGCAGAGCAGGCCAGTGGACCGATTGATTCAATGCGATTACCAATCTCCTGACCGAGAGGCAACTAAGAGCGATGGAGAACACTTCACTAACATTAAACATGAACCAGTTGCTCGAGACGGTAGTATTACTTGCAGCTAATGGGTTTTCTTGGCAGTGGCCTAAGCATCCCAGTCGGAACCTCACACGATCAACCTTGGATACTCTCGTGCAGCTGACTGTTGGTATAAACATACTCCAATTATTCAAGCCCTTGTTTAAGTTATGGGAAGGACATAAACCAGCGCCACGTCTCGCAGATTGCAACGGAAGAAAGCCTTGATACCGCCTGTGCTCAAAACATATCTCGGTCTCGCGCAGAAGTACTCGGACTCGCTCCAAGCAGATACCTATCTTTCTCATGCGCATTGAGTGGTAGATGTCTCAGTTGTACAGCCTCTTTTGGTCGGTGTAGGAAAGTGTGGCCGATCGAGTCATCAGACCAAACGCGTATGACCCGGTGCGATGCAATGACAGATGCCCAATCCGACCCAAATTTGGCTGCATATAATAATCACTGCACTGTCGAAGACGGCCACCTTCGTTAATATTCAGCACTAAGAGCGACAAATACCGGGAGAACGGCAAGTCCATCTTCCCTGATTTCCGTGTACTGCCTCATCAGACATCAGAGCCCCACGTTTTAGGCCCCGTCCGCTGCGCAAGCTGGGAAATCCATCTCGGTCACGATTCTATCCGCGGGTAGAGGTCACAGGAGAACTACTTAGTTTGTTGTCAATATATCTCCAAATGAAGAGACCGAGTGGAATCTCAAGCCCTAGCCAAGATCTATACAAGGCGAGATTGTTGGCCAAATTTCACAGCCCTCTGCCAAGTACATAAAGCGGCGGCCCCTGCACCGAAAGGTAATCCGAATATTCGGGTTGAGCCTCAAGGAGCAAATCAACCCACTAACCAACCCGCTAACTTTCAGGATTCCTTTCCCCTTCCCTTTCCTCCAAGCCGACCCAATTCGCTAGAACTCCCTATCGGAATTACGCAAGGTCACAGTACATTTAAGTACTCCGTAATAACTTACTAACCTACGTATGTACTCCATTAAACTGCCCCTCCACATTGGACCCCTGGCGGATGAATAGGCTCCATTCTTCTTTGTTTGCGCTTCACAGCCTCAAGGAGACTCCGTGCTCCCAAGAAAGTGTGTTTGTTATATAGACTGACCCAAGTCGGATAGCACTTGATTTGACCTTTCTCTCTTTGTCACATATCAACCAATTCCCAACATGGCATACAACAGACCATACAACCCCGACGAGCTGCCCAGGTGAGTTTACCGTTACCCCGCCATCCTCGTTCCTCCTTGAGGGTAGGATGGGATATCTTGTCTTGACACATGGCGACAAGCTATGTCAGTCAGGCCGCACATCATTGCGCGCCCGACTGATGCCAGGTTTCGGTTTGTTTTTGCGCAACGCGCGCATATATAGCTGGGTATCAAGTTCAAGCATGCTGACAACTGTTTGTTTGCTTTCAGGTTCGCCGAACCGGAACCTGTACGTTGCCCTTAGGCGGTCGCTCCGCTGCTTCTTGCTTTATTATTTGGCATGCTCTACTGGAGCATACCGCATCACGTCTCTGAGTACAGCTTCAACTTACACACAACGCAGAAAGGCGGCGCCGCTCCTTCTTCCTCCAGATATGATAGTAAACCCCCGCCGCCGCTGCCACAGCAGCACGTGTCCTCAGGTCGGCCTCATCAAAACTCCGATCCTCGTCGACTGCAATCCTATGGCCACCCGGCCAACTCGCCCATGTCGCCGCCACCCCAGGCATCAGGTCCCCGTCCTTCTGCCCACAACCGCCCTCCCCCGAGCAGCAGGCCGCCGCCTTCGCCCGCTCCACAAGACGGCCACGATTCATCATTGTTGCCATTGTTCAGGGCAGTAGACAAAGATGGTAAGGCAAACAGCTCTCCCCCTAAGACACCCACGCGCGGAGCGGAGCAATACGGAAGAGAAAACAAGGCCATGGGTTTTGTGTTTCAGGCCACATGGCTGACGGAGTAATACAGGCACTGGACAGCTCTCCGAGAAGGAGCTCAGCGCCGCCCTTGTCAACGGCGACTGGACGGCCTTCGACGCACACACGGTGCGCATGATGATTCGCATGTTTGACAGTGACCGATCGGGTACCATTGGTTTCGAAGAGTTCTGCGGGCTGTGGTCCTTCCTGGCCTCTTGGCGGACGCTCTTCGACCGCTTCGACAAGGACCACTCGGGCAACATCTCACTCGAGGAGTTCACCGATGCCCTCATCGCCTTCCGCTACCGTCTCTCCACGCGCTTTGTGCGCCTCCTGTTTGACACGTACGACAAGCGCAACGAGGGCGTTATGAGTTTTGATCTGTTTGTCCAGGCTTGTATCAGCCTCAAGAGGATGACGGATGTGTTCAAGAAGTACGACGAGGATCGCGATGGATATATCACACTGAGCTTTGAGGACTTCCTGGAGGAAATCTTGAAGCAGTTGAAGTGAGCGGCGAATCTCGCGAATGATTGCTTCAGAAAGCATTGAGCTAGGAGATCAAGGCCGACGGAGCCGGATGATCAGTGCTCGGTTGTGGCTTGAGCTGTGCAAGCACTGCTTAGATGATATCGGACAGCAATCCTCAACATCTGCTCGGTGTGAAAGGATATACGTGCTCTTTTCTGGTTGCTAATGAGGAATGAAACGAAGCCTATAGATACCCTAGGATGCAGGGCAACGAGCCCCGTTTCTATCATGAACATGAGATTGAGCTAATGGGAGGGTGTGTTTTTGGTCTTCGGCTCGCATGATTTCACCATTATGTAGTGTGTCCTGTCTAATTTTCAGTCACACATAAGTGATGACTACACTTCACATAGACCTCTTTCACAAACGCCGTACCGGTTAGAGTAGAGTCCATTGTATTATGTGATTAACACTGATTAGGACGTAGATGCAAGGTGGATGTGGAGGGTTTAGAGCTGATATATATTCTATTCAAAATGGGAAAATGTGGTATCGTAGGTCAAGAAGATGTTCGCAGCTGCTCGCCCATTCAAGTTTAAGAGATACTTCCAGTAATACCATCCCCGTTTTTCATTACCATTTGCACACTGGCTAGCCAAAATAAATTCCTTGCTCGACAAATAAATAAATCATGCAGCCCCGCCCAAAATCAACCTAATGTGCACCAAAGAATTCCAATTCGTTGTCAAAACAGTCATATGAGCAGTCGTTTAGACCGGCGGTGCCCCAGAGTCTTGCCCTCTTTCAGCTGCTGACGGACTGCCGGTAAGATTTGCACATTCTCCTTGTCCTCCTCGCCTATGCTGCTCATCTTCGGCTTCGGCGGAGAAGAAGCCAGCACCATGCCGTCGCCCGTGACCAGGACATCTTCGCCGCTCTCCAGCCTCAGGACTTCGATCCTTCTATCCGTATCGAGCCCCAACCCGAGGGTACTGCTGCTTTTCCACGCTCTCGCCCGCTGATTCTGATTCTCGTCGTCGTCGTCATCCTTCTCGGACCCTACGATGCCTAGGATCTCTTCCCTCCCCCACCGCTTCGTCTTGAGGAGCCCCGTCCCAATGCCCCGGACATCCTTCTCCGCGTCGTGGGCCGAGATCCAGCACCTCGCGCCCAGCTTCCTCGCGATCTCGGCCCCGATCAGGGTCCCGGAGCATATGTTACCGCCGAGCCACCAGGGGTTGCTGATGCTATCCATGCAGTGGAGCAGGGCCGTCAGGGGCAGGGCCGCCTCGGATACCAGATGGGACGTCGCCCAGGGTGCCACGTAGTTGTAGGAGATGCCGTGCGGGGAGAAGAGTACGGAGATGGGGCGGGTTCCCGCCTGAGACATGGGGGATATCGTGCTTGTAGGGGAGCGCGGTGACGGGGACAGACAGCGGTTTAAAGCCGCAGGGTGATTTGGTGAGAGCGGCGACGAGGCGACTAGAGTTGACGCGGACTGTACAGAGCGGAGTGAGAGAGGTGAGATTGGCGGGCTTGGTGGCAGCGCGTGCATGTCGGTTGTCGAAACCGTGGACAGAAGCATGGGTGGGATCTTGGTCATGATGGGTGTCGCCGGTGGTGTTATGAGACCCGGCTTGGCGAGGTATTGTGTGGGTGGAGGTCGATATGTTATCCCCATGCCGCCATGTAGGCCGGCAATGTCCCGTTTCTGAGGAATCCATGACACCGTGACCTCGCCCGCCGGACCGCCGGGCGTCACCGGCGGTACTGCAATGCGGATGGTGGTGGACTTGCCCGCAATTCGTGAATCCTTATACGGCTCGACGGTCCGGATCTTGTTGCGGTCAAAGTACTTCCAGCTCTTTATCAAACGCGCCGAAGCAGGTTCGGCAAGAATGAGCGTTTTTGTGCCGGAAGCCGGCAGTTGACGCAATGTAGGCTCATTGCAATGATCACTTTTGGCCTGGGTGATAATGACCAAGTCTGGTTCAGGCAGCTCCGAAAGCGAGGCCACGCATGGTGGCGTTTTGTGAGTTGTAATTGAGAACTTGGAGTGGAAGATTTTGGATGGCCCAGTAATCCATGGATCAAGCAGGATCGTGAAAGGTTGTGGAATCACCACGGAACCTCTGGTAGGATCTGAACAGACCGGCTCGAATGAGAGCAGAAAGGATGCATCAGAGTTGAGATGCTTAACGGTCAACGCCATGGTCCTGCTATATGACCAGCCCCTTTACTGCTTCTCTCTATGGTAGCATGAGGAATCCAAGATTTAATTGTATGTGAAAAACTGGAGAGTCCAGGCACGTTCCTCTAGGAGAATAAGCAGACGCGTAAGAGGATCAAGTCTTATCAAGGTTCGGGAGACAAATTGAGATCTTGGCTATGTTGTACTCCCCTGTAATAGTTGGGATCACAAAGGAAGCACGAGCTCAATGACGAGCACAGTGGCGAGCACAATGACAAGCTCAGTCAAACGGGTACGAGGAGCATACGTGGGGAAAACGAATGGTCGAGAAGGAGAGGAGGGTATCACCAGGCAAATTGATGTTTCTCATGTTCCATTTCAACACATCCAGTGGCTCTGTGATGAATGACGATGTGCCCATTTGTGACATTGTGCCCATAAACAACCGATCTTAGCTCCATATAGCCCGGTTGAGCCGTGCAAGTTTTATGGAGATAAGGGAAGAAGAGACGGAAGGCGATGCCTCATTTGGACCAATGTTTCAATCTGTGGAAGGTTGAGGCGAATTTACGGCTGCTGGTGCCAACTTCAATTGGCGCCAACTTTTAGCACAATCGGCTCGATGGAAGAGTGGCTGAGCTAGAGCACCATGATTCGCTCGCATCCGCTGGGGAAGATGGAGGGACATAGACCATTAGTTTGGTGGCTTGCTGCAACGCCAATTTTCCAATGCCTTACGAACTCCTTCGTCTTCAGCTCGTTCATCAGGTCCCCTAAATCCGATGTTGCTGGAAGCCACCAAACTAATGGTCTATGTCTCTCCATCTTTCCCAGACAGTGCTGTGGAACATGGAAACCCAGTCTCGTAAGACAAAGCATGCGTGGTTCCGACCGTCCACGAGTCGTATTTGTGCTCGCTTCCATCATCCGCAGCGAAGTGATGCGTCTTGCATAGTACTTCCTTCGGCTGTGGCGCCAAGGCATTGCCTTCATCGGGTAATGTCAGGATAGAATGCTGACCTGTTTGAGACCTACGAGACTAGACAGTAACCGTTAGCTACAATTTTGCGAACGTATTCAGGGTGAAAAACGGAACTTGACATTCATGTCAGGCTCAACCCGTTGATATGATTCATGCCAATTGCCTGCCGCTCCCGCTTCCGATGTTCACAGGCACATGTCTTTAATAGATCTGGTACACCACGGTTCAAGAAGCGTCAACCCCGCAACCTGGACTCGATTCCATGCTATCGGAGCCGGGCTCCCAAGATCAGGCACTGCATCGCCTGCAAAGGCTCTTGATATTATGCAGCAAGATCCAGTATATCATGGTACCACTCAGGTCTACAAGGGTGCGCCCATGAATATGGAGCGATGAGTTCAAGTATTTTCGCACACCTCTATCGGCAATCTACCCGATAAGGCTGTCTTCCTCAACACAGTACGAGGAATTCTTCGAGGCTTTGCAGCAACGACGGATTTCCGAACATGCTGTTTGTTCCCGAGTTGATGGAGATACACCTAGACGCAATAACATTTGCACAGTGAGAGATCCAGATGACTGGGCGTAGCCAATAAACTCCACTTCATAACAGAGTCTGGCGTGGTATCTGCATCTGATATCCGTACTGTTTCCATTGTCCCCGATGAGAAAATTTCCTCACTATTTGTATGTTTTGGAAGCTGGTCGCTGGGGTGAGTTGTATCATTTGCCAGGAGAGCCGCAAATTCCTGGTCAGGGCGTTTGGGAGAGACAAATTGAGCATCTCAAAAGCGTAATCCCGGTAGACAGGTTAGCCTTCTTCATGATGACTTCACAAGGGAACTGTTCGTCAAGGGTGTCACGAGCTGGGCTTGTATCATCGGGTTTATGGGAGCCTACCTTTGTCTGCGGCTCAGAATGTAGCGGATAAGATGCTAATGCTGCGAATATCTGGAACTGCTATCTACCAGGCCGGACAGCCTTGAAACCGCACGCACCAGGCGCGAGCGAAAATGCCATTGTGGCATAACCGATCTATCTGGTATCGGTACGTGTGGTAATACAAGGCGTATTTGTCGAACGCTGGCCCTACCATGGTAGAGCGGATAGTAGTGAGGACCGCGTATATAGAACTTATAGTGCAAATGATCATGTACGTACTTGGGCGAGACTTTTGAGAGACGACTTCACCATGGCCCCAAGATGATGACCACAGAAGTCTCAGCAGTCAGGTCGAGGCGAATGTGGCAATGATATTTTCGAAAACCGAAGGATGTTTCGTTCAAGGGACCCTCAACGGTGCCCAAGACAACGTCGACAAATTTCGACGTCATCTCACTCAGCCCATTGACATTCAATGATGTTCCCCACATAGGTGTTGATGCTTCACAAGGACCAAGTGAAGTTTCTGCTTTTCGTACATCATCAATTGATACGTTCGGAGTTCTGATGTTTAACAAGATCTTGAGTTGATGTTCGACCGATAGCTTCATCCTAGGACTAGTATATCGATAAGGAGCTTTCCGATCTTGGCAAACAGCTTCATCATCTTCAGTGGAGATAGTCCTCCATCATGTTGGACCCTGAAAATGAGGGGCCGACCTAGGATTCGTGAATCATATCGATAGAGCTCTTATCGATGGAGCTGGAGCATCTACAGTTGGGCTGTGTACACTTTGTACCGACTTCTTGTAGCTATATCAACCCTGGGGTTTCTGTTTGCACTGTTAAACTCATCTCAAATAACCTTGGACTTCAGAGCATAATTCTTCCCAAAGATCTTGAGATTCCCGACGTGGAACCCAAAAGCCATGTTCCATTGCCGCCCTTATTGGTATGACTAATGCTAAAAACACTCGCAGTAGCTCGAATCCCCGCTGCGTCCACTCACTAACGGTCCATGTTTCTGCAACCCAACGCCTCGCCAAGTCGAAAATAGCCTGACCAAGCAAGCCTCGATTACATACGGTTGGAAAACTGGCCAAATTCGAAACGTATATAATAACCTGTACTCTTTGTAGTTCTGACTAACGCGTTTCTAATTATCGCTGCTCGCATAAGTCTCGATTTTGGGGAATTACAGAATTCAATGTTCTTCAGGGCTTGTAACTGCCACTTAATTTTCCCATCTTCTGCCGTTGACCCACCGAGAGGACTTGCCGAGGGGGACATGGTCGCCGGAAACGCCATGGATAAGGTCTTCGGCTTAGGCGTGTTTAGCGCTGGGGATTTTAAATTTCTGGCAGCCGAAATTTCCCATCTGCGTAAGAGGGATGGAAAAGCGGTGTCTTGGGTAAATTGTGAGACGGTGAATTCAAAGCCATGTCAATCATATGAGTGGTCGGTCAGTTGAGTGCTACTTTTCTGATTTTCGCCTAGCTGGCACCCGAGCCGCTGGATAGAAGAATTTGGGCCATTCAAGTGAGAACATGTGAACATGAAGCTGACTAGGATCTGTTGACTGTGACGGATTTTAGCTGCCCCGCCATCCTACAAGCTCTTCAGTTTGAAAAAATGCGAGCTGGCGCTAGAGGGCAAAGATGATGAGAATCCACCTCGTCACTGCGCTTCGGTGTCGTTGTATTGGTTGGTCTGGTGCTTGAATCAGCGGAGCAGTCGCGGCTTGAAGCCCGTGCTTCCCATAATCAATTTGCAAAGTGGAGTTGGTGCTGCTGATACGGGTTGGAGCTTTATCAGAGATGTGCTTTTATCTTCAACCGCGGGGTCTACGTTTTGAGCTGGCTATACTTTGAACAGGAATGTTGGGAGCTTGAATTGAGCTGAGCTTGAGCTGAGCTGAGCTGAGCTTCATGAGCTCCAAGCTCTGTGCGAGTTGTACTTCTGAGACTACCCGGAGTGGCATCACTTGAGTCGTGGACAAGTATCACGACGCCGCAAGGACGCAATAATGAATCAAATGATCTTGTCCCAAGGAAAACCCCTCCAAAGAGCCCCGGGGCAGATGTCTCCTTCAGTCCTTCTGAAGCTCTTCCCCCCTAGTCCATTCAGATACACCCCACTTGCGCCAGCCATTATCCCCTCAGCCGATCCTTGATCGAGTCAGAAAGGAAGCTGGCTGAGCAATCTTTGTGTAATGAGCCAATAACGGGCGCTGTATAGGTCTCTCTCATCTTTGGTACATGGTGCGAACTAGTCCACTGTACGTGTGCGCGTTGTTGTGCGTGTGCTGACTGAGCTGAAGAGGTCCGAATGCTTACAGTACTCGGGCTGTGCTTCGAGTAGCCCTGATTGTTGCCCTCGTCGTTCGGATGAGCCAACAGAACGGCACAGTGATATTGCCAAAGCTGTTGTCTACCATGTGTTCTTGGCCAAGAAGGCATTGCCTCTAATACCAGTCTAGCATGGCATTTCATTCCGCATGTGTAATTGCTAACCTAGTCCTGTGGATAAGAGTAGTAGTGTACAGTAGAGTAATTAACGAACTGCATACTCAAGGTACCACCAGTACGGGGGACAGGGTGGGTGGTCTTGTGTGTCTGCCGCTGCTCTTGGAACTCGGTTGAATTACGTGCCAGCCCGTAACTTGGGTACTTACTCTACTGCAACAATACATACATACATACATACACACATACATACAATACAGACTTGGACCCAGCCGACAGAAGACCCGAACACCCCCCGAGTTCAGGTCAGGATTTTACTGCTTTCAGTTAACACAATACTTGATTTGAGCGCCGTCTGATTTCCGCTCTGTTCAATGCCCAAGGGCCCCCCCACGACGAGCCTGCCTCTACAGCTCGAGTTTTCCCACAATTTGAATCAGTGAGCGGGCGGTTCACCAACTTCCACTTCCCCCTCCATTATCTCTTCGAAACGCTGCATGTAACACTTCCCTCGGTCAACGATAGTACCTCAGCCTTCGGAAGTCATTGCAACTGCTTCCTCTTGCCCACAATCATTCCACCGTCTCCCCCCCAAACAGTATTGTGTACTTTTTCTCTTTCCACCAACATACCACCTCAAATGCGAAAACCCGACCAGGTCACGACGACAACCATAGGTCCCGATTGCTATCGTCCTCCCTACGCCCCAACTGCACTTGCAGCTTATCGCAACACCAATCTCACCTGCTCGATCCCGATCCCCCGCCTAAGCATCGTCCTCGCTCAGCGCATGGTGGGGTTTGGCTGAATCGAATCGAACCGACCTGGACTGGACCGATCTGAATTTTCCAGCATAACGATCACGATGCCTCAACGACAGTCGCTCACCTCCTCATTCTCAATCACCGATGCAAACAACGAAGTCGTCTGCCCACTGCGAAATCAAGATGGCTCCAGTTGCCGCAAGCGATGCATTGGTGTAAGTTGCTGACGTTTCCATCCAATCCAATCCAATCCAATCCCATCACCACCTGGGCCTGAGCTACAGCTAGCTATAGCTGCGATAAAGCTATCGCCGTCCGAGGCAAACCAAGAAAGAAAGAGAGAATTGAGCGGAGCTTGCAGATCCAATTTCTCGTCCCGTTCATTCATTCACTCAGTTTACCTAACATGACCCTTAACCCAATAGGAAAAGAGATACCGCTCTATGCAGGAGCACATCCGACGAGCACACCCCGAACACTACATACCGAAGCTCCCCGCAACCGAGGAGAGCTTCCTTCTGATGATTAACACCCCGCCGCAAGATAGGTCCCAACTTCAGCAGCAGCAGAACAATGCCAATGGCGGTGCTATGAACGGTGGCATGAACGGTGGTATGCCCCATGGCAATCATGCCGTACAGCCCATTGTGCCTCCGAGAGGGTACCAGCAGATGAACCATACTCATGCATATTTCCGAGACGACTCAGCCGCCCCCGACACGCCCAGAGGCCTGGCAGACTTTGCTGGCGGCGCGATGCTGCCCACCGAGAGTGCTGCAGCTGCTTTGGCACAGCTGGGACAAGCACAAAGGATGGATTCAGGCTGGGATTCTGGCGAGGTAGGCTTCTTTCCGCTCGAGGTATTTTCCGGTCAAGGAAAGCTCTAATTCAAGGACCAATGGCAGGAATGGCAATCTGATACCGACGGGCCTCGAATTCCCAGGAGCACCATCGAGCTCCCGCCCATTAATAACATCGATCCTACGAGCGAACCTTTCCCCTCTATGAATTCCGTCCGACAGCAACAAAGAGACTTGTTGCCGTCTATTCTTTCTAACTCACCGCCTGCTGGGCGATCATCTACACTCCCTCCTTTGCAACGACCGCTCGGTCCTAACCGACGCAGAAAGCAATCCGTCACCAAGCCAGGGCACAAGAAGCAGAAGTCCAGAGGACAGCAAGCGGCCGACTGGCTGAGGAGAATCCAAAATGATGACCGTATGAAACCTGGTGGCCTTGATCGTAAGGCTATGTCCGTTGAACCTTCCACAGACTATGGAAAGCGTTGGGAGGACCTTATCGATGCAGCCGCGTCAGCAACTGAAGACATAGAGGATGATAGAACTCCTGTGGGTTTCCACCCTTTTGGGATCGATCCTGTCTTACTGACATACCAGGTGCCGCAATCACCTATCTCCATGCATCGTGCATCCATGCCTCCCTTCCCTCATAATAACGTCCAGACCTATCATGGCTACCAGGCCTCGCCCCTGCAGCAGGCTCTGACTCCTCCTTCCTTTCATCAGGAGATGCCCGAGCCTTTCCCCAGTGTGGAAAGCGGCGAGAGCGGCGACCAGTTTCACATCGGAGCTACCGGGCTCTCAGACTCCTCCCCGAGCTACTCATCCCAAGACGTTCATATATATTGCGCTGCGTGCCAGAAGAGCTCCAAGCTCAAGGAGTCTTATGCATGCACAGAGTGCATCTGCGGTTTGTGCCGCGAATGCGTCAATGTACTGATGGAAGAGCAGGGTGCCCGAAGGAAATGCCCGCGCTGTGCTACTATTGGTGGCCGGTTCAAACCATTTCAGCTGGACATCCGATGAGAACTCGCCCCAGCACAACGCGCGCCCTCGCTCGAGCGGTTGAACGTCATCCGCTATTTAGATCCCCTTCTTCAGGCTATACCGTAGCGTACCTATGGCCTGGTTATTTTTGGTTTCAGGATCGGATGACGGTGAATCACACTCCAACCGTGCCAGGCATCTCATTTTCATGAACAAACAAGCTAGCTCTGATTCTATGCTTACTTCTTTGGATGCCCCATACATCGGCGAGCCCGCTGCAATCTATGCGCGTTGAACACAATGCTGGGGAGGCTGGAACACGATTCATCAGAACTGAATACACATTCACAGCGGCATCACCTCATCAGTGCCGAGAGACTTGGCCATGGCTATGGCGAGGCTCTTTTTCTTTTGCACTACAACACAATGATCAGACAGTGATCACTTCTACGGACTCAGCAGCGAATGAATGCCCTTTTTCCTTGCTTTTCTCTTCGACTCTTTCATTTGCACGGCGGGAACTTTTCGCCGCCAGTTAGACCACTTTTCTACGAGGATTCATTACACTCGAGGGTATAAGGAGTTAAAAACGGATCAATGATATGGGGAGTTTCTTTACTGCACAGCCCTTCTGCTTACAGGGTTTTTGGTGTCATGGGATCTGATTTCATTGCATGGTTTCGGACACGAATTTTCACCAAGGAGCGATACTTGCATAAGGCTCATTGCAAGCCACAGATCTCTATGTACCTTTGCAGCCGGTGTGTTGCGATATAAACGGTATGACAGGACATGATGTAGAGACGCGTTTGGACGCTTATATAGTCTTGATGAATGAGAATCACTGAATGACAAACTCGAAGCTCTTACTGTGATGACTGGAAGTTAGCTGGATGGTAAACTAGAATCAAAGATGACTCAGTCGGTGACTTAGATGAGGACCGCCATTTAGTCCAGTCAAGAATCGTCATTCTCACTATCAATATCATAGATTCTGTCAGAAATAGCTGTTAGAAAGCGTAAATAATCAGTTTCATTGTTTCCTATGATATTCTCGTGTACAAGTCATCAACTTTCCTTGATGACTGGATATCGAGAACAATATGAGGCTGGCTTTAGTAGCTAAAAGATTTTATACACCACGTCCTGATAAACTCCTTTATGGCAACCCAGGTTTTCTCCTATTTACAAAACAGATCGTCTTTGATCCAGGTATCACTACAACCCAGGCAACCTGGACTGTCAATATAACAACTCCTGATACCGCCGCAAGCAAGCATACTTTCGCGGTTCTCAATGTGGGCTGCACCTTTATTATTAAATTCTGGTTACATATCCACAATGGATAAACAATGGTGCTCAGGTACACTTACCCAGGATGATCAGATTCGTGATGTTGACCTTTGGATTGGCAGTTGGGCAATTGACGGTCATGTAATTCTGTCCGTTCTTGACCGGCAGGAAGGTGCAGTTGGTGTTGGTGACGAAGTGGCCGTTGTCTTGGGCGGCGATGTGGCCGTCGATAGATGCGTAGCAGCTGTTTACTAATTAGCTTGTGTCAAATATGACCGCTGAGTGTATCGATGAGGGTAAAGTAAATGGTATGCTGCCGATTCGAATTTCATACTAAGGAAAAAGAAGAAGAACCCCCTCCCCCAATAGAAACATGCAGGAAAGCCACAAACTCACAGATTGAGATCAAGCACAGTCATGGCTGTAGTTGAAGGGCCGGGACAGTTGGCGATAAAGAAGTCCCCGTGAGTCATCCACTGCTTGCAAGGGACCTCCGGACCGTAGAAGGACGTGCCGGCCAGTGTGGGCAGAGCCGCGGCGATAAGCATGAGGACAATTGATAAAACGAACATCTTGGGTTTCTATGTTCGGGATACAAACAGTCGACGTTTGTTAATGCTGAGTGTAGGAGATTGTTTGGTCGTGAGGAACAGTTGTGTGCTTGGTAAGAGAATCTGTAAAGTGATAAGTCAAAGCAGAGGGTTCAAATAGGAGTGAATGGCTTTAGCCATTTAAAGGCATGTTTTCCAGATGGAAAGAAGCATATGTAATTCGATGGCAGTCACTTTCCAAGTTCAAAGCTGGAAATGGCGGGACTTACCAGAATTTCACTCATATATCATACAAGTACACTCTTATCTGCATCTCGTGTCAAGCAAACAACAACTACCATTTATCTAATGTTATCTAGTGACAGATCCAATGCTTTGACTTTTATTTTCCGTCATTCCTGTCCCACCACCTGAGTACAGCAACTGCATCTCATATAGGCTTGACACATCGTGCAACGTATGGCTAAGAATGTCCTGCATCGCAGTCCAACGGATGGTTGTTGCACACATCACCTAGCCGACTACTGACAATAACATGAGCCAGGAGGATCGCATGATAGGGTTGTCGAATCGCATCCCAAACGACCTGGCCCTCCCACGTGACAAGCATTTTTTCCATTACAATTCATGACGCCGCCATCAATGTCGATAACGCCCGCTGTGATTTTGTCAGACTCGGCACGGGCTTATCCGCGGCTGAGAGTAGGATCAGAAAGTGGTAAGTGTTAGGTAACACTTACTCATCAATACATTGGTACTAACCAAGGACTGTCCTGAAGTCACCGACTTGCACTGAACAGAAAGTGTAGCATTGGGATCTTTTTATCTCGACCATGTTGCAGGATTTCGCGAAGAACCCCCAGGGAAGCGAATTTATGTAATCATCGTCATTGACATAACATCTATGTAACAATTGGTTAATCTCGAGCGCCAAGTATGGTGGCCTTGTATTTACTACGACTTACTTGTTTGGGCCAAGAGCGGTAAGGTGGCTCCCGCTTCCGTTACCAGCATTACATATAGCGATAAGGAAGGTTCCGTTGGAATGCCATTTCAAACATGAAGTTGGGAAATGGTCTGAGACGGCTACCGTAAGCAATGAAGCGGGAATAATGAAGGCAGAACGCATCGTGCGAAGTGGCAGGTGTCAGGGGTGATCGGTGGTTAAAAACTCATTCGAAGGCCGCTCAAGGACAAGAGGACATATTTGCTGGCTTGAGCATACGAGTGGCCTTTGGAGTAAAAAGAAGAAGAAAAAACCTCCCCACGCAAAAATCATCGCCATGACTTACAGTTTATGTCAGGAATGCCACATTTTTGTTGTGCCGGCAACCATTCTTTCCATAACTTTCAGAACCAACAACCAACAGCCAACGGCCTCAATACGGCAACTAGTGTTACCAACACGCCTACGGCCATTTTCCACACTGGGAATATGTTTAACGTTAAATCTCGTCTATAGAATCAGGCTAAAAGATATTGGTAGCTAACAAAAGTTAAGATTGAGGAACATTCATATTATATCAAGATCATTGATTACATTGTGACTGAGACGAGTGTGTTCAAAGTCAGATGGCGGTTACAGCGCAGTCGTTAGATAGTGAGATGTCCTCATAACCGCCAAAATATAGTTATTCATTGACTTTCAGTCTGATAATCAATGCCCATTCGATGTAGATATAATCTTGTAGTTGGGTTAGGTTGAGTCGACTCGGATTCGGGAGATTTAAGCACTGACTGGAGAATGCCCTCGAGCCGGAACTCAAACACGTTAGATAGTAGGCTCAGCTTATGGTTTCCATGTCTACAAAGCAATCCGAGATAGTAGCTGCCAGGTCACATCAAGCCAGATTTATACTGACGGTAAACATTAGGTTAGATGGCTAGACTTAGACGAGCGGGAATAGTGGGTTTGTCGAACGGCGCGCGTTGTAGGCTACTCTACGCACCATGCACTAAAGACAGGGAACGACGCCCTAAAAGAAAATATATAAAAGACAATGTTATCATGGAGGAGTGGTGCTCGCGGTGCTGACGGGACGGAAAGAGCTTCGGAAAAAGTCGACCCTATAGATGCAGCATATATAGTAAGTAGTGCGTATGTCATACCCAAATGATCGAGATGCATGGTTGTGGGGCACACTTCTTAGCCATTTCAGGCCAACGTAGTTGTACTAAGCCTATTCTAGGCATCAAGTCCCATAGACAAAACTTTCAAGACGGTCCCACCGCATATCAAAGGTCGCATAACATTGTTGATAGATGGAACTCAATGACTTGATACTAGGACTACCATCTAAGTCAGCCTAAAGGACAAAGGACGAAGGAAGCGAGAGCCTTGACCACAGCCCTGTTTTCAGCGGTGTTTTCATCTGTCGATCTAATCCTATCGGTATAAACTGAGCACATCTCAGAACCTTAGTGGTGAGTCAAAGGTCTTCTGAATTCGCAAGGCATGGGAATCAGCAAGCAAAAATGCGAAATTCGAATATGCCATGCATGCCAGATCCTAACCCCCAAGAATACCCCGAACCGCCCAAAATTACATTCTCCCAGCTAACTACGAACCTTGCTGATGGTAACAGGGTGGACTACTATATCTCCAAGCATTTCGTCATTGGGAGAATCGAGCTCAACTGTTCTGTGATTGGAAAGCCGATGCGGAGCACTTGTAACTGCCAGGGATCAGCGCCTTATCATATTACACAGTTGTGTTGGAGTAATGACCAATTGGCAATTGTGCTCCTGATAGCAAATCAACGACTGATATAAGGTAGAGTCACATTTAGCCCTTGGTAACATCGCAACTATTGTTGCAATAACCTCGATCATACTTTCTCATTATTTCTTTCAATAATGCGATCATAGAGCCACCGACCTGAATGGCGAATGAGATGGCCTCAAACCCGGAGGCTGGGGCCTCAATTGTTCACCGAGACACGCTCAAGCCTGGCTGCGACGTAGATGAACTTGATCTTGCAGCGCTTGGCCATGAACAAGTCCTAACACGGAAGTTCAATATCTGGAGTATGCTTGCTTTGAGCTTTTGCGTGTTGGGGACATGGTCGACTTTCGCGCAGGGGCTCTCGAGCGGCCTTACCAACGGAGGGCCTGTCGTTATCCTATGGGGCCTGGTGCTGGTCTTGTTCTGCAACCTTTGCGTGGCGGTCTCCTTGGGCGAGATGTGCAGCGCCATGCCCACCAACCTGGGGCAGGCGTTCTGGATATCCCATCTATTCCCCACCCCTTCCGGAAGGTTTGCCAGCTATATGTGCGCCTGGATCAATACCTTCGGGTGGTGGACGTTATCCGCTTCACAAATCGCTTTCATGACCGACTTTATTCTCGGTATGAAGTTACTATTCGATCCTGATTGGGAGAGCAGTGGGTGGATGCAGTTCTTGATTTACATTGGTATCACGGCTTTGATGAGTGCCATCAACATTGTTTTTTGTCGTAAAGATAATATCTTGCCCATGTTCAACAACCTTGTGGGAGTCACCTTCGTTGGCCTCTTCTTCGTCATCTCCCTTGCCCTGCTCATTTCCGTCGGGACGAGGTCGGACCTCCGCTTTCAGAATCCTGGCTTCATCTTTGGAGCCTGGCTGAACCAGACTGGCTGGAGCGATGGTGTCACATGGTTCATGGGCTTAGTACAAGCGGCTTACGGCCTCACTGCTTTCGACTCAGCCATTCACATGGTTGAGGAGATCCCAAACCCTCGCATAAACATCCCACGTGTCATTTGGCTGTCGGTGCTCTCTGGTGCACTGACTGGCTTTCTCTTCATGATCGTCTGCCTTGCGAGTATTCAGTCGCTAGATGACATTCTCGACCCTGTCACGGGTTTACCGTTCATGGACCTCTTGTCGTCGACACTCGGAGTCAATGGTGGATGCGTATTGTTGTCGTTCTTTATCTTCAATGGTATTGGCCAGGGCGTAAGCATCGTCACATCAGCGTCCCGGCTCACATGGAGTTTTGCCAGAGATGGTGGTCTGCCTTGGAGCTCCTACCTGTCAGTTATCAACCATACGTGGAAGGTACCAGTTCGGGCTATAGTGGCGCAAGGCATTATTATCGGCCTGGTCGGAGTGCTCTACACCTTTGCAAGCACAGTTTTGGAGGCTATTCTTAGCGTCAGTACAATTGCGCTCACGATCTCTTACGCGATGCCTATAATTGCTTTACTCATCAAAGGCCGAGATGAGCTTCCAGCTGGGCCTTTCAGGCTTGGTAGCCTCGGGTCTACCATCAATTGGATCGCAGTCATCTATTGCGCCATAACGTCCGTCTTCTTCTTTTTCCCTGGCTCACCAGATCCTGCTCCGGTTGACATGAACTATGCCATCGCCGTCTTTGGTGTCATGCTCTGCGTCTCTTTGGCCTTTTGGCTGTACAGGGGGCGGTCCGATTTCATGCAGGCCGAAAGTATAGACGGACGCTCACCTGCCATGAGAAGGGGCAAAGGAAACTCACCCAAGGGCACCGTTAGAAACACTGCCAAAGCAACAAGTCCGGAACCATTAAGAAACAATCTATAGTATAATCTACTTTACCACCTAAAGCAGCACATTTGGGCGAATATTGGTTTTCAAGAGACTACAACCCCCCCCCCCCCCAAAAACGGACAACTGGCTTTGTGGACATTATTGAACGCTGCTGAACTTGTTCGCTAGAGACAGTAGGGAAAGTACACGGGGTTTGATACTCTGCAAATTGACGGCTGCAAGCCACGCCTAACCCAGACCTTGCATATGTTGACGGATATATTTTGCAACCACCACTGCAAAGTGATGAAGTGGAGTCAACTCAGGCACATCAGTGCTTCGCAGAACAAATTCCAGGTTTCTCCCGTACAAACTGTGGCGGGGACTTCTCCGCTTGCGAAAGAGTCCAGTCAGCAATGTCTGCGCGCCTCAAATACATGCCTATCCTTCCATCGCCAATGTAGCCGTCGATAGCCTTCATTGGCGGTCCATTTGCCAAGAAGCCCACGCGGAACAGGGTCCAATCAATGTCCTTGCCATCCTCGTCGAAGACCTTGGAGATGTCGATAATGGCTTTCCAGACCTTGTGTGCCATGGCCCAGAGCGCGTTGGTGGCGAACCAGCGGAGGATGTTGAATTTGTCCTTGGGGTCGATAACACTGAAGGTGCTAAGGGCGATGATGCGCTTGACTCCCTCGCTCCTCATCGTCGAGAGGATAAGCTTGTAGGCGGGCACGAAGATATCAGTTGGCGCGCCGGGTTTCGAAGGGCCAAAGACGGAAATAATCACGTCCTGTCCGCTGATGGCAGTACGAAGGTTTGCTTCATTGTCAAGGGCACCTTCGATTGTCTGCACCGCCGCATCCAGATCCAATCAGCAAAATCATATCATCTTTATGATGACTTCGCACGCACCTTAACGTTCACGTTCCCGGTATGTTCCGGCAGCGTCCGTCTCCCGTACGTCGTGACTTGCCAACCTAGTTCCAATGCCCGCGCTACGATGAGCTGGCCGGTTGTGCTTGTAGCGCCTAGAATCAGGAGCTTTCCGCCTGCCATTGTCTACTAGACTTGTGGTCTTTGAGATAGTCGGCCCTACGGCTGTGGTGGAACAGGCAGAGAAGAGAGAGGATGAAAGAGACATTATCAATTGGGACCCCATTTCTCGCAGCGAATTGATCGGGGATCATTTGTTCTGTGCCACCTCTTGCTTTCTATGTCGATGCCTAACCATAACAGGCTAGCCATGCTTGTACTGTACATACATGGCCCTATACTAGTTGTCCCGGCCCGTCGGTTCAATTCTCTACCCCGATGATCAACACAGCATGATACCTGACCAACCGCAAACTAAACAAATCATACACAAACGACCTGGTCACAAGGTGTCTGGCACAACCAGCACACTACTGAATACGCACAGATCTGTTGTACGTTGTAGAGGAGCGGTGATAGGTGGACCTCACCCATGTCTCTCTTTGTAGTGCTTGTTTATTGGTGCACCTACCTGCCTAAAATATCACCATTCATTACATAGAAAGACGTATATTCCTCGCATCTGAGCCCTATTTTGCCTTAGTTTCTAAAAATTTCCCGTGAAATGTTGGATAATACTCCGTGGTACTTATTAGCTTTCTAAGAATTCCAGTCACTCCCTTGCATAATCTCTGTTTTTTGCATAGTTGATTACGATCTGGAAGGCAAGCTAAGAGTGTACCGGGGGGTCGGCACGGGTAGGTATACAGGATCTGGTGCAGGAGCTACTGAATGTCTTCTCTTGCTGGTCTACGGCACTTAGTCCTCGAGAACTATTAAAACCACGCAATCCGTAACCCGAAGTGGAGCTGGTACTACAACAATCGCAACATGTATAAAGTCTGCATCAAACTGCATTGTACCGCAGCCACCATCAAAGGGCACACCGCGGCTGCACGCTCTAGCCGGGACCCTCAACGACCAGGATTCAGTTTGGTCCATGAAGGATTGCCGTATCCTAGGCACGATTCCGTGAGTCCAAACGACACCCACCGCAGTTTCACAGACACCCAGACTCTGAGCTAGCGTCTCCAAGCTCATCCCAGAAGGATATCTGGTGCCCGAGGCGCCTTCGAGCCCGGCAACACGTTGAGGGAGTTTTATTACCAGAGTACGCTCAGAGAAACCTCGATCAATAACGAAGTGTTCATTGCACGTATAAAAGTCGATCATGAACGATGTCCATTCAAGAAGGACCATCAAGGATTTACGAGAGGGTTTCAAACGGATAGGCAAAAATTCTTTGGACGAAAGCCACGAAGCACTCCAATTAATAATTGCGAGTGCTGGAGGGTTTAGAATGCATTATAGTGAGCCCAGCCCCATTTTCTAAAGTAATAGACTGTCCAATACAGGTGCGGCTTTTAGATTATCTCCTGGCCTGCTGCTCTTTTTCTTTCTTCAGCATCAGATCACGCATGGCAGCTCTTGCATTTCGACTTCCTCCAAGCTTTGGACCCTTGAGCACTTCTTCATCCTTCTTTGCAGCTGGGACGGGCTTCTTCTTCTGCTGCCTCTCCGCCATGGCTTCAAGAAACTCTCGTCGGAATTCTTCAGCTAGGCGATCATCTGCTGCTTCATCATGGTCCACGCCGGGCGTAGTCGCTGCAGGTGGTGTTGGCGTCTCGTAGACATCCACTGTGCGATGATTAGCAACGTACTCCATACTTCACATTGGGAGCAGCTTACGTCTGTTTTCTCTGAGAATCTCGTCCACAAGTTGGTCACGCTTGATGTCGTCGCTAGTTCTTCTGTTACGAGTCCTCCAAGGCTTGCCATCACGGCCCAGCCTGACTTTCTTGGGGCGCGACGACTGTTCCTCGTCTACTACCTCGCCTTGGAGTTTCCGTCGGGCACGCTCCGTCAATATCTCGTTTTTGCTTCGCACATCGTCGCCAAGATCGACCTCCTGAAGTTGTCCTCGTACGAAAGTGGGTATTGGAAGATCGTGTCTCGCTTCCATCGGGATGCTAGCCGTAGCACACTCAGATGATGGGCCTTGTGAAGTGCCATGACTTGATGAGGCGGCTGACTTTCGCTTGGCCAGTTCGGATTCTATAAATTCAGTCCTTGCTCCATCAGCAACTGTACAGTATCAATGGCCGCACCCCCGGGGATGGACTCACATATGCTTATTCACGAGGTCGCTAGACAATCCGGTTTGCGCGGTGAAACGCTTGTTGACACCCCCATTGGCCAGCTCAGTCGCTTTTTGTTCCTCTTCTCGTATCATCAAAGTGAGCTCGTCGTCTGCAGTGGCGGTGCTGCTTTGCGCAACGTCGGCACCGAATCCGACGCCCTTCATACGTGATTTCCGTGCGTTTCGCCGTCTAATGATCTCTGCCACCGATGGGTTGTCCTCGACCTCTTTCGCCATCGCATTTTGTGCCGCACCGTCTCGATTCACCGCCGGGTCGTTCGCTGCATCTGCCTGGACACTCGAAACATCCTCGTCCGCCGGTCTCTGCCTTAAGAACTTCCGCTTCTTGCCACGGAAGACGACTGGCGCATCCTGTGTCGCATCCGAAGCGTGTGCTGGATCCATCATGCTACGCGTTGGATGTGGTTCAGTCAGAAGTTGGATGCCCGAAAGAAATGCGCGGATATGGATGGTTGCCCGGTTTCGAGTGTCCAGAATCAAACTGCACGCAAAGGCGCGACTGCGAATTGCATTTTAGCGATCATGGCGCCCTTCACCAAGCTAACGTAGTGCTAGTCTAGCCTGAGGCAGGCCCTGCGTCACGGAAGCTCCACCACAGCTAACGCTACCCCAGAGAGCGGATTCGTCTTGCATGGAACTTGACAACCAACACCAGCACACGACCCAAGCAAACTATCACCACCCAGTAGAGCCCACTGTTTTCAGCATGTCACAAAGGGTAATTCACCAGCGAAACCTCCCAGAAAATCCAGGCTGACCCATTTTCGAGATCTACTTCCTCGTACATGGCACCGTTCAAGGTGAGCATTGCCCAATATCTCGTCCAGCTGCTTCCACCTACAAATGACGTCACATGCAGGCGTCAACTTTCGCTCCTTTACGAAGAAAAGGGCGACAGAGGCTGGCATCACAGGATGGGTGAGGAACAACGATAACGATCAGGTAGCATTATCCTTCATCTCCACTGTTCAGCACAATCACTGACTTACATTACCTAGGTCGAAGGCGAGGCTCAGGGTCCTCCAGATGCTATCAACCAGTTTCTGAAGCACATTCATGACGGACCGTCTCATGCCAGAGTCTCCAAGCTAGATAAGGAGGAGAGGCAGGTGAAAGAAGGCGAGTCTAAATTCGAGGTTCGTTGAGACGGTCTTGTCCGACCGCGTCATGGTCATTCGACGTTCAGTGGTCAAGACAAATTGGTCACCGAAGACCTTGAGAGCATTCTATGTACGTAGGCATAACCCAAACAGCACATGGCATGTGGGAGCAATATACACACAGTCCTGGCTGACTCATCGGAGATTTTCCATATCGCTGTTTGTGAGCTCGACTATTCCCAATAAGTCTCGGAAGTCGCCTCGGCTCCCCTGAGAGATCTGCATTCTTGCGACTGGGGTTGTCCTCAATCTGCAACGGTGATTCGATGCCCAATAACCATGATCTCTCAAGGCAATGCGGCTCTAGTCCACTTCTGCTTCCAATCTCAACGGTAACGGAATCGTCGGCCTTTTAAGGTTCTTTTTGGCAATATTCATGTAACCCAGCACTACGGCTTGGGCCGTCTGGGATAAATTGCGATCCATGCCGGAGATGCAGGCCCGTGGTGCCTCCTTTCCGATTTAGTGGCGGCACTCCAACTTCCACCCACCACAACCGGCAATATAGCCCTTGGCGCGTACGAAGTTCTGAGGGGACTTCAATTTCGCGCTGTCGCCTTTGGAGTTTTTGGAGAAGAAATTGGAGGAGTCTGGGGGAGAATGCGGAGGCGGCAAATCTCCTTTCTCGTGGCGAGAGCCGCGCCTTTATGTATAAAGGCAGATCATGCTGTCCCTTTGAGCACGTCATGAGCTTTGCACATTAGCTCGACTCGTTGAGATATCCTTTCCAGGTCATCTGAGATACAATGGCTCTCTTCGTCCCCGTTGGATTGGCCCTATTGGGTCTGGCCAATGCTCAGACGCCGGTTGGCACTGAAGCCCACCCTCAGCTCACCACCTATCGATGCACGGTAGCCGGTGGCTGCACCGAAGCCACTAACTTCGTTGTTCTTGACTCGCTTGCACACTCGGTTCACCAGGTTAACAGCACTGTCGGCTGCGGAGACTGGGGGAATGCGCCCAACTCGACTGCGTGCCCTACCGAGGAGGCCTGCGCGGCCAACTGTATCCAGGAGGGCTTGACCGACTACAGCACCGTAGGCGTCACAACCAGTGGAGCCTCACTGCGCATGCAGATGCTCGTCAACAATGTTTCGGTTTCGCCTCGTATCTACCTCCTCGATGAGACGGAGGAAAAGTACGAAATGGTCAAGTTCACTGGCTACGAGTTTACTTTCGACATCGACGCTACCAAGCTCCCTTGCGGTATGAACAGTGCGCTGTACCTCTCTGAGATGGAAGACGATGGCGGTAAGAGCGAGCTCAACGCGGGTGGTGCTCCCCGCGGCACGGGTTACTGTGATGCTCAGTGCTACACTACACCATTCGTAAACGGTGTTGTAAGTTTTGCCTTTCAGATCCTTCCTGCCAATGCCACACACATTTCAATCTTCGCAAAATAACCCATGCTAATATGAGTGAACGTAGGCTAACCTTGCTGGTGCCGGTGCCTGCTGCAACGAGATGGACATTTGGGAGGCCAACGCTCGATCTCAACAAATCGCACCACACCCTTGCAACGAGTCTGGTGTATACCTGTGCGAGGGCGCTGAGTGCGGATCCGGCGGTGTTTGCGACAAGAACGGCTGCGGCTGGAACCCGTACCGCCTTGACCAGACGGATTACTACGGCGAAGGCTCAACCTTCGACGTTGATACCACCAAGCCCTTCACGGTGGTGACACAGTTCCCAGCCAACAACTCCACCGGCAAGCTGGACGAGATCACCCGACTGTACGTCCAGGATGGTGTAGTTGTCAAGGCCGAGACCGTCTCCAAGGAGGGTTTGCCCGCCGTTGACTCTATCACCTCGGACTACTGTGTTGCGAGCGGTGCCACTGCCTTTGACAGGCTCGGCGGCCTGGAGGTGATGGGCGATGCAATGACGAGGGGCATGGTCATGGCCTTTAGTATCTGGTGGGCTACCGATGGCGGCATGGTGTGGCTCGATGGCGCTTCACAAGGTGCAGGTCCTTGCACGGACAGTGAGGACTTGCCGGAGAACATTCTCGCGGTCGAGCCCGAGCCCGAGGTCACCTTCAGCAACTTGAAGTGGGGTGAGATCGGCAGCACATTTGCTACCAACGGTACATCAAAGTACAGGTGGGCGAGAAAGTACTTGTAAACTACGCCGCAGAGCACTGGCTTCAGATACCTAGAGTTTCGTGTATATAGCTTTTACAATTACATAAATACATCGTTTGACACAAGATCGTGAAGCGAGCCGATAGGTTGCACCTCATCCGTAAGAGACACTAAAAAAAAGTACTTTCTCCTTTGCTGACGGAGTTTTCAGTATTGGTATTGTGCTGGATTAGGCAGATAGATTGTGCACCTTACCGTGGTTTTGACTACCTGCGCATGGACTTGCTACATCTTATATTGAATTACGAGAAATGCACTTAAAAGAGAGCGAGTGAACATGGAGCTTTTGCTGCAATGTAAGCCAGCAACCTCAAATTTGACAGACTTATGGCTTGAGTACACGAATTGCAGTTGGAAAGAGTTGATACCTTAGCGCTGTCCCGAAGGAAACCCCCCAGGCATGGACTATATTGGGGCTGGGTGTGGGGGGCTGATCCCTGCCTTTCCCCAACTATAGTCATGTTTATGTTTAAGAAATCAAGGAGCCCATGAGATGTCCGGTCACATCCTGATGAGACAGACTCGTAATTTTCTGTATTAGACATTGGTTCTACTATAGTCATGAAGCTGCGGGAGAACTTCCTTACGCGAAGTGGAGCTCCGTTATGTACATGTGTAAGCGTAGTTTTTCCCTTGCGTCATACTTATGCGAGAGGGGGGTAAACGCTTAACCCGGGGGGCGAGAACGACTATGTCGTTAAAACTTTATATGACTTCAACGCGTGCTTTCGACAACCGATACATATCAGCAGATTTTACTGACAGAAACAATTAACATGGCTCCTAAGGTCTTTATGTAAGTCTATATCTGTACCACATCCTAGAGCAACTACGCTAATTGTTCACCCAGTACTGGCGTTACAGGCTATATTGGCGGAGACGCCCTCTATGCACTCAATAAAGCGCATCCCGATTGGGAATACTCCGCCCTGATTCGCACGCAGGAGAAGGCAGACCAAGTAAAGAAGGCGTATCCCAAGCTTCGACCCATCATCGGTGGCCTCGATGACTCCGATATCATCAAGGAAGAGGCATCGAAAGTAGACATCGTTCTGCGTGAGTCCTTGGAGCAACCAAATGCTCAAAAATTAGTAACTTACAAAACCCGTAGACACTGCAGACGCCTCAGACCACGAAGGCGCAGCCAAAGCCATCGCGGCAGGCCTCGAGGCCGGGCACTCCTCTTCGAAGCCTGGCTTCTGGCTCCACACCGGTGGCACCGGAATTCTTACATACTTTGACGAGTCGGCTGGCCGGCTGGGCGAGTGGGAGGAGAAGCAGTTCAACGACTGGGACGGCGTGGAGGAGCTGACCACGCTGCCCGACGAGGCCTTCCACCGCAACGTGGACAAGATCGTGCTCGAGGCCGGCACCAAGCACGGCAGCTCGGTCAAGACGGCCCTCGTGTGCCCGCCGACCATCTACGGCCAGGGCCGGGGCCCCGTCAACGGGCGCAGCAGACAGGCCTACGAGCTCGCCAGCCTCGTCCTGAGGAAGGGCTACGCGCCCATCGTCGGCGGGGGCCGGGCGCGCTGGAACAGCGTCCACGTGCACGACCTCGCCGACGCCTTCGTGCTGCTCGCCGAGGCGGCCGTGGCCGGGAACCTGTCCGGGGAGATCTGGGGCGCCAGGGGCTACTTCTTCGCCGAGAACGGGGAGTTCGTCTGGGGCGACCTGTCGAGGCTCATGGCCAGGAAGGCGTACGAGCTGGGCTACATCAAGGACGAGCCCAAGGAACAGGCCCTGAGCAAGGACGAGGCCTTCGAGGTGGCAGACTTCCAGGCTGTGAGCTGGGGACTTAACTCCAGGAGCAGGGGAGAGCGGCTGAACAGAACGTTGGGCTGGAAGCCGTATCGCCCGAGCATCGAGGAGGAGGTTCCGGGAATACTAAAGAGCGAGAAGGCGTTGTTGGAGAAGAAGTAGACCGGGGTGGGCTGTGAAAGTTGCACCACAATGAATATGAGCTCTTGCACGATCTGGCTGCGGCTTCCATGTACAAATGCTCCCTGCTAAATATTGGTTCCCAGTACCTAACTGACATCCCGCAAACGTTGCCATAAAAGCAGTACACGGCAGCGGCTAACAACACTCAAGTATCTGCAAACCGATATCCTTGCTCTAATGCAGCACAACACACCACTTCTGATTTCAGATAAGTGATATTGGCATGGTATCCATACTGTTCATGACTATGATGCTGGATGGCACCACGTCTGCCACGTTCGGCGCATGCCGAAAGCGTATACTCCACTTACGCCTAGTCTAGCGTTGACTCGATTATTGCGTACCCCGCCGACGTCGGGTAGTCGATCACGAAATCGCGAATAATATGTGGTGGGGCTCATCGGAAAGGCATTGAATAAGAGTCATGCTCTTTCTAATAGAGTCAACTCTCTAGGGATTTCTGTGGTGCTATCATACCAGCGATCTGTCTGACCATCGTGGCACTTTTATCTGTACTTCAAGCGACTTGCGTCCTCGACTGGCAGGCCGTACATAGTGAGATGCGAACGAGCGAGATGGGCGACGACACCAACGGCTCTACGGCTGCTCGTTCAGAGCTTGTCGGCGGCATGGCTCACGAGGAGTCTACCCCCAGCGGCACCAGTTACGAAACACCGGCCACGAGGTTGCAGCACCTCTCGCTGTCGAGCCAAACCATTCACGCGGATGACTACCTCAATATGTACAAGGACGTGGCACCAGCAATGCACGTCTCGACCACCTTTCGATATAGTAGGAACCCAGACGAGCTGAAACAGTGGAACAACGAGAACGTACGGTGCCCTTGGGTTTTAGACGCGACATTCTGAATGATGCAACGGCTAACGATGCTTTCATCGCAGCCGGTTAACCCCTACAACTCCCACATCTATTCCCGTGACAGCGCGCCGAACAGCACTCGCCTCGAAGCAATTCTGACCTCGATCCTTCATGGGCCGTCCCTGACCTACAGCTCCGGCCTGTCGGCCTTCCACGCCATGCTCGTGCATCTGAACCCGAAGCGCATCGCCATCGGCGGTGGCTACCACGGCTGCCACGGCGTGATAAAATTGCTGTCCAAACTCACGGGCTTGCAAATGGTCGATCTCGATTGTCCCGACTCGGAGTTGGGCAAGGGCGATGTACTACATGTCGAGACACCCCTGAACCCCACAGGCGAGGCGCGGAACCTGGAGTTTTACAGGAAGAAGGCGGACCGGACAGGCGCCTGGCTGACGATTGATGCTACGTTTGCGCCACCGCCGTTGCTAGATCCGTTCTTGTGGGGAGCGGACGTGGTGATGCACTCTGGCACGAAGTATTTTGGTGGCCACAGCGACATGCTGTGCGGTGTTTTGGCCATGGCCCCGAAACATAGTGCGTGGATTGAAGAGCTGAGGGATGAAAGACTTGTGCTTGGTAGTGTGCTGGGAAGTTTGGAAGGATGGCTGGGCGTCAGAAGTCTAAGGACGCTTGAGATACGTGTGAAGAAGCAGAGCCATGACGCGGAGAAACTGGTCCAATGGTTGACGTCTGAACTGCAGAAGGACGGAAGCCTGGTCAGCAAGCTGGTCAAGGAAGTCAACCACGCAAGCCTGCAAAAGCAAGACTTGGAGGGCGAGAATGCTTGGCTGAAGCAGCAGATGCCGAACGGATTTGGACCCGTGTTTTCTTTCCTGTTCAAAGAGGGAAGCCTCGCGAAGAGACTGCCGAGTAAACTACACTTGTTTCAACACGCCACGAGTTTAGGCGGTGTAGAGAGTTTGATAGAGTGGAGAGCTATGTCGGACAAGAGTTGTGACAAACGCTTGTTGAGAGTAAGTGTTGGCATAGAAGGATGGGAAGATCTGCGGGACGACTTGGTGCAAGGCTTCGAAGCTCTGAGCAAGGAGAGTACGGCGTAGAGCTCTGTATGCCTGTGTCAAATGTACATCGACGGAATAGCGCGATCGCAACATACATTGAGCACTGTAGTCACCTCAAATATAGTTTGTGATCAGTCACATGATTAAAATCCCTGCGGGCTTTAATCGAGCCAGTTTGAGTTGGTCGCCGTATGGATCACGCTTCTTCAAGTGTACTCTCGCATTGTCGTCTCTATTGAGGTCGATTCTCAGCCGCGGCTGGTGATTTTAAGCAACTCCGAAACGCTGACCACTTTGTAACCTTGACTTTTCGCTTCCTTTAGTACCTTTCTCAACATCGGTGCTGTCCAAGGTCTTCTGTCGTGACATATGATAATTCCTCCCGGATGCATCATACTCAATATGTGCTTCGCATTAATCCACGAATACTGGATCTGTGGATCGTGTGGGTATATACTGCCAAGCACAATCCTGTATCCCAGTTTATTGACCAGCTTCCTCATACGGTCGCTGAAGAAGCCCGATCCAGGTCTGAAATACTGTGGTGGAAGGTCTTTCTCCGCCGTGTTGTAAGCAGCCCGGATCTTGTCGCGTACCGTTTCAATCTGGGCCGTCAGCTCCTCGTCGCTCAGCGCCCTGCTGGGCTCGTCGTGCATCGCATGGTTGCCAAGCTCGTTGCCGCTGCGTACTACGTCGGCCAGAATCTCCTCTCGTCCGGAGACCTGGCCGCCGATCGTAAAGAAGGTCGCCGTGGCGTCATACGCCTTCAGGATCCCGAGGATTTGTTCCGTGTGTTCGGACGGGGCGTCGTCGATGGTCAGCGCGACCACCTTCGTCTTCGTTTCGATTTCCCATAATACATCGGGCCACCGCCTCGAGAAATAGCGAATCAGCGATCGCGGCGGCCTGTAGATTATGTAGAATGGGATCAGCAGAAGCAACACGATCACCAACAGGGTGAATAGCGTGTTCATCCTGCGCCTGCGGACTCGTCGCCGGAGCTTGGACGGGAGGCGGAAAAGCGCGGGGAGGCGCAGCATTGGCGTATTGAGGCTTCACATTCGGGTAAATCCAACTTCTTCTTTGTTGAATTGGCCCTCGTCGGGTTGTGCAGCGTTAATGAAGTCTGCGTTGCATGACGGGACGAATTTTCGGGAGTTGCAGGTCCAGATTTCAAGATAAGCTTTCAGATGCGATGCGCTTTCGACTACTGACGCCATGCTGTTGATTAATTAGGGGTTCAGGGGTTCGCTAGTGCTTCGGGAAATTTTATTGCCCCCTGTCATATGTTGATTGGTCGCTGGCCAATCTTGTTGCGTTATGTGCTAAATATACATGGAGGAGACGGTTTTTTTTTTTTTTTTTTACATTTACAAAGACAAAGAGTCGTGCTGAAGCCATTAATCAATGAGGCTAACACTTGGTTTATCTCAATATTTTGCCCAAGTTCTCAGGACGATCCTTGTGTACGGCAAGGTGGTTCTATTCAAGTTTCTGAACGAAGGACTTTAGGTACAACACTAAGTATATAGATAAGCCACGCTCCTATCTACATATAGAAATGATGTTGTCAGTCAGACCCGGCCTGCAAACTTGACAACTATGTATTGCCTTCCTGCAAGCCAAAGATTCTTGTAGAGACAGGGCTATATTCAGTTTCGACATGACCATGTCTCTATTAGAGGACCCAAAGTGTCGTCTCACTCCTTGTAGTGCGAGACTTCACGCCCCACGGGCACGTGCAACCCTTTTGGAGTCAGCAAATTCGCAAGCATCTACGTGTAAGAACTGCAGCTAGGACTGGTTCCTCGTCACAAAATCGACCACTGCTCGATTGGGGCCTTGCCAATTTCCCCGCGCCCGTATAAACCATGAGCCAATGATTCCCGCAAACACCGCACTAAACACTGGCCCGCAATAGTTCATGTTTGATGCTGTAACTGGCAGGTTGTTAGGGAATGGTAGCCAGATCATCACCCAAAGGGTATATACAAGAGCCACGACATTAATCAACGGGCCTACTCTGCCGAGGTTCCACACGTCAACTTTGAAACTATTCGTATATCGAGCGTACAAGACGCAGAAGATAACAATAGCATAGCTAAGGTATGCTGACAAAGACGATAAGGATACGATTGCCCCAAAGGCGATGTAGGTCCCACTGCCGACATTTAGAAGCGACAATATAGTGACGATTGTGGAAGCCAATAACACTGCTCGAAGCGGCACACGTTGTTTTGCGTCGACGTATCCAAAGTAATGAGGTAGGCCGCCGTCTCTGGCCCAAGCCCATGTCAGCCGAGAAACAGAGGATACTACCTGCAATAGCTCAGGTCAGTATCGCCGCTTCGAAATGAACTTCCGGCGTGCTACAAGTATCACAAGCCATAATAAAGAACGGCCTCAGATGGGCAGTAAGCACACCCAAGATAAAATCCGGGTGGGTCAGAAAGGACTGCTGAGGTTACTCACTCCTACATTGCCTGAAATTCCTATAACCATCAGTATTGATAGTGTGACCGTAGCCATGGTGGGTCCCGTGGAGTAGAGCAAGATCGTGACTAGCGGACTTGACGAGCTAAGAAGTATATCCAAGGCAGGCATACAGAGCTAAAAACGGTTATCTTCGAAAAGTGTTCAACTGGAACATTTCAGCCTGGCATGTCTTGACTTACGCCGAAAGTGACCATCATAACTACACCGAGGCATGCATTAAGGAGGAGTGACCAGAGCACAGCTCGCGGAACTGCTTGCTTGGGGTTGCGTGATTCTTCACCCATATGGATAATGCTCTCGAAGCCTGTTAAGCATCAGCCGTTTCCTCAGACCCTGGGTTTAGGTTGCCTATAGCACCTACTTAGGTAAAGAAAGATGTTTGACAACGCTCCAATATTGGCCGAGACGAAGTAATTGCCTTCCCAACCAGTAGAGACATTAGTGATCAAAAAGACATCGGCACTGTTGCGCTTTGGTGTCATAACCCAGACAGAAACTAGTATGACGAAAAAGAGGCAAACATTCAAGATGCCTATTAGACCATTAGTTACGGCAGCATTGAGTTGGGTAGCAGTTATTATGGACTTGGACATTACCCGTGAAAAGCTCAAACCATGGCACAAGCCTGAAACAATACATGTTCACGAATGCACAAAACGCCAACATTGCGATCATGATACATGTCGTATGCCAGCCCCCAGGTGAATAGTCCGGGTGATTGATCTGGATCAGCCCTTCAAAAATCACTGTTGTGCCATTCATACAGCTAGCGAGTAGCGCAATATAGGCGATCCAGGTAGTCCAACCTTGAAGCCAGGTAAGAAACAGCTTGGATGATTCTGGTGCGAAATGCTGCAGTATTTGATGTTAGTCTATAATTTCTGTCAAACATCTGACTTCCGTACTTACATGGGTCCAGTAGTATTGAGCTCCTGCCTGGAGAGAGAAAATACGTCAGCCTCTGCTCTTTCGCAAAATCATCGCAAGTCAATTGATATTGATAACATGAGATGAGTTACACATTTGCGTCTTGAATGACGGAAGTAGAACAAGTGTCTGGCCACGTTCAGTCACTTACGAGGGGCTGGATCGAAGCCAGCTCGGCGAAAGAGGCCGCTTGACATAAGGCCCCAAATGAAATGATGAAGTAGCCGAAAAACCAGGCTGCAGGGCCGCCATTCGCGAGAGCAAAATACATATTGCTGTTACATTGTGTTTTAGTCTTTTACGCTTCATGCTTACGAGGTTAACTTGATGCAATGACTCACCCACCAGTAGAGTACCATAATTGCATATACACAAAATTGAAGAAGAAGAGTTGCACTGGCGAGAATAACCGCCTAGTTCTTGTTTGTTTCTCGAGATTTGAGATAGACGACTCATTTTCGGACGTTGATTGTTGCTCCGATATGTCCACTGTCTCCAACTCACGCTTCAAGATGTCGTCCATTGTAAAAACCGGTGAAGGTAACGTGGATATGGAATGCTCTACTCCAGGTAATTTAATCAACTAGAAGCCAAAGAACCACTATCGATTAAAAATTGACAAGTTCAGGGAAGCTCGAGTATAGAAGGGATAAACTGCTTATGGAATTGGGAAATCTTCGCGTTGGCTCAGGCTCGAAGCTTGAAGATAAGAGTCTGACCATTCGTATAAAATCTGGCGAGATCTGCATATGTAACCATGCATGCGTGTCAGATCTAGACACTTCTGATCTTGTAGGTCATTGGGGCAGAAAAGGGTTGAGCCAAGTATCGAATGCCACACACTGTCACTGCATAAAAGTGGTGTAACCCTGCCTCCAATGGCAGGGAAAACCGACAAAGGTGCTGCCAGTTCGTCACACAAGAGACGTGAAAAAAGAAAGAAGAAAAGAAAGAGGGAAGCAGGCGGGATGTGATGTCTTTGAACTTATCGGCTTATGTGAAAGACGTGTTTTAACTCTTATTTCCTGGCTTGCGTTTATGAAAATTGTCGCGGCACGAGATCAATCGAAATAGAGAATGGCAATAGACAGTGGTCTAACGGATTTTCCTTTGTTTCTGTACCTCGCCAACGGTGGGCTTCGGGCCGCCTGTTCAATTGGTCGGATTAGCGAATTGGATGTGATTTCCTTGGTCCGACACCAAGCACTATACTACGATGAGCTATTGCCGCTGCACTCGCTACCGGATATCAAGTTCGGTGCCCACAATATTAGTCGAAATAGATATGATTAGTTCTTTGGCGCTGTGAACAAGTCGATTCCTCACATACTATGGTATTGAGTATCATGCTAAGGTCTAGGTCTCAGGGCCTGTTATCGTATCGAACTCTTCTTCAAGCAATCGTTGTTCCCATCATGACGCGCGGTATGCATTCTTCTCTCAGCGCCTGTACGACTGGCGCAGCGGTCACTTTCTACTTGCTATCGCTTGCACTGAGTTCTGAACTTTGTTATTAGAGGCACATCGAATCCGAACACAACCAAGCGAGCTCTGCGCCGTGAAGTCTAGGTGGTAAGTTCGCGTTGTCCCCGGCGGTATGCAATAAAAATCCCTGTCTATCTGATATAATCTGTACGCCATGTACTCAGGTATTTATCTGATAGTGGTCACTGCTTCACGCACGTAGTGACGACCCAGATTTAATTGGTGAGCGCGTCGGACTCCTCCTTCGTTCTCGAACCAATTACTACTGAACTTGTTACTCTTGAGGCTTTTGTGTCTCATGGTCCCAACCTTGGCGGCAGCAAATGGGCATCCATGAACATTGTCCCAAGACCTGGCTGAGGTTACGTTCTCAAAATCTGGGCGCATTGTGAGTTCGACATAGAAATCACGTTCGTCCATCAATGCAAAAACCAAGAGTGGTGAGACTAATCAATGCAAAAACCAAGAGTGGTGAGACTAACCAAGTGCCGATTAATGCAAAGCTCTGTCGGTGTGCTTGTTCGGCAACCTACAATGCATCCCTGTTTCTGCACTGAAGCTTTCAAGAACTTGAGCTTCACCCAAGCTGTATCGCGGCTTCAACCAGCAAAGAACATGTATCGTTAATGGTGTTCCTTCTCAACACGGGTAGTGAGATCTTTCCTGGCTAAGCCAATTGCGGTTAGGTCTGGTGGGTTGAGTACCTACTATATTCTTTCATATACACTAATCAGCTTCAGAAGCTGTACTTGTCAAGCGAACTTACGTGTGTAGGATTTCATTGTAGTGATCGTACAATCTAAGCTCGAATCGGTACTGCTGTGACTATTTACCAGATTTATCAAAGTATAGTAGAGCCGCTGGCAGATATTTCGTCCATTAAATAGTTGGTTTACGAGGGATACTATTGCATGAGTAAAGAAGGGTATAAAACGAATATTAAGCAGTTGAATAATTCATAGGAGTCTATCGTTTCAGCCACAGCCATCTGCCCTGTTAGCAAAAGTTGCCGCCAGTGGCGGCAGTTCCTTGGGGCTCAACGCTGACGACGGCAATCTCTTCAATGTTCTGTCAACAGCTACCTAGGACAATGAAATGTATAATGGTCTTGTCAATTAAAATCTAAGGACATATTTGATCGAGCTAGAGTGAAATACCAAGAGTAAAGAGTTGACCACTCGTACATTTATCTTAACTATTGTAGCACCGGGGCAAGATCTTATGGCAGGATATAAATCTGAAACAAAAGCTTTCCGCAAACTGTTAGTAAACGGTACGAACTGACGGGAGTATCTCAAGTAAATGTACCAGGTACGTTTAATTTGTTTACGTGGATGTTGCGGAAGTTGCGGTTTCTATTATTGTGTTGTTCTTCCTTAACATTCGGAAGTCCGCAACTGTAATTTGTAAAGGTGGAACCTGGTAGTTGACAAATAAAAGCTTGTGATCCCATATATCTTGTCAGCCTCCCCGTTGCACAAATCGCGAAAGGCCGAATTACAAAGCAAAACCGCACTAAACCTCCTTCATCAAATCGATCTGCCCAAACAAGCCACAATCTTCGGTGCCGCAATCTATTAGCGATATACATCGCAAGACATGGTCACGTCTATTTTGGAGTAACAATCCAATTTCCTGTCTAAATGCTGACTGCATGAGCAAATGGGGTCAACCATCTAGTATTTTGGTCTTGATTAGCTCCGTTGTATCTTGTATTGTTTCACATAGTATAAATATCGCTGTTGTCACTTTTCATTTAACTTGTCATGCGATATACGCAACTGTGCATTTAACCATTGTCTACTCTGATGCTTACAGAATAGAACGTTTACTATTCCCATCGGTACCTTCGTCACCAAAGGGACATTTATTTTGATACTTTGCAAGACACTCGGCTAGATTGGAAATACGCAGTTTCAAAAGTCGATAGATCACCCTGTCCAGGATGAATAGCTACGAACAGGACAAACTGGACACCCTAGGATTGGGACAACCTAAGCGGTTCATCACCGATCACGACGCTCAAGGTAGATCTATCTTCAGCAATGCTTTCACCGAAGAAGTCCCATCTACTCCAAAGCCTGGCGCGGTTGTTCACGACGTTTTCGTATCGACCCAAACGCCTGCGCAAATGAACAACGGCGAGGACCTCAAGGCAATGGCAGATCTGCCTCCGGTTGAGGGCATCTCACGTCCTGGCGCGACCACCATGCGTTTCGTCGACTTCCTCCCTGGTTTGCCAGCTATCATGCACCGAACTCACACCATCGACTTCGGTGTGGTCATTTCTGGTGAGCTGGAGCTCATCTTGGATTCTGGAGAGAAAAGGATGCTAAAGCCGGGCGATACTGTCGTGCAGAGAGGCACAAACCATGCGTGGAGGAATCCGGACCCAAGGAAGACAACAAGATGTTTGTTTGTTATGGCTCCTTGTGAGCCTCTGATTGTGAACGGAACGCAGTTGGGGGAGAGCTTTGAGCATCCTCAAAACTGAAGTCGCGCCAACTTCGTGGTTTCAAACCCGTAGAAAACCCTTATTCGTTTTACAGCTTCTAAGCGTCATGCGAATAATTATGATTTGTAGTTTACAAGAGAAATAAACACAATGATATAGTACGAATGCCAAGGTTGCCCTAACCCATCTTTCAGTCACCTTGTATGAAAAGCAAAGAAAACTATGCAATAGTCATGATGTCGTAAACTTCATCACCTCGTCCTTTGCACCAATTGTTCCATCGTAAACAGGGCAGCGGCTCCCAGGAATCCATGATCGAAGGCTCCTCGCCTCACATGATTGATATGAAGCTGCACGTTGTTGCCTGGCTCTAAGAAATCTTCCATGAGAAACTGTAAAGGGTTTGTATCGATCCAGGCCTGAGTTCGAGCATGCTCGTCCTCGTTAGCTGGCGGTTGTGCTGGTCTTGGCTGAGGTTGAAACGGATTGGCATTCGCCGGTATAGGTCGTCGTCGCCACTCGTCAAGGCCAGGTGGTTGTGGACGTGGAGGAGGCGGAGGTGCAAATTGCCAATCCTGATTGTTGCGTTGTTCCCGCATGTGGTTCAAAAATGGCATGAAAGCACGACCCCCTTCGTAGTTCGGTGGGTTCTCAAAGTACTTGCAGTCCTGCTTGTGCTTACATTGAAGGAAGCTGCTCCTATCGCGGTAATATGTCTCGAGGCAGATATAGCACCATTCATGCCCACAAACACCTTTTTATATCATGAGTAACATGGTATCGAGGTTTGGTCTTGGCCACTTACAGGTGATATGATCGCAGCCTGAGAACTTATATACGTCTTTCTGGCATTGTGGACAAGGCTTTGTGATGTCCTTGACCTTTTTCTCCGAGGCTCTTTCGCCCTTCCTCTGCTTTCGATTACGTTTATCGAACTCCTCACAAGTCTCTCCCTTATGCCATGGCAGATTGTGTTGAGCGCATGACAGTGCTTTACAGCTATGACATTTGAGTTTCTCACAACCGAATCGGACTATTTGCCCAGAGTCGCAACGTGGGTTCAGACACCACTTGAAATCACGAATGTTTGCGACAGCGGCCTTCATTGCTAATGTATCATACCTACTCCAATGTTAGCATTACGTTTCGTATGTTAATCTAATGATCTAAACCGAACACAAGACTCACCTGACGAATACGTCCGGGCTGGCAAAAGCCCTGACATCATCGAACTGCAAAAGTTGTGGGCATTCTGGACACTTCAATCGGTCCCACGCAAGAGTCTCCATACTCGAGGTAATCCATTGACCGACACAGTCCTTGCAAGTATTTGACTTGTGTTCGCATGACCTGGTGACGTGCCTTGGTATCTCTGAAACCCTCTTGTCGTCGCTGCATACTGCACAATTCTCGGTTTCCGGTACCAGCCACGCCTCTTCCGCGATGAATTTATCTGCCACTTCTCGTGTGAGTTCAAAGTCGACGACCTGGCCAGAGCTGATACGTCCACGCTTGGTCAAGATCCTGCCTTTGCAGACCATTGTAACATCGTCTGTATCCACCTTGAGGCGACTCGATGCACGACAGTGCACATTCGTGATGATCCGCGACAAAAGCCAATCCCGAAGTGTGCGAAAGTCAGTGGAGTGGTAATGGCCCATAAGAGGTGGGTGGTAGATATACTCTTCGTTCACCCCCCTTAGGACGATATAGTTTTTGGGTGGTGCTATGTCTATCCATATCTTGCGGCAAAGCCAAGCTTTGATTTTGTTGACCTGCCAGTTGTTCCCTTGGAGTAGGCCTGGTCGCAAGCCGCCCCGCGCAGAGATCACAATTCTGTTCGCATCCTCAATCTCCAGAACAGAAGCAAAAGCGCTCCTCAAGCTCCCGATAGTCCCTCCTTTTCCAAGAGCACACTGAATTTTGACAAGTTGATCTGCATCAAAATCTATATTTGTGCTCCAAATAAACTTCAGGGCAGCATCGGTATCGTCATCGTCCTCTGCATTTTGGTCGAGCGCACGGTAGTGCAGTCTAGATATTCCGCCCGGAATCTCATCTCCTAAAAGACACTTGTCCATCCAGTAGAAGATTATCTGCGCATCCTCCAATATCGGCTCTTCATCTTGGTCATCGCCATAGCGTCGCTTCAGGAAAGCCGCGACGTGATGCAACCGCGATGTCTCTCGTGTACCTATCTTGATGGGATCGCGCAAATCATCAAGATCGACCAGATCTATCTGCAACCTCTCTTCTGGTACTTTGCGTGCGAACGCTTCCCCTTTGATAGATCGACGAGCGTGAGGGTCATGATGTGATTTTGATATCCGTGTTCGATGTGGTATCGATTGCGTAAATGTGACCATGATGCTATACTCCGCCGAAATGCACGGATCACTGTGGATTCGGTTCTCGAGATTTGCCTAGGGCAGCGACTATACAGAAGCCCATAAGGCTGGAAGACTTCTTTCGGACATGAGCTACTTGCAGTGCTGCGGGACCTGTAGCGGCGGGAGGAGGGGGTCTATCCCTCATAGATCTTATAAAGGATGACTACTACGAAGTCGTGCAGTCCTCATCGAGACAATCCACTCTAGAAAACCCGGTGAGGTAGACGATAAGCATAAAAAGCTGCGTGACGAAAACAGAAAACTTGCATTTTCCAAGCAACTTGTGATTGCGTGAGGCTCTGTAGCAACGCTTATCCATATGCTACCTCGAGAGCTGACATGAAGAAGCGGGGCAATGACTGCCAGCTAGGAATAGCTCTCGATAGGGCTTCCACTTGCCGACTACATACATTGCTGCGTGGACCTGTAAGCAACCGTCCAATGATGGCGCTCAGCTCACTACAGTGGCGTCGACAGGGAGACTTTGTGTTTGTGCCCGGCTTCAGTGGCGATAGGTTGCCTGCTGATCCGGGGTTGGCAGAAGAGGGTGTGAGTGGTCGCGTCACCTCGGACTTTTATGCATTTACTCCAAGTCGCACGATGGACTGAGTTTGATAGGCCAACTGAAAGTGCAAAACCTTGCGTGAACATGGCATCACAATTAAACGCTTGATGCCTATGTGCTACCAAATGTAACTCTTCCGAAGCCCAAGAACTCTAACAAGACAACAAAGCGCATTTTTGCGATCATAGAGTTCTATACCATTCGCGTTGCGAAAGCATCCACACCAGTCCTGTGCCCGCAGTGATGAATGGGAGCATTCCCTCCCTGAGCTTGACCGTCCTATACACCACCAGTTCTGTCACAGAGGATTACTACGCCCGAAAACGTTGCAGCGCCTAAGTCGTACAAGCGGCCATTCGTGATGGCATATGCCGTGTAGATCCGAATGTGACCTGTGTAGATATTCTTAACGCCATAGACTCGAGTCAGCAATCCTGTCGGCGGCGGACTCTGGCCCGCTGAATTGCTTCAAAGCCACATATGGTTGGTTTATTTAACAATTAACCATGTGTATCACGGCCGTAAGGACCCGTCTTTTACACGAAAACGTCAATGAGTACTTTGCACGCTAAACGTTAGGTAACCCCCGGAATTTGAGTTGTTCACATAGAATAGATAGTAAGGTAACAATCCTCCATGTTTCAGCAGGAATGAAGACGCCACGGATTTGAAGGTGTGGCACAAAACCACATTTAGAAAAGGATTTAAGGTGGTCGGCCAGCTTAGATATACCTAAGATTAGAGTTTATGCGACCACGCCGTTGGCTACAGTGATTAACAGGGGCTCAATAGTCTGGGTAAACCCATTCTGACTTTCGTATTGCATCTACCTTGGTAAAAGCCTCCGAAATCTGGTACGAGTCGATTGTCAGAGGTTCTGTCTGCCGCATACAAGTTGCTTATGCCACTACTCTAGTAAGACCTCGAACTCGAAATCTTTGTTCACAAGCGCATACTCGTCCCGGGTCTTTGGACCGCACGAACCACTGCCGAGGCCGTGATGCTCAGCGTCAAGTCTCAACACCACGTTATCCGTCCTCTTCTCCTCCAGCTCATACGGGTGCTTTGACTCGTCAACATCCTTCACCCTGTAATGTGACACATTGAAGTCGAACAACTTCCTGCTCTTTTCACTCCCGAAGCTCTCTAAGTCGACAAACTGCGCCGTAAGAAACTCGCCCCCGGAGTGAGTAAACTTGACCCACCGGGTGTCGGTCCTGTTGCCACCCTCTTGGGGATATTCATACTCCGTCCATAGCTCTGACACTTCAGCAACACTATACACACCCAGACGTTGGGACAGTTTCTTGTCGCAATAGCTCTCACCGGGTCCACGCCCATACCAAGTGACAGATGCTGGCTTATCCTTATCTCCTGCCCACTCGCTGGGCAACTCCATGGTGAATCCGATGCGCGGTAATGTCTTTGGGAGGTTCAGGCCGCGAGGATGACCCTTTACATGAACGGCCAGCGCTCCTGACGCGTGAAAGGTGTACGCGATGTCCAGATCGATTGACCATGATAGCACCGGTGGGCGGAACTCCTGCTGTACTTTCACGGTGAATTCCGACTCATTATTGGAGCTGCTCCAGGAGCTACCGCGGGTGTAAGTCTTCCCGAGATGCAGTAGCTGCTGTTTCCAGTCTTTACCGTCAGATACTCCCAACCCCAGGTCGTTGTCGGTCGGTGCTCGCCAGAAGGTCAGATCTGGGCTGGCTGCCAAGAAGGGGGCGGAATTCTTTATGAGTGAACGGAGCTTGCCATCAATTGGTGAAAACGTCCATGTAGTGTTTGCGGATTTAACTGTGATAAGGGCTCGTGTTTCGGTGACCTCGAGCTTATCGGAGGAAGCTGGCTGAAGGGCTACGGGATATGGGGCAGTCGTGATAGGAATCTCTTCGAAAGCCAACTCGAACCCTTTTGGTAACGATCGTGTTTCACTTCCATGGCGAAAAAGTAGTTGCACGATACCCTCTCCGGACAGTTTGCCATTTATTTCTGGAAGGGTGAGCTCAACAGTATCTCCAGGCTCAATGCCTGATGGCAGCTCGAGAAACCCAGACTGCGCGGTTGGCTTGCCACCATCAAGGATGAGGTACGTGCACTCCACATGATCCAACGTGATGAAGTCGTATCGGTTTACGATAGTCGCTGACCGGGCCGTGTGCGAAACTACCTTTATCGGCTCGATAGCCTTCTTGTATTCGATGAGTCCAGGTGTTGGGGTATGGTCCGAAAACAAAACACCGTCCATCACGAAGTTGCTGTCGTTTGGTATGTCCCCAAAATCACCACCGTAAGCATAAAACTCATGCCCTGTGTTCTCGTCTTTTTTCAGGAGTCCATGATTTGCCCACTCCCACACAAATCCACCTTGAAGTTTTGGATACTTGTAGAAGACATCAACGTATTCCTTGATGTTACCCGGTCCATTGCCCATGGCATGAATATACTCGCAGAGAACGAGTGGTTTTGTCTTGCTCTCATCTTGAGCAAACATGACAATTTCTTCGATTGGAGGATACATTCTTGAAAACATATCCATAGTTTCCGCGTAGATGTCAGCCTCATAGTGGATAGGCCTGCTGTCATCATACGATTTGATCCAATTGTACATGGCCTTGAAGTTTCGGCCGAAGAATGCTTCATTCCCAAGCGACCAAAAAGTGACGCAAGCATGAAGTTGGTCGCGCCGAACCAAGTGTTGAGCACGATCGACATAGGCTTTCTCCCAGGCTGGATTGTTCGTTGTCCACTCAGCGGCATTCTTTCGTGTCAAAAGTTGACGCTCTCGAAAGGGAAGAGCCCTCTCATCGGGGCTGAGAGCAGCATCAGCTAGAACATGTTAGTACTCCTTGGACTATGATATATACCATATTGAGAGCTTGATTTTACCTATAGATTCAAAACCGTGGCATTCAAGATCGGCTTCGTCCATAACCCAAAACTGCAACAAGTTAGCTGTTGTGTATAATAGTATGTGTTCAATACGGTACGGACCCCAAGTTCATCAGCGAGGTCATATAGACGCACATCACTCGGCTGGTGTGACGTCCGAATAGCATTGATGTTATGAGTCTTCATTAGCAAGAGATCGTTCTTCATGAACTCGTAGGGGACAGCGCGCCCGAATTTCGGGTGGTGCTCATGTCGATTTGCTCCCTTCAGTACGATACGTTTGCCGTTCACTTTGATGAGGCCATCCTTCATTTCGACCTGTTTGAAACCAATGCGGTGAGCGACGAAAGCATTGTTATCCAATGTGACCAAAAGATGATACAATGTCGGCGTTTCTGCTGTCCATTTGGAGGGGTTTTTAATTGGGAATGAGAAATCAATAGAGCCTCCTGACGTAGACTTCGTCTCAGATGCAATAGACGTGCTCTTTGAAGGATCAAAAAGTTCGACTTTGAGATTGCCTGATCCAGTAACATCCACTCGAACCTTAAGGTCAGCGTCGACGTATTGGCTATCAAGTTTGGTCTGTACGAAAAGATCTTCCACTCTTGATTCGGCCGGGAAGCCCAACAGATAGATGTCACGATAAATGCCGCTCATTCTCCACTGATCCTGGTCTTCGATGTAGGTTGCATCGCAAAATTGGTAGACTCTTACAGCAAGTGTATTCTCGCCATCCGTCTCCACCACTTTGGTGATGTCGTATTCGGATGGGTTCCTAGAGCCTTGGTGATAACCGACCTCCTGCCCATTGACCCAGACGTGGAAAGCCGAATCAACACCCTCAAATCTTAGTCTAAGTTGAGAAGTCTGTAGATTTTGAGGCACCGTGAATTTTGTCACATATGAACCCGTCTCGTTGTCATCTAATGGCACGTTTGGTGGGTCCACAGGAATGGGAAAGTTGACGTTCGTGTAGTGCGGGCCCTTGCCATAGCCATTAAGCTGCCACATACTTGGTACGGCCAAATCGTCCCATTGTGTTGTATCGAATGTAGGGTCTTCAAAACCCTCAGGGGCTTCGAATGGGTTCTTGGAATGGCTGAACTTCCACTTCCCCGAAAGGCAGTGTGTCCGTGACTTTGTGATGTCATACGTTAATGCATCTTTAGCTGAGTTGTATACATAAAAGTTCGCACGAGGGGGTAGGGTGTTTTTGTGAAGAATATCGAGATTATTCCAGTCTGGCCGGACCACTGGATGTGTTTTTACTGCAGACATGTTTGAAATAGAACTCCAGCCCAGATTCTTGTTGCCGAAAGACAGCCAGCACAGAAAACGAGAAGAAACATGCTTAATATACGCTGTCGGGTCTGTAGCCGACTAATACTCCACGTTCCGAAGCGGACCGTGGGGTTGGACGGCGACCCCGCTAATGCGGCCTAGTTGGCGACGTTGAATGGGGGAGAACCCACTGAGACTTGCGGACACCATGTGTGAGTTTTCCGACGGCCAACACTTTTGTGGATTCTTGGCTGCAAGGACGCGTGACGAGTTCTCGAATCCTATGGCAAATATTCGATGGTAGCGAGCTTAACCTCGAGATGGTGCCAAAACTACTCCCCTTGGTACGGCGGTGGTGCAGTGTTCAAAGTTCATAGTTCTGCTTGGTGATACGGCCAATAAAGAATGACATACTTCTGGTTTATTTGTCTTTTGATTACTAGACCTAATGAATGGTGTTACCTAATCAAAGGGGATCCTGCGGAAGGTCTCTCCTCCACCTCGCTTCTTCATTTCTTGAGCTGCGGCAATACTGCTCGGCACCTTGATTCCACAACAATCTCCCCATGAGTTTAGCTGATGAAGATGCTTAACACCATTATGTTCGACCATGATGGCGCCGCCCTCCGTCTCGTCTTCTTCTCGTGATACACCGGCTTCTTCTTCTGTACTCATCCCGTCTGTAGCCGGAACGAGTGAACCAAAGAGAAAATGTTGCATAACGGGAAGTTTTCGTAACACCTCAGCTACAAACATTTTCCTCATTCCACCCTCAATCTTTTCCCAGTTCTTGGCCGATGATATGTCGTCCAGCATAGGACTATGCCATCGTAGGCCTTTAACGGTTTTCGTGGCGTTGACGAAGTCGACCTGACCAAGGTACATGAAGTCGTGACCAAACTCTTCCAGGGTCAGCTGCTGATGTATTGCCAGCGGCGTAATGAAGGAATGGTGGAGTAGTTGGCTTGCACCAAATAGAAATGGCAGGAACTGGTAGTCATCAAGCCCCCAAACACCGTGTGAGCCAGCTGGTTCAAGATAGTATGTTGACTGGATTGTGCGCATCAATGTCAAGTAACGGACAAAGACCTTAAGGACGATCGCTTTGAAATCGGAAACCTTAAGTATCTGCAACTGATACAAACACAGCAGCCAGATCATAAAGTTAAGTTCATGGCCTGATCCATAATCAATGCGCGCGCGGTTGCCAAAAGACTGCAACAGATACGTCTCGACCTCGGCGATGGCATCCTGTGCAGTGACACCAAGTTTCTGATGCCACGAAGCACTAGCCGACTGGGTCTTGTCGAGGAACGACCGGAAGAGCTTGTTTCCAAATCTGGAGCCACCGGTATCATCAGGTGGTGTGTCTTGGACTAAAGATTGCGCCTCATCCAGAACTTCCAGAATGGCTTTGACAGGGTCACTCAGATCATGATCCCTAACGGACGATATAGGAGTGTCTTCGACAGCGTCTGAGAGGCCAAAGATGAAGGCCAAGATGAGGTTGTAAGCAGGTGACGCCAAGAATAACGCGTGGTCTTGTACAGAGAGAATTCTCCTTGACGGGACTTTGTATGCAAGCGAAGAGGGTTCGGGAGGTGATGGCAACGGCGGAGTGTCTGGAACAGCCACCGGGTTAGATGGCGGAGCTCTCCGGCGCCTGGGTTCCAGCTTGGGCAATTTGTCCTTGAGATTAGGGATGGTAGACGGTGGTGATATGGACGCCCGCGGTTCCGCCATGATGTCTGGTTTGATTTGATGATGTTGATGGCTGTGCGGTGTCAAGCTGAGCCGAGAGTTGATTTTTTACTCTCTTTCTTTTTGCTGGCTACACAAGCTAAGGTTAGTGAGCCTGCTCAAAGATTTCTGGTATGGTACTTGAAGGATCAAAATAGGCTTGCAGTGGATTATTAGCAGAACAGTACATAAAAGACTGGAATGGAAATTGCCCCGCGATGGACTGGATGCTGGGAAGCGTGACTGGAACGTCACGCACTGGCCGGCGTGTCTGCAAGGAGACCGAACCGCGAACCCGAACCCGAACCCAAACGGCAGAAAACGCGCTAAGTGAGGGGCAAACGCACCTACCTGCATTTTTGGCATGGTGAGGCTAGACTGGTAAAATCGATCTATCAAATCAAATGCTCAATCAGTGGACCACAAACTTTTGCCTAACAAAGCTGCCTTCAGAGTCTATTCACAGCAACACCAATCTGAAATCCTTGTAGTATCTTCCGAGATGTCCGCAACTCACGAACCTGCAGCGATACTGTCGCACCTCAAAAGTGCAGACGGCTCTGCAACGTTCTCTTACGCTGGCTATACCGTTATTGGCGCCGTGAATGGGCCCATAGAGGTCCAAAGAAGGGATGAATTGCCCGAAGAAGCTGTTGTCGACGTCGTCGTACGACCGGCTGCAGGGGTTGGAGGTACGATCATGGTATGACTCAATTTTGTGTCTGCCCAGAGCTGATCTCAATTTTTGATTTAGGAACCAGGGAACGACATCTCGAATCTCTGCTGCAGTCTACACTTCGCCAGATCATTTTGATCAGCAATTTCCCTCGGACACTCATACAGATCACTTTGCAGGTGACAGTGGCCCCGGAAAACGAATATGTGAACACCAAAGTTGCACAATCGAGCACGGTCAGCCACTCCCTTCCAAATCTTCTTGGCCCATCTTATGCTGATTATGCCTATAGAACTTGTCCATTCTACCAGCATTGATACAGACTGCCATACTGGCGCTTCTATCTGCTACAATTCCGTTGACAGCAACGTTGACATCTGCTGTTCTTGCCTTTGTAATGGACGAAGGGGCTAACAAGATTGTCGTAAACCCTTCGGCGCGGGAGATCGAGCTATCGCGGTCTCTTCATGCCTTTGCCTTCACCTCGTACGATGACCTCGTTCTTACCGAGAGCGAAGGCGAGTTCACCTTGAAGGAGTGGAAAGATGCTCTGGAGTCCGCAAGAGGTCAATGCTGCCGGCCACCTCAGTCCAACGACGATATTGACATGAACGACGAGGTTCACACTGGCGCGGATCTTAGAAAATTCACACGATCCACGATGGAAACCCAAATTGCTGCCGATTTGTACTGGAAGTAGCTTTACAGCCTGCTCTGTTTATTCTGAACTTCCGGAATCTTACTATGTTATGCGGAACATCGGAAACACTGCCGTCGAGTGGGTTCAGCAGAACAAATGCGGTTTGGAGTCAGCAGGAATGAGTTCAAACAAACCGTGTAGGAAGAAGTCGGAAGATCGAGTGTTTCGCGCGCGGCTCGAGACTCATCGATCGGTGATAGCGCTTCAGTGCGTCGAAGAAATTTAATGGATGCCTTCCATGCATACGAGCGACGATCTGGTACGCCGATACATGACGTTTCGCTGAGCTGGGCCTATCATGGACGGCTCGAGGATTATGATTCGACAAAAGGGGGTATAGTGGCTACGGTGAACATCTTCGATGCACTTGAGCGGTCATGGTAAGCCTGAAGGGGTTCTGCCACGACCCTACGTTTGAGTTTACCAATATGGGTAAGGCGCTGTTTCATCTCCACCATCGTATCAAGCTCGACCTCGGAAGTAAACGAGACATCAGCGCCTTACTGGCATGGTCAGATCAGCCGTCTTCTACTGCACAGTTTGACTGATCACAACGAAGACAATTTGGATCCATGGGTAAGACTATTCTTAGTTCTCCAAGGGTTTGCGGCACACCCATGATTTGGGTTAGACAAGCCCAGTGCTGTATAGCCGAGGAGCCAGGCAAGAACATTCACTGGTAGATTGGCGGGTATTGCGCAAGGGTGCCGGGAAATACAACTAGAATCAGCTCAAAATCCGTGGAATATGTGTGATCCTAACTGGGGACTATTTCGTTCCAGAAACAACAATCCAGAACGCCTATTCGTTCTGACAACGGTGGGTTCAAACACTACAGGATTTATGCGGAATAGGTGTCCTGAGAAAGTGGGTCTCCAGGAGGCTCAAGGAGCCCATGTGCGAAACCGAGCGGCCTTGGCGAAAGATTCTTTGACGGATCCTTTTGAGAAACCCGCAACTTGAGACGACAAGCCATGCACCAACCTCTTTCGTGGACAATCTCGCCTGTAGAATCCCTGCTGGCGGCGCAAGATGAGACCGACGCTACTGACGATAATCCTCGACAAGTTTGTATCAACGCAGGCAAAGATGGGGGAGCATATCAATATTTCGAGACCATATACTTGGAATGCTCCACCAAGCTGCCACTCCAGCACGGATGGCGGCAAGAGGCAAATATGGAGTTTCGCGAACGGGTAAACCTAACTGCTCCTTCGGCCTCATGAGCTGGTGATAATAAAGATGCTCGAGCCGTGCCGTATATCGTGAGACTCCCGCTTCTCTCGTTAGTCCTGTAGACCCATCTCAACTTTATTTTATTTTTCGCGTGTGCGCAAGCAGCGAAGCAGAGCTCCGGTAGTTCTCGCAATTACCTTTTCTGCCTAATTCTTTCTTTTAACCTCTTCCAGCCTGCATTCTCTGTCTGCTCAACAACAATCCTTGGCATTCATCCCTCAGCTTTGATAGCACTTCTTTTCCCTATTATATCTTAATACATAGATCATAAGATCTTGGCAAATTCTATCAACTTCACTCAGCTATCCATCGCAACAAATATACTTCGTTCCTCGAATCTCAACACCGATTTTCGCGGCCCTCTTTCGTCTACACAGCCATTTTTGGGACATTAAGACGGCGATATACCCTTTTCTGCATCATCATCATCATCATCAACGTCATCAAAATCATCATCATCGTCTCGTTCAAGTCTCTCAAGACACTAGCTCAATTCTCTGGTTGATGGACTGTCTTTGTTCTGCAGCTTAGAACACGCAACATTACGCATTGTCTTCATTGTCTAGCTAAGCTGACAAGATATCACATTCTTGGCGCTCACACATAAAGAGCTCGACCAGTCATGTAAGTTCATTCTCCTGCACGAGCAACCACATGGTACCGGATGGCTTAGACATTTCTGTCTGTCGGCACTTCCTGTTGGCCACTAGAAACATTATTCGTATGCAAATCAGAGGCGACTAATACAGGATATAGTAGTCGGCTTTCACACGAATTGCATTCAATCCCTCCCCAGAGACAAGTCTGTAAATTACACGTGGTCCTGCAAGCAGTGCGTGGAGACGGTCGCTCAGCTCGCTTCATTCGTCTCCGAATACTGAACCCCGCTAACCCACAGCGTCTGTATCGTCACAACCGAGCTATCTTCAGCGGATTCGACGGATCGACAAAGGGCGCTGTACTACGTGCCAGCATCTGCAAGATCCCTGCAGTGTCACACAAAGCTGCAGCATTCTGCACTCGGCGCTTTTAAAGGTTATTATTATCTCCAGAGAATCTCACGTCAATGCAAACCTCGGACAAAATGGCGGGATTAGTGACATCCCCTACATCGATCCACCCTGCCCTCAGTCATCCGACCGCTGGCGGGGAAACTTCCATGTCCGATGGGAACATTGATAATCAATCGTCATCCACTTCAGGATGTCCGCCCAGATTCTCCCAGTCACCCTCCACAACCACCACTACTGCTGTGCAAACACTATTGCCCTTCCCGCTTGATCCGCCTCAACATTTCAGCGATGCCGAGCGGGACGGCGTCCTGCCAGAGCATTCTGCTTTAGGCGTGACAAGCACCAGCTCTATTATAGACAACAAAGTGCCCATTGCTATGCGCGGTCACCACAAGAGTGCGCTTTCAATTGAGTCCATCCCCCGCCAGACTATTATGAAAGCTTTGGCCTCAGTTTCTCGCAACAATAAACCTGAAGCACTCTCTCTACCCGCCATGTTATCCGCACAATCCAACGCCGAGGGCCGACCCTCGTCGTCCTCGTCACAACGTCTTGCGGATGCGTTGAATGAACTCGCCAACCGGAACACACCCACCACGGCCTTGCCCGCTTTGCAGTCTCCCTGTTTCTATCACCAACGGTTTGACGATGCGGTCGACATTGATAAAGTCCTTGAGGAAATCAAGAACGATGACTGGATGTCGCATTCTCGTCTTGTGCAGACGGCTACCGGTGTGCGCGAGGTCTCGAAGCAGCTCCAGCGTAGGCCTATCCGCAGAGCTGTGCGCAACATCATGATCGTCACCAAAGCTCGCGACAATGAGTTGGTCTTTCTCACGAGAGAACTGACAATGTGGCTGCTACGAACGCCGCGCTACGGATCTGACGTGGGGATAAATGTTTATGTGGACGCGAAACTTCGGAACTCTAAGCGGTTTGGTGCTGCTAGCATCGTTGAAGATGACCCACGCTTTAACTCCATGCTACGCTACTGGTCGCCAGATCTCTGCTGGACTCAGCCGGAGAAATTCGACTTGGTACTTACCCTTGGTGGTGATGGCACCGTTCTTTTCACCTCCTGGCTATTCCAGAGAATCGTGCCACCAGTGCTATCCTTCAGTCTGGGCAGTCTTGGCTTTTTGACTAGTTTCGAGTTCGAGAAGTATAAGCAGCACCTCAACCGCATCATGGGTGATGAAGGCATGCGTGTAAATCTTCGTATGCGATTCACTTGCACCGTGTACAGAAATGGTGCATCCGGCAACGAAATAGAGGAGGGGGAGCAATTTGAGGTCCTCAATGAGGTTTTGATTGACCGTGGCCCATCCCCCTACGTCTCGAACCTGGAACTTTATGGCGATAACGAGCTGTTGACAGTCGTCCAAGCAGATGGTTGCATCTTTTCTACGCCTACCGGTTCAACGGCGTACTCATTGTCTGCCGGTGGTTCTCTGGTGCACCCCGATCTTCCCGCCATTCTGCTTACGCCTATCTGCCCACATACCCTATCCTTCCGCCCCATGGTTCTCAGTGACACGATGGCACTGCGCGTAGCGGTTCCTCGCAACTCACGTGCAACAGCGTACTGCGCATTTGATGGCAAAGGTCGCGTAGAGCTCAAGCACGGTGACTATGTCACCATCACCGCCTCGCAATACCCTTTCCCGACAGTCATGCGTACGGGTACGGAGTGGTTCGATAGCGTGTCGCGGACACTGCAGTGGAACACCCGCGCCGCGACTCAGAAGGGGTTTGAAAGTAAGAGAGATGGAGAAAGTCATGACGCTGCCAAGGATGAGGAAGAGCCTGAGTGGGACATTGACACAGACTCAGCTTGCTATGCTTCAGAGGAGGGCAGCGTTAGTGCTAGCCCGCTCAGAAGACAAATGAGTCTCTTGGGCATGTAGAGATCTAGAGATCTCACGATCAGATCTTGCCACCTTTATGTGTGGCTAGACATAAACATCATAGATATAGAAACTGAGCCTTGACCCGTGGAGCACAGAGCACCATACAACACAGTAGACAATCGTTGTCGCTCGATAAGCCCCGGGAATCTGGTAGGCGATGGCAGGAGTTTTATTTGCTTTGCCAGGAATATTTTGTGGTAGCCTCACAGTTCACACATGGTCAGAAATGCATTAATGATACTTCTTTCTGTCCTCGATATTCAGGAAACCCAGTTCTTAACGTTGCCAGCTCTTGGCTACGCCGTTATTCGTGTTTCATATTAACCATGTTGCCTTACAAATATAGGAACTCTAAACATTATAGTCTATCTCTTTCCATATCCCACATTGCGGACGTTGCTATACCGTCTATTCACCATAATTAATATTTCTGAGAATGAAATTTCTGACACGTTGTTCCAGAAGGGCTTCCATGGCTGCTAGAAAGTCTAGATAGAAGCATTTTCATTATTCATCTGTGGATAATCACCACCCGTACACTCCTTTTAATATACCGCTTCTCCCCTGTACTTCTGCGCTTCATATTACCAGAGCTGTAAAGTCACAGTATCGGCAACCTGCTAGCTGAGGAAGCGTCTATTCGGCCTGCGCTCCTCCAGCAACCTCGTAATAATACAAGCGTCCCATCATATTCTATAAAAAAAAGTTAGAAAGAAAAAAATCCAATTTCGACCGGCAATCTTTAGTTGCTGCTCCCTGATAGAAAAGTTCTGTAGATACGACACCAGTATGGTCCCTCGTCCTCCGCCATTCCCACTTCCCTTCCTCGTGCCCCACGACATCGCGACTACGACATGGCTCTTTGAGTCCACCATTCATGATTCCCATTTTACAGCAGGCGTATGCGTAGCACGCATCAGTGCTGGCGCCCCGGCCGCGTACTTACGGCTTTTCAAAGGCAAGGTAAAACCCGTGCCCCCCTCCGCGAATATTTCCCGACAGATTATGCCTACGCCATGTGCCATTCTCTGGGGAACATCCCTCTCCGTCTCGACGCTGTCTGTGTGCTGTTGACCGGACCAGTGTATATCTACACACCATTGTGTTGGAAGTTTCGGCTCGACTGCGGACACGGGGGAAAAGAGGACCAGCTAGGGGGTTTCTCTGCTGCTGCTTCCCTCTCTGCCCCTCTTGTTATTCGTTGTCTCTTGTAAAGCGTACAAATATCTTGGATAATTCGAGGTCGAGTTGGCGTAACTGTGACATAGTCCTGGCCGATACGCCAGCCAACGGGGCCACTCGGGGGCTGGGGAAGCTCAAGGTGATTCACAGTCTAACGAGCAAGAGGCTACCTACTCATTTTAGAACAACTGAGGTTGCTTTCGCCTTCGGGCAAACTCTCTGATCGGTGGGCCGTTCAAACAGCATGGTGAGAGCTAGCCTAGTTGTTAGGCGGGCGCCTTGCTGCGGGAACATGTGGGATCGTTGGGTACTGAGGGCTCTCGTGGGTACTGGGGGACATATTTTTTCTTAAGTCATCAGTTCAAATCACTGTTGGCCCGTTTTTCATATTTTTTCCATTCTCGTTTCTTTTTAAATCGGATGAATAAGGCTTTTGACTCCCATTCTATCTATTTAATTTCTACCATTGTAATCATTAGCTTAACGACATATGTAGGCTTGGTCGAACCTCCCTTATGTAGAATATTTTTTAATCTTGTCTTTATACCGTGGTAGCAACGTAAGGCTACTCGCATTAATAAACATGCTACGGCACATGAATCAATAGTGTTGATAGAGTAATGTACTGCTCCCTATCAGGTACTGCAGTCATCACAACGCACTTCCAGTTCTCTAAGGAGCTATGTTCGCATGTGAAGGATGTTGTACTACGCGCGAGAGAGAGAAAGCGGTATTCCTGCGTTCACACGTGAGATGAACGCATTCGAGTTTAGACACGATGACACATTTTCGAGTGCTTTGAGTTGCAAAGGAATTATTTATATACGAGCAAAATTTTATGATTCGTCTCGACAGTCTGCATCGTCTAAACAGGACGAACACATGTGCAAGTCACGATTCCGTAGTTGTTAATGAGTTATATATAAGACAGGGGTTCGGCCAACAAATCCCCTTGGCAATTATACATAATCCAACATGGCTCGAGTTGGTGCCTCAACGCCGTCACCACAGGGATACTCATGGCCCGTGCAAATCAGGTGGCTTTTCTATCCCTAACGCTTCCATGAGGTATCAAGATCCGACAAGGGTACTCCAAAATAACAAGATTTTGTTTCAGCCGTAACGCATTATTATCCTGCTCCTTTCCAGCCTATTCGTCTCATCGCCAATTTCCCTGGCTCAGTGCCAACAACCCCGCGACACAATCCACATCGCCCTTCTTACTTGGGCTGACCTCACCCCGCATGAAGCGCTCGACCTCTTCATCGCTCCTCTTGGGTTTCTTCGCTGCGTTCCCTTCGTTTTCGTCGTACACGTTCTCGCCATCCTCGAAGATGGATAACGAGTTCTCGACACCCTTGCCGCCCCTCAGTCGTGGAACAGGCGCCGTGTTTGATCGACCACCCAGAAGCATGCGCTTGGTTACGTTGCCAATCCCGGAGGACTCCCCGAGAACACCGCGAACCCCACCACGGCGCAGGTTCGTGCTGGCCCTAGCTGCTGCTGCCTGGACGGCGGCCGCAGCTATGCTCGGCAACGGCCGGCGTCGGGTCATCGGGTTTCCGTCCTCATCCGGGCTCCAGTTCTCCTTATCCGAGTCACCACCAGACGGCGAGATGATTACAGAAAGACTGCCTCTCTTTTTCTCGGGCTCGAACTCTACAACCACCTTTTCGGGTTTGTCGAAAGCTGCAGAGGGCGGAAGAGTCTGCAAGCGCGCCACACTGCTGGTGGACCGGCCCAGCCTAGGCTTCTTGTTCGTTGCATCTCGTCGGCTGGTTGGTGCGGCATTTCGCTTGCTACTGTTGGGCCGTAGCACGTTGCTATGGTGGCTAGTTGTTGAGTGACCATGAACCATGTTGGTCAGACTGGTCTGACTGCTGGAACGAAGGAGAGAAATGGCTGCGATTGCTGAGCCGGAAGATTCGTTCTCGGCAAGTTTGGTGAGCTCGTCACGGGTGTCGGCATCGCAGCAGGATTCCCAGGCTGAGACATCCCGCGACCGGCCTCTTGTTAATTGAGGCGGCAGGTTTGCAGTAAGAGACGAAATTGGTGGCAGAGTGATTCCAGGAAGGGAACTTCTACTCCGTTGAAAACTCCTAGGACCCCTGACAGGAGGTAAAGTTGTATCGAGCGGTAGTGAAGACTGCACTGGCCTCGGGGGAGATTGCAAAGATGAAACGATCTCAGCCTTGCCCTCGAGGGAAAGCGAGATGCGGAATTGAGAATTTGAGCTTGAAGGAGGTGGAAGAGCCTGTGCGGGAGGACTGTTTGCTGTTGAGTTCGTTACTCCAGTGAAGGTCTCGAGTCTGATTCATGTTAGTTGAGGACGTGCATTCAAGACCGCAGCACATACCTGGGAGGACCATCCCTGGGCCGCTCGACAGTAGCAGGAGCAGAAAACGAATCGTTTATATGCCACCGGTTGCAAAGATAGCCGACACTCTGGGATAATGATTGCGACGGGGCTGGCACCTCGCTGGTCTGCGGAAGAGGTACTGGTAATGTACGCGACATCGGTTCAGAATGTCTCCTCTCCTGCTTTGGCACATCGGCTGCGTGGGCGTCCTCTCCCGACGACGACTTGGGCCACTCTTGTGAACTGGCATTACCAGGTGTGGACGACCGCCTCTCCGACTCATCAGGACGCGTCAGCCCGACCGCGTCCACACCAGCCATTGAGGCACCGAATGACGAGAGATCCGAGGACAGGGCGTGGAGTCCACCACCGAACCTGAGCTGTGCGATCTCCTGTGGCGAGAGAGGTCGCGACTTTCGGCGGTCGTTCTGACGACGATTTTGAAACCAGATCTACACGCCGGGCTTGCATTAGCAACTGCAGTCCAAGCGCCGCTTCCCCCGGCTGGCTGTTAACTGTAGACTGACCTGGACTTCCTTCTCGTTGAGTGTGACGCGTTTTACCAAGTCCAGACGCGCCGCCTTATCGGGCTTGGGGTTTGCATTGTACGCGGCTTCGAGAATAGCTTTATCTTGTGTGCTACACGGAACAAAGCCATTGTCAGTCCCATTGGCAACACCAGTCTACCGGCAGTCTAGTCCTTACGTGGTCCTCTTCCTCTTTCCCTTGGGGTGCTTCTGGCTGTCGTCATATTGCGAAGGGTATCCGGTGTCCAATTGGAAGGAGGATTCGAGGGAGAGAGACGATGAGTCGGGGTTGCTGGCCTGGGAGCTTCGGAAGGGGTGCTCTTGGCTGTTGGGCAGAGAGTCGTGTGCTCCCGACGCCGAGGCGGGAGACGAGGTGGGCGAGGGGACGTGGGAGGACATGTTCGAGGCGGCGGTATTATAGCTCATGCATTACTCGGCGGGGACAATAATGTAACAGCAGCGGGCGATCCTGTATAGTGTACAAAATAGGGACGGGTTCTCGTTGTGACGTCGAGAATATGAGATCAGTCGGGCGAAAGAGAGGAGGAGAATGGCGGGCGTATGTATGAGGACTGCTGGGGGGGTATTGAATCAATCGAGGTGAACTGAATGACTGACGACTTTAGTCAAATCAAAAGTCGCGTGTAGTTGGGTGCAGGTGTAGGTGCAATTTTAGTGCTAAAACCAACCCCAAAGCACGCTGGACCCCTGCCCGTCCCAGCACCCGCGTTTTGCTGCTGAGATGGGCCACTCACAGCGCGCCGGCGGGGAGCACCACTGCTGAATTAGGAAATTTGTGTACAAACCCCTGCTGGACGCGGTTCACTTGATTCATCCATCACCAAAGTGACGCAGCGAATTCTTCTCCTCCCATCCAAATAAATAAGCTCAATTGTAACCCCCCTCCCCCAAATCCCACTGACTCAGCGCCTCATTCTTGACAGTTGCGACGAAACACTCCCAGATGAAATGAGCTGCAAGGATCTCTCCCCCCATCGTCCCCCAAGGTGTTCCTGTTTATAGGCCCTCCAGCTTTGTTGACACTGCGAGTCTCACCTGTAGCGCAGAGCTAAAACGATATATAAGCAACGACACCCAACCTCAACCGCCTTCAGAACGCCACTATCACATTCATCATTCTAGTTCCCGCTCCGTATGTATCGTACATCTGCTCGAAAAAATAAAATAAAAATTACAAAACTGAAAGCATCTTCGAGTCGTGGCCCTTTCCAACGAGTTTAGGTTCTCACCGCCTCATGACACTGCATCGTACCTCATCTTTCTGACTTCCCAGTGCCACGTTTCATTGTAGCCAGTCTCGCAACTCCCAATACCATATTATTAACGAGGCTTGCAAAAGTAAAGGCGGATTACAAACTCTCAGTCGATTTTGGGAGATCCGAGAACTCGACGACAACAGAACCGTTATGAGATCGTTGTTCTTGTCTTGTATGTCAGTCACATACTAACCTAGATCAGTCGTCAGCTGCCGTGTAACCACCCCATAACGTCAAGTGGCAGGTACTGATTGCTAACTTACTTACCTTTTCGATCGAATTGTTCATTATGAGGCGAACAGTCGTAACTTCCCGGCTCTGACCAATCCTGTGGATACGGGCGAGTGCTTGCCCTTCAATTGATGGGTTCCGTTGCGGCTCCATCAGATACGCCCGCGATGCAGCCGTCAGAGTCCATCTGCGCAAAGACTGAGTTTCGGCTCTCGATATGTTAAAGCTGGGCACGGGTCCATGGCGGCACTTACCCTGCTGCACCACACGAAAGTGACAAGAGCAAAACCTGGATGTTGCCTCTCGTTTGCAACTTCTGGAAAATGACCCGGTCTTTGTGTAGCCTTGACGCTTCCATCGATTTGGACCAAGGTGATGCCAGCATCCTCCAGAGCCACGCTGGTAACATCCAAGGTGGGCTTCCAGGAAGAGAAGATGATGCTAAAGGGACCAGCCACTTGGTCTTTTATAGACGAAGCGGACACTGCTACTGTCTTCGTACCTTTGGTTTCGGGTGACAAACATGGGTGGCCCTGTATCAGTGCCCGGACTTAAGTGGAATACCTGCGTTGGGCACCGTATAGGTCTGGAGCTGCTGGTACGGACGTCGTCGCTCGACTGAGTGTGTCTAACTGCACAGTGACCATAGAGTATGGATAACCACACCCGCAAAATGTTTGGTTTCTGGATTGTTCAGTTCTGTAACATCAAGGTAATGCTTGAGGTTTTCTCTAGATGGCTTGACCCAATTTACTCACCTTCATCGAGTGCCAAACTATGCCAATATGAAGAAAACAAGACGCCTTCGCCCTTCTTAAAATGCCAATGGGCAACAAGTGTTGCGTAGGTGACCAATAATAGGTCCAGATCTTCCGGGTCTTGTAAGTCCGTGGCTTTTGATGCACCATGTTGACAGCGCCAGCTAAAGTGGCCGACCTTTGAATGCATGTTGTCTCTTGACTTTTACCGAACTACGATTTTGGTTGGAGATGAATACTGACTTCGAAAGCTCGGCTTGCCAATTCTATAGCACTAGGCTATGTTAACTCACATACGATGACCGAAATTTGTTAGGTCCCGCGCTGTCATGCCCTAGTTCATTGAAATAAAATATTGTGCTCCTCTTACTTTGTAAGTTCTCTGTAGAATCTAGACATTCTCTTAGAATTGCTGAAATCTCCACTTGGAATGGGTACTAGGAGTGAGAGACTTGGTGATCTAAGAACCAGAAAATTCCATCTAGTGTACCATAAGACCAAGTAGAACGAACTTACGCGAATGTGGCATTACAAGAAGCGTTGTCCTCGAAGTTTCCCCTGGACGCTCATATAGTAAGGATTGACGTGTCAACGCAGATTTATACTCGCCCTAGGATACACGAGACACTGGTGTCGTGGCCCAAAATTATCACCCCCTCACCCGCGATCTACGATCGGATTTTATACTCTATCAAGCTAAATGATCTATTACGTATAATTAAAGATGACGACTTTGTATAGTAGGGTTTCCCTAGCCCTGAGTAGTTAATACCAAGCCGTATCTCGCCGTAAGAAACAACGCATAAAGCCGTGCAGGATACTCTCTTACAATAGCATTCACAGACCGAAGTTTTACAAGATCTAGAAAACGATGATGCCAAAATTCTGCGGTCAATACCAGTGGCCGCCGCTCAGGGTGCATTGGCACATTACAGATAGAACAATCGTCCCGCGTTTTAACAGACATCCAGAAGCTTTGAGTCTGTGTACGCGTGTTAACGTGGTAATTAATTATAGACTCCTTTTTTTTTGGGGGGGGGGGGGGGGATCTGAGAAGCAACGAATCGGAACAGGCACAAGAACATGACAGTTTGATCAAGGGCATATGCCAAGCCACGACGCTCAATGGACTCTCATCCCATAGATATGTGAAGAAGGCTACGAAGATTGCGATGTCCACTGTGAGGATCCCAAACTGTCTCTGGCCCTCGGGTTGTTCCCTTTATTGCAACTTCAACCCCTCGAGGAAGACGAGGATGGCAGCTGAATCAATATACAGTAATGCTCAGGCGATGCTGCCAGCGACCGCTGGAACATACAGAAGCTATTCTTGATGATCCTTTTAGGTTTAGACAAACAAGCGTTATCATTTTCATGTTCTTTCAACAATGTATTACTTCTTTTGAGTGTCGTCCAATCCACATTTACGACCTTGACAAACTGTCCTGCAGGGATGACCGGAAAACCTTCAATTCACTTGACTCCTATATTCTCCACCGCCTGCGACCGTACCATTTATAAACCAGCAAGCACGCTCTGAATACCAATGCTCTTAGAATCCTCCCTGTTGCCCACGAATGTCTTGAAATCAGCCTTCGTCAACCTCTTTCCACCGCTTCCCGCACCCGACGGGCCACCGCCAGCCAAGTTCCGGCTCCGCTCCCTGAGCGCCTCGGGCCCTATGATAAACAGGTATCCAATCTCGGTCAACAGGTCGACGCTTGCCTCCACGTCTTTACTGAGCGACGACTCCGCTTGCTTCAGCGTGCCGACGTACTTTGCGATATCCTTAGTGACCATGAGGCCGCCGGCGGCATTGACGCGGAAGCGCTTGAAGTGGTCGAGCAGGAGTCGCTGCAGGGCGAGGGCAAGTTGATCGCCAAAATGGGACCGGTTGGCACCATCAACAGCCTGGGAGATGAGACCGACTGCACGGGTGAGGAAGGCGCAGATGGTGTCGCAGGTGGGGGTTTGGAAGTTCTCGAGAACGGAATCGTCCTTGGGCAGGAAGTCTACTTTCTTCTGGTTGGCGAGTTGTTTGGTGACATAATTGGCCAGAACGTCGAGTGTTGATTTGAGAATGCTATTGGTCTTCTTCTCGATGGCCTCGATGCCCATTTTTGTCTGGGCTTCCATGCTACGACGTACGGTGGTGTTGGACTCGGCAAGACGAATGAGTACTGTGGTTATGAACCGAGACATGATGCTTGTGATCATGACCGCCGGGCGGACGAGGGGCAGGTAACCCAGGTCTGGCTCCGACTTGATGTTTTCCTGGCTCGCTGCTTTCTCTGAAGCTGCATCCAAGGCCGTCTCGACGTATACCTGACCCATATTAGTCATGAGCAAGTTGAGTAGAATCGCGACATCCTTTGGTGTGTCGGTCTGATTGCCAAGCTCAAGAGTACGCCGGACACTTTCCGCTAGCCATTTCATCATACGTTTAGCATTGGCAGTACTGAGAACACCGTCCTCCTCTGAGACTTCAATCTCGTTTTTGTTCTTGTCTGTGTCTGATACTCCAGCAACTCTCAACATCATTGCTTTCTGTGTAGGTGTCAGGTCAGACGAATCGAGCCTGTCTAAATAGGCATCTTTCGCGGACGCCATTAACTGAGATCCTTGTTGAGCGAGCGAAGCCATAAATCCCGTCGGTGCCTTCTTCCGCCTGGAATGATAAATATTATACTTGAAGAGCAACGAGTTGAACAACTCCTCCAGACTCTTCTTTTCTCGTTCGATATACGAGTTACCGACCATGTAGGGAACGAATAATTCCTCCATCTGCTGATCCAAAATTTGGGCAATTTGTGCCGTACAAGGCTCTGGGTTCTCCGTAAGGCCATGCTGCTTGAGATCTTCAATGAGAGCGCTGATATAACCCCTTGAAGCGTGAAGTGAGCGCAGGAAGGCCAGTGTCGATATGGTCTCCGCTTTCTCCAAGACCATCTCGAGGCGCTGCTGGATGGACTGTTGGAAGACTCTTTGGATGAATTTTGTCAAGACGGTTTCGTAGTAGGGGAAAGCACGTTTGATGATGAAAGACTCCTCCTGCATAACGATCTTGACCTCGTCGATGAGAGACTGCAGACTTGGTTCAACGCCAGGAGGATCTTGGTCAGGATCTGCCAGTTGATCCCATGTCTCTCCATCTGTGGTCACTTCATCCGTAATCAACTGATCACGGTCGATGAAGAACTGATGTTGGTTCACGAAAACGGCGATGACACTGGCGCCGCCGTTGAAGTCGTGGAGAACCTTGGAACACTCCATCATGTCCTCAAAGTTCTGCTTTCTGTAGCTGTTGTTGAACTGCTTCAGGAGATCCTGCTCTAGCGTTTCGCAGAACTTCTCCAGGACCTCGCGGGTGTTGTGATTTGGCCGACCTGTACCCACGACGCCGTTTGTGACGCCATTCCGGTAGCCATTGGTCTCGCCCCAAGCAGCGAGGTCCAGTCTTTGGCTGATGCGCATGAGTTGTTGGGCGATGACTGCACAGCGGACCTTGTTCTCAGCACCTCCTTGCCTCCTTATGTCTTGCAGTGATGTGAGTTCGCCAGTGTCGCTGACCTCGAGCCAACATTGGATCAAGAAGTTGGCATCCTGAGCTCTTCTTCTTTTCCTGTCCAACTCCTCGAGCTTCTCTCCAATCTGTACGGCGACGTTTCCTCCTGCGTCGCCGCGATTCGCGCGATCCACCCCGTTGGTGCCGTTCAGGTTGATATCGAGAGCCTCGAAAGAGTCGATGGACTGATCCAATTTCCGGCCTAGCGTATCGAGCGTCTGATCGTGCTGGGCCTCAGCCCGTCGCACTTGCGATAGAAGCTCGGATTCCTTCGCCTGTAGTTCCTCGGACAAATTACTCAGCCCTTGCAGGGCATCTGGAAGGCTGTCAGCGGTGGGTTGGGGCGCAGAGTCACGGCGAAGACAAGCACATACTCTCGAAGGTGCGGATCAGGGGCTTGGGATCGAAAGGCGCCGAGGCGGGACCGGAACGGCGATTTGCAGGTATGGCACTCTCGGCGAGGGTGTCAACGAAGTCGCGCACAATGAAGTCTTTGTTTGAGAAGTCGTCGAGGCTATAGCTGGGTCCCTTGGGGAACAGGGCCCTCGAACCGGACCCCGTTCGCTCCATTGGGCTTTCGGTGGACGGTAGGAAGTATGGTGGCTAACACATGAAGCATTGTCGACTCCGGGAGTCTCTTGATGGCGTCGCAGATGCGTGCCTGATTATAGAGATTGTTCAATTGCTCATGCGCGAACCGGATGCTGAAAGCGCAACGGTACTTTTCGTCGGATTGTGCTGCTCCAGTTACGCAACTGTGTTTCAGCCAGACCAGGCCTCTGGAATCTGCGGGACAGCGTGGTGCATGTGGCCGTCCGTCGTCGGGATTCTGGACGCTGGACTCTCTGTGGTGTGGACTGGGAGGCGGCATGGTCCCAGGCGAGGTCCCAGGGATCAGCTACCATTGCCAGTGGGGTTGGAGCGCTCCCAGGCTTCTCCCAGTGCCAAGTCCGACTAGGCCACAAGCATTCATCACCGAGTCTGCTGCAGGTCCCCCCGGGGATCCGAGACTATGTAATTATTTATATATGTACTGTGTTACCGGCTTCTGATTGTGGCGGAGAGCCCCGTCCACTGTAAAATAAATAAGTCGAGCCAACCAACGTTCGGCTGAGCTCACTCAGAGCCCGAGCTCCAAAACTGACGTTGCACCCTCTGACGATCGCTCCGCTGCATGTGCCTTCGTAGCCTTTGATGATAATTGACGACACACCAAAGTCACTGCGCAGCCCAGTACGCGTAACGAGCAGAGCTCTGCCGAGATACGTATAGAGAAATAAACACAAAAGAGAGGGAGAGAGAGAGAGAAAGAGAGGGGGGGAAACAAGAAGAGCCAAGCGTACACAGTGGCTTATAATTAGTTACGTGTCGAGCTGCTTTACCGGGTTTCGCCTCTTTACTTCACTTCACTTCACTCCAACAAATATTAGAGATCGAGGTTTACGCTTTCCTTGCCGGCATCCGCTCACTCTTCCCGTTCCAAACTCTTCCCATGGAAACACCCCAATCGGTATAGCAAGAATTCGGGTTTAGAAAGCAGGACCAAAAAAAAACCACCATCCGACATGCCTTTCAGCGCAAAAGACACGGCCAGGTACCGTGAGGATGTGCAGACCGACGGGAGATCATTGAAAGCAAAGGAGAGAGAAGATCTGCTCAAGGTACCATGCCCTGCTTTGCCTGACAACACGATGCCCCCGAGCCATCAACTAATGCACACATTTTGAATACAGCCCTACCTCCCTTCGCCTCCCGAAACACCTTCACAAGCGAAAGATGGCAGGCAAACCTCGCCCTCATCGAGGCGAAAGTCGCCAGACACTTCGTACTTTGGTCTCAGGGTACTGCTACGTGAGCAGCTCTACGCTTTCACCTACGCTCTCATCCACATCATCTTCTCCATCCACATTCGTTTCCGTATCGCCTATCGCGCCACCACACTGCGCATCGTCGGTATACTGAACTACCACCACCGAACCCCCGAATACATCGCACGCGACGTGCGAACCCTTAAGAAGAAGCCTAGGCACGTCTCTGTCATACTCAAACTCGAAGAGGGTGGAAAGCGCGGCGACGCCAAGGACAAACTCCTGAACGATGTGGCCGACATCACGGCATGGTGCGCATCTGCCGGCATCCCCATCTTGACCGTCTACGAGAAGACGGGCATTCTGAAGGAGAAGATGGAGCGAGAGCACCGCGAGATGTCGAGGAGACTGCAGGACTGGTTCGGAAAATACCAGGCCCCGGCTCTCCACATACATTCCCCCAACATGCCACCTCTCGGGCCCGCCAACTACCGCAGCAGTTCCAAGAGCGGTTTTGTGACAGTCGATGGGACAGTCTCCAAGATGGGCGTCAACTTCATCTCCTGCGAAGACGGCCGCGAGTCAATTGTCGACCTTACCAAGGTGCTCACCGACATGTCGCAGCGTGGCAAGCTGTCCCCAGACCAAGTGACTTCGGATATAGTGGACCAAGAACTCAGACAAGTCTTCCAGGAGCCCGACTTACTGATTTCGTTTGCCCCTTGGGTAGATCTCCAGTCATACCCACCATGGCAGATTCGCCTGACCGAGATCTACTGTGAGCCGGACAACCAGGGCGTCGGGTACCAGGTTTTCCTCAAAGCGTTGCGCAAATACTCAAGCGCCACTTTCAAGCTTGGAAAATAGAAAGTTTTCGATGGCCTCATGGAACTGGTCACGCTTTTATCACTTGCGTTCTTCATCAGTGGGGAAACAGGGAAAAGGCAAATATACCAGGGCCGGGCGAGGCTAGGTTGGCTTGATCAGGCATGTATAGACATAATACCCGTTCCCATAAATCCTTGTATTTCCATTTACCAGTTCAGAACTTGGCAAGTCTCAAGACGTTGGTTTCTCCCATATCCTCATCTCCCGATTTATGGCATCCCACCGATATACCGGGCCCGTACCCACGTTATAGTTATAATAATTCTCCGTCCCCTCTTTCACCATCGCACGGCGAAACGTGATATTAATCCTCCCACCGTCCTCGGCATTCTTCCCTGTGCGCTTGGGTAACGAGTGCAGCCAATTCGCCTGAGTCGTGCCACGCATCAAGATCATGTCACCACTACCTAGCGGCAACTTGATGGGCTTCGACTCCGTCCCATCTTCTCCCCCTCCACTCTCCGGTTTCTGCGCAACACTCTTCGGCGGCGGCTTGTGCTTCATCATGAAATCCCGTCGGGCGCCGAGCGAGAAGCTCGCAATCGCGGGCAGCGGACCCAAAAACCGCTCGTCGTCGCTGTGGAACGATATGCTGTCGCTCCCGCTGGCATAGTAGTTCACGAGGCAGAAGTTGAACTCGCAGCCCGTCGCTGCCTCGCAGCTCTTGCGCAGCTCATCGAGACATTGCGGGATGGGACGCGGTGGGTACCTGTCGTAGTACCGATCTCCTACGATCTTTCCGGACGTCTTGGCGTCTATTACGTCTGTGGCCCCGCTGTTTCCAGAGGTTTCGCTGGTGGTTGTGATAGAAGAGGGAGAAGAAGAGGAGGGCACGAAGCGGCCGGTCTCGTCGAGACCAAACACGGTCGTCCAGCGTGGTGTGCGGATGTGCGTCGAGATGCCTCCCCGGTTGATGTCGTATTCGACGCGGTAGAAGGGCAGGCTGGCCCGAAGGAATTCAAAGAGCTGCCGGGCGGACGAGCGCGGGATGTACGGCTCGAAATACAGCAGATCTAGGTCCGGCTGGTCGGTCATGGACCTCCCGATGCTGGACGGCAGAGATGGAACCTCACCTGATAGGGCGGCCGGCAGGTGCGCGATGGGAAAGGGGTACGTGGGGTGTCTACTGTACTGCGTGACAAAACTGTGATCAGTCACATTTCTCAAGCTGAATAAACTCGGATGGGTAAAACACCCCTCCTCCATCGAAAAAAAACTACTACACACAATTATGTCATCATGACAAGAATTGGGTCTTTGAAGTCTAGATAGGAGCAAATGCATGGTATTTTTGCAACCGGACAAGGGATAAATCACCTTATCGAGCCGCAACCCGGAGTGGCTCTGACAAGGTTCTGTATAATCTTGGGGCCGGGCGTCAAACTTACATGATCTGCCTCGTCCTCTAGGTTCTCGCTCTTTATCACCCCGTGACCGCGACCGTCTGCAGCCGTGGCTGGCGAGGCGCGCGGCTTCTTCGTGGGGGTGGTGGAGGCTCCGGCGATGCTAGGCTTTGGCGTCCCGAAGAAGGCCTCTATCGTGCGCTTCTTGGTTGCTGACATGGCTTGGTTGCAGAGACCACAGAAAGGTGGGCGGAAATGTTCGGCCGAGCTGTCCCAGATGGGTCTGTCTTATCAATGGTTTGGTTGTTCAGACTTTACAATTTTCTCGGGTACGGGAATGTCTGCCAGGAGGGTTGCTTTAGAGTACATGCAACAGAGGCAATGCCCGTTGCCGCTGATGGTACAAGCTTGACAATGGAATGCTGCTTGGGAACAGAAATTGGTTGCATTGCAAAATCTACAGAAGCCTTGAGCACGAATCTATTCCAATTGAGAAGTTCCCGGTACGCCCCCATTCAATGCGGTACCTGGGTACCTTGAGAATAATGACGTCCTCGAGTTGGCACGCGTCCCATCTTTGCCAGAGTTCGCGTCGAGCAGCGAAGGGGTTCTAATAAGGTTAGTGGACGACAATCATCAGCCTTATGACGGGGATTACCACAGCCTTGCAGCACAGATCGATCTACAGTGGGGCCAGGGGGGGAAGAAAGACCTTTTTGGCCGCTAGAACAAAAAGTTCGGGACTCAGCACAAGGTAGTAAACGCAAACCCCTCTCAGCCTCGTGATGGAGTCATTTTGCGACGAAATCGGTGCCCAACTAGTCAACATTCTCTACTTGATTTAGGCTACGTATACAGTTGCCATTGGGCACAAAAGCTTGTGACTCAAATACTGGTCCATGTCTTTCCTTTCCAAAATACTCCGTTCTCTAACCAACAAACGCACGATGACCGCTCCAATCACCGGCGAGGACCTCTTCCGGCCACCCATCCTGCGTCCCTTCTCGGGGACATTGGACCGCTCGCTCTTCTCCAGAACGATCCCACTCGCCGCAGCCACCATCCAAGACAACAAGAATATCTCGCGCCTCCGAAAGGACCTCGCGCGATCCAAGGAGATCCTCGACGTCGACCGCATCAGCCCCATCGCACCGCACCCCGATGCGGACCTCGCGTCGCAGGGCAAGAAGTGCCTGCTCCTGAACCCCTCGGCCCGCGCTGAGGAGCCATCGACATGGGGCACCACCGTCAGGTCGGCCGTCGAGAAGGGCGAGCTCGGGGTCATACCCTACGAGCTCAAGCTCGACTACGACTACTTCAACTTCCTGGACGTCATCACGGCGGTCCTGCCCGAGGATCTGCACGGTGAGATCCCCTCGGGCTTCAACGTCGCTGGCCACGTCGCGCACCTGAACCTGAGGGAGCCGTACCACCCGTACAAGAAGCTCATCGGCGAGATCCTGGTGGACAAGAACCCGGCGATCCGCACCGTCATCAACAAGGTCGACAACGTGGGCACCGAGTCCGAGTTCCGCACCTTCGCGTACGAGGTCCTCGCCGGGCCCGACGACATGGACGTCGAGGTCCGCGAGAACGAGTGCGCCTTCCACTTTGACTACAGCAAGGTGTACTGGAACAGCAAGCTGGAACCCGAGCACACGCGGCTCATCAAGGCTTTCCAGCCTGGCGAGGTCGTTTGCGACGTCATGGCAGGTATCGGTCCCTTCGCGGTCCCGGCGGGCAGGAGGGGCGTGTTTGTCTGGGCCAACGACATGAACCCAGAGAGCCACAAGTACATGGTCGAGGCAATCCAGCGGAACAAGGTTGGGCAGTATGTGCGCCCCTTCAACGAGGACGGCAGGACCTTCATACACAAGGCCGCAGACTCGGTTTACGAGGCCTCTCAGGCCGGTGAGCATGTCATTGTGCAGAAAAAGGTCAGGCGAAGCGAGGCCAAGGACAAGGGCCCACCACCAACAGAAAAGATCCCAGTCCCCGCGACGATATCACACTTCGTCATGAACTTGCCAGCCTCGGCGTACACATTTGTACACCATTATCGCGGAGTATACGCTGGGAGGGAGAAGCTCTTCACACCTCATACGAACACCAAGTTACCACTAGTACACGTGCACTGCTTCGCTCTGAAGAGCGATGACGAGGTCCCGCTATTGGACATCTGCGAACGACTCACCAGCGAGCTCGGTGTTAAGATGGTGCCGGGCGATGCTGAGAACCCGGGAGAGGCCAGCATCTACAACGTCCGCGATGTTGCGCCGGCAAAGCGGATGTGGTGCGCGTCATTCAGGGTGCCGCCAGAAATAGCTTTCGCACCCCGGACGTGAGATAGGCAATGGCCAGACATGCAGATGCAACACCCCGAACGCGGAATGCATTGGCCGAAGAATATTCCCTCTTTTGTGCAAGGCGCATCGCCGGGCGCCATCTCTATGCAGGAGGTGACGGCATCACGAGCGGGTTTTCACTCGCTCGTATCAGCTAATTCCCTGATTACGAATCGGGCTAGAAGGGCCTATTTACGCATGTGATTATGCAGCCCAGCTGAGATCTATATGCGCGCTTTTTTTTTATCTCCCCTTCGCGGGACAGACCGCAGCCTGTCAAGTAATATAAAAGGAATATGAGCCCCATCGAATGCCCACTTAAAGACGTTGCTTACTCCACTATACTGGGCGCGGGCCGAAGGAAACCAGAGATGTGCATTATCTCAATCAGGAGCCTCGTCCTCTAATGGAGTATTTGCAGACACTTATCAGCGTATGATTCAACGAGCTTTGCATTGGAGGCTGGTAACGGTACTGTCGCGGCCAGAAAAATATACGCTCGGCAGTTATGGTTCCAGTTTTACTACCAAAAGGGTGGGAGAAAGGATCTCGGCGCGACCAGCATGCGACAAACCAGGGAATGAATAGTGGGCATAGTTGGGTTATCATATAGGTACCACCAAACACCTTAAGTACGATGTTTGTCCCCCCGGTGCATTTTGCTATCGAGCCTCTTCACACACAAAACATATCACGAGAAACGGTTGTGAAGTCAAGAACATGAGGCCCTTGCAGTGGTGTCCGAATTTGTCCAGAGCACGACTGTGTCCAACGAATGAAGAAATGAACGGCAGCTGATTGGCCGAGCCGCTATAGATGACTTGCAGAAATGATGTGACATGTATGAACGCTGATCTCTGTGCTTGACAGCGCACGGTGGTGGGTAATTTATGTGGATATTCAAGGTGTCCAGACCTGAACAGCCGCTGAAGCTGTCTGCGCAACGAGCGGAATACTCTTTTTGGGCATGCGCAATCATCTGAGTGGAGGATTGACTGCTGCCGGAGCATGTCCCACACACTGCGGCCGTGGGTGGTGGAGGGCAACCCTAAACCTCGCTACCAGAATCGACTGACTACTATGCGAGATGAGGCCAAGCAGGATCTTCCAGTCCAGTAGAATATGCCACTGACGTCCGGAGGCGCGAGCTTTTGACCCTACCTGCTGCCTTGGCCAGAACACGCCTGGGACTCATTCAGTGTACACAACGAAGTAGCATTGTAAGGTTGTAGTATTGTAAAGCAGCGGTTTTTTTTTTTCTCCCTGCCGCGTTGGGGGGTGGAGCCATATGCACGTTTGTGTCAATATGTCGTGCAACCCGTGTGTCGCCAGCAGCAGTCCCATTTCTGCGAACATGCCGCCGCGGCAACATCTTGGGCTCGGCAGCAGCTCGCCGTCGCTGTGGTAAATCTGCAACGAAGTCCGCATTTCGCGATAAGACCTCAGATGGCGGTCGCACTGCGACGGTATCGCTCTGTATACTATCGGATGCTGTGCCGCTGGGTGATTTCGGCTGTTGCACTTCTGCGTTATCATCGTCCATCCTTCTTCGGGCCCAGCATGGTTTCTGTATCGAGCTCTCTACATCTATCTCTAAGCGCTGACCAGGTTTATTCTTTCATCCATGAGTTTCTCTCCGGATCTTTGTTGTTGGAGTTGGTATGCACCCCGCAAGCTTCCTGTTGCCAATAATGCGCTGTCAGCCTGCGGATAAGGATGAAGACGCTTGGCGTAGCAAGTCGCTGGGGCTCCCATTGACATGGGCTCGGTAATAGAAACGGCTTGAAAAGCAGTTAGTTGGCCAGCATTGTTCGAGTTTGGAAGTATATCTGGTGTTAGAGAGCATGGTCTTCCGGTAGGTCCCGGGTATCGTCCGCGGCACTTGAATGGCAGGAGGAAATTTGGCGGTCTGCTATACCTCCTACCAAGAGACGCTGCAGGACGCCAGGGACTGCAGAGAGATTGTTTGGTCATACTTTGCGCTATAAGCTATTCCACAGCAAGTAAGGTTCGGAGTATAAAAAGTTTTCTAATGCAATGGGTGGTTCCCCGGAAGGAATTAGGTCGTGATAGTGGGGCTCGCGCAGAATGATGCTTGAGGCACTCGAGCTAGAGCCTGCGGGAAATGAAGTGCAACGGTATTATTAGGAATGCTTGACCTTTATCATCAATAGCATTCAATCAGCAGCTTGCGTGTCGAATAAGGTTTGCTGCTCGATTAGTATATAATCAATCAGTGCGTTACATGGATAGATTAGCGGAGTTGTCGAGCTTGGACTACCCCTCCAGAGTTGTGCTGTAGATGGTGCGGGGGAGATGCTGCAAAGTAAACGACTCGGTCAAGCAGTGGCTGTCACCGTGAATTGGCGCATGATAGCAGGACCGGATTCTATTTGCCCAAAAGCTCAACGAGGTTGGAGCTCAAGAGGTGCCCTCATGCAAGCCCGAATGACGCCAATGCGATTCCGGCATGAAACGTTATCCTGCTGCTGCAGTGTGACACGCCCACATATGGGGTTCTTGTCACATCTATAATGTATGACAAGCAAAAGGACTCGACTGCCAGTTGTTTGACAACAGGCATGTTGATAGCCGAGTAAGTTCCATACCGTTGATACTTTTTTTTGTAAAGTGGGTTGAACCTCTAGCTACACCCCGTGCCGGATAATGACATACAAAGACGCCTCCTGGTGAATCCTTGATTTTTGTTGTCTCACTGAGCCGTGCAAGCCGCGAAACTTCGCTGACTGTGCTTGATAGTTTTGAGGCTGAAATCCAATGACTGGTGGTCGACAAGTGCTTAGTTTATACGTATCTGCCTGTACTTCAGGGTGTAGATGGTTGTGAGTGTAGATCATAAAGTCGAGGCTCGTGGATCTTATGCAGCTTATGTGTCGATCAGGGTCTCCGCCAGAACTCAACAGGAGCGTGAAACCCTGTGGAAGCGTGTTTGTTTTTCAAAGCTTTTTACAAAACTGACCCCGAGATTTGGAAGTCAGACTGCATCTTTTGCGGGGAAGCTCAATAGGAGAGATACCCTGGCCCGATAGACGATAAGATACTAAGCTTCTTTTCGATACGTGCCTTTTCGACATGTGTTGCTTCCCCAATCTGGGAGCTATGAGTGCGATTGGTGTTATCAACACCGGGAGAAAGACTCGAAGCCCGCATCCCGCCTATAGTTGTCTGGGTTGAAGGGATACAGCAAGGCGGACAGGCACTCACACAAGGGGTTGTTGATGTCATTCCAGTGTACGTTGTATCTATCCACGGAGTCCAGATACCCCACGCTGGAGGAAGCCACAACGTTCTGCAATACGGACGTGGCGCCTCCCAAACGTTATTTTGTTGTGCTGTGCCCCGAGGTTGTTGTTTATGCGTAATGTTCAGGTTGGTGATTTTGAGTGCTTTTCGTCCGGATACACTGCTCCTGCACATGCTCGAAAGCAGCATTCCGAGCAAGGTGGCATCTTTTGGAGGCGATGCCAAGCACTCCTAGATCTTAACTTGACCTCATCATCCAATCTTATCCTAGACTAGAATAGATGATTATCAGGGTCCTCGAGAGTTTTCGTGGAAACTCTCGGCTAGTCTACTTGCAGATCCGATTATTTCACGGAATCGATACGGATGCCCCAAGTAGCAGCGCATAGTTCATGCTAAAGCATTGACACTTTCGACGGTGTGGTGTTTGATTATGTTTTGACATGTTTTGCACCTGATTGGTAGCTCGCTCCCATGCCTTAGAGGCTGGATCTTTGCGAACCGTCGACGTCAAAGTATTCATAGAAAGAAGCTTTGGTTCAGTCGTTGAGCCTCAATATACTGTGAACGCAGGTCAACCCAATCAACGACTTCGCGACCACACGTGGCGCAAGCCCAGCATCCCCCAACGAGCGTAGATACACATGATGTAGTCGAAGGAGACATTCAGGTAGGTTGTCAGAACAGAAATACGTTTATGGGATTCATGAATTTTCACTTTTCTGGGTTTGAGTGAAAGCAATAGCCTAGTAAACTGCAGGCCGTCAGAAACGCCAAGCAGTGAGAATGTTTTTACTAGTTTTTGGTTCTCGCTGCATGGTTAGAGTGGAAAACCACAGCAATAACCCTACGGACTTGGCACTTACGGTGCTTGTAAAGATCCCACAGTGCTCGACAGAAGCGAGTTCGGTTTTCATGCATGCCCGTTAGCTTCAGTTAACGTTTCTAGAGTCTGATCGCACCATACTACGATGATAAGACGGCAGTACGGGGATGCAGCTCGAAATAATGGCTGAAGTTTGTTTCATCCGATCGGAGCATCTCGATAAGATGCTTCATGAAAACAATACCCACCACCGGAGTCGTTTCGATAATACGACACAAGAGGGGGAAACCCCCCGTGCTCCGAACTTGTCCATGCTATATAGTTTTGTGTAAGGTTGAGTGTGTATGCTGGAATGCCGCCGGCGGGAATGAATGCGGACAGATGGCGGCAAGGGGGGGGGGTTTCCTGTCCAGGGTCGATCGTGTCGGCAATTTCATAGATACTCAGGCATGGTGGTGCGAAAGCCCCTGGATTACCAGACCAAGTGAATCGCAATTGCAAAGACTTTCAGATGTTGGGATAAGTTGGTACTTGGCTGGTTTTGTCAATTGCATGCTTGGGGGTTACAGAAGCTTATTGATATTCTAGAACCCCTTCACCAACCAGGGGGCCTGGGGGGCTAAATAGCCAGCCTGTCAGTTGGACTGCCAAGACACGCAAGGTCCCAGCAGAATGGACCGAATTGACGAGGTCCGAAACCACCTCAATCCCACCGGTCTCCGCTATGCTGTAAAATTTGGACAAAACCTGTCAGTCAGAAACACTAGGGATACATACTGGCGACTCAATGTCTATGTACTGAGTTTCTTATCAAGGGGACGTCGTCTAGTTTGAAAGTTAATGTTACAGTATCACCGTGGTCGCCATGACCTACCGCATTTCCTCACATCTTGGTATTTTATTTTATTTTTCTTCGTTGTCCTGGCGCTACCAACGTTGCTTCTTTCCGTGTTGCTCGACTCCTCGTCTCAAGGGCTTATTAACATTGGACCATCATTACGGGGGTCCCGTTCCCCAGGTCTTGGTCACTGGTGTTCCCTTGTCCCCGCAACGCCTCGTTCTGGCGATAATTGATCCACTCGTGGCAACCTTGGCTCCATCTTGGTCATTTGGCTGGATCACTGGCTAGGCGTTGTCTCGGTCTCTTCAGTGCAGAGTTTGAATGGTCGAGACGGCGAATACAGCACTGGCCTTGACTACCCACTCCTGCGCATCTCTCGCATGCATTAAGCAGGTCAGAACATACATACAGAGTACTGTAGTGTGATGTAGTGTACTGTAGTGTGATGTAGTGTAGGTCCTGCCAAACGACAACAGAAATTGCATTTTGCTTTGCCTTGGTGTTAAAGCGTGCTTTTTTAGCTCCCCTATCTGGATGGGAGGGATTATCCTCAGCTGTTTGCGCCTTTCTCGATAAGCCCCCACAGCGCCTGTGCTGCCGCCGGCCGCGCCACGCCACTGCACTGATCGCACCCGACGTAATTAATTACTTGCCCTTCGGATTGACGGTCTCTAATCAACGTTCTGCGTGGTCAGGGGTCAACTGAACCAAACGCGGGTCGGGCTCCAAAGTATCTCGAGTGTTGGACATCTGAGATAGCTACAGCAGGTACTACAGTATCACAACTTTGTCCCTTCTTTCTTGACGTTTATTTCTCTCGGTCGGCGTCGTCCTGGTTGCGTTTAACAGCAACATGGTGGTGCAATAATGCAGGCCAGCTTGATCTGATGCGAGTACACCCCCCCTCCCCCCATCCCGTGTCGTACTTGGGTACTGCTTCACCGTCCTCCCTCGGTTACCCTCCATCCCACGTCGAGGTTCTCGCCTGGCTGGCCTCCTTGCCTCGATCATCCCTGCTCGACTGGCATTTCCACTCCCCCTCCGCGTCCAAGGCGCCTTTGCCAATCCTTGCAATTTGTAGGAGGCTTCCGATCTCCCGGTATCCCATCTCCCGCTCTTGGATTTTGCATGCCTTTCTCCCGCTGCGCACTCGGCTCCATTCTGTAAATTGCCCTCTGCCACCCACACCCTCGCCCATTCTTGTGTTTGGTATTGCCCTGGGAGAGCAACAACCACTTATCTTGGACTTCCCTCCTCTATCCGTGCCATTATCGTTGACTCCCACTTATTCAACCTCGACGACCAAATCCACCGTTGTTGCTCTTCCGCAGGTTTTGTCCATTGCAGCTTGGGAACAGGCACAGGGAGGACTCATCTCGGAGCCATAACTACAGTTGAGTAGTATTTGTGTTGGGACAGTTGCTGCCAACAGCACAGCCGGTTCGGCTACGCCTGCTCGCCTTTGTCACCGAGGTACCACAGCAATAAGTGGCGACGATAATCGGGACGACACAACTTGTCACAAACTGGGAGCCGCAACCTCTTGCTCTAGCAGACGTATGTGTGGGGTTATTAGTTATATCTTCCTATGAGGATCTTCTGCGCTCTTCCCTAGGCTATCGCAGCTTTTCTATCGGAGGTTTAGTAACGGTCAGCACTGGTTTGCGTTCCAAGGCGAACACGCTTCATCCTCAGAAATGGCCGTTGTTCTTTCGTCCGAGGATAGTGGCTTCTTTACCTCCTCGTCTCTTAAGCGGTCGCATTCACAATCGCATTTTGGTAAACAACCCTCTGGGTTGCATTCGTCGGCCTCAACTTCTCGACTCAACAGATCATATCACGACAGCTTCCAGTCATATCACATCTCCCCACCAAGTTCGAATCCCTCCTCCGCTTCATCGTCGCCGCAGACATCACACGTCGACATAGTCACCCCATCTGACGGCTCTACACCAGCAACCACTTTTTCTCTCGACGACCATTGGGACAGCAAACTGGATCTTGACACTAGCGATGAGATTATTCTACCCGAGTACGACATAAACCCTTTCTTTTCTGCCGTGGAAGATTTGGAGGCACCCACTAGTCCGCATACTGGTGACTCGTATCCCGTCTCTCCCGCCGAACATGATACGCCGACGACAATCTCACGGGCCGATTCACCGACTCCAACTGAACATGCCAGCGCCGAAGATGATACGGCACTGAGGCACCACCCTACTCATCACGTGGACTATCTCTCTCACGATTGGAAAGAGGAAGACATTTGGTCGTCATGGCGTTACATTGTCTCTCGGCGCAATGATTTCACCAATGCCCCGCGCTTGGAAAACGCCTCTTGGAGAACCTGGATGAAATCCAAGTATGGGCTTAAGACAGTTTCTCCTGAAACGCTCAACTGGTATGACCCCGCTCGCTCCTTGGTTAAATTATCATGCCAGGCATTAAAGACATGAGTAACTAATGTGCTATCTAGGCTGAAAGATTGTGACGTGACGTGGCTGTACGGCCCTCTACAGACGCGCCACAAGATGTTGTTCTCCAACGACACGTACCAAGGCAGTACTACGCTGTCGAGAAACGATTCTTTCGTCCAGAAAAAGCCTATTCTGAAAAGGAGAAGCATGTCAGAAGTGATGCTCCAGAAGTCCATCTCGACTTCGTCGCTTCTGAAGCAGGCCACGGCAGCCGTTCAGTCACAACAACAGATTGGTGGTGCTGCACGGATACCGAGACCCATCCTGCATCGTGCAACCACTGATTTTATAACCTTCCCGTTCTCGTCTCGGAGGATGAGCCAGGGTGATAGTGCTCTTACGCCGTCGAATGAAACTTCCGGCCTAGTCTCGCCTTCAGTGGAAAAGAAGCACATTCATTTCGACGAGCAAGTTCAACAATGTATTGCGGTCGATGCGAAGGGTGAGGAAGACGAAGAGGACGAAACAGAGTTCGACTACTGGAACCAAGATGATGATAGTGATTCCTCTGACGACGGGGTTTTCATGATGAAGAAGACCGGCACAAAGAAAGGGCCTACCAGGCCTCGGCCGAGACCCAGGACGGATACTTCTGAGAGCAAGCTGATAGAGGCCCTGCCTTCAACGACGCTGAAATATCGTGAGGACACAACAGAACCACGAGAGACTGCCATGAAGCACAGCACGTCGATCCGTAGTCCACCATTCATATCGCCATCCTCGTCTCAGGAAACCTTACGCCCTTCGAAGCAATCCGGCCGGTTTTTCATTGAGGACGACGAAATTTCTGGCATCGAGGAGACGAGCACAACACCCATCTCGAGTCCTACCGACGCCTTCTTACAGTCTGGCTTAAAACGAACTACGTCAACAGGTACCTTGAATGCTGCACCAGCCGGTATGCGCCGCACTGAGTCCGGTATGTTGATGCCATATGAGGAGGGTGTAGAGGGTGATGATGCGGGAAATTCGGGCATCATTGGACGCGTTGTTGATACCGTGAACACCGCTCGTGACATTGCTCATGTCATCTGGAATGTTGGTTGGCGACGATGATACGTCTCACTAGCACGTATGATAATGGCAGCATCTCCAATGCTATACCTGGGCTGACCATGCTTCGATGGAAACGAGAAGCCTGGGCAGCCGATATCAACGGCCACATAAATTTGGAGCATTGACGAAGGCTTAGTGTGCTAAGCACGAACAACCTTTTTTTTTTCCTTCTTCTTTTTTTTTTTCCTTTCTTCTTTAGATTTATTGGCATCGCAATTGGTGTTTGGAGCGAACTATTTGGTAATATTTCTGTTTACTCTGTTGCCGAAACGCCTATACTGTACTGTGTCAGTCAGTTGGGTACAACTTCTGACTTGTTGGAACTGGAAGGTAATGGTAACGGCCACCGAGATCGGATCAAAGCATACATGGTATTGGTTCATTTGGCGGTAACGGTTATAATGGGCGTTCCTGTATTTGTCGCCCCATGCTGGGGTATTGGGGGATCTAAGAGAAGAGAAAAGCAATTTTCGAAGGACACATCAAACAATACCCAGGAAGATATGGAGACTGCGGTCTATGGGAAAAGCGGCGTATTTGTGTTCTATTTCACACGGTGTTCAAGCGCCTGATGGATACAACAGGATGAACAACGAGGCACCCTGCTCTCGAAAAGCTTATGGATGGATATGGAATTGTACATAGATTGGTATTCTCTTGAAGGGTCAATATTAGCTGTCTTGTGAAAACTTAGGTCGTTAACAAGAAACTACAATGAATCTGCCAAGCGCGTGTGTTCAATCAAATCGACTCGCATTTCCATGGAGTACCGAGTGACAATACTAGAAGTGGTAGCGCCTTCAAAATAGTTGTTTGCGTCTCGTGCAGGCAGTGAACGCAGACCAGCAGGGTTACCGATATTGGTCCTCGCTAGAATTCTGCCCATGGCTGGATAATCTTGGCCTTCCTCGCTGGCACACCATCAGGTGATACCAGTCAGCCTAGTGGGGGACTTCGTACCAATGCGGTGTCAGCGTACTATACGAGTAGTCAACGTAGCGCCTATATGCATTTGAAGGAGGAAGTTGAAGAAAACATTGCGTACATCACTCTCCTTGGCAAGTATTTCACCAAGGACCTTACTTGAACTTCCAGATAATTATTACTTCTACTTTGATTTTCCATTTTCTACCGACGGAAATTCCGTTCTCGTTCGTAAGAACATATCCAGGTTTGTCGCGTCTGGGTCCTTGATCGTTAATGTAGCCTGTAATTAGACCATATGACCTCTCGTTAACAAAGGTGCCCTTCCATGACTTGCAATCTTTCACGTTTTTGGCTAATGCCGTGGTTTAAGACATGCCGGGTACTTTCCTACTGACGAAAGGTTTGATCCAATGGAGATTTGGATGAGGTGGTGGCAGTATTATATTGTACTTCCTAGACCAGACCAGATGACACGGACAAGTATGGAGTTCTGAAAAGTAGTGTAAGACGGACGGTTCGGAGGCTATTTACGGATCTATGATCCTTGGTTTTGTATACATATCTATCTTGGTACCTCAGGCAGCTATGGCAGCTATGGTGGCCTAGCCACGGTGATAGCCACTGTGACCCCTTCAGGATACCGTATCATTAATAAAATAATAGAACTTATAAACGTTGACTTGCTTAAAAGTTATATGAGGGGTTTTCTACCTTATCTTACGAACGTCTAAATTCGAATTTAGATTATGACTTGTGAATAATTCCGAAGATTCGCGCAAAAATAGACCCTCAAACACAGCGAAAGCCGAGCGAAAATAAATCAGCACACGTGAGATCTCGCTCCCCATACTTCAAGGCTGCTGCTTTTCAATATCGATCAGGTCCCCAAAGGACGTAAATCGACCTACACCATTGTCGAGGAGCTTCACAGGATTGTGAACGGAGCCGCCGTGTATGTAACTAGGTAGGACTTCATCGTATCGCCCACTACTCCCCTGCAGACAACGAACACTCTTCACTTTATGCTGACTGGAGGGATCTAAACAATTAGAAGTGCTTCATCAAAAGCATTCGCGGTCACTGGCGTCTACAGAACGAAGCCGACATTCTCAGGCGCTACCAGTCAAAGACTCCGTCCCTTCGCCCCATCATCGATGACGGGAATGACTGTGACACCCATCGAAGGAGTATACCGAATTTGAGCTCTTGTATTGTACCCGGATTGTCTGACAGGCCTGGCTGCTCGTATAGGCCACGTATGCATGAGGCCTTATCAAGAAACTGTTTTGGTGCAAACAAGATTTCGGTTTAGATGGAAAGTGGTTCATCAAGTGTAAATGTACATGCATCTTGTTGCAAATTCTATCCTCTGTTGACATACACTATTATACATCCGTTATTTAATTCCTGAAGCGCTAGGCATTAAACATCATAACAATTATCATACAAATACTCCCCCGCGTATGATACCTACACAGTAGCCGTGGTCGTGACCTTAGGAACGAGCACCTCACCCTCTACAGACGTGGCCGGCACGTTACCCCTTTTAAGTAACTTGACAGCTTCGACCAATATGAGGTTGGAATGCACGTTGACATCTCTCAGCTTAACCTCAAAGACGTCGTCTACATTGACTTCTGACATTTTCGCGAGTTCGTTCAAAGCGTCAGACCTCAGGAATGCCGTGCGATCAAACCAGTCCAGCTGACCCATCACGCTCTTCCTGCCGGCAACATGAGCAACGGTGAACTTGAAAGTGTCCGGAAGCTTTGCCTCGCCGAATTTCCAGGCCCGGACCAACGCTTGGAGAATCCACTGGTCGGCACCACTGCCGTTGCCGAGGAGACGCGCCTGACGTTCGCGAAGTCGGAGCAGAGGGAACATGCGGTCGAGACGCTCGCGCGTGAAGGGCAGGAATGTATCGTCTTTGTTACCGATGAGAGATTCGCCAAGCTCCTTCTCCTTGAGAAGAGCAGCCTCAATCTGCCAGTGAACGATAAGATCTCCAAAGCGGCGTAGAGGTGAGGTAGCCTTTGTGTACATATCAACTCCCATCATGAAGTGAGGTCCAGCTGTGGTCGTCAGTTCATCGCCACCAAGGAGGGCTCGGAGGTGTCGCCAGTGGTTGTCGTCTGGACGACCGCCAGACTCGATGATGGGGACCAAGACATCGCGCGTGTACTGCTGAATGAGGGTCGCATTCTGGGTAGCGTATGGCTGAGTGCGGTAAGGGATGGGTATCCCACGATCATGGCACCAACGAGCAGCCACTTCACCAGCAAGACGCATAGTGTGCTCAACGATATCTGTACCGGTTCGTCGCGAGAAACTAATCTGGATCGACGGATCACCGCGAACGGTCATAAAGCCGTCCTCGTTCTCTTCCTGCTCCACTCCGTCTAGCGATACTTTCGGGGATGGACGAGCTTGGAAGAAAGGTATCGCGCCTTTCCTTAGACGGTCACGATGAAGTGCTTTTCCGAGACGAGATAGTAGCGTTAGCTCATCTTTCTGATGTTGAGTGACGTCGGAGGGGCGTGTGAACCTGCGGTTTGGAGATCCAGCCACAGCCTTTGCGCCTACTGAAAACTCCTGGTCAGTGGCTGTAGGATCCTCTCTTGTTTCGCCAAGTACATCATTGACATCCTCGCCGGTCATGTAGACGACGTCTCCCAGAGTTCCCGGGGTAATCTTGTGCTCAAGCACAGCGCCATGGCTGTTAACAAGTGAACTAAACGTCAGGCATGGTCGGCCTGGTGCCAAAGAAAACCGATCAACGCTGATGTTGTTTGGCAGCATTCGGGAATAGTGGCCCTGCAGATATATCGTTTCGGGCACCATTTCCGCGTACTTGGCAATTCCTGTATCAGCAGAGATGCAGGAAGCAGGATCTGCAATATGAACATGAATCCAGCTCTCATCCGGAATCGAGGTCCGCTCCACAGACACAGCGTCGTCAATATCTACGGTGGTCTCCGCGTCGATAGCATATATAGTGCCGTTCTTCCACACTTTTCTGTCGTTGCTGAAGATATCAGGTCTCAGTTGCTTGTCCATATCTCCTTGGAAAGTACGAGAGAATCCGCCACTCCTCTTGATCTCTACATCCGGGAAGCGGGTACTGTAACGAGATTGGATATCCCAGGGGGTGATCCAGCCGACTTCTTGTAGGAACACCCAGCCCATGCTGGAGTCAAGCTTGACGTCTGGGTATCGATCAAGCGCGCGCATGAGCATGGACCCCATAGTCTGAATGCTAGAAGAGCTTGTGAACTTCTGATAACTCGACCATAGTTCTATGAATTGCAGTATCTCTTTGTCTAGTGCAGACCACTGAGGCCGCTCGGGGGTTGGTAATGGTGAAGGGCTGAGGATTCCATGTGCAGAAGGTTTTCGGACACTCCGACTATCATCAATAGCTTTGCGAGCGGTATCAATGAAGCTCAACAGCGTAGAGTTGCCCTTCGCGCTTTTATTCTCAGGCCCAGAACGACCCAGGTAATCGCGTACGATTGACTCTATTTTTTGCACGATTCGTACCTCAGCTACAGGGCTAATCTCGAATAGGTATGACCTTCGGTGGCCGGTTTGTTTCAGTGGTCTAAAGAAAACATCATCTTGCAATACAGCCCTGTGAACGGCATAAAGAGCCGTTGCAGGAATCTTGCCTTCTTTTTTGATGGAGAAGGGTAAAAGAATATCAGCAATTTCATGGAGTGTTAGGTATCGATGCTTGGTCTGGTCACCGATGAACGAACTTGACGCATCCAGTTTACCAGCATTGGCTTGGTAGACAGACTCGGCTTCGTGGCCGAATGCAATCATCTTTTTCAACAATGGTGCGCCTGCCGTTCTCGAGGGATCATGACCCAAATCCTGGAGCGCATTTACTGTTTCCGGAGAAATCTCGCCCAATGGAATCTCCCGGATGATGGACTCGAGCTCAGCTGGCTGCGCAAAGTTGTTGACAACAAAGAGAGGCTGTATGCCCAAAGCAATAAACCATTTACCACTGCTTGTGTAATAGTGTTCATATCCATTGAAGCGTCCTAAGCAGATAGCAAGCACAGGCCGACGTGAGCCCTCGGAGCTGTATGGCGTCAGTTTACAAAGTGCGAAGACCGAGATCGATTGCCCTACCTCATCTCGACCAGATCACCAGCTTTTAAGGTCGTGTTATCTGAACGCAAGTCGCTAAGCTCGTCTCCATCGAACAAGGGTGAATTGATATCAAACTGCGCCATGGTGACGTTTTGCGGGCGGGTAAAACTGTTCGACAACTCTCCAGTCTCAGCAAAGTCTGTCAACATTGCTTGCGCCTCGGTGGGATTCTCCTTTTCCCAAAGCCTTAGGCGCTGCCTAATAGGAAGATTCTGATCCAGAACTTTCGATATTGCTGCATTGGATTGACCATTTTTGCCATGTTTCCCCGAAGAATGCTGAACTGTTGCATATGCCTATCTGGTTTGTCAGAATAGTACTTGAAGGGTGCTCGGACGATGCGACTTGCTCTGCTCGATCTCAAAAACCCCTTACAGAGTGAGCTTGAATTTTGGACTGTGGCTAAACGCTCCGGACTGCTCAAAGTCCCATTCGAAGTAACTCTGCGTGCGGCGCATTGCCAGCACACATACGAGCGACTAGCCTGTAACATCCCGACTTTTCAGAAGCAGATTTAGAAATAGAGCCACTCGTATTGCGAATAGAGACACGTTTTTGACGTTACGGAAACACTATTGCGTTGCTCAAAATTTCGTTGCTTTAGATCATTGATTGGTTGCCACTCAGAGCCAGAATTGGCCCGTGCGAGTTGACAGACTTGTCACGTAAACACGTGACTAGTCATGTAACCATATTTCTTACCAGGTGCCACTTATACCTGTCGTTCTCTCATGAGGCTTAGTCGACAGACAAGTTTGAATTGCTGCACCCAAATAATACATTATCGTTTTCAATATGCTGCTATCGCCACCCATGCGGCTACCATGTGGCCGAATGAGAGCTAGGCGGGTTGGGATGAGACACATTCTCTGGTTGCATCATTCGACAATTGTATTCGGTTTCCTAGCGGATGGTTGGAATGTGTTTTGGTCTACTTTGCCTTCATTGATAGAGATGAAAGCCCGTAAAGCCAAATGCCATCGTCAAGATTTCTTTCAAGCCTTTGTCCCCCTAGATCATTCAACTATCCTTAAATACCCTAGACACTTGTTTCTATTTCTGCTTTCTAACAGCCCTCTCACCCCCTGTTTCTGTAACACCGGATCCTGAAGGCTACGATATACTCATGATGGCTCTAAAAAGGTTTATTTTGCTTGTCCTCGCTGGCGCAGCGTTGGCTCAGATGGATGGGATGGGAATGGGAGACAGCAGAACCGGTGTGGAAAGCACGATGCCCATATCGTCAAGCGCCATTGCCGAGACAGCTCCCATGGCTACTGAAGCTGCACAGAGTACGGCTGTATCAACTCCCTACAGCAATTATTCTTCTGCGATCGTGACCACTAATTCATCCTTGTCACTAACAGATGGGGACTACAGCTCAACCATGGCAATGGGCCCGGAGGCCACGCCGTCCCTACTCGACCCTCTGTCCACTACAACTGCCGATTATACTCATATGTCGGACATGTCTCACGCTACGGCGACAACGACGGGCATGACCACCATGTCAACCAGTGTCTTGTCCATGGACATGCCCATGGGGACTAATGATATGACACATGGCAATGCCTCAGCTACTGGCACTATTCCCATCTCCGGCAGCGAAATCAGCGGCGTTTCGGTAAGTCACTCCTCTAACTGAGAGGCAGCATTTCTGACACATCGACAGCTCAGCCTCTTCGTGGCATCGGCCCTCCTGGGGGCGTTGGTCTTGATTTGATACAGTTTAATCATGAATAATCAGTTCCAGTTGAATTAGCGGACCTTCGTTTTCTTTCGTGGTATTACGCTCTGGCCTGAGCCCGTAATCTGTTCAACGCTTCATTCTTGTTCGATATAATCCAAGTAGGGAATAGAGGCAATACTCAGCATCAGACTATACAGTCTCTAGCAAAGCAATTGTGCTAAAATGCTTGCATAGTTTATGTGTTACCGTCAGAAGTAAATTGCTTTCAGTGGTTGAGTCTGTTCTCTGGCTTGGATGACGTCGGGGGAGAAGTTACTATCTCACAGCAATAGTGTGCTTATGTAGTGCAAACCACACCTTACACAGTTGAGAGCGTTGGAGTAGGGGCAGTTACGCTCTAACGAGATATATATATCAAATGTCTGTTGCGAAAAGAAAGTAAGACAAATTTGCTGCCTGTTGGCGCAGAAGTGCAACAAAGAGATCGAGTATAATGACAGGCTTTTAGCACTCCTATGCTGTTGGCGACGTGACCCAATTGCTGGCAGGTCCCCAATGAAAAGAGAATCTTGGCATTAATTACCCCCTGCCCCTCAAGCAAGATTACACATGGCCGTTGAGTTTTCTGTGACTGGTGAATAAAAGGGTCAGCAGTTCGAGACCCCTATCGACCGAATCGATCTTCAAGAGGCACACATGTTGAGATAGCCGGCTACGACGGAGGATGGGCGATTCCTTGGAGCCGTATGCTGAGATTAGATGCTGTGGGGAAATGTGACAGTCTGGTCGAGGCGCATGTCGGCCTGCCGGTTCTCTGGTTGGTCATAAGTTCAAGGATTCAAATTACATACGAGGAATGCCAGGGGGTTTCGAGAATAAAGACCATAATTAGAGTTGCTGCCGAACCACAGAACCCATTTGGCGAATTGCAATCTTTGATTGAACCCCAGATCCTCTGGAAAGATTAAATAAAGAAAGGGGGAGGCAATGGCAACTGTGGATATCGATCATATGGCCATAGCTTGAGTTGGGAGAGGCTAGAGGTTGTCTTCAGTAAGTTACATACCACATAGCAACGGTGAAGCTGTGAGCATCGGGCGCGCAGTGACCGTCGCGGTTGGATGTTCTAGAGGCCGGACAAAGGCCAGCCAGATGCCGGTGTCACCAAACAATCCGTGCCCTGCATACCCCGGCTTATGCCTGTTTTGGTAAGGCCCCATGTTCTCTTGCTCCGCTCTGGCTTGTTGCGATGTACTGTGGTGCTATGCAATGTACGCGCCAATGCAGGTACGGACTTGATAGATCCGCGTTAGGGAACGATCGGCTTCTTTGGATTGGCTCCTTCTCAGTGGGATCGCCAGACTTGTGCTGTTCGCATTTCTCGTGCCAGGTGCGTGAATTGCTGAGCCCAGTTAATTCCGTCTCTATTTTCCTAGTCTGTAGACGCTGTGGAGTCTATACGAAGATATCGAGATAAGGTCAAGAGACTACCGGACGGCTTCTTATTAATGCCATACTACTGTAATCGAGCACTTGTACTCCCTGCTCCGTACAAGTAGCCGTGGAGGAGGCGTGCCTTGAGTCCGAACAGTCAGCACGGGATGGCATGGGTCAATTCAGACGATCGCACCAACATTGATTGCTCCCGATCAGATCAGAAACGTGCACCGACCAAGCTTGTGTCCTCGTGACGTGCATTCTGCAACAAGTGGTCCAAAGTATAACTTGATGACAGCCAGAAGGCGGTTACAAACAGGCGCCGCCTGGCCAGACGTTGAGATTTGCAGGCGGCTTCGGGGCTGAACGGCAGGATCAACAGAAACCATATCGTATGGCAAAATTACCCTTGCATGCAACCATGTCATTTGAGAGCAGTGTATTCGGTCATAGCGAACCACGATGGGGGTGGCTGTTCTTTGGGGATGGTTGTAATTTCCCGCCGTCGCTTGACTTTAGGGTAATTTCCCATGGAGCGTTGGTAGCGCACAAACCCACAGCAGACCTTGCGCTAGACTGAGCTAGCCTCGCGCCAAATCGAGAACCGCTGCCCATCATCACAAGCCTCCTTTTATTTTCGCTGCATTTTGACATATCGCCAGAAGCACCAATATTACTGAATACGTGCCAACCTGCATACCAATACCGCCATGCCATATCGGAGATATCACGAGGCTAGGAATCGGAATACCTCCCAGTCCATAATCAAGTCCCTGAAAATGGTTGGTCCCGTCGTCTTGGTCCCATCTTGGTCCCAAGCACGACCGCAGCGAGTGCTGTTGCTGTTGCTGTTGCTGCTTGGCCCGCGGATATGAGCATCCTTGGCCAACAATATGCCATGCGCAGCATCACATAAGCCTGGCCTGACCGTTTCCAAGGTACCATTGCTAGCACTGGACGCCACCGTGAGAATCCGCAAGAGGATCCCAAAAGTCAAGGGATGCCAGGATCCCGGCCGCCCAAACAAGTGACGGCGTGCAGGGCCTAAATGGATCTCCTACCAAAAACAACCACCCTGTCCGCATTGGCGCCATGTCTAATGAACGACTGTGAACTGGGATCTATCGCCCACCCATGAAGCCATGGTCAATAATAAAACTACACAGCTCGCTCACCAACCAGTGTGCCTTTCCCTTTCCCCTTCCTCCCCACGGAACGACCTGTGATGTTAATGTTATCATCGTGATAGCATTTTCAAGCTTTCGTCCTTCGTTTCCCTCATTCTCACCCACCGCTTCACTCTTTCAGCGGGCACTCGTTATCTCACGAAAATACGAACAGCAATATACTTAATAGTCACCTCGGAATCTAGTCCCAAGGGTTTTAATATCAAAAAGTAATCATGAAGTCGACATTCGCAATCGCCGCAGCCGCGGCCCTGGTTGGAGGCGTCAGCGCTGCCAGCGTCCACAACCGCCATGTCCACGATGCTTTCCACGGCAAGTTGGAGAAGAAGCACTACAGTGCTGCCGCCGAGAACAGCACTGAGTGTGGCTGCACCACCATCTACTCCACCTGGTACGGTGAAGCTACTCGTATGTCAACGCCAGTCGTGGAGGGAATATAGAAACATCCGCAACTAACATATGCAAATAGTCCACAACCCTCCTGCTCCCAGCACAAGCAGCGCACCAGCTACAATCTTAGCTGCCAGCAGCACCAAGCCCGCTACCACTGCGGCGCCATTGACCTCAACCTCCGTTGTCGTCGTCGTGCCCACTCCGGTTGCTCAGACTTGCCCGACCACGGGTGTCTACACATTCCCGGCTACCACAGTCACCCTGACTGAGACTACCACCGTCATCGCCGCCTCCACCACTGCGGTCCCCAGCGGTACTCACACTCTTGGTGGTGTCACAACCGTCGTCACAACCGCGACCACCGTGACCTGCCCGTACGCCACCGTTTCTACCAGCGAGGGCGTCACGACCAGCGTCATCAAGACCACCACCTACGAGTGCCCCTCCGCCGGTACTTACACCATCGCTCCCACCACTGTGACTGCCACCAAGGACACCACCGTTGTTGTTCCCGTTGTCAGCACCTACTGCCCTGGCACCTACACACAGCCCGAGCTGGTAACCACCATCACCGAGACTAGCACCGTCGTCTACTGCCCCTTTGACATCCCGGTCACCACCACTGTGTCTCTCACCACTCCCGTTGCCACCTCTTCCGCTGCCACCACACCTGCTGCCACCACCGCCTATCCCACCTCGACGGCTGTTGCTATCTCCTACCCCGTTGCTAGCGCCTCCAAGACCTCGTCTTCTGCCACCTCCAAGCCCACCGGCAGCTTGACTGGAAATGGCTCCGCCCCTTGGGCCATTACCTACACTCCCTACGACTCAAACGGCCAGTGCAAGACTGCTGATGCTGTCAAGACTGACATCGCGGCCATCGCCGCTTCCGGTGTCACTGCTGTCCGTGTCTACTCCACCGACTGCGACACCCTCCCTAACGTTGGTGGCGCCTGCGCCGACCACGGCCTCCGTATTATCCTTGGTATCTTCATTGACCAGGTTGGTTGTACTGCCAAGCACCCTACCGTTGAGGCTCAGATCAGCGCCATCAAGGAGTGGGCCAACTGGGACATTGTTGATCTTATTGTTGTTGCCAACGAGGCCATTTTCAATGGATACTGCACCCCCTCTGAGCTTGCTTCTCTGATCAGCGAGTGCAAGTCCGAGTTCTCTGGCTACACTGGCTACTTCACCACCACCGATACCGTCAACATTTGGCAACAATCTACCACCACTGACGCCCTTTGCGACGTTATCGATATCGTTGGTGCTCAGGCCCACGCTTACTTCAACACCGAGACTGTTGCTGCCGATGCCGGTAAGTTCGTTCGCGGACAGCTGGACATTGTCAACGCCGTCTGCCCTGGCAAGGAAGCCAGAGTTCTCGAGACCGGTTGGCCCTCGGCCGGTATCTGCAATGGCAAGGCTTGCGCCGGTACTGCGGAGCAAGCCGAGGCTATCGCATCACTCCTTTCTGAGGTCAGCCAGGAGTCTGTCTTCTTCTCGCTTACCGACGACGAGTGGAAGGATGGCAACACTGACTGCAAGTGCGAGCAGCACTGGGGGTGCAGCAGCGCCCTTGGTCTCAGCGGCCTTACCTCATAAGCGATAAAAAAAAAACATTAGAAAACGCTTTGCCAGAAGCATCCACTACCCTCACGCATTGTTTCGTACATGATCATCACGTTCTTCTTTTGCATCATCTTGGACATCCTTTTGGTTATATATGGGACAGCGCGCGGCGTGAAACGGTTGGGTATCGACACTCGGGAGGAAATGAAGAGATAAGAGCCATCGTCAAGTATTTATATCGCCGCGGCGTTGTTGGTTACTTTCTCCGCCTCCTCCATCTGGGTCTTCGGGTGTTTCCACAAATAAGGGCGGGCTGAGGTTAAGCTTTGAATACACAGCATTACGTGCCAAAATCCCCTGGCCAGTCAAATTAGGGTCTGATTCTTAATGTTGTAATTTATTAGTATCTATTATGGATGTCGCCGTTCGCAAAGATCTTTTCTACTGTCTCTTCTGTGTCCTACCAAGCTTGAGTGATCACCTACCAATGTTTACGTTTGTTGTCAGCGTAGTTTAAGATTTGTGGTTTCGATATGATGGATAAATTTGAGTCAAATGCCTTTACGGACAAGACAGTTCAGCTGTTCGGCCTGTTGTGCCAATCACGGATGCACATTCAAACCTTTGAGCGGACAAGGTATGATTTTCCAGCGTTTGACTATTGTAGCTCTTACTATGTGCTAATCCAGTACCGAATTCTCACAGCCGGTGCGCACAAACTGGTGATTGGCCCGTAACGCTGGCTTGGGAATGACGCCCAACGACAACCAAGGCAGTAAGTACCATCTCTCAGAAAACATGCCAAGTGCCGAGCAACCAGGTCTGCCCGCGCATTCCTCCGGTCTTTATCGCGTAAAGCAATGTTTTGTTATGTTTCTTGGCGCAGCCACAACTCGCAGATTCTCTCGGTATATGAGATAAGGTTGCGGGGACGAGGTCGGGAAGCTCGTCTGTTGTCTTACTTCCAAAAAGCGCCTCCTACCGTGGCACTGAGACATTTTGCGAGTCTGTAGAGGGTTCGTTGGCGATTTAGACTTGAGACAGCATCCGTAGCATGTAATAGCTACCCGGAGCAAAATGGGAGGCATGACCAGTGCCGGCTGATCGATCGATCGTGCGATCTTCCTCAGCCGCCCCAATCTTTCACGTCCTTGGAACTCCTAGATCAAACGCAAAGAACATGAACATCTCCATATCAGTACAGTCAAACTTGCAATGGCGTTTTGTGGTCGGCTAGAAATTTCGAGGGCTGTCCTTAAGGGGCCTTCACCTGCAGGATTCATTTCATTTTGCTCATAGTAGTTTTGTTTAACAAACGAGCACAAAAAATAGAACCACGTGACCAACCACATCAAACTCCTGTAATCCTGAGTCAGTGTGTTTGTCATTTACCAAGTTCAGGCCGAGAGATGAACATTGTCGGTGTAGAGATGGATTTATTTACGGGACAGTGTGAAACGGTATGTAACTATGCAGGTTTGAAGCAAAGTACTTGCCTCTAGTTAAGCCTCATAAAATGTACAAAGAAGTAATGCCGGTCGACTTCAAGCTCAACATAGGTTTCTAGTACCAGTATAATGCCATTGTTGTACCATTCAGCGCGTGCTGAGTTGAAGTATGTACTATGTGACCGATAGTCGGGTATCCTCTGTACGTAAGCCCGTGAAAATAGCCCCCCAAAGTCGAGACCACACCACTTGTTGTCCCGGAGAGAGAGAGAACTTGCAATATCTATGCTGTTGGCATTGCGGTCAGTGCACACAACAAACACACCTTGCCCATGCAATATATGAGTCAAAGAACAAAGAAACCCCCAAAGATGAAACAAATCCTTCCGTCGTCGATGTGACGCATGCCCATGCCCCAAGAACGCCGTCTGTGCAATTCTCCCGGATGTTCCTCAAATGCTTGTGGATAGACAATTCATTGCTCTCAAAATGGCTCGAGGTTACTGCTGGCTACAGCTTTTCTTCTTCGCTCGGTCAATGTCTCCAGTGACTGCGAAAGTCCTAATGTGTCCTTGGTAGTGGCGCCCCAATCATATCTATACGATGTTCGCGGTGGTCCTGACCGACGGCTCAGGTCCCAGTCATTGGTGTTGAAAGCATCTTCGGTACCGCCGTCGCACCTCTCAAACTGTACAATTCCGCCGCGGGCCGGGTCGGTGTTCAGCGCCATCAACACCTGACCATCATCTGCAAATGCCGTGCCACCAATCTCGCCAAACATATCAATCTTCTGCTGTGTGTCGAAGGTTTGAGCATCGAAAATGCTCACTATGTCTGCTTCCTCAGCAGCCACCAACAGGCGCTTTCCGGAACCAAGAGGAGAGAACCGAAGACTCCTGGCGCCGGACATATCGCATCGCAATACTGCTATTGGCGCGCCTTCGCCATTGTGATTGTTGGTCCACCGCCGCGCATCCCATATCCGCACGCTCTTGTCCTGAAAGCCAGTTGCGACCGTCCAGCCATCAGGAGCCCAGTCGCAAGCGAAACCAAAGTCTCGATGACCGCTGAGGTCCTGTAATATCTCTCCAGTCTCGGCATCCGTGATGAGGACATTCGTGTGGTCGCCCACCATGACGCGCAGTCTTTGATCAGTACTAATCGCTGAGCAGTTTAAAGGGTAATTGTACATGCTCTCAAAAAGAAGCTGGTTGGTTGTGAGGTCCACTGTCCGGAACCCGAAGTCGTTGGAGGCGAAGGCGGCTATAGGGGCAGACGAACGCCGGGCGGAATGTATTTGTACATGGTTGGTGATACCACTGATGTGCTCAGTCAGTTTCCCCTCGGTGAAGTCACGATCCTCCGAGTTTATATTTCGATAGCGGTAGTCGCCTAGAAAACTGCCAGCTACCAAGATCTCGTCGGTAGCAGCGATGGTGGATACTTGCACGTCGCTGTGGTGGCCGAAGTCCATTGCTTTCCTTGTCCGTCCTGTAGTAGGGTCCAGCTCTCGGATAGCGTTGGAGCCCGGGAAAAAAGCCCGAGTACGAGAAGTGCATGCTAAGATGTTGCGCAACTGGAAATGCAACAAGCGTGTATCACGCCGTATATCCATACTTTTGAATCGGAAGTAATTGTCGCGGGGCATGGCATACCGGTCCGGGAGGCTTGGCTATTAGGACATGTCAACCACGCTGCCCTCCGATCAAACACAACAAATGCCAAGTACGCGGGTGAAACTCACATGCCACTTATCAGAGCCGGCCTTATTGACATAGTTCTTATAAGTCGCCCGGCGACGATCCCTCGCTTTGCTGCGCGATACACCCAGTTTCGACCAACTGACGCCCTGGAAGTCGCACTGGTCTCCTTTGAGCTGCTCGTAATTTATCCGGTGTGTGTTCTTATCAGCGATGAGCGTTCGCGGCGCTTCAAGAGGTGGTGCGGGATGGCCATCCCGTGAAGGGCCAGAACGGGCCCATGAGCGCAAAAAGTCCACCAGGCTGAAGTTATCAGGTCCTAGTGTCAGGTGATTGGGATTGCTCAATGGCAGAGCGCCGTGCAGGTCGCCGAGATCGTCTTCGAGAAAATCATTGATAACCTGGTTCTGAACAACGACAAGCATTGCCTGTTGCTGCTGTGTTTGCGACTGTCCTAATTGTTGCTGTGGTATATTAGAAAGTACCTGCTGTGCGAAAGCGGGAAGCTGAGCGAAGGTTTGCGCCTGTGTCAGCACCTGTGCCTGGGTCTGTGCCTGGGCCTGGGCCTGGGCTTGAACGTGAAGCTGCACCTGCACCTGCATCTGTACTACTGGAGTAAGGCCGATCGATTCCATAGCAGGCGGCGACGACAAGGTAGCATTGCTGCTGACAGGGCCGAAGGGTACCAACGGCGGAGAATGTTCATCATTGTCGAGCGATGTTAGATCGTCCAAGTTGTCGGTGCTGTTTGACGGTCCAACATATGATGTTCCATCCAGGGTGTTTCCTGTGAAGGGTGAAATGATGTCGCTATCGTGCGAGTATGTCGCGCTCAGGGGGACACCACCATCCTCAAGATCTACGTCCGTCATGTCGTGGTCATCGCTGGAGTCGTGCTCGTGCTCGTGCATGAGATCGGTGAGCTCTGCGGTGCTGGACCCAAACCCTGCCCAGGCCGTGTGTCCATACTGCGTCGTCGCGGCACCGTTTGGAGTGTAGTCGGGCGGGCCCGTGACTCCCAGGTAAAAGTCGAGTTCGCTGGCACTGCCTGCTTCTTCATGTGTGGATGCCGCCGAAGAAGAGGCAGACGGGTCGTTCTCGCGCATTACGATTGCGAACTATCTCATTAAGTGGGAGGGCTGGATAGCGCGGGTCGGGAGGTTTAGTAGCTGGAGGGCTCCCTCGTGGGAAGAAGGCCGCGTCAAACGTTAATTGCTGCGCGTCCGCGGTAACCTAGTACTTCTGGGAAATGGCCGAGGTCAACGTCGCTCCTGAAGGCAGTCCTTGAGCGTCCCCTCTGAAGGAAATGAAGAGACGAGTTGAGGAGCTGGAGCAGGTGTGAATGCGACGTGGATATGAGGAGTTTCGCCACCATGGGAACCACCACCCAGGGCTTGAGTGTAATCGTCCTGATATGACTCGAGCTCGACACTGCCCGAGTACCCGGTGATCAATGGCGGCCCCAGAAGAGCTAATAAGTTAGCTTAGTTGAGGTAGGTACTTAAGATAGTACTACATACTACCGTCCGGGAGTACTATGCAGGTGGAGTGAAACAGTGGAGGAGATCGCCTGGAGTCCGGAGATAAGATCGCTACTCATTACACCACATACTGTAGCAAAGGGAGACGGATGTATGTATCTATATTTGTATGTATGCGAGAACGTTCAGTTCGGATGAGAGGGTGCCCTCTTGCGAAGAGCGATCATGCGGAGTGACGGTAATTGTTGAACTGCATGCAGACAGCAAGTCCACCTGAAATTGAGCACATTGCATACAGTACATTCGTGCTGTGGGTAATTTCATGTCTGAAGCGCGGGAAGTGGACAGTGGTCATGGTACCTATCCCACCTACATACACACGAATCCGTATGTACATATGCTCTACAAACGTGACCATGTCAATATTAGCCTATCCAAGAAGGTGCTTGCTAGGTTAGACTCCAATGTTATTCTCGGTCGAAATCGTCGTAGTGCAAACGTTCCGTGCGATAACTGAGGCGGTTTCTGGTGTATTTGGTCCATTGACCGCTGTGGGATGCTTGGGGGAGCAAAAGACGGAAGACCAATAACCCCCACCAAATCTCGGCATCACACGGTACAATGACAACCATCAGGCGCCCCCCCCCCCCTTCCCCCACCAACTCCTAATTACTAACTACTAACTACTAATTACAGTATGTATGCTAATTGTCACCAAGTATCCGTCTCGAAAACCTCTAGGACATCATCCCACTTTAATTATGTTACAGCATTCCACTTGCTGAACCCCCAGCTGGGCCTTTTCCATCTCCTAGCCATATGGAGAGTTGGTCCTAGACTAGCAGATATACAAACTATGTCAGGTTGCAACCACTAGACCCCTTGCCCCGTCTGCATGATGCCGTAAAAGGAAATGCAGTGTGGGTATGGGCGCTCTTGTCAGGCTCGTCAGCTCTAGACAATGCCCGATAATACGACATATCAAAAGGGATCCCCCGTAACCGTCCAGAACTCTGTAGCCAGGGCGCTTCGAGTGAGTAGCATCTCCAAAGCCATTACCGGAATGATCCAGCCATCCTTGACCGGTACGTCCCGCCAAGCAAACGAACAACATAATGTTATGTCGGGTCGAGTACCAGGACTCGCCATCATATCCTTGTCCATCTCCCACGAAACACTGGTACTGGATTGCAGTATTCACTACCAACACGTTGTTTGTGAGTAACGACTGGCCTTCATCCACGACCCAAGAATGCTATGAAGCCTTGGCGTCATCAACGGTACCCGTCCAAGCTTTAGTGCCTGGCACAGCATTGCTCTCAAAATCAATCAAGAATCATTCGTTCCTCAGTATCTGCACGTTGCCACTCATACGAAGGCATATAGGTATGTATGCCTTGCTGCGGCAGGTGGACCCACACGCCGTTTTGGCTATAATCATAACCGTACTGTATTCGCATTGACAGCATCCGATCAAAAACCTTGACGTGTATCTCTCAGGGCAACTCACTCGAAGTATGCGAGTGTTTTTTGCAAGGTATATTGAGCGCCAAGCTGGGTTAGCCCTGCACAATGGATGTTGGTGCTCGTGAGATACTAGGTTGTGATGCCGGTACGAATGAATGGTTGCAGATCCGACATGGCTCTGGATTGCACTAAATAACAGATCATTTGTTACACCTTCCCGGATGGCGTCGGGACAAGAGGAAAGGAAACGTCGGAAAATAATCCGTGCATGCAGGCTTTCGGGAAGTGCTTCGGGGCCTTCTGCTGGCCCTCCGCGCCAATAATTCGGGACTAACCCGGCCTTGGAATTCGCAAATATCTAAAGAAAATACCTAGGCTTGAACAATCGTTGCTGTAGACGATTGCTGCGTTATTGACACTGACTTGTTGGGCTGAACCGCTTCGGACAAGACCCAATCTTTGTCAGTATGCAATATGTGATATCCGAGATTACCATATGGCACTGCACATCCCCTCCGGGTGTCTCGTTCAAATGTTACTCCTTAGGCATACTACCAAGTATCTACCAGGACGCTGGTGAGGTGACCGTTCCTTACTAGCGTTGGTATAAAGATGTCATGGCCTGGTGGCGGGCCGCACCTTGTCTTGACTATACCATAAAGACTGAGAGGTACATGATAGTCCGGTCCTACGACGTTGTTTGCTCGTGGTTTTCATCAACACACACTTCATATCTCATCCATAATTATGTCGGGCGTTACAAGCTGCGTGCTATACTTTGGGAAGCGCTCTAGATATTAATCTCGACTACTAATCTCGCAATCGGCTCTTTGTCTCCCAGGTCGGCCAGCCCCAACAAGTCCTCCGGCAAGCACGGCCCCAGCCTGACGACCTCGTGCTCCGGCTCGTCCCCGTTCTCCGCCATCAACGCCAGCGTGACGCTCTCCTCGTGGTAAAACGTGCTGTGGCCGCACTTTCTCACATCCCTCGTGTCGCCCGCCCACAACAAGCCATACTTGCCCCCGTTGATCCGGGCCTCGTCTGAGGACCTGGGCAGCGTTATGTGCGCGAGGCCGGTTATGAAGTGCACCCACTGCGGTTGCGCATAGTGCCGGCCTCCGTCCGAGTTGGCGGGGACGACGGTGAGCGTCGCGTTGGCGACGGGGCCGAGGAAAACGTAGGATCCGTTGGCCACGCCGGGCGTGGAGGAGATGTCGAAGGGCGTGGGGAGCTGCCAGCATTGCAGGACCGAGTCGCCGTCATCGTGGGTTACGGCTGTGATGTTGAGGTGCGGAAGGTCTCGGGCGACGGCGCTGGAGTAGAAGAGGCTGAAAGCCAGCACGAGAGGCAGCTGATAGGGAGGTCTCATCCTGGGCTGGCTGGAAAGAAATAATCATGCGTTGTGAGAAACTCTGTACGCTAGAGGAGAAGGGAAGCCGACTTTATTGGGTGATAATGGGGAGCTGAGGTGGCAGGCATTACTCGTAATATATATGTGGCACGGGAGTCATTTGTATTCGCCTATTTCTCCCGTCACCTCCGCCGTACCTCGAATCAGTCCTTGGTCGCCCTCATGTCTCCAGACATTAAGTATTCCAGGTTGTAAAAAATAATAAAAACTCCGTTGGACGACACGGGTCTTGAATTTGGACTGAAACTACGAGTCGACAAATCTAGTCATTGATGGTTGTTGTCACGTAACGTTGAATACTTTAGCTCAATGGGCACGCCTCATTTTGTGAGGCCCAAAGCCTTACATCTCGAGATGCCTTGACTATACTAGATACATTGTGCCTCTGTTTATATGCTATAGATTAATCATGCATTATCACAGACAGAGAAACAAGTACTATCAACTAAACGGCAGCAGATTTATTTTGTCTCCACCGCGGCATGATCCTATGCACCAGATACTTCATGGTCGACGTCATATTTTGATGAGAAACAACTACATAGCACGAAGGACCAATGGGGACAAGAAGGTCACACCCAGCAACCTCTCAGTACAGTATGTACTTGTTGCGGCGGGTTCTTGCGATACATGCAAACCGAATAGAAAGCTGCCGATGACAGCTGCTAGAGCTGCCCAACCCTCCACAACACTTGTGTATATATGCAAGCACCCGAGTCGCGTACCATGCCAAGGTGTGACGAGATGCATAGCAAACAAAACCGGGCAATAGAAAACGATTAGATCCCGCGAACAACTCTCTCTTCGAGTGCCTGCTTTGTAATACTGTCCTGTTGTGCTTGGGCTGACTAAAGTTACCGACCAGGATGGTATCCAGGGCGGCAACAGATGCCCCAACGCTCGAGGACAGATGAAGCGTTGGTAACATTTCACAGGGGATCTCGATCAACTTTCGAACTGTATCACAAGTATTTCAGCGTCATGCCCGAGGAGCTGTCGCATGTGGCAGGGACCTTAAGAGACGTACGACACAGGGCAGGATGACATGAACGTTGGAAAATCGTGCTCAATAATTAGGCCGTAGGCGCACAAGATAGTATGCCACCTATGGTTATGTATATATATGCTTCACACAACAGCGAATCTGTCGGCAGTAATATTTCAACCCCTCCTAAGACACCGTATCAATGCCAAAAGACCATTTTCTATACTTGGAAACCCCAAAGTTTGCCCATGGCTCCGGACGAAACAAAAACATCAATTCAAAACAATGCCCATATGAACGCTTGACGATGTGTCTTGTCTGTCGAGGACAAGCAATAATGCGCAACAACTTCGCTCAACCTCATTTCGGAACATTTTCTCATGCATCAGAGTAATACTGATCATCGTAAGGGTGGTGACGGGGCATATCTGGTGCTGTTGACCACGCACCGCCTACAGCCACGTTCTCCTTGGAGGCCCAGACTCCTTCCCGAATACGACGTTCACGCTCGAACTCAGCCCAGCGCTTCATCGTAATCTTGGTACTATCGAATTCACCCTCATACTCTAAACCTGCTTTCTTCGTCTTCTCACCAGCCGTCTTTCTGGTTTCACCCCACGAGAAATCATCAAACTTCCAGAAGGCATAGACAGGCAGAACGAAGTTCCAGATGGGGAGCGAACAGAGGTAGATGAACATCCAGACGACATAGGACCACGAGTGGGCGGTACATATAATCAGGACAGCTGGCAGACCAAGAATCAGACCCAAAAGGACCAACGGAATAATTTGGGGCGGCGAGTGGACGATCGAGATGATAACTAGTCAGATATCAGTTCACCATGACCTCTGGTTAAAGCAAGGTCTGTACTTACCAACATATATCGTGAATGCAATGGCAGCAGGAAGCACCACGGTACCAATTAATTCGACCAAGACAACAAACTGCATGCTGAAACAGAAAGTACCGCAGAGATCCTTGACAAACACAAGCTCCATAAGGTTGTGCACTGTTGAATTGATCCATCTTCGTCGTTGAGAAAGGAGTACCATGAACGAGTCGGGCACAGTTGTTTTACAAACAGCCTGCGGAACAAAAACCTGCTTACGCTTTGGGAATGTACGCAGCATAAGAGTAGTTAAGTACCGATCCTCTCCGAGAAGAAGCAAGTTCTTTTGATGCAGTGTATCGATAACGTTGTCAGAGTAGTGCTCAACAATATCCGGATTGGCGAGAATGGGAACCCAGTAGTTCTGGGCACCTTTCGGGGCTTTGATGCGATACATGCAGAAACAACCGGGCAAACAGGTGACACCACCAAAAACCGACTCGAAAGCCTTTGCCGAGTGATGCGAGATGAAGTATTCGAAGACTTGGATAGCTGTCACCCAGCTATCTCTCTTGTTGGCGATCTTGGTTTCACCACAGAGACCCATGATTTCGGGGTCCTTGACCATGGCCGAAAGCATGTGAGTGAGACTGTCGGGGAAAACTTTTGTGTCAGCATCAACCATGAGAACAGCTTCGTAATAGTCAGGCGAGATGCCGGTGACCTTCCAGAGACCGTTGAACATCTCAAACTCGAGTTCAGTCATGCGCTCATCAAACATGACCTTTTGAAGGAACGACATCAAAATGATCTGACTGTCACGCTTGCCACGGTTTCCTGGCTTGGAATTCTTTGCTTCATCAGGAGTACCACATTTCGATACAAGCATCATGGGTACACGCTGCTGCTTCTCCCTAGAAACATGAGACTTGGCGCCGTAGTCGTAGAAACCGGCATAAATCTTGGCCATGTTGTGGCGTTTCGCACCGCTCGCAACAGCAACATAGGAGAACGCCTCGACTTCATCTGGATGTTGAACGTGGTCTTTCATCATCCCAAGCACAATGTCGGGAGTTGTCATTGTTTCACCATGGCCCTTGATAAGACCATCGCAAATAACGAGGATCACCTTGTGGCTGTTGGGATAGTCGGTTGTGGCGATGGAGTCAAGAGTAGTCCGGAGACCATCTTCACCTTCTGAATAAGCCGTAACAAGGCATATCGAATGAATCAGAGGGAAGCCGAATGGACGGAAATCTGCAGGCGGCTGCGGCACTACAGCATCGTGAATGAAGCCAGCTGGTCCATACCCGTCAGCAGGACTGACACCGCTCGCATACTGATCTGATGAATTAAGGAAGCTGGCGCTGCTGTCGTTGGTCTGCCTATACATGGAGCCAGGATGCAACAAAGGCCCAGTCGAAGCCTGACTTCCCATAGTCGTGGGTTGCGGTCTTCGAGGCGGTCGGTCCACTCCGTATACTGTCGAGAAGCGAGATGTTGTCGGCAGAAATGTACTTGCTCGCTTGCTAGTCCGATCTGAGCTGGGCGCCACACTACTGCCGATATCGCCAGCCATTCGCGGGGGTGCTCGGTAGATATCTTCACTCCATTCCTCGATTTGCTGGTTTCGCTTCTTCTTGTTGCCTGATTGGGACGTTTTCACAGCGGCATACTTCGGGCTGATGAACCAGTTGAAGATGAGAGCCAGAACAAACTTGATCACGACCACGGACAAAATGAGAACTAGGGACACATATAAGACAACCTTGGACGCAATGCATCCAACTGTCTCGGTGTCGACACTGCCGACCTTGATAATTTCCTCGAAACACTCGGCGACATGCTTGTCCGTCGTCCCTTGAAAAGCACGCGTTATGTCGCGTCCATGCACAGCAGCATTGCCTGACGTGGTTCGGTCTCTCAGCTCTTTGAAACGGTCAGGGACGACAACTTGATCTTCGTCAAGCCATTGGAGAAGATCCAGATCAAGGACATTACCGGAGTAAACCATCAAGTTTCGGCTGCTGTTCTTGATGTCCTCCCATGTAAAGTAAACATCGGCGGTTCCTTTGAGGTCAATGTAAAATGCGTCTCGGGCTGTCTGCGTAGTGTGGCATGCGTATCCGTTGTAGTACGACTCGGTGTAGTTTGGAGAGGAAGAGCCATCTTGGTTGAAAGGTCGACAAGGGAAGTACCATGCCAAATCGTTGTCGCTATTAGTCGGAATCGTCGAGTTCTCCGTCAGGGTGATCAAGCCCTTGCACTTTCCGTTGACATTCTGGAACAGGAAACTTCCATCCTGGCCACCGTGCTTCTCTGACAAATCGTACAAAACGTTGGGTAGCGTGTCGTCGGCCGTGAGGGGAATGCCCTCCGCGACTGGATGTCCGGATTTTGTTAGATCGTAGGCAACACCATGAAAGATCATGTAACCAGTGTCGACGTCATTGATCTGGAGACGAGTGCTGGCAGTGCCACAAACTACCTGAGTGAAACCGAAAGTCAGGAAACCGACGAAAGCCATGATCAACAAAATGATGCTGATGAGGCCCATCTTTTCTCGCCATGCTCTCTTTTGTGCCTTTGCTCTGAACCCACAACAGCCGAGAATGAAATCGGGACACCAGAAGGTTATAATGGCGCAGTACACATTCCAAATGCTCGGAGGTGAAATGACCTCTTGAGGTTTCTGCTTCTTGGACCGCTTAGACCCCTTGGAAAGCTTTCCACCATGTGACTTCCTTCTCCGTTCGCGGGCAGTTTCTCGAGGTTTGGACTTCTCATCGTCTCCGCTGCGCTTCTTTCGTGGCGGTGAATCAACCGAGGCGTCGTCAATTGTCCTGCGTCCTCCTGAAAGCTCCGTTGTTCCCTCGAAGTCCTCCAAGATTGGGTCGTTGCCAGTCGATGACGGCAAGACATCCATTTTTGCAGCATGCTTCCGATAATGATAGTTAGGGTGGTCTTTGCCAATCTTGTTCCTCTCTGGACGGATCAAGCTTCTCTTGCGAGAGAGGCCTGACGCCTCTGCGCCAAAACCCTCCTGATCCAAGGCCGGCGAAAGAGGCAGATTTTCTGTGGTCCCATTAGGATTCTGTAGTGTATCTGCAGATGTCCCTGATTGCGCACGTGAGTGAGACTGCCTTGCGACAGGATAATATCCTCCCGTCTCGACATCTGCTGGACGGTTGCGTCGCGCGGGAGTCTGTCGGTAGGAAGTGCGCTGTTCGTACGAGGCCCGTGATGCCCCTGGCCTTTCGGGAAGTGACATGATTCTGCAGTGGCAGTTCGGTTAGCGCTCTCAGTCAAATCCAACAAATACGATGGGGAGGTTTGTTGCTGTCGTGGTTGTTGCCTGCGAGGGTAGGGATTCCGCCTCTACGAGGTCCTGGAAAGTGACATACGAAAATCAAGAAGCACTGGCAAGGAGGTTCAAAGAGAGCAGCTCACGCCTGCAGACTCGAGTATTGGCGAGCTACTTCAGGCGACTCGTCATAAACGATGCAATGCGTGAGGTGTGGTACAATCCGACAACAATAGCGAATGTATAGAGAGGGGCATGGAGAAAATGGAGAGCCGGGAGAGGAGAGAGAGATGACAAACTACATCATCATCGAATTCAGGGCCATGATACAAGCAAGACCATGTCCAGTGTTGTTCGGCAGAGAAGGAACACTCACCAACGCTCGTCGTGGTGGGCAACTGACTGTTGTTACTGGGTCGGCACCACCCAAGCGACCACCCAAAGCACAATCGCAGGGGCAAGTCAGCTGCTGCTTGAGGAAGAATCCCTGTCCGTGAGAGCCAAGCCAAGCCGAGCCAAGCCCTCTGGCGTCAATCACTTTCACTGACTTGATTGACAAGCGCTGAAGCCAAATGCACTGGCTCGAGTGCCGGGCTTTCCTTGTTTGGACCTGGACCTGGACCTGGACCTCGTCTTCTCCTTTTGGGCGACACCAACGAACAAAAGGTCGCAAATAGTAGCTAGCTGGTCTGAGCTCGTTACCAGAGGGCAAGCTCGCCAGCTATTGTTATTGTTGTTGTTGTCACTATTCGAGAGGGCTTGAGGAAGGGAAGCGACTCGTGCGCGCGCAGAGTCTCCGTCTGGTCGAGATGACAATTAGGACGGTTGGTTGGCGTTGACTCGGGAGCTCTACACGTCGTCTTGTCCTGGTGAGCAACAACCAGCCTTTCCCAGGTCCTAACCCTGGAAGTGTCGTTGTTTCACGTAGATGCAGTAAATGGTTGTGATTAAAATGCGATATGACAAGCGAGCGTCGATAATAACGATTGACTTGTAATTAAATTAAGCGACAGCCCCAATGGATGCACGTATCGACAGGAAGAAATGATCACTGATCAAAATGATGTCGCAGGATAATGTTCAGGATGAGCAGCGTAGTGTAGAAACTCTAATGATCTAATGAAAAATCCCGTACCTTATGCCCGGCCACAAAGACGCATTGGGGATGGCTTCTGGGCCGCTCAAAGGCTGGGAAAGGGGCGAGAGTTGATTTGAAGCATGCTGCATTTGCTGGGTTCAAAGTTTGGCTGGGGGCTGGCACCAACCCCCAGGGCACTCAGGTACAAGACAAGCTGAAGCCGTGCTTGCTAGCACTCCAAGATGTAAGCGTCCGCCCACCCCCGCTACAGATGTTCCGTCGCCTCTACTAGTACCAGCCGTAGTGGTGTGCTCGTGTTGATCGATACATACTGTGCGAATATGTTCCCACTGAACGCGGCCTGCTAAACTGCCTGGAGGATGCCGCGGCTAAGAAAAGAGATCTGCTGCACTACGGTAAATCTGAGATCCTACTATGCACATAGCAAAATTAGCGCTGACGTCTGTCAATTGTTGCTTTTGCACAATTTATGCACTTTTCCACTCACAGACCATCCAGGCATCCTCATCTTTTCCCATAAAGGCATTGAAAGATCGCCGTCGGACATGGGGTCCCTGGCGCTGCTCAAGGATTGTTACTCCAACAACAGGGCCTATTTTTACGAGGTAGTACCGGTACGTTGAGTAGTTCTCTTTGTACAGCTTGTTTACTTCCGCACGTGTTAACTGGCCAATATGGTTGTGTGCCTGCTTTGTTGGTCGTTGGAAAATCTGAAGTCAAGACGTCAAATCGTAACTGCTTTACGCATCGCATCGCATCGCATTACCTTGCCTTGCCTTGCCTTGCACTGGAATGGATTGGGCGACGAACCAGACAAGACGAGCCACAGATACATAGCCCACAGCGTGGGACTCTCAAGGTTGTTGACAATTTCTTGACCCCAGTTTCGTGAGCGCAGATCACGAGCTTGGATCACTCGCTGACATATGTACTAGTCCTTGGTCTGGAATTACTCACTTGAGTCTTGAGTTCTACCTACTGGAGGCAACAAGAAAGAAAACGCGTTCCGCCGTGAGCAGCGCGTCGTGGCACCTTACGCATTCATGTGGGAATGTCATCCACTTAAGCGTTCTTGGTGGTCAATATGTATCCGCTGCTGCGGGATCGGTCCGGCCAGTCTTGATCGGCAATAAGGTGGTTCGGATGCAGGCTGCTGGTGTTATCACCCGAACTTTGGGACCACCATGATGAAAAGTCAATCACCAGCGACACGTAATGTCTAACCCACCGGCTGGACGATCCGAATACTCTCCATAGCTGTGCCCTCTGCTGGGCAAAGGATTTTAAACTTTGGGTCTGTTCCCTGAGTAGGCGCCGGAGTCGTTGCGACTTTACCGGCGCCGGCTGTTCTGGCCTGTCTGTCGCAAAATCGCGGGGATAAAGTAAATGGTTTCGAGGGTTTGACAAAAACGGCATTACATTGAATCACGTAACACCGTGTCTACCCTTGAAGTTCAACGGTCTATTTTGATCTTTCGCCCAGCAAGAATGTATTTATCCTGCCCCGGCCCGGCATTATAGGCGCACTTGCTCAATTGCTCTTTTTCTGCGCTCGCAAGGGTCCATACACATGATTAGCAGTCTGATATGTCCAATGCGCTGGTAAGACAGGCTCCTCGGGGCAACACTGTCGACTATGTATTCTAATACTATGTACAGCGTCGCAAATGTGTCAACTCGTGTCTCGGATTAGTGTATGGTTTGTGCCATGTCGCCCCTCGCCTGTCATGTTCGTATTGCTCAGAGACGAAGGTGACTTCTAACTTAGTCTAAGCCGAAGAGCTTGAATACATTAAGATAATGCGCATCGGGACCTGCTATCCATTCTCTTGCATGGGCCAAGCACTGCGACCGGGCCACTAAAACCGGAGAGTGTCCATCTTTCCAAATGGTAGTGGGTAGTTCGCTCTTCAAAGAGATATCGCAACCTCGAATATCACAAATTCGTGCTCTTGGGAAGGATTGCAATAAGAGTAGAGGCACTGCGCATTAGTGATCAATGATGCGAAGCGAGTCCACCTGGGTGTAGGTGACACGTAATTTCGATTCTCCAATTTGCGCATCCTTTCGTCCCCATCGTCGTTCTCACATTCCAGAAGCCTTCTACGCGATTAATTTCCTCTAGCTCAGTCTTACCACGAAACTTCACCGCAACAATTTGACGTTTGACACACAAGGTAGACGAGCTATGTAGTCGCCGAGGATTTCTGATATCCCCATAGAAAGACATGTATCTCACATTTTGGTAGCTAACATCTTATGGCAGCCATATGGCTCATTGACAAGATTTGCAGCTTCGTGCCATAGAGTCATTTCATTGATCTTGGTTCGGTGCAAAAGGTTAAAGTGTTCATTGCCGCCAGGAGTACAGCCATTTAATTCACTGTCGCAGGCATTAAAAGACCCACCTGAAATCTGTCTGAACAATTCACCTCGAGTAATTTGTGGCATAACGAACGAAAAGAATGGACAAATAAATAAAAGGATCCAAGGAGAAGCTTGCACCATTTAAGACGATACTCATGATGAAATCATGGTAATATTTCCTAAGCAAATGGAACTAATTAACCTAAGAAGCTTTGCTTCTAGCGTCCTGGCGGACTCACAATTCATACCCTAACCCTGCGTTGGCCCAATGTGTGATGGCTTCTGGCGGAGTTATCTCAGTTGGTGCTTCCGATTGTCTTGGGTTCTTGATTCATAGAGAGACGTGTGAGAACAAGGTTTTCTTTGTTTAAAAGGTTGTTGCATAGCAATAATTAGTCTGAGTCCGACGCCGCAATATAGCTACAAATCTGCCTGTAAAAAGAGGAGATAGCAGCGGTCCCACGAATAATCCCATTTCACCTTGGAACCGCAAGCAAGCGGCCGTTAATATCTCAAGATAAGCCCTACTAGTTTCATCGTTTCCTTAGGCAACCGAATTTAGGCCATATGTGGAGGATCAACTGACCGAAAGACCCTGAAGATCTCGTTCGTATTACTACGGGGGGCCCATTGTCATACTGCTGCACTTTTAATCCAATTGGGCTAAGCACTAGTCCTATAATTCTCCGTAAGGGAGTACCAAGGTTCTAGCCCCACATTAATATGCTTGCGACACGAACTCCCTGACATGTTAAAGTGATGACAGACAGCGGAATGATTGAGACATACCGGAGCAGAATGATCATCAGCATCGCCCGCTCACCAACAATTCCCCAGTTGGATTACATCACCCCCAGTCAGGGTGGCGCGCTCCAGCATGTCGTGTTGGTGAAGGCTGATGGCGTGAAACTAAGCCTGCGAATGGAGCTGAGTAACTCTACTCTGTAGGGCCTGTAGGGGAATCGAGTGGAGGCACAAGTCCATCTTTTGTTCAGCCCGAGGGCCCGTCTCTGCCGAAGACTTCATTGTCTTTATTGTCAAGCGGATGCTCCGTACACCAATTTATTCGAAGATCGATACGTCTGCCCACTTTCGGTTGTTGATACTCTATTCGGATTCTGCTACGATGTTTCTTGCTTAGCTTCGGCTGCTCCATCTCCCGTTCAGTACCAAGACCTGGCGGCGCAAAGAGGTGTGAGCTCAATTTCAACATCCCAAGTCAAATAGAATTCTGCGTTAACGTTGGGGAGGTAGGAACCACCTCCCGAAGCTCAGGGTTGGCGCCATCCTTTGGAGGGGTACACAGCGAAAGTCTGTCGTTGCTGTTCAGGGCTGCCAAGGATTTCGCAGCAGGAGAACTCTTTGTGGTCTTTTAACAATCGCACGTCATCCAGAAGAAGGTTGGAGGTATGTTTCGTCATCTCTTGATCCTCCAGTGCAGACTTTCCCACCAATCGAGTAGCAAAACTCGGCACACGGTGGCATGCAAATGCGGCGTATGGGGCCACTCGTTCCTGGCTAGGCCAGGCATTTCACATCACACGAGTTCAGTGCACTTCGACAACCACTACATGCTCCGTACTTGTACAGTGTTTCTAGACTTAGCGCATGTGTAGTGCATCGTACCAAGGAGTAGTGCCTGCATGCCACACCCCGTGGCCCGATACAGTGGATCGACCAACTGTGACTGCCCCCCGTTGAACCCACTGCAAGTCTAAACTTGCCGGCGCTGACCTACCAACTACCTCAACGGTAACCGTCTGCGTTCGAGTTCGCTCACCTCTTCCCAGTCCCTTGGAAACAGAGGGAAGGCAATGTCAAGTATTGCAGAGTTCTGAAACATCTCTTTCTCTTGGTACATACGCTTGGAGACAGCCTCACTGGTTACATTCTTTTTTCTTCTTCCTCTTTTTCTTCTTTCCCTTCGCGAGGCTCTGGGGAATTTCTCTTCGTAATCACTTCTTCTTGTTTCTAACGAGCATTTGCATCCAGCATTAGCATTATTGGCGCCAGATACCCTCGCTTGCTTTTTGGGTTTGCTCCGCAGTCGCAACTTGACACAGCTAGCCACTATCAAGTGTCTAGACCCCCCTCATCTGCGACCGAACCAACAGAAGGGCAATAAAAGGAGGCCACCGGGGGAAAGTGAGAAGACGAGCGCACAAACGAGTCGAAGAGGACACGAGTGATCCAGTAAATACAAGAAAAACAAAGTGGTCGTTGTCTAATACTTCAGTTGCGCCCGACGGAAGGGACCGGCCTCGTGGCCATTGAGTTGAGGAGTAGTCGTAGTAGCAATCACACAGCTATCGTTAGACAGATCGTTGGGGTTGTAAGGAGCTGTGTTCGAGCGTCGCAGTCATGGCAACTATGACAACCTCGCCGCCTCCCCAGGTTCCCTCGTCTCCGACGACGTCGCGGAAAGCCATGCCAGCCCCAGCCCTTTCACCTCAGCCCTACCGATGGAATGACACAACTGAGGGCTCTATACCACAACCGACGCCTCTCGCTGTAGAGACTCCGAAGCTGAAGGGTGCGCCAGTGTCTCCTGTGCGGCTCAATTTCCAGCCAGAGAACTGGGCGCAACCCTCCAATGCAAGCATCGAAGGCTGGCAATCACCCAAGCTTACCTCTGACGGCTCTTCAGAATGGACACAACCAAACTCGCCGAATGGGCCGCCTCCGCCGCCGCATAGCCCCGAACTTGGGCGGCAGGATATCGCACTTCCCAAGCAACGGCACCAGTCCACACAGCAGAGCCTCGAGGAGCCCCAATTGACGAGTCACCCGGCGAATCCACCGTACAGGCCCATTTCTGGTGCGAATGACGAGGGAAACGAGATAAGCAATCGTGACAGGAGTCTCCCAAGCCATGACCAGAAACGAAGTAGTCGAGAGTCAGACTCGACAACGAGCACACAAGCGCAGGATAAAACCTCCACGGAATCGTCGGCCGAGACAAATCCCAGCACATATTCTCAAGATGAATCCGTGAGCCAAACAGTGTCTGGTCGTACCTCCAAGGAATCCATTGTCGAGGACAGCCAATCGATTCCTCGGCTGCAATACCATCATCAAAAGCCGGATTTGTCCGTCCTCGAAACTGACAGCGGACCTGCAGTAGCAGATCCCAGGCATTCTTCGGCATTAAATCTTGCTGACCAAGGAATGGCCATGAACCGACATCTCACTCCTAACTCTTTCCAAAGGAGAAGTTCCATGCCTCGACCAGTTTCTGCGTACTCAGTTTATTCTTCCCCAGGCCCTCACGGCCGATCCGCGTCCTCGCAAGCCAGGCGATCACCGGATACCCGTCCCATGTCGTATGCTGAGCTACTCAATGTACCGTATCCTCAGCCAGCGCCTGCTCCTCTGACAATCGACAATGCGGCTCTTCGCGGCAACGTGGGAACAAATGCATCCCTCCTCAGCGCACAGAAGACTCTTGAGATGTACAGACAAAACGTTAAGAAAACAAACGATCTCTCCATTCAGTACTCGTTTGCAGTGTTCTTGATTACGACAGCTCAAGAACAAGGTTATGCACCCGAACATCCCACCAAAAAGAAAGTTTCGAAACTGCATGACCGAGACGGTCAAAGTCCGGATGGCCGAGGGGCAGACACATCGCCTGCAGAATTAGTGCGGGAAGCCAAGACCATCTTGACGCGGTTGGCTAATGGTGGGTATCCTTTCGCTCAGTACTACCTGGCAGACGGTTATGCATCGGGCTTGTTCAACAAAGGCAAGGAAGACTATAACGCTGCCTTCCCCTTATTTGTGTTGGCTGCAAAACACGGACACGCTGAGTCTGGTTATCGTGCCGGGTTGTGCTACGAGTTTGGCTGGGGTTGTCGAAAAGATCCTGCGAAAGCCGTGCAATACCTGCGTACTGCAGCTTCCAGAGGGCATCCGGGAGCTATGACGAGGCTAGGTAAAGCGTGCTTGTCCGGTGATCTGGGTGAAAACCGGTATCGTGAAGGTATCAAATGGCTGAAGAGAGCGACTGAGGCATCCGATGCCATGTACAATGCAGCGCCCTACCAACTCGGTGTTCTTTATGAGACCGGTTACGGTGAAGATATCTTCAAAGACGAAGGCTACGCCGCGGAACTCTTTACCCAAGCGGCTGAGCTGGGCCATCCCGAGGCGAGCTTTCGTATGGGTGATGCGTACGAACATGGAAAGCTCAACTGTCCCAGAGACCCAGCACTCAGTGTTCACTTCTATACTGGTGCTGCAGAGCGTGGTCACGCTGCTGCAATGATGGGCCTGTGCGCTTGGTATATGGTTGGGGCTGACCCTATCCTTGAGAAAGACGAAGAAGAAGCCTATGAGTGGGCAAAAAGAGCCGCAGACCTCGGTATGTTCACACGAATAGCTCTATTCGTTTCAGCTGCTCGCTAACATTCACCTCCCAGGTCTCGTCAAGGCAGAATACGCCGTAGGTTACTTTACAGAAATGGGTATCGGATGCCGCCGAGACATTTTGGAAGCGAATGTCTGGTACGTCAAAGCGGCAGATTCTGGTGATGAGCGCGCCAAACAACGACTGGCCGCGATCCGTGCTGCAGTCAGCGGCGGCACTCCTATGGAGGTTGCTCCTCCACGGAACGCCAAGATGAGAAAGGCTGCACCCAAGGAAGGCGCAAAGGACGACAAGGAATGTGTCATCATGTAAATGTAGTCATAAGCAATTGGGCCTGAAAACTTTGACAGACACCTACTTTGAAGCGTCTACTGGGGGCCCAGCTGTAACATTTGAGCAAAGAACTCACCTCGCAAAACTCCACGGACTATTTTTTGGATATGAATGGCTACCAGAATCTTCGAAAACATCTCAGCATACAATTCTCGTGGCTACTCAAGGCTCTAGAAAAAGAATTCGCATAACTATAACATCCGCAATGGACTTTTTGGCTACGAAACCGGGCATGCTGGATGGATGTAAAAAGAAAATTTCTTCCTACTTCGAACGGCCAGATACGGGGAAAAGTCGTTGTTTTATCAACGTCACGGAGCGGGTAATTACTACTAAGGAGACAGAGCTGCATTTGCATTTGGGCCGGCAAGACAGAGCGGGTTACTGGTATGGGGGGCAACGACATAATCACAAGCCAAGCTCACCTCTGGCACACATCACAACCGGCGATTCAGAGGTGATAGGCATGTGTTTCTTTTTTCTCTTGGGGGGTTTTTTTTTCCTTTTTTTGTTTCCCCCTCTCCTGAGAAAGGAGGAGGGACGTTTCGTCATTTCTGGAGGGGCAATGGGATAAAACCATTGACTGCTCGGCGATAGCATTACCTGTCATTAATGTGTTGAGCAAAGAAGGCCGTCGATCTAGGAGTGAAAAGGGAAGAGGATTTAATACAAAGGAAAATTTTCCATATATTAACCTTATATGATGTATGGAATAAATGTAGTAGGATCTGACTGAAAGCTAGTTCCTGGCTCTAGAACCATCTTCAAATTGACTATGTAAGGATTATCTTGTGGGCAGGGTATGATATAATCAGGATCAAGTTGTTTGACACTGCCTTCTCCACTGGTCTATTTTAGACCATTGCCCAACCATATAAAGTTATCCATGACAGAAGAGCTATGGCCGATATCATGTGAGAGGTACTCAGTCATGGCTTCCGGCAGTTCCACAACCGGCTCACCAAAAGTTAGTGATTTGAAAAACAAGGAGAAAAATAAGAGGCATGACTGCTCACACATTTATGGTCATGAGAGGTCATATAGACCAATGATAAGTGAGCATGAAGTAAATGTATTACACGTAAGGCGCTGCGCCATGCAACGAGATCAGCAAAAGAAACAACCAAAAACCCAACAACGCCGTCATGTCTCCTATATGAGTTCTCAAGTCGTAAACGGGCATTACAGAGAAAAGGAAAAGAGGTGCCTTCGGTACACGCTGGGCCCCACGGCAGTGATGACCACAGTCCTCACCCACACTTGTCCAGCCAAACCGTTCCACCATAGTTTAGACCATACAGCCAACATGTCGTGCAGCTCTAACAACTTAAGCTGCAGGAGCTCTTTTTCTTTCTTCGACGTCTTCACCGAGTTCATGGGGATTCTTGGGGTCGACAATAGCACTGAAGCGCTCATCGCCCCATCTCGCACCAATAGTAACCCAAACGTGCTTGCTAGGACCGGCGACAACGGTTTCACGGTGCCCAGTCCACATCATGCGCTTGTCGCGGCTCATATTGCTGTTACCCAAACCATCGTTGGTGACCCACTCCTTGATCACATTTTTAACGAAGTCAACCTTGCGCCGGAAGTCGTTCGCTGCCGGAATGCCTTGCAGCATGGGGCTGATTTCAGGGCGCTTGCGCGTTTGCGTGCTCTGGGCGTTTCGTGTGGGACGAATTGCAGGCTTAGTAGCGAAATTGAGCAATGTTTGTAGGGGATAGCTGAGCACAGCGCGCTCGTCTAAGGCTGTCTCGTCAAGCTCGCCGGTATGTGCAAGCTTGACGGCAGCCTCTTGAGGCAGATGCCAGAAGTGGCACCAAGTACCAGACGAGTCCAACACAATCTTGGTGTGATCAGGAAAATTGAATTGGATGTGACCATCGGCGAAAACCCAGCAACCCACGTCACCGATACGCTGGTAAAAAGTGACCACATCGCAGGGAGCCAAAGCGGCATCTGAACTTGGAGGAACTTGAATATGGCCTGTGTCGTCCGTAGGTGCCTCTTGGTCACGGCCGTATGCCATCATGTAATTAGCAAACTTCTTCCATAATATTAGGTGCTCGCGTTTGCGATAGTCGTAAATGTCCTTGCCGACCGGAACCTTGCCTGGTGTACCATCCGGGTTCACACCAATCTTGAACTGCGTAGGGTGCACATGCACAGTAGAGAGGCCCGCTTCGCCGTTGTTTTCAAAGAATTGGATTGGCTGTGTCATTGGCACAATTTGATGGCGATCGAGGTAACTGGGATCGTGACGTTTTTGGCAGTGGTTCTCAGCGTCGCGAACGACGATGCAAGAAGGAGGCAGCTTGACAGTCTTGCCTCCTCTGGCTTTGCCGGGAAGACTCTTGAGGACACAACCCACACTTCCATCATTGAGAATGTACCCAAGTCCAAACTTGTTAGAGTAATCCACCCATTTGACGACGATGTGAGGTGCCGGAGGCGTCTTCGCCGTTGCCTTACTGACTATGGCCATCGTCCTGGCGTTGAGAGCCCGCTCTAGCTCAGCTTGAAGGCGTCGCAGTCTGTCCAGTACGACATCAGGCTTGGTATCTGGGACCGAATGTTGGGGTTCCGAGGGACTGAAAAGCGTTTCCACCTTGGCCTCGACAAGCTCTTGTGCAGGAGCTTGCGCAGACGTAGGCACTACATCCTTGGTGGGCTTCTCAGCTGGTGCTTTCCTCGTCTCTGTGAGCTGTAATCGGCCGGCTTGGGCAAGCGTTCGAGTAGGTAGCCTGACGGGCTCAGGGGCAGATTCCGGCAATGAGAGGATGTTATCTTCAGTGTTGCTTCGTACGAGTTCTCGCTTTACTCGGGGACGCATTGTGCCGCTGGCACTCGGCGGGACTGATCCAACATCGGCCACGGTCTGAGAACGAACCAGCGTTGATGCTTTGGGCCGAGATTGAGCACGTTGCTGAGCGGCGAAGCTCTGGGGAGGTTCCCGCAGCAAGCCCCTCCGTGCTGGCTGGGCCATAGCCAGTATGTCATCTTCTGTATTGATGACGCCCGTTTTGCGGGGAGGCAACAGTGATACTTGGCCAAGTGCCTGCTCTCTGCTCACTTCCTCATAAGGTCTGTAGACAATACCCTCGACCAAGGGAATCATGGGAGTCAAGCCAGCCTTTTCTTCCAATGCAACCTCTTTCCAGGTGCTAGTGTACACTTTCTGGGTCTCATTCCAAGGGCCAACCTCACAGTCCTGACACAGTTGCTGCATGTGACGCATATTCCTTGCAATCATTCCAGTGGATTGATCGACTTCGTAGAATGCATCACTCTCCGGGGGGCAATCCCGAAGTTTGGCGGTAATTTCACTTTGGAGGGGGACATAACCGGAGATGAAGAAATCGTGCTGAACGATGGTGTCGGGCTCTGGTCTCGATTCAGCTTCTACTAACATCGTGGCGACGATCTCCTTGGCTTCTTGGCTGATGTATCTGCTTGTACCGTCGGTGCTCGGCCATTCATAATCTCGGTTCTTTGCTCGCCGATAGATCTCATCCGTTGTCGACGATTGGAAAGGGGGCTTTGAGGTGAACATTGCGAACCTGTGTTTCCTATAAGCCAGCCGTTGCGCTGCATCAGGTCAAGTACACTCACATTATAATGCCTAAGCTCCAGATGTCGACCATGTGGTCATGACCTTTCTTGCCCTTTTCCAAAATCTCGGGGGCAATATAATTGGGAGTGCCGCATAGAGTAGTGCGCCGTATGGTCTGCATGTCCCTGCCTGTGACGAGCAGTGCAGCCAAGCCGAAATCGCCGACCTTGGCGTTCATGTGTCGGTCGAGGAAGATGTTGCCCATCTTCAAATCACGGTGGATGATTCCCTTGGCGTGCATGTACTTGATGGCCCCAGCAATCTGCACCGAGTAAAAACGAACCTCGGGCTCCGTCAGCCCTTTTCGACGTTTGACCATATCCATCAGAGAGCCGTTCGGACACAGTTCGAGGACGAGGTAGGTGCACTTGTCCATTGAGAAGGCGCGCAGAAACTGAACAAGGTTCTGGTGCTTCATCTTGGAGTGAATCTGAAGTTCGGTTTGAAACTGCAGTGGTGGTGGGTTAGTTGTGTGATGTGTGTGACGAGCACATGACATGCAGGTGTTGGCGGTGGCGACTGACCTTCTGCTCCATCTTGGGGGGCATCTTGCTCTTGACGATCTTCAAAGCATATCTTCTGCGTGTGCCTTGCAGGGTGCCCTCGTAACAGATGGCGAAGCCTCCCTTGCCCAGCATCTTGCCAACCTGATACGAAGCACCATCTTGTCGATCGGCGCTGGGAGGTTCGTAGACGATGGGAGGCGGAGGAGGAGGGTGGTCCTTGTCCTTCTGGTTCGTTTTGGCAGCCAGCGTGGCTTTTATTTTGGCCGTATCAACGACAGGCCGACTCGGTATCTGCACGTTGACGTCTCTCGGGGACAAGGCGTCAATTTCAAAGCCTTGTTTTGCTGCGAAGACTCTGTCCGCCATTGGGTCTTCGTCTTCTGGCTGACGAGAGCAGCCTTGGTCAAGCAAAAGAGTTGAGCCTGGCTATATCTAGCAGAGCTCGACTTTGTAAATCTCGGCGTTATACGGGGATCTGCGGAAAGTAAACATTAGACTGGATCTGACATGGGCACCCGTAACCGTTCTGCCGGGGGGGAGCCTCGAGGGAATGCTGGCGACAAGTTTTTGCTGTGAAATAAATGTTGTTGCTAGTGAACATGATGCCAAAGCGCTATGGGAGAGACGCGGGTGGCGTGTTGTTGCTCGTGGCTGTTGGCGAGCTCGGAGAGGGCGATGATGCAGGGGCAGTGTTTAGACACGCAGCGAAGGGGGTCATGTAGGCAAGACTCACAGCTCAAACGGCAGTTGCTTGAAGCAAGATGGACGACAGCTAGACCACACAGCTTACCCTTAGGCTTTTGCAATCGCAAATAGAGGCCTTTCTAATGCAAGAATGGAGTTGTAAAAAGACACGGCTTGAAGTTTGTCCACACGACATTCTCACTAGCTTGCATCCACGGTGGGAATGAGTTGCACGAGCGATTTCGTTTACTCCATAGCAGATTGGCCCAGCAACCAGGACCCACCAAATCTCTTCACCAACCTTACTCCATACTGGATGACCACCTACGGCAATGGCTGCGGCCACAAGCCCCGGCCGAGAGCCCCCCCGAAATCCGCTAAAAACGTCGCCTGCAGGTGAAGCTTACAATCAAAATGCCCCACAGAAGCACTCAGTAAAGGTCAATCAAGCTTGAGGTCAGGCAATGGGTTAATTAGTTTCTGGATGACCTCAATCCGACTTGCCAACGTGCAGAGAGTCCATACACACCCTGCTGTAGCCTGTAGCTGAGGGAACCACTCGGTCCGACCGACAACACTGACCTTGTATAAAAACCATGCTTGCGATATAAAACGATAGATACCTACGCAAAGCCCGAGTGCTTATGTCCTGGCAGTCGAATCACGAGAACCACACACCTAGGGTTTCTACCGGCTTTGGAGGAAAGATGGTCGCACTGCCTCTATTCAAGCTTGCATCTCTGTTCGTCAGGCATGTCTCCAAATATGGCGCTGTAAGTCCAAGTCCAAGTCCATGTCCAGGTCCATGTCCCTCAGTCCTGTAATGCCCACCAATGGCAACGGACCAAATGCTCATCGCAGCCCATGCACAGAATCGCATCAAGCACCAAGCGCACGAACATCCCGCCTTCCGAGCATGGGCGGCCAGAGGTGGCCAAGCCATACATCAGCTCAATATGCGAATGTCGGTAGCCCTTCTCAGAAACCCCGAGGCCGAGCAAAGAGCCAAGGAGAAGGCAGAAGCTCCGACAGTAAAAACGGAAGAACAAATAAAAAAGGACGAAGAGTTCAAGGCAAAGCATGGAATAACACCTGAGGAGGCCCGACTAAATGCCAAGAAGCGGACAAACATCTTCACAGTCTGGAGGCGGAAGTTCAGGCCATTGCCAGAGCCAAAGGCCGTCGATCTCTTTGCCGACGTCATCGGCGACGCCTTCATCTTGTCAGTCGCCATCACATTGGTCATCTATGAATGGTACAAGTCGTCTACAAAGCCCGACCACAACGCCGAAAAGATTAAAGAACTCAATGCCAAATTGGAGGCACTCGAACAGGAGCGCGAGAACGAGAGGAAGCGCCAGGAGAGCAGGATATTACAGATGGAGGAGGCCTTGAGGGGGTTCAAGGATCCCAAAACGAAGAAGCCGCTGCTGCCTCCAGCGCCAACTGCTACTCTCACACCAATAACATCTCCACCCGCCTCGTAACAGCCGCATTGATCAACCTATTGTCTGAGGGCTTCTTTGCGCTAACCTCGCATCCTCGCGTTTTATGGCCTGCCCGAGAGGAAAGCATATAGCAGCTCGTGCTGGAGGGAGAATCTATCTCACTCGCGGACCCCAGGAACAGACGGACAGTAGAGTACAGTCGAGAAGTTCCCTGATGTATATACCAAGTCTCAACTCAAACAGAATCAAATATAGTGATACCCAGTATGTTTTCTTCTTCTTTTCTTCTCGTCTACTGCTCATATCAAGCTGGAGTTGGTTCGGCTAGCAGAAAGAGGATGCGAGAGCTATCGACATTGTATACGAGAGCTATTTCAACTGCAAACAATAAATAAAGACGAGGACCTTACAACAGCAGTGTGCCCCGACAGCGGCTGTAATTTGATATATTAATATCTGAAACTACGGCATTATGTGGCAGGTTGTGGTGTTTCGATACGTTACTTCATATCATGGCTTCGTGGTGTTCATCTAGCAAACAGTCCAATACGCACTGGATTAATTGAGACGCAAGTATATGTACCCACCTCTTCTACCTGGGGTCAAGAGTCGTTTCTGTTTTGCTGTACAAAGCATTGGGAAGGTACGAACCAGTACTGATGGGTCTAGACATTATATCTCAAAAACGCCCACACGGCAAAAGACAACTTTAAAATCTTTTGTACTTATATGTACAGTGAACGAAGCTTGGGGTATTAGTTTCACTACTGTTTCCTAGGTTCAACTGCCAACCATCTTCTTCAAGTTCATTCTGTTCGAACGTCAAACCCACATTAACAGAAGTAGACTCTCATAGCCGCTTCGTACAACCTAGCACAACATTGATCCCTCACAAACGAATTTGTGACAAAATCTTCAGCGGGCCATCAAGTAATTTGGCGACTGAAGATTGCGGCCTCCGTAGTGGTGTGGAGGAGGTCATGGATTACCCCTTGATTTGTTCGTCAATACGCAAGAGGCCTGATTGGGCCTCACTTTTCCCAGCGCTTCTGCAGAGTAGCAACCCAACAGGACGCTGGAAAGGTACCACGAAACTTCCAAATAACCTCTGATAATTCTAAGCGCTTGGCGCTTGATGATACTGACTTTGGTTGCCAGAAGCGAAACTTGACACTCACGATCTCGCCGTCCCATTACATTTGTCAGGTCAAACAGCTCGTCTTCATTTCTGCGCCATCTGCTTATCACCCCAGGAAGTTGATTCGCTCGAAACACGCAAGCGCATAGAGAGGCTGTACAATCTCAATGGCGGCCAGTACGTAGCTATTGTACTCTTGATGGAGCAGCACCAGGGTAGTAGTGATACAGCTATGATGATGAAGTTGCAAATAGAGTAAGTTCTGCACCTCAAGTGAAGCCGCCACCATTTTCATGCACTCTCTACCTTGTCTACTAAAGCATCTTTGACCAAAAATAGGCTCATGAGTGGTTTGGAGATGCCCATAATCCCACTTTCGTCTACAAGGGAACTGCCAGCGACAATTATGGCATTTCATCGCCAACTGATGACAAGCGCAGCCCCCATCAAACAAGCAGTCACAGCCCGTTGCCTGCTGTCTCATTGTTCGGAAATTCATCATCTGGGCGAACATACAACAAATCTACTCAGTGATATTACAACGGATTTTAGAGACCTTGTTCATAAAGCAACCACGCTAGAGGGCCAGCAAAATCTCCGAGACTATCTGGGCAACGATGCTGAGCGAGTGATCAAATTCTGGCAGGACGAGTATCTTGTTGAGTGAATAGAGAGACCTGCACGTGCCATGTGAGTTGGCGAAGAGCACAGAGGAAGAGCTCAATAACATAGTTATTAATAGTAGGAATGGCTAAGCCGTTCATGACCAGTCTGCATCCTAATATGCATGTGACCTGCGACCAGGTTCCAATATGTTGAAAAATGGCACATCAACGCATATCGCGGAAGCAGTTAAAGGGCCGACATGCAAGCAAGAGCCAGGCCACTTACATATTTGACCGCCAAAGAAGTCACCCATCATGCTATCAATCTAAGTCGTGGCAATCATAATGATACACACTATATACTCACATGGACTGCAAACAACTAAACGGCTGGAAATTGTCCAGGAGTTGTGTTCTCGGACTGTTCCCGGACGCTTTTTGTGACGTGATCCTATTCCCGGCCTTGATTGCTACCCGAAGGATATTGGGCGCCTTCATCGACCTCTCAACCATCACCACGTCGAAAAGTAGCTTTTCGACTGCTTGTATATCAACGAGCGATAGGATAACTAGAAACCCAACGGTGATCGGCATGGACACTATCCATACTTACAACGATAAGTCGCTTCGGTCTTGCCGGCCGGCATCGCCTAATGAATTGAGTTCAAGCAAGTCTGTCACAATATTCAGCAAATGCCGTGATTGAGTGAAATAGGCGAAAATTATCCAGACATGGATCGGGACCGAGTCGGACATATTCTCCGAAATAAGTGTAGACTTGAATCTAGGAATGTTTAGGGTGTAGCCCGGACTATATATCGAGCATCTAAGTAGCACATCTACTCACTCACTGTGGATTATCATGGTTCATATCTTGAAATCAGATCTTGGTATTGACAACTAGTCAAGTGCGGGGAGGGTAAAGGTGAGTTCTCATTGGTGAAGATCATAAAGACTGACCACAAGTTGCCAACGATTTGATATTTTGCCATGTGTTCGTCCCTAGTCACAACCAATGATATTCTAGGAGTAGCCGCCGACGAAATCGACATTTGCCTATGCAGCTCCCTACGGCACACCGCATCATTACCTGCATATTGATGACTCGGAAGTCGGCCATTACTTCTTCGAGAACAACTTGAAGAAAGACACAGATGGACGCACATTACTATCACGAATTGTGACTGTGGTGAACATAAATGTGCCAAAGGCTCTAAGGTTAGTGCATAGTAATTGCTGCCACTTGGCTGTTCTTGGCTGCAAGGGCTCCCTTCTGCCAGTCTTTTGAGGGCTCTGAGTTTTCAAGCGTTTCCGGTTCATTGAAAGTCGAGGGAAAATAATTGCTGAAAGTAGAATCACTGCACAGCAAAATCACGGATATATCGGCTCACGCCGTTCAGCAACTTCATCCCATTTGTACTACCAAAATTTCCCTGGCATATGTCTTTCAGATGACGGACTTCAAACAATAAACAACTTGAGAGCTTCAACATCTGAACTCGGAAACCCCCAAAATACCTCAAATGCTCATGAGACGATTGTGAGCCATCGTCCGACATCAAACGACTAATTTTGTGGTTCACCAAAGTCATGTTATGGTAGAGACGTGTGGATACTATTGGGAAGTGGTTGCTGCGACGAACAACCCAACCCCTGTCTAGATACCCGTTGCGTTGGTGGTGTGGCCCACAATCTTTATCTGACCATCAAACCCCATCTGCCTCAGTTGCGAAACTCTCACGTCTGAGCTCAACCTGATCGCCTCCAGGGTGGTGTCGCAGGCGCTCAGATGGCATCAATGCCTTCTGCTATCTGAAATGCATTACAACTTGGGAGGAAACATGCTTGATGCTATTAATATTACCACACTGTCAGGTGCGACGAAGCAAGAATAAGGTGAGAGGTTGGTGATGCAAGCCACGATTTATTGTGTGAGCCCCCAGCTTGCAATGTTGGACAAAAGATGGGGTCCGGATGCTACCTATGTACTGTAAGTACCTACGTACTATGGAATGACTAGAAACCTAACATTTCTCCGAGCACATGGAGTCCCTGGTTTGCTGAGTATAAGTTCTTTAATAATGCCATTTGCCTATGATTTAGGTTGCCAATCAGACGCATTCGGACAGATCGGGACAACCTTTTGTCAATGACCGGTTCCAGTGTTCCAGAGTTCCAGTAGCAGGCATTTCATGGTTGGCACTAAGTTTTCTTCAACAACTATCCTGGAATGTATGGTTACAATATCCATCACGACCTCGCATGATGGAGGTGGGCAGAAGCGGGAAGCACGCAGCACTTGCCTCTCAAGTGCCTGCAACGCGGTGGAATGGCCCTGGTGATCCGGGGTCACCCCTTGTCAGAGTAATGCATAGGCTCTGTAGAGCGGCGGCGTTAGGACTTCTAATTGGCTCTAGGGTGACATCTAACCGCCGTTCTCAAGCCCAATCACCTTAAGACTCCCACACCTGTGCTATTCTCGACCACCACTATCGAAACCACAATTATCGAGATGCCCAATACCTGTTCTTGCAGCATGCTGCGCAACCGCCTTACTCGTACTCAAGGGTCCGCGCTCAGGTACCCAAGCCTGCTGTACCCAATCCTGACGTGCACATGGCTGTACCCGCCCGCTATTTCTCACCGTTGCCAACCTCGATAGTCGTCGAGTTCTAGCCCACTTTCGGACGAAATGCTCTACTTGCATATCATGAGACCTGCAAGACTCGCTGCGCTTCTCTCCGATCTACCCCAGTAGCCCCATTGCCTGCCATGTCTACAGATTCTACGCGCTCTGGTATTGGTTCCATGTCGTCTAATGGCGGTCTCGGCCGTGGCTGATGATACTCTGCATGTGCCCACAACGAACCCCCATCCAGGCCTGTCAACTCTTAAAACTCACATACCTCCACATGTCTGAGGATCTACGCACTCTTACAAGAAATGCCTGCGGTTGCCTCATAATACCCCTTCCCTCCCTGGTAACGGGTTTTGTCTGATCTTCAACCCTTCTTTAATGCGACGACGCAGAGTCGCAAACGCATGAACAGACTCCAGCACAAGCTTCAACGATCCAAGCTAACGGGCCATCAACCACAGACCCATAGACACACAAAGCAGCAGATCATACTAGCCTCAAACAACCGAATCTTGGATCAGGAAAGACATGCCTCATTGCGGCTCAACATTAATAATCTTATCCTGAATAAGGTTTTGAAGGCCTGTCCTGCCTCCCTCAGTCCTACTAGGGATTTAATCCAGACGTCACGGAAACGAGGAATGCCGCTCGGATGCCCGCTGTCATTATAGATCGGATTACTAGAACCTGGATCTCAAACGAAGCATTACCAACGTCTGAAAGCGTCATCCCAGCAGGGCATCGTCTCTTCTGATACAAGCTCTACCAGACCGGGGGCACCGCTCCCCACCTTTCCTCCTCTACCTCGCCCACGGACAGGAACCAAGGCCGTCCGAACATCCAATATAGTCTCTCGCATACCCTCCGCAGGTCGGTTGGTCAGCTCTTGGCCTCCTCTCTCTTCTCTTTCTTAGTTGCCAGCGCTGTGCACTCGCCTTCGTCGGTAACCATTCTTTTAATATCGACAACTTTGTATTCCACAATTCGTCTTGCGGGTCCGGCTACCTTGCATTCTTTTCCCTTTTCGATTTACCTATTGTATTACTGAGAGACGGTGGACGCTTTGTTAGCCTTCGTTTCCTTCTTTGCGCGTGGGATCAGTGTTGGTTACCTGGAACTTTACTTTTTTCTTTTTCTTTTCGGCATCGACACTTGAGACTATTGGGCAACCTGGGACGACCAAACAAGGCGGGGAAAAAACCTTGAAAAACTATCAAGATCTAAAGACCGTGGAGAAGATATTCGGACGAAAATCAGCTTCAAAAGTAAACCGCCAAAATGGGAAGACTTATCAAGAACCACTGGGCAAGACTCATCACCTTGACTGCTGGCGTGTGTAAGTGAACCCCCTCTCATATCAGTGTTTGTGGTAAGCTAACAGTGCAAATAGACCAGATTGCTGCCGCTCTTCAGGGTTTCTTCTGGCCGAAGATTTTCTTCGACTTTCTGACCAAGACTCTCGACCCGGCAGTGAAGCCTTTTCCAACATTGCAGATCATCAACTTATTAATGGGACTATGGATGATAGCTTGGGAGTACCCCATTGTGTTCGTTGCTGGCTCTGGTCTCCACCGCAGTCTAGAGGCCCGTCTTGCGGCGCTGCCTCTGTTCGCTCTAGCTGCTATCCTCACGTACCAGGGCACCAATGCTGGTCTCTACTACTTGATTGCTATGGTGATATATTTTTGGGCGTACAGTGAAGGCGAGGTGAGCTTTACATTCTGTTTGGGTCATATTACAGTCATGAGTACTAATTGAACTATCAGATGATCTGCGCGAAACCCTGGACTCTTCCTCAGAGAGGTAGCCGTAGCAAGGCATAGTCGCAGCATTCTCAATATATCTCCCTGTTATGAGGCGACAAGGTAGCCGCTTGGATGGACTTGCATCATGACTTCGAGTCAAAGGGACCCCCCGTTTGCATACCTCTATTTTTCAGAGCGGACATCATTCTACGACTCTCATCATACATGGATTTCGGCGTTTACATATTTTCTGTTTTACTCACGACTCACGTCACTTGATTTTTCGGGAAGGACTCGATAAAAGGGGGTGGTCACACGAGTCTAGGGGGTGCGAGGAGGATGAAAGCCTATTATGGCGATGACACGGAAGAGGGAACTACAAGAGAAGGCCATGCCGCCAGCCCACATCCAGTATTCGGGCTTGGTGCTAGCGAATGGCCAGGAGATTGAGGGGGAGAAAGGCTATCTACGAATAAGAAGAACTCTAAGTCATCGAGCTTAACAAACTCCGCCCCATCGATGACGGTTCCTTCAGCGTTCAGCAGGCTCAAAAATAGCAATAGGTACCTAATACTCCGGAATTAGACAGAAATTCGAAGCAAGGAAAAAACCCCCATCTAACAATACTCGCCTTCGCCCCGGCTTCCCGTAGCGTGAGTGAATGTCTATTCGTCTCTTCCTCCCTCCCCCCACATCTTTTCCCGCCAAGCCCAAACTTCTTAGGACGTCTCAGAGCGAGTCATCGCAAACCAGACTCAAGACGGTGTCGGTTTCATCCGATTCCTCTGGCTTTTAAGACCAGAAAAGACGTTGGGGTTTCAAAAGACTCGAAAAAAAAAAAGTCCTTGACCCCCTTGGGACGTTACCCTGGGTGGATACAACCAATATGTAGAGGGCTGTGCTCGGATCGGACCCCGGTCCATGATGAAACTTGAGGCTCAAAAGACAGATCGGCACCGGTTGCAAGGTAGTGTAGGAAGGATACCTTATCCTCTTTTAATTTCCGTAGGGCTTGAAAGATCGGTAGGAATCAATGAGGAGCCTCCGGCAACTCGGCTCTCCCTGCGTCATGTTGGGGAGGAGCTGACAGCTGACATCTGACTTGTGCATGGGTGTTTGTTTCGCGCCTGGTTCTCTGGGGGAGCGTTATGCTAAGAAGGGGGAGGGGGATGTTCGGTGACTAATTGATTGATATCGCTTTAAGGCATCGTCTGACAGAAAACCTCTGGAGTGAAAACCAAGCTGGTTTCTTTCCTCCATAACGGATGTATTGCGAGATGGGGGATGCTGCTGTTTGGAGCCCACCACGAGACTTCGTGGGCACGGTACTCCCGCCCGCTCGCCCGGTACCTGCATTTTGTTGGATTGTACATTGTGTCTGGGCGCTCTGGAACAAAGTGCATTTCAGTCGTTGACATGTGTTGCGGACAACATAAGAAAACAACTTGTTACATGCAGAAAGAAACTCAGGAGGCCCAGTGCGATTTTGTGCCTATGTACTTCGGATGCGATGTCTTCCTTGAGTGCGGATGCGCCCATTTTGCGTTTGCCTCCCAGCATGGCACCGGTCTAAAGCCTTTAAGCCACTAACTTTCAGTCAAATATATCAAGAAAGGTGCATTGCGGAGGGCGTTGATACTGAAGCCTCGCCTCACTTCAGAAGAACTCCCTCGACGTGGGAAGATGGATAGTGAAAGTTTCACTAAGATTAGGTAAGACGTCGACATTGAGCAAATCGCACCTAGTGAGCTTACCATGATGGAAAGCGACAAATGCTGTGTGATTTTTCTACTCGTACGACTCGCTTGATTTTATCTAGGACTGTGCAAACACAAGCTGCAGTTCCTTCCTTCCAGAGATTGTTCTCATCTGTTTGATATTTACATCAAGAATAGGAGTAATCATATTGGGGGGTTATTAGAGAGAATTTATAATTAGAACAGGCATCTATACACGAGGAACAGACACGTTCATGTTCAGTACGAAATAATATTATTATCGGTTAAGTGGACGGTGACATGCTTTGGGCTAGGGAGCAACTTCGACATCATCCGTATAAACCATTACACACCTACCTCAAATGAAGTTGCCGATGAAGCCCTTTCGGCACTTGCCATAAAACTCAAGGCATCAGTTGTCATCCAATTCAAAATCCAGGCATCGACAGAATAGCAGAAAATTGCTATGCTAGAGGTCGGGCCTGTTAGTTTGAGGCACGAAGTGAAAGGTACCGATGTAGTCAATAGGTAAACATGATCAACAGTATGATTATCCTCTTGCCATACATGATCAATTCTACCGAAATAAAATCATACTACCGTAGTGGTAGTATGTTCACATTGCAAGGGAGAAGACTGTTACTGTTTACGGGTGGTATCATTCGCTAGTATTTAGCTGACATTTTCCCATCATATCATGCGGGGTCCCATTCCGTTCATGCAAATCGTAAAAGCGGCCACACGGCGCATAACATCAATTCCAATCCAGACTGCTAGACTTATCGAGTTCCAGGCTGGCCATTGACGATGGAGCCCAATTGGGCATCGTTCTTAGGACCCTGGCGGTCGGGGAACTATAAAAAAGAAGCAAAGTTAGCAAATCGATCTGGAAGGTGATGTGGGTCTGATTAAGTGGACTAGGAGTGCGAGTGCTTACCTGTGACTCCTGGAAGTTGCCCTTCTCCAAGATCTGCTTAATTACATCTTCCTCCTTGGAAGTACCGAACTCGTTCTCCAGAGTGGACTTGGAAGCACCATCATATTGGCCTTGGTTTCCTTGCCTATTGGTACTCTGTTAGCCAAGTTCCAGGTAGCACAGGACCAGTCTCCCCTGTGCGTGTATGAGGCACACGACCCCGCACCGGGTCGGCAATGTTGAAATTGGTTTGAAGAACTTACTTGTGTGTGACGAAGATCTTGAAAGTAGAGATGAACTGAGCCATGGGGATCGTCTTGTCGCTCTTCCACTGGTTGTAGGCTGAAACGTCATCGACGAAGATGATGAAGTCGTCCTCCTGGCCCTTGAAGTGGACCTTGGTCTGTGTAGCCTCTCCCTTAACCATTTTGACTGATTTGTTGTTGTTTTGGTGAGATGTGTTCGATGTTTGGGGATGTATCTTGTGATACTAAGTCGTGAATTCGTGTTGATTGTGTTGCTTTTTGTTATTGGTTGTTTGAGTATGTGAACAGAGGGAAGAAGGCAGGCTACAAAACATTGGAGAGTGGCATTTATTTACTTTAAAGCTCAAGCAGCTTGGGTCAGGTGCCTGTTTGCTTTCTTTGCCCAGCCGCGTTTAATTTGATTCGATCATGTTCCCCTGCTGTGAGCTCGTTGCCCGCATTCCATATTAATTCGGGAATGCATACGTCATAACAGGCCCAAACTGCCCACAGCCCACCTTGGGTTCCTGCAGCTACAGCTGGTTCAAGCTACCCCGCCATCATTTCAGTGCGAATCACCCCTCTACGTCACTAATGGAGCTTGGACAGGGATCACCGAGCCCAGCTTCCCAGTCTCTCTTTGGTGCAAGTACGTGGTCCTGTACATATTTTGTGCAGACAAAGCATGGCAGTACATGGAATCACGACATGTCAAGTTTCCGACCGAAGAGAATTTTAGCATTCAAAGCGCAATAGAGGAACCGTTTGACGTGGTTGTTCTCTTGGCCGTGTATCGACCGAGACGGGCAAGATAGTTGTTAGAACACAGGGCGAAGCTGACTTCGAATAATAAGATCTCCGCTAACCTAGCCTCCAAACTCAAGCGATGGGCCTCCAAGTTGACAAACAGAAAGAACATGGATCCTATTACACATTCCTAACTTAAGTTAAAACAATAGAATGCTCTACTAATGTGATGACACAACCATACGATGACAGAGGGCACGTGAGAAATCGGCAAATAACGTGCAAAGATCGACAGTCGGCATTGCGGGTATTCCCTCTTCTTTGGGGTAACAGTCAGGTACACACCGGAACCATCAGTGATTTAGTGTCGTAATCTTGGCAGCTAGTTGGCCGCCATGGGTGGGTACTTGCTTGAGACGCTTCTGGAAGTTGTTTGATTATACAGTAGCTAGCGTCACAGAAAGCAATATTACATACGTAGGTAACATCGTGATCGTTGTCGCAACACCTCAAGCGTGCCTATGCAGTCATTTGAAAAACCGCAGAGCCACTTGAACTTGACAGATCATCGGGAATATTGTTAACCATAAAACGTGGGTTCTTCATAGATTCGATGTTTCTGTCGGTGTAAAAGAACGACTTCTACTTTTATCTATATACATTGTTGGGAAACGGCGATTTGTCCAAGCTGTGATCCGTACAACCAATCTCGTTTCCAGTGGGTATTCATGCGCGATCAAGGATGGCCCCTTCCAAGCCACTTAACACGTATAATTCGAGAAAGTTCGTTTGATAAAAATATGAGTATCGGCCAAAAAGAGAAGAAATGATCCGTTTGTAGACCTCCATGTTATTCATTACCGACCCTGTATTCGCTCAGCGGAAGAAGCTTCGGATGGCGCCAGCCACCATACTCCGATTCTTGCCTCCAGGCTTGGCTCGTTTACTAAGCTTTGAAGGGTTCGTGGTCTCTTGAATTGGTCGCTTGGTTTTATGTACCTGGGAAATATTCTCCTTCTGTCTCATTGGAGGTGTTGGTGTGGTAGCCCTGGCGATGAAGGGCTGTGACACACTGTTGACGGATGTAGCTTGTAGAACTGGTGCTTTAAACGACACTTTCTCGTTCACATCCGTCGAATTGAAATTTTCGATATCTTGCCTCGACAGATCCATTTTCCAGACTGTGCTGGAGGATATGTTTGTGTCTGTTGATGGCAACCTCGGGCTGCAGCTACTTGTCCGTTCCGTCGCATCTCTGATCACGGGAAGTCGTCGTATATCATCATGACTCTGGTCGAGATCCAGTATAGAATGAGAGACCTCGCAATTGAGACTGACGAGCGAATCGACAGAATTATTCACTTGGGGCAATTCTTCATCTTTTGCCTTCACTGTACTCACGCTTGCGGAACTGCTAGACCGCTTAGCAAATGAAGTCGTAATGCTTGCTACGCTGAGCTTGCGCATCATTGTTGAAGCCGAGGTACGGACAAGGTGTTCACTCCTAGACCGGGCTGTTATGCCAGGAAATGGTAGAATGTTTCGAGTCCAAACATCAGACAACTGCGCTTCCAGCCTTGCCCGGTCCCCACGTGGTGGCGCTAGTATTGGTATTCTCGAGGTTGTCGTCAATAACGACTGAGAACGGTTGATTGGTGATCCAGAAGTTGAATTGGACGAGTCTTTCATAGTGGTAGTGTGCTTCAAAATCACCTGACACAGAGGAGATTTGGGACCTACTGTCATTGCTCGGTGAATTGATAAACGACGAGCAACGGATCCTGTATTGATATATCAGCAAATTGATTGCTCAGCAAGAAAGATAGCGACATACCTGGCTTTCCGAAAACCGTACCGAGGCTTTTGATATTCAAAAACAGTGAGCTGCAGAAAAGCGGTTCCCCAGATTCCTGTGCCTCGTTGGGAATAGATCTGATTAAGCGGTTTCTCCATTCGTGTTCTTCCTTGGGTGTGCACGCCGTCATAATGATTTCGTAGAGCTGATGATCGATCTCAAACACGAGCTTCCAAGAGAACGGTGCGGAATGGCATTGCAGACCTGCAATCTATTAGATTTGTTTGAACCCAGCCAGTTTATTACTAACCTCTACCATTATCAGCTTCCTCGATTCTGATTGTGTTCAGACCGATACACGCCTGGATCGTGTATAATTGATCACCTTTGGAGGCAGTAGCCAGACATAGACATTCTCTGTACAGCAGACAAACCATGTACTGTCCTTCTACGCCCCCTCGTGTTTGCCAGCAAATATGGAGGGCACCACATAACTTGATCTGGCCGAGAGAACGGATTGTTGTTTTGAGCGCAGCGTCAAAACTCTGTTTACTTCATTAACATACGTAATGTTCGAACGGATAAAAGAGCATACCTGGTTTGGAAACACCAGGCGATCTTGTAATAGCCATGTTGTTTCCATCGTCACTTTGACAGAAGGGTCATCGGTGGCTCTATTAATCTCAGAGGTAGCTTCGCGGAGCCGGGCCAGAACATTTTCAATTTCTGCATGAGCGTGAGGGCAATCGCAGACCGGCGTATATTTGAGGAGCTCGGCAAAAAGTAATGGATATCTACAAATTCTTTGGATAGGCTAAAGTATGTCAGTCTTGCTAGCCGGTTAATAAATCAGATCAGGAAATCCCACCTTAACCAAGAGGTCACCAATCGTAAGCGATTTACGGGAACGGTCCAGTTGACGATTTACAGACCCCAGTGATGCTGCAAGAGCTTCGAGCCCCTTCTGATAAGTCTCCCATTGAGGCATGGTTCGTGAAGTCATCGCTACATCTTTGATCATCATCTCGTACTTAGCACCGTATTCCTCGTAGACGAAGAATCGGTGCATCTGGGACATAGTTAGTGGTTCTTCAAATCTAATCCAATTCGTCAGGTCGACTCCCATGATACACTTACTCTCTCTCGGAATATTCTCGATACCTGTACCGCAACATCTGGTTCCGCTGTTATGCCAGGTACGTACTGCAGCCAGGATGCTCCTCCAGTATCTTCTGGGACCGAATCAAGGCTGTGCCATCTTTGGTGATGTGACGCTTTCCCAGTGGACTTTAATGGGATTGGAAACTGGTCCGGCTGAGTATATTCCGAGTTTGGGACAGCTCGGTGGAGTTCTCCGAGTATACCTTCGTGAAGTTCGACTATGTCTGTTAGGTTACGGTTGATGGAAGACCGCAAGCCTGGGTGTTGTGTTGGTAAAGAGGCGAGTATTGTGACATAGACCTATATCAAGATCAGATCTAGAGGGCTAATTAGATACGAGAAGCAAGTAGCTTACATTCATCAAGAACTTGATATCTCCAATATAGCTCTCCTCTGTAGCAATCAATTCCTCCAGAATCCTTCGACGCTGCAGGAGTCTTTCAATAACAGCTGGATCGAACACACTTCGCTCTGACCGGACACTATCTTCTGAGCGTCTTTCAGCTGACATCGAAGCCCTGCTACCGCGGTCTGTCTTGACATGATGAGATGATATCGCAGTGTTTCGCCGAGACCGTGTGAAAGCGCTCTCGGCGAGACTGATACTTGCGCTTCTCACTCCAAGGACGTAAGCGAAAGAAGAGCCAGAAGACGATCTTCTATGGCTGTGGCATAGAGACCTATCATCTGCAAGGGTCGGAAATGCCCCCAGGTCATCTATACTGTTTTGTGATCGGCGTCTCTGCTGAGCACGGTGTTGTAATGTCTTCATCCATTTCTGAAAAGGCTTGAACGTCCTTGGCAAATCTTTATCACCATCAATACCGTGATCGTCTTCTCCAGATAATAGTCGTGGAAACTCTTCTATCCGATCCAGATACTCTTCCTCCCCAGCACCCAGCGTTAGTCCTAGCTCGGCAAACTTGTCCAACTCTCCCTCTCCTTCTACATTTACAATCGAGGCCAGCTCAACGTCAGGGCGCGATAAGTCAGGAGTAGTACGAGATGTTCTCAGAGCTGTGCGTGGATGAAGCAGCGCTGCCCAGGAGCTCCTCCTGCGAAGCTTTACTGAACTGCTCCGCGAGGAAGGCTTCGGCGGTTGACTGCCTATAACCAGGGCCATGACCACAGATGGCCGGCAAAAGGAAGAACAAAAAAAAAAGAGTTGAAAGATGCTAACTGCTCCCCAAGACACCAAGAGCTCCAAGACAACCAAAAAGCGAGACACGGCGGGAGCCAGGTGTCAAAACATAATGGAAGATGGCCAAAGGAACGACGCAGAAGATGTGAAAACGAAAGTCAAATCATCATCCGCAAACGCCCAGGTCTAAGAAAACCACGTAACGGTCGACCAGTCGTCTGCTACATGATAATGAAAGAAAGAGCGACTAAGCTTAACTTCGGTCTTAGATGGGAAAAAAGTTTAGTAAGTTGGGTAGACTATCTCGGCCGAAGCAAGATGCATGCAGAATCCTACAGGCTAAGGAGGAAGTAGTGCTTGGAGGTGCCTTCCTGCAGGCAATTCTCGTGCTAGGGACCAGAAAAGTGCGTATTGTTTACAGTGAGGTGACACGATCGCGGTGCCCATGGTGACACTCGGGAAGAGACTGCTTCATACCAATCACTACACATGTAGGTAGCATTCCGTGGACGAGATAAAGTCAGAAGATCACAGTGTCAACAAATATGGCTGGGGGGATTGTGTCATGGCTTCTGGTTTTGCGGGGGTGCTAGTTAAGAGACAGGCGTTTTTAGCTGATTCCCCGAAGAGTTCGTAGAGAAGCCAGAAGCGAAATACGCTCACATGTCTCTAGGTTATAGGCATGTGGGAACTTTAAAAAGACCAGAGCCAAACTCGATATGAGTCTTGTTGGAACTTATTAGCTGAATGAAATCGTGCAGTGGATGATCAATACTGTCAAGAGCAAACGAGTTAGCTCCGGCAATGGGCGTCAGGGATGTCCGTAGCACGAATTAGCGACCCGTGGGTTCGGGCCCCGGCGGAATGTTACTCCCCCGCATTGTGTCCCTCATTGTATCGCTCTACGCAGTAATCCGTAAGTGGCCATTGTGAGGTCACTGAGCAACCCCGCCAACCAACGCCTGGAGCAAACGCGCATGATTGCTGGCTAAAGGTCCAACTTCCTGTCAGTCACATTTGCTCGGAGCCTCCAAATGCGACAAGAGGTTCTGGAGACCACAAAACTCCTGTTCCTGAGTCCCTTGTAAATACCATGACTTGATATTCTTCATCTTCGGATAATGGGACGACCATTAAGAATGGACAACATTCATGCACCAACGGTCCCTTCGGGGCCCTCATCACGACCGATCACTAACGGCAATGCGAAACAGCTCTCGTTTGCAGAGCTGTCTGAAAAGAAGGAGAATCTGGAGGCCGAGCTCAAGGCTCTGAGCGGTGTATTAGACTCTCATGGAGTGAACATGGACACACCTTTGACCCGCGATGGTTTCCCCAGAGCCGACATAGACGTCGCCCAAATACGCACGACGCGGTCTCGAATCATCCATTTACGGAACGACTACAAGGACATCATGAATGCAATCGAGAAGCATCTACACGAACACTTTGCTAGTTTGGAGGATGTAGACGACGCACCTCCTGTTGGGACGGGCGCCGGACTGCTAGGCGACAGCATTGTGCAGTCGTTGGAAGAACCGTTTGCAAGAGTTAATAGTGTGGTACCCGACAGCCCCGCTTACACGGCTGGGCTCAAGGCTGGCGACGAGATCCGGAACTTTGGATACGTCAACAAGGGCAATCACGATGGCCTGAAGAAGGTGGCTGAATGCGTTCAGGGCAATGAGAACGTGAGCCACAGCCTATAACCATCTTGATCATCAACAAAGCTAATGAGAATTACAGCAAAACATCTTGGTCAAGATATCGCGGCCAGCCGAGGCAACCAGAAGACAAGAACTTCAGCTCATGCTGACGCCTCGTAAAGATTGGGGTGGTCGTGGAATGCTTGGATGCCATATTCTGCCACTATGAGAGATGATACGAAATGGGAAAGGACTGCAGCATACCAAATACAGGAAAACGAACTGCTGGTACCGTCATCTTTATCACAGCTCTGTTACGACACACCAGATGCTCTTTGTATCTGCGATGGACTCGCACCTTGGAAAGGGTGCCGAGAACGGCAGATCCTGGCAGATCATACAACATGAACAGATGGTAGCATGATCTGAAGTGTGGCCGCGCAAAGGACCTGGGCTACATGAGCTGGAACCTCTATCTTGAGACCCAACCTTTAGTCGTCGGATCCAACCGAAGCTGATTGGGTTTCGACTACAAAGGGAGGACTGCCTAATGCTGCCTAGAGACACGCCCGGTAGATTATTAAGCAGAGTGACTGCCTTGTCATTGCATCGAATTTTGAGCCCAACGACCACAGCATAAAAGCTGACTGTAGAGACATTGCAATAACTGAAAGAAGATCCATCTATCTATTGAATATCCAGTATCCGACGAGTTTGACCCTGTGCCAGAACTGAGGTGGATTCATTCTGTTCTAACGTCAACTGACTTATGGGCATAAAAAAGCAGTATTGGAGGCCTTATGTCACATAGTTAGAGAGTTAACCTTACCTACCTTAGTGCCAGACAAGTTGAAGCTTGCCTAAACCAAACAAAAGAGCTACCCGACCCCGACCTCGTCACCCTCTAGGTCAGGATTTTGCCCCTCCTTGTTTTTTTGTTATCTGGTTCCTTTGTTCCAGAAGACCCCACCATTAGTGCCCATTCAGTCACGTGCTTTCAGTGAATATTTCATTCATTAAAATTTTCGCTGGGCAGTGACGGCGACTGGTTGGTTACTGAGGCAGCTAGGAAGAAAGCCCGGACCCCGGTTTGCATTTTCAAAGGCCTTCTGGGCACCATTCATAAACACAACCCACTTTGACAGCGATCCGTCGGTCAAGAAACCACCACCACTACACACAAGCAAACGTTGACTCTCTAAAGTCACCTCTCACCCATCACACTTTTTCCGACCTTGCACATTTATCTGGTCAAAGGTATGTCACGTCCCTGGATTCGCATCCTCTCCTCCTGACAACTTATCCTGCTGCCATCTGCCGCCGTCGTCAGCGCACAAGACAGCTCGAACTCTGCTCGTCGTTGATTCCGCTCCAGCAACTTTTGAGGATAAACCCCACTGACGTTTGCGCCCAGTTCCCCTCGTCTTGTTTACATCACCAAATCCCCATCTCAAATCAGCTATCGCACACAATGGCTGCCCAACAATCCGTTGCGACCTTCAAGCTGGTGCTTGTCGGTGATGGCGGTACTGGAAAGGTAAGCATGCCATTTCCCATGTCCTCCTCTGCCTCGCCGCCATGTCGCGATGCAGCTTCAGGCGAAGCCAGCGTGCGACGCTCTCGACCATTTGCCGTCATTGCCACTATGCATACTCTGATACTGATATGTACGCGAACCATAGACCACCTTCGTCAAGCGTCACTTGACTGGTGAATTCGAGAAGAAGTACATGGCCACTCTCGGTGTCGAGGTCCACCCTCTTGGCTTCTCTACCGTAAGACTTCAACGGCTCCTGATATGCGCCTATTTACTAACCCCCCAAAAAGAACGTCGGTCAGATCACCTTCGACGTCTGGGATACCGCCGGCCAGGAGAAGTTCGGTGGTCTCCGTGACGGTTACTACATCAACGGCCAGTGCGGTATCATCATGTTCGATGTTACCTCCCGTATCACCTACAAGAACGTCCCCAACTGGCACCGTAAGTGACCCCACGCATTTCCTCCTCCCCTTCTCTCCAGTGCAATGCTGACCCAAAATCAATAGGTGACTTGGTCCGTGTCTGCGAGAACATCCCCATTGTTCTCTGCGGTAACAAGGTTGATGTCAAGGAGCGCAAGGTCAAGGCAAAGACCATCACCTTCCACCGCAAGAAGAACCTTCAGTACTACGATATCTCCGCCAAGTCCAACTACAACTTTGAGAAGCCCTTCCTCTGGCTCGCCCGAAAGTTGGCTGGCAACGCCCAGCTGGAATTCGTCGCTGCCCCCGCTCTTGCTCCTCCTACTGCCCAGGTCGATGACAAGCTTCTTGAGCAGTACCGCAAGGAGATGGAGGAGGCTACTGCCATGCCTCTGCCTGACGAGGAGGATGACGACTTGTAAAGAGCTAGTATGATTGGGAAAGAACATGGGGCTACACTGGCGCATCCGCGTCTAAAGTCCACAAAATAGGTACATCATCCCTTTAGCAATGGCTATTCACGGACATGGAATGATGCGCGGAGGAAAGGATAAATTCTTCAACGAGCGCGATCGGTGCCTTGCGCTCAGGATTTGTGGAGTGAACGGTCATCCCCGTTCCAAGGCGGCTCCTTGACGACCTGCTGCGTTTTGCAGCTTTTAGATAGCACCATACGTAGACACGACGACCAAGATCAATATGACTGATCTGTACGACCAACACAAGCTGTTTCTTAAAACAAAACGTTTCATCAAAGTGTCGTGTTTGCCCACTTCGGTATCATGTAATTGCGCACTTGAAATGTTCACATCAGAATATGTGGCATAGTCCGTCATGTCCTTGCTCGGTAATTTTGACAGGTTGCTCATTGAGGCACTCCTATGGGGGGTCTCGTTTTGCTAATCGCCCCAACATGATGTATGCAGTATTGGAACCTATCCCTGAAGTAAAGGCGTATGTTTGTGAGATGAAGTGGTGTGCTTCAACTAGCCTCCACATATATGTATTGAGGAACAAATTGAAGCCGCCAAATAGTTGCCCTTGTACATTGGCGAAAGAAAATATACACATGATGTATTTTATGTCTTACATTATGACTTCATTAGTCAGATAGACCTACATGTATCCATAGCAACGTATAAGCCATCTGCAAGTTGCGAGTCTAATATTCGTGTCACACTATGTTTCATCAAGGTCCGGGAGACTTAACTCCAATTTAATTTTTTTTTACAGGTTGGCCAACGTGTATGTATATGTCGGCGTAAGAGTAACCTGTTTGATACGCACAAATATAGCCTGTATGTTGGAGCAATGCCACTCCTCTGGGCCGATTCATGGAAGCGAGAGCAAGTAAAGTTTTGGCGGTACACAAGCAATACGCGGATGGCAAGGAGAGCTTCAGAAGAGAAAAAGAAAACAAAGATGAACGAAGGAAAAAGACGAAAAGTAGAAGAAAAGTACGACTGAAATCGTGATAGGGAGTCTTATTCATAAGAAACTGGGGAGTCGACCATGGAAGAACTGCTCAAGATTTTGCACCACGGTCCAAGTATGTCAAGCACTATCTATGTTTATCGCTAGAGGTGGTCCTTGTGGCCGTCGTTAATCCTGTTGCGTCTTCCTGAGGGTGAGATCCTTGCACAGAACAACACATGCTTTCGTCTACCACGGACGGATCCTCAAGCCACGGCTCATGGCAAGCAGCAATCATGAGTACATTCGTTTCTGCGTGAATCGTAGGATGGATATCTTTGAAGTGGCATCGCTCACTTGCAAAATTGTAGAGATGCCGGCGTGTTCCGACGTCTGACTGGCAACAAGGTCATCATTGGGTTTCAAAATCATTATGAAAATACGCAAAAGGGGAAAGGCTTGGACAGGTTGGCGAACCCAGTAGCACCAGCTTGCTTATTCGATTATTTGGGCTTTGTCTCATTTGAAAAATTCCTTGCTACAAGTGCTTTCACACACTTTCATTACTTCGCGTAATGTCGTGGAACGAACGAGACGGACACGCCTTACGAGGCATGCGCTGATCTCGTCCACTCGCTCTGTGGATAAAGAAAAGAATGCTCCGAGTCGAGGTTTGTAATATGGTCATGCAGGAGAAGACCTGTATAAGAGAAGAGATACAGACGTTAGACAATTCCACATGTGAATCTCTCCGCGTATGATGATGTCAATATATTCCAACGTTGGCTAGATTGTGCGTGACGTGTGAGGATGCCACTCTCCAGAATGTACTCATATATACAGTAACAATAAAGTCATCTCCGCCGTAGAATCGACGCACGGCACACGGCACCATACTCCCGCGGCTATAACGGCTCGGCATGATCCACTTATCTGAGCATCATGGCGGAATACATACATAGTCATGCCTTCTTTCGAAAATCGCTATTATGACCGTGTGGATCTGTTTGAATAAATAGTCGTTGTCGTGCCTTGGATACTATGTGTATCCAAGGCTTTTCTCGGTATCCGGCACTGCCTGCCTGTGCAGGAGTAGATCGTCGGGCCGGCCGAAGTTCAAAAACAGCAAAGTCCGGCACGATTTATCTACCTACTTCACAGTTATAGGATGCAAATGAATCGGAAGTAGAGGGAGTCGATATTGGAAGAAGAAGAAAAAAGGATGTTGCTTCAGTTTGATAAACCGAATATGGTCAGGGTCCTCGCATGACTTCAGATGCATACTCAAAGGCAGATATGGTTGGTCCGGTCCGTATTATGGCATGGCATCGGTGGAAATACAGTTACCAGGGCACGTGGAGCTCTCTGAGCACGATAAGCTCCCTGTTAATTCTAGAATTTCAACGAGGCTCGCAACGCTGCTGCAGGACCACGACACGGCGCCAATCAGCAGTGAATCTCCAACCCCTCACTACCGGGATCATGGCCCAGTAGACCCTGGAGGTGGGACAGAAGCGGCATGGCGGCGGCGATTTGGTGCAGCCAAAAAAGTGACCGGCGAGCTCGGTTAGCGCCTCAACTTCACTAACTTACCTAGTGAACCTGAACCCAGCTAAGAACACGTTGTGAGTTTTGCATGTCCAGAGTCGAGGTCCACAGGAGAAACTCACTCACACTCTTCGATATCTTTCTATCTGTCCCTTCTTTGAGAGTCGCAAGTATTTGTGACTTTTGAACCTGGTGAATACGGCAGGTGGCATCAGCAAATAAAACAAAGGAAGCCACGTTTCAACCGCCGCACCGCATAGTCGACCCGTCCCTTCCCTAACCCTGGCCGGAGCCTTCTCACGCGTATTAATAACACTCGACCTGGCTGGTAATTTAACATAGAATTGCGACTTGAGCCTCAGATAAGACAACATCAACCCCACCACCGACAGCCTACCATGGAGAACTCCTCCGCGCGGCCTATACAGGACGTCCTCGCCAATTTTGGCGTTGATGCCACCGCTGGTCTCACAGATGCGCAGGTCATTGACTTGCGAACAAAGCATGGAAAGAATGGTATGCGACATCGCTCCTGGCATATTCTCTTGGAGCCGCGTCCAAGTGCTGACAGGTCCCCTTTCTCCTAGCCATTGCGGAAGAACCCCCGACGCCTCTATGGGAACTCATCCTTGAGCAGTTCAAAGATCAACTTGTTATAATCCTTCTCGGCTCTGCCGCTGTTTCGTTCGTGCTGGCGCTCTTTGAAGAGGAGGGCGGCTGGGGTGCATTCGTGGATCCTGCAGTCGTGAGTTTCCCAATCTGCCACCAGCATACTTTATATCTCTGCCGGGGGCACGGAGCTAACATTGTGCTATTCAGATCCTGACCATTCTCATTCTCAACGCCGTCGTCGGTGTCTCCCAGGAAAGCAGTGCTGAGAAGGCTATCGCTGCCCTTCAGGAGTACTCGGCGAACGAGGCCAAGGTGATCCGAAACAATGGCCATGCTACTAGAGTCAAGGCAGAAGAGCTGGTTCCTGGTGACATCATTTCCGTCTCCGTCGGCGACAGAATTCCCGCCGACTGCAGACTCATCTCGATCGAAAGCAACAGCTTCTCTGTAGACCAGGCTATCCTGACTGGCGAGAGTGAAAGTGTCAACAAAGACCACAAGGCTATTGTCGAGGATGACAAGGCTGTGCTTCAGGATCTTGTCAACATTCTCTTCTCTGGTACTACTATTGTTACGGGTCGCGCCAAGGCTGTCGTTGTCTTGACTGGTTCCAAGACGGCTATTGGTGATATTCATGAGAGCATTACTGCCCAGATTTCGGAGCCGACTCCCCTGAAGCAGAAGCTGAACGATTTTGGTGATTCTTTGGCCAAGGTTATTACTGTCATTTGTGTTCTTGTTTGGTTGATCAACATTCCTCACTTCGCAGACCCCAGCCACGGAAACTGGACCAAGGGTGCTATCTACTATCTCAAGATTGCTGTTTCACTCGGTGTCGCTGCTATTCCAGAGGGTTTGGCAGTTGTCATTACCACATGTCTCGCCCTTGGAACACGAAAGATGGCTGCCAAGAACGCTGTTGTGCGAAGTCTGCCCTCCGTCGAGACCCTGGGAAGCTGCAGTGTCATCTGCTCTGACAAGACCGGTACTTTGACAACTAACCAGATGAGCGTTGGAAAGCTTGTCTTCATCAGCGAGAACCACTCTGATTTGGAGGAACTCGATGTCGAGGGCACCACTTTCTCTCCCAAGGGCGATATCAAGCGCAACGGCAAGCTTGTTTCAAACCTTTCAGAAAGCTCAAGCACCATCCGTCAGATCAACGAGGTTGCGGCTCTTTGCAATGATGCTCGTCTGGCTTACGATGCGCGCGCTGGCAACTTCTCCAACGTTGGTGAGCCCACTGAAGGCGCCCTCCGTGTCCTCGCCGAGAAGATCGGACCGTGTGCTCCTAGTAGTGCCAACCCCGAGGACTGCCTTCACCATGCCAGCGCCATCTACGAGCAGCAATACCCCCGCCTCGCCACCTTTGAGTTCTCTCGTGACCGCAAGAGCATGTCTGTTGTAGTCCAGGATGGTCAGAAGAAGAAGCTTCTAGTCAAGGGTGCCCCTGAATCTATCATCGAACGTTGTACACACACTTTGGTCGGTACCGCTGGAAAGCGTGTCCCCATGGACAAGAAGCTCTATGACCTCCTCATGAAGGAGGTTGTTGAGTACGGCAACCGTGGTCTTCGTGTGATTGCGCTTGCCAGCGTTAGTGATGTTAGCACCAACCCTCTTGTAACCTCTGCCAAGTCTACGGCCCAGTACGCGGAACTTGAACAGAATCTGACTCTTCTCGGTCTTGTTGGTATGTTGGACCCGCCTCGTCCTGAGGTCGCTGGTGCCATCAAGAAGTGCAAGGATGCTGGTATCCGTGTCATCGTTATTACTGGAGACAATCGCAACACTGCTGAGAGCATTTGCCGATCCATCGGTGTGTTTGGCGCGACCGAGGACCTCACTGGTAAGAGCTACACTGGCAGAGAATTTGACAACCTCAGCGCTGGCGAGCAACTGGAAGCTGCCAAGAATGCCTCTCTCTTCTCGCGTGTTGAGCCTAGCCACAAGTCCAAGCTCGTCGACCTGCTCCAATCTCTCAACGAGGTCGTCGCCATGACTGGTGACGGTGTCAATGATGCCCCAGCTCTCAAGAAGGCCGACATTGGTGTTGCTATGGGCTCTGGTACCGATGTTGCTCGCTTGGCTGCCGACATGGTCCTTGCTGATGATAATTTCGCCACGATCGAGTCTGCCATTGAAGAAGGCCGATCCATCTACAACAACACTCAGCAATTCATCCGCTACTTGATTTCCTCGAACATTGGCGAGGTCGTTTCCATCTTCTTGACGGCCGCTGTTGGCATGCCCGAAGCTCTCATTCCCGTGCAACTTCTCTGGGTCAACTTGGTTACCGATGGTCTTCCCGCAACAGCTCTGTCCTTCAACCCACCGGACCATGATATCATGAAGCGATCTCCAAGAAAGCGTGACGAGCCCCTTATCGGTGGCTGGTTGTTCTTCCGCTACCTGGTCATTGGAACATATGTTGGTATTGCGACAGTGGCTGGTTACGCCTGGTGGTTCATGTACAACCCTGAAGGTCCTCAGATCACCTTCTCACAACTGGCAAACTTCCACCGCTGCTCGACCGAGTTCCCGGAGATCGGCTGCCAGATGTTCAGCAACGATATGGCCAAGTCCGCCTCTACCGTCTCTCTGTCCATTCTGGTTGTCATTGAAATGTTCAACGCCATGAATGCTCTGTCCTCCAGCGAGTCTCTGTTGACCCTGCCTTTATGGTCCAACATGATGCTCGTCTACGCTATTGCACTATCTATGGCTCTGCACTTTGCCCTCCTCTACACACCCTTCCTGCAGACTCTGTTCTCGATTCTGCCCCTGAACTGGTTGGAGTGGAAGGCTGTCTTGATCATCAGTGCACCTGTCATGTAAGTTATCCGCAACAGTGAATCACCTCATGAGACGAAAGTCGCTAATATGACCTAGCTTGATTGATGAAGCACTCAAGGCTCTCGAGAGAGCTTTCTTCATACAGACGACGACAGACAAGGTGACCAAGGCGAAGAAGGATCTGTAAATCAAACGGATTGCCATAGACGCGAGATCTGATATTAGAACTAGATTAGAGCAGGATGCATCATGGCTAGCGATCATTGTTTGTGACACGTCATAGCATATAGTGACCTTGAGAGAAATCAAGGATCGACCGAAGCAAAGGAAACCTCGCCACCCTCGATGTGTTGTGTTGAATCTTTTTTTTTTTTTTTTCAGCCTCTCGGATGTTCCCTCCCTTTGCACATCACCCACAGGGGTTACCGGTTACTCATTGCTTGCACGACAAAAGCCGACATAATTGTTACTCCACCCAGAGAGATCTAGCTGGGCAATCCCTCAAGGCGCTGTCTTCTGACGTCTACCCCTAGACTATTATAGAATCACAGCTTCTTCAAACGTCACTTAGACCCTCCGAATCTAGACTTCCTGTTTGCACGGCCCTACCACGCTGCCCAAATCCTAACACTGGGCTCAACAGCGCATAGTTGAGCACTACGCCGATGATATGCCAAGACGGGGCAGACCTTCCAAGAAGCAGGTAAGGTAAGGTGCAATGCGCTCTTCATTCTAGCAACCTCGAGACACGTACTTGAATCCGGTAGTTCACCATCTCCACGATCTCTCGGCTTACCAGAGTAGAAGTTATTTTCTTTCTTTCTTTCTTTCTTTCTTTCTGTCTGTCTGTCTGTCTGTCTGTCGTGCTAAACTCGTTGCCAATCTTGTCCTGGCATTCAGCTTTATACTGGCCGCCTCATCTTGAACATATCCCGGCGGCCACAGTATGACGAGTTGGTCCCGGTCCCGGTCGCTGTCGCGGACAGGACCGGCTTCGGACTTCCAGGGTCGGCGTTACGAACGGCATTGGCATATATGTATTATTGATAGCATGAAGATGAGAACGGCCACTCGTCCCCCGCGCTATTCATGTGACTCGCATCGGCTTACCGCCTGGGTTGCCAGTAGACAATTTCCATAGCTGGCAGAGCCACCCACACAGCTCCTAGGACTTCTGATTACGACGGTTGTACACAGAGTACGAAAAAATGGCGGTCGGCTCACGAAATAAAAACACGGTTTATTGGTACAAGATGACAGGATGTGTCACCTGGCTCTCTATTTCCGTAGCAGTAGCCATTCTCTTCATCTAGTCAACTCCATACATGTCCAAGATCACGATTCGGGACCGCAAAACTAACGGTCAGATGTAATTTTTCGAAGACCGTGGTCCTCCGTCTATCTTGTGAGGACTGCCGATGGCCCGAAGATTGATATTGTCGTCTCTATCAAGCTCGAGCCGCGTATTGCACCAAACGCCGAACATCGCGCCCTTTTAATCTTGACGACCCTTTAGTAATCTCTTGGTAACCTTGTCCTTCTCAATGATGTAAACGTGTGCACCCCAACCTGAAAGGGCATCTCTGTCGATGGCATTAAGTAGTGCTTGTGAGATAGTCTCAAACAGATCCTCGGGGCCCTGGGGAATGGCAACGAATTAGCAAACGGGGCGACTCTCCGACCATGACATGCACGAATGCTCCTGCAGCTAGCAGCAAGTTATGGGGGAGGAAGCAGGTAAACTTACCAAGTCGGGCTCCCATAGACCCTCGCACATGCCAAACAGCTGGTCCGACGCCGTTCCGCTAACGATGAAGTCCTTGGCGAAGTCGATACAGCCGATGGAATCAAACCCGCAGATGAAAGGCTTGCCGGTCTTGGGCTCGAGGCCGGCGACGACGGGAGAGACAAAGTAGGGACCAAAGCGCTTCTCGTACAGGCTGCTGGAGACGAGGTTGGCAAAGGTGGTGGGGGCGATGTTGCGCTCCTCTCTGAGTCTGTACATGTTCACCTTGTAGCGGAAGAGGTCGGAGACGGTGGAGACGTCGGTGGCGAGGCCTGTGAGACCCAAGAATACGTCGCCGTACTGGAAGATCTTGGGGAAGTTGTTGGATACCGTCAGGGCTTGCAGACCGAGGCGCAGGTCGCAGGCAATGGCGACGCAGTCCTTGCCCACCATGGCTACACAGGCGCCACCATCTGGAGGGGAGGTGGTTGTTAGTTATGGAGGATCGAGTGTCGATGGGAGGATAGATGTGGGAATGGTGGCCGTACTTATGCTGAAAGGTGACGACTAGAGATGCACAAGTTAGCTACGCAGCTAGACAAGACAAGACAAGACAACAAGAACATAGCACTCCAACTATCTATGATTAGTTGCGCTCTCGAGCCGAGGCAAGCTTACCATTGTGACTGTCTATGAAATGTGATGTGTCGGGTCAAGTGATAGGCACAACCAGGAGCTGTTTGGCGAAGCGTAGATAGTCGTCAGATGAATCGTGAAAGGTGGTGGTCGGCGATGGAGTTGTGGTGGTGGTGATGCTGAGCAGCTCGGGTCAGGTTAGCTGCACCGGTGTCAGGCTGAAGGTCGTCGTTGCTCGGCGCAGGGCAATAGAAGGCAAGGCAAACACGCTATGGCGCGGCAGCTCCCCAAAAGACCAGTCCAGTGTACCAGTCTACGTGCTTAACTTACCACTTACCTAACCTAGCTCACAGCACGCAGCTCCCCCGACAAAGTGGCAGTACCATGTCGGAGCTACAGGGGTCCAGAGATGCCGGCCACCCGCGCTCTCCTCTCACACGGTTGGCAAGGTTGGGCAACTAACTTGCTGTATGTACTTGCTGTCATTAGCGTATTTTGCCCCTCCACGTCTCGTCTCCCGTACGTGCATCATCTTCTTGGTTGCCTGTGAGCAAGCACGCCGAGCTACAGTATGTATGTATGTATTGGACTGACTTGGAGCATAACGTAATCCGTGGAACACTCTGGCGCGTTTTTATTTTTCTTGCATTTGGCATTTTATCATGCTGCATGGTATCACCAGTTCCCTGCAAGTGCTACCGTTATAGGTTGACCCAGGTCTTCGTTCATTAATCAACACGCCAACTTACTCCTGCCTGCCTGCCTCTCTATCCCACCTCAACCCCACCATCACTTCCAGCATATTCACCCAAGTCCAGTCGAGCTGCATCTTCATACCCTTTGCGCACCCCCATCGCCATGTCGACAACAGTAAAGGTCATCTCGACCGACATGCGGCAGGCCTCCATCAAGGTCAGCCCTTCGACATATCTGGTTGATGTCCTCGAGCAAGCCTGTGCCAAGTTCAACCTGCTCCCCGACAAGCACCTGCTCAAGCACAAGGAGAAGGAGCTTGACCTCTCCAACACCTTCCGCAACGCCGGGCTCATCCCTGGTGCCAAACTCGAGCTTATCACAAAGTCCAAGACCCCTGCCGTTCTCAACATCGCCCTCCAACTCCCACAAGCTGAGGCCGCCGTGTTCGGCGCACCAAGAGCTACCGCAAAGCTGCCGAGCGACACGACAGTATGGAAGGTTCTGAGACATTTCGAGGAGGCCGTCTGCGGCCGCAAGATCAACATCACGGGCAGGGCCACGCTGCCCGTGGACGTTAGCAGCGGCAGCGGACAGCTCTACTACGAGACGCCAGCTTTGCAAATGGAGACCCGGAGCCTGACCACTTTCCTCGATTTTCAGAAAACCATGAGCCAGCTGGGCTACAACAGAGGCAACGTCTTGGTCCGGCTGGCTTTCCAGAGGACAGACAAAACGCTCTCGGATGCAATGAAGGACATCTCCGAGTACTTTGAAGAGGAGCAGAGTGTACAGATCGAGCGAGAGGCCGCTCGCACCGAGGCCGCCAAGTTACAAGATCAGCATGCGCAGAGTGCTTCTGATCTCAGGCAAGAAACCACCGCCACGGCACCTGATACACAGGGCTCGTCAGAGCAGGCCGCTCCTCCACCCTACACTGAAACCAGCGCCGCAGACGCAATGCAGATTGACCCGACGCCGTCAAACCCCCTCGCTCCAACATCCATCTTCTCCGCCCCCAAGAATGCTACTCCCGCCGCGGCGCATACCGTGGACTCAGATAACATCTTCGCCCCAAGTGTTGCGCATGCGCAGCTGCACCAACAACGCTTGAAACACGAGGCTATGAACAAACGTCTTTTATCAGACCGAGAGCTTGAGGAGAAGGCCGCTGCCGCAGCTGCCAAACTTGCCGCCGTCAAGTCGATCGACGTGCGCGTGCGTTTCCCCGACCAGGACTTGGCGCAGTGGAAGATCACACCAGACTGGACCGGCAACGTGCTCTATTCCGCGGTGCGCAGCGTCATGGCACACGAAGGCTTGGAATTTCGTCTGGTACTACCTGGATCACCTGTTGTCACGATAGAGGACGACGACGGGGCTCCGCATAAGCTAGTTAAGGGTTACGGCTTCCGGCACAACACGTTAGTAAATCTTGTGTGGGCTGACTCGGTGCCGGACACCGTACGGAAACAGCCGTTTTTGAAGGAGCAGTTCAGGAGCAAGGCAGTCGAGGTCGTTATTCCTGAGGTGCCCCAGGGTGAGGAAGAAGATGAACCCGCAGGGCCGAACTCGGCAAAACCCGCGGCACCGAGAAATGACGACGATGGAGATGGAAAGAGGAAGGGGGTGCCCAAGTGGTTGAAGTTGGGCAAGAAATGAACGACGGAAGTCGTCCCAGAGATGGTTGTCAGCGGTTCTGAGTATCGATATACTGACGATTATAGTACTTGACACCAAGTGAAGAGAGATATCATGGTGATTTGCATCGCATTGGAGTTCTGGTCAAGGGCAGGCATTGTATTACATTATGATATAGATCGGGCAAACGTCGTCCAACGGAATTGATGATGAGAGCGACCTGCAGCGAACCATGAAGCCGTATGCGGACGTCGTCAGACATTACATAAAATTCCACCGAATACTAGAACCGTCCTGAATTTCATCCACGTACTTGAACAGAAGTCGGAAAACTGAGCAACACAGTAAACTAGGCCTGTTCGCTTCAGCCTTGGTGCACTCAAACTAATGTTTATAATTGTACCAGCTGTGGCTGTTATTCGTGGCTGCTGACTGTGGTGCCACTTGGTTCCCGAATTTCGACTTAACGCTTTGGCAGGTCGGACCGACGTCAACTACAACTTAACATGTTTTTGGTCATGCCGTCCACAGGAGTTGTGCGAGGGATGACATGCACGGCATTTATACTTGGTACTTTGCATGTCAGTTCTCTGGTGCATAGTCAAGAACGAGCCCCATCCTTGTATTTCTCACGAGGCTTGCATCTTTGAAGTGACCGTGATGGCATCTTCATTATATCTCCAAATGGCACAAATGGGATCGGATCATCCAGGGCTACTAGTCTCAACGAGAAGCGCCAGCTTGAAGCGATCTCTCTGTCCCTCGTCCAAACGGCCGGCTATCCTTCCAAAACCAAGCCGTTGCCCTTGAAAAATCTAGACGCCTCAAAACGTCACACAGAGTCATTCCGAAAAACCCACTTATTTCCCAGACACGATGCATTGTGCATTGATATGTAGTGACTGGAGCACAAGCTTGTGTTTTGGTACCGTCTCCGTCCTTTCATTACAGTTAAGTTAGTTCGTGGCAGTGTTTTAATCCTTTACAAGTGTGATCTTCAAGGAGTCGTCAGCTCCAGATCACACAGGGCTGAGCAGCATATTTCTCTTGAGCAAACAGACAAACAAGGGCAAACACGTTGGACAGGTACCCTCGAAGCCCCCAATCCGGCATATGCCAAGTCGTCGACCCGTGAGGTAGAAGCCCTTTTGGCCGCACCGCAAAGGATAGTTGCAGATTCATACTGGGTCCAACCAAGCAGCCTGGCAGGGCAGCTTGTTTTAGCCGGAAAGCATCAGACGGCGAGACAGCATGAATAACGCGTCGCCTCGTTGTCCAAGTCATCGATATGGTCTACCGTGCAATTCATGGGACTTGAAACAAACCACAAATGACATGTCAAGGGAGGCATACAAGTGACTGGGTTGTAGCGGACCTCAACGGCCGGGTTTAACCTGGCGCTTCGGTAGCTTTTATGGCTCGTTCATCTAAAAGCTTGCCGATCCCGGTGGATGTGCCGTTTGACTCCTTGGTAAGATCCGAAGTGGATGTGGGTAGGGCGGGATAGGCTCTTTTTTTTTTTGCTTGGTTGGGGCCGTTTTTGGGCTGCCTCTATGACCCCTTTCGGCAGACGACTCGGATGATTGCATCACTGATCTGCAACCACTACCTTGCAGTGCCAGCCAGCCAGCTCGCTTTTTACGATGAAAAGGGCATGTCTTGGCAGGGGAAACAAAGACTAGTCCCCCATCTAGCGAAGTATTCGTAGGCTGGGAAGACCCGTAAAAATGGCATTGGTGGAAGCGCACCCGTCGTTGCGTTGGTGTATTACGTCGTAAAAGAATGATACTAAAGGATCATCATCCGCCTGTCTTGAAATAGAAAGTATCTGCTTGTTCCTGCATACATACACACACCACAGAATTCTCGCCCATCCCTTCTTCCCTCGCCATCTGCCATATACAACAACTTTGTAGACTCTCTGGCCAGCTTAAGTACATCGTCATCGCCACAAGACATCATACAAACTAGCCACACCATGCATTTCTCTACTATTGTCGTTGGCCTGCTGGCCGAGATCGTCGCCTCGGCGTCCTATAACATCCCTGTCGAGATGGCTGTTGCCGATACCTGCGCAATGCCTTCCGAATACACCATCACCAACTTTGTCACATTCGGAGACAAGCTGAACGGCACACTCAACACCACATCATTCCACTTCGCCGACTCGGAGACCGGTATCGACACATCCTGCACAAAGAACTCGACATCGGCCACCTCGAGCCCGAACGGTGGCACTGCGCGATACTACTGTGACGACGCAACTGTAGAGTTCATCTGGCAGACGACCGGAATTGCTGGCCTGACCGTCATCGAAAAGGCTTGCCCTGAAAAGTAAGTTTCGACTACCTTTTCCTTCTTAGTACTGACACTATAAGCGTCATACGCTAACACACATTTTTTTTTTCTTTCTTTGCAGCGGTTCGTCCAAGTATGAGGTCTCCGGTCTCTCCCAGTTCAACCTGACATGCACAACCACCTACGACGGCACGCTCTGCTCCTCGAGCCAAACGACCACGGGCGAGTTCACCAGCCTGAACCCGGTCACGGAGACGTCCTAAGATATGCGATAGAGCCACTACGGGGACTGTGTAGGATGAAGAGACGGAAGACTTGGAGGGACTGGCCATATCATATCAGGACGATGAATAGCCCACGGCGTTGGCGCACATTGCTCTCACGAGAGTCGCCACGAGTACCTTGCACACAGATGAAAATATATATCTGAGAAACGGAGAAATAATGTCTAGTCAATCCAAGTACATAAGATCAAAATGCCTTGAAGCCATAGAGCCAGTGCCCATCATAAACAAGTTTTAGGTATAGGCGAAGACGTTGAGGATTTTCCAGATGGTGGCGCTCAGGGCGGTCCGGATTGAGCACCTGGTCCTGGTTCCCCCGCGTTGGCGCCAAGTCTACTGCAAATTTCCCCAGCACTTGAGCCCGTTCAGGTGGGTGCTAACCGTAGTTGTGCCTGGCTTTCAGTGAGCCTACCTGGTCGTCTCAAAACAGTCAATCACACGACAACTGCTTTCGGCAGCCGTGACGCAAGCCATGATGCGCGCCACTTCCCTTGAGCACTTCGCATTGTAGTCTTGGCTCGTGTGTCATCTGCACCTATTTGCTCCTCGCCGATTCCTTTCTACCTCGTGCTTTTTTCTCGTACCTGGACTTTCTTTTTGCGAAACCATCAAACACCACAGTATGGTATCTGTGTGTGTAGCGGTGCGCCGACACTGACATCATCGCCGCCTGTAATTTACAAGGATTCACGACATGATCCCGACCCTCTGTCTACTACTTTCGGTGTCGTTGCAGGCAGCGGGTGTCTTTACATCTCCGTCTCCTGCATTGACCCAACGGCCCCCGGAGGCGCAAAACGGTGGCTCGCCTGCTGGCATCTCGAACCGTTTCTTCGCATCGCTCGAACGTCTCGCTCGACTGGTCGACATTACCTACTGCGTCGGTACTACTGGGCTAGGCCGGCCTTTCGAATGCGTCTCGAGGTGCAAAGACTTCCCCACGTTGGACCTGGTCACGACATGGAACACCGGGGTCCTGATGAGCGATAGCTGCGGCTACATCGCCGTTGACCATGGCGCAAGATTGGGCGGCGGCGGCGGCGGCGGCAGAAGCAGCAGCGAGAAGCCGGGGCAGGAGAGGCAAGGAGCCATTATAGTCGCCTTTCGTGGCACCTACAGCATCACCAATACGGTTGTGGATCTGAGTACGATCCCCCAAGAATATGTGCCGTACCCTTCGCCAGAAGACGGTGGCGATAAGCCGCCAAAGGAACCAGAGCACAAGTGTGATAACTGTACCGTGCATATGGGCTTCCTAGCATCGTGGAAGATTGCCCGAGAGGATGTTCTACCTATTCTGAAGCCCCTGGTGTTACGGTATCCCGACTATCCTGTCTACCTCGTCGGCCATAGCCTTGGCGGTGCTGTGGCTGCCCTGGCCGCTCTGGAGATGAAGGTCATACTTGGTTGGGACAACGTTGTTATCACCACATTTGGCGAGCCGAGGGCTGGGAATGGCGGCTTTGTTCGTTACCTCGATGCGGTCTTCGACCTGAAGAACAACCAGACGGATCCCGAGGACTGGGCGTACCGAAGACTTACTCATGTGGACGACCCTGTTCCCTTGCTCCCGCTTCACGAATGGGGCTACAGATCGCACGCTGGCGAGCTCTATATCTCGAAACCTGACCTCGCACCATCACCAGAGGACATCTGGCCGTGTGCGGGTGACTACGACCCAAAGTGCATTGCAGGCTCCGATGGAGAAGATTTGAATCCTGCACACCACGACCCACTCTTTGGTGGTAAGGATATACAAGACGAGACTCACGTTGCAAAAAGATGGGGATTTCCGTCGAGGCTGAAGTTATGGCAGCTCTTTTTCGCGCATCGTGACTACTTTTGGCGCTTGGGCTTGTGCGTGCCTGGGGGTGACCCTTTTGATTGGGGCAGAGACAGATATCCCAACACCGGCGCTTCAAGGCATGACGGAACCGAGAGTGAGTTGTAAATATCACCATGGGCACAACGGTTTGTGTTGCCGTTTTTATGTGAGATACGAAGTCTGCGAGACCAGCGTTTAATGGCGTGGCGTTCAAGGTTGTATAGTGGCAATGAGTTCGAGTTTGATATCAGGATACAATGAGTACCAAGACGGAAAAAGGCGTTTGGGATCGCAACCGGGTTACTATTTAGTGTCTAATAAGTCCTTGAATCGAGGGCCTTTCGTTTTTCCCTCCCCTTGCTTCCATTCAGCGTTCGAGACTCGGTGAATCATGGCATCAATATCGTGAGAGAAACCGGTGCGGTACATCTTCCATCCCGAAATCTCTTGGCAGGCCGGAGCTCACACCCGCAGCTGGGTAACGCAACTCGCACATGCAGTCCTGCGAGTCTAATCAGACGCCGGCATGATATCTGCATGGGACGGCCCATCGGGCTTACGACGATGATCGCGGCCTGTGACTGGCGAAGATAGCCATTTGCCAGCACAGCCTCCGGCATGAACAACGCACATGCACCCACTTGATGCCACGCGATAAGGCTGGGGGGGGGGGGGGGGGGGGGCAGGTCAAATGAGGGGTACACTAGTCAAAGGGAAGGAACTTTGGGAGAAGTTCTTGTTTACTGTTTTGGGCGCCTTGGAGGAGATTGTTAGGAATTGAAGGTAAATTACGGGCTGGGCTCATTGATAGTAGATAGAAGGGGCCTGTAGCTGGAGGCCGTAAGGTCGTGCCATCTTCGGGGCTATGCATGAAATCTATGGGTGGTTTCCAGATCGTGAGTTTGTTGTTGTCTCACGTTACCGGAAATGGGGGAGGGGTTCAGGCTCAGCTTATTTTGTGATTATTATGATTGTTATTATTTCCTTTGGCCTAGCTCCAGGCAGAAAATACTGCAACAGGCCGATTTGGGGCTGAGTGCCTCCCCAACTGAAGACTTGGGACAACTGCTGGGCTTCTGACCTCGAAAAACGAGGTTGTTCAGGTCGAGGCATGATCAATATGTCGAATAGGAGCTTCTAGACCCTGACGAGAAAAGGGATCTTGGTTCAAGGGTTGAGGGTCTGTTGATCCTAAAGGTAACTTAACGGAGTACTAGCTTCAAGGTCATACCGAATGCGTCTGGACGGTGAGCCGGCTTGGCTGATTCAAGGTCCACAACGCGTTGAATTAGCAGCCTGAGAAGACGCCAACTGCGGGGAGCTTCCATTCTGATTTTCAATGGAAGCCTTCAGAAGTTCCGGAGGCCATGGTCGTCCAGGTCGTCCTTGCGAGAGTCGGATCAGAGGATATCAAGGTGTTGTTGCTCACAGTAGTGGCGTGATGGCTAGGGTCTGACGTAGAACACCAAGACGGAGGGCTTCGGCTATCAATGAAAGTCCGAAAGGTTGTCAAAGTAAACAAAAACGGTCACCTTGTCTCCAGGCAGGTCATGAGATGCAGGCAGACCAGGTGCTGTTTGTTGATCCAATTTCAGGGATCAATAAAAATAAGATAAGACCCTGAAATTTGGACAGGAAAGTATGTACATAGCCTGGCTGTCCCGGGTTGCTTTTCAGCCTTTCAACGCCAGTGGTTATCGGGGAAAGGAAGGGGGAAGGGGACAGAAAAATAGAAAAACAAGGAGTAAACAAAGTTACAAAGGTACAAACCTTGAGGCGTACTTGCTTTCATATTACTTGGTACCAATGTAATAATGCTCTGCTCTGTGCTTTTGTCCTATTCTCGCTTAATTTGAACGGGGCTGTGACTGCCAGTCAATCAATTGAATGCCTTTGATGATTTGCCCCGTTTCTTCTCAATTGCTGCCCCGCTGCCCATTTGACATACATTTGCCTGAGGAGCCTGAGCAAGTGGCCCGGATTCATTGGAAGTCAAGGCCCCCGAGACCTCAACCCCCTCAGGGCTCTCAATAGTGAAGTGGGAAGAAAAAAAAAAGCCTGTGCTTCTTTCGTTTTGGTTTTGGCGTGCCTCTTCCTATTGAGTCCGAGTCCAAGTCTCAGTCCCACTCCCACTCTCAGTGCCCAGTGCCAGTAAGAGTCTTGAACCCCCGTCGCCGACTTTGTTCTTCCTTGTGAACGACAACCCATCACAACATTCAGTAAATAATATCTTCCTCACCCTCCACGCGATCTCTTCGTTTACTTTGACGATCCGATCCCGACTGTAACCTTACACACCCCCAACCTTTTTCTTCACCCACCACAACATCAAACAAGATGGCTACTGAGGTACGTTCACGTCCACGTCTTCACCCATGAAATGAATGACCTTGATCCACGCCGCCCTGCGTCTGCGTCGGCGACCGTCCCCTTTTGTCGGCGATTATCCCTTCCTCCAGGTCCTGATGCTGTCCCCATCCCCAGCCCCAAGACGGCTCGGATCACATCGGCGGGGTCTAGCCTTGCTCATCACGAACTGCTTCTCCTTCTGCCAAACTGATTCAACTGCGTTTTGGTCCGAATGCTAACATCATGTCTTTATCTAGCGCGAAAGGTTTGACCACCCTAGAACCCCCAAAATACGCTCGCATGTGACCTGATTCTGACTTTTCCCCTCAACAGCAAGACTTTCCTCGCCCGTCTCTGCGAGCAGGCTGAGCGTTACGATGAGATGGTCACCTACATGAAGGAGGTCGCCCACCTTGACGGCGAGCTCTCCGTGGACGAGCGCAACCTCCTCTCCGTCGCCTACAAGAACGTCGTCGGTACACGACGTGCTTCTTGGCGCATCATCTCCTCCATTGAGCAAAAGGAGGAGTCCAAGGGTTCCGACAAGCACGTCTCTACCATCCGCGAGTACCGCCAGAAGATCGAGCTCGAGCTCGAGAAGGTTTGCCAGGATGTTCTTGACGTCTTGGACGAGAGCTTGATCCCCAAGGCTATCACTGGCGAGTCCAAGGTCTTCTACCACAAGATGTAAGCCCCCTCTTCCAGATTCATTTATTCCCCCTCGCAATAAAGTCCACAGGTTCCTGGACAGATGACTGACTATTTTCTGCTCTTCAATAGGAAGGGTGACTACCACCGATACCTGGCCGAGTTCGCTTCCGGCGAGAAGCGTAAGGTTGCTGCTACTGCCGCACACGAGGCCTACAAGGTAAGCAGCCCCTAAATAGCCCTAGCAAGTTGTTCGGATCATGCAGTGCTAATCTCGGTCTCCCCCCGTACAGAGCGCAACCGACGTTGCCCAGACTGAGTTGACCCCCACTCACCCCATCCGTCTCGGTCTTGCCTTGAACTTCTCCGTCTTCTACTACGAGATCCTCAACTCGCCCGACCGTGCTTGCCACTTGGCCAAGCAGGCGTTCGATGATGCTATCGCTGAGCTCGACTCCCTGTCCGAGGAGTCGTACCGTGACAGCACTCTGATCATGCAGCTTCTCCGTGACAACTTGACCCTCTGGACCTCGTCCGATAACGCCGAGGGCGAGGCCGCCGCCGCCGACGCTCCCAAGGAGGACAAGCCCGCCGCCGAGGAGGAGAAGAAGGCTGAGGAGGCCCCCGCCGCCGCCCCTGCTGAGTCCTAAGCGATTCGCAAACCTCAAAAACGCCTCCTCCAACCGTCTCTGGCCCGTTGACACATGTGTACGCGGATTATTTTGAGGGCGGACTCGCGTCGATACCCGGGGGAAACGGTTTTGCAGCTTGTGGGATCGGTCATGGATGGTACATTGGAGTTGGCTTTGATGATAGGGCTGGAAGATGCAGGCCATGATTCCCTGGTCGTTTCTTTCGAGGCATGAGTCGGCAGAGGCTGCGCATAGTTCGTCAGTCCTTCTGCTTGGCAATAGCTCTCAGCACGACACAAGGTCTCGTGTTTTCCCTAAGCCTCTGGCTAGTCTGGCAGGCTCTCATGAAAATGGTGGCTCGAGGTTCCTCTCGATGGTCAATATGGATTTTCTTTCCCCTTACAGTGTTTTCCTTGTCATGTTTTGTCTTTGGTCTCACGATCCCCCCGATGTTTGTTTTCATTGACAACCCTCAACCGCGTACGTGGAATGGACATCTTGCTCGATATGGTATTCTCGCGCACATCAGAAGAGACTGACAAGATTAACGATGCCCATTCCCCCACTGGTATGGTATCTGCAGTTGCATCCCAAGTCCGAACATTGAATATGCGATACCTGCATTGCCGTCTTGCAGATCTATTGGCTATGGCCTCCAGTTCCACAGAATAAACAAAAACTCTTCAGTAATCCATATGTCTGCTGCGTTCATGCGTGATTTCGCCATTTCCAGCGTGCTCTTATCTCTATCTTGCCTTGGAGCAGGACCATTAATACTACCGAGACAGAACATTGCACACTGAAAATTGGATATTATTGTGTAACAGAGGATAACATGTTGGTCAATAGCTTTCATACTATCACAGCAGCAACAGACCAGAGCTCATTACTACACTGGCTACCGTGAATAGAGCACCATACAGCCTGGCCCAATTCATAGCACGATAAACCATTGCCTTCATCGTTGAAACTTGCACCCAGTGGTAGATTGCACCATGTCCAGTAAAAGCCATAATATATTTGTGCGTAAGAAAGTGGCATAGCTACATGTTGCTGCTTCCGAAGCTCTGAACCAATTCCTGGAAGGCGATATACTTGTCCCAGCCTGCGGAAGGCGCTCTGCTACTACTAATTACCGGCTTCTGGGACGACAGGAAAATCGTACCAGCCCGAGGAGGGTCTTGCCATGATACCGTTGAGAATTGTATAATGGCATGGCTAGAGGAAATAACGACGTGCAGTCGTGACAAAACAAGTCAGTCAACTTCATACATCGTCAGATTGCTAACCACGCAAATCAAAACAACAGGAGGAAAGTTTGGGCTCGAAAAATAAGAGAAGAGCATTCAATTGCAATGTGCCCTCCACTCGACGACTGTTGTATTTACGGCTGAGACTGGTTTCTGGACTCGGTCACAAAACGTACACTGACACCGGTCGAACACCTCTTGTGCCTTCTTTGTGACCATCGATATCGGCAAATAGGCGTTCTTGCTCTCGTTAACCATACGGACCTTCTGAGAACCGCAAACTGATATATTTCCCATGCTGTCATTCTCATGTCATGCCACTAGGAGCATTTGCTCCATAATAGAGTCAAGGCCCTCAGGTTTTCCATCGTTGGTCACCTGTGATTTCCACTCAAGGACAATAAAGGCTTGCGGCTGCTCTATCTCTCCCGTTCGCACCTTCTATGCACCAGACCGATGAGCCGCCTGCCTCTCATGGCGTAAGCTCGATTTGTTCTTAACATTCTTTCCAGTCAACCCTCGAAAACTTCCAATCTTCCTCTCTACAAAACTCTCTTGGCATCAGTTCAACCACCGTATCCATTGTTTAACACTTTTTGGTGCATAGTATCTCTCTTATTCGCACAACGACACATACCCTCCTTCAAGCCGCACCAACTCAATACGCGTTCTTCACAATGAAGTCTTCCATCAAGCTCTTTGCCGCTACGGCCATTGTATCCTACACCGGCTTGGTTGCTGCCGCCCCGACAAACAACTCAAGTCTAGCGATCCGCGATTACCCTCCTCAGTTCATGGTTTGGAAACTCCAACACAGTATCGACTCAAACGACCGCCGTTATGTTTTCTGGGATACCTGGAACCCAATGCCGTCTTGCGACCAACTCTTAACACATCAGAGCTTCCAAGTGAGCGAGAGCAACGACGTGAGCAAGACGCGTGGAGTCAGAGTGAAAGGCAGTGATTCAACACCCAAAGAGATTGAGTACAATATTGGTTCACCTTACGGCCATAACAGTAAGTTCATTTCTATGTCTATTGAACATAATTCTGCTGATATCATCACATAGCTTACTATCTGGATCGTGAGGGCTCCATTTACGATGTCAACAACAACGATATCGGCCGCTGCACAAGTGCTTGGAACTTCTTTAATTCATCAGATTGTACTGGTAGCGATGGATCGACGAAGTTTTGGGCGGTCCTCCAGTGTGTCCACAGATGAACAATATGGGCGTGAGACACTAAAGTACCTATTCTCTTGAATGATCATAAGGTTCGGTACTTGTCAAGGCCGTTTTCTGTTGATGGTTATGGGTTACCATGGTCCGCTTCATAGCAGAACGAGATAAATTAATACAAGTAGAATTACCATTACATGCTGTGACAACGGTGATTCAAGTTGGCAGCTCGTGCTCATGGTTTCTGGAAGTGCCCCGATCACAATCACTTCCTTAAAGCCTGCGCGTTCATCAACTTCTGTGCTCTTCGTAGCCTTGCAGCTGTATCGTCTACTCTCAGCTTTAGTCTGCCTTTTCCTCTGGCGCTATCGCTCAGTTCACCCATCGAAGATCCTGACGCCTCGTCATCCGCCTCATCTTGGCGGTACACTAAATAAATCCGGATCAGTGACTGCTTCTCAAAGGCGATTTGAAGTTGGTTCGCAAATTGTTGCAAAATGGTCAGAGAGAGATAAACCCCAGTGGCTTCTGACAAACAAAATGTGGCCCAAAGACATGCAGAACAGGTATGTGAGAAAGAACGGTCCTCTAGGCAGGATCTGCTTACTCTGTGTCCCACCATCCTCGGCCACCCTAAGCGGCCTGAACGACTCCCGAGACCCAGCAGCACTGTCGGTCAGGGAGTCCGAGACGGCACCTTTGGCGGCCGAGCGCCGGATAAAGAACCGTCGGAACACGGAATTGCTCTTCTTCTGCTGTTGCTGCTGCTGCTGCCGCCCCCCTGCCCCAGATGCGGATGACGCGCCGGACCCCCCGCGGCTGCGGCTCTGCTCCAGCGTCTCTCCCGGCCGGCTGCACCTCGAGCACGCCGCCGCCGCCGACCTGCTGGTCCGGTGCAGCTCCAGGCGCTCCGAGCAAGCGCAGACCACGTCCGCGGGGTCGACCTCCGAGCGCCAGCGGCTGACGCGCGCGTGCTTGGCGTCCGGCAGCAGGGCCTGGAGAAGTGGGTCCCGGGGTCGCGGCTGAGGTGAATGGTTGTCGTCGTGGTGGTTGTTGTTGTTGATCGACGTGGCTGGTGTTTGTTCTTCTGCTTGTTGTTGTTCCGACATGGCGTTTGGCTGAAAAGAGTTTATTTATTTTTATTTTTAATCTACATCTTACTTCTCTATAGACGACACAAATCGCTGAGAACGAAAAATGATAAAAATAAATAAAAAAGTCGAGTCCGCCGGCGCTGCCTTGCGCAGCGCTCCTTTAGTGGGGAATTTGCGTCGAGGGCGATTTTTTAGGTTCGAGATGTGTGATAAGTGTAGGAGGGGGCTTTGTTTTGACTAGTTTACGACATACGACCGTGCCAAAGTACGGAATGGGCCCTTTATATGTACTTCTGGTGTCTAGGTACTGTATAGCATTGTGTTGAATTGAACCCATGTCGCCAAAAATGAGGGAGGGTGGGCAGAAGGGACCGACCATATCGGGAGCGAAATCATGACGAGAGTGTCGTCACAAACTGCATCATGGGGGTATTAGGTACACTTCCACACATTAAATATGCATTTGCTCTCAGCTCCTCCGACCTGGTATCATTCGTCTCTCATAAAAGTACCTTTCTAGGCTGTTATGTAAATTTCAAAAGTGCAGCTTGCCCTAGACTAACATCAATATTGACGTATGGATTCGAAATCAAGCCTCATCCTCATCTAACATGCCATGCTCTAACTAGGTCGTAATGTCTCCCAGCCGTTCACTGCCCGTGTAGGCTCGTCGTCTCCCAGAAGATCTACCATCACCGGTTTCCTTACTGGTTTCGGGGGTGGAGTTGGATGGGACGTAGGTGATGTGTGCTGTTGCTGCTGTTGTGGCCGTGTGGGCAGCGCCGGCTTCCGTTCCCCTAGTCCGGGCAGGCTCACTCCGCCACTGGGTGTTTGTGACCTCCCTCCTTGTCCGGAATTGGGTGGAAAAGTGCCGACCCGCTTTGGGTGCGTGACTGGGGGTGAAGGCTTATGCATTCCTCCCGTTAGCTTTGCGGAACCATTCTGCTCAAGTTTTGAGGTTAAGCTTTGAATATTAGTCGAAGCTCGTCTTGGTAGACCTGGCCGGAAACTGGAGTCTTCAAATTGACTATCGCCGTGGAGGGAAGGACTCGTAAGAGGTGATGTAGAGACTAGATGTGCTGGCTTCTTCGCCACAGGTGGTGGCGCTTTCGATTTGCTGGATGTACCTGATGCCTGTGATGTCACTGACAGGCGCCTGGCCTCTAGCGGAGGCGGCACCGGCTTCCGAGCATTTACTGGGATAGCCCTCGGTGTCGTTTGCGCTGTAGGCGTTCCGGTTTGGCGGCGGGGAGGTGGAGGTGGAGGTGCTTCTTCTCTTCGGAAAGACTGACCAGCAATCGGCTCATCCATCAAATTGATCCGGCCGACCTTAGCAGGTAAGTTTCCGGGCTCAAATGGTGGTGGCAGCTTCCTAGGCGTAGTACTGGATGCAGACGTAGAGAGGAGAGTAGAGTGGTTGATATGTTCGTAGGGCGAGCTAGACATGCTCGAGAATGATCCCAATCTGGAACTTGCTCGTGGCACAGCGACCCAGTCTGGCTCGTCTGTCGGGGTGAAGGGATTGGCGGGTCGATTCGGATTAAGTATGACAGTTGAGTTGCCGTTGGCGGGTTTTGGTGGTGATACGCCCGATTTAGCCATCTTTCCGTGCTCAAGCCACCATCGTTGACGATCTGAGCTAGCAGGAGGCAAGCCTGGCTCGATCGCATCATACCCAATCAAGTCCTCTTCATCGGAGTCGTCTAGATCTAAAGCCGCACCGCCCTCACCAAGTTCCGCTTTGCGGCGCTCGTAAAGCTCATGACTAATGTTTTCACGCAAGGCCTCATCAATAATACTGATGATACACTGAAACGTCGCATAGACGGGGCGATGATCGGAGAATTTTAATGGGGCGGAATCGTAGGACAGTTGTCTTATGTTGGTGCCTTTCCGTAATATTCGATCTGTCCAAGCAGGAATACGTGCTTTCTCGGAGGTGTCATACCTGTCGGTACCAATGTCGAACTTGTATGTAGGCATGAACGTAATCCTAGCTTCAGAATAGAATGGGAAAGCAAGACCAGCGACCATTTGAAGATTGAGCTGTGCCCTATTAGCAAAGTCAATTTGTTGAGGAGGAGTGATCTAACCTGATCGTTCTCGTAGAGCTTTCCAAGATCTTTCTTTTGCACGAGATCCGTCGCTCTTTCATGGCTCAGTCCTATCCGATAGTTGAAATCGCCCATCCAAATAACAGTATCTAATCATGTCAGCATGACGAATCTTACACATACATAGACTCGACGTACCATGATCGTCGATACCCCTATTTCGCTGGAAGCGGAGGCCATGATGGATGGTAGCGTAATCCTTATTTCTTTCCTCATAGTTTGCGAAACCTGCTGCCAAATGTGCCGTAACAAAACACAGCTGAGTGTTTGCGTACTCCATACGAATCGCCACGGCGCCTTTGTTTCCAGCGATGCCGGACATTCCCGTTTTCTTGACACTGCCTTCAACATTCTTGATTTTCGGCAATACGGAGGATTTGACAAAGATGCACAACGCCGCACCCACAAGCTGACCACTTCGAAGGAGGACGTACTTGTCGCCACCTATCTGTTTGGAGCGCTCATTGAGACACCGTTTGATAGCTCGCTCCCACTCTTGCTTTCGTGTTGGGTCACTGTTCATGATCTGTTGGGCGCTCAACTCGACAATCTCTTGAAAGCCAACTGCAACTATCTCAGGTTGTGTCGCCCTACCAAGGATGGCTGGGTACAACCAAGGAGATAAGTCCTCGTTGATACCACTAGTTTTGCCGTTGAGATTGAACGTACCAACCCACCTTAACTTTCATTAGTTTGGGCTGATCAGGTGCAGGCTGTTGGTTTTACTCACATGTTGATAGTTTCGGTTGAGGAATATTCAACATTTCGTTTTGACAGCTCGCTAGAAATATAATCGGTTATGGGATCGAACAGATGTACAGGAGATTGCCCCACCAATCTTCCTAAGAGCAGATCAATCGTATTTTGCCTCGCCTTGTCAGCGAAGTTGTTTATGTATAATCTGGTAGCACTTTTTCGGGCATCTGCAAAAGCTCCTGCCAGAGACATCTTCCCATGCCTTGTAAAGGATGACTTGAGCGCACCAGTTCCGGCATAAATTCTGGACAGTGCATCGCCGTTATCTGCCCATAGAGTCGAGTGTCTCATCCAGAAATCGGATGCTGCGTATTCAGCACGATGCGTCAAAAAAGCTTCAACTGCCAGTTGCGAAATGATCGACTGGATAAGGTTCGTTCTATCCAAACAATCTAGACAGTTTGTCCGGAAGACTCCTTCTTGCTGGAGAACTACAACCATTCGACTGCCCGGTCTGTGTTCTAGTGTCGTGTCTGTAGAATCGTCCACGGCTTCGGCCAGGTAATAAGCGAACCCATCAGCAGAGTGTTCAATGTATCTCTTGATATCCTTTGCTGCTTCATATCCAAGACTCTTCGTTTCTGCGTGGAAGTCGTAATCGGTTTCACGCAATAGGGCATGATCTTGCAACCGCTTCTCGCCCTGGCCCACAAGGGAGCAGTGCTGGACACCGTAGTGATACTGTTGCGTAAGTTCCACTTCGCCCGGCTTAGTGGCGCTCAATAGGTTGACAATATGCACAGCACCATAAGAATGCTCCAACTCCTCGAAATGCTTATTGAAAGCTGGTTGTGTACCGTCTGCGGACCGTGTGACAGTAATCTTCTGCTGCCCTGGAATGAGACCGGCAGATTGCTCCCAGAAAACTGGAACAGACCCACGGACTTGAGCATACGAGAAGAGGACGCCAGATGGACTCCAGTAAATCGTCTCGGTTTCCACGAAATTGGCTACGTTACCATCGTCGTCAATGCCGCGGCTGTTGAACCGGGTGCCGGCTCTTCTACAAGATAGGCGTGATATCACTGTAAGAAGTGACGGTAGGCCGGATCTCGCAGCTCTCATTGGTGCCGCTGCTTGGGGTATGTTCAGCGTCGAACAAAACCCACGAATCGCCGAGGTCAAGAACCGTGATGCGTCAAGAGACTCTCTCTCGTGCACCAATAGACGAGATCTGAACTGGACCAAGGGACTAATCATGAAGGAGTTCCAAAGAAAGGAGTCGTCAAAGTTGTCAATATCGAAGGTATCCGAGTCGACAGGCCTATATGACGGTCAGATACGTGCTGAAACTATCTATGTCTAGTCTAGTCGCTTGGAAAGGAATCGACAAACCTGTCTTGGAGACGATTCGTCAAGTCGAAATCAGTGCTGAAGTAGAAACTCCCATTGCTTAACAGCTTTTGCAGCTCATGGTATGGATATTCTATTTCGCCTTCTCTCCGGTTCAACGTTTGGCCATACGTCGAGGCAGAGTCAGAGTAGTCATCCCAAGGATTTGCAGAATAGACGTTGTCGTACTCGGGGCTGTTCAAGCAGAAGAAATCAACATTTGCGATTCGCTCAACAGTCTCTCCCGGGCGGACTGAGGCCACCCGGGTCGCTTGGGTAATGACGGAAATGAAGACATCTTGGTTGATGGATATGAGACCCAAAGTTCCGTATATTGGTCGAGGAGTCAGGGACCGAAAGTCTTTCAGTAGGTCGTCGGTTACATGGGTGAACTCTACCATGCATTTGGAGACCAGATTCTCGTCTCCATTTCGTGCTCGCGCCGGCGGGAGGGAAGTAAGAGACCCATCTGCGACTGGGTCATTCGCGGTAGGGCTGTAGCGGAATATAAGGGCATGCGAAGAAGAAGCAATGGCGATGGCTCGGTGAGGATATTCGCGGATCAGGAGCCGGCTCGTTTTCTCTGTTCCAGCTCCGACGGGCTGGTCGCGATCAGCCGCGCGAGGGTATTCGTCCATGCTGGTCTACAGCGCTATGAGCATTTCGTCGTTTACAGGGCATGCTCAAGCTTCCGGCCGTTTTGTGTTGCCTCGTAAAACAAAACACATTTCTCTTGCTTCCAACGAAACGAAACGTAGCCCGTAAGCGCCAACTCGTCTACAAGTGAAGTTAGAGGTCCCAACGTCACTAGTGGGGCCCCCCGGGGCGCCAACATGCGGCTGAAGTGTGCTGCAGGTCGCAAACGGCCCCTGTAAATGTAAATACTGCGCTAACGTTAGTGGGTCGACATGTAACTTATGAACCTCACTGGCAGAACAACACCGAAGCAACTTAGCAAGCATGACAAACGGATAGCGATTCACACACAAGAGCTGGCAAGATTATTATCATGTTCAACTTGAATGTCTAATTTTCTATTGTGTCGGCTGCAGTTTTCCCCTCAGGAGACCACGTACACATTACTCATTGGTAGTCAGTCTGTGGGCAACTATTACTCTCTCTCTCTCTCTCTTCGTCTGTGTTCAGAGCCCCCTCTCAAGGTGTTCCGCAATACACAGACGTCTATCAACGACGGCAATGATCATCGACAGTATAACAGGCTTCAGATAGGTGTCAGTTGAACTCATTTGAGCGATCAAACTCTCGTTCTCTTCCTATATGTATCTGCGAGCGAATTGGAAGTTCGCTGCAGTGATCATCATAAGCCAACTGTGAGATTCGCAGTTTTGTTGTGGTATGGGCAGTCCAGATGGAAAATCCTCACTTGAGGTTGATTCTAAGGGGGCTAAATAGCCATGAGTGGCATGGCCATGAGGGAGTTAAACATATCAAGACAAGCAGAGGCGCATGTCACGTTGTCGTCGTTGATGGTCGTGGTCCGATCCGATTCAGTGACCTATCACAACCTTTGCCCACGACCATGGACCTCAGTATTGTGAGGTGTAGTAGAGCACGGGTGATAGGGCGCAGAGAGCAAAGCCAAGGCACCAAGATACGAACGTAGTCCGTCAGACCACGATCGCATCATTTGTGTTCTCCCGTCTGAGACGTAAGGGAACCCGAGTCGACTCAGAAAGTTGAGTAGTTAGGTGGAAGAGTTTGTCAAGGCCATGAGAGTCCACATGCAGAAATTTGAAGTGTAGTGGGAAATAGAGCATGGGCCACTAGACTAAATCCGATATGGCTACTGTGGAGACAGACACGTGATAGCAAGCAGACGTCCTCCAGAATTGGCCAATGCGGGCTGCACTTGACTTGCACTGGCGCTGGAAAGCAATCGATAATAAGCCAGGCCGAGCTTTCTCATCCGATCTGCTCAAGATCCTCCGAGACTTGGCAAATTGAAATTCAGTCGCGCCGCTTGACCAGCCTTTCAACTGAATTGCGAGAATCACCGCAACCTCAAGCCCGCTGTTACCGTCATCTTTCCGCGTCCGCCACCGATTACATTCACTTATCGGCCACCATATCAAAAAACTTCTGCATCCGCGCACTCCTCCAGCTCCCCAGCACTTCTCCTCCCCAGCCTCGTCGTACCGCAACCCTCGACAATATCACCACCGTCATCCATCCCAATATCCAGCGCTTCTTGTTATCTATTCGCCCCCAGAGAACCTCGGACATCATGGCGGACTTCTCCCACTACGGCGCCGACGACGATAACGTCGAAATCAAGTCGCTGGCTGCCGAAGTTGTACGTATTACTGAGAAATCTCCCCCACGAGGCTGTGAGCTTGCAGTAGCGCTCCGGCCAAATTTTTATCCCCAACACAATCTAATTGCTTGCTCACAGGAAGCCGATACCGATAGTTTCGAGGCATGGGAAAAGCTCATTCGTGCTTGTGAGGCTCAGGAAGGAGGACTGAACCGAAACTCCAGCCCTCAGGCTCTTTCCACCCTACGCGATGCCTACGACAGATTCCTCCTCAAGTTTCCTCTGCTATTTGGCTACTGGAAGAAGTATGCCGATCTCGAGTTCAACATCTCCGGCCCCGAGTCGGCCGAAATGGTATGGCCCCTTTTCGCCGACCCCTGAGCAAGAAACCCAGCTGACCGAGCACAGATCTATGAGCGCGGTTGCGCCAGCATCACAAACTGTGTGGATCTGTGGGCATCTTATTGTTCGTTCAAAATGGAAACAACCCACAATCCGCTCTTGGTGAGAGAGTAAGTAGAGACGGAGGCTTTCCTTCCCCTTTAACCAGAACACCGAACAGTTTCACGCACGAGACAAGACACCTTATGGCCGTTGACCTTCATGGTTCATTTCTGAACGGGACATCACAAGGTCTTTGACGGTGAGAAACGCCAACAGAATATTTCCAATGTTGGGGCCTTTCTCACAAGACATTATCAGGCTCTGGTTTCCTTCAGTCATCTAAATGACATGCCGCCTTTGACGTCGCACTCTTCTTGGTCCACTTAGACACGTTCGGCTTGTTTTGGATTTGGCATCGCTGCTTACACAGACTGCCCCTTCCTGTATTTACGCTCCTTCCCCGACTCCTCCACACTCTTCCCGTACCCCTTACATGTGAAATACTAACTTCTGTCTAGGCTCTTTGAGCGCGCGGCAACATCCGTTGGTCTCGACTTCCTCGCCCACCCCTTTTGGGATAAGTACATCGAGTATGAAGAGAGACAGGAAGCTCATGACAAGATCTTCGCTATCCTGCAGCGAGTGATTCACATTCCCATGCACCAGTATGCTCGCTACTTCGAGCGTTTTCGACAACTTGCTCACAATCGACCCCTTGTTGAGCTGGTGCCATCAGATACTCTGGCACGTTTCCGCACTGAAGTCGAAGCTGAAAACGCAGCATATGGTGGAATGGCCAAGGCTGAACTCGAGTCGGAGCGGGACATTCGCGCCAAGATCGATACTCTGTATTACGAGACTTTCCGTCAGACCCAGGAGGAGACCACGAAGCGCTGGACCTACGAGTCTGGGATTAAGCGACCATACTTTCATGTTACGGAGCTTGAAAACGAGCAGATGGCCAACTGGCGCAAGTACCTTGACTTTGAGGAAGCTGAGGGTGACTTCGCTAGGATCACATTTCTCTACGAACGATGCATTGTCACGTGTGCGCTCTACGACGAATTCTGGTTTCGATATGCGCAGTGGATGTCTTCCCAGCCTGGAAAGGACGCCGAGGTACGCCATATCTACATGCGTGCTGCTGCGCTCTTTGTGCCGATTAGCAGACCCGGCATTAGACTTCAGTTCGCGTATTTTGAGGAATCGCAAGGTCGTGCGGATGTTGCACGAGACATCCACGAGTCCATCTTGATGCAACTCCCTGATTGTGTAGAGGCTATTGTCTCATGGGCCAACCTGCAGAGGCGTCAAAGCGGCCTCGATGCCGCTATCGAGGTCTACAAGACACAAATCGATGCTCCTCAAGTTGACATTTTCACAAAAGCTGTTCTTGTTACGCAATGGGCCTATCTTCTTTGGAAGATCAAGGGGTCTGTGGATGAAGCCAGAACAGTATTTGCCAAGAATGTACAATGGTATGCTGACAGCCGGCATTTTTGGCAAAAGTGGGTTGAATTCGAGTTGGAGCAGCCTACCAACGCGGATCTTGAAATCCAACACAGCGAGCGAATGAAGCGGATCTTCGATGACTTGCGTGTAAAGAGCCGCATCTCCTCTGCTGCAAAGAAGAGTCTATACTTGACATACTTGACTTACCTTCAGGAAAGAGGTGGTAAGGATGCTATGAAGCAGTTCTTGACTGTACACAGGGAAATATATGGGTAAGCAATTAACTCGTAACAGCACTGCTTGACTATGCAGCTTACTAACAAGTTCACAGTCCTTCTTCGACCTCTATACTAAGCAAGCCAACTCTCAAGGAGAATGGCACGATGCGGGCACCTCTGGACGATGCTGCTCGACAGAGGGCCGAGACCACTTACCCAAGTTACTATGAGTTTATCGCCGAGCCAGACGAGACGGCCCAAGGCACCGCATCATTCAACTAAGGCGGCTGTGTCCTCGAACGACTCTGATCAACGAGTTTCGAATGTGGCTCTTCTTGAAATTGGCACTGCATCCACATGTGTATAGAGCGAGTCAATCTCGCAATCTTTCTGCTTCCCCTATGGGTCTGGAATTCTTAAGGTGGGGTCAAAAATGTATTCTAGCCCGGTAAGAGACGTCACTGGGACTGGAGTTAAAGGCGTGTAGTATATGGGCCGATGAGGACTGAAGTTGCACACGTATAACCATTTACTTGAGCATTTGGAGCTAATGTAAACGAAGCTCAATGTGCACATCGTATAGCTTAATAGTAGCTTATTTCAACACAAGATGCCACATCAAAACAGCAATACGGACGTTATCATCAAATAAGCCGTCGGGGCTGATAGTGTCACACTTGTCATTTGTGCATGTCATTGTAGAGAATCATCATGACTCGGGTGAGATCAGATCGCAGCAGACCGCGTAACATTTCTGCGTTTGAAACTGGTGGGGCCACTTCGTTTTAGCGTGAGCGTGCGCGCGGAAGAGCACGAGATTCCGATGGCGGCTCGGAACCTGGCGGAGACTCGATGCTTGGCTTGGATCTTGGGGGGGGGGGGCTCACTTTAGAATCTTTCCCCTGACTTGCCTGATGCTAAATCCATTTGCGCCCTTCCTTTCAAAATTGAAGGTGGCAACGTACAGTAGGATCAGACATTTTGGCTGTATAACAAGAATCACTCACATTGATAAACCATCATATTTTATTAACATTAGCAACAAATTCAAAAGCTCGGTGCAATGCCTAAAACAATTTCAAATCTGCTGCAATGAGGCTGACAATTCCGTTATTTCGCCTTGGTCTGTCGTGCTGGACATTCCAGTTCTAGTGCTTGGAATAGCAACCGAAAGACGGGTCAAATCTCGACCAACAGACGTGCGGCAATGGGGACCCCCCGATATGTTGATGTGGAATCATTGAGTCGGGTCAAGCCTCCGTGGAGCACACTGGAGTCTGGAGTTGCTGGAGCAAACTGGTGGATATCTCCTCTGTGGAGCGATTTTCGCCGCTTTTCTCTCAAAGATTCCCAATCGTTCACCTTGCGTCTGTAAGCAACAGCGGGTCTGACTAGGGGGTCTCAGGTCCCTGGATTGTCGTTAGCCAATCACGACCATCATATAATAAGTATTTCCCGTGAAGCCATGATAAGCCACGACTTTGTCCCTCTTGTTTCCCAGAAACATCCCTCATCTGCTTGGCTTGTAGAACACCATAGTCTCTTGGTGACATATTCTGATACCCTTCTTTGTCACTCATTCCAAAGGTATGCACAATTTCGCCCCTGTTTCGCCTCCTATAACACCGGCTATAGTCACCACATTGCTCCCACGTACGCTTTTGTCGCAAGATCCGAAGTTGACTCACTCTCCTACAGATGTCTGCCTCCACCATTTCCAGGCAATTTGCCCGCGCAGCTCTGCGCACCGGTGCCCGAAACACCTTTGCGACTTCGTCTCGCCAGGCTTTCCGTCAGAGCGGCCGCCGCTTCTACTCGTCAGAGCCTTCCAAGCAGTCCGGCTCGTCGGCGCTCATTTACATCGCTGGTGCCGCGGTCGCTGGAGGTGCTGGTTTCTATATTTACAACGCACAGAGCGGCTCAGCCACACCGAAAGTCTTCACCCCGACACAACAGGACTACCAAAAGGTGTACGACGAAGTTGCTGGCCGACTTGAGGAGAAGGACGACTACGATGATGGCAGTTACGGTCCCGTCCTCGTCCGTCTGGCATGGCACGCCTCCGGTACCTACGACAAGGAGACCAAGACTGGTGGTAGCAACGGTGCCACTATGAGATTCGCCCCCGAGGGCGACCACGGTGCCAACGCTGGTCTGAAGCACGCTCGAGACTTCCTTGAGCCTGTCAAGGAGAAGTTCCCCTGGATCACATACTCCGATTTATGGACTCTCGCCGGTGTCGCCGCCATCCAGGAGATGCAGGGTCCGGTCATCCCATGGAGGCCTGGCCGTGCTGATGGAGACGTCGCTGCTTGCACTCCTGACGGCCGTCTGCCCGATGCTTCCAAGGGCAGCAGCCATCTCCGTGACATTTTCTACCGCATGGGATTCAATGATCAGGAGATCGTTGCCCTTTCCGGTGCCCACGCTCTTGGCCGGTGCCACACAGACCGATCAGGTTTTGAGGGCCCCTGGACCTTCTCTCCCACCGTCTTGACCAACGACTACTTCACCCTTCTCCTGAGCGAGAAGTGGACCGTCCGCAAGTGGGACGGACCCAAACAGTTCCAGGACAAGGGCAAGACCTTGATGATGCTGCCCGCCGACGTTGCCCTTACTCAGGACAAGGCTTTGTTGCCCTACGTCAAGAAGTACGCCTCTGACAATGATGCCTTCTTCAAGGACTTCAGCGCCGTTATTGTCAAGCTCTTCGAACTCGGAGTTCCTGAAGAGCAATTTAAGGCCGAGCCGATCAGCTTCAAGTCCTCCCACGCATAAATTGCACGCACCTGGTGACAGGGCACAAATTCTGGAAAGCAAAGCAGAGAAGAGGAGAAAAGAGAGAAGAGATACCCCTTTAGAGATAGAAGGTCACAGAAGAAAGCGTGGCCATAGACCGTTGTCTAGACACCAGATGTTACACATCGCTACGCGAATAAGACTATAGAGAAGGTAGCTGCCCATATCAGACCCAATATGGATTTTCATGACAACATCATGAAATCGAGATCGTGTGTTTATGAAAGGGCTCAGGATTGAACCCCCAAAGTTCATCGAGTTGTTTGATGGCGTTTGTAAATCAAGATCGCATTTGACACTTACATAGTATGCCAGCTGTGATCATTAGTCAATTGTCACGACCCCAAGCCACCACAACAGGGCCCTGATCAACTTTAAATACTTCATACCGTTTTTCCCCGCACAACTGCTGCAATGAAACGATTGGTGCAGATCGCTTGAGGTTTAATCACACTCCCTTCTCTTGCCAATAATCTGCCGAAGGCCGCTTCCCTGGTCTGGGGGTTGTATTTCATGAGGCTCCCCCGCAGTCAGTCTAGGCTAGACTAGCATTGATTCCATCTATTTTGGGGTCTAATTATTGAAAATTGAATCCCTTGATTCTCATGTTGGACATGCTTGCGTTTTCTCTGAATCAAGTTGGAACACCAGGCACAGCTGTACAATCCTTATTCCTTCCACCTCGATAGAGAATTTCTTTTGGCCACAAGCAGTAATATAGCAGCATTGCTTGTAAAGTAATACATCTGACATCAATTCACGTGCCCTGCTGCGTAATTCGGGGCATTGTCAGACTGCATCACATTCGTATATATTTTCAAGATGGTTGTTTCTCCAGATTGTGGTAGTTGCAGTTGATGCAGCTAGACTAGCTTCAGGCTTTTGAGTCGTACCAGCTGTTACGCAAAGAAAGTATCCAACACTTAAGTGCAACTACAACCTTGAGATGCGAACCTAGAGGAAGCTGCATTCTTCACTTTGCGTCTGGATTGACGTCTCAAAATCATTTCCCAAAATTTTCATCGTCACCCATAATATTTGTTGTCAGCAATTCAGAGCAGCAGCAGCAAACACAAACCATCCATCATTTTCGGTGCCCATGTGTTTCACTCAGCTGCTAAGCTCTAAAGACACCCAGAATTTGGCAAAGATGCCGCGGCGACCACTAAATGGGCGTGCCTTGGCTCTCGCGGCTACGGCAAAGGAGACGCAAGATGCCCTTCCGAGTCTTGTCACGCAACTGCCACATCTTGAGCTCTCACAGTCCAAGAAGGTCAATCTGGAGGACCTCACTCCTCCCGATCCCGCCACTTGTCCCAGATACCACCTTCTGAGCAATCTCAACATGCCAGGCACACATATCAAGGTCCTTAACGCCGATACTCTTGAGGCAGCTATGCAGATGCGCCTGGGAGCTACCTCAGCCAACCCTGATAACAAGAACAGTACCCAGGCTACACACCCCAAAAACATGCGCGTCGCCGTCTTGAATCTGGCATCCGACAAAAACCCCGGTGGTGGCTGGCTCAGAGGTTCCGCAGCGCAGGAAGAGGCGCTCTGCTACCGAAGCTCGCTCAGTTTGTCTCTACAGAGGGGATACTACCCCTTCATGCCCTTCGACGGCGTTTATACCGGCGACGTCGTCATCGTTCGCTCTTCAATGGCAGAGGGACACGAGCTTCTCGTCCCCGGTGTTCCTGCCGCTGGGCTACCCGTGGTCAGCGTCATCAGTGTCGCGGGGATCCGCCACCCGATGATTTCCACAGATAAGCAAGCCTTCGCCGTGAAGAAGGATCGGAATTTGACCAAGGACAAGATGAGACTGGTACTCAGAATTGCGGCACACGAGCGCCATGAAATGTTGGTCCTGGGGGCAATCGGCTGTGGTGCGTTTAGGAACCCACCACGGGATGTGGCCAAGTGTTGGCTGGAGGTCCTGCAGGAGGATGAGTTCAAGGGCGGCTGGTGGAGAGATATCTGGTTCGCAATCTTTGATGTGAAGAACGAAGGTAACTTCCAGGTGTTTGAAGAGATCTTGGGCGGTCAGATCGTGTAGGTGGCCCCTTGGGGATGTTACTTGCAACAGCAGTCTTTGATCCTCGCCGTGTTTTGACTGCAATATATCATGGTGCGTGATCCTCCAAGAATCTCGGTGGGCGTACCTAGTATCAAAGCTATCGTCAAATACACCCTCCATTCACCCAGTAGCATTTAGCATGCTTTGTTTCTTCATTTTTATTGTTTAACGGCGAGACGAAAGCTGCAAAGCAGCCGATGCAACCTCTCTACATCATAAACGCGATACCAATTTTTTTGGCCTCAAGAGCTTGCCGCTCCAAAGCCCGTGGTCAGTACATCTCGATCCTCTATGCCTGAGGCGTACGCCGTTCATGTTACCATATCGTATCAGTGAAGCTCGCATATATTGAGACATTGGTCCAAGTGTTGATTAAAATTTATATAACCCCAAACCCCAAATTTTTGTTTCTTTACGTATAAATAAGTGTGTAAGTTTGTAGGGTGGGATAATAACTACTACACGTCCGAACTATGGGTCACGGCACCGAAGGCAAACACAGCTAATATGTGAGCCCAGAGATGGTTAAACAGCTTCTGGGCGACTTGTGGAATCGAGTGATATAGTATGGTGTGGGATAGTTGTTTCTCCGTGCTTGATTGGTTAAAGTGAGTGGAACAAAATAGCCTTTAACCGATATTCACTCATTTCGAGTGTGCAACCGGGAACATCTGTCCCACTCTTATCACCAATCCGATCAGCTATAAGAACCTCATCAAGAAGGGTTATACACATATTTTCTATGCTTGTCACCCGGATCTTCAGTGGGTTCTACACGACCACGAGCGCGAATACGGTCCCGCTACATCTTCTGCAAACTATTCTTCCACCATGTAATGCGCCAAGTCCTCGTCAGTCCTTGAGTTAGAACGTGTCTCAAACCCACAGTCTCGTAAGTCAGAGGTGATCGAAGGTTGATCGTGCTAGAAACGCTCCGTAGGTTGGGGCAGCAGTAACACGGATTAATCATTGGTTAGATCGCTTGATGCATTTTGCTGTAGCCTCAAGTGCCTCAGGTAGCTTCTATAAAACTCCGTTGTCACTCTCGTCCTTGCGCTGCTTTTGCTTTTGCTTCCGACCCGTGGCAAGACTGTGCTGGCTGAGATCAACATGTGCAGCTATATTCAGCGTACAATTGGCGTCCTTGAATTCATGAAAGCACGGAGTACCGGGGTCGGGTCGAGGGATCTTCACAGGCTCTTAAGATCTCGTTGTAAGATTACTCTCAAGGGAATCGTGATACTGTAGCCGCAAAGAATGTTCATGGATGTACACGCCGAAATGGTATTATTGACAAAATGTGTGTTTGTCGGCGTTACTGTGGAGAGAATGCAAGGGTTGTGGCACGACTGCATGACATGTAGTCGTGCAACTAGAAGTTTGTATGCAAGGTCTGTGATCCTCGCTGCTGTGCAGCGATATGATAGACAGCCTTCGACTGGTTCAGGGTTGATATGAACAGGTTCCGACCCCACTCACCGTAGACTGACTTAAATTTTTTAAATTTTTTTTTACAAATATCGCCAGCAGCGGAACCCAATGTAACGTGGGGTCATTTCGAAGAAACAGCCAGTTGTGGTTGACAGCAAGAATTTGAAACAAAACGAACTCTAGTAACGATGGCATGTGAGTGGTATGGTAACTTTCTGCCCGAAATTGGGCATTTTGTATGTGTTTCAGGCTACATTATTGCTTTTATGAAGACATGATCTAAGATATGTTGTACAGGCCATGACGTCTCTGAAGTTGTGTGATTCGTGTATACATGGTGGCCAGCAAGAATGTCTACCGTGATTAGTGGGAAAGAATAGGCAAGTACCTGATAAGCAGATGCTATTGAGCTATTCAATAAGGGGCAAAAATAAACGCCATTGTCGATCATGAGACCATAGTTGGATTTTTGAAGTGAGCTAGGCATAAGGTTGCAACGCTGCATGTAGCCTAAGGATGAATGTGTTATAAAGAAGAAAGTCGTCGAATGGTTGGTAAGGTATCGGATTTATATACTCACAATAGTAGCTGCTACCTACGCGCACAAAGTCTCAGGAGAATGGTTCGCTGATTGATGAACGAAACTCGAGATATTTTGCGTTGCTAGAGCTCTTGTTTACCGTGTGCTGGAAGTGAACAATGTTTATAGATGATGGCGTCATTGAGGTGCCGCTGTTTTGAGTTCATCTCGATCGTGGAAGAAGCAGTGTGAGAGCAGGACATGAAGGAATAACGCGTGGGAGAAAGAGCTAAGAAATCACAGGGTTTACCAAAAACAATGGGGTCAGCTTTTGGGGTCGATGCAGGAGACCGCCTGGCATGAATGGCCCCCAGACGGCAGGATGGTCGGCCTTCGTGTGACACGATTGTCATTCGTCTGATTTGGTCTTATAGCGGTGAATGCTGTACGGCTCGGTGGTCAAGGCTGTGCGGTTCGGTGCAACAAGCAGTGAAGTGGCGTGCCGGATAAGGCTGACAAACATTGAGGACTTCACTCCGTTGGATTAAAAACACCAGAATTGTTCAAGGTTAAGGTTGCGGCAACGAAAACGTTTCGAACTGTTGTGAAAGTTCTAAGCGAGGCAGGGTGCATACCGCCCTTGCGCTTCATATGCGCTCCAGCTATGGAGTAATGCTTGGGCGTGAACGTAGTGTCTAGCTGGAGGAAGTATGCGCCCGCAATAGAGATTGGCAATGAGTAAGCGAAATACGAGTTGCGGTAGTAGTGGTATTCTTCAATGCTCTAATGTCCCGAAACTATCAGGCCAAAACGCCTGCTGTGAGATGCTCCAAGCATAATTCTCAATAAGATACAACCCCCAAGAAAAAGAATTCCAATTAGACCTGCGGGGATCTCTTCAGAGATTGTCCCCAATAAACTCCACCTTGCAAACCAGGATAGTGTGTACCAATTGCTCTATAGACTCCAAGTCCAGCTGAGGAGGATATTGCCTTCAATGATGTGACAATGCTCAACATTCCTCTCAACAGAGAGGGATTGATATTCCCAATATCAACCGTGGTATCATCCAGCCCGAAACCAACCTTCATGTTTGAACGCCTCTATCCGTGTTGCTCGTGTGTCGATACTCGTAACAAATTAGACGGAGAATAGTACAATTTCTCCCCGGTCATTACGTCGCATCCGCAGCGATCGCCATAGTTCCTTCTCCTCCATGACCTTGCCGAGACTGGACTCGGCATGATCCCGCTCGCGGTGGAAGCGCTTTAAAGCTTTGTTCATGCTATAGCCGCGCTCGCTTTCCGGGCCCTTGGTGCACATGCCAAGGAACAGCTCGGACCGGGGCTTGTACACAACCAGTGCGCCATCAGTCTCCTTGCCATCAGCTGTCTGAGGTCGGTACTCGATTAACTTGGGTGCCTTTTCGCCATCTGACTTGTGGTGACGCTTCTTCTTTTCTTTTCGCTCCGAGGAGTGCTTTCGTTTTTTGGATACTTTGGTTGTTGTCTTCGATGTGCCTGACATCAACGCCTTCAAGTTGCTACCGAAGCTCTCTGTTCTGCTGGGCTTGCTCGATTTGTGATGTTTGGACTTCTTGATCGGGCTGGAAGGAGATTTCTCACCGCCATCACCACCTGAGTAATCGGGCGAAGGTGGAAACTGCGATTGTCGCATGAGCCCCTTGAGCCCTCCAGTAAGGCCAGAGTGCAGCTCCGGGGGTGGCGCATCCGTCATCTCGGCATCGCCAGGTCCGTTGTCAATAGCCAAGGGGCTGTTGGTCTCAATGTGTAGTCGCTTGCGCTTTCGATCTTTCTTGTCGCCATCCTTGGTCTTCTTGCTGGTTTTCGGTGCTGGTGTCTGGTATTGAGAAGGGATAGGACCTGCACCATATTGTACCATATCCTCATCGTCAACCATGTAGCCCTCAGGGTCGACATATGATGTCTCTTCCTTCTCATAGCGTACGAGTTGTGTCTCCTCAGCGCTGGCCGGCAAGTTGAGGTTGGAGGCAGTTGGGGTAGCTGCAACAAGGAAGTCGAACACATTTACACTGTTGTCGACAGCAGGCGGCGGCGTAGGTGCCTCTGGTGGGAAATCGGCCGCCGACCTGTTGTCGTCGGAATCATGGACTTCATAGTCGCGGTAAGCCTCATACTCCTCTGTGACATCTTCAACGTATGCGCGCTGTGCCATCTTTGGTACCGGTCCTGGTGCTGCCACGGGTTCGGGATGACTGGACTTCTGTTTCTTAGGTTTGTACAAAGCTCCCTGGTACTTTTGTTCCTCGGTCATACAAGTCTTGAAATATGTTAGCAAATCAACTGCAGTTGAACCAAAGCTGCACGCGGACGCTTACTGTGTGAGATCGGTAGTCAGTCCCGTAAAAATAGGTCATGCAGTCAATACACGTGAAAGTTGCGCCGTGACAACGATTCCTGTGTGGGTCGAGTTTCTTCTTGGTCAGGACATCACCACAGTTCTGTGGATACCCAAATAATTGTTAGATATGATCGAGTGTAAGAGGTGTATGAACAACAGCAATAGGTAGGAAGATATGCAAAAGAGTGGAGGAAGATATGTATGTTGTCAACAATTAGGACTGGGTGACAAAGGGGGGTGTAGTGCGTACTGTATCATCTGGTTGGAGGGGCAGAGGGGTGAAACACATCAGGGGACGAGACGACAGCAGTCTATTAAAAGGGAAACACAGCTGGGCAATGTGGAGGACGGGGAACGGGGGACGAGTGACGGGATATGATGACGATCAATGCCCAAGATAGCGGACAGCGAGGAATGAGAGACGGGAATGGAGGGGTGGCGTAACGCGCAACGTCGTGTGTTGCTTAAAGCAGGTGATGGGTATTTGGCAGATTGGGTGTTGGGTAGGGGATAGAGTGATGTCAGGCATAAACAGTATGTATGCACTGGGAAACTAATGGAGGGGGATAATTACCTCACACGAAAATGAAACCATGATTCTGAATGGTCTTAAAGTGATGCGTAGCTGCGAGTTTTAAGATTCTGATTGGCGCAATGGTGCACAATTTCCTTGGTGTTGTTCGTCTTGAATGGACGGACTGTGCTGTACTGTGTTGACGTTTTTGTTTTGTCTTCTGGCTTTGTCTGCATATGAGACAGCGCTCTGCGAATGGCGGACGAATTAAAAATCAGTGTCTGGAATGAAAATCCTGTCCTGACTGTCCAAGGTGGCCAAATACGGCAGTGGTGCTGAGAGTGATCGCAATAGGACTGTTTGCAAATATATTGCAGATTCCTTCCTTTTCGAGCAGGCGACAAAGAAGTGAGGCCTACACGTGAGACGAGATGTGCAATCTTGCCAACCGTGGGGATGTGTACGAGGGCGAGCGCGTGTGACAATGCGAGTCAGGTGGTGTTGGGCTATAATAAAACACCCTCCTTGATATTTGCTGCTCTAGCGGCTTGCTTGAACAGTGACTAGTTTGAAGATCTGAGCTGGGCAATCTTTGCAGAAGCTTGGGTGACCCTGTTGATGCTCGCTGATTGTTGAAAACTATCAGACTCGAGGATTCGAGAGGAAGCAATGCGTTTTCAGCGGCCGCCCGAGAATGCAGATTGCGGGACAGAAAATAAGCTTGGACTGCGAGTGAACCGACGATGCTTCAGATTTGTTTTTAGAAACCGTCCGGGGTCAGGGGCCAGTTTTTGTGTGTGTGGCAGAGCTGGGGTGAATTTTGATACTCTTTTTCCGCAAAGGATTTGGGACCCGAACTGCGCAGTCAAGGTCGCCAAAGCTGGTCGCGCTCCGAGCTGAATCCAAGCTGACGGGGCGAAGAAATGGGACCTGATGGCCGAGATCTAAGTATGCCAAAAAAACAAGTTCTTGTGAATGGACGTGGATTTTGGTTGTTGGACACAAATTTTGGATCTTGCTTATGAAAAATAAAAATGTTTGGGCGTAGAAGATTTTCTTCAATGTTGGGCGCCGATGCGCTCTCCGGCATGCATACAGAAGATCCACCCGTTGCGTGGGGACAACGGGGTGTAATCAGTATTAGCGAAGCACAAATACATACAAATCGTCAATTCTGGCCTCACAAAAGCAAGAAACTTACGGCATACATAGGAAATGGCACAATCCATGATTCAGATATTGTACACATCACGGAATCTTCCGAAACGAGCAGGCTCTGGGCTACCAATTAAGATGTGGTTCTAATGATTCTGGTTGGATCCATAACATGTCAAGCTCGTGGAAACGAAGAACGGGAACCGCTGATGATTGACCTTCGCCCCAAATTCGGAAGCCTTTTTTTTTTTTCTCTTTGGGTTGATATCACCAACACTTGCCATGCCTATGCACTTGCAATGGCGCTTGACTGGCAGCGTGTTGGTCAGGCACTTAATCGTTGTGTCCAATCCTGTCGTGAATCCTGTCCTGATCGATTAGAGTTCCTACTGGTTCTGTGTTCTAACATTAGTATGCAATCCTTTGGAGGAAGAGGCGCGTGGGTTTTCGAACCGAGCCATAGCCATAGCTCAATCGAGCGACCAACACCCCAATTATGTGTCTCCTCGCCAGACGCGAAGCATAATTGGATGGCTTGCAGGGAATTAGCTCTTCAACATTGCTATGTTCCCCTGATTATCTCCATCCCTCACATCTATCATCCGAATAGAGTTCCTAGTTAATAGCATGAACTGCATGAAACACCAATTAAACTCTGGCGATTCGCACGGCCGCGTCGCCTCCGTCGCGCGCGCGTCTGTCCCCAATACCAATTGGGACACGTTCCTGGTGTCTTGGGGTTTTGGCCAAGGGGTCTCCTCGCGTCACACTCCCCACACGGGTCGTTCCCGAAGGGCCCATGGTCACGGTTCGAGGAATGTCAAGGATGTGAGGGACTGAACTGGCCTTCTACTTTCGAGCATTATTCCAGAATGAAGGGATCCTAGTGGACTTGTTATGATCCGGGGTGAATATCGGACATCAGACGACGGCGAACGCTAAATTCGGGCGTATTATGAACAAGACATGGATAGTAAGCTACTTTGAGGCACCGATGTGTAAGTCATTTGCCCTGTCCTCGTGTTCTGGTCGTGCTCTGGCGTGTCCAGCTATTCAACGCTACTGTCTAATGTCATGCTGTCCAGTGTCCAGAGTCCAGACTAGAGAACACGCTTCCAAGAGATCGGGTCAATGCTATTATGACAACAAGGTCTCCTGTAATATCAATGGCCGGGTGGTCGCGTTAGAAGCCACACAGACCAACATGATGTCTTTCCCCTACCAGACTATTGAACACACAGCTATGATCAAGTCACTACTGATACATGCGAAGGCGTCAACATTGAGCCTTCGTCTTCGATGCAAATTTTCCAGTCGCAAGACATGAGGGGGAGACCATTTTAGTGTGCGGAACTAGATTTGAGTATTGATGAGCGCTGACAACCCGCTGCGCATTGCGACCAAGTTGGAAGTCACAATAGCCACTTTTATCCGCATCATTGATGTATATATAACTTAATGCAGGGCAACCCATGTGTGTGGTTCTGGAGACCCAATCAACTTATCTCTGGGGGATCAACACTTGAAGAAGCATGATGAGCCTCTCTATCCTACATAATCGGGGATACCTATCAAGATCTGTGCAACCAGACACGACACAAGTAAGTTGAATCGACTGACTTGGGGGTTTATTCGTACTTGCACACGGATGCGCACTTGGCCGCTCGCATTGTGCTTTGAACCCCACAATCTGGAGCTCCAGAGCAAATGGCGAGCAAACTAATGCGAATGAGGCGGTCGTAATTTTTATTATTCAAAATCATTTGTTCCCCTAGGGAGGACGTGCGTGAACACGAACGTCCGAGCCTTTCATCTTGGTTACAGAACCTCGAAACCAAAAGTCGGCCATTGCTCGGTCAAGATGTTAACAAACATAAGCAAATGTCCGATCATGATGCCCATCAAACGCACCTAAGTCCAACGGTTGCAGACGGCACTAAACACTCCAGAGCACCACAGCAATGGTCTACCTGAAAATTGACTTTGTTTCAGGAGGCTGTTGATAGAGCCTCATCCTGCAAGCTACCTGCAAGCTACGTGGTACCAAGCTGCCCCTCAAGCTAAGCTAAGCTACCTTGTACTAGTTGTGAAAAGATGTGGACAATGGGATCATTGGATCCAACACCGCATCAACAATTCTCGTGCATCTTAAGAGGCAATTGCAGAGCACGTCAAGGCCGGAAGCAGTTGCCAATAGACTTACCGCAGGAGAGAAGATTGCGAGACCTCGGATTGCCACGTGGAATCTGGCCTCGACCGTGCATTTGATTCGCTTGGCTCTTCTCTTCTCTTCTCGCCATCCCTGAGTCCCATCTTCAACCTCACCGGCCCGCACCACCTAATTCGTGCACAACGCATGACCCTCTTTCCTTGTCGGGTATCGTCAATACTGAATTAATATATCACTGCAGCATCGACTCCGTCCTCCCATTCACCTACTGGTCTGCTGGGGCTTTCTAGGTATGGATGGATCAGCCATAACCATCCGAACCAACACACATTCCGTTTCACCGCTGCATTGATCATTGGTCCATGTCCCTTTTGTCCCTATGTCTTCCTGACCTGGGTTTGGTATTCACCTTAAACACATCCATCGCTCTCGGCTAAGCCCTACTTTCTCCGTCCTCGGTACGGAGCAGTGGTACTTGTCCGCAATCTGCATTTGAAACCCACAGACCAAGACCCAAGACCAGGACCAGGACCATAACCAACCCAACAAGGAGGAGAAGCGAGTGCTGCTGCCAGCTTTAACATAGGATGTCTCCTCCACCACCGTCTTCCTCCTCTAATCCGAGTGGGAGCTATCTGGAGCAGACCGTCTCTCTCCTGAGCACCGCTGCCGACTATATGCGCTTGCCGGCCCTGGTATCTACAGTATGCAATGCCTTCTAGCTATCCCCTCTTGTCTTCGCCGGCTTCCTTTGCGACGACCTCTACCACCACCACTTCTTCCTTCTCTTCCTCCTCCTTCCGTCGCGCCTATCGCCGCACTCAAAACGCAATCAGACACCAATGCCGGAACGCAGGTGAGCTAACAGATGTCGTGCAGGGCGTGGCTGCTGTCTTAACGTCACTCCTCTACTTCAAACAAAAGTGAGTATAGTCCGTTCGACTTGGCTCATATCTATGTGGCAGCCCTGCCTCCCACTGTACCACACTCACCCTCGGCGAAAGCCAGGCCACTACAGTAAATGCCAATAACCTAACCCCTGTTTCAGAGCCCTCATCTACCCGTCTCATATGCCCCCGAATGCTCGGACCGATGTACCACGACCTTCACAATATGGAATCAAGGACTTCGAAGAGTTGGTCATACCTACCAATGACGGAGAGAAGTTGTCGGCTTTCTACATACGCAGCCCGAGAGGCGGGCGCAACTCAAACTGCACCATATTGATGTTCCATGGCAATGCTGGCAATATCGGACATCGATTACCTATTGCCCGCATGATCATCAATTATATTGGTTGCAATGTACTCATGCTCGAGTATCGCGGTTACGGTTTGTCGACCGGGGAACCGGACGAGAAAGGATTGATGATCGATGCCCAGACCGCCCTTGAGTATCTGCGAGAGCGAGCTGAGACAAGTGATCACAAAATTGTTATTTATGGCCAGAGTCTTGGAGGGGCTGTGAGCATCAAGCTTGCTGCCAAGAACCAGAATGCTGGTGACATTGTCGGCTTAATCTTGGAAAACACATTCCTCTCGATGCGGTCTCTTATCCCCTCAGTTATCCCACCCGCCAAATACTTGACCCTACTCTGTCATCAGGTCTGGCCAAGCGAGACGGTGATTCCCACCATCACCGAGGTTCCCATCCTTTTTCTTAGCGGTCTGCAGGATGAGATTGTCCCGTAAGTCTATTTTGTTTTCCTTTTACGAGTTGCATTTTGCGACGGTGTGGCTACCTCATCTGATGATCATAAACAACCATCCACAAAACCTGAGTCTGCTTGCAGGCAAGGATTTCAACTTATTGTTTGCTGACTGTATTCCTGCCATATCTACTGTCTCGCGCCTGCCTTGTCTGGGGTCATGCCCATTGCTAACATGATTTGCTCCTTTCTAGTCCTGCGCACATGCGCAAACTATTCGAGCTAGCCACAACCCCGACCAAGATCTGGAAGCCACTGCCTGGTGGTGATCATAACTCGAGTGTGCTTGAAGAGGGCTATTTCGAGGCGATATCCGACTTTGTCTCTAATGTAGGTGGTGAAGAGCTGCCCGGGAAGAGAGGGTAACGCTACGAGATCTCCCAAATGACGAAGGCACGAAAAAGAGTTTCCAAAAGACATAGATTTACTGTTTCATTGCATGCGATCGGTGCATTAGGAGGACGTCGGGATTTGACGTTGTTATGCCTCTTTTCTCGCTTATAGATACCCCGGCCTCTTCACCCTTATACTGGTGGATGACTTGCCAACACACAGAATGGAGCTTAAGTATATTAAAAATTTTGTAAGACTACTGGGTATTGTATAAATATTTTGATTTCACTCTGATTGATTAAGGCATTGTCGATCATGCCAAGTGTCGAATAACTCGTAGTTTTGTGTGTGTGTCGGGGAGGGGAGGGAAAAATGGATGAACATCAAGAAGAAAAAGAAGCGAGGGTGCGACGCTCGTATCAGATGGCGCATCATGGAACTGTCCATCTACCTTGGTGGTCACCAATCGGCATGTCCAGCAAGTTTAACAAAGTAGGATGATTTTATATAGATGATAGTGGGTGGTAATCAAATGTTCATGGTATGGAGGTCATGTCATTTGCCATGATAATCTATATCTTGAGCTCTATTCTCTGATGTCGTTGTGCTTCTGTTCTCCATTTTCAAAACCGTAGCCTCGGTTTTGATATCAGTTTACCCTGAAACCATTACTCTTCATCCAACTTCTCGGCCGCTGCCTCCCAGTCCTCCTCCACCGGCTGTTCCTCCACCTTGTTCTTCCGGCTTGGTTTTAGCAATGCCACGAACTTGCTCCTGACCGGCGGTGGTGCCGGCGGAGCAGCGTTCATCGGTCTCGCGGCCGATCTGCCGGCGACCGTGTTCCATCCGCCGGTGCTCTTGCTGCCGTCTGCCTCTCTCCGCAGCACGTTGAGCGAGGAGTCGACGTGGCAGAGCCACACGGTCTTTGCAAAGCCGAGCCGCATTACGGTCTGCGTGACTATAGGCTTCAGGGCCGTGACTGAGGTCTCGAGCGCCTGTGGAGTCCATGCGCCTGAGCCCTTGAGGACGATCTCGTCGGAGGGGAGGAAGCTGACCGCGAAGGATATGCTCGGCTGCGTGGCGAAGTCGGGCTTGAGAACGGACTCGAGCTCTTCGATAGTCAACCCGAACTGTGGAGATGATAGCAGCAGGGCGTTGTAAGGTTCGGTCGGCACGACGATGTTGGTGGTCTGGGCTGCTTGTGAGGACTCTGCTGCTCGGATCTTGACGCACTGCGAGAGGGTCTTTGCAGGCGCCGAAACGAAGCGAGGTGTCTTGAAGATAGATACGTGACGATGCGGCTCGGGATCCTGCGACTCGCTATCTAGGCCAAAGTCCTCGGCCAGGGAGTGTAAGAAGGCCCGCTGCTGCGGCTTCATCGGTTTGAAGCGTAACCGCTTCTCGGTTGACTCTGACGCGAACACACGGAACTCGCGCTCAAAAGTCTGCGCCCACTTTGCATTGTCTCTGAAGAATTTCAACGTCGTGTCCGAGTAGGGCACATGATTGTCTGTGTGAGTTGCAGGATCGATGTTTAGGGCTGCTGCAAGTCTTGCATTCCTTTGCAATCGAAGACATTCATCGTCGCATTTCAGGGGGGGCCGTTCAGGCCACGGGTTGGACTTTGAAGCAAGGCACTTTACCTCCTTCTTCTGGTGTTGACAATCGCAAGTGATAAAAGTCTTCGCCTGGCATGGCTTGTCTTCGTTGCAAGCGTAAGGCGCATGGCATTGGTCTGTATCGACGTGGTCACATGATTTGCGTACTTTGAGGCATGCCTGAGTGCAGTGCGATCCGCGGATACCTGCATCTTCGCACTCTCCCGATTTGTGACAAGGCTTTGTGCACGTATGAGTACCGCATTTGAGCTTCTTGCCGCAAATTGTTCCACATCTGGGCTCCTCAAACCAACAAGGTTGGTTCTTTAGAGTTTGCTTGCCACAAATACATCGCTTCTCAACCAGGAAGGGACATGGTGGACATGGCTTGTCGTCAGGATGGCAATTGTGCGAGACCCGAGGATGACCACAAGACCTATCTCGAATGCAATCGAACCGGCACTCTGGCGGTCGAGTGCCGCATGGCTGAGGAGGCTGGAGTACCGTCCGGCCACAATGGCAACTGATCTCGTCGAAAATCGCCTCTGGACATGAGGCACAAGGCCCTGAATGGCATAATTGTTGGCAATCGTGCATGCCACACTTTAGGGGTCGATCACATGGTCTAATGCAAATGTGTTCGGGTTCAACCTCCTCATTTGATGTACCCAAATTCTTCCTCTTTCTTTTGGCAGCCACCCTAGCGATTGCTTTCTTCTCCCCAGGACAGCAGTGAAGGTCGTGCAGATGCCTTCCGCAGTTGAGTTGAGCACGGCAAACCCGCATACACTCAGGGATCTGCACAGAGCCTTGGTGGCAGACTGTCATGGACGTCGTTCTACCACACCTGCAAATTACCTCCATGCGTTGCATGCATGGGGCACAAGGTCCATCGTGGCAGCCACTCTGGCACGAATGACCACAAGTCAGGGGCTTGTCACATCGCTTCTTGCAGTTTGGAACTGAATCGGAACAGCTCTGTCGTGGTGTGGCCAGCAACTCTGTCAAAGGCGTTTTACCGCAAGGACAATGCGTTACCACATCCGGAGCGTATGGGCAATGAGTGGTTTGCTCCTCCTGTGAATGGCACTCCTTCTGGCAACTATGCTTTTGACAGTCGAAAGCCCTCCCGCACTTCTTGCCACAGGTGAAACTGCCTAAATACCAGTTCTCACCCAGGTCTTCTGCTTCAACAGATGTTGTCGTGGGTTTTTCTTTCAGTTGCCCGTGATTGTAGGAAGCTTCTCGATCACCGCGCTGCTCGCACGGGATATTCTTATGTTCCTTGCCGCAGTAGCAAAGTGAAGGGACTGGTATATCACAGCTACCGCAGAGGCCACTATGACATGGACGAGCACATTCATGCTCTCCGCAGGGTAGCAGATCTCCACAAATTTCTTGACAGCTCCAGCCGTTGGCATAATCTGTTTCACCGCAACGCTTCGTAGAGACATGCTTGCCACAAAAACACGAAATGGACGGCCCCATGCTCTCACATGGTGGGCATGGTCCTGCGTGGCAGACCATGGACCCGCAAGGGTGAGGACAAGTTGACCTAGGCTTCGAGCAGGTTTGTCCGCAGGAATGTGGTGGTAGTCCAGGTATTGACTTTGGGTTCATCTCCTTACCGCACCAGCAGTGATATGTAGAAGGTTCCTCCGTCAATGAAGAGTTGCAGCCAGGACATCGCCACCCGGCAGGGGCCGGAGCTCCTGGTTGATCCGGCTTTTTCATCTGGTTTGTGTACCATTTTCGTGCGCAAGACATGTGGAGAACCGACCAGCATGTTGTGCATGACCAGATTCTCGAATTTGGAAGTACTTCATTTGTGCAGATGACACATTCATACTGGCCATAGGTGATGTCCTCGTGTATACGAGTTGGAAGGTCGGTAGCATTCGATTTGGAACCTCTCCTCACGTGCAGTAGTTTGCCTTTTGCTTGTGAAGCTTTGGCATTATTCCCCGTGCTGTGAGTCGGCTGTCCTGGTACGAAGTCCTTGGCTTCTATGTTCAGACTTGGAGCTCCTGCTTCTGCGTCTTCTTCCGGTTGCTGCTCTGTCGTAAGCTGACCACCAAAAGTTCTCTGACCACCAAATGTCGTCCTTTGCCCAGCATTGGTTCCTCCCCGCCTCGAGTTTCTTGATCTCCTGGATCCTCTACCAGACTGCAAATTTTGGGTTTGGTTGCTATCAACCCTTGACAACGACGCAGGAGCAGCCGTCGGAGCATGTTCCGATGGGTGAGTTTGAGAGGTTGTTATCGCGTTCTGTGTACCACCTCTACCTCGCCCACCACGACCTCCTCGGTGTCTGCCACCACGACCGCGACTAGTTCTAGGAGCGCGCTCACTTCCCTCCATTGTAATGATTGCTGTTGTCGTACTTGACCGCACCGCAGCCATGCCAAAATTCTGTTGGTGCTCAGAACGATCCAAAGACGCAACAATGATTGCTAAATATCAAGCACAATCGCCCCCAGTAATTGAAAACCCGTGCGTGAATACCAAACTACAGAAATTTCGTGAGAGGTTTCCGATTGCACTCTTTAGTGCTGTGTTTGGTGTGAGGTGAGAAGGAAATTGACCCAAGGGCACAATTGCGCTTTTTGAAATACAGCGACTTGAAGACGTAAAAGGATCAGAAAAAGCCAAAATGCAATGCAACCTGACTATTCGGGAAACGAAAGAGTCATTCGAGATGCAGTGGAACGAGAATTGTAGATAAACCTCCTTGCCCTGGTTCTAGAAGACCGGGCTTTGCTAGGATTTTACCTCTATTCAGTGTGGCGAGGTTGACAAAGCCGCATGCAGGCGTAAGGCTATTTTGTTGACTCATCGTTCGAATGAATCAGAATGATGAATTGGCGAATTGGAAGCAGCGTCAAGCCCTGTGGAACTACGCTAGAACCGCTGAAGGAACGAAACCTCCCGGGCATTAAGCGCGCTGGAAGTCAGATCACGTGATTATATTGTTGATGCCCAGCTTGCTCATATTAATTCTGCATCCTGGGGACTCCTTTACGATCTGATTTATTCATAGCTCTTCTACTTCTTCTCCAATACCGGAACATTAAATCTCAATGTAATTAAATAGTAACTGTTGCGATGGTATAGGACGACGTTGCTTGGTCTGTTACTTGTCAAAAGTATGTTGGCCAAATATTATGCCGCAATGGTAGAACATTTTATTACACAATGCGGGCTCTAGTAGTTCATCGTTACCTGAATAGTAGCTATAACGAACGCTTGTAGAAAGACATCACTGAAATACACGAAGTCAACAATTGATGGCAATACACTTGGCTCAAAACGGGAGTAATGTGACATAATATTCCTTCAGACAATGGGCGAAGAGATTACAAAACTACAATCACCATTCACATTCAAGGCATATGCTTCAGACCCCATGCTACTTTTATGATTATCACTCTATAGCAAAGACACACTTATGGATATAACGCTTACCTGGACTCAGTTAAAGCTCCCGGCAAGTGATAGGCACAAGTGTTAAGGGCGAAAGTAAAGTTATTGCTAGTATATGTTCATTATGCTATTTGGTAGATATTCAATTGCACAATGTAGGACCGGCTCAATTATACTTGGTCTGGTGGCCCGAAAAGTCTCAGAGCACGCTGTAACACTCGTATCGTCTGCCTGCCTGGAAAGTAGTCAAGATCTGTGAGACCCATAGTCATATAGGTGCGCACGGTCAATTAGCTGAGATTAATTGCTAGCGTTACGCGCCTGATCAGTTTGACTCCGGTTTTCGTAGACTGGGTTGCAGAAATACACGTCGCTTGTGTTCTGCAATAGTTTGTAGTCATTCGTCGCAAGGTTAAGCTTGCTATGGGAGTGATATTGGTGCTATGCGCGTGGAAGTTAATATCGGTAGGTAAACGTAGCGCGGGTATAGGTGGGGATGACCCAGCCGTTACCTCTCACTTCTCGAAGCCAAAAACAGAGCATCTCGGCTGATATCCATGAATTATCTCCTTGAGAATGAATTGCTGGCCGTGGAGTACATTCTAGTGTCAGGATCGCAGTGACGGTGACGCGATACCATTACCGTGAATATCTTCGCGTCACCGTACAAACCTTCGTACCAGCCAATGGGGAACTTATCCAGAAAGTAAGCACCGTAGGAGAGAAATTGCGATGATCTGGTCCCCGGTGTTACACCAACTTCATTACACTAATAGCTCATGGCTTTAGAGCAATTCAAGGCCTGGTACTCCGTTTTCCGGCAGGATCAGGTATATGTGTTACTCATAAATTGATCACTTTAACAACCAACTACTGTAAAACATATTTGCCGGCCAGGATCAGCCATGCAGAACGGCGACACGACGTATTTACATGCGTCCAGGGCTTTCTCACAACTGACACCAATTTGACATGATATGACGATTATGAACCAGCGTCCCGGGTTGTTCTACATCGTGCCAAGAAAGACGTTACAACATTGCATCGTGCTTTACTTATAGTGCTTAGATCTTGCATGAGCAATTATTGAGCTTGAGAGAGGTAAACTATCGAACACAGACCCTGAAGCCCAGAGAATCAGACCCCAGGTCTGCTAGCAAGATCGGCACGTGCCGGTAATGCAACGACAACTCACTTGTTGCCCTAAAATACGAGGTCCAAGCACATTGAGTTTGAACCTATGTATAAACGTGTCACCAATACTTTGATCGGTAACGGCTTTACCCGAATCTTAGGCACTACTATTATGGTGTTCTCTTCGGCACACGACCTATATTATTGTACATACCGTCACCATGTGGGTTACTCTGGCGGGATCATAACTCATGTGATTCTTCCTAGTCCAAGGTTAATTCAATTTTCGCCCGTTCCTGAAACCCCTGCTCTTAGCCTCTCCGCCGATCTCCGAAGACCTGAAGATAACGTTTTAAGCTTCTTCGGAAGCTTTGGTATGGTTAATAAGCCCTAAGGAAATGCGCTAGCGCTACTAGAAGGAGCCTGCACTGCACGTCATCACCCATGGACATTCAGAGATTGCAGTTTATTACAAGGAATCCCTGCTGCTTGTCCTTTCAATGAGCCTTTCTCGAACTATTGGTCTTACTTGTTTCTCTTCTTGCAACAGATCACATCTGCAGCGTCACATTGGTGTATATCATTGACCGGGTGTAATGCCCATTACCCCACATCCCACTATTGAACTATTGATTACCACCTTAATACTCAGCATGTATGTTTTAGATAGATCAAACCACGTTCTTAGCCATACATGACGCAACTTCTTAAAAGGATGTCTCTTAGACCATCAGCACTTTCATACAGCGGCAGGCTGACTGCGTCCAGCATGATCATGGGTGGGTAATAGGGGTCAGCTTACAGCCAACCATCTAAGAATGAGTCTAGGTATGCTGTAGAAGTTTCGATCATTCGACTCAGAATGCGCCAAGAGCAATTAGTCTCCGACTATCGAATGTCGTCTGCACGATGAGATGTTTCCGGAAAGCCGATAGGGCGTTGTGCCCAGAAATCTTGGCTTGTATCAATGCAGCCACCTCGTATATATGCAAAGTTATCTGCAGCTTTTTGATCCCTAGTCAGATCGAAGCACCTTTCTTCCTGGCATGTCCAACGCTGCTGTTCCCACTGCCGCTGCTGTACAACACCCCCCACTATGCGATATCACAGAAGCAAGAAACGCTCTTCCAAGGCTCCGCAGTCAACTCTGTCAAGGATGAGTCCATCACCTGACATGGAAAGAATCCCACACCTACAATCTTCCTTGAAGGGTTGCGAGACCAAAGTTATCTCACTAAGCATGCAGCCTACTGGTCAAACTTAGTGAGTACGAGTAGTGCTCGCCAAGTAGTTGCCAACCATGACCTTGGACTAGTTAATATAAGCGAGACTTAACGGTCATCAGACACGTGGGCCTTGCTTACCAAAAATGTCCGCGAGGTAACACAAGTGACAGTCACACCGACAAGCCACCGGACTTGTGACTGAAGCCCCGGCCAACCTACAGAAACGAACGGAATTTCCAATTGAGAGATCACGATCAGGAAATATCCAAACCTCATCCTCTGTTACCATACGTATGGATTAGTGGGTGCAGATGTTGAATGGGGGGCGGCGCGGCTGAAGGCCACCGACCTTACCAGCACCCACGCAGCACCTCGGATAGCAATGCCCTTTTGATTGTATCCGCCGACCTAGTCATTATAGTTTAGATCTCTAAAATCCACATGCTGCCAATGATAGTTCATGATTATAGTGAGCTAGCGCCAAGAGCCAAACGGCAAAGCTCGTATCGGCCCACCGTCTGAGTGCACTATCTAGAGCAGCGGATCTCTAGGTACTCGGCCTCTTTATCAAGGTTGGCTGACAGACACATCTTCTTCCTAGACCGACAAGTCACAGAAACACAGTAGCCCCGCCTTCGAAAGGAGTGACTTGCATGTCACACGTACGATAGCTTTGAGTGGGCGTTGCTCAGACTTCGCGCCGCCGCCTTTCAGTCTCTACAATACGCCTTGCCGTCACATATTAGAACATAAACCTATATTTGTTGCAGGGTCTTGACCATGTGAGATTTCGCGCACTTGGTTCCGAACCAGGATGTCAGCTCAAAGCCCACGATATTACGGAGCCCTCTCTGACTTCGGGTATATAGACCGGACCGGGCACTCTTTATCACGAAATGATTAGTGTTCGTGCTTTATTGTCGATTTAAGAGTACGGGCTGTTTTTGTAGAATATATACCTTGGTACTCAGAGCGTGGTTGATATCCGCACTTACAGACAGCCTTGGATCTCTCTAACGAGTACCAGAAGCGGCTGATGTACATCATGGCTTCAAGGCAGTCGAAACCCTTCGTTGCCATACTTGGCACATTCATATCAGTATGTGTACTCCCCAACGACACAGTCACACACCCGTCTAAAGTACTCATAATCAACACAGTTGTCTTCAACACTTGCTGTACCAGGCAATCTAGTCCCGGGATGGAGCTATAGTGGTTGTTACACGTAAGCAACATTTAGCAAAAACAATGCAGTGGTTCTGCTAATGTCTCCATAGGGATGTTGGGCGTACGATCGATGCTGACAGCACTACGGGGGACCAGATGACATCTGAGTCCTGCATCACGTATTGCGCGTCCAAAGGTTACCCCTACGCAGGGACTGAATACTATAGCGAATGCTGCAAGTTATTTCACGTAATCTCTCTATGCAGCACAATAACTAATGTTCCTAGATTGTGGAACGGAACTCACCGATGGTGCAGCCAAAGTCGCGGAAAGCGATTGCAATACAGCATGTTCTGGTGACAATACACAACCTTGTGGTGCTGGTAATAGACTCACACTCTTCAATAACCCCAGTATCAAAGGCCCACAGGCCAACACGGGTATCCAGGACTGGCCATTTATTGGCTGTTACACGTGAGTGATTCGGGCATGACAAGTCCACCCCCAAAGTGGTACAAATACTGAGACCAACGTTAGAGAAGGAGTAACCGGTCGTGCTTTGGAAATTGCGGCCAATATTTCTGATGATCAAGTAAATGGCGCCAACTGTACTGCCGCTTGTGAGAAGGCTGGATATGTCCTAGCTGGTACTGAATACTCTGGGGAATGCTGTAAGAGTGACTCGTTTTTATGAAGTAGAACAGTGCTAACGATTTGGAAGACTGCGGCAACCAAATATCAAATAACGCCACCCTTGCGACAGATGGCTGTACTATGCTCTGCAACGCGAACAAGACCGAAGTTTGCGGTGGTCCCAACCGACTTAACATTTATGACTTTAGGTTGACATTTCCGGTGACGCTGAGTAGTAGCGGTTCTACCTCGCTAGCTGCTGCTGCTGCTGCTGCTGCTGCTTCTTCTTCTTCTTCTTCTTCTTCTCTCCCACCTCCAATGTCGATCATAACATCAATTGCTTCTTCCGATGTGGCCCCTACAACTACAGATCCGGTATCGTTCGATATTTCAGTAGCAGCCTCGAATCCTAATTCGGGTATCCGAGCGGTAGCTACCACAAGCACGTCTTCAACGGCTTCTGCCAGCCCCACAGCTCCAAGTCAACCTAAAGCCATTGGCAACTATATTTTCTATGGCTGTCAGACGGAGGCAACTAATGTGAGAGCTCTTTCTGCCTACAATTACGCCAATGACACCATGACATTGGAATCATGCCAAGCGTTCTGTAGTGCCAAAGGTTCTACCTATTTTGGCACCGAGTACGGTCGTGAGTGTTACTGCGGTGACAAATTTGGAACCGGCTCTGTCGCTGCTCCCGTCTCGGATTGTAGTCAGCTATGTGCTGGTGACAAGTTGCAGTTTTGTGGCAATGGTAACCGTCTATCGGTCTATGTCAAGAACGGCACGGCCATCCCTAGCAGTTCAGGAATTTCAAGCAATTTGAACACTGCCACAGGTACTGCTACCGGGGCAGCAGTCTCTTCTTCGGCGGCGGCAGTGACTGGACTTCCCACGGGGTGGAGCAGTCAAGGATGTTGGCAAGATGGTCCGAACGGTCGTATCATGCCTACCTACCAAGCTCCAGACAGTCAGACATTGACTCCCCAATCCTGTGCTCAACTTTGCTATAGTAAGGGCTATAACGTATCCGGAACGGAATACTACTCCCAGTGCTTCTGCAGCAATGCTATCTACAATGGTGGCATCAAGGGTACTGATCAGACGAAGTGTAATACTCCGTGTGCTGGTGATAGCTCTGTCATGTGTGGTGGAGCCGGTTACCTGAGCATCATTTCGAATGGAATACCTCCTACTTACCAACCTCCAGCTCCTCAAACAGGTGGACTCAACGGTACCTGGACATATCAAGGTTGCTATTCTGACAATCTCAACAACAAGCGTACCCTGCCGTGGCAGCTCTATTTCCCTGGCACTCTTACCGCTTCAAACTGTCTGTACCAGTGTGGCCAATTTGGTTACATGGCAGCTGGTATGGAGTACGGTGAAGAGTGCTATTGTGGTGACCCTGGTGATATCGTCGCCATTGGCGCCACAAAACAAGCGGAAACCGACTGCAATCTTCCTTGCGCGGGAAACGCTTCTGCAATATGTGGTGGTGGTAGCCGCCTATCGATGTACTACTGGACTGGCAAGAATCCACTATGGCAGTTCTCTTACCCTACTGGCAATGCTGCTGGTACCTATTCGAATCTCCTAGGTGGTGTCGTCACCCCGCTCATGACCATGCAATCCATCACGGGCAAAGTCACTTTTCTTGAGAAATGGGGCACTGGTGCAGCCAACAGTACAGGTGCATATGAGCTTGACCTGACTTATGGAGACAGGTATAAGGCATGGAGAGAAATGCATGTCAAGACTGACATTTTCTGTTCTGCTGGTGTTATTCTTCCTGACAAGGCAGGGAGACAGCTCACAGTCGGAGGTTGGTCCCTTGACTCGACCTATGGTGTCCGTTTATACTGGCCTGACGGAACTCCTGGAATCAACGGCACTAACGACTGGGAAGAAGATGTAAGCACTCTTAGACTCCAAGACGGCCGATGGTACCCGACAGCCATGGTCATGGCTAATGGGTCTGTCCTGGTCATCGGCGGAGAGGAGGGCTCAAACGGACGAGCTGTTCCGACATTGGAGATTTTGCCATACACTGGCACCGACCCCTTGACAATGGACTGGCTGGCCCGTACTGATCCCAATAACTTGTATCCTTTCACGGCTGTTTTACCCGGCGGTGGTATCTTCGTCGGATATTGGAATGAAGCGCTCATCATGAACGAGAATACCTTTGCTACCACAAAACAACTCCCTAACATGCCCGGCTCTGTCAACGATCCTAAAGGCGGCCGTACATATCCTCTCGAAGGTACGGCTGTACTGCTTCCTCAATACGCTCCTTACAGTGAACCATTGAGTATCCTCATGTGCGGTGGCTCTACCGCCGGACCAGGACTTGCCCTCGACAACTGCGTCTCTATACAGCCAGAAGTGACCAACGCCCAATGGACGCTAGAACGTATGCCCTCCAAGCGTGTCATGTCCTGTATGGCGCCGCTTCCTGATGGTACCTACCTGATTGCCAATGGTGCCAAACAAGGTGTTGCTGGCTTCGGCCTCGCCACAGACCCCAACCTCAACGCCGTGCTGTACGATCCGCGTAAGCCGATTGGTAGTCGTATGTCCGTTATGGCCAACACGACTGTCGCCCGTCTGTATCACAGCGAAGCCATTACTCTGCTTGACGGACGTGTCCTGATCAGCGGCTCCGACCCCGAAGACGGCGTCCATCCACAAGAGATTCGCGTCGAGGTTTTCACACCGCCATACCTGTATAGCGGCCTCCGCCGTCCAACATTCACAGTCACAAACAAGGACTGGACTTACGGGCAGAGCGTTTCATTCTCTCTTGGCTCCCCTGCCACCAACGGCGCTATTGCAGTTTCGCTGTTGGGCGCAGTTTCAAGCACGCATGGAAATTCAATGGGTGCGCGCACTCTTTTCCCGGCGGTGTCGTGTTCGGGGACTTCGTGTACCGTCACTGCACCACCCAATGCGCACGTCGCACCACCCGGATGGTACCAGATGTTTGTTCTGGACGGAGCCATGCCTGCCGTTGGTGTATATGTGCGTATTGGTGGCGACCCCGCAAAGTTAGGCAATTGGCCTTCTGGTAACTTCAAGAGGCCCGGTGTTTAGATAGTGTTTTCGGGCATATGAAATGCAGTACTTCTTAATTATATACGACTAGTATACAATCTCGATAGTATGCCCATATGGGCATTATCTATCGTTAAAGCAAGATTCCAAAGGGCATGCCCAAGCTCTGTAGATTGCTAAGCCATTTGAATATTCTATAGCAAGGACTTCGTGACCCTGCTGCTGTGATCGTTGAATATGATCTCGATACGTTGCCTGAATTCCTCGGCTTTCTCCTCATCTATAGCGTTTCCATCAACGCTGACCACAACCTCCATTCCGTCGTGTTGACCATAGACACCGCACAAGAATTCCCCGTCTCGAACTCGAACCGATCCTTGTGTGTCAAACCAATCTGCTACAAAGTCGTCTTCACCCTTTCCGATCGGTCTGCTCAGATCGTACATCCCCGGCTTCTGCGTCGTCCTGCCCACCGAGCTCACACCACACGTCTGTGAGCTTCCATTCATGCTCGCAGCGAGCATGCCCTGCGGGCCTGCCGTGTTCTTGCGCAAGTGATCGGGCAACTTGAGCTCCTCCCTCTCTACGCTCAGTATGTAGTTCATGGCAATGACCCTGCCCGCACCCCGGCTCCCCATATAGGCGACGGGGTCCGTGGCGTCCTGGGGCCTGACGCGTTTCTGGAACGCCGACAGCTGCCTCTGTGCGTGCCGCACCAGCACCCTGAACCGCCCGTCGCGATCAAGGTCCGATGGAAGGAACGGGAACACGATCCCGTCGCAGAACGCTAGCATCAGGCTATCGGGCGGATCCATGTGGTTGAAGAATGGCCGCGGGTTGATCGGAAATGCCGTGATGAAGGGGCGCTGGTCGCCCGGGTGTCGGCGCTCGTGCAACTCCATCATGACCATTGCTACCAGAGCAAAGCCGCCGGCTCCGACGCTGGCGCCGGCTTGGCGACAGAGGCTCACCATACGGGATACTGCATCCGGCGCCACTCGCGCCCGTACTACGAATGTGTTCAGGGGCGGTTTGGAGGTGTAATCCAAAACTTCGGCGTATGTGGGCGGGTAGGCCTTGGATTCGGAGAAGGGTTGTTCGTGCCTCAGAGGGTTGGGGAATCCAGCAGACAGAGGTTTCCGGACGTGTCGTAGGATTCTGGACAGCGCCCAGAACCAGCGTCTCCGGGCCACCGACCCAGACATGGCAGGGTACAGGTCCTCTTGCGCTTTAGGAAGTCTGGACTTGGTTGCGGCTAGGGGGCATAGGGAGGAGATCGAAGTCTGTAGGCCGGAAAGGGGTGTGTTCAGGAGCCTGAGAAACGACTCCTGCCAAACACGCATCGTGAGTCCGTCTGTTATTTGATGCGCTGCAACCAAGCAGAATCGTAGCACGGTCTCGCCGTTATCCAAGGCCTTTCGAGGTAGTACGAATAGTCTCGACAGTGAACGGTTGGTATCCACAACACGAGCCGTATTAATAGAGTGAAGGTGGAACTCGTCATCGTCCACGATCCTGTCCGGACGATCCTCGACGAAGGAGAGCCACTGGTTGGCATTCTCGATGGCAGCTTCGGGTCCGTCAAAACAGGGAACCTGGAAATAAGGCTCATCGCTTCCATGGGCTTCGTTCTTGATCAATGGAGCCCACGCTCGCATGAGGACATGTTCCAAGCGAAGAGCGGTCCAAGCCAGCAATATCCGCTGGCGCAACTGTTCCCAAGATAGTGGTGAAATAAATTTGAGGCGGAGTAGTGAAGTCACATCCGCTCTGCCCTCATAATATCGCCCATCTGCGTCAAATGCACTTTCGATGATACCCTGGCGTCTACACCAGAAGCTATCGCCATTCTGGTCTTGCTGTGGTCGCCATTCATGGTGATTCTTGGCGTACCTATCGAGCCAGTGACTCTTGTTTGCCGCAATAGTGACAGTTGCGGTCATGCTGTGTCAAGTTCTACAGTGGTATGACCAGTAAATTTTGTACGATGATCGTTCCGGGGTGTCTGGTTATGGATGGAGGTCGGGGTCTACCCCATAAGGGTAGTTGTGTAAGTTAGAGTTAGGTATATTGGTAATTTACTTGTTGACACCAGTATCCCTGGATTTTTGCGGCTGCCTTGCCCGTCAAATTCTTTCAGTGAATCGTGCTTTTTGGATGCTTTCTGAGTACGACCGTGAAATGAATCTAAACCCCGAGATCCATGATCGTGCGATTGCTCGTGATTGGTGCCTTAGGAAATAAGAGGAGCCCTATTCAACGCAGTCGGAACAACTCGCCGTTATTGAGGGCTTTTTATTTCAAGCGACGATCCAGTCCGTATGCTTTGCCAAGTCCAATACACCGACTCTGGTTTGAAAGCCAAACACCCACCCAGGGATGGATCCAACAAACTGCAGCACTAACCAATGTGACCACTGCAGATTTTGATCTATGTACCCATGACGCGTAAATGGCGAGGTTCTCCAGACCTGAACAGTGGGGATATCTCGCTTAGCCGGTCTCTAACTTTACTGTTATTCCCCACCCGACTATGTTAGATTTTAAAATAAAATAGAATAAATAAAGCAATTTTGAGTGTCGGTATAACTACTTGGTTTGAAAGTTATAAGTAATTTATAATGCGTTCATTATAGAACGCGATTGAATGTGTCGGTGTGCATTAATCTCAACCCCGATATCAACACATCATCATAGTAGAACCCCCAGCTTGGCAATAACCATATACCCATTATTTTCAGTAGGTTTTAAGACCGCCTGTCCGGCCATCGACACGGACCTAATCAGTTTGAGGCGGACTTCTTATGCCGTTCAAGCGAGGCAGGGTACCAGCGACGAATAGGGTAGCAAGCAAACAGGCGAGAAAAGCTGACACGCTTTGTTGAGATCTCTGCTACTTTTCGACATGATAGAACATGTTTCTTATGAGCTTTCCTTGAACCAAATACCGACGTCAGCACAGGGATTTAATAGCACAGCACGTGAAGTACGCCGTATCGTTTGTACTTGTATGTTGCAATAGTCTTTTGCGAATAAGGTACGACTGAAACACGAGGAGTCAGAGTATTACTTTGACAACGTTAAGGATCCTGCACTACTTACAGTTCTACGTTAAGTCATTCACTTCCATTTTGCCCCGAACGCACCCAAACACTAGACCTAGTTCTTGACTGGGCACAATCTTAACGAAGAGACTACTAGGAAGATGGCAAAGGGACTTGGAAAAACCAAGATCGACACAGCTTGGCAATATCTGATGAATGAAATTTTGAAAGGCCGCGAGTCAAAATTCGCGAGTACCTATTTCACGGCACTTACCCACATCATAGTTGACTTTATTCCATCTGTGTATTGCAGAAATATGGAACCATCCAGGGCAGGGCTGTAGAGTTGTCTTTGCTAAGGAGGCGTGTGATTTTTGTGTCTTTTTTGTGTCTTTCAAACTTGATCTGCCAAATCAAGACTTTAGCCTTGTCAGTCAAGCTGCCTCAGGTGTTACGAGACGAGAGAAGAGGGAAGGAGGATATCTATATCCCCATATACTACCACAATAAAACGTGAAGACGTTACCAGAACCAATACGCTGATTACGTGTTCGGGGCAATCATCCCAGCCGATGTATGAAAGATATCAAAGTACTGTGACAAGGTTCCTTGGACTGTCGATGCACAAGAAACCTGAAAGCATTATATTCAGCCTGCTTCAAAGAGACAGCCTCTAAAGTTTCAGAGACGTTCCATGAGCCCTAGCCGAGCATATCTACTACTTCTGCGGGTAGTCGAGAGAGTGCTCTAGCGCGAGGCAGGAGACTTTGCTATTTGGTCAGTCCTGTAGTATCTTGCGACACTGACCGTTGGCCACACGTTCGACGTGTTGGGGGCCGTCATACATTGATTGATTCAGGTAGACTCGTTCGGATGATACCGGCCCAAGAAATACTCGGTGCTCTGATCATGAACGCGGACTATGCGGACGATACCTGCGGCAGGTGCGCTACGTGCTGGAGTAATTGCGCGGCGTAGGATTTGGGCAACCTTGAGAGTCCAGAAGTTAATATCAGAAACATCAATTTCAGAGCGTGTCCAGTAAGCTGCGACAGTGACAAAACTATCTTGAACTTGATTTTCTATAAGTCCGCAGCGTCTAGCCGATTAGTGTTGACGTGGCTTTAGACCGAGGGAATGGTATGCCGGGCAAATGTGGTCTGCATAATTGTTGTCCGCAGAACGGCAAATCGAATGACTTGAAGATATCTACCAATTTAGACTCTAGAGCCGGAGAGGTGTTTTCCTTGCACAGGATGGCATTGGATTGACAAGGGGAAAGTGTGCGCAGTAAATGGGATAGTTCAAAAAAGACCAAGCTCTGAGGCTCTCCATCGACAGGGCTTCCATTAGCAATTTTGGAGGAGTCCTCCGCCGTAAGTTTGAAACAGATGTAAACGAAGACGGTAATATGTATGCACATACCGCATTTCCAAATGCCAGTCTATATGACGTCTTCGGTCTCAAGTACCTCCCTGCCTCCATTGCACTGCCGCATGAATGCGAATTTTACTGTAGATCTGAGGTCCACATGGAGAGACCTCAGCAGCTGGACGTGTTGTTGATGCAAAAGTGCAGCTGTCAATCATGTGCAGGTGGCATGCGCGTAAAAGACTTCGTATTCAAGGCCAGGGGACCATGGGGACCAAAGGGGGCTGCGCCGCAGTGGATTAGTTAGCGGGCTTTAGCGTGGTGGTCGACCATTCAGAGCGTCAAAAATAGCTGTTTAAGCTTAGCGTCGGACCCGACTCAAGGGATCGACACTGAAGATTGTTCTGGGCTCGCATTGTTGCGGACGGCATGCAGTGAAAGCCGTTTTTAAGGCTTGGAAAGCTTCATCAGTGGATGATGAGTAGCTCTGGGTTTATACTCGAGCGCGTGCCGCGTCATGACGAAACATGGAGTACAGGCAGTCGGCAGTAGGACGAGCGGGGATGAAAAATCGTCTCTCTTATCGGAATATTGGGGCGGCTAGGTTGTCTCAGAAGGAGGGAGAAAGACCAGACGGGTGACGGAGAGATCCATAAATTCTCAGCTGGGTCTTATGCTTCAAACTTTTGGGCGGAAAGCGACGAGCGCCAGGCACGAAACTTTGTTCTTTGTCTGCTTCTCCCGCATGGTTGACAGGCTGCAGTTGTGGTTGGCTGCTGCCGAGTCCATAACCCGGTCTTGCCGGGGGACCATTCTTCTCGATTGAGCGTAGATTCGTGCGCTGAGAAACCTTGAGTACTGTACGTCCAAGTAAAAGGCGTTGGGTGTTGCGCTGCTCGGGCGATGCTAATAGTTAAGCTACATGGAGAGATGACGGGATTGGCGAAAAAGGGCGAGGGATCGATCTACATAACCCAGGATCTAGTGACTGTACTGATAGACTGAACTGGCCGACGTCAAGGTGCTGCGAGCTGCGGGTGTTTGCTTGTTGGTGTGGAGCCAAGCCAATTGTCGATGCCCAGATGGGGGATGTCGCTTTACCTTGCAGGGAAAGATGCACGATCCCTGCTAAAAACTTCGTCATCTCTCGTGTCCTTGTCTCTGCCAGATAGAGAAACATGTCCCTCCTCCCATAGTCGTCTCTGGTCGAAAATGCTTCTCGGAGAACCAGTCGTCGAATCTCCTCCCCCGAAACTCTGAATATTCTTTCTTTTCCCGCTGCTCACTCACCTCGTGCGCAGCTACCACTAGGGATCACAGGCACACGCATCGAGTTCGGGCCTCAGATTGTCCCCCGGTCTATTCCTCATCCACGCTCGTTTATTCCAGGCGCCACTGTATCGGCACTCATTCCGGCCCCTATACCTACAGCCTACAACCTACGACGGTGCCCTCACTCGCATCGCATTATCCCCTGCTCGTTGACCCAACTCAGACACCGAGCGAGCAAGCGAGCAGACAAGCAAGCAGACTCTGCTTGAGATTCGACGGTTCTGACGAAGCTGATTGTTCCGTTGGTCCTCGGTATCTTTGTGCACGACCACCACTAAAGCCCGCCCGCCCTTGCCGCTATTGACCGGCGCGCCTTTGTGCAAATATTGCAGACAGACGTTGCGGTCTTGAGTGCGAGCCCATTGTCTCGTCGCCAAAGCTTTCTCCTCACCAACTCGGACATCACTATTCGAAGTACACAACTACACATGCTGGCCCACTAGATTTGACGTATTCGCGAAGCCGAGACGAACCCCAAGATACGCAGACGCTCTCGACGTGCTACAACGAACCCTCATGATGGGGTCAGGGTGGAATCCTGTACCGTCTCTCGTATCACGAGATGATGCTGGTACAGAACTGTTGGCATTGCTGAACGATCCCTTCAAGCAAGACGTAAGTGTCCAGAAATGAACTCTCAATCAAAGGGAGCCACAAACTTACACGGGACAATATAGCTTGCAGATGGAGCTATTTGGTCCGCCTTGGGATCTTCATTGGGCATCACAGCTGCCATAGCACTTCTCTTTTCCTTCGTTCGTCCTTACAATACAGTCGTTTACGCCCCAAAATTAAAACATTCCGACGAGAAACATGCGCCTCCCGCCATAGGAAAGGGTATATTTGCCTGGGTAAAACCGTTATGGAACACCTCGGAGCAAGACGTAATCGGGCACGCCGGTCTGGATGCGGCTGTTTTCCTGCGATTTGCGAGGATGTGCCGCAATATTTTCCTGGTTTTAGCCATTCTCGGCTGCTCCATTCTCATACCTGTCAACTGGACTCAAAACAGCAATACATCTGGCAATCAGAAGTGGTTCAAACACATTACACCTCTCGAGGTCTGGAACGACGCTCAATGGTCTCAGGTCGTCATGGCATACCTAGCCAACCTCACCATCTGCGGCTTCCTGTGGTGGAATTATAGGAAAGTTGTCACGCTACGCCGTCAATACTTTGACAGTGAAGAGTACCAGTATAGTCTCCATGCCAGGACTCTCATGCTCAACGATATCCCCAAGAACATGGGCTCCGACGAGGGTATCGCCAGATTGATCGACCAATACATTCCGAAGTCGTCATTTGCCAGGACGGCCATTGCCCGGAATGTCAAGGTTCTCCCCGATATCATTGCGCAACATGATCGGACGGTCAGAAAACTCGAGGCCGTCTTGGCCAAATACCTGAAAGACCCCAAGAACCTACCCGCTGCACGCCCCATGTGCAAACCCTCCAAAAAGGATCCATCCTACGGAACTTACCCGAAAGGCCAAAAGGTCGATGCTATCGAATATCTAACTCAACGTATCAAAGATCTTGAAGTCGAAATCAAGGAGGTACGCACCACACTCGACAAACGAAACACCCTTCCATACGGTTTTGCAAGTTATGACGACATTGCCGAAACCCACGCCATCGCTCATGCACTCCGCAACAGAAAACCCAAGGGAACAACCATATCCCTCGCCCCACGACCAAACGACATCATTTGGGACAACATGCCCATGAGTCCGTCAGCCAGGAGCTGGAGCAGAATATGGAATAACATCTGGGTGACTGTTCTTACCCTCATCTGGGTTGTGCCAAACGCCTTTATAGCCATATTTTTGGTCAATCTTAGCAATCTTGGCCTTGTGTGGGACACTTTCCAGAAAACGTTGGCTGCCGACACCACCTTTTGGTCAATTGTTCAAGGTATCGCTTCGCCTGCGATTACCTCGCTCACTTACCTTTTTCTCCCCATCATCTTTCGACGCTTGTCTCTCAGGGCAGGAGATAGAACCAAAACATCACGGGAACGCCACGTGTTGGCGAAACTGTATTCGTTCTTCGTATTCAACAACTTGATCGTTTTTTCCATTTTCAGCACTCTATGGTCTTTCGTTTCGGCCGTTGTAGCTGATACGGAGAAGAATGGAGATGCCTGGCAGGCCATTCTCAAACAGGATCCCGCATCAGCTCTCTTCATTGCTTTGTGTAATATATCTCCATATTGGGTCACATACTTGTTGCAGCGCCAGATGGGTGTTGCTACTGATCTTGCACAACTTTGGAAGCTGACCTGGAGTTTCTTTCAACGAAAATTGGGCAGTCCAACACCGAGAGAGCTGATTGAGCTGACTGCACCACCTCCTTTCGAATACGCCATGTACTACAACTACTTCCTTTTCTACTCGACAATTGCTATGCTCTATGGATGCCTGCAGCCCCTGGTATTCCCAGCCGCTGCTCTGTACTTCGCCGTCGATGTATGTTTAAGGAAGTACCTGCTGCTTTATATTTTCGTCACCAAAACAGAGTCGGGAGGCATGTTTTGGAGGGCCTTGTTCAACCGATTCGTATTTGCCACCATACTTGGAAATCTTATCGTTTTCCTCACGGTCTGGGTTCGCGGTTTGGGAACGCACATCCAAGCATTTGCTGTTGTCCCTCTGCCATTTATCATGATTGCCTTCAAGATCTACTGTTCGAGGGTCTTTGACAACCAGATTCACTACTACGCTGTTCGAAACGTTGCGCGAGACCCGGAGTATGAAAGGGGCAAGGACCCACTCCGATCTGACCGCTTAGCGGTCCGCTTTGGCCATCCTGCCTTGTACAAGCCGCTCATCACTCCCATGGTACACGCGAAGGCTCAAAACGTACTTCCTTCGATTTACAGAGGTCGTATATCAGATGGGCGAGAAGCCTACTCGGGAGATACCATGTCCACGTCTGGCTACAGCGATGCGTATATCTTGAATCCTATGGACAAGTCTGGGAAAGCAAGATCAGCTATGCCAGGCTTTGAAATTGTGCCCGAAGGAAAGATGGATTTTGAATACTATAAAAACCGCCCCGAGTTTGCATCTGAGCATGGTGGCGGCGAAATCTATGGTCGCGCAGCTGATATGGTCCGGCCAGGCACACCCGGAAGCATGTGGAATGGTAGCGAGCCGTCGTCAAGACCTGCTAGTCCCAGCCTTGCGAACGTCCCGCGAACCGCTAGCCCTGCACCGGGGCGCTCATACTCGTCATTCTCACCACAACTTGGTAACTCTAATCCTTACGCCGCTCCACCGGAAATCAGCCGCACGCGAAGCCCCTTCTACGCGCAGGGCAATGATAGTGGGTCAAACCTCGTCAGCAATGCAGCGGCGATGCCCATGACAACCCCCGGCTCTGGCTCAAGAGAAGCCAGCCTGGATGTGTCGGCCGTTCGTGCTCCTGGAGGCGCCGGAATGCTGGGAGGTGGTCCTCGTGGGTATGGTAACCTGCCGCAGGACGAGAACATGTCGCCAGATCATGACCCCATGGCCTACGACTACTTCCGCAGTTCTAGGACAAGAAGGTCGTAGAGTACCATGAGGTATAACTGAAGCATACTGGGAGAAATATGGCTTCTAATGCTAAGTGAACATTGTATACCACAAGTACGGATATGTCTAACCTTTTTATTTTATTTTATTTTTTGGCTTGAGGTGCATCGATTCGGCGTTCGTGGCGAAATAGCGCCTTGATGATGGCTGCTCATTACGATTTGAAATGGAAAAGGGAAAGAAGGTGCTCATAGAAAGCAAATGCGTTATCATTGGCCATAGAGGATCAAAAGGAGCGTACCTCCTTGCTGGATCAAAATGCAGTCCCAGATAGGGTTGTAAGTTGGGAGATTAAAACTTGTAATAATCCTGGAGCAAGGCTGGCGGCGCTTCGGGGAGTACATAGTAACGTTCGATATTATCAAAGATGCCTGTACATCTAGGCAATTGACTTGCTCAACCCTCTGCGTATAACTTTCGCTGCATGATTCTATGCTTCGCGCAATCTGTTATGCTTCCATTCTCTGCAACGTTGAAAAGTAGACAGAAAACGAGAAATTTGTCGCAAGGTGATCCAACGGCCTGATATTATTTCCTAATCACTGTTTCTCGTTTGCCGAGTATAAATCTCCCCACCTCGTCTCGAAATTGGTACGGGGCCCTTTCCATTGCTTTACTCTCATCAAACACTTGCTTTCATAGCCACAACAAACAGCAACGCGAAAGATCAGGTTCAAGCGAGCACAAATATCACGACATGCCGTTCAATCCCTATTTCTGGCCCTACCCGCCCATCTCGTGGTCCTACGACGGCCATTGGAGGTGGCATAGCCATTACAGGAACTGGGTCTGGGATGATTATGATAGCGGCAGCGATAGCGACAGCGGTAGTGAGAGCTCATATTGCTCAACCTGCTATAGTAGTGAGAGCAGCGACAGTGGATGGCCCGGTTGGGGATACAGCGGTGGGGATAGCAGTAGGACACGCCATGGTTTCCCTCCACCGCCTTTGGGTATGATGTGGTAGTGGTGTTGCAGGTCTATCTCAAAAACAATGAAGAAGCAGAAATTTTGCATAGGGTTTGCCCGAGCCGAGCCTTTCTCGATATCATATTGCTAAATATGAAGTACGTATCAGCTACCAGGAGATATCGCACCGCTGCTTCTTCGCTCGGAGAACGGCCCGTTGGATGGCGTGCAGGTCGGACCTTATGCAATACGACCTGTGATACAAGCCGTAGCAGAGGTACAAAACATCAATAACTAATTATTCGAGAAGTTGTGCTGCAGCAACCTAGAGTATCTTTGCGAACGAAATCAACGCTCAACTTCTTGACGGTCTCTCTTAACGTCTGGGTCAACAATAACCCCTCAGAAATGTTTGCCTTAACTTTGGTTGCATATTTACCCACTGGATCTGGTGTTCTTGTCTTGTACAATCTATGGCTAACTACTGTAGCCACGCACAACAACACAACTCACGATGTCTCGCTGCAGGCAATCTTGTTCGACCCTTATCCGAAATATATTGCGGTTTCGGACGACTCCACCCGTGAGCTCATCAACAAAGACAAGATCAACTTGAAAGATGTCAGCACTGAGACCCTGGAAGCTTTCAAGCCGTGGGTATCTACAGGGAAGATACCCGTCGGATGCTTACACATGAACATCGACGACAACAATATCGATGATGACACAGCCGAAAATTTGCCTGCTTCTGTTCTCGCAGCGGTGGCATCAGCACCATCCTGATTGGAAATTGCCGAGTACGGTCGAGATAGACTTTACGAATTCACAGGTGCTCATTGAGTTTTGGCTTCGCTCCTGGATGTCTATCTGATCAGCAAGAAGTATAAAGTGCCTAAATTTTGCATGGCTACATTACTCGGGACTCAGTGATTCGCTTTGAGGACTCTAAACTCGACCGACCAACACTTCATGAAGAAAGGCCCTGCAGAACTCCCGATGGCAGATCGCTTGATCCAATAGTGAACTTGGGGCGCTTTCTTCAATGCGGCATTCAAGGAAAACCGAAAGGTATGTTAACCTTCCCCCGTTGTTTTTGATCAAAATCCTGCAAGTCAGTAAGGTTCGTGGTGACGAGGTCATCAACTCTCACGATCCTGAATATGACGTCAATACCAAGGACCCTGATCTTTGGTGGTGCGAGTACCATGATCATGCAACTCGGGAGGAAAAAGAGGAGTATCAGGAGGGCTTTTTGGACAACATTAATGGTCAAAATCCAAAGACATGCGCGGCAGCGAGAGTACCAAAGCTGAAGAAGGGAATGCGAAAAGCCAAGAGCTAGTGATTAAAGTCGACCGAAAGGGCAAGGATCAGGACATGGCTGCTATCATGTGCGTTCAAAGGACCGTTGCACTCAAAGAGTTTCCACACTCCTGGTCAGAAGGAAGAATTCACGCATATGCGTAGCTGTGATGAGGGTTCAAAATATGGCTATTAAGGCACTGCCTGCTGCTAAGTATAGACACTGGATGCGGATACCAGTGAACTCTGCGTGAAAATGGAACGCGATGATGTCAAATGCTCTTAGACGCCGATTGTTACATGTGGCTAGTCTGCTGGATCTCACACGGAACGGCAAGAAATATTCGCTAGCTTGGTATGACAAAAGTAGAGAACACAATTCTCTTGCTTCTCGCAATTATCAGTGTCCGAGTAAGTCCGCACATGGTATCTAACAACTCACTTCATCATGCGCCCTCACGATTATGAAGCATTTTATACTTATTCGAATTGTATGCAAGGTTATTATGCATTACATGAAAACTTTCAAGTCTAAACTATGAGTCTCTTTCTTTCTCTTTATTTTATGTCCAGAGTTGTGCATTATTCGTTTTTGCTACTCTATATAGAGAAATGCCAATGTTCGACAGTGACCCAATACATAAAGGCTTCCGGGACCGCAGAGTCCTGGCAGTTTAAACCCAGCCAAGGCTCAACACCAGCTACCCCGTACGGAGTATAGGCAAGCAGAAATCGAATGACGACGCGTCTCTGCATTCAGGCACGAAATAAAGTCTTGGCAAGCCACTAAAAGCGCATCACTCGGTAGTTGCCCTTTGGGGATGCGGAGGGTCGCAGGCCCATGTAAGAGGTAAAAGATCGACGTCATCTCTCTGAAACGGCTGCCAAGACCAGCGATCCGGGGCAGACTGCCGCCGTTTATACTGAGCCGCATCGGTTGACCCCACTGGTGCCGGGATGCGGCTTGGCTCTTATTGCAGGAGGATGGGGATTGAAGGACTTATTTCGCCGCGTGCGCTCCGCGCCTTTGCACCTGGTGGCATGATCGGACCCTGGGAAGCGCTTTCGGCAGCCGGGCCGCTGTTCAACTCTGCGAGACCTCCTGGCATCATCTGGCATCATCAACCTCGAGGACAGTTTGCTTCAAGGTTTGATTACAGGTGCCCCTTGACATTACCGAGAGCCGCTCAGCGCGTACAATATGTAGTGGTCAGTGATTGTATGTAGGCCAGGTACCTCAACCCCACGTCCCATGTAGTTGAGTAGGAAAAAGAGATAAGGGCACGAGAGAAGCTCGGCAGAGTTTCACCAAATTATGTGTTATTACATGTGATATCCTAACATTTCTAAATGCAGGCTACCACAAAATCTGCTTTCATCGACCTTCGGAGCTAACAATTTACACCCCTACAAGGTATATGCAGTCACGGGATGCTGGATGGCGATGGCATGGCATGGTATGGCATGGCATGTCGACCTAAGATCGAGCTAGCGGAACGTGGTTCCTGTTCCTGAACGTAGATCAGATGGCAGAATGTAGATCTCGGAGGGAGGAACAAAATGCTACACGAGGAACTGATGCCCCTGCGTTACCATTTGGCGCATATAAGAACTGTATCCCAGGGCCGTTGTTGAGATTTGAGATACGACACTCACCCAGCCACCTTCTTCTCGACGACATTCCTTCAGAAATCACAATGAAGTCGACTTTCACTTCGCTCCTGGCGCTGGCCGCCGTGGCCACCGCTCTGCCATCTCAGATGCAGAAGCGCGCATGCACTTCGGCTGTCACCCTGGATGCCAGCACCAACATCTTCGAGTCATACACACTGCACGCCAACTCCTTCTACAGAGCCGAGGTCGAGGCTGCCGCTGCCGCCATCACTGACAGCGCCTTGGCTGCCAAGGCCCTCGAGGTCGCTGACGTTGGTACATTCTTGTGGCTCGACTCCATCGCCAACATCGAGAAGTTGACCACGGAGCTTGCCGCTGGCGTTCCTTGCGAGAACGTCTTGGGTCTCGTCATCTACGATTTGCCTGGCCGTGACTGTGCCGCCAAGGCATCCAACGGTGAACTGGCTGTTGGCGAGCTCGACACCTACAAGACCCAATACATTGACCGTCAGTCACGATTGCCCTACCTCTACATCCGTACCCACCAGCTAACATGTCATGATAGCCATCGTCGAAATCATCAACGCCAACCCCAACACCGCCTTTGCCTTGGTTATCGAGCCTGACTCCCTGCCTAACTTGGTGACCAACAGTGACCTCACCACATGCCAGAACTCGGCCGCCGGCTACCGCGAGGGCGTCGCCTACGCCCTGAAGAGCCTGAACCTGCCCAACGTGGTGCAGTACCTCGATGCGGGCCACGGCGGCTGGCTGGGCTGGGACGCGAACCTGACGCCCGGCGCGAAGGAGCTCGCCAGTGCCTACACGAGCGCCGGCTCGCCCAGCCAGTTCCGCGGCATCTCCACCAACGTCGCCGGCTGGAACTCCTGGGACGCCGAGCCCGGCGAGTTCGCCAACGACGCCGACGGCCAGTACAACAAGGCCCAGAACGAGGAGAAGTACGTCACCCTCTTCGGCGCTGCTCTGGCTACGGCCGGCATGCCCAACCACGCAATCGTCGACACTGGCCGGTAAGTGATTATCCCACGGCTTCTTTATTATTTCTTAGCGGAACCGCCCCCTCCGCCTCCCCACTCAATATTTTTTTTTATAAACAAAATTCTAACGCCTTTTACAGAAACGGTGTGCAAGGCCTCCGTGACGCGTGGGGTGACTGGTGCAACGTCGACGGCGCCGGGTTCGGCGTGCGGCCGACCGCGGACACTGGTGCCGAGCTCGCCGACGCGTTCGTGTGGGTCAAGCCCGGCGGCGAGTCCGACGGGACCAGCGACTCGAGCGCAACACGGTACGACTCGTTCTGCGGCCTCAGCGATGCCTTCCAGCCTTCCCCCGAGGCGGGAACCTGGAACCAGGCTTACTTCGAGATGCTGCTCGAGAACGCCAACCCGGCCTTCTAGACGGGCCAGAAGAAGAGCGTGGCTGGAAAGAGAGAGAGAGAGAGAAAGGAAAATCGAGAAGAGGCAGCCGATGATATGGTGTACATAAGTGAAAACGTACTTGTTCTTGTATATATTTCCCCACCACAAATTCAACAAATTTCCTCAGAGACGCAGGCTCTTGAATTATAGACCAATATCTTCATTACCACCTGTTTACCAATGCTCAAATGCTATGCCGGTAAAAATCTATCGAAATGTGTAAACGCCTATCCCATGCAGTCATCCATCATATCTCATCACGTTCTCAACCAGAGTGACCGAGAAATAGCTTTTTCGACCTTTTGATCCAAACAAGCTACTTGCATTTTCCAGTTTGCGTCATTCGGACATGAGCAAGAGCATTGAAGCACATGTCAGTTAAGATCATCATAGTCGTCATCCCACCCCAGTCTCTCATAAATCGATAGCCGCCTGGCTGCTGATTCCTTCTCTTGAACTAGCTTAGGTTGTGCTGGAGTAGCAACAACATTATTAACAGTTCGTTTTTTAACAGGTGTGACGGTAACAAAGCCTTCTAGCGAGCCTGGTCTGTTCAGAGACTGTTTCTTCAATGGTGTCTCAGCAACCCCGCCGTGTGGCGATGAAGGCATCCCGATTCCACTATCTCGATATTTAAGTGTACTATTCGGGACAGCCAAGAATCGCCGTGTCGCGACAGGAGAAGAAGCAAGAACAAACCCATCGTCAGGCTCAGGTGCCGAGACGAAACTGCGCTTTAAGAAGGGCCTTGCCGGTGTCGCATCAATCAGCTCTGTAGGCCTACTCATTGTCGGTAGTGCTGGCGATGATTCTGCTATCATGAAAGCAGCATCAGCCTTGCGCTTCCTTGGCGCAGACGACGGTACAGCCCGTGACGACGATGAGACATTTCCTTGCTCGATCGACTCGTGCATGTTGTCCATTGTTGGTTGACTGTTGGCTTCTTTTGCAAGAGCGTTCCTGAAACGGGGTCCAGCCGGAGTCGCCTTGATGATGCTATGAGTTCCCAGGTGCTCGGTTGGTTTTCTGGATTTCTTGAGTTGTGATAAGCTTGTCGTCACCTTTCGCTGATCAGCCTCTGCCATCGCCTTGCTCACTACCACTTCTCTGTTGGGCTTTCTCAGGCTCGAAATGGCCTCTTGCAATTCTGCTTGGATATCGGCCTCTCTTTGAGCCTTTGTTTCTTGGCTGGTGCGCCTAGAAGCACCAAAAGAACTCGAGAAAACGTCTTGAATGGCACTGGCATCTTTTGCGTCTTTATTCGGCAGACTTGCAAGGGATGATGTGTCGCTGATTTCTCGTTTCAACATTGGCACAGGCGTGGTAGCAGATCTCATCAGCGCGATCATACTACCTGGGCCACGAGAAATACTTCGTCGATGACGCTCCGTTTCCTTGGACAAAACACGCTCAAGAGTTCGGGTTGGCTTCGATGTGCTTGGTCGCTTAGTCAAGGCACCTGGTCTCGCCTTAGGCTTAGCCATCGGCTCAGCTGCCTTGGGCTTCGACTTTTGAGGCGAGGGCATTACTGGTCCTCCCAGTTTTCTATTCAAGGCGTCGCATTGTTCGGGGAGCCTTGACGAAAAACTACATCACCATGTTAGTCAAACAAGCTTAAACTGCTAAGCTGTGGTGTTGGCAACTTGAATTGGCTTACAATGGCACAATAATTTCAACGCAGAAGTCCTTTAGGGGGTCGCTATGTGACCCGTGAGGCTTCTGCGCTGCGTCGGATATGCCAGACTGGGAGTCATCCAATATCTTGATTTCATCAAGGGATGTGGATTGCCAGATACTTAGTCGGTCTGCATGCACGTCCAATAGTACCGGAAAATTGTGCTTGTTGCGTTTCTTGACTGCTGTCTCTTTAGCAGCATCCGGAACAGACTCGTCTTTGGGAAGGTCCGGGAGTTGTGAGTCCTCGGCCCCGGCAGGAGATTTCACTGGCTCTAGTGCCAAAATCTCCAAAATTAGGATCATTTGCAGCTGTGTTTCCCTCGACCGCAGGCGTGAGATTTGTAACCTGGTTTCTTGCGGATTTTCCGTTGTCACAGAATCGTTATCTCGTGGCTGTGGTTTGCGAACGTCCCACCATTTCCGAACATGTTCATTTTCAGTGGGGTATAAGCCATCCTTTCCCAGTTTTAGCTTCTTCGTCTTCCTCTTCTTGACCTTGGTGGCTTGTTCATCTGCCGAATCTGCGACATGAGTTTTCATTTTCGCGATGATGTCAGGCACCGATTCACGGTACTTCTTATCTATCTGAACGGTTGTCAAGATGAGACCTTTGAGGAAATCGATCAGTTCATTCGTATTCAGGTTAGATTCGCAGTCAAGGTGAAAGGCTGCTCGCGCTCGAGATAATGGCCCTTTAGCGAAGTATGCCAGAGATCCCTATAAATGTTAGCGCAAGGCGAACGTCAAAACGGAAAAGACTTGCCATCGAATGATAAAGCGCCTCAAGATAATGAGTTCGAACATTCTCGAATATGTCATCAGCGATGCGTGATGGCGCAGACTGTTCAGGGGCTAGCGTATTGACCAATGTCGCGGTTCTTTCTTCTGTCTGGATACTACCTGCGTCTGCCAACGGCTCAGCTGGCTTCGTAGTCTGATATGCTGTTTCTTCCCCAAGACCCATGGACGCTTGGCTCCCCTCGGCATCCTGAGACTGTAGAGAGATAGATTGCGATCTTGCTGGTCGCTTGACCAACGACTGAATGGCTTCCATGGCAAGCCTCCTTTTCTTGTTCTCGCTGTGGAGTTGAGGTGTTGTGGAGGCTTCCGGTTGGGCATGGCCGATAAGAGTGGCGCGTGCTTTGAGCAGCCGTGTATATGCTACTGTGGCATGGCTACTGAGTTGGATAAGATCTACCCAATTTCCCAGCCTACACAAAGTATATAGACCGCCATTCTGGCGCTCTATTGCATATGGTGTCTTGTTTGTCTCCATGCGGGCGATGAGCACAACAGGACGGTTGCCCATACGGCTTTCGAGATCCAGGATCTTGATGGTTGATTCATACTGACGGGCATGCTCGAAATCTCCAGAAGGAGTTGCAAGGTCTAGATGTGAAAGAGGTAAATGTTCCCTTGGGAGCAGCATCAATGGCTGCAGGCTGCGGGGCTTGATAGAGAGCTTTGATGGATATGGCTGCAAGGCGTCAGTTACTTGCGGGGCTTCTTGTGCAAGGACTGGGAGATGAATGAATACCTTGACAACAATTGAAGTCTTGAGCAAATCGTCCATCGCATAAGTATCATGTTTGCGCGCTGTGCCTGAGCTGGTTGGGGTAGAGACATGTTCGTAGTTCAGGCAATTATCTGACGAGGGTGCCAAGGCATTGACCCGTGAGAATTGACGCGACGCGTCTGAACTGGAGGCCTTGGAGGACATAGAAGACTAATGCGAAAACCCCTCCTCCTCTTCTATCATTGCATGCCGGGATAACAGAAGTTGAGACAAGATTGCAACCCAGTCCCAGATAGCCATGCGTAGAACAAGCACGCACATACACACACACACAAAAAGACTGTATATACAATGCGGAACCAATTGCATGTAAGTGGAAAACAAAGATGCTGTCAAGGTCAGTAGAGGCTGCCCGTGTTCCGCACATGTGTCGTCCCGCGTTTACTTTTACGGGCCCTAAGGTTGCTCTTTTACATGGCGTCACGCGTCAAAACTGCGATTTCTCAGGTACAGGCACTAGGTTAGGTGCTCCGTGGCTCCGTACTCAGCAGGCGTTTAACGGTTGCCATGCACAGACCAACTGCTGGTCATGCATTGCTGGCACGGGAGAAGAAGCTCTTCGCGGTCATTCTGGGCATGAAACCTGTCCGTCAGCAAATTGCAGCTAATCATAGGAAGCAGAACTTTCCCACACGAACAAGGAAGCTCCTGTATACACAAGTGAGACGGCATTGGTCGAGGTTAATCCACTGGGACCTCACACAAAGATTGAAGAATCTGGAGTCTGCCCACAATGGGGGTATGTATGTATGTACATACATATCTTCCGAGGCCTCGGAGACCAGGTCCCGCTTGAGACGTTGCCGCAATCTCCAGATGGGCTGTGAAGACTATGTATGATTCCTGTCGCATTGACTCTCGGGAACTGTACAGATTCGACATCAATCGCGTTTCCTTGTTTATTTTTCCAATTTTTTCTTTATTACCCAACAGTGTTTCATTCTTGATTTTCGAACGAAGGCCCCTGCCGGATGCCTTCCCGTCTGTGCTATCTAACTTGACTTGGTCAGTAATTGGATGGTTCGGCTGGGGCGAAAATTACGGTTCCATGACCCTTGGCAGCAAAAAGTCTAGGCCCGTTCATGCTCTACAGCGCTAGAAAACCATCCCGGCTGCAGTTGCAGCCAATGATGACGAGCGGCCTCATCCCGCTTAACGCAAGCTTAACGCAACCCTCGGGCAGGCTTGGGCAGGCTTGGGCAGGCTTGGGCAGGCTTGGGCAGGCCCTTGAGCAGGCCAGCAGGTTTAGAGTCCCCAAGAACACGCCAACGTGAGCTACTGAACCGACCATGAGCCTGGAAGAGCCCGGAGATTTGCTCCTCTCTTCCCATCGTCTGATATTTTCTATCGCGATCTCGACGTGGCAAGCAACCCGATAGCGATCGGGCCCAGCTTGGAATATTGGCGCTGCGACAAGTCTTCTTTCCATTCAGCATCATTCGCTTCTGACATATAGAGTCTTGCTTTTCCTAATGGGCCACATCCGACTGCTACCGTGACGGCCTTTCTTGATTCCCCTCCTCAATTTGGAGAAAGAGCGAGGCTGCGTCAGGCGCAGACCCTTTGACCTGACTCTCACTCGCTGCATAGACTTGATATTAAGCTGAGCGTGTTTGTAATCGCCATTGCTGCGTGCACCTCGATACATCCTCCCGAAGTCGTCGCCGTTGCTCGTAGCTACCCATTAGAGACATGTCCTCCGAGACATCTCCCCGAGCTGTTCGCTTTTCCTCAGGCGAGATGGAAATGCTTGGCGAAAAGATGAATCCTCAACAGCGCCCCGTCGCAATCGCAACGGATTCCGACCTTTCAAACTCTTCAGAGGACTACACACCAGACCCGAACGATCCCGCCGAACTTGAGCGACAAGATGAGCTTGGCTCGCTGGCGAGATACGTAGATGGTGGTCTGTCAGGTTCCATGGCCTCCCTGGCCCCAAACTCGCTGGCAAACAGCCAAAGAAGCCAGCGAGATCCAGTCACCACCAACGGCACCACTCCCCGCCACTCCTCATCCAGGCCGTTGCCTCTGACCAGAACACCCTCCGGCACCTATGCGCCACAGCGGGCACCTCCAGTGCAGCCCTCCAGCATCAATACCCGATCTGGTTCTCGATCACGCCGCGCCGACGACCCGGAGAAGCAGTTTCGTAACCAGGAACCCGCCTATCTGCGCATGATACGCCATTCAGAACAACCGCCCAGCAATAGCTACTTCGGCGGCGATCCGTATACACCGAGCCTTGGCGATTATACAGATGACGAATCCGAGGGTGAGACGCCATCTTCTGAAGGTGTTTTCGACGACCGTTACAACGAGGAAACCATAATGTTTTACAACGCCGATGAGAATGACCTCCACCCCACCGAAGACGATGTCAGAGATCCTGACAATAGGGAGAGGCTGGAATGGCACGGCATGCTAGCAGCCGTCTTGACAGGAGACGTCGTGCGGCAGGAAAAGAAACGCCTGATAGGTTCTTCCGAAAAGGAGGGCGGTCTTTCGGCCCATAAAGCGGAACTCTGGGTTGGCTTGCGCTCCAAGATATGCGGCAGGTCTCTGGCCGTACAGCGACGAATGGTGGAGGAAGCACGTTCGCACTTGGAGCGGACCATTGATGAAATAACTCGTTTCGAGGTTCAGGGAGAGAGCGAGGCCGGAAAGCCTCCAATCGAGCAAATTCGGGACGTCGTTAAGAAGATCGAGAAGTGTGAGAATCTGTACCCTTCGTGGCAAGCCCTCGGCGCCGACCACAAGGCTGCTACAGCGCCTTCTTTTTTTGAAGCCTGCGATGCCGTCTTGTCCTGGTATAACACCAATGAAATGATCAACACCGAACTGGAGATTCTGAGAAATTGGGTCGGCAATGACGAACTGGATTTCCAAATGAAGAAGCAAAGGTCGCCGAGTACCAATGGGCTGAGCGACGAGACTTCCTTTCTGGATCGACTCATGAAGGAGGACGGACTCAAATCATTGCACAACGATGGCGGCAACGAGGAGGAGAAGCAGAAGATAGCAGCCAAGACCAAGACGCTCATTCGAAGAAGTATGCTCGCGGCAATATCCACCACTATCGCGAAAGCAAAAGAGACATTGATCGCCAATTCTGCAGCCTTCAAGAAGCGACATCTGCCGCCTTACATAGAGGAGATTCTCACCCTAATCAGCTTCCCGTCTCGGCTGATCGAGGAGATTATCAGGGTTCGCCTTGCATATGCTAAGAAGATGAAGGAAACAACCCAGTCAAACGTCATACTACAAGATCAGATGATCGGACAGTTCGAGATCTTGCTCCGGCTCGCCATTCGCATTAAGCAGGACATTCTAACCGTATTGCAACCACAGCCCGGCTGGCAACTGCCTCCTTGCATAGACGACTCTTTTGACCAAGTTGTTCTTGAAGCGCTGAGGTATTATTTCAAAATGCTTAACTGGAAACTGAGTCGGAACAAGAACACCTACAAAGAAGCTGATGTCCTGTTCCAGGAATGGGATTTCGCCAACATGGTCGGTGCAAACTTGCAGGGCGGAGACATCGAGGTTGCGGAACAGTTTAGCACTTTGACTTTCAAGGCACTTGCTCGTCTGAGCCAGACCTTTGAGCGTGAACTGCAGCGAAAGCCCAGGGAAGCAGCCGACGTGATGAGTAAGCGTTACAAGCAAGTCCTCGAATCCGTTCGGGTGAGGCAGAGGATGCTACAACGTTTTTCGCGCATGCTGAGTGATCATTACGAGAACGCATCCGATATGAGTATTGCTTTCGGTGCTGACGAACTGCAACACTTTTACGAACGGCTCGCTTTTAGCGGCCATATCTTTGTCGACGACATCGACGGCATACAGATCATTGCATCTCCAACACTTCTGGGACGAGATGACGAAGTGCAATCTATTCTCCGAACCTGCGTTCATGGGCCACAGCAGGATCCCGATATAACAGATCCATACGTGCTGATTCTTCGACCCGAGACACCTCTGCATTGGTTTGGTAAACGCAGCACTCAACCCCTCAACGTTGACTCGACGGATCTCAAGGTGGGACAAATGAGACTCATCGCCGATGGTTCGCAGTACAGATTAGTGAACGCACGCAAGGCTTTCCTGGACGCTGTCGATATGCATCTCGACCTTGTCGTTGAGCAACGGTCAAATTTGCACAAAGTCAACACTAGACTCATGGAGATCAGGAAAGTCGCATTCAAATTGTCCAATACCTTCATGGACAGTGTTGAGATCATCAGAAAGCAGACGAAAGGCATGAATTGTGCAGAGTTGATTCAAACCTGCTTCGTCTTCGCCACGGAGTTTGGTCAACGTTCACTGATCAGCATGGACAGCAACCGTCGTCAGATGAACAATATGAAACTCACAAAATTGGCTCTTGACTGGGTCAGCTTCATTTGTGACGATTGTGCTGTTAGCGACCGCAAGTCCTTCCGCTGGGCTGTGCCGGCACTGGAATTTGCCATGGGCATGACAAGAGGCCGCCATATTCTTGGCTTGGATCCTGCTGAGTATGCCAAGCTTCGTGCCAAAGTGTCTGGTTGCATGAGGCTTCTCATCTCCCATTTCGACATTCTCGGAGCCAAGTCCAACCAGGCAGCACAGACAGAAAAGGAACGTATCGAGGCTTTGGTCGGACAGTTTAAGAGGCTCGACAAGAACCGTATGTTTGATGACGAAGAAGCATTTAAATACATTCAGGAGCAACGTTTGGACAAGATTGCCGAGATCGACGAGTTTCAAAGGCAAACCGTTGCCGAAAGGCAAGGTGTGGGCCGTGTCCTGGAGGTATCGAACGAGGTTGATCGTTCTCTGGCCTTTTTATCGTCTTCGGCCACCAACGTTACCATGCGATGGCAGCAAGGACATTTCGTCGGCGGTGGTACTTTCGGCAATGTGTACGCAGGAATGAATTTGGACACTGGCCACCTGATGGCAGTGAAGGAGATCCGTCTTCAGGATCCCAAGCTCATTCCCACGATTGCCAGTCAGATCAAAGACGAAATGGGAGTGCTCGAGGTGCTCGACCATCCTAACGTCGTTTCATACTATGGTATTGAGGTCCACCGTGATCGTGTTTACATTTTCATGGAATTTTGCTCGGGCGGTTCCCTTGCAAACTTGCTGGAACATGGTCGAATTGAAGACGAACAAGTCACGATGGTTTATGCACTACAGCTACTTGAGGGTCTTGCCTACCTTCACGAAAGCGGCATTGCTCATCGTGACATTAAGCCAGAGAGTAAGCCTCCCCTCTCCAAACTCTTATACCCCCTTCATCTATGTGTTGAATGCTAATTATGAGCACAGATATCCTTCTTGATCACAATGGTGTCATCAAATATGTTGACTTTGGAGCCGCTAAAGTCATCGCTCGTCAAGGACGTACTCTAGTGAAATCGGCAGCAACAACACCGAACAGGTCGATGACCGGTACCCCGATGTACATGTCTCCAGAGGTTATCAAAGGCGAGAACCCTGGTAAGGCTGGGTCCGTTGACGTGTGGTCTCTAGGTTGTGTGATCCTCGAGATGGTAACGGGTCGTCGTCCATGGTCCAATTTGGATAACGAGTGGGCCATCATGTACAACATTGCCCAAGGCAACCCGCCACAACTGCCTGGACCCGATCAGCTCAGCCCCCAGGGTATTGATTTCTTGAGGAGGTGTTTTATTCGAAACCCGAAACACCGTGCTACTGCAGTCGAATTACTCCAGCATGAATGGATCATGAATATCCGCAGCCAAGTCATGGAGCCTGCTACACCAAGCGACAGTTCAGGCTCAGCACAAAGTACTCCTCACCCCAACTCGGCGAGCAGCCGTGCTGCCGCTGAGGGCTTTGCTTAGGCAGTGGAGCCTTCGCCATCAGTACACGGAAGATTAAAGCGTATCTCGCCAATTGAGGAGGAGGCGCAGGCGTTGCTCCAGGAAACTGAGCGGACTGAGTCTGACTGTATCGTCACGTGGACGAACCCTGTGCAAATCTTGGCGTCCCATTCCTCTTCAGGACAAGGGACCCCGGTAGTCGCAAACGACAGCGAAACCCAGAAAGAGCTCAACGGAGCAAACGAGGCAATGCGCAAGTACACATCAAGTCCGTCCAGTGAGAGTCCCTCCTCTAGTCTTGGGGAGGGTCACAGTGTGCACTGTACCTCATGAGTGGTGCGAGACATGCGATTTTACGAATCGAGCGAAGCATATTGGGACCAGTACTTATCATCGCAGAGGAAAACGAGCCTCTTTAAGCAAATTGTATGTCATCATTCGCACGATCGGGGCAGAAACTTGGTATACACGGTCGAGACTGCATCAGCGACGGAGTTTATCTGTTTTTTCTGGTTTGTTATTTATATGTATTTCATACTTGGAAAGACACGGCGCTGGCGATGGAAAGAACTCAAAGGGATGCAAGCGGGCGAGGTTGCCAGGTCCATTGCATGGATCACGACGAATGTACATAATGTAATCGATATTCAAACTGCGACGTAACACATTTTGAAAGCTGCGAACTTTATCTTACGTGCGTGGCAACTTTGCATACAGAGCTGAACTAAGACGATACTCTACATATCTTCTGGTTTGAGGTGCAATGTTGCTTTTCGCAGTCTATCCTCGATGACCACAAAGATTCATTGGACCGAGTGATCGAACATGTCTCTTGGCAACATATTCCTCTGGATAATCAGGAGTACATGGAAAGCAATGTTGCTTAATTGCATGCCGATAGAATCAGTCCATACTCTCTAGAGCATAGATTTCGTCGGAATGTACAAAATGAACACGCTCGTTGACCTCGGTCGTCAAGGTACTGTTAAAAAGAAATGTGGAGGTATTAACGTTAAAAGTTGGTCTAGACTAGTGAGTTTTGATTGCCTATAAAATCCAATTTCTAGTGGGGGGAAAGCATCCGTAGCGGCATCCATCATCTTACGTAGTATACAAGACCACCCAAATCCCGGCAATCATCACGGTCAAATGTCTTACGACAACTTTTTGATCGAGTCCACTATCAATAAGAGACGACAAAAAGCAAATGGGAGCTCGGCAACTATGGAATCCAGCAACGCAATTACTAGCGCACGAGGAGATACCAGCCCAAAGGAAGAAACCGCGGCAGACGACGACAACGACAACGACGACGACTATGTCTTTCCGTTCCTCAAGCTGCCACTGGAGCTCAGACTCGCGGTCTACCGCCTGCTGCTGAGACACCGGGCGCCCATCTACCACCTCCAGGATTTCAGGTTCCACCCGGCCATCCTGCGGGCCTGCCGAAGCGTGGGCGCGGAGGCCTGCGCCGTTCTGTACCAGGAGAACACGTTCGGCGTGTGCTGCTGGGTGAAATGGGGCACCACGCCGCTCGCACACATGCTGGGAATCTACCTGACCCGGGACGACGACGACGCCGACGCCGACGGCGGCAGCGGCAGCAGCAGCAGCAGCAACAACAACGACGGTGTGCGGCTGGCCCATCAGAGACTCACCACGACTCTCCCGTGGAAGGGCTTCAGGCGGTTCGAGGTGGAGATCCACCCGGGCAGGGCCATCAGGCACGCCATCGCTCCCGTCTGCGCGTACCTCGACGCGCTGCCGGAGGTGCACCACCTGGGGATCAAGATCATGCCCAGCGTGCGGTCCTCCCGTCCGGGGGCGGAGCCGGCGTACCGTGACCTCGCAGGGCTCGGAGAGCTGCGCCAGATCCGTCACGTCGTTGTCCAGGGAGCACCCGACGACGTCCGGGAAGCGCTCTGCGCCAAGATGACGACGGATCGAATTCCTCGCGACAACTGACACGGGATTACGAAATGCTGTGCCGTCATGGCCAACAGTTCGGCTTACCTCTTAAGCTGTGTGCACACATGTATGATTTACACCCACGTTTCAGCAGAGAACGGGTAGAGGGAGCTTTAATTATAGAAAGGTGTTGTATCAAGGAAATGGAAAACATTGGTAGCACACAAATGCCAATCTGACAAGGACAATAGAAATCGAGTGCAGGCACTTGTTTGATGGAGACAGAGACCGCGGCACAATGAAATGCAAGGACACCTCATCAATGACCAACTCAATTACTTATGGCGGGCAATTGGCTTCTATCATGTCTCTAGCTTTGTCATGGTCAAATTGACAGAATCATTTATTTAGCCAATGCAGCAAGGTTTTACTCCTCAACGCCGTAGTCCCTCAATGGCCGAGTATGGGAATCTCGTGACGCATTATCAAGCGCTAACAAGTATACTATGATCACTGCTCCATAGCATCATCAGCTGCTTCGGCAGCCTCGTCGTCTCCCCATAGCCCATCAAGCTTGAACTCCTTGGCCCATTCGGTAACAATCTGCTTCTGATCAGGAGCAGCACTGTGTGATGGCGTCGCAGCTGCGGCCTTGCCAGAAGTGTCCGTCGTGACGGGTAGGACAGGAGCGTTGACCCAGCCTTGAATACGACCATCCCTCCAATCGATCACCACTGTTGTGGCAGCCGACTCTATGTTGGGAATACCGCCCCTGCTAAGTCTGCCACGCTTGCGGGCAACTTGGACCAAGAAATCAGTAGTAGCGTCGCCATCGGTGGACAACAACGGTGGCAGGTCATAGACGTCCATCAACTTCTGGAGAAGATCGGGCGAGGTTGACAGCCTCTTCAATAGCAAGGTGACTGCCGGTCGGGCATCTCCGATATCTCTGGGAGGCACAGCGTTGAGGAGCACGAGGCTGGAGTGTGCCTCAGTTGAATCTTGCTTCTTCTTGGAGGACTCTCCTTCCTTTGCTGAGGCGAACACAACACCGGGCGAGTCGAGAAGCGTCAGCTTGCTGTCAATCTTGACGTTTCGAATGCTCGTGGTGACACCCGCTTCAGCACCAGCGGGACAGGCAGCGCCTCTTCCGCCCATGCGGGAAAGCAGAGCATTGATGACGGACGATTTTCCGACATTAGGATAACCGATGACACCCACGGATACTGCACGCTTGAGCTGTTTCGAGGCAGCATATGACTTGAGAGACTTCAACAGTTGAGTTGCGGTGCTCTGCACGGTCAAGTTCTTGTGGTTGAATGTCTGCGCGTTGGGGGCGGGGCCCGAGGCACGCAGGGGAATGGTCGGGAAGTATCTTCGTAGGTATGTGAGCCAGTCCTTGAGAACGGGTGGTGGAACCAGATCGATCTTGTTCAGGATCAGAATGAGACGCTTTCCGCCGCTTGCTGCTGCCATGACCTGTCGTTCGACATCTTTCGATCTTGTTCCTTCGGGATCACGGGCGTCGAGCACGTAGAGAACGACATCTGCTTGGTCGATGACCTGCTTGAAGACCTTTTCGTAGGCCCGCTTTGAGGTTGCCGGGCCTACGGGACCTTCGTCGTCGGACTCGTCGGACTCGTCATCCATCTCGCTGCCGCTCTGCAGCTCGTGGTCGTACTTCTCGGCGGCTTTCCTTGCGCTGGCAATCAGAGCTGCCATTGGGTTTGAGTTGTCGCCTTCATCGTCTTCATCCATGACATCGTCATCTCCTTCCAAGTCCTCCGCGTCGTCTCCCTCCATTTCAACCTCGTCGTCGTCTTCGTTGACTTTGCCACCCGTCTTGGCCGCCTTGGCCATTGCGCGCCGCTTCTGGGCCTCCTCTTGTTTCCTCGCTCGGGCATCCTCAATCTCTTGCAGAATCTTCTCCTTGTAGGGGAACAGATTGGGGATACCGGGATCCTTCTTTAGCTTGGACTTCCATTGTGGGTTCTTCTTGTCGTCCTTTCTCGCCTTGCGCTGCTTGGAATTAGAGGCCTTCTCGATCTTGTGTCGAAGACGAACCGTAGTTCGCTTGGACTTTGGCTCTGTGACAATCAATTAGTCGCTGGGGTTCCAGTAGCAAGCCGTAGTCTCGCATCTATGAATGACCTACTCTTGGGTTTCGTGATACTTCCGGCCATTTTGAGTCGTTAGATCAAATTGGTGCATGCACTGTTGCAATGCTTCCGATGGAGATTTCGATGTGATGGATAAGATGGTTATCGGACTGCCCCGCTGAAATATTTTTGGCGGTGGGCGATGGCAGAACTGATTGCTGTGAGTGAGTTAGACGTGGGGTCCAGAGTCCAGAGCCCAGAGCCCAGACAAAGCGCCATTCCCGGCCATTTTGCTGACTATTCGTTTGGATTGTGCTAGGTTAGGTATACATCCAGCACTACCCACACCGTGAGTCGTGCTTACATCGAGGTTTCTACCATAATAAAATTTTCGGTATTCAGTTGGTTTCGCTTCGATAGCATATTATTGGTTATACCATAATTCTACCATGAGATACAGTCTGATCCATACGGATCTGATATAAGCTGCCCCCTAGAAGCGGCTAACTGCCAGATGCATTCATCATTGGCAAGTCCGACTACGGGGCCGTCAAACCAAACAGTGACTCCATAATGGCGGAGATGCCTGATTAGGTTTCGTGCCGCTTAGTTGTCCATGGCATGTTGCAGAAGAAACGACAACTCGGATAAAAACTGCGGTTTCCTGGTTCTGCTTCCTGCAACAGGGTTCAGAGCATCCCTTGGACAAACCCCCCGCGCATCTTACTAAGAACCTTGCTGAGAATTTCACCCGGAGCCCGATCATAGTTACATCGAGCACGTGTTCGCGACTTGTATCGTCTTGTGTAGCACTTATTTCGTTATAGTACCGCCGCATACCTTTGTCATGGCCTACTTAGCCCCCCCGGAGACCGTCTCCTTCCAGGGACTTCTGTTTGACATGGACGGCACCATCATTGATTCGACAGCAGCTGTTGAAAAGCAATGGCAGACGTAGGGCAACCTTTGTATTATGATCCTCCCCCCATTTTCGTGGTACTAATACGATTACAGCGTAGGAGGCGAGATCGGCATTGATCCCGAGGTCATCTTGCAGACCTCACACGGCAGGAGATCAATTGATATTCTGAAGATCCTTCATCCTGAGAAAGCCAATTGGGATTGTGAGTCGGCCCTCTTTTTCCAACTTGGCCCCTTTATGACTTCCGGCAAAGGTGGACTCAACTTGCCCCAGCGACTCACCAATTACAGATGTCTGCCACATGGAAGGGCTTCTTCCCAAGCTCTATGGCGAGGACGCCGTCGAGATTCCAGGCGCCCGCGATCTTCTTCAACAGCTTATCCCCGCCGGGGCACCCTGGGCTATTGTGACATCAGGCACGATGCCACTTGTGACAGGCTGGCTGGACGTTTTGAAGCTGCCGCACCCCGAACACCTTGTCACAGCCGAGTCCGTCGAAAACGGAAAGCCCGACCCAACCTGCTATAAGCTAGGACGCTCAAAGCTCAGCTTGGCTGATAACGCCGATGTTTTGGTATTTGAGGATAGTCCCGCTGGAATCAAATCTGGTAAGGAGGCCGGTTGTAAGGTGATAGGGCTGGTAACCAGCCACACGTTGGAGCAAGTCATTGCCGCCAAGCCTGATTGGATCGTCGAGGATTTGCGTTCTGTCAAGATGATTGAAGTCAAGAACGGGGTTGTCACTCTGGAGATCTCGAACGCTCTGACACAAACGTCACAATGAAGCATTTCAAAGAACATCCTCCATCAAATGAAGCTCTGACGAATGCGGATCGCTTTTTATTGCCCACCGGTGAGGCTCACTTCGTACATGGATGTATCATGGGGCGAAGAGAAAACGACATGCTATTCGAAGAAGGAAGTATAGTAGCCTTATTGGAAAGACCCGCAATGGTCCGTACCAAGAAAATATTGACGAACGGTGGAATACCGTGGTCCAGATAGATCACAGGAAAGTCATGGCAAAGCACCTAGCCAACCTTTGATTTAAACACGCAGTAGTGCCGGCTTCGCTGTCGCTCCTCCTATAATAGTGAGCTGTTTCTATATCGCAAGGGCATCGAGAGGACATCGCTCGTGCTGCTAAAGTCATATCGCCTCACACTACCGGCAGTTGATAAGGTTGTGATCACCAGAACTATTAGCTTCCGCCCGGACACAGGCAGACAGGAACCACACATTGCCATCTCGTTAAGAAGTTGAAGCGCACTGCCAAACCTCTTCAGAGATTCTGTACAAGTACTTTTGCCCACCCCCTTGCGCGATCCCCCGCCCTGCGAGCCTCCCAGGGTATGCCCCACGATTACGAGCATCGCGATCATTTAACAGGGAGATCAAAGACAGACAAGGGGAGGGGGGCTGTTCTTTTTCCTTTCTTTTCAGCCCTCCGTTCAAGGGGCCCTGTTATTAGGTAATATCGATGTGAGTCCTTTTGTTGTCGAACCACAGAATCTCATTCGGCTGGGTTGGGGCCCGGGGGGGTTGATGAACCGCCCAGTGAACCACTTTCGGTCCGTGGGGCCCCTTCAACTTTAGCGCTGTCGATCCGAACCCAGATCTTTTGATGGAGCAAAGCAGCCCAAAAAAGAAAAGAAAAGAAAAAGATATGCAGCTACTGTACTATCTGAACACCCCCATGTCCCAAAAACAACTGTACTTTGTCTCCTTCGCTTTCGATGATGATCGGCCGCTACGTGTAATCTTGGGAGGAAGAAGGGTAGAAGATCTTCCCGTACTGCCCGAGCAACCTTGTTGTCGTACAAGGACCCGACGAACAAAGTACCGGTCAGTGCGGGCCAAGGCAAGGGCGGAATACACTACGTAGATTGAGATGTCCTTCTGCTGGGTCTCGTCGCTTGGAATATATTTTGTCATTCACATGACAATGGCATGATGTAAACAGAGGAAGAGAGTGCAATGGAGATCAGACATCACAAAGACGAAAGTATACTGCTTGTATCGCGTAAGATTGCCGATCATGTGTGCAAAACTACTCCTTGCGACACCCGGCAGCAAGACCAAGATGGTGAGTTGTGATCCGTATGACGACGGCTGCGTTTTTACTTTCAAATGCAATCGGCCGATGCGCAGTGGGCAGACACTTTCCAGACAATTGAGATAGCACAAGGATAGTGTACGGGTATGTGTAGACATTATGGTATGACAGACTGAAGTCCACATCCGTGCGTAAGAAAAATCAGATAGCATCCTCGTTTAAGCGTGATGGGACCCAAGGCCCTGGATACCAGATGGATGTCGTCGACCGTGACATTGTTGCAGACAGTTAGACCTTTGCGCAACCAAGCTGGCACACATTGGAGTAACATAGTCGGGTCATCCTGTGTTGCTCACGAAGTTTTAGACTCATTATTTTATGAGCATATTTGCAAAATCACTGTTTTCACCGTCAAGGTTGTCGGCACTGAAATGCAAGGTCCCGACAGGTGATACGGGCTATGTTAGCTTGCTGCAGCCTCCGCAGTAAAATGGCCGTTACACGCACCTGTACTCGGGAGCACGGCAGCGGAGGAAGACCTGGATGGCTGCAGGACAATTCGTTAAGCTGATCGACGTTGTCGTGCTTCAGCCCCGTGGTGTTGATGCAAGGTGGTCGCCGACCTCAAGAACCAATTGCCTTATCAGGAGCAAGGTCCAGGTGCTACGACTATTATGCACCTAGCTCACCAATGAGATGCATGGTTGACCGACCCCTAGCGCAACTGAGCGCAACAGGAGTGGCTATCAACGACATCATTGACCTTGGAGGCCTTAGCTTGACAAATGGCTTCGTAGTGGGAGGAGAACAATGAGTTCGTAGTGTTATGACAGGTGAGGATATGCGCTCGCCGAACAGCGCCACAACAAGGCACCGCAAATGAGCTGCGAACTTGTGGCTCACACAAAGCAATGTATCGGCCCAATTTCTCCCAGTTCGTATAAAAAGATCTTACCAGCTCCTGGGGCATGGGCCGGCTCTGAGCCTAGGGTATCTGTGCAGGAACACTTCCAAAATGTAAAAGAAAACAGGTTACCAAGGCCTGGGAAAGGAAGTTTGAGGAATACATCATGATTGGGGGATAAGGGATAGGAGCCGCTTATCTGTCACAAACTTTATCAGGCGGCATGCCGAAAGGCTGATTTCGATACTCAAATTGCAAACCTTTACCACTGCGAAGAACACGTTGTAGACCATGCCAAGCGGGACCTTAGCTGTGTGTCGCGGGAAAAGGTTTCTGTCACTGCCGCACACCAACCGTGGATCTGATACGTAAGTGTTTGACTCTCAGGCTGCGAAGGTTACCAGCCGTCAGCTGGTAGTATAAGACGAACGTCAGTGTAACCGTTCTAAACTAAGCTGAGCTGCGGTCATCGGGGTTTTCGGTCTTACCGTCAGTCAAATGGCAATCCGTGATGTGATTCCAAGCGGATAGGGAGGTTCCAGATTCTGGGGGCGTCTATTGCTGGGTTCAGGGCAATTAGCACTTCCTGAGAGCTTCGACGATTGTTGTAAACTGGAGGCTGAGATGTAAGCAATCCTACCTATGTGGCTACCTACTTAGGCATCGGGGGCCATTTTTCGCCCCGCAGAGCACTAAAGATGAGCGCAGCACTAACTTAGAGTAACATCGTGTCAATCACGTTCCGCGATGTGTTACTTCTCGTTATAACCAGATGTGGCAACTGTGTTTGTGGGATGACAGCCTTTTATTTGAAGACTGAATGATTGACTGCTACTCAAAATCGGGTGTGTGTTTTCAACGGACAGAGACTTGTTTCGCAGCAGCTTTGATTGGCGGGCGACTTGGGTAGCTTGGGCGATGTGAATGAGGGAGACCGCCAAGCGGCCAGCCAGCCAGCCAAGTACCTGAGCTGTACATCTTAAGGAGTAAGCCATTCCGCTCCTGGACGCAGGGGAGGTCCTGTCACTGGCGTAAACCACGTGGCTGCTCGGGCCATTTTTTGGTCTAATCTTATGAGCCCCTGAGGTTTACAGCTTGCGAAGCGAATCGCCAGAGAGCAATGATCATTTGCGACCCGAGATATCTGCCTCAGGTCTGCTGGTCGTCATTCAGTAGCTAATCTACTTCAACTATCGACACCTGCATTATCGTTACGCGTTCTATCATTATCTATTCACAGCGGCAATACGACCCCATCCACAGCCACGGCCTTCCCACTCAGATCGAAGAGATGCCTCGTACACTCTGCTATCATGTCCAATCGTCTGACCACTGCCGGTGACGAAAGGAATGCGTGGGGTAGTATCGGTTGGGCCTGGGCTGTGAGTTCAGATTGAAGTACGCACACGCCTATTGTTGTTGCGCGGGTTTCGTGTAATGACCGCTCTTCTACAGCGTTGTAAGACACTGTAAGCCGCAGGGCATATGTCTTGAAATAGCCCATTGAGAAGCACGGGTCTTTCAAAACCATTACTCCTGTGCGCATCGTTCCTGGCCTTCTTTTTGTGAGGGTTGCGCTGCACTAGGGACACCTACAAGCTTGACCAATGCGATAGAAGCGAGGCTGCTTGTCAGCCTGGGCCACATATGCACCTTGGCTGTCTTTAGGTCAGCAACCCCAACTTCGTGTTGGCAATGAAAAGGATCCAATTGCATGACTTCAGGGCCTTTAGCGAAGACGTGCCCGGAATATTATCCTCCCTGTGTACTACAACTGACCGACATATCCGAGATAAACGTGCTGGGCTGTCTCTTCCCATGAACTACATCACTGCACCACATGGCAACGATAATGCTGAATCCTGGCTCGCATCGGCGTGGGAGCACCCTAATCGGCTGGGGCAAGGCACTCTCAAGACAATCATTTGACCAACCGAGGCTCTTGGCTGAAAGTAAGGGACTACATACCGACAGAGCGGCCGGACGGTAAATATATCCCGACAAGCCTGTCAGAATACATGCCACAGTAGGTCTGGACTGGCAAAGTTGGATGTCGGGCCCGATGCTTGACATGTTGCCTCCCCTCCAGCTCGGGCGAAAGTTCTGTTAATGGGAGCGGCCGCTGCCGTTGCAGGGGGGTTTCGCGAGACTTAAAATGAAAAACCTCGCGCTAAAACAAAGATTCCTGTCTGTCGGGTCCCACCAAGCATCTGGATAGGGTCGTTTGAGAGCCAATCAAAACAAGGATTAGCATTAGCGCCAAGCATTGCGAGAAACAATCTCAGAGGGGTTTCCGTCACCTTGTCATGTCATGTTGAGTATGCATGCATGCTATGGATCAATGAGAGCGGAATGTTTGTTGCATGAGCCCCAGGCGTATCCGAAAGAGGAAAGGTATGCGAATCGCGGCTTCATATTCCCGAAGTGCAACAGCTCGACTGCAAACAAATTCAGAACGATGCGCCACTGTTGCTCAATTTGGGAGCTAAACTTCCAGTCGGCGGTCTGAATAGCGCCTTGGGAAAAGTGTCGAACTAGATTTCCAACCTATAGGTAAACAACGATATCTACTATGCAAGGTAGGCAGAGTCTGTTACCCCGGGGCAGCTAGTGTCGGTATCCGTTCAGAGCTGTTTGGTCCTTTTATTGCTCGTTGACGAGATCAGTAGACTAGCTTGTACATGTAGCGTTCTCTCCTACCCAGTTATTGGATTATCTCGTCATTGTCGGAGAGGCTACTCCAAGAGGCTTTGCTTCATCCTGGTTTATCTACCGACAGAACCCAGCCAACCCTGGGATCACGCACAACAGTATTTCGTCAGTTTCGGTGAAGACCATGGCTTATCCACATTCGTATTCGTAGTCAAAGGAAGATTACTTTAGCAAGTAGTGTCAGTATACCTAGTCTACCTGATCGCTGGGAACTTGATTAAGACTTGTAATTGCGCGCTTTCGTGATATGTGAAGGAGTGCTCCCTCCCGGGGCCATTCAGATTGCTCTGAGTACCACGAGGTTGTCGTTGGACTTAGAGCTTCACAATCCCAGTCTTCGCAACAAGGTAAACCTATCTGGTGACGCCTTTTTGAGATGTCAGGGTCCGCACACACTGGAACTGGTATCGGCGTTCTGGCCGGATCGACATTGGTCTTGCCTGGATGCTGATGGAACCCCACGTACCGGAAACAGGGTTATCCGAGCAGCTGGGCAAGTCGTTGATCAATGAACCCCTGGTTTTACGGTATGTAGCGACGTTGTTAACTTCAGCTTCATTTTGACAACGGCACTCTGGATTCGGCCACTGCACATTTTGGGGCTTCCTATTCGAGCTTCTCGAGATTTGCGCAATTGGCAAAAGCTCCGTCGCTCTTTGGTGTTTGTCGTATTAGCCGCTGCCGGCTTATTTTTTTCTATCATCTAGACCTCGCCGCCCCAATGCGACCCTACACTGCACAGTTGTTAGACTTCCCGTCAGCATCTCACTGTAACCCAACTCCCCGCCACACATTTGGCTATAGTGCACATCTTAAGGGATATTCTCTGCCATCTTGTCGATTCAAAGCGCGATGGTTCTGCCACTGTCGTCATATTTCATTGTTACAGGGCAGAACGGGTATAGACGAGACGTTTATTACTTGATAAACCCCCCATCCTACAATGTTCCATCTTTCCTAACGTCAACCGTCATTCTGTAGATTTGTTTCGCAGAATGGTACTACTCGTAAAATTTCAGTGTTAATCATGTGTCTACCTCGCGTGCCTCACCTCGAAAGATAAGCCTGCAAGACAGCCCCGAAGGTACCAATAATATTTCAGCGAACTCCATTGGCATCAGCTACGCACTTGCGCTCGGAAACTAACACCTTTCTCTCGCCTCCTGGGTGACATTCACGATCCTTTTCTAGACCGTCTGTCTCTGAGCGGCCGAGGCACTGGCGACCGGAGAGGACGGATTCGCAAGATCCTCGTAGAGTTGGAAGCCTCCTATCTTCCGATGCAACCCTGCACTGAATATGACCGACGCAGCACGGGATGCGAGGTTACTTGCAGGGGCGAAAACTCGATATCCACCAATTACCTTGGGAACTTCTGGACCACCTTTGATCACAACTCTCAGGTGTGCGAACGCCAGAAATAGCACGCTGGTACGATGCAGTGCAACACAACGGCATGGAATTCATAACCCTCCTTTCTCCATCAGCTTACGCTTCACTGCTAATTAGGCTTCACGGCAGTGGCTTGATTGGGAGGAGCACAAACAAGCGCAGGTCTCAACACTGGAACGGCGAGGTGGCTGCTCCATTGGTACAAGTTGGAATGTATACTACTGTGAAAGGTTTGAATAGACTATTATGTCCTTTGCAGATACTGATTGCCATACTTCTCATGGTCCCATCATCATAACAGGTGCAGACGCACAACCTTCGGAACCGAGACAAACAGATGGGTGTGAACGCCCGATTTAGGTTTGCGTTTGTTTTGATCTTGCAGTATGCGAATCTCGACGGGCCTTGTAGACCCAGTCGGGTGGCTTCTTGACCACGTTTTAGTAATTATTGTGATTCTCCGCCAGGCATATAGCACGATCTCTATTATACCTCAACAGCATTAGAGCCTCCCGACCTCTTGGTTTGACATCAGATGGATCGCAGCCACGTGCGATTCGTCAAAGGTCTTGGACCGGGATTCCACATGCGATTCACGAATTTCTCTTGAGGTTCGGACGGAATATCCGCTAGTCCAGCTACTTAGCTGGTGAATGAGGTTGCCCCCCTAGCCGCAGAGAATGATCATGGATCCGATGGGGCCGTCCCAGTTGGGTGGGTGTCAAATACCACCTAGTAATTTGTGCAAGGCAGGGAGGATGAAAGTACAGTACCTACAGTACTTCCTACTGTACGTATCGTAGTTAACCACTAGACTAGGGTGGACCGGTCCGGTGGGAGCGACGAAAGATGCAGCAATTTACAAGCGCATAATTTGGTGCATCTCATCCCTGTCGCGGGATGGTTTGGCTCAAATTCTACGATTGTTGAACGGGCTTGCAAATCGGCTCATTTCTTCCACGAGTCAAGTTCATATCAGATAATTATTATTGCCTGTACGACTTGCAGGTAGTCCTGGGAGCATCTGGCGCCTGTTTACGACCCATACACGCTACGGGGTGTTTTCGTCACCGAAACTTCGGAGCGAAGCTAAGCGAAATAGGTCCCCGGCGGTTGCATTCTCAGGCGCCATCGGGTGTTTGCGAACAACACTGGCTTCATACCATAATTGACCTTAAGGGTTGTACTAGGTTACACGAAAACAACGAAGCACTCTTTTGAATGCATCGAGAACAGACCAGAGAACAGTAGTACAACTTGGCGAACCTAATGTAGAACCTGGTATGACTTTGACGACCTAATGTGGGTGCAGCGATTTCTCCAGACTCTAGAGACATACTTCAGCCTTGACCTGCAGCTCTATGCAGTAATCCACAAAGTATTGCTCGAATCGGTTGACAAATCTCTGATAAAAAGCAAAACAGGTAGCGCGTATGCGACCGCTGGAGATGGGTGGTGACCAAGTTCAGCCCCGAGGCGCTCTTAGCGTTGCGTTTTTGTCGCCCGCGTCAGGGGCAGGACACCAAAACGATCCGCTGTATTTTAGTTGGGCGCCATAGATCTCCATCCAGACACGAGAGTTTGTCGGCATATGGCCCCTCAGAACATGTCACTTTCACAAAGTTTGCTGGGCTCCGTCCCAAATAACACATTTGATCGACCGCGCGCAATTGTATTGCTTGCTTCAGTGCTCGGAAGGATACATCGAGCACCTGACATGACTAATGATTTCGTAATCACGCGAGTGCCCGCATTGTGCACCAATGTAAGTTGATGTGCGTTCGTCCGAGAATACCGTAAAGCTCATATCAGCATACCATGATTTGTGCATTTTACTATACCTTTGTCAAAATCTCAAGATCTGGCATTTCATGACCAGGGAAACGCCTTGGAACTGTGCCGGTTTGATCTTGCGTCAAAACTAACGCCATGACAGCTGACCCTGTATTTAACCTCACGGTACGGCAACACGTAAATATGTTGGCCCTTGCAACCTTCAGGGAAGAAAGCATCTCTCGTTAAAGCTAAGGGAGCTTGAAGGTAGCCATGGCTTATTGCTGTTTTCCCTCGGAAGCGGCAGATTAGACAGTCCGTTTCTTTTTTCTTCTTTCCCAAAGGGCAGCTGAAGCAAAGCTGAGATCATACACACCTAAATATTCATGGGCGCACAGAAACGACCCCACGATAACGCGATCCCGTTCCATGCACACCTGGCTTACATAGCCAGGGTGAGCTGATGAGCAATGACAGGGGGGAGGGGAGGGAGGCCCTCTTTTGCATTGGTCCCTTTCATTCCCATCGTGGCACCCCCGTTCAACCCACTTTTGGGGAGCTTGGGATGTGAGAATCACCAACCTTTTTCCCGGTTAATGAGCAATCAGTACGCACCTACCGCCAGTGACAGCGTTGGGCGGTGCATCGCGTCAATCACTTTCCATCGCAGCTGTTCTCATGGGGCCCTTTGCTTTTGCATCGATGGGTCTAGTGAACATGTGATGCGATGACGATTTGACAAGAGTAGTGATCTCAATTACAGCACATGAATGCGAGCGCAGCCGCCAGAGCCGCTGCAGTACCGGTACAGCATGCTTGCTTGCCGAGAATGGTTCAGGTGGTGCCTGGGTAGAGCGCTTGAGCAGCTCTCACAGGCTGCTTGCTCGACAATGACAACCCCGGAGGTGCATGCTGCATCGTGGGCGCATTCATCGCCCTGAGCGCTGAGCGCTGGCGTCGGAGGGTGGTGTGGCTTCCGCGCACACTGGTACTGGGCCCGCCTGCTGGCTTGGCCCCTGCCGGGGCCAACCGCCTTTGGCCAATTTCGCTCAGGGCATACTGCCAATCTGTGCTTCTGGGCTCCACCTACACCCAATCTCCCGTTGGGTACTGCTGAGGTACTTCGAGAATCACCCTTGAACAGCGCAGGCCCAGCGCGTGGGTGCAAAAGGCTCACACAAACTACACACCCAGGTCACTCTCACGGCCCACTGTTACGCCCAACTAGTACTTCTCTAGACGTCCACCCCCTCTCCCTTCCGTTTTCCTTGCGCTCTTGTGTTGTTTTTGAAACATCCCGATCTTAGTTGTCTCTTCTCGAGGTCAAGTCTTCGGGTCGCTCCAAAGTGAGTTCTGTCTCACACGGACTTGGTAACAGCTCATACAGAGTTGGCCACTCGTCTCTTATACCACCTTGACCCCTTCGAGCGCCGCCCAATCTTCTTACGCTTTGTATCAGCCTTGCAGTTACGCTCTTTCTTTCAACGCCGAATTCAATCTGGATCAATACTCCCAGGCATCTGACCTTCAGTCATTCTTTATAATCTCTCACGATATTTGGGTATTACAGCCTGTATTCTCGAGCGTTTACAATCTATTAATCGGATATCACCCAACGATCATTTCAAATCTCGACTTACACAAAGTTTGTTCCTAATTACGCCCAAGTCGATTCCGAGTAAATATACTTTGATTTTCCGCCGCCAATCTTATAGCGATTCATCATGGATACCCAATTCTTTGGCACGTCAAACTTTGGCCCTGTCTTCAACTTTGCGCATGGACAGGGACCTGCCATGCACTACCCTGAAGGCCAATACCCGGTTTATGCTGGCTTCCCTGGTCTTCAATATATGTATGCATCGCAACAACCACCAAACGAATACCCATCCGACCGCAATTCTCTCAGTGACGGCAAAACGGAATCTAAGCCACGGCTGTCCAAGGACGAGGTTGAGAGATTAGAAAAGATATTTTCTGAAAACCCCAAACCTTCCAGCTCGGTCAAGGCTCAGCTTGCAGATGAGCTAGGACTTGAAAGGCCAAGAATCAACGTAAATACGCTCTATGCATAACTGTGTGTATATACAACTAATTGCCTTCGTAGAACTGGTTTCAGAACAGGAGAGCGAAAGCAAAGCAGGAGAGGAAGCAGGAGGAGTATGAAGCACGTCGTGCTGCAGAAAAGGCTGGCTCTGAACCCAAATCTCCTGCAGATACACCTTGTGGCATTGTGGGAGCTCTCGAGCAAGAAATTCACCAGCGCATGAAGCCATCATCTGCGCCTTTCCCTGGACTCGAATCAGCTACGGAATCAACACACGACGCAGATAGCGATGCTGAATGTGAGGAGGATGCCACGGGTGACTCAGGAGATTTTGGCTCGCCTTTTACTTCTCAATCAATGAAGCTGCATGCAGATGCTTCATCGGGTGAACTGCAATCTCCAGTGTCCCTCGACTTATCACAGTCAGAAGATCTAGGCTTCCCATACTCACAAACGTCCCAGACCTTCAGCGCTCCTGGGTCCATGCAGAGCTATGCCTCATTTGGGTTGCAAGATCATCAAGCGACGAAGCAATCAAACCTGGAACTGGGCCTTGAAGAAATGACGAATGGATTGCCTTCACCTGAAGAGCAACTCACAGCTTCTAGCTACCAGGCTGATCACTATCTGAGAGTGATGGGTTCGAGTTATCCAAACCCGGCTTTGTCGTTTTACCAATCTCGTATTATTTTGGAAGAACATGATTTAGCGAACGACACCAAACAGGAATCCATAGAGGAAGTAGAGCACATTTCTTGTCACGCCGACCAAGCAATGTCATCGCTTCCTATGGGCATCCCAATCCCTGATAACTCTTTCAAGTCACCCCCTCCTCCAGCTAATCTTGCATCGCGGCGAAATATCCCGCGGCCGGCAACTCTTCAAGTCGGAAATATGCGAAGTCGATCCTATAACCTTGGGCCGAAGACAGGGATGGACACTTTGAGACGAGCAGACCCTACTAGCCCGGCGACGGCTATGCGCAGGATAGCTTCAGCTGGCGGAAACATGGCTGGTAGAATCCATAAGCAAGCCGCTGGTCCACGCTCGCCGCTTTTCTTGAACCGCAACACCGAGGCATTCTTCAATTATCACTCGCGTTCACCCGTTGGGGTTTTTAGCGCGGCATTCCCCAGTGCCACTCCGCCCACTCCGATGACTCCTGCCGTCATGAGCCAAGGTGGCCGCGAGCCGACAGTTTCATCAACCTGCTCTGACGATGATGCGTTCATGCTCGGTCATGGTATGGAATCGTTGAAGACGCCCCCTGAGACTCCTGGCGTGCTGGGAGGCCTGACCAACAACTTCAATGGGCATCCATTCAACACTAGCATGGATTTCGCTATCGATCAGCCATTGCTAACGCCATATATCCAAACGGAGTTTCCCGATCTTTCACTCCGTCACATCCCGAGCTATGTCGAAATGAGTGACAATAATAGTCTTCCGTCAACACCGCTATACCACAACATGATGAGTGCTGCAACACAAAATCCGAATTGTCTAGCCGCCGTTGTACCAGGCAATGCCCAATTTGATTGGGATGCAAATGAGTCCATCACATCAACGAAATCGTCCCCGGGCCAGCCACAGTCTAGGCAGATCCAGTTCACCCCAAACATGACCCCACAAGACTACAACGTCATCCAAGAGAGGTGACAAATGTGAGCTCGATCAGACGAGGTAGCATTGGCTATCCTTACTGCGGGTCGCGTTCAACGTCACTCTTGAACTGCATTCGCACCATCGGTGCCTATGGTGTTGGTGTATACTCATGCCTAATTCTCTGCACTTCCGTCCTCGCATCTACTGCTTTACAGCGTCTGAATTTCCGAAGCGACAAGACATTGATTCTTCAAAAGCGAGATATACAATACCGTATTAATGTAATGACCACATAATCTGCTAGGTTGCCGGACCGGGCTTGAAAATGATACCCGAGGAAGTGAAGGGAAAAAACTCGGCGAGTCAGATAAAGGACTCGCTGCCTACTTTTGGCCAAGTCTTCATCAAACTCAACTTCTGTATACTTGTGTTCAATACCCCTGAACCCTTTTTTTTTCCTTCCATTTTTCCTTTTCTATTCTTTGAATTTACCTCGGGCGCTCTGAGCTGGAGCCTGGATAGGCTTAGCGATGTCACGATCAACAAAACATCATGAACGGTCGACTGCGCGAGTGATGCGTCAAGGAGTTAATCATATCGAAAGGGCATATGTCGGAAATTGGAGCATTTGAGTTTCAAGCCATAGCAAGGACGGACGATTGCCTACCCCTCTTATATATTAGAAAACATGAATTACAGCATCTTCAACGAGGCGCAAATTTCGCTCTCATTCCTTATCAAAATTAATGACTGTTCATTCCAGAGAAACAAAACATAATTGACTTACCGAGGAATGCTAAGCTGGTCTGGGGGAATTCTTATGTTTCCATTCATCCTATGATGCTTGCTGGGAGCTATCTCAACAAGTGGCTCGTCTTTCGTACCAAACTGCATATATAAGAGTTATGGCAATGGGGGATCATAGGATCCATATACCTCGGCTGTGGGTCGCAACAGATTCGGAATCAACACTATTATGTATTGAGTTCCTTTTGTACATTCTCTCTGCCGGAACATGAGCTTCGAAACCTTTCGAGGCATGCCAGACAAAACCCACAAAGGCGGCATCTCAATTCGAGAAACAGGTCATTTGACGGACGAAAATGTCAAAGAGGCAACCTAGCAATACCACACTGGGAAAACATCGGGCCTCCGCTCCACAACTGGCCCTCGGTTGCGCCCAAGTTTCTGGGTTTGTGGGGAAACCTCAAAGCAACGTCGCCATTTACCATGCTACCAATCCCTGCCGATGAACCCACTGCGGAGAGGCTTACCCCAGCTTCATTTGCCGGCAAAAGAGTTCTGGCAATGACAACCACAACATACTCTGCCGTAAAACTGATCACCCCTCACAGAATTCGACATCCCCACACACTAAGTGTTCCTTAGACGAAGGTCGAGAAGGTCATACCCCAGCTTCTAGCCCAGTTCCTCTGCCTGGTATCCTGGAAAGGCCCGACTCGACCGCACTGGTGGTCGTTGGGGTCATTGAGTTGCGAAGCTGCAGTCTTTACACCGGCTCATAAAGTCGGTGGCGGAAAATCCGGGGCAGTAGCTGCAATGACGAAGGTACCGTTGCGATGGGCCCTGGTAAGATGTAATAAGTAGATAAAAACGCGCATGTATGTGCAGACGTAGCAGGTCCTCGAGTGAATAACCTGTGGTTTAGGATCTCTTCTCGTCAGCAAGTTTTCTAGTACTTCACCGTGTTTATCGTGGTCGCCAAGATGCTTCTTACGTTGCTTGCCGCTTGTTCTGTTTACATCAGCTTTGCCGTTTCTGTTCCAGTGACGGAAAGAGAATACGTCGTAGCCCCTACTGTGACGGTTAAGAATGGTACCTACTCAGGTATTCACAGTGCCGAGTATGATCAAGACTTCTTCCTCGGTATACCCTACGCTCAGGTACAAAATCTCACAAGTTGATTCCAGCATACTTTTTCTGTTTGGGTACTGACCCATATATATTCTGTACAGAAAGCAGTACGCTTCAGCCAAGCTCAGCCTCTGAATAAGACCTGGGAAGATACGAGAGAGGCCACATCCTACCCACCACACTGTATTGGATATGGCGGGGACGAGGTTGGATACGAACTGTCAGAAGATTGCCTCTATATCAACGTGGTCAGACCAGCAGGGCTCAACAACACCTCTGACTTGCCTGTGGCTGTGTGGATACATGGTGGTGGTCTCTATATGGGTGGCTCGGCCGACAAGAGATATAACTTGACCTTTATCGTTGAAAACTCTGTTAATCAGGGTACTCCCATTGTCGCTGTGAGTTTCAACTACAGACTGTCCGCGTTCGGGTTTTTGAGCGGAAAGGAAGCTCTTGAGGCTGGGGTGACAAACATCGGCTTCCGCGACCAGCGCCTGGCTCTGCACTGGGTCAACGAGAATATCCAAGCCTTTGGGGGAGCCTCTGACAAGGTCACAATCTTTGGCGAAAGCTCCGGAGCCGAGTCGGTTAGCGCTCAAGTCTTTGCTTACAACGGTAAGAATTCAGAATGCGACAAAACCCTGAAGCCTCTGCTAATAGCATAGGTCGTGATGACGGTCTTTTCCGTGGAGCTGTTGCCGAGTCTGGTTTTGGAGGAGTGCTCCCCAGATATCCGGGCGGCTATAATGCCACCCAGTACCAACAAGCCACTTTCGATACACTTGTACAGAACACGTCCTGCGCCTCGACTGTGGGAACCCCCGAGGCCATCACGTGTCTGCGAAATGCTCCCTTTGAGGAGATCAATACGGCCATCAATGTCACCGGCATTAGCCCTTGGCCTCCGGCGCTTGACCATGATTTTGTTGCAGATTATCCCGCAAACCAAATTGCAAATGAGAAATTCGTTCATGTTCCTATCCTTATTGGCTCAAACTCCGATGAAGGTACAGCATTCGGCCCTGGTCGAGGCCCTAACGATGGACCTGTCAACACTGATGACGACTTCGCTTACGCGATCAGCAACATCATCAGCTCAAACGTCACAAACTCGACAGGAAAATCTGCGGATGAGATTACTTACGAGCTCTCCATCCTCTATCCTGATATCCAGAGCATCGGCATCCCATCATTGGAAAGCTGGCCTGTGGTGGTCACCAACGATACGGAAGATATCGAGGACTTGGGATTACAATATCGACGTATCAATGCATTGGCCGGTGACTATTACTTTCACTACGCGCGCAGAAGAGCAAGCATTGCATGGAGCAACGCAGGCTTGGCTTCATACACCTATCGTTTCGATGTCACTGTGAATGGCATTCCGGTATCTACCGCAGCAACGCACTTTCAAGAGGTAATTGTAGCACTTCATCCACTATCTTCATTTATTGTTCTGACGATATTACAGGTAGCCTTTGTCTTCTACAACCTGAATGGGGAAGGCTATGCCACAAACCCATTCACCAACACTACCCAAGCATACAAGGACCTGGCGCTTACAATATCATCGGCATGGATTAACTTTTTTGTTTCACTGGATCCCAATAGCGAGGCGGTATCTCCAGCATGGCCCATCTACAATACCACGAGCAGCAGTGGCGTTGGAAAAGAGGTTGTGTGGAGTGTAAAGGATGGCGGAAGCTACGTCGAGTTCGATGATTACAGGGCGGAAGGTATGAAGTATCTCAGCGACAATGCTCTGACGCTTTTCGGCAACTAGAAAATTACGCATAGATATCCCCGACGGAGCAGGTGCATCTAATCACGATTTATATTCTGCAATCGATCAAAGGCAATGAAGCAATGTCTGGGTCACCGTGCCGATATATGTGGGAGCTTGATTCTGCATCATACTTGAACTTGAACACCATAATATTCTGCTGGCGCAGGGATCAACTCATTTGCAAGCTCATGGGTTTCTCTAAAAGACGCGACTGACATAAATCTAGCTGTACTAATTGTATAGTTCTGATAGTAAGGGATTACTATCAATGCTCGCTAAACCATTATTAGATTAACATTGCTCCTTGTAAGATTTTCCTCCTAAACTGGCATCTATCTAATCAGTTCTCTGAAATCCTCGCCTATTTTCAGTTTATCGATTTCCCTTTCTGCCTTTGCATCTTTCAAGATGCCGGATAAGTCCGAAGTCGATCCATTGAACCAAGCGCGCAATGACGAATAGACTTCTCTGAGCTAATCGATATCCAACACAGATACGCCTCCCTCCTCCAAACTGCCAGAATCCACGTGTGATATCGGTTTCGTGACCATTCAGCAATTGCTCTGGTCGGAAAGCTTCAGGGCCTTTCCGCTCATTACACAATACAACTTCATTAACGATAAAACCAACGCCAGGCAGGGAGTGATATCCCTCAAACTAAATATCATGGATCGAAGTATGGTTTGGAACCAACATATAGATTGGTCGCCACCTCAATATTTCCTTCAACGCCGCGTATATGTAGCGCAAATCTTCCATATCGTCTAGATTCAGAATTCTAGCAACAGCACCAATACCATAGACACGATCAACTTCACTAGGTGCTTTTTGAAACGCCTCTGGAGATTCCATCGCCGCCATGATCATGATGTTAAGTGCTTCCTGTGTGGTGTCGCTTCCGGCTTCGACAAGCTGTATGGCTACATACATAGCATCTTCTTTATCACCATGGAACTCTGTATCAGGATGCAGCAAGGTATCACGCACGAACGATAGTGGTGCGACACCATCTTCGACCTGTTTTCGCACTGGTTCAAACCACGAGTTGCACATATCGTAATTCCACTTACTAAGCTCTCCCACTGCGGCGCCCAGAAATGCGAGAATCTTGGGAGCTTAGCGATATCTGGAAACCAATCCATTACACTGCTCCCGATACTTCCCACAAAAAATGTGACACAATTTTGTAGACCTGCCAACTCTTTCATAGACATGACCAACCGCTCTCCAAGGGCGATAACGTGAACCACAGAATTGGCATATCGATAGTGGTGTCTGTACCAAAAATCGGGCGTGAAGACATATTTGGCCATCATTTGTGTACTCTATAACTCTTGCAACCCGCCATACTGCTCCAATACAGTTCCGCTCAACAGACTGTGCATGACGCGGCGAACCACTTCTCCTGAGTTGCAAGGAAAGATCGGCGACCACACCCACGATCCTACTAGAGACTGGCATGGCAGATTGCGTACTTGTGACCATGCTTCGCATCGCGATGATCCGGTAGACTACTCTACTGCTATACAGGAAAACCAATATCTTTTGACCTATGTGTAGCATCGTCATTTCGCCATAACTGGCTAGTCCTTTGAGCCGTAGTACATAATTAGCTGATATTACGTTAAGATGATCTTGTTATGTCAATTATGCTGAGATTAAAGTGTTGTGCAACTTAATGTGGGTTTGATCGTGGCGGGCATATTTTAGTTGGCCAATACTACCTAATATCAGCACTCCTTTTGTCCCAGGAGGTAAACGAGGCTTACGGCCATCGAGATCTCTCCGTTACGATACCGGCTTGAAGTCATGTGATATGCATGAAAGGTAGTAGCCAATAATGCTAAGATGGTCAAAGAATAGGTATATATGGTACCGATAGGTAATCTATAACCGCATACTGAATAAGTGCGGACATCATGGCGAGTTCTGCTGTCGAGTATGACAATTGTTTAAAAAAATAAAAAATAAATAGGAAGTCGCTTAAATTTTGTGTCTCATTCGGTGCTGAATGTTTCATATTTAGTTTGCTAGATCCAGGGCAGCGGCTATACCAGGATCTCTCTGAAGCATGGATTCTGTCGATACGGAACGGTCAACTCATAAGATATCATGACGATGACACCGTTAGCCTTCTTGTCGGCCTCAAAAACGTGCCTTGTTTCTTGGATCGTCCCATCAATATCATTGAAATCAGGAGACTAGCGAAAAAGCCGAATCTGCCTTTTCGCTGGCAACAGACCTCCCAGACCTTATTATATAGAGTACGTGCAAGTTTTCTTCCTTTGTCCATAAGACCTGGAACGGCTGGTCCAGGAGCTGTCACTGGCAAGACCGAGAAATATACTCCGATGGTGTCGTTGAAGCGAACACATTCTGCGAGTGCCCGGGTGGGTGTAGCCCATCCTGATGCGTCACCCCCATTCCCCTCGACAGCTTCATCATAGCCAGGCGTTAAAACATGAATACTGCAGGTTTGTCAGTATTCATCGAAAGGACGTGTATGGACATCTGACTGTATCAATTTGAGACGTGCCAGAGGTATTATGCAGCGAACGGGCTGCGTTTATCGCTAATAATTCAAGTAAGTGATTATATTGTACTCCACGGTTTCAAAGAGTTATTCCTGTTTCTCTGGTAAGAATTTTAATGATGCCATTTTTTGACGCTGTCATTGAGTCACAATCAGTGCCAAAAGACATGCCTTAAGCAGCTTGTCTTCGGTGCAAGTCGATGGGTGGCGTCAGTTGCTTTAATTTGACCCGGATCCTCCAAACTACGCCCAGGACTTTATTTAAGCAATAGTCGGATGATAAAATCAGACAAGTCGCCTTCACAATTATCAAGTTTGAATAGACTGATGGTAGAAATCGTCGTATAAAACTTCGATAACCACCTTATTTAAAGTCGGTGATAGTTTTAATACAATGTGTCTTGATACCACAGTTTAATAATTCAGACTTGTGATCGTCATTGTTTTGTTACTGTGGCTCGTGCTCAACAGGCACCTCGGAATTTGGTTGTCTCCAGCAGTCTCCGGCAGACCCCGCACCAATGAGTTTCTCTTTACGTAGGATCGGCTCCGTCCCGGACTTCCAGAGCTTTCCCGGAACTGTCCCGACCATGGGGAAACCACTAACCTAAGCCTTTCCTGATCCTACTATGTATCGATTTTGTAGACCATAACTCGTTACATTTGCTGAGAGGCTAGCTACATGTTGTGATCTACTTGAGGCTAAAATACCGACCTTCTAACCTAATGCCGAGGTCTCGACCGAATTGCACAAGTTGAAACAAACTGTCAGAAGAGGGCAACAAGTATGCTACCAAATGCGCAATGCTTCTGTAATATCGGTCTCAAAGAAAGGGCTCTTTTTTGGTTTTTGGTTTGTTTTTTTTGCAACCAATACTTACAGTGTTCTCCGGACAGCGCCCGCGCAACAACTTCTGATCTAAGTTGCGGTTCTGCTTCGCATTTCTCTTCGGTGTCTTGTGTGCTTAGAAGTATCCATTCTACCTAAAACGGACAAAATAAAATAAAGGGTGAACAACTATGTCTGATGTTCGCGAGCGTCAACGGCGAAGGAAAATTCCGCTGGCTTGTGAGCCATGTCGTGAGCGAAAGAGTCGATGCGATGGTGGGAAGCCAATCTGTTTGTCGTGCCAGCGACGTGGGTTATCCCTCGATCAGTGTATATATACCACGGATAATGCTCGAACAGCAAGTAAAGATTTGTAAATTCCACAACAGCAAATGCCAGTTGTGATAATACTAACATTTCCTCATAGATATATCAGAGTTTTGCATGATCGGATACATTATCTCGAACAAAAGCTTGAGCAGCACGGAATCAGTATAGAGCCATTTGGTGGCGAAAGTGCACCAACATCGGACCTTCGTGATTCCGAGCCTGCAAGGCTGTTGTCGCATTATGAATCGGTTTCACACGCAGATGTCACCAATTTAGTCGGTTCGAACCCGTCAACGGCTACTAGACATCGCGGGTCGATCCCGGCAGCCTCTCCGGTCAGCCTCGATACAGATGATATGGAAAGCGGCATTACAGCAATGGGCACAATTGCCGATGAGGACGAAATTGATGGCGCTTTTGACACATCTGGGGAATTCTATGGCACATCTTCCGCAGCATCCTTTATGCAGGAGGCTATGGCAACGGCCAGGAGCCCTAAGCACACCGTAATTCCGCTCATCAACCCACCACAGTCAGATGGTGGTAGACGAACTATAGGAGCACGTACATGCTATCTCAACTTTAGCCACTCAGAGAGCTTCAGTTTACCGCCACGATCACTAGCGGATCATCTCCTTGATAGGTTCTGGACCAAAGTATTCTATCTTTATCCAATCTTCCACAGGCCTGCTTTCGAGCAGGCTTATCAAAATATTTGGAAGACGGAAGGGGAGGTTAACCTCACTTCAGAGTTTAGCGGAGTTGGTCTGGGTAGCTCACCTGACGGGGAAGCCAACACCATCTTGTTTCATTGCGCTCTCAACACCATATTTGCAATCGGTGCCACATTCTCTGATCTGTCGCCTGCACCAAAAGACACAGCAGCCAAGTCGTTCCTCCACAAAGCCAAATCATTCATTGGACTGGACTTGCTTGAGACTAATAACATCGGTGTGGTACAGTGTTTGCTGTTGCTGGCAGTATTTCTACAGAGCACACCTTTTCCCACTCGAACCTGGAATGCTGTGGGCGTGGCCTGTCGGGTTGCTCAAGGACTTGGTCTTCACACTGAGGCACCAAAAGGAGATAGGAGTCAGCTTGAAATCGAAATTAGTCGACGGACGTGGCATGGATGCGTCATACTCGATATGTATGTACCTCAAACACAGACAAACCCCAAGCTTGCCCTCTTTCGCACCAATAATTCTGTTATCCGCAAATCTTAACTACATCCCTTAGGATCGTGAGTATGACTTTCGGACGCCCAACAATGACCGCCAATATCCCACCGCGTCCAATGCCATCCGTGGTGGAATATGTCGTATCTGGTTGCGGCCGGTCAAGCGACTTGAATTCACAGCATTGCCCATCACAGCTTCAGTTCTTCAACGAATACTCTCGCCTATGCGAATTACTCAAGGACATTCTTTCCCAGGTCTACGAAGGAGGTAACAACGGACTGGCGACTGGCGCTATGCAGGCGCAAACTAAGTCGCACGACTTTAAGTTAACACTGGAACTCGACTCAAGGCTTGCGTCATTCGAACAATCTGTGCCCCCAATCCTCTCCTGGATGAAACCGCAAAATTTGACAGAAGTTCCCGAATCTCAGCGACTGATATTTGAAACACAGCGAATCGTTCTGCATGGAAGGTATGGAAAATCCTATTAATTTCTGTATGCCCAGAATCTGACATGGACAGATTTCTGTATCTTCGAATTATGCTTCATCGCCCAATCCTAACCCAGCTATGTGTCGCCGGCCAAGCAGCACCAAGTTCGTGCTCAGTCAATGACAGCGCACTTTGTAATTCCATATATAATTCGTTCACCGTCGAATGCGCGAAGACGTGCATACAGGCGGCTATTGAGCTGATTGAAGTAGTACATAAAACTTACCATACTCCGTATACCGGGGGATGGTGGTGGGACGGACTTTACGCATGTACCTCTGGCTTGATTCTTATTGTCAGCCAACTGCACCCTCAACTGAGAGATTGTTTCTCTCAGCACGAGATTCAGCGCCACTGGAAGTTCTGCGATACAATATTAGAGCATCTGACTTCTCAAAGCGCCTCAGTTCAGAAATCCCTCAAGCTACTACGGAAGATCCACAACGATGTTATGCCTGGGAAGAATATTAGCAAGTCACATAAGTTGTAGACTCATTGTCAATCTGCTAATTGCGTGTTTGTAGAATCTCGAACCAAACATACTGGGGCTGTCCGGGATGATTTTTCGACTGGCGGTGGAGCCAGAGCCACCCAAGAGACACCGCAGCCCGCAATTGGCGATCTAGTTGAGATTTTGCCGTTTGAACTCATGGACGACTCTACCATGAACGAGCTATCATTTGATTGGAGTCAGCCATTGAATCTTTTTACCGAAGATATTGCAACGGAAATATTTCAATAAGTAACGAGCACTATTCAGAAGTCATATGATTGATCATCGTACGAAATTTCGCACGAAATTTCGCGAAATTCATCCCCACTATGTAAGTTTCAATCATGGGCCGTTGGATTGCTCGTCAGCTTTGTTAGATTTTTTGTAGGATCAGGTTCCTGGATCGACTCCACAGTTATTTTTAGTAGTGATAATGTAGCTCTGGGATTATTTTATTTCGGGTGATAATTTTCAAACAGCTGCCGTGTTTCCGCTTATTTTCATTATGGATCTTTGAGGTTAGGCTAGGCCTGAATGCGCTGTTCGGGGGGTTGTGCTTATGCAAATAAGCTGAACGTATACGATGGCTACTCGTATATATGGGCTCGCTACTCCTGTTGCTACACTTGTGCCAACATATTTGGGAGTAATGCGATTCGTAGAAGACCTGAGAAACAGTGCGACGACGACATCACGATGTCTACTCAAAACGACTGGGATTTCGGTCATACCAAAATCTACCCACTCACATTTCAAAGTCGAGGCATATCCTTTCCGGAATGGGTGTCACTCTTCACTCTCGCCCTGGCACCGCTAATTGCACACATTATTGCTGGAGCGCCCGAACCATCATATCTCTGCAAAAGGCGACCAAAATGGCACGAGCGCATCAGCCATTATAATCCGACATCTATTTTGTGGCGCTACGCTGCCATTGCCGACCGACGGATCCGAGCCAATGCCTGGGACCCATCCGATATGGCGGCGTCTAACGCTCTCTTTTGGACAGCGGAGGGTTGGGACGGTTCTGAAGCAATGGTTGATACGAGTCTTCCACAGTGTAATCAGCTGCCGGCCAAATCACGCATTCGGATATTCTCGGTGGAAATGCTCAAAACACTCATAGTCACTTTGCAAGGCGCACAAGCCATGACGCTGATTGCGTTAGGTGCCGCAAGAACGACGAGCGCACAGAGCGTCATCTCCAACATGGCTGTGGACTTTGTCTTCTTTCCCATTGCACTGCTTGGAGTCTTGCGTCTTCCGGCCGGGTTATGGCTAACAGAACACTTTGTATACGGCGCGTCATTCACGCGCCTGGAAGAACACAACCTACAGATTTACCAACATGGTAGCTACGTATCCAAGGACGGGCTGTTGGATTCTCCAGCTATTGTTGTGGAGAACCGGAGACGGTTTCGTCCATGCACGTTCTGGCCAAGCATTCTGTTTCGCGTGTTCTTCACGCTTTTCCTGCTAGGACTCCCTACAATGCTTGGCGTATACATTTTGCCTTGGGCTGGTGCGGTAAGGTTCACCACAACAAACTTCGTCGTTTGCATGTTTTACTTGATGTTCACTCTAGCAACGGCCGCGGTATTCATACGGTATCTAGCTGTCGGCGCAACGTCGACGGTTGTACCTTGCATCAACTCCGTATGGTACAAGGCTTATACTATGATGCTTGGTATACTGGCCTTGGGGATGATCATAGTGGCCTGCATAGAGACGCGAAAAACGCCATGTGGCAAGTATACCAGCTTCTCTGGCAGCGAGGGAGACTTGTTAGCCTGCTGGAGTTCAAACACGGAAGTATGGTTCCTCGATCCTGACCGCTACCACAATTTTGGTATCGCCCGAACCGTGCCACAAGAGTATGATCAAGGCACATTAGATTCGAAAGACTTCTGGGTGTACAACTTCACCGGGGTATGTCTCGGGAAGCCAATAGATCCAACCGGACAATTGGTTGTTATGGAAGCAGCAAACTTGGGACAGATGGTTTCCCCAGAGGCGACATGAGTTGAGCGTGGAGTTGTGACATGTATTTGGTATACAGAAAAGTATACCTCTGGTCTAGGTATCACAAGGTGCACAAAGGCGCAAGCACCGAGACTAATAACATAAAAGTTATTTCTGCTACAGGATAATGTGATGTGGGATGGGGATGGTATGACATGGTTAAAATAGTGTAACTCCTGATTTACTTCATTTATCATGACAAGTATCAGCGCCAGGTTATCATCCGAATCATATTTGATAATTTCAGATCATTTATCACTAATCACAATCAATATTTTAACAGACTCAGTGTCGCCGGCAGAATGGAGCTCAACACGTCCCAGGGCCAATTTTCTTTCCGGCAACATCAACTACGACAAGCTTGTTATCCGAGCTGCTGTCATTCTCCTCTCCAAGTCGTGAGACCTCAGATCCTGCTCCTACAAATAAATCTCGATCAGGCCGACGATCCTGGCGTATATGAGATATGAGATTCTTGGAGGGGGTGGTTCGATTACACAGATGCCACAATTGCGGATACCCGCGGCGCGAGAAGTGCAAGAGAGCAACCTCATGGTTTCCGAAAACCGTAGCCTTCATTACTCCACATGATGTACACTACCGATAAGAAGATCGAGGGAAAGCGACGGAGAAGAAGGGTCCGTTATGAAGGACGCCATTCAGCTATGTAGTTGAAATCGAGGATACGACATCATTTCAAAGGAATCCAGGAGCACTGTGGTGGGATTTGGGCTAGCCCGGCGGGCTTGATTAATATGCCGAGTAACGGTCTGGTAGCCATGGTAAGACCAATCTTGAATCAAAAGAAATTTAGCAGATGTACTAATACACGCCCGGAATGCTCCCCGCGTGTAAACTTTGCCCCGGACCGGTCCCGCGACTGAACCCGAAGCGACTCCGGACTTTCGGGGTTGCGGAGACAACCCACAGACAAGATCAAGCTAGCATACTAGCCGTTGTTTTAAAATGCCGAGGTTGTTGGGGTGTAAATGCAGCCGACACATCCGTCCCATGAAGGCTATTTCATCGACAAGAACCTGTTGTATGCGAATATCACCGGCCTGGGCACTGATTTCCATGACCACTGGTGTAACGGACGGCAGCATGAAACCTTCTCTTACCATTTTCGAGAAGCTCAACTTCGCTTTCAGATTACCACTAATTAGTATGTGAATTTCGGCGATGCGACGATTCGATTGCTGATTTCTCTCTCCAGTCCTTCCTCGCTTGATAATCAACTGTGTGCGATGCACGTGGCTTGCGTGGCGGCGAGCGCTCCCCATACACTTATATCTGCGCGTCGGGATCATCCGCACCATTCTTGGATGTCTCAAACCACGCGAGATCCAGTTTATAAGTCCGACGTCAGTCGAGACCTATGAGTCGTGGATGTCGAAGAAGACAGCCGCAGCTCGCCGTGCCAACGACATCTCGGCGCTTGACAGACTGAAGATGGACATCGAGATGTTGCCTGACGGCAAATCGTCCCTTTTGTGGATCGGGAATCGCAACAAGGCGTCAAAATACGTGTTGTTCCTCCATGGTGGTGGATATATTGCACCAATGGCACCTGGACACCTTGAATGGTGCTACCGTGCGTACATCGAAAACGATGTTCCCGGTGTCGAGGTTGCCGTTGCTGTCCTGCAATATACGCTCTGTCCGGATGCAAGGCACCCGTTGCAGATCTCACAAGCCAACGCCGCTCTGGGATGCATGTTGAATTCGGGTATTCGCCCTGGTAATATCGTTGTAGGAGGCGACTCGGCTGGAGCCAATCTCACCGCACAGTTGTTAGGCCACCTCGCTCATGGAAAGCCTCAGATCACCTTGAGCGAACCGCTCGCCGGCGCATTTACAGTATCTCCGTGGGTTTCGACATCGACCACGATGCATTCGTTCCTGGAAAACCAGTATATCGACATGCTCGCGTCGGAGATTGCAGCCACCTCAGCACAGGCACTACTAGGGGAATCTCAAACTCCACCGAGGTCGATTGAAGACCAGCGAGGATGGCCTATGCCACTTGACGTTGATGGCAAATGGCTTAATGACTGGGAGAAAGTGAGCAAGGCGTTGTATGTCACGGTTGGGTCACATGAGGTGCTGCGTGATCAGGGTGTCCTTTTCGCAGAGCACGTTCGTCAGAGAAACAAGGCAATGGACGTGTGTCTACATATTGCTGAAACAGATGCACACGACTTTGTCCTGCTTGAGGCCTTGATGGTTTTTGAAGCCGGCGAAAAAATGGCAGATATGCCAACACCTAGGTTAGATCAGCATCGGTCTATGGTCATGTCGTTCTTCGGACGCCAGGCTTCGTGAAGTGGACCTAGGAGACAAATCCTTGATCAAATTATGTGGCCATCTCTAGTGGTTGTACATAGCTTCTTAAAAGGCAACATTGTAAAATGATAATTGCAACTATGTGATGTTGTGCTGAACAAGATGAAATATGCTGATCAGAGACGTTCGATAAACTAGTTTTGTCAGCACGTGACGTGATGCAATTTCACTAAAGCAGGAATGAGACGATGCTGTTTGGCTGCTTGGATGTCACGCGCGGGTTTGCAACAAATAAACGTCTATTAATAAGTTCATCGCATGTCTTCCGTCTGTGAGTGTATTCAGTGACTTGTCGTGCCAGTCTTCTGTATATCTTATAGTGACGGATGCCCTACCTGGAACACCTTGCGCATTTGTAAGCTCACGGCTTGAGGACGACAAGACAACCCCACCAAAAGTTGTGACCTGTTTTGCAACCGCAATTACCCACTCCAATAAATGCAAGACCCTAACAAGTCTCATGGGTCGACTGCTACCGTCAACGCCAATTTTAAAAAGCAACACATAATTTGATCATGCTCAGTCTGAGTATTGACTTGGGTGATCATGCGCTTAGCAGATCCTTGACGCTCATGCCCCTTGCACCGGTATTAACGACCCCTCTCCGATCGTTGTTCAACATCAAAAGTGCAGCAGTGGCCTCTTGATCCAGGTCACGCTGTGGAGCTAATGCCGGGCTTGTCAGCGTCGAGTTTGATCCTGACGGGATGTTTCTAGCGTATCCATATGTCTGCGGTCCAAAGGCTGGGGAGGCCGCCGAGCTGAAGCTGTAGTGGCGATGGTCTGTCGAAACAGATGAGTATGAGCCATGCCTATTCTGGGTATCCTGTGCCAGCAGAGCGGGCGATTCTGACGGCCGTTGTGAGCGAGAGGTGCGTTCTGTCCATGTGGGCGATGCTGCTTCCGATCCTCCCATCTCCACATCTCCACATCCATCATCATCCTGAAGTTGTTCTGTCTCTAAGATATCGTAGTTGGCTGCTGGTGGAAGGACAAACTCGGTCGGCGTCGGTGCTGAGGAATGAGGGTCTCGTTGCAACTTAAGCTGAGCAACGCAATCTTCCAGATAGCGGACATATTCTATGGAAGCCTAGCCAGGAAAAAATGACGTTAGTTTTACAGACTGAGTTCAAGATCACCCCGTCACTAACCTGTAGAATGGCCAATTTGTGCATTTCTCCTGTACAAGCAGGAATCAAGTCCTTTAAGACTGCAAATTCCTCATTCATCTTCGACCTGCGACGCCTCTCAATAAGGCTGTGGGCCGTCTTCCTCGCAATCTTTCTTCCTGCTGCGCTGGTAGCCGAGGGTTGTTTCTTTTTCGTCCCAGAAGCCGCTGCACCTTTCGCCGTGGTAGATGTCTTTGTCGGAGTCGGTGGCTCCGCAGGCTCCTCCCTGGGCTGTGGCTTCATCTGTATGATCTTCCGAGATCTCGTAGGAGGGGGAGGCAGCGTGAAGGACTCTTTCTGCGCCGCAGACGAGCGCCTCCTTGACTTGACGGTCTCACTTGCTTGCACCGGATATGGGTTGTCCATGTTTGATGTAGTCTCGGAGCTGGAAGGGCGTGAGGCACCGTTGGCACCAATGGCTGAGGGTGGGAGTTCAAATGACATCTGTAGAGCCGACAGTTGCTTGACACCATCTTGACACTTCATCTCTGTAGAAGAGACTGGGGTTGGCGGCATCGTGAGTCGAGGCATTTCGAAAGCTGGGTAGATGTCCAGTCAACGGGTATCACTGGAGTACCGAACAACTGTCTTTGTACGTGATTGATAAAACTTCAGTGCAATCGACTTGCTTTCAGAGTATTGGTAGCTTGATGCTTTGCAAGGGATTATACCCGGGGGATTTGAATGTCTACACAATCCGTGGCCGTTGCTCAAGAACTTCCGTGTAAGCGCGTGACCAATGGTGGAACCGTACAAGAATGATATGAAGCAGAGAGAGATGAGATCAAGTTATCGTCCAAAACTTCTAGGACGACAAGAAGAGAATATCACCACATGTGAATGTCGAAGAGTTTAGCAGGGAAAAGGACGGTCCAGAATCTCTCACAAAACTGTACGCGGCACGATACTCAATTGAAGAACGTGCTTGCCAGAGATCACAGCGACTCGTGCTTAAAGCACTAAAGCCTGCGAGGGGTCGCATATCTTTCAGATCGTCTCTCTCACTTGAATGAGCACGCGACAGAAAGGTTGTCTGGTATTGGCTATGAGGTAGCCGGAGTGTGTTGAACCAATGAGCGAACGAGAGGGAGCCAATTGAGGCAGCAGATTCGAGCACGTGGGACTCTATCCTAAGAGCCCCGAGATGACGCTTGGCGTCGTAGGGGTGCCCTGCTCGAATCTAGAGTCTCAACGGCCTAGTTCATGCAGTGCCAGAAGCCACACAGGGAAACAATGGGCAAGATAAGTGGATGTGCCGAGCGAGACTGGAGCGCCAAAGAAAGGTTGCAAGAAGCTCAGGGTCTGCAGTCTCCCTCTGTAGGAGCATGAAGCCTGCAGATCAGACTTGCTTGCAAGTGTTTTGGACCGTGCAAGCGAATCCAAAGGCTGCAAACCAACAGCACGTGCTTCTCTCCAGACCCCCCACACTAATAAGTAATGGTGGATTCATTGCTTCTCCACCAAAAACGCAACCTTATTATAACGTTCACAATACAATCTGCCGCATCGTTGATAGGCGGGATGCCAACCAGAGTGGGCGGGCTTGCAATGTGCTTCAATCAACCCATAGTCCATACCCGCATTTCCCAAGGAGAAGAATTCTTTGTGCTTTCATTGAAAAGAGACCAGAGCTTTCTGAGACCAATATTGGAACAACGGCAGTCATCTCCAGTCGTATCAAAGTCTTGTCATCATTCATCGGATGTATTGATCTTCGGTTGAGCATCCATTTAAATATCAGTCGTCGTCCCAAGACACCCGTATTCGAAAGATTCCTTTGTTATATTTTGTGGTGACTGTTCCTGTCTTATGCTCTAGTTGGATTGCACAAGGTTCCACAAAGTTTTGACGAAACAACTGAACGATATGGCATTGGTCACGACGGGAGAACTCCCATCTCTGTAGGCTGTGCTACGGTGACAGAAGGTTGTTTGCGGTAGATAATGATATCATTGCTAAGTCAAATGCGAATAAAATAGCCAGGCTGCATTATGGTCCCGAACAGCGCCTCATGCTGTCCCTCAAGGCATGATTTCCAATCTCACGTCAATGGCAACGCGTCTTCGAACAACGAGATTCCCGGCAGTATGCCGCCGTACCATTCATACTTATCGACCAGCGTCGGCATCGGATGGCGATCTTCCATACTAAACGAATACGACAATTATTTTCGGTAGGTATCGGTGTCCAATTATTAATACAATTTGACGTCGACCTGGACGCTGACACGTGAAGGGCAAATGCATATCAGACTGTTCCTCTCTACCACCAATGAAATTTGAACAGCTTAGTACCACTGACGATGTAGCAGAACAGACTACTGTAGCCAGTGACTCACCAATGTCGCCAGCTCATCGCTCTTTGGTTCAAAGGGCAGTTTCACTGCTATCTGTTCTCAACAACAACAACAGCACGATCTGGTCGCAAATTCTCTTGATGGTAATAAACAAACCTCACCAGCGTCAAAACCGTAACGACGAACCCTTAGACCTGGGGCTCGATTCGTAGCTGGGCTCGTGCTCCCGGCAATTCGTCTGGGTACTGGCGGAGAACTAGTAGAGTTAGTAAAACGCAAACGGATAAAACGCATTTCGATTAAATAGTAATAAGAATAAAAACTTAATTCAACGAAACCACTGAAATAAACCAAATAAGTAAGTACTAACGTCCCGCGGCAAAATTGTGTCTTCTTTTTAATATTATAAAAAAGTAATATTTATAAAATTTAAATTTATTTATAAATAATTAATTAACATAGGATATTTACTATTATTATCACTAAAATTGTTATTCATTGTTATTATATCTCTACTATATGCCAGCTATACCTAACCCACTAGTTCATTCTTTCCTAGGATAGCCAATCGTCCAGCACAACAACAATTTCTTTGTTGACTCAGCACAAATGCAATACCTGGTTTAGCTGACATGAAGGGGGCGATGTCCTCCATAACGCTCGCACAGCGCACACATCGTCGCCATTCCACATCTGCCTCCTCACCGGTGGCGTTTGTCATCTTCCGCCCACGAAATATCTCCACCCGTTTGAAAAGATCGACCCTTGAAGCCCTCATTTTACGCGCCGCCAACACCTTCGGGTCATCGTCGACCTCAAGAATGTCATAGTTGCCGAAGAAGAGTTCAGCGGGGTTGCATTCGGTCCGGAATTGTGGGAGGTCTGTCTTGAAAAAATTCTTCAAAACCGGAAGTAGTGCGCCTCCTGGTGCACCCCCGAGAAGCATGGTGAGCTCGTTGTGCGCTTGGGCGCGCTTGATAGCTTCCTCTCCAACGGTTTTTGGCGCATCGGGATTAATCTTTTTTGCGGCCTCCATGGCACGTGCTCCGAGCTGGGAGAATTGTTCTTGGTATTGCCATTTGATGTTTTTAGCAAAAGTGCTTAACAGTTCCTCAAACTTGACTACTTGAATAAGTGGACTGCTTGTGTGACGAAGCATCTTATTGTATGCCGCGCGCAAAGCAGGCTGGGGTGCATTGGTGGACGTGGCGTCATGTGTTTCATAGTACTCGACAGCCTTGAGGGATATCTGGTGGAGATGTTGCATTCGCCGGCACACCGCCGACAGAAGGCCACGAATCGGCGAGGATAGAATCATGTGTAACGCAATATCGTTCTTCTCCAGAAGATACGTATTCATCTTGGAAAGTTCCGCTGCATTTAAAAACCCCTGAAACTTCTGGTCGTTGAGAAGACAGAAGAGTGAATCCACGATCCAACAGAGAAGGTCTATGGACCATTTGCAACAACCAGCTAGAGCGTCAACGACCTCTGTTTTTTTTTCTTGTCAGTCGTGAGTTACACAAAATGGCAGAGTATTCAAAGTTTGATGAAGGTACTTACCGGGCTCGTCCAAGGGAGTCATATTTTTCATGTGAACAGGCGCATTGTTGGCGATCGTGATCAAGATGACGATGCCGCGCAGATTCAAACCAAACATGGCCACTTTGCTGCGAAAGCCACGCGGTTGAAACTCACCATTCCACTCTAAATGATTGAGGGTGCTGAGGCATAGTTGTAGTAGCTGGTTGCGCACAAGACTGTCATGATGCGACTCTTCGGAATAGTCGACCTGGACACGCATCATGCGGACCATTTCATTCAGTAAGTCGTGTGAGAAACTGCGCATGCCATTGAATTGCCTTGCAACGGCAAGTATGTCATCGACATTATTATTCGACGCAGCTGCCTGCCCGATAGTCATGGTCAAAGCAGCCACGACGGCATTATACCGTGCTGCATTATCCGGGTTGTCTAGATCAGCAATATCGGCAAGTGTGTATTCGAGGCCGTGCCATTTTATACTATTGTCTTCGCGCAATTGTACTAGCGAGCACAATGTAGGAGATACAGCAGTTTGCAAGCAAGATTGCTCGCCGCTGTGAGTGAAGCCAGCCTCGTGAATTGAGTTGATGCGGTTGAGGTTTGCTTCGGTCCACGTTAGACTGAACGTGGTTCGATCCCGATATTCGACAGTGCCGTCACTATATGCAATGCAGATTGCGGTATTAAGGCGAACGAGACTGATGCCAATTACGATTTTCGTCAAGACAATGGGTTCTAACCTCTTCAGTCTAAAAGTAGGCGTCGGCGCAGCTCCCATACTATTCCTTCTTGGCCCAAGATTTTCGAAGCCGGGGTGAAGAGTTTGAGGTTGCTCCGTAGTGATCTCCCACCTATCAATGATACTTTGAACTTCCTGATTATACGGAGTATCCGGGGCCGGGACGAACGATCGTACCGTCAAAACGACTGGCCATAACCAAGCCTTGCTTGACTGATCGAGCGCTGGAGGTAACAACTCAAGACACGAAATCTGTGTCATAAGTGGGTCCAATGGTGACTCTGGCGAATTACCCGGTAGCCAGCTGGTAATAGCCGCATGTTTGCCTCTCAGTGCTGGATTCAGCTGTTGAGCGCCTGCTGTGGCGCCTTTAGCAGCGTCCTGTTGTACAAGGCCCCAGGCAAGGCCAACTTGAACTACCTGAAGCTGTCTAGAAGATGTGGCCAGAGCTACCCACATACACTTTGCTGACAATACAGTTAGGGTTGTGGAGTTCTGAGATGATAGACGAGTTCGACTTACACCTCGTGTCAGAAGTTACAGCTGCGTGTGTGACCAAGTCATCCGACGACGTTATACTTTCCAACTCCATTGATGTCTCCTGCATTTTGCTGTTGTTCTGCGCCCAGAACATCTTCAACATGCCGTTGGCTGTAACGCAGAAAAGAGCAGACCGAGTCGGGTTGGGATGATACGGTGCGTTGCTAATTGTAATAGCGGTCTCGAAGACATAACTGGTTGCGGTGCCCTCTTTGACTGCAGGTGCGTGCAGAGGATTGGCCTTGATTGTATTAGTAGAAGTTTCACCACATGACGAATCGGGACATGTTACCGAGTTTCGATGTGTCGGTAGGGTGTTCAGCCAGTACGTCCCTACGACTGAATTAAGGTCATCGGTAGGATCAGCGTCCCACTTACGGTGAGTTGAGGGGCGATTGATGTTTATGCTGAAGTTCACAATGGCCACCCTCCCCGTGGCGTCAATGATTGCGAGATCAGATGTCTGAGTTGGTGCCCAAGAGAGGTGCATGATGGGGCCACCGATCAGGTCACCCTCCGGTACGTAGATTGTGGGCTCACTCAAACCCCAGACTGCATCTTTCGGGTGAGCACGAATGTATCGTAGTTCGAGTGATCGTCCATCAGGTGCAATTGATGCAAGAGTTCCCGACTTTGACCATGCTAGACCCCTATAGAAAGCTTAGTAAGAGATAGAACCTGCAGTGATTCAAGGAGTATTACTGGCAAGATCCGCGGTTACGAAGATCGTTGATTCTCTGCAGCAATCGTTTGCCCGGGCGAGTCTGAAGATTCATTCCACCGTCTCCAAAAAGATCATCAACCCCAAGATCAACGTGCATTTCGGCGGGCGCTGCCATGGCTCCGTCGAGTATGAGCGGCATAATCTTTCCAGCGCGTGTGCCCCTCAGTTTGTCTTGGACGAGTTGAGCCCGGCCCAACTAGAACATCGATCGAGCCAGATGGATAGACAAACGACAAGCCTGCTCGTCAAGGCAGCTTCTAAACGTCTATCTATCTCGCCAAGCCCTTTGGAACTGTCCACAATAATATAGAACCAGGTGAATGCTCAAGTAAGGCTGAAGACTTCAGATCCGAATCTCCACTCCAGACTAACAGCACGAGGCAAGCGTTTGGACTGCCAGAGCCGCAGGGTTGATACAAGGATACAAGGATGGAAAGATGGTAGAATATGTTCGCACTGCTTAGTTAGATTTTTCTAGAGCAACCATGGTATCCAGAACTTAAGAAGCAACAAGCAACTGGTGTTAATTCAAGACAACCTCGGCTTGTACAATGACCGCTGCCCAGCAATAGCAATAGCAATAGTCAATTTAGGGACGAAGGGAGCAAGTGCACCCTGCAGCCAGATCGTGCGTAAAGGATCCGTGCTCTTTGGCATTACTGTGTAGACTAAGGTCAGTGGATTATCCGTCGTCGAAGCCAGCCACCAGACGGCAAAGGACTGCTGCAGCGACCGAGCCACAATTCCCCAGGAGAACCCCGAACGCCAGGCGTGCGCCACATGTAGTGTCTCTCGGGACCCAGATTTAGTCTGGTCTGACTGAGTCTCCACTTTCCCAAGGTTGGGTGACGTTTCGGCATCCCTGGTTCTAAAACCCTTGCAACAACCAAGCAGAGCGACATGGGTTTACGAGGTTGTCAAAGCAACCGTGGAGTCGGACATGCATTCCACTATGGGTCCATGGCGTAGTTCTACAGAAGTGAAGAAGTGAAGAAGTGAGGACGCATCAGTTTTCTGACGTCGACAGCGAGATGGTCTGGTCTGGTGGATAACTCGAGCGATTGGCATTGTTTCCTTGTCACCTTGCCTAACGTGGCCTTCAAATAAGACAATCTCGAGAGCTGCAAGACAAGCAGGACGATGCCGACGGCTAGCGGTAGCAATGCAGGCAAGTCAGTTACTCCATAGCGATGTTCTTTGCAGCGGGCGGGGGTCAGACGGCTTGGAAGTGGAAGATTCTTTATGATGCAGGAAACCAGCGCATTTCGATCCATTGGAGCGTTCGAGTATCCTAAGAATACAGACAATGGAATCTCAGCATGCGATCTAAACGGCCATGGTAGACACGGGTGCTGACAGAAGTGCCATGGCATCTTGCTCGTGGTGATCCTGTTGTTGCAGCCGGCCAAACTGATGGCAACATACAGTACGCCGTACCCCCTTACCGCTAGGCTAGTCTAGTGCTGAATGCTCTGCAGCCACCAGTCCCACTACACAACAAGTAATAGCGCACTGCACAACAACGCTCACTTGCATCCATTTGCTGGTGGGATCTGCAGCCGGCGCACAGAGTCCAGGTTGAGGTTACTGCTGTAAGACCCAGCTAGACTACCTAAGGCCAGGCGGAGCCGCAGGGACGGTGACAGATCCAACCACCTCCCCCGAACCCGAACCGAACTTTGGATGTTACCGCCAACATCCTCTCGCCTTGCTGCTCACCCACCCTACAAGAAGAACGCGAACACCACACGTCCATCCGCGGTCGCATGCGCATCACTCGCGCCGCAGTATACGCGCGATCGGTCCGGTTTCCTGTCTGCCCTCAAGCTATGACTCCGCTTTAGTCGCTCTTTCCCCTTCGACAGTCAACCCGCCAGGTTAGATTGTTCTTTCTTCCTCGCTCGCAGACCGCAGACCGCAGACCGCATATTGCACATCTCTCCTCAGGCCATGAGCAGGTACCCCTCGCGCTTGGAATCACTCGCACGCTCCTTAGGACTGTCGGCATTTCGAATTGAGTATCCAGTAGTCTACTAGACACCATGGATTCGTCCTCAGATCTTTCAGAACCTCCATCTTCTGACCCGCCTTCTTCACCACTGTCGGAATTGTCAAAGTCGCCCTCACTTTCGCCCAGATCCCGATACCCCTCGCCTCTTTCGACTGCACCCTCGGGCAGCGCTTCGCCCATGAAACCGTTGGCCTCTGTTGAGCCACCCGCCATGTCTGTCGGTGCCGACGCCCGACCAGCAAAGCGCCGGAGGATCGAGAAGAATCGCCCCCGAACGACCGAGTACCTAGACCTCCGCGCTGGTTACAGCCATGACGAAGACGATGAGGACGTCGTAGAGCGACTGACCTCGACACTGCGCCAGAAGAAGAAGATCGTCATTATTGCTGGAGCAGGTATATCGGTCTCTGCCGGAAGTGAGTATGCCTGTCCTACAAGTCACATGTGGCCACGACTAATTCTCGGCTTGCAGTTCCCGACTTCCGATCCTCTCACGGTCTTTTCAAAACGCTCAAGTCGCAGCACAAGCTGAAAGCTTCTGGGAAACAGCTCTTCGACGCCTCTGTCTACAAGCACAACGATTCCACGGAATCCTTCCATGATATGATCCGGGAACTATCGCAACAAACCAAAACAGCCAGGCCGACGCCTTTCCATCACATGATTGCCTCCATTGCTGAAGAAGGTCGATTGTTGCGACTCTACACACAGAATGTTGACGGCATCGATACGGCCATGCCGGCCTTGGCCACTACGGTACCACTGGCCGAGGTGGGCGGGGAGAAAGGTGCCTGGCCCAAAACCGTCCAGCTTCATGGCGGACTGGAGAAGATGTCATGCTCCAAATGTTCGGAGCTTTACGACTTCGACGGTTCCCTGTTCCAGGGCCCCGAACCGCCGCCTTGTCCTAGCTGTACCGCCATCGACAGTGTACGGACACTGCACGCAGGCAAGCGCAGCCACGGCGTTGGAAAACTACGACCACGTATGGTGCTTTACAACGAGCACAACCCTGATCAAGATGCTATTGCCAAAGTGATCAAGGCAGATACGAAGACCCGCCCGGATGCAGTCATCGTAGTTGGCACGAGCATGAAAATCCCGGGAGTACGAAAGCTGGTCCAGGATCTGTGCTACTACACCAGGTTACGCAGGGATGGTGTTGCCGCTTGGATCAATCTCGACCCCGAGCCCAGCGGCGCTGACCTCAAGGATTGCTGGGACATGGTGATCCAAGGCAAATGTGACGACGTTGCTACACTCGTGGGCTTGCCGCACTGGGACGAGAGCCCAGCTCTTGGGGATGACGTCAAGGTGGACGAGAAGAAGTTCGAAGAGGTCAGGCAGACTATTCGCAGCACGGAACTCGAGGTCCAAATCCCCAGATCGCCAGACCTATCAGCCTCGTCACTCAAGGACGAGTCGCGCGCCTCAACGCCGGCTGAAGCGAAACCACAGGTCCTCGAGAAGGTCCGCGGCATCCCCACGCCGACTGCTAGTCCCAAGATGCGAACCGCATTGCCCGAGAAGCCTCTCTCCAAGAGCAAGCAGAGCCAGCTTGTCTTTCCGTCCAAGTCCATATCAGCCACAGCGTCTACTCCCGCCTCGAAAGAACCAAAGAAGAGACGAAAGGCTCTGCCCAAGAAGGCCGAATCAAAGCCCAAGCCAACCATCAAAAACGTATTCAAAGCCACGAAGGCTCAAGTTGCCCCTTCTGCTAAGATACCAGCTAAGCGAAGTCTGGAATCCGATCTGCATTCCTCTACAGATGCAAAATCTATCTGGAACTCAGACTTTAGCTTGCGTCCTTCTGCTGCTAGTAGACAGAAGGGGGATAGTTCTGGCTTGGAAAGTCTTGCCGACCAGTCTGCCATTAACACACAACTACAGTCGGAATCAATTTCTCAAAACAAGCCAATTAAACCAAACCAACCAGAACGGTTGACCGAAACCATCAGCCCGCCGTCAAAACCACGAGGATTTGCGGCTCTAATAGAATAATGTGTCTATATTGTATAGGTCCCCCAGAAAATGGCCGGCGCCCATTCTACGTGAAAATTTCTTTTCGTTTCAGATGCGCATATACCCCCGCCGAGCTGATACGTACATCTCGACAACTACGATTTTGCATACAGGACATCCATTTTACCTAGGAATGGATGTCTCAGAGGCGTTGATGGTTTTTCTTTTGCTCAAGAGCTGAGCGGTGTTCGGCCTATTGAGGCACAACGGGACGATACTTTTACCATATGATGGATCGAGAGTAGCAGAAACGGGACTGGGCATACGCCTGGCATCCCCGAGGGAAAAAAAAAACTAGCAAATGCAATGAGAACGAATTCACCATTTACAAGACTCGAGATACATTTTCGTGATTGGATGAAGATACTATCAATCTAACCACTGTCGCTAGTGCAGCGGCAGAAAAATATTTAGATCATCAATGAGGAAACCGAAGGCGCTCAAGGCCGCGCAGACAATCCTACCCGGCTGAACAGCAGAACAATTACGTTGTACCAATTTCGACTCAAACAGTGCGGGGTACGCAGAGTGTTATCCCCCGTTGAAGTTATAGTCTCTTCACGGCTAGGAATAACATAGAAAGTTGAATTATTGAAAGTTTGAATGCTGCTGAGTAAAATGCTGACAGACTGTACCCGTCCTTCCTATTCCAGCCAGACGACGGGGGTCCATGACGATTCGGAAGGGAATCACAGCTTGACCACTATACTGACGCGCAATCGCCAAGCCGGCATTTGCCTCGTAGTCTATTCGCAACAAATATCGACCGCGCAAGCCAATCTCCACGTGCCGGCCAGTGGCAGCTTCACCTGCAGCTGCACGCCGGCCAGAGTGATACCATACCACGATGTGTCAGTGATATCCCTCTTAGTCATGTTGATACCTTCTGCATGCAGCCTATTCTCCGATGAGACGTCGCCACGGTATCGATGCCGGCGATGTGCTTTCCAAAGCGCGGCTATAATGTCGGGGGAAAGCTGGAATATGCAGCTCTATAAGACATAGCTGCCATCCCTGAGAGATGATACCCCGACCTCAGCCAGGGGATCATCAGCTCTTGGGCGAGAACGCCAAGTCCAACAATAGAAGTTCAGCTATTTTTCCATCCAAACAATCAAGAGATGATGTCTCTTCTCCGGACCACTGCCATCCTCCTGGCAGCAAGCCCTATCGCATCCGCGTACCCTGCCAAGCGAGACGCCAGTGTCTGTACGGAAATCCGTCAGCGTGTACCCTGGTGAGCCTATACATAGTATGCGAGTATATATTTCGCTACGAGTTGCTGATCACTATCTTACCACAAGGTCAAACCTCACCATAGAGGAGAAGGACTCTTATATTCAAGCCGACCTCTGTCTGATCAATTCCCCCTCAAAGGGCGAAATTCCGGGCGCCGTCTCCCGATGGGATGATCTCCAGTGGCCACATGTCGTCCAGACTGATTCGGTCCACTTCGTTGTAAGTCATCGAGGCATCTGAGGTGGGGCTTCTTCTCGTAAGAACACAAGGAAGACATAGGGGTACTGATGAGGCATAAGGGCGCTTTCCTGCCGTTCCATCGCTACTACATGACGGCCCACGAGCGTCTAATCAAGGACGAATGTGGATATACCGGACGCATGCCGTATGTATTATCTATCGGTTCTTTTCTCTCCTCTTCATGCATCCCCCCCCCCACACGATCACCGCTCACACAGAATCAAAACAGCTACTGGGACGAGACCGCTGATATCTTGACCTTCCCCGAGACGGACATGTGGAGCGAGGCGTACTTCGGCGGCGACGGAACGGGCCAGGGCAACTGCGTCGAGACGGGCCCCTTTGCGAATCTCACGCTGCGCTGGGTCCAGGACGGCTCGGTCTCGGAGCACTGTCTGACCCGCCGCTTCAGCCAGCGCTCGCTGCAGGCCGCCAGCCTCGACAACATCGCCAGGTGCAGCGTCATCGGGAACTACACCGATGCCTGGCAGTGCTTCTCCAACGGACCCCACGGCTCAGGACATGGCGGGGTGGGCGGTATTGTACGTTTGGCTTGTCATTTTCATTTTCTATCTTGTTCCTTCTTTGTCTTCAAAGTAATGTGCGCTGTTGGCCTCGCGCCCCGGCTGACTTGGAAACACAATTATGCAGATGAGTGATGCCACGCTGAGCCCCGGCGACCCCAGCTTCTATCTCCACCACTCCTGGCTCGACAAGCTCTGGTGGGATTGGCAGGCCCTGGACCTACCAGCTCGACTGACAGACATTGGAGGCCCCAACCTGCCCGGGTCAGACGCTTTCCCCGGGGGAGGCGGTGGTGGAGGGTTTCCCGGAGGCAACGGCTCATTCCCCTTCCCCGGCGGCAATGGTAGCTTCCCCGGCTTCCCAGGAAGCCCCGGAGGAGGAGGAGGCGGTGGTGGCGGTGGAGGCAAACTCCCCGGCAACGGCAAAGGCACGGGTCCCGAGTTCACGGACTACTTTGGCGACAACGGCAATATCACGACGCTAAACCACAGGTTGTACATGGCGGAGATTTTCCCCAACATCACGATTGCCGATATCATGGATATCGGGGGCGATGTCATCTGTTCCGAGTATCTCTAAACAGTCGTACCGTGTAGCTAAGCATGGAAGACGTGCCTTCCCACTTGAAAATTATAAAAGGCTATGCCATTTTGTGTTTCACTTGTCCTGGTGTGCTGGGCCAAATAAAACCGATTATATATCCGTGCCGTCGTTTGCGGCCATGACAGCGGTTTGTTGTATATTCGCTCAAGATTGAAATACCTCCTGAGCCACGCTCAAAATCTTGCATCCGTAGGGGACGAGTTGAGTGACATTTCCCACAAAGGCCGAGAACCCCAACGGACTCCCATCTCGCCATCACGGCTCTCCTGCTTCGCGACGGACGGGACTTGTTACATCGGGTGAGGGGGGTGCCGCCGGGGCTGTGCCTGTCGACGTGCAACAATGCATGAGGCCTGGTTCGCGACCCAATCGCCGCTGCTTCCTTGACCTACTTGCCCACTTACCTACATACCTACCTAGCTACCAGCAGGATCGGCCACGTAACCTCTGATCCGCGGTATGTGAGTTGGGCTCCAGCTATACCACGAAGCCTCCGCTCCGGTCCAGTATCTGTTGTATCTGGGTTTTTTTTTTCCTGCCATCGGAGTTGTACGAAGCTCAAACTCTGAGCACGCGACCGCCAATCTCGAACTTCGCCATATCATGTGGAACAAAGAGGTTAGTTATGAAGCGCGTTGAGTTGGTATCGGATACCACTTCAAATACCCTTTGCAAACTTCATACAAGTGCTCAAGTCGTCCGTATTGGTTTTGTGCCTATCATATTTACTGCCTCCAGAGCATTTCGGAGCTCTCCATTGAGAGATAGTCACAACGCCACCAAATATGATCACGTTGAAAAATTGGCAAACTTCGGACAGTTTTTGTTTATTAACTGTTGACATCAGGGGCGTGCTGGCCCTTTTGGGCGGAGCCCATGCGTTTTCGCACTTACATCCGCCGACTTGTCATCCTCGATAGCAATGCATAAAGCTATTCAGATAAGTTCTAGTAGCAGATCGGCCGTCTGTAGTGGTCTCGATCTGCCCGTCTCGGTGGTGCCCTACGCCCAAGTGGGAATGTATATATCAGATCTTTTTCCCCAGTACCTGCACTCCACACATAATCCATACGGCCAGGATGGTGATACTGACATGAGGGAGGCATTCGCCACGCTGTACTCTTCGCCCTTACTTTAGCCCTCTAATCTTTGGTTCAGATGCCGCACAATGAAGACACTCAAATACAGTCGCTAGGTATGGCAAGTGTAAACCCAAACTCCACAATTCCTGTAATGTTGATGCTTTTGCAGGGTATGAAACGTTGCTAGGCCAAGACCTGAGCAATAAAATGAAAGTATGCCTCACCAGAACGCCTTACAATGCAATATAATACCCACCGGCATCGCGAACTGCAAGAAACTGTGCCACAGTGACACTCGAGAAACGACACCGTTTTAGTGTTTGGCTTTCGAGGGTTCACCTCGAGAAGAGCCATTCGCACCGCCTGAGCCAGACGACTTCGGCTTGTCAGCGACAGCACTCTTCTCAGCCTGCTTCAGCTGTTGATAGAGCGTTGACAGCCGTGGGCCAGTCATCTGTTTGCTTTCTGACTCTTTGTCTTTCTCATTAGCTGGGATTCGCTGAGAAATAAACCTCCTGTTTTGTCATCAGTGAATATTCGTAACGCATATCAGTTGTCCGTTGTCAGTAGAGGTGAACTTACCAGAGCTTCGGCTTGATCTCATCAATGTTCAGCTCAGGAGTCTTGGGTAATCCTTCAATGAAGTTGCCGATCGCTGTGATCTCTGATTTCAAGATCTTCGCTCTAGCTTTGGCGACAGGGATATTGGCTTTAGTGCAAGACTCCACGCGCTGAACATGCGACCAGATCGGCTGCATGAGAGCCTGTATGATGGGTTGGTTTTTCCTATCGTCCTCCTCCTCAAGCTCAGCTCGTCTTCGAGCGTCGTCCACGCCACCACGGTGATCATCCTCTAAGCGAGGTTGCTTGCGTCGTGCTGCCTCGTCAATTCCACCACTCGGCTTACGTTTCGAGATCGGCCTTGCAGAGTCGCGATCAATTTCACGAGAGCGGCCGTGATCTCGAGAATGTGAACGATTCAGTTCGCGGTCCCTTGGATCTTTCTTTCGAGGCGCTGGAGAAGCGGATGCGCTGGCCTTGCTTCGCCCATTTGCGAGTGCCAGAGCCGACTTTTTGTTGTTTCGGTGATGATTCTCGACGACGCGTTTGGCTTCTTGATCGTCCGAGTGAACGGCAGTCAAGACAGACAGAAGATATTCGGAGCGACGGACCAAGTGAACAGCTCCGGGGGCCTTGGCACCCTTGTCGTCACCTTGCTCACGCGCAGCTTTCTTCTCTACGCGGTGTTCTTCAAGGAAGAATTTGTCCTGCATGCCCAATTCTCTGTCATCACGGATGTTGGTCCAAGCACCAAATCCATAACGGTCAATTCCGACCATCAGCATGCCGTCTTCTTTGGCACCCCATTCGCAACTGTAGTGTGCAGCCTTGGTGGCCTCGGCGAGACGGAAATCGTGAAAGTCGGAATGCTCATTGATAACCCGCCGGAGAAGCTTCAACTGAGGCGGTCGTTCGAGGATGGTCTCCGCGTTGATCTTTTTGATTTCCCCAAAGTCAAACATGACGGCTTTCACATCCTTCTTGGTCAGCTTCTTTCTAGTCTGCTGTTCCTGTTGTCGAAGCTCGTCTTCGTTCCTTTCTTTAGCATCGTGAGCGGCTTGAACCAGATCATCGAGAAGCGCATGGATAAAATCCCGATCACGGTCGCTGAGACGTGCATCGCGCAAAAGCTCATCCGGCCGGTCGTGGAAATAGCCATAGCGCATGAAAGCCCTAATAAGGTTGCGGGTTTCTTTTTCGTTGAGTGGCCGTCGAGGATCAGAACGCAGGGCTCGTTGTTGCTCGAGGCGTTCCTGTTTGAGCTGCTCTCGCTCGCGCTTCTTAGCCGCTCGCTCAGCCCTATCAGAGTCGCCGTTGGCTTGTGCACCTTTAAGGGCTGCACGTCTCGGAGCGCTTTCATCCACAACTCGCTGGAGGTACTCCTCGTTCTTCTTCTTATCCTCTTCAGCTTTGATAGCAACCAATTCGTCCGCAGGGATAATCTGGTCCCAGTCGAGGGCCAGATCGTCAACCTTGACGTCAGTGTACTGCATGAAGTTGTCCCAGTCAATACCACCAGTACTCAGATTCATCTTGTCAGAAACCTGAGTCTTGGTGACTTCAGCATTCTCCAGGATAGATTCAATATCAAGCTGCTCCAAGCGTTCTTGGTTGCCTGATTGTTCGAACATCTTCTGCGATCGCATCTTGAGAATCCACTGTATGTCGTCGGCTGATTTGGCTTCGTCAACCTTGAGACCGCGCTGCTTGAACTCTTCTCGGAATGCCTTGCCATCATCCGTGACACCGGCTTGAATGGCCAGGTACTCAAGCAAAAGCTTATTACGAGCACGCTCAAGCACTTCCTCTTCGATAGTTTCCTTGGAAACAAGTCGATACACCATGACAGGCTTTTTCTGGCCGATACGGTGAGCGCGAGCCATAGCCTGCAGGTCAGCCTGGGGATTCCAGTCCGAATCAAAAATGATGACCGTGTCTGCAGTCATTAAATTGATGCCGAGACCTCCAGCTCTGGTCGACAACAAGAAGCAGAAATCCTGACTTTCTTCAGCGTTGAAGTGATTTATGGCGAGACGACGAGGACCAGCAGCAACCGTTCCATCCAGGCGTTGAAACTGATATCCGCGAAGCCGGAGGTAGTCACCGAGGATATCGAGCATCTTGACCATCTGACTGAAGATCAAGACACGATGATTGTCCTTTCTCAGCTTGGTGAGCAGCTGGTCTAGTAACATCATCTTTCCACTGCTGGTTATGAGTCCCTTGATTTGGTCTTCTCGTCGTTCACTTCCAGCGAGTACCCTATCCTCAGCACCCGGGAACATGTACGGGTGGTTGCTGACTTTCTTCAGCTCCATGACGACGTTCAATAGGGACTGTTTTTGGCCAGTGTTGCCTTGGTTGAGCGCAGCGTAGTTGCGCGTCAGGATGTTTTTATAGTACTCGAGCTGGACGTCAGACAACTCGACACGAATGATTTTTTCTGTCTTTGGTGGCAGGTCAGATTCAACAGTCTCCTTGGTACGCCGCAAGATGTAAGGGGCGATGGCCGCGTGGAGGTCTTGGAGTTTCTCCTGGGCATCGGCACTTTGCAACGTTTCAAGGTCCTCGTCAATGACAACCTTGCCTGGGTTTAAGAAGTCGAGAAGAGCAGAAAGCTCAGCCAGGTTATTCTGGATTGGGGTGCCCGTAATCAAGAGCCTGGCGGGGGCACCGAAGCTGACCAGTTCAGCATAAAGCTTCGACTCTTTGTTCTTCAGACGGTGGGCTTCATCAACAGCAAGTGCTTGCCACTTCAAGGTCCGCAGAAAATCAGCGTCAGAAAGGATGTACTCGTATGATGTTACCAGGACGTTGAACTTGGTCCTCTTTGGATTTCCATTCACCAGCAGTTCATGCTCGCGGATGGTGCTGCGAGCTTCACTATTACCGAGGTAAACGACATAGTTCAGATCCGGCGACCATAGATTAAAGGTGTCACACCAGGCAGGAATGACACTGAGAGGCGCGACGACCAGGAAGGGGCCTTCTTGCTGACGCTCATTGCGCAACCAACTGAGCCAGGAAACACTTTGTACGGTCTTTCCGAGACCCATCTCATCGGCCAGGATGACGTTGTTTCCGCGGCACCAGTTCAGACAGAGAAAGTTGAGACCAGTAAGTTGGAAGTTCCTCAGCTCTCCGTTCGTAACGAAGTCGGGCTGCTTGTCAAGCTTCAAGAATTTGGTTCGTGTATTGAGGTTAGATTCGTACTTGTCGGATTGCCAGGTACGCGACTGGCGGTCGAGGAATTGATCAATCTTGTCTTGGGCATCATCACGGATCGCGGAGGCAAGCTCCCAGGTACAACACTCATATGTGAGACCTTTCCATTTGACGAAGTACTCTTTACCTTCGTCTCCGTGTCGCACGGCAACGATGCGTTCGACTTTGGTGTAATCCGCCAGTGCATCTTGCTCACGTTCCTTGTCGAGCAAGTACTGCTCTCGAGTCTCGGGTGGGATATCGTCTCCAGCGAACTTCAAGTCGATCTCGTATTCGACAGACTTCTTGAAATAATTCTCCAGCTTACGGACGCCACGGTAACCTCTGAGAGTGTCCCACAAGTCCCAAGTGTTGTGAAGATGTGACTTACCCTCCCATTTGATGTTGTACTCGAAGTCGTCCTTCGTAGCATCGATGGTCAACTCGCCGCCGTCTGTAACCCGATGGCCGACGACCTTTTCTATGTAGGGTGTATCGTCAATGATATCGTCTCCACCCCAATAAGCTGGGGTGGCTTCGTCGTCGTCCTCATCAACGTCACTCTCAGCGTACATGCCGGCTTGAATAGTTGATGCGTTCCTGCTTGACCAACGCTTCTCAGCGAAGACAGTGCTAGAAGAGGCCTGTGCCTGCTGACGACGTGCCTTATTTCTGAAAGTCTTTCCGCGAGCGCCGCCGTATGTATCCGAATCAGAGTCGTCGACGGGTGTGTGTCGGACAGGAGTTGCTCGTTTCGAAGCTGTGGGTGAGGTCAGCATTGGTGGAGTAGGTAGGCGATGATGAGGATGGTGATGGCGATGAGGATGATGGATGGATGGGTTGAGCTTACATTGTTGGGAGATCTGCTCGACGCGTCGCCTCTTGACAGACCGTCTGTTGACAGGCACGACATCGGAATCCGAGTCTTCTTCATCAGAATCAACCTGCTTAGTGAGTAAATACCACGTTTTTGATAGAGTTGTGACATTTGACGATGACTTACAACTTTTGGTTGCTTCGTGGGTCGGGACTGGCATGTTGGTTAGCTAGCTGGATTGGAGAGAAAATTTTTCTTTTCACCTACGCTTCTCCTCAAACCGTACAGCTCTGGGTTGGCGTTGATGAAGTCCTCCTCGTCATTAGCGACTTTACGCTTGTTGGACTGCCGCGAGTCGTTGGATGCCGATCGTTCTTCCTGAGCGACATCACTGTGGGAGGGAGCAGGGCTCTCGGCCATATCGAAGTCGGCATCCTCTGATCGGTGGTCATTATCGGATTCACTGGAAGCAATGGCGTCCTGTTCCTCCGTGTAGGTATTCTCATGCTCGTCGGCGGACTCGTGATGCTCGGCTGCAGTGGAGGGCAAAGGACGGGCAGTAAGGGCGCCATTGGTCTCGGACAGGTCGCTCTCACTGCGGGCATGGCCATTGGCGTCGTCGGCATCGTAGGACACTGAGTAGGAGTAGCCATTGGCAGTTTCGGGCTCAGGTGAGCTCGACATGTTGACTGTCGGATGCTAGGCCCGTAAAGCTGCCTGCTGGAGACGACGAGGTTAGCAAGGACTTGGGTGATTGAGCGAATATGCCAACTGGAGGGGTAGGGAGATCAAGTGAGGGCGATTGCAGCAAGACAGAGGGATTCGCATCATCATGGAGAAGGAGCCAAATTGATCGTCCGGCGCATCTTGGGCCGTTGGTCGATGAGGACGAGGCTGGTCTTGGATGGAAATAGTGTGCGAGCTGGGGAGGGCCACAGAAGGGTGATGAGGGGATTTTGAGACGTCCATCAGCTCTGCAGGATCTGGTTCTATCGAAGCCGACGCGTCGGAACAGCTCGAACAGTGTTAAGGCCTTGATGGCCGGGGGCACGTGGCGTCGATTTCGTGATGATTTTCGATGCTCTGCGAGTGAGGGTACAAGCACAGTACAGCACAGCACGGCAGATGCTGTTGGCCAGGACGCGGCTGCAGCAGAGACAACAAAAGCGACAAGGAAATAGACTTACAAGGCATCAACTACACACCCCAGGCAGCACGACAACAAGTGCAATGAGAATTATCGGAGATGTGTGGTGGTGATGTTCAGGGAGTAGCTTAAGGCTTCCCCGTGGGTGGTGGGTGCTAGAGGCCTGTAGCAGTGGAAATCGATGAGAGGATCAAGTACAAATGACTTCCGATGACTTGGGGTGAGAGTCGGAAGCGAAACTGCGGAAGGGGCCTGGCCTTGGGCAAAGGGTGCTGCTAGAGGTTGCTTGAGGTGCTAACTTTTGGGTGCTAGGTCTTGGGAAGAGCAACGCTAGGCAGAGTTGGGCAAGGTGGGCAGAGAAACCCGTGCTTGGCCAGAGGTGGCCTAGCGTCCGCCCGTCAAAGTGGGATGCCCAGGCAGAGCCAGGTAAGTTATGGGAGGCAGCAGCAGATGTTGCGGCTCTCTGCGAATCTATGAATGAGTGAATGATTGGTACTGTAGGTCAGGTCAGGTCAGGATCAAGACGAACCGACGTCGGTTTTTGTGAAAGCAATGGGCAACAAAACAACTTAAAATCCATTCTGCGGCAACAACACTGCCTCTGTATGAGTTAACATCGACATCGACCCCTGAATCAGCAGCACTCATCGGATCCCATCGAGTAGGAGCATACAAATGTTGTCATTACTTGAGCAACATCCCGAGAATCCAAACCAAAGCCAGGACTTGCTGCGTCATCAACTCGCAAATCGGTGCACTCACATGAATGAAGTATTCATCTCCCTCTATTCAATCGATCATCCGACTTTGTAGCATATTGACAGTCGTCATCTTGAGTACCAAGGTTGCTCGCCGGTTTGCTTTGTTCGGCATGCGGGGCAATGCTCTCTCGTTACTGCTTGTTACATATTGTCACGCGACATTTTCGAGCTGCCAACCAAACCAACTGCATAACATAAGTTTCTTTGTCTCTGGATTTTGCGGGGCCGTTGTAACATGTGCGTAAGGGAGGCAGCAGACAGCAGCAGCAGACAGCAGCAGCAGACAGCAGCAGCAGACAGCAGCAGCAGACGAGGCAGCAGACAGCAGCAGCAGACAGCAGCAGACAGCAGCAGCAGCGGCAGACACAGTTTGTAAGGTTAGACAGGTAGGTACAGTAGCTTTGCTGTTGTTTAATACAAACTGCGCTCACTGAGTTCCATTCCTTCATGCCACGGTAATGGTCGGTAGGTCAGGTCTCAGTCCTATTTCGCCAGTGCATGTCTACTCCTGTGGATGACGACGAAACTTGGTAACTTCAGACAGACTGAGCGATCTGGAACAAAGCGGACGTGGGATTGAACAACAACATTCCAAGAGTTCTCCGAGCTTTCTAACCACACATTTGCCGATACTACCTCCAGTGTAGAACCGTCGCTGCATCCATGGGGCCGAGACATGTCAAGTTAGCTCCTGCTTCTTACATGATTCTTTGCATCTGTAATGGCTCTTTATGTCTGTGGCGAACTGATGCCCAATTCACCAGACTTCAGTAAATTACCAGGCATGTAATTCAAGTCGGGCTGGGCACTTCATGGCCACAGTAGAATTCCACCATACCGAAGATGTCTAGGATGTGGTGTGCAAGGCAGACCAGCATCTCAAAACTGTTGATATGTTCTAGACTAGCCTCGGAGCACGCTTCATGTGACTCGGACGGTTAAGTAGGTTAACACATAACTAGTCAGCCACACTGGAAGTCATGTCATGCCTGGGAGTAGCGGAATAGGGAGTGCACCCAGTCTCTGACCGTGTACTCAGGCTTGTGGTCAACTGGCACCCAATCAAAGCACGGCTTATTCAAAATAGCACCTACCCTAAAGGCAGCTGGAAAAAAAACATTGCCCCGCCATTGTGCGCCTCCATTGCCTGCGGGGCACAATCCTCATCGCAAAGCAACGCAGCCGAAACCAAACTCCTGCTCAAACCTAGTATTCACCCTCTCCTAACACAGCTTCACCTACCCAGTCAGACCGTTTAGAAGGTGCTCCGCTGAGCCAGGAGTCATACTACCAAAATGTCGGACAAGCTGACCCGTATAGCCATTGTCAACAGCGACAAATGTATGTGATCGTCTCTCCCAGCTATTCTTTCATGTGGCTGTCTCGGCATATCCAACCCTGGTTCTATCCAAGCAAGAGGCCTTCAGGATGTGCAGTCTGCCTCTTGTTGGAGGAGAAGAACAAATCCATGCCTGTACCCGTCTAAACAGAATATACTGACCAATTATTGTCCTATAGGCAAACCGCGCAAATGTATGTACCCTCATTTCGACTTCAAAGACGGACGGATCGGCCTCGAGTTCGCGGATGGCGTAGAGTTGAGCGCCAACGACGTATCTCCCGGCAATATTTGTCCTCTGATCTTCTTCAGTTGAGAAACGAGCCTGCGGTGCAATAACTAACATCGGCATTCAGGCAAGCAGGAGTGCAAGCGCTCATGTCCAGTCGTGCGCAGCGGTAAGCTGTGTATTGAGGTCCAGTCAGACTCCAAGCTCGCCTTCATCTCCGAGTCTCTCTGCATTGGTTGCGGTATTTGCCCCAAGAAATGTAAGTCCGCACGACCATCGACAAGATGAGATCCCCACGGCTTCTAATCGTCTCCTCAAGGCCCGTTCTCCGCCATTACTATCATCAACCTCCCTACAAATCTCGAGTCGCAAGTCACCCATCGATACTCGGCCAACAGCTTCAAGCTTCACCGTCTGCCTATGCCCCGTCCGGGCAATGTGTAAGTGGATCCACCAGCGGTCAGGATGGAGACGGAGTCTGACTGACGAATTTTTTCAGCCTTGGTCTGGTTGGAACAAACGGTATCGGAAAGTCGACTGCCCTGAAGATTCTCAGTGGTAAGCTCAAGCCCAACTTGGGTCGTCACGACAACCCGCCCGACTGGGAAGATGTCATCAAGCACTTTAGAGGATCTGAACTACAAAACTACTTCACCAAGATTCTTGAGGATGACCTCAAGGCTGTTGTCAAGCCCCAATACGTTGATCAGATCCCCAAGGCTATTCGCGGACCTGAGAAGTCCGTCAAGGCATTGATCACCGGAAGAGCTGCATTGGACAACGCCGAGACAGTATTGGAAGTCCTCGAGCTGAACCATCTTCTGGATCGTGATGTCGGGCAATTATCTGGTGGAGAACTTCAACGCTTTGCCATCGGAACTGTTTGTGTCCAGGACGCCGACGTCTACATGTTCGACGAGGTACGTGCCTTCTGTTTAGGAGATAACTTGAAAATCCCCTTGTCCCTGCCCAGATAGAGTAGTACTGACCTCTCACAGCCATCGTCATATCTCGATGTCAAGCAACGTCTCGCAGCTGCCCGAATCATTCGCTCCCTGGTCAAGTCCAACAACTACGTAATTGTCGTCGAGCACGATTTGTCAGTCCTCGATTATCTGTACGTATAGCAAACAACCTGCATCTTTGAAGTTTTCTTGGCCGTTCGAGAAAACTGGTCTAAAACCCATCTCGAGCCTTTCGGGGAATGAGACTATGGTAGCCTTGGACAAAACACAACCCCGAATATAATTTCCCTTTGTTAAAGAAAACTCAAACTAACTGGACGCACACAGGTCTGACTATGTATGCGTGCTCTATGGAAAACCCGCCGTGTACGGTGTTGTTACCCTTCCCCACTCTGTGAGGGAAGGTATCAACATCTTCTTGGACGGTCACATCCCCACAGAGAACTTGCGATTCCGTGAGGAATCCTTGACCTTCCGTATCTCCGAAGGTGCTGAAGACTATATGGCCAACAAAGATCGCGGGTAAGTTCAAATTTGATGCGCGCTTACCTGAAATTTATAGTGGCTAATGCATGTGGCTTGTAGTTTCACCTACCCCAAGATGCAGAAGACGCTTGGTAACTTCAACCTCAGCATCGATTCTGGAGATTTCACCGACTCTGAAATTATCGTCATGATGGGAGAGAACGGAACTGGCAAGACCACTTTCTGTAAGCTGCTGGCTGGTGCCTTGAAGCCCAATGGCACCCAGAAGGTCCCGGAGATGAAGATTAGCATGAAGCCGCAGACCATCACCCCCAAGTTCGAGGGTAGCGTCCGCCAGCTTTTCTTCAAGAAGATCCGAACTTCCTTCCTGTCGCCTCAGTTCCAGACCGATGTTGTTAAGCCCTTGAAGCTGGACGACTTCATTGACCAAGAGGTAACTTTTCACCGCCGAAACTCGTACTTGCTCTGGGTCTCCCTGCTAATATCTACCTTAGGTAAAAAACCTCTCTGGTGGTGAATTGCAGCGTGTCGCTATCGTGCTTGCGCTGGGTCTCCCTGCTGATATCTACCTTATTGATGAACCGTAAGTGTCGTCCAGAGTCTATTTTTTGTCTTTTTACGCATGTATTCGTGAGCACGAAGACTGAAACGGACGTTCGTGCTCTCATACGATTCTTGTTACCCCGATGTATCGACCAACAAACTCTATAACTTATTTGCTGATTTCAAATAGATCCGCCTACCTAGATTCGGAACAGAGAATTATCGCCGCTCGCGTCATAAAGAGGTTCATCATGCACGCCAAGAAGACTGCTTTTATTGTCGAGCACGATTTCATCATGGCTACGTACTTGGCTGACCGTGTCATCGTCTTCGATGGTCAACCTGGTGTTGACGCTCACGCCAACACGCCTCAGTCCCTGTTGACTGGCTGTAACACTTTCTTGAAGAACCTCGATGTTACTTTCCGTCGTGATCCTACCAACTACCGCCCCCGTATCAACAAGCTTAACAGTCAGCTTGACCAGGAGCAGAAGTCGGCTGGCAACTACGTGAGTAAACATGCTCTTTATGAATTGATTTCCATGCTAATAATCGATAGTTCTTCCTGGAGGAGGATAGTTCTTGAAAAGGTTGTGGGTCAGAAAAAAGACCGCAAGGAGAACAGCGGTCGTTATGAGAGTTACGATAGTCATGAGCATGCCTCTTCATCAGGCACCGGCGTTCTAGGCGTTAAAAACAAGATTAAGCGCCGCGCCACTGGTGCACACTCAGGATTAGATGAAGAGGATGGCGATGAGGCCAATGAGCCCAATGACTGACAATACGGCGGCAGTCCATCCCCTGTTTTCACATGGTCTTGCAGAGTTGCTCTAATCCAGTATACAACAGAGTGGGTATATGGAGCAATGTTCTGCAATATTGAGGAGCGAACGGGTTAAGAGGGCGACTGCCGCCTTGATTGCGCAATGTTTTTGTGCTAGATAGCCACAAGAATGCTAAATAATTGGGTGGAACAAATAGTTACCTATCAACCTTTGGATAGTCTCAAAACTTTGCATTCAGCACAGCTCGTCATGCTCCGGAGCATTTTACTTGGCTTCACAGCAACTTCTGTGGTGTTGACAGGTCCAGACACTGCCAATCTCTAGTGAGATTGTAGCTATGAACGAACTCGATGATTTGATATCCGATAATTCTTAACAATTCCTTTCGAAAAAAGCGCGGGTCAATGGGCAGACGACAAGACAAAGCATCAAACCTCCTTGCATCGTGTGTGATTGGTATATATGTATTTGCCCCTGATGGACGGTCCTAAATTCCCAGCGCCCAAAAACCAGCTAAACGCCCCCAACACCGTCCCACCTGGGAGTTTTGACCGGGACACATGGGCCCAGCACAGGCTCTGCCTTGCAGGAAGCCACCTCGCGGGCATGAGAGCTTGGCAGATGACGGTTTCAAGTGATAATCAAGACTCGACTCACAACGGCGCTTACGCCGCCACCATCCTGGCTCCCTCTTGCCGAAGCACCCCATGTACTGTAGGGCATCGTAACATGTCTTCGGCCTGGCATTGGATGAGATTTTGTCGGGGGCTTTCTGTTGTCACGAGATGAGATGGGCATGGCTTTTCCAGTAGATCAACCTGACATGGCATCGGAACTTTAGTAGATCTGAATGGAGCGACTGCGTGCACTTCTTTCGGCACTAATTGGATGTGATAGGATGGATCGCTGCAGCAAGAAGGAATAGCCTCAATTTTTCATAGCATCAATAGGGAAACTACTAGTAGTATCACAGTATGAGACTGTGTAATTTGCGTATTTTGTGGGCTTGGATAAATGTGTGGCAGGTTTCAGTTGAAGACAGTAGGGAAACAAGGTGTACCACAAGTCAGGATAAAATAGCACAACACAGAAGCGTTCAAAGTGTGATCAGACTTGATTACATAGCATATTCAACAGTGTTAGTCTCGAAACTATCTAATCCTCCTCGATTTCACCCTCTTCGCTGCCCGAATGAACACCGGGATCTTCTTCCTTAACTGCTACTACTGGGGGAGTCTTGGTCTTGTTACGGATAGGTGCAGGTGGGGAGCGCTCACGAGGTGTTCTTTCCCTTTTTAGCCTCTTTGAATCTCGGGAACCAACATCATCGTCGTCTCTGCGACGACGTGAAGAGGATGGTCGTGGCTCGTCGCCATATGGTAGCTCGTCGACAGGGCGTTCGACGCGACGACGGTATTGTCTTTCTCTTTCCTCCTCCCTGTCACGACGCTCTCTAGCATAGTCGTCGCGACGCGCGCGAAAGTCCCGGTCCCTATCTCTGTCCCTCTCGCGATCCCGGTCGCGCTCTCGCTCACGATCTCTGTCTCTGTCTCGCTCCCGATCACGGTCGCCACGATCCCGATCTCGTTCTCTTTCCCTATCACGATCGCGGCTTTCTCGGACGTCACGTTCCCGAAGTGAGTCCGAGGTGCGACGGTCAGACAACAAACTCTCGGCCATACTTGACTTACGATAGTTCTTCTCTCTTTCTGCGATCGCCTTTCGACGATCTGCTTCGTAGGCATCTGGTTCAGGGCTGCGGCTATGGCGTGAAGGCCGTGTGCGATCGCTGCGGTGAGATCTGTCTCCTCTATCTTTGTCTCGGTACATACCACGATCAAGAGATCTGTCTCGACGCTTTGCACGATCCCTGTCTTCCTCCTCGCGATCGCGCACACGACGAAGGACCTTCTCAAAAGCCCCACGACGAGAATCTTCCGAAGTAACTGCTTGAAATTCAGGAGCTCGGACGAGGCGTGGTCGTACCTTTTCCCAAGTGTCATCCGGAAGGATAGGAGGCTCCAGATGTTTGATGTGCGAGCGTAGATCATCAAAGGCACGTCGCTGCTGACGCTCTATTTGCTTGTCGTCATCCGAAGAGCGCTTGGCTTTCTTTTCCTGGAGCTATAGAGCAGTCAGTATAATAATGAGACCGGCGGACAAGAAAGGCGACTTACCCGCTCAAAGATTAGTGTGAGGATATCACGATTGATGTTAGCAGTTCGTCGATCATTCTTGATAACAGCTAGGAAGTCATCAAAGGTGGTCTTGGGGGTGAACTCAAAGCGGTTATCCTAGGTGGTCATATTAGCACTGGGTTGGTGGTCAGGGAACTGCAAGACAAAACCTACATCCATGACATCAAGAACATCATTTCTGGTGCCGCGTAGTGCACGCTCTTCCTCCTCTACCACGTCCCAGAAAAGGTCGATAGGGGTAGAGCCACTCTGGCCACATGCCTGCTTGTAACGTTCGTCATTTTCAATCAAAGGACGAATTTGAGTCCATTTGGTTCCAGCCTTGATATGTCCATCCCTTCGGAGCTCCTGGAGCAAGGCAATAAACGCGTCACGATGCTTGCGCTCGATACGACGCTTTTTGTTCTTCTGGTTCTGGCGAGCTTCGTTAAAGTTTCGCTCGAGTAACTTGACATGGTTCTGGAAAGCTGTGAGAATATCGAAGTCACTGAGAGTCTTGTACTTGTCGTCATTTTGGAAGGGTGCAGTGGATTTAAGGAGGCCCTGGGCCTCAGACCAGCGGGTGTACGGCTCCAACTTAAGCTGGGGCAACAGCTCGATGAGACCATCCATGGCACTCTTACGCAAACTGGCCTGCGACTCGACGTGGGCCTTCTTGAGCTCAAGGATATAGTCTTCGAAGAGCTGGCGGCGCTCATCGTCATTGTTGGTAGATCGGAAGATGGTTTCGCGCTCGATGATGGGTCGTGCAGTCTTCCATCGGGTGTAGTGCTTGATCTCCGGGTGGCTCTTGAGCATAGTTGCAAAATCGGCACGCAGCTTGGTCAGTCTCTCCTTTGCCCGTTCTTTGTCTTGTACGATAACATCCTGGCAATACTGTTCGAAAGCAACCTTTCTGTCTTTCGGATCCTTAATAGCGCGGTACTGGGGATCCTTGATGGTGGCTCGCATCGCCTGCTCCCAGGTCCAGTCTGATTGTACGCCGCTACGACGCAACAGCTTGATAAACGCAGCCTCGGCTTCTTCGGCTGTTGCATATTCGGGCTCGTTGCTCGCAGGCACGAAAGACTGCACTCTGGGGTCATTGCCATAGGTCAATTGACGAGACTCGGGAAGATATTCGCGGTCGTAGTCACGGTCACGGTCACGGTCACGGTCACGGTCACGGTTACGATCCCGGTCCCGGTCACGGCCACGATCACGATCGCGCCCTTGATCGTATGATGGGGTCGAATAGCCATCAGAAGGTCCCAGAGCGGCTGGAGTTGGCGGGCCGCTGTCGTGGCCGAGAGCTCTTTTGTAGGCATCAGGCATCTCCCATGAACTCTGCTTTGTTTCCGTGTTATACCAATACTTGCGACCGCCCTCTGCCGTGTACTCTTTCCAAGGCTGATTTGCGAGGGCGCGCTCAGCAGGCGACATCATCTCCTCGGGTTTGGTCCATTGCGTGACCTTGGTCAGGGGATTATAATAATATGCCCTGCCATCGGGGGTTGTATGTTCAGTCCAGGGACTGACGGGTTGGCCAAAATGGCCATTTGCGCCATTCATCGTCGCCAAGCCAAGGTGTCTTGATGGTGAAGCGTCGAGGTAGATGTTGACTTTGCAATGGCTGGCCAAATGGATGGATGGTTGGATGTGCAGTCGCGTGGCCGGCGGTTCTGCTTTAGAAAATTGCGACAGTACCTACCTCCGGAGCTACTTGATATGTGGGGCACCGCTCAAGCTTCAGCCACAATGACAACGAACCCACTAACCTAATCTTAAGGCTACAGTATTGTAGATAGGCAACTTATCGCATGTAACCTGTAATGAGCGTTAATGTACTTGACTTACGAAGCGAAGTGATTGAGGTACCACATAAGGACATATATGTATATATCAGGCATGTACGGAGAGTTGAATGCAGCTGTCACGTTGGCAGGGGAGCGCGGCAAGCGTGGGTACCTGCGCTGGCTGCAGGTGGTCTGGCGGTTGTTAGCCAAGTACACATGTAACTTGGGTTGGTGCGCTAGCTACAGCGACGTTAAGAGAACTAACTACAGGACGCTCATGTTACCCTTAACCTAGGGGGCTTCATGATTGCCTTCGCGACAGCTCGCCTTGTGGTTGATGTTTGTAGTTGCAGGCCGCAACCTGCTGGTTATACTGCTGTTGCAACACTCATGTGACAAGTCGATACTTGGCATGTACGTATCCCTAGTGGTAACCTAGGTCCTACACCATGCAGCCTGCCGTTCCCTCTGGCTGGGAGTTTGTCGACAGCTCGACCCTCACGTACTTCATTCCACTCGCTACCGATTTCGACGCCGAGGATGCTTTCCGATCGCCACGAGACAAGGGGAAAGAGCTGCTAGAGACCATACAACACCGCGATACGCTATTCTTCGGTATGGCCTGAACACACATTCCACGAAACCACCTTCTCACCTTACTCATCATAGTTACCAGATGAATCGGTCGACGTTTACCTGGCTTTGAGAACGCCTGCCGTCGAGGACGCCGTCTTGAGATCCTCTCTGGGGAGGCTGGTCATATCACTTGAGGCCAAGATTGTGAATAGCAGCACTCCCGACCGTGACAGCAACCCAGCGTCCGAAGTCATATACCTTGGAACCGTCCAAGAAACCCAGCATCCCGTCCTGATATCGCAAGACAAATCAGCACAGGACGATGGGTTCGTCTTCGCCGTATGGAAGCTGCCAGTCTTCCTCAGCAGGCCGAGGATAAGGTTGCAAGGACCTTCAGCCGTTTTCACAGCAAGCGCAAGCTTAAAGCCTGCGCAGCTGTCTCTTCCGAGTCAGCTAAAAGACGGCTACCTTCCCAGCGGCGTCGCAACTGGTCTCAATCTGCTCGAGTCTTTCAGCAATGATCCTGCGCTCAACGGAGTCCAGCCACGACTATCTGCCCTGCGCGTGTCCAGAGTTGCACCCTTGACTCAACAAGCCAAGGACATGCTGCAGCCTATCAAGTCATCGGCCAAGCAGCTCGCTCTACGTATATTCCCGGCGGTGCATTCCCGCATAAGGTTTGCCCGTCCCAATACTACGCCTCCCAGCCCGGCCATCATTGCGATGCTTGAGGTCGACTTCACACCTTTCTTTGAGTGTGAGATAGCACTTACAGCTGTCAGGATGACTGTTCCGGATGGTACGGTCCAAGACTTGAATTCCCAGCCAGCAATGAGCTTTCCCATGTCGTGCGTCGCTCATGATCATATTACTTTTCTACATCGCATCACACCTGAGGCGGTCGATACGCTGGCTAAGAATCCTACACGTGATCTGACTATCCAGATAGAGATGACCGCACTAGAACAGCTCGGCGTCTGTACGCCAAAGCTGACCATGGCCTGGACGACGTCTCTGGACTTTACCCTCCCGGTCAATCCAGGCTTTGGCTCTGCCATGCAACCTATACAGCGCTCGCATCGGCCAAGCCAATTGTCGATCAATAGCATAACTTCTCTCACTGCACCTGCCGTTCCCCCGGATTCGCTTCCTTCTTTCGAGGCTAGCAACAAGACAGAAGCCACTGTCCAAGGTCTTGGTGTTACAGTTACATTCACTGGGCCTCCGCCCTCCCAGAAGATCTACCCAGGCGATATTTTTGTATGGTCTGTCTTTGTCGTGAACCGCTTGCCATCTACTTCTACAGCGGCACCGCGGAAACTGGCTCTTTTAGCGATCCCAAAGCGGCGCCGCAACGAATCACGTGTCAACAGGCCGCCTTCGGTTTCACACGCCCCCGCAGGAGCCCCAAATAGCAAATTGAAATCATCTCACAAGGACCGGGCAATCGCTGATGCTGTCTTGGACGACAATGTTGTCCATGCTATGCAGCGCAGCAGTGTTGTTGACAGCACAGAAGTAGTGTCGTTGAGTGCCGACATCCGTGTTGGCCCCTTGGCGCCAGGCTCTTGTCACATAGCCGAGCTACGCTTTTTGGCGCTGAAGAGCGGCATTGTTGGCATCGAAGCAGTAAGAATACTCGACTTGGGGAATACAGAACATGTAGACATTCGTGAGCTACCTACTGTTTTTGTCGAGCAGCCAAAACATATTGCAGATGGAAGCAATGCGTCCGATATGGAAAGAAATGAAGAGCGGCTTGTTGCTGCAACTGCCTGAAATACAAAAGAACCAAGATACCTTTACACTAATGCAATGTGGATTTTTTATCACTTTTGATTTGGTGTCTCTCTGCTCCTACGTGGACATGTGAGTCTTCCATGCTGCTTTGGTCATCTAGGTAGGCATGGATACATCTCATGGTAGTGAGGCCCCTGTTTGAGCGAGTGCTGAATGGTTCTTCTTGAACCCCAGTGAATTAGTGTACTCCTTCATGCTATCCCCCAAACCAACCATATAAATCATTGCCCATGTTGCGTTACGGGTACAGGGAGCCACACCGCGAAAGACGCCGGGTGACCCTGAAGTCTGATCAATGTGCTCCACTGTTGGCACCATTGCCGGCGCCTCTTGTATTGATGGGTCACGCTTCGGAGACTGCATTTCCCTCCACTCTTATGATATCAGATGGTTAATTCCAGCAGCTTAGGGTACTGCCAACCATGGAAGTCGTCATCTTCTTACCCATGCTTAATATGATATGGAACGGCTCGCCACACATGCTTCGATTGGCGCTCGGCGAGTTGAGATCTACCAATCCTTGACGACCAAGCAGGGATTTGCCTTGATGCGAGGGCGGTAACGCCGCGGTTACCACCTCTGACGTCGTCTTTCTTGAGGATGCTGAGAAAAATGCTCGCCAAGCGTTGTCACCACTCTCAGTCAGCATGGAAACATGGTAGCGATGGGCTGAAACATCAGAACCTTGAAATATGGTCATGAATGCCCCCACAGTCAGGTTCCTCTAAGTCGTACTGTCCCTTTCTGCTGAATGTTGTTTCGACACTGTTCAGATCGCTTCGGCGTACCGCAGATATTCTGCCCAAGAATCACAAAAAGGATGATTAAACTAATCTCATTTCATCGGTTTTAATGTCTGCACTAGGCTCATTGAATTGGTCGACAGAATTGTTGCTGAGATATTGCTGGTCGAATTTATCCGCCGCTTTTGAGCCCTTAAAATAGTACATTGTGACTATCTCATTGGTGTCCGAATAGATTTGCCTAACGCATCGAATATCTATGGTGAGATATGCAAGTTCATGTTTAGTGCATGACAACGTAATAGCATGGGCTTCTTGAAGCCGGGCGCCGGCATCATCCATCAGATTGTGCTGGAGAACTATGCGTATCCAGGCGTCATGATGGGGGGAACAGGTCAGCACTCAGAATCGCTTTTACAATTGTGTGGACTATTTTGATAATTAGATATATTCTATTTAGCTGCATATGTTCCCAACATACCATGATCCCTCAAACATACCCACAGACACTCTGGTTGGAAAAAGGACTAATGCAAATATTGCAAACTCTCACATATACAAAATGTAGGTAGCCTTAGTATGATCGCAATCAGCGTTAGCAGTGCAGATGCTGTTGACGTTATGGCAAGACTGCCATGAGAGCCCACCGCCCCTCAATCATTGGAGTTGACCTATCTGGCATACTCTCTGACTGGGCAACACAGAAGTATAATTTCGTTGTCAGTAAAACACATGTGGGATGTTATCAATGCCACCACGGATATCATCAACGAGCTTGCTGACATGTTGACTATCAAAGGTGGAATAGTACCTATAATCGAGTTCTTCGGTCAAGGGACGAAACCTCCTCAGCCACGGGAATGTTCACGATATACAATATGGTATGCGGTTCCCAGAGGCCCTCTTCGTCCTTCTCGGCTACCTCACGGAGGCGACATCGGGACTATATTTCTCCATTTTGAAAAAGGATAATGCTAACCTCTGAATTTTCGCATTTGGCTTTGAGACTGGCGCATCCACAAAAGGGGCCTTAAGAAGGAGGGTATGCCGGCGCTCCCCTTTGGGGACGCTGACTACGACAGGATCCGGGCCAACGATGGATTAGTCTTCTGGGGCTTAGCGAATTGATACCGGGAAGACCATTGGGGCCAATGATCATGCCCGGCCGACAGGGGAGGGTGAACAAGGCCTAGGAAATTAACTTGAGAGGCATACCTCAATTAATAAGCATGCTGAGTATTAAAAGGCTGGGAGTGTGTTGAACTTGATGGCAGCCCGGCTGAAACCGGCTGCCGAGAATGTGCAATGAAGAAGCTTGATTATGTACCTTGTCGCGTTAGGAAACATTTTCGGAAATGGTTCGAGGCAAAATATTTTATTGCGAAATTTGACCGATTGTATGTTTTCCATTTCCTTATGATGTATCCTTATTGCGACAGCTGTCCATTTCGTCGTCGACTACAGCGCAACCGTGACGAACGGCAATTTTGTTGTGGAAAAGAGCTATAATAGCTCAGGCAATTATGTACAAGCAAGCCAATAAACAATTCATAGTGACCCTGTCCGTTCAGAGTCTAGCTTTTTGAATCCGTATCCCATATTCCTTGCCAAATAGCAAATAGTACAATGACAAACCCGAGAAAGAGCGAATGAATGGTTCACGTCTTTTTCCGTGTACATCTTAGTCGGTCTTTGCCTGACTGCGAGTTACTCTGGCAGTCCTACCCACGGGGGCGGGCTCTTTCTTCTCCTTCTTGGGGCGACCGCCCTTCTTCACAGCGGAGCTGACTTTGTCCAAAGCCTTCTTGAATGGAGAAGACTTCTGCTTCTTCTCGGGATGTGCTGCTGCTGGTTTATCCTCGGGCCCAGGCTCTCCATTTGTCGTTGCAGGCTCTTCTGCCTTGCGCTTCGCACCGGTCTTGGGCTTGACTGACGCTGGCTCACTCACAACGGGAACCGTGTCAGGCTTTGTCTCACCATCAGTCACTGTTGGTTGAGCGCCACCGGTGGTGGTGTCATCATTCTCTTGGGGAGCCTCCTTGGGAGCACTTGATGCAGTGTTAGCGGCGGTAGTCTCTGGCTTTGCAACATCATTCACCGCCGCAGATTTTGCTGTCGGCCCCTCGGCGTCTTGGACAACCTCTACCGATACGGGCTTGGGTGGTGATTGCTTTGCCTCTTCTTCAGGTGCTTTCGCGGCATCTGTCTCAGCATTGATAGGTGCCGAGCTGACCACGCTATCGCCTGTGTTATCAGGGTCTGTAGCCAACTGGTCAGCTAGGCTCTCAGGGGCCTTGATAGTAGAGTCTGTTGACTGTGCTGCTCCGCTGTTAGTTACAGTGCTCTTCATTTTAATCGACAGATTTGACAGATCATTAAATCCACTACGGGTATAGTGACAATAAGCTAATGCCACGACAAGCATGTGATGTGGCCGCATAGTAGAACAAAGATAATCCTGCGTGCTACTGAACTCCCCATGCTTGAGGCGACTCGCGAGAGGAAACTTGGGCATGTCATGAAAAATATTTCGCGCAAATTGATTCGTGATATGATTTCCCATACAGAAGATGTGTCAAACCAAATGCGCTGGGGGTACGAACCTGGCACAGGAGCAGCTGTTGTGCTGGATTCCCCAAGCCCTTTAACTGGCTCAAGCGCAGAGCTGGGTAGATCATTTTGTGGTGCGCTGCTCGCATTCACAGACTCACTGGCCGTCGCAGGCACTTTGGAAATTGGGTCTGTACTCTTTATCTCTTGGGTTTCTGGTGGCGTTGGCGGCGCATTGCCGCCAATGGTGCCGGCAGGCTGGGTGACTATTGGGACGTGACCTGGTCAGCGCATTGCGTCGCGCAATTGACAACAGCTTCGGATTCCATTGATAGTGACCACTTGGTTTTCCATGTTGCTCGCTCGAGCCAACAAAGTCGCAATGTTTATCAAAATTGCTCTGGGTGTCGCGTAGAATTGCGAAGAATCGTACCTCTGTTGGCGCTCTCGGTCGCGAAGTCGGCCATTGCGATGACGTAAGGGGTAAACTGCGGAAGCTCTGAAGAGTGTTTGGGCCGGGTTCAAGTATGCGGACTGGTCCGTGTACAATAGGTTATAAAGGACTATATCTGTGATAGATAATAGACTATTCGCGGTACGGGAATCAGAAGAAATTGGTATGAAAACGAGTTATTCTCGCGACGTACTACAAGTAGTGAATACAGAAGGAGATGGGACAAGGTGAAAGGTTGGTTTAAGCTGTAAGGTGCAACGACGTTAGAAGCTCAAACAAATCAGAGTCACGGACGGGTCGGGAAAACAATGAAGAAGCTACTTTCAGGGCCCTGCACACTTGCGCAATGCGCGCACACAAGGAGAAACTGGGGAAGAAAGGTAATCTCCGTTTCTTGTTTCGAGAGGGGAAGCATCGGGAGCTGCATGTGGTTCAGCTTACTTCATCAGTTACGACAACCTCCAATGCATACATGGGCCCTAATGCTGATTAAGCCTTGTCTGTAGTTTGTTCCGATCATGTTGTTCGCATACAGAGAGTTGATCAAATGAAACCTAGTTTCACGACCTAGCCAATAAGCTGAACATGTCCATTTGTAGACTGAGAGCGTTGCTGATTCGCCAATGCCGATGGATAACTTCTTTTGCGATGTATACAACACAACAAACAGTGCGCCTTAGCTCGACAAAAGCCTATGAGGCCTGTCAGCAGGCTTTGCGATCGAGGGACGGGATGGGTGGTTTCTCTGTCAAGACATGAACGGATCGGCAACCAGATTGTGCAGAAAGGTGGATGTGGAGCAGGTGCTCGGCCGTGCACAAACATGTACGGATCCATAGCTGTGGAGCAAGACATGACGAAATACCGATACACAGACCAAGTCCAAATCGCTTATGCTGTCTACATAGCTATGCTCGCTCCATTCTCTCTATTCAAAGGTTGTCAAACTCTAGTTAATCATGATATTTCAACATCTCTGGTATCACCCAGTCATTAGCTATTATCTCCTGAAAATAACGAAAGCATACGATTTTCCTCTTAGAAACCTCAATCACATTTGAGGTGTGTCTGAATCAGTTGCTCAGTACGCTTAGCCGTGCTAAATTGGATGGTGGAAACATAATTCTAATGGCCTAATCCAGCCACCAAACCTAGGCACTGGGTATCGGTGCCACCGAGCTTGGTGCATGTCTAAATGTTAGCCAATTACTTGCGTTCTATGCTTGGTAACAGCCAAGCTTTGTTACAGAATATCAAGTATCACAACTATATAGAGGAAGCAACGTCTACAATCACAAGCTCTAAAAAAGGAAAAGAATGACAGAATCCATAGAACCTTTCCTTTTAGTTGTCGAGATGCCGGTTTTCCGAATATCAGTTTCGCCAAGCTCTTGCCCAGATAGTGGACCTTCACGCCTTTGCCACGTGACTTGGCTGGCTAGAAGGCCGCGCTCTGTGAGTGGCTAATGGCAATGCATGGGGAGAGGTTAAGACCTTATGTTTTGAGGCCAAGAAACCCGATGGCCTGACTACAATCACTCGGCACGAGTTGCGCCACCACACCCGAATAACGATGGAGGGATCAGGGTGGTGACCGATGTCTTGGTAGGCTTGTGCCAATGTTCAAGTCATGTAACAGCCAATCAGCAACCCCCTCGGGCCTGTCGTATCATGATAGAGTCTACCGGCCATTTGCAGTTTGCATGCCATGATGGCGCAGGATGATGGTATAACCCTCTTGGTTCTCTTGGCACGCCGTTCAAGGTCTATGAACGTGTATCCTGGCGGTCCACCAGCCAGTAATGTTATCTTGATGCTATGAGTATAAAGATGTGATACTTTCCCCAGGTTTTGTCCTAGATTTATTGTGGAATTCAACGTCTGTGATCGCAAAGGTCATTAAATTTCTGCCTTTCAAGAAATCGTTTAGGTTTACAATCTACCACAGTACTGCAGACAGATAACTACGAATCACACTTCATGGAAGTATATTATATTACGAAAACTTTTGTTGGTCTTGGCACGTATTTGCAATGGCCGGCGAGTTTGAACGACATCCATTCCTTCTATCTGTCCAAGATGTCGCGACAAGTCTTGAGACAGATGTAGAGAGGGGTCTCACTTCAGCGCAAGTCGCGCAGTTCCAGGGAAAGTATCCGCCAAATGAACTTGATGTTGGCGGTGCAATTCCATGGTACACGATATTCTTGCGGCAATTGTTCAATGCGATGATATTGGTACGCATATGCACTCTTCTATTCGATAAGTTATGCTCATGACGTATTCAGGTGCTATTCTTTGCCATGGGACTGAGTTTCGGTGTGCAAGACTGGGTCGAAGCTGGTGTCCTTGTCGCAGTCATTGTCCTCAATGTGTCAATCGGATTTTTCCAGGAATATGGTGCAGAGAAAAAGATGGAAGCTCTTAGGGCTTTATCTTCCCCCAGCGCAAATGTTTTGAGAGATGGTAAAACCCAGGTCATTCCTAAGTGAGTATCTCCGTTGTTTTGATATTACTGTCGTATGTTAACACCGTTGTAGCTCAGAGGTTGTTCCTGGTGACATCGTTCTCTTGAAGATGGGTGATACTGTCCCTGCTGACATTCGGCTCTTTGAGGTCATGAATCTTACTTCAGATGAGCAATCACTAACAGGCGAGTCTATTCCCGTTGAGAAAATTGAGAATCATCTCGAGAACGAAGAACTTGGAATCGGTGATCGTATCAACATTGCCTACGGTACTACTGTTGTTCAGAAAGGTCGCGGTCGAGGCATTGTCATTGCGACTGGTATGCAAACTGAAGTCGGCAAGATTGCAGCGTCCACGACAAAGAAGAACCGAAAGGCTGGACGATCTATGAATTATAAGAAATATGGCAAAAAGGCACCAGTCGTCGGATTGAGTAAACGTATCTACGATTTTCTGGGCAAGTTTCTGTACGTTTCTCTCGCCCCAAAAAACTTTAATTAGCAGAACAAACTTACTAACTGGAATACTCAGGGGTCTTACCGAAGGCACTCCGCTTCAGATCAAGCTATCAAAGCTAGCCTATATCCTCTTTGGCTGTGCCATTATTTTAGCCATCATCGTCTTTGGCGTCAACAGATTTAACATGCAAAAGGAGGTCATCATCTATGCCATTTCTACTGGAATCGCCATCATCCCAGAATCACTTGTAGCTGTGCTCACAATCACTATGGTAGTGGCTACGACAGTCATGAGAAAAGCCAACGTCGTGGTTCGAGACCTTTCAGCACTAGAAGCACTCGGTGGTGTTACGAATATCTGTTCCGACAAGACGGGGACACTGACACAAGGCGCCATGATCGTTAAGAAGGTTTGGGTTCCAAGGAAGCTGGTCTACACCGTCCGCGATTCCAAGGACCCAAGCGATCCCACAATTGGTCGTGTAACCTACAGCGAAGTGGAAAAAGGAGTTACAACGAAGGATCCTGAAAAACGCGATTTTGACCAAGAAAGAAGCGCGTCTGCTCTCAAATTTGATGTGCCCGAAGAGAAGTTCAATTCTAAGCCGAAGAAGAAGGGTGATGAATCCGAAGCTACCATGAACCCGGAGCTTGAGGCATTCCTCCTCTCAGCTGCGCTGTGCAATCTAGCTACTGTTCGTGAGGAGACGGAGGCTAATGCCGATGAACGCAAGTGGAAGACTACTGGTGAACCTACTGAGATCGCCTTGCAAGTCTTTGCTCATCGTTTTGGCAAAGGCAAAAAGAATCTTGAAGCCGATAATGGTTGGAAGCAGGTGGCCGAATTTCCATTCGACAGTTCGATCAAGCGCATGTCAGTTATATACAATCACCCTGACCTCGACAATAGTATGGTCTTCACGAAAGGGGCCGTTGAGCGTGTTCTGGATCTTTGCTTGTCTGTTGGAATAAGCGCTAACGCTGAGGCGATGACTGAGACCTACAAGGAAGAAATCCTCAAACAAATGGACGATTTCGCTTCCCAAGGCCAACGTGTCCTGGCTATCGCTTCGCGAGAGTGGGATGGCAAATATAACGAAAAGTCATCGGCTGAAAGTCATGGACACGACGACAAGATCAGGCAGGAAGTCGAATCGGGGCTGACTCTACTTGGACTAGCTGGTATCTATGACCCTCCCCGCCGGGAGACGACACCCGCCATCGCAGAATGTTCATCGGCGGGTATCAAGGTTCACATGTTGACTGGTGACCATCCAGCAACCGCAACGGCGATTGCCAAGGAAGTTGGTATCATCCCCCACAACCTTAGCATTTTGCCTGCGAATATTGCCGAAGCAGTAATTCAGAAAGCTTCTGATTTCGACAAACTCTCGGATGCCGAGATTGATGCTTTGCCTGAATTACCATTGGTTCTAGCTCGCTGTGCACCAGACACGAAAACTCGCATGATCGAAGCGCTCCGTCGTCGCAATGCCTTCATGGCAATGACCGGCGATGGTGTGAATGACGCACCATCGCTATCGCGTGCAGACGTGGGTATTGCCATGGGTTCTGGGTCAGACGTCGCCAAGTCTGCCGCCAAAATTGTTTTGACCGATGACAAGTTCAACTCAATCGTCGCAGCCATCCGTGAGGGACGACGCATGTTTGACAACATCCAGAAGTTCATTCTTCACCTCCTGACCTCCAATGTCGGCGAGGTCATTCTACTTATCTGTGGTCTGGCATTCCGTGATAGCACTGGCTACTCTGTGTTTCCCATCTCCCCCTTACAAATTCTTTGGATCAACATGCTCACCTCATCTTTCCCGGCTTTCGGTCTCGGCCGTGAGCAAGCCTCGCCAATGGTCATGCGCAAGCCACCACATGACAAGAAGCGTGGTGCATTCACCAACCAGATTCTCGTTGATATGTTGGTGTACGGCCTGCTCATGGGAATTCTGACTTTAATGACTTTTGTTATTATTGTCTATGGTGCCAATGGAGGAAACCTCGGCCACGACTGTAATGGAGCCTTCTCGGATTCTTGTGTGCCTGTTTTCAGAGCCCGTGCTGCAGTGTTCGCCGAGTTGACCTGGCTTATTCTTGTCAGTGCATGGGAATTCAAGGATCTCCGACGCTCCATGTTCCGTTTGAACCCTGAGTCAAAGTCAAAGTTCCCATTCTTCAGGGATATTTACGAGAACAAGTTTCTATTCTGGGCCGTCGTCGTCGGAGGTGTATCCGTGTTTCCCGTCGTTTACATCCCGGTGATCAACACTACTGTTTTCAAGCACACCTCGATTTCATGGGAATGGGCCATCGTTGTTGCTGCACTGATTCTATTTGTGGCCGGCATGGAGTTGTGGAAGATGACCAAGCGGGTCTTCGGTCTCTTGGAGGACAAGGCTGTCGTCAGAGGCGCATTCAACCAGGGTGAAGAACAAGGTCGTAAATTCACGCACACGATGAGTTTCAGCAGCCTGAAAAGTTGGCGAAGCTTCGGCAGGAAAAACACGAGTGACTCTGGCTTTCATGCGGCTTCGCGGAGTGCTTCAAGAGGCAGGGCATAAGCGGATCCTTCAGAAAAGAAGTATGAGTATAGTGTGAGGTATGTTTTAGGAGGCTAGGAGGTTTAGATCGTATTCTATTCTCGTTTATATACCCCTTAGATAGTTATGCTGCTTCAAGATAAATGTTACATTTCAAAATACGATTTGGGACTTTGATACTATAAAAGTATCATGTAAAGGTCTGTTTTCATCGTTAAGAATTGATTGCGCAGATAGTGTTCATCAGGTGCGTAGTTCGCGAACGTTGGAGAATCCATTGATCGCTATTATTTCCAATATATCTTGCCTTCCATCAACCGTCTTGCAGTGCGGAAAACAGTAGCCCGCTCGCAATCGCCATCTTTGTCATACTTGGCATCTACCTTCAAAGTACCGCTCGCATGTTTGATTACCAAACCATCTCCGGTGGATTGCAGGCATGTCGATACCGTGCTACCAGGTAACTTCGCTGCTGCCGCCACTGCAAGCGCTACTGTGACAGGAATAGCCTTGTGAGGCTGTCCCACCGAAAGAGCACGAACTGTCAAGCCCTTGGTTGATGCAGAATCTGGGGAAACGAGAGCGATCTTTGGCACGCTGCCAGGCACTTCCTCTAGGGATGGTGCTAATCCCATCATGACGCCCACCTGTCGTCGGATCTTATCCAACACCGGAAGTAGTGTAGGGTGATCTTCCATCTGCTGCGGCGTCAAGTCGCCTGGTACTCCCAGGTCTGAGGCAAGGACGAAACAACATGGATTAGCTACGTCGATACAAGTCGTCTGGACACCCTCGAACTCATCTACCACATTGCCAGAAGGTAGAAGCTTCCCCGTGCGGGATCCTGCGGGTTTGATGAAATCTAGTCGGATAGGCGCTGCCGAACCCGAGACCCCATCAATGACAAATTCGCCATAGGCCGCTGCCTCACCGTCGATGACAGGGAACACGGCGTTGATGATTTTGCTAGTGTTGGTGTTATGGATCCTGACCGTCACTTCCTGCTCCCCCTCTGCCGGCACTGCGAACAGTCCGGAGTCAACGGCAAACGGGCCAACGGCAGCTGACATGTTACCGCAATTGCTCGAATAATCGACATGCTCGTTCTTGATGCCCAGCGACGCGAACGTATAGTCCACATCCGCATCATCGCGCCTGGAGCGACCCACCACGCAAACTTTGGACAGATTCGAGATGCCACCGCCCATGCCGTCAAGCTGCCGCCCGTGAGCGTCGGGACTTCCTATCACACCCAGGAATGGCTGGTTCCAATCATCTCTGTCTGTGGGCAGGTCTTCCTCGCGGAAGAAGACGGCGCGAGAGGTCCCACCGCGATAGTAGGCTGCAGGCAGAGATTGTTGCTTTCGTGAAGTGTGCTGGCAGCGGCTGTACATGAAAGCTATACGTTGACTTGACCAGGATTGCAGGGCTGGTCTTGGTCCATATTGATGGCTCGGCAGTTTCTGCGAGGTGTATGCCCTGACTATTCGTGATGCGAGAGAGGGGTGCCGATGCATTTTGACCAATAAACTTTAAGCAATGTGAATCGTCCAAAGAAAGACCTCCACTTCACACAACCAGGATTCGGAAGATCTTCTCAAGGCTCTAACGTCTTCATACAAGGACCAAATTACCTCCAATGGTGCTGGGTAGTTTTGGTGTTCCAAAGCGAATGTCTCCGACGCGTCAAAAAGACGAATGAGGCACAAATCGCGGGGTTATGAGATAAGTACATGATCAACGAAAAACCATATCCGCTGGTGGACCGCACCGCCAAGTAAATATAAGTTGGCAATGACACAACATACACTCCACTGTTCCAGTCAACACCCTTTGAGGCCTATGGCTTTCGAAATCGGTAATCAGTTCTTTCAAACGGTATTTAGCTTGATGACTCATAGATTAACTGCACATATTTTCAGATCCAGCTGGTGACAATAACATGGCACAAACTCCTGATGTTACACATGAGCTCACTGCCACGAGATTCACAGAACCTCACGCCTCCCCCATATTATGACACGCTCTAACAACACTACATTTCTCTGGTATATAGAATAGTGAGGTCTATTCAATTAACTTCTGGACCTTGTCATTTACAATAACCGCTAACAGCACTTTGAGCAGGAACCATGAGCGTATTACCAAGGAGGCCTATGCCTTGGAGATAATTGCCTAAAAGACGAACATTCCTGTGCTGCAGCTGACCGATCATGGGGTTCATGACGACGGCAGACGATACCTTATCACAAAAAATATCAACAGCTTTCCTCTGAATGAACTACTTCGCAAAGGATGTCCAATGGCAGAGGCCAAAAGCACACAGACAACATACCATGCAGAACATGCCAGAGAAAGGCCTACTTGAACGCCCTCAGGTTCATACAAAGCACTGATATGCCCCAGCTGAAAGATCTCAAGTCTCGAGAGAGGGGTGTTCGCGGATTTGTTATGCAAAGGACCTTGGAAGACTCACAGGTCAGAGATGCTCGAGTATGTTTTCCAACACGGCGATCTCTCGGAGCTCGCAACATTCTAATGGATTACAAACCCTGGAAGTCACTGCTTTGATAGATAGGGAGTATGCTGGTTTCTTCTCGCTGGGAATGGGACGATGGAATGATACACTGGACCATCATGTTCATTTTCGCTGAACTGATAATTTGGCCAATGTGGTTAGCGAGTTTCTGGCTGAAGAGTACCATGAACGTTACCAACAGCGCGATAGTAAGGCTGAATTGATACCGCTCATGAAGCATGGAAAGTTTCCATGCCCAAATAAATGTGTTGACCGGAACACACCTGAAGGCCGTCATTGCACTCTATGTAATTCTGGTGGAAGCAAGTGAGAGCTAGTTGGGATGATAGGTAGGAGTAAACATCAATGAGGGTGAATGGCGCAGGGTTGGTATCATCGTGATGACAGTGTACGGTTCGGACGATTTCCCAGAATTTATGAGTGTGACAATTATACTATCAGGTGCGAAACCTCAAATAAGATAACATGCTAGGGTCCTAGGCATAAACAAGCACTGCCAACAAGATCCCCCTGATTAGGGCTGTGGCTAATGACTCCATGGCGTAGCAATAGCTGCAAACACATTTTCCAGCTATTATTTTGCCAATTTTTAAGGGAAACGGTGTAGGATTGCGGGGGAAGCTTGCGGAAGCACAGTTCGCATAGGTTGCTTGAATGATGAACAGATCCATAATGAGATAGAGGTAAGACTCGGCGGATACGAGGGTCTAAACAGGGCCACAAGCCCATTCGTACTATTGCCAGGAATTACTCTTGTTGAGGATTTACAGGAGAGAGCTACATTACAAATGACAATAAAGACTTTCCAGAATAAGGTCAAATATGTTTGAGCCATCTAGGCACAACCAACGGGTATTTTCAATTCGAACTTGTTTTATTTGGTAGCCGGATTCGCAGTTTTCATACCAGTGCTAGCCATTGTGCCGTTGTTCCTTATCACAGAGTCATGGCACTTTGACAACGACCTTAGGACGAAATTGTTTGAAAGATTGGCTATATCACGGTCTGAGAACAATTGTAAATTACGAACTCTCAGCAGCAAAAACACTTTCGTCCTTTAAAGCATTAGTGAAAGTAGATACGGAGTTCTACGGGATGCCAGAAGCAAAGCTTCCTCTAATTTTGCTCCTGCCAGCAATGATTCTTCGCTACACAACATTGCATGAATACCATCGTAGAGTATTCCGCCTCGATGATAGAAACCCTAACATCTCCGCCTAGAAGCAAAATAGACATGAAGTTGCCAACTTGAGATCAATCTAACGCCAGGGACCACTTATTTTCGTACCCAACACATCTGCTTTGTTTTCTTATGCTCCTTCGATCAACTCAAGACGTTCGTAGTTGTTGTCACCCAGACTACGGTTTTGGTACTATCCAAGAGCCCGGCTCTTGTGCACCCTGCTCGTCAACATCAAACTCGAAAAGAAGGTCGAGCGCATGGCGCCTATACTTCTCAGTCTCACTAACGAGCTCTGTACGCAGCTCTTTGAAGCGTTGCAAGTCACCCTCGCGTACAGCATTTCTCATACAGGACTCGATGCCTGAGACACATGCGTTTTTCATCAATCGCTGAGACGCTTTGAACATGTAAGGTAATGACTTGACAGGCCCTAAGCCTTTCATTTTTCTTGTGAGATACTCGGCGTACTGATGGTTGATGCCATGAAAAGTGACTTCGCCGACATCTTTGAGCTTGCGAAATGGTTCCAGTACATAATACTGAGAACCTGGGACATACTTTTCGGGCCCCTCCAGAAAGACCTCCAGGTGCTGCAAGTCGAGGATAGCTTGCAATGATACAACTAGCTCCACAACGGCTCGGCATGCCGCATTATGTTCTGAAACATGCTTGACCTTGACCGTAACTTGTACTCGTCGAATGTGTTCCAACCTGAGCCCGTAGTCTGTTTCGCATGGATTGAACGCAAGAAGATCATAATCATGGTTGGAGACTTTTAAGTAATCGCCGAACTTGATATAGATTGTCTCGAAGCCAGAGCCGCTGCGCAAGAACAGCGCAATTTCCTCGTCTATGTCGAAGTCCTCTTCATATCTAGGGTTCCAGCCGGAACTGTTGATCTCGAAATGCCATGTGTTTTCCTCATAAAGGACTTGATGTGCTTCGTAATGAATTTGGCGACACGTACGCATAATTTCAGTGTGGAAAGTAGTAGCTGCCAAGTTGGTAATGACGCCTTCGCAACTAAGCAAATTCTTGTAGATCATGCGTCGAATTTCAAGTGGAAAGGCGAAGAATGGTCTGGGCTCCGTACATGAGGAACTGTCGTTGTTCTCAGCTCCGGTGCAAACAACGACAGCTCCAGTGATCTGGTCGTCCGCCATTGAGATTGTGGAGTTGATCGCGATCTGATGGTGGTGGAGCGAAACGACCGAGTTCAGTGGTGCTGATTAAGACTTGAGATAACCAAGCAGTGATTAACAAGAGGACCTCCTGGATGGAGTATGGGCTTCTGACAGTAATGACTCTAAGTTGTTGTGTGAAATGTGTGATGAAGAAATCAGTTTAGGCCAGGCGCTGTGAGAAGAATAGTAGGAGCGCTAGGCAGACATGGTTGCCTGGTATTTATATTATTCCATTTCATAATTCCTATAAACTGGAACAGAAGGAAGTCACTGGCCGTATTGAGAAACAGGGTTAGTCAAAGGACCCACAAAGATATGAGAGCTTTCTTTCAGAACTCGGCTTAGTGTCTATGGCTGAATCGGCAAGATTGTATAAATGAGAGCTCTGCGTGTATTATCTAAGCCAATCTAAAATATCAACCTCTTGTGTTGTGTTGTGTTGTGTTGTGTTGTGTTGTGTTGTGTTGTGTTGTGTTGTGTTGTGTTGTGTTGTGTTGTGTTGTGTTGCGACAACTGAGTCTTAAGGGAAAGGGATTCCATACATTAACTAGGAGATTACAACTGACACACTTGGAGCGATAGAAAAGGTTCTCATCCTGAGGGATCTTGGTGTGCGAGTTGACACGCCATAATGACAGACCCAACCCTTCGCTAACAACACCACCGAGGTAAACAAGGTTCTATAGCTCTACCCAAGATAAATTATCCTGATGGAAGGCATTCTCTCCAAGCTCCCAGGTCAGGATTTCTGTCAGTTCTGATTGCATAAGAAGATGAAGCGTTGTGAGAGTCACTGCGTACTGTAATATCGAGGCTAGCTTCTACATTTATACAATAATGGGCTTTCAAGTTAATGACTACGCCTTTCATCCATATAATGTAAAGTTCTATTCGAAATAAGAGCATGAAATCACAGCAGTATTTTCAGTAACCACTCCCATGATCGAGAAGCCCTCTCCACCGAGTCGATACACGGTCTGTTCTGACTCTGAGAGGATGTGTAAGGCTATCAAGTGGCTGAACACGCTGATCTCTTTATTTCCCTTCTTATGATTCTCCTAGGCTCTTTGTATTATGAAAGGTCTGGGTTTGAACACTTATTTTTATTTTTATGAATAGTGCAATTTTATCGTGTGCCTACTTGCCAATATAAGACATGAGGTGAGTAGATTGTCGGAGAATAGGGAAGAACCTAAATGCTACAGCAGTAATAAGAAATGCGTGGAGTGGCGGCTTGAAATTAGATTACCAGTCAGGCTATTCAACAAAACCAGTAGCACAAATCTCGTCAACAAACCCCGGATTGTTGCAGTGAAGTTCTTCCCGGTTGATTCGCATATTAGGTCCTGGACTAATCGACATAAACTCCCCTGATCAGATGGCGAACTCAACTCACCAAACTGCTTTCGACGTGGAGGTTGGAAGTGCACTGGGAGCTAAGTTATAGTATGCTGGAAAAAGGGCGGGGCTCGGGTGCCAAGTCGCGAATTATGGCCTGGCCCAAGCTCCAGCTGTGAAAGGTTCGCATCAGCTGCATTGCACTTGCATTTGAACCGTGTCCAGAAAGTCCAGGTCACCTTTACTGTAAGTAACTTGACTTAAAGCCCACGCGACAAGCCAGACCCCCTATCGCCAAACTGAACTTCATTCACTCCTTTGCGCCTGCACGCCGACAATTCAGCAGACCTTTCAATTCTTGTCCAAGCCGCTTGCCATTCTATCCTTTCCACTTTTACACCTCCAATAATTTGACACAATGGCGCCCAAGGGAGATAAATACTCGGTCATCTTGCCCACCTTCAACGAGCGCAAGAACTTACCCATCGTCGCTTGGTTGCTCAACCGCACCTTTACTGATGCGTACGTATATCCTAACGCATGCGACACCAGCTCCGACTTGCCATACCTGCCCAAGTTGAATAGGGGCTGATACATCCATAGGAAGCTCGATTGGGAACTCATCATTGTCGACGATGGCTCGCCTGACGGCACCCAGATCGTCGCTAACCAGCTCGTGAAGGCATACTCACCCCACGTTATCCTGAAGACCCGAACCGGCAAACTGGGCCTCGGAACTGCCTATGTGCACGGCCTGCAATTCGTGACGGGCAACTTCGTCGTCATCATGGACGCCGACTTCAGCCACCACCCCAAGTTTATCCCCCGCATGATCGAGGTCCAGAAGCAGGCCAACTACGACATCGTGACCGGCACGCGGTACGCTGGCGATGGTGGTGTTTACGGCTGGGATCTCAAGCGCAAGTTCGTGTCAAGGGGTGCCAACCTGTTTGCGGATACCGTGTTGCGACCTGGTGTCAGTGATCTGACTGGCAGTTTCAGATTGTACAAGAGGTCCGTCTTGCAAAAGGTCATTGAGAGCACAGAGAGCAAGGGCTACACTTTCCAGATGGAGATGATGGTCCGCGCCAAGGCTATGGGATGTACTGTAGCCGAGGTGCCAATCTCCTTCGTTGACCGAGTCTACGGTGAGAGCAAACTTGGAGGCGACGAGATCATCGAGTATGCTAAGGGTGTTCTGAACCTCTGGCTCAAGGTGTAAAGTGGCACTTGCAGGGGTTATTGCGAAGGGTTATACCAGGTCGGTAGGGTTGAGCGGCACTATAATGCATAACAGTAACACAAGGGTTGCCTGGCGTTGGGACGGCTTGTGTTTTGATTTTTTCGTCGGGAAAATAACAACTAATTTTGGCCGGAGAAGGCCGCACCCATCGAGACACTCCGTAATGATGAGATGCCATTGTACGAGTTGAGCTCAGATGAATGTACATTTTCATGTAGACGCTGTCTAGAGTACATTTTGTTAAGTCTCACGGCATCTACATGTTTCTTCCACCAGTAACCATGATGGTCTGCCCCGTAACATAAGAAAACAATGGACTGACAACAGCTAAAATTGCGCTGGCAGCCTCAGTGGGCGTTCCGGGTCTCCTCAATGGGATATCAGCATGCGGCGCTGGACCCGCCGCCCTGGACTGCGCCTCGGGAATCCCCAATGCGATCTTCTCGCCGTCGGGTCCCGTGATGAACGCCCCCTTTTCCTTTGCCTGTGTCAGCCGCGTTTGTATAAAGCCATAGGCAATTGTATTCGCCCTGACACCAAACGACGGGCCCCATTCCTTGGCGATGGCCTTGGTCAGTCCACTCACGCCCGCCTTTGCGAATGCGTAGTTTGCCTGGCCTGCGTTCCCATGGATCCCGCTCGTCGAGGAGATATTGATGACGTTCCGCGGCTCACCATCCTTGACGCGGAAGTACGGCGATGCCTCTCTGATCAGCTTGAAGGGCGCGGTGCCGTGCAGGGCGATGATGGCGTCCCACTGCTTGTCAGTGGTCTTGTGGATCACGCCGTCCCAGGTATAGCCCGCGTTGTTCACGATGATGTGGATCTTGCCGTTGCCGAACTCGGCCGCCTTGGCCACCAGCGTCTTCAGATAGGCATCGTCGAGCATGTCGCCGGGGACGGCGAGTGCCGAACCGCCAGATGCGTTGATGCTCTCTGCTACCGACTGGGCTTTCTCTGCAGTGAATTGTCAACGAACGAGAACTGGATCATGAGAGTTGAGCAAGTGCCACTCACGCCCGTCAATGTCAGAGACGATGACTTTTGCTCCTTCATTTGCAAAGAGGCGCGCGGCTTCGGCACCGATACCTTGCCCACTGCCAGTAATAATTGCTGTTTGACCAGCAAGAAGCCCTCTTGGGAAGTTGAGCTGGTTTGCAATTTGCTTGATACGGTCCGTCATGGTTCAACTCAAAAGCTGCTATTGCACAGTGGAGAATCACACACTACGGGGACGAAAGAGGTCTAAGAATGGTCACGTCGCGTCTTACAGTACAAACCTTGGTGGCGATGATATACTTAAGATACTGCCTTTTTATCATCACTTTTTGCGGGGGCAGCTGGAGGAAGTTCTACCCCAGACTTTCCAGGGATGCCGAGGTTCCCCGCCGTGCTAGCTTTCCGCGTTCAGGGGTGTCAATCCTCAGGGAGCTTGAGCTTCAGAGCGTAAGAAGCGTCGTAACTAACGAGGTTGCAAATATGGACACTTTCCAGTTGAGCCTTCATAAATCGATACCAATTTGCTTGCAAACCTGACGTGAGAATTATGGCCAGCGTTTGTTCGACTGGGTTTTTCTTAAATCGGCACCTATATGTCTGCCACCAAAGGACTGCGCAAGTTTGGGATAGTCGAGGGACTACTTAAAGTGCTTCGGGGTCCAGCATCACTTACGATTTCTGTTCTCAACCCCTCTCCGGTCTAACTCGATAATAATCTATGTAAGGAGTCCGAATGGCCAACGATTGCGTGTGTAGCTGCACGATCTGCAGGAGCCTGTTGGGCTCTCAGGGCTAGTCAAAGTCCTCACACTAACTTTCGTTGCTTTCGATTTTTGAGATATCGAGGTGATGAAGAATGCATCGATGATTATCGTTGTGTGAACAGCAGCTACGGTTCTGTTATATAACGAATATTGGCAAATGTCACTGTGCGCAGCCTGGTGCCATTGCCTATATGGATTCGATTGAGTCTATAGGCCTCTGGGAAAACTCTTGGAAAGGTAAGTTACGATAAATGGCTGACTTTGATCGAAGTACAGTGACGTAAACAATAGCTTTGTCAGTGATCATGGCGTTTCTCTACTTTACAATGAAATGGGCAGTGTAAAATGTTCCAACCTTGGAAGCTCTAACGCGCAGGCTAGGTTTCAGGGGGGGTCCCTCTGCAGCGATGATAAGATAGGCAGAGCTTTGTACTGTACGGATCCGCATGTACATAGTGGAGGCCATGTCTGCAGGTGGGCTTCTTGATATCATCAACCCCGCCAAAGCAGCAACATTGTCTCTCAGCACTGCCAAATCCTTGATACTTCACACGCCCACCCGGTGTCGATTACTCCAGTCTGTTCTTTTATAGAATGTCCTGAGCATGCGCGGCGGTCGAGGAGGTGGAAGGGGAGGCCATCGTGGCGGCCGAGCACCCTCTGCGCCATGGAGTAGCCGATTAAAGCCAGTCGAGCTTGATCCTCTGGAAGCCATCGGACTGCCCTCGAAAGGTGACAAACGACTCCTAGACCTGAAGACACAGGAAACATACTACACGAAAATCGTCGAGCGGTACTTGGGTTTTATTTCCGACGCAGGCGAAAAAGGCGAGCTCAAAAGGCGATTTGCTTCACTCAACCTGAACTCTCAGCACTCCTCCGATGACAGCCCAACATACTCGAACTCGCCTTCGAACACCCATTCCGTGGCGAATCTGCCACCCTTGAGACCACACCCGCATCATACAATCAGTGCACCGGCCGAGCTTCCATTGGCACTTTCCGCACTGTCGAGCAATACCAAGGGCCTGTCTGAGGTTCTTGCAGCCTTGAGGAAACTACGTGAAGGCATTGTAGCCTCCAAGCGAGCCGACGACTTCGCTGTGCAAGCATATCTCTTCTGCATTCGACTGTCTGTACTCGTAAAGCACCCGGAATCGTACCACCCGTCGATTCTACATCTCTTGAGACACATACATCTGACTCACCCTATGACGAGCGTCGAGACCAATGAAGTGGTCGGCTATTTGATCCTGGATGCGGCGTGCAGGCGAAAAGACCTCGCTGAGGCGTATACCACACGAAATCAGTACAAGCTGAGGGACCCTAAAGTAGACGGAGTTCTAGCAGCATTGGCGCATGACAACTATGTGCTTTTCAAGAGATTGAGGATGGGCGTCGATGGTCATAAGGCGAAGATTTTAGAGTACGCGCAAGAGCCGATGCGCATGCACACACTCAAATGTTTTGGCAGAAGCTACCTCAGCGTTGAGTTGGAGTTCCTAGAGCAATGTGCAGACTCGAATTGGATGGATCTCATCAGTAACGACAAGGTCGGCTGGGAACTTGAGGGGAACAAGGTTGTCATCAGGAAGATGAAAGGCAGGTAATGCCGGCCGGCTGTTAGCGACATCTGCGGTCTATCATGGATGCCCTTAGATTCGTGAAGTTATTAAGCATGCATATGTCAATCCCACTGCAGCTTATTGTTGTGGTTTCGATAACTGTGTAGCGTGCTCATGAAACAATATTAACACTGGTAGGGAGAGACAGCATGTTCGTTGAGACATTTTTCCTGGACTGAATATTCTTCTTCAATTCACGCTCTTGCGCTTAACACAGTAGAAGCGGTAGTTTCTTATTTATCATGAGACATTACAGTATCGCAGGGCACCATCATTCATTCATTGCCTTTTAAAACTACGAACGAAATACGATTAGTGGATGCTAAGATGTGGTTTAGTGCTCTTAGTATTCTGGAATAAACTCAAGCCATCCATCAACCAATCAGGTTGTGTAGTGTAGTGGTTAGCACGTGGGATTTTGACATCAACCAATTACTGGTTGAAACATTCCTGAGTCCCCGGTTCGAACCCGGGCACGACCTTTTTATGCTGTTTTCTTCAATTTATTCTTATTCATTCTTATTTAAAGGAAGTTTATTATGAAGAGAACTAAGAGAAAGGTGAAAATAGACTTTTTTGAACTTACTTTTAAGAATGTATATATATTTATTGAAAGAAATCTTTTTGTTTCTATTTTATTATATTTAATATACCTTGAAAATTAGAGCGCTTTAAGCATGAGACCTATGATTAGCGAAAGTCGAGTGATAGCACTAGGAACAAGAGATCGACGAGTACATTAAATTTACACTTTTCTTCGCAAAAGTTAATCAATTATTTCTCTATCACTGGCTTTGCGAAGCTTACTATTGCAACCGTACATGGTGAAGAGCATCATGGAGATAATATTTTACGGAATGCATGGGCTATGTTGCGTTAGGAACAGACAATTTTACACTCTTGACTTGTACAAGATGAAGATAGTAAAAAGAATTTGGAGGGAAAAAAAGGGAAAAAAAAGGAGAAAAAAAAATGAAGTCTACTGTCCGTTTGAGGACGGTAGTGCAGCAAAGAGGTGATTGCAGTCGACTTTCAGGATTGCATATAGTGACAATGAAGTATCCAAGGGGTTCCAAAAACGACTTACCGGATTTCAATGTATTTGCCATCTTTCTCTCAGACCTGATCGCAAAAGGCCGGCTTTCGCTGTGTTTCTTCGCTGTCTACATGATTTAATCGTCGGAGTTGGTATAATACGACTGCCCAGGTAACTATCCCAGTATTCTGCCGAGTACTATTCACAATCAGGAAATAATGTTACGCTCGTCAAGATGGGTCAACGAGCATGTCAAACTTTCTCCATGTCTTCGAGTAAGCGCTGGTATTTCGAACTCCTTTTCCAATACTCAACATACCCACCTGCTCCAGATCATAGCGGAGAATTCAACCATCTTTAGCCATGCACATTCTCTCGGCTTGATCCCAACAAGGGGGGAACAAAAGCCGCAGTTCACCAAGCTTGCACATCATCAACATGGCGGAGTATACTACGAGAAGCCTCACATTCCACGATGGATTTGCCTCATATCATACATGATGTGAGAACTAGGCTGTTGGTAATAAGCACGAAGCCGAAGCCGGGAAGAAGGGTGAGATCAAGCATCGCAAGCATGTATCTTGGCTAACTGCGAGGGGGGTCGTGGTCTCTAAGTCAATCGTAGGTGACTGGGTGTTTGTGAGTGATATACCCAAGCACGACGGGGTAGTATGATCAGAGCGTGGTATATTATTTAAACGGCATTAAGCTTATTATTTGGGCCAAAAAGTACCGATTGTCCGGGCTGTTCTGCGGGGCCGACATTGACTTCGCGACGCGGTGGCTCCACTTTTAAGTTGGAGGGTCGAAACAACAATCGCGACCCGCGGTGCACTTTACCGTCGAATCGAATCGCGGGTTGCGAGTTGCGATTCCCTGTTGATTCGGAAGCTCAAACCAGATAGATTGTCCTTAACTCGCTTGCTTACCACTTCTACGTTGACCTCCAGTCGCTGATTGTTGATACCAAACTCGATTATCCCATCTCTGACATTCTTCTTTCCCATTTCTTTGCGACGTGTAGCAACAATTCCATTGAAGAGATCTTGTTGAGCCATGTATTTATTCCCAGTCGCAATCAAGCTGTTTCCTGCTTGACCTGTTCTCACCACCGCCGCCACACTTCTGGACTTTCTTCTTGCGACAACAAGATGATGAGTTACGACCAGCGCAGACCATCTGACGTGCTTTCATCTGCAAGACCTAATGGTGGAAGAGGTCGCATGCCCAGCAACTCCATTCTGGGACACAAGAGGACAAGCTCTGGGCGCATGGAGTCCAAAGAGAACATCGACGGCGTGGACAGTCAGTTCTCACCATTTACGTCGCCGGAGCTGTCAGAAGGAAGTGGCAGGAAAATCCGGCCTACCTTTAGCCCCGTCGCCCGCCCAATTTCTGCCATGCAACGAACCGGCAACTCTGTGCCCAATCTGAGGGAGTCCGACTCACCGCACGACACCAAGATCCCACGACCGAACACGACGGCACCGAATTACGAATCCTTAAGTGCTCGAGGCTCTCCAGGCTCGCCTATGCCGGCCTCCAATGGCAATGCACGACGAATTCGACAACCCTTGGGATTGAAAGCTGCGTTCAAGCTTGCCGAGGCACAGGATGCGCGAGAGCGCAGTGGTTCGTCGTCGTCCAATGGCTCTATTGACTTGAAGCGAGCTTTCGAAATGGCCAACGCAGAGGCAAATCGGGTTGCAGTTGGTTCACCCAGTCCAGCTCCTCGGTCATATCGACGTAGGGAATCGACGGACACGAGGTCGAATCAGTACTTCGGCAGCCCGGTTAATGTCGATCTTGGTCAACGCTTACAGCAGTTCGACCAAAACCATCAATTGAGCAACAATGGTGGGCCTTTAGATGGCATATTCGCGACCAAGGGTCGTACAGGGCCCAATGCAACCGAGTCGACGAATACCTTGGCAAAGAAAGCGGGCAACAGCAGTTCAGGAAGCACTTCAGAATATCGGAAGGGGAGCGCTCCAAGCCAGGATGGCGCCGGGAGGAATTCTGCGGAGAGGACGAAGTGGGATGCTGTTGGACGCAACTCAGTCTTACCATCTATCGAATTTGCGCCTTTACCCCCTGTCGATATGGGAAGTGAAGACGAAGATCTTCTCGTAAGCTCTCCGGCTGCACGGCCTAGTAACCTGTCGCCTGAGAAGAGCTATGCTTGGGATTTAGATGCCGACTTCACAGCTGGTGATCTGCAAGTATCTGATAGTCCTCGGATCAAACTTGGTAGAAACAGCATTGCGACTGGTGGCTCCCCAGCGGCGAAAAGCCCAGAATCTCGAAAACCAAACGAAAAATTGAGCAGGATACGGGAACTCGAGCATGAAGCTGCCAACGCAAACATCCCCGAGGACGAGTCAAGTGTAGGACCAAAACGAACGAATCCTCGACTGGACGAGATCAGGGCACGTGAAATGGTGGCGCGGTCACCCCGAGCTGTGGCCGAGAGCAGGTTAGAGGAAATTCGGGCGAAGAACGCTGAAGCCCGCTCTCGTTCGACATCTCCAGAAGAAGCGAGAAGGTTAACGAGTCAAAGTCTTCGAAACCACCCACAAAGTCCTCTCCTCGGCAACATCAGTACCAAGGCCAATGGTTCGCCCCAGCTTGGTGAACGGATCTCTGGCACGCCCATTACTGTGTTTCGGAACTCCAGCAATGACAGCCTGGAATCCCGACCGAGAGAGGAAGCAATATCTTCATATCCACCTCAAGTATCAGCTTACGATGACTCGTACGACCTTCTTCGTCGTTTGGCACTAGCAACTAGTCCAAGACAATCTCCCAAAAACTCGCCAGAGTCAGAGGAACGGAAATTGCCCAGTAATACCAATTCGACTCGAATATCCGTGACCCAGAATAGCAATGGACCAGAAGTGCACCGCGAAGAATTAATGTCAAAGGGCTCCCGAGCTAGGATCTCCAGAGACCAATTGGCCGTTGGATTTAGTGGGCTACCTAAGAGGTCATCTAACAACTCCTACGATGACAAACGACAGAGCTTGGTAAACTCCGAGACAGATCCCCTTGATCGGATTGAAGCTGAGATGAAGCTCTTCGCACTCGGAGATAAGGACTCTGAGAAGGCTTCAACTCGCGCTCCATCCCCCGGCCTATCAGAGAAATCCGAGCCGATTGAGGAGGAAACGCCAAAACAGAAGCGTATTGACCCCTTAAGTCTTCCTACACCGCGCGTTAGCGGTGCTTATGTGATGACGCCCGCGACGGTTAAGGTCAAGAGGGAACGAGACGATGATTGGGTAGACGTTGAATCGGACAACTCAACGCCGGCAAACTCCATTCCGAAGCAGCAAGCAACAGGCTATCAAGGGTCAAAGGTTGAGCAGGAGGCATATGAGCTCTCTGACAAGGTTACCAAGTCAACAGGAAAGTTGTCGGCCCCAGTTCGTCGCCCAAAGCGTCGTCCAAAACAACACCAACCCCTCATCAATACTGCTAGTATTCCCACTGTTAAAGATGATCTACGAGCTATTCTGCGCCAACACCACATCGACGACTCTACTCTTGACGATTTTGATGGCCTTCTTGACGATCAGGACATCGATGCCAAGGAGCTTGAGAAAATTGTTGATGATACCGTTTTGAAGATTGAAGAGGACATGAAAGCTGCCGGGTTGACCGATCAAGAACGTGAATTGCAAGCCTATGATCGGATGAGCAAGTCTCTCAAGACCGGTCTCCTCGGCATTCGTTCCGCGAAGCAGGGCATTGAGCGGTTAGAGGATAAGGTTATACACTCTGACCACACGGATTTCGATGCTCAGATTGATGCAGAACTACAAAAGCTATCTCGTTCAACTTCACCTTCAACGCACAAACCCTTTAGAACCGAGTCTGTGGGTATTACATGGCCGAAACTTTTCAGTCGTCAACCGAGGTTCAGACTCACACCTCTTGGCATTTTGACGATGGCAATCGCCATCTGGTACGTAATTGAGGCGACCTTCTGCTCTCGATATGTCAATCACTATGAATGCCCTCGTGGTATGACATGCGATTGGTCGCCGAATGAACCATATTTCCCCTATGCAGCGCCGTTCATGCTTGACGAATGGGCTACCGGCGGCAAAGGACGCGCACTTGTATGGCGCATCGGTGATGCGGTTGGAGATGTAAGGTCAGAAGTGTCGGATTGGCTCACAGGCCATGATTTTACAAAGGATGAGGTGATGTATATGAACATCTGGGAGAGAAAGCGGCATAGAAGAAGACTGCACAGGCGAGGGATATATTGGAAGTGGTCCGAACCTGCCCAATTCAGACACAAATTTCAAGCTTGGAGAAACTCGTGGAAAGAAAGGCAGCGAGCGATTGAAGATGGCGAGCCCATATGGATCGACGAAAGCATGAGTGCAGATGAGAGATTATAGGAACAAGGAATGGTGATAACATTATGAGGATTCGAAGGAGGAAGGTACTCAATGTAGGCAGGGACGCACAGCACCAATCACGGCATCATGTGCTTCGATGGTGTTTTTCTATCTAATGTTGCTAGCGATTGATACCACCCTATTGCATTTGCAGGATATTACGATCGAGCAAGGAGTTGCCCGCTAGCATTTGCAAAGAGAGCTTTATATATCATATGATTGAATTCTGGAAACATCACAATGCTCTCTCCTTTCCTTTATGTGTGGTCGAAGTACCTACACATCGCAAACCTCCGCATTGTTGGGAACTCCACACAAGGCTGAACTGGACAACATCATGAATGGAAGAGAGTCGAAAGATAGATTGATCAAACTATCTAGGATAGAGGGAGATATTTCCTCCTTAATACTAAAGCAGCACCCTGTGCCTTAAAACAGAAACGAAAGAAAGAGCCTGCACGACAGTGGCTAGGCTACTACGACGACAGCAGGCCATGGAAGGCGGGGAGAGTGCATCCACATGCATTCCACCAATGTCGGGTGCACTAAAGGCAAACTTGATGCACGAACCGAGGGCACGTTCTGCTTAGTGATGCCCTCCTTGCGCGTTCACCTCCGATGTTGGCACATAAACATCTCATTTAGAAGACCTCCGGGCGTGCTTCGAGCGACGGCAAGCCTTGGGGCCCGCACTTGGAGTAGCACTGGTGGCCGAGGTGCTCTGAGGGATGCTGGACGAGGCGCTACTGCTTGGGCTCTGGGCGGACGAAGTAGCATTGCTTTGACCTGTGATAAAAAGTGAGTATGAGGCTATTAGGACAGGCCAAGTGATAGGGAATATTAAGTTTGGTCATCCCCAGCTTCAATCTCGCTCAGGCGTCGTCCGAGCGCCCTGCGTCGCAAGCGTAGTTGTAGTAACAAAAAAAAAAAAAAGGGAAAAGACAAAAGAAAAGAAGTGAACTTACCAGTCCAGACAGCAGGACCGGGCATGGGATAGTCCTTGAAGCCACTGTAAATGCTAAAGTTGAACGAGTCGTCGGTCGACTTGTAACCGCCGGGAAACTGTATGGTAGGTCCAGGAGTTCCAGAGCCTCCACCGGTGACCTTCACTTGGGCGCAGCTAGAAACCTCAAATTAGCCACCAGTGCCTTGAGTCGAGGAACTTTGCTTCTCTACAATCCACGTGGGGGCTGAACAAACTCACCTCATGTAGAATTCAGCTTGCCCAACGTGAGCACCATGGACGCCAATGTGCTCACTTCGGATAAGGTACTCGCCGTCTGGTAGGTCGGCCGGGATAGTGAACTCGATGCGATCCTTATCCCAGGTGCACCACGCGTCGGTGGTGAAGTCGGCACTCTTATCACAGACGCTCTCCTCGTAGATCTTAAACCAATCCCCATCGCCTTCGTAGGCCTGAGCAGTGCCAGGCGCCTTGGACATGTAGACAATTCCGGGTCCCGGATGCTTCATGGTGGCCCCAACCGCCAGCTTCATCGACAGCGCGGAGCCGGCCTTGACCTCAGCGGTCTCGGTCGTGGAGGCGAACGAGAAGGCGCCCTTGTTGCACCGCATCTCGGGCCCGTCGGGAGTGGTGTCGTCGCGGCTGTTCTCCCACTTCGTCGGGTTGTACTTGGCGTCGCGCGTGTTCGATCGAACATATTGGTTGGACTTGGACTCGACGCCATCTATGACGAGGACGTCGAAGAAGTAATGTGCCTGCACAAGGGGCAAGACACCGCCCAAGACGGCCGCGGACAGGACGGAGAATCTCATTGTAAAGCGTGTAAGACGGGAAAATTCTAAGATACACGAATGAGTGTAATATCTGGTTTCAAAGGGGAAAAAAGAGAAACAAAAGGGAAGCCTAGGCCCTGTATATGATCAAAGGGGATGTAGAAACGAAGGTGCGAAACGTAAAGAGTGAACGAGATTGACTGTCGATTGGATGCTGCTGCTCGCTACAAGTCTTGTCTGGTCTCTAGAGTGCCTGTCCTCTTATACTTAAATTCTATCGTGCCCGGTCACATATGCTTGGCAACCAAATTCCTTTGGAGGTTCAAGGTTGGCACCAAGCTCGTATTGATCGAAGTCATATTCGGCTAGTCTGATGTTTCGGGTATATCTTTCTTGGACACTCCTCTCGCGGGGAGATCGAGGTTTTCTTCGACCGAACGAGCTGCAGGACGTGGGATCTATCAAATCATCGATGAAAGAATCGGGATAAGTCTTATTTCGTAGTTCATGCTCGTAGCGGCTTGGCGTCTGATGTTGAGTATGTGGCTGAAAAATAGGCCGTCTGTTTGTATAAGTTGTGGGGCAGAGTGAATTTATGACTGTCTTAGCCTTGTTCGTAAGCACTAACTAAGCATAAAGTTCGCATTCTGTTTGGTATAATCATGTCGAGCAATTCAACTGGGAATCTGTATCATCGTCAGAAAGACGATCATACCACAAAACAATTAGAAAACAAACGAATTTCTAGTGGAATTCAGAAAGGTCCGTATGGGTTTTGGCCTGGGGGTATAACCGACGAGATGTAGACGCTGTAGTCTTTCGAATAACGATTTGTATGATTCGAACATAACTTTCTTCAGCACATCAACGAGGATCTATTACCTAGGATGTGTAACGACGTATCCAACTGATGTCAATGTTTTAGTCTGCAAGCTAAGCGGTTTGGAGAAATGCAAATCCACGTCACCCATTTGACGCTTGTTGGATCGCTAATGAATACCTTGCATAGTCATTATTATGACCACAATCCACAAAGGGGTTGTGAGCGCTTCGAAGGTTAGATAGCATCAAATCATAGAGGCTAGACATATATTCCATCTGCTCAATCTATTTCTTGGGCAACTCATTACTCGAGGGGATCCGATCTTCTTCGACATCTTCTACCAAAGCCCACGACGCTTCACAGCGAGTCCTTTTTCCGTCATAAAGTTTCTAGCTTGTTGATTGGTGTGGAACTGGCCCATGGGATCCATATGTACGTCAGAGATGAACAGTAGCGACCGGGCTTCTGGCGCTGACCCAATCCCATGTGATCAAGACGCTGCCCTTTTCGCGCTACATGATGAAAAGCTCTCAACTGGGAAACTGAATGCTCGTCACTAGACGCCTTGGAAGAAACGCTGAAGTTTTCTCCTTCAACCGTGTAGCGATGGGTTAGCTATGCACCAGTACCGATCAAGAGGATCTATTGAACACCTCCCTGTCTCTTTAGCCTAGTCATCATTACAAATGACCTTTTATGAACAACATTGTGTCCTTTCATGTTAGATACTAGATTTACCACTTTGCATAGGTATTATTATGCGAAAAAGAGTCTACCCTGGCGATGGTTGCATATATTCTGCGTTACCTTCTAGCCTTTGGCCTGCTTGTGTCAGCATTTATGTATTGTTCGAGGGGACTTTCCAATACTGGTCGACTGGTAAATGTTCCTACGTGTTGTACATGCTCGTATGTCTCGTAAATCTTCGTATGTCTCGTAAAATGGGCAGTACTCCCACTTGAGCGTGCCGCGCGCCCTGTAAGCTATATGGATAGCCACATCCAGAGCTCACAGCTGAAACGGCACTCCAAGCCAAGATTTACGCCAATTTACTTGACGCTTGCAGTCAGCCCATTCTTGCGAACAAAAGAAAAAGGCCCTTCAACGATGCTTTCAAATCCCCACGATCATTTAGCGTTAGGGACATAGTGCTACTCTCATTAGTGACGACGATCGCGAGGAGCAAATATTTACTTCACAGTTGATGATATTCATGGGCCTTTGGTGCGGTCTACACGGATCTTTGGCCTTATTGAAGTAATCATTGATGTTTAACGGTCGGTGCATTGATGGTAGAGTATATGTCTATACGCAAAGTACACTGGGCCGAGATTAAGCTCAAAACTCATCTCCCGTCCCTCCCTAACTCCAAACCGAGGAGCGTCTGGAACCTTTGAGACCAGTGCGCGCCAGTAGGACCGCTCTCCGCCAAGACGTGAAGCGAGCTTTCGACAGGGTCTATCCGTGACTACGAATGAGCCGGCCGGGCAACCAACATGTTGTACCGTCCGTGGTTATGCATTGAAGCACTTTCGGCGGACCAGATGAATAACCAACGTTTTAGGGCTCCGTGCCGAGGGCAGTGCCGAGGTAGGTCTATTTAATGTACAGTGTGCATCCTAGTAAACGGGTAGCCACTAAACGAATATCCAACCGTTCAACGCCCCACATCCGTTCACTAGGATGTGTACTGTAGTTACCCATTGTTGGGCACGTCCCGGTACTACTACCCCGGTTCGCTAATGGTTCAGCCGCAAGGATTTCCTAGTTCAGGTGCCGCAGGCTCCAGTGTTTGTGGTCTTAGTGCTCCCTCTACTCTGGTAACCTAAAATTCTGTGACAGGGCCTTGACAGGGTCTCTGTGTCTTGACAGTGATCAAATGGCCGCTTGGGTGAAAGATCATAGCTCCGCTGTTGTTAGAGAAAAAAAACCCCCCCGAGATGCTTGCATGGTATTTCACGCGATAATCACAATAGTCGCAAGGTACATGTGCTGTCCAATATACTCGACTTACAAGTAGAACGAGAATTCGAGAACACTTGGCGCTATTTGGATGGTACTTCACTGAGAAGCTATTGTTCTTGTTTCCCTCTCCTACGTTCTTGTATTGCTTGTCGACTGTCAGAATCACAAAATTATGAAATTCGGGGCATTCTGTGGATATTATGTTCCATCGTTATGCACACGAGGTGTGCAGTAAGAATATTACATTAGAGTGTGTCAATATATGACAAGAGAAGTATGAAACACAAAGGTGGTGACAGAAGGTATGTTGGAGCCTTCATGCCATGCTACAGTCTAGTTAGCTAAGTTGGTCGACGATAGCCGTGTATGCAGCCTTTTTGTTCAAGCTAGTGTCGAAGAGAAGGGGCGTCTTGTCGGCTAGCCAAGAATCCGCATCATCAACTCCCCAAAGTGTAATGCCGACACAGCTCTCGACTTTGAGACAAGCATCAACGACAGTAGTGTAATCCTCGGCAGGGGCACCTGCGATATCTAACTCAGTAATGGCAATTTCCTCAACCCCAGATGTAGCTAGAGCAGAAAGAGCATCAGCAACACCGCTAGCTGCCCCAGCCGACAATAGATGTGCTTGAGAACCTGATCAACTAGTGTTAGCACAGGATAGCACCCAGTGATAGGTTATCACATACCAATACCGTGTATGGGCACACCAGCGGCCAGCCACTTAGTGACATGAGCGACCATACCGTCAGTGATCTTGGCATTAACACTGTCAAGGCCGAAATCATTAATGTAGAGCTTAGCAGTGGGATCCGCCTTGTGCGCTGCATTGAATGCAATGGGGACAAGATCTTCACCAAGCACGTCGGAGAAGACTGAGCTACGGAGCGAGCCGTCGGAATTGAAAATTTCGTTTACGACATCCTGCAGAGGTAATTAGCTGTATGGCTCTTATTCAGGGTGATTGTAAGCCATGTATACCCAAGCCCTGATCTTTCCCGCATAACGGCCCACGATGGTGCTAATATGATTTTCGAGCACTGAGGTGAGCGTGGCCTTGTCAGTGATGTCGCTGACCCACGAGGGTAACTGCGAATGCCACAAAAGAGTGTGACCCCTAATACTCAGACCGTTTTGAGCAGCGAAGTCGACCAAAAAGTCAGCACCGTCGAACGAGAAGCCCCCTTGGGTAGGCTCAATGGCATCCCATTTCATGCTGTTCTCGGGCGTAACTTGGCCGAAGTCAGCCTTCACGATGGAAGAGATTTTTGATTTCGACAAAGTGCCCCTGTCGGCTGCCGTGCCGATGTATTTCTTGCCTTTCGCGACGAACAAGGCATTGATGCTGTCACTGGCAGAGCCGGATGGCACCGGGACCGAGGGCGTAGAGATGGAAGGTGCAGGGACGGAGGACGTAGGGACAGACGGCGCAGGGACGGAAGTCGCATGGACAGAAGTCACAGGGACGGAAGACGCAGAGGCAGAAGGCGTAGGAATGGCAGGCACACTGCTTTGAGCCCCACCCGAGGTGCTAGTCGCAAGCCTACCTGAACAAGGCGCGGAGAGTGCGCCGAGGGGCAGTAGGAGAAGAGTGGAAGCCAAGAATTTCATGTTGAAAGGGTGCAACGAACGTGGATGACAGTTGGAAACGAGTGGTAGAGGTAGGTGTTGATGTGCAACCAGTGCTGTTGGGTTCTCACATGGTGTAGCAGCACCTCGAACTCATTATGTAGCCCGAGAACTCCCTATTTCTGTGTTGCATCGCGGGCGTTGTTTGACCCATGGTGCATCGCATCCTCAAGATCATGTCGGAATAGGACCATTGTTTAGGTGCCAAGCTGCCAGATAAAACAAAGTGGCGTACTTAATTAAATTGCCAACGCTAACGCATGGGTTTTGGTGGAGCTCAACCATATATTATCGAGTTAAGGAAGAGAGCAGCTGCAAGTGGATCCAACGTTATCTTAAAGGTTATCGTGACCTCTGGTCTCTTGACATATCGGCATTCGAGAGGATCACAGCCACCAGTGAATGAAGACAAATTACGGACACCAGACAGCCCCGGTGATGGGTTTTGGGCATGGTAATTTTCACACACTTCTGAGTAACAGCAGAAATTTGTTTGTCAGACATCTATCATCGAGAAGTAGATATTTTCATAGGAGATCAAGATCCTGGTCAATACTTAAGGTATAGTACTGATTGACAGCTTAATTGCCAATCATAACGTCAAATGATTGCAACAAGATGATGTGAGTGATGTTAAATGAAAACACCTATACTGTTTCCATATCTATGGAATTAGACTCGGGGTGGGAAAGCCTTTTGTGGTTCTGTATTCGTAACTTCCTTTCTTTCTTTCTTGTTCTTCCTTTCTCCTTATTCTGGAGTCTCTGGAGCTCCTTGTTAAGTGCACTTGTCAAATTAGGGAAGTGCAAAAAAAAAAAAAAAAAAGCCTATTTATTTCTGGTCGATCCGCTGAAACGAGGCCAGGTTAAGACTCGACGCTTTGGAAACCCAGTTTGTATGAAGTTCGGCATAATATTTATATTGCGATGCTAAGATGTCAACGTTGTATGTTTTAGAGAATCAACATCACATCTGGTTATGGCAAAGTGAACGAGAATATGTGGGTTGAGCCAGCAAAGAGGTACTCTCTTCTCGAGTCCCAAATTAATCAAGTTACCAAATCTGGAAACTATAGAACCAGTGTAAATATTTCCACTATTCTCCCATCCTAACCCTGACCTTTTTTAAATTAAGCTCTCTAATTGACCTTCGCCTGACTCAAGTTAGAGATGGTTTGAGCGCCATCGATGAGCTGGCCATTGCCAGCCTTAGCCCGGCAAAGACTTTTGCCACGCTCAATAATGGCAGCGTCGCAGGACAGATTTGCCTGGGCGACACAGCTTAGAGAGCTTCCGCCTGGAAGGAAACCTCCGTTAGAAACTCGTGTCGAAATGCCTTTGTATGAACGGAAAAACTTACAGGCATTGCCTCCTGGGACACATCTGCCTTGAGTGCCATCTGTAGCAGTACAAGCGTCCTGCTTGAGGGAGGTGTTGGCAACACAGCAGGCACCGACAGGGGAGGGCCGGTTTCCATTGCCGCTTTGGCGATCTACTATAATAGAGTCGCGGGCAACATTGCGGACACCCTCAACGTCGGCCACAGCGGCGGAGGAGATGGCAACAAGGCCAATGAGAACGGTAAGGACGGAGTATTGCATTGTGAGTGAGGTTATGTTGAAACAGGATTATGTTACGAAAATGCTATTAGTTTTCAAGTCGTCGGTGTATAGGGTGGCCGCACTGCGGGGGGAGAGAGAAAAGATTGAAGTAAATTGATTCAATGGGACTGAGAAGACCGGCTTGGGGAGAAAAAGAGATTTACAGAATGACCAGGAGTATGACGTTCTTATAGTGATTGAGGTCACTATACCAACGCTGTTAATTCTTCGACGCATGACAGGTAGCGCTTCATGATGCCAAACTGCCACATCTCGAAGACATGGCCTTGCTGGTTCGAGAAGGCTGGTTTATGGTACCGAATCAGATACTGTCGGATGCACCCGACCCCGGCCGTTGATCCTACCATCGCAAGACAATTCACGAAGACGCACATCAATGAACTATTGGTTCAAATTCTTCCCCAACCGGAAGTCGGCGCAAGGTAAATAGACTTCAGATCGAGCTAGACTAAAGACAGTCGACATGTTACTTCAAAGGTCAAGTTGAGACGATACAAGACCAAATTATTTGGCAGGGTACCAAATGCAGGGGGTTTTGGAAGTAGCCTGCAACCTGGATGAAAATGCGCTTGGAGTTCCTGAAACGGTCATGGAAGAGCTGTAACGACCCACTCTCATTGGTCACTCATTCCAAGCTGATCACGGTGCATAGCCCCAACACTCGTCCGGAGGTATAGCCGCATTTTGGAGGCCTGCAACAGGAGATGCGTATCCCAGGATGATTTACCGATCTGCGAGATATGATGTGAAGACGGGAATCATGGAATGGCTATCCCACAAGTCAGGGGTACAGTGATGCAAATACGGTGGATCCAGACTGTATGGACCCATCGGCAGACGCCGACAGTGGTGGCCCACATAATTATATCTCCTGCCCCCTGTACATACATAGTACAAACCACCATCGTGAGTCTAATTCTACGAGAATCCTACCCATTCATTAATCGGTTTGTCAACATATCGTAAATGCAGCGTCATCCCGGTGTATATCACTGCTGGGGTGATACCCATTACCCCTTATCTACCTAAGGTTAGAGAAAAATTCCACCCGTTAGACCGTTTTATGCTCCGCTCCGGCTGATCTGTGACAGCCCTGCCCTCGGTATTTGGGTGGAGCTTCATTTTTAGATTTGCAACTCTCTTTGAAATGCCAATCTTTGCATTTGCCTAAATAAGCACAGTGAAACCATGTCAAGCTAGCTCGATATGGTCTGTTGTTAATCCGTACTGCCCACTGCCGTCCCATCTACCCATCTCAGTTGGGACGACTCGAGTACTTTGTTCCTTCGTAGAATTACAACAATCACCTGCCAAAACCTGGACACCAAGACGTAGAGCAGTGGAACCGGAAATTCAAATGAAGTGGGACTGCCTTTTTTCCAGCAGAAACTAGTGGCTTTGGCGGCTGACACGGTTGCAGGAGTGTACAGTTCATTAATTTCGCAGGGCCAGAAAAGCCGAGAACCAGTTCCGACAAGAGAACGACAAGATCACAGGCTGCTAAAGCGGCCCATGCGAAGGTACGGCGGCAGCGGATGCATGAGTACCAAACCCAAGGGAACCGTTCCAAGCATAGCTACGATGACAACCATCCCAATCAGGGACTTTCAATTGGCTTTGCAAGCTGCACGGTTGAAAATATATACCATCAAGAGATTCTCTTCGCTTTGCCGAGCAACAATCATTCGGACCCTTTCGATAGTTTCTGCAAAACCCTCTCTCTCGACGAGCGTCGCTTGTTTGACCACTGTAAGTATCTACCCTTGAATTGCACGTCAAAACTTCGAGTTTTCTGTGGGGCTTAAACTGGTTATAGATTTTCGAGTAGTAGTGCCTTTAGAAACGCGCCACGGTCCACCATTCTCAGATCCTGAACTTTACTTGAAGTGCATAGCTACACAATGGGTGCCTACAGCAATTGGGGACGAAGGAATGTTGAGTGGCGTGCTTCTGTATGCCTGTCGTAGCCTTTTCATATTGACGGGCAACAAGCGATACTACCAGATGGCTTTATACTACAAAATGAGATGTTTAAGACTGGTCAATGATGCCATATCAGCATTGGCAACTGAACCTAAGCTCGTCGAGACTACAATACCGAGGGTACTGCAGTTGGCTTCGGATGAGGTAAGTGCCTACCTCTCAGCCATAAACACCCAATCTGTTGCTGATTCTGTGTAGCTCGCTATGGGAGACACTGCAACCTGCAAGCACCACATGGATGCTGTAGTGCGACTAGTGAAGTTGCAAGGAGGCATGTCCAAACTGAACTCAATGAATGGGTTTTTAAGGCAGATGGTTGCCGTATTTGCGGGCCCAAAGCGAATACAGGATATATCCCGTTGGTTGCCAGACGCTGATCACACCACAAAAAGCGAGTGCATAGTACCGCCACTCTATGCCAGTTGGCAGATCATGTCCAATCACCTCAAATTCTCAGGACGAGAAAGTACTCTGGTTGACTAACATAATCGATCAATCAAGAGAATATTGCGGGCACGCTTGGAAGCCCAACATGGACTACGTACTGCGGGGTTATTGCGCATCGCCATGATACTTGAAATGCCAAGCTTTGCATTTACTCGATTAGGATCATAGCACCAGTCAGAGTCGCGACCTAGCAACCTTACGACAATGATACATCATTCCAGAATAGGCTGCCATTCATGCATTCAACTCCGGTCAATAATACAAACCTCCGATGCAGGGTTGGTTTTGTTTCGTTATGAAGATTCTTTTTCCAAATATACATAGACCTCAAGGGGCCAGCCCGTCGAAAACCACTTATTACAGCACATCTTGTATACCATATTTATTAGCTCATCACCATTATACTGGACACAAAAAGGGCAGGAATTAGCACCACCCTTCCAATCCTTTCTTCTGCAGAAGTACCTCGCTACCGATGGATCAATATGCAAAATCTCACAGCCACCCGAATGGCGCTGGCGATGCCCGGCCGACTGCATTGCAGATTGTAAAGGACGAAAATAGATTGGGACAAATGAAAGACAAAGTACAAAACCTCTTTCAGAAAACATTTGCTCATTTGTGCTTAATATTTACTCAGGTAGTCTTGGTGACTGGTGCCTCTTCGGGCATAGGCATCGAAACAGCTCGCGCTTTGGCGGCAACGGGAGCGCATGTTTTTCTTGCCGTGCGGTCTCTTGAGAAGGGACAGACTGCATGTGGTTCATTTCTCGAACCTGGGCGGGTTGAGCTTCTTGAATGTGATATAAGTTCTATGGAGTCCGTCCGTGAAGCCTCTGCTGCTTTCCTGGCCAGATCACATACTCTCAATATACTCATCTGTAATGCTGGAATTATGGCTATCCCACAGCGGGAGGAGTCGATTGACGGCTTTGAGAGCCATCTGGCGACCAATTTTCTCGGCCATTTTCTCTTGTTCTGGCTGCTCAAAGATGCCATGCTCAAAGCCTCAAGGCCGGAGTTCAACTCACGTCTGGTTCAAGTCGCTAGCAGTGGTCATCATGCATCCGAGATCCAGTTTGACGATTTCAATCTCGAATCAGGCGGTGCCTATGACTCAACCAAAGCATACGGGCAGAGCAAGCTGGCTCAGATGTATATGGCCAATTACGTTGACAGGTACTACGGACAGCAAGGTCTTCATGCTCTCAGTGTTATGCCTGGAGGAATCATTACAAACTTGCAGAAAAACATGTCAGAGGCAGCTAAGCAGAGCTGGACAGAGAATGAACAATTGATGAAGTGGATGAAGAGTCCCGAGCAAGGTGCTGCAACCACAATGGTAGCTGCGCTTAGTAAAGAATGGGAAGGAAAAGGCGGTAAGTATCTAGAGGATTGTGCAGTGGCACGGCCTTCACCTCTCATTCCCGGCATTCAAGGAGTCAAAGCCTATGCTTATGACCTGGACAAAGAAGAGAGCTTGTGGAAACTCACAATCAAAGTGCTTAGGTTGTATCTATAGTCATTGACTGTTTGTGAAGATTTAAATCATGCTCCCATGGCAGTTCGCATGATTTTCTTTTACAATATAAACATTCCATACAATCCTAAAAGATTTATGTGAGTTTACACAATATATAAAACTATGTCTCATGACCTCCAAAAGGTTTTCTTATTCTTTAATCGTAATTCATAGGACACGTACAACTTCTTAATGAGACTTTCGAACGTTTCCCACTAAGAACAAACGGGTGTAATGTCTGGACAACAAAATTTGCTAATGCGGAAAACAGGCGAACTCAATTTATTTGTTGGTAACCAAAAACGACCAACAGGCTTTGTTGTGACGCATTGGTATTCTACCAGTAGGTCGTAAGCCTATGAATCAATTTTTGCATCGGCTGCTCTGATATGGAACTGGTTACCACTTGTTATGTTTGACCACTCTACACGTAACTACCCAGCTCCTCATTATTGAACAACATAATACGTCTGTCTTGTATGCTATCCAGCTTGGCGTTAAAAAGCACGTGAAAGCCGTGCAATGGCGCCTAACGAGTTGAAGGAACTACCGGACATGTTTGGTGTCGACTTAGGTCTATTTCCTTGGCAGAAAAGCCGGTTCGACGAGGCTATCAGAGTTTTGGAAGAGAGGGCTTGGCAAGACAAAAGTCAGGCTGTGAGTATTTTTCTGAAATATGTAGTAATCACGGGACGTTTTTAATTACTAAGATAACATGTGTAGACCAGTGCGAAACTTCCAGGCGAAGAATCGCCTCTGTAGACAGAGGATTATTTTACGCTTGAAGAGACACCGCTGACCAGCATATTAGTAGAGAAGCCCTTGCATAGTAACACCAGTGATGGTGAAAACGAACTAAATGCTGGAGATAAAGGTCAATACGAGAACAATCACAGCAACATGACCGAACCGCGTCTCTTGCCGGCAGTGGAGAAGCAACCATACGAAAACGATCATGTTACTGCGCAGCAGAAGAATGTCATAGAAGAGAGTGTGGATGGCAATTTTGAACCACATGATCAACACGAATATGAGGAGATCGCTACTTCTGAGGGTGTCGTCAAAGAAAGTAAAAAACCTAGCGAGCAACATGACTTTGCCGACAAGCAAGAGCGCCAGAAAAGCCGCATCGTGGACGACAACACTTTCGACGGCATGGTCTACAAAATCCCTCCAGTCAAGCACTATGCCGAACGCTCTTCCTGGCCCTAGCGACTCTTTGTTGGCACCTCAGCTGCCACTTCAGGTTGACCATGCACCAAAGAAAACCCCTCATGCAAGCGCACCGCCCGCGGCGAATCCGCCGTCCAGCACTAGGGATCGTAAGCCCATGGGCTGTCCCTACCCGGGCTGCGCGTCGCAAGATCACACAAAGCGTCACCAGGCCACGCACACATTGGAGTGCTGGATCGACGGCTGTCAAGATCGCAACAAGCCGTTCAAAGACACGTCAGGTATCGCCAGGCACCTGATCGCCATGCACAACAACAACGACTCGCACAATTGTCGCTGGAATGGCTGTGAAAAGGCGAAGAACCAACTTACGAACCACATTTCGCTACACTTACGGGAACACAACTGGGAGCTCGAGCAGGCGGTTGCCAAAAGCACACAGAATGAAGACGCAGGGGACGACGACGAGTCAGTCGATGCCGACGAAGATCAGCAAAGCTACAATAGCAGGATCAAGAAGACTGGCGGCAAGTCTAGGGACTAAGAGATGGGGCAGGAATACTGCAGATGGTACAACAGACAGCGGCAGCAAAGGAAACCCTGGTAGGACAACCAATAAGGGTGGTAGGAGTGATAAGCCGTAGATACAAAATGATATGCAATGATAATGGATTTTAATGTATATCGACATGACTGCGACAAGGTAGCTTATGCCATGTCATATTACTTACTTCTCTCAATAACTAGACTTGATTACAACCTGATTGAATTCGAGACCCTGTATCATACATTGCTCAGTGGATAAGAATTGAACGGTAGACTTTGTAATGACCAACAACTTCGTACACAGCACTGGGATTCATACTACTCATATTCATTACATCCGTCAAACCTCGGTCTCGACACCAGTGTCCTTCTCAGTGTGACTAAAAGCATTCTCAATCTTTCCCTTAAGCCTGCTCATTTTCCCTCCCATGTGATCAGCTTGGCGTGCTACACGCCACTGCATAATACCGTGGTGCTTTCGATGTAGCTGCTTGTGATGGTCTTTGTAGTCTCTCATCTGATTTCTGAGGCCTCTTGACCCATCGTTGGAGTCAACATGCCCCGGTGCCAGGACCGAGGTAGCTGTATCGATGGTCCCTTCAACGGGGTTACGGAGTATGTTCTTGACCTTTTTGAACCCCGATATTGAAACATTTGATGATGAATTGGAGTGGCCCTTGTCGTCATCTGATGAAGAATCGGACGAGTCGTCATTGGTGTGGACCTTGAGCTTTTTCTTCGCCTGGCTATCGCATCTCTCATCAAATGAGTCCGAATCATCATCGGTATCGTCAAACTCGCCATCCTCCTTGAGATTCTCGTCGCTGATAGTGTCCAAGCACTCCATTACCTGGCGCATGTCACCATTCTTGACCTTGGCAGCATAGCCCTTGTGGAAACCAGATAAACCTCTCCAGAACTTGAGCGGAATTTCGAGCTCGCCTAATGGCTGCTCGCCCTCTTCCAGGCCTGTGTAGCCATAACACGATTCAGCCTTCTTAAGCTGATCTTTACCACCTTTCCAAACCTTCATTATGTGTACTTCGTCTTCTTCGTCAACAAGCTCTTGAAGCCACAGTACAGCAAATGCAATAGTGCTATCAGGGCCAAGCGCTGACTTGCGGAACTCGATTACGAGAGGAGATGAATATCTCTTGCGCACAGCGAGGAACGCACTCTCCGATTCGTCCTTTCCTTTGACCATCCATCGGCCACCTTCGCCATAAAACTTAGTCTTACCCACGTTGGTGCGAATCTTGATCCTATGCTTCAAGATTTCATCAGGTAGACCTGACTTGGCCGTAATTGCACCCCTCACTTCGAGTGTACCATAATCCCAGCCTCGCAAGTGCTGAGGGAGTTTCATCTCAACGCTTCGCCATACCATACTTATGCGCGCTCTTCCATAGCCGATGCCTCCTACCAGCGGGTAGGACTCCATAATTTGAGTCCTGTGTTCAAAGACCTTGGCAAGAGGCAAATATACCATTCCGATCAACGGGTCGTCTTCGCGCTCGCGAGCGTCTCGTACACTGACAATGACTTCCGTGGTACGCCAGTCTCGGATGAAGCGCTCCATACCTGCATTGAAAAAAGGCTTGGAGTTTTTCGGCTTAGTACGTGTCTTGTAGGTCTTCTTATGGTTGAGAATAATCGTGCAATAACTGTCCGGCATGTCGTCGTCTCTTTCGGACTCGTCTTCCTGGTCTTCTTTTCCTTCGTTGTGCTTATCCTGCTTCCGCAATTTTTGCACCTCAAGACTGGTAATGTTATGGATTTGCACACTGAGAATACCTGACGGAAATTCGTCAGATGGCGGTGCCGAGATTATCATTGCGTCCTCTAGTTCCCGGTAGTCCTGAGCCTTCTGTTGGTGCAGCTCGTCATCATCAGAAGATTTATCAGCTTCTCGCAATTTGTGCTCGGATAATTGTGAAACGTGGTCTCTGAGTTGCTCTTTTGTCCTGATCGTATCATCAACAGTTTGCTGCTCGAGCTGGTATTGCTGAATCCTCGTCTTGGTGAAGTATCCGACACTCCAAGTAAGAGAGCCAGCCATTTCCTCATCTGGGTCTTGGCCGGTAAAGCGATCTTCGCGTTTCTGGATCTTGTTATGGGACTCTGGATTGTGGATCAAGGATTTCAAATCCAACTCGACTCGACCTAGGTCGTCGTCTGCAGTCCATCTGTCGGAATCCCACAATTGCAAGCGCAACTTTTCTTCCGCGTTCAATTCTTCCGGGGAGACGAGAATTGTAGCGTACTCGTTCCAGTCGGGGCTTTGGTCGTCCATGATGATTCGAGTTGAAGCGACTGGTTTGCCAAACTTTCCCCAAGAGACAGTAACGTAAGCATCACTGGCCCCTTGCATCGGTCCGATACCACCATCTCCCTGCTTAAAACCGCGAGCTCTCTTGATGAAAATCAGGACGACTCCTTTGCTTATCGTGTCCTTCTTGAAGTCATCCCCAACTAACATATCCTTCAGGTTGAGGGTCAAACTCTTTGGTGCAACGTACTCAGCCAGAGCGGCGTCGATAGCAGATTGCACAAATGAGGAAATCAAAGGAACATCCATAACGTTGAGACTGTGTTTCGACAATGGTATACAGGCCATCGAGGCCTTGGGCTGTCCTAGGAATGTGATAGTACAAAGGCTGATGAAAGGCGGATCGGGCTATTTGTGTCAGTAATAGCTTCATAGAGAAGTCGGGTAGGCCACTGACCGTAAGCTGTAGTCTAAGCCGCATGGTTCCAACAATTCCGCGCAGCTCCACCCACACGGGCACAGCAATACCACCAGGCAGATAGAACTTGAGCATCATGTGGGCGCTCTTAGCCTTCTGAGTGATTGACTTGCCTGAAGAGCGGGCTCGGTACGAGAAAGCAAGTTCAAGGTTGATGAAATCGCCCTCCTCGGCTTCCATACCTTCTCGGATCGCAACTTGATCTTGGTCCTCCTGCTCGTTTTTCTCATCACCCTCCTTGCTAGCCCCCTTATCAGTCCTGTCGTTTTCGTCCTGTTCTTGTTCGTTCTGTGCGTCTGTCCTATCGCTTTGAGACTTTTTATTGGGGCCTTCCAACTTTCCTCCGGAGGAGACTGTCTTGCTTGCGGCACCTGTAGGAAGCCAGCGGACGCCGAGTATACGAATAGATTCATTCCCCTGCCCCATATCGTCAACGCTGACCATCTTGATGACTTTCGGCAGCGATGCCTGCATGACATCTTCGATCATGTCAATTAAAGAAGAAAACAGATCGGGGTTGACCAAAGGCCAGATGGACGCAAGAAGGCGATTGAGCCACTGCACTGATTCAGGCAGTACAGTCTCTGGATCAAGTTCTTCCTCCTCAGCACGAGCAGCGTCCCAAGTCTCGTCCTCGAAGACTGCGTTGACTTTCGTGTTGATCCATTGACCCATGCCGTAAGCTGTGGCAGCAACCAAAAGGGCGAAGCAAAGGAGTCCTATAAGTGTTGATAACTGTGGGTACCAGCGTCCCCAGAGAGATGGGATGATGAATACTAGGGCAGTGGCGACTCCAACAAAAACGAAACCCCAGTAAACGGCTTGCTGGTAAACCGAGGCCAACTCTTTTTGCAGATCCTCGAGATCAGGAGGCGGAAAAAGCTTCCGAGTGCCATTGAACCCTCGCTGGAGACGGAGTTGCTCTTCGTCGAGCTCGTCTCTTGACTTTGCTGCGCCTTGTGGTCCAGTAGCTGTGAAGTGGTCCGTTCCAGGCTCTGCTTCATTCTCAGGTGCTGCATTGAGGTCTTTATCTGTTTGGTCATGGATTATAATTGGTAGATGTGTGACTGGGTCAGTGACTTCGCGCCCCCCTCCATGTCGCTTGGTCTTCTTCATGACTTTCCTTTTCTCCTTGGGATCCACGGCACTAGCTGCTGCCTCCGTGGCTGTTTTTTCTTGCTTCTTGCCGTCACCGCTGCCCTTTGGTTTCCTTTGTGAGTCTGGTTCGTCTTGTTGCAGGTCAGACTGGCTGGCCTGTTGAGCCTCAACCTGGCTATTCGCTGGCCCAACACTCCGCCCCTCTTCGCCAGGCGGAACCGCGTAATTGCGGTTGGTTGCCGGATACGGATCATGGTGTGACTTTGGTGAATCTTGATCATTGAAGATGGCTTTTACCGAGTCAAAAGCTCGCTTTGGTTTTGAGTCATCCGCGGGTTCATGTTGCAAGTTCTCTGCCAGCTCGTTATCGCTGTCAAGCTCCTTCCTCCGCTCACGATAGCCCTGAATGGTTGGGATTGGGTGCTTCCCCGAATGAGGACCGACATAGCTCCTCCGAGCCGCGTCGTCTTCAAAGTCGTTGTGGGATGGCATTCTCGCAGGTGTCAGGCCCACAGATTCCGGCGGGAAAGTTTGACTGATGTGTTTGGTTCCCAGAAGAGATGCGGCAGAACATGTTGTTGCTGAGGGCGGACACTATTTGTTCCAGTTTCCCAAAGAACAATCTAGAGCTGACTCGATTTGGGGCTAGGAAGGCTACCGGATAACGGCATTGAGGATGATGCGGTTTTACGAGCAAAACCGGTATGACATGGGCCAACGTGAGTTGTGTTGTCAATCATGCGTGGAATCAGTGGAGTGATCTGACTGCTGAATCAAACCACTGCTGGGCTGCAAGGCACGCTGTAAATTTGGAGTACGATGAGGTCATGGCCACTGTGAAACTGGAGCTTTCCATGCTGCGCACCCTTGCTATTAACTGCCGGGTTGCCGGTGCGGGACCTTAGAGCTCCCTGTCAAACATCTCTACTAAACATAGCCCCTGCTCCATAGAAATGCTGCCTGGTTCATACAACATTGCAGGCCCCAGCTTGAATACCTGAATTGCAATACATACTCAACACACGAGGAGTATGCTTCGTAGGGTGCTTGATTCAGCCATTGCATCCTAGCCAATGGACGACGAATGCGACCCTTCCTTTAGTGGCGCAAATGCACCTAAGTTAATCGCCTGCTCGGCCGGTAGGGCTGCCTGTGTCACAACATGGGTTAAACTCCACTTTCCCCGCAGACTTGTTGAAAGACACCTGCCCACTGGGTTGTGGGAGTGGGAGTCACCATGGCCAATCGGATGAACATGTCCGCCATCAACCAAGTCTCAACAGGGCCTGAATGAGGAAGACACAAAGGAAGACACAAAGGAAGCCGGGGACATGGCTATATTAGTTTCATAGTACAGTCACTTCCACATATCTAGCCCGTGAACTTGTCATATTTCCCTTTGCATACACCGGCAATACTTTGGTTGGGTTTCATCTTGCTTGAACGGAGTTCCTGCACGAGGAACCGTTGAAATCGCAAGGCACTAACCTAGGTTAAGCAAATATAGATACGACAACACCGTATGTCTAAGTTAGCGCTTATTCCTCGACGCTTTGTTCTTCAACGGACGTACATGTAGTGTCCTAGATCGGTGGTTGAGGCTCTAAGTAGAATGTGTAAGTCAGTATCTAGTGTCCAGTTTTCCCATTATGCAAGTATTGAACCACTGCAACAACCTAAGGTTAAGCCAATCCTCGTCGTGCATCTTGCACCGTGCATGCCTACGCAATGCAGGAGCTTCAAGCACCGACCCATGAACGTGTATTGCATTTGCCATCATGGTAGAAGTACTTGTAAGCGGTACCGAGCCTTCTCGGCAAGCGATGGGAGCAGGTATGCTCAACACACCGCTTTGCCATTTTCCACTCAATTTTACCAGGTAACTACTATCGTCACAGCAATTTCAGTCAGATTGTCGACTTCTCAGCTGCAAGATTGCTGCTTCTTTGAGGGATCGTATTGACGCGCATCATACTTGCCAAGGATATCTAGAACACGTCGAGGATGATTACCGCCTGATGGCTCGTAAGGCATAAGCCCATGCAAACTTCTGGCAAGATGGGGCGCGTCATGACCCCCAGCCAGGTCCGGATCCTTTGCTGGAGTAAGTCATGGGCCAGACTGCAGTATCGATGCCTTCTTCTCCACGCTCCAGGCCCGCTCTTGTTTGTGGCAATCCGTCACGCAGATCGAGCATTTTGAGCCCGCCATATTCTCATCGTAGGATATACTATGACTTATGAGTTGCAATCGACACATCATCTGCATGTCTTACACCTGCGGGGACCGGTGAATGACACCAGCAATATGACTGCGACGTTCCAGCCTTGAAAAGAAAACTTTCGAGGCGAGTTAGACGATCGAAAACGAAACATATCCTTTATAGCGGTGGACGCTTGCTTCATCCTATTGCGGAACTCGACACGGCTGCTCCAGGTCGCAAAGACGCCTATGCGTAACGAAGGCGAAGATACACCGCAACTGAGGACACAGACTTCGAAGTTAACCTTCTCAGAAGTCTGACGATACACGGACTTCAAAGTTATTGAAACATTCCGATGCTGACCGGACCGAGCTCCGGTGACAAAAGGGCGCAACAAAAGTGGTTTCTTATTGCGGGGCAGCTGGGCGCATGCCGCAGATAGACGACTTATCAACCACCTATCGGCCGCTCCCTATTGCTCCCTATAACGAGGGTTATAACATCATACGAAATTTTCGGTCTTCCAGAGAGGAGGACAACGCATTAACTGCAAACAAGGAGGGGAAAAAAGGAAAAAGGGCCTCAGGAAGAAAAACTTTGGCAGGATTCAGCAGCTCTCTCTCATAAATAATAGCTGATGTTTCGTCCCACATCACCACGAAACCTCATCCGCATCTCAAAAAGTCTACAAGGCGCCACATCCACCCCAACCACCCCAACCAGCCGCAAAATGGCGTCAGCCCAAACCCAAACCCACCACAAGATCGTGGCCCTCGAGACCAGCTTCGTGCCCCTGCCGCGCAAGTTCTCCATGCCGGAGGGCCACACATACGAGGTGGCGGAGTACGCGCGGACGTCGCCGTCAGAGGTTGCGGAGCGGCTCCAGGACGCTGACATCGCGGTGATGACGATACTGCCGCTGTCGGCGGAGCACCTGAGCGCGGCGGTGGCGCCGAGGCTGAAGATGGTGGCCGTGGTGGCCGTGGGCACCGACACGGTGGATCTGGCGGCGTGCCGGGCGCGCGGCATCCACGTCGCCAACTCCCCCGGGTGCAACGAGAACACGGTCGCCGAGCACGTCGTCGCGCTCTACTTTGCCACGCGGCGCTCCGTGCCGCTCGTCAGCGCCCTGACGAGGGCCGGGCGGTGGGGCGCCGGCCCGCTGTTTAGGACGCTCGACGGCCCCCACGGCAAGCCGCCCATGCTGTGCCCCAGCGAGGTCATGGGGATCATCGGCTACGGGGCCGTGGGGAGGCGGGTGGAGAGCATCGCCAAGGCCCTGGGCATGGCGGTGTTGATTGCGGACCGGAAGGGCCAGAAGGAGGCCAGGGAGGGCAGGACCAGTTTCGAGACGGTGATTAAGGGGTCGTCGGTGTTGGTGCTCTGCCTGCCCAGGTCGGCTGAGACGCTCAACACGATAGCCGAGGGCGAGCTGGAGGACATGCCCCGGTACTCGATACTGATCAACGTTTCCCGGGGCGGGATCGTCGACGAACGGGCGCTTGTGGCGGCTTTGAAGGAGAAGAAGATTGCGGGTGCAGCAACCGATGTGTTTTCGACCGAGCCAGCCACGCCAGAGAACAGCCCGCTCTTTGCGCCCGGTACGGAGGATCTGAACCTAGTAACCACACCACACGTTGCGTGGTGTGGCGAAGACACAAATTACAACTACAACGAGACGCTGAAGAAGAATATCCGCACGTGGCTGGAAGGCCAACCTACAAATACAGTGGTATAGACGGATTATTGTTGCTGTTCGAGTTCAAGCAAAGATCTCCATATGATCAAATTGGAGCTGAGGCATATGGCCAAGATAGACAAAGCAATGCTATTATGAGAAACAGCTCAGACAAAATAGTTAGACGTATAACAGGTCATTCTAACCCAACCCCGTACCAAAGCGGACACACTGTGCAAGAAGGGAAAATTCATAGACCCTTATTCAGCACGACTAACCATGAACATACAGAGAACAGATGACAAATACACATTTACTAGTGTACTATCCAGGACACAAAAGCATATCACCCAAACATCAACCAGGACATTAGAGTAGAGTACACAAACGGAAATTCACGTTTGATTTTTCAGTATCATCCTATTCCCCATTGTCGCTCTTCCCCGAGCAGTGAGTGGTCCAAATCGTACACATATGACACGCCTTAGCCCCCTTTAACCGAAAGACCATCGATCTCCATAAGCAGACATGCCAGCCAGAATAAAGTCGCGAGAAACTTTTCGTTGTTTCCTTTTTGTCCATGCAAACTGCCAAGCCAAACGAGGGCAAAATAAAAGAACCACAAGACCAAAGAGAGCCTTGCATAATGCCGATGTCCCAGTTCAAGTCTCATGCTTTTCATCACACTTCGTGAGAACCATATTTAGATTATTGATCTTCCAATGGTCTTTTGTGGCATACAATAAATTGTAGGCGTCTACTGGTAATTACTGCCCCAACCACGGCCGTAGTTGCCGCCGAAGCCTTGGTTGTTACCATAGTTGCCGTAGCCACCATAGTTGTTGTGGCCTTGGCCTTGGCCGAAACCACTGCCGCCGGTCTGGTTACCGTGAAGACCGTGGCCCTGAAGATGGCTTGGGTAACCGCCGTAACCACCCATGCCTTGTCCGCTGGACTGAGGCGGCGGGAGACCAGACTGGCCAGGTGTGTTGTTTGTAGCTGAGCCAGGGCGAGCACCTCCAGTGAGCGAAGGGCTTGGGCCACCGGCTACCTTGCTATCGCCGTATGGCTTCAGGTCGTCGTTGGCAGAGCCACTCTGGGCGTTCGGGCCGCTGAAGCCAGGGGCGCCCTGGGATTGGTACGAAGATGCAGCGCGGTTGAAAGCGTCGTGGGCGCCACCGAAACCACTGTTGCCAAGACCTTGAGCGCCAGATTGAGCGGAACCAGCACGGCCATAGTTGTCAATGCTGGAGGCTATGCCACTGTCACGACCTGCCAGGGAGGACTGGGCGAATCCACTGGTGGCAGGGGAGGAGCTGTGCTCATAAGGAGACTGGTTGTACTGGTGAGGCTGGCCATAACCACCAGCCTTGCCGCCGTAGGGACCGCCACCGTATCCACCCTGACCGTAGGCGCCGTAGTAGTTCATGTATTGAGAGTAGAAGGGGCTGTTGTTGTATGGGTGTTGGTAGGGGAAGTGTCCCGCAGGACCTTGCTGTTGCTGCTGGTGCAAGTTAGATTGAGGGCCGTTGTTCTGAGCAGATGGCTGCTGCTGGCCAGGAGCAGTGGGGTTAGGGGTGTTGTGACCACTGTTATGAGCATCAGCAGCGGCGTTGGCACCATATCGTGACTGCTGAGAAGCACTCTGGGGGTACTGGCTAAGGCTGTCGTTGGTTTGCGAAGCGTTGTATGAGCCAAAGGATCGCTGAGAGTTGGGACCCTCGTTGTGACCCTGACCGCCCTGTTGCTGACCGTAGCCCTGACCGTAGTAGCTGCCGTAGTTTCCGCGGCTGTGCTGGTCGGCGGTATAGTATGAAGAGTAGTCGTTGGGAGCGGAGCTGAAAGCATTACCGCCCTGTTGAGTCGGGGCTTGAGTGGTGGATGCGGGGAAGCTGTCGAAACCAGCGGCAGAAGTAGTAGCGGGTTGCTGGCTGAAGCTGTCGTACGGCTTGGGTGGGAAGGAGGACTGATCTTGAGTATTGGCCTGAGCAAATCGGCCATATTGCTGATTGTAAGACTCTGCATCCAAGTTAGTATGAGGAGGATATGCCAGAAGATACTGCGACATACGGTGCGCAGCTGAACCAGCAGCGGGGCCGGTAGGAGGGGCTACAGGGGTCGCTGTGTATGGGTTAGCATGGGCATTTATATTATTGTACGTGTGATAGGGGACTGTACCAGCAGCGGCGGCAGCAGGTTGAGGCAGAGCAGTAGCCGGCTTCTGTGCAGCGGCGGGAGGGAAGGCGTCAGGAATGGATGCCGGCTGAGTAGGCTGAGCAACGGGCGGGGGAAGAGAAGCTCGGGGTTGGATGGGAGAGTCTAATGGAGGTTGAGCTCTAGTCTCGGCCTCCTCACGATCACCATCAATGTCGTCCTCGGCGCCACTCAGGTTGAAAGCGCCAAACTGCACAGCGGCACGATCAACCTCGCGGTTACCGGGCAGACGGACAGCCTCCTCTTGTTCAAGCACACGTCGCTGGTAGCTAGGCACGCGAACGGGTCTTTCAGTCGCCTTCAAGGCAGTTGCGGCAAAGCCGCTGGCGTTAGGGCGGGCAGCTTGACCATGGTGCTGAGCTTGCGCAGCAGACAAAGGTGTTGCTGTTGCGCTCTGAGGAGCTTGACGAGGGTCCCAGGAGTCGGCTGTGGTGCTGGCAGCAGTAGCCGTGGTAGGGGGGTGGGACTCGTCGGGAAGCTGCTCAAGGTTGTTCTTGGTCAGATCATCCTCGGAAGGAGGAATAGCAACTTCGGGCTCGACAACCTTGGGGGCCTCCTCTTCGACAGCAGCGGGTGCAGTAGGCTCCTCGACAGGTGCTTCGGGAGTTTCCTCAACAGCGGGCTCAGGTTCGGCAGACTCAGGCTCGGCGGCAGGGAGAGGCTCGATGGACTCGGCAGGCTTGGGAGCAGCAGGTTCCTGGGGCTTCGGGGCAGGCTTGGGCTGAGTCGACTGTCGCAACATGCTGGCCCAGGTCTTTGCCTTGGGTGCAGCGGGCTCGCTAGTAGGGGCGGAGACGGGGGCAGTAGCGGTGGCGGCGGCGGCGGGGGTGGTGGACTGGGTAGGTGTGGCAGTTGTGGTGGTCTCTTTGGGAGCATCAGTAGAGCCCCAAGCAGAGGTGCCCCATTCGTTCGTCTTTGTGTCATCGGTAGAAGAAGCGGCAGCACCCCAAGCGGAAGCTTCGTCGGTAGGAACAGAGAGCTGTTCCTTGTCCTTGGCCTGGTGTCCATTCGTAGTAGGTTGAGTGGAAGCACCTCTGCCTCGGCCGCCGCGTGCTCGGTCAGCGCCGCGACCACCTCGACCACCTCGGCCGCCGTCCACGCGCCCACCGCGACCGGCTCTCGATGACTCGGTCAAACCAGATGAGGGAGCCGACTCCTTGGTCTTGGGCTTGGTCACCTTCTTGGGCTTCGAAACCTCACCCCATTGCGAAATTGAACCTGCGGATTGGCCAATTGAGTCAGCCTTTGAGTTTTCATTGACGGGGGGTGAGACGAGGGGGTGGTGGTGGTGAAGAGTTTTGGGGTGGGTGAGTTAGTGAGTTAGTGATCCGCCCATGAATGAGCAGCGAGGGAGGGAGGATGATGCAATCAGTGGTTGGGTGTAATATGTACATACCCTCAAGGATCTTCTGGACGACGATCTCTGCGTCGCCATCGTTTTCCTGCAGAGCATAGAGAATATCGGCGTCCGACCAGTCGGGGAATACGCCCTTGACCTGTTCAAGCTTGTCGCCGTGCTGCTGTCTAAGCTGGGCAATGTCGCCATCGTCATCAGCGGAATCTGTCGACTTGTCGCCGTTGGTACGTCTGGGGGTGCCAGTGCGAACTTCGTTGCGGCCGGCGAAACCACCTCGTCCTCCTCGACCGCCGCCTCTGCCACGAGAGGCGGGTTGGGATCGAGCCTGTACCTCAGACATTGCTGAGAGGATGTGTGTGTTTGTGAATTGTGGAAGAGAAGAAGAAAAAAGCGACGATCGATCCCCTTTGTCAATACAATGAGAAAAGGGAAAGGCACCGACGGCGACAAAATATGGTCAAATGGGAGGGAGATGAACCAAAGAAGGCGACGTCGTCAATCAGTGGAATAGAGAGGGAAGTGGGTGGATGATTAAGTTGACCTTCTAGTGTAGAAGAATGGTTGGTCGAATTGATGGGATGGGGGATCAAGATTGGGATTAGATGCAACAGGTGAGAAAAGCAGAAGCCAGGTGCAAAAGGCCTAACTTAACTAAAAAAGGAATGTAGTCTAAGTAAGTGGAGGCTCAGAGCTCAGAGCTCAGAGTTGGCAATGAATAAATCGATTGAGCCTGACGGGGAATTCAATCGGCTGTCAGTGTTGGTGCTGTTGGGCAAGAGCTTTCCAATGTGCAGTGCAGTGCGTAGCATAACCATCCTGGATGCTGTGAGGTTGGCGAATACCTTTGCTTCAGTGGCTTGGGCCAACACAGAGCTGGGTAAGGTACCTTAAAAAGTGCCCTGTAGACTAGTTTTGGGGTCGCTACTAACCTAAGGTTAGGTCACTGGGCCACTGCGCTGCGTACCTGGGGGCGGACGAGGCGCAGCTGTAGGCGGTTGCGAAATTCGACGCTTGTTGCTCTTTTTCACCCTCCAATCCGTACTCCGTACTCCAATCAACTGCCAGAGCTATCTTTTCCAAGCTAAATGATGTTGTCTCGTGACTCTAACAATGTGAATGTATCATGAATGTCCGCATCCGCTTTTTGATGGGTGTAAGGGAGTTACGGGTGTTTGGATTCTTCTTTCTTCTTGTTTCTTTGTAATTGATACCAAGTCTGACGTTACAATCTTTTGGTACTTTGAAGCTTATCTTTTCAAAAGCACGGTCAAAAGCACGATGCGAAAGTCCATGATACCAGATCGTGAGTCCCTTGCAAGCAATCCATTAACCGCAGAATGCATGCAGTTATTCTACCTTCTGTAAATGTCTGGGACTACCCTCTGGCTAGCGCTCAGCGTGGAGGAGCTGTGCTTGCTTCAAGGATTTTTCGAGCTTTCGGGCCAATAGGAATGCGCGAAACCCTGGCAACTGCGCTAAAGGAGGCACTCCGCCCAAGCTGTGTCATGTCCACGGTACTTGCTGGTTTCGTTTTCTTGAAGCCGTGACTGAACCAGAAATAGGACACCTCAAGAACTACAGTCCAGGCAGATATGGGGTCTGGAAAATCCCTCTCTGGTTGCCTTATTCAGATCCACCAGGTGTGCTTTGTACTTGGCCATCTTCATTCCTGTTCAATGATCCACGTAAGCTCGGGTCAAGCACAACACCAACAACAAGCGGGCTGGGGCGGGGGACAATAATAAGGCTTGCTTTGCCCAGCTTGTGAATTTCTGGGGTTCGGCTGTCAAACACGGTCATTTTTCAAGATCCAATTTCACCTGCATTGAGCACTGGGCATAAGTTAGCACTATGTACCAGGCACGGCCCCACAGTGGTCTGGGAAATGGCTACTGCAACCTCTCACCTGAGGTACTGTAGGGTATGTAGGTACCGGCGGCATCACAGTTGGTCCAACACCACCGGCCCGGAATAACATTAGCGGAATTATGGGGCTCACCCCACGCTTTGGCTGCTCGCTTTCCATGCCTGGTCATCATTAATGGGTGACATGACATGATGCCATACCCGATGCCTAAGGTGGGCACATTGCAACATCCCGCATCCCACATTATTGTACACATTGGTAGCCAGCTGAGCGCCTCGCAAAAGCACGTCCTTGACAGATTAGATATCTAGTCTAGTCTAGTCTACCCCGTTGATAGGCGGCACTGCGTTGAGAGACAAGCCGGTCACCAGTCGAACACAGCAAGCTCACTCACTCACTCACGCCTCCCCGATAACCAACCAGAACTATATAACGGATGCTTCCCGTCGTTGCGCGACCATGGTAGCCCGTACTCCTCCTTTGGGATCCCTCAAGAAGGGTTTTAACAAGAGCATTCTGCCTCAGATACATCACCCTCTTCCACTAAACAAGAGGGAGTCCCAGCAGCTGCTCAATTCCATTACCTCCTCTTTCCGAAAGAACCTAGACAAAGAGCACCCGTGGCAGCCACACGACGCAGCCGATGCTACAGCTGCGAAAGTGATTGCAAATACCTCGCTACAACTTGCCAAAGAAGTACCACCCAAACATCGTCCAACAGACCGCCACCTGGGTTCCATCCTCACCAATCCCCTCTTCGCTCAACCGAATGTAAGCGACCGTCAAGCACCAAACGGGCTTCAATATCACCACGATGTATTTGACTCGGCAGTATCCAAGGGCATGATGACCGTCCGCCGTGCCGCAGGTTATCTTGCCATGGTCAACAAACAAGCCCAATCATCTACTCTACAAGATCCCGCCGCCCTGGCTTCTTCAGGTGCCGGCCTTCGCGTAGCCCAATGGCTACGGTCATCGGGGGCCGAGAACTCTCTGGAATTCCTCAATGATAAATATCTGATGCCTCTCCTCGTTCAGTTCATGTTCTTTGAGGGACTAGAGGAGGTGGCTTGGACGTGGTTATCTCGACTGGGAGCACAACTTCATGCATTACCCAAGGATGGCCAGACACAACACTCTATAGCATCTCTTCTCCACGTGATCCACCTTGCTCAGACCAGCAAGGTTCAAGGTGTGAATGTACGGCAACCCTCATTGGATCCTTCATATTCCGCGTTTTTGCGGGCCAACAAGACTTTGGCTACAGAAGATCCAGTTGCCCTCAAGAGCTTACAGCGATACTGGGCCAGCCTCTCCTGGTCTTCAACAGTACTCGCCTCCCAACACCAGTCACCGTCCGCACCACTGTATGAGATGTTCACGGATGTTGGCAGACCATGGAGGAAACGCTTGGATATTGCACATCTGGAGTTGCATCATCCTTCTACCCCTGATCACTCCTCAGCTGTCAAATATCTGCACGATGAGCGCGTTCAAGATGCCGCCAACAGTCTGAAGAAGTACGAAAAGTATGTTGAAAGAATGGTTAGCCTGGGCAGCGATACGGTCAGCAGGTTGCAGCAAGTTGGCGAGCAACAAGAAGCATCATGGGTGTCCGAATTTATGGCCAGAACTTTCTTTGCATGGAATCTTCAACCTGAAAGACCTGCATCAGTCAGATTATCATGATGGCAAAATAACGTGTTATGGCATTTTCGGAGTTTTGGCATTTGTGTTTTAGGATACCAGCATATGGCACGCGGGGCGTTGGGACATTCATTGGTCGTTAGGTCTATTACACAGTAGAGCGTTCGAGCCAGTCGACAACAGCTTTCCTTTTGTCAGATAGTGCCGAGATCAATTTGCGCTTCGGGCGTCGAGTTGAAAGACACTGAACAAATCATTCACAGATATTGCCATGTGACAACAAGAATAACAATCGTCTTATCGACACACTCTGATCACGACGGATAAACAGCAAGACAGCGTTCGTGTAGTCGCTTACACTGTGTCTACCACTAACATAACAACCCAGGCTATGCTGTCGATTCGAGGTACCTAGCGTCTCTATAAGATTCTGGTCACTCTCTGCTGTGATATCGGGAGGAAACAGACCAGGGCGAAAGTAAAACAGAAGGTGATGTACGCCCCTGTGGTTTTGATGCCAAGACAGGTTGGTGCTGTCGAATTCCAAGCCAGTATTAGCGTCAAGGTGTAAAAAATAGATAGGTTTATTGAACTGAATTCGACATGACTTTTGCCTGTTTGCCCAGTGCTTCTTCTGCCTGTGGCATGCGAAACTACGGATAAGATAGAATTTTGTAACACGAAATACCGGAGTGCTTCCCAATCCGAAAATCCAAAATCTTGTCAATCGACAAGAGCACACATCTTCTGAAGTGATTTTTATCGAATACTGTTCATCTGTATTATTTATATACAGGATCGCGATGATCTAGATCACTCCAGCCTTTGCAGGGCCAATACTGCTCGAGGTCGATCAGCTCACCGGGGCAGGTCTCACGCCTCTGCCATACGCATCTCACTGGCAGAAGTTTCCTGGCCCCTGACAACTAGATTGTGACGTTCATGAAAGGCTAAGTGCGGTGTAGGATCGGGACCGCAGATAGACCTATCAGACCACACGTATAGATACATGCCTTAGGTGTCGTGACTGGCATACAAGATAGAGAGTCTCCGAACTCGTGAGAGCGCGAGTGCCAGCCAGGAGCTAGCATCACTAACGAAATAACCCATGCAGCCCCGTGTCCCTGGCGGCTGGTAGACTGTGATAGCTGGCATGTCATAAATGTTAGATGATTACTCAAACTCGCCTTGTGATGTATTCTTATTGTAGCAAATCCAACAATGATTTTGGGAGCTGCCACTCCTACACCCCTCCAATCACGGCTTATATAGCCCCTATCCATGTTCCTTTGGGGACATCGTCGATAGCATGCTGTAAGTCACAGTCAATAGCACCAAACTTTGCCATTAATTAGAACTGTTTATTGAAGCCATACTCATACAAATTGAACTTATACTTCTTGATGAACGGCCGGAAGATCATTCCGGAGTCACCAAACCGAGGCTCACCGTGGCAAGGGCGGCACAAGATATAATTTTTCGATAATTAGTGAATTGTTTTTGAAGTTCCTACGATATGGTAGGGCGAGCTGGACTGTGACCCTATGCTGGTGCCCAGGGTTGATGGGCATGTGTATTGCAGTATACTGAACTTCTCTGGGCCCTTCGAGGAACATTGACTGGCTCCGGAGGTTGTCTCAGCTATCGGACAGTTCCGACCAAATAGGTCCTCAGCCTTCGTTGATCGAGTTCTGGAAAGAAGAAAAGGTCTCTGTCGGAGTTGATGTGTGCAAATTCTGGACTACATGTCCTCGTCCAATGAGTCTCGGTGGGAGCTGCACTCCAGACATCCGATATAGTCGTCGAAGGCTTTGGTGCCCACTTTCTGCCGATGAGCAGTATTCCTTCCGCGCATATTGTCCGGATCTTCTTGGATCTGCCATGAGTAGGCATTCCAAGAATCAGATCGGCGCCAGTATATGCACGACCAGATTTTAGACAGGCGTGAATAGTAGCGGAACTCCGTTGAGATAATCATTTACATGGTGAAGATGATATCGTAAACATTATGGCACATAATGTTGAAGTTCGTTCCTCGAGGTACGCCTACTGGTTGCTACATGGTCTTCGAAAGATCCGTAGATGATTGCCTGTCATTTTTGAATATCTTGAGCACCATTCACAAATAGTAAAACGTCATGATGCTTCGTGTTAAATACAATTATGGCTACATGGTATCTCATTACGTATAAATAATAAAAAGTCAGATCATACGTCGTACAGTGGTCCTTGTTCTACGTGTAGATGTGCATCTTACTCTTCCCTAGCATTAACCACTCTCAAAGCCCTTCTTGGTCCCAAAACGACACTAAAGAAACTGGGTTCTCTGCCATCTAATAATCCTTCCGTTGAGCCTCCGCTAGCCGTACTCCTAGTAGCGCTGCTCTTGTTTCTGTTCACACCAGCACCAACACCACCCATAGAGCCAGCAGACCACCCCCAAGGGTTGCGATCTTCACTTGGCCGTGGACCATGTGAAGAACTGCCACCAGTGCCAGACCCTGGCGAAGGCTCGTCACTTGTCGAAATCCATCGCGGCTCGTCCATACGCCCAACCCAGCCGAACTGATCTCCACTCTCATCGCTAGAGCTGCCACGACGGTGTCTGCGAAGCTTCTCCCGCGTCCCGCCGGCTGCAAGGCCATCAATCTCATCAGCTCCGCTATATCGGTTGGCCAATAGCATATGCTTCTTATACGTAGAGACCTGTCGTCGGTAGAGCCATGCACAAAAGCCGAGGTACAGGGCTAACAGTCCTAGAACTCCGGCTATGACGCCAGCTGCGATGAGGCCGCCATTGGGCCCAGAGCTATCCGAGGTACCACTGGTGGCTGTTTGCGTGGGCGACGAATTCGTAATCGTTGCGGCGGGCCCTGACGCTGTGACGGTGAATACAGGTGGCTTTCCAGTCAGGAAAGGTCCTCCAGTAGCCTGACCTACAGCAGGTGTTGTTGCTGTTGCGCCGCCTTCGGAGCTACCTCCAATGGCAGATTGCACAATATCGGGTACGAGGTAGCCGTTACTGTTGGCAAGTATACTGTTGTCCGGATGTAAGTCTGCGGCATGATCACCTGCGGTGAACGAGTCCTTCCACTGCAAGGTGGAGGCGTCAAAATTATGAATACCAGGGGTATCGCAGTTGCTGTTCTGGCCAATATACCCACCGACTACAATCATTTGGCCATCCCTTGCCTGACATGAATGGCCTGCGCGGGCGGCCGGCTCGTTATCAGAACCGGCATCGACTTTGATCCAGGTGAATGATGGCACAGTCAGAATGTACATATCGGTATACTGTGTTTGCCCTGCTACTGGCAATAAATTCTGGCCCCCGTACATGTAGATGTTGAATGAGCTGGCATCTGGTGCTGAGAAGATGACAGCACACGGATTTACGCGGACTCCTGGGATATCTCCAGTTGTTTCTTGGTGGTACCATTCGCTCGTTTCGATATCGTAAACATCGATTGTAGACATGCTGGAAAATTCACTCGCAGTGTCGTTGTTCTCGGTGCTACCACCACCCAGTCCAAGTAGGATACCAGCTGGGCCCCAGCCTGGCACAAATACAAGAGCGCCGTCGGCTCTCTCTGAAAACCCAGATTGGTTCTGAATTCCGCCTTCCGTGATGTTACGATAGACACCGCCATCACCCGCTCCTGCTGCATGGAGAGAATCGACACCATTATTGGCGTATTCTGGGTGCGTGAACTCCAGCATACTTTTTAGGTAGACTCGAGTGACTAGATCCGACCAGCCAGGTGTGGTGGCTACATCGAGATGACCACCAAAATACCAGCTGCGCCCCAATTCCGGCACCGAAATACCTGCTCCCTCGGCGGCCCGTTGCACGGCAATGCCGCCAGGAGTGGAGTAATTGCCCGCAGATGTCTGAGGGTTTTGGTATTCGGTCCAGGAAGACGACGTGATTGAGTACTTCCAGGTAGACATTGTAGAGGGCGAAACCCTTGGGTTGTCCGCAAATTCACCGCCGTATAAATACAAGTTGTTATAGTCGTTCCAAAGATAGCCCATCGCGACGGCAGGGGGCCCGGAAGGTTGCGACAATCCTTGCAGTGCTGGCGAACTCGTTGACCACGACTTTGTCAAGTCAAGCGTAAGGAAGTCGTTGTCTGCCAAGCTGTTAATTGGAATTTTGATGCTAGTGCGGCACAAGACTTACTCCAAGTATTTGTATCCTGGTCACCATTGGACTTTGCCTCGCCGCCGTAGATGTAAAGGGTGCCATTGAGCATGGCGGCTAATATAGTCAGTACTGGTAGCATCAAAAGAACAGAAAAGTTGCCACGCACATTGTTGTGCCCATCGAAGGCAAACATCGGTTGGACTATCGGCTCGGTCTTCGAGGATGACTCCGGGAGCCTTTCTAATCACACCTGCATCCGCGCCACTCATTTCAACCTTCTTACGGCCGTTGTTGTAGCTGATAGCAGGAATAATAACGGCTATAAGTAAGGCGATTGTCGTCATGCGATGTAGACTTGGGACGGTTGAAGGTGGCGCACTGGCAGCTGCTTTAATCTTTGGACGTTTTACCTGGGTAATAATGGATAACCACCTTGCTCTACTCTTTGATTCATCTGAATCGCCGTTTGCTTCTGCTTGGATGCCAGTGGGTGACACCGGCTCTTCGGAGGTGATACCAGTGATTTCGCTGAACTCTTTTTCGTCCATTTCTTTCTCGTCCAAGCTATCAGAGGACTTTTGGAAGCCCTCCCGCCAATCGTCCATCAATCCGACTTCCCGAAATATCGACTTCCGCCCTTTTCTGATGCTGCTTCCCATTGGAGATGCTGGTATCACGAACGATCCCTCTCGTAATCGATGCGAAGTTATTTTTGAGTCGAACTTTGGCCGAGTTGGTACGCCCTCTGAGCCAGCGGACTCTGGATTGTGGCGAGATGCTGTTGTGGAGGTCATAATCAAAGTGTCAGTGGGTACTAAGGCATTATGAGCCGACTAAAGGATCTGTATTACATGAGGGTGCCACACCCGAGAACAAGAAAGTGGAGAGGACATCATCATTCATGTCGGACGAGGTCACAGAGCAGCATTTAAAGACTGCTGGAAAGACGTAAACGCAAGAGAACCCCTGGCCTAAATGCCGGGTTACATCGAAGAATGCGGAGAATTAGACCCTACATGCTTAACTCGCCTGCCACTTGCTACAATTTAGCCCTGTCGATGTGCGATCGCATGTTGATAGAGCCAATATATGCGAGTGCCAAGACGGGATCGCGACAAGACCCTGGCCCACTACATCATGGCTATCGAATGTGATGGGGAATATTGCATCAAACCGTTACTTGGAGAACTTGGTGAGCCACCAAATAGAGAGAAAGCCAAAACCTGAATTGAGATCTGCTGGAACCAAATCATTGCTGCTCAGTTCCCATCTTGAAAGGCCACCCGAGAGCTGAGTGGGACTGATTGGTTCCGGCTTGACCAGGGGTCGACGAAAATGACGACATTTGTAAATCAAGCCCAAGACAGGATTAATGCGTTGGAGACGAAGCACCCCTACGAGAGCCGGGAAATCCACCTTGGTCTAGACGACACTTGATGAAATACTCCGATGATGGAATTGCCCATCTCTCTTGAATGCTACTGTGCCAGACGAACCAAGTGTTGTTCACAGAGCGAATTGCTCACCGCCAGAGAGGGCCAATGTTCTCAGATGTCCCACTTGCCATCAACACGAACGCCTCAAGTATGACAAACTCGACGACTGCCAGTTGCATGAAAGTTGGTGATATCGATCATGATGTATCGTGTTCGCGTTTCAAGCTTAAAATCTAGCTCCACGCCAAAACTATATATGTGGACCAAGTTGCATAAAACAACAATTGTTGGAACAATGGAGGAAGCAGCGCGTCAATCGCCCAGTATGGGGCGCCTGCCTGCACTGCCACATGCAATCAACGTGGACTGTGGCTTAATCGAGCTGAGGGGCGCAAGAAGGGTGTTGTGAGTGCCCATGAAGATGTCTGCGCCCGACAGCAACACATTCACTCTTCCTGTACGAGTCTATATTCTCGAAATTAACGACTTGCTGTATTTACAGATAAACACTTGCAGTGTTTGCCGGTATATGCAACTTGCTTTGTGACTGGATCATCTTGGCCCCAGCTGGATATGGATTCGCACTTGCATTCGACTACCTTGGGGCAACACAGATGAAACAAAAGTTGAGTCTTTTTGTCGTCTGCTCATGCTAATTAGGCTTCTGATGAAGTGAATCGACAGTATAACTCTTATCTAGTGTTAAAAGGCAGCCTGGTGGCAACAATTGACATGGCATTGTTGCCAACCAGATTTGTTGGAGAATTAGAGTGCGAACAACGTCGCGCCGGACTATTATGGCTCATCGTAAGATCATCACGACCAATCCGAATATATAAAACAAAAATCAAGACCTGGGCTTGAACCGTATTAACCGCATTTCTTGCTCTGAGAACACCACAAAAGTATGACTCGTCCAAAACAAGCTCAGACCTGTCGATCCGCTTTCTTCTCAGAAAACATTTGAGGCTTTGCCTGGAGAAGCTCACTTCAAACCTCAATATCAGTATGCCCCTGACTTGTCCATTGGATGTGGACACTGTGCTGTGTAGTTCGAGATCAGAAATAATCCAGAGAAGTTACACTTCATGCAGGACCATTTATGGTACTCCATGAATGGTTGTTAACCAGCAATGCAGCCTGTGTTGAGTGACGCATGTGCTGTAGTTGAAAATGAGACGCTCGCTTTGATGAAAGAGTTAAAAGTATATTGCATGGAAGTGTGACAAGAAGCAGGTTAGTTGCGAGTGCAGGGACTATCGGGTAACATGTGAGCGTTGAATCATGCTATGAGTGACTGTATCAGTGGTTAGGAAGTCTGTATGATGGCAATCACTCTTTTAGTTACTGTCAGAATTCGAGTCAAAATAATTACTGGAGAGTCACGGCCAACTAGAATTTATATAAACCCTCCAATTGCAGAATTGTGCCGGTGTGAATTTCTTCCCAATTGTACCATATCGTACTGATACACACAAAAAATATTACTCATCTGGAGTTATGATAGCCCTGCCGCCATTTTCAGTATTCTGCAATCTTCACCCCTTAAAATGAACATCACCACAAGCTTTTTGTTCTCTGTGCCGATAGAGCTCGGAAATACTTTCGGTAATGATTCAATAGGTAGGTCTTCTTAGTATCGTCATGTTCTAGTAATATGAAAACGAAGGTGCTAATAAATGCAGCTTCCAGTATGCCAACCAGTGCCACCTTCGAGAGACCCTATTCCAGTATATCTACCGTAACAATCAGACCAACAACCACACAAACCATCACTGTCTTTGTTACCGAAATTCCTATTTTCAACCCCACTACAATAAATTCCAATCTTATTACAACTACACAATTGTACGAAATAATTACTGTGGTAGAGACGATGACTGTTGAAGATCGTCGTTCATTGATGACCACATCTACGCCTTCCCCTAATGTCGCTACCACCACGATCACCAGCGATGCCATGCCGAAATCACAAAATTTCACAATTATACCTCTTAGATCAGGCCTTGAAGGCGAAGGCGGTCAAACACCAATACCAGCCACATCTACTATGGCGACTACACCAACCTCGACAGAAGTTACATCCCCTGGGACCATCCCCGCAGTGTCTCCCGTGACTTTGTCAGAAACAAGCACAATAGCAATGACTATGCCGTCGTCAGGCTTTACAACGCTATCAACTTCCCTGTCGCACTCATCAGGGTATCGACTTTCAACTACGACAACAACAGATGCACCGGCTCCCCTAGTTAACCCTCAAGGGCCAACAACGGTGAGAACATCACTGTCTGAGCACATACCCAGTCCATCTTCAGGAGGCATGAATGCAGGAGCTCCGCTCTTGAATCCTTCACCAGACCACAGCGGCACCATGAGTTTACTTTCAATGTCAAGTAAGTCAGAGCCAATCAAGTCAGCATTTTCTCCAACAGCTCTGGAAGTTATTCCAATACACTCTTCATTTCTAAAGAACATACACGTGTCAAGCGACTCAAGAATTATTAAAAGACAGACAAGTTTGATTGAGCCGGCGACGCCAGATATCCCGCACTGGCTGCCAACAACCTTCAGGACTTCTACTAGGATGAGTTAGAACCATCTGGCTGAGTATCTTGTAATCTTGGCCATTGATAGGTAATAGACCATATAGTCCGCACTACCTAATACCCTCCTTTTTGCATATCTCACTTCTTTCACTGTGTTTTTGCAAATACCTCCCGAGAAGTTATCCATGTCTCGCCTGACGTCCACGACCCGAGGCACAACCAGCAATACTCTCTCGATCGCCTACCCAGTCATGATTTAATGTTCATGGCGGTCAGCTTTCGGCCGGTTTCATTCCCTTCGAGGAGATCATCTTTCATACGCTCCTCGGCCTTCATTTTTCGGAACAGCCTTCTGTAGTCTCGGATAAGGAGAAACAAGAATATCGGTATAGCTATGGTGTTTAAGCATGTAAAGATCAGCATGACTAGACTCTCGTGCGACACGGCTATGGCGGATTAGGTTGGGGGTTTTATCATATGCTTTATGGATTGGTTCTGGAATAGATGGGAGTGTGGATGTTGTCAGTACGGTTAATCGAGGGACGCTTTTATTTTATGACTGGCAGTGGCTGTGATTGACACTTCGTAGTGATGTGAGCTATAATTGCGTACAAAAAGACCTGATTAACAACTATCTAAAACAGTAGACTTCAGCAACTAGTATGGGAGCTTGTGAATGCGCCAACACGATGTGGACCAATTTAATGCAGTGGGTAGCTAAAGAAGAGTGGCTTGGCGCGATGAGTCAGTCGGTGAATAGATGTGTACGTTGGAGCAGTAATCAAAGTTACATAATTCCTAATGAAAACCAGTGATATGATAATTCTTTTTTTGCTGTGAATGTGCACTCGACGTGAAGATTCGAAGTGGCAGGCAGGGTCCAAAAATCAGCATCCCTTTAAAAAGAAGTTGCAGTGTGGTACAGATACTGCTCCAACATATGTGTAGCACGACACATTCTATTTACAAATATCTTTAACGGAGACATTATGGATACGACTATCTCCAACGTCAAGCATCAGCACAGCTCTTCTAAGTCCTCATTAAAGATACGACATCGACAGATCCGCGCCCTCTGCGACGAGGAGACCATCACCGTCTACCAAGCGTACAATGCAGAGATAGCATCGCATGCGGTACAGCACCAAAAGCTCAACGCATCGCCCCTCTTCAAGCCGGGTCGCATGACCTGGATCAAGCCAAGCTGGTGCTGGATGATGTACCGCTCCGGGTATTCGTTTAAAGACAAGAATCAGGAACGTATTCTAGCTTTGAAGATGAGACGGACTGATTTCCTGGTCCTGCTGGAAAAGGCTGTACTTGCGACTAAAATGGCCGCTCGGGGAACTGGTGATAGCAAAGGAGTTGCTAGGGACGAGGGAGAAGAGGAACGGAGAAGTGACGATGTAAGGGTACAGTGGGATCCGGAGCGCTCGATGCGGCTCGAACGTCTGGAGTATCGCAGTATTCAAATCGGAATTCGTGGAGACACAAGAACACATTGGATCATGAACTCTATCGTAGCAATCGAGGATGTCACAGAGATGGCACAATCATTGAAGGCTGCTTTGGACGAAGACCCTCGTGTATCGGAACAGGAGTTAGTACAGAGAGGCTTGTTGCCGCAAGAGAAGCCAGTCGAGGCTTCGAAAATATTACACGAGATTCTCGAGATGGACTAATTCTTCTGTTCAAGACAGCATCTGCTACTTGCGGAATTATATAATAAAGTACAAGTGGACTTCCCGGATCTATGCTGCTGTCCTTTCTATGTGTTCTCTGGTCGCCCCGTATAACCCTGTTCGGTCTATGATCGTCTACTCTTTAGTCTCAAGTGTGTACTCTATCGCCCATGGTCATGATTAATTGCGTTTCTTTTCAGAGGCTTTTACAACTTCGCGCCATTCTTCCTCTTCTGGTACTGCTCGTTCTCTTTTTGGAGAGGACCCGCCTCGTGGCCAACTTGTCTCTTGTTCTGGTCGTTTGGTGTTTGGGCGGTACCGCTCTTCTTCGGTGCACTTTTGTATCCCTCTTCGACATTTTCCTCATTCTCAATATTGCCATTGGTATCTCGGTTGATACCCAACTCGAGTAACTTTGCGAACACCTTGGAGAAGTGGTCGAAGAATAGATCCTTATCCTCGGCGTATTTCTCAACCCACGGCCTGAAGGAGGAGTCGGATAACAAGGAAATATCGGTAGGGAGCATCATTAATTCCTCTGGCTTCTCGCCCTCCTCTAGCGCGATATCCTCGTCAATATATACGAACTGTTCCAAGCCGTTGGCCAGCTTCTTCTTCTTCCAGTCGTGTGCCAGAAGAAGCTTGAAGTACTGATTCGAGAATCTTGTCGGGTTGTTAACCCACTTGCCCTCAAAACCTGAGCGGTCGGTATGGCAGCGTCCCAAGTTGTGTGCACCGGATAACGCGACGATCTCCTGATCGTTAAAGCCCATGCGGTAAAAGATATGCCGAATATGATCTGCACCTTGCGCGGCATCCGGTAACCGTCCACGGGGAGGGATCTTGCTGTCATCGGTAAAGTCTGTACGTCCTCCTTGCCACTTGACCTCTGGGCCGCCCATCTCCTTCACTGCGACCACAGCTGCAAGACACCAAAGATCGGCGTACGTGATCCATGGGAACTTTTCCTTGATCGGCTCCAAGAACGCACGCGCATGTGCTAAGCCGGCGTTGGCTGGGTCGCCACCTTCTTTCTCATACCTCATGCCGGCGCCATTTGAGCCTCCAGTCTTCGATGCAGCGTCATAAGTTCCTGCGGAGTGCCATGCCAACCGAACCAGTACCGGACCAGCTGAACCATCATCATATTCAGGCTGGTGGAGCAACGAGCGCACGGCGGCTCTGACCTCGTCAAGCTGCGCGGCTGAAGGCGGCGCCGGGGTTTTAGAAGCCATCATGAGAAGAAACGTTTCTTCAAAATAGAGGGAGGAAAACAAGCAACAAAAACACTGAGGCAGACTTCAGCGGAAAATTTGGGCATCTTGAGCAGTTAAACGTTCAAGTTTGAATGCGAAAAGGGCGATAATAAAAATGGGACCGGAGTCGCATGTGGCAATAGCCTCGGTTCGGCTACTTGCACAATAGCGTTCAATGAAATTTCAGAGATTAGGAATGGTCTGCCGAGCTGGGGCGCCATTTGATCATTACTCTCGATCTCGTTATCGTGAGCTGGAATGATCCAATTTTATCAGCGGGTCATGGAGTTACTGGTCATGTCAGCCCACGGGGAAAGTCCCACTCGGATTGGCTAGGCAAGACCTCGAAGATCGAGAGTCAAAGAACATGTGACAAGACGAACAAAGAACATTGTGTATGGGCGAAGATGTGCTAGAATACGCATGTGGAATCGGGTGCGGCGGCGAAGTCGTGCCGGGAGTTCTTTCATATAATACGGGTTGTAAAATTTTGTACGGACTTACTTAACTCATAAAAATACGAGTCCCGAGGTCAGCGCGTCTTTGACGATCGCACTTTGATTCATTTCCATGATATGAGTATCGTGACCACCCTGAACATGCTCGAATGTTATGAACGCCAAACTTTTGACCTTTCAAGCATACGGGTGTACCAAACCTTTGGTGTTGGTAGATATACACGTCCGGCCTTGGTACGCAGCACCGATAGAGCCTCAAGGAGCTGCCCGACTCCAAATGCGACGCGCTAAATAGATTGTTCAAGAAGACCTCTGGTAAGCAAGGCCTCACATTTTGAAAACGTCTATCCTTGAGTTCGCGTCTAGCGTCAGAAAGCCTATAATGATAGTGCTGAAAATTCTGTTAGGGCGGGTCGAGATAATATACTTCTTTCATCAGTCGTGGGTGCCCATTCATGTGTCCTGGTGTCAGAAGGCGGCGTTGGTATAAGACAGTATCTACATACATGTTGAAATCCCAAAGTGAGCAAGATAGATCCAGCGGGTTGATCATCATCAAACCCAACGAATCAAGTTGTGTCTCAACGTGCTCGAGTGTACAATCGCAAAGCTGCATGGCGCTCCCGCTAATACATACATATCGTAACGATACTTTGTAGTCGACTACTTGGCGTCGGAAGCATATTTCCAGAAATCTGCGAGGGGCAACAGAAGATGGATGCATAATATGCCGAGTTTATGAGCTAGGGGGGAGAGGGGGGTGGGGGGGCAGGGGGGGCTCCCTCCGACTAACCTTATAGGCTCAGAGGGTGTGCCCAGCGGCCATGGAAGGGACCTGCAACCTTCGAATTGTACAAGTGAGCGGGGCAAATTAGCTGTTTGCACCGCTGTTCGTCGTTTCGATTTGGGTTGTTCGGCGGGGCTAGTGGCTCAATTCTGGGGCTCAGCTAAGGGAACGAGCCAATCCGCCAATGGCAATGACCTGTGGCGCAAGCTGAAACCCTGTCAAATGCTCATTTTGGTACGAGGGAGATCCGGGAAAATGGGCAGTGGTCCCCTATTTCTGGGAAACACAGCGCGAGCAGCATCAATCGATCCTGCGCCGTCAAGTCAACGCAGTTTCATTCTGCATCTGGCGAATGACGATAGGCGCCGAAACAACTTCAAACCGGTGCCTGAAGCCCGGCAACTGCAACCGTCAATTTACAATTACGGTCTGCACTGGGTTCAACCTTCGGGCCATACCTGCAGGACCTCCAGCTTGATCCAGGTCCCAATAGGGCAGTTGGTTGCATTAGGTTGAACGACGAGACAACCTGCATGTTAGCACCTATCCGCAGAATTGCACGACCGGCCACCGCCTCATCCTTCCTTACGTACATCCTACAACCACAACCTACAACCTGCAAAAGCCTCACCCGCGAGGAACGGATCTATGTAGGGGTCCCCCATATGATCGGCAGGAATTATTCAGCTCTTCGCTTCGTCTCTCGTTATCCAACACACCACACCACAACACGTTGCTACTACCGTTGACCGTGCTTCGACATTCCTTCAACTGCTCTTGTTCTTGATCCCTCCATTTCTATCTACCATTTATTTTTGCTTACTACGGACCTGGTGTCTTGCTCAAGCTTGTTCAAGCTTTGCTCCCGCCATACCGTCATCGCGACGGCTTCTTCATCACTCGGACCCGACTGTCTCGGTCTTCCTGCATTGCATTAGCAGTGCCATTGTTTTCCCCACCTCAACCTCTCCGTCTCCCTTTGTTCTTGAGCTACACCAACGCCTCAACATCACCACCCTGCCGTTGAGCCGTTTCTCATTGATTTCATTTACTTTTGTCCCACCTTTATCACAGTAGCCACCCCGTGTCCCAATTCGCTACCACAGCTCGGGCTGAGCCGCCACGTACTCTCACTCTAACTTACATTGCGACATCCCTCGCCTCTAGCCTAAATATACATATTCGATTCAACAACTTCCATTCACCATCGCGCCAACTATATACAGTCTTCTTATCAGTTCAATTGGCTCATTCTCCCCCGGCCAGACCTTGAGCCGTTCTCAAAACTACCACTCCCGTGTTGTCGTGATTTAGGGGTATAAACTGGCTGGACCACACACCTTGAAACACGAATAACTGCGGACGTTGAATTCAGCTTGCCCATTTACCTTTCGACTGTCTTGTCTTGGCTTGCATCACACCTTCTTAAACATCCTGGTTGGCAGGCACGCCTCGGTATTTTGTCTCGAAAATATAAACTGCAATCGTCCAGCCCGCCCCTCCGAATGCCTCGGACAATTCGACATACACTCTGCGGGTTCTGTATGCAGTAAACCCCTCATTGGACAATATTACTTGAGCATCTTGCATCCAGTAATACTCAGCAGCCATGTCGTTCTTAGTGGCTGTGCAATCAGCCATCTTCTACATTTGCGCTTGCACACCATGCACCAACGCACGCGAACACCGGCAATCGAAGAAGCAAGCCACGAGAGATCGGGCTGAGAAACTGCGAATGCAGGCTGAGAACCCACACTTATATCCGCAACCTGACCCCTTCAACACGAATCCGTACTGGCAAGAGGAGATAATGATGGGTCCTAGCTTGCCCAAGAAGAAGTCCGGTTCAGCAAGCAAGAATACGAGCCAAAGGGCACTGAACAGCGCTGGCCGGGAAAGTAGGAGTACCACATCAAGTAGTATCGCGGTCGGCACAACCCATATTGATAGCACAACAACCGTCGTGCCAGAAGATAACGAGTCGACGCTATCGACGAGCATATCCCAGACATGGTCCGACGACTGGAATAAAAAGAGATATCAGCGCGAGGATGAAGAGCTGTGGGGAAGAGATTTCTCCCAAGCTGGTCACAGACTGATAGATGCCATCAAGTACGCCGGCAACTCAGCCAATCGCATGCTTGAGACCTTGGGGAAAGAGCCGCGGGAAGTGACCGAGGAAGATAGATGGGACTTCTACTCTACTGCCAAGAACCCCCCGGTGAATGATTACCACCCCCCTATCGTCAGCCAACGGCCCAAGGACAAAGACGCTGCCAAATGGATGCTACAACCCCCACCTCCCGCGAAAATCATGGAAGGCAAAGTGCCAGTCAGCCGGAGCACCAGCTTGGCAAGTCAGGCCAGTAGGCGGACTATGGCTAGCAAGGCAAGCAAGACTAGTAATGCGCCTCCACTGGGCAGAAAGGTTCAGGAGAAAATGATCGACGCCAAACTGCGCAACGGGGAGGCGCCCGACCAGGCTGAGCTCGCCGCTTCGGTACGACGGTCAAATCAGAGAAGGAGCACAGCATCAAGTCGAGGCGGCATAAGCCAGCGCACCACCAGGAGCCGAAGTCTCTCGCAGGATTCTTCCGATGCATCAGATGAACCAAAGAAGCAGCGGAGAAAGCCTCGTGCCAGGGCACATATTACGCCCAATTATGACTCGTCAGAAGATGAGGACTACTTGCGCGGAAGTATAGATTCCCTTGGCGTAACGACCCGCGCGGCGAAACGCCCGAACTTGCCAACCATCAAGAGCTCACAAATAGGTCACGCAAGTGATAAGCCAGCGGGACAGATGTCCCTGGGAGCACCGGAGAGCCTGACTCCTCAACCTTCTCCTTTGAGAGATATATTGAACAGTCCACACTCAAAGGGTGAGACGCCGCCAGTTACCAAACAGGAGCCTACAGAACTACCCAGCAAGCCGACATTTCTGGAACCAGTACAAGCTGCGTAGGAAGCTCTTGACAAACGACTTGTGATGTCAGATAGCTCAATCACTCAAATCCGCGAGAAAACTCTGGCAAGTGACGGAAAGAGAAGGTCAACTGTGCCTGACGAGATAAAAGAAAAAACTCAATGGCAGTGCACGATGCACCGCCCTCGTTAGTATTATTTTTTGCGTCGTCCTGGACGTTATTTACATGGGTTCACTGGGTTACTACAAAATGCATTAGGAAGGCATGGCGCATAGGTGAATTTATGGGACGGTATAACTTAGCATCAGCATTGAGCACTTTTGATTTCCCAGCATTCATGGACACAGCAGGCCCTCAAATTTGAATCATATCATGCGCGGAAATATCGCTTTGTTTATAAATAAACTGTGTCCAAGAAAACCTTCGCATCCCAGGCATGTGGTGATAGAATGGGATCATTCTGAGCTTGGTACTTCATGATCAGCTTGTATTGACTTTCTTTAGTAGCGGTTAGGAACAAGCACGGTATCACTACCATACCAGCATTCCCTAGCAGACGTATCGGCGATAGCGGTACTGGTAGAATAATGTTATTCAGCCAGATGTTTGGTGACGCCTCGCTTGGCAGTCATAAGGTCGTGGAGTCCAGAACTACTTAAACTTGTCATGCTCAAGAAATTACAGCGCACCAGATCCTGTCTGATACAAATATATTACTTCTGGGTATCATCCAAACCGTGTATAGTGAGACGCGGCTTCCTATGGCTTCCTTCTGGATGTATACTTCCTTCATACTCAGCTCGTCGTCATCCTCCTTCAAGCGACAGTACGACTCTAATAGCCCGTTTCAGCTACGCCGATGGAAAGCATCAGCCCGGCTATACATAAAACCCCAGCATATGACTGCCTTGAGCCCTTCGACGGCGCCGGGCAGTGTGCTTGAGTAGCAACTGCACGGCCCTTTTTCTTACAAGCGATCTCGGCTCTCCGTGCGTTCAAGCCTTACCTTAGTTATTCATAAGCTTTTTCTAATGCCCCTTTATCTTCAACGTACGTTTTAATGGCAGAAACACACGATGCAGGACACACGATGCAGGACACACGAAAAAAAAGGGTAACTGCAACATATCTTCGATGTGCTGAGACAGCCTGAGCCTACCGAGTGATCGCGTTCGTACCTTTTATGGCCTCTTTAACTGTGAACTTGCGCATTTGGTACTAAGTCTTGTTTGCAATATTGATAGTGAGGTTGGGATAGAAATGTATAAATTGTTGGAAAAAATTTCCCGGAAGAATTAGATAAACGAGCACTAGTGAAAATTCTGTCTGCTTCAAATGTCTGGTGGCTGTATTTGTTTGGGTCATTATAGATAGTATAAAAATATTTAACACATAATAACCGACTCACGGATCAGGTTTGAGAACCGTGGTCAATCATTAGAATGGGCCATGCTACAGGTATTTGACTAAATCTTGTCATTCTTATCATAAGTATATATATATGTTCATTTCGACTTTGTCTGCCCACTCGCCAGAGGCAATGGAAGTTGAAAGCATATAAGTCCCTAGTAGCCAAAATCATCTCTCTTAATGAAATCTCATTTTAATCTTAATCGTAAAATGTGATAAACTGTTTCTTCATGAAGCCACTCATGTCGTCAAATTATCTATAATAAATCATCATGATTCTCCCGATGGGCGGCGTGTTTTGATTCAGCAGCCTAGTCATCGATATGTATCAGACATGCCCCGTCTATAATTATTATGAAATATTTACATGGTCATATACGCCCAGAATCGACCCGTTACGACTTTTTGATCCCTTAGTCACCTGGCCGCACCGCCTAGACTAATTCAAATCAGGGAGGGAAGCCTCTCCATAGAGACATCTTTAGGCACTTCCTACTCGCTCCTGTATGAACCGTCCTTCACCAAAGCACTCGTGTTCCGCCTCATGATCATAATCCAGGATTTTCGTAACTTTGATCATTCTTTCTCTTAAGCTGGGGATATTCCGGTGCAGACGTAAGATGGGGCAAAACACAAAACACGTCTGGTATGTCGTGATGAAAGACTAAAACCAGTCTCAGCACTCTGAGGGGTTGGAACCAAGTCATCCAATAGAGAGATTACTTCCTGAACAGTTTTGTTTTTACCTTGCCTCCACGATGTATTGACTGGGTGAAGTTTGATAGAGACCGCCTTTGAGCCTCTTCGGCGGTTCTTTCCCAGCCAACCTTCCTTGATTCGCCCGCAAGTCATCAAGAAAGCTGAAGGCATACAGAGAGGCAATTCTGCGGTGCTTGTCGATGATAATTTAACAAGACAAAGCATCCAAGCGAACTGCTTTCTGAGAATGTGCAGCGCGCTGAACCTTGCCTGCGGACTCGTTACGGGATGACAACCCTCGGTTGTATTTTTTTAATACCGAATATTGAGAAAGAATATTGAAAATGGTCATAAACGAGAAATGACTTCCTGTCCCAGTTTGCAAATTCTATGGAAATACTTTCGGTGGTGGGTGACGTATCGAGGCTTCTAGCTCGACGATGTCAGCAGTTAAATTCTGCGTAGGAAGATTTACAAATGCAACAGGACCCAGTACATCGGTCAAGTGTATATAAGCACAAATGGAAGTAATGTTGACAGTAGACTGTTCTAAGAGTTTTTGACAAAAGTAGTAATTGTTTACAGTTGCGATCTCTCATACTACATGGCCGGAGCAGTTGAACTTATCACATCATAAACAGAGAAGGCAACAGCTTTCGTAGACGCAATTCAAGGTTTGTGAAATGTCAAGAACTAGCAGCAGGGACAGAGCGAATATTTTTCATCTGTTTCAACTTTTTTTTTTATGTTTCAACTCATGTTCATACATCTGGTGGAATATGTATCTATGCTAATATGTACATTCATTTGACTGTTTCCAACCACTTCTTTTTAGTACGCTTCTGTTGCACGGGGATGTGGAATAGCTTCACCCTCAAATTCCTCTTCCATGTGTGCCTATTAGTCACTTATGCGCTGAAGTTCTTGGCCTCACGCTTGGTTGTCGAGTTGGATGCAGAAGCACCGGCCATCTGGATGGCAATGACACCGCCGAAGGGACCGGCGTTGTTGCTGTTGGCAATCTTGACCAAGCAGACGTTTTCTTGTCCAGCCATTGATCCTTGGCAGGTAGTGCCGGCAGGAACGCTGAAAGCCATAGGCTGCTGTAGTGTTAGCCGGAGTCCGGACACGTAATAAAATCGATTTAGTGGGAACTCACGTAATCCTCATTGACGTTAGAAGCACGCTTCATGATCATGTCCATTCCACGAGTCCAGAGACTTCTCTTGGAAGGCTTGATGTTTCCGCCCTTGCCAGGCACTTGTGTGGTGACGTCGAGCATGGTGCCGGTGGAGAAAGCGCCAGTTCCAGTAGGGTCCAGCACAGCCTTGATAGGACCAGCGCCGTCAGTGGTGACGATGTGGTAGGTACCGGAGATGCTACCGCCGGTTGATGAGACTTGAGGCAAAGTGTCTCCAGACTGGGCCATGGCCATCTTGACCATAGCAACAGTGTTCTTGCCGTTGCCGTTGGTCTTGCCGAGACCGTCGGTCTGGATGTCGGTCTTGCCGAAGACGGTAGTGTCGACCTCGGTTACCTTGTTCTTTCCAGGTCCGGGAACAACGCCACCCATTATTCCAATGCCAGTGCCGTTGCCGCCAGCGTCACCAGACTATTATAGCATGTCAGATATTTGACTAGAAAAGGGCGTTATGTGTAAAGACTTACGACGACTGCGATCTTGCCATGGGCGGCGACCAGGGGAGAAGCTGCCAGAGCCAAGAGAAGTGCGTTGGTGTACATGATGGAGGTGATTTAATGTATGAGATTGAGTTCAAGTTATGTGATAGTGGATTATGCTACGAATCAATCGTATAAAAATATGTATAAGAAGTGAAGGAGCTACGAATCGATCGCAAGCCCGAGAGGATAGATTAGAAGAAAGGAGAAGAATGGAAGACTACTGAGATGATACTGATACTGAGAGAAGCAAAAGGGAATATGAGTTGGCAACCATCGTTTCTTATATAGTCAATGTCTTCAATGTTCAATTGGTGAAAGATTACCACTGCCGGCTTTGCTAACAATTTACCGGAGCATCTATCGCAGCTGGCCTCCACCAATATCCATAGATCTATTGCACTAGTGTCGAGGAGTTTTGAGCCATGATGGGTAGTAGCGCATCGGTCAGACGTCTGAGGTGAACATAGACATGGTGAAGTTTTGTTGCTTTGATACTCATCTACAGCTTCGGACGACACACTTGGCTCACCGGCATCCCGTACAGACCTCCCTCCAGGATGCCTATTGGTCGGACATGAACATGAAGATGCTGCAGGTCTCCAAGGCTAACCAATCATAGGGATGGTCTGAACTCCCGTGATGAGTCGCGGGTGGAATGAGCTGAGGCGAGTTTTGTTTCTGACTAGGACCGGGGGGCCCACAAGATCACCCATAACCTTACTACGATCACCTCGATTAGGATGGTTTCCACTCGCTCGGTACGACATTCTTGTGTTCAAGCGCAGACATGCCGGCGACAGATCGTGAATAGTCATTGCCAAGCTTTCAAGAGTGGAGTGAGATGGTCGGATTTCCAAGGCGGACAGTTGCTTGTCTTCTTCGATTGTGGACTCGAATTGTGTGCTTTGTAATCGGTGGTACTTGGAAGAAGGGCAGAAGGGTGAATAGCGGGTAACTTTGCCCTTCAATCACAGGGGCATCACTTACTCCCGTCGCGTGACTATTGAGACCAGTGGTATAGTCACTCGATGATTCCATGAGACACAGGCATGCTCGCATGTCTACCTTTGAGACCCTCCGAAGTGTTTCGGTGGCTGAGCAGACGACAAGACCAAGCGTGGTGCGTTAACTGCCGCTGTTGTTTGATTGTGAATGAGCCGATGCTGAATGAGTCGTGATACGGACCACTGCCCACTCAGAACTAGTAATTCAGATTTAGTTGATGGGTCTTGGCCATCTGTGCCAGTAGAAAGATGGGATGTATTAGCGCCTTGGTTTCTGATATTTGCATTTGAAGCACAGGAACCCTCTGGCTCGGTTTCGTCTTGGCGGGCCCAGTTTCGCACCCACATTTTCTCGGCAAGCTTCGAAGAACGAACCCCTGCCAGCCCCAAACCCGCCACCGTACAAGTATACTGTAAAGAGAGAGGACTGCAAGGCTGGTATTTGGGCGTTCCGAGATGGACACAAACATGAAACTAGAGACATGGCCAAAGCACGACGGGGCCAGTCCAGACACCACAAACCGGGCCAAGCGAGATTGCTATCTCTGAGATCTGGGCGATTTTGCCGATCTGCCGTCCTATCCTTACCCTCAGATCTCAGCAATGTCTCGACGTTGGACACGTAGCCGAGGGCTTCAGCCTCCACATGTCCTGGGAAGTGCTGTTCTGATGGTGTATCGTTCGGTAGTAAGGGCTGGACAAAGTTGTCATCTCCACGGTGAAGAAGGGCGCTGAGGAAGGCCAGGTGACAAGAAGACACAGCTAACCTAGTCTAGATCAGAGTTGTGGCGGCATGCTTTGCTTCCACAGACAAACAAACGCAGGGTCTATACAGTGCTTACATAAAAGAGTCGTTGAATAAGCTTGAATTTAAAGCCATGGAATTGCAGGGTTTGGGACCACCTGGGGGAGCTGCAATGCTACGACCGGAGCGCTAACAGAATGAGGCTCAACAGAGCAAAGCAAAGGGACTATTCCCGAAGCTTGTACGTTAGGTGACAAGGCAGCCAAGCGCGCCCGCCCCACGTCAGAAGAGCTTCCCCCCGCAAATCGATCTGCCAAACCACCGAGCCATGGACACGAAGAAACATGGACATGGACATGGACATGGGACAGCAACAAAGCAGCAACCTGAAGCTCTCACCACCAAGTCACATCGCTTTTAGATAGCTCCATGCGCCAACAGGCAAACAGTATTGCAGAAAACTCTCCTAACAATTCCGAGAGCTCTGAAGTCACGCCGCCATGGCATCGAAACAGGTCACAGATGCCATAGCGACGGCGCAGTCGTCGCCCGAGCCAGCCGCAGCCTTCGATTCACTTCTCAAGAGCTTGAAAGACACGTCGTCCCCGACAACAATCTCGCCCGACTTTCGAGCGATACTCGATGCACTATTCAGCGGCTCCATCTCCATCGTGGCTTTACGACAGCTGGTGACGAGTTTTGTCGCTGCTCTGAAGGACTTCAAGAACGCCGAGCTATGGATCGACGTCGGTAAATACACGCTTGACGTCCTTGCTGCACAGCAATCTACATTCCACGACCAAGCAGCCGAGATCAGACTTCTCATCGCCGACGGCCATGAGAGCAATGAAGACAACCTCGAGGCCGCCAAGGCTCTGGCCGAGATCCCCCTCGATAGCGCTCAGAGGAAAGTCACCAACGAAGACCGCGCTCGCATCTGGGTAAGGATTGTGCGAAACTACCTCGAGGTAGACGACACCACATCGGCCGAATCATACCTCAACAAGCTCAAGAACATCATCTACACAGTCAGCGATCCTTCGCTAAATCTACACTTTAAACTGTCCCAGGCCCGTATCCAGGATGCCAACCGCTCATTCCTTTCAGCTTGTCAGGCATACCAAGATATTAGCCTCTCCACTGCCATCTCCGAGGAAGAGCGCTTGCTCACACTGAGTATGGCTATCAAGTGTGCCATTCTTGCCCCGGCCGGTCCCCTGCGAAGCCGTGCATTAGGCAGACTGTTCAAGGACGAGCGATCAGCAAGCCTGGAAGAGTTTGGTATTCTCGAGAAGATGTTCTTTGATCGACTGCTGGCTCCCGCCGAGGTCGACAAGTTCGCTCAGAGTCTGGCGCCACACCAACTTGCGACAACATCCGACGGCTCTACCGTCCTGGCCAAGGCTGTGGTAGAGCACAACCTGCTGGGCATTTCACGCCTCTACAGCAATATCGGCTTCGACGCTCTCGGCGTCCTCCTCGGCCTTTCGTCGGAGAAGGCCGAGGACACCACAGCCAAGATGATCGAGCAAGGTCGACTCGTCGGCAGGATTGATCAAATCGAGGAGATCATCTGGTTTGAGGGAGGCGAGGCCTCGGGCGAGAAAGGCAGCGGTAGAGCAGAGGTGACTGTTGGTAAAGAAATGCGCAGATGGGACTCCAATGTGCAGGGTTTGGCCGAGGAGGTCGAGAACATTACCAATGCTTTGCAAAACCAGTTCCCAGATTTTGTTGTTGCGAACTTGGTGGTTTGAGTCTCGGCACCAGTATTATGAATGACGATTGGCATGGCGTTCACGGTTGCACATGGCATAGAGAGCATAAAGCTCGATGGAGTTAGTTCATACTTGATCAACTACATCAATTCCACAAGAATCGCCCTTGGTATAGAACTAGGTTAGAGACCAGAAGCAGAGGCAATACATGGCCGCACTTTGCTTTTGCGTGCATTCCGCACGAAAGCGGTACATTCAATCGAGGTCTTTCTTCCGAACGACTATCCAGCCTTGACTCAGCAGTTTTGGGTTGCCCATCTCTTCCTCAAATATCATCTCCTCGATCAATTTCCTCTGTCTTGCATCGGTGACTATTGAGCTAATTTCCGTCGACTGTGCCTCTTCCAGACGGATTATCTTGGTAAGACCCTCGGCGACTTTTTCGCCAATAAGATCATAGCCGGCCTCTGTGAAATGTACACCGTCTGGGTCCCAGTACTTCTCCCGGTCCTCTTCAGACATGCTGCGGTATGGTACTGCCTCGTACAGGTCAAATGTGTAACTTTGTTATAGTCAGCATATTATACAGTTGATCGGGTCGGCCGAAGCACCTACAAGTTTGGTTTTTTATATGCCTTGATACCCTCATTAACAGCAGCCCTACTCCGATCGAGATTCTCACTCTGCATCTTGATCTCTGGTATAGTCAAGGCTAGTACTTTGCCGCCTTTCGAAAGTGGTATATCCCATACTTTCTTGAGTGCCTCGAACACCTTGTCTGCCGGATAGCCCCAACCGATATCACTGTATCAGTCATCAGTCATCCGTCTTGCATGTTTCTTGACACAAGCTCCCAGAGCTTGTCCACAAAGGCGTATTTAGGGAAGGGCGAAGAACAGTCATGAAGCACAAGCAGGCTGGACCATGAACTCACTTCGTTCCGCCGAGCACGACCGTCCATTCGAAACCGTCTTTCTTGCCATGTGTCTTCCACATTGACTGCATGCGCTCGATAAACGAACCTTTCACCACCAAATCACCCGGTACCCCGTCAACCTCGACGTGGAGTTGATGCGATGGAAATGCTGCTTCGAGACATACCTCCAACTTGCCCCCATAGGGATGCGATGGTGGATATCCACTCGTTAGGGAGTCGCCTAGACAGAGGATCCGGAGTGGGGTCTTTCCTGAGCCCATGGTTCTCAGAAGACGTAGTTGTTTCAGCGTTAGCTGAGCGATATGAAGCAGCACAGATGCGAATGAAGGCATGCACTTGATGAGTACGTGTTAGTCGTGATAATGACAAGTAAGGCGGAGTGTAGTTGCGTCAGGGTCATACAGTAGGCAGGCACAAGGCACGATAAACCCCTGGTGGGGCAGCCAACAGGGGGACCGCGGGGCGATTACGCCGCCCTGTAGCAATGCAAGGCGGGTGCCAAACACGTGAACCCTCAGTCTAACCCAAAGCACAGCCAGGACAGCGAGCCTTCGATCATATAATTGCTTTGGTGACGAGCCCACATTTGAAGGTGATGACATGGGCCATGAGTTGTGGTGTTTACTTTCCACGTGTGTTGCAACCATGCACCAATCCTGGCTTCAACACATTCTACAGCTCTAACCGTTAGTCTAGACTAAATCAAGGAAACAGAGCAGGCCTGGACATGCAAACAACTACTTCAACTGCCGTGGGTTTGGATACTTCCACAACTCGGGGCGCTCTTCCTGTAGTACATAGCGACGCGATGTTCCTCGGTGATTGGGCAATATGCAGGTCCATATCTCATTGGTACACAACTGAGCAGGGGTCTGATGAGCGGGGAATATTGCTGGCAACCGAGGATCTGAACAGATTGATAAGAAGCGAGGACTATCCCATACCGGCCGTTCTTCATCAACAAACGTTGCGCAGTGCCCATCATCCCAGATATCCGGCCACGTAGCCATGGGCTTGGATAGTCTGGTTGCCCTGCTGGGATACGCCAGCCAGCGCCTATACCTGATCCTTTTTGTTATCGCCACCTACTTCGCTGTCGGCCGGGCTCGTCAATACTGGCGCCTGAGACACTTCAAAGGTCCTAGAACGGCTGGTTTCTTATGGTGGTGGCATGCGAAGGCTTGCCTCAGCGGCCAGGCGCATCAACACTACGGGGATGCGAATGAGAAATATGGTATATATGGTGTTGTTTGCTCGGATTCTTTTTTGATACTGACATCCTGGGTCCAGGGCCTATCACTCGAATTGCGCCCAACCATCTGATCACCTCTTCTCCAGATCTTTGGGCCAAAATCAACGGTGCCAGATCCCTTTATCAAAAGGCACCATGGTATTATCATTCGGCACGCTTCGAGCCTGGGAAGGATAATATCTTCACCGAATGTGACTCTGACCACCACGATGATCGGAGAAAGAAAATGGCTGCTGGTGTAAGTCAACCAAGCCACTGCTTGCTCAAATTTGCTGACGACAATGAAGTACTCAGGCAAGCAGAACCCGACCCTGGAACCCTCGATTGACGGCCATGTCAAAGAGCTTGTGGGGCTGGTTAGAAAATATGCTACTCCGGCGGCATCAACAGGTCCTTTAAGACCAATGGATCTGTCCAAGAAGATACCTTTCTTCACTCTTGACGTCATCAGCCACGTTGGTCTCGGTAAACCATTCGGTGACCTCAAGGCTGACGCAGATGTGTTCGACTACCTGAAGTCTACCGAAGAGGGCCTGAGGATTGGCAACACGTCTCTAGCCCTTGGTCTAAACTGGCTTCGCGAACTTCCTGTTATCGGCCCAGCAATCAGTCCCTCCGAGAAAGACGTTTCTGGATTTGGAAAGATGATGGCAGAAGCACGGAAACTTGTTAATGAGCGAATGACTCAATCGATGGATACCAAGTCAGACATGCTGGCGTCTTTTCTCCGCAACGGTGTCAGTGGAGAGGACTTGTTTCAAGAGGCCTTCGAACAGATACTGGCTGGGTCTGACACGACAGCTGCTTCGATCAGAGTCATCTTACTTTACATCATCAGCCATCCGCGGGTGTATGCCAGACTGCAGGCCGAAATTGACGCCGCCGTTGAATCGGGCAAAGCACCTGCCTCGCCGGAAGTCATCTCGGACGCAGCAGCACGTGAATTACCCTACCTTGGTGCTGTTATAAGAGAGGCGATGCGCGTTTATCCGCCAGTGGCCAACCTCTTCTCCAGGATTGTTCCGGATGGCGGTGATGTTGTGACTGTCGATGGGAAAGAATATTTTCTGCCTGGAGGTACAATGGTCGGATACTCGGCATGGGGCATGCATCGCAATAACAAGCTGGTATATGGCGAGGACGCCAAAGTCTTCCGGCCCGAGAGGTGGCTCATAGATGCGAGCACTCCGGAGCAGGAAGAGCAGCTCGCTAGGATGATCAAGACGAATGATATGATCTTTGGCCACGGGCGCTGGGCCTGTCTAGGCAAGGTTATTGCGCTCCTTGAGATCCATAAGAGCATCTTCGAACTGTTCAGGCATTTCGACCTTGCCTTAACAAACCCCCATCAGCCATGGCGTCTGTTCAATACGCTTGGCTTATTGGAGATCCAGGACATGTGGGTCCATGTCACCACGCGGCCATGACTGAACTCGGTGGTGCAAGGCTAGATATACGACACCATGAAGGTCTTCTATATTTGCGACCGATCAACTAAAGAAACGTGACTGTTCATGAGGATGATGGACAAGTGACTACCATTACTCCAGACCAGGTGCTGCTCTGGTGTGGGCGCGAATTCACAGAGTCTTCAAGTCTGCAGTTCGCGCAGGGAGTGTTATCAAACAAAATTTAAGAAGCAGCAAGGTTCGTAGCCTTTGGGGTAGATGCTTTACAAGGCGAAAGAATAAGCTGTAGGTACCACATGGAGTGTCCGAATTACAAAGTAGCCGTTAGACTACAAAAAGCAGACATCCTTCCCCGAGAAGTAACGAATGTACGTGGGTCTCAGAATACATCCGATATTGTTCCCAAAAGATTTTTCCCTACAATCCTTCATTCTAATGTAGATTGTGAAATATAAAATCATTCGCCATTCACTAACGACTTTTGGGATCCTGATGTACAAACGATCAATTCGTCCCCCCGATCAGCTCCATGGATGGGTTTAATCTAATCACACAAGCGGCGTAAGAACGTCTGCAGTAGCTGCTATAGTACGGGATATTGAAGGAAATAGCAAAGAGATAGCAAAGGCATGAAAGTGCTTTCGAATTTTTAAAATCAACTGTGCACGTGATTTCTCCACGGCCAGATACCTGCGAGCCAAGCCATGATAGCTGGGATAATCTTTCTTAGTAGCTGATAAGTGAATGCCCCAACTAATATTAGTCTTGAAGATATTGCGCGGAGAGGCAAAGGCTGTCTAGATCGTGGGTTTTGATAGGATATGATCGCCACACAGGATGCTCGTTCGTGTCGATCAGATTCAATGCCTAATTATGCTTGTATATTGTCGTGTAGCCATTCTGGCGATGTACCTGATTCGAGCTCACTTCCATGCAAGGCCTACTGTATTAATCCAAATACTAAACATCTGGCTAGGATCCCCAAGAATCGAAGAAAACAGTGTCTCACCCCTAAGAACGTCCAACGTTACTTTCGAAACTGCAGAGGACCTTGCAGGAAGTTAAGATACAAACACTCCATCGTGATTAGAACCACACTCCTCATTCTCCTCAGACAAGTCCGATCTATCATGTCTCGAGAATTTGCATCGCGACATTCGCCCGGCAGTCATGAGCAGCATCACTGTGCTGTTGCATTGTCTCCAGAATTAGTTAAATACGACATTCCGCTGCGCATGACGGGAAATCCTGTGATATTTCCCGCATCATACCAGTTACCCCTTCTAAATACAATGTTACAATCACCTGATCCCTGTCCGAAATTCATATCTCCTTTGCAGGCAACGTCTGACAGCCATATCTACCAGGTTTTCTTTTCTTTCTAACTTTATGATAAATCTTGGGATTCTACTAACTCATTAATGGATGGTTACAGATGGTTGTGGCTGGAGATTTTCATTACGCTCAAGCATTATCACATTAACCCGATCAATTTAGAGGCCCTCGTGTCAGCGATATACCCCAAAGTCTACCACGAAAGCGGACCATCGTCAGGTAGACACTGTCGCTGATATGAATATTGCTTCATCGACTGCCATTGCGACCATAGCTACGAGCGACATTAAGCATGCGTCTCGGATGGATCGTGACGCTCCGACGGGCCCAAAACATGTTAATAACTAGCAGTGTCGAGTAAACTCTCCTATCAAACCCAGACTTCGAGTACAGAGAACCTTACAGGCGTTGCAGTGGGCGAAAGGCGAGTGCCTAAAAGAGTCTCAGACTGGGGGAACTCTGTAGAATTTCATGTGAAAGATCTTCCGTCAGAGAGAAGCTCCAGAAGCGGATCAAAACGTACAGTAGGATTAATCTTTGCTGGATGTATTTCTAATGATCTGATAGCTCTGAGCCGGCTGAACTCACGTCTTCTCAGCCGGGCATAAGAATAACTCAAGCACCAACACCACTATTTCAGCCCAAGGGCTACCACAAGAAGTTGAAGCATTCGTGATGGACCTAATTGGTAGAATAAGTTGGCATATAAATTTTTAATGTCTTGAATTACGGTAGCTGAGATACCCGTCCTAGCTAGATGACGGTTTTTTACGCCTCGAGTTGCAGATGGCAATACGAAAAGTCTAAGTATCTGACATCTCTATGGCTCGCGAGGAGTAAGTGTCATGAGATATCATCTGCCCGACAAAATCTGGACCCGCATTGTTGCAGTATAATAGGTCCGCCTTGGGTGTCGCTGAAACGAAAACAGTCGAAGTACCTCAGCCAATCTTACGATATAAGAGTTGGTTTTAGCGAGGCAACGTAGCATAAACCTTGGTAGATGTGGCAGGTTGTGATAGCCAAGCGCCACCAAGCTACTTCGTGTAGGCAGTCGTATTCACCGGTATCGGAACTATAGCGACCCGGTGAGAATAGGAGCCCGAAAAGCCCTCTATGTCTCATCGTTGTAGCAAATGATGTAAGCATATTCCTTGGCTAGTCCGATTAATTCTGTACAGAGTAATGCTGCGTATCATTCATTCAGTTCTTGGCCTCCTGATAGTGGCCCAATAGCAGGTCACAGAAAGCCTTTTTGCTTTTGACGTACAGAATGTGGAGGTTGAACCTTGCGGAAAATCGAACAGGGTTCGACATGGGAAAAGATTGCGGACGTAACATGATATAAGACATCGTACCACTCTGACTTTGCAAACCATGATATTAAATTCCCATGCTCAGTCTGTATGAGATTTTGAATGCCATAGTCGGGCTACCGCCAGTGTGCTTAGGATACTTTGCTGGGTATTAATGGTTATGCCCGGGAACTCCAAGTGTGTGCAGTTGCAAGAAGGACCAAAGCACGTACTCAACGTCCTAGGGACGAAAACCCTCAAACGAGAAATATCGTTTACAGAAAAAGCATGTGTGTCGGTCATCATATAGTGCTTTCCAGATTCAGCATGTTGTCTGGTGGCACGACGTCACAGATGTATGCAAATGGCACATCTACGCGCCCGCATACTGCATTTCTCCACGATCCTAAGTCCCATTCGATGTTCGTTGATGTGGCGCATCTATTACATCGTTAGCGAAACCTTATTCAACATGGCATTCTTCAATCGAAATGGCACACGCATGTCTCGGTACCTGGAAAGCAAAAAGAAAAAGAAAAGAAAAAAAGTACCTTGTACCGATGACTCTCAGACTCTTAATTCATCCTCGTGTGCAAGTCATGTCTAAAACTGCGATGAAGCATTGCATTCGAGGACTTAATATAACCTGGTAGAGGGATATTGACTACATGTTGTCGTTTCTATCCTCGCGCAAGTGGTTATCAAGTATGATCTCGGACGCGAGAGCCGATTGTCTTCTACAGTGGAGAAACCTACAAGGGCCGTTTATGCAATTGACCTTGATTTTTTTTCCTTTTTTTGACCCGGTGAAAAAAAACCTCAGCCGCGTGGAAATAAAGGATCATATGTACGCCAAGTCTCCCCCGGGACCTAGCTGAGCTTATAGTATGACACTAATGCATGGTAACCTCATAGACGTAAGGAGTTGAGCTTGGACGACCAATCCACGGGTCCAAATGACTTGGGGACATGCGGGAAAGTTCAGAATAGCATTAAAATGAAGCGCAATTCGTCCAGTCAATTGTCGATGGCTGCATAGACCAACAAACCCAAAGGGAAAGAGGCAAACGGACGCCAGGCAACGTTGCGGTCTCAGACGTTGGGATTTGCGGAATAATAACATGTCGACTACCCCACTTCATCATTCCAAACCGCTACTATTCCATTTACTACTATTCATGTCACCCGGTGGTGTCATGATGGGCTGGCAGACAGGTCGACGTTGGTCACATGAGAACCAACAAAGAATCACTAACAGTACGCACACGACAACGACCAATTTGCACACGAGATTTTGACGAAGACGATTCGACTCGCCAGAGGCCGGTGGGCCTGATACATTGCCCACTATGGGCGAAAGAGGCTTCCTCATACCACCATGGTACGTCAGTGAAAGCCCAGATACAACCATTATGATGATATGCAGCATCATATGGGGCTTCTCTTTATGCTGCGCGGCCTTCACCGCCACGAAAGCAGTGAAACAATCGTGGCTTGGATTCCAAAGAGGCAAGCCCGTGTCAGCCTATACGATCATGATTTGGGCGGAATGGTCTGCAAGCGTTACGATCTCGGTCATCAGCTGGCTATTCCTCAAAGGAACGTTAGCACCCAGGTATGTACTCGACCTACACCATACCATCGCATTCTAGTATTGACTTTCTCGAGTTTCGAACTGTTTTTCGTGATCTGTAAGTATTATGTGCTGCTACCAACCCAGCGATTTGCCACTGACATTGGTTCCCACAGTGTGCCTTTGGACCGTGCAAATGCAGTGTATATTGCAAATCATTATCAATCGAGTCTCACTTGTCATGGTCAACAGATCCCTGGCTAAGAACCTACGACTAGGAGTTTTCCTAATCGTGCTCGCAATTAATATCAGCGTCTTTTGCATTTGGATTCCCGCACGTCTTCAAATTAGCAACACATATGTACGCGCGAACGACATATGGGATCGTACAGAAAAGGCTATATTCGCAATGGTCGACGTCGCCTTGAACTGCTTCTTTATTTGGACGGTACGGACAAATCTGATCAATGCAGGGCTGGCAAAGTACAAACCACTGTACCAGTTCAACATATTGATGGTCTGTGTCTCCGTATCTTTGGATGTATGTTACGCCTCTGTTGTCTCCCTCGTTTTCCCATGCTAACTTCCTAGATCCTCCTAATTGGATCTATGTCTATAGGTACCGGTGTCATGTAAGCCCTCCGCCTTGTTGTTATATATCGTATACTCACACCTCATACAGCTACATCCAATTCCATCCCCTAGTGTATCTTATCAAGCTCCACATCGAACTCAACATGGCGGAATTGATTGCGAAGATCGTTCGCGCCACGAACCCGATGAACACAACAGAAGAGGACGGGACTCAGTGTCCGAGAGAACCTGACGTCAGTGAACCACCCGAATCAGACCGTCAACCTGGACGTCATCGCGATTCGGGATTTGCATCAACGCTCCAGAGCAAGGAGATGGACTTGGGCGAGCAGGAAATGCGAAGTATCAGTGTACAATATCACAGAGCGCTTCAACCGGATCTGCGCCCTTATAGATCGACTGATACTGGCACGACACTTCATGATCACGATATTGATTTAGAGCGAGGCGATGTTAGATGGAGCCGCACAGCGTCCGCCAGCGAATTGCGGCAGAAATTACCCTCCATTCCAGGTTCATGAGGTTTGCGTAGGAGTTGGGGTGTTTTGACAAAAAGATACCAGCTAGGTTCTAGCCATTAGCCTGTTTTCATGGATTAGTACTGCTCTGGGGACAAGATTGACCCATTCATATAACATAAAGTCGTCTTTGTCTCCCTGCGGTATAGCTACCTTGCAATGCTGACACATCAGCTAATCACTGATTACAATTACACCTGTGATCACAACCCGATTCATTCCGTGTTCCTCCCCAATTGAAACCTCGACCTTGTGAATATCTCCAGATCTGGGCAAAAATAACTGCCATCCAACATATATACAACGTTTACTGCTTTAATCTCTCTGAGACCGGCTTATATGCATTCCGACCTTGTGGCTTCATTGACTTAGTATGACCTCCTTAAAATACCCCCATCCTCACTAAGTAACCCTCTATTAGAAAGAAACTGATTGAATCATCGTGCTTTTGTATCCTGCCGCCTAACCACATGAAATTGTTTGGTAAGGTAGAAGGTTCTGCGTAAATACTTCGGAAATGCCCATATCTCCTGAAAAAACGATTGGAGAAATGAAATATGGCATGTAAGTTCTCGCAAAGTTTTAGGTGGGTATATATCTCTCCCAAGTGGCTACAAGGATCCTAGTACTGTGCGTTGTTGAGAAAGTGTTACTCTCGTTCACATCCTTATCCTCCGCAAACTTTTTGGAGGGGGGGGTATTTAGCAGTCGCATAACGTCACCTTTTTCAGGCCAGTAGTTGTGTAAGTGTTTTTTGCAATGGAGGTACCCTGAAGGCGTAACCCCAATTGCAAGCAGCAATGGCACCATGAGCGATGCTACAGGCAGTAAATGCTCTCCTGTGGTAATAAGGTAGAAGTAGCTTCGTCTTGGCTAAGCATGAGTTCAACGCTGTCAATATCTCAATGATACCATATTCGACAACACAGGATATGCTTTCAAAGGTCAAAACTGTTTGAATGTAGTAGGGTCAAGTCGTCAGGTTCCAAAATCAACTCCAGAGCCCAAGTATGAAGCACGCACTATTACTCGGTGCACCAGGCTACACATAGTAATGTAGGTTAGGAGAGTTGAAGTGATAATACTGTAGGAAGCATCACGGCGTTGTTGGAGCGTCTGATAAATTATCAAGGGTACTGCAAATATCACTGATTGGCAGCATACACTGTAGACTGGAAAACCGTACAGAGTACTGGACCGCGCGTTTCGTCGTGGCACCAAGATAGATGTTGGTTCCCTCGGCACATTAATACATGACTGTAGTTGACACAGAACCCGGTGGCAACACCTAGTCGCTCACTCACAACTGGAATGGGGGAAGGCTGGAACGGACGGCAGTGAGGGGGAATGGCTGGCCTAGATCACGGTCTTGGCCTTGGTCTTATGTAGTGCGCTGTGACGCCCCCCGAGATGAAAGTAGACTATCGTGTTGTAGTGCTCGATCGTGATATGCGAAGCGCTGGAGATGTTGCGATCTTGAGATTGGAGTTTCAGGCTAACAGGGCTTCATGTCGTCACCCAAGATGGTGGATGGTGGAGGGTGGAGGGTGGCGTCTCCCCGTCATCAAGTAACTGTGTAGCGGGGAGCATCTGGTCCGTCCAAAAGGGAAATAAGAAACCCAATCAGACCGCCGCAACTCAATCCTGGACGATATGATTTTATCTTTTATTTACTACCACTTAATACAACCAAATCGTAATTTATTAGCACCAGCAAACGATCTCCTCTTGATGACAACGACCCAGAAGTTTTATCACAGCCAAGAGAAGGTGCGATATTCCCCGAGCACAGCAAACTCTCCACCGTCCACGGCTCCATCTCCCTCTCCCTCGCGGCGTCACGTGATTGGCAGCGGAGGAACTGAAGGGAGAATCAGGAAAATCCATCGACGCTAGGCCAGTACCCGTCGAACGTTTCGCATAACCGAAAGACCTCATAAAAAGCTCCTCACCCTCATCATCACCAACCTCGCCCTCCCCCCGTCAATTGAGCATCTCCACACATCGGACAAAATGCTCGTTCAACTCAGGGCTTCGGTACGTCAAACACCCACACCCGTCATGCAGTAAAACACCCCCGGCTAATCACAATGCCCTGTCTACAGACCGCTCGCTCGGCCGCTTCGGCCATCACTCGCGTTGCCAGAGTGAACGCCGTCAGAGGATTCATCGCCCCGACTGTCTCGCGACGAGGTACGTACAAATCAAATTTCCAATCGAATCTCGAGTCTGCACGCCAATTGCCACGGCTGGGCTTGGTTTGAAAGGCTCAGATAAGGAGCTCGAAAGGAGGTGGAGCACCCGGACGCAAGCGGCCTCAAATAAATCACCTCAACTCATCAACAAGACCGCAACAAAGAGACAACGCGGCCGACACGTGCTGCTGCTTCATCCGACAATGGCCCAAGGGGTCTGGGATTCCCATTTCGACTTGATTGTGACCTCGGACGCAGGCTAACCACAAAACTCTTTACAGCCGACTTCGTCCAGGAGCTTTACCTCAAGGAGCTCAAGGCCTACAAGCCCACTCCCATCAAGGAGTCTGACTCCGTTGGTCAGGTCCAGACCTTCTCTGCTCCCAAAACTCCCAAGTCTCCCGAGGAGGCCGACCTTGCCAGCAGCTTGAAGGAGTACGAGAGCATGGCCGTCGAGGTTGAGGGTCAGGAGGCCGTTGCCCCTGGCGCCGCCGCCCCCGTTGTTGAGGACTGGCTGGTCGAGGAGGAGGAGGACGAGCCCGCGCATCACTAAGCGACTAAATTCGATGTTCCATCTGACAACTACAAAACCACCGCCCGAGACGAGCGAATATTATGGTGGTGGAGGGGCCAAGTGACCATGGTCACTGTCGCCAAGGACGTTGATCAAGGCAAACGGGGACGTACAGAGGAAGAAAAGCTGTAATCCGTGTACATTTACTCTAGGATTGTCTTCACGAATCACGAAGATCCTGGTTCTGATTTATTACTTTTGCTCATCTTGCAAAACATGTCTGGCAACGAATTAGCGACTGGCCCTGCTTCATGAGGAGTAGCTATGTACACTGTGCACCCAACGATTCATTGTCCGTTATTGCTGGGGTTCAATTCTTTTACATGCTAGTGCACTGATCTTTACTATCTAGGTCTTGTTTTGGTTGCATTGCACCCATTCACCGGCACGAGCAACGCTCTTGTGTCAAGAGTAAACCCTCCAGCCGCGGCCACTAGGTTCCATACATAAATCAGCTCTAGATTCTGAAGAGCCTTGGTCGGGGATCTGGACACCGAGAAAGACAAGGATGACCCAGACTGCTGGCAGACTGAACAAGCCGCCAAATGCACTACACTCGTTCGTGGACAAGGTTCAAGAACACTAGGGAGAGAACAGAGAACCCCTAAAATCCTAGATGATGTGGATCGGCGGCGAGATAAAAGGATAATATGAGCTGGTGTATCCCAGAGGAGGGAACACCGAGACTTGATTCTTTAGTATGAATAGCAGAGCGCCAAGGCTGGAGAACGCAGCAATTCAGGCATCACTCCTCAGGGCCTCTGGACCGATGCAACAAGGCTAAACATATACCTCCATGAGGCAGGGTGCAGAGTACGAACACAAAGTGCATAACAATCTCTTCCGGCCATCGGACGGACGCGATTGAGATGCAGCTCCGATTTCCTATCTTCTGGTTGCATGCTTAGCCTAAGGTATTCTGTCCAAACTACGAGCCCGCCGTACCCCTGCTGACTGCTCGGCAACATGCAAGCATACTTGTTCTGCGTGTCTTACAGACCTACTGCAAATGTAAATCGAGGAGTAACTATGCACTGAGTGGTACCCTACCTAGTCAACTCACCAATTGCCCAGCGCAGACCCAACCACACAAGTACAATACCCGTCTGTGGTTAAGGTCAGAGGAAGTCAACCAAATTTCGGGGTCAAGACGGGGTACATATATATATATATACAACCACCAGCAGACGCCTAGGATGGCGACAACAGATACTCCTCCAGAGAAGCATATCAAACGACAGATTGGGGCCAGCTGGTGTTCTCTTTCAAAAAAAGAAAAATAAAATAAAAAAAGAACCTACCTTTATATTTATATTCTTCATGTCTTGCTTTCGAGCCCTGGCTAATTCCGAGACTTTGGTGCTAACCCGCCAGAGATTCGCCTCCTCTTCCTCCTCTTGCTTCCGTTTCCCCCTCGCGTGTGTGTGACGACCGACCCGAGCCACTTTCAATGAAGTACTACGATCGTTACCAGCCAGAGGCGCTGTATGGATATGATGCATCTTATCCTCATCTCTGATTCGTCTTGGGCTTGTGTTTTTTTGGGGTGGGGGTTTCTTTTTTTGCAAAGTCCGGGTCCACATTTGCCAAACATCTGCGGCGGTGGGTTCAGTCCACTGCATCTGCAGTGCTCCGGAGTCAAGCCCCTTGGGGGGGAGGGGGGAGGGTGGGCTCTGGAACACAATGTAATAGCACGGAGTGACACAACGCAGAGCGGCGAGAGATAGCGCAGAGCGGGCACCGTGGCCGGTGCGAACTCGCTCCATTTGCCTACACAATACCAGGATCTTCACGGTGGCTGCAGACGTAGATACATCACAGCACATTTCCTAGATGGCGCAAGCCGAGACGTCCAAAGCTCACCATAGGAGGTTACGCATGGACGACGGAAGTTAGTACATGTTAAGTACTCACGGCCTTCAGTCCTATCCTGTCGTGTGGAATTTTCCTGATACTTCTACCAAGCTGTGGCTCAGAGGACGAGAAGAACGTGGGAATGCAAGTCAGGCGGCACGGAATAAATTGTTTGTTCAGCACGTTGTGAACTATGATGAGGAAAATGATGGAACCCACCTGTTTTACCGCAGTACTGGTGATAGCAAAGTGACAGATAGCACGGTACTATGGGCAATGAGGCAGTAGATATAAGTCTTGGACAAAATGCTCAAATATTTTCAATCATTACGAGACATTGACTATCTACTTCTTTAGTATTGAATCGTCTGCTCGAAGCCGTCGACGTCGTAACCAACAACGATTCACGAGTATTTCAACTGTGTAGTATCTCATATCCCGCCCGAGTCCATCGCTGCGAAATGGTGATCTGATCCATTTGCAACAAGACACTATGATTCTCGTATCACCGGACTTGCTGGGAGTATGCCTGTATGCTTCCATACTTTTCAAGTGTTTCTGCAACATTGTATCTGTCTCTTGTATGTGCCATGATGCATTCGTTGTCTGCAGAACCGAACGCCTCCCACAACCTCCAATCTTCTGACCAGTGACCATTACCGCCATGCAATCAAAAAAGCCGGCTCATGCAAATAATGCTGTAACTATGTGGAAAATGTTGTGATACACTGCGAGCGAATGCAAGTACCAATGAAAGGTGCAAGACCGACTTTCGACCAGCTCGCATCACATGTCAAAATGCGAGTTGAAAGGCTCCTCGCCCGTTCGAACTATGCCGCTCATTCTGTTGCTCTTACGAAGATCAATGTCGTCAAGTTCATCCCAGTCGTTATCCCGGCGGGTGTCCCGCATCTCCTCATCATCATAACAACGATCAGCCATATGGTCATCCAACGAACTTTCATCGACAAACGTGAAACCTTGGAAGTTGGCTTGCACAGTGGGCGACAGAGGCGTCGCGTTTGAGTTCGCGAATCCCGTCGCGAGTTGCTGAGCTCGCTCGTTCAATGAGCCATTCGTGTTGAGAGCATTTGTAAACTCAGGGTCGAAGTAAGAGACGTCAGTCTCGGACTTCAACTTTGGCTTGAAGGGAGGAGTGATGAGCTTTTTAGACAAAGCATCCCAATCCACGTCGCCAAAGAATGGATGGCGCTTCAGCTCCTCCGCATCATCCACCGCACCCAGACGATGCTTGGGGTTGCGGTTCAGCAATCCCTTTACAAAGTTTCTGCCCTCTTGAGAAAGCGTGTCTCTTGGAAACCTGACTTTTCCAAATGCAATGTTTTTGTACATCTGCTGAGTATCCTCGGCATAAAACGGACTCCAACCACAGCACATTTCGAAGACCAAAACACCCAGTGACCAGAAATCGACCATCTTGGTGTAGCCGGCCTCATCCAGCAATACCTCGGGAGCAAGGTATTCGGTTGTGCCGCAAAATGTGTTTGTGGTATCGTTCTTGGTCAGATTTGCCTTGGACAAACCAAAGTCACACAAGGCAATATGTCCATTGGCATCCAGCAAGATATTCTCCGGCTTGAGGTCACGATAGACAATATCGTTGAAGTGAAGATGCTGTATCGCGAGGATAAGCTCGGCAATGTAGAACTTGGCACGCTTCTCATCGAACCGTCCCTCTTTCTGCAAATGCCAAAAGAGCTCACCGCCAGACATGTAGTCTGTCACCAAGAAGAGATCCTGTGCTGTCTGGAAAGAGAACTTCAACCCAACGATGAAAGGAGACTCGGAAGTAGCGGTCCGAACCAGGATGTTTCTCTCGCCAACAGTGTGTGCAACCTCTTTCTTTTGTACAATGACCTTCTTCGACAGCACTTTCATCGCGTAAATCCGGCCGGTATCCTTCTTGCGAACCTGGTAGACCTGGCCGAATGTACCTTTTCCAATGAGCCGCAGAATCTGAAAGTCATCTGGTCCGTAGTGTCTCTTCTCGTTTCCGTGGTATATAGCTTCAACGTAAATTTCGCCGGTCGGGGTATGCTCGGGGATAGTGTCGGCATTGGCCTTCAACGGGAACCACCCACGCACTGGATCATCGGCCGAAGACTGCTTGGCCAGAAAGTTTACGTGACCGAGGAGTTCATCACGACCATTAAATGCATGATCATAAATAGCAAGGTTCACAAGCATGTTGGACTCAACAACGTCACTATTGATTGTTAGCCACTGCGTACATTGAGCGGATGAATAAACATACAAGACTGCTTCGGCATCCCATCTAGGACAGGTAAATGAACGTCGGTTCTTGTTTCGGAATGACTGAGCACCTGCAAAACTGGTGTTGCTGCTCTGGCGACTTCTCATGGGAATGGCCATCGTGTGGCCAGAGTCGCTTTCTGTTCGCTGGATAGGAATACCGCCAGCTTGTGGCGGGGGAACGTTCAACTCATCATCCTCATCTTCGAAGGTTCTCGGACCCGCGGAGATGAGTTCGCTGCGTTGGAATGTTGCTACAACGTATGGTTCACGGCTTCTGCGCAGATTTCTACCCTCGATAATCTTGATCGTTAATTTTCCCTTGAACGTAGGAGCTTTTGCGCCACCAGTCTGCGCTGAGATCGGGGTCTGTGTACCGCTGGAGATCGAATCCGCGTTGTCGCTGTTTTGTCTTGACGATGTCTTGCTCTGGACTTGTGGAGCTTGCGTGGAAGATAATGCTCGTGTAGGTGTAGGTGGACCGCTCTTTTGCGAACTATCGTTAGCTAGCTTCTTAAGCCGATCAACCGAAGCGGACTTGTGGAAATAACCGCCAGTGATTTCGGATGGGGGTTGCGCAGCTAAAGGAGAACTGGGAGTGGTTGAAGCAGATAGGACGCCGGGATAGGACATTTGCCCAGCAGCACTAGACGCGGTCACGACATTCGTAAGCGGATACGCCAGACCGGTCTGGCTGGCTCTTCGAGAACTGGACTGCGGCATCTCAGAAACGCTCTTCCTATGTTTGAAAGCTTGAGATATGGATGACCGCCGCAACACGTCCACGACCTCAGCGCTCTCGTCGCCCAACTTGACTCCTCTTTCCGACGGTGTCTGCGAACAGGGCGGTGTAGGATAAGGGTTCATTTGAGAGGCTGGCTGCTGAGAAGTGTCTGTGTCTGCCTCAGCCGGGGGCATGATCCTCTCATGAGGCAGGAGAGGCATCCCCTCAGCTGTGGAATCCTGCTCATCAGGACTGGGTAGTCGGCCCGGTGCCATATCTCTTTCCTCCTCTTTCCGAGAAGAGGCAGATTGTACGTTCTTAGGTTCTCGTGCTTGGGCAGAAGACGGTGCGCTGGATTGAAAAAGATTCAGAGACTTGGAACGAACCTGGCCAAAATAGCTCATGATACCGGGAAGCCGTTTATCTGAAAGGTCTGGCTGAGGCGTGGCGACGCCGGACTTTGGAGTGTCAGACCCAATCTGATCCGCCCCCTCGCTATCCGAGGCGCCTTGCCTACTGCGTTCGTTAATACCAGTAGTCATGTTTGCTATTTTGACTCAAATCGATGATCTCCAAGAAAAGGATTGCTGCTGCGCAAGACATGAAATTCGAGTGACGGGTTGGAAAAAAAGGTTCGTGTTGGGTGAGACTGTGAATAGCCTCTAGGAAGCAGATTTTAAGGCGGCTTTCGATAGACAGACACCAAAGTACCACGCATTTCCAAGCAGCAGTGACTCTGTTCCTTGGGCATCACAGTCCGGGTGGTAGTGATGACGCAAAAGGTGGAATGCAACGAGGGAATGTGGGAGGCATGAAAAATTCAAGAGAAGCGTCTGTTGCGACGGTCTTGAGGTAATAAACCAGGGCTCGGAACTTCAGGCCCAAGCCATGTGGTCGAAGGGTTTAGAGTGGGGGCAAAGGGTGAGGGTCGCTTTTCGAGGTGGGGTTCATAGGAGTCCAAGGCAAGCAATTGCTGCAGATATTGATCCTTGTGCGAGCTGTTTTGGGTAGACGCCGAAAGCGAGTCAGGATTTGATCTCTCGACTTTCGATAAGCTGCCATCCAACATAGCCCGGGCCATGTCATCTGTCGCAATACGGAGCAGCTTAGCTGCACAGTTGTGTCATAACTGGCGGTGTTGCTGCGATACGTGGGAGCCAGGAGCAAGGAGCAGGGTGCAGAGTGCAGCGCATATCCCGCTATCATGGTATCGCAATTGCCTTCAGTTGACAGATAGCAGATTGGATACCCAGTGGGAATGCATGTGCTGCCGCCCTGCCGACCAGTGGCTGCTGTCGTGCGCCGTAGTGAGCTGCGGTTCAAGCACTTGCCTGACTCGAGGATAGGTCGGACCCTCTTTTGCGTGAGTGCCCGACATTTGGTCGTGTTAGGGTCGCGCCAACGGACCGCTTGAATCGCTCGGTAGTAACAGCCCACATCCACTATTACCCCTCGCCACGCCCAACACGGAAGACTGGAGTCAGGGTCCAGCACCGACCGCACTGCAATGCACTGCACACCGCAGCACCACGGCTGGCAAGGTTTCGCTCAACTCCGCCGCTGTGAGACTGGCTGCCAGATTGGCCATGGCCCTCGCCTCAACGAGCTTCCTTGAAACTGTTCCAGGTAGGGTAAAGCATGTGTTAAAGTGAAATGAACAACGAAATGAACAATGAAATTGCGATCCAGCAAGGCTCATGTCGAAGCAAGGAGAAGTGGATAAAGTGCATAGCAGCAGCAATTGGAGTTGCAAGGAAGTGAGACGTGATGATGAAAGTGGGTTTTTTTTCTTCCGCTTACCTTGACATCATCGCTTGTGTTGCCCGCCGAAGCAGGTCGTAACTGCCATCCGACCCAGACATTGTTGGTGAGCAGCGAAGGTTGAAAAGATGCTCAATGTCAGGTCGGTTGAGGGTCGAAGGTTAGGTCGGATATGTCACTGGATCAGCTCACGGTGACACGATAAATGTCGATGATGTGAGGTTGATGAACTGTTTTCTCAATACGGCGCTGTGCGTGGGGAATAAACTGTGTTCGGGTTCGGGTCGTGAGGGGATGGATGATGGGCAATAATAGGATTGGGATTTTGGGATGGAGCTGAATATGATGAATGGTTGGAAGGAAGCAAGCGATGGTGCGGGAAAAAAGCGGGTGGGTGGTAGGTTCGCTGCTGAAATGAACCAGATCTTAGTGGCTCCGAGTGGTAGGCGTCGCCGCAGGGCGGGGCCAACTTGTTGTAGTGAGGTAATTCAGACGCGCAGATTGTAATGGATCTTGGTTATTGATACCGAGTTCAGCCGAAAGGAAGAAAGTATCTGGCCAGGATTGACAAAACTCTACAAAGGTTGGAGCCTTGACATTGTGTGCACTAGGTCTTGTTTACATACAGTCTGCGATTATTTGATTGCTTTCTTCCGTCGCTCCGCAAAACCCCGGTCTCCTCGATGGATCTGCTGCTTCCTTTTGAATTGAGACCTGAAGTTTGTTGGTGTTTTTAGCTCGTTGCTGCTGTATGTAGATATATGGGTTGCCTTTAAGGAGTGAGCTCAGTTGTAAGATCTACTTGGTGGGTAATTCCGACCATATGCCTAACCTAGGTATGTACGTATTCCCAGGGGGGGAGGGTTTGGTGACAGCAGTCGCCCGTGTTGCAAGTAATAAATAAGTGGGCTAAATCTATATATGCAAGAGGCGTTCTTGTGCAATGTCCTTATCACAGCTGAACTGTGGCACTCAATGAAATAAAACGAGAAACACAATCCATTTTACACGGCGCGGGAAGTCTGCTGCATACTAATAATAGGAGTTCCATGTCTTGCACTGCATTGCATGTGCAACTGATGGAGAGGTAGAAGGTTCGTCGTGACACTTCAGTATTGGAGAAGTGGATGTGGGGTCGTATCGATAACAATGAACCTTACGTGATTCCTATGCAGTCTGACTTGGATATGCCAGTCTAGAACAACGAAGATCTCTTGGATACTTCCTGGGTTCCTTAAGTCTCTCCCTTGTCCATTGTTGTCCATCCTCCGACTATCAAATCTGGAGTGCCTGTTGCTAGTTTGACATCGTTCACCAAATCAAATCGAGGACCCTGTACTTTACCCAAGCTATCCCTAGCCATTTGTACAAGCAGAACACGGTGCTTATAAGTTAAGGGCCATAGCCCACGAACGCGAGGCGGCAGCAGAAACGTGACATCAGACCCTGTAGCCAGGGCACAGAGCAGCATCACCTAGTCTTGAGATTACAGGACGCAACTTCTTGAGCATCTACGACAACCTCATTCAAGATAAGTTGCACTGGGGACTGGACGGGATAGAATTGGAATATGCATGTGATTGAAGCTCGTGTCAATGTCAGAGGTTCGGCAAGTTAGGGCACCAGAGCGGTCAGCGAAATCCTGGTCGTAAGCATCTAATCCTCCCCAAAACATTCGACATCGACCCAGTCTACCGACACCGTAAGTTGCAAGGCTGCAAGCTGATTCCTCGGAACGTCTTAAGGCTATGTAAAGGTGATAGACCAATGCGAATCACTTCCAAATGAAAAAGAAGCTTGTGATACAGCAACACTGATTTATGACATGACAGAGAGAGACGGTTGAAGGACCGATGTCCCTGGTACAATGCTCCAGCAATACAGAGTACCAAAACTCGTCTCAGATTAGACTCGGGCCGGTTATACACGATAACACCACACCAATGCAACTCATTGTGTAGGGAGCAGATGAAGTATTTTCTAGACGTTTTCCATGTGTCTGTGATGTCTTGGCACTACCCATTAGCCTATCCGTCAGATTATTGAGTCGAGCTTTATCTAGCCCGCTTCCTAGCTCTCGCTACAGTCGGCAACTTTGAGACATTAATCACGATGCAATTACTGACCAACGCTCCAGTGGGTGAGGCACTCGGATCAAGTTGCATCGGTGCTTACATACTTGGTAGACTTCCCGATTACAGCGACCGACCTTGCTTGGTCCATAGTGCAGGTGAAAGCGTTTCACGCCAATCAGCGAACTACTCTCAGTAATTCGCAAGCTACCGTACCCTCAGTACTCGTTTCTACCAACCCTGACTAACCTTAGAACATCTAAACCCAGCCGGATTTTGAGACAGTAATGTACAATCGCCCAAGTGCATGTCATTTATCGATCGCGAAACACGGCATGGATGTCGTCTCAGTTTTGTCATGAACAATCGAAGTACTTTCGATCCGAAATGTCAGCTTACAATGAATGCCACAATGCAGCAGCCCACTCAGCCGACCGAAGCAAAACTTCCACATGGAGTTGCACTGCATTTCGATCCCACCGCCTCCATGTCAGATATTGTGCTACGTCGCATACAAAGCCTGTTGCCGTTTGATACGCACAATAAATTGCTGGTGTCGTCATAGGTACAACAGGCGGTGTGTTACTCGAAACCCGCGTTCAATATCACTATCAATCGATCAGACAGCCCCAATGGTCTGTCAACTGTTTCACTCTGCACGTACTGCCGCTCAACTGCCATGGGGAGCGATTGATCCCAACTACACAAAGTAGTCAAAGCAAACACCTGGCGCACACCAAAGTTACTCCTTTGCCTCGGTCTTATTCACGGACATCAAGTATATTCTGGTCCACAAATCCTCCACCAAGGCTAAACAGGCCGGTCGACTTTAAACTTATATATAGACCCCTCCTCCACCACAATCAGTTCCGCTGCCTCGGTCACCGTTACCCAGAACCTACATCGCTTGCGAGTTATTCCGTAAAGGGTTCCAGAATAGGGGCCCGAGGCAGATTGACTGATTTGCCGTTACTTGATCCGAATAGCAACTCGGCCCGCGCCCGACTTATCTGGGTGGACGTTCATGATCCACCTATTCCTGCAGCTCTGAGATCACCGTCGGTTGGGCGGACTCCGAATCTCCATTCTACGCTTCGCACTTCGGACGGATATCTGGACGCCAAGTAGATGATGTCGTCATCCGCGATGTTTTTGTGACTTTAGATAACAAGGCGCAATCCCCCAAAATATGCGCTCATTAGATAGGTGCGAAAAGACATGCTCGTGTTGGTAAAGTCTGCAATTATCTGCGTTTCCAATTAGAAGCCACAATCATGCACATGTCTTGCCGTAAACCAATTGAACAAAATGGAGATATTGCCGCCTCTGCAGCCCATGACGGAAAGCTATTGTACGAAAGGCACTACTGTGAATCTATTAGAATTTTCGAGGGAAATGTTCCTATCCAAGGGCTCACAGCCGCTGTCACTGTAACAAATCAAGCTGAGCATGCTTCTTTTACTTTCGGGAATCGAGACAATGGAAAGAAACACACGAATGAGAATGAACAGTAGTGCGGATGATGTTCCGGAAAGCGTTTTAAGGCTCGCGATTCGCTTGTGTTGTTAGCTGTGTGAAGTCTCAAGCGCCAGGCGTTAAGTTCAATCTCCTTTGTCATTGATACAGCGAACTACAGACCTCGGGTATCTCTCTCTCTCACATAAAATTGTACATGAGCCTCATTTGCTCATTCTGATCCAGTACAGTACAATTTCTGTTATGCCATGTTGTGCAACCAAAAGGCTCGTATCCTGAGCTGTGCTAATGCTTGCGAAGGGGGTATCTCGAAACAAGCTCCAAAAATCTTCACAGAAGTCGTGTGAAGCTCAGTCAGAGCCTCAAATGCTTCAAAGCTCGAAAAAAAAGAAAAAAAGGAAAAAAAAAAGAAGAAAAGAAGAAAAAAGAAAAAAAGAAAGGTAGAGAAGAAGAAAAAAAAAGCATGAACTCCAACAAATGCCACATTGAAAACCTTCCCTAGGGTGGATGAACAGCCGCCGGTGATGGTATCAAATCAGAGAAACCATCGAGAATGCTGGAAACAACCATGCCCTTCGAATCATTGGCGCATGCTCTTCATCCAACGGAAGGGGGTATACTAAGCCAAGCCACCGCCAACTCGAGGTGAGTCCTCCCTATGGTCAGCGTCGTAGCCCTCTTCATGATCGCCATCCATCATGTCAACGTCAGCGTAGGTGCCGGGGGCAGCAGCGTCGACCTCTTCTTCGTCGTCTTGCTCGAAGCAGGACTTGGGGTTGTAGAACGAGGGAAGAGAGGCCAGGTCACTGGAGTTGTCTTCGTCCTTGTCCATACGTTGAGCTGGTGCGCCCAGGGTCTGAGACTGGGTGTGTGTGACATTGGTCTCGAGTCGAACGGATGTGGCGGCGACCTCGCCCTGAGAGAAAGTGGCGACAGTCGGGGTAGTGTTGGCGGAACCCTGGGTAGGACGGGGGCGGCGAGTCCCAGCCGGGCGAAGGTTTGACGGCAGATATTTTTCAATCTTCATCTCCTCGTCGTTGAGGTCGTCGCCCTCAAACTCGAAGTCCTCATCAGACTCATTCTTCTTGCCCTTTCGGCTACTCTTACTCTTGCATTTCCCACGAGTGTTACGGGTAGACTTGCTGGCATTGTTACCTCTACGTCGCTTGGCTGAAGTGAGGCCAGGTGTCAAGGGCATGGTTTCAACGGCCCGTTTTCGCTTGTTGGCGTTTGAGAAGGGATGAGGCGTTGGTGGTCGATCCTTGACGTTGGCGTCAACCATCGGGCTGAAAGGCTGATCACGTTTGATAGACACATCCTCGTCGTGATATTGAGGCATTGGCGCATTATGTAATGACGATGTAAGTATTTCATTGATTTGGGCGGCGGCAGCTGTCCCAGCTTCGCCCAAGGGGGTCACAGGACCTAAAATCGAGGGTGATCGCAATATGTGATTAAAGAAAGGATCGGGCTGTGACACATATCGCAAGGCGCCCATGGGGAAAGGGCCGCCTTCTTCGGCATAGATGCGGCCAGGTAGCAGACCTATATCATTGCGAGGACTTGGAACGAAGCCATTGGCGACCGCAAGAGTCTGAATGTCGGACCTAGTCTTGATCTGTGCGTAATCCTGGCTGTCGGGGATAGATGTTGGATGCGTAGTAATCAGGTCTCCAGCAGGGCTGTGATACTGCATGGCACTCGGAATCGAAGGAGCCTTTGAGGTGGAGTCCAAGGGAGCCGTAGCCGGGGGCTCCATAATGACAGCCATAGCTGGAGTCTTCATGTTGAGAGCCATCTGTGCAAGTTCTTCAGTCCCGTTGTCGTTCGGTCGGTTAGTCCACAAGAGACCAGGCGATTCATTCTCCAACCTGTGACTGTAAGGTGAGACGAACAAACCAGAAGCAGCGGATTGCTCGACAGATTGTCCTGTAGGGAGATTGCCTCCATACGAATGCTTGTCGATGGTTGACATGAAGGCTATTGTAGAGTATCTATGGTCGTCGATATTTCTCTGAATATCTCGAATGAAGTAGTCCTTTTCTTCATTCCAGCTAGATGCACAAGTGAAGCAAGGGGGGTTAGACAATGTGTGAGCCGACTTGGCAGCGGGCCCAGTGATATGCTTGTCCTCGTGACCATGGAGAATCTCGAGGCGGCCTGTGGACACGTCAGAGAGTACGTGAAAGCTGTCCAAAAACTCGACATGTGCCTCAAAGTTGTCACCACACTCGTTCCAGTATGCCTCCAAATAAGGCATGTATCGCTGCATTTCTTTTTGATAATGCTCAGTTCGATAACGTGCTTGCCACTCTTCGGCGCTGCCAGGGTTGAAAGAAGCATCGTCCATCTGAGGGAAGCCACGAAATTTGTTGATTCGACGGATGATATCAGGCATATCACCATCGAAATAGTCCAGAAGCCAGGTGTAGTAGCTCCCATCAAGCTTCTCGCCACGGTAGAATGGATTAATAGCAACAGCAGTTGCCTCCACAGGGGCGTTGGGATGCTTGAGGATCTTATTGAGTCTGTGATAATCAAGGCGGCGATGCTGGATGGTGTTGCGGATGTTACAACGGAAGGTGCCCATTCGCTGAGGATTGTACTTCAAAGTTACAATCTTCGGCAGTCCCTTGCGGCCAGTAGAAGGTGGAGTGGCACATTGAAGAGTGCCATTAGCCGTGGCCCTGGCCTTGGCGGGGGTCTTGGGAACTGAGACCGAAGACATGATGAAGTTGTTTTAAGTACGGATGTATGGATGTGCGAAGGTAAATGTGTGGACGTGTTGGTGTGTGGACATGTGTGGAATGTGAAGTTGTAATTGGGAAGTGGTGTTGTTGTGTGAATGCAAGAATAGTTGCTCACTCAGTTCTGGGAATTTTTGTTGCTGTGTAGAAGGAAATGGGAAATTTGGAACTAAAAATTTGGTTCAAATATTGTGTGATTGATTGTTGGATTGTTGGGTTATTCGCTGATTGAGAATGTTGAGTTCATTCTTTCTGCACATTTCTTCCATCTTTTTCCAGCCCTCTTCAACCCAATTTCGGAATTCTGCTGGTGGAACTTCTATTCAGCTTCCTCGCTCCAGCTGCTGCATTGATTTCGCCTAGGATGTTTTCTCAGATTACATATTGACCATATTTGTGTGTGAAGCTAAATGAAAATTGGAACTGAAATTGAAATTGTATACATGAGGCACAATCGGAAATACCTTACTTGTAAAACTTAATTGGTCATGAACCAGACTGGCGAGGATTCACGTATGCTTCAAAACCTGGTTTTCTTTGAGGTCTGATGTGATGTGATTATTAAAGTTCTAATATGCTCCGTTGAGCCCTAAGGTTGACCATTCTCCTTCGTTATTCTTTCCGTTTCCACCGCAGTGAGATACTCTCTCTATACATGTTGATTCCAATATACCCGCAACCGTCGGAAGAGCCCCTTCGCAGTAGCAGTGAAACGTCTTGAACGCTATCAATTCATACAAAGCAGATAAATCCTTTCATTGGCATTATGTTGTTAATTCATGAGCTGCCACGGTACCCATAGTCCGAAGTCTGCACGTTGATTAGCATGGCAACACGGGGTATAACACTTAGAAAAATGTGGTAGCGTTAAAGCAACTTGTCACCTTTCATATGGCTGGAAAGCTAGATAGCTGAATTTGTACAAATCAAGATTTCATGCATTGGTATTAACAAGAAGCGGCATGTACATTTATTAGTACCATACAACTATGTAAGGTTCGTCTTTAGGCTCCGGACTATAAGGTGCCCGTGGATATTTGCTTAATATCGAGAACAACTACACCTCATTATTCTACTTAGTCATCAAATCTCATAAGTATCGTAGTAGTCAACGTGAGAGGTATTTCTCGCCCTCCAGGCAGCGTTTCCCTGACGGTCATGTGAATTTTGGAGATCCGCCCGCCTGTCACATCTCACGTGCAGCCCACCTACCTAACTTCCCACAACACCGTCGCAGATGCGTTCCTTCCAAAAGAAAAACTTGATAAACACCCTCTGCCGTGTTTTCAGATGCCACAGCCTTGAGTGAAAGTTAACGTTTGGGTGTGATGGCCACAATGAACACTCATAATTAGTATGGGCGCGTAGAGCGTGCTTTGGCCCTCTCCATCCGCCCGCCCTATTCATCATTTCCTTCCCTTCATTCATCCCCTCCCTTCTCTGCTCTTCGGAGTCCCGATGTATACATGAGAGACTCAGTTTCATTTATAACAATTCTAATGAGCATATAGGGTGACGGCCTCCTAAGGTGTATTACCAACGCTGACCTCAAGCAATCAATGGCGCTGGACGATGGCAGTGGATTATGCGCAGGTTTGGTCGTTCCCGCACCGTAGACGTTGGTACGTATTTGGCACTAGGTAATGTTCATCCGCGGACGGTACCTTCTTACCTCAGTATCGAGGCTTCAGATTAATTGCTCAAAATGATGTCAGGTCAATTAAAATGGCTCTAATTGCTCGCTTTCCGTTTATAAAAGAGAATATTGAATTGCAGGAAGATCAGCAGGGTTCACACTCCCGCAGGGACACACCCTCTCCCTTCTTTAGCTTTCCACAGGTTCTAAACCGTTTGCTCTTTCTTCTTTATTTATTTATTATCTCTATCTCTATTTTTCTCTTAGCACTTACAGCGTGGACCGTCTATTCCTCAGCCCCGTAGGTCATGGAAATGTTGAGTGTTGCATCATCATATCCCTTGTCCAGTTCTCGTCATGGAAGTCCTTTGTCAACCTTCCGTTATCTACAGGGCTATGATGAACGGTAGCTACATGGCAGAGCACTCCCTGTATATTGTCCAATGTCACTCATAGAGATGGGGGCATTTAGTGTGACCCATTGCCGCCTTTGATTTTGAAATCGATCACTTAATCTAACTTGTGTTTCACTCACACAACTGCACAGCGTCTTGGGTCCTTTGTGTCTGTCAACTTGAGATATAAAGATGAAATATACACTTGAAAAGTCGACTCTACGTACGTATGGTGCTCTCAGCAAAAATTAGAGACCTTGTAGGAGTCCAGAATCTTTACTTATTTTAAATCAGCAGTAGAAACACACCCAGCTGCTTCAGAACGTCTTCCTTGGGTTTGCTTCCAGTTTCCTGTACAAACTTAAAAGCATCCGGATGTTGTGGGTAAAACTTCACACATGAGAAATTGAGGTACAAATAAATTATGGTGGGCTGCTCACACAATATTTTGATAAGACCCAAGAGTCATGGAGTTGAAAAGGTCAAGTCATAATAATTGACATGGCAAGAGTGAACCACTTAAATTATTACTACCATAAGAGCTGTGAGACTGGTCCAAACCTAGTCCGAGTCTATCTGTTTGCTAATTCTCTCGGGGGTTATGTGCAGACTTTATGCATTGAAAAAAAACTATCTAACACAAACCCTCTCATGTTTGGCTGTAGAAAAACTTTGCGAGGCTCGCAACTTCCCCAGTTAACTATCTCCATTGTGTCATTACTACTCATATAAGCCATGATTGCTGTTTTCTTGCTTCCACCACCACTTAACTTTCGTTGCATCACTACTACTCAGATAAGCTATAACTGAATTTTCCCGGTTTTGACCACCACTCGACTTCTGTCCGAAACTACACAGACCAAACAAAACAGCATCTTCCTGTACCACATCAGGTCTTGGCATATTCTGCACCATATATCAACATGCGTAGCATTCTTCGTGCAGTTAGCAGCCTACTGCTTCTCAGCAGTACCGGCGTCATGGCCCCCGGCCCCGGACAACTCACACCGCCTGGCAACCCTGGAGGGCACTCCTTTCTGATTTCGAAACTCACAACCACCATCATGCAAGTTGCACACTTCGGCCGCAACAGCGGTATATTGGACCCGGACGGAATCATCGCAAACCCCAAAGCTATTGAAGAATATTTTGAACTTGCAAAAGGCGCAGTGGGGATCTGTCTCGACGACGTGGTGCACGGTGATGAACCCCTTCGGATCGAAATCGGGAAGCCAGGCAAAGATTTCATCGACATCCCCAACGCGCCGGCCTCATGCGTCGCCATCATCAAGGTAGCCACGGGCTACCTGAGGGGCCAGGGTGCCGAGGAGACCTCGATGGTATCACTGGTGCCGGGCAATGACAGAGGGCTACGTATCCAGGGTGTCAAAGCAAGTCAGATGGAGGCTTTGCGGGAAATGGCTGAAGATAAAGACCTGGGAACCGACGGAGAGCACGGTGTCGAGATCTACATCGTGTGAGAGAGAATTTCACATGGATCTAGCTTGCCGTTAGTATCATGGTAACTTCAAGATCGCTTGTTCCTTCTAGGATTATGGCACATAGGTTTGACAGACGGAAATGGGCTAAATGATATCTATAAAGCCAAGGATAGTTGCCTCATTATGATTGGTTCTCGAAAAAATAGAACTTCCTTTAGACAAAACTGGGTGAGCTTTTTAGCCAATTCGCAAGATAGGTCTGCCCCAAGTCATGTCAACATCGGCTTGGATAAAGTTGATTCTTCAATTATTGTGTATGTCCTGTCTGTCTGATTTGCGAAGCCCATATGATTGTGCACTGTTACATATGAGACAGTTAGCTAGAGATGAGTAGACAGACGTATAAAGACGTACGTATATCCCAGATGATCAATGTCATCATCGTGAAGATGTAGACAAATTCCTGGTATAAATGAGCATCGACCGGGTGGATGTTTGCTGCCCGTGGCTATGTGAACTTTGGAGATACGAGCTGTGGGCCACAAAACCTGTCCAGTTTTCCCATAAAATTATTCATATACCACCAGAACCATCGTGGACGAAACAACGTATCGATCCTTGGGATACGTAGGCCGCTGTAGGATTGGCACGACCGTTTCATGCAATGTCCAAGAAATAAATTAGACTTGATGCACACCACTTCGCTTACTCTTAATAGAATATATATTGCGGCCATTTCTGTTGAAATACATAGTAAAACAATTGCTACGACTATGAACGGACACTTATCAAGATATCTATCCACCTCCTTCGTCTGAATGACCAAACTTGTATCTCGTTACCAACGTACAGAACTTCATCACCTCTCAGGCTAACGTTCTGCCTGTTTCAAACTCTCGCCAGCCTTGACCCTTGCAATCGCATCCAAAAGGTGCTTTTCTTTTTCAGCTGTGTACCCTTGAGGCACATGACGCTCGCGAGCAATGTCCCGAGGAAGCAGCGGGTCCGGATAGTCTCCTATTCGAAGGCTTTAGCTAAGCAAACTAAGGACGAATGTTTGCCTCTATGAAAGGGATGGCCTACTCATGTTGAACCTCTGGTCTGAGAGACGTTGCTTGAAATGATCAGCTTCCTCCTTGAACTTGGGCATCTTGTCGCCGGAAATGTTGAGGGAGGGACCGGGAGTCATTGTCTCAGCTGGCGAGCCACTGAAAGATTGAGTAGGCGTGTGAAGACCCGGGGCTCGAGCTCCTGCAGAACTAGCCATAGAACCTGACTTTGAAATCTGATTACAGCCTCGAACGAAGTACGGTACTGCGATTTGAAATCAGCTGGGGGCTAGACGCAGAGTACACGATATAACCTACATCAGCAAAAGCTTGACAATGGCGTCACGCTTGCGACAGGCCCAAATTGGAATGCACTGGGTTTGATTCAATGTCCAATAAGTATTTCGAGATCTCCTACTAAATATTGTGAACTCTGGGGTTATTGGGGCCGCTCCGTCTGCTTAACAAATAGATAAAAGGAGCATATACTAATGCGTGGATGGACGTTTGAATGCTGGACGACACCACTGAAGCCGCAATGCATGCCCAATGATCGGGTGGAGGGCCCCCGCCATCCCCACAAGCGCTGTCTGACTGTGCTATTGGCCAGCAGCGGCCCAGCACTCCTTGGCTCAAGCCTTAGCGCAAGAGCCCCAGACCACAGGGCCGAAGGTTATTTCCCGATGCGATCACTCTTCGCAACATCCCATTGCCCTCTTTCTCACTCACTCTTTCGACATCTGCGATTCCCCTCCGCGAAATAGAACGACATAATAGTTTTATGCTACAGCCGTTTAAATCAGAGGATTTCGATCATACACAAACCCCCGTGGTCATACAAAATGGTTAAGACAATTGCTGTTCCAGACGCCTGGGAGGACGACTGGGAGGCCCAAGCAGACAGGGCCGCCACAGAACCACCAGCTCCAGAACCAGCCCCGGCGCCCCTGAGCAAGAAAGAACGTATTGCACGACACGCCGAGCTGAACAGGAAGATATGGCAGGCCGCGTAAGCCCCTCTAGCATACCTTCGAGTACCATCACTCTAACAATAAACAAGCGAGGAACCAGATAACGGCGCTCCACTTCAGTACCTCTCCCAACAGCCTGCCCCGCCTCTGGCACAACAATTCAAGGCGCCCATGACCCTTTTGTCTCGCAAGCCCGTGCTCGCCAAGCGAAATCCTGTCACGGGCGGAATGGCCAGCATGACGTTAGATGACAGCGACGACGAGGACAAGAAGCCCCAGGAGACAATAGAGGAGATCCGCGCGCGACAGCAGCGCGAGCGCGAAGAGAGGCAGAGGCGGTACGATGAAGCCAGAGCCAAGATCTTTGGCGACAGCGGTGCGGCCAGCGGCAACTCGAAGCCAGGCAGTGGGCGGAACTCGGGAACCTCAACGCCTGGGACAACGACGCCGCCCCGGCCTGGCGGTGAGCGACGAGGTAGAGGCCGAGGTCGCGGGGGCCATAGGGGTGGCGACCGCAACAGCCGTCCCCACGACCGTGGGGAGTCGGGGGATTACCAAAGGCTCAAGGAGAACACCCACCAAGGTGGTGCAAGCCTCCAGAAGCCCAGTCAGAACATTCACCAAGGAGGCGCGAGTTTGCGGGACGAGGTCCGGGAGAAGCAGCTCTACGACCCCGACTTTTCTTCCAAACCTGGATTCAGCTTCGAAAAAAGAAGTGCTCCATCCACACCTGGCCGATCCACACCACGAAACGATGAGCAAGTCATCCGAGCACCACGTGGCCCTGACGGGAGTGGGCGTGGGGGGTTCGGCTTTGTCAAGAGAGGCGCAAGGGAGAGTTGATGCCATCGTATCAAGCATATTATATTATCCCAGTATGGTCTGAGAATCCCAGGAAAGGTCTAGGTGGGAGTTCATCACCAACCGCCTCCTATCTTTCCTGCCAGTTGAACTACCCTCTCTGTGTCACTAGGCTTATTCTTCCCAACGTCACTGATGACCTCCCGATAGGTCGTCATCGCCAATCTATCTATGTCTATACCAGTTATGCTAGACCAATGCGTTAGGGTATCTCGAATGTATGATAGAGAAATACCGCCAACAGTGTCATCTGCCAAATCACCACCATCAGGCTCAAACTCCGATTCCTCGGCCGAAAAATAGGCCTCATCAACCTCAGCCAACCAATCTTTCTGTTCCTGAGGACCGGGTTTCGCTCCGATGCCCTTTCTCTCGACCACAACGGCATCGTCGACTTTGACTTGTCCACCACCATTGGTGCATCCACCAGGACACGCCATCACCTCAACATACTGGTACTCCAGCTTACGGGAGCCACCAAGAGGTTTACCCCCTGGCATGCGTGATGGCCGCGCCGGCTTCAACTTGCGGACGAGATTTTGTATGTTACGGAAGCCGTAGAATCTGGCAGCTTTGAATATTGACCTGCCCTCTGACGAAACGACGCTATATTCGACGACGTCTGCATTTCTGCCTCGAATTGTTTCTATCCTTGAGCCGGGATGCTGAGCCGAAACGTACTGAAGAGCGTAGTATAAGTTACCGCCAGAGGTCCCAGCTGCGGGTTCACGTTGTTGCTTCCTCCGTAGCGGAAACAAGAACTTTTGAACAGCCAGATCGGGGAAAGAGGAAACGTGAGATGGCGAGAGCGGCCCTTGAGACAGGTCAAAGAAGTTCATGGCTCTCGACTCGGTTAGCATGAGGATCTCTTTGCTGGTGATGACGCAATCCACATCTCGTACACCCCTTCCGGGCTTTCCGTCACCTGCCCATACGGCATCGGTCAATTCCTCTCGGCTTGCCTCTAGCTTCTTGTCGAAGCAAGGCATTACTGCCAAATGCCATATCCGATCTGGGGAGATGCCAAGAAGGCGGCTCAGAGTTGTCTTGAGCAACGTACCCATGAGCGCTTGAGGCGACTTGACCCTGGACAAGTGCGGCAATACGTGAGGGTGTGTCTTCTCGGCATAACATACCCAGCCGGGGCAGCTCGCTGTGATGATGGGCTTGATAGCCTTACCGTTACCCACTGCGTCGCCAAGCACCTCTTCTGCGCCGAGGACCAGGCAGGCTTCTCGTGCAGTGTTTGTGTCCACTACCCAGGTAAACCCATTGTTATATTTCCCTCCCGCTCTTAGACCGGAGTCTCCGCCCAGGAGTTGTGCAATCATGTTGCCGGCTGCTTGTTCACCCAATCGGCCTCCTACCGCCGCAGCTAGACTGGCCCTCGACTGTGGACTGACGCTGGCAACAAACAACTTGGCATCGGGGTTCTCGAGACCATCAACGGTCCAGCTACCGTTCGCATCTTGTCGTACTTGCAGTCCGGGCGCGGCGTCGAGAAGGCTCAAGACTTCACTGTGGCTCTGTAGACTGACCAATACCGCCTCTGCTGATGTCACGCAACCCGAACACGCGAGACAATCTGTGAGGGATATTTGCGCTGGCGCATTCGCATTGGCAGGGGCCTGCTGACTGCCAGCGCCGCCATCGAGTATCACCTCATGTTCGAGGGGTTCGTCCGTTGGTGGGGGCGGGGCAGGCAAGGTTTCGACGGGCTTGATGCAAGCCACACCAGGAGAGATGAAGTCGTTCAGATCGTCGGCTGAGAGGATTGCGGACATTGCGACGGCTTGGTATGCAACGACGACAAGCAGGAATTTTGATACTTGGCACCGCCGGCGCGGAACACTTGAAGAATATTCGCCGCCCTCGAAATCGTGGAGAGGTTTATTCACTTGGGAAGTTGGATTCGAATTAAGCGCGGGGAATGGGGTTTACAAGCAATCTTTAGACATGCAATCAAGAAGAATTGCTCTCTCGGCCAGCTGATAAGTGAATACAAAAAAAGGTACCGTGAGCAAATATGAACGGTCCAGTCATATGCAGCGGAAATGCACTCTCCTGTCGCGAATCGCTGTTGCGTTTGCTTTGAAATACAAGGCGAATTTTTGGGCTTGCGAAATCGGGCGCCCGCCCACTTGCACCGGCTAGCTAGCTGTGGCGACCGCGGGGTCCTGAAATGATAATGGGGGTCCAAAGAGCAGGAGACACAGCGCCCGACGCCAACAACCGCTGCGTTTAGCTGCGGCTCAGTAACCAATCAGCTAATCCACCCCGTCACTCAGCCTGTCAGCCCAATGACGTAGATCTAGCGCAAGCATGTGCCGGGCTGCCGGGTACTTGGTACTGTCATGATGAGCCTCCAGTGAAGCTCCTAACCTGAGGTAGCTGCGGAACCTTGTTGCCAGCTAATATAAGCGACAGGAAAGCGAGCCAGATATAACATATGTATGCTGATCGCCCAGACTCGGCAGCATCCTATTTGCGTATTTAGTCCAGTATTCCTACGTCCACCGTGAAAGAAACACGCGGCTCTCAGAACGCTGACACCAGAAATCACATTATAAGTCATCCAGTGACCTCTCACCCAACCACATACACACATATACACACACACACCATGGATAGCGTATCAGCATACAGCTTCTCGAGCCTCGGCTGGAATGCCCTCCAGGGGATTCCACTGATCATCTGGCCGCAGGCGATCAATGGCCTGCTCGCCATTGACAGCGAGACGGTGGGCGTGCGCCCGCTCAGCGACGTCGACAACTACTTTGCCCGCTCCCTGGGCATCGCGTTGCTGGCACTCGGGGCCGCCACGGTCGTGCTGACGGGCGCGCTGCCATTGACCAGCATGGTCGAGAGTAAGCTTTCTCCGCCCTCTTTCTACCCCCACCCCCTCTCTTCTGTTACTCATGAAAAATACCACACCAATTACTAACACATGCCCTTTCTCTTCTCTGTAGCGACGACCGAAGGCATGTCGCCCTACGCCTCGGCGGTGCTGCTGATCACGACGCTGCACCACGGCGCCGCCGCCTTCTACTGCTGGGCCAGGTACAACGGGACGTCGCAGACGGGCTACCTGCTGGGGTTCGTCGGCAGCGTCGCCCTGGCGGCGTTCGGCACCCTGACCTTGGTCTTCGCCAGCGAGAAGCCGAGGCTCTCGAGACGCACCGGCGCGGACAAGCGCACGAGCGGGTGGCCGTTCCCCAACGCCGAGGCCGACAAGAGGAAGGCGAGGAAGGGCTTGTGAAAAAAAGATACAAAACAAGAAACAAGAAGGATATCATTTTCGAACCCCAAAGAGTCGCCGATTGGAAACGTCACAGCTTGTGTTCAAAGCGTAAACAGGTAGTCCGGGTTCAGAGACAACGGAACTAGTACTGCACTATAGCCTTGTGTAACATCACAATATGATCATGAGGTTTTAACCTATTATATATGACTTGTTTGAGCTCTGGGGCCGAACGACTGCCCCGTGCAATATTGCTACTTGATGTTGTAGCATGGCTTTTGGTATCTAATTTACTCGAGGTCGTGCCCAACCTCCCCTAAACGCCTTGTGCCCCCTGAATTCAAACTCCCTGGCGACATTGAGTTCCGATTAGACGCTCATTTACTGAAGTACACGCAAGTGCCTCGCTACAGAATCAGACGCGGCCATCCTCTTTTGCCTATTGATGAAGGAATAAATGACTCTTCAATCCTGCTACGCGCCGGCTGGTGGTACATTCTTAGTCCGCGGCAACGACTTCGGTGCTCTTGGCCAAGTCAGTTTCGGTGCCGACATCGTTGTCCTCCGGGTCGGTTTCGTCAGGATCACCATCGCGAGGTACGGAGGCCCTGGGCTTTGCGGCAGTGCTAACCTGAATGTCTGCGGCGCCGCTGAGGACTGCATGGCGCCGGGTCCACCAGTCGATCTCGACACTCTCTATTTGTTCGAGCAAGACCTCTTTCTCCAGCCACTCCTGTCGGTAGAGCTCCTCCAGCTCCTTGCACTGCTCACGCAAGGTGGTGCCCTCTTCACCGGCCCATTTTGCATTTGCGACGCATAGTCGCCATAGCGACTCAATGTCCGCCTGACCGATCTGGAGCTCCTTGCCTGAGAAGCCGTGCTGTTCTGTGAGCTGTGTGAAGAAGTCTGCGCTGAGCTCCTCGCCTTCGGCACCGTCGTCCATGGAATCGTCCTGGTGCGACTCGGGCTTCTTGAGCACGATCTTGAGTCTGCTGTTCTGCTTGGCCTTGTCAGCCCGTTCGTGCTGCAGTGATTTGGGTACCGGGTCGCTGGGCCGAAGGGCCTCCGTCTCGTGGACTGTCCGCATGTGCTTGGCTAGCGCGTCTGATCTCGTAAAGGCGCGGTCACATTCTGATGGCCATGTCAGCTCCCGGTTCTCTTCCGGCCTTCTCAACGCCCCTCCACCGCGATTGGGGAGCAGTCTCACTTACCAGGCAAGTAACAATAAAAAGGCTTCTCGCGGGTGTGACTGCGCATATGCGCCTTCAAGGCATAGCCGCTGGCATGCGGCATGCTCTTCCGCGTACAGCCAATCCACTCGCATGTGTACTTCTTCTGCCGGCTCTCGATGTGGTCGGCGTGGATGTGGTCGACGAGCCTGTCCATATTGCCCTGGTCGCCAGCGTCGCAGCCGTCCCAGGCGCAAACCGTCACCTGCTCCTGTGCCTCCTCCTCGTCGAGCTTGGCGTTGATGGGCGAGTTGGGCACGTCGCCTGACGTGTCGGTAGAGATGTCGCCGTCTAGCTCCAGGTCGTGTTCCGTTTCTGCTGGCTCCGGGTCGACATGTACTGAGGACGAGGCGCGCGAGTCATCACGAATCTTCTGGCGCTTGGAGGGGGGCAGAGCGGGCTCATCGACGGCCGGGGAGTCGTACTCGTTTTCTGGCTCTGGCGAGTCGGACGACAGAGAGCTTATCTCTGACGAAGATTCTGAGAGCAGCACCATCTTGATAGTGCTGAATGAAAGGGGATTTGGCGATTGATGGATGTAAGAGATGAGGTCCTCGTTGAGCTGAGCAGGGGCGCCGATTGCCGAAGACTACAACAAGACTGCCAGATCTGCGACAACAGAATAAACCTAGCAATGGCAAGTGCTGCAAGCTGCGCCGTATGCCCTTCTGCTATCTATCTCTATCGTAAGGGGGTCGATTTTCCGAATGCAGTTTGGGGGTTTGGGGGTTTGGGGAATGCTACGCTACTCTGTACTGCTGGAGAGCTGACAGCCGCTGGCGATCGGCGAGGTTGTGGGGCTATTGGGTCAAGGCTGACCAGTGTTTTGGACAACGGGTAGCGGGCAAAAACCACCGTTCGTGACTGTGGAGTGGTCAGTCCAAAACGCAAGATACTACAGTAAAACAAGCAAGCATCACAATTCATCAAGTCGACCACCAGCACCGCCTCAGTCACTTACCACGCCTGCACGCGACAAAAGTGTGCTATTCGGAAATATCCGAGTATTCCTCACAAGCACCCGAAGCTATCCGAGTTTATTCGGGTGGGCAATACTGCTGTCCTAGTCTCATATCCTAGTGATCCGAGATTATATGATCGTTAGCCCATGCAGTACGTAGTGCATGATCCAGCCAACTATATCGTGCACGTCTCCTCAGGTGGTCCGTGCCCCATATCAGTATTAAACGTCAACGTGGATGTGAACGTGGCAGCGAAGCACCACGGCCGACGTCAGTAACAGTAACGGTCCTGACGTAACCCCCCACTTCACACCAGCAACAGCGGTCTTTTGGGCTGAACTTCCTCACATCGGTCAAGCTGGAGCCGGGCCTTCCTCTACTCCTACCACCACAACCCCCATCACCACCATGGCATCCCTCAACCTCTCGATCAATGGGCCTTCGATCAAGTCCAGCTACCAGGGCGTGATCAATGCCTCGACCTCCAACTCGTCCAGCTTCGCAACCTGGGCCCTCTTCTCCGTACAAGCTCCGCTCGCCAATGCCTTCCAGGATTCAGGCAACAAGGAGAGTGTCCTGAAGGTCCAGTCCACAGGCGAAGGCGAGCTCGAGGAACTGCTCGAGGACTTCAACGAGGGTCGCATTCAGTTCGCATTCATCAAGATCAAGGACCCCAACTCCGGTCTTCCTAAATATGCTCTCATTGCCTGGGTAAGCTTACTGGAACCCCCCCGCCATCATTTGTTGCGTTTGCGTTACCTTGGCAAGCTAACTGCCCACCCAACAGTGCGGTGGAGGTGTGCCCGAGCGGACCAAAGGCTACTTCACCAGCCATCTCAACGCCGTTTCCAAAGTTCTCCATGGCTACCATGTGCAAATCACTGCCCGCTCAGAAACCGACCTCGAACCCGCCAACATTTTGCAGAAGGTAGCCGACGCTTCTGGCTCCAAATACACCGCAGGCGGCAGTGCTCCCGTCAAATCCTCAGGTGCACCCCCGCCTGTCAAGTCCAAGCCAGTCTTCCCCACCACGAACTCAACCGCCAGTATCTCCTTCAACCCTATCATAGCTGCCCGAAACGCCAACTTGCGCCAGAAGACCAACGACGACGGCTGGGGCGAGGACGCTCCGCAGGTATCGCGCAGCGAGATCCAGAGGGTCGAGTCTGCCTACAAGCCCACAAAGGTCGACATCAATGCTCTGCGAAGCCAAGCCCCGACCCACCAAGACGACCGTCCCGACGTAGTCCGAGGTGCTTACCAGCCCATTGGCAAGGTTGACATCAACGCTATCCGGGCGGCTGCCAAGGAGAAACAGGATGACAGGCCTGCTGCTGTCAAGGGCGCCTACGAACCAGTGGGTAAAGTGGATATTGCTGCCATTCGCGCCAAGGCCCAGAAGCCCGCCGAGCATGAGCACGAGCCTGAGCCTGAGCCCGAAGAGACATCGGAACGGCCAAAGTCCTTGTCCGAACGCAGTGCGGCCTTCAACCAGTCCGAACGAATCACGGAACTCCCGAAGCCCAAGGTTGCCAAGAAGTTTGGCGGTGCACCTTCGTACGGAGGCACAGGCACGAAGCCCCTGAACCCTGGTGGCTTTGGCCTGCTGGGTCCGGCCGGTGGTGCTCCTGTCAATCCCCAAGTCGGCTCGGCAGGACGATCGTTCCAGGCCGCTGCCAGCAAGACACCTGCACAGATATGGGCAGAGAAGAAGGCAGCTCAAGGCGGCGGCGGCTCTACGTCCAGTGTCTCAAGCCCTGCTGCTCCATCGCCCGTAGAAGCACAAAAGAGCGGAGGTTGGCAAAGTGGTTACGCTGGCAAGTCCTGGGGAACTGTACAGACTGGAGGTTATAGTCGGGGTATCCCTGGGCAGAAGACCGGAGACACAGCAACTAGCCAAGACCATACCGAACCTGAGACTAAACCTCAAGGAGTCAGTTCTCTGAAGGACCGTTTCAAGGATGCAGCCCCTATCGGCGTCGCAGCAGGAGCTGGTGCTGCTGCTGGAGCAGGCATCGGTGCCGCCATCGCTTCTCATGACGATCAAGACGATGAAGAAGAATCTGCACCCCCGCCTCCACCTCCTGCTACCCGTCCAAGCGATGCTCCCTCGGGTGGGTTCGCCCTTCCTGGAATGCCACCTCGACCACCACCTGTAACTGATGAAGAGGAGGAGGAGGAGGAGGAGCCTGAGCCTATTCGAGTCGCACAGCCTGTTGCTCGTGGTCCCGAGCCTGAGATTGAGCCTGCTACTGAGCCTCCGAGATCATTGCCTGTTCGTTCTATTGCTCAGGAGCTACCCAGGGAGGAAGACTTGCCCGACGAAGAGGAGACTTACGATCCTCGAGCCGCATCACAAGCCGTTGCCGAGCAGCAGTTCGGTGAAGAGCAGGTTGCTGACGCACCTGCTGCCAGCGGTGGAAAGCGTGCTCTGGTCCAGTATGATTACGAGAAGGCCGAGGACAACGAGGTCGAACTCCGCGAAGGCGAGTACGTTACGAACATCGAGATGGTTGACGAGGATTGGTGGATGGGTACCAACACGGCTGGTGAGAGCGGTCTATTCCCATCGAACTACGTCGAACTCGTCGACGACGATGACTCCGCCCAAGCCGCTGCTCCCGCTCCCCCTCTGCCGCCCCCTGCTGCCGCTGAACCCGAGCCCGAGCCCGAGCAAGCTGCCGGTGGCGGCGCAATTGCCACGGCCAGCTTCGACTATGAGGCTGCCGAGGACAACGGTACGTCCCCTAAAATATAAATATCCATATTGGCAATATACTAATTTGGTCCACAGAGCTCAGCTTCCCCGAAGGAGCCAAAATTACCAACTTGGAGTTCCCTGACGATGATTGGTGGTTCGGCCACTACCAAGGCGCGTCGGGTCTCTTCCCAGCGAACTATGTGGAATTGGACCAGTAAGCTGTTGTTCTGTTTTATTTTGCTCTAGGTAGAAAAAGGACAGCCAAAATGGGCACATGAAGCCAAAATAGAATATTGATCTCAAAGTTGCTACGATGTTCCTTAAAGAATGAGCATTGCGCATATATTTATTGCCTTGCGAATAAGTTGTTCATAAAGCTTAGCGTTTTGTCCGGGTTTCTCTTAAGGATGTTTTATTTGCTCAACTTTGAACAACTACCTAGATTTTACACCTTGGGGCAGACTCCTTACGAGATCGTTTTCGAGCATTTTGAAGTAATAATCGACTATGGAGCAAAACAAACCTGATTGTGGGAGAAATCTATGAATTTGGACAGGGCCTGAAGGCGAGAAACATTTAAATATCACGATTCTATCGTGGAAGTTCCACATGCACACTTGCACGGAAAAGGGTATTTACACAACGGGAACTAATGGCAGTTCGTGGCACATATATCCTCGACGAACGAAGCATGCCAATCACACTTTGGGATCCCACAACTTCATGGCAAAATGAGAAAGAAACTGCAGTTGACGATCAAGTGAAGAGGGATGCGGGTGTCTCGATGAAAAGGAAGGCGTTGCGAGAGTTTTTCCCAAATCATGGTCTTAAGCCTTGTCACGCAGTTTTATACGGTAGAGACCTCGGCCCTTCTGGCTCGAAGCAGTCAGGTGTTCGCTAGAGCTTTGGCTGTTTCTCCATCTTTGACCCGATCACTTGTTTACACCCCTGGTAAATTGCAAATCTCAAGGAGCGAACTCTTCCAAAAGAAAAAAAAAAGAAAAAAAAGGAGAAGAAAAAGAAAGGGGGGCAAGAAGAAGGGGTAGAAAGCCTACCGACGTCGACGATAACAAATTGTGACGGGCTGAGGGTTCAACATTGTTTGTTGTATTTGTCAGGTTGTTGAGTTGACGTTACTGAATCGATTTACGAGAATTAGTGTCAATGGTGTAGTTGTTGCTGACTCATATACCACTAGAGCATTACGTCCCGGAACACATCGATTCAGAAACAGGAAGTGCATGGGCGATCTGGCAAAGCTTCCTGAGTGGTATATTGTAGCCCGACTTACACGGAGATATACTTTCTTTTAGTTAGGACATGTAGCAGAGTATACTGGAGTATGATCATGTGATAGGACCATTCAGCGTTGTGGATACCGTGTATCAAGTACAAACGGTATGTATATCCGTGGCTCGAATGCTATGTCCAGCACGCCTTGATTCGATATTGGCGACATCCCTGGATAATGCCAATTGTAATGCTTCTGTGATATGCCATGATTTGCGCAAAATCGCATTCGCCCTGTCATTGATAGTCGCCTACGCTTGCGACGTTCCGTGGCTGAGTTGCTCAAAAAAGTTGTGGTTCTGTTGGACAGCAAATTCGCCGCAATCTTGGCTGTGCATGTGCGTTTCCGCGCAACCAATGGCAAGCGTCGCGCAGAAACGCGTTTTAGGAGAATCCAGGTTTTGCATGTCAACGGTTAAGTCGGCATGTTGCCAAGACCTGGGCCGCATATTGTGAGAAGCAAATTCGCATTGGACATTTTGTTCAGCTCCAGAGCGACATCGGGTATATCCGAGGCGAGGGAAGTTTGGGTAGTAAAGGCAAGCATTGAACCGATCTAACTTTTCTTCCCACGCCTGAAATGCGTAACAGCCACATGGGACGGACTTGACGCTTGAGCAGCTAAAGCAGGCAAAGCTTGGGGTTGAATTTTGGAGGCTAGACTACTAGCTGTCACTTTGGGTCAGATGATGGATTGGTGGTACTCAAGAACGACCCTCCACGAACTTGAACGTGTAACCCGTAGGAGTAACTGTGTAACAACCTGGGGTAGCTGCTTCGCAGTGGCAGTACGGCAATCTAATTACGCCAAGCATCGAGACGAAAGAGCTTTTACAGACGGTCTTTGGTTCAGCGTCGACAGCAGAATGGGGCCAACGAATTAGACTCGTCCCAGCGATAGTTTGGTGGCAGTGAGAGGTACAGTAGTGGGTGACGCATCCTCGCAGACAGCCCAGCAACTCAGCCATGTCTAGCATCGCGATATCCGTGGTCACCCTTAGTGGAAAACGACAACCGAGAGCGACCAAGAATCATTGCGTTTTTGTTCTCTGTCTCGTCAATAGTCTGCCAGCAGTCGAAAGCCATCTGATCTAATCCTCATCAGCCGGTCCTCCAGATATGCCGTAGCCCCCCCCAGGCTGCCAGGGTTCCTAGCTCTAAAAGATTGAGATCGATAATTAGGATGGTGTGGAGACTGAGACGCATCATCCTACCGCCCCAAAGAAGCTTCTTCCCTTGAAAGGTGAATTCCTATTCGCTCATCCGTATACATGAGAGGACTCCCAGGGGACCGCTCCTCAGCACAAGCCCATCTTGCCCGTCTAGACAGAAAGGCCTCCACACGCCGCTGAAACTCGTAGATCCCATTTGAACAAGCATCTGGCTGCACTGACTGTGTTCTGACTGGCGTTCCGTCTTACGATTTTTGACTTTTGCATAACCTCTTCGCCGCCTTTTTCTCCCCTCGCCAACCTATATCCCTTTTTAAATTTGCATCGTTGTTCTTATCACACGGGTGGTGCTTTCGACACAGTCAGCTCCCCTTCTTCGTATTGCTTAAATACTATCTCCCTAGTCTCTGGTACGTACTGCCGCCTGGCCCGGCTTGGCGACCCCCAATTGATTGGTGTGGGAGTCTATGAATTGCTTGGTTCTCTAAAACTCTTGGCTCTTCCCGAATCCTACTCACTCTGGGCGCCATCCTCTTGCTGTCTGTCGCATCGCTGAATATACACGTTTTCGTCTTTGCGCTCTGCTGACATTACATACGGCTCAGATACATTTCAAAGGAAGAAATAAACATGTCCTCGCAACAATACTACCAGCAGGGCCCCCCTCAGGGCGGCTACGGTGGCTACCCCCAACAGCCTCAGCCCGTACGTTTTCTTCGATCCCATATCCCTCGCCTCTACGATCCGTCCCGTCATTAAGCGATCACTATAACATTCGTGCCAAGCGAATGCGACCATCTCAACTTGAGCCTATATCAATTAGGCCTGTCGCATACAGACGAACATTATATAAACAAAACCGAGCATTGTGCTAATTGAACATAGGCTTACGGACCTCCTCCGGGACAGTACGGTCCCCCTCAAGGAGGCTACTACCAGCAGGGCCCTCCCATGGGCCAGCCTCCGATGGGTTACCAGCAGCAGGAGGCACCACAGAAGCAGAAGAGCGCCCCCTGTGGTGGTGGATGCTTGGGCACCTGTATAGCATCTCTGCTCTGCTGTTGCTGCTTGGAAGAAGGCTGCGAGTGCTGTGCCGACTGCTGCGAATTGTGCCTATAAGACGTCGGAATAAAAGCAAGGGATCATGCAGGCCTGCGAGTGTCGGACTACGCACGCAGCGCGACTGGGCGATTGTCGGAATACCAAATGTCACTAGTGTTATCAAACCGAGTGCTTTGAAGCGACGAAAAGAATGGCGAGTTTGTCATCAGAGGGTTAGTTGGAACGAATGATTGGGATGGAGGAATTAGCAGACATACCACGGGTTTCATTGAGTTTTTGGAGTCACTACGGTTTCATGATTTTACTCTCTTTCAGCACAGAATACAATCTTGGATGCCCCAGTTGGTCCTGCTCTGCACTTTACGAATATAATGCACTGTGCAGTCGAAAGACTGAGACTGAGTTTCTCCACGGAATTCATTAACCTAGTCGTCTCCGAAATTCTAGCAATCAACAGGAGATTCTGACGTCATGTATTGGGCTTCGTCCGGCCCACGCTCAGAGTATTGCAGGCAAATTTAGATGTCTCAATCAAGACTTGACAATGGTTTATTCTCTCTTTGTTGTGATCTAACGAGTGCTCAACCTCGGAAAGTAGCTGTTGTGTGTCGTATGTCCCATGGGAAACACGCCTGCGTAGGACCTTTTGGAATAGTTCCGGGACCGACACACGGAGGACTAGGAACTTTTAAAAACAAGCCACTCAAAGGCGCACCTGCCAGCTGGCTGAGATCTGCCTCATCATGCAGAGGGCCTTTTGTACTCTTCTGTAGTTGACATGTTACGATTGTCCAAGGGCTGATTGGGCCTGGGTTCTAGCGCCTCAGCCTACTTCGGTATTCTTCCACGAAACTCGGCGCGGTGGTGTCCGACCTGGGTTAGTCAGCATCGCCGCCCTAGCTCAGGCCCGCATCACCCGTGCTCAGTGCTGCTCAGCGTCTTGAAATCATCTTCACTACACCCTGGAAGCAACCCACGCTAACCGACCACTCATAACCATTATCGCCTGTCTTTCTACCAGCTTGGTCAACTCTACGCGATTCCTGCCATGCACGAGAAATGGTCACCGATGCCAGAAATGGGGAGCACTACACGACGGATAGAAGGCCTGGAGTATGGCACCCACCTTTGGCGGCTAGGTGCCCATTTACTGGCTTTTGCTCTTTCTTGTTAATTCCTTCCTTTAGCATCTTTCGATAGAGGACTGCGACTACTAACGATCATTATAATCTCCTTTTTATTACTCGAAACTATATATTAAAGTTCCCGCCCTTATTTTACGCCTTGTTAGAAATAACTGCTTTTTGTTTATAAATTCTCGCTCTAATTCGATTCTCGGGTTTTAAAATTTATAATACTTATAAAGAAAAATATAAAGGGTTTCTATTATAACGGGAGGGAGAAAGGCGCCGGAAAATGTAAAAAAGGGATTAACGGTTTTACGGTTTATAAAAAGCTTATAAATTAAATATTAAGAGGATATAATTATATAATTAACCTTTAAAATTAATATATTTACTTTAATAGTTTTACTTTTAATAAAGAATATATTAATTTTTATTAATTTAACTTTACTAAAAAACGCGTTAAAAAAACTAGTTTATAAAATTTTTATTTAAAGTTAATGTAATTTAATAACGAGTTAACCACTTAAGCAAGTTAATTACATTAATTAATATAATATATAATTTAACCTTTTACTTTTATTCTTATTATTACTTTTAAATGACTTTAATTAATAAAGAAGCTTAATTAATCCTTATTATTTAAGTTATTTATGACAGTTTCTACAATTAATATAGAGGACTATTATAGTGAAGGTCTGGTCTAATGCATTGAAAGGAAGAGCCTAAATCTACTAGAGCATAGGATAGCGAATACGGTGCTCGCCTGAGCATGGGATCGCAGGTGTAACGCTCTAAGCGTGAAATGATAGTATAGGTACTGTCAAGTAGTATATAGAAGTCTAAGAGTACAAAAGAGAATATCGGTGTACAGAAAGTGGGCATATACCCACTGGCCTAGTCACGTGATCGCCACTTCCCAAGTTCGGTGATCCGCGAGCTCGTCGCCTTAGTGTACGGAGTGCTCTCCGTACACTGTGGACATCTGTAGTCATCCATATTGCCACATTACTAGATTTAAACTTATTATAATTCATTTCATTCGGGAAACTAATAAAATTTGTTTTACAAACATGGTTTAAAAGGCTCGTACTAAAGGCCCTGCTCATATAAACAGCTCAGATCAAATAATCGCGGTTAAGAGGCCTTATAAGTCGCGAGGTTCGCTATAACCCCTTTTCATGGAAGATGCGTGCAGCACTGGAAACGCAAGAACTATACGCCGATCTTCACCGCGAGACTAATAGTTTAAGGGGCCTCATTGTCACGAGCCATGAAAATGTTGTCGTACAAGCTTGGCGGGTGGCAACACCTTGCGAGACCGAGATAATGGTTAATGGGCACCTAGCTTGCCATAAACGCTATAGTATTAAAACATGATAAACCACTTACGCATAAGCCGCATCGTCATTAATTATTACATGGACCACTTTGTCTTCCGGTACATGCCAGGTAGTTTGATACCAAACTACAAGCCTTTACATGGGATTTACCGTTATTCTTTAAAGAGCATCGGCGTACTAGGACGACGGGTTTTAACGGGACCAACGACAATCGCATGATACTACCTCTGACAATTCGACGAATGACCTCCTTAGCCTGCGGCAGTATAGTGCTAAGGTGCTTTCGTACCTTTTGCAACCACGTAATCGCGGCTACCAAGTTACTGTTAATGCGGAAGCGAGGCGTTTAACAGAGGCAAGTCTCTTACGCCGGATGCACGCTCGTGGAATTCTCATACTTGTCGACGCTAGAGCCTACGTTCTCGAGATGGACAACAGGTCACTAGCTCAGACTTGACAGCATTTTTAGACGACGATAGGGAGGCAGCCCGCTAGAGTTCTGAAAGCAGATAAGTCGGCAAGACATTAGCATACAAACACGCATAAGAGATCCGCATATAAGGGCGTCTACCTTTTGACTGCCTAGCGATTAAAGCTGAAGCTGTGAACGCGTGTCTGACCTTAATATGCCCTAAATTTATATGTCCGACTAGGAGGTGACTACAACATTACAAATCGATGTAATGTGTCCTAAGTGCCCCTATGTTATAGGTGTAGCCGTGTACGGCCTATATAGACAGTCGCGTGCCATCAACAAATGGATGCTTGACGCCATGATCGACCGGCTCTTGCTAAGCTGGCCTTCGCTTCTTGGATTACCGAGCCAATCAAGACAAGGGAGGGCTTCGTAGTATCTTAGGCTGACGATAAGAACAAAGGTGGTCTTCCCGGTTAGCTGATGTGAAAGTTGATGTGAAGCTCGTTACAAAAGCCTGTTATTACCTTAGTGTCGTCCGCATCGTCTTCGCCGTATACAAGGTAAAGAATGCCCAGTCCAACAGTGGTCTCCTGGTCTCCTAGTCTCCTAGTCATCGTCTTCTGGTTCGGCGAACATTTGACAATCATACAGTCGAGAAGGCTCGAGTCTCTATCTTGCTATCCCTCGATTATGCTTATAATATTATCCCCTTCCGTATCTGAAATCTTTCTGCTCTAACCCCACGCTCTCGCATTAGCAATCTTGATAAATCGGTCGCGGTCCTCCTTCGCGCATATCCTCAGATTCCTAAAAGTGCTCCTGCCCTCTAAGTAGACCTCATCATCACGCAGAGCATAAGCTTTGAGTTGGGAGACATAATACCCAAGCCTTTCTCCGGACCTAGCAGGGGCTGCGAGATAGTGTGCATATAGTGTGAGGCACCCGCCAAGTAAGGTTAAAGAAAGTGCATAAGCCTTACAATCATAGACAGGCTATCCAAAAGGGTCCATCAACTACACGAGCTATGCGCCCTTAGCTGGCCTTCCAATCGCCGTATCAATCGAATCGAAACGGCCTGCTAATTCTTGGGATACAGCGGCGCTACAAATCTGGACCTGGCAGACAGCATAGTTGCGGTGTCTATCCGGCTTGGTGAAGCTCAAACTTCGGCGCCTCCAGATCGGCGTCGCTTCCGTCGTCTTCCCCAGCACCAGCACCACGGCCAGCAGTAGCAGCATCCCCACTGGAACACTATGTCCCTAGAATCATCACCCAGGGTCACGACTGGATCCTTGTAGTCACTGCAGATATGAACGGACAAAAGACCCTCCTATACAAGATTTCAATCGGGACTACGGAGACCGTGCTTGGCGTCTATCAGATACTCACGGCCCTCGCGCTTTTGGTTCAAACTATTTACTGGCCTGCTTTTTGGAATGTGATCCTTGAAACACGATCCAGGGAAATAATAGCACAACGTGTTGAATATAACTGCATTCCTACAAAACTACCTAAAACAAGTGTGTTCTAGGTTGAATCAATTACTCGACGAGCGTAAGTCGCCCTTGGCCTGCAAATGGATTGGCTCCACAATATTCTGGACATCATGTACGAGAAACCATTGAAATGTTCCCGTTGTCGCACAATCCTACGGGCCGAATCCTTGACTGCTTCTTGAACATTATAAACTCATCATTACGAGTCTTGAAACATTCTCGCGGCACTGTTTTTGATTAGAACTGGTTGCACTTTCGATTCATCATAATATCCAGGCTGCACATCGATATAAGAGGCATAGATACATGTTGGTCAAGATCATGAATTTCGAGGCGGATGTTTCGCAAGAAGGCATGCTGCATGATCTCCGTAGATTCGAGCCATTTTATCGCTCGGTGGTCGAACAATGCCACGCCTGTTGCTTGATTGTGGCAATATTGTGTAAAAGCCGTCTGCATTGCACCTCGTCCATTGGATTCTTCCAGATGTCTCAATGAATCAGGCATGATGCCGACACGCCACGGTGGGAGCACGCAGATAGCTCCAACTGAAAACAGGCTGAGTTGAAACAAGACCGGCATAGCTTCTTGTTAGACTATCGGAACATGAAGGAGCTTAGGAATCTATATGAGTGTTAAAACACAATGGTTTCAGCTGTCATATCGCGAATCTTCGCGCGAGATGGGTCCCGATAGCTGGGAGACTCTCTGAAGGCTTTCCAGCATCTCTCATACTGATGTTTGACTTCATCGCATTTCAACTTTGATCAGTATCGTCGTCAGCCGCTGCACTCTATGGACATATACATCTTGATTCTTCGCTTCAAGCAAGCGATGCACTCTTTAGAAAGACCGAGATACACCATCTTCATAGGACTTCTCGCGTGCTATACATGTGAGGATGTGAGGAATGCACGGCAGCTTCCTGTTCTGGCGTATATAGAAGACCCTTACGTCTTCTAGCGCAGTCCGTGTCAAGACGTATGAATATAGGAACATCTGGCGCAGCGTGGGTTCAAGTCTTCTCGCCTCGGAATCGCGAGCAATCCATTAGTAGCATCAATCGAGTACGAGCGCAGTGAAATTGCGTGGCACTGCATCCTGAATTCGAAAGATGGTTATTTTGCTTGGCATGCCCTATTACTACGCTACTCGTAGATCCGCCGAAATTAAGGTTTTCCCCAAATCTTTGCTGGCCAATCCAGATTATTGGCTGGCACGAGGATGCCCTGAAGCCTAGGCTTAGTGGATTGATTGTGAACACTGTCCCGTTAATCTATTGCTATTGTAATCGCAGCTTCCCTAATCGCTAACTACAGATTTAAACTGTTTGTCTGCAGAGAACTACATTAAAGCTAATATCTCTTTTTTGATAGAGGACCCAGGATAAAGCTTCACAACGGTCTACTTTTACTCCGGTGCTTTGTTTTAGGCCACTTCGCTATGGTCAGCAAACTAGCTTCATAATCCATCACAATAGCAACCACTCGCCGTAGACGACCAAACGGCTCTCAGTTTAGAAAAATATAAAGCGGAGAGCACTCAAGCGACCGAGACATTAGGTGCTATCAACACCATCCATGGTTCGAAAAATCACGTGTACTATGCCCAATGAGGTTGATGTTAAGGCACTGAAATTCCGCCTAAGAAGAGAAGAGCGTGGAAAAGTGAACAACAAGCAGTAGATACCGCCACAATCAGTCCTGTAACACAGGTATGTGTTATATTATTTTAACATTGCCTAAAGACTCATTCATCTCTAGTCCATCTGCGGGTCCTTGAAGGAAGAGCTCGGTCTTCTCCTTGAGAAGCGGCACAGGAAACATGCGAACGAAAACCCTCTCTCCTGCTACGCTGAACATGTTTGGGGACAAGACTGCCACGTGTATCGACGACCCTCCATGAGAGTAAACGACTGGAGACTGTTCTTGTCCAACGTTTTCAGCATGTCAATATGACCTTGAGGTTGGGTTGGGTTAGGTTGGCTGGAGCCTTGAACACGAATAATACGGTAATGGCCACTTAGCATATTTGTTTCGATCGTATCCGCTAGGATGATAGACTGGCGGTTAAATATTTTACATTTATGGCATGTTTGTAACGAGAACGTATTCCTTTGTCGATCTTGCCGCCAGAGTCGTTTTTGTTGCTGACTTCGTATAGCCTCTTATCAATGCTCTCATCCCTCTGACCTCCAGCGTCTCTGTAAATTGCTAAAGTCCATTCATTTGCAGCCATCACCGTACACGATAGCTGTAGCGGCTAGCCTGGTCCCCTTTGAGTGACAACGATGTCACCATCTCTACAGCTCTCGACCATTTTAGCAAGACCCCATGCCGCGGAGCATCCTGGTCATCATGGCAAAGATAGCGGACTTATGGTTGAAGGCTCAGGTTTTGGACTGTTAGGGAACGGGACGAGATCTAACTTCCTCAGGCTACCAGACCCCGCTATAACCCGTGTGGAGATCCGTTATCCAAACTATTACCCGAGTTTGCAAGCTCTTTATTGTCCGCCTCCGTCTCCACAACGACCGTCGTGACGGTAGTCATCTGAATCTCATTCGTGCCAGCACCTCTCAGCGATTGTTCACTGATACTGTGAGAATTTCTAGGCCAACCCTCACCTCAACTGTTCGAGCTTCCGTTACTGCGATCACCACCAATCCTCTGCCATCCACGATGGCCACGCCACCTCTCTTGGGTTGCGTTCTTATTACTCCCCGAAGGACCTTGAACCCAAATTTTGTTCCCCGTAACTTCTCTCGTGCGGCGTCCTCATGAATTTGAATGTATCTAGCCCGGTGTCTACAAAGTCCGGCGAAGCGACGAAGATAATCGAGCTTCGGGTATACGAGAACAGGAGGACGTCCAACCATCCGTTCGACGCCATCATCAACCCAGCGAAGCAGAAGTAGCCCACACCGAAGTCTCTTCCCGCCATGGTCAAGATGCGGCCCATGGCCAGAGGCATGGTGCATAGGACATATATGATAGGATATATCAGAAAACCTAGTCGAGTGCCACTAACCGGGGACGTCCTCGCATCGTACTTTACGGAGCATGAGGCGTAGCTGTTACGGGACGCTGTCATTTGCTGCTGTAAGGAGAAGAATATCAGGATATAGAGTCCGCTAGTTAATGTTAGAGATAGGAAGATCCAGAAGTAGTGTAGCCACAATCGAATATTTTGGTATTCGACGTTTACCCAACACTGTGAGGTACGGTTAGGAACCATCCACATATACGTGGTACACCTCATATGCAAGGTGTTTATGCTTACCCAGGCGACAGCTCTAACGTAGAGACCCCCAGTGCCTCGTCCGTTATCAGTAATCAGAATTCCCATTAGATCCATTGCGTAGACAGGTCCATAGACATGCGATGGCGAGGTACAACACCCATTGTGGTGGTTTATACCCTCTTATGACTGTGAGATTTGTGTATACTGCGATCGCGGAAATGAAGCAACTGGCTGCCAAGTCACCAACGGAGACGAACCACCATTGAGCCCAGCATGTCGACGTCCTCACGAAAATGCCATTTGACCCGACCCAAGATGCATTGACCCGGAAAGCTATAGATTGCTGCAACTCTGCAAATACCAGGCTATATACTAGGAAGAGAAATTGGTTCAATATTCCCTTCGAAACAGAGCCTTCATCTCGGAGTTGCGATTTCGCAGGTACGGCAGCTGTGTTCGACGTTCTGGACTGACTGTACTGTGCCTCTGATAGTCCAAGCGAGAGATCAGTCATATTTGCCTGGTGATTATCTCGCTTTCGCCCTGCTTGTCTGATACTCCAACGCGCCAGCTTGTATGTAAGATATATGAATAAAATAGTTGTCGTGATGACGGAGAGGAATCCGAACACCGCTACGGCGATGAGACCGTTGCGATGGTTGGTGCGTAAAGGGATCTTGAAACTACTGTACTTGGTGCATAGGATCGTTTTGAAGATGGTAAAAGATTGTGAACTAGAACATACTCCATGTTAGTGATTGGGAAATACCTTGACTTATAATAAGTTGTAGAAGTAAATTCATTGGGGCGCAGACAAAGGTAGATGGATTTGATGAGTCATTTAGCAGACAAAAGCCAATTCCATATTGCAGAAAGCACAGTCAAATGAAATTTAGTACAAGACCTGTTCTTTGTCAGTTTCTCTTAATCTTTCATTTTAAGCATATCATCCAACGATCTCAGATGTGGTGTTGCTTACAATACGACTCACCGCTCCGAATTAGCGTTGTAATAAACCAATCTGTAGCTCTTTAGGTTAGATGACTCTAGCGTTGAGCTCGGTGGTCTGAGTGTGCTGGAGGTTAATGGCATTGACTTGGCTAAAACTGTGCGACGTGTTTTATTATGTGCCCTATTATATTCCATTGAACGCGAACAACGGACATCGCTGTAGGTTTATCTCTATCTAAGCATTGATATTCATTTGGTGTCCATTTCTACCCTACACCTTTGTACAGCAGTTGTTACCCCATGTTCCGATCCGCTTGACGACGTCTCCACGTCGTCAGCACCGCCCGGGTAGTGTACTTTTAGATTCTTTCCTCCCACCGTACTGGGTGTTTCGGAAATAGACGACTCCTTTTCAAGCTAAGCCTCCTGACTGCTGGCATGCACCTCAGTTTGTTGATAGATCTTGAGCTGTGTTCCAAACACATCGTTGATGCTTGTCTGACTATTGCAAGACCCGAGCTCGATGCCACGTTCGCCTCTGGTGATTGTTGTGAGATGGTTCGTGCCCCTGCCATAACCCGACCGGTGATACCTGGAAGGGTTTTCACTCGTACGCGCCCTAGAGGATTTGGCGTTGAAGGACTTGAGATGAAAAGTCCTTTGCAGTAACGTCCACGTGAAACGTAAGTTGGCTGTAATTATTGCTGTCGACAACTTATGCGTGCTTCGAGGTAGTAGGATGACTTGGCAAGTGCCCGAATAGTCAAAGTTTTGATTCGTGAGAAATTCATTTGGAAGTTTATTCAAAAATGCATGAAACATTGACCTCTAGTGATAAGAACGGCAGTGCATCATTCACGCTTCAAAGCTTCTCGCAAAATATCGGCGCCCTTCCCCGCAATAGCGTAAACCGTGCTCAAGATATTGCCTCTAGGGATGATTGGGATGATGCTGGCATCACAGACCCTCACATTCGCTGTTCCGTATACTTTCAACTCGGCATCCACAACTCCACCCAGCTCCTCATCCATCATCGCACATGTGCCGGCAGGATGATAGTTCGTTGCTCCAAACTGCCGCAGATGACCCTCAACCTCGTTTACATAGTTCGGGTAACGGGTATATCCACTAGGCAGTGTGTTGCCCTCAGGCTTCAAATGCTCAGCCAAGTGGGGCTCTTTAAGCATTCGGCCTATCTGGATCATATGTCGAGAAAGGATCTCGACGTCCAGTGGATGTTGCAGGTAGTTGAACTTGATCTCAGGACGATTTTTGGCGTCTGCGGACTGGATGTGAGAGGAACCACGAGAGAATGGGTAGGAGAGCATAGCAAGGAGAGTCATGTAGTTGCCTGGCGCTCGCTGGGTTGGTGGGGTGTACCGTTGGTTGCGAGTCATAAAGCTTGTCGCTGTAGCTTCTTGTGGATCGAGGATGAACTTTCGTATGATGTTATGCTGAGCGTTCATTCCTTTGGTTGTGGTAGACGATGTCTCCTGGAGTGCCTTCTCAACCAGAACTTTCAGATCATCCTCCTCTTCTTTGTGGCTGAGTGCGTGTAGAGGTAAATAAGAGAAACTGCAAGGCCCTTGGCTCAGAGGACCAGTTTGGGTATTATGGTACAACGCTTCTGCGGCCTTGATCAAGCCAGGGTTCCTGGCAGTAGTGTCTGACGTCTCGATGCTGTCGTAGACTTCAACTGAAGGACCGAAATTGAGGTGGTCCTGAAGGTTCTCTAGGTAGATCCATTAGCTAAAACTCGAGAAGAATTTCGGATAGAAGTGCCTTTACCGCCCACGTCGGGAAGATCATATAGACACTCAATTCTTGCAGCCTCTAAGTGCTTGCGAGATCCAATACCAGATAGTTCCAATATCTGAGGTGACCCAAACGTTCCTGCACAAATAATCACCTCCCTTCGAGCGTAGACAATCACCGGACTACCTTCTCTCGTGTTGTAGAGAACACCCTTTGCAATGAGCTTTCCATTCTGGGTTTCGTCATTAAACAGAATCTTTTCGACAAGCACATTGCTGTAAATGACCACGTTCTCCCTCTCGACAGTCGGCTCCAGGAAAGCTATCCCAGCATGGCTTCTTTCACCCTTGACAGTGTCGATAGCATTCGTGGTTATCGAGCCTCCAATGACATTTCCATCAGCCGGATTTTCCAAACTGCAGTATCCCATGTCTTGAATCGTGTCCACCCAAGCTGTCGACAATAGATGCGTCACTGCAGGAAAGGAAGCTTGAATGAAACCTCTGCTCTCGTTTCCCGCTGATTTAGTAGCCTCTTGCCTATCTCCATTCTCTAGTCCAGCATCTGCAATCTTTAACTCCCGCTTGACCTCTTCACTTGGCTGCTGTACCCTCCGAAACGCCCTGTAATACGTCCCAATCCCTTCCCAGTCCCATCTCACACACTTCTCGTCTTTCCTACTTAGTAACGAGTCCCAAGCATCATGATATGCTCTCGACGGATAAACAAGCGCATGCGAGTTGATCGCACTACTTCCGCCCCACAGCTTGCCTCTCGGTTGCAGAATTACTCTTCCATTGAGGCCTTCCTCAGGGGAACTCTGAAATTGCCAGTCAAAGTTAGGATTTCCGAGCAGTCTGCCGGAATAACCTGGCGTTCGCACGTTGGGGTCATCGTTATGATTCGAGCCTGCTTCCAGGACCAGAATTCGAAGAGTGGGGTTGGTGGAGAGACGGGAAGTGAGAAGAGAACCGGCTGTACCACCGCCGACAATTATGATATCGAAAATATCTACTGTAGTGTTGGATGCCATGATGGGGAGCTGTATTCACAAGTCCCAGCAACGGCTCTCCAAGGCTGGCTTATATTGACTTGACCTACAGACAAAAGATGAGTTGGCTCGGGGCTACTCACCACGAACAAAGCCACGTGGGGAGAAAGCAAAGGTATCTAGTACGAACCTGGACTTTATACAACTAGCTGCAAAGCTAATCATGCCATTGGTCCGATCGGCGGAACATCCCCATCTTTTCACATAAAACACCCCCCGCAGCTGGATGACACTTCTGGAAGCCTTAAGCGCTGAACGTCGAAGACGGGTCAATCATAATAATAGAGCGGGAAGCATCTAAAGAGCTTTTAATGCTACTAATTGAATAACAGAAGAAATGGCAACAATAAGAATATTTTGTTACCATATATCAAAACCTTACACACAACTACTAGAAGTACCATAACAAACGAATCATAGCCCTATGAACTTATGTGGTGGAGATTCAAGACCCCGCCAGGACGTAGGGTTCTCTGGGACGCAGGGACAAAGGTTATATCACGCGTCTCCGTGGCTTGCATACAATGTCACGTGTGTGCGCAGGAACATGTTTCTAAAACATTCTACGGCAGGTGGCGCACTGGATCGCTGTCACTCGTCTCCATATGAAGCATATCGCCATCACGACGGCGAGACAATATGGGCAGAGCCAGTCGCGTCCTGGCACGAGGCGTGCCTCCTGGCGTGCCTACATCATACCGTGCTCTTCAGATCATGGCGACGCCCCCCGTTCCACGCTCCATCATCGTGCTCGCAGACGACCCTCGATAGAAGAGAAGGCGCGAGGCCAACAGTATCTCTACCCATTTGAAGAAGATATTATCGTTAAGTATTTGCTACAAATGTCCGATCTAGGACATCCAATACGAATGAAGTTCATTCCTTCTCTAGCCTTTAGAGTCACCCGCCATCGGCCTGCCACCGAAAGACCTCTCAAGCCTCCCGGTCGGAACTGGTCAAAGGCTCTAGAGAAACGCCATCCAGAACTCATAGCACGAAGGGTTAAAGCAGTAGACTGGAATCGTCACGAGAAGAACATTTACGGGAAGATTATACACTGGTTTGAGGTGATAAAGGATGTATTACAGGATCCGGTCGTCCTGGTCAGGAATGTTTATAACATGGACGAAACTGGAGTGATGCTATCCATGCCAGGCTCTGTCAAAGTCCTCGTAGGTAAGCACGACATGCGAGATTATAAAGGTGCACGTGTATAGCGCACAACCGTGACTGCGATCGAATGCATAAGTGGTGATGGCAGGTATCTAAATCCTATGATTATCTGGCCAGCGAGTACCCATCGAAGCAACTGGATCACGTTTCCTACCCCTGGCTGGCAGTTTGCGCACTCCGACTCTGGATACACGGACTCTAAGATCAGACTCTAAGATCAGCTTAGAGTGGCTGAAGCGTGTATTCGATCCCGAAACCAAAGAACAAGCTAACGGGAAACCACGCATCTTGATCTACGACGGCTTTGGAACACACGAGACCCTCGAAATCTTAGAGCTCTATTTCGAGACCAATATTCTGTTATGTCGTCTCCCCTCTCATACCTCCCACAAGCTCCAGCCTTGTGACGTCTCGGTGTTTGCTCCCCTCAAGGCAGCTAATCGTGACCAAGTTGATCGACTCGAGCAAGGAGGTGTAAACACGATTGGCAAGGAGCACTTCACGTCTCTGTATAGCCCTGCGAGGAAAAGAGCGTTCACGCCAAAAAAAAAATTTCAAGGCCGGCTTCGCCGCAAGTGGTTTGTTTCCTTTCAATCCAGATAGGGTGCTCAGAAGTATGCCCGCCCCGGTAGCTGAACCGGCCGTTCCAAGAGTCGATGAGGTGAGAGTAGGGCCTTGTCAACAAGAGACAGAACCGCAAACGCCTGCGACGCCAGTATTAGTAGAGGCTTCTATGGCGTTGCAGAACCTAATCTTTCAACGGCACGCACATACGCTTGATGAAACGAATAAAAAGAACCTAGCGAGGTACTTACAGATTGGTAATAAAGCCACGATGATCCTTGCATCTAGGCGGATGGCCACATTAGCTTCTACACCCCACGCGAAAGATACATGTCATGTGTGGTAGAGTATAGTCAGAGAGCGGGAAACTAAGTTCCGATGCTCTCCTATAAATAGCAGATTTAACAGTCACTTCCTTTTGTAAATCGAATTAAAGACTATCCAATCCTTAATGCTTCTTAACACGGCTAAGTGTGGCAAGATTCGTTAAAGTAGTGAAATTATTATAACTATTTCTTTAGTCTTTTAACAATATTACGTAACTAGGCCCCTTATATCTGTAACAATTACGGTAAAGTCACCAGGTGATAAGCTCCTTCGGGCAGTAGTTATATTCAAAGACTTATTCTTAAGGAGGGGAGGATAGAATGTCTCCATCGCTAGTTACGAAGCGGGGGTTTTACACTGACTACGCACGGGCGTACTCCGTACGCTGCTTAAGCGCCAGGCTGGCACCTAGGCTAGGTCGTTACATCTCCGTACACTATAGACATTTATAGTTATTTATATTGTTATATTTATATATATCGAAATCTCGCTCGGAACATTATAATAGAGAAGTTAAGTTATGTTTATAAACTCGAGCGAAAATCAAGTTAAAATTTACATTATAAAATTATTTATAAATCCTTTATAAAAGTAATACTAAAGAAAATAAAGTTAAACTTTTATATTAACTTATTTAAGAAATAACCGCCTTAAACCTTAAAGTCTTAAAAAAAGGGGGGGTTTATTATTTTCATAATAATGTACAATTATATTAAAACGGTTAAATAATACCTTTAACGTCTATTTAGTCCCTTTTTATATTATCGTCTTTTAAAAGTTAGACTTTAATCTAAAATCACTATGTAAGCGATACTCTAGTTTATAATTAATATGTATTCTATTATTAGCATGATTTATAAGACTATACCCACTTTAATAACGGCGGTCGGCTTGAGCTGCTCGCCTAGAGGCCACTTATTCGAGGCGTCAAATGATGCTCTAACACGCGTATGATCGCTGACGATGCCCTGTACATTAAGGGGGTTGCTAAAACTCTGGCTCAGGGTCTAAAGCATTAGACGACGGGTTCTCCTTAAAGTGCGGCATTGAGAAGAAAGGTTATCTCTTTCTAACGGATGTGCAACAAGAAACTTGTAAGCTCTTTCGAGATGAATACAACTTCGTCCTAGGCGGCATCTTAAGACTGTCGTATATGTAAAATACTACTTTCCAAACGGAGACGTAGTCGTGGCACGACTATAGCGGCGTCATGTCAAGGATTCAACTCAGAGGAATGGCGCGGCTCGTCGTCCGGCTCCGGTTACGCCGTTGACTTGTACACTGGGCTACCCACCACGGCCGGATCGGTCCGCTAAAGCTCACGAACGAAGGCACCGTTCACACTCTACATGTCATTCCAATGGGCGAGAAGAAAAGGCCAGGATTTCTTGTAGCGACCATGTTTGGCTTTAAATTGGAATCTCGACTCGACTTGCTTCCAACTTTTGGATGATCCTTCGCGCCGGCGACGTGAAAGACATTCGACGGATATAGAATCGCGCTCTAACGTAGGTATTGTCAATCTTAAGAACGGCTAAGTTTTTAGCCATTGACGTTACATTTCACTATATAGGGTTTGATAAAAGGTATAGTGTCCTTAGTTATGAGCTCTGGGACGAACTTAGATTAAGCTATGAAGCGTTTAAGTCATCAAATTGTGCTACCGCCGATGAAGAGGTAGAGAAGAGAGTAGTGAAAATCTTATGATTCATTCGGGAATCGCTAAAGATGACATGTAACGAAAAGGTCGTCGTAGGGCGCTATAGGGTCCCAACCGGCACTTCCGTCGTCTAGTTATACCTAGGCTTGTAGCGCAAGGAGATCGGTGAGTTCCTTTCTCAAGCTATATAAGTTCGGCATTACACCTTTATCATCCGAGCTTCAAGCTCTCTAAGGCGCAACGTAGATGCTCGAATTGTGTTGTCTGCCACCAGAGCAGAAAATGGACATAGAAATAGCCATGTTTAGTGCTTAGACACTCAAGAGATATCTAGAACAAGGCAGAAGGCATTCTTATTTTATACACGACTACACTCCCCCAAGACATGTTCTACCCTATACATACAAAGGCCAACTGCCAACTTCCGCGACACATCTATTAGTATATCGACACTCTCACGAAGGATCTCGACTTCGATACTTATTATAACAATATTCTTTGTTTCTTATGTTCTTAAAGAGATCTCAGTCAGGTACAAGTCGAGCGATTACAACGGACTGATCAATGAGTATGTTACTTTCATATCGGCGGAAAGTCACAGGGGGTAAAGAAAGTGCTCGAGTGACACATGGCGATGAAAAGGTAAAGGCAGAAACAAATGGGCACTTAGGGAACGGAAAGATTTCAAATAATAATTCTTATAAACCTATTGAAAATAAATATGAAGACGCCAGATATACTATTGGACTAAGTTTAGTCGAATTACCAATGTATATATATAACCATAGATCCCTCCATTATGCTTTACTATCTAACCATGTCCCAAGCCATTTTGAACTATAAGGGACACTCTTCCATTAATTATCAATAATCAGCGCCATTTAACGTGTTCTCTTAGTAGAGCGATGTCTTGTCCTCTCCCAGTCCTCCCGCGTTTAGCAGGTAGTCTAGCATTAGAGCAGTTCCCCTTTTAGAGCAACCTTCGCACATTATAGCTAATCTAATTTGGGTCCCAATGTAAAGAACCGCGTCTAGCGCGCTTGCGTTTGCCATTGCTCCGCATAGTTATACAATTACAAATGTCCCTCGGTCGGTCGGCCGGGCTCATAAGGCTAAGCCTACGACAGAGGCAATATTTATCGTCTATATGAAAGTAATGTGAAAAAATTATCTCCTTTGGGCCTTTATTAGCCTACTAAACACTTGTAAGAGTGCCCTTGTTCGAACCAACTTTAATGTATACTCCCTCGGACTCCACTTCAATCCCTTAACCACAACGTTAAGACTGAGACAGGAAGCCTCGCAGCTCACTTCCACGTCTTCAACCTTTGCAATCGCGGCTATTAGCGCCAGCGACAGCAAGGAGAAGGCTTAAGAATACGGCAGCAATGACACTAGATCTTCTAATGATAGTACCCCGAAGACCACCGCGGCTGGTGGTTGGAATGTATTACATCCTACATCTGGAGCAGATTCCTCGTCTCTCCGTTGAATGCTGCGTTTTTTAGTAGGCCAACGCATGCACGGTCATGCTCTCCACTGTATTCCTATCTTCGCTGGACAATACCATCGCCACTAATATCCAGCCTTCCATTATGAATGACATCGGCCACGTCGAGCTAGTTCCATAATCGGTACCGGCGTTGCTTTAGGAGCTCTGGCCATACTGCATGGGGCGAAACCTATGCCGTCTTCAACATCAAGGATACTTATGTGTTCAACATTTTCCTCCTAGGAGTCGGCAACGCCATATATAGAACCGCCCCCAGCATGATTGCCCTCATCCTACGGCGTGTTATTGCTGGTCTTAGAGGCCCCAGTACGTACTGTGAAACACTAACGTATATATCGGTTTCCACGAGTCCCGAGCACAAACCCGCGTATATCTCTAGAATTACTGTTGTCTGTGGTATTGGTTGTGTTCTTGGTCCCGTGGTATGTCGAATGGTACGTTATCCATCAATGTATACATTCAGGCGTATGTGAAGTAGGTCGGAGGTACATCAGCCATCAGTAGTGTCACTTGGAAATGGGTATGTCGCTATGTCTGAGCCTATCAAGGGCTTCTGCTGAGTACTATCATAGTCAGGGGTTCTACATCAACTCGGTCATCGGGCATATTTCCGCTCCGGCTTACTATTTACCTCAATTGATCCTCAGCCTAGGATGGCCATGTCCGAGAAGTTCGGCATGGTCGATTGGATCAAATCTGCCGTCTTCCTCGTGAGTTCTGCTCGTCTTGTAATCGCCATCTAATTTGGTGGTATTGTTTTTGCCTTCGATTCAGCAGCCACGATCGCGCTTTAGATAATGATAGGTGTCTTTTGATTGTTTTTGTCCTCCGTGTCGAGTTTTATCCTCTGGTGATGCGCAACAACCGCCTGTATCCGGTGCATTACTATTTTCAATGGTCTGTGTCTAGTATCAGCGCCTCAACGACTACGCGTTACTTGTCTCTATTTTGACGTACCTTTGAGTCAGCAAGATCACACTTCATAACTGTTCAGGTGCAGACATATGATTCGAGAATATAAAGAGCCAAGAATGAGTGTCTGCGTTCTTTTAGCAGTACGAGATCGTGGGTCGGCGGCAGCTCAGTTTCTAGCTTCTGGCCGAAGGAATGTTGCATAACTCCACGGTCCACTGATGGAATCTGAGCATCCTAGACAACTGGACAGCACGTCCCAGCATGATGCAAGCTCGATCAAGTTTGATATCCGCAGCCTCAAATTTAAGGATACACACTAGGGCTTAGAATAAATCTAAGCTGGTAACCGGGCCCTTCTGGGGGACGATCAACAGGAGCCACCTGACTTTGTCTCTGCTATGCATATCAAACAGTCCCCGACTGCATGGCATACAAGTGTCTCACTTGGTGCTTTTCATGAGGTTACTGGCGCACAACCAAATAAAACACGTCAACATGTTGCTTCTATCAAAAAGATGAGCTCCACACAGGCAGATAATTCGACGACGATTGAGACATCAGCTGGCAACGAACTTTAGAAATCACCCTTCCGTGTTTACCGCCGGGTGATAAGTGAGCACTCAACACATCTACCTAGTACTAAGTGATCACAATAAAATAGTTATCAGACCAGAGTATCCCAACTACTTTGTATAGCGGGTATTAAGCAGATATGTTGGCATCAATTGGATACAACCACTTCGTCTCTAACAGGACGATTGAGAGCTTCGCACGGTGTGCAAGTAACCACACAGATTCGTTTTCAAGTTTACTTATTCCAGCCAGCGATAAAAGTCCATTATTGTGTCCCTCCCAACGCTTTAATTATACTTATAGTGGAAACAGCTGCGGCTAGTCATCACTTCTCCAAGAAAGGTTGTATAACGAATATTTGAGATTATCGGTACTTACACAAGTAGGACACGGAGGTTAGTGCAATTGAACAGCATCCGTCTTAGTAACAACTTTGGATCGGTGCTAACCCTATATTGTTTAATTTTTAGAGTCCACTATAGCTCCCTAACCGACGGCTATGTCTGGTTTTATTAGAAAGATATCTTAATAGAAGAGCAAAATGAGAGTAGCTCCGTAGTTACTCTACCCATACTGCAATCTCTCAGTACAAAACCTTTTTCAGACAATTTAGTGGGTAGTCGTTCAACAATCCGTCGAGAAGCGGTAAACAGAACAACGGTTTATTTCAACATTACCGTTCAAGATGGTGCCATAGTACCGGGGCGAAGGGGATTTCGGTTGTCCAAGTATAAACACAATTAGGTAGCTTTCACCAACACGCCGGCTGATGAAACGTCATCAACCGAATCAGTACTCGGAAGCTCAACATCACTGCTAGTAACTAATGAGGATACGTTTGTTAAAAGCGGAGGAGATGGCAGAAAGTCGAGGAGAAAAGGCTATCAAAATAGCACTTCGAATACCGACTACCAGTTGGTTGAAAGAGCTCGTTCTCGACATCCCTTGTGGCGACGTAGTTTTGCTTGATGTATTGAAGCAGCAAAACTATGTCTTGTCTGACAGGAAACTGGATGAGTTTGAAGCTAGTTTTCTCGATCCAGCACTTAGGCATGAATCGAGAATGCTATAACAGCCAATTCTAATCTAAATGCGTCTTGCTAAGGAGTTCTCCTTTTGCCAACACAATGGCCAAGTCTGGAGACGGCAATGCAGTCATATGAAACAAGCCGTATAGAGATTTTGTGAAGGATCTTGTTTACAAGACACCTCAGAAGACATCAGCCTCTCTAACGAGGATCTGAAATTTTGCACATCTGTGGATCTAAAGTATATAGTCAGACAGCAATGGGATAGCAAAGAAGCTATAGCAAATGTGCTTGGAGTTATTAAGTTAAAGGAATAGGAAGCCCATTTACTGGATCACGAGTTAAAGGATTCATTGTGCCACATACCTGCATGTTGATCTGCTGAAATCTATATTCAAGGAAGCGGCACAGCCCCTGCTTAGTTTCATGCCTATTTTCCGGTGGCACCGAACCTTCAGCGGTGTACCCTTCTCGCATATTTGGTGAAATTACGCGAGAACCCCGATCTAGGAGCAGCTAGAGCTACGTTAATGTGGGTTTATTCTGGTGACAATCCTTCCCACGCATCCTGCGGAACAGATTATAAGGATTCAAATAGTGCCTGCGGAGGATTATTGAATGCATCAAGTACCCACGGAATGGGCTGACTTGCAAACCTTTTTATGCGAATTCATATTTCTTAGTTATGGATATCATATATCTGTTTCAATCCATCTGGTGCTGTTGTTGCTAACCGGCTGCCGGAATTATTGCATTCGCACAAGCGCTGGGAACCCAAGCGAGCAAGCAGAAAGGTTTCCACAAATCCTCGGATTCTCAACCGCGAATTAGTGCGGTTTTCGCCCAACCTTCATATACTTTGCGTTTGAGCTCGAATACGTCACCGACAATAAGTATAGAAGTTATTCGGAAGCTTCAAAGAGTATCTAAGCTAGAAATTTTCGTAACATGAGTTTCAATATTGGAATACCGCGTCGTGGTCATATTTATAGATTCAGATGACAAGTTCTGGCAGAGTGTCCGAGGACTGGTGGAAACCTTTCTGGCAAGTGCTTATTGTACCACACCCCTGTTGTTTCGGGCAGCTACTCTATTCGTTTGACACCCATGAATAGGGGCCCATCTGCTCTGCATATTGATGCAACGAACCATGTGTTTACCTATCATAGTACATTGACTGTGGGTCCCAATATCACAGACTGAGCGAGAATTCCATGTATAAAGTCTTAACGGAAGCTAGTGGATGGAAATCGGTTGTCACCACTAACGCGACTGCCGTACAGCTTATTGGTCAAATTTTCAGACTTGCTACCGCATACCATTTTTGAGTTATCCATGAAACCATTTGATCAGTGGGACGTTGTCTAAAGTAGCTTCGTTCGAAATTTACGATGCAGCTTTATCATAAACTCCGTGCTGGTGATAGCAAAGAGATCCGACTTGTTCACCTGGAAGACATCGACAAGGAGACCAACGAGGTGATATGTCGCCTCGAAACCGTGGAGTTCAATAAGGATCTGCAGTATCGCGCCCTATCGTACTACTGGGGAGATCCGACCAACTCGCCCTCGATCATCTGTGATGGGTCCCGGCTCAAGGCCACTCCAAATTTGGATTCCGCCTTACGATGTTTATTACGAAAGGGCAAGTCGAGCAACTTGCCCCTAAGCTTCTGGGTCGACGCTATCTGTATCAACCAAGAAGACAATGATGAGAAAGAGGTGCAAGTCCGGCTGATGGGAGATATATATCGGCAGGCATCCGAGGTCATTGTATGGCTTGGCGCTGCTGCTGATAACAGTGACTTGGCTTTCCAGGTTTGCGAGAGGCTATGCTCGCGAGAGCTTGAACTTGAAAAGACTCAGAAGAAGGAGGGCTGGGGTCGCAAATTTGTTCTATACGATCACGTTTTCTTTGCAGAAGGATCGCGTATGTTCAACCCAAACGGAGTTCACAAGTTCGCCAGAGAACTTGACTCTATCCAAGCTATCCTCGCGCGACCCTGGTGGTCCAGGATCTGGATAATACAGGAAGTCGCTTTGGCCAAGCAAGTGGTTGTATTTTGCGGAGATTCAGTAATCAATTGGATTACTCTTGATATAGGTATCACCGCATGTATGAAGATAAAGTGGTCAGATCAGTTTGTGCAATTAGCGACACTTTATCACGCACATGTGCTATTTGAAGCTCGAAGAATGGCCATGCATGATCCCGAACTCAAAGGGAAAGGAAAAACCCAGTATCATCTTTGCCACCTTCTCGGCCAATTCAGGTGGTCCATGGCAACCAACCCGCGCGATAAGGTATACGGCTTGCTTGGTATGACCACTGAGCACTTGTCTCATGTGAGCTATAATGACAACACCGAGGATTGCTACCGCGCGGCAATCATCGATGTTATCAAGTCAACCGGATCACTGGACATCCTTCAGCTCTGTCGAAAGCCTCCTGGTTTAGAGACCGCCTACAACGCCGATACGCCAAAGCTTCCATCATGGCTTCCAGATTTGAGGCTGGACGTAAGGAATGTTGACCCTGCAATTGAGCTATCTGGTATCAGGCCAATCGGTCTGCAATCGTTCCCCGCTATTGAACAGGTAATGCTAGAGATACCCAGACTACGAAACATAGTGTTTCGCGCAAGTAATGGGAGCGTTGAGAACGACCCTTGCTTGCAAGGTGCTGATATTTTGGTCCTGAAAGGGCAAATTTTTGACAAGATCATGACGTTAGGTGAGATGCAGACTGGCGCAGAAGCACAACGCAACGAACGAACCAATGAGACGTGGAACTATGTCCGCGAAGTACGAGCCAGGACACACACCCCTGCGAAGTTCTTCAAGGCGGTTACAACCAGTTTGAGTGGCTGGTCGCAAGACGTGCACCAGATTGGAGCCGAGAAACTGCTTTTGACGCGATGGAGGCAACTGGCTTCATCAAGAGGAACTGAGTATCCGACTGGGGAGTCCTTGAATCAAGCCTTCTTCAGTACATTACTGCAAGGAAATCTTGGAAATGACCCTGAACAAAGGATAGCACAGTACGAGGCTGAATGGAATCGAGTTCTGGGCAGTGTGGATGCCATCAACCAATCCTTTCTGTTGAAAAATGCCGCAAAGGAAAGCAAGGTTCGCCAGAGCATAGCTACCATGGTCCATTTCACCTCGACATTCCTCAAAGACGAACAAATCCAGCTGGAGGGAGACGCTATCTATACACATTTTACATTGACGGAGCTGGGATACTTCGCACTTATGCCACCTGGAGCACGTGAAGGAGACTCGATCGTGCTCTTCAGAGGCGGACCAGTTCCATTTCTCATCCGTCAGAGAGTGCATGATAAAGATGACCCATTGTGGGAGTTGATAGGTCCATGCTATGTACATGGCATTATGCAAGGAGAGCAGTGGAAAGAGGAGGCATGCGAGTCGATTAAGCTGGTTTAATCTCCAATTTGACTCGCGCCCATTTCCATACTAAGCCAGGTATATAGCACGTTAAGGGGAATGCGAGAGATATGAAATTTAGGTTATCCTTCTGAATCGAGCATACGGATCCGTATATCACATGAGACTATTGCTAGAGTGGAGCAAGTGGTGCATTGTTGAAACTGCAACAGACAAAGGAAATTCCCCACAACTGTATAGGATGCAACATTCACCAAAGAGACCCACATCAGCAACAGTATACAGTGGAAAATACTGTGATCGTCCATGGCTTTAGGCCTGATAATCTGTGCGAAGATTGCGATGCCGTAGGACACAGCCCTTTTGGATTAAACATATCTTCGGGCAAAGATAATTTCTTCATTTTCAGTAGGACTAGCATTCAAACCAGTCTTGACGCCGACACAATGGAGGAGACCCTTGAAAGAAATTTTGAGACTGCTGCGAACCAAAAGAACAACAACCCCAAACAGATTGAGTCTTTATTTGTATTAAGATTTGCGAAAGTTGTCTCTTGTGTGGGGGAGTGCTCATGTCACGCAATTGGGGTTGGGACTAGTAAAGTCAATGACGCGAATGATGTTGGAATACCGTCGTCCATTGACCCACTTCAGCCATCCTCGACAACTTATAACAACGACTTCTCTTAAGCATAGCTGCGCAAATATCCACTTCTCAATCTAATTGACTTATGAAACCAAAAAAAAAAAAACTCTTCGGTATATTCCTAAACCACCATAATGCTTTCCAGGTTGAGTCGGTCAGCCAGCCGCCAGGCTTTAAAAAGTCCACCATCAAGACTCCAATTTCGCAGTTTTACTCTATCTACTGCGAGACGAATAGTGGACCAAACAAAAAAGAACAACGAATCATCTCAAGAACACAAGGACAGCCACCGCCAGCAAGCTACCAAAGCGGGTAGCTCAGGTAGCAGTGAGGGCCACCCAGCCAAGCAAGCTGATCCCCAGCCGTCACCCAGCAAGTCCACAGGTATTGAGACCGACGGGCCAGGCTCTTCCAAGGCTGGCACTGGATCAGACCGAGGCGGAGTGTACCAGGATGAGGACGTCAAGCGAGAGCAGAAGCAGAAGGAAAAAGAGGGCGGCAGGGAATCATCGATGGTTAGGGGCGCGGACAAGGGCGAGAGTCTAGCAGAAGGCGACTACGACTCATCCTCAAAAACCCCTGGTAGCAAATCATTTACTGGGGGGCACGGAAAGAGCCATGCACTGGACGATAAGTGAAGAGACGAGAAGTTAGCTGGGTTTCTGCCAAGTTCCTGAGACAGGAGTAGAGCTTACATATCCCAGTTTAGTAGTGGAGACATGGCTGTCTACATATGTACATGTATCAATTGCTCGAAACTCAGGTTAAGGGGAGACTTCAATTTTGATTAAATCTGTCCCGAACCGATTGGGGTCGCTTAAGCTATCGGATTTTACTTTGCATATCACCCGACGCATATCATACATGGGGATTCTGTATACATTGAGACAAAGCCGTTTCGCTTTATTGCCATTGAACTCATGAATTATGTTGAATGTGGAAGTCTACTACTAAAAAATACAGACCCGGGGAGTGTAAAAGGAGTATAACGTTGCCCACACCGCCTTGAGTGGCTGGAGTGAAGAAGCTAGTACTTCAAGCATATAGGATCAATTTAAAATGTCCAATATATACAGTCCTTGCCCACCGGAAACTTCCTTATCTTAAATCAAGTGTTACCCTCATCCACCAAACATTTCACAGGTTCCGTGAAATCTCAGGATATGTGGCCAAAATTGTCGCGCTTCGATTCGTGCCCAATTCTCTAACCCTGCGACGGAAGAGACATACCGATATAGAAACCTGGCTGATCTATGTCACGATTCCTAAAACTTTCATGAATGTTAGTATTGCAACTAATCTCCACACGTCAGAAGATCCCACCTGAGAACTGCTATTGCACCGGGCGACATCATCATGGCTAAGGGTGTGTCAAGGGGGTACCGCAACCACCTTTTAGCAAAGGCGCGAAGAATGTGCCCATGAGCAACCTAAATAATGGAGACCGTTAGCAGATAAACACAAAAGCAGCAGGCAATAGCGACGGATGGCAGCCATACCAGCACAACATCGCATGGCTTCTCTCCTCCGAAGCCAGGTCTTTGAACGTCTCGAATCTGCGAAATAAGCCTGTCCAGTCTAGCGGTTACCTGCTCCGCAGATCTATCATGCGGTCAGCAGATTCTATTCGTAGCATTACAGTATATATGGGAAAAACAAAAAGCTTACTCTCCACCCTCGCAACCGTCCCTCCATATGTCCCACTCCTTTTCTTGGTCCAGACCCTTGTCCTTCCTCTTGACATGGATTTCCTTGGTTTTCAATCCTTCGTAGTCACCATAATCCCATTCAGCGATGTCCTCAGTGGTTGTGAACTTTTCAGCAAGGTCACGCGAAGCGGCGGAGTCAGCACTCTGGGGGTCGATATTGAAAAGATATCCCAAGGTCTGTTGCGCACGCTTGCGAGGGCTCACCCAGATGCGCGCAATCCGGGCAGGGTCGATCAGCTTGCCGTGACCTACCATGTGGGATGCTGTGCCGGTGACTTGCTTGATGCCAGCGGGCGTCAATTCAAGGTCGGTGCGGCCCGTGTAGCGACCGTTTTTTGTCCATTCCGTCTCTCCTAATGCACCACGTTACATCTTGGAGACGCTTCCCGGTATCAGACACAGAGCTCACCATGGCGCACAAGAAATACTCGCGGTGTAGCAGCGTCCAAGTCAGACATGTCGAAAGTTTCACTTCAGAGCAACTTGGTTATAGGCCGTAATGACATTCCATGTGGTTGTCGTAGTAAAGAGAGCGGGGATAGTGAAAATGCGGGATTTCTCATGTTGACTTCTATTTAGTCTACACTAGGGTCCACTGAGTATACTCAACATTCCTCCACGACGGGTTGGACTTTGTTGACCCATTGTTCTGTTACCTGGAAGCTCGTGTGTAGCCTTGCCACTTGATTTTGTTTCTTCCCATCCGTATTTTGTTGGAGGCATACTTTAACATAGTGTTTCCTACTTTCAAGGTCCACACACAACGCCCGGAGTAGCTTCGGAGAAAGACCAAAGCCGTTCGGTCAATCGTAATGTAGAAGTTATACCTAGGCTAGTCTACTTGGAAGGAATGAGCCTTGGTAATGTCACTTCAATAAGGAAGTTCCTAATGCCACGGAGGGTTGTTCATGCGGACTGCTGTGACAAACGCACAGGCCAATTATAGTGGAATGACGTGCGATGGCGGGGTTTTCATTTGATCGATAAGACAGCGACCGAATTGTCATCAACCGCCCCGCGCTTCGGAGGTGGGCGTGGGTGTGGGCGTTGGCGCGGGCGCAGAGCAACCCATTGAACTAATAATTATTTCAAACATTAATCGCATCAACCACCTTTTCACAAGAAGCCTGGTAGCCTTATTTCGCATCCGTTCTCTACCTCTTGGTTTTCCTTTTGCCACAAGCACGACACGCTCATACACGTCTTAGACACATAACAACCAGCAGCCCAAAATGTCGACAATAAAGGAGATCACCACTGAGGACGAGTGGCGCGCCCATGTCGCCGCTCTGCACAAGGAGACCCTCCTTATTATCTCCTTCCACGCACCCTGGGCCGCACCTTGCGCACAGATGGCCACCGTCCTCAAGACTCTCGCATCTGAGTATCCCGTCACCGACCCGCCGCAGACGAGCTGGGTCTCGCTCAACGCTGAAGAGCTCAGCGACATTAGCGAAACCTACGACGTCACAGCTGTCCCCTACCTGGTACTCCAGCGCAGCGACACCGTACTCGACACCGTCAGCGGGAGCAGTGCAGTCAAAGTCAGAAACGCAATCGAGACACATGCCAAGAAGGCCGCAGGTGGCGCGCCCAACGGTACGGCGGCTGGCGCAGCCGGCGCAGTGGAGCAGAAGGACGAGGTCGACACGGCTGCAGATCCCGAGAAGGCAAAGGAGGAGCTGTTCAAGAGGCTGGGCGAGCTCGTCAAAGCCGCACCGGTGATGTTGTTCATGAAGGGTACCCCCAGCTCCCCGCAATGCGGCTTCTCGAGACAACTGGTGGGAATTCTGCGAGATCGGAGTGTCAAGTACGGTTTCTTTAACATCCTGGCCGATGATGAGGTGCGGCAAGGCCTGAAGGAGTACGCTGAGTGGCCGACATATCCTCAACTCTGGATGGACGGCGAACTGGTTGGAGGGCTGGACATTGTAAGTGCTTGCTGAGTGTGTCCCCGTGAAGTTTGAGACTGACAAATTGTGCAGATCAAGGAGGAGCTGGAGGGCAACTCTGACTTCTTCCAATCATACAGTGTGGCAAAGGAGGGAGCTGCTGCTGCATGAAAGTTCAAATGAGTCTATTCGAACTTGAAATGAGCCTATGACATTATGGAAGAGCGAGCTATTGCAGATACGCGGATTTGGAAGACAGGGTCTCAAAAATCTTTATGCAGATACCGACGAAGCTGAAGAAAAAGGTCGCGCCACGGAAAGACGTATCGAAATCGGGATCGGTTGAAGCCGGTGAAATTCAAAGTCCCTTTGGTCTGAGGTCATGTCCATCTAGCATGATTCGTGCAACAACAAGGTCAATCAAGCAAACATATGTTAACAATCATTCTTTCCCGTTTGACAATCCCGGTGGAAATTAGGAAATCAGTTTGATGCTCGAGGTCTAAAATGTCACCAATGATTGAGTTTTTGAAAAGCTGGAATTGAAAATAATGATTTTTCTTCTTGCAGGTTCGAGTTGCAACTGGTTGGCGAAAGAGATGATCAGCCGACATTGTCTTGTTTTATAAGACTGCAACGTCTTCCAACGTCACTCAAATGAGATGCGTTATTCATCTTATAGACCAACTGCATGTTGCCCTTCGAGGAACACTAGGCCTTTATGCTTTTCCAATCTGTCATCTGACATAACAGTTTCTGATTAATACTATGGTAGCAAAGCTCTAACGAAAGCTTTTGCTGGGTATCCTTGCAGTTTGGGTTGCAAAGACTCTATGGGTCGTCCTGGACATGCCTCGTCCTTGTACAAGTATATATGTAGCCACGCAGGTTTGACATTATTGAATGACATACGTAGCACCTAACATTTACGTATCTTTCCCCGATCAGCCCCTCCTCAGTCATGAAACCCAAAGAACACATCATCCTTTGGTGGTGCTCCCAACCTGAGTTCTTCTTCTGGCGCCTCACACAAGTCCCTCACGTCGGCGGGAAGCGTCCAGCTCTTCAGCTCGTCCAGTCTCGAGACAAACTGCATCGCCATGCCCGCCTCGCTGTGCCAGATCATATGACAGTGAAACAGCCACACGCCAGGGTTATCGGCCACGAATCTTAGAAGCACCCAGCCGAAACCTTCCGCGGTTGCGACGTCCCGCTTGAGCGGATTTTCAACTACGGTGCGATTGCTCGGGTCCAGCAGTCCCTGGCCGTCGGCTTTCAGGCCTAACTTGTCATAGCCGGGGAAGTAGCCGTGGCCGGCTCCCAAGACCCAAAACTGGTGCCCGTGTAAGTGGAAGGGGTGACTGTTCTCGTCCATGTTCTGCAGGATTATGTCTACGGTCTGGATATCTCTATGCGAGACGACTAGCTCCTGCTTGTCAAAGGCTGCGGTGTTGACGCCTTCCATGTTGAATGACCCATTGGATGCTGCGAGGCCGTCGATGATACGGTGCAAGGTAGGTTGTTTGAGGTCGGGGCGGAACGAGGATGAGTTCATGACGCCGCGTTGGAGCCGCCAGTTGCCGATTGCGAGATTGACACGGATGTACCACGAATGGTCTGCGACGTCTGGCGCAGGCTGTGGAGGCGACGGTCGGTAACGTGCGCGTGCAGTCATGTCTTTGCAAATCATGGGGTAATTCGAATTTGTGTTGTTTGTAGTTGGAAGAACTTGATATGCGGCGCTCGAGGAGCTATCTTGCTCTGTTGAACTGGTGGCCGGAGGGGAAGAGTATCGTACTATAGCCCTGGCCTCATCAGAACCGTTTTCCGGTATGGTAGGCTCAGCGAAACAGGCTTTGATCATTCGGGCACGAAGCCAGAAAGACTCCTGACCAGATTGATCCGCTTGGTTAGTGGTCAAGATTGCACTATATCGTTGCCCAGGAGATAGAACGATATCCGATTCGGGCGCTGGCTCGATTGATGTGCCGTCTATCTCGACTACAGGCAGGCTTGTGTGCTCATCAACCGAGACTTGGAACCAAGCATACCCACCCAAGTTGATAAAGCGCAACTGATGGCTTACGCCAGGAGCAAGGTCTATGGTGGGAAGATATGCACCCTGGTTGTCGCAACGACGAGCTGTGTGCAAACTGCAGTCGACTTTGTTTAGGCCGTTGATAAGTGCAGCATTTGGAATTGGCGAATCCTCATTTCCAGGGGATAGAGTATCGCGCATAAGGCCTTCTGCTTGATCATAATACCAATCGTGGAGCATGATTACACGGTCGGACACGTATGGTAAGGGGCGAACCTTTGCTTCCTCGCGACTGTGGACGATCAAGGGGCCAACAAGGCCATCAAGGGCCTGAACACCTTGGTGGCCGTGATAAAAGTCTAGAGGCATTATTAATTCAATGTCAAATGTTTGGAAAAGACAATCGCACTTACAAGTACCTGCCTGGTCTTTGACAGTAAATTTGTATTGAAATGATTTCCCAGGCACAATTGGGCATTGTGTCACCCCCGACGTCCCGTCCATCCAGGTAGATCCGTTCTGAAATATACCGTGCCAGTGTATTGCGGTTGCATTAGTAGCAAGGTTGTGTACATCGACTACGATTGTGTCTCCTTCGTTGACTTCGACCAACGGCCCTGGGAATTGCCCGTTTATAGTTATCATGGGCTTATACACGCCATCCGGATTGCCCTCTTTCTCTATGATGGTCCAGTCATAGTGACGTTCCTGACGCGGAGCCCCAAAGTCCCAATCTGTGTCTAGTATATAGTCCTTGTCAGACCTTCGCAGAGGGAGCTCCAGATATTCAGTCAATCCAGAACTTGAACTTGTCGCATTTCTGTCCGTGTCTCCTCGTGTAACAAGCCACAAATCAAATAGAACCATGAATGATACGATGGAAACGCAGGATACCCTCATAAACCACGATCTGTTTCCCCTAAAGCCCATACCTCTCGGTCTGGTGGGTGTCTCGACGTCCGGTTCTTCCTTGGACAGCAGTGTTTTCCTTTGCTCCACATCGCCTGCCGCACCACTTAACGCCGGTGTATCGACATCTCCATCGTCATCATCCGAATCAAACAACATCCTTTCCGACTCAATGCGGCGGTCTGCATTGGGCGATGCAGCGCTCTTAGGACTATATGCGCTCATGACCGGATAAGCTAGCAGCAAGTTTGCGACCCAAGGTTTCAAGAAGCAGCCGAGCGTGCAAGGATTCCAAGTAGTTGCTGTAAAACAAGGCTCCAGTGTCTTGAGGTTGAGTAGACCGTGGTATGGCGGCAAGAGCTATTTGAGAAGAGCTGAGTTACTCCTCACGGCAACTCACCTTGACTTGATATAAATAGCGACCATGCGCAGGCTCATGGAACTCTTAGATTTAAATCCCAGCTTATCAGCGGCCGTGGGCATGTATCTCATATGAATGCGTACGATGCAAGCGACAAACGTCTTGTCGAGCTCTGGGCAATTGTAAGGTTGAAGTTGGGGAGTCTGGAAGGTGAATTCTCGAGGTTCCAAGTAAGCTTGTGATACCCCCCTGCTGGCTCCCTCATGCACAAAATGCCGTGCTTCAACTATAGCCAAACAAGCAAGCGCCAACACCTCAGATCATTGGAAATAGCACTCTCACTCGCATCGGTCGCGTGAGCATAAAGCAACGTCCATAGAAAACTCAAACATTCAGACAGGTCTAAAGAGAAATTTGACACAGAAAACTTGCGTGGTGGTTCGGAAGGAACGTGGCGCGTGAAATCCTCCTGATTGGTTTCAAGAATAGCGAAGAATATGTAGCCACAATGCCGGCTCGGGCCTCAAAGCCGAGTTCCAGATCCACGTTCCCGGAAATCTTAGTGGTATAGCGTTGCACGGTACCTTACAGCCTGCCTGTACGATAGTTATGCTTGATATCTTTAGAGAAACAAGTCAAAACCTTGAATGCCTCTCTTGTATACATGGTATCAGTGAGTTTGTTGCCCACTATAGTACTGCGCCGGCGTTCCAAGTCCACGCCATCTAACAGTTCTATCTCCGATGTGGTTTGTAGCACACTGGACTTGAAGGAAATCAACGAGTCTTGAAGACATTCATGACTGATAGAAGGGTTTGCAACTATAGTTGGGAAGAGGGTTTTTTAACGACAGGATTAAAACATGTGTGCTCTTCCGCATGAGATTTGAGATTTGCAGCGGCAATAAGGTCTTAAGTCCGGGTGAAGAAGTCACCCAATTCATTCGAACTACCGGATGAGTCATACTAATTTGCAGGAATTTGGATATTGCTAAGAAACAATGGAGAATTAGCGGCTTGGATCGACACTTGATGTAGGTACGACGTGTTTAGTCGCATGTTACCTTGCATAGAGACTGCATGTTGGTCGGTTTCGAATAGTTAGAGGTCTATTGACGTGACTCATTGTAGAAGACGGCGCACCTTCCTGGCTCTCACATGTAATGCATTCGGCTTATATATGGCGTCATGATGGTTGGAGAATACAGGCGACCGTGTTGTAGTCAAGGTGTCTGGCGGAAACTCAATAGGGCCCAACATGACTTGGTGCTGGGCTAACCCCAGCAGTGATAGACTAAGGTTAGTGCTCTTATGGAGTCCCTGTAGGATAAGGCATGCTATACTGTGGTAGAGACCGGTCACCATGGAACACTGATGACGACGGCTGACTGCCTAATATGATATTTACTGTTGGGGGTCCACGGGCAACTGCACCTGATGGCATGTTGCCAAGTCAGCGACCCTTGTCACTACGGTAGGGACTTACCACACAGTATGCGTGGGGTGTGTCGAGGCGAAGGCAACTGAGTACATGCATACGCGAGCGAAGATCACGGTACAGCAGGTGGTAATCAATCATGGCGCATGTTCTTTAGAGGGGTCAGCCTGCCCTGCGACGCAGCTTCACGGTTCTCGCTTCCCAATGGTTGGCTGCATCGACGCGGATGATTTCCCACTGTCTAGATTCCTAGCTCGGACCCGTCTTTTCTTGCTTCAGGCCCTTGACACGAACGTTTCCGTCTGACTTCTCTGTTATTGCGAGCTAATTCTTTTCCCGCCCATCTCTCCCTCCTGCAAACCGCTGTTGCTGAATAATAACGAATTTGCACACCTTGTTGCGAAACCCATCACCGAGCGTGGCATTTGCGCAATAAGACACATCGCTGTTTTTGGTGCGCGTAGCCCCCCCCCCGTCAGTGGAATCGGCTCCAAGCCCCAGCTTCCAAGGCTCCCTCTCCGCCTGTCTTTCGCTCGAGTCGGTTGGTTTGAGGGGCGTTTCTGCGCAACTCTAATTCGACCGCCTGTCCGCCAGCTTGCGATCGTCCAAGCCGTGAGCCACACCCAGACCCTTCGAGACGACCCGGCAACCAACTCCAACCGCCCATCAAAGTGAGCTGAAGATATCGAGGTCAGGGCACTCTGAAGAAAAGAAGAAGAAACGAGAAACAAGAACTAGATCGACGGGGGATATCTCATACCCAGTCGTGCTGTTGCGGCAACGTTGGCCCGTCACGCTGCGGCAGGTTGCGCTGCTATATGCTGCTGCTACTACACTAACTAGGCGGCCTGATATGCGAACCGAAGGCACATGCAAATTGAAGGAACCAAGCATTGTGGGGCGTATTGAGTCAATCTGGAAAGAAAGGGAGGAGGAAGATACCAAGACGATAAACAACTTGTACCGTTTTGCAAACAGTGGCCAACAGTTTAGAGGGGGGAACAGACACATTTCACTATGACGCCGACACCACCATCTGCAGCGACTTCTTCGTCGGGACATTCTCCCGAGGAGCAGTTCCGCGTAGTCAGACGCAGGAACCGTGTTCCCTTGAGCTGCTTGCCCTGCAGAACCAGGAAGTAAGTTGACTTCCATCCACTAATGATAAGTACAGCGAGGCTTACCTTGTCCAAGATTGAAGTGCAATAGAGGAACTCCAAACTGTGACAACTGCGTGAAGCGTGGCGATACACACTCATGCGTATATGCCAGTCCGTCAACACGAAGGAAGAACACAACTACCGATGCAGCAAATGCAAGCCCCGACGATATGCAAAATCGCATCGATCGTCTCGAAGGCTTGGTATTGACTCTGATGCATGGCGGGGCTAACATCGATGCATCCGCCGTTGCGGCCGCTGCAGCTACAGCTTCTTCTGGTGATGCACGCGCCTCTGTCACAGATAGCAGTAGTGCAAAGAACGACAGAGACGAAAACTCCATGAGGGATGAACCCGAAGGCGACAGTGATGTGGAGGACAATCTAGCCACTTCCCTTGGTGTGCTGAAAGTAGATGTCGATAAGGGCAAGTCCATGTATATTGGGCAAGATCATTGGCATACCCTGCTCGCTGATATCTCAGAGGTCAAGACCTTCTTCGCCTCGCACAAGAAAGATTTGGAGAAGAGCTATGAGAGAGTCATGTCATCAAAGCCGGCGACTGCGCGTGACTCACCGATTTTCCTCCTTTCAGCACCGCCAGCTTCGGAGACAGAATTACGAGCCGAGATGCCGGCAAAGTCCGCTATCACTACCCTTGTCTCGCGGTACTTCAACTCGCTCGACACAGCTGTGAGCATCATACATGGGCCTACGTTTCAGCAGCAGTTGCGGAATCACTGGCAAGATCCTGCGAGGTCGTCAATCATGTGGGTTGGATTGGTATACTCAATGCTGTGTCTGGCGATGCTGAGCTATCACAAAGTAGGAGATGAGCCACCGGAGTGGAAAGGAAGATCACTGGAACTTGCAGCTGAATATCGACTGAGGACAGTACAGTGCCTGGTGGCAGCAGACTTCACTAAACCTGTCGAATACACGGTGGAGACAATGATTCTGTATTTGTTTGGGGAATGGTCTTCGCGCTGGGATGCCGATCTTGCATTGTGGCTTATCACTTCCATGATAACAAGGATAGCTATGCGCATGGGTTACCACCGTGATTCTGAGTGGTTTCCATCGGTTACACCATTTCAAGGAGTACGTGAATCTATTAAACCCACAGATATTCGAATTCGCTTGACTGACCACGTCTTTATAGGAGATGCGACGACGGACGTGGGCTTTGATCCGCATGTCTGACATCATGTTTTCTTATCAAGTAAGTCTGGTTGTTGTGTTTTGTGCAGGCGGCATGCGGCAGTGCTAACTGTCGTTATAAGGTCTCCCTACCAACAATGATTTATGACCACGACACTGACACGAAGCTACCCCACAACATCTTTGACGAGGAATTCGGGCCAGATACAAAGGTTCTTCCGCCCTCGAGGCCAATCACTGAGCCGACTCCTATGGCTTACATGATCGCAAAGACGAGTCTTTGCATCGAATTCGGCAACATTTTACAAACCGTGTCGCGTGTTGGAAGGCAGGCCGCGTACGAAGATATTCTGAGCCATGACAGCAGACTGCGGGAAATATTGGAGGAACTTCCTCCACATCTGAAAATACATCCATTGGAGGGATCGCATGATCCCGTGACCCTATTGATCGCGCGCTTCAACATCAATCTTTTGTACCAAAAGATCATGTGTATGCTACACAGAAAACACATGATCAGGGCGAGGCAGAACCCGCGCTATGCACATTCAAGGCGCAGTGCTGTCGAAGCATCGTTAGAAACCCTGGCACATCTGCGCACTATACAGCGGGAATGTCAGCCCACTGGCCGGCTTCGTACGATGAAGTGGTATGTGCAATCTACTTCGAAGGATACCCTTTTGCCAACGATGTTGATTGCACTTGAGCTCCACCATGACAACGTTGCGGCAACGTCTGGACAACGGCAGGATTCACAGGCAAGCTATTTCTGGACTCCAGAGCAGCGAACGGAGATGATGAGTGCTCTAGAAAGTGTCCGGGACATTTGGAAATCCCTCACGCAAGACTCAGTGGAAGCTTACAAGGCAGCCAACATTCTCGATATCCTGCTAGAAAAGATCAAGAGCCCGAACTCGGCCCCTACGACCATGAACCTGGATCTCACGAAACAAGAGAACCTATTTGGAAGTTTCGGTTCAGCCGATTTGCAGCCCGAACATTCGGCAGCCATGACGCTAGGCATGATGTCAACTGGACTCACGCCGAACTATCAATCTCCAGGCGGCACCGCATACCCACCACTGGACATGGGTATGAAAGACATGGGCTCTGGCTTCACTCCCAATCTCTTACAAGCTGAATTCCCATCTGGAACAAATAATGCCGCGTCTCCATTCTCCATGTTTAACAACTTTGGAGGCACTTCTGGTGACATGGCCTTGGACCAGAGCTTCGATTGGGTAAGTAATATCCGCCAATGGCGTTGGGGAACTAATTGAGCTCACAAATTAATAGGCCGCATTCGAGAATTATACGCAAAATGTGAATTTCGGCGAGCAGGCTTCTTTCGGCTTTTTCCCTGATGGACAGCAGCAGTCCCCGCAAGGCACTTCTACTGACAGCTCATTCTCATTCATGAATATGAACACCCCGGGGACGAATAAGTCGAACCCTTCATGAGGAATGATTAACGGAGCGATCCCCCTATGGAAGGATGTACAAAGCTATTGTGGTGTAAAGGTATACCCATCGTACATCCTACGTAATCAGCGATGTGAGTTTACAGATGGTACGGGGATATGGGCAAGAACAAACGTGGATCAATATAACCACTCTTCTCCGCTACATTGTATACACATCATCCTCATGACCTGCTTGTCCCTGTTATGGACAGCCCGTGATCAGCTCATCTCGGGGCTTCCTGCCGCCAAGGTGTTGAGTGCCACGAAGCTTCACGTACTATTTCTGGTCTCGCCTATTGAATTTCGAGCAAGGACAAGAATGCGCGATTGATCGGAGTCGGGCCGAGGGGGCTATACTCTGACCATCGCATATAGAATGACGGGCGTATGGGGGACGTTGGCGGTGTGCCCGGCAGGACCAAACACAGCATCACAGATTTGACCAGGAGAAATCATGGCTACCACGAAGCATTGAGGCTTCAAAAAAGCGACGAGACCAGGTCAGTGCCGCAATTACTGAATGTAATGCCACTCCCTAAGCGTCCGGCGGACTTTTGCAAGTTGATTCGGGCCTATACACGAATCCCCACGACAGCTCACAACGGGACTCGCGGAGAATTTATGTCCAGTCTATGGTTCCCTGGATTGATGACCAAGATGACACGCGCACAGTCGTTATAACAACCCAATGATACCCTAAACGGCCCTAAAAGCTTTCCCCGAGGGCACTACCCCAACTTACTAGGTTAGCAAGGAGTAATGCGCGATGTGGAGTAAGCAGTTGACAAGCTCAGGTGTAGCGGCTATCGTGAGGGGAATACTAGAAACTGCTCGCCGTCAACTCACCCACTTGAGGCTCAGTTGGATGCGACTGGGGACGGGATAGAGGGCGCGGTCTGCCAACGGGAGGCAAGCGGAGAAGGCTTGGCCTCGGGTATTGACTTGGGATCATGGAGTCAGAAAAACAGTGATACCCACTAATTACTTGAAATGAACATGCGATGGGCTCATCGTTGAGCGACATAAAATAACAAGTTGCAGTTTCACAAGACAATACCATATGCTATAAGCGGGCGGTGAAGTAGCACAAAGCAGACTCCGTACATATCAATTCACATCAAAAGGCGGAAGCGTTGTCGTTCCATCGCTTCAGCTGCAATCGGAGACTGATGCTCTAGCCGGCTCGACGTCATCTATTTCGGCGCAAGCCACATTCTACAGCAGAGTCGTATCTGGGGAAATCTGACAGCACATGGCTTGCATGCCGTAACACTGCTTTTCTGCAATCTCATGCATTCCCAGGCGCCTCCCCCACATAACGCTACGTCGTCGGCTTTGGGACCGAAAGCATGCTGGCCGAATCGGTCCTTCTTTTCAAGTCACGATGGACAGTAGTGGCCCAGAAAATACAAGTCCGGCTGCCCCTGGCCCGGGAAATGGTGTTGTGCGTGCTGTCAGGGGCGGAGTTTTGTGGGGTATTAATGGCGGGGGCGGCCGCAACTGCCAAATATGGTCTTCGTCGCACATTGTACCTAACCACGAGAAGGACACTACCCGAATATTTTCTTGGAACTCAATCTACTTGAGGATCGGCGACAACAACGCTAATACTTGTGGTATTATACTCTGCGCCCAATGTAGCTGCTCAATGAGGGCGAGGGAGGAAAAATCGGGCCCGTATCTCATGCTTTTTTAGTTGAACGTGTCGCCGAGTATTATGCCCTAGCGAGGTTACACTTAGCTGGGCAGTCACTCGTTTTTCGAATCCGGCTTTCGTCTACCCTTGTGATCGACGGGTGGCTGTAAAATAACCGTGCCGAGCGCCTCAGCTGCCATACTCCTGAAAACTATATACTGACCTTGAATCCCTCGACATTATATTCCATGAGAGCCATCGCTTCATCGATTCAAAGTCGAGCACCAAACAAACCTGGGGTCTGCTTCCTTTGACTTCATCTTTTATATTTCGGTTTGCCTGAACCATTCAAGAACCGAACAAGATGAGATCTAGCGTCCTGTTGTCAGCCCTTTGGGCCACGGCTGCTCAAGCACTCAGTACAGCGGGCTGGCAGTCACAGTCTATCTACCAGATCGTTACTGATCGTTTTGCTCGCACCGATGGGTCGACAACTGCTAGTTGTACCTTGAGTCAGTACTGTGGTGGAACATTCAAGGGTATCATCAACAAGCTGGACTATATTCAAGGAATGGGTTTCACAGCTGTAAGCGTCATCGTGAAGTCAAGTATTCTTTATCGTCTAATCGTGTGGCAGATTTGGATTTCTCCCGTTGTCACGAATATCCTTGAGGGCTCAGGAGGGTATGCATTTCCAGGCCTAGCAGAGAACTTCAAATGCTGAAACACACTTCAGGACTTCTTACCATGGATACTGGGCCCAAGATATCACTACCATCAACACCAATTTTGGTACTGCGGATGATCTCAAGTCCCTATCAGACGCCTTGCACGCTCGTGGAATGGTACTTCCTCTTCTTCAGTTCTGGTCTTGGTCAATTCTAACCAATACTTAGTATCTCATGGTCGACGTCGTAAACAATCACATGGGCTCCCCGAACGCCGGTAGCAGTGTCGATTACAGCATCTATACTCCATTCAACCAGCAAAGCCAGTACCATACGCCCTGTGACATCAACTACAGCGACGAGACATCCATCGAACAATGCTGGGAGGTCACAGGAGCACCAAGTCTTCCGGATCTTAGGACCGAAGATAGCAGTATCCGCAGCACGTGGAACAGCTGGATCACGTCGTTCGTCTCGACGTACGGCATCGACGGATTACGCATGGACAGCACGAAGCACGTGGAGAAGTCCTTCTGGCCAAACTGGGTTTCGGCTTCGGGTGTCTACAACATGGGAGAGGTCTACAATGGCGACCCAAGCGTTTTCCCTGACTGGTTGAACTATATCAGTGGACTTGAGAATTATCCGATGTAAGTCGAGATGGCACGTACCCCTGAGCAAGGTGATACAGTTGCTGACGAGTTTACAGGTATTACTGGATCACTCGCGCCTTTCAGTCCACTTCGGGGTCTATCAGCGATCTAGTCACCGGCATCAATACCTTGAAGGGCTCAAGTACGTCTCAAATAGTGTCGATATGGGTGAGTTGCTGCTAACATAGATTAGTGAAAACAAGCACTCTCGGGTCTTTCATGGAGAATCATGATCAAGTCCGATTCCCGTCCTTGACAAGCAACACAGTATGTCTTCATCATAATCAAGATCGATGGACGGATAGCTGACCTTTTGAAACAGAACTTGATAAAAAATGTAAGAAGTGTCGATTGCCAAGTTGAGGATACGACTGACAACGCATATAGGCAATTGCCTTCACAATACTAGCAGATGGTGAGTCTGCTGTTTTTAACTCATTTCCGTTCCGATGATGGCCAAATCCTAAGACTATCATAGGTATTCCCATCATCTACTATGGCCAGGAGCAGCAGTACGCTGGCGGTGCCGATCCCAACAATCGCGAGGCGCTCTGGACCTCTGGCTACAACACGAACTCAGATCTGTACAAGTTTATCACAACCGTTAACAAGATCCGTAACACGGCGATTTCCCAGTCAAGCTCATATGTCTCATACCAGGCATACTCAACATACGCTGACTCTCACGTTATTGCGATGAAAAAGGACAGCGTTTACGGCATTTTCACAAACGCAGGGTCGAGCTCCTCGGTCACCGTTCCAGGTTTCACAGCCAGCCAAGCCCTTTGCGACGTCATTAGTGGTACATCATATACTGCCAGCTCAAGCGGTAGCGTCACCCTGAATGTTGGGCCGCTACCTGCCATCTTGGTACCTACCTCGTACAGTATCTGCGGAACTAGCTCTGGTGAGACACCCCGTTCCATGACAGCACTCACTCATCCCTTTTGAATTGACGCCTTAATCAGTTTCACAGGTGGAGGAACGACAACCCTTACGACCAAGACGACAACCGCGCCGGCTGGAAGTAAGCCCTTTCCCCCCATATTCCGTATCGATGATCAAATGACTGACTCGGGGAAAAAGCCTCAACAGCCTGCTCGTCGGTTCCAATAACTTTTAACGAGACCGTGGTCACCTCAATTGGGCAAACTATCAAGATGTATGTGGTCTCCCCTGTTACCGCTATTATCCCTTGTCCCTTTTCCCTATTCAGACAACATCTGTCGAGCGCGAGTCTCGAGTCCAACGTAGCCTGTGAATCAGCAATCTCAATCGAAATCCCCCAAACGTCAGTCAAGTCAAAGTACGCTTGCTAACACATTGCCCTCCGACACAGCGTGGGAAGCATATCCGCCCTGGGAAGCTGGGACACCTCCAAGGCCATCGCCTTGAGTGCAGCCTCCTACACGAGCTCGCGTCCCGTGTGGAGCGGCACGATCAGTCTGCCCGCGGGCACGACTTTCACGTACAAGTTCATCAACGTCGCCAGCAGCGGTACGGTGACCTGGGAGGCGGATCCGAACCACAGCTATACGGTGCCAACGAGTTGCACGGCGGCTCAGACCGTGGTATCAAACACGTGGCAGAGCTGATGAAAACAAAAAACGCCGCCAACAGGATTATTTCCTAAAAAGAAAAAAAAGAAAACCACGTCAAGGAATTTGAGTGTTCAAGAGAGTATATATATCTTTTAATAATCATACGCTTGAGAGTAAACCCACTGGGCAAATTTAAAATACAATATTTATCCGGTAAATGTACTCGTGTTGTACTTGACAAAGCTATCATATATAACTGAATTTTGTTCATGTTTCATGTACTCATTTCATACCTAAATTGTGCCTGGTCCGAAATTCCGAAAACGCCAAATACCGCCATTTCATGTCCCCTGAACTCCTATGAGACACGCCGCTCAATCAAACTGCAACTTAGAGGCCGAAAGTCTGCTTGGCCCTTGTCCAGTACGCGTTTCGCTCATCCGTGACGGTGACACCAACACATGCCATGTACGCCGCAAACCCAGCATCGGTGCCCTTCTGGAGCTCGGGGCGCACGCTCGCGCACTTGGTCGTGTAGTACCAGCCGGCGCTCCCGAAGTTGTACTTGTCGTCGGTGACGAGCGCCAGAAGCTGGTTCTTCTGGGCGTCTGTCGTGATGGTACCCAGGGCGGCGACCTGCGCGTCGAGCTCCGCGAAGGTGCCGGCGTACTCGAGGTTGTAGTCGAACGTCTGCATGTTCACGGTCCCCTGGCCGGGGCGCCCTGGGCTCACGTTGTGCTTGTACTGGAAGTCACCGGACTCGTAGGCCATGAGGGCCAGAAGGCCGGCGATCTCCCCGTACGTTATGATTCCGTACGTGGACAGGGCGGTGATCAGCCACGGCGCGGCCTGCTCCGCGGTCCGGCACTCCGATGCCGTGTCTGTACATTTGGAGGCATCGGGTGCGATCGCACTGATCATGCTGGCTGCGCTCTCCGCGCGGATCTCGACCTTCTGCACGCTGCTGAGAGGGGCGGCGAGAGCGCTACCAGCCAGGAGGAGAGGGGTGGCAATCTGGGAGTATTTCATGTTGAGATGTTGTTGGTGGTTTTGCCTTTATGATATGTTGATGAATAGTAATAATGGGGATCGTGTCAAACGAGCCCTATTTTAAGTATGGGGCTGGAGAAGTGAATTCTGTTGTAATGAGTGTGTGGTGTTTTGTGATCCAGGGAAAGAAATGATACTAGGCCTCAGTGTTTTATCTTGACTTTACAACAGTGATTGCTGCTTTGTCGTGAGCGTACAAAGCAAACACAGCGGCAAAGAATGATCTTGTGAGTTCAGTGTCTTTTTTTTTTTGTCACACAAGCAGAAATTTGATTTGTAGCCCTTGGTATCAAACAAAGACCAGGTCATCTAGACCGAGTAAAGAACAATGAAAATGAGCGACTTGGAGACGGGCTGGGCCGTTGAAGCAGATGAAGGCAAATACAAAGCACAAGATTGAGAGAGGACAGAGCAGGAAGATTCACGTTGAGCATGATTAGTACCTACTTCTCTCGTGATTGTTTTATTGTCAACCTGACCTCGGAATTGAGTCGCCACTAGTTGACGCTGGATCGTGAGCGATCTTCCCCTGAGTCTGTCCCGTGGTCGTAAAAGAGAAGGTGTTTAGCTGAGGGTGGAGAGTTTGTGGGGTTGAGAGGCGGCTGAAGGAGCTGACAGCAGCCAATCGTCTTGGCATCTTGGCTGTTCTTTGAGTGGGATGAAACAGCCAGTCTTTGCGTCCCTGCATTTGTTTCAATAGGGGACACCTGTATTCACTTATGATTGGCGTGCATTTTCCTGTTCCTGAACTATCCCCCAAAACGCTCAAACTCGATTAAGGAATACCCATGCGCCAAACATCGTATTGGACCAGGCGCATTGAAAGAAGATGGGGAGGCCTTCAGGAGGCCCCAGGAGGTAACTTCACCAAAAAGCGCGGCTTGATAATCTCTGGAGATGCCCTGCTTCACTCATAGGTGCTAGGGTCGTCTTTCTCTTCACATTTGAACATGCAATTGTTATCAGGAGATTGCAATGCAGTATAGCGCATGAAGCACGAAGTATGAAGTATGAAGTTTGAAGTGTGCTGTACATATGTGGCAGCTGATAATGCCACATTTGACCGTCTGCAACAGCATTGTGCTGTTTTGAGGCGTCCTGTTGGTAGGTCGTAGCGTACGTCCACCTATATCTCGGGTTGTTCTGAACGGTGGATGCTTGTGACCAGAAACCGAGCATGGTCGGTGCTTTGTTCTGACAGCTGACAGCCGGCCCCAATTTAATCCGACGCGTTTGGAAATTCAGCGCGATCAATCAAGCATCTGGTGCTGTGAGCTCTGGAGCTATTGCCGTAAGACGCCTAAGGGAGAGCACACCGGCAATCATTGCAACTAACCTATCCCAACATTCGGTGTTGCACGATTTGTTCTTTTTCCAAGCCAGCTTCGTATGTCATAATACACTTGCGCACGCATTCTCACCGGTTGCATCCATTGTCTCTGCAGCAGTTTGCTGTGTCGCCGAGCAAGATGTCCCACCTTGCGAGTTACATTGAGAGTAAGTCGTCACTCTTGAGCGAATCTTGGGCAATGTCTCGCGATATCTTGAGCTTACAACATGGATTCTGACAGCTCGGTAGAGAAGGTCGTGATCCTGACCGTTGATTCGCGAATGCTCGTCGGTAAGCTCGAGAGTTTTGACAACTCGACCAATTTGGTGCGTATACAACCAACATGTTCTGGAGCCTAGAACGCCGTGGGCTGATGTGCTGGGTGCGTAGGTCCTCTCAGGTGCTGTCGAACGAGTGATCCGGGCACACGACGATGCCGAGGATTCCGAACAAGTCCCGTTAGGATTGTACATTGTCAGAGGTGATAACGTGTGCGTTGTGGGCTTGGTAGACGAGAAGATCGAGAATGATATCGACTGGTCGAAAGTCAGAGGAAATCCAATTGGGACGACGAAGCACATCTAGGAAAACATAGCGTGGACATGAAGGAGCCGGAGAGCTGCGCATCGAAGCGTCTCAGCTCCCACATTGCATTTGATGGCGTTCAGGTTCTCGTGGCATGGGTAGGAGAATTTCTTGAGTTTGAGTAGGGTACGCTTTGTCCAAATGATACCCACACAATTGCGGTTTGCGGCTGACAGCTTCATCAACCCGAAGACTTCTATAACTTGTTGTGCATATGTATCTAACCAAACAGGCGTTGCATCAAATCCGGCGCAAACTTGTCAAAACCAGGGCTCTCCGCCAGTCGGTTGATCCTGTTTCCCCTCTTCGCGCTCAGCCAGCCCAATTCGTCCCCTGGGATTTCGTCCACGGTCACATCGGCAGAGCCCTCGGCATCAGTAGACAGCCCGACGGCAGATCCCGCTCCCGGGGCCCTCTTACGGCCACGCTGGTCCGCAATATGCATGCCGTGGGTCCACTGGCCCGAGGTTTCTACGCGGATGTCCTCCGGCGCGTTCTTCGCCAGCTTCCATGCAGGATTGTCGCGCGTGATGTTGTACCAAACGGTCAGGGGGTCATGCAGTGACAGTCCGGGCTCCTCATCAGCGGCGACCCAGCTCTCGATTTGCCGGAACACACCACTCATGATGTGGTTGATCCATGAAGCAAGAGGACTACCCTCCTTGACGTGAGGTGTGATCGTATCGAAGAAGAACCCCTTATTCAAGAGATGCGGTGTGGTGATGTCCAGTGGGAACAGACTCAAGTTCAGTCTGCGTGATAGCTTCTCTGGATACGGTCCAAGGTTGGCGATCTTCTGCGGTACGACGGGCATGGTGGACGACGGCACAGCGGAGGTCAACGCGAACACGCGTGCTGTGGCGATCGCATCGGCATATGTGTTGAATTCAGCGACTGGCGTGATGTTACCAGGCACCTCAACCGCACCACCCATAACGCAGATTTCCTTGGCACGTAGGAATGTTTCCGGGTCCTCAGCTGCAGCCAGAGCAAGGTTCGTCATGGGGCCGACTGCGCAGATAGTGATTGTATTCGCAGGCTCCTCTTTAAGGATTCGCAGGATCTCCTTATGAGCGGGAGTTTTGGATGGTGTGAAATAGGAGTAATATGCGGGATCTTGATCAGGCGTTGGAACACCATCATCAAAGAGCGACTTCCATGTCTCGTCAGGACTCAAGTGGGGATGCGCTGCGTGAACTCCGTGTAGACCGTCAGAGCCATGAAACCCGTCCTCCATCAAGATCTCTTCTTCTAGGGCATGCTCTGGGCCGATGGCTACGATGGGCTTATATGCCTTCAGAGACCCGAAGCCTTCAGGCTTGCCTTTCGACCTGCGCCATTCCAGCTCTTTATCTAGCACATGGAACATGGATACCACGTTCGTCAGACAGCTCTTGAGGGGAACATTGCCATATGTAACGGAGATCATAACCAGTTCGATCTCCTCGGGTGATGATGCCAGAGCCAGAAGCATAGCCAGCATGTCATCGACACCTGGGTCGGTGTCGAAGATGACTCTGCTCTTCGGCGCCATGACTATTGTTGTCTCTTGACACTAGTATATACGCGACTGCCAATGAAATGTGACCCCGTGTTGAGCTCTGCAAAAGGCCGACAGCTTGACAGAGTAAGTATATAGTAGGAAGCTTGAGAGCAGGTTTGACGAGGCAAATTGAACTGATATGGAGGAGGGGAGCTTGATAAGGCTGAGACCCAATTATAAGCCCACCGGTGACCAGCGAAAACCGGACAGTTGGAGCCAAGCACTACACATACGAAGCGCACTTACCTCCCAGCTGTTCAGATGGTGGTGATATGGTGAACGAGTTATACTACTCATGCCTACACTAAAGACTGGTTCAGGGCTATCTATAACCTGCCGAAAGCTGGAGTTCTCCAGATTCCTGCTTCTTATATCGGCCAACGCCGGTTACCCCTCATTTTCATCGCGTTTTCTAACCAGAAAGGATACATAGCTACAGATGAATAGGAACCATATTTTGTGATCACTGTCGCTCGACTGCGGTTCGACACAGCAGCTCCTATGTTGCACAACGCCGTTTGGCCACTGAAGTTTTGCATATCGATCGGAAGCTGCTTTTCAGTGTCAAGAGCAAATCATCGGGGCATTCGACTCGTGTTGCACAGCGAGTGCCATCTCCTGCACTTGTCCGAAGAGCCGCTGGGCTTTGCGTCTCTAGCTCTTGGCGTCCATGTCTCACATCTCAGAGATAACCAATGTGAATGTACATGAAGACAGCTAGGTTAGTTAGCAGCTCGCGAGCTCGTTTGAACATGCAAGCTCTACCGTAGAGTTAAACAACTGCCTTTCTGGACCTCCAGGGGTCGCATCCAACGAGCTGTGTTCCTCCGTCGCTGCAGATCAAAAGTTAGCGCGATCCCGGCAGCATGAACCGAGCATCTCCTTGCAGTTTGCCGACCTTGTGCTCTCTACCTTGTTACAATGTGATCGGTTCTTCGCTTGGCTTGTGGCTTTGTTCTAAGTATGTAGCAACACATGGTTTCGTTGACTTTGTTGGGGCTACGACAAAACGGTCACCAGGTTTCCCATTTGAAACTGCGACGTTGACGGTGCTGGTCTACCCTTGCAGCTGCCGCTGTTGACCGCGGGCGGACAGAACAGCTCCGGTTTGGAGCTCAATGGCCACCTGTTCAATCGTCCAATTTCATGCAGCGCCAAGACTTTGTCCGATTCCCTGCCTGGCTGCTTACAGTAGCTACTGTGTACTTTCCACAGCATCCAAGTTGGACTAGACTAACGTCAAGCAAAGTGACAATAGGTATTCACATCTCTTTCGCCCATTTCTTCTTCAGCCGACCTTTCGGTTAGCTCATGACATTTGTTCTCATTGCATCGTATTCCAGATCGTGCCAGATCAGATCAGATCAGATCAGCTCTCTCGACCAAACCAGCCCACCATCAATCACACAGTACCCTGGAGTAATTGTCAATCGGTCTCGACCTCAATCCAGCTATTGGGCCTGCCCCACATCCACTAATTGGCCTGCTCTGGGGATTGCTTTGGGGGTTTCCACGTTTCTCCTTTCCACTCACCGTGACTTGCTTGACTTCCACCTCTTCGGCAGCCTTCTTCCCATCTTCGGTCGACACTGCTCTCTTCACCCAGCCATCTCAACGGTGCTGGTTCCGCATTGCATCTTTTGATACCAATTGCCATCCACAGCCGTTGCGTTGCCTCGCGCTGCATCAGAAGCCGAGCGCCTGTGTTGCCAGCTCTTCAAACTTGACAAGCTGGCACTATCGACAGCTAGACCCTTCATCACACCACACGGTCAGCGCGAGCGAACACACAACCAATCATGAGTTCTTCGGACCATACCTTCACCACGACTGCTGTCGGCTGGGCCGTGATCATTGGTGTCATCGGCGCTGTTGTTCTCCTCCGCAGTCCCAAGACCAGAGCAACCACCGCAAAGACGGTTGCGCAGGCAAAGCAAGATGTCGGTGCCGATATCGCTTCCGCCACGGCTGCCTTGAAGAAGAAGGCCGAGAAGGCGACCAAGCAGAAGCCCAAGCCCAAGCCCAAGCCCTCGACGAGCGAGAATGCTGCTGCTGCCACCACCACCACCACCAGCAACTACGATCCTGCGGCTGAGGCTGCTGCGAAGCGAGACGAAGCTCGTGCCAACCAGGACTTCGCGCAATCCTTGGCCAAGATTAAGACAGGTGCCCAGTTTACAGCACCCAAATCTGAGAAGAAGAAGCAGAAGTCCGTCAAGCAGTCGCATGCTCAAGAGGCCGACACCCCTGTTGCCCAGCAGTCAGCACCTTCCTCAGCGGCCGGTGACGCTGATGATGATCTCTCGTCAGCTGCTTCTCCTCAGGCCGCTCCTGCTGATACCACAGGTGTCTCGGACATGCTCGAGTCTCCCTCAGCAGGACCTTCGGTGCTGCGCTTGACCGACACGGACAAGGTCAAGGCTAAGCCCAAGAAGGAGAAGGCCCCGGCTGTCGTTGAGACCAAGAAGCAGCGACAGAATCGTCTGAAGAACGAGCAAAAGAAGCTCGAGAGAGAACAAGATGAGATCGAGCGCAAGAAGCTTGAAGAGGCACAGCGGCGGCGCGCTCGAGAGGCCAGGGGCCAGGCTGCCAAGGACGGATCTACCTTCACTAACAACTCCAACGCCTGGACAGCAAAGACCAACGGTGACTCTACACCGAAAACTGTTCAGCCGCTCGACACATTCGATGATCTGGTCCCTGCTGCCAACACCCCGAAGCCTTCAACTCCCCAGCCTGCTGCCACCAAGCAGCCATCTGACTCTTGGGCATCGTCGCTGCCTTCGGAAGAGGAGCAAATCGCTCAGGTCATGGATGACTCGTCTGCCTGGAGTGAGGTTACTAACAAGAAGACCAAGAAGGGCAAGAGATCCGACGAAGCCGTGGCTGAGAAGCCTCTTTCCGCCCTTACCCCTGCCCCAGTATCCCAGGCTCCTGTCCATGTCAACAAGTCGAAGCCAGCTCTCAGCAGCCACTCGTCTTTCGCCGCCTTGACTCCCGAGGAGACGGCCGACGATGAGGTCGAGGAGGAGTGGGAGGTCTGAGCACGAGAAAGCTCATTCCTACCAGTTTAGAAGCACCATCACCCAGCTGAAGCCCAGTCGGCGATATTGGTAGTATCGTCGTAGTTATGCAGAGCAGACACTTGCATCGCTTTGTGTGTACTGTTCCAGCCCTTGCTATGTACAACACCACCGCATGCATGGGAGCATCTGCGGTATATGGCGACATTTCTCTTTCACTCTCCCAAGTTCCGTACAGACTTCTCGGCCTGGGTATGTGGATCCATGATACGGTTTGAACCGCTCAAGAGTCAACAAGTGCGAGTTGTACATCATTGTTTGTTTATGGCATCTGGGTTGGAGGCCTAAAAGTTCACGTGCTGGGAGTTCTAGCACGTCTCATTTTGCTGGAGCGGAGGACTGTATTTTGCAAGATTTCACCAATGACAATTTCTACGGTCATTACTCGCATTGTACGCTGCTGGGTCTCTCGAAGTCTCTTTTCTTTTCTTTACGGAAGCGGTCAACTGCTCCGGTCACTTCGTAGAGGCTCATGGTGTGGATCTGAGATGTAAATCTGTCTATGAAACAGAACCATTCCTGGAAACCTAGGCAGTTCATAGTTTTGCTAGTAAAGAACAATCATTGCCAAATAGCCACTTGTCTTGATGCTGGTGTATGAAATCTCGGTAGACATGCAGACACTGTAGTCGAATCGTTATACCTAGCGCACTCAGGCAACCACAGAGAAAAATCCCGTCATTGAGTACAGAGATATCTTAAGGCTCAAATTGGATGATGAACACTATCTGTTGAGTGAAAGCATCATTTGGTTTGATGCTCTCTGTATATGTGCAGTGACGACCGTGTTAGAGCATCTTGCAACGTAACATACAGCACAACTTTTTCAGTTCGTGATGCAACTGCAACAAAGCTGCATGTCCCCCTTTTGAGAAAGCACGGTCATCGAGTGAAGGTGTGCTTCAACACAACGTCCAAGATTATTGCCGTCGCCGGCACAGGTGCCTTAGGTCAGCCAACCTGCATTTATTCCCTATACACATCCACTGCACATAGTACACACTTGCTGACCAAAAGACAAACAGCTACAGTAGTGCTCAACGTCCTCGAGAGCAAGGATTTTAACCTCACAGTCATTCCACGCTCACCCCAGCTTGATCTCGAGGCTCAAGGAATCGCTTAGTGTTGGAAGAAGGACATCGATTCATTATCGAAAACCCCATACAATGGCCCCTCTTCTTTCCTCCTTTCAAGCCTACGTATACCGACAATGGCTAAACCACAAAAACACTACACGAGCCAGGCCGTCGACTACACCTACCCGTCGCCGCGTTGAAGGGCGTAGAATATCCTCCTCTCCTTCACCGTCGACCTGGCGAGCCCGCACACCTAGGCGCTGTCACACACTGCAACCTGCTGACGGCTGCCGTCCCCCGAGAAGCATAATTTCTATTTCCGGCAGTATATGACGGGGTTTTGCACCGCCAGGGGGCATCAGTTTCACTTGTGTCTGCAATGGCATGTTGACGGGTTTCTTCCGGCCGAGGGGGGACAGGAATGGATTTCCCGGGCCTCGACGGCTCGCTGGTGCCGATTGATTTAGAGAGAAGGATTGTCCACGTACTCGGGGACAGAGAGGCACGGGATTTCTTTCCATTGCAGCGGGCGATGTGGCCATGTGTCTGATCACGCTGTTACAGGTGGAGCAGGGAGTTTGATATACATCTTTGTATATCAGAGAAGACAGGCAGGCTTGGGACGAGGTTGAAGATAGGCTTGAGGATATCCTTGGAGAGGAGATCCAGAGGGACTATGTAGGTCTCAGGGAACGGAGGGGCATGGTAGAGGAGACCATAAGAGGGACCGATGGGATGTAGATCATGGCGGCAGAACTGAATGAAGTGTTTGGTAATGGCAGCGAGGTACTCCCAGAGAGCAGGTTCTTTGGTGGCAATGAAGCTTGTCAAGTCAGGCATTGCTCTGGCAAGATGGTTTAGGACTTAACTGATCGCGTCTGGAGCTGGCCTTGGCGGGAGTATCTCTTGGGCATATACGGTGTCGAACCAAAAGCTAACTTCTGCAAGGGTTGACCAAGTCCTCTTCTGTTCATCGAACCTACGGTATTATAGATGTGATGTATCCCTAGAGCTTCTACGAGTCAAGAGTCCGTTTCTGCTCTTACCCGGTGATAAATACTTGTACTAGTGAATGACAGTTTACAGCTCACCGTCGGACACGGTCGGTTGTCAATTTCGACGATTCGTGGACCAGAATACAATGTAGACCGGTCCGGATAGACTTCAATCATTTCAACTAAGAGGTACCAGCATTTTTAAGGTAGTCGCTTCTCAACATGTGACAACCTCGTGCACAGCCTCCTGGACGCGTCCCTGTCCCCTGTTTGCTCTGCTTCCAAAACTTGCGCAACCTGCTCAATACACTTACCTCCGTTACAGCTACGGGCGGTTCACCACCGGCACAACTGCGGGTGGTTTCTTTCAACCCAATCCAGGCTCCTCAAAGCCTTATACACTAGGTTAAAATTCTTGTTCTTGTCCCCAAGTGGGAGACAGGCGGCCATGTGGTGGAACGGTAACATGTTACAGACTTAATATAAGTTCCTCCCCTAAAAGAGTAGAGCCAAACAGCAGGCAGAGAAGTAGCCACAGCACACGGGCGAACTCTTTTGATTTAGCCTGCTATTCTTCTTTTTGATGGTTTTGAACACGAGTACCAAAATCTACAGGTTTCTTTCCTTTCTTTTCCTTTTGCTTTTGTTTCCTGTTAGAGCTGAGAACAATAGCTTTTTTTGCTGAGTCTTTTGAATAATAATAATAATGCGTAAACCTCGATCAATGATGGTGATCCGGGCGAAAGGTCGTTCTGTAACGAGATGACGGCGTGGTTTCTCGCAGCTCGGGTCAGGCTATCTTGACCATAGAAGCGTGGTCGGATGCATCATGTTTGTTCCCCAACTTTGCAAGTTTTCAAAAATCAACGCTCTTGCATATATTTTAGACCTGTCATTGATCACAACTATCTATGGTAAGATGGTAGCCGGGCCTCTCCATTCAGACCAGGCTGTACCTATGCACAATTGTCAAATCATCCGTAACTGAGAACGCAAGAGATACCGCTCTGAAGCCCGGTCACAAGTGACAAAGCTCTCAACTGCTGTGTAGTAATAATTCCCTTGGGCATCTACATATAACACAGCAAATATTGTGCCTCTTCCAAACCTCATTGTGAGGCGAGATTATGTCCCGTCCACTCATGTTCAGAAAACCTAGCAATGTCTTGTTCAAGACGCCAGACGACTCTACCCCAGTAGAAAGATTGCAACTGTTTTGTTTCTAGAATAATAGCGTATAGAAAAGATTTCCCCATCGCATCCCAGAGATATCATTATTGGGTGGACTGTCAACAATATCAGGAGAGTCCTACAGCTTTACTGAAGGCACCTCAAGTTGTGCCACAGTGTTTCCCATACTGGAGAATGGTTCTGTTCCAGTCATCATGGACGTTGCATAATATCTGAGGCAAGGCCTCCTGTAACAATAATATAAGTGTTATCGAGTTGTTATTCGAAACAAATCAGATGTTACAATTATAAGTACGGACGGACACCAGCACATAAAGTAGCATAGAAAGGGCACTTAGGTCGTCAAGTTCCTGTTGCGGAACAAAGTAGATGTCATGGTTGCAAATAAGGACGGATGGACTGAGCCCAATATCACTTCATATTGCTCACATATCGAAGTGGTCAAGCTGCTCCTTGAACAGGGCGCCGACCTGACTCATTACGGAAGAACACGGCTGGCCGCCACCACTCAGCAGTGCTTCATACAGTGGTCACATGGAAGTAGTGAAGCTGCTACTCGACAAGAGCGCCGATTTGACTATCACGAATAGTAACGGGTAGACACCGGTCTATGCTACATTATGCAACGGACATGCCGTTATTCTCATGAACACACCCAAGTCGTTGCATCACACCAAGAGCCACGGAGACATATTTACAATGATCAAGGAATACAGCTCCGATAATTGCGTTTAGAGCTTTTCCGCGAACGTGCTAGGATCGCGCTCCTTTGTGTCACTGCATCTTACACAATTGTCGGTTCTAGACCTCTGTGCAACACTCGCACGGTGCCCTCGTATTATATGGTGTTACCTACTCGACATTCGACATCACTGGTAAACTATGAAATATTTTCAGCACTTAGTGAGAACCATATCATCGTCAGTCCGTATACCTCGATCCATGCTTTTCGAATCCAGAAATAAAGAGTAAAAACTCGACCAAAATACTCAAGTCGAGCCAATCTTCTGTTCTCATCTTGATCGGGCAAATTTACAACCACTGTTGAGGCATTGGTATTGGCTGTATGGCCGGAGACGGACCGGGACTATGCATCAGCAAGCATAATCGTTCGAAAATTACGTATATACACCCAGCAGAATGAATAGCTGCAGAATTCTGAAATTTCAAGAGAAGAAACTGAGACGGAGATATGATTTTTGATATTATGGGTTTTTTGTACCATCACTTATTTGAGCTACACAGGTCCAGGTTGTCAGGCTTTCGTGTGATTAATTGTTAGCGATTTAATAACTGAATTATATTTACAGATTAATGATTGTGAAGAGAAAATAAACATTGGCCTAAGGAAAATGTTTGAACAGATGAAGGTCAAATCAAATATGCCACCCCACGCCTACCCTCCACCCTTACGACATTTACGGCATCTCGTCTATAAGATAATCATTAGCTGTCCTAGACTACAAAGGGAATAAATTACCATGACCGGTCATTTACTCTATGTCTCTTGAGACGGTCGGGTTAGTGTAGAAAATACATACAAATTACCTAGAATCTATGTAGTTCATAGGCCATGCTATGTTATGGCTCACAAGATGATAGTTTCGTACTCCCCTCGAACTGACTTTAGTAGACCGGGATTATTTTCAAATGAGTCATCAGAATTTATAACATCAGAGGAAAATTCTAACGTAAGAATTTCCTGTAAAAGTACCGATGAGTTTTACTTGGTGTAATCATGACTTTAAGAGAACTAGTATCGCATCGATGGCTCTCTATCTTTGTAAGAAATCAACTTGAGCCTAATTATGCCCATCCTTCCCTTAAGCACGACACTAAGCAGTCTCTGCCTCGGTAATAGATACCCACATATCCTTTTGCAGGTAAACCGTGTAGGCTTTTTCGGTCCAGGCATTTCCGGGATAGACCAATTGCCACTCGAACTCTCGCATCAGCTAGAAGTAACGTTGTCAGCCCTCGAGAGTTCAAAAGTCATATCTAATTATAGTGGGTCAAGAAGTCATACCTCGAATAATGTTTTATTCAATTCAACAAAGGCCAGCGTCTTACCGGCGCACATCCAACGTCCATAGCCAAAGACAAGCTCGATTACCCTCGTCATCTCCATTCTCTTATCTTCGTCGCATTCAAGAAAACGCTCAGGCCGGAAGAGTTGCGCATCCTGGCCGAAAATCCTTTCGAGTTTCATCATGGCAGGTTGGTTCCAACCCACGGCGCTGAGGTGGCGCGCTTGTGTCAGTAGTCTGCTATGATTCCATACGGGTGAAAATGCTTACGTGCCACCAGGGATAAACGTCCCTTGAAACGTCTCACCCTTGGGCGGGAGTTTCTTGTAGAAGCCATATGTCGCGGGCGGTCGCATGCGGATTCCTTCCCAAATCACGGCCTAGTAGTATGGGTGAGATCTTTGCATTTCGTGCTACCGATACCGATGAGGAACATACCTGAAGATAGGGCAACTTCTTGGCTTGAGCGTTTGTGATTGGGTGGGAAACCCCTGAAGCTATTGCTTCCTTTATCTCCATCTTTAATCGCCGATAGACTCTGGGGCATGTCATCAAGTACAGCATCGTACAACGAATGACTGTGGCGGTAGTATCCGAGCCAGCAGTCAGTTGGAGTATGGTTTCGTTCTTGATCTCGTTGACATCAAGGCCATGACGCTTGAAAGAGCTCTGGAGATGCGTCAGTTGAATGCCAGTGTTGATCCTGACGGAACTGCTCTTACAATCATATCTGGAGAGTCCACATCATCTTTCTCCATGCGATCTTCTACAATCTTGTGAGCAACGCTAAAGGGTCGGGTTAGATATTTGAACTCATAATTGAAGTGAAGACCTACCCAAGAACCTTGCCGAAACCTTTGGGGTCGCTGGGCTTGGGAGAAAAGAATGGCGATAGCCATGGAGAAACAAACAAGCGACGGAGTATGGGAACGTCTCCAGCTGTCGCAACTAGACCCAGAATATCTTCAATCTCTTTCGTATAACCGTACAAATCATCCTCAGCATCCATGAACCCGAAAGATTTCCCGTAACCAATTTTGGTGATAACGTCCAAAGTAAAGTAACGAACCAAGTGTGCAAAATCAACAGATTTTATCTGCCCAGCCTTGGAAAGAAACCTCTTTCTTATCACATTAACGAGGTGCGTTAACTGGCCATCAACGCCTGCTTCAAAATCAATGCCATCACGACCGCTATACGCAAATGACACCTTTGCTTTGAGCGCGTCGTGCGGTCCGCTACGTAATTTGAAGAAAGTTAGCTGTAATCACTTTGTAAATGGTTCGGCGATTTCCGAGTGCTGTGAAACATTCGCAGAGAGCCCATTTGCCTCCAGACTAAGAGGCAATCTACGTTACACAAAAATGCGTCAAAGAGGGCAAAAGAGGGTTCCCAAAATTGCTTACTGCTGCAAATGAGTGAGAAGCGTGTCGTATCCCGGATCCAACTTGGCTCCCATGTACCAGTCGTCCCGTGGTATGTCGCGGGCACTATTGAGCTTGCGCATGTCGTCCGGATCTTCTAGGACAACGTAGGTCGGGCTGACTCGCACCACCGGGCCATACTTGCTGAGTTCTTCGTATTCCATGCCCCGACCACGAATGACTTTCTGCGCAACCCACAGGTACGAGAAGGAACCTAGCCTGGGCCCAGGAATATGTCGCATGCGATACCATGAGAAGACACTCGATGCGATATAATAGATGACGAAACTGGCTAGAGCCAGCAATGCCGGGTTTGACACCATTTTGAGCTCCGAGAATAGTGTAAAGGAGCTTGAGATGGAAGTATGTATTGAGTCCCCAACTTAATGGCGTTGACTTTGGGGCGGCTTGTGCAATATAGCTCTCTAGAAGAGCACGATACCCTGTACAAATGTAGGTGACGGGGTTATAAGATCTCCACAGCAGCATATCTGCAATACAACCTTCTCCACATCAATTGCTAATCTCACGAATCAAACGTTCACCACAATATGCGTAGATGGGAGGCAAGCATACAAAGCGCCTAGACGAATACGGCACAACCGCAATTGGGTACCGGGGGCAGGGAAGGTCAACCGGTGCGGGGGCGGTATGGGCTGATTGAAGCTCAACTCTGGTGTCTGGCATTGTGGCATGTGCTGGCTAACCTTGGCAAGCCAGGGGCCCATACAAGCTACCTGGCTCATTCAGAAGAAAGATTTTGGAGCAACAGACGAGCAGATGTGTGGCTGGTATGCAATATTATGGCAATATATGCCAAGATCCGGTTTACGTGTTGACGCTTCGGTTGGTTTTAGTTAGAGGTATCCATATATAGAAGAATTGACCCATTTTAATACTGCTGGATATCTTTTTAATTTAATAATACATCATGATACTGTGCTTGCTGGACGAAAAATAATGCCTGTTGTAACAAATGCACTCCATAAGGCTACTGTTGTGTCGGAACAAACCTGCAATGCTTAGTGGGTTGAATGTCACATCTGAGAATGTGGGTATTTTGACAGTACAACAGCACTGTGCGGCACAGTTTGCCAGTATCCGTTTTGTTCTTGCTTCGAGTCTGTTGCATCGTTCATCAGCACATCGCCTCACTCTCATCGCAACAACGGACCCCTCTGTCGGGGAACTTGATGGCGTACACCAGCTTGGTTACTCGCGGAATTGCAACGGAAGTTAACATGTCGCGATCACTGCCAATGCGTTGGTCAGTTGGAGCTCTAAAGCCATCAGCGTCGCCATCAGTGTTTCGCCCGCTCTTGGGAATCGCGTTGTCACAAATCGGGCATCACTACCTGCTATCAGCACATCCCCACAGGCAAATTAGGGGAATTCACAACAGTCGTCGTCCTGACCATTCTAAACAGCAGCCTTTTCGGAGGTCGCAGAGCCGCACCGCGCCAGACGCTGTGCTTGAGAGCCTGAGACGCCAGGAGTTCAAGCGCAAAGTCGTGGTCTGGAGCTTCTGGGCTATCAATGGCCTTGTCTTCTTCGCCTGGATAGCAGCGAAGGCTGAGGCTGAACATAACATCGAGGAGATCAAGTCGCAGCCCAGGTGGCAACGCGCGACACAGTTAGAACTCACCATGATAAGTCCAAAGATGAAAGAGATGCTCGAGAAGTGGACCTCGAGTCGCCACAATCTAGAAGGAGGCCGATACTATACTCTTTTGACTGCTGCCGTGAGCCATCAGGACTTCTTTCATCTGCTGTTTAATATGGTCACCTTCAACGCATTTATGACGGTAGCGCTGTACAGCAGTATCCCTCTACGCACTCTCGCCGGTCTCACCGTTGGCAGCGCCGTCGTTGGCAACCTATCTGGCCTCGCGGATCATGAACGAAAAGGCCAGGTCTCACATTACGGCTTGGGAGCAAGTACTATTAACATGGGTTTGGCATCAGCTATGGCTTGTACCCAGCCATTTGTGACATTTGCCTTTTTCGGTGTAGTCCCCATGAAGTTGTGGCAGCTTGCCATTGGCTTTACTGCGCTGGATATGTATATGTTAGATTCAAAAACAAGTTCGACAGGTCATGCTGCTCATCTTGGAGGCGCCGTGTTTGGCTTGGTGTTCTACTTTGCTAGGCTCCGAAAGTTTGGTGGATTGGTGGATATCATCCGCTACTATGCGACGAGGTCTCGTAAATAGCAATATCACCTTGTATCATTTAGGAGTGTTCGTAATTTGCGCAAGACACAAAATCAGATGTTACTGTCGTTTGCATTGTCTTTAGTAATAGCCCGAGGTGCATTGGCACAACGCATATCGATTATTATTATCGGGATATCCATCATGTAGAAAGTGGAAAACAAGCCCTCGCACAATCATGGTAAGCGGCTTCTCTTTTCCATACATGAATAAGGATGTAACTGCAGAGTACAAGACACTGCTCTAAGCCCCGTGAGACTTGGAGGCGTAAAGACAAGGGAATAATTGAGCGAGGATTTGAGTTTGCTTGCTTGGTTTATTGGCACCAATAATGCATGGGGATTGAGGATGCATTCGAAGCCACGATGCTGGTAGTTGCATAAATGCTAATAATGAAGCATGGTTTCTTATTTTGCTGGCCTTAGGGAGTACTACTCCTTGGTTCAACCGCGACTTACCCCGGAACTCAGTCCTGTCTTATTCTCTTCTCATGTCTGCAGGTGAAAGCTCTGAAAAATTGAGCTCCCAGCGGATGTTTCACACAATCATATACGACTCGCTAGGACGATGATGCTGCAATTCCGACCTGTGGGTCGCTTATTTGGGCATCTCTTTAGCTTCGGCCATCAGCAACGCTCCTTTCAGTCAGTGCAGAAGCTCTTGCAACATCGCGTATGTGATACCGACGCCGACCACCACAGCAATGCGCAAAGCATTGCAGGGGCCCCGTGGGCAAATAACGGAGATAATCCAGCCCAGACAATTGGAGGTCTTGGAAGTGTGAAACCAACAACATGTGTGGAGGGCCAGAAACCATCTGGTGCCGACGAGAACACTTCCACTTCTCGCACTGCAGGGGAGACTTTGCAACTCTTCATCAAGACTGCCTATAAAACCTCATTTAAGTCAAAGCATGTTGAACGCGCGTATGCGCGATTATCCAGAGACATTCCAGCTGCAGCACAGGCAATTGCCGGGCTTAAGCCCAAGTCCCAACGTCGTTCGATTGAAATACTTTGCGACTTGTGCAACGACGTGAAGACCTGGCCGACATTACAAGTGGCTTTGGAAATGTTCACCAGTGGGTCTTGGTACGATGTCCTGGGAGGCTTGCACACATCTCGGGTCGTCAAAGACATCCAGTACTATCACTTGACCACCCCACTGCCATTCCACGAATTTCCAAGCGATTACTGGGTTGACTTGGAGCCAGACCATTTTGTCCGTTATGTAGCGCGATATGTGGTTACTAATGCAACTATACACTCTGAGCTCAGCAGTATTTACCGAGATATGGACACCACTCAGGAATGCAAAGAAACCTCCATGTTGCATCAGTGCAGAACCACCATGGAGGTCGGCGACAGGACATATCGAGGATTCGGAGAAGGTCAATCCGCATCAAAAGCGGAGCAAGCTGCTTCACTAGATGTGATTTCCCAGATATATTGCTCGGGTCAATTACGGCGTTGGTTCTACCCAGAAACCCCATCGTCAAACCTTGATTATGATGGGGAATTGCTATTGAGGCGGCCAGGGTGTATCGTCTATGACTGTGCGGCATATCTCGGCTTAACCCCGAGGTTCGAACATAGCATCATCAAAACACTACAATCGGGGCAGGAAATATCGCTGTACCGTGTTAGTATCAAATTGGATGAGTTAAGCCTTGAGCGTACAGCTGTTTCCGAGAGAGGCTGGGCATTCGCAGAGACGCTCGCAGCCTCGTCGATCAACCAGGTCTTAATGGAACGTGCTCGGACTCCAAACTTCCTCTTAAGCAGTCGGAAGAAGCGAAATATTACATTGAATACTCAGAACGCAAAGGATTTCATTCTGCATTATCTTTATTCGAAAGAAATACCCAGCCTCGGTACACATGGAGGTTGGTCGAGACTTTTTCCTGGCCTTAAGAGCGGAGCTACCGTGATCAACGGTCAAACCGTTGGTGAGAAAGTTTGGTTATACTCGGACCGGAAAGACGTCGAGGCATGCGCCTATCTGACTGCCGCGACCGAAATCACCAACTACGATCCGGAATTTCTTCAAGAGCTGCCCAACACATATCTCGACTTGAACAGTGTTTTCAAAGAGAACAAGTTCAAATATTTAAAGTCTCGGGAATCGACCTTTTTGGATGATAAAGACTATCCTGTATCGTATGATGGTCAGAGCCATGGCCGCAAACAAGAGGAGACACATGATGGTAATGTAGACGGCGCTTCGTCAGTCAAGGCGGGCGCTACGACTACCGCGTCCGATACATGTCCTAGGCTGACGCAAGTTGGCCTGAACGTCGATTGTTCTTCACTTCAACTCATGCAGAAGCCACTGCCGCACTCGAAATGCACTGGTCCGTCGTGGAAGGCTGGGGCTTCCCAAAAGGTATATCAGGATACAGTACGCAGCCAAACAATTCGTCTCTCTCCGCTTTCCGAAAAGGCTCAATTGGACCGCAACTTGCAACTCATGAGCTATCAGTTGAATTTATATACAAATCCGATGCGGCAATCACTCCGCGTCCGTAAGGAGTCTTTACCAATAAGCCGGTACGCAGAGCGGCTTGTGGACATAATTTCAAAGCACCAAGTCTCCTTCGTTAAAGCCCCGACCGGTAGCGGCAAGACAACCCAGGTACCGCAGATCATACTTGAGAACGCCATCACCGAGGGAAAAGGTTCATCATGCAATGTGATATGCGTGCAACCACAACCAGCGCTCCATGTTCCAGTCATAGCTCGACGGGTGGCTTTCGAGCGCGGCGAAGAGTTAGGACAGACGGTCGGTTACTACGTTCGTGACGACGATCGTCGACCACAGTATGGCGGCAGTATCAGTTACTACAGCGCAATGGTGCTTCTGGAACAACTCAGGGACGATCCTGCATCCATCTTTGATACGGCCTCTCACATTATTATTGATGGCAATGACATTTATGGGCGCGACACTTTCACGGACTTGCTGCTCATTGTTCTTAAAAATACTCTCCATAAACGTTGTGATCAAGGCATGAATTTACCGAAAATCATAGTGATGGGTGAGATATTTAACACAGATACCTTCACAAAGTATTTCTATGGAGAAGCGAATAAGCCCAATGCGTGTGGCATCCTTGACATTCCCAGCCAGCCGGCTCCAGTCACTGAAACTTATCTGGACAAGACCTTGGCTCAACTGCGGAGATCGTATGGATCACAGTTCGATGCTTTGTTATTCCATGATAAAGGCTTCAAGAAATTGATGGAATTAGACTTCGCTGCGTCGCACCTCAAGGGTCCTGCGGAGATACGGATTGCTGCCGAATCTCAGGTGCAGCTGCAAGGATGGCAATCATTCGATGAAGGATGGTAAGTATTGGGAACCGCTTTGTTGAATACACAAGGTATCGATACTCACACATTATAGCGTATCCGCATCGCTTGTGGCCGCCACTATCGCCCACATCTGTATAACAACTCGCAATGGGGCAATACTTGTCTGGCTTCCCAGATCTGCGCCCATTCCAAAGATACTGGGTATACTACGCCGTCGCGAAGGCGTCTTTGGGACCAATTTCATTAATAAAAGCAAATTCCAGTTTGACGTGTTCGATTCCTCACAAATGAGAACACCTGAGGGCATGAAAGCGCCTCCAGTACAACCGGGATGTAGAAGAATCATTCTCATGACCAAACCAGCTAAGCAAAGCATGGTTCATGACGCAAAGCACATTGTTGACTGTGGACTAAAATGGCAGTCTCAATACGACGAACGCATATCCACGAACAGATTGCAGACGGTCTGGATTAGTAAATCTGCTGCTCGACAACGAGTGTGTTGCATTGGGAACATACAAAATGGCTCCTACTATGGTCTGTTCTCCGAAGAAAGGCACAGATTGATGCGAGACTACGAGCTACCAGAGGTTCTGCGAGTGGACCTTCAACATACCTGTCTTTTGGTTAAAGCACAAGGTATGAAAGGAAAGATCCGCGAGCTTCTTGCAGCCGCAATCGAACCACCTGCTCCGGAGGCTGTAAACGACACAATCGGGCATCTCGTGGCTATTGAGGCACTGACTGCAGATGAAGAACTGACCGCCCTCGGTAGCATCTTGGCAACACTTTCTTTCTCACCGGCAGAGGGGAAACTAGTGCTTCTGGGCATCATCTTCAAATGCCTTGATCCTATTCTTACCATGTGCGCTGCCACGAGGGAGACAAAGTTTTTTCGGTATCCACTTGGACAAGTAGGATCAGCCGACACAGTCCGTGTCTCTTATGCTCGTGGACACGACAGCGATCAGCTTGCCGTCTTAGAGGCGTTCAACGACTTGTGGCGACTCAATGATGGTTCAGAAATGGGGAATCTGGCCATACACGATCAGGCTGCAAGACGATATCTGCATGATGATGTTTTCTTCAGAATGATGAAAACGAAGACCTCTATATATCAGGATCTTGAGAAGGCGGGTCTCGTGCCTCTGTCAGATGACGTATCAGGTCTAACGATCGGCGGCCCATCACTCAACCGGAATTCAAACAGTGAAGCTCTGATCAAAGCGCTATTACTTGCCAGTCTTAACAGCCGCCTTGCTTTCAATGTTCCTTTGTGGAAGAACAGTTTACGTATTCGAGGCAGCCCATCACTTGTCGAGATGGACCGCGACTCGGTGAACTATCCATCGTCAAAATTCCCAAAAGGAACGTTGTTTGTGTATAGAAGATTGGTGAGAAGCGTTACCAGCGATATAACGACGGTCGAAAGCACGACGAAGATAGACGCTCTTGCGGCAGTGCTATTCGGTGGTTCGGTGGAAAGCGAGGGAGGAACGCAAAACATCAGAAAAGATGGCTGGCTCCAGTTCAACGTGAAGAAAAACGACAGCCCAGGCGGCCCGGCTCCCACAGGACAGTCCCGGGAATCCAGCGACGCCACGAAAACTATACTTGACTTCAAGGCTCGCCTCGATGAAATGATCCAGGACGCATACCAGTCGCTCGCCCGAGCATCAGACACCGAGAGCCTGGACAGACCGGTAGGTCTTCCAGAGGACCCTGCTAGGGAGGCCCTGGTAGAGAGAGTTGTAGAACTTCTCTCAAGTCGTCAAGTCTAGGTAGGGCTTGGCCGATAACTTTGTGATGGTAAATTCGGAACGACAGCTGGCGGTGGTACTGTATGTTTAATAAACATAGGGCTAAGCCGCCTGGGAAGCCGCTGCGATTGTAAGCGCAAGACGGGGTTTGAAGTGTAAACGAACACCTGTACAAGTCCATGTAAATTAACTATGATGCAATGCCAATGTAAATGGAGTTTGAATAAAAATACAAGGACGTATACCGTTCACCGTTGTCGGTCTCCACATGCATTCCCCTGTGAGCAGGCTTGCCGGTCTGGTGGAGCCACGAACCAGACGGCGGCGGGCCGACTGTGAGTCTTGACCATACATAATATCTCAACCCCGGTCACACTAGACTGGGTTGCACGGAGGGTAAAAGAGTGGACAGCTTACGACTATCTAACCTACTAGTAAGGCTTATGTATGTACATACGCTTGCTACGCTTGCTGCCACGCTACGGCCACGGATACCGTTACCTGTAATGTAGCTTCAGTGCCGCAGGCAGCTCCCAAAACCCAACACAAGGCAAATCTCATGTTGGAAGAACAATGCAATTGACCTTGGCTCACCTGCATTGAAACACATCGAAATGGAACAATCACAACCCACACCAGGCTCTCTGAGCTGGCGCCTCAGCTCCCACCCGATCACGCTGCTGTTCTTTCTCGGCTTCCGCATTTGTATGTCCAGCTCTTCCCCCAGCATCCATCGTGATGGCCTCTGCTTGCCACGCTGCTATTGGCGAGAGCCACGAGCGTTCATGTCGCGCGTCGACCGACCAGTGTGGCCGTTCCCACGATCAATGACACCGAGCTAATATCTACCTGCGTTCCCCCCCTCACAGCCTCTCTGCTCGTCTACCTCTTCGGCATGCTCTTCATCGACAACCTGGTCATGATCTTCATCATCACCATCCTCCTGCTCGCCGCCGACTTCTACTACCTCAAGAACATCGCGGGACGCCGCCTCGTCGGACTCCGCTGGTGGAACGAGGTCGACCCGACCTCGGGCGACAGCCACTGGGTCTTCGAGAGCAGCGAGCCCGGCACCAAGACCATCAACCCTACCGATTCCCGCTTCTTCTGGCTGGCCATGTACGCGCAGCCCTTGCTGTGGGTCGCGCTGGCCATCCTGGCGCTGGTCAGACTCAAGTTTATCTGGTTGCCGCTCGTTGGTGAGTCCTTTTCCTACTACAACCTGGGCGAGATGAGACAGCACGAGATTCTGGAAGGGGGCGGGGGGAAAGGCCCCGAGCCAGATGACAAATCCCTGACTGACACTTGACCACCACTTGTAGCGATCGCCCTTGTTCTAACAGTCACCAACACGCTTGCCTTCTCGCGCTGCGACAAGTTCAGCCAGGCCTCGAACATGGCCGGCAGCGCGTTCTACGGTGGCAACCTTGCGGGAAGTATCGCCTCCAACATGGCCGGCCGCCTGTTCAGCCTCGGTCGATCGTGAGGAGTCGGGACGAAACCATGCAAGATCGCTGTAGCGATTTTGCAAAGATGTTGTCCTCGAGAAGGGGAGCAAGCCAGCGTGTATCTCAATTAGGCATTTTGGGTCGACATTCGGGCAGTTCACCCGGCTGAGAGCAAATTCTATGGCGTTGAGGATTGCGTAGGTTTTATAGATGATCAAATCTGAATTACACATGTATTTTTGAAAGCCACTCAACCTAATGCGTCGGCCTTTTCTTGGGTGAAATGTCATGAAAACACAAAAATGTTTAATATATCCAAGGGAAAAAGGATGCCCATATGAGACTCTACTGGATTCAAGCGAAGGAGGAAAAAAAAAAAAAAAAAAGGAAAAAAACATGATCATTGTCCCCCAACCTATCTGGCCTCGGATATATACGCTAACCAAAATATCCCCTACCAACGCCCGATCATTGAGCACGACTCGACCGCCCAGCATCCTCAATCGCCATATCCAAGGCCCTCTCCTCCTCCTCTAACCTCCTGATCTCATCAGCCGTCATGCCCTCCTCCACAAGATGCGCATATCGAGTGCTGGTCGGCGGCGTCGGGCTCCTCGCGCCCCCGGTAGGCAAGCTCGTCTGACTATCCATGGGCCCCGTGCCCTCGGAGCCGAGCCCCCTCGCCGCAACGCCAGGCGGCGGCGGCGTGTGGTCGCTGTAGGGCGCATATGCGTCATCGCCGCCTTGGGCAGCGCCGTGGCCACCACGGCCGCCGCCGCTGATCAGACCCGTGCCGGCACCGATGGCGCCCGCGCCGACCATGGAGCTCCTCGCCGTCTCGTGCGGGTCGTGCAGCTGGCTCCTGTCGGCCGCGTATGCCGAGTGCGGGCTGTCCGTCGTCGCGTGCGGCATCTCCTTGTCCGCCATGATGGCCCCGACCCCGTCCGAGGCGTAGCCGTTGCTCTGGCCCAGGGCGGCGTGCGAGGTGCGCCGCCGCCGGAAGCACAGGAACCAGACGGCGCCGCCGATCAGTGCCAGGCCCACGAGGCCACAGGCTACTGCTATGCCGGCTATGGCGCCGGTGGAGAGGCCCGTCGATGCGTTGTTGCTGTTGCTGCTCGAGGCGCTGGATACGGTTGGGGAGACGGTGCTTGTTGGGGCTGAAGTGGAATCCACAGAGGGCAAAATCGCCGAAGGGGTGCTCGTTGTCGATTGCCCGCAGCCATAACCGCTGCTGCATTCACTGTATGCTGGGTCGTATAATGATTGCCCGTTGGCTTCAGTCAGGGCATTGTTCAACTCGGCGCTCGCCGTGGTGCCGTCCGACACAGCGAAGAGTGAGCTATAGCTGGATCCCATGAGATCATCTGCCTGAAACCAGTCTATTTGCAGGTACAATGGCGTTAAGACCGCAGTGTAGAGTACGTAGTCATTCTTCTGGCCATTATAATCCAGCGTTATAGAACCACCAGTCTCGGATACCAAATCCGCACCTATAAAAGACTGTGTTACTGGCGGCCCTCCGAATACGTTCACAAGCGAGGAATTGAGCGAGCTTACTGTCCAAGATGAATCCCCCTTCTGTTGGCCCTGCGATTTCTCTTCGTCGAGCTTCTGTGTCCCTCGCACTTTCTTTCGTGTAATGGTCTGTCCCGCTTCTGGCCGCCCGTGCGACAACGGTGTTATTGTCGTCTTTCTTTCTTATCCATGCTTGGCGAACTGTGACGTTTGAGTTCTTCGTCCATGTCAATTGCCGCCCACTCTCGAGAACAGGAGGCGATGGCAGACCACCACCGAATAATATGATCGTGTTTGAGGCCGAATCTGCTGTGCTTGCAGCACCTATCATGTAGGCAGCCAGCCCCAACGTTGAAGCATGAATTCGCATATCGGTCCACTATCGCCCTCGATATGGTACCCGATTCGCATGTAAGTCGTGTGTAGCTCGTCGGTCCCAGATCCCAAACGCAAAGTTTTGATTAAATTTTGAATCCCAGTCTTTCGCCTCCAAACATCTCATTCAATGCCTGTCGCAGTTCGTGTTAGGAAAATCCAGCGCCTTTTGTTTTTCTCGCCTACCGCCGTGTAAGTTGTTGTATACACAGCGCGGATGTTTTTGTGCGTCACGGACAGGCCGATAGAAACACCCCAGCGAGAGAAAAACGCTTGTCACTTTGTCGCAACAAATCGCCTGGGCAGAATGTTAAAAAAACAATAAAGTAAAAATTAGGGCAAGACCAAGGATCAAGATCCAAAAAGGAAGTTTAGACAAAACAGCAAAAACTAATGGAGATAGTGTAGAAGATGGAGAGAAAGAAAGACGGGCTTGCACTTACGCCAGACAAGAACAAGGTGTGGGCCTTCTCCCCCCTGTTCCTTTCTTGATCCTTCGCTTCTGTCCAACTGGAGTTTGAGATGTGTGTGCATGTATGCCCCCCCCGGTCAGCTCTTTTTTGTCCTTCTCAGCTTTCATGGACCAGTAGCGCGCAGCTTTTTGGGATCTACGACAGCAAAGCCCACCTTCTTGTCGTACCCCTTGTAGTTGACTTCAGTGGCAGAGGGTACCATTTCACAAAAGGCTGTGTGTGTTTGTGTGTGTGGCTTCTCAGACGCGGCCAATTGGCCTGGTGTTTCGGGTCCAATCCTTACATGCTGGGCTGGTACATCGATTCGGGCTTACATGGTCATGTCAAAAAGAAAACGAGCGTTCGGCTAGTACTATTTTTGTATCTATGGCTGGGCTAGCTGCTGCATATTGGTTAGGAGAAAGGACTAAATCTTAACCTTAGCCTTACTCTATGGATCTGTGCTTTGTCTTCTTCCTTTTCTTTGCTACAGCTTCTTCTCGAAACTGTAGGAATGATCTGGGATGGCTTCGACAAACAAGACGTCCGGGGAGCATGGCCCTTCGAAGTCTCGACATTTTGACTGTGCCGCAAAATAAACAGAACCTTCCGTCTACGCAACTTCCTTCATCTCCTGAACCATCCCTAGGCCAGAAATCCGTAATCACTAAACCAATCCGAGTATTTACAGCCGTATCCTAAGTGCTGACGTGCAGGAAGCGAGAACCCACACATCAGACTACGTACTGCGCATCCCCGAAAGAATGTCGTCCCAAAGTGCATTATTCGTGCTCTTGCATCTTCATATATGTTTTATTTTCCTCTGACCAGAGGGCAGGGAAAAAATATCCGTCGAATGGAAAACGTTCCGGCAGAAAGCGGGGGTCGCGTTTTCGCTCCGATATGCATAAGATAGATGATAATGGAGTGAACACTAAAGTGCCGGCAGGTATGATTGGGTGGCTGAAGGAGAGAGAGCCCTACGCTGACCATTTCTGGGCGGGAGATCCATTTGGTTAGTCGTGGCCGGGTAAGGCCCGACAAGGCCTGAGTCCCCTATCAATTATTCTATTAGTGCTTGGATTAGGGGAGAGATCATAACTACAATGAATACTATAACCTCGTAGGTTAGTTGCCTCACATCGATTGTCCTAGCCTAGACTGGGTGCTCTTCTTCTTCTTTTTCAACCATTTCAGATTGTCAACAAGAATCTGAGCAATCGTGACAGAAACTCACTTGCTGCTACTACTGCTGCTACTGCTGCTTGTCAGATGAACGATCGCATAGGGGCTGAGCAATCTGTCGTGCGGCTGATCCTTTCCCTCAAGACCATCCAAGCCCATCCCACAATACGCGGCCGAGAGAGTCCGGGGGGTATCCTCGTCTCCCTCCAATCGCGCGCTAGCGGGCCCGCACGAAGGATGCTCTAACCTTAGTTTTGATGTGGTAGGCAATAAATAGCATCAACCCCGGTTTTTTTCTTTTTGGTGTGGTGTTCAAACTTCTGTCCGCTCGGTCACTTGCTTGCGGTGCGTGAGAAAATACAAACGGCCCCCTCGGTTGTGTTCCGCTTACGTATGTGTTCGAAGAGGACGAAAAGTACCAATATCCGGAGCCACAAGTCAGTCGGGCAGAAGGCGTCAATATTGTGGCAATGCTGTTTCTTTTTTGTCCTACTTATTCCGTTGGCCACGGGGCGTAGGGCTATATCGGTATCTGTATAGCATCTCTACCCCATTTACCTATTCGCGACCAGTGCACAAGACCGTTCCCCAAAGGAACACTCGGCGTAGAGGGAAAACTACCACCCACAGGACGGCCGACAGCGATTGACGAGATGAATTCCTCAAACCTGCCTAGGGTTCCCGAGATCTGCAAGGAACTGCGAAAACCCGCCATATCGAAGACCCATAGCAAGCAAGGCGTTGTAAGGGGAGAAGGGGTGGGGCGTGAGTAAGCAAAGGGCCCTTACTTGACCGCGTAGTGATCACACACACCACGAATAGGGCTTGCCAATGCATTTCTTCACATTCACTTCTGGAATTTGTGATTTTCGATGATCTGATGAGCTGCTGTTCCCACTCTGTGACATTGTGCATGTGTGTTGGTTACTGTATGCAGCTGCATATGCATGAGTCGGCGAATGAGGACCCAGAGGCTCGCCTAAGCTCAAAGACCTATGATTAGAAACCATTGGCAGCGTACCCCGGATTTTGGTACTCCTTGGCCACTTGGGCCATCTGTGAAACGCCGGCGATCGGGGTCTTGCTTGTTCGTGGCTCAAATGACAATCGCGGCCAAAAACTATTCCCGCTATCAACATCTTTAGAATATAGGTTTAAGCGCCCTCTTGGTATACGTCTAATAAATACTTGTTTCTCTGGCGGCGCTTCTGCATTAGGTGGAGTGATATGTACAATACTTGTTTCCCCATTCATTCTCATCAACCAAAATGATCCATGCGACCCGACCAACCAATCATTTGTTCCGATTCCAAACGCCTTGATGCTGTGATATGTTTTAATGAATTTTATGATGATCTGACTCAATACATACAATGGAGAATGTGTATAACATGTTTGGAGCGCGGGGTCTCTCATCCTAGGTCGAGCGCCTACACGCAGGAACAGGCAGCTGGAGTTGCGAGAGCGCAGGCCCCCTAACAGAAGTAGTAGGCTTGGCCGCCGATGACTAGGCAAAGGTCATTGAGATTTCCTTCTCCTTTCCAAAATCATCGTCATCATCCGCCCAAGGGTCATGTAGCGCTAAATTCGGCGTCGTTTGGCTCGATTTGAGATCTGGCCTTCCCGGAGTTGCCGATGGCGGTTCTCGGTACCCATCGTCGAACGACATCTCAACTCCGTCGTCTCCGTGGTCCAATCCATATGCTTGTGAAGGATTCGGGCTATGATATCCAAAGCCACTGCTCGACAGTCTAGGTGTTCGATCCTGAGAGACGCTTAGATTGGGAGATGCTGCAGTTCTGAGAGTTGCCATCATGTCTTCGCTTCTAGTCTCGCGGAGCGTGTTGCGCGGGTTATCATACGGTGGAGGCACGTCAATCTTCATTGGCGGAAGCGTCGACTTAAGCTCCTTGATTTCTAGTTCCTCCCCCTCGTCAGCTTCTTTGGTTTGCTCTCTGGCAAGCTCTGCTCTCATGGCATCAACATCGAACAGCACGCCTTTGTTCCTGTTTGTGTTCTCCTCGGATGTTGACCCATCGGCGTCGGGCTGCCCCTTCGATTCTTCGTAGACCTCCCAGTCGGCGCGTTTCGCCTTCTTGCGTGAAAAGAAGCTGAAGGCGCCGCCCTTTTTCTTGGCCTCTCCCCCTTGTTCTAATTCTTTCCGGGCTTCTTCGATTTCGTTGATGAGTTCTCTCTGCCTTTCCTGGTGGTTATCTGGGTCGGGATCTTCTATTTCTCCAAACTCGTCGCTTTCGACAAGCCAGCCGCATTCTCTTAACAGTTTCGGCATGGCTTGTCGATAGTCCATGTGTCCTTTGACGAGTTCTGTGCAGTCCAAATTTTCGAGGCCCGGTATACCTTCGATCTTTGTTAAACCAGCTACGCGACGGATTCCACCGTTCGTCAAACGGAATAGGTAACCCAGAATCCAGTCATTTTTATGGTAGCCGTTGACCATTCTGCCAGCCACGACTGTACGAACCTTGAGGTACTCATCTGTCTTCACCACCATGGGAGAGCCAAACATGTAAACGTTCTGGACCAAGCCATAAGCGCCCTTCCGCGCCAGCTCGAGCAAGCAAGAGAAGATGACTCGTGAGCCGAGAGAGTAGCCCACCAGAGTGATGGGTCTAGTTCCGAGGTTGCGATCAATCAATGAATCCGCCAGAACAAGGCCAGCGGCCCATGCACGGTCCATAGAGACTGACCACGGGTTGTCAATGAGATATGCGAGCTTTGATAGTACCACAGGAAGCTGTAGGGCGGCCATGAGACTCATCAAGATGGTGCTGGCTAGGACTTGCTGCAGTCCTTGTGTCAGAGCCTATAATACGTTAGACCAAACTCAAGTCGGCGTGGCAATATAATTTTTGCTTACCTCTGTTGCCAAGATGTTGATGGTGTCACCCATGCTTGTCAACATTTCCGGCTCCCACAATATAGAGTAGATATCTCCCATAACAGAGTCTATCGTGCTAAACGGCAAACGTACGTCATCGACTTTGCTCGTCATCCAACCGGATATGGTGACAATCAGGTTGACTCGCTTGTTGTTGTGTAGAGGCCGATACTCAAAAGTCTTGACAGCGCCCGTCCTGCGATTAGCAGCTTTGCCGCCCATGAAACTTCCCGAAACAGTCGATCCAGCTGTTATGATGGCAGCGCCTGCACCGCCAGCTAGGAAAGAGCTCGTGCCTCCCACACCGATTGTAGTGAAGCCCGCCGCCAGACCAGCTCCGATGACAGGCGCAAGGAGACCGGCTGAAAGACCGATGACCAAACCACCACCAACAGTAGCCAGGCCCATCATCATGTATCGCTTTTTCAACGCCAGTTTTCTTCTATTCTCCAAGTGTTGCTCTTCGTTCCAGTTCTCCTTCTCGGCCTCCTGTTGCATCTCCAGTGCATCGGTGACGCGCTTCTCGAATCTCGAAACATCTATCCAGGGTACTTCAAGAGCTTTAGCTACTCTTTCTAGTAGTACTCTTGATCGAGCATCGTATATGGAGTCTGCGATGAGCACCAGAAAGAGATCGCAGAGCACTGTCCAGCGAAGGTCGATATCAATTTTCTGCGTGCTGGGCAACTGAGATGGCGTCTTGACCTCGGGCATCTCCTCGCCGTCATGTGCATGGGCGTCATACGGTGGGGGAGCCACTGCATTCTGCTCGCTTCGTGGAGTCCCAGAGACAGAGACGGAAGCGCGTGGGCTCATGGCACCGACTCTTGGTGTTGCGGGTGCTGATGATTGTTCTTCGGCCACAGGATTCTTGACTCTTGCGTTTTGCATCAACACCGGCGTGAGATCACCAGGTCGAACACCATGAGCGGCCAACTGTTCAATCATGACCTGCTCATCTGCACTGATTTCCATGTGCGTATACAATCGAATCATAACCTTCTGCCCCCACATCATCATGGCCTCGGCGGCTGTTTGGACATCCTTCTTCGTCCTCTTGGTGAAGTCGAATTCGGCCTCTTTTTGCATGTCCGACAACTCGACCCGAACAGCTCCGACGTAGGCTATCCTTTGACCTTCGGTTAGAAGGTCTTTTGTCGCTTGCAGTTGCGATACCGCATCCCTTTGCTCATCTGCGTCATCTTCTGCCATGCTCGTAGTGGGACCTGTCTTGTTGAACAGATATCTGGTGTTGTCGTCCATGCTGGTTTCCGACTCTGCGTCCTCGTCGTCGAGAACCCGAGTGTATCCCTTGCCTGCACCACCAAGCCCAGCATATCCGTATTTCTCGTCTTCTTCTTCATTATGTTCCTTCGCAATTAACCTGTTGTCATCATCGTAGATATCATAAGGTGCGTATGCTGGCATGGTCTGCCAGCCGTCATCGTCGTCATCCTTCTTGTCCTCTTTCTCGGTTGTAAGCTGCTGGTGAGAGAACTCGCCCATACTTGCTCGGCTCGTATCACGGTTGTGACCGACCCCGGGGGCCTTTTTAGCCTCTTCGGCTGCTTCATCAGCTTTCCTGCTGGCTTCCACATCTTTGATGGAAGGTCCAGATATATGTTGTATGGATGATGTCGTATCCGATCGTTGACGTTTCGATTCGTTGGTCACCGCAGGGATCGATTCGGTCTCGATTCCATCGTTGTTTTTTGATTCCACATCAGATGCAGGAGCCGATCCTTCTGGTTTTGGTGTTTCGGGGTTTCCTGGGTCTTGTTCCACGGGCGTGACCTTTATGACCGGCTCGTCTCTTCGTTCGTTCGCAGATGTAGTTGGCACCGGAGTACGTTGCAGATCTAAAGAATCCTCCGCGCCACCACCACCAACACCAGTGTTTCCGGTGGGCGACTGGCCGGCGTTGTTTGGAGGGTTTAAATCACCTTCTTGCCCCTTGCTGGAAGCATCTTGTGGCTCCTCTTTCGATGTGCCCTTGGCTACCTCCTTTGGGTCATTCTCGGCGGTGGGCTTCACAACGCCGGGCTGCCCATTGCTTGCGTTCGCCTCTGCGATTTCGTCTTCTGAGAACTTCCGGATCGGCAAGCCGAAGTCGTCGAGTTCCTGCGCCGGAGCCATGAGGTATGTATTATTGCTGTCGCATCGGGTGTTTGAACGTTCCACTTTCCGCTCCCAACGGTGCTTGTATTTATATGAGGCCGCGACACAGAGTCTATCTCTGCATCGAACCCGGATGCGTCTTTTGGGGGGGCCCTTTGGTTCGGAGTTTCAGAGTCTCAAAGGATCTTGCAGGAAGCCTTGATGACCCCAACTTGCTTATTGTGAGAGAGAGCTTGCTGCTCGTTTGCTGCAGTCCAACGTGGGGAGATTCCAAAGATGCAACACCGAATCAACGGGTCCGGGTCTAAACCATTCATAGGAGATTTTGGGGGGCTACGTAGTATTTTTAGTCGGGTTTCCAGGGGTCCTTAGCTCTTGTCTTCAAGGTTTGTTTCATAGGGGATAATCCCGAATTGCGCAGGCGTGTGGATCTGTCGTGGTGTAAAAAAAGCTCCAAGATTCCGTAGAGCTATTATACAGACGCCACTTGATCCCGTCAGCTTTGTTCCATATGCCCGTTTTTGGTCGTTTTATCCTTGAACATATGTAGTCTGCGTCTGACCATGAGGGCATCAGATGGTGGCACTGCTTCTCCAGAACAAAGGGGGCTTGCAGGGAACTCGTGGTGTGATGAGTTGTCCAATGGCCGCTAAAGTGCCCTGGCGGGGAGCAGTGATACAAAGACTGACAGACCCCCCACTAACCTAACTCATTTGCCCGTCCGCCTGCCGAATCTCGTGCCGGCTACCGGACATTTGATACGGGACTTCCACTGGTCAAGTTAACATTCGCGTCAACACGAGATTCCATTCCGTTGAGGGTAGTCTTCAGATGCAGCTGCCTGCCATGAGGCAATGAGTATTAATTAGCATAAACGGAATAGGAGATCAACCACAGGTTGCTGCTCGGTAATCTAAGACGATTAAAGAAGCCATGCTCCTGTTTGTTAGTCCCTACACATGTTCGGGGTCGCTCCCGAACATGCAGGGCCTATTGATGCCCCGCGGACAGACTGAATTCACTGCGCCAGCCAAGTCTCGTGGCAGGTCACTGGAGTACTCTACCGAATAGGTTGGTTGATAGAGAAATAAAATGTCAATTATTGGTATCAAATGCTTTGAGAGCAAGTCCATCCCTTGGTCCGTTTTAGAACACCTAACGCCCATTCTCATGCTTTTAGACTTCCCAATGCTGAGGCAACCTTTACTCAGAATCGTCACCAGCTTGATGAGCTTCAGAGCCACCAGGAGCTGCGTTGTCATCGTCGGCACCATCTGCTCCGGTCTTGGTCTTCCTTCTTCGCTTTCTCTTGGGGCCGTCTTTTGAGGCAGCATCTGAGGCAACCTCCGCCTTGGACTTCTTGGACGTCTCTGTAGAAGACTTCTTCTTCTTGTTGGCCAGAGGGTTGGGACCCTTTGGTCCTTTCGGTCCCTTCTTCTTTTTCTTCTCTGGGTCGGCGCTGTCTCCGGCACCAGAAGCCTGCTCCTTGACCTTCTCGGCGCCACCTTCCTCGGCATCGCTGTCACTATCCTCGTCCCTCTTTCTCTTGCTGCCCTCGGCAAATCTCTTGATCTCTGCCTTCAGCTTAGCTCTCTCCTCCTTGTTTCTCACTTGTACACTCTCGTCGGCCATTGGCTCCATGATCATGACGCTCCTGCTGATGTAGACCAATGGCGTGCCTTTCACAGATCTCAACATCTGTCTTGTTTCCTGATCGTTCGCCGCGACCACGTATCGATGCTTGTTGAACCCGTTGCCCTTGGGATCCACCACGCTTCCCAAGCATTCAAGCGTACTGAGTGGCTTCGGATACTGGTCGGGATGATGGCCACAGCGACGACGCTCGAAAGTCTTGCCGAGCTCAATGGCAGCCTCAACACCTGGCTCGCCTTTACTGCCGTAGAGGTGGCGCATGGAGCACTGCGTAATGAGCGGCTTGACTTGGCCAGACAGGGTTTGCTGAAAGCCCTTGAGGAGGTCCATCTTGAAGCGGCAGGCATCGGAGAGGAGATTCGCATCAACGATGATTTGGTAAGGTTCGCGCTGGAGAGCAATACAGAATTAGCAAACATGACCACGAGTGGCCATAGACAGGGTAGTTTAACACACAAAGCCGAATGTTCTTTCAAACTGGCCCATCAGCTTGCGATAGCGCTTGCTTGTTTTCGCCCTCGGCATGGTGACGGTTTTGAGAAGGCGCGATGCGATGTGATGCCAGCAGTATATTTACGATCTGGTATCAAGGCCGACGCTGGAGCTGGACCTGGAGCTCGTCAGTGGGTGATAGAGAGGCTGATCTACCCGCTGTTTCGTTCCGTTTCGGTGAAGATCTTACACAGGTGTCGTCTCTTCGGTTCCGTGACACCGTGATTAGCTCAAAGTGACGCACGTTGTGGTGTGGAATGTAAACGAAAATGTGAGGTTGGGTGGAATTTATGAGCCTGCTGCCATTCCCCAAGTATCCCAAAACTTTTGACGCATTATCGATAAGCGACAACTGTGGTGGGGATCATACCTCGCTAAAATGCAGCCCCCTGCAAACATGGTTGCAAGGCAGGGCGGACCATTCCGCTCAAATCACCAATATCAAGCCACCAAAGCTTCCGAGGGAGTGGCATCCTCTCAAATCGAATGGTTATTCACCTGTTGAAATATCTCATACAGCGATGCCCGGTCGTGGTATATGTCTAGGCGAAACATTGCGTAAGGCAGCGTTTCTACCAGTATCTAGTGCTTTGACGGCATTGGCAGCATCTACCCAGTATATACTGTGTATTCCGGTTGCAAAGTCGTAATAAGTAAATGCTAGGAGGTTCAACTAAAGAAGAGGTTAAAAGCCTGGGATGGAGGCAACTTTTCTCGTTCCATGAGAACTTTGGGCCCCATGACCCAACAATGCCGGGCTCGCGGATCTAAACAATACGGCTTTAGCAGAAGCAACGACAACATCTCAATATCTCTGGAGTGCACCAAGTAAAGCCGCGTCTACCTTGCACTTGCATGGGAGTATAGTCGCTGATTAGCTGCTGTCCTGACTGCGACAATGACATGTCCATGATCTTGCGTAGGTCTCTGGAGTGATGGATCATCAAGGCACTGGGTGCGGTCTTAACAAATCATATATGTATATATTCTTTTCTATCCCGCCCTTATTCCCCATCGCAATATATCTATGCAAAAATGCTGAAGGCTTCCTTTCTCGGCCTTTGTGCGTTTCTACTGGTTTGAATTATATTTATTTACATATACCAAAGGTGAGGTCCGAAGCGTGAGGCTTGTCGGCCGCCAGCATGCGCCGGGTCTGCGCGCCCCGTACGTGCCGCGAAAACCAGAAACTTGACGAGACAAGCGTTCATCGCATACCTGCACAGAGGTCAGACCACGTTGCTGCTGCCGTCTCGTTGTGATATTGCAATATCACATACGCTTCCTTTGCCCATTACGCCTCAAACGCCCGCTGTTTCCGCTAATATGAAAGCAACACATTCTTCTTCTCCTTAGCTGGTGCCAACCCCTTGCACCCAATCCAGCTTCGTCTGATTACCTCACCACAAAATTTCGGCATGACATAACAAGAGGCTCTGCCCCTAGCTCACGCGTCTTGTCTTAGATCCTCACTCTAATTACAAGTAGGGCCGTTGATCTGCTATTCGTGCGGATACACAGAACTGCTACTGATACGGCTCGCTCGCAGGGTACCAACCAGCGGGTTGGCTTCACGGCGGCCGAAAAGCTCGTCATTGGATTAGATGCAGAACATACAGTTGTATCCTATCCAATGGTGAAGCAGCCGTCAAGAAGCTTCAGGACTTCCCGCTATCATGGAGAAGGTTGGACCATCCAGCTAGACGTGAGCGACGACCGCTCATATGGATGCGGGCGCAGCCGCACTGGCAAGCGCTCATGATCTTCTCAACATCCTCGTCAAAACGCCGCTACCTTTCGATAAGGGGTACCGCTGGACATCGCCCCCAAGACCTCTGCCACCAACGTCGAGGGTTACATCAGCGCCGGTGCCACCTTCCTGCCTCGGGTACAGAAGTCGATAACTACTAGTCGAACACTGGGATTGATCTTCGCTTCCAGCAGCGCCCGATTCATCATACACGCGTCCGATACGCAATACCAATCAGTTAAATGTTTCGTCGGCATAAAGCTGCAACAACACTGATATCATCAAGTTTGCCTGTTGCATAGTTAGTATATCACCTTACCAAAGCAATCGACTGACAAAACTCACCTCCTTCCATTGGCAAGCCTTCCTCAACTGCATGCTCCATAAATGGACTTTCCGCAAACGGATCCTGCGCAATGACCTTCGCAGCAGTCATGAGCTCCTCAGCTACAAACGTCATGCCACCATTCGCTCCACCATAACGAGGTCCATCCGCGGAGCCTCCTTCCCCATTCTCCCACCGCCGCACACTGCGTGTAACGTTTTCGACAATCTCATGTTCCCAGAGGTTGTCAATGACACCGTCCGACATAGCGAGTACTATGTCGCCCTCTTCCAGTTCTATCAAATCCACGACTGCGTTGTCGTTCGGTGTGTCAAGGCTGTTTGTGCCTAGCTGCCGTGGACAGTCAAACCAGTGCCATTGCTCAGTCGTTTTGTAGATCATCTCCTGGATACTTGGTCGCACAACCATGACCTGGCCATCGCCTAGATTTGTTGCGTAGAGCAGCGGGACCGCAGCCTCAGAGTCATATGCGTCCCCCTTGTAGAATAACTGTGCTCCGGCTGCAGTGGTTGTTCCTTGACAGTCACTCGGCCCAGAGGTGGCCTTCAAAGTGCGTTCATATGCGGCCTGTAAGTACTTGACTGGGTCCGGCCTGTATTCTTGACCCGGCGACCTCGGCTGCGTGATGTCTTCCTGCATTGCAGCAACCCAAAAATGTAGGATCAGTCGCGACCACAATCCAGCATGCCCTCGAGGCCTCATGGACCAAGCGCCTACACCGTCATTCGCACAAATAAAGTAATCGCTTGCATAGACGGCATCGTCGCCATTCGTCCAGCCCCTGATGAGCTCGCCTCCGACGAAAGCGCGCTTGTCCCTGCTCTGATGATGCGTGCTCAATGGATCGCTAAATGAACCGCTCGGGGACTCAGGAACGGAGGCGGGAATGGTCGCGGGGTTCTCTTGGCGAACAGCGCAAAGCCCGTTTCGAACCGGTAGGGTAGTTTCGGGCACGAGTCCGTCAGAGGCGGCGTTTCCTCCCCCGTCTCTGTCGGGGGCGGCTCGGAATAATGGTCATGATGCCATCGTCGGAACGAGTATGAAAAGCAGACGGCTTGCTGCGACGACGGCCGGCAGCGGCGCGTGATGATAGATGATGCTAAGAAGGACAGAGGTGACCTTGTCCTCATCCCCACGACCAGGCCTTGCGTGACCTTTGGGGAGCGCGTATGGCAGCCAGTTTTCCTCTCTGTCGCGCAATCTGTCTATGCGATGAAGATACAATTGCAAGTGCGGTCGTGTATTTGTTGATGTCGAGGTAGTGACCGGAGTTTGAGCCCCCATCCGGTGGAGGTCAGATAAGCGCAGGAGACGGCTGTTACTTATCGCGACGCTGGCGGGCAATGACTTGCGTAGTCAGAAGATGCGCCCCCAGTACGGAAGTGGCCTTGCAGCGCTTCAGTTTGATCACTAGAACAAGCCCCTTTGATGGAAATTGAACTCGCAAATTGTCACAAGAAACCGTAATGTATGTCCCGGGATAATGATACGAGTGGCTCTACTGAAATCGAAACGATGCTTTTGCCAGTATCGAATGACATCACCTGCAAGGAATCTCCCAGGGCCTCTGGAGGCTCTTCACCATCCATGTTTCGAGGAGAAAGGCCCACACTGCCACCATTCCGAATCTCCTAGCCTTAGCGTAGTGCTAGATTTAAACTTTGAGGTCATGCGACGACGGCGTTGCAGCATCCCGGAGTATGAACATGAACTGTCCTGCTCAAATATTGCGTTTTGCAGTTATGTATATACGTTGTCGCACAGGCGATGGAAATAGGATACTGGAACATTGACACAATACAGTATCGCCCAATGTAAAGGGTACTCTTTCCTGTAGTTCAGTCCTCATTTGGTCAGTTACTAGGTATATTACTCGTGGACAAAAACCTTTCAAGTGATGTCATGGAAGGTCACCAGGACCATGAGCAGTGTAGAATATTCAGGAGGCGAAGCCATTCAAGTTTTCTCGTTAAACACTATGTCCTAGTACTTTGCCGAATGAATTCTGCTTGACATTGTCACCGGTTCCACCTCGCCGGACTTTGTTGCAAAGAACTTTTCGATTTACTTATTCAGCGGATGTGGTTGTGGTCACTATGTATGGATCCGTATGCTGCAACCCCTAGTATTAGGATCCGCAAGCATAGTGCGCCTCTCGTCAAAGACACGTCCGATAGGGCCCTAGCAAGACGCTCTCGGGCTCGAGTTTGCCAATAGGGGCAAGCCTCTTTAAAAACATAATTCAACTTGGTAAACTTGTAAACCGACGTATTGTGAAGTTCGGAGAAACCGATCTTCTGCTACCCTGCCTGTGATCTCGGAAACTGCGGAGGTTGATACTGGTGATTGCGTAAGTATGCAGGTGAGACGAGCCTGCCTGAGGCTAAGTTGTAATCCCCACGAATGTCTTCTTCGGTTCTCAATAAATTCGACCTATGCAATACGGGAAATATTGTCTACGGGTAATTAAAAGCATCGTTCATTATCGCACCCCTTTCTTGAGTGTAAAAAATGGTTGTTCCTACCCGCAATTATATCCAGTCTATACTAGGTAGGCAGCCAGGTGGTCTTTAATGGAGCTTCTTATAATGCCAAGGCGAATGACTTCTGGAAACTTTTTGCGCCCATAGATGCCTCTGTACGCTGTCGGCGTTTGAAAGCCGAACTTTCGATTCTCATGCTCTGCGGTGAAACAAAGAAGGTTGTTGTTACGAATCTTCCATGCAGTCGATATGTTATGGCCCACGTTGTAAAGCCGACAATTGGCCCTGGTCCTTGGTCCTGCAGCAAGATCGCTTCTATCCGGCCTTGGCGCAGCAATACGATGGAAGGGCCAGGCGGACGCCACGAGGCGGCTCTATGTAATGCTCTTATGGACAATTTCAGCGCTGCGCCGATTAGGTATTAGAGCATGCAAGTAGCAACATAAGAAGCTCCCGGTAAATCTCTCAGTCATTGCAGGTCCTCAAGCTGGGATCAAGTATCTGCTATCCAATGGTTAGATGATTGTCTAACAGCCAATCATTTCGAATGTTGCGAGGCTGGTCAGCTGTCCGTTGCATCCGGAGGATCTTGGGACCAGTACATCCTGTCAAGATGGACACGCAGCGGTGGGGCGTGACTGAGTTTGTCTTGTGTCTCCAACCTCATTATATTGATGATGGTCTCCTTTATATCCACCATCATGCCATGATGTATCCATGATAATGCATCAGTCAGTTCTGAGGGCAGGGCAATCAACACGCTAAATATTCAATCATGCATTTGTAGATGCAGACAAACCTGATGTTGTGAGAGGTCTGCTGCCGGACAGGGCAACTTGCCGCGTATATCAAGAGGCTTGGGTCGTTGGAGATGCAGCTCTAGGCGTTTACATGCTTGATCGACGTATAACTGCTGTCACTTAAATCGGTCCCTTTCGTTGTGCATGCGCACCATGAGCCTTCAGAAAGGTATCGATTCGCCTTTTTCGGATTCGCATTTCAAGGTACACTGCCCCATCTTACGGTGAGCCGGAAACTTGTTCAACTACCACTTCACTACCGGCAGCCAATGAACAGACTGCAACCTTGGTAGGGAAAGTCGTGCATGGCACCTACAACAATGGTGGTGCATGCATGTCTTGAAAAGTGCATGCCCTAAAGCCGCATTGTGGAGAGGCAGTCACGGCGCTGTTTGCGACTATTGTCCGTCCAGGACCAGGCATAGCGTCATACACAGTAGTAGCTTACTGAGCAAGGAGAAAGCCAACATTTGGAAAGCTTGGCAAGGTTAGCTAGTGAGCCGATGTTCTTATTATTATTATTTTACCTGCTCGCCTTGATTCTGTTTGTGCCACGAGGAAAGTAAAGTTCTGAGAGTTGTGAGAAGTCTCCGCCATATCCCTTACTTGATCGGCCTTCCTTGACCCATTGGCTGAGTCTTAGACGTTTTGAATCGGCCTTGTGTCAGACACAGTCGCTAAGATCTACTCGTCCGCGACTTCCGCAGGTACGAGGTACCTAATGATCTGAGACGGCGACAGGAGGACTAAAAAAAGGCTCGAAAGCGCCGCCTACGACCGACATCCCGACACTCGCTACTTTTGCTTGGCCTCGCCTTTGGAGATCTGGAAAAGATATCACTGCGAAGTTCGTGCCTAAATAAACAAAAAAAGGGCATTCCTCGTTCCGAGCGCAGCCCAACCCAGCCCAGCACAGCTTGTCATAACCTTGTTACAGAAAGCAACTTTTACGAGAAAACGGGCATCAACTAGCCAAGCTACAGTAGCCCACTTGTTTGAATCGACACTATTGCTTGAGCCGACAAACAGCACATCATCTCAGATCTAATCAACAAGTCCCAGTCAAGCTACGAAACCCTTTAAATGCTTCCGGCCTGCAGTCCCAGTTAACTTTTTTATTTTCCTTGGTTTGCCAACTTCGGACGATATCCGGCATTTCGCTTACTGAGGATAAATTTGTATCTCGTTTTGCTTTAATTTTGGGAGGACTTTTCTTGCGATTTCTTTGTTCGTCTCGGGTTTCAGGTCTTCCGCCTACGGTATTTCGCCTCTCCCGCCCCAGGTGGCCCTCTGAATCTCAGCGAATACGTGCGAATACGGTGACGCACCTAAATACGACGACGCACCTAAATACGACGACAAACCCATTCAACGGTGGATCTTCTCTCATACGAGCACATATTTGGACCGACGGACTGGCTAGGCGCAATTAAAATCATAGACTTCACTGGTGATGCTGGTTGCTCCTGCGAGCTACTAGAACAGTGACAAAATGGGTCGAAGTCGCGGTTTGTACATTTTCCTCAGTCCCATCCATGCCTACACTACACATTTTTGCCAAGCATTAAAATCCCACGCCCCAAATCCCTGCTGAACGCCAATGGTTCCGACCTTATCCGTGCTATGAGATGGGATCATGGCAATCCTTACTTCGCACGCCCAGCAGCCAGCATATGGTTGCCAGGAAGAACTGCAGTTGGGAAGTGCAGTGCAGCGTCATACATATTTGTTTGCGAGCAATTATTTAGCCATGAGCAAACGAGCCAGGAATGAGCGAGTCCCACAGGCCGCATAATCCTCCAGCACGGATTCAACGGCATTCCCAACACCTTTAGCTCTTTTGGAGGGGGCTTTTGGGCTGGCTGATGCTCTCTCAAGTGGGTTGACTGGAGATTGTCTACATTGTCTGTTGTCTTGGCTTGCGCAGTCGCAGGTCTGAAGCGTGCCGGCTTCCCTTTGTCGCGGACATTCGTATCGTCTGACCTAATGACAAAAGAAAGAGAGAAAAGGGACACGGCGCCCTGCCATGCTGACTTGTTATGGCTGTTCGCAACCGCAATACCTAACATAGCGATTATCGCTGGCTCCATTCAAACCCCCTATTTGGGCGTCAATCCCTTGATCAAATCAAATCAAACCAAATTCAACACAACCCATCGATTGATCAATCAATTGAATCGTCAATTTTCCTTGGGCGCACACCTAAGCAAGCCTACACTAAACCGCAATCGCGCCATTTGAAGCACTAATCGTCCGTGTGCATCATGCTAATTTGGCCTTCCTGAATCAACAGTCCTCTCGTTATCCTCGTTGATGTCCCAGTTTTCCACTGGTGGCAGCCCCCGAGATTCATTCGCGTCGCCCTCCAAGACAACACCATCGCAGGATCCTCCCTTCAGCAAACCTGATTTCCACACCCAGGCCCATCAGAACACTCCACAGCCGCCGACGTATACGCAAACTTACACCGACGAGCCTAGCACGCCCGCTCCATCGTCACCCGTGGCGCTCAACCATGATCATTCGCCAATAGACGAATCCCCTGCCCCACTACAAGGACATACTAGAACACGAGGCAGAAGCTCATCGAGACCGCTGTCTATGGTCCAGACCTACCAACCAAGCATGATGGATGTCAACCAAGATACAATCCCCGAGCTGCAACCCATCTTCACCTTCCTCAACAGCCATGGAAACAAGCTCTACCAGGAGGGCTATTTTTTAAAGCTCGACGACCAGAATACGCAGGGCAAGCCAAACCCGGATCGAACCTGGACGGAGTATTTTGCGCAACTCGTAGGAACTGTTTTGTCGCTATGGGACGCCGCCGAATTGGATGCTGCCGGGGAGGATGGAGAGGTTCTCCCCAAGTTCATTAATCTGACCGACGCATCGATCAAGATGGTAAGCCGCTGCAACCCAATGCCATGGATCCTCGATGCCAGAATGCGCATACCGTGCCTCTCCGGTCCATGGATTTGTACTGACATGCTTTGCTCCCCAGATAGATTCGTTGCCGACGAGGTCCAGCGAGGAGCAGCCCTTGCAGAACATTCTGAGCATATCCACAGCTGGACGAAACCGATACCTGCTGCATTTTAATTCACGGCATTCTCTGATACAATGGACTGCCGGCATACGACTCGCCATGTTTGAGCATTCCACACTGCAAGAAGCATATACCGGTGCTCTCATTGCCGGAAAGGGCAAGACTCTGAATAACATTGGTGTCATTATGGAGAGGACGCGAGAAATCAAACAAGAATGGGTTAGGGTGCGCTTTGGAGCAGGTGTGCCCTGGAAGCGCTGTTGGTGTGTCATCTCGCCGCCTGATGAAAAGGAATTCCAGAAAATGTTGAAGGACTACAAAAAGAAGTCGCCATACGATCGCTCGCATCCACCGATTCTCAAGGGCGACATTAAATTCTACGAAGATAGAAAGGAGGGCCGCAAGATGAAGAAGGCCAAGCCAATCGCAACCATTACAGATGCGTACTCGGCATTCGCGCTTTATCCTCAGGCCAAGTCCCTCATCGACGCTTCCACTCTGCTCAAGATTGAGGGAAACATCACGATTCACACGGACCCCCCTTCTTCGACAGAAGGTTTCGTCTTCATTATGCCAGAAGTCCATCCGGCAGTCAGTGGATTTGGCATGATGCTGCAGTTTTTGTTTCCTACGTGGGATACGTTTGGACTGTATGGACGACCTGGTAGATTGGTGGCAAGCACAATAGACTCGAGATCGCTCATGTTTGCAATGCCTAAGCACAAGCGATATGGCTACCTGGAGATCTTGGACGTAACGTCCTTGATCCTTCAAGAGGGAAGCTCAGGCTGGACAGAAAGAGATTGGAAGAAAAAACTCAAGGACTTGACCGGCGAGCGAATGACGACTGTTGATGACACCCCGACAGCCAACACTCACAGCCGGACCAACAGCCGGACTAAGAGACTGAGCTTTGGTCCGGCTACTGAAGCTGGCCCGAAACCACGCGTCGGGTTTACTGACGGCGGAGCACCACCAACTCCGGTACGCTCGTCACGTTCAATGTCCCTCAACGTCCGACCCGCACCAAGAAACGACTCGGCGCCACCTGTTCCCCGGGTACAACCAGGTCCTTCAGCCATGGCCAGTGCCATGAAGTCCGGCCACAATAGAAATGCATCGGATTCCAGCCTGCCAGAAGGTGCTCCTCCGCAACCACCGCCTCACTTGGTCAGCCCAATTGGCGACAGTCCCTCTGGCCGTGGACCGAATCCAGCTCGCAACTTCGTGAATGACCTTGCATCCACCCCTGAACGGGTCAGCTCGGACGAGGAGCGGGAGCCAGCTACCCAGGCTCTAGAGGGAATGCGGCACCTGGAGACCCCAGAGCCTGTTTCACAACCACCGGCTTTCACTCACGCGCCAGGGGAGAAGCCACAACAGCGTCCATACCACTCGCCTGAACTACGCCGCGCTAACAGCAGAATGTCTGTGACCACCTTGGCCCAACTGGCTCAGGCCGGGGGTATAGAGGGGGTAGCCAAGCAGGAAGGCTGGATCGACGACAACGGGGGCGCTGAGGATCAAAGCCCGGTTGCCCACCACAATGACCAACATGGTCCAACAATGGTACATGCTGCTCACGGCACCAATCCTGGAATGAATGCTAATACCGGCTCTCGTGAAGATCTAAGGGGACTCAAGCCCCATTCTCCTGGCTTGCCGCCTCCGTCCTCCGAACTCAGCAAACAACGCTCTAAATCGCCTCTCCACCAGACCATGGCTATCCCGAACCCCGGACCCAGAGGTCCAAGCCCGGGCTCCCGACCAGGCACCCCAGGTAGTCAAGGTGTCAGAAGTCCCCCGCCTGGTGCCATGGGCATCGGGCCACAAGGTCGTCCGCCGCCGGGGAGAGGACAGCCAAGCATGCCACAAGGTCGTGGTTACCCACCTAATATGGCTCCTTACGGTCGAGGAGGTCCTGGCAACATGGGCCCTCCGCCGCGCGGACCGCCGAACGCAACAGCCCCGAACATGTATAGAGGACCTCCGGGACCTCCTGGGCCAGGCGACCGTCCCGATACACCAAATAGCAGACGGCAGCCTCCTCCTCTAAACACTTCACCGCCCGTTCAAAGAAAGCCATTGCCAGCTCGAGGCGACAGCCTGGCTCATCGCAACCTTCCGAATAACGAAGTTCCATCCTCGCCTACCGCATCGAGCAGTGGTAGTTTCACACGTGGCATTGATCCCGACATTGTGGCTCATATTCATGGCCCAGGATCCAGTGGCAGAGCTACACCACAATCCGGCCGTCAGCGCCAGAACACCGGACTAAGCACAACCAGTAGCAACTATGACTCCACCGGTTCTCCAGATTACGCCAGCACCAGACCATCGACCGACTCAAGTGCATCAGTCGAAAGACCCAGGGCAGGTGTACTTCGAACGGTCGGGGACAGCAGTGTACCTCAAGCAAGCGAATACGATGTCCCCGATGTGAACTTTGGGCCAACATTTAACTACGCAGCCAACCAATCGAGGAGTAAAACACCAACCCCGAATGTGGTACCTTCCCCACACCCATTCTCGCCAGGTACTAATGGACCGAGGAAGCCATCGGGCGGGGATATGACCCATGGTCGAAATGCTTCCGACGAGACTGTTCAGAGGAGGAGTGTGATTTGGCAACCACCTACCCCCGGGGTCACCGCCGGTCCCAGTACCAGCGGGCAGGGTCTCACTGCCGAGCAGTTTGTTCAGCAGCGGGCTGCTGTTGCAGCCACGCCCCTATACTCTCATCAACGCCAACCTTCTGCCAACACTCTTAATGCCTACCGAGCTGGTACCCCTACTCCGCCGCTTGACCGAGGTCAAGGACGAGATTACATGCACAGCCATAGTCGCAGCACCTCCCAAGACCTGCTTCAAAGACCAAGCTCACGAGGTGCTGGTGCTGTGCTAGGTGGCCAGGGTGAAGGTCATCTCTCTGCCAGAGAGCAAGAACATGTTGCGAGGATGACGGGTACTCCGCTAATCAGTGTGGCTGGAAACAGAAATGCACCTCATGCGGATGGCGGTCTCGTCGGTGCGATCGGGGCCAGGGAAAGAGAAAAGCAGCAAATGAGACAAGGATACAGCAGTCAGGCAGTGCAACAGGCTATCAATTCCCGGCAGCAGCAGCAGGCGATGCAAAATTACCAACAGCCCCTGCCCTCACCTGGTCTACCCCCGCCGTCTGGTATGTACTCCAATCTGGGACGTCAGTCACCCGGTCCACAACAAGGTTATGGATTCCCTCAGTCACCTGGTCCACAACAAGGCTATGGATTCCCCCAATCACCTGGTCCACAACAAAGTTTTACATTCCCTCAGGCTATGCCAAGTCCAGGTATACAGGGTGGAGTGGGCTGGGCGAGCCCTGGAGCTGGGTTTGGATCACCGCGCCAGGGCAGTTTCCCTTTACAGAGTCCAGGCTTCGTGCCACAACAAGCGCAGCTGTCACCTCAATACGTAGCACTGTCGGGACAGAATCCGCGAACCGCACAACCGGGACGGCCAGGTTATCAGCCTCCGAACCCGGGGCATGCCTTCTAGAAGGATGACGCTCAAGAGGATGATTCAGCCGCCACAAAATGTGCAAGGAATAGTGATGATAGCGTCTGTAGAAGAGGGTTGGTCAGGCAAAGAGCACGATATATAGAAAGCAAGCTGGTGGATAAGGAGAGCTTAGATGTCAAGTCATTGGATGGAGCGATCAAGAGGAAGTCTGCATAAAGCATTTATATTGCATGGCATTGCATTAGCCTGCATTTGGTCCTTATGGTTTAGTTTTGTTATCCTTTTTATACCTTTTATCTTCTTTTTTTTTCCCCCCTCTACTTGCAATAAGTGGCATGGAATCTTGAAAATCACTCGACACCAATGGAGCAAGTTCGCTTTACTCAAGAATGGAGAGCCGTATGTCATTTATTATTAATGCTAACTCATTCTTGACACAACTGTATGGCGCATATTGTCGTTGAACGGCGTCACTTCTACATCTCTTTATGAAGATTATGACAGCAAACAATGCTTGGATGAGCGGTGTTGGCCCTGTTTCCCATAATCAGCTGTAAGTGACCATCTTTATTTAAGTAGGGATACACTTCATGCTCAAGTCATGATATATGCTTGATCTCTTGTAAGGTCTTGATCAAACAGTCAATATTCCAAGTGCTTGAAGTCTTATGTTCACCATCGCAATACTGTCGGCGAAGGCCAAACGTGACCGGACATTTTGAAATAGCTGATGCATTCTTATTGTAATTGCACAATGACGTGCTAATCGTATAGCTTGATTCGCTGATATACCGTATCTTTATTGTTAGCTCAGTCTAGTGACAATGCCTCCATGCCGGATAAATACTCCTTTTCTGCCTCACCCTACCCACCCAAACTTTGATGCACTGGAAGTTATCCTATGCTAGACAGATCCTGGTCCGAGTTCTCATCCATGCCAACAATTTCACGGTCCTCTGACCTCTTCTCAAGCGTTTTGATATATTTCTCACTACTCAGCATATCCTCCCTCAAGAAGTCTCGCAGGTCGTCCTCGATTCCCAAAAACCTGCCCTGGCGCTCGCATTCCTTCAAGCTATCCACCAGCCGGGCAAAAGTTCGCATGCGATCCGTGTCGATCATGGTCACGGTCCAGTCTTCGTCGGGCAGATATCTTGTAGGGTGGCCGACCATGATTGCCACAGCCTTGCCATCGTCTGTGACAACGTGTATCTCCACGCCAAGCATGTGTGTCGCTAGCTCAAACTTATCTCTGAGACCGCTGGGTGTCCAATTGCTGAAGCCGGGCAAAGGGTAGTGCCACTTGTTGAACACGGCCTCGTCGGCTTTGTATTTTCGCCATATAATTATATTTAGTTCCAAATCGATCTATGTTTGTGGTTTCGGTTTTGCTCTGGCTAGGAGCCGTGGAATTCTCAGCTATGTACTTGGGGGTGATAGAAGAAGCTCCGGCCAATGCGTTCATAATGCCTTCATCGATGTTATCATGCTCAATAAGCCATCTGTGAGAATATGAGGCAGTCAAGAACGGGGGGCAACTGTCCTGAGAATTTTATGCAAGTCGAAAGCACAATAGGTCCCATGAGACTTTTCACACCTCCAACTACGAACATCGTAATCTCGTGTCTACGGCAACTTCATTTTAAGCTGCCGGTAAGAATATTATTTCGCACTACTTCGTTTGTGGTGACCTCAAGTACAAAACTCTGGATATCGTACTACAATAAATCAAAAACCAGAAAGATATAAGAAAAGTGATGTTTGCTCAACAAGACACTGATACCAGGACGCATGGGAATACAGTTACGGTAGTATCGCTTTCAATTGTGAAGAGAAACATACAACGCAGGATATATACATGCGGTACACCTACCACATAATCTAAAAGCTTCTTTGACCAGAAAGGCAAGCTATACGTAGTATAAATACCAGACGAAGGAACAATCTCAAGCACTTCCGTGGTTGGCACCGAAAGTAGGCCAAGAAAAATCAAGGTGGTCAAGGCAGTCGAATAACCAATCAAGAGGTCATGTAGCATTCCTTCCTCTATCCAGACGCAACAACCATCAAGAGTAGGTTGAAGCGATGAAGTGCCTGGAACAGACATGAATTAATAATTACCATATGTCCAAGCTCGGTAAGTCCTTTATAGGTTCTTTCGGATCCACTGGGGGTTTTTTTTTTTTAATTATGATTTTTCTTTATATGGGCAACGAGATAAGTTGACCATTACGAACAGAAGAAATATATACCCAGTGCTAACAAGACCAATGATGACCTATAAACGTTCCAGTAAGCAAATGATGGTGAACTACCTAGTTAGGAAACCAATGTACCTGTTCTTGTTCCCGAAATATCACTATAAGGCAAAGTATCTGGTTAGCATTTTTCACGCACCTGAGGACTAGATGCTTCCACTATATTCAGGCTGTATTATTCACAGGAGCCGAAAAGGTTTATTTATAGTCCCAAGTGGGTTGCATGCATTGCCCCCAACATATAGGTTGAGTCGCATTTAGCGAGCTTATCACGCACTCGATAAAATCGAAAAGCCTACGTAAGACTCCGACCGTGCCTTTAGAACACAATTACGTGATAAGGTAGATCTAGTCCTAATTAGAGAGGATATACTACCTTCGCCTGAACTGGTTCCACTACTATACGGTATTTGGCAATGTATCTTACTGGAGCTGTTACTCGCTTGGTAGCAACGATTACCAGGTGGACTCCAACAACAGATCCTGGAAAATCTTGATATGCTAAGTCAAGGACGCGGTTTCAAGCGTACAGCAGCTATTTTTCCTGTTTCGGTGCAGGGTCCGTTAAACGATATTAACAACACAAAACTATTCAAGGTAGCATTTCAGGAAGGGTTTACTTCGGCATATATGGGCTTTATGAGAGCCTCACAGAATGGGCAGGCTACGAATCTTCGTAGCTGTGACTTAGTTGCTCGCAGATAGCATCACCCAAAATCTGTTCAACTTACGCATTGTGTTGCACTCCGGTTACCAAGGGAATGCACTGCGTCGCTATTTTCCTGCCAGGGTTTCAAGGATTGTAAACAGTTTCTGAAAGAATCTCTAGGTTAAATAATTTTCACCTCAATTTGACAATTTGAAGTATTTAGGCGGCGGGTTGCGCAAATGAAAGGGCTAAGTGGGTTGCTCATCATTATGTCTACTTTACAGAAGAAAAAAATATATTTTGTTCCAACGAATTTAGTTCCACGTGAATGGATGACGTGAGAAGAACCTTTGAGCGATATCTCGAAATCCAGCTTTGTTAGAAGTTTGGTCAGATGACTCTTCGTCGAATTCAGACCTGCCAAGCTCATTTGTCTCCCGCTCCTCCGACTGTTGGAACTTATCATTGCTCTATGTTGTGACGACTGGTCATACCCTTCAGAAGGTCCAGAGCCACTCTTAAGCGCTTGATCGCGACTTGAGTGGCCGCCACATCTTCCGAGAATACAAGACGGAACCAACCGGGGTGGTCTGACTCCGCGTACTACAATAGTTGGTCAGCTAACATGAACTCTGTTCATGTTCATGTGATAACACTTTACCTGTCCTGGATTCAAAGCCACACCGTGATCTACAAGCCATTGCCAGAGCACTGTTTCTCGTACGTCTTGAATGGCAGGTGCCTTCAAACCTTGTTCGCAAACGGTATCCAACTGCGGAAAGTACTGAAGCCAGTCGCCAAGATTTATAAAGATAAATAGACCCGCAGTTGCCGGTCTGAACGGGATTCGAGCCTGATGTAGAGCTTGCGATGCCGATGTATACGCTCCAGCCAACCGGGACTGCGACGTCCGGACGTAGCGTTCCACTAGATCGAGATCTTGAAGAAACTTGGTGGCAAAAATGTCCGACTTGTTGGAAATCCATGCGAGCATACTAGGTGGGACACACAATTCTTAGCTTACGAGATACAGAGACATGGGTGCGTACCTACGCAGTTCTTTCCAATACACGTCTAATCTGCTCATTCCTGGTTACGACGAAACCTATACGCAAGCCGCCGAGAGAAAAGTCTTTGCTTAACCCATACAGACAATGCAAATTTTGGCAGTGATCGGAACTACTTTCTGGAACACTTAATACAGACGAGAAGGGCTCCCTGCCGTGCGAGAAGTTTGACATTGCATAGATCTCGTCAGCGATAAGGTGCATGTGTCGCCTCGTGCACAGCTGTGCCAGTCGGTCTAGAGCATAGGATGAATAACAACGACCTTGAGGGTTAGCCGGATTGCAGAGGAATATGGCACGGCAGCGAAGTCCCCTGGCGGAGGTATCATCGATGGCTTTTTCAAAGGCAAGTTCAAGTTCTGCGGCAGCTTCCTTGGTTGGTGCGAATGGATCTCCATGGATGGATCGCTCGACCGCAACTGGAGTGCTAACCACACCGTTCCTGGAAGCGATGTCGAAATCAAGCATATAGAAGTTCGGCGTCGGGTACAAGATGGTGTCGCCGGGTTCACAGATGGACCAGGCCAGAAGATCGATGGCAGTCGTAACGCCGTTTGTTGCAAGTAAATCCGAAGGTTTGACCGGCGAGCTGGGATTGAACATGCGGTTAAAGAAACCGGCCGCGGCTGTTCGTAGTGCTCCGGAGCCCACGGGGCTTCCATAGGAGAGTTCTTTTTTCCTGCTCGTCAGCCCTTGTATGTTGATAGACTACGGAGCGAGTGAGGCACGTTACCCTTGACGGTGTTGCCATCACGATTAGTATTCTTGACGTATTCTTCCCACCACTCCTTCACCAAGTCGTTGTGCGCTCCCATGAGATTGATAATTCCATGAGGTCTCAGCTTCGGATCATATATCGGATATTCATGTACTTTTCTTATGCAATCCCACGCCTTTCCTCGCTTCAGGGATGCCAATGCTCGCTGGCTGGGCTTGTAGTTATCTGACTGCATCACCGGTTGAAGAAAACCCAAGTACACAGAGAATACGTAGAAATAGTTGGTGACAGTGGAAAAGGGCCGACCCGACCAAAAGTTCGTTATCGATGCAGTATGCTCGACGACGTCAAAGTTCCTCGAATTATAGATTACACCACCTTGCTATTCGTGGCTGATTGTGGGGACCTGTCTTACAGGTGGTAGAGCAGAGACGTATATGCCGCATAGCACACTAGCCTATAATGGCCAGGACATGGCACGTTGCGTCGAGGGCCTGGATGGATGTATGTGCAGTCTTGATGAACATGTAATACTTCACCGGATTATTTTTATCAAACGTGTCGATGAATATGTACAAAAGAACTTAATCTACTTCTTCCCAGGTAGAAATGGGAAACCTAGTTCTTCGGGTTGTCTTTGCTTGGTGACATTTTTTTCTCTCTCGAGTCCTTTGCACGTAGAGCAACTAGTGTTCATGACCTCTCTCTCTCCCACTACCATGCGGCCGTCTAGGCAACTCGACCTCCTCGCCTTGCGTTGGGCTATACTTGTCATGTCTTCCAGTGCTGCCATTCGACCCAATTTTCTCTGACCTCAAACTGCCTGTCCTGCGCTTCCTAAAGAAATTGAAGAGCTTGACTGCAATGTAAGCTACACCGATAATTGCAGCGACGACGGCATAGGCAATGATTAATGATTGGGCAGCGCTAGCGAGCTGAAGGCCCAGACCACCGTTGATGACGCCAAGAAGCATCAAAATACGTCCATACCAGATGTGTGCATGGGATATCGCACCGCGGCTCTGCGTCTTGAGATACTGACGATGATGAACAAAGCCTAGCACGGGCTGGACTACCATAAGAGCGGTCACCACTGTACCCAGAATGGTGTGACTCGCGGTAAAGTTCTGGTTGGTTGTTAGTCTATATCGTCTTGTCTAATGGGATGAGGAAAGACTTACGATGAAGGTACGCTGAGAGACGACGACACCTAGTGCAAAGCCTACCCACATCATGATAAAGCTGACGATGTGCCATGCAGCGTGAATAGCCCATTTACCAAGGAGAGGCATGAGTATGGAACCAATGGGGTACATGATAACGAATGTAATTGCCATTATGATACCGTGAGCAGCAATGAGTCTAGGTGTCTGGTTGTTGCTGGTGTTTTGGCTGACACCACCGCTGGAAGAACTACCCGAGTTGGAGCCAGAGTTGGAGCTAGAGCCAGAATTGCCATCACCGCTGCCAGAGCTCCCGGAACTTCCTGAACTACTATCACTACCGCTGCCACTGCCACTGCCGCTGCTACCACTGTTACTATCCCCAGATGTGGTCACAAACGGGTTTGAGTCAGATGATACCGTCGCCTGTTGAAGATTGATATTCCATGAGTCCGTCGAGTCATGCTGCTGAATGCTGGCATCCCGGCTCGTGGAACCTATGGAGCTGCCGCTCTTCCAGGCCGCGATCCAGGATGAGCTCGTGTCACCGAGACTCATAGAACCACCATTCCAACTATTGCAGCTTGTACATAGAATATTGGCTCGCATGGTGCTCCCATCAACGCCGGACCCAGCGAGCAGCGTGATATCAGCCGCGGTCGAGCTGGTGTCCTCGACAGGCATCTGATGATTGGTGCCTAAGCGGGGCGAGACAGTGACGTTACCGGCACCATCTGTGTACATGATGAACATGTAAGACCCACGCATCTGGGAGCCAGTACCGAGCGCAACCCAGGTGTATGAAGTTGGTGCTTCAATCTGAAAGTAGAGGTTGCCACTGCCTGATGCGGCAGCGGCCTCGGGTACAGCGACACGATAGCATATATTGGAGCTTGGACAATATTTCTGTACATCTGCTAAAGTCAAAGTGCTCTGTGTTAGAGCGGCTGTGGGAGCTGTCAGCTACATGCCATCCATTTTAAGCCATACCGTCCACTAGAGCATAGCAGATTATGAAGTTCTGCTGCAAATCAATCGATTTTACTTACTCAAAGCCGCAGCCGTCAGAATTGAACGCATTGTCAGCGAAATCGTATTCGAGTAAATTGATTCTTCAGTTGAGAGGTTTGGAAGTATGGTCCGGCAGAAGAGGAACAGGATTGAAAAGTTCAGGTGTACACTTCCTGTAGAATTTGTTCGACAGGCCAAGCAGCTGTATTTTTGCTTCTTATCCAAGGAATGCAAGCCGCAACGTCAGAGTTCCAAGACGGCAATGGGTGCTGTGTGCGGGAAATGAGACAAAGTAAAGCTGAAAGACGCTGAGCTAAGCACAACTTAGCCAAATCACACAACATTGCCAACCGCAAGACCACTTTTACTCACGACTAAGACCCGAGACCAATTTGACGCGGAGTTTAGAGTTCAAACGTTCAGATGAGGTTAAATTGTCTCTAGTATTCCGTGTTTGTTGTTCGCCGTTGCAGCCCGATATCTGTGCCGTAGACAACCAAGGTTCTGAATACCGGGAGTATCTTCTCTTTATAAGTATTCGCGTGGATGTGCCCCCAAATGCGCTAGAACAGAAGATGACGGAACGGAAAACTATCGAAGCAACCGCGTAGTCAATCATCCGCCCACTCCCATTCTTTGGAAGTTGGGGGTGCCCGCGACCCCTGGTGGTATATTGATGGCACTGACACTAGACATGGAGATCATGGAGGAGGCTAGGTTAGTCGGTTGTCCGAGGGGGGTGTCAGGGGGTAGCTGCAGAGCCAAGCTACCGGTATCATGCCAAAGAAAGCACAATTGACTGGCATAGCCACAATGAGTGACGACTCTGTGCTACAAAATGCTGACAGCCTACAGCATAATGCAGCAGATTTAGAATCAAGGCACAACTCGCCCGACCTTGCATAATCGTGATTGGCGTTGCGGGCGGGTAAGCTTATCAGCGGAACCCGAGAACTACATATACCATTGCGTACGGGGCTCAAGCTGAAACGAGAGCTTCATCGTGCAGGCCAACTATTGATGCTCGATTGTGATGTGCTACTGTATGCAGAGACATGGTTTGCTCCATCTACTTGGCCCGATGCGCTCCAGAGTAGTACACAAATTCGGGGGCTGAGGTGAGAAAGTATGGTTGACCATGAGTTTATTGCCCCGTTTGATATACGCCGAGTTTGCCGCATTCTGTCAATGACCGTTTTCATTGCACTATTGTAGGCATTGAAATAAGGTTTATAGTTAAAATTGTGTTCCGCGAGCTTGGACTCATACGGACCCTGGACTAGAACAGCATTCCAAATGGTAATGTCATTAGTAGCTTGTATACGGCAATGGCAACATGCTGGCTCGCGACAGCCGTGTAAGCGAGACGGCATTTGTAGGCTCGACCTCAAAACGAGAATGCAACAAACATCAAAGCTGCCATGATTGAGCGGCCAAGGTCTTGGTTTTTTTTTCCTACGGGACGGCTTTAATTATTGGTCAACTTCCGTCCACGGCCCTTATGCATATGATCAACAAGGCTACGAAGATACATCTTTGACGTCAGCTACGGCCTGAAGGTTCAGATGAAATCGTACCTTTCTGTGTTTTGGTACTGAGCGCGGCACCCGTCAGTTACATGCAACTGGCAACATTACGTTTCGGTGAGGTCGGTTGCAAGTATCATGGCGTGGAAGCTGCACGCCAAAGGCCTGGACCTTGGTGGAAGATCTTACAAAGGCACGGCCCTCAAGTCAACGCGTCACAGCCCAGCTGGCTTTCATTATCTCAAAGCGGACATAAGAAATAGATAAGAAGGCTGATTGCACGTCTTGAGACTAGCAACACGGACGTCCAGAGTAAGGCTCGAGGTCCCGTTAGCGATGATCACCACCCTAAGGTTAGTGCGTGTGTCCGTGTTTGCTGACGCTCCACTAACAACAGCTGCATCTCCAAGTAGAAAACGTGTTCTGCACGCCGAGGTCTAAGCCTCCCGGTACTCGTGATAGTTGCGCTGGAATTCTTCGAAATCAGAAATCCAGTGCATCCGATTGGTTCTCAAACAAATATCTACAGGGCTGATGGTAGGAACACCTTGACATATCAGATCAAGACTTGTTGGCCGCAACTGCCACGAATGCCACGACGTCGGTAATTTACCATTCATTTTGGCTGGGAGATACGTGAAATCATGGAGTATTGAATCGTACGAGTTGTATTGCTCAGAGGATCAGTCGGGAGGCCTCCAGCATCCGCCTGTATGTATATCTAATCTGATATGTATCTACCCAGTTTTACTCTATTAACCCTGTTTGCACCCGCCGTTGTAACATGACCGGCCCAAGATGCTGAAACTATTCCAATGGCATGCTCACCGCTAAGTGTAAAGCAAACGAACGCTCGAGGCGCCATGCCCGTATCAAGTTGCACATGACGCTGTAGCCTGCCACACCCTTCGCATCTCAAATTAGTCTACTCCTCTAAGCTTCCGTTTCCAGGAAGCCTGCGTTTTCAAGTAGGCTGTTCGATGCAACAAAACTGAATCCACCAAAGAGGTCGTCCTTCGAGCCATCCTTGTTCTTTACGGAGCCAGCACCCCAGAGATCCTTTGCCGTGATTACTGGACTGAGCGGTAGATCGGTAAACTCTGGTGCAAAGTTTTCGGCAAGTTCAGGGTCCGTAATCATGGGTCGAATAGGAGGCTCAATCTCCTTTGCAGCCAGCTTCTTCCAGTCGATCTTGCGAAAGAAGCGATGCTTCTTGATGGTAACAAGGTCCTTAGGCATGTTTCCACCGAGCCGCTTCTTGGGGTTCTTGTTCAGCAGCCGCGTAAGCAAGTCCTTGGCATCAGGACTGAGGAAGTATGGGAGAACAATCTTCTGATGGACGATGTTGTGTTGAATCTTGGCATGGTTACCACCTCGGAAGGGTGGATTACCCGTCATAAGGTCGTAACCTAGCGCCCCGAATGACCACCAGTCGACAGCTTTGCCATACTTTTCACCGCGAACAACCTCTGGAGCCATGTACTCAACTGTACCCAAGATAGACTTGCAGCAGTCTTCGTTCTCGTCAGCCGGAACCTGGGAAGACAATCCAAAGTCTGTGAGCAGTAGATTTCCGTTCGAGTCCAGAAGGCAATTTTCCGGCTTGAGATCGCGGTAGATGACACCCAGTGTATCGTGAAGATGAGATAAGGCGAGAACCATCTGGGCCATGTAGAAGGCTGCGACAGGCTCCGGAAACATCTTCTCCGTGTTCAGATGGGTGAACAACTCGCCTCCCTGGCCATATTCGAGAATCAAATACAGCTTTTCATGGTCCTGGAAAGCGTAGAAAAGCTTGACCACAAACGGGTGTCTGTTGACTGACTCGAGGATCTGTCTTTCAGTCTTTGTCTGCTCCACGAGCTTCTTGTGGACAACGACCGAGGCCTTCTTGAACTGCTTCTGCGCATACAAGCGGCCGGTTGCCCGCTGCCGCACCAGAAGCACGGTGCCGTAAGTTCCCTTGCCAAGACATCGCAGCGGTTGAAAGTCATCAGCTTGCATCTTCTTGCGCTGTACAAGTCCACCCTCGATGGCACCAAATTTTGACTTTTCGCGAACACTTTCGTCGACGAACTCATGCTCCAAGGCGATCTCATAGCTGGTCGATCCGTTCTCAGACACATCGTCGTCGCTACGACCCAGTCCACTCTGCTGGCTGTTGGTGCGGGTCATGGTGGTGTCGCTATAACCCGTCATAGTACTGGTGCGGGAGTCGTTTAAGCTGAGCGGTTCCATCTTCTGGCGCAGTTTTGCGATGCCGCTGGCGGCAGGTGAGTTGTGGGCGCGAAGCAGCGGGCTGCAGTTGGCACTGACGACGTCGTCGAGTCGATGCGCGCGGCCACGACGAGCGCCGAGCGGAGGGGTTGCGCAACAGTCAGAGTCCTCGTCGCCGGACGTGACTGTTGCTGGGCCAAAACCGCGGACGGTGTTGAGGGCAGGCGGGGCCGGAGCCATCATCTTGGTGGCAGTGGTAGGCAACATCGTGAGGTATATCTCGATGTGGTCGGAGTTGGCAGACGCGGATGTAGATGTATGCGTAGATGTATGTGTAGATGTAGATGTATTAATAATAAAGTTGTAGACCCTAGAGAAAGACGTCGCTCACTCCGACGCTCCTTCCCTCTCCCCAGAATCTCTCAGCCCAGGCCGGTTCAAGGCAGACTGGATCGTCCTGCCCGTCGGCGCTCGGCGTCGGTGCGAGGCTCAAAAACGTGTCGGTGGGCTTGCTGGTTTGCGGTAAGGCGCATCTGGAGCTGGAAGAGAAGCGAAGAGAAGAAAAGATCTTGTGAATTTTGTATATGCATTGGCGACTACGGGTCGGTGGCTGTAGACTGGATTGATTCACCCTTTGGTGGTGTGGTGGTGGAAAGGGAGGAGGGAAGCAAGTGTAAGAGCAAGAGTATTGCAAGCAGGCCACTAACTAAAGATAAAACAAGGAAATCGCACTGCCCGATCCATTTAATCACAGGCCCAAGAGAAAAATCAAAAGGCCCACACCCACTAAAAAGAGAGGCTTCTCCCCTCACCCTCACCTGCCTCACCACCGATCTGCACCCAAGCACAGGCCAGAGTTTTCAAATCAGCCCACAAGTCCACTAAAACCCGACCGCCCTGCCCCATGGGGCTGAAAGGTTTTGAGCCATTGACGGATCTCTGTTTTCCCCTGACAAAGCGCCGATCATTATACAATCACACTAACTAAGGTTAGTTTGGACTACGCTACACTGCACTCCAGGAACGACATGCATGATAGATACAAGCTTGCCGCTCCTTTCTTCCTTCATGCCATCACCCGTTGATCATACTCCCACCTGTCACCAGCAATCTTCTTCATTACGATTCTGCTGCCTGTGGGGGAGCGCCGACGACTTCCGGCGCAATTTTCTCACTGGTGCCTTCCGCTTCCGGCACGCATGCTGCGCTAACCCCCATGACCCGGGCTTGCGCAGGTAAGCGCATCATCGCATCTAATGTCTGACTGCAGAATCGCTTTACAACGCACAAATTGCATCCGACTCAACATCAACCTTTCTGCTGACTCCAGATCATCTTCTGGATTCTGCTGTCTGCGGAACTTTCCTGAACCAATAAACGTGATGCGCCAGAGCTGAGACACGCCGGCAATCACAATTTACCGGATTCGTGCTGATCAGAAACGTGTTCTCAAGTGACGCTTATAGGCGGGCATTCCTTGCTGCACCCATGACCAAACACTGCGGCTCATCACGTCGTTCAAGTGGTGCCGGACTTACCTGGACATCTACCCGCATGTGACAGTCGTACACTAGAAATTCTGCTTGGAAATTTGCCGCATCGGCAATCGACACAAATTAATTACCAAGCAACTGAGTCTGGCGGTTCATATCACACTCTTCTCCTTGTCGCAGCAAATTATCGCATTCGTCGCTTTACCTTGGGCGTTCTTGCTTCCTCATATATCATATGAAGGCCATGTGCCACCATCGGAGTTACACTTAATAAAACCTGGTCTCAGCCATATATCTTCCACGTGGCATTTTGCTCTGCCGTTTTCGAACAGTGGACAAGACATTGTACTTGTAGAACAAAAGAATCCGAGCTTACTCATTCTTTAGTTTGGCAAGCAACGTACCCACCGACATTCAAAGCAGGAAATTCATCTCGATGCAAACAAACCCACTGCACACCTCCATAAGTCAAGGGGGCTCCAATAGAGAACTAAAGCTAATATATCTAGAACAAATATGGTACCCGTGCAAGATATGTTACGGATAAGTCCCGCATTGGCTCGATCTTGTTATTCACCAACCATGGCGTATCTTGGGGTACTATGATGAAATCAAGACGAAATTTCCCTAGCAGATTATCAAGAAGATGACTGCTCGTGACATAGAGGTTATAGATTACATCAACCTAGGTAACCTCTTCGAAACTCGCAGCCGCCCGTTCGAGCATTGCAGCTATACGCCCAGCAGCTCGGTGCACGGCTTGCGTAATGAAGAAAGCTTCCATGTATTAACAATGTGGATGATACCTCGCCCATGTGAGAGACAGAGTATCGAAACGAGCTTTATCTTCTGTTTGTCAGGCCCGCAGCACATGTAGCTTGAGGTGAGTCGTGTAAGACGCTCCCACCAGGCTGACGGCCCAAGCCTAGCATTGCCACAGCCATGCCTATAAATACGACATTATTGGACAAGGCAATCGTAGCAGTTTCGAGTCATCAGGCTTCAGCCTATCCGAGTCTCTCTCATGATTCACGTCTTGAAAACAGCCATCTCTACCAGAAGTATGCTTCTGATTTGGGGCGTATTAAGTGCTTGATAATAACTCATCTTCGCTGGATCGGATATTTTTATATAGTGGGTTTCACTGGATACGCATCACTACCCTACATAGGTTATGCACTATGTGATTTAGCTGTATATGTGCGGACGTGCCCCGGTATGCTAATTTTAGCCGGCCGCCGACAGGAACTGTTGATGATTGCAGTAGCCGAGGTGACGGTCTTCTCTAATCTGTGCATCAACACCCCGACAACCCCATATTCCTGGGACGTGTAGTAGTAGTTACTGTCCTCCGACAGGTCTGAGTATCGACTGTCGATCTGGGGTGATTACGGTTGATGGCTCTTCTGCTGAAGTGGTGGAGTCTCTGAAGATTTCGGGGTTGGATAGGGAAGGGCATGCATAAGTAAATATGTCTTTGTATAACGATCGTGATAGTAGAAACTAGATGGAATGGTGGCCAAAAGTCAGTTTAATGAATTCGAAAAGAAGATAAAAAAACAAAAATAAAAAGGGCGGTACAAGAGTGACTTGAACTGATGACATAAAAAAACACATCCCCCAGTGCCCACGAGAGCCCTCAATACCCACGATCCCACATGCTTCCGCAGCGATGGACGCAGCTACTATTCTTATGGCTGCAATCCTTTTAAAGAGATCATAAAGACCAATGCACAGGGCCTCGTCGGTCTCGGTCTCGCTGAAAATAGCTACACTCATGTCACTACAGACGCGGTTGGCCAGCCCAGGATAGGGATGCGGATAGAAGAACGAAATTCAACAAGACGCTCTTCCCGTCTGACAGCAGAGGTTCGGGCGAGTTTATCTATGGACTTGGAATGGAACTTGGGCTGTACCTCGGTAGAGGATACTTGCAATGTTGCTACGAAGCTCTTACGGCACATGACAGGTCTAGGTAAGTGATTTATGTCTTGCTTTGTAGAGCCACATCACTCGAATACAGTCTCGGTCACCATCGTGAATGGGTGCGGTCGGGAGGCACTGGGTTTTTACTAACCTTGCCAATGCCACAAAAAAGAAGCTTTAGACACCTAGGCATTTGCAGACTGAGGTGGTGACTTATTGAAGTGAGAAGCCCTCCTCTACCCGTGATGACTGCTCACATATCTCTGACGTCAAGTTATGCATGATGACTGTATCCCGTGAACAATGTTATGGTATAGAAGATTTATACCTAGATGATATTATGTTGATAAGACACAGATTGTGCTGATAGCGTAGCTCTTGACAACGACTCAGTGAAAACGAATATCCTCATTGAATTTTGTTTTGTTTTGAAAGTTGACGTCATTTGTTGTCCGTGGGTACAATCTTGTTCACTGGGCCTGGTTCTATACTTGATGTACATCACCCGAATAGCTATGAACAGTAAGATCAATCTTGCTAACATCTTCAAGCCTAAGAAGTAACAGCTTTGTTGGAGAAGCCACAACCAGTTGCAAAGGATACTTGCCATTGATGAATTCTCAGCTTTTCTTAAAAAGTTGCCTGGAGGACCAATATTCTCCCATATCGATTCCACATTACACCAAGAAGCGAACCTCGACTAACTACCTTACACTGGAGGTAGTCAAGATTTTATTCACTCCACCCGCCTGTCAATCTGTATCAATCTTCGTACAGCACGAGGATTCAGTATATAAGAAGTGTGAAGTATGAAATATATTCCTAGAACAGTCAATGCGTTGCGACATCGTGGCTTAGCGACTCGGCTGCTATTGACTACTCGGGATCTATTAGATTTATTTATATTTTGAGACACCATGCCATAAATATGACTGTCTTCTCTTTTAATCAGAGACTACGACTGCGGAATGCGAGTGGAGATGCCCATGACAGACTACAAGGAAAACCAGGAAGTTTTCGAGAAATGGCTTGACTCCACAGTGAACCAACGTGATTGTAAACACTATGGCAGCAGTATCAGGCTCCTAGAGCTATAGATCGATTTCTTGTCCATATATGGGAATTGTACTAAGGTGCCGCCACCTGTATTAGGACATCCTCGCAACATCATTGCCGGTCGCCAAATAGCTCAAAATTCGCAAGCACACACTATTCAGGTCTTGGGAAATGCTCTGGCTGTCTTAGAGCCTGTACAGTGCCCTAGACCATCATAACTGCCAAAAGTCGTACAATCAAGGGCGCAAACAAACAAACAGATATCCGGCCCTGTACTCAAGGAAATGCCTGAATGGTCCATAACCATACGACTGAACTGGTATCCTGAGCATTGCTCGGCGTTTGTGAAGGAGATTCAAGATGCACTGCAAGAGGCAAGTACACAGCTGGGCGTGCTGCTAGAATGCATATTTCATAATGGGGACCGCGTGAGTGTTCATGTCTCTTGGGCCATCCAGTTACGCTAGCAGAAGTTCTTAAGTACAGGAGAACTTGTATGGGCATGTCCTCTGTCTCCGTGTCTTTTATTGGGTGCTGCTATGGCTGCAACGCTGCAGAAATGAATGCAGAGTGTCCGATTCCAGAGAAAACCAATGCGATTTCTGGAACTTCTACTCTAGAGGCATCCTTACGGACTTGGACACGGCCCAGATGAGAGCGCCTTTTATCGCAGATGGGCTTCTACGGGCCAAAGAAGAGAATCTCATACTTCTGAATATTACAGTCCCAACACGGTGTTTAGAGCAACAGCCTATATGTGTGAACGAAAGTTGTCTTAAAAGTGATACTTATGGAAGTTGTTGGAACCCGGCATTATCTGACGAGACGTGGTCCCTTATTTCTCGCACGTAAGTGAAGGACATTTGCGTAAATCTTCAAACCCATATATACAAGTAGTCAAGTATCTTTGATTGCCTCCTGCATTGCCCACGCGAGAGAGGTCATATTCGTTACAGAATGCGAAGAGGACTGACTGAAAGACAAGAGAAGCATAGGCCATTGGCCGGTAGGTATGGACGCCCCAGCTCAATGGCCCCACTAAAATTTGGAAACTGACGCCGACAGCTTCAACACCAGGGCATGCTAAACCGAGCTTTGCCATACATAGCAAGCTTTCGAGCATACACAACCGCAAGCCAACTTCCAAAACTGCCGCCAAGATGATGCACCCATCGCGGCAAGCTTATGTAGAAGACGCCCAAGAGGTAAGTGCAAGCAGAGCCTGGTCGCGCGACGATAGAGGTTCCGCTGCTAACAAATATCCTCTCAAGCAGAGCCGGGGCATCAGCCTCGAAGACCTTCCCACGGACAATGACTACGATCTACCCTCCGCAGGCGCCGGCATCGCGCCCGAGAAGGCCTCTGCCATACTTTCACAGTTCGATCGCAAACGCCTAGCGGCCAGCATAGCGGTTCCGACCGACGATGGACGCGTGCGGGCGAAGCTACGGGAGATGGGCGAGCCCATCACGCTCTTCGGCGAGGGTCCCGCCGACAGGAGAGACAGATTGCGCGAACTCATGACGGTACAGGTTGAGCGAGCCGCGGCCGGCGGGGAGTCCGTCGATGTGGACATGGAGGACGCAGCGTCCGACGACGCGCAGGACCAGGAGGAGGAGTTCTACACACAGGGCAGCGATGAGCTCCTACGAGCGAGACAAGACATCGCGAGGTTCTCGCTGCCCAGGGCGAAGAAGCGCCTTGCCAGTCTGAAAGAGGACAGCAACATCCAACTACGTACGCACGTCAAGTTCCGAAAGCAGATTAGGGAACGGCTGGAGGGCTTCGAGTTGCAGGGTAGTCAGACGGCTGGCGACAGGCATGTCAGCATGACTCGGATATCACCAAGCGGAAATATGGTTGCGGCCGGTAACTGGGGAGGCAGCATCAAGCTGATCGAGATACCGAGCATGGTGGAGAAGGGCACGCTTCGAGGCCACAACAACAAGATTAGTGGTATAAGCTGGTTCCCAGGCGCAACTTTACCAGAGAAGGGTGTCAGTGAGGACTCGGTCAACCTGGCTTCGGGCGGAGCAGAAGGCCAGGTCAATCTTTGGAGTCTATCCAAAGACACGCCCCTCGCAACACTCCAAGGACACGCCCAGAGAGTGTGCAGAGTGGAATTTCACCCTTCTGGCAAATATCTTGCCACTGCCAGCGAAGACACGACGTGGAGATTATGGGACACGGAAACGACACAAGAGCTCCTGCTCCAAGAAGGTCACTCGAAGGGAGTGTTCGCGGTCAGCTTCAACACGGACGGCTCTTTACTGGCCAGCGCGGGTTTAGACAGCATTGGTAGAATATGGGATCTAAGGTCTGGAAGGACAATCATGATTCTAGATGGACATATGGATGGACACAGCAAGCCCATATATGGTCTCGACTGGAGTTCTGATGGACATCGACTGTTGACTGCCTCGGCTGATGGGTGGGTCAAGTGTTGGGACGTCAGGAAAGTCGCAAGGACTGGCGGCATCGGTGCACACACGAGTGCCGTGGCAGATCTGAGATGGTACAAAGGATTGGACGATCCATTAGACGGCACCGTCACGCCCGGACTGGATGACAAAGGGAATCGGTTGCCGAGAAAGTCCAGCTCGTTCTTCGTAACGGCCGGGTTTGACAAGCAAGTCAAGGTGTTCTCAGCAGATGACTGGTCACTGATTCAAACACTCAACGGACATACGGGTCCGGTTGCAAGCGTTGATGTGAGCCGAGATGCCAAGTGGATTGTCAGTGGAGGACATGATCGGACGGTCAAGCTATGGGGCCGCAATGATAATGAGGCATTGTGATTCGGACATGGTGACAAACTAAAACAAAATAAAAAGAGATACCCCATGACGTGGTTTTGAATGCCTGTTTCCTTGTGCCGATTATAAATAGCCTATTGGGTCCAAAGCTTGTCGTCAATTAGCGAGTTGCCAAGACATATGCATGAATGGTCGAGACACGGAGAACTGCCAACAATCAAATGCAATGAATGAATGCATCAGTTTGTTTTGTTCCCTATCTTCGTTGTTGCGACGGCAGCACCCCCACAATCCACTCAGCCGATAGAACTAAACTACCTACGTAAACGGGCGTGCACAGACCATTTCGCGCCTTCCGCGTCCAAGGGTGGGCCCATAATTAATTGCAATCGTCGAAACGAGCTCAACGATCGACTTGGATGTTTCCTCTCCTGCAGGATAAAGAGAAGAGACCATCGTCACCCACCAGCTGCGACCACATCCCACACCGACGCCTCACGTTCAGATCACATCTTCCTTCCTTCAACAGCTCTCTGTCGTCCACGTCTTCCCAATGATACTTAGCGACTCGCACTTCGGAAAACGAGCCCCTGCCTGTTTCCATCATTGAGGTTAATCGCCAACCTGTTCTGCTCAGCTAAGTTCAGCTCAGCTACTCGCAGCACGACACGAGCTGGCACATCCCTTCCCACAGCACGGCTACGAGGAGCATGGCGAGTATCGATAGATACCGTCCGCCTGGACGCGAACCCCACCAGCCACCCACGAGACCCGTCAACACCAGCGCACACTCAAGTCGACCGTCAAAGTCTCCCACCAAGCGACGCGACGTCCCTCCCGCCGTACCCTCCCCTCCTACCCACGTCAACTTTTCTGCGCGCGGCTCACCTTCGAGACAGCAGTCGTCCCAGCAACCAGGCGCTCAGTCAAGCATGCAGTCATCCCCGAACTCCTCCAGGAAGTCTGACTCCCAGTGGATATTCACTGAGGATGAAGCCGTCAGCAGTCCCAGCATCGTCGAGGGCATGTATCCCGCCGATGAGAGGCTCAGACGTGCTAAGGGCGTTAACTTCATCTACCAGGCTGGCGCCCTTATGCAGCTTCCTCAAACCACCCTCTACGTCGCAGGTGTCTATTTCCATCGCTTCTACATGCGTATGAGCTTGTCCGAGGAAAGGGGTGGCGTTCATCATTACGTGAGTTGTCCTGCCCGACGTGGCTCCATCTTGTTGCTTGACTAACACAACGCCCCTCTGACAGAACATCGCCGCAACTGCCCTTTTCCTGGCAAACAAGACGGAGGAGAACTGTCGCAAGACCAAAGACATCATCATCGCCGTCGCCAGAGTCGCCCAGAAGAATTCAAGGCTTGTCATTGACGAGCAATCAAAAGAGTACTGGCGTTGGCGGGATAGTATCCTGCACAACGAGGAGATCATGCTCGAGAAATTGACATTCGACCTGAGTGTTGGGGAGCCGTACAGGCTGCTGTACAGGTTGCTCGAGCAGCTTCACTGCATCCACAACAAAGTCCTGCGGCATGCTGCTTGGGCTTTCTGCAACGACTCGTGCCTCACTTTGCTACCACTTCTCATGGATTCTCGTGATATCGCCATCGCCAGCCTGTTCTTTGGCTCGATCTATGCCAAGGAGCAGATCGCAGACATCGATGGCAAGCCTTGGTGGGCTCACCTGGATGCTGATGAAGCCAAGATCATCAAGGCCGTCGAAGTTGTCCAAGCCTTCTATCTTGAGAATCCGTTGAAGAAGACGGACAATCCCTACCAGGGAAGCCCCGAATTCAACCTGGACAACTCTCGTAAGGCTGGCGAGGCCTCAAGCACGAGTCCTACCTCTCTCACGGATGGCGACACGCAAAGCCCAAAGATCGCGACGAATGGAACCGATAGTCGCGATGCTGTTATGGCTGCTACCGAGGAAGTATCCCAGGCACCCGGCAATTCTGACGCAGCACTCAAGGAAGCAGCAAATAACCCCGCTGTTCATCCCGCAACGAATGGCAACGGCTTGGCCACCCCCACCAAGCGCCGCGACGGTGACTCCTTGTTGTCTGACACGCGCGATCACAAGCGGCAACGGATGAGTAGCGACGATGAAGGCGAAGTCCAAGAATAGAGCTCCACCTCTGGCCTGTCATCCTGCTCATCCCATATATTGACGCCTGACATGACTACTCTGGAGATGTTGGAGTCTATCTCAAGCCCAGCAGTTGCAGAACTGCAAGGAGAGAATGAACCCAGTACATCCTACATGTCGACGCCTGACACGACTACTCTGGAGACGTTGGAGTCTACCCCATGCTCAGCAGTTGCAGAAGTGCAAGAAGAGATTGAACCCAGTAAATCAAGCCCAGCAAATACAGTTTTGCAAAGTGGAAACGAAGTCAGCAACAATGATCAACCCTCTGCACCTAGCCCACCACCTACAAACAGTCATTCCGTTCTGAGCGAAGAATCCGCGGCTGGACCTGTTCAGCCAGTGGAACTCGCCATCATTCGTCAAGCTTATGGACCAGGGTTGGCAATCGAGGATGATGACTCCAGTGGTCTTTCCAGTCCTCCTTCTTCTCGCAGCCCCGTGTCCGGCTTTGGAAAAGATGGTGATGACGAATACGGCGCCACAGCCTTGTTGTCTCTTCAGGACCAGACGCAACTACCTAGTATACGAGCTCAACTTCCGGGCCAGTTCCCGATACCGAGTCCTCCCACTGTAGGACGCCGTAAGCGCAGGGCATCCAATCCCGTCCCCAGCACGACAGCCTACACGAACCAACGACCTAAGCGCAAAACAACCAGTCGTCTATCTAGTTCAGCTTTGGACAAAGCTTCTCGACCCGTGACAGCTTCGCCTAGCAGCTCACAAGTCAGTTGTTCTAGTTGCGGTAAAACCTGCAGAGACTCCAAGGTTCTTGAACAGCACATGCAAGAAGCCACAGTGCACATTGGCAACGTATGTCGATGGCCCGGCTGCAGCCATATTGCTCCGAGTAGCAGAGCTCTAAACAAGCACATCACTGATCATAATACAGAATTAAAACCTCAGTCCGATAGCAACGTTTTCAAGTGTATGTGGCCGAATTGCGGTAAAACCTTCACTTTGGCAGAAACTCTAGCACGACACCTTCGAGCCCACCAAATCTCGGCAAGCCAAGCGACTGAGAATGGCACCACGCAGGCCTAGGTACTTGTTAGGCTCGGCGATGTTCCAGGGACCTGTTGGTGATGTGCCACCAATGAAGGGCAGGAGAGGAAGACTAGATCGAGGGCTCTCGATACATCATGTAAAAGTAATAAGTGCCACTTTGATCAAGTGAGCCGATCAATAGGCGTTTCAGGAACAGGGCTGAAGAAGTCTTCGCATATTGCGGGCGTTCTGGTTCAGGAGTTCAGGCTGTTTCTTCCCTCGCATTGAGTTGCGCAGAGTACATTGTTTCAGTGTATCAACAGATGCATCCACTACAGGAATGGCACTTTTGCGGTCCAGGGCAATTATGGATATCACAGGGATATGGCGTCGCTGCTGTCAGATAATACCCTCGACGAATTGCATTTCTATTTGTTTTTTTGGTACTACTGTTGCTTATTTTGATTCTTCTCTGCTCCAACCCCGATTGTGAGAGGTAGAATATGAGCGAGGACGGTGTCTCTAGATGTGCTCTCCATTGTAAGACATTCTTCGAGCTCACTGTACATTGAATGCTTACTTCAGTCATGCCAACACGCGACTTGCCTCATAATGTGACACATCTACTTGCGATGCTGCTGATTTATCAACGTAGCAGGCCCAATGCCACATCCTTCCCGTCGGTTTGACCAAGAGTTGCCAGAACGGCGCGTGTCCCCGGAATCTCTGTGCTCCTGTATGTTGCAAACATGTGGTTTATGCCATCTCTTAGGTAATTGTGTTCCGTGTTTTTACGTTCTATTATTACCATTTCGTGGCAAGAGTGCTCATTCACCCCTTGTCTCTCCTGAGCTCCTCCAGCGTTTCCAGCACGTCTATCCAGTTTGAGCACTCGACCAGCCTCATCCTCTCCCTCTTGCTCAGCAGCGCTTTCTTGTCGGGCCCATACCCGGGCCCCGTCATCTCGCCCAGGTGGTGCACGGCCAGCTTCAAGGGCAGCGGCGCCCTCGCCACCTTCTCCAGGAACAGGTCCACGGCCTCCCAGGGACATGTTTCGTGCCCCGCGAAGAGCGCCGGGTTGGCCAGAAGTGCACGTGCCGACATGAGACCGCGCAGGTTGGGTATGTTCGGCACTTTCTTGTTCGTCGTCGTCGTCGTCGCCCTCGGTCCAGATTCGTCGTCTGAAGAAGAAGTGAATGTCGGCAACTCCACGAGATGGCTCGTATATGGCAGCGTGCCGAGCGTGAACACGTCCCCGTTGGCCAGGATCGGCACGTCCCGCCCGAACTTCTCGGTCAGGATCTCCAGCGCCTCGACGTTGACCGCCGCGCTCGACGGCGTGCTCCGCGTCCGCCCGTGGATCGTCAGCCAGTCGATGTTGCGGCGCCCGCCGCCGCTCGCGCCCCCCAGCACCGTGGTGATGAAGTCCATGGTCTTGCGCAGGTCCTTGTGCACCCGGATCTTGACGCTCACACTGCGGCCCCGCGGATCGTCGGCCGAAGCCTCGAGGTCCACGGCCCAGCCGTCGCTCCGCAGCCGCGCCCGCGTCTCCGTCACCAGCTCCCGGACCAGCTCCCGCCGCTCCATTAGCGCCGCCCCCAGCGTCTCGGAGCACGCCCAGGACTGCGGGCAGCCGCAGTTCAGGTCCACGCCGCTGACGTAGGGCGCGGCCAGGCTGGCGGCCCGGGAGAGCTCCAGGGGTGAGTTGGCGCCGAACTGCACGATGGTCAGGGGCTGCTGCTGCTGCCACTGCTGCTGCTGGCCTTCGCCGTTGCCGTTGCCAGAGGAGGTGGACACGGTCAGGTCGCTGTCCCGCGCGATGGAGCTACGGTTGAACTCCTTGGCCAGTATCATGGGCGTCCAGCAAAGGTCCGTCCCATAGTGGTGGACCACCTGGCGGAAGGCGAGCTACAGGTGCGTGCCATGTCAGTTGGACGACTGTGAGAATTGGTGGTGTGTGTTGATACCTTGCTGTAACGCACCATCGGTGCGCAGGCGAAGACATATCGACCTTGGGACTTGGCGAGGTCAAAGATCTTGAGTGGACTGCATATTTCATGTTAGTGGTAAGGATCTTCCTGCAGGGGGTCGATTTCCAGCCTTGAATGAGTATCATACGTGCCACCCAGTCACTGGTCGCATATTGCAACCCGAACGGGAAGGAAAAGGAACGCTTACTGCACTGTCGGGCGGAGTTCCACCTCTTCTCCATCCTGAAGCGTCATCTTTTTGTTACCAACAAAATTGCTGGCTTGGACATAGTCAAGACTCAAGCTGTTTATTGGATTATGGATATGTGGTTGAGTAAAGATTGCGGTAGCGGGGTTGTAAAGCGGTCTTAGCGGGGCACAAGGTGCTTCTTTAAATATATTATACTGTTTAATGACATAACTAACACTCGTAAACTTTTGGCTAAACAGACTTTCAGGTGAGGAGTGCTGAAAAGTATCAGTCATAATTACAACGTCTCCCAAAAAGTAGCTCAAAATGGCATGTACTAGCTCGTTGCTTGGCTTGCATACATGGTAGGCAGCTGAACGTTTTCGATGCAAAAGCACAAACTAAGATCACGAGTTGCTCGACTGCTGTTGCGTGCGAAAGGTAGATTACTGCATTACCTAGGGGGTACAGCCAACGGCATTCCCCAGTCTCCCTAAAGTCCGCTTGCCGGGGCCTGAATTTGTGCTTGGTAAATTGATGTGTTGGAAATACTGTATAATCAAGTGTACACTTCTGAATGGATTATTCTAGACATGCGGAATTGTTCTGCAACGGGATACATTAAAACCGGAGGAAATACGGTGGTAGATGATTGGGCACAGGCCAAGATCGGATTTGGAGATCTGGAGATTTGGAAAGCCGACGCCCATTAACCCACACACATACCTATTTGCCGATTTGGACAGGTAAACCCCACCTCTCGACCGTATCGCCCGAATCGAATCAAACCGTCCGCAGTTATCGGGCTTAACACCAACAATCTTGCCGTCAAACGCAAGAAAAATCGTGACAAAGAAAACTGTGAATGTAATATCGACCGTGCGGGGGGTCGGCATGTTGTTTGTTAATGACTAATTAGAATACAAGGTTCGTAGCTTTTGGTAATGCATATATAGTCCCAACTCTCCCGACCAAAGTTGAGGTCATCTGGAACCAACACCAAGTCTTCAAATTTCATCTCTGCGATATTATCATCAGACACAATAACACATATTCATATTCAATAACAATAACAACACGACAGTCATGCCTCAGCTTGTAGGAAAGGAAGTTGGACCCATCGGCTACGGCCTCATGGGTGAGTAGCACATGATATCCATTGAACATCACATAGTGTACTAACAGTCCATTCGAGGCCTCACCTGGCGCATTAACCCTGTCACAACGGAGGCTGCCATTGAGACTATGCACGCTGCCCTGAAGAACGGGCTGAACTTCTGGAACGCAGGCGAGTTCTACGGAACCCCCGAGTACAACTCTCTGCATCTGCTGGAGCGATACTTTGCCAAGTACCCAGAGGACGCAGACAAGGTTGTGCTCTCCGTCAAGGGCGGCTACAGCGCCCAGACGGGCATGGATAGTTCGCCTGAAGGAATCCGCAGGTCTATCGACAACAGCATCAGCCTTCTCAAGGGTCGCAAGAAGATCGACATCTTCGAGGTCGCTCGCCGTGATCCGAACATCCCTTTGGACGTCACCTACGGCACCATGGACAAGGAGTACGTCCAGACTGGCAAGATTGGCGGCATTGGCATCTCAGAGGTCAAGGCCTCCACACTTCGGGAGGTTGCCAAGATCACCAAGATTGTAGCCGTCGAGGTTGAATTGTCACTGTATGTGAATACACTCGAACATTACATAATATGTATTTGCTAACAAGACACTAGCTTTTCTACTGACCCCCTTGACAACGGTCTTGTGGCCGCCGCGAAAGAGCTGGACATCCCAATTGTCGCCTACTCACCACTGGGACATGGAATTCTCACGGGGCAAATCAAGACAATCAAGGATCTCCCGGAAGAGCTGCGCGGCTACCCACGATTTCAAGAAGATACTTTCCCCATCAACATTGAGCTGATCCATCACGTGGAGGCTATTGCGAGCAAGAAAGGTGTGAAGCCGTCACAGTTAGCCATCAACTGGGCAAGAGCTGTCACGCGGAGGGCTGGAGTGACAGCCATTCCCATCCCCGGCGCCACCACAGTTGCAAGAGTAGAGGAGAACTCCAAATTGGTTGACCTTACCGACGATGATCTCAACGAGTTGGACGAAATCTTGAAGAAGATCGAGGTCGTTGGTAGACGTTACCCTGACTTCATTCCTATAGATGGGTAGATAGGGACGAACAGCTCTGGCGTACCTGGGGCTAATTAGTTGCTTGTATAATAAATAAATCGAGTAATAGAGATTTAGTTTGTTCATGGTAGTCAGGTCAAGAGGTTATCCACCTTTTGGATCTCCTGAGCACCGATCCCGAAAGATCGGCTTCAGAAGATTTTTCAGGATTGCAGAATTCTTGTATGGTCATCAGGTAGAGGGGAAAGTGAAGAGTAAAGAGAGAACAGAAAAGAGACTTACATGTGCTAATTGCCGCCTTGCTCGAGGAATGAGGAATGCCGCAACTGATTTCTACATGTGTACCACATTTGCTCAATCTAACAATTGGTTGGCAGTGCGTAACATCGTACCAGAGTGGAAGTTCTCTTGTTGTTGTTCTCGTTACGTCTTCGCCCGTCCGAGTTACCTTACCGGCAAGACTGAACTTATGCCATCATCTTTGCAACGAGAACTCTCACCAGCGCATATCACAGCCTATTCCTGTCAGGGAACGAAAAGCCGCGACCGGATGGGACCAGCAGACTCGGCGTCAAGGTGGTGCACAAAGGAGGAATCTGATGCACAAGAGACACTGCCCAATGTTTTCTAGTGTGCATCTCGAGTAACTCTCGGCGGAGTAAATACGCTTGATATCCTTGACATTATGCGCATAGGTCCGTCGAGGCAGGATAAAAGACAGAGAAATAAAAAAAAACGCGTAAAAATGGTGTACTGCTTGATGTTTGTTGGTCAAAGAGCAAAGACAATATTAAGTCTGCAGAAGGAAAATTCGGCATTTTGGGGGTTGCAGAGGGTGGACTGTTCCCCACTTCAATGTCCACCACTGTGATTACTGGAGGAGCACTGACAAAGACCAATTTCTAACCTAAACTAGACTAGTCGGCATTCGGAGGGTTAGTACTTATTCTTTGCTTCTTGGCAAAATGTATCATGCTTGACAGGTCCCGAATTACGGACTCTGGATGGTTTACGGATGAGACTCGCAGGATATCGACAACGCCCAATGGCAAGTCTCCTCACACATCTCTGATGATTTACTGCATCTCTAGTGCCGCACGTGAGCTCCGGCACCACATGTCGGGGTTCTCCATAACAACGCCGAATGCATTTAAAGTATCGTAATTGTCAACAAGCACGGTTTCTACAACAGAACCGCTCGCAAACTGCTTTATCCATCATGACACCACCTCTGATTACTCTAGAAGAGCACTTCCTCGCGGAGGCCGCCGAAGATGTGAAGTCCCTCTATTCTGAACAGCTCGGAAATATACCCGAGCTGGCTGCCAAACTCGGTGATCTTGGACCCTTACGCCTTCACTCTATGGACGAGAGCAACGTGTCAATACAAGTCATTTCTCACGGGCCAGGAGCTTTACGAACTTCGCAATGCAAAGCAGCGAATGACCAGCTTGCTTCCGCCGTGAAAGCCTATCCAGACCGGTTCGCCGGGTTTGCAGTTCTTCCTGTCTTGGACCCTGCGGAATCAGCAAAGGAACTAAGAAGATGTGTTCGTGAGCTTCACTTTGTCGGTGCGCTCATCGACAATCGATTCAAGAACACATACTATGATGGCCCTGAATACGAGGTTATGTGGGCGGCAGCACAAGACCTTGATGTGCCAATCTACCTGCACCCTACGTGGCCGTCCGAGGAACAACTTGATCTACTCTATACGGGAAATTTCGCCCAGTCCGCAACCCTGAGCCTGTCAGCATCCGGGTGGGGATGGCACTCTGACGTTGCCCTGCATATCCTGCGTCTGTTCTCCGCTGGTGTGTTTGACAAGTTTCCACGGCTCAAGATCATTGCCGGCCATATGGGGGAGATGCTCCCGTTCATGCTGCACCGAATCATGCAGCTGTCACCACGCTGGGGAAGACGCGATAGATTATTCAAGGAGGTCTACGATACCAACATTTGGATTACAACGAGTGGAGTGTGGAGCGTTGATCCTATGGCCACCATTTTAAGAAATACCAGGATTGATAAAATATTATATAGTGTTGACTATCCGTTTGCGAAGAATGAGAATGGTTTGATTTTCATGAAGGAGCTGGAAGAGAGTGGGCTTGTGACACAGGAGCAACTGGAGCAAATTGCGTATAAGAACTCTGAACAGCTTCTGGGGTTGAAGGTGAAAAAGACTTTCTAAATTCAATGACCGATATTTCCAACGGAAATATTGGCGTGAGAATAGTCTGATAGAACAGTTCACAGCTGCAGGAGGGTAATCATGCGTTTCTAGAACGATAGTGCAAATTGTTTGATAGCTACGCTCCTTCAAAATGAAAACCTCCAGTATGACATAGCGAGTACAGTATTATGCAAAGCCGAGTTTCTAGCCCTGCTGCCCTGTCAAACCTCCACAATAAACGCTATTAACCAATCTCGTTAGCCCGATTGTTCACCGCCTGCCTAAAATAACCGACAATTCCGGCAATTGGGTCGTTGAGAACCCCTCCATCAATAACTTTTTCGTTAGCGCAACTAACACACGCAGCATGGGTCTCATGAGCGGATTGGCATATCAGTTATCGCTGTGAGAGCAACTTACTGGGAAAGTACTTAATCAATCACAACAATTCAAATCCCCGATAGCACCGGTCAACTCAAGGAACCTGGCCATTATGACGAAGCCTGTCATCGGTCTGCTTGGCGGCGGTATGTATAGAGCAACCTATCCACCTTTCCTGGTTATTTGAGCATATATTAGTCAACGGCTATCTGCCATGAAAACTACGGAAGCCTAGAAGTTCCTACTCAGCAACAGAAGAATGGACTAACTAACATGTTCTGGATAGGTCAACTAGGTATGCGACTCCCAGAGCTCTTCATCATGTCTCTTAACTCTGCCTTTTATGTCTCGGGAGACAAGTTGAGGCGCGCCTTTGTGCCTGTTTGGGTGAAGTTATATTGACCTCCGATTCTTACATAGGCCGGATGCTTTGCGAAGTAGCCGGACCTTTAGGTGTTCAGATTGCGGTCCTTGATGCCGAGGGCAGCCCCGCCAAACAGGCAAACCACAACGACCTCCACGTCACCGGTTCGTTCAAAGATCGTGAAAAAATCAAGGAACTAGCATCACGAAGTGACTTGCTCAGCATTGAGGTCGAGCACGTGGATACCGAGATCCTGTGAGTTGTTTTTGTAGTCATTTTCTCCCCTTTCGAGCATGGACCCGGAGTGTACATTGGCCAAAATCGTCTTCTGTACGCAAATAGAAATTCATGTTGCTCCCGAAATGGTGCCAAACAACTTCAAAGAGACTATTACTAACTCCGGACGTAGAGAAGAAATAGCGACAAAGGGCGTTGACGTGCAAGGCGCTGATGGCAAGACTTTCAAGAAAAAAGTGCCTGTTCATCCGTCATGGAAAACCATTCGCCTAATTCAGAACAAGTACGAGCAGAAGGAGTACTTCATCAAGGAAGGCATTCCGGTGGCAGAGCAAATTGCTATCAGTTCCGGCGACGAGGATGAATGTAAAGCCTCGCTGCAGGAAGCGGCCACCAAGTTCGGTCTACCATTCATGCTCAAGGCGAGGAAGGATTCCTACGACGGACGTGGTAACTATAAGGTCAAGACTCCGCTGGACTTTGAGATCGCTGCCAAGGAAATGGGTAAGCAACTCCTCTATGCTGAGAGATGGGTACCATTCAAGGTAAGTGCAAAATTAGCCATTATACGTTATGGATGAGACTAACAGATCAAGATGGAACTGGCCGTTATGGTAATCAGACTGGAAGACGACGACGGAAACCTGATCAAGGTCGTCCCTTATCCGTAAGCAATTCTTGCAAATCACCTCCAGCATTTCACGAAACCTCTCTTGCCGTCGAAGGCAATTAGTGTCTTTTGTGACTGTTTTACGATATCTCGAGTTCTTCAACACCTTTAAAAATAACTACTAACCCCTAATGCTGTAGTGTCGTTGAAACGATACACGAAGATTCTATTTGCACAAAGACTTTCTACCCGCCACGGAATGTGACAGATGACGTCAAGTCAAAGGCTCAAAAAGTAGCATGCGACGTCATTGCTAGCCTTTGGGGTCGGGGTGTCTTCGCAGTCGAGATGTTTTTGCTCGAGGACGGTCGCATCCTTGTAAACGAGTACGTTAATCTCTTGTGTATCCCCTGAAATAAGCTGGTCGCTAACGGTAACAGAGTTGCGCCACGTCCCCATAACTCTGGCCACTACACCATAGAGGCTGTTCCCCAACTTTCACAATATAAGGGACAGCTCCTTGCGGTGACTAATAATGTACCCGATGATTTGGTACTTGAGCCACGAGTGCCCTCCGCGATCATGGTCAACATCCTCGGCGGTGCCAAGTCAAGTTCACACGATAGACTGGTTCAGCTCACGCAAAAAATGGGCAGCTCCTCCATGGACGTTCATCTACACCTGTACGGCAAAGAGTCAAAGCCAGGCAGGAAAATCGGACATGTCACAGCCATTGGCTACTCCTCCATTCAAAGGCTAGAAGAGCAGGCTATGCCTTTGATTACCTGCGTTGATGAAATCCGCGCCGAGCGTGTTGGTGAGACACTCTCAAAGGCACCTGTCAGCAAAGCAAAGGGTGTGCCCTTGGTTGCAGTAACCATGGGCTCTGATTCCGGTTAGTAGAAGATGGATCGAATCCTCAAATGTCAAGAGCAAGAGCTAATGTGCGTTTCATGATCAGACCTAACAGTAATGAGTGCTGGTTTGAAGATCCTGGATCAATTTGAAGTTCCTTATGAAGTGCGCATCACCTCCGCTCACCGAACTCCAGAGCTCATGACGAAATTCGCGGAAGAAGTGTCAAAAGGGGGTGTCAAGGTCATCATAGCTGGTGCTGGTGGTGCTGCACATCTACCGGGAATGATCTCGTCTGAGACACATCTGCCCGTGATTGGGGTGCCAGTAAAGGCTTCTGTGCTGGACGGCGTAGACTCCCTTTATTCCATCGTGCAGATGCCACGAGGTGTACCGTGTCTGACAATCGGAATCAACAACTCAACAAATGCCGCGCTGTCAGCAATTCGAATTCTTGGTACCACGTTCCCAGAATATGCTCAGCGCATGCAGGCGTACCAGAAGAAGTTGAAGGATGAGGTTTATGCAAAGGATGAGAAGCTACAGGAGATCGGCCATGAGGCGTATCTGAAGGAGATGCTGGCAAAGAAATAAGGCCTTTGTGCTTTTAGTAGTGTGCTCTGTGTAAGACACCTTACCTGAAGCTCGAACCAGGCCGTGTCGTACAAGTGGTTACAGCTTTCACCTGGACAGCCAGCTATCCAATATATGAGGTTATGCAACCTCACAGCCCAGTGATACCGGCGGGCATCTTATCCATGTGTGTTAATATCGCTTACAATATTGTGGATGGTGACAGGACCAGAAAATAATGTTATCACTCGTGGTTCCGTAGATTGGGTTACATTATCGAAATGCAGCTCATAATTGGGGGCATTGCCATCGTTGCATTCCGATATGGAGACTCAATTTCGAGGTGCAGGGCCCCATAGTGTCCTGGCCCGAGCGTCCAAGTTTATTTTCCGGCTCCAGGTCGATGTCGTCTTGCTTGATGCACACGACGGCGCATCAGTTGACTTGGGTGCAGCAGTCTCTTCTTTCTTTTGGTTATGTCGAGCAGGACCCAATCATACAGGCCGAGTGGTCTTGAACTTTGGCACGAATCGGGCAAATCGGGACATGTCCAACCCCCTTTGTTGTAATACCGAAGACTAGTGGTGCTGAGCACGGTCGCCATGATATCCCTGCTTCGACAAGCTGGGGTTAACAAACGGCTTCTCTCCTGGTTGCAAGGGAGCTGAAATGACACGGCATTGCCAATGTGATGTGCACGCGCGAACCTCGCGATGGACGAAAATAACACACGCTGGGCGTCATGATAATGCCTTGTTGCTCATGCTGTGCTGCGCTTACTGCCCGGCGGTGCTTACATGACGGACGCATAATGAGATGAAATTCGATTGCCCTGTCCCGTCCCGTCTGCTCTAGCATTCCGAACTGGGACGAAGGCGATCCACCAAGCACTCCGCATACACTATGGGTGTCGATCCCACCTCTCAGCACGTGCGGTCACTGCTCTACACCTTCTGCAGCTCAATGGCCGACCTCTGGCCAGCAACTCTGGTCAGACCTTACACCGCCAACCACCGACGCGGGCACGAGACTTGGACGGAGTGCTGCGCTGCGAGACAATGTGCTCAACGGTCAGGTTTCATAAGTTTTTGGCCCAAGCAAGCGCAACGGTAGAATCAAATGACTGCCGGGAATCCATACCTCCAAGCCATCCTACCAGCACAGTCTCCGTACACAGAGCGAAGCTAGGCCTTTGGTCGAGACTAAAATCGGTGCTGGCAAGGATCCTTCGCCCACTTGCACAGGGGATCAGGAACCAGCCCAAGTCCTAGACAAGGTCCAGGGGCTCTTACTGCTAATTGGACATGCTGGGAGCAGACTTTAACCCTCGGCGTTCACCAATCATGGCGCCGTTGTGCTTGCAACCCCCAAGGTTTCTCCAGAAACCTGCAAGATGCGAAGGTCCTGTCGCAAACTGCCAAACTGTCTTGAGGCCTTTCTTCTTTTTGCAGCATCAGCACCAGCGACCATACAGCCGTCCCGCCGTGTTGCACCATGCTGAACCTTGAGCTGTGTGATACTTCGTCGTCGCCCTCAATAAAGTTCCCGCTCTTGCCCTGATTTGGGCTGTCACTCGCTACATTCAAATCTTATCCTTTCCTTTCCTTTCCTTTCCATCCCCCTTCCTTTCCTGCTGCAGCTGCAGCGTGGTGTTCGCCGCTCCTTCACTGGCTGCTTCTGTGGTCTGACCCTTTCCGCGACGATAAAGACAGAAACACAGGCGTGCAATGGAAAGCTGCGCTATATGAATACGTTGCCGCTGTCCACTTACACCCATTTGTCTAACCTGTCACAGTCCCGATCTCGAGGGACCATCCGCATGAAAGCAGGCACGGGTAGTTGCAGATACAACCGGGTGACTCTCTGCTAAATCCAGGTGGTCGGCTCTGGGTCGTTCTGGGCAGACCATTGGCAGTTGGAACTCTACGAGGGCAGCTTGCGACAAGTACCACCAGAGGAAACGATTAGCCCAAAAACGTATTTACAGCACCCATAAAATAGCCTTTCCGGTCGGAAATCAGCAACAATGGAAACGCAAACAGCCGCCAGGCCGTCCATGCACGGGAAGACGGGCTCGTCGGGTTCAATAAAGTACAGTCTCCCAGGATCGCCTACACTCACAAATCCAGACATGATATTGCCCGACTACGACGACCCGATGTCCCCCGACCGATCCAGCTCGCCCTTGACTATGTGGAAGAATAGCCAGTTCGACTTGAATAATGGACATATGTACAATACGGGTTCAGCCACTCCAACCACGCCAATCATTTACGGAAATGGCACAATGTTGTCAGATATTGGCGAGGTTACCGAGGCGGAGAGTACAATTGGCCCTGCCAAATCAAGGATCAACTACCACAACAACTTTGCGGTAAAGCACCCGTCCAATGCCTTTGCATACGAGGCAATGAAGAAAAAGAAACCGGATCAAAGAGCACGGGATCGCGAACGGCGTCTCTCACTGGAATCGGGCAGCACAATAACAAATGGCGATCAACCTGGGAGACTTCTCGATTTTGATGATTCTGTCAGTGTGGATGATAGCAACTTTCAGGGCGACGACGAAGACAGCGTCGCCGAGTCCTATATATTTGAGGACAATGGAGGCAGCCGGACCCCGCCTGCACGGGAATTCGCAAAAGGCATTGGGCCCGATGCGGAGGAGCGGTACTCAACAGCATTGAGCCGTAGAGCAGAGCAAATTCTTGCCAATGCTAAGCGGAGGTTGACGGTAAGTAAAGATTGTTTTCAGCTCGTAGTGGGCCTCAGGCGGCAGGTTTTGTTGGTGTGAGGAGAAAATAGCTGACATTCACAAAGACCATGGAAGGCAATTTGCATCGCGCTCGCTCGTCGTTGTCTGTCGATTCGGGCTCGGAGCCTTCTCCGCCATTCTCAAGGCCGGGAACCGCAATACATCGAGGCCCTGAAGTGGCACTTGCCAAATCATTCCTAGGCCATAATCGGATCTCTAGCGAAAACAACATCCAAAGTGAATTTAAGCCTGCTACACTATCTCCAAGGTCTTCAAGTGCACTAGGTGTAACAGGAAGTTACAGGCAACTCTTGCTCAGTTCTCGAAGCGTGGACTACAAGCGGGACAGCCCGCAACTCGACAAGCCTCTGGGGAACCCAGTCTATGGAAATACAACATTTTCCAAGAGTAAAACATCACTGCACGATAGCAAGTATACCTTCGAACCTCTAAGTGAGGATGAAGCTGCGAAAGTTACAACGACACCACGACAAAGTCTTGAAAATGCAAAATTAAATACTTTCTTAAGCCCCACGTTTGGCTCATTTGACGACAAAGGTTTGAGGCGATCCGCTTCGACTGCTCAGATGAAGGACATCAAAGACACCATGCAAGAGCTGAAAGGACGGTTGTCGAGTCTGAGGGATCAAGCTCGTGCAGATAGCATGAAACGACGGAGTATGCAAAGTTTACGCAACTCCAGCCCGTTCACACATGCAAGGGAGTTTAGCGAAGACAGCACGACGGAATATGTGGGCGGAAAGAGCATGAAAGAGATCAGGAAGTGGAACGATGGAGTGGAAAGTTTGCACGAGAGCGACATTGGCGAAAAGCTTGAAGAAGAAATCGATGACAACGTTTCGATCATCAGCGGGTCAATCTACTCTCAACAAACAGCTTCACCCCGTACGAGTCCAACTCAAGAGGATGAAGCATCTAGCAGGACTCCAACGGATGCGAGCTCGCTGATTCAAGTTGCTGATATCGGGCAAGGCCTAGATGACCAGGATGATATGAAGACCGAGGATGGATATATCGATGACGATGATCATTCCGAATTTCAGGATATCGTTAGTGAAAGCGGCGAGTCAGATTATCATGACACTGTACAGAACCAACTTTCCCACGAAGACCGAGAGGATGCATTTGATTATGAGCACTTTTTCCTGCATAGCGCAATGGGAAGCATGAGCCAGAAGAAGTTGAGAAAAAGAGCCAGCCAGGACAGCTTTAGCTCTGAGGACTCGGCAGAGACGACCAGAGGCCCAACAACGAACGGCGAATATCGACGACAGAGTAGAAGAGGAAGCAATGCTTCCTTGTCTTCCGTGGACTCGTTCCTTACTGCCACTGAAGGTAGAACCACTCGAGCAGACAACGACATTATGGAGTACTTTCCAGAGCAGGTGATCATGCAGATGGACGCACTACCAGAAAGGGCGGGCTCACACACACCAGATACGGCACAACGCGCAACGTTTGACCTGGGCAGACCCAGTTCCAACTTGGATCATGCTCAACCTCGTGCCTCGATCGTTCAGCGACCATCTAGCAGTGCCGCAACCTTCACCCACCGGCCATCGGTATCATCAATGGGATCGACCGGTACAAACAGGAGTTTCCCCTTAATCAACAAACCCAAAGTCTCGAACGGTATCCTGACGCCGCGCGACTCACCAGATCAAGGGTTGAAGAAGATATCGGAATCCCTCATGAGCGACGCAGCAAGCATATGCGAAAGTGCCAATCTTGGCGAAAAACCCATTGGTATGCTTGCAAAAGAAGACCAAATTTTGGTCGAACGACTTGTTGCCAGCTTGGGCAAATGCGTGCTCGGCTTGACTGAGAACGGACGTGCAAGCACTGAAGCCCGGCAGTTTAGAAGAAGAATCGAGACTGCCAGGCAAACATTAGAAGGGCTTGATCGAACCATATAATATTCAATGTCTAATTTGAGGATACAGTACAGTGGGCTTAGCTTGTTTGACAACAGCGCTATGTGCTGATGTGATCAGTTCATGGTGCCTCTACACACTCTCCTTCAACCATTTCCTTCATCGTCAAAATTTCGCAGCAACCTACGATGACCACGAATCAACACGACCGCTTTTCCGGGAAGAAGAGCGATTTTTACAACATTCTATTTCATTGAGTTCCTAACACTCTGGGGTTTACGGACACCAATAACATGGTTGCATTCGTAACATAATGGTGGCAATACAACTGGGGGAATCACCTTACCGATGTACTTACTATGATACCCTGAGTTTCGGGGGAGTTTAGTTACAAACTTCTCCCCTCGTTTCTTTTACCTTCTTCGGCCAATTTGGGCATATTTATTTTCAATTCAACAAATTCAAGACTGCGCTTTACACGGCAGGAGTGGTGTTATTTTTAGGACTTCGTCTCGATTTGAGAAGAGGATACCGACGCCTTGATCAAGCAGGTCGAAGGTGACTTAATTTAGTGTCATGATAGTGTTTAGCAGACAACCTGGAACACTAGACAATGTTGTATACATAAACGTTTGATTAGCTTGTTGAGGGATAACAGGAAACTTGCATGACAACATTTCATAATCGGCTGAGATTGGTAGCATGTGGCATGGTTTATAGTTTGGTGTGAAATTAATGGGTCAATTCCAGTCACACTGAGTTGTCTCCACCAGTTTTTAGCAGAACCCATGTCAAAGCTGCACAATAATAAGATCTTCCCGTCTAGATCTCCACGATCTGCCAAGACTAATGCTTCAGGGATAAAATAATGAGATCGGCCGCTCCTGGAGATTGACATGTCAGAAATCAGTAATGAACTTGTCGATTGGGGACATGTGTACGCGATTAGTCAATAGTGCGATGCGTGGCTTGATGTCAATGACGTAGATGGTCTAAGTCAACCCGTCATGACACTAGGCTAACAACAAACCCCTTGAACGCAGATATAACTCTTTACGGAAGCGCTTTTGGCGACTTCGGGTATGACTGCATAGGTCAGTTGTACATATCAATGTGATTTGATTAGTATCTCAGGATTCATTTAATCGCGACATTGGACGAGAACGCACCTCATGGCCGAGGACGAGCAAAATGGACGGAAGTCCCACGATGGGCGGAAGCGCGTGCTCATTGTTGGTGCCGGAGCTGCTGGGTAAGTCGCAACGTAATCTAAAGAGAGAGAAACGCAATTGACGCTCTTGTAGTATGTCTACGGCACATCATCTTTCTCAGCATCCCGAGATGTTTGATGTAACACTCATTGATGCCGTGGATTATTGTGGCGGGCAGGCTTTCTCTATTCCTATAAACAAGGAGCGCTATGGAGCATCATGGTGCAACCAAGGTGTGCAGGGTGGCTCTTACATCTTCCACCATACCCTCACCATGTTCAACAGACAGGGCTACCATGCGGATCCTGTCAAGCTGCATGTTTCTTTCGGCAAAGACAAAATATTTTGGTCCAACGTGTTTCCGACGGAGATCCTCGTTAAACACCAGAAGGAGGTGTATCGTTTTGACAAGGTGCTCAAGTTCATGCGCTGGTTCGAGGTCTTCTTCATGCTTCTTCCCTTGAGACTGGTCTTGAAGATGTTTCTTTTCTCTGAGGAATTTATTAACATAATCGCACTCCCTATGACAGCACTCTTCCTTGGCACTGGCAATGCAACGCCCGAGGTTCCTACTGTTATGCTCGAACGTCTATGCACCGCTCCGACTTACGGCATGTGGTATCCCACCGACCCAAATACAGTTGTGAATAATAAACCACCCATGGTCGTCTTCCCGAAATTCTCAGAGTTTTACAGCACTTGGAAGGAGGATCTACTCTCGAGAGGCGTCACCGTTCGTCTCTCCACCGAGCTGAGTGGAATTGTGCAGCGAAACAAGCGTGGCGTTATTGTCAGGCTGAAGCCGAGGACTCCCCAGCCAGATCATCATAACCCTGTTCTCGGAGACCCGGACGCGCCCGAGCACGAGGAGTACTACGACGAGCTAGTTCTTTGCTGTCTTGCAGATACAGCAAAGAGGGTCCTTGGCAGCACTGCGACCTGGAGAGAGAAGAAGGTTCTTGGCTCCGCCAAATTCAGCGACGACATCACCATCACTCATAACGATTCTGACTACATGAAGAAACACTACGAGAACTTTTACCGCGAGGACCTTGCCGTTACCGAAACCAGAGGACGGGATGAAACCTCGCGGCTCAATTTCGCTGCCCAGGACTTCCGTCCCATGTACTACATAAAGATGTACCCCGAGGACCGCTCAAAGCTGGAAATGTGTTTCGACACCACCAACTATCAGAGTCAATTCCCGGAGAATGTTCCCTTTGAGCAGCACGTCTTCCAAACCATTTTTTTGAACAAGGACCGGGACAGCAAGCTGTGGACTGACCACGAGATTCGTGAGGATAAGATCATCCGTAAGGACTGGTGGCATCAGCTATGCCACAGCTATACACACTACCTCTTTGTCGTCCCTTGGATGATGTTCCTCCAGGCCAAGAACCACACGCGCTTCGCGGCCGCGTGGACGCTAGTCAACGCCCATGAGACCGCAATCATGTCTGGAATCGCCGCTGCCGTTGACCTCGGCGCCGAATATCCTGAAGACCTCGAGCATGATAAGTACGCATTCTTGTGCTTCAGGCTTTACTATCTGCTCGCCTATGGAAAATGGTACCGCCGCAACTTCACGAGGGGCAAAAAAGCACCTACCACTCAGCTTGCAAAGGACGGTGCTTCTTGGCCCTCTGGTCTTTATGGTAGTGTGTACAAGGGTCCTGGTGTCGCTAAGCAAGAGAGACAGACGTGGAGGGAGGACATGAAGAAGGGTGAGAGTACTGGCAATCTTGCTGAGGGTAATGCCCCGGGCCGTAGTCAGCCATAATTTATGGCCATTTGATCGCGGACTAGGTGCTGTGTGATTTGAAGACGAGACAAGGATTACAGTGCATCGCGACAACAAGTAAAAGAACCGCGTTCGTTAGAACACTACATTTTAGCTCGGGTGCTTCGTGGGGGTGATCTGCGAAATCGTGCCTATAGGGGCTAGGTTAGTTAAATAGGATCGTCCCACATTTGTTAATCTTATCTGATGCTTCCAAGCATTCGGGTCATTTGGTGATCATCAAAGGATGGGGCAACGATATTGGTGTTGACCACTTTCTTTTGTCTTCAGCTCGCGGGATCATTTTATGTCGTTATGGCTGCTCTAAAAAGCTCGCCCTTGAACGATGCGTCTGTCATGAGGCCGACCGGTATATATCTGCCCAAGGCATCTTCATCCGTGGCATCACGAAGCGCGCGACAGGGCCGGGCATGCTCCTTGCTGATTGGTGTTATTGCCGTTTGGACACTTCACTTCCTCTGCACCGGAGACATCACTTCCGCGCTATTGATCACCAGTGGTGCGGCTCAATCAATTCATAACGACCAAAAACCCGCTTCGGCCAGCGGCAATTTTCGCTGGTCCGATGTTGGGCCAAGTAGGACATTGCAGTATACACCCTGCTTCGGATCTTATCAATGCGCGCGCCTATCTGTTCCGTTGAACTGGAATGCTTCAATAGAGGAACAGGAAGCAAGCCCAAGGGCAGCCATTGCGATTATCAAATTGCCCGCGAAGGTGCCAGTAACAGATTCCCGGTACGGCGGGCCCATCCTGATGAACCCAGGCGGGCCTGGCGAGTCAGGGGTCTATCAAGTCGCCTTTGAGGGACAGCATCTTCAGACCGTTGTTGACAGTCATATAGATCCGCTAGAGGATACAACTTCAAGTGCCGAGTCTGGAAAATATTTCGATGTCATTGGCTTCGACCCGCGCGGAGTGAATAATACGACCCCCAGGCTGCGGTGCTTCCCAGATGCCTTTAACCAGCAGGCTTGGCTGCTGCGATATCTTGACTTTGGTCTCTTGTGGTCTAGCGAAAGTGTCGTTGGGTACGAGTGGGCACGGGCTTCTGCCCTAGGAGCGAGCTGCGCGCGTGAGGAGGCGGATGGAGGAATTTTGCGCTATGCGAACACCGCACAGGTAGCCGGCGATATGGTGCAAATTGTTGAGAAGGAAGGCGAATGGAGGGCTGCTGAGGCCGCGAGGATCCTCGAGAAACTTGACATCAGGGATGAGGGTCTTGATGAGATCATGGAGCGCACTGCTTATCGTGCAGGCCAGGAGAAGCTCCAATATTGGGGAAAGAGCTACGGAACAGTCATCGGTGCGACGGTCTCTGCTTTATATCCGGAGCGAGTCAAAAGAGTAATCCTTGACGGTGTCGTGGATCCGGCCGACCACTACTCAGGCGGCTGGCTGACACAACTTCTCGATTCCGACAAGATTGTATCCAAATTTAGTGAGTACTGCTTCGAAGCCGGTCCGGAGAAATGCCCACTCTACATAGGTTTCTCGCCGTCTGATATCGAGTCCCGCTTTACGTCGATCTTGCTCTCGCTCAAAAAGAACCCCATCCCCGTCATGCTTCCACCATCCAGTGTCAAGAACTCAGGACCGGAATTGGTGACCTATGGCGACGCACATCTGTACCTGCTCAGCTCGATGTATTTCACATTTTCGACAACAGAGATGTTCTGGGACATGCTGATAGCCCTGGAAAGTCGTGATACGACGTCTCCAACACTGCTCGATCTGGTCGCACAGAAACAGGCAAGACTGAGTCCGGCCGAATGTGATGGTGGCGACGACGTTGAGGTGCCTTATCCCTGCGTACCATACAACTCCATGCTCGGCCCCAACCAGGTCATTGGCTGCATGGATACGGGCGGCTCTACAAACATGACGCAAGATGGCTACAAGGAGTATCTGGCCCTTCTGGAGGCGCAGAGCCGGTGGATTAGCCCTAGTTGGGCACGCAATAAGTTAGGTTGTCTAGGGTATGCGGTACAGCCTGCATGGAGACCAGACCTGACCTTTGAAACACAAAAGTGGGACAATACTTCACACCCACTCCTGATCATCAGTAACACGCACGATCCTGTTACCCCTATTAGAAACGGGCGCAGGGTGTCTACTATATTCCCCGGCAGCGTGGTATTACAACAGGATTCTGAAGGACATTGTTCCCATTCCAACCCATCCTTCTGTACGGCGCGGTCGATCCGGGAGTACTTTCAAACCGGGGAGTTGCCGCGAGAAGGCACCGTATGCCAGCCTGAGGTCAAGCCTTTCGTGGGATGCATAAAGGAAGGAGGATGTGATTTCGAAAAAGTAGAAGAGCAGAGGTTGTGGGAGAGCTTGGTGGATATGGCTGATCCATTCGGATTGAGGAGAAAGAATGTCACGACAAAGGCGTCGACACATTTTGAGGCATGGTCTCATCTCGTCAGCCATAAAGGTCTACATACCTAAGCACGTCTCATTAAGATACTTACACTAACTAGAAACTTATCCGGTATACTCGATATTATTTTATTTCATCGAGTAACCCCGTAGCAGTTCTAAGCGTCGCGCCGAATCCGACGGTCTCTTTTTCTAGTTGAGATAAACTTAAAGCTGTGTGTTGCCAGTGACCGCGCCAACCACCGGAGTTGCGTAGTAAATCCCCCAAAAAAGGATCCATGCTTTATACAAAACCATTCAAGAAATAATCGCAAGATCGTGACTCAGAAGTCACAGACTAACAGAGTGCATATGCCCAGGCGATGTTGACGTCATTTTTATATTGTGCTGCTTGCAGTATAGTTTAGAACCCATACTCTTCTTCGCTAATTACATATTTTCTGGGCCCATCATTGATGCAAGGGTGAGCACAACCCAATGCGGTGCTCCATGCTCATTCTTCAAGGGTGTCCAGTGCGTTGCGAAGTTCTCGTCGCCCCTGAAAACAGCACTCCGCCGTGTTTGTAGTCGAATTTCTGTGCTGATTGGGTAGCCGGACTTTATGGCCTTCTTTACAGGTGTCTTGAAGTCTGCTTGATGTGTGTTCAGCTGGTACTGCTTGAAGAACTTGAAAATATCCTGTCCCACAGATGGGTGACTGCCAGGGATCCCTGTGCCTTGGGTCGGAAGAAGTGAGTCTGTTATTTCGGACGAGTAGTAACCAATCACGAAAGTGTCTGCACGAATGACGATATACTTCGAATAGGCACTGTAAAATTCCGTGATCTGCGTTCTGAGGTCTTGCCCCTCTATTCGATTGAGCAGTTTGCGCTCCATGCCCGTATTTTCGTCAGGGAGAGGCGGCTTGTTATGTTTATCTGAGCTGAATATGCTGAATAGTGTCTTTTTCTTGAGTTTATTGACGTGTTGTCCCTGTCGGGACAACTCTTTTGTCGTCGTTTCTTCATTAGACTCGGAAAGCACCCGCATGACATCGGTGTTGGAGTGGATTGCAGTTGAGCAGTTGATCTGCGCACCCAAAAAGAAAGCAATCTTTCCAGTAGCATCGCGTAGGGGTGCTATGTGGTGGTCTTAGAATTCTACCGGTAAGCGCGCCAGAGCGATTGAGTGACTTACCCATATATAAGAGGTTCCAGAAAGGCGCACCGTCTTTCTTGTAATTCAGCAGCAACTCAACCGTTTCTCTTCCTTCGACTAGAGCCTCTTTGATGCGCCGCACAGCTGCACGATCCGTCTGAGGCCCTTGTAGAAACCGACAGTTCCGGGGTATGATTTCTGATCTGCTGTATCCAGTGACCTGAACGAACCCGTCCGAGGCGTACACGACGGGATTATCAGCTATTCTGGAGATTTCGGTCATGGTCAGTGAGGTTTCTCCCCTCTTGTGTCATGGCACTGCTTACCCCGGATTCGAAAAACAAAAACAGTCTCCCAAGCCTTGATATTTGCGACGATTATTTGATAAGGACTTTGCAGTGTCCATAGCCACTTGGTATCGCACAAATCGTGGGTAGATATCGGTGAATACCAAATGCTCAATCTTTTCTTGCATGGGTTCGAATAGTGCTTCCATAGCTGGTAGCCCATCTTTGACTAGGGACTTCATATTAGAATGGACTTCGTCCACAATCTCACCAGAAATATTGATCTGGCGCTGCGATTGACCTGAAATGAAACTTTGGTGGATAACCGCCAGAATGCCGGCAAGATTGTTGACGTTCGTACGATAATTTTCGACCTATATTCACGCGCCAAAATTAATGTCTGGATGATTAAGGTAAAGGGCATGAGACAGGCGACAAACCATGTGCAAGAATTCCACATTCTCACTGCAGAGCTGATTTTGACAGTACTTAAGAAGCTGGTGAGATGTCGCTGGGTTGTGCAGCACGACTTGAAAGATAGACTGACTAAAGAAGTCAAGAGGCCTATTGGACCCTTCGCTTGGCCTCGAGCTAATATGACTTGGGTCTGAGGCATCTTGACTGCTCGTCGCCTTTTCTCTCGATGACCCAGAGCGATCTGATATACCCACACCAGAATCGTTTTTCCGGTAAAATATGGCTTGGTGGTTGACTGCTTGACCTGTTTCAGATTTGTATATTCTCTCTTGTTGTGAGGAGTAGCTTGGAGCCTTGCCCTTCGTTGGAGACAGCCCGGTGTTCTCGAATTTGTGTATCCGGTCGAGGGCGGGTGTTTTCGTCTGTCCGGATTCCTCCTCAACCAGGTAGTAATGCTCGTCCGGTCGCGTAGTATCATCAGCCCGTCCAAGAGGAGACATGACCCGTAATGGAGCAACGTCACTATTTCGAATGACAGTAGGTGGTTTTGCAGTAGAGCCATCAGAACTACCAACCTCATCTGGATGCTCGGATATGTAAGCCTTCATGGTTGTGGCTGATACGCCAAAAAAGCTATCCGGACTAGGCAATTCGCTCAATTCGGCGAATTCGTCGTCGATTATGTATCTACGTGACCGCGATACTGGTGGAGGTGTTGCTGAACGACTTTCAGTCACAGTAGATAACCGTGAAGTCTGATCTTGGTGCATATCGCCTAGAGCTTGGTTTCCTTTTTTTATAAAGGAACTCATCTCTCGAGCCGAATAATTATCGCGTAGTTGATCTCCGTGCAATATCTTCTCGCTAGCTGTAGACCCTTCTCCGTGAACCCTATTCCAACCTCCAGAGAATGGTCTGCTAGGAGGCTCGTCATCTGCAACGACTTGATTCGCTGCTTCAATTTCGTCTTTGCAGTCCTTCTGGAATGGAAGAGCTTCCGGATCTGGCTTGCGCTCATAGTGGTCTGGCATAGGCCAAGAAACCTCTTTGTGTACGTCGTCGGTGTTACTGCCAGTCATATTAGATGAGCAATACGGCCACGGCAGAATTCCATGTACCTACCTGAAATCTGTGTCGAACTCGGGAGTTTCATGGAAAGGGTGTATGCCGCGCGGCTTTGGCATAGCGGAAAGACTCCCGGGCCTTTGCATTTCACCTTGACTAGCGAGAGAATACTTTTCTTTCCTTTCTCGAGGAGTGAAGCATGTCACTGACTCCATCATTTTCGGTTTTTCTGGAGTAGAATAACGACTTGAGCGAGAGTCGCTGCTATAAGGACGACGCAGCGGCACACTCGCCAATGTAGCTTTAGCGGCCTCAAGACCAGAGCTGTATCGTCCGGGCAGATGTGGCTGTATTACCTTATTAACGTCAAATTTGGAATAGCCATATTGATGGTCATGGGAAGGACGTCGAATTCTTGAATCAGGAATGGGAACATTGTCACGGCTCCGCATAGCTAAAGTAAAAATCTCGAAGTTAACATGAATAAATCTCGCCTCGTGGAGGGTGGATCACCACACTGCATACGTCTAAACACTAAATCCCTAGAATCCAAACTATTTTAACGGGACTCGAGACGTTATTATAGTGAACGACTGGATCGAGGGTTGAGCAAACGAAGCTACGTGCCCACCAAACACGTTGTGGCTTGGTGGATTCATCTCGGTGCTGCTCAAATTTGCGTGGAAATACCCCAAATCCCGAGGTACTGCGCAAATGATCAACTCACAATGACGTTTGAAGGTGTTGAGCTGGGGGTATTTCCATGGCTCATAGCGCCTTTTTTTTATACCCTAGTCGTGATTGACGCTCATTTGTTAAAATTTAAAGAGGTCGACCGATTAGCTAGCTCGGCCACCATCAACGGTCTTTAGTCAATCACTGGTGACAGTCAAGAGGTATCGATCGGCTGCCATGCGTCTCGATCATCTCACGCCAGATAGGCTTGGGAAGGTTTGCCCGTCTCCAGTAAAATCCTTGGTAGGAGGATCGGTCGATGACTCGCACATACACCCTCCTTGCGTGCAAAAGCTTGAATGAAACATTTGCATCTGTTCCTAGAGATATCAATCGAATGCGTAGAAACAAACAGAAGATACAATTTCTCCTTGTTGAAGGACAGCTGCCGAATTGTGCAAGACGGTTAAAACCGAATCACTATATTTGTTGCCTTTGTGGGGAGGTCGACCCGATATATAACATAAGTCGCCAAGCCGGTTGTTTAACAACTGCAATGGCGGATGAACTGCCGAGACTCGTACACTCGGGTTTCCTTATAGGCACGCTGGATATACGAATTTCTTCGTTGGTTTGGCTCAATTGGGATAATATGTGTATCACCTCCGGGTTTACAGACAATACAGACGATTAGCCTCGCTTCGTACTATATAGAACGGCGAGGGAATGGTCCTGAACATTTGAACTTCAGAGTCCTGACGCCGTGATTCAAGCGTCAAGATGAAGACCTCGATCGCTGTATCGGCGCTAGTTCTAGCTTGCCAGACACTGGCTCAAACGCCAACCGGCTTCACGCCAAGCGTTGCTGCCCACCTGGATGTTATCTTTGGCTCCAAGGTTGTGAACCCCCCAGGAACGCCACTGAGCAAGTCGGGTAAGGAAGTACCGGTAATCTCAACTTCGTGAGGCGGCGTTGACGATTGCTAGACACGTCTCGGCAGCCAACCATCGGCACGACTATCCAGCTGAATGGGACATACTACATTTGGATGATGATTGGTTTGTTCTGTAACAATGCCGTTGCTACTTTGTTTGACTGACAGATAATAGATCTCGACGCGTATGTTCGCCGAAGTTTTATAAGATTCGTATTTAGAGGGGGGGCAGTTGACGACGAGACTAACATATATCCATCCTAGCTCAACGAACTTTGCGAATCCAAAGGCCGGCCAGCCTGCAACCTATCTACATACCGTGCTTCGCGATTTGAAGCCATCGAGCCAGAAGACAGCCAGTGGTGTGTACGTCCTCAGTACGACCGCGACAGGGCCTGTATCATGGTTTGTAAGTCTCCCGATCGAAAATGATTGATCACTTGCTAACCCCAAACCCAACATAGGCGCCGGCGCCCCCAGCGGAGTCACCCCCACATCCTCATCGCTATACCAACTTGCTTTGGGAGCAGCCAGCTAATTGGGTCATCTCGCAAGATGCGAACAACCAATTACAAAACAAGAGAAGTGGGTTTAATGTTACGGACTTCCAGAGAGCGGCCGGACTCAAGGACCCTGTCTTTGCGAACTACTTCAACGTTACTGGCTGAGGGCATGACTGCTTTGAGGCGTAGATACAAATGTCTATTACTACATAGTATAAACAAGCCGCTTGTCACAATTGGTATCAAATGGGTTAAACTACAAACCACTAAGATTTAGACCTTACACGCTGAGGATGTCTACTTCATGCATTGCGGCACAAGCCCAAACAGAGGGATGATATTCACGAAGCCTCGTGCGTTGTTGTAATGTGTTTGCCTTTTTTTCTTTGCTTTTCTGCTTTCTATCCCCAGATTGCAAGCACAGTCGAGGAAAACCACCTGCGAACAACTCAACTTTCAAGCATGCGCTGGCAATGACCATTCTTGTCAAGCAACTGATCTGCAGGTACGGGTACACCGCTTAAGGCAAGGTACCTGCCCCACCTCCACAGCGAAGCACTCGATTTATCCATACCATTTCGAGCAATCTGGTAACGCCGATAGCTTGCAGGCAACCACCTACCTCATCCTAATCAAATCCTGCTTATCTTCACTCAATTAACATTATATCATTACAAGATTTGCGACTAGTCCAACAGGAACCAGGAACTGAGGCTCATGGTTGTTTCTCGGATCTGCACTAGATGCCGTCGGTCTCGTCTCAACCCAAAATCTCAGGTCGACAGACCATGGATAGCTGGTCGAAGCACTACATCCCTGCGGGATGCCTACGGATAAGTACAGATGTCGCTGAGTTGCCACCCGAGGGCCTTACAGTTTGGACCCGGGGTTGTTGGCATTTCTTTGACCGCGACGATGAATTCATCATCGACCATGGCCGCTACCTTCCCCGTGACATCCAGGAAGCCTTTCTGAATTCACCAACTCTAGCTCCGTTCTCCGGCTTATTCAATGCGGGATGGATTCAGCTTTCGTTCCAAAACAGCATTATCAGAGTTTACATTTATCCTCATGATGTCGACCGGCAAGCTATCACGCGCCCTGGCGATGCGAGGTTGCTCAAGACCCTTTCATCACTGCTTAAACAGCTTGATTATTCCCCTATCACGTGGAGCGGATCAACAAGTTCACTTCCATGGAACTGTCCAGCTTCAAACTTGGAAGGAACACATGCTGACGATGATGATTGCTCTCTTCTGGAACGATTCAACGACCTCCCGTCACCGGATCCACAACTCGATCTGGTGACACCGAACTCTTTCAACGCGATTGCTATGCAAGGCATACTTGATAGCAAATTGCCCGGCTTACGCACAACACTCTACGCTCATCAAAGACGTTCGGCTGCTGTTATGCTGCAGCGGGAGGTAGAGCCTGGCCGAGTTGTTGATCCTCGACTTAGGTACGCTATAGACCAGCACAAGCAACCATGGTATTTTGATGCAGAAACCGGGCTGGTTCTGAGAGAACCTCGTTTATATGACGGAGCCTCGGGCGGTATCCTCGCTGAAGAAATGGGTACAGGCAAGACATTGATATGCCTGGCCGTTATTCTAGCTACAAAGCATCTGCCTACAGAGGCACCTGATGCCTTGACGGTTGAGGTGCCGAGCAGGCCCAGAGTCGGCTCTTTGATCGATATGGCAGCAGCTACTATCAACAAATACTCATTTCCTTGGAAAGCATTTCTTGCCACAACACCGTCTGAACCGGGAGAATTCATCAAAGGTTGCGTCAGAGCTCTGCAATCGTCCAAGAATCGCGCTTACTACGAACTCAGAAATGCGCTTATTGAGACAAGAAAAGGCGGTCGAACTGAAGCTCCTAGACCCTCAGCCAAGATCTACCTCAGCAGCACCAGTATCATTATCGTTCCTAATAATCTGGTGACACAATGGCAGCAGGAGATTGCCAAGCATACTTCTGGTCTAAAAGTCCTCACTATGACCGACAACTATGTGTCAATACCTCCAACATCAGTTCTCTTAGATTATGACATCATTTTGATATCTCAATCATGTTTCGAGACCAATGAAAGATCACGTACGATCCCAAGTCGTTGGGCGGCTACAACACACTGTCCACTGGACTACATACGCTTCAAAAGGTGTATTATCGACGAAGGACACAGATTGGGATCCACAAGAGGATCTGCTTGGAAGACTGATCTGATGAGAGGACTGGAAAGATTGCAGGTTGCAGCCAGGTGGGTAGTAACCGGCACTCCGTCTCGTGGACTTTATGGAGTGGTTAGCGATGAAGACACTCGACAGAATGGCCGGAATGAGCTTCAGTCGCATGAGGCAAACGCAATTGATAACCAGGAGCGCGAAGATCTACTCCGAATTGGTAGCATCGCCTCCAAGTTCTTAAAAGTCAGGCCCTGGTCGAATACCCGGGCGGAAACTGGTGACACGCCTGCAGACTGGAGAGTCTATGTTATGCAACCAAGACATTACCGGAAAAGTAGTGGAAGAAAAGACTGCTTGAAAGCGACTCTAGAGTCTCTGATCATCCGTAATCGTCTTTCGGACGTCTCCAACCACCTGCCACCTGTGGACGAAAGAATCGTATTGTTAGATGGCTCATATCAGGACAAGCTATCACTAAATTTATTCTCGATGATGATTGTTTTCAACTCCGTTCAATCTGAACGAACTGATCAAGACTATTTCTTCCATCCACGGCAGCGTAAAGCGCTCGATCAACTCGTGAACAACCTGAAGCAAGCAAGCTTCTTCGGCGGCGTTTTTTATTCCGCTGGGGAAATTGAGACATCGCTAAAAACTGCACAAGACTTTTTGGAAGAAAAGAAAGTCCCCATAAGCTCAAAAGATTACGAGCTCATCGTAGCAGCTATGGAATTCGGCAGGCTTGCTGCAGAAAACAGACTCAAAGCGGCGAGCAACAGATTTCACGCTGTACCCCTCTACCTGGAGCATTTTCCTGGAGGTGACGGGAAACACTGGTCTCTAGATGACGTAGACACCAACGAGCAGGGGCCAGTGTGTACAGATGCAGGTTTGATACACCAACTACAGAAGTTTCTCAATCCTTGCATGGATGCACCGACTTCACTCAATCGCATCATCGAGAATGGAGAGCTTGCATTGCAAGGAGATATTGCGAGACAACAGGCTGCCGAATATGCAGTTGAAGCGGAAGGCCAACAAAGCGCCTCAGACATGCAATCCTCGTCTTTGGCTGGTAACACTACACAAGGTATAGACCACCATATCATTCAGAAAACAAACATACCATCCGAGCAGGCGATTACGGATGCGTTGGCAGACACTGCTGCTACAACTTCTGATGTCGACATTGCTGTACCATTAGCTCGAACCCGCATTATCTCGACCGTCTCTGCAAAGCTATCATACCTAGTTGATGCAATTGTTAAATATCAGGACGAGGAGCAAATCATTGTATTTTACGAGAATGATAACGTGGCGTGGTACTTAGCAGGGGTGCTGGAGATTGTGAGTCAGCATTGCTTGAATCATCTTGACGTTACTAAATTTCCCTCCAGCTTCAAATACAGCACCTAATTTACACAAGAAAGGGGCTAGATGCAACCCGTCGGGCACAATACGTCAGCACATTCACCCACAATCCTAAATTCAGGGTCTTGTTGATGGACATCAGTCAAGCCGCCTTTGGTCTTGACATGCGCAGTGCTTCCCGTATATATTTCATTAGCCCCGTGTTGAACCCTCAAGTTGAGGCACAGGCTATCGGAAGAGCCCGCCGTATCAGTCAAAAGAAGCCTGTCACAGTCGAAACACTAGTCCTGCGGGACAGCATTGAGGAGTTCATGGTAGAGCGTCGCAAAACCATGACTCAAGCTGAACATCGCAAAGTGAAGAGCATTCTCGACGATAAACTGATGCATGACTGGATCCTGAACGCGAAGATCATACCGATGCCCGAAGTCGGAGATGACAACGTCGCTCAGACGGCCAGGCTTAAGGTGCCACAATATGTCTTTGGCCGAGGCTTCGGACGAGAGTCACATCCGGATGCGGATCTTGTTATGGAAAGCCCGACCGCTAGACTGAAGGAGAGGGAAGCGGCAACAGGGCCGAGTACTAATTGCTTGCCAGTCCCGCAGAAACTCGGCGGTCTGAAGAGATCTCGCACTTCAACACCTGCACCTGGAACTGGGCCGACGGAGTATGTCGATCCAGATGCCGATCATGGACCCAAGGTAAAGAAGAGAAGTCGCGTTGCTTTCACGGATGACTCCTGATCAGCTTGAATCCTGATGTCCAAAGTCACCAATTCGAAAGTGGCACGGAAATATTGCATGTACAATATAATCACACCTCGAGCAGGATGTGTCACGACTGCTCTGATGGGGTGTACATAGTCTGATAAATACCCGATGGCGTTGATTTCTTCGATTACTAAGCTGCTAAGTTACAAGTCTATGTCTGGTCACAGATGCCCAAGCAACGGGTGGAGATATACAAAAAAAAAAAAAAAGAATTCCAATTCATACTAGGGTAGTACCAAAAACCAACCAGGGAAACGCCAAAAAAGTGAATGCTGCTCGGGCCTGATGCTTCAAGGCTCACCGTGCGCTTTTTATAATGCAGAACCTCATAATTCATGACCGGATTCTTCTTCTTCTTCCTCTCCTTCGTCTCTTACACCTCGTTGCTAGGGTATCCGACCTTGGTGGTGGGGCCAAACTCCTCCTTGATACTCCTGGCGCTGACGAACCGCGTCAGGAAGTTCATGCTGCCGGCCTTGTCGTTGGTGCCGCTGGCGCGGGCGCCGCCGAAGGGCTGCTGCCCGACGACGGCGCCGGTGCTCTTGCAGTTGATGTAGAAGTTGCCGGCGCTGTTGCGCAGGGCGTTCTCGGCCAGGACGACGGCGTTGCGGTCGGCGGCGAAGACGGCACCCGTGAGGCCGTACTCGCCGGTGGAGTCGACGAGCTTGCAGGCGTCGGCCCAGGAGGTCGTGGCGTCATCGTAGACGTAGGCGACCAGGACGGGGCCGAAGAGCTCCGTGGTGAAGAGCTTGTGGTCGGGGGTCTTGGCCTCGTAGACGGTGGGGTGGATGAAGTAGCCCTTGCTGTCGTCGTGCTTGCCGCCGACCAGGAGGGTGAGCTCGGGGTCTTTCTTGGCCGCATCAATAACGCCCGACAGCTTGTTGAAGCTAGGGCGGTGGATGACGGGGCCGATAAAGTGCTCGGCGGCCGAGGGCTCGCCGATCTTGAGGGCCTCGACCTCGGCGACCATCTTCTTCTTGAACTCGGGCCAGACGGACTTGGGCACGTACAGGCGGCTGGTGGCGCTGCACTTCTGACCCTGGTACTCAAAGGCGCCGCGGACTGTCTGGATCGCGGCGTTGTCGATATCGGCGCTGGGGTGGATCAAGTGGAAGTTCTTGCCGCCGGTCTCGCCCACAATGCGCGGGTAGCTCTTGTAGCGACCCTCGGCGGTACCTTGGCCGATGGCGCCGTAGAGCTTGCGGAAGACGCCCGTGCTACCGGTATAGTGGAGGGCGGCGAACTCCTTGTGTGCGAGGACCGTCTTGGTGACCTCCTCGGGAGGACCAGGTACGAACTGGATGACATCCTTGGGGAGGCCAGCTTCAATAAGGATCTGGTAGAGCAGCCAGTTGGAGGCAATGGCAGAGTCGGAAGGCTTCCAGACGACCACGTTACCGAGAAGGGCAGGGGCTCCAGGAAGGTTGCCAGCGATAGCTGTGAAGTTGAAGGGGGAAACGGCGTAGACGAAACCCTCCAGCGGTCTGTACTCGACCCGGTTCCAGACGCCCTGGGCGTGGTGTTGGGGTTGCTGTGCGTACATCTCCTCGGCGAAAGAGACGTTGAAGCGGAGGAAATCGCACAGCTCGGCGGCGGCGTCGATCTCAGCCTGCCACGCGTTCTTGCCTTGGCCGACCATGGTGGCGGCCATGATCTGGTAGCGGTACTTGGTGGAGATGAGATCGGCGGCCTTGAGGAAGACAGCAGCGCGGTCGGCAAAGGGCAGGGCAGCCCAGCCCTCTCTGGCGGCAAGAGCAGACTCGATGGCTTGGTTGACATGTTCGGGGGTTGCGAGAGAGTAGGTTGCGACGGCCTGAGAGTGGTTGGAAGGGTTGAACTGCTGCGAGGTCTGAGAAGTCCGGACCTGTTGTCATTTGTTAGTCTCGATCTTCCCCAAGGGTTGTCGGTATAACGGTGTTGGCTCATCTTACCTCCTTGCCGCCAACGACGAGTGGAATTTCAAGAGGAAGCTTCTGCTGGAAGTTCTCGTACGCGGCGTAGAGCGCTTGCCGTTGCTCTGAACCTTTGGTATAGTGATGCTACTCCACAGTCAGCTCCTGGTATCTGTGGGAGTTAGCAAACGAGGAAAGCTCGACATACGTTGGGCTCGTTGAGCACTTTGGGAACCTTGAAAGCGGCCAGGTTGGACATCTTGCTGGTGGTGCTGAGTGTCCTCCTGGCAGCGAACGACGTCTGTAGAGACGCAGCCCGGGTGGCGGCACCGCGAACGCTCGACGGTGCGCCCGCCTGGAAGACGCGAGAGAGCGGCATCGACACGCTTCCTCTTCGAACGGCGGCCATCTCGAAAACCTCAGGTGCAATAAATTACTTTCTGGTCCGAAGTAGTACTTGCACTGTAGCGGGTCTGCTTCAGTCGTCCTTCCCAATATCCCTCGATGGACTGGGACTATATTGGCTTTCGAGGATGTGTATAAGTCGTCTTCTTTTCGCCAATTGAATGAGAATCTGTCCGCAGCTATGCACAAGAAAATACGTGAGACTCTCCAAGATGCCGCCGCTGTTGGTTCTCTCCTCTGGCTTTTGAAGCTGTCCTCAGAATTCCACAGCGATAGCTGGGCTCGGTTTGTCTCGGCCTACAGATAGCACAGTGGGGTAGATTATATGTCATGGTACGCTATCATGGCACTGCCATAGGCCAATGGCAGGGGGAACGGCGCTGCGCATCCTGGAGCTATGGTGGGGTTTTGCACGCCTCAAGGGTCCCGGTCGTCTCCAGTCCGTTGGGACGGTTCAAGGCCGCCGGTCTCGGGGACGGCTTAGGACGACACCGAAAATACCAGAACACCAGTTCGGTTCAATATTATATTGCACCCATGAGCTTGAACTATAATGACCGCCGTGAATGCAAAGCGATAAGTCGCTCGATCGACAGATCAAAGCCAATAAAAGCCCAACCTCTCAAGATAGCAATTCATGCTGGCCTTGTCATACATCGCGCTGGCGACTAGATGCACACTGCGAGGGGGCGTGCAGCGGGGTTTGAACAGGAGACCGCTGCCCGGGCTGGCTTTCTGGAAACGTTACATAGATAAGGTTAAGTGAACACGCCCTTGCCAACCTTTCCTCATGGGCAATAATATACACAGTTACCGACGTGTCGAATGCATCTCTGCACATGTACAGTCATGCTCTCTCTTCTGTCGTTACTCTGCCATAAGAAACAAATTCGACGCCGAACGGTATGCAAGCTCCAGCCGCTGCCGGTGCCAGTATACATGGACCCCCATCTTATAGTATGTAGCACCGCTTTTAGTAATTGTACGCAGAACCGAGTAGCGGTAAGTGGACCCCGAGGTATAGCGCATCTCCATCCTGAGCCTCACATTGCCGAAGCCGCCAGGGGCGACAGACGCTAGTCAGCACCAACGAGCTCGGCTTACAATGACAGACCGCCGAGTCGGGGACACATACGGATTAGTGCTAACTTATCGCAGCTTCGTTGCTGTATCATGGAGAAAAGTAATCCTAGGATAGTATTTCCGTTGGCGATTGTAGGATGATATCGATCCGTCTTCTGCAGCTCGCTCAAGATCGTTAGGCTCGATACCCCGGGACAACCAGACTCTTCTGCTCGATATATGCCAAGTATACCGTTTGAAGGTAAGTCGAATTTAAAAAAAAAAAAAAGATAAGAATTATACATTTTCACTCTTGACTGAAACCCAGCCTTACCTGGCTACGTCTACCAAAATGATTCGTAATGCTACAACTGACCAAAACAAAGGGATTCTCTTCTTGCCATCATTAGTGGGTTCAGCAACCCGGGTATAGAACATGCCCGCAACCATCCGAAACCCCATTCGCTTATTCGACCCAAAAAACTTTTGGTACATTTTTCATCTAATGCCAGCCCTTGTTACTCTTAGTCGATTTGGTGAGATGGTATGGTTCTATTGTTCCCTCGCGAGCTCCAGTGAGAAACCACCACGCTGCCCGAAGTCACAGGGGATCCATCTCTAATGGCCTTCAGTCGATGCCGTGCCAGTGGCCGGTCTATTTTTCTTCGTGGCCTTGCTTGCCGCGGTGCCGGGTCTTGAACCGTGGCCCGGAAGATGTAAATGGTGTTTCCTTGTTCCGTACACATCTGGCTGATAGTTGAGTACAGGGATTGTCAGACCATAAGGCTCCGTGTGCCCCTCACGGTTATGCTGATCGATCTCAACACGAATGCAGCAGTCTAGAGACCCATCGTTGTTCTTGCCGTGCGTAGAAATCGAGGAGGCCTTGTGCTTCGTGCCTGCATTCAGCTCGCCCGAGTGCAGGAAGGAGTGCCCATCCTTGCCTTTGAATTGTGATGCCTCTACATCCTCGCCAACCCGTGTTCCTTCTGAGCCATTAGCAACACCCCCAGCGTTACCGTTGGTGGAGGTAAAGTGGTTGTTAGGCGAGTTTTCCGTCAGTATGGCATAGTTCCGGCTAGGCATAGTGACGTGGTTCGAGTTCAAAGTCTTGTTTGAATCACCTGGGTCTTTGTCGAACAAGGTCATCAGTGTTTCATCAGTGTCGGCGTTCAGATGGTGAATCTTGTTGCGCTTTGCTAAAAGATTTGCGATCGCAGCCGGAGGTGGTTTGTTAACAATTGCCGATGAGACTACGTTGACCATGTAACGATGATCATGCTCTGTGGGAATGTGCAATTCCGGGTTGGAGTAAAACCGCCCCAGAGCTGCAAGATGGACATCGCCACCCAAGATAGTGATTCTGATGGAGAAGTCAGAGCAAACCATCTGGAGCCGCTCGACGAACGCATTGCGCTCCTTCTTGTGTGTTCTCGCCGTGTAGTGGTCATCTAGATCGTCGAGCAAGTCAACGCTTCCATCGAACTTGTTGAAGACGCCACCACCAAAGCCAAATCGTCGGTTCAAGAACTTGATGGGTGCTATAAGCGGGCTAGCGAAAACGTTCTCAAGCCAGGTCAACCGCTGTGAATCGTTAGTATCGCGCTCACAAGATAGGACTGCATGTGAGTTCTTACAGGGTAGGCAATAGGAATACCAAGCAGTAAGATCAAGTGCCTGTAAGGGTTGCCTGACTGCTGCGCCGCACGGAGTTCATCCCCGAGCCTTTGAAAGATCAGGTCATAGGTCTCCGGGTAATTCACCTGATGGCGAGTACGCTCTGTACGAGCATCAATCCCCAAGAAAGCTATGCGCGCACCTAGCTTCGAGAACATGTTCATGGAGTGCTCCGCGACATATGGACCAGGCCTTTGTCCCACAATGTACCCCGGTTCAGATGGGAGGTTCGGCTGTGCAACAAACGTATGCTGGAGCTGAGCTTCATCTACTCCAGTCCCTGCCTCCATGGTTTCCGGCGCATCGGTTGTGTATGTAGAGGCAGGGGGTGCCAGGTGGTGCTGGAAGAGCATGTAATATTTATGGGCTGTGCCACCGATGCCACGGAAGACATCGCACATCATGAATTCATGGACATAAGATCCAAAGCCATCGATGATGTCGTGGTCGTCCCAGATGTTGAGCTGCGGTATTTGCCCATTGGCCGTAGCAAATGGTTCGGTCGAGTACCATCGGATATAGTTCTGAAGATAGTACTCGTCGCATTCATCTCTCAGCGTGCCGGGGAACGGAGTCTCTCTCCTCTTCTTAGGATTACTGATATCGCTCCATGGGCGCAGAGGACCGTTAACTCGGATGCCGTCGTTGTAGATTTGATCACCACCCCCGATCATGACGTGGAAGGGGGCTTCAGAGTGCCGGCGCAGAACGTCATTCCAGAGCGCTGGGCCACTCCAAGCATCCTCATCTGTTCCGACACTAAAACCGTTACAGGAGTGGAACATGATGCGCATTGACTCCGTCGTGGCAGGAACGAAGAAGTAGCTTGTATGGGGCTTCGTGTGGCTCTTGTAGCGCACATCAGAGATGGAGTATGCCCACTTGGTCTCCACGTCGAGCATGTCACAGGCGATTGAAAACTGCCAGAACGTGTTACGGAGATCCGAGTATAGACACTTTCCTTGGACCTCGGTGCCATGTTTGCTGGTGACAGCGCCGTTGCCATTGGTAGCCCCGCTGGCACCGGAGCCCTCTCCGATGAGACCCTGTTGTTCATGGGCCACCTCGACGCGCCCGATATCCAACACGGGTTGAAACTTCTGTGTCTTGCCTCCTCCTTTGGTGACAATAAGCACACTTCCGTGCCAGGTTTGACCTTCCATGCGACGGTAGTTTATAAGAGGACCACAGATGACTTCCTTCCCATCGTCGAGCGGCGCGGGTTGCTCAACATCTGCATCTCCATTGATCACAATCGGCTGAAAGTTGCCTGTTCCGTTCGTGGCGGGTCGTTCAGGTTCGACTCGTGTCGAGTTGAGAAAGTCGGTCAGATCTTGCGTGTTGGTGCCTGCAGCTTGAGGATCTCTAGCTTGACCGGCGGCACGAGCGAAGGCGCTCGACTCTTGATGGCGCCATCGACTCGCAGAACGCTCTGGGTTGGGTCGCTCCAGGTCGTTGTAAGACGGCTGCAAATGGTCTTGCGGTTGCGACATCTTTAATGTACGTCGTTCGCGACGTTGTTGTTTCAGAACAGAGGATCTGGAAAATGAAGACTAGTAGGACTGCGCAGTAGGCGCAACTTGTAAGGAGCCGAGCCGAGCTACCTCTGCGACGCAGTGGGAGAAAGCGATACGACCTCGAATGCGCAAAAGTTAACTCGGCAGGAGGAAAACAAAAGTAGCCCACGTTCTGTAATACGTCTGGCCGGATAAGCGGCTTGAGTCCGTAGTATATGCTAATCCGCAGAAGAAGGAATATGAAGTGAGACGATTGCCAGCAGGCAGGCCCGAGATGGACAATTAGCTGCGCGTTGGGGGGAAAAGTTGCGTCCGAGGAATGCAAGACGCAGCCACCAACACAAATATGCACGAACGAAGCAGAAAGAAAGAAGAAAAAAAGGCCGTGGCCTTCTATATTAAACTTCCGAGCTGACTTGTCTCCTACCTGAAATGATATGAACGGGTTGGCACCTAGCTTGCTATTTGGCCCACTGTTGGTATGGCGACGGTCGCGACTGCAGATGCAACTGGGCAGGGAAGACGTATGCCAAGACGACAAGGTCTACGATGGAGGGAGGATTACGACCATGCTAGAGCCGACTAAAATTCGACTTTCCGATTTCTATGGTCATGGGTATTTGTTCGAAGATGTGTACGCATCCGTACAGAAGCCTAAAGGGACGATCGCACCTTGGGGCCGGGTTATTCTCTGACCTCTGAGTATTAACGTTACAGCATGATTCAATTGACTTTAACAACACAGCAATTCTTGGGCAACGGCTCAATACCTAAAATATCATTCCTCATGCTGCAGTAAAGTTTAAGTCTTGGAGGCTGGTGGGTCATGGATGATGGCTCGCTAAGACCCTGCCCCAAGGCTCAACAAGCCTGCCAATCCAATTTGCCCATCAGCTCATCTCAATCGAAACAATACCAGGGGCCCGCAAGGAGTGCCGGCGCCCGTTTCAATGTCAGGTTTCAGAGGCCGCCCATATTATTGGCACATGTCGGTACAGATTCCAACGATCGGCTGTCTTCTTGTTACTCCCGAACGCATGTTCAGCTGATCCCAGACGCGCCGGCACCTATACACAGCCTGCACCGGGGAGCCAAGGAGGTTGCAATGCTTGACCTTCTTGGAGCTGCGACGAGCTCTGGGTTCATGCTTAAGTGGGACACAGGCGGGCGGGCGATATCCCTGCTGCTGCATGCATCAACCGTCAAATAGTACCAAGTCTGATGGTCATTACATAGGCGCCAAGTCGGCTTAGCGGCATTTCTTATCGTCGCTAACTTACAACTCCCATCGTCGATTGTCGGGAACATGATGCACTATATAGCAGATAGTAAATACTGCCCTTCTCCGACTCACGTCGACTTTGGCAGGGCTGCGCTTTAGGACGGGACAAAATAGCAAGATTTTCAAAAATGAACAACCAACGTCTAGATACAAGATATATATATATATGAGATTGTACACCCGTACTCGTTTCTACATGACGCCTTTCCACCAATGCTCCACCAATACCAATCATGCTGTATATGTAGTCTAAAGTGGGGGATTGTGAAGATTTATATGGTACAGATATTCAGTAGGTCATGTTAGACAGCATGGCGCCTGTTACTCGGTAGATTTCTCACCCTTCGGCCTCTGCTCCACGACCTTGCCCAGAACATCGATGCTTCTGGACTCTGCCTTTGCCCTCTCGGCTCTTTCCCTTGCCCGTTCGCTCAGATTCCTTTGTACAATTTCAACGCCGGCTAGACCGGCAAAGATACCACCGACATGCGACGCCACATCCAAGCTCATCGCCGCTGCAGCACTGGAGAACAGGCCGGCGTATGCATGCAGTCCGATCAGAAGACCAAGGAACACAGCACCGGTAGGGCCCGACCACGGGTCAGGTGGGTATCCAAAAATCTTGAACTCTTCCTTCCGATGCATCCAGAAGAAGGCTGTAATGATTCCGTAAATGGCACCTGAGGCACCTAGCGTCGTGAATTCGAGACCCCGCCAAAGAACGAGGTTGAACATGCTCGCTAAGAATCCGACAGTACCGGAGGCGAAGTAAAGAGCCAGGAAATTGCCCCGACCAATCTCGTCGTGGAGACGAATACCAAAGAACCACAGAGCAACCATGTTGCCGGCCATGTGTCCCCACGACTGGTGCGAGAAAAGAGCACCGATCAGCTGCAGAGGACGTGGTGTGGCAGGAACCACCAGGAAGTATCTGTTGAGCCATGCCCAGGCAGGCGGGAACCTCCATAAGGCAAATACTCCAATGTTGACGAGGATAAGTCCAATACATGTGGCGGCGGCCGGTGGGATGTCCGGCCAGACTCTCCCGTCGCGTCTTGGGGGCGTGTAGTAGGCAGCCAGGACAAAACAGGCGGCGATCAGTAGGACAGTAAAAGTAGTAGCAGGAAGTAACCGCTCCCAGGCCTTCATCTCGGGTGGTGCTGTGAGGTCAGATGTAGCTCGCTCTTCATGCTTTGCCCTCCAAGCGCTCACAGCCCTCGGCCTCGCCTGTTCCGTCTGCAAGGTGCCAATGTTTCCAAGTGCTTCTTCCTCTTCACGTTTGAGGCGTTCCTCCTCCGCAATCCTGTCCTTTTCGGCCTGTATCGCTAAATTGCGCTTGCGGATCCGATCAAAGGTGCTCTCTCCATACGGCGAGCTAGCTGTCCGGTTTGGCAAGCGACCTGATGGTAGGCTTGCTTGATCTTCCACGACTGGTTCTCCTGAAGCAGGAGCCGGATGTGTCTTCTGGGGGCTTGTCTCTTCATGCTGCTCCTCCATCACCTCACCCTCCTTCTCATGCTCCTCGAGCAACCGGAGCTCGTCCTCGGCGCGCAGGCCAGCGTTGATGACCTCATCGACGGGAACATGTTTGCGCAAGTATTCCAGAGCCTTGATCTTGTCTTCTCCGCGGAAGGAAGCCGAATTCTGCTGCAAATCCGGGTCGTCCAGCGTGCCTGCCACTCTTCGTCCGTGTATTATCCTAAGCAACGCATTCGCGTCGGTCGGGCTTGTGTATGAACCGAATACTTGTTTGACTTCGGTGCGGTTGAGTTCTTCTTTCCTGAATGGTAGACCGTTTGCATCTTCATAGTCTTGAGGTAGCTGGCTGTAGTGGACGATGGCGCGGAACTTGAATATGGTTCGGACGGTGATCCTTGGTAGAAGTTGCTCGTATCGTGAGCGGTCGTGCCTGAGAAGCCGGAAGGGGTCAAGAGACACGCGACTGCCGTGTGGGCGGCATTGTTCTGAAGCACCTCGGGATGCGTTTGAGAGCTGGCGAACGGCCGCGGCGCCAAATCTCCGTTCGGATTGCCTGCAGATGGCCCGGATTCCAATCTGGAAGCTTGACGGCGGCGTCAGCAATGACAGGGCGTTCATGATCGTATTTCAGACCCGGTTATGGATCTATCATGACCCATGAGAGGCGCGCCACTCTGAAGTCGACTGAGCAGTCTATGGTTGGCCTGTAACCCGATTTAAAGTACGGATCTGTAGAGAGAGGAAAGCTATGGTTTGGTTCGTGATCCAGAAATTTTGGTTTCGCTCTCCGGCAGTTACCGGCGCGCATGGGTGCTGTCTGGTGTGGGGATCCACTCATACAGATATGTCCATTTGTGTACTGCATGTTGCCGCGTGAGGAGGTTCTTTACTAACTAACACTAATCACACGCTGCGTTGAAAGCACTGCAGGTATCACTTTTCAATTTGGACTTGCCTAACCTGCCTCTCTCAGGGTAGTCAAACTGATAGTTTCTATTCACGAATTTTAGTACTAATACCACTACCAGTACTAAGATCACCGCAAGCAGAAACCCAACACCAGCTACATATGTGTATCCCTTCTGTCCATACTTACGCGTCAGATCGATCAAAGTTCCTTATCAGATCGTAGTAGAACTTCAGTGCTTCGATATGAGCATGCATGTCGATACCTTCATCAACAGTGTGTGCGTTCTGCGTGCCCCCCTTGCGTGTTGGTGACCATCGGTAGACGTTCTTGGTCAAATCTGCAACGATCAGTACCCGTCATATCGGACGCAGCCAGGAAAACGAATCACTTACTAAGGTAGTACCGGGTATCGGTGTTTCCAGTCATCAACTCACCGACAGGAACCACCCTGCCTCCCGGGAAAGCAAACGAATGCTGGATCGTGCCCGAAAACACGTCCCAAACTGCACCTGACGTCGGTGAGATGGGTGCATTCGCTGTGCCCTGGCTGGAAGTGATTGTCAATGTGCCATTGTAGTCGACCTCATACGCCGGCCTGAGCTCCTGGAAAGCTTCCTCGCCCTTGTATGCATTCACATGCAAGCTATACTTCTCAGCAATGGGCTTGATCAGATCCACAATCTTCTTCTTAACCTCGTCGGCAGTGTTGTGTGGCGCAACCCGGTGGTTGACTCCAACCCGGATCTTCTCTGGCATGGCGTTGATCTTGACACCTCCATTGAAGAAGTCAATGGCCTGGGAAGTCTGGATCCGATATTGCGTGGGACGGTCAACAGAGGCCAGCTCCTGAGCCAAAGCATCAAGATCTCCTTCTTTGATCAGCTTGGTAACCTTTGGTGCTGCGTCAGGTGAGTATTTGGCTTGGCAAGCGAAGTGGTTGTAAATAGGAGAGCCTTGGATGAGTTTGGGCTCGTATGGGTTGGCCTCAATTTTGACGGCTATTTCTGACATAATCCCAATGCCAGTATGGGGGAATGGCGTCGACGAGTGCCCACCATTGACCTTGAGATCGAGCCAGATATCAACATGCCCTTTCTCGGTTACTGCGGGAAGAGCATCTGCAAATCTGTTAGTCTCAGCCATCAACCTCAGCTCAAGCATCGTCACTCACAGAGCACCTTGTCCTCGAGCAATTCGAGTCCCATCCCACCCTCGTCAAGAACAATGGCCAATGACCACTGTCCGTATCGTTCTTCCAAGAACGGTCCAATGGTACCCGCGCCACGGTTACCAGATTCTTCGTCAAAACCAAGCGCTACGATGATCGTCCTTCTCGGCACCCACGACGGGTTTGATAAAAGTGTCTCCAGTGCCGAGAAAATCGCGGACAAACTATTTTTGTCGTCAGATGCACCCCGTCCCCAAAGCCACCGACCATCAAAGTGGGCTGAAAACGGCGGATATTTCCAAGTCGACGGATCGGCTATGGGTACGACGTCCTGGTGGGCTGTCAACATGATAGGTTTGAGCGACGAGTCTTGCCCTTTGACTGTAAAGACTAGGCCAAAAGTGTTGACTGTTTCACGGGTTGCTCGCGCATGGCTGACAGTGTTAGTTGCTATCATGACAAGAATTAAGACAGGATCCAAGCTCACTCACACGAAAGGATATAGCTTAGCTAGCGTCGCGTGGAGCTCATAGAAGACTTCCCATCTCGGGTCCTCGCCTGGTTCCCCATTGTCATCATACGATATAGAGGGAACTTTGACAAGGGTGCCGTGTCTCTCAACCTGCTTCAACAAGGCCTTCTCAGTATCGAATAAGTCTCGCGCAGCTGGGAGACCATCTTTCGAGGGATCCAAGACTGGGGGAAGCTCGCATTGGAAATCAGCATTTTCTATTTCTCCTAAGACGTGTTGCCCGCCGGCTTCGAAGCGAAGGCGGCCAGCGGATGTCGATAGGGCCGCCGACACACCGGCAGCGAGTGTAACCCTTGACCAGAGCATCGTGTTGAGCACTTATACCGATCTCAAGGGTACGACTCGACAGGGTAGCCAAATGAAGTACGACGAATAGAAGTCTGGCTTCAGAATAAGAGGCAGGAAGAGCAAAGTACACCCCCCCGGCGAGAGGCTTCAACGGTCATTTATTTACTACTTTCAAGTCATTGCATGCAACCTACCCCAAGAATTGCGTCAAACAGTGGCATCCATTGTAACTATCCACGATAGGCAATAACCTGCTTCCATGTCCAGGGTCACCTGCAGGTAAGCGGGTACGTTGATCGGAATGCCTCCGATACTGTTGACAAGTCGAGCACAATTATACGAACATAGAGTCAATCAGTATAACGGCTGCCTCCATGGCCCTTACAGCGGAGAATTTCCCATGTAGATGCAGGAAATCCACTAAGCTCATGTAGTTGCAAGTCTTCATGTAGTCTATAGAGAACTTAAAAACAAATGGGTTAGCCCGATAGTATACGAAACGGAGGCCAAAACTTTCGATGCAACCTTTTGAACTTCTGGTCCCGAGCTCGGTGCCCCGCACGACCTTTTAGTCCAGACTACAGTATTGTTTAGAAGCCACAGTACCTACGTACCCTTGTCGATTCACCCCACTACCGCCTGCAAGCCAGCACTAATTGCTTTCGGCGGCAGGCAGCTTCTGCATGACGAACATGCCGAGAAGCTCCTAGGTTAGAATGTGAGACGCAAACGCTTGATCTCGAAGCAAACATCAGCTTGGCCAGGCGGAATACTCAAAGCTGCTCTTCAATATTTCTCGACTCCGGTTCTGGTACAACAAAACCCTATCCCGGAAGAGGTACATGAGTACAGACATAACATTTCACCATGTCCTCAGAAGCCACCCCCATTGATCCTACGCGCTTTGCCGAGGCGCTGAAAGACCTGCCTGCGAGCAGCCTTGCGCTCAAAGTCCTGGAGCTGCGCAACTCGATCGCACACCTCGATTATTCCAATGCAGAGCTCAAGCCTTTCGCCGAAGGTACTGTTGCCACCCTCGACTCGAGCGCCGCCAGCCAGCCAGATCAAGACTGCGTCGACGCCATCAAGGAGAACGAGGCCGTCATTGAGCGTATGCAGCAGCGCATAGAGCTCATCAAGTCAGAGGTCGAGGACCGGGGCCTGAGCTGGGATGAGTTCAAGGGCAAGACCGAAGAGGATAAGAAGGAAGATCCCCAGCACAGCCAAGTGAATGGAGAGACACAGACAACGACCAACGGAACGAATGGCGTGAATGGACATGCTCCCACATCAGAGAATGGACAGCATCCTGCATGGGCAGATGGAACATTCACAACGGGCACGATAGGTGGTCTCGGAGATGAGGAGTTGATGCGCCGCTTGCAGGAGCGTATGCCAGAACTACAAGATGATGATGAGGAAGAAGGAATGCATCTTTAAGGTCTGGCGAATGGGCCCGCCGAAGTTTCGATCATCTGCGCAAGCAAGAGCCCACAAATCCGAGTGGCATGTTAGGCGTTTGGGAGGGAAAACAAAATACCCAGTCTGCTTAATCACACAATATCAAGACATCTTTGACTTTGAACACGGCCTATTGACCAAGTACTGGTAAACAGTCTGTCCCACGGACTCAAACCAAAGCCCGACGAAGTCAAACAGGAGACGAAGATTTACAAACTACTGTCATGTTGGAGCAATCGCAGTTCCACAACTTGCTTGATCCCCTGGTGTATCATATATTTCTTGGCATCACGATCTTCCCACCTCACCTACCACGGTCTTGTAGGAGAGCTAGCCCCCATTCTCCGCTCTAATGTGAACCGTGAATGTCGGTGTGTCTGGGGTAGGACAAGGTTTCCCCGCATATCACTTCTGACCAAGGTCCAATCAAATGTGTACTATATCAACATTCCTTTGCGGGTGGCGGGCATAATTAACATGGACTAACGGACGATGGCAGTCCATCTTCAAGGGCGCTGATTGCTAGCTAGCTAGTGGCTCATAGTCGAACACCATCCGGTTCTAAGCAACCGACTAGCTATACGGACGAGTATAATCCGTAATCAGGTAGCTTCCACTAACATCTCGGCATCATATCTCGCACAGCCCATATCTTTTAATTATTTTCACATTATAACGAACTGTTTGTCTCAGTGTATCGTATGAACTTGAGTTTCGCCAGGGGTCCCAAGTATCAAGCTATTTCCATCTTCGCCTCAAACATTTGACTTTGGCAGGGAAATCGATTGTTCATTCGCGTACACAAAGATGGAAGAAGGAAAACACGATGTGGAAGCAGTCGAGAATGCCGAACAAAACCCAAAGAACCGCGAAGAAGGCGAACCGGCGCCGACGGCAGAAGAAGAGGCTCGAGTGATTCGAAAGCTGGATGGGAGGTTGATGCCCATGATCTTCATCATCTACATGTTGTCTGTTCTCGACCGCAGCAATCTAGGAAATGCGTACATTGCTGGACTAAAAGATAGTATCGACCTCTCGGGCACACGTTACGCAATGCTCGGTACTGTCTTCTACATCTCGTGTAGGAATATCTATTAACAACCAGTATTAGAGCGAATATGTCGCTGACAAACTCGTGCAGATATTGTATTTCAAGGTGCAGCAGTTGGTTGGAAGCACTTTCCAGCTCACATCTGGGTTGCCTGTGTCGTTTTCTCATGGGGCGCAATATCAAGCCTCCAGGCTGCGGCGCAGAGCTACGGCGGTCTCATTGCTCTTCGGGTGTTGCTGGGGGCAGGAGAGGCGTGCTATGCCGGTGTACCGGTTTACCTCTCCTTTTTCTACCCTCGCGACAGGGTGGGCTTTCGGCAGGGCATATTTCTCAGTGGCTCTGTAGGTCATCCTTTGAGCTGTTAATACCGTTTGATGAAACACATCGCACTAATGTCGTGCATTCTCCAGGCTCTTGCCAACGCCTATGGAGGCGCTCTTGGCTATGCGATTTTGCTCATTAGAAGTCATATCGAGTCGTGGCGGATCCTGTTCCTGATCGAAGGTCTGCCTACGCTTATAATGGCTGTCGTGGCGTTCTTCTTCTTCCCAGATGATATCCGCAGCGCGACCTTTCTCAACGAGCGGGAGAAGTTCGTTTGTATGCACATGGTCAAGCGCGACCAAGTAGCTGATACAGAGAATCATACCGGGCTGCGTATCAAGGACTTTCTCGCCGCATTCAAGGATTGGAGAAGTAAGTCTTCATACTATGAGTTACAAGAGGCTCAAACGGTTTGAAAAATCTAACACGATAACAAGGCTACCTGCCTGGCCTCATGTACTTCGGCTGCAACGTCTCCTTCGCCTCGTTGCCTCTCTTTGTGCCGACCATCATCGCCGAAATAGGGACCTTTTCACGCCTGCAGGCCAATGGGCTCTCCGCGCCACCTTACCTTCTGACATTCAGTATAATCATCATCATCGCCTTCACATCGGACCGCGTGCGTATGCGCGGCCCCTTCGTCGTCGCCTTCGGCATCATCAGCGCCATCGGCTTCCTGCTACTCGCTACGACCGAGGCGGCCGCCCCGCGGTATCTCGGTGTCTATTTCGCCATCACCATCTTCGTTTGCGTCGCGGTCCTGATCCCCTGGTGCTCCAACACGCACGCGACGGAGTCGAAGAGGGCTGGTGGCTGGGCAATTTTCGCCATCATGGGCCAGTGTGGGCCCGTGCTGGGCACGAATCTGTTCCCGGCGAGCGAGGGGCCCTATTACCGCAAGGGTAGTTGGATCTCATTTGCTTTTTGTCTGTTAGTTGCAGTCTGCGCCGCGGTGTTTAGTGGGCTGCTCTGGCGAGAGAATAAGAAACTGGACCGAATCTTTGACGGTGAGAATGAGGCGACAGTAAGGGATGAAAGAAGAGTCCCCAGAGGTTTTAGATATATCATATAGCCACTATCCTCTACCTATGTAATAACCCATCTGACTCCGTAGCTTGCGACTAAATTTACTGCTCGGAGTTCCAGATTACTGATGTGTTGACCTACAATGGGTTCATACATACTAGGACTGGCTAATACTCGAGTTTGAACCAGATAGTGGTTGAACTTGGTGTCTGCGACTCGCCAAATTCTGAGGCATAAATAAATATAACGACCTAGTCGTTGAAGCTTCTGTAGCTGCAATAGAGCCTCCTGAGCCAGCTGTGTAGTGTTAATTGTATCAACAAAATCATTTGGCCTTCCATCCGAGACACCCCTGATTATACGCAGATACTACGAACGCACCAAGTTCTACATAATGACTAGTAAGTATTCATAGCTAGCCATATAGTCGTGGCTGATCATCCTGCTGACTCTGCCGTCTCCATGCACGTAAGGGTGAAAATGTGGGAAGTACACCTGGGCTTGGCAGGCGAGAACTAGTGTATGTAATATCTTACGTCTGCACGCATTCTCCCTCCACTGGAAGAATCGTTTGATACAATGCAGTATTAAGAGTTGCTAATTACTTCTTCATGACCATCCTGGTGTCTCAGGGACTATTATGAGCAGTCACAAAGAGACAATCGCCTTGGATAGGCAATGTCGGCCCCGTAGACATGCTAGAAAGAGTAAAAGATGATTATTAAAATTTCTTACAGGATTTTTATGCGATATAACGTGCTGCAAACGATTTGTATACTGGTCGATCCCATCTAATAAGTCCTTGTTGCTATATTGAGCATCAATATACCACATTCACACGCCATCACTTAGCTAATGTCGGTCCTTCCATATGATTCCTAAACGAGCCAGTTAGTCATATTCTAGTAACCTCTTCTAGAGGTTCTGACAGGGTTGATAATCTTCTGTTCAAAGTTACCTTCGAGCCTAGCGTTCCGGTTCCTCCGATGAACACATCTTCGTTTGGGTTCAGGCGGACTATTTTCGGGTTGAAGCTATACCTCCACGTAAAATATCCGTCAAAACCTGATTCCTTGTGAAATTCAGCGCATTGGGTATGTCTTTTTTATTACTTTTTATGTACGGGCATTCAAGTGTCTCCCGAGCAAGGCGTAAGCCATCTTGTACCTGTACAACCTTTGTAAAGTGTTTCTAGGCAGTAACTGGCACAACCAAGCCGCGGTTATAGAGGGAGCCGCTTGTCGAAAATGCTTTGGCCGGATAGATAAATATTTTACCTCTGATGAATGCAGAAACTCCTGTGTACACCACGTTGTCTTAAAGTTATAGATAATTCGATAGGAGATTTGTTGAGTTTTATGTATAGCGTTTAAATCAAGTTGTATTGTCTCGTTCTTGTACGCCAGCATGCCTCCGTTGAATATTCGCGCATCTTATAGGTTACCGTGGTCACTGGCAATACACAATGTTTGAGTTTACTTGAAACGCAGGAAGAGATCATTCATGAACACTCCGCAACAGAAATAAAGGGAGCCAACGTGTGTGTAATAGGAGGGATGGTGTGAAGAGAGCCTCGACTTCCCAGAAGCCCAACTTTAGCTCCTTAGAACGTTGTTACACGCATCGTTGCATTAGCGATATCCCCAAGCCAGCGAAGGGTTGAACCTTCCCGCTGCCTTTCATTCGACTCCCGTTTTATCTCAATACCTGGAGTAAACCCCCCCCCCCCCCGGTCGAGAAACGAACGTATGTTCCTGCGGGGGCTGTAAATTGGGTCTTCTTAACCAACTGTATCTTTGGCTACTACACACTCTGCCTTACTTAAACCAATATAGCATTGGCTTTGACCTCGACCTGTACTTAGGACATTTTATTCATGCGCAGCACAACAGCCATTCGACATAAAGCCTTCGATCATGTCGCCACTTCGCATAGCGTCTCGCTACATTAATGATTTACTAAACTTGCAGAGCTGGAAGAATTCAGCATTAATTGCAATAGACACTGAAGTAGAGCCAGACGGTTTATCCAATATTGGTCTTGCAATTGCCACATTTGAAGGTTATGAAAACGATATGATCGACTCCCTGTCGTGGAAGAAATTTTTTGGGTTGTGAGCTGGAGAGACCTGACAGAGCTCAGAAGTTCTTCTCTGCCCGTGAACCGGCGGCGCTGGGCTGGCACGGGGCTCATTGGCATAGACACTACCCTAAGAATGGGCCCGCGAAAGGTCTCGAGTGTGGTTCTTGGTACTTAGTATGGATGCTTGCCGAGAGCGGAGGCATTGTATGGGATTCTTCTGGCAAAATCTCAAGCGACCTCTGGAATGCGGATGAGGACTTTTAGTGCAGGATGTGTCCCACTTGCCACGCAGAGCATTGAGCAGAGTGGAGGAGTTGGCGACTCAACGGCAAGAGAAGGCAAAGGATCGTGTTTCTACGGACGAGCTGAGTCTGAACCTTGCGGAAACATGCTATCTTCTCAGCCATGACTGTTTGTTTTGAATACACGCAGAGTTTCGGATTCGTATGTGACAGAAAATATCGCAATGATACATTGGAAAAGGTCAAAGATCCCTGACTTTTCGACACTCGTCTCAGACAGACAGTTGAGATTTGTCACCTCTTCTCGCTCTTCCTCTCTTTCTCTTTCTCCACATTACAACACGTCGGCTACTGTTTCACTGTTCTCTCGACGTCTGCCGCGAGAGATTCACGTGAGAGGACCGTTACGAAAGCTGCTTGCAGTGCCTCAAAGGTGCATGCACTAATGCAATGCATACGGACTAATTGAATTGCATGGAACAAACCGTATTTTCTCCTATCTGGCAGGCCCTCAACCAAAGTTCAAGTTTGGCCTTGTCGCACTATCCTGCATGTCCTGTAGCACACTTAAACAGATCATATCAAGATTCTGTGTGTTGAGCGCAGCCAACGAAGAAAACAGGTGCATCATGCAGATGCACGAACAGCCAGAAATCTGCACATAGAGAGGCAACGGATGATATTCTGCATAATTTGTGCTTCGGAAACGGTTAGCGACTGTTGATTGAAGTAGTCGACAAACTCGGTTTATCAATCCGTATTTGTGGTGGACTTTTCATGTGGACAGAGGGTTAGTACTGCTGTAGGAGCGCGACACATTATTTGAATTCAAAGATCCTCAAGTCGGCCAGGTCTATCGCAGATGTCGTCTACCGCTGAGTTCCTTCCGGCCAAATCAACAAGCCCTGGAGATAGTGAGAGCTCTAATCCCAACTTTCCATCCTTTCAACTGCAGCTTGGTCCTGATTTCAAGTATGATAGCGGGAGCAAGAGGTCGGATCCGTCTGGCCCCATCACCCGCGGATGCAAGATGGGATCCTTCGACACTGCCAACAGAAGAGGCAGACGAGGAGCCGCGCTGGACCGAGCTTCAGCTTGCATCCCGTGACGGAGACATTCAACGTATAAACGAATTGCTATCGCGGCACAAGGACAATCGCATGAAACTCGAGATTGTGAATGAGCCCGCTATCGGATACTACGGACAAACTGCACTTCAGGCGGCCTGCATGAAAGGGCATGAAACTGTTGCCCGAGCCTTGTTAGAAGCAGGCGCGAATGTGAATGCCCCTGGTGGCAACAATATCTATCGAACTGCTTTCGAGCTGGCCTGCGGCACGGGTAGGGTCTTGCAACCAGAAACTCGCTTCAACCTGGACAACTAACATGATTCTGCAGGACAAATCGGTCTCATCCGCCTCTTACTCGACGCAGGCGCAGTCTTCGACCCAAAGAAGGTCACAAGATACCAAGGCCGTACGCCGATTCAGGCTGCAGCTGAAGGAGGGCACGAGGCTGCTGTGTTACTTCTTCTGGAAAGGGGCGCCAACATCAATGCTGCAGCATCGCCTAGCTCCGGGGTCACCGCCCTACAAACGGCATGCTTCGAGGGGCACGTTAGCTTGGTCAAGCTCCTCATCGCAAGAGGTGCTGATGTGAACGGCTTGCCAGGCAAGTTTAGTGGCTACACCGCTCTCCAGGGGGCCTGTCTGGCTGGAGAGGTGGACATAGTTAGGATTCTCCTTGGTGAGGGTGTCGATGTGAATGCACCGGGGAGTCTCTATTCTGGAGGAACGGCCCTCCACGCAGCGGCTTCCAGAGGTAACATGGAGATTGTCAAGATCTTATTATCTGCTGGTGCTGATCCCAACAGCGCAGCCGGTCGTCGAGGACAAACACCCATGCAGAGTGCATACTTGATCGGGGAGATGGATATCGTGCATCTACTGCTGGAAGCCGGAGCTACTGGACCGCTGACTGGCGGAAAGATCTTGTTTGGCAACGGCAGAACAAGGAGTTGGACAGAAAGTGAGGTCAAAATCATTAGGTAGATCAGAGTAGTCCATGAAATTATCTACCAGTATTTAGTAGCTATGGCAGCCAAACTTCCCAACACAAACGAGGCATAAACGGTATGTCCTTCTTACCCTCAGATGTGCCGCACCCAGATTCCGATGTCCATCCAAATGGGTTCTAATAACGAGCAAAATGCGCCAAACCAGTCCACGAGTGGAAGGAACCATTCTATGATAAGATCGATACTGGATCTAAACGTTCTGATGCAGGACTGGTCATAGAAGACCTGACGATGGGATGAAGCAAGCAAAAAGTGTGTCGGGTCAGCGTGAGACTGATTATAGAATGCGTTGTCGTCGTTCTAATTGTTGGTCTTCCGGCAAGCCTTGTGATGCAGATCATGGTTGGACACTTGGTGATCTGCTTTGAAAGCAGGCTCGTGCAATGTTTTGCCTCCTTCTCTACTGCACGGCTTAACGTAAAGAGCTTGATTTATTCTTCAATAGAGCGGCGAAGCTACAATACAGTGGGGTTAGACGAGTTGAAATCTGACTTTATCGTTCACGATATTGCGCTTCAGATGAACCAGGACGGGGAGAATAGGACCTAATAGTTATGGAAGAGGCGCTTATCATCTCTCTGTCCATCACTAACAACACTGTCTTGCAAAGTATTCATGGCCCCAGTTGCCAGCTATATTGACAGGACATGGGGGGTCACTAAACTGGAGTAATTCAGCGCGAACAGAAACGAACCTTCGAATCGCGTGAGCTAGTCAAGATTATATTGAAACGGACATGAAAAGGGAGGAAATCTTCAATAATACGGACCAAACGGCAAAATATAAACAAGTATTTATCGAGATTCGTTGGTTTTGCAGTCGAGCAGGCCAACGTGTGTACCTTCGCTTGCCACGGCTGCCACGGCCTTGAGTCAAGGGATAAAATCGCTCCTAGACTAGGTTAGTTAGAAACATCTGCAGGGTTCTGGTTAGGGCGGCAGGCGCGTTGGGTGGGGCGCTTTAAGTGAATCAGAAAACGGAAGCCTCGACCGGTGACGCATGAACTATAGAACATTCCCGGAGTCTGGGCAAGCTTCAGTATTACTTAGTCGCCTCAGTGTACAATACCCTTTGTGCAACCACATCACCCTCACAACCACCTATCTCTCAATGCGGACTTCACTTCTCCCTCATGGGCGCCAGCTGAGCCGCGTTTGCGACGCGTGCAAACGCCAACAGCGCAGTTTCTCTGTCTCAGCGTCGTCACCATCTCGCACAGCAACGCCCACACGCGATGCGCCACCCAGACGTGCGAACGCCTTGAGAAGCTTCATGACACCCCAGACGGCGGCGCGCACGATAACGACGACAAGAGCCCCGCGCTCAGCGGAGACGGCAGACGCGCCGGCCTCGCGCTCCCCGACCTCTCCCGCGCCCTCGACCGCGGTACCGCAGACGCATTACGAGTTCTTCCCGCAGTCGCTGCCCCAAGGGCCTCCTCCCTCGGGGCCCTTCGGCGTCGACGTGCGCGCGCTGCGGCGCGAGTTCCTGCAGCTGCAGGGCCGGGCCCACCCGGACCTGCACCCGCCGCAGATGAAGTCGCGGGCGGAAGCCACGTCGGCGCGGATCAACGAGGCTTTCCGGACCCTGTCCTCGCCGCTGCTGCGCGCCCAGTACCTGCTCTCCCTGCGCGGGCTCGACGTCGCCAACGACGAGACGGCCAAGGTGGAAGACCCCGAGCTGCTGATGGAGGTGCTGGAGGCTCGCGAGGAGATCGAGGAGGCCGCCGAGGAGAGCGAGCTCGAGCCGCTGAGGGCGAGGAATGCCGAGAGAGAAGAGGAGAGCATAGCCGAGTTGGAGAAGTGCTTCACTGAGAACGACCTTGAGGGCGCAATGAGGGAGTGTGTGAGGCTCAGGTATTGGGTAAACATCAGAGAGAGCATAAATAATTGGGAGCCTGGGAAGCCCGTCGTGCTTGAGCATTGATAGACATAGAGGCTGTAATTTTCATGTATAACCATCGGCGTTTTTATCTTGTCCACGTCGTGCCTATTTTGACACTGAAGTTCTAAAGTCGGCAGTTCGCGATGGACATTACGCACTAAGACAAATGTGTTGGTTTATCATCTGTTGAGCTTCTGCTCATCACCGCGGGGCGAGACGCCTTGAAGGATATCATTCCGTTTATACATTAAAATAACGCTATGTACTAGAGGGTAACTCGACGGCCCGTGTATGTTGGGGGGTATCCAGGAACGAACGCCGATGTATTTGTGTTTTTGAACCATGACCCAGAATCCAAACGCCAGACTGTGAAAAGTACATGTAAAAGTAAAAGATATTATGACAAGATGCAGGCCGAAGAATGTGTTGCAATGAAAAAGAGAATCCCAGATAGACGCCATTTAAGAATGAATCATGACGAGGTCGTAGCACATACGCTTCTTTTAGGACAAGCGGATCTCAGTCCACCTGGCGCGCTCAGGATGCCACCACTTCTCCTTCTCCTTTCGGTCGTAATTGGTGTAGCCGTAATTGTTCCAGCGACCAGTACAGCCCTCTCTGTCACGTAGGTCTTCACGGGTGTCGCTGACGATATCGGCAAACTGGACAAGTCCGCCGTTCTCGTCAGAGGCACCAGCATCTGGCGTGAGGCGGTATTCAATTCGAGATCCGAGCGTGCCCATAAAGCCGGCCATGCCCCAATTTTCCAGGATGGTCCCGTCTTCATCAACGACATTTACTGTGAAGCGTGGGTTTCTGCGGGCGTCTTCCAGCCGTCTCTGCGCGGCAAGACGGGCTTGATGCAGGTCGCCAGACTGCTTGGGCTCAAAGAAGCCGAATGGAGGGACGTTGGGTGACTTGAGCGGCGATTTACCCGGAGTCGTTGGGGTTTTAGGTGTGCCGGGGGTCGCATCGATAGTGGCGACCAAGCCGCGTCCGAGATACTTGTCACTCGGTTTTTCAATCTTCTCTACCGGCTTGCAGAGACTCTGAAAGATGCCCTCTGGATCATTTGGCGTCCTCAAAACGCGAAGTGAGGGCAGGCCGTTCGCGGCAATGCTCTTTGCAAGGACTGAATCTGCAAGGTTTGCACAAGCTGCGAGCTCAGTGATATCCCAGTGGATTTTTCGCAGGGACTTGGACACCAGATAAGGGTAGAGCCAGATCAGTTCACCTTCTGGGAGAGTAGGAATCCTAGACTGGAGAAGTGTAAAGGATTCCAGAGCTGAAAGATTCATGAATATCCGTGCTAAAGCAGGAAGGGATTCCACGTTCATGTGCTGTAGTCTAAGCGACTTCAGGGATTGACTGGTCTCGCGCGTTGTGAAGTTTGACAATCCAGTGCTCGTGATACCTTGCATGTTACATAGTGATAGGGTCTTTAGTGAGGGTAATGCAAGTAGATCAGTATCATCGAATGAGGTCTCGGATAAGTGTGATAGGTGCAGGGTCTGCAGGGACGACATGGTTGATATAGCTGTTGCCACTAGTGATACGGGAGTCAGAGCTGCTCCCGGAAGACAGTGTATAGATAGAGTGGTGAGTTGTGGCCAATGCATATTGAGTTCGAGGAACGCTGTGCTTTGCTGAGGAAACAGATCTTCTGGCTCCGTGTCCTTCATTGGTCGTGAATGTTGTCGCTGTGAGGACGATGGTTCAACCACCCAAGTCATTTCCTTGAGTTTTGTTCGTGTTGACAAGGCATGAAACAAGCGGTTGAAGTTGTGGTCGTAAGACTGATGCGGTCCTAGGAATTGCTCAAAGTTCGGGCATGCCATAATAACCGAGGCCACCAGGTTCATGTACTGGTCTATAGCCATTCCTGGAGGCTGGGCAGGAACCTTCAAAGTGCGCACGATAGCAGCAGCTTGAGGGTTTGCCCTCAGCGTGCGCCGAAGCAACACCATCCGTGACCCATGGTTGATTTTGTATTTCTTCTTTCCGATCGGCGAGTCGCAACCGACCAGCTGGATGTTTGCGTACCTGCATTGGTTAGCACTAGTTTCGGGCCAGATGCATTGTGCATGCACATGCATGAACCAGGGAGTCGTCTTACAGGGCATCGCGAGCGACCTTGAGCAATCGCCGACTGCTTGAAGCAACTGAGCAAAGATCTCGCATCATGCATGTCGCACAGCTGAAACTGCCTTCGGCCATATGTAATTTCCTTAGGTTACTCATAATCAGGTCCAGGACCTCATCTGGCATGGCGGCAAATTGTTCGCCAGGCTGCACTGCTTTCTTTCGGTACTGCTTGATAGGAGCCGGTCGCTGCCACCCGTATTCCGGTCTTCTAGGATGTGCCTCCCATGAACCAAAACTCGTCCGGCTACTGGCAGGGCTGCGCATCGCGGCTTCGTTGACGCTGTCTCTGCTGACAACGGAACTGGCATTAGAGCTGCTGCTTGACGGTCGGCTCATTTGATTATACATTATCGGTCGGTTGTCGAACTGTGCGTAGGAACCAGGAGTCATCGAAGGCGTCCGTCTGGGTTGTGCCATTGGTCCCTGGCTGTTGATGGCAACGCTAGTCGGCCTGCCATTCCGGATCGTAAACTCTTGGGCTGTGGTGTTTCTGCCGGCCAGAGAATCGGTTCCGAAACCGCCGTTTCGTGGCGTGTAAGCCGGTCCCGGTCCCATCACCGATCCCATCGTCTTAGTTTTGGTGTTTGGAACTGATGAGACAGAAATCAAGAAAGTCCCATCGTGTTTCGGTCTGTGTACAACAGTGGAAGCAGACCGAGATCTTAGGTGTTTAGTGTTTCTAGAAAAATTGCAATCAGCGTCTGCTAAGAACCTAGGAAACCCCCGGTCGAAGGGTTGCGCGATGATCTACGCTGGCGTGGGGCAACGAGATTAAAGACGACGAATGACTGTAACCCTCCTCCGCCGTAGTGCGGCCATCTCGGAACTTCAGACGTCAGTGCCAACGGTTCTTATTGAAATCTACACCAAGCCTCCCTTTTCGGACATGGCACTGACTGGGTTCTTTGATCGCGGAGGCCGACTCAAAATCAGATCGTTAATGTTCACGCTTGTGAAGCGCCTGAGCTGGTAGCAGCGTGCCGCTGCCAACGCTGGGCCTTGTAGCAAACACAAGCGTCTCGCACCACGGGACATCAGTGGAAATTAGAGCCCCTTTACCCCAAAGTTGGTTTCCACCGGATTAGGGGATGAGAGAAGAAGCTTATGTAGCTGTGATGGAAGACTAGCACAAGGTCTTATGACGATATTGTGAGACAGGAGTGTAGCTTGAATATAGAATAGAGTTTAGAGGCTTTTCATGACAGCGGCCGGCTCTGACCCCTCCAAACTTGAGGTTCGGCTTTGAGAAACATAGATGCAAATCGACTTGCGGGATTGAAGTTGACAACAAGGGGCAGAAGGATCATCACGAAGCAATGCTGCCTCTCCGCGACGATCTGGCAGATGGGCGGTCGTCATATGGAATGCACAGGGTTGAAGCGGTGTTTTGCGCAAAGGACTTACTGAGATTCATGGATGGCATATCCCTGGACTTGGCAACCTGGTTGTATGAAGCCTCTCGAGTCATGGGCCGACCTGAGTGATTGTCCTGCAGTAGGTTCAGAGTTTCTTTTCGACTTTTTGCTGAGCTTGCGAGGTCTCGCCGGAACCGATTCGGATGTTGTCCACGCCATCGTTCAAGACGTTTCCTGGCTGGCGATGTTCGCCGGGGGTAGATTCCAAAGAGGGTCCACGTTAGGATTTGGCGGCTGAAGACGACTTTGACGAGACTTGATAGCTCATTGACAATATCAAGATAGCTTTGGGCAGGCGACAGGAAGATTTTCGGTGTGCTTCAGTCCCGTTTTGGCATTCCCATCGTGATAAATAATATTGGATGTGACGAGGCCTGTTCGGGAGGGCTTGCACCCCAATAAATGGAAAGATTTTGACATTATTGACTAATACATAGTATTCGTGATTCATTTTGAACAGCGCCTGCCTACACACCAAAAGTTTCCAGGCGCAGTGCCGCACAGAGCTTCAGCCGCCGCCTTCTAAATAGCTTAGAGCTTGGCACACATCTGTGGCCATCCGCAGCCCTCGGCGATGCATGGCTCAGAGCTGAACTATCCCTCGCAAGCCCCGACAGGATCTTTGTGGCCAGCAGCCAGATGCGAGTGACAGGCTCCGGTATCCCTTTGTCGTAGGAGCAGGCGCAGCGCTGGTTACAAGTAGATCGGTTTGCTATGAGAGTGCATCCTAGCCAATGAATCTGAGAATGTGCGGCCGATGCAACACCCAAGTCGCAGGCTTTGCGGGGTCGCCAAGCAGACGTGGGTATTCGGGCCCAGTAAACGCGTGGTCGCAAAAACATGAGTAGAAGTGTCAAAGTGGTTGTTTTGTCGAAGTCAATGATTTCTTAGAGAGCGAATATTCCTGTGAAGCCTTACCCGTAACATACTTACCCAAGCGGTATGGCATGATAAGTTTCAAAAAGCCATGACTGGCGCCTACGAATTTCTTCGCCATCGCCCACAACATGCTGCAATATGCTCCGAGATACTCACAATCGAAAACGTGTCGAAATATGCTAATTTAGAGTGTAGCGCACTAACTTTATCACTATGAGCTCTTTGAAATTAATTGTAACTACAGTTGCACATGGTGCTATACCACAGTATGGCGGTGGTCTTAGTTTTTTTTTTTTTTTCAAACTTGGGTGAAGGATTAAGAGGGGTGGAACCAGCTGCGGTAGGGTCCAGGGAACAGGGAAGTTCAGTATAAGCCTGGTCCGCTGTGTGAGATAGCGTGCAGTGCCAAGAGATCTTAGCCGGATACTAAAGCTTCGGTTATCTAATAGTCAGGTCTTATTTGCTTGTTACGATCACTCCGTGCGGGCAGTTCAATGAAGTTATATATACCTTGACCCAAGCAATAGTAAGCTCTTCGTGAATACTCACGAAAGCTTACTATACTGAGCCTTGCAAGCAATCGCTAATGCATCTATGACATTAGAGGTTAATGTCGTGCATTTGTAGATGGCAGAATACTCTGAATATTTTGTGCTAGAGACTGCATTATTGTTGATACTGATCGCTGGAATTGACATCCCATCATTATGACTCGAAGGTTTTTGTGTCGCTGTACCGAAAATTAAAATCGTGATGCTACATCACGTCCCTCCTCGATAGCTGGTTCGGTCACAACGCTAACTGTAGTCATTAGAGCAATACCACCACACACGGATATTGGTCAACCAGGTAGTCTAGTACTAACCGTGGAATATTGTGGTTCATGCGAGCTTGGCTCATGCGCATTTATACAATGTGGACCACCAGTGGAGTGAAGAAGCTAGCGGGATTCAACGATGTCGCAAACAGATGTGCTTAAGCTAGACGCACCACGTGGAGATATGATGAAGACCGACGACAAGAAATGACCATGCTTGAGTGGAAGAGGCTAAGAGATATTTGTCTATTCAGGGGTGCTGAGCAACCTGTCAGCAGTTCCGATGACTTGACTGAAGTCAAACAAGAGCTTGAGCAAGAACTTGGTAAAAAGTTCCGCGCTCGTGACTTACGCAGCATCCTGCTGATTAGGAGACATCGGCTGCTTGTCTTCGCACAAGACCGTATTTCCACTGCCTGGCAAAGTTAGCATCCTGCCAATGTTCTTGTGGCCGATGCCATAATTGTGAGGCTTCCCACCATAGATAAGTGCCAGAGCTACCGCCAGGATCGATTCTGGATTCGGTAATGTTTTGTGGGTCTCATACTCTGCCGACATATCTTTATCTTCATCTGTAAGAGTTATAGCTCGGTGTCCTCATGAAGAGGTTGTAACACATATAGAAGTCATTGGGCTAGCCTGAAAAAGCCCTACCATGCCGTGAAATTGCTACTGCTACGATTTCATGGTACGAGGATGGTTGCCGGTGTCATCAGCAGTACTCAAAAGGATAACGACGTCTATTCTTTGAAATCGCAGGTGATGTTAGTGGCAAGGCATCGGAGCTTTGATACGGTCGCAAATTCCATGTGAACACAAGAAGTTCGTCATGGAAACTGGTATCATTAATACACCTGTATCGTCGTTTTGAGAGAGAAATCGAATCAACAAACGTTAGGGAGATAGGACCTAAACAGGAAAACTTGAACGGAGGAAGAACTGGTTGTAGTATCATTGAATAGAGCCCTAGATGTGTAAAATGACTGAGATCAAGTGATTCGCAGTATGTTGTAGCAGGATTGGAGGATTATCAGGGGACGAGGCAAGAGGCACAGAGCATACACTGAGACAGTGACTTGTAGTTAAAGAAATGTTTGAGAAGTCTAATTTTATTAGGGCCAGGCAATGCTATCTATTCTAAAATTGCGTTCTTGCACTGGCCTCACCCTGAGGTGAGTTTCCAGGAAGCACCACGAGGAGGCTGCAAGATCCGACTTCACCTCCCAAAAGTAAAAAATAAAAGTAGTGTGAGGGCTAGCTTTGGGGGAAGGCAGCCACCGAGCCTTGAGAAACAAAAAATTGTTGATCAACGAAGCAAGACAGTTAAGAGTCAAAGGCCCATCGTCAGATCACCTGGGAATCAGCCCTGTTGTGCTATCCGTCACAAGTTTGCTGTTCCACCCATCTGGTAGAGCTCAGGAGAGACAACTACACTTAGTAGCATCCTATGTGTGTGGGGGGAGTAGCCTTTACCCGGCTCTGATATCTGGTCACTTGAATAGGGAATGAGAGTGCCACCTATACCAACACATCTCTCAGGTGCCGAGCGCGAAGCCAATTCGGTCTGCCCAACCAACACTGCGCGATAGACATGCTCACGTCGATACCGAGATACAACCCTCCAGGAGGACACGCCCCCTTGGCCAGGCATGGCAGATCCCGGGAAGGTCAGGCCTCTGCAGACGCAATCCACGCCACAAGCCGAGGACGATCTTCTCCAAACTTCCCCCCAGACAATGAACAAACAAATGAAACATCGCTAGAAGATTGGGTACTAATCCGCTCGGACATTGTGGGATAGCCAGGCATGCAAGGCCCCACACGGATGACTAAAAGACAAGTAAACTTGACAGAGGGCTTTTTTTCGACTTGCACTTACAATACCTCGCCCGAAAACAAGGTCCAGGGACGAAAGCCTCTTGCGGCGGAGACCGAAGCCATCACGCGGGAGTGTGACTTTTGCGGATAGCCTGAGGCCATCACGACAACCGTATGTATCAGAGCAGTGATGTACCTGACGATGATCGGGGAATGGAGTGTGTTGGACCTGTTGAATACAGACGTCAGCAAGTGGGAAAATGGGTTGAAAAGTAGTGAGGATGGCAAACGTACCTTGCGGTCAAAGTGATCTACTATCGATCAACAGCTTTGCTCGTGAGCATTAGAGGGTACCAAAATTTGACAACTTTGGGGTATATAAATATCAGACAGAATCGACACTAATAACATGATAGTGGGTGGGTAAATTTCTTTTTGTATGTATGTGTATTGGATTGTGAACCAAATATGAAGACGTGGGGGAGCAAGATGCCAAAGTTTGTTCAAAACATGTTTTGGATGGCAAAGGTGGGGTGAATGAATCTCTCTTGATGATAGATATACGTGAAGGAGTGGAATATAAATAATCATAGTACTGACGGTGGTTTCGTGATGGTGAGTTGAGGACAGCTTACTTTGAATGTGGTTGATGAATTTGAGGTTGAGGAATGAAAGTTGCAAAATTGTGAGATCGAATGAAGGAAGCTGAGTTCTGAATGATGGTAGCTGTGTATTTATCTTAGAATTGGTGACTGATTGGAATTGCTAACTGTGTTTTTGCCTTTGAGGCAGAAAATTGAATGCCTGATCCTGAGCTCCTAGAGCGCATCACCCGCGCCGGATCTGGTTAATGTGAGAGGTACGTACCTTTTTTCACAGTTTGTGATTGGTCTGATCCTACGGGTTGGTCGTCCAGGTTACTGATTGTGAAGCTGAATTTGACAGAACATGTTAAGTGATAACTATGTGGTACTGATTTGAGGAGAGTATGCTTAACCATTTTGGGCCCATACCAGTTTGAGCAATAGCTTGGCCGTGATTCCATTAATTCCATGTGAGAGCTCTTATTTCCACATGGAAGATCTTCTGATTTCCCGAAACATATGTGTTGTAGTCGAAATTCAAATGAAGCGTGATCCACATTACGAGCAATGAGAACATGACCACCATGCTATCACAAAGTCATATTATGCCCCTACATAGAAAACTATTAATCATAAATAGTTCGGCAGTTACCTCTATTGCTTTTCTACACATTGAAGATAATCACTATGTCGAATTCGTGCCAAGCCTTTGTCTCTCCATTTGCCATATTTATACATACGTGCCACAACAACTGTGGTACTTGCTCGTGAATGACACATAATGGGCACAGCGATAGTTGGCCAAGAAATGTACTTTATGCAGAAAGTTGCATGTTCGGCAGCCGTTGATCCAATACTTTTCAATGCAGATCCCTAGACGAATGATCGCAACCTCATGCCTCACTAATAGCTCGCAGTTTCATATTTGCTCTTCTTCCTTATTTCCTTGCCGTATCTGAATAATATCCATGGCACTGGCAAGAGTACCAGTGATACGAAACCAAGCAAACTTGTAGCCCAGCCAGTTCCCATTGCCGTGTACATCTGAATACAGAAGAAAGGGAACGCAGCTGCGAAAGTGTATCTTGCCAAGCTGTTGGCGCTCGATGCGCTAGCGATGTTGCTGGCGTGGTAGGCATCACCTAGATACTGCATACTGCTGATGAACAAGCCGATGTTGCCTGCGCCAAAAAGAACAATGGCGGTGATTGGTACAGCAGGGTTGATTCCAGGTTGTGCAGTCCAACCGAACCAAAACAGACTGATAGGAAGCATTATACTTCCAATCATTGCGGGGTATAGGCGATATTCAGCCGGGATCTGGTGCAGTGGGAATCTTCGAGCTTTGGGGCGATATAACAGTGCGTCACAAACCCCTATCATCATAGTTCCAATCAGGCATCCAAACGCGATAGCTAAGAAGACGAGACCAGATTGTATAAGGGAGTAGTGATAGGTGCTCCCAAAGATGAAAAAGAAGGTGCCGAAGAACATGAAGAGTGTCCCAAATATGCAAGCAACATATAAGCAAACGAAGGCAACAATGGGCTCTGTGAACATCATATGGATAGGGCGAAACAAATCAACCGTCGCGAACTTGTGCAACGTGACCGAGAGGGGTGGCTTCTCAAGGACTTCTAGCCCAAGTTCCTTCATCCTTCTTCGCTTGACCAGAGAGTGGTATGACTCGCCCGAGAATAACATACATATCGCGCACCAAACGGAGAAGAAGACGAGTGTATATTGCGTCCACCGCCAATCTTTCCTGTCAACGAGAAAGACGCCGAGGACTGGTCTGAGGGTAAACAGTCAGTTAATTAGTGCCAAAGTAATCTCACGATCCACTCACCCAAGACCAGGGCCCAGAAAAGGGCTGAGTATGAACAGAGCTGCAGGGCGTCCTCGCTCAATAGGCAGATACGTTTCCTGTAGTACTCCTGAACCAATAGCTAAGCTAGGTCCATAGAAGAATCCAGAGAGAAATCTCATGATACATAAGCCAGCGAAGCTATGGGTCAGACCAGAGCCAAGAGCGAAGAGTCCACCAAGTGAGACGGCTATGGTGAATACAGCTTGTCTGCCAGCAACTTCCGAGAGCGGACCTCCGAAGATCGGGCCTAGCCCAAGAGCAAATACGTAGAGTGATAAGGGTAAGAATGCCACGGTGCTCGAAACGGAAAACTCTTGCATCAACTGCTGATGTGCTGGACTGATAATTGATGTACCTAAAGAGCTGCGCCCAAGTCAGTAAGATGCTGCCCAGTGAAACTAATATAATGGAAGATAGTTCACTCGCTACCACGATACGAATGCTGCCCATCAGGAACTGCAGAGTAACATGTTCATGAGAAAGCAAGCACGAATAACTGCAAAGAATGATAACTTGTTTATGCAGAACTACTCGAACTTCAGGGTAATATAGGGAGGGAAAAGACACACTCGGAATATCGGGGTGCTGTCGAACGTACCATGTGAAGGCTATGGACATCATAGTCACAAGCTGAATGTTCTTTCTCTGTTTCGACCAATTGTAAGGGTTATGCTTGTCTTCTTTCCAGTCCCATGTTGTCGCGCTCCGTATAGAAATCTCTTTACTGTAAGTATCATGGCTCTGCTGGTTTTCTTCTGGTGCAATGTTTGCCAGAACTTCTTCTCGTGGGACTCCAGTCGTGCTCTCCATGGTATTGCTGTTACTCAAGCCCGGTTGGGATAGGATGGTGGAATCGAGGGTGCAACAAGCCGGATTTAGAAGCCGAAGGAAGTAAGGAATGGCAATAGGAGGGCCGCATTCACACTTGGTGATGAAATATTAAACAAACAGTCGTTATAAAGAAACTGGAGGGCCGATTGTAGGAAACCGGATGGAAGAACTCGCAGAAATCAGTATTGGCAGTGAATGGGATTCCGCTGGTAAAGCAGGCAGTTCCATCACTCTTTAAACCAATTCCCCAAAAACTTCAGATAAATACAATAAACAACAAAACATTGCTAACAAGACCATTTGATTACCAATGCACCCCAATCACCTCGATGTCCTCATGACAGTTATTATTAGGGCGTGCACGTTAGCTGGACCCGGCATGATTGCATGCATGCTCCAACAGTATCGGGCATGATTAGTGAACACCCGAAAAACTGTATAGGCCCCAACGGGTTGCTTGACATGCTTCGAAGGGCTTGATTACCACAACGCCGAGGTATTGGGTGGGGCAAATTCGTCTTCTTTTGTCTACCATACTAAGGTTAGATTGACTTACCGACCAACATAAATTGAACTGATGTTGTACAAACAGTCGTGTCGCTTGATCGGTCTTTAGACAGGTAATATGCATCACTTGATCGACCTGTCAAAGGCAACAATACTTTGGACATGAAAACAATTCGATATGAGAACTGCAGAAATGGGCCATCTCACCATTTCGTCCAGATTGAAAGCTGGGACAATGATTGAGCCACCGGAGCTGAATAGCCAAGTGCAAATATGCTATGATGACTTGCAAGATACACCGGAACAGCTATTCCTTTCATTTTTCATTGTGCTTCTATTTTCCAGCAGACCGTCGATTCAATCTGTAGCATAAAGGAAAAGTTGCTGGTTGAAGTATGAAGCAGTCGCAACGAGAACGGGAAAATATGGCCAATCACCTTTATGTGCGATGGCATCGTTCAGATTAATCTGCCAATATGAAAAATTCTCCGGGCCAGGAACACCAATGCAACTTTTACATGCTTTTGGGTCCGTCAACTTTCTATTTATGCGGATGGTAACAGCGTTGCTGGTCCATATTCGGCCCTGCGCAACGGCAGATGGTACAAGAGCCGTGTGCGCACGCAATGAGCCATGGAATCCCCAATTCAGTTGTTATGCTCCACGACGCTGGCAAGTCTCAAGCTTACCGGAAGCATCTGCCAAAAAGAAACTTTTGAGGCTCGTAAGTGCAATTACGGGTAGTACCACGTTATATTGAATAAATAGCATAGTAGAGCACTCAAAATGGTTTGACGTGGTACGATCGAGGTACACAAGATTCGCGACCGTTGTATGCATACCTGCATTGTTTAGCTGTAAATTGGGAGAAACTCGCAACGTCATCCGTCCTTAGTCAGCTTAATTTTTTGGGGGGGAGCTTTAGCTGCTGCATCGGAGCTCTGCACGAGCTCCAAGGTCCCAAATTGAGATTTTTTGGTGCCCCCGTTGATGCACATCCACGGAATGGTGTCCCCGTCATGTCTGAAGCCGCAACAACCCAGTCGCTTCTCAACCTCAATGCATTGCTCGACAACCCAGTCTTCGCCGGAGGCTTCGGCCTCGCATCGCTCGGTGCGGTGCTGGCATTTGCGCGCAAGGGGACAATCGCGGGTGCAGGCATGATCCGGAGACGGCTCCTTGTCAACGTCGAGATCAGCAAGCGAGATCCAGCATACCCTTGGATTCTTGCGTGGCTATCACAACCCCGCGAGTACAGCTCTTTCCTCGCCAAACGATTGACGCGAATCAACAAACTTGCCGTGGCGACAGCGGCCACTACGACTCCCAACGGAGCGACGCGTGCCGATGTCATTTTGCAGCCCGGTTACGGAACACATCTGGTCAAGCACAAGCATGCGTACATTGCTGTCAACAGGGAGAAGCAGTCGACGTCGAATCTCAACACGGGCGAACCGCACGAAACTGTCCAGCTGACGACGCTGTACGCACATCGACATATCTTCGAGGATGTTTTCACCGAGGCGCGGGAGATCGCCCTCCAGGCCAACGAGGGCAAGACTGTCGTCTACTCGGTACGCAACTTCGACTGGGTGCCTCTCGGTGCGCCGAAGAGAAAGAGGCCGCTATCCAGTGTTGTGCTCGACGACGGTATCAAAGAGGGCATTGTTGGCGACGTGAAGGATTTCCTCGAGAGGCAGCAGTGGTATAGTAACCGGGGCATACCGTATCGACGAGGTTACCTACTACACGGGCCGCCTGGAAGTGGAAAGAGCTCTTTCATCCAAGCCTTGGCGGGCGAGCTGGATTACAGCGTGGCCATGGTCAATCTGAGCGAGCTTGGTGTCACTGATGACAAGCTCGCCTTTCTTCTCACAAAGCTGCCTGAAAGGACAATTCTGCTTTTGGAAGATGTGGATACAGCCTTTGTAAATCGGACGAAGCGAGGGTCAGATGGTTACAGCGGTCCGACTGTCACCTTCTCGGGCTTGTTGAACGCGCTCGACGGCCTTTCCGCAAGCGAAGAGCGCATCGCGTTCCTCACTACAAATCATATTGAGCTCCTAGACCCTGCTCTGATACGGCCGGGGCGTGTTGACATGATGATCCGCATAGGGGAGGCTACCAGGGTTCAAGCTGGACACATGTGGGACAACTTCTACGGCGATGTGGACGAGGATGGGTCAGGAAAAGAGCGCTTTCTGGCTAGACTTGATGAGATCGGCCTATTCGCTGAAGGGAGGGCTGGGGAAGCACCGATACGGACATCGACGGCTGCGATCCAGGGATTGTTCCTCTTCCATAAAGACAACATGGAAGACGCCATCACCATGGCCGATGCACTGATTCCCCAGAAGATCGTGGGAGAATCTGGGTGAGCACTGGAGACCGTGTATCAATACTTGTCGCCATGCTGCACAGGCGATGGCAAACCATATTTGTACTATATTTTGAAGATACCCAGTGCGTGACTGACTCGCCAGGAGAGAACAGCATGAAGACACTACAGGGACATTACCAGCTGCGCGGCGTGAGTGCCCGCAACGAGACATGGAATAAACCACCAGACAGCAATGAATAGAGTCGGCTAGACTAGTTGTGCATGCATCACGATTTGCTCCTGCATTTGCTCTGCCCGAGTCTGCGACGGAGTCGTACAATGCAGCTTATAATGATATTTTCTCTTCTGGCGCTAAAAACGGACATTAGAGTGGGTGCACTCGGGAACGTGGCTGATGTCGGGAAAGGTCGGCGGTTTCTCTGCCATTGCCGATGGATCTAGTCTTCCTAACCTTAGTCTAGCCCAGGTTTTGGTTTTGTTTTGCAGGTGCGCTATTTGGACTCGGGTTCACGTTCAGATTTGGCCTCGTGAGAATTGACTTCCATCTTTCCGCCCCTCCCACGACCTTTTGACTTCCCCGTCACCACTTCTGCGATTTAGCATCCTCCTCTACCCACAGATATCTCCTCAGAAGTCGGCAAGATGCTATCGCGAACCTCTGCTAGAGCTGCCCAGGTAACTATCCCTTCCTCCTCGAGCTCCAATGGCTCGCCACGCTGTCGTCACATGCCGGGAAAATAGCTCACGATGTCGTCTCTCTCCAGCGCCTGGCGCGACAGGCCGCCCGCCAGCAGCCTCAGATTGCCGCCCGATCATATGCCACCGTCGAGTCCGACCTCTTCCGGCCTACCAAGTACGGCAGCAAGTACACCGTCACCCTCATCCCCGGCGACGGTATTGGTGCCGAGGTCGCTGAGAGCGTCAAGACCATCTTCAAGGCCGACAATGTCCCCATCGACTGGGAGCAGATTGATGTCTCCGGTGTCGACTCTGGCTCCCCCGGCGCCGCAAACGAGCTCTTCCGCGAGTCCATTGCTTCCCTCAAGCGCAACAAGCTCGGCCTCAAGGGTATCCTCCACACCCCCCTCGAGCGATCCGGCCACTCCAGCTTCAACGTCGCCATGCGTCAGGAGCTCGACATCTACGCCTCCATTGTTCTCATCAAGAACATCCCCGGCTACGAGACCCGCCACAAGAACGTCGACCTGTGCATCATCCGAGAGAACACCGAGGGAGAGTATAGCGGTCTCGAGCACCAGAGCGTCCCCGGCGTCGTCGAGTCCCTCAAGATCATCACCCGCCCCAAGTCGGAGAGAATCGCCAAGTTTGCTTTCGCTTTCGCCAAGGCCAATGGCCGCAAGAAGGTCACTTGCATCCACAAGGCCAACATCATGAAGCTGGCCGATGGTCTCTTCCGCAACACCTGCAAGGATGTTTCCGCCGAGTTCCCCGGCATCGAGTACAACGACATGATCGTCGACAACGCCTCCATGCAGTGTGTCTCCAAGCCTCAACAGTTCGACGTCATGGTCATGCCTAACCTCTACGGTGGCATCCTGTCCAACATCGGTGCTGCCCTCGTCGGTGGCCCCGGTATCGTCCCCGGTTGCAACATGGGCCGCGACGTCGCTGTCTTCGAGCCCGGTTGCCGTCACGTCGGTCTCGACATCAAGGGCAAGGACCAGGCCAACCCCACTGCTCTGCTCCTGTCTGGATCCATGCTCCTGCGCCACCTTGGCCTCGACGACCACGCCAACCGCATCTCCAAGGCCGTCTACGAGGTCATCGCTGAGGGGTCAGTACACCTTCATCTCTTGATAAATCCACGCATCGCTGACAATCTCTATAGCAAGTCCCGAACCCGCGACATGGGTGGTGACGCCACTACTCACCAGTTCACCCGCTCCATCCTTGACAAGCTGGAGACTTTGTAAATCATGGCTACGACCACCTGATTAATCCTCAAATTGATACCACCCGCCCGACTGCACCAACCTTTTCCATACACGATGTTTCATAGACCAAGATCTTATTCGGCGCGATTGGGGATGATACGCATGAGTGCATGGAGTCACGGGCATCTGATGAACCACTTCGGCTTGTACTGTAGGTAGATAGGATACAATAATCCAGTTGACTGAATCCAGGCTTGCATCTTGACGAGATTCTAAATTTCATCGTGGGCTAAATTTCCGATGCAATGTGCAGCCCATCTTCCAAGACGTCGGCCGAACTGGGCTACATGTGTTGACTCACAAGCTGGATGAGTCATCAATCTATTGACGAGCAAGTCCAACAGCAAATATCGTATATGCTGAACATTGCCAAGTTTTCTACACTGGCGTTTACTGATACCCATTGACTAGAACCGGCCAGATGACACCGCAAGAAACTTCTGTATATCGATAGACAAGTTCGGCAAAAATTCGCACCCCGTCTAATGTCGCAAACAACACAACAACCAGGCGCGCTGGTTTGGATCAATGGTATTGCCGGTGTGGGCAAATTGACCATCGCCCGCTCACTCGTCAAACTTCTCGGCGGCCCTGACAAGGCGGCCCTGATTGACAACCATACCCTCATCGATGTCGTCACCCTACCTCGCGATCACCCAGATTACTACCTCGAGCGCCGAGAAGCGAGGCGGTTGTGCTTCGAGCAACACGTGGTATGCGAGGCTTCCACTCCGGACATGGCCAAGATCATTGTTTTCACAGACTGGCAGTCGGATAACGAGCTCGGCCAGAGTGTCGCCGAGGAGTACCACGATGCGGCAAATCGCTCCTGTAGGCGGTTTGTGCCGATCTATCTCGAGTGCGAGAGGGAGGAGAATGTGAGGAGGGCCACCAGCAGGAGCACGGAGGGTAAGCGCAAGCTGACCGACGAGAAGGTGCTGAGGGATTATATGGATAACAGCAGGCTGTTCGAGTTCGAGCATGTGGATGGCCTGAGATGTGACGTCACGAAGAGGCTGCCGGAGGACGTTGCTGCGGAGCTGGCTGGGATCATAGGCGGCCGGCCCTAGAAGATCTATCAGGAGAAGGCTGCCTTGACTTTTGTCGGATAACAAGCGTAAAGAGATATCTGGTTTCAATAGCTGAATTTCTGCATGGCGGCAAATTCTGTGTGCATATCTGTTCAAATTCGATAAGCTAGGCTCATGCATTCTTTTATAATCATGCTGCAACATTTGGTATAGGTTAATTCAAGGCTACAGAGGAGCAGAACAACCTCTTCTGGCAGTGCTAGTCGACCCATGGGTTAGCTGCTGCACCATCATCTGCTCCAACCCCGGAGACATGTTGCTCGCGGGCTCAACCATGGGAGTGGCTGGCCGGGCGGGACAAAAATGCGGTTTACCCGGGTGCAATCACCAACGGTATGGATAGCTTATTTAATGTGAAATCAAGGTGATTTAAAAAAGAGGGTGGGAAAAAGGCCTCCTCCGAGCCCAGAACCAGACCGACCCACTGTCTTGTCCATGCCGACTATACCATGCTTAACACTGTTGTACTGCGCCAGGTTCGCCGATGCGATCACAGAGGACCAAGGAACCGATATTCACAATCGCACCACGGGTACTGCCCTTCTCCCGGCAGCCAAGTGTCGTACAGCGACTCGAGCTCCAGCTTTTGCAACCATATGGACCCGTGCCCTCCCTGCCAATACCGTTGCCCGGTCGCGTCAGTCTTCGAAAGTAGTCCTACATGATGAGAGTAGTGTGGACAGAATCACACAAAAAATGCAAAAACATACAACACCGGGGATTCCTCCGTGGTCGCCCACATGAGTACCAATCCAGCGCTCCAAGGACATACCTACCTAGCGCAAAAGGAGCACTTCCCCGAAGCTTGTAAGCACCAAAACGTGTAACCCATATACCGCGCGACAGAGTGGGGAACAAACCCGCTTCATCCGGTAACATATCTAGATGACAGATCACGGCTCTACCGCCGTTGGATAACCGTTCCCGCTTGAAAAGGCCTCACTGTTGCTCTCATTTCCTCCAACAAAATCACAACACGCCACGAACGCCCGCCAAACGTCGGTGGCCATATACCTTGCGACTCTCCCCAAACGTGGGATGGGAATCTTGACATGACGGATTTCTGTGACTTCACTGTCCCCGTCGGCTTTTGCTTACTCCGTAGTATATATCCTTGCTGCACAGTACCATCGCCTCTTCACACTTCACGGCCGGCACGATCAAACAAGATATGGCGAGTTGCCATGTCTCCATGACAACCCTGATATGCTCAGTCCAGTCCCAGCTCTTCTATGCCGCTGCACAGTTCATCCATGGCGCCTTTGAGAGTCCCCTTCACCTGGTCTGCTTCATCGTCATTTCCGCACTCACGCAGGTAGTTTTCATATGAAGCCAAATTGTCGACAGTGAAATCGTCTGCGAGGCCATACATCTCGACGCATAACTCGACCGCCTTCTGGCCAGCTGAGATGGTCTCTTGGTGATCCCCAAGAGCTCTATGAATCTGAAACAACAGCCGGTAGGATACAACTTCAGTATAAGTACCCTTAATCAATCCCCTAATAATAGATAATTTAGCAAAGCATGCGCTGACATCCGCGCTTGCACGTGCACGAGCAAGTAGGGGCGATTCAAGCAGCGATTGCTGACACGGCCTTTGGGCAATCAAAACTTGACGTACCTATTAGTTGGCAACAATACCTCCGATACTAGTCGCAATGCGTTGGCGTAGTCTTTCATCCACAGATAAACATATGTAAGTTCTCTCTTGGCTGACAAAATTATGTAAGGGTCCACCTCGTCCGACGCCTCTAATTGCCGAATAATTGTTAAGATTTGCAATACTGCGGAGTCACCGTTAATAATACCGAGATGGAATAGGTCCCGTGCCATGTTAATAACTATCTCAACATGAGTTTTGCTATAGAGTGGAAAGAACTTCTGAAGAATAGTGACAGAAGCATTCGCGAGTGTATGCCCATGTTGGGAAAGCTCCCTAATTCCTGAATCCGCTTCTTCTTAATAAACTGTTCTGCATATGAAGTGTTATGAGTCTCGAATAAACGTACCTATTTTGCAGATATTGGAAAGGAATTGTACCATGGGATGGTTCGATTCTCTAAAGATGATTCGGGAAAGCGAGTGCATATACCGTAATACGGAGGCTGCCAGGTCTGGCCAAGTGGAGCTGAGGCCCAGGAACACGAGAAGGGCAGAGCTAAAAAATCTAGGCGAGTCGCTGACGAGGATTTCTCCGAAAACTTGGTTGCACTTTTGCACGACGCGGAAAGCTTGCTTCGCTCTCCCTGCCTCCATAAGGTGTCTCACCGTGTACCAAGTGCCGTGCCATTCTAAAGCACGATCAGGCACATTCAGGTCCCCTTGGGAATCAAGCACCCATATTTTGGCGTCGAAGTGCCCCGAAGTATAAGACCGCATTGCGTGAATGCTTCCCTCCAACAACCTGAGGCCATCTGGAGAGCGCGGGGAAAATAGGGAAGACCCAGGAAGTCGGACTTTGTTGGCGACAACGGACAAGGCCGTAGATGGGGCGCCGTCTGTCTTCTGGTCATCATACAGGGTATCCACGTGCTGTGCCGCTTGGCCGTGCTTTTTGGCAGGTCTCTCCCGCCTCCGCCGCTGGAGGTAGTTGTCGATTCGCTGGGGGGTAGCCTTGCCCCCCCGGATCTTGGGCGTCTTGTTAGAGCGGACAAACTCTTCGACGTCGCGGTGTCGAAGATTTTTGCGCAAATTCCACTTGTTGATGCGGTACTTGTACATTTTCATGCTGCTTCCTTAGTCCTCTTCTTTGTCCATTGTGGAGCGGAGGATATGCACTAACGTGGCTTTGAAACCGTGCCGAGATCTCAAGTACTGCATAACTTGCTTTAAGGGCAGGTTCTTGGTTTGGTACAAGTCTGTAATGGTGGTCCGATGACTTTCCCAGGCCGATGCCGAAAAGGGGTCATCGTGAGAGTCACCAACTGCCATGGCTGTAGCAGCATGTTGGTCACTCCCGAGGCCAGTTATGACATGGTGCTCGTCAAGCGCGACTGCTTGATGTGAGGCCATTGAAAATATGTGTGGAGAAACTAAGTCAGCCCGGCAATCTAGCAAAGGAACCGCCCTCCCGCCCGCCAAGTACTGGTAAAGGTTTCTCGATGGTTGGCCTGTGCGCACTGTAGCCCCGCCCCAGTCACATTCTGTACCAACCTGCGCCCCAACTCACAGATCTCTGTACTGCGTGAGGCAAGGCTGGTCTTCCGCAGTCATGAGTGGTCTCTCCGGCGTCGGTTATTGGCTCTGTAGCTTGTTGCCATATGCCGTATCATGACTGATAAAGGGCCGCATTCGCCGCGCATTCAATGCAATTACATGGCTTGGCAACGGCCCAGTGGAACGGCAAGTCGGGCGCCAAGAAAGGTGGAGCGAGTGTCCCACGTCCTCTCGCTCGTGCGAGTTAGTGGTCAAATGCTCGGCTGCGAAGTGTAATACAGGAGGAGTCTACGGTCAACCGAGCTTATAACGATTCTACCTTATAACGATACCTTGACATTACGATTACTAGCTGCGCATTTCTTGTTTTTATCTCGAGGCTGACGATATTTATCCTTGCATTTACTGTATAATGATAATCGTTAACTTGACAGAAATTCTGTACAAGGATCTCAAGGGGAGTTTTTATATTGGGTGCTTAAAACTGGAAATTTATACGAGGACATCCTAGACCCGAGTATACGTGACATAATTTGGTAATGCTTTTTACAAGCTCCAAGCCCACCTTATCATTTTCGGGGTTTAGTCTATAGCGATACCTCGTTGTAACGATATAGAGCCTTACATCTTTGATATCGTTATAAGCCTGGTTGACTATAACAGTATCACCGTAAGCTTAGCGTTCCATTCTCTCGGGACCAATCATATTTTTATAATCTAGGATTTATCTTGGTAAAGAACACGCAAAGGTTCAAAGGACTACTTGATGAAACATATCGCAACAAAGTCGCCTGTGATGCACCACGAAAAAATGCAAGAAATCTCGGTACATTCCAGGCAATGTGATTGTTCTGCGTCACCAATCACTATTCTCAGTCGCTTGACTGAACCGCAGTTGATGCGATTGCTTAGTACAACAAATTTGTGGAAGTACTTTGATGGAATTGGATAACCTGCTAGCGCTGGACTAACTCAACTACCCTTATGTACTAATGCAAGGTCCCGGAGACTCATCCTGCCAACCGTCCATTCGGCATCGAGAAACATATCCGAGGATCGATACCCATATCTATCTATAAGCTTTAAGCTGATGCATAAATCCTACGTCTTGCTATATGTGTGGGGTAGACGCGGCGGTGTGGTCGCGAGAGTAAAACGGTGGCTTCTGCAAATAAGCGGTGTCGGAATTCTCGGCTGAGAGTCAGCGCCGCAAGGTACTCCAACCACACTGCGCACATTTGGAAGGCCTCAATGTAGCTTGGTTCTTGGTTCATATCACTGAGATATTGCCAGTCACCCCTGGAAACTGGATGCTTGCTGCTACACGTACAAAAAAGAGAGATGTTCGAACGAGGCTGGGTGGTCTTGTTATGACTAGCCGGTTGCCTACTTGACTTTGCGTTGGAAAAGAGTATTGAGTTTCTCGACTATCGCATATATCTTGAATTGCTTCTACGTCTGAAACATTGGCTACGATATTTTTGACGAGCCGGGAACTTGCATGAAGGATCCTGGTGGCCTTCACGCACAATTGCGGCTGCCACTTCACCCAGTCGGCATGAACCTGAACTACAGATTCGTGCAGCGTCTGTATCTCGCAGTATGATACCAAGGCCTGGATGGTCTGGCATGGTCGTTATATGAAATGTGTGACATGACTCAAGTGGCTGGGCTCCGAGTTCCAATGAGAGATTGTGTGATTTCCTGTGGCCGGCCCATTGATTCTCAGATGTTTGATACCGAAGCCTACTCCACGAACAGGGGTATCATCGGGGGGAAGAGGAAGATGTATTTTTAACGCACCGGTGACCTCATCGCAGCTGGCTTCCGGCTTGGATCACAGTCTTAAAAGCCTTAGGCGCTGTTTAATGCTCACCGTCACATCCGAACATCTGCTCGTAAATCTTGTTTATATTATTATTATTATTTCTTATTTGAAAATGCTGAAAAGTATAAACGACGCTTACCAATGATCAATTGCGCTGGTAGAGAACAAACAACCCGGCCACCACTTGTAAGGCATTACGCACCACACCAGTGCTGAGCGATTAGAACTTGCTGTAACCACTACATGATTAGTGTCATGAAATTGAACCGGAGACAGAATACAGAACAATCCTGAATCTAGAAGTTGCCAACTGGTACATGTAAATGTTAAATGGCGTTACTGGCTGGCTAATCTAAGACTTCCACTGACGTGATATGGCGTAATATCGAAAACCACTCATTTACCAGGTGCTTCGGATAGAAATCTGGGGTTATAATATGAGTCAAGATGGATCATTACAGTTCGACTAATACTTGTTGGTGTACATGCAGTCTTGTAAATTGCTGTGTCCGTGGTCTCCCGTTTACATCAAGGTCAGTCGCGTGTCAGGAGAGGCCTGGGGGAGTTCTCTCGGGCCTTGGACAATTTAATTGGCATTCATTTGATTGCACAGTATGCACATGTGGCCCGTAGAGTGTACGGAGTACATTGCAAGCTGATACCAGGGGTATGATTAGGCAGAAACTTATCTAATCAATCCATCTTATCTGATCAATCAGCATGACGACTAGTACCGGGGGCATGATTGGACAGGATTAGATCTAATCAATTCCATCTTATCTGAGCAGGCAGTGTTACTGTACCGGGGTATAATTCCGTCACCAGCGTAAGCCCTAGGCTTCTCCTATCAAATACCATAGATCGGCACAATGTTTCTGAGTCACTCACTTAGCAGCGCTACTAACGAATTCATCTACGCAGAATGTTCATCTCTGAGGCATCTACGCGGTGTTATGTAAGCTTACCACAGCAATTACCACTATTAAGGATTTCGTTTAAGTATGGGCCATGCTTAGCCTATTCCACTGCTCGTCTCATTCATCCACTTCAATTAGTTTACTTCGGTTCTTTTACCAAGTCATGGAGGCCGAGAACCAGCAAGCGTCCCACCAGGGTCAAGACGACAACGAGAAGAGTGGCCCAGATATCCAAAGAAGCGGCACGAAGCAAGATCAAGACCACACCAAACAGATGACTGACAGCGCGGAAGCGATCTCGGATCAGGCATTCCTCGTCACATTCAGCCAAGACGACCGTGAAAATCCCCTCAATTGGCCCAACAAGTTGAAATGGGGAGTTACAGCGGCCGTGTCTGGCACAGGCTTTGTCCGCATTATGGTTTCGACGGTATGGCTACGTGCTACTTTCCCCACGAGGTGTTCTCCTACTAAGATTTGTCTGCAGATGATGGCACCTGCAATCAACACAATCGCAGCTGAGTTGAATATGTCTACCACTGAGTCTACCATGGCACTGTCGGTCTATCTTTTGGCGACCGCATTTGGCCCGCTCTTTATCGGCCCCTTGTCAGAAGTCTACGGCAGAAAATCCATCTTCCACATCACCACTGTCTGGTTCCTGGTCTGGAACCTCACTTGTGGCTTTGCCAACTCGAAGGGCCTGCTCATTGCCGCACGCCTCCTGGCCGGCTTCGGGGCCAGTGCAGTATATAGTCTGGGATACGGCGTGCTTGGCGACGTGTGGTCGCCGGAGCAGAGAGGACGCTCCCTGAGCCTATACCTGCTCATACCACTGACCGGCTCCGCTGTTGGTCCCATCATTAGTGGGTTCGTTGTCGAATACTCTATTTGGCGATGGATGTTCTGGGCGACTACCATGCTTCAAGTCATCCTGGAGCTGTCCTCACTGTTCCTGTTCTACGAGAGCTACGCGCCAGTCATCCTCCGCCAGCGAGCCGAGGAACGGCGAAAAGAGACTAGTGACCCTCGCTATTATGCCGAGATCGAGATGCACGAATCCAGCCGTTCTACCGCCTGGAAGCTGAGCCGCAGCCTATCGCGCCCCCTCCGCCTCCTAGCATTCCATCCAATCATCCAGATTCAAGCTATATTGGAGGGGATCAATTATGGGCTGCTATATTTCGCATTGGCCAGCTTCTCTGCCCTCCACGTCTCCGCCTACGGCGAATCCATCTCCATCTCCGGCCTGCACTATATTGCCATCTGCGCCGGTACTATCTCCGGTTCCCAGCTCTGCGGGCCGCTCATGGATTACGTTTACAAGAGGTTGACGACTCGCACCGGTGACGCCCGCGTGCCCGAGCTCCGCATCCCGCTTCTGCTGCCTGGGGTCTTGTTCACACCCATCGGATTTCTGCTCTACGGATGGGCGGCGCAGTACCATCTCTTCTGGCTCGTCGTCGACGTTGGTGCGGCCCTGCTGTCCCTCGGCATGCAGATCTTCGACACCACGCTGCACGCGTACGTCATGGATGCATATCCCGAGCATGTCAGCTCGGCGTCGGCCGCGACCCAGGTGCTGAGGAGCCTGCTGGCGTTTGCGTTCCCGTTGTTCTCGGACAGGCTGTACGCGACACTGGGGTACGGGTGGGGGAACAGTCTGCTAGCGTTCTTATCCATTGGCATCGCGTTGCCGGCGACAGGCATACTCTGGCGCTTCGGTGCGAAATTGAGAGCCAGGCAGCAGTCGAGCTATTAAGTGGTCTTTGGCATGATTCAAACACGGGGTTCATGTTCATGGTGGTTGTATTAGAGCATATACAGGAAAATCGTGGTATTCACCCCCCATGCGCTTTTCTAGGCCTGTTAACATTGTCAAGGTGAGAAAAGACAGGGTAGATGTAGGTGGTGAGAGTGGCCAGATTGCATTTGTAAATGCATGGTAAAACTGATCGAATGAAAGATGTTATGGAGGGAGGGGGTAGGTCTAGTAACCCCGGACCAAAGTATACACCGTCATCGAACAGAATCTCGGTTGTCCTTTAAGGAAATTTGATTTGTGCGAGTAGTGAAACAAGCACTTCACTCAGTTGGCGTTATTGCAAATAGAAAAGCGTGGGTCCAGGTACTGTGCCTCTTACGTACTTTATCGGTCCAATATATTTGCATGATTCTACGAGTCTAGCACTTTGGCCTGGTCGAATCCTTAATCCATCGACCATTAAGTACGAGCCCGGGGAAGATGATGCATGTTACAGTGACCAATTCGGCAGGAGCTCTGACGAGCAAAATATGCTCACAATTCTCTAGCCGATCCGGGGCAATCACTATCGCAAGACAGAAGTTGACCTCGAACTGACCCTCCGTTACCTGCTCGTTCCAACAAATACCTAGCCCATGAACGGTAAATAGGATCGAGAAATTCTTTCAACGATGGTTCGAAAATCTCTATAGGGAGCGCATATGCTGTAGCGCAACAAACAATCGGTCCTGCAAGATCGTGGATATTCTTGGTTGCAACTGCGCAGCTGCCAAAAGTTCAGCTCCATCTCCCTTCATGCAGTGTGAGATATGGGCTTCGAGATTTTTGCCTCCGTGCCTGCCACGATTTAATCCCTGTGAAACTTGGAATTAAATGCGGAGATCTGCCACTAAGCGCTACTGTTCCTTTCTCGAACTTGGCTCAATCTTATGTTATTTTGTTTTCGCATATTCTGTAACAAAAACACCAAATCATGCTCAATCCCGTCGTCTCATCCTATACAATACACAGACTGTTTAGCTAAGCTTTGCCAAGCTTTGAAGCATCTTCGTCTTATAAACGTGGGCTGCTTGCCTAGCTGCTTGGCTTTGGGGTAATTCTAGCGGGTTCTGGGGCTGGCTTTAATATCCGCCGGCCTACCACACCCTTCAAGCTTTCATTCTTACAAACAGCTGGGTGCCGTTTTTGAATAATTAATCGGGAACTCGGCACCGTCACAAATCATGAAGAGTAAGAAGCTGGCTAAAGAGAACCTTGCCATCGTCCAGTCTCCGAATCCTGCGCTCCTACAAATCATGTTTCCTACCTGCATCCCTGTAGAACCGCACATGTCTAGTAATGTTAGATTTCTTTTTAACTCTGAACGGACAATTTGCACAGCAAGCCCACATGATGACATAACATTTATAGAGTAACAAAACCATCTACACATTTGCACCTTCTAGCGGTATTGCATATGTGCTCATCTAGCCTATGTATACATGGTGAAGTAGGTACCTGCTGAGGCCATCTCCAGTCTGTTGTTCTGATTGGGAGGCGCTGCTGTGGTGGACTGTCAGTCGGTTCCCGCAGGCGATCCCTAGGGTGTGCTAGTGATGGAGAGAATTGAAGGATCTATGAGGTGCCGCGAGCCGTTTCTTCATTTGACAACCTCCCGCTGGTAATGCAGACGACCAAAGAGTATATGCTGCGCCGTACACAATACATTATGCCTACGTCCAGTGGGTCGCCTGATAACAGCTATGCAGTAGTGCCTACTGGGATTATTTACTTTCCACTAGGACCTGATATGATCTGATATATGATCTGATACTACTCTACCAATTAAAACATCGCTCCTTGATGGGACGAGCACAATATCCGAAGAATACCAGAAATGAAGAGTAGAAGATTCGAATATAAAAGGGGAGGTTGTCTCCCTTTACCAACTGATATTACGAAGATTCACAAGCATCATCACATCTCTTCAGTCTACACCATCCAACCGCACTTCAGCCCAAAACCCTTTCCAAGTCAAGTACCAACTTGTCTCATTTCCAAAAATGAAGGTATGAAACCGATTTCCCCCACTCCATCTTTTCCGGAAGCCTGTCTTTGCTCATCGGCGAACTTTAGTTCTACGCCGCTATCCTCCTTGGCATATTTGCCATCGCCAGCGCTGCCCCAACTCCCACTGAGTCCCCTGAATTCTGTGTTGGTGGAGGATACAAGCGCCAAGCATGCGGACCTAACCTTGACGCCATTGAGTCTGAGGCCAAGGCATAAGTTTAGGGGCTCACGGAGCCTAGCACTGGGTTTATAGAGTATCTATCACCCTATCAGCTTCTCCATATGCGAAGCGAAGAGCTAGCAAGTAGTAGTCGGGGAAGGTCATGAGGGTTGGGCAATGTTCAGTTGGGGGGAATGATGGTCCACATGAGGGCAATGTAAATTCAGATCGACGTATTCAGACATTTCGATACTAGTATTGTCGCTTAATGAAGTCAAATATCTGAGCTACTGAAGAAAGTGATGCAATATTCTGAAATTTACTTGAGTTCTCGTTGTAGTTAGTAAAGTCACGGTTTCCTTCTACTAAAATTGTTACCGTACCATCTTCTGCTGGATATTGTCGCGAAACTGGCTCGTAAAGTGGAGCATAAGTATCAAACGCTCTGCACGGTATATACACAACACATCTAAACTAAACCTTATCAAAAAGTTGCACCATATGTCACGGTAGCTGGACTAACTTGACAGCTGGAGTCTCTTCCAGCTAGCCGGGCAATCTTTTCATATTCAGAGTTAGTGCAGTTGACCTCAGCTCTTAAGTCATGCAACTGGCAACACTAAACCGAGGGTGAACTGACCAGGTACAAGAACGCAATTATAGATTATATAAGCTACACAGAACTGAGTTCTACATGTCAAACATGTGCTCAACATATGTTAAGCATATATAAATTTATGCATGTCGTAAAACCCAAATATCACGTAAATCTCATGTTAGATACGTTTATATACATCATACATAAAGCAAATAATAATATGTAAAACTCGTATAGTATATTTATTCAACATGTGCTAAGCATATGTTGAATGTGACTTCGCGGAGCCTGTTTTCAGTACCTGTTGAGCTTTCGCCAAGACATTAGCTTTGTACCTGGTCAGTGAGCCGTCCATTGAACCCGTATTAGTGGCGGGCGCAGCCGATTGCCTTCCATCCGTGACACTATATCGCTTTTTAAACATTGTTTGAAGGCTTATGTATGTGTATATATATTACTTACCGCAGTGACATATATAAGTGCTGTATTCAAAGCTCGTACTTGTGGGTCTCATGTATGTAATTAAAGCGGATTTCTATAACCCATTGACCGTAATCTTCCGCCAGCCACGACTATAGCATCATGGCGGGGTTAACAATTCTAAGTCTAAGCATTCATTAATAATCTGTTTATACAATTGTAGAAAGGACGTGTTCCAATCATCCCTTGCATAACTATGGCGTCGCACTGCAGCCTCGGTATTAGTATGCGGGGAAGCCAAGGGTCATAGTGAGGGGAGAAACACTGCACTTCATTCTCTCCGAAACCTTACAATCCTTTCCTACTCAGATTCACTCCAAACAGTAGAGTAGAAAGCTGTACAAACATGCCCATCTTCAGGAGCCCGCATAAGGACATTGACCTTCCCACCGATATCACAATATTCGAGTGGCTCTTTGGGGAGAAGTCCAAGTTCTCGCCCCTCAACAAGTTCCCCGAGGAGGACCTGGCAGGCTATCTAGATGCATCTACTGGAGATCGGGTATCGTGGAAGGAAGTGAGGTCAGCGGCCACATACATATCGACCGCGCTTCACAAGAAGTATGGGTTCCAGACAGGGGATACACTGTCGCTGTTCAGCAGGAACTCTATATGGTACCCCGTGACGTTGTTTGCGGCCGTCAGGATCGGTACGTTAAACCGGGCATTCCCCAGAGGGATATCTAGCTAACGGTCAAATAAATCCAGGTGGCGTCGTCTCTGGTGCTTCCCCGGCGTATAACGTGGAGGAGATGACCTACGCCCTGAAGACGGCGAACGCCAAGTTTCTGGCAACCCACCCGTCTTCGATGGCCGTGGCGGCCCGGGCGGCAGAGAATGCCGGAATCCCCCAGTCTCATGTGTTCCTGCTGGAGGGGTCGCTCGAGGGCTACACGACCGTCCAGGACCTGATCAAAGTCGGCAAAAGCTATGGCGACGCCGGCCAAGTTGCTCCTTTCGAGCTTCCGAAGGGCAAGAAGAACAAGGACATCTGCGCCTTTCTGAGCTTCTCATCGGGGACTACAGGTCTTCCGAAAGCTGTGGGTTGTCTGCTCTTTTCTTGTCGTATCAGAAATGACGCTAACAAGCACTACAGGTGATGATATCACACCAGAACGTGATAGCTCAATCCCTGCAGGTCGAGCAGCTGACACCGGAAGACCACAGGCAAGTCCTCGGGGCCCTGCCTCTGTTCCACATCACAGGGCTGGTGCACAGCCTCCACTTCCCCGTCTTCCTCAACGCGGAGGTGATCATGCTGCCGGAGTTCTCCATGCAGGCGATGCTCGAGACCATCGTCAAGTACCAGATCCGGGAGCTGCTGCTCGTGCCGCCGCTGCTGATCCGCCTGGTGCGCGACCCGATCGTGGACAGGTACGACCTCCGCTGCGTGCGGCGCTTCTCCAGCGGCGCCGCGCCCGTGTCGGAGGAGATCCTGCAGCTCCTGCAGCAGAGGTTCCCCTGGACGGGGTTCAAGCAGGGCTACGGGATGACGGAGTCGTGCTCGTGCATTACGGCCCACCCTCCCGACGCGTACGACTACAAGTTCGCGCACAAGGTCGGCAAGGTCGTCGCGAGCACCGAGGTCAGGATCATCAAGGAGGACGGGTCGGAGGCCGGGGTCGGGGAGCCCGGAGAGATACTGGCCAGGGGTCCACAGATCGTCATGGGGTACCTGAACAACGACAAGGCGACCCGGGACACGTTCGAGGCCGGAGGTTGGCTCCGCACGGGCGACCAGGGCGTCATGGACGGAGACGGCTTCATCACGATTACTGATCGGCTCAAGGAGATGATCAAGGTCAAGGGTATAGCCGTGGCGCCTGCGGAGCTCGAAGACCTGCTTCTAGGACATGACAAGATTGAGGATTGCGCGGTGCTGAGCATTCCCGACGACAGAGCAGGAGAGCGGCCCAAGGCGTTCGTCGTTGTAAAGAAGGGGTATTGTGCCGATGAGGCGATCGGGCTAGACATTATCAAGTATGTGGAGGAGCGAAAGGTCAGACATAAGTGGATCAAGGAGGTCGAGTTTATCGATGATATTCCCAAGAGCGCAAGTGGTAAGATCTTGAGAAGGGTTCTAAGAGATGCTGCGAAACAGGGTGCCAGTAGGATCGTTGTAAATGCTGCACCTAGAGAAAGAGCGAAACTGTAGCAGACCACTTGTCATTGGATCTTGATCATGGTGTAAATATTACTGATAAATATTTTCCATGGTTATGGTAGAGCACTAACTAGGAGAGGGAATGGTTCTGAGCCTTGGCACGGAGGGTACGTTTGTAGACATAAGAACGTAAAGCCTCCACTATACTGCAGTGACTGCTATAGTTTCCTTTGATCATTCTCGTTCTTTGCTATCAAGTCGTGTTTGAAACTTGTCTATACTTGCCTTCGGCATGAGCTTAAACCGTACCTAAGCGAACAATTTTGACTTATCATATTGGTGTACTTGCAGAGTGTATAACGGGACAAGGCGGCAACGACTTGACCACAGCAAGGCACGTTCAGACTCAAAACGGCGGCACGCGAAAAAAGTATATACAATCCGAAGAGAAAGAAAGTATCTAGGAGCCTAGGCCCCATGCAAATGAAAGAATCCACGCTGTATGTACAATTCAAGCCAGCTCCTTTTTCGTATCTATGCGATGCAGTCCAGTGTGTCTCTAGGGTCTAGCAACGTCTAGCAATCCCTTCCCAACATGTTCTAGTCCTCTAGTGTTCGGTCCGAGTCGGCTACTAGAGTTTACAAGCACTGGTAGTAGTAGTCGTTGAGTCTGGAAGGCTTGCAGTCAGTATGTGCTTCCCGAATATGAGAATGTCCAGATGACTCACTTCGTGCAGGTGCTGCCGCTAACACATGTGGTAGCACCAGTCCAGGTGAGGCCACCACATTGTCCGTACTTGGCTACACCTGCTGAGCTCGTCGTTGTTGTCGTGCTAGTTGTTGTAACGGTCGTGGCCCTGCTTGTGGTCGTAGAAGTAGTCGCTGTCGAAGCCCTGCTAGATGAAGAACTACTACCGCCGGTACTGCCGCTAAAAACCACGAGGGATATGGTTAGGTGCTGCGCGTTTAGGTTACTAGTTCAGAGAGACATAGGGAATACCGAACCAGGATACTCACCTGCTGAAAGTCGAGCCGATGGGACCGAATTTGATGTTGGAGTAGACAACGGTGGAACTTCCTTGGTTTGCCTCAACGTCAGCGGGGACACCGGAAGTGGTGGCGCAAGTGCCACGGGCGGCACCGGCGGACGTCGAGTCGACAGGGTAGGTAGAGTCGAGCCAGAGCATGTTGGCAGCATGATCATCCCACAAAGACATAACCAAGACCATGGGCTCAGCGAGGGCCTTGCCCATCTGAGCGAGACCGCCACGCTGGTCGAAAACATTTGTGTCACCGAAGGCAGTCTTTTGAGCAGAGCAGTAGTCCTCAGTGATAGAATTTCCGGTCACACCAGCGATAGTGCTCTGGGAGTTGGGGATAACCTTGCCGTTTTGGACGTAGAAGCGCTTGATCTCGCTAAGCTCACCAGCGGTGTCGGTGAGGAACTGAGTGACAATGCTAAGCTTCTGGGTGGTGTCGAGAGTGTAGCTGGAGCCGGGTCCGTAGAAGGTCTTGTTGCCCTGGCGGTAGCTGTTGAAGTCACAGCCATCAGGATCACAGTCACCGGCGTAGCGGTCAGAAGAGTAGGTTCCACCGCAGGCATCGCCCTCGCAAGAGTGGTAGCCAGTGTCCGTACAAGGGTGGGGGGTGTAAGCGGTGGAGATGCTGTTGGCTTCCCAGATATCCATCTCGGAGCAGCAGGCACCCTTGCCACCAGTACCAGCGTTCTTGTCGTTGGATGCAGGTTCCCAGCCCTCGGAATTGGCCTTGATACATGGTTAGAATTTGCGCGTGAATGCTTGTGCTGATTAGGAGTACGTACAAGACCGTCGATCCACTTGACATCGCTAGGGCATTGAGAGTCACAGTAACCAGTGCCATACTTGGCACCAGCCTTGTTGGTGGAGAACTCGCTCAAACCACCATCAGCATCCATAGAAACGAAGTAGACAGCTCCGTTTAGACCGCAGCTGGAATCTCTCGTTAGTTGCTAGCTTAGCTTCCGGGGAATTGCTTTTATGCTGCTTACCCAAGCTTGGAGACATCAACATCGAAGGTGAACTCGTTTCCAAGAAGCTCAAAGGTCTGGTACTGAGTGTCCGATGCCATGAGGTAGAGACGGCTACCAATGTTGGTGCTGTAGGCACCAGTAGTAACGAACTTGAGGGTCATGGCGTTACCGCTGGTAGTGACACCGTAAGTGGCAGAGTAGTCAGCACCATCCACGCAACAGTTAGCAGCGCAAGTCGCGGCATCAGGGCATAGAGTCGCATCCCACTCATTGCCAGTGTAGCAGTTGGTGGAGCCACTGACAGAGTGTGTCCATCGCCAGTTGGCATCGACAGTGACGGATCCGGCCTTGGTTGTGCAAGTGCCTCCAGAAGCGCAAGTCGACCACGAGAGCGACGGGTGAGTCTCAGTCGTGAGTGAGCAGGCTTGCTGCGCCCGGACTGCAGCGATAAGGGCCGAAGCGGCCGCGATCTTCGAGTGGACGTGCATGTTGAGCTGATTTGACTTCTGTTGGATGGCTGTTGCTTTAAGGAATGGACTGAAGGAGCGTGGTGTAGGAAGACAAAAATGCTCTTGTGAAGACGGGACGGAGAGCTATATATCTTTCGATTGCCCTCGAAAAAGCCCACTCGATGGGTCCATGATCGGCATCCAGGCATGATCCAGATGGTAATCTGCTGTTGACGTTGAGGAGTTCGCACGACAAAGCAATCTCATGACCATGCCACAGCTCCGGGACCCAATTTGGAGAAACCAAGTCCGGGTGGCGGCCCGTCGAACGCTCGCCTTCGTCGTCAAGCTCATCGTGGCGAGTGCACAACCTTCTGCGGGCTTTTAGGGGCGTTGACCCTGCCCAGCGGGCTCGGCGTCTTGGACAGATGAGCTCGCCTCAAGCATAGACTTTGCAAGCGATAAGCATACATGGAGAGCCTCCGGCAGAGCGTGTGGTACAGACGGCATGAATGGGCAGCGTCAAGAAGGCGATGTCACTTGAGTTCGCCATGACGGATGGAAAATTGCATGGCTGACCTTGGCAGATAGATTATGATTTCCGGAGTAGGAAAGGGACAGTCGGTAGAGACCATCCCTCATTGGAGGCTTATTTCCAGGGCCACAAAGTTAGAACGGAGGGCATCTACCGAGCACCACCTAAAAATATGGCATAGGGCCTGAACTAGTACCCTTCAGGTTATGCTGCCGCGGGCTAGACGGATGTCGGTCCCCTCGCGCATGTTTCGGTTGAATGAGGCAGCGTGCCTGGAATTTCCTCGTGGCCTGCAGCGGATCGCGGTGAGAAGGAATCATGGTGTCTCATCGCGCGGGTGAGTCGGGGAAGTTGGAGAGAGATCGACGGATGCCCCAGATTTGCAGGGTTACTCCACAGAATTGAACTCGTCACCCCACCACCCGCTCAGTCTTAATTGTATGTATGGAGGCAATCCCGCGTTTAGATACCCGCAAGGGACCTCAGCCTCCATTTGGTTTAGTCTGCAGTAGTCTGAACTCCAAGTCATTGAGGACAAGCTTCTTGTACGCCTTTTATCCGGAGAGCTTACTGACATGTGAGCAGACTCTGTCTCGTCTCTCTGCCCACGTAGAGAACCGATATCCAGGTTGATCAGGACGTTTTTTTTGCTGAGTGTGGTGCATTGGAAGGTGCATTGACTGGTGACACCCATTTGATTACTTGGAGAACATTGGAGTCACTATAGGTCCCTGACATATAACATGCCGGTACATGATTGGGCAATAGTAGCATCGGGTAGATGATCTGCAACTTCATCTATATTGCCTATCAAACCCAAAGTGGACGTGACCTGGGGCTCGGGAGGCGGCTAGAAATAAAAATGCAGCTGGCTACCCAATATAGTTTCAGCACTGCTCGGGTCGCTTACCTCATCCGAGAAAGCGGTGTTCGTCCACGACGGATTTACGCGCCGACATCTGAGGACGCCGCACATGACCAGATCGAGGACCATGGACAAGCCATTTCCGAAAGTGGAGGAGCTGTTTGCTCAGCCAGGGTCTCACAATGCTCTGCCTACGCTCTTACTGAGACATGAAACAAATGGTTCCCATATCCGATCGAGACTTGAACAACGAATTTAACATAGTCATGCAGATGTCCCTTACCTTGTACTCTATTTGGGCGGGCGATCTTGGTTCAGATACAAGAGACTGCAATACCCGATCAACTCTAAATCCACCATTGCGCCTCAGCGCATTACTTAGAGAAGCGGCTCATGAAAAGCAGTTTACCTACTGGTTTGGGCAAGTCAAGCGAGAGGCGAGGCTTGCGTGTTGGCCGCATCGTATGACCGGTCCGTTAATGCTACAGTAGCATTGGTGACATATGTGAAAGCATGAGCCTCACCGTTGTGGCTTTTAAAAAGCACTTGGCGTGCAATTACCGATCGGAAGTATACCGATTGGCCAGCAATTTCTTTTCAGACGGGTTGCATGTCCGGTTCAGCGGGGGGATAGATTCAAATGAGTTCATACCTGCTAGGTGGTGATTTCGATTTCAACGCTTTCTGGTATATACCTCGAGATGCTACAGTTGAGTATATAGTGACCTGTCGGATCGTTGTTCCTCCTTCTCCTGGAGGCCCCACGCAACCCTATCACGTGTTAGCAGGTTCCAAGCTTTCCGTGCTTTCGGTTACAGTAGTAGAAGCAAGTTTTCTTGCAGACCCCGGCTTCTTCTTCCGCTTGCCGCCAGAACCCGCAGGCGCCTCACGGACCCATCGAGCAACGGCCTCAGCTCGCTCCGTCAAGATCGGGTATTCGCGTCCATCATCAACAGCCCAGCGCTTCTGAGATACTAACGATGGGGACTTTGCGGGACCATTACTCCCAATGGTGTTTCCATTGGTAGCATTGGCTTGATCGGCCTCGGCTCTACGCTGACGAGCCAAGATAGCAGCCTTGAAGCTTGCCTCATCATTGACGCGCTCGTCCTCAAGAGCCTCAATTATCGCCTGATGCTTGAGTCTGTCTTTGCGCTGCTCCTCAGTTTCGGCTGGACTCGGCCCGCCCGTAATGGCCATTGCGTTGGCCGTAGCAGTGGCGGCCGAGAGGTTCCCGCCCGGCGACATGGCCGTGACGAGGGGGGCCGGAGCACAAAGTGTTTCCCAAGTTGAGGATAGACCTATCCAGTTCTCGCCACGTCGTAGGATCTCAATCCAATCAGCCCTTGCTGGAGATCGACTGGCCTGGAATATGGGGTACCCATCTGTCAGCCGCGCGAGGCGGGCCACCATGTAAGCATGCCTCTGGAGCTCCTTTGCAGATGTCTGAATAAGTGCGTGGCACAAGAGCAGCGAATGAAGGGCATCTGTCAGCAGTGGATGGTAGGTGACGAACTCCATTGCAGTCTCAAGAGATTCGGGCGCATGGGCAGACACGAGGTCTGTGGAGGGATACGGGGGGAGATCCGCGGGTGGCGTTGCAGTGAAGAGTTCATGAAGAGAATAGACTATATGACCAACACCACCGTTGATCGGACTAGACGGGTCCTGGGCCCCGTTGCGTCCCTGACCCTGGTACCTTCTGCTCCGATGGTTGGCTTGGTTTACTTGCCTAGTGAAGTCATCGGACATTTCCACAGGTAAGTCTGGCGAGTACTGCAAGGACTTGAGGTACTCCATGTAATCACGGAGAGCCCTTTTTGCATACATTCTCACTGCCTTGCGGTTTTCCACCTCTCTTTTGGTTGGCCCCCTTTCGGAGGCGGTGGTGCCTTGATTTGTCAATGGAGGCGTGGTCACGTCGTTTTCCGTACCGTTCGCCTTCACTTCCGAGCCGGGGCTTCTATGGGTTCCACGTTTGAGCAAAGAGGCGTCAACATGACCACAAGCCAATGTTAAATAACAGCCGGCGCGTTGGAACAACAATTGAACCTCGGTGCTTCTGGGCTGGTCGCGCTCGTCCAACGATGGTGTATCACGGCGGCGGTTGTTTCTGCGTTCCAGCTGCATGTTCTCGTAGGGAGGTCTGTGTGTAGCCAGGTGATAGGTTCGGTAGACACCCAATGCTCGAGTGAAGTCTTGGGCAGCGCCTTCGAAATCATTCTTGAACATGCGCACAATGGCCCTGGTTCTCAGAGGCTCGCAATCGCTATGCCTCTGACTGACGATCAAGTCGAGGGCACGCAAATCGGTGCACTCGGCAAGCTGCCTGCTCGGGATTTTCTCGTGAAAGAAGTGAACATAGTTGGCGTCTGGATCGCTCGGGGCCCTCTGCAGTACCAGACCGGCGACGTTCTCGAGGGTGGATGTCGACTGCATGGTAGCTACGCTGGATGCGATTTCGTCGATGTGGTAGGCACGGGACAGCTTTTGAGTGGCTTGTTCCCGTAACTTGAAGCGGCGCTCTGGACTTAATTTCATGCCTCCATTATTCATAAAGCCCAGCCCAAGTGCCTGCATCTGATGCGCGGCGCCTCCAGCAAGGGAGTTGGACATGGCGGTCGAGGTGACTCCGTTGGCAGCTCGGACGGCGAGATCGGTTGCATCATCTACCAGCTTGCGAATCTTGACCAAGTCGTAAAAGACAGCCGGGTCTACTGGGCGGGGAAGAGGCATATAGTAGTTGGCGTTGGCGACGGTCTCGAGGACCTCGAGCGGAAGTTGAAGCCATGGTCCGTGGAAAGACGAGATGTATTTCCAGTGCCTGTGAGGATGAGTGTCAGCGCAACCATGGACGTGTAGACTGGGCGCGGGCCAGGACCTATTCTCCCTGGGCAGGGAATACTGACTTGTTTCTGCAAATGACAAGTGCTGAGGAAGAAGAAGAAGAAGAGGACTGAGATGCTGGCGTAGGCTTGTTGGTTTTTTTGGTAGTGGTGTTCGGGTCCGAGTCCAGGGCTGAAGCCGAAGTGGAAGTGGAAGTGGAAGTGGAAGTGGAAGTAGAGGTTGTCGCAGTTGCTGTCGTAGTTGCTGTCGTAGTCGCACTCGCCGTCGCAGCCGCAGCCGCAGTGTCGACCCGCTGGTCCTCGCCCTGACCGGGCCCCTCGTCTGCCACGGAACTCTTTTTGTTTCTCTTAGCCATTGCGCTGTAGAGGTTCGAGGTGCACAGCAGGGGCTCAATGCAAGGAGGGATGCTGGTCCGAGAGTCGGATACAATGGCTCCAAAATTATGCCTGCATTGTATTCGCTCGTCTAGACTAAATGCAAAGGCTTGTCCACAAGTCACCCGTCCCAACGCCTTCGTCGCAACTGCGAAATTGCTGTCGTCAATTCACTGACTTCCGCCGGCAGTTGCGCTAGGTTAGCGTTATCGGAGTTCTCGCCCGTCGTATCGCCACGTGATTCTATATTCCTCACCTGCAGAACCCCGTTCACATACGTTAACAAAGTCATCGTCGTACATCCAAAAGCATCAACTGAAGATGCCATGGGACACGCATTTAAAGACTGGATCTATCGTCATCACCACTTCGATGGACTTGGCCAACCGGAGAATCTGTTTCAGGGAAATACACCTATGAGCTTGTCCCTATTGTGTCGCAGATGCCCTGCAAAACCCCCCGTCTTCTCAATTAGATTGGCAGCACTGATTTCGATGGGTTCATCTTCACGTAGCCCTTGCGAGAACTTCACCTTCCCAAGCTTGTCGTTGTTGCGAGAATCATAAAATATGTACAGTAGAATCAAGTACGAACAAAGTGTGTAGTATATACAAGAAGAGGGCACCCAGTGGCACGTTCAAAAAGGCCGTGCACAACACAGCACGAACACTACGTCGAGGCATAATGCGTAACGTCTGATGAACATAGAGGGTCAGGTTCCACACGAATCATAATAGGGGTGGAAAATTCTGCCGGTGGTACTTACAAGCAACCTCCATCATGGAGCCGTATCCATCAAGGGTAGCAGAATTCGGGTTGCCAGGCTGACATCGCGACCAATTAGCCCTTATAATCCTGGAGCTCTGTAGAGGATGGGGAAGTCTGCTTACCCAGGATCCCCCGACAGCCACGTTGAGAATGAAGAATACAGCGCTGTGAGCCAAGCTGTTCCAGGTGGTCTGGTCTCCAATCTCGGCACCGCTGATTTCATTAAAGGCGATGCCGTCCATGTACCATGTAATTGTCTGGCTGGTCCAACTACTAGGGGTGTTGTCCCAGACAATACGCCAGGTGTGCCAGCTTTGGTCGGGAATTCCGATCGAACCTTGAATGCCGTTGGGCTCACTGCAGATACCACCCGGGTAGACATTACAGTGCACCGTACCGTATCCAGTCAGATATCCGTTGACTGTCTCCATGATATCGAGCTCACCGCAAGCAGGCCAAGCCGTGCCATGTCGGATAGAATCACCAAGAAGCCACTACAGCACTTGGGGTCAGTAATCACTTCTTTCGCAATGGGGTGAATGGTCTTCGGAAGTATTGTAAAAACAGCCACAAAGAAGTCGTTGCTTGGAATAGCACTATACGCTCCTTGGACATGCTGAGAAGGGTAGAAAATGATTCCGGGGTTTGCTTACGAAAGCTGGCCAAATGCCTTGCTTGTTGCCAATAGCGTTGGTGCCGAAGCGGATAGATGCTTCTGCCATGGTCTTGCCACCGGCTTTGGGCGTGAAAGTGTAGCTGCTTTCTATCCGGCCTGAGGTCCACCCTCCAGAGACGGATGAGTCCTTCCATGGAACAATTTGCAAGGTCTGGCCACCACTGCGCTGCAAGTTCTTGGTTGAGGAAGTGTAAGTCTCGAGCTCGGCATTCACGCCGAGGTTACCAGTGATGATGTTCCAGTTGCTTGTATCGGGAAGCGTTCCAGAATTCCCTGCAAACGTGGAAGACCAAACTACGTTATAACCCGAGTACGAAGGAGAGGAAGTGGCAGAAGCAAGGCCAGAAAGGAGGGCTAGATATAGCCCAGGAAGCATAGAGATATACATGATTGGAGAACGATATAATATGGTGAAAGGAGTGTGTAAGAATATAGTATATGTACAAGGATTAGTGGATCTCTCGCCTTGAGACTTGTGCTTGAAGAATATCAAGGCTGAAGTGTTGTAGATCCTTCTAAGGATCGCCGGTCCCTCTTATACAGAAGCCAAAGGAACCACTCCATGACTTATCTCTGATCATGCTAAGTCTAGCCAGGCCTGCTGAAGTATCATTCCCGGCATGAGTCGTGATCATTTGAAGCAACGGCACCAATCATGGTATAATAAGGCCGCAAGTGATTTGGCCGACGAACGTGCCGCAACTATCTCCTTCTTGGCTTCCATTGCAGTCCAGGCTCCTGCAAAAGAAATTTCGCAAAACTTTGCCAGAAATTTGGGAATGATCCTAGTTCCTGAGCCTCGTGGCAGGGTCCGGAGACGTTGGCGCGCATTTCCACGACTGTGCAAGCGGCAAGAAAGTGCCTACTTGGCGCGAATTCCAGGAGCAAAGAGTCGCATCCGAGATGGAGTGCAACACTCCTTCTGATCTAAAGGGGTTCATCAGATAATGCTGTCATGACATTCACTCAACCACACTACAAGTGGTTTATGACTGCTCATTGGCCGACCTACGTGATTGCCATCACGCCTCCTGGAGAGGTTCCTGCACTAGCGCAGTGTTTGATGCTTAAGCCGGGCCCTGTAATCTGGTTGGCGTACCCCAGACTTTGCTGGCTCTGACATGTCAGTGGTGGACAGCTGATAGAGCTACACAGCTCCTAAGTGGGCCGATCCGGCACATGGGATCGTGCCACGGGACGGCCTCGGTTGCTACACCCCATTGGGCATAATGATTACGCGAAGGCTCACAGATCTTGAGCCACGTTCCAGACTCATTTTCTTCCAGAAGCCCTCAGCGCCAATACATCAAAGACAGATGTCCACGGGTTTCATTTGACATTGATGCATCATTTCTGTACAAAACCGTGATCGGTTTGTTTCGGAAGATTCTGGAAAATTCTGACCGTAGTCCTGGTCCTGGGTCCATGCGTTCAAGTCCAAGTCCGGATGGGGCACTAACTTGAACCCTACCCTTTGGTGCGGCAGCGACCCTACCTCTGCTGCTTCGTCTGCAACTACAACGACCAGCTCACAAATTCTCATTTTCCCTTCTCGGATAGTTACTTAGGATGGAAAGCTCCTGCTGACGACCGACTCTGGAGCCCGCACGAGGTAGGGGTTCTTGCCACAACCCCGAAGGTCCTGAAATGGAAGGACCGACGAACATGTTTCGTTGAGGGCCGTCGAAATAGTGCCTCTGATGAACCCTGCCAGCCTTTTGAACAATAATTGATGGCAGATGCCACTGCTTCATGGACTTGGATGGATCTGATTGTTCTGCATCGCGCCTGCGGGTCTGGCGGTCGATTTACCGCATTGGTGTTGAAGTCTGGGGTACTGCAACTCCTGACGAGGTCATCCACAAGGAGCGCCAATCGGTCCGATGCACCAAAATATCACCCCTTGCGCGCCAAGCTATAACTACTCATTTGTGCCGCACCCGACTAACATAAGCATTGCCAACCTACTTCCGGTGCTGCAAATCTAAAAGGAAATTCCACCACTAAGTGAAGCTACAACATGAAAATGATATCTTGCGGCAAGAAACTGTGAGTTCTATACACCGTCAACATTGTCTACCAAGATCACTCGGAAACCTAATCACATGTGATCGCTTCAAACATCAAGGTGTGCCGTCCCTGCCACCATTTCCATATTTAGTGCGAAGTGGACTTGATAATTCAATCAGCAGTTATCCAACTTTATGATGGGTTGATCGATGGTACATGCCCTGTGATCCTCATATCTGTGTGTCTGTCAGTTGTTATGGTTGCGTCGCTCGCTTGATATCTGATTAAGCTGCAAGCTACGTTGGTACCTATTCAAAAATTCAAACAAAGCATGCATGCGTTATCGCATGCCCCCGTACCAATGTAACATGCCATCCACGAATGCTCACTGCGCTGATTCAGCATATTGTTCCAACCCTAAATTACTGACATTCTTCTAGTCTGTGGCATCCAACACACGCACAATCTCATTCAGGCGGGATCGAGCTAGTATTGCTACGTCACATGGCATTACCCTTGATATCCTCCTTCCACTCGTCTTTGATGGTTGCTAGCAGCCCTTCGGTGCTCAGAATATCAACCGCAGCGCCAGCTAAGCCCTTGCCAACCCGCAGTGCTCTTTCGAACGCATCCCTGGTACCCGCTGCCTCGGCAAACTCAGGGTTGTGTGGCCCATTCCCACCGGGGCCCGGAGCGATTGCGAAGGATGGACTCAGACTTGGCATAGCGTAGCTGATATCTCCCTGGTCAGTACTGGCCATCGTGCGCCCCTGTATAGCGTCAACATCCTGGTCGATCGGTATCAGACTCGAAGGTGAAAGTTCATTAAAGTACTTGGTATACGATGCAGACATGGCACGATTTGGCACATGATCTGCGTAGGACCCTTTAGGAGTTATCTTCAGTTTCGCCCCTGTAGCAGTCGAACCGGCCTCGAAGCATGATGTGACCTTCTTCTTCAACTCTTCCAGTCGAGCCTGTGTGTTGGCGCGGATCACCCAATTGCCAGCGGTGTAGGCATGTATGATATTTGGCCGAACTCCTCCATTAGTGATATGCCCCTGGATGACATCGCCTGGCATGCATTGCTGCCGGAGGACAGATATGGCATTGTATGCCGTGACCATGGCATCCAAAGCGTTGATGCCTAGCCAAGGGCTTGCAGCTGCGTGAGCCTCACGCCCAAAGTACTCAACGTGAATCATGGTGTAAGCCGAGGTCCTCATCATAGCATTATTTCCTGTGATGCCCGGATGAGAGATAAGGTTGACGTCCACACCATAATCTTTGTAGGCTCCAGCCTCGAGCAACTTAATTTTACCACCACCGCCTAGAAGCGTTTAGTGATGTACTCCAGTTCTAAGAGAGTCGAACAAGACATACCTTCTTCTGCAGGGGTTCCGAAAACGACAACCTTTCCACCGAGATGATGGAGACTCATCATTTCAGCGGTCGCCAGCCCACCAGCTACAGATGCAGTCATGATGAGGTTATGGCCACATGCATGGCCAATCCCTTCCAGAGAATCTATAATCGGTTATCAGGAGTGATCGAGAATATCGCAAGTGACAAAACATACCCATCTCTACATTATAGGAGATGACAGGGCCCTTCTTGCCGCTGTCCCAAACCGCAACCCAAGCTGTGGCCATGCCATACGCCGAAGGTGTGACTTTCCATCCTTCTTGTTCTTTAAAGAACTTGGTGAGAGCTGCGTGCGCAATGATCTCCTTGAAGCCGAGCTCAGGATTGTCGTGGACTGTCTTGTTAAGCGGCCATAGATCGTCGGCTCTGCTGTCAACGTAGTCGCTGATGTCGCTGAGGTATAGTGGCTCGTCTTTTCGGACCTGCCCCACCCTGCCATCAAGCGTCACGAACACAAAACCGTCTACTTCTCGCAACATCTTTCTCACGCTGCAGAACGAGGTTTATCGGCTGCTTGAGCGCCTGGCAGACAAAACACTCTCTGAAGTTGTGCGGATAGTGTTTCGAATGACGCGTGTCGGATACGAGATGATGCGAGAGGCTGGAACCCCCGTGTCTGGTTCGATATTTACGAATATCGTTACCCGCGCCGGTACGGTTGCTTTCTGCCGACGATTCCTGTCGTACTGAATTGCCGCCGGCAGCAGTTGATAGTTGACTGGTGAGGTGCCCCCGTTTTCACCATCCGAGCTAGGACTGGAACGACTTTACTTGGCATTGTCGGCCAATCATGATGTACGCGCAATCGCACGTCGGCGGAGGTGGCCGGGGTAGCTCCCAAGATATCGGCTACGGTCCGCGATAGGAGTCGTGACAATGAGCATATGAATAAGAACCGGAAGCCCCCAAATTATTGCTATAATGTGGTTGGAGTGGCCTTGCAGTGACTTATGTCTCGGTGCGTTGATCACAAATCCATTGTACGACAAAGATGGCAGCTGAAAAACAGGGAATCAGTGATGGGATCCGACCTGCAACCGCCGATCAGGATCCTGGTTTGAACAAGCTAGACATTAAAGACGAGACTGGAGACTTTGCGGTAAGGGCTCTAGCTGCGGGCCCTGTCGATGAAGCTGCGTCCAGAAAAGTCCGCAGGAAAATTGATCGATATATCCTACCGTTTCTGTGTATCACTTATGCACTTCAATTCATCGACAAATCCTCCCTGGGCTATAGCTCTGTATATGGAATCATCGCGGACAACGGCTTGGTAGGCCAGGATTACTCCTGGGTCAGCTCTATCTTTTATTTTGGATATCTACTCGCCGAATATCCAGGAGTCGCCATCCTCCAGCGGTTTCCAGTGGCGAAATTCCTCGGGGCAAACATCGCCCTTTGGGGGATAATCTTGATGACAACAGCGGCATGTAACTCATTTGGCGGGCTCGCCGCAGCTCGATTTATCCTTGGAATGACCGAAGCCACCATCTCACCCGGCTTTGTCGCCGTCACGGGCATCTGGTGGACGAGACAAGAACAAGCCAGCCGCTCTGCTCTGTGGATCTCATTCCTGGGCGTCGGGAGCTTTGTTGGCGTGCTTATCGCATACGGTATCGGGCACATTACAGGCCACCTCAACCCGTGGTATGTGAATTTCGAGATCCACCACTACCCTTCCTAGCTATCTCTTTGCTGTCTTGGAGGCGACCTGAGACCACCTTTGTCCCTAGCCAAATACAGGAATACTGACCTCTAATTGCCACATAGGCGATACATCTATATCATCCTCGGCGCAGTGACAGTTGTGTGGGGTGTCCTCTTCACCATTTTCGTCCCCGACAGTCCCTCACGCGTAAAGTGGCTGAGCGAAGAGGAAAAGGTCGTTGCGGTCCAGCGCGTCATCGGAAACAAGACGGGAACCAAGACTCGCCAGTTCAACAAAGATCAGATACTCGAGGCTGCTACAGACCCAAAGATCATCATCCTGGGATTGATATCATTTGTCAATGCTCTAGCGTCTGGTGGACTATCATTTGGATCCTTGATCATTTCGGGATTCGGGTTCACTCCTATCCAGACAACATTGATGAACCTGCCCTTGTCCACCGTACAGCTGGTGACTCAGCTTTTCGGCGGATGGCTGATCTCGAAAGTCTCCAGTTCGCGTCTAAATATTGCAACTGTTGCCATGATTCCACCAGTAGGTTGTCGTTCACATACGGTTAACAAAACTTGGTTGCCCTAACTCCTGAAAAGATCATCGGCACATGCCTCATTAATCAGCTTGCGACCGACAACAAATGGGGCAGACTGGTCGGCGTCTGGCTCCTTGGCTCGTACCCTGTGGGCTTTATGGTGATCCTTGGCCTCCTGTCGACCAACATAGCCGGCAGCACGAAACGCTCGGCTGCCTCAGGTTGGGTGTTCGTGTGCTACTGCGTCGGCCAGATCGCGGGGCCCCAATTCTTCAAGTCCGCCCAGGCCCCGGCCTACCATAGTGGGATTGCCGCCATGCTTGCAGGTTTTGTATTGAACCTTGTGCTGAATCAAGTCTTGAGGTCTCTGTATGTCCTCGAGAACAAGAGGCGAGATCGAAGCATTGCGGATAAGTCCGAGGAGGAGATTACGGAGATGAAGCGCGAGAGCGACCTTCAGGGCTTTGAGGACGTCACAGATAAGGGCAACGTAAGTCATATGCATTGAGATATGTCTTATAGTGTGACTAACAGATAAATAGGCAATGTTCAGATATGTGCTCTGAATACACGTTATCTGCATTTTTGTATTGTCGGGTGAAAGACCACATTTGTGGTATGATGAGATTTACCTAATTGAGAGGTTAAATATGTCAAAAATATTTTAATGATGTTACAATCCTGGATATTACCGCTTAATGCGTCCCATAGTATTAATTATAGAAGAAACCTAAGTGCCGTGATTACTTCAAGTAGTCCTTGATGTATCGCAAGTTTTCGATGGCAGCCAGACCATAGAGTGCCACTGAGTTCGTCGATATCCAATCTCCGCCATCATCGACAGGTGCCAATACGGAACTGTTAGCTACGCGGGTAGTACTCCAAGGGTTCGTCGAGATCAGGCCATCCTTATCAAACTCCTTCCAAGCACGCGCAGCTAATGTCTCGTTCTGTGTCTTCCATGCAACGTAGGCTGTCAACCGTGAGTGACCTTGGTAAAGACTTAAACTGCCAAAGCTGGATCCGTATTTTGCAGTTTGCTCAACACTTCCGGCACCATAATAATAGGCATAATCAAGATAAGCATCCAGGATACCATCCGGTAGGTCGTCTTGTACGTGATCTATGATCTGGGTGAATATCTCCTGGAGTCCGAAAACACCGTCGAGATGAGAAACCACTACTATGCCTTCATTTTCGAGATCCGTTGGTGGCGGGGAGAAGGCGCCATCGGTTGAGTTGTAGTACGCTTCTCCAGTGACTAGTCCATTCTTGAGAGACACAATGGTCTCAAATCCCTTGAAAAGTTTGGACCTTGCTTCTTCCCACCGGGGTCCGCGACGTTCCCATTCATGTAACCAGGCACCTGCCAACCCAAACCAGTCAAGACCAATATTGATGTAAAGAGCTTCCTTATCAGGGACATAGGTGACATTTGCGGAGCGGACCTTACGTCGGGCATCAACCAAATAAAAGGCTTGCTCAGCATCCAGCACACCGTGGATGACATCCCCAATCCTCTCGTCGCCGCCGGAGATGTAGTAAAACACTCGTCGATAAATTGTGGTTGAGATGCGGATCTGCTTCGCGCTATCGCCCCAGTGTAGCACTCCGTGCCGTGTGCCCAGACCTGAAAAGTTTCCGATGTGATAGATATCGACCTCAGAGGAGTGGCGTACCTGAGCCTCGGCGAAACGGAAGACGTCAGGTCGGCCTGTGCGCAGGAATTGATTCCAGAAGAATAGATCAGGCGAAAGTTCTGAGTTGTCCCAAGCATAGCCGCCAACATCGTACCGCCACTGATGCCGGCTGGAATCGTATGTGTGCATGAAATCACCAAAGTCCCAGAAACCGTACCATCTACGCTGCTCAACTTGGTTGCGGTAGAACTGAATTAAGAAGTCGAGATGCTTCTCAATGGTCGCGGCAGCTGTGGTGGTGTTGTCGGGCAGGTCCCAATAAGTGCCAATAGCTTCACTCTCTTTCAAGTATGCTGGCTCCGCTACAAGCAAAGGTGGTGCATTTGTGTATGCAGTCAGATCAACCAAGGTATCTGATGAGGGAGTGGCATCGAATGCGAACAGGAATATCTCAGCTGTTCTTGCAACACCATATGGCGTGTCGTACCCACTTTCCCAGTCTTCGTAGGTGATCTCGAGGGCATCTAGCTGCTTGGCATACGTATCTTCTCCCATTCCGTCATGAAAAGCTCGGTTATCCATAGGTCCTGCAGAGGGACTGTACAGCCAAACAGTCACCTGGCCGATGTCATTTGCTGCATTCCTGATATCGAGACCAGTTGGGTATCGCTTCCAGAAGTCACGAAGGCCAACTGCCAGACCACCACCTGTAGCACCACCGAGGTACGCGAGACCTTCTGAGCGATTGCCTCCAGGAATGTTTACCCACGTGTACCCAGCCTTTGTGCGCTTCTTCAGTGTGAAGCCGTCCGGAGACAGCTGCGACAGGCTGTAATCGCCCCATGTTGGGATCCACTGTGTTCTGGTAGTGACGCGCGTGTCCCAAGTTGATTCATCGGGCAACTCTTGACCAGCAACCTGAGCAGCACGGACAGCAGCACCAGGGTCTCTCCTCAAGCCAGTGATACCCTGCACAGCTTCATTGAGGAATCCACCTTCGACTCCTGCGATCCTGACATGACGGTTGTATTGCTCATCAGACAAGGGTACATCAAACCGGATTCCAAGGCCAGTAATAAAATCTGTTTCCTGGTCGCCATCGAATATGATGGTGTGGACAAGTTTGATTGCGTCCGAATTCGCGTAAAGGTAGAAGCGAAGGGTGAACTGGAGCCAGGGATCGTGCTGGCCTCCCGAAACAAGCTGGTGTTTGCCCTTAACCGTCACCAGGGCTCGTGCAGAGCTGTCTTCGCTTACGGTAGCTTCTTCAATCTCGCTCTGGAACAGTAGTCTCTCAGGTTGACTGCCTGCTTCATCATCCTCGACAATTGATGTCTGGGATTGCAAAACCAAGACACCGTTCTGGCCAATGACCTTGCCACTAGACGTCTTAATAGAGCTAATGAGTGCTGAGCCTGATTTCTGAAAAACTGCAGTGATTTTGCCGGTGTTCACAACGATGTCGCTGTCAGACTCAGTAGCCAATGAAGTTAATTGTCTTCGCAGCTTGGAAGACTTGGGATAAGTGCCGTTGGTAGAGTTACTTCCGGTGCTGGATGGCGAGATGACATACTCGTCAGCTACAGAATCTGTCGCTGCAATGGCGTGACCTGTCCACTTGATCGAGTTGTCCGGCCAGTACGCCGTGATCCATGACTGCAATTGAACCGCGTCACCGTCTGCAGTAGCTCCAGTGAAAGTTGTGGTATCTGCAGGATATTCGCCACGAGCCCACGGCAGGCCAAAGGTAGTTCCGAGGTTTGAGGAAGGAGTGCCCTCGAGCCACCGAACAGACACACCGCTGCCGGTTGTACTGTTTGAGGAAGTCTGCGAGAGTACTTGGCTGATAAGGCCACAGGCGGCAAAAAGGCTAGCCAAAGAACGCATGGCTGCAGAAGGAGTGGTTGGCTGCCCCGGATGCGGATTGGAGAAGATTCATGTCGTTCCTTCCAGACATATATGTGCCCGTCAAATCATCGCCAATCAACGCCCCGGTGGATTTTAAGCCTGGGCACGTTAAACTTGGTCTGGTACTCGCCGACTCTAAAGGACATCCTTGGCGGACTTTCGGGCTAACATTGCAATCGCCATAAGACGTGACCGTTTTGATTGCAGAACTCATTTCCAGCTGCATGGGACCTGACAGGTCGACGCACTTCGGAAGCTCTGCGTCGTGCTCAGGTACTATCAGCGTTCTTCGCCTAATATCGCGTCATGGCCTGTGGGGTAAGGACGTCCGGGACACGCTTTCGCGACCAAGCCGTGCCCAGGCGAAGAATCCACGAATCAAATGGGTCACTTAGAACCGGTTGGCCGGATAAGTATTGCTGTGAATCATCGTGTCCCGTGTATGCAGTAAGGTCACAGGCGATTGGGGTAAGCCAAGGAGATTCACGATGGTCATGAAGAAGCAGCAGCGTTGAGCCAAAACCCCACATAGACGCCAAGGACGATATCACCGTGCTTCCCTGCCAATACATAATTGCCAAGCATTGCCCGGGGTAGCAATGACCCGAAAATTTCTCATGGAGATTACCTTGGTTGATGTTAGATTCAGTGCGCAATGCTGACCTAATGCTTTCATCTTGCCATGAATAAACAATTGGAGGCTTGAAACCCCTAAGCCAGTTTTTAAAGGCCGGTAAATGTCGCACAGAAGACCTGGGCTTCTTTCTCTCGATGGAGATTAGGCGCCGTACTCACCGGTCTGATGTATACATAGTCGAAGTAATGAAAAACCAGTAATGTGCGGTGAGGTGAGCGTTAGAGTAGTGGAGCTTGCATGTTGTCTACATAACTTTAAGCTCTCGGTACTAATCTGTCAATGTCTCAATTTCAAGGATCGAGATACGACATCGAACTGACCCATCGGCGGTCTTTGCCAAAGTTCCCACATGTCTGAAGCCTTCGTCTTTTTGACCTCCACAGCGAAGACTCCTGTGACAATCGTGAATAAGCCCTCACCTTCCTGGTGATCATTAGGTTTGCAAGCACAAATGGTGTGATAGGTTGAAGGGATCAGCGTTCGTTGGGCTACCAAGTTAGTGTTGGCATTAGGTCTCAGGACTTTGCTGCGACACTTGATAGCTGGTTTCCGTGCATTGCCTTGAATGTCCAAAAAGTCCTTAGTAAGGTCCATGACACCACTTGCCCCGGCCTCTGAGATGATTAAAGAGCTGCCATCATTCTGCCAACATCCCTGTAAACAGCCACGAGCTGAGAGGTCTTTGATTGGAGCTTTGTCAAAGATGGATTGACCGTCGGTCATTTGGGCGGAGATGGCGAACCCGCTATCAACGAACACGAGTTGCTCGATATCAAACGAATTAGCAATATGATGCACATGTCTTATGGTGTGTACACGTAGGTGCCATCCCGGCCATCGCTTTATAGGTGGGATCAAATGTGTCTCGACAATAATGTCCTGTTTTCTCCATGGCTTCCAGGAGCTTACAAGAGTTGGAATTTCCTCGGTGCCATATCTCAGTACTTCACGTCGGACATTGTATGGTTCCCAGCGAGTCTGCCAACTTTCACCGCCGTCTTGACTTGCGGACAAAACACTATCAGGCGCAATCTGTTCTAAGAGCACCCCTACGGGCACGCTAAATGCGAATGCTGAAGAGTACGCAAATTTCGAGTATTTCGCCTCTCGTGCCCTATGATCCTTTCTGGAAGACTGTCCGGAGGATAGCAGAAAGTGATGCTCTGAAGTATTGCAGATTATCTGTTTGGCAGGCCAGATGAGTTTAACCATTGGTAAGTTTTGAAGTTGTGCCGGATATGCCGCTTCTTCAGAAGTCCAAAAGGGATGTCCAGCTGGAATCCCCAAAGCAACGAAACTTTTCAGACACCAATAAACTGATTGCGGAGAATTGTAGTCTTCGGACATATACATGTTCGGATATGTATAACCGATATTCAGTGTGCCGTCCGTATTGAAGATACCTTCTTGCTTAGCCCACCAACGTACATGTCTCAGGAGTAGGCCTTTCACAACCCCAATCTGGTCTAATGGTTCAGGCAATTGAATATCAGCTAACGCAACAGCAGACCAAAAAGCTGCGAAAGCGAACCGATAAGTCAGACTCCTGCCGAATGGAATTGCTGCACCTTCTTCGTCGAAGTACCGCCAATACTGGATGGCAAATTCCCGTGCCTGTTGCTTATACATTCCCGTCCTTGTCGAATCGTAATCAGCAGCATATTTGATGAACAACAATTGAGCAAACTGGATTGCGAAGCTTCCAGAATAGTAGTCGGCCTGCTTCCTTTCATCTCCCCAGAGTCCATCACTGGACCAACCATCGCCTAAGTAGAACGAATCAAGTACCGCGAGGTCTACCCCAATCTGACCTTGGAGTATCTCATATGGTACACCAAGGCATTTAATCAATGCTAGATTGACGAATATTCGAAACCAGCGCCAATTGTTGACAGGCATCTTGTGTGAGTTGATTTGTAGTAGCCAAATGCGGAGGTTGTTTCTGGCAGCCTCATCGTTAGAAAAGCCAAAGATAGATGGTGCACTAAGAAGGGCGAGAGCAATTGATTCCATTTCTACCATTCTCTGGTCAAAATCGACGAGATCACCCCAATACTCTATCGAACACGGGTCGGTCCCAGCTTTCAAACCTGCGATCCATGACTCAAGGTGAAGCCCGTCGTGGCCAAGTAAGAGTTGGTCTCCTTGAAAACGCTGTCTCAATAGATCTGCAACCACCCATAATGGACGTGCAAACCCTTCTAGTTGAGCAGCTGTCTCGCTGAACCCAGCTCCACTTGCAGTTGCAATCTTGATGCGTGCTTTCTCAGAAGACTTATACCTGTCGAGAGGCTTGAGAAGTGCTGCGGCTCCGGTAATAAAGTCTGATCTAGTTATGAATGGGTTCGCGGAAAACCCAGGAAGAGAAGGCATGATGAAGCTTTCAGTAGTTACAAAGTTGACTGTAGCGTTAATTATGTGGTGACCCCCACTAATGTGCCCTCTCAACTTTATGTCTAGACTAGTCTAGAGTTGGGGGACAGCGGACCTTTTATATTCACACGTTCTCGGTCATCGGACGAATTGCGCTCGCAATTCAACGCTTCATTCATTGAAAATCCTATGGTTACTATCGCCCAAACTCCTTCATTAACCCCCTGCTCATCTGCGTTCCTCCATCATAGGTGCTTGGCCCAGTATCAGTAACACACTGATCAGTCATCTGGTGGTATTATATGTAGTTAATGCTTTGTAGCCACCTCGACATGGACAATTTCTTCTTCCTTCAACTTTTGATCGTCATCATCGTCGTTAGCGACGAATCGATGAAGCTTCCGATCCCTCTTCCATAATAATTGACCTAACATGAAAAGTAACCAGAATGCGACCGTTAACACAGTATTGACAATGAAACCTTTCCGCCACTGAGGTGCCTCGAGCACCGGGAATACAGTAATAGGGTAAAAACTGAAAAACGCCCATCCAATAGTCATCTATATTCGAGTTAGCCAGCACAAAATAAAGGGCCGACGTTTGACAGCGGGCGACTTACCATGGCTCCGGTGGTAAAACTTCGGGCCTCGTTATCATCTTTCATGACAATGTTCACCCATGGGAACAGTATGGGTGTGACGCATGAAGTCATTCCTAGGAAGTAGTAACTCGTAAAGTGAAGACCTAGTGGGATGTCCCAAATCAACAGACAGATATTTGAGAAGAGTAGGAAAGCCGATACAACTGTCATGATTGCCCATAGCGGGTATATCATGCATAAAGATGTTGAAAGAATGCCAGTAACGATGGCAACAGCTTGTACTCCGGTCGGGTAGATGTTTATCTGCGCGATTGTATAGGTACCATGCGTCTCTGCTTCATATTTAAGCCAGAGAGCCATCTGGCCCCCAACATACGAAGTGCATTGAAAGCTATTAAACTCAGCAGGTCGCACAGCACAACGTCGCAGGATCAAGATTTGCTCACCAAACATAGGTTATTACTGCAACGTAAAAGTGCCAGTGGAGAAACACTCTCTTCAGCATTTTCTTGCCAATTTTCTTCGGCTTTTGGACACCTTCATCTCTCATTCGTTGTTGTGCGAGTTTCTGTTCATCCTCTTTGAGCCACCAGATCTTTGGACTAGTCGGTAGACCAGGAAACAGGAAGTAACCGGCTAAAGCGATTGGCAGACTGATTGTGCCATCAATGATGAACAGCCATCGCCAACCAGACATCCCAGACACACCGTTCAAGTTTTGATAGGCTGCTGCTTGGAGATATCCACCAACCATGGCTCCAAGGTTGCTTGACACGTACCAAACACCAGCCCGCTTAAACATCTCGTCTGCTCTGTACCAGGAGGAAAGAATGTAAATACTCCCAGTGGCTGCAGGTGTCTCAAGAACACCTAGCAAAAATCGTAAACCGAAGATCTGCTTGTCGCTAGCAAGTCTGCATTGAACGAAGGTCAACATGGACCACAGAACTTCCATAGTCGGCAAATACCATCGTGTCAAATTAGGCCTGGATATAATCATCATTGAAGGAATTTCGAAAATGAGATATCCTATGTTATAAAATGTGCCGAAGAGTGAATATTGGTTGCCGGTGATCTTGAGTTCCTCTTTCATACCGGAGTTGTAGGCCGTGTTGATGTTGGACGAGTCAAGCCATTTTAAGAAAACTTAATTATAAATGTAAGCTGAGCACTCATGCATGCCAATAGATAATACTTACACATCAAGCAACAGAGCGGCAGAATGATGGAGTCCTGCTTTCGAAGCAGCCTCTTCTCTTCTGCTGAGTAGTACGAAGGATACCAATCGAAAATGTATAGCCAGGCCCATTTCATCGATTTGGGCTCTGGCTTAGTTGAAGAAGTTGGTACCATAGCGTCGTCCTTCATGGCCAAGTCGGAATGGATTGTCGGCGACTGAGTCGCAACTGCTGTCCTAGCTGCCATGATGAACACTATACGGTATAGTGGCACTGAACTATGCTGGAAGGACAATTAGATAAATTTAGAAGCAAAATTGATATTTGCAATCATCGCAAGCCAGCATTTATAACCTATCTCCACAAAAGGACTTGTGATCTTCTTCTTCGCCATGTCTCTTTTAGGTAGCACCTTGTTGACAAGGGCCCTGGGCCTTGTCTGGGGTAAGCTATCTTCTCCACAACTTTTACTCCGGCAGACATCAGGACATGTACTCACCGCATAGTTCTTTTCGGGGTTTCGGGCCAGTGGTATCGGAGTCTGGAGTAGCGACCCCGGCCCTCGGGCGAATGTCTTCGTCTACAATGTACTGGTCTAGGCAGGACAATACGGCTTCTAAGCTTAAAGATCGTACTAGACAGATAATTAGGACCTCTTTTATTAGTAATTAGTACTTCTGAACCTATAATGTAGTCAGAGAAGAGGTCGGGACCATGGCTGGTGCGCCGCGTCTATGTCTGATTGGGAAATCATGCCGCTAATATAAACTCAGCAAATTTACCACTTAAACACGTTGGCCTCGTCGTTCCTACATAACCAGTCTATACTCAAACGCTGGTACTGAAATAAAATGGCCATCACCAACCGTACTTGAGGAGCCACAAATCTGTATCGTCGTTCTTTTTATCCCGCATAATGATGGCAAAGCTTGAGCCTTCGTCACTACTCATAGACTTGTCGCAACCAGCATCGGATTCTAGCTCAGATGGAGACTCCCTTCACCGTAGCACTGACTCTTCCATAAGTGACGCCACTGAACAGGTTGATCAGACCGAGGTCAAGACACTCATGTGGCCTGGCGCATCAAAACAACATGTCTTGCATGAGCTATATACCGAGAACATAATTGCAAAGACAATCAGAACGGCGATGAAGTCAGCCAAATTTTTACCACATGCATTTCCCGAATATGTGCCCCAAGAGGGACCTGGAGCTGGAGAATACTACCTCCGTGAGGCTGACTTTTGGACATGCGGCTTCTTCCCGGGTACCCTCTACACAATGCTCGAGCGATCTGTGAGGTTTCCCCAGAGTCTCAATATTCTAGCGCAAAACATCGACCTTCAGCTATTCCGCGAAGAACTGTTGAGGCTTTGCAGAATATGGTCGGATCCACTCTATTATATGGCAAACCGCACAGATACCCACGATATTGGTTTCATCATTATGCCCGCTCTTCGTCTTGACTGGGAATTGAGTGGAAATCAACGAAGCCTTGATACCATCATTTGTGCCGCAAGGAGCCTCGCCAGCCGATATGTGCCTTCGGCCAGGGCAATCAGAAGCTGGGATCTTATCAGGAAGAAGGATATCGAAATCTTGTCTATGGAAGATAACCTGATCCTAATCATTGATAGCCTGTGTAACCTGGATCTTCTGTATTATGCCGCCTCACATTCTGTTGAGGACAGAGGTCTTCGTGACCTGGCGACCGAGCATGCAACCACACTTCTAAAAACCCATCTTCGTCTAGAGTCGACAGCCCTCGGAACCAAAGACATTTACACTGGTCATTGGTACTCAACCTGTCATGTGGCCAATCTGGATCCAAAAACTGGGGCGATCAAACAGCGACTTACAGCACAAGGATATTCTGATGACAGCACGTGGGCTAGAGGACAGTCGTGGGCCATCTTAGGCTATGCACAGACATATATGTGGACCAAGGATGAGAAGTTCCTACACGCAGCTTGTGGTTGCGCAGAATACTTTATCCACAGACTCGAGACATCACCTTCAAGTGTAGAAGGGCCGGGCTCGCGTAGCGGAGAGTCAACGAAGGGACACTATACTCCTCTTTGGGACTTTGACGCGCCAATCTATGACCCAACCAATATTACTCCCTCACTCAGAGACTCTTCTTCAGGGATGATCGCTGCCAACGGGATGCTTATCATATCGCAAGCATTAGCAGCTCTGAATCAGGACACGTTAGCTGCCAGGTTTCGCAGGGTTGCAATGGAAATCACTGATGACATACTTGACTTCGCGCTTGCTGAAGAAAAAGCTCAAATCATCGAGTGTGGGGCGACATCTATTATAGTCAATGATGTGGTACCGGGACAGAACTTCGAAGGAATCCTCAAATTTGGTACAGCCAATAACAACGCAAACGCTAGAAAGCGCTATGCTAACCACGCATTGGTTTACGGTGATTACTACCTGGTTGAGTTTGGAAATCAACTTCTGAGAATGGGCCTGTCGTAGGCAAGCGTGGGAGAATTTACCATTATAAGATAGATTACATATACGTCACTAAAACAGCCAAGTTGGACGTGTCATTACCAGCTCCCGCCATCAAGGTTTGCTGAGAACATGGCGCCATCGTCATATGAAATGACCCTATCCATGTTTAAGAAGTCTTGGTCGAGAAGCATTTCCGGTATTCCAGTTGGTTCAGTTGGTATTACACCATTTGAGACATTCGCATATAATGTAGCATTGTCTCCAATCGTGTCGGGAGAGTGAACTGCTGGTATGCCTGGAGGTGGCATGTCTCCGTTGATCTGGCTGCTCTGTCTCGGTCCAGTAATAGATGACGCATACGTCACCCATTGATTAATGTCGCTTCCTATATGATCAAGTGAAGTCTGACTTGCTACAAGGTTACTGTCACCGTCGGGTGTTGTTGTTTGACAACCATGGTCAACCTCATCAGTGTAACCCACGACATTGATTCGATATGTCTCATCAGCAGTACATGTCTGATGAATGTGCTGCAATTTTGATGCATATTTTGCCGCTAGGTCAACGGTTTGAGCCTCCGGTCGCCCAAAAGTGCCCTTCCACCGTCGAGAGACTTCTTCCAGACTCTGTAATAAAAACCAGAACTCGTCGCCTAGCGGACGTTCAAGGTAGTAGCGCCAGTGGATTAAAAACATTCTCGCTGCGATGTAAAGGCAGAAGCAATACTGTGGAGGTATAGGCATCGTCTTTACGGCGAACCTCAGGTAATTTTGGGTGATCTTAGCAATCTCTACGCCTGCAGAATAACATGTCTCAGCGCTGCAGGCACTAGGAAGCTTGTTACTGAAAGCCCAAAAAAGTGAAGGATAAGCTATCGGTTGGTGAAGCATGATCATCGAAGAATTGTGTGTAACATGCGCCAGCGTTAAGTCTGATTACACAAGATGTCAGCCTGTGGTAGGAGTAACTGATAATCAAACCCTACGCCAAAGTACTGATATGGGACAGGGTGATATCTTCGATGTCTAAAGTAGAAAGAGGGGATACAAATCACGAGACTATGACATACTTGGGTCCATTTTAGGAGTGTGAATTCGAGTCATGTTGGCTTTCCACTTCTGGGGCAGCAACATCTTCCAATAAACTAGTCGCAAATCCAATTCCTTGAAACGCGCAAGCCAAAGATCGACGCTTTCTCGGTCGCGCATATCGACTTTCTGCTGCAGAAAATAGCTGGTTACACGGCTCATCGACTCAGTGGCTTCTAGTGCGTAACCGTATGCACCCACTGTAGACATGTCCATAACCGCGACTTGCCCGCCTATAGACGATGACCCTGAATCTGCTTGGCTTCGAGCATCAGGTGACCAGGCCTGGTCAGAAGCTTGTTGATTCGAGGGCATATAGATAATCGGGTTTCCAATACGACTTGCTGATCTATCCCAAATGCCAAAGTAAGGGGTGATGACATGATCTTGTTTTCGCCAGTAGATGCCATCGCATGGTAATCGACGATGCACATCATCCGATGTGAGGCTCGTGTTCCAGCCCATGCTCACCGAACACAATCTATCCAGGCTAAACACGTTCCAAAATACCCGCCGCCGCTCTTCAAGCTCAGTCCAGTCTCTTGTACTGCTAAGGAAGCGGTATGGTTGACACAGTGGTTGGCTATCCATACTCTCTTGCTCTATTGATAATTGGAGATATTCCACAGTTCGAGTAAGCGATCCAACCACTGACCATGCTTTCTCGGAATTTCCGCTGCTTATCTGTTCCAGTTAGTCATACGATATATGTGAACAAGCGCTGCTCAAGAAGGCGAACCGACATCATTGTAGGCAACAATTATGAGTGCCTGCATACTTTCCACGGATAACTCATTCATGGCCGTATACACAATCCAATCTCTCCTGGTCGATTGATCAAGCACAACGCTAGTGATTTGCTCATCCTGAACATACTTCGAGGCAGCAAGAGTGATGGCATGAGTCAAGACAGCAATTTTTCGCCTCTCATGAGGGTCATCCATCCTTTGACGATACCGTTCTTGATGAATCATAGGTATCCAATGATGCACATGAGAGAAGTAAGCGGTAATGACAAGTTCGAGAATTTTGTCACCCAGGAGCTCTGTCACTTTGCTGATCGCAGGTGCTTTGATTGACAATCCCGTATCCTCATCTTCGGTGCGTCTCCGTTTCCGAGGAAGGGATGAATGATCGTCACTAGAGGAATGATTTTGTGACGAGCTATCAACGAGCTTCGGGAGTTCCTTGGCTAACAAGGACACGATGTTGAGGGCGATGGTCTCCTGGGTGTTGCTGCTTGGTCCTTTTGTTGGCAAAATATCATCTTGAGCCTCAACATCCCGCTGGTCACGATTCCGAACATGTTGTTCAAGAGCATCTGTCTTTCTCAGCAAATGACGCCCAACTCACTATTTTTGAACGTACCTAGCCTTCTATGCAAACTTTCTACGGCACCTGCCTTGAGTCCTGGCTTTACGCGTTTTGTTTCGTAAGTGCAAGAACCACCTAGGCATGATCGATCAGCCATCACCTCAGTGGGAGGAGAAATGCTCCAGAAACTGTGCCTACCAATCTTTCTACAATGCTGACACTACATCATTTGGAGTCAGTAGTTGCTTCTTCATAATGGGTTGAGAGTATTTGGGAGTATTGTTGAAACAGTCACCAAGATGCAATTGCCTCTGATAGGCAATATCAGCCTCGCAGATATACTAGAAAGGGTAGAAAATGACTCCGAAAATTACTTACTGTGGGCCGCTCTCGACTGCATTTCAGTTTCGATTGTCGGCATCTATTGCAGCTGTTATCGCCATCAGTCGTGAACGGTCAGCGCTTGACCACATACAACTTACGCCAAGCCAAGAACTTCTGGGCGAGTATTGGAACCTTCGTGCCCATTGTCGGGGGGTTGAGGAGACATGGCTTGGCACCAGGTCCGATTTTCCCATTAGATTTCTGAAACTACTCTCGTTTATAACAGAATGGGACCATGCAGCGAGAGTAAAGTAGAGGGGAAGGCCTTATTTAAGTAAGATTAGTCCGCAGGCCGTGTCCATTGCCCCGACAGTCGACTGTCGACTGGCCACTTGGGTCAAATTGAGACAGGGTTCTCCGCAAAACATATCCTCGATAGTGGCGTGGCATCCATCACAGAACCATCTTGGCATTGACGCTCATCATTCTGTTTATTGGGTCAATCGCTGCATGCCATGGTCTGCAAGCTAAGAAGGGAGTAGCAAAGACCGAGAATACAGGTTTATCCATGGACTCATGGCCCATGTATACCGTTGGTTGAGGTTCCACCGGAATTTATCATTGTGGGGATCCCCGCACTGCTGCACATCAGCCCACCAGAATTGGTACGGTAGTCCTCATATGTCACACAATAATCGAACTGGCCAAACAGAGATATTTGTGGAGGTCACGGGTAGTATGTCGTCCCCGACACTCTGTGTCAGGGTTTCACTATAACCAGCCATGTAGGCTATCGATTTTAGGTGAAGTGGTCTACCCCGCCTAATCATCGAGACCACCACGCTGATACACCCACGGCTGATCATTGGCATTCGTGGCGAGTTAAACCAGAAACGGTTTTCAAGGATGGGTTTTGCTTTCAGCAGTGAGAATGGCAAAATATGACAGCGGGGAAATCTTTGAAGACACCAGATTTTGTGAATCTCGGCGACCCTCGGGTATCTTTGGATTCGGCGCCGGTGAGGACTTTGTATCTTGAGCGGCCTTTCATCACAACCCTTGTCCTTATGTGATCACTAAGAGGGGTACAAGTATAGTATCAATACATATTGAGACTCAAGATGCAGAAGGCGTGGTGGATTAGAGCAACGAGAGATGAGTTCCTCAAAAGAAAGACTTGGAACATCTAGGAACCGCCTCAAGTTAAACCCATCACCTTTCGAGTAGATGTGAGGTGACGTTCATTGTCAAGACTTGATAGCTAGAAATTCTTGCTTAGAATGCAATGTAGATGTTAAGGGTCAGTGCCTCGCATTAGACCAAAGTAATAGATCGGACATGGAGAGTCGAGGGTGCTCATTATATTTCTCAGGTAGTGGGATACTAACTCGGCTGTGAAAACATCAAATTGGAACTAAGAACGAAATATGATTTCTTCACCGCGTTGCTACGATGGTTATATGTTCGGCCCAAGCAATATTTTAGCAATGACCCTTGGTCTTTGATTTTGTCTGACCGTGGGCAATTTCACATAATGGAGGAACTTGTGCATTCATTGATTATATTTGTTTCTAGCCCTTATCCCGTTTGCTTCCAAAGACATTTCTGACCCAGATCATTATGCATAGCTCAATTGCGATCAAGGGCTCGATCATAGGAACAACGTCTTAATCTCACCGGTACGAATCGCAATAAGTCGGGCTCGCTTAGACTGTAGTCTAGACAGGCGGCATCAAGAACCAAATGCGGAAACAGGATCGTCCAAGATTTCCGTAGCCGAAATCCATACTTCCCACAGATCACAGAATTGCAACCCCTACTACGCCATTTATGTAAAAGGCATAAGCGTCTTACCATGGTATGGCCACTGGTCCGTGGCTTGAGTCAATTGCTGCACGAGTAGAATGAGTGCTCGAGCGATGTGATACTGCACATGCTGGTGGGAATATGTGGTCAGTTGAACAAGCTCAAAATTAAAAGAGAAGCTTATTTCCATGGTTTCTCAGCAATATCATAGATTCTTATCGGAAACAAATCCTGCAGCGGAGGTGAGGTGTTTTATATAGATCTACGAGGAGATAAGACAATGCACATGATTCAAATCGGTTACAAGGAAACTGGTTTTACCTCAAAATTTGCATTGTAGCATAGCCACAAGCAGGCCTTTTGTACGAAGCAGCACTGCCAGTACTCCGTAGATTCCACACGGCTCAGAGACCCATAAAGCTTAATGCATCCGGTATATCCTTTGTTATGCTTTATAGCATAATCCAACACTCCTGTAAATACCAACTAGTTGCACTCATATTGCAAGCTGCGCACGTCCTAGTACAGCACCGGTTCGTTCCGACCACCGTTCTATGTTGCCTATTATGTGGTATGGATGGTTAGCAATGTGAGCTCTGTACCTCGTCCCAGCCTTCGGATAGCGGCGACCCGACATCTCCACATTGTTCGTCTACATCTGATTCAGTACTCGATATATCGAATATGACTTCGCTTCCTTCCAGGGAATCCAGATCAGACAAAATTGGAGTGTTGAATAGGGGCGACTCACTGATACCTGCATAGAAGACATAATCGCTGAACATTCCCATACGGTCAAGTCGTGCCCGCCAGATTGATACAACCTTCACTTGGTTGGCAATAAGATGTAAAAGCCGGAGACGGTTAGAATCGCCATCATTCATTGCTATGGCCATAGCTGCTGCGATATGCCTTAACTTACAAGCAGCAATAAGCCAACGTGCGAAAAGATCTCTAGCGCCATCTGTGTTGATCCTTGAGTTGGCTTTCCGCTTCTCTATAACTATCCAAGCTGATGCCCTTGTCCGGTCAATATCAGCAACCGGGTTGAGGATGCCAACTCGAATGAAATCCAGGATATCTTGAGGTGATACAACTGGTGCTCTCTCACGGTCTATCGGTAAACCTCTGAGGTGCGCCACAAAATCCTCTGTGAGAATCTTGGTCTCTGGAGAACCAGCACTTTCATTTGCTTCCAGAATCTCCTTGACTTTTTTGTAGCACTCATCATCAACTTCGTCGCATTCATTGCAGTGCGGATAGGCAAAATCAGGGATGTTTTGCGCTGATGCATCTTGGCACATACCGAATGTGTCCGATTTTGCTTTGGCTTCATTGCACAACACCGTCTTGAAACCAGTAGCATTTGCCTCTTGTATTGGGTGACCAAACAAGGCGCATGTCTGGTAAGTGTTGACGAGGATACACATTCTGTAGACGATCGAATAATCCGGATACTCTGATAACTTACAAGTCGTGGCAATTCCAGCTTTGTGCGCTGTTCGAGCCGGATGCGGTTCTTGGGACGAGGATACATAACGTTTTATAGTTATATTGTCATCACAAAGGCTTGTTCACCCGTATGTCTAGGTGCATAGCAAGGCGAAAGAAGTCCTTATTGGCCATGTCCTTGTTTCTTTGCAGCATCAGTCATGTTTGAGTCATTCATGGCAGAGTCCGCGAGCAGCTGTCGTAACTCATGGGTTCAGGGCCACACAAAAGTAGAGAAATGCAATATGTTGCTTTTCGTCTTTGTTCCTTTAGAAACCTTGTTCACGCCTGTTACCTCAATACGCCATTCTGGTACCGGCAAACATATTGATTGGTCCTCATGCAAACATTGCCTGAGCTGCTGGTAATTAGGGGGCGCGACGTGCAGACAGTGATGCTCGCAGAAAGTCGCACAAACGGTAGTGGGTTAAACAGCCTAATAGCACAGACCATGAGAAAGGACCATAACACGAGCGGCACGTCGAACAATGACTTAAGCACGAAAGGAAATGCGTTGATCCAGTACTCGCTGTGCCCAATCTTTTTGAGCCTATGAACTTCGAAAAACGCAGTAAAGGCGACATAGACTGATTTCCTACGGCCTTCGGAAGATCAAGTCAGGTGAGTCCATACCGTGAAGGTAGAAAACCTTTGAGGGCGATTTCCTTTCCAAGGTGGGTAAAGATTCTGTCTGAGACATGTTTGTGGAGTATGGTACGTACTCGAAGCTTAAATGGAAGCGAGAATTATGTCTGGCGAATCGCAAAGCTCAGCTGCGCCCCAGATTTATCCCTGCTAGTCACTGCCAAGACCTTCCCTCGGGTCATGCTAAGAAGTGCTAAGGAGTGACGCGTGCCGTTTTCCCATCATTGAAATTTAGCCAGCGGATCTGTTTCGGCCAGTCAAGCGTGATATGGCTAATTTTCTTACTCGACGATACCACGCTGACTTAGCATAGTCACGGTCGACGATCCAGAATAGTCATGGACTGGTTCTGCCGCCCTGGGCACATCCTCAAATGGCACGCCAGCTGTCATCTGAACATCTGTGGACCCCTTTCCGGCGAGGCGCTACCGGCAACTAACAACGACTCGCGCGCATCAGACTGATTAGTCGCTCCACTTGGCAGGGTCATACGTGCGACTAAGCAACACTCTCATGCCGTGAAACACCTGATTCCTGATGAGAGGGATGCTAGCTTATTTGCTTCATGCTCTCCCGTTGGAGGAAACAAGCAGGATATGGGCCGGAGTATCGACCGCCACTCTAAGTCCGACTTCCATGACCGAAGCCTGGAAGTTATAGATCCGCCAGTCGAATCTCCGCTCGCTGGAAGAGGGCGATGGGAGCTATTAAAGACGGCACATCTGCAAGCCTGGCACCTCGTTTCTCGAGAGCTGATATCTCGTTCGTACTGTATTACTTAATATTTTGTCGAGATGTTGTTTCAAAGTGCTCTCGTCGCTTTCTGCGCCGGGCTGGCCCAGGCGGCCTTAACTTATCGAGGAGTGGATTGGTCATCCGCCGCCATGGAGGAGAAAGCCGGTATCAGTTACAAGACATCAAGCGGTACCGCTCAGTCACTTGAGAAGATTCTGGTGGATAATGGAGTGAACATCGTTCGGCAGAGAGTATGGGTCAACCCATCGGATGGCAACTACAACCTCAACTACAATGTCGCCCTTGCCAAGCGTGCGAAGGCTGCTGGTCTCGACGTTTATCTTGACCTCCACTACTCCGACACATGGGCGGACCCGTCTAACCAGAAGATTCCATCCGGATGGCCAAGTGACATCAACGACTTGTCGTGGAAGGTTTACAACTACACTTTGGATGTGTGCAATACCATGAATACCGCCGGCGTTACGCCAAAGATTGTTTCGATCGGTAACGAGATCACAGCCGGTATGCTTCTCTCCGCCGGAAGTACTTCCAATATGTACAATCTGGCGACACTCCTCCACTCCGCCGCCTACGGAGTTAAGGACAGTAAATTGGCCACCAAACCCAAAATCGCCATTCACTTGGACAACGGCTGGAAGTGGGATACGCAGAGCTGGTGGTATACTGATGTTCTGGCTGCGGGTCCGTTATCGGCGTCTGATTTCGACATCATGGCAGTTTCCTACTATCCTTTCTAGTAAGTTTTCCAACTTTGCCTATCTCACTGTACTGTCGTAAGATTTTGTTCAACGTGTGAGGATTCTTCTTAAGCAAAGCTAATCCTTCGGTCCTTTCAGTAACTCAGCAGCTACGCTTGCCAGCTTGAAGACCAGTCTTACAAACATGGCCAGCAAGTGGGGCAAGGAGATTATCGTCGCCGAAACCAACTGGCCAACATCTTGTCCTTCGCCGGCCTTCACATTCCCTAGCGATCTGAAAAGCATCCCATTCTCGGCCGCAGGCCAGACAACCTTCTTGCAGAAGGTCGCAGCTGTGGTCGATGGTGTCAGTACTGGTAGTGGGTTGTTCTATTGGGAGCCCGCCTGGGTCGACAACGCGGCACTGGGTTCTTCATGTCCCTCCAACACCTTGTTCCAATACCCTGGTACTGCGTTATCGAGCTTGGCGGTCTTCAAGACTTTTTAAGACTAGCAATGCCTCAGTTGTGCTCTCCCGTTCTATTTTAAGCTGTATATATTGGCCATGGAGCCCGATCGTAAATTGACCACCATCGCAAAGCAGTATTGGCCAAGTAATGCTCTGTGTCCATTGTGTTGTTGTTCTAAACTTTATCTTTTTGCACCTGAGCTGGTCTTTGTTATCGGTCCGTGAAGCACCGCAGATGTCTCATTCTTCACAAAGACGACGAAGGTTAGTCGCTAGGCACCTCATTGGAATGTCGGCCCCCAGGAACTTTGCCGCTTGCGAGACAATGAAACCGTCGTCAGGGGACAACCGTTAGTACACAAATTCCGCTAATATTCGATAGAATCGTTGGTCAGTGTATTGTCATTAGCTACTCCGGGGATCCCATGGTCTTGTTTGACATATTGACCGCTGACCCTATCCTTACACATCGTATATTGCATGTGCTGTGACAGTTGCAACTATGCCTCGATTGAGAGAGATCACATCCAAGACGAAGACATCCAGTCTGTCCGAGGCGCAGGTGACGACGGCGCCGCAAGTTACCATGCCTGCTGTCGTTCCAGTCGAACGTCCCAATTCTGACGATTTTATCATGGGACAGAATACCTGTGGTTTCACCTCAGGAACAACGAGTATGCCCCCTTGTGCGGAGAGTTGGCCTGTTTTGATGTGCTGATTGGTCACTGAAGTAACTTGCACCGACCCGACCAATTATTGCATGAATATTGGAGAGTATCGAGGCTGCTGCGCTGGTTCATTAGATGAGTGCAGTGCCACCATATACACAACCTGCCAACAAGGTCTTGGCGCTGCCTACGAGCCACACGTGTTATACTGGTTAGTGAAATATAGTCTTCAAGGTTTTCCAAATATCCTATGGAACTAATCATATTCACAGCACGGGCGGTTCACCATCTTGCATGACTCACTACTATACTACCGATGCAAGCCCAGGAAGTACATATGCCAACGTTGCCTGCGGGACAATGGACCTCTTCGGGCAATTATATCCATTTCCACCAGAACTGATAACCACGACACTAGATGTACATCCCGTTGCGAGTACGGTGCCAGCAACGGAAATCACTGAAAGTAACGGGACGAACAACAGGACTGTGGCCGTTGGGGCGGTAGTAGGCGCCATAGTCGGTGCGATCATCCTGGTCGTCCTTCTCATAATAACCACAGTATTTGTCGCAAGGAGAAAGCGTATTCAAGCCCAACTAAGCACCTCTGCTGCTGCCGTGGCGATGAGTAACAACAGAGTCACTCCAGATACATTGCCTCCTATGTCGGAAGCAGAGCGCCGAAGACATTTGCGACTCTCCACTATACCCGAAGTCTTGAGTCCAACGTCTCCTATAGGTGCCAAAGGGACCGGAAAGATGTCACGTCTCAAATCTATTCGACGTTCATACGGTCCAGACTGGCCACTGGGTACTTCTGATCCCCTTGAGTCTCATCCCGTACCACCGCCGCCGCCCCCTTCAATGCAACAAACACCGAACATGGAGAAGCTTCAGAGTGAGACCCGATCCGTACCCACGCTCAGTTCACCCTCAGCGCCAGCTACCAGATCCCCACCGCCGCAGCAGCAACAGCAACAACAGCCTCAAAGTCCAGAAAGTCATAGTTCCAAAGTGTCACCGCCTACTCCCGACTCCACGAAAATGATGTTACAAAGCCCGAGATTGAGCTACCATCCGCTAAGCCCCCTAGATGCGGCGTTCAATGACGAAGTCGACAGCCGAGTAAGTCGACATGGTGGAGCTAGGCCCCCAAATGCCGAAATAATAGACGATGGACTGGGTGAAGTGTCGCCTATTGATGACGATGGGCACTTGATGGATAATCGGTTGAGCCTGATTTCCATGCCAAGTTTGCGTGGGGATATAGATCTCATTGATGATATTGTAAGCCCGGTCAGCCCTGAAAAAGAAGACGACCGAGAAGAAGGCACATCTAGAGGTGGCGATGTGAGTCCTATCACTGTCAGCCCAACTGAGAGTCGGAGAAATAGTTTGGAAAGTTAGGATGCAGTGGAACTTGATGTGTACGATAATACTAAATACTGTGCTTGACCGAGAATGAGGCGTTGATGGTTTGGAGCTATAGGTAACACCAGACGATGGAGTTGACGGATTTAAACTGTGTTAATATATTACCCCAGGAGTTTTGCATCGCCCGTCCCGTGTGACAAGTCCGCGGGGTTTGTCCTCATGATCTGCGAAATAACATTTACAGGTGGTACTCAATGGACGTCCAGATCCCAGTTCTGCAAAAGATGAGGATTTATCGCAAAAAGAAAAGAAAAAGGACGCATCTACACGGCGATGGCGATAGGTCAGTGGCACGGGGGAGCACCAAACCGCATTCTCAATCGTAGAATCATCTGTTTGCTTTACGAGCGCGCGTTGCCCGGCACCGATACCAAAATTTGTGAGCAATCAGCTTGAGGCGCATTTCAGTGACACAACGGCGGGTTGCTGCTAGGCTAGCTAAGAAGGCTGCGCCAGAACTCGCATTTAGAGAGTCGAGGTCAACATTCAACTGAGCTGCTCGTTAGGCTCTCGAGCTGAAATTAACTGCAGGCATTACCGATATCCTTGCTCGCCGTCAGCGGCGTTTTCCGAAGTGTGAAAGAACTTGCGAAGTGGCATGTATCAAAGTTTTAGCGAGCCTATCAGCTGAACCAGCTGTGTGGGAGCGTCTCAGCCGCATTGTCCCCTATCGAGTCGGACCAAATGGTGCAAAACCCAGATGACCCTCCAAACCACCACGAGGCTGTGCGCGTAGGGTTTTGCTATCTTCCTCATCTGCTGCCCGCTTCTTGTGCTGTAATGCTTGCCTGCTGGTCTCGAGCGTATTTTCTCCAAAAGTCCGCAACTGACGAGGGGCTAGATTGATCCGGAAGCATTCCACCCATTGGTTTCATGTCCTAATATCAGATTGGTCTGTCTCAGTCCTTGGAATATTAATCGATAGACCTTGTAGGGCAAACTTCTGGAAAGTTATAGAAACTTGGCTGCGGTTCTATCGGGATGGCTGACGATGACACTTCCGAACTTGCAGTTGCTGCCGTTGCCCTGGTTGTTGCTTGCGTCGCATTACTTGCGGCAGTTGTTCAGTTAATACAAAGTATTTATGCGACTGGCAAGGGCCTACCCAACCTTGATGAGCGGGTGATGGGAGAATGGGCTAAATTCAGTGGAGTCTGGTTTAAGTGGTGGCAATTGAGACTTGAAGTCGACTTTGAAGCACCCGTCATTTTCCTTGCGCCCGCTCGTAATACAAGGGGCCCAGTCAAAGACGCTGATATATGGTATGCAAGAGGCTGTCCAAAGAGCTTCAAGGACTTCGGAGTCAAAGATAGTAACGACGATGATCAATCTCCAAAACGCGAGAGAGTCCATACAGTCGATAATGAGCTTGCAACATGGGTTACCTTACTGGAGGCTATTCAGAAGATGGAGAAGTTATCCAGGCGTTGGGAAGACAAGCAATGGTTGGACTCCCGGACAAGAAATTCCCAAGTCACGCGACCAGAATTGAAGGAGCACACCATCACCCTTGCTGTGGGCATGCAAAGAAAGAAACGCAGCTTCGATGCAGTGCCCACAGTCAAGAGGCCGTACGCTACAACTACCATTTGTCACCTAGTCGAATTGGCTGCCGTGCTCGGGTTATATTGGAAAGAATTCAATCGAGACCAGAACAAGTATCGTGCTGAAGGTAATGGGTACAGCCTCTTGGGCAATAGGGTTGACGACTTCGGTATCGTTTTCGTATTTGAAAAGACCGGTTGGGCTTCTTTCAAGGACACCAGGATTATTCCAACGCACGAAGTCAAGGAACTCTGTTTTGGCAATGTCCCGACATTCTATCGAGAGAATAATCTAGATGCCGATGATGAATGGGCGTCCCATAGTAAGCAAATTTCAGAATTGTTTCCTTCCCTTTTCAGCATATCTACGAAGTGTATGCAATCTTTCTTGATTGGTCCATGATAGTTATCAAGACTCCCTGCTGCACTATGAAGAAGTAATTTTTAACTCCAAATGCTGTAGTGATAGAACAGAAGTCTCTCAAAACCTTACAGCTCGGCAGCCGGCAAGAGATCGCGGATACGTTGAGCTTGATCGGATGTAACACCAAAACGATATTAAACTTTCAGAAGGAAGACCCAAAGCAGATGACCCACCTATTTCCAGTCACGTTCGAAATCGTCGGAATGCTCGGCCGCACATTGCATGTTAAAGGTCGGCCATTCCGTTATCTGCCCAACCCAACATCAGTGGCCTGGAATTCGCAAAGATTCAGTCTCCGGAGAATGTTACGCGAGTTCGAGCGAAACTTGAGCCACGGAATAAATGGTCGATCCGAAACACACCATTCATTCACGAGTGATCTTCAGCGGATTCAAGCTCTGGCGAGTAAATTGCAGCGCAATCTCCCCGATCAGATGGACCAATTTATGCCAGAGCACCTAGATGAGATACATGGCGCAATTGATGAAACCGACAGAATGCTTTCCGAGGATAGTAAGGATAAATCTGTGGTTCTCGATGTGCTACGTCGGCATGTCCAGGAGGTGATACAGGCAATCAACTCGAAAGTCGACCCAACCAACATGGACCAGCTCAGCTCGCCGATATTGTCTCGTCCTTCTTCGTTTGATGATCTGCTCAACGTGCCACCAGAGAAGCGAGAGGAGGTGCTGATGAAAAAGTATTTCAATGAAATCCGATTGCGAGTCGTTGTCATTGGCTCAACTTCTGGGCATGATGACCACGACGCAATCGAGGCTTCACTACATATACATGCCAACAGCCCGCAGCAGAGAAAGCAGATTCGCGATGAATTTTCCCAGACTGAATTGCAGCAGCAGCTACAGCAACCCCAAGAGATTACCCAAGCTCGGCCGGGAAGCATCGCCGATAGCGTCGGTGGTCAACACCAAATCTCGGATCTTCACAAATCCAATGATGGTGATTCTGCTATATCGCCCCCGACTTCTCAGAAATCGCGCTTTTCCACCGTAGGCCCGCCACATCCAATCCGTACGAACACCGTAGGCCTCGGGCTAGGAAGCCGAGCAAGTACAATACCTCGACATAACGCTCGTGCGAGAACGTGGGATTCTGTTGAAAGCGAATTTTATGAGCCGCGACGTAGCGATATTTGGTGTACACTGGTGTTTCGAATGTTGTGTTGGCTACTCCTGCATGATTTTGACAAGCATGATGTACAACTTAGCAAAAGTGAGTTGATGGGAAGTCGACTACCAGTATACGTGATGTGAGTTCAGGTCATGGTGTCTAGGTATAGGAGGACATTGGCAAGGTTTGAGGTGTGGTTGTATATTCGTCTAGACTATAGAACTTTGTTTCGTCCGTGAAGTAGATATTTGATATTCTTGGAAATTCAGCTGATATCATGTGCGAACGGCCAAAGTCAGAAATTTGATTTGCTTTTCGACTTTATGCTGCTTGCACTCACTCATATTGGTCAGATTGCCAATGCCCATGTCAATTTTGGGCAAAAAGAGAGAAGGGAACAGCAGATGATACACTGAGAGGCTCAATAGGATAAAAGCAGTTGCCACGATAGCAGACCGCCAAGCTAACAACGCAACGCACGGGCCGTAAATGTGGAGAGTGCCTTGTGCAGGCGAGCAGTCAGCGTCAAGCACTCCAGTGCTCCTGGCCAAGTTAACATCAGCATTTCCCATTGCTAACTTAATTTCAACTTGACCCACAATCATCCTCTCTCTCTCTAATCGATGCTATATACTAATCCTGCTGTCAACACATCTCGAAACTTCTCACACAATGGCTATCTGAGACAGACGTCGCTATATAAGCCAAGCTTGTCTTCGGCCATGGGCAAAGCTACCGTCGCCTTCCGCAGCAAACCAATTTCAGCACGCTCTCAGCAACTCAAAACAACACAATGGAAACCGCCAGGTTCATTCAGGTTCTTCGATTTGCCTCCTGAACTCAGACGTCATATTTTGGAGCACCTTGTTCAAGACCCTGCTACTGCACATCGCTATGTGCTGGCCCTCTTCTTAACCTGTGAGAGACTGTACTCAGAGGCAGCCGCGTTATATTACCATGAGGTGGTGCTGGACATAACGCACAGAATGAGACCGGACCCGTTTCTGACTGGCCCATCTACTCGTATCAGTCCACGGAGTTATGTGCGGACTTTGAGCATTCACTTTTACATATCAGAACGTATTCATCGGTTCTACACTTTGTACGGGCCCGCTCTACGTGACATGGTGGAGCACGGTACTCTTCAGCGTTTAGAACTCGAGATCCACAGCCGCTTTCCTGCGGAAGACTTTTGGGGTGGCGATAGCGACACCGACCTAGCGTCGGAGGTTCTTGTCAAGAACAAAAGCAAAGGCAAAGAAATTCTAGCGCCGCGCTTCGCAATTGAGCACCCATTCCAGAGTTTCCTGAAGTTTCTACAGGACGCGAATGTCCCTCAACTCAGATTGTACGTATATGCGTTTGATCATCATCCTTTCTGGTGCCGTTTCCATCGCGCACACAGCTCGGAGAGCTGTGGAGGTGAATGGAAGGGTAAGACCAAAATGCTAAAGATTAAATGGAAAGATGTGGTCACAATTCTAGGAGGTGCTCGAATTATGAAAAATTGCACAACATGATACTCAAGTCCCCTCACTTTACTGATGGGGTAACAACAACTACAAATGATCGAGTGTTAAGGATTGTTTGGGTTATTGCTAGCACGCTGCTCACTTGATGGCCGATCTCAGCGGCCTCTAATGCTGAAAGGCACTGTCGGGTTGGACAGCATCTCAAGATTCCAGCAAAGCCTCGCGCGTTCCGGCTTCCGCGGTATGGTTTCTGAGTGCAAAGCCACCAACAGGAATTTCCTCATCTCCTCTCTGCAAGCCAGCCCATTCGCCATCAATGAATGCTGGTAGCGGCATTCCCAGCTTCTCTTCTCCCTTTGCAAGTACATCCGCTTGGAGTTCATGTAACCCAGTTTGAACGGCAGATGGGATCAGCTCGACGATCTTGATATGCTTGCTTTTTTCGTCGTGGGATAGTTGTGCCCGCAGGGTCCACATGATTGAATGAAGAGCCCCTTTTGTGGCACAGTGATTCGCTGGCCGAGGGATTGGAATGAGCACAAGACCAGAGGTGACCGTCACCAATGCTACAGGCTTTGGAGCCTGTGCATATAGATGAGGCAGGAAAGCTGCAATCATTGCAATATAAGAGGTATAATTGGTCGTCAGCTCATTCTCAACGAGGGATATATCGATTATATCTGGACGCGTGAAGTCCAAATTTCTCTGAACATCCGAGTTCAAGAATACGCAGTCAATTCCAGGATATGCCTGGGTAATGCTGGTAACAATCAGTACGCCTCAAGCAGATCATTTACATATGTGCTTGACCTACCCGCTGGCTCATTGTTTGAGTTCACTCAATTTTATGATATCAGACTGTGATGCAGCGACTTTATCGGCGCCATGTCTGCTCACAAACTCGTTCAGCTGATCTTTGCGGCGACCGACACCAATCACGAAAATCACATTCTCGATAATGCGCTCGGCAAGGGCAAGGCTGATGCCAGATGTGCAGCCCACTATCAACACCGTCTTGTATGGAAATGTTGTTTTATCGTTTCCAGCATTTCCAGCATTTCCAGCATTTTCAGCATTCCCGGTCGGCTCATAAAGGATTTCTTCAGAATAGTAGTACTACCAAAAAAGTTGCTGGCTAAATATGCCTCCAAGATTTGAGGGCGACGAATAGAAATTAGGTGCCGCTACCGATTTCGCATGTAAATTTGATCTATTTCCAGAAAGCAATAATTTATCCATTTTATAACATAAAAAAATTGTCCTCATGACATAATATTGGCTCCACCTTAATAGTATTGTCCCCTTCGAAATTGTGAACTGTGATACTTCGCACCCCGAACCGCTTAAACCCGATAAGAAACATAGTCTAACCTCAATTACCAATCAGGAGGCTTTCACACATTATGTCACCGGAGCTAGACAGCTTAAATTATGCGGGTGAAGTTATTCGAATAAGGGTCACGAAATAATGTCTTCATGTATAATTGTTCAAGATTGCATTTTTGGCCTTGCGGGAGAGCAAACTATATCGGTTCGCATGTAACACGCGCGATAAAGCCGACGCAGACGGATATAATCACTAACGCGTCACAACTTGGCCTACACCCGTTTTATAGTGCGGCTTCAAGTTCGTTCTCCTACCTGATGTCTTCATCTTGTTAGACCGAGCAAATCAATGACTGTATTCGAGTGCTGGTCAACGAAGCATTCGCCAGCTTTGAACATTCAATTCCGATCGTCCCCTTGCACTCCCTTCCTTCGGCCGCTTTGACATTGATATGACTACCTTGCATATCGCCGCTACATTGATATTAGAGGTCCTTTCCAGCCGATTGATTTCGTCATGAGAATAGAAATCACACTCTGCTTCATGTCTAGTCCGAAGAATCTACAGACATATCAGATCTGGGCAGAATACACCGATCGAGCAAAAGTTTCCACAAGTTAGGTTAGATCAGTATCGATACGTGGGGAACATAGAAGGCTTTATTCTGAAAGCTAAGCATAAAGGACTAAATCATACTAGAAACAATACACTTATTGAGATAGTTTAGAAAGTCAAAACTAGATATTTTTGCCATTTTTGTATAATTTATCATATTGTTATAAAAGTAATACATTTTGGTAAGGGAAAAAAATGTGTACATATACTTTTGCTCACGCATCACAACTAAGATGCCATTCTACGGGGTTAACCGTCATGAGCGTTGTCATGCTAATTTGTACTTAAGGCTTATTGAAAGTTTGATACTCTCAAAGTTAAGGCCTCATTACTTGATTATGTACTCGAAATCTTGCAGTTGAAGCATGAAAGATGGCGATTAAAGTAAACTGACGAAGGGGTGAATACCGCGTAGACGTCAACTAGACAAGCGTAAAGTATGTAGAAAGGGATTTGGGATGCACATGCCACATAGCGCCCGTTATTTAGGCCTCTAGACTAGCAGTAAGAATTAGAACTTCGGCACTACCCCGCCAACATACATAGTTACATTACACCTGAGTAAGAAACTGCATCTTCATCCACGATATTGTTCCGCAGAGACGTACAATCATTTTTCGTACCGTACGCCTGAGGCCCAAAATTTCTGCTTCGCAATGTCCGGGAATGAATTTGTTGAGGTAAAAGAATCCGGCATCAATGGGGCGGGCCGCGGACTCTTCGCGACCGAAAATTTTGAGCCCGGAGATGTTGTGCTAGCTATTGGTCGACCACAGGTGGCCGAGCTCGACATGGACCGCCTGAAGGATACTTGTGCTTGGTGTTTCCAGCGCGGGGCAACAGACCCTACAGAGCGCGCCTATTCCGCCTCGATGGGTCTACCCACTGGATTCATCGAGGTCAAGACTTGCACGGGCTGCCACAAGGTGTCTTACTGCTCCAAGAAATGCCAAGCGCGAGCGTGGAAGGCTGAGCACAAGTATGAATGTAAAGTTCTGGCACCGAGCGATAGGCCTGACCTTCCGGATGTTGTCCGTGCCGTGATAAAGCTCCTAGGACGGTTGAAGGCTGAGGGGAACAAGGATGAAAGGATGAAGGATATTCTATCTTTCCGGCCCTTTGCGCCTGGGGGCAAAGGCCTCGAAGATTTCAGCAGGCAGAACAAGAAGCTGTTTGATGACTTCAGCATGCTTGCGTTCGCTGCGTGGAAGTACACGGGCGAGCCAAAGATTGAAGGCGTCGACTCGCATACTGTGGCCAAGGCCTTCTTATTCAATGTGCGTATTCGATCTCCTGGCGGATTTGTATGATGCAAAACTAATAACTAAACTGTAGGTAATGTGCAACAAGTTTGGTCTCTCATCGCCCTTGGATGATACTCACCTGGGAGTGGGCTTTGATCCGTTGATTTGTAGTGCAAATCATTCTTGTGAGCCCAATGTCAATCTTGTTTTCAACCAGCCTAGTGCAGTTATGCGAGCTCTCAAGCCCATCAAGAAGGGAGATGAGATCTTCATGAAATATGTCGATGTCACAAATCCCTTCAGCGTACGGCAAAGCGAGTTGCAAGAGACTTACTATTTCAATTGTCAATGTACAAAATGCAAGAAGGGAAGCAGCGGCCCAGAAGACAAGTTCTCCAAACCAGCCGATGAGCTCTCAGCACAATACAAGAATACGGCTGATAATCTCATCAAACGTCATGAGAAACAGCTGCACAAATTCTTTGTTCCAACAAATAACGAGGTAGATCAGAACCGACTGGCTGCTCTTCAAGCTGAAGCCTTCTCTGTATCAGGTACGATCACAGACAAGAAGCAGCCAAGCCTAGATGAGATCAAGGACTCACTCAAGGGATGCATTGAATCTGGGCTCTGGTCATGGACAAGGCAGCCAGTTCCACAATTATGCCAACAGCTTTTCGCCATGTACATTGCGACGGGCGACGCCTATCGAGCATTCAGACTCGGCCTGAAGATCTATTTTGACATCATGCCAAGCTTATACCCGCAGAAGTTCTCGTCTGATGCTCTCATCAATGCTTGGGCAATGTCGACAGTCACCAATGTTCTCTGCGGTCCAGCGAACAAGGAGATCTACGATGAACTCATGTCAAGCGGCGTAGACCTGCGCATCGTGTACTTTGGGTTTCTGTTCGAAGTTCATGATAATATTCCGAAGATGTTCGGTTATGAGTCGCCCTTCGGTCGTGTTGTGAAGAGCACGTACGACCAGATAATGGCTGGCACCACGGTTCATGAGTCAGAGATTCGAGACAGAATTAAGACGACATGGTCTTCGCTGGAGACTATTGGTAGGAGTGTCAACGTCCTGAGTTTGTAGCGGCCATTACAATAGCCGTGCGCAAAGAACATCTTCTGCATCAAGCCATGCGGCCAAACCTGTATTGTCATCCGCACTGCCATCAAAGTATGTTTCGCAATCCGCACCTTGACGGTGAAGACGCATTGAAAGGAGCTGTGTTGCTTGAGCAGAGGCAACGGCGTCTGTAATTCCAGTACTCGGCCGCACTACACAAAGACTCTCACCATCCAGGAAGTCAAATTTGGCCGTAGAAACAGGCACCCTCAGCTTTGCTTGGCGATTTGATTGTGATCTGGTCGAAAGCCGTCCATTGGATGCGTCTCCACTCGAAGACACTATTGTATGCACAGAAAGCCTTGGGGATGCAGCCAAGCAAGTGTCTGGAAAGAAGATGCTGCGAGTCAGACAAAGTCACCTCGCTGCAAAAGCTCCTTGGGTATGCACAAAGTAAAGAGCGCCCGCATTGAGGGGCCCGTCATGTCTGGTTGGCAACGTCATCCCTGCTCGCCCTGCTCGCCCCGTGGCCCTGAGCTGTTGGTCCTGTTCGTCACTTTCCCATCCCCCTACTAAAGTCGCGCGCCGCAAGCGTCAAACGTATGAGTGCAGGACGTAGGCACCAATAAATGTCCCCTGCTCACAGCTATTCGATGCGTACTTGATGACATATATGGTGAATAACTACCTAGGTTAGCTATGGAGTATTAGTAGGCCATGAATGAGAGTCGTGCCCACATTTCCCTGTTATGTATGCATCCTTACTGACGATCGTCGGGTTTCCTTCAAAGACCAGTGCCAAGACGGTTCCCAAATTTCGGATTCTCGGGTCTTTTTTGTTTCGTTTTTGGCTCTTCTGGAAGCCGCTGACACCCTCTGTCTCTTCTGGTTTGCAGGGAGCGGTCCCAGTGAAGTCATAATATTGTAGCGCCCAACCGATAAGATAAGCCCAAGCCCAAACTAATTACGTCGCTCCGGCGGACTCCCAGACACCGTTCAGTGAGGGGTCCTAATTTCGCCTTCTTTGCCGGCCAATTTGCGACCGGAAACGAGGGCAGTTGAGGGCAAAGACTCCCATGCGCAAGAAAACACCTTAAACCTATACGGGCTGTGAGGTTTCTCAAGAAAATAAACCAAAACCAAAACAAAAATACAAAAAAAACAAAACAACCCTCGCTGCAGGATAACACTAACACGCGGGGCGAAGAGAGAGAAAGACACAATACAATCATGGGTCTTACGGGTCACCGGATTCGATCGCGAGCCGGCTCCAGCGCGAGTATGTCCTTGAGGCCCTGCTCGCAAAGAGACTTGATGTCCTCTACTGGGTGCTAACCGTTTGGCGCTGCTAGGCAAGGCATCGTCTGCCGATGAGGATAGCGACACTACTGTCGTCGAGGGCGACCAGGGAAATGGTATGTGCAAGTCTATTTATACTCTCCATGCTAGACGAGCACTGTGCTCTAACATTATACTCTGTAGTCCTTGGGCATATCATTTCGCAGCTGCGGCCCGGCGCTGATCTGAGCCGAGTCGTCCTGCCGACATTCATTCTCGAGCCAAGAAGCATGCTCGAGAGGATAACCAAGTTCGCGCGCCTCTGTGGACAACATGTACTAGAGCTTGCTGACTCCTTGACTTAGCTTCATGTCCCATCCCGAGATGCTGTTGCCCATACCTGAGATCAACGACCCAATAGAACGATTCGCTGCCGTTGTCAAGTTCTATCTCAGCGGCTGGCATATAAGACCTCCGTTCGTAGCCACTCGACCTCCAGACTCCAAGTCTTGATACTAACAAGTCACCGCAGAGGCGTCAAGAAGCCCCTCAACCCAATCCTTGGCGAAATCTTCACTTGTTACTGGGACCTACCCGACAACACGCGAGCCTATTACATTTCCGAGCAGACATCCCACCACCCGCCAAAATCAAGCTACTTCTATATGGTACCCGACCACCACATCCGAGTGGACGGCACACTGAAGCCCCGAAGCAAGTTCCTTGGCAACTCGGCCGCCAGCTTAATGGAGGGCACGGCTGTGTTGTCCCTCTTAAACCGCGGCAAAAACCCAAAAAAGGGCGAGAGGTACATTTTGACTCAACCGAACATGTACGCTCGAGGAATACTTTTCGGAAAGATGAAGTATGAGCTTGGCGACCACAGTTTCGTTCGCTGCCCCGAGTTGGGACTTGTTGCCGATATCGAGTTCAAGACGAAAGGTTGGGTCAGCGGCACATACAACGCTATAGGAGGAACTATCAGGAATGAGCACACCGGCGAGGCACTGTTTGAACTTTCTGGATTATGGAGCGACGAGATGTCTATCAAAGATCTTCGGGTAGGCCTAGCCGTTCTCGCGAGTAATAGATTCAACACAACTGACAATCTTGGCAGAACGGCCACAAGGAAACCTTCTTCAATGGCGCCAAGGCAAAACCATCAAAGCCACAAGTGCGACCGCTAGAAGAGCAAGACGAGCGCGAATCGCAGAGACTCTGGGCCAAAACGGCGCGCGCAGTCAAGGACAAGAATCACGAAGTCGCAACTGACGAGAAGACAAAGATCGAGGATATGCAACGAGAAGAGGCAGCAAAGCGCGGTGCTGAGAACGTAGAGTGGCATCCACGACTGTTCAGGGCAATCAGAGGGGGCCCCGGAGGTGAGGAAGAGGGCGAAGAGGAATTGGAGTGGATCATTAATGCGCACATGTGAGTACTCTCCTTACCAGTCGAGAGGGTGATGGGCTGAGACAACGCAGTGATGGGCATACGCCTCAAGCGATTACGGAGCAAATCATGGCCATTTATCCCGTAATCCCGGGCCAGAAACTGTCGGAACGCAATGCCATCCCACCACAACATCGCAACACAGCCCCAGCTCCTCAGGTTGCCCCTGAGGACGCGCAGGCGAACCTGATTGATTTTGAGAGCAGCGAAGCACCTGCCCCTGCGGTTGCCCCTACTCCTGCTTCTGCTCCTGCTCCAGTGCCAGCAGAAGCACCGGCAGTGGCTGCGGCGGCGCAGAATCACCCAAGCCAAGACTCGACTGAGATTAGGCAAATGCTTTCCAGTACCGGGCATCCGACAACCGGGGGCCCATTGATAGACTTTACTGGTGATGTCAAGAATGCCCTACCCACCACGACACAGCCCACGCAGCCATCACACCTGAGGAGAACCGAGACGGAGGACAGCAATGATGCGTTCTTTGACGCCCATGCATAAACCAAAAAGGATGGGAGACTTGCAAGGAATAAAAGTCCATGGCAAGGACGGCCATGCATGCCAAGTCTAGGTAATCAAGAGGGGATGAGCAAACTCTTTAGACAGCGTTAATCGCGCTGATTCTGGCGCGGACATGGCTTCGTAATTACTGGCGGAGCTGTATATATATAATGGGTGTTCTCAACAGCAATACCATTTGAAGAGCAATCACAACGGCCCTCTTTCAACTTCAAGAAGGGTTTAATCGGCGGCAATAGAGTATTTGAATGATGTTCTGTCGTAATATGGATCAGCTACAACGTTGATAAGAAAAGGTGTGCCCGCATTCCCTAGGGTTCAAAATACAGTGTGCACGACGGTCTAAATTTTTACGGGATTATACTTCTTGGTCATTATGTCTTTCCGTAAATGCGATCATGACTAGTAGACTGTGGCAAGATACCACTTGGAGACCCAAAATAAAATACATGCAATGTCAAGGCGCTTGGAGCCTCTTGGAAACCTATACACCAACGCCGCTTTCTGCAACACGTTTTCGTCGAACAACGCGACGGTTCGTCCCCCTGTACTTTTGGCGACCGACGAAACTAGCCGCTATTCGCACCGAGCCGGCGAATCATCCCCGAGAAAATGTCTCCCCATGCCTTGGTGAGATGGCGTTCGCCTCAACAAGGCCCATTGACCAGTGCGGCCGGCGTTGGCCGTGGACACGGCGCTACATCTAAAATCGCCCCAAAATCGCAGTGTCCTGCCTCCTGTTCGGCCGCGTCCTGGTAGCAGACATGTCCAAATCACTACAAACTGCGATGGAGGTCTGCCTCGGCACCGCTCTCGCATACACTGCCGCGTGGTGTTCCGAGATGTTTCGTGTCCATGCGCAATCCCTGGCCCATACTGACTGCCCGTGGAGAGATTGTCCTCCTCGCCGTACATTCTAATATCTCTTCCTCGTGGGTTCGGGGCTGGGACTTCTGGTGACGCTCTTGGCATCGCGGCCGCGCTCCTTCAGCCACTTCTTGGTGGCGAGGGTCAGCTCGGCGTCGAGCTCGGGGGTGGGGTTCTTGCGGTGGATGAAGTTGCAGAAGCCGCCGCGCACGCAGCCCTCGCCGCTGTTGAGGCGGCAGCAGGCCTCGCGGAAGTCGGTGACGGGGCTCAGCTCGCAGTATATGGGGCGGCCGGCGTACCAGCGGCTGTTGAGCTCGTCGCAGGCGGCCTGGGCCGAGTCCTCGTACTTGAAGCGGGCGTAGACGTTGCCGATGAGGTGGTCGTTGGTGTTGTCGCAGACGACGAGCTCCTCGAGCTCGCCGTACTTGCACAGCTCGCACCACAGGTCCTCGTAGAAGGCGTCGAAGTGGTTGGCGCACTGCTCCGGGGTCAGGCGGTTCTTGGGGTCGTGGGCCGGGTTCTGGTACATGGAGGGCAGCAGGATGGTCTGCGAGTACGAGGGCTTGACGTGTTTCCGGGAGCAGCGGTCGCCGTGGCGGCAGGCGCCGATCTTGTAGTAGAAGGAGCAGTTGACCTTGTCCTGCTCGGTTCCGAAGATGGAGGCGAGGAAGTTGGCCATGGCGTCGGTTGTCGTTGTTGTTATTTGCTGTCTGTCGGCGGGTTTCCAATTCAATCAAGAGCTGGAATTGCTGTCGATTACCTGCTGCGCGGTGAGGCGATGCGACGTGTCTTGGCGCTGCGCTGTTGTCGTGGAGCGAAAAGGTCGGCAAGGTCGAAGTTGAGGTTTGACGAATGGAAATTGTTCCAAGGCTGCGGCGCGCGCATGGGAAAAGGGCATTGAAGGCAAGGGTCGAGGCTGACAAATGGTCTGTGCGGCAGCGAACGCGCAAGGGTAGACTAGAGCTTTCCAAGGCGCAAGGTTAGTGCTACAAGTAACTACTTGGTAGTTACTGTTTTCAGACTGTACTGATTAAGCTAAGTCATGTCCATGTATGCAAGTTAATCCGTTCTCTGGGTGTACTCCGCATATGAGCAGGGCGGCTTCTTCGTTGCCCAACGCTTTGTGGCGGCCACTGGGACTCAGAGTGGCTAAAGTGCGCTAAGGTTAGGTTAGATGAATAATGTTGAAGTGACCTCGGCAGCAGCCAGCTCCTTACCATGTAACCTACATATATGTGCACAATTTCGACCAGTTCTCCCTCCCACTGGCAATCTGAAAACATTCTTGTCCATCGATTCTCTCGGGAAGTAAACAATGTACGATGCACTCGAACTAATCAAATACATCCACCCGCGTTTTGTTTATTCTTATACGGAACAGCCGCTATTACCTGCTCCTAACGTCACCATCACCGCCCAATGGCACCAAAGACTGCTTGTGAGGGATCCAAGGTCCCATCGAACACCCCAGTTGTACTAAGTCAATGAGAAAACTATCAACAATACTTGACACGAAGAACATGTTATTTCATTAGTGTCCATGTAGTCACTGTTTTTATCCTAGTCTAGCCGTTCACTTGGCTTGTCTCAAATCTTTTACCGTACATTCCACAACGAAATGAACATTTAGACTTTGAGACATTGATAGCCGATGTACGAGGACAAAAATCGTCAAGTACGGGCAATTCCCCAAAATTCTCTAACCTAGGGTACAGAACCTTGTTGGCTATTTGCCTCCCCTGACCATGTAGCTGAACAACCACGCGGTGGATCAGAACCTTACAAGTGCTGGTTTGGAGTATCAGTGGATTTCTATCAGTGGTCTCGCTTCAACTGACTGCTTTCGCAATGCTCGCCTCAATCATGAGTTTTGTGTATCTATCTACATCCAAGGTTGTACTATTTTCTCTGTCCGCTAGCTTATAGGTTGTTGACTGCGGCCCAGAATGCGTCGCTGATTGGTCCAGCTGGTTGGCTGTTACCACAAGTCCACCGCCCGCGTCAGTCTCGGCAATATCAGAAAAGAAAAGAAGTAAAACAAAAATAAAAATAAGAAGATTGTAGTTGATGTGGGCCATTACAAAGTACCATACTGACAACATTGCACTATGCGGGCTCTGATCAAGAGGCAACTACAGTGGCAGTCGCGAGTGTACTTTCAGATGTTTCGAGTCAAGAAAGCTGCAAGCAAGTAACCGCATTTCCTTCATATGCTGCTCCTTGCAATGATCTCGGCATTTCTCCTCAGCCCGTAGTTGCTTAGCGTCTTGGGAAGGATGACCACGATTTCCGTGCTGACGTCAACGAAAACTAAGACTGTAACTTATACTACATCGCGGGTTGAGTTGTCTCACAGTACGGCCTTGAATCCAACATCAGTAAATGTCTTTTCAGCGCCTGGTTTATCGATTTCACCAACAGTTACCACTATATATGGTGGTATTTAGACGCGGAGTAACATTTCTCACGCTGCCAATGATACTTCTACGGCACCTTGAACCGCAAGCCAGGTGACACAACAGCGTCGGCCACTGTAGAGAACATTCTGTGACTCCTAACTGTAGCTCTAAGCATACCTTACTTCAACTGAAATCGAGCTTCAGGAGCTCCAGGGCGGTTTTGTTAGTGCACCGAATGTACAGACCAATAGTAAGTATCAGCACAGTGGTCAACATTACCGATGAGCAACTATCAAGTGATGAGTTCTTCAACCAAAACAGTCATGGGTGATGTTTCTAGAACCACTTTTGCAACAACTAGTTCACCCTCTACTGATATAACCACATCCGCTACAAACACGAACATGATTATCTCATCGGCAGATACCATAAACCCCAGTCACCCCTGAAACCTCGAGAACAACAAATACAACATCAACGATAGACACTACAATCTTTGATACAGCACCCAAGAGATCGAGCACAATCGCCTCTATCTTGTCTGTATATACAACAATTCCCCCTGTCAAATCTGAGAGCTCGAGCATCACGGATTCTACTTTGTATTATCATGACTGCGACAAGCACCACAAGTGATAATGCCACCCCGACTGATGCTTGACGTCGTCATGGAAGTGATCCTGATCTGGGGAGAGGATAAGTACACTAAAAGATTTGTAAGAAGATAAAACACCACAGACGACAATGAATAGATCAGTAACGGCTCTTGAATCATTGGCGATGCTCTTTATTTTAAAACCCCTGCCAACGACAGGTTCCCGACGGTGTACTTTGCGAGGCCTGTGGTGAGATCGCTTCGGCATTCCTACTAGTAACGGATGCCGGTGGCCTTCCATTGAAGGGGTGGGTTAGAACCCTTTGATGGAAGATTCGACATCCCACTGTATGAAAAGAGCTTCGTCTTCGTGGTATCTTGAGGCTGAGCGGAGATCGCGCCACCTCTGCCAGTAGACAAGCTCGGCTCCCATCTGAGTGACGTGTCGAATCTTTACGTCGTATATATCAACAGGCCACAATGTCGAGCAGTGGCGACAATCAGAAAGTAGCCGTCACTTTGAATTCGGGGATCAAATTTGCCAACGTCACGAAGATACGTCATGGAGTTGACTGCATATGACCGCTGGCTATTGTGAGTAGGCCAGCTAGGATTAGTAATTCGCTCATCGACATATTTCCTGTGGTGATTCAAGCAAGCACGGGAACCAAATAATAGAACAGACGCTTTTCTTGATTTTGCCATTCGTAACAGCTTCTGAGAAGGGGACGTTTGGGGCACCGCCCTGCCATCGTGGGCTTCAGGAAGTCGAGAAATCGTTCATCGCCCGCCATCTATCTGTAGAGAGCCGGTGGTGAGAATGCGGTGGCTAAGTGGCAGCAAGATCGGTTTAGACAATCGAGATGTGACCATGCCACGTTCGTAGCAGAAGTAGGTAGGGCCATGCCATGTTCGTACTGGGCTGTTTCAACCGCCAATACGATCTGAAAAGGAGGAACCAACTTATGGCCATAGCTCCGGAAGTCAGCAATTAAAAAGAATGAGTCTAAGTCGCAGAGAGAACACGTGGGCACAGCGGAAGTTTTAATAGTATTATAGTGCACTTTATTCATTATGTGCTATTTAGTGTACAGTCTAATGCGAGGAGATTAAGCCGTATTAGGCAAATGAATGCTTATATGATTAAATTCTCCTGCTGTCCTGCTTGGAACAAAGCAAACCAATATCCATTATCAAAGTAGTAAACCCGACGCTAAAACCATGCACTCCATGCTAATGTCCATCGCAATGCAATACCATCATTGTTAATTAACCTTCAGCTTGTAAAAACGCCTTAGTTAATGGTAATGCGGCGACTCTCGTGCTTCTTGGCCTTCTGAACAGTAACGGTCAGGATTCCATTGTCAAGCGAAGCCTGGACCGAATCGTTGTCCACACGGCCCGGGAAGTTGAAGGAGCGGGCGAATGAGCCGACATTGCGCTCGACCAGGTAGAACTTGTGCTTGGGGGCCTCTTGCTTGGGCTGCTCAGGCTTGGCGGCCTCGACGACTGTGGATGCGGGTGTGTCCCTAGGAGTAGCGTTTGATGACGCGACGGTGCCACTCTCCTCAGGGTCGTCCTCGACGGTTACTTTATGCGACTTGACTGATGATGTCTCGGCGTGCTCCTCGCCGTTCTCGGTGATAGTCCCGCTTGTCTCGGACTTGTCAACGAGGCCAGCAGGTGGTGTACCAGCGGTGTGGGTACGCTCAATCTTGCCGCGGATTTGGAGGGTCTGCGGGTCGCTGAATTCGATGTGGATGTCCTCCTTGTTGAGACCAGGTAGTTCACCATGCAGCTCGTAAGCGGTCTCCGACTCGGTCATGTCGAACTTTGGAGTGAAAAAGCTGACATTGTTTCGGCTCTGGCGGGACTGGGTCTTGTCGGCAGAGCCTTGGTTGCTGTAGCGGTCGAAATCATCAATGAGACGGAAGAGACCCTGGAAGTTGGGCTCTGGAATGTTGTAGTGGTAGTGAGGTCGGAAGAAGGAAGCCATTGTATGATCTGATGAGTTTCCGCGCGTTGAAGTTCCGGTAGTGGTCTTGATGATTTTCTGAGGGAGTCTTGATGATGACTCAAAACTTTGTGAAAGGTTGAATGGTGAATGCTTTGATGCTTTACTGTTTGTATTGTATTCTGATGAAAGAACGAGATCTCAAACACGGTCTTCAGTCATGGATTTATAGGCGGAAGCTGTAAGGCACACACAGCTTCCTCCAAATACAGGAATTGCTGAGAAGCTTCCATTGTGCTGACGGTTGCAAAATGCCAGAACATTTGTGATCCTTCTAGCAAGTCAGGGAACCGCGGAGAGTGTTTCTAAAAGCCGACCGATTATTCATGGTGTTTCTAGAATTATTATAGAATAGTGGAGTAATCAGTGGAATTCCCTGGAATAGTCTAGAATAAGCGGGGCAAAGCTTAAGTCCACTGTCATCGGACTGGCTCAGCTGCCTCGCTAGGGTGCTAGGCATAGGGAAGCGGATTCTTGTGTTTTGCATCGAAATCTCAGATGCATTTCTTTGCGAATTCGATGCATCACTACTGCTAATCTTGTGGAACTCAACAAATGAGCATAATGTGAAGAAAACAGGGTTTATGCGTATCATCAATTTATGCGCCAACAATCGAATTTCAATCTTTTGCACACCGTTGCAGCAAGTATACAGGTGGTCGAAACACGTGAAATAATACGTCGAGATTTAGGAGCCTCATATTGTACCGCATTTCGAAATGTTACCACCATATACTATGCAGTGTGTTGGATATGGCTATTCTGCTCCGTGGTGAAAACACGACAACAGAGCTAGACACCAGGGTAGTGCAGATTGCATGCGGCAGCGGCTCAGAGTGTATGCCTACATTTTAAGTTCTTCGAATTACAACAGACCTTGTCAGAAAGTCAGACTGCATTGGAGGCGGGATACGATCTAAGAGAAAGCCTTCTTCTCTGCATATCGGGTGCCAACGATGAATTCGACAACAGGCCGCTTGGGGGTGATGAACAGATCTGGTGAAGGCGGAGTAAACTGAGATCATGCAGAGGCTGGGACTAATCAAAAAGGCGCTCGAGAAGGGAAAGTATGCATCATTTCATCGATATAGAATTGCTTTTGTACATGCGCGGCATTTGTCTAGTGGGGTAAAGTGAACTTAGAGCTTGTCTTCAGTGTTCGGATTATGTTGGAAGAAGAAACGATAAACCATAGCAGCTGGCGCGTATTTTCTTGGCAACTATTTTGCCACAACAAGTGGAGATATCGTCTGTTCATCAACCACAAGCAGCACAGTGCATGTGTGTGTGTGTGTGTGTGTGTGTGTGCTTTTTAAGTCGAAAAAGCAAAATGTCTTGAGGTCCAAAAGCACCCGGCCAGCCGGCCCATTATTGACTACCAGTGATAGCCGGTAGGCCCCAAGCGAAAAGAGACACTCGCTCCACTTCTTTCACCAAGACTGCAATTCACAGCATTACAGCTCCTCCTCATGAATACAGTTTTTGAGAAATCTAAGAAGGAAAGACTTGACTTACGGTAACGGAATCCTGATAAATCGCAAAGAAAGCAAATTTACGCTTTCTATATATACACGTAGTATCTTGAAAACAAGTCTAACAATTCGACCCGAGATTTCTAGTCTGTTGGGACATTTACAGGTGTCCCATTTTCGGCTTGTAGCATATGTAGTACGTCCTGCCGGATCCCGCGATTATTCACTTCAGCACCCTTGTAAGTATGGTATTTGGAGATTCCCATTGCAATTGTGGCTGCGTGCCCAAGGCGCCACTTGATTTCGCAGGCAGGCAAGAGATTAAAGCCAACTTGTACAATCTGATGTACTCCCGTCTTGGCAGGCGTAAATCTCGTCCGTGACGTCACTTTCCAAGTAATCTCAATGTGGGCCTGCTGAAAATCGGACTACGTGGCATTAGAGCTTATTAAGTAAACCATGTTTGTCTATTGTGGAAATATTTTTGTGTTCGTATGATTTAGTGACGTGTAGGCGTTAATGGCCTGTTGAAGCAAACATGGCACTTTCGTGTTACTCTCAACATGACGTCTGTCACACGACACATAAAATAATGGCCACTAGAGGTTGCAAATATCGTACGACTATAGCATTAGCGATCCACTGCAGAAGTCATCAGGACGGTGGGCACAGAACAGGCAAATATGATGCCAATACCAAAGGAAAATGGCGATCTTGGAAGTTTAAGCACTTCATGGAGTTTGCTGCATTATCTCGATATAGATGATTATAGTCCACAAATGACACACCTGCCATAGCACCCTTAATCCAACGATGACGATAGTGCCTATGCCCAGCACGGCAATGAGACTTGCTCAATAGATATCCCACGAAATGTTTTATACAATGTGTCCTCATACTATTGGGGAGGGCCGTAAGGGGCACTCATTGGAGGTGGTGGGTATCCAGCAACCACAGGCATACCTTGCCGCATGCCCATAGACATTGGCGGTGCAGGACTTTGCACGCGGTTGAAGAGCCCAATAAGTCTCCTTCCAACAGAAGGCTCTAATTCCGTTCCGTCGCGGGCAATTTTGACCTCCCTGTTCGAGTTCCACGGATTTCGAAGACCCCTCGTCCTGTAGAACGGTAGCCGAGTCGTAGAGAGCCATTCCAGCTTAAAAGGTTTTCCCCAAGCTTTGGAGCCTGACTCACCATCGATCGCACCACGCGCACTTGCCGAATCTTCCGAATCGGTTTCGGTGGGCAAGATCTCGCCATCGTCTCGCTCAACCTCCCAAAATATAGTTCCACGTGCTGAGTCATCAATAATGTTGCCTCGGGGGCAATTATCAGTGGCCTCTGTTGGGATGGCCTTTGGCAAGTCTAGATCGTTTGTGGCTTGTACTTTCGGAGCAAACTCTATGGCTGCTGCGGGATCATTGTTGATAGGTGACACCATCCTTGCATACCCAAAGTATTCCCCAGATTTGTTTGCCGAAAAGACCAGGTACACATTGTCGGCTGCCTATATCAATATTTCGTAAGAATCAACACCTAATAAGACGGTGGCTACTTATAAACATACCTTGAAAGCAGTATTGAGTGATTCTTCATTGTGGGACTGAGTTGCCCAAACACCATTTCTGACGCTCAAGTCCAAATCCTCCACTGTCAGGCTCTTGAGCACGAAGAATTTGTCTCTCTGCTGAACGTCGCCACCGATCGAGGTTATAGGCCGTGTCTCTTGTTCTTGTTCTTGACTCTTCGCCGGTTCTACCACCGATATTGTCGTCGTCATTGTTGTTGTTGTCGTCGTCGTCGTCGGCGGGGTTTCCTGGATTGTAGTAGAGGGTTCAGGTGGAATTGTCTGCACACCAGGGGACGTTGCTGAAGGACCTGTAGGCGCTGTCTGTCCGGACACTCCTTCAACGGTGCTCTTCCGTAACCGACTAACTAACCGAACCGACTGAAATTTAGAATCATGTAGCTTTTGCTGCGCGCGGATACAGCTTTGTTCGTCCTTGAAATTCGCAAAGGCGCAATTGCTCTTTGAAATGAGAAATAACGATTCAAGCCCAGTGGCTTCATTGCACACGTGGTGAACCAGACTCATCAAATCTGTCTGAGGTGGCAGGTTACCAATCCATATAGCATGCCCTTGGTACTTTGTTAGCCCAAGCAAAGTAAGCATATACATCTCGTCCCAGGGAACTTACCACTTTGTCTGGGTTTTCGAGGGGGCCCGCGCACAACATTTGTACCGGATCTACCGCTAATGGTACCTAAGTTATATAAGTTTGAGGTCTGATGATTACTCATATAAATTACAAACTCACCTTGCACACTATCATAACCACTTGCGACGGATTGGTCTTGGAACCCCCCCGGCGCATGGCTGTGAGGGTCATGAGGTATATACTGGTTGATCATCATGTTACTAGCGAGAGTAGAATTGTGACTTGGATAATGATTCGGGGGAGGATAGTAATAGCCAGCCGGTGCTGATTGTTGCGCATGGTTCATCATAACCTGATTTGGATAGAAGTTCATGTTGTGTCGTTGCGCCAAGTTGCCTTGTTGCTGCGCAGGGGGCAACTGAGCGTAGTAGGGTGACATGTGCGCATGTTGTGCCACGTAATATGACTGACCTGCGAGATGATTCATGTTGGTCTGTCCAGCATACTGAGCCATCTGTGGAGTAACACCAGGTGATGAGCCATCAGCATTGTACCGTACTTGACCAGTATGGTTTGAACCAGGTCTGTAAGCAGGCTGAGGCAACGCATTGGCCATTGCGCTCATGTTGTAGGGTCCTTGTGAAGCCCCGCGGCCAGTACCCTGAGCTTGTGTCATATCGAATTGTGCCGTAAACGCATTCTGTGTCGGGTCGAAGTGGTGCTGATACTGCGGCTGGAAAGCTGAACTGCTCGGGCGAGATCCTGGCGCGAAGCTGGCAGGACTTTCGCTCGAAACTGTTCCGTGCATAGGAGTTTTAAAAGCCTCGTGGGCTAAGTGGTCGTTCGGTGAACTTGAGGGCGGTGGTACATCCCCCATTTGGCCTGACCAGCAGCGTTCCGTAACCTACAGACGGAAGTTTCTGTGCTGTGAACAGAGATATGCTGGCACTCGTAGAATTGTTGCGACGAAACTGGAGATATAAAATCGCAAATTGTGCTAACAATAGCCCTCAAGCGGTGTGGCGTCAAAATCCCAATGGCTTAGCCGGCAAGGGTATCCTGATGCTCGAAGGGACGAGAACCGGCAGAGGTGAGTGCCGACCACTTCGTTACAAGGGTTGTTTGTATGTAAGTGGTGCTTGTCCAGAATGGTAATCCAAAGCCCCGAGCTCCGCTACCGAACCACGACAGCAACAAGGAGTCCAGAGCAGGGTCCGATGGGGTTTGTCTGATGGGAGGCCGCTCAATGTAAAAGCGCCGCACAGTTAGAGTGTAGAGTAGAGTAGAGTAGGGTAGGGACCAGATAGGAAGCCGATGGCGGGAGGCGAAAAGAAGGTCTAGGCTGGTATAGAGGCTAAATTTGAGAAACATGTGCAGGCATGATTATCTTTGCCTCTCGAGGCTTCTGACTGAAGCTAGCTACCCGAAGCACTATGCCTCTACATATGAGATGACAAGAAGACCCACGTAGGGATCATGTCTCCGAAAAAGAACTGGCAAGGTACAGGCGAGTCGCGACCATGCGGATACTAGTCCGTAGGGCTCCATTGTGATGCTTGGCTGCCAGGGTTGCAAAATGATGATCTTGTGTGCAAGGAGTTGAGTCCCTAGTATCCATGCTATGAACACAGATAGCCCAATAGACTTTGTACGGAGGCTGCACCGTCCGTAGCCGTCAATTCGTCAACAGAACAAAAACTGGGGAATAAACTGGGTGGTACCAAGCAATTGCATTAGACTGGCACCTAACCCGCGTTGTCTTCATATTCGCCACCGGTCCCGGGTTTCACGAGCTGCACTGGCAGCGTCTGGCAGCCAATACCAGCATGTCCAGCCACAATTGTTCTAGGCCATGTCTGGCTTTTTGCACCTTACCCAAAAGACCCTCTGATTTGAGTGGTATGAGGAAGCAAATAATCAGTACCCGGTACATTTTACAGCACGAAGATTGGCATATAGCTCCCATCATTCATGCATTGTTGGGCACTCTGTCTAATGGACTAGGCTAGTTGTCATCATTCCACAAAGGTGCCGTGGATATGGGACGTCGACAATGACGATGCCTTGCGTCAATCCAGGAACCGTGGCGATTCGCCTACATAGTACATACAGTAGGCAATTGGTAGCTGGCGGTACTTTCCGCTGGCTTGACCATGAGCCCAGGGTCCAGGGGTTTCCTCCCAGCCCGGCCTAGCCCAGAGCCAATAGTCGAATGGGGCATCGGGGCACATCTATTCCATGGAAGAATACGGTTACCACCAGCTTTTCTCCGAATATTGTCTCGCGAAAGAAGTGGGCTCGTGGTCTTTCAACGCGCATAGGGCGAGATTGGCCTGAAGTAGAGTACCATGCAACAATCTTGTTGAACGGCTGACTGCAGAAAATGCTTTGGTAGTAGTTTTTCTTTCCAAGTAAGCAAGACTCGGGCCCGTGGTAGTGAGACGCTCGCCGTGAGTAGCGTGGAGATGGACATCCTGCAATCCATGAGATCCACTTGCCTATACACTATTATGTGGGAAATGCTCGGAAATGTTACGATCGACGAATTCTACCCGTACCGTCAGTCGTGCAGTAGTCCCAAAGCACCTAAGACCCTTCAATTTTGGACTTCAGTATGCTCGGCCCTGGCGCAAGACTGAAAACGATGTCGTCAAGGAACCCAGCCGATGTGGGAATTGGGCGTGTCTTTTGTCTTAGCGGTGCCCCCACTTGATGCTCAAACTCGAACGACTGTTCGGAGGAATTGGTTACATTTTGCTTGTGACCAAGCCAGCCAAACTCCTCATCTACAATACAGGTGGTGTGTGGTAGACTCACCTCGCCTTTTGGAGCTCTCCATGAACAGCGCTGCTTCACTCTCAGACGATGTCATTGATTGTCAAATGTTTCAACCATGCTGTGCGTCGGGGGCGTACAAGTACTGTAGACGAAAAGGATGCCACAGATGCGATGGGGAAATGATCAGCATTGACCGAAAATGATGGGGTTCAGCCATTGCCATGGCCTATGGGATTTTGCAAAATGCCATTGCTAAGAAAAATACTCTGGCGTCATATGTGGGGACCCGCGCCACAGTCTCCATTTCCCATCTTAGGAATATCGTGCCGATCTGCTACTCCCTTGCCGATTTCATTCTTTGCTGAATTGGTAGAACCATTCACAATGCTGGTTTGCAAACGGACGATTGTCGTGTAGAAGCAGAGCCTCGATAGCACATAAGCATACTACAAAGTACTTGTTTCTTCTTCACAGCGGGCATTAGGCAAGTCAAGCTTGTCCTATGTGTAGATGGATTATCGGGCCAAGTCGATCGGCTTAACTTCGTGTTACCTACTCCGTGGGTAATGCTACAGTCGACATGCTTTTGTTTTATTTTAAGTGTTCACCATGTAACTCAATGTTGTTTCCCATATGAATATCACTCGCTGAACGCGTGCTATGGTATGGCTCAGTAAAGGCCAGGAACCACACGAGGAAAGCTCCTAAGAACTTTCAGACCGGCTGCAGCCAATCACAGAACTTGTCTAAGGAAAGTTGCATCCGGTAGCATTCCGACTTTTTAGCTGGGCCAAACTCTAATCAGGGGCACGTCAACAATGCAGCTGTTGTCGGAATTATCTCTTTCCCATCATTGAGAAATCCCATTTCAGACTTATGTCTACAATAGAGCCTGCGGGTTGGGGTTTCGCTTGGCTCCACGCCAAAGGTGGTCCGACGGCCATCCATAATACCGGCGCCGTGATCGACACTGCTGCATTGCTCAGCCTCAATGATCCGCTACATCTGCCGGCGCCGCCTATCTGCGTACGCGTTAGACTAAAGAGTAAAAAGTTTTTGTTTGCCACAGTCAACTTTTGGAGTTCAGCCTAGACCCAAGCCTATTCTTTGTTTCCAGGAGAGCCACTATCCCGTGACATGTGAGTAGACTGAGAAGAATGGCGCTTGGCAGTTCCCAACAGACAATGCTTCAACAGCGCTCTCGGGGTGACCGAACTTCGGAACATGTTTCCACGGCGGCGCATTCCATCTTTAGATGAATTGTTGGAACCTGCTGGTCTCAACGGGGACTACTGCGGATCTCAACTGATATCATAATGAGGAAAGTGGATTGATATCAACTTACGAGCTCGCAGGGTCACGTGGGGGTGAGCGTCCAATATTAAAAAAATTATGGTTATTTGCCACTGGGCGGCGGGCTCGCGCCAAACCATGTGCGCAATCCAGCATCCATCCAGTAGACTCTGCCACACATCAGAACAGAGACAAGGTTCCGTGGAACGTTGAGGTAGAGAAACGCTTCGTACCAAGGCACGGGACTGCTTTGCAGAACTGCCCTTGTCTAGCTCTTGTCAAACTAATTTCCCCGTACCTTCGATTGACACTCCATTGGCTTGAACCTGTTGGTAGCTTCGCAGCCAAGACATTTCGACATTTAGATAGTCTGCGGTACTACTCCGTACATTGGTCAGTAGAAAGCGTCACGATTCCAGCTGCACGTTCCGCTAGAGTCCTAAGCGAACTTATCAAGGGATGGCTCAAGACGTTGAACCCCTAGCTAGCACCACATGAATGCTGTCTGAACAAAGAGCCCTTCAACCTCTAGGTATGAGTGCCTCAGCGTTGTTTCCATTTGCAAGAGTCCCTAGCTTACCACCAAGTCCCCAACCATCATCTCCATTCCGGGCCGCGTGCCGGTAGGTAGCAGAAGTACAAACCTACACAGTCTGTTGTCTTTGCCGTAACTACTCGATTAGCTTACTACTGTAGAAAGACTCTTTCTGTAGCCAAACGTGCCTTACCCATTCCTTCGTTTTCGTCTTTGGGCGGGTCCTCAAAAATCAATGTCAGGCCACACTTGCGTCTCGATGACCTGCAGAGAACTCAAATACTAGGCACATACTTAGTCTCATAGGCCAGCCGAGGCCAGAGATGGTCGTTGCAAAGCCGTTATCAACCTTGTTTGAGCTAAAGGCCTGCACGAACGGCCGCCATCCCTTAACCAGAGTCCTCCGAAAACTTGCTGGCTTTGGGTCATGTTTAATAGCATTTGGAACAAATATCAAACCCGAAAAGGCTCCTCCATGTGGAGGTTCTCCTAGACCGTTACACTAAAGACAACTAGCTACTCCATAGTCCGTCATCAACTCGCGACGATTACTTAGTAATCCCTTAGCCATTCTGTTGGTGCACCCCCATCTGGCGGACGTGACGTTTGCGTCCTTTAGCTGTACATGAGTGGGCTGGGTGGATAATCTCTTGGCCAGTCGCATCTACGGGGACCTCAGTAGTCCTATGTATGAACCGGCAAGATGTTTTGCTCCCGGAAGCTGGCACGCTACTGATCAAAGGTCCGTCAGACGCCTCAAAATTATACTCATCAATGGCAGGCAAATATGTTACATCGACGAGTGGTCCCGGCCTTGACACCTTGGCACGATCTTGACAGGTCGTCATACACTGTCGCAATTCGAAATAAGCCATGAAGCATTTTGCGAAGACTTAGAGTTTCATCCACGAATCAAATAATTGTCATGTTTGTTGCTGGTTGCTTGGTTGAGGGCAAGTGGGTCATACTGAAATTCACCATTTTATTGTGGTCAAAATCGTGAATTCTTTTTGCGCCCCCTTGTACGGTGTAGCTCAAGCGCTGATTTTTAAGATCAGCTCGCGATCTTTGAAGCGTTTTGATAGACATGGTTGGAGTGACGTGTGACTAGTCTAGTGTCAACTCATAACTGCTTTTCGAAGAGCGGAAATTCGAGACTCAAAGGCTTAAGTTTCTCAATGCTCACTCGACCAGGAACAAATGATATTTTTGGGTTGCATGCGCCTTGCAGCAGGCCGACCGTCATGGTGAGCTGTCTGCCTTGGACATCTCCAACTCGTAGGTTGTGGCTTGATCATTCTCTGCAATGACTACTGGGGTATATAATATACTTTGCTCTCACCCACATCCCGCAACACTCCTATTACGGCAGGTCATTTCTCTCCAATGACATTGTAGTCAGGGACTGGTAACTCCCATAATCTAGCCGGACATCCTGATTCAGAGATGACATGGTATCTACTGCTTCACGAAGTGGAAATTATTGGATCACGCCAAAATACAACTGTCGATAAGCGGCTCTATCAGGCACATAATTAGATAAGAGGGCCTGGTCAACTCGCCCTCCGGCGGCTACGTATGTGCGCACAGTCCCTTTGCCACATTATAATGTAGCATGTTATATACTGGCTCGGAGATTTTGAACACATCAGCGACGCTCCAGGATCACTGGTCGATGGCGTGGCACACAATGTCGCTGGCCATGTCGATGCTACGTCACACCTGCATGTCACAGATACGTGTTATACTATTTATACACCAGCTGGTCACCAAGTGGGCATCAATATCCTGTCATTCGGCTATACCTGGCCTCTGTATGTCTCGTCTACTCGCTGTAATTAATCGCCCATAACCCATCTCATTTACCAGCAGCACCAGCAACCAATGACATGCTTTGCTGTACATTGAGTAGAGGTAAGCAATTTCGATCATCCAAATTTTTCTCAGGTTAGTCCGGAGGCATCCCCGCCTCACCTGCGTGTTGCAACGGCGTCGGAGTTGGCGACCAGATTTGGTAACTGAAAATACGGCATGCGAGTATTTGTACACCGTGACAACCCGAACACTGCTATACCCGTTGCATACCGTCTTGTTGGGCTAACGTCTAGGTATCGTCCCTTAACCCAAATAACTTTATGTTCCGACCTGAACTCATTATGTGCAATCACTTCGAAGCTTCGTTAGGACAACTACGTGCGAGCTCCCATACAAACTAGTTAGCGCTTCCATCAGCTCGTATTGATGTGCAGTGGCTGAAGAAGAGGCAACAGTTGTCAACATTGACCACTCAGTCCAGGACTGGCATGCTTCCGTGCTAACCCTTCCGTTGTTCGTCCGGGGGTTGATGTTATTTCATGCTTTCGGGCCCCGTGACTCGACAAAAGCACCAAGAACATGCGCCTCGCACGTCTGCCGTGCGTCGAATAATTGTGTCGATTGCGGCGCTGTGGTTTCTTGATAGAGATGCACAATGTCTGCTTCGATGCCGCCCGTTGTATCGATAGCTGTGGGGGATATGGTGGTACACTACGTTGACTTGCCATGTTGCAATGGACGTTTCGATGGGCCTCAACTAGCTAAGCATTTATTGATTATTCGGTAAAGCGACCAGACTATGCGTCCCGGATAGGCCGGATAATCAAGGATTAATATAATCTGCTTCGCGACGTTGCAACGCCATACGCAAAGCTCGGTGCCTGGGAAGAGTAAATGGCAGGAGAAAAATAGCGGACAGCCTGAACCACGATCCGAGTGCATGCTAGAATAGGTACCCGCAGGTGTTCTCTGAGTATCTCCCACAGCTATTTTAGGCACACACGCAAGTCAACCTTTGAGAGGCCGTCGTTCGTGTGGCGTAGCATATATACATTTTACTTGCACTCATACGCAGATTGTTCCCAACCCTAGACTCTGCTAGCCCATGCCAGAATCTATACCCAGACCAGGCAAATGCGCAAATGCGGCTGTGTTTAAAATCAAGCGCTGGCTAAACATCACGTACGGGTTGATCAGGACATCCAAGGTTGTAGTCTAAGGTGTGTGTTTCCGGTACCTTGTCTGACAGTCCACGCACAACGGTTTCATAGCTTTATTTATCTTGCTCATGTTCATCTTAATCCGTTTGGGCTCATCTCTGTGGGGGGACTTATCTGGGCTATACAAAAAAGTACTCAGGGAAGGGCATGGTTCTCGTCGATCGTCTGACACTGCCAGCGATGTATGCGTACGACTTCATTAGGTAGTATGACAAGCCGTTCCCCCGTCCCTCGTTCACACGTACCGTGTTTGGCCATACGCGATGGTGGAGGCAGACCGCTTCAACGCAATGTCATTCACAGAATATGCACGACCAACCGGTCCAAAGCCTGATCGCAACGAACACAAATGGGGATGGACGAACGTGTGGTCAAGTCGGAAACTTCATCAGACCACGCCTCTATCGTATTGGTACAGATACGGATTCTGGCGCCCGCCATTCAAGGTCACCCGGCTTAATCCTTCTTCAGCGGTAGAATCTTCTCCTCAATACCATTTGAAGTAATGATCATGAGTTGTAGACCGTCACCAACCTCAATATGTCTCTCCACGGCGGAATCGAACGCATCCTTGACCAAGATCTCAACCTCCTCTCTTGGCAGGGGCTCTCTGGGGCGCTCCTGCAGGGCATGGCCGATACCGCTTCCGGGGATGTGCTGGTTCTTGAAGTTGACCTGGTTATCTAAGAAGGGCATGATCAGACTGGAAGCAGCACCGCCAGCTCGGCACTGCTCTCTCTCGTAGCTGCCGACTGGGTCGTAGCTGTAGACGGCGCCCTCACCGTTCTCGTCCAGACCTCCGAGAATGGCGTAAACGTAGTAGGGGAAGAAGCGTCGCTGGTACATGATGGTGCTCAGGCGCTTGGCGCAGGCAGATACAGACATGGGCTTGTTGTGGCGGTAGCGGTACATCTTGACGATGGCGTCGAGGCGCTCCTTCAGAGCCTCGCCATCGGCGGCAAAGCCGACGACGGACAGCAGGATGTTGGCGTCGTCTTGGGAGGAGTTGGAGCCGCCGATCTTGAAGACTTTGGGCGAGTAGCGGGTGTTGATGCTGTATCCAGCTGTCAAACGGGTGTCGCCGGCCATGATGGCGAAGTCCTTGCCGGCAATAGCGAGAGTCGAACCACCATTGTCGGTGTACCTGGGGACGAGAAGATCAGTGTCTTGTGCGGCGTGGCAGCAGCTGGAGGCAGAGGTTCTCATGGAGCTTACGGGTTGAACCGGTGTTCTCTGAAGCCATCAGCGTGGTCTTGGGCTGGTGCGTCGGAGAAGGAGTAGTTGGGCCCGTTGAGGACGGGGTTCTGGCTGAACATTGCCATCTTGGAGAGTTGCTGGGGGTGACGGAAGCCTGGCGAAGACTGTGGGCTGGCTCAGAGGTGGTGAGATGGGTTTGCTGGCGATGGAGTTGGTGATGGTTTGGGGAGGGTGAATGCGGCTGGTTGATGACTGGAGGTCGGCGATAGCTTCCAGCTTCCCGTCGCAAATACGCTACCGAGTGAGTAAGTTACTGACTGTACATACCTCTCTGCTGTGCTACGCGTAATAGCTTGCAGCCTTACCGTCAATAGCTGTGCTGTAGGCTGAGAGAGCACTAACGTCAAGAGCTGGGGGCCTGGGCGAGGGGCTGCCAGGATCCGTTGCAGCTCCAGTTTGGCCCGAGCTTAGAAAGGCGGATGGCCAACGCCGTAGAAGCATTTTGATTGGCGTGTTGGCAACCTCCAGCCCATTCGACAGGGGGAGGTGAATTCAACTTGGCATCATACATATGTAAGTAACTTAACCTAACCTTGGGCAAGAGTGGCCTCGCGACTTTTAATCGACTTGTACTAATCGGTTTTAATGTCTGCGCAAAGTCGCTTTGCCTGGAGTTCCAGACACCTTGGCCAGCACAGCTTCGGTATCGCAACTGCGGCCATACGTAACTACACTACATACCCGACGTAGTTCATCGCCCCCATAGAAGACGCCTTGCATTGTTTTCCCTTGCTGCGACAAGCGTGAGCCCGTTCGTGAGCTGAGCAACAGGCCCACCCGTCTTGTTCTTGCTTTGCTTTGCTTTGTTTTGTTTTGTCTTGTCTCGTCTAGCCTTGGTCTTGCACAGCATGGCTCGCAACATTCGCCAGCAGGCCCTGCAGAAGATTGCTGCCCTGTCCGCCACGAGCTCTATCACCTCTTTCGATCGATCCGACCTCGACCGTCTCTGTAAGGCAACAGGTCATGGCAAGGGCAGGGAGAACGGCTCAGCCAGGGGCCAGTCGTTGGCCCGGGTACCCATGGTATGCTTTGCTCTTGACATGTTGTAGAATGCCCAATCCAACCGAGACTCCTATTTCTGACCTCGTCGTGCCATAGACGATTCGCGAATTCGAGGTGCTTTTGGCTCTTTGCAAGGCCGCGCCCGCCATACAGAGTAGCCAGAGTGCTCAGAAGTTGACGAATCAATTGATACCATACCTGCTCGAAGCCCATTCCCAGACTTTCCAGCACTCGCCCTACTTCCGACAAGTCGATCCCTCCCCCATTGAAGGACTGGCCCACCACCTGACGGCTGCTTTGCTGTCGCTGGGTGTCAAGTATGAAGGCTTGCACGAATCTGTATCCGACAACGTATGGGCATTCCTCGCCTCCACCAAAAACGCCGTTCAAGACATCGTGGCTTCCGAGGACGAGGATGGCGTCGATCAGAGTCTAGAGGATGCCACACACACCGCGACCATTGCCATCGCCCTCCTAGGCTTTCTGGATGCCGCCTCCGCTCAGGCAGACTTCTGGAGGACTGGTGGTAGGCTGGCGTTGATCCAGCGATTGCGCAACCTCTTGACCGAGCCCTTCTTGACTGCGGTGGAGGGAGCCTTCTCCAGTATTCGCAATGCTCACGCTTCCGACCGGAACGCCAAGGAGTGGAAGAGGTATCTCCGGCATTATGCTGCGCAGGGGCGTCCTCTCAGTGCAAACCTGCTCCAGCGCAGCTTCTTGTGGCTCCTGCTTTCGTCCACGTCACTCCTGGTCGTAGACGCCAGGTTTCTCAGGGGTACCCATATCCTGGATCTACTCATGGCCAACAAGGATTTGCTGAAACCCGGCTCCATACACAGCCCAGATGCAGACTTTCGCTCTATTGAGATGTACGCCAACATTGCACGTGATGAGATAGAAAGGTTGGAAGAAAGCGCCGACTTTATCCAAATGGGCTCTGCTTCTCAGCAGAGACTCGCTTTTGGCGTCAAGTCTTCAGCCTTGATCAGCTTGTTGAATTGCACCCTACTTAACGAGGATGCTTCCGATCCAGAAGTCATCATGGGCTGGCTTGAGGACTCGCTGTTGGACCCTGTTCAGATGCTCGATGAGACCTTGGCCACGACTGTCCTGCGCTCAATGGCGATCCTGTGTCGGTTGAATCCGTCTTACGCTCCGAAAGTCAGCCGTCTGTTACCACGTTTCATTGTGCAGAGCATACCACGAGGGGATACCATTGCTGTGGCGGCTAAATGTTTGGCCTTCGTGCTTCAAACGCTGTCGAAAGATGCCATCATCACCACCTTGTACACCTTAGGAAACGTTCTAAGTCCAACGACAGAGCAAGGGGTTCCCAACGGCATTAACGGTGATGCCGCCGCCGATGGTACAGGAACTAATGGCATATATCAAGGCCGACAGTCCACAGGGAGCTCCATATCGCTGGCGTTGCAAGGAGAAGAGGATGCTTCTATCGTCTATGCTAACATAGTTCAAGCAATCAGCAGTATTGCTAACATGTCCCATGACGAGAAGATCACTGCTCTTGCTCAGGCCATGCTGCTTCAGAAGCTCAACAAAGTCAATCACTCGGTGGATGCGCAAATCATTACGGGCGCGGCACACCTTTCTCTCACTAGCAGTCAGCTAGAGTTTCGTTCTCTTTTGAGGTTGTATTCGCGAATCTGCCAGGCTGCGTTGGTAGAGGATAACACGGCTCTACTCATGGCAGTAAGTTCATTTTGCCCCTTTTTGAAGTCTGTTGACTGACATGATCAAGGTCATGAAAGCTCGCAATCACATTTCAGCCAATGTTAAACGTGGATCTCCCTTATTTGATATATATCTCGAATACACTCTGGAGGAACTGATTTCAAAAGGTGATGTTCATGAGTCAAAAGATGCCAGAGATTCCGATCTTGAATTTGCGGCACGCGAGATCGCACAGCTACTCCAGCCACTCTCGATTCTCATGTCTACAAAGCAATTTGCTGCCAACATCGAGTCTGATGACGACAGTCATACCCTAATTCGCGATGCTTGGTTCAACATCGTCGTTCATGGTTTCAATCCCTCAACCGAACGGGGTCAGAAATACGTGAATGAGCTCCGCATAATGGCAATCCATTCACCGCCACTCGTAGCAGAGCAGCGCGGCGAGCAGAACGAAAGCGACATTGAGCTGAACACCGTGCTTCGAAGAGCCAACACATCCGACAGAGAGTCGCGACAAAAGAAGCAGCTGACAGAATCGATTCCCGGCAAGGCTTCCGAGATCAGAGGGTTGAGCTATAGAAAAGTCATCTTTCTCCAGGCCGCTTACTTGGTGGAGAGCTTGCGCGCCGACTCGGGCGACTGCACGAAGGTGTTGTCCTATTTCTTGGAGCCCAGCATGCACAGGTCGGAAGTCAGCAGTATTATGACAGGTATTGCCGAGGTTGTCTTTGACAAATACCTGACCAAGACCATAGGAGGCAAGCTGCCAACTTTCTCTGCGCAGTATGCTGCCGCACAACTTGCCACTATCCTCTGCGCCTGCTGCCATCGCATTCAGAGGGTACAAGAAGCCGCATTCGCCTACGCAGATAAGGTCATTCTGGGTGTACCATCAGCACTTTGCCAGAGGTCGTCTCTGTTCGCTCTGCTGGAATTGCTCTCCCTCATGTGGACAAGCTGCCTCGAAGCAGAAACCGAAATGTACGAGCCGCGTTCTGTTTTCACATCAACACGTGGTAATGTTACCATCGAACTCTCCGATGATTACGGTTTCCGTAGATACACCTTGGACCGCCTTTACCAGAAAGCAAAAGTTTGGGTGGCTTCTGTCCTTAATCTAGCTCCGGCAAACGTCAAGGGTGTACTACAGACCTACCTGTCAGAGTTTGACGATGTAGCAACTTATGGGCACATGTCACTTGGGAGATCTTTTGCTATGGAGATGGGTTCATCCATCCCTTTGACGGACCAGAGACTAACATCCCTCAACGCTGTGGGCGCGACAACCATCAACACGGCCTCCGATTTTATTGCTCAATACACTACACGCCAGGAATACCGGTACGGAGAAGCTTTGCCTGATCATGGAATGGACCTTGTGAATATCATGCCTTTAGGTCGTAGAGCGTCCTTCACCAAGTCTCCTCTGAACGAGACTGCCAACGCAGTCACCGCCTTGTCACATATTGAATCACGCCTGGCTATGAAGAAATCGACTCCGATCAGTGAGGTGCGTGAGATACTGCGACGAGCTGCGGCTCTTTTATGCCGCACAAATAGAGACGAAAGTGCTGTCACGCATTATCTGGTCAGCATCCCTTTCGCCATGTTTACCAAGGAATCCCTCAAGCTTGGCGTTTCTCTGTGGCTTGGTGTGATGAACGAAAACCCTAGGATGGAACCACGATTACTTGTCGAAATCGCCCAGCAATGGGAATCAACCATCCAGAAGCGCCTTGGTTTGTTCAACCCTACATTGATGTGAGTCTCCTATAAAAGCTGCCCCATTAGATATCTGAAAGCTAATTGTAGTGAAGGCATCCCGATCCCTTTTTCGTCAAAGAGGAATTCGCCCCCAGTAACCAAGAGGCCTTAGTCAAGCGCCGCCATGTCGTACACAACCTGCTGGCTCCTCATACACGGCTGGTGCAGTTCTTCAGCAGCCATTTCAACTCTACTCGACTAGGAAGTCCGGATACTCAGCGCATTTTCCTGCGCGTACTTGATCTGACACTCGATGCAATGAAGAAGTCCATCTCTCATCCCATGGCCAGAGAGCTCCGCTTGCGAATCATCCTCTTCAGTTTGAGAGTACTAAGAGTCAGCAACCCTGTCGGAACTCTCACGCAGTGGCGTCTGAAAGATAAAATCTTGTCTGCCGGTCTGAGTTGGTTCAAATTTGTCCCCAAGTGGTCTTTTGGCAGCAACGGCCTCCAGATCAAGACCGAAATCCGCTTGATCTCTGACGTCATGGCAGCTCTGAAAGGAGTCGACTACATTGCAGCTAATGCAGCTGGATCATATAGAGCTTTACACCAGAAGGAGCAGCTGCTTCAGATCCTTCTTGAGAGCGAGCAAGCACGACTCAACGTCTGGGTTCACCCTCTCGGTGATAATGGCGCCAGAGCTGACATCATGACTCACCACGGCCAAAAGACACTTGAGGTACGTGTTCTTAATCGCTTATCTTATTATAACTGACGGCAGTAGATTTCACTTCATCCACTAATACGACTGGCCTGGGCTGAGAGCCCGGCATTGGCAGTCGAGCTCGTGAGCAGGTTCTCGTTCAACAGCGTCCTCAACGAAGTCCGCTGGCTGCTCTTGAACTTCACACACAAGGCGATCGCTGAGCCTGATGCGCTCCCGATTCTCCTCGGTGGTGAATTGCCCTTAGATGTGCGAGATCAGCTCAAGGTATGCCCCTAAGTAACAGGACGAATCCAATTTTTTTCTAACGTCGCTAGTACCTGCTCTATTGGGCGCCTGTCAATCCTGTAACAGCTGTTACATATTTCCTGCCAGCGTACCGCAACCATCCATTCATGATACAGTACGCCATGCGCGCATTAGAAGATCACCCTGTTGACGTTACTTTCTTCTATGTGCCTCAGATCGTGCAAAGTCTGAGATACGATGCCTTGGGCTATGTGGAGCGATACATCATCGAAACTGCACAGTTCTCACAGCTCTTCGCTCATCAAATCATTTGGAACATGAAGGCGAACTCGTACAAGGATGACGATGCTCAGATTGTAGGTCTACATTCTTTCGTATGTAGAAATGACATTGCTAACTATTTATAGCCCGACGATATTAAACCCGCACTTGACAAAGTTATGGAGAGAATGGTCGAAAGCTTTTCGGATGAAGATAGAGCCTTCTATGAGAAAGAATTTACTTTCTTCGACGAAGTTACGAGTATCTCTGGCAAGCTTAAGCCTTTCATCAAGCGGCCTAAGCCCGAAAAGAAACAGAAGATTGAGGAGGAGCTCCGCAAAATCAAAGTTGAAGTTGGCGTCTACCTGCCTAGTAATCCAGACGGCGTTGTCATCGGCATTGATCGCAAATCAGGCAAGCCTTTACAATCTCACGCCAAAGCACCGTACATGGCCACATTCCGTATCAAGAAGCCGAAGGCAGACGACCAGGAAACCCAGGAGGAGGCTATTCAAAAGGCTAGCGACACTGGACAAATGCCCCAGGAGAATTCCATTGAGACTTGGCAATCTGCTATCTTCAAAGTAGGAGACGATTGTCGTCAGGATGTTCTGGCTCTCCAGATGATCGCAGCTTTCCGCGGCATCTTCCACAACGTTGGTCTTGATGTCTACGTCTTTCCCTACCGTGTCACTGCCACGGCGCCCGGATGTGGTGTGATCGATGTCCTGCCCAATTCTATCTCACGAGATATGCTTGGCCGTGAGGCAGTCAATGGGCTCTATGAGTATTTTGTAAGCAAGTACGGCAACGAAGACTCCCTGCGCTTCCAACAAGCGCGCAACAACTTTGTCAAGAGTATGGCCGCATACAGTATCATCTCTTTCTTGTTGCAGTTCAAAGATCGACACAACGGCAACATCATGATCGACGATGCCGGACATATCCTTCATATCGATTTTGGTTTCTGCTTCGACATCGCTCCTGGAGGCGTGAAGTTTGAACGTGCACCCTTCAAACTCACTGGCGAGATGTTGGCTGTCATGGGTGGCAGCCCTGACCATCAAGCCTTCAAATGGTTCGAGGAACTCTGCGTTAAGGCATTCTTGGCGGCTCGTCCCTATGCAGAGAAGCTGAGTCAAATCGTGCTTCTCATGATGGATAGTGGATTGCCGTGCTTCAAACCAGAGACTGTATCACACTTCAAGGAACGGTTCGTGCTTGACAAAAACGAGAGGGAGGCTGCCATGTTCGTCAGAGACTTGGTCAAGAGGAGTGCTAATAACTATTCGACGGCGGTGTACGATCAGTTCCAGTTGATGACCAACGGTATTCCTTACTAAGGGCTTAGGGTCAGGGAACGAGAGAAGGGGTATGCTAGCAACAAAAGGCGATACAAATAACTCGGAACATAACTTAATAGGCTACAAATGTACAACCCAACGTCCTTATGAATCGAACGCGGTGTACAGGTACAAGTGAGGTCATAACTACTGCCTTCCTTGAAACCACCATTTTCATCTGCCTCGGCAGAATTGTTGACCATTCCCAACATAATACACCATCGGACTCAGCAATAATTAGAAATAAAATGAAAGTGAATATCTAAGACTCAGTGGCATTACCTGTTCAATCCTGCTGTAGTGCTATCAAGCGGAATCATAGTCCCTAAGGTGGATTGGCTAGGGCATACGGATATGGGGTTGGATCCTTCTTGACATTAACACGCTGCGCTGGGATGGATATATCGCCCAGTTGCAGCTCGCTCAGAGCCCCGAGAGATGGGTTCTGAGCTTTCTCCTTTGCTGCTTCCTCTTTCCTCTCCTCAGCCTCCTGTTGTTTTAAAATCTCTATACTCAAGCGTGCAATAGTTACTAGTCTCTCTTTGCGTTGGCTATCATCTAACGCTGCTTGTCTTAATTTTAGTAGCAATGCCCCGTGGTCATCCCATAGATATATATTCCTCAGTGAAACGGAGGATATCGATTGTCGGAGATACTCTTGCAAAGACCATATTTTCTCAGAGTTGCCGGGTGTACACATCCTTTGATGAAGCATGGAACGGCGGTGTTCGATTCTTCTTTCGTAATTCTTTTTGATTCGTGACCGCGTGGCACTGGGGTCATGCTTCTTGTCGCCCAGGCCGTTGTTTGGGTTCCCTGGATCCGCAGCCCAGCTTCTGTGGCAACTGTTGCAAAACTCATAGAACTCGTAAGCTTTGTTGAACTTTCTGCTCGCGTCTCCCTGGCCTAATGTGCAAGCTTTGGCCGCATTGAGATATTGCTCGCCAGTCTCGTTCGGATATTTCCCGTGGCGCTCGGGACATAACTCGTACAACGCGTGCCTTACCAATTGTTCTTTTGGGTTCAGGAACTCACCGGAAGCAACAACCCGCCGGTAACCATGCAGTAGCTCGTTGCTGCAGTAAAATTCGATATTGACTTTCCAGCACATGATTGACAGTGGTTGTAAACGTCTGATTTCTTACACGAGAATGATATTGCACTATAATTAGTCACTGTTCTAGTATTTCCAAGAATGCGGTGTCTATTTATTTCCTTTCCTAATAATAATCAGAGCTTGTTAACTGATAACTTCATGTTAGGAACAACTACTGATTACTGCACTGAAGGAGTTCTTTTATAGGTGTTTTGACATTATCTCCTTTGTCCTCGAGGCAACAGAAAAAATCTCATGCCCGGAACTGTCGGTCACATGGAGAACCATCATGTCAATTCCGATGCTTTCTTCTTTGTCTGTTCCAGTTTCCGTTTCCAGCACACGACCGTCATTTCAAGATTCTGGTAAAAAAAAATTAAAAAAGGAGAAAAGAGAAAAAGAAAAAGGACTCGTAAAAGTAATGAATTGGGGGAAATTTTTATCGCTTGCTGTCTGGGAATTCTTATTGTTAAAAGCGTATCTACTTATACTCCATGCCTAAACATACTCTTCTACCCACCAAGCGCAACAGCTCAAAACTATGAGGTGTATTAAGACCTTTGCCTCCCCATTTCGTACATCAGCACCACGGACTCAACATAGTTTGATGCCATGTTCCATAGCAATACGTGGTGTTCTCGCCTCGAGTAAGATGGCGGTTGCAGCGCAACAGATTGCGCAATTTCTGCTGGTTGTAACGGCTACCTACCTAGTCAAAGAATTTTATTCATAGAAGCTAATGAGCGATCTAGCCTTCTACTTATCTCCGAGAGATTCCTGGCGTTGGTTTTTTGCTCCAAACAGCTGGCATGCAAGTTCTGAGAGTCATGACGGATACACGAGTCCAAATCATCAACAGCCGTCCAAGGATTACTCGTGTCGCAAAACCGAGCTTGTACAGAGAAATTAGCATTAATTTTCGTTGGCATCTGTTCCTGGACAGGTGTTACCAACGCAGTATCACTGACGTTTCTCACGCATGGAAACAAATAAAACAGACTATCATAAGAATTATGTTCGTGTATAACAGGATGTAGGCCTACTTGAGATATGAGCGTTCATGCATGGGCAGCCGGATATTTGTTTAGTTTTACAGCATTCAGCTATGGACGAATTGCTGTAAAATCAATACTAGAAGAGATCACCGCGAGGTATCATGCAGTGGTGATGGCATTGAATTAAATTGAGTCAGTATATTGCGCAGGTTACATCTTACAGCCATTCCAAAACACTCAACTAGGAGCGGTGAGGCCACGAAGTTCTATAAGTAAATGTCTCGATATTGTCTCACAACATATTCGCTAGCGTAAGAAATTATATATAGTACAAAGTTGATATTACAAACCGCCAATCATGCTTACCCTTGCTGCGACATATGAGTCGGTAGGTTGTATGTAGCATAATCCGTATGTACAAAAGCGCGGTCCACAACTGGCACACTCTCAAGGACATACTGAAGACTTTCCGCGAGATCGTGTGTATCGCGAAGCGGCGTGCTGGCGTCCAACACGATGTCAACCTCGACGTTCAGCTTGTCGCCCGCATGATACGCCTGCAGGCCCTGAATCTGGCGGATGGTCTTAGCAAAACGCATGGTGAGATACAGCAGGACGTTGCGCTGATCTGCTGTAGCACTGAACCCAGAGAGGTTCTTGATATGTTCCAATGAGGTTTCCGACCAGTTAAAAATGACAACCAAGGAGAGGAGAAGACCACCCAGCGCATCGAGCCACCAGATCTTGGCATAGTATCCGACTATTGTAGTATTAGCAAGTTAATTAGAAGAAGTTCGCGGGTTCTCCTACCGATAGGAAATAGAATCGAGCCAGTATTGAAAATGACATCCGTCATCGCATCAGAGGCCAGAGCTTGAACGCTCGAATTCTTCACCAAGCGACACCAGAACCAGCAGAGACCTTTGATTGCGATTGTGCTTGCCATGATGCCGATTGCTGGAATACCGAGCTCGACGATTTCACGGTCAGGAGACATGAGGCGCTGAATGGACTGCAGTCCGACTTGGACAAAGGATGTGACCATGATGACCGAAAATACCAAAACTCCAAGCGGCTCGAGTCTTCTTCGACCAACGGGATATTTGTATTGGTCCTGGCGGCTAATGAGCCAAGTCGTGATCCATACAATGGCCGTAGATAAAAAATCTAAGATGGCGTCGACTAAACTTGCCAACACTGACATTGAAGATACCGAAATAATCACGGCCAGCTTTCCAGCTAGTAGGATGAAGTTGGCGACAAAATTTATGTAGATCGCTATGGTGACTATCCGGTCACCGCTGTCCACATCGTCATCATCCTCCAGCCATGGGATTTTGGGTTTTGGACCTTCTCCGTCCCAAAGCTCCTCAATGTCATCATCTTCACCATCAGTACTGAACAATGGCGTTGTCTCTGTGGCTCGATAAATATCTCTTGGTGTTCGCTTAACCTTCTTCGCACTCAGAGCGGAGGAACTACCGTTATGATGAAGGCCACCTCCGTTCTCATCCACAGGCGGGGATTCGTCATCGCTCTTCCCATTCCCTTCGATCAAACTTCCCACGGCACTTCGGCTAGCGCTTTGAGGCTCTTCGCGGATCGTATCTGGGATCTCAACACCCCTAAAGTGGCTTGCCGGCATATCGTTGTACTCATTCAGCAGATCGTGCGGCAAACTGCTATCCAACAGCCGATCAATATACACATATTGCTGAATCAGATAATTGGTTCGCTCATAGTACTTCCGAATCGGCTTTTTCATAGCCGACAACTCTTCAGGGCCCTTCCAGTAACGTTCCCACCGATACCGTGGATTTGAATTACCGATCAGCCGCATGCTGCGCACGGGGCGGCTCATCAACACCGCAGAGAGACGGCGCTCCTCATACAAGGAGCGTCCATCATCGCTGCCGGGACCGTGAAGTCCCATTGCTTCGGTACTACTCTCGATATCAGAGCCATCCAAAGCGCCTGAAAAGCGCCGTGTGGAGCCATAATTCTGCAGCGAGCTGTGTGATCGGTTACGGATCAGGTGCGTGAGGGTGCCATGCCCACGGGCTAAAAACTGAGGCGGTCCATCGTCCTGAAGTACGAGGAGTGCGCCTTTGAGTGGGGGATGGCTGCCTCGACTGAGAGACCTGGAGAGATTGGATTGGTCTTCGTTTGAAGACATGCTGTTGTTGCAAGAAGCTGTCTATCAAAATTTTGGAAAACCAAGGCCTTGTAATGTAAATTGAGATTGTGACGTAATGGCAACGCGCTGCAAAAAATGGCTGGAACAACAGATGCCGCCTGGAAGCCGCTATAGCTCCGGGCTGTAGATACAATTATGGTTTCTTATTATGTAGTGCGGTGGCAATTGGCTCATATAATCGCGGGTTACAATGATTTTCTTGAAGGACTGTTTGACATTTTACAGAGGAGCAGCACGACAACTACCGGGCTGGAAAGGAGCTAAGCTAGCTCAGAGCCGTGCAAGGTTGGCATGGCTTGCAGATCTTATCGATCGATAAGTCCGTTCGTTATCTGTAGTATCTTACCATAGTTTCACATGAGAAGCTCTATTCAAAAGTGCAGGCGACGTGACTTAACAAATTCTCTTTGGGTGAGGATGAAGTTTCACCACATATGCAGATCTGCCATTCGGTCTTGTCGGTTGCTGATAGAATTTGCTCAGGGGAGGAAGCTCAACTAGCAAGTGAGGTGGGGGTTCATGCACTTTAAACGCAGAGTGCTTCAGGGACGTGTTTATGGTCGAATGGACCCTGAGAAATTGAAACGAGACGTTCAATATATTCGTGGTTTCAAGCTTACTAGTTGACGCGTTCGTCCCATTTATGAGTCTTAGTCAATTGTATTTTTCACGTCGTGGGCTGCAAAGGTACGCATGATCATCATTGGCCTCTGACCTCTGGCCTCTGAGCCTGAAACTGTGCAGCCAAGCAGCTAATCCAAGTTGCAGTTGCATGAGAAACAAGGAGGAGCAGCTCTTTGCGTCCCCATAAACGCGGGCGTCGGTCGGCCTGCCTGCGGGAGGAAGCTTCACAACCTGCAAACAACAAAAGTTTCCGGTCCGGTAAGGCATATTGCATTACCCACTGTATTGTGTTGTGCATAGGGCAGCTCGTGCCCGCCCAATCACACAGAAACATTTTGCACCCCTGAGGGCGTTGTTACCTACAACGATATATCCTTTGCGAGAAAGGGGCTAATGTCATCAAAAGGAAACAAATTTTGGTCATGAAGGTCAACCAGAAGTTCGTCGCCGCAGGTGAGCTGGATCTGCAGAAAGTGAAGGAGTGGCGCTTCAAGTATGATGCTGCCCTCGCAGAGAGGATCTTGAAGGGCAAGCCCGAGTTGATTGTGCTCGCCGGCTTCATGCACGTATTCAGCGCAAGTTTCTTACAGCCGGTCACCGCTGCTAGGGTGGACGTGATCAACTTGCACCGCGAAGCCAGGTGAGTTTGTGTGCGTTGGCGCATGGTCTGGAGATATGACTGACTTGTGACTGCTTAAAAGGTATGTATGATAGTGCCAGTGCAACTCAAAGAGCATATGCAGACTACGAAGCAGGTGTCCTACCTGACAACACCACTGGTATTGTGATACACCGTGTCATCGAGCAAGTAGACAGAAGCGCTCTGATATCAGCAAGAGATGTTAAGATCCAACCTGGTTGGGGTCTCAACCAGTTCGGAGAATACATGCACAGTATTGAGCATGAGCTAATTGTGGATACAATAACGATCAAGGTCGAAGAGATCTTAGCCAAGAGGCAAGCATCGTCATGAGATATGTACATGGCCTATCTTTGTTGATTGGCTGGGATGAGAAATACCTAAATGAGGTTTAAGGCCGCCGTGATGCATATCTGCAGCAGCACCAGTTAGACAGTGCTGAGCTTCCGTAATCTGTGGATGGCTATTCCAGAAGGAAGTTTTACAGGATTATCCCCAGAGGTGAATGGTGTACGAAAGCATATTCTGCGCCATTCAGCCACGAAAACCACTGCAATACAAATGTCTCACGAACAAACGTGTCGAAGTAGAACAGTATAAAGCTTATACTGACAGTGACAGCTGCTGAGTTATGCATCCAGAAGCTAATGATTTTTATTTTTATTTATTTTTAAATTTTTTATTTTGTCTCGGTTTCGATCGTGGCTCCGCAATTCCGACACCAGACAGCTCTTAGCTATAAAAGCAATCTGTTATCATCCGCTGCATTTGCAAGGAAATCCCCGAGTTGATGTCATTAGATCGACGCGACTTTGTGCATCACTGGAGAATACAGGTCCGCTTTGCAAACTTTTCTGGGGCCTGACTGCCCGTATTCAATGTCAGCTAGGCGTAGATCATTTCGCGTGTGGACGACAGCCGAATGTGTTATGTAGGCGAAAGCCGCGTCGAAGTTCGGCGTGCAGACGCGAAAACACCGTTACCAGATCGCTCGACCCGTTAGCCCATAATCACCCAAAAGTGTTATGTCGTCTTTGTTGCCATCCAAATCATTGGCAGTTGCATTGCCGCGACGTTTGCTCCAGCCTCGTCCTGGTAATACTGTATTACACCATGAATGGACGATGTTGGCGCCTTGCCACGCGCGAACGGCAGTTTGGGCGAGAAATGAAATATTTTACAGCTGCCTAATTACTAATAAGTTGTCCAAAATGGAATAAAGTTTAGCTTGCCCGTTTTTCCCCCCAATGCAGTGAAAAGAAAACCCTGATCGGTGACCATCCCACGCCAGATCTCGGCGGCTCGGCTACAATTCTAAGACTGGGTTAAAGACCAATGAGGAAGGAAATGGCCGCTCGGGCTGGTGCTTGATTCGATTTATTGAATGCAGTGAATATGGGGCACAGCCCAGGTTGATTTCCCTTTGGAGAGAACCCCTGAATCGCCGGGTTTAATAGTTCGAAAGCTGGGTCTTTGGAGAAATTTGCTTCATGCAAGTCGTGGCATATATATATGTTGGCAGTAACTAAGTGCCAAACTGTCAGAGCATATGAAGCGCGTGGAGTGTTACGAGCTCAAACATGACGGTCAGCAAAAATGTTCGAATTTTCTCCATGTAAATGGAACCTCAGACGGAATACGAGAGTATGTGATGTTGGGCGGATACCGCCTCTTGTAATAGACAGGGGAGCTGACAAGTTACGCCACTAATAACGAGTTTGATATTGATCGTTGGCCCACAAACTCCATATTGAATCCCCACGTGGTCTAATAGGCGCTTCGAAAGGGATCCTGGATTTCTTGGAAAAGGTTGATAGCAGCGGTAGATTTGTTACAAAGCGTCCGGCCTGTTATAACGTGGCCAATCAACGTGGAAAGAAGAAAACTTCTCCCCCAGCACTTCGGATCTTCAGTATATGAGTGAGTTGTAGCACAGGCGGACATATTAGTCCGCTGAATAGCTGAGCGCAATTCTCACTTCACATGGTGTGTACAAACCCAGATCCTGGGACTGACTGTCGGCTTTGTCTCGTCGTCCTGAGGTAACACATCACTAAACTCATATGGCCTCTTATCGGTACGCACATTGAGCGATGCACTGTAGACATAAAACCAGCAAGTAGTCTCTGTTTCGTCCCAAAGCGATGCACAACATGTTCGTAGGTATCACAAGTTATGCGACAGCAGTGGCCGAGTTAGTGGGCACAAGACTTATCATATTTTGGTAAGGTTAGTGTTCATTGTCGAATTCTTGACGGATATTCGACCACCGAAATGAAGTGCACTATAGTGCCAATAAGAGAGTGGCCTACGGCGGAAAACTTGCTAACTACCTGGTAGACACTACCTTCACTTATTGAACTAGGGAATGGTTGCAACCGGGTGGCCCGGGACGATAGCTGCTGTGTCACCTCGCCTTGTTTCTTCGGGAGTTGTGTACATAGCACACCAAGCATAGCCGATGAAAGCGGACACGGAACACTGTTGTGGGCTGCCATTCAGCCTTTCATACCATGCAAATTATTCCATGCTTGTGGGTGGGAATTTGAACGGCAGTGACCTGGGATCGGACCGAGTATAAAGCAAAATGCGGCATTGATCCGATGTTAGAGAGCAACCTGTGACCAGTATGACATCCGTGTAACATGTTTTTGCAGGGAAGTTTATACAAAGAGAGCATGGAACCCGCGAATACATTGCGTACCTAAGATGTATGTTCCGGGCAAGGGGTGGACGCAAAAGCCTCAGTGGCTACAACTGATTACGAGTGAACTTTAAAAGGAATATAGATCAATCTCGAGAGTCACTAGACTCTAGTTGTATTATGAGTGAAAAGCCAGCGATATAGCTTGGGAGGATAAAGATGGCTACCATGAAATGTACCAGCAGATGTTCGAGTAACTAAGTACAGGGTTTCGTGAACTTTCTATATGCACAGCTTGTTGGGGTATACGAATCCGAGAAGGCCTTTGGCTTGCTCATGACAGAACCTAAACAGCGGGCCGGGCTTCTGTAGCTGTATTTTAACCCTCCAACGCGACAATTAAGGTGATCTGCGCTCCAGCAACGTTCTTTAGGCTTCAGCACCAGTCTTGTGATCAGGTAGTTTTGCCTATGTCCATTAACTTTGGGAGAACTTGAAGACGTCAGGTCGCGATGTTTGGTCGGTGGAGACCACAAAGAACTAGGTACAAAGCCATTGTGCAAGGTTCCAAGGCTAACGGTAGCATTGGCCGCGCGCTACCGGGCTAGTAGCGGACTCGCACCTCAACTGGCTACAGTAGCAACCATCGCTGTGCAGAATTGTGGACCACAATTCCTTTCATCAAAAATCACGACCTCGAGAAAGGTCGATTGCCATGGTCACAATGCGGTCGGCCTTCCTTGCCAGAGGAACATGCTGATCTTGGCCAACTTTTCACTGGGTAGGGCTATGACTTCAGAGCCAAGTATGCTAAGTGAGACCTTCCCAGCCCGTGGGACCGACAACACGCGGCCAACGCGTACATCCGCATTCCTGCTGACGGCTGCTTATCACTTGGGCTTTCTGACTAGTCTACGTCGAACTTTGCAACCAAGAGCCACTGCTATGCAAAGGGACTCACTACGATATGCAGAGTCCAGCCTTTTTGCCAAGCTGCCTCTGAGACTTTCGAGCTTAGCAAATGTGCTAGACTAATGCGAAGTGCAAATGCATTGCAGGTTAGCGCACAGTTACTGGCTTTGCAAGTGGTTGGAATCAAGGTTGTGCATACCACCTCAGTACGAGAAGTAGCTTGGCCAACATGAACCGTGTCGGCGCCACTCCTGGGCCCAATGGCACCCAATTTCGTGCCCCTGGACGCTACCGACGTAGGCCAGGCACTTAACTCGTCATAAAGCAAACCCGGGAGGGGGAACTTGGACATGCACTCGCAGTCTACTGTATGAATGTACGAAGGCAGTGCAAGTGCACTCACACTCGCAGCAACGGGGCATCCACCCCAGCACATGCTGCGGTACCTGGCAACACTAATTATGCAGCACAGTACAACAGCACGGGCGGGTTGGGGGGTTACATGGCACATGGTAGATCTCGAGAGGTGCATTGCGAATTGCGAATTGCGAATGCCATCCACCGCACCACCAGCCACCGCCAGCCTACTTACCTATTCATATTGTCACCCAGGACATGAGATTCTTCGCCGTGGTGTGTCTGCTACCTGCAAGCGCAGTATAGCTCACAGCTTCCGGGCGTCGTGGCACTCCTGACGAGCGCGTCTACATGTAGCTCGGGGCTCGAATCGTTGCACCTCGAGCGCCTTCCAGGGAGCTTGGAGGGCAGATGCCCACATGGCCCGCCAGCAGGGCCGTTTCCAGCCAGCAACAGGCTCTTCACAGGCCACCCGGAACAGGTACTAGTGCCTCTGGGCACCCTAGATCACTCCACCTAATAAAAATAGACTAGGTAGCCTCTGTGCTTCATGTTCATGGGTGGTACGGAGGCTGACCTGGCCCAGTCGGGGACGTGGAAACGAAGAAAAATAACATCCGATCCCGTTTCTTGCGTTGCCGTCATCGAGCCTCCTCTATTCTCTCCTCTCTTTCTGCTCGGAATATTTCGAACCCTTCTTCCCAAGGCCGAACAACAAGTACTTGCTATTGTCATTGGTTATCGATTAATGCATTCTAGGTGTTCCATCGCTTGATCCCCCCACGTCGTTTTTCAGTCCTTCGTTGACAACCTCCTCTCGCTCTCTATCGATCCATCTTGGCCTGCGTGTGTCTGTCAACGTCAACCGGCTTTGCTTGTTTCATATATCTCCGTGAGGCCCGTCGACTGCACCGTTTCGCATTTCCGCATTTCAGCTTGCAGCTTCTCGACGACGAGCAGTTTTCTCCGTCTCTTCGATTTATCCCAATTGTAATTCAGGCTTGGATCATTGTCGGCTCGTTTGTGTTCACGGCTTGCCCCTTGCGAGTTGTTTGTAGCCAACTACCGCGGGTAAGTTTCACTTGTTGTTTCTTCAATCTTGCAAATCGCCCTGCTTGAAATGGAGATCCTGCCTGGCCAACACATCATGGTATGAGTCGGTCTGGAGCGATATGGCTGGCTGGCAACAACGCTCGCTCGGAGTGGAGACATGATGGGATAGCACACCATGCATGCATGCAAAGGCCCCAATATCGGGCTTGCGGGTTTATACGGGCTTAGGACTCATCCTTTTGTTTACTGGTTACACATATCACCGCACGTCCCCGAATCACGGACAGTCACTTTTGTTTTGCAAAGTTGGACACGGCTAACTTTGGGCTTTTCGCATCATGCAGTTATCCGTCAGCTCGCGTCATTGTCCCTAGCTCTGACAAGGTCTCTCGGCGGTATCCTTCGTTTCGGCCGTCTCTCTACACTCTCACTCTATTTCGGGCGAGTCACGACTCTGGCAGTGACTTGGACCTAAGTTTATGGACTTGCAGCCACTCCCCTAGAACCAATTGAAAATCGCTCTATATGCCTAGATTTCCGGTCAACTTTCGGCGGAAATCGCAAGTCACAGACGAACACAATGGTCCGGTAGAACCATCTTTCCGGGTCCTTGAGCGAACCGATACATCGCCCGGAAAGTCTTTTGATGGAGGCGTAAGAATGATGAAAGCAGCAGGTGGCGCACCGAGGACAACACTGCAAGAAATCCCGACGGAAGACAATCTCTTTGTTGATACAAAGCACAATCGGTATGTTACCGCAACTGGACCCTTTTCCCAAGTTTTGATCTAGGGTTCCTCCCGGGAGGCCCCCGAAACTCCAAAATCTGCAACATAAAACCCCTTTTCAGCACGACATGTCTCACTGGTGTAAGACGGGCTCGCTCTGGTGTTGTCATGTATGCTAATCGAAACTAGTGGCAGTGGTAGCTCCAACACAACCAAGGCGCCCTCGGACAATTCCTCACGCCATAGCAACGCCTCAACGGCACCGTCATCAACGGAGTACGCTACTCAAGAGGAGCTGCGCAATCCGGCGAGGAAGACACATACCGATGCGTCTCTCCCGCCGCCGCCGAGATCTTCTGGCAGTGGTTTTCTCAAAAATGCTGGGAGGACATTTTCCTTTGGAAACAAAAAGAACAGCTTACCTTCAACACCGGTAGACCAACCTCCCGTTCCAGCGGTACCCGCGCGATTCGACCCTGAGACCCCTGGTGGCCGTTCCCGTGCTCAGACAGCCTCGACTGTGGCCACAGCGACTCCGCCGCAGGTAGAAAAGGATTTCATGTTAGATTTGGGCGGTGATCTCAGCAACATCCTCTCGGGATTCAACAAGAGGACGAGTGTGGCAACGGTGAGGAACGATTCGGGCCAGCCCGCACCGGCCTCACGTAATCTCACCGGCAACCGGTCCAATCAGCCATCCGCTCTCCATCTGGACCACTCAAGTGCGGTAGAACCGCCCATGAAATCATGGACCAGCCAACGCTCCGACGACGGACTGCTCAGCTCCCGCCGAGGAGTAGCATCTCCGCCGCCGGTGGCTGCTGATGTGCCACCGCCTGTTCCCCGTCATACTATGAGTCCTGTGACACGTAGGAAAACACCCGAGGAAGACGAACAGTCTAAGCTCCTGAAGGATTCTCTCGCCGCTACCCGCTTCTTGTCTAACGAGAATACTACTGCCATCAACTCGTCAAGAGGTTATCGTAGAGACCAGGACACGGTTTCCGATCTCAAGGAAACCTATGGGAGGCCGTCTCGCTTCGACTCGAAACCAGACGATGAGAACATGTTTGACACGTCGTTCTCGCGTCCACGGCAAGCCACAAGGCCAACCAATCGTGCGAATGGCCCGTCACAAACCAAGGTCATGACTCCGGACGAGTTTGAGAAGTATCGCCAAGATAAATTGAGGCACAGCCAAAGCAGCCCGGACAAGGACGATTCGGATAACGATGAAGAAGAGAATTATGAGGACGACGAGGATGAGCGGGAAAAGACGCTCGAGCTGGCAAAGCAGAGACGCAAGCAGGAAGCTCACATGACGGTCTACCGACAGCAAATGATGAAGGTGACTGGAGAACAGTCGCGGTCCAATCTCGGCATGTCAATGAGCACGCCCAACCTGTTGACGGATCATAGCCAAGCCTCTGGTATCTCTCCATCTCCCCCGTCCGATGGGTCCTCCGACGAGGACGTGCCGCTTGCAGTTCTTGCCGCGCATGGCTTCCCCAACAAAAACCGAGCACCAACCCGTTTGGGCCATATGGCCTCCAACCCGAACCTGCGGGGGCTCAACCAGAACTCATATGTGCAAGGCTCTGGATCTACCAACGGGGATGCTGCAAAGAACCCTGGTCTTATGCCTGCATTTGCCAGACGACTGCCTCAAGATCCCTTCTTGGGTGCTGGCTTGATCAATCAGCCTCCTCGCGACGCTTTCGCTCTTGGTGGGGGTACACCTGCTCCTCAGAACAGGGCAATGCCCGTGGGCGGACTCGTTGGTGTCATCGCCATCGAAGAAAGAGCAAAGGCTTTGCGACGCGGCAGCCCGAATATGGAAGCGGCTAACAATGGACTGCCGGCACAAATGCAGATGCCTATGAATGGTTTCGATCCGATGGCGCAAATCCCGCCACAGATGATGTACCCACAACAGCCTATGCTGACACCTGGTGATCAAGCACAGATTCAAATGACTCAGCAGATGCAGCAATTCATGCAGATGCAGATGCAATTCATGCAAATGATGTCGGGGCAAGGCCAAGGCCCGTCCCAGATGCAGATGCCCATGCAAATGCAAATGCCTGATCAGGGCGGTCGTCCTATGAGCCACATGCCAAATCAGCCAATTGGTTCCATGGTGGATGTGCGACAATCGTTCTTGGGCGACCCGATGACGATGGGAATGGGCAACGGGATGAACCTCGAGCCCCCGAGAGGAGCTGATCACATGCGCACTATGAGTATGGTCCAGCCAAGCTCCGCCTCCTGGATTCAGCCCATGCAGGGTGGATATGGAGCACCGTCAATCCGCCTCCAAGGCGGCGGATATGCACCCTCGATTGCTCCTTCCGAGCGCAGCAACATCGGGCTTCCTGGGCGATACCGCCCAGTCTCCAACCTAACCCCGCTAGATGGTGCAGGCTCCAGGTCGAACACAATGTCGGGTGCACTGCCAACGTTGTCCAAACTGCAAGCTGAAATTAAGACGTCTCCGCTTGCTAATGACGACGACGACGACGACGAAGAGGGATGGGCGGCCATGAAGGCGAAGCGTGAGAAGAAGAAGACCAGCTGGCGCACGAAGAAAGAGTTTGGTTCCGAGCTTGGTGCTCTAATCAGCTAAACATATTTCGCGATCAGGTTTCCTATCGTCAGTTACGGCGTCCATGACAGCATTTATTTTTATTTTTTTACAATGTGGTGAAGCTCTCAGCATCAGTACTCATTGGTTGGCCATCATCCGGGGCGGCTTATGGAGCATATTACTGGATATATCAGTTCGAGTCAAACGATTCAAATAATGGTTTTCGTCACTGTCCACAGTCTCGGACTGGGGAGAGTCGACGAACGGGAGGTCGACTCGGTTTGTACATTTTTTTGTTTTGTTTTGGAGAACTCATTCGAAACATATTCCTTGGGAGAGGTACAGGAGCGGCATTGTGGGCGCTTTTGGATAAAGAGGTTGTGTTTTATTGTTTCGTGTCTGGGTATCAAATGGAGGAGGGGGAGCGTCTTGGAGAGAAAAGGGGACATGCGACTAAAGACGAAAGATACAGGATGAGCGGACCGAGTGTATGGAGTGAGGATATTTCATGATAGACCGAGAGTACACACACGCACACACAAAACCTAAATCTGCAGAACAGCAACTTTTACATACCTACGTTAATCTAATATCTTGGTCGATTCCTGAACACCGTATCCCATTTTACACACGCTTCTTGCTGCGAAGCCAAAGAGAGGCTTGGTTCTCACAATAATGACTTGGCTCCAGCTCCGGCACGTTCCATATAATTGATGGGTGAAGCCACCTTGCGTCCACCGAAGTGGCTACAGGAGTGTATGTTTAGTAGCGAGGTCACGTTTTGTGTTTCAGTGTTTGACTCTGCTCCAACATCAACGCACGAACAACTTGCACCTTGCATCTCCATGTGGAGGATTATGCTGCGGACGACTTGTTTAGCTGCTGGCATTGGGCGTTCAAGTTGTAGGCTGTATGTACGTGGAGCACAGCCAGAAAATTGTTTATTATTTCTGATATTTTAACGAATTTTACCCAAACTCGCCTCGTTGGTCTATGAATCGGTTCATGACTTTGGCCTGATTAATTCCGCGATGAGGAGCTCGTCCAGGTGAGACAAGTCAGCGTCTCTACTCAATCTTGCCCTGGGCCCAAGCCCCTCTCTTGACACCCAACTCTACAGCGGCCAAACCCCAGTCCTCGCCGTGGTTGTGGCTGCCGCTCAACAGACCGGCACGAGACTTGGCCTGCTCGTCGTTCAGAACGGTCAAGACACCGAAGATGACGGGGACGGAGAGGTCTAGCTGCGCGCGCATCAGACCATGGGACACGGCGTCTGCGATGTACTCGAAGTGCATGGTCTCGCCCTTGATCAAGACGCCGATGGCGATGATGGCGTCGAAAGGCCTCGAGGGAGCAGAGGTGAGGGCAGTGAGGTCGGTGGTGGAGGAGCCCAGCAGGTCACCGGCGCTGGAGCCGCTGCCGGCCGACGTAGCTTGGACCTGGGAGGCTGTGTAGAGGCTGTGGAAGAGCGTGGCATTCGTTAGCAGAGGAGTTGACTCGAAGGTTCGGAGTAGGTTCCCGCATGTGTTGACCTGAGGGCAGTTCACGAGGGCAAGGCGGGCAGCAACTCACGATTTGACGGCGATGGGCAGCTCCCATGCGCCCGGGATAGACTGAACGACGATGTTGGCCTCCTTGACACCAGAAGCCAGCAGCTTGTCCTTGGTGCCCTTGAGTAGGGGCTCGATGATGGTGCTGTTCCAGCGGGCGTGCACAATGCCGATGCGCAGGGCACTGCCGTCGTGCTGCTGCGGGGTTGGGCCTTTGAGGGAGGAAGCCATGTTGTCCGGCGAGACTATTGTGTTGTTTTATGTCTGGGTTAGTTGCAAACGGTTTCTTGTGGCAGCGTAGATGTCCGTGGGTAGGGGTGAGAGCTGCAGGAGGAGTTCTAATGGTTCAATGGCACCCGTCAACCGCTTCAAGCTGTTTATTAGTATAAAGGTTAGGTCTTCGCTTCTTGTCTTTGGTGGGCGCGGTGCGGGATGCTTGTCAAGCTTCCTAGCTCGGAGCGGGGCAGTTCCCGATTACTCCATACTGCAGCGTCGAGTGATTAGTTAATTAATTACATCGCCGTTGAACCAATGACGAAACATGATCAGAGAGCTACATATAATTCGCCAATTGGTCTGACAAGCGCGCTTGAAGGGGGCTTGCAGGGGCCCATCATAATAGTTTTACTATCTATGCTCGGTGTGCACTTACAACTAACGTTACGGTAACTTTATATGATTGATTGGTCCGAACGAAGGTGCGACCAGGCGAAGGTGCGAACAATTTAAATTCTGTTAGGTTAGGCACAACCACCAAGCCTCGAGGTTAAGCTCTAAGCTCGACGCGGGCTGCGTGGTTGCCAAAAGCAGATGTGAACATCTACAGTGGTTGGCCAACATCCTCACCAGTGTGTGTCTTGTCAAGCTCCTCCCACCTTTTCCATGTTTCATGGTGTCACACATAGAACCTATCATGGTATATCCTCTGCTCTGCTAACATCAAGACTTTTCGTCAAGCACTGAATTATTGTCAATCTAATTATAATTTGCCTAGGCATTCGATTCTCCGCTTCTTTATGAAATCATCATCATCACGTCCTGCATCCAAGCCCATTGTTTTGATATGTAATTACCATCTTCCAGGTTGTCATCGGGTATCGACATGTCTATCACTGCACTCCCCAGCCATGCCCAAAAGCTCTTGAGTTCCACCTCTATCATCACCACTCCAGTCTCGCTCGTCAAGGAACTAATAGATAACGCCATCGACGCAAGTGCCACTGCCATAGAAGTCATCATTTCACAGAACACTATCGACAAGATTGAAGTCAGGGATAATGGACTAGGCATCCATACCCATGATTACGACTCCTTGGGAAGACACGGTCACACAAGCAAGCTCAAGGACCTTGACGACCTGCGTTCCGTGGCTGGCACCAGTCTTGGCTTCCGAGGTCAGGCCTTGGCAAGTGCAAATACATTGGGCAAGCTCACCATCATCACAAAGACTTCTTCGGATCCAGTAGCCGCAACTATACAAGTAAATCCCCATTCCGGAGGTGTCCTGAGACAGCAAGCAGGCTCAGCACCGGTTGGGACTACGGTGAGTGTCTCTGAAATCTATTACGGACTCCCGATTCGAAAACAGCTTGTCGCCAAGGAAGCCGGGAAGACCTTGGACAGGGTCAAAAGCCTGCTTCGCTCATACGCCCTGGCGAGGCCAACGATTAGACTCACACTCAAAGTTCTTAGCAAGCCCGCAATGAACTGGAACTACTCACCTCGACGAGACGCTTCCATTGGCGAAGCCATTCTTCAAGTCCTTGGAAAAGATGTGGCAGCTCGTTGTTTCGAAAAGAAGGCCAGCTTTCCTGCATTCGCTGAAGACCGACCTGACGTGTCTGGATTATCGTTCATGTTTGAAGCGTTCATTTAGAAAGTGGACGCCGAATTCATACGTCTTCCCACACAGCGCTATTTTTCCGTCGACGGTAGACCTGTTACTAGCACAAGAGGAACGACACAGAAGTTGATGGCGGTCTACACCAAGTTTCTAAGCAACGCGCTGCTCCCACAGCCTGATGCAAAGGCCATGCGTGATGCCTTCATTCGACTCAACGTCAAGTGCCCTGAAGGAACCTATGATATCAACATTGAACCATTGAAGGACGACGTACTGTTTGAGAGTGAACAGGCAATTTTAAGCGGTTTCGCAGCATTGTGTGAAGATGCGTACGGGCCGCTTCGTCCAAACAGCAAGCAAGCTGCTCCGGAAAGTCGGGCCTCAATGAAGCCTTTGCCTGCTCTCCATGAAACCGGTCACACCACACACAATAACATACACAACGAAACCCTCATTGCTTCGGAGAGTGATCAGGCAACGATTGAAAGGCAGATTGACATTGACATGGACTCAAATTCGTGCAAGCGACATGATATCGTGAGAGAGGATCAGGGGCAGCAGGATTTACTGGATGAGGTGCGGCCGGCGCAGTCCAGCTCACTGCATGGAAGGGCTTCTACACCTTTCCCATCCGCTTGGACTGCTATAAATACCCCGGTGCTAGCTAAAAAGCAATCGAATCCACCTGGTCTTCAACGGGAAGATCACAATCTTGAGAAAGAACAATCATTGGTTGTGCCTGCGTTCATTAGTGATAGGTCAGCCGATTTGACTGAGCAGGCTTTCGATCCCGAATGGAGACAAAAGCGCGATACGAAGAACCAGTGCAAGGCTCAGGCTGTCTGGTCGACACCGGAACATGAGAGCTCTCCAGGCCAGTCAACGAATCTGCGATCTACGGTAAACCCGCGCCTTCAAGATACTGCTGTCAACAATCGCGCCGGTACTCATCATCTACAGCTCACTTCACAAAGGGAGCTACGTACCATATCTATGACACCTGAACCGGAAATTCTGCGACACCGTGGCGCACCACCGCGAGATCTTGACGTCCCACCGAGTATGCGTTACTCGTATCATCAGGGTAGTGAGCGTCACATGCCGAATACTGTTCCTGGTGGAGTATACCAAATGACGCCGCCGTCATCAATTCAGAAAGACCGAGAGCCATGGCACAACCGTAACACCTCCAGGAGCCAACCATCAGCAACAGGTCTAAAACAGACTACAATCTCGTTTGGCGGGCCCTGGCAACGACCAAAACACCAAATCGACCACAAGCAAGCAGATACCACCGAGGGGCAGGATTCTCTCGTAGATGCTGCAAATCTGCAAATACCGTGCGACCGTGGAAGTGAGAACACCGCAATAGAAAAAAGCTTGGCTCCAGAAGGGTCTTCAATTCAAATGAACAGCAATGCGGAATCTAAAATCATTCAGTCTGAAGCTCGATATCAGCAAATTTCGCGAGACGGGAAGGCATTTTCGAAACTGCGTTCTACGGACAGTCGATCAACCGAAATCTTCCTCATGGATAAGACACCGATCATGACGGCGCTTCCAACAGGAGACCCCAGGGCATATCTGCTGAGGCGACAGAAATCCATGGCAGCTGACGAGCGCATGGGCCGGCCAAAGAAATTTCGAAGAGTGAAGAGTGTGTTATTGCCTTTCGAAAACGTCATCAACGACAACCAGACTCGTGAGATAACACTACCGATACAAATTGACTTACAAGGCCTTCCAGACACCTTGGTTAGCTTTAAGAAATATGACAAGTATATTCTAGAGGGTGATGTTGAAGAAGCTCTCGACATGAATCTTTGCGAAAGTTGTCGAATCGAAGAACGACTGAATGCTCTTCTCTCCAATTGGAGCGAACGTCTAGGTGAAAGAATTGTAGTGGAGTCAAATCTAACGTCGGTAATCAAGGGAAAGGGGGTAGACGTCTGAATTTGAATTTTGGTCGCTCGCAAGTCTCTACTCGATCAGGTCAGCCACGAAGCTGCATTGGTTCATAATAGAATGGCAGATCGCTAACATGTGGTTGCGTCATGGCGTGCAGTTTTGTTAGATCTCACGGTTATTCGGCATCATGGAACTACAGTGCTGCTCATGGCCGACATAGAGGAAAACAATGGCTCAAGGGTAAAGGCATGGCTGCAAAAGAATTAGCTTCTATAACACCTATCATCTGGCTCCTGCTTTCTACCACTATCAATTAAATCATTCATGAACGTCAAGCCTGACATAAAACCAAATAAACTAAGCATCTGGTCCATGCTATCAAATGCTTGGTGGAAAGTCATATGGAAAATATTATTATTTTATTATTATTAAATACGCCGTAGGACTCTAAGTCCCTCGGTACCTCTCCGAGTTAAACCGTACGGTAAACCTTGCCTTAAGGGCTGGACAAAACCCGTACGCTTCGTGTGCTCTACGCTCTGATAGCGTCTACGTTATAGTGTCTATAATGCGACGTTGGTTTTCACCTAACCAACGTAACTACCCCTGAAAAGACTGGCTATCCCCGATATAGGATAGTCTCCCCGTTTGTAATAGCCACTGAACTAGAACCTTCGACACTTTCGGAATCAACGTAGCCGCGGCGAGGTCGCGGCGTGTATCCAATCTTACCGGAGCTATAAAGCTCCTTAGGCGTGCTTGAGCCTCTTCTAATAGCCCGCAATAAAGGAATACGTGTACGACTGTTTCAGGGGCTTCGCCGCAGCGGCAGAGGGGTGTATACGCTCCGAACGCGTCTATTCTAAACAAGAAGGCTGCGAGTCCAATCCGTTCAGATTGGATTTGGAAGATTATCGTGGCTTCTTTCCTCTTAAACTTCTCGTACTGTTTTAGACCGGTTCCAGGGGCTTCGTCGGCTAATGCTCTGCGTTGGCGATCATCTTGCGAAGCGTTATCGCTTTGTCTACGCTTTTGCCAGTGTCTAGAGAGAGCTTGTCGTATATCTGGTCCTTCGGCCCATCTTAGTGCTCGTTCGTACTTCTCGATCGGGTATGCTGCTCGGCGTAAGGGAAGCGGTAACGGCTTTCTTCGCCTGACCGGCCTTGCTTCTCGTAATATATGCGTCGCCTTTGCGCAAGCGGTACGTAATAGCTTGTCGGTCTTTTTCTTACGAATCCGTAGTTCGAACTTCGTTGCCTGAGCGCTTAAATAAATGTCTAGCGGCGGGATCGCTGATTCAGCTTCAAGTATCCGCGTTGGTGTAGCCTTATATGCGCCGCAAATAGCGCGTAGGCACTCGTTTTGGGAGCTCGCTAATGCTTTGACCGGGCCTACGGGTCTCTCGCTGATAGTGTGCCACGTAGCCGCTCCGTATGCAAGGGCTGTTCGTATCACTACCGTATATAGTAGCCTTGCTCGTAGGAAGTCTATTCCCCACGCCATTCGTACGAGTTTCGTAAGGGCTAGCTTTTGTGTAGCGAACTTCGATTTTACTCTCTCTATATGGGCGTGCCAATTCAGTTTCCTATCGAACCAGACGCCAAGGAACCGCGCTGACACAACCGGCGTTATAGCTGCGTTTCCGAGGCGAACTCCTAACGTTAACGGGTCTCTAGCTCTTGTAAAGTGTATAAGCTCGCACTTTTCTGGCGCGAAGTCCATGCCGTGCCTGGTTGCCCATGCCTTACACGTCGTCCACGCTGCTTCTAAGTGTGTACAGGTTGTCTTTGCATCGTGGCCGACGCTAAGTAGGTTCGTGTCGTCGGCGAACCCTACTATAATTAGCGATGGGTGATTTGCTGCTAGCTCTTCGTACAAGGTAGAGATATAGAGTAGGAATAATATAGGTGATAGTGGGGAGCCTTGGGGGACGCCCGCGTTTAGTGAGAAGGGCGTGGACTCTTCGCCGTCGAAGCGTAGCCTAGCCGTCCTATCCTCTACGTAGCTCGTAACCCATGCCCGGACCCATTCCGGAAATCCCTTCTGGGCTAGGATCGCGATTAACCTGGTATGATTGACTGTATCGAACGCTCCTTTTATGTCTAGTTGTAGTAGCGAGGCGATGCCTCCGCGCCGCCAAGTTGTATGCGCTACGTCTTCGACGATACGTATAGCGAGTTCCGTAGAACGGCCCTTACGGTTGCCCATCTGGCCGTTAGGAAGGACGCCCCCTTTCTCGGCTGCTTCTGTGATTCTCCGGGCCATTACCCCTTCGATAACCTTCCCTATCGTACTAAGTAACGCTATTGGTCGCCACCCGCTTGCCGTGCGTCTTTGGGCTGTTGTCTTGTTTGGTTTAGGGATAACTACTACTCTAGCGGTACGAAAGCGCCGTGGGAAGTAGCTAATAGCGAGGCTTGTTGTTATGGAAAATAATACATCCGTCAGCGCTCCTAATCATCCATTCAAAATTCTGTCTCAATTTCTCCAGAAGTTAAGCAGAGTAATCCCTATCGTGAGCCTCGATCAGCTCTGATATACAGGTATAGACCTTTCCTATACTTGTCAGTGATAACAATATCAAAGATATGAAGTAGGACAAGTAAAGATAAGGGATATGCTAGATTTTTGAGCGTCTTTAGAAACTAAGCAGATCCCTTGCGTGAAGCCCGGTTTTCCTTGTTGTTGACACTGTATATAAGGGGGAATGCGGCACTGATTTCTGTTCTGGATCAGCATACAAGACTTACCCCGTGGCACCGATTCTACTTCACACTCCAAAGTTCTTGGGCATCCCTAAACCAAGAAAATACGAAATGAAGCTAGAATAGCTGGGCCAAGCTGCGCTATTTGTTTATTAAGGTACACCAAATTGGGGCAGTTTAGGTTGGTCTATGAATGCGCAAGTTGATTCACATATTCACCATAGCCTATAGAGCTTGCACGTAAACCAACCCCCCCCCCCCCCCCCCCCCCCCCAACAAAAAACTAAACAATAGTACCCCGATCTGTGGCGAGCAGTGCGGAATCTAGCGGGTGACAGTGCTTAGATGGTAACGGCAGCGGACTAGAGCATAGAGTGATATGCGTTTATGAGTAGGTGGTCTTTCAACAATGTATGCATGATAACGAGTATCTCATGAGCCAAACCGGTCACAACACCGCCGCGTTATGTGCCCCTTTGTAACCTATACTGTATTGAAGTATACTCCAATCGGGACTATAGCTTACAATCGATGCACCAGCATTAGAAGGAGACAATATGTTTGTTGGATCCAGTAGTGTTTCCGGGGCGTCATCAGACTTTACGAATTGGATATAACTCGTCTATGATGGGCTTGTCGTATATTATCAACATTTGTGGCTGATGATTTTTGTATACTTCATTACGAAAAAGCTTCCGCCTGGTTGTGACGAATGATTTGGTTCAAATCTCGCTGGCTGCATTCATATATCACAGGGTGCTATCCATCCACCAAAGAAACCAAACTTGGTGAATTAGGAAACCACAAACGCGTTAGATTCTTTTCCGTTGGTTGAATTACGATGGCGAGCACTGATCCTGGATGGCCTGCTTGTATTGGAAGGAAACGTACGTGAACACAATTCGGTAGCCAGACATCACGTGTGCACTCTATTGATCCCGCCGCAATTGGACATGGTTTATGCGCTACATTTACGATAAATCGGCAGTTGTATAGAGGAACACGATGATGTTCAAGTAATGGCCGACCTAACCACGTTCGGTGCCATGCACACACGCTGCGATCGCAGGCGCAGATTTAAGGTGGTTTCAGGCGCAACGAATGGAAAGGAACAGCAAGCTTTCGGCAAAGGCCGCGTGTGAGTGTGGGATCGTCAATCGTCCATTGTATCCTCAACCACGTTGATGTGGCTGACACGATCCATGGATGGGATCTCAAACCATTCAGCAGCGCCAACTATCATCGCCAATTGCTTAAAGTAACTAACTTGCATATTATTAGTGCTTCGGAAGATTCTCTAGCGCGTTTTCAGGCATACATAGTACATAGTACTACGGTCACTACTTAGACGCGCCAAGCAATGTCAGCTCCATCTTGCTTCCAAAATAGAAACTCCATCATCAGGTACGCAAAGTCCGGCCGTCGATCTTAGTTATTTGAGTTCAGAACGGCGTGCAACTCATTGTCGCATTTGGCAAAGCTAGGTGGACGGGCGCCTTTTAGAAAACCGGACTTGAAACAGATTATGTTTGTCTGACGACGTTCTAGATGTCGTGCGACAGACAAAATGTACTTGGAAAACAATGGTCGGACGAGGCATACTTTTTGAAGCCCTGAGCAGCAGTCGAAGCTTTGGACCTGCGTTGGGTAGCACACGACACGGATACACTGAGACATACAGCCCACTAGCAACCCGACCTTCCGAAGAGCACGGTCCGGACTTGGCGGTTGAGAGAAGTCTTCGCACGGAGATGAAAGCGCTCTCCATTAACCCACAGTCGTGGACCTCAGCGGAACGCTGGAAGCATGGGCTGATGAGGATAGGCATTTCCTGCGGTGTGAAGATGCCGTAATGGGATCCAGGCGGGCTTTGCTTTGCATGCTGTCAAAGATTCGAACCCCGGCAAGCGAGCTCAATAGGGCGGCCTGTTATTGCAAGACGTCCATTTACACTTCGGCCCACAGCCGTTACCTTCGTGCGTCCCTCTGCTTTTGGACTGTGATTACCATGTATGTATGTACCATTTCAAGCGGCAGGCTTTGGATCAAACTTTAGGCTTTGCCTCATTGCGACAGGCACCCAGGAACAAAAACAGAAGAGTCGACCCCGACGCACGACACGGATTGTCCTTCAAAGCTGGGAATGTCTACAGTACGGGCTCAATTCAGAGGCCAAGACTGCGGGCGATTACATGGGCGATTTCATGCAATGACATCCCCTCCATCATGGTAGCAATCCATCCCGTTGGTCCGCTTGACATCAGCGTCCCAGCTGGCTGTCATGCTATTCGCGCTAAGCATGACAACGTTGTAGTGTCTATGGCTACTTTCTCCGCTTTCACCCTCCATCACAATCGGTCTCGCTCTGTGCCACGCGCTCTTTTGGTGGTCTCGTCACTCACTAATCTTGTACACTCGTTTTACCGCGAGTGGTCTCCAACCTTTCCAGCTCATCTTTTCTTTCTTTCTTTCATTCCTTCTTCCTTTCTTCCTCCAACCTTGGCTACGTGTTGAGACCGAAGACGTCTCTGTAATTCTGCCCATTCGCTAGTAGCTCATCACCTGTCAGCGATTTACGCTCCTCTCGCCGTTGCTTCTGTGAGTGGTATGCTTGGAGCGCCTGTCAACCTGCTGTGCCTCTCGCGCGCGTCATCAGCATCAATTCGACACTAAGCTCAATTCTCCTGAGTGTCGAGGTTCCGGCCCCGTCCCCAGGTCTCCAGAAGAAAAGCAGCGCACGCCGCTAAAGCGTCCCGCCTCGTACCGCTAGAGCCTAGCATAGCACAGCCCACTCCTTTCGGACCATTCCCAATTCTCTATCCAGATCCCCTTTCCAAACAAATTTCTGTACGATAATTCCTCCTGTAACGGAATCTGGACCTCCTGGGACGTAGAATACGAATCGCGACCTTGTACCACACGAACAGAAACCGTCAAGTCCATACACCGAGCTGGGACTTTGGGATTGTCTAGGTTCACCACTTATAGTCATGATGCGGGTCTAAGCCATCCTCGCCTAATCGCGTCGACCGTCCTGGAAGAGAATTGGATGGAAAACGGTCATTTGACGACAACGATGCGACCGTCCGCTTGCCCAGGCCAGTGTGACAAATCACCACATTATAAATCAGCCGAACCGTCCCGCGGTAGAAATGGACGTGAATCGAAGATGACTCGGCGGCCACGAACAGTTGGAGGGATAAGGAGACGGGCACATGGCCATGGGTCCAAGTCACAACATATGTCAAGAACGGCATGGCGAACTCGGCAGCCCTCAGCGTCGATATACCTCCTATCTTCGTTGCTGTGGCTTCGGGCAGTATCGGCGGTCCTGATCCCATTCGAAAACTGCTTGCCAGATGACTATCGCTGGGACTCACAAGCCCACAAAGACGATCCCAACTCGACGCAGATACAATGGATCCCAAAATGGGTCGACGCGAAATTCAATCTCAGCGATCCGCAGCACCAACTCATTGTGACCATATGGGGCAACGTCACTGGAAGGTTAGGACAAGTGGACATCCCAGCATGGAACAGTACGGAATGGGACAACCCGAATTCGACTTTGGCACATGGCGGACAAATCTTGAACCAACCGCAAGGATCGAATTTCACCACCCTGCATAGCAAAATCCAGGTCGCCAGCTATACCCCTTATTCGTCAGATCTCAACTTTTGCGACAGTATCAACAATGGGTCATGTCCACTGTCTCCCGTCTTTGAGGAACTTGCGTAAGTCTAGCCGAGCCTACTGAGTACTGAAGCGTCCTTGTTAACGTGGTCTGCGGCCAGTGATCCTCTCCTGCCTTACGGCCTCCCCTACTTCAACGTATCTCACAATTTCGAATCTACCTATGCTTTTGCGTCGTTTGCGCCGACTTTTTTCATTTATTACGACAAGGGCAACACGATCGGTTGCATGTCAGCAGTTGTCACGCCCAGCCTGGGCGGTATTGCATGGTTTCTGAGGTTTTTGCCGCTCATTGTGCTGCTCTTGGTTGGATTTGCGACTATCTTCTCTGCCATATTTAGTCCTTGGGGAACAGCAGATGTTTTCCACTGGACTACAAATTATGGCCGTGACCTCGACCTTCTCCGATTGGTCACGCCGGGGTTTGGCGACTGCCTTCAGTACATCCAGTTTATCGCTCTGACTGGCGGCCTCTCTCTGAATTATCCTGGCTTTTACCAGCCCGCCGTAAGCAATGGTGCGTGGTCGGCACTCATGTTCAATGAGAGTTTTGTTGCGCACGCTGATCCGTGGGAGAACCTCATCGATGGCGTTTATAATGTCAATGCGACGACTGGGCTTCAAAGCCTGTCGCAGCTCGTGGGCATGTCTCAGGTTGAGGATATCTGGGCCGGAATGATGATATGGCTTCTAGTCATCATAGCTGCATCGCTAATTGCTGTACAGCTCGGATTTTTTGGACGCTGGGTTTGGAGATATGTCCGCCATACTTCGGAAGAAGATCTGCGAGCTAAGAACATGCCATTCTCCGTGGGCATCGTGGTACGCCTTGTCTTCAACTATTTTTTGCTACCTATCGTCGCCTTGTCGACCTACCAACTGGTCGTGGCCGAACAGTCACAGGTATTCTTGGTGGCCTTGGCTGTTATCACGATCGCTCTGATCATCGGCTTCGCATCCTACTTGATGTATCTTATTGTTTCAACAAAACCACGAGCTCATCTGTTCGACGACCTGTCAACAGTGTTGCTCTACGGCCCGCTTTACAACACCTATTCGGACGAAGCAGCCCCGTTCGCTCTCATCCCCATTATACTCACTTTCATGCGGGGCATTGCGATTGGCGCCGTTCAGGATTCTGGTGTCGCACAGATCGTGATATTGGCGGTCTGTGAGATTATTCAAATGCTGACCATTCACGCGTTCCGTCCTTTCAATTCATCGACAAACATGAACGCATATCACACCGGCTTCTCGCTCTTTAGGTTCTTGACCGTCCTGCCAATGGTTGCCTTTGTTTCGTCGATGGGTCTCACTGGGGACACCAAGGACTGGGTTGGGTACGTCATCCTCCTTCTCCACGGTGGTGTACTTGTTTTCGGGTTCTTCCTCAACTCCCTCATGACCATCATCGAAGTCATAGCGCGAATGCTTGGAGCTGGCGGCGACGATGTTCGCGGCCAAAAGAGAGGCGGCTTGTCGAAGATTTTTGGAGCGCGGCAACTACAACGGCGCGTATCCAGACGCGGCGCCACATCACGTCAAAGCCAACTCAGTACGGCGGGTATGCTTGACGCATACAATAGTCAAAAGAGAGGGTACGGCCGTGTTCGCAGTGAATCTGCTGGCAGCATGGGCATTCTGCTGAACCAGCCTGGACACCGAGGCTCAAGCGCATTGGACAATCGAAGTGTCGATGGCTTATCGGGCCCGATGGGGGCAGCGTGTTTACACCAACGACGCCAGGGGCTGAAGCCAGTACCTTCTCCTTGGTAGCTTCGCCGGGCCATGCTACCCGTCCCCAACCTGCTGCTGACCCCTACTACCGTCCACCACGTGCGCGAAGACTTACCGATGATGATTTAGGGTCTTCACCTCCCGGTCTCGGACGTGGGTCTATAGGCAGTATCGACTTGGCTGACAGGCGACTCAGTCAGAGCAATGGTACATTTATGGACGCCGCAGACTTCGACAGGTCCGGCAAGAGGCCCGTCTCAGCAGCTCCAGGGGTACTGGCACCCGCACCGGCATCGTATATGCCTGTTTTTGCTCCCCGGGCAGACTATTCTACAAGAGAAGTGGACTTTTACTACGGTGTTCGCGGACCTGCTCTCAACTCTGATGCGCCAAATCGACGATTGGGTACAGGTCCTGCAGATCCAACGAGCCCTGTGGCCACCGCAACTGGCTGGTTAAGGGGACTGTTTGGTGGAAAGACGAAGGAAAAGGGCAAGGGTTTTGAAGTCGTTAGGAGCGCGAGGATGCCACCAGCGATGAAGGCTCGCGGTGGCGATCTCGAGGAAGAAGCACCACCGGAAGGTATACCGGTGGCCATGGGCGTAATACGAAGCGGGCCTATCGAGAGCGACGACGAAGACATGCCGAAAATTAAGTTGGAGAAGCGGCCGACTCGTGACAGTGTGAAGCAAGACGCAGCAGAAGCTGGGACGTCGTCTTCTTCGTCCGCGCCGTCGTCCCCAGAAGTGGCTAAAGTTTCAGCCAATCCGCCGTTGCTGCCAGACCTCGACGCTGGTGAAAGTTTCAGATTCCCCAGCAGGATCCACTCCACGAGGACGACTAGGCAATCATCACGAAGGAAGGTGAAGGAAGTTGAGCTTGAGCTTGGAGATATCCCGGATGTGCCGAGGAAGAGCTCCAAACGTAACCAAAGCCAGGAGCGGATAGTTGAGACGTCCCTCAATGCATTACAGCCGCCATTGGAAGTAACCAGGAGTCTACACCCGGACGCCGCTACCACATCCACAAGACTACCATTTGACCGTACCAACTCGCAGAAACGCCTATCTGGCTCCTCTATGGGCGAACCGTCATCCGCTGGTATGAGTGCTGATAGTGGTGACGAGCGGCCCACGAGCATTGGTTACGTCCATCGACGTAACCCCAGTCAAGTAGACCCGTCCTCAACGCAGGACCTCGATCTTCTTGGTAGTACAGCAGAGGTGGTTGGGAATTCGCGGCAGGTCAGCCCCATGTCTTCAGTATCTGGACTATCGACACGAGCAGTATGAGCGCATTTTTACACGATTCTGACGAATTTCTTTGTCTGTCTATTGTACACGATCTATAGAATTGCCCAGACTCAAGCGTGTGACTAATGGCACGGTGGAAATACGTGCCAGCGTCTGGGAGTCTGACTACACACTACTCGAGGGGGGTTTGTTTTGTCTTTGTTGTCTTATAATAATCATCTGGAATTTTAGCGGCGGCGTTCAAAAAAACAAAAATTGGATTGAGCGCATATCTCACAAGCGCACAAAGCAAGCTAGTTTTAGGACGTGGAAGGATCTTGTATGTTTGGGATAATAGCATTGGGATCTCCAGGAATACAGGCCTGGTACCGCTGAAAGGATCTATCGTCCAAGCGTATCTCAACTCGAGGCAGACAAACACTATAATAATCAAAAGAAAACATAAACATCGAATATACAGTCGCTAGCGAATCCAGCGTCCTCTTTTTACACTCTTTCGATTTTGAAAGCATGGACGTTTTGGGTGAGTTCAAGTGCTGACCATGTACCGCTGATACTCTTCATGTTACTGTTCACCGAAAGTCAATTTTGCCACTCTTTTAAATGCATAAAAGGCAGTATTATATCAGCCAAACGTCCTGTTTTCTTATTCACCGACAGCTGACGGCTCCAAGCCACTGCCTACACCCTCGGCCGCCCATGAAGCTAATGCATCAGCGGAACTGATGGTATCGGGATGATGAGTGCCAATCTTGCTCCGCTGAAGCCGTACACATTCTTGCATTAAATTGATAGCCTCTATGTCTTTTCCTAATGATTTCCAGGTGAAGGCAAGGTTAGCCATGCTGTTCAACGTGTCTGGATGGTCCTCGCCCAGCTTCTTCCTGCTCGTCTCCATCACTTGCATATCCAGCTCTTCTGCTGCTGACCACCGGCCGTGATTCCGGTACGTCGACGCTAGGTTGGCCATGCTGGTTAACGTGTCTGGATGGTCCTCGCCCAGCTTCTTCCTGCTAGTCTCCATCACTTGCACCTCCAGCTCTTCTGCTGCTGACCACCGGCCTTGATTCCGGTACGTAGACGCTAGGTTGGCCATGCTGGTCAACGTGTCTGGATGGTCCTCGCCCAGCTTCTTCCTGCTCGTCTCTATCACTTGCATAAACAGCTCTTCTGCTGCTGACCACCGGCCTTGATTCCGGTACGTCGACGCTAGGTTAGCTATGCTGGTCAACGTGTCTGGATGGTCCTCGCCCAGCTTCTTCCTGCTAGTCTCTATCACTTGCATAAACAGCTCTTCTGCTGCTGACCACCGGCCTTGATACCAGTACGTCGACGCTAGGTTGGCCATGCTGGTCAACGTTTGTGGATGGTCCTCGCCCAGCTTCTTCCTGCTAGTCTCTATCACTTGTATAAACAGCTCTTCTGCTGCTGACCACCGGCCTTGATTCCGGTACGTCGACGCTAGGTTGGCCATGCTGGTTAACGTGTGTGGATGGTCCTCGCCCAGCTTCTTCCTGCGAGTCTCCATCACTTGCATCTCTAGCTCTTCTGCTGCTGACCACTGACCTTGAAGCGCGTGGCCTCTCCCTACAAAAACCATACTGCATAACGTATCGTCATGATCTTCACCTAACACCTTGTTCCTGGCCTTCATCGACAGAAGTGCTAATGTTTCTGTTTGAATGCCATTTCGCATTTTCCACGCGTACCACGCACCCTTATATAGCACCAATGCCCAATCATGCCACAGTCCCCGGTTCTTCGGCTTCCGCGTTGCCGTTAGTATTACGTGCGGGAAGAATAACTGACATCTTTCCCAGTTCTCATATTCGCCATTGGGAAGTTCAGCGTTCAGATTCTGAAGAAACTGACCTTCCCATTGGTCCAGTTGATTGTTTTCTGCAAGCCATTTTCGTGTTGCCAGTTGAACTAGTGCGTGAATAGTAAGCGTCTTTCCGTCGTTACTAACCGAAATGAACGAGTAGTTTCGTAGAGCGATGACATCGCCCTCGAATGAATCGTCTGGTTCAGATTCCGAGACGCTTTCTTCCTCCCTATCATCATGATCACTTATATGATCCGCTCCATCCCGATTTTCGTCATTCCTTTTGGCGTATTTGGACTGGGTGATTGTGCTCTCGTTTCGGTTCCGAACGAGAACGGTAGGAATACCTTGTCCGTCAAAAAAGCTCATGAATGATAATAAGTCAGCGGCAGAGTTCCTGACCTGTCGGACGTGCTCAAATGAGATCTGCCACGTAACAATTATGGAGTTCTTCGCCTCTCGATCGCGACGTAGTTGGCCGCCTTCCCGGTTCAGAAGACTCTCTTTCTTTCGGTCATTCTCTCGAAACCGATCCAAATATTGTTGTACGGAACAAAACGGGGCTCGCTGAGTAATATAGGCCGCTGCTTGCACAATGGCAAGCGGTATACATTCTAACGCAGCCGCCAGATCGCCGAAGTTCTCATCGTTGTGATGGGCCGCTAACTTCTTCTGAAGCAGGGCTATTGCTTCGTCCATCGTCATCGGTTTAATAACAATTATATCACGGTCTTCGACCAGTTTCCGCGCCTCGTCCTTGTTCCTAGCGGTGAAAAGCATCGATCCATTTGGACATTGTGGAAGATAGGACGCTAATGGTTGTTCTTTACTGCTATTGGCGCCGATAGTTTGCCATACCTGACTGCCGCGACGATCAAAAAGGAAGTCAGCGTCATCCACGTTATCCAGGATCAGTACCCATTTTCTGCGTTCATCGCGCAACCAATCGTGCACGAGCTGGAATATGTTGGTACTGCCCTGCCGCCCGGGAACTTGGATATAGTTGGCAATATCGCGAAAACTCTGTTCGAACCGGGCTGCGTTGCTCGCATGCACCCAGAATACCCACGTATCGGCAGACTGATCGCGCGTTTGGTATGCATATTCGATGGCTAGCTGCGATTTTCTTCTTAAAAGTTAGCAATCTGCATGTGTCGCACTCGTTGTTACGTACCCGATACCACCTAAGCCGACTAGTGCTGTTCGAGAGCCCGGCTTAACACATTTTCTGTGTATCCCATTGAGAACCTCTCCCCTTTCAACAAAATCTGAATCGCGTCCGTAAGGAAGTAAGGCAGATGGATGCGGTGCTCTTTCAGTCTGACTAGAACCAGTGCTGGCACCCCCCACCTTACCACCACGATCACGACTCCGCCGCTTGGCCACTTCTTCCCCTAGGCGCACAAGCGCATGTTGCTTCCCTTCCCCATAGATTGGTGATAGATAAACATTTAACATCCCCAATAAGCAGTACGCCATATCTTCCCCACGTTTCGTCTGACGTCCTACAGACCACGACATCAGTTCGTCGACTGGAAATTCCAACAATGGACTGCCTTGTAAAGCTCTGATCGGGACTCCCGTGATTTCGTACAGCTGTTGTACCAAGGATTCTTTGTCACCAAGCCGTTGCCATTCGGCGGAGTAGAACTCTACAACAGAGGGAGCAATAAGCTCCTGCAAAGTCCAACCCCGAGTAAACCATCGGCTCTTCTCAAATGCTCTTTTCCACGCCGACCGTGCCGTATTGCCATCATCATCCTTTTCTTTCAACACGTCGGCTAAATGTACATAACATCTCTCGGCATTCTGATACCAACGAAACATGGAGTTGAGCGCTTCGGACAGTTCCGCATTGTTGGACTTGTCAATACAACAGCTGTCGACCCAGAAATGCGTATAGCCGTCGGCCACCGCTTGCTTTCCGCAGAACTCGATCTTGCGATAACCCAATTTGTCGGTACCTTGGCCGTGGGAGATGTCCTGGAAAGTAACCTCTTCTTCGTCCTTACCCCAAGTATGCGAGAGGATAGCATATGGCGGGATATCGTCCAGGAGGTCTTTGGTCAAGGTCAACCCACCGTCACTTTGGAACGTCAAGAGGTACATTCTGATTCTTGGAGGGTTTGCGAAGCTCTATGATTGAGAAGCAGTTAAATGGAGCATCACGGAGTTCAGTTGAATAGTTGTGAGCGGCCACCCTGCTACCTTCGCAGCACAGCCTCGCTTCTGCCTGCGAGCCTGAGGCTATGCAGGTGTGCGACATCTACAACAACACCCTCTCAATCGCATCCAATCAGGACACCATCTAGATTGCTGTACAGTACGATGGATAGCGTTGCCATACGTTCCGGACACGCTATTGTTGGTCGAGGTATACAGTATGTAGCTGGTGCTATGGATCTTGCTGGATGCGGGGTCGTTCGGTTGACGTGGAGAAGAGGAAGCTCAAACTTATCGGCACATAGTACGGCTCTACTGCAGCTGCACAGGCCATGGTTCTAAGCGTTTCTATAGTTGTGTGATCCAGCTAGGGGCCCTGGTCCACAAGACTGAATAGCCGCCAGCCTCGTAGTATAGAGGGTACGCAGCCACGCGATTTGCCTGAACCTTGGTTCGCTTGCTTGTTTCAGAGGTTTCGCTTAATCTCTTCATCCAGAAAATCCATGTAGCGAGGCCATCTGAAGCAGTGCAATTGACAATGGATCACAGTTATTACTGTATCAAAACTCGTCTTTAAGCCCACACAACGCATAGGCCCACCAGCTAATCATCCTTAGTATCGAACGAGACCCAGAGTCCATCCCCGAGACGCCTGCGACTTGCGCAACAAACGAATCCCATCTTCCCCAGACGACACAAAGCCAGTTACCGTTCGTGTTGTGGGAAGACTAGGATGGAAACGAGACATACGATAAGCTACCTCCCTGTTATACTTGTTACCCTGTTGAATGGAGCTTGAAGGTAAACGATCGCGTTCGAGCCAAGGATACAGAAGAGAATGTCGTTCTGACACCGCGTGATTTTTTGGGAGATTACCCTGCTATATAAGCTTGCAAAGCTGGCCAACCGAAAATTCCCTCCAAGAAGTCTTACCGAATACAAGACATTGGTGTAGTCATATCTGTCACGGGCCGCAGCCAACGCGACTTCACAACGCAGTTTGAAGCATCAGAGATTAACTGGACAGTGATTCAGAAGCAGCGCCAAAGTTGGAGTTACTTGCTTCGATATGGCAGGAAACTACGCGTGAATTTTGTCTTCAATTACGTGGAGATGGCTCGGCTGTCAGAATCGTCCGACCAACCATGTAGACGACGACGCACCGATGGAAGAACTGATTCAGCGACGGATCGCACGCTGTCGGAACAAGCGCTTTCGCTTGGCGCCGAGGAGGCCTCGACAGGTGAACCGTCCATCTGGCGCTACGTGTATAACCTGATGCGATGCCCTGGGCCGCCTTGCGAGCTCGGACCTCATTGATGGCTCAATGAAGCTACAGGGGAGCGTTATAGATTGAGAACGGATCCTCTCAAAGAAATGGTCCGCTATGCGATGGACGTCAATCGCCGTGAACCAAATGCCGACGTGCCTTTTGCGATACGAAAGCAGCTGTGCGCTGAGGAACAGCAACGCTTGGCACACCAAGGCAGAAGCTCAGTAAGCAAGCTGCCTCCTATCCATACTACCAATGTCGTGCCAGGTTCCTCGCCTCCAAGCGCTGCTATGGGCTCGGCGCTGATATCTCGATCTCCTGGAGGCCGAGGAAACCACCTTGTTGCCTGGATATTTCAGGGCTACTTGATGAGGTCGTCTCGCAATACGTCACTTGGCAAAAATCGTAGGTCTGTAGTAAGTTCTTGCAGGACGAATTCAATTAAACTGGCGTGATCACCCCAGAGAAGGGATTGGACTTGGAATTAGCCCACGTGCAACAGGATCATACGTTCTATGTGAACGAGGGTGTGAAGCTGGGCATTGCATTACGGTTCGTCCGCGATATTGAGAAATGGCCAAAAGCTCGTAATATCATGTATGAAATTCTTTAAGTAAGCCTATGAGAAGTCTACGTTTTCCAAGGGCTATTACCCATCTTCAAGGCTCCTCAATTTCTATTCCACTATGACGGAAGTGACCGTGCGCGCTTCGTACTCTTGCTCCTACCGCGTCTACGCACCATTCCAGGAAGGCCGCAAAGTCCTCTTACACGAGGTCTTGGTGGGATTGCCAGTGACGTTTTGCAAATACCTTCAACTCGGCGAAGAACTATTCAATCGGATTCAAATACGGCAAATACGGCGGTAAATAGAGCAGCTTAACTCCAGCCTCGCAACATAATCGATCGATGGTTTCGGATCGATGAAAGGAAGCATTATCCATAATAAGGACTGACTTCGGCTCAGGCCCATCGGCCGCAATAGGGTAATAACTGCGCAATAAAATCCTCAAACATAGCAACATCCGTCGATCCTTAGAACATGGTATAATGGAGGATGCCTTTCTGCCAGTACGCCGGCATGGTTTGATATCCACAGCCACGGTGGAACTTGGCAACTTGGACGGATATCACGCCAGATGGCGACCATCCTGTCCGTCGGAAGCCAGCACGCTTATCCAGTCCAGATTCAGATACATACACCAAACGGTGCGAACAAAAGGTGGAGAGCGTGTGTAAATAAAAAGCGCGCAAATCTGCATTCCATTCTCGCGCAATACAACGGGCCATCTTCGACCATCCGATCGGTGCAAAAGCGCGGACAATACTATGTGTTGTCACCATCACCACGAATTCGTCCCAGAGGAAGACAACTATTTCATCTTGGTATAGATTTGTTTTCTCGGTTAGTCGGCCACATAATGTGCGAAGCATTGGAGGCGTTATGCTCCTAGGTCGTCCCGCGCCGTTAGGTGATGCCCTCGAAGCACCAAAACATCGTAGGTTGGATGGGATTCGACGGATCGCATATGAACTGCTTTGTTGCTCTGGATTACTCTAGACTAGGACCGAAAACCAGAAGCCAGAAATGACTCCAAGTTTGCGCTCTACTACAAGGAGAAAGAACACTATTTTTATTTTGCACCTTGTCCTCGTCCCACGTTGGACACCCCGAGCCCCTTATAAACATGTGCGTCTCCCATCTCGTGTATGGAGTGGCCTTCCTCCCCCACCATGTCCGAGTATCGTGTATCCTTGTACATGAAGGTACAGTCAGACACCACGACGATGAGCTTGTTTGCTTCACAGAAATTCTCTGGATCGGCTTGGAGGCAAACACATTCCTGCAAGCAGACGCAGTACAGTAGTGGCTCACACATATTTGTGTCCGTCGGACATATGGTACAGTTTGTTGGAAAGGCTTAGATGCCAAGAGGACGAGATTGTCAGTGGTTAGCTTGCAAAAAGAGGAAACCAATTTTTTGTATAACTGTATTTGTTTAATGCAAGAATGTGTGCGACTTCGGCGTAGCAAGATCAGCCCTCATCATCTCCATACCATCGTTTCCACTGACGCATTAGCTGCATGCGAGGCCAGGCTGAGAGCAATGCTTGAAGCCGTCAGCAGTCCTTCAAGAGAAGAACAGGACTTTTGGCTGACATAACGCTATCACACATGCCATTTAAAAGAATGGCCAAAATTGGCTTTGAGTGATTTGTACAGGCAGACTATAAGCGGTACATTGTTAGCAGTTGGACTCACCTAAAACGTTCCTGCTTTTAAATTACTATTGTCCATTCCGTTCTCGAGCTTGCAGAAAAAGGAAGACACGATAATTCCAGCAAGCAGTATCAAGATAACAGCATCACCAAGTTCATCTCTGGGTCGAACCGCAAGAACTATACCGGCAAGAGAATAGTGAATTTCGTCTTGGCATATACTAGCAGTGCATCCTACCAAAGTTCCCAGCTTGAAATCGCACAACACTCAGGACAGCCCAGAAGGCCGTTTTGAAAGGTCGTCAATCCCATGTCTTTGTTAAACGCTAGGTTCAACCGGATAGTCATGGTTCGAGAGTAAGGATTGCGGAATGGAGCCCCTTTGCGCGAACTCATCAAGGCTTCTGTCGGTATGTGGATAAAAAAAGACATTTTTCGGTAGCAAGACAACATGTGTTTTTCTTCCTTTTTCCCCCCCCCTTTTCTCCTCACAGGTCCGGGAGGTACGTACAAAATCAAGACGGATTAGCAAATATTCCCCGAGGTGTAGCGAAATAGTCGAATCACGTGTTCTCGTGATTTAAAAAAAGGTCGAACGACCAACATCATGGCTTGTGGCGGTTTTGACAAAGACGACTGCTTGGTTCCATGCTGAAGAGTTTTCATCGTATAATGCCGCTTACCGTCGCCTCAGTTCGTTTCTTCGCACGATGAAAAGTTTTTTTTTGCTCTCGGCTGCAAGTGGTCTTGTACTGCACTACGTGAACAAAGTGGAAGAAAATTTGCTGAAGACGGTCACTTTGAGGTTTCCATTACCTCAATTATGATCACGATGAGCTCGAAGTGGTCCACGGGTGGCTTTAGTACAGAAAATCGAGCCCCGAACTCCGACGGTCCACCTCGAAACTGTGAAGCACAAGGACTAACACGTTGTTCGGAGTAAAAGTTTCCTCTCACCTTCGCGTTTTTGGAGGAAACTTGGGTACATTGGATAGAGAACGTACCGGATATCGTTCTGACGAAATGCAGGGCACCTTTGACACTGTCTTACGGGTGCGTCGTGACTGCGCACGTAACCAGCCCTCCAAACATTGCCAGACACTTTGCAGTTGTAACTTAACCTAGTATGTTTATGACTGGGCGAGGACAGGGGTAGTAGTCCTGGATAAAGCTTGTTAGCACAACCCGCCAATGCGGGTGCAACCCGAACTAGCCAACTCGAATGACTACCGGTCTGGAGGCTTGCAGCTCGGAAGTATTACCCTACATTGTCATTCCGAACATCGTGGCTGTGTATACGGTCATGTCTACCCCGGGTGGGGTTGATATGATTCATCGTGGGAGTGGTAATCAAGAACGGAGGTCGCGCTAATGACCCTGCACGAGGCTTCACTCGTCGCAATCAATTGCCCTCTGGGTAGGATTTTGGTTTTTTTCTTGGTGAGCCTTGAGTCTTACTTTTGATAACAAATCTGGGTCAGGCTCGGAGGAACTTTTGTCTTCAATTCGAAGAGGCAGAGAAATGCCGCGTAGGTCCATCCCCCCCGGGGTACTATGCAAGCATAACGACTATGGCATGGGAGAAGATCACTTGGGAACTTCGGTCGTTATTGGCCAATTCAGACCACCTTCATATGAACACTTGGGCCACCCCCACATGAACGGAAACCCCAAAGACAGTACCATCCATAGCAGCATGTACCCAAGAATCAAAGGCTTGGGCAAGTTCTCGACCCGTGGCGCCAGGCAGCAAAATTTGGGTTGCGACCTTGTAGGACACTACGGGAATGAGGAAATCCGCTTCCAAGTCACTGGGACCGACATCTCTCGGCATCTGGCACGCGAAATGGCAAACTCATTTGGACATGGCAGAGCCAAGCGGAGTTCGGTATTGGGACGACATACACATAGGCTGGTTGCACTAACCAACTGGAACTTTTGCCGGTATTGGCTGTCCGAAGCGTATTAGGCAGTCAGGCACTTAAGATTCAGCTACTATGTACCAATATGGACTCCACCCAAGCAAATTCCGACCAGGGTGCCTGCAGAGTGGCTTCCGGCCCGTGAGTCAAACGAACGGTCGGTGTTGGAAGTATGTACCTTTGTTGACGTATTGAGCGATAGTGACGCAGCGGTCTGGCAGGGCTTAGTGTACATTGCATGATGCGCGTACGTACGCCTTGATGAAAATAAAAATAAAGTAGAAAATTAAGGTAGGCAACAAACAGGCAACCTGGCCATGGTATCTGTGAGAACTATCCCGATTCTCATGGAAGTCGAAAAGTATATACGTACGTATACATATATATATGTGTGCAAAGCCTTCCTTGGGTTTCAGGCATTCTCTTTCACAACGCATCAATCCAGTACGCTCTACTCTTTGATACAAGCATCTCAAAGCATCATATCACACATCGTGCATCATATCATCCACATTATCATACCAGCAAAACAATAACATAGTCCCGCCTCATATGAGCACCGCTATAAACACCTTGACCAACAATCACACACAAACATTCGCAATGCCGAGCCCATCATCATCATCATACGCTTCCTCGGTCTACTCAGACTATACCACATACTCCGTCGACGCTCTGAAGACGGACTCATCGTCAAGGCCCAAAAGCACATTCGGCAAGAGAGTCAAGAGCGCCCTGTCAAGCATCGGCGAGCACCCCTCGACGCGATATGAGCAGAAGCACGGCTTGGAGCCGAGGCCGGTATACGTAAACATCCCAGCCTTGCCGCCCTCGAGAATTTGATGAACAAATAAAGAGGAGAGTGAGAAAGGAAAAAAAATACCAGTTTAGTGGAGAGGGAATATGTATCAGTTTCAAATGGGACAACCCATACAACTCGGGCGCTGGATCAAGAGTAGAGGTCCTCCCATGATGGGGGGGGGGGACTCTGGTTGCTCCGATCTACTTGTGCTCTTTTGTTTAACAACACGGCACTAGAGGCTAAATAGCCAGGATGGAAAGGGATTGGGAGTTACAATACCATTGTTTGATTTGTCTTTTCTCTGACCGTTTTTCTCTCTTTCTCTTTTCTTTTCGGCCGAGGCTACTTGTGAGGTCACCAAGATTGAGGAGTTTCACAGAGGAGGATTTCGGTTTGTTTTGAAACCAAAAGGCTTTCTTTCTTTCTTTTCTTCTGCGTTCCCGGTGGAAGACCGCGATACCTCGATAGCACTCGTCGCAGTTCTGTACTCTGAATAAGATATCGATTATGTTACCTCCGACTTCTTTCCATGCCCGAATTGTGACCCTCCATTCTAATTGCGGCCAGCTGCTTCGGCTGCTGGTAACCCGTCCATGTGCCTACTACCATGGCTTTTTATATCTCCCAGGCGCCAACACACATTGGCCCCGGAACGCATATCATTGTATCGTGGGAAAAGACAAATACATGTGGGCCCGTCATGATCAACGAACCGGGAAGAGACTCGTAGCTGGCCAAAGCATACTCCGCCACACCCCTCTCCGAACAAAACAAAGAATTGAGAAAACTCGAAATTGATTGGGTCGGCTGGCATCCGAACAAAACCATAAAGGCCAGCTCAGCTCGCATCCCCCCCCCCGGAGCTACCATTAGAATATCAATGCTGACTCGGCAGTGTTCTGCTTCACTCTTCCCCGGTACACCTGCCGGATGCCAGCCATTGTCAGTCTCTGTCTCTAGATGGCGTGCCAACAAGAAAGTCGTTGGCGCTAGGAAAGAATACTGTAGCTAATTACCCGATACAGTCCCTTGTAGTTACTGTGTGAGCGATATCGTGCCTCCCTGAAAAGAGGTCACATTTCTTGCAGACCGCACATTACCATGGTCGAGCAACACTGACCACATGACACGCATACGTAGGCACATTTTGCACTGTTCATCGACATGGCACGAAAGGGAGAACATTAAAGAATAACTCGTAAATCGCAAATGCATTCTTTCCTGTATAGACAAAGCAACATAATAGCGCCTAGTTAAGATACAGATCTGGGCCCTCGCGGCTTACACCGGACCGCAGATTAACCATAGTGTGCCACCCCAAACTTCCGCACAGCTAACTTTTCCTGCCCAAGAACGTTCATGGCCCCAGATGCAGGTGCTTTGCTCCATACCACGAAGCTGGTATCATTGACTATTTCATATAGTTCTCTTGTTCTCTTACATACAATCTCCGATGGCTTAGTACGTACGCTTGAAGGGTGGGACGGCCTTGCACTCGTTCTCGTCCAGAGTGGTGCCAATGACACGTCTGTAGCCGAGCTCAACATCACCCTGAGGCTTCTTCTGGAAGGTCAGGGTGTGCTTCATCCAGTTCTCGTCATCTCTGTCGGGGTAGTCCTCACGGGCGTGAGCGCCACGAGACTCCTTTCGGTTGGCAGCAGCGATGGTGGTTTGGGTACTGGAGGGGTGTTAGCTGATGATACGAAATTTTTAGTGTGGGTATACGTACGCGCAGGTCAACAGGTTTCTCAGCTCAAGGGTCTCAACGAGATCGGAGTTCCAGATCATGCTGCGGTCCTTGATACCAACCTGGGGGAACATCTGGTCGACCTCGTGGATCTTCTTGACGCCCTCATCCAGAGACTCCTGGGTACGGAAGACGCTGACATCGGTCTGCATGGTCTTCTGCATGGCCAATCTGATCTCAGCTGTGCTCTTGGGACCCGCGGAGTTGCGGATTTGGTCGAGGACCTCGATAGACTCAGCACCGGCATCGGCAGAAATAGGCTTAGCCTTGGTACCGGGGGTGAAGTTGTCACGGATGGTGTGCGAGACGGCACGGCCAAAGACGACCAGATCCAGGAGAGAGTTGGCACCGAGACGGTTAGCACCGTGGACGGAGACACAGGCAGCCTCGCCACAGGCAAACAGACCAGGCACGACCTTGTCCTCACCCTTCTCGTCGACAGTCAGGACCTCGCCAGTGTAGCGTGTAGGGATACCACCCATGTTGTAATGGACAGTTGGCAGGACAGGGATGGGCTGCTTGCGAACGTCGACACCAGCGAAGATGGCGGCAGTCTCGGAGATACCAGGCAGACGCTCAGCTAGAATCTCCGGGGGAAGGTGGCTCAGCTGCAAGTAGACGTGATCCTTCTCGGGACCGACACCACGGCCCTCACGGATCTCCAAGGTCATGGACCGGGAGACAACATCACGAGAGGCAAGATCCTTGGCGGTAGGGGCGTAACGCTCCATGAAACGTTCACCCTCGGAGTTGAGCAGGTAACCACCCTCACCTCTGGAACCCTCGGTAATCAAGCAGCCAGCTCCGTAGATACCAGTAGGGTGGAACTGGACGAACTCGAGATCCTGGTTGGGAAGACCAGCACGAGCAACCATGGCCATACCGTCACCGGTACATGTGTGTGCGGATGTGCAGCTGAAGTAGGCACGGCCGTAACCACCGGTAGCCAAGACGGTGTTTTGTGCGAGGAATCTGTGCAGGGTGCCGTCCTCCTGGTTGTAGGCCAAGACACCACGGCACTCGCCGTCCTCCATGATCAGGTCGAGGGCGAAGAATTCAATGAAGTATTCGGTGCTGTGTCGTAGCGATTGACCGTAGAGGGTGTGCAGAAGGGCGTGTCCAGTTCTGTCGGCGGCAGCGCAGCATCGGTATGCTTGGCCACCCTTTCCGTACTTTTGCGATTGGCCACCGAAGGCACGTTGGTAACTGTGTAATGTAAGCGGCCGCTACGATCCATCGTGGCCACGGGTATGAGTGGTGGACTTGGACTCACATCTTGCCGTCCTCGGTTCTCGAGAAGGGGCAACCGTAGTTCTCCAATTCGATGATGGAAGCGGGAGCCTCACGGGTCATGTAGTGGATGGCGTCTTGGTCGCCGAGCCAATCCGAGCCCTTGACGGTGTCGTACATGTGCCATCTCCAGTCATCCTCGTGCATGTTTCCTAACGCGGCATTGATACCGCCCTGGGCGGCGACTGTGTGACTTCTCGTCGGGAAAAGCTTGGAGATACAGGCTGTTTTGAAGCCGGCCTCTGCGAGACCGAAGGCGGCTCGCAGACCCGCGCCACCCGCGCCGACAACGAGGGCATCGTACTCGTGGTCCTATTACATGACAAAGTGTCAATGATTTGGGGGGCTCCATATACTTTGCCCACTGAAGAGACTGCAGGACTGAGAGAGATGGTGAACGTACGATGACGGGGTATTTGCTGCTAACGTGTGCCGAAGCTTCCTTTGCTCGTAGGGGTTGGTTGGCGAAGATGCGGGCTATTCACACGTGCGGTTTTGGTTAGATGACATGAGACGTCAAGACGGGCGGACTCGGGCTCGGAAGGGGAGGCACGGAGACGTACAAACAGATGGCGTCGAAGAAAATGTCCTCGCTTGACATCTCGCAGTACGTGAGAACTGTATTCCAATGACCGTTAGCCCTTCATACTTCGAGGTTGGTCGTGGCAGGGCATAGCCGAGGTGTTGCGAAAGCAGAAGGGAGGGAAACTTACGGCTGACCCAGTGGTCAGTCTCCTCATAGCCATTGAGGATGCCATGTTTTTGAATACAATACAATACAGTACAGCACGGAACCGAACAGAGCCAAGAGGAAAGGGAAGGAGAGGAGATGCGACGACGGGCTTGCTATGAGGCTCTTGTCCTGCAAGTTCCGCTCTGGATGTGTGGAATTGGCCTTGAGAGTGTATGATCCGTCGAAGCGAAAGAATTGGACCGAGCTGGTGCTTTGGATCACCAACCCTCTGATTGGCTGATTCGAGGTCCAGTAGCCTCTCGTCGGGATCTCTCGCGAGCTCAAGTTGCCGAGAATTGGAGAAAAAGCTGGGGGCAAGGGGGCAAGGCGAGGCAAGGCAGGGCAAGGGGCGCTGCCACCCCATTTGCCAGCAGCAGACCTTTTCTTGCTATTATTCTTTTATTCTTTTATTCTTCTCATTTTGTTTTAGACAAATAAAGCAGTCCATGTTGTTTCTTGGGGAAAGAGCCAGAACAACTTCACGGGAATAGGTACACTGTCTGGTCGTCGTATGCGCAGATCCAGCACCATATACTGTCTTTCGCTATTATTAATGCACGGGAATCGTATCACAGCTTGGACGGACCTCTAACCTCGGCGATGTCGTGAGGATGCCATCCAAACACCTCTCCCGCGCACATGTGCTCACTCTACCTGCAATCTATGATTAAATGCTGCAATCTTCAATTCTCTTCATCCTTTACTCTGCTTCGCATGTCTACAACAAGACCTTCTTTCCTTCCGGGCAACGAGTTTCAACCAAAACAATATGCAATTGAAACCTAGCCAATGCTCCATTTATTACCACTGTTTCCGACCAACTCGGGGATAATCAATGCGCATGTGTACCTCCCACAAGACGCAAACCATGCTTTCCAACTCCCAACAAGTCAAGAATCTGATTACGCGGCCTCACCCGATTTCCTTTGCCGCCACTACCAGCCCTCTAATTTGCCAGAACCTGCCTCAACATCTCCAGGAAGTTGTCCTTCAGCTTATGTACTTCTGTCACGACCGGTTTGACAGGCTCGCCCGCATTGCGCCGGAGACGGTCTTGCCGCTTGGCCCTCCTGCGCCGCTCAGCTTCAATAGGGTCGAGCTCGTCCTCGATCTCCTCCTCTTCCTCCTCTTCCTCCTCGTCGTCATACGCCATGTCCTGAAAGTCCATGTCGTTGAAGCCAAAGTCGCTGCTCTTGAAACCCGACACGCCGGGCAGCGGGTTATCCACACCAGCGCTGCCTTCCGCCGCCATCTTCTGTCTCGTCTTGTCTTGATGCCACTTCTTGCGTGCTTCTTGCCACGAGATGAGCTGGTTGATCTCTCGAATCGCTATCTCCTTGTCCAGAGCTCCCGCACCAACGCCGCCCTCGAACAATGCATTGATGTCGAGTGCACCAGCAGCAGGTCCTTGGCGTAGGAAGTCTAAAATACCTTCGACCCAACCCATGAGCTGCGTGAAAAGGCCGTTGTCATGGGTGTGCACCTCATGCACAAACTTGTAGAAGTTGTGCTCGTGGCGCGCGCAGAGATCAATGAATGCTTGCACTGTCTGGTTGGGATCTGCCGAAGCGTCCTCCTCCCGGCATTTCTCCACAACCTGTTTGTCCGTGTTAGCACCGACTTTCATCACGGATTGTCCTAGTATTGCGTACCTGAATCATATCGTCGATGAAGACGGAAAAGTCAGTAATACTGCTGTAGATGTTGGCAGACTTGTAGACTCGCACAAGCGGCTCGTAGAAGATGGTGAAAAGATCCCTCAGCAGCTGCAAAGTTACAGGCTCCTCGATCATTTGCAACATCATCTGCTTGTCCCGCTGTCTTATCAGCAACTTCAGCAATTGCTTCAGGTAAGAAAATAGCTGAGCTCCTTGCTTGAACTCTTCGTCGACGTTTTCCACCGCATTGTTGAATGCGACGTAAGCATTGTAGAGTCGCTGTACCTGGCCAGACACCAGTGGTGGCTCTATCAAGTCGGAGCGTAGAATAGACACAATGATGTCGATATCATCAGCAACGGCCTCTTCCCGAATGGCCACCTTGACGTGTTCATCCGAGTCGACGAACGCTTGCAACTTGTTTACAAAGACTTCGTCTCCAATCTTAGAGGATACTGCGTCAATGTTCTTCTGGAAGGTGCGGATACCGTCGTTGAGCGTAGCGGAAAATACCCTCTGCATGAGCGAGCGGGATCCGAAAGGCTGCGCCAGGAACAAGTCGAGAACGCCGGACATGACTGCAGCTGGGTTGGCTAGACGAATGACATTCTTCAACACAGTGTAAGGAATGAGAGAGTGAATCCTCTTGGCTTGCGCGAACAGCTCAGGTGAGTTGTCTTCGGCCAGGAATAAATGGTAGACGGTTGCAGCAACCTCGATGCGTAACCATTCGGCGAATTTCTGGTATTGCACACTCAGGTCCTGAATCGTCTCCTTCTCCTTGATCTCCTGAAACAGCTTCGTAAGACCATGGCGTTCCACGATATCCTGTCTGAACTGTTCCATATAAATGTCCAGTTCTGCGGCTCGTTTCCTGGCGATTTCATAGAATTGCTTCTGTTCCTCTATGCGCTTTTCATCAACAGCTTTGCGGCGCATTATGTCCTCGACGTCGTCGTCGGTTGGCGTTATGGGATCTTGAGTCAAGAACTCTTGCATTGCTTTAGTCTGCGCAATCTGAGGATTGTGTAACAAGTAGCGAAGGAATGCTCTGAGGGAAATTCGCTGGCTTTCACGCCACAGCAGTGTGGTCTTCACAAAGGTCAGCATATGTTCTGGAAAGCGGGCCACCTTTCTTGAGACTCACGTCAAGCCGCGGACTCGGCGGGACTGGGCTCTTCAGTCCATCCGAGCTGGGGCGGGGAGAGGCGTTCCTCGAGGATGCTGTTGACAGATCCCGACGATGGCCCCTGACTGTCAAATTCTTCATGGACTCCCTCAAGCCCCCCGTTTCTGCTGACGCAGCCGGAGGCATGGTAGACATGCTACTGACCGAAGATGCATCTGACTCGTCACCATCGCCACCACGCGAAAATAGCCCGGTTGCAGTGGTGTTTGACTTGTTCTTCTTGGGCAAGGGTGGGAGAACTTTGCCCGGAAGTTCGATCCGTAATTGTTTGTGTAGCCGGGCAAAGTCACCATACCGGCGACCAAGGAAGTACTCAAGGTCTCCTTTCCTCTTGATGCGCAACAAGAACTCCTGGTACCCGTTAGTACTACAGGGAATGCTAGCTGTCCGTTCCCACTCACCGCATGCTTGTGTGATCGTATCCTTTTCTTAACAGACGTTAACCTGACACCAGCGACGTTGACGTCCCAGCCATTGACGTAGTTGCCCTCAGGCAGAGTATTGAGCAGGCCAGTATCAATCGCACTGGCATCGACAACCTCAAGTTCGGCGAATCTTATGCGCTCTTCGTATCCGGAGGCTGTCCTGATACCGGAGACCATCATGAGCTCGACCATCTTCCGGCATTTTATGGCCAGCTTGCGCCTCTTGGTTTCTTCTAGTCGATCTTCTGACGAGGATATGCTCTTGCTTGCGAAAGATTCGAGGAACTGTGTGTAGTCTGTGTAAGTCACTTTGGGCTAGCATTCCTGTTTCCTGCAGCCACTTGTACGTACCACTTGCAGCTTGTCCTGCCAGAACTCCTTTTCCTTGGCCTTGTCCAAGAAGGGAAATTCGCGGACATGATGTACGAAGATGTATCGTAGGATAGGTAGTTCGGAATCCAGAGGCGAGACTTCACCAAAGTCAGACCTGAACGGCGCACCGAATCTGCGCAGGGCGGTTGGCGAGTTTAGCTCGGAAATCTCCCAGTTTGCTTGTTCAGAGATGAGCTCTCGTTTGAGATCTATGAGAGAGAACAGGCGGTACTGGTCAGATATCAAGCCGGACGTCCACAAGTGCGGTACTTGACTCACAGTGCTCTTGCTTTCCCGTCAAGGTCTGGCCAGGAGGCGGTATAGACTGTGTGCTCTTGGTTCGAAGATTGCTCGGAGGGAGGACATTTTGTTCGTTAGTTGGTTGCCCAGAAACGTCGGCGCCGGTTGTCGCCATATCTCCAAGCATGCAGCAGTTACCGAATGGTCTTTTATTCTTCTGTGTCAGACGATCCAAAGAGATATGGACAATGCGACAAACAAGCGTAGCTGTGAGAGGCGGTTATGTATGCAGTACGGGACGTCTTGAAGGCAATTGTATTATATTAGTCGCAATTCTGATGCAGGGAGTCCCGAGTACCAAGTACCTGGCCCAGCTGGCGGGGTACAGCACAGCGCGATAGCTTCGAGGGGCTTGGATGATATGCACAGCGAGAGAGGGATGCTCAAATAAATGCTATGGTGCAGAGCCGCTGTGGTGCTGAGACAGTTGACTACGTATCAAGAGGATTGCGATCTGTTGGGGTTAATTAGGACTAAAGGTCAAGATCAAACACAAACGTAAACCCCGGTGAGAGTTGTAATTGTAATTGTATTTGTGATTATGCCGCCCACCCGCAGAGAAGCTGCGCCCGCTCACAAGCCAGGATGGATGACTTGCACAGCACATTGGCGCGTGCCGGTTAGCGCCCAAAGGCACTGCGAGTCCTGCTGTGGCCTGGCAGCTCCTGTTAGATTGCATTTTCATTGCCGCAATGCCGTTTTCCACGTGTGCAATTGGCAGTTGTCCATGGCCCTTACTCATGCACCTTTCTCGCCTGTTCTTGAGGGCCGTCCATCTCTAGAGAGGACCTGCCAGGTGACTGAAAGTCTCTGGTTCCTGCCATGATGTGATGGGATAGCTCACGTTACACTTGATGAGGAACATGAGCCTGCAAAACGCCTTTGGAGGGGCAGCTGAGCGAAGGGATGACGTCGGATGCTGAAACAAGGAGTCGGGGCCTGGCCAGCTCTTCCGCAAAGCTACCATTAGTTATGCCAAGATATGGTAAGGCGAACATGTTAGGTAGCTTAATTATATCCAAGACTTGTCTACTAAGTTCTAAGGTAGCACACGCGTCCTCGCAGGCCAAACGCTTCAAGTTTTTGTCGCGCACAATAACTATTCCATTTACTTAGGGGGAATGAAAAGAAGAAGAAACCGGACAATTACTTTCGTGGTCTTGACGTATTGAATCTGCTGAATTCTTGACCTAGACTAAAGGCCAAGCCTCCATGACTACGGATAAACCTTGCCGAATACTTTTAAAACAATCCCAGATCAGCTGAAAATGGAGCCTATGCTTCGTAGAATTTGAGCAGGAAAATAACACAGTGCCGGATTTCCGTCTAGGCGGCCCCAAAACAGAAAAGGAGCCATAACAGTGATGATTTGTTTAAACTCCGGGGTATAATGCTTTATCGCAATCTTTAAGGAAAGATGGAGAGGAAAGACAAGAACAAAAATAATTAAAAAATGGAAAACCCTTGAAAAAAGGAATAGACGAAAATTGAAGAGAGAAAGGAAAGAGAAGAATGTCTTTGGTAATGTAAAAACGGTGACAACAATCAGAGTTCATCAAACGCGCGAAGAAGCTCGTCTTTAGCAACGGCAGGATCAGATCCCCTCGTCTCATTCAGTGCTGCTCTGATATCCTCGCTCAAATGGTCTGAGATTCTGCTGAGGTTGGTCAGCTCATCACCGAATGTCGTGCCAGAAATGTTGCTGGACATGGCCTCGGTGATCTTGTCCTTTATCGTGTCAACTTCAACAGAGGCATATTGTGTGCCGACAAACATCAGGACCATGGCTAGTGCGACCACAGAGGTGACGACCCAGAGGACCTTCAGACGCCGTCTAGTCCTCTCTTGCCAGTTGAGATCAGCTCTTTCCCAGCGCTCCACGCGCTCACGAACCAGATCCACTCGTTCGCTGAGCTTTTGCACTCTCTGCCGCCCTGTCTGTATGCGGTTCTGTAACTCTTCAATATCTTGCTGCTGCTGGTCGAACTGGCCGACAGAATCAAGTTGCGACTCGATTTCGGATACCAGACTCTGTGCATCGGACTTGAAAGACTCATTGGCCTGCTGCGACATGGTCGCCAGTCCTTTCATCTCATATATAGTGCTTTGCAGCATGCTCAGCTTCTCCAGAACAGCATAGTATGCGTCGTCCAGCCGGCGCGTCGTTGCCAGCGAGAATGCGTTCAACTCCGATAAAGACTTCTTGAGACCACTGCGAAGCGAGTTAGATTATCCTCCAAGTACGCGATGGATTAATGCGCCTTACGTAGTCCGCTGGGCGGCCTGTTCCCTTTGCACCTGTATGCGCTTCTCTCGACTTGTAGTTGTGGTCTGCAATATGGTTGCCCCAATTTCCTCTGCCCCCGACGGCAACATGCTTGCTCTGCGGCTTTGTTCGGCGCTGCTCAGCATGTAGGGCGTCATCCCCTCGGAGCGTGGGAGATCCAGAGAGCCACGGGGCGGCATCTCCAGTGAAGGAGCGGCAGACTGAGGGTTGCGGTCGGAATTGCGATCCTGATGTCGGCGTTGCAGGAGGTAGTGACCGTGATGCCGATGCAGCTTGGATGTGTTCGTCTCGGTCACCGAGCGGCTTAGTCGATGTCGAGGCCGCAAAGAATGGGCTGACTTGGTAGGTTCGACGACATGATCAGTCATCATTCATGCCGGCTCGTGAGCATGGACGTTGAACTACTGTATGTGAAATGGAACGCGGAATAGCTTGGTGGCTCGACCTCTAACTTGTGGATTCCACGTCGCAGCGCGAGAGAGCAGCTCCCAGCTCCAGCTCCCCCCACTGCGTTTAGACGTTGAGGCCGTACGGATCCATACCTCGGATTCATTAAAGCCGTTTAGCGCCCTGCCGCCTAGTGTCACAAGTGAAAAAGAATGAGGCGTCAGGAAAAGGAAAAGACAAGCAGACAAGACAACCAACCCCACGTCCTAGACTAGCTGTCCAGTTTATGCACGTAAAATTGGTTCGGTAGCATTATTGTATTAAGCCTTGACAAGTCATGTGATGTAATGTAATGTGTCCGGCCTTGCACCAGTTTCTACGAATTGCGCCAAAAGCAACTCCACTGAATGTGCTCTCTGTATGCTTTGTATGCTCTGCTGGCTCTGCATGCTCTGTGTGCTCTATATGCTCCTTGTCTCATGCCTAAAAGCTACCGCCGTTATCCATCTACATGGTTCGTCGAACGCTTCTCCAGCTGTTTAAAAGCGAACCTACTACACTTCCCCAGAACCTGGAACGGGATAGCCGGGAAGCTGTATGGTTTGGCGTTGAGTGGCGGTGGGTAATGAGCTGATTGAAGCGCCATACGGGCTTCAAGCTGGAAATCCTGGTTGCGGAAGACCCCTTCTCGTCGTCCTCCTCTACCTGGCCCCAGGACTCAGTTCGATGGTTCCGAAAGCGCGACATAGTCGCATGATTGCGGTCCCTCAAGAGTTGATGAGCTTGTTGCGCTTCTCCTTCCTCTTGAGACGCTCGACTCGCTTCTTATGCATCTTTTCGGCCAATTTTTCGTATCGCTCGCGTTCTTCCTTTGCGGCGCGCTTGTCCTTGATGGCTTGTACTTTTCTCTGGGGTGGCTCAGTCAGTATATTGTTCTTGTGGACCAGAAGTCCGACTCACCTGGCGATCTTCCTCCTTCTCGTCCTTCATCTCCTTCTCCTTCAATTTCATTGCTGCCATGGCCGTCCGTTCCTGTGTTCGCTTCTCAAAAGATGTTAAGCCAGAGGTCGGTCGGAACGCCTTTTTCTGTGGAAGCCATTGCTTGCCTGCAAGTACTGGTCAGCCTCTACTCTACGTCCGTGTTGCGGTCGGGAGTGCTCCTCGAGAAGGCATACCATTCTTGCGCATGCCCTGAGGCTGCGGTACCTTTGCCGTCGCAGTCGACATGATCTCGAACTCGCAAATACGAACTACAGAACAATTTGGGGTTTCTGTCAAGTGGGTTGCCGGTTCGCCGTTCGGTGTTTCGTGTCGTCTTGATGTTTGCCTTGTTCTCCAATGTCGGTGTCATTCGGTGCTATCCATGAATTTTTCTGAAGACGATCTTGCTAAAAATTTAGATAACGGGTCTCCACTAAGATCTCGTCTGGTCTGTGCTTTGTTCCGTTGACCGAACCCGCCATTGCCCGTCATGCCCGCCATGCCGCTTCAATTTCAGGGTCCTCTCCACATGCAAATGCGAAGCATTGATTGGCTTCGACGGCCTCCCCCAAGTTCACTTCATTTCTCAATTAATACTCTTTTCCCATGGTCAAACATCTGCAACAGCGACACCCTCGACTCGATCAAACTCAGTCCACAGGGCTTCCAAAACGTGCATCAGCGGAAAGCTTTCAGGGGTCGCCAGACCTAGATCCGGCATCGCTCTTTTTTCTTCTTTTCCTTTTCTTTTCAGAACGCCCGACGACAAAGGACTTGTGCATACTCTAAAGCAAGTTGCTCCAGATCTTCAGGTGACAATTTACCTACATTACCTACCACTCAAGCAGGCTGTGTAACAACGTCAGTAATTTGGAGGTCAACCCCAAAACGTCGATCGCCACCTTGGTCTGTCAGCAACCGGCCGAATATAATAAACACTGCGGACGTTCGGCTAGTGTAACAGGCTCGCCAAATTGCGACATGACTACCGAGCCGGAAAAAGATAAATGCTGTTTCTCAAGATTGAGCGGATCCCGTCCTGTCCTAACCATTGTTGCCCGGCTTCCTTTCAACATTCGGTAGCACCTTATCGCAATCTGCTTTCCCCAGCCAACGATTGCAATCTGCGTATTCTATCATGAACCCCGCGATCATCACTTCGGTTTGTCGTTTGAGAGGCTTTGATGTAATCAGGTTAGCGTTGCACCCGTGGGTAATGAGACCTTGGCCCTGGAAATATCCTAGCCCTCACTCCGCAATCAATCATTTGACCACCGGAGCTTGTGGATTCCTAACCAGATCAACAAGAAACTGGCCGAAGCCTGGATTATGGGGATCAGATGTGAGGCTGAGTAGTTGTCTAGCTCAGCAAATACGGCGAGATTGTCATGAATTGTTTCGCTAATTTTGTTTCCACACCAATGCCGGCTGTTGTTCACTCTTTCGCACCGTCAGGCGAGATTACACTCGTTTGCGACGAAACTTTGTAGCTGAAGTCGGACATTAGCGACTTATGAAGGCGTATTATTACCTTTCGCCTAGGGATAACCTTGGACATAGTTTAAGAACTAGGCTCGCTTAACTGTTATGCAAGGTGCGGACGGTTGCGTTACTCGCGTACGGAGTATATATATCGATTGCTCACAGTAGCAACCCGTCAAGATCACATTGTCGACCATGCACAATTATCGCCCTCAGGAACCAAAGTGCTTTACCGAGTCGTGAAAGAGGAGCCGACCTTCACGATTCTATCTGACCCGCATTATATGCAACCACAAACAATTGGATGCAAGAAGATCGCATTCGCTATGGATTAGCCTGTTCGGATCTCCACAGTGTTATGCATCGTCGTCTGTGCGCTTCAGATTCGCTTACTGTGGTTGGACGCGACAAATGCGACCAATCTGATGCGGCCCTTGGAATCGTTCCTCCAGGCCCAAAGTGGCTATAGCTAGGCCTCTGCTGCAGGCTTCAGGGTGAGCAAGTATGCAACCAGGTGCGCCTATCAGCTGGCCTCTTGCTGCTTGCGACCTGCTTGCGACCTGCGGGACGTGCAGATCGTGGTGGGCGTTGTACACACAGTAACTCTGGTTGCCCGGGCCTACCCTCGGCTACCTAATGCGTCGCCTCGAGTCAAGAACTCGGTTGAGACAATACTTTACGGCTCAGCGAGGAAAAAGCAATGAAAAGATTATGATCTCATTTGGCCTTGATGGTACGGCCACATGGTCGATCCTCGCAGAGGCCGTGAAACGAATCTTGTGACCGGCATTGTTTGACTGTCGCGCGCTGTAGAAGCCGCAAGTGGATGGGAAATCGACAAGGTGCAACCCCCATCTTCATGTCCCGAAATGGAAATCGGCATAATTTGAGACTGACAGGTTTGGACCGGGTTCTTCTAGCTAGGGGCTCCAGGAACCGAGGACTGTACCAAGCAGCAATTTGGCTCCCCCATCTGCCTGCCACCCGAATTGCAGAGTTGCAGAGTTACAGAAATCGCGGGATGAGATTGAGTGCATTCCACGGTTAAGGGGATACTTATGTGAGACGCATATTGATACTGAGGTTTCAAGTAACTGCCCATCACAGTATCCACGCCGGCAATGTTCTGTTACGCAGCAGGTACGCGTAACCTGCGTCGATCTATTGAACCCCCATCTAACGATGCTGGTCAAAGCTGGTGCAGTCAGTAACTACTCTCAAAGGACGCGATGTGCCAGCGCCAAAAGCCGGACAGCAATCGGGCTTGAGAGTGGGTTTTCTCTCTCTTCCTCTTCGAGTGCTACCAAAGCCACGATCGCATTTTCATGAGACTCGATCAATCTTTTTCTTCCTTTTTGTTTTAATTTTTAATTTTTCAATGGCTATCCCAACACGTACCTAGCTCGTCTAAAGGTCGAAAGCAAAAAGCCTGGTCGTAACGGCGCCGTGGCGGCCCATAGACACAACACATACTTGAGCAACCATCTCATCCTTGCTGGGCCGTGACCTAAATGATTAGCCGCTGTTTCGTCCGAAAAATGGCTGTCAATCAAGCAATGGCTACCACAGTAATTATTCCGTCCGTTCCAAGGTGCGAGCTGTGAGCTGGTTTTTTTTATCGTCATGGGCAAGTCATGAGGTCACGTCTCGGTCACAATGGATTGAGTTATCATGTTTCCATAATTAAACACGATAAGTCGATATACAGAACCACATATTGTTGCTTAAGTACAGGCTTGTTAAGATTATTATCTGGAGATGATGGACAGGGGGAATGATGCAGGGGGTTGAGATTTGAGATGGGGGGATTGCGATGGAGCACTTGAAATACCTACTACTATGTACTTTACTCATGGGGCACTCGTACACGCTTAAGTTGAACGCAAGGAAGTTAGTGTCCCATCTCGAATTGGTTTACGGCTACAAAGGTCATCTAGTGTCTACAGCAGCGTTAGTTTTGTGCAAAATGCAATGTGAAAGCCGCCCGCGGGAGAGAAAGTATTGCTGGGCTATAACATCACACGTAGCACGTACATGCATGCGTGCATGTGCACTCAACGGTACCTACATGGATACCTTACCTAGGCATTTAAGGCCTGGTCCGGTGGCTGCCAGTGCAGTTGCTAGGACGCAGGACACTCGGGGCGGTTGAAGTATCCCGAGTAAGCGAGGCAGAGCATGCGCGGCATAGCACGAGACGGACAGAACCATCTGGTTTGGAGGGGGGAGAGCACTGTGTCTTGCTGAAATGAGGGTTTAATATTGAGAGTTCCGTTGTATGAGAGGTGCTGCTGTGCTAGATGGGCTTATTTGGTCGAGTCGACCAATGTTGTTGACGATACGGATAACTCCAAATCGGGGGCCCATGTTTTCCAGGTACAACCTCGGGGCGTGCTCAACGTTGCCCGGGGCTGTACTCCATCCAGTGCGAAAGGCAAAGCTACTGCTGCCGCTACCGCCCACCTACTGTACATAGTATGCCATTCATGGATGAAAGCGAGGGCTTGCAGGGGGGTCCACTGCCACTCTGGATAGCACAGAAAGTACATGCGTCACTGGGGACTGGGGGCTTGCGACTTGGCTGCTTGCGACTTGGGGGCTTGCGACTAGCGGGCTACTACGTACCAAAAGACCCGACGCTTCCCCAATCCCTGGGCACTTCCCAGTCCTCCAGTGCATTTGCTCCAGTTCTGTCTCCAGCGCACTGCGCACCGCGCCCGTCGTCCGCCGCCCGTCCCGTCTAAGCAACGCAACGCAACGAAACGCACCGCAACTTTATGTAGTATCTGCTGTAGGTGTGCTGGTCGTTTTGGCGCTCTTTCCTCTCCTCCATTTGGCTGTTATTTCCCTCCTCCATCTCAACTCACCTTTTCCTTCACCTCTCCATTCACGAAGGGCTTCAACTTCACCAAACCTTGGCTTCAATTCCAGTCGCAAGTCTTCTTTCTCGTTGATTTGCAACTGGTCTTGGCCGTCCGCTCATTTTTCCTCCTCTTCTCTCTTTTTTTCCCAACGAGAAGACATTTTTGAATTTCTTATTAGCATTGCCGTTATTTTGAGTGATTGATTGATTGCATTGCATTTGCATTGTCGCCCCTCCCGGTCTCTCTCTCTCACTCTCTCTCTCGCACCCCCCGTATCTCGATATTGGTCTGGCCCGTGGGAAACGACAACGCAATAACACTTGTCACGCAGCCAACGTCACGTCACGTCGCGGCACACGAACTACAGAACAATCGACTCGCACCGCGCTCACGAGGTAATACCAATCATTCACTTCATCGTCATCCTTGATTTTCTCCCGCTCCTCCTGCGACACCTCTGTCGTCTGCCTACCACCCGCAACCAGACGTGGACAGAGATAGAAGAAAGCATCAACCCGCCGTTTCACTCTCGTCTTCTCGTCACTTCTGTTCCGCAATTCTTCTCCCGCCTGCCGCATCGTCGAAATACAAGACGAGACAAGACAAGACATCTAACAACGCCGTAGGAACCAGCCAGCACCAGCCCTATACATCACAGCAGCCTGACGAATGCTACTGAGACACCTATGATATCCGACAGGCTCTAGGATTTGATGCAATTGGTGCCGCAGCGCGGCTTCGTGGGAAGACAGCCACAGTAGGAAGATGGCAACCGCATATGCTACTTCCGGCAGCCCGGTAGGCTCTGCCTTGGGGAACATGGGGGTTGTCGACATGGATCTGGCTGCCTCTCGACGACGACATCTTTCGATACCCGTGCCTATATCTATCCAGCGCCCTGTCGACGATGATGAAAGCGACTCCAGCCCGCACCCTTCACCTCGCTCAACAGGCCCGCCTCCGAACCCCCCGTTCGTCTTTCCCGCCCGATCGCTGCCTTCGTCTGCGCCTCCGTCTTTTTCCAGGGCCACGGGCCAGCGCTCAAAATCTGTCGCCGATTTCCTTGACAACAGCAGCGACAGCATGGGTAGTCTGGGCTCATCTAGCGCACGACCACGCCGCTCTCCAGCCCTCCCAGCGTTCAGCTTCAATCCCGGCGCTGGATTGAGTCCCGAAAGTGCCAACGACCGCCCTCAGCGATCTCCTGCTCTTCCGGAATTCACCTTCAACCCCAGCCCATTCGACTCTGCCAATTCGCTCATGAGCCCGCCTTTGTCTCCGGGGTCACCCACGTCCCCACGCACAATTCCGAATCGTGGAGGCCACAGGCGCGGTGCCAGTGAGTTTGTTGGTGGGAAACTCAAACAGGGTGATGCTCTTACAATAATGAGCACCAGTCCCACCAAGTCGGAAAGTGGCTTTCCATCCCCATCTCTGGCACCAGTCGATCCGTACCAACGTCGGGGAAGGCATCAACATCGCCGCTCTGCAGCAATTTCGAGCCATGACTTGTCCATGATTCTGAAGCCGCCGAGCAGCCCAAATGCCTCTAGAGGTAGCAGTGCTCCTTCAAGCCCTGCGGATTTCGAGGGCAGGATGAGGCATTTTCCAGAACCCGCAGCGGAGGTGTCGAAAGAGGCCCCAAAGCAAGAGGAAATGCCAGAGGAGGTCAGAATAGCTCCAGATGCCTCTAGTTCAACAGACGAGACTGCAGAGCCAAGCCCGACAATCAAGCCTGCACGGGCAAAAGTGGGATTCTCTGATACTCTCGAATACATTCCACGACCTTTGTCCATGGTCTCGACAGATACCGCAAGCACAGTCACGGGCTATCCCGGACACTCCGTATCCGGCAGCATTTCGTCCATCATTTCTTTAGGCAGCGCAACAATAGTTGACCGCGAGCGGCCAGTGCTCTCTTCCCCGATCAAGAAGAGCAGCGACTCTCGACCTAGCACTGCAGGTGCTGTTCTCGAGCGTGTTCCGAGTTTGCTTGCTTCTTACCCTTTTGAGGAGACCCCGACCTCACCTCGCAGACGAAACTCTATTCCACTATTGCCCGGTATCACTACAGAGGATGCCGCATCGTCACCGCTTCCGAGTCCTACAAAAATGCCCAAGCGTTGGTCATTTTTTGGCCTTGAGCCTTTCACGTCATCCAACTCGCCGTACAAGCAGCGGCCTCATAGCTCAAGCTCGTCTGACACGGCTGCCAAGGGGGTTGAGACGATCAACGCGCCATTTGACGCTGATCTAGAATCCGATGATGAGGCTGAAGAGCAGAACGTATCAAAGAAAGCTAGCAAGAAAAAGAAGCAGAAGAAGGTCAAGGCATGGGCTGGTTCAATCTTAACTCGCAAAGCCAAGTCGAAGTCGAAGTCTTCTGGTCGTCCTCATACACCTCCGCCCGCCAAGGAGATGTTAGATGATTGCATGTATGAAGACGACCTGGATATGTCGGGACCGTTGACTGCACCGATGGTTATGGTTACGGACTCCTCCTCTCCAACCGTCGAAGCTAAGCCGGTAAGACCACGGCGAAAGTCTGAGGATGATGCATTATATCCCATGATTGACTTGGATGCCGCTCTTGGCCCGTTTAATACACCCACGGGCCGCGATCCAGCATGGGATGCTGCGCAGAAACCCGGTGCACCACCCAAACGTCAGCTACACAGCGCAGCAGGAATGCGAGGTTTCTCGGGTCCAGGCATGCACTACCATCGTCGCGCTGAGAGCGCACCAGAAATGCCTCCGTTTGAAGCAAGATTTGGTGGCATTCATAGGTTTGGCAGCTCTTCGACCATGGCGGACGTTTTCGAAGAAGATGAAGAGGAAGACGATGATTATACTTCCGGCGCAGAGAGTGCATCTCAAGCTTCCATACCCGATACCAGCACAGTCTCTGGGGCCAATCTCGATGCCAGATCGACGAGTGACGAGTCTGCTACAACACCTACTCAAGAAATCGACTTCGCACGGAAGAACTCGGCTGGTGCGCTCTCAATTCCGTCTTCAATCAAGCGCAAGGGCAGTGGTTCCAGTCTGGACCTCCAACCCTTGGGATCAAGAGTCCGAACCGAAGCTTCGATCAGCTCCCTTCATGAAGAGGTGATTAGTGAGGAAGCCCCTGTACATCACACTACAACAGCAGTTGACCAAGAGCGTATTTACGAGACTTACCTCGACTCGGACACCGTGGCACCGTCACCACGAAGAATCATCACTGGCAAAGATCTTGCGCCGGTTGAAATACACCCAATCAGTCTCCCAAGCCCGCTGACGGGTATCAGTCCTTACTCCATGAGCCACTCGTCGTCCTTTCCATCCCCACGCTCTCCGATGTCTTACGACGCTCACCGCGTTTCTACGGCGCCATCGTCTGTGACTGAGGAAAACAATTTCCAGTCGCTGCTCATGGGAGAGCCGGGGCCCGAAGTGGTTCGTATTTCCGTCGACGTTCCGTCTTTAACCGAAAGTACCTCGAACATAACACGCGAGAGCAACTTCTCCGGTGTACGACCACGAGGCATGCCCTTCCACGAACAGCGCCCAGCATCTTTCACGACTACCGCATTTGGACGTCGTAGATCGAGTTTGGCAAGCCTCAGTCGTCTGATTAGCACTTCACACGGAGAAAGAAGCAAATTGAGCATGGAAGTGCCCCTCGACAACGAGTCCGACAAGAAGTCGAAGGCCAGCACAGCGAAGAGACTCAGTCGAATGATCCAATTTTGGAAGCCGAAGGAGTCAGCAGCATCCTAGCGAGTGTTTCGAACTTACTTCTTGGTCACCATACTGCATCGACGACGATCTTCGAAAGATCAAAAGCTCAAGGCTTGAGGAACAAGGTAACCACAAAGTAATTGAGCATAGCACATTGACGCTGCTTTCAGTACCGTCAAAGCCCTGTGTTTGCTTGATCAGCTTGGAAGAGTCTCAATAGCGAGTCTGAAGGATGATCGATATACTCCTAATAATTTCAGTATAGCCTAGGTGATCTCACCAGATCTATGGGCTTGCTGCTTCATCGCACATATTTGGCGTTTTACGAGAGCATGAAGAGAGCAACTATTGCATGATCAATGGACCGGATCTCCGCAGCCCTTCTTGATTTCCACCATTGCTTTTCCGGCGAAATGGATTGGCCCCATGAAGGGCGGGAATTGGTAACTACATTTGATTGTGCGGACATATGTTGCCGAAGAAAGTAAATGTTATGACACTGGTACTACATGAAACACTTGTAACCAGAAGGGAAGGAGTTGACACTTAGATAGAATCTACTATCGCTAGGTCTCAAGTCATGTGTTCTGCCGGGGTGGGGGGCTACCCTCATCTACAGATGTTGAGACATGCTCGATCTTGCTTGTAGACATATAGTAATGAACATATTGTATCACTTAATTTGTCTCCCGTGCGACGTGCCTGTCTTGTGACGGGATTTAGCCAGATCGCGGTTATGTTAGAGCTTGTTTGTAACTAGAAAAACACATTTGAAATCGTACAACGTCAGAATGGAGAATGTAGCTCCTGCACATATCTTTGTGCTTGCTAGTCGGGAATCCTTTATTTTTTAATTTTCTAATGTTCTTTTATTAATAGATTTCTTTTGGATGCAACTGCTTGCGTAGTATTGACATGACCGAATTGCCTCAACAGCAGCCATTGGGAAATACCCTCAACGTACAAACATACCATCCGGAGAACCATCCGTACCTTGGATGGCGTTCTGGCCGCGATGTTGATATACATGATTTCAAAGTTTGAGGTTCTTGTTATTTATGAGAAAGAGAGACAAGTCGCCGGGCCCGGTCAGAGCAACAACGCAACGTGGTCGAATTGCTGACCCAGGTCTCCCTGGACACTTCGGGATAAATGTCCTCTGTAGATTCAACTTTCAGCAGAGTGAGTGTCTGGGTATCTTTACATGCGGGTGATGTTCGGGAGTTGGGACGCTGCATCATGCGTTGCACGATGCAAACTGACATTTAGCAAAAGTCCAACCCCAACGATTTGATGTGACATCCTAGAGGTAGTCGAAAAGCGTGTGAGTTGACTCAGTTATGGGCTTTGCCTTGCTCAGACCAGTTGCTTCTATTATGATTCCTCGCGGAGCATGGTACTTGCAGAAGTCTCCTAGCTGTTGATACTTGTAGCGGTCGTGGCTGGTCCCGACACCCTTTCACAAGCCGACACCGACATCATACTGCTTGGCGCTCAATATAACCATCAGACTGAGACATATCGAGTGAGTGCTTTTCGGATGGATGATCTCTTACCCGTAGAGAACTAGCTTGCCCGCCAGGCCCGCAGCCTCATAGCTGATGACTACGAAACCGGGCTGTAGAAAAAGAAAAAAAAGAGAAGAAAAAATAACAGAAGGCATATTTTCAAAGCAGGATCTTCGCTGAGGAGAGTAAGGTTGTGCTCGAGGCCACTAAGCCACAACGACAGCGCGAAAAGCACGAGGCCATGGAAGCAAACACCATGGCCAATATGCCTCGCTGCGCTGGGGAGATAGCCAACACCAAGCCGTCGCAATAGGGGGTTCGTCATTTTCCAAATTGCGTGTGGCGAATATACTCAGCGGAGATTCCAACTATTCAAGAAGTTCTTTGGAAAGGCGTGCAGAGATAATCTTCGACCCGGGTGGCAGGAAGTGGCCCCGTGGCTCAGATCGCAATAAGCCCTTGTGGGCAGATGATGGATCGTTGGAATCCGCCGATATTGGCACTTTGCGAGCTCGCTTCAAGGCCATGAGAAATAAGCTGAGTTACCTCGTCAAATTGTGACGGACTGTTTCCTGATTGTCCATGACGAGATCTTGCGCGAATCGCGCATAAAATCATGGGTTTTGCTTCATGTTAAGCCCTTTATGAACTCGGACTTCTGGCAAGATGAGTTTTTGCTTAGAGCCGTCGATCATGAGTTTGACGAGACGAGAGAGACCCCGCAAGGTTTCAGAGAGAAATTATGGCCCCTATTCCCGAAGTCTCCGACTGGCTTCATAACACTGGCTTTGCCACGAGCGAAGACTGGGGGACGAGGTCCAAGGCCATCCAAGAAGAATCCTCCGATTTATTAGTAAGTCCGATCATCGTGTGTTGCTTCTGTGTACCATTTCATCATCCTTGACCCCAAATATGATTCATGCATCTTGCCCGGGAACCACATATTGAGCTAATATGATGTGTCTGCGCAGGATCCGAAAGTGCCCTTGCCCAGCATATCACACCGGCGCTGATCCACCGCACCTCATAGCCGAGGGATTATCTGCAGATAAACGAGGCGGGCTCGTGCCTTGTTTGAAGGGCCTGACAATATCAAGTCCTCTTGGCTAGCCCGCATCTGAGTTGTTATATATACGAACTAGCATCGTGGAGTGTTGCTAAAATTGATCGCTATACCCCGATAGTAGGTGAGGCCTATGGAGTATCATATGGAAAACAATTTGTTCAAGTCTTTAGCAGCAAGGCCCTGGTCATTTGAAAGAATTTCGAGTATAACAATGTTTCGGAACGGTTCATATGATGCACTTCAAAGAGTTGTCCATCTGAACAGCCGACGATCGTAGGGAAGTATTCTCGAGCACATACGCGACCGAATCGCACGAATTGGAGTTTGTGGTAATATTATCGTCCTATTACTACGCGTAACTTGAGCAGGATCCTGACATGCCTGGTACTAAAGAAAGATATTCGGTTAACGTAGCATTAGGGTATACGGATGGCCTCGTTACGGTCGCATTGCTCACTTGCCATGTGTGACTGCTTGGGGTTCGTAAAGACTAGCAGTGATCATTCGAGCCGGCCGCGCCCTTAAAAACATCGGATTGGATTAGCACGCCTCCCTTGCCGAAAAAGTCCTTTTAGACAAGTTTCAAAAATCACACACTAAGTGTGCGAAGAAGGATGAGAGAAATATTCTATATTATAGAGGTTCCCGCAACAGAACTTTGAAAACCACCTACATATTTCATAGAACTACGAAGAAATAGAAGCTCAATGAATGAAAGAAAACAAATGGTTAGCCCAGGCTATAGCATTACTATGGCCTAGATTTATACGAATTTTAAATCGTTAGATGTGCTTGCAAGATATGGATTGACTGGGCCGTGAATGAATAATCTTATGTGACTTTAACCGCCGGGGCGAGTTAGTATTAATAGGAGTGCGGACTGCAAATATGCACATGGAAGGACGAATCATATGGAGCAACATGTCATCGCCGTAGTAACTCGAGGTACAAGTCAGCTTAAAACACTCTAGCCATGTCATCTAGTGATTTATTCATCTTTCTTAGCTGGAAATGTGCTGGTATAATGCTCCCCTAACCACAATAACGCCCCGCAATGCATCGGATATACTGGTCACCCAAACCTACAGCGACTCCTTAAAAATGCACAACTATTCCATGCCATTGAACTCCCATACCGTGTTACCGATATTCGTTCCCGCCGTACAAAACCTATCGTCACACTCGTAAAACCACTAGCGATGCACTGACACGCCACTAGACAGCCTGGTCAACATCATCACCACGCCCGTCGTCGTCGTCGTCGTCGTTTCCACCATCCGCCTCGTCAGCTCCGAGGATCAACTTCCTGATCACCTGCCATATCTGGAGGACCGCCGACGTCTCTTTGTCCTCGAAATGCTTCCTAGCCGCATCGAGCAAGCTCATACGTAAACCCGGCGGCAGATCTTCAACTCCAGTCTCCCAGCCGATCAGCTCAGCAAACCCAGCGAGGAGCATATGGCCGGTCATCTCCCGCAGCGTGACATCGGTGGACCTAGCCTTTGCATTCTTAGTGTCGTTTGAGACCTGCGGCCACAAGAACCAGGTACCGTGGCGGAGGGTACACTCCTCGAAGACGGTGATTCGCTCGGCGAAGTTCGGGTCGCCCTGGATGGCGGGGCGATCTCTGATGAGGCCAACTGATACGGATATGATCAGCAGGTAGAGCCCGGCCAGGTCCTCAAGGCTTAGCGAGTTGAGATACTTGATCTGGGCGCCGCGAGCGTTGATGTTGGTAAAGGGGTCATGTTGTCGAAGCTCGTCGGGGAGGCTGCCAGCGAGGTTCCAATAACCACTGCTGATGAGTGTGTAGTTGTGCTCAGGGACACGGCCATCCTTGACATTGGCAGCGACGTCGGCGACGGCGTCACAGCGCCAGAGTGCGCGTTCAAGGATGGCTGCAAATCGGCGTTGCTGTACGGGGTTGAGAGGATCTAGTCCAGGAGGCGACGATAGATCGACATAGCCACTGTTCAAAATTTTGGCAACCCGGATATCTCGTAACTCTAGTTCTTCGATGAATGGGAATGTTCCGGGCTCGCAAACCTGGCGTTTCACCCCTGCCGATGACAGCGCGTTGCCAGCAGGTCGTAAAGGGAAGCTCCCCAACTTTGTCTTACAAATCGACTGACGGTAGGTGTTGATGAGCAAGCGATAGCTCTGCAGGACAATTAGGAACAAACACAGATAGTGCCATGGCTTATTACACACCTTGTTTGCCGCCATGAAGTTGCGTAGTGTCGCAACCTCCATTTGTTCGGCGATTGCAACAACGACCTCGCCAGGTACCTTAGGGATGTCCATGGTGTGCTTGTGAAGGATACTATAGACTATAGACTAGAGTATAGAGCAGCAGTGAAAAAAGGGGGTCGGCGATTGCTGTGAAGGGGAAAGTTGGTATTTGTTGTGAATGAGAAAGTAGGCGACTGCTATAAAGGGGGTCGGCGATTTGTCTTCACAAGTAGACCATAATGCATAGATGATGTTGCAGGAGTGGTGTTGTGATGTGAAGAAGTAAAATCGGCGACTGGTCTTCACAACTAGTCTAGATGATGTTGAGTAATTATTGCGGGAGTGGTTGTCCGTGTGAACCTTGACGGCCACTGGGCCTTTTGTGGACGTCAGATGCCATCAAGGTTGTAAATGTTAGGCTCGCCCTTTCCTTTGTGCCTGCGGCTGTAAATCACAAGTTCAGATGAACTGTGATTCACGACTCAATGACGTGGGGCAGACATCCCTTGTTATACCATTGTGCTTTCCCCTGCGTCTCAGTCGTTGGCCGACCAATGACGTGCTGCCGCCATATTCAAGTAATTATAGTCAATCAGAGAACTCCAAGTATAGTCAATCAGAGAACTCCAAGTATAGTCAATCGGAGAACCCCGCTATCATTGAACACGGTCATTATATACTATATATGATAACACATCGTAGAACTTTAAAATCAAGGGCAGTAATGCATTGTTGTTGTTGTTGTTGTTGTCTTCACATAACTCAAATAGCGACCCGGCGATTTATCCAAGCACTTAATTACTGGAAGGAGCGCCCTGAAAGTTACGTTGGAACGGATGAGCAGCCGTCAACTACCGTTCTTGCAGCACTGCTAGAAGTTGTGTCGCTATCAAGGACCAGACGGATTGGCCAGCGATATAGAGAAGAACACCGAGAGGGAGATGGCGGGCATGACTCCGTAGGTCTCCCGGACTCCACCACGCCGTAGGCAGGTCAAGGTCCGGGGTGGGATGTGATGGCCGGTCCAGCCCAAGGTATTGAATCGTCACAAAAAACCGTATCGCATGTCATGAAATTTGCTGGATTAAATCTGTGGAAGTCACTCCATAGAAGTACAATACAGTTGGCCCCCAATTCCCCGTTGAGATTATGAAGCGTTTTCACGTTCAGCATCATCTAGTCTACTGGGAATAATTGCGCCATAAACAAACTTGATTGACCAGCCTCTCAAAGTAGACGAATGAAACAAGGACCAAACCAAAACAACCCGGGTATCATCATGTGTCATCATATCATCAGTAACAGCGCCCCAAATCAAAACCTTTTCATCTTGAGTTTGCCACACAACTCGAGTGGCAATCACCATCGAGCAGCGCCTGCCCTTTAGCCATGTGCTCGGCTCCAGGCCTCAGCCCAGCCTGTGCCCCCGAATATGATTTCAGGGACCAGCTTAAGTCTCAGTGTATAGATGCATCAAGCCGCTCTTCATCTTCTTCCTCACCTCTCTATCCAACTTCTGCCTGTTCTCGAGATCAGTGATCCGCGATTGCAACTGCGCGATCTTGCCATCCTGTTTCTTGAGCGCCTGCCGGCTGGCGTCGCGGCCCATCTCCAGCCCCCTTGCTTTGGCTGCAAACTTGCTCAATGTGCTCCTCACCTGCTTTAAGGCCTGCTCGTCGATCTTCTGGCCCTCGAGAAGAGCCATTACTTCCTCCGTGATACCTGCAATTCCGGCGCCGGACCCGGGTGTAGCCGGTGAAGAGGAAGGGCCAGCCGCTTGCTGTGAGGACGAAGGGGTCGTAGGCCCGCCGACTGGTGTGTATCCACCGGCGTGGTCGTTGCGCTGTCGCTTGTTGCTGTTACTGGACCCGCCAGCTTCGGGCTCAGCAAACAGCACTCGTCGGACGGACTTGTCTGTTAGAGACGGCGTCGGCATGCCACCTGCGACGTCGGCTACTCTTCGTGCTGCTGGAGTCGTGAAGGCGTCGCGGCTCCGGCTAAGCTGGCTCGTAGAATCTGTGACAGCAACCAGTTGCCTCTCCTCGTCTGAGCTCATATCGCCGAACAGATCATCATCCTCCAGGTCAACCACGTCCCGTTTGCGCTTTGCGGCCGCAGAGGGAGTCTGGAATTGCTCCTCACGGATCGTTCTCGTGGGATGAGGCGTCGGCTTGCTTGCCGACTCGGCGATACGACCCAGCTCGTCCTCGTCGCTTGTGTCCATATCGCTTGTGCCGTAGTCGTGGTCGACAGTCTTGGTATCGCTCGTACTGTGTGTCGCCTGGATGGTGGAAACGTTCTGCGCCGTACCGCTGCCACCCCCCAGCGCCGCACCCTGCGCGTGCTCGTTCTGGCTCCCGCCCACGGCGCGCTCCAGCTCGTCGATCGGCGTGATCTCCGTGCGGTGCGACCAGTGCCGCTTGCCCTCCTCCCTAGGCTCGACCCTCGCGCTGAGCGTGGTCTGTACCAGTTTCCGCGGCGTCCTCAAAGACGTCTTCTTCCCGTCATCCTGGCTGCTGCCGCCAGGCTCGGTCGTGGAATTGATCAGCACGGCGCCCTCCTCGCGTAGCCTGGCGTCGTCGGCCCACAGGAAGAAGTCGCAGCGCGCGGGCTCGCCCGTCTTGCCCTTGGTCCGGTCGACCTGGCACGTGTAGAACCAGCGGCCCTTGTTGCGGCTCTCGCGCTTCACCTGGAATTGGACTGCAGGGAGGCGGGGCTTGCAGTTACCTATTGGCATAGGATAGAAATGTCAGCTTGGGAAGAAGGAGGGGGCCCAGTGGGATGTGGAACGGATGCGTAGATCACGTACAAAGCCATTGTCCCTTGGTGAAATGTCCGTTTGTGGGCTTCTTGGTTGGGCTGTCCGAGATGCCGAAGGTGGTCGTCTTGGTTGATGGCATCTTGGTGTCTGCGGATGTGGACAAGCGAAAGTTCTTGTTGAAAACTGTCCATTGGACATATGCAGTTGAAGGTGCTACACCAAGCCTCAGCTCTAGTCACTTGATCGTGCAGTTGTCAAGTTTTGTGAATCGTTAAATCAACCCACAGCAACGTGCACGCCGATTGTTTCTAGTCTAGGGGAACAAAGCAATGACCTGAAGCTCCTACTCAAGTATTTGTTGTGCCGTGAGGAGCTGAAAGCCGGGGAGCTGAAGTCCGGGAGGTTGGGGATGTGGAGAGCCTGCCTTCAGGCCCGGGGGCTGTGTATACAAAGTACAGCATTTGCTTTTGCATGGAACTGACTAGGAACAGGACACACCCCCCACACGCTGACTTTCCCAGACACTACTCCATACTATTGACATATTGCTTGACCAGCATAAATTATCATCTGTCGAGGGCAGGCATACGTAGATTTGCTCCATTCAAACTTGGTTACAGAGCCCTCCATGCGCATCGGGGTATATCTAAACGCTCACGCACACGTATTTAAAACAGGTATTATCTTTCCACATGAGAGCGCGCAGATCGCCATCTCAAACTTCGTACCAATAATCATCATCCAAGCCTTCCCGGCTTGGCACAACACCAGCTCCGGCCGGCGGTCCCTGGTATGCTGCCTCCATCCGCACGTTCAGCAACCTGATCTTCAGCCCATAATCTCCGACAAGGGACACAAGCTTATTAGTCTCTGCAGTTATTGGCTTCTGATCGAGAAGCATCAACAAGCCATCCAGCCACTCCGAAGCCACACTATGGTTCAACGGATGTAGGGTGAGGACAGGCTGTTCATTTCCGTCGCCGTCGGGCTTCGCCGCTTCCTCCAGGCTCGTGAAGCTGAAAATGGTTATCTTTGTGCTTGACTTGGAATTCGTGTGGCCAGCGGCGCCGAGAGTCATGTTTTCTGCTTCAGTCTTGGCGTCTTCGCTGGAGACTGACACATTCGAAACAACAGAACTGACTTTGCTAAGATCGACCTTTTCGTGCAACGCATCGAGACCTGGATCTTGGTTTACTGCCTTGAAGGCGAAATCTGCGTAGTGCAAGTACCGCCGGTTATGTGATAGCTTCGCAAAGCGCCACAAAGTACCGTTTGGATGCCTGCGGCTCAGAGAGGTTTGAGAGGATTCGCCTTCTTTTCGCGGTGTCGCTTTCGAGAACCATGCTCCCGCTAGCAGGCATCGGATTCGCTGTTCCTTGACGAAGGACAGCGACTCCTTTCTCAGATCGTCTCTGACTTGATATAAGTGTTGACCCCAATTGTCCTCGAATGACAGCTCGAGAAGTTCCATTTGGATCTCGCGCAACCGTGCACAGTCGTACTCGAGTAGGTCTTCCTCCACTTCAGCGACATCCTTCGTACGGGTGGCCCTACCTATCACCTGGTCGACTAGTATGCGCACGAGCTCAGCTACCTTGTCCAAGTCATTCTGCTCGGCACCAGTGGCTTTCCATAGCCGAAAGAAAGAGACCAATCCGGCGGTATGTAGTCTAGACCACTGTAGCAGCAGAGGGCGAAAGAGCTTATCCTGCTGCTTCCCATCTGATAGTTGGTAACCCCTGAGATCCTCCATTTCGGTCTTGTCGCAGTCGAACTGGTCGTATAGAATCAAAGTGACAGCCAGACTGGCCCTGGCTACGGGACATCGCTCCGCTAGCGGCCTCGAGGACTGCTCGAGCAGTAGCTTTTGGAATCCATCCTCGGTCTTTCTGACATAGTCCATCAAATCCATCATGCCGAGGAAGCCTGCATCTTGGAATTCTGCAGCAGGGCTTTCGGTCTCGAATCCCAGCCTACGCCACTTTTCCGGGTTGTGCCTCTTGCTCGTCTTCTTGCTGACCCCTTGTCCATCCTCGGCTTTTGTTGTCCCGTTCGCATGGTCCTTGCTCGGCGCGCTTGCTAGATGTAGTCCCTTGAGGGCCCTTCTGTGCTCCGGACGCTCGAGATCTACCCGTACCTCTCTCCACTTCCGTAGTAGCACCTTCGTGAGGCTCTGAAACTCCTGTAACGGATGCGCAAGATCTTGCAAAGCCGAACTCTGCATCAGATTATAGACGGCCTTGATGAGGCCCAGGTCTTGTAGTCGCTTGATGAACTTGGGCCATTCTTCTCCGGCGCCGTTGGGCTTACTGTTGGTAGAGGAGGCGACCTCGTTGGACACGGCGTCTCTGATCAAGGCGTTTATGAGCATGAGTGCATTGGCGCAGAGTGCGTGATCCGCCGACTGCAGCTGTTGTATGACCAAGTCGAAGAACTGGGGGTACACGGCAACGGCAGGCTTCAAGGCTCGGAAGCCAAAGGTGCCAGGTATCCGACTTTGGCCAGCGGGTGTAGACTGCGAGTGGCTTACCAGAGCGACCAATATGGACATGGCGCCTCGCAGGATGTTGACCAGTGGATTTGTTACAATGAGTTCGACGATACGCTCGACCAGGTCGCCCGCGGTGGGGCCCTCGAAGATATCCCAGCCCATGTCCACTTCCAGCAGTCTTGTCAGGCTCTGTAGAGAGTAGGCAAGAGTATTGCCTCCCGTACCCATGATCAACCGGCGCAATATGATCAGTCCGCCCGAAGATATGAAGACGTCTGCGAAGGCGGGATCGTTGATGGAGGATTGTAGTTTGAAGACAGCCATTTTCCGTGCAGCATCTTCGTCGCTGGCGAGGCGCGCCAGGAGCGCGGGGATGTCTGCCTGATCCATGTCTGTGGCTCAATTGAAGAATCTTGTCGCAAGAGAAGGGGAAATGTCGCGGAAATGTTGGTCACGCGCTCAAGCGCCGAAGGGCTTTCCCGACAGCTTGGGCCGGTCCTCCTGCGGGCTTCTGGTATTATAGACGCGGTCGTGTTACTACTGTCGTATCATCGTAATTCGTGATGGTGTTCGTCGGCGCCCATCCGTCGCAGGAAAAGCGTCCAGAAGAATGCGCGTTTGGTGAAGGGGCCGTGGTGAAAAGTTCAAAAATTTGGGAGTTCGAAGTCGCCGACTCTCTACATAGATACAGAGTACCCTCGTACATTCCTGTTGGCGGCCGAGGATGTGGTTCCAGGGGCTTGCGGGGGGCTTGTAGGGGCTCGACCACTTATAGGAGAACTCTAGTCCGGGGGCACGGGACACCAACGACACACCACTGCATTATCCCTGCACAGTACCCAGGCTGCGCATCTTTGGCAATCAACGTACTCTGTACCCCTGACTCCACGATAGAGACCAGTATATCCGAGTATATAACCTAGAGAATTGTGAGGCCTTGTAGTGCTTGCTTGTTGCCCGTGCGGCTCCACCCCCAAGCAAGGCGGGATGGACGATCCCTAATATTGGCAAGCTTGCTTCCAAAGTTGCAGTCGCGGGAGTTTTGTTTACAAGACGGCACGCACGGCTTACTCTGGTGGCAGCTTGTTTGTACTAGACTGAGTAACGTATATCTTGGCTGCGGCTCGCTGTTCTACATGCCTTCACGTGGCGTTGAGGCTCTCAACCAACCTCCCCCAAACACCATGACCAAGTCACAGATAGTCGGGTGGATTCAGCCACCGCTGCCTACAGGCATGATGTTTTTTGGGTTGGGGATATGTCCGTCGTGCAGTCTTAGACATTGGGATTTCACATATGAGAGGTTGATCGTGCCCCAATTTCTTTAATTTAACTACATCGGAACCTATAGTTACATGATATGCTTAGGCGGGGGTAGTGCCTCTGGCCCGAACGAAAGCGGCAGCAACTACACAGGTCAATATTCAGAGCATTTAGAAAAAGCTTGACTTGAGAGTACTCACCTCCTCCAACCGGAGCACGATATAATCGTCGTTCTTGTCAAACATCAGAATCGGGGTCTTGAGGTCGCAAAACTCGCGAATGCTAAATGCATATATAAGTAGGCGTGCTTTTGAACCACGACTGGAGTTTGAAGTTGCACTCACAATTGCCGGCACATGCCACATGGACTAGCTGGGGGAGATATATCTGTAGCAACGGCCACAGCTCTAAACCCTTTATACCCCTCCGTGACAGCCTTGCCAAACGCCACACGCTCAGCACATGTTCCTACAGGATATGCTGCATTCTCAACGTTTGCACCACTGATAAAGGCTCCATCGCCTGAGAGCACGGTGGCGCCAACACGGAACTGACTGTAGGGGCAATACGCAGTAGACTTGGCTGCGACACTACCCTTATGCAGTTCCGAGAACTCTTGTGTAGTCAACCCGTATGTCCTGCATGTTGACTCCACATCTTGCGAGCTCGAGCTGGAATAAGTCTTTACTGAAATGGACATATTGAAAGCATGTAACAAATGCTTTTCCAAGGGCAAACCAAAAAAATCTCACTTATGTGCAGAACAGTTATCGAGGTGGGAGGGATATGCTCCAATTATCAGCTACCGCATGCGGGGCAGTCGGCGACTGGAATGCGCCGCTATCCTACGACAAACCATCTTGCTCAGATCCCCCTCCCCAAAAGACACAACTGACCTTCCATACTGACTCCCACCAAAGATAGGACCCATGATACTATGTGTCACCGTCCATTCTCCAATGGCTTGTGGCACTTTGCTGTGATAACGCATCTTAAATCGGAATCGTCAATGGGTTCATAACGCTGCAAATCAGTGAGCTCATTACATCCACAACTTGTCCCCGGAGACCGTCGGAAACTCACGATGCGCCACCATCTACTATCATGTTTGCTCCCGTGACATATGATGAGAAACCGGACGCCAGGAAGCCAGCCACTCGCGCGACCTCTTGTGCTGTTCCTGCTCTCTCAAGCCCAATTGTCGTTTTCTGCATCTACATAGATCAAATTTAGCGACCAGACGAACTCCAGGATCACCCTAAACCCATATAACTAACCTCGGACTTTTGAAGACTGGCTGGAGGGAACTGCGAAGTCATGCCTTGCATGTCGAACTGTTCTGCGAATCAGCGAGCAGCCAACTAACCGAGAAGAACCTCACTTACTCCTTGGAGGTTGACGCCGACATCAATCTGTCCGGGTGAAATGCAGTTGATACGAACTCCAGTACCTTTCAAGGTTGCAACACCAGCTTTGACAACACCGAGAGCAGCATGACTGGCTAGAGTGTAGCAAGGCCCCCAGCAGCCTCCGTGGATTGAAGCAACGCTGCTGATGACAATAATGGAACCGTATTTCTGAGTCTTCGGAGCAGCGTTCGGATAGGACCCCTTCGCAGTCAGCTTGGCCATTGCCGCAGGTGCGTATTTGAGAGCAAAGAACGGCGCCATTGAGTGCGCCTCGAAGCACTTTTGCAGATCATCCGGGGTGGTCGCAGCAATCGAGGGCGGACCAAGGAGCCCCGAAGAGGATACCCAGACGTCCAGCCTGCCAAAGGCATTGAGGACATCGTCGATCAGGACTAAAGTCTCCTCCTGACTAGCAACATTGTACGGGTATGGTATGACCTTGCTGTTGGGGAATTCTTTGCCGATATCTTCGACTAGTTTGTCAAAAGAACCGGTTGTAGTGTTGACTCTGTCGCAAGCTATTTGCCATCAGTGGTACGCTCCTCCCTCCGCCAACTCACCATACACGCTGCTTAGCATGAATAGGGCTCTCACCAAATATAGACGCGGCACCGTGGGCTGAGTATGTGTTAGTATGCCACTACAGTCCACATGGCACAATTATGAACTGACCTGCCAACTCGTGGATGATAGCTTGTCCAACGGGCTGAGCTGCTCCGGTAACGACACAGACGAAGCCATACTACTACATTTCAGTTTCTCGATATCAGAGTGCTAGAGGGCAACCTACAAGTTTTCCATCGGATCGGTAGGGGCTGAAATCCTCAGTGGTGTCCATTTCAGATGGCCGTGTTTGATACGATATCAAACCTCTTACTTGATGTGTGTTTTTGCAAGATAACAAAATGCTCTTGAGCAATCCCAGCACTTTGTATGAGTTGAGCTGAGAGCATCACAAGTAGAGGCGCAACTTTCACTATCTCCGGATAACAGAGGATGTTGTCCAATCGCATTACAATCGTTTCCATTACACCTCAGTCCCTATCATGGCAGATGGCACCACGCTACCGTGTCTGCGAGTCGTGCTTTTCCGAGGGAAAGCTAGCAGACCACTCCAGCCCGATAAGCGGGTACGTATTCTAGGTAAATCGCGACAAATAACTGATGATTATCATGCAGCTGGAATAAATGGTATCGTCCTGTATTCGACCTTGTACGACTTTCTTTTTATTCCGGGACTACATCACACATCATATTGACGCTCAGCCCAAGCAGTGTGTCCCACCACTTCCAAACTTGATATTCTGGGCGAGGGAAAGTCGCGGGGCATTGAAATTACCCCACCATCATGATCCGGAGACGTCATTTTCACAATAAGTCTTCGCGAACTACAATGCTTCCCATGATGCACCCCCGATCTATAAGGCCCTATCAATTAAAGTACTCATATTAAAGCTTGAGCATACATAGTGCGTGTTTAACTCAAAGTCTAATCCTTTGGATCCTGTGTTGGAGTACAGCCATTTCTCATTCATCGAACATCGTCAGCCTTTACCAACTTACGGGTTATAGTGATTGAACGTATTGTGTGCGGATACAGTTTAGAGGTGTCAAGAAAAGCGTAATTCTCATTTCCCAACAGAACTAAAGTTACATAACTCCAAGGATAACAGCCCTCCTTTGAACAGATAGGTTTCAGGCTTTACCGGAGGATGAGGATAGTCTCAGCTCCTCGCTGGCCCCAAAATACCTTACCCAGCCCACTGTCGCGTGGGGAGAAAGGGCAGGTAACTATTCATCATTTCACGCCGGGTACCTGTCGCTCGACGTTGGTTTCTATCGAGATCATTCTAGGCTATCCCCGGAAGCACCATGCCTGCAAACCAAGCCGTTTTTGTGGAGGGGACCGTTGAAACCTGGCATCATGGGTCCTGAAAACAGGAAATACCGGGATGCCGTGACGTCACACCCGACCCGGCCTCGTACAGCCGAGTTTACCTTTATACTCAACATCCACCTACCATTGCGTGAGAATTGGATTTTCAAGAGATTCAATATCATCGAGCAAGCGTAAAGTCTAGCATACCAACCTTTCAAGCCGAGCATAAGCTATCTCATAACCAAACCGCCACAAATAATCATGCCTCACCCATTTGATCCTCAAGACATCCCCATTGATGAGGATTCTGAGGTGAACCCGACCAAGATCTTTTACCTCAAGGGCACAATCCACTTCAAAAACGAGGCGCAAGTCATAGACCTCACAGACAAGATCAAGCGACCATTTGACGACTTCTCGCAAAAATGGATGCGGGAAGTGGGCAAGGCGCTGGAGGAGGTGAAGGACGACCCGCCCAAGTACAGCCTGAACAGCTCCGGCAGCATGATGCGCACCATCAAGAGCATCGTGGACCAGCAGGGGGAGAAGGTGTGCGACCTGAACATGACCTTCGTGTCGTTCGACAACTCGTCCGTGCGCTTTCCGCCCGGCTCGAAGCACTGCCGGCACGAGATCGAGCTGTACCCCGTCGGCGAGGGCGGCACCATCAAGAACGGCGGCAAGGCCGACAGGCACGAGTGCTTCATCCGGCACAGCGTCCCGTACTTCTGGGATCTGACCGGCGAGCAGCAGGGCGTTCTGCACAAGGCGCTCAACCAGAAGCGCGTCGAGGTCGGTATGGTTGCGGGTTACGGATGGGGCAAGGATGCAGTTTTGGTGTTTGACGACAAGGAGGTTGACGAGGTGGTCGCCATGGCGACTTGTATCATCATGCTGAACGGAAAGGATGCTATTGACTATTAGACTGGGTTTACCACGATTGCATGATTATGAGGTTTATGGGAGTTAAAAGGGCATCGGAGTGGTATTGGGCTTGTACTTTGAAATTTAATATATCACACTCGGAGAGAATATTTCTAATTGACATGGATTTGCTCTATTATCTCAGCAACTCGAGTCAGCGTACGTGTAAATACTGGGAACAATAGCCTGACGCTTGAAACATCGCTCCATCTATCCATTGGCTTCCCAACTCCGTCTTCAAGCTCAGATCTAAAAGTCACAATTCGGTGCAGCCGAAGCTCTCTGTTCAGTCCTTCATCCCCCAAAACTCATGGATGGCCTGCAGCACCTCTCGGGAATTCGTGAACGGCATGTTATGACCACCTGGTACTATCCGCCAGAACACGTTCTCTTCCCCGCCCATCAACGGCAACGCGTCCTCCTTGTAGTCGCCCTTTTGGACGAGGTCGTCGTTCTTGCCGATGATGACAGCCGTGGTGCCTGGTTTCCGCTTCGCAAGCTCCCGCCAGTAGCCGTGCTGCCCGAGCAGCGGCCCGTAGCGGATTGTCGACATGAACGACGGCACGAACCCAGCATGCTCATCGAGCATCCAGCGGACGTAGGACGCGATCTTGGCCTCCACGGGGCTGACAGACGTGGTTGCGTCGTCGTCCTCGCCGTCGGGGTCGACGGCCTCCTGCACGGCGGCGTCGACGTAGCCCTCTTTGCCCCCGCCCAGGGGGTCCAGCGACCCCTCCGGCGCGGCGGCGCTGCTCGCCCTGCGCTTCTTGGCCACCGCGCCGGCGATCGGCGTCCGCAGGCGCTTCCTGGTCAGGAACTCCAGCAGGCGCTCGGGGACGACCCCGGACGTGAACACGAGCCTGCTGGCGCGGCCGATGTTCTCGGCCCTGATCAGGCCGGCCGGCGCGAGCAGCACGAGCGACTCGACGAGGTGCGGGAAGGTCGCGGCGAAGTTGACCGCGATGCCGCCGCCGAGCGAGTACCCGACGATGCTCATGGCGTTGCTGCCGGTCCACGCTAGAGGCGATGATGCAAGCACCAGCAGGATCTGGGTGACGAAGAGACGGGTGTCGGAGGGTAGGTCGCCGACGCCATCGCTGAAGCCGCGGCCGAAGAGGTCCTTTGTTTGGGCGTAGAAGATCAGTACTTCGCGAGAACGAGAACAAGGAGAGTTAGGGGGCGCGACGAACGAAAAGCATGACCCTGCAGCCTTTGGACGCCAGGTCCAGGGCAATGTCATTCAAAGTCATGCAAGATGTGCTTATGCCATGGAGAAATAACACCTTGCGTCCATCTTCTGGGCCGAACTCGTAGACTCGGATGTTGCCGTACTTTGCGAACGATCAGTATCATGCTTCGGAGAATATGAGGGGGAGGAACCTCACCGGGGTGACCACATCGCGGGCTCCAGGGAAGTGGTTGGGTTGGTACGGCACTTGAGCTAATTCCTCTTTGGAAAGCTTCGGAATAGTGGTTGTCAGAGGCCCAGCAAGAATGGGCTGGCGCCGGGGGTTCAACGCCCATCGGGTCACAGCAAAAAGCGTGATGGTTGATACAACAGTTGTGACTATGATGGCAACGGTGCTTGTCTCTGCAGGGCTAGAGCAGATTTCGGCGGGAACTGCCATGGTTCCGTTTATGGCAGTTATAAATCAGCAGTGTAGAGGTCTGGTAGGTCTGGATACTAAATAGCGTGAGAAATCACTTATTTCAGTTACGATATATATCCTAGTTTTGCTAATCGTGCATATGGAGTACCAGTGACTGAGAAACCAGTTTTAGAGTCTGTTTATGTTGGTGCGCTGTGGTTCCACAGCGTGGGCCGTGTCGCTGAATCACCCATGCCCCACGTGGGTTGGGGTAGTGGTTAATGGCCTTTTAAGATCCAATATATCCAGTCAGCGCGAAGATACCAGACTGCGTGCCTGCCCCTCCACAGCACCTCGCATCTTGTCTATTAGAAAGGAAAGTGAAGTAGAGGAGAGACTGCTCTTGGCAATGGCTTGTTGGCGAAATGAGACACCTTTGTGGTTTCGTGCCGCGAGGTTAACAAGTTTAGCTGTTTCAGAGGTTGAGCATGCGTAAGGAATAGTATCTACACATTGTTATGTTGAACCACACCACGATGAGATAGCATATGATCAGTTACAAATACCAACGTTCGCAGAACTAGATTTGGTATACCGAAATGCGCAAAATGCTTGGGAAATACTAAAGCAAATGGTATCATTGCCAGCCCTATGCCCGTCCTTTTTTTTTCTTCCTCTTCATATGACGCCGTTCAAATAACCCTTATTTAGACCATTACCATGTTGATTCATCCCAGACCCACCGCCCAAGCTGCGCCTCCCAGCTGTTTGAGGAGACCACAGAGATTTTCAACGATAGGTGGCGGAAGATCACCCTTCGTGTAGTTACCTCTGAAAATGCCCTCCACGATCTCCATGCACGCCTTCGGCTCCTCCAGACACTCAATCCTTTGATCGTCTTTTGTTCTGATACTTGGACGCCCCTGGCCGAAACCGATGTATCGTTGTACTTGATTCGACTCCAGACCATCGACAAGTACAGTACTTTGGTGCTCGTTTGGGGTTGACTGGTGTTTTGACACCTTTGCCACGACCCCAAATGACCACAATGCTAGCGCTGCTTGAAAGATGGCAACTGCATAGAAATTCTTCAAATGTCCGCTTGGGAAAAGCTTCGCTTGCCGTAAGACTTGTCCTGCATGCCATACAGCCCGACGCGCATCTGGGCTTTCCGACCACTGTTGTAGAAGTGGATACACTCGGCGAGCCTGTTCTTCCCCCTCTTTGCCTGCGAACAGTTGTAGGTCATCCATGGAAACATGCAGGTTCATCATAAGCAGATTCAGAAGCAGGCTCTCTTGAGCTGAAAGTGAAGCGTGCCAGTCCGACGTTACAACTTGGAAGGTTTGGAGAGACTTCCATAGCTCTTGGTGACGTCCACTCAATATCAGGTGTGGCCCTGCCTGGTAGCTGCTCGCAAATGAGTTTGAACGATGTACCGCACTCAGTTGTCGCCATTCTAGGATAAGATTCCAAAAGCAATGTAAGTAGATGGAGATTGCATATTGCGCATCCAATCTTTGGTAGTTTGTGGTAAGTAAGTTGACATCACGAATCAAGTCCGGCAATGAAGGCGGCCTCCGGCTTTCACCTGCTGATCTTGCGAGAAAATGTCGTTTCCACTCCGTAGCGGTTCTGGCAAACCATAATTCCTTCGCCTCTGGCAAAGGGAGAGTTAGTTCCGAGTACGATATTGTCGGAGGCGCAAGCGTCGTCATTGATGCCTCGGCATCTCTCAGATAGCAATGAAATACAAGTCTTTTTGGGTCAGCAAGCGAGTAATATGCACCGGGGATCAACACCTACCTCTTCCAACTCTCTGCCTCGTACCACCGGCGCCATTTGTCTTCAAGAGCTTCTCCCTCGTCGGCGGCATTGACGGCAATCAACGGATAAGACGATCGCTGAAATTTACCTCGGTATCTCATCATCTTTATGTTTTGTCAGTGCAACATTCATGAATAGTGATGAAGGTGTAACATACAGTGATGGGCACCAGAAGATGGCACTCGGCGATTTCCATCTTGCGTCGATTACCACTCCATAAACCAATGTCTTGTACCAGCACAAGCGTCTGCACGAGGCCAAGATTTTGCGTTCTGTTGTTGTTTTCTTCAAACTATGCGAAAATGTCAGCGATGCTTACTAACGAACGGCCACCCTAACCAGTTGCCGCAGTCGCACTCCCATGCTGGCAACAAACTGGTTGACTTCAAACTAACGGTTGGATAGAGACAGGATGGTGTAGACAGCTGAGGATATTACCAGGACACCTACTCTATTTGGAATAGCAATACCTACTACATGTTAGATCAATAGGCTTGAGATGTGGAGGTCATATATACTCACGCATAGCTTCTTGCACCGCAAATCCAAACTTCCTCAACGTTGCCACGGGTGTAAGTACAGCACCGGCTGCGGATACAATACCAAGCCATTCTGGCCATTGATTGTTGAGATTGAATGTGCCCCAATGTATCCAACAACTAACTGAACAGAGATGAGCTGCGAAATAGATGTGCGCTAAGGTATCCATTACGTCCGTCGACGGGAACGATGAAGCGACACGGAGTCTCATGGCATCAGTCTTCACTGTCTGCAAGACAATACTGAGTATTTTGTCCCGACTTGCTGCATCAAGCCTTTCCTTGATTACGCGATCCATCTCTTTTTGGCTTTCCTGAAAACGCTGACTGGCTGCATCGCGATGCGGAATTGGCAGATTCCCGTACTCGGCATAGACCGAGTCCCTGTCAGCGGGTATCCAGCGCCACGGGGAGTTGGTCCATATCTTGACAAGATTCTGTCTCATTGACGACATATCCACAGTAGAGTCGTCCGTCTGTGGTGTGGCTGCTTGGGTGACGGTTTGGCCGTTCTTCATCTCATCCAGGTTCCAATGGTCCAGTAGTCCAAAATCCATGTCCGTGAGCTCATAATTCATATCGTCACAGAAATCCAGCACGGCTAGACCTTGGGCTTCCTCGGGTCGAGTTGTATTGAGGGACCCGTCGTACAAAACATCCCTCAAAAAGTCTGTGAACGGCATCCTTGTCATGTCAACCATGCCGGCGGCGTTGGCATATGGCGGATTGGCGAATGACTGTATCTGACCAACCGATTCCATCATAGTCTCGGGAGTTGGTGCCTGGCCCGGAACATGGACTTCTTCTGGCTTTACAGAAATGCTGCCAGAACCTGAAGGGCTAGCAGTCGTGACATGGTCCTGATAGCTCGCTTGGCCAACCTCGTCTCCATTCGAGTGCGCTTGTGACAAGTGAAGAAGATGCATGGCAGCAGCGGAGCCGGCTTCGTTCGAGTTGTATTCACAAGTCAAGTTGCGATTGCGACATCGAGTGCAGGGCTTAACCTCCTCGCACTTGACACGAGCTGCTGCGCAAGCTTTACAGGCATGAGACACACGGCCCGCGTTGGGGTGTGTGTCGGTCCGCCGACGCTTTTTGTTGGGATCGCCATCGTTGTCATGATTCGCAGCATGCCGCTTCAGCAGGTCGGCTCGGGCGAAGGCTTTACCGCAAACCTGGCAGAAGAATCGCTTGCCCAAGGTGTGGGTTTGTATGTGTCGAGCGAGGTGCTCTGGGCGTGAATACCTTTTCTGACAGTCGGCGCACTGGTATAGGCTCTGCGTCAGCAAATGGCTACGTCCTGCTGGAGTCTGAGGCCCCAAGCCGCCGGGAGACAAGTTCTGCGGGTTGGGTAGCGGCGTAGTCGGCTGTGGTGGTGGTATCGGATGCGAAGTGGGCGGAAGCAGAGGGGGTGGAGGAGCTGAAGAGTAAGGACTGCCTATATGACCCAAGGGCACATGTTGCTGCTGTTGCTGCTGTTGCTGTTGTTGTTGTTGATGATGATGAAGGTGTAGGGGTGGAACAGAAGTGCCGTTTGGTGCAGCTATTGTGTAGTTTGTGTCCGACCCAGTGGGCAATTGGTGGACTTCGGGACCGGCATTCGCATGGAGAAGATGGCTCAACGAATTGGTTGACATTATTGGAGCTCGAGGACAACCCGGATCCAGACGGACGGGACCATGCCAACTAGGCTTGATCCGCTATGGGCACAGTGAATCCTGCAAAAGGTCTTAGATTTTGATGTTCAGGGTGAACCCGAAGTGGGTGAGTGCTTCACGGAAGGGGAAGTGGAAAACATGGAATGGTTTCGGGGCGGTGGGAGCTGTCTCTCGCGCCCGGGCGGTATTTGTTATTGTAGGTTAGATCACTCGCTACCATGTGGTTCCAGCTTACAGCGCTTCTGCCCGATAGATGGCTGGCCCAGGGTTTTCTTCAACGACGACGTATCTTTAGCAAAGATTTGGGGTCTTTTGCGTGAGTCGCAAATGAACTCGTGGTACCCCCTAGAGTTTGATAGAGCGAAGCAAGACTCATTTGATAATGTGTTATGCGTGTAAGGTCAAGGTCAGTATGCCAGGGGTCCGAGGGCCATTATCTAGTACAGTAGCTGTGGCCTCAATTGAAGGGTCAAGAAAGTGTCATGTCCATCGATGTATGCATGCTGACCTAGGTTAGTGGATTCGCGGGGGAGGCTTGAGAAACAGTCTAAGAGTCACTGTTCACGGATGGAAGAGATTGCCGGGTGATCGCTGAGATCAGCAGCGAACGAGCTTAATTTCCTAGTTTCCAGGTTTCCAATACCCATAGCTTCTAGCTTGTCTTCCGCATCACAATTTCGGCGCTATTGTTTACACGTACATGGTAAAGATTCTTTGGTGCAAAGTCTAAGAAAACAAACTTCCATCTCATTAATTGGACGGAGACGGCTTGCCTAACAAAGCTTTGCGCATTTGACTGCCGTGTAGGCCTCTGCAACACCCAAGTTATTTGCTCCTTTGGTAACAAGACATATGATGAACATGGAAATGGAAGGTGGAATAAAGGTCATCTTTGCCATGACGCGGCCTTATCCCTGCAGCTGCAAAGCTGCGACTTCAAGACTGGGTCACGCACACTGCCAAGTCTCCCAATGCTAGTGCTGAGGCCCTCTGAACACGTCCTTAGTGTGTGGCTGTTGGCTGCGCTGAACAAATACCAGGAGACGAAACCAGAGTGAGGGCAGAGTAAACGTGTTAAATACGAGAACTATGACAGGACCACTCTTCTTAACGCTCCATGTTCATGACCCAACACACCTGCACGAGATATCTTCTAACCCATACTTTGAACATGATTCAGTGTGAGGTTGCCATGAAACCGGAGCTCGTCTCTTCTCCCCAGCGAAGCCCATTCGCATATGATTGTTACAGACACGGCCGCCCGCATATTGAAGTTACACCCCATACTACACTGCAGTTTTGACGATTTGATCAAACTAGTCGTAAGAGAATCATGCGTATTATGCTCTGGTATTTGATGCTCAACTCAAATCGTTAGGTACTGCCGGTGCTTTTACGAGTTCAGAAATCTAGTTTTGCCCAGGCGGCGGGAAGCCCGACTGCGCGGCTGGAAGACTTGATCGTTTTTCACCGGTACTGAGCTTCACCGGTACTGAATCTTGAACTTGGAGGATATGAGTATGGATCATGGTGAGACGGACCGATCAAGTTGGGGTTCTAATTGGCAATTAAACCACGGCGTCGTTCTCTACTCTTCCCAAAGCTCATTTGTGACCTTTATGAGTCTACATAGATCACTATCCCACTTTTTATGGCTATAGATCAGATCTGACCTCGCTAAATGGATACTACATATGTGTGCCTCTACTGAGGACTGGTTTATCATCAAAGGAGGTCAAAACGAAATACTCCCAACCTTGGAGCACTAACGTATGCAAGAAAGAGTATCGGAACTAGAGTAAGTCTACGAAGAAGCATATGTCAACAATGTGCGATGTGAGATGCAGGTTAACCAAATCCGGGTGTGCTTGCAATGGAGACTACCAAGGATAGCTCTCGGTCAATTTGCATCTCATGGTCTCCTCTGTGCATGAGGAGTGGCCCGGAAAGTGGAGGCTGCGGACCCATGTTTCGAACGCCGAGTTCTGGCTGAATAAAATGCATGTCATAACTTCTAGTCCATGCTCTGCACAATGATATGATATGCAAGTCGCACAATCAGGATGCCTGCTCTAAGTCTCAGGCCGCTGGATGAGTAGCTGTCTAGTCTGTGACAGGATTGAACAATCATTTCCCAATCTTTGTCTTCATCAATCCTCATGGATGTCGCTGACATGGCTCTAATTTCCTTGGACAAGTTTTTGTCATCTGTAGTCGGTCGGATAGAGTGGAGGTGGTGTACCCGACGACCCCAGATTTCACTATCCTCCGCTAATTCAGCCTTGGATTCTAATTACATGGTACTGTGTACCGTGTACACAAGTTAGCGTCCTACTTAGCAAAGCTAGCAAATCTTGTGAGAGCCCGCCCATCTCCCATGCGTGTCCCATGCGTATCGTCAATCAATGCTCTCTCGGAAGCAGCCACCCAATCCAAATTTATTATCCAGCAACTTCTACGCCTCTGTATTCCCGTACACAGTAGCGTCCTGAGAGCTAGATCCTTGTGCAAGCAAGCAGGGGGCGGATATCATGGATGCTTCTTCCACTAAATGCAACATCATTATCGACAAGGTTTGCCAGAAACATCGACCAATGGCCCAATAGATCTTACCGCAGAACAAGACTTTTTCAGTAGCTCTCCGTCCCATGCCAGATCTTTGTGTCACAATATCTCGACCCTCTCCTTGGAGCTCATCGTGGACTCAACGCAGTCTATGTTACAGCGCCAACCAGATGGTCCAATTACGACCGACGGGTACTTGACGATTAGGGTCTGCTGCTTACACTGCTACATGACCTACAAGGCATAAAAGGTCTCGCATAACCCATCCATCTGGTGTGGGTGCTACAGCTTCAAACTGAGCTTCAAGCCACACGCTCATGTCATGGTTCCCGGGGTCGGCTCGCGTCACTTTACAGAGAACCAACACCAGGCCGACTGCATTATTACAACCAGCGTTCGTCTCCCCGCAATCTTGTAGGGACTAATAACATTGACTGTCCTCCACGTGGTTAAGTCATGAAAATAGTTCAAGAACTGCACCTACTCAGTTAGTGCCCAGGTTTTCTGCTGCTTCAACACTGTAGCAGATCTCCCGAGATTGCAAGAACTACAGAACTCCAGAAACTCCCTTCCGGCCCCCCACATACCCGTGTACAGCTTTCTGATCTTGTACATATACTTTCACACAAGTCATAGGTATTACACGTTCCCCAGATTACCCCAGATTACCCCATATTCCTTCTACTCTTTGCAGATCCACACAAGTTTCGGACGGACTCCCACACTGTTCATCCACTGACACGTTGCGATTATAGTCAAAACTATCACCATGGACGGCAAGGGCGTGACAACGGCGACAGGCACGGATAAGGCAGAGTCTGTAGCAGACGATGTAAGGTTGAGGACTCTTGGAACGGTGCGGCTGCGACATCACGAGACCAACGAGATCATCCTGATTCCTACACCCTCCAATGATCCAAACGATCCCCTTAACTGGTAATATACACACCGCGCTAAGATTGAAGATCACGCCTTGTTAACGATGAACTAGGTCCAAGGCCTACAAGTATTACATGGCCACTGTCATCTGTTTGGCCATGTTGATGTGCAACTTCCTTGCTGCAGGTATGACGCGAACCCCAGCCACCATGATCATTAGATAGATACTAAGAAAATCCCAGGGCCTACGATTGCTATCGTGTCGACCGCTATGGATTTCTTTCCAACAGAACCCGTCCCTACTGCCATCAGCAAAGTGGCGTATTTCTTTACAACGACAGCTTTGTTACAGGGAACGAGCAATTTTGTCTGGGTGCCCCTTATGAATAAATTCGGACGCCGACCAATATATATCACCAGCTACGCACTGTACTTTGCCTGCACTGTATGGCTGATCTTCGAGAAAGGTTATGGGGGGTTCCTCGCAGGGCGTATCCTCATCGGCGTTGGCGCTGGTGCCGCTGAAACCATTGCTCCCGTGTCAATTGCCGATGTCTTCTTCCTGCATGAGCGTGGTTTCGTCATGTCGTAAGTATAGTTTCAACTTGTGTCACCAAAATAGGTGTTTTAACGGTTTTACAGCATGTACACCTGTTTTCTTTCGATAGGAGTGGCCCTTGGTATTTTCGTGGACGGGTAAGTTCTTCGATAGTCACAAGCAATGGCAAGTCTGACCCATGGTAGTTTCATCGTCCTTCACAATGATTGGCGGGTTATTTACCAAGTTGCCGCTGGTCTTATTGGTTTTGTTCTCGTCTTGGCCTTTTTTACGTTTCCAGAGACGGCATATATCCGATCTATACCATCAGTACGTGTTGCTGAGAGCACTACGTCAGATAAGGTACAAACTTCCAACTCGGATATCGAGTCTACGTCGGCACCGCGGCTGCAGAGAGAAACATATTTGCAAAGCCTCAAAATTTTCCACAGGGTGTGGACGGAGGAGAGTTTGTTTAAGATGTTTGTGCGGCCTATTGGCCTAATTCTTTTACCACCCGTACTTTGGGCTGCTCTTGTGCAATCTGTCACCATTGGCTTTGTGGTCGCCGTTACATCCAATGTGGCATCTGCATATCAAACAGCATATGGATTCGAGCCCTGGCAGATCGGTCTCTGCTTCCTCGCGGCCGTGATAGGCTCGTTACTTGGTATACCTGCTGGAGGCACGTTGGCTGACATGGTCGCGGATTGGTTCACTAAGCGCAATGGGGGTATAAGAGACCCTGAGATGCGTCTTCCTGCTATGACCCTTTGCCTTATAACAACGCCCCTTTCATTGGTTCTATATGGTGTGGGAATTGAGAAGCAATTGCACTGGATCTGTCCCACTATTGGGCTTGGTCTACGTAAGTTTATTGTGACACGACAGTATACAAATGCTAACAAAGCTAGTCAACTTCTCCATCTCCCAAGGCACCAACGTCTGTCTCGTCTATGTCATTGATGCATATCGGCCAGTCGCTGGTGAGATTACGCTTGCAGTCATGGGCTTCAAATGTAGGTAGAGCCCAACACTCCACAGCAAAACATAATAACACAAGCTTACGGTCATACAGCAATGTTTGGGTTTCTCCTTTCCTTCTACACCAATCCTTGGGTCGAGCAGTCGGGTTATCTGAATGCGTATGGCGCCATGGCCGGAATTGCTGCTGCCGTTTTATTGATGTGGATTCCTCTCTATATATGGGGTAAGGCTATCCGTCACACTACTTGGCACTGGCCTCTGCTATCTTACATTCATTGGGATGATGATAGAGAAGTGGGCGAGTAAATAGCCGAGAGGGGAACGGGATGGTTGAAGGCAATTTATATGGATCAACGGTTGGCCATAGCAAAATGTATTTCTCTCAATGCAATTAATGTCAAAATCGGGTTTACAATGCTCCGTCGCCATGTTATGCTCTGATACGTAACAGGAATTGATCATTTCAAACGAGGGACTTACGCCGTGGGAAAGCTGGTTCGTAAGACTTGATTTACGATTAGAGACACATACATGAGTCATCGCGATGTGAATTTTGGTTTCAAGAGAATAAGCACATCTGGTTATCTATTTGCTATCATCCAAATCGCGATGCTCGTTATAAGCTGTATCCAGAATCGACAATGGCATTCGTGCCCGTCTGACTTCGACTCTTGGCGAATGTGAGGACCTGTTCCGCAACATCATCGACCGTAGGCAGACGCTTCAGCTTCGTCCTTTGTGCGTACGCCTCCTTCGCCTCATCAGAAAACTGATCACTCCATTCCTAAAGTACATTCAGCCACGATTGTAATATTTCACCCGTCAGGCGAGCTCACCGTAAGTAGCAATCCAGGGGAAACACTGTTTACCCTGACCCTGGGAGCTGCCATTTGAGCCAACCCCTTCACTAGATGAATCTGGGCCGCCTTGGTGACTGAATAAGCCAAGGAGCTGCCGCTGTGGTTGACGCCGGCTACAGACGCTGTGGTGACAAAAGTCCCCTCTGCCTCATCGAGATGCTCCCGAGCTGCGTGCATCAACCATAGATGCGATTTGACGTTCATGTTGAAACATCTGTCCCAATCATCCTCAAGCACATTATCTGCTCACCAGCAGCAACAATTCAGCGTCACGTTTTTGATACAATCTATCAATAAGGATCGGGGAGTCATACCGTCAATACTCGTCATATCTCTAATTCTAGTCCATCCGCCGTTAGAAAATACCACATCCAATCGGCCCATCCTGTGGACAGATTCGTCGACTAGTCGCTTGATATCTTCGCGCTTCGTCAGATCAGCTTGGATCGCGGCAAACGCACTGCCATGCTCTGTCGGCGGTAGCGTTGTGAGGGTCTTGAACTCGAGCAGCAGCCTATCAGCCCGCTCGGCATTACTGCTGTAGTTCACGACAACCCGGTACCCGTTCTTGCAGAAAAGCCGTGCGGTGGCCGCGCCCAGGCCTGCACTGCCAGCGCTGACCAGTACAACGGGGATTGCTTTCGAAGCCATATTCAAAAGACTCTCCTACATACAGACCGCCGTCCTCAGTGTTGAACGTTCATCAGCTACATCAAGTACACCAGGTATCAGTACATACGACAGGCAGGGTTGGGGAACTCATAGGGGGGGATGGTCATTGGGGTTGGACCAGTGCGGAGGCGGCTGGGCGGGGAGCTATCATGCTGTATCGCATCCCGGGGTTGCAGCGAGCCAATGATCGCCGCGCGGGGCATCCAATAGCATTGTGTCGGCGGGAAGCATTTCGGGTAATATGACCGCCCACATTCCATAGGCTTTGCAGTATGAGCCGATCGAGCGGCCGATCAATGCAGGGGCAGCTTTGGTTGGTGAGAGACTTTGCCAGAAGCCTGTGCTGTACAGCTTGGAGTCGGACAGAATTGTGTCGGGTGCTACAAGATGGCTTCACGATATAATAGTACGGCGTCAGAGGTGAGCAATAGTAAACGATACTTGTAAAACATGAAGAGGAGAGTGCATCTTTCATTTAGATATCGTCTTATCAGGCAGGAGAGATATCATATCTCCTTCCATGCAGAGCTTCAATCAGCAATGCTCAAGTGCCTGCTCACAGCGCACAAGTCTGGGCCGATGCAAAGCCCTGCAAAGACTGGATGGCCACTGCCGCACCACCAATGAGTGTAGGATGAACCTGCGGTCAGCGCTATGTAAGAATTTTCACCAATCGGAAATTGTCGGTTTTAGTGAGGGTAGTGTTACTCCTTGTTCGTAGGCACTCTCGTATATACGAAATTGTCGGCATTCGATTCGTATGGGTATTGTGTCTCGGCACGAAAATACATGTAGCAACGAGTATATTGGCGTTGCTATGCGTAGCACGTCCCGTGGCCTAGTGTGGCAGCTGCGGGACCCCACCTCGGAACCTCTGTCCTTGGCTGTCCGTAACTTGTAAGCAGCACTTACGAGCCCCCATCAACGCCCACAACGGTCCGACAGTGGACGACTTGTGTGTCAGTGCCCATCTACCTTGGGGTTGGCGATATGTCAGGACCGTAGAATTGTATCAAAGACTAGCCTTCAGGTGGAATCGGTCGGAAGCGATTATGATTTGGCTGGAGCGGTGGAACTTCTCATCTTGGTCTGTCTTGTCCTCAATCGATCAGAGTTGCAGACGCGTCTCCCAAGCTACTAATTGTGGACGGCTCGAAGCGGCCCCGTGTATGCACTTGTGGGCCTTGCTTTGGGGAAGCAAGCTAAAATGAGCGAAATGGAGGATCAGGACTCCGTAATGGTGCAGAGAGGCGACGCCTCGATTCTGTACTGTACCGTTCACCTGCCCCGGGCGGGCAACGAATAGGTGCCCATTTCCGGGAACCGGAACCTACTTAGGTGGGTTGGAGCTATGCTGCTTATCATACCCTTTCACCCATCTCATTGCTTCATAAAGCACATCAACAACTGCAAATGACACGTGCCCATGGGTAACTACCCCATACTCATCCCTCTTCCCACTCAGACATAGATCGTTGACTTGGCCATAACTGTCTACGCACACTACGTGTTGCGCATCACTCTCCACGAACCTCAACCCTTTTGGAAAATCCGCCAATATCTCAAGTGCTACACTCTCGGTCGTAGAACCATCTACGTGACACTAATCTGTTATCGTGCACCGCACAACGCTCCACTCCATTGTCGGTCAACTCAAGATGGCGACAAATGGTGTGAATGGTGTGCACCCGACCACAAACGGTACCACAAACGGTACCTCACATAATCCGCTCGTACATGACTATCCCGAGCCACTCAAGATAGTCATTGTTGGAGCTGGTCTGGGTGGCCTTTCGGCTGCGATTGCACTACGTCGCCAAGGCCACGAAGTGACGGTATGTTAAGTACTTTGTATTAGGACATTTCATGTACTAACATATCATCTAGATCTATGAACAATCAAGATTTGCCAATGAAACAGGAGCTGCTGTGCACTTGGCTCCTAATTCAAATGGCCTTCTTCGACACTGGGGCATATTTGCCGAGAACTTTGGTGGGACACTCATGAAAACGCTGGCTGAATATAGGGAGACTGGTGGATTGGTCAAGGAAGTCGACCTCAGCATTCCTAATCAGATGTGGCAGCACCCATGGCATCTCGTTCATCGAGTCGCTCTACACGACAACCTTAAGAAGGCTGCCACGAGCAAGGACGAGCCTGGCCCTGCCGCCACGTTGCAACTGTCAAGCAGGGTACTCGAGGTTGATCCAGAGGCCGGAAAGGTCGTGTTCGAAGATGGAACGATAGTCGAGGCGGATGTCATTGTGGGAGCCGATGGTATTTACGTATGTAACTTTACATTCGACATTACACGTCGGTTTACTAACGTGTCGACAGTCCAAAACCAGAAACGCAGTCGATGGCGGAGCATCCAAGCTCTTTGGTTCAGGAAAGGCAGCATTTCGTTTTCTAATTGACCGTAAGGTTGCCTTGGAAGATCCAATCACAAAACCATTGGTGGAGAAACGAAATGTTCTGTCCATGTGGTATGGCTCAGACAGGAGAGTTGTCATGTACCCGTGTAATGATAACGAGACACTCAACTTCGTTTTGATACACCCAGATAGTGAATCACACGCTACTCCCGGAGATGGTACGTTATATATTGACCGAACAGAGAACTATGCTTACGACCACTCAGAATGGAATAAGCAAGGGTCCATCGAGCAGGTCTTGAAGGTGTATCAAGATTTTGATCCTGCCCTCAAGCAATTGATCAGCAAAGTCGACCCCGCCGAGTTGAAAGTGTGGCAACTGTTGGATATGGACAAACTCCCCACTTGGACGAAAGAGAAGCTAGCTCTTATAGGAGACGCAGCACACCCATTCACACCGCGTCAGTATTCATATGCTCAACACATATTACTCTATTAACACGCAGCAGATCAAGGACAAGGAGCTGGCCAGGCGATGGAGGATGCTGCCGCGCTAGCGACTGTTTTGCCGGCTGGAACAGCACCAAGTCATGTGGCTGAGCGTTTGAAGCTCTACGAAAAGATCAGGTACGACAGAGGACATGCCATCCAGGAGTACTCCAGACAAGCTGGCAGGGATTGGATTGGCGGAAAGCCCCAAATTGATAGTGAGTACATCTGCACCATGGTCGATTTTACTTCGTGCTTATAATGTTTAGTGATGTCATACACTGCTTACAATTTCGGCCATGATGAGATTGATAATTCTGCAAATATCTTCAAGAGATGGCTTTGGTCACAGAAAACGGACATGTATTGGAGGATGCCTGTTGGTTTTGGCCCATACCCTGGACCGCGTCAGGATCATCTTGGTCGTCTTCGAGACGGGACGCTCGAACGCACATTCAAGACCGCTTCCATCAAATTCAAAACTTCACGAACATATCTCGAAACGTTATTCCCGAACTCCCAATACAAATTTGCCAGCCCAGCAACCGTTTGTCAGGCAAGTATCTCCATAACACAGCTTGGCAACATGTCTTGGCTAGGCGGTGGCGGATACAACCACTGCGGTCTTTACATCCACGGCGTTCAGTATACGAAGAAGGATGGGACTTCAATGATTGGCACACACCTCCCCGTGTTGTTCGAAAGTTTGTGCGATCCAATTGTCTCTGGTCGTGACGAACTCGGCATGAACAAGGTGTTCTGCGACGTTGATATTAAGCGGAACGCAAACACATACAAGGCACAATGCTCGTGGAGGGGAGCCAAATTCTTAGATTTTGAGCTTGATGACCTCAAAGAGGATGACCCGAAGAGTGAGCATGGTACGATAGGAGGCGAGGCCGATTATGGCATTCTTACGTACAAGTATATCCCGGCCGTGGGCAAGCCCGGTGTAGCCGATGTCGAGTATGCATGTGTGGTGCCGCATGAAGAGGAATCGAAGTATGCCCCTGCGACGGTGAGGTCGGTCGCGCGCTCTGCAAAGCCGACTTTGAAGTTTGATGCAGGTGACTGGAAGAGCTTGCCTACGCTACACCATATTACAGCAGCGCTGGCAGAGATCCCCATCTACGAAATAGTCAGCGCAAAGGTGGTTGAAGGCACCGGTGTCCCGGATGTCTCAGCATGCAGGAGGATAGAATGAGGAAATCTTGGTTCCGAGCAAATGTTTAAATTCTCAGCATGAAGTCAGTAGTAGCGGCGATTTCTTTGTTACTAGAAGCTAGCTAGTATGGATACTACAGATATGAGGAACAGTCAACTATATGTTCCGACATTTACCCTGAGTCTTTTCCTACGTATTTTACGATTGATTTAACATATAGTTATCGAGCAAAAGTCTCTGTACGTTAGACTAGTGCCTATATGTGGGGAGTATAGAAGGCCTTACTTTGGGAGCTTTCCACAAACCTTTGAGCAGATAAGATAAGACCAATCATACTGATACACTTGTTAAGACCAGATATCGCTGCCATTTTTGTTTGATTTATTGTAATGTTATAAAAGTGATAGGCTTTTGAGGGGAAAGCACCTGTATACGGATGCTTTTGCCCACCCAATGTATTATCATATTGTACTCAACCACCACACGAGACATCAATGTGATGACTGAGCCTGCTTCGACCTCAATAATCTCCTTTTCCCACACTAGACTCCACCATGAAGCGTACCGAAAGTAGCCTCACCCACCGGCCCCTCACCCCACTTGCCGGTTGCTATACTCAATCGCAAGTAGCACCAAAAATGCCGTACGCCAGAAGCCATATACTGGCCGTCGAAGACACTTCTCATACGACTGCGGGGTTGCGGGGTGAAATGGCGGTTTGTAATCCGAATGCTGTTTCTTCAGGGCCGAGGCAACCTCCGAAAATTATCGGGAAATATATTTGGAATCTCGTTTGTCATATCCCCAAGCACACAGTCGATCGTTCAGCACAGTCAAATTTCTTCACACGAACGTACACCGGCGCACAGAGCACTAGAAACTCCAAGTCAGCTTTGCTTTGACTTCTATAAACCAACTGCACCCTCTTCTGCGCAACGAGATCCAGCACAAGACATGACATCTCAGCACAAGGCCAACGACCTCCCGAAGGTCGAGCGGTACATCACCGACCACAACGCCCAAGGCAAGGCCATCTTCTCCGACGAGATTCCCGCAGCACTACCCACACAAACCATTCTTAATGGCGTCGTCTTCGGCCTGGGCTACGCAACGACCGAGCGACCCGTGGTTCTTGACGGCCAAAAGGATATCAAGGCATACAAGCCCCTGATTGAGAACCCTCCCGGCATCGTGATCCCTGGCGGCACAGTAGCGCGGTACGTCGATACGCCGCCAGAATCGATCAGCCCCATGCACCGGACGGTGAGCATCGACTACGGCGTGGTGGTGGAGGGCGAGGTGGAGCTGATTCTGGATTCCGGGGAGAAGCGGTTGTTGAAGAGGGGCGACCTGGCGGTGCAGAGAGGTACCATGCACGCGTGGCGGAACCCGAGCAAGACGGAATGGAACCGCATGCTGTACTTCTTGCAGGAGAGCGGGCCAGTCTATCACGAGGGCAAGAAACTGGACGAGGATTACGGTGAGATGGGAGACGAGGTTAGGAAGAGTGGAAACTAGCATTACGTAGGTAATTGTCCACAGCTGGATCTTTGATACATCATTTCTCGAGCCTTTTATGGGTGGTTTTGGCGTCCATGTCTCGAAGGCGGTATAGGCCGTTATGGCGCTCAATTATCTAGCGGCGGAAACAATTACATGTATCACTGGAAGTAAATAAAAAAAATTGGGAAAATTAAAACATAGCCCGACGCAGTAAAACTCTGGATTTCAGGACTCGGCAAGTTAATTATACTGTGGCTTTTCCAGTATAACCGAATAGGAAGTGTGTGACATCGCACCAGTAACACCGGCCCACGTTCGGCGTGTCCCCACACTGGGCACCAATGCCGATGGCGCACAAACGTCGCGCGAACAGCTCAGAGACGGTGATTAATATGGATTCTAATCCACAAGGACAGAAGAACTGCGAAGGAAAGTTACGGTGTGACTGTGATTCAGGCTCAAGGTGCTTGTGACTTGGGATGCTGTTGGGCCCGTAGGTAGACAAGCATGAAAAATCAGTCAGAACCACCGAGGATGAAAATCTACTTATACATCTCAATTGAATAAATAAAAGTGTTACGAGAACTTTTATTTTATTTTACCGCTATTATACTCTTCAAGTAACTTTTCTCGAGTTTCAAAATCCAGGGAAAACAAAAGTTCTCATGACGTCTCGAAAACAGCCAAACTTCAGCTTCGCCTCGGCGTTTGCAATTATTTTGACCTTGGTCTTAAACATCACGCATGCTTCTCCCACGAGCACAACACCAGTGATGGAGACCTTGTCAATATTGCGACGAGATATGACAGCTGGATCTTCCTGCTCCAGCGAAGGGCAATGGTATTGCATGGGGACTTCTTGGCAACGGTGTGCCGCCGGACAATGGAGCGTAGTCATGCAATGTGCTGCAGGCACTCAGTGCACACCCAGCGGGCTTTCTTATGACTTTGCTGTTGAATCTACGGACAATAGTGGTGCCGCAACATCTGGTGCCTCGACAGCAGCTGCCTCTAGGACGAGCGCCATTCGAAAGGGGTCCGATACGGCGGCTTCAGTCATAGCGTTAGTACTTCTGGGAAGTTACTGGTGGGTGTTGGCAGTGGCGAGTTTTATGTTTGGCTTCTTGATGACATAAGTCAACATTATGTAGATGTGTTTCAGACATAGGCAGAGTTTCTTCTGATCATAGCAGCATTAGAGGCCAAAACTCAATGAGTTAGGTTCGGGAAGCATTTTTAACGTGCCCCCGTTGTTTGCAGACATCTTTATTTATCGCCATGTTCATTGCATCTTGTGAAGACCGCTTTGGCTGCCAAATGCAAGTATTATTGGCTGAAAAAAAGAGAAACGCATATATCTTCGAATCTACTGGTTATTCTATGGTGTTGTACTCGTCAATGACACTGACGGGTTTGACAAATTTACCTAGTGGTTTATACGATAGATGGTTCATAGCAAAACCCTTGGGTCCGCCGATCTCGATTCCTCTTTCCGTTGTCCAACGGTCAGATGCAGCAAGCCCAAGCACCACGACAAGAAGTCCATATCTGTACTCGGGTGTACCAATGGCTTCGCCGTTATGTGCATCAATGACAGCGATAAGGTCGGGCACCACACCCAAGACTTCCCCTTCCTCATCGATGGTTCTCCCGTCAACTTCGGTCCTTGTGAATTTGATTGCGGCGATGTTCTCATTTTTGAATGGAATTTTGATAAGACCCTCAAATTGTATATCGCGATTTGGGGGCGTCGTTCCATCGGTAGCAATCGTATCAGCATCCACAATGTCCGCACCCTCAATGATGCATTCTCCGTAGACGTGGCCCATTCTCAGTGTGCGCTCAACGCCAATGATCTTGCCTTTAAACAAAACTCTGCCAGCTTCCGAGCCACCACATTCCTCCAAGATCATTTCTGCAACACCGTCGGTTCGGTTCTCCATCTGAGCGCGGGCGACTGCTCTGCCGATGCGCCATGATTGTGAGATCGTATTTTCCACAACCCATCGACGGCACTCTGCGCCTGAAACAGGAGCTTCTGCCACGGCAACAGCAGACCCCATCTCCGACAAAGCAGCGCGCATTATCCGTTCTACATGCATGTCCGACTTGGCCTCCGGCATGACGATGGTATTCCCATTACCATCTGTCATGGCAATTGGGCTCCATATGGGTGATCGCTCGTTGAAAACGATGGGTGTGGTCTGCCACTTTGTTGGGTATGCCCGACCCATCCAGTCACCATCAACAGCGGGCAGGTCCATTCCACCTTCACCGGATGCACCTAGAATCATAGCTTGCAGGCCGTTCCCTCCGCCGATCTCGATGGAGATCATATGTGTCGCGCGCCTTTCAGGAGGGCAGATAGCATACAACGCGCGCTGCGCTTCGATCATGGCGTCGCCGGCGAGCTTTTCTATACCAACAGTGGGCGATCCGACACCGCCGCCACATCCGATCTGCGCATCGTCAGGTAAGTCAGAAGGAGACACAACGCGGACGACGGCCCCAGAGCGGAGTTGTTTTCGGAGTTGGATCATGAAAGGGTACGGACTTCCACCGCCACCGGTGCCAAGGATATAACACCCGATCGAGATCCAGGCGAGGTCAGTTTCAGAGATGTACCATGTGCGGTTCTTGACGGTGGGGTGGTAGCTAAGAATATTAATTTCGTCTTTGGGTACGGTTTTGTCTATATTCTTTGATTCCTTGGCTTGCTTCTCGTATTCGTCCATTATGTCATCGGTTTCTTCAGTGAATTCGGATGGCATTTTCACGATATCATCTCGGAGATAGTCACAGTCACCGGCAGCACGAACTATGAAACGTGTCTTGTTTGCAATGTACTATGTCAGTGAGGTTAGCTTTAACTCTCCAAGGGGCACTGCGCTTGTAGCGTTTAGTCACCTACTTGCAATGGCAAGGTCTCCATCTCAACCACGTTGACAGTCTCACGCGATGCACCAGCTACCACAGTTCTTTCGATGACGTCTTTGCAGATTTCCTCCAGGAGTTCTTTTGTGGTCTTCGACTCAGTTGATTTCACCGTGTCTACTACTGCGCTCACTCTCGCAATTGCCGCTCCGATCGCGTTGGCAACTTCAGCATGCTTCGGCTTCACTACAACATTTCGGAGTCAGTAACTGTCACTTTGAGACGACTATGAGGGTCATCGGGAGTATTGTGAAACAGTCACAAATAGCCTGCCTGCGTTGGATAGGCAATATGCGCTCCGAGGATATGGTAGAAAAGGCTGAAATAAAAGAAATCGAGAAGTACTTACACACCTTGCTCGCCCCTTGTAGACCGGTGGGGGCAATGATAGCACCGCCTCCGACCAGTATAACCGGTATATCCTCCGGCGACGTCTTCATTGTGTCTATAATCTTTTCCAACTTGTGCTTGACAACAGCCTTAAACTTGCCTACTCCAGCATCATTTATTGCCCCTTTCGCGAGGTCTGCATCACCGATCTTGAGGTTCGGATCTGCAAGTACCGTGCAGTCAGTTGCAGTAAGCACGCTGCCACCAAATGCCAACGAATCCTGTGTCAGTTTGTAGCCAACGCTGTCCGGTCCCACGGTCAGATGCTCTCCATCTCGCACAATCGAACCACCACCAAGACCTATGCTCTTGATATCGGGGCAAGAGAAATTCAACCGGACTCCGGCAAAATCGCTATAGGCAGCTTGCTGTCTAGGGAATCCGTTGGCCTGAAGCAGCCCTACATCGGAAGTTGTGCCACCGATGTCGACCACCATCATTGCTTCCTCCAGCCGATTACCAACGAGGAACGCTGCTCCCCTCATACTATTTGTCGGACCGCTGGAGAAGGTTCTAATTGGCAATTTTTCTGCCAGCTCACCAGACAGGATTGTACCGTCGTTTTGAGTTATGAAAACTGGGCATTTAAGCCCCAGATCCTTGATAGGTTTATGGAAGCTCTGAATGGTTTTTTTAGCAAACGATAGGATACTCGCATTCAGTATAGCCGCGTTCTCTCGTTCCAGAAACCCCAGGTTTGCAACGTCTTTGGAAAGCACGACGTCGCAACCGGGAATCTCGGTACGTACGATTTCAGCGGCGCGCTCCTCCTGCAGCTGTACAGTGTCAATGGGACTAAATACTCCGATGACGACCACGCTGCGAATGCCGAGTTCTTTGATCTTGGGGCATTCGATCTTGATCTCACCTGGGTCAATATCTGATATCAATGACCCGTCCACTTCTAGCCCACCAGCTACGCGAGCGTAGTATCCCAGGATAAGGTCTCGCATATCATTTGGCCAGTCGATACAGGGCGTCACATGTTTAGCGAATGGTCCACAGATACGAATGACTGCAACTTTGCTTAATCTGTTGGCATCGCGCTCTACCACGGCATTGACGAAATGCGTTGTGCCGATGGTGATGCTCACAATATCATCCGGACTGATTTTGGAACCAGCTGCTGACTTGAACATAGTAGCAATGGCCTCATTGATGCCCTGGCTGGGGTTTGTGGTCGTTGGTGCTTTATGAGATGCAATAACACCCTTGTCTGGCTCTGAAGCCCGCGTAGGATCGAGAATAACACCATCAGTGTTTGTGCCACCAACATCCACGCCGATACGCAAACGTCTCTGTGATAGTACGGTCATGTTCGACGGTGGACGGAGGTTGCGGGATGCGAAGGAGGGGTTGTCAGACTACGATGAGTGCCTTCGTGACAGAGTGACGTTCTCAATCAACCCCAAGGAAGGATAGAATACTATGACTCTCTTAAAGCTTTGAATTCTTGTGGCTGTGTTCGCGACGCAGTTGAAATTGAATACTGATGCACATTAGCGTTCGGAATAGGTGGAAGAGTGGGTGATGTGGAGTGCCTGAGCCGGAGGTCGACGCCGCTAGCTCGGCGATCAGATCCGGATCTGATAAGATAAATGCTTAACAACGATGCAGGATAGTTCTAACGGAGTAGTATGATTGCTGCTAGCTGAAAGTCAAACAAAAAGGAAGGATTGTAATCATGCAAGGATTGATAGCTATCTGACCAGGTGATTAGCTTACCATAATGCTGACATGGGGAGATCTCGGCCGAAACGCACACTCCCTTGGGTCCCGCGTATTTGCTATCAAGCACAAAATGACCGTATCATCTGTACTCAAATGGGTCTGCTACTGCTAATGTGCTGGTCCAGCTCAAAGGCTTGAACTTAACCACGAAACTTGTCTAAGGCTTTCACTCTTGCCAATGGCAATCACACAGGTCACTTAACGGCTCAGTTGCTGCTTGCTTTTTTCGGGGTTGTCAAACAGACATGGTATCACAAAGTAAGGAATCTGTCGCCAAGTGATAGGTACCTCCAAACTCCATCCAACCACTGCTGGTTAACTGCAACACCGAGCCTTGTAATAGTAATCGATACCGATATCTTATCAGCCAGCAGCATCCTGCAGTGCCTGCCTCAGGCCATACATCCGGATCTGGCCGCCTGCCAACGTGAGAACAATTTGATCTGGATAAGATTATCCCAGTGGAATACAGTTTCGAGTTTAATGGCTTTCCTTCACATCGTGTCACGACACACGCCACAACAAATCAGAAATCAACATCAAACATCATGGCAACCGGCACGAGACTCCACTTCAGTAAGATAAAGGAAAGGCTGCGTCTTCATGGAGATGAAGCCCAGCACGAACAGACAGACCACTGGGCGAATCGAGATCTGATACCTCTTCCCCCACAGCGGAGAACGTGGGGTAAGTCTACAAACGAGAGATGCAAACGGCCACAATCGTACTCGCAAGACAATATAGACTGACGAAAACTTTCTTGGTAGGATGGTTCCACTTCTTTGGTTTCTGGACTCTGGGGTCCTTGAATATCACGAACTGGCAGACACCTAATTCATTTCTCAGTAAGCCGTACCAAAAACGCATCTGTGAAGCAAATCGTGATATTCAATCATACTCACTTAGTCCCAGCGCAAGGTCTCTCAGTTGGCCAATCAATGATGATAATCATTGTTGGACGCCTTCTAATCATCGGCTTTTCCACACTTATAGCATGGTGTGGTATACAGTGGCATATTGGCTTTACAATACAGAATCGATACACCTGGGGTATGCGAGGCAGCTACATCCCCTTACTGCAGAGGATTTTGCTGAACTTTATCTGGAATGCTGTTCAGTGCTGGAATGGTGGGCGGCTCGTAGCCGTATGTTTGACCGCCGTCTGGCCCTCGTATGCCATGATGAACAATTTTTTACCTGCAAGCATGCCAACGAATGGGCCCGAATTTGTGGGATTCGTCATTTTCTGGGTAGTATCAGTTCCCTTTTTGTGGATAAAGCCTGAGAATTTCAGAATTCCTTTCCTGGTTACATCAAGTAAGTCCTGTCGCTCCCTCGATTAATACTTACCAAGATACGGGGTGTGGATTGATACTTGCTTATACTTTATAGTATATTGCGGCATTGCTATGTTTGCAATGATGGTGTGGGCATTGGCGACTGCCAAGGGGGTCGGTCCACTCCTGTATACCGGAGCATCCGTTCCGGCCACCTCAAGGTGGAATGACAGCTGGCTTATTTTGGCGAGCATCAACCAGGTGATTGGGGGTATTGCGGCGGGTATCACCAATGGCTCAGACTTCTCGAGGTACGCCAAGGGCTGGAAATCCTATGTCATTGGAGCCGTAACCTCAGGGTGGTTGACAGGCATCCTGGTGTGCCTTATTGGTCTGGTAACCACGAGTGCCGCACAGCAGATCTATGGCGAGGTCATCTGGAATCCCCCCGATCTTCTACTCACTATGATGGCCGATGGCCAGGGGACATCAGCCGCTCGAGTTGGAGTCTTTTTCCTAGCCTTTGGCTTTGCTTTGACCAATGTCTTCGAGAATGTGTGCGGCAATGCAGTAGCCGGTGGTATTGATCTCGCAGGGTTATGGCCTCACTACATCGATATCCGTCGTGGTGCCATCATTACATTTGTTGTTGCATGGGTAGTTCAGCCGTGGCAGCTGGTAAACCGAGCTGTGACGTTTATCTTAGTTCTAAGTTCATTTTCGGTGTTCCTTGCTCCTATCATTGGCATGATGGCGGTCGACTTCTTCATACTGCGTAAGCAAAAGATACAGTTGTCTCACCTTTACAGGACATATGATACATCCTACTGGTTTTGGCGCGGTATTAACTTGCGAGCAGTCCCTGCTTGGCTATGCGGGTGGGCACCAACGATCGGCGGCCTCGTCGTCAGCGTTCGAGGCGATCCGGAGCCCTCAAAGGCTCTTCAAGAGCTGTACTATATGGCTTTCTTCCTCGGTTAGTCTTGATTTCCTTCCGATATTGAGTCTTGTGCTCTTGAATGGCTAGCCGAGCTCGATTAACCTCACGCAGGTTTCTTCATCAGTGCCGGCATCTTCTATGTGCTCAACTTTCTTTTCCCTCCCGGGGGGCTTGGAGAGTTTGAAGATACGGATGTGTATGGTACTTTCACTGCTCGGGAAGCAGCCAAGCTAGGAGTTGTGCGGTCGGAAAGGTGCAGGACTCACGGAGCCAACAGTGTCTGTGCAACTCGGGAAATGGTCCAGAAGGGGTAGGCTTTTGCCGAGTTGTAGGCATCATGTAGTTGTCGAAGCCAATATACCTGTAACACACGCATAATTTGTCTCGCAAAATTGTACTCTTAATGGATTTGAACATGAGAAGAACGTCTTTGATCTTTGTGACAAATCATCTCTTGGGAGTTTTCTCAACATCAGAAGACGCCACTATAATTCCATCCGATACAGCTATCCACAGCCTGTATCATAAACAGGCAACCACTTGACAAAATCGATTGCCGATCAGACCATTATTAGCCGATGAGCTTGGCTTACATCGGTCCGTACAACCGTGATCGAGGTCCTGTGTGCTCATAGAGCATTGACCTTGCTGTCACTAGTGGACGGGGGTAACTTTGGATAATCCAAGAAGTGTTGCGGGATTCTGAGCCTCGGAAACTTCATAGTCATCCCGATTGGTGCTGCTCAGTACCGCTTCGCAACGATGGTCAAGAGTTGGCCGTAGTTGGCAATTTCAGTGAAAATCTTTTGCTACCGAAAATGACGCTGTTGGGATGTCTATGGGAATTTCCTCCCACGTGGAAGCCCAAATCCACACATCGGCTTCACCCCCACCATGGCTGACACCTCGCTTGGAAACATGCTTTGCGAACTGCACTAATTTCTGGCCGATTGTAGCAAGTCACGCGGCCGATATGGCCTCATTTTACTTATACTTTTCTCTTCATATCTCCATCAGCCCATCTTTTAAGGTGGCAGAAAGGCCACGTGGAGATGGCAACGGTTTGGCTTTGACAAAGGCTTGTTTGGAACGCTCCAGCTCCTTTTAGAAAGAGGTAGTGCTTCCAGAACCGTGCAAAAAGTGGTGCTCTTGAACAAGTCTCGTCAGCAACATCAGCTCATAGTCCACTGAAACAATGGGAAATGAGGTCGGCTGTGCCGATTGGTCTGAGCATAGGTGCGTCTGTGAGGCTATTGCCCGCGAACGAAAATGGTCGAACGATTTGTTGCGCACATATCAGGCTGAGACTCCAGAGTGGCGCATTCTTGCAATGCTACTATAACGATCGTATTATGGATCATGCGTGTTGTGGCCGACAGCCCCGTAGTCTTCGGCGACTTGGGCTTTGTTGTCTTAAGCAATTGACTAGTTTCGTGGGTAACGACTTCTTTTCTCCTCATGGTGGTCGCCGCAGTAGCTGCAACGGGAGGTTCCCGAGTATTGGTTGTGTGAACGAGGACGTACATTCGCAAGGGTGCATGGACTCACAATGATACCGACAGGAAGGTTCAGCGTCCTATTGTGGCTGTAGGGACCCAATAATCGTCGAGTGCCATGCAGCTTACCGCCCGTCACACATAATCCGCCGCCGATCAAGTGTATGCATAGTACACGACATCCTCCTTACATGCTCAACTCAGAGAATCGGCGTGTCATCCTCTGTTAAGAGATATTTGTTTCGAGTTCGGAGGTATTTGAACAACACATCTTGGGACGGGTCCAATGTTAGGTCGTGCTGCACGATTTTTTTCGTCTGCGCATATGAACATTTAATTACTTGCTTTGAGCTTTGTTCATCAATTAATGATGATGCTACGACGACATAGCCATGTCCCAGGGGGGGAAGAGATTGACTTAGGCCTGTTGAATACCCCTCCAAGGATCCGCCGTGGCGCTCAAAAAAGCAATGAAGATAGAAAGTCCCAGTTCCAATCAACACTGTCGCTCGCCAGCCACCAAAGAATTCAGCAGCATCTAGCTGCGTATCTGGCGACACCGGTATACCCACAGAGAGACGTTGTCAATAAACTGAGACAACTCGTACGGGGAATTTGCTGAGACAGGGAGGGGCAAACTGCAGACTAACGGCTTTGAACAATTTCAACATATACCTTTAGGTTCAAACATGGTAGCTAATGTTGACCATGAACGCTGATCGATCGAAAGATTGTGCATGATTGATCTGCACCAACTTTCAGCGGAAGAGGTACCCATCATCAGGGCCGACCTGTGAGACAGGAGCCCGGGCCAATGAGTACCGCGCCAGAGAAGTCCGAGACTCTAAGGCCCATATCTAACACTCCATAGCCCGTGATACAGAATCTGGGACCTTGTCGAGCTGAGTACATATCTCCTTCTCTCATTTATTCAAGCTCACAATAAGCAAGCCTTCAAATGCCCCATCGTACGGTCCAATCGCTGGGTTGAGTTAGCACAATGATCAGCCTGATCGTGAATCTGGTGATACCGACGGCACCGCAACAGCGAAGGCGTGGGTTACAACATCCTCGGGGACACCAACTCACGATGTCCTCGACATGCTTCCTCGTGTATAAAAGCTCATATATCCCCTGGTCCAGAGCATATTGTTTGAAAATCACCAGCAACAGTTTCAACTCAACCCAGAAGAGACTAAGGTATCACGCAACTGCTGCACATCGAATCCCTAATAATTCAGTACTTACACAATCTTATATCAACGAAAAAATCTAAGTTTCTTTTTGACATCGAGACAAACCAATACATCCGAGATGGCTCCCACTAGCAAGCAGTTGAGCAGCTCTTCTCGTGAGTCATGTTGTTCACCCAGACACAGTCCCTACTAACGAGTTCTAGGCTCTAAGCGCTCCAAGGACCAAAAGCAATCGGCCAATACTGTGCAGTGGATGGATCAGCAGGCCGTCGATGGTCCTTGGGACCCAATTGATGGTGTTGAAAGCGAATGGCCTGCTCCAGACGCAGGTAGCGTTTCCTTCGATGCTGCATCTGTGCAAGCTTCCCAAGGCTCTGCCAAGCACAAGTCGCAGAAGCACAAGTCCAGCAGCAAGAAGTAGATGCTGGATTTGCTACAGCGTAAAACCTGTGATGTTTCCAGGAAATGGTGTCGGTGGCGTTGAAGGGTTGTCGAAGGGTTGAGATGCCTCTAAGCTAGATGGGATGCGAGTACAATTAACCTTCTTTCCGGTGTTGTCTTGAGGTAATAGGTTTACACCACTCTTTGCGAACCATTTCGCCATCTGACCATGTGGTAATTGTATCCGGAAACTGTCCTGTAGACCTATACAATGGGCCGCATACAAGCAGTGCCGCATGATCTCGGCGCTCACAAGTCTTGCAGCCTCCCGAGAGGTTTTGCAAGTCTACCTCCCAATCGCTCAAAAACAAGGTTCTTGATGGAGCCTAGTTCGACCACGATGCCCCTCAAGTATACTCGGGTTCTTCGAGACTGACAGCATGGTTCTTGTTGAACTTCTCTCCTATCCAGTAAGATGAAAACAAATATGTATCATCACTCGATCAAGTCTAGATCTCCAAGCTCAGGACTGAGAAAAACAACCCAAAGCGTTGGCGTCCAATCACGTCCGTTCTCAGCCTATTTTCCTTCAACAATTAGTTTTGCTCGCCAGTAACACACAGCTATCAGTTGTATGTGACAGCTAATGTGGGAGAGAAGGCGCAATGAGGGCTCACAAGTGATGACCTCTTTCATACAATATGGGGAAATATCCCAAATCATGTTTACAAGATCACATCACACCCCAGTGCATTCCAGGAATATTCCTCTAAGCAATGTATCCCGCCTAGTTTCAGTATATCTGACAAAGATTTAGCTCTGATGTTTCAACAAGAGACACTGAGGACACTTAGAGTTCGCTTTTCATTCTCGAGGCAGAAACGATGGCACATTCCCTGGTATGAAGCATTGAAGTTGCGACTTGCAGGTATTGGCCCGTGCAATTTGGCTTAGGACCGGAAGTCCGAGCACCCCTGACAATGTGTCTCGAATCCAGACACCAAAGTTACGAGAGAGATTTCTTGTGATCAGAAGTTTTAATCCTAGCCATACTTGCCATGGCACAAGGGGGAAATCTGAGGATCTGCCATGTGTCCCCATAATATGAATCCAGTTCCTTGCAGTCGTCGATTGACAAGAATAGAATTCTGCTCCACACTTGAAAGGCGCTTGCCGACGAAGCTGTGTTGCGTACACGGTACATATATGTTACTGTTATCCGTGGATCAATTAACGTTAAACTTGCGCAGCACGACACGAGTTGTAAGTAGTAGTTCTCTGCATGACGTCAAATCATCCGGAAATTGGCTACAGGGGAAATCATGAAGAATTGGCCAAGGATTGATGGCGTTCAATCGGCCGAGAGCCGTGCTTGGCTGAATGTGCTGCTAACATTCCCAAGCGCCGGTGCCACCAAAGATTGTTAACCTTTTAAGCATGAAGTATCCTGGGCCATGCAAAGCTGAGTAGACTCAAAGACCCGTCTCTTCCGGCCATCAGGGATGGTTCTCAAGTGCAACAAACAAACCAGTACTACAGCATTGGAAAGAAGCTGCATAATGTGATTGATGTATAGTAAACAGACGACAGCCCAATGTCGTAGCACGTATTCTATTCTATAAAGGCCATTTGAATTAGGCCCGGATCTCCAATTCAATCGATCAATCAATTGATCAATTGAGGATTATTGCACAGACGGCAACCAGGTGCTTGAAGCAAACACGATGCGGCTGGGTAAATATCTAACCTTAACTTACCGTATCTCGTTGTGGTTAGGGCGGCCCTGCAATGCGTCGCAATTTGGTGATTACGAAGTATCATGGGCTTGGACATGCTGCAGAATCCAGCCGCAGCACGACAAGATCTTGGTTTCTGGCTACCACGGTAACCTGTTCAAGCTGCAGGGCAGACTCTCGCTGAGCCTTCAACTGTTGAATTGGGGATGGACAAAATACCATGTACAGCACTGTAGCTAGGCAATACGTACGGCGTGGTAGAAATATGTATGGATAATAGGCAGCTTTCGAGATGGGGATCAAAGTGGCACCGCGTCGCACGGTGGAGAAGATGGCCGTTACCCATTGGAATTGCAGACTAATCCATAGCCTAGTCTACAGTAGACTAGAGTAGAGAACAAATGGCTTGCATGCATGATGGCGCGTCCCCCTGGCTATTATATGTCTTTGCTCTCATTATGGCAACACAGGTGCGCCCCAAGTAAAGTGTGCGCGCGACGTTACACACTGCATGTTTTGTTGTTTACCATGAGGGACCGAAGCCCCAAGAACACGCCCCAAAATACCTTGCCTACCGCAGGTGAATGGGTGCTGATTTAAGGTAGGATGGTCAAAGTGGCACCATCAGCACAATGCACCCTAGGCTTGCCTCAAGCTACGGTTAGATTGTTCCCAGCTTGGCCCAATATTCCGCTCGGCTGGGCTGTCCGAGTCAATCATCAATCAGCTCATCATTTGAACTTTACCGAGTACACCCCCCCCCCCCTCAGAGCCCAGGCGTGTTCGTGTTCTGAAGTGAGGCCCGCTGACCCTCTCTTTTTTCTTCCCTCCCTTTCGCTTTTCCCTCTTCCAGGCGTCCCGCTCCATCCATCCCATCCGTACGCACGCTATCTATCGCCAACACAACAACACAGCACAACGTACAGGCCTCGATCACCACATTCGTTTACAGAACGACTTGAAACTCGCCTACAAAAATTCAAGAACGCCCCGAGTGGACCACTGAACGGGTTCGCCAACGGCCGGTACGGAACAACAATCACTACACTACACGTCGAGCATCTAGCAAGCCGTGCCAAGACGCATTCCAATCAACACTTTTGGGTATCCATCCGTCCTTGATCGGGCATTTCCACTGCGTTATCCGTCAGCACCATCCGTACGCGACGCCAGCAACCATCACCATCTCGACCAACCTTGCTGTGCGTAGCTTACCCATCAATTGCTCGGTGTACGGGCATCTCGTGGTGCACATCCGATCGAGTCACGAACCCACGTCGCTGAGTGCCGCTCGTGGAAGGCCCAGGGGCCAATCCCTAAATCAATCGACAGTGCTTGGACCATCGCCCGTGGTTCGACAACCCACGCGAGTACTTGGAGTGCATAGTCTTGGGAAGCGTAACTTGGTCGCACATACAGTAGCAAGAAGGGTCGGCCTGTTGTCTATTTGCTTGTCAAGGCCTTGCTCAACGCCCATTCACTGATTGGATTGCTTACACACATCATGGCGGGTACGATCCCTCGTCCCTTGGCATCCCATCTTCCATCATTCCCTCTTCCCCCGCCCTTGCTCTTTGGACATCTCGTGCCATCATACACTGCGGGCCCTTTTGCTTAGTGCTAACTGGCCTCTTTCAAGAAACTACAATCGTTCCTTTCACGGCTCTGCCGTCGTGTGCGACTTCATGCGGCCCTCTGTTTGATGCCAACGGTGCTTGCGTGCCACCAGCCGCAGCGACCGCCGACGTGGGCACCTATGATTCATGCTTTTGCGCATACGGCGCCCTTGCGCCCTTCAGCTCAACAACCGCAGGTGTCTGTGATGCTGCGTGTACAGGCGACGGTTTAGCATCTATCCAAGGCTGGTTCACCAGTTTCTGTGCCGATGGAGCCGCGACAGCAACCACTAGCTCGGCATCGTCCAGCAGTGGCAGCTCCAGCGGCAACTCCAACAGTTCTGGAGGCGGTGACTGGTAAGTGTGTATCGTGTCCCCTACCTGCACCAATCTAACCATACCCATCAAGGCTATCCACGCACTGGAGGTGGGTTATAATGATCGTCATCGTCGTTGTAGGAATCGCCGGTATCTGGATTGGCGCATGCATCTGGCGCCGCAAGTACTTGAAGAAGAAGGATCGTATGTACGAACTCGGCAAGGGCTTACCGAGTACTGTTGCTGTCGATGCTCAAGGAAAGCTCGTTGGCCCCGGAGCCCCCAAAGCAGGTGATGAGCCTGGTCTTTTCATGTCTGGTTCTGGTAGTGCTGTAAACGCCGAAAAACCAAACAAGGGGAGGAAGAAGTGGAACGTGACCGAGCGAACTTAATCTCGCCCTGCCCTGCCAATATTTCCAAGCGAACATCGACACGTTTGTTTTTTTGTTTGTTTTTACACGACATACGCACCGATCGAGACCAAGTGCGATCGCCTCTTGTTTTTGTTTTCTTCCTTATTGGCATATAGACAACCTACGAGTACAACATCAGGGCGAGTTACGCATCAACATTACGGCGTTACGGGTTCGGGGGCAGCCTTTTATTTTTATTTTGTTAATGCTGTAACAATGGTTTACTCTGGTTGCGGAGTTTTCAAGTGAGTGTCTATACGGTAATCGACACTTGGTCGCTCGGGTATGCTTTCATTCTACCAAGAGTTGGAAATTCCGATAAAACTTGCCCAGGATATCATCTATACCAATACCCCGAAAGCTTAAGCAGGAGCTCTCTAATGGAATTAAGGAATCTATTTTACTTCTGCTCCGACCAACCTCTATGTGGACATAATGGAACAAATACTGCTCGACTTGTCAATGTTGGAATGAATGTCTAAACATCATTCAGCTTCAAGCCGACAGCATGTAGTCTCATGTACTCAATCTTGATTTGTACCTCGGTTGCACTACGGTAACGATGCCATTCAAGGATGGGCTTTGCCAGCTCGGATGTCAATTTTATCCGTCTATACTACGGTCCACGTGTAAACCATGTATTTCTCATGGCGATGCGAAAGAAGTACAACTGTGGTGCGACGTGAGGGGCTACAAAACCACCAGCGCCTATGCCGTGCTCAACTACGGACGGGTAAAATTCCCACCCGTGGAATGTCGCCCTGCATGCCGACGTATTAGGCGTGTGTACCAGGAATCAACTCGTTGTTTCTCTCTCGGCGGGAGCTGCATTGCCTGCGAAGTGAGTCAGCTGCCTTTTATTTCAAAGGCTCGACATTTTGTGTCGTATCGCTTGGAATTCATAGCAACCATAATCCAAAAAGTGCGCTAGGATATCATTTTGTGAGTGCCGGGTAACTCGCGCAAAACCTACGCTCGTGGATGGTCAGTCGCTTCCCAAGCCGCCGACGATTAGATTCAAAAGCGTATTGATTTTCACCAGATATTATACATTGTCAGCGCCCCACTATAGTCTTTCCTCGTAAGCAGCTATACGTCTGCGTCGATTCTCGCTGTCTGGTGCAGAAACTCTTTGACCACGACAGCTAGGTCTAAAATAGTGAACCGCTGGGTGTAGAGTACTTTTATTCAGCACAAGGTGGCCAACAGTTATAGAAGCTGAGGAGGTTAGGCTCTTAGATTCCCTTATCCTTAAAGACGTCGGGGGACTCATGCTGATGACAACGTTTCGCTGCATTCGGTGTGAATGGGTCTTCACCATACACAATTGACAAATTGTAACATCACGGCGAGCTTTGCGAGTTTATCGTATTAAAGCTTGGGTATACTCAGAAATCAAGAATTTTTCGTTTGATGTAATCTGGTACTTCAAGACATGAGAAGCTGGATCACACAGCATATAGTTGCCGAGTTCTCAGATTGTAACCCGGAGCGCAACTACCATCTCACAAGCTATGGTGCCGGCATCTGCGAAATGTTACAAGAATAACAATCTCGCTGTCGAGTTGACAACCTAACTGGAAGTGTTCTACTCAAGTTCGCCTCTTTAAGTCATGATATAGCCGTGGCAATATTGCCTACATTCCAAGGACGACTGACAACATGAGGTTGACGGAAACTATCCACGCCACCGTGGATGTTTTCCTGTCGCTTGTTCGTGTGGTCAGTGATAATTAGGCGAACTGCGATATTGAAGGAATGCTAAAACCTTTAGGCACAAAACGCGGAGCATGGTTAGAAGTCACTGGGTCGCAAGGTATGATCCTCAACTCTGAGATATGGACGCTCCGCGTATCAATGGAATGTTACAACCCGGTCATATGATGCGCGAACAGCAGCCTCTGGTAAAAGAAATAAAATAAAAAGGTCGAGGTTCTCTTCAATCCAATTGCGGTATGACTCAATACAGTATGTCGTGCGTTTACGCATCCACGACAAGTGTATTGCGTCTGGCAAGCTATACAGGTATGATCTGCCAGAAGAAAGCCGCGTGCTGATGTGACATAATTGAGGGGCGAAAGGGGAAAATGCCACGTTTTAAGCAGTAATCTGCTTTTTTGTTCAGTCCTATAACACTACCATGAACGAGTTTAAGCCTGCCGACATCAACAAGTTGTGAGTTGCGCAGTCTTGAGACGCACATCAAACTTGTTTCAGTTTCACCACCAGCAATATCCGTTGTAACGCTGGTGATGGTACGTAGAGTCTTCTTACTGGTGCCTTTGAAGCGTACCCAACGAACTTCCGACGAGCGTCAGGGCCAACGAGTGTCAGGAATAAAGCCCTTGGATATATCAATGATAATTATTCTTGTTTGAAGGGACAACGTCTTCTGCAGACCTCAGTGCGGATCGGCCGCCTCAAGAAAACAAACAACGTTGACAGCATTTAAGTTACATGACTGTTAGTAAGAAAGCCAGTCACCGATCAAGTGGAACGAATTTGACTAACCGAACGCAATGCTGCCTCGTCAACGCTTCATGCGGCGCATATCTTAGCTGCAAACCTTCTTCCCCACTGTGTTTGTGTCTGCCTGCTGCTAGGCTGCTAGGCTGCTTGTTATGATATCGAATTTAAGGTTAGTGTAGTCTAGTTGGCAGCCAGTATATTCTCCATCGTAAACAGTCCCTACACGAAAGAGACTTTGAATCAAACGTAATGCAGAGCAACTGCCATGCGCTGTTGCTCTGGCTTTATGAAACTATTCAAACACTTTTTCTACTGCGATCAGTACGAATCGTCTTGTGTTTATCTCCGTGGCGTTCGCATCGCAGCCGTTCATAGTGAAGTTCGTGGTTGAAAGGAGTGGTTCAGCCATGATAATCAAAGACCATGGCCAATTATGGCGAACAGACGTCTATCGGCGCACCATATCGATGAATGTAGGACTTGGCTGCTCCTTCGCAAGGCGTTTTAGGGTTAGACGTACCCTGGTCAATAGAAGCTACTATAAGAACTCAACGCATTGAGTAGGTACAGCTCGTACCTGCAGCATTACACGAATTTCCCCACATTTTGCGTTCAACGTAAACATCCGTGGATGGGGTCAACAAACGCTAAAGATTTTGACAGCACTGAGCGTCCCGAGTTGTACGTCATCATCCTCGAGTCTCAACGATCGCCACAACATTACTCCAAAGTTCTAACAAATAAATAAGTAGTTTGTCTCATTCCTCCAAAAGCTTTTCCAACACTCCCAAGGACAAACAATACAATACCCTGACCTAGACAAGTAACTCTAGTCCCCCAGGTTTAACTTTAAAATGTCATCAAATTCTCTGAACTACCCCCTTCTCGCCATTCCGGCGTACTACGTATTTTCGCTTGTCCCGCACGTATACACGGGCGTGCTCCTCCGATCCAATGGCTACAGAGTCAACAATGCAAACCCCAAGGCATCTTTATCCCCATCTGCAGTGCAGGGCAAGGTGCCAGATGCCGTTTTCCAGAAATACCAACGCGCCGAGAATGCACACTCCAACAACATGGAGCAACTGCCTCTTTTCGCTTCTGCTGTGCTAGCGAGCATCATCGCAGAGAGGGCCACTTTGAAAGGCTTTGGGGAGAGTGTAAGGGGCGAGGATCCCACGGGCGTATTGGCGTTTATTGGAACATGGTTTATTGTACGCGCTTTGTACAATGTGGCATATATTCAAATCGCGGATCGCAGCAAGAGCTTCCTCAGAAGTGCACTGTGGGCTGTTGGCAGTGGGCTGGCAGGATATCAGATCTACAAGGCAGCGCAGATCTTAGGCTAGGTCATTCTTCAGGATTTGTTCACGAAATTGTACATTATACTTGTCGGAGGGACAGAGGAGCGGCAGAGATAGCGCTTCTGATTACCTGGTCACAAGCGTGGGAGAATACATGGGATAATCATAACTATGCATCTAGTACTGCTCGACTTATGAGCTTCGCGAACATCTTTAGCAACTACATGTCCGTTCAGTTGTAGACATAGTTCGTGGGGAATGGTAGTACTTCTGAAGTGTGCTCTCGCATATGCCTTATTGTGGCGTTAATACGTCAACAATTCCTAATGCAATGCTATGCTACTGTGATTGCCGTAGTATTATGATTTGATATTGGATATTTGGCTTTGATGATTATATCAAGAGTCTTAAGCCCGCCACAGAAAGGTCTTGATGTCTATCTAGACTATATAAATGTCCGCAGTAACCTGGTTTAAGGGTAAGGAAGGCGCTATAGCCCCCATAACTTTCCTATTTGATGCTAGCGTAAATTTCGCCAACGTTGCGTATCATTAACATAAATCGAGTGCAGCTGTATGGCACCCAAGGTTGATACTGTAGTGATACCACACGAGTAAACGTACAGAATGAGTATTGCAGTTAGCTCGAGCAATTACCTAGAGTAGAGTGGGCATGCTACATGTTGCGGAGATTGAGATACGGTGGCGGCAGTTGAACTTCACCTGACATTATAGTAGGATCCGTAGTCTGAATGTTGGAATGCTATAATACATAATTCCCAGGGTTCATTAATCTGGCCTCTATAGATAGTATACACACAGAGAATAAGTCGGATTGCAATGCAATGCACGGTATCGGCGTAGCCAAACATGGCCCAGTCGGGAATCTACCGTCGAGAGAAGTTCCCCGGCGTCCGACCCAAGCGACCGACAGCTTCAGGGAGACGTCAAGGCTGTATCAATCAATTCCATTGACATGAGGCTCCGCCAAGGAATACACGACAATTCTCCCGAGCTCTATGAACGTGTCAAGTCTCCTACACAAGAGAAATCTCATTTCCACATCATCGGCAATGATGGTGCTGGCATTGTGAAGGAGGTTGGACCAAATTTCAAATACTTCAAGGACCGGCGATAAGATCTACTATCTCGGAAGCCCGCTAATGTACGGGACCTGCGCAAAGAAGCAACTTGTAGACGAGCGGCACGCTGGGCATAAACCGAAATCACCGGATTTTGTCCAGTCTACAGGAATGCCACTGACGTATGCGACTGTTTTCGAGTCTTTATTAGACCGCCTTGGTATCCAGAAAGTGGAGCGTGCTACTGTAGTATTCTTATCATCACCGAAAGCGGCGGCATGGGCGGTCTCAATTGCATCTCAGGTTACGCGGCATTCGCCTAAGCTACCAGTTGCTATCACGACAGCTTCAAGAAAAGAGGCTTCGGATGTCTCTAAGAAGATGGGTGTGACGCATGCCATCAATCACCGACATGATATAGTGAAGCAGATCGAAGACTTAAGCCTGTCGTAGGACATTCCTCCCAAGTATGCCTACACCACTTATCGGACTAAGCAGTATGTTGCACCCATTGTGAATGTTCTCGCGACCATTTTGGAAGGTCCACAGTATTTTACAGGCCAAGTTCGACATGTATAGTACTCCATTCATGAGCAAATCACTGAGATTCACTTGGTGTTGACTTGGGGCTAGAGCATACCATTATTACGAGGATGATGCTGAGAAGAAACATCATCGCTGGAACGAAGAATTGTCTACGTTGCTGGATGGAGGCCGGAGTAAAAAGCGGTCACGAACAAAAGCAATACAGGCGATACTGATACACTGTGAAAATCATAATTGTACCTCCGGACGGATTTCTTACCGATGCACCTAAACATGCGGTGCAATTAACCGCCGCTGCCCACTTTGTGTAATAAAAGTCATGATACACGAATTACCTATGCGAACTACTCCAAACCGCAGTCCCTACTGTTCGGTGTCCCACAATACATCGGAGGGATTTCTGGAAAACTATCCGGCTGGAACATTTATAATCAGCCTATGCGTGGATGATCCATTAATTCTATCTATAAATTCTTGCGCTTGATATTATTAACCTCCACGACTTTGTTCAGAGCTTAGCCCTATCCAGAGATTGTTTTCTATAGTGCAACCGAACTCTCAACGCCATCCTTTTTCACGATATTGTTACCTGGACTATCTGACAATCATACCAAGTCATCTCAAAAATGGCGACAGTGAAAGCATGGATTTACACAAACGCGGGATACCCGGAAACGTTGCAGTTTCAGGACATTGATGCACCGCCGAAGCCCGCGACAAACCATATCCTGGTCCAGGTCAAGGCCGCTGCGCTGAATCCCGTGGATGTTCAGATGATGAACTTGCCTATCAACTCCATCCCCGGTCTCAATGGGCCCAAGATCGTTGGCCGAGATTTCGCGGGAATAGTCCTAGACGCGGCACCCGGCATAGGTTTCGTGAAAGGAGACGAGGTCATGGGGTTGACAATGGCTATTGATGGCTCCGGTAGTTTGACCGAAGTTGCCCATATTGATATCAGGAGCAGTGCAATAGTCAAGAAGCCAGAGAATATGTCATGGAACGAGGCAGCCAGTCTTCCGCTTGTGTGGTTGACGGCTTATACAGCGATCGAAAGGTGTGCGCCGTACATGCAGGGTATTAATGGCCAGAACAAAATTGTCGTCCTCGGGGGTAGTTCTGCTACCGGAATCTACTCGGTACAACTGGCTCGGAAGCGTGGCTGGAAAGTACTCAGTACTTGTTCCGGTCGCAATGCTGAATTTGTCCGTCATCTGGGCGCGAATGAGGTCGTTGACTATACAGTTTCACCCGACGCCGTTTACTCTGCAGTGTATGCTTTCAAGCCCGATGCAGTTGTCGATTGTGTAGGCGGAACGGATTGTATCGGTCTAGCGAAGAGATACGTGACAATAGTTGGCGACAAAATTCTTCGGTCTTCTGTGGGTGGTACGTAACTATCAGAATCTTCCATTGCGCTTCCTAGCTATTCCCTTGTCGTCTTGGGGGCGACATGAAGCCGTCTTTGTCCTAATTCAAATATAGTAATACTAACGTCTGATTGCCATATAGGAAAATTTCTCTACTTAATCTCTCCTCGAATGGTGTTGCGATGGCTGCTCGGTTATATCGGTCTTGGCAATTCTTACGATTGCATCCTGTTTGAGATGAACAATCAATGGCTACAAGAAGCGACGAAACTGCCGAGTGAAGATATTGTCATCGACAGCGTCTTTCAGTTTGGCACAGCCAATGAGGCATTCAAGAAGTTGAGCACCGGGAGAGCCAGAGGCAAGGTTGTAATTGAGATTCAGAGTTAATGGATAAGTTGCATTGGTCGTAAGTATATAGACTTCGTGCAAGATTTCCTGCTGGTCTAATTTGAGATTAGCGTGTGTCGTTTAAACGGAATGGTAATACCCCCTTTGCTAAACTTGTGCCGTTGAATTAGTGTTTGATCTAACTTGACCACCACAGAGTTCACGTTGTGGTAGTCTTGCGCCATATTATCGGTTTCTACGGAATCGTCATTTTATTCTTCTAACAGCGTATTTTGCTATATCTCGAAAAGCTCATATTAGCCTTCACCTTGCTCGTAAAATATTTCTGGCCTGGACGATATACATTCCGAACACAGCGAATAGTCTGATAAGAACCACATACCTAACCCCAAGGCCAGGTGTTATTTCAGTTGCTAGTGATCGAAGCCTTTTGTTGATCTGACTCGTCCCTAACAGACAGAATCTCGTCTATCACATGCTATAAGGACCCCCTTGCCTTCTACCAGAACCAGAACACACTCATTACCAAAAGGGTAATAAGGCATCTCTGCCTCTGTCTTGCGATTATCTGTGAAAATATGACTGTAGGCAGGACTTTTTCCATTGATACCGAATCGAGTTTGCGCGGCGTAATCAAACTGGCGGTCAGGATATGTTGTCAGTGCTGCCAGCCCCTTGACATGCAACATAGCTGCTTTGCCCGTTTCATGACGGAGACACGCATTCCTCTATACACCGTCTTTCTCTATCCTCATACGCGTCAATGCTGCCGGCCAGAAACCCTGCAGACACTCGGGCATGCGCTTCGAGACTGTTAGTAGGTGCTGTAAGTTCCGTGTGTTACATTGACCAAAGAAGTTCTATTCGATGGACTTGGAGTGTAGATATAGATTGTTAGTTGAAAACAATTTGTGCGGAAAGTAGCTTAACTGCGTGAATTTATCTCGTTCGTCCCATTTCTGCTACGCCACGAAAGTAGGTGGTTGTAAAGCAGATCGGGTGGTGGGGTTACTTTGGCAAATCGTTGAAGCAGATTGGAAAGCTGCGCGCATCTCAGACCCCAATGAGTCCCGAATAAGCAAGCAATGATGAATTTTGCTTAATACATGGAGGTCTCCAATCTCTGCAATTGTCAAAAGGTATCTATACTCTAGGAAACAATTGCTATAGCTTGTTCTATTCTACTACATGCCTTTTTTTGCGTATCTCTGATCTAATTTAACAACAAGGTGTTTGTCTAAGCCGTGGAATAATGAACCTGAGTTTTGACAGCATTAATAACGTGTTATATAAAGAAGCAGTCAAGTAAGTTCTTCCTTAAGACCCTCTTTATGGATTCAAAACCATTAAGATCTTCTAACAACACCTTCGAGTCACTAACCCGTCAACTCTAGAAGAAACCTCATATTAGATTATAAAATTTCTGCCAGAGCCTTTAGATCCTAGCAGCGTAACGCCAGAGCTCTCCATACTTTGGGGGTTACATATAGATATTACTAGACAAGTCCTTTATAACCACTGAAGTAGTGAGTGTTGGCTGTACTATCATAGCAAGGGGGCTAAGTGGGTCGTACGACCTTCGTCGGAGTTGTTCACGGCCTGATCACTATAAGGTCTAAGGGATGGAACTTGCAGATAGTCTCTTGGGGCATGCTTTTCACACTTTTGCACAGTTAAGTTGTTGGTTTTTTTGCAGCAGTGCATTCGGAAGACAACGAGAATGGCTCGTTGTCGATAATTAATACTATTTCGGTTACCAAGTTCATTCTTTCCATTCATTTCTTTAGTGATCAGTCTGCAAGTGAACCAGCGAGTTCGTTGCGAGGCTTATAACCAAAGGGACAAGACAGTGGTCCTGTTCACCACTCTTTTCAACCCAAATTGGTGTATCTCGGGTCATTATTTTGACTTCAAAGTAAGATATCGTAGTACACCCTCTTAGTAGAAACAATAGGTTGTTTCGATTCTATACTTCTTGCCTAACTTAAAGGAGATAACCACAAGGCCAAATATAACATTAAATTACACCGTTTCGGACAAACATTATAAAGAACGGCGAGATTATGACTATAACCTCTAAACGCCCTCTTTTTATTATTTAATTAAATTATCTATTTATAATTACACTCTTGTTAAACGATTTTATTTAAATCTTAACTCTTAAAGATGTTACGCGTTAAGTTAATATTATTACCTTTGATATAAATATTTATGTATAAGGTTAATAGCTAACTCGATATTACGCGTAGGGTATTAAAGCTGTATTATTAAGCACTTTATTAAGAGTATTCGGCCTTAAATCCTTATATTATAAACCACTACTCAGTAAATCTTCCATACTAAGAAGTCTGTCTTCTAATCCATATTACTCCAACTAAGAAAGACCACGCTTAGAAAACAGCGTGAACCTTAGGCACTTTATATTTAGACTTATTGGAAATTTGGTATCGATAGTCTAGTGAATGAAACCACTAGTAAGGGTAGAAAAATAGATATGGCCAAGAGAGTAGAGCTAGCCATGCAAAGAACTTGAGAGGCGCCACGAAATCAGCTTGGAGCATGTATAGTAAACGCTGCTATATTATGAGCCGAAGTAATCTAAACCTAAACTAGTGGAAGCCTTGCAAGCGACCAGATCCCATTGAGCTTGGTCTGCAGTGAGTTAGTGTCAGTCAAATCCAGTCCAATTAACGTACTCCCCACCACATGTTCGGCTACGACTACACAAACCTATCCATGCCACGAACAAGTTACATCAAGCTAGATATCCGTACAATTTAACACGTTGTCTCCTTGATATCTCTGTATTCTCCTTATATACTCCCTGCTTACTATTCCAGCGCGACTGCGTATGCCACAAACTCTGACGGCCCGCGACGTAATACCAACAAGCTCCAAGGTTCAGACACCATCATAGGAAAACATAGGCGCCGATGCAACTAGGCAATGACTGAAGGTAGAGAACTACTTATTCCGTTGCCTTATCTAGTTGCAGTCATTGTTCTCAATGCATCTATCCTTGCCGCTGATTCCTTGATCCATTCCGATCACATGCATCCACAATATTCCATTACGAAAAAAGTGAATTCGTTGCCTATGTGGTACTGAGTTTTTGCCTAAACACCGTTACAGCTATTAGGCGTACGAGAGCATTAGAACAAGGTGATGGATTGGCTGTTTGTACGTTGGGCAATGAACCAGAAGCTCAAGTTGTGCTACCTGATAGTCAAATGACCGAAGAGACAGATTTGTAGATGATGCGTTGCTATTATCATGTAACTCAATCTCTCACTGGAACGATTCAAAAGTAGCTTAGCATTTTCATTTATTATCATCCCTAGAAATGCTTTGTTCCCGCACATGGTCGGCACATACAGACCACTGGAATGTGCACCTGGACAAAGCTTAAAAATGGAGCAATGTATATGCAATGCACAGCTTCGTATATCAAATCAAGTGTGCTGTCCCAAAACCTTATTCGGGACGTCGCATATCAAAGGTCATACACGATGTATTACAAGAGGGGGAAAAATAAAAAGGTATGTTCAAAGATGAGACAAAAGTCTACACCGAAACCGCCAGGATTCGAACCTGGAATCTTTGCCAATCAGCAAGTGGACCGGAAAGCAACGCGTTAACCATTACGCTACGGCTCCTATAACCTAAGTTGATATATTCGTTTGTCAGCTAACTAGCTACATATTAGTAGCGTTAGGTTACTCCACAATAACCCGGTTAGACGCAGATTCCCAGGATCATAAAAGTTATAGAATCGATGTTTGCTAATTCATTAACGGATTACAGCGACCACTAAGCTTCTCTACTGCATCCTCACCGACCACCCGACACAGCGTTCAACCCCCATCGGAGCCATAGGTAGCATCATAACCCCCACCATCTTGTGCTAGCCTCTCTAGCCATTACTAACTCGAAGTCTCGCCAGCCTTGCGCTGCACATGCTTCTTGTCCATTTTAGTTGCTATTATCTAGTTCTAGGATGCCAGCGTACTTGTGAGTTGCGATTTAAGCGTCGCCACAGTATGTCTACGGGCTCTACTCAGACAATTTGTGGCAAGCCAGTGTGAGCGGAACTATACATTTACATACAGAGATGATTTGACTAGCAATGTATGGACATTGCTTCACATAGAGCTTCTAGACTACTCTGCTCTTCCATCGGTAGTCATTGCATCAAGAGGAAGAAGAAGTCGTTGAAAGCACATGAACAACAAGCCATACTGTAATGCCCACGTTCCCTGCTCCCCTTCGGAAAGTGAGACAACATGGGCCCTGTTCGCAACGATGCGCCAGAAGAGGAGTGCACAGAGATGGACCTGATGAAGTAAAGTAAATCGGAGCCCTACTATGTAGTTGTTCGTTCATGAATCATCAAACAGCAATTTGCTTGGTTCGGGCTAGTCTTACAATAGGGCAACTAAGGCGTATCTCTTGTAGAGCCAGCACTTGTGGAGTGTCAGGACCTGGACACTCTCAGGCACTGCACAAGCAATGGCCGCCTGCCAGGCGTTCTGCTAACCGTTATCAACAACATGCGGGAGACAACAATCATATCAGTTAGGACTCACATCTATTTTACACAAACGCACTCATAGAGCATCTCTTAGAAGTGACAGGCTCAATACCAATGTCATTCTAGTTCTATGCTTGCAGAAATCTCAGTTGATGATCCACGAATGTTCAATTAGGTCATTCTCTCAGTTCTTTAGTTGGAACGTCAACTGGTTATTTTACATTGACTGTAGCTTCCTGTACGAGCAGGACAGCTTGCGACTATTTCACAGGCGCCAACTACCCCACGGTTTCTCAACACCAGTAGCTAATGTACAAGGTCGAACATATTCTGTTTAGTCGTCTCAAAAAGCATTATGAACACATGGAAAGTAGTGCAGTGCAAGATGGTAGACCAAGATTCACAACGTGAGTCACAAATACAGCGGCAATATTTCGAAGCGCTCGCCAAAGCCAACATCAACATGGGAGGTCGAGTCTTCAAAGCTGCTTGAACAAGCAGAACTGCAACAACAGCGACTACATCAAATACTAAAGAGAAATCAGCATCAGGACTCGCAGCAACTTAGTCTGCCAACGGCGTACGCTTGGGTCGTACGATTAAAACAAAGTTATTTACACCCAGTCTAGTCAGTGATAGTAGCAATAATCTCAAGACACTGTCTCGTCGTTTTGAGGCCATCGACGTCCTGTGGATTTAGACGGAGCCCGAGACCAGATCATCAGGGTTCGGTCTCAATTCTATTGTTAAAAAATAATACTGTACTGCTTGATATGACGTTGCGATGCTACGGGGGCTCGAATAATATGCCAATTGTCCCTCTGGACATTCAGGGTTGCCAATAATTTCAAAAACGAGAGACACAAAGTGGTATAAAGCTCGGGCTATCCCATACTTCAGCAATAGACAGTTGTTCACGTTGCATACAAAGTCTATAATACACTAGCAATCACAACCGCAAGCTCTACAAACGTGACAGCAGTAACAAATCGATGTAAACCCTGGTTTCCTATGAGTTCTTGCTCCCGTCACAGTTTGAATGGCTCGATGCAAGTAGTATATAATGAAGAATAGATAGAATCAGTCCTTTATAATATGTCTGCTGACCTACTTACGATCTTCTTGCTTTTTTAGTCTCTCTCTCAAAGTCCGCACCACCCTCCCCCCAAACTCCCCAACATCGCATCGACAACAACCATTTATTTACTCTCAATCTGTCACATTCGTAGACGACAAGAGCCATGATGGTCCTGGACACGAGATTACCATTCTTGATCCCGGCGTGGCAGTCCCTATATTTAAGTCTCGCTCTTTACCAACAGACTATCCAACTCTATTATCAAGGTCGTTGGTAGGCACACAACATATATCGTGGAATGCACCGTGAAAAAAGGTCCGATGAAACTTTGAGCAGTGCTCAAATGCCACGGCCATGAAAGGAGTGAATGTACTAAGAACCATGGTCACACCGGTATCGATGCGATCGAAATCGCTTCAGCTTTGGATGATGGTCTGATAATGATATGCATAGTATGGCCCTGGCTATGGAGGAGTAGTGATCAGATATTGTTCAACCAAGATTCGGCTTAATATACTCAAGGACAAAACAATCCTGACATCCTTGCTTTGTTAAATATATCTTCTAAGTATATGAATGCGATATTAAATAATATCTCGCACTTATGGTTTAGATTCAACAATTCGGCTCTTATTGAGTAATAAGGGCATAATAAGAGCTTTACGTCAAATTTATAATAATTGATGATTTCGCGTTTTTAGGTGCCGGATTTTTTATAACTTGGTTAGTGCTAGTGCTGTATAGTAATTACCCCATACTCCGCTGTAGCTCACAATAGATTACAAATGGGCAGCGATTGCCAAAGCGATTGCCAAACCTGTGTCAACCAAGCCTGCAGCTAACAAGACAAAGACCCTATTCGTGCGAAATTCTGCAAAGACAAATGAGGGGAACTCCCGCATGTCGTATGACCTGGTTTTTGTAGCGCCAATGTCTAACTGTAGCCCATTGCATCCGTGCTGGAATTAGACAAACGTCAGATCGGCCGAGCATCTGAGTACAAAACGTGGAAGAGGTCATTTCTCCTTCCGAAATATCCTAGTCTATCACGGCCGTACTCACCTTAGACATTGAAGATGTTTAGCTCGCCGCAGAAGAACCATCTAGTCTTTCGTTACGATTCAGAGACCCTTCTAGTCGAATCGTGGGGTCCCAACGCTCTACGCATAAGAGCAACGCACGAAGCCACCCTGCCAGCCGAAGACTGGGCCTTGACGGAGACTCTGCCGGGAAATGACAACTCATCTGTTGAGATCTCAGATGCTGAAGCATCTATAGTAAATGGCTCCATCACAGCCACAATCTCCAAACTCGGAAAACTGACCATCACGAATGGGAAAGGGAAGACACTGCTTGAGGAATTCAGTCGCATTCGTTTGGATGTCACAGATCCAAAATGTAGTGCGTTGAATGTAGAAGCTCGAGAGTTCCAGCCAAGACTCGGATCAGACTCATGGCACTTGAGAGCAAGATTCGAGGCAGATCCGGATGAACAGATTTTTGGTATGGGACAGTATCAACAGCCTTTTCTCGACCTCAAGGGAGCAGATCTCGAGCTTGCACAGCGAAACTCTCAGGCCTCGATTCCCTTTGCCGTCTCCTCACTGGGCTATGGCTTCTTGTGGAACAACCCCGCAGTTGGTCGTACCGTATTTGGCAAGAATATTACCACCTTTGAAGCATATTCTACACGTGTTCTGGATTATTGGATAGTGGCTGGAGATTCGCCCGCTGAAATTGTCCGGGCTTATGGCAGAGCGGTTGGCACTGTTCCTGAAATGCCCGAGTATGGTTTGGGCTTTTGGCAATGCAAGCTGCGTTACCAGACACAAAATGAACTTTTGGAGGTCGCAAGAGAGCATAAGCGTAGGGGGTTGCCCATGGATGTTCTTGTTGTCGACTTCTTCCACTGGCCAAAGGAAGGGGAATGGAAGTTTGACCCAACATTCTGGCCAGACCCAGGTAAGCAGACAACGGGGCGCAAGATAAGCAAAGACTAATTCGTCATAGAGGCAATGATCAAAGAACTCAAGTCCCTCGGCATTGAACTTATGGTATCTATATGGCCTACCGTAGATCGCCGCTCTGAGAATTACGAAGAGATGCTCTCAAAAGGTCTCCTCGTCCGTCAAGATAGAGGCTGGCGCATTTCCATGGACTTCGGCACTGGCAATTGTATTCACTTCGACCCCACTAACCCTGAGGCTAGAAAGTATGTATGGGATAAAGTCAAAGCGCACTATTATGACAAAGGCGTCAAGGTATTCTGGCTTGACGAGGCAGAGCCTGAGTATACGATATATGATTTCGATATATACCGATACCATGCAGGCCCCAACTTGATGGTCGGTAACTCTTACCCGTTGCGATACTCTCAAGCGTTTTACGAGGGCATGAAAGAAGCTGGCCAGGACAAGATTGTTAATCTTGTTCGATGCGCGTGGGCAGGCAGCCAGAAGTACGGTGCTTTGCTGTGGTCTGGTGATGTTGCAAGCTCTTGGTCGAGCTTCCGTAATCAGCTTGCAGCCGGGTTGAACGCTGGTCTCTCTGGTATTTCTTGGTGGACAACGGATATCGGAGGATTTCATGGAGGAGATCCGAATGACCCAGCATTCCGCGAACTTCTCGTTCGTTGGTTTCAATGGGGGGCTTTCTGTCCAGTCTTTCGTCTGCATGGTGACCGTGAACCAAAACAACCCGAGCTTGGCAGCAGCGGCGGCAGCTGGTGTTTGTCTGGTGCACCTAACGAAGTCTGGTGCTACGGTGAAGAGGTTTACGATATCTGCAAAACATACCTCGCTCTGCGCGAGAAGCTTCGTGACTATGTGCGAGATGTGATGCGGCAGGCGCATGTCCACGGTGACCCTGTCATCCGACCAGTCTTCTATGACTTCCCTAACGATCCTCAGGCATGGAAGTCAACTAAGGAGTACATGTTTGGCCCTAAGTATCTTGTGGCTCCTATTCTCGAACCTGGACAGCGAGAAAGGAAGATCAATCTTCCTCGAGATTCGAAGTGGCGGCAACTGTCATCACAAGGCAATGTCGAGAACGAAATCTTGGAAGGAGGGACCGTTGTGACAATAGCAGCTCCGTTAGGTTATATGCCTGTTCTTGAAAGAATCTAAAATCCAAGGTCGGAGACGTTTACGTACAATTCTAGGGCTGCTGATTCCTACTTGTTGTGACCCTATTCCAGGTATACCATGCTCCTGCTGTCCCTGTTTGGCGTGTTGCCAATAAACACGCCGTCTCAGGCGAGGGTGAACCTCGAAGCAGTCAAGCTGATCCAGGAGGTTAGTAATGCCTCAGCTGTGGTACTCCGTGAATGGTCCATCTTCTGCCGACCGTAAAGTTATCTAGGAGGATGGGCTCCAACTAGTCTGGCACCATTATACGAATGCCAGTCACAGAAATTTGACGCATCGAATGCAGCAAATGCATCAAATGCGGTACCATATCACAAAACCTAGCTAGGCGATACTGGGTGCTGAAGTGCGCGCTTTTTTCGATTTCCGCGCAGATTCGTGACAAGTACTTGTCGATACCCAAGTCGAGCGATTATTATCCCGATGAGCGTTTCTTATACTACGCTGTTTATTGGATATTCAATACTGAGGATCGGGTTCTCCGCCGTGTGCAGAGTGGCATCTATTTCGTACACCAGCGTCAAATGTTGCATATGCTAGCAGCTCAATTGATTCTAAGCTATGCTCAGAAACCTTATGCCAGTCGCGGTAATAACCACGTAATACTTGTTCAAGCAGGACATGGGTCCTCTATTCTTATCTGATCTATCCGTGTAAAACAGCCCTAATCTTGCTAGTTTTAACGGAAGCCATCTGCATCTATAGTACAGGTTTATTGGCCAAGAAGTAACGGAAATCGGTCGGGTATAGGATAGTGTATAATGGTTATAAGGTTCTGTACGAATATTGCGTTGAACTGAGGATCATGATGCTGGGGTTAAATTTGAATAAACCGTAAACAGCCATGAAATTGAGCATCTCGCTAGGCATTATTCCTCTGGCCGCTCCCGTTACTACGCTCCATATTGCCTATAGCTTCTAATTGATTAACGAACCGTGAAAGTCACTAACACCGAACAGTAACCGGAAATGACGAGCCGAATAACGAAGGGAAGGCGTACGGATAGCAAGCTGAAAATGCAGGCCAAAACAATAAGAGACAGAAAACCCGATACTATAAATAAATGAAAACAAGCTGCGCGTCCCTGCCATCGGCCTTATCTCCCCCGAATGTCCACCTCAATAGCCATCCTGGAAACCTGTTCCGCCACCGTTCGCAGCTGATCACATTACAGGCTCAGGAGTCCGGCATTCAAATCTCGCAACTCTTATCCAGGCTGTTGGCGTGGAACATCACACAAGCTGCATTGGTCTCTCCTATTATTGTGGTTTTAATGTGTATCAGACGGGTAGAGAACACTGCTTTCTGATCTGGCCTTAATCAAACAATTTGGTCAAGGCCAGACAGTTATGACTCCCCATAGACACACCGGTTGCCGCGACCCAGTTCCGTTAGATCATAATCTCCATTGTGGATAGCCGGCTGGCAGTCTTTGGGGTCTGCGAGAGGTTCGATGGTTGTCAGTATTTCGTCGTCTGAACCAGGCATACAAGCGCCCATTAGGACAAAGTAGTGGCTGCCAGTATAATGTCTTGCACTCTCTTGACATCCACGCACGCGGCGCTCCACCGCTGCAGGTCCATCCAATTCTACTCGATCTCACGGAGTGGGGTTATGGTTTTCTGCAGAGTCGGTTCTAGTGCCCTGTCGGTGGTGTTTATGTGCCTTTGGATTTGGTAGACCAGCTGTCATAAGAGTATCTGCCGGGAAGATACCCAGATACCAGGCCATAAGCTCATGCTTTGGAAGCTGCTGCGATTCCCAAGACACGATACTACTGATGCTTCTGTGTGGTTTGTCATATGCAGAAAACGAGTATTGTCCTCGTCGCATTGGAGACAAGTGCTGGGATGTCGCACTCGCAAGAGCTATCAACTTTGGATTTTGGTAGCTAACTCTCCAAAAGCTCTATTACAAAACCTGAAGTGTAAGAAACCAAGAGTCAGCTGGTGATAAATTCTTTTACCTCAGCAGTTGATATGTTATTTGAATTAGAGCAGTTTATGTATTTTTTTCACTCTTCTGTTTACTTTTAGCAGTTCACTTCAGTGTGTTTCCAAAGGGTTTGGAACCAGCGTCTGACTAAGACCATTATCCTTTCCTGTAATTTGGCTGTCTGACCGGCAGCATTGCGAGTTCCCAGGTTTTGAGTACCAAATATTTCTTCGTTGTATTAATTAGCTGTACATGTTGTAGGCTGAGCACAAGAAGTGTCTGAAGCACTTGTTCGCACATTGTAAATAATTTTAATTTATACATAGAGGGGCAGTGAGGACAGACGAAGCTTATATGACTATGCTATAGATCAATCAAATAATCACTGGCAATACAGTGCCTGTGGTGTAACTTGAAAAGACTGTTTGGAAGCATTGAATAGAGCCCTAGAATCGACCATTGGCTAATATCAAACATCTCCACCCCATTGTACATCGCCTCATTCGATACTTGCGAAGTAATTCCACAGTGAGCTTGGCCAAAACTGAAGTGACACATACCGGTACTAAATGCATCGACAGCTGCAGTGAATCTAATATTTCGGGGCTGGCGTGGGAAGTAACAGACCAGGGGTTTAGAAACCCCGATAGAAAACCATGAGCTGGTAGGCCTGTATTATAGTATACATATCCACGTTCTTGTGCTGGGATTCCAGTTGATCAATCGAAATATTTTACCTGGTACTGATAAAAAAACGACACAGCCTCCCTCATACGAGGCAACAACTGTTGGTTGTGAATACTAGTCTACATAACAAACATGTAACGTTCTTATTTGAATTCACTCTGGGAATGCAAGAAAATGGAAAGACATTCTTCAGGGGTGACTGATACCCTATCGCGATAACAAAGCGGTGTTTGCGCTTGAGATAAATGCCGTCATCATCGCGTCCCTGCAGTTTTCCGACCGGATAACTGAAACGCCATCACTGCAAAGCAGGAGCGGGTTCTGCGATTCAAGAATCGGTTGTGTCTTAAGGCGTATTCTGAGTGACGATCATTTAGTGGAGAGATGCTTATTATGACTGAATGTTTTCATTGCGCTACGAAAATGTTCTCGAATTTCCAGCATGATAGTACAACACCTCCAAGCATTTACTCCTTTGCGCCAGGAACAACGCTAGTAGCCACGGAAACCGTGTAGCGATGAGGTTCTGGCATAGTTCCCTGTGCTCCTAAATCATCGCTCATAAACCCCCCAAATGCGCGCTTGGTGTGACGACTACATCGAAATTGCACGTGTCTAGGAAAAACACTTTTGTATACTGTCGGTGTGTCAGATGCCACCATCCAGCATTTTTATCTAGTCCGTCGACAGTCTAGACTGTGTTGCAAAATATGAGAAAAAAATCAAGCTTGTGAACAGAAATAGTATGAAATGGTTTTGGCCAGGGATGACCGTTCTCAGGTCATGCCGTCCATAAAACGTTTATGAAGCTGATGGACAGAAGCTAAATCAGCGATGGAGATCATTGTAGAGTCAGCAGCTCCACATCGGGGATACTACGCTGCCGTTTGTGTCCGAAGTGCTGCTCAGAAGATGACTTCCTTTTGTGTGACGCATTGGCGAGAGGACTGCTGGCGAGATCGGACATTGTCCTCTTGTGCTTGCGCATAGGTGATATGGGAATGTTCGTATTAGAAATGCGGCCGTCCTTGATGCCTCGAAGCGTGCCATGGTGGAGAGGTCCCGAAAAGGCAAGAGATTCGCGCGTAGCCTTGCCACTGCGCAGGAGCTGATGGGTCTGTTGGTCGCGACGGAAGGCGCCGGCAAGGTGCGAGTTGCTCAGCAGATGGCTGTGATGGTCGAGTAGGGAGTTCACGTCACCACCGGGGGTATCAGGGCGTGAGGGTGTAGTCCAGTACGAGTCCTCATCAAAAGCAGCTTCAGGCTCCGCATCAAACCCTTCAAACTCGAGGAAGTCATCGAGCTGGAGACGGTTCTCGTCTTGATCCTCCTCATAGTCGTCATAGTCGTCTTCCTCGTCTTCCTCAAATATGTCCTCCAATCCATTGACTGGCGGTACAAAGGCCTCGGCCGGGCCGACAGCTTGAGTACCGTTCATGAAATCGCCGAAAGTGTTGGAAGAGACCATGGCGCCCATCATCAGATTGCCGGAGTTGCTGAGAATGGGAGAGTTTTGGGCAAAGTCATGCTCGGTGAAGGGAAAGTCCAGCCCAAAGTTGAAGTTGAACGCTTCGGGCGACAAATCGAGGCGGCTGAGTCGTTGTGGGGTGAAAATCATCAGCTTGCCAGTACGAGGGTTGACGACGGCAATGGGTTTCTTCCCATCACTATCGAGATTGAATCTACCGACGCGAGGCTTGCCGCGATGGCGTCTCGTGAAAGTGATGACGTCCGAGTCCGAAGACTGACCAAGCGTTTCACGGTTGGTCCTTGGTGGCAGTGGTTGCTTGGCTGGTTCCTCGTCCTCGTCCGTGGTATCGCCACCATCCTCGCCATCGCCTGGGGGTCCTCGGTTAGCACAAACATGGGCCACTACGACTCATGCAACTCACTCTGATATCCATCTGTAGACATTTCGTCTTGTTGCTTCTGCGGAGAGGCGACTGGAGTTGACTGGGTGGTGGAAAGATCTTGACCAGTCATGGGAGTGGCAACAGGGGTGCTGTCGGACTCGAAAAGGAAGGGCACCTCTTGCAGGCCCTCAAAATCGGCCACGTAGAGATCATCCCCTAGGCTTCCGTGCAAATCCCAGAAGGATCCCGAATCAGACGAGTTGTCGTTGTCATTCTCGATTTCCCTGCGAAAAGAGGGGTCGAGAGAACCTTGATCAACGAAAATATCCGGGAAGATGGTCTCAATACCATCATCTGTCTCAGTGGTGTCACCATCCGATTCAGGTACGCCGGCGAAGCGGACTCTTCGCTCAGGGACTTCCTCGGCCTTGACGGGAACGTCGCTAGCGTTATCGTCGTTGCCCTCTGACATGAAACCTTCCCATTCGGTGTATTCAACGGGTTCGTCTTCATCGTCATCTGAATCGTCTTCGTCGTCCTCTTCTTCATCATCGCCTTCCTCTGCTGCTTCTTCAGTTGTGGGCCAAGGAGAGCCATGATTGCTTGGATTGGCATGTGAATCACTCTCGAGTAGGTAGCTTTCCTCGGCCGCAATCACATCCTCCTCATCTTCATCAGAGTCGCTAATGCCACCGACTGCAGAGTAGCCATCGCTGTCGGACAAGTCGGACAGATCGTCGAGGGATGATGAAGAGTCAGATCCCCGACGTTTGGTCGGCTTGACAGGAGTGACGGGTGGTCTTTGACGTGCTTTATGCGACATTGTGTATGTGTAGCCAATGGTAACCGCTATAGAATTTGGGGTTATGCAAAAGGTGGACAGGGGGTTCTCGACTCGAGGCTCTTAGACAAACGGGCGGTCAAGCCTGGTTGCTGTAACAGATGGGCTTCTACCTGACAATAGGAATGCTGAAGCGGTTTGATGCTTTCTGAGCAATAGTGTCTGAGACGTCGAAGGTGACGGTGACGGTCTAGTGTATATCCAGGGAATGTGTGGAGAAGGGTGAGTTCTGGGGTGTTCAAGTATGTATAAAGAGATATTTAGCTGCAGTAGCAAATGTTGTGATTATTCTGGTAGTGGTGCAAGCCCTTGTCAATGGGCCGGATGCTCAGTCGTGGTAATTTGTTTCAGACTTTGGTGGCCCTGATTCTGATGAGAAAAGGACTCTGATACAGCGGGAAAGTCTGTATGTAACTTCGTCGAGGTCGAATTGTGTTGAATATCTCGGAGAACTGAAGGACTACGGGACACGCCAGGCTCGACGTGTCCCGCAGTGGGGATTTACAGCTCAGCGATGGCCGAAGGCATGATATCGACGAAGTTGGTATTGATTGACTGGGTGGTTCCTTGGGGACTGGTCGTGCGACTTCGTTGTCTTGGGTTGGTGATGGACGTTTGGTATACTGAAAGAAGGAGGGGAGGAAAGGACCCAAGAGTGAGTCCGGGCGTCTGCTAGAGTAGATATTGGCAGTTGCGTCGAATTGCTCCAAACTTTTTTTCCCTTGGTGGGTCCTGCCGGCTCTAATGCTCTGGTGCTCTGGCTTCGCTCTGATTCGCTAAATGCCTGCTGCCACAATACTTGGTACTCGGTACGGAGAACGGATCCGTAGAAGCTGAGACGAACCTTACCAGAATAGGGAATGCGTCACCGCCATTTCAAGCCTCGTATTTTCCTTCTTCTGTTCTACACAGTACCGAGTGAATGCATTCTGTTCAATCCAGCCGATGATCTGATATTCGGCCTGGCCAAGAGTGAATACCACTTACACTTACTCACTTGACTCTTTCCTCACCCCTCATCATTCTGCAAAACATGAACGAAACCGGGATCCAACAAATAATTCTTGGTCAATAGCCCGGCACAGGCGTTCAAACTTTCACATCAGAAATCTTCTAGCCGGCGGGTATGCTCCGTTTTTTTTTTCCTTCCCTTCTTGCGCCTCTGCAGTCTCGCGTGCCAAATTGTCTCCACCAGCTATATCGACGGTTGTCCAGTCTTCGGTAACGAACCATCTCACCACATTGAGGAGTCATACCCGCCGAACAAATGACCAGTGACACATGAAAACCATGTAGAGTTTGAGATGCGCAGTTGGGAAAGACGATGGAACATGCACATTCTCCAGATATGTGCTGATCTCATCCAGAGGTCGTATGTACTTTAAGGTCTGCAGGCTGCTCATCTCATTTATGCAGTACATCTACGTGTTTGACATGCAGGTCTACGGAGTACATAAGCGAATGATATAGGCGGACGGTGCCGTCCCTATTGCGATGGAGGAAATGATGGCGGCTACCTCATTCGTTGCTATCCCGTTATGCATTTGCTCTTGCTCGGCCGCACCAAGTATCATGAGGCAAACAGCAATACGGTAGGTTTGACAAAATCTGTTGCCATGAATGTAGTTGCGTCTATGCATTATCCTATAGTACAATCCCTACTGTTGATCTCCGTGACCTCGTGGTCGGTTCCTCCTGCTGGTCTGTGTCCAACCGTGGTAAGTGCCATGTTCTATGGATCAGGACCCTGACCCGCAATCGAATGCCCCTCACCTGGAGGATGCCGAACTGTGACGTGTTTTTACCACTTTGCGAAATTGAACTAAGTTAAGTACGTACCTAACCTAGGAGCTATGGGGGGTTTTTGTTCTATTTTCTATTCTCTTGGTTGCTATCGCATCAGAGTGTTTTGCGATGAGCCTCTCCCGTAGACGATTCAATGGATATTCGTTGCGTTCCACAATATGCAGGTAAGACTCGGGGGGCATAAGACAACATTTACCATCACAACCTTGTGTGTGCAACATTCAATCTGACATGCTGCATCGTTGCAAGCATAGTTCAAACTGTGATGCAAGCCGACCCCTCCCCCATCTTTGCCAGACCGACCGGCCAGCGAGGCATCAGGGTGCGCTAGTCTAGGAGGAATAAAAGTTTTGAGTCAATGCTCTTGACTCACAATTCCGCGTTGGATGGCAGGCAGGACCATAGTACGCCAATGGGAGGGTGTCCATTGCAATTATTGAGTTTGTCGATTACTCTAGAAAAGGAGACGGAGCTGTCACCACACAATCACAATGCCCGATGCCCCCAGAGGCACCTTAATAAGCAGCAGACAACCCTGATAGACTCGGAGCTCTCTGTCTGGGCAACTGGTCAGGAAAGACGTCGAGCTTCCTCGTGCCGCGGCCAGTATCTTGAAACTATGCATGCTTACATACTACTCAAAAGCGCTTCCCAAGACAACGTTGACGGGGCAGGCGGTGGCCCCGGCGCACGGAATCCATTCCATTGCTTGCCTTCAGTATGTATTGCAGGCAGTGGGCAGCGGGGAGAGACCCGCTAAAAAATGCTTATCGTTATCATCTCCACACTGTTTCTCGTACCTTGTTGCTGTTGACAACTCACGGGCGGTAAAGTCAACAGCGCTAGTGCTCATTCGGAACATTGACCTTGGCCGTGAATAATAATTTGGTGAAGCGCGTATCCGTACATGAACGGAGTCGAGCAGAGGAGAGTAGCACATGGCAGTTCCTGATACTCCATCCAGTTGCCCCAAACTGAACTCTTGCACGTAATCGTTGCTAATTGACTCCATATTGCTTCAAGAGACGTGGTACAGCATCGAAAAAAAAACCCCTCCAACAATGGACCCGCCACCCCCCAAGTCGCAGGCGAGCCTCTTCCAGGTCTATCTGCGACTGCGGCCAGCAACAACGGGTCTCGCAAATTCAGCAAATACGGAAAGGTGCTTGCTCGTCGAGGAACCCCAGAACTCCGATACCTTGACACATATTACACTGAACCCTCCGAACGACCGACGCCGTGCCATCGAAAAGTTCGCCTTCACACAAGTCTTCGAAGAAGACGCAACCCAGCTCGATCTTTTTCAGGGCACTGGAGTCTTGCCCTTAGTGCAGGGTACACTTGCGCCTTATGGAGGAGATGGTACAGATGGCCTCCTGGCTACTCTGGGAGTGACTGGCTCCGGTAAGGTACGTTACACCTCGAAAGAATGTTGTCGTGGTCTTGTGGCTGACGGCGTTGCAGACCCATACCATGCTGGGGTCGAAAACCCAGCGTGGTCTCACACAGCTGTCCTTGGATGTTATCTTCCGGTCGATTGAGCCGAACATCGTCGATTCAATCAAGCAGCCAACTCTCGAGGCGACCATCTCGGCTTCCGACGCATCTGAAGCAAGCATATATTCAGCACCAGCTTTCCTCGAGACTGTCTACAGCGACTTTGCGGGCCCTTCAAGGGCAGGATCAAGGGCGGGCACACCCATGGTGGTACGAGAAACCCCAAAGAAAGACTTTATTCGGCCCTCTCTGCGAGCGGCTTTCCCCGAACTGCCGGGCATGTTTCCAGAAAGTCCTGGTAGCGTGCGCCTTGTTCGCCAAGAGGATGAGATGTCTAACATCACTCAACTGTCCACGCCCCCAAGTGAGATGGACAAGAGCAAGTTGCTCGCTTCCCGGACGAACACGAATTCCAACAAGTCAAAGTTGGCATTGGGATCTCCGAGCAAAAACCACCATTACATGTCTCTTACTTCTGCTGCAATGTCCAAGAACGTGACCAAATCTAACAAATCTCCTGTGAAGGGTGACTATGCGCTCCCGCCGCCTACGCCCAAAGTGCGAATGACAAGGCCGTCTGCTATGCCACATAACCCCGACATCAACTCAATCCGGGCATCCTGCGACCCTTCAGCAGAGTACGCAATCCTCATCTCCATGTACGAGGTATACAATGATCGCATCTTCGATCTCTTGACACCACCAATCCGATCAAACGCGACGAAAGAATATCGCCGGCGGCCACTTCTGTTCAAGCCGACTGAACAATCACCCGACCGGAAGGTTGTGGCAGGACTGCGCAAAGTCATTTGTGGAAACCTGAAAGAGGCTCTCTTGGTATTGGAGGCAGGTCTACACGAGAGAAGGGTCGCCGGTACTGGAAGTAACAGTGTGTCGTCCCGAAGCCACGGCTTCTTCTGCGTCGAAATCAAGAAGCGCCGCAAAGGACGAACGAACGGAGCCTGGGGCGGCAGTACACTAAGTATTGTCGACTTGGCAGGAAGCGAGCGAGCACGAGATGCAAAGACCCACGGCGCAACTTTGGCTGAAGCAGGCAAGATCAACGAGAGTCTCATGTACCTCGGGCAGTGCTTGCAGATGCAGAGTGACATGGGCAACACCAGCAAGGTCAGTAGTCCCACGTCGTCCTATCCCCTCCAGAACAACATTGACAAGAACAGCCAAATCTCGTACCTTTCCGGCAATGCAAGTTGACCGAATTGTTGTTTTCCAACTCTTTCCCTTCAGCCTCTCTGGCTCAGTCTCAGCCAGTCCATCGTAAACCTCCCCAAAAGGCTGTAATGATCGTGACAGCAGACCCATTGGGCGACTACAATGCGACATCACAGATCTTGCGATACAGCGCCCTCGCTCGTGAGGTCACGGTCCCCCGGGTGCCGTCGATTACTCAGACTATCCTCAACAACCAACAGCCGTCATACCCTGACTTGCCCCAGTCCCGGTACAGTCCAAGCAGTAGTCCACCTTTGTCGTCTCCCATATCCCCTACGTCACACCACCACAAACCATTCTTCCATCCATCTTCGCCTACGAAAAATGGCAGTCGCATCTTCAGTCCCGCTTCGGACACGGAGCGCTCAACGATGGAGAATGCCGCTCTTGAAATCGCACGAATGGCCGAAGTCATCGATCAGCTTAACGATGAACTCGCCCGGGAGTCGGAAGCACGTATGACAGCGGAGGCACACCTTATGTCTATGGAAGACCGGCTCGTGGACCTCGAGCAAGACATTCGTGAAGAGTGCTATGCCGACTTTGAACAGCGCCTTGCCCTCGAAATGGCACGCATCAAGGTCAACATGGGGCTTGAGCAAGAGCGGAGCGAGGAGCACTGGGACAAGAAGGTCGAAGTTCTGGCTAGGGGTGTAGGAGTTACATTGACGGCGCCGAGCGACGGTGCGGAATCAGAGGATGAGGATAAAGAGAACGTCCTTATCGAGAACCTCGAGCAGGAGAACGAGAGACTCAGGAGAGAGTTGGCGGTTTTAAAGAGAGAGCTCGGCTCTAGAACGCCGAGCAGAAGAACACCACTGGGCGAAAGAGGTGACTTTGTGGGCGTCAAGAATGAAATGGCAGGTCTGGGCAACAAAATGGAGGAACTGAGGGTCGGTGACGTTAATGAACAAAGCAAGGGAAGTGGAAGGAAAACACAGCCCGGGAGCACGGGAAGTCCCACGAAGAAGGTCAGGAAGCTGACCGCAAAGAAGTGGGAGAACATTGACGCAGATGATGACTTGTTTTGAGGGAAAGGCGTTCATGGTATCTGCTCATGGTAAGAGCATGGCATCTGAGTATATGAAAGATAATGACTGGGTAATGATGATGGGAAGCAACAGGACACAATTGCTGTGGATATATGACGCGAGTATACCCTTGTTTTCACTGGTCGTTTCTTCACCTTCGATAACTCATGTTGATTGTATTAATGAATGGAGATTCGTTTGGCAGTTGGCCTCATTGACCTAGCTTCGGACAAGTGAGTTTCTACGAGATGTTTCCGGCTGTATAGAATTATCAAGGAAATGGAGGGAATGGCGCAGTCTCTCGATGTGTAGTCAGCAGTATGGTAATACCACCAAGCCTCCGCTGTGTGTAAGTGAACGAATCTCAAGTCGCGTTTTCTGGGAGTTTTGTCGGACTGTACTCTTCAGATATTGTAGTGCCCGTACCTTTGGCGAGTTTCTTCCCAGAAATGCGAACATGGTGAATCCCCGCTTCACCGCAGCGTGCGAAGCTCCATGGCATGTGAACTACTCGGACTTTACACAACAGTATGCATGGCACAGAAGTATTGTTATATGCTTGAATTATGATTATTGATTATAGGTTATAGGTACAGAACAGAAGCCTTGCTTTTCTGGCCCCAAAGCACGGACAGCAAAGGCAACTGCCAATTTAGTCCTCTGTCAGCGGCCTGAGTCTTTGCACAACAGCGGTGGTATTGCAGTTCTTGGGTGCGGAATAGTCAATCGTGTACAAGCTGAGGGACACCTTCCCGGCCTTGACCGTCGCTGTTTCACCGGGCAGAGAACAGTCACCGTTGATGCAAGTGTTGACGCCCGCAGCCTGAGGATTGACGTTGGCCCAGGTGAAAGTGCCAGCCGTGGTGGCTGCAATGGCGGCATCTGTCTCGGCGCCGCCCGTGAAGCGAGTCTGCACGATGTCCGTGGAGCTCCAGTTGGAATAGAGCTTGGGGTAGTTCACGTTGGCCCCGTATCCGAGCGGGAGGATAGGGCCGCCCTTGGGTGCGCTGGAAACGAAAGCATCCACGATCTCGCCGGAAAGTTGGGCGATCCATGTGTACTCGTTTGTCGTGTTGGTGATGGTCTTGTAGGAAGCAGCCGAGTTGGACGCGGAGAAAGCAATAGCCGGGATCGAGCGGGAGGTGGCTGCATAGGCGGAACCGGCGGTTCCGGACAGCGTCCATACAAAAGCGCCCAGGTTCGTGCCATAGTTCGGTCCCGTGACGACTAGATCTGGGACGCTGAAGTTGGCGAAGTTGGGCAGCACATAGTCGAGTGCGACGAAAGTGCATGCCGCGGGAGTTCCGTTGTAGTACCAGATATGGCTGTCCGTTGGATCGGACCCGACTGATGGGGCACCCGTTGGGATCAGGTCATACTGTGATGGCGAAGTGAGGTTAGGGTAGGTCGTGAAGTCGGTTCGGCCTCCCTGTCCGCTCTGCTGGAGCGCAGGCGCAACGATCCAGACTGGAGTACCTATTAGCCAATGCGCGGACAGTCGAGGGGCTTTTTGTCCTACCATTGTGTCCCTTTGCCTTCAACACCTTGTAGAACTCCCGAAGATTGGCACTTCCAAAACCGTCATCATTGTTCATCAAGATGTTCAAACCATTGGCAGAGCTCAGCAAGACGCTGGCCGCAGTACAGAGTGTAGAGACACGCATGGCTGATATGTGAACCTACGAACAGCAACTGATGAGCTTTGGGATTGTCTGTCTCCTTACAGGGCTGCGATCGAGGGTGAGAGGACAACGAGATTGCATCTTGACAGGTTGCCACGGCCACACTTCTTATACGATGGAAGGAAACTGACAGACTGGGTAGCGAGGCACGCGACAATGTCAAATCAGTATGCAGGAACAAGCAGTTGTATTGGTCCCGATAGATTGCTAGCACCGTATCTCCTTCCCTGTTGGGCAAGGCAGGGCTGGGCATGCAGTGCCCAGCCCGGGGAAGCTAGTGAGCTGATAAGTAGCACATGGGTAGAGTTACCGCTAAAGACTACAATGCCGGCGTCCGCCGGTGCTCCGTTACGATATGATTACTGCTACCTGAACCAGATCGCTGGGTCCAAAGTAACAGTGATGCGTAACAAACTTAACTATTCGTCTTGCTGCATGAGGCTCGGTAGGTAGCTGGTTGGACTGAGTCAGCAGGTTTAATTTTCTCCGGCTCTTACGTTCAAGCACTATCATAGGTGGCCAATTCATCTGGCAATTGCTCATGCTTGAAAGCCCACGACGCCCATTGTATCGTCCTTTTCTTTTTTCTTTTTATCTTCTTCAATTCTTTTTTCTCCGGCCAGTACACGCCAAACCCATCCACTGAAGAATGAAGAATATCATTTGGCCTATCTCTCGTCCAATACAGAGTTAGTTCCTAATGCTTGCAAGTTCTATGATTTAGAGCTCCTCATCTCTCAAGCGTCAGTCAACACTTGAGTCAAGGAGCGGATAATCGAGACGCTCCCGCGTTCGACTGAGGCGATGGCTGCAAGCATGACGCAAAGGCTACCGTCGATGAATTCATGCACCCAGGGCACAACATAAATCTTTGTCCTCACCCCGAGAGACATTTGTTTGGCCATGGGAATCAATGTACAGGAACTCAGGCATGACTGTGTAGCTTATCATGATAACCAGTCCAGGATACATTCGATTAATCATCTGAGACAAATCGTATATCAACGCATATGGAGGTTGCTTTTTCTAAACTCGCCAAATACTGGTTCTCACTGCTGTTTAGACGCCGGATCCAACACAGATTAGTCTAGTGAAATCGGGGGTACGCATAGTTTAATAAAAAGTACAACGTTTACTCGGGGCTGTTTGCTTTTTGGAATGTCCACAAGTACATCTATGAATGCATTTCAGAGTACAGCGTTGCGACGCGTTCCTTGCTGTGGCCCAGGTGTTAATCTGTCCTATGTCCAGCCCTATATTGCATTACCGTATCTGTATGAAAATACATTCTGGCGGCCTCAGTCTCCAACTTCATGGATTCGATTTATACAATACAGCCTTAAAAGCTATTAGATTACATAGGCCATATGGACTTAGAAGATAGTATTCTTAGACCACCGAATCCCAGACTCCTAACACCTCATGTGCTAGAATTGACAGCGTGGAACATTTTTCTTGTATAATAAGCACATGTGCGTTAGGCATACAGGTAATGCGAAGACTTGCTTCTCAGGAATCCACTAAAACGTGGCAAGAAAAGGCTATGCCGGTATTAGTCATGCAGTGAACAACGTGCCGCTTTCCTTTAGGTTTAAGTGGCAAGTCGTTGATCATAGAACAGTAATCACATTCATTGAAAACATCAATATGACGAGCTAGTACATTATCCAGAGATGTATAGCAACAATAGTTTCTCTTTAACATTTTAGGAAATACCACGAGTTCACACCCGTCTTAAGTAGTTGTATCGTTCTGATTTATCGCCCCCATGCTTTTGATCCCTAACCCCCCATACTTTCCACTCTCTTCGTATTCAGCCAATCCTCGTAGAACCTTAGCACCCTGTTGAAATATTTGTTAAAGTAAGTTTCGGTTTGGTTCCGTGACGGTGGCTGTTTGCATATTCTAGTATGTGCGTTTGCCTTTCCTTCTTTGACAAGCTTTCTGTCGCAATAATCAAGCAGAAAAGCCATCGGCAAGGCTGTCCAATTCTAAAGCCTCTTTCTTTGCGTGAAAATGCCGTTAAAGCGATCCGGATTCTGGAGGAGGGCTTCTTGGGTATATAATGTTTCCAGCTGGCCTTTGATAAAGTCCCAATGTTGAAACTTCTTCGGGAAAAGCCCGCAGAATAATTCCGTAAATTGGTCAATATTGTTGTATTCCCAATGTGTCTGGCCAGCTTCCTTTAAGATACACCCCGCTTTTTCAGACGTGGATAGCCCATTGGTTCTCCATGGACCAAGTTTGTGACTTTGGGCGTTAAGTCGGAAGAACGCATGGATGATGGCCGGTTGAAAGTAATTTTTTGAGCAACAATGGGTTATCCATCCAGAATAGACAGGGCTTTGGGTATGTTAGAGGAGATGTAGTGTTCATTTTATGTTTGAGATAGAGCGACAATGTGCACAATACCAGTTTGGACTTCTTTAACAGTAGCGAATATCATTTAAGCGTGATCTGACATGGTAGGGGTAAAATGAATATGGGAGGTTCACCCATCTCCGACCTATCCATAACTTTATTTATTCATTTTCTCCTCCACTACATTCTGTCTCAAATTGCCTCTAGCAAAAGAATAAGTTTCTTACCGGAACCTCTCGCCAATCACGCATTCGGAGAGCGCAATTCAACATAAATGCGCACAGCTGTCGAGAGCAGTTGCTCTGCTTCTATATAGAACACCAAGACCATTGCGGTCAAGGGATATTGCCTTCCGTCCATCGGCACGAGTTCTGACTGGATTCAGGTTCCACACCTTCTGGTGGCATTCGTTCCGGAGTTTGTATAATAGTAGAATCTGACTGATTTTAGGATTACCCTCAATAGACAGTTGAAGAATCGAGTGCTAGAATATGACATGTTACTGTCTTTTTCTCTATTGTTTTACTTGGTCATGCTTTCGATAGCAGCCGAGGCTCTGCCCCAATAGCAAGATGACACAGGCATCGGGCTTCATGAGTATATAGCCTGCTTTAGGGCCACTTCGTAAGAATGATCACATCGTGCGACATTTTCAACTTCCGGTTGCCTGTTGCTGTTGAGCGGACACATTTACCCCATCGCGCAAAAACAAATACTTGCTCCTATCCCGCCACCTTTGAAAATAAGGTTGGGTGATAGTGGGAGTGGCCTTCCTAGACGTCTGAGCGCACTAACCGAGGTTAGCGATCAGCGGATAGTCAGAACCAAGCCCTACGTCTCTTCCAAACACCTACGACCCAATGTGACATCAACCTGAAGCAATAGCTCTTGTTTCAATAGCGGCTATAGATGTCGAAGTAAACTGATCTGCGAGCGCATTGTTAACTTCATCGCACCCTTTCTCTCTGAATCATGCAGACCAGTCGATAGTACGATTTAGTAGTGGGGTTGAACCTGCGTTTAACATCAGGGCCCTGTTCAACTTCGGCAACCTTACCGACGCGGCGGAAGTAGCACCATCTCGAGACCATGTGTCCAACTCCAACGCAGATCATTAAGACGGGACGGACGAACGCATTATGCAGCTAACCTGAACTGGTCGTCCTTGAGGTCGTTCGCGACAACCATGCTCTTCTGGAGACGTTCACATCAGAAAGCGTCAGTATCAGCGACATGTGATGCAGAAGCATTTATCACCACTGAAATGGTTTAGAGGCCGAGTCACGCATATGTCAAAAAATGCCTGTTTGTCCCGTCACAACGTGGGACTACCGCATCAACGGCATTCCCACTAGACTAAGGTATGGACGCTTTCACTTGTCAACTCCGCATATAAGCCCCAACCACTACAAACTAACACCCATTTACTGCAATGACAACTCAAGCTTTAGCGAATGGTTTGCCGAGACGGAAGTAACGACTCTCTAATATAGTGTTTGCGCAAGTTTCTCATAATGTGAAAATCGTATCATCTTAGAGTGGGCGTTCATCGTCGTCATGTTATATCATCTCGAAGACTCCCAAGCACCTCCACAATCGGGATTATTGGGCGCCTGGAGTGTATACTTTGCAAATATGCCTGGTCCATGAGAACATCTCATTCGGGACAATGTTTCCCAGTCATTGCTCAACTGCTACGTCCACGGGTAGATCACCGCAGTGCCAAGAGCGAAGATGGAGACCCCACGGACTCCCAAGTGTCATTCAAAGTGTGTACGACTGAGTCGGCATCCGTAGTGTCCAAGCGCACGTGGCAGATCAATTCCCGGATCGTCTTGTTAGGAATGACATCCCTGAACAATAATCATCATACCGTCGATAGTGAGATACCTAAGCCTGTTACTGATCTACACATGGATGAACAGTACTCTGCAGATTTTAAGTTTTAGCCAATGCAGACACTTCGGTCGGACCGTTCACCACCCCGGTAGTTGAGCACTAATACCAATACTATACCAATACTAGACATCAAGCTGATAGTACGGCATGATCCAGCAGTAGATGCACATTTTGACTGAAACGAGATAAAATGCGGCCATCGCCACGTTCGACAACCATCCCCTAGTACTACTCGGATATCAGAAAAAAATCCAGAACGATTTTTCCGTTTGAGCAACTTTCTGTGGTTAGGTTTTGCACCATTTGGTTGTGCTCTTTCAGGGTTCCACGCAGCCATGGATCAGCTTCCGACTTGTGCAGTAAGCCGCGGAAACGTTGAACCATACAGAGAATTACACTAATATTCCAAAGCTGACATGTCTTGTATCTGCCATACAAGCTTCGTCTTGTAGCATGGCAGACACCAGCTGTCAGTGCACCAACCAGGAGCTCAATTCTCTCGTGGAAACGTGTGTGCTCAACCGTTGCACGCTACAAGAAGCTTTGTGTATGCCTCACCAGCCGTAGCTCCGAAACGTGGTGGTGTACTGACATTTGCAGTTACCAAGAATATCACCCAGACAATTTGTGGTGCTCCAATACGACACCAACCTGCAAACTATTTGGCCATCTCTGTCAGCTTGATGGGAATTGCAACTGTCCTTGTGCTCACGCGGCTGGCGTTCAAGAGGCTCTTCACTTCAAATGGCATCACTCTCGACGATTGGCTCATCCTCCTCACATGGCTGGCATGTATTCCTAGCAGCGTATCCAACCACTTGCTGCTGATGGGCAATGGTCTCGGAAGGGACATTTGGACGTTACCGACCGAGTCTCTGACGCATTTTGCCCTAGGCTTCTGGCTCATGGAGCCGTTCTACTTTTTCGAAGTTTCCGTTCTCAAACTTTCCATGATCGCATTTTATGCCAAAATCTTCCCAGGAAAGAACACACGCCAGCTTCTGCTATGGACGGCGGTGTTTGATGTTCTCTTCGGGGCGGCGTTTATCCTCGTCGTCTTCGGTCAATGCATACCACTTAACTTCTTTTGGACGCAATTCCAAGGAAAAGAAGGCAAGTGCATCAACATTGGTGCGGCGGCTTGGTCGAATGCGGCTGTCAGTGTAGCCCTAGATGTATGGCTGTTGGCCATACCCCTATATCAACTGCGGAAACTCCAGTTAAGCGTGTGGAAAAAGGTCGGGGTCGCACTGATGTTCTGCGTTGGATCTTTGTAAGTGCTGCACTGGTAATCAATAAGATATGTCTGGTCTAATATGTCTAGTGTTACGATCATCAGTGCAATCCGTTTTGCTGCGCTCATTCAAATGCAAAATTCAACAAACCTGACATGGGATTATTATCATGTGGTCATGTGGTCAACGGTTGAGGTTACCGTTGGCATCATGTGTACCTGCATGCCTACGATGCGCTTGGTATTGGTTCGGTGTGCGAGACATATTGGTGGCACAACCTCTCAAAACTATACTCATTTTAACCAAGATTCAAAATCGGGACCTGGCTCAACAGCAACCTGGAAATCAACCGAGGTAATGCTCATTGAGAATGTAGAGCGCGGGCAGATAGCTATACCTCAACCGACACATTTTAAGATGTAGACGAGGGATGCCATAGACATGAACCCAGATCTTTGCCAGTTGTATATATGCGTCTTCACTGTGAGCATGACCAACATGGAATGCTCCACAAAAGAAAAAAGAAAATGCTTCTTGAAAAAAACTCTAAAAGAAAAGGTTTTCTTCTTTTTTTCTCTTTGGTAATCGGCTAAACCCAATAACACAGCCACCATGGTACGAGAAAATTAGTTCGGTTGGGTCATGACTACAAATACAGGCAAGCCCAGAAGTTTTGGACTTTTTCTTGACGTGCATCGCCCATCCCAAATTCCAAACTTCTTCTATCATCGTTGAACTTGAATATCTTCTTGCGATCCGTGAACTTGAGCATTTTTTTCATAGACACCGATCAAGACAGATGAAGACTATGGCTCGCACACAGCTTGCAGGCCATATTGCATGGCTACCACGCATGAATACTCCGGGTATCGATCTAAGTCTCGACCCCGGATGTTATGATCATCCAGTCGTCATCCTATCACCGCGAGTGACGGTTGGCAAAGTTGTGATTCTCACCATGACATCGTTCGGTGATACCGACCTTGTGGAGAGACACAAACATGCACGAAAACGACGACCATATCTTCCGGTCTTTCCTGCTAGCCCTCACCCTGATAACGGCATTATCCTATACCTCGAGGACCTGTCTCTTCCTCTGCATAGGAATGGGTGGATTGACACGAGTGAACCACTTACTGTCAGATTCGACTCATTAATACCCTACAATGAACCCGAGGAAGACTTTACGCTCTCAAGAGCGTCATACCAGCAACTCATTGGATATTCCGGGTTCGGATCCTCCCTGGGAAAAATCTGTCAGGTCCCGTGGCGCTCACAAGCGTACAGTCCTCCGAAGGACCGTGGTCCCCTTGGTGCCGATAGCGGAAGCATATCCCCAAATACCTTATCGAGCTTCTATCAACAGAGCCGTAGAGTTTGGTCTGAACCTTTGGCTCCAAGACCTATACGCGATGGGCAAAACGAGCTTAAACGCAGGTCCTGGCCGCTTTCAAGACTCCGAAAACCTTGTGACGAGGAAATTGGCCAGGATGCAACAGCTCTCCCCAACCAGCCAGCCACCAACACTGGCCAGCAGTCATGGTCAATGTCGAGGCTTCGAGAACCTCGTGATGAGGAAGTCGAGCAGGCCGCAGCAACTCATCTCAACCGACCGCCCAGCACTGCGAGCAAATACTCCGGCTTGTCTCATGGGAAGGCTTGCCGGCAAGACTCTCCTGCATGCATACCGTTCCCGTTGGTGCCACGAGAGACGTGCTCCTCAACGGAACAAGTTGTGGAGTCTGTCTTGAGGGCTCTTTCTGTCTGTCGCATGACATAACATCTTCACATCTGCCAGTCGCAACGGTTGACACGGCGCCGCTTAGGCAACAAGGCTTCATGATCGAGTGTGCCACTGAAGCCGACAATGACGGGCTTCTGCAGCGCTGTCGAGGTGATGGGAAAAGGAACTCACAAAGTCTTGGCGGCAAACAATGTCAGGGGTGGAATTAGATGACAGAGAATAAAAGGCAGCGAACAAGGTTAAACACGAGATTCAACAACCTTGGTCGCGTAAATCATACCATATCATTGATTTGATATGTGTGTTTGTATTCACCATACAAAACAAGGCCCTGTACAAACTTGATCTCATTCCGTCTGGGTTCGGGGATGCGGCCGTTGCTTTGTGGTACAACTACTCGATACCCCACTGTGCAATTACTCAGTGCCTGGTGGTGAGCGGAGGCTGGGTGGCGGGGCTTCAATTAACGCGCCAGAACGCGTCTGGCCTCCAGCGACATTACGCAGCGACTGCAAGCACCGGCAGAAGTCCTGAACTTGCCGCCACATCGCAGCAAGCATAGCAACCAAACGGCCAATGCGTGTTGCAATGGCCTTGGGTTTCGCAAACTGTTCTTGGCCCCGGCGCTGAGCGCAAATTCACAATCATCGGAACAGAAACGGAAACAGAACCAGAATCAAACATGGAGGAATGGAGCAAGCGACATTTCTTCTTCCATGGCAAGAAGGTGAGCTAACACCTCTCGTCCCACCCTCTTATGCCATTTTGGGGGGTTTCGTTTTCGTTTTCGTTTTCAATTCCATTCCCTTGTGTTTTAATAGTAGTGATATGTATTACACAGCATACTTACAAACACAAAACTCAGGGCCATGATTCGGAAAAGAAAGACTGCCACTGGTGTCAGATTCGCTCCTTCAAACATCACAACGAATTCCCTGTCACCATCATCAACCACATTGACAACACTGTCCCCAGCTCGCATTTTCGTTTCACCGACCACTCCGTCTATCGCCGAGGCGTCGAACCTGCTAGAGATGAGTTCCGTAGCGGCTGCGACTGTGATCACGGTGAGCAATGCCAGTACGATACCTGCCACTGTCTGCAGGAGCTGGAGGACTCGGGCGACGATTCCGAAATGGAATACGGCACGCACGGCGACGCATCACCGAAAAAGGCCTACGCTTACCACACGCATGGCATCAAGAGAGGGCACTTGAGGTCAAAGGTTCTCGAATCCAGGGAGCCCATCTACGAGTGCCACGACGGATGCGCCTGCGGCCCAGACTGCCCAAATCGTGTGGTGGAAAGGGGCAGGAGAATCCCCCTTCAGATTTTCAGGACCCCCAATAGAGGCTGGGGTGTCAGAAGCACGGTGGACCTCAAGAAGGGCCAGTTCGTTGACACGTACATGGGGGAGGTCATCACGCCGGAAGAGGCAGACCGCAGAAGGGCCCTATCAGACATCGCGTCGCGGAAAGACGTATATCTGTTCGCCCTCGACAAGTTCTCGGATCCCGAGTCCCCAGACGAGAGGCTCAGAGGCCCGCCCCTGGAAGTCGACGGGGAATTCATGTCCGGCCCCTCCCGGTTCATAAACCATTCCTGCGACCCGAACCTGCGCATTTTTGCCAGAGTTGGGGACCACGCAGACAAGCACCTTCACGACCTGGCATTCTTTGCGATTCGGGACATCCCGAAAGGTGACGAGCTCACGTTCGACTACGTGGATGGAGTCAAGGACGACGACATGGTCAATGATGCTCTCGACCCGGCCAAGAAAAAAGACATGGCAATTTGCCTTTGCGGGACCGCGAAATGCCGTGGGTTTCTGTGGTGAAGTGATGTGTCTCCAAGTCTGCAGAGCTCATCATGCGGCAGACAAATGTACAAGAAAGATTGCAAGGATCAAGGAAGAACAGCCGGCGAAGGAAAAGGAAGATAAAAACTAGAAATCGAATTTTAGTCGTATGAAATTGCTCGTGGTATCTATCGGCAAGTCGTGATGAGCTGTAACCCGACGGCATTCTGATTCTATTTCGGTGCTCCCGACCCCCTTGCCCCTATTGCATTACATACATAGCATGCAGACTAACCTTGGGGTTAGTTTACCGTAGTCAGCCTCGGAAGCGGGGGCCGCCAAGACGAAAGAGATCAGATCAAGAAGCTACCAATGTTAGTCTAGTCTAACCTTTTGATGAGCCTCAACTTCGCGAAATCAATAGCTAACCTCTTTCTTTCTCACTTTCCTTCTTTCGCTCCCTGGCACTAGGAAACTCACTTCAAGTGGTTCTCACTGGCTTTGTTCAGTCGGTCTGACAGGGTGAAATATCTTAGTTGCCTCTTCCATGTGTACCATGTATCACACCAGCTCTTAGGCCTGGTCTTACAATGGTAAGTTGCTGACTGACCGCCCACCATCTCGTCCTACTAGCATCAGCTGAACTTGTCGTCTCTTCTCAGGGTTGCTGTTTCTCTCAACCTGCCGGGCCCAACGCGCCTTATCCCGGCGGCGCCCCTGGTGGATCCTCCCGCGCCATCAACTCACCTCGACTACAACCTGCACCGGCCGAACAGGGCAGCTCGAGGCAGCCCGATGTCGCTCAAACCACACGACCCCCCGCCCAGACATCCTCCTCCGATTCATCCAGGCGCCGCAGGGAGCAGCGGCCCCTCGATCAGCACATAGACAAGCCGCTGAGGTGGCACGTCTGGCAGTCCAAAAACAGGACATGGACAAGAGCCCAGCTCGACAAAGAGAGGGAAGACTTCTTCGACACACGAGTCACCGGGAGGGCCGAGGTATGGCAGATTGTACACGCTGCCCTCCGGGAACTATGGGAAGCCGATCTGGCCAGGACAGCAAAGAGCCCCGATCCGACCGCTCGAGAGCAAGCCTCCGATGACGATCCCGCCCTGGGTACTGCTCAGGGAATGCTCAGGGCTGCCGAGGTCACCCTGCCGACCGGTGACTTGGCCAACGGCGTCTATGACTCTCTCGGCCAGTATTATGCGTTGCCAGAGTGGATCGTCATAGATCCCATCAACATTACGCTCACTGGCAGTCCGGAGCCCGAGCTAGATCGCAAGGTCGAGAAAGCCAGCGGCGAGGAATCTACCGAAGATATCGATGAAGCCGAGGCAGCGCGTCGGCGAGAGGAAAAGGGCAAGGCCGTCGCCGAACCGAAATCCGTCACCATGGTACGGATACGAATCAGTGAGACTGCCCGCGATATCCTCGTCCGTGTCTCCCCCGAGGAGAGTGTACGGGGCGTCGCGCAAAGGGCTCTGCAGCAGTCAGGTCTAGATCCTAGTTCCAGGCGAATTCGTCTCGTCTATCTCGGAAAGACGCTGAAGGAGGATGCCTCTCTTGCGGCACAAGGTCATCACAAAGACCATGTTATCAATGCCTTCATCAACACGATCAGATAGGCGCGACGTGAAATCTTTGCCCTCTGTTTCTTCAAACTGTTCTTTGGATTACAACCAGCTCACCAGATTGCATCGGCTCGACTTATACCCTATTCCAAGAGACCTCAGGTGGCAAGCTTGGATTTATGGAGTTCACGGGTGTTGGAGTTGTTGCGCCATTTGATGTCATTACAGAATGGCCGTACCATATATCGTGGCACTTGCAATTTTTATCATGCGATTAGACTAATTTGCCATTATAGGGCTTGATTAATAAGTTAATTACTGGCTATGCTATATTCCGTTTCCGCATATGAAAAAAAAAAAAAAACATGACAATGCGCACAAACAAGCATCACCGCATTGCTACTTAACCTTGCTTCGAAGGAACAGATTCGCTTGGTCAGATCAACCATCTGATGGACCTACCTTACCTTCTGGCTACTTCGCGACGGGACGCCATTGTACTCCGAACATACGCATGTCCTTGTTCAGCTCTGACTCTAGACGTAACACCGCAGTAGGGATACATAAGCGCGCTGGAGGATTACGATTGGTTCCAGAACATCCCCCCCCCCCCCCCCCCCACCAAGAAAAAAAAAAGGGGGAAAAGGCTATGCCATGTCAGCAAGAGGGAGCCCAGCTAGAGATCCTAACCGAGCAGCCACAAGGTCCAAACGGAAAGAAATAATCAATAAAGACGAGATGGCGGACAACTAGTTCAAGGTGGAACTGAAAACAAGATACGGCTCGGTGCGGCAGACTTCAGGTCCACAGTTCAAGTGACGACGCCACCGGATGAAGTTGTGGAATTGGGATTCTTAGTTAATATGTAGCAAGGTGGGACGCTCCTACTCTCCTCATGGTAAATACGCTGACGACTGCGCAGACCCTTGTCTACTGCTTAGTTGATCCTTTTATATACCGCTACATGGTCTACCACCTGTTCCTTCACACTTATTTCACGATTTTCCGCCCCCAATTTGCCTGATCCTTCGACCACACCCCCCCTGCAGTCAACTCAGCGCTCGGTAGCAATAGTCCGCTTAGATTTTGTTGGCCAGGACAGGAGACATATGTCCCTTCTGCAGAGTTACCATCTGCACATGATGAAAACATAAGTGAGCTGACCATCGCCTTCAATCAGCTATCTGCACGCTTAAACCGAGTACAGATCCGTAAGTGCAAATATATGATCCGTGCTAAATGGCCCCTGTCAAGATTTCAAGATGCGATTCTGACTAAATTCTGCTTTAAGTTACTTTAGGTCTAGCCGATTGTGGGCATGGTCAGATCATCTGTGCTCTCGCACATTGTAGACCCTAGAAGAAAGAGTGTGAGAGAGACAGTTCTTTCACTGAACGCGAGACACAATACTCCCGTTGTTGGCCCTGCTTTTCGTGATAGAACGCTACGTGGTTTTTCCGCGTCAAATATTGGCGCATGATGAGTAGCAGCGCTAACCACAGGGTAAAAGCCTTGGCACGGCGGAACGCTCGACGATCCGGACCGTTAGGTCCTCTGCGAATGGTTGGGCAACGCGAGCGCCATGCAGGACACTTCAATCCCTTTGCCATCTATCGTTGGGATGCGCCTCGAAGGGCCGTGGAATCAAACCCAGATCTGGAAGCTGGTCGGAGAGCAGGCGAGGCAGACTCACCCCTGGAAATCGACTGGACTGACTTGCCTCCGTTGCAGCAGGCAAGCTCAGCGCCGGCTGAGCTGGAGACAAGGGCTTCTCATGGAGGAACTGGGGACCGGCGGCGCATCTCGTTCAACGACAGGAGTCACTCGGCTGCGGTTCTCAACAATCTGACGGTTCGCAACCGAAAGCCCGCAAGTATAGAACGCGGCTCTGCAATTGAGTCCTTTCTCTATAAGAGACCCACTCGCTTCACAGTCACGAATCAGGTCCTAAGGACGTTCTTCAGCTCTTGGGTCAACGTATTGCTACCATGTGTGCCAGCCGGTATAATACTACATGCGAAACTAGGGGATTCCGTAGCAACCTTCATCATCAACTTCATCGCAATCTTTCCATTGAGTTTCATGTGCGAGATGGCACTAGACGAGATCAGTCTGAGGGTTGGTGATTTGATAATGGGTCTCCTCTACGTAAGCACAAGGTAGTCGGTCCAGATCTTCCACTTCAATTCACAAACATTTACATCTTGGCAGTAACTTCGTCCAGCTGGTTGGATCTATAATCTTAATACAGGCACGAGAAACTGTGCTTCTTCAGACATCATTGGTCGGAAGTCTCCTTGCGAACCTGCTGCTGATTCTGGGGCTGAGTATCTATGCAGGCAGTCACCAGCGAGAACATCAGTACTTCAATTTGGGGGTGGCACACACGAGCGCAAACCTTCTTTCGTTGGCAGCAACCAGCTTGCTTATACCGACGGCATCAAAACTTCTCGATCAGATGGCGCCTGATAAGATACCCAAGCAATCACGTGGTGCCTCTTTCATACTGATATGGGTATATGCTTGCTATATGTACTATCAATTCAGATCGCACACGGCGACCTTTAGGGAGGAGACACAGAAATCAGAGAAATGGGCGCAAAGGACCAGAGAACGAGGCATTGCTGCAGCGATACAGACTGGGACAGTGATCGCCACGGCTCCTATAGCGCATGCCATGTTGCGTGACGAGGATATCGTGAGGCATACCGTTGGTGAGTCAGAAGACGACACGTCCACTACGAGAACACCGAACCTCCATCTAGGAGTGGCAGTCGCGACATTCATCATTTCTGCGGGCCTTTCAGCCCTCTGCGTTGATTATACCGTCAATAGCATCAACGCGCTGAGTACTGGTGCCAAACTATCGCAGACTTTTATTGGCCTCGTTCTGCTGCCAATTCCAAATTGTGATCTTGCGCCAATATCACATGCCATCGAGGATAGACTGGATAACGCCATGAACTTTACGATCGGGAAATGCTTACAGACAGCTCTATTCATCACACCGCTAGTAGTGCTAATAGCTTGGGGCATGGGAGTAGATGGCATGACTTTGGTATTCGACGGCTTCGAAGTCGTCAGTCTCTTCGCCGCGATTCTTTTGCTCAATTTCCTTCTGATAGAAGGAAAAGTCAGTTGGTACAAAATAGATATACCCCCAATGCTTCTTTTCACGCTAACCTTGTATAGGATTCAAGGCATGCTATTGCTTAGCGATTGGGGTTTAGTAGCTATTGCTGCCTTCTTCAGTGAATAGTCTTCTCGCTCATCAAGTCGACCGAAACGCTGGCATTCGGCCGAGAAGGTAGGATCTGCTTCAGGGGTATTACCTACTGTTGTTCTGAGTACAGAGCCAAACACTTATAGATACGACCGACAACTAGGACCGATGAAGACCGTGGGAAAGCCATGACGATCTCGTCAAAGGTGCCTCATTATGGTTAACTTGGGAACAACTCAACGTTAATTGCGATAAGCTGCATGCAGCAAGAAGAATGCACCTGTGCCTCAAGTTGTCCTTCCATTTCACGCATGGGCTTTAGAGTCATGATGTCTTTCACCATGCGCAGAACATGGTTATTTTTGGAATGTTCTCGCCCTCTCGGATAAGACTCGCCAGACGATGCCCAAGACACGCTATGATAATGGACTCTTTCCACTGCCAACGAAGATGGGAACTTCGAGGGGAACAGCTATCTTTACATGAGCCCTGGACAGATATGTCGTGTCAGGATCGAAGGCACCTTCAAGTTTTGCACGGTGCCATTGCTTTTGGCCATCATGTGCAGCAATTGTGCCTTGGACGGTTGCCGAAGACCTGTCGATTGAAGGTCGGCGGCCTACGAGACTAGCTTCGCGGAGAGCTGCAATAGGTGGAAGAGTGTCGCGATAGTCACTCTGATGTTGAAAGATGATATGAAGAATGGCTTATGAAAATGGTCGGCTACTTTGCGTACTTGTGGTCTTCTATCGGACAAGATATTGGAAGACAATGCGCGGGGCCGCTTGCAAAGCTCTTGTTTTGCAGATGCCAAGTCCGATCCTCGATGTGGAAAAGTTGACATAAACAGACAGAAATTCTGAGAAGCGATCAACAAATTATCTTCCGTCTGAGCGCTTGCCTAACATCAAAACTTTGAGAAACGTATCTAGCCCATTTAATCCAGTCCATATTTTTCATGATTGCGATGTCCTCCAAGCACGACCTAGAGTCGACATTCCGAGTCAGAAAACGCAGATGATCTATACAAGAGAGTAGTTATTGTTGAATTATCCGGCGTCTAATTCATATCATACCACATTTATTGTCGATTCATGTTTTAAGTACATGATACGTTCTTGCACAGAATTGGGGGTAGGCACCTATTTATATGTTTGCGAAGTTGTAAAGTAGAGTGACGTCGTGGTAAAGACTAGGCTTGGTTTTTGCTTTCAATATCCTTCAGCTTCCAGAAGCCTCTTGACTGGTAATACAATTTAGTGTTTAGAATGTATTGATTTTATTTAAAACTTTTAGTAGCTTGAAAATTAGCAATGGAGTTTAGTGTTGACTCTGTCAAACTAATAAGAAAAGTCAGTAGCTACTTTCCTAATAAGACTCGTGACAAGCAGCAAAATACTTGCTGGAATTCAAAGGGTTGAGTGCTCAAAGCACCGGCGCAGTACAAGCCCTATGACTTTTTGAAAACAGAGGAACAACTTTTACGACGTCGAACAGGTAGCTTGTACGAACATGGCGTATGACTCTTGTTATACCGGTGGTACAGTAACGTTTCCGAATTGACGGACTCTGGTTGATAACACCACTTCGAACTACGCTATGAAAAGGTTATGTTTTGGCCCCCAGCGGCGTTGTGGTGAGTTTATGGGCACGTAAATGGGTGGTAGCCTTGGTCATGACCACCGTTATTGCATATTGGCGGGTGATGCTCCTTTGAGCCAGGCGCCTTGCTTCCCTTGTCTTTGAATCCCTCTGCACCTCAAAAGGCCTACCAAAAATACAGAAGTCCTCGCTTTCACGCCTACTATGTTAGTCTGGCCGTTCATCACACCGTTCGACGATCCATGGAATGTCTTCCTTGTTATCTATAATCAAGATGTCAAACAGGCCAAACAATATTTGTCAGAATGAAAGGAATGTAAGTCACATTAACCCTTCCACAACCCATGGCACCCATCCCCCCAAGGTAGTCAGCGGAGAGCAGCGTTTATTCATCATGCTCGTACAAAGCCTTCATCACGGCTTAGCCTTAGACTCGAAGACCATCCTTGGTTGATAGAGCCTGTCATCTTGGGCCGGAAGCATTACTTCACGGGAATGTAGAAAGAACTTTGGAGCAAAGACACCATGAATTGAGTGAAGCGAGTGGTGTAATGCGTCCCTGATGACGAACCATGGGAGATGTTCCAAAGCCACGACTGCTTTTATATCTATCTATCTATATTTCCTCAAAATGGTAATGCAATATGGTAATAAATGCTTCATAAAGGTAAGGCAAAGACTGCAATATACGACAACAATATCAATAGAATATTCCCGGGTGAGACAGGTGAATCGCGCACTACTCGTCCTCAATCTCTTCAATCTCGCCACAAATTTCTTCCATATCAAATCTTGCAACACACACCCCCTCTGTACATGATGGGCGCCACTAAATTATGTTGTGCTTCGTTGAATGATGGTTAGCTGAGCAAGCTAATAAGTTAAAAATTCACGAAGTCGCGTAAACTCGAATCATGCACTGGTCTCCGTGTGATAACCCATTATGTCCTAAAATACATGTGGCAACGAATATATACCCTGAGATTACCATCGTTCTATTGACGGTGGGCCCACTGTTTTTGAATGTCACAATACACTGCTAGCTTTTCAGAGAAGGAGTATACAGGATCTAGTGGCATTTGAGGTCATTACATTTTTGTTGGTCGAAGTCTGCTGGGAATCAACTGTAGCCTTCATGAATTTTTGCATGCGCCATTTGTTGGGTAACCACAATAGCGCCATAATTAGCGCAACAGCCATCCTTTGTTACCTATATTGATGAGATCCCCTATTACAGAGGGCAAGGAAACACAAGAACCAGGGATGAAATCCACGTTAGATCTTAGTCCAGGGTCTTTCCGATCAGCAATCTCGCATTGGAAGTGAAGATGTAGCAATATACCTGTACCTATACTATTAGCTATACAGTTTAGAACGACACTGCTACACAGTCTGACGCACTGTGTTGCGCGACCGGTTGCAACGGCAAGTCAACGAGAAGCTGGCTTTCACTATCTCCATGGTACGGTACAGCACTTGATAGGTGGTTACGCTGACATTATGGAGCCGATGAAATTGAAAAGCTCCGGAAATTATGGTCATGTTTGTTACAATTTTCCGTCCCATGCAATACCCCTGACTTCTCCACGTTTCTCTGTTGTGAAACACTAGACCAGCCCTTTGACTTGAGTACAACCTCCTGGCGGCCGTGGTCCTGGTACCAAACACTCTAATTCTAATTTGACCACCCATGCATCACGAGAAATAAGCTCATCATGAATCCAGATCACTATAAACCAGACCCAGGCTGGCAGCCTAGTGTTCTAGACCTACTAGGGCGCTACTCGCCAAAGGCATATCCGGATCCCGCACCACTGTCTTATAAATAAATTTAACCATAAGGTGTCGCTGACATGTAGATCTTTCGCTTTTGGATAATCATCCGTCTTTCTTTTCGCTCTTCATTCTCATTCGTCATATTCTTGTGCGGGTCATAAGATCCGACGTCCTTTCCTTCAACATGAACTTCCGTTCGCTTACCGCACTGTCGTGCGCATTCGCAACCACGCTCGCCCAGGGCCTTAGTGAGAGCTCCCTCACCAAATATGAGAATTCTTTGACTCTGGATCACTCTTTCGGACCCGTCAAGGAGGCTTACTGGACTGGCTTCCCCCACCATCGCCGCACTCCCTTCGCCGTTTCTCCCGATGGCAAGTCGGCATACTTGGCATACCTCGATTCGAGTGAGACCGATGTCCATGTTCAACAAGTTGACCCCTCAACGTTCATCGCCGTCGGAACTACCGTTACCGTCACTGGTGGAAAGGAGGCAGGAGGTCTCGTTGCCCATGATGATGGATTTGCTCTGTTGACCAACGAGGCTCTGCCTTCCGGCACGGCAAACGCCCCCGCCGACAGCACTCCTGTTCCCGTCCTATATCGCTACACCAGCGGAGAACAAACATGGAAGACATTCCTTGGTGGTCCTGGCGTCGATGCTGACTTCGGTCTCGCCGCCTCCCCTGACTTGAACGGTGACTTAGTCTACTCGGAAGCTGCTGGCATGTATGGTGCTTACTTCGTTGTTACTGAGTCAGTACTCTCTTGATTAAATTTCGACTGCACTACTGACCAACATGTGCAGCTATACTGGCGATGCTTCAGGCCATTATGGCGACAGTATCAAATACATCAAGGACGACGGCACGCTGACAACTATCTCCGGGGCATCAAGCTCTTGGGGCTGCTCCCACAACACCGGTATTGCGTTCGAAGCCGCCGATGCTGCGCCCTTTGCTAGCGTCTGCGCTGAAGACCAAGGTGATATCTGGCTTAACACTGCTACACAGAGCATGAGTGGTGTGAAGGTCTCCAATGAGAACACCACCAATGGCGCGAGTGGAGAGTCCTTTGGCGGTATGAGCGGCTCTTACAGTGGATTGGCTCGACTCATCGACAGTGATGCTTATGTCCTTGCTTGGGTCTCGCGTGGTGCTATTGACATCACTGAGAACACCTGGTTGGGTGGCGGCAACACTCAGTGCTCAAACCGTACCAACGGCCGCAACGTCGCCATCGCTCAATTCAGTGACAAGAACACTCTCGTTGGTGATGTGGCCACATCCACCATTGGCGCCACCGATGGTGACTCGCAGATCAACTGGATCACTTCGGGTACTTCCGACTGTTCCAACGCCCACGTTGCTGCTTTCGACAGCAAGAGCGCCCTCGTTACTTGTAAGTTTGGAGATTTTAAGACGTAAAACATTTTTGTTCTATAAAAGTGTTTGCTAACCATTTTCTAAGGGGAGGAGATTGAGAACCCCGACTGTCAGTTCATCGCCATGGGCTGCAAGGGCACTTTTACCGGCTCTCGCTTCCAGCTCGTTACCGACGGTGCCAAGGTTGGTGAGCCTCTCGTCGAGACTGATACCTACGTCGCTGGTGACATGGTCACTCTGTCCGACGGCAGAATCTGCTGGCCCTATGTCTCCATGACATGGGATCTCTCCGAGGCAGTTGCGTACGGAGGCTCGTCCGCCAGCACCACCTCTATGTCTTTTGCTTGCGCAAGTATCGGTGCCTCCAGTGGCAACACCACTTCCTCAGCAACCTCCAGCGCTGCTGTTGCTTCCTCGACTGTAGCCACAGAGGCTGTTACCAGCCCTTCGGCTGTTGCCTCTACCCTCATCACCTCAATCCGATCGTCTTCGGCCACCGCCGCCGCTACTACTGAGGCCGAAGCTGAGGTTACGGTTCCAGTCACCGCTACGGTCGTCCCTGTTGAATCCAGCTTCCAGGTCTCTAGCACCACCGCCGCTTCCGAGACTGAGGTCGTTGTTGCTCCTGTCGAGTCTGCCACCGAGGTGGTATCCAGCGCCTCGGTACCAGTCCAGACGGCGAGTGACGCAGCCCCGACTGCTTCGGCACCCGTAAAGTCTGCAACTGAGGTCGTCCCCAGTGCATACCCATCCAACGCTTCCAGTGGCTTCTCCTTCCCCACCGGATCTCGATCTTCACACTCCCAGGGCGCATGGCCCAGTGCTAGTGCATACCCAGGATTCGGTGGACACCGTGGTGGATCCGGAAACCAAGGCCAAAAGAGCTCGTGCGGTTCGCAGAAGCGTCAGGCTTAGACGACTCTACTGTGTCCGTCGAGGCAAAACATCACTGGCTCATAGGTGCCATTAGATTCTTGTACATACTTTCGATATCTGAAGTGTATTTCTTCTGTTCGAGCTTTCAATATGCAAAATTGAGCACGCGGTTTCATTGCTAATGATCTATGAGTTACAAATGAGCATCGGAGCGTGAGCCGTGCCCAAGTGAATATCGCCAGTTAAGCTCGTCTGACAATGTCCTGTTGGTTTCCTTTATTCACTTAGGCAAACCAACTCGTTAGAGTATATCTTGTGCTCTGCATCACTCAGTTCTATGACTATCAATTGTATGGCCAGTAGCGGATCTAATTCTAAAGGAGACATGCGTTTGATCGTAGTCTAAATGTGTTGGGAAAGAAAACCACGGAGAACCACGATATGAAGCAGGAACTATTTGATGTTAAAGATAAATTTGTCTACAAAGAACAATGCAATACTTTAGGCATGGTCCTAGTAAATCTACCATGTGGCAAGATACAAAACAATGGATTACGCCGCTCCGCCGACAATCCAGCACTTCCCGCGTTCCACTCCAGAATATCCTCTTCAACATCGCTTGTGTAACCTGTGAGCCCACATAGCTCTATTAAGCGCGAGGTGACCATAAATGCCCGTTCTAGGTTCAATTGGAAGATGACGGCATCGGCCACCAGCCAATGCTGTACGTATTTGTTCAAGATTGCCGTTTGATGGCCGTTACAAACGCAATGGTCTCGGTCATGCTCGATGAGTGGACTTACTGGTAGGCCTATCTGGTTGAGTTCGATTGAACAGCCACCTAGAAGTGCGACGATCGGGAGTGTGTTCTTGTGGGAGAACTTCTTGTAGTGTAACCTCCTTTTAACTGTCATGCGCTTAGTGACCCTGCTCCGTAATTGTTTCATCGTGATTGCTTGTGTATGTAGCTAACATAGTGCTTATCGGTGGTGCTACAAGCAGCAGGAATCGAGCCGTATGGAGAGCGGCGACTTTATACCTTGTATCGGGGTTTAAGAAGCAAAAACAGAAAGACCCTGGTGCAGTATTTGCTGTCAATTCATTCATCGTTGGTGCAACGGTCTGACCTTGTAACGATTTGAACGCGTGCCAGGGCATCAAACAATAAATATGAATTTTCATTACTAATAATGTAGTACTTGGACCGCTTGAGTCTTATAGAGAGGTTCACTTTGTTAGGCGAACAAAAAGACATATTAAGGTAATTCTTTTAGAATATTGTTCATATCTAATAGGGTAGATATGATTACAGTCATAGTTCAACAGTGTTTGGCTTGCTCGACCCTTACGTCTTTCGTAATTACCACTGGTATGCAATTCTCTCATCAAGGGAGAAATGTAAGCCTCCATTTTCCCTAGATTTCATTGCATATTTTTGCATAGCATATATTTATGAAATCATTATAAAGCGAAGGGATGCCTTCGTGGTAGGATTATTAACGCGCCCCGAATTCAAAACACTTCGTGTTGGTGCATTGTTTTGATAGCTGTCGACTCCCTTCCTTGGTCCTCTTTGAAACATTCAACGCAAACATATTTCTAATATCAAATACATATATTACGACAGGGGTCGCGTGCGGGAATGCTTGCGTGCCACAGGTCATTATCTTAGACCTTTATCAGATCACAGCGCGTAAAATCATGAATCCAACTAGTTTGGTGAGAATAGTCAGAAGATAAGGTCGTTCCATTCTGGATATATTGCACCTTACCAATCATAACTGAGTTCAAGCCCGATATAATTACCGAGACCGCGCGTGCCTGCACGTGAGATGTTTAGATTGGTGAAAGTGACTGCGCTAGAAACGACGTCCAGTGTGTCTTCGTATGTAACCCTGAACACGGATCTTTGTGGTTAATCTATACATCAAGACAGAACTGTTCGCAGTCCTGACAGACAGGAGGAAGTAGTCGGCATGGTGAGGCTGTACGTACTAAGACGAGCGAGTGTAGAATCATCTTAGCTCTCCGCTGTCATGTAAATTTGCAAGTGTCTCTCTGAAACTGATTTATTATCTGTTAAATTTATCATATATCGATTCGTTTGGTTATATATCTTACTCTCGCTTCCAACCATTCAGTGTTACCCCAGAATCCCCAACTAGCCTGAAAACGTAACCAGTCAATCAAAGCTATCTCCCAATGCTGTAAGAAGATATCCCATGGATACGTCTTGCCGGCAATGTCTTCCAGCTTCTGCAAATAGTACAATAGTAATGATTTCTCACCAGGTTGCATACTTAATTCCCCTTCTTGCAGGTCGCCTTCTGGATCGTCAACAAGCATTGTCATTGGTATCGAACACGTGAACAACTTCGCTAGGTCGCACACCCCGAGGCCTAGTCCGACATATTGAAAATCAACAAACGCGACCTGGTCACCTTTTTCCGAGGCAAACATATTTTCTGACTTGACGTCGCCATGAATGATCGTCTCGTACCCTGACATGGAATGTGAAGAGCTTGATTCGGAGCTTGGCGCCAAGAAGGCCGCCACGCGCTCTGCGAGCGATGGACCGCCGCCGGGTGATGGCCTACACAGTATGTCGGACCATTCCACCCCTTTGTCTCGGACCAAGGTTGCGTATTCCTTCCGTCGAGTAGCTAGATAAGTATAGCCACCGTTCAACCAGATTCCCTGGACGTCGAATCCCAACCCCGGGCCATGGTTCCCTCCACTAACTGCCCGAGTCGTCTGCCTCTCTGCCTCCTTCAGCGGAGGTTGTAGCAGTTGATTCCTTGAAAGCTGGGTGGTCTTACCCCAGAAGTGACCGTGAAAACCAGCAAGCCAGTCAAGCGCTGCATGTGCCTGGACCGAGTTGAGCTCGCCACGTTTCTCGAGTGAAACAGTGAATGCCACGTTTGGTTTGAAAGTGCGATCGGATGCCTTCAGGTCTTTCAGCAGTAGCGCGGTTGTCTTCCCATCACTGATACTGGCAATACACTGGGCCACCGCGACGGACTCGGGGAGCTGTGATGCCAAATGTGTGTAGAAATACTGCTCCACCTGATACGAAAGAACCTTCCGTAGGTGGCCCTCATCGCTAATATTGGCCGTCGGCGGCGGGGATATGTACTTGAGGATCAATGACAACGGTTCCTTCTTTGCTGAACCAGGCGAGCCTGCCCTGCCCTGCGTCGCTTGAATGGAGCACACGTGGCCGTAGCCCGCCCATAGCGACTGAAAAGCATTACATGAAACCAGCTCGAGGTCCTCTTGGGACAGAAGAGAACGAGCTATGTTCCCGAGGGGGGTGCTGGCTGCCATGGTTTGATGGCCTTTATCTGACTGCACACCGCGGGTCATAGTGCATGTTGCGGAGGTTGATAATTGCGCGGCGGTGGGGTATGATCTGTTGAAAAAGCTAGCGGACCCCCTGAAAATGGCGCGCAAGGCCAGAAAAACGAGCGGCAACAAAGCCAGCGCATTGAAGTATCGTAGCAGAGACCTCATTCTCCCAGGATAGGTCGAACGCACTGGTTTGCCTGGTGAAGCAAATGTTTTCTGTTGCGACGGGGGCAAGCTTTGCCCCACACGGCCAATCGAAGGTAATCGAAACTTGACTCGACCTCATCCCTAAATGTTGCAGTGTTGGCAACCGTTACAATGCGATCAAAATACGGAACCGATATGGTTCATTACTAATTTAGACTAGTCTTCAAGACAAACAGCAGGAGTCACAGTTATATCACTGCCTTGTACATCGCATTGAAGACTGCCGAAGCCGACATGTCACGAGCGTTACCACTCGAATATTAGCACAATAGGTTCAGATGAACCCCTGGCAAGAATGTGCAGGTCGTCACTTAGGTATGCATAGGTTCGAGGTGACGTGCGTATATGTCGGTATCACTAGCCTCACAAAGAATTTGTGCTAACTACACGTCTGAAGCTACCAAAAACAGCTGCACGCAACCCGAGATGATTAGGAAGTCTATATCTCATGATAAGAATCCAACTACAGTGTAGGGTTGAACCTGTTTCGGATGCGTTCGCCGAAGATAAAGAAAACAAGCGGAATAGGTACAAGCGCCAATGAGACGAATGCGAGCAGGCTATTGCCCCAACCAAGACCCAGAGTGTTGTACATTTGTAATCCTCCCAGAGGCAAGAGGGCTCCGAGCAATGAACGAAGGACCGTTAGCGCTGCGGTTGTTGAAGCAGCATATTTCGGATAGGTGTCGAGAAGGTAGTTCTGCACAGACATCATCACTCCCATCAAGCCGGCTGTGAAGATCACGACTCCAATCATGGGCACGATCCAGTGCACAACCTTATCCGTGGCCCATCCATAGATAAATAGTCCTACTGGAAGGGTCAAGCCACTTGGGATAGTCAATAGCGGCGGCAAGCGAACCTCTGGCTTGTGCGTCACTCCAGCTGCCTGGTTGCGCTTGACAATATTGTCAGAGATAAGCCCGAAGCCCGTGACGCCGATCATCATTCCTATGCCGGCTGGGAGGAACGTCAGTCCACTCGTACCTTCATCGAATCCATACTGGCCTGTATAAACGAACGAAAATGTGGCGATAAGCAGATACAAAATGCCGTATGTGATGGCAACATAGAGGGCGTTGAGCGTAACGATAGGCGTGACCACCAGCAGCTTTATTGGGCGTATCATAGCCAATCTCAACTGCTCGGTCGGAGTGGTGCGACCGGCGTACTTATTGTGCAAGTCCGGGTTGCCAGTTTCCATGCGAAGTCTTTGAGCTCTTTGCTCCAGTAGCACGGGGCCAAAGGTTTCGCGGAGGAAGAAGTAAGAGACCGGGATGAATAGTCCAGACTGGCAGCACGTTAGTATGAAATTTTGGAGATGCTCAACATGGCAGTTGCTCACTAGGATAAGTATCAGCCAATATACCCATCTCCATCCAGCCGCTCGGATCAGATAACCTCCGGCGACGGGCCCAATACATGGACCCAGCAGTGGGCCCAATGCCCAAACCGAGAGAGCCCTGCCTCGCATCTCTACTGGCATCATATCTGCGATACTACCACTCCCGATTGTGATTGGCACCGACCCTGCTAGGCCCATGAGAAACCGGAACGCCAACAGCATACCGATACTGTTACTGAGAGCCGTACACATGGTGAAGATTGCGAACAAGACATTACCCCAGATGTAGAGGGGTCTTCGACCATAGATTTCGCTCAGGGGCGCGGCAAGTAATGGACCGAAGGCAAAGCCGAGGACGTAGATGGATACCAGGAATGTTGCGGTGATGGATGATGTGCTGCGAAATTCCACCATGATCGAACGAATACCAGGAGCGAACATGGAAGAACCGAGCGGACTGATCGATATCAGCCTCGATGTACACGAGTTTGCGTTGGGACTAAACTTACGTGACGATGGTCAACAGCGACAAGATGGACACGTTTAGCCACTTCTTCTTGTCAGGCCAGTTCATGGGGTTATTGGGATCTTGAGGGCCGTCCCAATCAACGGTATTCGGATCAACCTCGTCTGCAGACTCGCGCTTATCATTACCGGCCTCGATGTCAACCTCGTTGTCTGGCTCGAGAGTCGAGTTGTCGGGATCTAATGAGATATCCATGGTTGATTTCTCTGGATCCTTTGTATCGGGGCTTCCCTGCTTGTCAGGTTGCTTCCTCGTAACATCGGACATGATTCTGATGATTACAATGCGGGAATTGAATTAGGTAAGATCCGAGGCTTGGTCGTTTGCAGCTGAGCTGCAAATATCAGTGTTGACAAGTAAGTGGACGGAAGATGCAATGAGTGCATGCAAAAGAAATTTAAATCCAAGGAAAACTGGGAACCGTAGAAACGCAAATGGTTCATGAGTGAATGCAAGCAAGAGAAATTATGAGATGGGTGTTGCCTTGGGAAAATAATCTGATTGTGTTGCTTCGTGATGTACAAAGCAGTTCGGATCTTACAGTCTTCCGTACTACGAGGGACCTGTTTTTATGCAACATTATTAAGGGGTTTTTGTCTAATGTTGGGGTACCAGACTCGGACATCGTCTTGTTACCTAAGAGACAGCAATGGCTTTACATGCAGCCTTTGACTACTATAGTTATTTTCATGATGCATTTGGCTGAGCTTTCCACAGCACCTTAATGTCTGAATTTTGGTACCAATCATCAAGATATCAGTCACTTTACGCTTGCTACTGTGGAAAGGTGGCATGCACAACTTCTGTCGTCCATATTGTTAGTATTTACCTTTCTAAGACAGAGCATCACAAAATGCCCAAGTTCTCTGGGGATATATTTTTTGAACGGTCTGGCCAGTGGAGGCCTTTCCAAATACAATACTACCCCCGGGGCATGTACATAATCTGGAGGTTCTGATCCACTCAGCACCGGAATGAAGAAGAAGCGCCGGATGCACAAATTATGAAAGGAAAGCTTAATGAGGCCGGAGATTACACCGACATCGCTAATCTAGCGCTCCTTCCCCGGGATTTTCTCCCCCGTAAACTCCGACCAATCGCTAACCCATTAGGCCTTGTAGCATGACGCATTTTGCTATGAATCTGTCGTGAGGGGACGCTGATGGCCTTCATAGAGGCTTACTCTGAAAAATATGCTCTCTTCGGACAAACCCAGGGTGATAAGAGCTTTGGTTCTTAATTGAATCAATCGCTGTGTCTTGCTCTTATTTCCTGGTGCCCCACGGTATATTGCTCTACAACCTTTCACTTGGTGTTTGTAGCGTCCGAGGTGCGCCTATAAGGACAGGAAGTTTATTTGTTGTTGCGCTGGATAGGGAAAGCTTTCCAGTCGCAGTCTACCAGCTAGCTATCTCCTAGACTAACCTAGTAAGAACATACTATGGATGCACAGACCATCAGATCATGTGACCATAATGAGAGGTCCCCCCTTCTTCCCCCGAACGTTGTTTTGTCGGATCGGCAGCATCGGTAACGTTAAGCGCTAGGTAGGCTCCACAAGTATGTACCTTGTCCAGTACGTGGTATTTTGCGCTAATCGACTATGCTATACGTCGTCCACGGCACCAAGGCGGGCCAGTTGGGATGAACTTGACGAGAAGTAATCCATCAACGTTGGTGCAACAACGATCGAAATTTATAGAGGTCCAACTAATGCTTAACTACGTCATGAACTCTATACACAAGAAATCTACTCGGGCCATCACTGCGATGGGGCCCCATTCTCATGCTGATTCCATGTCTTAACCATCACATGGCGACAAATCCTGAAATAATGACTCCTGGTCTTGATCACTGAAGATCCATGTATGAAAGCTATATTTCCCCCACGTCACCATGTCACGCCTCAACTTAGGTACATTTCGGGCATGAGACCCCGGTTTTGCGGGGACGAAAAGCTTCTGCCCCGATCCATGTCTGTAATGTGGAGTTGTTGGTAACGAGTATCAGTATTACGCTCATTCCCCCGAACCGTCATGTTGTCTTTCTCTCTACATAAAACAAATTACTGAACATGGCCAGATCCCCAGTCACGGTTGCGCTATCCGTCGCGCTGCTGGCTACATCTTTAGGATACCTATATAATACCTACTCTCCGGTTGTACGACGTCTCATCACAGTGATCGGGGTTTACAGGTACCCATCTGCTTTCAAGGCAACGAGCGCTGGAGATTTGGTCATCATTGACAACACGATCCACTGCGAGGACATCCATTATTATGAGCCGACACACGAGCTATACACTGCCTGCGAGGACTCTCACGCCACTAGGTTCTCATGGTTTCCCCCACTAGCCGAGTTCAATGCCTCGGTGCTTGGGCAGGCCCGCGCGAGTTTGTTCACCATCAACCCCGATGTAAGACTAGCCAACCTCATCATGCTTACCGTAGGCTAATCACCATGGCTCCGCAGACCAAAAAGGCACAGAAGCTGGAGCTGGAGAACTTCCGGGGACCGCTTGTCACACATGGGATCGACGTGATCGGGGACCCGAAGGCTGGCGAGGAGAAGGCCGTCTACATTTTCGCGGTCAACCATCTTCCGGATCCGGAGTACTTTGACGAATCGTACCGGCAGAGAGCAAAGCCCGCCAAGGGCCAGCCCAAGGCACGATCGCAGATTGAGATATTTCGTCACGAGATAGGCTCGCCCACCGCCCAGCACCTTCGATCTGTCCGCCACTCACTGATCAAGACCCCAAACGACATCTTGGCCCTGGGCCCCACTCATTTCCTTGTCACCAATGACCACCACTACCGAGAAGGCTTCATGCGAGAGATTGAGGAGATCTACCCGGGGGCGACGTGGACTGAAACCGTCGACATCGAGCTGACTGACATGCTCGCAGTCGACCCCGAAGCTGGGGTCACGGCTGCCATCGCCTTGGACAGCATCCACAACAACAACGGCCTTGGCCATGGCCGGACCGATGCCGAATTGCTCGTAGCCAGTGCTATAGGAGGGACACTGCACTTGGTCGAGCCAGCCGATACCAAGTCCGGCCACACTTACCGTATCGTGGATGAAGTATTCCTAGATTCCACGATCGACAACCCAAGCTACTTCAATGACCCATACGCTAGCAGCTCCTACGATGCAAGCGGGTTCGTCTTGGCTGGATTGGCAAGGGGTGTCGACCTCGCCCAGACACATACTGATCCGGCTGCAAAGGATCCAGTCCTGGTTTGGTATGTTAGGAAGGTGGGCGATAAGTGGGAGAAACGTCTCATATTCGAGGACGATGGCACGACGGTTCGGACTGCAAGCGCCGCTGTTCTGGTCGCGATCGACCCAGCCAAGGAGGGCGGGAAGAGACGGGCATGGTTGTTCGTGACAGGATTCCTTTCCGCGAACGCTGTTGCTATCAAGATAGACTTGTGAGCTTTGGCAATATGGCTCAGAGCATGGTTATCTTCTTCAAATAAATGGACGTGCCTCTTCCCTCTTGGCCGATACATTTCGTCGAGTCATTATGGGCAGTTCTCGCCATTATTAGACTGAAAATAGCGATCTGGAGAGCCAGAAACAGTTGCGAGTGGGGGGAATGGAACTCAGAGAGGAGTCGCTTGACCAATAGAGACAATCACAGATCACGGGAATGCCACACTTAAATTACAAGAAAAAGGGTAAACCTGAGCCAAAGAGACCACACATGCTGAGGATCGCCTGTACGTATGATCGATAAAGCTACTTCAAAATCTATGAGCCACCTTGCCTCGCTAAATATGCAATCCATTGATACCGCATACGCCTCGACTAAGTGAACTGAAATACAGTCACCAATATCGAACGCCGGATGCTATTCCATGGCCTATAGTAAGAGTGGTACTTGCAACCTCCATATATTACAGAGCAAACATGGTGAGAAACTCGCTGTATGTTTTGAGCAAGACTATCCGGTCGCTCGTCGACCAATTTGACGACCCACGGTGTATTTTGCCGTATTCTGCCGACTAGTGCAACCTGATCCAGGACCCAGCAGTTTGTACTGAGATTGGTGCAAACATAAGTCATAATTTAGTTACCACCTTAGCAGGTTGTGTAGTCAGACTAAGTTACCCAGGGAGAAAGCGGGGATCAGTCGATGGGCAGACAACGAGAAAAAAGGGCCCGAAGCTGTGTTTGGAAAAAGCCGCGCCGGATATATGAGCTTCTCTCATTGCAGTTGGGTCGGTTGAGATAGAGGAAAGGTGCAGTGGCCTACTCAATACGGGGCGGCGTGTTACTGTGGCTGCTTGTCGACCGTCTTCTCTCTCCCTCCTTGCGCAAGTTGTTGATAATGGTGATCATCTCCTTCCGGGCGCCGATGGCATCAATTGCCTTGTGCGCCATGCTCATGGAGATTTTCTCGCCGGCATTGACGGCAAGAAGTCGCTTGGTGAGCAGATGGCGCATAATGATGCATACGAAAACGCCACAGTCACTGCCATTGTCCTGCTGGGGACACTCAGAAAGATAGTGAAAACGTAGCTTCTTTTGCAGGACAGGCTCTAGTCGGCGAAGACAAAGTCGAGCCTCGTCGTTGTTGGCTCCCTCAAGAGAGTCGTAGTGGAAAGCAACACCGTCAATTATACTCACAAGGAGCAGAGACCAATGCGAACCGCCTTCCGCCATGGAGACGTTCCTATTGTCGTTGATAGGCAAAAAGATGTGGGTGACATGCTTGAATGAGGGCAGGGCTTGTCGGACGCCTACGGTATCGGTGTCCTTCATCAGCAGGAACGTCATGGAAGGACGCAGGAGAACAATGTTGGCCTGGGGATACTTTGTGAGGATTTCTTGTTCTAAAAACTCCTCCCAGAAGGCGATGTTCTAGAGGACGTTGGTGTGATGAGCAAGTAAAGTAGAAATCGCAACTGGAAGGGTAGCCATGACTTACATTGTCAGTGAGCCAGTCCTGTCTAAGAGACTTGACATCTTCGTAGGTTACTGTAAACAAAGTCAGCAAAGAAGACATGGGTGCGGAGAGTCAAGTTTCCAGAGCATACAACAAACATCGTGATCTAGCATGGTGTTAGCCCAAAACTGTCGCAGTTATCCGAGGAAGGAGGGAAGGTTGAAGCGGACTTACACGATAGATAAGCCTGATCGCCTCTGGGGCCGGGGGACAACTGTGTAGAAGAAGTTAAGCGAGTGGCACCACTTATCTTTTGAACGGGGAAGCGAGGTATGTGCTGAGGTATACCCCGAGAAAGGACTTCCTTCTTGACAGAGACAGGAACAGGGACAGGGACAGGGACAGACGAGTGATCTTGACTGTGCTGAACGAGGTGCTCTTGCGCTTGCTCCTGCCTATGGTGTCTGTCTTGTTCTTGTTCTTGTTTTTGTTCATGTTCATGCTCTTGGGAAGGGGGATCTTGGGAAAGGACATTGCCTACACTGTCACCAAAGCGGCGCGCAAACTTCTCACGGAACGGCATGTTGCGACGCTTTCGGGCTGTGTTAGCATGTTGTGTACGAGTGCGCTTATGAGCAGCCTTGGTACGGTGCAACATGGCTGCTGACGGGGTCCGTACAAGTAAATCCTGCCAGGCTGCGAAGTCTCTATGTATGATAGTATTGGTTGTCTTGCCACAACCAGCTTGTCGCGAAGCAGCGATCGTGTCTCTTGTGTTGTCGCTGGTTGCAGGAGAGTTATGTATAGCGTGGTCGTGCTGTTTCGGCGAGGGTCGGGCGCTGTGGAAAAATGTGCGTTTAAGTGGAAAAGCCCTTGTCGCTGGTGGTCGAGTATGGTATAGGTATTGCTTCTTGTGGATGGGATTATTAGACTGCTTTGTTTTGTCTTGTCTCGTCTTGTCTTCTTGTGACCTGGAACGCAGAATGGACTTGGTGATGGAGGGGTTGAAAGCAGGCTACTTGGCGATGGTGACGGTGATGTAAGTTACCTTCTTAAAATCAATCAATCGCCTTGCCTATCGAACCAGAACCTGTACGGGGGGATCCGTACTGTAGTTGCTTTTCGCTTCGCAGGGTAGTCGGTAGTCGTTAGTCCAGTAAGGATAACTAACCAGCTAACCAACCATGGCGGACAAGGATGTCAGACCCCCAATGTGACGACGACGACGACGGCAAAATTGATTCAATCGCCGAGGCAAAAACTCAGACATACAGAAACCTTTTTTGTGTATTTTCGAGGGAAATTCATCCTGTTGATCGTCGCGTCTTACGAGAGCAGTCAGCGAATGTTATGTAAAGTAGTTGTGTAGACGGATTCAATTGCTTGCGATCAATTTGGGACATCAACGGACTTTCTGAAGAGTCCCTGGCAAAAGTCAAGATTGCGGGGGAAAGGCTAGAAAGGGACAGGGACAGCGCTCTACTTGCTCTACATGCACCAACGTACTTGTGAACCTATTAAGGTTACTTGCTCGTGCGTTGTCGCGCTCCTGTTAACTGAAAGGGAGCCCACCTTTTCAGCACCTTCATGAGATGGACTCTTCCAACTTCCCGCACTTGCACTTGCACATGCACATTTTTAAACACAACATTGAATCCTGGATAAACAATCAAACAAACAAACAAACAAACAAACAAACTCTCCTTGGCTGTGCACATTGTTTCAAGATGGGACATTGTCTGCATCATTAACATGTGTGCCTCTCTGGCTGAAAACTTAAGTTATTCAGTAAAGCAAAGTGTGTCTTGTCGGGCTCAGCCATGTAACCAAGTATCGTGCTCAAAGCAATGCCCGAGGTTGATGACGACAGGTTGCGGCTGAGTGCTGCCAACACGATACCAACTCAACTCTACCGGTCTGCCGTGAGCCCACTCCCAGATTTCTCACATGTTCACCAGCATACCGGCATACTGGTATTAATACTCCATCCCCCACCCTCGGAAAGCAACCCCCGGTCTGTGTCATACACACGCCCACTGCAATGACCCCTCTGGTGATCGGAGCCTTAGCCTCCATGCACGACATACCCCATGCCCATGTCACAGGCCTCCAGAAATCCAGTCCTACTTGCCCTACCACAAAAAATGAGTTCGGTGTATCTCCACCTGGCGGGTAACTGCCATTGTCTTAACTTCTTGGCGCCCATGTTAGAACCACATCAAACAGGTAAATGAGTTCTATCTCCAGCCCCAGCCTTGTCTCGTGTCATCCGGTATGGTATAACCTTACCTTCTCTCACCACATAGTACGCAGGCATTTACGGCCGCCGACAAAAAGAAATTAAGTGTATATATATATATATATATCAAGTTCACCAACATGTCTTGACATGCCTTCATGTCCAACTACCAACAAACTCGGAATCGTCCATGTCTAGAGGTTTCGCCAGTTTGCTCGAGCGAACAGTACTGTATAGTAGTGTGCAAAGACACAAAATCATCATAGATACACAATGCCAATGAGGGGCCTGAAAATCACATTAAAATTACTCTTCTTGAATGTACCCCTAAGCTGATCAAACCCAGCGACACATGGCATCGCTCTTCCGAGTCTTGTACTCTGGCGGCACCATGGGCAGCAATCCTTTTGGCCATGCCAGTACGCTGCCCGTTTGCCTGGCCCCGACAGTCTGTCCTAACTCATGGCGAGCTAATTTGTATCTTCCCGTCTAGTCAGGGAACTGCGATTGTGACTATTACTCAGAGGGTATCATCCGTCGTGAAAGAGCCTCCTCACCCCTCTCTGGCTACTCCTGGCGGTCCAATACAGACAGGCTGCTGACGTGGCATGAATATGGCAGAGCGATTCAATACGGGGGGCCTTCTGGGTATCAGCATACCAGACTAGGCTGGTTCTGGCTTTGGGCAAGGGCGTAATATGTCTGCCACATCCTCCACGGCGGGCACTAGATGTTGGTTGCTAACAGGTGTATCGGTACAAATATTGCCGCTCTTCCGATGGATTCGTAGAGCATCACTTAGTGTCGTCCTTCTGCCCCAAGAAAGCCGGGTTTTGCTCCATGGTCGCTGAGATGAACCCCCGCAGTGCAGCCCATCGACTTGCCGTGGCATTTTGCGCCGGCTGGCCTTTTTCTACCTGCCCAGCGCAGTCCTCGCTTGGCTCGACGTTCATGTTGTCTGCAGCGCCCACGGCGTTCAGTCTTGCCAGGCTGCCCTGGAATCGCTGCACCTCGCCCTTGACAACCTTCTCCTTCTTCTTGAGCGCACCTTTCCGACTCTTCAGACTCTTGAGCCGCACCTTGCCCTCCTTTAGTTGCCGCAGACTCTCCTCCGTCTCGCCGTCGGCTAGCAGGTCTGGTAGCGCCTTCTTGAGGGAGTCGAGGTCGGTGACAAGCTTTTTGCCTGGGCGGCGGCGCTTGAGTGGCTTGTTGTTTGACTTTTCGATCCGGGATACGAACGATGAGTGTTTGACTGTCCGCTTGTCCTTCTTCGAGTTGATAAACGAGTCTGACGTTTCGATGGCGTCCGGACGAGGCGCCTTGCGCGGCGCATATTCACTGCCCTCAGATTTGGCAGCGATCTTTGCCCGCAATGAGCGGCGCTTGGTGGGAGCTACTGGGGCCTTGATGATGGATTAGCAGGTGATACTTTCGATCAAGAGTGTCTGAAATCTGTCTTACCATTGTATGTCTCTAGGCTGAGCGAGGACAGACGTATATCAAGAGTTGTTGTCCAAGTAAGTAGTCTTAGCCAGGCGGGTACTGCTTGTACAGTATTGAAGTTTAGCCGATGTTGAAGCTCTCAAAATTTTAGCGGGGTCACCACGTGGGGTTTCAAGGGAAGGTTGCCGCTATCGCTACTGTCAGTAAGATCCTATTTGTCTAACATTGGTGCTAGGAGTAAGTACATAGGTGATTACCCTGTTGCATGTCAGTTACCCCTACAATTCTGGAGGTACTGCAGCTGGGCCGGGGGGAAAAAAGAAAAGAAAAACCACTTACAAGGGAATCTTATATATGCGCTTACAAAAAAACCAGGGTGGCGCAATCTATTTTCTTGTAGGACGACAATTTTACGTTCAGTCTTGGGTGTAAATACAAATTGAAGGGCTCAGACGTACAATGGATGCGGCTGCTACTAAAGCCGCCCTTCTGAGGCAGCAGATTGTCCAGACCGAACATGAACTTGAACGGCTGCGTGTGCAGTTACGGGAACTCGAAACCCCATCACTCATCTCGGGCCGCCATGACGGGGACGGCGAACTTGCCTCTGAGGTGCCTTGGAACTGGCCACTGCGAGAAGAAGAATATGCTCGTTATGGTCGCCAGCTCATCATCCCCACCTTCGGTATACAAGGTCAACTTCGTCTCAAATCCACTGCCGTTCTCATTATTGGTGCAGGAGGTCTTGGATGCCCAGCCGCCGCATATCTCGCAGGAGCCGGCACGGGAACTCTGGGTATAGTCGACGGAGATGTGGTCGAGGCCTCCAACCTGCACCGCCAGATCGCGCACAGCACTGCCAAGGTCGGCATGAAGAAAGTGGACAGCTTGGTCAACTTCTGCCGAGATTTGAACCCCGAACTTTCTTACGTGCGACATGGTACACATCTGACACCGGAGAACGCCGAGGAGATCGTGTCCCGATACGACATTGTCCTGGACTGCACTGATCATCCGACCTCCCGCTACTTGATCTCGGACGTATGCGTGCTGCTTCAGAAACCTTTGGTTTCGGCGTCGGCCTTGCGCACAGATGGGCAGCTCATCGTCCTGAACAACCCGCCAGCACCCGTGGGCACCCCAGAGGGCGGGCCGTGCTATAGATGTGTATTCCCGAAGCCACCTCCTGCCGACAGCGTGGTCAGCTGCGGCGAAGGAGGCATACTAGGACCCGTCGTGGGTGTCATGGGTGTATTGCAGGCACTCGAGGCCATCAAGCTGATCGCGAACGGGATCGGCATGCCACCAAGGGAGCCGACCACGCCCAGTCTGCTGCTGTTCTCGGCATCAGGTACGACCACATTTCGCTCCATGAGAATGCGTGGTAGGCGAGCGGACTGCTTTGCCTGCTCCACCTCGTCAACTTTATCACTGGAGACTCTCAAATCTGGATCACTAGACTACGTGGCCTTCTGTGGCGTTGCAAGCCCAGTGCAGGTCCTAAAACCGGAGGAAAGAGTCACAGCTGCTTTCTACGATACATTCAGGAACGGGAAGCCGAACCCAGCCCATATCTTGCTAGATGTGCGTGAGCGAGAGCACTTCGACATTGCCAGCATCCCCGGCGCCATCAATGTACCCTTCTCCACGTTTCAAGTGAGAAGTGCACCTTCAGAGAAGCCCGGAAGGCCAGGCTGGTTGCCCGAATCTCTCCCAGCAGACGCTCCTATCTACGTAGTCTGCCGAGTCGGCAATGATTCGCAACTAATTGCTCAACGATTGAAGGAGATGGGCCTGGACGAAGCCGGAGCTCGGTTTGTGGGGGACATATCTGGAGGCATGAGGGCGTGGAAGCACCAAGTAGATACATCACTGCCATTCACTTGACACGGTAGCAGGTGCATCATAGATGTAGCAAAGCTTCTCTGGTAAGAGGAGTTCAATTCACAAGGCAGATCCGCATTGGACATGGCCACTATTGATACACTATTGGAGAGGTTCAAAACGCCGAAATTTGGTAAGCACCACATTAATTCTTTCCGCGGCCATATGGTTCCTCGTATCTCGAAGGACCAAAACCCCCCAGGCGCTCCCTTTGCCTACTCGGCTTACAGTATACAGCTCTGTCTGAACCTGGGCGAGCTGGCAATGCATCCTTCTGGGTGGTTGGTAGAAGGAGGAGTTAGAAACCTAGCATATCCCGGTAGACAATGGTGTTGTATGTAACCTAAGTGACTTTGTATGACGCATTCATGCAATGCTCATGACTACGATTTAGAGGAAGCTGGTACGCTTCTTGTTGAAGGCTCTCTGGTCCTTGAGCCATTGTCTGTATCCAGCGACACTGGAGATCTTCTCGCCATAGTAATCGGGCACTACGAGATAGTCAGTCGGCCATAAGGGAAGGGCTTGCAGTCGGGGAGGCTGTGATGAAAGGGGTCATGGCTCACCAGGGTTTCCGACGGAGCTGACGCTGGGGTCCACGCGGTTCTTCTTGATCCTGCCAAAGAACTCGACCTCCTTGTTGGCCATGGGGGTCTTGACTCCCCTCTTGGCGATGTAAAAGATGGTGGAGCCGAGACTTGGGCCGGCCAACCAGCCCAGGGCAGCAGAGCTCATGGTGATCAAACCCAAGGTGATGAACGGGTCGAGGGGCAGTTTGCCGAGGAAGTCTACGTCGATGTTGATGAGAACGAGTCCTGCCAAGCTTCCGCCGATCATCATGGTGACTATGCTGCATGCCTGCTGGTATCGCCTTCGTGTCTTGCGTAGGGCAAAGAAGGTGTTCCAGTCGAGGCCTGGCGTGGCCGAGGACGTGGACGTGGATGTGGCTGTGGCTGTGGAAGTGGTTGTCGAGGCATGTCGGCGGATTGCGGACGGGCACTGCGTGACGGGTTGTTTCCTGGCGGCCTGCCTGGAGACGGCAGCGCAGGTAGATATGGGGGCGTTGAGGACGAATTGGCGCTGGAGGCGGGATGTGACGGTGGCCATGGTGGACTTGGACTGCAGCTGGAGCTGGAGCTGGAGGCCACGCGAGCCCAGCAGGCCGAGGCGCGTGATCTGCGTTGTCGAGGTCAACATGATCTCAATCGACTTATGGGCGCAGTGTGTGAGGGTCGCATGTATCTAGGCGCGAAGTGGTATGGGGAGTTTACGATGCGTCGCTTGCCGTGGGATTCGGAGCTTGCGATGCTGTCGTCGTGGGTTGTCGTGAAATTTCGATGCTTAATAAGTGAACAGCTCCAACTTTTGCTTTCGGAAAGCTTTACAACAGCTCCAAGACAAGACTACTTGTCAAATGGAGTTAGTCTAGCTAGCACTACTCCAAGCTGTCTCGTAGCTTGTGCAAGTGTGACGTGCAAGTGCAACTTTTCCAGAGTTCGGTCGAATATTCGACGGGGTACCCCTACGGCAGCCTACAGTACGTGAGTACTCCGTAGCCCTCAGTTATTCCCTGTATGTACATACATGCCTCTCTATCCAACTGGCTCATTCACCCCTCAAAAGAAACTCCCGGATTGCACGGGCTCGCTCGTTTCGCGTCCACGAAGCACCAAACTTCCCTTGTATTTTAGCTACAAGGCCGACGTGCGTCCCTGTCATGCGCTGTCCTAGGCTGTCGTAAATGAGGAACAGCAATCGTCAAGTAGGCTTTAATCAGTCTCTAGTCTAGCCTCCAGTTTCTCGCATATGTTTTACCTGCAGATCCGTACTCAACCGATTGCCGTGTGCGATTGGGAAATTTCTCTTCGTGTCGTTTTCAGAGCCCAACTTGAAATTAATTAATTGATTAAACCCCCCCCCCCCCCCCCCCCTTCTTCTTTACAAGCTACTGCTCCGTCCGCAATGAACAGCTCAGCTGTTCGTTTACTAGTGGCTTGTTACATAGCTCATTCGAGCTGAAGTCGTATAGAAACACACAGTCACTATTCCCGCCCCATACTTACGCTCTCAGGGTGCAAGGCTTTGGCTCAATTGCATGGCTATCCCGGAGACAGTTTCATCCAATTATAACTAACCGACCATGTTTATATTTCCACGGGCAACATTCACACGGTTCGTAGGTCATATACTCCGGAGCCAGATGGCCCCCGTCGTCGGCTTAGAGATCAGGGGGGCCCATTTTCGAAATCGATGGTATTGAAATCCTGAAAAAGCTCCCGGAAACTGGTATTCTGTGGAAACCTGTAGCAAAGAAGAACTAGATATTACGGCTCGTGAAACGGGAGTGAATGCGGAGAGCACATCAAGAAACCCTTACCGACATAAGACAGAGTTCCTTACTCAAGTTTGATACTTAATTCCGAACAGCTAGGCTGTTATGACTAGGGGCATATGCTGGGGACTGGGCGAGATCATACCATCGTAAGCTGCCTAATCTGCCCATTCAGGTGCCTTTATTCGCTAGTATCATATACTATTTACATAGCTATGAAGAGTTGTTGAGATTCGAAGCGCTCAATGCATACACTAGGGACGATAAGACTTTCAACCGATGCTTCGGATCGTGAAGTCTTTGATATGTATTTCGTGTAAGATTTTGCAAGAAACTTGATCTACTAGGCAGGCTTCCACCATCAGATTACTGTCATCGCCAGGAAGGAGTTTTGTAGTGCACAGTTGTAAGAGGCTGGATGCGGTCGTGACCTACGTGGGTGAGTTGACGGTGTGCCAGTGCGTCCCTAACATTCCCATTGGTATGCTTGTGAATGCTCGATCGGTTTTAGATCACATTTAATCTTTATTAATGTATAATATACAACACTTATAAGACAATTTATTGAAATCTAAATACATAGCCTTATAAATATAATTTAAACAAAATCTTTAAAACTTGATTAAAAGTTATTACATATATTTTTTTCGAATATAAAAACAAAAACCTTTATATAATCTAATTCAACGTACAGAACTTAATTTAATCAACTTTGCTTTTATCTCCAAGTTCTTATTTACTAGGATAATAACGTTACCATTCTCCACCTTTCGGCCACTTAAAGTAATAACCATTCCGTCTTTCTTTCCTACGCGATTTCTCGGTCGTGGGAGCGTCCTAACAACTTTCCAAGGTCTGGAAGAGAGTTAGAGCTGGCCATTGAAGACCTGCGAGATGTGGTGCCCGGCGCTTGGTTAGCTTTCGCAAAAACTCGTAGCTATGGATAGGGATAAGGACACGGACAAAAGCAAAGACCAGGACAAGTACGCCGACAGCATCCAAAAACCCTACCCTTCGCGACGATGGGCCATCGAGATCGTGCTCCCAACGAGACGGCGTCGCCATGCTGATGCTCGCGCATGTGGCCCCGCGCTGGCCCCGCTCCGTCTCGCGCTCGAGAACGACTCGACCGCTTACATTACAGCCAAGGATGTCTGGAAGACGACAACGCGAGATGGCAAGGAGAAGCTGCAATTGTACTACATTGTGAAGTGGACAGACTTGCCGGCAGCTGCCGTGCTCGTTGAAGCCCATAAGATCCTGGACTACGTTTCCCCGAGGATGCTAGAGGACTACGAATACAAGCTATCCCTAGAAAGAGATGCACAAGAGGAGGAATACAAGGCGAGGATCCAGGCCGCCCGGAGAGCTGCTGCCGAGAAGATCGCTGCAACAGAGACAAATAACGAGACGGGGACGGGGACGGGGACGGGGACGGGGACGGGGACGGGGACGGGGACAGGGACGTCAAGCACCTTGAATACACATACCAAGCCGAAAAAACGTGGGCGCCCAAGAAAACGGGACCTCCCCATAAGGGAAACGGAACGTGGCCCCGAGGACGTATCGGTACTTCCACCTGTCGGCTCCGTCGTTTCCGGCCCTTCACTATCTACACCACAGAAGTCCCTGTATGCTGCGGCTGACGAACTGGTCATGGATGCACAGGGCTATGTGGAAGTTGAGGATGGAGTTGAAGGCAACGCAGCGTATCAACAGCCATACAATCAATCAACCAATGCACAGAGTGCTGGGCATAGTCCGTCACGCAAGACAGACAAGTCGAGTAGGCCCGTTGCTGCAACGTTTTCACCTCAACTTCAGGTACATATAAAATCATTGAAGCCAGTGCTCGGGCAAGCTGCAAGCGCTGGCGGATTTACTCCAGCTGCTCGCAGTGCAGGCAGGTGGGCCTCGCCCTCGCCTTCGCCCTTTCATCAAGCAGCCGCTGGTTCTCAGACACCGTCTGTCCAGGATCTTGCCCGGAATGCGTCTCTCAAGCCTTCGCGGAAGAGAAAGAGAAAAGAACCCAGCGAACACCAGGGCCCGCTAGAAGAACCAGTCTGGGTTGTGAAGCGCTTAGAAGAAGATCAAATTGTCGATGACCACGGCCAGGTGCAACGGTACTTCAAGGTGAGGTGGGCAGGGGATTGGCCGCCTGACCAAAATCCCACCTGGGAGCCCGAGTCCAATTTGCCTCCCAAGTTGATAAAAGACTATCTCAAAAGGAATGCAGCCGATGCAAAGTCTTCTAAAATGAAAGCCGAGGAGCTCAAGAAAAGACCCGCCGTGCCATTGACACGCAAATATTCTAGCGTCGCAGAGGCGTTTGAGGGGGAGGTAGAAGACGAGCTTCATCATGACGCCTCTAATTACAGCGATCATGTGGACTTGGATATGGACGCGGACATGGAAGAAAAATTGTTAGTCGAAGAAAGCGAGAGGACCGCTGAGCTTGCTCAGTCACACCCTCCAGCAAGGACGAATCTACCCTACTTTCAAGGTCTCAGACCTTTTGCAGAGTACACTGGTAGCGGTAACAGATACGGGCAACCCAAAACTAACTCAGACCCCTACCTCTAGTACGGCTTTGGAGCTAGTGGACGAAAAGAGGTGTGATGTGAGCTTGAAGACGACGAAGGGCTTGTTTAGACGCTGTCACAAAGTTGATGAAAGGCCACACAAGCCACACGCGTGCCATGTATATCCATACGTGTTGCAAAGATTATAGTTGTATATATGGGACTCCATTGTCAAGAGGGCAGTCTGCCGAAATCCATGAAATCGACCAAAAACAAATGAAAAGAAATTACATTGTTCCAGCCTTAGCCAACTCTGTGCTCCATTTGTTAAGTCCAAGGGTTCCTTGAGTGCATTCCTATACATATTAACGTACTGTTATTGCTTTGTGTGTTTTAGCTGGACTACCTTCAAATGAGCTTTCATCTCTCAACTTTGTCATCATCGTGGTGACAAAGATATTGCCCGGCTTGGCTACCTGCGTCCCTGTGGCGCCTGCTTCCTTCACCGGGCACACTTTGCCTGCATTGTTCACATGGTTCACTTCTGAATATGTTGAGCTGAGGTACCGGTCATTTCTCTATCTGCCACTACATTCAATACCTAGAGAGCGCCACTGTCTTTGTTTCCAAGCCTAAACTGAGAAGTGCTTCGATCCCATATAAGCCACAAGAATGATTAGCGCCCAAACTCCCAAGTTCCATGAACAGTACTGTCTCGATCCCAAGCCAGCCATGCACAAATATACAAGACTACACCGATGGCATTTCGACCATTGTGTTTTTGTGCATATTCAACTCATGCACATCACTAAGATATGTCTGAAATGAGTTGGTCTGGAGATCATGCGAACAATACCGGATTACCGAATAATTGGAGAGAGGAAACAGACGGCCAGGCTTAGGGATCAAAAAGAGACGATCTCACGAGGTTGGAAGTATTGACCTTAACATCGCTAGCATCTCACGGATTTTACTCTTCCACTCAGGGCAATCGATAAACCGCGGCCAGTGAACTCCATCAGGCAGTTTGGGCAGATCCTCTTCTTTGACCGAGTCGGGGGGCCAGTAGTCGTCCTCAAAGTCGTCGAAATTACGAGCCTCTGCACACCTCAAGTCCTGGTAAGCAAGCCAATGTCGATGTCAGAGGTCGCTCGGGGGGACAGCGACGCTCTTAGCCTCCGATTGGGCCTGAATTATATCTGATTTGCGGACATGTGAGTGGGTATCTCGCTCGATGAGCGTCTGTATGACACTGCTGTCTCGCGGCAATTGTGCCTTCGGAACCCACTCATCATCGATCTCTGTTGGCTTGAACATTTTCATGTCACCGACGTAAGGCCAGGCAGCACGCCATTTTACTGGATTCTCCCGGTAGAACTCCAAGTCGTATCTCTTTTTGGATTCCTCAATGGTGTAGATTTTGAAACCGGTCCATTTTTCACCCTGGGGCATAAATATATCCTCACTATACGACTTATTGCTGGCTGCTACTGCAACAATAGGCCTGACAGCCTGCAGTCTTGTTGCTTCTGCATTTCGGATACCGTTTGCACCATCGTCCTCAGTCTCTGTGGTTTCAGAAGCAGAAACACATGTCTCGTTGACTGAGGCATGCTGCTCTTTCAGAATGCTCGCCGACACCGCCTGATCATCGGAGATTGGCTGTAAGCAATGTGCCATAGTGTGTGCGGTGGGAGCTATTGGAGGGGACGACTGCATATCTCCAAGTCTCGCCGAAAGCTCCTTATGGCCATTGCTGCACTCCCACGCAACACACTTTTCTATCAAACTGGCATAATTTCCACGGGCGAGCGAAGCAGGTGCAGCTAGACGTTCTAATGGACCAGAGCAGGGATCTTCAATGTACTCCAAGTTGTGACTTCGGTCGATGTAAGCATCACTGTTGCATATGAACTCGTGAAATCGAATGGCGTAGTCAATGTTCTTGAACAGCATAATGGCGGACCCGGTCTGATCATACCACATATCCTCCAGTGCATCCTCTGCATGGTGGAAGAGATGCTCAATATTTCTCAGCAGACCGTTACATATATGCTTGGGAATCCATCTGAACTCAAGGCAACGAGTTTGGTCCTGACCAGGCTGCTGTAATTGTCTTCGTGGATAGGTGGGCTTCCCGGCGAGCGCAACCGTTGCTTGCTTACCGAGTATATCAATATGGCCTGGGTTCTCCTGCGCATAGACGACATATGCATCGGCCTCAAGCCATTTCGAAAATACAACGAATGCAGTGCGACCGGTGCCCAGTGAAATTGTATCGACGAGTGTCGCTCGAACGATATTGCCACCTCGTACCCTAGCCATGACATCACGCAGGTTCGCAACAGCTGGTAAGTCTGATATGATGACAGACCGACATTGAAAGCCGATGTGCTCATGTCCAGGTTCGGCGATTGCCGTTCTAATATTAGGCATATACTGTATGCCATACTGGAACATTAGTGGCACATGGCCGTTTTGATCTAGGTTCATTCTGATGACGTTTCGACGCGCTGTCTCATTGCTGAAAATCGGATCGACGAAGTCTTCATTTGGGACGAATTGGATAGAACGGATGGGTCGCCGAGACTCCTGGGATGCCTCTGGCTTATCCTTTCTAACGATTGGCATCAGAGGAGCAGTGGAGGGAGCATGTGAGTGTCGCACCACGTGGGGCTCCAGCCGAGAGGGTTTCATTTCGAGTCTTCGTAATACTTCTGCGCTTTTGTTTCGGGGGGTACGATTGTCGCATAATGCTTCGCGTGCGTCGATGCGATTGGCGAACTCTGATACTGGAGTCAAATCATTCACATGCAGAGATTCACCTGTTGCGTTGATCCCACATGATTGATACGATGGGGGGGTTTGGCTGTGCTTGAACTTCTTTTCTGAGTCTCCTCCGATGTCTGAAGCAGTGTCGAAGTCGATAAGGACACCAATTTCCGGGGCTTCAAGATCAATAAGGCGATCCGAGTTCGTGGCCAAGCTGGATGCACAAGTTTGAGTGACAACATCCACCGAGCCTTTAGACGCCAACATGATGGTACGACAGCCGAAATCCTCAGGCACCGCAGCATTATCGTTAGGGTACAAGTATTTGTTCTGCACTGCATCTGTTCCTGATATATTCTTGACAAAGACCTCGTGTGAAGGAGAAAGCTCGGTTTGCTTGTGCTCAGCAGAAGTCAAGTCTTGCCCGCCGAACTCGGTCAGACTGCTTGCTGATCCGAGATATTTTGTTATCTGTGGTTTTTTCGAGCCCTGTGATGATTTGGATAGCTTCATGTTGTCTGGCTTCTAGCCGATAGCAGAGGATATATAGTCACCACACTCGGCAGCGAAACAGGGGAGTGATGGACGGTCAGGGGTCAAGTATTTGTTGGCCCGCATAGAAAGACAAGGCCTCGCAGATTTGAGACTGTCATGAAGTGCGTTGTGAAGGTGAATCTTGTCGGAGTGAGCTACAGCCTCTTTCGTGTCGTTTCTGGGGCCCTGCGATGAAGGCAGGTCATTATGGGCCCCTGAGATACCTTCATCTTTCTTCAGAGAAAGGGCGTTGATATTTGCGAATTCTGAGCGGTCAATGGATGCAATCTCCAAAGTTGGTGTAATATCGATACCCATGGCACTGTCCATAAGTGGACTTTGCACCAAGGTCCTCTTATACTGGATACTTTCTGAGTGTTCCAATGCTTGGATTATCTGCGGCGGTACTGGTAATTGCATGGCTGGCAAGAGTGCTGCTTGTGCACCCTGGGTGCTCTGCTTGTCGACAGCAGGTATATTAAGATACCAGTCAATGGTGTCGATCCACTTCAGCTTGGCAAGGAGCTGAGCCTCCATTGCTCTCAGATCGTCTTTGTGGAGGATATCAAGCTGTGGCCTGTCCCATACGGTATGAACGACAAAAGCATCGATGTTTGCCTTGTATTTTTCAAGAATGCCATGATGGGTCTGTGACAACGCGGCACGGACGACCTTGAGTTCGAAGCTGATGATATTTTGCTGACACTCTACGTAGTGCTTGCGCTCATCAAGAGTACAATCCTTCAGCGCGTCGCCGGTCACTTTTGCGAGCAACTCCCCTTGCTGCGACAGAACCCGACTACTACCGTCAGCATATTGGCCGAAGACAGGCAGTGCCTGTCCAGAACCTTCCTTTGTGTATGGAAGGTCGTCTAGTCTGTATGGTGCCTTCTCCATGTTGATATATTGCTCCTTTCTGTTTGTAGGTAATGGTGTAGGTGGCTGGGACTTCCGAGGTAGGTAGCTGGAGATGATGAGGCAGGATTTGGGAGGTGTGGGGGGGGGGGGTGGTTTGCTGTGACACGCTGGAATTTCCAGCACCAGACCTCAATGACAAGAGAGTGCAGAAATATCCGGCGGCAGGAACACTATTAAGTATTGTAAGTGTTGGTTGTGAGAGATCGTCCAGGCGGTGAAGATGGATGTGGTGTGAGATATAACCAATTTCCAACTCTGCCGCTTATTTAGGCGAACTAGAAGGTAAAGAGATTAAATGAATGTTCCTTGAGTCCTGAGATTAACCTAGACTAAGGCACATGCTCGGACGTAGTCCAAGTGTATACACACAGCCGGGCAATGACGTGGGATAATTAAGAGCTGAGGGTAGGAAGGTGCCTAGTGTATAGATGCTACTGTCTTGTCTTCTTTGCTGTGTGCATTCAATCTCAGGAAGTATAAATGAAGGGAAGGTTGAGACTTGACAAAATACGCGGGGAAGAAGAAGATAGACAGAAAGAAAGAAAGAAAGAAAAGGATTGTGGGTGTAGCTGCACTGGAAGTTCAAAGTTCAAAGTCCAAGTGAACAGATAAACAAAAACTCTCGTACCTTCCCCTGAGTTCGGCGACCGGATTTAAACCTGCTGGTACCAGTTTAGTCAACAAACATCTTATGGCGCATGGACCGTGTCATTTCATCCAGGCCGGTGTTCATGAACTATGCATTGAAATACTCTGGTGTCGTGTTTGTGCTTAGAAGCTTGGTATTCGACTTTGGTGTTTACGTGGCACATGCCTTTACTAATTCACTTACTTTCCGATCCAACTAAACTCAATTGATTTATATGTGTAATGTCAGGCCTTTCATACCTGGCAACAACCAAAGCAGAGAATGACTATTGGCATGTTTATTCTTTTTGTTTATAGAGTAGATCTAATATACCTACTTTTTATTCCTTGAGCCAGCAAATGATGTACTACTTGTTCAATACCGTGTCTAATATCTACCCTCTCTGTAATAATTGCTTCTAATGGAGGATAATCGACTTGAAAACTTTGTAAGCTGTATTTGGTCTGCAACCGCCAGGAGACCAGTGACGAGTTGTGATTTCGAGTGGTCGTGCATATCTTTTTGACCAGCCCTATATAGGAATGTATGCTCGACCTATGGACTCCTGCGAAGCCACTTCGATGTCATTGTTCTCCTCCTTGTTCAACTAGCTAGAACACCTTGCACCGTCATGACCTGATGTGACGTAAGAAAGCTCCAGCACAATGTGGGCTTTGCTCGCTTAGAGCAATTCTCAAAAGTTGTGATACTCGCACTACCTAAGCAATCTAACCCTTCGGTATATGATCATCGACGCTAATATCTCAACATTTGTAAAATGCAGCTGTGAATTTAAAATACTATAATGCTTGAGACATGGAAGCAGTACATAGACGACAGAAGCCAAAATATGTGGTACGGCCTCAGAAGATATCCGGATCTCGGGATGAGTCCCTATCAAAAAAGAAAAAGAAAAAGAGATGGTGGTCAATTAGACGGGCTTCTAAACTGAATAACTTGATAACCCAATATGACCGAGTGTCCCGCCATTATCATTGGTGACGGGTTCGGCAAGTAGGCTGCTAACCCAAAAGCGGCGTGCCAATAGTTTTTTCCCCAGCTATCTGAATATGATAGTTGTCATCCAGTATGATGGCTGTGCAATGACGTTATGTTGGGACTATCGTTAATGGTAATATCAGTGTAATCGCCCGGCTTCGAACACGGAACTCAGATGTCGGCGTTGTTGTCGTTACAGAGGTAGATACTAGCCGTGTAAAAACAGCTGGCGCGAGTGCATTTGTTGGCCTCTACGTGACAGTCGCCAGACTTGTCACGCATGAACTAGACTCCATCAGTGATGGCACCGTAGTCGCAAAAGTAGTATCCTCATAGCATATTTTCACACGGAGGAGCGCCCTTTGAAGGTTAATTAAAATGCAAGATAGCAGGTAAGATGGTCGTCAACTTATATATGGTCTTTGTCGTTGAGCCATTGATGACCTACTGACTAGAGCAATCAAACCATGCAGTAGCCCACTTAAAGTCCTAAACATCGACGGCCATCTGACACTCAATGTCCTCAAAACCGAGACCGGTGCGTGTGGCAACGTCGCCATCGTCCGTGATTTTGTCACGCCACGCGAGGTTTCCCATGTCCCTGGCGCCGGCTGCCAACTCGAGATCTTGGCAGTGTCGGCTATCAGCTGTAGCTTGTGGTTGGCTGCTGACAATGTACGAAAAGCAACAGCACCGTGGCGACAACGATGAGTCTGAAATACAACATCTCGTACGTGCTGTCATATTTAATTCTGGGGTTTGTTGATGTCGAGTGTCAGCGCAGACATATGGTGGAAAGGGTTGGCAAGGAGAATCAGATAGACTCTGTCAGCTTCAGGGATTCATGTTGGGGGAGAAGCTTTTGTGTTACATTATCTGCTGTAGATGGGGTGTCTATCATATCCAAGCTCCCACAAGAAGAATGGTGCAAAATATCGATTTGGATATCCGGATGGTAATACCTGCCTGATTATGGAGCACTGTTGGTCATTATCATACCTTATGTGATGGGCAATCACGTGGTGTTGTTACTGTGCATCCTTGCTACAAAGTCATGTGTATCTTTTCCTATCAGCAGCCAATATATGCCTTGAGTCGCATGTGTGCATTCGAAGGAGTGGCTAGTAAATGTTATGATGGATAGATATAGTTCAGCCATCAGGAGTCAGTCATTAGCATGTCCTTTTAGTGATACAAACCGAGGTTCCATTCAAAGATTGTTCTCATGATTTCTCTCAATGAGACAGAATTTCTAACATGCAAGACTCATCTGGAACTTGTTCACACATTATCGCTTAATACAACATGTATTAAAACGTGCAATGGCTGGCGAATAGACTGGTCTCATCGCCGAAGTCGTAAGTTTCCATTGGGAGGGCAAATGTTTCAACGTCATAACGTTCTAATAACTGAAAAATACTGGACATTGAAGTTGGAATGATACTGCAGAAGTCGTAATGCTGGAAAGCTACTCGATGACGTATTTAAGTGGGTTGGAGAACATCCAACTACTTACTATAAGCGGCTCTTCATTGGCCGAACATCTATAGGTCGCCACATCTCACTCAATAGACGACTCGCATTGACCATATTCGGATGCACTTGATCAAGAGAGGTGATACCAGTGAGGGCCATAGTTGTTCGCAATTCTTCAGCAAGTACTTCGTCATCACTTAGCACGAATAGCCCCGATAGGTGATAGGGAAACTTACTATCGACGCATCTTTCAACTCCGGGGGTCCCGTATGCAGACAGAGCATAGAAGAATGGACGGCCAATGCCAACTGCTTTCGCACCCAGGCACAAAGCTTTGAGTATGTCGGCACCGTCTCTCAAGCCGCCATCGACGAAAATTTCCACATGCTCGAGGACTTCGGGACAGTACTGGCGGATCTCTACCAGGGTGGAGAGAGCATCAGGAGCGGAATGAAGTTGCCGGCCACCGTGATTTGATAGTAATATCCCGTGACATCCGTACTCCATTGCCAGCTTTGCATCCTCCGCACTTTGAATCCCCTTCAAGACCAGTGGACCGCCCCAAGCCTCCTTCAGCCACTTTAGGTCGTCCCATTCTAGTGCGGCGTTGATTCGATTTGCTGGCACGTGGGTCTGGATGCCGAGCCCAATAGTAGATGCTTGCTGCTCCGAACCAAGCGCCAAGGCCTCTTCTGCCATTTGTCGTCGATCTATCGTACGCTTGCCTAAAATGGGAGTGTCGACAGTTACCCAGAGGGATCTGAAGCCGGCCGCCTTCACTCGATTGATGAGCTTGATGGTAGTTTCACGGTTTGAACTAGTGTAAAGTTGGAAATGCAACTGCGACGAGGACGGAAAGTCCCTTGAGATGCCCCTCGCCTGCTTTAACTCATCGTCCAGGGCACCAGCGACGTCTTCCGTTGGCCGGGTAGACATTGTGCTGATAAGCCCATGCACACCGCTGCGTACGAGTCCCTTCACCAGCCCGAGTTCAGCATCTTCATGGGCCCGCCCAAGGAGACCCATTGGCGAGACATAGAATGGAAGTGGAGACGCGTGGCCGAGTATAGAGGTCTCGGTAGATACCTTCTCCACATTGCGCAACACACGGGGACGGAATCGAACAGACGACCATGAATCCAGATTGCCTGCCATGGACAGGCCAGAGTTGCTGTACGAGGAGACGTACGACCAGGACCGGGCGGGCAATACAGTCTTGGCGGCATGTTCAAAGTCGGTGGTGACAACACACCCTGACAAGTGAGGCACTTTGTCTTCTTTACCTGACGGAATTGTGGTCAACTCGTCTCGTGGTGGTTTAAGCGCGCCGAGCGTTTTCTCATCAATGGGGCCGAGGCGGCTCCCATCCGGCAAGTATTGCAAGATATCCGGCGAATGGATCCTGCTGAACTCTGCGGTGGCATCCTGAGCCGAATCAGATGATGAGCATGAGCAATGCAAGTTTCGGGGGCCCTCACCTTTCCACCTTGCGCCAAAATAATGGCTGCTCCGCCTGGGTGTTGCTCGAGATAGGATGTCACGTCGTACACTTCGGCGTTGAGCACGATCCAGCACGAATCACTTGTGTTACGTTTCGCTACTTCAGTCCCGTCCATGGTCAACGGTTAGGCTTTATTAACTCTACAGATTTAATATATCAAGAGGGCAGTTTATATTCAAGCAGTCCAACTATCATTCCGGATTGAAAGATGCAAGCATAATGTCCGGGGTCATTGCCGGTCGTGCGGAGTCATCCCCCGCATTGTCAAGTATCAGCTGTCCTACGCCATTACCATTTGTCAATTAGGAACAGTCGGAATGACGTGACTCTGTCAATTTGTCAACCGATAGGCTGAGAGGCTAGGGCCAACAGAGTCACAGTGAATCACTGACCTGTTGCGGATTGATTGTCAAGAATTGGGGCGGGGAGACGTGCGTGAGATCCCGGAACCCGTATATTCGCGGAACTTGTTTCCGAGCCATGGCCAGTCACACTACCATAGTATAGGTATGGTATACAGTACCATTTTATTTTGTTGTTGAACTTTCTCGTTTGGAAGCTTGTTCAGCTAGGATCGCTTTCAAAATCCAATCATAACCATCATGAAATGGTGTATTTAAAATGAAATAAAACTTCGGACCAGAATTGCTCCAGCCCATGTAAAGTATCCCACCATTTTAGCCGACCATATTGGCAATAATCACGTCGAATACAATAGCCACTTCGAACCATCTCTCCATACTATAGGCACTGGGAGTACCAGTCGTTCTGATATTTGCACTAGGTATCAGGCGTCAGTAATCTGGCGTGTGCACAACAAATACAAGGGACCAGCATCTCAGCTATTGTAAACAATCAAAAAGAAAATTCAAAAATTCAAGAATTCGAGGGGTAGTTACCGAGCCCTGGGCGCAGTTGATGCAACCATTCCAATTTCGTCCAGCGCATTGTCCGTATTTGGCAGCGGAACAGGATTGCCCTATTCATGGTCAGCCGCTAAAAGTTCTTCGCCTCCCTACAATGCTTTGTGATCGTATGGAGTAGTTACCTCCTCTCGCATCAGTCGAGATCAACACCGGAGTGCCGATCGTCTTTGTCTGGTCGATGCTACAGACGTTCGAGCAACGGCCGCCATGTCCTGCGTTCGGATTGACTCCCACGCTCCCGGCGTCTGTGTTGTTAAACACCATATCGATCCATTGAATTTGTAGGTATGCCTCCGAGCCGATAGCCATGCTACCAGCCCAACTGCCGCCATCGCTCCAGGCGTTGAAAAGGACTTGACTTGGGTCACGGGGCGTCTGCGCCGTGATACGAGAAACCTGCTTCCCGTTGACAAACCAGGTGCTGGCCCCCGGCGTCCAGTCAATTCGGTGATGTTGCCAGTCGCTCCATGCTAGGTGCGCAGGTAGTGTGATGTTTTGGGTCGATCCGGTACTGTTAGAAAGTGTCGGCTGATTTGTGTACTGAATTGTGTTGACCGGATCCTTTGTGCGAATCTCAAGATCTGCCTCTTGCACGTTGGTACTCGCATCACCGCCACGGTAGGTGAACATCGCCGTGACAGCACCACTGGCGCCGCGAGTTCTGGCAAGCATCCGCATGCTAAGATATTTATAAGTTCCGGATACCGAGTCAAATTCTGCTGCTGATTGAAAATTATCATGCCGAATAGTTCGCAGTGTAAGGTAAGTCTTTGATGACGCCTTGGTATCATTGTTTGGCGCGAAGTATATGTTGTTCGGCGAATTGACCATCAGCACAGCTGCGTCGCTCCCAGATTCACCACCGAGCCTAGCACTGTTATTCCAACTCTGAATCTCCCAGAAGCTCTTCCATGCAGGAGTGGAAAAGTATGGACTCGTCACACCAGCCTCATTGTTTGCTGCAGGATCTTGAAGAGGCTGCGTCACGTTGACATATTGCTTCATGTTCCGGAAATCGAAGAACATGTGACTGCTAAAGAAGCTCTGGCTAGTCGTGTTGGTTAGGTAGCAGTTGCATTTCCCATCCACTGTGGTAGGAAACTCCCCAGAAGCAGACGATATTACCATAAACCCGACGACCAGCGCAATCCATGCGCACTGAAATGGCTGCATTTGCATCTCGAAGCCTGATTATAATATAGCTTTGGTAAAGTGTGAACAATAAATTGAGAGGGCTGTTAAAAACTACATTCGGCCTCTTTTGAGCTCTGCCTTATAAGATCTTAAGGACTATTGACCTATCGCTTTTTCCTGTAGCACATCAATGATGTTTATCATATGTGACGTAGAGATTCTTCTAGGGGGGAAGTCCAGTGAAGATCAAGGTCAAGCATGAAAAGAGAAAAAAGAAGAAAGCTAGGTAGGAGCTGAAGGGGGACAGCACAATGGCGACTAAAAACAAGAGACTCCATAAGTGGACAATGCAAAAGCCCGCCATTTAAGGTGAAATGGCACATAACGTACATACCGACATTAATAGAAACCTCTCTGGTCGATGAATAGGATGTTCCTCTCCGTGACGCGACTACGTAGTGCTGGGATGGTCGAAGCCGATCCTAGGCATCCTCGGTGCACCCACATATTGCTCAAACGGAATGTAGCGCTTGATTAGGTTGATTATCAGGTCGTAAAGAAGTACTCAAGGAAGTCTGAAACTACTCACGAAGCCGGATAAATTGTGCCGCCCAGAGTTGTGTTCTTTGCCGCCGGCATTTGTGGTTCAATATACACAATAAGCGAGCCAAACGATTAGTGAAGCGAGTATTCAGCCGAGCCAACGACCGTGGGTGAAGAAACCAGTTTTAATCTCGGCAGATGCCAAGACTCAACCCATGGAGGAGAACTTTAGAAATAAGTATGATAAGAATGGGTATTTAGTATGTGTGACTACTTCTTTGAATCTCGATCTGGTATGTTGCTATTAGAGCCCTGACCTAGAATGTTAAGTGTGCTGCGCAGTATATTAGTGGTTTAGCACTACAAGTTTGATTAGCTCCATTTCGCAAAATTGCTAAGAAACTGCCTAGTGATACTCCATAAGCTGTAGCAGCTGCTATAAAGGATTAGGTAGTGATATGAGACAGAATAATCCCGCATGATAGTCTTAAAGGAATGTTGGATAAGGTTAGACAAGTCTGCAGGCTGAGAGAAATCCGCTCTTGACCTGATTTCCGACCCTATTTTTCTACATATTATTAATTATTTTCGCTCGGATCCACGACTTACCAAAAGCTCTAAAACAAGTATCTAATGGGCATTGCATCCCATCAATGATTTAAACTGGTGCGACGCTGCAGATATGATCTGTTCCACTAGATATAATAATAATGGGCAAAATCTATTACCACCTATACATACAGCGCTACTATTAAATAGAACAGGAGGGTGATGAGCATCAACAAAAGCAAATGGTATATCACGCTCCCCGACTTGACAATCGATACACATATAGACTGCCAATGCTTGTACCCCCTTTTTGTACATGTCTTACATCCAATCCCAAATGAGATAATCTGCACTTGGCAACGACCTTACTCCTCGAGAATATCGAAGATATCTGGAAAGTCGTCATCTACTCTCGTTATCTTTCTTTTTTTATGTTTACTAACGACTTGGTCACCACGTGGCGTATGTTGTGCATTTGCATCAGGCGCTTGTGACATGCGGTCCGCCTGCAATGCCTCGAGCTGAAGCTGATGGGCTGCATCTTTTTCGTCATCGCTCGAGTATCTGTATCGAGTCTCTGATGGTGAGTGGGTAGATTCCAATACAACGACTCCGTTTTCGTTGTCTGTCTCCGTCTTGACAGGTTTAGGAGAATCAAAAGGGTCATCCTCATCATCCAGATTAGGCTCTGGTGGTGGTGTTCCCGTTTTGACTGATTTTTTGTCAGCAGCAGCCTCTTCGGTTCCCTTCATTTCATTCTCCAGTGCCTCATTTTGAAGGTTGTGGCTCAGATGACCGACTTTGTGTGCTCGAAAAGGATCACGGAAGAGGGATCCTAAGCGGTTCAACTCGTTGTTCACCTGCCTACGCATGGCTCGTTCTTCCAAGGTGATTTTGGCATGACGATCGACTCGGGTTCCAACTAGTCATATCAATTAGTATACACAAGCCAATTCGAATTCAGAATTTTTTAATTTGTAAGATAAAATCCGTTATGTGGAGTTGCTTACCTAGGACAGTGGTGTAATCACGGAATACCATATCAAAAATGTTCTCCACGTGTTCATTCATCTGCCGCTGAACGGCACGGCACATAGCCTCCAGGTGAGTTTTGACTGTGTCACACGCTTGACGGAACATGGTGTGTTTGGATGTCTCAACATGGGCCACCATAGCAGTCTTCATACGAGCATAACTCCCGCTTCCTAGGGTTTCATAAGTACAGTACCGTTTCAATCGCCGTCAAACTTACCTCTTTCTTCCGTACATGTATAATATGCATAACGCATGGCCTCCATGATCACAGGAACAAATTCGCGACTCGCCTCACGCTGAAGGTCAGTAATAGTAGCCTTGAGAGTAGCCGGGAGCTCGCTCAAAGTTCGGATATGAGCGAGAATCTGCTGCGAAAGCATCATTACGCCATGAACATTCGTGTGTCGTTGTTGAGCCCGTTCCACAGCAGCTTGATGAAACTTTGACAGCAAAGCTTTGGAATTAGCTGCAAATTGTTCCAAGATAATCGGCAGACGCCGTTGGAATGCTCGCTCCCAACCTATGTCCGCATTAGTAAATGAGAAAGAGGCTTTGACATCTAATTCTGACCTGTGGCAAGATCCCTGGAGATGGGATCGAAGAGTTCCTGGTTGAAGTCCCGTGGACCGGAAGCACCTGAGTAGACGCCGTTGCGCCTTACCGTAGCTTTGTAGGTAGCCCAGTACATACCGCCCATACTCCGGTGTGCGCCCCAACCGCTTGCTGTGTTGATCGCATCATGGACAGCTCTCGGGATTGTTGCATTGAAAGACTCGAAAATATGTTCGTCCAAGGATTGCTTCACCGACGTAATTGAATCTTTCACCGAGTTCTCAAATGCCTGTCAAACATGAATAAGCATGTGCTCATAAATCGAATCGTATGGTAATCCATGAGTCGGTCAAAAAGCTACCACAACGAAGCACATCCTTCCTCAGGTCTGGGTTAGAATGACTTCGAGATTCGCTCCCGCATATCGAAACACTTGTTTTCAATAAACTCATTGCCCATGAGGAAATAGTCAAAATTATCCGGGCGCATCTCTCTACCAGTGCAGTGAGGCGTATACATCTTGGCTGTATGAAAGAGAGTGGCGACTTACATCCTCCAGTCCCTGAAGTAACTTGCGCAGGAAGGTCTCCTCGCGACGTTTTTCGGCATCAGTCAGATGAGATTGTGTATCGTCACTTGAAGCCCATAGCCTCATGGAATTGATCAGTTGGCTGAAGTCGTTCAAGAAACGACGACAATTGCTCGCACGACCCGCCTCAGTCAGTTTTTTCGCATGACGCTGAAGCTGAGGAATCTCGGTATCTTCTGCCTCCATAAAGCCAATGTCGCTAGCTTTGATGTTTTCTTTTTCGAACCTGCCACATATAGCCTGATATGCACGACTGCTAACACAAAAGACAGGTAGGCTGTTGGCCACTTCGTCATAATCACGGAGGTCGTGGTCCGGATCGAAAGTTGTTTCGTCTTCCTCGATTGCGTTCTCCTGGTCAAGCCTGCACAGAAATTAAGGCCAAGATTTATCAGAACAGGAGGCGCAACTTACTCTTTGATACCCATTGCAAAGTCTTGCTTGATTGCGCCTCTCGAATAGTCGTTTCGGCCCTTCACACATATGGCTCTCATTTCACCAAGCAGCGTATCGCTTTCCGCTTGGAAACGGTCCATTTCCTTGCGAATCTCGCGCATCTCACTCTCCAGCGTCCGTTTATCCTCACGTATCTGCTTTTTCTGCGCTTTGAGAGAAGCAAGAGTCTTATCAATGTCAGCTTCAGTCAGTGGAAGACGATTCTCAGCGGGCGGGGAGTTTTCCTCGTCACTACAGTCCGATTCTGAGAGCTCGGAATCATCATCAACGTCAGATGAGGCCAAGTTCTTCCTAGTCGGCAACGGCTTGCTCTGCCGCTTTCGTTTCCTGCTGTGCTGCTTCTCTACTGGTGCGTAGACTGTCTGGCCATCAGTGACTTTGCCTCGTAGCTCGTCCCAAGCATCCCACTTGGTCTCGATCTGGTCGACTGTATCAGTATAGGCCGCCTTCTTGTCTCGAAGGTCGCCAAGTTTTCGTTTGAGATCCAGCTTAGAACGCTTGAGGTAGGCTGATCGGTCAAAGGATTCGGAAATCTCGTTCTCTATACCCAGGCTCAAAGAGGCTTCCTCAACGTTTATGTCGTCGGTTTTTGAGCAAATGAAAGTAACAGCCGAATAAGTACCATCGTATTTCAGCTGGCGCTTGAACGTATCACCCAGAAGCGTCTTGGCTGTTTTATCGTCCACAGCACGGTTGATTGGAGCCACAATCCATAGCCCGGTGCACAGCTTCATGTAGTTAGCAGCGACAGCCGCACGAGCTGCGTTTGAATCCTGGACACCGGGCTGCATACAGATGTTAGTCAAAAGTCCGCAATACCAGGCCGCAACAGGCATATAAACACAGCTACGTTTGGTAGCAAATCACGACGTCCCTTGCTTGGAAGAACCTTCTCTCATGCAGATTGTAGTAGCATAAATAAAGGTGGGCCACTTACGAGATCAACAATGACAGCCCCAGTCGACAGTGCGTCAGCTTTGGTGTAGATTCTGACCACTTTGATCAGAGGCCAGTACTCCATGTGAAGGTCCCGACGACTGTTGTCCCCTCGCTCCTTTTCCTTGCTATCGACATAGTGTTGCATTCTGCGGAAGATGTCACCTGCTGTCGTGGCTTTGAGCTTCTTGACACTACCCAAAACCCCACGCACGGCGGGTTCCTTGGCATAGCGCTCAGGTGTTCCTGCAGCCAACATCTCCTTGGTCTTATTGGGATATACGGCTTTCAGCTTAGCGTATGCCACGCCGGCATCGCTGTCACTGTTGGTGCAGTCACGAGAAACGTCGCCGTTGCCATCTAGGAGATCGTTGAACAAGACGCCGAGCTCATGCTCCCAGTCTTGTGCCGAGATGAATTCGATCTCGGCACGGTACAGCTCGTTCGGATCTTGGGAGTAGTTGTACGAGACCTCTGTGGGGGATGCTGTGCATGCTCTCATACAGTTGGTAGGGAGTAATCGATTCTCGTCCATGAGAGCATTTATAACAGTGCTTTTGCCGGCACCTGTGTTTCCAACGACGCCCACGATAGTCTTGGTCGGCTTGGCGCGTTCCTTGAGATCCTTGATGGACTTGGCCCATGACTTAACATCCTCGTTGTCTAGAGTCAAAGCAGCAGTCAGGTTGTCAAGTAGTCCCACACCGACTTGGACCGCTGCCTCCAAAACTTCCGGAGTGCCAGTTGCTACTATTCGCTGCACAGAGTCCGTGTTATATGAGGAGCCATCGCTCGGTTCATCAGCCACAGGCTCTGGTTTTGCCTCTGCCGGTGTCATACTCTCGTGGGAGAGCTGTTGCTTGGGTTGAAGGACGTCGTCAGGAGCCTGGGCCCCCGATGTTGACCAATTGCCATCAGATGAACTTGACGTATCTTGGTCAGGCTCGGACTTCAGCTGAGGGCAAGAAGGAACCGGTGGGCTTGGAGCCAGTTCAGGCGCCGTGGGTAGCGAAGATAGGCGTGAGACATGATCCAGTGGCGGCTCGGGCTTGACAGAAGGCACAGAGCTGCTCGGCGGTATTGCCGAGTCGGACGAACAATGTTGATTCATGGTGCAACTATTCGACGGTATGCTAGGAGGGTCACAAGGATGCGCCAGATTGGTCACAGATTTGACGAGGAATATGGCCTTGCCAGCTCGTCCCGTTCCGTTCCGTTCGATCAAAGGACCAAAACTATGCAACGTGTTGGCGCATGTGGGGCTCGGCCAATGTCACATCAGTTATACTGGTGTGGAATCGGTCTGCTAGGTTACGGCATTGATTGTAGCGGCAGCATAAGTGATCAGACATGTAGGAGAGATTGTTCAGCTGCGGTGACAATGATTGGTGTACTGCTGCAACGCGCCGAAAATCAATTTACCCTAATGGTTAGGTAAGGGGAAAAGCACGCGTCGCGTCGAGGATCTGGGGTAATCATGACCCCACCCACTGGCCTCTATCTCATGCCCCTCACAGAGCCTCATGCCCCTCATCGCGCACCTCCGTCTACGCAGGAGGAGACCTTTGCCCAGGTCTGCCAGATGTGTGAAGTGTGTAGACCAGGGTCGGGTCTCCGAAGGTTTAAATCTGTACCACAGTACGTACTATATACACCGGAGCCCCTATGCAGAAGACGCTTTTCACTACATAGAAGACCCCTGAGCTTCAGCTGACTCATAGTGTCCAAGGTACCGTTTAGCCTCGTAAGGTACCGCTAATTTTGCTGCGGGCCTTGAGGGTTGAGTACCCGACTGGGCTTAGGGACCTTCTGCATATCCTAAAAGTGATTGTGCATCGAGTATCCATACTCGCAAGAGAAAGATCCCCCGCATATTCTTGTTTTCGACCATTATCAATATCATCACAAAATCATTGCGTCCAAATTTTGCCGCCCGTTTTCGTTTATCGTGAAGGACGGCGTTTTCATATCCCCCATTGTTGTCTTTTATTTCTTCTTTCCCGCACTCTAGGCTAGACTAGTCATGTAGGTCAACGACACCTACAACAGCTCGGTCTACACATGTCATATCTTGAATGCTCCTCCGTCCTCTTTTTTCAGGCAAATTTACATACTGCTCAACGATCGTTCATACTACCAAGCAATGCCCGTGACTGAAAGCGGCCAGGTCCGCCTACGAAAGTGAACGAATCACAGTATTGTGCTTGACCTTCTCGAGCTGTCGTAACCAAGGGTCGATGTGTTGAATCTGACTTGCCTGCTGATTCGTTCTCAAGGCTGCAACGCGGATCGTGGCATGACAGTCTGGAGTTCGCCTGCTGGCCACAGTCCACATGGGCTGGAAGGTGGACTGCTGCAGGACTGCGAGCCGCGGCGGATGTATACTAAAAGAAAAACATCTATGCATTGATGCATAATTCTGGAATCTGCGGCATTTTCCAAAGCACCAATACGGCTGGTGGGAACCGCCTGATGAGTCTGGTATATGAAAGCTGCGACTCTTTCCTCTTTCCTTGCATTCCCCCTCCCCCCGGTAAAACTTTGATGCTGGGCCATCAGCTGGAAGGCCCGAGGGGTTCTGACGGCCTTGAACCGCGCTTCATTTCAGTACACAAGTCGCACAGCACGACACAACCGCAGGCAAGCTTTTGTCAGGCCGCTTGTTTGCGTAGCTGAGGCAGTGTGCTGAAGCATGGGTTAGAACGGCGCTTCCAGTAAAGCGCGTGCCTACGTACCACCCAATGCCGCATTTGTCGTTTCCAAACTGTTTTAATAAACTGGCCGTGAATTGTGGTAGTGTGCGCTGGAACCGCCTGCTAACCCCTCAGGTCGGCCCCTTGGCATCTCATGATCACCTCTCATGTACGAGAAGATGGCATGCATCTTGAGTCATAGATAATGCAATCAAGGGCAATGGTACCCGTCCACCAGGCGAGGCTGCGGCCGCTGGTCAGGCAGGCCAAAATTGTATAATCGAACCACACTTGTCCCCTTTGAGGCTTGCAACCAAGACAACAAGCAGCAAGATCTTTTGTTCTTGTTCATCGGCGGGCTCGACCCTAGAGCTTGAGAAAGCTCGATGGTGTGTAGGCTTTGGAAACTCAATCTCGGCATGGTGTCATTGCCATCGTTGTGTTCGGCTTGCTCGATGAGGGCATAATAATGGTTTATGCGATCCGTCTCACAAGCATTATCCGTCGTTCTCTTCTCGATATTGGTATCTGACGATTGGTTGCCAAGAACGGACCGGAAGCGAGCCATGCCTGGCCAGCTTGGGAGTATCATATCTGCGGTCAAACTGTCGTGGGAAAATATTTTTGGTGAATTTATGCGCGTCTTTTTAGACCATCTGGATGATTGGCGTGGCGGTTCCGACCCAGAACTCGCTTCTTCTGAAGTCGAATCCAAGTTTGGCGGGGGCAGTTCACCTTGTCTTTAAATATGGGTTTCTCAGGCACCCCATGGAAGACCTTGACCCCATGGTGACAGAATTCTGGTGGATCATTCCTTGTCCCCAGACATCGTGCACATCCTTGGCCAAGATCTAGCTCCAGGATTCAACTCGAAAGACAGTGGGCTGAAGGGCCCGAGAACAGCTAGGGGTGTGTTGAGTAGCGTTGCTCCGTGAGTTGCGATTGTAAGCAGTTCTTTAAAACATCCAGCCCAAGAGAATGGTTGCGGACAAGCCATGACAAGATGTTTCGAAGCTTCACCCAGGAAACCATTTTTTTCTTGGTCATATCAGTGTACAATACCACATTTCCATCTGTGTACGTATCCATTAATAGTTTTATGTCTATGCGCGCCCATTTGAAGTAGAAGCGTGACGCTTGCCAAGTACCAAGAAGTTTGAATCACCTTGGCAATCCACATGCTCGTACAACACAAAAAGCTAGCGGAATTACATGACATCTTTCCATTGTCCGAATTCGAAGAGCAATGGTCGAATCTTATTGTACATCATAACGAAAGGCTCCCCTTCCCGCTAACGTAAGACACCGCGACGATGCTACGATGTGGCTTGCATCGTCCTGTGTTGAGTTTGCTCGAACGTAAGACTCAAATGCGTGCTGAAGATGTTGACCTCGAAGATGCCGAGCTGTGTCGGTTGCTACGGGTAGGCTTCATTGGTCTCAGCTCCACCCTACTTCCGTCCGTTCTGGCCCGCGACTCACGATCAACAGAATCGCGAGCCTTCGCCGCCGCCGTGACACTCGCTCTTCCTCTTTTACGCTCACCGATCACAGCAGCAATAGTCCAGAGCAAGAACATGACGGTCGCGACGACTGAGTACGCAATGATAGCTGAGCGATTGGCCTGAGCAAGCCCAAGACCAAGGCCGCCGTTGATGATGCCTAGCACAACGGCGAGTCGACCAACCCAGATATGGCTGTATGACCACCAGGTCCGGCAGCCGAGACGCCTGTACCGTATATGGTGGACCCAACCGAGTATGGGTTGGAAAAAGAGAACTGCCAAAATGACGAGTCCGATTATTGGATGAGCATTTGCTTCTGGAATCGAGAGCTTGTCATCATTTTGTAAGCCAACCGAGGTTACCAAAAGCTGCTCAAGAAAGTTGGCTCACCAGACTTCTCCCATTGGGTGGGATGCGGACCATTCGCACAAGATAAATGCCCAGCGCAGCACCACAGATGTAGACAACATATGCCACCAACTGAGTGATGCCATGTACCAGGTAAACAAATCGTCCAGGGACAACTCTCATCAAGATAGCTCCGACCGGGAAGATGCCGACAAAAGCTAGAGCTGCCAGTGTCCCATGGATTAGACGATAGCTTGCCGCCGTTGCAGGGTCTATATCAGCACCATCTCCAAACTGCCTGCCGAATCCATCATCGCTGCCACCACCATAAAAGCCAGAATATTCTCCGTAGTTTGGTCCGTCACCATCATAGTCATCACCCCAGCGCCCTTGGGCAGACGCGATGTCGACTGCGGAATATGCTTGATTAGTCCCATGCTTGTTTTGTGTAGCTGACCCTAGTTGGACATGGAATCTATGCGTACCTGAAGTTACCAGACTGAGGAGTACTGCTGATGGTATTATATGACGTACCATGTTTGATACGTGAATGATGCTTTCTGAGCCTGGGAATATAACACGTCCTATTGGAAGCAAACGATGGCGACAGAGGAGCAACCTTCCAGAATGAAGAAGCGGAAAGAAAAAGAGGTTGCCATGCAGCCATCTCAAGATATTACACGTCCCATATCCAGCTTCGTCAGCCGCGCATTGTTTTGTGGCCTAGCTCACCCGCGAACGCCACGGACGTCCCCACGGCAATGTGCGGACTGGACTTCCAATCAATAATCGAGGTTGGTTTAAACCTTTGCGGCTTCGGCACCGGAAGATAGAACACTTTGGGCATGGAATTGCTGTTCTTGCCGAGCCCCAGACGCCTTTGCGTTTGGCACGGGAGATCAGCCTACATACTATGTCGCCCATGGTAACACGCATATGTTGCGTCGACCGCTAAACAGTGGGTTAGGAAACCGAATAGAAATGATGTTAGGATGCACGTGATCCCTAGGCTATGAATTTCGTTGGCATGGATGTCATCTCGCGACAACCTTTTCATTTCAACACGGCTTGAGTAGCCGAGGCAGGTGACCAAATGCTTCTGAAAACCGACTTTTCGGCTGCCTGTATAGGTCGCGATAAGCCGCACCCGTAATGATGATATCTATGGATGTACTCCAGCTCAAATGCAAACCGTGGTCGCCAGACCCGCAAGAGAGTCATGTGCCAAATCTCGTGAAAACCATTACGCCATGTACTCTTGCCCTGAACGATTTGCCCCCATCATTGTATTCTATCATTCGTCCTCAAGAAACTCGATCATAATAGTTCCATTCTTCAGTCCCGCTTGCTCAATGGTGGAATCGAGCTTTTCGATCAGGTCTCCGCCAGGCTGGGCTTTTAATTCGAACGCCACACCGTCCTTGCCGTCCAGTGGTTCAGCCTTGAGCCACTCGTAGATGCGACGGACGGTATCCGCAGTTGCGAACCTGCGGATGACACGACCAGCTGGATGTCTGAATTGGATACGCGTCGTGGTGGCAGGGTTGCTTTCTGGTTCCACATGCGGTACAAGAGAAGAAATTTGGGCAAAGGGCGAATGGTCGACAGGCTCGTCGGCGGTATCTTTGCCCTTGCCCTTGCCAAGGTCTGGAACGGACCTGGTGAGGGCATCGGGATCCTCGACACTCGGCTTGGATGTGGTGCCATTCTCCATACTGTTCTGCAAGGCCATCTCGAGCATTTCCTCCTCGGTCATGCGATCGACATCGACCTTCTTGGTCTGCGGCTTTGCCTTGGGCACAGGATTCTTGCTGTTGGCGGCCAGGCTGTATCTGTCGAGGAACTCGATAAGATCTGAGTAGAACTCGCCCTTGTCCGGAAAAGGCAAGCCAGACCATAACTTGACCTGCTCACCGGTGCGAGGGTCGATGATGGCGACGTACGGATAGTTATCCTGGTTCTCGTGCTGGGAAAAGTAAAGGCCGAGATACTCCTGGCCCCGTGCATCGTCCTTGTCGAACTGCATGAAGACAAAGTGTTCCTTCAAGAGAGCGCGAATGTTGTCGTCCTTCCAATGATCTCGGTTCAGAGTCTGGGAGTTGAAGTCTGAGGAGTCCTGGATGTTGACAATGATCCACTTCTTCTCATCCTTGCCCTCTTGCCGGGCATCTTCCCAGGGTAGGTGCGACATGATATCGTAAGGGGGTCGGAACATGTCAGCCAATCTTTGCGAGCGCATACTGCCAGCGGGACCGGGAGCTCCGCCGGGTCGGGAGCCCATGGGGACGGGTGGTGCGCCGACGCCGGGGGTGATGGGGGCGTCCCATACGGAGGGGTGGTTGAATGGATTTCTGGGTTGACCTTTGGGTACGACATTAGCGCGGTGAGTCCATGGCAGCAAGGAGACTTGCATGTTAGTCAGAGGCTTACTTTGGGGCAGCCGCCTGCGACGCATCTGGTCCAGCACGGCAGCTTCCCGGTCGTCGTCCAGACTCCAAGAGGGGTCAGGTGCAACAAGTGTTTCCGTAGTCCGGCTCATAGGTGCTCTGACGTCGTCTTCAGCAGCACCGGCCCCTTGACCGTACATCTCTTCTTGTAACCGGCGGGCCATGGCTGCGTCGTCCTCTTCCTGGGCGGACCGTGCGACGGCTGCGATACCGTCCACGTCGAGGTCGTCGTCATGGTCGTCGTCGTCGTCTTGGAGCATGTTTACGTCATCGTCGTCATCGGAATCTATGGTGATGACGCCACGTGTGTCCTCGCGACCCAAGGGACCTCTCCTGCCAGGTCGACTCGATCGAGCGGAGGGTGCTGCAGAAGAAGACTGCGCTGTGGGCGGGGCGGCGTTTGGGCTGTTTGTGAAGCTCGCCGCCAGGTCTGGTTGCTCGAAATAGAGCTGGATGGCCTGCATGGTATCGTTGCTTGAGATCTCGAGATATCCTCGGGCTACTCTCTCGTCCTCGGCGCCCGTAATGGCCATGAACTGAGTGACCTCTTCATCCATGGTGGGCAAGTTGGAAATACGGCCGTGGCAAGGGTGTTGGCTGTGGCGTGTAGAAGGACGGAAGTAGCAATGACCAGCGATAGTAATATTCGGCGGAGATCAAAAGTGAGCTGCTACAGTAGGCAGTCGGAAGTTGTAGCTGTTGCTTGAGGGTCGATAAAGAGAAATAAAAATAAAAATAAAAATAAAAAGGCAGGGGCAGCACCTGCAACCGATTGCTTTGATCGCGATATCTGGTGGGGGTACAAAGTCGAGAGGCGATTTCCGCGACCGTTTGCGCTGCTTTGAGATTGTGGCTTCTCGATCGAGTTGAAACTTGCAGAAGAAGAAAAACAGTGCGGTGTGGCGCGTTGCGATCAGAAGGCGAATACTGGCTCGAGAATCTAGAGAGTACAAAAAGACCTCAAGACACAGACACAGACACAGACACAATAATTATTAACTTGAGGCAAATGTTTTCCATGTTCACAAGTTCATGCACCCTGAGCAGAGCACCGGAGCACGCTGACGAATGAACAAACTTGACCTTTCCTCGCAGTAGTGCTAACTTGAGTTAGGCGGCATGCAGTGACGCAACCACCCTTTGGGACCAGTCAGGTACGGGGGGCACTCCGTACCCAAAACCAAGACCAAAACCAAAACCCAACCTTGAAACTCGCTACAGAATGTACTGTACCGTGTTGCTAAGCATGAAAGGTACCTATTTATTGCCTACCTCCCTAACCTACTGTATGTACGCCTGGACTGGAGCACAGCGCCCCCCGCCCCCTCAATGGCACCCAACACTCCCGATGCCCTACGCGTATGTAGCGCCCCATGCCCGCCATGTGGGGGCTCATGGTTGCCTTTCGACTCGCTTGCTGCACCTGTATGTAAATAGTCTTTTGCTCACCCGTACATGTACTTCTTAGAGGAGTCTAGAATCCAACCCTCCTGAAGGACAAATATATATTAAAAAAAATTATCAGCACAAGAGACTGAACGCTGGTTGCATCTTCAAGAGAGACCTGTTCATTGTGATCCCTCAGGGCCGCCGATTCCTGTGGCCTCTAGGCTACATGACCACTTGACTCTGAGCTCTATAGTCTGAAATCTACCAGTCCAATCACCCGTCCAACTTCACTACAGCCTGCTTCAACAACTTCTCTACATCCAACGATCTCTCTTCTCCAATAAGATTGCCTATCTTTTCACGCATCCCTACCACGGTTGACGGCTCAACGGCACCAAAAACATCCCTGTTCAAAGCCTCTGCAAAAGCGATCAGTGCCTTTGCACGAGCTGTGCGTTGGTTCTCCACCATGACCACGTCTTTTTCCGCGACGAGTGCGGTCAACCATCTTGACGCGGTCGAGCTAGAACCCGGGGCCTTGCTGCTCTCAGGGGTAGTTGCCGCCTTGAACAAATCCGTAGCGCATGTGAAGAAGGTGTCTCTAGCCATTGTTGGTGCCTTCTTCGCGTCTTCAACGGAAGAGATAATCTCCAAAAGCACACCCGGGGAATCTGATTGCATCCTCGGCCTGCTATAGGCCGTCATGACCACCTTGAGTGCTGCGGCAGTGGTGTTTCTCTCCAGCTCCGTAAAGCTGTGGCTGGTATCGACATCAGGACTCAGATACTCGGAAACCACCCCGACAACCTCGGTGTACATGTCCACGTCATCCCGCGCAGCAGCAAACTCAGCCAACGCCTCGAAAGCATGCGGTCTGTATTCTTCATTGTTGCGCTTTGCTTCGCGAATCGCGATCTTCTTTGTCTGGGTCGCAAAACCCGGATCTGTGCTCCATAGCTTCCTGCTGTGCTGGATAAAGGTCGGATAAGCTGTCACCAGCTTCTCCTTGCCCTTGAACGTCTTGAGCGCGAGAGCCTTTTCCAGGACCGGCCAGATCTTGTGCAAATTTCCCTCGCCGAACTGGCCACCCTTACCAACTACATTACTGAGCGCCGACACCATAGACGCAATGGTAAGTGCGCCACCGTGCTGTAACGCCCACTTGGAAGTTTCCAGTGCTTTGGCGACGAACCTGACAATTTCATCGACAAAACGCATCACGGTATGGCCACCCCCCGCGTGTTGATCCCAGACAGCATTGAACTCTTCCGATACATAATCGTCCGTGTCGTGCTTGGCAAGATAAGCAAATGGAAGCAACTGAGACTCCAATTCGATGAACACATCCGGCGATATCTTTGCAATTGCCAGGACAGAATCTGCAATTTTCTGTCGCCTACTGTCATCTTCGGCCGCGTAGTACAGTTCGGCGAGTCTCAAAGTGAAACGGTCACGAGTCTCCGCAGAGGCCGTTCGGGTCAGATATGCCGCGCTGCGTGCATATGCTTTGCTGACCTCGTGATTTCGATCGAGAACCTGGGCCTCCATTATTTTTAAAAACGTCGCGTTGTATGGGGGTAGCAGTATACTGTGCCGCAATGCTAGTGTGGCCAGGACTTCGCTACATCCGACTTTGGTCTGCATACCAATCGCCGATCTGATTGTTTGAGCCAGCTGAGGTGCGAGTTCCTTCATGACACTTTCGTCAGCGAAGCGTAGACAGTTCGAGATGCACTCAAACATCGGCGAACGAGTTGCTGCATTGCTGCGCATTTTATCCAGCTCCTCACGATCTTGTTCTCCGACTCGTTGATAGTAATAGTTGATGGCCTCTGGCTCAATGGTTCCAAGCAAGCCAAGGCAATGCGTGATGATTGTAGGAATGAAAGGTTTCAGAGTGTCTCCTCCATTCTTCACCACGTCAAGGACAGTCGTTATCGCCAGGACCTTGACTTCTTGGACGGAATTCTCAATGCCCTTCTCCGAAAGCAGAAAGGGCAAAACCTGTGATATCATGGCTTTGGAAGAGGAAGAGGAATTATTCTCGGTGAGTTGCGTCACCAACGTCTTTGACAGACCCATGCACATTTTCAGAGCAGCGGCCCTGACGCTACTCTTCTGGTCATCAAGCACTTTGAGTGCCACTTTCCAGATGTCTGTGTAGTATTTCTCATATTTCGGGAAAGGCTGTCCATAAATCAACTCTGCGATCGCAGCACAGCTGGCCTCTCTTACTCGCCACTCCCGACCATCGAGAATACTTTTCAAGAGATCGGCCATGATGGCATCAAAGTATTTATCAATCGTCGAGACTGGATCTTTGACAACGGCTTTCCAGATATCGTCCATAGACCGCCTGACATTTGAGTTGGGATCAAATCGATAGCGGTATAGTTTCGGATATATCTTTGGGTCCAATTCAGCGTCGGACAAGATGTTGCTCAATCCGAATCGCCCAAAGGCCGAGCGAGCTGTCCAAGTTGCCGCATTGGTTGCAAGAGCCATGAACTTGTAAATTAGACTCTGATCTCCCACCTCGTTGGCAAGGCTGATGATATCCTTGTAGGAGGTAACGGATTTGCCTTCGCCAGTGGGCAAAGCACCAGCATCAAAAAGCTCTGTGTCATCGTCAACCTTGAGTTGCGTCTTAGTCCCGGTGAATGTAGCCACTAGATCTCTGACTAGATCTCCTTTAAGGGAAGGGTCACCCTTTTCGTACACTAGCGATAGACCTCTGGAGGCAGTTTCTTGCACGAGCTCGTCTCTTGCATTGAGAAGGCGGGTGAATGCGACCTGGCATTCTCGCAGCCGAGTTTGAACCTCCTCTAGGTGAGAACAATACTGAATAAGACAGAAGAGCCAAATACCACTAGCCTTGAGCAGGGACGGCTTCGTAGTTTTGCAATCAGTGATCAGCCTCTCAAGGGTCGAGGAAATGTGATCGGGTCGTTTACCCAGGCCTCTTAGCCTTTCTGTGCTATTCAAATCCACCGGTTCGACATCAAGACGTAGTTGCATAGATTCTGACTCCCAACGTGCGATTGCTGCTGCAATCGCCTCGCCCGTGGCAAAATGCACCTCAGTTCGTTTGATCTCATACAGTCCGAACAAGATCTCTAGCACCTTTACAACATTATCGTTTGTGATAGCGGAAGGTATCGCCAATCTTCCAAGCGCAGTGATGGCTTTCTCGTTGTGCGCCTTTGCAAGTGTCTGTAAAGCATCGGCATATTCCGTAAAAAGTTCTTCTGTTCTAGGCAGCCCCATGTTCGCAGCCCATAACTGCGAGACTGTGAGAAGCGCTGTGTCCTTGATGCTTTGATCTGGTCTTTTTAATATGGATGAAAACAACGCAAAGATGTAGTCCACATGCTCGGACGCATCTACAGGCTGCACTTTGCCATATAGGGCAGCTCGAGAAAAGTAACTGCCAAGGAAAGCTAAAGAACCTTGGTACTCAGCAGCTTGAGAAGCCGTGGGTTCTGGACATGACTCCAAAAACTTGCGAAGCTGTGATATAAGCGATGGTGTTTGATTGCTCCAAGGCGCAAGTATGCCAAAGGTTTTGGCTGCCAACTGTCTAATCTTTTGATTGTGAGACTTGGCCAACACGAGAAGCTCCGGTGCTCTGTTCGCAACTTTTGTGATGACAGCACCAGTTGGTGAAAATGACAACAAGTCTGTTATTGACTGTATGCACTCTTCGGCCCCAATATCTGGGTGATCACGAAGACCGTCGAATGCGGCATCTAGCAGTCTTCGGAGGGACTGATGATTAACTTCAGCCATGTATTTTCTCAGTGAGGCATGCGTGGGAAGATCGTTTGCCAGCCGATTATCTAACTGACTCTCCCAGTCGATCTCCGGTCTCGACTCGTTCAAGCCAGTCAAAAAAACAATTCGCGTGACGTACTTGATCGCTACAGGAAACGCTTTTAACCTTTCGTTCGTAAACAAAGAGTAAGCCGATTTCTGATCTATGACCATGTCATCAGCACCGAGATCCTTGGGTTGGGCATCGAAGAATACGTCTGCCAGTTCCGCCCAGCTGGGCAGAGTCAAGCCCTCCTCGGGATGGAGTTTGGTTGCCCACCATGGATCTAAGCCTTTCTGTCCCTCCTCCATAACATCGCGGCGTTCGAGGCCACCGCTGCCGAGCGCCAGAACGTTAATCCACCGTGCCTTCACGTTACTATATGGCAGACAATTATTGGCAAAACGTGTGGCGACATGTCTCGCTGTTCGAATACCTTGCCTATCCGGAAATGTCATGAATTCGAGGAGAACAATCTCAAGGTCCCGCTGCTCAGCCTCGCTATTATACTTGAACAGGTCCATCATGCTTGACAGGGCGCTCTCGATATAAACCACGATATCTGAGCTCGGGTCCGATACAAGTGAATCAAATAACCATTTCAATAGTGAATCTTTGGCTTTGTGCTCGAACTGACTGCCTCTGGCCAATGTGCCTATTGTCTCGTAGGCATTTGCACGTAATCGTTGTTCGTCTTGGTATTGCGATTGGTTAGCCGCAGGTATTGGGCTTGGCCACCCCTGTTTGAGAATGTAGTCTTTAAGTAGTAAGACAAGACTCGGTCCCATCTCGCTATCCTTGGCTGATTGACCTGAGCTATTCCTCGCAATCCATGCAAGGAAGGCCAGAAGGGCCTTGTGTAATCTCAAAGCTTCTAGACCGGTGACTACCGCAGTCTCCCCAGAGGTGAGCTGGAAATCAGCTCGGACAGCTTCAACAACTTGGGTTCTCATAGAGCACGCAGCCACTGACTTGGAAAGTATCCGAAGGATCTGTATTCTGTGTGGTGCGGGGAGCTTGAGGTGTGCTTGGAACAGGGTCTGGACGACTTCATGGTCTTCCAACTGCACGTTCGATCGCTTTAAAACATCATCTGCAACCGAGGTAATTCTTGAGTCCGCCAACCCGGCAGCGTGAAGAGTCGGCAAAAAGCGTTCTTCCTCAGTAAAAGCACCGCTTGCCAAGAGTGTCACTGCTTTCAGCTTGCATTCTGGCAATCCAAGGCTGCCAGCCTCTTTAGGGTTCCAGGTCTTTGGGTCGCTACTCCGGAGGAATTCTATGTCATCTCTGGTCAACCCGACTGGACTGGACAGAAGACCATTTTCAAGATTCGTAGATGGCAACAAAGCTATGTCCTGTCTCAGAAGGAATAGTTTGCCCAGCCATTGTGAGATGTACTTGGCATCTTGCGCATCAGAAAATCCGATAGATTCTCGAAATTCCAGGTCGTTTCTGCTTCCTCGGGGCGGAATCTTGATTTCTAGGAGAAGACGCAGCAGAATGATGAAGAAATTGGAGGCGCTTAATGGATTGGTCTCCTTCGAGATGCCGCGCGCCACCACAGGAAGGAGTTCACGGCGCTTCTGCTGATTTAAACGAAGTAGGCCCTTTTTGATCAAGCCAAGGTCTAGCTGCTTCACCACTGGCGAAACAGCCCTCTTGTATTGTTCGAGTAGAGCAGTGACAGGTAAAATGACACTGCCACACTGATTAGAATAGAGACGGTATACAAGCGTCTTGTTCCCTACCTTGGAGGCTGAATGAGTTTAGTCACGCTTATGTACGCTTGAAATGCCTATCAGAACGTTTAGTTCGTGGTTCAACGATTGGACTATGACATGGCGGTGACACCTACTGCATCTCGAACGCTCTTGTGGGGACTGCCAGCCTTTTCGAGTAGAGGAACCAGCTGGGACTGGAGCACTTCGCTGAGCTTGTTTTCGTCTCCTGAAGCCGTTGCGATCTTGTAACGGATAGTGGCGACGGCCTTCTGGCCTGCCGCGTCCGTCGAGGATGCCATTACAAAGCAGGCGTAAGTAGTGAGTGGTTGGTAGTGGGCACAAAGACGATGATTTACTGTATCAACATTTTCGAATGAAAGAATTGTGGTTGCTGAAATTGGTCTTATCGCAGAGAATCGCCTTTGAGTGTCGATTCCAAGTAGGCTCGTGTATCAGTTTTGATGTATGGTTTCATCGAATCAGCCAGCAGTGGTCCACGTCGATGCTGATGGCGTCGTCGCAAGTGCCTGAGCAATTGACCGCCACCTGTGGCGGGGGGCGGGGCATCAAAATCATAGCTTTAGCAATACATTGTGAGCCATAGTTGATGCAAGTAAAATGGATATCACTTTAGTATAAAAAATATTTATTTTATTTTAAATAAAGTCACTCAGCCAAAAATTATCAAACCATTTCAATCTCACTTGTCTGAGTGTGCAGATCGTTCCTCATGGCTATCAATGTCAACTAACCTACACCTCTCGTGCCAAACAATAAATCCGCTGCCGACCTCCGAACCTTGACGTTTGCTATTCTAACATTACGTAGGTATCTTACCATCCCCTGGCTGAGGTGGGTGCAAACCCACCAGCTATGAGTTTTACGTGCTCCGGAATTTGTGTATATATAACTTCGATTATAGAGTCAGTCTTCACTGGGTTACGCGAAGCCCCAAAGGTCTTTAACCCTCGATGTAGTTTTATTTATAGTGGTGTGTTGGTACACCTAGGCCCCCTTGAGTCTACTATTCCCTCGTAGACTAGAAGGGGAGTGCTAGATCGTTTGCATTGACGCACATAACTTCATTTCCACAGTCCTCTCAGATCTGGTGTTACACATGATATGTATATAAATTTTCAGCGCTTAGAACATAATGATTCTCGGGACATCGAAACGAGGCAAGGAGATTCGATCCTGCCCAGGGCTTCGGCTAGGCTTGTGTCTTACTACACAGTAAAGGTTAGATAGCATGATGTACGGTACATATAGATGTACATACCGTTTGAGCATATCCCCACCTGGGCATTGTGATCTACCTAAAACGCAGTTCGCATATAAGCTCGAGGAATGCATATGCAAAATGGGAGCTTTGACTCGAATGCGTTCATGTTGACAAGCACATGAAAGCTTAGAAGGTTTGCAGCAGATGCCGGTCGTTTAAATCCGAATGATCCAGGGATCATCGAACTGTAAGGGCAATGCCAAGCTATCTGGGCCTACCCCTCAGACACGTCGAGTAATGTTGAGAGAGGATTTCGCCCAGGCGCACACAATGCTGAGAGCACTATCTGAATGCAAGATCCGGACTTGATCTTCCTTGTCTGTTTCTCAGTGGAGCGATGGGATATACAAGTGGTATTGAGGGTCGCTTCTTTCTAGTGCATAGTAAAATTTTTGCATAGTAAAACAACTTGAAAAGCTGACCTGCGATTCCTGAATTGGTCGAGTGAACACGAGTCAGCCAAATACTCCCACAGCGTTAGCTATATAGAGCTCGGATAGCCGGCAGAACCATTTGCTTAATTAGAAGACCAATATTCAGTTACCCGAAAACCAGGTTCCAGGGAAAAGTCGCGCTATCTGACGGCGGGTGTGTAGTGCATGTTTTTTCCTGCACACCATTGTTCAATCATATCGGTGGATTGGGAAATTCTCTGAACGCCAATCTGCATCGTAATCTCAAAGCGTTCTCTGTACCTATCAGTCACGATCAGAGGTGTGGAGTCCAGATGGATGTAAACACAAAGAAAGCATAGGTTTTCATGGGAGTATACGTCATACTTTTCCCCATCAGTCATTGCACCATCTTGTGTTTTTGACTTAATCGTTTAATGAAAACACAATCTTGAGTATACATCTAAATGATCTTTGGGCTTTCTGATAATTGACCTGGTGGCAGCCTGCATGATGTTGAGATTACTGCTTGGGCGAACATGGGAGAATTTTGTGGAAAAGATTTGCTCGAAGATACTTGTACATGATATTAACACCCCGTTTGATCTAATGCAGGTGCTCCTCGATATACCCTAGTTGGAAATCCGCTTGATGCGACGGTAGGCAAGCTCTCGGAGCTGTACTGTAGCTAAGCTGAAAGGGACTCCCAAGGCATCCATCCAGTGCTTCGTTGACCTAGTGTATGCAGTGTCATCGTGAATACATAACTAGATTCTCACAATGACTAAGTAGCTACAAAGCGATGGGTTTTGGATTAAGCGGGAGTAGTAGTGTTGTTACCAAGGAAAGGTTTCGCACGGATCAGTGAGTATTCGTGATGCAATTCCGTTTTCATGGTCAGCAAAGCAGCTGAAAAGCTCCAACCAAACCCCAGCCCGACAGGGGTTTTGCAGATCGTCGCATTTCCTGGGGCCGAGCACAAACGTTCCGATTCGAGCCTCCTTCCCGGATTCGTCGTCGTAGTTTCCTGGCACGTGGAATCAGAAAGGCATGAATCATGGTTGCGTCTGTGGGTAATTGGGGAGATCGAAGTATGTATCATGCGAGCTTCACGTATTGATCGCATTGCGGTCAGATCTTACGCGACATTTTTGCAAGTAAGCGCGGCTCCTTTCGTTTCTTGTTCGCCCTGGGCATAATTTGCCGCGTAGTCCGTATTGATACCATCTCTGTCGACGGCTTGGCGGCACGAAGGTATCTGCAATTTGTTTTCAAGGTTAGCATCAAGTGGTTATCTTGGAATGTATGAACCCAATTATTTGGTTCTCATGCGACGAGTTGCTCACCATGTCGTAGTTTGCTCGAATACGATGAAGTTAAACTTCAGTAACCATGTTCTTCATCGTATTAGAGAATCTTGATCATTAGAAGTGGTTTTCCTTGCCCATGGCATCAACATGATTACTGGGCGGATCTAGTGATCAGCATTCGACGGAACAGGTATCAAATACTCCAAGGCCGCACACCAAGCAATAGAAAACACAATCTATGGGACGTAGGGCTGTGCTCCTGATGTTTGGGCTGTAGCGGAATTGCACGCTTTATTACTAAAAAGCACGTTTCAAACCGAGACTTGCAGGGCAACCAGTTCTCCCCTAATTTCGCATCACCCATGGCCAACACATAAGAACATATGCGCAGATTTGGCAAGCAAACCCAGCTTGGCCCCAGTGTCGCCCGTACCGCTATTGTTGGAGAGCTCTTTGAAGCAGACTCTAGGTTAGCGAGTATGACGCGACGCGCCTTTCAGTCATAACCCTCCCCCACTTGGGTTCCCAGGGTTCAGCGCTGTTGCTTGAACTCAAGGCTTTAATTTTTGAAGCGCTCTCCCCCCAAGAGCCGACCTTCTGAAGTGAGGCTGCGAACTTCCCTCATAGACACCAACTTTCAGGTACCTGGCCGTATGATACCTTTGTTCGAGGTAAGGTGAGACTTGGGGCGGCGCCTCAATATCCAATTTACCAGAGCTCTAGTGGTTCTCGGTACCTTTGCAGCCATGCATTTACATGCCGTGTACCTGTTCGTGCTCTAAGCTCGAAGCAGGGCTCCAGGCACAGCTGCAATACCTAGTTCAATTCTCGAAAACGCCCATCGTCGGCGGGATTGACGGTTAGAACTCTCTGGCTTTGCCAAATGGAGTATTTCGAGTTCCTTAGGCTTTGGGCCGCGGCGACAACTTGCCCCGGCAGCTCTGGAGCCACGCCCCGAGCTCTAGTGAGCTGCAGCGCAGTTTCCATCATGCATACCGCAAGACAAGTTATAAGTATGCGATTTAAAATAAAAATAAATGGTCTATCGTCTTGCTGCTACCAGTTATCCTTTGCTTTGCACGGCTGGTTTATTGAGTCGTACTGACCCATGAGGTTGCGTACTGTAAAAGCAGTCAAAAGATACTACTTGTATCTGAAGTGCTTTTTGGGCCATGTAACCACTCTGAAGCAAGCTATTCTGGTGACTGCTCCACTCTGAGCCGGTCATGCCAGTGCTTCTTATGTTGTCATTACCGTCTCAAGCAAACGTCAGAAGGTTAAAACTACCTGGGGCAATTGCTGGGCGAGCTGTTCACAAGTTCGGCTTCATGCAGCACGCTGTACCTACTTGGCATACGGTAGATCAATGTGCATATGTACGCGCATATTACATGCAGACAAGTGCATTGATTGAGCTTTTTGTCCAGGCGTCTTTTGTCGTTTAAGATGACAGACACTTTCAGTGTCTTTTCCCATAGTAATGATAACAGAGTTATGGAAGATTGAACTCAGGTCAGGGAACCGTGAGTTAGTTCAAACCCTACTTCCTTCGGTTTCCAGGCGGCTGGGAGAAGTCTCCTAGATTGCTGCTTCCAGGCCAGGATCCATCCGCAAGAGACGGGTGCTTCGGGGGCGCTTTTTTCCCTTCAATTCCCCCTCCCCCCTTCTTTACTTTTTCTTCTCGTGCATCGAGCCCTATGACAACAGTTCCATGTTGCAGGGATGGTCGTCATTGCAGTTCGTACCTACCTACAGTACATTCCTAGCTGCATGTACAGACTGCACCGGAGACCTCCTCACCTGGACTCTGGTTGGATTCACCTTTCTCTTAGTCCGTACTTGTAGGCAGCATGTGTTGTTAGGCCTACGCCTGTGCCATTTAGTCCTGACGCCTATACCTCGCCTGACGCCGGGTCTTTGCCAGGCTTTTGCTGGTACTAGGTTAGTGATGTCTTAGCGGCGCTCAGAGTTTTGCGGACCCTCTGATGATCCAATTGGATGCTCGCAGGACCGGGCAGAGTGTTCAGAGTCTACCTTAGGGAAAGTCAAGAGTCGTCTCCTCCACTCTCGACCCCATTCTCTCATCTTTTTTCCACACCACACGCAAACCAAGTCGGCACCATCGTTGTCTGCCTCTGCTTTTGTTTCTTGCTTGTGTTTCTTCCCACACACTCCCTTCCTTCTCCTCTTTTTCCTTTCCTCCAACCCTAATTGTAACCTCTGTCAACACCAAGTCCTTCCGCCGGTCCGCTGCTCGAATTCGTTGCGTGCGTTTTGCAAGAAGCATCCTTTCGTGTTTTCTGTGTGCGCGTAAACGTCCATTGTCGGTAACCCGGTTCCTCCGTTGACTCCCGCAATTTTCTTTGCGCAATTGCAAAAAAGTTTCGTCAGACTTGCGGGTCTCTTTTACACAACTACACTCCCGAATAACGCACTACGCCAGCTTGGGGTCTTGTCGAAGAATAACGAGTAACTCAGTGTGTGGTGTTTTGAAGGAACGTCAACCATTTCGTGCTGCTTGGGTCTCGCAGGTGTTTGTGTAACGGTGCTTTTCTGCTCTGGTGCCTTTCTGTCTGTGTATGACCAACAGCATTCGCTCGGTCATTATAAGTAAGTTGTATTTCTTTGCCTAGTTACAGCATTGTCGAGATAGCGCTTGATCTTGAGTTTGATGATTCAACAATACTGGCTTCGACGCCTGAATTATATGAGTTATGTCGCCCACCCTTCCATGGCAGGCCGCGAGCTGGCAGCCGCTTGGAGCTCTCTATCCTCTACCTTGTGTTCTCAAGCTTCCCTCTTCGATCACTACTTCGAAAACACAATTGTACTGGTGGACAATTGAGCACGCCGCCGCGTACAGCATGTCGCGAGACGCATTTACACCTCACTGGACGTTTCTGAAAGCCGACATTGATGTCATGCCCCGCATCGCATCCCACCCACCAACATCGGCAATCACTGGCGATCAGCTGCGACCGATTGAAATATCGAGAACGAAACAATCTGTCTTCGCCCTCGGCCGTGGCTTAAGCCTTGAGCAACAACTCAAAGCTTAATCATGTTAAACACGACGTTTTGTTATCGCTTAAGCCAACAATGGCGACCGGTGGACAGGAACGATCATTCAACCCGCCTCCCATCACGTTTAATAAGTCACATTTCGATTGCGATCAGGACGTCCTGGTGATGTAAAGGGAGATATTGTGAGGATACTGGAGATGGTTCTCACCATGGCCTGCCTCGCGGCCGCTCTTATCAGCCTCTGGCGACAAGATCAGGACCATGTGAATTGTATCCGAGCACCATGCTACACGCCAGGACGTCCAATTGCACCGTCGCAGTAGAGGCCACTATGGGGTATAGCATACGGAGGTTGCATGCAGCAGTATCCTACAGAGCACTGCAGATATGGTCTTTTGGGATACTCAATGCAAGCAATCCCCTATTTCTGTCACCACCCAAGAAGATATATGGCAAGGTTTACGCTCTTTTCTGCATTGCCTGCAAGTTTCGATTTCGATGCAGAGAAAACACGTAACTTTTACAACAAATCAGATATTCCTGAATTCCTTGGTGGGCAACTGCGACTTTGCCGGCTTATTTGTCGCGCTCCATGGGGTGCAACGGGCCAAGTTTTGTATGGCAGCACTTCCGCCTGTATCGCTTCTATGGAATGGCGGCAGTCTCAAATCACACTGGCCCGTTTAATGGTCATCTACAACAGTGGCCCTTGTTTGTTCATCGAGACTGGTACAAAAGCACTGTTAAGGGGCTTCGCGCGTGTCTGGACTACACCGGAGATGTATTCAGTCTCAAGAAACTGTGCGACCGAAGTGATAATGTGGCAAGGTCTTAACCACACATTTTCCATACCACCATGCAAGGATCAAACGCTATCTTGACTAATGACTAATTCCATGCAGAGTGCAGCTGCTCCAAGTCTTCGAAATGCTAACAAGACTGTTCTCAAGGTTCGGAATTTCGAGAACTACGAGTTTGATTACGCTACGACCTTACGTTTCCATTCACACGCCACTAGTCAATTCTGTCCTTGAGATCGAAAAACTTTAGACTCGTTTCTAGTGTTCATTTCGCATTCAATTCTGAAAGCAGACAAGAATCTTGGGCGTCGGCGTTTGTTGTTGCTCTAGTTTGTGCATCTGGATATCAGTTGGTAAGTTCCATGTCTCGGCATATTCCATTGATTCCCCCACCCCACCCAATTAAAGCCTAGTCAACCCTCTATTGTGCTTGGAATCTCAAGAACATCGCTGGACCTTTACGCCGTCACCAACCCATTATACACAATGGTCAGGCCACTATCAATAAGTTGCGGCCCAGGAGAGATGGTATTTCGTGCCAGTCCGCAGCCTCGGCACACCGTAAAACCTGAGGCCATTCATGTTGTGTCTCGCGTGGTGTCACACTGTCAGAGTTATATACTTTCTCATGCTATACGGCATCGTGTGTCGAGTTGGGATATTCCATGATCGCCATTTCATGGCCGAATCCGACGTGTAGCAGAGATGAGCTACGCAATGAAATACTCAGAGATAATGCCACCGGCTACATATCTGGCCACGCCACCTTTTACGACAATGCACATGGAACGCAAATTACTGCATAAACCATGCGCGCTGATACAGCCACGACAATAAGGCCCCACTGGTGCACGAGCCATTTCAATCATACCGCAACCACAACCAAATTGCCAACATTTATCTCGGCGTGCTTGGTCCACGTCGCTTATAGCACGTACGACATTCACTGTTTAGCACACATTCATGAGTGCAGAAGTCTCAGGGGTATGCCGGAGAATTCTAGGCACTGTAGCCATGGTCCTACGTGCTAGCTCAAGTTGCTATAATGGGATACCATAGTCGACGCCAGGTTGTTTGGTCCGTTTGTTTCCGGTAGAAGAGATTTCTGCAGAACGTTGCGCACAAGAACCATGAACCCAGTCACCTTGAGTTTACAACTACTTGGGGTCACTCGTGGTTTCTTTCAGACACGCAAATGTCTATGGATCAGTCTCGTCACGGATCAGTCTCGTCACGGATCTGTCTCGTCACGTATTTGCAACACACATCATGATGACAACGATCGGCCATGGTCAACAACTATAGATTCTGGCTGGTCATTTTTATTTCATCCCAAGGGCTTGCAGATATCTGGTCCACAGGAGAACATGAACCCCATGAATAGCTGCAACTACTCAAATATCGCAAAGCGTCTCATCTTTGTTCACTCGACACTGGTCTTTACATATTGGTTTGCAATAAGAAAACCTCGATGCTTACCATTGCCACGAAGACCATGGCCGGCGAGATGTCTGCTCAACAAATCGCCACAAATAATCACAAGTCAATAATCGACTGTACAAGCATTGTGTATAAGACCACAATTGATGAAACAACAGCGTTTCCTTGGTCGGCGATAGGAGCATTGCTTTTATGGTCGGCGATACTTCCATTCTTCTCAACAAATCATCCCAAGTTCGATAAACGGTTGGATAGTGTAATCGGTGGCGCGCTGCTTGCAAATTCATGGTCCAGGTTCGATTGCGAAAGGCGCTCCATTTGGGGAGCTTTTCGAGCTCATTCCTGCCCTTGAGATATCAAGTGTTAACTTGATCACTTTCATGCACCCCACCCAACTTCACTCATTACACACAGGCTTTTAATTTACTCCTACCAGGTGCAACTGTGAATAAATTAACTAACCTTTGTTCATAGAATTTCTGTGACTTGCAGCCTGCATATTCCGCAAAACAACAAGGTCATTGATCCGCCATCTAGACAAGCCATTGTTCACCGTACGCAATCGACGATTCCTCACCATAACCTTTCACCAATACCTTTGTCGTCGGTCTTTCCAAAATACACACTAAGACAAGTCCTTGTCGGCGGCCTCTCCTCACACTACAAGGCCTTCTTCGTTCGCCGAATTTTCAGGTTTTCAATCGTCGGTCTCTCATCCGTACCTGCCTGAAGTAGTTACCACTCGCTAGTAAGTCTTCCTTGAAGCCCGTATACATGATTATCTCCAAACTTCCTACATCTAGAGATTCTATCTCGAAGGGTTGTTTTGAACCCGCTTCTTCGAAAGAATAAGCAAATATTACTGTCTTACCTATACAACTTGATTTCATAATTTTTTATCGTTCTCTAAAACTTCGTCATTTTACGAAATATCTAATTTTACCACGATTTTTATTGAAACTTTTACTTATTACTTTACAGTTATAAACATGGATAACTTCACTCCTTTCAATGGACAGCCGCCGTCCAACGGCTCCGGATCCCAAGGTGATGGTGGTTCGCAAGGCGGCATGCCTCCAATGCCACCTAACGGACAGGGCGGCGGTGATAATGCCGGTAGCTTCCAGGGTGGCGACGCCTCCCGCCAGACTCTCTGGTACGTTGTTATTTCATTAATTGAGTGATGATTAGCTAACTGTATTGCAGGATGGGTGAACTTGCCGGTTGGATGGACGAGCAGTTCATCCGCTCGATTTTCCTGTCCAGCATGAACGAGAATGTCCAGGTGAAGATCATCCGCGACCGCCACTCCGGGTGAGTGTCATTGTTCAACCTCTGGAAAAAAAAATTTATATTCTGATGCAAACTAGTAACGCCGGCTATTGTTTCGTGGAGTTTTCCACCCCTGAGGCTGCTGCAAAGGCCCTGCAGCTCAATGGATCTCCAGTTCCTAACACCGATCGTGTCTTCCGCTTGAACTGGGCTTCTGGTGGTGGACTAGTCGATCGTCGTGACGATCGCAGTCCGGAGTATTCCATTTTCGTCGGCGATCTCGGTCATGAAGTCAATGAATTTGTCCTGGTTGCTCTTTTTCAGGCACGCTTCCCGTCGTGCAAGTCTGCCAAGATTATGACCGACCAGCAGACTGGTCAATCTCGCGGCTACGGCTTCGTACGTTTCAGCAACGAACAAGACCAGCAACGTGCTCTCGTAGAGATGCAAGGTGTTTACTGCGGCAATAGACCCATGCGAGTCTCGCCAGCCACCCCAAAGAACCGGTAAATATTATAAACTGAAACCTGCGAACTTGGTGACTAACAGTTCTCAGTAGCCACCAGGGTGGCCAATTTCAGCAATTCGGCGGTCAGCAGATGATGCCACCCGCCGCCGTTCCCCCACAGGGCATGGGCGCCCCGTGGATGCAGCAACAGCAACAACAACCACAGGCCTTCGGTGGCTACCAACAACAGCAGCCTGGTGGAGCTGGTTTCAACCCAATGGTGATGAACCAATTCACCGACCCGAATAACACCACCGTCTTCGTTGGTGGTCTCTCTGGCTACGTAACTGAGGATGAGCTCCGTTCATTCTTCCAGGGCTTCGGCGAAATCACCTATGTCAAGATTCCTCCTGGCAAGGGTTGCGGGTTCGTGCAATTTGTGCACAGACACGCTGCCGAGATGGCTATCAATCAAATGCAGGGCTACCCTATCGGTAACTCTCGCGTCCGTCTCTCCTGGGGCCGCTCGCAGAACAACTCTGGTGTAGGTACTCCTTACCGCCCCGCTCCACCGCCTCCCCACTACTTCCCTCCTGGTCCTCCGGGTCCTCCAGGTCCCCCTGGCCCTGGCTTCGGTGGTCCTGGTTTCGGTGGGAATGGTGGTCATCAAGGCCCTCCCCCTGGTGGACTTGGTCCTCAGGTAAGCCCGATATCCTCCTTTTTCAACCATAAGACCAATGACTAACTTGATTATAGTAAATGCTTTCTCGCATCGCATTCCGGCGTCCAGCGTTCTGGTGTTCGGGTCGTTGGTCATCTTCTAAAGTTCGTCATTCGGTTTCGGCTTTCTGGTATCTTCTGTAGTGGTGCATAATGCTTGCATTACTTTCGTTCATTTGCGTCTGTTGTGTTGGCGCTCGGTACAACTTGTCCGTTCCTGCTTTCGTTGGCGAATCTGGCAGAAAAAAAAAGAAACGTACCAACACTTGTTTTCGGTATTTTTTCATGATCATCGGAATGGTGGAGGGAAGGACGCTGGTTACGGTTGCGTTCATTTGCATGAGGTCATATGATTGATGTGACCAGGTCATTTGCGAGAGTTAGGCGCAGGCGTGTGCATCATATTCTTGGTCTATCTATGTCCACATAGCAGCAGCGTCTCGGCAGTCTGCGGCGAATGGGCCAAAGAAACGACTTAAGTACTGCTTCTCTTTCTTGGTTGAGTTGAAGCTGCCATGGTGTCACTTCAGGCGTTCGAGGGATGATGATTGGTCGTCGACAAAAGTTGTCTCTTCACCCATAGCTATAGCACATGAATCTGAACTGTGAGAAGTTCGCTTATCGCTTCTTTCTTTTGCTTTTTCTTTTCTTCGCTGTCACATAAAATGTATCCCGTGTCAAACCTTGAAGCCTGGCACCTACAACTCTTTCAAGCCAGTCCAGCATTTATATATGCTCAAAGGCTTGTCGACGACGTGCTGTGTACTCATTTGCCCGTTGTATTGTGTGTAATGTTTGAATTCCCAACCCCGACCAGGTTGAAATCCTAATGAACTGATCCCTGTTGCGAGTACTTGAAGCTTGTTGATTTTAGGAGGTGTCTAGAGGGAAATGATATCATGTGTAGATAGGTGACTGACTGTAGGCGCAATAGAGCCTGGTCGACAACGTAAAGCTTGCTGACACTATTATCTGAAGCTGCCTCTGCTACCACACGATCGTCCCATCACTGAACCAGTGTTGCCTGAGACAACAGTGTGGAACCGTCCCAACTCGTTCATATTTCAACACAGACATCTGAAATCCTACTATGGCCCGATTGGTGTTTCTTGATGATATCCTACAAACTCATGCAACGAATCGAGAGCGAAGTTTACAATTATAGCCAGTCAGTTCACTTCGAGTGGACCGATCATACGTCCAAAACAAACGGTGCTGGCCACGGGAGATATTCTCCGACTTCAGAAGTATTTGCTCAAGTTTTATGAGGAAGGACAATTTTGAGACCATGAATGGGCTGAGAAAAGCACCGAACAGTGAACATGTGGTATGATATAATTATGGACTCAACCGACACACAACTGCCCCTGAAGAGCATGTGAGTAGTAGCGAGCCCGAATCATGCTAGGACATTATTAAGAGTAGAGCAACTTCTTTAGCTTGGGCTGATATGCGCTATGTACTCGCTGTGAATAAGGCGACAGAAATGGACGAGCATAAGTTAAGCACGACAAGCAAGTAGAAACGGAACAGATCCCAATGTAGCTGCAGACAAGGTCCGCGGCTGAATCCTATGAGCAGACGAGGGCAAGTTTAGCTATTGCCAACCTTTTTACAATGTACCGATGCATTGTCTTTTTCTCCCCCACTTTCGGGAGTTTTTTTTTCTTCCTGTTTGAAGATTAGGACATCGCGATGCTTGTGCAGCCACATCGCCAATACTTCTCAGGCTCAAATCAAGTTCGACGCTCCGGCCTGATCAGGTTTTGTATTTACCTTTGATGGTGAGGAACGGCCATGATAGTGTGTAAATCATTGTATTCGAATTTGGAAATGGGAAAATTAAAATGCAAGTTTGGGGGGAGAGGGGGGGGTGACTCGGTTCGTCGATGAACATTTCATATCCTGCAAGCACACATTAATTTCCATCTCAAGCACCATACAGGCTGTTGGGACATGCAGTCGTCTCAGCGTGGCTAAAGTCGCCAAGATCGACGTTACGACAAACCTGTGACTACCAGCACATGAGGAACGTCACACCAGCTTGGAATTATAGTGTTTATGTTTGGAAAGACTTGCCAATCAGGGTTATAAGGGTCGAAGCCAACACGCAAGATTTCTATTCATCGAACTTGGGTATATATATAATGCACCTCGAGGGTATGCCTCAAACCAACGCTTTAAACTTGAAAACCAGGGCTTGGCCATAATACCACTCCTCATCAAACGCCCATTGTTTATGTATAGCTCCCCTAACGCCCCGAGTTTCGTTTCCTATCGAACAGAAAGCACAGTCCGCACACGCTACTCCGCCACATCCTCCTCGTCCAGCGGCTCAACTCTGACAAGAATTTCTTCCAACAGACCCTCTAAGAAAGTGCCGACCTCGCGACCCATGCCCACAGGTTCACTCTTATCAAGGCGGTCGATCTCCTTACAAACATTAGCTAGTTTGTAGACATGCTTGCGGATCTTGTCGTGGGCTGCCTCAGCCCGCTGTCGTTGCGGCGTAACGACTTTCTCATTGCGGTAGAGTTGCTGAAGCCGTATTTGGCGCCGCTTCAGAGCCTCTTCTAGTGCGGGAAAAATAACATCGTTGAGCGCATCGAGCTCGCCATTAGGATTGGACGGTGCGGGCGACGGAAAGGACTCGGGTACATGGGGAACTTGCTTTGGCTGTGCCTTGGATGGGAAGGCTGCTTGCTGATAAGCAGCTTGCTGGTTTGTTATTTTTTGTAGTAGCGGTTGCGGGGGTGCACCTCGGAAAGGAGGTATTTCCGGCAGGCCCAAGGGTCCAGCCTTGGATGGAACTCGCTGTTGCAAATGTGCCTGAGAACCCCGAGGGGTAAGGACTTGCTGAGAATTAAACTGAGGTTGGGTCACGGGAGATATGTTCAGTTGTCCCATGTCTCGCTGCAATTGCTCCTTGAACGGCCTGTCGAAATCAGGCGACTGCATGGGGGGCGGCGGGGGCATCTGCTTCGGGGGCCTCGGGGTGTTTGGGTCTTCATACTGCTTGGACGGAGAGGCGGGTAGGGGCACCTTGGCTGGCGATGATGGGGCAATGCTGGGGACGGGTTTACGCTGTGGCGATGTCTGCCGTGCGGTCCCAATGGACGGGGTGTTAGTCGCTTTGACTGTAGTAGGCCTGGCAGACGGATGGGCAAGCTCCTGGTTCTTAGTAGGAGATATGCTTCTGGGTCTTTCACCATAATCGCCTTCCAGCGGCCTCGAGGCCCTTGCGTTCCTCGTCGACTCGTCTAGGGGGTTGAGCCCTGGACGGTTGATTATGCCACCTCTATCGCCAACAAGCCGCACCGTACCGAAATCCCACATGTCTTCGTTGACGGGCTCTCGCTCGCGTATGTCGTCTCCATCGTCAAATGACTCGTCGTCCTCTGACTTGTGGGTAGCCCTCCACCTGCTGTGGCGCTCGATCAGCTCAGTCAGGTACGAGGTCTTCTTGGCTTTTCGGATGAAGGGATGCTTCAGAAGATCCCTGGCGGAGGGTCTCTCCTTGGGGTCGCGCTGCAGACATGACTCGATGAAGTCCTTGAAGGCCTTTGTAAAGTTTCCCTCGAGGCGCGGGGGTGGGTTTTTGGGAATCAAGAATAAGACCTTCATGGGATGGATATCGGCGTAAGGGGGTTCGCCGTTGGCCAGCTCGAGGGCGGTGATGCCCAGGGACCATATGTCGGCCTTGTGATCATAGCCAGACTGCTTGATGACTTCTGGGGCCATCCAGAAAGGGGTGCCGACGAAGGTGTTCTTCTTGGTCATGGTGGCGGAGAGCTGGCCCGAGACACCAAAATCGGCCAATTTGACCTGGCCATTGGACCCGAGAAGGACATTTGCGGCTACGCAGGTGCATGGTTAGTCTTGTAGAACGCGGCAGCAAAGGAGCGCGGTGGTGCTATACCCTTGACATCTCGATGGAGCTTCTTGTCGCAATGAAGGTACTCGAGGCCCAGCAGCAGCTCCCTGACGATGATGGCTATGTAATCCTCGGCAATGTGGCCAGGCTTCATGAGATCGGCGCAGCTCCCGCCGGAGCAGAACTCCATGACGATCCACAGCTCGGCGCCTTTGGCATAGGAGCCGTAGTACTTGGTGACGTATGGCGACTGTAGTTCGGAGAGGATGGCAATTTCTTGAATGATGTCTTCGACCTCGTCCTCGGCGCTCTCGATATCGATGATCTTGATTGCTACGGCCTGACCGCTTTTCTTCTCGACTCTGATGGAGGGGCAGGTCAATGTCAGCACTCACGCGTCAAACTATGAGCACATGCCCAGGAATTGATTGCAATGTCGTGGTATTTCATGACATACCCTTTGTATACCTTGCCGAAACTGCCCCCTCCTATGCAATACTCTTTCGTGTAAAGAAGTTCGGGGTCCAATGCCTCATTGCCCTCGTCGTAATCACGGTCCGCCATATTTGGTAGTCGTGTCGTGTCGTGCCGTGCCGTCGTGGGTGCTTCGTCATGCGTTACTCGTTACTCGTGTCTTTCGTTATCGCGGCAGCGCGGGGTCGTTGTCGCCGACCAGGGTGTCGTTTTGTCCTGTCCTGTCCTGTCCTCGTCTCGTCTTGTCTCGTCTTGTCTTGTCTCGTCCTGCTCCAGTCCAATAACAGGTCCGGTACAGTATAGTGTAGTTACCGATGCAGCCAATGGGTTGGGTTGACTTAATTGCGCCTCGAGGATATCGGGACACGTTTGCAAGAGGAGGGCCTCGGGCAGTTCTGAAGACCCGCGGGGCAATGTAACGCATTAAAGCTTCGCAGGCGCTGGCGGTACTCGTTCGGCCTTCCGGTCGAGGACATCAAACGGTTGAGTTGCAGGCGGGAGCGGGGAGGTGCTTGTCAATCCAATAGTCAGTTACTCCTGACAGCGTTTCCCCTGCGATGCGGAATACCAGGACACCACGATACTGGCGCTGGATACTGTACAACCCACTGACCGTGGTAAACACGGCCGGACGAATGGGACAGTGAGAGGAACAGAGTTCGCCGGGGAATGCACCGTCGAGGCCAAGGCAAACGGCACACAGCAGGTCGGGCAACGTAACTTTGGGAGTCTGGGGGAACGGGGAATGGGCGACTATCAACACATGCACACATGCGCACATACACACGGCAAGGAAAGGTCGATGCTGCGGACAAGCAGTTGAGCTTGACAGGAGGGGAGGGGTCACAGTCTAATCCACCTTCCGCAACTGTGTTGTTGTTGTTGTTGTTGTTGTTGTTATTGTTAGTCTTATTTATTTATTCTAAATTTATTATTGCTATTTTGTTGGTTGACCACCAAGAGCTAAGAGCTACAGTAACCTGAGAGCTGAGAGCTGTGGAAGAACTAGTCCAAGAGCTGAGTGACGCCCAGGGGCTGTATGCAATCCACCGCCCGGGCCCGGCGCGGTGTGATGCAGGACCACCCTATTGATTGGTCGAGATCCAATGCAATGCAACCTTTCTGCAACCTTTCTGCAACCTGATCGGCCCAGAAACGGGATATGTACTGTTGTTGTCTCTTCACGTCAGCTTGACCAACACTCTTGCGCCAACTTGCCTCCCAGGATAACTGTAATCTGTAGTTACTGAGTACTGTAGGATCGCAGAAGCCACTACCCCTCCTCCCCCATAGTGGGGTGATACATCATGTGCATACATATGTCATAGCTCCGTCGTAGACTAACCTTGGATCGATATCACATCTATATATACTTCCCGTCCTGAGCAATGACTGCTACACCACAAGATTTATACACAGCAAATCAAAGTACTTCGTGTTGCATCATATACTGGGCATTTCTCATTATGGGCAAATCTCAGAACGGCCAAGGCAGTGAATCTATGTACAAATGATGCCGAAAGTATACTAGGAAAATCCGTCAGACCACACATTCTTGCATAGTAGAGACTTGAGCCTCTCCTCATTGAGGTATCGGTATACCAAATCTTGGTAAGTCTGCTGCGGAGGTCTGCCAGCCGCTGGACTGCGGGCAATCTCCTCCCTCATCTCCGAACCTGCCACACTGCCAGCTTCCTGCCGGGTTTCTCTGAACCTTGTTTGCACCGAGTATTCTCTCTCATGGTATTGGTAAATCTTGGGGCTCGTTTGACCCATGCGATTCTTCTGCTTTGTCTCTCATGTCGAGATTACTCATCTTCTCCTCCATCTCTGGCACTGTCATGACTTGTGCTGATTCGTCCGGGGTGACGTGCATAGGCTTGTCGTGCTGTGCTCTAGGTTGCGGGTTCCCCACTGGGTCAGTGTTTGCTTCTGTCCTGGATCCAATTTGACTGGGTGACGCTAGAGATGTGCAAGCAGTCGAAATCCGCTTGTAATGGAATGCATCTCCAGTTGCTGCTGCCACTGTCTTCTGGTTTTCTACATCACCCATGTCAGCCACATGCTGTCCAACCGCGCCGGATGCCACATGATCTGGGGCGTTTCCGGAATTGGTCCCCGCGTGCGCTGGCTGCCTGTCGCGAACAGAGCCCTACAAGTGCTGAGCCATTGCCGCTGTTGGGTCCGAGGCCGGGGATCTGGCTGCCAGCTCGTCGTCCCTAGGCTTCCGGCCCATGACGACGTACATTCGAGAGTAGAGGTGAAGTTCTTTGCCCTGAAAGCACTCGCGGCATCGGCAAATCAAGTCATCGACCTGTTCCGCGGACATGCCATCTCCTTGTAACAATTTGGCACTCACACTACCAAGCATCTCGAGGCTGTTGGCTTGCATGTACTGGCCCATTCGACGCTCCCTGGGATCTTCGGGCCATGGCTTATTCGGGGCCAGAACTATCTTCTCCGTGACATCGACGAAGCCTGCATCCATGAGAAACTTCTTGTACCGACGGGCGACCATCAAATCACGACCGAACCGCGCGGCGCCCTTGAACACAAGCTGACACCATTCCCAGACCGGCGACTTGAGCAAGGCTTGCTGGTTAGCCTGATCCTTGCCGAATACCTCCGGGTCGTAGTCTTGATATTCCACCCAGCCGCCTGGCTTCAGGTTGTCGTAAATCCGCTGGACGACCCCGACATGATTGTTGAAACAGGTTAGCATAGCTCGAAGGTGTATGTAGTCGAAAAGACGGTCAAAGACCCATTCCTCCTCCACATCATCGCGTTCAAAGGTGCAATTGGACGGTATACTCCCTTCGGGGGGCTGGATCAAGCTAATGTCCGTCCCAATTACGTGTGATGCAGGATGCTGTTGTGCAAACTCGATGGCCCAGATACCGGTACCAGTTCCAATATCGAGAACCTGCCTTGGTTCGTCGGCGAAAGGAGCCCACGACAAATCACCGAACAGGAGGAGTCGCCACATCTCATGCGCAAGATCCAGGCGCTCTTGTTCTGCTGCATCATTGGGAAGAAAATATTTCCCCTCGCGGTAGCCATTGAATGTCCTTCCGTGCTCTTCGACGGACACGGGGTCGGGAATTGTGTAGCCAGTTGGTTTGCGGTTGCTCAAGGAGCTGTGACTCGATCCCGACTCTCGCGACTTGGCTGATGCTGCCGAAGCTGCCGCAGTAGAGTGTCCGGAGGCCGCGGACGGTTTGCGGTCCTGGGATCAATCAACTCCGAACCTGCCCAACAAAGGCTCCGGACTTTCGGGAACTCACGTGAGCTTGCTGTTCCTGCATTTTGTCGACGGGGAGGGCTACATGCGGCTGTGCTGCTGGGCTGCTGGGCTGCTGGGCTGCTGGCTGGTGGCTGGTGTGCCGCTGGTATGCCGCTGGTATGCAGACTGTGGGATAAAGAAAAACAACGTGTAATGACCAGGCGGGGAGAAGGAGGACGGAAGTCTTCCTCCCAACTTTGGTGGCCCGCACTTGACTGTGTTTTATTACTGCTTTGGTGAGAGATGTGTTTTTTTGACACACAAACTCTCCTTCACCGGTATGGATGAATCTGCCAGGTTATTGCGACCGCAGATGCAAGAGCAAATTCGAAATCATGCCCTCGATGGAGCCCGCAGCTCGTGTGTGATTTCACTTTACCCATTGCGGAGTACATTGGTCCGGAAGAGTCGGTCATGGCGGCCGCACAGCACCCATAGCCCGCATAGCACCGCACCCTGCGAACGGCATAGGGAGGCCTAGGCCTGGACCTAGGCTTCGCTCAGCGATGTCAATGACGCTAACAGCCGTGGCATCCCCCGAAACAGTCAATGAATTTGGAAGGCAGCATTTGTGGCCGTCCCTTGCTGCAAATTTTGCTACATGCATGCATCAAGTATGGCTAGGTTTGCTGGTGGTTTTAGTTCTACAGAGGTCGAGACATATATTGTTACTTAGGCAGCGGACAATCTGTTGTTCTTGCCTCCACAGCTACCTATACCTATGTGCCTACTACCAGTATAGCGGGGATACCAAACTAGGTTACCCAAGTAAAAGCCTGTGTTCCCGCATCTTTTATATTCACGGAGTGTCATATTCAGACATGTAACCATTAAACTCCACCCGTACCCCTAAATTACAAGAATATAACAATAAAATATGAAGATCTAGCAACGGATGGGAATCAAGCATATCACTCGGGTAATGCCAGTAGCGCTTTCTGCCTTACAATGGCCATTTCATTTGTAGAGGTGTTGGTTAGGCTGCGGCGTTTAGGAGAGGCGTACATGATGCTTTCCGTTCTGCTTGCTCGCATACGCCGTGCGGTTAGAGGGGCCTCCTCTACCCCATTTGAAGCAATCTCCAGTCGTACAGCCAAGGTCAAACCAGTCCATCACCACTGTTTCGTTGGTACCAATATCGTGCGTCACATTCAGCGCACTAGTTGCCTCAAACCAGTCATTGCCATACGTGTATCTCGTCCAGTCCGTCTTGGGCCAGTCAGACGTTACGCCGGTGGGCCGTTCGCTCAGTCCGAAAACTGCTGTCCATTCCTTGATGGCTTCCCCGAAGTTCGTGAAATTGAGGACCTGATCAACCGTGCCGTGAAACAGCTGGAATTTCGGCCGCCAGCCATTGTAACCTGGATAAGCGGCATGAACGATAGACGCCCACTCAGCCGGTGTATGGGTGATTTCCCCCGTGGCACAGGCGTTGCTCCAAACATCGTACCCATCGCCCGCAAAGCAGCCGAATGGAACTCCTGCCCAAGCAGAGCCGGCCGCAAAGACGTCAGGATAGGCGCCGAGCAGGACATTGGTCATCATAGCCTCAAGTCCAGTCAGCATTTGTGAGCCTTCAAACTGCCCAGCACTTGGTAGTCCGCTGTCTCATAATGTACTTACACCCGAGGATACCCCAGTTACGAACACCCGGCTTGCATCTCCGTTATATTTATCCAATGTCCACCTATAAAGTTTTCAATTAGACTCCTATCTTCAGAGGGAGATCATGATCATCAGTTGCCAGACAGGCATGTGTTTCACATCCAAAGAGCATCAGGTCGAGGCGAATTTACTCACCGGACCATGCTGACAATGCCCAAACTGTCGCCACCACCGTCATGAGTTAACGTCTCATTGGATGATACATCCCAGCACTTGTCCTCCAGATTCGGGCTATCGGGGTATATGACGATGAAACCATGTTGGTCGGCCAGGTTGGCGTACTGCGAGTAAATGTAGGTATCATTGGCAGCACCATGGCACCTGTACGCTGGGATTAGCCGTTGTTTTGATTGACTGGAACGTTGGGTTTACAATACCAATGCGGATTGACCAATACTGGCGGGCTCGCAGCAAGCTGGTCTGGCACGTATATATAAAACCCGACGCCCCTTGGATTTGGTCCGAAGTCTTCGGTGACTAAGGTGAAATTCGCAGCCTGGCCTACGGGCGCCAGAGCCAGAAGCGACATTAAGCCGACCTTCAAGTTGAGTTGGACCATGGCGAGCTACTTCCAGCAAGTTTGCAGACAAAGTATAAGTGTTCACAAATCAAACCAATACCAGCGCAGATGGACCATCTTATAAACAGCAGTCCCTCTTGGCCTGCGGCTCGCCTGCTCATTAACGTACAACTGTCGGATGTCGACCCGGCGATCGTGGACTAGACTGCCCGGCCACGGAGGCATGAAGTCCGTGTCCACGCCGGGTTAGCTACATGGCATTGGAACCAGGAAACCGGAAAGACCGATGCAACGAACACTCGCAAATGTCCCGCCAATGAACACCCAGGACTTTTAAAGTGCCTTTTCTCCTATCAATTGGTGAGATATTGCCTTGAAATTCGTACACTACGAACGATCTCGAAGTTTAAGGAACCCGAATTTGGTAGGTGATCGCCGGACCGGAAGCTAGCGTACTTGCTGCTCTGTGGTATGTCAAGACGTGGAATTCTTTAAATTGTACAACAGCAACGATTTCTCTCATAAATACGACGAATGAAGATGTCAAGCCGATTACAGTATATGTACTGCTATCTGCGGACCTGAATCATTTGCCTGGCCCACCGTTGTATTTTTTGTCTAAAAAGCACGCCGGCATAAAATCGGATCTGCCTGTCACTCTAGTCCCCAAGGAACTGCCCGCACTCCTTTATTCTAGTTCGGCCAGAGCCACCGGTGTTCTCTATTCACCAAAATTTAGTTAGCAAAAGATATATAAGAGATCCAAAGCCGCCATGACTTTGTGTGATCGACATCAGCAAAAGAATGGAGATACAGATGATCGAAATCTGGACCTCTCGCAAGTTACTGGAAGTGCAAAGCGAGCGCTCTACCACTGAGCTATATCCCCATCAACAGTTGAAGAGCGCTCAATGGAATGGGCACTATATAATATACCACCACTCAAGACAGGACGAATAATTGAACTTGCCCGAGCCTGTCTGATTCCTCCGTCTAATGCTATTTCTACGCATTCCGAACCCACTCTGTAAGTAAAGTAAACCCAGTGTCACCTCGTGGGTTTGGGACGGAGGACCGTTTTACGTTGGTGGTTGGCATACAGGCTTTAGTGCACCAAGGAACGTAGTGCCGAGCTGTCGCAGTAAGCTTCAAGAAGACGTAACACACTCATTACGTGCAGTGCCAGTATTGAAATAGGGTAAGCGGGCGCGGTTTTGTGTACAAACCGACGGTCTGTAAAAAATAAAAATAAAGTGGTATTTCCAAAGGTTGTCGGGTTGTGACTCCATTCGAAACCAATCAGTTGTTCCAATATCAATCATCTCGCACCTAAATGAGGTGCCTGGAAAGTTCGCCAGCCAATGGTGGCTACGCTAGTGCCAATTACTAACTCGCCGATACGCCAGCTCAATGTCTGATATCGCATGCTACGTAGCATCAGAACGATAGCATCAGAACGGTAGCGTTTGTTTTTTCCCCCTCCTGGAGCCTGAGACAAGACAGTTTCTGTAGCATTTCAACTCCTCCCTAGGTATATATGCTCTGTATTCAACAGTCTGCACATCTCCAACATGGCGCCCCATAATGTTGTTGATGAAGGGCCGACAGACTTAACCCAGGAGCTCGATGGTACTGCGGTGCTCCTTCCACCCCCTCCACCTATGTCCGCAAGACCGCCGAGGATACTCGTGATTGGCGCCGGATCGCGGGGACGTACTTACGCAAGAGCGACCATTTCGTCTAGCAATGGTGTTGTAGTTGCCATTGCCGAACCTGACCAGTACAAGCGGCATCAATTTGGCCGGAACTTCATTCATGGCACCAGGCAAGCACCCGAAGGTTCACTCTTTGCAGGTTGGCAGGAGTTCATCGGCTGGGAGACTAGTCGTCGAGAAAGAGAAAAAGCTGGTGAGGTTGTTCCCGAGGGAGTCGATGCCGCTTTTGTTTGTGTTCTCGACGAGATGCACCACGATGTGGTCGTGGCTCTAGCACCTCTCGGCCTGCACATCATGTGCGAAAAACCACTAGCGACGACCCTGGCTGATTGTGTCGATATGTATCGAGCTTTGGCACCATACCAGAAGGACAAGGTGTTCTCCATCGGACACGTGCTACGCTATAGCCCCCACAATATGATGCTGCGGAAGCTGCTTCTGGAAGAGAACGCCATTGGTGATATTTTGAGCATTGTTCACACGGAACCCGTGGGTTGGTGGCATTTCTCCCACAGTTATGTGCGCGGCAACTGGAGGAAGGAATCCACCACTGCACCGTCGTTATTGACAAAAAGCTGTCATGACATCGACATAATCTTGTGGTTGCTGTGCTCACCGCCGCCAGGCTCCGGAGCTCCACCGCATTTGCCATCGACTTTGTCGTCTTCTGGCTCCCTGCAGTTCTACAAGAAGAACAGGAAACCGAAGTCTGCGGGCCATGCCACTAACTGCTTGAGCTGCCCGATAGAACAAGACTGTATGTATTCGAGCAAGCGTATCTATGTGGGTGCCATGCATCAAGGACTTGAAACCGGGAACACACATTGGCCAGTGAGCATTGTCGTGCCAGATATTGAGAGCTTTGACGAGGGTGGACGCAAAGAAGTCCTGCTTGCTGCGCTAGCAGAAGACTATGATGACTCTACACCAAAATCTGAGATCGAAAAGCGAAATTGGTTCGGCCGCTGTGTATGGGAATCAGACAATGACGTTTGCGACGAACAGGTAGTTACGATAACGTGGGATGACGACCCCCTGCAACCAGGCTCCGCAAGTGCCGGTTCCCTGGGCGCCAGAGGCTCGAAACAGGCAACCTTTCATATGATAGCCCAAACCAAGAAGCAGTGCGACCGGTATTCGTATATATATGGAACAGAAGGCGAGATATACGCAGATTCAAAAACGATCACGATTGAAGATTTCCGAACTGGTGAAACAAAGTCGTTCAAACCGCACCTAGAAAGCTTGGGGCATGGTGGCGGTGATGTTGGTTTGACCAGACAATTCATCTTGGCTGTTGACCGTGTCAAGAACCATGGATGGTCAGCAGAGAAAGCTCAAACAGAATATATCGGGTGCACTTTGGAGGAGGTTGTTCGCAGCCATGCCATGGTCTTCGCGGCTGAAGAGGCTAGAACGGATAAGAAAGTCCTCGGATGGAAGCAATGGTGGGCTGATAATGTTGGAAAGATATGACTGCACTGATTGAGTAGCGCATCCTGAGTCCGTCATGGTTGCAAGGGTTTGGAAAATAGCTAGCGGTCTGAACAAACTGACAAGCTTCGAGGGGTTAGAACGAAAACAACTTTCGTGCCTGATTCTTCGAACATGCAAGTAGCAAGCGCCATTTGAAATTGATTTTCCATAGGACAACCCACTACATGAAGGGACAACCTAATATTCTCCTCACCAATGCGGTAGTGGAACCACTCGATATATGCAGCACATATGCTGTACATCTGAAATTCGTTATAGGGATAGTTACAAAATCAAACGCGTATGTCCAAGCAAGAATGGCTACGGCACATATTGCAATTGCTCTTTTGTGTAGCAACATGTTATTTGCCGTAAGGTCCGCGACTTCTCCTCGATCCGAACCATAGCCAGCAGTTGTATCATCAAATCTTGACCTCTACCAGTTGAAAGTCCAATTTCTTCTCCTGCTGATCTGCAACCCCTATCAATACTGACTTCAGGGAATCAGCCTTTGCCTGACTAAATTGACGGGTGGCAACTTCGTGCTCGAACAACAGATCTAGTTCCTGATCGCGGCGGAAACGTTAGTTCTTCTTCTTCTTCTCCTCCTTTCCAGTGGCTATGTCTTCATAATAATGCGGATACAAGCCACTAGAATTCGCATTCTCTCGACAACAACGCGAGAACAAATACACAACAATCTTGGACCACTTACAGTATATGTTAGTCCTTTGGATTCAGGCAGTCGGAACCAGGTCCACACCAGGAACAACAAGTCAATGCCCGCCCAGAAAAAGCCACCCTTCGCTCCCCAGTTCCAATCATTCTTACCAACAATCTTCGGCATGATGGCATTGTTGATAAATACAGCACTGTTATAGCTCGCTCGGGCGAGGACCACCGTTTTTATACGCAGCTGGGTGCTGGGAATTTCGGCGAAGATGGTGTAGCAGGTAGGTCCCAGGGACATCTGAAAAAGGAAAAGCATGAATATGATCAAAGCGCCTACGGCCCAGCTCACCCCCGAGTTTGCCTCAGCAGCTAAGCCTAGGAAACCGATGATTATAAGAATGACGAGCATGGACGAAAGACCTGCCAAGTAGAGAAGCCTTCGGCCGAAGTATGTCATCGCCCACCAGGCAATTATGCAACCTATGAATCCGACGCAACTCTGGACCACGTTGAGGTCAAATGCAGCATTTGTGCCAAGGCCAGCTCTTTCCATAAATTGGACGCCGTAAGCCATGAAAGGAACACCGCAAAATGCTTGAGTAATACAAACCATAGCAGATATTTCTGTTCGGCGTCGGTCACTACCCTGAAAACAATGCCAGTAGTTTGTCCCCGATTGTGCTTGTCTTTCGAACTGGTCCGTGGTGACCATCATCCCGACGTGCGCGTCGACATCGAAGTCTATACCAGGCATAGGGCTGGTAAGTTGGCGAATCGCAGTTCTGGCCTCGTTGATGCGTCCCTTTCGCACAAGCCACCATCTAGAAGTAGTGATTAGCAAAAAAACCAATCTACACAAGTCCTACTTCTGAAGACGCAAAACCCACGGAGATTCAGGGCACAAGAGGGTTGCGACAGTGATAGGAATAGGCCACAGCCACTGGAGCGCAAACGGAATTCGATAACCCCATTCGCTGTCAATGTTGAGCAGCCCACGGAGTATGCCGGTAGATAACAATCCGCCAACTACCCAACACAGGTTGACCCACGATGTCATGTATGCTACCTGTTGTTAGTGGTCATGTCATTGAGAAAACGGAGGACCCATTGCATTACCTCGAAGATGTGTTGGACACAAATCTCTGTATATGGCGGGTTAGTCTGACTAGGCTGTTGCCCTTTGGAGTTATGCTGTAAAAGGAGCCTATCACTTACGCAGCATAAGAAACCGCAAGTGTCTGGAAGACACCCCACTGTATCATTTAGGGTCAGCTACTACCTCGTTCCTCTTGAATCGGGGTTATTCGGGGGTATTATCTGCAATGGTAAAGAACTGGATAGGCAGTATAAGATCTATAGACATGCTGAAAAGGGCAGAAAATAGTTCCAAAATTTACTTACAGGGAGACCTTGTATGATGCCACCTGCGAGGTACATACCCAGACTGGTGGAGAAGAACGGGATGAACACAGCGGCGACCATGGCAAACATTGTGACTACCATCGTCTTCTTGTATCCTAGCCACTCGGATATGTATCCGTTAATGACCAGCCCGATGATACAGCCAATCTGTGTACCATTCAGGATGATTGTCTGCCACTTGGAAGACACGAGCATTCCACCATCAGGATCAATTTCGTCACCGAATTTGTTCTTGAAGGCAGGAAAAGGGAAGAAGTTGTTCATGAGAGAAGTATCGTAACCTTCCATGATGACAGCCAGTGAGATGAAGAAGGAGAAAGCAACAGCCTTTCTCCAGAATAGGAGTGACTGGATCACACCCATCTTTCGTTCGTTGTTCAGGGCTGTGTTGGTCTCCTCGACGGCATGCTTTTCACCCACCACGGAGCAGACTCTCGAGGCTACTTGCCTGGATGCCTCTGGGTCGTCCTTAGACATGGCTTTGCAATGTTTGTCGATTTAATGTTTTGAAATGCTTATACAGTGACAACCAATATCTGCAGATATGCTCCTGATCAAGACAAGGCCATCAAAATGAACGGCGAACGTTGTGCATAATCAACATGTTCACACCACCTCACTGCACAAGTAGTCGTTGGCAATGCAAAATTCATTCAGCAGGCCGCAGGAGTCCCGATGGGCATCATCTAGAGCATGATCAGTTTCGGTCCTAAAAATTTCGGCTGGCGAAGTTTCGACGGAGAGAGCCGCAACAGAGGAAATGCCTCCGACCCTGCGGGGAGCCGCTAAGCTATCCCGAGTAGGCAACGAGTAAGTCCCCCATGGGGAGCTAGATGGTGGCATGCCCAGATGTTCTCGTTAGCTCGGGAACTAAAATCCGAGCCATGCTCGTGGAATCCAAGATTGTGGAGTATTAGATTGCAAGCGTCGAGACATAAGAAAACAACAAACGTTGGAAGAGGCACTGTCTCGATCGGCCAGAAGAATAAGAATACATATCTCGGTGGGCTCATGGATCGCGGAAGTCGCTGAACTTTCCCGCTAAATTCCGCCGCTAAATCTCCAGAGGTATAGTGAAAATGTTTTGACTTCCACCATCTGGACCCTGCAGCGGGGCAGTTACCATGTTCAGGTTAGATCGTATTGGACATTCACGCAAACGATTCGTAGTATCCAGCGACATTCTCGCACTTTACTCGCTTCCAGGACCCTTATATTCTCCCAGTTTTCCGCCCCTCACCTACAACCATGGCAAATATCTCGAGTTTCCCGATGCGTTGTGTACCTTTTGGGACAGAGCTCAGCATTCAAGGCACTGTGCTACACCATTTCGCCATTCCCGGCTTCCCCAGATTAGTGAATCGCACTATAGACCAACCAGATCCGGCACAACTCTGGACCCGGCGACCCGGTATTGGGGTGGGCCTAGCCTGATCGATGCGCAAACCCTCAGCCGTAAGCAATCTTTATACTTATTCCCTGCCCTTTATAGCATGTCTCAGGAGCGCTTATTGCTCATCAGAGGCCATTGGGCCCTTCGTCGCTGTTTCGTACCGCTCCCAAAGGGCCCCTAAAACCATCTTGAAGTGACACTCACTAACCCTGTTTGCTGCAGTGCGGTGCCTGTAGGTGAGTAGTCTCAGGAATTCCTTTGGAAGGAACAAATGACTAACAGGGCACATGGATAGGGCACGTCGGAGAAGATGTACGTGGCCGGCCAACGATGGGGCTACCGCTTGCGAGTACTGCGCATCACGTCGGTTACAATGCGTGCAAGAACCGCCTGAGGGTGGATATTATCACAGACGCCAAGCGAGGCTTCAGGAGGCCAACCACGAAAAACAAGCCATGTCACCAAATCAGTTGATTGGTCTTTCTTTTACTGGTCCACAGGTTCAGCTACCTCCCATGTCGTTGAGGCTTGAGCTTGCAACACTATATTTTGATTATATCCATGACCAGTTCCATTCATTGTTCCACCGCCCAAGCCTTATGGACGACGTAGCCAACGACCGAGTAGCCCCCGTCGTGCTTTTGGCAATGTTTGCGCTATCGGCAAGGTAATATGGGACATCTTTTACGTTGTCTGCCATCAATATCTGACCATCTCTGCCAGGTTCTCGTCCAATGAGCTCTTAGCAGGCTCCAACCCGCGGGATCGCGGCGAACCATTTCGGACAGCCAGCGAAAGTCTGCTCAATGTCCGCGACATTTCAACACGGACTTGCCAAGTTTGTATTATGCTTGGCGGGTACGCCGCTGGACACGGAGATACCGACGTGGAGAATCTTTACTATACCTTGGCCGGTCGGATGGCGTTGACTCTGGACTTTCCCAATAAACCCGCCTCCAGCACCCTAGAGAGGGAAACAAATATTAGAAGTGAGTAGCTTACATGGTTACTACAGTCATCACTGACTAACCAGTGCTTTAGTATGGTGGACAATTTGCATGGTGGATGTATGGTCTTCCACAGCAGTGAAGCTGCCGAGGGTTATGCCCAATTTACATTCCGTTCCACTACCCATGGACGAAATACCTTTTCTATCACTACCCAGCAGCTACGCAAGCGATGCCACATTCGGGTCGCCGCTTCTCTCACAGATGATCAAGCTCAATAGAGTTCTGGCACAAGTCAATGACTTCAATAGGAAATGCGTCGAACAGCGGCTTGAAGGTCCCACACTGGAAGTTGGAATACAATGCTTGTCGTTAGAACTTGAGCGATGGGTAGTGAGTCTGCCGTACAACATGCGGGATACCCCGGAAAACTTCGCTTGGTTTGCGTCTCACGGTCTTGGTCGTGTTTTCGCCGCCGTGTATCTAGGTCTGTGGAACGAACATCTGCTTTGGCTCTCGCGCAGCAAGTTCTAATCGTTTCAAAACAGGCTACTACTACTATGGACAGCTGCTTTACTACCAATTCCTGGGCGCCGAAGCCACTGGGTCTGTAAACTCTTCACATATCTATGCCGATAAATGCAAGGTCAGTATTCAACTCCCCCCCCCCCCCCCCCCCCCTTTTAAAGTCATCCATCTCAGGAGCTGAAAAACTGTCCTGATCGGCCCTTCATGCTCCGAAGATATCTGAAATGCGCAAATCCAGCTCCGAACACCCTATTTAAAAGCGGTAACTAATGGTTTCGTCGCATAAAGGATCATGCTGCAAAGTTGTGCGAGATGGTTTACCAAACATTTGATACACCCGGCAGCGAGGTGCTCTATGCAGCCGTCGCTCACGTCATTGTGATAGCGTCAACCGTGCAGATTCACACTCTGCTCTTTTCTTCTGACGAGATACAAATCCGGCTGTCCAGGATACGATTAGAGCGTAATTTCGAGATTCTATTACAGCTGAGACCTTACTGGTCCAGCGCCGACAGTGCTATGAGTCGACTAAGAGCTTTCCACCAGACGTGCCTCAAGAGGAATAAGGCTAGCTTTGTGTTGGACAAATGGCTATTGCGATTCCTTGTAGAATTCGCTCCATATATGGATTCAGAACCACGTGAAACGGATCCCCATTACGAAGCCCTATGGTCGCTTTCCAAGGAACAGCAGTATCAGTCTTCATTGCCTGTTGAGAACATATAGCAGAGCCGTTACGTCATCGCGGGACAGATATGGCTACGCTTCTCACTGAAGTGAGGCCATAAGAACTACTACGTTGAGTCACATTGACATATTGAGGACTCTCAGTAGACAACGTTTCGTGGATGCCGAGAGTTTGCTACCGGGAGAACGTTAGGCTTCGTTTTACGACCTGGTGCAGGAGAAATGTGGGTTTGCAAGGTAACAAGAAGGCAACTAAAATACAGGATGGCCTTGTATATGTGTGTGCTTGAGCATGAAGTTCTAAATTCCTTTCCGAGCAGAAAACTCAAATTGATTCTCCATGTTATATTCCTTCTACAAGGCGAGCTTTTCGCTGCCTTCTCTCCAACCGTCTATGGCAGACTTGGCGCCATAGTAGCACGGCACCAACGCCCCCCACAAGATGCTTTGGGGTCATCGATTTGGCCAGACTTTCTGGATCGTTCATTCCACCAATATGACAACGCGATGATGTGGCGGTTTTGCTTGGGCGGCTCGATGTCCCATTCTGCCCTCGTACCAAAACCCTGGCTCGGATATTGCGGATGGAACATTTAACAAACATGAGTATCAACGCTCCTTCCTACGGACCGGGTTCAAAAATATCCGCTGCGTTTGTTTTGGTAGTATGGGCTAGGTGTCTCAACTGGAATACTTCTGGCTGCAACGCGTCGGAAGACTTGCTTCCAGAGACAGCAGAAGGATAAGCTGCGACTAGAACTCAGCGGCAAGTCTCCTAGCATGCATTTCGAACCATCCATAAGGCCTAAGACTGAAGTATGAAACGTACTCTATTGCGAGCAGGATAGACCAAATAGCCCTAGTACGTATTCAGGTAGCCATTGCTGAGTGCCGTACTAACATGAAAGCAGAGGAGTCGCTTGGTTTTGAAACAGGAGATGCACAGAATTTTGCCAACTCGGGTATTGATATGCTGAAGCATGATGGTTGTTACCACTAGTCTAGGATCTCATCAGTACACCCCAAAACATATTTCAATGGGCCCAAAGCCGTGTTAAATGCTCTGGAAGCGACGAGTCATAACATCAAGCCTTGGATACATGTGTGGTTAAAGTGGCATGGCGAAAAGAAAGAAAGAAAAAACACAGAGGACGATACTACAGTCTGAAATTGTTTCTATATTCAAAATCTACCGGTTTGGTTTCCAATTCCAAGAAGACTGTAGCGTGAAAGGCTGTGCAACAAGTCCTGCTTCAAGACGAGATGTTAATCTCAGTACGTACAGCCCCCGGGAAATTGGATATTGTTAGTGTTTCTTTTTTTCGTAACCTGGATTCTATGGCTCTGCATTCGTCAGGCACTGCCCTGTCTGCGTATCGTCGTGCACCGAATAGTGATATAAGTGTTTGACTGCGGGGTAGTCAAGTAACGGAGCCAGTAGTCATCTATACCTTGCTGTTCCGCCAACAATTCATTACCTGCGAGGCTGGCGCAAACCTCGAAATGATTGACGGCGGCCTCTTCTCATACAACAAAGTTTTTTTTCGCTATCCAAGTTGTTAGACTAGTCTAGGGCTAATCTATGTCGAATCTAGTTCGTTCCTTATTCTATTTCGGCCAAGACTTGGAGCGGTTGAATGCTCAAATTCAGGCATGAGTCACTGTTTGCCGTTTACCAACAAGCAAGCCTCATTTCGTTGCTTGCTTCTTCTACTAGATTGCTCCGTCATTATTGAGTGTTTGCGGGGGGTTTTCAAGTCAGTGAGTAAGAAAAAAAAACCTAAGCTGGTCCTTTCCATTCACTGGAATCTTACAGTTCTATGAACGCCAGGACAGTCAATATCAAGCATTCGTGTCTTTTACTTGATGTATCATTCATGGTATTTGAATAGTCCATACATTAACTGGCCATTAGGAGGACATCTCTTTTCAACCACTCCGTAATTCCACATTGTTGGTGGCTTGGATCTGGACTTGATTATATCAACGCAGGCAAGTAAGTACATGCAGTACAACCCAAGCTACCCAGGATTACAGGTTCTGTTCGAAACTTATCAAGATCAATAAGCATTTGGTGCCCTAGCGCCAGGTTGTTTCCAAGTCGTTGCAGGACATACCTTTGCAGGAGCTTCCAAGCACTTCTAGGCCGTCCTTACTGCCCTGCCCAGCAACCCGTTGTTGCCAGCAGTGCTTTCGTCTTCACTTCTTCAAACCTCCCTCCTATACCAACACGGCGTTAGAGTGCACTTATTTTCAAGAACTCCTCTTTTGCTCCCGCCAGACTGTTTCCTGTTTACTGCCAATCCGACAAGAAAAAAAGCACGATGGGTGGCCTGGCATTCACAAAAGGTCCTACCCCTCTTCACACACCACGCATGCCCAGAGTTATTTACGAACATGTCCGCGACAATTGCCACACACTCTTGCGAGAGCTTTTTGTCGTGGTTACAACCCCAATAGAGGGGCCGGGAAAAAGTGACTTCGGCGACATTGACATCTTTGTTACTATGGGGAAGCATGAGTACTTTGGGGACTCGTTTACTCCAAGGATGCCTGGGTTCCAGCAAGGTGGGACTCCCTTTGAGGCCATTCAAGCACTACTTGGAGCCGAGCGTAAGATACAGGAAAGAGATAGTGTGGCAAGTAAGTTACCTCCCTCGAAAGGCGCACTCTCCAGATTGTAGATGAAGGCTCTGGTATGAACAGATTCATGTTAATGGACCGTTTCTTTGAATGTACTGACATGAGATAAAGTGTTCGCCATTCCGTGGCCAAAGATTCTACCCTACGGAATCGCGGATGTGGCTGACGCTGAGGGTGACCAGCCGCGTTTTATCCAAGTCGACGTGCACATCTGCCCATCTCTTCAGAATCTGGAGTGGTTTCTCTTCAAACATGCACATGGAGATCTCTGGAACCTACTAGGAAGCACCATCCGGCCATACGGTCTGACCGTAGACGAGGTCGGCATGTACTTACGGATTCCCGAGATCGAGAACGTAAACAGGAACAAAGCTAAAATTCTGTTAACAAGTGACCCCTGTCAGGTGCTGGATTTCCTCGGATTGAAATATGAGGGTTCTGCATGGGAAGTGAGTTTTGCCAACATGGAGGAAGTCTTCGAATATGCTGCAACGTCGCGTTTCTTCTGGGTGAAGCCACACACCGAAGATGACGACATTGCCGCCCATGGCGGTAACCAGGAAGTCGGCGGTGGTTACCGCGGAAAGAACCTCAAGTCGAATGATCGGCAGCGGATGCGTCAGCGGCCTCTTTTCCGAAAATGGATCGAGGAATTCCTGCCCAAATGCCAAGACCAAAATCGATTCGCAAACCGTGGTCTGTCAAGGGAAGATACGAGAGAAGAAGCCTTCCGACAGTTTGGCGTTAGAAGAGTATACGAAGATCGGATACTTGAGTTCAGGAAGCAGCGCCAAAGGGAAAGTCTCTGGCGAGACGTGATAAAGACAGCGATTCCCACAGATATCCAGCCACAATTTCGAGGCTGTGTTGCAAGCGCCATGAAGAAAATCATCATGGAGGATGACACCAGCTTCGGTGTTCGACCAGAGACACCTCTGAAAGACGAATCAGGTTTGTATCTAGAGGATACGGTCCGTCATTTTGTGAAGGGCAACTGGAAGGAAGTTGGCCGCGTAGCATGGGAAACGAACCAGATTCGACTGCAGGAGAGTGTTGCTGCAAAAGGGAACAAACCAACATTTTCAGGCAACGAAAAGGGGAACCTGAAAGATGAACTGTTGGAATAACAATGGCAAAGGCAACACGGGCCTCTTAGAACAGAATGGGATTCTACGGGTGATTCGTTCGAAGCTATATCATTTCTGATAGTGGTAGCCTATTAAATACGCAAAGTCTTATATGGTATAAAAAGATAAGATACAAAATTCCGATGCACGGAGATACAGATCTAGCTCATGCCACTCTATTCTGACATCCTGGACCTCGAGAATAGCCATTTCCCACTATGACTCTTAATTTTAGGTGTTCGCATGTTACCATTGGAATTGGAAACAATTGAAATCAATCCTTCATAATTGTAAGTGGGGACCAAATCCATCAGGACTAGAACACCAATGTAATTTGGTGAAACAATTTGTCAAGAAGAGATGAAATCTAATCTTTAGAGCTTGAAATCCGCATTGGTCTTCTCCCACCCTTGCGATGTCGCTTCCATAGCAGCAACCTGCTCAGCCAAAGACATCTTCAACTGCTTCGCCCTATCAGTGCACAACTCGTACATCGTGCTCAGATTGAACAGGAGCGTATGTGAACTCTGGCCATTTGAGACTGAACGGTGCAAGATACCACGTCCCTATATATATTAGCACATGGCATTAGCGAGTTGAATTGATTACTCACTTCCTCTATCCTGCCCAGATAGAGCAGGCATACGGCTAGATTGACGCCGACCATCTCGTCCTCAACACCATTGGCGTCTAGATCATCCTTCAAAGCCCTCCACTTTTCCAGAGCAGTCTCGTACCCGCCGTCTGCCATATCTGCGAGTGCGGACACAACCTTCTCCGATATCTGATCTGCCTTGCCATCTCTAACACACCATCTCGCCGCATCCACGTCTCCAAGATGCAGCCACAGAAGAGCCTTCGCCATGGCCAGACGTTCATCTCCCGACTCCTCCTTCAGATTGGCCAAGTGACTTGTCGCACCTGCCAAATCATCCATCTCCACCAAAGCCCCAGCAACCCTGATCCCCAGCTCCCCAAGTCTCGACTTCCACACTTCCTTTGCTGAGTGATCATGCGCCTTGCCTGCCCTTACAATCTCAAACCTTGCCTCCCGTGCCAGGTCATAAAAGCTCATGACCGCACGCCTCGGATCACCAAATCCAAGCGTCTGGAGCCGGATGGCCAAAACACGTAGCTCCCATGGCATGAGGTGCGATCCATCAATGGGGTCAAGATAGAAGCCCTGATTAAGATCCTGCAGTGCCTTCGCTTCCTGCGCCGCCAGCGGTACAGCGTCGATCAAGCAGAGACATGCGAGACGCGTGTACAAAAGCGAGAAGATGCGCTCGTGGTCGTGAGGGTCCACAGGCGGGTGGGCCGCCGCCTGTGTTGCTGATACAGGACTGCTGGTGAGCGCTTGCACACTCGCGATGGCGGCCGCGCGGAAATGGCCCTGTGCTAGCAAATCCGAGATAGGTGTCTCGGGGGAGGGTTGCTTGTTTGGGTCGCGAAACGGCGCTGGGACAGAGAGAGGTGTGAGTTGATGGAAAATCTCTGGGCGTAGGAGGTGTGAGAAGTCCCGGGACGAGACGGGCACTGGCGGTGCAGGCGACCGAGCCGGTGACCTGGTCAGTGATGGACTGGCCCTCGGACTTGCTTGCCGCGATGCTACGAGAAGTGCTCCGGGCGCTCTTGGCGACAACGGCGATGATAGCGGGCCCCTGTACTCTACGTCAGCATACCTACACTGTACGGAGCGTGAACGGACCTACTCATCCGCCTCTAGCGGACCTTTGGTGGAGGTTCGAGGTCGGGTAGCTAGAAATTTGAACATGTTAGCAGCTTCTCCTTGCGTTCAGATGTCATGCAATGTTATGCTCAAGAGAGCATACAACGCTATAGGTAATGTGCTTTAACTAAGCCGTCCTCCCTTGGCGGCCGCTGGAATGAACGACTGCAGCCGCTGACTTGTGAGGGAAGGCACTCTCTAGATGGAAAGCATTGTCTGGCGACAACGTCGTCAATAGGACCAGAACTATAACGTTGGACTTACGCCTGGCGCCTGATCTGGTTCTCGAATGACCTTGATCTACAAGATTTCGTTGTGAATGTTCCATAATTGCTTCGGTATGCTGCACGTACTGGCGACATGGTCGAAGAAGACCTTCGCTGTATCCATGGGATGACGTTGACCTATCCGGGCAAACTTCGGCATGCACGAAGAGCAAGGAACAAGCGCATGAGGTTCTGCAAACGCGAGTATGTTACTTTGACCTATAATCGCAACTCATGCTCTATCGTAGGGGTTTCAGTCCTTCTTAAAACAAGATATCTTGGTGGACACCAGAACATCCAGAAAGCTAGTTCAGATTTTCCACGGGAAGATGGGCACAAATGCGATCAACTGACTGGAATAAGCCTGTGGCTGAAAGGTGGACTACAATCCAATGAAGTGATCATTTGGCAGTCCTCAGACCGAGAAATAGCTTGCTGAATCCACCCATGTTCGAATATTTGGATATAATCATTGTAATGGTCTAGCAACCCCAAAGTCGGAAACACCAGTATGCCCGCAACTAAACGCTTTTGTGGCCCCTTTTCCGCAGTGGTCTATGCTAGCTTTACCGTCTCGAATTTGCCCGTAAATGAGCTACATCGGTAGCAGTGCCAAACGCTAGGTCGGCTGACTATATGGTGGCTGCTTCTCTACCATACTTCATTACATCGTGTCTATTTTGCAAGCTCACTCGCCATTATACACCACGAAACTGCTAGTTACGCTTATGATGAGCCGATCTTGTTCAAACCCTTCAGGCTACCCAGGCTCAAGGCTAGACCTTGCGACCTGCTTCTTATCCTGACGAAACCAGTTATGGGCCCATCCTCGCCCTCCTTCTCAATACTCAAGTTTGCCAAAGCATCCTCACCTATGATTTGTTAATACGTTTCTCACACCTGAATTTGTACAGAGAGTCGGCTTACCAAATACGCTTCTGGCATATAAGTTGGCACTGAGGAACTGACAGTCGCCCTTCAGACTGGCCTCAGGTGTCAAGCAATTCATGTTTGTGCACTTCATGAGCTCGTCCAGGAACTCCCGCAAGGTCTTGGCCTTCGAGTTGATGTTGACCTTGTTCTCCCATTCGAACTCAGTCCACATGGTCCTAAATTGTGTTTCTGTGCAGGTTGCTGGCTGAATGTAGTCCATGATATCGACATGAAGATCGTTCAGGATAACGACGTTGGTATCCGTGCTGTGAGCACCGTCATACACCACGTTGCCAAAGATAACGCCAGTATCTGTGGACGATACCTTGATTGTACATTGTACATTATGGAAATCGTGAGGTCCGAGGTTTTGTGTTGTGGGCCGCTCAACAACCTTCAAGTCGCCGAGGGTAGCGAATTCGACCGAGAGGTTTTGCAGGGTTTCGGTGGTTTGGTTGACCAGCAGAACATCAAGGACAATGTCGAATTGATGAACCTTGACGTATGCCTCGGCATAAACGGGGTCCGAGAAACCGGTGAGTTGGACAACCCGACTGAGCTTTGAGGAAAGATCCTCGGCGGGCGCATCGCCGCCGGTGGCTTTCTCAAGATCCAGCTCAATCTGATCAGCACCATCGCCCTGGTTCTTCTTGGAAAGTTGGCGGATTTGCACAGCATCATCGACCTGGATGGCGGATTTCGCCTTCTCATGTGCCTCCTTCGCAGCACGCTTCTTTTCCTCGACTTGAACCATGGCGCGGAAAGCTTTCCGCGTGTCCTCGAGATACACAGCCTCGAGCTCCTTCTTCTGCTGGAACTCAGCCAACGACCTGACACAAGACATGATACGGTCGACGGAATCCTCGTCGATTGGCGCTTTGACGAACTGAGACTGACCGACACGAATGATGGAAATGCAGATCAACATGGCCTCGGCCTTCAGGGCGTTGGAGCGGGCGGTGTCCTTGGACAACTCCGAGTGGCGCATGACTAGCTTTGTAAGGGTGGCTGCAAGTACAGTAGCTAGGTAGTAGTCACCGTCAAGGATCAGCTGCCTCAACGGGGGCTTCTGCGCTGCCTTGACGGCCTCTAGCTTAGCGGCCGCCGCTGCAGAGCTAGTGAGAGCAGTTTCTGTAGCATAGGTACCGTCGGCCAAGACGCGTCGCGATCCGGAGGGTTGGGCGGGCTTCGAGTGACCGTTGACCTGTTCTTCGTCCTTCCCTTCCTCACCAGCGTCAAGCAGTCGTTGTTCCGAGGCCAAGATGGGGATCTCGCCGAGGCTGGCACGGATGCCCTTCCAGGCATTTCTGATATCCTTCTCCTCGAGGGAGTACTCACCGATGATCCATACGATGCCACGGTAAACCTTGCCAGCACGAACCTCGCTGAGAGTCGCAACGAGCCTCTCAATGATGGTCTGACGCAACTTGGGGAACTTCTCGACGACCTCCTTGACGAAGTTGATGACATCGACAGCAGTCGTGTTGCTGAAATCGGCGATGAAGTCCATGAGAAGCTCGACGGCGGAGGGCGCGACCTCGGAGAACTTGATGGCGCACTGGTGGATGGAATGGATGAGCAGTTGACGATACTCGGCATTCTTCTCGTACGATTCGTCAACCGTCTTGGAGAGTTCCTTCTTGAGCAGCAGGACGACTTCCTCGACATTTTTGCTTGACACCATGTCCAGGGCAATGCTCAAGGCCTTCCTCCTTACGTCGATATCGGGGCTTGACAAGACACGCAGCATTTCCATTGTCAGGTCGTCCAGTATACCTTCATTCTTCTGTCGCAGCTGGTCGACGCGGTCGAGGACGATGAGCTTGACATTGTTGTCAGCCTCCTTGATGCTTAGCTCAATGAACTTGGCAGCAGCAGCCTTGACGGCGACAGGGTTTGAGGTGAGAGCGGTCAAGGAGGAAGCAGCCTCGTAGACGACGGTGGATGTGTTGGCCTCGAGGAGGTCGAAGATGAGGCGCAGGTACCGTGCCTGTGAGCGTGTTAGTCGAACGTACCATGCCAGGGTCCCTGCATCACGTAGGGCTGCATACCTTGTTCTGGGAATTCTGCACAGCATCCTTACGAATGAACTCGAGCTCGACCAGCTGCAGCAGCTCCTCCGAGTTGGCGATTCCGTCGAAGACCTGGCTGAGGTATGCCAATGCCTTGTCGTGATCTATGCTGGCGAGGGCAGAGAATGCATTGCGCTTGCAGGTAGCGTCGCTCTCGCCCTCGAGGAATGTAGCAATCAAATCGGCAGCATCCGGAATGAGGGAGGGCGAGTGGATGTAGATGGAGGCAATGGCAAAGACGGCATTCTTCCGGACGTATGCGTGTCGGTGCTCCAGACAGGATCGTGCCGAGGAAAGGAGAGGCTCGATCAGCTCTGGTTCGCGAAGCTTGCACAGGTATCTGAGGGTGTTTCCACGGATGTACTCGTTGGGGTGTTGCAAGTCGTTGCGGATGCCGTTACAGACCAAGATCATTTCTTGCTTGAGCTTTCCTTGCGAGTCCAGCTTGGGGCAGATCTCGTCTGGTTGCAGGGTCAGCTTCTTTGCACCATGACATGACTTGGAAGCAGTTCGTGTTGGGGGGAGGGTTGATTACAATAAAAGTACAAGAGCTTCTTGAGGGGTTTGTACTTGGACGGCATAACGAAACGGATAATGTGCATAAGGCTGTATATAGATAACATTGGATTAGTACAGACTGCGCGCACAAGGAGGGGGGGGTTGATGGGGGAGAACTTACAGTCCTGGTAACGAGTCTCCGTTCAGCATGATGGTGAGGATGCGCTTCATGGTGTCCACCTTGCTCTCGTCCGTTCCTTTTTCCTGGAGCACGAGGTCAGCCCGAGTTCAAGCTCTAGTTCCAGTTCTAGTCCCAGCTCTACCCGTGTTCGTGGGTAGAAAGTGACAAGTTGAGTCGGAAACGTACGAGCTGGTTCTTGAGGTCTTGCTGAGAGGGGATGTCGGCAGCATTGTCCTGGTGGACTAAGCTGTATGCATTCTCGAGAAAGGTCGCCATGGTGTTGGAAGGGGACGGTAGGCGACGGCGGCGTCCACAATGGCACTTCAGATGGTCGTTCCTCGGGGTAGGGTATTAGGGATCGTCGCCGTGAGCGTTGAAGCTCTGAGGAGAAGGCGACCAACTCGTAGGGGTAGAGTAGGGGTAGGGTAGATGGGCTTGGCTGTTTGTTGTGTTTGATGTTTTGTCGTGCTGTGTTGCGTAGCTTATGTCCACGTGTTCTATAAATCGAAAGCAGAAGTCGTAGTCGAAATCGAAATTGAAATCCGGGGGGGAGCTATGGGTGGGAATGCGCAAGGTACCCGTAGAGTAACACCTCTCTACTCTATCTACTACCGGTAGGTGGTAGGTGGTGGACTTTTGGCGGTCCGAAGTTCTCACTCGATCCAGTTTCGAGTTAATATTTCCGGAGGGATGCAATGCGTCTTTGCACTCCAATGAATAAAGAAGGTGGGTTGGTCAATAAACGCTGGGAAAACTGACGTTGATGGTGAAAGGGAAGGGGAAGGGGACGGGTCAATTGCGCGCTGGAACATTCAAGTCAAATGGCCAGCATCAAGTCAAACCACCACACTCATTAATTAACCTTAGACTAATGGACATGCCACGCATTCCAATATCAATCAGATGTGGATGTGCTGTCCCTCTCCTAGGACTAAGTTAGCCCGGGGGGCGTCTCGGAAAAGAATATGTGATGAGGTTTCTCCGGTTCCGGAAAGGAGCTCTCACCGATGGGTACAGATTACATACCATGTAATAGGTACAGTAGCTGCAGTAAAGCAATTATGCACCTACAGCATACGTTCCCATGTACGACAAAGCATGAGTGCCACGAGGCTGGGCTCAAAGGCCATCCGATCCTCTCTGTCTTGGTCTTTGTAGGAGCTTTGACCGCTTTCTTGGGGATGTTTCTCAGCTCAGGTGTGTTACGTAGGTAGTAGATAACTACCAAGACTGTAGCATAGGTAACGCTAAGGCCGATTCTGCCCCGCCATCCCAGAGCTCCCCCTTCCCTCCCCGCCAGTAGTGGGCATTTATCGCTCTATCGAATACCTACCTACATAGGTATCAGTGGGTTCAATACAGTACCAAGTACCTCGTCTTGTCTTGTCTTGCCCTGTCTTTGCCCTGTGGTGCGCCTTCCCCGTCATCGCCAACATCGCTACCGTATCATAACAATACCACGAACCTTTCCACTTCGATCGATTCTTGTAACTTCGTGCCACAAGATCGCCAACATGGCCAACTCATCGGGCGAGCCGTTCTATCTGCGATACTAGTATGAATTCTCTAGTCCTCCCGTTTGTCCGACATGGAGCAGACATGATGATGATAATAATAAAAATAATAATGATAATACTAACTGCCACCATCAGCTCGGGGCATAGCGGTCGCTTCGGCCACGAATTCCTGGAATTCGACTTTCGCGTCGTCGGGGACGGTCGCTCAGCCGTCGCACGATATGCCAACAACAGCAACTATCGAAATGACAGTCTGATCCGCAAGGAGATGTGCGTCTCGAGTCTGGTCGTCGACGAGATCAAGCGCATTGTCAAGAGCTCCGAGATCATGAAGGAAGACGACGCAAAGTGGCCACAGAAGAACAAGGACGGAAGGCAGGAGCTCGAGATTCGATTCGGAACCGAGCATATCAGCTTCGAGGTACGTCCACCACACCTCGTCATGCCCATCCAGAAAATCAAGTGGAATCGAGAGCTGACCACAGGACAACCCAGACCGCAAAGATTGGCTCTCTAATCGATGTCACCGAGTCTTCGGACCCAGAAGGCCTGAGAGTCTTCTACTACCTGGTACAAGATCTGAAGGCGCTTGTCTTCAGTCTCACATCCCTGCACTTCAAGATCAAGCCAATCTCATGAGCATTCAACCGGCCATGCGAATATTTGGTCGGCCTTGCTGCTTGGCCAAGAAACCGAGCCCGAAATCAATCAGTTGAGACTGGCAGGCGTGGAATGATGGGTCCTCTGGCTCATTCACGGAAGACGCTGCATAGTAGTGCGACGAGAATGGCCATGACCGTTGCGCCTTATGTCTATCCACTTTGAGAATCATGGGCCTTGGAGAGCCAGATTGCACTCCAGCTTCATCCAGCTTGGCCTGGAACTTTGATTTGTAGCTGGGTACCATAGCCCTTTTGGGCACAAAATATACCCCGAGCGCCCAAGAAAAGCGCCATTCATGAATCAAACTACGATGCTCCCAGTCCCTTGTTCCATGTTATGCCTGTATACGAGATCCAGCCGCCCAAGCACCGCCACCACACAAGCTCTCGTGGCCATCATGTGCAATGTACATACAAACGCCCCGGTTGGTATCTCTCACCAAACAATGCTTCCTTGCTCATGACAAATAATGAATAATTCATGTCCACGTGGCCTGGGCCTTACAATAAACATCGGTTCCTGCAACACATGTCCTTGATCCTTTTCTGGGTACCTGCTTGTACAAGTGCTTACTCTTTGGCCGACTCACCTAAATTCCATTGCTCCGAAACAGCCCCGATCTTCAACATGCTTCAACTCTAATTGCTGGAATCTAGAATGCCAAGTTAGCCTTTCCTATCGTCATGCAGGCGTTTGCTAGCCAAAGTTTGCATTCACTCACTTTTCGCTCTTGGCATGGAAATAGATGCCACTAATGGTTCCCAGCTTCTGGTTGAAACAAATGTAATAGAAACCCTCGAAACTGGCTCCGTTGATGGTCCTCACGCGATGGTCCGGCACGAGAAAGCGCTCCTTCCACCTCATGAATATGTTGTCTTTGGACCCGAGGTTGGGGATGGCGATATTCCCGCCTTTCCGTACCGTCTTGGCGTATGGTCTGAAGGCGGTAAATTTGTTCCAATGCGACACGTCGATCTTGTCGGTCGAGCCCCAGTCCGCATGGTTGGTAATAAAACCATATTTCGAGCCGATAATCTCGCCTTCAAAAAACGTTGTGAGTGTCGGGTTGTCTTCCGTGAGACCTAGGGTTGCATGTGTTAGTTCGAGATCATGCAAGCAAGGCATGACTTGTGCAGCCCTCAAGGGGGCTGTTGTGTAGCTTGACTAACCTTGTATCTTCAGATATCCACACATGGAGGATTCCCTGAGATCAACATATTTAATCTCGACCTGCACATCGTATATCTGTCTTTCTGATTGCTGTGTGCCATGGAACTTACTGCCCGGCCTTAGAAAGGACGATGTCGTAGTTGGGATCAGCTATTACCCGTAAGCCACTTTTGTTACCGCAGATCAACGAGACCCTGTCCCTGAAGGGATAAAAATGAGCGGGCTAGGAGATAACCTACTCTGAGATTGGAGTATTCATAGCCCATGGACGGCGTAAGAAGATCGTCATGTAATCTGCCGTTCGCCGATGCGACATCCTCCGTCTTTTCGTGGTGTGCACTGGCAGGCGAGATGACGTCGAAAGCCGAGCTGCTGCGATCCGACAGACTGCGCAGCTTACCCTTGTCGTCGGTTGGTGTGACACGGTCTGTTTCCATAGTTTTACTACTCGGCTGTGATGGGCCGTCTACTTCGGTCTCTTCAGATGTTGACCTCAGCAGGTTGCCGCTCCGGGAAATTGGTCGAGGTGACTCAGTATTTGATCTGGTATCAATGTCCACGTCTTCGGTCACGGCTGCTGAGGCCTCTGGCATAGCGCTGGCAGGTTCCGGCGATGACGAGTCGCTGTCTATATGCATCTCTTCCAAACCATCATTGTTGGATCGCCAACCAGACGTCGATGCACGCAATTCTTCTGGGCATGAAGAACTATGCGACCGAGGAAGCTCTGGTGGTGGATTGCTTGATGGGGTCGGCATGGTTACTTTGGTTATGAGCGATGGATATCGAATGAGTTGCGGTACAGCAGCACGCGATAGGCGCGTTAGGCGTTGAAAGCTTAATACAGTTGCTGGGATCGATCCAGTTGACCGCTTCTCAGACAGCAACGACAATCAAGAAGAAGATGCAACTGATGCAAAAGCAAACTTATTGCAGCCGATTTGATAGGGGGTTAAAGTGTTTAAATAAAAACAAATCAAAAATAATAATAATAAAAAGTCGTGTCGATTGAGGTTTTGACAATGCGCGATCGGTCGCTGCTTGGTACGGGTCAATGGGAACGAGGTCGTGCTCCTGAACTTGGCTTGTTCAGGGTCAATCAAGCAGGCAATGACAAGCGGGCCGTCGCCAGTCAAGTGAAGTAGGAAAACTCTATAGTGGGTTGATGGGACGTGGTTGATCGGCAGAGTTCGGTACTGACAAGAACACGACTCGTTTCGTTTAGCAGCAAGTTCTGTCGTCAAGATGCGCTCTTCATTCCAGAAATGAGGAAGATGATTGAGTGTATGGGTCCATCTATCATGAGAGCAAGAACCCAGCATGCAGCAGCAGCAGCAGCAGCAGTGCTTAGCTGAGACCGGTTAGAGAGAGACCCCAGGTATGAAGGGTCAAAGGAGGAATGATTCAAGTAGCTGCAGGGTATGACGCTTGACCTTCGTGGGGGAGAGGGGGGCCGAGAGGCGCTTTCTAGAGTCACGTCAGTCGCTTCTGACGTTGTGGTCTCAGAAGTTTGATTCGCTGGGGCACGACTGCGGATTCCTTAGCATGAGGTGCCACTTTTGGGGCAGACGACCACTGAAGCAACTGTACAAGTCTGCACACTATCTGTGTATTGCCATACAATGTGCTTTTAATCATGCATGATTTCAGCCACGAAACATTGACGGGTTCACTTCGATGCATCATGCCCAAATTCCAGCTTCATCATTTCCTCCAAAGAGAAAAGGCGTTGATCGAGGCTCCCTAGGGCGAAGAGAACGATATTATCACACATTCTCATTGTAACTCACAACTAGCGATCAATACTCGGGCTTTGCAATGCATGTAAAGCAGCAGCGCAGTGCAGTGGGCCATGCCATTCACCATCCTAACAACGACGAAGGGCTTCGCAAGTTTGGATGGCTCGGATGAAGAGAAATATATACTCTTGTCTCTGATGGACTGCCAAATATCCATGATCCTGAGGTCATCTCAATGAACTGATCCGTGCAGCATTGACGTCCGCACATTCCGCCCCATGACCACCTCAATTCGTTGTTGGATTCGTGTGAATCGAAGCGCCTACCGATGTCGTTGGAGGCATCCGATTCAATTCAAATGAAATCGACCAACAACAGTCAACAAAAATGGTCGCGAAACTCGTCCCCAAGGGTAGCGTGGCACATGGTTATAGACTTCCGCATGATGCATTGTCGGGAGCAGAGCGCTAGCCTGTGATGGCGAAGCTTAATGGTCAAAACACTGTGCCTCGATATATCAACGACTATAGTTACCGCTTGATATCCTCGATCACAATAGGTGCCACACGAATTACTAATCGCGTATCAAGAACGAAGCTTTCGGGCTTGCACAACATCTGCGAGCTTGAACAGTCGACGTCGGTTCATATGCGGCACGAGGGAGTCACTCCGCACTTGTCGTCCTGTTATCTCAGCGACTCGGACCGAGCGGTGTCAATCAGGATACAGTCGGATTTGCTACGCCTGCCAAGACGGCATGTAAAAACCTCAATTAGGCGTTGCTTCTGACGTTGCGTCAGCTGGAGCTTGACTGCGGAAAGCATTGAAGTAGTGTCGGCGGAAATCGTTGAGCTCATCGGCAGTGACGCCATTCGCTTGCACGCGCTCTTGCCTTTGTGCCAAAGCTGTAGCGTCAACCTCTGAGTCCGGCAGGCGACGGTATGTGATCAACCTGCGTGACCATTTGTTGAAAACTTGCACGCAAACCGATACGATGTCCATGCATGGGTGCACGGGTACGCCGATAGCCTGGTCAGCATCGTTGGCTGTAGGCATCCAGAAGGAGAGCCGCCCATCATCGACAAGCCTGTCTGTCGCGAACTGTAGTATGTCGTCGAGCATTGCGTTGAAGCTGTATGGCTTCTTTGGCGGCACGAAGTCCTCATCCCTAGCTTCAGTTAGTCAGGTTTAATAATACGAGCCCGGATACCGGCTCACTTATAGAAGGCCTTTCCCTTCTCTATGACATAGTGATACTTCACAGGATCGCGGACACCAAGTACCTTGAGGCCCTCCCGGACACCATATGGTGGATCTGCGATGATTCCGTCGAGAATTCTCGCTTGACGGACCGGTGTGTTGGTCAAGTCGCAGGCAAACATTTCTCCCATCAGATGCTCCAGCCCATATTGCTTGAAGTTACCCCTCAAACTCTTCTTCACGCTTTCTCCTCGGATGCTACGTCCGTCGATGTCGCTACCCCAAGCAAGCGCCCCGAACTGGGCGCAGGCGATGGGGAAACTTCCAGTACCAACGAAAGGGTCGTAGAAGAGTTTTCCCGGTCCAGCTAATGCCATGTTTGCCGAAACTAGAGCTAGCTCGCTATCCATGGAAGTCGTTGAAATGTAGGCTCTCTTCTTGAGATCCAATCTGACGATTAAATCTCTGACTGACTTGGTGATAAAGCGCCCGAAGTGTATTTTCATTGGAGCTGGAAGGTTCCTTGTAACAGCTTGGAAATCCCACTGCTCAAAAAGAGAAAACTCCTGCTCGTAGTCTTTCATTTTAATTTCGCCTTCAAATTCCAGAAATGCCAGCGATTCAAAGAGCTCGCGTCTCTTTACGTTTGACCGCGTGCCTTGATACGCATCCAGAAAGAACTTGAAGCTGCATGTCTTATACTTTGTCCAAAGCTGCGATGTGCGCCGCTTGATATCCTCGTGCAGCTCTGCTACAGTATTTCCGGTGCCCCAGTGCTCATGTATGCTTTGCGCCAATATGGATCGGCTCATGAGAAAGCGAGCAGCCTCTTCTGAAGGCAACTCGACAACACAAAAAGGTGACTAAAAGGGATTAGTTGTGTAAACGTGGCATGACTTGTTTATCTACTTGCCTCCAGATCATAGTGAATGACTTTCATGTCAAATTTACCCAGCTCTGCAAGGGCCTGGATCTCAGGCAGCCGAAAAGTTTCATGCGACTGACTAAAGCGGATAAGGTACTCCATGTTACAACGTTGGGCAAGGGTGGTAGTGTCACTTGGACTTCTGGTAAAGAATGAAATAGATACTCGTCTGCTCGATGGGAACCTGACTTGGTGCTGACGCAGGAAATCAATGAGCCATGCAGGAAGCGAAACGATACCAGCAGCAAATATGGAATACACCGAAGATGTTGCTGGCACCCGTCAATTTTCCTAAATCGGATTGCACTTGCAGAGTGTGTTATGTTGTGGGCCAATAAATGCCCAGCCACGGTAGAAGCATCAACTCCGCTTTAGTGCATAATCTTACCCTTCTTCTGCGTTCAGAAAATAGAGTGTCAACTCGAAACTTTTATACACCAACGCCCGATCTTCCACTCAGGAGTCGCCTCTGTGTAGGCTGACCTACAATCCAAGATGATGTCCTTTCCAACGCCCAGCGTTTATCAGTCGTCGAAATGCTTCTTTACGCACGGCACAATGGCGCACCCGGATCCAGAACAGTTGCCGGCCAAGGGAAAGCCATGGAGCACACTACTTGAACAGGACTTCATCCACAAAGTAAATCATTCCAGTTTTCTCGTCAGAAATGGCGATGCTGATGCTACAATAGGTTGATCTCATTCTTCCCCAAGAGGCAGCAGAGAAATTCAGGATGAAACTTGCGCAGGAAGCATATTCACCCACATACCACCGTGTGATCATGAAGCTTGGTGATATCCTGGATGGAGAATTCTTCACACAGTACATTAAAGTGGGAAATATCATAATGCTTTCAGAGGGCAGCACGGCTCAAGACAATGTGTTCGCTTTGAAAGATGGTAGGTCGTCCTACACAACAGTACCAGGGCATTTATTTGACAACAGAAACAGGCACGCTTACCATGTTCCTCGAAAAGGAGTCATACGAAAGAGGTGGCCTCCAGAATGGGAAACCTCATGGGGTTAGGGGGAAACGGGGTCTTCAACCGAGGTGGAGTGGGTTCCCGACCAAAGACGAACCATGGGTATCAAGGTCACTGACAGTCACGCAGTTGTCGAATATGATTTACGAAATAAGGCAAACTTTCCAGGAAAGAAGGGATACGACCAGTTGTTAAGAGCATGTGACAGAGTTTTTGACAAACCTATCACGTGGCTATTTCATCGTCAATCTAGTAGTAGGTTGCGTCCGTTTCGTGACGGTTCATCTCTGACGCGGTCACAGCCCCTGATCCCGATCCTCTGCTCAGATTTTCCCCTGTCAAGTACACCTCGGCACCTTTCCTCGTGGAGGAGTTGAGGGCAAATACTCCATCTCTGAATATGCCAGCAGAAGCCCTCGCAGAGCAAGGTCAGCCAGCCCTGGACGAGTTTGCGACAGAGGTTTACGAATGGCTCTCGCTCTTGAGGCTACAAAGCCCACGGGTCTACACTGGAGACAGCATTGATCCCTTCTTGTCGCGATACTCGATGGGGGGGGGGATGGGGACTCTGGAGCAAGCCACGTTATGCAAGGTTAGCTGGCAGGGGTTTATAGCGCCGGGCTGGACGAGACAGGCCTTGGCGGGGATCATTCTTTCTATATCTTCGCGTTCATGGTTTTCATTGAGCGTCACATCCTTCAGAAAGGGGGTCAGAGGAGAGAGCACGGAATGCACCTTACTGAGGCCACCGGATATGCCAGGAGAATACCTTCTATGGGACATCCACGGACATGAATGAGATCGGGGTGTTCTCAGCTGATTGAAGGCTTCAGGCCTGTCTCTGCCGGACCTGACGATCATCCAAGTTTTGATCACCGATAGCATCTTGGACGAGTTGCCGCAACTCGGCTTGGCCAGCTTCCGTATGAAAATCGTCCCGCTCAGCCAACTGCTCGATGCGTCTTCTGAATTCGGTATCGACCTCAGGTTCATTGTCTTCCGGTGGTGCCATAATGCCGACGGACACACTCAAACCCTCTGGCAGCGGTGGCACTGCCTCTGATTCCCCGTGCACACTAGACCCATTCGGTAGCCTGCCATGGCGGGTAACTTCAACTGCCTTTAGGTACTGAGCGACCTCAGGGAAGTCTGCCTCGTCGGCAATCTTGTCGCTTGCGGTTTGGCCCTCCTCGTTCCGCGCCAGGAGGTCGACGTGTAGCTCCTCGACAAGGACCTTGGCAGCCGCATGTGTCTCGACAACAAACAGTGCCGTTTCTTGGTCCTCGTCGCGCAGGTTGACATCGACTTTGAATTCGCGAATCAGGGCTCGAAGAAGTTCGAGATGGTTGTAGCTGGCGGCGGCATGGACAAGGGAATAGCCGTGCTCGTCCTGGGCAGATGCTATGGAGGGGTTTTCGCGAAGCAGAGTCATCAAAGCCAGCGGGTTGTCGGCTGCAAGGAGATGGGGGTTGCTTGCCATGCTTGGAGAATTCTGCGTTGAGTACGTCACAAGATGATGGACGAAGATGTTGGTTGATCCGGGACGCGCAGAGTACGTAAAATACTAGTCTAAGGTATTATTTATCGTACGCAATCTTGACCGAATGACGCAGTTATGCCACTGGATCCGTACTGTAGAAATTGCCAAAAAGATTGCCCCGCCGACGACGATACACTCGCCTCGCCGACCCCGCCGAGCGGCTAGAATTCCGCAGCCCTGAGTTTATCATGTACTGTAATCCGTACGGATCAGACCCTGAAATGCCAGCTTTTACCGCCCCAATGCACTAACCAACCTTGGAGTCCCCCGCGATCTTAGTGGGCTATGACTCCCATCCCACCAGACAGCCGCGCTCCTGCGGCCTGGCCACCTGGTGGCTTTGGGTGCAGCTTATTATACCTGGCGGACCTGAACTGAATTGAATTCAGAGCATAGTAATCTGGAGCTTACTACTTCTCACTCGCTCCCAGCCCACCAAACACCTTCCCATAACACAAGTGCCGCCGCATAGGTACAACGGGATCCAATCGCCCCAAACCCCCGTATAAGATCCAAAGCCCTCTGTCCATCATTGCATCTCTCATATCTACCCTTTTTTGGGGGCATTTCTTCTTGTTCTTCTTCTTCTTCTCCTTCTTTTTTCCCTTCCTTATAGGCTCACCTCCTTGGTGACTCATCTGCACAAGCATTCGCAAATAATTGCATGGATTCATAAACTCAACTGGGCAACCTCAAACCACGTAGAGCAATCGTTCCAAGTGCCAGTCCACGTAGACAGCGTCACAGCGTCGATATGGCTGGGACATTGCCACAACCTGCAGGCGTTTTGGTCCAGGACCAGCCGGTCATGGTCGATATCCGTCCATTGCTACAGAGGCTCTGGCCAGATCCATCAGCGGCAAAAGTTACGGCAAGGGAGATCGCCGATGCCATTGCCTTGATTTTCACCAACAATCTCAGCCCAGTGCAGTCGGGTTCACTACTCACAGCCTTGCATTTTACTGGGTGGGACCGTAGAGCAGATGTCTTGGCTGAGGCTTCAGCTGCTATGCGCAACGCATCGGCGCCTATTGATTTTAAAACTCTCAACGAGGTTATCGAGAGAAAGGGAAGGAAAGAAGGCCGCTACTATGGCGGTCTCGTAAGCCCCCCCCCCTTTCGCTGTAGCATGCTCGAGAGCTGACGGACATGCAGTGTGACATTGTAGGCACCGGTGGTGACTCGCATAACACCTTCAATATCTCAACCACTTCGTCCATCCTGGCTTCTACGCTTTTGCAAATGGGCAAGCACGGCAACCGTGCCTCAACCTCCAAGTCAGGATCAGCTGACTTACTCATGTGTATGACCCCACGGTCCGCTCCGCTGGCTCGGATAACGCCACAAACTATTGCCCAAGTCTACGAGAGGACTAACTATGCCTTCCTCTTCGCACCTGTATTCCACCCAGGAATGAAGCACGTGGCTCCTATCCGCAAGGAACTTGGCTGGCGAACGATCTTCAATCTGCTTGGGCCCCTGGCCAACCCTCTCCACGATGCCATTGAGGTTCGCATGTTAGGCGTCGCACGTGACGATATGGGTCCTGTATTTTCCGAGGCACTTCGCATCTCGGGCTGCAAGAAGGGCCTCATTGTGTGCGGTGTAGAACAGCTGGATGAGGTCTCGTGCGCCGGAGAGTCCCTATGCTGGCAGTTGGTGGAGCGTGCAGATGGGATTGTCGAGATTGAGCACTTTACACTTTCCCCAGAGGATTTCGGTCTTTCAAGACATCCACTGAGTACAGTTTCGCCTGGGAAAGAACCCCACCAAAACGCAGAAATTCTGAGGAAGATCCTGGCCAATGAAATGCCTGATGACGATCCCATCTTGGAGTTTGTCCTCATTAATACAGCTGCCCTCTTTGTTACTAGCGGTATTTGTGAGGCGGAAACGAGCGACATGGGCTCTGGTGATGATGGCAATGTCATCACGGAACGCGGCCCCGGAAACGGTCGCTGGAAAGAGGGCGTCAGACGAGCTCGCTGGGCCATCAAGAGTGGCGAGGCTTGGAAGCAGTGGGAAAATTTTGTAGACGTGACAAATAGCTTCACCACAGCCTGATCTTGTTGATTTATTTTGGAAAGCTTTATAGTCTGTACTTTTGTCTGGTGCTGAGGTATAGAAACATCTTGCGATTTGCATGGCATGGAAAAAGCGAGGACGGTTACGCCAACGGATATATATCAGAGAAATATGGGTCGATACTCGATGCAAGTTTCCATCTTTTCATGTTAGTATAAACAACCTTAGTCTTCGATTCTCCGAGCGGCTGCCTGCTGCCGATCTGGGCTACTGCAATATACACCCCAACCTCGCTTCAAGTTCAATCTTATGCGGACATGGTTGATCAGCCTGTGGAGTACACGTGAGTCCTTAAGGTCTGATACGTTGAGGTAGTAACGCGATCTCGTTACCTCCATCATAGCCACAAGTCCTTATCGTATGGTAAAGATAGCACGGCTTGATTGCTATAGCCAAGGCTGTGAAAGCCCGTGTCATCGAGGGGCGGCGAACCATTCATCCGTGGTAAATACAAACCAGGACTTGGCGGATACGCTGTTTCCGCTGAGGTGCCACCTTGGGTGGTATTCTTTCGTTCGTCCGCATCTTCCCCCATCCCGATGCCAGAGTCTAATGTTGAAGGTTTGCTAGAAGCAAGAGCAGTGAGAGGCTTATTGGAGTAGATAGACCCGCCCGAAAACGAAGCATCCATCAAAGTCTCAGGTAAGGATATATCTGCACCAGTGAGGCGCTGGACCTGCCTGAATTGACGGTCCAGGTGAGGATCACGCGCATTCGAGCAGTAGATCAGACGAGATTGAAAGAAGCCCGGCACGTGGTCTAGATGAAATCAGTATTGTCTTGGTCACATCGTTGTGAAAAGGCTTGAGCCAACACTCACACATCCCAGGGATTTCGGCCTTGTGGTTCCGCCCCCATAAAGCCACGCAGATCATATCCCAGGCAGTCTCTACCGAAACCTTACTCTTGTTGAAGTTTAGCTTGACGAACTCTCTGTTTTGGGCTTGGCTCATCCACACAGGCTTGTTGGCGGCGAGGTTCTTAGCCTCACAGGAACTATCTTTATGAGTCTTCGCGTGTCTTTTGTCTCGAAACCGCTCTTTACACACCGGGCATCCGAAGTCGAGGCTATGATCGTGCCGGAGATGTTCCCTGGAGCACCCCGAGTTAGAACATATCAAAGGGGCCAGACAACGCAAAGTCGGTTAAGACACATGCTGTCGAGAGATTGCAGTAAAGGCTTACATCAATAGCCTCAAGCTCTCGAACCCCCATCCTTCCGTACAGCTTCCTCTGAAGAACTGATGCTTCTCCGGTTCGTGTCTAGGAAAGGGACAAGCAAGGTGCATCAAATATTCGGATGGGTAATCTTCCATGTCGTTGAGTAGAAGCTGACGTTGCCCCTCGAAACTGTGGAAGCAATCCGGCTCTGGCGTGTGCGGCGATGTCATTCGTTGTGACGTATTTTTATACATGATAGCTACCTGTAGCTTTTCGAGATCCCGAACACAGAGTGGTAGTCGGCGACTGCGGATTGGGCTTTGTTCTTGTGTCGTAACGGGTCGGAAGCGGAAGATCTGTATACTGGCTGTTCTATCCAATTAATGATTGCTTTCCTGCCAGGGTCGCCGTGAGAGTTGTCAGGTGTCGGGCTCCTCCTGCTGGATATGCAAGACGATGAAGTCTTCGGATAATACGACGAGCTACTTCACCCCTTGATGTTAGCGAGTTGTCCGTATTTGCCCTAGATTATTTGGCATCTTGCAACTCAGTCTTCCGAGACAACTTCAAGCAGGTCTGTGGATAGTTTGGCTGTCCTTTGTTGAACTCACGATTCCAACGTCTACCAATTGAAGAGAACTGCGCAAAACAACGTAGGCAACCACTCACTTCATTGGGAGATACAATCTGGGGACGGCAGCTTGCATTCAACTCAACAAAAGCACCCCGTCGGAGCTTGGGCAAGTACAGGGTATTATCTCACGCGGATGTGGCATCATTAGAGTCTAGAAAATGACTCTGCTAGATTGCAGCTCGGCATCAAAAGAGTGACCAGGTTCTCATAGCTGCCGCTGATGCCGATTGGCGCAGCGTACGCCTCAAGCGAGCTAATCATGGGTTGTGCATGCGCGAGAACGTTGTCAGCAAGACGAGCTTGAATCGTGTTGTCTTTCTCTTCATTACCATGCGCACCTTTTCAAATTAGTCATATTGGGAGCAGGTCTCCCACATATCATATATTATATAATGCCGAGGATCAGAAGTACAGCAGTGGCAATATTTGGCGAAACTTTCTTGGGTCGTCGATTTTGAACCAAGAAATTATACTCGGCAGCGCATTGTATCGACAATGCACATATGGCACCAAGCCACCCCAATTGCCTACTCTGCTGGGATAGAACTATGTGGGAAATACCCAAGAGTACAATTCTGATGCGCCAAGAGGCAGCAAACGCACATACACTTTGACAACCAGGAGATAGATAGCTGATTAACCTGTTTGTTCAATATATCCCATGCAGCCTGTAACATATCGAAGCGTCCAACATATGGTTCCAGGAACAACGATATTGCAAACCCCCATTGAATATCTGTATGGGTTCTGACACCTAATATATGCTGACGGGTTCTCGGGCTGACCTTATTTTGATCGAAGGCATTGCCCTTATCTGGGCTTGCGCCACAATGGCTTCTCTTGAATCAAGTACAATCAATGTTGCCATGTTCTGGCTACAAGGTTTTGCTAGTTCCCTAAGAAGACTTTTCTCAAATGTTTATTTGTAGTCTTCATCTGGTCGAGTTTGTAGGCAGGGATCCTTGCACCTCCTACATCCATTCCGCCGCCCCTTCTTCAGCGTGCGCGCCGGCCCGCTCAGAATCTTCCTTGGCGGGTCGTGTGATCCTCATCGTTAGTGAAGCTCTTATTACTCCTATTCCCGTCGATATGGTTAGTCTTTTCGCAAGCTTCCTATCGTGCCAGTACACCACGAACCACCCCTCTAAGGACTGGCTTGGGCTCGAAGGCCCGCTCGCCGATTCCGTTCGATGCGCCCTCCTGAAGCCATCGAGCTATCACGTCATTGCTCTCCTTGGGCTTAACGCTTTGATCACGAGTGCCAATGGTGACATGTGCTACTTGATTGACGCTCGCCCATTGCGGATCGGATATCCTAGCCACAATAGTCATGATTCTGTCGTCGAAAATAACCTAACAATAATTAGCAAACTGAAAATCACGTGTGGAGAGAACGAACAACGCAAGATAACAAATGAGAATCAAATGAGCTTACCCTCTCAAGCTCAACGTCACATTCGGCAATGCGGCCACCCTGAGCTATACTCTCCTCCTCAAGCTTGCAATACTCAGCCCATCGCTCAGGATAATCCTTGGAGACAGCACGATGCATCAAGGTTATGTGAAACTGTGGTTGGATGCGGCGGGTCTGCTGAAGCTGCTTGTAAAATCTGGATGTTTCGGCATCGGTGTTCTTGAAAGTGGTTTCTAGGATATCAATCACATCCTTTGCAGGCACGGAAATAGACATATACTCCAGAGGCTTCTTCTTTTGTGCCCTTGACTGCTGCTGCTGAGGTTGGCCACCATTCTGTTTATTCTTGCCGCCCCGGTCGGGAATGGTATGTCGGAGGTCGGGCTTATAGTGCTCGATAGCGGCTTTCACCGCCTCATCCATGTCCTCTTCACTCGGGATGTCGGGAACCAGGCGAGGGTATTTGCGGTGAAGCTCATTCACCATGATCTCTACATTCTCGCGACTAGTTTTAGCAGGGTCGAGGTCAACTATCAAGTCGAATCCGTCGTCGGGAGATTTTTCAGGATCACAAGGCTGAAAACGATGGAGGAAGTTTTCCATGATGCTGGTGACCTTGGACTCATCGGAAGCAGCTTGAATTGTCTGGTGGTTATCACCTCGAGCAAGAACCCGATCACGTGTCACTCGTCTGACCTCTTCGATATCGCCATGTGCAAAATTCATTGCAACAAGACGTGCTTGTGCATGCTGAAGCTTTACGTCCTTGATGATCTGCTCTCTTTCACGACGTTCGGAGTTATTGCGATCAGAGACGACGACTGGGTTGCCATCGGCGAGAAGCTGCATGACTTGCTTGACCATTTGTGCCTGACGGCCCTTGCCAGTGATATTATCATTTTGCACATGGGCCCAGCCGAACAGATGCGTCAGTGCCACTGCGACGGTGGTCTTGCCGCAACCAATAGTGGCGATTGGGACGATGACAACGCTGTCAGTCACCAAAGCACCATCGTCGAGACCGTCATTTTCAACATTTGCTGCGTCAGAGCCTTTCATGTTTTTGTAGGCAAGGAAATCGTCCCGCAACTTGATGATTCCATGGTTCTGGTTGTAGAGCTTCCCGAGTTGATGATCCTGAGCGAGGCGCTTGCGAGCATATAGGAGGTATTCCTCAGTGATCTTGATGTGCTTCTTGTACTTGGGTGGTCTGCCTGCAATTAAGGCTTTGGTACACTCACGCCATTGACGATACATCAAATAAGGCTCGTCGAACTTGTACTTCCAAAACCAGTCGTTGTATGGCGTTCGCTGAGGGTCATAAGACATTTGGCATCGAATGACGAAGCCCTCAACATCACGGCCCTCATGAGCGCCTGTCTCTGCGACGCCTTCAAGAAAAGTGCGGACAGTGTCCATGTCATCGAAGACCTGTAAGCCCACCTTCCTGAATCCCCAGTCATCAGCAAACTTTTGGACGTGATCGCTAGGGTAAGTCATAAACTCTGGCATGTTGATATTGATACCATGGAGGTAGAGACCGGCCTTCTCCGGACCGTAAGCAAGAATGTGCTCCTCAAAATCATCATCGCAGAGCTCTGCGACGGCCGTGACATTCCTGGTCCGCAGCTCGCGTGCGAGATCTGCTCTGGTTTTTCCAATGGCCTGCAGTTGTCTGTTAACCCACTTCTCGCCAGCCATGGAGTGGCTCAACTCGACATCACTTCGTGGCCCGGTGGAATGCTTGCTGCAGACGAGCAAGGTATCATCCTCTAGGCCTCCGATGAAGATGATGCACCCATTCTCCTTGAGTGTAAGCTCGTAAGGACCCTTTGTTCTGGAGCTGATGTTTGGCCACTTGGTGTCATTTGTCTCGTTGACATTGAAGAACTTGTCGTAGCCTCTGATGGCAATCTCATGCTGACCTCGACGGTTCTTTGTGGTGAACAAGCCGCGGGCATATGTAGGCAGATTGGGTTTCTTGTAATCCCAATCCTGGAATCTCCAAGAGTCTACTGTGATGCCATCGGGTGAGTCGTGGACTTTGAAAGTGGTTTTCTTGGCCCGGAAGCCCTTGTTGCCTTTGTTGATGGAGCCGTTGAGTCCAGCAACGAGGGTTTGGATCTCTTGAGGATCCTGTTCCGCGAACGGAGCCTTGGTCTCGGCGGCCATGGTGCGGTTTTGTGTGATGTTGGCTGGGGATTGGGATTGAGATTGAGTGGAGGTGATTTGATTAACTCTGGCGAAGCAGGAGTAATGACGACCTTGGATGAGGCCAGCCAAGGTGGGCAAATTGGGTGTTCTGTCGTAGTGGCGATGAGACAGAACTGAGTTGGAAGTTGCAGTCTTGTTTACTGCTTCCCAGATAATTTGACGTTGAAACTTGCCTTGCAGTTGTCGGCGGCAAGCAAACATACGAAAAGACAGAGTACCCCGCTCGCCGTGAATGAAGAGATGGTCTGAAGCTGGGACTTCTGTGTGCTCTCAATATGTTGGCGGTGCTTTATAGAACGCTGGTCAGTTGTGTTGCACTGAAAATAGTCTGGACTAGACTAACCTAGTGATAGGCAGAGGTCGGCATGAGTCAGAAGGGCCAAATTTTTTTGGGTATCAGAATGATGGCGGCTGTCTGGGAGTCGCAGCAAGACCTGTAAAATCAAAATGCAGAGGTGTGGTTTGGCAGTCGCAATAATGGCAGATGTTGAAGATGGTCTCACTTGCATATTACTACGGTAATCAACATAAAAATATTTGGCTGCAGCTGGAGCTCTCAAAAGAACCCCTCGATTTGATTTGCCTGGGCGATTGCAGCCCTATGAGATCAGGTCCGATTTGCCTGATGTTGATCGCCCTTGCAGGTCACAGGTCGAAAGTCGAAGGTCACAGGCAGGTCACGCGTCGGCTTTGTTAGCATCAGCGCTAGCGCACAAACGGGGCAGTATCTGGTGCTATCTAGTGTATGCGGCCAGTTATGCAATAGATGCATAAACGACGCTATGAAAGCACGGGGCCTGGATCCAAAAAATCCGGAGCTTTGAGGCCTTCGCGATCTATCGACTTTTGAGACTGCTTCGGAATCAGATTTGAAGGAGAATCCGGGTGTATTTCTTCCACACTACACCGGCAGACTCATGAAAATGCCTGCACGGCTCAATTGCTCCTCCGCGCGAGCCGTGAGCAGGGCGATACGTCCACAATCCTCGTCAACCCTCTCGAGAGCAGCCGCTGCCGCGCTTCCGTGTACTCAACACACCAGCGTCCCTTCGAGAAGTTACGCCGCCGCAGTCTCGCCCATACCTTTGGGACGCCTACAACTACCCGAGGACTACATCCCGCCTACGAAACCTCCGTCAGCACGACGCCCCGAGACCCGCAAGTCGCAACTGCTTCGATCCTATACAGCCTTACTGCGATCGACCCCCCTGATTCTCTTCTTCCAGCACAACAACCTCACAGCAGTGGAATGGTCCGCTGTTCGTCGAGAGTTGCGGAAAGCTCTGGCTGAGGTGCCTCCACCCGTCGTTGGCCCTGATGGAACTCTGCCTGTCAATCCGGTTGACTCGATCGAGCTAAGCGTTCTGCGCACACGCATCTTCGACGTTGCCTTCAAGGTTACCGAGTTCTTCGATGCAGAAGCTGCCGCCGGCAAATCGAACGCATACACACATGATCTTTCGAGCAGTGCCTACGAAGCTATCAAGAAGGCCAACTTGGAGGACCCCAGCCGCACATATGCTCAGATCAGCCCTCTGCTGATCGGCCCCGTTGCCGCACTCACCATTCCAACTGTCAGTCCGGCGCATCTGGCTGCGGCGCTCAGGATCCTCGCACCCAGCGCGCCGAGCTTCCCTGCGCCCACGAGGAAGAAGAACCCCGGCTATCATGACCCGATCACCCAGTCCGGCCTCCAGAAGCTGATTCTCATCGGTGGGCGTGTCGAGGGCAAGGCATTCGATCAAGACGGTGTCAAGTGGGTAGGTGGTATAGAGGGTGGCCTGGATGGCCTGAGGAGCCAGCTGGTGTCTATGCTCCAGAGTGCTGGTTTGGGTCTTACCACGGCGTTGGAGGGCCACAGCAAGGGATTGTGGCTTGCGCTCGAGAGCCGCAGAACTCAATTGGATGAGGAACAGAACCCCAACAAGGCAGCAGATGGTGAGGCCAAGGCGGAAGGGAGCTGAGAGTGCCATGTATGTACGATGGTGTAAATTAAGCTCCTTGTAAACAACTAGCTGTATAAATACCACATTTTCATCGTGGACTTGTATTCCATAAACGCAGAGTATGTAAACACTGTTTTGCGGGATTCGACTTGGAATATGAGGGTATGTGAGCTGAGAGAGAGACCCAACAGTACCTAGGAGCGGGAACTCGGAGCTAGACTAATGCAACGGTTACATTATATTCTGGCATGACTGAAGCACAACTAAAAGGCAGGTTAGAGTTTCCTTGGTGAACTCTCGTTGCTTGATGTTTGGCAACTCGGTCTGGTTCTATACCAAGTTTCCATGTCTGTCACGGTAGCATGTTCAAGTCAACAAATGATCATGCACGGGGGGTCTACGGACGGACCCGTACAGTGGTACAGCAGCACAGGACGGATCCGTAACCTTCCCTGCCCACTAAAATAGGACCCTGCATGGTCGGTCGGGTTTGGGTGATCCACGCAAGGAACTGTCGTGTCGCATGCTGCAGTTACCTTCTCTGCAATCCACGTCTCTACCTGGTCTGTTTTGTGCCTCTACGGACGAGGCACCTGTATTATTAGTAGTAGCTTCAACAGCTTCTTGACCGCACTTTTTCGCCCGGACAGTCTCTCCCTCATCGGCTACAACCTGCGACAAGCCCTGCACTGCGCAGACAAGCTGCTGACCTGCAACCTGCCAAAGGCTAACTTGGCAGCAAGCCCACCATGGACTTCGCACCTTATCAGTCCTCACCACCAGAGCACTCGCGGCCCTTCTCGCCAGCGCAGTCTCCTAGCCCCCGTGTATCATACGACCGTCAGCGATCCGGCCTCAAATCCCCCCCGCCCTTACAACACCCACAACCCCAGAGGCAGTGGGCCCCTACTTTGCCCGGTGGCTATTCGCAAGTCGGCGCCGGAGCAGCAGGTTACGGAAACGAAGCCGGCTTTGGAGTCGATGCCTTTGATACGAGCTTGGGAGTCAGGCTGGACTATGAGGCTGCTGTCAGCTATTTGGCCCTCCCGCCACTTGGTGCAGTCATACTGCTGATATTGGAAAGAAAGAGTGACTACGTCAGGTGAGTTTGTACCTCTCGTATCAGCCAAACGAATCAACACGTTTCGGATGATGATACTGGATTGTCAAAACACTTGTGCCTCCCCTCGTATTTGGATCCGCGCCGTCTTCATAGGAGGGTCACGCCGCTTGCATTACGAATGGACTGGGTGTGTCAAGAACCACACCCCGTACTCTCAGCGCAAGCGCGCTCTGCACCATCGGTTTATAGTTCTTTCAGCGGGTTTCAGCCGGCCAAGGCTAACAGCGATATTCAAGGTTCCATGCTTGGCAATCGAGTCTACTTTTCACGGCCATTTTCATCCTTCACCTCATCTTTTCATGGTCGACCTTCTTCAGCTGGGTCATCTTCCTCGGGGACCTGGCACTTATAGCATTCATGGCACTTAAAGCATATCGAGATGCGGATACTCTTGATAGGTGGGCTCATCTTTCATCGCGTCACCTACGTGGCCACTAATCAGCAGTGTAGATACGAAATACCGATATTTGGTCAGTTGGCAAGTAAATTCGTGGACGATGAGTAGTGGCCAGTTTCGGCTCTGTACAAGTCCAACCTAAGACTAGTTGGTAGTGGCATCAACGTCGTGATTTATGCGTCCCATCTACTTACGTGTTGATACAATTAATATCCAAGTGTTCGAAGTCAGCACATTGGTAATGCTCATATCCAAATCATTCAAACTACAACCAAGGAATTTATCTTCATGGGTCTTGTTCTTTGTGTATCTTCAGGCAAAATTTGAAACCCGAGGCGATAGGTCTATAGAGAGTCCCTGTCTACTGAGATACATCAGTACCCATATTCAAAAAGATTACTGTCTGCTTGACATGAGGCAGGCCGTGGGCAGACGGGACCTAGGAGTCGCTTTGCGTAATTTGCGGAAACATTGACGATTCAGTGCTCAGGCACTACAATGCCTTGATCATTTTCACAAGACTGTGTTGCCCAATGCTGTCGCTAACCTCTAGTGGCTTCTTCAGACGGCTGACAGGCATGATATCACCGCTCTCGTTATTCAAGTTGAAGGTGCCCATTGTCTCAATGTGATGTCGTAGATCCTGGTCCGCTCGACAGCTCTTGCGACAACAGCCTCCTCATCCTGCGTGGTGTTTTCCTCAGATGCGCGTTGACTATCACAGTTCGTTGCTTCATGTAGTGGGATATTATTTGCAGGGGTATCTCTAGGTCATTCCGTTTGATACTCAGGTTCATTAGACAGAGCGTCCTAACGTGGTTCGTGGATGTCGACCTGGAAATGCCCTGTTAGAAACCACAGGGCCCTCGGTGCATAGGTGCGGTGCGAGCCATCATTGGGCTCGACTAACACATGGCGCTGGCATTTAGCCAGCGATAGCATCGGATATGCTCATGCCACAGAGGCAATTAGGCATGCTCTATATAACACCTTCCCCAGACAACACGTTAGTTACATTAACATAATTAATAGCTATACTTTGTAACGTGTATAACTAAGGCTAAAGCTAAGCTAAGCTTGTTATATAAAGCTTAAGTACGTAAATAAACACTTTTATATAATTAAAATTTAATTTTATAAATATTAAATAATAAGTAATTTACGTTTAAAAGAATTAATTACTTTTATTTAATTTTCTAAGTGTTTACTTTAAAGGTTAAACGAAACCCGTATACTTTATATACTTTACGCTTTAATAACGTTTATATTATAATATTTAAAATATAACGTTAGTTCTTATTTAATTAACGTAATTACTTTTAAAAAGACTAGTTATTTCTCGCGAAAGATATTTTCTTTACTTATAAAAGTTATTTAATTAAAATCTTCGCTGTTTTTAAAAAAAAAAAACTAGTATAACTTTAGTAAAGTCGTAACGTATATTTATCTTAATTAATATTATAACGTTTTTAAAGCGTGTTTAAGCCTTTTTATATAGTTTATAATAAAGGAATATATATTTAATTATTTTAAAGGCTTTATTATAATAATAATATAAAGGCGTATAAACTTTAAACGCGCCGATTTTAAATAAAAACGTTATAAGTTTAATCCGTTTAATTTATATTTAAAAAGGTTATTATAACTTTTTTCCTTTTTAATTTCTCGTATTAGTTAAGGTTAATTATAAGCGCCTCGTTAGTTAATATTTTATATTAATAATTATTTTATAAGGCGTTAATACCTTTTATATATTATTTATAATGTTTAAAAAAGGGTTATCTTAAATTTAAACGGTTAGCTTATTTTAACGCTTGTTTATATTTCTTTATAAAGTATATTATAAAGTGTAAGTAAAGTAATAATAATTTCCTTTATTTAATAAGCTTTTCTTTTTATAATATTTACATTATTCTTTATAAATAATATATAATAACATATTAATTTTCTTTATATATATATATATATCTCGAATTTAATCGCCCGAGCGTTAAAATAAATGTCGAGTAATAAGATTATTATTTCGGCTTTTAATAACCGCGTTATATAACTTTATACGCGTTATATATCGCTCGTAAATACTTATTTTAAAAGCTTATTAATGTTTTAAACTAAGTTTATAAGTCCTTTATTAATAATATATTACGTTACCGCTTTATATATAAACGTTATTTATATTATTATAATGTATAAAAGCTTTATTTTTACGAAATTTGTTCTTTACGTTATTTATATAAGCTTTATAAAGGGTAGCTTTTAAATAATAAACTTTAATTTTACCTTTTTTATATAAACGTATTAATTTAACTTTTTATTAAATTATATATTAAAGAATTATATTAATATAATTAATATTATAATTATATCTTTAAGGTTAATTTTTAACATTAATAAAGTTTTAACTTTATAAAATATATTAAGTCGTACTTTTCGGGCGCGAAGTTTAATTTATATATAATCGTTTAGCTTTTATAAGTTATTTACATTACTTTTAAAAGTTTATAAGTTATTTTCGTATTATAATTAATGTTAAGTAATTTAATATTATTAATAAACCTTATTATAATAAGTAATAAGTGATTTATTATTAAATTTTAATATAATATAAAAATATAAAATGTAAATAATATAAATAAAAGTAAAAAACCTTTAATAACGAAGAATCCGTTTTTTTCTTTATTATATATAAGCGTTTTTTAAGTATAATTTAGTTGTCTTTTCTTTTATATAACTCGCGATTTATTTTTTAATTTATTTTAAAAATCCTTTTTAACTTAAAATCGCGATTAATTTATTATAATTAACTATATTAAAAGCCTTTTTAATATATAATTATAATAATTATATTATTTCGCGATAATATTATATTATATATATTATATTTTTAATAATATATATAATTAGTTTTATAAATTAACTTTTATAATAACTTATTTAATTATTAAACGAAATATTCCCTTTTTTAACCGCTTTTATAATTTTATAAGTTATAACTTTTTTTATAATCATTTTTATTATATTAAATAATATTATTAATTATTATTAATTAATAATATTTTTTAAATTACTATTTTACTTTATTTAAATATTATTATTATTTAATTTAATTTATAAATTAATAATATTTAATAATATAAAAGCCGACTAAAGTAATTAAAATAAGGCCTATTAAATATATTTATTAAAATCTTATAAAATAGCTTATTATAACTTTTAATATTTTATTAATAATAATTTTTATAAGGCCTTTTATTAAGTTATTTCGATAAAGTAATATAATATTAATTATAATTACCTTTTATTTAATGTTTAATTAGCCTTTAATTTAAAACGACATTATAAGAAAATTATATAAATTAATATATAAATTTAAGAATAATCTTATAAATATTATTATAAGACTTTATAATTAAAATTTATTATTTGTTTTAATATTATTAAGTTTATTATTTTTTATAACTTATTAATTAATTAGTTTACTACTTAATTAATTCTCGAATTTACCCGCCGTTTTAATTAAATAAGCTTTTTATTAATTATTATTTAAATTTATTCTTTTATTAAGCGTAGCCTTTTAATTATAACTTTATTATTATTAAATATTTATACTTTTTAAGCTTTATAATTTAATATTTTTAAACTTAAATCCCTTTTATAAAAGATATATATACTTTTTTAACTTAAGTTAAGTTAATAATTAAATGCTCTTTAATTATATATATTCTTTGTTATTTTTTACGAAGAATTATTAATATAAGTTATTATTAATATATTTATATTATTATTTCTTTATTATATTTTAACTCTCGGTTATATATATATTATAATAAATAATAAGTATTAAAATTCTTTATAAATAAATACTTCTTTTTTAAAGCGCTTTATAAAAGCTTTATTAATTAGTTAATTAAAGTATTTATTTAATTTAATAAGTAAATTAATTATATTATAAGTAGTTTTAACATTTTAATAAGCGTAACATTTATTTATTTATATTTATTTATATTTATTTATATTTATTTATATTTATTTATATTTATTAAAACTAAGTTTATTAAACTAAAAATGAATTATCTTTATTATAAAGTACGATAAATAAAGACGAATTATATATTAAATATAATTCTAATAACTTAAATACTTTAAATAAAGAACTCTTTTAAAATTATAATTTTATTTAGATTAGAAAAGAATTAACAGATTATTTAAATTTATATTTAAATGTTAAAAAAGTATTTATATTTAACTTATATAATTATTATATATTATATTATTAACTACTTTTTTTTATAAATAAATCCGTTAATCTTTTTAAAATAATACTTTATTAAATATTTTTTTATTAGTTATAAGTCGTTAATATTTAGTAATTCTAAATTTTAACTTTATTAAACGTGCTTTTTTATTTCTAAGTTAATATTTTTAAACTGGAAATAATAAATTATAATATAATTAAATAGTTAACCTTATTAAAAATTAGAAAATAAAATTATCGAGGAAATATAAAAATTATATAAAAGGAGAAAAGCTTAAAACTTAAAATATAATAATAAAAAGCATTTTTATCTCTTTTCCTTTTTAATTATTATTTAAGGTTATATGTATATTATATAACGTTAATTAGGCGGAAGCACTTAATTCGAAGTAATACTTAGAGGTAAAGTAAAGAGAGTATAAGTAAATGTATTTATAAGCTTACTTAAAGAAAGCGTTTAAAGATATCGAGGATATCTCTTTATATATACTAAGGAAAATACCTTAGAATAATCTAGAATAATCTTATTAATCCATTAAATTAATAATTACTTGGATTATAAATCGTAGTGGATTTATAATAACCGTAAAAGTAAATAAAACGTAAAAAAGCTTTAATAACGAAACTATTATAAAGGAGTTCCGCTTAAGTAAAGAAAAGAGTATAAAGAACATTAAAGTTCTTATTAACTATATAACGGATAATTATATAAGTTTTAACTATATATTAATAGTAAGATATACGTTTAAACGCTAATTTCTCACTTAATAAAATGCCGTGTTAATATACTTATTATAATTATTTAAACTTTTAAATTAGTTATTTTATTTTGAATTATTACTTAATAATTAACATTAAATAAAATATACGTTTTATATTTTATAATAATGAAAAAGATTTCTTAAGAATATAATTATAAATAACATTAATATTAAGTTAATTATAAATTTCTTAAATAAAATTAATTTAATTAAGACTAAAACTCGTTTAGTCTTAGTTTTAATGTTAATTATAATCATTTTTAATTTACTAATTCTAAACATTAATAATTATAAATAAGCCAAAATATATAACGAGTTTTATATACTTATAAGATATATAATTATATATTAATATAAAACGAATAAAAAAAGTTTATTAAAGTAATTATTTATATTATATTAAATATAATTAATGTTATTTATAAGTTTTATAATTAAATCACTGTTAAA